GTGTTATTCTATGCAACTTGTTAAAAGTTATTGGTATTATTATAAATGCATATATCTTATCATATATATTGTACTTCGTACAATATCGTACAATATAGTATAATTTTACGAGCGAAACGGCCAGATCTCGATTTCAGAATTTCATGGTTACGGACCAATTAATTCCTTTCACATCCACCCTTGTCGTTGGGCTTAATAGACTAGTAGTAACAGTAAATAGTAATTAACAACCACACCGCTGGAAAAACAAGGATCCTTCCATCTTCGACCGGTTGAAGCGGCGATCTCAGATGTTTGCCGTCTCCTTCTGTGCCGGGAGTGGATCGAGTGACGCCAGGAAGATTAAATGCAGCAGCCTCATGCTATTGAAATTCAAAACAGAATAAATGGTATAGTCCCGGGCGCAGCAGACCATGGAAATCCGTAATGACATATGCACATAATTGTGACCATGTATTAAAAGTGGATAGCGATAGCGGCATGGCCGATAAATCCCAATTGCTTGCATAGGTTGTAGAAAGCCAGATATAATATTGAAGTAATTACTAGTAACTCCAGGGTTCAAAGGTTGATTCTACATATTGTGTACAATCAAAATTTGGCCTCGGTACCAACGACCCGGCCGCAAGGATGGGGTAAACATGCAAGGAGCCGTGCTGGGTAAGAGGGACAGCAAGGTGGTTGAATACGGCTTTGAGATCCGCTGTACTTGATATGTTTCGCATCGGACAAGGTGTATGGAGTAGAACTTTTAATATTATTCTTGCCTTGCGACTGACGCATGAGATAGGTTACGTCGAAAATAAGAAAAAGGAAACGTAAAAAAAGGCCCAATATTTTCGCATTAAATTACCAACCTTAAGGAAGAAGATGCCGGGCGCAGAGCGCGTGTATCGGAATCCAAGCCCCGCCTGTGTAATGATGAAGGAAAATGGGTGTCAGGATGCGTAATTAATATGATCAGAGCCACCAAAACTATCCCTGTGATAGTCGACACGGAGTAAGCCGGTTAGAGAAATACTTGGTCTTTTGGTTCAACCATAGTTGTCTCCGTGGACTAGATGGGAAAACGAAAGAGAAACTCCTATAGGGCCTATAGGTAAGATCGGGTGCAAATATAGCAATTTGGAGGTTGGTGATCGTTGGTGATCGATCGGCTTCAGCTTTGCTGAGTTTGATTAGCCACTTCAACAGGGGGCCATTATTAAAAATTAAGGATCAGGGATATGATGTTGGGACCAACACTGGTGTGTACCAGAAACTTTCGATATCCGGTTGTCACCAATCAAGCGACAAGAATTGCTCTGTAAAGTGCAAAGATATTGATTCACAGACCCCCCCCCCGTGACCGTAGGGTTGGTACGTGATGGATCTACGGAGTAGAAATTTTGTAAACGTACGGAGTACATGTAAATCAAAAGGTCGGATAATTTCCTTGGGATGCATTCCGCGTGCATCCTTGACTCTCGGGTGTTGTAATGTATGTTGGGTTGTATACGATGTACCTCCAAATTCGTGACTGTTGCCGATGGCGGGGATCACGATAGCGGTCGCAGTCTCTACTGCATGCGCCAATGGTCGAGGGTACAACCCGCCTAAAAGTGATGATCATCGGTGGAATCCTAGGATTGCTATAGTGCAGGGGGTGATACTTCATTCCAGACCTGATCCTTCCAAGGGCAGAGGACCAAGGGTTAAGGAATTTCTTTTTTTTTATATTATTGTAATTTCTTTTTTGAAATTTGATTCCTTGTGAACTGCAATAAATAAAAAAAACACACAAAGAAAACAAGGTCGGGAATGGCCTGACGACGACTCTGCATGTAGCACTGTGCCGAGTAATCTCGTGAAAGACGATAGGTAAGACTTCATGTGGAGTACTGTAATATGGAGGAAAGTGCACAAAGAGAGTCTCGAATTGAAGTGCCGCAACCGGGATGGCAAGTGAAGATTGGCTTGGAATGGGCTCCTTTTTTTTTCTATTTTCGACCCACCAAAGAGAAGGACGTGCGAAAGAGAGAGGTCAGACTAGCCAATCACTATGGAGAATTTGGAAGTCAGCAAATGCAGATCGAGGATACGGGACTAAGAGACAAAAAGGAAAAGCTCCGGGGCCAAAAAAAAAGACCCAGTTGAACCCCAACCTTTGAAGCGAGCTGAGTCTGTATGACCAGAGTGAACACGCCCTTTTCCCGAAACAGTAAAAGACGGGCCATTATAGTAGTTTCATCCAATCACTTGCTACTTCAAACCGTCTCCAGTCCCAAAGCCGACTTTCAAGAAAAAGACCAATAGATCGTCTTGACTTGAACACTATGACACAGTGGACTGTTGTTAAGATCCACCTCTTTTTCTGTCTGGGGTTCTGGAAACGAAACAACTTCCGTGGCGGTGGCTCAGAAACCCGCAAAGTGGAGAGAAAGAGAGAGAGAGAGAGACTCAATTTCTATTAATTATGATTATTTTTTTGATAATTTATTTCCGATCAACTACTATCTGAGGTCAACTGTTAACCCAGCATCCGGTTCTCAGCTTCGCCAAGCGATATGTAGAATTGGATCGTCCCCAGCCAACATTGCATTGTGGACGTTACCCAGGCCGTTGCCTGGTTTCGGACAAGAGCTAACTGGTGGCGTGATAGATTATTATTTCTCTCTTACTCTCACGAGAGTCCACCCGATGATCGTTGGGGATGAAAGTTTTGGAAATTTGAGTGTGGATAGTTATGCCTTTGCATGCGTCCAAGGAGGCCAACTAAGAATATGGGCACCGTGCTTACTAGAGAAAGAGAGCCATACCACATCCATGACCGATATTGTATCAGGATGGTCAATCAGTCCGTAATTATTGGAGTAGGTTGCAAGATGTGCTTGTACACGCAAATGGCATCCCTGGTCTCTCGTTGTTGGAAGGGCCGTTAAGGGCGCCACGAGTAGTCGATGGATTCCAATTCCACCAGCCGATCTGGGCGCATATTATTCGGCTTTCGCTCGCAACACAAGTGCAACTAACCTTACGTGAGGCTTTGTCCCGTCTACCTGGGTCGAGCAAGTTTCGAGTGAAACGGTTAGTTAATCTTTTTTGCCCAGATGGGATGTACCGGTATGCCACTCCTCGACTTGACACAGGGCGCTTGGACGGGACACAAATACCGACCAGAGATACCTACGACGATGTAACTAGTGTGTTTTCTTTTTACCAGGTTGGCTACAGGTTACCACAAGTACATACCTGGCAGCGAAATAAATACCTAGGTAAAGTCAGTGCATGAACGCCGGACGAATCAGAATGCAGAATCTTGGACGCTCCTCTCCCGAAGCTCCTGAACTATCAAATTGGTCCATCACCCCTGAATCATAGGAAACAGGAAAGTCGTCCGGAACAGTGGGCTTCAGACCGGGACACGCGGGATAGTCAAAGAAAGACGCGAACATAGTACATATTTCTATACTTCACAATTAAACGAAAGCGAATCAATTGCCGGTGGAGAGCGGCTAACGAATTCGGGGAGTACTAGATCACGTAACCGTGTCATGGGCAGAAAGTTCCAGAGATTGAGAGGAGCAAGTGTATACCATGGACCGGTCGTACATGGGATAAATTAAACAAAAAAAGGAAAATATGTTGGCCCAGCCTTCTCAAGGCGTTAAAAGGGTGAGACTTTTCGTACTTTTGTGGATCGGGCATTCTGATGTCTATGATATGATTCGTTGAAATGGGTCGAAGTGACTTTGCCTTCTTACATAAGAATGTACCAATGTTACGAATATTACCATTCCATACCACTTCTCACCATTCTTTACCGTTCAATCACCTCTTGGTTACCACTGGTTACCAATCTCTGACCTCTTCTTACCATTACTTACCGAGACTCCCGATCGTTTCTTTCTTTTTTACTTTTCACTTTTTTTACTTCACTTTTCCGGTAATTGATCTTCTTATTTCTGTCTTATGATTGGTTCACCTTTCTCTTTCTTCCTCTCTCTCTTTCGCCTTTCCTCTCTATGTAGGTATATGGAAATATGGTACTCCGTACTTGCTTTTTATTTTTGGCCATTCCTTGACTCTTACTAGCGATCAGCCACCGTGCTCAAACCTCCGTCCCCCTTTAACCCTTTTTCCCTTTCCCATAGGTAATTTATTGAACTAAACCTGACTTATTATTGGATCTGATATAGGTCTTTAATCTTTGGTACAGATACTTTCTAGACCATATTTTCTTCTATTTTAATTGTATTAATTATTTGTTTTTCAGTTCAATTTTTGCTTCCACTAGCCCGCGCTAGATAGTACAACACTGCAAATGTGAGGCCGGGACCAGGTAAACATTCTGCGACCTACCCTTTCTAGTTGCACCCACTTGTGACCACATCGTGGCTCTGACATCAACCGGTATTTTCTCTCCATTTAGACATTTTAGACATTTTAGACATTTTAGAACATTTGAGAACATAATTAATTAATATTATTTTTCCCATCTAGATTGACCAAACCGGAACCCCAAACGAGCCCAGAAAGGAGGATCAACCTGGACCTGCGTCCGGGTCAAACTCTGTGGTCACTATCGCCTTTCTCCGGATGGGTCTGTGGACTTGAAGAAAGAGAGAGAAGATGATGCCTTGACTTATTTTAATTTTTTATTAATATTTTTATCCCATTAAACTGTGAACGTTTTTTATTTAGGAAATTTTAAAATACTTTGTTGGGGTTTTATTTTATTTTATATGTATTTTTTTTATTATGGAGAGCCGGATCTCTATCTTCTTTGCCTTCCTTATATGGCGCCCTATCGTGGCTACTTCTATATACATCATTCACTCCCTTAAAGGTCTATATTCATTTCTTCCTCACCTTTACCCTTTCCTCCTTGATTGCATTCCAATTGGGCAGGAACCCAATCTCTCTGTGCTTGTCATAACATGGATGAAACTCGGTCCTTTCCGACGCCTTTATCTGCTTAAACAAATTCATGGGTCGACTTGTCTATCGCCTATTTCCCTATGTCTTCCACTGTGGACTTCCACTCTTCCTTTACAACTCTGGATTCCTTCGACTTCACTGATCACCCGTTAAAGGCCTTGGAGACCTCGGGTTCATCACAGACTGTTCCATTTCGGAACGGTCTGCCCACCCCTCCTAACGACATGACTGGCATCACTTATAATGCTATGCCGCCGATGGCCTATGGAGGGAAAACGAATGGGATGCCTGCTCACATTTACGGCCACTCACGCCCTCAGTTCGATTCGATTTCGTCTTCGATGGTGGCTACTATGAAACCGCAAAGTCATCCCGCACCGAACAAAGAAGCCCCGGCCTCCGAACCTGTTGCTCAGAAAAAATCGACCAGCTCTAGAGAATCACAGCTCCGGATCCCTTCATCTGTCAACAATAGCAAGGGCAGTTTGGCTGAATTTGCTGCTCAGGTGAGAATCCACCGTTTCCACAGATGCGTCATCAAGTATATAAACTAACAGTCATTGATCCCCCTATAGATGACATGTCTGTTTTGGTTCGAAAAAACCTCGAAACTACAAGCCATCGAAGATTGCCAGCATCCAGTACCGTCACTTGTCGCTGAAGCAATTCCCACCGTCGGATTTCAAAAATGGGTCGCTACGATTCTCTCCACAACGCAAGTCAGCCAAAATGTCATCCTTCTGGCGCTACTTTTTATCTACCGACTCAAGAAGTTCAACTCCGGTGTCAAGGGAAAGAAGGGTAGTGAATTCCGGTTGATGACAGTTGCGCTCATGCTTGGCAATAAATGTGAGTATTCTTATCAGGTTGACCGCCTCCGAAATGGAGTTTTCTGATTGGATAAATTTGCTGACTTATACAAAGTTCTCGACGATAACACCTACACCAATAAGACGTGGGCTGAGGTATCGGGCATTGCAGTGCATGAGATTCACATTATGGAGGTCGAATTTTTGAGCAACATCCGCTATGATCTATTCTCTTCCGAGGCCGCATGGTCGCGGTGGCACACCAAGCTGGGCCTCTTCGCCGAGTACTTCAACCAAGCCTCAATGCTACCGGTCGAGTCCCCCGCCGTGCTTGGAGTATCGCCTCCCCGTGTGCAGTCACAGTCGCCATCTTCCAAATTGCCGTCGCCTACGTCCGACTTCCGAACCCAGTCACAGCCCAACTGGTACATGCCTCTAAACGGATTGCCGCCATACTCGCTGCCACCACAATCGCTGAGCGGCGAAATCACCATGGGAGGCTCGCGAAAGCGGAGTCGCGATGAAAATGAAGACCTTCACCCAATCAAGCGGACTGCATTGTCGTCTGCCACCTCTGCTCCTTCGATGACGGTCCCGGTGACCTCGATGAATGCGATGCCCACCCTGCCACCCGTTTTGACTCCAACTTCTGCCCCGGTGGTCCCAATGACCAGCAATATTTCTCGTCTCCCGCCTCCTCATCAATCGGCTCACATCTCCAACGCCTACTCTACGCCTCAATCACTACCTCCCTCTGGGCCTTCTCACCTTCCGGCTATTATCCCCCCAATCTACAACCGGCCCCAAAATTGGCAGCAAATGCCCCCACTTTCCGTTCCCCCTATGCAGTCTGGCATGTACAATGCGCCTTCGTTGTCGGATCTAGGCCGACATCACCAGAGCTCGTTTGGCGTGTCTTCTGGCACCGTCTCCCCGGCTGTTTCGGCCTACTCCGTCCACACACCGCAAACGCACCTCTCCCCTTCCTTTTTTCTTGCAAACCGCAATTCGCCCTATCGACCTGTGCGTTCCGTAAATACCTTGCTGATTCCACCACCATCGAGTTCCCTGCAACAGCAGCGCAGTGTTCCGTTCGATCACATGCATTACCAACCGCTCGGAAAGGGTTCTACTCGCAAAACGGGCCTGCTACCTTACATCCAACCTGATGCGTGGAACCAAGCTCCTTACCTCCATCCCCTCTACCCACCTACAAGCTATGCTGGCTGAACATCTCCCTTTTATCCACTCATCTCATGTTACGACTTCACCGCGCTACGACCCGACACACGAGAAAACCATCTCATTCGTTGTACACCTTTTTTTTTCTTTTACCTTGTCTTGTTTTTCTTCTTTCCATCTGTACACACTTTTCCCTTTTACGATTTTATTTCGCATATCTGGCGCTTCATTCTAGATGGATTCGTTATTGGCCTCCCTGCAGACGAGATTACCCTCGGGGTTGGTACATGCGGCGTTGTTCTCGACTTTGAATTTTTCTTTGTTCCGGCTATACCGTTTGGTGTCCGGCATTGCTGTTGCATTCGCATATTGATGGCGTACTTTCCACAGACTTAGCTTTAGCTTTGCAGCATACTTGTATGAAATCTAGATTTTTACCACTGGTATTTTTTTGTCTTGAGTGTCTGTAGTTCTCAAAACAAGGTACTACCACCTACCGCCAGATCAACAATATCTTTTACAGTTTTTTCTTGGTTTTTGGTTGATGTTGGTTGAAAATTGTTCAGACCAAATTATGGCCTGTACAAGGAGGTATACTTTCATTTGATATAGTAATAGCTTGATCCTGATAACTATCAAATTTTTTGGAAGTAGATTGCTAATAACTATCGATATTAGCAATCTACTTCCAAAAAATTTGATAATTAAACCAAAGTAAATTGTAAATCAACACAACAACTCGAACTTGTGTACGGAGTAGCCTGTAAGTGTTAAAATGGCATACAAAAGTTGGGACCAGTTCGGAGTCGGACCAAAATTAATCCGCCCCGACAGAGATCTCGAAACCATCACCAAACCCGCGAGCCAAACACCAGCAGAAGGCCATCACCAAAACACCACCATGTCACCCCGGCTGATGGGGCTGCCCACGCAGCTCGCAAAATTTGCTACTCGACCACTCCAACAGGCATCTCCTCTCGCCTTCCTCCTTCCGCAATTCCAGCAAACCCGCAATGCTTCCATCCTAGCCTCCCTCTCCGACAACCCGACAGCCTACAACAAGCGCATCCGTCGAGGTCGTGGTCCCTCGTCCGGCAAGGGTAAGACCTCCGGTCGTGGTCACAAGGGACAAGGCCAGCACGGAAAGGTCCCCGCCTTCTTCAATGGTGGACAGACCAAGGACATCATCGTCCACGGCGAGCGTGGCGGTGTCAACATGTAAGTCTCCCCCAACCAGCCATCACAAACCAAGCAAACAAAAAACAAATCTTAACAACCTCCCCAGCTTCTCCGTTGAAATGACAACCGTCAATCTCGACCGCGTCCAGTCCTGGATCGACCAAGGTCGCCTCTCCTCTAAAGCCCCCATCACAATGAAAGAACTTTACAAAAGCGGCTGCATCAGCCGACCAGTCGACGGCGTGAAGATCCTCGGTGACGGCGCCAGCGCCCTAAAACAACCCATCCACGTCGTCGCCTCGCGCGCCTCCGCCTCCGCAATCGCCGCTATCGAAGCCGCCGGCGGAACCGTCACAACACGATACTATACCCCCTCGTCTATCCGCCGCATCCTGGATGGCGAGACACACTCCTTCCTGTCTGAGCGGTGGGCGCGGGAGAGCGGGTCCGAGGAACTGTACCAGATCGCGCGGGTGGGCCGCAAGAAGGTCTGGGAGACTTGCTTGGAACGCAACCATATGAAGTTCCGTCTGCCGGATCCTACAAAGCGTAGTGATATTGAATATTACCGTGATCCGGCGCATCGGGGTTATCTTGCGCATTTGCTTAAGCCGCGTGAAGGCCCCAGTTTGTTCTTCCGTTCTTCTGAGGAGAGGAAGTCTGCTGCGGGTACTAAGAAGGAGAAGATTTTGCCTGAGAACAGGCTTTGGTAGATGGGGTGATTGTTGGACTTGGACTTTTTCTTTGTTTTGCAGTTTCTGTTTTCGAGGCTGGTTAAGACTGGTCTTTTGTACATGTATAAATATGTAACTTTGTTGGATATGTAGGCTTTCCAATTACATGGTTCTTAGCCTTTTACCTCTTAGAATCTTTACCATTTTGTGCTATATGGGTTCAAGATGTGCCTGTGTACATATATACATATACTTCGACGTGAGTATAGAGCGAAAGGCTTCATTATTGCATTTTAACTAAGGCTAGATCAGCCACCCAGAAAACGGAAGATTAAGCAGAGGAGGTACACATAGATTAGAACATGCACATGCAGAAACCAACAGGTATAAAAGTACAGCACAGCGAATCAAATCGGCAAAAAGATGACACAAGGCGAGGAAATGAAGTAAGAGACAAAAGTGAAATTCAACCAAAAACATAATTGAGAGGGAACGCCGCGCCTGCTATACCAGTAAATCATAATCGTTCATCTCGTGATGCCAAAGCCGCCCGCACTAAAATCAAAACCGAGAACGCACTGCGAGTGGGGAATATTCAAAAAGATCACGGGAATGCAAAGAAGAAAAAAGTAAATGCAAATGCTGGCAACCTTGCACACAGTAGAAGAAAAGGGTATCATAGTGATTTCGAAAGTCCTTCACCCCCCAAACGCTCGCTGAATCGTTAAACGTTGGGAAAGAGGACTATCGCATCGTAGGAAGTAGACGTTGAAACGTGAAAAGAAACCCAAACTGTCTTGAAGTCTTCAGACAAAAAGACAAAATGAGATTAGAACGACCGATGGAGGGGAGGAAAAAGAACAGAGCTCAAAGCCTCCATACGGTATCAGATGAGGTCTCAGTCGTTTCTGCGAGCTCTCGCATCCAGGCGCATTCGAGAACATCGGCGATAGTCCAGCGCTTGTTGGGATTCATTTCAAGGCACCCACAGATCAACTCGAGGGCATCCTCGCGATCTTGTCGAAGAGGACCATCGGCGGTGTCGCCAAATACAGCATTTTGATCCCAAGTGCCGCTAATGATATTTGCTTGGATGCGAGGGGCGAAAGAGTCTTGGAATGGCCGGGAGCCAACAACGACGGCATAGACGATGACACCGAACGCCCAGATATCGACTGAGGGGTGAATGACACCGCCGACTGACTGAAGTAGCTCGGGGGAAGCATATTCCAGACTACCTGCAACACTAGTACTAGACCCTGCTGGGCCCATTTGTTGTGGTGGCGGACGGTCAGCTGCGTCTTCGTAAGGATCCGGGGAGTCGCCGCCATTGTCGATTGACATCCATTCCGCCATTCCAAAATCACAGAGTACCAGCGTTGAAGATATCTTGCCATCAGAGTCGGCAAGGGGGTCGAGGAGACAATTCTCTAGCTTGATATCTCGGTGAACAACTCGAGCATCTTCGTGAAGGTAGCGGATTGCACAGGCCAGTTGGTATGAATATTTCTTGGCAAGATTGGTATCAAGACCAGCACGATTTTGACGGACTAAGTCAAAGAGCGTACCACCAATAGCGAGTTTGGTGAAGCAAAACGTGGCGTAATCTGTTTCGTACACGGCATCAAGCGTCAATACGTGCGGGTGGCTGAGGTACCGCCAGACTCGCACTTCATGGTCAAACTCCGCTTGCACTTCGTCGTTTTCTTGCTCACTTCGACCTGCAATTTGCTTCTTCACAATCTTGACGGCAAGTGTTTTGGTTTCGCCGTGTTTTTCGGCCTTGTAGGCCTCTTTCACAGTACTGAAGCCACCGAAGCCGATTTGCTTTCCGAGAACGTAGTCGTCTCCGACCATTTGGCCTTCATCATCGGGCTGCGGGGCGGGTTCTTCACTGTTGCTCCACATGGAAAGGAACATGCTGGCAGGGGATTTGCCGCTGGACATAGTTGATCGCCGTGAACTATGCCGGGTGGAGTTCCGGAGACTGCTACTGCGGTCGAGAGTAGAGCTGCGCTTGCTTCCAAACGGAGTAGCGACAGCTCCAGACCAAGAGCTGCTGCGATCCTCGGGCGATGCAAAAGGCTGAGTTGGCGACGGAACACAGTACGGCGAGAGTATCGTGTGATTAGAATCATCGGGAGGGGTTCGAGCTTCATCCGTGAGTGGAGACACCGTCGACTGTGACGTGAGGGATGTCGGGCGGTCGATATCTGAGTTCATGGTTGTGCCATTATCAGACTTTGTAAAGGGCTGCGGTCGGGATTGTCCGGTCGGGAAACCCCGATCCTGGAATCGTTTAGGACTCCAACTGGGAGACACATAGTGTTGATCGTGGTCGTCGTCTTGTGAAAGAGCGTTTCGGAGCCCAGAACTGCGGGACTCGAATCTTTGCGGTGGACGGTTCTTCGTATCTCCCATGGAAAGAGGTTCTTCCAACGGGATTTGGTTCCCGGACTCCACGGAGACCGTTGGATTGAAAGATATCGATGGTCTACGAGCCTGCAGAAAGCTGTCAAGCGGCGACCCTTGTATTTCATCGGGCTTATGAGGATAGCTGGAGTCATCATCTTTGGAGTGATGCTCATCGGGACGAGGGACGGAAATGGGAGGAGTCGCTGAGTGTAGATCACTTAACAAACTGTGGTCTTCATCAGTATCGCGGCGACGCGCATAATCATCAGATTTATTGGTATGTTCGCTCTCGATACCATCGCCCGCTGTTGTCGCTCTCCTTCCACTTTCATTTGCCCATCGCTTGTCGCGTTCAAACGAAGTTTCAATCCTCAATGCTGCCAATCCGCTAGCCAACCCGGCCCTCTCGCTATGCGCCATGCCCTACGGAGGGACACGAAGCAGGATAATTTCCGAAGGCGTGAGCCCGTGAAAGGCTTGCAGTAGGGTTATATAACCCCCTGCTTTACTTTTTCCAGGTGCTTTGCGATGCTTTGAGTTGAAGAAAATTGTGGGGTGATAACATCTAAAGTGGAGACAGAAGGACTGATAAAGTGATGTCAATGAAGCCGTGATTGAAGGAGTTTTTTTCTGAATTTATATATGGAAAGAAAAATCCAAGTGAAACCCGGTGGGTACAAACAAAAGCAGTTGGAGAGGAATCACAAATAATGTATTCGTAAGTAGACAAGTACCAAGCCTTAGAAGAGGGGATGAAAACCCGGGGAAATCCGGATAACAGCGCAGCCAAGACGATAAGTGGTCGGGTAATCACATGACTGCGGTGAACAGTTCTGTAGCCCTGCCCTACACTCCTGAAATGGTCGGTTTGATTACGGCCAAAATTAGTGACATGATGCGCATATGTATAACAGTTTCAGTGTCAGTCCCTCAGTCCCCACAGCGTTGTTTAGACCGTTTTTGTAAGTCCCTTTTTTTGACCTCTTCTGTAACTTGTATTTTATATTTTATTTTATATATATATAAGGCATCATACTTACAATTGCCTGGACCTTCAACAATTTCTCAGTATCAATATACAATTTACATAGACACTCCGGGATATAGAAGCATTGACCAACTAACGTGTGCCGTCCACGGGTTCAGGGGGTTAACTGCGCCTTAGTTTAGCCGCGCGCAAGGGGCGCTTGTTTGGGAATACCTCCTTTTGGCTCTCTATCTGAAAGGAGTTTCTATTCAGACTCGACGTCGTGGCCTTGGTACACGCCTAATTTTTTGCTTTTTTTTCTTTCTATTTCCTTTCGACTTGTCGCTCTGGCAGTAATTAATTTCTCTCCTGTGTCGATTTGCTGGGACAAAGTGCAGACCAGCCCCCACCATTACCAAGGCACTGTCTCTCCTTCAGGCCAATTCACCCTGTGCTTGACCGCGGTCGGTTTCCACAATACGAACTCGCTCGAGTCTTGCTTGGAACCAGGAATTTCGGAAACCCACGACTCGCGCATTGCTATCATCCCGCGCTTGTCCTAACTTCCATATTCCTGGTCCGCTACTCACTCCTTGCTTTCACGACTTTGTTTCCTTCCCGCTACTCTTGACAACACATTCATTTAAACCGCGTCATGACGAGGCCTCACATGATCCGAGCTGGTAGGTTGCATTGTGTTTGAGTTGCGACGCCAATTGGAATGGAGCAAGGTGCTGACCGTTACATCTCATAGATACCTTGGACCTTCAAGATCACAATGAGCCTTCTGCTAAAGATCACAGCAAACAACCCGAACATCCAGATCCTCTAGGGAGCGGCCGGCCTGCTCCCCACCAAGAGCTTTCCATCCGCAATGCCGAACAAGATCTACGATCGGAGATAAAGGGCGGACGTGACGGGATCGATTACCGCCACAACAAGGACATGCATGGGGATCCAGAGGACGATGGTCATGATGACGATGATAGTCAGTATGGCCAGGAGGATGGAGACCTGGCGGATGGTGAGAGCGATGACCTTATGGACGATGATATGATGGACAAAATCTCCAGCTCGCCTTCTATCGATGATGGTATGGATTCTCGGGATCAAAGCGCATCAAGGATAATCACTAACATGATGCAGAGGATATCGATTTCGAGTTCGTTTATGCGCTTCACAATTTCGTCGCTACCGTCGATGGACAGGCAAACGCCGCAAAGGGTGATACCATGGTTCTTCTTGACGACAGTAACAGCTACTGGTGGCTGGTTCGCGTGGTGAAGGACGGCAGCATTGGATACCTCCCTGCGGAGCACATCGAAACGCCAACCGAGAGGCTTGCCAGATTGAACAAACATAGAAACGTGGATCTTTCTGCCACTATGCTGGGCGACAACAACGAAAAGTCGAAGAACCCGTTGAAAAAGGCCATGCGCCGTCGGAATGCAAAGACCGTCAATTTCGGAGCTCCAACATACATCGACGCCTCTGATGTTGACTACTCATCTGACGACGATTCTGAACATGGGGATTTCTTCAACGACGACGAGACTCTGGATGGAGAAGAGGAAGATGTACAAGATCAAGCCGAGGATATTGTTGTGGAACCTCTCAGACCGAAGGGACAAAAAGACAAACCTACAGAGCACCCGGAAACCAACGGTCATCACGAGAAACAAGATACACAGCGTTCAAGTTCCGAAAGACGCCCGTCTAGTGAGGAATTCTTTGAAGCAGAAGGTAAGAACACTCGACGTGATTTGTTCGAGGTTGCGTTAGAGACTGATGTTTCCAAACAGAACCCACCGTCAGTAGATCCAGAAATGGCACTGTACGAAACACCGATTCTTTCTTCAAAGACGACACCGCGGAACCCAAGAAGATTTCACTTACACCAAATCTCTTGCGCGATGCCCGCGATGCCCGCGATGAAAACGGTTCGAACACTTTGGCGGAATGGAAAGAGGTACGTTTATTGTCATTGAATTCGAACAAGCAAAGGCTGACTCTTTGTCGAAGCCCCGCGCAAGCCTCGACTCCATTGAAAAAGGAACAAACCCACAAGATAAACTCAAGGAGAAAGAGGAGAAGAAACGAAAGGAAAAGAAATCGGGAATGCTCAGCGGGTTGTTCAAGCGCAAGAAGAGCAAAGACGACGTTGATGACCTGGAGAAGCCTTCTGCAGACTTGACATCTCGCACTTCGCCCCAACCCAAGACCTCGATGGAGTCCATGTCATCGAAATCTTTGTCGCCCGAACAACTGCGGCCTTTGAAGCCCCAGAAACACACAGTCAACAAGTTACACAAACAGCCTCCAGGAATCATGAAGGTTCATACAGACCTCGACCCAGACATGACCGAGTACAACAAAAGTAAAAGTTACCAAAGTCCAGTTGATCAGACCATTCGACAGGTCCCATCGCAAGAACAAGAAGAAAGCGCCTACGAAGACTGTGAGATTGTGCTGCAATCGCCCGTCAGCGTGGATAGCGCTTCTAAGGATCCATTTGCTACTCCGCTCGAATCCATGGACCCCTTGGCGTCGCCCGTTGATCGTCCATCCAGCGAAACCCAATGGAGAGGACCCGACAATTACGGCCAAACACCGGCTAGTTCCACTTCTGTAACATCTCCACCCCAGAGGTTTACGCATACGACGGGTGGAAATGAGCCGGAATCCCCTGTCAATATCTCTCCTGCGGAGGCGTACGTTTCTGTCAGCGCACCGGGCCGAAAAACAGAGACTTCCCCTCAAGGAGCGCGCTCTCTGTCGCCGCCATCTCCGTCTTCATCATCAGGAAATGACAACAATTACCAAAAGAGCATCACGACAACCCCTGGCTCAGTCGACACCCTTTCTGTGGACACCCCTACCTGGAGTGATTCTAGTCTACGATCATACCTGGACGAGGACAATGACATTCGCGACTTGTTCATTATCGTCCATGACAAATCAAACGTCCCTCCAGCTGGCCCTGATCACCCGATCACTGGTCGTCTGTTCAAGGAAGAGAGCAAGAGACTCAAGGAAATGAACAATCAGCTTGATGACATGCTTGTGAACTGGATGTCACGACGGTCCCGAAACTCTTCCTCAACGCGCAGCATGCAAAGTCCACCAGTATGATGGGTATACATTTGAACGTTATCTGTTGATATATTGGCGGGGTCGTCTCGCATGACAACACAGGCCAGGTAGCCTTTGATTGTGCTGGCGCATCATTTTGACCGGCCCTGATTAATTCTTGTTTTTCACTTTCTCATCTCCTTCACATTTTTGTGTATTGCCTTGATGCCACATGTTTGACACAAGCTTACTGCGTCTACTTTTCTGCCCCTCCCATCGCCTTAGAGAGCGATGTGGACCTGAACGTCTTAACGGCCAGCTCTGCTTCCATTTGTCGATCTTTTTTTTGTCTTTTTTTTCACCGGAATACCCCGACTCATCCGTGTTCAGTGTTTTTTTCTCCACACAAAGTCATCCCCAAATGACGTATCTCAATACAAATATCAGTCGCCAAGCATACATGTTCTGTAGAATATACCAAAATTACAAGGATGATCGTTTTATTGTACGTACATGTACGTATATGTAAACGCAAGTAATCAAGAAATGATTGGCAAGCGCATTCCAGAATTTCTGCGCAGGGGTCTTGCGGACAGGTCAGCCGCACCACCAGTCCAGGTGCTGGGCATGATGTGTACATGTAAGTACGAATGTCATCAGACTCTCTGATTAGTATCTGCCTTATAATCTTTAGGCATCCTGAGCTCATCTCAATTTGACAAATCTACTACATGTACCATGGCTGATCCATACAACCCATACAGTTTCTATTCAACACCTACTCCTGGCGGTATTGGCTATTACCCCCCCGACGATCAATCTCACCACCGTGAATATGGCTATGAGCCGCAACCACACTGGAGCCCAGACTCAAACCCGGGCCAAGTCCCTCACCAAAGTCATAATAATCTCGCACCAGAACCCTATGGCTCCACACTGGAAAGAAGCTACACACCAGCAGGCCAGCCAGATTATCAGGGACCGGTAGGTCCAATTGGATACCACCATTCGCAAACCAAAGTCCCCGAAAATGCAAGCTACTAGTAAGTCATATTCAGCGATTGATAGAGCGAACGCTAAACCAAGCCCTAGTAATGATGATCCGGTCGACCAACCACGGTACGCTCCGACAGCTCCGCCACCCGCTGTCTACATCTCAGAAGCAGAAGATAGCCAACGCGAGCAACGCTCAGACAACGAAGATACAGATCGAGATCTGGATCGCGGACTCGGAGGCTCACTCGCCGGCGGTGTTGCGGGCTACTACCTTGGTCACAAGAAAGAGCATGGTCTACTTGGAGCGATTGGGGGTGCTCTTCTCGGGCACTTCATTGAGGACAAAGTCAAGGACCATGCGAAGAATGAGGATGATGATGATGATCACAGATCTGAGCATAGTCACCGCGAGCATCATAAACACCATCATCATCGCCATCGGAGTCATTCGAGACACAGTGGTCACTCTCACAGTGGTCACTCTCACAGTGGTCACTCTCATGGTTCGAGACACAGTAGTTATTCGAGACACCGCGGCGAAGAAGATGAGCACTGAACAATTGCCAGGGTGGAGTTCGTACGGTCTTTTGCTATAGTAGTTTTGTTCCCTCTATGCTGCGATTAACGACTTATGACACAGACGATATGGTTATGCGTTTGCTCTCTCCAGTGATTGCGGTTGACTAGCAACCGCTATTTCCTTGGTGGTATCTTGGATATCAATTCTTTGCGCTGTGATCCGAGACTAGCTCGTTGGAATGCCTTGTATTCCCTCAGATATATCCACCACGCCCAATGAAAGGATCATTCTGCGATTTCTTAGACTATAAAGATGACTCGCCTCGGTAATAACCATCCCTACGTGCCAATGTGTTGGAACACAAACCAACACCTTGGAATTGATTTCGAGGCCAGCGGAAACAGTAAAGGAACCCTTAGCAAAGGCCGAAGGTTGGTGATATATAAGTCAAAATGCAGAAAGGAAAAGTGACATGCCTCGACCCCACGCTTGCAGAGGTTCATCCAATCTATCAAGACATTCAAATTTTAAAGTTAGTTTCGTACATATACCTTTATAAATAATGGTATAAATACGTTAGATACGACGGTCCCCGCTTCTATAAGTGGTATAAGAAAGTGGAATTTATAGCCATTTAGATGCGGGGGGATCAATTATCCATATAGTACCTAGATACCAATAGAATGAAAATGACACTAATTATATGGTCATATCACAAATACATATAATCAATTAATCAAGGATGCATCCATTACCCCAATGTAGCACTGTGCAGAAAGTGATCAACAAGGGCAAACCCCCCTTTTCCCCCGCGAGAACCGCTGATACGCCCGAATCCCCTTATCTCATGAGTCATCCGATCTTCTCGATAAGGCATTCAGCTCTCCTGACACTTGGGAATGACTTGTTCATCTTCATCTTTCATCTTACATATTTCAGCTGTCATTTCCAATATTTTCCTCTTTGTTCTTAACTTGATTCTCTTTGCTCTTTTAGATTTAGAGTATACATCACTTCCTCACGTTGGACTCGCTTATCGGCTATTACCCCATACTTTATGACATCCGCCCTAGCCGCACAAGTCAACTGAGGCTCTACATCGCTGACGAACACCTCACACACGACACTACATTACAAGCATGTCTCCTCCATTATTACACAACTTCCTTGCTGGATCCCTTCCCGACCATTGTGAACCGACATCGCCCTTCTTGACCGCCGTCTCCTCCCATCTCCACATCTGTATCCCCACACCTCTAGCGGCGATCTCCTCCGTTCTCGGAACCCTCAGCATAGTCTCATGGCTTTTCGCGCAACTCCCGCAAATATACAAGAACTACCAAGTCCAGTCAACGTCGGGATTATCTATTTTCTTTCTAGTCATATGGTGTCTAGGTGACGCCAGCAATCTTGTGGGAGCGTTATACACACGACAGGCAGGATGGCAGGTGGTGGTTGCCAGCTATTACGTTTTCGTTGACATCACTCTGGTTTTCCAGTTTTTCTGGTATACCCACTACAAAGCACGCCTAAATGGTGGGTATGACAACCTGTCATACCCGGGTGACTCGAACCGAGGTTTCATCCAAGGCGTGCCGCTTCCACGCGACGAAACATATCAGACGCCAGCGCCCGTCGACATGAAGACCAAACATTCTGAGGCTAAGGATATGGGCGTCCAGGCTGGATCAGTACGCAATTCATCCGGCCAAATAGCTTCATACTCAAATGAGAAATTGAGTTCATCGCGTCGATCTGTGCGGATGAGCAGCAGCGCCAATAGCATGCCGTTTGCACTGCCCCGGACAATGCTCATGGCATCTCTTCTTTGTGCCGTACTTGCCAACGCTGCACCAACTGAAAAGCCTCACCCGCCTATTTCCGATGCACCCAACGAGGCTATTCTCGAGATTATTGGCCGTGTGTTCTCCTGGATGTCAACACTTCTGTATCTCGGTTCACGTCCTCCCCAGCTATACAAAAACTACCAGCGCAAGAGCACGGAAGGTCTCTCACCCCTACTCTTCATAGCTGCATTCTGCGGGAATCTGTTCTATTCCAGCTCGCTTCTCACGAACCCGAATGCCTGGTCTGATTTCGCTCCTTATGGCGGCGGCGGCTGGTCCGACAACCACGGGAACGATCGTTTGGAATGGATCGGACGCGCGACTCCTTTTTTCCTGGGTGCATTCGGTGTCCTGGGCCTGGATGGGTTCATGGGTGTGCAGTTTCTAATGTACGGCGATGGCCCACAGGGTGAGGATGATGAGAGTTTTGTTAGCTCCAGCATCGGTGGAAATGATCGGAAGCGTGGTCGTGGCCGTCGCTGGACACGAGTCCATGGTTGGATGCGCGGATGGATTCCATCTTCTTCGCCTCCACGAGAGGTCTCTTCAGCCCGAGAGGGACAGGCTTTGTTGGGTGCAGAGCGCGGCCAATATGGCACTGTCTGACCATGATTCTACATACGCGTGCCTTTGGTTTCGTTCCCTTTTTCTTATCCACATTTCTCGAGCGAGGCAAGCATGATACATACGACGCGATGACTTTGGTTTTTGACTTTCCGTTTTTCATCATTATGGGGTGTATATCAATTCATGTTTCACCCTCATTCATTTTCTCCCCCGGCCACATTTAGAGCGTTTCTGAGCCGAATAGCATGTATAGGACACCCTATACTTCGGGGACTTGCATTTCGGGGTGCCATGTCTATCCTCCTTTCAACATTTCTTACATTTTTTTACATCTTTTACAATTCTAAGAACTGGGCCATAGCGCATATAAGAATAGAAGAGACTATTGAAAGGCTTTCCCTAGAAAGGAAATAGCTCAGAGTAAACACAGTCCGATCGGAATTAGTAAAATCGTGGTTAGACAGGCCGAGCGGCTCCGGATAGATCGGCCCTGCGTACGGAGCAGACTTTGTAGGATTTGTATGAATTGTCACTTCTTCTACCCAAATCATATTAAAAGATTTGATTGCTACAGAGTAGATATTTCAGAGTATAACAGATTCAAAAAGTTCATTTCCCCTGGAAGCCAAGACAACCAAGCCACCATGGACACCGTAAGCAGTCGCTTACTGCCTGACATCCAAGCCCTAAGTGGAAGAACAACAACATCCAATTTCCCCGTAACGGCCACTCCATTCGCGTTAGGCCGAGATTAATCCAAACTCGCCAATTGAATCAGTCAAATCCCTGCAGGAACCAATCCACTTGTCTCGAATAACCCAACTCTCGCTCGAAATTGCCCACTAATTTTCCGAAGTGGAGCGCCAACGCTAACGCCACCGGCCAAGGCGAAAGCGGAGGATTCAGCCATGCATCTCACTCGCAATATAGTACCTGGACTATATAAAGTCCCCAGGAGTAATGCCGCAATTTTCTGACTTACTCGAAACTACGTTTCTTGCCGTCCCTTCATTTCGTGGTGTGCATTCACCCGTCCATTCGTTTACAATCCTATATTCTATAAAATGATGGTTCCTAGCCATCTCGTGTGGCTTGCCCACGTTCTGCCTGCTGTTGCGCTGACCATTACCGCACCTGCTACGACTCCCTCGACTGTGGCTACAAGCTGTGGTACGGATAATCTGATTCAGGAGGGAAATTTTGCGGGTGTTGATGTTACTGCTGAGGATGGTGTATGGAATATTCTCCCACAATCAGGCATCTCTGTCGTCGATGACCAGCTGTTCGTGTTGAATCTCACATATCATTACATCCTTGTCAACTAACCCTCTTAATTATAGCCACCTAAGTGCCGAGGCAGTTAATTCACAGACACTCCTTGTGCAGCAAGGATCCGCAGCCGTCGCAGGAAAGAGCTATACAGTATCGATCGACTACCTCCAAAGCGCAGGTACTTCCAGCTGTGATGTTGATATCACAATCGGCGGCAAGGAGCTCGGCGCTAGCCCTTTCACCACGATAGGTTCCTGGGCCACTATTTCCAAGCAATGGACTGCTACTGATTCGTCTTCTGATATCATCATCATCGTCGAATGTTTCAACGGCGGTGACTCGACTGTTGATGTGACGAACATCTCGCTCGTAGAAAGCTGCGGTACTTCTTCATTGACTAGTGTTTCTGTCCCCATCAAGACCCCGTCAGTTTCCCCTGTTGCCTCTAGCACTCCGGCTACGTCGGTCTCACCCTCCGCCGAGCCTAGCTCCCAGGCATCTTCTAGTGCCGCTTCATCCAGTGCCGTCACTATTCCTTCTAGCTCACCCAGTGTTTCTGGTTCACATGGTTCTTCCAGCGCTTCAGTCTCTCCTTCTGGCGTGCCCGGCCAGCCCGGATCCCATGGTTCGTCGAGCGCCTCTGCTACCCCCTCCGGTGTTCCCAGCCAGTCTGGCTCGAATGGATCTTCCAGTGCTTCAGCCACTCCCTCCGTCTCCCCCGTTCAGACCGGATCTCACGGATCCTCCAGCGTCTCTACTATCCCCTCCGACATTCCCACTCAACCCGGCTCGAATGGATCTTCCAGTGCCTCTGCAACCCCCTCAGGCCCCGCAACCGTCCAACCCAGCTCCCAGGGCTCCTCGTCAAGCCATGTCGGCACAATCCCGGTATCCGTTCCATCTTCTTCGCCCTCATCCTCGATCCACATTTCCTCAGTTTCCCCAAGCAGCACCCCAGGCCCAATCACCCTAACGACTACAATCACCGGACCAGCAAACCCTGCTTCCAGCAGCGCCGGCCAGTCCTCTGGTATCGCCCAGTCTTCCAGCACTGCCACAGGCACTACCTCAGGCAGCCCATCGGAGCCTGCTGAGACAACAACTTGCACGGACTCGACCACTGCAGGAGCACCGGCATCCCAAACCACTGCGTTGTCATCGCCCGCTATCTCTTCCCCCGCTGGAACTACACAGGAATTGACCACTTCCACGGTCTTCACCACCCGTACTTCGACTATCACCGCTTGCCCCTCCACCGTCACTGATTGTCCCGCTACCCAGAAGACTACTTACGTCACTACTGAGACTATCGTCGTCTCCACTACTGTTTGCCCGGTTGCTGATGCGACTACCACTGCCGAGGGTTCTCACACCACTGGCTTAACTGGCACCGGCAGCGGCTCTGGCTCTGGCTCTGGCTCTGGCTCTGGCTCTGGCTCTGGCTCTGGCTCTGGCTCTGGCTCTGGCAGCGGCAGCGGCAGCGGCTCTGGTGATGACTACACAGTCTCAACAATCTACTCCACCCGCACAGTCACCCTGACCGAGTGCCCAGCGACAGTCACTGACTGCCCAGCTCGTGACAAGACCACCCACGTCACAACCGAGACACTCGTTGCTGGAACCACCTCGATCCCTATTAATACCTCTGTGACCACCACAGCCCCTGGTGCGGTGCAGACTTCCTCTGTACCGGTTCAGACCACAACCGTCGTTGTCGGTACCGAGACTAAGACTTCGACCATCTTCTCCGTGATCACTGTCCCTGGCTCTTCTACTACCGCGGCTGGTCCTGTCGAGACTGGTGTTTCACACGTTGGCGGCAACACCGGTGCTGGTGGCAGTGGTAATGGATCTGGTGTGTCGGCGGGCGAAGGTGAAAGTTCGACTGGCTCCGGCTCGAGCTCAAGCTCTGGTTCTGATTCCAGCTCTGGATCCGATTCGAGCTCTGGATCTAGGGTTAAAGCTGGCACTGGAGCTAACAACGGCTCTTCCTCCGGCTCTGGCTCCTCATCAGGCTCAGGTTCCTCCAACATCTCCGGCAACGGCGCCGGGAGCTACTCCAATCTCCCGGGCATCACACGGATCAGCTCCGCAGCACCAAGCCTCACCCGCATCAGCTCATCAACCTCCCCCATCGCGGCTTCATCCTCTGCAGCTTCCGGCCACAAGGCCAGTGGCACTACCATCACTGCTTCCATTAGCACCAGTACCGGTACTACTGACAGCAGCAGCACAGCGGCCGTGACACCTGCGTTCAACGGTGCTTCGTCTCGGACTGCTTCTGGTGCAGTTGCGGCTCTTGGTGCTATTGCTGTCGTCGCGCTCTTTCTTTGAGTCATTTGAATGTTTTGCATGTTCATATTAATTGTGATATCATGTGTATTATGATCAATTAGTGTGATTTGATCAATTGACTTAATTTAAACTAGTACACTTTTATCTATACACATCTCAAACATTGATGACTTGAATAGTGCTAAGAGGAATTATTGACCCAATCGGAACAGCCACAAACAAATTTAAATGACAAACAAGACAAGATGAATGGAAGAATAATATTGACAGTTATCTCATCTAATTATAAACATAATAAACTATAAAAAAAAGGCAAACATAAGAAGACAAGCATCAATGCTCACCCAATAATGCAAACACCCACCTGATCTCACCATTGCCCACACAAAGCAAAAGGTAGACTGCGGGTATAGCGAGTGCTAAGAAGACATGGCCATAGTCAGTCCGTGGTCCCATTTCAATCCATATCCATATCCATATCCATATCCACAACGAAACAAGGATCAGCTTTGCCAAAAAAATTGACATGGCCGAACAAGCAAACACAAAGCAAAGGAAGAACAAGAATCGAAAAGGAGCCAGCCTTTGCCCTAGGTGCGAAATGATACATGATGTACATCGAAGCAGAACCCATTCCTTCATCTCGGTCGCATGTCTATTGGCCGGGAAGCCGGCTAGATATGAAGACTGGGACGCAATGGGTAAGGCAGTATTAGGCAATATTTTAAGTGAGAAATAAGAACAATGACAGAGATAATAATGAGATGGAGACTGTATGAATGCAAACGGGAGAACAAAGAAGGGTCATCTGAGAAATGGGGCATATTCTTTCGTTGAATAACTCATGACCGAATTGGTTTTTGGTCTGGTTCCATGTTCCTTTTTTGTTTTGTCTGGTTCTCGAGAAGTTCAAATGCTTTGCTTTGATGCGTTTACCTTGGAGCGAGGTTCAACGCTAAACATTACTCAGAACAAGAATCAGGGACACATGGAATTGTGCCACGGCGCGTGATGACCAGCACCGACCGCATCCGTGAAATAACCCTGGCCGAGGACTCATCTCAAAGCCAATATGAATCCAAGACAACATCATGTCAACCGGCAGGAGACCAAAAGTCTATTTAAAACAGGGGAGACTTGACATCCTGAACTCCGCGGCGAATGACATCTTCGATGCGCCAACGAGGAGGGGTGATTTTCTCCGAGCGCTTTTGTTGCCACTCCTTCTCTAGCTCCGGGGAAGGAGTCTGCTGTTCGGAAAGAGGCAGCGCACCGCCTGCGATACCAGTAGAGAACTTCAACTGCAGCACGTTGCCAATCTCGTCACAGGCGGTCAAGACGCGGTCAAGATCCTCCTTGGTGTGGGCAGCAGAGACACAGAAACGGGCGCGAGACGAAACCAGCGGAGTAGCTGGGTAACCGACGACAACAACAGAGATCTTGCGACGCAGCATCTCGTGGGAAAAGGCAGGCATCTTGGCGGGGTTGAAAAGCAGAACAGGAACGATTGGTGAATCGTCGTGGCCATACACGATAAAGCCCAGACGCTTCAAGCCGAGGCGAAGGTATCGCGAGTTGAAAGCCAATCGCTGCAGACGCTCCTCACCCTGGCCGGGAACAAGCTCACCATTGATGATGCGCAGAGCAGCAGAGATCTGAGTAAGGATAGCGGGTGCGGGAGACTCTCCGTAAAAGACACCGGGGTTGGTGGCGCGGAGCTGATCGATCATCACCTTATCTGCTGCAATATAGCCACCATTGGCACCGAACGACTTTGTAAGAGTACCCATCAGAATATCCACCTCGGAGGTATCGATGCTGAAGTAATCGCACACACCGCGGCCCTTGGGGCCGATTGCTCCGATGGAGTGGGCCTCATCGACAAACAGGTTGAACTTGTATCGACGCTTCAATTGTACCAGACCAGGGAGGTTGCACATGGAACCTTCCATAGAGTACAGACCCTCCACCACGACCAGGATCTTCTTCCACGGGCGGTGAGTGCGAGGTTGGCCTTGGGAAATGGCCTCACGGAGTCTCAATTCCAAGTCCTTCATGTCATTGTGCTTGAACATGGCGATGGAGGCACCGGAAAGACGAGCACCGAAACGGATCGAGGCGTGGTTCAGCTCATCGGAGATCAGGAGGCATCCCTTCGAGACGAGGGCGGGGAAAATAGTTGCGTTGGTACCGAAGCCCATGGAGAACACCATGGACGCTTCCTTGCCCACAAATCTGGCAACCAGTTCCTCGACTTCAATGTGCAGATCCTGGGTACCAGACTCAGCTCGTGTACTGGGTGCTGTGATTCCGTATTTCTTGATGGACTCCTCCGCCTGGTCCGCACATGGGCCATCGGACTGGGCGAAACCGAGATAGTTGTAAGAGCTCAGATTCAGAGTGTCGGTGGTGGTACCGGTCAGATAGAAGTGCTGGTTGTGGTCATCGGTGGCACGATCGATCAAGGTAATGGTTCGACCAGGAACACCGGTCACGGGGCGCTCGAAGCAGTCGTTGATACGGAGCTTCAGACGACGGACGTAGAAGTTGTCGAAATCGCTGTTGAGAGCACCGTAGCCGTGGCGGGGCTTGAGATGGCGGTAGTTTGATTCGCGGAAGCGCTTGCCAAAGAAATCACGAACATGCCCGAAAGCAATTAGGATTAGGTAACTGATGTAAGTGGTGAGCAGGTAATAATACGGTGGCTCGTCCATTACCGGTTCCGGGAAGACACCACCAGGGTGTCGACTGGAATACCGATGGCTAGGATGACCAATCTGACCAAATTGAGCATTTTGCTTGGCCTGCCGACGGGCCTCCTCCGGGGTCGGAGGCTGGAAGAGAGTTGTAGGCAGCTCGTCCATATTGGTATTATCTGCAGTGGCCGTTGATAAAGATATCGTCGGTAAGGACAGTGATGCCGAACTTATCGGCGGAGAAGTGTTAGGTTGGGAATTCCCAGGCTGTACAGTTTCGACTTTTGATTTAGGCGAGCCGGAAAATAGCTGAGACAGACGATTGGACTTGACTGTTGGCGCCTTGATGGAGATACCGCCCTTTCCCGGGGAAGGTGAAAAGGACGGCGGGTTGGAGGAGGTGTCGTTGGAAGAGTTACTGCTAAATCGACGAGGCATCGCAGGAGGAAACAGCGCAAGGTTTCAGCTCAGGTCGTTGACACCGTCAATATCGAAGGGCGCGTTGCTATGGCGCGTCCGGTTTGACGAATGAGGCAGGGACTACCGAGGTAGTTGTTTGGATTGGTTCCGAGTGAGGTCTTTTTTGGGATGTTTGAGTATTGATAGCAACCACAGGCAATGTGTCTAGAAACCGCGGTACGTTAGTTCAATGATCTGGACCAGGCACCCGTGTGACTCCTAGGCGATCCCCTGGTACCCCAGTAGCCAATGCTCGGGAACCTTTAGGTCACGCATGAGCATCACAGATCAAGACGTACCGTTGATGTCGAGGGAAGAAGGATCCGAGTACTCCGGAAGGGCTTTCAAAACGGGGGTTGAAGCACGTGGAATGGGGGGTAGGAAACACGACTCAGGGGCGTAAAGCCCTACGTATAAATGACGGAGGGACCAATCTCCGTCTGGGAGTATCAAGTGGAACAAATGAAGCCCAAAACGAGTATGGTTGAAGAAGAAGGAGAGTCTGAGAGGGTAAATAAGGCTCTCCGTGTTTCCAAGCTGTGTATAATGATCATTGGCCTCCTGGTAATAATTAAAAACATATGTGGGACACTCGTAAGTTTCTGTTATTGGTTGATATCCTTGGCAAGGAGGTATTATTACAATATGTGTATTGGTTTTTTTTTTCGCGCACTAAAATTTCGGGCCCGAACCAAAAGCTAATCGATTCCACTGGGGTCTAATTCCGATCATTTGCCCCTGACTGGCACTTTGGATTTGACTTGGACACATTCAACGGATATTTGATAATTGATATTTGTAGGCGAAAATATCGGGCACAATAAGAAAAAAAGGGGGCTCATCCGGTGAAGCCGGTTCTGGACCAGGGAGTCCTGGTCATCTCACGTTGCACTTGTCGTACTTATGGGGCCAAAATAGCAATTGGTACCTGAGTGCATGAAAACGTCTAGATCTTTTGTCTAGACTTTTTGCCTGAGGCAACATAACTGTCACTTTTTCTCTTGAATTCGACGTCATTGTTAAATACAAAAAAAATCATTCTAAGTTGCTCCAGAATGACCAATCAATATCAGTCAGATCTAGATCAAAGAGAGAATCCATGGCCGAATAGTCTGCGCCTTTGTCAAGTGAGCTAGGCAAGAGAGTTCGATCACCATTAGCTACAACAGTTGTATTCATATTGGAAGAGATTGGGATTTCTGTATGCGAGGCATGAGATTTGCCCGCATCTAGCAACGTTTCCAATGAGGCGAGAAAGGCTGGCCTAGGGGGTTTTGTTTGGTATCGCTCTATATAAGAGCTTTCGTATGCTTGCCAAGCTGATTGAACCAACTCGGCAGCACGAGGCTTTCTCCTGTCGTCTGTAAATTGAGAAAGATGTTTATTCGTTGTGTACAGTCTTTCAAGCAAGTCCCAGGTATCTTCACACCCGTCACGAGGGCGCGAAGATTCACTAATGACGTAGACGACTAAATTATTGTTAGCTTTTCATAAAAAAAAGATCGCCGAATATCCAGATTTATGCAACGTGCAAAAGCCCGCTCAAAACTTACAGGCATGCCAGGGAAAAAAGCTCATCGCGCGCCAATAAAATCTCTCGAGTGTTGGCTGTGAATGTAAATAGACATCGTACTCGAGACAGCGAGAGCAGGCATATAACAAATCTTTGCTATGAAAGTCAATGACATTAGAAGCGTCTCGCGAGATTTCTTCCGAATGTATGACGAGTCGACGCATGCCCCATGTGAAGGTTCTGGTGAAAATGAGGATTAAGAGATCGAGCGGCTTGATCGGGTCGCAATATTGAATGAACCTGGTATTGATACCATGTTCAATTTCATGGATGAAAGTGTCTCTCTGTTCACGCGACAAAGATCGATCAGCTTGCCAAGATCCCCCAATACGACTGCCATCGGGTCTCCGGAAAGACCGTTGTTTATCTAGGATGTAGTACGTCCACAGACAATACGACATGCCCGTCAGTCCTTTGCGCTCGGGTGGAAATTCAGTCGCTTCCGTGCTGATGTCCTCATCTTCGATGTTCAAGGGTAATTTAACATCCCAATCAGCCATCAAGACTAGGGAGATAGAGCCAGACCGCACAGCCAGTGCTATATCCATATGTTGTAATTGCCACCAAATGCGCCGTCGCTTTTCTGTCTCGGCGGGTGAAAGATTCAGAAGAGTGCCATCTCGATGGAGGCCTATCCTTTCTGCATGGCGGGTTACTATACCCATGAAAGACCAGAGGCTTCGTGTACTGACTTCGTCTAATGATGCCGACTAGAAATTGATTAGCTAGATTCAAGACAGAGGCAAACGTACCAAAAGATATTCACTCACAATGTAAAGAATTGAAGCTTGCACAAGTATCACTTCGGATCGAGCGAGAAAGTCTGCTCTGGCCAGTGCACATTCGAATAAAGCTCGGAATTGAGATAGCAGTATTTTTTTGGGTTGGCCCAATGATTTTGAACACTCAATTTCCGACAGGCTTGCGACACTGTTTAGGTAAATTGCGAAGAACAGGGCGTGCTCCTGAGGAGGCAAGTCGTTCAACCCCCCATCAATCATTGCTGTTGAATACATCTGATCAATCTCCCATTGGAACACAATCTTTACCACAGGGTTTACATTGCGATTGTAGACTCTCCATAGGGCGGAAGCGATGTCAGGTGTGGGATGGCTCCTCACAAGGTCGATGCTATCATCGGAGTGAATTATATTTTGCAGAGCACTAAGCCCAGACTGCATAGGAATGAATGCTCGCATAGAGCTTTGATTATGAGATGGTTGATCATCTGATAGCCTGGGCCTTTTGTTCCAGCTATGCCACGTTGATCTGTGACTGTTAGCATGAAGATTATCACTCCTGGGACTTTCGCATACGCTTCTAGATAAACTCGTTCTCCGCCCTCATCTACAATGACAGGATCATTGTTTGAAGCTGTTTCAATGCGTTGGGAACTTCGGTCGTTGCTTAGGTCATGTTTAGCTGGAGGTGGCCGAGTCGGAGATTGGAGTGATGTAGGACTTGTCTCGGCTTGTGGATTCACAACACCCTTCTCTTCCTCGGGACTGTGTCCGAGACTTCGGACAAGTGCTTCAAGCTGCTTTATGCGGGCAGGTGACGATACATCGGGATATGTGCAGTCTCCCTTCTTGCGTCGTTTGCAGTGGCAGCATGGCTCTCGTCGGTCGCACCGTACCTTGCGTTTTGCACATGATAAGCATGCAACATTCTTTACCATGGTTTTTTATCGAGCGAAAGTTATTCAGCTCGTGCCACTATGGGAGTGAAATGATAACTAAGTGAGGAAGATGGGTGGTTAGAACAAAGTTCGGGCACGGGACCGAGCCCGAAGTAGGGAAAAGCTCGCGTGCCCCCCGAGGCCAAGGCCGAACAGTTATCTTTTCTTCAAGGGGTTTTTAAATAATAATTTGTTCTTATATATAGCTTTCAATGTATCACATAGCTCATAGTTACCTTTACCAACAGCAAGAATCTCAAAATGACCGAAAACATGGAGCCCGAGAAATTGCCTGAGAGCCTTGTCGACCCAAAGGAAGAATATCCTCCTCTAAAATTGGTTATCCCTGCAATGGTTGCTCTATATCTTGCAGTATTTTTGATTGCAATTGTAATTATTTTGCTGCCCTTTCTTCTACCACCCACTTTGTCACTAACAAGGACATACAGGATAGGACAATTCTCGGCACTGCAGTTCCTCGAATAACGGATGAATTCAATAGCTTTGGAGACATTTCTTGGTATGAATCCGGCTTTTTGCTTCCTCTTTGCATGCTTCAATTATCCTTCGGTCTCGTATATGTGAGCATTTCTCTTGTTGAAACAGATCCTCGAGCTAATTTACCGGACAGACCTTTTATTCTGCAAAATGGAGTGGGTGAAACTCACAAGGTCAAGATAATACACTACTGACTTGCAGATAGTACTCACTGCCCTCGTCATCATTTTTGAAATTGGTTCTATTGTCTGTGCAACTGCATCTAGTTCCAAAGCATTGATTGTTGGACGAGCTATCACCGGCATTGGTGGTGCAGGCATCGCTTCCGGGGCTCTCATTTTAATCAATCTTCTCGTTCCTCTCAGTTCTAGGCCAAAATATTCGGGTAAGTAGGCATAATCACCATTGTCTCCTGATTACTGACCCCAGACTTGTTTAGGCGGGATTGGCGCGATGTTTGGATTGGCCTCCGTCATTGGGCCTCTTGTGGGAGGTTATTTAACAGCCATCACTTGGAGATGGTGCTTTTGGATCAATGTACCGATTGGCGGAGTGGCGGTTATTGTGCTTATTCTGTTGTGCCCCAATAGACCACCGCCCTCAACGCCGGCTCCAACTTTATATGGCAAAGTAAAACAACTCGACCCAATTGGATTCCTTTTGATCGCTCCGGGAATTGTGTGCTTACTGTTCGCACTCCAATGGGGTGGTCAGAAATATCCTTGGGGTGATGGCCACATTATCGCGCTATTTGTCATGGCTGGTGTTCTCTGTCTTGCTTTTGTCGCGTCTCAGGTCTGGCAGGGTGATCAAAGAACAATTCCTGCCAGAATCATCTCTCAGAGAACCATGATAGCCGCCTGCTTTGCATCAGTGGGAATTGGTTCGATTATGGTGGTGTACTCTTTTTACCTGCCGATTTGGTTCCAAGGAATCCAAGGGAAATCCCCGCAAAGCGCCGGACTGTCACTGTTGCCTCTTCTGTTATCTCAGGTGGTCCTGGTTATATTGGGCGGTATAGTGACGAGTGTCTGTGGGTATTACACCCCATTGCTCATTCTTGGTGGTGCTATATCGATTGTGGGGTCAGCGCTCATCACAACCTGGGAGGTTGATACTGGAGCTGGAAAGTGGATTGGCTATCAGGCAAGTATATCGATGCATAATCAGGCGTGCAGATACTAACAAAAATGACAGATCATTGCAGGAGTGGGGTTCGGTCTTACTCTGCAACAACCAAACATTGCAGCCCAAACCGTGCTTTCTAAAGCCGATGCACCTATTGGGCTTTCGGTATTGACCTTCCTGCAATTTCTTGGTGGATCGATCTTTGTCACAGTCTGTCAGACTCTTCTCGAAGCTAAATTAATCGAGGGCCTTGATGGCAAAGTCAACCTCGATGCTAGTACCATTGCGAATGGAGGAGCAACATCCATACGAACCCAAGTACCGGATGACAAGCTCGAGTTTGTGCTGCAAGTCTATAACGATGCTCTTGGTTCAATTTGGTACCTAGCACTTGCACTCTCGTGTTTGGTCTTCGCTGCGTCCTTTGGGTTTGAATGGACTAGTGTGAAAGATAACAAGGAGAAAGCTCCAGAAGTTCAGGCCTGATGGATGATAATTGGCATATGGAAGGCGGTTTGTAAACTACAGGCGTGTTTTCAAGGGATTTCATAGATGTACGATACATATAGAATGAAAGGCAGGAGAGAGTTCATATATAATGTGACGAATAAAGTTATGGACACTTTGATAACATGCTGCAAGTGTCGACTCTCTTGGTTTTTTTCTGAACTCTTTTTTGAAAATGTTTGGACTTAACTCCCCTGCATAAAATAATGGATCGCATTGGATATGGGCTAAGGAATTTCGTTATGTGACTTGTCCTGGCTGTTCTTAAAAATGTCATGATTCACGCGGGTTCTGAATAGAAATCTTAGGAGCAGACAGATCTTTCTGAGCCAAATTTGGTTTAAGTTGAATGTAAATATATCCGGTTTAGGAGGAATATATATGACGTGGAATAAGTACCTGAATGTACCGAAAACGTCGATACCCGTGCCTGAGCTCGCGAGTGACACCTTTGTACCCGACCAAATGTGACATGGACATTGAACTCTTCTCTTCAGCAAAAATCAGTTCATCAATTGTTCAGATGTGGTTTTCCCTTTACCCGCGGACATCGGCAACTCGATACCCGCTCACTTCCGCCCCGCGCTCCGCTCTATTGTTGGGGCAATCGCACTGACTTCTAACTCGTTAAGCTTTGACAACCCCTGCAAAGCCCTATCTAGCGTTGATCCAGATCGAATTGTTGAGAAGGCTACTCGTCACATTGTCGCGGAATTGCAGAGTCGCACAACATAGGCTGGCAACACCCAAGACACCAATCAGTCCACAATCTCCACCCTACCAACGCTCTTCGCGCCTCAAAAAATTTCGGCCCATTGAATTGATACTGCGCAATTTGTTGGTTTAATCATGCCTCATATCGACGTGTTTCTTGATTCAGGGGACAAGGAGCTTTGGCGGCCCTCTTCCCCTGAGGCAACTCAAATCTATGATTTCATGACAAAAGTGAACAAAAAATATGGTCTCTCTTTAAATGGCTATAATGCTCTTTGGAAATGGAGTGTATGCGAGCCAGCCCAATTTTGGAAAGAAGTTTGGCTTTACACAAAAATCAAGAGCCACGAGCCATACCAAAAGGTAAGTAATACTCAACTCGACCTCTTTTATACACCGTGAAACGGTACTGATTTAATACATAGGTGCTTGAGTCAAAAGACGTGCTATTCCCCAGACCTTCGTTCTTTGAAGGCAGCACTTTGAACTTCGCGGAAAATCTTCTCTATCCCGCCACTGCGCCAGATGAAGACTCTATAGCAGTGATTGGCGCCACCGAAGCAGCCCGCGAGTACGTCTCGTGGAAAGACCTGCGAGAGCGGGTCAGACGGTGCGCAAACGCCTTGAAAGAAGCGAATATTAAGTCTGGCGATCGTGTTGCGGGTTTTGTGGGAAATCATGCTAACACTGTTGTGGCCATGTTGGCTACAACCTCCATCGGTGCCTTTTGGACCGGCGTGTCTCCAGATACTGGTGTACATGCAGTCCTGGAGCGACTGAAGCAGATACAACCCAAGATCCTGTTCGCAGACAATGGTTCCCTCTACAATGGCAAGGTGCATAGCTCACATGTGAAGTTATGGGAGATCGTTACCGAATTGCCAGATCTCGAGCTTTTAGTGTTGCTTGTGACTGTTCCAGAACCACTGGACCTAGAGCACCTGAAACCTGTCAATGGAAAAGCCATCGTTTATGATGAATTTTTGTCAGATGTCAACGATCCACTGGCCCCATTGGAATTCGCAAGCCTGGCACCAGAACATCCCGTTTATATTCTGTACTCGTCTGGCACAACAGGCGCCCCCAAACCTATTGTCCATGGGTCTCTGGGAACTCTTTTGCAGCACAAGAAGGAACATCTCCTTCACTGTGACATTCGACCGGGTGATCGCCTGTTCTACTTCACAACGACAACGTGGATGATGTGGCACTGGCTAGTTTCTGGTTTGGCCAGTGGCGCAACAATTGTTCTGTATGACGGCTCTCCCTTCCGTCCCTTCGACGTGGAAGATGGAAAAGGAGAGATGGCCATGCCACGGTTGATCGAGGAGCTTCAAATTACTCATTTTGGCACATCAGCCAAATACCTCTCATTGCTAGAACAAGTCGCACTGAATCCGCGGAAACATGCCATACGCCCAGTGTCTTTGAAATCATTAAGAGCAATCTTTAGTACTGGGTCCCCACTGGCACCTTCGACATTTGAGTACATCTATGCCTCCATTCACCATGATATCATGCTCGGTTCAATCACTGGCGGAACCGATATTCTATCTCTGTTCGCCTCTGGCTGCCCAATTCTCCCTGTTTACAAAGGCGAAATTCAATGCCGCTCTTTGGGCATGGATATCTCAGTGTTTGACTATGCTGGCAAGGACATCAGTGCAACAGGCGAGCCTGGTGATCTCGTTTGCGTCACACCATTCCCAGCCCAACCGGTCATGTTTTGGCCACCTGGACCAGCGGGCCTAGAGAAGTACCGGAAGAGCTACTTCGATGTGTTTGGCCCCTCGGTCTGGCACCACGGGGACTACGTGCGCTTGAACCCACAGACAGGGGGATTGGTCATGCTGGGTCGCAGTGACGGCGTGCTAAAGCCATCGGGAGTACGATTTGGTAGTTCCGAAATTTATAATATTCTCCTCAAGCATTTCGCCAGTGAGATCGAAGACTCTCTTTGCATTGGTCGGAGACGTGAGGGCATCGATACAGATGAAACGGTCGTCCTCTTTGTCCGACTTACCTCTGGAGAGTCTAGTATGCCATCGGATCTTGTGACGCGCATTCAATCCACTATCCGCAAGGAGCTTAGTCCCCGCCATGTACCGGGAATTATTGATGCGTGCCCGGAGATCCCCGTGACCTCGAATGGCAAGAAGGTCGAGAATGCTGTCAAGCAGATTTTATGCGGGCTTAATATCAAGATCGGAGCCAGTGTTGCCAATGCTTCATGTCTTGATTGGTACCGGAACTGGGCTTCGGAGAACCCCTAGTCAAAATCAAGTGCAAGAATAGACATTGTGACTAGTTTACTGATATAAAGTGAATGTTTCTGGTTCCTGTTAGTGAGATTGTAATCAAAGTCGGTAGTCAAGTACTTCGACAGATCATATGGATTCCATTTAAATCACCATAGGGATCTCAAAGAAGGCAACGAAAAGACACGACACTGCAAGATTCTAGAAGAGAATCCCTCGGGAGGCGTTGGTAGAACATCCACATTCCACTTGGTCGAGACTTCGCAGTCTTGATAAGCGGACCAGGCCTCCAGGGCTAATTAACAAGGCTCAAAGGCTACACCCAGACAGGGAAGTAAATGATAAATTTGGCATTAGTAGATTTCTCATTATTTATAATCGCACTATTCTAGACAACCTATTCAAATTTTGGGGTCGAAGAATCCATCAGAGGTCATGAAAACCGATTATCTAAGCATTTTCGGATCAAGGCTCCATTACGATTCTTCGCCGACAATCAGTTCGAGCTACATCACCCGCCCCCGGAAATATTCGGTGCACCAAGCAATTCTCAAATAGGCTGTTGCATCTGTATAATACTGATAATCATGCGCCGCACCGCATTGCGGGCCATTGAGTCCACGAAGCCGTTGACTAGAGCTCCTCGCGCTGTGTCAAGAAGCTTCTCAACCGTTAACGATGCGGCCAAGGTAATAAATACCACCTCGCTAGGCTTTGTACTATTTCTTTGTGAACTAACATTACGTCTCATTTAAGGATCCCGCCGACCTAGAACAAATCACCACACTTCCTAATGGAGTCCGCGTTGCTACGGAATCATTACCGGGTCCCTTCGCTGGTGTCGGAGTTTACGTCGACGCTGGATCCCGCTACGAAGATGCAAGCCTGCGTGGTGTCAGTCACATTATGGATCGCCTCGCTTTTAAGTCTACCAAGGCACGCTCTGGGGATCAGATGCTCGAGATCCTTGAATCCCTCGGCGGCAACATCCAGTGCGCCTCATCTCGCGAGTCGTTGATGTACCAATCCGCCAGTTTCAATTCGGCAGTTCCTACCACACTCGGTCTGCTGGCAGAGACCATCCGGGACCCTCTTATCACCGAAGAGGAGGTGCTTCAACAACTCGCAACGGCAGAGTACGAGATCGGCGAGATTTGGGCAAAGCCTGAACTCATTCTCCCGGAATTAGTGCACATGACTGCCTACGCCAACAATACCCTCGGTAATCCTCTATTGTGCCCGGAGGAACGGCTGGGAGAAATCAACAAGGCAGTGGTGGAACGCTACCGGGAAGTATTCTTCAACCCGGACCGGATGGTGGTTGCTTTTGCCGGAGTGCCGCACACAGAGGCCGTTAGGCTCACAGAGCAGTACTTCGGTGATATGAAGGCTCGTGACATCAGTCAGACTAAGGGACCCGTCCTGTCGGGCAGTGGAATCGAAACAACGCTGTCAGACTCACCGGCGGCTGCCCACGAAGGCCAGGTTCCTACCGTTCCTTCTTTTACTCCATCATCGACCATTAGCAGCCCGGCAGCTTCGCAACGAACACAATCCTCGCTTTTGTCGAAACTTCCGTTCCTCAAAAATCTGGCTTCCAACAAGCACACCACAGTCGAGCCCCTCCACCCATCTTTGGTTGAGCCATCCGCGTTGGACCTCCGCCAACCCGCCCACTATACCGGTGGTTTCATGGCTCTCCCACCCATCCCTCCTCCAGCGAGCCCCATGCTCCCCCGATTGAGTCACATTCACCTTGCATTCGAGGCTCTCCCCATTTCCTCGCCGGATATTTATGCTCTCGCTACTCTCCAGACTCTTCTTGGTGGTGGAGGCTCATTTTCGGCCGGTGGTCCCGGAAAGGGAATGTACTCGCGCCTTTACACTAACGTGCTGAACCAGCACGGCTGGGTTGAGAGCTGCATTGCTTTCAACCACAGCTACACTGACAGCGGAATTTTTGGAATTTCCTCGTCTTGTAGTCCAACCCGGACCACAGAGATGCTCGAGGTTATGTGCCGTGAGCTGCAGTCCCTTACCCTAGACTCTGGATACTCCGCACTGCAAGCGCAAGAAGTCAACCGGGCAAAGAATCAGCTTCGGTCCTCGCTGTTGATGAACCTGGAGTCTCGAATGGTCGAGCTCGAGGATCTTGGACGCCAGGTGCAGGTCCACGGCCGCAAGGTCAGTGTTCGTGAGATGTGCGAGAAAATTGAGGCTCTCACTGTTGAGGATCTCCGCCGTGTGGCTCGCCAAGTTTTCGGTGGTCAGGTTCAGAACAATGGCAAAGGCACTGGAAAGCCAACTGTTGTGTTGCAGGAAGGCGAATTGGAGGGCCACAAGCTCCGGTCCTTCCCTTGGGAGGAGATCCAGGCGCGCATCGAGCGGTGGAAGCTTGGCCGGAGGTAATATATAGCCAGCGCCTCAAACCGGCACATGCATGTCGGATTAATGGTCATGTGGAATGGTCGCATCGTCGCATCTATGGGATGACTCTGTAATTATAGACCACCAACATTTTGACTCTGTAGAATACACCTCTCTTTCTCCAACATATATGCTTCTAATTCTCATACTTTCCCACCTTCAATGTTGCCATCATCCAACATGAACAATCCTTCTTGGACATACAATGACATCGCTCGAGGGTGGGTCCAAGCTACCCTCTCCGCTTTTCGGCAAAAAAGTCGGAGCGAAACGCAAAGCGTCCTTCCATCACTCAACCATCACTTTTATCTATATCCTCTTCCCATTTAACGTCCAAAACCGCCCAAAATGGTCAAGCTTACCGAAGTCGAGGACGAGCACTTCTCCGAGAAGCCCCAAGCCACAAAGAACGACGCTCTCTTGGTTTCCGATGATGAGGACGACTACTCTGATACCGGTTAGTATTGATCCATAGGATACAATGCAAATTGCATCGCGTCATTGCCATCTTCATTGTGGCCAATTATTTCGATGCGGATACCGCGTTTGCTTCATTCTTTTCCACCATCTCCCCCATCGCCATTGCCAATCTTAGACCCCCAACACGCGACCCGAACATTGGAATTGAACATATCCGCCGCGAATCATGAAGAAACATATCTGACATAGAAAATCAACAAACAGACTCCGAGATCTCCGACGACGATGACGTTGAGCTCGAGAGCGAGTCTCTCTACGAGCGTATCGCCGCTCTGAAAGACATCATCCCTCCCTCCACCCGTCGCACTGTCTCCAACTCTGTCTCCTCCGTCACAAACCTCACCAAGGCCACCTTTTCATTCAGCGGAAAGGCCCTCTGGGTTATCAGCACCAGCGCTTTCCTGCTCGGTGTGCCGTTCGCTCTCGCTTACGCCGAGGAGGAGCAGTACATCCAGATGGAGCGTGAGCAGGGAATGATTAAGGGAGCCAACGAGGTATGTGTTTTGTCATCCTTCAATTTCTTAGCGTTCCCTTGGATTTCTGAGACAGTCAATTGTCTCTAATCTCCATTCGTGTCATCGGATAATGCCACGCTGTACAGTACCTCGGCTATTCCATTTCGACAGAAACCCTTTTCTTTCCAACTTCTCATGGAAAGCTGCCTTTTGGAACCGACCCATACTTTGCATAAATGGATTGCTAACTTTTTTTGCTCTATAGATGCTCACCCCCGGTGTTGAGACCGAGAAGCAGGCCCAACCCACTCTGTAAATTAATACCATTTCGGGAAACAAAGAGAACGAAGACCGACCCAGCAACCCACCCATTGACCGTGAACGACGGTAGCCTGAAAATAGGCGCGATTGCTTGGGGGAGAGCCTGTTAGATCCAGGGATCACCAATTGTGGCCAGATCCCGAAACACAGGACTAACGACTTTCAGGTTTTTTTTTGGATTGGCCATGTCTCTTGTTTTCCTCTTTTTTTATCTCGCATATCGTATGCTTTCTTGACACTTTGGCTCCGGCAGCTTATGCATGCATGTATTTGTACAACCCCAATCATCTTTTCATGTTTCTCTATACACCTTTTTTCTTCTCTACTCTTCATGTGCATGTCTGTCTAGGTAATGAAAAAAGGACCTCGGGGTTTGATCGTCTCTTATTTTTTGTCTTTTTTGTAGGGTCTATCCTCAGGGCTGATTCCAGATAACCATCCCAATCATCTCCAGGATCTCTAACGGCTTCATTGAAGATATGTAAATGCGAATGCCCTAAAAGGCTAAAACTTTGGGAGCAAATTGGCTGAGTGTTTCGTATGAAGTATTGTGAAATGGTTCTATTCTATGACAATTTATACAAGACAGCTTTAAGGTTGATTTACGGAGTAGTGAGCAAGCTATTTAATTATGAGAGAGATCATAGATCGAGTATGTAGATACTTGTATGATTGAATTGAATAAGGGACCATAAATATTGCATTGTCCATAGCTACTGGAGCTACAAATCAGATAGCAATAAAGAAAAAACAAAGGGGTATCATCGTAGGGTTTTGTCCAAAGGACAAGGGAGGGAAAAATTCATTCATGCAGGAAGCACGTTGTCGACGGAGGAAGCACGTTTTCAACACGGGCAGATCGTCGTTTCAACATTGAGACGGCTGCTAAGAAGGGGCCTTGCATCGAGTTGCGCAACCATCTGATCATCCATAGATGGACTAAGAAAACAGACTATGTTAGCATCAAGATCACAGAGATCAATAAAGACATGGACATACCTCTTTCTCGCGGGCAGACTTGAGATTCAGATGGAAGTCACGCCAAAGCTTGTCAACTTCACCAGTACTGACCATCTTGTCAAGGACGTCGTTCGCATTTCGCGTTCTTCGCTTCACACTCAGACCGTTTCGTCTCAGGATCTCATTGTCGTCCATATGACCCATATGCGTCAGGTGGTCGATGACCCATTCGTTAAGATGAAAGCGCCAATGTGTGAGCGTGTGAGCAAGCTCGGCCCTTCTTTTGCATTGTCTGGAAACAATTGTCAGATATGTAAAATGGCTTTTTGTAGATGAACTCACCTTCCTAAATAGAAATGGACAGTCTCCGGAGGAATGATATGGCCACTTCGATCGCGATCCTGTCCGTCATCGTTCTTTTTAGATTTCTTACTACCCTCACTATCATCACTTTCATCGTCATCGTCATCGTCCTTGAGAGGCTCCAAGGTTTCCAGGGCATATGGTTGTCCTTTGAGCCTCAAATCTGCAGAGGCCGGATGCCCTGATCGTCTGCAAGCATCGCACGATTGATTTTCCTCCGTAGGGAAAGCGGAAATCTCCAAGTGTGGGCGAGCCTGGAGTGCATAAACAAAAGCTGGAGTCCAAACAGAAGAGATGAGCTGGGAGCCAGCTCGACCTTTGACTTCGTCTTCGAGCTTCATGAATGCCATCTCGTACATGGCATCAGATCGAGGGAAGGCCGGGTTGAGTTTGTTTTGTACCATCCAGCCAATAACATCTCGGAAGTATTCCTTCGGCTGTTTGTATGCATGGCGGGTGAATTCGAAAGGAATTTCCTCCGTAGGAACGCCTAGATCATCCTTCTCGTCTTCCAGAACGAAGTCATCCTCATATCGGTCAAGGTCTTCATTCGGGTCAATAGCCGACTCCACGTCGCTATCATCGTCGTGGTGCTTCCAGAGTCCCTTTCTAGATGGACTGGCATCACTGCGAGGGTCTTCAATTTCTCCCACGTCTGAGTCACCTCCATCTTCCTCTCCCTCTTCCTTTTCGCCATCGCTTTCTTCTTTCACACCTGCTCTTCTGCGACGCAGAATTTCAAGTTGCTTCAACCTTTTGTCGCGTGCAGATTCGACATTTCGACCACGAGTTCGACTCTTCTTGACAACTGCAAAGTTATGTTGATTAGCATCGATGAGCAAAACCTGGGCATCATTCGGCTCTAACCTGAGTCCTGCAGATCCTCAAGATCTTCCGCTATATCGAGCTTGGCCTGATCGGAAGCATGGCGGGGAGTCCGGGGAGTCTGAGGGGTTTCCACATCATTTCCGCGTCGGAGTCTCTTCATAGGGGAAGAAGCGACGGGTTCATCGGAATCTTCATCATCGCTGACTGCCACCGTCGGTCTTGCCCTGCGCCTCTTGGCGGTCGAAGGGGCCACGACGTCGTTCTCATCGTCATCGTCATCAGTGACCACGACCGGTGAGTTTGAAGACCTGACATTCCGAGTGGAATTGCGTCTTTTGACGGCTGAAGCAGTTGAAGAGACCACTGGTTCATCAGAATCACTCAAAGCAACTGGTGAGTTTATTGCCTTTCGCTTCAGCACCCGGCGGGGCTGAGAAAGCTTTGAGTCATCTTTGTTTTCAGTATGTTTCGGCGGAAATTGCAACGCTTGCTGTGGTTTCCTAGAGCTGACCATCTTCAAACCTGGGCGCGAATCAGCCTTTTGCAATTTGTTGGTCTTCACTTCGATGGTAAAAGGTGGCGCATGCTGCTTTTGCTTCTGAGAGGCGGGTATAATGGGTTCTTCGGAGAATGGGTCGCCGGGAGAGGCCTGCTTGGAGAATTTATCTTGTGCGATTTAGCTCTGGAACCTCATCACGGAGAAATACCGCAGCCATACTTTTGTCATTATAAGAGATTTGCTCAGTGTCAGAGAGCTTCAGGCGATTCTTCTCGGACGAAGCTTGAGATTTGCCTTTCGCAATATTTTTTGGGCGGTTACTTCCCAAGCTTGGATTGTCATATGTGAGTGTGGAATATCGAGAATCTCGACTGCTCTGCTCGGAACTTGTGGATGTGGCGACTGAGGTAAAAGCAAGTCGCGTCTGCTTTTTCTTCGTCTTGGGTGGCATTGCGGGGAGAGGGAACCGGCAATACTAGCTGAGTTCAGAAGGTGGAAGGTTACTTCATATATGCCATTGCAAAGTCAAAGAAGATACGGAGTGATATGTTCAATGAAGAAAGGAAAGCCTGCAAGTATGGTCTGTCGGAATTGTGGGACTTTGCTGTCGCGGACCGCGTTGACGGAATCGCGAGAGCACGTGATCGATATAGTTTAAAGTACATATGTCCATATGTCCATATGCACCCAATTTCGATAGTTGATTTGGTTCTAATTGCGAGGTGAGAAGACTCTGCTTAATTTAAATACATCTCCTTGAAACAGGTGATGGATCAAAGTAGTTTGGTGGCTGGCAGGAATAGTGAGTGATTTGAATGAAACATGGTCACTTGGAAAGTGAGTAAGAACTATTTGCTGTGTTATAATACTTACGGCGTGATGGCATCAAAGAACCTTAGAATCTTATATGAGAGCTATATTCCGTTGAAGAAGTCTGCTCCGCCATCTTGGTCTGACTATTCTTCGAGTTATTGTTTGACTCCTGCCTAGGATGGTGTTGATTTGATATATCGCATTGGGTGGATTGTAAATGGCATAACCATGACCTTTCTGGGATATGAAAGGGAAAAAAAAGTAATTAGATTCGCCTAACCTGAATATTGATAAGGATATTTCAAATTAGAGAGAGCTTATAGCTAGAAGATCAAGCGAGGTATAACTAAGATACCCATAGCTCTCAGGCTCTCTTTGGTAAACAATACATACATTCAGCCTCTGCCGATTCTTGAAAGTTTCGTACGACATGGGCATAGATCTTTTGAAGAAAAAGTGAATGGACTGTTGGTAAATCTATAACTGAAGCCAATATTCAGTGGCCTTGAGGCTTCACAGGGAAGCAGGCTTAGCTAACCTGAGTACCAAGTCTTCATCAACAAGATATGCCCAAGCCAGATGCACAATCACTCGGACGGTTATAATAAGACCGTATGACATGAGATAGCTAACTGGAGGAGCTCAATACTTGCCACAATAATAATGATATTGATTTTGTTATTTTCATCGCATTGCTGCGAAGTCTTGTAAGATTCAATTCCCACACTATACCTCATTGGTAACGATTTAGGGCAGTTGAATGTTGCAGGAAGGTGCCCAGGCAGCATTCGAACGAGGAAATTATATACTGGGAAGATGCGATGGGATTAGTGCGAGTGTAAACCTCCCCTCGATTTCACTTCTTCTCCTTTTCCTGGTGAAGTGATCGCTCATTCGGATTTCTGAGGACAGCCTCGCTACAAGTATCCCAATTCAGGGCTTTAACATCACAATATTCCTGAAATTTGAGCCAAAAGTACAATCTCACACGTAGTCAGACAGAAATTGGGCAGAAGTCCCACGGGTATACCTAGAAAGCACAGAGTCAGCCCTATCCCAGCTGAGAAGACTCACAAGACCAATTCTAGAGGCACCTCGCTTAGAATTTCTTCTTTTCTTGGTGTCTTGTTCGGTTCTTAAATAATTTAAAGTTGCTTTATCCATGACTATTTACCCTATTGGTGGAGTGCACTTTCTCCCAAGCCCCTATCGTCTCAGGTCCCGATTCGTGGAAACTCACCACTTCATTTCACCGGAAGAAAATATCCTCGAACCCCAGATTGCTATTACCCCAGGTCAACACCGTGCATTCTGAGAAGGCCAGACCAATGAAGATTTAACCAGGCGTAAGATATATTTTGCCATGTGCGGAGGACTCCGCGATACCCCACCACTCAGCGATCGTGGAGACAAGGCTCTCCGTTATCAAAATGCCAATTGATCTTAGCGTGTCCGGGGTTAGTTAATTCTGGGGATGGTCTGATTTGCGCTATGGCGCTTTTCTCTCTCACATGGGATGGGGCGGGTTCGCCCCCGGAATGCCCTAAATATTTCATATATAGATGGGACTTCCGCCCGTCAGCTGAGATATCCCTTGGTGTGTAGCTGATCCTTAATCTCTCTCCGAGATTTTACTTGAGGGCCAATTTTGTTCCCTTGTTCATTTTAGTTATTGGACGAATAGTCCATAACATCCTTCCAACATGGGAGCTTTCTCGATGACCGCCAAGAGGGCGTACAATTGGTTCGTGAACAGCTATCTATCGCAAATAGCAGTATCTAACACTGGTTTGTAGGTATATCTCTCTCGTGGCAGCATCATGCATGGTTCTCTATGGGTACGATGCGTCTGTCTTCAACTCCGTCCAGGGCTCCAAAAACTGGCTGGCATGGATGAACCACCCCAACGCAAATACAATTGGCTCGATTAACACAGCATATACGGTTGGCGCTATATTTGGTGGTTTCTTCCTCGGAGGCCCTTGTGCCGATTTCCTGGGTCGCAAGTTCGGAATGGCTATTGGCTGTGTTTTAGTTATTGTTGCTACTTTCATGCAAACGTTCACTCCTCGCCATGATCTTGCTTGCTTCCTTGCGGGTCGTTGCATTATCGGTATTGGCCAGGGTATTGCTTTGAGTAAGCATTTTCCATACTTATGAATGATAATCTAGCTAACAGAAAGACTTTAGCTGCCGGCCCTATCTACATCGGTGAACTAGCACCACCAGAGATTCGTGGTAAGATCATGACTTTCTGGCAAATGTTCTACTCTGTTGGATCTTTCATCTGCTTCTGGATCAACTTTGGTTGCACCAAGCACGTTGCAAGTCTGGGCGAGTGGGATTGGAAGCTTGTTGTCATCTTCCAACTTCTTGTTCCAGTCATGATTCTCGTCCTCCTGCCAACTATCCCAGGCAGCCCTCGTTGGTAAGAACAATATTTCTATTGTTGCTTTCAGACAATACTGACAAACCTCAGGTTCATCCGCAGAGGAAACCACATCGAAAAGGCTCGTGCTGCCCTTCGCAAAGTCCGCGACACAGAGGAGGAAGTCGAGCAAGAGCTCCTGGAGATCCGCGAAGCTATTGAATACGAGAAGGAAGCTATTTCCGGCAACTACTCTGCCCTATGGAAGGACAAGTCGCTCCGCAAGCGTATGGGCTTGGCATTGGTCCTCAACGCCGGCCAACAGATTACTGGACAAGGCTCACTCAACTCATACTCTACTAAGATCTACCAGAAGGTGTTCACCAGCGACAGTCAAATTGCTCTGATCAACGCTTTAAACGCCACGTTTGGTATTCTATTCACCCTCAACGCAGTCTGGATTGTTGATCGCTTCGGACGCAAGTTCCTTCTGATTGTCGGTGGAATTGGCATGGGACTCTGCATGATCATTGTTTCAGCCGTCGAAACAGAAACGCCATCTCTCGCCAGCGGGGCCAAAACAGAACCTGTTGGCATCTCAATCGTGTTCCTGCTATTCCTATTCATCTTCTTCTGTAAGTCCCTTCGCCTTCTAACATAATCCCTAAAGACGAAACCACTAACATCATATCCTACAGACAAACCGTCATGGGGTGCAACGGTCTGGATCTGGACATCGGAGATCTTCTCCATGAACGTGCGTGCCCAGGCTGTGGGCATGGCATCTCAAACACAAAACGTCGCCAACGCCATCGTCCAACAATTCTTCCCTATCTTCCTCGACAACGAGGGCTTCTACGCTTTCTATATGTTTGCTGGAATTAACTTCCTTCTCGCTGTCTTCGTCTTCTTCTTCATCCCGGAAACTAAGCAGGTTCCTCTCGAGGAGATCGATACTCTGTTTGGCGGCGCCAACCACGTTGCTCAGGGAGAGGAAGTGCTGGCACACCAAAAGGGAATTGAGATGAGTGGTGAAGGCAATGAGAAGCCTGGTGCAGTCACTGTTGAGCATGTTGGTGGAAAATAATTTGCCCTTGTGCTATGGTTTCATTGTATCGTTGGAATCCCTGTTTGAAATTATGTAGTGACATGGACTTGGGTTGCTATTTATGACAACCCGTCTTTAATACCAGCGTGCCGAGCACACTTCTTGGAAACATCTGTCTTCTGAATTTTCTTTTGGATGACTTAATCTTGCAGCATCTTTAAGCGCCGGATCGACAGAAAACTACTTGACAGCGGCAAGGGAAACTGTTGGTAATTGAGAAAAGATAGTTTTTTATATTCTCTTGACATGCCGCCTCCTTTAAGAGACACGTAAAACTTTTGTGAGCCGAGCGATTTACCTAGGTATGAACTTTTGAAACTATGATTTGGATATTAGTTATCCGCTTCGCCAACATAATTACTTTTTGATCATTTTGTACCGCGAAACTTGCGACCCATCACTGAGGTCAGTAGCTGTCAACTCAAGATTATAGCCGAAGATCCACGGCAGCAAAACAAATCGGCCAGCGTAGTAAATGATACCGAGGGTAAGGATTGCTATTGCAACTACTGGTGATAGCCAATAAGGCAAACTGGTACTGCCCTTTCCATTAGGCGGCGGAACAAATGGCATGACGAGGAGGAACTGTGAGAATTGTCAGTATATCATCTCCCACGATTAGCAAACAAGCAGAACATACAATATTTGCTGCCAGGTAAAATGCAAGAACAGCCCACGGAACTTTGAAGGCAGATCCAGAGTCTTCGTCCTTTGACCAACGCAGCTTAATCAATCCAAAAGTGACTGCGGTAAGGAGTAAAACCGTTGGATAAGAGCTCAGACTGATTATAAAATCAAACGCGTCGCCTGCTGGGGGCGCACATATGAATATAATTGTCACTCCTAAATGAATTGCCAATGCCGAAATGGGTGTTCGGAAAGGGCGGTTCTGCATAATGATATTTGGGAAGGGCATGATGCCATCTTTTGCTATTTCTTGAATAACCCGAGCTTCGATTTATCATTAGAAATTGAGCATTTCCTCAACTCATTTTGGTGAACACTTACGGACTGTGAAAGCAATCCCCAGGAGATGACCAATAGCGGATAAGGCAACTAATGCTGGGAGTGCCTTTGATGCAGCCGACTCGCCGAAGACGTTTTTGAACAGCGATGCGGCGATTGTAAGATCGGATGCCTTGAACTCTTCCCTTGAAACGCCAGCAAACTAGCACACTTGGTTAGCGATGGAGAAAGTATCTTGAGCGATAAACATACATATGCGATATTTGCGAGAACATAAAGCACCGTGATGCTACCCATTGCAGTCGGAAGCGCAATTTTAAGGGTTCTCTTGGGATTTTTGACTTCGGAAAGAACCTGTATTCTGGTTAGAAAAGTGAACATCTCATGACGTAACATAACTTACCATGTTCAAATTGTCATATCCCTGGAACGAGAATATAGCATCTAACAACGCTGTACCAATATTATAGCCATTGCTTGAAGTTCCCTGAAAAGACGTGGAGAGATCAAAGTTGTGTGGATTAGGCACGTTGAGATGGCCACCGAGCGCTGCAAATCCAGTACAGACGATAAAGAAAAGAATGAAGAGCTTGACTGCACTCATCATATCCTGCAAGCCTCTACCCACTCGGGGGACGACGGTGTGTATTCCCACCGCAAATGCAGTGGCTGCAATAGCTAATCCTCTCAGCTTCCATGTTGTCGATTCAACACCGGCAGCTTTGAGAAGATATGATGCGCAGGTAATCGCATTACTTGCAGATACCTCTAGCTTTTGTTAGAATAAAGTTCGATCCTGACTAGGAAAAGGTCTTACGCAGGAAGATGCAGTAGAACAGATAGATGCAGGTCATTAATAATTTCGGCGAGAAAGATCGCTCGAGATAGATCTTCATGCCTCCAGATCTAGGGATGATCGTGCCGAACTCGAGCATGACCATTGCTCCACACGTTGAGATTGCACCGGCAATAACCCAAAGGATGAGAGCCATTCCAGGGCTACCACTCAGCTTAAAAATTGAAGAAGGTGTGGAGAAAATCCTGCTCTCTGTCAGTAATTTTCAACGAAAAGTGCCTAATTGGACAGTTGGCGTACCCAGCTCCAACAATTTTGTTTACAATCAATGAAACGGCCCCAAAGACTCCGATCTTGCGCTCTTGCAAGATATGAGCTTCATTGACGCTCGGCTGAATATTGTCTTCGCTTGAGTCATCACTAGAGTAGGCCTTTGAAGCACTAGGCTCGGGATTTTTCGACATTGTTTTTGATACCGATCACTATTATACCCAGTACGAAGCCACAGTTAAATAAGAAATTTATATTGAACGCCATTCCCGCCTTGGCTATTGCGCCGATAATCAGATTGATGGTGTGATCACTAGTAAATGATCCAAAAGAATTTATAGAGACAACTCTCTATTTGCTAATTAATTCTAGTCACTTGACTGGTGATTTCGCGCTTTGCGGGGTTAATGTCGTGACGACCAACACAATTCGATTTAGTAACGGTAAGCCATGGTGCAATCTATGTCAATAATACCCCAACGGAAGGTTTTGATGCGCTATTTAACTGCTACTTGGTTGTTTTGACCTTCCACATCATCGTATAGCAAGAATGTCCGCTGTCGCAACCATCACCGTGCCCACCCAACCTGATATTCAGTACCAACCTGAATATGAAAAGTACAAAGAGCGTACTCGTCGACGCAAGGAGACTGAAACACTGCAGACCACCTTGCCCGCAGGATTTCCACAGAAATTAGTTTCGCCGCTGGTCTGGGAAGGTAAAGAGATTGTGAAGGGAGAAGAGTGGATTTATCACTTGACGGAGGATCAGTTGGAGGAAATAGATGCTGCTTTGAAAAGCTTCCAAGGTATGCAATTGCGACTATAGTTTTTCGTACAGTTTCTGACTTAGTAGCGCTGAATCTTTCTCTTGGTCATATCAATCAGTCGACCTTTCCTCTACCAACCCTTCGACCTGTTCTCCGAGATCTCTCCAAAGAAATCCACACGGGTCGAGGATTTGCTGTTCTACGCGGTTTGCGCATAGATGATTACTCGCGAGAAGAGAACATTATCATCTACGCTGGAGTTTCATCCCATGTTGGCAGTATCCGGGGACGCCAACAAGATACTCGATTGGCCAACGGCACTTCGCCGGTGATATCTCATATCAAAGATCTCACAGCAACTGTCGATAAATCCAAGATCGGCGCACCTTCCAATACCCCCGATAAGCAGGTCTTTCACACCGATGCAGGCGATATCATATCACTTCTGTGTTTGGACCGCGCTGCAGAGGGAGGAGAAAGCTATCTGTCTAGCAGCTGGCATGTGTATAACATTCTGGCCAAAGAAAGACCGGATCTGATTCACACGCTATCTCAAGATTGGCCAGTAGACGGGTAAGAATTATTACCCCCGGGTACTATCTTCAAGCTAATCTGTCTAGATTCAATAACCCGACCAAGCCCTATACTATGCGTCCTCTCCTTTATCACCAGCCAGCTACTGACTCCACTCCCGAGCGGGTTCTAATCCAATACGCACGACGCTATTTTACTGGGTTCTTGGCCCAACCCCGGTCAAAGGATATTCCTCCAATTACAGAGGCTCAAGCCGAAGCTCTTGACGCACTACACTTCTTGGCGCAAGAGCACAGCGCCACTTTGGACTTTCAGAAAGGCGATGTGCAATACGTGAATAACCTGAGCATTTTCCATGCGCGGAACGGATTCAGAGATGAGCCGGGCAAACAGTAAGTTCTCATTCGCATTTCATCTTATCAAGCTAACACTACAATGTTAGGCGTCATTTGTTGAGGCTTTGGCTGCGCGATCCTGAGAATGCATGGGAAACGCCGAAGCCACTCCAGCATCGCTGGGATACAGTTTACAAGGAAGTTGCCGAAAATGAACAGATATTCCCACTCGAGCCGACTATTCGCAAGAATGTGGGATCTTAACAAAGTGATGCGGAAGCACTTGAAATCGAGCAGTTTTACCACTTTTCCTAGCTTCAATGCTCTCCCAGGCTCTTTTTGAACCAAGCTATACGTAGTGTAGTTAATCTATCTGGGGATTTAACGTTACAAAATCAATGTTATGATAAGCAAAAAGGATCAAGTGGTGAGTCTGATTTTGAATGTGTCTCTAGCGTAACTGCATTCGAGCTCTCAATTCCTTTCCGAATGCAGATTTACTTGTTATCATTTTCGGCTACTTATTTGTTGGCTCTTGGAGCAGAGTCTAGGTACTTGATCGAGCGAAGATCGATGGCAAGAGATGCGGAACACCATTCCGGATACCGTTCCGCAATGGATAACGAGATTGGCTTCACTGACCAAAGTCAAGTCTTGAAGGCTCACTTCAATCAAATTACCTCTCTACCGAAGTGGTTTTATACGCCATTTTGAAGTTATTTCCAAGATACTTCCAAATGCTCACAAAATTTTGGTTATCTCTTCGAAGCCTTGTACTATTTTCTTATTCAAAAGAGATGCATGCCAAGTCAAATTTAGGTCTGCTTGGCCGTTGAGACGCGGAATTGAAGTCTCAACTGCAACAAAACGCGGAATCGATCGCCACATGACAAGTGCGGGGAGTTCATCATTACCCCGGATTTGCCCAGTGCGAATGTGGAGCGGCAAGTTATCAGCAGTCAAAATACATTTAAAGACGCCTATTCCGCTATAAAATCTGGATTCTGAACTGCCAGGATAGCTGCTAGTAGCGACTTCATCAATAGCAACTATCATATCTCAAATGGACCTCGAAAAAGAATATGACCATGAGACGGTCGAAGATGTCAAGTCTACATCTTCAGTACCTGAAATAGACCGGGCAGCTGAAAAGCGATTGCTCTGGAAACTTGACATCCATGTCGTTCCTATTCTGATGTTTCTCTTCCTCCTCGCTTTCCTTGATCGGATCAATATCGGCAATGCACGACTGCAAGGTCTAGAAAAGGATCTAGGCATGGCGGGTCATGATTATAATATAGCGCTTTTTTTTTTTTTCATTCCATATATTCTATTTGAGGTTCCTAGCAATTTGGTGTTGAGAAAAGTGCCGCCGTCCTGGTGGTTAAGTGGAATCATGTTTCTGTGGGGTATGTCATCAACCATCCCATCACTAACATAAGTGTGACTGATTTCGGTTGATTACAGGAATAATTACAGTGTGTCAAGGATTGACGAAAAGCTTTAGCGGGCTTGTTGCGTGTCGATTCTTGCTGGGGGTATTTGAGGCTGGGTTCATGCCAGGTGAGTTATTATATCCTTACTTGGTAGAATGTACGCGCTGATGTTTCAGGTTGCATTTACTTGATCGCGATGTATTATAAACGGCATGAGTTGCAATGGAGGTTGAATGTTTTCTTCAGCGCCAGCATTCTGGCCGGTGCTGTTAGCGGAGTATGTATTTCCTGAGTGACTGACGCAGAGATATGCTAAACACCATGATAGCTACTTGCCTATGCTATAGCCCAAATGGATGGCGTGGCAGGATACAGTGGTTGGCGCTGGATTTTCATAATTGAAGGCCTGGTGACAGTTGTCGCTGCCATAATCGCCAAGTTTCTGATCGTCGACTGGCCTGAAAAGTCGACATTCTTGAATGAAGAAGAGCGCGTCTTGCTTATTGAACGTTTGTCGGAAGACAGAGGAGAAGCACAGATGAATCGCTTTGACAGGCCGGCAATAAAGCGCACATTCACTGATATCAAGCTATATTTGGGGTCAGTGGTGCCAACTTCGGCTCATCACCCAAAGAGTTTCGAATTGACATCATATATATAGTCCAATTATGTACTTCGGCATAGTCAACACCGGCTACGCGACCTCATTCTTTACGCCCACGATTCTCAAGCAGCTAGGCTGGACATCCGTCCGAGCCCAGGTTATGAGCATCCCCATCTACCTCGTCGCAACAGCAATTGCATTAGCCACGGCCTTCGCGAGCGATCGACTCCGCCACCGTTTTGCATTCACCTTGACAGGATGTGTCATTGCTACAATTGGCTACATACTCCTGATATGTCAAAATTCAGTGCCCGTGGGCGCCCGGTACTTCGCTCTATACGCGATCACGGGTGGAGGCTACATGACACAACCAATCTTGATGGGTTGGTTGAGCAATAATATGTCTGGTCACTATAAGCAGTCTATCGCGTCGGCTATGCAGATTGGTTTCGGCAATTGTGGCGGTCTGGTGGCTAGTAATGTTTTCTTTGACTCGGAAGCTCCGACCTATGCAACGGGGTTTGGAGTGAGTCTTGGCATGGTATGGATCTGTGGCATGGCGTGTGTCGTGTTTTTCGTTTATTTACACCATGAGAATAGGATGCGTGATCAGGGGAAGAGGGACCATCGGTATCAGTGGCCGAGAGAGGAGTTGGAGAACCTTGGGGATGATCATCCTAGTTTCCGGTTTACATATTAGGCTGGGACGATGTGACCACTAGCTAGAAAGGTTACATGAATTAAATAATGGTAGTTTCAAGCGCGCTATCTTTTCTATCTTCATCTTTTCAGACTCTCAATTGAACAACGGTGCGGACTGGATTATGGATGACAAAGAAGCAGAAGGGAGAAAAAAGCATTTATCGCGACTCACACGAATGAAGAACGAAGAGAAAATAAGATATTACGCCTCGCCCCTGACCGTCTTTTTGCTAACAACTAAACTCCTTGTCCGGGCAGAATGAATTCTTGATGAACGAAAAAGCTGATGGATTGATGGAACATTTCTGAAGAAGATAAAGAAGACAGGATCAAACACCCTACAGCTTGGATACTTTAATCTGAATTCTAAATTCGATACAGCAGTCGAAGATAGCATACGGATGTTTCTTTGTATCCCGAGCATGCATTTTTGCTATTTCATATATTTGAACAAGTCTCTTCTAGTTATATAAAATACATCAAACCTAATCTTATCATCGGTAATCATGAATCATGATAACTACAGCAAAATTTCATTACATTGCGTTTGCTTGCTATCTATGTTTGCCATACCTTCCTAGCTATAGATAGAGAGCCTTTTTTCCCCCAATACTACACAATTCAACATCCATCCATTATCTCTATTCATTCTCCTCTCGACACATTTCAGCACCTGCCATACAGCTCCATTACTTTCTGTTTTGATGTAGAGTTATATATGGTTTTTATCTACTGGTTTTTCTCTCAAACTTTTCAAGTCGGGTGTCATATAAGGCTGAACATTTGCGGCCTTTTTTCTTTTGACTTAAAGGAACGACTTCAGGTGGAAACGATGTGATTCCATCGATAAAGAAGGCCGGAAGTAATGGAATTGTGAAAGGGATGACCTGACCCACAATCATCTTATATACTGACCTTGCTTTTCAGTCACCGATACGCTTCAGATACTAATCCCGCTCTTCAGGCCTCGTCAATGAGCAACTCCCCTAGTAGCAAGCTCAATCGTGGCTGGACCTATCTTACCGGGATCATATCACTCCAGTAATGGTCTACCACGGTTATCAAGTCTCCCGCCTTACTCTATACATATGATGATCCAGGCTTGGAATTGGCTCTATCTGGACGAATGTAACTGGATGCCACTTATCGGTAGTGACTGGAAAGCCCTCATGGTAGACGTGTCTATGCAATTCGAGCCGGTGGACGATATGCAAGTGGAAACACACAGCTATAACGAGTATCTATGGAGTCTTCTGGCACATATTTTTGCATAGACTGGAAGAAACCCAAGTGTGTCGGATAAATTATTAGGAGAAAGGCACCACAAACTTGATAGGGCAAATACCACCTCCATATCTTTACGCGCTTCTTCTCGTTAGTAGTAATAGCAATTTACATAGTTAAGTAGATCCTTATCTACCATATGTATTTAGTAATCAGATCCTGGGGTCCATAGGGTCGCATTACCAAAATTTGGGTTTCCGAGACATTTTAGACTTCGCGCACCTTATGGCCCTACGGAGAATGGTTGGCCAGTAACTTATCTTCCGTAAACCCCATTCTAAATGCTTGATTTTTATTCGACAAGATACCCTGGTTCCCTACGATTCTCTCTCCTTTCTGAAAAAATCTTACATGACCACTGGCCAAATTTGCACCGAGACCCGCATCCTAACTCCCGTACGATGCGTTGATCGGCATCTTCATCCCGATATGACGTAGTAGGCTTCACCGGATATTCACCGCACAGTCATTTGTGAGACCTCCAATCAATGTCAATTCTAGTATTATTGATCGGCCCAGGTTCAGTTCGTATTTTGCGGCCAAGCATGATCCACGACAGAGGCTGTGGGGGAAACCCGCCGAACTATCGATTAGTGACTGCGTATTGAAGTACAAGGATTGGAAACCGGGGATCCAATGAGCGCGAGGGCACGATCCCCGCAGGTCCCACGGAAATAGTTACGGGGCCCATATCTAAGAGCCAATTACTACTTAATCGCCCCAGTCCCTCTCTGAGAGTCGTCTCCGACCTCTACAAAATGGCGAGAAACCGATCACAGCGAAACAAAATGGAACACTCTGTGACATCTGAAAGCCCATGGAAGTCTGAACATCCATTCGGTCCTCCTCAAGTTTCTCGCTCACCTTCCGGCGGCATTCAACGACTACGAAACACACTCCACAAGTTGTCGCCATCAGCCTTTGCGGAAAAGGAACTCTTACGCAAAAAGAACCAATACAAAATCCCCCTCACGCAGCGCAATGTCGACACCTTCGTTACAGAACAAGAATGCAACGAAGCGTACAAGCCCAATCTACACTCCCCAGAGATTCAAGTGACCGAATGGCTACAACGAGTCTCCTGATTATGAACTATAATCGTTACACACACCATCTAAAGTCGCCGAATACGACTGTCAAAAAAGTGGACGCGAAACTGTTCCACTAGACTTTTCTCGAACATTTCACGAGCCTCCACCTACCTGTCCCACGCACTCCAGTGCACCCGTCCAACCCCGAGAAACTCAATCCCAACACTATGGCAGCTTTCTTTAGCTTTCCGGATATGACAGGGCTGTTATCCTGTGGGGTAATTGATTGGCCTGGTTACTTTGATCATGCTTGGCGTTAACGTCATCATTTAATTGAGATATGCATGCCGAGATTCAACTGCGAGGATAGAGAGAGATTTATGGACATTGTACTTGTCTTATTTCTTTGCTTAATATGTTCTTGTCTGCTTAGAATACCTACCTCCATATGTACCTAGGTAATAATATGAATAATGTGAATAATTACTCTTTTATAAGCCCCGGGTACATCCGGTTGCCGGCAACCGAAGACTATCGACCAGGATGAGGTTGCCACTCATGACCGTTGGTTGAGTCCATTCTGATTGGTCTTTGCACGCCTGGGCGTGTATATTGTGGTTGATATTTGAATCGTTGTATCGGTGCTCTGTTGGTCTAATTGGTTGCTGACCTTGAAACGCAGTCATATACTACATCAACTGTACATATTAGACCGTGTACAAGAATCAATTATTAAATGACACAAGGGCCTGTGTATGCCTCAATATCGTCTTGTTTACGCGTTGAATACGAGGTTCCCCACAGTGTTCGTCGTTGTGGCGTTGTCGTGGAAAGAAGGCCGAACCGCTTTGGGAAGTGGATCGGTGCGCGGGGTAAGTCTAGCGACAAACTCAACATCAACAATCAACACTATTTCGGATGTTGATGGGATATACATCAGACTTGTTTATCTAATTGCATCTCAAGTCGGTCTATACAGCAGATCAGGGAGTTCATTATTGGGGATGGATACCCAAAACACATCCAAACTAAAGATGCCTAAGAAAATAGCAATCATCGGTACATTTGCGCAACTCAAACTACTATATAACAATACAGCCTCTAATATCACACCTTACCAGGCGCCGGACCCTCGGGCCTTGTCACAGCCAAAACCATGCTCCATAGTTTCCCCGGTACATTCTCCCCCGTGATCTTTGATAGTCAGGATCAACCAGGCGGTCTCTGGAACCACACTCCATCCAATTCAAATGGGGCCAAGAAACGTGCGGTCACACTTGACCCTCAAATGCCAACCAATCTCAGTCGATTCACCGTTGCCTTTTCAGATTTTGCTTGGGAATCGGTTATTCATGGCGAACCTCCCGTTTTCCCTCAGGCGAGACAGGTTGGTCGGTATTTGAGTTGCTATGCAGATCGATATATCCCGCAAGATGTTTTTAGACTAGGATGCAGAGTTGTGAAGACGGAACGAGAGGTTCAAGATGGAGTTGCGAAGTGGAACGTCCAGTGGCTTCGGGAGAGGTGTGCAAATTCTTGGCTGATATCTCGCTTTCTAATATGGAGGATTACTGACATTTCTTCCAAGTGGCTCACCGAGTGAAAGTATGCGATCAGAGCATTTTGATTTCCTAGTCGTTGCCTCGGGGTACTTCGCCCAGCAATACATTCCCAGCATACCAGGGCTAGAGAAGTTCTCAGGTCCAGTCATCCACAGCTCTACCCTTCATCAGCAGCGGGAGAATTTACTGCAAGTCCCTGAAAACAATATTAGCAAAGGAAAGACCCTCGTCATTGGTGGTAGCATGTCAGGCGTCGAAGCCGCATCTGCTGTAGTTCTCAGTCGATCCTCTTCCATGCTTTCTGCAAATGAAATCCCCAGTATGAGCAATCAGGTGCACCATATATACTCAAGGCCTTTCTGGACTCTACCAACCTACCTCCCTCATGGTTCAGAGGAAACACCATTCTTTCAACCACTGGACTTGGCCATGTACGATCTAGGCCGCCGACCCCCAGGACCAATAGAGTATTACCTGGGTCCCATCCCCGAGGAAAAAGCAGCCAAGACAAACATCTATTTCCAGAGTTTGCTTGGAAGTGACTACGAGAAATACGCGCACATGTCTGCGCCGGGACAAACACAAATTCAGCCTCCCTGGGTTGCCATCAGCAATGATTACGCCGAGTTCGTTCGATCTGAAAGCATTGTAGCTTCAATGGGCCGGGTGATCTCCGTGCAACCCGATGATGTCGGTCTCGCTGCTGTACAGTACACCGAGCCAAATGGGCAGGTCCAGACTATAATTAACGTCGCGGCGATCGTTATGGCCACTGGGTTCACTCCATTCAAGTCTCTCTCGCTGCTACCGGAGGACGTGCTGTCTCAACTTGAATACTCCGCTACAGATCCTTTCTCTCCGTTGATTCTCGACAAAGGAAGCACCGTACGCTCGGAAATCTCCGATATAGGATTTGTCGGGTTCTACCGAGGCCCGTATTGGGGTGTCATGGAAATGCAAGCGAGATTTCTCGGCAAGCTGTGGTCTGGCAATGACATAGTCTACACAAAAGACCAAACACAAAGCATTCGCAGTCTCAGGGCTGCCGATGCAGATCTAGCACGTGGCCAGTTTCCCATGGGCGACTATGTGGGACTGATGGAGTCCTTCGCCGATGACATGGCTATTAGTCGCTCGGTTCTGGGAGAGGATAGGTCTGGACCTGCTATTCCTGCTCGGTATCTGTATGACACGTTAACGGATACTCGGACATTTTCAGCAAATGAAGCAGATAAAACAGTGAATGCATTGCGTGATGCACTTATGCATGATGGAGAGGTAGCGCAGAAGGCTGCTGCATCGGCCATTTTCCGAGCTTTGCATGGATTGTGGAAACCCAGGCAAGCAGAGATTGGAGATAGATCTGGGAATCTAGTCTTTTACCCGCGACACCCTACGAATCCAGCTTATAATAGGGAGTATGTATGTGTTGAAACACGTGTATCGACGACTGGACAGGGAACTTCTCAAAAGGTGCGATCCATCATGCGCTTGGCGGAAACGGGGTCTCGCGCAGCCACGTCTGAGATTGAGATGTGGTCGGTGGACTTGGCAGACGGGGTATCCGCTGGTGAAATGTCCGAATGTTGGCATTTGACGCCTCTTCGTCATGAATTGAAAGGGGAAGAGCGCGTTCCCGGGAAGTATATGATATTAGCCAAGAGCATTGGCTTTGAAAGCATCTATTGGTATACCTTCCACTTCGAAGGTGTTTCTATCTCATCCTGGGAGTGTGCGGAATTGGAAATTCCGACTGAAGACAAGACGGAGCTTGATAGTGGAAAGAACTATAGATCACAAACTGTCTATGAGAGATAGAGCATGTGGCCCCGCATGTAGGACTTGAACAGAGCATAAATCTTGATTTGACCCGAAAAGGAAAGAGTAAGAGGCCAATTGAGATCACTACTTTGCCGGCTAGGCACCTATGCTTTGCATAAAAAAATATGCAAGTGATTAAAAGTTTTGCTTGAGACTACTGCTAGGCCCAGACTCCCAGATCCCCACTATAGATGCCACTGTCACCTTGTGGAGATAAGTCACCTGGACAACGTTTTCAGCTGGATCTAAGTGAGATTCAGCTAGGCTATGGGTCTTGCCGTAACTTCGCTTAGCCTTGTCGCTGAAATATCAGTACATGAATAATGCAAGTATGAACCAAGTTCACAGTCTGCCCTGGTCACAATCTTCCCGAGACAATTCCTTCCGATAGCTAATTTTCGTACGCGAGCTATGCTATGAACCTCAAAAGAGATAAGAAACAAAAAAGCAAAACGGAGAAACCCGCTCGATGCCGAGTGTGGCGAACGGGTTCCCGGTGCCTCCGAGTTCTCTCATCCGTGGGTTCGTATCCGGATTTGGCAGTTAAGTTACATGTAGAATTGAGTGGAAAGAATCTACTTGAGTGAAAGCTAAGGAGTTAGAATCCGCATCCAATCACTACACTGAGATTCCCACAGAGTGATCTGGGGTAGACCGTTAATTTGGACTGACAGTTAGGGCTTTGTGGATATCTCCAGGTCCGATGAAAAAAAAAGACTTCGGCCGAAACTTGGTTCTCTTCAGAGCTGGCAGGAGATGTTTTCCTATAAGATTGCAGCTTAAGTATCATCGCAGTATTGTATACAATCAAAGTTCCAATGCATGACAGCCTCAGTGCAGCATCGGGCAAAATACACTTCATACTTCGACTCATTCGCCACATCGCATAGTATATCCTCAAGTATAACAAATCCTCCTACAGAAACAACGACGCCAACCAGATCACGATCGAGACCTAAATCCGAATCGATGTCCATCCCCAGGAAAACATCACTCGACGCAGTCTCCGAATGGCGCGCCCTCCAAGTCGTCTCGATAATCTACACAAACCTCCTCAACCGCCAAATTCGCCGCCGCTGGCTCCTCGAACATAAATCCATGCAAAACAAGCCTCTCGCTGAACGCTTCCGTCCAGTGATCTTCTTCGAGCCCGTCCCAGGCCTGCGCAAACCACCCAAGCAAATCAACACAGCAACAATCGCCAGCTTCCACACGAGAATCTCTCATCTCCGTGCGCGGATAGAAAAGGGCAAAGAACTCGCCTCTGAGATCGAAAGACGTATGCTACAGCCTGGAATCCGGTACCCGACGCATTTCTGCCATACATGTGTGGAGGATGGAGAGAGGGTTGAGGTTTTGTTGACGAAGTGTGGGCATCGGGTGTGTAGGACTTGTCTTTGGTATGGGGTGGATGCCGGTGTTTATGAGTGTAGTATTTGTCTTGTACCGGCGGAGTTTGTGGCGAGGAGTCCGTTGCATCCCTCGAGTCCGCTGAGTCCTGCTAAAACTAGCTTGGAGGTAGGTTTCTTTTGAGTTGAACAGTGGAAGGGGGGCCAGGCTGTTCGCCCATTGTCTAATTTGAGAATGGGGATTGGGTTTTCATGGAGTTTTGGCTACATTGCATTTTGATTTAGCTAGCGGCATCTATTATCATTATATCATTGTTTGTATTTAATGAGTACACGAGAGAAATCCAAAGGCATGAATTATGTGCAAGGGACAAATCTATAACCAAAAGTAGCCCTGTGGATGTATCCAACTTGGCCATTCGACACACCAGAAAACCAATGAGTCAATGGATATCACAATGTAGCGAGCCTCTAGTACCTAGAGCAAGTGAAAAAACACCAAAACAGGGAAACCCCGAAATGCATGATGTGGACCACCCAGGCCACCCCACATATGGGAACGCCTTTTTGCACCAAAACAAGAATTCAAACGTGACAATATGTGGGAAATGAAAGGCATTATACAGGAGGGTAAGTTTGGAGTCAGAACCCGAAACTCGCATCTACCAAAAAGCGTAACTGGAACCTGGAAAAGTCCAGCCATTGAGAACGATGGATCCTCATCATCGGTCTTCAGCGTGCTCGCCGTCGTCAATGATCATATTTACTTCTTTGATGGGATGTAAAAGCATAGGAGGAAGGCACATGCGGCCCTCGCCAGCAAGCTCCTGCTGCTCGCCTCCATCATTGTCAACACGGAGACCGAGCCAACGACGCCAGAGGTTTGGCGAGAAGCCCGCAGAATAGAACCAGGTTGTGCCGCGGAAGTTGTGTTCGCGGTCGCCAAATATGGAGGTGCGCGCGCCACCAGAAGCACCGTTGCGGCCGGCATTAAACACCGATTCCAGGTAACGGCTTGGCCAGCGGCGGTCGACGTAGACGGCGTGCGGGACGAAGACTGCCTTGAACCCGTGGTGGAGGGCCGTCGTGGCGGGCCACATCTCTGAGAACATGCTGTGGCGCTTCAGGGCACACTCGCGGTGCATGGTCATGAGCAGCTTTTTGGAAATACGTGAGGCGGTTATAATGGCCGTGCGACGTGGTGGCATGCCCTTCTCCTTGTTATAGCCTGTGACATCGTCGCGCAGGAGCCAGGTCGTGCCTTCGGGATCGTAGAGCGGGTTGAAAACAACCAAGTCGGCGTCTTCACCGACGCCCCATTGGTACTGGTCTTTGTCCATGCTTGTAGGTGGAATGCCTTCACCTTCGACTTCGAAGATATCTCTTTCGTCCGGGCGTTCAGGTCCCCAAATAGACCTGTCGCCTTGCTGGTGCATTGAGCTCCGCGAACTGGGATCGCTGTTTTTGACGGCGCTCCACATGTTGTTGGCGGAGTTTGTGCCACTTTCGGTATGCACGCGGACCATCTGTTTGAAGTCTTCCCATGTGCCATGGACAGAGGGAACGTAAAAGCGGGCATTGCGCTCCCAGAGACCCTTCCGCGGCTGGTCCTTGGCCCACTGGCTGACCTTATCGAAGAGATGATACCAGTGACCGGTGTAGCGTGCGTCCATCTCCCAGTTCCAGAAGTAGTCGTACTCGGGATGTTGGAAGGCGAAGTACTGCAAGGGCATGTAGGTGCTGCGGTAGACACCGTGGATGGGCAAGTCGCGCATCCAAGTCTCCTCGAGTCCGGGGTACATAAGAGCCATCTGCGGCTCCGACCATAAGGTTCCCATGCCACGGAACTCCTCTGGCAGGGCGTCGTGCAGCACACGGTTATAGGTGTCATCATCCGACCAGATCTGCAAGTTGGTATCCTTCACATGAACCAGAAAATGGATGGTGTACTCGCCTCCCGACATCAGTGAGAGTTCCGAGATAATTGAACGCATGTACATAATATCCTCCGGGGTATAGTTGAAGTCGTGCCATGTGCGGATGACCACAGCAGTGCGCGACAGACGCTCGGAGCCAATCTTCAGCGGTTCCTTGCGGCTATCTTCCGCTGGCGGCGGGATATTCACCTTCGGAATACCCATGGGCATAGAAACAAAGCGGTTGAGACGAGGCTCAGGCAATTCATTGAATCGGTGACGGTTAGCAGCGTGGCAGCGATTTTGCGCATCCGCCCAGTCCACCGTGCGGAAGTCCACCGGTGGCACATCCTCCCAAACCCGCTCAGCACCATCACGATGGCCGTCCAGACCAGCACCGGAGCCACCCTTCTTTGCTCCGTATCCCAACCCGTACGGGCCCAATCGACCAAACCGATCAAAGCACATGTCGTCCCGAATACCTAAAATTTCATTCGAGCCAAATGCCGGATCCGGGAAGCCTTTGGGAACTCCCGGGTAGCTCTGGATGAAGGGAACGCGTAGCGAGTTTTCCGGGTTAAGGAAGCACTCGCGTTTCTCGCCGTATTTTTGTATATACTCCGGCGCCTGGTAGTTAGGGTAAGGATTGAACACACTGCTCAACATGTTCGGGGACAGGCTTTTATCTCTCTTGTTGACTTGGGCATCCTCCTTCTGCGCCTCCTCCTGCTGCTTCTCCTCTTCGCTCTCCGGTCGGACACCGAAATCCTCGGAGCCATCGCCCGGGTATTCGGGTACATTACCCAGGCGCGGGACCAAGGAGGATATGCCGCCCTCGTAGCGGGTGAGGAATGGGAAACTCTCCCACTGTGGGGGTTTGGCGGCGACGACTTTGGGCAATTCGACGGCGACTTGCGAAACGGAGGAGGAGAGGGTAAAGCGGAAGAGGGTGAGGATGAAGACGACAAGGGCAGCAAAAAGGGCGAAGCAGAGCCATCGCATAATCCGCTGTGGTACGCGGAAGCCGACACCAGCTCCGGGGCGACGAAGACTACTGCCCGCTACGATGGGCGGCGGATATGAGTCCGCGACGTTGGAGTCGTCCAGTGATTCGTCGTCGGAAACATCGCTCTGGTGGTGGTGATATATGTGGCGACCTGTTGCAGGCTGTTTTTCGACGTCTGTATCTCGGGAATTGTAGGGTGATGGGGACTTGTAGGCTGCGGAGTGCCTCCTCGCCTGAACGGTCATGATGCCGAACAAGATGTCAACATTGAAGGTGTGGGGTACAAAATGTCCAAAATGAGTCAATCACCAATTCATCAATGTAAAGAACAAAGATTGAATTAATAAAGCCGGATCAGGGGAGGTTGTTTGAAGAAGGCACGCGATGGGGGGAAGTTATCAACTGTTTTCGTGATCGTCGGCCTGGCAATGTTTAACAACAACAGAAGAACAATATGTTTGCGTCCAATTGAGCCAAAAGCCACCTAGTTAGGCACGTACGCGAGAGACAAGGCGATACTCATAGAAACAAATAACAACAAGGACTGAGATAAGCCACCTATATGAGTAAATATTATTTTCAGGACTGCCAAGACAAACTGGCGCTTCCAAGAAATGAGAGATTACGCAGTAAAAAGATACTTGTACGTACTTGAATGGGGCTATATCTTCCACAGGACTACAGAGCGACAGAGCTACAGGGCACATAGCATTATTCTACTCCGTACACGATTAGAACTATAAAAAAATCATTAATTGAGAGGGGGGGAAAATAACAAGTTCGAAATTTCTGCCCTTTGTTTTCTTTTTCATCTCCCTCTCTCTCTCCTTGCCTTGGGATCTTCGGTTTACAATTGATGCGTACTTATACAGATCTCTTTTTCCAAAAAGGCAAACAGAGAAGCAATTTTGGAGAGAGAAAAAAAAGACAAAATGAGGCTAATAGCATAGCGTAGAAAAAGAGTCGTTTGAAGACAAAAGACCAGTTGCAGACCCCCAGAGATCAATGTAAGAACTCCCATTGTCATCATCCATCATTTGAGGTATTCTCCTTCATCGCCCAGCTAAACGTCCGATTCGAATTCACATTATAGACTCTTAATCGCGGTTGACTTTCCGGAGCGCATCGGCGAGCCACTCCAGACCCTCGTATAGGCCGTCACCAGTGGTGGCACAGGTGGATTGGATGTACTAGATTGATTGTTAGCAGAAAGCAGGGTGTAGCGGGTAAACAATCCCCATAGGAGTTCACTTACCCAAGAACGACGGGTCAAGCTCTGGAGACCAAGCTGCTGGGTGATCTCGGCGGGGCTCATAGCGTTCTAGACAAAAGCGGATCAGCATTTCATTTTCCAAGGGTAAACGATCCAGATATGAAATCTAGATTTAGATGTTCTTACAGGCAGATCCTGCTTGTTGGCAAAGACCAAAAGGAGGGCGTCACGGAGCTCATCCTCGTTCAACATGCGCTGCAACTCCTCGCGGGCCTCGACAACACGATCCCGATCGTTGCTGTCAACCACGAAGATGATACCCTGAGTGTTCTGGAAGTAGTGACGCCACAAAGGACGGATCTTGTCCTGACCACCGACATCCCAAACGGTGAACTGAATGTTCTTGTATTCCACAGTCTCGACGTTGAATCCTGCACACCGAGTCAGTTTCCGGTCGGGGGGTTCGATTCCGGATAAAGCGCATCGAGTCGGAAGGGCGAACTAACCAATCGTGGGAATAGTGGTGACGATTTCACCGAGCTTGAGTTTGTAAAGGATGGTGGTTTTACCAGCGGCGTCGAGACCGACCATCAGGATGCGCATCTCCTTGCGACCCCACAGTCTGTCAAACAACTTCGAAACAGTGAGACCCATATTGTCAGATCAGAACTTCGGATCCTGGTGATGTGTCAGAGGTAGATATCTAGGGATATGGTTGGAAAGGGAGAAAGCGGAGGGGTTGGAAAACGTGTTGTGGACTTGTCGGTCAGAGATCAGGGGGGCGGGCACGAGCCAGTTAGAAATCAATTCCAACAACTTACCGGCAGAAAAGGTATAGAAAGGCTTTAATGGGATAAATTCGACGGAATTATAAGTTTCGAAAGAGTAGAAATTATTGAACAAAAAGAAGATGGCGAAGTTTGATCTTTCTTTCTTTTTTTTTTTGTTTTGAATAACAGGAATATTGGCGGTGGTGTCGTCTTCGTCACTTTAAACGGTTTTGTAGCACGCAATTAAAAACGATATAAGGCTGATAAGGGAAAAGAAGTAAATGTAAATGTAGAATCTACAAAAGTTTTATAGTTATATCGTATGACTATAACATTTCTGCCTATATAGCAACTAAGTAAACATCACGAGATTGTAGTATACAAAAAAAGAGGACACGGTGTACCCCGTTATGCAAGTATGCCACATGCGTATTCGATAAACGTATGTAAATTACGGGGAATTGCCCCCCAGTACTTAACTATGGAGTACTTACTCCGTAGTAGTGTAAAAACTCCAGTGTCTCGGCCCAAAAGATCCCTTTGCTTCCCTCTGATAGGTTAACAATTCAACACTTATCAAAGGTATTTGTCCTTCACAGCCTCCTACCATCTTATTATGATCTTCGCTTATTGTCCTCCCGGTCGTTGTCGTAACATTCTCTCTCGTGAACTTCGGAAGAATGTCCGTACCATTGACCGATAAATCGTCTTGCCTTCCACAGTATCACTGGCGTATCCGAAAACGGTCAATAGCAAGATGGATAAGATGAAGATCACCGTGAAGCTGATCCAGTATTCCGTCTTGGTGTATCCATTCTTCACCCCAATGAGTTCCGTTGAAAAATACGCACTCATCAAACTGACCGGTAGAAACAAAATGGTTGCCTTCGCCAAAAGGATAGTGATCCGAGTAAGCTTCTCAACAGCCTGTGAGTCTTTGAGCGCAATCAAATTAAAATTCTAATCAAGTCAGCACTTGATCGCCAATTCAAAATTCACAGGAGCTTCTTACCAAAAATGTCAAGGACTCTTTCTCACTCAGACAATTCTCAATCTCACTCAAACAGTACAGATTGATCCGGTCCACCAACCGTTCAAAGCGCGCCACCGCCGTCGAGCTAAGCTGCACTCCGACCGATTTATCTATGGGAAGACTAGAATTGCTCACGAGACTGGGCTGTCGCATATCCACAGATTCCATCTCGCGAAACGTGGCCCCATACGGGAGAGCGGTGGGGTGAGACGAACGGGCCTCATCGCGGAGCATGCGTTGCCGCTGCAGCAGTCGCCGCATAATAAGCTCATAGCTCTGATACAGCCGTTTCAAGACAGCCAGGCGTCGCCCTAACCAGTGTAATTCATTGATCAAATCTACCACTGGACGGTCGAGCATATTGGCTCTCTGTCGAGAAGTCAGTTATATTCAATTTATAATTGATATAGGAGGTATTATACTAACCAGTTCTTCGAGTAAAACGCCATACTTGTGCTCTCGTTTTGCAATCAGTCCATAACTCGATACCCAATCGTCGAAAATATAGTAGAAAAGCAAACTCGGTCCATCTTCTTGTTTGATGTTGGCTTGATCTGGTCCGAGATCACTGAATTGTCGAACACGGATAGTGATTAATGATTCGCTTTCGGACATGGCAAAGTGCAGTTTCGAAACGCCAGCGAAAATGAAGCGGATGTTTCTGCGTACGACATCGAGAACTGGCTTGGCTTCGTCGATTGATACCCCTTTCTGTCTTGCGAATGGGTTCTCTTGGATCGAAATTATCGTTCCTATATATGATCCACTCAGTGACTGCATCGGATATTGTCCCAAACGGCTCGTACCATCGTCGCATTGGACCAACCAGGTCCAAAGTCTCTTTCCGTCTGGGAGATCCTTGCCATTCGGCATTGACAGTGTCGGGATCACGAATAACGTATTGTAGCCGATACATGTGTCTGTGGCAGTCCTTTTAGCTCTGAGTCCGATCAAGTGACGTTCAAGCTTACATCGAGGACCATGATCTACTGAAGAAAAGTGCCAGATCTGGTCGGTAACTTGTGCGAAAGTCAGGTTTCTGAATGACGCCGACTCGTTGGGTTTAGCTGGATCGGAGAGATGCTTGAGTGCATTTTCTGGGTCATCAAAATCGTGCTGGAAGGATGGGCCGGGGTCGGTTTTGTGTGATGATCTCTCTTTGGGTATTGGGTTTGTTTTGAGTGCAGGCTGAACTGGCTCTGTGCACATCATTCCTTGTAGTCGTTCGGATACACCGTAATGTTGAGTTATAGCCTAGACATGATCAATGTTTGTTGATTTTGTGCAAATTGAACCATAGATACCTTGATGGTTTCTTTCTGCTCCTCTGGTGCCCAGATATTACTATGAGTGCAACGTAAGTACACAATCTCAGAATTGTATTCCTCGCGACACTCTTACATCCATCGTGTGCCGAAACACTTGGCTCTCTATGTCAAGTTAGATAATGTTCGTCGGGCGCAGACTTGATACATTTAGCTGGCTTTAGATAACACATACCGGTTTGCTGAGCAGTAGGTTTAATTCATCGGTGTTTAAATCAGATGCACACCACGCATCCTCGTTCCCGAAGTCCAAAACAAAATTTTGGGTCAGGGGATCTTTTATGCCACACATAGCCCCATCAAACTGTATCTGGTCGTCGATATTTTTGAACTTTCTTACCAAAGAGCCCTCATCGTCGAGTCCCGAGTAATAATCCCGAGGCGTGATGTGATCGCGCGAGGTTACCGTTTCAGACATAATGAAGCAAAACACACCTGGGCACCAGTGTGCTAGAAGCTCAATTGTGATCGGAGAAGAAGTTCAAAATATGATAACAATCAAAAGTGTGACAGCTGATCTTTTGTGTCAGCTGCGGTCTTGGGTCTCCAGGGCTGCCTTCCCAGGTCTGTAGGCAGTTGTGAAGGAGGAGTGCTACGTACCAACAGTCAATAAACAACCATGGAGTAGTAACCCAGCCTATCCCAGAAAAAAAAACCAGGAAGAAGTTGAGACTGAATGTTTGACAGCTAGCACTTCAATATGAAAACGGGGGTCTCAGACTAATAAATAAACAGACAAAGTTCCCGATACAAAAGGGACTAGTCATCTGAGGCTGACACTGCCGCCAGTCACGCCTAGCGCTGCGATCATCTGCAGCACCCCCGCAGACCATCTTAACACTTCTCACTTGTCGAGATTCGTCCTGAGATAGCTTAATTGCTTTGTTGTTGCAGATTATTACCCTATTGTACCATGCTTCTTGTTCGAAGCGTATGTGGGGTCACCGGGACAAATATATAAATGGTGCAGCGGTCAGACGTCGCAATGACGGATGTTTTTGAATAAGTACACCCGTATGTAGTCATAGGAATACATGTAATCGTCGCTGCGTTATTCTTGTCATGGCTTTATCTGGATCTGTTCTAAGGTTGAATTAAATATATATATTTACTGATGCATTGGCAATTGGCGGACCTATGTATGTCTTTGGGATTTGTACTCAGTACAAGAAACGTCCGAAATTAAGATCTGACCAAAGTCACACACAAATGGATATCATTATAATGACATCGGTAATTTGTTGTCACAAGGGTAATGAATGTAGATTGTATAGTTTTCCCAGCACATAATGATGATCGGCTGTTACAAGCGGGCCCGGCCATGTGGCGAGGCGGTCTGGTCCATCCTTAACGTTGCTCGACTCCTTCGTAGACAATGTACAAGAAGTCTACCAAGTTGAAACCATCTCTGCTCTGGATTTAGCGATAAAAACGGACTTTAAATTGAACCCCCTTCCAAAACCTGTAATTCTTCCAGCAAAATGGTTGGACAAAAGGCAGGCAAGACAGCTCGACCGTCGGCATCTTGTAATGAATGTCAACGCCGGAAGCAAAAGGCAAGCTAGGAAAAACACATCTACTCTCTGCAAAAGAGCACAAATATACTGACTTCAATACCAGTGCAGCCGCCAATGGCCCTGCAACCACTGCCAAGCAAGGAAAATTCCGCATATGTGTAGCTATGCTCATAAACGAGCATCGAAATCTTCACCTCCCTTATTGGAGGTCTTAAAGTGTGTGGAAAATGCAACAAGAGATGGTCAAATGTTAATTTGCGACAGACAAACCTCTTCGGATGAAGAAGACAAAGGATTTAGAGGACCGGAAACCAATGCAACTGCCGCTGAGTTGCCAGCACTTGCCACAAACAATGAACTTCGGGATCTTGGGTATCTTCCCAATGAACAAAACTTGTTGTGTCGGAATGCTGCTCCAAATTCGCTAAACCCTGTATCTTCAAATACAATGAGTGCCGAGATGAAAAATGCTTTACAGCTTTTACCCCCGAAACCGTATACAGGTGATTATCAATTGTAACTGTGAACTGGTTGCATATCATTAACTATCTCACAGATATATTCATTCGTCATTTTCTAGAAACCACAAACTACAACTATTACATTTTGCACCCGCCAACCTTCTCTCAGGACTACGCGGCATGGTGGTCCGACAGGGCAAACGGAAAACCACTGGCTCCAGAACTTACATGTCTTGTTCTGCGAATTTGTGCACTTTCGACGCTCTATCTTGATTTCGAAACTCAGCGAAAGATCGAGTCTGAATTAGGCGAACCCATACAAAGCCTTTCAGAAGGATACCATCATGCAGCCAAATTGTTGAGCATCACCATTGGCCCCGGGAAAGGGGGCCTGACGCATGTCCAGCAATTGTTTCTGATGGCTTCTTGGTTCAAATCTGAGGGATTGTTCATCGAATCCTGGCATACTCTGAGTTCTTGTATACACGAAGCCCAGGAATTGGGTATGCATAAAAGCTCCACAAACGGGTTGTCTGAGTTTGACGTCGAAATGAGACGACGAGTCTGGTGTCTACTCTATGTTTGGGACTGGTAAGTCTAATTTCTCATTCTCGTTCATTCATCTATACCCGGAAACGCCTAATAAGGTTTAGGCAAATGGCTCTTCTCCTTTCCCGCCCACTCATCATCAACCAAAGCTCTTTTGCATTCGAACTGCCAAATACGCAACTTGAAGGCGGTGATAGCGAAGAACCCCCATCGCCTATCGCGCACATCACGGCTCAGCTTGCGTTAGGCGAAATCATCACAAAAGTCCCGGGCGCAATAGGAGGTACGATTGACACGACTCATGGCGATAACATTCGCACCGAAATACAAAATTGGCTTGCCTGCCTTCCTCCAGCATACCGCAATCCAGACCCAGACACACAATGGGATCTAGAATATCCATACGTGGTACTGCATCGAGCACAACTGAATGTTGTTGGCTACATGACCATGTTTCTGCCGTTCAAAGCCTCTCTAGTCAAGTGTTTTGATTCCAGCACCGCACCAGAAGAACACGAACATCGCAGAACTGCGGTCGACATCGCTCTCGAATTAATGAGCGTATCCCGTCAACTTTTCGATATAGTTTTCCCTACCAACGCTAAATTTCACCTCATCACATTTATACTCCTCGATACAGCGGCTTTCCTATGCTCGGCCGTCATTCATGACAAAAGCCGCAGTCTTCCAAGAGGCGAAGAAGTTCTCCGGGCTATTGGACTTGCTTGTTCACTGATGAAACAACTCGCCGAATTGACCAAGACAGGTGCAGCATGTTTTTCAGTTTTGAAGAAGCTTGCTAGAAGCATACCCCCATCTTTAAAGCAAATCAATCATCCGGCTGAGACTCCTGGATTGTTGAATGCAGAAAGTGGCATTTTCGGGGATTTGGACCCGGAGATGTTTTCCTTCGACGATTCCATTTCGAAATACTCGTGGTCTGATTCAAATCCTGACTCGGACGGGGTGTTTATGCCTGCTTCTTTGGGTTATTCAGTATCTGGCATAGAACCGCCGTCTTTTGCGGGGCTAGGTGATTTCTCAAATCTTGATATTGGTCAGCTGAATCAGATTTGGGATTGGCAGGATCTTGACTTGACTTTGTGGCCTAGTGTGCCTGTTTCGTCGGAAATGCCATAGTTATTATTGAACAATGAAGAACAATTTGGTACGACCAGATACATTTGGTTTTGCGAAATGTAGTTTGGTAGCTGTTCCACTGGTACATTATTTGTCTAATAGGCAGGCTTTCTTTATTACTCTGTCTTTTCGCATCTAATCACCGACATTTGGCTTTAGTTGAGTCACCCCGCGATCCAACGTGACTCATTCAGTCATATTTTCGAGGTTTCCCTCACAAACGCTATAAATAAGCCATCGAAATTATTTTCTCTGGTGTCATTCTGACTTCTTGAAACATGAAGGCACATGCCAACCGAGGTTGAACGGATTGTTATTTCAGCCTAAAGATAAAAATCATATCTTCACAGACACGTATCGTCCAAGAATTCGAAATGACGGCTTCACCATACAGAGACGTCTTACCGATGCCCAAAGCTTTCGCTTCACAAACCGATTTCCACGAAATCGTGAATCACTACAAGAGCTTGCGACTTCAAGCCCTAAAGCTCAACCCAGAATCGTTTTCTTCCACATATGGCCAAGAGTCGCAATTCCCTCTCGATACATGGCAATCTCGAGTGCTAAACCCTGTGGGTCAGACATATGTTGCGGTGACAAGCATCGATAATGATTCGCCAAGTCACTTGTCCTTGATCGATTGCAACGAAGGTGAACGGGAATCGAAACAGGACCTTCACCTTTTACTACGAAACGAATGGGTAGGCATAGCCACCGCAATCGGACCGAAGACATGGACTAGACAGGATGGAGACACAAACTCACAGCCCTGGGATGTGTTCATCCAGCAGGGAAATTACATAATCCCCCAGTCTGTCTTGTTACCATCCGAGACTTCAGGTGCTCACCTCGTGTACTTGATTGTTGGGATGTTCGTTTTGCCCCATGCGCGAGGGAAAGGCAAAGCCCAACGGATTCTTGAGGCCGCCGCTAGGGGAATATGGGAAGAAGCAAAAGAAGCAGGCGCTTCCGCTGCCAGCATTGTAATTCAAGTCGAGCCGATGGTCATCAATGCGCAACGGTTGTATGAGCGAGTGGGATTTAAGGTTAAAGGAAAGGTTCTGATAGGATCAACTGAGGCTATTGCGCTGGTGAAAGATCTTGATCTAGGGAGCTATACCTGATATTACTGCTAGTCAAACTTGGGTATAATTGAAATGATCTGAATTGTATCTATTGCCTGAGATTGACAGCGTGACAGAACTCTGATTAGCGGACGTGTTGAAATGGGTCCTCTGATATGCAGGCTTTATCTACCGCCTGGTTAATATATACATCAAGCCCGATTACTGGAGTAGCAGAGGGTAGTGGAACCTGTCTTACTTGCCTAATTGGGTAATTTGTATGCCTGGGGCAGAAGGATGAGTCATCGTGAAAAATGTTAGGGCACCGCTAATCCTGTTTTGTACTAGCGCTTGTCCACACCCACAAGCGGAGAAATTCACGGCCTTCGACAATTTCTTCTCTTAAGCAGCACAAAGCCATACCTTAAGAATTTCAACTTCTTTAGGAAGACTGTCGCAATCATGTCGAAGATCACAGTCGGTATGTCATTCGCATCTCTCTTCATTTACATGACCTTGTCACTAACTAGTCATCACAGCCGGTGTGCGCCAGAATGTTGAGAACTTGCTCAAGTACTCCCGCGAGGAGAAGAAGCGTAACTTCAACGAGACCGTCGAGCTCCAGATCGGCCTGAAGAACTACGATCCCCAGCGTGACAAGCGTTTCTCCGGCACCATCAAGCTGCCTACCGTCCCCCGCCCCAACATGGCTATCTGGTACGTTTCTCACCACTTTGGATCGATTCAGATTTTTCGAAGTGAAAGATGGCAAAATTAGCAAACAGCAACTAACAGACTCGATCTTTAGTGTTCTTGGTGACCAGCACGATCTCGACCGTGCCAAGCACCACCAGCTCGATGCCATGTCCGTTGACGACCTGAAGAAGCTCAACAAGAACAAGAAGCTCATCAAGAAGCTTGCTCGCAAGTACGATGCCTTCCTTGCTTCCGAGGCTCTGATCAAGCAGATTCCCCGTCTGCTCGGTCCCGGTCTGTCCAAGGCCGGAAAGTTCCCCACTCCCGTCTCCCACGCTGAGGATATGGCCGCCAAGGTCACCGACGTCAAGTCCACCATCAAGTTCCAGCTTAAGAAGGTTCTCTGCCTTGGTGTCGCCGTCGGCCACGTCGAGATGGACAACGAGGCTCTCGTTGCCAACCTGATGCTCTCCATCAACTACCTCGTCTCCCTCCTCAAGAAGGGCTGGCAGAACGTTGGCAGCCTTGTCATCAAGGCTTCCATGTCTCCCCCTCACCGTGTCTACTAGATTATCTGTCGCTTTACTGCGCTGGGTTTTCTAGTTCGGGTCTGAAAACTGGGTTTACGTCGTAGTCTCACGACGAACTAAAAAAATGAAGCTCATGATCAGTCTCAAATCTTTTCCCTGGATCGTAGTTTCTCTTTCAAACGTAGTATAAATGAATAAATCGTATTTTTGATATTTTACATTATAATGCTCGTCTCGCGAACAGAGACTATGGTACATATGCAGGAATCAGATTACTCCATGCCTTCCATCAGCTCTGTTTTGTCCAAGATCATGCCTCGCATGCCAATGAACTCCCGAAGACTCGCCCACTCCTCGCCGACTTCTTCACCTCTCATATATGGATCCTTGAAGCCCCAAGCAACAGCAACTCTATCCATGGCAGCGCGCTCTTCCTCGCGTAACCATCGTTGCCGCAGCGGGATACCTGGAATCCATACCACACGCTCCATCTGATCATTAGCTGTTGTGATGGCCAATATACCCATGGATGATGTGCCGCCGACATAAGCTAGGGTCGCAGCGAACGCGATTCCAGTCGCTACATTTGGATCCATCGTATTTTGGAATGTGGCAGCCCATGATGCAATAGCATAGCAAGCAGCCGGCGCAGCTGCAAGGCCAGCGAGCGGAACACCGGCCTTCTTGAAGATCTTTGCGCGGTGGAAGGCGGGAGCGCAGAATGTGTTGTCAATAATGGCCAGGACAAGCGGGAGATTTTTCTGCTCAATGGCAACCCCGAGCGCCATGTTAGCCAGCTCGGCTGGAACAGCACTGTTGACACTCTTGGGATTAGGCTTGAGTAGCTTCACTGGAGAGCTGTTCTCCTCTGGGACGGGCTTGTTGGCATAGAGATTGAAGATCTCGGGGAAGTGCTCGGCCCGGCGCAGAAGGGTCAGGGTCTGGGTACAGGAGGATAGAGCTTCAGGCGAAATGAAGACCTTCTCATCCTTCACAATGTCAATGGCGATTTGAGAGACCGAATCTGCCAATCGTGGGTCTGGATAGGAAGACTGCGCTTGGGCTTTGCTCTTCGCCGCGGTTTGCTTCTCCTCAAGGCCCAGCAAAGAAGAGATCGCGTTGCCTTCATCGCCTGAGGACCCCTCGCTCTGATCCCGTTCTTGGGAGACCAAGTATTCAGCGACCCGTTGACATCTTTGTAGCAGTTGGACCACGACTTCATTGGAGGCTACGGTGTTGGATTCGTGTAAGGCAGATGCATCTCGTGCGATTTCTTTGACAGCCAGATCGGGATTTGTGTTTTTGGTCGAAGCGGAGGCATATCGGCGCGCAATAGGGACAGCGGAGTGCAATGGCAATTTATTGATTCGTTTGGACGTTTGCACTTGGAAGTTGGAGGCTGGAGCGCGACTCTCCCGGACGATTGGTAGGCGTACGATAGGTAGGCTGCGCTTGGACGCCGAAGTCGAGAATTGACATAATTGACAGATTGAGCCGTGCGGCCGGGAACCCTTGTGGGCAGTCAAAGCGGCTCTCTTCATTGCGATGGGAATGGGGTGTTCGTTGCGAGGCTGTATTTTTTCGATGGGAGTCCAGGCGGAGACTTTCGCCCCGGCGCTGTCCACTTCCCCGTACCTCAGACCCTGACGTCTTCTTACCTGTCTGCCTAGCAACTACATATTCCTTTTTGTCACAAAACGCTCTTTACAATTTCTCGATCTCGATCTGCTTGAATTAAATGCAGTTCTCTATCTAAATCTGTGATTGTCTGTATTTTGACCATGCCTCCACCACCACCTCCTCCTCCCCCGCCGCCGCCGGGAGGGTTGGGCGGCGTTCGTCCCCCGCCTCCTCCAGGAGCTCTACCAAAAGCACCTCCCCCAGGAGCGGCTAAAGATCGGGTAGGTTCATTATATATGGATATATGACTCCATCGCCTTTTCAAGCTTTGTTTCCAAGAAGTTCGATGGCTAACGGCTAAACAGGGCGCACTTCTTTCTGATATTCACAAGGGCGCCAGGCTAAAGAAGACCGTCACCAATGATCGATCAGCGCCTGTAATTGCAGGATCAGGGGGTGTTTCGGCAGCTCCCCCTGTTGCGGGTGCACCACCTGTACCCGGTGCCAGGCCACCCCCAACCGGGCTTGCGCCGCCTGTGCCTTCCGGCCCAGCCGCGAATCGGCTTCGAAGTAACAGCGAAGGGGTGTCTGGGTCAGATAGTGCGGCTGGTGCAACAGCGCCTCAATTAGGGGGTATATTTGCTGGTGGAATGCCCAAGTTGCGCAGTCGTGGAGGTGTCGATACGGGTGCCGGTCGAGACTCGCCATATATGTCTGATGGTGAAGCACGCAAACCACCTACCGCATCAGCCCCCAAACCTCCTACAGCACCCCGGCCTCCTGGTTCAAGGCCGCCTCCACCTCTTCCAACAACAGACTTGCCGCCTGCACCGCCTATCAACCCTTTGGTGGCTGGCCTGAAAAAGCCTCCCCCAAGACCTGCTTCAAGACCTTCTTCCACAGTGTCCTCAATTGTTCCAGATTCGCCTCCTCCTCGCGCACCTCCTCCACCTCCAGCGCCAGGAAAACTTCCACCTCCGCCTGCATCAAGAAAACCGTCCGGTGCCCCGCCACCTCCACCAGCAGCTCCCTCCAGCCGGGCACCTCCTCCCCCGCCGGCACCTTCACGATCAACACCTCCTCCTCCAGCCCCGCCAGGACCTCCACCGTCATTTGCTGCCCAGGCTGCTCGCTCTGCTTTGGGACATGGTTCGCCCGCAGTGCCTCCCCCACCACCCCCATCAGCTGCTCCAGGTGCTCCCCCACCACCCCCTCCAAGTACACTGCCTGTAGGACCTCCATCCAGTGAGCCGGCATCTAGACCTGCTTCACACGAACCTTTCGCCGCGTTAGATCCCAGCGCTTATACGCTCAGCAATGGCGGTTCACCTGCACCGACCTCACGAAGCCCTTCAGCACATGGCCCGGTTCAAATAGAAGACACACGATTCAAGTTCCAAAGTGAGGGTTTGCTCCCCAAACCTCGGAAGTTCATCGGAGGGGACCGTCGATACCGCGCTGGAAGGGGTAGCAGTGTTCCATTGGACTTGAGTGCTTTGCGAGGTTGATTTGAGTGCATGGGAAATTGCGGGCGATATCGTGCACACATAGTGAATTACTATACATATATCACCTTACAGACATGTAGTATTATCATTGTAAACAACTTGTATATCCATGGATTAAGCTTGGTTCATTATCCCGGAAGTGAGAACTGCATATCTATTTCATCAAAGATCATCACCTACATTGGGCGTAAACTGGAAACGGCCTATATTGGACGTATTCTGCTACAACAGTATAAGATCATTGTAAGTCGCTTCATGTGCATAGTTGAAAGAACATTAGCAAAGACTTCAAAGACTGCATAAAAAGATGAAAGAAAGACATGGTTATCAAAAGTGTATACCATCTCGGTGGGACGTGGCAGTATCATCCTAACACAGATCGGACCCACTGCCTCAAACCCTGCAACTGTTGACAATGACACACCGCCCTTGTCACCGCCGTACCTCACAGGGCGGTGGCAATTGGCACTTGTAACCAAAGCTAAGCTTCAACACGTGATGCAATTGAGGATGTCCATCGATATCGTGGAAAACGACCGAGACAATCGCTGCCAATCTGCTATCAGTCGAGATCACCCACTCGGACCAATCCAGCATCCGTTTGTCTCTCAGGAGCACTCTCGAAATTTCACTTAATAATTTATGTCAAACTCGCTTCGCGCCATTAGCATCATTTCGCATTGAATTGTTGCGGACTTTCACGGGGCTCTCACGGCTTGCAAGTTCCTGTGAACTCGCTAGGTCTCCTAAATTCAGACCCATTACATCACCGCAATAATTGCGATCAATTCCCCGGACTTTATATCGGCGAATCCTTTCTGCGCGACACGAACGTACCGTGACGAAGACCGACGGACTTTCTCTCGCTCACACAAGTGACGAGAGCTATCTTGAACTAAGCGTCAGGACTGAGCGGACCTCGATTCAAAAACCTATCACATCTAGCGGCGCATTCACCTAAACCTGATTAACCGCAAATCGATCTACTTTGGCAACTTGACGAACCGCTGCATTTTAGCCCGCCATGTCCCTCCACCAATTTATCAACAGTAAGTCTTACAGTTATGTATTCGTTATATATGCACTTTAAGAGGACATTCTAACAAACCTCGACTGAATAGAAAAGGTGCTGATCCTCACCGTTGACGGCCGCACACTCGTCGGTGATCTTCTGTCAACCGATCAAATGACCAATCTTGTCCTGACCAACACCGTTGAACGCATCATTCGCTCCCCAGACGACGATGAGCCCTCATCTGAGATCGAACACGGACTGTACCTGATCCGTGGTGATAATGTGGTAATCTGCGGTGAGGTCGACGAGAAGATCGATGCCGATATTGATTGGACCAAGGTCAAGGGCGAAGTAATCCGTGACACGAAGAACGCATGAGCGAGTTCTACATGACTATCATTTTTTCGGCGTTTGGGGGAACCATTTGCATGCGATAATGATTCAGCAAGACGATGAATCCTTGAGTTTGAGCTTCGGACCTGATGTGGGCTTGGCCCTTGGCCTGGTTCACGAGAATACACTGGGTGTTGTATGTCGATCTGTTGTTCTGATTATTTCCTTTGGCTGCAAACTCCAGCCATACCCTGAGAGCTGTTGGTGATATGCTCTCTTTCCCCCTCTGATGCAATAATGCAATGATGCTCAAAAGATACATACATCTAAGAGAGTGTTCACATGGGTATTATGCCATGAGCTCAGCATTCTTGCACTCTGGGTCCAAGTTCGTGGGGAAAGAGCACAGACAACGCTGAGTACGGATTTACAACAGGGGTCAGATTCGAGTCGCCTCTACTCCCCTTGAGATTTTGGGGGCCAGACCCCTACGTTCTTTAGATGTCATAGAAGAATGTGACTTTGCAACTAAAATATCGGGACCTATGAAAATGATGCCGAAAATGACCGCTTTTGACGCCTGAAACGGCTGCCTTTCCACGCGTAACTTTGATCGTCTAGCAGCCCCTTGACCACCCACTGCCCTGTAACACCACTATTCTGCACCGGCCTAGCGCTGTTAGTCATTCTGCGATCCTGATGTTGACGCTCGAGTTACATACTTGTTCCCCTCGTCTCTACCAACGAAACTACGCCGAACATAGCTCCCCTCCAGCTAAATCTAGGTTCCTTCTATTTTCGTCTAGTTTATTTGAGCGCCTATAAGATATATCGTCTTCTACCTCGCTCGGTGTCCTTCTACCTCTTATTCTCGCTTATCCTCATTGCCTACGCCTTAAGTCGACCTTGACATTATCGTTTCCTATAATCTAAACTTTTAACCTTGGTCTAATCTCTTTTCCAGTACCTACGCCTACATATCCGGCTTAATCTAATAAGCACTAACATGAGACTAATCTTATATTTCGGGGGTACATTAGGCGCGGCTAAATGGTCATAGCTATATTAGATAGAATCGGGAGATACTTCCCAATCGTCCTACAGACTCCTAACCATTAAAGATCTGCCTCTTAACTGTACCGATAAACTGTATCGTCGAAACCTCGCATCAAGCCATATAAAGTTCGTCTTCCTCGCTGACTGTTGGTAGCGTGTTGGGATACCGGGGCAATCGAGCGCGAGCAATCACCAGACTGCCGTCCTCGGCCACCATCTCAAAATAGATCCAAAATTGGCCTGCCGAGAAACTCTTACTCATGGAGAGTCTCTGGCCTTTTAAGGAGCTTAGCATGAGACAAAAGGACGTCCTTGTTGAGTCCGGCCAGCGCTGACTCCAAACGCTCCTTCGTGCCGTTGTACTCCCAGCCCTGGGAACAGGTCCATCGTGTGCGTGGATACATTTTAGTTTTGATACTTGTTCCACTAGGTTTGCATTGCAGGTTGTGACTCGGTGGCAGGGAATGTCGATCAAGGCCAGTCTACACGTGACCGGCCTTCGCTTAAGAAGAAGGATTCCGTGCGCATATGAGGTGGGTGCTCATGCACGACTCATACATAGGTCATAAGCCCGAATTTACCCTCTCTCAGTGAATCTACCTTTTTTTTCGAAAGCTGTTCACACGGATAGATGATCAGTTAGAATCCAAGGTGTCAGACCAAGGGAGTGCTCTGATCTATAGGTGGTTGTATCAATCCGCCAAACATATCATTGTGAAAACTTGATACGCCTAAGTTCTGTTTCTCCGTCGTCGATGGTTGATTTCATAGTAGGTTACGTGACGGCGTATTGGGGCGCTAAACCCCAAAAGGCAAAACTAACTCGAAAAGGCAATTCACAGGTCCGCCGTTTACATGGGCAATATAATTCAAGCTAGGGAAATCAACATCGAATTTGTACATTCTTCTGAGCTATGTAAGAATAAAAAAAGAAAGAAAGAAAGGAGTAGACTTTCCTGCCGTTTGCGGCGACATCCCGTTCTTGACTCCACGCGGCAAAGCGCCAAGACGGAGGACCCTGAGCAAGAAAAATAATTCCATGCCAAAGAGGGCAATGCTAGGCAGTCATGTTAACTTGTACGGAGTACAGAGTACCATATACATAATGTACAGTAGAACTAGGGTCCTAAGACTGGGTCCTAATGCAACTAGTCGGCATTTAGATATGGGCTTCCTGTGACTGACTGGTATTTGGAGGCCCCTGGACTTGGCGCAGTATGTGAGGAGGTTGTAATATACCGAAGTGGCGATGTGAGATATTACACGACCGTAAAGCTACGTAGAAAATATGTAGAATAAGTCGGTCAAGATGCACACTTGTACATGTACACATATCTAATGTTAGGCCGCAAACAGGCTTGAACAAAGTGTAAGAGACAAATGGTATATTGGAAACTTAGGGCGAAACGTAAGGCAGAAAGGACCGATACGACAGCCCCCTCAACCTCCCTAATTGCGTTTCAACTTTCTCACCTTTTCCCTTTTCTTTTCTTCTCTCACTCTCTTCAATCATTTTTTTTACCTTCTCTGTTATCATAGATCGCTGGGCGATCTTCAATTCCTACGTCCATCCCAATCCCGCCCCTTTCCGCCCCCCTATCTCGACTCAGCCCTTCATGTGTCCGATAGTATCACTACAACACAACGAGCGAATACCGGGTCAAATTCAGCAGTGCTCCCGGGCTGACAGCCTGTTGTGAGCAGTCTGTGATTTTAACCTAGCAACTTAACTCGAAACCCCCCACGTTATCGGCCATGTGGCTCTATCGAGGTGCCCAGTCTGCGGTCTTCTACTATGCCACTTGCACCCCCTGTGCCGAAGGAAACGATCGTCGGAAACGTAGAAAGGATGCTGCACGAGTGCAACGTGAGAAAGAGAAGGAGAAATTCGAGGAAATCGTCACCGATCAACCCCGTCCATTTCCGCAACCAACGCCCTTCAGCACAAATGTAGGCTGGCGAGAAGAAATCGCCTTAGGTCCTGGACCTCCTGCCCGCCGAGGTGGTCGCAATTTCCACCGAACGGACAGTTTCAATACAGATCAAGGCTCCCAGCTGAAGAAAGACAAGAGTGGTGGATTGATGCATCCACTCGGCGAGAAGTGGAAGTCCATGAGGTACCAACGTGAAGATGAGCCTTTATGGGGACAACAAGAAGTTCGTGGCTCGTCTATTGGGTTCTCTGGACGTGGTCTTGCAGACCCGAACGAAACTTCAAAGTACTATATCCCCCGTGTGCCTCCCGTGAACGATCTCCACCCGCCTATTGTCAGTGGACCATGCAGCCGTGCAGACACAAGATGGATGCTTCAGCCGCCTCCCAGTGCTAGAGTGATGTCTGGCAAGGAGGATTTCAACAAGCCTACTCGTGATAGCGTGGGTGGATCCGGTGCCGAGTATCTATCTCGGGTTACCAAGAACATGACCCGGGAACGTGAGCCTGAACGATTCAACAATGAGACAGGCGACGAAACATCAGATGAACCTAATCAAGACCATCTCCCTCGCCGGCCATCTTTGACTCGACTTCGGATTTCAAATGAGGAATTCGATCCAACATTACACTCTCGAGCCGACTCCACGTTCTCCGACACCAACACCGATGACCAGTCTCCAAGTTTTTCATGGAAATATCCCGAAACTCCAGGTTCACGACCTCAATCGAACCAAACGGATGATAGCCACATCTACCGTCCACAGATCTCAAAAACTCTGTCCACAATGCAACGCGACAACAAGAAAGTCCATTTGCTACACCTGGAGATCAACGACGACCACCGAGATGATTTCGCCGTGGGTCAATTCCAGCCCATTCGGCCATGGCGTTGGAGCATGGACATTTGACGGCCATTCGCATCTCCAGTCCCACAACATACAACCCTCTATCCTAAAACCTCCACCTTATATCTCCAGCTTCCTCTCCAGGTTCGGGCTACACGGCGTTTGAAAAATCAAGACTAGCGAGCATTTGCTTTTTTATTCCACCACCTCCTCGGCATTGTGCCCATTCCGCATTTGCTACATGATCTATCATCAAGCAAATACCCACCCCTCTCGCTGCCGGGACCTCCAGTCCCACATAGGTATGTACCTGGCAGGCCCAGTACATCAAGAGCGCAAAGCCTGGTATCGCCTACAGAAGTTCTTACATTGCTTCAACGCAGTGGAAAAGCAGGACACAAACCGGCAAGTTCCCTATGGCAGCACTTCGACCTATCATTCATATGCTTTTTCTTTATTGTTTCCCATCGGCCCCCTTGTGGCCCTCCAGACTTCTCGTTTCTATTCATCACCCTCCTTCCACTAAATACTTTTTCTTGTACCATAATCACTCTCTCCCGCTTGGGTTCCCAGTACATACGTTTGACTACAATCTATATCTTTCTCTTTTCCAATCAGTCAGCATAGAAATTACTCTTACCTTTGTACCTTTGCCCCATACTAACAAAACAATTAGCACGTCCTCGGAGTAGCTTCTTTCATTTTTGGCACCTATGTCAGATATGAAACACACCACTCCTCCGATATAAAGAAGATACACCTCCAGGGGTGAATAAGTTTCCCGCCTCATGCAGCCCCACAGCTCATGCACCTTCGCTCATCGACGTTCCCCATTCGATCTAGTTTCCCTTGGCAAACCACTTATATACAAAGTGTTTGTACCAGTACCATCAACATCTACATTTTAGAAACTTTTTCTGGGGAGGAGAATACAATTTCTCGGGTGTTGTATGTGGATTTTGGGTTGCCGTGGAGTGTTTCGCCTGCTGTTAGTGGATTTGAGAAGGACTCGAGGGAGGAGTTTACGGTGGATGCGGTTGGATTTCTTGAGATGGCACTTGGGACTGTGAGTCAATTTACGAGGTAGAGGGAGGCGAATCCAAAGAAGCTTGAGATAGAGCGATATGTTAATAGGGTTATGGGGGAGGAGGTTGCCTGCGGAGGCGGGGGTTGCTGAGGACAATATTTGCTGTTGAGACGAGATTGTAATGACCTTTCAGGTCTTCCAATCGAGGACGGTACGCAAAGCCTGCGAGGTACCGGTTTCCCCAAAGGCAGTTGGCAAAGACAATGAGCCGATCCCATCACTGGAAGACGTACTCGATGGAGGAGCCCTCTTGTCGTCACAGGGGGATAAAGATAGAGCTAGAACATTTCCCAGACTCCTGCATTGCTATTACTAGAGACAAGAATTGGTCTTTACAACGAAGATCACCCATCGTGGGCGTGCCACTACTCATTCGTTTCTTATTCGTTTACGTCTCACCTACTATTGTGTCTTTCCAGGTTGACAGGTCTTAGCCTTGACTTGGTGTTATTATTACAGTGAAAACTAATATGCCACTTGGTGGTCCATACCTCGGTTCAAATTTTACATGGAATATTTCTGCCATTTAAGAGGCATCCATCGTAGTCGAGACTGGGTCTTCACGCTCTCGGCATCTGCGAAATCGGAAGGAATCCCGAGGTCTTCGCAGAGATTCTTCCATTCCGCCCATTTTGGGATATTATCTTCATCGGCGTCCGGATGAGTGTCGAAGATGCTAGGAGTTTTGCTTATAGTTCAGAGGAAATAGTAGTTGGCTTACTGTTACGTCCAACCTGGATGAACAGTTGGACTATGCAAATATTCGCTCTCAACGTTGCTAAGTTTTTAATTTGACCTGTCTTCGTGATAGATGCAATTCAGATGCATGTTAAAACATGATATGCAGACGTCTTTGTGGTCTCACAGAGAGAGACCATGACGCAAATTCAAAAGGAAAAAAACAAAAGGTAGAGCATATGGTTGAGAACCTCGGCTCTTCAAAATTATCCCAAATGCAAACAAACGCCCAACACAGACACGCATAGACTCCTCAAACCAATCGAGGGTCCAAAGGATTTGTTTACATGCTCGGAGCCGGCGGAGCACAGTAAGTTATCCTTGCTGATTTGTTCTCTCCTCGTTTTGCTTGCGAGATGGATGCAAGTGCCACGAGATATATGGAGAGAAGGGAAATCAGGTTTCGACCTTCAACTCTAGTAGACTTTCTTCTTTTCGTCCATGCTCAATTGACCGGGACCCATGTTCACAAGAAGGACCAGACCACCACTGAAGCAATTGTTAGCATTTTGAACGACAGTGCATTGGAGAATATACATACACAATCGACAAGATTTGGAAGAAGTCATATTTGGCGAAGTCCTTGTGGGGGTGGTGCGGGTGCAGCTAAATGAAAAGTTAGTTTTTGTAGGCACAATACTTTGTCTGCCAGAGATATAACATACCGTCCAGAAGTTGTTCACAAACACGTTGAACAAACTCAGCAGCACCACCAGAATAATGGCGCTCCACTTAGCCTTGAAACCAACGATGACCATGACGCAAGCAACAAGACCAAACAGGCTGACCAGAATGCGCCAGAAGCTCCACTCGCCGGAGAAGACAAAGCCAATGAAGAGGAAGATCAGCAAAACACGGCCAGCGAACTGGACGTACATCTTGCGGTCCTTCTCCTCGAGCTGAGGAAGGCCCGCAGGAACGAACTTCTTGCGCACCCAGGAGTCAGAAAGGACCATAAGCAAACCACCGACGACACTCAGATTGCGAAGGAAGAAGTTCAAGTCGAAGATGAGACCGTATCCAAGTCCCTGGGTGATGACGACGGCGAGCAATCCCGCGACGGCATATTCGGTACGCTTGCGGGCAATGACCAAAGTAGAGCAAACAGCCATGGCGATGACATTGACAATCAGGAAGGTATGGGTGATTCCCCAAGGAACTATTAGGAAGCATTCATGTTAGACTAGAGCCAACTAGAGCAGGCGCGGTACCCCGGACCCCAGGTCGCGCGGATCAGGGTCCGAGCAAGGGTATGAACCTACTCTTGCGGAAATCACGGAGGTAGAGGAGCTGGTCACTCCATTGTGTGAGGATGCGCAGCGAATCTTCGATGAAGGTCACCACAATGAGGAATCGGCCGATGGCGGGAAGGTAGCTGAAAGAACACGGTGTTAGAGGAAGTTTCAAATCCCTTGTTTGAGAGTTCTCGCGACTCGAAACACGGGAAAACGAAGACTCGGCGAAAACAAAGACAGAATTCAACATACGGCTTCACTGGGTCGGCCATGGTGTCCAGCCAGTCCTCAATCTTGCTTGTCTGCTCACGAATAGCGTCCAGCGGACTCGGATCGTTGGTGGCATCTGCGCTACCGGGTCCGCCAAACGGATTTTGGTGGCCGAGGTTGTAGCCCGCGGTGCCACGGATTTGGGCCATGGCGGAAGATGTGAGAACAAAAATAGAGATTGAGATCGAAAGGAAGAAAAAGAAGAGGCAGGTGAGTTAAGTCCACGGGTAGGAAAGGGAGATTGAAGGAGTAAATACCAGTTAGTTGTATACAAAGCAACTTCAGGCCACGATGACCGGAACTCACCGCTAAACCCTTTTAGGAATAGTGACGACACACACACTGTAAAGAAACATGCACTATCGAATACTTGGGTCTACATTCTTTGATATTTGGGCTAAAGTTACCTTTCTAATTATTGGGATCTCTGAGAGATATTGGTTTCATTGCAATACATGTTGCCAGCTAGACCGAAGAAAAAAAAATACACAAAGCATCAGATCCATTCCCGCAATTCTGCTTTTAATTCTCGCGGTGCGGTCCTTTCTCGATGCACAACTTGCACGGGGATTCCGCCAATTTCGCTCCTTATGCGCTGTAACAACCTCCCAAGCCCCATTCATAGGTGAGGGGGGAGGTTGCTCGAATGATTGTGACACCCCCAAAACGCCAAATCAACAAGAAAATCAAACAATGGGTAATAAATACAATTTAAGATGAAGAGAGAAGGTGAAGATTACATGGAAAATCTCACGCAGCCCAGTCCGAGTCAAGAGGGTGACCCTTCTCGCGCGAACGCAGGATGTCAGGAAGGTAGGTAGGGGTCACAGTCACGCGAGGTTCAGCGGGAACGGGGGCCGCAGGGGCGGACTGGTTCTCGGAGGCGCTGGTCTCACTGACACTCTCATCAGTCTTGCCACTCTTCTTCTTGGGTTGCTTCTTGGCCTTGGAGACGGTGGTCCACTCGTCATCGCCGTTGGCAGCTTCGAGGAGTCGCATCTGCTCTTCCTCCGACGGAAGGTTCTGCTGCCACTTCTTGGGAGGAGCAGAAGGCTCGAAAGTGTCCAGAAGATCCACCGAGGCGGCAGGGACGGCCGCAGCGGCAACGGGGACGGGGTGGGAGGCGCCGTTGGCCTTCGCGGCAGGGGCTTCCTTCGTCTGCCAGGCGTTGGCAGCGGGGGCAGCGGATCGGGCAGCCTCGCGACGCTCGGCCTCACGGGCAGTGTGGAGCTGCTTCTCAAGCAGTCGCTTGCGCTCAACCTCAGCTTCCTGGACTTGTTGCTTGCGAGCCTCGTTCTTGAGACGCTGCTGGCGCTGCTTCTTTGTCTCAACCTCCTTGAAGGTCTGAGCCTTTTGCTTCTTGGGCTGGGTTTCAACGCTACCAGTCACACGGAGGACAGATGCGCCGGGGGCAGGAGCTTCCAACATGTCGGAAACGTATCCAGCGGAGGGGACGGTGGCGTTGACGGAGGGAGAGGCAGCAGGGGACAGATCATCGTCAGCCTCAGCGCCAGTGGTCGAAGAGGCACGAGTGTCACTGGGGTCGAGCTGGCCCGCCTTCTTCTTGTTCTTCTTCTGGCTCTTGGTAGGGGCGGGCGAGGGAGCAGAGGGTCCAGCCTTCATGCCAGCCATGCGGCGGGCCATCTCCTTGCGGTCAATCTCCTCATCCGGCTTGTCATCTTTGGTGGCGGGGGGTGAGACGACGGTCTGCACTGGGAACTTCTTGGAAGTGACTGGCTCGGGGGCAGGCTTGGACTTGCGCTTCTGCTTCTTCGGCGCAACTGCGGCTTCGGTCTTCTCCACGGTAGATCGAATCACGGTCTGTGCCTTCGGGGACGCGCCATTGGTGTAATACCAACCGAGGCCTCCTGCCACAACGAGCAAAATTGCCCAGCTAATGTAGGGGTTCATATTCATAGAGCTGTGCACTCATCAGTCAGTACAATCAAAGCCGTCGAGATCCATTGCCAGGAACTTACTATCTGGGTAGAAGCCTATCCAAGCAGATTTGTGTTTGTCAAAAGGAGAAGTGAGATGAAAAGTGCGGGAAGTCAAGAGGTAGGACGAGAGTGTGCACAAGCACCTTGAGACTCTCACGCGCAAAGGCAGTCGAGATTGCGCTCAGTAGCCAAGATTGAATTGATTCCACAAGAGCCAAGTGGCAATATCCAAAGATGATCTAGTATGGAAATGGTCGACTCTTGGTGTCCCAAGCAGATTACCTCAGAAGATTCAACAGTGGGTTTGTGTCACCGTGGCTGTCGAGTCCCGAGGGAAACTGGGAGAGGGGGGCGGTCGAGAGGAATGGAAGGTTCCCTCAATTGGCCAGGGTGCGCTTTGACAGAAGGTCAGAATGCGCGGTGCAAGTCGAAATCAGAGCGCAGTTGGCGCAAAATGAATGTGATAAACAAAAAGAAGAAGTTGAGAAAGGAGAAGAAGAGGAGTAGAAAGGGCAACCGTGGCAGATCCACCGCGTACTGTGACGGTAATGGTAACTTACCAAGCCCTTGGCTCAACCTTCTGAATTGATCATTTTGGAGTCTAGATTCCATATGTTTTTTGTTTTATTTCGAAATCTTTAGAATACTGCTGACTTGGGGTTGTATACTGTTTTTTGGAAATCTTTCAATAAAGCCTACATACCTACATAACTACGTAACTACGTAACTACCTACTTACGTACATATACATATGTACGTAATATCATGAAAAAAACGTTTGAATCTTGCAAGCTGTCATCATCATACATCACTTCTAAGGTCAATCCTAGACAATTGAGCTAATTGCAATAATTCCTCTAGAGTTGCCCAGATGAAAGGGAGTTGTGCAGCGAACAGGCCACGTTTCTCCGCCTGTCTCATCTCTCTCCGCTCTATGCGCTCCAAACCGATTTATATCTTACTAGCGCCACATTGGTCCAAGGACCTCCTGAGTACTTTGTTGAGTTGATTAATCTATTTTGTTTTCATGAAGATTGCCGACTCGGCAGGGATCTTTGTTTTATGATAATTTTAATTTTTTCATCCCTTGCAGCCGCCCTCACGCCCGCCACGAGGCGGAAAGTAGTTATCGGGTGATTGTCGGCTAAAATGTACGCGGTCCGTTTGGTGGTCCAAGCCTGCATTTTGATCGCGATGTAAGTACATATATAAATGTGAACTCCCGACCAACCATCGGTACCAGGTCTTCTGAAAGCCCTGCAGTGTGCATCAGTACCTTGCAATGAAAAATGGCATTGGTTCGTTTTTATGCATCCCTTGAATGTGAGCCATCATCAGATAGAGGACATCTGCAAATGGAATATATATCTTCTTGGCTGCACTGATATATACTTATTTGCCACCCAATACCTAGGTAGAGGTTTACATGTTCTTGGTTTTGTCATCACGATATGGCTCCTTCATCTGGTACACTGTCATTGCATGTATCCCAATGAGCGGGCAAGATATTCTTATGGGTTCTTCGGGTTTGTATGCCAACAAGCGCTGTGGTAGCGGATATCATTTAAGCACCGTATGAGCGCCCTTTTAAGCGCGTGTCGCCACAGGGAGACATTGGCATTCGTTCTTGATGAAGATATCTTAATAGGCCAGCAAAGAACCTGAAAGCCCTCAAGGCCGATTGCGATCTCCACAGCTATCATCTAAGGGAGGGAGGTGGTCTAAGCGAGGGCGGAAAGATAGCAGCCACTTGCCATAATAGGACTAGCGCGGTTATACACATATCAGTTTGTCTACAATATAGTTGCAGGCAAGTAGGGAACCGCATATCGCTGGTCGAAATTGTATGAGACCATTATCATTGCACAGAAATGACAAGATTCAAATAGTACCCAACTCCCGGGATACTAATTTCCCGACAAACTGTTCTCAATTATTCAATGTTTACCGTTGCTTTTCGATGACTTTCAATCACAATTTGGGATACGATCCGAAATATGGCATTCCGCCAGTGCCTGCATGTGATGCAAAGTAGAACAACAATAAGAATCAAGGCCGACTGGAGTTATCCGCAGACTCTAGGAGTTCACACAAAGTTGGCGATTTACCATTGACAAAAACAACCTAGCCTCGATGCCGAGTCCACTTCAAGGACGAAGACCCAGAGAGCCATAATAATATGAAGGTACTCGGACAATGACCCGGGCAACCCCCACATCATTGGAAAGGCCTAGGTTTGCAGCCATCCTGTTTGTATACATGTGTTTCATATGAATTCCATCCTCACTTCACACAGTAAAGGAGGCTGACGGTGATGATATCCCTGTCTCTAGGGAAGTGTTCTTTGTGGCAAGCTTCTGCATTGCTTGTGTTTATATTTCTTCCTTCTATTTTCTTGACCGCACGTAATTCCCGATTAGGAGGTCCTCAATCGTATTGCGCTCTTTGACTTTTCCTTCGATTACAGCCTGCCTAGAGAAAGCCTCACATAGTCAATCCACAGCAAAGTATATTGATATGCCGTTTTAGTTGGATATCCCATGATCCATGTCGAGTTGTGAAATTTCCCCTCCAGAGGCGATTCATCCCGGCGAGGGGGAGTTGGTAACTCACGCGTAATAGGATCTTGTGTCAAGCTCTGACTAGGTCTTAAGATAAGGAAGAAAGTGTGAATGTCATATTAGAAGTTGTGGATATTGCCTTGGTGAAGTGGTCCTAGGAGTAAGAGACGGAGGCGACGGTTTCCGGTACTCCGAAGCTGCACCTAAAGATGCGGCTCCCGCTTTGCGACACAATACGCAAGCGCTTAGATTCGAACTAGAGTCAGCATCCACTTCGCTCCCTACATAGATGTCGGTAATCACCGAGCAAGTGCGTGGAGGGGTTTCGATACAACCCCGCAGCTGATAGTAGCTGATAACGATAAGCTCCCACTTTGATCTTCCCGAGGTATTTTTGAACCTCGAAGTCTTGAAACCATCAACATAGACATTCACCATGGGAAAGAAGATCATTATTGATACCGACCCGGTATGAACTTGCTTTTTACTTGTGGATTGTTTTTTTTGTTGACCACATAATTAGGGCATCGACGATGTCCTGGCTCTTTTGCTAGCTCTCTCTGCCACCCCCGAAGAGGTTGAGGTTCTGTTGATCTCATTGACATTCGGTAACATCGAGGTGAAGAAGTAAGGATCTCGCTGATTTTTGGAAACATATTTCATCTAATCTGTGGTTAGCTGTCTTCGCAATGCCGTTTCAATGTTCCACATTCTCGAGCGGGAGATGCAGTGGCGCCGCGAGAACGGCCGACCTGAAGGATTCGGCAGCTTGCGAGCACACCGTCCTATACTAGCCGTTGGTGCAGAAGACCCTCTCGAAGACCAGAAGATGCTAGCTGATTACTTCCGTATGTGTTGATCCGTCGTTTGAGATGTTCTGTGTTAATGTGACGTAGATGGAACGGATGGCCTTGGTGGTATCCACGCCAGTGTATGTGATGCCATACTCTGAAATATCAATTGTGACGCGGGAGAGAGACGAACTGACCTTTTGATAGCATCCTCACCTCACTGCCACCAAAGCATGGGAGCATCTCTTCACTCCAACTCTGGATAGCGAGGGAATTGAGGCTGTAACAGACTGCACCGGACCCACCGACCATTCCTTCACAGCATCCAAACTGCCAGCCCACAAAGAGATCCTCCGTGCTCTCCGTGAAAATGAGCCTGACTCAGTGACTCTCGTCGCAGTGGGCCCGCTCACTAACCTTGCACTAGCAGCGGCAGAAGATCCTGAGACCTTCCTCCGCGTGAAAGAGGTTGTTGTCATGGGCGGTGCAATCAACGAACCAGGCAACGTAACACCTGTGGGCGAGTTCAACGCCTACGCAGACGCAGTCGCAGCCGCGCGGGTCTTCGCTCTCACATCGCCCAACCCGCATACCACAATTCCAATCACCATGAGCGACCGTCTCCCACCATACCCGGAGAAGCTCAGCCGCCAACTAACTCTACGTCTCTTCCCACTGGATATCACGCTCCGTCACAACCTCTCAAAGGGTCAATTCCGCAAGGCGATCACGCCTCTTTTAGAGGGTGGTTCCCCGCTTGCTGAGTGGGTCGATGCCTTCATGGGCCACACTTTCAAGACTCTGGAGCGCCTGCACATGGGACACGTTGGTGACGATGCTGAGCTGAGTCTGCACGACCCTGTCTGCGTGTGGTATGCTCTCACATCCGAGGATCCTAATTGGGTATATGCGGCGAACTCGCCTGAGGATATCCGTGTCGATTCTCTTGGCCAGTGGACTCGAGGCATGTGTGTCATTGACCGCCGCAATCGTCACCGTATTGAGGGTGATGAGGAGAGCTCAAGTGATCATGGTCTCTGGTTGAGTGGCCGTGCTGGTAATCGTATTTGGCGAATGGATGGATCTCCTGCTGAAAAGAACTTTGGAGATGTCATCATCCAAAGGCTCTTCTACTAGGAATCAGTCATACAGACCTAGAGGATAACTATATATCGGCTCAGTTGTACATATCACTTTGTTCATGCAACTATAAACAGGTTTTCTATTGGATCTTAGAGATATCCAAGTATTTTGAAACATTCTTTTCGCAAAGCTTGGCCTAGTCTGGGGACTGCATGCTACCCACTTGCAAAACTCTCAGTTAAACAAAGGTCAACCTTGTAGAATGAACATTGAAAATGCGCTAAACGCGCTCGGGCATGCTATCCGTGCACATTGGTCCGAACTCCTGTCATATTGAGCAGAAATAAGTCAAGCTGTTAGCCGAGCTTCGTTCGTGTCTATATATCTTGAATACAATTGGTCCGCTACCTGAGGATCATCGCTCATTGGAATGTAAGAAATAGGCGAGGTTTTGAGACGAACTACACCCGGGAACGATCTGCCGGTCCACTGCCCAAGCAAAGAAATTCAAACCGCCCAAGAGCCTCTCGATACAGGCAAGCCACTCAATCGGAGAATTTGTCTGTTCTCTATTTTTACACAATAGCTTCCGATAATAGGAGGCGGGGGACACCTGCACAGTCCTCCAGTGGAATGTGGAATGTGGTAACCCAGGGATAAGCCGTAGTTTCTACACAGATAGGTTATTGAGCCAAGCCATATGCAACGCTGTACAATCCAGGAGGCTTTGCGCCACAGACTGACAGCCAGCCTCCATATTATCGTTTCCGTGAAGATTATATCTATATAAGGGGTGTACTCCCATTACAACTGACCTCACGCTGCAATTCTCAGTCAAATCGGTCTTCAGGAAATTGCCATCCTGACCCACCTTTAAAGCTTGATTCGTTGATCACCATTATTCACCATGCAGCTGAAACCCCTCCTCACCATTTGTGTGGCTGCTCTGACCGGTACTGCATCGGCAATCCCCCATGTTGCCGGGCCATACCACGGTGCTCATATCCCCATCCATGTGCCAACCAATGCTACCAGCTCTCACAACGCTACTACAACGGGTACTCGGGGCAAAGCTCCTTTGTCGACGGGATCGGCTAGGAATGGCACGGCCAGAACTCATGCCCCTATGATTCACCATGGTATCAACCATGTCAATGTTAACCACTGCCACGAACTTTGCTCCTTGGAAGCTCAGACCTGCTCGCTTGCTGTTCCTGACGATGATGAGTTTTGGTGAGTCATTGTGATAATCCTCCAATCAATAGTGTTGCGAACGTGGATGAGCAATTGGACTAATCAATGTGGTGTAGTTGGTCGGTTTACCTGCGGTGCACGGAGAAGTGCCGCCCTGAGAATTTCCGCAGAATTTAGGATTTTATTGAAGGACATAAAAAGAGGGACTCAAGTTCCATGGGACATGTGTTACGAATGAAGGATTTGTTAAGAATTAATTGAGGTTTTTGGCTGGAGCCTTCCCTTTCTACCTCTCTCCACTAAAAGAGCGTATGGTTACAGGAGTGGCGGCCCTAAAGTAAACCACTTAAACTACATAGTATTTGTAAAACCACAGCGCCGACATTACCACATGAGGAGTAAGTCTTGAATATCGGACGTTGAGAATTTCAAGAAAAGAGAAGTACAGAAATGAGCAAGATTGGCCGAAGCTTATATGATCAATTCACATTATTTCCAAAGCATACGACCTTAGAACAATTGCCGCTCCATGGGCTTGGGGGACAATGCAAAAAGACCTGCAGTCAATTGCCGAAGTTCTGTAATACGGTACTAACAGAACCTTGTCCTCACTACGTGCATTGTACAATCGGACACAATTTCCTTTACGCAGTAGCACATAATCCATCAGCCTGATAGGTACCTATAACTCCCATTGGCTATTATCGAACGATATGTCAACATGCACGTGTGAAGTATAAGGGTATCAGGATCGCCCACCTCTACCTAACTATGTAGGTGTCCCCAAAAGAGGGAGCACGTGCTATTGTACTGACGACTAATTTAGTCACTTTGGAAATCTGGCCAGCACGGAATTGACCCCTCTTGAAAACCAAGAAAGAAAGACACTCAAATTCAAGAAGATCATTTGATGACCAATAGCAGATGTTGGCAATATACGAACTAAAAATGCGTGAGGCCGTGTAATTCCGAAATACTCTGCACGTGCTGAACTACTGTAGATGTTGAGACCACCGGGTACTTCTTCCCCTCAAAAAGCAAGTACAGAGTACCATGACAACATTAGGGGTAACCCCCGTTTCTCCACTATGAATGGAAGTACCCAGTACCTAACGATAAGCTCACCATGCCCCACTATTAAATCAACAAATGCCCGTTGCTCCATGAAGCACGAGTCTCCGCTCCAACCAATCATCATCGACCATTGCAGCTCGTGGGCAATTCTAAGCAATCCTAAGCACGCGACACTCTACTTTCTATACATTACGACGTTCACGGTATATAGTCGAAAGCCCCCTTGCTGTACTTGCGCAAATTTGTACTTTACCTTCTTTTTTTTTTTTTGACAATTTGACAATGTCGTTACCAACTCCAGCTATGTCGGGCGAGTTTATCATCCAAGACAAAAATGTTACAGATACCTTTACTTTGCCACCTGCCGCATTGAGCCCACAGAGTCGGCGTTCATCCCGATCAGATCCTTCCTATGTTCCAGCTTCGCCCACTTCCCCTGATTTGTCTGGTCGTCGTGCAAGTCACACAGGTCGGTCGGCAGTCAAGCGTCCACTCGAGGACTTCGATCTGCCTCCCCCACCAACTCGAACCCGCAAGATTATCCAGATGAAGCCAAAATCGCTCTCAGCAAGATCTGCAAAGACGAAAGACAACGGGAAAGATTCCCAGCAGAGCTCAGAGCCGGCACCAAATCCATCAAGTGGCTCGAAGAGGAAACAGCCTAGTGCAACGAGTGCAGCGGGCCGTAAGATTGCCCGCAAGACTGCACACAGTTTGATCGAGCGTCGAAGACGATCAAAGATGAATGAGGAGTTTGGGACGCTCAAGGATATGATTCCCGCTTGCACGGGACAAGAAATGCATAAGCTTGCCATCCTCCAAGTACTGCCCAACTATCTCTTATGGTCTCGCAGTATACTAACGATACCAAAAGGCAAGCATTGACTATGTCAACTATTTAGAAAAATGCATCCGCGACATGAAAACAGGAGGTTCAGGCCACACCACGGCTGCACCACCGTCACCAACATCCCCGGAGTTCATCACCGAAACAGGTGCCGAGCCTATGCAGCGTGCACCATCTTCGACCTACTCTTATTCTCCATCCGCATCCCCAGAAGCATACGCTCCACCTGAGTTATTTCCCGATACCTCCCCGTCTTTCTCCCCTCGGACTCAAGTCCCCTCGGCCCAGAATATCCCCGAGTCTCACTCAATACTGCCAAGTCCAGCACTGGGGCCAATCTGGGCTTCTCCTGAGAAGATGCATGAGATCCAAGGTGTTGATCACGAGGCTTCAGCTGCTTTGCTCATGTTGACCCAGGACAGGAGGGGTACTGCTGATTCGATTAGTGAGCAGTTCTCTGGTACTAGTCTGTCCAAGCCCTCTCCAACTCCATATGTATCTCCTGGTACACAGAGGAGGAAGGGCATGAGTGTTCGGGATCTTCTTATCTCGTGATATTAACACACGGCTGGCCATGTTTGGTTTCTTGGTAATTGAAGCGGGGATTTGGCGGTTCTGTTCGGGATGAAAGGTTGATTATTTAGCGTTTCTTTCGTTTGTGGTCTATATTAATCATGCTTTTGTGTATTGAGTGATGGTCTATGGACGTGTGTCTTTTCATATTGCCGAGGTGAATAGTCCAAATTGGACATGGCACGAACAAAAAGTCGAATGAAAATTGATTCTCATTGCTTTTTCTGATTGTAGAATAACCAGTACATTGGATTTGGGTTTATCGACAAGCTTAGGTTAATTTTATATTAATCTCATGAAGAGATGAAGTTGCAGCCACAAGCCCGCGGTCGGCCATTCACGAATGACCGAATGCCGAAACGCCGCCGCCGAGCGTACATTCGATTCGATCTCCTCGAAGCTAGCTCAATGTTCTTGCAGAAAGACAAGCAAAAGAACGTTCCTTTCCATATCCGGGATTGAATCCCACATTTCAAATGAGTATTCGTGTGGCTGCACCAGCGCCAAGACAGAGCCATGGAACACCAACGTCGGTACAACGTAGAGCGATCATGTCTACGCTGCCACGAGCGCAAAATCCGCTGTGACAAGAATTTACCATGCAACAGATGTGTGCGACAGAATGTGACATGTCAGTATCCAGGCCCGAGTCGAGTCAAACGCCAACCTCCTAAGAAGAGTATGAACAATGTGACAGCGCGACTAGAGCACCTGGAGCGGTCTATAGCGGCGATGGTTCGCGAACGACCGAGCAACCAAGCTCAAGACACAAGCAAACACTCAGCCAATGAGAGTGGTTCAAGCATAGTCCCTGGTACAAGTGCACTGGCGCTGAACGACCGACTGGATTCCAAATTGCCTTCAACCCACCAAACCACAGAAAGACCTTCTTACCAAGGCTTTTTAGGCAAAGATGGCCGATACATTAACGAACCGCTTCTTTCGCGAGTTTTGGAGAAAGAAAAGGAACTTCAGTCTGCGATTGGTTCACCAAGTGATGCGAGCAGTCCGCGGCGACCGCCTATGCTGAGAGCCGAGGGTCTCATAGCTAACCCACTCTTAATGCAGCTTGATCATAAAGAGCTATATCCTAGTCGGTGGCAAGCGACTCTACTTTGGCAAACGTTCCTCAGTCGAGTCGATCCGCTCGTCAAAGTGATTCATGTCCCGTCTACGCAGTCCCTTATCTTTGCCGCAATTAATCGGCCCGAAAGTGTGGGTGCTGATGTTCGCGCGCTGCTATTTGCTATTTACTTTGCCGCTGCAACGGTTCTATTATCTGATGATACACAGAAAGAGGCTGTCATTGCAGATTTGCAAAGGTTTAAGCAGGGGATGGAGATCTCACTATACCATGCTGAGTTTTTGGAAGCTCCGACCATTACTTCTTTGCAAGCTATGGTAATTTATCAAGTACGTGATTTCTGTTTTTATGTAGCGTTTATCTCACATTGTGACACCCGCTCATTTCTGCTATCTAGACATGTCTCCGATTCAGCAATAGTGGTCGATCAGCTTGGACATTACACGGCCTGACCATTCGGTCAGCACAATCGATCGGTCTTCAGCGTGACGGGAAGCATTTCAAACTCCCAGAACTGGAATGCGAGCTGCGTAGACGACTATGGTGGCATATCCACACAGCAGATGCCCGATTTGCCGAAGATCATGGACTGAGTGTCCCCGAAAACGACTACGGAGACACCGACCTTCCATTGAACATCGACGACCAGAATTTATCAGAACCAACGACCATCCCAAAAACATCCCAGGCCAAATGGACAGAGATGACTTTTTCGCTCATCATCATGGAAACCAACACCCGGCGTCAGATATTACTCTCAAACCTTACAGAAAAATCCAACCCGGACCAATTAGTCGTTGAATTCCGAAAAGCAATAGAAGATAAATACCTCCGCCACAGCGATCCCGACATCCCACTCCAACGTTTCGGGCTCCTGCTTGGCCAACTTCTTCTCTCCAAAACAGAAATATGCCTACGTCAGAAACTCTTCCACAGCAAAGGCCCACAATCATCAACCATCGACTACAAAGTATCGCAAGAAACCCTCGTCCTCGCCTACAAGGCCTTGGAAATAGGACTGGAAATGCACACCGACGAGCTCCTCCACGGTTTCCGCTGGCTAACGACTACATTTACCCAATACCACCTCCTCACGTACATTCTTTGGAATCTGTGTGTTTACCCGGCAGGTCCGCATGTCGAGCGAGCATGGCGGGGCATTAATATGCAATTTGCCATGACTGAAGACCCGTGCTGGCCGGACCCTGGTCCTAGGTGGCCTATGATCGTTCAGCTGAGGGATAAGGCGTTACGGATTCGCCAGGCGCATGATTCCGCAGAGCAGAGTCAACAGATTATGAATGAGACTCGGGCTATGGAGGGGTCTGCGCCTGGCTGTGCTCGTACGGATGCTATTTTTGATATTGACGCCTGGGACCCTAATTTTGTGGACTTCTCTGATTGGAACAGCTTGGCTCAGAGTCTTTCTTTGTTGACTTGAGAGATTGGTCCAAGTCTATCATCTGATTGTATATACCTTGAAGCCATTGAAAGGTCTCATGATGTAATGTAATTCAATGCCTGTGTACGTTAGTTGGGTTCAGCATTCAGACTGTCTTTTTTAATTTACAGGAGATGCCGGAAGTATAATGGAAGGTAACATATTGCCTACCTAGGTAGAACATGCAGAGAAAATGGCTAGAATTTAACCTTGTAAATTACTGAATTGTCCCATGTGTCGTCACATGAATTCGAAGCTTAATCGGGAAGGTGATGCTGTTTTATTTTTGGTTTGGTTTTTCATTTTGCTCCTTCAGTCTTTCAGTCTTCTCTTTAACAATTTATCCTCTTTACTAAAGAAGTTCCTTCTGCCGCTGCTCATGCTTTTGGGTTTCATACGTTATACGACATTCGGCTATCGAAAATAGGTTGTGGAATTCCCTCGAAGATGCCTGCATCGGAGACAACCTTGACCCTCGTCGAGCCTCATGAACCTTCAATAAATGACGACAGCTTTGGAGAGAAGGCTGCTCCTACCATTCAAAATGACAGGGAGAATGTGTCGCAAAAGGACACCGCTCCCGATGGGGGCTTGGCTGCATAGCTGATGGTTTTGGGTGCGTGGTGCGCGCTGTTCTGCAGATTTGGGTGGCTTAACAGTAGGTCCTGCGCTCTTTTTCGTTTTCCCGACTTTATACAGCTTATTAATCTCGTTTCCGGAAGAAACACAGGCGTTGGAACTTTCCAGAGCTACTATCAAACAAAGCTACTATCCGAATACCCTGCTAGCACAATCGCATGGGTACCTTCTCTTCAGATTTTTTTCATGTTTGGGATGGTATGTATGGCTTAGTATATCTTTGCCCCGCGCTTCGAATCCTTTCTTCACTCGTGATAACCCTAAACAGGGTCCTGTCGTCGGCAAACTGTATGACAGCTTCGACCCCCGCTATGTCATCCTAACTGGCTTCACGTTTTCGGTTTGATGATGGCGTCTATTTCAAAGAAATACTACCAAATCCTTCTCTCACAAGGGGTATGCAGCGCGATCGGGGTATGCGCCCTCTTCCAGTCCGCAATGAACTGCATCCTGAGCTGGTTCAACAAGAAACGAGGTTTGGTCTGTGGTATAGTTTCATCGGGATCTAGCGTGGGCGGTATCATATTTCCAATCATGCTTAGTCGATTGATTCAGCAGATTGGGTATGAGTGGGCTATGCGCATCGCGGCTTTCATGATCATGGGCCTTCTGATCATTTCTACCCTCACATTTCGTCCGCCGGTGCCGCCGAAACCGCAGAAGATGGACAAGGAAAGTCTCATAAGGCCCTTCCGGGACACCAAGATGATACTCATCATCGTGGGCTATTTGTTCTTGACCTTTGGGGTCTTTATACCGATCATTTATCTGCAAATTCAGGCGATCGACAGTGGCATGCAGTATGACCTGGCGCAATATCTTGTCGCATTTTTCAATGCTGCAAGGTGAGTAAAGTTCATAATCCATCATTTTCTACGTTACGGGAGGGTAAATTGCTGATTATGTCGGTTTAATCTATTTGGTCGCATCACAGCAGGAGTTTCCTCGGACAAGATCGGAGTCTACAGCATCTTTGTCACTGTCTGCTACCTAGCTGGAATCCTGGTTCTTGCCCTTTGGGTCCCGGCCAAATGCGATACAGCCTCCATACTATTTGCCATTCTTTTTGGCTTTGCCTCTGGCGCCCACGTATCGCTTTCACCTGCAATAGTAGTCCACATCTCGCCCTTTGCAGAGATTGGCTACAGAACAGGCCTTCTGTTTTTGTTTGCCTCCATTGGCGGACTAATGAAAAACCCTATTGCTGGTACGATCTTGCAAAACGCTGGAGGATCATACACTAGGACGAAGATATTTGCTGGCATTCTCCTTCTTGTTGGTAGTACCATGGTACTAGCAGCACGAATCCATCAGACTGGATTTGTGCTAAAGGCAAAGTTCTAAGGTTGGTGTTGAGTATACCGCATAAATATACGATCCAGCTTCTTTTTTAGTCTGTCTGACCACATCTATTATGAGTTAAAAGTTAAGCGACACGATTGAATTATTGTTTGTTCTAATATTTACATATGCTCTTCATGCATACGAGGGAAACAGACAGTATGATCAGACGAAGAGAAAGTTTAGTTATAGATTTTGTTTAAGTGCATGGTATATCCAAGCGTATCAATGGGCTCAGCAACAGGTTAGCTGTGAATTATTTTTCATTATCGATTATATAAAGTCATTAGTTGTGCGTTACCAAGCCAAATCTCGTGAATGGTCTAGCGAAAAACCCAGAATTAGAATTACATGCGTCAAGATAATGCAAGCTATTGGGATGCATGCGAGCCATGAAAGATTTTCACGCTTCAGCCGGCGTACTCGAACCACTAGCACGAAGTTTTTCTTCCTGAAGCAGGCGCTGACAAAATGAACTTCTCTCTCGAATCCAAGGTCCCCAATGCAATAAAGCAAAAGGAATAGGAATGCAAGCCAGACTAATGAAACCAAGGAGAGAAGTACCCCACGACACACCAAGAGAATCATAAAGCGGGGTTGCAGCGAAGGGGAACAGCGCTCCAGCAATACTCCGCACGATAACCGAAGCTGCGAGTGCGCTAGCAGAGTAGATTTTGTACGCGTCTGTCACATATGTGAGAAGCGAAGTAAAGATGACTTGGTATCCGAATCCAAAGATGAGACCTGAGACTACCGGCGCCGCCCAGTGGAGGCTTGCTCTTGCGCTCCAGGCAAGCCAAAACAAGCTCACTGTTAAGCATGGTCCCGCAATGCATGACAGCGGAAGTCGGTGGAGCTCTGGGCTGGCTGTCCAGGCTTTGCCGCGCTTTTTGGCTTTTTCATAGATCGTATCATAGTAAAGGGTTACTAGACCGGAAGATGCGGCGCCAATACCAACTGTACCAAGTTAGTCGTGCTGTTGTTAAGCGAGCTGATGAAATCAAGCATACCTGGGATGTATGTGAGAGCGGTTTGTTCGATGGTGAAGCCATAGACACCTGGTTCAGCGTTAGTATGATAAATGAAACAAAGAACTAGATCAAATCACATACCTTGGAAGATGATAGGATATGCCTGGAAGTAGAAGAAGACCAAGCTATAGGCGAGGGAGATGTAGATAGACGTTGAGGTAATGATAGGCTCAAACAGGAGCATTGTGATAGGACGAGTGATGATTTGCATAGTGGTGAATCTGGCGTCCGACTTAAGTTCCGAACGCGAGAAATAGCGATCAATTCCTGATTCTTTTCGTAGTTTGGCAGCTTGTCGCTTCAGCAAGACTGGACCAAAGGTTTCTATCCAAAATAAGTGTTAGCTCTGGTGGCGTGGATCTCAGGTGGGAAAAATAAAGGAGACGAAACATACCAGACATGAAGAGCAGCGCCAGCCATGTGGTACCAATCAAGATCAAGTCAATTCTAAAGGTCCACCGCCAACCATATTTCACAGAGCACCCGGAGATTATAGGGCCAAGAATTGGGCCCAAACTCGAAGCCTGTGCAGGATGTCAATATGTTGATCTTAGCTGCAAAGAATCACAACATACCGACATGTACGTCGCCATTGCGCGACCACGACTCCGAATATCGAAAAATAGATCTGCGTACACGCCACCAATGACGGTTTGTGGAGCAGCCCCCATTAGACCACATATCAATCGGAAGATGAGAAGAGAAGACCAATTAGGAGCAACGGCACAACACAGAGTAGCAAGTACAAAAACAGTAAACGACCACATGAGAACGGGCTTCCGACCAATAGTTTCGCTCAATGGGCTAAACACAAGAGGACCAATCACATAGCCGATGAGAAATACAGCAGTTGGTAAGACCTTTTGTTCGTTTCCGGACTGGTCGAAGTCCTGCATGATAGCGGGGACTGCATTGCTAGGGAGTGCAGATGATATCCCGCTATTAAGAACGACAAAGAGCGCCACCACGGCGTTGTAGATCTTTTTGCTCTATAGCCTGTGTTAGTTTTGGGTTTTTTTGGCAATATTTTACAATATAAATGCGTACAAAGGCCCAATTTGGGGGGTTTTCAGGTGAGTTTTCTTGGAACTCGACCAGTAATTCATCTCGGGATAGTTCAACTATTGAGTAATGTCCATCTTTTTTGTGATTGCATTCTGATTTTATTGATGCAATTGATCTTTTGTCTGAGACTCCAGTTTTGCCTATATATTGTTAGGAAAGGCTCGAGAAAGCAGCAAGGTTGATCGTACCAGAAGCCAGAATGGCAGATATTTGAGCCGTCAAAGATTGTTTCATTTCTATAGCCATTTTGAATCATTGAACAGATGGGGCAGGGCAAAGAAAATCGTGTTTGAAATTGTGCTTTGTTCTAAAATTCAAACTCCGTAGATGAGGGCCGATGGAACTATATAAGTTACAATAAATGCTTCCCGTCCCCAATGCAACCAGCGGGCCCAGGGAAAAAACCTGATGAATGTTTTGACTCACCATGGCTAGAACGTGCTGGCCATGCATAATGCCTCGATTTATCATGTCTGTGTATATAATGAGCCAATAAAATGGTCCTATAGTTCAATCTTTTCTCAAGGCAATCCGGTCCCGGGTCGGGACCGGTTTTTAGGGCAATCCACCAGCGGTGCCGAATAGGACCCGGGTCTGAGTGACTCCTGCAAATGTGCGAATTGATTGATCTTCGCATGTTTTAAATCGTAATTGAGACCAGTGTGACTAAAATATAGCATGTGAGAACGGTGACATACTGCGTTGCGGCCCAATTTCTTAGTTCTTGTACTGCGATCAGGGGTTTCTTTACGGGGCTAAATCCTGGGCCCAGTTCGGCTTAGCAATAGTGCACATGGAAAAATGATCGACACGTTTCATTAAGTATATTGGGTATCTTGTTATCATTGTGGCATGGACGGCATCATGGGCAAGAAATCAAAGATATCGTTTTGCCCTTCCTCGAAAAGACCAAACGAATCTGCAATAGAATTTGACACAGTCCAGTTTGGCGCCTCCATCGTACCTGGTATCCTAGGGAGAGGCGCTCTGGCCCCTGATGATGCATCACTACTTGGTATGGTGACCATGTTTGCATCCTTATCGGTCTGGATGGCCGGCCCGGCTCTGTAGCGAGAGTCGTGTAGTGGAGCGACTCCAGAGGTAGCTGAGACGTTAATCATGGGACTATCAGGCCCTCGGTATGCGACATGCGGCCCATCACTTTGATCGGCCATGATAGATCCCTCTACACTGTGGCTGCTTTGAGGGCGTTGGCTGGCAATCAAAGCGCGTGCATAGTTCACAAATATCGAGACGGTCCGGTGAATGTCAGGGTACGGCGGCTGTTTGAGAAAATCGCAGATCCTTTCTGCTCTTTCCAACAACAGATCTTGATTAATCAGACTCGGACGCCATCTCGCAATTCGAAGCGCAAATGTCGCTTAAACTAAATCAGCAGATTTACATGACTCTGGACAGGAATAGTGAGCTTACTGATAAACGCAATGGTCAAGGCAGGGTATGTTGGTGCCCACGGGAGTTGACAGCGATATGATGGCTCATTGATCAAAAAGCCTAGTTGATCCATTATGGTAGTCACGAGCGACTGCCACAAATTCAGAACATTTTGATCAAGAATTTCAGAGCTTGAGTCTGCATAGGACGGTTGCAACTTTTGGATTCGTGCAAGCGAAGCGCAGAAGACAAATATTCTGGCATATTGAAGCATAAGCTTGAGGCTGCTTCGTTGGAATGCTCCTATATGAAATCCGTTGTCTTCAGGTTGTATTTAGTCAGGTATCTAAATCATATCACAAAAACAGAAACAGAACTTACTTTCATGGATCTCATCCCAATTAGTCCACCAATTTTGCAACCTTGTCATGATAGCTGGTAGTTCTGTAGACACAATATCGCTGGTTGTCGAGGCATTGTCAATCACCATACGAGAATGACCTGGCAGTTATCAGTAGGTATGAAAAAACTAGGAATTCAAGTACTTGATGGTCATACCTCGGAGCTGATGAAGTTCAATGATGCAAACAGTGCGCATATCACAAGGGAGAGAGAGCGGATAATCGAGGAATTTGCGCAATTTGACCACATCGACCTCGGCGATACGCGACTTCCGACCAGTACCAGATGCGACATCTAGCTCTAACGTGAAACTGATCAACCAGGTTCTCGTCTGCCATACTAGTTGGCGTTCAGCCATGGAAGCAGAGAGCGAACTTCGAGGTACACTTTCTTGAGATAGCAAAGTGTCTAAGGATTTTTCCAATCCAGAGTCCAAAGCTGTACGCAGAATGAGAGCAATAGAAAACCAAGTCTTCTCGGAATAAGCAGCCAAGAGGATCATTCCCTGGACCGTCTCAAGCTTAGTGGGCCGCTCGAAAAAACTGTCTTCTGCTAATCGCTGTGCCTCATCTTGCAGAACGCGCTGCATGTGCGTGTCTCCCCGTAAATCAGTGACCGCACGACTGGCGAGGTATATGATCACCGTGAAGCAGAACAACGAACGAGATCGAATAGAGTCGAAGGTGTCTCGAATTGGATCAAATAGTGGCAAATAGTTCTTTGAGCCACCCGTAAAGCTAAAATATGTTAAATCAATCGGGTGAAACCCAAAAAGAATTCAAGGTTCCTTGATATAAGCTTGACATACCGTTCATACATCACACGAGCAAGCTCCTCACTGACAATCCCTCGGGCAATGACATCGCCTCTGGGATCACCTTTCGTCGAATTTTCCATGAAAATCTGAGAGTATAAGCTCAATGCTTGTTGTAAACTTGGTCCACATTTGACTCACATCATTTGAGCCTAGCAAGTTTACAGACATCGAGTGCACCGCCGATGCTGGCGCGATCATCTCGTTAGGACTCAACTGCTGGGACTCTGGTCCATTTTGATCGCTGGTATATGACCTGTGGAGGCTACTCAGCCCGGTGGAATCAGGCAAAGAGTCGATAGAAGTATCAAAGCCGCCATCTTGGACAGTGGCGGGGGAAAACTCTTGGTCTCTTGAGGCCGGAGTATGATATCCGGTCCGCTGATCCAGCGGCGAAGCAATTCCTTGGTTTCTATGGAAATAAGTCAGAAAATACTCTAGGTGCGGGGATATAATCTATAGAAATCCACCTTGCTGGAGTTGTTGTTTTCCGACGACGATCATTTCGTCGGCGGCCGTCGTCGATGGGATCCAGTATACAATCTCGGCCGGTGGACCGGCAGCGGAAGCAAGGGACTTGGGCGCGCGCGTCGCAGCGCATTTTTTGTCTTCTGCACCACCGGCATGCTTTGAAGAACCGGACCGGAATATTCTCCGCTCGGTAAATGATCTCCGAACCTCTTTCGCTCATCGTGTCTCAGTGTTGCTCATGACATTCAAAAAAAATAGAGTGAGATTGATTCAGCTACCATGTACACAGGATAGCACAAACTCAAGCCAATATGAAAAAACGCTTATTCTGATTCCCTCGAGGGCTTGTCAACCTTCTGGGTATATGTTTGTCCGGTTATGACACACAAAATCCGGTCACGTGGACCGGCCATCTTGGCTCTTTTAGGAAGGTCTAACTGAACATCACCTCGTCAGGGTTCGTAAGTTGAGATGTTAAATTATCTTGAAGCACCAACACCGCCGGTTTTAGCTTAGCGCTGGTGATCCGGAACTTTCCAGCTCGTGGAGAGTGATATGGCATGACTGTGTGCACAGATTAAAGCGATCTCAAAGAAAAAATTTAGGTCTCATTAATGGCGTCAACACCTGTGAGAACTGAGCCCAATCTCAAACGGCGTAAGATACGAAAAGGCACATCAAGCTGCTGGGAATGCAAGCATCGCAAAAGACGCTGTGAATTTGAGCCCGAATCAAGTTCTGTTTGTGTCTCCTGTCAGCGCCGAGGGACACCCTGCATAAGCCAAGAATATGAAGAACATCCAGAAGACGAATACAAGGCGCTTGGGGACAATATTGATCGAGTGGAAGACTTGTTGAGTCACCTCATTCAGGAAAGGGAAGCTCAATCTCGGAGGCAAGATTCCCGAGACATAAACGGCGCACCATGGCCTTTCGATGTAACAAAGTATTCAACTTTGCGGTCAGTCAACCATGAGCGGATGTCTAGAGGTTCTTCACTCACTGGATATCTCAATGCAACTCTTCCAGCTCCTCATGTCGCAGCGACTATCTTTAGCAGCAATAAACAATATAACGCGCCATTGCAAATACTTCAAAATGACCACCATGACCCAGATTTCTATGCAGACCAAAGAACCAAAATACCTGGAATATTTCCTACGCTTCATCCCATTGCCCTTGCTCGCAGACTTATCACACTGGCGCTTTGCCTACGGGAGATCGACGAGGGCAAGTCTCAACACTTGAATTTGGGATTCGAAGAGCCTGCTGTGAACATTGGACATCGATATTTTCAGACTGCATCCAGTCTTGTCATGTCCCAGGACTATTTAGTGAGCTCCCTGGATGGATTGGAAACCTTGCTGTTACAGAGTCGTTATCACATCAGCATGGGCGAGCTCCACGTTGCGTGGCAGATTTACAAACGAGCCTCACGCATTGCACATATCATGGATGTGCCTCAGCAGGCTAAGATCATAGGTACCCGGGCTCATTCTGTATGGTTTCAACTGATTTACTGCGATTGCTTCTTATCCATAATGCTGGGGCAACCGATCGAAATGACCGAAAGCATCGTTGGGGCCACAGAAAGCCCACCTGTCAGTAACCCTGCGCAAAGCTTGGAGCGCGCTCATGTGACCATTGCTCAGCGCATAGTCGCACGAAACTTATGCATCCAGCACTGCCATGAGCGCGAGAGAACACAAATAGTTTTTCGGCAGAGCTACGGAGAGACCAAAGCCCTCGATCTTCAACTCAAAATGGGTGCTAGGACTATGCCGACGGCCTGGTGGATGTCTCCTAAATTTGCAGACCAGGATTTGGACCGTGAAATTATGGAAAAGACCGCCAAGCTTTTGATCCAAACCCATCAACACTACCTTCTAGTGATGTTGCATCAACCGTACATTATACTGCAGTTTCCTTGTAATCATGAGATTGATGACTACAATCCGATTGACTACATGTATAGCACAATGGCTGTTGTTGCCGCAAGTCGTGAGGTTCTCACCCGCTACCACATTCTTCGAAATTTCCATCGGTCGCCATCCTACCGTGGATTTGACGAGAAGGCATTCACGGCTTCTCTAGCTCTCCTCTTTGCTCATCTTTCTGGACATCGTCGCGGGTCTGCGAATGTGCTTGAGCATCAACGTCCACATGATCTTGGGGTATTGGAAAACGTCATTGATTGTATGGAGAAAATATCCTCAATGAATCGAGATGCTCAAGGCTCTGCTCGGGCTCAAAGTCTTCGGCAATTGATGAAGATCGAGGCTGAGGCGGCTGATGGATCCCAATTCCTTGTCTGTGGCGCGGACGGAGTCGACAACAATAAGCAAAACAAAGACGTCGGGAGAAAATGTGACTTTGAAATACCCATGCCATATTTTGGCACCATTCGGCTCATCCGGCAGATCTCTGAGAAGCAAGGTGTAGACTTTGCAACTGCTACTCATCTGTCACACATCGCATCTGAAATTTCCTCAAAGAGCCCAGAGAGAGAAATGTCCCTGTACAGGGAATCAGACTCGAAATGGCTCGATGACTGGGTTTTTGAAGAAGATAACGAGTCTCTCATGGGTCGATTCGGATTCTAGACAAATCATGAAGTCTTTTTTAAGAATTTGTCCTCAGGCTACAAGGCAGAGAGAAAGTAGAGTAGGAAATCAGCTTAGTTATTGATTATTGAAGAAGGAATCTGGAAAAAACACAACTGAAGTGGCAGGGATTGGTGGCCTAATGTCTAAGGGATGGCATCTCTCACAATCTGACACCACTACTCCAATTTTGGTGTATCAGCAAAAGCATACCCCGACTTCACTTGGAATCTTCCACCCGCTATGCCTGCTGAGAGTTTACGCAGAACACTCTCATTGTCCCGAGACAACGAAACAAAAAGACTACCAAGATTTTCTTCCAATCGGTGAATGTTAGAAGTCCCTGGAATAGGAAAGATATCATCACCCTGCGCAAGCAACCATGCAAGAGCCAATTGCGCCGGTGTAAGACTCATGGACCTCGCAGATGCTGAGATCCTGTCCAGAACCCCGAGGTTCTGCTGAATGTTTTCCTCGTCCAACCAAGGCAAGATTCCCCTGAAATCTCCAGGCTTGGAAACATCCTCGCGCGAGCGGATATTACCGCTCAAAAGCCCATTGCCGAGGGGACTATATGCAACTATCGCAACACCCAGCTCACGGGCAACTTCAAGGAGCCGCGTCTGCGGCGTCTCGATGTCCTTACAGAAGAGACTGTATTCAACTTGCACGCATGTAACAGGATGTACTGCATGCGCACGGCGCAATGAATCTGCGCTGCACTCGCTCAGTCCAATGTACCGGATCTTTCCGGCGGTTTTGAGGCTAACCATCGCTTCCATGGTTTTCTCGATTGGCGTCACTTTATCCAAACGATGGACGTAGTAAATATCGACAAAAGGCAATCCTAGTCGTGCGAGGGACTTTTCAATTGACTGTAGGCAGTACTCAGGCGTCGAGTCGACGGAAAATCCCGGCACCCCAGCTCCCATTTTGATGCCGAATTTAGTGGCCAGGGTGATGTCTTTGCGCGTCTCGGGATTGGCGGCGAACCATTTGCCAATTAGGTCCTCAGAGTCGCCATACTCATCGGCTTGGCATAATCAGATATTTGACTTCAGATGAAGGGCGAAAATTGACATATCAGGGTTCCAGAGTAGATTTATGGGGTTTGCTGGACCTCTGTCTTACCGGTATCCCAAAATCGCTCTCCTCGCTCGTACGCCTTCCGCAAAAAGCACAGTCTCTCCTCATCACCAGCCGGACTACCATACATGCCGCTGGCACCCATCAATCCCAATCCGAGGCGAGGAACGACAGGGCCTTGTCTGCCGAGTGGGCGGGTGGGTAGAGTTTCAAGGTCGTCCATAACTTCTGGTGGATAGTTGCAACTTGCAATTGAATGATGTTCAATAAAATCGAAGAAACTGAATGATGAATCGTAGATAATTTCCAAACCCTTCGACCGGCCGCTTTTATGTTCCCCGACAGTCGGCTTTTGCGGTGGACGAGTGCTTCAAGTGTATAGTTCGCGTGAGCCAATCATATTCTTCCACCGCAATCTCCGTTAACTCCGTGTGTTTGCGACTTGAACATTGTTTTGGACAAAGAATTGAGAATCTGTATAGATATAACTTATAGTATGCAAAGGCAAACATTTTTCTGTCATTATCAATCTATATTACTTATCTTGTATGCAATATACTAGCAAATCCGGTCTCGACGATCATAGCGGCACAGTGAGCTAGTGAGCTCCTCGTGCTCACTGTCTTTCTCCTCGGGAGAGGCCTGACTCGACCGCTTTGATTTGAAGTGCCAAGAACCGAGAATAGATCCGACACAGCGCGAGGTTTCCGCCGAAGTACCAGAAGCCCGGATGACCGCTGGGGCGCCACATCTAAGAGAATCATCAGTATGCAGCCAGATATTGCCCACAATGACACGAGATATCAGTTCTTACACCTTGGACCTCTCCCTCATTATCCAAATCCCAGACATCAGAGCAACGGTCAGCAACCTTATCACCCAGGACCTTCCTCACCGTCGTCCGCATATTGTCGTATCCGGTAGCAAGGACGACAATATCGGCTGGAAGAGAGTCGCCATCGGCTAAATGCAGCTCGTGATTTCCAAAACCATGAATCCCACCTGGGTTATGCTTAACTTTGATCTTGCCATCGATAATAAGCTGGCTGCAGCCGACATCGATGTAATAGCCGCCACCGCGGGTGAAGTATGCGCGCGTAATGCCGGCACCATCTTGTCCGAAGTCAAGCTCGAACCCGGCCCTCCGGAGTCCGTCGAGGGTTTCTTTCTCTGCTTCTGCGATGCGCTTTGTCATATGTACGCTTAGTGCCAGCTGTACGGGCCAAGGGAGGCTTTCGGCGACAATATCACATTCTTCTGTGGGAGGGCTGGATTTTGTGTCAGTATTATTTTAGCGGAATTTTTAAAGGAGTAATTATAAATCGCAATGAGACCGAACATACCCTCCATCCTCATGCAGTCCCTTATGCATCATAAAAACACCTTTATCGGCAGTCAAAACATAGGTCCCACTGCGTTGCAACATAGTCACATCTGCACCGTTCTCGTAGTAATTCTGTGCAATATCATGGCCGCTATTACCAGTACCCACGACAACGACCCTTTTGCCGCGCACATCACTTTCCGATGCGTCACGGTGCTGGCTGCCATGGTACACCTTGCCCTGGAAGGAGTCTTGACCTGGGAATGAAGGGATTCGCGCCTCGCCCGAGTGTCCTGTACACCATACGACATGACGAGGGCGCACAGTACGCTGTGATCCATCACCGCGAGAAAGAATAACCGTCCATTGTCCAGCAGCTTCGTTGTATTCTGCTGAAACAATAGAGGTTTGCATCCAGATGTTCAACTCCATAATGCTGGCGTATGCTTCAAACCAGTCTCCTAACTTATCTTTCGGGGTAAACTGAGGCCAATTTTGAGGAAATGGCAGATAGGCCATGTGGGTAAACTCGGCCGGGTCATGGGTGACCAATGTCTGTATAAGATAAAGTATAAGTAGTGTCCATATCATATTGTGGATTTATGGATCGTCTTCACATACGCGGTACCGATGGCGCCAATTATCACCCACCCGTTCATTCTTGTCGACGATCAAGCACGACAGACCGACACTTTGCAGCCGCGCGCCCATGTTCAATCCAGCTTGGCCTATTCACTGATCAGTATTTTTTTGAGTCAAAAGAAAATATAGACAGATCTGTCCTCTTACCAGCCCCAACGACCAATGTAGTTGGCTCCTCATCCAAGAACTCCTTCTGTCTCTTTCTCCGTTCAATCCAGGTTCCTCCAGCAATACCACCGGGCATTGACTCCGTCGTTCCATCCGCACGGCGCTTGCCCAGAGGCTCCTGGGCGGAGCTCAGCTCTTGTAATGATGTATAAACAGCGTAAGCCTTCCACGAGCCATTGTCCGCCTGTATCAAACGCAGCATTCCAGTTCCTGTGCCAACAGCACTTTCAAAAAAGAACATGGATGAGATCCAGCTCAGGCCATCAACTACCTGCTCCAGACGAGGCTGGAATTTTCCTGTATCCTGAAGCCGGAATTTGGAAAGCTTTGCCGTGCGTTGTTTCTTGGCCAGGAAGTTTTGGATCTCGCCGGCTGTTCGTACAGTGCGCATGTCCCAGTCTAATGCTAGCATATCGCGCCACCAGGACTCATCGTGGAACAGGTCGCTCCCTGCAAAGTTAGCTTGAGCTAGCTGTTCGCTGAGACATGATAGCCATTGATGGGCGATGATTTGTGGATCGGGTTGTGCGTTGAGGGGCGTGTTTGGCAGTTTAATAACGTGTTGGTTTCCACCGGTCAATGTTGTCGCCATTTTGCATCAACGTAGGATTATGAGATGTGTAATTCACGGTATGCGCACTGCTTAATGCTTAGTGTTCAAGCGTTGAGACAACCGGAACTGAGCTTTCTGCTTTCTTTTGTTCATGGTTCCTGGTGCTTCTTATAGCTTTCACACTCTATCCCTCTCTCTCTTCGATTTCTCCATTTTGCCGAACCATGTAGTCAGCAGGTAATTGTGCCGAGTCATACGGCGTGTTTCCGAACGAGGGGCAGATGGAGAACGCGCAGCAGCATAACGTCGGTAACCCCGGACTCCTCCCCGAAGGTGTGGAGATCGGTAAAATGCCCCCCAAATACAATCAGGCAGGTTGGCCGAGTTGATTAGCCTGAACAAGTAAATCTGGCGATTCTAGATTATTACTATATTTGGTATTCAAAGGCACCATTACTACTCCTAGATGCGCCACAGCACCTAGGTAGTAGTAGTAGGCTCAAAGCTCCTTATTAGAGACGCAATTCCAACTCAGATGATTTCTTTTATTATACATTATCTCCTTGTCTTTCGTTATTGTGTAGACTCATTTTGCCTAGATGGGATGTACTTCAATCTGTACCAAGGGCAGTTCCTGATACATGAAACAAGGAAGAGACTCCCATATAGAACCAAGAGCGAGGAAAGAGGTACAATCATGTCTAGCTAGATTGACAGTTGGACGATCTCCTCCCATGATATACATTTTTCATTTCCAGAGATTTATTTCCATGCTAAACTATCATTGCTTGCCCTTGATATTTCAACGCACGAGGTATCGAATATGTGGATCAAGATTCATGTCTTATAGAGTGATGAATATAGCAGCCCTGGAGGGTTTGCTTGTTTGTGCATTCGCATTGTTTGCTTATCTATGTTTGTCATGCATTCCTAGCTATAGATTGAGATTCTAGATCAAAGGTACGGATGGAGAGGAAGGATCAGAATCCCAGGTTAAAATTTTGCCCATAGCTATTGGTGAACTTAACGCATCTGAACGCACGCGTCATGCTCAACCTTGCCTCGACTTCTTTCGCTTCTTGAACATTCACCATATCTTCCATGTTTCCACATTTCATCCACTGTTCCTTCATTTTCGGTCCACCAACAATCATCTACCGTCCCAAACCATGACTCCCAAGAAGCAGCTTGTTTCTAAGTCCTCCGAGACCCCTATGATTTCTAAGTCTGGAGTCACCAAGAGGGCCCCTTCCAAGCGAGCCCCCTCTAGGGGAACTACCGTCAACACCGCTTCCTCTTCCTACAGCCTCGATGCTCTTTTGCTTTGGAAAGTCGGCCGTGTTTCTGGTGGCATCCCCGTACGTATCCTTCACAGCTACTCTGTAGTCGAAACTTACATGCAACCCACGTTATACTAACCGCTTTACAGTTTAATGCGGTGGCTTCTGCTCAAGCACTCGGCATTTCTGTTACCGCTATGAAAAAGCGTTGATGGATCTTGTTGAGGCTGAGGAGGCTGAAACTAGCAAGGCAAAGGCAATTGATCAGGCCATAAACCACGATGATATCAAGAAAGAGGTCAATTCGGAGGATGAAGAGGCCGACTATGATGACGACGACGAGGATGAGACTGCTTGAGCGGCTGGATCTTTAGTATTTGTGCTTATACGAAGACCTCGTTCCTCTTTGGGCTTGAATATCTGCTTCTGCCCTCTGCAAGCCTGGTATCCAACATAGCATTGAATCGGTTTTCTTGACCGTTCCATTTGCGCCACGGCGGTGGTTTCCTGCTTGGTGTGGTCTATCACGGGCGAGCCTCAGTGTTTATTTTAACATGAAATCAGATCAATAAACTTTTAACCTCCAATTCTGCCTGATTAGTAAAGAAAAATGACAAACCGGACGTGAAATTGGACCGTTCTTCTTCTATGCTTGTTTGGTTCGCCTATCTTTGCTCATCAGCACTGGACGGATTGAAGCCAAGTCATTCACATACTTAGTAGAAATCTTTGTGAAGCATAAGATTATCATTCACATCCAGTAATTCACAATGCTATATCCAAGCTCCAAACCCATCCCAACACACATCTGATCAAGTCTCAAGCGACTGATGAATGACACTAGTCCTATAGGTCTCACTAGCCTGAACAAGCTCGTCATGCGTGCCCTGCTCAACACAACGCCCCTCCTCAATGAGATAAATACAATCCGCCTTGTGAATGGTGTTGAGTCGATGCGCAATGGCAACAATCGTCGTTTTCCCAGCAAGGGTAGCAAGAGCGTCCTGGATCTTCTTCTCAGACTCAACATCCAACGCACTGGTTGACTCATCAAGCAACAACAGCCGCGGTCTTCTCACAAGTGCCCTTGCAATAGACAGACGCTGTCTCTGTCCACCGGAAAATTGTTTGCCGTCCTGGTTGCATTGCGTCAGATACCCGTCCGGCAGGGCCATAATGACTTCGTGGACATTGGCCATGTGGCATGCTTCTTCAATCTCTTCTTGCGAGGGTATGTGGCCTGGTCTCGCACCCAGAGCAATATTGAAGGCGACTGTTCCTTCAAACATGACGTTTTCTTGTGGGACGAGGGCAATCTCATCGCGGAAGGTCGTTCCCTGTTGGCGGGTTATATTCACGTTGTCGATTACAACGCTTCCGGACTCTGGGCGATAAAAACGTTCTAGCATTGCGAAAGTTGTCGATTTTCCGGAGCCACTGGGTCCGACTAGAGCGCAAAATTTGCCAGGTTGGATTTTCAGGGTAAGGCCGCGGAGGACAGGTTGGCCGGGTCGAGAGGGGTATTCGAAGTGTACGTTCTGGAGCTCGGCGCCGATGCCGCTCATTGGAGGCGGTTCTTCAGTTGAGTTGGGGATGTGTTGCTCTGGGTGTGCCGCTTCCGGGTCTATAATCTTTTCTTCTAGAAGGTGGGTGTCATAGCTGTCGCCCTTGACGTCGATGTTGAGTTCTTCGTCGCCCGAGCGCGTCGTCAGCAGCTCTGCGATGTTCGATGCTGCAAGACCTGCTTTAGAAATATCAGGCGCGAGGGCAAACATCTGTCCGCAGGACTGGGTGCTAAACAAAAGGGCTGGCAGCACAATGAAGAATTGCGTCTGTGAGTATAGCCCAGCCACGATTTGTTGAGTACCCCACCAATAAGCTAGAGCGTACACAAGATTGCTAATACTGAAGGCCATAGCAAGAAAGACGTTGCCGAATGCAATGGATTTCAAAGTCTCACGGTACGGCGCCTTCAACGCCCTTTCATAAACGGCATAGGACTGTCTCTCGAGTGAAAACGCAGACACGGCACGAATGTTCTTCACAGCTTCAACAGTAATGGCGGTTGCTTTCGCAAATGCCTTTTGATGTCGTTCTGCAAACTGGGCCTGGGTCCGCAATTTCATCATGCCCGCAATCAGAAGAACCGGGATAGTGGGCAGCAAAACGATTGCAATCTTCCATGCAATAGCAAACGAGATCACTAACCCAGCAATTAGGTTCACAGCAGTGGCTAGTAGCAGGCCAATCGTTGTTCCAGTGATACTGCTCAGCGCGGTAGCATCGCCAGTGATATAGGTGAGAAGTGTGCCCGGCGAGCGATCGTCATCTCCATGCCATTTAACAGTCTGATTTAGAAGGGAGCGCAAAGACAAGACTCGAATTCGGTATAAAATCTTATCCGCAGCCCAGCCGTATGCACAGCCGCTGACGACGTTGGCCAAGAGTTCTATCAAAGCCATGATGAAGAACAGCAATCCATATAGATTGCCACTTTGTCGAATACCGTCTGCTCCATCGCACGGACTTAGTGCGCCAACGGTATGACCGAAGATGACAGCCTCTGCAGAGTAGCTGCCTCCGATGATCACTGACATGGCAAATCCAATCAGAATAAAGTGCATGTTTGGACGCAACAGCGAAAAGGTGAACTTTGTCGTGAACCATCCCGAACGCTTGGCCTTGTTCTTCGCCTTCAGTTCCTTCTTTTCTCGCTTCTTTTTTTCCCGTTCCGTTTCTTTCTTGACTTGGTACGCTGGTAACGTCTCGTCTGTGCCTTCACCAACCATCACATCGAGCAAAGCCTCTTTGTTATCAACCGGCAACTCCGCAATGGCGGCCTCTTCATGAGTTTGTCGAATAGGATCCTGCTTCAGGCGTTCTGTCTTCAATCTGCCAAGATTCTGCAGGCGAACCATCTCTGCATAGGAGCCACCCCTCGAGACCAGCTCAGAATGGGTGCCCTGTTCAGCCACGCGGCCCTGCTTAATGACAACAATATTGTGTGCATCTTTTGCAGTGGCTAGACGGTGTGCAATCGAAACTGTAGTAACCCGCTCGGAAACCTTGGTCAAAGCCTCTTGGATCAGCTGCTCACTAGTGGAATCAAGTGCTGCAGTTGCTTCATCAAGAATCAACAACGAGGGCTCGCGGACCAAGGCCCGCGCCAGTGCAATACGCTGCTTTTGCCCTCCACTCAGCATGTTTCCAGATGATCCTACCGTCGTGGCAAATCCTTGCGGGAGGGCATCGATGAAGTTCAAAGCGTTAGAACTAGCAGCAGCCTGTCTGACCAGGTTCACGATTTCGATCACTCTAGGGTCTTGGCCTTCGAGGGCTTTCCTTTCAGAGAGATCGGTCCGCAGCTGGGCAACCAAATCAGGAAGTGTGGAATCGAATATGAAAGGAGCTAGTGGCTGGTGTTGTTCGGCGGCTGAGGTCACTAATCCATATGCAATATTCTCCAAAATTGAGCGATCCAGTAGTGATGGCTCCTGTTGAACGAACCCAATGTTTCCACGTAGGTACTTCACATTCAAGTCACGGAAATCCTGGTTGCCGATACATATCTCACCGGACATGGGGTCGTAAAAGCGTTCCAGGAGGGCGACAATGGTCGATTTGCCTCCTCCAGAAGGTCCCACAATTGCAGTGTGTTTACGAGAGGGGATAGCAAAGTCTACTCCCATAAGTACTGGCACATCTGGTCGAGATGGGTATGTGAAGTGCACATTTCTGAAAGTGATATCATCCGAGTCGAAAGGAGCGGACGTATTGCCCGAATTGGAAGTGCCATCAATGTTAGATTTGCGGTGGATGACCGTCAAAAGCCTATCAGCTGCTCCGGCCGCAGAGGCAAAGACATGAACGAATGGGGCGACTTGACTCAAGATGAAAGACGCATCAATCAGAACAAAAATGACGGTATAAACCGCTCCAACCGATACTCCAGTGCCGCCGGCTTCGACAGAATCGGCAATCAATTGAGCACCCTCCCAAAAGGCCAGTGCATTCGCACTGTAAGCAACGAAATAGAGGAATCCCAATTGACCGGCATGTGTTGCCGCCTTCTTGAGGGCATCCATCCGGGATGCAGAAATGTGGTCCGCGAATAGTTTCTCCAGACGAGCATGAGCATTAAAAGCATGCACTAGCATCAAATGGGACAAACTGGACGATGCGATCGATGTGGCAGCATTAGAATGCTCAGTAATGCGTCCGGCATACTTTTTGATATAGTAGCCTCCAACAAACGTCATGAAGAAGTAGCAAGGTACAACAGAGACCAACATTCCCGCAATCTGAGGAACCTTGATAAAAGCAACAATATATGAGGTAATGAAGTATGAAACGGTCGAAATTACCAATCCGACCTTCTCCGAAGTACCAGACTGTACGACTTCGATGTCGCCGACCAATCTCGAGACGACATCACCAGCTGGTAAACTCTCGATATATCCGGTTTCCTGTCTAATAACACTTTCAAAATAGCGGCGGCGGTACCGGCGGGCGATTCGTTCACTGATCAAACTCCAGCAGCTGCAGTGGATATAGATAAAGCAAAAATTGGCAATGGTGATATATATCACGTAGAGAACTTTTGTCTGTACTCCATTTGTTACGCTGGCGTTTGTGGTATCGGATGGTGAGCAGGTGGCGGTGTTTAGGTCGTTTATTAGTTCTCCAAAGACAATGCCTAGGAGTGGGAAGGGAATTCCTGCGGCGACGGAGAAAGAGACACCGGCGATTATGAGGAAGACATCGGTTTTGGTGTAATCTAGCGAGAAGAGGAGTCGAATATATGAAAAAAATTTGCCTAGTCCTTGTTTGGTTGGCGTACACCTTTTCATATGTCTCGTCTCCGTTTGATCAGTTTGATGTTAGGGCTTCGTGGAACTGAATGACTTACAAGAGACTTTTGTCCCTTCCGCTCTGCGTCTACCATCTTTTATACTGTTTTTAAACAGCCTTCCCTCCACAACTGCAACAACCCAATGGAAATGAATGTCAGTCTTGAATCACCAGTTCAAGACAATAATCAGATTCAAGGCCGGAAGTTTTCAGTCAAACCGATCCACCCGAATCAGATACCGGATCGAATGAGACGCAGGTCCATTAAACCTGAAAGATGATTCTTGATTTCGAAATGAATAAGCCCTCAAACTCGACAGTGCATCGAATGATTAGAGGCACGAAAGCATAAATCTCAGGAATAAAAGAAAACTCAAGACTCAAGAACAAAAGTCAACCCCCACCCTTCCCCCAGACCATCACAATTCACAGTGGATCATAATCAATCTACACAAAAACGTGCACGGGAAAGCAAAGGCCTCGATGATCGATTCCTAATAGAGTGGGACCCATCAAACTCGTGTACCCTGCATTGCCGATCCCTTAAAAGCGCAACCCCGGAGCGATTTCTCGCAAGTGATTAGCGAGACTATGGGGAATTTCTTCCAATCAGGTGTTCACACCTCTGGCACTCCGGCGGAGCTCCTTTTTCTTTTTCATCTGATAAGTTTCAATATATGGATCTGGATGTCAGACCTTTATGGTTGGGATATTGTTTCATGATTTCCTATTGCATTTGCGTATGCCTAAAGCATGGTCTTCAACAGGTTTTTTTTATCAGATTGTGATATCTAATCTGATTGATAAAAAAGGAGAAAATCAGCGTCAAAGTTTTCGACGAAAAGTCAAAGATTGTAAGGTTTGGAGATGCCCGTTTCAGGTTACAGTGCGTATTTGTTCCAGGGTCCAAGTTTCCCAGCAAAGTTTGTAGTGTCGATCTTTATCTGCGTCATTTCATGTGATAACCTCTGTATAGAAATGTGTAATAATTTGCTTGCATTTGTTTCCACATATTAAGCGACTATCTTACAAACCTCAATCGAATTATTGGTTGTGTGTGCCTTATTTATTTCTTGCAGTAGGTACTCAACGGGCTTTTCCGCCGATCAACGTCACAGAATACCTGGCAGTGGAGACAGTGGGGTGCCGAGATTTTTCAAGGGTCTTGTCATGGACTTTCCTTTGAGTATCAAATTAATAAACACATGAATTTTGAGATATGAAAACACAAAAAAACATATGTACACCGAAAACCCCACGGCCTCACACGCCACGCTAAGGGTTATTAGAAAAAAAAATGCATACAGAGCGAATCACTGAGTTCGTCGAGCCATGAAGTAAGTAAGCAGGTTAAGAGATCCCTCACGAGGGGGCTGGGTAACCTTTTGTACCCTCTCCGATCCGAAGGTAATATTTAAGAATGTGCAGAGCTCAGTTGCATTCTTTCGAACGCCAGGACGCGGGTGGCTGAGTTGCTGCATAACGACAGCTCCAATGCTCGCCAGGAGTTCGTCCGAGATCTCGGTGCCAGGGCGAGTAAGGGATTGCTGAATAGTACTCAATCCCATGATAATTGACCTGTATGTCTCATCCGTTTCGGTCTCGAGGTTCAATGCCTGAAGAACACCAGCGATCGCCGTCTGGGCCGAGGTCAGGAACACAAGCTTATCGGCCACTTCTTCCAGGCCCACGACAAAGTGGGAAGAGGATTCGTAATATTGACGGGCCCGGATTATAGCCGCCATGGCGCGAGTGTCGTAAGGGTGGAAATGCTCGCGGGTCCGCATGAGCATGGAACGAATAGTAGTCAAGACCTGGGTCTTGACGTCGTGATCCTTGCGGTTGTGAGGAGTTGCTTCCAGTTCGGTGAGCAGAGCTTCCAGCATCGCATTGTAGTCCTGGCTTTGAGCGACAATCTCTTCGCCATGGTATTGGAACAGGCCCTGCAACTTGCGATATCCTGAAGGTTCCATGGTTTTCGATTGAATACGGGCGAGGCCTTTGTGAATCATTTCCTGGGCATTGGCAGGGTCCTTTGAGCGCGGGCTAGGACTGCGATGACGATCAACCCATTTTCTGGTGCGTCGAGTAGAGTCCTCAGATGTTGTTGACTGGGACAATGTTGACTGGGACAGTTTCGATTGAGATATCGATTCGGACAATTGTTGTCTCGCTTCCGGGGAACGCCGTGTGTTCTCATTAGCCGTAACCTCTTCAAGAGCATTTGGCTTGGCCGCAGATCGCGGAAGTGGGGGCAGTTCCACAGGCTTGCTCAAACGTGGAGTTGCGTTCTCATTGTTGCCATCGGTGTCGGTATATTCCACAATAGGTTCCCGAGGGATTATGGTGTCCATGTCTGTGACAATGTTGGAAGCCACTGGCTGGGTACGACCCCGCGTCGGTGACGGACTGGGTTGAAGCGGCGCTCGACGAGTAGGAGATGGGGTTCGCATCCCAAAGTTCAAAATAGCGTCCTGGCTGGGAGCCAAATCTGGGGTGGGCTTCCTCGCAGAGGCAATTACTGGGGCTACAATTTCTTCAGAAGCAGATTCTGCCTCAGCTTCATCATGAACCGGTTGATCGACGCGTGGAGGAGACTTGAAAGGGGTCATGAATGGGGACTTGGAAGGGGTTTTCGAAGGCGTTTTTGATGGTGTGACCATTCCAACTGAGGCTGTAAAGATATTGTTTTCATGTTCAGCTGCAGTAGGCGTGGCAGGATCTTCGTAGATGACCATTGACTCGGGTTGACTTTTGGTGACGGATTCAGGGGCAGGAACGGGGCTCATATTTGGTCGTTGGTGTGAGCGAGACTCGGCAACAACTGCCTCAGGAACGTCGCGTGGTGGAGATACGGCGACAGCGATTTCCTCTAAAACCATCGGTTCCGGTCCCGATTCTTCGAGGGGAACTGAATCGGCATGGGGTCCATCCGGCGCTGAGTTCAGAAGAGGCTGTGAGGGAGCAAGGGGAGGGCTCTCCAGTACCACAGGTGCCGGCGAATGACGGTGCGCGGTTGGACTTAGCTGACTGCCTTGGCGGGGAGTCCTTACGGACAGGTGGTTTGTGATGCTCTCGCTTGAGTCGCTGCGAGCGCGATTCGCTGCCGCAAGATCATTGTGGGACTTTGACTTTGACAGGTCCAGCTTTTTAGGTCTTCCCTTCGTCGTGACAGCCTGTATAGAGTCATGTGGGCGAGTACGAGGAGCTGACACGGGTTTGGAAGTAGGTGTTGATGGCTTAGATCGCACAGCCCTGGGGGAAGTGGTTGCTTCTCGCGTAGTCTGAGTTCGTGACTCGGGGCGACGAGCATAAGGGTCTGCGGTTGCGGGACGACTCAATTCCGCTCGTCGAGGCTTCATGCCAGGTCTCATAGGAGCAGAGGAAAGAGACGAGATCGGCGCACCTGTGGGCACAGTTCGAGTGGGTTTGGAGGCAGGGACAGGTTGCTTCGACTCGGTAAATTCTGGTTGGGCTGACTCGGGGCGAGAAGGCATTTGAGCCTTCTTCCGAGCAGCAATGGCTTCTTGCAGAGCGAGTCGGCTCTTTGCGGGACTCTTGGCAGGGACTGCAGACGAAGGTTTCAGGCCTGCATTGGGGTTTGATGGATCTTTCTCGAGCAGGTTGCGCGACTTGACGTCAAGTGTATCTGCTATCACATTGGCTCTCTCAGGCCACACATTATAAAAAGTCCAAAAGGTACCGCGAGATGCTTCACGCACACCGGGATTAGCATCCGCCAATCCTTTTACAATGGACTTTTCGACAAGATCTAGACCACCACCATGCTCAACCGCGCTTTTATGATGAGCTTGTCGGCTAATCAAAGTTTTTAACCACCCTGTGGCAAACAAGCGTACCCCAACATTTTTATCTTGGGCAGCAAAAGCGACGTGCTGTAGAAGACGAATGTTAAATGAAACATTGCTAATGACCGCATCGACTGCGGCATTTCCATTTTGGGCAGCAATTTTTTTAAGGGCCGAGCAGAGTTTCATTAGATTCTGCATGATGATTTCAACCATTGGGTCAATTTTAGGACCACACGTCCGCGCAATGTCTTGAATCAACAAGCTCCCGTTTGTGGACATTGTAGTCCGCAGGGAGTTAACGACCTTGAAAATGCCATCAAGAAGGGTTTTCGTTGCGCCAAGATAGGTTTGTGTGAAGTCTTTTGGTGCATTGCCTCGAGTCACTCTCCGGAATAAGATGACATTCTTTTCACGCTTCGACCAATTTTCCTCGGACTCTTTCCCTTCGAACCAGGGTAGCATATCACGAACAAGGTCATCAATATCCCTGGCTGATGCAACATCATATGGTTCCAACCCATCATCATCTGGCGGCGGAGGCTGAGACACATGCTGTGCTGCGGGTGTATGAGGCCGGTTGATGATTGGTGGTTCAGTAGGTGCAGAGGAGGCCATGGGTCGCTCACGATAAGCTCTTGAAGCTGGGCGGCTTTTCAGGGGATCAAATTCTGCAAATATGTTAATTACGAGTACAAAATAAACCGCGCTTTACTGGAAATCAAAGGACTGACCATCTTCGGTGTATTCCATGGCATGAGAACGTGACGACATTACTGAGATCGGGCGTTCGACGCGCGATATTGGACGGGATGCTGTCTCGGGTTCAACAGACCCTATACCAATTCCGGAGAGAATGGCATTTGCGATAGATTTCCTGACACCTCGAGCTGCGATTTGTTTTTGCAGATCAGACTTTGCTCTTGCGGGACCGTTCCTAGAATTGTTAGAGAGATTCGATATATATATTAGAACTGTAATACCACTCACCGGAACAAATCAATCACAACCAGCTTGGCTGTGTCTCGAACGGCACTGTCGGCGTCTTCTAGACACGCGACTAGAGACGGAACATATTGGCGGAACAATAACCCGTGATTCTTCGTCATCTGTGGGTTTTAGGTTAGTAGCTGAGACAAGACTTGCAGGTGCATCAACTTGCATTTGCTAACCAGACCATGCTCATTTCTTTTGCTCTGTGGTTCTTCCCTGTCAATGCAACTTCCAGAACGAAGTATTCAACCTCATTGCCAGCTAGAGGCCACAATTCGGTGAATGTTAAAGCAGCTTGTGTTCTTATGCGCTCTTTTTGGTCGTTCAGACGTTCCAACAGGGTGGGATATAGGTTTTGGGCCTGGTTTGTGATCCATTGTTGCTGGTCTTGGATTATCAGGCGCTTTATGAGATGACCGAGTGTAGAAAATCCGGGACCGACAACAGAATAGTGTTGGGAGCTGATGGCGAGACGCAATGTATCGAAAATTGCTCGGATCGCTCCTTCTGGAACATTCTTTTGCTTGATATCCGATTTGATACTAGACAGATAGGCGACCTTTGAATCAACAGAGAGGTTCGGGTTCTTGAAGGCCGCCAGGAGTTCCGCTGCCTTCGCTTCCATGGTCAATACCGAGAGATGATCTCAGCTCGGGTATGACACGGAAGAGAATGAGCGGAAGGATTCAATTTTATCAACTAGATGATCCGGACAGGATGATGTAGCGTAGAGAATCGGGGTTGAAAGGAGGACTTCGATTATGCGTCACTATGATAAAAGTTAATACGGCGCAAAGGCGCAAAATACTATGGCAAACACAGCCAATGCGACAAGAGAGATCTGGGCAAGACAACTCACACGACTAACACGTACCGAATTCGATGGGTTTGCGATCGGAGAAAAGCGCGCTGGAGTGGGGGAAGTTGGAAAAGCGGACAGGAAAACAAGGGACGATAAGCGCGTGACGATAAGCGCGAGGGACAGTGATTAAGGGGTAAATGACCTTGATTCGCGGTGATTTCTCTTAACTATTCTCTCAAGGAGGTTCCCAATCCCTTTTTGTCCTTCTTTACTTTCAGGATTACTTCTCAGTACACCTGTGGTTGTGCCTGGAACCAGCCCAACCTTCAACTTGTTTTGTTTACTTCGGTCTTTATTATGGTCGCAACGGGCAACCAGCGTCATAGATTAAACTGAGAGAAAATTACGTGTATGTAGTATCTGTAAAAATACAGATCTTGTCTCAGGAATTGTTTCTTGGGTTTTATCTCCGCTATAGAGAATTACCTATTCTGTGTCGCTGAAAGGACTGTTCAATGGGACAGCTGTTCAATCTCAAAATATAAAATATACATGTGAAGCTCAATATGCAGTATGATGCTAGACCCCGCGAGATCGTCCAACAAGTGGGCCGTGCTAGAGTAGCATGGAATGTTCCTTAAAATAACTAATTGCACCGTGTCTAAAACCTCTGGAAACTCTTTGAGTTAAAGGTATTACGCCGCAACAATATAGGGGGTAGTTAGCTGTTAGGTATTGTAAAAATACTCTAAAGAAGAAAGAGAGAATCGAAAAAAGACCTATATAAAGTCTTATTGAAAGTATAAAGAAGAACCAAGTTTCGTCAGACTTTCTAAACGAAAATGTATGTCAGATGTCCCTTATAAAATGATACCTAGACCCCCAGGGCCGCCGAATCCAGATATAATCATATAATCACACCCCGCACCCCTCGGACTTGATACACGATTCAACATCCAGTTACAACCCTCGCAGTATTTATCTGTAATCTCGGCAGTGTACCTCATTGATTGATAGATCTTTGGATGAAACACAATGACGACCTCTCCTGCCCCCACACACTCCGCGATTCCCAATGCCAAGGTGCAAGGGCAAGAGCCAGCCCTAAGCAAGAAGCAAATTCCAGAGTGCAGCACCAGCCCAGCAATTCCCCAGCCAAAGTTCCGGCTTCATGTCCAAGACCTCCGGCATCCCGCATCAAGCGTCTTTCTCGCATTTATCCCAGACCTCGCCTCAACATTAGACAGAGCCCTAATCAACATCGTCAAACACCTCTACTCTGTGCCAAAACCCAATCTCTTGGCGCAAAAGCACCGACCAGATTTTGCACCCACTATTCCACCAACAAGATCCGTAACAGTCTTCCTACGCGACTATAACGGCGTGGCCTACACAACAGGCACTGAGCTTGACGATTCCCACAAGGAGATACACGTCTCTCTCCCCGTACATTGAGCACTGTACGTCCGGCCCTTCTGCGAAAGAGGACCCGCTTCACGAGCTAGTCGGAGTTCTTACGCATGAGCTTGTGCATTGTTATCAGCATACTGCGCCGCCAGGTGACTCTGTCCCGCATCCACCCGGCGGGTTGATCGAGGGAATTGCCGATTTTGTGAGGCTTAAGGCTGGACTGGAGCCGCCGCATTGGAAACGGCCGACTTGTGCGGGTGAGAGGCCCCCGAAATGGGATATGGGGTATCAGCATACGGCGTATTTCTTGGCTTGGCTTGAGGATGTCAGGGTTGGGAAGGGGGCTGTCGGAATGCTGAATGATCGCCTTTTTAGGGTTGGGTATGTTGGCGAGGAAAAGGATCAAAGTGGCGTTGGGTTCTGGAAAGGTTTGTTTGGGGCTGAGGTTGGGGACTTGTGGGAGGAGTACGGACGATACTTGGATGGTTCGGCAGAGGTTAGTGGAAAGAAGAAATGTTGAAACTGGAGTTACAGTCATAGACTGCATCTAGATATTTATAGTTGGGTGGTAGACTGAATCATGCTACGGTTAGAATTACAAGACTGAAGATTTAGGTTAACATTTATTTGGTTTGTATCCAGTAAATATCTAGCACTTCTATATTTGAAAGGACACCGAGGCCATGGGTTACCTTGCCTGAGTCGATTTATAACAAGAGAAGAGTATAGCAGGCGGAAAGAGAACAGCAAGGGAAATTTAGAAAAAAAGACACCAGGTGAATCGAAGGGATTGGAATTTCCCATAATGTACAGGATCCAGTCATATAGAAGACAGGATGTATGACTCTTTTTACCGCCGGCCAGCTTCCCATGCGAAACAATAGCACACCGGAAAAAGAAAAGCGAGATAACAAAAAAAAAAAGACATGAAATAATATGTTACCGTGCCTTGGAACCAAGGCATCTAATTGCCCCCAATACCTTAAACAATGACCTCACCCAAATCAACATGCACTGGCTTCCACGGCGCAGCGGATGGCTCCTCCATCGCACTGGGAACACGGACAGAGATAGGGCTGTAAAGGTACCAACCCTTGAGGGCGGCAACAGCAGCACGCTCACGGGCCTCAACCAGACTGGCGCCAGCGCCCTCCCCAAGCTTGTCCTGGCCAGAGAAGATACCAACCACGAAAACGGGGTGTCTGCTCTTACGACCAGTTTCACTAATGATCTTGGCAACTGGTCGCTCGAAGTCCTCGCGTGCACACAACCGGGTCAAGTCACGGGCTGGTGCGTGGAAATTGAACAATTCTGAGATGTTGAGGTGTCGTGATAGGAAGTGCTGCTCAAAGAATCGCTTGGCAGCAGCGCGACCAGCATGCAGATAGATGGAACCCATGATCGCGCGGACAAACTCCGCACTCGCCTGTTCGCTGGTGACGCCGGCGGCGGCATCAGTGTTACCCTTGAGCGGGTCACCAAACTCATCATCGTAAAAGATCTTGGAGGTAACCGTTTTCCTCCAGTTCTTCTGCGATTCGTATGGGCGAGCTGTTTGACTAGGCGGCGGCGAGGGAACCTCAGCACCAGCCTCGAGCCTCCGGAATTGCAAAAGACCAGGGTCAACTTCTCCACCTGGGATCGCGGCGAACTCGACACCCCATTCTCTTGCCATTGCGGCGAGCGTCTTAGGGCCGGCGTATGCGTACATAGCGGCGAAGATTACGGTCAATGGCAAACGGGGGTAGTTGCACAAAAGGTGCTCGGTTGCATAGTAGGAAAGGAGGTCATGACCGAGTGTTGCCAGCGAGGCATTGTTGAAATTCGGGTTTGAGTCGGCCGACGCATCAACTAGCGTCCGTGCAAGGGTCTCAACGGGCAGTCTGGAAGGTAGGTAAAGTCGGGCGTGAAGGGCGGCGAGCTTTGCGGATTGTTTAGCAGCTTCGACCGGGGGAGAGGGATATCGAAGTTGCGAGCGGCGAATGTGAGATTCATTCACAATTTGATCCAACCTCTGTTGGTTCACGGCTGCTGGTTCCTCAAAGATTGATTCATTTTGCTGGATTTCACTTGTCCGAGCGGAGGCATCGGTTGATTGATACCGCTGTCCGCAGATGTGTTGATGCAGACGGTTAACAATCCGAGCCCGCGGTGAGAGGACTGAGCTGCTCCATCGTTGGAGCTGCAGCCTCTTCATCTGGGCGATTGTGATGTGAAGATCGGAAAAAAATTATACAATGGACGAAAGAGAGAATCGCGACGCAATCAATTGGCACCCGTCAACGAGAGGAGGAGAAATTATTGTCGCGGCAGTCACGGGATGGCCAGGTCGTGTGAGGTTGCGCTAAGCCTAATATGGGACCGGTGTCTTGGCACCAGACCTGCGATTGAGACGGCCCTTTCGGCTTCTAACTTCGAGATCAACCTACACTCGCTTTTTCTCTCCCATATCCCCTTCAATTGCACATTCATCACAATGGGTGGAGGTGGAAAGATCCCGTATGTTTTCTTTTCTTTTCCGGATTCCCACCATGAGCTAATAGATTCACATGGCAGGTACCCCAAGGAAGTCTGGTCCCCCGCTGGTGGTTGGTACGCCCAGCCGGCCAACTGGAGGGTCAACACTGCGATCATGGGCGCTTTCGTGTTCGGCGTTGCCGCGGTCGCCTTCAGCCTCAGCGCTGAACGGGAGTACCGTGACAAGATGCCCGAACCCGGCCGGTTCTTCCCCAGCCGATAGTCAGTACCACCGAACCTATGTCACTCAATATACTTCGTGCTAACATTTTTGTTTCCCTATCCAGCTGGAGCAAGCAAATCCGCGAACACGAACAACAGCAAGCTGCGAAGAACGACTCATGAAGAGAATCCAGGACACTGGACGGTAGTTTGTGGGGGAACTCTAAACAGGATTGGTCTTTTTTTCATGTGTTTTTTCTACTATTTGATCACTTTTGTGCTGTACGACAATAGAAGGGCGTTCTCCATTCGACCATCGATCAATTGGTCAATAGGTGTCTCTGGGGAGACTCTTCAAGTGTCCTCAATAATCGCTGCGTGTACAGGCGGACACGTTCCGTGAATTCAGACTGATTCCACGATTCTTCTCCTTCTCCCTTGTCAATTTGTGGAACGCCAATTTGTTCCACAACAAATCCCGCTGCGACTGTTGCGCAGATGAGTGCCATGGGGTGGTGCTTGAAGCTGCCCCAAGACTCAAGACCTTTCTTCCAGTTGTCTGACTGTGATAATACGGATTGGATGACCTGGAATGGTTCCCGGCCTGCAGTCACCATGCCCTGAGCCAGAGCACCTAGAAAACAGTTCCCGGCGCCCGTGGGGTCGACGACTGGTGTGGCCCCCGACGCATCTGGCTGGTGGTATGCGGGAAGCCAAATCTTGCAGGTCTTAGAGTAGGCGTAGCTACCGTCCTTTCCAGCTCTTATAACCAGAAGACCATTTCCATCTGGACCGATGCCAGAGTCCGTAATTCTTCTAACTAGCGCCTGCCCCTCTTGGCTTTCCTCGGTCCAACTAGGCTGGTCGAACATCATGCTGAGTTCCATATGGTTAGGACTCACAACATCCACAACGGCATTGGCTGCAAAGAAGTTCTGTTGTTCCTCCGGGGTACAGAGGTCAGGAACTGGTTCCCATATGAAGATAGGGCGCTTGGAAACATCTGCCGTGGAAGGGACACTGCCGGCCTTGCGCAATTTTTCTCGTCGCTGCAAGATATTGTGCACTATATAGATACAGCGAGATGCGGAACACACCATGTGGAATGTCTTTGACCATACTTGTCTCTCGGAGAGCATTTCAGGCTCGAGTCTCAATTTTGGAGTCAAATATTTGAAGTCTGCGGGGTCAGTCAACCTCGCATTCCGACGAAACATATCTGGATACTGACCTCGTTGTTCATTGGGGTGATATCCATTCCAGGCTCTCGTAGTTAGCCTGCTGGTATCCTCTCTGAATAGACAGTCTGTGTTCCATGATTTAATCACAGCGAGTGTTTCAGACGGGAAATCAGAGCCCACATCCACAATCCAGCTTACAGCTCGCGCATGCTTAGAACCCGATACCAAGCGTGCGCCTACAACTGCAAATGATGCCGCTCCACCCGTGATATTCTTGACTGCGGGTCTTGCGCCACCAAAATCAATGTCATCTACACATGAATGCAATTGTCAGCCTGCCTTTCGCTTTGAAAGAAGCAACGTACCAATGATGAACATTCCTAGGGTACAAAACTCGACATCGCCATAGTTTGAAGCGGCCATAGTTGCAGCTCTGGCTTCATATGAAACTGAATGGTATTGCTTGAAGAGACAAGCAACAAAAGAACATTGGGAGTCTCGGGGTTTATCAATGTATAGTGGATCGAACCAGTGTAATACAATTACCAAATATACCCCGCAACGTCATCTGTACCAACCCTTCCCGCTGTAACTTACATACGACAGCTCGGCATCTGCAGTGGCCCTCAGGAGCTCCGATCTTCGTCTTCTTTCTACTCCCTATCATTCCGTGTGCTTTGTTCAGATCGCGAGGGAACAATTAATTATACCTAGGGATCATTACTCAAAGATAATCTTTGGGTAGTAATCCTTTCAAATCCCCCGTTTTCTCCCTTTCCACTTCAGCCGTTGGAGCAACGTGTTGCCTGTCATGGCGTCCGGCGGCCATATGCATAACTTCACCACTCTCATCAAGCGGTATGTATCCTTCTTGTTTGCGGCAGCAACACTGGGCTCCTTGATATTTGTTACGATTTCGTCTACGCTGTCTGACCATCAAATTCGCCTTTCTCTACTGACGCCGGACTTGTCTACAGGCTCGAGGCAGCAACCTCACGTTTGGAGGATATGGCTATGTCACTCGATGGCCCCAGCTCGCCAAAGTCTGTGGGCGGTCCTTCATCTGCTTTGCCCGCTACTCCCGAACCCCCTAAGTCCCTCCCTCCTCCGCCGGCAGTCCCCGCAGCCGCCCCAGTTCCGCCGCAGATTCAAGACTTCGATGCCTTGATTAAAGGAGATGTCCAAAACTTTGTGACCCTCGGAGAGAAGATTGGTGGCTTGGTTGCCGAGCAGGTAAGGTTTTTTTTGGAGAAAAGCTTTTTGCGTTTGATCTCAAAGATCTCAGTGGTAGCTAATCAATCTAATAGTCGAAAGCCGTCCTCCGGGCCTTCCAAGCCGAGCGCACATATCTTTTCGTTGTCATAAAGGCCAAGAAGCCCGATACTCAGCCCCCAGAGCTGATGACGGATCTGCACAAAGCATCTGACAGTATCAACAACATCCGCGAATCAAACCGGGCATCACCACTCTTCAACCACCTGAGCGCCGTTGCGGAGGGTATCGTTGCACTCGCCTGGTTCTTTGAGAGCAAGCCCGCAGACTTTGTGACGGACATGATTGGTGGCATTGAATACTATGGAAACAAAGTTTTGAAGGAGTACAAGGACAAGTGAGTACACGCGTGGATTGGCAATCGCAAGGTTGGAGACTAATATTTCCAATAGGGACAAGACGCATGTCGAATACATCAAGGCATACTACCAAAACTTTAAGGCTCTCGCAGAATACCTTAAGAAGCATTTCCCTAAAGGTCTCACATGGAACAATGAGTCTGGCATTGATGCACTGGAAGCTTTGAAGCAAGCCAAGGGCGGATCTTCCCCAGCTCCTACCGGTGGCATTCTCCCTCCACCTCCTCCCCCCATCCCATCTCTGAATATCCCCAGCGGTAGTGCTCCTCCCCCTCCCCCTCCTCCCTTCATTCCCCCGGCCCCATCACCCGCGGCCCCATCTCCTGACATGGGCGCTGTCTTCGACCAGCTCAACCAGGGCGAGGGAATCACTTCCAGTCTCCGAAAGGTCGACAAATCCGAGATGACCCACAAGAACCCCAACCTGCGCACCAGCTCAACTGTATCGGAGGGCTCTAGCGCCGTGCGCGGCAAGTCGCCAGCTCCTAGCAAGAAACCTAAGCCCGAGAGCATGCGCACGCGCAAGCCGCCCCGCAAGGAGCTCGAGGGAAACAAATGGTATATCGAGAACTTCGACGCCCCGGGCGATATCATCGAGATCCCCGCGCAGCAGAACCAATCAATTCTCATCACTCGCTGCAACAAAACCATCATCAAGGTCTCGAACAAGGCCAATGCCATCGCCATTGACAATTGTGTCGGCCTTTCCCTCATCGTCGACTCTCTCGTTAGCAGTCTTGATATCATCAAGTGCCCCAAGTTTGCTGTGCAAATTGACGGCGTTGTCCCGACTTTGCTGATGGATCAGGTCGACGGTGCTGCTGTTTACCTTGGACAGCAGAGTCTCAACACTGAGATCTTCACCAGCAAATCCTCTGCCATCAACATCAATCTTCCCCCGCCGGAGGGCACTGATGAGGACACCAAGGAGTGCCCTCTGCCAGAGCAGTTCAAGAGCTATATCAAGAACGGTGTGCTGGTGAGCGAGATTGTCGAGCACGTTGGTTAAGTGAGGTTTTATCTCCTTGGACTTTGAATTGTAATACATGTGCTTTGGTTGATCTCACTAGGGCTTCTTCCTACGCATATTGATATTTCGTTTTCGATATTTTTGGTTCCTGTATCTAGGTAGCGCTGTAGATATAAATCGCAGGAATCCAGATCCGCTTTGTCTTTTCAATATATCTAGGTTCGCTTGTTGTAACCTTGGAAGCTCGCAGGCCAAGTTCGCAGCTAAATCTGGAATATATATCAAATGTTAATTATGTCGTTGCCACCCAAATCCGAGACAATCATACCGTTAATGACCTTGGAAAGACCAAATTGAGTAGTTGTATGTACCTGATAAACAACTAATGTTTAAAAAGAGAAAACTTACATTGAAAATATTCGCCGCAACTTTTCGAGAATATATGTTATTAGCCATGCCAAGTTTGTATATCTATGGTCGGAGACCCTCCTAAGAAGCACCGATAGAAACATGTGCAGAAAAACGAGTCGGAAGAAGACAATGAACTTATATTCAAGTATTTCGGTAGATCTTCTAAACGGAAATGGATATAAGTACTTAAGTTTTCTAATGTTTATACTACAGGACGCGCCAAAATCAAGTCTTGATCAAACACCCCAAGAATCAGAAATCGAGTATGTGCATAGGCTCCCATTGTATAAACCAAAATTAAGGACGTCCAAGGCAAAGGAGAGAATAAAGAATGCATCGGACATAAAACCAAGAATGAGGAATGATTCTCAATGCTATTATTATGTGGGGTTAGTATAGACAGCGATTGGCCGCAAACCAGTGCGCCATGTGATGCTGCTTTGTTCTAGTCTGTTCGCCGATGGCGTCAAGATACATATGTGGATAGGTAACGATTATACCGGGTGGCGAGCTGGAAGGTTCAGCGGGGGCGGGGATCAGGCATGGGAGATCGTCGATCATAGAGTCCTAGCTTGCTTGGATGGTGCTCGTCTACTAGGGATGGGTCCTGTCTGTGGACATCGAGACCTCGAAGTCTTTTGGCGAGGAGGCTCTCGCCAAGTTCTGGGCCATTTGGACTCGGAATGTAAGGGTGTTCTCCGTACCCAACATCGCATCGAGTGGGCTTGTGAGAAACGAACGCACTGCCAGAGTGCGAGTTTCGAGGAGCGTCCGTGATATCCATGGAAGTGGGCTGATCTAGTTGCGAGGGGATGTGGTTTGAATCCGACATTTTTGGGCGATGACTAGGAAGCGTTCCTTGGCCAACACTTTGTCTGCGGGAAACGAGTTCCATTGTCAAACGCGGATTCGAGCTCGCAGTGCTGGAGATTGATGGCTCCCGAGAGGGCTTGTACGGACTGTACCGGGGTTCCGGGGTTTGAATCTCATTGCGCAGCTTTTCTTTGCCATCGGGGACACGATTTGCGAACACGACGCGGATGCTCGAATGCAAGTAGAAACGACCACGAGCGGGGCAACAAATGTTCAGATGAATGAGGTATCGTAGAGTTGGTTTGTCCTGCGGGTCTTCTGAGGCATTCAAAGAAGCTTCAGGGCGATCGGTTCCATAATTCTTCCGTGCACTGAGGGGCATGTCGATAATCGGACCCGCCGAGTAACTACGCTGCCGAATGAAGGTTTTTGTGCCGGGCTCCATATCGATGAGATCGTAGGGAACCAAGAACAGTTTGACCGCAGTTTTGTGTGGGTTCTTGATGATTATCTGCAGTTGACCCTGTTGTGGAATTCGGTAAGATCCTCCCGGGGGGCACTTAGGTGATTCGGACCTGCGATGCTTTTTTTCCCGGCGGCGTCGTATTTCAGCCTCAGAGATACAAGTAGGGGTTGCTAAGTCTGCAGGAGTGCCTTCACAATATTCAGGTGGATTCGTATGCCGCCTGCGTCGTCTTGTTGGGTTCGGGTTCTCCTTGGGCAGCGAGTTCTCTAGATCAATCTGCCCCACATAAGGACTGGGATTGTCATCCGAGATAGAACGGCCACATCCAGAAGTTGGGTAGCTGTAAAAAACAGCTGGGAATGGCACTGTGATATGCGGTGGACATTTCAAAGCACCCTTGCATTTCCCTTTGCCCAATACACCAATCTGAGCCGTGAAATCCAGAGGTTTAGAAGGATTCATGGACATACGTCCGCGCAATATCGACTCCTCATAAGAACCCACCATCGGAGCATGTGGTTTGACCGAGACCTCAGAGGCAAAAGATGGCCTCCTTGCTCGAGGAGGTGGGATGTGCCCTGCTGGCGACGGTGCAAGTTGAAGACTGTAGGTTGAAGTCAATGACCGGCGAGGGGAAGAAGGTTGGTTGGTAAAGCTATCCTGTCGCCGCTTAGGTGGGCATGGACTGCCAAGATTGATCACTTGATTGCCTGGTGGAGAGAATTGGAGGTTGCTAAAGGTCTCTGGTGGCAGCGTACGGCGGCGATTTGCTCTCTCTGAAGGGCCGACTGCATCCACGGGGCTGATACGAGGCGAGAAATCCAAGTCGGTGTTATTTGCTTGGTGCACCAGTGGACTAGTGGGAGCTTTCAGAACATAACTTGATGAGAAAGAGCCCAGCGAAGGCGCCCGAGCCCGAGCATTCCTGACAGCTTCAGACTGGCTGTGATCGTTCGTTATGCTCGTATCTCGCAATGAAGGTGGAAACGGCGGGGCTCCAAACCATGGGGTTGTGGGAGATGAGCTCAGACGAGTAAAGGGAGATCCTAAGCCATGCTCCGCGAAGAGCGATTGGGATGCTCGTTGATCATGGTGGTCTGTAGCACCTTCCCTGAAGTCGCCTGTATGTAACGCTGATCGGGGTCTTTGGATATCGGCCGGCGATTCCAGTTCCTCGGTCTTGTTGATATGACGATTATGACTGATTGAATGCTCTTCATTCTCTTCTACTGTTTGAAATCGTGTTTGCGATGAGTGAGGCATGAACACATCATCGTCACCCTTATCCAGGGACTATGAGATATGTTAGCATGGCCAAGATGATAAAATACGAAAGAAAAATGCAAAGACAACAAAGAAATTTTTGTGTACAAAGATTGTAAATAGCCAAAATAAGGTTGAAAGACAAACATACCGTGTGTCCATGTCTCCAAGGCGATGACTCTTTGATACGATGTATGAGCTCCTCCCGGCCGTTGGCCCACGGTTTAGGCGGCAAGTTCAGCTCCGTTGATGGTGATAACTCCATATATTCGGCATCTGAACCAGCACTTTTTGAAGCATCAAACATGTGGTGACTGAGCTCATTTAGTTGGGATTGAGGGGACCCTGTGGTCGGGTGTTCACGGTTATCTTGGTCTGGTGACCATAGATAATGACGCCGCCGATCCGGATCTCGAAACAGGGGCATGGAGGCGTGATAAGGGCAGACTATGAGGCCTGAAACACTACGTTGGACATCTCAGGAGACCGCCAATGTGGTGAGCAGCTTTTGAAACGAGAGCCGAACTGTGCCGTGGTGGGGGGATATTGGATGCGGTGTACCAGAACGATTCGGGTATATGCCGTCAGTGGTTTGACTGATTGGCGAGGAAGACAACGGTCGCTTTATACAGATCACGTCATGAAATGGGGCCTCGCCTGCGCTGCCTTGGTCGGTCCTTGTCTTTGAATGTTGAATAACAAATTAATTGAGAGAAAATATTGAGCAGGTTACGTCCAATTGAACGTTGAATGTCGATCTTGGGGATCCTGACTCAGACGTCATGTGATGGACCAGTGACGATATGACGATGTATACAAATTGCAAATGGTGATGATTTTCAAGTACAAATCGACTGGATATGTCAATCAAATGCTCCAAGCTTACAGAAATAACTAAGTTCAAATTCCAGAATTCCATGTTACATCTTTCGAGTTCAAAAGAAGTAAAGAAAGAGAATACAATATTGTACTTGCCTGCTAGTGGCCAGACCGATGTTCCTGTGCGGAGAATCGCCACTTTTTTTTTTCTTCTCCGCCTTTGGTCTGTCAATCTTCCAATCGTCCAACCAACCTGCATTACCGCGGTATTATAACACAAAATGGCACCGAAACGAACACACGATGGCGATGCTGCCCCCAAAAGCGAGCCAGCCAAGAAGCGCAAGGGTTTCAGCGTCGGACCTGCAAACCTTCCAGATGGCACATATCGCCGCAAGAGTAAGCATCTGGACCGATCATACCTTGAGAGAGGACTAACAAATACCGTCAAACAGCCCAGAAGCTCAAAGAGGATCTGATCCACAAGGCCAAAGTAAAGAAGGCCTACGCCAAGGTTAAAGCCCAAGAAGAAGCAAATGCGCCTAAGAAATCCGTGTACGACACCCCGGAAGAAGAAATTGGAACTGCCAAGGATGAAGACAAGACCGAAGACGCAACAACGTTGGAGCTCCACCCAGATCGCATAGCCATGTTGAACGAGCCCGAGCCTACACCGGCACCTGCTTCAAGGCCCGATCGGCGCCCACGAGGCGACGGCAAACAGAGAGAGCGCCGACAAAGGCCTTCCGCATTCTCAAAGGAGATGGAGTATGCTGAGAAGCAACGGAAATTTGAAGAGGCACGGAGGAAGGAAGTCGAAGCCAAGAAAAATGAACGCGAGGCTTTGATCCGCGCAAAGCGGCCGGATCAGTTTGGCAAGAGAAGATTGGGCAGAGAGAGCAACGCATTGCTGAGCCGGGTGCAACGAATGGTTGGCCAAAAATAAAAATTTGCATTGGTTGGAACAAAATTTACATATGCGTGATATGGGCTATGTTTTCATGATACCCGGTTGGATCCCTACTTGTATGAAAGCAAAAGTCGAATTTTAAAGATCAAGCGTTTCTTGCACCACGCCAATAAGTGATAGGGGAAAAAAGGCATCAATAGATACTTGAGCGACACCACGTTTCATGTGGGAACTCACAGAAAAATTTCAGGATTTAATAGATGATTATAATGGAGTGTTCTGACGCTAATAGACCTATGGAACACTCGAGGTGGAAGACTTGGAGCTACTGCCACCAACACCCCTGGGCTTCTTGAAACAAGCAAATTCGCCCTTCGTTCGATCTCTTAGCCTTTTCAAGACGACCCTCATTTCCCCCAATTCGGCTTGGAGCTTTGTACGAGCTTCGTTGGTGGTGCGGCGATCTAACTCCACATAGATCTGGCTTTGCACATTTGACGCCTCCTCCGTTGCGTATAAAGTAAGTGTCTGTGAGATAAATTCGGTGTCCAGGGTAGCTTGCATGAGTGCGGCAAGTGAGAAAGAAGACCGAGCACGGAAGGCAGTAAGCAGCGACGAAGAGATTTTGGACAATAGATGGGTCAGTACAGTGGCTAGCAGAGAAGAGGGCGCATTTGCCGAGGTTCGACTGGCGACTGATGATACGGTAGACGGGATGGTTGTGGAAATTTCGGTGTGGACCAGCACCATTGTCAACATGGTGTTGTATACATATGGTCGAACTTGCTCCGGCCGTTCACTTGAAGGCTCCCAGTCTGCAGATGCAATGCCATTTGTGATGGTCTCATTTAGCAATTTGGTGGTGGGATTGACATATGACTGGAATAGTCTGTCTTCGATTTGACTGAGGACATCACGAACGGTCTTCGCTTCTTCCGTTAGCTTGACCGAGAAAGATGTCTCGAAGTTCGATATCAATTGTGGCACATGATCAGCCTGGAGAGCCTTGAGGTTGGAGAGAGTAAGAAGGATTCGAACATTCTGTGGTTTTGTCAATTATTGTTTTTGATTGAGATGGTATCGACCACTTACCCGATTTAAAGAATCGACAGAATCTGCTGAAAGCACCGACAAAGCAGCATCGGTCGCCTGGCTTGTCATAGCTGGCCGAGAAATGATCCATTCATTTTCCTCCTCGACTGTCGTAACGCGCTCCGCATTCTCCACCAGTCCGCTTAGTGCTTTATAAACACTGGACACAAATTGAGCGCGGACCATTTGGAGTAGCTTTGCAGGAGGCTGGGTGACGACATCAACAGTACCTGGCTTTGCCATTGCCTCCGAAATATAGAGGATCCTTTGGATGCCCCCTAAAATAGCCCCTTCAAAGGTCACGAAGAACCCGGGCATCTTCGTCAAATCTCGCTTCTCTGAGTCCCGAGTCCAGTCCTCTAGCAGCTTGCAGATCTCCGCATCTTTGCTCCAGGCAGCACATGCGACACGGGCACATCGATCTCGGGCGACGCTGACTAGTGTCTTGAGGAGATCATATGTTTTCCCACTGGCGCCAACGGGTCGCAAGGCCGCCATTTCACTGGCAGCAGTTCCCACAGCAATGAGGAACTTGCTCAAGTAATGCACACCACTGAGTGAATTGGAGAATGGAGGCCAGAATGCATAGTCTTCCCAATATTCTCCCAGCTTCGGGGAGAGGGAATGGTAGATTCTTTGGATCAAGCTTGAAACGAGATTCCGTTGGAGTGATACCTCTGGACTCTGGAGTTGAGGGACTTGATGGTATCGGGGAGAAAAGCAGAGAGACATCTTCGATTGGAGGTTCGGTGAAAAGGACTAAGACGCTGTCGCGAATGAGATTGACCAAAATGTCCACCCCCCGCTCTAACTCCTTGATCCTGTCAACTGAAAGGCGGTGATGTTTGCGACTCTCGCCCTCAAAGCCAGCAGGCAATAGTCGTTGCCGATTTCCATCGATGAATGATTGTGCCACTTCCCAAAAATCTAACACCTCGCCTAGCAGGCCATTTTGTGAAGAAAGAAGCCGGTTCAAAAATGCCTGTATGCATTCCCACAGCTCGATGACTTGATCGGTGTCCAGTCTCTGTGGGGTTTCTGTTGACCCATCACGAGGCGCAGAGCGTAGATAGGACGCAGCAGCTTGCGCAGTTGGTTTCTCTCCACCAGCAAGTCTTCTCCGTAGTATCTCGATTTCGACTTTGCATCGGTCACAAAAACCGGTAATTCTTGCCTTCAAAAATTCATAGCGACTTTGGAGCCACGTCCAGATGGGATTGTCCTCGACACCCAGCTCCAACAAGGCCCCGATCAACTCCATATGTTCTTCAACGGGGCCTGAGGCAGTGCTTGTAGTCGATGTAGTGGGTGCATCAGCAAGTCGCCTCCAGAGCTCGCGCTTGAAATCGTGAATTTGTTGATCAACGTCCACCCACATACGGCCCATGGCTAGGATAGTGTGCGTTTCGGTGTCATTTAATTGTTGACGGGAGCTAGCAGCAGCTCGCTGTGCGATATCCTTAGCTTGATTGGCAAGCGTTCTTGCCTTCGTATACTGCTCAAAGACAGAATCGTAATCGCGTTGCTGGATGGACTTTGACAAATGACTACCAATCTCATAAACATCACGGTGTTTCTCCATGGTCTCCACCACTGACTTGAGCACCTGTTCTCGCTCCCGGCCCCCTAGAGCTGGACCCCACACCTCCTCGGCCTTGACTGATGCTTCAACCAATGGACCTCGGATACCTTTCATACCGTACTCGCTTTCCTTAACAAGCGCGGTTTTCTTGGCCACAACTGGGGCAGGAGACATGCTCCGCTGCTGACCCGAGTAGCTGCGGAAGTGCCCTGACCTGCGGGGACCTAAACCGGGTTGCTTTTCCACGCCTTGGTTTCTCATCTCGGTGTAGACACTATCAATGGTTGCCTTGGCGCGGACGAAGCGCTCGAAGTTGGCCTCCACCAGTACCTTTAGCGACGCAGACTTTTGATCGATGGAATGTGATAGGTTCTCCAAGCCACTCGTCAACGACTCGATAGATGCCGAATGATGCGCCTGGGACAGAAAGAGCGCGGGCGAGAATGATGTTGATGACAAGAGGAAACGTGATTGCTTGCCGCTCTCCTCCTCTAAAGGTATGCCTCGCTGCTTGAGGATTCGAAGAACACTATCGCCTGTGCCCAATGGGTCCGGTTCGTCCTTCTGTGCGTTTTCTCTGCCATCCTTCCCCCTTCGTGAACCGAAGTTGCTTCTCCAATCACTGGGGCTTCGCTCGAGAGCGATGTATCGTGACTTGCGGGGACGGGAGTCTGCTCGTTGAACTGGTTCTTCAGGTTGGTCGGCTTCATCCAAAGCTGCAGGCCATTCATCGGGGAATTCGTCGGGGAGATTGTAATGACTTGCGACATCGAGGTCGGCCATGGTTACGTGGGATTGAGGGGGAAATCAGCACTAATTGAAATCGAGGGGTTCAGGATCTAGGCAGAGCAGAGCCTCCTGCAGGTGATAGAGATCTGATTACCCGAACCAAAGAGCTTAATAGATAATATATCACGTCGGCGGTAACTCTGTAGTCAAGAACGGTCACCACGGAAGTGGGCCACCGGGCACCGGGGGACGCTCGGATCGGTGTGGCGCCGAGATTTGAATTCTTTCTCCCCTTCTCCTTCTTTCTTCCTCCCCACCACCCTTAAGCTTCTCCTCCAGAACTGACAGGATCCTTTCAAAATGATCGCTGCACGGAACTTCTCTGCTGCTCGTCAGTGCATGCGCGCTTCCCGCATCACCCCCCGATTTGCTGCTCCCATTGCGCAGGTACCAACCCCCTCAGACATCGACTCGCTGGCAGTTAGACAAGCTCAATTGACTAACTTTTGATCTTTATTTTCTTAGATCCGCTTCTACGCCAGCCCTGCGCAGGAGGCTGTCGCCAAGTTCAAGGGCCAGAAGGGTCCCGATGTACGTTTTTTTCCCTCCGAAAAACCGTTTTTCTCACGATGCCGGTGCCAGCCGCGCTGAACATTCCAACCACCAATTTGATGGAATTATCAATATCTAATTGCAACAATACTAATCGAATCACTCTGTTAAAATAGGGCAAGTACACTGTTACTCTAATTGAGGGTGATGGTATTGGTCCTGAGATCGCTCAGTCCATCAAGGACATCTTTGCCGCCGCCAAGGTAGGGAATCCTCGACATGTCGATGGTTTTAACAGCGAACAAAATACTAAGTCAATTACAGGCCCCCATTAAGTGGGAGTCAGTCGATGTTACCCCCATCCTGAAGGATGGCAAGACCGCCATTCCCGATGATGCCATCGCCAGTGTGCGCCGCAACTACGTCGCCCTCAAGGGTCCCCTGGCCGTATGTCCCAGCTCCAAATACCCTGTTTCGCATTTGAATTGCGATATTAACTCTATATTTTTCAGACCCCCGTTGGCAAGGGTCACGTCTCCCTGAACTTGACTCTCCGTCGTACTTTCAACCTGTTCGCCAACTTGCGTCCCTGCAAGTCCATCGCTGGCTACAAGACCCCCTACGACAACGTCGACACTGTTCTCATCCGTGAGAACACCGAGGGTGAATACTCCGGCATTGAGCACGTCGTCGTTGACGGTGTCGTGCAGAGCATCAAGCTCATCACCAAGGAGGCTTCCGAGCGTGTGCTCCGTTTCGCCTTCCAGTACGCGCAGTCCATCAACAAGAAGAAGGTCCGTGTTGTCCACAAGGCCACTATCATGAAGATGTCCGACGGTCTGTTCCTCAACACTGCCCGCGAAATCGCCAAGGAGTTCCCCGACATCGAGTTCGACGCTGAGTTGCTGGACAACTCTTGCCTCAAGATCGTTACCGACCCTACCCCCTACAACGACAAGGTCCTTGTTATGCCCAACCTGTACGGTGACATTCTCTCCGATATGTGCGCTGGTCTGATCGGTGGTCTCGGTCTCACCCCCTCCGGTAACATCGGTGACGAGTGCTCCATCTTCGAGGCCGTCCACGGTTCTGCCCCCGATATTGCCGGCCAGGCCCTTGCCAACCCCACTGCTCTGCTTCTGAGCTCCATCATGATGCTCCAGCACATGGGTCTCCACGACCACGCTGCCCGCATCCAGAAGGCTACTTTCGACACTCTCGCTGAGGGCAAGGTGAGTCAACATGACATTTTTCTGCTGCAACCTGCAAATTACTAACTAGATACTCTTTTAGTTCCTCACCGGTGACCTTGGCGGTAAGGCTAAGACCCACGAGTACGCCGGAGCCATCATCAAGCGCCTGTAAATCAGTCGCTGCTTAGATTCCTTGTACTATGACCCCCTGATCTATTCCCTTTGTACCTTCGAACGACATTAGACCTATAGCGATCGAAATATACCTGCTTTTGTGGTTACAGTCTAGGAATGAATTATTTGCGCAATTTATACAACATGGCGAATTTAAAAGCCTCAGCTACCGAAACCAGCTGGTTAATTTGTAGCATCCCCAGAACCCTGTATGTTGCTATTATGGAAAGAATCTTTGCTGACTTCATCAATACCTTTGAAGTTTTCTATATAATATGGCTCTTCGTTGAAAATGAAGAAAAAAGCCATGCCCAAGTATACAGGTATCTAGGTATGTTAGACATATTACTTAGCGCTCGCATTAGTTATTTGTATACATACCTAGGTACGCGGTTTGAGATCGAAACCAGTTGTCAATAAACTTGATATGTTTATATTTTGGTTCAATTGGTACATAGGTTCTGCTATGGAAGCAGTAAAGCACAAGATGTTTGCGTCAATAATCATACAGACCCCCGAAGAAAGATAGAAAACGCCATTTCCCAAACCCATAGGTATAAATAAAAGCTCAAATACAGATCAGTAACTGCTCATAACTCAACGCCGCCGACCGGTCCTGCGTGTTGCAGTGCCAGTCGAAGGCTTTTTATCCTTTGCTTTGGAGCGGGATGTTTGTGCTCGAGTGCTCCGAGAGCCACCCTTGTCTTCTTCTCCATCTTCTTCATCGCTATTGCCCTCGGAGCCTTCATCGCCTTCTTCATCATCCTCATCATTTGCCCCAGTATCATCTGCCGAATCACCACCTTCGTCCGATGCCTTGCCTTGACTCTCTGTGCCAATTTCGACTTGTAATCGAGTCGAGCGGGTGCCTCGCGTGGAGGGACGAGCACTCAAATTGGACTTGCGACCTCGAGACGGGATAGGGGAAGACCGTGGTTCTGTGATAGGTTCAAGGTTATTTTATTGCTCATGGACTGTGAAATGCACTGCACTGTATGAAACCTACCATCTGTGTCTGCGACTGTGCTGCCGCGCCGTGAGTCAGCTGCACGGCTTGTGCGGCTGGTGACGGGCGATAGAGAGTCTTCCATTGCAAGTCGCCTTTCAAACTTCAAGTCCCGGTACTCATCATCTGGAAGCTCAAATGGACAATACATCTCGCTCGGGCCCTCATCATCTTCGTTTGAATCAGTGATAACTGAATCTTCCTAAAGGGCCCGAAAGTTAGCGAAGTGTTTTGACGACTAAGGACCCTGATTATAGCTTACCCGCTCATCGAGAGCCTCCAAATTGTATAAAGAGCCTAGCTTCTTCCAGATCCCTGGAATACGCATGTGTTCTGCTGTTGATGGCGCATAGCCTTGACTCTTTAGGTAATCCGAGATCGCGAGCATCCGAAAGTGTTTGTGTATGCCTGCGGGATCAGATGGTTAGATGTGGTGTCCGCCCAACAGAAGCGCTAATTGAACCTACCGACTGGCTTCCATTTTATGATCGCCTTGAGGAGCGCTGTTTCTTGCTCGTCTGTCCAGGGGTCTGTGATGAGGTCGTAGTCTGTGTCTGGCTTGCCGGCGCCATTGCTTGACGGGGTGTTTGCGCTCGACTGCGTCGTGGTGTCATCTTGGGGTGTGGGCGAGTGCGCGCGCTTGGTTTTCTTTCTTGGAGGCATACTAAACCAGAAAATATGCTTGAGGGCAATGCAAAGACACTCAATTGAATCGGGGTGGAAGCGGGAGGTTGAGCTTCGAGCAGGGCGAGGCAACTTTCTGTTATCAAAGGTCCGTGCACTACTGATAGCCGTCTCCGTCGCGGGACCAAGTCTCACGCGTCAAAACATCTGCTCACTGAACATGGTCTTACAATGGATCAATATGATCATGAGCTGGATCCATTCTCCAGCGAGAGCCTTTGGAGACTCTCAAAATTCAGCATAGAAGCTTTACAACCTTTGGAATCCCTAGTGTGGAACACTACTTTGTCCAGTAAGTGTCAACCAGACTTTCCCCAGAACTTTGTTGATTATTATTTTTCTTCCAAGCAGATGATCCTATATCTTGCTTAGAATTACCCTCTCAACCTACAGATAAAATTGACACAGTATGGAAGCTGAATCTCTTTCCAAGTGGTTTGGAACCATCCGCGTCAACTGCCGAGTCAATCATCAATCCGTCTATAGATGGCTTGTCTGATGTGTCATGTGATGATGCATTGAAAGATGTATCAAGCGAAGAGGACGATATTTGGTCTTTGAACCTTTTACAAGAAGACACTGGCCATCCCATTTCGCAGAAATCGTGGGAGAAGTACCAGGACAAGTCATGCTACGAACCAGTGTCTGCCTACTTTAGTGAATCCGGGGCTAAGGGCTTCGATGCAGCACTGGCACTACAAACAGCTACAACAGGACCTGATACACCAAGCCGGATGGTTCGGACAGATGTGTTCGTTAAATCACTGCTCCGTCTGGGGCTTGGCTGGAGCTCAGCCTTCTTTCGCTGGGATCAGAACACCAACCAATTCGAAAGAGAGATAGCCAATTTTCTGGTCTCCGGTATTAGCTTACCGGCGTTGGAAAATGTCGTTGGTTATGTGTTACACATTGGCACCGCTATGCATTATATGCGATCGTTTGCGCAAGACCCACCAACCAAGTGCAGAGAGATGTCTGCTCTATTCACATTAAGCAGTACAGTTGCAATTATTGTTTTCAACCTTGAGCAACAGATTTCTGATCATTCAAAACACATTTCCTCACTATTGCAGATCAAGGCCCTATTCCACCGATGTGGAGACTTGATAGGTGCCTTAACTGCTATTGTTGGCGCCGCACAAAGGGCCTTTTCCGATGCGCAAGTCGTATCGATTGTCATGGAACGTGCAGCTTTTTTCGCCCAGAGATTTGGTTGGATGGAGAACCTCCTGCATGAAATTGTCCTTCGAGTGACCCAACCGTGGTTCAAATTCATAGAGAGTTGGATCGGTCTTCGATCAGAGGAGACAGCACTCAAACAAGCCCTGGCTAGTGGCAGAACATTTGTCCGACTGGAAATTGATGAGCCTGGCAAGTTCAAGACTGGACCGGCACGAGTCGACTACATGTATCAGTCGGACCACATGCCATCATTCATCCCGGCCGACCAAGCCCGCTCTATCTTTGAAAGTGGGCGCAGTCTGCAGCTATTGAAACAATCTCATCCTCATCACCCTATCGCGAGGCGTGATGTGCTCATTCGAACTGGTGGTCTTCATCTGCATTGTGCCACTAGCTGGGCTGACATTGAGAAAATTCAAACAAAAGCCCAAGAGTATGAAGCCAGACTCCGCGTTGAAATTAAGAGGTATCACAACAGCGATTCCACCGTGCAGGATGTACCCGCAGAAAATCTGGCCGAGAGTACAGCTCAAACATTGGACACAGAAGTAACGAAGGCCACATTTGAGCTTTTTGACATAGACGACGAAAAACATGCTCTGGGGCCAGTCACAGACCACACAGCCCTTTCAAAAGATGCCTTCCGCCAATTACTTGACAGTGCGCGTAAGCTTGAACCCGATCACGTTGATCAAACCAATGCCCTCGGTCCCGAATTGATAGCCGGCCTCCATCTTTCTCTTGCCCCAATCCTTGCGTCTCAAGCACTTCTCATTGATTACTCGTGCCTCCACCATCTCTTCAAAGGACATCAACTCCGCCATCACTTGAACATGCAGTGGCGATTCCAGCTGCTGGGAGAGGGCTCGTTCGTAGCCCGACTTTCCAATTCACTTTTCGATCCCGAAATGGAGAGCGGAGAGCGAAGGGCTGGAAAGGTACGTAGTGGCGTGGACACCGGTCTACGGCTCGGTAGCCGCGATACATGGCCACCAGCTAGTTCAGAATTGCGTCTTGTTTTGATCGGTCTGCTTGGTGACTGCTATTTTGGCAGTAAAGATGCAGATGACTCCGAGAAGGCCAACATACGAAAGGATAATGAACTGCCAGGTGGTCTAAGCTTTGGAATTCGAGAATTGACAGACGAAGAAATCGAGCTGTGCAGAAATCCGAATGCAATAGAGGCACTGGACTTCCTTCGTTTGCAGTACACACCACCCATGGTCCTTGAGTCAATTATCACCGCCCGATCTCTGAACAAGTATGATCGCCTGTTCAAACACTTACTTCGGTTACTGCGGATGGTTTCCGCTGTTAAAGGCCTCATTCGTGATTCTACTGTTCGAGGATCTATGTCCGGGGATACGCGAAATGTGTTCCAAAAGTTTAGGGTGGATGCCCAGCATTTTGTACTAGCGTTCAGCGATTATTGTTTCCATATTGGCATCGGGTCAATATGGCAGCGATTCCAAGAAACCCTGGCCAATATTGAGCATTGTCTTGATCGTGGGGACATCGACGGTACCATCGAAGCGGCACACTCGGTCCCGCGACTCCGCGACTATCATGAAGATATTCTTGATCAGATGTTGTTCGCTTTCTTCCTCACCAAGCGCCACGCACAGGCGGCGAAGTTGCTTGAATCTATTTTCGGTACCATCCTTGCATTCGGCCCTTTGTCAAGTGCAGATGGAAAGGGATTTCGTTGCGAAAGTGAAGGAGCTGTTCTACACTTGTATCGGACTTTCAGGAAGCAGACCTCCGCATTTGTCGGATATCTACGCAGCATGGAATCCGGAAAGGCTACTTCGAAATCGATGGCTAAATCTGGGGCATTCTTCTCTTCGCGGACTGATCCTACCAGTGTCTTTGAGCATTTGCAAGTGAGGTTAGACATGAAGCAGTACTACTGATTAATGGGCCTCATCGTCGTACACGTCTCCGAACCATGTACTATATTTTCACCCTCACCTGCTATCATTTTGTTTTGTTTTCACTGAAGCTATAGATACTATGTCATGATTAATGATTCACGACAATTCCATCAATTATTTTGACTATTCTATGAACGCCTGAATTACTACTCCTCTTATTCGGTTTATACCATCTATTTAAGACCATTGCCTGTACATTTCGCTAACAGACCCACGCCAGCAAGACCAGACAGAATCTAGAAGAAGTGAAGATCCGATTCAGCCCAACCTTGAGCGAGCAAAATTGCTCGCGCAGACTTTTCCATGGGCCCCGGTCCACAAACCAGAACCATGCTATGCGCTTCTGGGGCTGTATACTCCGCGAGGAGTTCTTTAGAAACTCGACCCCGTCGACCAGCCCAATTATCAGACCCTTTCGTCAATGTATGCACGACTGTGCACTTTCGACCGTCGAGAGCCACATAATCATCAAGGTCAGACCGACAAAGGATATCCTCTTCCTGTCTGTTGCCGTCTATAACAACGCACGTTGTGGGGTCTTGCGTATCCTGCATAACAGCTCGCAAAACTTGGAATACGGGTGTGATACCCGTTCCTCCACAGATCATCTTGAACGAGCGGAGCTGGCGCTCCTTGCCGCTGATCGAGACACGACCATTGCCGAGATATTCGAATCGTCCAGTCGGCCCCTTGCAGTCTATCGCTGAGCCTATGGGGAGTTTGTCGAGCGCCATGGTCATTTTTCCTCCGGGGATGGAATCGCTTGGGAAGTAGATCTTTACGAGTAATTCCATCTTTCCGTTAAGGTTTGTGTCCGACATTGGGGTGTATGATCTGATGACGGCTTCATTGTTGGTTGGGTCCTGGACTTTGATCATTAGATGCTGGCCGATTGGTAGCCCGAGTGTCTGCTTGTCGTGCTCCAGGTCGAAGACAAATATCCTTGTATCCCATGATATTTTCTTCTTCTCTGTCAGAGTAGCCTTTGCCCATGCTCGGGATTGAAGGAATACCGCCCGTGGCTCGCCCGAACCTGCAGATGCATTATGCCCTAGAGCATCGAGGGATACCTTGTCCAAGTTTCCAATATGGTAATCGGACATCATCTCCTTGGCCGTCTCACTGTCTGAGGGGAAGTTGGTCATGTAAATATTTGATGACGATGAAATTGAGACTCACGAATTGCAAGGAAATCTTCTGACACATCCAAACCGGCAGAAGATGTGATACTGGTAGCTCCGCCGGGGTGGCCCTCGAGGAATGCTGTGCCGTCATACACTTCGCCATTGACAACGAACCAAGGCTTCTCGCTGCTGCTATTCGCCTTAAACTCTTGCAAGTCGATCTGCCTACTAACGCCGTATTTTTTCATATTGATCTCCTTTACCTGCTCTGGCCCAACAGGTTCCTCGCCTTGAGCCCTTTCACCCCAGGTGCCATCGAGTAAATCCCCGCCAGTCTTCTTGACTCTTTCCATCCAACCACCTGACTTGGCTGGATGAGTAGGATGCTCGAACTTGAGAATATTCATGTCTTTCGTGATTGTCACTCGAAACCAAGGATTGTTCATCATACCCAGGACAGACCAGTACATATCGCGTGGCTGAGCGCTCAATGCATCGTCTACTGCCCTGACAAGAAGCGCGTCACTGGATGCTAGATCTGATACTGGGATATCCAGGGACCAGAAAGACCAACAGAAACATGATTCTCTCCACCACATATCGACCTTGCCGCCGAATAGGTTACCTTCAAAGTCGCGGTACTTATCTTCTGCATATTCGACCTCGGAAAGGCGCCATGCTAAAAGAGCAGAGAGATTAGCCTTGCTTCATTACCAGGCATGGAGTGTGTGTACATATTCCTCTGTCTAAAGAGACCTCAACCTTTGTTATTCTTCGCCCGCCACCAGCGTATGCATATCCCTTGACCGTATAATTTGAGCCAGCAGTCGCCAAATCGATTTCTTCTTCGTGTTGTGGATGTACGGCTACTGAGTTGACGTTGAGCTCATAGATAGCGTACCGCTCGTCAGTCCACCACTTGCGATCCTGTGCAGACATTTCCGGAGTCACCATTGTTCTGGTTTGATTAGCACACATCATTGAAGGAAATTTTGAATGGCTCACGGCAACACTCGATTGTCGTTGATGTGGTACCAATTATCACTTGGCGTATCAGTCAAAATCAACTTCTTTAGCCACTTGACACTGCGCCCTCCAATCTGACCAGGCACTACTGCCCTCAGAGGACGACCATGGTCCGGGCGAAGGTCCTCGCCATTCATCTTATGGGCTAACATTATTCCTCGATGGAGATCCATGGCCCAGTTCAACTTGACCGAGGTCCCATAGAATCCGTTAGGCTGCGAGAGATCAGCTTAGATTCGTTCCTTCTTCATTTTATTCAATGTTCTTACCAGTTTGTCTGCGCCCTCCATGCAAACATATTTTGCTCGTCGAAGAGGCTTCGCACTGCGCAAAATGTCTGCCATCATAGGGCCTGTGAAGAGAGCTGTAGATAATCCCGCTGGGCCCCACGAGAATCCCTTTGACTTTCGAACTGTATTTTGCTCTTTTCGTCTGTTCCCAGCACAAACCAGTGTGATTGGTGCGGTGATCTGGTCATAATTCTGAAGGATATCCTGGAAATTGAGGACTAAAGGATTCTCGACCAATCTACGGGATGTCAGTGTCTTGCAAGTCCTAAACCTGATGCCAACCTACTCACCCTTCTATACTAATATCCCAATTTGGAATGTCCTCATCGTGGACCTGAGGCACTGGCCCATGGTTCCGAACATAAAACAATTCCGGGGACGTGAGAAACCCTTGCTGGGATGTTAGCTTTAATTTTCAAGATATCACGAAGGTATAGCAAGTTTACCCTCATTGTACAATGCTGTCAACGGCGGCTCCACGTTAAATGGATGCACACCTGTTAATCGGATCAATCGTGGATCGCGAGGCACATGGTTATCGGGAGTGCCCTTGTCGAGATCCAGAATGTCGACGGGGCTTTTTGAAGGTGGTGGTAGCGGAATATTTGGCTCTGCTGGGCTTGGAATAATATGCTCTACTGTGATTTCGCCATTTTTGAAAGGCAATCTGTCCGCTGTCACTTGGGCTTGTGTGGTAATAGTGGCCATGTTGATATTAACGTCCTGAGATCCACAAGAAGTGTTCTGCGAAACGAAGTTATACAGGAAATGCCGAAAACAATTTAAATAGCTTGAAGCATTTGAAGAATAATATTGACGAAACGCCGGGGCAGTACATTGAAACGGGGTTGACTTGTTTCTTCCTATCCTTAGTAAGATTCCTCCGTAGTAAGAAGTAGACTCTAAAGGTCACCACCCTTCTCCGCGGCATACAGGTTATTCTCTAACGACATAACATTATAACATCATAAAATCAGGATCTTCATGTTCAAGAAGCCAAGATATGCAATCTTATCTCTTGTCATCGAGATAACGATAACACTAAAACCCCAGTGTGAACCAATCACAGCAAACTTATATATGTTATGATCTCCGCGGAGATACAATCGCCACTATCACGATCAACAGTCCCTGTTTCTCCCGGAGACCTAGAGCTGATTAACATGAACTGATCAATTTGTACTACCCACATCATGCTGTCACACAGACATTGTGTAGTTATCGAACTTAGTGGCATATTGGATTGAGATTTTCTCAAAACTAGAATTATTGCCATCTTTTTGCAATCCGTAGTTGTCGTCTGATAAACATCCCATAATCTCATACTGTTCTATTCCAGCAATGCCTGTGCTGGATAAACTACGACGCGGTGAGCCAGTTGATGGCAGCCCAAGTCCCTCAACTTTTGCCCAACGCCAAAAGATCGTAGTAGTTGGCCTGGGCATGGTGGCTATCTCGTTAATGTAAGCAGTATAGATCTTCCAATGCAACTGCGGATCCCACTAACAATCCCTAGCGAGAAAATCATCAAGCAAGACACAGATCGGAAATATGATATCCTCGTCATCGGCGAAGAGTCCCATGTAGCATACAATCGGGTGGGACTGTCGTCATTTTTTGAACATCGCAAGATCGAGAATCTATATCTCAATCCGACAATATGGGTACGCGTCAAACATTCCGGGATTTCCCTAGAGTATAACATATCTCTAACATTCATCAGTACGATTCATTCAAAGAACGAGCCTTCGACCATCACCTAAACACCCGAGTAACCGCAATCAACCCAACAATCCAAACGGTCCAAACATCAACTGGCGAAACAATCACTTACGATATCCTGGTTCTCGCAACAGGCTCCGATGCAACCCTACCAACACGAACCCCCGGCTATGACGCCAAAGGTGTCTTTGTATACCGCACCATCTCAGATCTGGAACGTCTCATCGACTTTGCAGCACAGCATAAAGGCGAAACAGCCGTTACGGTCGGTGGTGGTTTGCTCGGACTTGAAGCTGCGAAAGCTATGACTGACCTGGAAGATTTCGGGAATGTCAAGTTGATCGATCGGAATAAGTGGGTGCTGGCTCGCCAATTGGATGGTGACGCGGGGATGTTAGTTACCCGCAAGATTCGGGACCTGGGGCTTGATGTTCTTCATCAGAAGCGGGTGAAGACTGTGAATACGGACGAAGACAATAATGTCGTGGGTATTACCTTCGAGGATGGTGAGAGTATTGATTGTTGTTGCATTTGCTTTGCGGTATGTGCTGCTTGTATTACCAGCTACCTTTCTGTCCGTGATCATGGCACTGACTGTTTATAGATTGGAGTCCAACCTCGAGATGAATTGGGTCGAGATATTGGAATCCAATGCGGCGAGCGTGGAGGTTTTGTCATTGATGAGAGGTAAGCCAGAATATATTAAAAACAGTGGCTCTTGATCTGACATCTTTAGCCTACAAACCTCGATCCCAAATATTTACGCAGTAGGAGAATGCGCAAGTTGGGAGAACCAGACATTCGGAATTATTGCGCCCGGCATTGAGATGGCCGACGTTTTGGCTTTTAATCTTACCAATCCACAAAGGCCTTCCAGAAGCTTCACACGGCCGGATCTCAGCACAAAACTCAAGCTACTTGGAGTTGATGTCGCTAGTTTTGGTGATTTCTTTGCTGATAGAGACGGCCCCAAATTTCTTCCTGGTAGGCGACCTTCCATTGCTGTTGGCTCGGGAGATGGCGCAAAAGAAGAGCCTGATGTCAAGGCTTTGACATACAAAGATCCATTCTCTGGGGTGTACAAGAAGTATCTTTTCACCATGGATGGGAAATTCCTTCTGGGGGGCATGATGATTGGAGATACTAAGGATTATCTGAAGCTGAACCAGATGGTGAAGCTCCAAAAGGAACTTGAGATACCTCCAAGCCAATTTATTCTTGGTGCACAGAATGGAGGAGAAGAAAATGCAGACGACCTGTGAGTATCGTTGTACCAATTTTGTCGGGGCGTATATTGATTCATCCTCCCAGGGATGACAGTACGCAGATCTGTTCCTGTCACAACGTCACCAAAGGCGATGTGGTCGACAGCGTGAAGAATGGCACTTGCAGAACAATCGCCGAGGTCAAGTCCTGTACGAAAGTAGGGACAGGCTGTGGTGGCTGTATGCCGCTGGCGCAGTCCATTTTCAACAAGACCATGGTGGGCATGGGCCAAGAAGTCTCTAACCATTGTTAGTAAAATGGCTTGCATAATGGGTCTTGTTTCACTGCTAACATACGCAGTGTGCTCTCATATCCCGTTTTCGCGAGCAGATCTATACAACATTGTGGCTATCAAGCAACTGAAGACATTCCCCGAAGTAATGAAAGGCGCAGGCAAGAACCCGGACTCTCTTGGTTGCGAACTTTGCAAGCCGGCGATTGGATCAATATTGTCTAGTCTTTACAACCCTTATATCATGGACAAAGGCTTCAACGACCTTCAAGACACCAATGACAAGTTTCTCGCCAATATCCAAAGAAACGGCACGTTCTCCGTGGTTCCTCGAGTCCCTGGTGGAGAAATCACAGCCGATAAGCTTATTGCCATAGGATCTGTGGCGAAGAAGTATGGATTGTATTGCAAGATCACCGGTGCTCAGCGCATTGACCTGTTCGGTGCGAAGAAGCAGGATCTTCTGAATATCTGGACGGAGCTGGTGGATGCAGGTATGGAGAGTGGACATGCCTATGCGAAGGCACTCCGAGCAATCAAGGTATGTTCAAGATGGAAAACCAGCAGGTAAAACCTAGCTAACTCCAGGTGTGCAGAGTTGTGTTGGAACTACGTGGTGTCGTTTCGGTGTGGGTGACAGTGTCGGCATGGCGATTCGCCTAGAAGAGCGATACAAGAGTATCCGCGCACCGCACAAGTTCAAAGGAGCAGTTTCCGGATGCGTGAGAGAGTGTGCCGAGGCACAAAACAAAGAGTGAGCACATATAATGACCAACAATTCCTGCAGAGCTCGGCACTAACAACTGTTAGTTTCGGACTTATTGCCACAGAAAAGGGGTTCAATATCTTTGTCGGAGGCAATGGCGGCGCAAAGCCCAGACACGCCGAGCTTCTTGTGACAGACGTTCCAGCGGAGATGGTGATGCCTATCATCGACCGTTATTTGATCTTCTACATCAGGACTGCCGATAAGCTCCAACGAACAGCTCGATGGATCGAGAATCTCCCCGGTGGAATCCACTACCTCAAGGAAGTGATTGTCGAGGACAAACTTGGTATCTGCGCCGATATGGAACGGCAAATGAACGAACTAGTTGATAGCTACTTCTGCGAGTGGACGGAGACTGTTAAAGATCCAAAGCGCCGCAAAGTCTTCCAACAGTTCGCCAACACAGATGAAACAGTTGAAAACGTAGAGGTCGTGCAAGAACGTTCCCAACAACGCCCTACATACTGGCCAAAGGACTCGGATGCCACGCCGCAAGACTTCAAGGGTCACCAGTGGTCCAGTGTCTCCTGGCAACCTGTCGTTCGAGCAGATCATTTCTCTGACGAGCCGCCGCAGGTTTCATCTGCGAATGTCAAGCGTGGCGATACCCAGCTTGCCGTTTTCAAGATCAAGGGCAAGTTCTACGCAACGCAGCAGATGTGCCCGCACAAGCGCGCGTTTGTTCTTTCCGATGGCCTTGTTGGGGACGACGATGCTGGGAAATACTGGGTGTCGTGTCCTTATCACAAACGCAACTTCGATCTCAATGGTGAGCAGGCCGGGCGGTGCTCGAATGATGAGAGTATGAACATTGCTACATTCCCTGTTGAGGAGCGGGATGATGGGTGGGTCTATCTTAAACTCCCTTCAGTTGAAGAGATGGATTCGATTTTAGGGACAGAGAAGTGGAAGGTGCGAAAAGGCGAGGTGGAGGATCCCTTCCACAAAGTTGATAAAAAGTTCAAGGGCATGAAGGGAAAGAAGGTCCTTGATGGCTTCTTGACTAAATCGCCAGTTGTGCAACCAGCCAAGACAATTGACTGGTAATGATTTTGATATTTGCCAATTCCACGGCCGGCTTGGCACCGACAGAAGACCAGTCCGGCACGAAGAAGCAATTTATTTTGCTTTGATTTTAACCCAGTCATCTTCATTACCAGGTCCTTCGAAAGTAGATACGAATGGTTGTCCCTTGTACTGGAAGTATGCAGAGCTAGAACCGTATTTTTGGATCATGCTAGTAACAACATCTTGGTCTCAAGATCCATTGCCAGCATAGTCAAATGAGAAGAATAGCTTGAATCTCTTTTCATTAGCAGCAGTGAAAGCTATCTCCACGGAAGCGTCATTGGCCTTGTCTTCCCATGCCATGTCGAAGGCGAACGCATCGATATGGGGTGGGTATCTTAGGCCAATCCAAAGTCTGACTGCTAGTCGGAAGCAGTGTATTTCTCGGAATTTGTGATCTTGAATAGCATTGATGTAATACTCCTTCATTTAGGTAGAAAAGTCCAGGGTGGAAGCACATACCACAAAATGGGCAAACACAGCTTTTGCGTTCACATGCTGAAAGGTCATCCCCCATAGCAAGCCATGCAGATCAATTCATTGTCGCAATGATGAGCGAAGTGAAAATTAGGGAAACAGACCTCTTGCTAGACAACTGCTTTTATAAAATTTCAAGATACCCCAGTCGCCTTCCATCAACCGGGCACGACATCTGGAGCAGGTGAAATTTTCGGCTATACAAGTCTGCCTTTCTGTAAAGAGCCACAGCCTCGCCGACATCCCGACACTAGGTAGACAGAGCGGAGATCACAGCATGTGAGATAGTATTGCTAGTAGTCTTGCAATTGGACTAGATGACAATATTCTTTCCAGCATCATGTAGTCTCAAGGGGCCCTATTCCTCCGGGTATAACACCATACGATGTGTTCAAGCATTTGAGTACACCAATATTTATACCTAGGTGTTGATGTTTGTTCCAGGCTTCAATACAGCTCAGTGGCTTTGTCGGCCTTCGTATAATTTTATAAGAAACATTATAACAGCACATAGACACATTTCTTTTGAATGATTCTGCTAAATCGTGATAACTCAACAGCTATTTGAGTATTGAAGAGATAAACCATGAGCGAAATTACTATGAGATGCCACAACTAAATGACACTAACAGTGGTCAGCAGACCCTGGATCCATTTACTAGAGACTGACTAAAGTGTCTAGATTGGGGCTTAACCTCTACCACAAACTCACTAGTCGCCTTCGCAAGGCTTTGAAGTAGTCATCTATTCCAGCTATCTTATGGTATCCTTAGTCCCTGTCATAGCAGATGCAGTGTCGGACATCTTCTGTCCTCCATACCACTCGAACTGTCCTGAGCATGAGTGAGACGCAATCGCTCTCTTCCAGGGTCATCATGCCGTAATACTTCTGTCATTTCTTACGACTATACCACTTGTCATAGGAATAATCAAACAAGCCCGCATGCCGTTACAAACTCAAAGCTTAGCTGGACTAAAGCTTCAGACAGCGGCCTTCATGCTCTCGGCCGTGTCCTGGGTCCCCAGAGTCTCTGTTCCATGGGATCTTTACCTAGATGATGGACACCCGATCATTATGATTATCAATGCATAGTACCATATGGTTGGGTTTGTCGCCGTAAACGATGCATTCTTTGCTCTGGGCCAAGGAATTTTGTTGTGGTTGTCTTTGCGACAGATTAGACGTGCGGAGGAAGGAGAAAGACAGCCGCTTTTGGTGTGATACTTATACCACAACTTGATGTTAGCTTTTAAACTCACATACACCCTTTCAGTGATATGGTTTCTTTGTTATAATATCCCTAAATTTCTTATATCTTGCCAATTTCCTATAATACATACGATCCTTTATTTTACATGTGCCAACATTTGTATTGGATTAGTCCTACCGCACTATTGCATTCCGCACAGCTTGTGAGTAGGCGTTAAACGTACTAGATGTTAGCTCCTTCTTTCTCTGCCTCAGTTAGCCCCGTGCCGCGGATTATCTGTAACAAGCGCGACGCCTATAGATAGACGTTTTTTTAAAAATTTATAACTGATCGTAATAGATAGTGTCTAGGGACATATATCCAGATAGGAGTTCTCGACTAAGGCGGCTACCTTAGTAGGTATTAGGCTTCCGCAGAGCCCACAAAGCTCAAAGCCCAACCTAACCCACGAATCGGCTGGGCTTTAGGCCCGGTCATTGAGCCCACGATGGGCTTTGGACTTACTCTTGGGCCTACAGCGTATCGTGGGGACCCAATAGTGGCCTATTCCTTGCTGGACAGTGCAAACATACCATTCTCTCATGACTGCATATTCAATGCATGATTTGCCTATAATTTTTGGTAGTACTCTTATAGCTTTTGACTCTGAAATGAACAGAAACTAGCGAGATTAATGAAATACATGATACTTTTGCCTTGAATATATATTAATAGCTCTTAAATTCATTATCCGTTGTAATCCTAATGTACGTAGCGGAAGAGTAGTTTCTAACAGCTACGGCTTGATAGGAGTAGCATTTTTATCCTTAAATTGTTATTATTGACATCGGCAAGATCTTTGGAAACCATAGTCTGCTCTTCTATAACTATATAAGTTGTTCGTTTGATTGAGAATGTTGATTTGGGGGGGGGGGGGGGGGGGGGGCCTTATAAAGCTCTTTGAAAATAATCGCCTGTGAAATACATGGGAAAATATTAACTTAGTTGAGTAAGATCCTTATTAGTATAGGGAGCTTATATTAAATGCTAAATAACATTATTATATCACGATCTAGTAATTAAGATATTCGATTGAAGCTACAAAAGCAAGGTGTCTTCTATATGCAATCACTATACAAAAGGTACCTACCACCAATTGGATTACTCTGTGGATGAGATTATGCTATGGCAAGTCAATTTCCAATCCCCAGTGGGGATTATTAGGTTACTCGAACCGGTTCCCCGGGGATTGGATGTATATCTGACGCCGGCAAAAACTTCTTGTAAACCGGGCGAGTGACTGGATGTCGAGTATATCAAAAAGGGCTGACATAATCCCCAGGCGAACACAATCGACAATCCCTACTGAGAAGGCACGTACAGGCAATAGATTAGAATTGATATAACAATCACAGACAATTGAAGTGGAGTGTATGTTTAATTGATAATATCCAGAAAATCTAACCCTAATTTTGAATATCATCAATATCAGGAGCAGAGAGCCCGGATACCGAGCATTCCAAGGTCAGGTCATCAGGATTTACGAAGTGGATATTTGCAAAAGACACAAGGGCAAAGGTCCAGTTTAAGTATCTCCGCGGAGCTCGGATCAACATGGCTCTGCCATTTCCATGGGACCCGCCGGATGCCTTCACTATCTTTTGCCTTCCGCATCCAATGAGAGCTCTTGCGTTTATCAAATGCCGAGTTCCTGGAGCAAAACCCCACCTCCAGAGTATATCAAGCACAATAATGCAATATTTCAAGCTAAGCAATGGTCAGTTTATGGTCCGCGGAGTTAGTATCATCTTTTTCAACTTATCAAGTCTACCTTTTCGCCTTTGATATTGGCTCTGGGCATAGTTTATACCCGAGTTACTATAGGTCTACATTCATCTTGATGCACACCTTATCTAGATCACAATTATCCTCGAGGCTAATTCGGAACTATAAGGAATGAATTCTGCGGCAAATCGATACTTTGATCATTCGGGTATCAACAGATCATCTTTACAACTTTGATTAACAATCTCTCGTCGAATCAGAAGCCCGAGATATACTCGGGTCAATGGCCACAGCTCTCTTGACTAACGATTTTCGATTAACAGTGTTTGCCTACACGACATTCTCTGATCTGGCAAGTAACAGATAGCTGAACTGATTTTTCCTGCATATGTCATGATGGAATGCCTCTGAGCGCACGCTTTAATGAAGTAGCTAACCATCTATATATTTACTCAAGCATTCTCCTTTGAACATATCTCTCTTCTCAATTGATAAAGACTTTCTTTCTTTTCAAGGATAAACAAAGGCAAGATCGAGATCAGAGCCTAAATCACTAACTTACCTGCCCTCGATCCTGCCCCCTTTCCATCGTTAAAATATTCAAACCAACCAGAATGGCGATGACGTTTTTAAAAAATCTTTTCGTATCACCTGAGATCAACCCAAGTAACCGCAAAGCCAGATCAATCCCAGTATTGAATCCTTTTGATCAATATGGACGAGTGTTCTTCTTCTCATGGCTTGGTTTCATGGTGGCATTCCTATCATGGTATGCATTTCCACCACTGGTAAATTATTCTCGTGTTCCCAAGTTGTTTGTGAGAAAAACTAAAATGTCTAACTTACCTGCAGTTGACAGTCACCATCAAAAAGGATTTACACATGACACAACAAGATGTCGCCAACTCTAACATCGTCGCACTTTTGGCAACGTAAGACATATATAGCATCCTTGGAAAGGAAGCTTACTGACTGTTACAGTTTACTTGTTCGATTTGTCGCAGGGCCACTTTGTGATCGTTATGGTCCGAGATTGGTCTTTGTAGGGCTTCTCCTATGTGGTGCCATCCCAACAGCCATGGCTGGCCTGGTCACTACCCCCAAGGGTCTGATTGCTCTCCGATTTTTCGTTGGAATTTTAGGAGGAACATTTGTTCCATGTCAGGTCTGGTGCACCGGCTTTTTCGACAAGAAGATTGTTGGTACTGCCAACTCCCTTGCTGGAGGCTGGGGTAATGCCGGTGGAGGAATCACTTAGTACGCTGTGACTTCCTTCTATCGCACACTATATGAACACAAATACTGACTTCCCCAACTCAGCTTCCTAATGCCTGCTATCTACGACTCCCTCGTCCAATCCCGCGGCCTGACCTCCCACCAAGCATGGCGTGTCGCCTACATCGTTCCATTCATCATCATCACTATCATCGCCTTGGGCATGCTTTTGCTATGCAAAGACACACCAACAGGCAAATGGTCTGAGCGACACCTCTGGGCCAAGGAATCAAACGGCACATCATCCCCCACGGAAGGCAACATAATTGATTTGAACACTGGCACATTCTCAAGCGGCATGACAACCCCCTACAACGCTGCAACAATCGACGTGGAAAAGAAAGGCTCCCAGACCCCTCAAATTATGGACAAAGACACATCTGCAATGGGCCAGATGGACTCAATCTTCAAACAAGAGACGGTTGTCGCTCCAACACGCCAAGAAGCACTCAATGTGGCGCTCAGCCTATCAACAATGGCTGTGGCAATCCCTTATGCCTGCTCATTTGGCTCTGAGCTTGCTATAAACTCTATTTTGGGTTCCTACTATGAAAAGGTATTCCCACACATGGGCCAGACACAGACCGGTCAGTGGGCTGCCATGTTCGGTCTTCTGAATGTTGTCTTCAGACCCGCAGGCGGTCTCTTTGGTGACATGGTCTACCGGTTGACCGACAATGTATGGTCTAAGAAGCTTCTTCTGACCTTTTTGGGAGTCTCTATGGGAGCCTTCCAACTTGCCATTGGGCTGTCCAATCCACCTACCGAGGCAGCTATGTTTGGTCTTATTGCTGGATTGGCTTTCTTCCTTGAGGGGTGCAATGGGGCCAACTTTGCAGTTGTGCCTCATGTGCATCCATTTGCTAATGGTATGTCTCACTTCATTTTTGTCATTCACATCATAATACTAACTAATTTTCAATAGGTATTGTTTCGGGAATTGTTGGTGGGTTCGGTAATCTTGGAGGCATCGTCTTTGCTATTATCTTCCGGTACAACGGATCAGACTATGGAAAATCCATGTGGATTATTGGGGTGATATCTTTGGTGGCTAACTTGGCTGTTTGCTGGATTCGACCTGTCCCTAAGAGTCAGATGCAAACTTGAGTTATGTAAGATCGTTATAGTGATGAATTCACGTCATAGTTCTTCACGTTAAACTCATTGGACTGCGGCTCTATGTGCCAAGCTCGGGTTGCCGAGGTCACGGGCTTCGGGGTAGCACACCCCGAGTGCGGGTTAACGCTGCGGCGAAAACGAGGGGCAAGAAGTAGAATGAGTAAAGGACATTTGCTTTTTTACTTTTTTCAATTTCAACCGGAATTAGAAACTTTTAATCTCGTTTTCACATAGATCTCTCGAAACAATGGCTCCAGTCCGCCGCATTGCTCAGATTGTTCACCTTAAGCCCTCCGCCGTGGCCGCATACAAAGAATGTCACGCCAATGTCTGGCCTGAAGTCCTGCAACAAATCAAGGATTGCAATATCAAAGACTGTAGGTCTTATGTTGCAATGAGCAAAAATTGATGTGTGATTCAAGTATTAACATTGCACTTTTTTGCGCCATCGCAGACTCAATCTTTTTCGACAATGATCGGACCTTGTTTGCAACATTCAAATATGTCGGGACCGACTTTGAGGGAGATATGGAGCTCATGCGAGCAAACCCCAAAGTGAGGGAGTGGTGGGCTATGACAGACGGGATGCAGGTAGGTCGAGCATCCTACATGGACCGACAGAATGAGAGTGCTGATATGGGGGAACTGTGCTTTAGGACAGCCCTATACCCGGAGCTGTGGGCAGTGCAGACGGCCCGGGGTGGTGGAAAGTCTTGGACGAAGTATTTTACACAGAGTAAATAATAATCGAATATCTAACTCTACTACTACTTTCGTTAAGGATGGGGTTCTTCGGGGTTTCATTTGCGCAGCCCAAGAATAGGTCAACCCATATGACTTTTTATCAACACGTCTGATTGACCCTAATTACTATGGCAACCAGTATTATAATTGTATACAGAGAATAGGGACCCCTATTTTGTTCTTTCTCTCGTTCAACTTTCTACTTGCTTCTTGACTGGTATCCCTGCAGTTGATTTCTTGTTACTGAACATTCTTTGATTTGGCTTTAATAAGCATAAGAATGCTTGGAAAAAGACACCATCTAATTCTGCATATCGCGAGCATTACAAATTGCCCACACATTTAACTAGCAAGTGCTGGTTTTTATTACCCTGAATGCCCCGAGTTTCATCAATAAGGCTTGAGAATAGGGTTTCTGTGGTATGTGAATGAGGACCTCTTCGAAGAGATTGCACGATAGATTGTATCAAGCCTTCATAGTCGTCACTGAGGCTATTTAGCACCCAGGAAATAACCAATTGTTTTGATGAGATTAATTCCTTACTATGAAGATTATCAATAAGGGCCTGAACCTGATTTAAATCTTCTTCCAAAGTATGATAATCATCCAGGAAGGTGTGGAAAAATCCTTTTAAAATTTAAGAATTCAGTTGTAAATCCCTTTGGGTGAGAGGAATCTTCGAGTTTTTCCCATGCTAATTTAACATCTGTAATATCTTCGACGAACAGTAATGGGCCATCATCACATCACTGAATAATAAAGAGAGCCCTATCGTTCATTGTACCAACGGTGGTATTATTTCGAAGAGTAATAATCAATTCCTCTTTCGTTAATGCGGCTTTTACTCATATTGCCCATAGTTACGTGGCTCAGAAAATTGCTCTTTTTAGGCAATAAGAGTAAAATCCATATGAACGAAAGAGGAGTTAATTGTTACTTTTGGAAATAGTACCACCACTAGTACAAATATGTTGAAGCAGATCGAGTCAACCTTCAGACATACATAACTCGAGGCCTGACACATTCTGTATCCATCGCTTTAATGGCAACACCACGGCTCTTCTCATAGCCGGCAACTATTAAGTCCCTCATAAACTTTCCACAGAACCTCTTCACCTAGGACTCTGGCCAATGGATCTATGGAAAAACATTGGGTCCAATAAAATACCCACCGACCACGAGGAGAAGTTGAAGTACAATGCAGAGCAACTCGTTTGCTCCGCTGATGTTCAGGAATATAATGTGATGATCCAGGAAGGACTCGAATACTCCTATGTAACAAATGGGATTGCCCGTGTTCTTCTTCGTGTTCTTCTTCGTGTTCTATAATGACACTCCTAGCACTCTTTACTATTCTCTTCGTGATCCCAACCGTGAAGTGGGTCCCGAAGTGAGGATAGTTTTCAACAACCCAGAACCCCCGTTGCCAGAGTACTATGCCTGTGCCTATGGTCATTCTATTTACCCGTGCGCAACCAGGAATATGGGAATCGGATACGCACTAGTGTTTTTTTGGATGTAATGAATTGTTGGTGGTGATTGAAAGACAAGGGGAAGCATATCGAAAAGGGGTCATACAAGTGGTCTTACCTCCTCTGGCCAGCAATTTAGACAAAGAAAGGACATATCCATGCGTGCGCCTCAATCACTAGCGCGCTATAGGAACGTATGTGGGCTTGGCATAAGGAACGGATCGTAGACGATCTCGAGGATCACAAATTGATTCTACCAATTATTATAATACATATTGAACTGTCAGACGACAGTAAGACCAACGGTGGGAGCAAAAGCATACCAATAGATCACCCAGCCAGTTCATCGAGTATGCCGATTCAAACAGCCCAGTGGAGAGCTCTCGGTGCCTTAAGCTACCATTTATTGAGGTAAAGAAAAAAACTCTCTGCAGGAAACCGGTCGACTGGTTCAAGGTCCTCGAGTTCATGGCTAAAAATATGCGAGCTGTTGATGGCAGGGGTTGGTAGGAAATATCAGCCACGAAAAAGGAGGTTCCAATGTTCAGATATAAACAAATCATCTGATGTGTATCTGACTGAGGAGATCATTCTCTTGTAAAGCGCGAAAGCTGAATTTCGATATAGCCTGTGGGCTCCAACGCCCACCTCAACATGACACCATCTACTGCATCAAATAATGTCATTAATTGCATAGAGCATCGATATGAATTGGTGATGAAAGTGATAAATTACTATTCATGGTGCGTGAATGGCTGACAGCCATCGAGGCCGCCGGGCGTTTGTCAAGTGAATCACTATCGGCCGAAGCCAGGTTGAACTGGTGAAATGTACAATAGGCTGTTGATATTTGTATATAAGATAGAATTGATTCATGACAAGTGAATCCACTCTCAAGACTCCTCCAGCTCCCGCACGTCTAGCTCCAATGAACCAGCCTTCTCATCGCTGAGGCCTTGGAAATCCCCATGTGTGTCTAGCTCAGGACGCCAGTTGTCCCCGCTCAATTTATTCGATTCTCTTGAACTACCGACGCATGTCAGCACAAGGACAACCAACGGCAAATATCATCGACTGAAGCTCCTACCCCAACTCCCGCTCTTCGATATCTTGTTCTTGTGTCCATGCCTCAGGAAGTCGCGGGCGCGACGGTGGTCTGAAAGCGCTCTGCTGGGCATTATGCCTATCGGTGCGTCCCATATACCCCTCATAATTATCGGCATCGTCACCCATCGAGGGCTCAACGTCATCATCCGCCGTCTCCGGAGTGGGGTCTGAATGTGGCTCGAAGGGGGTGCCAGATGTTTTGTGTTCTGTTGATGCAGGTTGCTCAAAGCTCTGGTGCTTTAATCGATGCTCGGCTGGTCTAGCAGGACTCGGTGAGATGACGTCTGTTCTATGTGTGTTTGCGGTGTCTGGCCTTTTCGTTGGTCGTTTGTAGTGGGCGCTGCTTTGGGGTCTCGTGGGTTCTGCCTGGTAGGGGCCTTCATGGCACCATGGGCACTCGGCTTTGCCTTCGTAGGCGCGGTGCCAGCTCGCATGGGTGTGTTGCTGGTATCTTCTCATGTCGGGGTGGTGAGGGGTTGCCCAATGTTTATATATTTATTGGGGAAATGACGAAGAGACAATTGTGATTTCAATTGGGAGCCGAAGACTTTTTAAAGCGGGGATTGATAAAAGCAAACCTTGGATCTATCCAGCCTTTCATCCTTGCCTAAGTGTCTAAACAGCCGAGTGCGCTGGCAATGCATTCGTGGGGTTGGGACCGCAAATCACGAAGGTAATTGGCGCTTATGCATGGCGCCCAATTTTACCCCTGTGCTAGGTCATTTTGGTGCATAGTACTTGTGTACGTAACACATCGTACGATACATTTGACCAATTTTGGGGGATATTTTTTACGGGTATATTTTACGGAGTACAGTTTCTACATTTTGCAGGTATTTACGGGTCCCGACTACAAGCAGATGCAAGGAAGCACATGAGGGAACAAGAACTGATGGACATTGGCGGGGAGCAGGTCGAACTGAGTAAAAAAATTGCCTTGAATAACACCGAACTATTGCTCCCAGGAAAAACCCCTTCCGAAATCAAAGTGGTATGTGTCATGATCCATCAAACTACATCACATGAATTAAAACGCCGGCAGTAGCCAATTCCCCCAATTGAAACTTTGTTGGAACTTTTTGGTCTTGAAAAAAAGATAGGTAGCGAGACGCTTATGCGGCGAGCTTGCGGATCTTCTCCTCGACGCGGGCCTTGCGCTCGGCGTGGGTGAGCTTGTTGACCTTGTACTTCTTGGACTCGGCCTTCCACTCAGCCTTGGACTTCTTGGGGCCAGCGTTCTCGTCAGCCTTGAAGGGGTCCTCACGGATGGCCTTGTGGGCATCAGTGTAGATCTCCTCAAGGTCACCAGCCTCAATCTCGTTCTCAATGTACTTGGTGAACTGGGACTTGTAGCGCTCCTCATCCTCATCGGCGAGGGTCTCCATGTACTCAGTGACGTGGCCACCGACAATGTAGTTCTTGAGGGTCTCGGCGTCGAGCTCCTCGGACTCAATGTCGTAACCGGGGAAACGGCGCTCGGAGTGGGGGATGAAGATACCACCGTCGGAGGCACCCTTCATGGCAGCGAAGACACGGTTACCGGTGGAGGTGCGGACAAGACCAACATCAAGGAAGGCCTTGAAGGGGCGGCGCTCGCCATCGTCGGTCTCGACGGCCTCGGTGAGAGTGTGCTCACCAGTGGCCTCCTCGACACCCTTGAACTGCTCATCAAGACCGAGCTTCTTGAGGACACGGCGGGCAAGGAGCAGACCGGTAGCGTAGGCAGCAGCCCAGTTGGTCAGACCCTGGTCAATGCCGTACTTGGGGAGCTCGTGAGCGTAGGCAGAGGCGAGGACCTTGTCACCAGAGATCTCGGAGTAGACGATCTGGGTAACGATGTCGCGGTTGGTGAAGCGGACAACCATGCGGTACTTGGGCGCATTGTACTTGTTCTTGGCCTGGGTGATCAGACGCTTGCGAGCATAGTAGTCGGTCTTACCCTCGCGGCGGCGACGGTACTTAGTCTGGAAGCGACTGTAAAATTGTCAGTAAGAAGCATCTCAAAAATTTTAGTGTAAAATGTTACTCACCTGAAGTAGGCGTTGTTCTTAACCGTCTTGGTGAAAGGCTGTGGAACAACATCGCGAGTCAGCAATTGACGCTTCAGAAATTACGCCGAAGCAACTTGCAGGGACCCGGTTTCGATATAAAACCGAAAGGAAGAAAGAATGCAAAAGAAATGCATGATGGTATCAACCATCTATTGTACTCACCATTTTGAGGGTGTCGAGGGCGGGATGGTCAAGGAAGAAGCAAAAGAAATTTCGTGGATCGAATTTGTGCGGGTTTTCGCTTAGCGTGGCGGCTGCATCCCCGCGCAGAAATGTGGTCGGCGACGAGTGTCCGGATGATACGAGCGATAAGATAGCGATAAGATAAGAATTTCAGTACTTTCAAGAAACCCAAGAACTAACAAGGATATTTCCAAGAGATATAGCGTCTAAAATGTGTAAAAGCAGCTCTTTGTCAATGTTGTTTTGCTGAAATAGTACCGTGGGATACTTTGCCGTGATGTATATACGCTTTAAAGAGTGTTAGGAAGAGACTTATAAAAAAATGACAACCAAGACCTAGAAAGAGATCGGTATGAAAGGCCAATAAAGCGTGGATGAAGATGACAATAAAGTGATGTTTAATCATAATGGAGATTTTAATGACAATAACCACCCAAATTCAAAATGGATGGATTCATTGCTGGGGTGCCTCCATACTTTCTAGATGTAATCTATAGCCCCTCACAATCGTGCCTTGTCTTCATCTAACAATTGAAGACCAGTCAGCTTCTCCAGCTCTTTGACCGCATCTTGAGTTTTTCCAAGAGTAACTTTGACAGTACGAAGACCAGCATTCTTTGCCCCTTTCAAATTCTCACCAATGTCATCGAAAAATACAATATCATTGGGATTTGTTCCAGGTAGTCCCCGCTGCTTAGCCAAAGTGTCCATCTCCTGTAATGCCACCTGGTAGATCTTCGGGTCGGGTTTTCGCAGACCCGTGTGTGCCGATGAGATAAAGAAGTCAAATTGTTTCTTCACATCGGACGTATTATTGTATTCGTGTCCGTCGGGGAATATAACGGTGTTGGACAGCGCACCCAACAGGAACTGACCCGATTCTCTGAGTTTCTTCAGAGCTGGGTACATGTATCGGTCCGGTGTGCGTGATACCCGCATCATCTCCCAGAAAAGCCACTCGGCATCGACCTTTGGCAGTGGTGGGATAGCCGACCCACTTGTGCCTTGCTTTTGCTGAAGTTGTTGGTGGAACTGTTTCCAGAGGTTGGGATTGCGAAGGTCCGCATTGAACCCTGCAAAGAATTCGGCATCCATCTTGATGTCGCCTCGTTCGAGCTTGTGCCAGCTACCGTTCGGTGATGTTCGCGAGATGCTAAAATTGACCCATCCTGGAGGAATATTTTGCGCAATCTCATAGTCGAGGATGGCCTGGAACGGCGATACAACCTATATTGTGATCAGCCAGATGAATCTCAATCAATTACTCAAGTGATCAACTTACACACACTCCTCCAATGTCAAACAACAGGCCCACTGGCCGCTTGGTCTCTGACATTTTGAGATAAATCTAGAACTGCTTTTTGGTCTCAGGTCGAGATATATTCCGTACAATTATTTTCCAGTGTCTGCGTTTAAATTGCCTGAGGTGTACTTGATTTTGAAAGAGGGTTCGTTACGTTTAATAAGAGTTGGAGAGACCGGCGACTGTTGGATTGCCGAGGTCCCTACGATTATGAGATCGCAATGATTTAAACCGAGGATATGCTCCCGACCGTGGCCACATTTGCTAGCACTATAGGAATAATATATAAACAGTCATGAGATCAATCAATGACTGGTTTATTGAAGCATTTGCACAATCTTTGAATGTTTTAAGGGTTCTAAGGTCCAAATTCCCAAATGGCCATTCCGGATAATCAATTTTGTGGGGAGGCACGTGATTCCTTATCGATAAGAACGCGTTTGGAGAAGATCGCGCGGGACTTGACGAATGAACCTTGGAAGTAAGGATACTTCTGCATCCATTTTGCTTGAGATGGATTCGTCGAGAACTATATCCGAGTCAAAATCTGCATTCATACGGAGTCAAGTCCGAATATTCTCCGAGAGTTTAGCTTTACCGGAAGACTGGCGCAATTATGCTCCCGAAGCTGATGAGGGTGAACTAAATGACAAGGTCATTGAAGATGTATTACACAAAGGTTAGAATGCAAATCACAATTGAACTGCTTTCAGGGCCATATCATCATGTATGGAGGATGAAAAGGAGACTAATAGTTCCACAGTAAATGCTGCTGCTAAGCAACACAATCGCGTTGTTTATTCCTCCCAGGCTATACACCATGTCGCCCAACAAATTGCGAGTCTATACTGGTCTTTGGTTAGCCAAGATGCACGCAGTCGAGATGCCTTTGCCCGTGGTATAGAAAAGACTACCGATTTGTCAAGGCAGATGTGAGGCGGGTCCGGATTCATACCGAGTGGGACAAAGCTAATCGTATGACCTAGGATCATCACAAAGTTGCCTGTCGATTTGGAGAGCCCGGAGGCAAGTGAGGAGGAGCATGTAAGGTCAGTCTACAAATGCATCCGGATTTGTTCCGATTGGAGTTCCACCTGCCTTACACCAGTTGCACAGTTACCGGCAGCTCCGTGAGCGGCTCGCGAGCCTTGACAGTCAACGGCAACAACGACAAAGACGCCTTGACCAGTTACAGCATCTGCAGCGTCTAATTGAGCCCTTTGAAGATCCGCAGAAGGACGTTCAACCAAATCTTATCACCAAGGACGGAGAGCTTGTTCAGGAATTGGACAAAATGCGCATGCTGGTGGCAAGAGTTGGAGGCAGGATTGCACAACAGAAAAGAAGCAGCGGTGTCCCTGAAAACAGGAGTTACTCGCTCCCAGGCTCTGATCGGAGATTAGAGGAGTTGTTGGATATGCCTTTATGAACCCAAAATACCCCATGCCCACCGGTGCTTGCGATGGATGTGTGACTTGTAACACGGCTTATTGAAAATTTGGAATATTTCTGTCTCCTTTTTGTAAATGCCTCGCTCGTGTCAAATCGTTTTTCTAAAAGAGAAAAATTCCATAACAATATTACCCCGTTCATAGTGACAAATATATATATAGGTATCGAGTGATTGGACATGATTGTGAACTTACCCGTGGAACTGGCAAACACTCGTTCAAAACGCGATGAACTTGCCACAGAGTGACCCTGAACAAGTGGGCTTACTTCCAAGGTTTGTCTACATTATTTTTTTACGTATAACCACTTGGTTCCTTCCGCCAACCTTGGAAGACAACTAAGTCTAACTTCATGTTGAATCAGCGCAGGGAAAGATCATAAAGGCAAGAACGCATCAATTGCACCTGCATTAATACATTTATCGGCTTGAATAGAGCATGTGCTAGCAAACCGAAACCTAATTTAACATTTTAGACTGGGCGAGTGCCGTTTTCCCAAAATCTCACCCGCCATTGATCTATTACACCTACATCCTGGTTCTCTGTCGGTTGGGAAGGAAATAGGCTTCGCCCCACCAATATGTTGGGGAACCAGCTCCTCTAGGAACGAAGTTGGTCCAGATTCTTCAGGAATATCAAATTGATCAAATTTCTATCTGAATGAGTACTCTCAACAGGATGAAGGAGTTGGTTGGGATAGGCCGTGCTTCTCAATCACGTGCTTCATCGACGCTAGCCCCACCTGAGACTAGTGTGAACCCCCGGCACACGACGATTGTTGACTGTGCTCCAGACCTCTGTGAACTTGATCAGAACGACGAATTTGCTATCGATTCTTTGACTGATAGCGACGAAACTGTTACTGCTACGAGTGCACCCGCCACAATCGAGGGTGACACTTCCTCCCCTTCCAAGGCACCTTACACGCGTGGGCATCGCCGTCGCTCCACGCACGTTACTCGCCGTGACCTTGAGAAGTTTCACTCGGAGGTTCTAGGTGTTGAAAACCACGCTTCTTGGTTCGACGAGGATAACGGCACTCCGCGATCCTTCTCCCTTGACGATCCTCAACTCGAGGAGCTGAATCGCGCTTTCGAAAACGCCGACGTGTCCATGAATATCGCTAGCAACGGTATGGCTAGCAACGGTACGGGTCCGGGTGCTTTCTACGACAACTCCTCTAGCCCAGTCAACATGGCCAATATGCCTCCTCGCCAGACACCGTCTCCTGCCGCCTCGGTCACGACCCAGATCAATGGTGGAATGGGCGCCATGGGTGCCATTCCCATGAATGCTGGCCACCAGATGGATTTGCATCACCTCTACGAGATGGTGGTGGAGCTCAGTGATGTGTTGAAGAACAACAGGGACGTGACCAAGAATATCGTCGCGAATGCGGAGGAGATTGTGGTATGTGGAATCCAAGTGCATTCAATTCCGTCAAACTATAGGCTTACACACTTCCAGAAGAATGGAATTGCCGACAACACTAGTCCGAATGGACAGCAGAACGGCGATCACTCCAGTAATGCTAGTATGTTGGCCTCTGGGAAGATCCAGTCCCCTCTATTTACTAACCCAGAGCAGACGCCCGAATCGCCGAGCTTGAGCGTGCCTTGGCAAAGGAAAAGCTTCTGGTCGCCCATCACAAGCACCACCAAGAGGAAAACATGAAGCTGGTTCACGAATTCGAAACCTCAGTGGGTGTCATGGTTGAGCAGATCCGCAACTACTGCCAGAACAACAACATGCATTACCTTGCCCAGAAAAAGCACTATAACAACCTCCTCCAGAGTGAGCGTGATGCCCATCTGGAAAGCCGACTCGATCGCGACTACTGGCATGCCCAAACCATGAAGTGTACCGAGATGATCCGCAACGCCTACCGCCTCAGCTGCGAAGCCGATGATACCCCTACCCGCATCATCTCCGGCCTGCAGAACGAAGTGCGTGCCTATCGCTTTGCACTTGGCATGGAAGCCGAAAAGCCCGAGGACGAGTATGGCTGGGAATATCTCAAGAATATTCCAGGTTTGGAATAAATTGGGCTTGGGTGCGGCAGGGTCGTGCGGAATGGCCGTCCCCAGTTCCGCTTGACGGCGTGATGACTGTTTCTTTTCATCTCATTAACTTCGGAGGGCGTTTGCTTTACTATTTTATTATCGGCACCTTCGCCACCAGGGTGTTCATAGTGGGGTGTTTCTAGGTGTTTTATTATTGCGGATACCCCGTCTTGATTGTTACGAGGATGGTGTCGGTGTGTTCGACACCAGCATATGGACCTTTTATTTAAAAAATAGGAAATGAAAAACCTTTTTTAGGTCCGAATGATATTTGCTTAGTATTACCTATTAGGGAAATATTATTAGGGGTGTTATTACTGAAGACCCCGTCAGGTCCACTTAATCCACTCCCCCGATCCACGGAGGATCATGGTGGCAAGCAAGACAAAATAGATCTCGCCTAGCGCACTTTTATTCAGCTTACTACCGGTATAACACGGTAGCTCTAAAGATAAGGTTGAATTCATTACAAATGCCTAAAAGTCGGGAACTAATTGGCATTAAAGCTACAAACTCTCTAGCTACATCGATATTAGGGAATATTAGATCTATATAAGTACCTTATGGGCCTTGTGCATTTGACACTTATACGTTTGCTATAGGCACTTGAAATGTTATCTTTGGAATAAACTATGTGTAAGGTTGAGTTCTCTAAGAGTTCATTTTCATTCTCTCTACACCGTATATTGTACAATGGAGTTGTTTTGATTACTCCACAATGTGTACCACAGAACAGGTGGAAACATCCGGAGAGGCGAACATTCTCCGTGGTGTAATGACCAGCCTCACATCCATAGCCTGAACTTCCAATTGGTCATAAAACTCCAAATTAAGAACCTACATACTGTAGAGGATTGTACAATAGACCAACCATATGAGAACAATTGTTAGTTCGGCAAGAATGGAGCCAACATGTTGCATACTCACGTGCCCTTCAGGCCAATTTAGCTTCGGGGCAGATTATGTCACCGTATTAAGTTATTCCAGACTGTGAATCGCATCCGGAAGAAACTATCCTTATTTTCTTACTTATCTCCTTGTTTCTTGCACAATGCAGTTCTTGTTACAACCTATGGAGATCGATATCCTACGTCGTTCCCTGTAACGGAGCAGTGTAGCTTTCGGTCGCAGATCATACGGCATTCATCAGCGGAATTTCCACACCATTTGTTGGCCACCAGTGTCTAGTGTTGTCCACCTGATTCCGTCTCTTCAAATCGTCGCTTCGTGATCTTCAGTGGAAAGTGGGGGACCAGCCAATGATGCGCCATTCGATCTAGTCTCTATCCAGTCATTGCGCTCCAGTTACACCACGCCACACCGCTGACAACTCGAGACGGCTGCGACATACGAACCTTTTGGCTTTTCAATCTAAATCAAAAGGTATTCACAATGGAGGGAGTTCAGACTGTTGATGTGAGTTGGCTGCATCATTCACAGAAAGGTAAGTTCCACTTTCCATCCTCGGCACTTCTGTGGCTCCGCGTGGACGCGGCTCTTGCAGATGGGGGCGGGTTCTAACCCTTTCTAAATCAGATCATTTATCTCGAACAAAGTCGGTATCATCAAGCGATAAACCATGCACCGATGCCGAGCCTGCGACCTCTCAATCTAAGTCGCATCGGAGATCTCGTTCTAACAGTAACCCGGCACGCCCAACACCACCCCCCGCCACCCCAGAGCTGAAGCAAGCCCCCAAGAATGATCCCATTCCGGTAGAAGCACAACCACCGATAACCGAAAAAAGCGAGGAATCAAAGCCATCCACATCATCTCCAGCCACGCGAAAGACTGACCCCAAGCCTATCGGACGAAGGAATTCGTGGATATCCAGTTTGAGCTCGAAGTTCTCGTCTGGATCAACACCACCTTCGCAATCCAGTCTCAAGGCCGGTCCCGCGAGCCCCAAAACGACCTCTCCCCTCGATACACACAATCCATTCGGGGCCGCCTACTCCCCAAAGGACAAGGAAGAGGAGAAAAAGGACGAGTCCAATCCATTTACCTCGACATCACCGAAGGGGCCGTCTTTTATCCACAATGCACTGCGCAAATTCTCGTCAAACTCGGGTGGATTGCCCAAGTTGAACCCGAATGACTCGATCTGCCCTCGTCGTGTGATGAACATTGACCAACATCGGCACCGATGCAAGATCGCCGACTTGAACCAGGCCAAATTGAACCGTGTGGCTTTCTGCGTGGATGTAGAAATCGCCGGGATCTCTCATCTGGATGATGACGAGAATGCTCCTCCAACAAACCAGTTACGACAACCTCTACCCGAATCCAATAGCCACAAGTCTAAGAAAGCCGATCTCAAATCGAAGGAACAGGAGGAGGCTGGAGCTTTGAAACACCCCCAGACTACATTAGCCGACAAGGATAGCTCGTTTCAGGCTCCGGCTCAAGCCACTGAGAATTCAAAGAACCAACCTGCCTCTTCTCCACCAAACGCCACTAGTACCAAACCATCTGCTGATCCCACCCCCAACGGAGAAGGAACTGATCCTACAAGGAAGCAGGAGAAGAAGAAACGGTCAGAGGCAGAGCGCAAGGAGCGCAAGGAAAGGAAGCGCAGACAGGCTGTGGCAAATGGCTCGGTGCCATTGCAACTCGACGCAGAGAACGATGAAGAGTATACACAGGCTCCAGCACCGGGTATTACCAGATCCAAAACACAGAGCCACCCCACGACCGATCCGGTGCGCATTTATCGCCGGTGTTGCCAACTTCGCGAGACCCCTGTTCTCAAGAGAGTTGTTGACGAGATCTCGAAGCCTTCATCCACCTTGGCCGAGTCTCCCGGCACGGTGGCAGCTCTGGATCTCAGCAACTTCCCAATGACCTCGCAGGACTTGACAACTTTCAGCGACTGGCTCGCAGTTGTTCCAGTTCGTAAATTAATTTTGGAGAATTGCTCATTGACGGATCTATCCTTGCGATCAATTCTTGCTGGCTTGCTTTCCACCAAGACAGTCGAGCAAATGCGCTACCGACGCAGACGCTCTCGAAGACCGGAATCTCCGGGTTCAGATGATCATGAGAGATACGGTGTCGTGGAAAAGCTTTCCTTAAAGGACAACCCAAAGATTGGACGCGAGGGATGGCGCCACATCAGTCTTTTCATCCATCTTTCCAAATCGTTGAAAGCCATAGACTTGTCAGGCATTCCTTTTCCTCAAGGCCAGGTTGCGATTGATGGTTCAGGGTCAACCAATCAAACCCAACCACTCACTGCCGATGTGAGCATTATCTTTGCTAGTGCCCTAGCGGAGCGCTTCGGCGGGGATCACCTAGAAGAGCTGCTCATGAGTGAGTGTAACCCCTCGGTCGAAGCAGTAAAGCAAATTTGCCAGGCGACTACCAAAATGGGCCTGCGCAGACTGGGCTTCGCAAGCAATGGTCTGACAAGAGAGGGCTTGGAATATGTGGTCGAGTACCTGAAAGCCGGTCAATGCGAAGGCCTGGATCTGGGTGGAAATGCTATAAAGGATGATTTGGATATTGTCACAGGCGCAATTGAACCCGAGACACCGCTTTACGCACTGAGTCTGGCGGATTGCTCTTTGAATCCATCGGTGATCTGCCCTTTGCTCCAATCTCTTGCTCAGATCCACAACCTTCGTTTCATTGATTTCTCCCATAATCGCGAGCTATTCACAGCACAACCTAATGCTCTTGGGGCGTTCCGTCGCTTCTTGCCCAAGATGACATCTCTGAAGCGCTTTCATCTCGCTGATGTCAACTTGACACCAGACCATGTAATTGGTCTTGCCGAGGTACTACCAGAGTGCCCTAGTCTTTGCCATTTGAACATATTGGAGAATCAGCAGATCATCGATCTGGCTTCAACCACAGACCCTATTGCCCAGGAAGAAGCATGTGCCGTATATGCGTCCATGATGGCGGCAGTTCGTGTTTCACGGACTATCATTGCCGTCGATATTGATGTCCCTAGCGCAGAAAACAACGAGGTTGTCAAGGCTTTGGCATCTCAAATCGTAGCCTACTCGTTACGAAATCTTGAAGGTGGCGCTATTGCGGAAGAACTTTCTGACTCTATCGTTCCTCTTGGGACGAAAGACGTTCCAGTGCCTGACATCCTCCAGCATATTGTCGGACACTCTGCTGTATCTGAGGAGCCGTGCGACGACGTCGACGATATGGCCCCAGATGAAGACTATGTTATCGGCGGCACCGGCGTGGTCAAAGCATTGGGTGTATGTCTTGGGAACCTGGACCACCATGGCCTCGATGCTCTTGGGGAAAGCTCTGCACCGCCCAGTGGTACCACAACCCCTAGACGCCGCATATCTCGAAGCGTTGTTACCAAACGGCCCCGGGACATGTCAAAGAATCTGCTGGAGTCTGCCCGCAATATCAGAGTCCGAATCCAATCGGCTCTCATTCGCGAGGATCGTGCTGGCAATGATGCCAATTATCGCCGCCTACAATTCCTGGACATCACATTGCACAGAATGATTCAGCGCTTTGAGGACGAGTACCCGGAAACTCGCATTAGTGCACCAGCTGAGGCTGTGCCCTCTGCCCCGGCTCTTGATACCAGTTCACAGCACTCCGGGGAAGATGGGACCAGTTCCATTACTGCAGGCGGTAACATGACCAACAGCCAGCTTGATGAGAATGGGGCCGATGAAGAAGAGGGTGAGCAATTTGCCGTTCGTCTTTCCCGCGCCAGCTCCATGACTTCCCTTCACTCTCGTGCCATGACCTCCCAGGAAGGTCACATCCATCGTATCGGTCAGAACCTCCGCCGTGACTTCCTCAAGCCTTCACTGGTTCCTGCCGGCGGCGACGAAGAGGAAGACGACAATAGCTCGCACATTGCCGCTCTCAGACAGAAACTTGACCGTCTGCATAACGAGCAGTCCTTATCTCAATTCGACGACTTCGACACCGCTAAAGCCTTTGACCAACTCGGGACTACCGTCGATGAACTCTGGGCCGTGCAACAACAAGACGCCGAAGGCTTTGAACGCTTCAAACAGTCTCAAATCGCTGCCCAATTCAACAGTGGTCTTCGTACCCGAGACAATGCAGAGCCTGGAAAGGACTCTGAAGAATCCGAGAGCAAGCCCTCTTGATTTTTACTATCTCTATAATTTCAATCCACCATCTCGGTTTATTTGTTTTTGAAGTTCCGTGAACTTTCGCTTTTTATATACCTGTACATACTCTATACGCGCGCATGACTTTCTAGTACCATTTACCCAGCCACCTGGTCTTTTGTATATACGTGGCGGGCACGATGAACAGGCGGAATCTTTTTATTTCTAGCATTTCACTGTCTTTTCCATCTTTTCTATATTTATTTGCAGGTTGTACCATCACTCAGAAAAAGCATAATTTAATATCAAATCTAAACAATAAGTCATAGCTTCCAGAGAAGCTAGCCAATATTTCGAGAGCGAATCATGATGGTGGACAGTTTACTCCATGTTCTAAACGACCTTCCACTCTGCAAACTCGAAATGCGCCGGGTTGAAACATGGTTTGTCATAGGAGCCTTGCGCATAGATCGCGAAATGAGCTCCAGTGTTGGGAGATTCTTTGCCCGACCGGCGGTGTGTCAATGCTTTGCTGGATATTTCACCCAACTTCATTAGTTTGTCGTCTTGCGTTGAGAACAGGAGTTCGTAATTTGTAGGTCGTGCGCGGATTATGAGCTCGATCGAGGAATTCTTAAGGGGTAGTTGGTATGTGGTTTCCTAAGCCAATTAGCAAGCCGCGATGTACATGGATCAGGGGAGTTTGCTGAGACTGTCTATACCTTGAATTCATCGGCAGTCTCATCGTAACATCGTGATGCAACTTCCAGTCCTTCTTTTTCCTCATCAAAGGGTTTCCTCAGCCCAATTGAAGCATGTGCAAACTGTGACCACCAAATCGCTGTTCCGGCCTCATGCCCGGCTTCTGTGGGAGCAAACTCCACTTTCACGCGCCAATCTGCGGAAAATTCAGTCTGCTTTTGGAGTAGCATGGATGGACACTCAGAGCCATCAATCCGATGTGCGCTTCCATAGATACTGAGGAACCCTGGTTGTTCAGAGAAAGAATATTCCTTCTTCAGCGGCGTTCGCAAGTTGTACCATCCTAGTTGCAGTTCCGGGCCTTGGAACTCATCTCGCCAGGCTTGCGGGCGAGATAGAAGATGCATATCCTCCGCCTGCATCTGCAGGCCGATTCTTTGCCGACCATTGACAATTGGCCATCCATCGACCCATTCAACAGGAGCAAGGAATGTTTCTCGTCCAAGTTGTGAGATCAACTCGGACTTTTCGCCTTGAGGTCGGACACCCAAGAACACGGCCCACCACTTTCCGTTAGGTGTCTCGATGAAATCCAAATGTCCTGTGTTGCGGATTGAACGATCGTCGCCGTTGAAGATCACCGGATTGACAGATCCTTCTGGACCTACCTCCCAAGGCCCAAAGGGTCCTGTTGTGCTGCGACAGATCCATTGCTGGTGGCCCTCGTCGGTGCCGCCATCGGCTGTGCTCAGATAGTAGTATCCACCTATTTTGAAGATATGAGGACCCTCTGCAATGCCGATTCCGAATGGCGAGATTCGATTCCATTGAATTGGACTTAAGCATCGACCAGTTGCTAGGTCAATCTCGGCTGTGAAAGTTGCCAGTCCTAGACCATGTTTTTTCACTCTGGGATCAATGATCATGTTGACGGCAGAGAAGTAAACCTTTCCATCATCATCGAAGAAAAGCTTAATCCATTAGCATGTACTTTGTTTTAAGGCCGATCAAAAGCTGGAAGAGTGCATCACTTACATCTTGATCAATCCCGGGAACATCGAAGAATACTGGATCAGACCAGGAGTTTGAAGCCCAAATATCTGAAGTGGAGACATAAAATCCACGCGGAATTACAATATCCTGTAGACTCAAGTTAACACCAAATTTCCATACCAACGTTGTAACAACAGAACACCACGAAACATAAGCGGCATGATAAACTTTTATTATGGGTGCGATGGAAGACAGATGGCAAATTACTGACCCATTCCTTTGGTCTAAAACGATGTGTACACCCTAGTGAGACATAGAATCGTCCCTTGTGATACCGAATTGTCGGCGCCCAAAGTCCACCAGATGGCTCAGTAGTTCGCATATTGACCTGCGAAGGCCTTGTGATGACATGGCCAATGAGTTGCCATTTCAGAAGGTCTTTGCTGTGGTAGATCGGGATTCCAGGGTAGTATTCAAATGTTGAGGTCACAAGAAAGTAGTCGTCACCCACACGGCAGATTGAAGGATCTGGGTTAAATCCGGGGATGATGGGGTTGTTAAAAGCACCGCTGGAGGACATGGTGAGAAATTGCGATTGTCAGTGGTTTCAACGGGGAACAATAATTTTCAAGACCCGGGCACCGTGAGTTATCTTTAGTATTTGGTACAATGACCTTGAAACAGGAGTTTACCTTGATCCTTTCTCGCAAAGTTGAGGTGGAGTGGAGTGGGGGCATGTGGAGGTGGAGGTGGACGGCCAGGAACTCGACCAATGCGACTTTTATCGGACTAAGCGTGACATAATACAATTGTTCATTGGACTTTCTCAGTGAGAAAGCGATCTAGGATATCTCCAAAAGCAACCGCAAGTCGATGACATTTCAACGAGCGTAAGCCGTCACGGGCATCGGCAACTTGCACCAACAACGAAGATACTGCTTGTGGGCAGTCTGTATTGCTAGACTGGGTATAGCCCTGATCAATACCACAATCTTGCCTTGGTACCCTTGATGTCACAGGAGCCTCGCGTTGTTGGAGAGCCAAGATAAAACTGCGACTTGCGAACCGCGACATGGCCCAGCAAGTGAGTCCGCTCATGAAAAGGCATATGGCCAATTCAAAACCACTCCGCTGTGCATCCCCAGCAGCGATTGCATCATATGCTGCGTCCAGAATACGCATTGTACGGTCAAGTATCAGCTGAGCTCTCTCGTTCTGGAGCCAATTTCGTAAAGACTGCTCAGCCAGTCCAATATCGTCTTCTGAGCCAGATCGACCTGCAACAATATGCAAATCCGAAAAGTTGATATGTAGCGCTAGCATTGCTAGATGGTACAGTAAAATACCCGAAGAGCTTTTGCGATTGTTGTTGTGGAGATCACCCTGGCTAGCCTCCCCGTAGTTGGTGTCCCAATTCTTGAGACATGCTTGGAGCCATCGTTGGCGCTCTTGTAGAGAATTACCAATATTTTGTGGTGCTAGGGATAGTGGTGAACTGAGTAATCCAGTTGGATTGAGCATGCAAATAGTTTGCCGCCATTCGAAAACATGGGAGTGAAGGACATATGCGTAGAGAGTCTTACAGAACTCGTCCAGCGGTGGAAATGGAAGAACCTCTGAGATCTCGTTGTAGAGCAGTATTGTTGTAAGTGTGGTCAAGAAATATGTACTTGGGGGAATTTCAGCTGGCCCCAACAAGGCTTTCCACCCCCAGGCCGTACTCGCATTCCAGAAAGTTTCTGAGCAAGGCAGTGCGGCGTTGACTGTCTCAGCTTTACTGATGTAAGGCTGACGTTGGAAGAAAGCCGCAACCTGGCAATCAAATAACTAAACCAAGGGTTAGATCTTCTTCTATAGTTCCCCAATAGACTTACATATATGCATAGCCCTAAGCGCTTTCTTTGCTCAGTATCGATCCATTCCACCCAGGCTTCCTCTATCCGTTTCCGACCGCGTCGCGAAGGGGGCTGTGAAGTGTTCTGTTGTTTTACTCTGCAATCGAGAAGCTGGTAGCGTCGACAAGAAACGACAAGTTCGCCACGGTCGCCTTCGGCACGTTCATAAGCCATCTTTTGGCCTATCCACATGGCAGCCAGTGAAACTAGGAAAAATGCTAGAAGGTGCTCGACGGATCGTAGCTATAGAGTCAGGCGCTGATTAGCCGTGTACAATATTTTTGGTTAATCATGTCTCACATGTTTTTGGTCTCTCTCTTGCATCAACCTAATTGCCATTCTAGTTCTTTCGAGATAAGACAGTGCAAACCGCCCCTGATTTGACTCAGAATAGCTGGACCCGACAATTGCGATAGCCAGCAAGAGGGTGGCAGGAGAGCCGTTAGGCTCAAAGGTAGGTATGTGCAATACGGGGAAGCGAGGCTGGACGTGAGCAAAATAGAGTTGCATGAAGTATTCGATCGTTGACAATGGAGGAAAGGAGCCCGGTCGTGATCCTTTCTCGCTGCAGAATTCGTCTAGAGAAGACGACGTCACGGTTCCCAGCATTGCCTCACGAGATTTTTCTGAAAATAGCCTGGTGGGATGGGTCCCCGTATATGTGTTGGTAAAAGTGGCGATTTCGCCTTGATCGACGTATGAAGTAGACCTTGGAGGTTGGTGCAACAGTCTGTGTTGTCTAGGACTGACTGGTCTACTTTCTTGGTCTGGCCATGCTCGAAAGTCTTCTTCCTGTGTGCCATCAGCATCATCGGCCGACGAAGAGGTTTCTAGAGGAAGAGCTGTGCCGTTGAATCCAGGTAGATGGCTGACATCCCCATGCTCAGGCAGGGGATCGAACGGGCTATGTGTAGATATACCCTGTGACAAAAAATCCAAAGTCCAGTCTATATTGGCATCGTTCAGTCCCTCTCCATAGAATGGCCATTGAAAATCCCAGTCTGGTACCCCTGCCTGGTGGAACGAAGGATCTGGACCCCCAGGTAAGTCCCTCGGCAAGAGCTCGGGATGAGAGGCAGAGTAATCGACCTCCCGCGGAATATTACCAATATCTATCGAAGTAGATGATTCTTCTATTTGAGGCGTCAATGTGTTATATTGGTTATTTGGAGTTTGACACAGGCGTTTTGCACTACTCGAGCGACCTTCTGGAGTGGCTGGTTCGTTTTGGCCCAAGGAACCAAACACCCTATCAGGTTCTTCTTGGGTAACAGTTGATTCGCGTTCATGCACTTTTCGATGCCTAGATAGAAGGTCGCTAGAGATTGTGAAATTGTCAGATGCTCCTCAACAATGACTTGGCTAGGGGCCCGCTTGACTGGAAAGATGTCTCACCTTCTCGTAAACCTGCTTGGGCATAGTGAACAAGCATACGGAGTGTTATTGTCATCTGTAATATCGGATCAGGACCAATTGCTAGAAAAAATAATATGTGATTGGCCCTGCATGATCCTTACGTGCAGATCGATAATGTCTGACTAGATTTTCTCGACGTGAGTAGGACTTAGCACATTGCGTGCATCTATGCACTGGTGGGACAGAGCCATTTCCCATCACAGCAGAGCAGACAAAGTCCCAGGTGGAGTAGAGGTCTCAGAAGAACAAGGATAGGTTAGAGTAGAGTTGTGCAGAGCGAGTAGTGGAGGATAGAAAGGGAAGTGAAGTGGGAAGAGGTGGAGGTGGAGGTGGAGGTGGAGTATATTTCCCCCGGAGTTGAATTGAATTCCAATTCTTGCCTCAAAATATGTAAAATTTTTGTTAATACTCTATTTTTCCTGTGATTCAAACCTCATATTTCATTTGCTTTTTATCAATTATAAGATCAAAATTCTAGGAGTTTACCGCATCCGAGATTGGACGGAATTCACTTGAGCGCTCCAACGGTGTTTCTTGGAAAAGCGCGCTGCGAGTATTTTTGCCTTTTATCACATGCAACATTTCGTGATACTTCTGTTGTTCGAAGAGTCTAACCAGAATGCCAGATATTGAGGCTTTTGCGTCTGTCGATGGCCCGGATGCAGGTTTTTATTACCGAGATAAGCTACCTTTACTCTCTCTAGAGGAGAAAGTAGCTTTACTTTCTGGCATCAGCTTCACGAGTACTGCGGGCGTGGCGCGATTGGGTATTCCACCATTGAAGGTAAAAATTGAAGAAGGCGAGGGGTAGGGTGGCAAACAGCAAATGGTAGCTAACAGTTGAACCAGGTCAGTGATTCTATCAATGGCGTTCGTGGCGCTCTATCACACCTTGACGACACCGGTACTGCGTGTTTTCCGAGCTCAACATGCCTTGCATCTACTTGGAACACAAAATTGCTTCGAGAATTCGGCGAAGAAGTGGCAATGCAAGCAAAGTCAAAATCCGTGCAAGTGGTGTTAGGCCCCAATATCAACCTTCACCGAGATCCGCGTGGCGGCCGCAACTTTGAAGCTTTTAGCGAAGATCCCTTGGTTACTGGTCAACTTGCCGCTGCAATTGTGGATGGTATTCAGTCTCAGGGTGTGGGTGCTTGCGTGAAGCACTTCGTGGCCAATGAGAGTGAAACGGTGCGCAGGCGCTACAATGTCGACGACTCGGGGGATAGTAGAACTATGCGAGAACTCTATATGCGAGCTTTTCAGCATCTGCTCCGAGAAGTCAATCCTGTTTCAATTATGACAGCGTAGGTTGATTTTACTTTGCTCCGTGTCTGACGTTTTATAAAAGCTAAGAGCTAATAATCTTGTTTACAGATATAATGCGTTGGATGGTCACTTCTGCAGCCAGAGCCCATTACTGCAATCACTACTTCGTGACAGCTGGAATTACAACGGGTGTATCATGTCAGATTGGTATGGGACCAAGAGCACAGACGCCGCATTGAAGGCTGGGTTGGACTTGGAGATGCCTGGGCCGTCTGTCTTCCGTGGTGCCAAACTTATTGAAGCTTTCAACCAAAAAGAAATTTCTGCAGAGGCACTTGATGCTGCAGTGACGAATGTTCTGGCAATGGTCGATCGTACTGCTACAAGCCACAGCGACAAGGAAGAAGAATCTCGAGTCTGCGACCAGACCAAGTCTGTCGCATTGCGAACTGCCGCGGAAGGCATGGTTCTCTTGAAGAATGACAAGAATGTGCTTCCTCTCAGCATTGCGGAGGATATTAAAGTCGCTCTCATTGGGGCAGCAGTTATCAAGCCATCAATGACTGGTGGCGGAAGTGCATGCGCTAAGCCTCAATACGTTAACACTCCTCTTCAATGCTTCCAGAATGCCTGCAGAGATCCAAAGCAGGTCTCTTTTGCTTATGGTGTCAATCCTCATCATGCAGTTCCCATCATGCCTGTCGGGATCACACAGTCACGGGATGGGACTCCTGGTGTTGATGTAGACTACTTCCTGGATGGCTCCAAGATGCCCTTGTTTTCAGAGCATATCGGGCAACCCATTGTCGTAATGCTTGGAAAGCTAAAGCCAGGTCTTCCAAAAGCCGGATTCCACTATGTTATGGAAACTACCGTCACAGCAAAAACCAGTGGCAACCACAAATTGGCTGTGCAAGCCACTGGAGATTTTACTCTGTCTGTTGACGGGCTCGAGGTGAGCTTAATACCCTAGAGCCGTGAGCTGTTGGTATCAAATCTCAATACTAATCAACTCATGATAGATTCTCTCAAAGCCTGCCCCAGTGATGACAGTCGAAGATTTTTTGTTTGAACCTAAAAAGCTAGAAAGTATCATTGAAGTTCATATGGAGGCTCAACGATCATACAAAATCACGCTCTGCACACATTCAAGAGACATTGTTTCTGGGCATGGGGAGATCTCACCACACTCGGCTAAGCTGTGTTTTGAAGAAGAACATAATGATCGCACCGCTATCGCCGAAGCAGTGAAAGTCGCCGCAGAGTCCGACGTCAGTTTGATAATTGGTGGTCGCACCAGCGAGTACGAATCTGAGGGCTTCGATTTACGAATGCTGAAGCTTCCCGAGAGCCAAATTCGCATGATCAAAGCAATCGCCAGTGTTTCTCAAAAGACAATTCTTGTCCTTCATGGTGGCAATCCTATCGATGTCTCAGACTTTGTGGACGATGTTGACGCGGTGATCGTGGCGCACTTCCCTGGTCAAGAAGGGGCGCAGGCTCTGGTGGATATTATCACTGGTAAAACCAACCCCAGCGGAAGATTGGCCACTACCTGGCCGATGCGTCTTGATGAAGCCTCAGTTCCATCTTTCTCACATTTCCCAGCAAGAGATATTGGCAACGGACCTGTCTTACGGTACTCCGAAGGCTTGAAAGTGGGCTATCGGAATCCCAATACTGCTGCTGCTATCCGATGGCCTTTTGGCTTTGGTTTGTCTTACTCTACTTTTGAGTACAGCAACTTGGAGCTAGTTGCTCAGCAGGATGTCAATGGAATCAGCTCCCTGAAATGCTCGAGCATCATGATTTCGATTACTGTTGACGTTCAGAACATGAGTCAGAAAGGTGGCAAGGAAGTCATCCAAGTGTACTCCGAGCCTCCGGTGGACTCTGTGATCTGGAAGCCGCGCTCCGAGTTAGTTGCCTTCACAAAAGAGTGGCTTGAGCCCAACGAATCCAGGAAGGTGCAAATTTGGGTCTCCCAGCGAGACATGAGTGGATATTGGAATAGTGAGACCAAATGCTGGCAGTCTTTGAATGGCATCTATAAGATCAAGGTCGGCGGTTGTGAAGCCTGTATATTTGTTCAAGATACGGCAACCTGGGATGGGCTGTGATTGAATTGAAGTGCAATTATGCAATTAATTTTGAATTTCAATTCTAGAGGAGTGTGAATAATTTCAAATTAAAATTCTCAACATATCTTAGAGCAGAACCCCAACATAGCTCTAGGCAAGGCCAAAATTGAATGGGATGAACTAGCCTTTTTTTCTCAAGAAAAGGACTGAAATTACGACCGGAGAATCTAAATTTAGGCGAAATGAGCTTGAGGGCTTTCGGATTCGTCCTCGCACTGTGGTCCTCTTCTAGCAACTCCCCCTCGGCAACTCCACCCTCCACCCTCCACCTCCACTTCCCACTGGATTTTGTCAGGGAACTCAGTCTATCACGCGGAAATCCCGAACTTCAGTTTCCCCAGCTTCTCCACATTGTCTCCCCCGTGTTCGACATGGGGCGACATATTTCTTGTTAATTATATATGTGAACTCGATTTACCATCTTTGTTGAACCTCAAGGTTGATGCAACTTCAAGTCTGCAGGGACACTCTTCTACTACTTATCCTTCTTTCTTCCTCTATCGAGTGGATTGATATCAACAGTCGCCTACACAATGGCTTCTTTGCACTGCAATTCATCCGTGAACTCGGATGCCAATGACGAAATCAAAGAGAAGACGGCCTCAGAAATGATCGAAACTGTTGCAGAACCTCGAGGAAGGGTCGAGGTACAAGAAAGCGCCTGGGATTCGGCCAAGAATAGCCCCAAGGTGATTCTCTACAGTATTGGGGCTTGTGCGAGCTCAATGCTCTGGGGATTTGATATCGGTCAGAGGGCACACTTCCAACCCCCGAGTCATAATATCCTTCTGACTTTTATATCTAGGAGTAAACTCTATATCCACCTCACTGCCGGGGTTCAAAATGGTCTTTGGATATGAGTACCAAAATGAGCTGTTGATCTCAGCCTCCTGGAACGCACTCTGGACGGCAATGACCTCTCTTGGAATGTTGATCGGTATGTTGGTGGCTTTGTGAATATCGATTCTGAATTGACTTCCTGTGTACTCACTGAGTTTCCAGGAAGTATAATATGCGGGTGGATTTCAGACCGCGGTGGTCGAAGACTTGGATTCGCAATCGGCTCTGCGGTTTCATTACTTGGCGTTGGGCTTGAATATGCTGCCAATGAGCCCGGATTGCTTTTGGCTGGCAAGATTGTAAGTTTTGAGTCAAGTATTCTCCTTTCCTTTTACATCTAGTAATATTAATCGTCTAGGTAAACGGTTTTGCTTTGGGTTTCTTCCTCACATTAAGTTCTATCTATGCGTCTGAAATTGCCCCAACCCCGCTCCGTCCAGCCTTAACTGCCGCCGTCAATCTGTTCATCAACGCTGGCCAACTAATCGCCATCGGTATTGGAAATTCGCGATTTACTATAATGAGTCCGGCCTCTTATAAGGTCTTGTTTGCAGCACAATGGTCTTTCCCTTGTTTCATCGCTTTGGTTTCGATCTTCATGCCCGAGAGCCCGTGGTACCTCTGTCGCAAGGGCTGCGTGGAACAGGCCAAAAAGAGTCTTGAAAGATTGCATTTGAAGACCACTGATACATCTTTAATTTTGGAGGATATCCAGGCTACAATTGCAGATGAGCAGGCGATCGCCAACGCTCAGCAAAATGCATCCTTCATGGACTGCTTTCGTGGCACCAACTGGCGAAGGACCCGAATCGCCTGCGGAATGTTTGCGGTTCAACAATTCACGGGTATCGCGTTCTATTCTCAGGCTTTGTACTTCTTGGGTATTTCTGGTTTACCTGTAGCCCTAACCTTCCAGCTGGCTCTAGGTGGCTTTGGGGTGGCTATGCTTGGAAACATAGTTTCATGGTTCATCATGAACTACGTCGGTCAGTCATCTCAATGTTTCCACTACCATTTGAGAATACAAGATCTAACCTATTCGTTCTTGCTATAGGTCGACGACTACTTCTGCTGACTGGTATCATCCTCAATGCCCTCTGTCTCATGTCTGTGGGCGTTGCTGGATGTTTCACAAGCATGGCAGCACTGTACTATATTGGATATGTCATGAACTTTGCTCAATTGTTCTATGCGCCAACTGTCGGGGCAGTCAGTTGGACGATTAGTGCAGAAGTCAGCTCTATTAAGATCCGAGCTCGAACGCAAAGTTTGGCGATCGTAACAAATGCTTTCGTCAGTTGGGTAATGAACTTCATCGCGCCCTACCTGATAAACACTGATCAAGGTGAGTATTCGAATAAATTGAAATCTTTTTCCATGAAATATCGAGCTGACACTTTCTCGCTTCGTATAGCCAACCTTGGAGGCAAAGCCGCATTTGTTTGGATGGCTCTCTCTTTCTTCAGTCTGATTTGGGCTTGGTTCGAGGTACCAGAATTCAAGGACCGAACCTACAGTGAACTAGATGATTTGTTTACTAGAAAGACACCGACAAGAGGATTTCGCAAGCAGGTTACAGGGACGAGGCTGGACTCTTGATAAGCTAGCCCTCACAGATGCAACATAGTAATTAGTCACTATTACGAATAAAAATATCCATCTGTTGATAGATTCAGCTAGTAATTTCATTATTATTAAAAGCGTTTAAACACCCACTCTTACAACATTGTTTCTTCCCAAAACGAACATTTCAGTATCTTCCCTGAATTAACAGGCCTTTGCCGAGATGAAACCGCCAAATGGAAAGGCGTGCTACTGTGAGCCTGGAAGGATATTATCTGCACGAGAAACAATGCGAAGAGATTAAATTCCATGTAAACTGAGCTAGGAATAGCCAAAGGCTGCTAGTGCATCGGAATATGGTTGAGGGGCACAGAAAGCAAAAACAAACAAAGTGACTGTGCATAGTAATAGTAGAGATTCACTGATGGAAACAGCGGATACCATTACTCCCACTGCCTCATGAGAGTGTTCGCCTTGATTTCCTTGCTAAAGTTGACCAGATGGGTCGAATGACACCACGGCTTGATGGTCTCCTCTTTCTGGATGGTGTTCGAGAAGAAAGTGCACCACTCCAAGCGAGGGTGCGCCTCGTTGATCTCCGCGCGTGTGACATCGTGAATTATCTTCCCGAAATCTTTGACATGAGGGTGGAAACCTGTGTTGTCGTAGGTAGTGGCAAGTTGAATCAACTGGCCAATATAGGTGATTGTGCCATCAATCCCCATGTCCTCGTGACGAATGATAGCCTCGGCGGCAGCTTCGGCTTGATCCGAGGTTGCCCCAAACCTTTTGAGAATGTCCAAGGCTTTGATACCTCCATAGATATCAAAAGACATCCGGGTGGCGGTGAGGTTGTTCTCTGCGGTACCGAGGTCATGCAGTAGGCAGGTCAAAGCCCAAGTGGACGAGTTGAGGGTGGCAGCATACTGAGGGAACTGCTGCTTGGTGATTGCAATGCCTATAGTAGTAGTGAGTTATAGTTACCCCAAACCCTGCGTTCATGTAGCAACTTACCGTAATAGTAGACCCTCATCGAGTGGTTAAAGGTTTCAGCATGGAGGACACTCATAGCATAGCCCAAGGTCTTGGTCACAACGGGATCTTGATGTGGAAATTGAATTTCATCGATCGAAAGCGGCCCCGGCTCATTAATGAACGGCCGGTCACCAAAGATGGCACCAGCATTGGCGGGTGTACTGGTCCATCCGTTCTCTGCGACTTCAGCTTCGTGGTGACACATGTTCCCTTAATATTTGTCGAGAGAAGGGTAAAGAAAATTGATTGTAGGATGAATGCTGTGTTGTAAAGAGAGGATATAGTCCGAGGATAGTTGAAGTAAAGGGAGCAATTTATAGCCCCGAGATGCGAGATCTCAATATTACCGGATTAAGAAGTTACCTTGAGTGGGGCCATATTTCCCAAGGTTTCAAGGACTTAAAGATACCTGGAGCCTGTCTAGATTACTTGCCACCACAAGACTGAGTCACTGGTGGCTATTTATCAAACTAAATATACTTTTTTTTATCATTTGTTCCGTTTAAAGAGACTGAGAAGAAATCTACACGTTGCCGAAAGGAGAAGTTGCCATAGGTGGAACTACTAGAGGTGGACATTCAGGGTATGGATAGATGTAGGATTTAAAGCTGATAGGCTACTGAACATCAAGGTCAAATTACCAAGCCCAGGAGAACGATGCAAATAATTACTCAAATGGCTCCATCAACTTGTTTCCAAGCACCTTTTCCGGAAAAGCGTTCTCTCCCAAAGTTGTGGTGTGCGACCACGGCTTCAACTCATTCTCCTTATGGATGGTAGCAGCAAAGCAGCTGCTCCACTTTATGCGGGGGAAGTGTTTGGTGACATCCTCGATGGTCGAGTGGTGGACACAATCTGAATAAGCACCGGTGTTGTCTAATTGTCGTTAGTATTTATTTCTCAAGTACTACAGCTTTTTCTATTCACAGCGGCAGATTTAACATACCAAATATAGTGGCCAGCTGTAATAGCTGTCCGACAGCCGTAATCTTTCCATTTTCGCATAGATCTTGGTGCCGGATAATAGCCTCAGCAACGCTTTCGGCTTGGTCCTTGGGGGCGGCAGTCTCGGGAGCTGAAGCTGGGGCTCTCTGTAAAACATCCAACGCCAAAAGTCCACCATAGAACTCGAAGCTCAGCTTAGTGGCCTTCAGATTTTCGTCTGTCGATCCGATATCGTGGAGAACGCAAGCGAGAAAATAGGTTTCATCAGTGAAAGCCCAGGCGGGGAAGAGATATGATTTCATCGCCAACCCATAATGGTAGACCCGGAGGGAGTGATTGTAGGTTGGGACCGGGAGGTGAGATTGAGCATATTCATTGATGCGATGAGACAGAACTGTGTTTGGGACGGGTGTTGCTGATACTGGAATGAAAGGTGCAGGAGAAGAGGGTTTCACGGATGACAGCAATACCTGTGCTGATGAAGCAACAGACGTGAAGCCGAAAAGTGTCTGGGTGTCAGGACTCATGTTGAATCGGGTGCAAAGTTTTGAATATGAAATCTTACAGAACGCAAAGAATTTTGAATGGGGGTGAACATCTTTAAATATATATGGCTCAACCATATCGACTACCACAGCCTTTTAGCTTTGACTACGTCATCCTGACAATATTTGCAAATGTAACCGTCCACAGACGCTTTTCTTTCATAATGTTAGTAAGGTTAAAAACTGTGGCCTAAACAATTTTTTTCCAGTGCAGCTGATGTAGTTTAACGTAACATATCGAATGTAATCGAGTTTCCAAGCGTTCTGGGACTGGAATAGCCACGAGCCTAATCCTCTTTAAGCTTCTCCGGGTCCACCTGCGAGCAGGCCCGTGCATGGACCCACTCCATCCAACTTCCCCTTTAGGTAATATTTCAGTCTCTAACATATTTGATTGTATCCCATTTCATAGTCTTGGAGAAGCCAATGCTGCGTAATCAATCTCGTTTGCTTCAATGGCTGGAATTCGGAAGCTATTTGTCACGATAACATTGAAGAAATTTCTAGGTCTTATGTTCGGAAAATATAGCGAGACTTTTGCTAAAAGGTAACTGGTTCAGAGGAACTTCTAAATGTCCAATGATTGGCTTTCTGCCATTATTAGCATCTAAGTGACTTTCAACGGCCAGAATAGAGAGTGGTACTTGTGTGCCTTACTCAATTGTATAGAATTTTGACTTCTTGCAGGCTTCTGATGAACATATTCAATCTGTATTAACATTGACTTCATTGCACAGAGAGCAGATATGGTGTTAGATATGCTATATCAAAAGCCAGGATTGACCAAAATGGCCAACATCAAAAGGCCAACATAGATTCTCTCTGTCATCCTGTTGCCAGTACTCGTGCAAGATTTTGGCTGCATTTATCACATTTAAGCAGTTCGTTGTCATCCAAAAGTCCTCCAGACGAGCAATAAAAAAGTCCCTTTGGGCCAAAGACCGGCACTCCAAACCCGCAACAAAGATAGGCCAAAGAACACACTTCAATAAAGGTTGATTGTTTCTTAGTCCATTCAATAGTCCAAGCAATTCAAGCAGTAAATCATCTTGTGGCGTGTTGACCTTTCCGAGAATTGAAATGACTCTTCTGCCGTAAAGCAAAGCACCAATTTTATACACCTGAGCCACAATAGCAAGGAAGTGTGTATTTTGTCGAGAGCTGCTCGGTTGTTGGAGACCTGAAGCCCAACTAGCACAATCAAAATGTTCGACCTGTTCGAGTACGACGGTGATAGCTTGACTGTGAGCTTGTATGACGGTATCATACATTATTTCAGATCTCGTAATGCTGTCTCTTGCTGAAGATATACGTCGTATGGCATCCAGTAGGAGCTGTGGACATGCAAGGAAAGAGTAATCCATGGACTCTTGGGCCATCCTCCTTTGATCAAATATCATATCCCTGGATGGTGACTTAGGGCGTAAGAATAGGGAGCCCAGAGTTTCAACCCTGATTGAATCTCAGTCAGCTCTCTAAAATAGTCTAGGAGACTGAATACACCCACATAATGATTTGTTGAATCACAAAATCCCGTATCCCTTGGATCATCTGAGTAGGCTCCTTCTGAGATACCCCAGTAGCTGTTTCCAATGGCGACTGGTGCAAGCTTCCTGTAATCAAGCCCTTGGCCCCCTTAAGATGAACCTGCCATTCATCACCCCCCGATTCGAGAAGATCAAGTAGTATGAGAAGGAATATACTGGCCACGTTATTCTCCGAGCAATGCGAATCGCAAAGGGTATTTGAAAGTCCCTCTATTACCCGATGTTTGAAGAAAAGTGCATCATGGTTAAACTTGGCTGCCTCAGAAGAGACCGGAACTTGAACCCTATGGAATGATTTCCCTTGGTTGACAAGGTGACGCGCTGCAAGAGCAAGTACGGCGTTCCTTAAGATCGAATCTTCTAGCGCGATTGGAATCAAATTTCTGAGTGGGTTTTTGCTGCTGTCATAAACAACAAAATTGCTGCATATGCGCTTGTTATCTGGACGTGCGGTCAGCATTTGACACTTCTTCCGAGATTCGCGAAAACTTGCAGTAATCCAAATAATATCGAGATGCTTCATCCAAGCCTGAAAGTGATGGGCTTGGTAGTGTAATGGGCAAAACAAAAGAATCTTCCGAGGCACCTGGATCATGCGAAGTCAGTGTAAGATTTCAAATGGTAAGTTCTTTTGAAACAAAAGTAAAGGTGGTTAGTCACATCAGGTAATATCGTACCATTGTGCCTAGAAGTGCCGATCTTTACAACAGGTGATTTGAATCGAATGTGTTTCGGCTTTTTCATAGTGAAATCACGATTTTCTGATTTATTTTCGTATGTATGCCCTTGCATCTTACCGCGAAGAGCCACTCCCTTGACCCACCGCAACGGTAGCTTTTCGAAACATTCGAGGCCAGCCTTCTGACATTTCGTACATGGAGTTGGGGACAGATCACATTGAACATGTCGATTTCGGCATGTCCAGCACGGTTTGCACCCTGGATGCTCCATTTGCATTTGGTTTCATTTGTGGAATGTCTTGAGAAAGTGGGTGGCGGGGTCCTCTTAGAAGCACCGGGCGCCCGGACGACTGTCCAGTTGGCTCCGGGTGAGGGCAAAAACAAAAATTACTAAGCCATCAGTTACCACAGGGCTCCGGAGCTCGTATCAAAAGATGGATCAGGGCGAATTAGTACGCATAATGTTATGATCTGAACAATTTGTCACGCCGCCACTCGTATTAGATCGACACTATGTCCATACCCCTATGTACTATATAAATGCCCAAGAGCATCTCTCAGGAGTGGCTTGATGTTCAAACATCTCGCAGGAACTCCTTTTAAAGATACTTCCTAATTCCAGCGAAAGAGGCAGTAGTTTGCATCAGTGACAAAAATGGAACGACACTGGCTATATGGATAGATTCGAATGGCTTCACTAAGCTCCAGGCTATTCTCCAACCAGTCCAAATATATCCGTGTAGATGCAGTACATATCAATTTCCCTCGCAACTTTCGATTTTGCTGATACTAAGAGTTGGGTGTTTTTGGACCCTGACAAGATGGAGGCTTCTCGGGTGACACCGTTCCAATGTCCTTTGCCTACTCTTCGCAGTACTTCGCCATGAGGACGTCTTTGCGAGAGAGACCCTGGGCGAATGGGTAGTCTATTCGAAAGTAACAGAAGAAAACTTCTTGATTACTTATTAGCTTCCCAAGCACATTCAAGACTGCTATGTGAACGGACTTACTAAAACTTTCACCGGATGGTGTTGCCGCGACTTGCGCCTTACTCCCACGATATTGTTGAAATCCTGGAAGATCTAGAAAGAGTAATATGATTATTATAGAGGCTAAAACCAACCAAAACTTTGGTATAAGTTCCAAAATAAAACGTTTTCCGAATAGTATCGTCGTTCAGTAGCTCCTAGCCCGATTTGTAGACCAGCGCCTCAATTTCTGCCTGTACTGACTGATTCTTTTCTCTTTCTGAGACTTTGATATTCATTGGAGACTCCATCATGATTAATATGTTGGAATAAAGGGTTCGATATTGGTTATAAGTATTGGGCGGGCAAATAAAATGGAAAACAAGAGATGACATGACAATATAACAGGGATGTAATAAATCGAGGATCAATCGTCATACTCGACGCTGTCAGCTTTGCATTCAACTTCAAGACCAAAGAGGGAAAGGCGAGTACACGCTCAAATCCTCAAAGATGGCCTAAATTAACCGCTGTGACGGAAGATACGCGGGCAATTTGAATTTGTCCACTTGCGTATAGTGGCCATTTAGTGATTGCCCAGTTGGCTCCACTGGAGGCAAAAACAACAAATGAACGACTAGATACCTCAGCAAACCTCATTTATATTCATATTCCACATGGATGTACAAATAAAGTACCATGTGATAGATGTAAGATTGGTGCAAATTGCTCGAAAATTACTATTTTGATCTATTCGACAAAGAGCCCTTTCCAAGATCAACGCATTCAGCCCTAAATGAACATAAAGATCGCCAATTTCCCACAGGTAAACGGCTAATTATCCGAAAGCTTTCTCCATCGTAAACAGACCCTTCCATCACCCGATTGTTCCTTTGGTATCTGTCCTTCCGCTTCATCCGGTGTCAATGTCAGTACAGTTTTATTATCGCTGCTATCGATGCTTGCAAAACGACGCTGCGTGGTTCCCTGCCAATTAGGAAAGCTGCAGTTGACGATATCATGTTGAATTGATGGACTTCGGCCCTCTTCTTCAATAAAAATATATGATCCGCTATAGGCTAGGCATCTTCTAGCAGCTTCAATCGATTCCTGTTCATTTCCGGTGAGTGGACTATCAGACTGGAATGGTGTCTGGCCCAGAAGTTGCAGATGGACAGACATGAATCCATTCGAGGAATAAATAAGCATGCCCTGTACGTCGTTCCCCATGGGATAATGCTTCTGAGTCGGATCGGATTTGGATTCTGAGACGTATTCAATCAACTCCCAGGCTCCGATCAGCTGCTCTTTGAGACGTTTTGGAAATGGTACATCCAGACTACTTGGCGTAGAATATTCCAAGAGACCGCGAGTAGTCGCTTTTCCCAGATATCCTTTGTCTATGTAGTTTTGCTTGATGAAGTCGACGCCATCACGAGGAAGATTGCGTTCTTGAATATAGTGCTCTTCAATATCGCACACAACGTTCAATCCGACTATATCCATTCCCTCACAAGGCCCAAGTCGGGCCTGGAAGTTGTGTTTGAATATTTTCTCAATATCGGCAGGGCTGCCGATATCCTCCGCGAGTATCATCATGATCTCTCGTTTGATGGCGGCCCAAATTCGGTTGCCTAGAAAGCCAGTTGATTCTGCCTTGAGAATGATAGGATCAAGCCCAACCTCACGGAACCTTGGAATCAGGTCTTTAATGATGTTCGGATCGGTCTGACCACACGTCATAAATTCAACGATTGGGACCTCCGGAGGAAGAAAATAATGGGTGTTCAACACGCGTTGCTGATCCTCCACGCTGACATCAGATACCAAGATACTGCTCTTGAAGGACGATGAGTTGGTTGCAATGATACTTTGTGGATCAGACAAGCGGGAAATATCACCCATTATGCGCGTCTTCAGCTTTTGGTCTTCTGGTGTGCATTCGATTATCATCCAGGCATTATGGACCGCGTCTTCAAGGTTGGCACTGATCTCCACCAATCCGGGAACATCTTTGGACCGTTTCGACACATTTGAAACGGATCTCTGGATCCATTCTAATGCATCTCCGGCCTGACTTGTGTCGGGGTCATACAACTTGACAGAACCCGATCTTGAGGCCCAAACTAAGCCGATACGGCGGCCTATGGCGCCGGTACCAATGATGGCGACATGATGATTCTGAGTTGAAAAAATCATCTTGAAATATTCGTTTTGTAAAGACGTAAAGACAAGGATAGAATGATTGTAGGGATGTAATGAATATACCAAACTACATTCTGGCCTATACCTTTGGGTATTTATAATTCGATTGGCCTACCTATCTTTCTTGACACTGGATCAGATCTGGTTTGGTTTTCTGAATAACGTCAACAATTTCTGATCTTGTATGAATGCAGGTGGCAAGGACAGCAGGCCACCATTTATCACAAGGAGATTGCCTTATTTGGGATTCAACGTTTTCTAAGCTGCACAATGAGTTCTTTCGGGAAATAAAGAAATGTCAATAGATGCAGCCCTTCTCGTTCTCGTTATAATAAAGTTCGATGATCCCAATCATTTCCGTATATGATACAGTGACAGCTATAGTTATGGTGTGAACTGAATCCAAATATGATATATTGGCGTCATTAAAGCGTCATGTGAGGTGCATTGGTATGAAAATATTCCAAAGAGTTGACATTTGGAGAAAGATAGACACGCATGAAGTCGCCGCCTCGTGATGAGATATTGTACAAAGTAACACAGTGGCGTATGGGTTCCCCTTGGAGAGTTTCAAATTGTATCATAGTTAAATTCCAGGAATTATAGCGGCTTTTTAAATGAAGGGATATGTCTTTAGAATATCCTGCTTGGAAACATTTCTTCCACAGGCTACTTTGAGCCCAACGAACCCATTCTTCAATCAACGTTCAAATTTCGGGGTTCACGATGGCATCAACAAGATTTGGACTTGCACCTATCACGTTTGAAGACCAGCTCTCTGGAGCTTTTGAGAATTATCAAGATGTGATCAGTGAAAAAGTACGCCGCTTTCCTTTTGTACGACCATTTAACCTTTCCGGGAAAAGAGAATCTTTAACTCGTGGAATATAGTCCTGGCACCCGGATACCAAAAAGATGAATATATGCATGAAACACACAGCCATCGAAAAGGATGCCATTCCCAATGTCACCTTTACTCTACAAATTACGCAGGAAATGTGCAATATCACTGGAAATCTTCATGGCGGCTGTGCGGCAACGCTCATCGATGACCTCACGACAGTACTCCTTTTTGCCATTTCACAGGATGGACTTTATCGACTAGGTGGCGTGAGTAGAAATCTGAGTACGACGTATTTTCGGCCTGTTGCTATGGGAACAAAGGTTAGAATTGTCTGCGAGGTTGTGAATGCAGGCAAGAGTTTGGTGCGTTTGAGGGGTGGGATTTATAGGATCGACACGGGGCAACTATGTGTACAAGGAGATAATGAGAAGACAAACTCGGACGCCAAGGTACCGTCCTTGTTGTAGATAGTTGCTTGGAGGAATTCATTCTACTTGTTATACGTGGTAGACTGTAGATTTTCCAAGATCGTAACACCAGATAAGTAAATAGGCCAACAGAATCGCTTCGCAGAGTCAAAATCAGGTTTCCAGCCAAATACTCATAATGCACAAGAACGTATTTGGTAAGCGAGTCTCCACCTTAAACCCATCTAGTGTTTGTCTATCTGGGCATGTTTATCTCCTATTCTCTGGCGATTTGCATATTTCACGTCCTCGCTGGCCCCGCGTACGTGGCTGTAAACCCTTCGAAACCCACACACGATAGCTATTGATACGGCTACTTAGGCCTCAAGCGGCTCCGTACGTAGCTCATGAACCCCTTAAACGGAGAGATCCCCTTCGTGGGCTATCTTTCTAGATGATCGAGTACGCCTTTGCTTCTGTCTCTCGATAGCGGGCGATTCTCCTTTGCTAAAATCGCAGCGCCTTAAAGGGCGAGTTGGCAGCCTTGAACAAGTTAGCTAACGGGCTCCGTGGACTTCAAGATTCCGTACGAAGTAAACATTTGATTAGTGAAGCTTGCGGACGCCGTTCGAACTAAGATTTAATAAAGACTTTACCTTTAAAAATCACGTACGGAGGAAGCGCTCACCCCGAAGCATTCGTACACTCGATGGAGGTCACCCACTCGCGATTTCCAGGTTCTAAAAGTGATCGCCGAGCGTTGTATTTGGCCCTCGTAATGACTTTCGCAGTCGCTTCTAATCCTATCCCGAAACCAGTCTCGTCAAAGTTATAGTCATCGTCGGATTCGATGCCCTATTAAAGTATAGTTTTTGAACGAGATCAAACCACTCTCCCATGATTTTCGTGTCTTCGCATTTCGTAAGTTCGTGATTATAACGTCTCGAGAATCGGTTTGATAGTTCGGGATACCTTTTACCAAATTTACAAACCTGTTTTTCCCCGACGGTTGAAACCGGGTAGTTTCGCAGGCTTCGAGAAGAAGATTCGCTTTTTCTCACACGGTAGTAGGCTGGGGTGCTGCTCTGCGATCGTTAAGTAAGAGAATCTATCTTCGAAGAGTCTCCTTTTCGGTTTCGGTTAATTAATGTGCATTTGCGCGTTTAATGCTTCGTTCGGTGCGACCGGAGACACAGTCGCGTAAAGCGGAACGCGGTACATTAAATTGCGAGAAGCGAGAGAAACATTGGCTACTTCTTGTTTTTAATAGCCTGCATGACTAATAAGAGCCTACCCTCTTGCTCTACCGAATACGCCAGTTAGATGATAACACCTGCGTGTATACTGCATATAATAAACACTATAACTGTTGTATAGATGCTACGTAGTATATAATGGATCACGTGGCTCACATGAGTGGAGTTCCTCGGTTGAATATCCCCGGTTTCCTGGGGTATCACATGTTAAGAACTCGATTTGACTAGTATCTCTCTCTTCTCTCTCTCCTCTCCAACTCCTTGCGGTCATGTATGTCCCCCAATCTGGCTGAACAGCAACCGTCGTCATGGCCGTTCAGTCCAAACTGCTACCGCCCGAACGTTCCGTCAAGCAAATACTCTCCAGTTTAACATCCCTCTACCTCCGAAACCGCACTCGCATCTCACGCGGCGTATACCTTGCACTCTTCGCCGCGCTTGCCAAACGAATCCACAATGCAATCTCCGAGCAGAAAGCCGCGTCACAACAGGTAGAGCTACGCCGCCGTCCTGGCACCAGCAGTCTCGGCGATGAGGAACAACCCCGCAAGAAGCGCGTCGAGATTAACCGGGAGTTTTTCAAACATTTGCTTCGTTTATTGAAAATTGTAATTCCCGGCTGGCGCAGCAAAGAGCTGCGTCTGCTGGTCAGCCACAGTGTCTTCCTGGTGCTGCGCACGCTGCTCAGTTTGTATGTTGCCGAGTTAGACGGCAAACTCGTGAGCAACTTGGTGCGCGGCAAAGGGAAAGATTTCTTGCTCGGGCTTGTTTGGTGGATGATTGTGGCTATTCCTGCTACTTTCACTAATTCTATGGTAAGTCCTTCGACCGCTCCCGCGCCCTCGCTCAATCTTGAGGTAACGCGACCGATCGGTCCATCTGCTAACTCGGCGGTTTGTTTGTTTTTAGCTTTCTTATCATCAATGCAAGCTTGCCCTGAGCTATCGGAAGCGCCTTACAGACTACATTCACGAGAAATATCTCTCCAACATGACCTTCTATGCTATCTCTGCCTTGGATGATCGGATCAAGAATCCGGACCAGCTCGTCACGGTCGATGTCTCTCGTTTCTCGGATAGCTTGGCAGAGCTTTACTCCAATTTGGCCAAGCCGATTCTCGATATGGCTATCTACAACTATTCGCTGTCTAAGAACGTGGGAGGAGAAGGCCTCTTCATCATGAGTCTGCTGGTGCAACTGTCAGCTAATGTCATGCGCATGCTGACTCCGCCATTTGGCAAATATGTTGCCGATGAAGCCCGATTGGAGGGAGAGTTCCGCTTCCTCCACTCGCGGCTTATTGACCACAACGAAGAGGTGGCTCTCTACCACGGTCACGAGGCCGAGAAGGATACCCTGGACAAGGGTTACTTCACACTAATCAAGCATGTGAATCGCATCTTGCGTCGGCGTCTCTACCATGGATTCATGGAGGACTTTGTGATCAAGTATTTCTGGGGAGCTTTGGGCTTGGTACTTTGCAGTGTGCCTGTCTTCTTCAAGATTCCTGGCCAGGCGACTCACAGCATGGGAGACCACACAGAAAGTCAGTTTACCTCCTTTAACGCTGAAGACAACCATCTGACTATTTCTAGATTTCGTAACAAATCGTCGCATGTTGCTTTCCTCGTCTGATGCTTTCGGTCGACTAATGTTCTCTTACAAAGAGATTTCCGAGCTGGCTGGTTACACGTCGCGGGTGTCCTCATTATTGGAAGTCATGGACGATCTGGTCGCTGGGCGATTTGAGAAGAAATTGGTATCTTCCGCGTCAACAGAAGAAAACGCAGAGGTGCTCTCTGGCCGAGGTGAAGTAATGGAAAGCGATGCAATCGAATTCACTGACGTGCCCATCGTATCGCCAAATGGCGATGTTCTTGTGCGCAAGCTATCTTTTACCGTTAACCCCGGTGACCACCTTTTGATTGTCGGACCCAACGGGTGCGGTAAATCGTCTCTTTTCCGGATCCTGGGCGGGCTCTGGCCGGTATACGGAGGCACAGTGAAGAAACCCCGTTTCGAGGATATTTTCTACATACCTCAGCGGCCTTACCTATCCCGTGGAACCCTGCGACAGCAAGTGATCTATCCAGACGGTGTCCACGAGATGCGCGCCAAGGGTATTACCGACGAGGACCTGTACGAGGTTCTATCTGTGGTCGAGATTGAATCTGTCGTAGACCGCCCTGGAGGCTGGGATGCGGAAGAAGAATGGCGTGATGTTCTGTCTGGTGGCCTGCAACAGCGTATTGCTATGGCTCGGCTGTTCTACCACCGGCCCAAATTTGCTATTTTGGATGAATGCACGTCCTCGGTGACTTTGGAGATCGAGAAGGTCATGTACGAGACGGCTAAGAAACTCGGCACCACTCTCATGACTGTTTCGCACCGACGCAGTCTCTGGAAATATCACCAGAAGATCCTACAGTTTGACGGACAGGGTGGATATATCTTTACCGGTCTAGATTGGGAGCGGCGCTTGAAACTTGAAGAGTAAGTTTTTCCCGTTCTTATTCATTTAGTACTGTACTGACACTCTATAGTGAGAAGGAAGAGTTGGATCTGCAATTACGGGCAGTTCCAGAATTGGAACGTCGAGTTATTGAATTGACGAACTAGAACATAACACTACCCCGTACTATTTTTGACAGTATCTTAGCGTGTGCGAATCTATGATGTATCCAGCATCCACATATAAAACTTGATTGACCAATCCATTTCATCATTTCGGCCTCGGCATTCCACTTTTCGGTATCTCGGACTCCATACTGTAAATCCTCCAACCAATCAGAACCGCAGTCAACGGCACATCTCAACGTTCCCATTTCACGATGTTCGTTTTGACGATCCACACTGATGTCGTTCCGCGCCTACGTCATGTTCTCTATCTTGTTTGGCTCAATGTCTACCTTGTTTGCCACAAAGGAACTGGCTTGGCTCAAAACTCTGATTTAGGATCGTGATCTCGGTGCTTTTTTTAAGAAATTTCTTTCCTCTTCACACATTGCTTCTCGCTTCCCTTTCATCCCGTATAATTTACAACACTAAATTAATCCATATAAAGCCTCACCAAAATGGCGATCTCGCAAACACCCCAAGATTCCCAAAAGAGAAAGATTATCATCTTCTCCGGTATGTCTTCACTCCAATAGTAATATTCGCCTTTCCCGTGAAACACATTTTAACCCAAGTAGATTTCGATGGCACAATCTTCATGCAAGACACAGGCCATGTCCTCGTGGACAGCCTTGGCGGAGGCCAAGCCTACCGCAACATGCTAGAAAAACAATTCGAAAGCGGCGAGCGCACATTCCGCGAGATCTCCGACGACATGTGGGGATCGCTGACCATCCCCTTCGGTGACGGATTCGACATCATGAAAGACACCCTCAAGATCGACCCCGGATTCCAAGAATTCTACCAATACTGCCAGAAAGAGGGTTTCCCATTCAACGTGATCAGCGCTGGCCTGAAGCCCGTGCTTCAACGTACCCTGGAAATCTTCCTCGGCGAAAAAGAAGTACGCTCTACTCCATACCCAGCACTAGTCCCTAATGACAAATGTATCAAATCGCAAAAATCCTAACATATCCCCTTCCCCAGGCCGCCAAAATGAACATCGTCGCAAACAGCCTGGAAGCCCCCGGCGGCATCCCCTGGAAACCCGTCTGGCTACACGACTGCGATACAGGCCTCGACAAAGCCCTAAGCGTGAACGAAGCGCGCAGCCAGGCGCAGCTGGAATGCCTGCCCGGCGAGATTCCACTAATTGTGTTCATTGGCGATGGCGTTTCAGACCTCGCGGCCGCCCGTGAGGCGGATGTGCTCTTTGCGCGCCGCGGTCTGCGTCTCGAGGCACACTGCAAGGAACACAATATTCCGTATACGCCTTTCGATACGTTTGCGGATATCAAGCGCGAAATTGAGGCTCTTAGCCTTGAGGATCAGAAGAAGACTGGTGGTCACGGAAAGCCTGTGAGGTATAACCCTCGCGCTAACATGTGGCGAAGTCTTTCCAGTAAGGAGGCGGTATGTTCTTCTCTTTTTCTTTCTTGTGGAGTTATAAGGATTTCGTGCTAACTGGTTATAGGTTCCTACGCTCTTGGCTACGGCTACGCCTTCGGAGGTGGAGAAGATGGCGCTTTGGCCTGATTATTTCTCTCAGCCTAAGGACCAGCCTGAGACTATCCAAGAATAGATCTACGTGATGTTCTACATTTTTGACGTTTTGATGGTTTTACGTTTTTATATTTAGACTCTGTCGCTTTGGGGTTTTTTTGGCAAGGAGTGGGTGTTGGTTCGATTGAGTCTTCTGGGCTTTACGCAATTCTATCGTGATTTTGTTGTATAGATAGTCTGGATAGATTAATTTGATACAAACAAAGTCTTGGTCCTATTGCTGTAAATATCAGGTGGCGAAATTACAACAAGACGTTTATCATTGGTGCGCAAGTAGTAATATCCAATCCAATCCAACACGAACGGACTGATTAAATCCAATGATGTACTATTAATGATCGCGATACTAGATAAACCAATGCTGACGCGTTCGAACTCAATAAAAAAAGCAGTAAAAAAAGGCTACACAATGGCCTTGTACTCTGTAGAGCCAGAACCTATCTAGTCCTCAACAGGAAGAGGCTCAACATTCCAAATACTATCCGCATATTCGTTGGTAACACGATCCATGGAGAAGAATCCCATGCGCGCGACGGAAGTGATCGACTTCGCTAGCCACTCTTCCTGATTCTGGAAAGCCTCGTCGACCATTTGGTGCGTGGTGATGTAGGAGTTGAAGTCGTCCGAGACCAGGTAATAGTCACCATGCTCTTCGATAGAGGCTGTAAGGGCGGAGAAGGCCGCCTTATCGCCAAAAGTGTTGTTCTTGATGGCGTCGAAAACGCGCTCCAACTGGGGGTCCAGCTTGAAGTTGCCGTAGAAGTGACGGTGGCGAAGGTCCTCGACGTCTTCGGCAAGGTTGCCGAAGAGGAAGATGTTCTGCTCTCCAATTTCACGAGTGATTTCAATCTGTGATGGATAAAGTTAGAATGGATTCATGGATATGGAGAAAATCGGAGATGCTTACGTTGGCTCCGTCGCAGGTGCCGATGATCAAACCGCCGTTCAGAACGAACTTCATGTTACTCGTGCCACTGCCTTCAGTACCAGCGGTTGAGATGTGCTCGCTGATATCCGAGGCCGGGCAGATGATCTCTGCCTTGCTGACATTGTAGTCCTCAATGAAAATCACCTTCAAGAGATCGCCGACCTCCGGGTCCTTGTTCACAACCTCAGCCACCTTGTTGATGAGGTGGATGATGGTCTTTGCCATCCAGTATCCGGGCGCTGCCTTACCACCGAAGATAGAAACACGGGGCACCACCTTCTTTTTCTCTTCGGCTGACATAGCTTTGATAGTCAGGTAGCGGTGGATGACTCCGAAGATGTTGAGCTGCTGACGCTTGTACTCGTGGATACGCTTAACCTGCACATCAAAGAGGGCATTGGGGTTGACGTCAAATCCAGTAGTGCTCTTGATGTGTCTGGCAAGACGCTCTTTGTTTTCCCGCTTGATGACCGCCCACTCTTCGCGGAAGGCCTTGTCATCGACAAATGCTTCAATCTTGTCCAGAAGCGTGAGATCCTTCAGGAAATCGTACCCTCCAAGCTTCTCTGCAATCAGCGCAGACAGTCGGGGGTTGGCCTGGTGAAGCCAGCGCCTGGGTGTGATACCGTTGGTCACGTTGGTGAAGCGGTCGGGTCCATAGATTTCCACAAAGTCCTTGAACAGTGTGGTTTTGAGTAGGTCCGAATGCAGCTCAGCCACACCATTGACCTTGTGGGAGCCAATGATGGCTAGATAGGCCATGCGCACCATCTTAGGATGTGACTCCTCAATGATCGAGACTCGGGACAGGATTTCTCGATCCTTGGGGAATCGCTTCTCAACAGATTGCAAGAAGAACAGATTGATCTCATAGATAATCTGCAAGTGTCGTGGAAGCAAGTTCTGCATCAGCGGGACAGACCATTTCTCCAGCGCCTCGGGGAGGACAGTGTGGTTAGTATAAGCGAAAGTCTTGGTAACGATGTCCCAAGCCTCGTCCCACTCGAGACCTTCCTTGTCAATCAGGATACGCTGCAACTCGACGATTGCAAGGGTGGGATGCGTGTCATTAAGCTGGATCGCAATCTGCTCTGGAAACTCGCTCCAGGCTCGCTTGGTCTTCTTGAACCGTCGAACGATGTCAAACAATGAAGCAGCACACCAGAAATATTGCTGCTTCAAGCGCAATTCTTTGCCTCGCTCGAGGTTATCGTTAGGGTAGAGTACAGCAGAGATTGTTTCGGCATTCTGCTGGTCTGCGACTGCGCTCTCATAGTCTCCCGCATTGAACTTCTGGAAGTCGAACTCTCCGCTGCTGGCCTTGCTAGACCATAAGCGAAGGTTGTTGGTGGTCTTGGTGCCGTATCCTGGGATGGGAACATCGTAGGCGGTGGCCTGGACAACTTCACCATCCTCCCACGAGTGTGCGATCTTGCCATTCTCGTCTTGGAATTTCTTGACATTGCCGTAGAACTGAATATCGACGGTAATTTCGTGTCGTGGGAACTCCCAAGGGTTGTTGTCAAGCCAGTAGTCCGGAATTTCGACTTGGTATCCATTAACAATCTCTTGTTTGAAGATACCATAGCGGTAACGAAGTCCGTATCCCCAGGCTGGATAATTCAATGTCGCCATACTGTCCAAGAAACACGCTGCCAAACGCCCGAGGCCACCGTTGCCCAAGGCCGCATCGTGTTCCTGGTTAATTACATCCTCGATGCGGAACCCAAGGTCCTTCAGACCCTCTAGAAGTACTGTCAGCAATCCACTCTGTCATAGACAAGTTGAGGGTCTTACCGCGGGCGGCATCCTTCAAGCCGACATTCAACATAGCATTGTCCAGGGCACGTCCCATAAGGAACTCAAGCGACAGATCTAAAGTTGCAATTAGCCAGTGTGCTTCACCCACCAGACCCAACACATACAATAGACACGTTTTTGATCGGTGAAAGTTTGACGCTGCTGAGTCTTGTTCCACTCGATGATCAGCCGGTCTCTGAAAGCAAGTGCAGTGCCTGAGTACGCCGCCCTAGAAACGAAAGATGTCAACCACAAGAACTGCAAGAAACAAGGACCGCATGGTACCTACAATTCATCACAATTGTAAAGTGAACGAGCGAGCGTCGTTTCGATATGGCGAACTAATTCTGTCTACGAGAGGAGTTAGTCGAGTTAAATCGGCCATTGATATTCACATAGCACTCACCTCGAATTCTTCTTTGGTCGTGAATTCGGTAGCCGACTAAAGAAAATGGATGTAAGCATCCCACAGAATCTAGGCTTAATATCGTTATCTGACATACATGCTTTCTCCAACTGTACAACCCATCATTGCCCTGGTCAGTTCCAAATCAACCATAGTCAAACAAGGTATGGTACTTACGCCTCACGAAGTGGCTCAGGAATGCTGGCCTCGACACTCTTAATCTCGGTGGGGCCCAAGCCGGTAAAAGTACGCTTGTGCTTGGGACGACTAAACCCCGGACCGACAGGACCCTGGAGATCGGCAATTGGAGCTCCGACGGAGGGTTTCCGCTCTCGACGGGGCTCGGTCACTGGTACAGTTGTTCCAGTGGATGACATGGTTGTAGTATTGGGTGAGGATGGAAAATCGAAAGAGAATAAAGAGAAATGCAAGCTGGAGAAAGTCCAGCAGAAGTAGAAAATACTCCGAGAGAGAATAACAGGGAAATGGAAGTATTTAAACAAGAAAGAGGGGAAAGAGAGTACATGCAGTCATGACTTCGAGAAAGTGGTGACACACTTTACTTGGGTTGGTTGCCAGGGCTTTTTTTAGTTCTTCTGTTTCTGTTAAAGTTACACCGAGATTCTTATATTTTATTGCGTGCTATTCTATTCTATTATCTCCTATCTCTTGAATATTTGGTTCTACTACGACACTACAATACAATCTCCAGTTCTATACTCCGTATGCGTCGAGCTAATCAGACCGCAACGGTCCGAGCTGTCCGTGCACTATGACGATCTTCGTGATTTGCTGCACCTCACTGCACTCCATATTTTCTCTCTTTGAGACATCATGCCACTTCTCTTGCTCTGCTGGGCCCATAAAACCGGACTGTAGGAAGCTAGTAAATCCTGATTGAATCTAGGACAACTGACGCGTCACAGAACAGTTTCCACTAGGTATCAGAAGCCAGCTATCCAGGCCAGCTATCCAGGCCAGCCCTCTATAGTCCCGAGGGTCCCTGTCCATAAAGTCAAATCACGTACCTCTCCGCCGAACCAAGATCTGAGAGCTCCCCACCTTTCACGCACCCGAATAATCCGCTCCCAGCAGCGAACGTAAGACCCGACCGATCGCCAGACGCATACTGATCCAACATATTCTAAATCAACAATTGTTCACCGTGGTAAGCCATCAAACTATAGGCCCCGTACTCCCTGTACTCCACCGATGGCATCCGACCAGCAGAGGTAAACAGTTACGCCTCGTCCCGCCCTCGAGTCAGCTGGCTTTGGCCACGAAAAGACGGGTACAGAGCCTCTGTACGTTGTAGAGCTAGCTACCCCGCAGATGCCACAGATTGGCGCATAACGCAGTTGCTGCTGTAGGTTCCGTGTGCGGTGGGGGTGAGCTGGCCCCAGCTGTTTATTAGGGTTCCTTGTTCTGCGGGAGAGTGGCGGGGGCCAGGGCGTGCTTTTTGGTAGCAGCGAAGGAGTCGGAGAGGTTCTGGCCTTTGGGGGCTACGTAGATTCCTTCTCCGTTGGTTCTAGTTATACTGGCTGCCTTGAGCAGTTAAATGACTTGGGCACTGTCTGTGTTGCTGGTGGTTTGATAGGCGCGACCCGCGCAGCGAGCTACATTGTTTTGGCTGCGGGGTTGCTGCGCAGGGAGGACATGAGTAAAGTGATGCTTTAAGGTGGGGGCTTTTTAATCTGATGATTTGGGTGGCTGTCTGGGATATGATGTAGGGTCCTCTTTTCTTTCAAGTGCGTAGGCTTTCCTGTAGGTCGTCTGCAGTGCTGGCTTTTATGGCGCACCGGGATAGGATGCTACCATAGGGTGCTGGTGCTTGGATCGTGTCCTTGACATCAGGGGCACTTGCTGAAAGAGAGATCCTAGCTTTCTTGTGTGTATGGATGCAAATCTTAGACTTGCTTGCTGTCTGGGTTATACGATCCGATACTGGCCAGACGTGCTGTTGAAAATTATTCATGATCTCTGGTGTTCAATATGGAGTCGACGGTTTGGTAAATGCACTATGTAGAGGTCGATATACCTAAGAGCTAGTCCCCAGTTGGCCAGGTTATTAATTCACTGTCACCCAGCAATCGGCAAATATCGCAAAAGCACCCAAGCCAACTCACTGGTTACCGTATAGAGCCATTTGAGTTACGTCTGGAAAGTCTGACGATGCTGATAAAACTCCACTTTTGATGATCTTTCTCAACATCTGCTGAATGTCTTCCTGTTGATATTTCATTAAAGCTTTTCTTATCTTCAATTTTCCCTTGTGATCTCTTATTAGGCCCTCGTAAAGCATGATGTAGAGCGGCTATTTATTCTCTAGTCCGATGCAGCATAACACTTCAGGTCTTTTGGACATTATGTGGAAACATCATAGACGGAAAAAACGCTTGGAACAGCGCAATATTCGAATTAGGAGACACAAGAAGTAAATGCTGAGAAGCGGAGAAGAAAGATAGCGGAGCAGAATATGACATATCGATAATGAGAACCGCCATGGTATGCAAGAGGCTGTGAAAAAAAAAAAAGGCATTGAGTTTAAACAGTGAAAGCAAAGAGACGTATTTGTTGTCCGGCAAAATGTTCCTTGGGGCCGAGAACACTGATTCCATGAGACTCGATTTATACCAAAATATCCAGATCCAGATCCAGGCCCGGTACCGGGATTCTTGCCGGTGGTCTTAATCTTCCAGGATTGGAGCTAATATGCAGTTTCGGGGCTAAACCAGGAGCAAAGATGCATGGAAGAGGAACAGTAGCATGGATGACTGACTGAATATGTATGCTACTGAGGTTCTTAAGAGCAGATAGATCCATATTTAGAAGGGAAACCGCCTGAGATGCCAAACGGGGATATCCCCAAACCAGCGCCTGGGAAATCAGCAGTAAAACCACATAGAGCTGGAAAGGCCATATAGGCACCATCAACGCCTGCAGCTGATTGAAAGCAAAGAAGAGACAAAAGTGGAAAGGGGTATGAGTGATCGTAGGAGACTATTCGGGTAGTCTCCGGGAGAGGATATAAAGGAACACCGAGGGCGACGCTGAGAAAAGAGACGGTGTTCGGTCGTAAGGGTGGTCGAAAATAAGGTGCGCGTGTGGGGAGAGCACGCAGGCGGCTGAATTGGGTATCTCGGGGTGATTATAGGATACCCGAATCTTTGAGGGCGTTTTGCAGGATCGTCTCTTTGACTGCTGCAAAAACTAGACGGATATTCGTCGTATCCGTCGCTTGCGTGAGACTAGAGGATCAGAAGGTAAGAAATTGCGATTCGTGAAGAGTGACACTCTATGGGTGGCGGCTTACTGTGGATATAGGTTCAGGTGGGCGCGGTTCACTTGGTTGAACCGCCATAGAAGGTACTTGGCAGCACGATTCACATCGTTGCCGCCCGAGTAATCGGGGAAGTAGTTGCTCAACGGTGATCGAGGCAGTTTCAGGCGGAACAAATCAACTTTGTTCAGGAAGAGGATAATACTTGTCCGCATGAACCACCGAGAGTTGACCACGGAGTCGAAGAGCACCAAACTTTCCATCATTCGATTCTGCGAGGTTCGTTAGATTTGACATGATATCTGCAGTAGCTCAAGGTGTCGTACCTGATTGCTTTCTTCTAGCAGCACTTGGTCATATTCGCTGAGCGCGACGCAAAAGATAATCGACGTCACATTTTCGAAGCAGTGGATCCACTTCTTTCGTTCGCTGCGCTGGCCACCCACGTCGAACATGCTATGTTTTGTTAGACACGTCCCAATTGTGAGTTCCAAGGATTTCCACGTACTGTATGCTTAGCTGACCCATGGTGAATCGTGTCTCGTAGATACCAGTGGTCTTCGTTCTGGCCCGGAGCACGTCCGAAACGTCCGGAATATAGTCAGGCGCCGTTATTCGTTTTGCTTCTTCGAAGAAACTGGTCACTGTTAGCATTTTGTCTTGAATGGGGAGCAAATTGTGGAACATACTATGGCGCCGAATCCATGAGGTAAAACTCATTCTGATGCTCCAGAACGGTTGATGTGCATGGGTCGTTCCAAAGATATGTGATTGCTTCTCCGATTTTCGAATCGAGAGCAGTGTTCGGATCAGGATCTACGTTGTAGTCTTCGAGAAATGAGATGTAGTCCTTGACCTTTTGGCTGGAGGGTTCGAGTTGGAGATAATGGTATGCCCCGATGAGAGCTTTGGCGCAATCCAAAAGATTCTTGTACACAGTCAATCGGTATAGCGCAAGTTCTTCCATGGTGTAGCCATTCTGGTGGATGATCTTCATCTGCTTCACGATCGTTGACTTGCCACTTTCTCCGGATCCTAGGATCAATGTTAGCCACTAGGGAGCAAGCTCCATGGCGAACACTAGAAGTCATACCTAATAGAAGAATCTTGCATTCTCTTCGTAGCCGTCTAGAGTCTTCTTCTAGCTTGCGGTCGATCATTTGACTTCGCTTCTTCTGATCCGCATCCCCGCGCGGACTCTGAGCTGAAACAGGACCCCATTGTGAGATTAGTGGTGTCCCAGACCAGCAGGGAGCAGACTCATGTATTGCGCGCAGGAGCAGGAATTGCCGGTCCGAATGGCCAGGGCCTTGGCTTTCTTCAGATGACTGTTGCCCAGCGCCACACACTGGAAATGAAAGAGTCGGCGCGACTTGAAGATGAGACGGTAGCGACAGGCAAGACGGGCGCAAGAGATCAAAAAGTGGGCGAAGGTAACTTTGAATTGTGTTGAGGTATAGCGAAAGGTTGGGAGGTCGGAGGGATTGCGACGAGCGAGTTCGGAAGGAGAGGCGTTGAGTGCGGGTATAGCGGGTGAGCTGGGCGGTCCGTGAACAATATTACGGGAAACCGGGTATCAGTTGGAGAGAGAATCAGAATAGGTCGATATAAGAATCAAAGGAAATGAAATGCAAGAGAGGTTAAAGAATCATGCTGCCATCGTCATGCTGGGGGAGTGGAGATGCCAGACTGGAGGGAGCCCTGGAGCCGTACGAACCGTGTACGCCTCAGCTTACATTCGGTAATTAACCCTTTTAGCCCGGACTTTTCTTTTTTTTTCCTTCTCTCTTTAAGTGTACATTGGCTTAATTAATCGTGTATATTTTTGTTATATAGAGACAAGAATGAAACTAATTGAGTATTCTATATATATATCTATATAAATCCATATATAATTTGATTATAGCATTTTCGTGTAATAAATTTACCTAGGTAGCTACCCTACCTGTGTAGCAATCGAGAGGGTAAGGGAAAAACCGGGGAGACACACGTTCTTCTGTCAGATTCAACGTTTAGGGTATTATGAATTAGTATTTTTAATTTCGTAGGTATATTTTGTATGATATTGTACTTTACTTTTTTTTGCGTTTTGCTTTTGACTTTTCCACTCGCAATAAAATCTCTCACAGTTACCCCGTACAGTAGAATACAATACTCTGGGTTTAGCCGAAAGATTATGACCGTATGACCGGGCAATTCACCGGGGCGCAGACAAACTCTTGGAATATTGGCGTGGACTATTACATTCAGTAAATATAGCAAATCAGAGATCCTTCAAAATCTCTATATTGTAGGAGTTCTGTACTCCGTTCATAGTATTTCCACTATGGAGAAAAGTGGAGAGTGACGCAAAATTTCAGCCTCAGGCCACCAGGCGGGGTCTTTGTTAATGTGGTTATTCTCTCTAGGCTATTCTTAGGGTATATTATATATACATATATGAAGTTATATGTATAGTCCTTTGAGCCCTTTATAAGCCTGTTGGATCTTTCATCGCTCGTCGATGACTCGCAGATATGCGGTGAGCCGGGCACTGACCTCGCGTCCCCTCACAGCGAAGTCAATTCAGCCCTGTGGACAAAGTTATGGAGCTTATGGCAAGAATCAAGGTATAGGAAGACGTATTGTTGGTTTCATGGTAGAGTGTACATTGTGCAGCTATACCAAATTATATAACTGATGATACATATCCCAAGTATGCACCTAGTGGTTATCATGCAGACTCTCCTACCGAATCCGTTCGAGGAACATGAAACACAAAACAGATCTTCAGAGTTTAATAGGAGAAACTCTCCTATCCAGTCACATCTAACTGATCAAAGGTCTTTGTTGCATGGCCGCGGTAGTGTATTCGGCCTTGTTTCATATGTCTCAGCCGCCAGATCCTCAATCTGATGGGCCATACATCATCCCCTTTGAAATTGACAATGAGATAAAACGTCTTGGCCTCCTTCCCGTTCTATCAAACGGCAACGGCTAGATGCAGACTTTGACACACGCTTGATACACCCTTCACATAACTTGAATCATATACTGCGAGCTAACGACACCACGTCACAGAGGATCTAAGACGGCTTAGTGCGGGAAGTACAAAATACAGTCTAGTGGATAATCTTGCATCTGAGAGGTTGGAGGGATGCATTCCAGTCTAGACCAGAGAGTTGATTACCTTGTGTCGGCATATAAGCAATGTCCAGTCTGAAATTCTGAGCCGGACCTATGAGAGTAGGTATCCAACAAGAGTCACGATCTTGATAGCATCTAACGATGTTAAAGGATTACCTGCATCATGCCTACATTATAGAAAGTCTAGCAAGACTTTTGGATATTCCAACTTCTACACATATTTGTACATGGCTTTTTCTAAATGTCTATTGAGACCCCTTCCTAATTCCCTTTCGATGGTGAGAATGAAGCGGGTGAATGTTCTCTAATATTGATATATATAGTGGGCTAAATTAAGACTCACTGCTTCCAGACTCAGGTGGAGATGAGACATTATATGTATATAGATAGAATTTGTTGTTTCTGAAGGTCAAATACAACATGTCAAAAGTACATATGTATGGCATTTACCAAAGAAGATATGAGGATATGAGAAAAGAGAATAGAGAAAGCTGTAAGCAAAGGAGGAACCATCCTCCGATTATAGACCGGGGTCCAGGCCGCGTGGTAGTGGAGCGTAACCTTGGAAGTTTTCGCACATTCGGTTGAGCAGAATACTACATTCAATATTTTCCTCCTGGTAGTATTCAAGGAGTTAAAAGATATCTACAACTATAGATTTAAATAATATACATCAAGATACATGAAAAAATATAGTACAATGTATATTAATAGCAAAGCAAGATAGAAATAGAAAATAGGACTAGCTGAGTCATCCACATTTTTCCAAGGCGGGCTATCGATGACGTTCGTGGGCCTTGTTTTCTCTGTTTTCAGTCCCTTCCCCACACCTCTTGCCAACACACTTTCTTCGCGAGCCCCCCTTTCTCTGACTTTACATTGATTTCTTGCTTCATACCTTCATTTTTTTCCCCTCATTCTCTATCGTCTTGCGCGTAACAGTTCTCCATCATGGCGGAATTCGTGCGTGCCCAGATTTTCGGCACCACCTTCGAGATCACCAGCCGGTGCGCAAAGCCCTGTCTCATTTTGCTCTCAGCGCGCCAGATGCGTGGGGATTACCAGTACTGACTCTCATTTCTCTAGGTATACGGAACTTCAGCCGGTTGGAATGGGTGCCTTCGGATTGGTCTGGTATGTTGCATCCTATGTCGCACGAACTGACATTTCAAGAAAGCAACGTTAATCAGGCCACTCAATAGTTCTGCGAAGGATCAATTGACAGCGCAGCCGGTTGCCGTCAAGAAAATCATGAAGCCGTTCAGCACTCCTGTTTTGTCCAAGCGAACCTACCGGGAGCTGAAGCTCCTCAAGCATCTCCGCCATGAAAACGTTCGTATTGCACTGAAAAGAAAAAAAAGCGAATCGAGTTTTTATGCTGACAGTGCGTAGATCATTAGTTTGAGTGACATCTTCATTTCGCCCTTGGAAGACATGTGCGCTCCCCTTATCTCCCAAAGCGGGGTGTGATATAATATAAACTAACAACTACAGTTACTTCGTCACCGAACTTTTGGGAACCGATCTCCACCGACTTCTTACCTCTCGACCCCTTGAAAAGCAATTCATTCAGTACTTCCTTTACCAAATTCTAGTAAGATTTCCACAAGACACCCGCTTTTGCCGCCAAAATCTTATAATTTGATAGCGTGGTTTGAAATATGTTCACTCTGCCGGTGTGGTACACCGGGATCTGAAACCCAGCAACATTTTGATTAACGAAAACTGTGACTTGAAAATCTGCGATTTCGGTCTTGCTCGTATTCAGGATCCGCAAATGACCGGATATGTCTCCACACGATACTACCGTGCGCCCGAGATCATGCTCACTTGGCAAAAGTACGATGTGGAGGTGGACATCTGGAGTGCGGGCTGCATCTTCGCCGAAATGCTGGAAGGAAAGCCACTGTTCCCCGGAAAGGACCATGTCAACCAGTTCTCGATCATTACCGAGCTCCTGGGTACTCCTCCAGATGACGTGATCCAGACCATCTGCAGCGAAAACGTCAGTGATCATGTTTTGTTTGGGGCAAGGTGCAAGAATGCTAACAGATGATGCAGACCCTCCGATTTGTCAAATCCCTTCCTCAGCGCGAGCGCCAACCCCTCGCAAATAAATTCAAAAACGCCGATGCCGATGGTATGTGATGCATCAGTGATAGATAGTTCTAATGAACGAAGTACTAATCTTTCTTTGTCATTTAGCGGTCGACCTACTCGAACGGATGCTCGTCTTCAACCCCAAGCAGCGAATTCAAGCCACCGAAGCATTAGCTCATGAGTATCTGACACCTTACCACGACCCAACTGACGAGCCTGTCGCACAAGAGAAGTTCGATTGGTCGTTCAATGACGCCGATCTACCCGTGGATACTTGGAAAATTATGATGTGCGCCATTCTTATAATCCACTTCCGCCCCTATTGGATTTGTTTACTAATTTCTACTAGGTACTCCGAGATCCTTGACTTCCACAACATTGAACAGGGCAACGAGGCTGGTGAGGCTTTGGTGCAGGGCGCCGTGCAGGGTGATGCTTCACAGGCATTCGCATAATGGTTTAAAGTGAATTCCCACAACGCCTGCTTTCCGGCCCTTGGATTCCAGTCTCTGAATATGAAGTCTGGCCCTATTTTCGTTCAAAGGTTTTGCGAGGCTGGCGTATCTACCTATGACTCTTATCTTATTTTCATATTCTATTTGTTCTTTTTTTTGTCTTTGTGGAACCAATTGTCCATAGCTTTTCCGGCGTCGTCAGAATTGGTTGGTGATAAGGAGAAATCATATGGGAGATTTGATTTAGTTGAGCGATGGGCAAATCATACCTGACATTTTAATATTTAACATTGGTCAATAAATTTCTCTGTCATAACATCCTACAACATCACAACTACTATATATACAAAAAGAACGAGACAATATTTATGCGCTCATAGATTGGCGGGGCTAGCCTCTCACCGCCTGGGCCTCGGCCAGTCACAACGAGTGCGATAACCGTATCAGTGATTTTCCCCTGTTTGCGATGGTCTTCATGGGAAACGTCGAGGTTTCAGAGGAGAAGCCCCTCATTTCTATAATTTCTCTTCTCTGATCTTTTAGCTTCAAAACCACACATCTTGCTCAGCCCCGTCGAGAAACCTTTTGCATGATCCGGCGCCATGGCTATCCACCATAAGCAAGACCCAATTGTCTTGGTCATAGATTTCCACCATGCACGGTAAGCCACGAGACATCTTAAGCTCTAGAGCTCCAAATCTTTGAACCAGAGAGAAGGGCGGGGCAATAATCGGAACTAGCTGACTGAGACATCGACCCGCAGAGGCCCCGAGATTGAGCATTGTATTGCCGAAGAAGGAACCGATCCAGCAACCGAAAATGACTGGTCCCTTTTACCATTTATGGCTTTATCTGACGGAGCGCATCTGTATGAGATATCCCTTGCCTATGACCCTTGTGTTCAATGCCCGCTATTTCCCACGAGGCAACCCCGCAACCGAATGAGAGCCGCTTTGCGCCAGACCAACTAACCCGCTTAATTGCAGGTCAACTGAGGAATTCTCGTACTTCACGCTCTGTCGAAAGGAAACGCCAACTATCCCCGCAACTTCTCTCTTTGGTATCTCCTGCTCCCGCCAGATCGACGCGAGTCTGCTCATCAATCGCTCGGCCGATGTGACACGGTCAACGGTACAGAAGGCTGTCGTGGTCGTTACGGATACTCCACAGCGAGTGGGTCAATTGCGCGAGAAGCTATCCGTGGTAACATCGGCATGGTTTGCGCAACGGTATGTGAGATAACTTTCTTTTGGGGTGGATCGCCTATTTTCTTCATGCGCCAGCCCAGGTCTGCGTTTGAGGTGATTTTGTGTGAACAGTCAGGGCTGACATCGCACTGTTGGTAACAGTGACTTTTCAGATATTGATATCCTGAAGGTATGTCACATGCCAACTATAACAGTTCATCGAATGAATGTTGACATGAACGCAGAAATTCCGGGAGGGCCTGGTGATTGCTCTCCTGAACGATGGCCCAACAGATCAGAACTTGGGTAAGAAGGCTGGCCGTTACGATCGATTTGAATCTCCGCTGAATTTTGAAGGGCTTTCGCTTCGGGAAATGATTCACGAATTTAAATCTCAGACATTGGTTCTTTTCAAGGCTCTGTTGTTGCAGCCCAAGATGCTTTTCTTTGGGACACGCTGTGAACGCTTGTGCATGATTCAATTTTCACTTATATCTTTAATACCCGGTCTCATCAACAGCCTGCAAGACTGCGCAGACCCTGCTTTTGACACCTACTCTCAGACGGTTGAGAAGCCAACCTCTCTTAAGACGAGTGACAGAAAGTCTTTATTGGCATACATGGGTCTTCCGCTACAAATATTTGGGAAGGGAAGCATGTTCGGCCCCTATACCCCCTCCCTCCAGCTGCTGGATCTGCTGGCGGATGATGGGACGAAATCATATGTTGTTGGGTCAACAAATTCCCTGCTCCTGCAACAAAAAGATCGCTATAGTGATATCTTAATCAACCTGGACGAAGATAGTATCGTCATCAACACTCCCTCTCTCCGAAATGCTCTGGCTCTTTCTGCGGCTGACAGGCGCTGGATCGATCTCCTCACTCAGATTGTCAACGATACTTGGGATGAGGAGCACCCTTCGCAGCCCAAGACACTTGGCTTCATGGGCTCAGAAGAGTTCATTAGGCTACAATTTGAGGAATACTTGTTGGCATTGTTATCCTCCATGAAATACCACGAGGAGCTGTGCTCGGTCAATAACGGAGAATCTCCCACTCGCAGCAAGGCCCAATTGCAGAACTTCAACATCGAAGGAGACCCTGCAGTTGACTTCAACACAGAATTTTTGACTCAGTGGCAAACCACCTCTAACTATGCCATGTTCTCACGTCTTACATCAGATGCGCTTCTATTCTCCATCACAGAACCACGTCACCCAAACGCCGGTGGTCTGACCATGGAGGATGTCCAACGACGCATATCACAGCAAGTAGCAGACCTTCACCTGGACGAACGAGTACGCGAAGGCCGCGAAGCACTGGGCCGCCACTTCTCAACTGGCCAAAAGAAAGTGAGCGCCGCATTCAACAGCTTCTGGTCTGATATCGAGACAATGCGCGAAGCACAGCGCAAGCGCAACGAAGAAAAAGCAGCCACTCAATCGCAGCGCACTTCCATTGACAAGGGAACTCCAGTTTCACCAACGCCCTCCAACGATCCCAACGATGCCTCCTGGGGAGCAGTCCGCCAGAGGCCCTCCATTGACATGACTCAAGCCCAAGCCTCAGTCAGCGCGGCAAGCCAAAAAGCAGGCGCATACTTTAGCTCGTGGGGATCATGGGCCAGTGAAAAGCGCCGCGAATGGCAAGACAAGCGCGGCACTTCGCCGAGCCCAAACGCCAATGCAAACACTATCACTTCGCCGTCCGCTCCAGCTTTGACCGTCGTCACCGAAATCGCAGAGTCGGACCGCGGCCGTCGCCGCTCGATCCAGCAAAAAAGTGAAGGCGACGCTTCCGAGGTCGGTCTCACCCGCAGCGTCAGTCGCAGAAAGCGATGGAGCAATATCCTTCTTCGTCGCGAGAGCGGCGAGTTCCAGCACTGTGATGATGTCTCAACATCCGAGTCTCATGACGTTCCTTTCCCCAAATCTCCTCTGTCGCATGGCTTCCCAGCTTACGGCGACGATGCGCACAAGCAGAGTCTTGATAAGGGACGGGAACCTCACGGAGAAGAAAAGCCCTACCAGGAGATTGTTGATTCAGACGGGTTTGCTTCTGTGGCCCTCACGCCCAACGAAGGCCTAGGGCTGAGCTTGAAGGCCGAAAAGGAAAAAGAGAATGTTTCCCCGGCAGATCCCGAGGATTTGATCACCGCACTTCCGGTCAAGGATGAACATCCAGCCCATGTTCAAGGCTCGTCTGGTACGAACTAAGGAGCTGGAACTGGCCCAGGGTTTTCTCCTGCATTTGGGCTGATGAGTACTTTACGAACATGCTGTCTTCTATATCATCCTCGGCTTCTCATTGTGCATTGTTAGCACTGTTGTTTCAAATGGCATACCCATCTCTGCGGAATCCTTTTTGTCAGATATTCTACATAATCATTTCTAAGGTCGTTTTGAATATAATGTGTTCATAAGATTGGATAATATCATGCCTGTTACTTTGACAACAAGACCTTGGGACCGAACTTGAGCCAGTAATTATGCTTGTTTGACATTCTTTTTTGTGTCTTTATGGTAAATGCGAAGTGTTTTCTATATAATTAATTCTAACGCTCTTGGCCTACTGTTAGGTATATGGAACCAAACTACTACCTTCATAGGACATAGGTTTGGCCTAAACTCGAAGCTGACAGCATCAATGTGAATCTCTAACCGCAAGTCCAGAGTCTAGTAGGGTTTACTCGGGACAAAGTTATTATTATCTTTGAATTTTATAATTTCAAGAAAAGAAACGAAAGGGCAGGTAGCAAAGGAAATATCCGGGTCATCATTGGTTTGTCGTCTCAGCGCTATGAAGATGAAAACATAAAATAATTCGCCGACACAATGAGAAGATTTATTATGTTCCTCTTCGCCTTGTTCCGTTCGCCGCCATTTTACCATACAATATCACATCCTTGACCAGCAGGAGTTCAAGCCCCTTGCCTTTCGTCCCCATCGTCAACATGTTGCATGCAAAAATGGAAAGGATGCAGGCGTCGCCGGTTTCAAATAGAATAGTGGCAAGAGCAGCAGGAGATAGAAAGAAGAGAAAGAAGAAAGCGGTTTGAAATGCTTGGGAGGGGGAAGACTTCGGTGGATGTTTAAGCAATGTAGGAGATTTCGTCGCCATCCATGCGCTCGATATAGTCCTTCTCCATGAGGATTTCGATATTCTTCTTGATGTCCGGGATCTTGGGCGGGAAGCGAGACTTGACCTGCTGGATGACCTCCTGCACAAGCTGTACGTGCTTCATCTGCTTGCGCGACTTCATGATGCGGACAATGGCGGACTATAACAAAGTTAGGATTGACGGCCTTTTGTAGTGGCGTTGAATGATAGAGAAACTTACCTGGAGCAGAAGCTTCCGATCCTCTTCTATCGTTTTATGGGTATCCGCAGCCTCGACCTTTTGCTCAGACTTGATCTGAATGTTGAGGTTGACTTTGATCTTCTTGTTCTTGAAGTTGTAATTCAAAGTGAAAGAAGTTCCAGGTTCAGGTTTAGCGCCCTCGGGGCTGGCGATAAGAACCTTGGCCTTGAGCAAGATGCTGAGATTGGGGTCAAGTATTTCACCAGCCAGTGTGGTGGCTTTTTCAATCTCGTCGTAAGACAGCACATCGGCTTCGTTGAACAGCAGAAGAATGCCCATCTGATAGGTAGACACCTGGAAGGTATAAGGTACCTTAGCATTTTTGATATAGTTGGCTTTGATTTCACCCTTGCATAGCTGCCACAGCCATGTCAGCTTGCGGCCATTGTGTTTATCGAAGTAGAATTTCTGGAATCGTTCGGCAGTCTTGACGATCTCAGGCGGTGCAAGGAAAGGAGTAGTGGGGGCGTTGAGGGGCCAGAATCCAGTTCCCAGAACCTGGAAGTGGGCGTCGGCCAATCTCTTTCGGTCATCATCATCCAGGACCTTGTCCTGCCAAACCTTGTAGTTATTATTCAAATCTTTGGAAATTTGCATGTCCTGAAACATGCGCTGCAGCTTGTTGGTGTATTCGAAACCACATGCCTCCTTCAACTTGCTGATCATGCTTGTTTCCGCATCGTCGGAGACTGAGCTGACGTGTACCAATCGCTTGGCCAGGTTCTTGGAGTAGAACTTTTGGAAAACATCCTTGTCCTCGATGTACTTGAAGACTGTCATAATTTGTACCAACATTTCCTCGAGTTCCGACTCTTCGGGAGACTTGGATCCCTTTTTGAGCAGTGAGTCGGTGTACTTGGCTAGCAGTTCGGGTGACTTGGAAGAGCTGGCCTTGCAGATACGATTTCGGTTGACAAACTCGCGGCAGGCGTTGTCCAAAGATCGCACAAACTCGGACTCGCCATTGAAAGCATCATCAACGAGGTTCTGGTACCGCGTGTGGACCTGCAGTAGAGCATCAACGTACAACTTGGGCTCAAAGTTGTCGCCTTCCGAAGCGATCTTCTCAACGGCAACCAGACCAGCCCGTCTCACGTGGTTCTCAAAGGTGGCGCGAAGGGGATCCAGGCCGTCCTTGATACGTGACAAGAGTCGATACATACGAGCAAGATCCTCCTGGCGTTCATTATCCAGCAAAACCTGGAACTCGTCGCGGAGCAGAGTAGAGTGAGCAGTAACAAGAACAGCCAAACAGGTATCTGTGAGGCTTTTGGTGACATCAGGATGCAGATACAACCCGACACGGGCCTTCTCCTCGTCCAAACGGGCTTCCGCCTTCTTCATGTATTCCACCACGCTGTTTTCTGCCACAAACTGTCGCGATTCGTTTTCGTAATAAACCTTGGTCGCAGAAATGAACGGTGACTGGAAGTATTGGCGGTAAACATCTAGGGTTGACTTAGAGCTGTCATTTTCATCCAAGCCCAAGGAAACGAATGAGTCCACGATGGATTTGATCTGAGATTGTTCAATGGTTTCGCCATTCCGTTGTTTCTCTATCAGACTGAGGACAGCATCCATGACCTTCTCATGCACATTCTCAAAGAAGTCATCCTTCCATTTGACCAGGTGTAGGGTGTAGACATCGTAGACGTTCTTCTTGCCTTCGTCGATTTCACGCTTGACCCAGTGGCGGTTGAGGTACTTGAAAATGTGGTTCACGTATTTGGCAGCGGTCGTGTACCGTTCCCATTCGCGAATGTAAAATCCAAGCAAGCCTTCTTCGGTGTGAGTCTGTGATTTGACGAACACGTCGGATAGGTGGCGTGAAAGGTATTCGCCGAGTAATTTGTAGAGTTCCTCGCCCAATAGGTGGGCTTGATTCCATGTCAGTCCACATCGAGAAGCCGATGACTTAATTAAAGAAGGGGGAGACACACCCCCGCGCTGCCCTTGTGACAGACCATGACCACTCGCCACGGCTTTTTGTGATGTGCAGAAATTGTGAACGGCCCTAAAATCGAATTGTAAGCGGGGTTCCAATTACCCAACAGATAGAGTCAAATAATGGACACACGTGTAGAGACCCATGTACTAGATAAAGACAAGCAGTTAGCCTCTATCTTTTTCAATGATCTCATCGGTAGACAGCGAATTGTTGATCCTTTCACTTACGGCCTTCATATCAATACCAGCGTCAAGGTTGAGCATAACACTTTGAATCCCTTCCTCTAGGAACGACCAACTGGCAAAAGGTCAGCCCACACGCTCACGGTCATATCAAAGCAACCCCAGTGTATTCCCAACTCACGTTGAATCAAGGTCGTCCTTGTGGGGGACCGGTGGCATGACGAGAGACATGGCGATGACAAGGGAACGGATTCGAGTGGGATAAAGACAAAAGTGAGCTGCCGAGGCTGAGTGTCCTGGGTCATCGATCAGTATGGGTTCCAGTGCTCTCGATCACATTTGTTAGTTACACACCCTCAGAATTACCTCAGGACGGGTTGCAGCGCCACAAGTCACGCCTCAAAGATCTTGATGGAATGACGCGCTTTGGGGGATTGCGGGAGCAGGATTCGTGATATTCAAGGTGAGGATGGGGAAAAACGACCTGCTATATTCAAAGCAAAAGTCAAAAAGAGAAATCAGGTAGAAAAAGCGAGCCAAAGTGATGAGGCTGAGAAGAACAGAAGCGTGGGGATGGGCCTGTAGCCGCAGGCGGTGAAGTGGCGGAGCTTGCCCGCCAAAATCTACATCATCGGTCCTTTCAATGCGCTCTTAATATTTAATACTTTGAATGCTTGTTTCACTTGGAATCAATGTGATATATTAGGGCTTTGAATTATATATTTTGTGTTCAATTTGTATCTACGAAGAATACAAATTTTTTTTTGTCTTTTCAAATATCTCTTATCTAATTAAATGATTATTCTGCTATTACCTGGTCCTTCACGCCCTACCAACCTATTATCATATTGCGCATATAACCCCCATTTTAGACAGAACTTTAGCCTCTCAAAAGTCAGATTTGTAATACTGTTGTGCCCTTGCTGGGCCTTTAATGACTGTTCGAAGATTGCCACTATGATTGTTCAAGTCTATCACACCATTATTGAGCATGAAGGGTTGATGATATATATTGTTAACACTTGTACACCAAACAACATACATATCAACTATCCTCGTTACCCGCAACACACGATGGATACCCTATCGAATTTAATTTTACTGAATAGACAGAATCGCGACACAACCGCAAAAGATACGCCAAGAGCGGACCAGGCTGTACATTAGCCTGCTAGTCAGTGGGATTCAATTTAGTCTACCTTCAAACCTACCAAAAGTCCTATCTACGTAGGTAAAACTTACAGAGGTATTGTGTTTATAGCAGCCCTGCAGATACTTAAAATCCACAAGGAAGAAGGATGTAGAAATTCCATTAGAAGCAAGTATTGTGCTACCTAACTAGGCAATTAACTAGGTTTTAGTTAGTCTCTTGCGATCTTGACTTCGTATATAGACCCAAATGCTAAGTAGCAGCATATACACAACACAGGCATTAACATTGTACATATGTAGTCCTAATATTGGAACAAGACAAATCGAATGAAAGAATCATCGAAGTGCTCAACTGTAAGTTTATATTGACCCCACCAATGACGTCATTGAAGGATGTCCATCTCTCTAAGGTTCTATCGATTTAGTACTCGCAACATTGAAGATGATCAAAACGCCCCTCTTAATCTGAGTGAACGCTGCAAAATTTCTGACTGGTACAAAATGCCAAAATTTCGTAACAACAAGCTGCTAGGTTTACATGGAGCCAATGCCTTGTTTATAGAGCAGGGTGAGCCACCAAACGCCGTGGATGAGGCGGTTGCTCGGTTGTATAGCACGTGGCGCCAGGAGGGCAAATGGGGTCACTTGCATTGCTGGGCGCATGAAGTCCTTGGTGTTGCTTCAAGAAGCGCGCGTCCTTGCTTTTGGAGAGTTGAGTAGCGTGAGCATATAGCAAAGCGCGTGGGTCGGACATAGGCTTTCAGACGACCCACACGGGCAGCAGAAGTTTGTCCAAACAGTCAGCGCTTATCCACACGAACAGGTGATGTAGTAAACCAGATGAGAAAGCGGAGGCGCAGAGCATCAAAGATCTGAACTCTCTGGGGGGAGGTGGTCCTCCGTACTCAACGCGCTCCGTTTAGCAGAGCCCCGTTGCGTGGTGTGGACGGCTCTGCTCTGCGAGTCCAGCCAAGAGGAACCCAGCATGGGTTAGATAGCATGGAATTATAAACCAGGAGTCAAAAGTTCTTAAATCAGAGTTGTGAAAAACCAGAATTGTGAAGACAAAATTCACTGTGTTACTCTTTCAACAAGCCTGAGAAGAAGTGCGTTAGTGGATGAACGAGTTGTATCGACTGCAAGATAAAACATACCTGAGGACACTGATCGAAAAAGTCATGAGCCAAGCCAAAAGTGCGACCAGCAGCACAGATGCAAGTGCTTTTTGCCTTACGCAAATCCCATCATTTCGGGGATCGACTACCTGATTGACCTCGGCCTCGGTACAGGAACCCGTGACCTCCGAGAGAGAAGCAAATGCCAAGCTTAGATTGGCAGAATCAAAAACGATGAAGAAGATGTCGAGGAGAATGAGCCGTGCTTTGGCCGAAGGAGAGCGCAGACCCAACGGCTTTGAAGTATATTCATCAAAAGTGATGTATAAGAGGTATACCAGCGCAACTGCATCGACAATGATTGCCATTAAGGCAGATGGGCCTTGAGGGTGATGGCCTTCGTTGGACATGTGCTGAATAGATCCACCGAGAGCCAGTGCAGAGAGCGAGAAGCACCAAACAGTCATCCGAAGGATCATTGGTACCAGTGGGCTCCGCAGAAGTGTATTGTTGAAGCGCTTGATCCATTTTTCTCTTCGGCCTCCACTGTGGAGTGGATATTCCGGACTGTCACCTTCCAGATGTTTGCCTCGCCATGGCTGCAGGTAATCACCATGGTTTTCATTCAACCATTCTGAGGTAACGTGTTTTGCCTCTCGACCGGCTTCCCGGGGGTATTGGATCGTCCGTGAGAATGTTACCCAGCGCGATTCACGGTTGACAGGTGTAGCGTCATCCTCAAACAGACCATTGGTAGCTAATTGAGAGGACTTAGGCTTGGATGATGCATAGGGTGAGTGATTATGCTGAGCAACAAAAGCGTCGTTGGGCTGGGAAGGAAGTAGGCGATCGGTTACTGTGGCTTCATCTTCATCGTGTGCGGTTTCTTCGACTGAGCTAATCCAAGCTATGAAAAATAGTGTCAGCAAACATTCGTCAAAGCAGATACCAGGGGAAATATACCAGGAAGAGACTTTACAGCGAAGCGTTGAGAGGAGTTATTCTCTTCTGTTGTCTGACCATCCGTACGCGCCAGCGAGAGTGATGGATTAGAAGCACTATTGCGGACAGCAGACTCTGTATCAACACTTAGGTGATCTGGGAAAGTCGATGTTTCTGGAATAGACGGAGGAATTTTATCTGCCAGCTTTTCAGCGAAGATGCGCCCTGCAGCGCTGTTGGAGCTGTCCATGGTCGAGTCAAAGGAACAAGGGAGTATAAGTCAAGAACGAGAGTCGCGGGAGGGATCAAATCAGCAATTCGCATCACTACCCTTGCTGCAATTTAAGCGCCGATTGCTCCAAAAAGGAACGTATTGTGTGTTGTGTTATTGAGATTCAGTCAAAAGTCAAGATTGAAACGCGAGCGGAATGACGTCTCCGAAAGGTTGCTTATTTCCCGCGCCATCCCTTCCAGGTTTACACAGCCCACTGAAAAAAGTTTCAAAACTTCACTATTGAGAAAGGATTTCGAAAGGACCATCTCCTTCATTGTTTACTTTCCTCACTTTTGATATCTACTATTTCATTTCCACTCTTCTGGAGCGATTGTCTTAGACCTCCGCTGCCATGCGCCTCTTCCTAATTCCAATCTCGACAAAACGAGTCCTCATATACGCCCGACCCTTGCGAAGGGATCTCTCAAAAGAGTTGTCATATCTCGATAGAATTACGACAAAAGCCGCAGAAACATGGGCCAAATGGGAGGAAGCCGACAAAGGCTGGAAAATGCATCTTGTCCGCTGGGGTAATCGAGTTCAGCAACGGATACCATACGAGGAATGGGGCCTCAAGAGCATTCCCTCACTCGAGGCGCAGCAGCGAGTCAACAAAGACCATGGAAAGGTCAAAATTGACGTGTTGTTCCCTGGAAACGCGATGCGCTTGGAGCGAATCTCTCCTGTGCTGCGCAAGATAGCCACAGAGAGACAAGAGCTTCATCGGAAGAAGATGATGTGGAGTATGATTGCTGCACCGATCACAGCACCTCTTGGTCTTATTCCAGTGTAAGTGCAGCTACATGGAAATACAAGTATAATATACTAATAGAGAGCAGGGTCCCTAATATCCCTTTTTTCTATCTGGCGTACCGAGGCTGGTCCCATTGGCGCGGTCTGTTTGATCTTCAACTATGAATATGACACAATAAGCTGACTATGTCCCACAGCTTTGAATGGTTCTAAACATCTTGAATTTATCGTCGAAAAGAATCTCCTCAACCCTATCTCTTTACCGGAGTTGGAAGACCTATACGCCAAACGGGCATCACGAGCACTCGAAAAAACCGAGATTGACACCCCTTATTCCGAGATTGCGGAGGACATAGAACAAAGCGACGACCGGATCTTGCTGAAAATGTCCGATGCTAAGAAGTTGGCTACAATTCTGGAGGCCCCAGAGCTTGCATTGGAGGCCGAGCGAGCAATCATCCAAGTCAGTGAACAACTCGAAGCTACGGCGAAGGCCAAGGAGGCGGAGAAGGATGAGAAGAAAGACTCATGAAATGTATGAAATACGAAGGACTTAATCTGTTCCGTGGAAGGCTTTCGAAAGAACCACTCAACCTGGAATCTGGGGAAAGGTGATATCGAAACCTCCGAACAGCGGAGTTCATGTACCATAATGCAAGGAGCAAATCATATTGCAGTAGATACCTATAGATCAAAAATTTGTTAATAAGACCAGAATTGAAGTTCGATCTATGTACTCCGCATACGAAAGTATGTTAAAAATAGAAGAACTTGACTATAAGATACCCAATGACCTCAAGAGCCCCTTGGCGGAAGTAGGTAAATCCGAGTCCCCCCATTGTTCCCACCTCATCATCTACGACTACTCCATCGGAGCTCCATACAACATGTCGGCCAAAAAGATTGAGCAATGGGAAATTGAGCGATACTGGGAGATTTTTGCCTCATTATCAAATGGCCAGAAACACCTGAACAGCTCCCAAGCCGCCTCCGTACTGAGGAACAGCCGGCTGCGCGATGACCAACTGGAGAAGGTCTGGGATATTGCCGATGTTGATGGAGATGGAGAGCTGGACTTCGAGGAATTCTGCGTTGCCATGCGCCTAGTGTTTGACTTGGTCAATGGCGTAAGTGTCTTGCCCCTTTCATACAAGACTTATCGCTAACGCGGCGTCTTATCCGCAATTAGGAACTACAAGAAGTCCCGAATGTTCTGCCAGACTGGCTCGTCCCAGAATCTAAATCACATCTCGTCCATGCGACCCGAGCACTAAGCAGCGGACAAGAGCAGTTCGAGCGCATAGAAGACGAGGACGACACCCTCGGCTTGAAGGATGGTTTCGACTGGTACATGAAGCCTAACGATAAGACCAAGTATGCCGAGATCTACGATGCCAACCGGAACGCCCGTGGCCAGGTAGAATGTGCGCTACCCAACTTAAACTTGGAAGAATTACCCCGCTGACATACCCCAGTCCAACAATTACAGCCCCTCTACGAATCGCTCGATGTCCCCGACACCGACGTCCGCTCCGCATGGAACCTCGTAAACCCCTCCGCGTCATCCGCAATTAACAAAGACGCCACGCTCGCCTTCTTGCACATCCTGAACTACCGCCACGAAGGCTTCCGCATCCCGCGCACGATTCCCGCCTCACTGCGCGCTTCCTTCGAGAACAACCAGATCGACTACCAAGTTGACAAGGCGCGGCCCGCACAGCGCTACGGCGCAGATGGCGAGACAGAAACACGGACAGGGCGCAAGGCCAAATTCGGCGACACCTACCTTAGTCGGCTAGGTGTTGGCGGCAAAGGCTCATACCAGCCCAAGGGCACCGATTTTAGTGACACGATCCAAGACGAGGAGTGGGAGAAGGTGCGGCTGCGTCGCGAGCTTGCGGAGCTAGAGTCAAAGCTCAACTCAGCCAACAAAGCTTCGGATTCTAGACGGGATCGACCGCGGAATGATGGCCGGCCCAACTGGGTTCTCATCAAGAAAGAGGCACTTTCTCTGCTGGAGTATAAGGAGCGCGAACTTCGCGAGCTGCGTGAGGGATCTGGCCGCGCCAAGGACGGTCAGGATTTGGAGCGACTGCGGGCGGACGTGAAGACCGTTGGAGAACAAGTGGATAGTTTAAAGGCCCATATGTCTCAACGGCACGATGTTCTTTCGGATCTCCGCAGCCAGATCGAAGATGAGAAAGCTCGGAGGTGATTGATTATTGCATGGACACACATCTGGTGACATAGTGTTCTTATCCTTCTTTTTTCTTCCACGTCTTTCAGTTGCATATATGCCCTGCTTTCTTCATTCTCGCGAGCTATCATGTACATCCATTTCTCTACCAAAGAGCTTCAGGCGTCCAATGGGATTTCATGCTTTGTTTCAACTTTATTTCCACCATGAGTTCCTGTCAGCTCTCATATGATCTCTTTTTGGTCTCTTCTGTAATCTTTGCTGGTGTAATTTGATCTCGAGTTTATTTATACTATCTTGTAAACAGCGGACGTATGAATCTGTTCTTAAAATTGCTTCCTTGTCCCTTTCACCCTCTCGCTTAGCGTCAGCTTACTACCGCAGTATGCTAAAACATACTAGAATCTGATATTCTGAGGACCTAAGATAATTGTTCAAGACCAGAGCAGATCTCCTATCAAAAAGTCGAATTTTTGATCCCAACAAATCTAAACGGATCCATTGGTACACGAGACCCACGGATATGTAAGTTGCTGACTGCTGACAACAAATAAATGGGTCTTTGAATGCTTAAGTCCGTCGGAACTAAGGACAAATGGACTTAAGGACCAATGGATGATGACAGCCTTATATCATGTATTATAACGAACTCTCTTATTGACGTCAACTTTGGTGGACCTTAAAAATGCTTAAGTGCAATATAGATATTATTTAAATGTTACAAATAGCCAGTAATTTCCCCCCTCATTGTTGCACGATGTTGTCCATCCCTCAATAGTCCGAGTACACGCAATATCCCAATTTCCCAACATGTCTCCTGACCCAAAGACATTGCTAGGCCGCTACCGCCAGCTGGCCCCTTCAGCGTCAGTGCGAGTCTCGCCGCTGTGTTTAGGCACAATGACATTTGGAGGCACCCATCCCGAGAAATATGGCGAGTGCAGTAAGGAGGATGCTTTCGCAATCCTCGATTATTTCTATGATAATGGTGGCAACTTCCTCGACACTGCAAACGGCTATCAGGATGGACAGTCTGAGGTGTGGCTAGGTGAATGGATTGCCTCTCGTAAGAATCGCGATGAGCTTGTGCTAGCCACAAAGTACACCTCTGGGTACAAGCTTCATTGCAAAGATACCATTCAGGCCAACTACGTCGGCACCGGTACCAAGTCATTGGCTATTTCCTTGGAGGAATCTTTGCGCAAGCTTCAAACGACCTACATTGATCTGCTCTACGTACATTGGTGGGATTACACCACCTCAATTCCCGAATTGATGCAGAGTCTCAACCATCTCGTTGTGTCAGGCAAGGTTCTATATCTCGGCATTTCCGACACTCCTGCTTGGATCGTGGCCAAGGCGAACCAGTACGCCCGCGAGCATGGACTGCGACAATTCTCAGTCTACCAGGGCATGTGGAATGCCGCCATCCGCGACTTTGAGCGAGACATCATCCCGATGTGCCACGACGATGGCATGGGCCTGTGTCCGTATGGAACATTGGGCCAAGGAAACTTCCAAACGGCTGAAGGCTTCAAGCAACGAGAGAAGTCAAACCCTGGCCGCAACTTCATCCCCACGTCTTCGCGTGACAAGCAGGTGTCTGCAGTCTTGGAATCACTTGCTGCTCGGAGAGGCGCGACACTGTTCAACGTTGCGTTGGCGTATATCCGTCAAAAAGCGCCGTATGTCTTTCCCATTATTGGTGGTCGCACCGTCGAGCATCTCAAAGGCAATATTCCTGCCTTGGGACTGGAATTGTCGGATGAAGAAGTCGAGGAGATTGAATCCGCATATGATTTCGACCATGGTTTCCCTCATACCTTTTTGAGTGGTACACTGTTCGACCATTCCAAACCAAGAGGTGCATATGGCCCCGGGGATGTGTGTTTGACAAAGCCATGTGGTCCTTTTGATTGGGTCGAGAACCCGAAGCCCATCAGCAAACCAAGCCACTCCTAGAATGATATGTAGTCGTTGCGAAGCGGAAACACATCTGAAGAATCAAGATACAGGGGCGATTCATTCTTGCGTATCCATATGTATCTACTCAGACACCCGTACTATATCAAAGCCTCACATTCAATATTTCGTGGAAAGATATTCCCCAATTGGTAAGTGATATCTGTTCGTAGAAAGCACAGCTATCGTATTCTGTGGCAATTCTACAAGACCTGAAAGTCTGTCTGTTATCGAGGCACAAAAAGGACCATACCTCAAGAAAACCTGATTTGGATCGCTATCGTACAAGAGACTTGATGACTCGCCTAAATATTGAATTAATCGAACAAATGTATGATACAATGCTGTGTCTAACATGGCACAGGTAATCTTTGAGCCCAGACTGTGATGGAACTCGCAACGCAGCAATTGATACATGATCCCCCCATGCCCCCATGCCACCCTGTATCCGAACGCCAATCCGACAAACCCGTCATAATGTTGGTACAACCAGTTCCATTAAACATTATCTAGCGCATAACTAGATTGGAACAACAGAAAAGTAAAAAGAAAAGCCGAAAGGTGATGAGACAACTCAAGGAAGTCAGGACAGAAGACTCTCGCCGGGATCGCGCTTGGTTTCAACCGCAATAAAGGCAGCTCCGTTCTTATCGAGACCCTTTTCGGCACGAGTGTATGCCTCTTCCGAGCGATCCGTCAAAATATCGAGCTCTTGATCCGATAGCACAGAAGCAGGATCTGTCCCAACATCAAAACGCTCGAAATCGTTTTCGCCCAGGACTTTGCGGAGTTCATCCACGTCCTGGGACGTTGCACTGGGATCAAGCAAAGACCGGAACTTGCCTTTTTGAATCACAAGGCGTTCCAAACGGCGCTTAGAATCGGCCTTCTCGAGCAGGGTCTGTTCCACAGTACCCTTTGTGGCCAATCTGTAAATGATAACCGGCTTGGTTTGACCAATACGATGGGCTCGATCTTGAGCTTGAAGATCTTGTTGTGGATTCCAATCAGAATCGAAAAGAATTACAGTGTCGGCGGCCACAAGGTTGATTCCTTGACCGCCAGCTCTCGTACTCAGCAAGAAAATTTTGTGAGACTTTTTGGTGTTGAATGCTTTGATCTGAGCTTGGCGATCTGACTGCGCAATAGCACCGTCAATCCGACAACACTCCCACGAGCGCAGTTGCGTTGCATACTCCTCGATGATATCGAGTTGAGTTTTGAACTGCGAGAAGATGAGAATTTTATGCCCCTTTCTTAAGAGACAAGAAACCAAGCGGTCTAGCAGTAGCATCTTACCGGATGCAGTGACAAGTGTTTCATCAACCACATCAGACTCCTCCATCCAAGGCCAGTAGAAGTTATGAGGTGAATTGCAGGCGAGTCGTGCCTGCAAAACAGGATTTTGCATCTTTTTCTGCGCAATTTCCTTCTCTGTAATTCACTATTAGCAAATCGAAGATACAATGGGACACAATCAATACATACTCGCTAGTTTCAAGTTTTGTGCCCGCTCTAGCTCCTCGAGCTCACCATCACTGGCCTCGTTCTCCTGTTTTTCCTCCTCTTCAATGCCCAACTCGAGCTTCCGGAGATGTTCGTCGAATTCCCCGTCACTCTGGTCTTGGTAAGTTTGTCGGGTATTGCGACGACGACGCTTAGAGGTCTCTCCGTTACTCGCAGATGTGGGAGTCCGGCTAGATTTGGTGCTTCTGGTCGGGGTGGAGCCGCCGCTGTCACTGCGTTTGCGTTTGGCGCTTTGGGAGCGAGAGGACGAAGCACTCTTACTCTCAATGCGCTCTAGAGCCTTGTTTTCAAGATACTGACGGCCCGTTCCACTGATGATCTCGCGATAAAGATCCTTCTGCTCCAGGGTGAGAGGAGCGTACAAGATGTACTCTCGCTTCTTCGGGAGCGAGTGCTCCACGTCTGTCTTCAAGCGACGCAAGAGAAACGGCTTCAAAATAGCGTGCATGCTAGTTACTAAGTTCCGCTTGCGTTTTTCCACAACCTCGGTTCGGCCGTTGTTATCGAGCACGGATGAGAAGTCAAACCATCCCTCAAAAGAGTTCAGGTCGTTGAACACTTCGGGCAGTAGAAAGTGGAGGAGTGACCAAAGTTCTGAGATATTGTTTTGCAGAGGAGTTCCAGTAATCAACAGTCTGTTTGCCGAATTGTAAGTTAGGAGCTCTTTGATCAGTTTGCAGTTCATATTTTTAAGCCGATGGCCCTCATCCTAGAAAATATTTAGCATCATACGAAGGTAAGCAAAAGAAAAATGTGAAACACGTACGACCACAATGTAACGCCATTGATATTGACCGAGGAACTTCCGGTCATTCATGCAAATCTCGTAAGACGTACACACCACGGGGAAATCCATAGCGCCCTGGTTTTTCATACTCATGTGCTTGCGGCGAATAGCTGCTCGCTTGTTCTTCGAGCCGTGGTAGAGAACGGTGTTGATACCCGGCGTCCACCGGGCGAACTCATCGACCCAATTGCTGACCGTGCTCAACGGTGCAGCAATTAGAAACGGACCCTGGACTTGCTTTTCTTTCAAGAATGCAATCATAGAAATGGCCTGCACTGTCTTGCCGAGGCCCATTTCATCAGCCAAAATACCGCATAGTCCATTCATCCACAAGGACTTCAGCCACTCCAGGCCTTCCAGCTGGTACGTTCTCATTTTGCCTCCGGTTACGAGTTTGGGTTGTTGAGTTGCAACTAGCTCTTGCTCACCTAAAGCGGTGGGGTTTGCCTCATAGTCATCTGCTGCTCGTTCAAGCGCTTGCTGCACGGATGGGTTTTCCTCCGTGACTTCCACATCCGCCTTTTTGAAATAACTGGAAATGGAACTTCCATTGGTCTCAGAGGAACGGATAGGTCGTCCTCGTTTAGACTTTTTATCAGTGGTGTCACGCTCAACATGGGAATTATCTTCCGCGGTCCGAGTTCGAGTAGCCCGACGAGCGGGCTCGGGAGCAGGTTTTGGTTTCTTTAGTTCAGTTGTAGCTTGTTGGTTACGCTTGGCTGCGGCCAACTTCGCATCTTCTTGCTGCTTTTTCATCTTGTCCGACATGATGGCGACAAACACCTGCAGACGCGAGATCATCAGACGATTGTACCAAGAAAAGATTGGTGCGACTGTATACGAACCGAGCTGGTTTTAAGTAAATGCATCAGGGCCTTGGCCTTGCTATCCATTTCTTCAACATCTTCTGAGTCTGCTATTTCCTTCGCTTCGGCTGCAATGTCGTTTGCCTCTGTCGAGGCTACTGGTGAAGAAGCCAGTGTTGACTCCGGCTGCGTAGTCCCCGCGCGGGAGTCCGTCGGCGTTTCGTTCTCCGTAGCCGACATTTTTCTGATGGACTCAGATGTAGAAGCAATGGCAAAAGGAAAGGCTAGGTCGATCGCAAAGTGGTGAGGAGCGTCATGCGAAAGGGATAAGAAGTTGCGGGAAATCAAGTTTCGTTGGGGGAACAGGGAATGGTAAGTGTGATGTAAAACAAAAACAAGAACTTTAAACAATAGCTTGGTGCATCCACGTTTCCAATTATAGGCGCCTTGTAGACCGGATGAACGTGCGCAATTGGATAAAAAAAACGATGATGAAGTCGATGAAAGCGCGACTCGACGCGGCATTTTCGCGATCGACGCACAGACCAAGCTTAGATGAACTACATATGCGATGTGTACTTCTCATTGCCTCGATCTTCTCACAAAACCCTTAGTGAGTACGATGTTTAACCAGTCAGTGAAACTCAGTTGTTTAATTTAGTCCTACTACTACATCTTCCACAAAGACCTGTCAAAAGACCTTGGAGCCAGAAGGGCAGAAGCAAGAACCAATCAATCCAAAACGAAAACCGACTCCAGGGTCTGCCAAATTCACGAAATCGTATTCATTCCTCGGAGATTACAATACAAAGAATCTTGACATATTGAAGCTTCTTGAGCTGATAATTGAAGAAATTGACATATTTTCTTGCCTTGAATCCCTTGTATCCATTCATTAAGGAGAGGAACACTCACCATCCGTTCGCACCAGCATCACATCATCTGTCGAAGCATCAGTGCTCGAGGTATGACCATTGGAAGTGCTCTGAGTTGCAAAATTTTCAGTAGCCTCTTCTTTGACTTGTTCAGCTTCCTCTTCTTTAGTTTCCGAAGGAGGCTTGAAGTAGATAAATTCTCTCATCCAGTCGTCATTGTTGGCACACATTGATTGATTATGTTCCTCCCAAGAGAATAATTCCGAAGACATGGGTTCTTCAACTTTCCCCGCGATTTTCTGGGGAGGTCCGCAATAAAGAGAACGACCAGCACCAACACCATTAACCTGGCGGGTTGGCAAACAGTTGAAACGCTGTTGGGCTTTTGCTTCTGCTTCTACCTTCTCGAGCTTGGCTCGCGTGAGGTGCCTTTTAAATCTGGCCTGGCTCTCAGAGGGGCTCATTAGGAAGGAATCGTCGCCAGGGATCTCTCTGCTTATCGGCCTGATCCCTTGCTGGTCATATGTCGAGGGGAAGCCATGGGGGGAGCCGGTACCGAAGCCAACCTGCGGAGCGATGTTGTACCTCACCCTCGAAGGTGTTTCCGAGTGAACCTCTAGCGGCAGTGACGGACGCAGAGCTGATTGTGACACTTGTCCACGCGATGACAATCCTTGGGGCGTGAATTGCTGGGGGTAAGTGCCTTGAGGGTAAGCAAACCGAGGCATAACAGCTCCAGGCATGACAAAGTGAGGCATGCTGTCTCGGGACCTGGCAACTGGAGGCATAACAACTGGGGACTGACCAAATCGAGGTATAGCAATTCGGGACATCGCATCCTGTGACATAGTATTGTGTGGCGTAATACTTTGAGGCATTGGGCCCGGAGGAACAAAACCTCGAAACACGATGCCAGGGGAGACAACGCTCTGAGGCATTGAACCGGTTTTCTCGTAGTGTCGAAGAGCCGCCGCTCTTTCTAGACCGAGATTCAACTTGACCATTCCGCCATCTCGAACTTTTGTGGTGTCCCACGACATACCATCTTTCGATTTTTCGAAATATTTCCCCCAGTCCCGGAGAGGCTCTTGGTCAGTGCTGTTTCGAACCAAACTCGTTGGGGCTATTGTGTCTCCGCCGATATTGTTGATAAAGTTAACAGTGTCTTGGAGTGCTTGGGCCCGGGCAGGGTCTACCTCAGGTGGAGGCGGAGTGAATTTCATTTCCTCTTTCCACTCGAACTTATCGGGTTCAAATTTGTCATCTTCTTCGGATTCCCTCAGAACCACCAGACTGTCTCCCCAGTCTCCAGCATAGCCGCGGGGCAGTCCACGTCGATGCAAGTATTGTCTGGCTTTGAGGACATCATGAGCTTGGCACATCATCAAGTCCGTGTATTTGTTGACCAATCTCCGAGTTGTATTTCGGGCGATCTTCTTCAGCACCAGCTGAGGTGGCGGCTCAAAAACCTTCAAGTCACTGTTGTCGATATTCATCAGTGCATTGCGTTGTTTCCGTCGCATTTGTTCCAGATGGTTGTTCTCTCGCAGGAGCTGTTTATTACGGATCCTCACGTACTCCTCGATTTTCTCGCGTTCTGCCTTCCCGAGACCAAGCAAGTGACAGAGACTCCAATACGTATGGTCTTTCATCATGTTCTCATAAATCTCCACTTGCATAGCTGGGTTGAGGTCATTCCATCTCGGGTTCGGAATCTAATGCATCCACCCTTATCAGAATCGATCTGTCATACTAAATCACAAAGGTTCCAATGAACCCACCTTTTCAAGGAGCACTTGGGTCGCGTCTGGAAGTTCGTCATCGTCACTGTCGAAAATTGCTGTCACATCATCTGGACTCGAAGGCGCACCCGGGCGAGGCTTGTAAGCGAGATCCACGTTCCTCGCATACGTCGGGTTGTCCATGCTGTTACTAACTATGTGGTTCTCGAGTTGATTCATGGGAATATCCTCCGATTTGCCGGAGACAATTGAAGCAGTGTTTCTTGCTTCATTTCGAATGGGAGGAAGTGATTTAACTTCAGTCGCTTGGCCGGTCTCAGGGGGTTGACTGGCCTTAGGGCTTTTGTTGCCTCTAGATGTCGGACCTGGTGTGCCGGGTTTATGAGTCGAACGCGGCCTGGGCCTATCAAGGGAAGGGAAAGCGGCAGGTGGTAGGTCTGGATTGTACTGCACAAAAATTGGCCTGCTCCTTTTATGTGAGCGAGATCTGCCCGATTCTCCAAGCTCCAGGGGCTCTCCATCATCGGGCTCATCGGTGCCTGGACGTAGAAAGCTCCGTGATGGCTTCTCGGACTCATCTTCGCCATATCGCACTGGCACGCGGATGGTTTCGCGAAGTTTCATGCCGCTCATTATGGCGGCTAGGTGAGGTGTTGTGGATGCGGATTGGTGATAAGAAAAGATGCGCTGATGCGTGCCGGGGGTTATGGAGTCGTAAAGACGTGTCAACGTTAAACGGCATGCATGCGTTTCATCGGTGACAAAAATGTGATTGTGAATAGGACGTGCGTGTGGCCTGTGGAGGTGTTGCGCGTGATAGAAGAAGAGTTGAAAGGAGGAGGAGAAAGACAGTGTTGAGACTCAAAGAGTGTAAAATACGTACAAAAAGACTCGAACTTTCGAAATGAAAAAGGTAAAGAAGTGTAATTGCAATAGTCGGACTGCGACAAAATCATTGAGACTGGTGCTTGAGCTTGAGCTTGAGCTTGAGCACATCAACCAACCCGTATGAGCCTTGCAACTTGCCAAACTCAGATATTGACTCCATATTTGGTTTTCCCTTTGCAAGTCCCAACGAAGTAAAGTGGATCTCCATATTACGATTTGAAGGGTATGAAGATGGGAGGTTCATAGCCAGGGGCTTGAATATCTATGAAGAGTAGTAAGGTGCAGCCGTTTGGTTGATTAAAAGAACGAAAAAATGAAGCACAAAGGTTAGTGAACAGACAACCCTATATGGCTTTGGGTCATTATCACTATCTGGCATGGAAATATTTCTTATAACTAATGTGACTAGGTGCACACTACTTACTACACATGTGCTGTCGATACTATAAGAAGCTCTGTAAATCTTTTTAGTCTGTTTTCTTTTTCAAGATATATGTTTGGAATCGATTTTGGGACCAGTTCCTATGTATCTTATCTTTAACATCGAGGGGATATTATGGAGGGCCAGTGATGTGTTTTAGATAGTACCAACTGTGGTGTTAATCATTATATATTGCGGAAATGTCATTAATCAAATATTCATACAGGTACCGATGAAGCTGTGGTATTAGTTCTACTTAAGCATAAGCAATCGAAGCACTGGTTTTATAGGAACATTGGAAGTATTATTTGCCAAACAAATGATCGATCATGGCAATGGACCAGACCATTTCCATTTTCATTCATCTTCCTGTACCTAGGTAGCTAGAGGGGGATTGCTTCTTATTCATTAAGCTAGCCGTGGACATAATAAACCAGTATAGAAAATTCAGGGGTGAATCGAAACTTCAGTCTATACCACACGGTCTTGGAATGGAGCACTGGGTTTCCTTTCAAAGAAAGGATCCCCGTCCCCATCAACTTCCATTTCATCATCATCCATGAGATGGTCATCATTCCTATGGTCTTGGAAGCTTCGTTTCTTCGTAAGAATGGGCGATGAGGACGGGGGTGCAAGTGTAGCAGCTATATGTGGAGGAATAGTGTGCCTGGCACGCTCAACATCACGCTTAGCAGAAAGGATGGACTCGAATGCCGCCAGAATTCGTTTCATAGGATCTTCAATGGAGGCACAGAAGCGACGTTGTTGAATCATGTAGGTGGCTTCGGCGGCGTTGATATTGAGCATGACCATTACGTAGGCAATAACAACGGCAGCAGAGCGCTCATTTCCCGATTCACAGAATACAAGCACTTTCCTCTTCTGTTGTAGACCGCTTAGCACCATAGCGTTAGGGTTCTCATCCTCTCCGGCTAAATGATCATTGATACGACGAATAGCGCGGGGAAATTCGGAAATGAGCTCTTGATTGTCGAGAACATCAACCGTATCTGCCATGATACCGGCCGCCGCCGCTGCCTTATCGCCCGAGACCAAGCGCGCCGGGGCCGATTTTCGACTTCGAATTGCAAGAAGTAGAGTAAAGCCTTGACTGCGAACGTATTCGATGTCGCGCAGGCATGATAAAGGACCCAATGACAAGAAAGGGAGGACAGATTGAGCCTGTCGGCGCATCTCGTAATTCCACTGAGAGACGTTGAAACGCCGGGTAAATCCGCCTAAATCAACGCGATTGAAGAATCCTTGACAAACGAAGTCACCCTCTGCAAAGTCGTGGGTATCGCGATTGAAAATTTTTGCGTCTACAATGACAGTACTATTGTCACTGTCATTGTTGCCGATGCCATATGGCACGCGGTAAGGTGGACCCCCTGGCGTTCCGCTAAGGTTTGAATATCGCGGGGTAGAAATGTACTCTTGCGTGCGAACGTAAGGTGACTGGCTATCCAGGGACATAGGCACCTCTCCCAGAGAACTGTCGCTAGACATGGTGCCGGGCGAGTGCTGTCACTATAAAACTTTACTTGACGAACGCGTCAAGATTTTCAAGATTCAGAGTCGTATTGACCTTGTTGACTGCTCAAGCGAACATGAACAGCAGATAGTCTCTTCCGTTCAAGCAAATACAAGACTCTGAACAACTTCCGCGAAAAATTCAGGACGGTCACTCAATGTAGTGAGTGAGCTGTGGGAATCTCAAGTGGGTGTGTTGAGGCTAAATTGCCATCGCCCGATTGCGTCAAGGCTCCCCAAGTTGACAAAGGCCGAGGAAAAGCGATCTTCGAAATCAAGTCTTCAATTTCTTCAATGCTTTCCAGTACAGTCAGTCTCTATGAGGGGGAGGCTGGAAACCCAGGTTAGGTAAGTCTTTATCGTTCTGGGCGGCGGAGGATCCAGGGCTGGCGAGGAGCCGCACTACAGTCAAAATTAGCGACATATCTGAAATAACTAAATGAAGTGAATATGGGCCTCTTCTGAGATATATCTCAACCCAAATTGAGGGGCTACCATCAAATCGGACTAACCACAAACAAAAAGTGCATTTGATTCGCTCTATAACTCATGCTTAGAACGTGGCTGTCAAGAAGCGAGAATAACATATAGAGTATTAGTTTTGTCGTATACGTCACTATTGTAAGTCCTGACATAGACTACCTAGGTATGACTCTGCGCAAGGCAGCCTTGTCTATACTAAATTTTCTGCACGTCAAGGAGGTTTACTGATACGAGAAACATAAAACAACATACTCATGTGATAACGCGTTGCGCCGTCCGCGTGGAGTTCGGGTAACAACCGTAGCCTGACGCGATCCACGCAACAATGAGTCACAAATAGTGCTATCAGCCAAAGAGTCATCTTCGTTCTCCGAGAGACTCCGTCAGAGATTAATGCCTCATAGGCTCCTGAGGCAAGCCACGACTTTTGTTGGGAGCCCGCATCACCGCGGCGTGTCTCCTAACTCCGACCATCCAGATGTGGACGCCGCCAGCGGGGCCACATTAGTTCCGAGGCCGTGCGCACTTTGAAATATGTCGTGGGAACCTCGTGAATATCCAGAAGGTAAGGGAGCCGAGGAAGTGTGGCTGAAATGGATTCCCAGACTAGTATCGCGCTATCGCGTGGAAGCCTAGAGGCCTCGGCGCCTTAGGAATTAAACTATTATCGCGTTCATTGGCTGCGCTATACTTCGACTGTCAGGCTTGCATCTTAATGTCTTGAAGAGCTATCTGAGCCTTACGATCGATATATGGGCTGGAGCTTACTGGGTTATAGTAGGCAAATTTACGAGTAAATGTTGTTGGCAACAAAAATAAAAGATGGACTTAATAGTGAAGATTGAGTGGGAGTACCGGAGTAAAACTAAAAGATACTTCGAATCAAGACCGGGTATATGAGACGAGATAACACTGAAAACCGCCTCTGGAGACAACACCGCCTGACCCATAGTTATCAAATCAAGTCAAGCTAGAACGCCGTAAAGATATGGGCCGGTCAAAAGTTACAGAGGAACGCATAGAATGCATCCTCGGGACTGCTTGTGACCGACCCAAAATGCTGCATAAATCAAGAGAACAAACAAGAAAGCAAAGTCACATTATTTTGAAAGCCACCCCGGTTGCTTCGATAAACGCCCACATGATGCATAAGTCAAATCCGTAGACATTCTGATTTGGAAAAACCAATTAAACGGGAGGAGCGGCAGCAGACTGGGCATTCGACTGCGAAATATCCTGAATCTGGGGGGCGGGAGGGGACTGATGCGGCACACTAGCCTGTTGAAGGCCAGCGACGATACGCTCCAACTCCAAAAGACGACGGTCTTTCTCTTGGACCTCAAGACGTAGACGCTTAACTTCGTGGCGCAAATCGGTTCCATTCTCGTCGGCTTCGGTAAGGGTCTCGTGAGGGGAATCGTGGCGACGCTTCATGCCAGTCGCAGGCAGGGAGGGGGCACGGACGGCCTCAACACTCTCAAGTTCGGGGCGATCCCAAGGCATATCGACAACAATAGAAGGACCTTCATCGCTATGCATATGACGACGGCGAAGATGCTCTCGGAGGTTCTCCTGGCGCGTGAACCCATTACCGGTGCTGCGGTTGCAATCGCCGTAAGGGCACATAAGTGCCTTCTTGGTATCAGTGTTCTTCTTGTGGACTTCACGCTGGTGGCGCAAGAGACCGCCAGAGTAGGTGAAGCCCTGGATTTTGTCGCAGTTGGGTTCATAGCACTTGTAGGGGCGGTCATGTTTATCCATGTGTTTACTGGAGTCGCGTTAGTATTTGGCGCAGCGAGAAGAGTCCATGAGAGAATTGTACTTACTTCCATTCGCAAGGACGACGGAATGTAGGAGGCACAGCTCCACAATCTGGGTGGTCACAGAAGATTTGACCCTCGGAGTTCTTGGGAGGATCGCGGGCGCGTCGAACCGAAAGACGCGGGCGCGCCCCGTCGATAAAGGCCAAGGACTGAGGTTCGTTCATTCTGGCAATTGGGGACGAGGATTCAGCTGTAGAGGCAAGAATAGATGCTGCGAGAGCGCCGTTGGGACCTTCACTTCTTGGGCTAGGATAGTCAGACCCTTCACCCATATCGCGAGAAGTAGATACCCCACACCAGTTGAGGGGATCGTGATAGAAGAGAGATACCGGAAAGACGCGTCAATTCACAACAACAATAAAATTCAGAATCACTGAATAATTGAGAAGAATGATAGAATAAAGGAAGGAAGCAAGGTTAATAAAATAGATTATTCAAATGAATTGGTGACAGCTCATCAGATGTTAGATGGGTACTGATTTGAGTGAGATGGGAGTTGCCAGAGTTTTCAGGTAGCAAGGCATCCGCAGGCTATTTATACCGCTTGCGTCAGGTGTCCTGTGCGCCACTTGTGGCGCAATGATCCCTGCTTCTTTTCTGTCCCTGCAGATTCTTTTTTGCTTGCTTTTTTTTATTTCTAGCGGAGTTGCCGAAAAGCTGAGTTATTCACAATGAAATCATCATCGGTTTTTATATACAACATATATGCACGTCAAAACATGGACATTACTGTTTATTAATGCTCTTTCGGTCCGGCGGAAAATGAGGGGCCAAGGCTTCGGAAGCACAGTGACTCATATTCCTGACCAACATTGTATGACTGTATACTCTGTACCAATCCTGTTAGCCAGTTTAATGGATCTAGTTTAGGTATCGAAGCAAGATATCAGGCAGCCATCCGGAATGTTCGTCGCCACATATAATTCTGACAAATCCTGTGGCGGTGAGGTCCACGTGACTAAATCTCGACCTGATCTCCGCCTGATAAGTCACGTGTTTATCAAATCCATGCTTATGTAAACATGTGGGCAGTGCGCTTCTGCAATGTATGTTCGCCATGTCCGATGTTAGGCTGCAAAATTTGCTGCAGTTGAAGCGAGCTCGCGATCTTCATGTCCACGCACTTGCTTCTATTAAAAGGAACGCTTGTCAAGGATATATCCGCTAGGAGAAACCAGAGGGCTATGCACTTGAACTTGATTAGAACCAAGACCTCGAATTCTAATGCACTTCAAAAGGCAAATAGAAGAGAAATGCAAGCCAACAATGGCTATGCCTGAGGATCAGTAGCAATCAATCTTGCAGCCTGGATGCTTAATGCTGAAACAGGTCGAGAATTTGCCGTCGGCCCTTTTGGTGGATGCATAGGGAGACCGAGCGATGGCGAAAACTTACAGCCTACATACAATATTCCGTTACAATTCAATCAAAGATCATTTCCCTCGCCTGGAAGTCCGCTCTATAGTCTGTTTTCTTTGCCCTGAAACCCCAAGAATCGACCTGAAACAGCTCTTAGCAAGTGAAAAATAGTAGCGCCTAATTAACACTGCCTCCGGTCTTACGTAGGAGAGCCTTTGATACTGTCCAAGTCTCACTAAATGCTGATCTATTTTGGGAAGACAAGCTCTCAGTCTTCATTGATTCTATTTGGCCGAAGGGAAACCACATCGACGCTACTACGAGGCCCCAGAGTTGCTATACGACCAAGTGGACAACGCCTCAGCTCGCAACGGCAAAAGAAAAGCCATCTTCAACGTGGACCAACGGAAACAGCCCCAAATCCATAAACACCCGCCACATCAACGTACTTGGGAAATACGGTGACTTGTCGTCTACCAATGATGTGTGCTTGGTACTCACTGTTTTCACAGCTCCACCGGGGAGCTTGGAAAGTTATGTATCTCAAGGAATAAATTGCTTATAGTCAGTCACGATTAGAAACCAATAGAGCTAGATAGCCAGGGTATATATCTATATTCACAAGACCAAGACCAACTGCACTTATGATGATAGCTCTTGATACTATTCGCCATAACATATCGGTTATGGCCGATGGCGTATAATATGACACACACCTGCTGGGTTTCATAGCGGCTGGATAATCTGGATAAAATCTAGGCACGACGTCTAAACACCGCATTGGGATGCTCAGAAAATATCACTAAGGTAGCCATACCCAAATACGGAGCCCAGGCCTAATGCCACAATCAAGGCCACCTTTGAAGTGGAAACATTAGGCATCAAAATTGGCCACGATCAAAGGGCACTGAGTATTCTTGTTTATCTCACATGGATAGATTCTCCACTTTGTATATATTGAGCAAACAGTAGCAAGGAGCATCACATCCATTACGATTTTCGATTTGTTGAGGTCAAAATGGAACAATACGGTACATACTAATTCGACGCGGCATTTGTGCTACAGGTCCGGGGAAAGCTCCACAACCCCCATTGCCACTTATCTCCTTCGAAACTTCCATTTTCGCAATTCCGTCCATGTTATCTTCCGAGTCATATGGTCGTAGGATGCTACGAATTATTTGAATATGAACCATATACGCCACCCAATGTTCCTTCGCCAAAGCAGGCTAGTTTTCTGGGCTACCAGCCGCTCACTCGGTGGCACCACTTGCCTTCGAGCCTGCCATACAAAGAAAAACAAGCAGCCAAAAAGCTCCGAGCGCGAAAATCGAACGTGTCAGAACCAGGACTCTACGACACGCTCTTCAGCCCGACCCCTTTCCGCACTCCAACTCCCCTTTTGGACTTGTAGATCCACCTGGAGACGAGCAGGTATCAACACCCTCCGCTGTCTGGTCGGCTGTACAGCTGGCGACTTTTCCGCACTATGGATTCTTCAAACCTACTGCCCTGAACTGGGCATGGGCAGCATCATGGCCATGTCTAGTGAGCCATCCCTTGAACGATTCAAAATTTAGATGTTGAGCATTTTGACTAACAAAAGTTGACAGTGGCGTCTGGTATCACAACTTCAATAATCCTTGAGACGATCCTGCTTCGTCGCGGAGCTGACCAGCTCTCTTGGTCGAGGGCTGCTCGAACCGCCATGGGAATGAGTATGGTTTCAATGCTAGCTATGGAACTAGCAGAGAATGCGGTCGACTATCATCTCACAGGCGGCATAGTTTCATTCGGAGATCCACAGTTTTGGCTAGCAGCTGTCGTCTCCATGGGTGCTGGATATTTGGCACCACTGCCGTATAACTACCTACGGCTGCGGAAGTATGGGAAAGCGTGTCATTAAAGTTCAATATCGCTCAAGAAGTGTAACATAAGGTCTTTTCTAATATTACTTTCTGCATTCAATCATCGCGTGGCGGCTAACTAATTGTCGAACGATTAGATCTTGGTAAATTTCAGATCAGCGAGGCGAGATGGGAAACTTGAAGCTGGTTTCTGGACTTGAAAAGGTTGATTGAATCAGAGATAAAGTAATAAACAGAAGGTAATGAGGATTGAGTATGAAGTGGTGTATTATTTTGATTGAACCTTGGAAGATGAGGAACAATGGGAAGATAGAACACGCCTCCCACGGTGACTATCGGGAGCAAGATCACTACGAAGATCACTAGTCGAGTACCATCATCGCTTTGTTATAGAAAGCTGTTATACTTTGTGTATACATTTTCCATTACTATGCAAATTTATATGGAGAGATGGGGGCTTTCATTTCCACAAAAGACGAGCAAAAGGTGGCCGTCTAGATGTATCCAAAAACGACAAAGAACTTCATTGATCGTAGAAATTTAAACAAAAACACATGTTTCTGCAAAGGAGAGTATTTCAAAGCCTCTGGACGTTTCTGCTCCCTCGTATTTGGTCTAACACCCACTTGATCTCCTTGGCGACAACATCAGGCCTCACAAGCTGCACGTTATGACCACAATCATTTAAATAAACGAAGTGAGTTTTTGAAGACAGTCTCAGTTGATCTTTACTCAGGCCCTGCGTAGCCGATTCCCACTGATCCAGTAACTTTCGAAACGCCCTCCGCTGTATCTCCGTGCCATTGCCAGCTTCAACGCCAGCGGCGTAAATCCGCTCGTAATCCCTTGCGCTGTTGCACCGAACAATACTCAGGGGCTTCTCGCCCATAGCCTGTCTGTCCAATTGCTTCTTCTCCCTGAGAGCTCGACACACCTCGAAAACGGCATCCCCATTGGCCTCAGCCTGGGCAGTTTCATCACCGCGAGCCATATCGATAGCCCTCTGACGCCACTGATCCCGCGATAACTTTGCATCTGCCCGTAACCCCGTCACCAGGCTCATCTTCAAGTTCCCAAGAACCGCAGCAATGTTTGGATCTGGGACTTGGAAGTACTCGAGATGTCTCTCGGTGGCGGCATCAATAAGAACCATTCCACAAACCTCGTTTGAATAGAGGTGATAGTATTCGCGTGCGATGATACCGCCGTAGGAATGGGCGGCTAGAAGAAATGGCGGCTGTTGTTTTGTAGCCTGCAAAAGCTTGTGTAGCTCTACCGCAGATGTCACTGCAAGTGGAGGGTTGGGACCGCGCTGACTGTTCCCGAGGCCCGAGCGGTCATATAGAAAGATTTGTGCAAAGTGCGCAACCAATGGTTCCACGGCTGTGTATGATGAGGCGACGTCGCCCGACCCCGGAATGATTACCACCAGTGGCTCAAGGGGTGCGCGCGGTGGTCCACTAATGGAAAACGAGAGGCGATGCGTGCCAATGGAGACCAATATGCTTTCCATCTCTTTTGATCGATAGGTTTGGCTGATTGGGGTAACCATATGTTACTGAAGTTGAGATGGTGAGTCCGATGGGGAGCTAAAAGCGGGAAAGAAGCAGCCCTAATTATGTAGGCATTATTATAAGCCGAGGAACATTCCAAGGATGTTCATAGCTTATCACGGTGAATTATTAGCATTGGGAATATTCAGTTAGGAAGGCGGCCCGTGTTTAAAAAGTCTCAAAAAGATCCTAACAACTACCATACAGAGTCCGCCGTCTGTTGAGTGAACGGAGACTTATCTACAAGTGTACGGTGAAGGAGAATTTGGGGTCATAGTTGGCATTGATTGTGTGAACTAGATACCTGGCCACCTAAGAGATAAAGATAGCAAGCACAAGACATACATGGGTAGCCAAGGCAAGGGTAAATTCGCAGAGTCGCCCGGTAATTGCTACAGGGGCGATCTGAGCTGGGCGTCGGCAACCGACAGGTGGGTGTTCAGTAAGTTTCAGGAGCCGAAAGATACTGAGGGATCATTGTCGGTCACCCCATCCCCGAAAATCACGCCTTTTAAGAATGTCACAGTGACAATGGCGAGGAATCAGACCAAGGGAACTATCCCTCGACCGACAAAACGGTGCTATTTTGGCAGGCCAAGAGGACCCAGGCACGAGCATCCGGAAAGTCTTCGGTTTGTCAACCCATTGTTCTGGTCGGCAGTATTAATGGGCGGGCAGACTCTGTTGCAAAGAACCTTGATAGTGTGCACGGAATTTACTTCCCCGAGCGAAAAGACGGGCGAGCCTGTTGGAGGTTGCCTCGGGACTTATTGAACAAGAAAGTAGTCACTCAGTCATAGTTGCCGCCGACCTGGCTAGCGAAAGCAGTGGACACACTGCGAGCATCATCGTCGTCGTGGGGGATCTGGCCTGGCGCACCGCGAGTCACACGGATACTAGCCGAACTGCCTCCGAAGATGCTACCGTTATCAGGAACTCCAGCTCGGTAAGGCTCGCGTCCTCCAGACTCTACATAGCGCTTCAGTCGATCAGATTGACTGAGACTCGGTTGCTTGTTCATATCATTGATGCTTAGACCGGCGAGACTGACACCGCCCTGATCAATGCTTCGCCCATCGGCAACGCTGCTGGTGACATCGGATTCGGTAGCAGCAACTGACTCCCCAGCCACGCTTGGTGCTCCCTTAGCACGACCACCGTTGGCTCGGCGATTGCCAGTAATCGAAGGCCAAGCCTCGCCGAAATTCTGGAACATAGGAGGATAGCCAGATGGAAGGCCAACACCGCCAACAGCGGAGCCGTGAACGGAGGAGACATCATCGGGAATGTAGCCGACCACAGAACCAGAGTCGTGGTACTCATTGCGGTGACCATTGCGACCATTCACTGCATTACTCTGAGGGTTAGATGCTTGACTGAAAGACATTTGGAAACGCTGAGGTCCTCTGTAAGCTTGCTTGGGTCGGCTGAATTGAATCAGGGATTCCTGAAGGTTGGACAAGGGTCCTTCTACCAGGCAATGACGTTCCTTGAAATGTTGCAAAAGGCAGTTCCACAGGGGATGCTTCGACAAAACCTTGGGGTTACCGAGGATGACCAAACCGAATCGAGCGCGGGTAAGAGCAACATTGAGACGGCGAGGGTCACTCAGGAAACCAATGCCTTGGTGGTCATTCGAACGCACACAAGAGAGGATAATGTAATCTTTCTCTCGGCCCTGGAAAGCATCAACCGAGGCGACTTCAATCTCTTTGTAGTGCTCTTTTTGAAGGTACCGTTCGCTTGCATCGAGCTGACAATGTAGCTCCGCTGTCCCTCATACGGGGTGATGATACCAATGTCCTTGGGCTGCACACCTGCCTTGAAGAAGCGTGTAACAATCTTCTCGACGTTTGTGGCTTCGGTGCGATTGAGGTACGAGGTTCCTGATGCGGAAATTTCTTCATTGCCCAGGTTTGACCAGAACATCATGGGATCATCAATAATCGGCCAAGGGAAATCAACGTCGCGGCGAACACGATCGGCGATGGTGATACCGTTTTGCAGTGAGCCCTCGTAGAACATGTTTGACGGGAATTCTGAAAGGCACGGGTGCATACGGTACTGGACGTTCAAACGAATGGGAGAGCAACCTAGGATAACGAGGCGCTCAAACAGAGACTGGTTCAAACCAGCCTTGGCGGCCTTTTTGTTCATGATGACGGGGCCGAGCTGCTGGTGATCTCCGACCAAGACAACTTGCTTGCAACCGAGAACCAGCGGGATCATACACTCAGGCTCAGCAGATTGAGTGGACTCGTCAATCAGGACAGTGCGGAACTTGCCCTTAGAAAGACGGGGGTCGCCTGCACCAACACAGGTGCAGCAGATGACATCGGCGTTAGTCAGAATTTCACGTTCGGCGGATCGAGTAAGCTGCTTCAAGCGCTTTTCATCCTGGCTGGATAACTCGCCAAGTTCGGCTTTGAGCTGGTTGAGCTTGACCAACTCGATGTTGCTATCATTCATACGGACCTGTTCGTGCAGTGAAAGGAATCCAACGGCAGACTCCACATCTTCACGAGATTTGGCAGTCACTCGCACGGTCTTCAGTCCCGTGAGATGGATACGTTCACACAGCTGATCAACAGCGACGTTAGAGGGGGCGCAAACAAGGACTTGGCCTCCATTGATCTTGGCAAGGTGATAAATGATAGTGGCCGAAGTAACGGTCTTACCAGTTCCAGGTGGGCCTTGAATCAGACTGAGCGGCCGCTGAAGAACACTCTTAACTGCGTTGATTTGACTACCGTTCAGATCCGGCAGACCTGGAACACTGAATTTTTTGGGAATTTGAGTCTTCATGGGGGCAGCTGCAACCTCATGACCAAGAAGGCGATGGAAGATGTAGCCTGAGACACTCTGCTCGTCAACAGCAAATGTCTTCATAGCGCATTGCATGCGGTCAAAAGATGTGGATTTCCATACGTAGTCGGCCATGAAGTTGTGCGTGCATTCGGTGGGCACTGACTTGTGGTCGCCCTTGGCGCGCAATTCGATAGTAACTTCATCGGATTGGTTGTTCGGAATCTTGATAACGTATCCCACACCTTCCCATTTGGGACGCAGTTCACCATTGTACTTGAGGCGCATCTCATCGCCCACAGCCAGTTTCACATCTCCCAGCTCAAGCTTGGGTAGAACAAAGCTTGCAAGGTGTTTGTTATTGAGACCAAGATCCCAACGCACAATCAAACCATCCTGCGATTGAGATTCCTTCAACTTACGATCGTAATCGGCTTCAATCTTAACAAGCGGCCCAAAAATGTTCTGGTACTGGAATGCATCGTCATAGCGAAGGAGGACGGGCGCAGGTTCATCGTCTACTGCGGTGGCTTTTTCTAAATCTTCCAAAGTCGCCTGCGAGTTCTCTTTCCACATTTCTTCTAGTTTCGCAATCAACTGGGGACTGAGGTGGCGAGCTCGGAGTTGTTCCTGGTCAGTGGGCGCTCCCACAAGCCAAGGGAGAAAAGAACGGTCTTCGATAAGAGGTTGCCAGCGCGAAGTATCCCAGTTCATATCCTTGGAAGACGGCATAGATGCGCATGGCTGTCGGCAAAGAAGAACAACAACGGTATCAGACTTTGCGGGAATAAAGCCGAGCAAAAAGACATTCTTGGTACCACAGTTGTAGCACTCTAAGATGGTGTCACCCAGAGAGGAACCCGGGTGCAGCTGCACCTCCTTATGGCGAGCTCGAACGAGATGGTTAACGATATGGGAGGAGGAGGTATTGCCACGTGCACTGCAGAACCACTTATTGCAAGAAAGACATTTGACAACACTGCTCGGGTTATGGATGCCACAGTATCTAGAAGATATCAGTAAAGTATATGCCGAAATTGAGATGCAAAAACTCACGCGCATGCATGAGCAGGAAGCTCTATTTCTTCGTCGCCGTTCCCTTGGTTTTTCTGGTGCCCATGAGTGGGTGCACCCACTGTACTTTCCAAGTCGTCGTCCTCAAAGGTGTCAGAGCCTTCATCCTCGTCGTCATGGCGCCGGGGGCGTGCGCGACCAATCGCATTTGAATCATGTTCGTCAATCTCAACTCCCGCCGAAGGATCTTCCGGTTGATAGCTCATGATGTGTGACGAGACCAAATGTTGAGTGATGGCTTGAACTGATCAAAGATCAAGGTAAAACAGAACAATAAGGCGAGTTGAACCAGAATGAAATTTATAAGTCGTAGGCGATAAAAGAGCGTAGAGGACAATCCGGTCGTCCTGTTGGTTTATTGGAGGTTGGAAATCTCCAAGGCGCCTGAGGGGCAAACGATCGATCTGGATCTAGACGTGGGATTAGCAACGGCTTTTCAGGATAAGTCACTTGGATTCATACATCCAGTCCAACTCTTTGTCTCAGAGGACCGACAAAAGAGAGTTGATGAGTTTGTCTCGAAGGATGAGCAAAAAGGGCTCTCCGCAACTGCCCAGATTCTTTATCGGTGCGATCCCACTACGGCGACCCACAAATCCCACAAGCGCAGCCCCGGAGTTAAGAAAAAAAAAGTTGCCCGCTCATCTTCTATCAAACACTTCTTTGGTCAAGTCGATTCACAATTTCACCTTCAAAATGCTGGTGAGTGCTATACAATCCAAATAGTTCCGATATCTTACTTACTTTAAATAGCGCCGCCAAACCCGCGAGCGTCGCGATTATCTCTATCGGAGAGCTTTGCTGCTTCGCGATGCCTCCATTGCCGAGAAGAGAGCACAACTCAAGGCCTCCTTGGCTTCTGGAAAGCCCCTGGACCCCACTATTGCGAACGATAAGTCGCTTCGGGAAGACTTCAAATATGACGAATCTAAGGAAAAGGAGGACTCTGAGATGGACATCGACGATGAATACATTCTGACCTCCGGCATTATTGACCCTCGCCCTCTGGTCACCACCTCTCGCTCTCCATCTGCACGTCTCGGTGCATTCGCCAAAGAAATTCGTCTTCTTCTCCCTACCTCCATCCGTCTCAACCGTGGAACTCTCGTTCTTGGAGATCTCGTCTCCAGCGCAACCTCCGCGGCTCTCACTGACATGATCCTTCTCCACGAACACCGTGGAACTCCCACTGCAATGACCATTTCTCACCTTCCCCACGGTCCTACCGCCAGCTTCTCCCTTCACAACGTTGTCCTTCGCCAGGATATTCCAAATGCTGCTCGTGGCACAGTCTCTGAGAGTTACCCCCATTTGATCTTCGAGGGCTTCAAGACCAAACTAGGTGATCGTGTTGTTCAGATTCTGAAGCACCTTTTCCCCCCACGTGAGACTGGAAAGGTCGGCAACCGTGTTGTGAGCTTCGTGTGCAAGGATGACAACATCGAGGTCCGGCACCACGTTTTCGTCAAGACTGGGTACAGGGATGTGGAGTTGGCTGAGGTTGGGCCTCGCATGACCATGCGGCTCTTCGAGATCCGGGGAGGCACTTTGGAGAAGGGCTCGAGCGGCGACATTGAATGGGCCCTCACCCAATACACGAGGACCAGCAAAAAGAAGGATTACCTGTAATCCTCTAGAAATTCGCATCATATTGGCTGTTGTGTTTAAAAAAGGCAAAGCTTAATGCCGTTACACTGTTGACTGGCGTATTTGGTGTTAGAGGGCAATTGGAAGGGTTTCTTTCCCATGTTATTTTTTTTTGTCATTTATACCCTGTTTCAACTACATGGATTATTTATTATGAACCTATAAACAGAATGCGAAGGAATCAATGTATGTCGTATGGTGTGCTACCAATGCATTAATGCATTAAACATCGAAGCTTTGGTGGAAGCCGTCCGGTTTGGGACAATATCGATTACGGAACCGCAGGTCCGCACATCGGTCAGAGAATGGATTTAACATAGGATAGAGCAAAAGGTAAGTCAATATTTAGTGCTAGAGCGGACCAAAAGAACATGATTATATGTTTTCACGGGCAGCATCAAATTAGCGGACTAGGTGCCACCTACAAGTACATATCTCGAAAAGGGTATGATGATACATGTGTAGTTATAGTCAACTTGTACCATAGTTCTTGATTTTGATGTGAACATATGTATAAGGTCACTTACTAGGATTTGATCATAGCAAGATTATTTGAAAGTGGGGTTTGTACCCAGTTCATTGAGGAATAGATAATACTAAATAAACCCAGCTGATCATGACAAGGGCTATCTCAAGACCATTCTTACTGGTTGTCCTCCTCAATCGCACTGGCCTCATTGGCCTCATTCTCTCCATCAGCTCCAGACTCGGCTGCGTTTCCTTGATCTTCCATCGAAACATCCTCATCCCCAGAGTCAGGCTCATTATCATCACATCCCGGTTGATCATCCGTTTCTTGAGGGCTCACAGCTCTAGTCCCCCTAAGATAATCGCCGAGAAGATTTCTCTTACGTTCAAGACAGAACCAACCTTCGTGGATGGGCAGGGTTTGACCATCAGAACCCACCTTTGGAGCTGGCATCTGCCCATCGTCCCTCTCTTCCCATTCTTTGCCAGTCTTCTCGATGAAGAAATTGTTAAACTTCACCCGTGCAATCTCAATCGTGCTCTTTGGCAGTGCCAGAACTTCGATGGTCGCTTTGCCCACGCGGCTGAATTTGGCGTAAGTGGAATAGGTGTGAGGTTCAGTGATTGTCTCGAAAATCTTGTATTGATCAATATCTTTGCGTAGATGTGTCTATCAGATCAGATATTACTCACAGTCAATTGATACTTTTCCCGGGCTTTTGTTGGTGGCTTCGATGGGCGAAACAAGGTGGTACTATAGACCACACCTTGTTTGTTCATGTAAGTTCGACGCACAGCTAGATGAGGGTCAACCATAGATCTTTGTTTGGCATGGATATACTAACGCTTCTTTTTTCCCTTTGGAGCCAAGAAAGGATCTGCTGCTAGTATTGTATCAGTATAATGATATATAATTCACACCAGCAAAGAAACCTAGCTGTCGTTTCGGAGCCACGGGTTTGCTCTCCTTTTTGGACACATTTTTGGACACCTTGGTTGGTGTGATCTTGATTGTTTTGTTCTCCGGCTTGCTAGTGCTCATGAGATTTTGGAGCAGATATGGTTCTTCTGACTTGGGTTTCCGGGTGGCTGCCTGTAAGGAGTCTTCAAGCCAATCGTACGTGACGATCTTGACGGTTCCTAGCATTTTGGCATTGTGGACTGTATGGAGTCAATTAGCTTTGCCCTCACATGTCCAAAGGAATCATGCCTACCCAAAGGCGCGTTTTCCTTGTAAGCCTGCTTTGTGGCAATGAGATGTGTAACGCTGGGATTGACGTCTCGAGAGAATTGTCCTCCGTTCGCACGAATCCATTGAGGGATTTTGTCGCGTAGATTTCCGTCAAATTTGCCTGCCATAGAGGCATGGATCCTATGGAAGGTTCGACCCATTTTGAGTGGCACTGCGGTTTGGGAATAGGATTTGATTATGCTTAGCCTCGATTGTTGGGCACTCACCGCTGGCCGTCGAAATCGCTCTGACAAATGCGCAAATGTATTTCAAAAGTGGAATCAAGATGGCAGTTGTCCACAGTAGGAAGGCTCGATAGCCTTTATCGGCCGCCTATCTGGGCACTCTTGTTGTGTTCGTGATAGAAGTAGAAGGAAAATGAAAGTTCAAGAAAAAATGGAAATTCAAATAGCCGAAAGAAATTGACGTTGGCAGCAGCCGGATCTTCTATTTTGGATGGATAAATACCAATGCATAGAGTGCTGGCGAGGGAGAGATAGCGAAGGAGAGATGGTGAAAGAGTGAGAAGCACTGTGATGGTGGCGGCAATCAAATGTGACTTCTTAGAGAAGAAACAGGATATGAAATGAGACAGAAATCAGCGTAGTTGAAAGGATAGAAACAAGAGATACGCTGCCACCGAACGAATCCACAGCCAGGAAACCGAAAGTTAGATAATAGGAAAGTTAACAAAAAGCCGAAATGAATAAAAAACCGAAATGAATAAACTTTCTATGAATGAGATATTGTTCATGCTCATTTAATGTGAAGAAATGTAGTGGAATGAAGAAAAAAAAGTCATCCCCGAGTATGCAGATACATACCCCCAGGCCAATCACTGCCGAATGCTTTTAACTGCCTTGACAAAAGCTCGGATTTTGTTCAAATCTTGAACGCCGTTTGTCTCCACGCCCGAGCTGACATCCAAGCCAACGACTTTCTGGCCCGACTGGCCCAACTTATTCACTGTCTCGACGACATTGTCAGGGTTCAAACCTCCAGCCAGAATCACACGCAATCCTTCGTCGCTGTCAAGGACCTTTTTGACGCCGCTTTCTTCCAGAAGCTCACCAGAGCCGCCGGCGCCGGAGTCAAGTAGTGGAAGAGTGTGGTATGCTCTGCGTGAAATGCCAATGTCACCGGGGGCAAACTTGCGGATGACAGGAACTGGAATAAGGGTTGCCCACTCCAGTGGCTCAGACCCATGTAGTTGCACAACATCGAGTCCAAGTGCTTGCTGCTGTGAAAGGACATAGGACAGTGGCTGGTTCATGAACACACCCACAAGCAAAGCGCGAGATGGGTGACGTAAGACATTAGTAGAGTGGTCGAACCACTCCAATGGCATCTTTGATGATTCCTGTGATGCTTTGCTGGCTAGACGAGGAGTTGATTTGACCACCTGGGAAATCTCCAGAGCTACGTCATCTGGAACAAGTCGCGAGCGGCCCTGAACCAAGATGATACCAATCAGATCTGCACCGGCTTCGATAGCGGCTTGGGCTCCTTCTTTGGTCCGAGTACCACAAATTTTAACTAGAGGAGAGCTTTGTGATGCCTCCGTAGACTTTTGTTCGGGGCTGCCAAGAAGCTCTGCCACGAAGGCAGAGGTGTCAGGTGCTCTCATGAGAGCTTCTCCGACAAGAATAGCCTTGACGCCCTCTTTTTTGTAAGCTTCCACGTCCTTGGGTCCCAAAATTCCACTGAGAGCACAGACAATCGTGGTCTCTGGCACCTGGTCCATGAGGCGACTTGTCGTTCCGAGGTCAACTTCAAAGCTCGTCAGATCGCGGTTGTTGACACCGATGACCTCTGAGCCCAAGTCGACTGCAATCTTCATCTCCTCGGGGGTGTTAACTTCGACCAAAGGCTCCATGCCCAGACTGCGCGAGTAATGGTACAATCTAGTCAAAAGCTCAATGTCCAGCATCTTAACGATCAGCAAGACAGTATCAGCTCCAGCCAAACGTGCCTCCAAGATCTGATACTCATCAAAGACAAACTCCTTGCGCAGAACAGCCGGTCGATTGGTGAGACCTTCCAGGCTCTGGCGAACAGCCCTGAGGTCATCGATGGTGCCCTTGAACCACTCCGGCTCCGTGAGGACAGAGATAACGCTAGCACCAGCCTTAGCGTATTCTCGTGCTTGAGCCGGAGCGCACACGTCGGCTGAGATAATGCCCTTGGAGGGCGATGCCCGCTTGATTTCGGCCATGAGTGAGAGGGGGTAGTCTGACTGCCTCAGGCGCGCAGGCAATGACAATTGAGGAGGCGCAATGCCCAAGTCATATGCGGCTTGGAGAGTCTCAGGCCGTAGCGCTGGAATCTTCTTTTGCTCCGCAACGGCGTTTTTGCGATGGGCGTAAATCTTGTCCAAAATGGAAAGTTTCTTGTCGACCGGCGCAGCGGCGGCAGCGGCACCATTCTTATTGTCCCAAGTCCCCGCGGTGAGCTCCAGGAAGTTCCTGAACATCTTACGTCCATACTGTGTTAAAATACTCTCAGGGTGGAACTGAACGCCCTCTACTGCAAGCTCCTTGTGCCTCACACCCATGATGACATTCTTGCCGCTACCGTCCTCTAGCTCGGCCCAAGAAGTCACCTCCAAGCAGTCCGGGATTGTCGAGTGGGTTCCTGCGAGCGAATGGTAACGAGTCACGGCGAGAGATGTCGGCAAATCCTTGTAGACACCCTTTGAGTCATGCTTCAACTGCGATGTCTTTCCGTGCAGAATTTCACCAGTAACGTCGACCTTGCCACCAAACGTGGTAATCATACATTGTTGGCCCATGCACACACCAAAAATCGGGATCTTTCCGCTAAAGTATCTAATTGCCTCGTTGCTGATTCCCGCGTCGGTCTCGGGGTGGCCGGGGCCAGGGCTGATAACCAATTGGGTCGGCTTCTTCGCCATCAAATCCTCGATAGTGACTTGGTCATTGCGGAATACTGTCACAGTTGCACCTTCAAGAACAAGATATTGATAGACGTTCCAGGTAAAGGAATCATAGTTGTCAATCAAAATAACATTGGAGGCGCTGGCCAATTTGGTCGCTTTGGTAGGATGGTGGGGGGAGTGGTCGACCAGGTCCGACATAGCGACGGGTTCGCAGGATGTTGGAGTGTGGAAAAAAAGGAATTGTCAATAATGTTCAAACTTCAGAGCCTCAGATCCCTTAATCTCAAATCAAATCTTCCTTAATCACTCAGTTGATGGCGGTGACTCAAAAAGAATCTCGGGTTTCCCAACTGGAATTTCACCGCCCGGCAGTAATTAGATAGGCACCTGATTGTTGACCCAGTCGCGGTGAATAATATTCTTTTGAAGCTCCCTCTCAATTCAAGAGCTCCCAACGCTCGCCGTCCACCCATTTCTTTGCTTTCTCGTCACCTCACCTGGTGTCGCCTTGTTTTTCTCTTTCTTCTCATTCTATGATGATCTAATTGCCCCAAATGGCTCCCGTCCCGGAGGCCTATTTCCCGTCCCTGGACAAGTGCTTCTCCGGGGACGTTCAACTTTTGTACGTGCATGCCAATCAATTGTTTCGGGAGAATATAAGATGCTAACATGTCACAGATCTTGGAGAAGAGCTTTTATCTACGCCGTTGATTCCAAAGGCTATGCTGACGATGAGGGCAATATCGATGCCTTCCTTTCTCATCCCGAGAGCATTCGCCTACTTTCCGACAGTCTAAAACCGTTTCCTCCTCCCTCCACGAAATCAAAATCTGAGTTCGAGTCCAAAACTGCCGCCATTCATGTCGAGACCAATGGCAAGAGCTCTTTTGACCTGAAAGAACTCAAAGACGACGCCTTATGGTTGAGCCAGAAGGCTGGGATTGATGAAATTGCAGCTCTTCGAATCGCTGTACTGGAATGGCAACAGCGCCCAGCACAGCGCCTTGCGACCGGGTTCTCTGCCGAGGAAGCGACAAGTCTGCAGAGCGCGGCTGGAACTGAGAACTTCCGTGGCTCTCTAAATGGACCCAACTTAGCCAGCATCCTGAATCATACCACCAGAAGCGAGGATGCCAAGTCATTCGAGAGTGAGAAGAGTAGGCGTTTGCGCCTACGTGAGATTTACCTCTCCGAGGCAAACCACGTAGTGAAAACGCTTCGCAAGTTACTTGCCTTGTCTCAACACGACGGTCTTTCAGTCGACACACCCACCTCCGCTAGTCCTGATCGCCAATCTGCTCTCAAAAAAATGGGGGCTGCGCTTTTCAAAAACAAGTCGACCGGGGACGAATTGAACCGATTTCTCCAGGATTGCATTGACTCAATACGCAGTCGGCTGACCAGTCTAGAAGGAGACAATGGCTGGCTCAGTGCTATGGAAAGTAGCGAGGAGCTGGAAGGCCTTTGGAGAACAAGTCTGGTGGAAGAAATTATCCATATTATGCAACTGATGTTCCACCAGCTTCAGCGCTCTGGGGAAATTCCGAATGCAGACCTCTTGGTATCATGGCTCCAGCTAATGTCTGATTATCGTTTCATGGAAACTATCCAAGTGGTAAGCGATAGTTCTTTCTTTGACCTCGTGTGGTTTTAACATTTTATAGCCTTGTCAGCAGCCGGTGGAAGTCTTGTTGCCTCTTCAAGCTTTTGCATCACTCACGACATTAGCTTTTTTGAAACTCCCACTCGCTATCTCTTCGATTAGAAGTGGAACCCACATCAGATCCGCGAACAAACCTTACTTCTTGTGTAAAGACAAGATCTCGCAAATTAACGAGATCTTTACTGCCGTGGTTGGGGATATCAATACTGCAAATCCGGCCGCATTTTCTTGGGGGTTGATTCTGTATACCATGAAAGAGCTGGCAGATCTTGTGAGAATTGAGCGAGAACATGAACAAAGCCAAAATGCGAGCGACTATTTCAATGCGAATACACAAAATGCAGGGCCCTCCCACGCATCAGAGCAATCACTCTACGAAGAGGTGCTTGATTGTGCCCGAACTCCGCACAACACCGCCGAAGACGCCATCGCCATTCTGACCTCTGAAGTTATCAGGGAGTCAGCATTCAGCACTGTTATCGCTCTTGCTACCAAGACTGGGTCAATGTCAGCCGTTGACGACGCCTTGACGAGCAGGTGGATTCGCCTTTCACTCCTTGACCTCGTCCGGGTCTCCACATTGTATCTGGACTACTCTCCAGAACTTGTGGAAGCAGTCTTGGCTATTCTCAGTGATGACGACAACAGCCTGTCAAGGGACTTGAACTCTCTAGGATCGGCGACTGATCCCAAATCTCTGTTTGCCAAGGACCAGGACTTGATGGATGGCATCTTTCGTATTGCACGATCTCGTTTCCCATATGAAACAGCGCCATTTTTGCAACTTTGCCGTGCTCTTGTCAGCGCACACTGTTTGAATGAAGACGGCCTGCCATCGATCCTCGAGGAGTTGGAGAACATGGAATCTTTCACGCAGATTGTATCGCCCCATTTCCAAGGCTATGCAACCATTCGAGAGGATGAGAATGCAGACTATGTAGCCTTGCTCCAGCCTCTGCCAATGTTTGAGACCTCATCGCACAATCGCCTTCTCGAGCACGATGCAAACAATGCTCTCATTGTCAGTGGATCTTCTCAGATTCCTCAGCAAACCATCGGCCAGGTTGTCTCCGAATCAAAACCTGCTGTGATTAAGTGGGAACATCGGTATTCCTGCTTGAGCTTCCTAGGATGTTGGCTTGAGGAATGGAGTGAGACCGGATGCCAGTCTCCTGGTTGGACCGATGATACTGCCACAGATATCATTGCCCTTTTGACAGACTTGATCGCGAACTCAAAAACGCATAGCTCCGAAGAGGCAAGTGGCAAAAGAATTCTGGAAATGGCTAGCGATGGGCTCTCTAAACAAGGTGACATTATTTCTGTGGTCTTTGACATATTCGAGCGCAACCTGCAGAACATCGGATCTCGGGGGGACATGGGCAAATCCATGGATGCAACCATGGCATGCTTGCGCTTTATCAGGGTCCTCCTCAAAGTCCTTCCTAGCCGAGTGTGGCCTTTCCTCGGACGCAGCAGCTTTATTGGATCTGATGGCAAGGGCGGAATCATGACAGCAATCATCTCCGCCATGGAGATTCCCGCTGGCGAGTATCCTTTCTTGCTGAGCTGCGTCGAGCTCGTGGATGCTGTCATCGACGATGCGGCATCTCGAGCGGTGCTACGGAAGAGCCCAGGCAGTGTGGTGAGCAAGTCTACGATTGCGTCCGATTGGAGCGCAGGTATTCCATCTCACGCCATGAGGACTATTCTGCTGAATTTCACTCGTACAATGATTGAAATTTTCAACAGCAATGGTAATTGGAGATTCAATCTGCCAGAACAGCGGTCTAAGATAAATTCGATGCTTGCCACATCTTTCGAGCGTGTTTTGTACTATGCTTATGGAATTAACGACAGCCCAAGGCTTGAATCCAAGGTTACTGGTGTATTCTCTACGTCTGCGGCATACATCTTGGATATGTTGCGCCCTCGGTCAACTGCCGATTTGCCTTTCAATCCAATTTTCCGATTGATTGCCGATGGTCTTCAAACGCCCCCAACACTTCACCTCAGGCATCTCATTGTCGTTGAGGATCAGGTCAAATCAACACTGAAACTCTGCATCAAACTTGTACAAGCAGCCCAACTGGCAGAACAACCCGGTTCGCTTTTGGAAGAGCAACTATTCAAGGCAAGTCCGGTACTTGTCAAGCTCTACGCATCGCATGATGCGTACAAGTTACCAGTTGTGTCACTACTCGAGATTTTGATCTCTAGTGCTGCTTCAAGTTCGGACAATGAGCCCCCCTCCCTTGTTGGTCACCTCGGAGCAGAGTCATCATGTCTGTTCCTTGATGTTCTTTCACAGCTTGACAAGCCGCTATCCGATCGGTCTCTTTGCATTGCAGTATGGCAATTGTTATCCACCTTTGTCAGCAAGCGCCAGCAGTGGCTTGCAGTTTTCATTCTCACTGGATCATCCCCTCGTCAGACTCTCAAGAAAGAATCGGGCACAGGCGGTCTTAGCATGCGAAGCGTTCCTTTCCTAGAGATGGCACTTGAGATGCTGTCCCACATTGATGAACAAGAACCGCAAGTGGCATTGGCGCTTCTTGAATTTGTCTCGCGTGCCCAAGAAAATTGGCCATGGGCCACTCCTCATCTGAGCAAGCACCCCAAATTCTTTACCAGCGTCATCAATCATGTTTCGAAGTTGAAGATTTCGTCTCTGCCTGTAATGGACCAAATCTATGCCACACGCATCGCCGCTGTTGTCGCGGATCTGTGCGCAGTTTACCTACATTCTGCAAAGGAAATGGGTGATCGAAGCTTCATTAAGACTTTGATCCCATTAGTATCGTGGTACTCCAAGGATGCAGTTGAAGTGTCGGCTTACAATTCCTCCTTGCATGCCAACTTGAAGAAGAACTTCGAGATGCGTTACTCGGGCTGCAAGATCGTCGACTTCAAGAGGACACCGCTAGAGGTTCGCTCACTGGGGCGAGATTACTACTACGACTTGGGCATGGGAGACAAACTCCTGTCCTACGACTTTGCCTGGGCTGGCACTAAAAACCGTGGGTTCGCCGAGGAATTCGAGCGCGCGAACATCAATCTGTCACTTGTAGAGGCACAGGTTGTAAGTTTTAATTACTAAAACAATTCTTCACTATCACTAACTTCACATAGGGTCTTTTGAACAGTTGGAAATTCTTCGCCATCGAGCATTGTGCAGACTTCATGCCCGATACCGAAATTCGAAAGTCCATGGCACTGGTCGCACAAAGTTGCCTGAAAGCCAATATCAGCAGTGGTCCTCCTGAGGCTATCTTCGCAAGAATTCAACAGGCGCGTGTTGATTTCGCCCAAGCGCTTCTCCAACGCCTTGTCGAAGTGAACGCCAGAGGAGCGGAGGTTTTCCAGCTGCTTGAGATTACCTGGAAAGCATTGCGCGCCCGTCACCAGACATATGAAGATGCTCTGATCAATGATGACACTGAATATTTCCGCTCTCTCCTGAACGTGTTATTCCTTGCTCTCCAATTCCATATGGACGGCCCCACCCGAAGTGCCCCCGAAGCAATCAACAAGAGAGCCGAAGTCTCGTCAGATCTTACAGTCGTCGTGGAAGTCGTCAAGACCGTTGTCGCCCAAGGCTTCAAATCCCTCACTACCTATCTTCATGATGAACCAGAGAAGTGCGCACCGAAGGATTTCGCCATCATTATTGCTATCCTACAGACAGCCTTGCAAGTGAAAAATGCCGACCGTCTTTATGAGCACATCGTATACCATATTGAGGATAACGAGACCGCTCGCCATGCTACAACACTCTTCTCCTGGGCCGATCAATTAGCCCCGTCAGGTGATCCAGTATACGCCGAACTCAGTGTTTCAATTCTGGTCAAGATGTCTAGCCTACCTATGCTTGCGGAGCACATTGCCGTTGAGGCGGTCTTGATGAAGCTGTCGACTTGTCGTCTTACAAACCTTCTCACCCAAAAGAAATCATTCGGCCCCTTCGACCCTGTTCCTCGATTGTACACCATTTGGACCAGTGGTTTCCTTCCTCTATGTCTCAATCTGCTCTACAGCGTCATGCGAACTGCGCCCGAAGTGGCGGCTTTCATCAATCAATTTGAAAGCCGTCTGATCCGAGCGCAAGAAGCGTTCTCCTCTGGCCATGCGACAGCCGTCTCCTCCGTACCAGCGTCTAGGTGGATCAGCCTTGGCATGGTCTCAGAGGCCTACTCCCTTGCACTGATCACATTCATTCTCGAACGCTTCCGCGTGGCGGGTGCCAGTGCTGGAGTGGATGCGCAGGCCATTCAGGATATAAAATGGGACAAGGTACAGGTCAAGGAGGACATTGAGGAACTTCTCCGTCGCCGACCAGCCCTGCGCGCACGCATTGTTGCAACAAGTGAGAAGGAAGTGGAATGGTCCCGTCAGAAACCACTTAACTCGACCTCTGGAGCTGAGAACCGATTGGAAGAGAAGGTTGTCAATGAGATGAAGGCAGCCATTACCTGCTTGGGTGGAGAGGATTCATGAATATGCGCTTATAGCCTTGCTGTTACTTGCTTTTTCCCCTTTTTTTTATGTATTTTGGGTTGGTTGGGGTGTAGTAGATGAATTATTTTATGCATTCCGGAGCTCAATTGACATCGCATACGAGTTATCCTATACCGACTTCTTAATTTCTTGCAATTTTGAACATACGTGGTCATGTAACCATATAGCCTTCTTCGATTAAACCCGGACGAACTGGACATATGTAATTACTACATAACTACATAATTGTGTAATATATCGAAACAATGGCAATGTGAACACCGAGGTATCCGCACACCTCGGGTTCCCCGCATACTTTAACCGATTTTGTGTGGGGAGATCCTCGAACTGCGAATTATGAATTGTGTATACGCATCCCCGCATATATATGAGGACTTCCCCTTTCTTTCGCTTAGAACCTACATATATCTTGATAATTATATATCCAACGCCTTACAATATGCCGTACAAATCTCGCTGGACGATCGATGTCCCAGATATTCATTTAGCCTCTCTCCTTCTAAAATCACCCACAGCACCTCTATCTCAGACGCATAGATGTTACCTCGAAGCAGCTCGCCCAGAGACTCACTACTTGACCACACATGATTTTCGTCTCTGGAGCCAGCGGTTTGCCGCCGGACTACGCAAATCCGGACTCCAGCCAGGAGACCGAGTCTTACTGTTCTCCGGTAACGACCTTTTCTTTCCGGTAGTATTCATGGGTGTAATCATGGCCGGAGGAATTTTCACCGGTGCCAATCCAACCTTTGTAGCGCGAGAGTTAGCCTACCAACTTCAAGACAGTGGTGCAAGATACCTCCTCTGTGCAAGTGGAAGCCTAGAAACAGGCATCGAAGCCGCAAAACAATCCGATTTCCCTCAGGACCACGTCTTCGCCTACGACAACTCAATCTTCGGTGGAATAATCAAGCCCCAAAAGGGCTGTCAGTACTGGAGCAATCTCATCGCCTCCGAAAAAGAAGGCGCCGCCTTCGCCTGGGACGAGCTCTCAACACGAGCCCTTTCAAGTCGAACATTAGCCCTGAACTACTCAAGTGGTACAACAGGCCGCCCAAAGGGCGTCAAAATCTCGCACAGGAACTACGTCTCAAACATGCTCCAATACTGCCATTTTGGAACGCTGAACCCAGACTACGAAAAGCGTCTCGCACGCTCGCGCTGGCTGTGTTTCCTGCCCATGTACCACGCCATGGCGCAAAATATTTTCATTGCGGCTGCCCTATACCGTGCGACTCCGGTGTATGTGATGCCGAAGTTCGATTTTATTAAAATGCTGGAGTACACGCAGCGGTTCCGAATTACGGATTTTATTCTCGTGCCGCCGGTCGTTGTTGCGTTGGCTAAGCATCCTGCTGTTAAGCAATATGATTTAAGCAGTGTTGAGGCGGTTATGAGTGGTGCTGCGCCATTGGGGAGAGAGGTCTGTGAGGAGGTCGAGAAGTTGTGGCCCGAGGGGAAGATTAACATCAAACAAGGTTGGGGGATGACTGAGTGAGTTTATTTGCTTTTGCTTTTGCTTTGGGTTTTTCTTTATGGGGATTTGGAACTAAACTCGGATCTACAGGGCAACTTGTTCGATTATGGGATGGGATCCTACGGAGAAGAGCACATCTGCTTCTGTCGGTGAGCTCAACCCTAATTGCGAGGCCAAGATCGTATCACTCGATGGAGCAGAGGTCAAAGAGCGAAACACGCGTGGCGAACTTTGGGTACGTGGGCCAAATATCATGACGGGTTACTGGCGCAACGAGAAAGCAACGCAAGAGACCAAGACCGAGGATGGCTGGCTTCTTACGGGTGATATTGCTTTTGTGGACGACCTGGGCAAATTCCATGTTGTGGATCGCATGAAGGTAATTGAGAATTTCATGTAATTGGAAGAAAAATAACTAATGGTTTCAAGGAATTAATCAAAGTCAAGGGCAACCAAGTGGCGCCAGCCGAGCTAGAGGCTCTTCTTCTCGAACACCCTGCGATAGCAGATGTCGCTGTGATAGGAGTTGTCATGTAAGTGTCAAGCATTAATTTGTTGCATTTTTCCTAGTGTTCCTCTTTCTTCTTCTTGTTTTCACTCTTGATTTCAATGATTTATCACTAACCAGAATAGCAACCATGATGAGCACCCCCGCGCATATGTGGTGGTTTCTCCGGGTGAATCCGCCACCGCGGACGATATAACGCGTTTCATGGAAAATAAGGTCTCCGCGTTCAAGCGGATTACAGGAGGAGTGGTATTCCTCGATTCGATACCTAGGAATCCCTCGGGCAAAATTCTACGCACAAAATTGCGCGAACAGGCGAAGGAGGAGCTGAAGGGTGTTACAGCTAAACTTTAGACTCGTTTTAGACTTGTCGTTGCTTTTCTTGGCATGACATTCTGGCGCCATGAAGCATAAATCAAGTGAGCATTGTTGACCGTATTTTGAAGAGCTTCCTTGATTTGCAGGTCAAGCCACCCGATCAGACGGACGATTCCTCACAGACCCATCGCATTAAAATTAACTTGAAATGTGCACACAAGCCGCTAAATAGCAAAACAAACGAGAGGGAAAAAAAAGTTGGTTCACGTAGGTTAGCATGAATTAGCGTAGGCCACTATGATAGCCGAGCCAGGCGTTGTGGATTGTGATTCGATGTCTATAAGGGCTTAGCGTGGGGCTCAATGCAGGCGCCAGCTGAAGGCCAAGCCGATCTGGATGAACACGTCCATTTGTCATGATCGACGGCACATGGGCGTCTTCTCCGCAACCAGGGCCTTGGGAATGGGTCAGTTATCCCTGTAACTACGTGAGATCTAGATGAAGGGCTGATTCCAAATACGAACTCGGACGAATTTGCCATAAAGTTAGACATTGGAAGCGAAAACCCACAGATGTCATCATATTATACCTAATTAACATTAATTTACCGCAAAAATTGAGGGTGGCGTGTAGAGGCAAGCTGAGTGCAAGAGGCTGGCTGGCTTAGATCTACCCACATTTGTGTCCATTTTGTATACCTACTACATACTATGAGGCAACTAAGACATTTCTCTTCTTTCTTTCTTTTTTAAACTTTCTGATCTATCAGTAAAACGAAATAGAATCGAATATTATTGCCTCTGGAAGGCTAATCTATTTTTTTGTTTCTTTTTTGAACCTATTTCCATTGCTTTGTCCAAGCTCTAGATACATCCGCCCCGCCATGCTTAAGCGTCGATCATTTCAATCGTCTCAATCATTCCAATCGCCTCGATCTCCCCTCCATATTCTCCTTTGCGTCTAGTGGTACTATAGTTTTAGCTCTTATATAGAAAGCCCACCCCTGTAATCCGTCCTACTAGTCTATTCGCCCCCAAGATCCCGCCATCCCGGTCAAAGTCCGTGTATGATCTCGATTCAAAAACGCCCGTACCTTTGACTCGGTAAGCCCTGTCGAGTCTTGGCCACTTGAGGACAGTCTCCCGCAGTCTTAAGTTGAGCTGGTCCCCCTTAGAGGAGACAGTTTCAACAATTCTGTGAGAGGTGGACGCTATCCATCGAACCCAACTTGCGTCATGAATATTGTGGAACACGGATACAACTATCTGTACCAGGAGATCCCTCAATCTACTGCAAGACTCTTCTTTCCAGTCTCCAGTCTAGTCAGTTTGTCTTTGTTGAGCCTCATCCTCACCTATCGGTACATCAAACATCGACGCCGAACACAAAAATACATGACTACCGCCGATTGCAAACACGAAAAGAACCCTTGGCTCCAATCTATCAATATGGAAACGGGTGTTCCAGCTTTACAAGACCCACCTCCTTTCTCTGCGTGCGATATCCTGCGACCTTTGTCCCAGACGAGTCCCTTCCCAAACAGCGGAACCCTTGCTGCAATCGCCATGCAGAGGCAAAACGAGATATCAATAACAACCTCAAATAACCCGCTGACTGAAACATCCATGCCCGAAGCCGGTGCAATAGTGCAAAAATGTGACAAGTTGGTCCAGAAAATGCATGAGGAGGGTTCCGAAGGGGTGCGCACATGGAAGAGGGTTATTGTGGAATACAGATAAATAGTTGAAATTCGTGTGTTATCTTCTCTCGATTTAGCCCCGGTGGTTCTCTAGCTGAGGCTTCTGGTCTGGGGGAGGAAGGCTTCGGGGCTTTAGGCTTCCTTGTTATTTGTTTTTGTTATGGGTCCCCTTTTATGTTCCTTTTTCTCCCATTTGTGGTTTGTTTCCCTCATGAATGATGATGTCTTTCCTTAACATAGCGTGGGCTAGGTGTATCTCGTTTATCCAATCATCTATCGGTTGGGCAGTTGATATGTTTTATCGCTTTGTCTTCATTGTATCGTTGCTTAAAATCATAATGAATCTTGAAACTTTGACAGTTATAGCACAGTAAGTTGAAACATATATCAAACCACCGGTATTCAAAACAACAGCCCAAAATATAGATCACAAGGCCAGACGAGGCCAGGTTGTTTGTCAATGCGGGTAAGATGCAGGATCAGTGGACATATTAGTCTTATGCAGCGATCCCAAGCGGGGAATATAGGATGACGGCTGTTACACGACTTGCAAACTGCGCATGACCTTGCCGACATGCATGTCGTTGGCAGAACCCTGACCCAGTCTCGAAACTGGACTGATTGATCGGAAATAGCTGAGACCCTGACAACACATTGGGTGACCAGGGATCCAAAACTGTAAATAAACTTCGATTGACAACGTATGAAGAAAAGATTTAGATTTCTGCCCAGGGTGACAATGCACAAGTCAAGTGTGATGCTTAGTGCAGAAGATCTTTCCATTCTCTGTCCTTGGCGCATGGTATCTTTCTTGATACGGTGGGTGGCAGGCCTGCCAGAAGATCATCAACCCATCTTATTAGCAAAACGATTTCTGTGCATAGCTCACGTACCATATGAAAGCGTACAAGAGCAGATTAATTGCATCGGTATATGGGTCGAGCTTCCGTCGTTACCTGCCCAACGAATCACCTTTAGGATTCCACATGTTTTGTCGTCATCGTAAGTTGACCTGCTTCCATAAGGGCTAAGATATCATGGCAGTGTTGACATGTTCATTCGACGTTATGGCATGAGTGAATCATGAACTCTCATTGGTGAAGATCGACAGCATGGAGTGTATCAAAGCCTCTAGAAAAATGACGGGAGATACATTTCGTAATTGACCCAAGCAGCAACTCAGACAGAAGAGGACAGCTTCAATCTCTGCCAGAGTGCGTGGCGCTTTCTTTCGCTCTGGTGCTGCGGCAGTAATCAGCCGATATGTGATCTGACTGCATAGTACGATATCGCAGATTGAGAGCCCGGACGACATTTCAATTCCAAATACAAACTAAGATTCCGAAAGATCGCCCAGTGGATCCAGCAAGTAGAGGACATGCATATAGGTCTACCTTCAAGCTACGTTGATTCCCGGATACCGAGAAATGGTCGATATGTACATCATGGTGGCTATGCACATGAACGAACTCTGCTAAGGATGTCCTTTTTCTTGTTTGTAACAAGATATTGAAGACGAAAGAGATACAACCATGCAAGATACAGCACTATGATCTAAGAATGCATGAATAATCTCGATCATTACCCTGGTGATTCGCCCAGAGAAAATCAGAGCCCAAACCTAGCTGCAGAAGATTCGAGGTCCTGTCATTCAATTATCAAATAGGTATCTGGATTCAACAAATATTTGGCAGGGCCTTTCATTCTGAGATATTCTAGTGATTGAACAAAGGGGTTGCCAGCAAATTTAAAGCTGCTCAAATCGCTTGTTGATGTAGACCCAGGCCTTGAAAGTTGGCCTCGGCCCCGGGCCCGCCAAAATGCTGAGTCATGTTATTTAGGCCCCGGACCACCTGCATCTTCAATAAACACCTAAGTATTGACGCACTATACTTACTCAACTATCAGCCATGACTGTATCTGCATTCCCTTCCGAGGGATCCCCCGACCTCGCTCTCCTCAATGTCGCCCGCCTGTTCACCCGACTCGAACACAACCTGCTCTCTCCGGGGACAGACCGGCGCTTACTTCAACAATCCGCATACCAGCGCATGCGCGTGAACAAGGTAAGAAATCCAACGGGCTCCTCAGTGCCAGTGCCTTGCTTTGCTGTTGTTTGAAAACTGAAAAACTAACACAATTCTACAGAATGTGGAATACGCCCGCTCCCTACTCACCCAACTCGAGCGTTCCCTCCCCCAACTGAAACCGCTTGACCGCAAGCACGAAGCGCAAGCTGAGATCGCACGCGACAGACAACTCCTGAAGCGGATACAAACCATCCTTGACGAAGAGGAAGCCAAAGTGGAGGTGGAGCAGGACGACGACGACGACGACAACGACGAGGATTGCGGCGATGACGAGTGGAAGGAGCTGTTCTCCAAGCCTCTTTCCCAGGAAAAGGTCGTCTCGCCAGCATCTCAGCCTAAAAACCAACAGACAACGACGCAGGTGCCCGAATCATCACGAGGAGTGGAAGAGAACAATGCGCAGCCCGCTACAAATACGGCTCCATATGCATCCACAACCACGCACCTTGTGCCAACACCCAGCCCACCAACAAGCACACCAGCACCCCCGACCCTCCGCAATCGCCATACTGCAAACCCTACAACCTCCACGGATAAAGCAACCGCAACAGGAAGCAATGCCAAACTCCACAACACAGAAAACGAACTGAGTACCCACAGAATGGAGCAGGAAGACCTGACCAGCTCACTCCTAACGCTTGCCGCGCAATTGAAGGCATCTTCGCAGTCCTTCCAGTCCACGTTAGAAGGGGAGAAGTCCGCCTTGGACCGCGCAGTGTCCGGTATTGACCGCACGAGTACCACTATGGAAGCTGCGGGGAAGAGGATGGGGATGTTACGAAAGATGACGGAGGGGAAGGGGCTGTGGGGTAGGATGATGCTATATGCATGGATTTTTGGCCTGTGGGTTATTGCGATTTTGATTGTCTATGTTGGGCCGAAGTTGAGGTTCTAGAGTTTCGATCTTTGAGCTTGATTTTTTTTTTCTTCATGCCAATGCTAAGATACCCTCTTTATCGTCACTGACTCTACGGTCCATCTACTGGATTGATGATATCTACGGATTAGTAAGATTTGCAAGAATTCATGAGAAATGGGAGCAAACATATTAAGAGTCAGAACCCTAGAATCAATTCTTGAACTCTGAAAATAACCCAACGACCGACCTGGCATGACACATGAGAAGGAGACATGAAAATCCGCGGATCCTGCCATTTCCCCTTGCTCAAGGCCCAGATGGTCGCTCGAGGCTCCCAACGGACGCGAGACGTAGGAAAAATGATGGGGGAGACGGTATGGTTACATACAATAGAAACAAGAAAGGGGTAAGTGATGATAGGATATCCAGCATTCAAATCAGATGGGTAAAAATGGGAAATTGCAAAGGAAAAAAGAAAAGAGAGAGGAGTTCAAGAAAACGCGTGTCACGGCTTTTATGCGTGAAACACCGCAAAACACTCCCTGCTTTCTGTCGTGGATATCAGGAGCGACAAAAGAAAAGACAAAAATTGGCTAGAGATCGTGTCACGGGCGACAATTAGAACAGTGGAAGAGGAAAAGTAGGAATCGAGAAATGGAGAATAGAAAGCAAAACGCAAAAAGAAATCAACGCCGGGATCTTGAAACGAGGCTTTTTGACCGGATCCGGTCAGCCCCGGTTAATAAAAACATGCGATCTAGATTCGACACCGTTCATCACCTAAACGATAATCTCATTAAATCAAACCACAGAGACGGAGGTTCTCTTGGATGATGATATCTGGTACGAGTTAGTAAATTATTTAGAAAGGGATTTGAGTTGCTGAGCTTACCGTTGACTGCAGCCATGACAAAGCGAATCTGGGTGGTGTCAGTGGCACAGGTGAAGTGGGTATAGATCTGCTTTTGTTCGGCCTGGTTCAGGGACACGAAGCGGTTGAGGATATAGTCGCATGCAGCGGCGTAGTCGGCACCGCCCTCGTAGTCGGGGAAGTAGTTCTTCATGGGGCTGACGGGGAGCTTCTCCTTGAATCGGTCGATCTTGTTGAGGAAGAGAATAATTGAGGTCTTGACAAACCAGCGGGAGTTGCAGATGGAGTCGAACAAAGTCAAGGCTTCTTGCATACGGTTCACGGTCTCGTCCTCGAACAGAAGCTGGTCATACTCGGAGATGGCGACTAGGAACAAAATGGTGGTGACGTTCTCGAAGCAGTGAATCCACTTCTTACGCTCAGATCGCTGACCACCGACATCGAACATGCGGTATGTCAGATCGCCAATGATGAATGTGGTCTCGGTGATACCGGTGGTCTTGACACGGGAACGGAGGACATCCTGGTCGGTAGGGAGGTAGTCGGGCTGAGCGATGCGCTCAATGGAATCGAAGTAGCTAGAAGAAAAAAACTGTTAGTCGCAATTCGTTGTTCTGCAATGATTGCCACTCACTATTTAGCAGAGTCGTTCAATTGGTATTCGCGAGATCGCTTGAAGCACTCCTGAACACCGGTGTCGCGCCAAAGTGCGCCGATGGCGTTGCCAACTTCGGTAGGAATACTGTCACCCTCGATCTGAGCGGGCTGCATGAAAATGGTCTGCACGTGGTACTCGTTGCGCGCATCCTCCAGGGGGAGCTCGAGCGATTCCATGGCCTCAAGAATGACCCGCATCGACTGAACGGTGTTGCTGTAAATAATTTCCTTGAATGATTCGCGCTCGTCACGGGAGTAGCCACCCTCGTGGATGAGCTTCATCTGCTTCAAAATTGTGGACTTGCCAGACTCTCCGGCACCTGTATTCCAAGTCAGCCCTGCGTCCTGCATCTCAGGGGTTGGTCGATCCTACCAAGAAGCAACATCTTGATCTCGTTACGCTGCATCATCTTATCGCGCTTGAGCTGATTTTCGATCTCCTCGTTCCGGGCCTTCCCCTCCTTATCCTCGGTACTCATTCCGCAACCCATTTTGTCGGTATGGAAAGATCGCGGTCAACGGTGTGAAGGTAAAAGGTGTGGTCGTAGAGGTCTCAATATTCTGCGACAGGGGCTAAGACGGATCAACAGTCAGCAACTTGGAATAATTTCATCCGAGAAAAAAAAAGATCGCATTGATGGGCTCGAGGGGGCATTGCAATAGTGGTACAAGCTCCGCTGAGTAGAAGCAGACGACGTTTCAGAATTGGTGTAAGCATGCCGACGCAAGGAGTCGGAACACAAGTTCAATTTTACCAGATAAATGGTAACATGCAGCTCTCTCCCCAAGAAGGAAAAAAAAGGTTACATACCTGTAAGAATGAACGGTCGACGATCAAGTCGGAAGGGTATAAATGAAGGAAACCAAAAAGAAAGGAAGAATCAGAAGAATTCAGACAGAACCCAATCTGGAGAAGAGAGAGAAAAAGAAAGAGAAGGGATGATAGAAACACAAAGGTTCAAAGGTAAGGGGCAAGACTGAGGGGGAAATTGGGAAAGTTTCAGCAGCAGAAAGGGGATACCAGTGCAATACCACGCGATATAGCAGATAATTGCAGGTGATTAGGGGTACCGCTCGGGTACCGAATTGATGCAATGTTTTAATTACAGACTGAATTACAGGCCAATACCAGCCCGGGATCTGGGCAAATCTGATTGGGCGATGTGGGGTTGATTGACAAGGGCCTAGTAACCCCTTTTGCTGTTTACTGTGGTATTGGTCTGGTTTGTGTAATTTATCTGTAACTTGCGATTGCATATACAGGGCTGTAATGTAGCTGCAGGATATTTTAATTCTAGCAATCTATATTTCTATACAGTATATAGGATCATATACACATATGGCTCTTAAGTATATGTGCAATATTGTAATGTATACAATATATTTGCAGGCATCCTGCATAAACGCAACCCCGGTGGACTCCTTTAGGCGTGCAGATCGTGTGGAGAGCAAAACTAGCAATATCAAAATACATACCTACAACATCACACCACACACTCACTCATATGTATACTTACAATCTTGTAATGATAAGGCGGGTCTGGAGAAGTGTATTATTTTCCCTAATGCAAGTCAAGTTTCTACACCCCACACCAGTGTTGTTCCAGAAGGTCTGACCTTCTCTTCTGTCGTCTCAGGTTTCAGTTCCAGTCTAAACAAAGAAAAGGCTGAATTTTAGTCTCAGCCCCAGGAGTCCAATCAGATCAGCCAGCCAGCCCCTCAGTCCATAAATCCCTGTTCAGTCCTTTGAACATTTCTGTTACAGGAAGTCATTGATATACTTACAAATTGTACGGAAAACCCGACACACAGGTATCCGACGCTGCACATCCGTGGATCCATTACAGTGGAGCCCTAGCCACACAATAGTCCGACACTGACCGTCGCACCTGGTACTCACCTAATACAATATTGTATAACGCAGTGTATCGCGTCAGGAAATTGGAAAGAAGATCTGTCAGCAGAGATCCAAATTTGGAAACCTTCGCGGACAGGCTAGGGGAATTTCGCATATGAAGTTTATCTCCTGGATTTGTACTGGTCGACCCACTGACTAGTACTTTTTAACCGTCTTCCTATGCTTCTCGTTGATATTAGTCCCCACTGCCTCGTGGCAATAGCGTGAGACTATTGAGTCCAATGGCTTTAGTCTGATATCTAGCAAATTCAATACCGATACTTAGCGGTACCTAGGTATTGTACCTGCTTTTGGTCACTGACAAACTGCACACATTGTAGATCATCTCCAGTTTATCCACGCGTTTACACCCGATTCAGTGTACTAGTGTAGTTGCATGCTTGAGCCATATACTACATTTACTAATTCTTACAATGCTATTAGGATTGGTACACAACGTGCACACAATGTACATACAGCACATATGGAAATTGTAACTATAAAGAAAAGACCCGTGGTTCGGCGATCGGGGGAAACCAGATCCTAGTGCATAATGCACCGATTTCCCAGGTTCACCTGGCAGAAAATCAGTCTCTATTCAAACGTTGCTATAAGATGTCAACGGGATTCTCCATAGGTGTCTACATACACGCATGCATACATACATATCTTTTTTTCGTACTTGTTTTCTCATTATAAATCCCACCTAGATACTATCTCACTGCCAAAAATGAGGGCCAATTGTGGAGAATCAGTCATTCTTTCACATCTACCTCAGCTAGCATCATCTGGCCGGATTTCAGCATTTTTTTTCCTTGGTTAGAGAGGCTCAGTGTCAAGCTTTTTGCTACAAATTATCGAGTTCGTAGTAGTCACTCCTGAATAGCGCTATGCACGAACAGGAAGCAATCGAATTTTGAACAACAAAGTTTTCGTCTCATTCTTTGGCAATGACTGGCTAATGGCCCTCTGTAGCCCACCGCGTGAGCTCAGTCTACGAACTGAGTAATGTACAAATAAAAAAAAAGCTCTTAACAGTGAGGGATCAACGATGCAAGGATATAGATACGGTATTTTGAGAAGCGGTGAATTAGGCGGTGGCGAACTATATAGTAGTCCCTGTTCCAAGGGGGAAAAAAGGCGATCGATCTGATTTTTCGGGTTTTCGGGTCTTTCCCCACTTTTATTAAAGATTCCCCTTCTTCCCTTATCATCTCAGCCTATTCAGGGGAATTGAACAGTCATGTCGCACGAAATGTCCCACATGGGCCCTAGGGGTAAGCGCGTCGATCTTCATGCAATTGCATTATCTAACAAATTACAGCCTTCAACCATGACAACAGTAGCGACGCGGAGGCGGAGTACGATCGTCTCCGTGATCTGGCCCGCCAGGAGGCCGCTAAGCGCGGTCAATGTTTCGGACGGGTATGCGATACTTCTTTTCAGTTTCAGTCGCCAATCATTCGCATTGGATTAGGCTAACGTGTGTCACCTTTTAGTCGAAGGAAGCCTATTCGAGCGGCGATGGCGCCGGTGCCAAGCAGCTGTCCGAGGAGGGAAAGGCCCACGGCCGCAAGATGGAGGAGTATAACAAGCAAGCCTCAGAGTTCATCTTCCGTGAGAACAACTCAAACGGACGCGTTGCGGCCGACACCATCGATCTGCATGGTCAGTTTGTCGAGGAGGCGGAGGAGATCCTGGAAGAGCGGATTAAGTACGCCAAGCAGCATGGGCAAAATCATTTGCATGTGTAAGTCGCGAAAAGTCCAGCACGGCAACACAATATTGTAGATTGTGAGTTCGGCTAACATATCTCCTAGTATTGTCGGCAAGGGAAACCACTCCGCCAACCACATCCAGAAAATCAAGCCCCGTGTCGAGCAGGTGTGCCAAGAGCTGGGCCTGCAATATGCGACTGAAGACAATGCCGGTCGCATTTACATAAACCTTACCGGTGGCGAGGCCGTCATGCCCCCGTCGACTGGTCACCATGCGCCCCAGCAGGGTCACGGTGGCTACCCTGGCCAGCAGCAAGGGTACCAGGGACACCAGGGACAACAGGGCCACCAACAAGGCCACCAACAAGGCCACCAACAAGGCCACCAACAGCAGCAACAGCAACAACCCGACGAGATCGAGGAGTTTGCCAAGAAGATGCTGCCCAAGGTTCTCCGCAAGCTGGAGAAGGCTTGCTGTGTGGTTATGTGAGCGAGTTCGTGGTTGGTGTTTCCCGCATATATAGACGCATATTTGCGAGCATATGTTGGCGAAGTTGGCGCTTTTCGGTCTCGCGTTTCTAGATCTAGGCTTCGCCTGGACACGACTCATGATAGCAGGGATTTTGGATATACCCGTGGACCTACATGAACATGACATTGTTCCTAATGAATCTGTACCATTTACATTAATATAACGAGTTCAATCTTGGCACTGTTTCAGCCATTTTTCAAGTGGAAAGTGTGACATAAATCGTGTCGTCGTAAATGTTGATAGCTAGTCGCGTATACACATAGACAAGCCTGTAAGCAAATGAAGGGTATATGCCCGATAATAAACACGCGGCCAGCGCAAACCCAAGATCTCAAGCAAAATGCTCAATTAGCGCGTGTGGAATCTCCAAGCGTTGTTTCCACGATCTTATCCACGATGCCACGCACCAACGTGCCGCCGGCACCATTGCTCGGCGTTGCATCGATCTTTTCAATCAACTGAAGTGCTTGCGCTCTCAACCCTTTCACGACCTCCTTCGTGTACGCAAAGCTTCCCGTGCTTTCCATATATTGCATAGCATAGCGTTTCACCTCATCGTCCCTAGTCTTCTGCTTGAGAATATTGAGCAGCTGATGATTGGACGGGTTGGATCGAATGCTATGAATAATAAGATAGGAGAATTTGCCCTCGGTTAGATCCTCGCAAAGCCCTTTATTCTGTGTATACGCGGTATTCGAGAGATTTAGGTAATCATCGCAGATTTGGAAGATCAGACCCATAACATTGACCAAAGTGACGCAGTCTTTGCCCGTGTTGCTCTCGGCCTGCATGAGCTTAACGGCAAGTCGGAAGAGACCACCTGTCTTGTTGCCCACCATTTCGAGGTATTCGTCTTCAGTGGGGCAGGTCAGGGTGTCACGCCAGAAGAGGTCCATTCCTTGTCCGCGGTGAAGATTAAGCATCTCCTTGATGTAAATATCGATCGCGGCCGGGTTGTTGAGTTGTTGTAACTCTTGGAGAGCAAGGAAGTAGACATAGTTTGCGGAATTTATTGTTTGCGCCGTACCAAAGATATTATGAGCAACGGGGATTCCGCGACGGAGAAGGGAGTTGTCTTCGACGTCGTCGATGAGAAGTGACGCGGTATGCAGCATGGTCACCACCTTCGTGATGATTACTAAGCTCTTCTCGGGGACCTGAAGCCAGGCGTTGAATGCGTCGATCAGCTGGCGACGAACATCTTTGCCGGGATGCTCGTGCATGTAGTCATATGGGCCTACGAGAATTTTCTCGTTTTTCGCGGACCACGTTCCATCTTTGTATTTTGTGCCATCGAAGCTAGACTTATTTCGCCGGTGTCTAGTCTTCTTCGGCTCCTCGTCTGTCATCGATAGTTTACATCGGGAGAAACTGCCATTTGTAATGGTCGCACCGGCAGAGCTGATGCGCTGAGGGACAGGACTCGGGGGTTGTAGGGGTGAATTCATGGTTGTGGGGATGGAGGGGTTAATGATATGACATCAGCTATATCTCTCTCCAGGGCTTGGGCACCTCGGCCCATAGTCACGGGATCACATTTCAACCCAAACTGTCGGGATTGACGGTCACGGGTCCAGTCGACGTTTTATATTACTAATCAGGAATGATTTGTCGATTTGTCTGGAGTAAGGTAGCAAATAGCAAATAGTTAATGAGTAAAATATTTTGTACTGGTAGTAAATTGAGATAAGTCAATTTGATATGCGACGGCAAATATGTGATAGGTCATAATAAAATTTATTTAAAAGCTAGTTAAGTAGTGGAACCCAAGGGCGTAATTAGGTAGAAACACGAAAAAGCCCTGGAGAGTACGTAGCAACGGGGATATCCGTAGCGGTAAAGAAGGTCAATATACACTCGGTCCAGATTTCCGCCCAAAACAAGGATCAGGCAAGGATATCGCTAAATTTAACGTTAACCTAACAATATGATTGACGCCATGGGGTCGATCTAACTAGCTAAGAACCACAAGTGCGTGATGAGTTCCTTGGTTATTGCATGGTTGTCTGGGGCAACGATGAGGTTATGCGCCGTCGTACCCTTTATGACCTCCCTTATTTTTACTTCACTTGACATCAGCCCCAAACACGGACCACTGAACTCCACTCTCTCGTTTTTTTTGTTTTAAAACTATGAACGTCGTCCTTTCTTTCTTTTTATAAGGCTGTTGAACAGCTCACTTTTTGTTTATTAAACTTCACCTGCATCTGATTTATCAATGGAGGCTTTACTAGCTCATTCATTTGATTACCTCTCCTCATATGAGCCTAGCAAAGTCCGCAAAGGATTGCGCCAGGTTGAAGGACTATTGGCTTCAATATGTCTTTCAAAATCTAAACCCGTCGCCGACAAACGGAGGTCACGCATGTCCCCCGATATCCCACAACCAGTGCCAAAAGCACTATCAGAACTACGAGATGATCCCGCCTTCCGAGAATTCTCCAAGCTACAGGAAAGCTTCCAATGGAATGGTATGTCTCCAAAGTTTTCAACCCACCCAGTCCGTCCACTAACCCACCCAGTTGCAATGCGCCTAGTATCTTGTCTCGAACATCTCCTCGGCCGCGGCAGCAACGGCACAAACGACATGCTGATAGTCTGTGCCCTCGACCTAATCCAAGGCTCTCTCCTCCTCCACCCAGGCTCGCGCTCTCTCTTCGCCCGCGAAATCTACATGAACCTCCTCCTCGATCTCCTCGATCCAATAAACTGCCCAGCCGTGCAGTCAGCAACCCTTCTCACTCTCGTCACTGCTCTACTGGACTGCCCAGCAAACACCCGCACATTCGAAGACCTCGACGGCCTGCTCACAGTGACATCACTTTTCAAGCAACGCGGTACATCCCGCGAAGTCAAGCTCAAGCTCGTCGAGTTTTTATACTTCTACCTGATGCCCGAAACTTCAACGCCAGCACCTACCTCTCCACCGCCGGGTCTGCAGCGCAGCCCTAGCAAGCTATCCAATGCCGCTCTCTCGCGCAGTGCGCATGCCGCGGCAACCGCCGCAAGCATGATGAGTCGTGATACCCGCACAACGGACGAGAAGCAGGCTCTTCTGGGGAGATATCTGAATAACGTCGAGGATCTCGTCGAGGACCTGAAGGAGACCGCTCCTTTTGGTGCAACTGTTTACTAAATGACTTTATTGGCGATAATAGACTCACTGTGTCATGACCAACTATCCGCGATGCCCGTTGCGACTAATTGGTGGTGTTGTTTTTCTTCTTTTTTTCTTTCCCTTCTTTTTATCCTCTTTTTCTCTACTCTCGCTTTTCAGCCTTTGACTTATGTTCCGTCCGGTACGGCATTCATTCGATTTCCTGTACTGATGTCTCTCTTTGGCCTGTCTTTGTGCTCTTTTTACTCCCATTCTGGAACTGTGTGCTCTCCAGTGCCCTCGGGCTTTTATCCTACAGTCGTTTCCCTGTCTCTCTAATGGTGGCATGATCATGTACGACTCTTCTCTAACACTATTTCAAAATCCCATACACATGATAATGACTAAGATTTTCCCGTAAGGCTCCATCTATATATTTGCGTACGTCCGAATAATTATTTTGGTGTGTATGCCGTTTCCATATTATACTTATTAACTCCAAGGTTGAACTATACATGGTCAAGGGGATCGAATCACTTCCATCGGCCATTCCATCAGCTTTTTCAATTGGCCATCGTTCAAACCAGCAACTAGTTTGTTGATTTTCACAATCTCATTATCAAAGGTAGCACCAAGATACCAAGTGTTCTCCAAGATAGAGAGAGTCAGATAAAGGTGGGCCAGGATCGTAAATGACAGACCCTCCATGACCCTAATGTGTTCGTATGACTCTAATGAAGATATAAAACCTTGAGAAACAAGCATCGGCCACGAAGTTACAGCTGCCGCTTCAATCTCGGCCTGAGCATCAAGATCTGATGAGCTCTGCGGTTCAACTTTTTGCAGCTGGAGGGCATATAGAACCCGCATGTACATATCTTCGATGACAGTAAGTGCATGATGCTGCTCCTGAAGAATGCTGCTTTCCTCGGAATCAGTGGGGAATTGTTCGGTTGATTTGAAGGCGTCAAGGAAAGTCTGCAGATTAGAGACCGCCTGGCTCGCACCCGATGCAAACTTTGAGATTTTCGATCGTATCCCATCAGGCACAATCCCATCTAATTGTGACCGGCAAAGTTTCCAGTCTTCATGAGAATTTCGGAATTGCAGTAAAGCTCTGCATCGTCCTCTTTTGAGTGTCATCCAGTGCTGCTGTGTGATGGATGAGACACCACGCACAAGACGGAGCCAATGAGTGTGCGGTTTTCCCGCATTATTGTTGTCGGCATTCTCCGGGCTTGAATACGGGATCGTAGGTGATGGCTGTGGTTCGGGGTTCAGATTTCCCACTCGAAGAGATGCAAATGCAAAGCCAACAATCAACATAGACCCTGTCATCAATAGTTCCGCATTTGATTCACTGGTATTCCAAAGCTCCTCTTGGAGTCCCTTCAGACCTAATTGGTGGTGCTCGATCACGACTTTCAGCTTGGCTAATTTCAAATTCCGAGTAGATAAATCAGATGACCTGGTTGCGTCATGCTGAGTTTGACAACCCAGTGAATCTCTGGTCAGGATATCAAGACCAGCCAGCGCCAAGAGCAGGTGCATCAAGAACTCGTTTGTGCTGGCTATGTCCGGGAAAACGCGCTCCCACACCAAAGATTTGGCACGGTCGATTGACATCTTCTTCGATGTATGCATAATATAGTGTTGGAGTAAGTTCAAGTCATTCATGTTCAAGTGACTCGGGGTCTCGGTCTGCTGAGTTGGTGTTCCGACAGGACCCATGTTGAAACTCAAGGGACTGATAGCTTGCTCGTTGCCATTTCTCCCTGCTGCGTGGTCACATTTACCTGGCACTAGTCCATTGGTATTATGAGAGACAGGGCGCCTTGGTTTGTTCCTTGTGCTTCCTGGGCTTGGGAAGGTGCATTGACTGCCCCGAACAGAACAGGCGCCGCAGATTGGTCTTTGTTCATCGCACTGGCAATATGTCAGATGATGATGGAGTATTTTATTGCGCACTGGATTACCTTTACCCGGCGCCCCTTGCATGTGTAACACCCATTTCGCGATTTAGTGTGGCTGATTCTGTGATGGGGCCGAAGAGGCTTCGGGCTTGAGCTTGTAGCGAGATCTGTACTTTCGTACGATGAATGTCGCTGCATGGTCCAGTCGCATTAAATGTATGCTGCGTTTTTTTCTGACTGATCATAAGGTATTCAAAAGGAGCGTTGGACACATGCATAGGTGAACGGGATTTTCCCGGGAACTTAGATTTGAATAAGCTTAAGGTTCAATGCCTCAGGCACTAGACTCTTTTCTACCGATCTCTCGAAACTACATATGCATATATGAACATATTCATGCACTCGGGAATTTAGGAGAATGAGTGGGAATAGAAGCGCGATTGTCATATCTGAAAATTTGCGTTCGATGTCTCCATAAGATTGAAGCGCTGGCATCACTGCTCAGATTGTCTATTATATATATATACCTTTGCGAAGCTTCCGTGTCAGTTTCAGTATAATTATACTCCTGGTCAAACTACTTGCTCTGCTCACTTTCCAGCTCTGTTGATGTCCAAACTTCGTCCTTCTTCAAAACACCAGCACTTGCCAAAGATCTTTGACCTCAGTTTGTACGACCTTGGGCAGTGAGCTAATATAAAGGTTTTTACATAGCCTCGGATGTTCATCAAATAGGCAAGAAAGTCTGCATAGTCTGTCTGGTGGAGACTTGAAATTTTAAGCATCGTATTCTCGTATTCTCGTATTTTCGCATCTTCGCATCTTCGCATTCACGCATTGTAGTATCAAAGTTTTTCTATTTTCGATTCAATTTTGCTGGCTATCCATGGATCTGAGCATGCCCAATTATGTATATAACAGCCTTTTCATTCTTATCTCGGAGGTATGCATCTATCATTTCCCTTAATTTTCCATTCTAGCATTCCCTCTGTGTAAGATGAGCGACACCAACAGCAATGGCGGAATTGAATACGCCCTCTATCGTTATACGCCTTCCATTCCCGCCGCAGCAATCTTTGGCGTAGTTTTCGTTGGATTGTCAGTTCTACATTTGATCCGACTGATAAAACATCGCTCTTTTTTCTTCATTCCCTTTCTCGTGGGCCTTCTTCGTAAGAAATTCCCCGTGACAACCTTTCTGGACAGGCCGTTGACATAGTATCTCATTAGTGGAATGCGCTGGATATATTGCTCGGATCTTTTCCCACTTTGACACCAAAGCGCTAGGTCCGTACATTGTCCAAACTATGTTGATCCTAGTGGCTCCTCCTCTTTTCGCCGCTTCGATTTACATGACTCTTGGGAGAATCATCGTGAAACTCGAGGCCGAGGATATCTCCCTTGTACCGGTCCGGTTTCTAACAAAGATCTTTGTGGTTGGGGACATAATCTCATTTTTGCTGCAATGCGGAGGTACGTGCCTTCTAACGTTCCCTGTCTTGCTAGGTACTATAGAATACTGATCGTGAACAGGTGGCGGCTATATGGCTGCAGGAACTTTATCTGCAATGGACACAGGTGCAAACATTGTCGTTGGTGGCCTTATTGTACAGCTTCTCTTCTTCGGATTCTTCGTGGTTGTTTCCGCTATTTTCCACTGGCGTGTGAAGAAACGATCGGGTTACGTTAACCTCTCCCCAATCTCTGACTCTCGCGATGCGAGAACGAGAATGACCTGGGAATCTATCATGTGGGCTCTTTATATTGCTTGTTTGCTTATCCTTGTGCGGTCTGTCTTCCGAGTGGTCGAGTTCGTCGAGGGTAATGATGGTTTCATCATGCGGAGAGAATATCTTCTTTATATATTCGATGCATGTCTCATGGCACTGACGGGATTCGTTTTGTGGATTTGCCATCCTGGTTCTTTCTTGGCTCGCAGTCAAAACAAGAGAGAGTCTGAGTTGTCTCTACGGCCCTAGAGACGAGGAGAAGCACCCTGATGGGGCCCTGTTTTGCGCTCTCCAAGATGTATAGAAATAGCTCTACAATGAATAGCGATATTACATTTAATCCAATTGAGTGGAAAAGCTTACAATAGATTAGCATGAGTCACAAAAATGATATGACTCAGTTCGAATCGGACTTTACTTCACGAAAGGCCCGATGGAAAGTGGAGAGGGCAGGTAGTAGATAATCCCCGCAAAGTCTCGGGACTGGATAATGCTTCTCTTCGTTTTTACGAATATACAATATGGCTACCATTCAGGATTTACTGGCAAATGATACATCCGCGGCATCCCAGTCAACGCAGTATGTGAACACGGTTGAAGCATACGACAAATGGGCAGAGGTGTGTATATTTTCTGTTTATTTGCCATGCCATTATACTGACACAAACCAACAGGTCTACGACACAGATGGGAATTTTCTTCAACGCCTTGACACAATCGAGATGCGCTCTCTACTCCCTCGATTCCTCGATTGCGTTAAGACCCACGTGCAGGACCAGTCAGAAACAGGAACCTCCAAACCCAGTTTAGTAGATTTGGGATGTGGCACAGGTCGGAACACAATACAATTACTCGACATCCTGTCCGCCAACAAAACCGATACCTTCAATGTTGTTGGGCTCGATGCTTCACCCGGCATGCTAGAAGTAGCGCGGGGTGCAATCAAGGAGTATGCGACGAAACGGGAAATCCCACAAGAGGTGTCTTTAGGGATTATCGATCTCCTGCAACCTGTATCATTGCCCCACTTGCCGCCTTCCCTAGGCAAAGGAGCTGCAGGTGTGATATCAACGCTTGTGCTAGAGCACATCCCGCTTGCACTATTCTTTGTGGCTGCGTCGGCAATCATGAGACCTGGCGGGTATCTTCTGGTGACGAACATGCATGCTGAAATGGGCATGCGAAGCCAAGCTGGGTTCACTGATCCACAGAGTGGAGTCAAGATTAGGCCTACGAGTTATTGTCATACTATTCCCGAGGTTTTGGAGGCAGCCCAGGATGCAGGATTCTCAGTCCAGGAGATTTCTGGAGCAAGTGAAAATGGAGATCATGGCGACGGGGTGCTGGTTCGAGGGGTGGATGAGAGTTTGGGGCTTGTGCTGGGGCCGAGGGCAAAGAAATGGGTTGGGGTCAAGGTTTGGTTTGGTGTTTGTTTCAGGAAGACGAGTTAGTCAGTCCGTGAAAAGGCCTCGGGACGGGAATTGTGCTGGTAATGTGAATAGAGAGGTAAATCAGAGGAGATATTATTTTTTGGGACCATTCTAATCCCATGTTGTTGTTATACATTTAGAAGAATTTCAGTAGTCTGTCACGGTGTTGTACAAGGTTGGGATGCCCTTTGAGCAATTGTCCCAGTCGGTTGCGCTTCCATCCCAAATTTTTATCCAGGATCAAGTGTGTGTAGGCGAAGACGCTGGCATCGAAGAGGCCTGGGTTTGGTCGACCGAAGAAGTGCTCGTCTTCGCCGAGCAGGGTCGATAGTGCCTCAAATGCGCCACTCGCATCGCCTTCCAGATCGGCGGCATCGATGTATCGGGATGTTTTTAGAAGCTCATCACGGGCGGCCTGTTGGAGTTGGTGGCCTAGAGCGGCGCGTACGAGCAAGTTGGAGGTTGCGGGGTTCACGTAGAGTCGACGCGCGACGGCGTCGAAGTTCTCGCTGTCGAGGTAAAGCATGTATAACTGCACATGTCAGTTGTGTACTTTTGGCTTAAATGGCTGTCAACAATGGGGATATCAGCCTACCCAAGCATTGCGTATCCGGTGGTCGATGAGCGACGCATACACCTCGAACCGCAGATTCAATTGTTGTTCCTCCTCGCAATGAACTTGTTCAATAGCCCACTTCTGGAGCTTGTGTGAAGGAATCGGGCTCAAGGCGTCTGTAGGCAGCGAAGGAATAAGGAAAGGAAGGGCACCAGTTGGAGATGCGTGGTTATTAGAGGAAGTGATCTCGAAGTCGATTCCGACGAATTTCAAGTATGCCTAGACCGAGGTCAATTAGCACGGATTCGACGCGGATAGTCACACCATCGGATATATATGACACGAACCTGCCATTTTAGACATTGCGGATTGAAAGAGGGTCGGCCCTGTCGTGCACCAAGCGCATCGGTGAACACGAACAGCTGGTTAACATTGTCATGCCGACAGCGTTGAGGGATCTCGTTGGCGGGATAGACGGTCAATGGGAATTTGTCAAAAAGGTGTTTAATAGGAGCAGGAACGGTAAAGAACGAATTACTTTCGGGAGTATCAGGCATTGTGAAGATGGTTGACAGAAAAGTGCAGTAAATCGCCAATCGTCATCGAAACAATTACTCAAAATGGCGCCAAACCCGATTAGGAAGGCATTGTCTGACTTACCTAATGGACCCAGGTACACGATCTCCCCGCACCTTTTTCGTCTTTTCTCTCTACAGATTTGATTGAACTCGTGGTGAACTCGTGATAGATAGCAGAGACTCGGTTCCACTGCTTTGCTATTCTTATCGGTGCTGCAACGTCAAGTTTTTGCTCTCCTTCGGCCGTTGAAACATCCACTTCGTTCCGTCCCGACTCCACCCCTCGTCTGATCTCATCCTCTTGAGATTCAACAACCTACAACCAGAACAACGTACATATATGGCTTAGTCTTTTCGTATACGATTTGACGGTCCTAGTGGAAACGGGCGATTGCATGCGCGGGGTAAAGCGTTAAAGCTCTGCGGGTTGCGACATTACGAATCAAGCTTGCAGATCATCAACTCCACGGACTCATACATATCGTTTTGCAAATATGCCTCTCGATGAAGAAGGCGCCAAGTGGTCGTGGTAGGACAACATTTCATTAATTTTGAATGAAACCAGACTGAAGTGTTATAGCGAACCATGCATCCGAGGCCATCGATCGTCGAAGTGTCAACACTTCGACAGACTCATGATGAAGGTCCCTAAAGCCGGGCGCCCTCTTGCAAAATGCCCTCACCCGAAAGGAACATGTAGCTGCCAGAAGACATATGCTGTGATGATTCGCATTCCGAAAGGTATAGATTTGGCGGCAAACTTACCCACGTGTATTTCATTGTACTGACTTCCCTCAGGCTCATCTTGCTTGTGTCGGCCACTCTATGAAGTGCCTATGGATGCCAATGAATCCACCCAGTCCCCGACACCATCCATGATTTCAACGTCATCGCCAGCTCCGGGCAAAGTTCAGAAGTCCGGGAGAAGACAGAGCACCATGCAAGCAGCGCCTGAGAACATTGCACGAGCCTTAGAGTCTATGCCAAATAATCTCAAGTTTGAGGATGGAACACCCAACTTTTTGTCAAGTTTCCCGTTGCAGTCAAAGTTAGATGCATCATACGCATCCCCTACTGCTTCGCAACCCGCCCAGGCGCGATCTCCCCCCCAAACCTGCCAGGCAAGACTCGCAGTCCCCACCAGTGTCGAGCTGCTGTTCCCAAAAGCCCAAAGTACAGGATTCGACCCCGGCCCCGGCCCCGACCCCAGTTCAGAATGGAGGAACTTGCTGCGGGCCTCGATCTTCCACAACCAGCCAGTCCGAGCACAACGAACCTGACAAGCAACAATTCCAGCAACCTGCTGCTTGGGATAGTCATTCTTACATGCAATTTGCCGACCCCCAAATGACTTCATGGCACAACCCGACAGTGAATACGCCTGGGAAGTATGTGCCCTCAGTCATGCAAGCGCATCACCACCCACAATTTTCACAAAACGGGTATGGTGAAATGCTGCCGCCACGCTCTCAGCCACAAATCTCCCACAACGGGGTGTCCCTCAATGTAACGTCACCGCAGTCCATGTCCTACCATAATACAATGAAGGGACTTGGAATCACAGAGCCTTCCATGGACCCATTTGTGTTTGACAACCTCCAGTCTTCCTACGTTGGCGCACCAGGTGGGGACCCTTGCCACGAGTGTAGCTGCGGGGAAGATTGCCAGTGCTTGGGATGTGCAGCTCATCCTTTCAATACGACGACTCGAAAGCATGTTCAAGAAATGGGTACCATGATCACGTTCAACGGCGACGACATAAACTCCGAAGCTATCAACACCTATCAACCCTCCCCCTTCCAAAGCTCGACGCCTTCGAATCAGTTCCCTTATTTTATGCAAAACACACCGTCTGTGGATCATACTTTCCAACCGAATCCATTCAATGGTTATTCGGAACCCAGCTCCAACTTACCTAGCGGGTACTCCTCTCCTCTGTCGACGAACCACCATATGAGCCAGCAATTGATGCATCCCTCAGAGTATTATACCTTGGAATATCCTGTCGGACTGCCAAGCGCCTGCTCCGACATTACAGGCAGCTGCCAGTGCGGCAGTGATTGCAGCTGTGTCGGGTGTCTCACGCATAGCGGCCACAACGGCTTCTCTTTGGACATGCCCATTCCCCAGCATCATGTTCCTGACACAGCAGATCAACAAAATTCGCCCCATGCCCCGCAAGCAAGCTCCGCTACCACTCAATCTTCACGGATTCCTGTGCTAGACGGCATGTCTGTACCATGCTCGAGTCCGCGCACATTGGAGACTTCCATGATCTAGATGATTTACGGCTTGATGATGTCTCTCCACTTATGTCCCCCCTCCTCTTTTCTTTCTCATGATCAACACTGATCCACTTTTTTTTCCTTTGATTCTGTATGATTTATGAAGTTCTTTGATACCCTATCTAGAAATGATGCTCTAGACGGCCACTGTGATAGATTGCCCGCTTTAATGAAAATCTTTTAGTTGGATTCTCGTTTTCTTTTATATACCTTTGAGTGACATCTGTCCAGATCTATTACATGGTGTCCACAAAGTCTGTATACAGACTATAATTATAAAATAACAATAGCCCCAAGATTGATAATAAGTGTTTATTATCTCCTAAATAACCTCTTAAGGATTGAAATCCCAAGAGATAGGTAATGAAATAAGGCATGAGCATTACTGAAAGAGGCAGCCAGACAGTGCTACATAGCTATGAAAAGGCAATTCAGATAAAGTGATTCGATTCATAGGAAAGAGAGGAAAAGAAGATATCTCAGACTAAAAAACGCGGCTGACGAATGATGTAGACAGGAAAGTCGGCGGGGTTAGTCGACTCCCAGCCGAAGTGAGACACATACGGATTCTGAATTTGATTGACCATAGCTTTTTCTCTATTGAATGCTTAAAAACAAATCATTGGCTCATAATGTATAAGGTAGCTCTTTATCGCGGTTTTTAGTTGACTGGGGTTCGAAACCTGGACGGCAACCTATCAGCGCCCAACACGGTCGAGACAAGGACACAATATGACGTTCTCACATCGATGAGGCTAAGACATCTGCTTAAATACCAATAGCATGCGCTTGGGAATGAAAAACAAATAGAGATGTAAAATTATCTATGGCCTAGGCTGCCTATATATAACAGGCATATGGGTATGGTGAACAATGAAGCAGGCAAGGGGTGCATATCCATCACATATAGTTCGACCAAGTCCAATTTACTTCTCAATTGGCTTGATATGATGATCATCAATGCATTGGGGGATATCATAACTCTTAAAAAAATGTATTGTACAGATAAAGGATAGGCTCCCACAAGCGAAACCCCAATTAAGCCTTATTCCACTTGCCGAACTTCACATAGTCGTCGTAAAGTGACTTGAACACAGCTCGACCAGAGACATCTAACGCGGCGTTCAGCGCACGCATAGACTCCCGAGACATAACATCCAGAGCAGCATAGAGACCAGGCATGATAGCAGCCTTGACATCCGGGGACAATGACCCGCGAAGCGAGCACTGCGCATACTCCATGACAACGTACTGCAAATACTGGCCAGCAATACGCTTGGCTTTCTTCGTCTGGTCAGTCAGCGCATCGCGAGACGCACCAGGCTGAGGACGGAGGACAGCTGAAACAGTAGGATCACAGAGTGAGGTGAGCAAGCGGGTGTAGTAGGTGGCATGGGAGGCGTCAAGCGGGGCAAGCCAGAAGGGCTGCGAGAGAGTTGTCTGGGAACGCGCCGAGCGGCCACGTTTGCGGGAGCGCGCAAAGAGACAGCCCAGGAGTCGTTGCATGGCGTTTACCACGAGGTGGAAGCGTCCACCGATCTTCAGGCGCTGAAGGCTAAGGACAACACCCATCAGACGACACAGACGGGTGTAGATGGTTGGAGCGTAGGTGGAAGATATCTGTGGCCCAATCTTGGAGGATGCACTAGCGATAGCGGCCAGGATGGCGTCAATGTTGCACTGGGAGAGGCAGCGAGTATGACTGCGAAGGAGAAGATCGAGGCATTCCGATGCGAAACAGAATTGGTCAATGCTTGTGCTTTGCGGGATGGCTTCAGCGAGAGCCGTGCAGAGCAAAGAGATCTCACGTGCAGTGGCGCTCTCCTTGTCTTCCACGGGGGACAGGGAAGCAACGGCGAGATAGATGACTAACAGTCTGTATCCGGCATTTTGTCCAATCAAGCCAAGCCCGCGAACCTCGCAGATTGCTTGAGTAATGCGTTCCACGGGCATGGAGCGGAAACGTTCGGTCATAGCCCGAATGAAGAGCTGCTGGTCCTCAGCATAGAGGGATTGCAGGCTGAGGGTCTCGGCGCATTGCAAAACCGGCTGAGCGATGTTCTTCTCGGGACCCTTGCTGGCAAGAAGACGGCGTCGAATCAACCGCGATGGGCCTGAATCAATGGACATCTCCATGTAATTCTCGATCTTTGACAAGAACTTCTCCACTTCAATGTTGTTGGTGGCAAGATCTTCGAAATCTTCAAGAGCGTCGATGGTCTTGATAAGAGTGATGGTCTCTTCCAGCTTTCCTTTTCTGCATTGGTCTTTGACATATTTCATGTCAGCCAGGACCAAATCAAATACTTTCTGGCGGCACTCGGCCAAATCCTTCTCTGAGAAGGCAGTCTGCAGTTGCTTGCGGTGGACCCAGAGTTCTGACAAAGTCAATCGCAAAAGGAAACAAGCCATGGAATTACGATCCACTTCTCTCATTTTCGTCGTTTGCTTTGATACTCTGGAAAAGAGTTTCTTGAACAGCTTCTTTCGATCATCATCGGTCAAAGCTAGGAGCTTGGCTAATATGGCACGATATAGGCTTCGGAATGATTTCATGATCAGGAGATCGGTATCAGTGCCCTCTAATGTTACCGCGCGAGCGACGGTCCAAATAGGCTCCCAGTCACTGGTGAGGGTGGCATCGCATTTTGGCATGATTGTCAACTTCGCCATCATGGTGATTATGCCAACCAATACTTCGGGAGAATTTTCTTGCTGGAGCAGAACCTTTTGCAACCTATTTAAGATGTTGGTCCTCAGCCCCCGAGTAATCAAAGGAGCTGGAACTCGTTGCAAACTTTCGATCAGGAGTCTCCGGTTGGAAGAATCTTGCTCAATACTCTCATTGAGGAGAAGCGAGAGATCAGCGACAATGAAAGGGGCATTGAGCATGTATTCGTGGCACACAACGCTAGCCCATGCTTGGAGGAATCTTGCTTCTTCTGCGACAGCCTCCAGGGGCAACGAGGACGAATGATACTGAGCAGCTGCCAGTGACAGGATATGCCGGAAAAGGCGCGATCGATCATCAGAGCCAATAAGAGCCCAGACTTCTGGAACTCTGACAAGAGCCAGGAAATAAGCCAGACCTAGGTTGGTTTGAGACTCCACAGAGTCCGTTCGGCCATTCCATGGAGTCTTCATTGAGTTCTTGGCATCCTTGGTCGAGATGGAAGTGATAAGGTTTGTGACATCCTTAGTGATTTTGACGAAGGAACTGAGCTGAGTCTCGCTAGCATGTGCTTTTATCGCAACGATCGAAAAGCGGTAGGCCTCCCATGACTCTAGCGAAGCAAGCTGCCTTTTGCTCAAGTCCTTATGATTGCGATGCACGGTCTTTTCGGCGACCGCAACCAATTCCATGATTGCATGTGCTAGTTTGGTTTCAGCAGACTGCAAAGTGTTGCTCAGGAAATTCCGGAGCAAACGCCACAAACGCCATCGCCAGTGGAAAGCCTGCTTGGAGTTCAGAGTGGAGGTTAAAGTCTCAAGAAGATGTGACAAGGTTTGCTCGGATTCCGAAAATGGTGCGACTCGGCCACGGAAGCTTGCTTCAGCAATAACAAATTTCGCGTAGGATTGAGGAGTTTCGGCAACCCGGCCATTATCTCCTCTCGTTTCTTCAGCGGCGGTACGCATTTGAGCAGCAACATGCGACTCGGTGAGAGAAGTTCGCATGAGGTCTGAATAAGCATCCGACAGATCATCGTCCTCCCAAACCGAGAAAAGACCCAGATTGCTGTTATGTTGCCGAGATTCTTCCACGGTAGCGAGTTGATTGTGCCAAATTTCCATGAAGTTGGGAAGGTCTCTTGCCGCAGCAAACCCTCGCATTAACGGGAGCACGATTTTATCCTTGATCACATTGGGACTATTTGTGCTCCTGGAGCCATTCTCGCGCCAGTGTAGCAAGACTTTGTCGAGCAATGCATCAAGAAGGTTGCGCGAATCAGGCAACCCAGAGTTTGGTAGGAAGATGTCGACACCAAGACCGATGAACAGAGCCGTAACTTTCCATTGGACCTTTTCAAGACCTTCTTCAAACAGACCGGTGTAATTGGCATGTGCGAGAATGGTATGCAAAGAGAGGCCGACATTTCGGTCAAGGGCTACCTGAAGAAGCTGTTCCAAGACTGAGATGAATTTAGTAGAAAAAGTGGCGAAGTCTTCCTCCTTTGCAGTAGAGAATGACAGCTCCGCAACAGCGACAAACAAGGTCTCCAACCAAGGAGCTTCATGAGTCTGACGCCGGAATACATCTCTAGGGACAGCACGTACAGCATTGTCGAAAAGCTCAGGGAGAAGCTCAACTGATCGCCAAGGTTGCACATGTCCTTCTTTCGATGGTTGATTTTCCTTGGCCACAGCAAACTCACGGATGATCGGTCTGAACGTATCAGTTACTGGCTTGACTGAGCTCCAGTCAGGCTCATCTTTAGAATAGTCGATTCCAGAGCCCCCGCGCTCAAAGAATGCAGCGCGAGCCGGAAGCAGGACATGAAGGGCTATAATGCGCTCAATTGCATGAAGAAGATGGGCCCGCTCATCGGTGTCAAGTTTGGCGGACCTTAGGCAAATCTGGAGCCTAAGCGCGTGGGCAAAGCAGTGTCTCGCGAAGAATTCATTGCTGGATTTATTGTCTCCATCATCGTGGCGGTAAGACCTTAACTCCCACAGCTCCACTGCAGAAGGAAACACGTAAAGCAGGTGCTGAAGATCGGTTGTTTGTCCCGCATGCGAAAACTGCTTGGCGGCCACGGCGGCGACCCGGAATGATCGACCCAGCAGCATAGCGACAGCCTCAGGTTCACCCCTCAGCGCAAGCTTGAGGTGTGAGTTTGCCACTCCGTCGGTACCCAGTGTACGTTGTGAAAGTGACATAAATCCGTGAAGACAATCCAAGGCGCGAATGAAAGCGAGGAAGCATGCTGCGGGGCTCTGTCGATGTTCGTCTACTTCCATAGGGTCTGCATCGGTTTCAGTTGTCATTCTCTTCCGCTTCTTCCCTTGATTCCCTCGGCGATCATCACGGGGCGGAGACCCAGCCAATGTGTGACTCGATTCTGAGTCAGAACCCAGGGTCGTGAGTCCATTCTCAAGAGCGGCAAAAATGTTGGTTTCCAGATCTGCAAATGTCTCACATAGAATCGAGAGGAACTTTTGATCCTTTAGAACAGCGGCAAGGTTTTTGGGCGAGATAAGGTCGATAAGTTGTCGCAACAAAAGGAATGAAGCCGCGTCCAGTCTGTAGTTCTTCCCACTTCGTAGTCTCTTCAACAACCAGCGTAGAACCCATTCCTCCTTCGGGGTAGCGTTGGCCTGAATCCGAACATCCCGGTGGACTTCCGGATGACTATCACATAGCGCCAAGTCCAAGCCGAGAATCTGCGCCGCTTCATGTAATTGAGTAGTTGGGCTGGCTGTACCCTTCTCGAGTTGGAGGAGCGCCTCTTGCGAAGAGCGCGGACGCTGTTGGAGCGCAACAAGTTAGACCACGCAAAAGATAAATGCACAATTGTACAGTATTTGTAGACTTACCTCCGCAAGCAACGGCATCTCGAATAAAGCGAACTACTCAAGTGAGTGGTTATTTGTTTCGTGGAGGAGAAAAAAAAGAGATCGAAAAGAAAAACCGCGGATACCTCCGACCGCCTTTGCCCAAGTCAACTCGGTCCGTTGAAACACCTCCCAAACTCCTTGCACTCCTCACGCCTCCATTCACCTCTTCAATTCCGAATCATTGCAACTGGTTAGTGCTGGATCTTAGTAACGGGCTGCGAATTGATTGATGTTTACTTATTTGTCGCTAGATTTATCGCAATGGCTGAATCCAACGAATCCGGGCCGATCGCACGAGCTACCAAGCCCGTCAGCGAGGCTCTGCTGAACGAGAAGGTACGATATAGCTTCAGCCCCAAATGATAGGGATTGTGCTCAATGATATTAATCACAATATCCGTGACATTTCCCTCCGTTGGGGCAGAAATATGAGAATTTGTTAGCTAACCCAACTTTCAATGTTTAGTGGGACCGCGCCATCTCCTCCGTCATTATCAAGTCCTCCCTCGGTCTGTCTTTCGGTGTTGTTTTCTCCGTGCTCCTGTTCAAGCGCAGAGCTTGGCCCGCGTGGGTTGGTCTCGGCTTCGGTGCCGGACGTGCTTGGGAAGAGGCTGATGGTACGTTGATATCAAAGTTTCTTTGGATCATAGAATTCCCAGAAGTTCCTGGGAAAATTGGCAGCTGCTGGCCACCGTTGTATGGACTTCGTCAAGCTTGAACCGACAACATGTGCTATATATTTTGCAGCATCAAGTTTCTTGGTCCTGACAGTGGCCCGGCTATCCGCTTTTCCCGATCTCTCTTTCCTCCGAACATGGAATATTACCGAGCTAACTCGAATCCAGCCTCCTTCCGTCGTGGTGACTCCCCCATCAGAGATGCTCTGCGCCGCTAAACAAGGGAGCCCAAGCGTGTACGATATATTGTACAGGAAGCAAGAAGCCATCAATCAATGATTGTCTTAGGCCCAGAGAAGATGTGGTATATTGGTTTTCACCAATCGACTGTCGATGCCATGCGAGGTATCTCCTTGAGTTTTTTTTATTGTCTCCTGAGTTAAGAAACATGGATCTGAATGAAAACCATGTTCATCCGGGCAAGACTCCATTTATAGCACATCTTTGCCGTTAGAATTTACGCAGTCCGGTTTGAATTAGACAAGGAAGAATGAGATCTATCAAAAATAGTCAAAGTGTGTGGTAAACCCGCAAGTCATCTAGTGGTCTACTTTCCAGAGAAGCAGCTACTGATTGCTATTGCCTGTTGCACAATTGTACAAGTCTGGGGCCAAAAGTTGCAGACTTGGAGGTCCTGTAGTAGCCTGTCTTGTGCATCGTGGTGGTTCTTGTCGTGCCTGATTCGAGTGCCTTTGTGATATAGCAGACGTTAGTCACAATGCTTGTCTATCAAAAGTACCTATCCTTCTAGTCAGAGACTAACTCCATGTATCCATATTGGATTACATTTCCTTCGTCATGGGAACTGTAGGCTTTTGTTCAAGCGATCAACACCTGGGCACCCAAAACAATGATTTTTGGCAACCCAACACCATCCAAATTTCACGACAGCAAAAGTTTGCGTAAATAATAGAATAAGCCATCGAAGCAGAGGCCCGGATTCAATGCGGCTTCCTCTAAAGCGCCCCAATCCAGATATTTGATACAATATTGAGTGTCCATACATATATGCAGCTTGTGTTGAGATGTCAAGGGCATTCATATACAGGTAGAAAGGCAACTTGGGCATAGCTGCCACATATCGCGCGATATCCAGCTCCACTTTGCTTCTGCACTAGATCATGGAGTCAATTGGTTGATCTTGCGAAAGCTGACTGGTAGCATGTTTACGAAACTGTAGTCGCGGCGCCTTTAACACATCATTAGTATGTGTCACCTGGCATACAAACCCTCGTTGAGCTTGCGACTTACGAGATTACGCCTCCAACCTTACTCGAGGCTCCATTGCATCGCTGCCAGCAATGAGCAGCTGTGCGTTACCCATTCCGCATGATTGGAGAGGTGAAGCTTTTATACGTGTCAACACCTTAGGGCAGAACTAGTTTTGAACCGAAGGCACGGCCAAAACAAATTTGTAGCTGACTATCGAACCAGTGAAAAGGGGATTAAAGCCACGCAGGAATTTGTATAGCTAGCGTGAATTGTATCCAGAGCTTGTGGAGTAAGATATACCTAAAATTTTACAATCACAGAATTCGGGAATAGACATTGCATAAGAGGGTCACGAGGCACGTTACATAGTACAGCATTTATTAGACGATGAGTTTGGAGCAGGGAAGTTGATGCCACCTTAGCACCGAGGAAATAGTCACGTTCCTTCCTCCGTACTTCACTTCAACGTAATCCAATAAGATTATACCAAATCTGAATGTAACAAGGTGACGATAGTGTTCATTGTCAGATATCTCTTCAGCTAGTATATCATAGCCATGTACGGAGTATATAGGTGCCATACAAGCCAAATCTCAAGCGACCTCCATTATAAGATGAAAACAATATATATATATATATATATATATGAATATGAATATAATAACCTTAAAAGTGAGTCTATAATTAAAAGAATGCACAATTCATATTGTTCCGAAAGCTAGAGCTACATACAGGGAAACAATACATAAAGCAAGTCATGTGATCTCTTATTTCATTACTCGATCACATCGAGTCAGCGGATTTTAACTTCATTTTCTATCTCCAGCTTTTTCTCCACATTAATGTTCGGGGCAGATTAGATATCGTCCACCAATCATATCCACGGTTTTATCACTCGGCTTTCTTGCAGAGCCATTTAAGTGGGCTCCAGCTCCCCATTTCTCACAGATAACGATGGGTTACTCGAGTCGTTCGGTCACTGAAAATGATAGGCGCACATACCCTGGGCTCAAAATGCTACGAGAGGACCCGACTGGGGAAACGGTATCTAACATGGATCCCGTTCTAGCTATGATCATCCCATAGAAACCATTTTGATTGCTTATCGCTCCATGTACTTGGGGAACAGGGAACCGAACCCACGTAATCTGATTTAAACGTACTACAATGTGGTGTGTCTGGGATCATTATATCATAAATCTATCCCCGTTTTCTTTTCATACTCGGTTTTTGTCCATCATTTAATTCATATTCTCCGCGGTTCATCGCTTCGCACTATATATAGTCTTGCACACAGCACAACAGTCTCTATTTCTCTATTCCCATTCCTTCCTAATACTTTATTGGCTCGCGCGTCGGAAAGAGCAGCTATACACCACCATGTCGAACCTGAGATGGGTGCTTGACAAGGTAGCCGTGGAAAGTGAACCAGGGCTCACCAACGCTCAGATGATGTTGACGAACAGTGATTTACGGCCAGGTGAGACCATTCCCACGAATTTCATTCTCTCGATAAATTATTCTGTTGCAATCGTTGGTTCCAAATTCATCACGACTAACTTTTCCACAGTCGACCCTGAACGACGTCAATGGAGGTGGCCCAACTATGTTGCATTTTGGATTGCGGATTCTTTGAACATTGTCAGTACCCCCGAGTCGCGCCTGATATAAGAAGATATAAGAGCAAGGATGGCACCTAATATCAATGGTAGAATACATGGATGATCTCTTCCTCAATGATCGTCGATGGCCTTTCTTGGTGGCAATCTTGGCTTTGTGTCTGGGTTGGCTATTTTGTGGCCGCATGTTTCGTGTGTCTGACCGGTCGAATTGGTGCTGTCTATCACATTTCATTCCCAGTAACAGCTCGAGCTTCTTTTGGAGTATGGGGATCTTTCTGGCCCGTTCTGAACCGGGTGGTGATGGCTGTCATCTGGTATGGTGTGCAAAGCTATATTGGAGGTATGTATTTTCCCGGCCTGGCGATAGGGTAAAAACTGACGTGTGCCTAGGCGAGTGTGTGACCCTGATGATTGAGGCTATTTGGCCAAGCTACCGGAACCTCCACAATAGCCTCTCTGCCAGCGCCGGCGTCGATACCAAGAACTTCCTCAGCTTCTTCCTGTTTTGGCTGCTCTCCCTCCCAGCATTGTGGTTCCCTGTGCACAAGGTGCGCCACTTGTTCACTGTCAAAGCGATTTACTCTCCCATCGCGGCCATAGCCTTCTTTGGCTGGGCCATTTCTCGCGCCAATGGCCTCGGTCCGATTATTCACCAGTCCAACACCGTTCACGGCAGCGATTTCCGATGGGCGATGGTGAAGGGAATCATGTCCTGCATTGGAAATTTTGCAGCACTTATCATGAACGATCCCGATTTCTCACGATTTGCACGAACGCCCAAAGATGCATTGTGGTCCCAGCTATTCACTATTCCCGTCGGTTTCGGCGTGACTTCATTCATTGGAATCATCGTGTCCTCTTCATCATCAGTGATCTTCAATGATGGCTACACCTGGAACCCACTTGACCTTCTCGGCAAATTCCTGGACGGAGCGAGTTCTGGACAGCGCTTCGGTATCTTTATTATTGCCACTGGATTCGCTCTCGCCCAACTAGGAACCAACATCTCTGCCAATTCAGTCTCAGCAGGAACTGATCTGACTGCCCTTATGCCCCGATACTTGAACATTCGGCGCGGTAGCTACATCTGCGCTATTGTTGGTCTAGCTATGTGTCCGGTATGTGTTCCAGCCTTTCGCTCCACGCATAGATTTTATGTGGACAAAGCTAACTAAGTCTCCAGTGGAACCTCGTCTCTACCTCGAACAACTTCACAACCTACCTCTCTGCCTACTCCCTCTTCCTATCAGCAATTGCCGGTGTCATGATTTGCGACTACTACATCGTTCGCAAGGGCTACCTCGACATCAAATCCCTCTACAGCGCCCGCAACACCGACCCCTACTACTATACCTTCGGATTCTCCTGGCGTGCATATACGGCCTACTTCTGTGGAATCATGATTAACATTGTCGGTTTCGCGGGTGCAGTTGGGCGCAAGGTTCCAATTGGCGCGGAGTACATTTATAACGTGAACTATTTCTCCGGCGTGATTGTTTCGGGAACCGTGTACTTCATCTTGACGCGGATTTTCCCCGTCCCTGAGACAAGTGCTACTTGGAATGAGGTCGATATTGATACTCTGGATCTTGACATCGCGTATGGGCAGGACCCTAGTGATTTGGAGGCTCATGGCGGCCGGAAGTCATTTGATGATATCTCTGTGGATCAGAAGGGTCTTAGTTCCTCAGCTAAGAAGATCTGAGCGGATTGGGTTGATTATTTCGAGTGCTGTTTATCTTGGTTTACCTCCGGCCTCGCCGTTGAGCTGGTTTAAATGTATATGATAATTACATTCCCTATAAGGGACGTACATACGATGACATGACAATTGAATATGGCTTCTGACAATTACCCGAACATGATCCCAGCCATACTTCGAAATGATAGCTTGCCTTATATCATGGGAACCTTCCAGTGTTGGAACGCCCAGATGAAGTTGGGAAGGTGCGACTATGTGAGCACCTGTAAATCCCTCCCCTATTCTTCCCTTCTCCTCTCTCCGCGGGCCAACCTGCATCTACATATTGAAATATTCAAATAAATCCCGTACATGCAAGTTATTAACCTCACTCCAAGCGCAAGAAAACTTGCATCTGCTGTCCAATCTGGCCTGAAAAGTTATACGGTTCGTACTTCCTCAATCAGCACCCAGATCCAGCGTTCTGTACAACGTGATATGCATATAATATATGTTCCTGGTAGTTTGTTTTGTGTGAAATGAACAGCTTTACATTATCAATCAGTGATATAACCGATTACCTCGCACTTAGGAGTGTTTGCGGGCTCTTCAAGTCCTTTGCCGGAGTTTTCTGCCTCTACGTTCAACAAAAGGCCCTTGCGTTGATGGTGGCTTATCTTCTGCTAAATACTATCTTAGGTGTGCTAGGTGAGAAGCGCTGTGAGCGATTCGGTGAGTTGGACCTGCCGCCGAGGTTGTTACAGATGCCATTACACTCTCATGAGCGAAAATTCCCGACTAAGTTATTAGCACGTTACTTGATGAATATTGGCAAAAGTGCGATTGGGGATCAAATGTTAAGGATGTCTGCGCACATCTACACAGCAAATGACGGTACAAGGCAAGGAGTAAGCTGACATGCAACGGAAACCCCCACGTGTGATTAATCTATTGCCTTTCTTAGGTTTCCGTACAAAATGCGAGGGAAGTGTTAGTACGGAGTAGATTCAAGAGTGATGCCTGTGGTTTAATGCAAATAATACAATCCTTCGACAGGGATAGTATCGAGCCGCCTCTAAGAATAGACGATAATTCGAACTCAACAAGAAACCAACGAACACGTACCAATCCTGTATAACCACAGCTGAATTACAGCAATACACGTCGCGACAGCAACACTAAGAAATGGATCCACAGCTGCAACAGGTCCTTGATACGCCTACCCACAATATCATTCGACACGAATGGATTCCCAACGAGGGACCATTCAGCGAAAACCGCCAAGGCCGGACCAAGATTTGCTGCAACGGCAGTGAGCGTTGGGCCGTCCAAGCGACCCGCGCGTCGTATTCAACAGATAACTCTCAAACACTCAAAAACTATAAAGAAAGCCATGATTGGGATTGATTGAGAAACGCTGGTGGATTAGAATTATTGGCCACTGAGGAACTAGACCCTGAAGGTTGGGATTTGCACTCAGTCACGGTTTTCACTGAAATGCCGATGTGGGCTGAAAAGCCTTCGATAAAAATTCTGGAAGCCACGTTGTCCACTGAGTGGGGTTTCAAATCTTGATCATAGATTTGAAGGAAGGAAAGCGTTATTTTTAGCTCCAGATCTGCGACATATGGAACTCGCCGGACCTGTATCGATAGATATTGGACCCGGTTGTTTGGTATAAAGTGGACGCGAGTTGCTTAGTGTGTGTTCCCTGTAATTGGGATTCGTAAACAAATAAATTAATTGAAATGAGCGCCCCAAATAAATCAGGTTACCTGACTCTAGACTCCGTGGCAAGCGGGATAGAGTTGAAACACGTATACTTTACACCTGGGAAGCAGGTATTTTAGCCATAAGACCGGCGTGCACGCTTATGACGGCTTCGGGGTCTTTTTTCTAGCCCTGCAACTTGCCCCGCCGACGTTGATGGTAATGGTCGGCCACTTCAGAACGCCGGCATGTCTAAGACATATGCTGTCTTGGCCAATCGCGATGCTGAGCTCAGATGGGTAAAGTGGGGTTTACAAGAGCCGCTTGGGGAATGATGTTTGCCGTGTATCAAGAGCGAAGATATGGTTCCGCAACATCTAATCTGTCAGGCAAATAACGTTCAGCCATAATTTCCAACAAGACGGGTTGAAGACATATTGTTTCTACCTGATGGATCATACGACGTGATCCAGGTACTTGGGGACGCGTTCCAAAGTCCCAAGTTTCCGCTTTCCCGCTCTTCCGCGATCCCGCTTCAGGTTGGGCACAACCCGTTAAGTCCCAAACAGAGGTGAATCAAGAACTTGTATCAGATTTCTGGTCATACGACCACGCTCCTTAATGAGAAGGGCTTTCCATTGCGTAGAAATTTCATTAAGATCCTACAATCTATGCCCCTTTTAGACACGATCTGAGCATAAAGCCGGAATCGACAGTGGCAATAGAAAAATAAGTGACTGAAAGAAGGTACATCAACATATCAACCTTAAGACGGACGGTCGGATCATGCCGGTTCCGGGACGCTTTTTCCTTGCTTCTTGAAACAAAGGCGTCATTTAGAATAGAGCCAGGTCAAGTCGCAATTTGTGACTCTCGTTACACAGTCAGTGACGTGCGAGCAATCGATGCCCTAGGATCATGTCGCACCAACAGACCTCGGAAACGATGGGGAAAATGATTTCAAGGTGAGTCACATGCGCCTAGAAACCAGCAACATTTGAAGAAAAGGCAAAAGGCAAAATAGGGGAAAGGAAGAAATTCAGTTACTTCTTCCTGCAGCCGGAACTGTAATGTGGAATAGGGAAAGTCTCATAGTATTTATCACAGCCCAATGAGAGACCTTGCGAAGAATTAACGCTGAAAGGCACTATCAATAGAGACGGAATGTCACATCAACAAAAGACGCCTGAGGATGGCGGGATGTCGGGATAGGCCTCTTGCGTGTTGCTCTGTTTCCCTGTTCACTTTAGTAGGTTATTTTTATAATCCGGGTTGGGTTCAGCTGCACAATTTCCTTGGAAGCATCGAAGACGCATCGAAGGATCGGAAACGAGACCGGGCTGACAGTGGCTGGCGGCTAGGGCGAGGGCGGGGGATGTCTGAGACGTGTCAGTCATTGCGGTGAATTGCTTTCTCTGGTAACATCTAAGTGGTAATGTCTAAATGCTAGTATTATTTTGGTGCAGTCGATGCACTGTTTAAAAGTAGAATCTTGCCGACTTGCATGCTAGCGAAATTTGGGTTGTTATATCAAAACCAACTAAGCATTTGTTCGATCAAGTGCATTAACGCATTTAACTACAAGCTACTTCTATTGAAAAGTAATTGTCCGATGTAGAGAGTAACATAGAAGGAAAGGTAATTTGTAGGAAGAATTAGTTATGAATAACCAAACTATGCATCACTTACTGTGAAGAGTAGAACATTCGCATCCCAAATGGTTCAGGGACTTCTGAAGGATTGAACGTTGTCCTGTATGAGGCGGCAACAGTTCCTTCCCCCTTGGGATGTATACCTATTTCCAAGTTAGCTTGTAACGTGAATAACATGAGCCTCGAAATATTTCAATGTTACATTGGAAGAAGAAAGAAACTAGGTAGTTCTAAGTAGATGCTAAGGTGTTTCGAGGTGTTTCGAGTCACTAGGTAAATTGAATCCTCCGAGGTCCTAGGATCCAAATATTGATACTACATACATGTGCAGGTACTAGCTATGTAAGTAACTACTTCAAAGTTGATGACCGAACGGGAGGAAATAATATTACATTGGAATGGATACGACGTATACTTTTACGCCCCTTCCGTCTTCTCCTGAAGATCAAATCAGTGTTACGACAGACTCTTTTTTGGTTTTTTTTGTCTCAAATGATCACAGTACCCCTGAATTAACACATATAAATGGCTGACGTTGACATATCCCTACTAGCTTAAGCTAATAACGGTTGAGAACTGTACCTGACCGACACGTATTGGTAATGGGGTATTGGTAACGGAGTGGTAATACCGTAACATTCCTATTTCAATACTTCAATATTTGATGTGCGTCTTCATGATGTCATCATATTTCCCTTCCCTTCAAGAGAGAAAGAGTCCACGGGTGCGGTAGATAAATGTCTCGTCATCAAGGAGAAGATCGGAAAGTAATGACTGACTATTATTGAAAGGGAGAGATTTCAAAGAGCCGTGAAAAAAATCCGTACTCCATTTTATGTTTCGATTATATATTTTTTTGCTTTTTTTTACTCCATCGATCGAATGGAGACGGAGACGGAGAATTCAAGAGCACTCAATCAAAGGATCCCCCCGCAGAATCATGAGTGAACAAAGGAAATGAAGGAACATTTGAGATTTTTTTCCTTCCAACCGAAGGTTCCGTCCCATAGGTACCCGCCAACTAAGAGCGGGGAGTCGTCATTTAGGGCTGTTGATCGTAGCAAGGAACGGCTGCGAGATTATTTGACCAGTATTTATTACTTACATGCGCATCATTAGCTCTGCATTCTCACTTAGCTTCATTAGAAATAGTGGCATTGAATTCTTCAGCCTGTGTTTTATGCATAGTTGCATCGTTCATGATATAATTCCTACGTATAGGAATAATCTTCATATAACCATGGCACAGTTAACTATGTCATATTATCGTTGAACAACTACATGTAACTATAGGTACATGTAATTTTGGACTTCCAGAGAACATATCAGAAGAAACCAAGAATAACCCCTGAAGCGAGGACATATTACACCAACCATACCTACTCCGTACCATCTAATAGAACGACCCTGTCAAGTGGGCCGAGCGACGTTAGTTAGTCCCACATCAAAGCCAATGGAAGCCACTAAGAATCTTTTGGAAAGAAAGATGGTAAGACATCTATTTCTCCATTACTCCGTACTGTACAAATATTGTACAATGTATACCTAAGTCATACCAAGTCTCTACTTTCATCCCATTCTTTGTTCCAGCAGCCGTGGGATCCGAAACAGATTGTCCATGATTGGATGAGAAAACCAAGATCTGACCGGCCTCGTCACCACTAGTTAGCTAGGATTACGGTGACGGCCGTAAAAACACGCGCCTAATAACACATGAGACAGTGTTACAAGAACAACGGGAAACCCGCTGTCTAGGATATGGAAATTATTTCACGGGATGACTGCCAAGTCACATATCGCATATCAGCGCTCGAAACACCGTGGTAAAAAGCATGGTATGATGACAGAAGAACCGCGAGCAAATGAGAATCAATGAACATTTTCCCTCCCGTGTGCGACCATCTGTGATCATCATGATTGTCGAAAACTAGTGTATTACTTGAATTGTGAAGCCACAGAAGGGTCATTATTAATAGAGACCGAGAGGCGGTCAAACGTTTTGAGCAGAGATTATCGCGTTGGCATCGAAGAGTGGCTCAACGGATCCTTGCTTCAGCCACCGCTCTTTTATTTTTTAAGTGGGGTACATTGAGGATGAACGCCTCTCAAATACGATATTGTACATACCGGGTTCAATGATGTCTTCATGGTAACGTGGCGCTTTTCGACGCATCATCGAATAATTTTAGAACTTGTCTTGCCTACAATTCTTAATTTATTCTCTATGATATCTTATCCTAAGAAAGTGGTCTTGTCAAACCTACTACATCAGCCCTGCACGATATCACGTCGATAGCGCACGGATCCATCAGATAGGAAACGCGGTAAGCAATGGCATCAAATGTCTATAGAGCATGTGAGTCATTTAATTCCTTTGCAACCCACTTCGAAAAAAAAAAAAAAAAGCAAGAGAAACCCGACCAGGATAAAGATGTTTCCTTTTTGGGAATGGTTTATCTTTCGACGTATAGATCAACTCGCGGGGGCCATTTCAGATAATACGCCGAAGTAGGCGCGGATAATGCGTATTTAGTCTTTACGCATCGATAGTGGATAGTTAGAACAACTACAAGTTGACGTTCAAACAAGATCCTTGTCAGTAGCTGCAAGTGTTGATGCGGCTGTCAGGACCAGAAGATGTAATCTTTCGCGCTGTGAAGGCAATCATCTTGGGTGACGTGCAGCGTAGGATCAAGAAGGTAGTCCTAATCTGAGGGGTGAGAGGGGCTCTGCTTTTCTTGTCCGGCTACAGCGGTAGTAATTTGTGAGGAAATGACAAAATCAAGGAAATGGTAGAGCACGGCATCGCCAGCTCATCAAGTCTAACGGCTGCGGGGTTGTAGGGCATATCAACCCCGCAGATGTTGCTATTGCAGGCTCATACTGAGTATGTATATTTGTAGTATACATATTCCTCGGTATCTCGGTATCTCAAATGTGAATTTACGAGTTACGAGGTACGAGCTGCAGGTTCAAAAATAAAGAATAAAAAGAATTACAACATTGTATAATGGGAGTGAACGGGAACTGCAAGAGCCACAAAATTCTGACAATTGACTATACCAAAGCCCAATTTTTCAATAATCAATAAATTCATTAGTAAAACGGGAGCCATTGTAACTCCCCTATTAACATTGTAGTGTCTTTTTATCATTTAATCTTTATTTTTATTATCGTTATTTTCTTTTCTCTCTCAGCCCTCTCTTGACCCACTGCACCGCCCAACCCGTTTGTTTCACTGCCACACCAAGCCTCACCAATTCAGGGATGACATTCTGATTTGATATGTTTTGAATTTGCACTATAAAACGGTGTACCAACTTAACTTACTCATGTAACACTACTCTGTATGAACTGTGCGGTGTAGACAATCCTATCCCCACCAAAGTGCCGAATAGGAGGAAATGATGATGTGCGTCGTGATCGTTTGTGATACTGTCCTTTCACCATGCTTGCCTCTGGGCGTATTGGGCAGAGATATGCACCTGACCAGTCAACAATGAACGCAAGAGACAAGACTCATTGATAACTCGTACCACAGGGAGAACAGTAAAGTTTAATCGAGGCTGTTTCGAGATCAAAACGCAATAAAAAAAGTAGGGAATCCGAGGGCTCCGCATATCTTCCCCGGGGCCGTTGTGTCGGTGCTTGGGCGGGAATTTACACCGAGGTAATACAACTAATAATGACATTATAAGTGGGTCGGTTACGGGCAAAGATTGATTGTATGTCTGCTTTACAATCTCATTCTAGGAAAAAGCAAAGAAAAGTACAAAACAAGAGTACAGATTCAACTGTGGTGGAACTACTGGATCCCAGTGAGTCAGACTATACTCCGTACTGCCTGCGATGTATTGTTGTATCCACTATGTTCAATTGTCTCTCCGAGCACTAGAATGAAAGGATGTTAGGCCCCCTTTTTTTCTTGTAACAATAGACCTACACCGCATCAGATCCGAAAGAGACTATGTAATAGGTAGATGATTGTGATTGTAATAATACCCGCAAGTCATCCCTTTAGTGCTCCCGTCCAACTCACTTGAAACAAAGATCGACCCTATTTGGTCGATAACGTTCCCCAGGAATCCCAAGGATCGTCCAATGACACCGAACAACGGGGTCTGCCCAACTGCTGGCGTGCAGTCATTCCACATAGTCAATCTCGTGGTAGGCATCTCTGTAATTTGATAGGCACTTAGGTATGAGGTAGTGCCTGAACGTAGGGAAGGCATACCTTGGTGAAATATGCAAATTTAGTTGCGTAAATCGCTAGTTTCTCAGTATTTAATCATTTCATAGGCCCTCCTTTTCTTTGCTTAATCTTTGTTGCTTTTTCTTTTATTGATCTCAAATCTAAGCCCCATTGCTTCATATTGCTCAATCCTTCAAATTCCGTATAACCTATCCTCTCGCCCTAAAAAGAGAGGACGACTTGCATATCTTGACCAACACAAGTGATAGTATATACCTAGGTATATTATCTGAAGTTTCAGTTTGAGTATAAAGACCCAGTGTCTTATACAAAAAAGCAAAGAAGAGAATTGTCACAAACAAAGAACGCCATACTCCGACTCCGAATTGGGGAAAACCTACATCGGTACCAAATACCGAGTATTTTACGATTACACAATACTAGTAATACAATTATTACATACACTATCGTAAGTATGATTACCCACTGCAGCTTCAATTCGTTCGCGGAGCCCTGGAGGACTCAATTGATTTAATAATTATTTTTCACCCCCTTCATCTTCCCCCCAAAATATTCCTTGGAGGAAAAAAATTATATTGACTCAATACGATAAGGATAACAGCAGGACTTTTTTCCTCTCGTCGTACGATCATACCGTCAACTTTCGACTTCCTCAATTCTACCCACTCAACTCGCATACGGACCTAAGTGGCCAACACGTAACCGTGCAGCAACTGGATCAGCTCACGACAACCCTCAAAACGGCACTAGACAATCCAACATCAGCGTCTCGTTAACTCGCTCCAACCGCCGATTGCTCGTCTTTCCTTTTTCGACCACCTGCATCAACTGCGTTGGCACTTCTGTCACAATATTCGATTTTCGTCGCATTCCCTACCCAAAGCTACATTGCGCCAGGGAAAAAAAACTCCCTGCAATTTAGCACGGGTAATCCCATCGTCTGCCGCATCGCTAGTCTACAACCACACCCAGTCGTTCGCTGCCTGCCGCCGAACTAGGACAACCATTGGCTTTTTCTTTGGTCGCCGGTCTCTGGTCGCTGCCACCGTCTACCTCCGCAAGCACACAAAGCTACTTGTTGGGGCTCTTCTTCGAACTCTACGATCGATACCTGCATGCGCATTGCATTCGGCCTTTGACTTTGGCGCACGCCTTCCAATTTAGAACGGGCTCCGCTTCCCCTTCCCGGTTCGTTCGGTGATTACACGATCAATTGGTCCATATCATAATACGTCCCTTATCCGGCGCAGAGCAGTAGCTTTCCCCACGTACCGGCAGATCGCAACCAGAAGAGAGGGGTAGCATTGGTCTCATTGGAAGGAAACACGCAGGACCAGTCAAGTTCTGAAAGAAGAAGGACAAAAAACTGCGGACCGCAACCTTGAGGCTGGAGATCATCCCCTGGTGTTTTGTTTGTGACGTCTATTTCAAGTGGTTAGCATCGGGCTAAGAAAACCCCTCGTGGGAGATTGGCCGTTGCACAGGGCCAGTGCCCTTTGCAATTGTTATCGGGGACTTTTCCTTTATCCCTCACATATTTTTGTGTCTCGGTTCCTTCCCGTGAGCTGCTCTCCGGCAGGGCTCTCCGCATTCAATTCCAACCAGGCCAAGATGCAGTAGAGTTCAAGAACGGCGAACTTCTGCTGAGGACGTGGCTGAACCATTATCTTTTTTTTTTTTTTTGGCTCGGATCGCATTACACCCTGACAGGCGGCAGCCTTGCGAACCTTGACAGCAGGCTGGTCCCCTACGCTGTTATTCATTCGTCCATTTCTGGGTCCAGGTGACTCGGACATTGGCACGGTTCACGACAGGCTTAGATTGCACCTTTCGACAGCTGAGCTGTCGCTTCTGATAGATAGTCACCATGGCATATGCTACGACTAACTCGCCGGTTCTGGACGCCGACACCCAATCAGGCTTAAAGCTTGCAACATCTCTCCCTCAACCAACTTCTTTCCATCATGTTGTCCATTCTTTGCCTTCTGGACAACCGTTCTCTAACGCATCCTCCTTCACATCTTCTCCAATATCGACACCTACCTCATCATTCCCTGCTTCCGATACATCATACGCTTTCTCGCCTGCTGGTACTCCATTACAACCTGCCGGCGAAGCACTTCCTGGTCGAGTAAACGGGTTATCATTGCCCATTCCAGCCCCCCTCGAACTTGGCGAGTCTATGATGGCCGTTCCCGCAAATGCAAACGCAAACCCCTCCAGTTTCAGTGACGTTGCTTCTTCAGCACCAAAGGCACCGGGTCTGATGCGACGAATCTCCCGCGGTGCTGCCAATAAACTTACTCGCAGGAGACAGTCCGCCAGCCAGAACGATAAACGAGATCGAAGTACTGGCCCCATTATCATGCGCCGCCGTAGTGACAGCAAAACTGGTCCTCAACCCGTTCGAGAAAGCGCACTCGATTCGAGCAATGAAGACGACGCAGATGAAGCCATGGATAGCCTGGGTGCATGGGCCGGCTCGGAACCGTCCAGTCTTCGAAGCGAAAGCCGCATGACATTTGCTCGCGAGGTTGGGCCTGCTGCCGCAGTTGCCCTCGCTCCCAAGGTCGACTCGGCCGTTCAGCGCGGCACTGTCCTCACAAAGGTGACCAAGAAGCGCAGAAAGCAAGTGCGATTCTTCCTTGACCTCGATGCTGCGAAGGTCTTCTGGGACGTTTCAAATCCAGCAAAGCGCTTTTACATCGACGATATCAAGGAAATTCGTGTTGGTGCCGACGCTCGCAATTACCGTGAAGAACATCAGATCCCAGAAGACTTAGAGCGTCGGTGGTTCACCATTGTGATTGCGGATTCTGATCGCTCCAAGGGCCGGACGGTCAAGACTCTGCACCTCATCGCTCCCAGTGACCGTATCCTCGACCTTTGGATTACCACTCTGGAGCACATCTCTCGCTATAGAATCGGACTGATGGCTGGTCTCGCTGGTTTGGGTCAAAGTGAGGCCGTTCTCCAGGCCCACTGGCAGCGGGAGATGTCAAGACTATTCCCACAAGGCCTTCCTCCAATGGAGGAGCAAAGCCTCGATCTCGCTGCTGTGGAGACGGTCTGCCGCAGTCTGCATATCAACTGTTCCAAAAACATGCTTCGGGCACAGTTCACCAAAGCTGATGCCGCCCGCAATGGAAGGCTGAACTTTTCGGAGTTCAAAGATTTCCTCATGCGTCTGAGAGAACGCAAGGATGTCAAAGACATCTTCAAGCATCACACTGCCAACTCAAAAGAAGGCATGACTCAGGATGAATTTCTTGCTTTCCTCCGTGATGTGCAAAACGAAGATGTCGATTCCGATCGAATCTACTGGGTTGCACTGTTTAACAAGAACGTTCGGCGATCCTCTAAATCCCGTACCGCCTCCTCTGAAGGGTCCGAGGTTATCCAACCTGTGTCGCGGATGAACCTGGACTCGTTCTCCGCATTCTTGGCTTCTTCCAACAACGGCATCTACGCATCACGTGCTCCACAGTCGAGGTTTGATCGCCCATTGAATGAATATTTCATCTCAAGCTCTCACAACACCTATCTCCTGGGCCGCCAGGTCGCTGGTGCTTCGAGCACCGAGGCTTATGTAAGCGCACTTCAGCAGGGATGTCGTTGTGTAGAGATTGACTGCTGGGATGGTGCGGATGGACGCCCTATTGTCTCTCATGGGCGAACTTTGACCACCAGTGTCCTTTTCGCCGATTGCATCACTGTGATCAACCGATACGCCTTCATCACATCAGACTTTCCCCTTATCCTCTCCCTCGAGGTGCACTGCAACCCGGAACAGCAACTGGCAATGGTCAAGATTATGAAGGAGACATTCAAGGATCAACTTATACTTGAACCCTTGATGACCAACTGCTACATCCTACCTTCCCCCGAGGAACTCAAAGGCCGCATCTTGGTCAAGGTCAAGACTTGTGATGAACCCGAATTTGATCCTCGCCAAGATACCGCCAATTCTGTCAGCACACATGGCCGCAAGCGCAGTGCCAGCACGCCATTTGTGCGACCCAAGATCTCCGATTTGCCCCTTCCCTCACTGTCAAGCCCGCCCACTATAGGCCCCGTTGGTGGCATCGGCCCTTTTATCTCGCAGGATAGGCGATCTTTGACTGCGACCAGCATGAGCAGTGCAACCGAAGATAGTGACGGGGCTATAGCATCTGCTCACAACGATAAGAAGAAGAAGAGACGCCAGAAAAGCAAAATCACCAAGCCACTATCAGACTTGGGTGTTTACACTCGTGGCTACAAATGGCACAGCTTCTCTTCTCCAGAGAGCAACCGGTACAATCACATCTACTCTTTTGCTGAACGCTCTTTCGAGAGCATCACGCAGAATCACGAGAATAAGGTTGCGCTAGAGGCACACAACCGCAAGTACCTCACCCGAGTGTACCCTTCTGGGTTCCGATTACGTTCATCCAATTTCGATCCGAACAAGTTCTGGCGTCGCGGTGTGCAAATGGCTGCATTGAACTGGCAGACTTATGACATCGGAATGCAGATGAACCAAGCTATGTTCGCAGCTGGTACTGATCGCACCGGCTACATCCTCAAGCCTGAGAGCCTTCGTCTCCCGGCTATGGATGACGGAATCCACAAGCGCAAAATGGAGCGCAAGATGGTTCGGTTCTCACTCGATGTCATCTCCGCACAACAGCTCCCGCGCCCGCGCACTTTCGGCCCTGACGACAATATCAACCCATACGTTGAGATCGAAATGTTTAGCGCCGACGATCGTGGCCAGAGTTTCGTTCTCGGTGAGGGCGGCATGGATGCTTCTGCACGCAACGGCATGTCCGGCATCGGCTATCCACACCGTCGCCGCACCAAGATTGAGCAAAGCAACGGCTACAGTCCTGTGTTCAATGACAGGTTCAAGTTGTCTTTGGAAACCAAGTATCCCGATCTTGTATTCGTGAGATGGACCGTCTGGAGCTCAATGGATGGTCGCAGTGCTGGTAACAACAACAGCGTGCAGCTGGCCACTTTCACCGCCAAGCTAACCAGTTTGTCCCAAGGCTACCGCTATTTGCCTCTTTACGATAACAGCGGTGATCAATACCTCTTTTCGACCTTATTCTGCAAAATCTCCAAGGAAGACCCAGTTCCTGTTCAGCGTCTGGACCTTGAAGAACTCCGCGCCGAGCGCATGGGAATTCTGCGCCAGATTAGTCAGTCCGTCTTCAAGCGCTCTTCGTCGACCGAGCGCGACAAGGACCAAGCGCAGGATCGCAGTGAGTCTGTGAGCACCGAAGACCGGGAAGGCTGCTCACCCAACCTGACACCCACCTTGTCAACAACCTCAACCTCAACCTCATCCTTCGTGCAATAAAGTCACGTATTCTCCTTATCCACCCACATCACCACCCCCACAGCTTCGCTCTGGTGTTTTTTTCTTCACCTTCACCCATGTGCAGCTTTTTTCCTATTCATGTCAGCATCTACCAAGGTTCCGGCGTTTGCTTTGCTACATCATATCCCACTCTTTGTTCTCATCTGTGTGCTCACATTTTCGGACGTTATTCTTTTTTTTTTTTTGCGTCATTGCCATACTCGTACAGCGATACCCCCCAAGTTGCTTCCAGTTTTCTGTTTACCTTTACCATGTACTACCCTTTGAATTTTGACTGTCCCGCCATTTGTTTGCATTAGTCTCGGACCTGGAAGCCCGGCTGTGTATTCGACTGGAAGAAGTATTTGTGTTTTATTTCAAAGTGTACGAGTTCTTATTTTGTCTCTTTTGTTCTTTTTGTCCCTTTTCTTTTGTTTTGCTTTCGTGCATGTAATCTTCGGGAACCCGGCCTTGGTGAGAAACCTCCGCCATTCATCTTTACCATATCATTATCGCATTCAGGGGAGTCAACTCACATCAGAGAAGACATATGTGGCTGGATCACAGAGCGACTCTTCAAATCATTTTTCATCATAGCATATCGGGGATTTGGGGATCATTTCAAAAGGCTCTCACAATTTGATTTGTCAATTCAATCCCACACTCGGTTTACATACGTACAAGATTCGGGCACATTATTTGGTTTTCATAATGGTCATTGCTCATTACTTGTGGAAACGCGCCTTTTGCTTCATCTGCATAGCTTGGATCTGTCTCGCTCATCATATTTATTCGGGGGATTTGTCACAATCACTTGGTGGTTATTCCATGTGCTGGCTCACTCGGTCTCTACCACTTTATGTTTACTATGTCTTTTTTATATTCCTTTTTGGGAATAATCTCACTTATATTGAATAGAAAGATACCCTGGGCCACAAGAGCGAAACACAAAAACAACTACTAAGTTATACTTGAAGTGATTACTCGGTACTTGAAGGATATTGACAGCTACATACTACTGGTCGAGTTGTATAGATCTAAAGCTTATTTTACCGGAGTACGATTTTGGGTATTTTTTGAATGGGACGTACATACTAAAGATACCTCAAATCTAAATCTGGGATTGAGTCCATTCGGCTAGGGGAGCCGGGTACCATGGTGTACAGCCAGACTGCATGGTATTCCTTAAGTATTTGACAATGTATACCCGTTGGAAAATGTTCTAGTAGGTGTTTACATAAATTTGTAGATGTGTAGAATTGTAAAAAGAGAGCTTGCAGATGTTGTTGAAGAGGAAGTCACCTGCCGTAGCAGTTCCCCCCGCTTCAACCTACGTCTCTTGGTTCTCAACTCTCAACTGTTCATAAGTTGGACTATCGCGCAACTATGGATTCAAAATTGGTAGACGAGAGCTTTGCTAAAGCGCTACCAAAAATTGAGGTATGGTACCGAGTTCTCTGTGAGACAGTTGCTTGCACGCCTGCGATGTACTTCGCTGACCGAGTCACACTAGCTGCACGCCCATCTCAGCGGTAGCATCAGTCGCCAATGCCTACATGAGATCTGGCTGCAGAAGAAAAAGAGTAACTCTGAATTCAATGTGGAGGATCCATTGGTGCTCATGCCACCAGGAAAAGTTGACTATACTCTTGAAACGTATGTTTTTGTTTTGGTGGACATAAAATCGACATGGAAACAACACCTCACCTTTTGCAGATTCTTTTCAACCTTCTCCAAATTGACCTACCAACTCTGCAATGATTTGGCAAGCTTGGTATACGCTACCAACTCTGTTCTGGAGGATTTTCTCAATGATGGAGTTGTATACCTCGAGCTGCGGACTATACCGCGGGCATCCCCTGGTATCACTCGAGAGGAATACATTGACACAGTGCTGAAGACCATTGAAACCTTCAGAAGCAAAGAGAAAAAAATGTCTGTCTTTCTGATCCTTGCCATTGATAGAGGCAACATGTTAGCAAGCGAGGCGGATGAAATCGTCAAGCTTGCGATCGAAAACAGACCACGCGGCGTTGTTGGCGTGGATATTTGTGGCAACCCAACACGAGGAGATGTCAGCATCTTCAAGGATTCATTCTCGAAAGCGAAATCTAACGGACTAGGAATCACTCTACACTTCGCCGAAACAGCGGCTTCAGCGTCCCCAAGTGAACTGGCGACCTTGCTTTCATTCCAACCCGATCGGATTGGCCATGTTATTCACGTGCCTGATGATGTCAAGAAAGAGATTGCGAGGCGTAAAATTGGTTTGGAGCTTTGCATCTCGTGTAACGTTCATGCGAAGATGATTAATGGTGGATTTTTGGATCACCATTTCGGGTATTGGCGACATGAAGAGTGCCCAATTGCTTTATGTGTAAGTCTTATCTCTCTGCTGCTTATTAGCTTTCATAATTTTCAGATGCTAATCCCGGGATTACAGATCGATGATGTTGGCTTTTTCTGTAGCCCCGTCTCGAACGAATACCTGTTGGCTGCACAGCATTTCGGATTGAGTCGGACTGACCTCTTTAACATGACTTTTAAAACCGTGGATTCAATTTTTGCTAGCCAATACTACAAAGATCAAGTCCGTGATCATCTTGTTGCCTTTGCCGCCAGTTCAGAACTTGAATGAGAAAGTCCATTCTTTTCGCAATCCCGCTCGTTGACCGATTGAAGGAATTCAACGATGAGACGAGAAGAGGTAACATTTGAATTCGAAAGCAACACCGCATTGGAGATACACATATATTATTACTCTGCAGTAAGGGGACCAGGGGAAGGGAACAAAATGGTTTATAGCCGTGGGCACCTTCTCAAATTGATATTATTGACATTGAGAAAGTCAGCTCCTGTGTTTACCGTAGACACACCCCCAATATCGAGTACATCATGGTATAAACTGGGTAACAGAACTCTCTTATATTTGACTTTCTTTTACTAACAAATTCCCCGGCTATTCCAGCCAGCAACGTGTCGGCCTACAATATTGTATACTCTTCTCTTGATCACACGCTGGAAGCCACTCTCACGCCTGGCTCACTTCTCTTGATCGATGTGCTAGTGAACGAGATGATCTGCCACAAGCAACTCGTTACAGGGTTTCCTTTGCCGCCGGTTTTCCCCCTTGTTGGTAGCCTACACCAACTTCGAACAAATGCAGCCGATAAGTACCTCAAATGGGCCAAAGAATTCAGAGATGTATACCAGGTTAGGTTGAGAAACATTCCTGTGATAGTGATCAAAAGTGCCGCGGCAGCAAGAATCATCCTGGGCCACAATTCTCAAGCTACTGCATCACGACCCGAGCTTTACACCTACCACAAGATTCAGTGCACGCTCGCCAATGTATGGCCTGATTAATTCATTTTCTGTGTCTTCCATTAGCTTGTCTCGGGTATTGTCGGCACAATGATTGAAACGGCCCCCTACAGCGAGTTCGTGATGAGGCGAAGAAAAGGTGCAGCATCGGCTTTGAATCGCCCCTCGGTTGAAATTTATATTCCCCATTTCGATCTCGACACAAAAGAGTCATCAAAGAGCTCCTCATATACGGCGAGGTGGGTGCAACACGAATCAGTCCTGCGACCGTCATTCAAAGACTGAGTCTGTCCTTGGCCTTCACAATTAACTGGGCACGAGAATCACCAGTCATAATGATAAATTTTCTCGGAGATAGCACACCTGGCAAACGAGATCAGTCGTCTTGGAAGCACCAATGATCAGTTGCAGGATTACGTTCCACTTCTCCGTGCTATATCGTTCTCATCCAAAAAGCGAAAGGCGGCAGAGTACCGCAAAAGGCGCGATCGCTATTTAGCTGCTATAAGTTATTTTTCTTTGAATTGAATTGAGACCTATTAAATTGCCTCCAGCGCTTAAGTGGAACCTTTTGTGTACATTATACCCGATTAGGATACCGTATGGATCACATATGGACCAGCTGAAAATATTCCATTGTAGATCTCACGCTAGTATCAATCGGCTGCCCGATTTTCTATTATATCATCTTTCGTGGCTGATTTCCGCTGAGTCAATAGTTTTCCTGCTGGAGGTTGATTTAAATCCCCCGCGGTGACTCACAACATTTCCGATCATTTGTATATCCCATTGATTTTTGTCTTCGAGCAACAACTCGATTTACTGTACCCGAAGACTTGTCATGGCTTCCCATGGAGCTTTGCCACAGACTCTCAAGTCAATCACTACCACAAAGCTCAAGGAGCTCTCAAAACAGCGCGCTCTCTTTGATCGGCGCAAAGCCGAGATCCTTGCAGCTGCCAATGCAACACAGGACCTGCGCAGTCGCGCCCAAGTTTTGCTAGATGGAATCTCAAGCCTGAAGGGGTACCCCGAAGATTCTCTCGACGAAGATGATACGGACCTAGACAGTGGGTCCGGGGACGAGGATTCCGAGGACGAGTCCACCGCACCGGGAGCGGGGCGTTTGCGGCGAGAAGATCATGCAAACATTCGCCGCTTCTTGCTGCAGAGTCGCTACGACTCTTCCATCTCACAATCAGCTCTACAGGGACGAGTTTCTCAACTTGAAAAAGAGTTGCGGTACCTCGAAATCAGGCATGAGCATGGCGCATTTTACAGCAACTTGGTCACGGAGTGGCTGTCGGAGTTGGATGAGCTCAATTCTGCTACTGCAGATGAGTCCAATGGAACCAAATCCCCTACTTCTGGATCAAGTTTTGAACCCGTTGGCCGAACAGAAATGCATGAACAGCGGGCAACTTGGGAGTCCCTGGTTTTCGGTTCTGCCACCCAAGTCGATGAGGACGCTATCCAGTCCTACCTCTCAAATCTGTTCAACAAGAATAAACTCTCTCGGCAAGCCCTCAAAGAACTCAAATCAAGCATTCAGTCCTTTGGCGCAGAGCTAGTGTCCAAGGGATCATGGCTCGATGTCGACAGCCTCAAATGGGTCTCCGAAGCACTTCTGAAGACCGACCTACTCAATGAACAAAAGACTGCCATTTTGAAAGAATTCATGCGAAACAAAGAGGTAGCCCAGGAAGTGGCTGATGTACTCAATATGCGCATTGCCTCACTTGAGAGCTGGTCCTGGACCACAGACGGGGCAGGTATTCCCGTTGATATGCGCCGCCAGCTCAATGGTAAATACCGAGTTTTCATGGATGAAGATCTGCTGGATGCGCTTCTACTCCAGTATATTGGAACGACATGGGCTGTGAAGCTAAGGAAAGTGTTCGAGGCCTTCTTGCAATCTCATGCTTGGAGCACTTTGCGCGAGGATGTCCCGGAAGATTACATCAATCATCGCAAGCACTGCGTTGGGTTGAATGGCACTTCATCTACTGGAAAGATAAACGATCTGCGAAAGCAAACATACGTTGATGAATACTTCATGAGCCAGTTGCCTGTTTCCGAGGATGAAGGCGCACGGGAATACGACGACGAGGGCACCGAGTCAAAGACTGCCTTGGACACAAAACACTCCCTTCTCCACCTCTTGATCACAGAGTCTATCATCCACAAACATCAACGAGGAGAGTTTACAGCTGTTCGCTCGGATTTCGAGTGGTTTGGCCCTTCCATCCCCCACGCTACTTTGTTGACTGTACTGGAGTTTTTCGGGGCTTCCAAGCTTTGGCTCAACTTTTTCAAAGTATTCCTGGAGGCTCCAATCAGATTTTCCTCGGATGGACCAGACGGATCTGTTCGTACCCGCAAGCGCGGCGTCCCAATGAGTCACACCCTCAGCGAATGCCTCGGAGAGTCTGTTCTCTTCTGCATGGATTATGCGGTCAATCAAAAGACAGAAGGCGCTTTCCTTTATCGACTCCATGATGACTTCTGGTTCTGGGGTGCAGAGCAAACTTGTGCCAAGGCATGGGAAGCGATGGAACAGTACGCTCAAGTGATGGGCCTCAAGTTCAACCAGGAAAAAACCGGCACGGTACGTATGGGCAAGGTCAACAAGGATTCGGCTTCTAGTCTTCCTTCTGGTGATATTCGGTGGGGCTTCCTTATTCTTGATGCTTCACAAGAGCGATTTATCATCGATCAGGCTCAAGTTGACCAGCACATCGAAGAACTCTCTCATCAACTTTCGTCCTGCAAGAGTGTGTTTGCCTGGGTACAGGCATGGAACAGTTACTTTGGCCGGTTCTTTACCAACAATTTTGCCAAGCCAGCCGTTTGCTTCGGTCGCGCCCATATTGACATGGCTATCTCCACGCTCAACCGTATTGAAAGCACACTATTCAATAAGAGCGAAGGTACCACTCCAGCCCAGCAAGTCAGTGGTGTTACTGAGTATCTTCGCACCGTCATTGCCAAGCGCTTTGACATCAACAATCTCCCAGATGGCTTCTTCTACTATCCCGTCGAGCTGGGCGGCCTCGGTCTTCTCAATCCTTTCATCAGACTGCTCGCCATGCGTGAGAACATCAAACAGACTCCCCGGAAGTTACTGCACAAAGCCTCTGTGAAAGAAGAAGTGGCATACGAGGCAGCCAAGAAGAAATTCGAGCAGAACGGTAGCTCACTGGATGGCGCAGACTACAAGCCCAAGAAGTTCATGTCCCTCGAAGAGTACACCCAGTACCCCGAAACGTTCAGTGCCCCCCTTCTGTGGGCCTACAAGCAGCTCAACGAAGTACCAGAGGAGAAGAACGTGGCATGTACCCCAGGTTTCGACAGGGAGCAAAAGTCTCTCGGGACCAATTTTGCAGAACCAGGACCTATTAACAATCTTTGGTTTACGATGACTCCTTACTGGCGCTGGGTGGCGGAGCTGTATTACGAAGAGATGGTCCGGACCTATGGTACTCTGGCTGCAGTCAATCGCGAGTCCATACCCCTTGGTGTTGTGAAGACCTTGCGGGAGGAGCGGTTCAGGTGGCAGGGTTGATTCGTACCTAGCCTTTGTATTCTGCTTGAACTAGTTACTGTATGGTTTGTGATTGCAATATTAATAGCGGCAGTGCAATTTACACCATATTCTTAGATCTTGTATCTGCGGCACCTAGTCCAATAACACGTATCAATGTCACAATCCGAATTATTCGAGGTTAAAAAGCATTCTAGATATAGTCGAAACTCTTTTCCACTCAGTTTGAACAACTGAACCTACAAAGAACATGTGGATCATTGCTCCTCCGTAGATGCCCCACCGCTAGCTGGAAAGGTCACTGGCGATCAAGAAAAAGCGATCCTAGGACTATTTGGTATCTGCAGAGAGCCTGACAGCGTCATAATACTTCTACTCTTCAGTCAAAGGGCTCTTTTTTTGTCCAACTAGCCGTATTTGCCCTCCCTCCCACACCCCTCGTCTTCTGCACCCCTCGATCTCAGCTGCAGTCCCTCTGATATCACTGTGATGTATACAGCCGCGTCCATATCTGGGAAAGTAAACTTCCTTTCGATTCGTCGAACCAAATATTGAAAAGATTTCCTCAGATTGAAATCAACTATGGTTTAGAAGTGTGCTTGAATTCAATGGCTGTCTTATCATACTTGTTTTAGATGCGGCTCACCGTCCATCAACTCTTCTAATGGCAGCCATGGATACAGCCCTCCATCGAGGAAAGTGCCATACAAATTGAGTCAAATGAAAAGATGCTACCTTGGCTACAACAAATTTGTATCTATGGATCCCACTGCCGCTCCAGAGGAGGACTAGTAGCACTTGAACTTGAACATAAATATCCTCGCTGGCTTCGTTTCTGTCTTTCTTTTTTCTTTCTTCTTCAACTGTTCCTCGCTATTACGCTGACTATTACATTATTCTTTCATCAAGTATAACTCATCTTCACTTCACCTTATACCTACTACTCATAATATATAATATATTACATACTCATCGGAGTATGGCTCACCAACTACAAGTCTATCAAACCCCACGGAGTCTTACACAGCCAAACAACGAAGGCTACACACAACATACCTCGATGACAACTGAGCAACATAACGGTCAGGCTTCGGCCTTCAATTGGCTCAATGCTATCTCCGGAGACAACGGAAACTTCGACCCACGGTTTGTGTACATACATATATCGCTTCTGATCGATATTAACAGTATGATTAGGACATACCGAGTCCATCAAACAACCACATGCAACAACAAAGGGGAACTCATCATCGCTGACCCCCTCTACGCCCCGACTCTTGAGCGGGCACCCTATACCTACAGCGTGGTGAACTGGGTCCGGGTCACCCAACATATCCCCGACACAATCGGCTTCGAGATACCAGAGGAGTGGGAAGAATCTAGCTGCTGCAGCAGCGCCGATAGCCTATTAGGGGGGCTGCAGACCCCGATCAAGCTGGAGGCCGAACCACCATTCCCAAAACCGAACACCCGCGAGTCTTCTCTATTTGACCCACACAATCAGATCAGCAAACGATCTGAAGCCTGATTCACTGGGCCGTTCGAAGAACAAAACCACGAATATCTCGCCCCATCACACTCGAGTTCGGATAGCAGCTGCGATAACGCATTACTGCCAACTTTTCAACTACTGCTAGCGCCGTCTTCATCTTCATCTGGCTCATCCACATCTGAACCACAATCTTGCGAGCCACGATGGTTGCTACTTCTGGTTGGGCGGGTCATCTCAGAAAAGGCGCGGAAGGCGTGTCAGAAGTTGCAGAGGAAATTGTCCCCTGGCAAAGACCTGAGGGACCATCATTGAGCTTGGAGAGCGATATCATGTACCTGAGGGCAATGTCATGCATTACTGGAGGGTAATATCATGTACGGGAGCATCTATGTTGTGGTTGTTCAACGAACAATCAAACAATTCACCAAGGCACTCTTTCCAATTGGGGGATTTATCCCTTAGACCCCTCAGGGCTTTATCCAAGTTGGTTTTAAGAGGCCTCAACTCTACTACCAGTTTAACTCATGTATATGAGAGATTTACAATCTTGTGTGAAGATCATGTCACCTCTTTATTAGAGCAATATACCCACATTTGTTTTGTCGTCACTATTACCTAGGGAGTATAGCACTTACTTCTACATATATATACTGGTTTCCAAGAGCCTAAGTAGAGACGGAGTGTTTATCCTCCAGTATGTTAGCGAACTACCTCTAATCGTAGTCCTCAAGAGGGTTATTAAAGATATAGGCTAGGCCGACCCCTTCATTCGTATCATTAATTATCAAACTATAATGATGAATATCTAAGTAGCACAGGGAGGTGGTGCATACACTAATCCCTATATATGTAGGTAAATATGCCTTTTAGTATGGGAATCTGGCAAACAGAGAGCCTCCACGGGGGATAACCTTGGAAACCACGGTCCTTCTGATATCAGCGACTAAGAATCTTTAGTTCGATCCATGGAAGACTTGAATTGGGAGCGATCATACCAGTTAAACGCTCTACCACTGACCTGTATATGTAGAGGCACCAGGGATCTCATCATTATAAGTGATGTGCCCAGGCGCGTTACCGCTATGTAATGCGAGCATTGGACCCCTCGGTGCCCAACTTAGTATGTATATATATATATTGAATTTGTACAATATTGTAGTCAAATTTTATGAAGTAGATCGATTTGTATAGTTCCAAGGCGGTCGGCCCACTTGCCCCGTGTTATCTCGGCAGAGTTGCCTCTCCGCCATAAAGCCACTGTGAACAACTGCGGCCACAGGACATCAATCAACAACACCCATTCCCCTCCAAAAGATCCTCCCACAATTACAGCAAACATGGATCCCTTTTCCGCAGAGGGTGGTTAGTTCGCCAATCCCATTATAATCCACCCAGCGCGCTAACCCAACTATCCCCCGCAGAGCTCCTTACCATCCACAGCGCCTTCCACGCCGGCCAATACCAGGGTGTGATCGACTTCGAGACCTCCGCGCTCTCCCCTGAGAACCAGATCCCCGCCCAAGTCCTCAAGCTCCGCGCTCAGATTGCCCTCGGCCAGTATGACGAAGCCCTCGCCGAGCCCTCCATCGAAGAAGACAGCCCCGACCTGTCGGCCGTCAAGGCCCTAGCCCTGCAGTCCTCCGGCAAGACAGACGCCGCCTTGCAGCTTGCGCAAGAGCTCGCTGAGAACTACCCCGATAACAACACCGTGCAGGTCCTTGCTGCTACCGTGCTTCAGGCACAGGGCCTCAGCGAGGAGGCGCTGGCGCTGCTCGCCAAGCACCAGGGTAATCTCGAGGCGTGAGTGCACTTGTCGCGAAAGATTGGATTCGACTATGGACAACTGATCTGACAATCTGTCTTCATTAGTGTCTCCCTCATCGTACAGATCCAACTTCAACAAAACCGAACCGATCTCGCACTCAAGGAAGTTCAGGCCGCCAAGCGCTGGGCGCAGGACTCACTTCTGGTCAACATTGCCGAGTCATGGGTTGGCTTGCGAGTGGTATGTTGTCGACACCGTCATGTTCCAGTCAGGGTCGTATGAAGGCTGACAGTATCTTTCCAATTCAGGGCGGCGAGAAGTACCAATCCGCGTTCTATGTTTATGAGGAGCTCGCCTCCGCACCCAGCACCACCGCACCACTATCTATCGTCGGACAGGCCGTCGCTGAGATCCACCTTGGCCGTCTTCCTGAGGCCGAGGCCGCTCTTACCGCTGCTCTTGAGAAATACCCCACCGATGTAGAGTTGATTGCCAACAGTGTCGTCTTGAATGTATTGGCTGGCAAGCAGACTGAGGACCTGGAGTCGTATGTTATCTCGCCGAACTTCAATGGAACTTATAACAGAACACACGCTAACTATGATTCACTTCTAGCCGTCTACAACAGGTCCAGCCTGCCCACCCCCTGCTCGCCGATATCCAGGAGAAGAGCGAGTTCTTCGATACCGCAGCGGCCAAGTTCTCCGCCAAGGTCTCATCCTAGAATATCAAATCTGCGTTGACCATATATTTTGTTGTTTTATTTAATTCAAGCCAGGGGAGTTTGTCCTGCTTGCTTATGAAAAGACATGACCTCCGAATCTTGAAGTTTTGGCACCCTGTATCAGAACTATCATATGTAGCTTGTAATTTACAAACGAGAAGCCAGCCACTGTCGCAACTCAACGCCAGTTTGTGTTTCTTTATTGGCAGAAACGTAGAAAGGCGCATCATGCGACTCATCAGCCCCAACCACATAAGTAGTCTCCGGGAAAACAGACTTGATCTTTTTGGCATACTCCTCAATAGGCGAAAGCAGAATCTCATCGCCACCAGCCAAGATGAGAATCCGCTCCGTCTTGACGTCAGCCCACCACTTAGCAGGCGCATTAATTGGCTCATTCCAATTATCAGCAGCCTTATCACCCCGGTAAACATTAGCCCAGTGCTTCAAAAGACTAGGTGTAATGATATCCTTCCACTCATTCTCCTTCATGGAGGGCCACTCGGTGCTAAAGCTGACCCACGGCGCGTAAGCAAATACACCCGCTAGCGGTGCCGAAAGCTCCAGGGGATCGATCTCCGGGTGCGGATGCGAGAGGTGCAGCAGGGTCGCAGACGCTAGGTTACCACCAGCCGAGTCACCTCCGATGATCACATTGGCCGGGGACCGACCAGTCTCGTTGATGATATACCGCAGCGCCTCGACTGCCTGGCGGAGCTGAGTCGGGTACACGGCGTGTGGGGTGAGAGTGTATTGCGGGAAGAAGACAGCCAGGTCGTGGCCGTTCTCGTTCAGGGCACGAATCACCTCGAGCCAAAAGTCGAAATACGCGGGAATCGCAGGCACTGCGAAACCACCGCCTGTGTTTGGTTCAGTTAGTACGTTTGTTTTGGAGATTAGGTTTTCGTCTCGGTGCACAAATCGATTGCGTGTTACACGGGGAGTGAGCACGAACCGTGATAGTAGATGATCACGTTCTTGGCATTTTTATTTCCGATCCATAGGCCCTCCGCACCATATGCAAGGGGCACTGTTTCAGGGTTCAAGCCATGCTTCTTCATGACAGTCTCATAGGTGCCAGTAGTTGGGCCATAAACGTACCTGCGCAGTACGTTAACATATTATTCTCCCGTTCATGAGCTTTTGGCCAGAACCAAGGGGTAACTGTACGTACTGCTTCTGTCGATCCGAAGTGCGGCTGACGAGCTTCCTGATAACATTGGTCATGATAAAGTGGTCGTAGCGCCTGGGACTGGCCTTTCCGCGGAAGACGCCAGCGATGGCATGGTACACCATGCTGGCGAAGACCGATAGGTGCACGAAGGGGAGATCGGCTTTCTCCCAAAAGCCGAGATCGAAGCCAGGGCGCTTAGTCGTCATGGTAGAGTATAATTGTATATTTATGTATATATTGAAGAGATGAACAAGGTACAAACAAGAAGAGCTCGGCTGAATGTAGGTGTTTCCCCGCTCTCTTGTGGGCCCTGGAGAACCCGGAGCCGTCGCGCGTTGATTGGATATTTTTGACTGCTGAGCTATGAACAATGGAATTCTGTCAGGAATTCTGTGAAGATCAAAAATGGGACAAAGACGAGGAAAACGACGGTACGCATTAGACAATCTTGGAACATAAGTTTACTGAGCTACTGTTGAGTTGACGACACTCGCTTGTTGCGATCTTGTTTGGACTGTCTTGTTGCTCGAAGAATGATGCCAATTTCTACATTTTTTTTTGTTCTAGTCATTAAAAAAAGTAATTCAAAGTCATACATGAATATGTCGCGGTCATTATGGGGAGGGCATTTCAACGTTGGCACACAGGTTAGGTTTATCGACTTCTAAAAGAACATTAGACACACTTAACCGCCGTATTCTGGGTGCCCGATTGTTCTAATTCTTTTATCATTTCACACCAACTCATGCAATCATTGCGAGACTTTGGTTTGTACTTCACAAATTAGCGCCAATTCCAGAGCGGGATGTTTCTTCTTGACACCACATATTAGAACCAACACTCGAAGCACCAGTGACCAAGTTATGCCTCACCGGAAGGGGCCAATTCGCAAAATGCCTTGTATGTAGTGAAAACATCATCCGAGCCCTCTCCGCTGCCAGTGTTCTCAATCGCACATTCAGCAGTGGCACCAACGAAGAAAACGTAACCCTCCTGGACCTCCTCAACCTTGTTGCCGACGGTAATCTTGCCCTTGCCGCGGGTGCAAATGAGGATGCTGGGACCATAGATGCCATCAAATGTCACTTTGGCGCCTGTGCGCTTCAAATCAGTCTTGACGACGCTGAACTCATCGATAGGAGGATCATAGAGCATAGCGGTCGAGGCACTCGAGTAAGCAGTAGCATTCAGAACAGCGTAGGGGTAGTCTGTTGCCTGGAGCTTCTGCTCTTCGATGGGTGCATATGAGTAGGTCAACATCTGGGTGAGGGTGTCAACATCCTTGAACTTGGGGGTGAATCCCGCGCGCACGACGTTGTCGGAGGATGCCATGCACTCGATGATGTCGCCGGAAATATATGCGTGAATATCGTCTGCTTTGAGGAACATGGCCTCGCCGGGAGACAGCTTGACGAAGTTGAGGAAAAAGAAGACGAACAGACCGATGTCGTTGGGGAATTGTCCGTTCAATCGCTTTGCAAGAGCTGCCAGCTCCGCGGGGTTGGAAGGGTTCGTTCCCACTTCACCAGACAGTATTCCGAAGCTGTCGGGACTGTTCTCCGCAATGGAGATAAGGGCGGTACAAGCTGCCTCGATCTTCTCGGATGGAGACTCCATCAAAGTAGTGAAGAGGGCACGCAGCGCATCCTTGTTCTTGTTGATGACGGCGATATCCTGGGAGTCTTCGTTGCCCTTGACAAGCTGCTCAAACTCGCTTGCAGCCTTGTCACCGACCAGGGTGCGCAAAGGCTCCACAGCTTGGAGGAAGTGTGTGATCTCAGCGAGAGGACGGAAACCACACATACCTTCAAAGGGAGTAATGGCAATGGTCATCTCGGGCTTGTGGTTGTCATCTGACTTTTGATTAGACATGATTCCAACCGCCTTTGTCTTGAATAATACTCACCGGGATAGTTCTTGGGGTCCCGGGCATGAAGCTGCTCTGCAAGCTTCTTGTTGGGGTGGGCTTGGATGCTAAGGGCCTTTTGGACGGAAAGCACCTTAAAAAGGAATGGAAGTTTGCCACCGAATCGCTCACTTATATCTGTTGACAAAAGAGCTTGGTTGTCTTGGACCATATCGAGCAGAGTGCGCTGGGTCTCAACATCTTTGGAGGGAAGAGACGGGTGCGTGCCCATCCACAGCTATGTACCAAACAAAAAGTTTGTGAGTTCATCAAGGCCAATAATACGATTTGATGCTCACTTACTTCTGCGTAGGGCTTTTCGGCTTCAATTGTGAAGTCCGGGCCGGCAGTTGTGGCCGCATACCTGGCCGCAGCCGACTCTTGGCCGACCTTGCCTATGACGAGGGTTAGTGCGGGGAACAGAATTCAGTATGTTTATCTTACCCCAGTCGTAGCTGTTAACACCTTGAAATAAGATCAGCTTTGTTTCTCTGAATGAAAGTCCGAAGACTTACCGCATTGCAGCCGAAGTAGTGGCACCTGCATATTGAAAATGAATGATGTTTGGGGAAAAAGCGGAGGGGCAACCAGTGGGTTGGTATTACGCAGAAGTTCGCCAAGCCCTTCGGTGAGTGATGACCAAGGTCAGCTCTGGAGGGTCTATTTCTATGACAAATCTCAGACGAAATTAATTTAAGAAGCTTGCATGGAAATAGAGGATTCGAGGGTTTACCTGATTTTATTTAGAGAAGATCGGAGGATCCCAATCTGTCATAATATGTTATTCCTAATACGGTACGGTACTACTTCCGCAACCATATAAAAACTGTGAAAGCCAATGTTTTGAGCCGCATTTAGTCTACTTAGACTGGAAATATGAAGGAGATATCGTTGGCATTGGAAAACACCAATACTTGTATCTAGATAGACATAAAATTATACATATGTATGTATACTAAGCATTTAATGAATGCAGGGCTTGTAAGTATAAAGGTTGTGTACAACATATCCCAAAGTAGTTTAGCGTATCAACCCCGACCGCCTGGCATGTAGCCCTCTTTATCACATATCGTGATCTCCAACAAAACCAATACGATATAAACACCAAATGAACACATCAATCCTCCTGGACACCTAGATTTAACCGCATTGTTACCAAACATCCCCACCTCAACATCTATAGCCCAGAATTCACAATCTTGCCAGTCCCTTACTTGGTCAAAACATGTCCCGAAACCGCCCTCGGCCCAGGGACAATGGGTTCGGAAATAACGAGGAATTGGAGCTCTGGACCAAAATCTGCCAAGATATTCGAAAATCAAAGGAGAAATTTGATCAACAGAGCTCATTGTCTTTACAGATCAAAGGATTGATTGACAAGATCACCAATGACGGCAATAGTGAGCACCCCCGCACTAGCTTCTTTGGCGCAATAGCGAACACAAAGCTCCATGATCCGCCGAAATCGGATGTAATCGCATGAATAGCACTCTGTCGCACATACTGACATTGTGATCACCAAGCAGAACCAACCATGGCAGAGCACGACCAGCTCGATAGCTGGCTGCGCCAGAGTCAGAAGCTCAGCGAAGCAGAGCGCTCGATCATGCAGGAAGAGCCATGCGATGTAATCAAGAATCTAGAGCTTCTTACAGCATTGCGCAAAGCATCCGAGGCCGAGGCACCACCCAATCGATCGGCATCATTCAACAAGTCCCGCAAGAAAAGAAATGAGGTCGAAGGCTCAGTGACCGATTCCCCCAGTGCCTCGGGGGCAGACAAATCCGCTCGTTCAAAAGGGACCGCACCCCGCAGCTCAAGTGTTTCCTCCAATACGCAATCTCGTGACGGACCTCGTCAGGAAAATATCATGGTCAAGATCGAAGAGGTGCCCTCGGAGGGCACCAAGGGCACCATCGCCGAGCGGAGTGGTGTGCTGCAGATCGGGGCTCAGGTCGTGTTTAAGCACAATAAGAATAAGCAAGGCGTTGAAGGTGAGGGGATACAGTGCATAATTAAGGCCATCACTGGTGAAGGACAGAAGAAGCGGCAAGTCATTTCTTTTTCCCCTCCCGCTCTGCGTGACCCGATAGCTTACCTCTGATCCAGATATGAAGTCCAGGATCCAGAGCCAAATGAGAACGGCGAACAAGGCGCTGTCTACAAGACTACTGCTGTCTCTCTCATTCCCATCCCTCCGGTGAACGGCAACTTGACTCCGTACCCGGCTGGCAAGCAAGTCCTCGCCAGATATCCCGACACCACCACTTTCTATCGTGCGGAAGTGATGGGAGCGAGAAAGGATGTCTACCGCCTCAAGTTTGAAGGCGAGGAGGACGACAAGGAGATGGAAGTCGACCGACGATTTGTGTTGGATATCCCGGGCAGATGAGTTCGTCCAAGTTATTTCTATAATCTGATGTGATGATGATACCATTTAAGCGCGGCGCTATCTGGAGTTCGAAGGCTTACCAGCAAATGGCCATGGGGTGCTTTCATCTTTACTAGATACTCTAGTCGAAAATATAAATTCTTTTTGGAAGATCTACTATCTGTTCTTATTCAAGAACAGGTAGGCTCGTCTTGGTCGCTTAAGGTTGACTACAATCTACTAGATGTCTCCTGGTACTCCGTAGCTGTGAAATATCCAGCCGGCCATTTACGGGGCTTGAACCAGGAGCAATAAACTCAATACGGTGCCTAAAATAGCATATCCCCTCAATCGAATGATGTTCCAAGCTTGCACATTTTATACGCGCAAGTCTAGCCGATGCTACTGAAAATATCGAGCTGCATAGAAAAAGATGCACAGCATTTTCTTCTGCGCTCTTTCTGGCATTGATTTACAAGTCGAACTACAATGCTGTCTGATCAAAAGAACATGCTTAGATTTTCCTGGCCAAGACTGCAACCCATTTTCTCTCCTGGGTTTAGTGGCCCGAGGGATCGTCGCTTTGTGGAGAAAGCTACTCAACAAAGTCCCATCGCGCTCAAGGGTCAGAGTTGTAGTACAGAAGTTGCCAAGGCCCAGGGGAATACCAAGTTTGGCAAATGTCAGCGAGGTATTCCGACATAGCTTACTAGAGGGTATATATGAAGTTGAAATGCTTCCCATGATAATTAAACGCTCTATTCCATGACATCCTACTAATTTTGTTCAGTGATTTGCTCAAACAATCATGGCCGCGGTATTACTTTCTTTCTCAGCCCTCCTGCTAAGTGGAATAGTGGCATCACAACCAACTCGAGCAATTGACAGCGATTTCGCAGACCCCTGCGTCATTCAAACCGATGATGGATACTATGCCTTTGGAACCAGCACTAATGGCGCGAATGTTCAAATTGCAAAGTCCTCCGACTTCAGCTCATGGGAACTTCTGTCCGGAACGGATGCTATGCCTGGGCCATTCCCATCTTGGGTTGCAAATGATCCCTCAGTTTGGGCGCCTGATGTGATCAAAAGGGTAAACCAAACGAATGACACATTATCAACAGACCAAAGCTCATTCCAATTAGGACGACGGCACATTTGTCATGTACTTCTCCGCATCGACAAGCGAGGACGCTAGTAAGCACTGCGTCGGAGCTGCTACCTCCTCTAGCATTACGGGACCTTACACCCCGGTAGACAGTGCAGTAGCCTGTCCTCTTGATCAAGGTGGGGCCATTGATGCCGATGGTTTTGAGGATGGAGGAACCTACTATGTCGTGTATAAGGTGGACGGGAACAGTCTCAACGGAGATGGAAGCACCCACACCACTCCGCTTATGCTGCAGGGACTGAACTCCGATGCTGTGACCCCCAATGGCGATCCCACGCAGCTTTTGGACCGTGACGACGCAGATGGCCCCCTTATTGAGGCACCGAGCTTAGTCAACGTTGATGACATGTACTATCTCTCGTTCTCGTCCAATATGTACGATACAGACAAGTACGATGTGAGTTATGCGACGGCTTCGGCCCTCACTGGTCCCTATACCAAAGCCCAGTATCCGGATGCTCCATTGCTTGTGTCTGGAGATGCGAGCAATGTGGGTGATCTGTCAGGACCTGGTGGTTCAGACTTCCTTCGTGATGGGAGCAAGATTGTCTTCCATGCGTTCGAAAATGGGAAGAACATTGAGAATGGACGTGCCATGTACGTTGCTGATATCCATACTTCTGGTGGCGTGATCATGTTGGCGTGATTGGTTTATCATGATTAACCCCGATGTCGGCTGCAAGTGGTGAGATGTGCGTAACATTGGCAGATAAAAAAATTTTTCAAGTTCATTTCTTCAAACTGGCTCTTCAGTATTCAATGCCATGAAATTGTCTATATCCATAATAACTTGAAACTGCCGTAGCACAGTGAAATTATGAGATTCTGACTAAAAGGCCTCGGAATCCGATTTGAGACAGAAGGTGCTAGAGTAAGCAGTGAGTCAGCTGCCCGCGGTCCGGGCTCCCCATGCCGAGGGAGTAGAGCATAATCTACTTCATTAGAACAACTTTGCCAAACCCTTGCTCTCTACCTAGGTTATACTTCGTTGGATTGATGCTTTCCTCTCCAATTGATACCCTTGTACACTAAAGCTCTTGCATCGCGCCACACCTCCCGACTACCCCGCCTCTCCGTCGCAGTCGCAATGACCGATTTACCGGCCCACGCCTCACCAAAGCTACCTCCGCAATCGTTGCCGAGCGGACCAGATAGACTGTCGGAAAATGCCAGTCAAGGGAGTAGCGTGGCAGGCGAACACACTCCGGCCATACCGGACTCACTGCTGTCGCCCGCATTCACCCCGCCTTTGACCCCCGGTGGCACATTAGATTGGGATTTGAACCCAACCAAAATCCTCCACCAACATCAAGCAGCAGATATCCAACATAAGGCCGAGAAACCCAAATCGCCCAAACTACTCCCGAAGCTCCCAGAGGTGGAATGCATCGTGCGGGCCCGGATCCCGACAACCAATGGGGCGGAGATGTTCCTCCATTTATACCACAACGACTTGGATGGAAAAGAGCACTTGGCCATTGTATTTGGAAACAACATTCGCAGTCGGAGCTTGGATAGCGTTCGGCCGGGGGAGACCGAGATGGACCGAATGATCCGCGGCGCGTACGTGGGGAAATTGCGCCCGGGAAGAGTCAGCAGCCGGTATGATGAGCAAGCTTCACCCTCGACACCGAAGCAGGTTGAGCCTCCATTAGTGCGGATCCATTCGGAATGTTATACGGGAGAGACGGCGTGGTCTGCACGATGCGATTGTGGCGAGCAGCTCGATGAGGCGGCACGTCTGATGTCTTTCCCCGTTGAGGATCTTGCCTCGGATGCACCACCAGAGGTGCAGTCTCTCTCGTCACACTCGACCGGTGGCGTCATTATCTATTTGCGACAGGAAGGTCGCGGAATCGGTCTTGGAGAAAAATTGAAGGCATACAACCTCCAGGATCTGGGATCAGATACTGTTGAGGCGAATCTTTTGCTGAGACATCCTGCCGATGCCCGAAGCTATGGTCTTGCCACTGCTATGCTCCAAGATCTTGGTTGTGGTGCGGATTCTATTCCAGAAGGAATCCGTCTTCTCACAAATAACCCTGATAAGGTTCGGGCTATCGAGGGCCCCAATCGGGAGGTTCTTGTAAAAGAACGAGTGCCCATGATCCCATTGGCATGGAGGACTGGTGGTCAGAAGGGCATTAAGAGCTCTGAAATTGAAGGCTATCTACAAACTAAGGTATTCTTGTCCCCTATGCGCTTGATTGATCACAATACTAATGCTCTGATTTCTATAGATTTCCAAAATGGGTCACATGATCCAATAATCCTTGAACTTGAACCACTTGATTCCCTCATTACCCATACGTTCATTTTTATGCTTCATTCTTTCTTGCATTGGAACCTTCAAAAGCCTTTGTACACGATCGACACGACCGACCCTTCTTCTCTATGCATATTCTTCCATTCTCTGACTTGTTATATATGGCGCTGATATCGTACATGTTTATTTTTGTGTAACTTTGAGGTTGTCCAGTCCTCTGTTTTCTTTTCGCGATGATTGATCATAGATACACTGTAATTGAAAACAAACAGTCACTCACTCTATACATGCTTCGTTGCATAACTTTGGCTAAGCTCCAAGCGTTGGAAGCAGTAAAAGGTATTCCCAAGCGTGGTACAAATCAATCTTTTAAGAATCTCCGAAACTCGCCTTCCCCATGTGCGTAATGTACAATTGATGTATAAATACAGAGCTTCCTATTCTATGTACTGTATTGTGGTTGCAAATTCCCAAATTTGCACTCAACAAGTCTATATTGTACCAGTGCTCCCAAGTAGAGCGGAGAGTCTTCGGGGAAACCGCAAATCTTAGATGGATTAAGAAGTCATGGATCGCCGGGGTTCGTTTTGGTGGGTCATTGAGGTGGGAAAAAAGTGAGACATAGGATTCATATTTCCCCCTATATTCCATTCAAGACATGTATAGGCCTAAGAGCAAGCATGAATGGATATTTTGTGGGATATTGGGCGCTCAGGCGCTCATAATTCTCGCCATTGAGGCGTAAGTAAACCTCACTTATCCTAATTGAACCCTCATTGAACAAGAACTCAGATTTATCCTTGCTGAATGGCAATTATGGGTTCATCCGAACATCATTCAAATCACCGCCTCATACATTGTTCCCGTTGAATCGGCGATCATGTTTTTCGCTTGCATTTATGTCTTCTTTCTGTCGCTCGATGCTGTCCATCACAGAAATAACATGTTGCTATTGGCAATCTGCGTGAGCAATGCGTGTGCCCTGGCATTCTCGATCTTGCTATACAGGAACATGAAGGAAACCATCAACGAAATGCCAAGTCAACGAGACGGCATGAACCAACCTCTTGTCGACCCAGAGAGAAATATATGGACTTTGATCCAGGGATTCCAGATCGCATCACCAATTTTCATTGGACTTTGTACTCTTGCTACTTGGGCTTCGGCTTTTCAATTGCAAAAGGAGTACGCCTGGGCCATCTATCGAAGTGTCCAGGGTGATTCGGATACAAGATCGCGGTACCTAACTTACGAGGTGAGTGTAGGCTATACCCTATTTGAGGAACATGCTGACTAGCTCCAGATCTACCTCGTTCTAAACAAAATCGCTGTTTTCTTCATTATTTGTTTTGTTCTGCAATATGGCCTGATCGACGTGCACTTTGAACAGCCCGAATTCGGGTTGACCATGGGTCTATTGCCAGTTACACTCCTCTTAATGATCCTTGGGTTCTATGTCGTTCGATTGGAGCGTAAGTTTCTCATGACCTTCGTCATTGTGAGTATATATTCATTTGGATTCACTCTTCCGCCGACTAACCTTTTATTGACAGGTTTGTTATCTCGCAATGATCGCGTATCTACTCAGCCGAATCATCATTCTCTATGGGCACGGCATACGGGCCAATACGGCTGGGAAGGATATGATGTTGCTCTTTGCAATTACGGCCTTGGTACTTCTTGTCCTTACTCTTGTCTGTTCGATTCGCTGTTTCGTCAATTTCGGACACGGGTTGAAGCCGATTATTGCTGGAAAAGACGAAAAAGTCCGAGACTCCTTTCACTTTCACAGTATTGGGGGTCATGCACCTTTTCCAATCGAGCACACAAATGGTCGTTTATCTCTTGCTTAGAAGGCCAGGGATTAGAAGAACCTCGCCGGTGTATCTATCGCGAAATTATTATATCATCTCAAATCTATTTATAGATGCTGTCAGAAGCGCTTTGATCTGGCCAATAGGGGTGTGTAGAAACTCTACATTTGATTGATCCTCAATCTAGTGATTTATTGGGGTTCAAAGATAGCTAATAACTAATATGATGAAATGAACTAGATAACTATATAGAGCTATTCCTAGAATCCACCAACACACTTCCTTATGAAAGGTAGACCTCTCTGTTCTAGCTATGATAACGAGCCCTAGGGAATCATGTATGTCCTAGATCCTTTAATTTCTGTGCTTTTTATAGATTATCGCCTATTTCCTGATTAGGAAACGCCAAAAGATCCCTGCAAATCCACGAAACATTAGCGCCGCATACCCCTGACTTGAGCTTTTGTGTAGGAGGCAGTTCCTCTCATCTCTCTCGGACATAAACCCAGTATTTTGATGCTTTTGGCCTTTGACAGCAGCTTTCTTTGAACCGACCCCAGCAGTATATGACAAATTGAGTTCTGACGAACAATGGTACTTAAAAAGCTGATACATAGAATAGAGGCGGAAGTCGAGCTCACCGTCGGTGATAGCCGATATACGTAGATATTATTAGATACTGCATTGGATTGTATAGTTGACCCAAATGTTTTAGGAAAACATGAAACAAAAAAAGAAGCTGAAGAATCAGAAGAATCAGTACAACATAAGAACAACATCAAGGGACTTGTGGAAGTGAAAGTAAGCGATGCTTGTTGCCAGATGAAGTAGGTAACCCATGACGCCTCGGCTGTGCTAGAACCCGAAGGCTTCTACCACAAAAGGGGTAATATAGACTGGTGATAACCCGGCGATTTTCCGAGAAACCGCCGGTAGAGAAGGTGAACAGTATTTATATGTATGTTCTGTAGCTAATTTGAACCCTTGGCTCACTAAAAGAAGATAAGTTGATCGTATAATACATACATACATGCATGAATACTATTCAAAATTGGATAAAACATAGAATTAATTCTAATTATTTTTGAAAGAAATTACCAAACAAAAAAAAACGAAGAAGAAGCTGAAGAAGTTGAAGAAGTACAATACAGAAAGAAGAAAAAAAACAACCGCATGAAAGTTTAAACGTTCGAGATGACTTCGCAGTCGACCCACATCCTTCGCTGCCGATCTCACTCACGTCTTACCGAAGTACCCCAGAGCTTCCTGTTCTTTCATCTGTTGAATGGTCTCTCACTAGCGCCATATGCAAGGCTATGGCCAACACTCCAAAGGATGTGGCGTACTCGCCGCTGCCACATTCTCAGACTTCCCTCGATAGACAAGACTCGCCAAATCCTTCGCGCGCGACTTCGATAGACGCAGATGGACTGCTGGATAATGGATCGACAACGGCGGGGCGGAAGCGCAAGATGAACAGCATGTCATCACGGGGAGTCGCCAATCTCACACCAGATCAATTAGCGAAGAAGCGGGCCAACGATCGCCAGGCCCAACGTGCCATTAGGGAACGAACCAAAGGCCACATAGAGGCTCTTGAGCAGCAGGTCCGAGACCTCTCCTCCCAAAAACCTTTCCTCGACCTGCAAGCAGCTTTGCGCCAGAATGAGGCGATCCGGGTGGAGAACTCAGAGCTTCGTCAAGGCCTCCAAGCCGCGATGGACATTATACAGCCATTATTGGCGAAATCAGAATTACCAGGTGAGTTAGACAGGTCAATTAATAATTTCGAATATCAGGCTAAAAAGCAAAGATGCGCCCCCTACTCTAGCTATACCGAAGTCAGCCGCGCCCCTTCCGCACATACCCCCGTTCCCCGACTCGGATCACTTTGCCCCCAGCAGTCAGACACTTCCTCCAGTCGACAGATCATACGACGAATCCATTGCCAGTCTTGACACACCTTCCCCGACTCACTCTGCACCAATTCTCGGAAGTCGACGTAACAGTACCGCCGGGCCTCCTCCATCGGCATCTTTCCGCATCGCATTGGATTCCCAACGCCATAATATTACACATGGGCTAGACCTTGGCGCCGAGGAGCGTCTAGGCTTCAACTTTCTTCTGGATCATTCCCATAGCGTGCCCAAGATTGAGCTTCCTCGCAGCAATTCGGAAAACCTCCGCTCTTCGCAGCCAAACCCTCCGTCGCCTGTATATCCAAGCGCCTTGAGCACCACTGGGGGACATGGACCACCTGCATTCGCGGCCGCGATCCAAAATCTGGGAGCAACATGTCCATTGGACACCATTCTGCTTGACTTCCTCCAAAGCAGGCAACGCGAAGCGGCGCAAGGCATCCCAAGACAGAAACTCGCTGGACCGCCGTACCCGAGTGTATCATCGTTGCTGAACCCAGAGAAAAGTGTCTACTCACATCCCGTCTCAAAAGTGTTTACGGACATTCTGCGCACATTCCCCGACATCTCATCTCTGCCGGAGCAGGTCGCTGTACTCTATACCATGTTTCTCCTCATGCGCTGGCAGATCTACCCCACGCAAGAGAACTACCAACGGCTCCCTGAGTGGTTTACACCACGCCCAACACAGCTTTTGCAGCCGCATCCGGTCTGGATGGACTACGTCCCCTGGCCGGCTATGCGTGATCGGATCATCACATCCTACCAAAACTATCCGTTTGAAAACTGGTTCATTCCATTCACGCGCGACATCAGTGTCAATTGGCCATACGAAGCTACTGACTGCTTGTTATCAACAGGCGACTCTGATGAACTAGTTATAAACCCTGTATTCGAACGGCATATGAGGAATTTGTCTAATTGGTCTTTGGGGCCTAGCTTTGCAGAGACTTATCCTGCTTTGGCAGACACTGCACGCATCAAACCCCAAACACAAGGCTTTCGCCCGCAATCGCCTCATTAAGAACCTACAATGCTGATCTCAATGAGAACACTGTCACCCGCCAAGTTGATCTTGGTTCATTCGCTTACAACACCTTTTTTTATTGCAATTTTTGGCGAGGAATTCCCGACTTTTGGAAAGTCAACTTTTTTTTTTGTTGTTCTCATATTATTGTTGCCCTATAGTACGGAGTTAAGAAAGCCAAGGGCATGGCCACAGAGTTCGATTTACAAGGATCTCTGTAGAGGTGTTTGGACTAATCATTTCGGACTGAATATTTACATAAATACAAACATTGTTAGCGAAAATTACGCTCTATCCTACTGATTACAATAATCTACTCCTTTCTGCTTTTCTCGTTCCAGAATTCCAGTCCAGCTTTCTGGCGCAATATCCCATACATTGCACTGCTATCCAAGCACTCCCCACCAAACTCTCTCGCAGCTTCCATGTTAGCACGAGCAATCTCAAGGCCAGGCAGCTCAACACCTTGGGCTTTGGCCATATTCATAGCATGCCTAGCATCCTTGATAGCAAGGGAGACACCGAACCCAGGACGAGAGTCCACAGGCGGCGCATAAGCACCGGTGGTAAGTCTGCATGATAATCAGAATCCACAATATCAGTAATTACAGCAGCGTAACATACCTCTTAGAATAGCCGCCAGCAACAGGACCGAAAGCTTCACCGATAAGCTCTTCCATAGGACCAGTTCCAAGCCCGGTCTTCTCAGCAAAGACCTGTGCTTCACCAACAGCCTCCATCATATTGACAGTAACAATGTTACCAGCAATTTTCAGGAGCGAGGACTTGGTGGCATCCTCACCACAGTCAATCACCCGGCGGCCCATCACATCCTGAATAAGAGGCTTGACTGCACCAGTCGCGCTCTTAGGGCCACCAATAGCGAAGACAAGTTTGCCGTCCACGGCGATGGGATTACCGCCGAAAACTGGCGCTGCTACATACGAGGCATTCTTGCTTTTCAGCTGGGACACAGCGGAGCTCACTGTCTCGGGGTGCACTGTTGAGCAATCGACGAAGATCTTGTCCTTGAGAGACTGGCCCATGGTGCTGGATAGCAGGCTTTGCAGGACGGAGTCATTTGCGACCTGGAGTTATTAGCACGGTCTTGGAGTTTGAATCATGGTTGAATTACCATGGTGAAGATAATTCCGCATTGAGAGACCAGCTTCGCGAAATTGGGCTCAGGAACTCCCCCCAATGCTGTCAAAGGTGATCCGCGCGACATGGTGCGGTTGGAGTAGATGAGGCTCAGTGCCTTCTTCGCCGCCAGGTGGCGCTGCAGGTTGGAGGCCATTGCCAGGCCCATAGAACCGAGGCCATACTGTGGTTTTGTTAGTCGGTTCAATGGAGTACAAGGGAGTGACTTACCCAGCCGATTTGTGTCATTGCTGCGTGTATTGTTTGTTTCTCTGTGTCAAGTCTATCAATGAGCGAAGAGGCGATAGCGATGTAAGGGTGCTAATAGCCCTTTGACCAAGATCTTGATGTTGATACAAGGCAAACAAAGCAATTATCAAGGTCCTAAGGCGATGCGATTTTATGAGTCGACGATAGAGATGGTGGAGCGCACGCGTTTCCCGAGGAAATCGGAGTCGGCCGACAAGCTGTTCAACGCTATCAACGGGTCTTCTTCCGATTGATTTTAGGTTGAACCGGGCCGATTGGAAGTTATAGCTTTTTATAATTTGGACGTGAGAGATCATTGGCTTCTTCGGTTGTTCTATGCCGATTTCTATGACCCCCCTGCATCATGGGCGTTCCACATTTGCCATTCCGGGGTAGCAAGCACATGAGATCTAGACTGTAAGATTATATTGCTAGATCTATCCACAAAATAAATCCGCTGTTTCCTGCATCTTGACCAGAATACCTACTTGTGTAGCTATCGGATACTAGGATATCTCTAGAGGTTATGATGCATGAAAGTGTCCAAAAGGTCATGATACAGGCGTTAAACAAGATATAATACTCAAAATAGGCTACCTAGATAAGACAAACAGGGGTTGTCTAAGGCAATTCAGTGCTTTCAACAACATCCACCCTCTATTTCTTCATGTTACGCCTAAAATATTGTTGTTGACCTCCAAAGTCGATCCTTCGCTGTTGTTGTGGTCACATACCGTCATATGGCTGTGGCTTACTCCAACTGTGGGGGGATTATCAGGTACGGTACGGTCACGTAAGTTATGATGCTCCGTCCGTCGTTGGCCTCGACTTCAGACATCCCCAACACCTCCGTCCTCCCTTGAACCCTCTCAATTCCACTCTTCTTGGGAGTCTCAGAATACAAATACAGGCTTTGACAGTACCCCCGCAATAACTGTCAAACCACCAATTCCTCCACCATGGCGGAAATGCCCATTGGTACACACCGTTCCCCCCAGGCTACCGTGTCCCAGCTCCAAGCTAAGCTAACCACTCCGCAGTCCTCGATGGAGGAACCGGTTTCCTCAAGGTCGGCTATGCAGCCCAGGTATGTCGCACAGCCAAATAAATTCTTGTGTTCTTCTCTAATTTATAACACTTGCAGAACTTCCCAGAGCACCAGTTCCCCTCGATAGTGGGGCGACCTATCTTGCGAACGGAGGAACAGGGCAGCGATGTCGTGGTCAAGGATATCATGTGCGGAGATGAAGCCGCTGCTGCACGATCCATGCTTCAGATCAGCTATCCTGTATGTTTCATCGGGGCTTCTGTCCTCTCACCGTTCTACCCCGCCCTCTCCGCAAACCAGTCGTATGTCGTGTTAATGCCTAACTCACGCCGTTTTAGATGGAAAATGGAATTGTCAAGAAATGGGACGACATGCAACATCTATGGAACTACACCTTTTACGATAAGATGAAGATCGACCCTACGGACCGCAAGATTCTCCTCACGGAACCCCCAATGAACCCGCTCAAGAACCGTGAACAGATGGCCGAAGTTATGCTAGAGGGTTACGGATTCGGTGGTGTCTATGTTGCGATCCAGGCGGTGCTGGCACTGTATGCCCAGGGTATGTTATGAGGCCATGAACGCGCGTCGAGGATCCATGCTTATGGTGTTATAGGTTTGAGCAGCGGTGTTGTTGTTGACTCCGGTGACGGTGTGACACACATTATCCCCGTGTATGAGTCGACTGTACTGAACCACCACATCCGCCGACTGGATGTCGCCGGTCGCGACGTCACCCGCAACCTGATTGCGCTCCTTTTGCGCCGCGGCTATGCGCTCAACCGAACCGCCGACTTCGAGACCGTGCGCCAGATCAAGGAGAAGCTTGCTTACGTCTCCTACGACCTCGAGTTGGACAAGAAGCTTTCCGAGGATACCACTGTCTTGGTTGAGTCGTACACCCTGCCGGATGGCCGTGTCATCCGTGTCGGCAGTGAGCGCTTCGAGGCCCCCGAATGTCTCTTCCAGCCGCACTTGGTCGATGTCGACCAGCCCGGTATCGCTGAGATGCTGTTCAACTGTATCCAGGGTGCCGACGTCGATGTTCGTTCCAGTCTATACAAGGCCATCGTTCTTAGCGGTGGTAGCAGCATGTACCCTGGTCTGCCTTCACGGTTGGAGAAGGAACTCAAGCAACTCTGGCTCACTCGGGTATTGGGCGGAGACCCCGAGCGTTTGAACGTGTGTTTAAAAAGCCGTTAACACATGAATTGCGCTAACAGTCTCTCAGAAATTCAAGGTCCGCATCGAAGATCCCCCACGCCGGAGGCACATGGTGTTCCTGGGTGGTGCCGTGCTTGCCAACTTGGTATGTATGCCCTTTTCCGTCTTGATCCAGTATTTACTAACCTCTACATCAGATCGCCGACAAGGAAGACATGTGGGTAAGCAAGCAGGAGTGGGCAGAGCAGGGTGCGCGCGCCCTGGACAAGCTCGGCCCGCGATGAATTGATTGTACTTAGACGGTTCTTGGTCTGCTCTTCTTCCCTTTGATTTCTTGCTTCGCATTGTTTGCAAGCCATGTTGCCCCTGTCTTTTTGTCTCACCCTCTTCTCTGCCTCCACATTACTATTGTCGATATACTCCTGTCAATCTGGACTCCTGTCTACTTGCCTCTCCTACATTGTGCCTAAACTGGTCTGGTGTGAATGGGCCTGGACCTCTTATGACAGAAAAGAACCAAATACTTTCATCGACTGTGGGTTTTGTTTCTGTAGACTGTCTGTTCAAGATGGCACATCGTAGTATTATGCTTATAATGCGAATACATTCACCTAGTTCTCAATGTACCTGATATGTCCTCCACCTCCACCTTCCAAGGTTGTATCACCTATCAATGGCTGCATATACAGATTTCCAGCAACGTATGTATATATCCCAGGAACCCCGAAAATGTTAAAAAAAGGTCGCACGCCAGAAAGCAAATTGATATGATCGCATGAAAGACACAAGCGAACACAAGACAAAAGGCATACAATGTATATACTTAATTCTCAACTGCACCGGGCGAAACAGCAAGAATCACCGCCAGAGCAGCAATAATCAATGCAGCGGCCACAAACGCCGTAAGCGCCACACTTCCTCGACTAGCCGGGAACTTGCCCCGAATAATCCAATACTGACTCTCAAAGTAGCGGTGGAAACCAATGACCAAGATGAGAATCGAGACACCAATGAACGTCGACCCGAGGGGTTTACCCACGCTGCGGAGACGCGCCGATGCCGAGGAAGTGTGGAACGCAGCTGAGTCGTATGCTGGATCGAGTCCGGGTGGGAGCATGCCTGGATGAGAGCTATGTGATGCGCCGAAGCTGTTGGATTGTGTGTGGGGGGTGGCGCTGTTCAGACGAAATAATTGGGTCACTGCGATGCCGATTGAGGCGAATGCTAGTGAGGTTCGCATCCATGCTAGGAACGTTCGTTCTGGGGGTGCTATTAGATGGCGAATTTTGTGAAGATGCATGCTCAAGCCGTACCTAGTGCGAGATGATCGCGTGCTACGCTGCCCTTGTTCTCTAGCTCGAGGCTGCCGTATCGATCTGCGAATCGGGCGTACCAGGACTGTTTCGACGCGGCGCTCGAGTCTTGAGTGGATGGTCGGCTTCCATTCCCGGGGCTTGTATTATTTGGACCATCTTTTAACTGGGAGCTTACTGATTGCTCTGTCGTCTGGTAATTGCGTCTGGTGGGGTCGGCTGTGTTGATCGGAGTGGACTCGGTGTGAGATGAGGTCTGGGGTGCGGTTGAGTGTGACACATGGTTTCGGGAGAAGGAGCTCGTATGGGATCGGCTGCTGCCAAAGGAGGATGACAGGCCTGAATCTGTATTGGTGGGCGATCGTGACGATGGTGTATTTTTGGCTCCAGAGCTGCTGGGGCCTGTCGGAGGAGGCGCCGATGAGTCGGACGTGTTCATTATGGCGTGCTCGTCCTCTGACCAGTTCCTGGGACTTATTGGCCAATCCTAAGGCAAAAGGGACCGAGTTTATGCAGGTTCAGAGCAGCTGGAGCTCTTTGTCAACAGAGATCGAAGTGTAGCTTTTGAGGTTTCTGTTCACGGCGAAAGGATGGAAGTATCGTATCTGGTATTTTGAGACTCTACTACATCCACATACTTTGGTCTGATTCAGCTCGGGGTGTTGTGGCCCATCATGTGGCACATAATGTGGTCACAAGCAAAAGGGTCGAACAATGATCTGATGGTCGTCACCTGACTCCGATCTGGGGAAGGCCATATGCTCCACTTTAACCCACTTTTTTGTAACTGTCTCGAGGGACTGATTTGGAGGCTCAGAATTTGTTTGCATATTGTACGATGTTCTCATGTATTGGGGCTAAGCTCCAAAGGCACTGGTTTGGAGCTATTCCAAGTGGTTACATTTAAGATCCAGTGCTATTGAGAGGCTGAGAAGATCATCCAGTCATTCTGGGTCTGTGCACCGAACGCCAATGCCGCGTCGCGCTCTGGGGCTCGCTTCTATACACGTTGGTTCCAATATGTAGACATATTCTATATCCTTGTCGAGGTTTGTACATCTACACCATTGTGTAAAATCGTTGTGTAAAGTCCGTATTTCCTGTGGCGCCATCGTCTGATTGAGGCAGGCGGTCAGATCTGTCTATTACTGATATGATAGCCCGCAAATGATAATTCATGATCCCCTCACTTATCTTCAAACAAATGGCTTCACAAATTTCTACACCGTCCCAGTCTGGGAAGGTCGATCTCTCCAAGAGACTCTCAGAGTTGCGGTCAAATAACCGCAGACCACAAACCAATGCCAGAGACCCAACCCCAATAACCCCGCCCCTACCTTCGCCGCCAGACCTTTCCGCCCATCAGTACAAACGACCAATCCGCCGGATTCTCTCATCTAAAGATCATGAACTCTTCCTCTCTTCCCCGACCTACAAACTCGTTCTCGCTTTCGTCTTCGGGCTATCCGACTCCGTACGAGGCCGCTCCGTCACCGACCTCCAAAAAAAGCCCGAATCCGAAGCTATCTCCAAGGTCCTTTCAGTCGTGACCCAAGTACGCGCACTCCTCTCGAAAAACCCTCCAATCGATCAAGGCGGGTCGCGTTTCGGCAACCCCGCTTTTCGCCAACTATGCGATGACGTTACAGCCCAGAGCGCATCATGGCATGCCAATATCCTAGGACTGCAAGACGCCGCCGCAACCGAAGAAGTCTCAACATATCTGATCAACTGCCTCGGATCGCGCGAACGTATTGATTATGGCTCAGGTCATGAGCTCAATTTCATGATGTGGTTGCTATGTCTATACCAGCTTCGTATCCTTTCAGCTGAGGATTTTCCCGCTGTCGTGGTGAAGGTCTACATCGAATACATGCACCTTATGCGCGAGATTCAATCAGCTTACTACCTCGAGCCCGCCGGATCCCACGGTGTCTGGGGCCTTGATGATTATCACTTCTTGCCGTTCTTGTTCGGCGCGAGTCAGCTCGTGAGCCACCCGTACATCACCCCGCTGGGCATACACAATACAGCGACTCTTGACGAGGAGGGAGACAATTATCTCTACCTGGATCAGGTCCGCTGGGTGGACAGTGTGAAGACAGTCAAGGGTCTGCGCTGGCACAGTCCTATGCTGGATGACATTTCCGGTTCCAAGAACTGGATCAAGGTCGACAGCGGAATGAAGAAGATGTTTGTTAAGGAGGTGTTGGGCAAACTTCCTATTATGCAACATTTCTTGTTTGGAAGCCTAGTACCTGCTGCCGAGGGCATGAGTGATCCTTCCGAAGGTGAGGTAGGTGAACATGATGGACATGACCATGCCCATGGCCACGATCATCCCCACGAGAGTGCAGACTGGTTCGGTGATTGCTGTGGTATCAAGGTACCCAGTACCGTGGCGGCGGGCGCCGAGATGCGTAAGCGCATGGGCGGGTCAAACCTGCGCCCAATTCCTTTCGATTAAGGAAGGCATCATGACCAATGGGCAGCAATTTGCGACATGTCTACAAATTAACGAATAAAAATGAACCAACATATGAAAATATTAAAATGTTTACATATATAAGAAACAATAATGTCCATTTCCCACCCACTCTTTGTAATTCTTGCATTGGTTCGCACATTGTATGGATATAGATCGACCAGAAATTCAGACGCGCCACCGCCTCTGATTGGCCAAAACCCCAACCTCAATCTGCACCTCCAACTCATTCCGTTCTCAAGTACAACACGCAGATCCAACCCTAGGACTACCACGCTATCCAAGCCCAAAAAACACCAAGTCCAAAAAGGAAACCGAACCCACCTTTCCATAGCACGCAATACGGGTCGTCCTTCCCCTCTTACTCCGCACGCGCACATTATCCACGAAGCGCCACACCGCCAACAACGAACACAGCACCATATTGCGTCACCCCAAAGCCCCACAATGGCGGGCGATGAATACTCCATCGGCGGTGGCAAGCTCAAACTCAAAGGGAGCAAAGTGAGTGGGGGGCGCATAGAAAAGAAGAAGAAGAAGAGTTCGAAGAAGAAGGAGGAGGACAAGCCGCAGAACCCAGAGGACAAGCCCAAGAATGCAGATGCCAACGCGGAGCAAAGGCTAGCGAAAACAAGCGACGAACAAGAGGAGAGTGATAGGCCAGAAGAGGAGAGAGAACGTGATGCGCCTGGGAAAACAGAGACCGAGAGGAAATATGAAGAAATTCGACGGAAACGGGTATGTATACAATATATTTTCTACTGCAATGATTTTGATATATGGACAGCGACTAACTGCAACAGTTACACGAGCGACTTCAACGGGAAGGCGTCAAGACTCACAAGGAGCGTGTGCAAGAGTTGAACACGTATCTCAGTCGATTGAGTGAGCATCACGACATGTATGTCTTATCTTTCTGCCTTTGCGCTTTGTTGGCGAGATTATGTGCTAACTACTACATAGGCCGAAGATCGGACCGGGCTAATCGGGGTTTTTATCTCGGGCGGCTTCCATGTAATATACTTATGACCGGCACAAGCACGTGTGTACTTACTCCAAACAATTCTGTCCCCAAATGGAATAATTCATCTACCAGGATAAGTTCTTATGATTCTAATAATATGGAATAAAACTTGAGAATGAAAAGGCGGAAACCCGCATAGTAGTTTAATGCTATAGAACGACCCACAGGATCTCAATTAGCGGTCCCGAAAAGAAGAGTCATGTCGGAAGATGCAAGACAGCGATAAATAGGAAATAGAGACACCGGTGACAACGCCATGCAAATGAAGACCCCAAAAACGCAGATCACAGCGGCCGTAGCCAACGTCGATCTAAATATAGATCACAAAAAGATAAGAAAAGGAGACCTTCAACCGCATTAAGGGAGAGTCGAAAACACCACGCTAAACCCATGAGGCGAGACGTAAAGAAGAAAAGCCAGGCGGGGGCCGGCGCCTGGGAGCCGAGGTCAGGGTTGGGATCGGGCGGAGTAGGCCTAGCCCCCCTGCCCCTATGTTCACCGCGAAGAGACAAAAGGGCAGAAACAGTGGTATGATTCTGGGTTGGGACCAAGACCTGGATGGGATCGATAAGTGCTCAGGCCTTCACGACTAAGGTCCGCTCGCTGTTCAGCTTATCGGCATTCCGGGCATGTGACTCCTTCTTGCAGTCTTCTAGGCCGGTGCAGGAGTGGGCTTCGAGCATGCGGTGCTTGGAGCAGAAGTGGGAGTTGCAGAAACTGCAGTCACCGACGATTCGTTGAGCGGCCTCCTTGCACTCAGAGAAGTTGCAACGGGGCTTGCGGGGAGGCATAGTGTGGAGAGTGGTTGTCGGTGTACTTGGAAAGTAGATGTCGGGGTTCTCTGCGAGGAGGCGTTGGGAGGTTGAGGTGGACGGCGGTTGTTGAGATAAGTGTCTAAGTGCGGAGGTGTTGAGGGTTGTTGGGCCTTGGACTTGAAAAGGAGTTCTCAAGGGTTCAGAAGTTAAAGGGTGAGACTGGAATGGAGTAATTGGAATGAGGGTGATGTATGTAGTACGGCGAGTGGCGACTGGCGACTGAAGCAGTGAGGACCACAGGTAATGAAGTAACGAAGTCAAGAAGTCAAAAGGGAGAAAGGAGAAATCTGCCAAAGGCTATATATATAGGGAAGTCGGAAGACACGGGAGAAAGCCAAAGAAAGAGAAACCTTAGAACCAGGAAATGATGGCTGACTCAGTGAGGCGACAGTGACGGAAGTAGAGAGAGGAGGTGGATATTACTCAGTGGAGACTTCCCAAAAGGTTCGATTATCCTCTAGACTATTTAAGGCTTTAGCTTATAAATTATTGTGAGATTATTGTGAGATTATTGTTAGATTACAATATTGTAACTATTAATTATTATATTTGATCTAATTAGAATAATCAGACTAATTACGGAGTACGGAGTAGAATAATTAGAATTACCTATCATTCTATTCAATTTGAACTATAATATCTAATTACATATTGACCATTTATCAGTGTGACCCCTTTATACTTAATCTCTCTCCTTAACTAGATCGATCCTATAACCTTGTTCTTCCACGTTTACGCAACCCGACTTTTCACGTGATGACTCTTACCGTCAGGTGCCAGTGATAGAATCACCTGGGCAATACTCAACCGTTTGGACATTGGGAGTCTCACCTGTTTATTATTTTGTCCGTTTTGCCGCGCCACCCTACGGGAAAAAACGCGTTTAAGTGGCAACAGGTTCATCCGGAGTTCATCTACCGCGGTACCCCTAACCTCCTAACCATCACCACCAACAACTAACCTAACTATAACTAGTTATACGATCACAGTGCATATTGTGAAAAAACCTGAAAAAGCTACAGAAGTGGACAAAGCTATGACCTCGAGTGAAGTGTCGGTGATACAAATGGACGAGTCGCCTGCCAAGCCAGCCCTAGTGCACTGCAAATGATCCGTGGAGATATCCATCGGTAAAAGCACCCTTTACTTTGGTGTACTTAGGCCTCAAAAGCCTGAACTTATGGTCGATCCCGCTACCCAATTTCACCATCTCATATCATTCCATATGCACGCTCTACCATATCCCTTTTGCGAACAGCTGCAGAGACTCTAGTTTAGAATAATCTGTCCACGTTGACCCCCTTTATACGCGCTACGTGTTCAATGGATTTTAAATAAGGACTGGCGTGCATTGGTTTCATATTTCAGATTGTTCACGGGTTAAGGGTTAAAGCTTTGAGACGGGGAAACCCGAAAAATGAAAACGCCGGCGCATACCAATGCGCCCGAACCCCCTTGCCCAAATCACAAAAACAGAAAATGAAAAAAGTAAAACCCCCCTTGAAAATGAAATCCGAAATCTTACTTCTCAAATCATACCATCTCATTTGCCTTACCTGCATCTGGATCTAGGTAATTCTCCTTTTCGGCTGCCTCGTACTCCCCGATCAGATCCATCACAACTGCCCGTGCTTCATCAAACTCGCCCAGACCGTCAGCAAACGGAGCTTCCTTCTTGTACTGTTCCAAGAAGGCATTGCGTTTGCGGAGCTTGTCGTAGTGTTGAACAATGCGCTTGAATAGCGTTGCGACAGATGTGTGGTTGGCCAACATGAGACCGCTGACTCGGTGTCCGGTTTCTTCAATATAAGGGGACTTTTTCGTAAGAGCGACCTGGATACTAGCCGGGCCCCAGGGGATGAAAGATGCAAGACGGCGTTCCCGAATGCGCAGCAAGGACTTGTGTACGTCGGTCGGATCGGCTTCACCCTGGATGATATTGAGGATACTTATGTAGCAGCTGGACTTGCTCGGATTGACAGAGACCATGCGATTCTTGGGTTGGAGTAGGCGACGCATCACGTCCAGCACCGTGGTCTTGCGTACGGTTCTGGCTTGCTCAATGTTGGCACCTGTGAATGGCGTGTATGAAGTGAGGAGGAAGTGACTGCGCGGAGTGGGGATGAGGGAGGCGATAATGCCTGCAAGGTCGTTGTGCATATATCCGGGGTATCGTAGGGTGGTCGTGGATGCAGACATAACTGTGGACACGAGCTGGTTGGTTTGGTGGAACGAAGGCTCTTGGACATGGAGCCGGTCTGCGACAATACGTGATAGAGCGCCATTGTCCAGCACAACAACGGAATCGGCATCCTGGGTCAATCGTCGCATGGCGAGCAAGCTGTTGTAAGGGTTGACAACGACATCGGATTGTGTGTCCGGGAATACGGAGTATGTTTGGATGAGCTTCTTAGGAAAACGGTCGTTCATGCGCTCCAGGATGAAACTGCCCAGTCCAGAGCCTGTACCTCCGGCGATTGAATGTAGAAGCATGAAGCCCTCTAGCGAATCACTTCCGTCTGCTTCTCGGTCGATCATATCGAAGATCTCCTCTTGAACACCTTCTCCTGCGGCATATCCAGTACCCCAGTTGTTGCCAGCTCCAATACCTTGTTGTCCGACGAAGAAGTTCTCGGGGTTGTAAATATTCTTGTAAGGACCGGTTTGTATGGCATTTAGGACCTGGATTTGTTGTTAGTCCGCGGTAAACTGGCCATACAGTCGAGAATGGCTTACTCGGGGTTCTAGGTCGAGGAGAATCGCTCGTGGAATGTATCTGGTGTCGTCACTCTGCCCACATGGTTAGCCGGGGTTCTCGTCGAGTACTGACTGGATTGTGAAGCCTCTCAATCCTTGTAGGCCCACCTGGTAGAAGAAAACATCTTTGCGATCACCGGCCGCCCCATCAGTCGCATGCTCCTCCAAGTTTCCATCTGCGCTGATTCCATGCTCCTGGCACAGTTGCTGCCAGAACTGGCTACCGACTAGAGACAGTGGGTATTAGTGACTTGAGATATGTTTTCCCAAGCTTCAATCGGTGGTGCAGGGTCAATAATCTCATGGGAAAGCTTGCGAACGTGTGCCACATACCGTTATTGCCGCACTGGCCGGCTTGGATTGTGATGATTTCTCTGCAATTCCCAGAAGGATTAGCGTCGGTTTTCCAAATGGACAAAAGATATGCAATGATAGATCCTTGGGGAGAGTCAACGCACCTTGGCATATTTTCTTTGCAGAAGCCGTCGAGTTGTTGGTGCTCGTCAACGCGTATCGCGTTGACGCGGGGAACTTTTTGGCCGACATTTCAGCCTCAGGCCAAAATCTGCTGCCCTACGTAACATCAACAAACTGATATCTGCATACAATTACAAGAATAATGAATTTAAGTTCATAAGATCGAATGCACTTGTTTTTTCCAACAACCTAAATCCCACTTTTGGTTTATTCTAGAGTTCTGTTTCTGGCCGATGCAAGTTATCCAACTATCATTCTTGGTCTTGTATACCACTTAAAATCCTGCTTTCAAAGCTGTGATGAGATTTCCAGCACCTGCAACAACACCATCCACAATTCGGACTCGGCGGCCTTCCCTTTCACCATATTGCTGAATACATCCCTCACGAACCGCTTCTTCCATGCCTGCCATACCTGCACACCCTAGACAGACCACCTTAACAGGGACCTTCGAGTTTTGAAGCAAAATACGGGTAGCTTCGATGATTCTTCGTCGCACTTCTTCTGGCTCAGTGGTGTGCAGCTCAACTGCGGTCAGGCCGGTAGTCTCGACTCCTGCAAAATGCGAGGATTCTCCATCATCGTCCCCGTAACCCAGCGCTGCTTGAACCCCGTTGGTGAGCTCTTCCTTCCACGCAGCGCCTGTAGTCACAATGCCAAAATTACCCCTTTCTTGGTATTTGCATAGCTTCTCTGCGGAGTTTATCGGCTGCTCCAGCGAGAATCCACTAACCAAGGACAGCGCAGCAGTGATGGATGCTTCGAAAATTCCGGTAACATATTTGTTTCTTGTTTCCTGGTTTGCTTCTTCAAAAGCCTTGATGTCCTCCCTTAGTTTGCCGACTAATGGATGTGCGGAGTAGCATGCTACTAGAAAAGCATCATAATTGCCAATGAAATCCCGGACGGACCAGCAGTTCAATGCCGACTTGCAAGACTGCTCAGCGTCGTTGATGCTGGCGATTGGCTGGACCTCGATTCCTTCGACCTCGACAGTGGAATCTGGGGCAGTGAAGTACTCGATGTGAACATCCTGGTAGTTCATGCTGGTCAATATAGGCTTCAGGGCCTCAGTCATATGTGTCGAAGTATTGGGGTTGATGACCAAGATGCTGTATTTCCGCTTGCCTTCCCTCGGATCAAGCTGCGAGATTTGATCCGCATCATATTGAGGCTCAATAGAGACAGCCATTTTGGGACAGACAATTTGAGTGCGCAAATAATAAAATAGAAAGCTTTCTGCTGTCAAGGAGGATGCTCGGAGTTAGGATGGCCTCCGCCGTTATCAGTTATCGGGATCTTCCGCAGCAGCCCCGCCATCCCCGCGCGCATTCATTCCACCCCCAACACACTTCCAAAATACTGATCCATAACCACATATTCCACCATGCCTCTTGTCGTACAGAATCTGCAACCGAGAGTGATCCTCGGGACGATGACCTTTGGACCAGACGAGTCCAAAGGTGCCCGGATCACCTCGCTGGATGAGTACAACAAATGCCTTGATTACTTCCAGCAACAGGGCTTCAATGAAATCGATACTGCCCGTGTCTACGTGGGAGGACAGCAGGAGGCGTTCACAGCAAAGGCGAACTGGAAATCGCGTGGCCTTACCCTTGCCACAAAATGGTACCCTCAACAACCCGGCGACCACAAGGCCGATATTGTCCGCGAAAAGTTGGAGCTCTCCCTGAAGGAGCTTCAGACCAACACGGTCGATATCTTCTATCTCCATGCACCAGACCGTGCCACTCCTTTCGCTGAAACCCTTGAGGCTGTTAATCAACTACACAAGGAGGGCAAGTTTGTGCAGCTTGGTCTCAGCAATTATACGGCCTTTGAAGTAGCGGAGATCTGTATTCTCTGCGCAGAGAGAGGGTGGGTTCGTCCTACGATCTACCAGGCTATGTATAATGCTATTAGTGAGTGTTGATATTCTCGTCCTCTTTCTCAGATTTCCATTCAAATTCTGGCCTCTTGTCTGACGCAATCCACTATTGATAGCACGCAATATTGAGACTGAACTTATCCCTGCCTGCCACCGGTATGGTCTCGACATCGTCATCTATAACCCACTTGCAGGTGGTCTGTTCTCTGGAAAGTACAAGTCGCAAGATATCCCAGCAGAGGGCAGATATAGTGACGCAGGCTCCACGGGACCCAACTACCGAAAGCGCTACTTTAGAGATGCCACCTTTGAAGCTCTAAGTATCGTTGAGCCAGTCGCCCAGAAACACGGCCTCACTTTGCTTGAAACCGCTCTTCGCTGGGTCCGTCATCACTCGGCCTTGAGAATGGATAACGGTGGCCGTGATGGCGTTTTAGTCGGAGTTAGTAACTTCGGTCAACTTGAGACCAACCTTGCCGATCTCCAGAAGGGCCCTCTTCCGGAAGAAGTTGTACAGGCTCTCGATCAGGCTTGGTTGGTTGCCAAGTCAAATTCCCCGAACTATTGGCATCTGGATCTGAAGTATACCTATGATACCCAGAAGGCCGTGTTCGGACCGAAGGCGTAATGCACATATCATCGAGAGATTCGGTCATGGCGAGAGCTTTTTGAATAACCGGAATGACTATGCTAGTGACTGGAGGTCATTGAACTCATGATAGATATTTTGACGCTGTTCAATATGAATAAAGCATCAGTTGTCTTGCTTGGGATGCACCCCGAAGATTGATAACTCGTATTCATATGTTCTTCACAACTTGGTATAGAGATGGCAATGTGACCTAGCCCCATGAGAGTCTTCTGATATAATTTAAGAACGCTGCCTAGGTGCCAAGTCCTTGTGATATGATTCTTTAGTCATGCGTCATCTGGAGGCCAACAATGCCCCCAAATAGCCTGAATGACATAGTTTCATGCGCTAAGCCTAATGCAGTATAGTACAGCGCCCCATGCAAATCACGTGCATACAACTTGTCGGAAAGCGGGACCCCTGTGACGCCAGCTGAAGGCGGTCATTTACCTGGAGAACGTTTGATTTCTGGTTTGTTTCACCTGATTCTTCTTTCTGCTGAATACTTTTGATCTCATTATACTTAATCCGATGGTTTCTACCCATTAGGCCGCAATTACCGCGAATCCTATACTTGTTCCGAGCGACTTCCGAGTTTCATGTAACGTGTCCTACAAAGAGGAACAGTGCGACACAGGGTAGATCGAACACGTGGAAATTGGCTTTTATAGTTTCCTTTTGCAGAAAGGTCGACCGTCGCCATACCAGCTGGATGACTGAAATTTCAACAATTATCTAGTCACTCACTCGACATCTTTCCTTACCAGGACAGTAAATCGGACAAGGACACCTCTGACAGCGAATTTCATGTCGAGGTAGTCAAGCCAATTAGCATATATCCCCACCATCGACGTTGTGGCTTCCGACACCTTTGAGCTTCCAGTGCTTTCACAACCGCGGGTGACATCGACCCCGGACGCTGTCCGCAACTCCCAAGACTCGGACGACGAGATGGCTGCCAGTCGCCCCTCATTTCACCGACCAACGGATGGCCGCTCGCAACAACCCCTCCTCAAAGATGACAACCATCGCCGGCCCCGATCTAGCTTTGGGAACGGTGACACAGAAGCTCGGCCCATGCTGCACCATACTAGACGGCCGACGATCCGGAGTAAAAGCCCGGAACATGATGCCGCCCTGGCAACCCGCAAGAAGTACATGATTGCATCTGGATTCCTCCTTCTCAGTCTGGCCAGCTTTGTGGTCCAAACCGAGACTGCTTCATATATTCAAAATGATTTGGGATGGAAGAAGCCATATTGCATGCTGTAAGTCTAAGTCCGAACGCGACCAATGAGCCCTCGCAACAAGCCCATGCGAACAATCTCCCAGGATGTAAGCGCTTACTAGTATACTCCCATGCAGCTATATTACCCACGGCTCATGGTCTTTGCTCTGGCTAGTCCAGCTCGGTATTCTTCGGTTACAGAAACGGAAGCTTTCGTGGGACGCTTTCTGGCGTCGTCATGTCTCTCTCATTCGCACCACCGCGCAAATGGTAGCATCTCAGGAAGTACACCTTAGCACCCGCTCGGCCAATCGCTCTCCCATCCGCTATATGGTGAAAACGACCGCTTTTGTGACCTCTGCGCTCACCATCGCGGGAGGATCATGGTACGTAGCTGTCAACATGACCACGGCCAGTGATCTGACAGCAATCTACAACTGTTCGGCATTTTTCGCTTATGCTTTTTCGATTCCTCTCTTGAACGAGAAATTGCGGTTCGACAAAGTGTTCTCCGTGGCGGTGGCCACTATCGGTGTGATGGTGGTTGCTTATGGAGACCGGCCAGAGAAAAAGGTCTCGAAGGGAGGAACCACGTCAGATGATGGCGCACAGAACAGGCTGCTTGGAAATATTGTCATTGGCATTGGAAGCATTCTCTACGGCCTGTATGAGGTGCTCTACAAGCGTTTTGCCTGCCCTCCCGAGGGTACCAGCCCTGGTCGGGGAACGATATTTGCCAATACCTTTGGCAGTCTGATCGGAAGCTTCACCTTGTTGGTGCTATGGATCCCGATACCATTATTGCATTGGTTGGGATGGGAGACGTTCGAATGGCCGACAGGCGAGGCAGCATGGATGCTAATCATCTCTGTTGCAGCCAATGCCAGTAAGTACCAAACAGATTCCTCCGGTAACATCAAGCTTACACCAAAGTAGCATTCTCCGGCTCTTTCCTTGTCCTCATTTCCCTTACATCCCCCGTTCTTTCATCGGTGGCCGCCCTTCTTACCATTTTCCTCGTCGCCTTGGTGGACTGGTTCCGGACCGGCGATCCACTTTCTATGGCATCTATCATCGGAGGCATTCTGATTATGATCGCGTTTTTCATGTTGAGCTTTAGCACGTACAGAGAGCTGAACGAGGAGCGAAAGAAACATCTAGAGAGCGCTGATGTCGAGTCTGACAGTGATGAATAGACCATGACGTTTCTTGCACATCTCGCATTGGGTTGGTTTATATACGGCATTTGACTTTGGTTCGAGCGTTTCTGTTTGGTCGTGTTTTATTTCTTGTATAGTCAATGTCTTGTTAACTTGTCACACATTCCACGGCTTCGGTTTACTTCATGTTCATTTTCCATTTTTGGTCGCAACACTTGTAATATACCCTTCTCTTTTGGGGGGTCTTGAAGGCATGCCAGAATCAGTATTGATCACCAGGGTGTCCGTCGTTCACACTAAGTGCAGCCTCAATATTACGTAGTGTTATCTGGCGTTCCACACTCCATATACTCACGTCACCAATACCGGCGGCTTTCTTTTATCGCAGGCGCTGATTACAACCGTAACTTTGTCGGCTGCGAAGGATCTGCTCCTTGATTTACCTTGAGCAACAGGCTCAGGTCATTTTGCCGGTCGAGCTAAACTAGGATTGGAATACCAGGTATGGCCCGAAGCTATCATTGGGCTATACCACGCAGAACGAGATCGTCGAGATCGAACCTCCACTCGATCAGATGTCGCCAACGGGCGGGTCTTCAAAGCCATCAACGAGCAGGTCCCCAATCCAATGACTAACGCGCCTGTTACCCCAGCCGTCGCGAATGGTTCTAGCTCATCTGTCATCCTACCATTCCAGCGCTTAGAGATCTACGAGCACGCAGCTTGGGTCATGAGGTATCACGATAGAGAACTATACAGCGAAGGAAAACCCTCATGGATCTGAGACCGACCCTCCACTACGCGTACGAGATGAAGATATAAGATACTACTGTCTGGCGCACGTTCGGAACAACACGTAACCCACTGTGTCGAGGATGGGCCCGTCATGCCCGCTGAGGGGACGAAGGGTTCTCTTAAACCTTTTGATCTTTTCGCGCGTAACTTGACACTTGATGTGGCTGTTGGTTCGGAGGCTGATAACTTCGGCGGAACCTCGGTTGGTTCGGCCGGTTCGCCCCAGATCGTTGTGTTTTATGGTTCGGATCTCGAGATTTGTGTAGAAACTCCCTCATTGGGGAATCGATGCGATCAAACTATATTTGACATCATGACTCGGGTACATGATTTGGAACCGTTCTCTGTTGGATTTTTAGTCGGGTATGTCCGAGGCCTTCCTAATTTGTTTATTCAAAGCATCTCGGATGGCAGATGAGGTTTGTGTCGGGATCCCGTCTGTGCTGAAGGAATTAATCGATTTGAGGGTCCCACTGTATTTCCAGGGACTTTGTGGCGTCTTAATACCTCTTTTTATGGTCCAAGCATTTAGAACATCTTTATTTCCAAGGCTTAATTTCATGTTTTTTTAAAAAAAAAATTACAGACTGTCGGTAGACTTATAAGCCTCGCATATGCGTACGCCTATCTACAACGTGTACAACGTACGTTGTCGGTAGTGTACAGTATCTTTCTCATAATGTGGCGATTGCATTATAATCCACGAATCAGGTCCACAGGGCAAATTAATCTTCAATGCACATCATTTCCATGTTTTTTTCCCGGAGAAATTGAGGTAGTATCCATGAGGTACATGCATATTCCTTCTCAGTAAATCGAACTTAAGAAGAACTTAGAATACGGTGAAGCACGAAGCAAGCGACGGGTCAACTTTCAAACAGTTATATAGTTATGTATATGCAGACCATTTCAAGATCCGAAATTCAGGATCTGCCGTTGCCGCCCCAATTGATTTTACGACGATCAGCCCCATAACTCAACTTGTCCACAAATCCCCTGCAAAGCCGTCATTGTTATTGGGCTAATGAATGAAAGGTGGCCCCTCCTCGGACGCCAGGGGGTCTTTTTTTTTAAGAAATGTTTCACCGCACACGCCAGGAGTCCGTTTGCCTTTGGGGACTTTTTTTTCTTTTTTTTAACCCCTGTCAAATGGCGCTAAAATCCATCGCCACTATTTATATCCGATCTGACTCCGCAGCCAAGAAGATAAGTTCGGGTTTAATTTGGGTTAATCTCCCGTTAAACATGAACTGTTCGATCAAACATATACATACATGGTACTCTGTATACATGGTACCTATAGAGTAGTAGATAGTCATAGAATTACATATCCCTTATTGCCATGAATGAATGTATCTGGTTCCTTGCGGTCTGGACCCTCGGTAGAAAAGGCCTCGAGAAAACAATCCCTTTGCCTCCCCCAGCGTGGCGTAAGGACCCACTTAAGTCAAGCGAGATTTGGATGGTCAGTTAGTTCAATTGATTGGCACAGACATTGCCCGCTTTTTTCTCCGGATGCGCCTCCCTGTTCATTGGTGCCTTGAGGACCCCAGGATCGTAAAGTGGAGGTACAATGTACGAGCTGCGCAACTGGATGGCAACCAAGTCATGACGTTCTCTATCTGAATATTTTTTTTCCCGATGAGTTTAATATTGTAAGTCTACAGCAAATATTGACATTCCTAAGAAGAGAAAGTGAAAAGAAAAACTCATTTTAGGGTTTGTACTTTGACAGGCGTCAAATAGGCATATCAATGGGGAATGTTCTCCGAACTGTACCTGAATTACATGTATTGTAAAAATCTTGAGACAAAGGGAGTACTTGTCCCATATAGGAAACAAAGCATCCTACATTGTATATCTATGAGTAGATTAATCATAGAATGATTCAGATTATATTCATTTATATAGACTTTTGTTCAAATTACAAACTTATACTCCATACCCAAGGAGAATATCCCCATAATCAAATGTAATCATCCTTCATCCCCTCTTATGTCTTTAATTTGACAGGTAACAAATAATACCGTGTATGGTAATATTTTGAAGGGAACAACAAATCGAGGGGATTCTTCTTCCTCTCTCTCACACACATCTCTCTACGACCAACCTCTCTGTTCTTTTTTTACCCTCCTTGGCCTCGTCGTGGCCGTCCATTCATTTTCAGAACTTAAGGATAACGGTCCCTTTGGTATTCTTTTTCGTTTCTGCCTGGTGCGGAAGATTCAATGACCCTCGCTCGAGGTGCTTAATCTTGACCTCCAGATTCCTAGGCTTTCCAAACGCTGAAGGGAAGTCGGTCTGGAGGTCTTTTTTCCATCTGGATCTCGTCGACCGGGCTTCGTGCTCACTCCGTTAGATTACTCTTACATCTTTTCTTATTCGTGTTTTTTTTTCTCGTCGCCTTGAAAATGGCGTCGCTTTCACTTCCTCCGTCCCAGCCGGGATTCCCGACACATTTCGACACTCCATCCAGCGACCATACTCGACACCGCAGCATGCATGCACCGTTGCCTAACCCTCCATTCGTCTTTCCGGCCCACGATCCTGAAGCCTCCAACACCCAATCGGCCGCCCCTGAACATCGGGAACGGGCCGCATTGCCCGCATTCTCGTTCAATCCTGGTTCTGAACCGCAGTCATCTCACCTCTCAGCACCATCATTGGGAAATCCTCGAGCCGGTGGGCACCGTCGGCGACCAAGCGAGTTTGTTGGGACTGATCAATTGGTGACACCCGAAACAACCGCGCCATGCGACAAGCGCGACGAACCATCGGCAGCAGCTCAACCTTTTCCACCCCCAGGGCCTGGGGTTGGTAGGATCCCTGGACGACGGAACCACGCCCATCGACGCTCAGCTGCCATCTCCGGTGTCGATTTAAATGCAATCGCTAAAGCACTGGGCCCTAATGGAGGAAGTGCGCCCTGTACACCTGCCGATCCCAATCACAAATCAACATCCGATTTCCCTGCGCGACCACTGTCACAATCCGGAATTACCCTCGGCCGTCCCACGCCTCCTGAGTCCCCTGAAATTCAGCCTGTCCCTCCGGTTCCGCCCATCCCGGCGGCCATTCAAGCGGAAATCGACATGAACAATCAGACCTCTCACATTGCACGACCCGTGCCTGTCGTCTCCCATGAGACCTCCGACAGTTCAACAACAATCAAGTTTCACCAAACGGAGAAGCCGCTGAGTCCTCAGCCGGTAACACCGAGAGCTGATCACAAGCCAAAACCTCGGCCGAAGACTGCCGATCCGTCTTCGATGATGGATTTCATGCAAATGGGGGATGATTCTGGAGTTTCCTCTATTAAGCGTTCGCATTCGGCAGCTGGGCATTCACGGGCCCGTAAGAGCAAATCAACACCCCATCTCGATTCCACCCTCTCGCCCGATGATATCATTTCCACGGGCCATTCTCGTCATTCTTTCTCCGACGACGGCTCCGATACATCTGGGGACGAAACGACAGAGGATTCGCCATCCAAAAAGTCCACTTCGAAGTCGAAACTGAAGAAACAGAAGCGTGTTCGTTCATGGGCCGGTCACATTCTAACCCGAACTAAGAGCAAGGGCAAGGGTAAACGCCATACCAAACCTGAAACAGAGGAAGAACCGCCCAAACCTCGAGCTCCTACACATCGCCCTCCCGCTCTTACTCGGACAAACTCAGAGGCCGGATCAGTTCTAGATGTCGATTTTGATAACGACGTTGTTGTCATCCGCACCCCCACTAATCCAAGCATGCCACCTTCCGCCCTAGAACCTATTCAGAATGACTGCCAGAATGATGGCTCTTCCCCTTTGCCTGCGCCTACTCTAGAAACCTCGTGGAAACCGAGGAGCTTTTATGAACAGGATGTCGGCCCCCCTGATAATGTGCTAAGCAGCCCTATTATTGACCTTGATGCTGCACTTGGTCCATTCAATACCCCAGATATGCGGCCAGTAGCGCCAGGTGCTACCAATAACAATTTCTCCGTTGCCACCCAGCGGATGTACAGTGGTGGAAGACGAGGCGAGTTTGTTGGCCCCGAGATGCGATACCATCGGCGCACGGAAAGCGCCCCTGTGATGCAACCATTCGATCGCTCTGCCCTCGGCGCATTCCGTCTAGGCGGCCCAACCTCCGCCGTCGAAACCCCGGATGTTTTCGACGAGGAGGAAGAGGATGCTTTCTTGGCTGCCAGCCAGTCACCCAAGGGTGAGCGAGCGCAATCGCCTAAGCTCGAGCGCCCTCGCTTTGAGTTTCCCTCGATTGAAAGTGCGGCGGCATTCTCTTCGTCGGAAGATGATGAGAAGTCCGTCCATAGCAACGACACCGCAGACACCGCCAACACAACTCGAGCCCCAGCTAGTAGCATCTCGTCTCAGAATGCGGGCCTAGGCATCCATCGAGGTCCCAAATTTACGCCCACGAACGAGCCAGAAGAAAAAAGCGCAGTTGAACAAGTACGGACTGCCAGCAATCCTTTCGCTAGCAAGCCTCGAAGTCCCGTGGAGATACTCAAGGCGGAAGAACCTGCCCACAAATCTGTTGGACCCCCGAGCCCCGACATTTCTCCCCGATTCCTTGCTATCGACAAGCGGCCGTCCACGTCTCCCATTGAGCTTTTGCCTAGCATTCCGCCATTTGCCCTGCATCCCGGAGTCTCGCCATCTGATACATCATTCCCATCTCCGGATGCTCCACGATCAATTGCGGCATCCTCAATGACAGATCGGAACTTCTCAAGTCACTCGTACCATCATCTTCCTTCGGCTGAATATCCCTATGCATCAGTTGAAGATGTTCCATCTTTAACCAGCAGTGCATCAACCATGACCAATACCTTGAACCGCTTTTCCGCAGCCTCGTTCTTCCCTCGCGGCCGCCTCTCTACCGATCGCGCTGCATCATTCTCGGCTGCTGGAACCCGGCGCACCAGCCAGGCTAACGCTACAAAGCGCTCCAGTCTAGCCAGCCTTTCCAAGCTGGTCGGCGGCCCCCTTTCAGAGCGGAGCAAACTTAACCAGGAGGAGAAACCCCCCGGTGACGCTTCAGACAAAACGAAAAAGAAGGGCCGCCGCATTAGCCGCTTGATGCACTTCTGGAAAGTCAAGGACAAGGAAAAGCCCATCAACGAAGCGAACGAACGACCACAGTCGTAAGTGCGCGGCTTGGAGTTGGTCTCGATGCATTTTTACTTTCATTTACGGCGCAAACTCGGCATAGCGACATCCTGGCACATTTCTCGCAGCAACTTCATCTGCTTTTTCCCCCTTCGACAGCGTGGGCTTTTCCTCGTGTAAATATTTGCTCCGTTTGGCTTGTTTATTTTCTTCATCGGCGGTGCCAATCCCGCGTCCAGGACGCTCATTACGAATTTCTTTACTTCTCTTGGCCCTGCCTTGAGTATGATTTGTCATATTTCTTGTCAATCGCTTATGAATCGGTGTGAGTGGCACGGATTTATTGACTTTCCCTACGATCTTTTGGTCTTAGCGGCCGCTTCTCTTACTTTGTGTTTCTCTTGTTGGGGCTCTTGGCCCAAATCTCTTTCGTCCCCGTCGGTTAGCCCTCGGGTCCTCTTTCTTTCATATCTGTGACATGCCTGTGTATTTATCTGTGTGGCTTTTGTGTCTTCACTGCTCAGGTGGTGTGGATCTCGTCAATAATTTGTCTCTGTCCGGTTAAACATGGCGGATAATGAAACCAATATTTAAAGCTGCATACATTCTGGAAGATACATATTAAGCATAGAGCATATTTGTAGTCGTTTTAGAACAGAGCCATTTGCATTCTCTTCGGCCATCGTTGAGATATATAATTTCTAAAGCACTCGAGAAGAATTGGCCCCGAGGCCGGTATGTGTTCCAAGATCCCTCGATAATAAGTCGATCCACAAATATATAGAAGAATAATCATCCTGCCACAAACGCATTTGTTATTCCGTTTCAAGCAATAAGTAACTAGGTAGATCCATTTTCAACGAATTATTGCAATATCATCCTGCTCATGTAGTTCACAATATAACCTCCCAGCCCGTCACAAATTCTAACTGCGCATCATGAATGATCTGATCCTCGGGATCCTGAAAGTGCAACCGGGTAGGCACCTTATCATTCTTATTTTTACGTATGAAGTAGGGTGAATCAACCTCACACTTGGTATAGTTACTTGGCATAATTCCCTCGTACAAAAATGCACGTACGTGCTTGACCACACAAACCGATGCTACAGCGAGAGATGAATGCCCATATCCCTCAACCTCGATAATCTGCGACCTGTCAAATGCTTCATTTGCCGAAACCGCCGAAACAAGCGGCGTGATGGCATCATACGTAGTAGAAAGAATAAGCAACGGATGTGCTGTTTCCACGCCTCGCCGTGGCACATACGAATGCGTGCGCGGCAATTTCCACTGCTGTTTCAGGAAATAAAGAGATATGTCGCTGGGTGTTAAGGAAGAATTGAGAAGATAGGGGAGCATCCAGTGTATCAGCCCAGCGGAGCTCTGTGGCCAATGGTCAGGCCCGCTGAGGCCATCATTCAGCGTAACGAACTTGCTTGACTCGTCTCTTTGGGGGTGATTGGTCCCAAATGCCAGAAAAGCGCGTGTTGCGTCCCCGCGAATGAGGAGGCATAGAACGTCAGCGAGAAAAGACCAACCAGCAGGATTGTACAGCGCTGGCAACACGCCATTCCTCCACACGTGGTCGAAATTGAGAATGCCGTACGCGCTGCTATTGAGATACACATTGAGTGGGTTGGGTCCCAGATCATCGATATACGAGCGTACAATGCGGCTTAGTACCCTTGGATCCTTTGACACTGTAAGATCAAAAAGAGGACAGCTGTAGTTGTCCGTTTTTAGACACTCCTCGAAAAACCCATCTAGCACCTCCTCTACGTTGACTTGAGACTCGATCTCGTAGATGCCATCGTACCATTTGAACTGATTGACGACACCGTCAATGATGACGCGCTGCGTCCGCTCGGGAAATAGACCTGCGTATGTTTGCCCGAGGAGACTGCCGTAGCTGAAACCCCAATATATCATATCGCGTTGACCAACTGCATTGAGAATACTATTCATATCGGCAGCTGTCTGCGGGGTGTTGATATAGGATGCATATTCGCCCATTGTATCAGAGCACGCCTGCGCAAAGTTCTTGGCCCAGGCATAGATCGTCGAAGCCTCCAGCAGGGGGTTCAGGATGCTTGAACCCGATAACCTCCGGCGAGTCTCATCATCCGGGTAGCATGATGCAGCGGGAATAGAGCTATTCACGCCCCGAGGGTCGAACGAAAGTAGATGGAAACCCTCGCCAACGATGGCTCTGAGCTGCGATCCTCGGCGGTAAAGCAAATCTATACCACTCGCCCCAGGCCCACCTGGGTTTACCAAAAGATTCTGAGTTGCTTTTGCGGCGCGCAGGCGCATGAGCGGGATAGCGAAGGTCTGATTGGGGTTTGGATCTGGGTTCTGGGCGAACTGGTCGATTGGGACATTGATACTGCTGCATTCCAGTGGGTCGCCCTTCAGGTCTCCGCATGGTTCCCAATTAATGTGTTCCCCACTATATTTGATGGTATTTAGTTCGGTTTTGGGTTTCCGTCCAAGGGAAAGATACTCGAAATGGTGGAAAACGGTCAACCCTAGGATTGCTACCAATGATAGAAGGATCCAGCGGATCGATTGTTGGAATTTTCCCTGTGAAAAATGAGAGACATCTCCTGTCAATGTTCTTTTATTCATAATCGTGAGCGACTGTCTAGATATTGCGAATCAAAAGCTTGAGAGAAAAGTATTCTGGTGTCTTGCTCAGAGATAGGGGCCCCTGGACGGCCCCCAAATGTTGACTTATTAATCCATGAGCTGCCCACCTATGTACTTGATTTCCTCTGCCACATCTTGGCGTCCGCTTTCCATATCAGTGCTCACCTCTTGCCGCTTTTTGCTCACTGAGTAACTGTGGATGGGGTGGTGGACCTCGGGACGGATTCAAGGTCGTTCCATAGGACGGTGAGGTAGCGTACTATGAAACTACCAAGTTCCAAGGTTTTTGATCGAGTCATCGGTACTTTATTCCTGAAGCAATGAGTGTATAACAGGGATGTACATTTACATCTCTATAAGCATCCTAAGTCCGTCAACCGGAAATGTCTTGAAAAGGACGCGGTCTACAAACTTAATCAATGACTCGATGTATATATCTATTCAGGTCTACATTGTTCTTACTTTGCCCTTCAAACTGGTCTCAATAAACACCGTCACATTGTTCTCACTTTACTGCCATTCACATTGTTCTCAATAAGCAACCTGAACTCGCTGCCCGCCCTTCTACAGCTATTTATTTCGCTTTCCCACTTTCATTTCTCTTCTTTTCTTCAACAATCCACAGCCTTCTGTGATTTTCATTCCCTAGATATACGCTATGTCCACTGTTTCCGGTCTCCGGCGTATGATTCGCCGCTTTGTTGAACACAAGATTGACGTCCAAGACTTAGTAAGAATCCTGGAGACTACGAAGCCCTCGCCGCTCGCAGTGACCTCGTTGAGTCTGCCAGACATCCAGAAGATCCATGATCTCACCATGGTTGGGGATGATGAGTTCGACTTTGTTGCGCCTGTCCCCGTCCCGCAAGATCTCAGTATGGTAGCCCGATGGATCGTGTAAAGAAATCAGCTAACCTCAGCTAGAACTCTGGTTGGAAAAGTCGGACCGCGCTCATGGCGCCAGCCGCGCAAACGAAGCCAGTATCCGCTGCAAGCTCAGCCTCCTCCTTGTCTGCGCTCACGATCTTGTATCGTCGTCTTCAAACAAATCCGCGAGACCCTTAAACATTCAGCTGGAACGTACATGGGCGTATAGCCCTGTGAAATGGAAGGGGAAGACATGGATGCTGTCGGGGCGTCCCGACTATGGCATTTGGTATGGAGAGGAGGAAGACATCGACTTAAACGTTGTTATCATGGAGGCCAAGAGACCGAACAGTGGTTCTGAAGGGGTTCCGCAGGCGCTGGCATATATGGGTAAGTACCTCACGATATCGTCGTCATAACCACTCTTAGGCTAACGTGTCAAAAGGGTGCGTCCATAAGCAGCGCAAAGATCTTGGCAAGACAGACACCACCGTCTACGGCATCTCCACCGATGCCATGAACTTTACGTTCATGAAGCTCGACAATGAGTCTCAGGTAAGTGTATCTAAATCATGTCAGTGATCCTGATTCTAATGTTAACTAGTGGTCGTTCAAACTAGTCGGCGTCATTGGAAATGAGTTCGAACAAGTGCTTGGTCTGCTAGTCTACCTGATGAAGAAAGCGACCTTAATGTCACCCGCCGCCTCCAAACGCACGTCTCGCCGGACACAACAAGGACCAGGGGAGTCTGACCTGATCTTCGACCATGACCCTGAGATGGATGTTGAGATGGATGTTGAATGATTTCGTCGCCGCATTCACCCTCTGGTCTTCTTTCTTGCGTCTTCCTCCTTTTCTTCGCTGGTCGTTCTTTCCTCGCCGTCTTGATGTTCTTCTTGTTCCCCTTTCCTGCTTTGCTGCGTCTTCTACTCCTTGCTCGTCTTATTTTTGCCCATATCCCTTCGCTAGTATTACCTTATCAAAATAAAAGTATATTTTTCTAAACCATGAGATACGAGATACGAGATACGAGATAACGATAAGAGAAAAAAAGTTCAAAAACTTTCACCCCGCAGTGACATTTCATCTTAACTCTTAACATTCAGACGGAAAACAATTGGATTTTACAATGGGTCCTCCACGTAAGGGTCCCCGACAGGGAAACAGAAGAAGGTCACCTGGACCGGCAGTCAAAGCATCAAAGCCAAAGCAAGCGCCGCCCGCGAACAAACAGCACACTGAGAGGAAAGTCGAAGCCTCAAAACCGGAGCCTGAACCAACCGAAGACGAGTCCAATGGACCCAACCTTGTCAGCACAATCCCTCGCTCGCTCCAGCAATTGCTATTGGATGTATTCAAAACCGCTCTCCTCGGCGAGCCAGTCGCAGAGTCGGAAGCAGCCGCAGATGGTGAACTACAATCAGACGAAACCAAGGGCAAAGAGGAACCGCTCGATATCAAGTCTCTCATCCAGACGATTAAGGGTCTGCTATACCAGCGTGACTTTGACTCTGCATTCACTGAGGCGAACGAGGACTTGTTGCGCGCTTATGCCTTGCGCTGGAGTTCTTCGCGGGCATTGGGATATGCCGGCCTTTTGAAGGGTGTGCTGTCCTGGATGAAAGAGGAAGAAGAAAATACTCGCGGTCGTACAAGACCCACAAAACCCTCAACCCGTGTCGTTGCAATTGGTGGTGGCGCAGGTGCAGAGATCGTTGCTCTTGCCGCTGCATGGAGAGATTTAAATGCCGAAACCGAGTCATTGGAAGAACGTGTCGCCAGCGTATCTTTGGAAGATGCAGAAGCTCAAAAGGAAGAGAAGCCTGAAGAAAAAGGTGCCGGTGCGCCCGGTCTCTCTGTTATGGCTGTCGACATCGGAAACTGGTCAAGTGTTGTTGACAGGCTTTCGAAAACCATCTTTTCGGACAAAGTGCCATTCACTATGACCTCGACACATCGCTCGCCGTTACTTGCTGAGGCAGCCCGTGAAACCTTCCAGGTCGATTTCCGTCGTGCCGATGTCTTGAATATCCCCGAGGAGGAACTCAAAGAAGTTTTCCTCGGCCCCTCGTCATCTGCTCCTTTCACCTCCATTCTCGTTCCTATCATGTTCACTCTGAATGAGCTTTTCTCTACATCCATGCCAAAGACTACCGGCTTCATGCTTCGCATGACACAGATTCTGCCTGCTGGTGCCGTGCTCTTGGTGGTTGATAGCCCCGGTAGCTATTCGACATTGAAGCTCGGAAAGGGACCGGATGGCGAACCGCAGGAGAGAAACTATCCCATGAAGTTTTTGCTTGACCACACACTGCTGTCGGTGGCGAAGGGCAAGTGGGAGCGGGTGTATACTCAAGATTCGAGGTGGTGGAGACGGGATGCGGCGCGCCTGCGCTACGAAGTTGGCGAGGGAGCAGGCTTGGAAGATATGCGGTTCCAGATGCATGTGTATAGGCGTTTGTAGTTCTGTTGACTTCTATATTATGAGACATAAATACCCTATAACGAAGAATACGACCGAATCTTCAAAAAACACAAAAGTGATGTGGAGTGAGGTATGGTATTGCTACAGATCAGAAGATGGCCTAAGTCCGACCACTCCAGTTTCACGACATGAGGCCAGGCTCGCCTCGAGCCGTGGCGAAAATTGCGATTAATTGGTACATTCGATGAATTGAGAAAACGGGGTCCATAAATCCCGAGGCTTCTTTGTTCTCCCCTTAACTCCGCAGACCCAGCAACAGGCTGGTGCCGTTGCCACCACCGTTCTTTCCTCCTTCTCCGCCGGGAAGATAAGTGACGTTGGGGTTGCGAGCCAGAGTCTGAGCAATGTCCTTGCTAGCCTCGATACGACGGATCTCGATGAGACCGCTGCCGGCCTTGGCGACAGCCCTGCTAATAATGTCGGCACTCTCGGCTTCACCCTCAGCGCGGATAACGTTAGCCTGGCGCTCCTGCTCGGCACGCTCGACGATGAAACGGGCCCGCTCAGCATCCTGCTGGGCAATCTGCTTCTGCTCGACGGCTCGTGTGAACTCCTTTCCGAATGTCATATGGGTGATGGAGACATCCTCAAGGGCAATGTTGAATTGTCCGGCACGCTTCATCAAGTCGGTGCGGATGCGGTTGGAGACGGCCTCACGTTGTGTGATCAGCTCGGCGGCGTCGAATTGGGCAACGATGGCTTTGAGGACTTCGTTTCCAATAGAGGGGAGAACACGTTCATCATAATCGGTACCGTAGGACTGGATAGCTCGGAGTTAGTCATTTTAACTTGTTCGAAGCTCAAACAATCACATGGGACACACCTGGTAGATCTGCGGCAGCTTCGGCACCTCCGGGCGGTGCAGCACACGCAGCGTCAAGCTGACCATCTGCAAATCCTTACTTCCAGTTGTGGTAGAGATGTTACGTGGCTTCGTTCGCACATCGTAGACAATTGCGCGCTGCAGCCATGGGATCAGGAAATGTGTTCCTTCGTTGACGACCTTCTCTTGCACACCAGACACTCGATCGAAGATGACGGCTCTTGTGCCGCCCCGGACATCGTACAGGGAATTCTGGACTACCATACCCCCAATAGCGAGGGGGAAGGCCAGGCGGTAGACATTTTGGAGCACGTTGGCCATGGTGTGGAGGTGGAGGGGGATGTGATGAGGACGAATGATGGAGATGATGTCTGCTTTTCCCGTTGCTCACTCTGAGGCTTCCAAATCGGGTTTAGCGTCCATCGTCCAAACCTCCAACTTCGCCCGACAACTTCGCTTTTCCCTTGTCGTTTCGCTATCTCACTACTTTTCCCACCCACTCCTCTCTTTTTTACCTGAATACATTCAAAATGGGTGGCTCAGTTGATCCCAAGAACGGACAGTAAGTCTTTTCGCGCGTTTGCTCCTGTCATTGAGGCACTCCCGGATGCGTTACCCGGGACGCAATCCAATCCCCCGAAGATGCTAATTGGCATTGTTCCACGGTTCTCAATGCTCATATGTGATCTCCAGATTACTGACTTATATTCTTTTTTTATAGCTACATCGGCAACTGGGGCGAGTTCGGTACGTTGACAACCACCCTTGGATCTTTCGAAAGGACCCGGATATAGGCGCAGGGGATCCTTGACATGGTCGAAAGGATCGCGATATTATCCGGATATCGAACAGAAGAATCCGAGCTCGAGGAATCAGATAGGGCGCATTGCTAATATCCAATTTACAGGTTGCCCGACCCCCCAGCGCATTGCCACCTACTCGCTGTCCGCTAACCGTCAGCGTCCCTTCGCCGGTGCTGGCCACGCTGCCATCTTCAACGTCTTCCGCCGCTTCCGTCACCAGGTTCTCTACGTTGTTCCCCCCTTCGTTGTCGCATATGCTGCCATGAACTGGGCCATTGAGCGGTAAGCATACCCCGGAAAAGCGGCTTCGATCGGTTGGCTGATTCGATATAGCAACGAGTTCCTGAACTCCAAGCCCGGCCGCCTTCTTGAGGGTGGTGGTGATGAGGAGTAAATTATATTTTCAATTGTTTCAATTGTTTCTCGGAGTGAGGTTGGATTGGTATAACAAAGCAGAGCATGATACACCCAAGACTCTTGACTATTGGGGTACTGTATGCTTGTACAGTAACTAGAAAGCAATCGACCATTTGATTTTCCTATGTCTATTATACTTTGTTTGTCTCTTTTCTAGGCATTTCACTTCTCTACAAGGTCACACTTGAGTAAGCACCTTTTTAGGACCTGTCATTGGCCCTTGAGGCATCAATGCCCAATTGTGGACACAGAGTAGGGTATATCGGGTTAAATTGCAAAGAATTCAAAACTACAGGGATCAGCAAGAAAAATGTATTAGCTATTATCAGCAAACATAATCGGAAATGTGATTCTTACAGTGAGTTCATTGGAAGTTGGTGGCCTGCATTGTGTTCCCCACTTGAGCCGAGAAGCAAAAAATTCGCCCAAAGCAGCCAATCTTCCGCCAGACCCTTTTTCTTCGAATGCTTCGTCTCTCCCGTTTCTCTTCCTCTCTTTATTCACGACCATATTTTCTTCGTCTTTTCTCTTCTAAATCCTTCATAATGAGCGAGCTCACTCACCCTACCATCGTCGGTATGTTGAATCCACCCCTCCATTACCCCGCCTTCGCGCCAAAACATGCTCTTCGCATGGGGTCATTTTAGTATAACGAGCTAATTGTTGTCATCTATATAGATGGATGGTTCTCCGAGAAGTCCGGCATGTGGCCCGGTCAGGCCATGAGCCTCAAGGTCAACCAGATCATTCACCACGAGAAGTCTAAGTACCAGGATGTGCTTGTTTTCGAGAGCAGCGACCACGGCACCGTTCTCGTCCTCGACAACGTCATCCAGTGCACTGAGCGCGATGAGTTCTCCTACCAGGAGATGATCACCCACCTCGCCATGAACTCTCACCCCAACCCCGAGAAGGTCCTGGTCATCGGTGGCGGTGACGGTGGTGTCCTCCGTGAGGTCGTCAAGCACTCCTCCGTCAAGGAGGCTACCCTGTGCGACATTGACGAGGCTGTCATCCGTGTCTCCAAGAAGTACCTCCCTGGCATGGCCATTGGCTTCCAGCACCCCAACGCTCACACCCACGTTGGTGACGGCTTCGAGTTCCTCAAGAACCGCCAGAACGAGTTCGATGTTATCATCACTGACAGCTCTGACCCCGAGGGTCCCGCCGAGAGCCTCTTCCAGAAGCCCTACTTCGAGCTCCTCAAGTCTGCCTTGCGCGATGGCGGCGTTATCACCACCCAAGGTTGTTCGTCACTTTCCTTATTTTGCCCCTCCCTTTTTATATCTCATCTAGTCCCGGCCCATCGAATTCCCATACTACATTTCACATTGTTTTCACCCATTCACTACAAGAAGAACAAAGGCTAACAGTATCGCACTGCCCTGCAACCAACCCGCTTTTCGGGCTCGGTTTTGCGGAGCTGTGCTTCTTATTTTTATAGCTGAGAACCAATGGCTTCACCTTGACCTGATCGCCGACCTCAAGAAGTCCTGCAAGGAGGTCTTCCCCGTCGCCGAGTACGCCTACACCACCATCCCCACCTACCCCTCAGGCCAGATCGGCTTCATGGTCTGCTCCAAGGATGCCACCCGCAACGTGCGCGAGCCTCTCCGCACCTGGACCGCCGAGGAGGAGGTGAAGCTCTGCCGCTACTACAACCAGGACATCCACCGCGCCAGCTTTGTCCTGCCTAACTTCGCCCGCCAGAAGCTCGGCAACTAAATGTCGTGATCTTTTAAAAAAGCTTGTATGGTCTTTATATTCTCATGACGATATTGAAATGAAACCATGGATTTCCGAGTATCTCACTCCTATATCTCTGCTTCTCAGTAGTCCTGTCACTTGTAGCCCGGGTACATATCTAGCTAGCTAGTTACACTGGTCATGATCTGGGAAAAAGTCTGACGTCCAAGGCTCGGACGACAAGTGAGACCTCTTAGTGTGCCGGATCTTGAATGCGGGAAGATTAATTCTGTCATGTAAAAGTGATCAAATGCATCTCAAAGTGAATTTTGATTGGATATTGTATTCAAACTCCCCTGCGGAAACCAAAGCCGATCCAGCTGGGAGACCCACGATATGGCTGTCTACCCATCTTTACGGCAGATTTACATCATGGCTTGTTTTGATTCCTATAAATATTAGTTAATATCCATTTGTCTTTACGATACTTGAAAAGCTTATGTACGCATATTATGCTGTCAATTGTCATAAGCAATCAAAATGAAGGCCAATCACATCTACTATTCATGCATACTCTCTCTATTTTTGATCATCCCAACCTGGGCACAAAACCTATGTACCTCGGATGACATTTCCAAAATGGACGTGAGCGGCTGCACATGTCCCTCTGACTTTCCATCACCGCCAAGTAATTTGGTATGCAAAGGAAACTCGATGGACTGTCCCATCACTTGCAACCAATCACCGCCATCACCCTTGGTACCGCGAGCACAGCTATCCCAGTGTGGATCTGGCTGTGTGAACGCAAATTTCCGTTGCAACGGGTGCTACATCTGGTTCTCGAGTCTTTGCCGCTGCCTCCGCGACTTCCAAGCTGGATCCCAGACGAATTGCGTAGCCAGTCCGGTCATCCCCCCAGGCTCGCCGAAGCCTGGTCAGCCTGCTTCGTGGGTTCTTCTGCGCACCGGTGACCTGATCACTACCACGCAGTTGATACCGGGTATCTTGCAATTGGACACCGCTACCGATATCGATGGCGGGTTCCGGTTGGGCCAGGACACACTGAAAAACAAAGGCATAAGAAGCACAGGAACACTTGCCATGAACAGTGTCACTACAAGATCTGAGGAACAGATCCATATTCATGTGTGTGACTGGCCGAATAGTCCGCTTCGTGATATCATTGACGGTCTCGACGTGAACAAGTACCAAACGTCGCAGTCGGTCCCTCTGGGAGCTCTTCATAAGGCGAACGCTGCTGTGAATTGTCGGGTGTCGCCTAACACGGGTGTGGATGTCAATATGAGTCGTGATATCGTTAACTGGTTGAAACAATACCAGGGTTCGAATGATTGTGCTCAGTATAATGTCGGCGCTGGTGTCATCACCGACAGCAGGGATTTGTCTTGGTCTTGTATTGTAACTGGCGAAAGGGCTGCGGAGAATCTTTTCTGTCCTTGAGAGGTGAAAGACAAACGTGGCTACCTAGGTAGAGGAAAAGAAAGAGACTGCTGTCTTTGGCAATGATGTTTCACATCTACTGGTTTATCTATGTATGCGCCAACCTGTTGTGCACATGTGGAGCTATCTAGAAATGAGACTTGGGAATGTACTCTGTGAATAGCTGCGCAAGATCATGACAGTCGCGATTGCCCCTATTTTCGTTGACTCACTTGCACTCGCATGGAACTCTTCGATCTGGACCTATCATTCACTCCTATCGCGCCACATAGTTGGGGTTCGAAGGTGAAAGCCCTTGCTAAGTAAGGTCTAGTGGGAAGGGCTTGTCCCAAACCCACTTGAGTGTCGGAGAGAGAAGAAGAGAAGTAGAAGAGAAGAGGAGGAGGAAGAGAAGAAGTTGGAAGTATTTGTACCAGGGGACAGATGCCTTTCCTAAAATGGACTTTCATTCTCAAGCATCGAGAACTTCACTTTCACTTTGATAATACATAACCCCTCAATTATCAGTCAAAAGCACGCAGTTATTATTCATATACATATGTTTTCATTGATCGTGACAACGGGCTGCAGTCGAAGAAAAATGTCGAGATATACGTGATACTAAATATTCCAAAAAATTAAATCGCAAGCAATCCGCATATAATTCTCGACATTTCTGAATATCAGCCAGATGGTGAATAGCTCTTGTCACCGTCAAATTGTGCTATAGCCACAAGCTCCCGTCAAGAGTTGTAGAAAGATTTAATGAACTACTTACTCTTATACCTCGGTGCTTCCCCGTGCCACCCCTCATCGGCGACAATTCCGAACCTCAAATCTATAACCACCTCCCACCTTCCAAATCTCTCTACCAAACAAGAAAGCAATGGCAGTAGAAGAGCCACCTATAACCACCCATAGAATTGCCCTATTGGGTCTGGGCACCATCGGTCTCTCGATGCTAGCAATGCACCTCCGCCGCCCAGACACAAGCATCACAGTGTACGATCCACGACCCGACTACGAATCTCAAATCCGGAGTGTTCTCCCTACACTCCTGGATCTATCCTCCAACGACCTCAGCATCACCGACCAATTAATAGCCTCCTCCCGCCTAAAACTAGCCACCAGCTTACCCGAAGCCGTCAAAGATGCAACGATTATCCAGGAACAAAGCCCCGAGATCACGGCTTCGAAACAGGCTCTCTGGAAGGAAATCTCTTGTTTCGCCGGACCGGATACCCACTTATGGAGTAGTTCGTCTGGGATTGCAGCGTCAGCGCAGGGCGCGACATGCGCAGCCGAGCACCGGATCGCTGAAAGGCTGCTCGTCGCGCACCCGTTTAACCCGCCGCACCTGATGCCTCTCGTTGAAGTTGTTCCCGGGCCCGAAACGAAGCCTGAGCGGGTCGAGTTTGTGAAGAAGTATTTTAAAGATATACCCGGTCCGTCAGGGACGTCGGGTACAGCAGAGAACCAGTCGACATCGCATTACCGGCCTATCACGCTGCACAAGGAAGTTCCTGGGTTTGTAGGGAATAGGCTTGCGTTTGCTTTGCTGAGGGAGGCGTGTCATCTTGTAGGGGAAGGGGTTGTTACGGCTCAGGATTTGGACTCGATTGTCACGGCTAGTTTGGGGCCGAGGTGGGCTGGGAGTGGTGTTTTTGAGAGCTATCATGCTGGGGGTGGAGAGGGTGGGATTGGTGCCTTTTTGCAGAAGCTCTCGCCTACGATTCAAGATGTTTGGAGTGATTTGGGAAAAATTGATATTGAGGGTGAGCAGGAGTGGAGAGACGTGGTAGTTAAGCAGACCGAAGAGGCATATGGGCCTTATACTACTGAGACGAGGAAAAAGAAAGAGGAGATGTTGCGAGACGTTGTTGAGATGCAGAAAAAGAGATGGGGGGAGTTGCCATAATTGTCCTCTGTTCAATGAAGACGAAGATTTACTTGGATTTACGGGTGACGAGATGGATGAACAATTCAAAGCTCTATTCGCATTCTTATAAAACTCGAGGGCCATAGCTCCTCTACTAAAAAACCAAAACATTTTGTTGCGTCATAATCGTTCCGTTCCTTACAGAATCTGCTGGAAAGCGCGGTTGATGGGCGAGCGCACGGGAACGCCCTTGTAGAAATCGATGGTGGCAAGAGCGCGCTTGGAGATACCCTCAGGGGTGAACTCGAACTTGGCGTACACCTCCTTGTAGGGACCGGAAGCACCGAAGCGGTTCAGGCCGAACTGCTCGTGGGAGTAGCGCTCCCAACCCATGGTGCAGAGAGCCTCAACGGACAGCACAGGGATGCCGTCGGGCAGCACGGAGAGGCGGTACTCCTTGCTCTGGGAATCGAAGACCTCGAAGCAAGGAACGGACACAACACGGGCAGCGACACCGTGCTTCTCCTGGAGGTAAGTGGCAGCCTCGATGGCGATGCTGACCTCAGAACCGGAGGAGATAATGGTAATAGCGGCGTTGGGGGTTTCGACAGCGACGTAGGCACCCTTGATGGCGTTCTCGAGAGAGGAGAGCTCAAGTTGGGGCAGGTTCTGACGGGTCAGAGCCATGACAGTAGGAGTGTGCTTCATGGTGAGGGCCATGTAGTAGGCAGCGGAGGTCTCGTTGCCGTCGGCGGGACGCCACACCATGCAGTTGGGCAGGGCACGGAAGTGAGCCAGGGTCTCAATAGGCTGGTGGGTGGGGCCATCCTCACCCAGACCGATGGAGTCGTGGGTAGCGATGTGGATGACACGGACGCGGGAGAGGGCCGACAGGCGGAGGGCACCGGCGGCGTAGGAGACGAAGTTCAGGAAGGTACCACCAGCGGGGATGATAGTACCGTAGGCAGCAAGGCCGTTCATGACAGCAGCCATGGCGTGCTCACGCACACCGTAGCGGACGTAGCGACCGGCCCACTCGCCGATGCCGAGGTCAGGGGGCTGGAAGTCGACAGCGTTCTTCCAGCGGGTGTTGTTGGAGCCAGTCAGATCAGCGGAACCAGAGACCAGCTCGGGAATGACATCGTGAATGGCCTCGAGGCAGGCCTCGGAGAGCTTACGCGAAGCGATAGCGGCATCGGTAGGCTTGTAGACGGGGAGCTTCTTCTCCCAGCCCTCGGGAAGCTCACCGGCAAGACGGCGAGCGAGGTCAGCACCCTCGGTCTTGTACTCAGCAGCGTACTTCTGGAAGAGCTGGTTCCACTCCTGCTCCTTGGCGGCACCCTCAGCGGCGTGCTGGTGGTACAGGTCGTAGACCTGCTGGGGAACAGCGAAGCTCTCCTCAGGGTTGAAGCCGAACAGCTTCTTAACACCCTGGGCATCATCGGCCTTGAGGGGGTTGCCGTGAACACCGCCGGTGCCTTGGAGCTTGGAGCCGAAACCAATGGTGGTGGTCAGCTTGATGACGGAGGGCTTGTCAGTAACCTGCTGACACTTGCGAATGGCAGCCTCGATACCCGCGAGGTCGTTGTCACCATCCTTGACCCACTCAGTGTGCCAGCCGTAGGCTTCGAAACGCTTGAGGACATCCTCGGTGAAGGCACACTTGGTGTCACCGTCTGCATAATGAAGCTGTCAGATTTTTATTCCCTTATGAATAATTTGGGTCGATCTTACCGATGGAGATGTGGTTGTCATCATAGATGGCAATCAGGTTGCCAAGCTTAAGGTGGCCGGCCATGGAAGCGGCCTCGGAGGCAATACCCTCCATAGCACAGCCATCACCGAAGAACATGTAGGTGTAGTTGTTGAACAGCTCGAAGCCGGGCTTGTTGTAGACACCACCGGAGTGGGCCTGGGCCATGGCGAGACCGACGGCGTTGGCGAAACCCTGGCCAAGAGGACCAGTGGTGACCTCAACACCGGGGGTGTCGTGGGCCTCGGGGTGACCGGGGGTGATGCTGTCAATTTGCTACACAAATCAGCAAAAGCCTTTTTTCCCCCGCTGGCTCGGATCTACTTACACGGAAGTTCTTGAGGTCATCAAGGGACAGGGCGTAGCCGAACAGGTGGAGCAAAGCATACTGCAGCATGCAACCGTGACCGTTGCTATTCAATGCACATTAGCTGGGGATTCCAAAAATGACCGCCACTGGCCCTGTAGTTGAAAATCTGGGGTTGCAACCCAGCTCCAGACCAGGAAAATGGAGGGACGGCACATACGAAAGAACGAAACGATCCCGGTTAGCCCAGTTAGGGTTCTTGGGGTTGAAGTTCATGAACTTGTTGAACAGGACGTGGGCCACAGGGGCCATGCCCATAGGGGCACCGGGGTGACCGGAGTTAGCCTTGGAGGTGGCATCGATCTAGTTGTAACATGTCAGTCTATTTGCCCAGATATTTGAGCCATTGAAGCCTTGGAGAGGATGAAGATCCTTGTAGGACTCCAGCTTCCTGCATGAACAGTAAAGATTCAACGTACCGCAAGGATACGAATGGTGTTGATAGCCAACTGGTCCAGATCGGTGTAACCCATGATGGCAAATTCTGAGAAAGTTAGAGAGGAAAAGAAGACCTGAGTCAGGGGACCTACTAGTAAGATAAATGGGTTGGGAAGATGGATGAGAAAGAAGAGAAGAGGGGGATATTTTGTTGGTGGGGTTATGATGTCTGGGTGGGGGGGCGCAGAAGTGGCTTGCAGCTCAGCAAGTTGTACAATATTGTAATCATACCGGTATTGAACATTTCAACTACAGACTTGAGTACTTATACTTATAGCATTGATTCAGTTCAATCCTCTGTTTTACAGCTTCAATTGTTTCAATTGCTCGCTGTATAGCTCTAAATCTCTTTTTTCTTATAAATAATGTATCGATTACATCATAGGCTCAGTCAGCATATACCGTCTCCAGGGCTCCAGGGCTCCGACTCCAGGTCTGGGCACAACACTCTCACATACTTGTACACTGTACGGAGTATGGACTGTCCAACTACCTGTTCTGTATCTTTCATAGCCTTACAATATTGTACTTTTCACTAGAATTGTCTCGACAATAGCCGTTTATTCCGCTCACACTTGATCCAATGGCCCGCATTTTCCGACACACATCCACCTTCTCTTAGTAACTCTTAAGATACACCGGGAACCACCCGGAGGACGCTGCTCCGAATCAGTACCAGCCTTTTCAGAGGGAAATTAGCCGATTTTCACCCTAAGGCTAATAATCAATACCCGTGCCGATGGTCAGCTGGTCAACAGAAAAAAAAAAGAAAACCTCGCTCATCGAATTGGTTAGTCCCGTTGAGGATCCTTGATAGTTTAACTCAAGCTCCGTACAAAGGCGGTGGCCGAGGCTCGGAATTTCCAAAAGAGTGAATCCGATCGAATCAGAAACGCGGACGAGGAAACTCCGCGCCTAGTGACACCATTAATTTTTCCGTGAACATTAACCCCACGGAGAGAGTCATCACCGTCAACGTGTTGGGGGTCGTTCGTCAACAGGCTCCGGTGTGCCGGAAGAAGAGTAGCGCGGGAAAACCAATCAGCCGGGTCACGTGGGACTATATCGAGAACTATATCTGACACGGCTAATAGCATTGTTTGTAAGTTGGGAAAGTTATGGAAGCTGATGCTCAGGATCGACACGGTAGCGTTTCCCCCACTTTCATCCTTCTTTCGAGTGCAAAAGTATCCTAGATCCTTGTTATACCTCGCACGAAGAGTACTGTTGTGAGACAAAGAGCAGTAAGGTTGAAAACCCCTCGGGTGAGCCTCCAACATTTGTAGATCTCGGCTCCAGGAAAGTGACCTGTCTCGAGGGATCCATGTGTTCAAGCAATCCATTGGTGTGTTCTTAGCCCAGGTCACCTCGGAGCACCCAAGTAAGCCGGACTTGAGACGAAAGTCGCATACAACATCGTACGTTGGTGCTTGGCTGGGCAACATACCATTAATATAATCTTACACTAGATGCATAGAACGCCGAGTAATTTCCTTTTTTATACCTGGTCGCTTATCAACGAGGCAGGTGGAAGAACCTTGGAAGAAGGAATGTCAGGCATCTGACCGAAGTGATTGGGACTGCTTGAATATTGTGATCGCGATTGGCAGTAATATTGGAATAGCTATGGGTATAAGAGGACGCATTGTTAAGGGTATCCTATGTCAGAGGCCAGATGTAGTAGCACAGCATGATCAACGCTCGCAATATAAAGTAGCTCTGAATGTGTTCTAATCGATTTTCTCTCCTCGTAGAAATCGCGGGAATCCAACATATTATACAGAGCTATCGCGATAACAAGCATCTCACAATGGAGAGAGACACTCGTGTTGAGTCTAAGATTGATGTGTAAGACCCCCCATCTGTGTCCATCGACATGTTTTCATTGTCTGCAGGCTCATCATCGGAGCGGGCCCATCGGGCCTTATGGCCGCATACTGGATGGCTCGCTGTGGTATCAACGCACGTATAATCGACAAACGTAGCACGAAAGTCTTCGTAGGTCATGCAGATGGCCTTCGCCCTCGCACCCTGGAGCTGTTCGATAGCATGGGATTTCAGCATCGTGTTTTACACGAGGCATCTTCATCCACAGAAATCAACATTTGGGTACGGGTATTTGATGTTGATTTATACGTGAAATGTCAAGCCTTGACTAACGAAACCATGAACAACAGGGCCCAGGAGGCGAAGGAAATCTCATCCGACAATCGCTTATGGATATGACCAAGCCGGATGATTCACCCTATCATAATGCTCGTCTAAGCCAAGGCCGCATTGAGAGATTTATCCTTGACAGTATTCATGAGCACTCGGACTTGAGAGTGGAACGGGGGATTATCACCGAGTCGTTAGAGTATGATGAGAAATTAGCAGATGATGCTGATGCATATCCAATCACCGTGAAGCTCCGAACTCTCAGTCCAGAAGAATTGAATACACCAAAGTCTGGCCATGAAGAAATCCAGAACGAGTTGAAATGCGAAAACCTCCTTCGTGATGACTGGGAAGATCTAGCCCAGCGTGGGAAGCAGAAGGAAAAATCCGAGACTGTCAAAGCCAAGTACCTGATCGGGTGCGATGGTGCCCACAGCTGGACTAGAAAACAGTTGGATATCCCTGTCGAAGGCTCCAATACCGATCATATTTGGTTAGTACCACAGAATCATACCTGTCCTATCATCAAGCCACAGAAGCTGAGAAAATCACTCATTGTAGGGGGGTGGTAGATGTGATACCTATCAGCAACTTCCGTGAGTACAACTGAACCCCTCCGATTCAACCTCTACTAAACAGCTATCAGCGGACATTCGACGTCTCAGCGTAGTTTCCAACGCAGCAGGAACAATCTTAATAGTTCCGCGCGAGCGTGGACTGGTCCGTATTTACGTCCCAGTACACGTCTGTGAAGCAAACACAGGCGATCGCTTCGACAGATCAATCATAACGCCAACGCTAATCCGATCGCGGATACAAGAAGTTCTTTCCCCATTTACCTTCGACTCCACGGACTGCGATTGGTGGACAGTGTACCAGATCGGACAACGGATCGCAACACAGCTCACAAAAGGAGACAGGGTGTTCCTTGCTGGTGATGCTGTGCACACGCACTCGCCGAAGATGGGGCTTGGTATGAATATGAGTCTGCAGGATGGATTTAATCTTGGCTGGAAAGTTGCGCTCGCAGTGGCCGGCGCTGCAAAGCCGGAGATCCTGAAGACTTATGACTTGGAAAGACACCCGCTAGCGGAGATGCTTATCGAGTTTGATCGCAATTGGGTGACGATGTTTCTTGAGAAGCAGCCTGGAGAGGGCGATGCAAAGGCCAGATCGATAACTACGATGGCGAAGAATTTTGACGATTTCGCCAATGGGTGGAAGGTGTTTTACCCTGCTAGTAACATTGTCTGGAAGTCTCCGGATGGTGCTGGATTTGCGTTCGCTAGATATATGATTCCTGGGGAGAGAGTTCACCCTGTCAAACTCCGCAATCAGGCTGATGGGGTCCCGCAGTGGACAACAAGATTGTTGGAAAGCGATGGCCGCTTTCGCGTTCTCGTGTTGGCTGGCGACGTGCAAGACCCGGTTCAAAAGCAACGCGTCGAGACATTGAGCCAGGCCTTTAGCAGGCCGTCTGCATCTAGCGTTCCGCTTTTGGATCGCTATGCTGCAATTCCGGGACGTTTCGAAAGTCCCATTGATGTATTCACCATCCACTGCGCTCCATGGAAAGAGATTGGATTTTTCGACTTTCCAGATTCCTTGCGTCCGTTTAACACGGCAACAGGCTATGCATACGAAAAGATCTGGTGTGACGATACTTGTATATTTGATAGATATTGTGACGGGACAGCTTATGACAAGTGGGGAGTTGACCGAACCCTCGGCGCACTGGTAGTCATTCGCCCTGATCAATATATCGGATGGGTAGGTAGACTGGAAGATGTCGAGGGAATGACACGGTATTTTGATGACGTTCTTGTGGCCAAGACAATTGGGAATGGCATTGAGGCATCAAGTTGATATCAGCACACGATAAATAAGATAAGAAATCGAGGATAAAATGGAGAATATATCAATTGCGCTGACTAGAATATATCAATATAACAATAAAGATGTGAGACTAGTGTAAAATCGACGAGCAAGGAGAATAGATTATAAGTACAAGACAACACGACAAGGTTCAAGCCGGAAGAATCCTCCTTTTTTAGCTCTGCGGCCGTGTCTCAGGCACGGTTGACCCATCCTCTCGCAACTCGGTAGTGGGATCGGCAACGTGAGACGACGCGGCGAAATCTTCCCCCTTATCAAACGAGCCCCGGATAACATTTGGGTCAGCAGGGAACTGGAACTTCGAGCTCTTCCACGGCTTGACATTCATGAGGTACATTGTATCAATCTCCTCCAGAGTGCGACCTTGACCTTCGATAACGGCGACATAAACCAAGCCCGCAGCAAGGAAAAGACATCCCGCAAAGACATAGCCGAAGCGGAAGTCGATATCTCCCGTAATGAAGGGTGTGAAGAATGCAAGGAGGAAGTTCCAGAGCCAGTTTGAGGCAGTGGCCAGAGACATAGCTCGCGCACGGTATTGAGAGGGATATAACTCTGCAATGATACTCCATACCATGGGGCCCCAGGTACTGGCGAAGCCAAGAATGAATAGGCAGGCGAATACCACCATAGCCACACCAGCAGGCTTAGTCCTTTCGGGGAATTCTTGGTCAAGGGAGAAGTGGCCCACGGAGGCAAAGATCATAAAGCAGACAAACATCCACAAGGCACCAATGATTAAAGACCGGCGCCGACCATAGTGCTCAATCAAATAGAGACCCAGGAATGTTGTTCCAAAATTGACGCCTCCCAAAATCATCTGCGTGACGTAGCTGTTGGGGATACCAGCTCCCTTGAAAATCGTTGTTCCCTAAAGGCGAGTTAGATTTTGCTTTGCTCTCTCTGCTCAGGCATAGGATGTATTCGAAACTCACATAGTAGAAGAAGTAGTTAGCACCAGTCAGCTGCTGAAGAGCTTGCAGAGCAACACCAACAGCTATGCGCTTCGCCATTGTCGGGGCGCGGAACATCTGAACCCAGGTAACTTGTCCACTGCGCATTTCTTCTTCATGCTTTTGCTTGATCTCATCAAATTCGATGCAAAGAACACGGTGGTTGATGGGAATACCGTAGATTTTGGCCAGTGTGTTCTTAGCCTTTTCTACCTTTCCATGGCGGTAGTCGAAGCGAGGACTCTCCGGGAAGAAGGCCATGCCAGTTCCGAGAACGATGGCCCACAGGTACGTAATACCCATAGGGATACGCCATGAGCCAGTGTCAGATCGGGCTTCTGTTCCAAAATTGATGCAATTGGCAATGAAAATTCCAAGTGTGATGAAGAGCTGGTAGGTACTGCGCGATGTTAGACTATGATAACAACAGCTCCACACTCTTCTTGACATACCTAATCAGAGATCCTCGAATATGTCTTGGGCCTGATTCAGCTTGATACATAGGGACCAAGAGGGAGATGGCACCGACACCTAGTCCGGCAACCCATCGGCCCATGGCAACTTGATACCACTTTCCAAAGGGCGAAGAGATCTGTACGGTGACTCCGATGCAAACCATTAGGGACCATGCGCTGATGGACCATTTGCGCCCAAGGCGATCAGCAATAGGTGCTGCGACCAAAGCCCCGATCAGCGTACCGATAGACAGCTGGTTGGCAGGGTTAGTATAGAAGTAATTATCATATTGGCGAGAAGATACGTACCAAAGCAACGATTAAACCAGAACGAACGTTACTGAAGTGGTAAGTTCCATCTGGACCAGGTTCGCCATAGCGTTGAAGGAAGTTTGGCATTTCCAAAAAGCCAGAGATCTGACCGGTGTCATAACCAAAAAGGAAACCTCCCATGGAGACGAAGAGACCCATAACACACGAGCGCCAGGTGAGGAGGGGGATTGGGGTATCCACAAGATCTCCGGGGCCTTTCTCATGTTCATTGGTAGAAACCGACTCTCTAGGGGCTTCAGAGCCCGCATAGATGTCCTGCGGACGTTTGTGGAAGATGTTTTTGAACATAACGCCAGCGAGTACTATAGATTGATTGTAAATGCTACTCTGCAACTAATTTTTCGAAAACCAGGAAGCACCGGATCAGGGCCTCTTATACAAAGGCCCGACCAAGAAAGCCAAGGCTGGGCAACATGCTGCACTGACGGATGCCGAGTCCTGGATTTCTTGGGTAACGGACCACTCATACTGTGATTTCAAAAAGCCGCTTAAAACCGATGACACGTTGATTCAGGAGTTACGAGAATATGCTTTTCAGGGCCGGCGGTTGTCTCCATGGGGAATAGCACAGTCTGGGGAAATGGGCTTTGCATTTGGCAGGTTCGCCGATCCTTGGTTGATGACGCTGTTTGGTCAGAATTTCAACTCCAGACTCCACGCCCACGAGTTGTGTCTGGGTGGTGGGTGGCGCGGAAGTCTCGGCCTACTGCGCCTCGTGATCATTTCTTTCTGGGAACGAATAGAAAAACGCAGGAAATCCTGTACGGGATGGGCTGATGTCTGGCGAAGTAGTGATGAAATCGGTGCCAGCCACAAAGCTTGGATTTCGCCCCCGGCCGTTAACCGACCGGCCGGACTGCGACACGCACAATCTCTGTTTAGGCTAATGGGAGAGAATGTTAAAGATTTTGATGTTGATCTCGGTAGCGGAATCCATCTCGCTTTGGATTTCTTGTTGCGGAATCCCAAGGATGCCGATTAATTCGGTGGGGGGATCATTCGATCCCGCCCAGCCCGGCGAAGAATTGGAACGGCCTCGCCTCGGGCTTTACACATCAAGATCCCCACATTGTTAGGCAATGTTCGGAGGTTTCACTCATCGACTATTCGACATTATCTATCTGTATTCAATAAGCCAAATCAGACAATTGCTCAAATGATCATGATACCTAGCATGCAATACGGTGGTTCCATCCAGGCCCTTCCCTCCAAAGTTCCACGTCTCTCTTTTGCCATTGTTATATACATATTCTAGCCCCCGACTTTAGTCACACCAAGGAATAACATGTAAGTCCACTAGTGTATTCAGGCCTGTGGGTGATATGGCGCAAAGGAAACGCCTCGACCAATTCCCAATGCTGCCCAAATCTGTACTCGGAGGTGCCAACTGTCATCACTTCTCGTTTATTCTGCCTATGTTTCGAGCCTCGGAATTCCTTTCCAGCCTCATGCGATCAGATGCTCCTTGCTCAGACATGGCAGCTTTGCAACGGTGTTGCATCGCATAGACGGCGATGGGGATACCAATAATCCACCACGAGAACATAATGGGAAGGGCTTGGTAAAGTCGATTATTGCATCCGCCGGACCAAATCTGAATCAGAACTTGGTACGCCTCATGGGATGGGAGTGCGTAGCCCCAGCGGAAGAATTCTGGATTCAGTTCGAACGGACTAATAGTGCTGGCGACATTGAAAATGGCCCACGTCAGAACAACGAAGGACATAAACTGAATTGGGATGAAAGCCGTTGTGATGTCGAAGAACAAGAAATTGATGTGCATGAGAAGCCAAAGGATCATCCATGTCAACACAAACCGACTCCCACTTAATCTCCAGTCTTCTCGGTATGCCCAGATGTAGCTGGTCATCAAGAGGCTCCCGGTGAAAGTGTATAGTATTGAGGCTATCAGACGAATGAGGCTGTTTGCTTTCCAGGATAATCTGGTAAATGCACCAAAACGGGTTGAAATCCCGTTCAATGCCAACATGAAGAAGAACTGTTGAATGATGGGCATGACCATGGAGACGGTGTTATAAAAGACCCTTGTCCCATGCTCCGTGCCCTTTATGTTGATTTCCTTGGCCTGAATGGGGTTGAGGAATACACCGAGGCTGGCTGGACTAGACAGGTCGGTAGATGCGACTACCGCAGATCCATTATTGGAGTAGTATGAGGACCGAGTGGCTTCAACCAATCTCAAAAGATTTGCGTAAATGCCGGCCTGCGAGAAGACTGGGTACCTCACCCCATTCCAGACATAGGTGAGGGATGTCGGCGCCCTATAGCCAGTCGCTAGCGCCGATGCTAATCCCTCTGAGCCCCCTGGGTTGGCGTATACAGCTCCCCAATATTCACCCCGACATACAGCTTCTCGAATGTCGTCTTCTTGTGGATATTCAGTAGAAGATGCTAGGCGCAAGGTTGGAAAGCTGTCCCCTTGTAGTCCCTGGTAGGCATCAAAGACTGATTTTCCAATGACATCACGGTCGTAGTCGACATAAAGAACGCTGAGGTTGTGATAGCGGGCTGTACTTCGGAACTGTGTTGCGTAAAGATAGCACATGTTCACTAAGAACAGAACCTGGAGAAGGAGGAACATAGTTATCATGGCCGGCAGAAACTGTGGCCGTATTTCCTTCCATGCCCTCATATTAGGATGAGACACTGGTAAATTCATGTTTATTCGATAGTTAGCCAACGAGAACCATAAATTGCAAAGAGCCCTAGGCTCCTTTTCTTTTCGGAGCAGGGAAGTGACTATTTATGGCGGAGTGTGGAGAAAAGAAGTTAAGGAGGTAACTTTCTCGAACACACTGGATTACTACGAAACTGATTGACGAGGCGTACATGTTACACAACATCAACATTGCTGACTTATGATTATCCGTACTGTGACACACCATCATACACAGGAGGACTTACAAAGTTATGTGGTCTGACGGCAGGAAAAACATACTGATACTGACCAATCATATTGGCCTTATGGTCGATCATCCGCTGACTGAGCGGAGCAAAGGTCTTGGACCAAAGTTCTATTGGTCAATGTATGAGCACATTTGGTTCTATACATTACAATATATATACACTTTGTCTTAGCTCAAGAAAGATATGCTTGACTATTGATAATCCCCCCGAAAAGGCTTTCCAAAGGAATCTTGATTCAAGGGGGAAAAAAGCAAACAACGAAGTGACTCGAGTTCAAAGCACTGACCAACTTCTTTATGCAGATGGTATAATTTCAACGCTTGGCTCCCATTTTTGTTCGCATTAAAACAACATTAAGAAAAAGGAGAATCGACTTGCAAGAAAAACTGATCCATATATTGGTGAACAAACTCCATGTAAGTTGGTCCCGCAGTCAGATCTGTGAAACCAACAATCCAATCTAAACACCACCTTTCAAACTCGCACTCCGTGAACCCTCCCCAGATACTCGGTCGTGGGATCCCACGAAAGCCCATCACACAAAGAGCAAGCGGTTGACCATAGATTCACGTGCTGCATTGCAATCTGTCACATCAACAATCCTTTGTGGCTGAGCAGTTTCAGCCTCATACATGTTAGCGCCCTCTAGGAACAACAACGGACATGCTTAATACGCAAGAAATCACACTCCCGTAAAGAATACAAAGTAGCGCAGGCGGTCAAAAAGTTCCTCCAATTCATTATGTCTAATTTCCATGTGTCCGCAACTTCTCCAAACGAATCTTCGAACGTACTACCCCGGAGCTCCCTCGTTAAGATAGTCGATGCTTTATCTTCGAGACTTTATCGTTCAGTATTTATTTTATCCAATCGCACATCACTTTTTCGAGTGCGTTATCGTCTTGCGTCTTTGGGACCATTTCAAAAATTCTAACAAAATCAGGATCCTCCTCGCGATGCTGACCTTCATGCTTATTTCCATACAGCATACCTGAGAAGAAAGTGCGGAACAGGTACCAACGAGAGTAATTGTAGAAAAATTGTCACATTCATATATGCGCGCGCGGGCTATAACCATCCTGAAACTATATACCTGGCGTGCCTTCCATAATAAACAGTGATTTGCAAGCGTAAACATCATACTTAACTGACTAAACAAAATAATGAACAAATGGTAAAATAACGCCTCCACAGGTATCATAAGCGGAATAGAAAAAAAAAGCATTTCCAAGCCTAGCCATCCAAATCCAAAACCTAAACAAAATACATCGCAGTCATAGTGCGGCAATCAGACGGCCAGCCGTCGGTCCCAACCATTAACCAGAGAGAATTCATCAAACTCCTCGACCTTGTCATCGGGCATGTTGAAAGCATTGAACGGGTCCAACGTATTGACCTCGTCAGACAACCCGTGGACATCAGTATAGGGCGCCAAAGGATCATCCCCACTACCCATACTTTCACTGGAGTAGCTAAGTACGCTTTGGGTAGTTTGTTTTTGCGTATGAGCGAAATCAGCACTGCTGGCGGACCAGGCTTCTGGCGAGAGGTCGTGCAATTCAGGCTGAGGAATGTTCAATGGCGCGTCGTTAGTCTTGCGGTTATATTCTGCTGTGATGGAGGCGAAGGGGCCGGGGTCCTCGCCACACTCTTTGCCGCCATAGATTCCGGTGAAGATGTTTGAGTAGCCGCGGTCCATGTCGCTGAGCACATATTCCCAGTCTGCCATTGTTATAGCGCTGGTGGCGGGATCAGAAGGGGTGGAGCAGGACATTGAGCGGTGGTGCTCGTAGCTCATTGCGACTAGACGGGGGTCTGAGGAGAGGTCTAGGGGAGAGTGGGTATTGTCGGCGAGGAAGTGTGGGGCAGAGAGACGGTCGGGTTCGGAGGGTAGGCTGGTCCAACTTGGGGACCGGAGGGACTGGGCTGCGAGAGGAGGGGTGGCACCGGAGATAGTATTTCGGCGAGATTGGGGTGATGCGGTTTGCTGTGGGAGCTGTTGTTCGCGAGAGCTGGACACGAGGTGCGACTTCAAAGCTTGCAGATGCTTCTTGGGAGATTTGCTGGGTTTTTGCGTCGGAGCAACCATTTCTTGGGGGTGTTGATGTTTGCCTGTGGATGGCCGTCTTCCGCCATCCAGAGAGACCAACGAGTTAGACAGGGTGCCAAACTCGGCAGCCGCCGCACTCGACTCCAGTCTAAGATACTGAATAGCAGTACCAAGTAGCTTCTGGGATTCCTTTGCCATCTTGCTATCGCGCTTCACGCCAAGCATTTGCCAAAGAAGTCCAATTCCAGAAAAGAGAACCAGCTCTTTGCGGTTAATGCTGACTGAAAGACAAAGCCGTCTCTCATCGAGAAGGTCAAGAATCTGAATCATGTGCTTTGCAGAATCAGACAGCGCCAGAACAGACGGGGAGCGGAGGTTCTCATCAGCGAAACAGACGGCTGGGCGATGGATCAAAGATCGAATGAAATAGTAAATAAGCGACTATAGCAAATCGAAGTCAATAATAGGGTCATTGAAATCAAATGGTCTTACTTACCAGAAGCGGGGATCGGCTGCTCGTGACATTCGTGCTCGGCTTGTCCTGGCTGAATTCGAGGCGCAGATGAGCAGGCAGAGTGTGAAGCCACTCGTCCAACTGCCCAGCCACTGAGCGCATCTTCGAGACATACACATCGTAAGCAGATTTGGAAGGGTACAGGTCTTCCAAGGCCTTGTTCAAGATCCTCGCAGCTCCGAAAAGAGCGATGGCGCTAGAAATGCGAGTGGACTCGCCCGGGAGAGTTGGCAGGAATCCAGTCTCGGTGACATTTTCATCGTCCACGTCAACCGGATACTCCGCCTGGATATCCTCCTCGCGCAGGAGTACAGGCAATCCAGTAAGTGCAGAGCAGAACCGATCCAATACATACTGCGACCAGAAGACCTTCTTGCGAGTCTCATCCTCAAGCGGATTGGAGGAGCTATCCTGGGTTTCATGCAGGCCCAGCTGGTGGCAAATGTCTACTCCAAGAGCACGGTAGCGGAGCAAAGTGCGATAATCGCCTTTTGTCATGCAATAAATTTGACCAAGAACAAAGCATTGCAAACTGGCAATGGATGTTTCACTGGAAAATGCATCGAGGGTAGCCGACCAATTTTGTTCAAAGAAAGTTGGGTCTTGATTGGTTCTTGACATTGACGAAAGCGCTGCAATTCCAAAGATCAGGTTTAACTGCGCCATGACATGTGCATTGCGCTGAAGGGTCTCGGTATTGTTGAGGTACTGTTCATAAGCCTTCAAGATAGTGGGACGATGTACCACCGGGTACAGTGGCGCCCATTCTTGGAAGAAGATGTTGATAAGCTGATCCGACACCAAGCGGGGTGGCGTTTTCACGACCTGGTTTGCTGCACTCTGAGATACCGAGGTTGGTAAAGCGGTAAGTGCTCCCATGGGAATTTTGTTTATAGATTTCCCCTGGCTCACAAGCTTATCGGTAAACACATCTATGGGATTAGGTTAGCCTCGGAGTTTTGTTTTAATCAGTGGTAATGTTCAACATACCAGCGAACCCCTGGGTACTAGAAAATCCCGTAAATGGGTTCTGGGTCGGCCGGGACTGCCGGGTAGAAGGTCTCTCCACCCGAATAACACCCTCCGATGAATCCGAACTGTTCGATTTAACCATCGCAGAAGCCGAGGGGGACCGCGTAGAAGCGGCTCGTTGTGATGGCGGCGAAAACGAATGTATTCGGGACAAGACATCGATCTTCTCGTCCTTCTCGTCCAAAAGATCCTTCAAATCTTTAACTTCGGTCTCCAAGCTCCTGACTCGTTCTTCTAGCGATTCGGTATATCCACGAGGGAAAGCGCGGCGGCTCAGTTTGTCGCTGGTGCGGCACTCGAAGCCAACATTGGCGCATTGTGAGCAACAGGGTCGAACGCCATCGCAGCGGATTTTCTTGCTGCGGCATCGGTCGCAGGCTTGAGCAATGCGGCTCGTCGTACCAGTGCCGCCGACCTTGATCACTTTCATGGGCAAGATACCAGGCATCTTGGGCAGAGGGGGCACATGGGCCGCCGGGGTCGTGTTTTGACTTGTAGCGTCTGGAGTGTTACAAGCTAAGCTTCAACACTCTCAAATATTCGATTTTCGATATAGCAAGGGGATGTTGCAAACAAGTATGAAGACAGAAGCCTGAAACATGGGGGGCAAGATGGGGGGAAAGGACTGCTGACTCAGGTTGGGTGGAGACCGCTGACCTTGGTCGTGCGCCAATAAACTCAGTATTGGTTGTAATTCTCTTGTTTTCTAAATGTTGCAGAATAATGGCGTTCGTTTCTTCCATATTACCCCGTAAGCCATTCATAATTTGCCCCGGATTCTTCCTGCATACCTGACTGGTCATCCTAAAATCTGACGGTTGGATCCTCCGGGGACTCCACCTTGCATACCCCTTATCACGGCTAAAACAGCCTACAGAGACCAGTTGGGGTTTCGACTTAATGACACATTTACATTGTTGTACTGGCATAAAGTTTCGCCTTATGAAGAATATAATGTTGTAAAGCACAGAACTCGGATACAAGATTGGTCGTGGCAACTAGTCATTTGCACTCCCGAGGTCCTCCCCGAAGGCGCGTGTCTCTATGATCTATGATCTGGGTCCGATCATCGGCTTCGTCCATGGTTATAGATCGGGACTCATTATTTTCCACAGTATCCAGACCACTTGGGGTTACAATATGGTAGACTTGGGATTTGCATAAAGATGTAAAGTACTCAATACAACCTGAACGCTTGACCAACTTAGGCTTGATCTGAAGTCAGATTGAGCTAACCGAATTCTTATTCAACTAGCATTCACTTCCAAACCCGAGAAACCCCCAGGTTTTGGCAAAAGTCTAAAAGCTGCGGTGAAGTAATATCTACTTCATCCCGGGGCCCCAGTGGCGACCCCGGTCGCTCACGGAACTGGGGAAGATCGTTTGAACAAATCGGCTTGGCTGTTACTGGCTAAACTAGTCAACAAAGTTAATAAGTGCATAACGATAGAGATTCTACCAACAATATAGATCAATTACTAACAGCAATCCAGCGAGAATGGCGGTATTTCGAAGAAAACTCGGGATTTGTCAAAAGCGAGTTTTGACCGAGAGATGTGCGAACCATGGAACATAATTAAGATATTCACACTAAGCTCCATTGGGGTTCGATCTGCTCCACTTCCCAATATTGGTGTCATTTCATTTCTAGTTCCTGCACTGTGAAGGCAACTTATGCCTGCCGATCTAAATCCCGCTTTGTTCCCTGGTATTATATTGATCATTTTAAAATAATTATACGACAGCCCCGGTCCAGCGGAGATCCGGTAGTTGGTTTTCCTACGAGTCTCCCCGCATGCGCCTCCGACCCTGCAGATCATGAACTATCCTTAGTCTGGCGAAAGCGGAAGTTCTGCCGTCCCTTTGCCGGACTTTGTACGGAGTATACTCAATTTATTACTATCGATCTTTATTATTAATCATTGGTCGGCGTCTATCCCAAAGCTCTGGACCGCCCCAACAGCCAATGCTGTAAGCCAGGTAGTGTAATACTAGTAAATTGATTATTTACTTGTTCTTGCTACCAATGTAGTATCGATAGCGGCGTCTCCACACCCAATGACGCACTACTGGATTGTGGGGGGATTGGTCTTCATTTTGAGATGATCTGGGGGCTGGATGATATCCCTCCCTGGCTTGATACCTACAATGTACCTACAATACTATCCAGATTGGGTGGAATTCTGGGTGGATACAAAAATGCTTCATGTCTGTGTAGAGGCCTGGACTGCCTTGATCCTCGTCTGACCCCTGGTATCATGAAAAGTCTTCCACTTCATCTGAAACCTCTGTTTCCGACTTGAAATATTCAGCCACCGGTTTAGAGGCCAGCAACTCTGTCCTCTGCATTTGATTGATCAGCGCGAGAACAAGGCGTTGTTTCCAACAACAGGCTTATCAATTCACTCACCTCTTTGATCAATTTCTCAATGGCCTTCACTAGCAGTCCACCTTCCAGGCCTCGGTATTGGGAAGCTAACTCAAATATCTCGGGCCGAAACAGGGACTCCAAGTCCGTCTTGTCTTCTATAATACTCGAGATCACCTCTTCCATCTCCATGAGCATGGCAAGCTGGGTCTCAAGCCGTTCTAGAAGTAAAACCACGGCGCGAAGCTGAAAAATATTCCATAAAGGATCCGCACGAAGAAGCTCGCGGAGATGGCTTGGTGATTGGATCTTTTCGCCTTTCCAGCTCGTTTCCATTTCCCTGCTTCCGTCAATTTTCTGTGCGACCTCAAAGTGAAGTCCATCTTCCTCGTTCACGCATGCTATCCATACAAGCGTACTCTCCCATGTTATCTCCTCTGGTGCCTCATTGTCTTGCGCTGCCAAGATTCGGACTCCATCGTTTTGGCAGAAGAGCTTTTTTGCAATCCTGAGAGGATCGTCCTCTGGAATATCGAATTTCAGCGATATCTCTCGTGCTTCAGTCCTGCCGGTTTCCAGAAATCCATAGGAAAATAACATCTCAAGTGCGGACTTTTCGTCGCCGTACCTATCGTGTCAACCGTCAGTCATATCTAAGCAAGTTAGCGTAGGAAGCAACTTACGAAATCGTAACCTCATCTCCGGGCTGTAGGGTTTGGCCCCATCGTAGCTGAAGAATCGCATTCCCCTCAGAGTCCGCATCATACAGCGCTTTGGCGCCATCCCCCGAGACGTGGTTGGCCATATCAACGCAAGGCACCATCGAAAGACCACTTCCGGGTAAATCCAACATGCGCGACCGAAACGCAGCATCAACATATTTCCAGTCATCAACTGTCAGCACACCAGTGTTCTCATCCCACCAGCTCTCGTGACACCAAGCAATTCCCTCAGTAGCTTCACGGAGATTGGCGAACTCTCGTTCGAGAGACGCAAATTTGGCATACAGCGCATCTGAAAGCGATGTACCCCGAAGGAGGTCATGTTCTGGGCTAGTGTAGAATGTAGGCAAGGGAAACGACGGCGGCAGGAGCTTGACGTATTCAGTCCATGGATTGGAGACGCCGACGGTCTGTTGTTTTGTGCGCAGATCAGGACTGCTGTGGGATATTTGGACGAGCAGGAATATCAGGATTGCCCCTCTAGCTGTCTGTATATCTTAGTTGGTTTACGTATGATGTAGGTAAGTACAGCTCATACCCTTCCAAAATCACCGGTGGCCTCCAACACATCGCGCAAGTACCGGTCGGACTTGGCGTAGTTGTGAACGGTCTCCAAGGACAGAACTACATCGCCTGGGATTTGGATCAGGATCTCGGGTTTTGCATCGTTCTCGCTGATTGTTTTGGCTTCTGTTGCGACAATCGCGCTGCCTTTGTCGGTGCCATGTTCATTGGAGCCGAGTTTCCGAAATTCAACGCCTGTAGTGACGATCCCGTTTAGCCTCTGCCAAGCTGGAAGGGCTTCGATCGGGAGGTATTCTCGTTTCATAGTGAATTGAGTTGAGCAAACTTGTTTCTCGACATGTCGCGCTCATGACGATTGTGTTATCGATAAGGCACAACTCTGGAAGATTACAGTATACTCTTGCGGCCATCAGTGTAAAAAAGTATTCACACCCATTTACACTGCAAATCCTATTCTAGTCTGTGATATTCTACGGTCAACAGTGAGCATAAGCTATCTTTAGATGATCGAGACTCACAGCTTGCGTAGAGTATACCCTAAAGTACAGTAGACTAAACGTCTTTGTAGTTCTTACATTTATTACCATAATGGCTCCAAAACAAGCCCGCAGAATCCCCTTTGGGGCCAACCCTACATGCCTGAATCGTTCGGCTTCATCATAGAGACGTCATATAATCTAGTGACTAGAAATGCTCATAATAAAAATGCCAGTATTAGCCACTTAAAACATTGACAAATCCAATGATCTCTCCCTATTTATGAACATTCGTTTTGCTGCTTCAGTTCTACACAACATGTCAGTCTCACGAGTACCTCGGTGTCTCAACCTGCCTCTCCAATCCGCCATACAAGCAACTACATTTCACTCAAGATCATCTGTGCGAAATTATTCCATTTCCAAGGAGTGGAAAGGAACCGAGAAGCACACGACTGAGCGATCTAAGAATGGGGATACCGCAGACATACATGCAAGCTCGTCGGCATCTAGTATGAAAGAAAGGGAAACGCATGGGGGTGTTGCAGATGCAACACGGTCCCAAGCAACGACGGAGACAGGCGGCACCAAACATGGCAAGAAAGCTAAACAGGAGCATCCGAACGCACCAGAGCCTATTATTGGGATGAATGACGAGCGCTCAAAGGTGAGTTCGTATGGACTCGTGGGGAACGATCGAACTGTCCTGTATTCAGGTGGCTGACTCCCCTTCGAATTTGCAGAAAGGTGATTGAAGAAAGAATTGATGGCGTTCTATGATATTTTATGGCGTTCTTCATGCCCTGCCCTCTTGATTTTGGATCTTGGTGGAAATAATTTGGAATAGAAAATCATAAGACATTTCCATTACTAATGTCATTTCATGGGGAGGATGTACATAATCGATCAAAATGGCCTATCGGCCAACCTTGAATGAGAGGATCTAGAATGGTTTGTTTAGCAGATGGACTCCAAGTACTGTGTTAATATGTACTTACGTCGTGCTTTCCAACGGCAACGTAATCTTCCTCAGAGACTCGCGTTCCGCCAACGCCTTCAATGTAGCTGATAGGTACATCGCCCATCACCTTCCGGGCAACATCACCAACAGTGCTGTTTCTGTGGGGTGTTAGATGGGATATATCAGCCTTTGGGGACAGTACTTACTTCTTGACTAGAACACAGTCACGGAAGACTGCACTTCCACTGCCAGAGTTGAAGGTCTGAACGTTGCGGACAGGGAAGACTGGCACGAGGCCTAGAAGCTCCGCGGCCCGAGAAAGGCATTGGACAACCCCTGTAGATCCAAATCGATATAGCACCATGTCTTTCAAATTTTCAACCCGACTATTCGAGCGAACTGGTCAGCAGGGGCACCGACTTCCATTGTTAATAAACATACGCTTTTAATTTTTCATCCATCTCCTTAAGACCACCTCCCTCCGGGTCGCCCATTTCGATCAGATCTTCTCGTGTATCAACAAACTCACTGCCCTCGACGTACTTAATATACTCCTGCTTTGCCAATCGTCGGAGGAAGACCTCAGATATAGCAGAGCAGAGCACAATACTTTGTGGGTCTTGCATCTTGGCGATTTTGCTGATGTTCTGGAATGTCTGTCAGTACAGGTACATGCATCGCCTGACAGGTCCTCATACCTTGTCTGCATCTGGGTGATCGATCTTGTTCAGGGCGAACACGGTGGGGAATTTTTCGTCAATAAAAGCGTTCACGACAACCTCTACCGTCTCATTGGACCAGTCTTCTAATGGCTCTTTTATGGCAAGTTTGTCCATGAACCGAGAAACAGTCTGCTGGGTACTACCATAACCAGCAAACTGTTTTTGCAATGTGTCGATGGGGTTTGCCTCTGTACAGTTGTTAATTGTGGTGACTTTCGCAATTAGCGGTAGATTACTCACTCAATGCCGCATGTCTCCTTTTGATAGATCCCCTTTGGTTTTTCAATGAGCATATGACTCCATCCAGCTTTGATATCTGCCAACATACCACTTCTCCATCAAGTTTCCTAGCACCCATCGTACGATCTCTCCGCGCAACCACTCGATATCCACTGAGGGATCATATCCTCGAGTAGCCTTTCCTACATGCTCATCAACACCAATCTCATTGTTTTCGTACCGGCGCATCCCACTAACCTTCAGCATCCGTGGTTCCACTCACATCCACGACGTGAATCAAAGCATCGGCTTGACGAAGATCATCCAAGAATTTGTTTCCAAGTCCACGGCCTTGGTGCGCACCTGGCACGAGACCCGCGACGTCTAATAATTCAATGGGCACAGAACGGCGTCCTTCGTGACACCCGCCATAATTGGGTTGGCATCGATCTGAAACATTGTGTCGCTGACATGGGCAGTCAATCTGTAGGTACCCGATGGCTCGCTGGGGGTCAATGGTTGTAAAGCTGTTTGCTGTCAACACGGTCTGCGCGATCAAGTTCGATAAGGCGGGGGACGCAATCGAGACACATACGGGAAGTTTCCTATTCAGGCCATAATATTTAGCTCTTGAATTTTGACCGGTTCTGATTTCGCTCTTGCAGACTCACCAACTTTCGAGGTCGCATCGGTCAAGCTGTTCAATGTTGTAGACTTTCCACTAGATGGCTGTATGCCCCTCACATTTGCGGTCAGTGGGGTGATTGAAGGATGAAGGGGGACAACATACCTTTCCCACCAGCCCGATCAGCGGATCGCGGGGCATATCGAAGATTTAAGTCTTGCAGAGCAACGAAATATCCAGAATAACACAATGATCAGTTTCACCAATTCTCTACAAATCTTGTCGACTCTTCGATAAGAAACATTTTCTGCCATGCCAAGAGGGCAGGCGGTAGTGTTTCGCCGGCATGGGCTGCCACTTTGGGACGCCGACTTGGAATTTTGAGCTTCTAAGCAATTGATCTATTTGACTATCTCGAAATCATTATATATTGTCCAGAGGAATGTGATTGGGGCCGTTGAAAAAGTTGAACCTGTGTGAGAGAAAAGAAACATTCAACGAGATGTTCTATATGGTATGCCTGCCACTACTGAAAGAGTTGTATCATCTGTAATGTTACATTGTGGGCTGTTCAATCTAGGGATATTGTAAATGTTGTATAACAGTTTCGAGATGCATGTTTCTTTGCTGCATTGCCCATGGAATTACATGTCACCCAAATTGCTTGACCGAAAGTCTCCGACTGCTGTAGAAATATATGTAGATCAACTAGCATCATGTCGATAACCAACCTGTATCATACAGAACTATGACATCGCAAATGCCCGGCCTCAAGGTTGAGGTACCCACCGTGTCTTTATTGATAGGCCCTGGGTGGCAAGCACAATGCACTACTTAGTGTATACGCATGGCATCCTGCTGTTGAAAAAAATTAACAGGTTGCCACCTCGGATAGTCCCTTTCTTATGACGCTAATATTTCAAGTGATCCACACACTTGAAATTGAATCCGGAAGAATCTAAAGGTTGCAGTGAAGGGTTTTCCAGGATACAAAGTTGATCTCGGTGGAGAAAAATATCCACAGCCTGGATTGCTGCATGGCGTCATACCATCCACGTCACTGGTTCTTGCCATCGACTTAGATATATAAATGCTTGATATCCCATCGATAGTTATTGCATCAAGCATCTTCTACCAACCTCAATCATCAGTGTCTTTTCCACCTTTTGCACTATACTATTCTCCAACCACTCTTCTACATACATCATGTCTGACTCTACTTTCCACACCACCGCCCAGGACATTCGCAAGGCTGAGTCCAAGGTTTCTCAAACACACGGCGGCAACCCTCCTGCCAACTCTGATGTTTCCAAAATGAAGGTAAATTTCATCAACTATCTGCAATTGTCACCAGGTCACTAATGGAATTTTCATAGTCGGTCATCGACCAGAACACCAACAAATCAGAGGAAATTGAGAAGACCAAGGCGAATTTGCCTTTGCCCGAGCAGCCCCCAGTTGCCAGCGACTGGAACTCCTCGGATCAGCGCACTACTGCTGTCGGTTCTGGTCGCGTTGAGTTCCCCCCGACAACAGCGGCTTGCGCGAGGGCGCCGCTGCCAGCAGCAGTGCCCGTGTTGATGGCAATGTGTTGCACACCAACACTGCCCCGGATAGCAAGGTTGGACGCCAGGGTACTGAGGGATTGGACCACCTTCCCTCTGATGCTACGACCCGTTAAAATTTGGATATGAGTTATGGATTCATGTGTACATTGTACGATAGTCATTTTTGAAGTCATTATGAGCGAGAATGAATTTCCCAAATCAATTTTAAATTAAATTTCTCGTTGTAAATGTACGGTATAGTAACCAATTGTATATAATTTTGGAAACTGTGGGAAGAATTGTCACAGTTTTGATTTTATAGATCTGCAGGGTCTAGATGCAGCGAGATAACACCCATGAGTTTAGTTGCATATTGACCGGTGTACTATGCTGGTTCTCTGGTAATCGTATGCAATTCGTAAAAATAAGTCAAAAGCCAAATATCATTTTGAAAATTTTGTTTTTGAGCCCAGAAAATTTCACGTCCTACAATACGTTGGTAGGACTGTCTGTACGGTGTAAAGTGCAGTGAAAATAAAGGTGTTTGTACTGTTTGCACAACAAATTCTAGACCTGACGTCAATACCCCCTTTGCCTCCCAATTTCTTACAAATCCAGTTGATGATCTCAGTCCACAGGATCTTGGAACAAGCATGTGGAGCATTTGATATCTCTGATTTCTGCGTTGTAAAATATTGTAGGAGCATGATAACATCAGAGAGGAGGCCTCTGCTCCACTCTTCCCCTTGATCGGTAACTCCAACCGCCAAACAGAGTCCTGAACAGAACCGGTTGACGTGACTATCAACGACATGGTTCTTGAGTATATCATGCAAACGCTGTCAATTCAACGTAAGTATGACATCAAAAATGTTTCTTGTGCGATGAATTACTTTGAAAGCGTCAGATAGATGCTACCAACAGTAGATAGTTAGTGCTGGCTTGGGTATATATATGTCTGCCATCGCGACCGTCTTTCTCATTAAGCAATCTTCTTTCAAATCTTCCAAAGGAATTCTTCCATCCTTCTTCTTTATAAAAAGCTTATATTTATTTTCTCATTTTTACATATCACCATGGATCTCCAAGGCAACCCCATCCCTCCCGGTGCCCGCAGCACCAAAGTCACTACCGACCCTCGTGCCCAACAGCCCATTGAAGAGCCCTCTGGCCCTATCACCAATGACTCGCTCGCCGCTGATTCTATCCGCCAGGGCGGTGCCTTCTCTGGCAACCGTGGCGCTGAGCCGATGGGGGTCTCCGGCAAACAAACCACAGTGAACAACAACGACACTTCCGCTGCTACTACACTCCCCTCTGTTTCCGCTGGCGGTCTCCGCGAGGACCGCGAAAGCCAGCAGAAGTACCCCGAGGCCCTCGGAGGCCAGGGCAATTTCCCCGGCACTCACCTGTCCCAGTCTGGCTACACCGGCGGCTCAACCGCCGCCAAGCATGATCAGGGCATCAACGCCGGCGAGTACTCTACTGCCAGCGGCAGCGGTCGCAGCCAGTACAACGCGGGACAGGCTCCCTCCTACGTCAACGATGTGACTGGTGACATTCAGCATCCCAAGCCCGATGGCCGCAACATCCGCGAGGGTGGCTCCCACTCCAATGATGCGAAGAATGCTAGCTTCAACTCTGAGATCGGCTCTAGTCAGGACCCTGGACGCGAGGCCGTTAACCAGTTCCAGCGCAACAATGCCCGCACTGACTATTCTGGTCGTGCCGATGAGAAGCAAGTCAACGCCCAGACTCCCTATGAGCACTTGGAAAGCAACCAACGTGCTTAGGGGATTCACTCCATTATTAGCAGAATCTTTTTGAAAAATAGCGAGCGAGCGTGCTTTATCTGAGTTGGCCTGGGGCCAATGAATGGATGGTTTATTATTGCATATATTCTTGTTTACGATAGCCTTTAAAATATCACCATTTCAAACAAACATCTTCATATGAATTCAATAACTCGATTAAAATCACAAGATGGGGCGAAATGCATATATATAACAAGCGTCGATAAAAAAGGTTGGATGTTAGATAGAATATATACTAGAATATCCGATAATCATCCTCATCAGATCCTTCTGAATCTGACTCAGTTTCACTTGACACAGAATTCAAGAACTCGTATTCATGCTCGATCAAGGATCGAACATGAGTTGCCTCACTTGGAATAGCAACAACTCTCAATGGCATCTTCATCAACTCATCCAATTCCACATTTTGCTCTTCCTCTCCATTTCCACTGCCAACAGCGTTTTGGACCCACCGACTCCATACGTAATTGCATAGTTCCACCACCCCAATGATAAAGATGGCGATCCACACCATTACCAAGAGAATAATCACCGTGGTAACCGGAAGCGAATGCTGGGGGAATCTCGCCGTTTTGAGTCCCAGAGTCGGGATCCAGAAGCGGTAGCTAAAGATGGAGACTGAGCGTCCTGACGAGGAAGAAAGCGAGATGTATGCAGGCGTCTTTTCGCTGTTCTCATGGCTGGCAGCGTTTTTAGCATGCATATATCTGAGAATCTCGTTGTAACGATTTTGTTTATCGGCGGCAATCGCATTGATTGTGCTCTCTTCAAGCTCTGATTTATGTTCCGACTTTTCTTTCATATGCTCGGTGTATTGTTTGTGCGTTTTCTTGGGAATTTTGTGAGGCAATGCGGGTACCAAGACCCGGACATCTGGGTTTCCTATTGAGAAAATCTCCTTTGTATAGGTGTGATCTGGATGTTCCTTCGTTGTTGATTCGCTGTCATGGTTGGTAGTTCGCCATGTTGGGTTCTATTTTTTTTGGTAAAGGTAGGTTAGGCTCATCCTCCAATATCAAAACCGGCGATGGCTTTGTTCATGCTTCTACTAACATAATCATGGTTGGCGCGTGCTGGGTCAGACAATGGACGATGTTCATCATTCTCGAGGACTTTCCATAGTCCACGGGAATTGGGATCCTGGTATTGGCCTGGCTTGACCACTTCGCTGGTTTGAACAGGATGTGAAGTCGCCGAATGAATGAAAGTCGTGATAAGTGCGACAAAGATCAGATATGAAGGGCAAATAGTAGTGATATACATGGTTCTAATGGAAGACCGAAGGGGAATGAGTGGAACGATCTAGTATATGCAAAGAATGAACGAACCACATAGAACGAGGGAATATTCGCTTCTTATAAAATTTCACCCACGGGATACAGGGGACATTAACCGCAAGGGCCGTCCGTGCCTTGTGTTTTAAGAGAAAGTCGCGTACGACCAAGGGAAACAAACCCCCATTCTCAAAATCGGTGCCTGGTACCAGATGTGTTCCTGAATCTAGGCATACACTAGAAGATCCGTGAGCTGGAGATCAGATTTGTTCAGGGCTCTGAGCCTGGTGATTGGCTGGGCTTGATATCTGTTGCGCTTTGAGGTATGCACTCCATCCCTTGTTTCGCATCAAGGTCGAGGGGTGTACAGAGTAGGGATTGATCATATTGATCGGCTACAATGATAACGCCACTGTTCTAATAGTTTATCCCACCATGCAAGGCTACATGTCTAGGCTTGGATTTTCATGCTATTTGTATATACCTTATGTAACTAAGTTCCATTTACCAATAGTTTTGGCAGAGTCCGCTACGCTTTCATCAATTACATTCTGCGGGCGAGTCGTGACTATGGAGTACATCGTACCTACTTGGACCTAGACGAGTTCTTCATATCGTAGTACATTAATGTTTCCAAGCTTTCTCGTACAATCCGAGGATGTTGCATCGACAAGTACGCAAAGGTTCAAATCTAGTGCGCTTCAGTACAACGTGGTTTATGCGGGTGCCATGTCTATGTGGGGCATTCCAATTAACCGTCATGTGTATGAGGATTTTGCCGCAGAATTGACGTCAAGATTATACTGGGAACTTATTGAGTCTGGTGAGGTTGGTGATATCTCATTGAAATTCTTGCCTTTTTCGTACACCATTGAAATAACGCCGAGTTGCAACAGAAAGAGCAAATAGAGAAAGATACCCATAGGCCGGACCCCAAAAGACATGCACCATCTTACCAGACGGCACCGGAAAACCTGTACAACCAGAGAACCCACTGGGAGTGATGAAAGTGAAAAGAGCAAACAACAAAAGGTGAAAGAGACAAGCTAAGCACATTTTTAGACGGTCAGCTTGCCGAGCTCCTTCTGGGTCAAACCAGCAAGCTCCTCGAACACCTTGGTGAACTCTTCATCGTCTTCCTTCTTGCCCTTGGCGGCCTTGGGGGTAACCATGACCACACTGGTGGGGCGCTTGGTGGCAGCGGAAGCACCGAGCTCGGCGCGGGAGGTGACAAAGACGTAGGGGATACCGTGGTCTTCGCAGAGGACGGGAATGTGGGAGATGACATCCATGGGGGAGATGTCGGCAGCGAGAACGACAACACCGTTGGGGATGGTGATAGCGGCGTTGGCGGCGGGGATAGGAGACTTGCGGAGAGCCTTGACAACCTCCTTGACACCACGCTTGAGGGACTTGTTGACGGCAGCTAAAGAATGGGATGTTAGCGGGGAGTACTAAGATAAGAAAATGTTGTGCCAAGTGAATAATTAGTAGGCCGAGACAATCGCACTCTGCGATTAAAACCAACCAGGCCTACCAATATGGAATGAAAAAAGAGAGAAATGGAACATACCCTTCTTGACGCTCTTCAGGACCTTCTTGGCCTGCTTGTCCTCAACCAATGGGTTGGCGAACGGCACGAGGGCACCGACAGGGCGCTCGATGGTTTCGACCTCGACCTCACCCTTGACGGCGACAGCACCAGTCTGCTCGAGACCCTCCATGACATCGTCACCGACTTCCTTAGCTACTGCATCGGCGAGAGCAGTCTTCTCCTTCTTTTCCTTCTTCTCCTTCTTGACCTTGTGCACACCGTCCTTCTCCGCACGCTTCTCCTTCTTCTCAGCGCGATCCTTCTTCTCGACCTTGTCCTTGCCCATGGTGACGGTTTTAGGTAATTAAGCGAGAGAAACTGAGTAAAATCGGACGAGGGACCGAGGTGAAGGGGAAGATTTGCGGGTGAGGTTAGTGAACTGAGAATTCGATGCCGAGATCGAAATAATTTTTAAAACCACGCTAACCCCTTTCGGTCAGCCAATGTGATTACGTAAATACCAAACAAGGCCGCATTTACCGTGATCTTCCCTTTGAGACTTGATACAGCTTTCTTTCTAGGTGAAGTAGTGCAATGGTTCTTGCCTAATGTCCCTATAGAAAGGACTATTCGTGGGGCTAGATTTAGCCTACCCTTCACCGTGAGTTTCAATGGACTGCTATCAGGCTCTTTTTACCCATTCACTGATCCCTCCGCTCGCCATAGATGGACAATAGCCAGAACAGCAGACCGGCGTCCCAGCTCATCGCGGGATTCGCTTCACCCTCAACGCCTTCCGGAGTGCGAAACAGTATGCGACACTCGAGTAATATGCGACACTCGTCCCGTTTGATGCAATCCCAAATGCAGTCCCACCAGCCCGTTCATGGTAAGACAGTACCATACCCGAATTGACCAGAATGGCCCGCGGAGATAAAGCTAATGATTTGGCTCAGACACCGAGAAAGAAGAGCTACGCGTACAGTTGAGTGCTTTGAAGTACGAGCTCGAGAATATCAAACAGGATCGAGAGCTGGAAGCGCTTCGACATGAAAAAGAGCTCCGCGATTTACAACTGAAAGCGGATGCGGATTTTAGAAAGGCCCAGGTGAGTTTTGGCGAAGTACTGAAACCAGGCTAAGCTGACAATCTTCCGCCACAGACCGCCGAATCTACGAGTAACCGAGCTGTTCACAAGAGTGATATCCTAGCGAAAGAACTGAAAGATGCCCAGGACCAAGCTCTGCATGATAAACTTGGATTTGAACGCAAAATCAGAGGTCTTCAAGACGAGAACCAAAACTTGCAAGACGAGTTCAACGACAATCAAGCAAAACTTTCCGACCAGGAACGGCAGTTCAAATACCAGATCAACGAACTGGAAACGGTCCGAGCATCTTTGCAAAAAACCATCGAAGAATTCCAGACCGATCTACAGAATGCCAGGACAGCGCAGGAGTCGACACAGGTGAAGCTGACCCAGTGTGAAGCCGAGGTCGCCGAACTTGAAGCGGAAAACATTCGACTAAAGGCCGAAGGGAATGACGCCGAGGCTCTGACGGTGTTGAAGAGGGAACTCTCCGAACAAGTGAACCATATTAAAGAGTTAGAAACCGCCAACCGTGATCAAACATCAGAGTTACGCCAGCTTCGCAAAATCTCCAAGAATGTCGAGGTCGTTGAAGAGCAAAAAAAGTCTGTGGAAAACCAGCTTCAGTTGATGAAGGGCGTCGAGGCGGAACTCAGCACAGTTCAAATTCAAAAGCAAGTTTTGGAAGATGAGCGTGCATCATGGGCCACTTTGTTGCAAGAAAACGATCAGCCCGTAGAGTTTGACTCGCCAGATGCTATTGTCCGAGCCCTGGTTCAGTGCCGCATCGAGATTGCTACACTGCTTGATCGCCTTGGAACAGTTGACGCCAATATTCTGGAGAAGGATGAAGCAATCAAGAGCGCTGAGAACGATAAACTCGCCTTGCGACAGGAACTGGAAAAGTGTCGTGCTGCGAGTGCTGCATCCGCCGGAGGACCGGGGGCTGCCGATGCTCGACTTCGAGCTCGACTCGAGCGCCAACGTGCACTCGCCGTAAAGGAAGTCGAATACCTGCGTGACCAGTTGAAGACTTTCGACGCGGAAGAGATCACCATGAACGGTGACAATATGCAGTTTGATGAGCAGAAATCACTGCAAATTACCCAGCTCGAACAATTAGTTGACGAGTACCGCGGCGAGCTCCATAAGATTCACGAAGAGCTCTCCAAGAAGGAAGCACAGAAGCCAGAAGAAACGAAACCGCAGGGCGTCAAGCGACCTTTGTCGCCAGCTGACAGTGAAGCTGAAAGCGAGCGCCTCGCCGTCCTCAGTCGCAAAAACCGCAAGCTCCAAGATAGCATTACCAAACATGAGCAGGCTGCCACACTGGCTCGCCGGGAGCTCGATGCTGCCAAGTCTCAGATCAAGTCACTTAAGTCGAAGTCACGGACCCGCGTTCTTGAACTGCGAGATAACCCGACCGCCCAGGCCGAGCAAATCAAAATGACAACTCTAAAAACCCTCCAGTCTGAGAACCGGGATCTCCTAGCGCAACTTCGTGGCGAGCGCGTCAATGCCAAGGTTATCCCCGTCAGTGCAATTGACAGCATCAAGCTCGAAATGCAAGAAATGGAACGCACCGTGGCAGATAAGGAGAAGCGGATGCGGCGACTCAAGGAAATCTGGACAGCGAAGTCCTCTGAATTCCGTGAAGCCGTCGCTTCCCTCCTCGGCTTCAAGCTTGATTTCCTTCCCAACGGCCGAGTCCGTGTGACTTCTATGTTCCACCTTTCCTCTGCATATAGGCATGGCGACAGCGATGCTCCGTCGGACTCTGGCCCTGGCAGCATGGGCAATGGCGAAGAGAACTCCATCGTCTTCGATGGTGAGAATGGTACGATGAAGATCTCGGGTGGTCCAAACAGCTTGTTTGCCATGGAAATAAAACCCCTTATCAAGTTTTGGGTTGAGGAAAGAAAGGACATCCCTTGCTTCCTGGCGGCTATGACTTTGGACTTCTACGACAAGACAACCCGCGCCGCCAGGATATGATCGTCGGCACAATGCCACGTTCTTATCGTCTTACCTGTTATCTCTACTTATCTGTATTACTGTGATTCCCCCGGCACAACTTGACCTGTGCTATGCTCTATTCTTTTTGCTGCTGAATTCTATGTTTGTTTCATCAAACAACACCTATATGGCCGCATGTTCTGTTTTGACTACTTTGTTTTAATTATGTATTAAAACGTCTAGTGTGCCCATAGGCGGCCCTTCTCCGGTAGCCATTGCGAGGTTTTAAGACACCATGGAATATATATTAGGCTTCGTCCCAGCAAACTTATCTACATTTATAGGAACGAGCACAAAATTCAACAATGAACAATTGAATTCCATTGCATTAAGTTTCCTCCTTAAATTTCCCCTTCGTAATAAAATCGAAGCCCCAAAACGAATGACACGGGACCGATGAAGTACGTGTGCGAGTAAATGCCTAACTACACAAAACAGTATTGAGAAAGAAACACAAAAGTCATCAAGAACAAAAAAACGCTATTTGCATGGGGGAGACATAAGAAACCCAAGCGAGAGACAGAATAAGAAGGTAAAAGTATAGGCATCTTGAGCTTTTGTTTTGTTCTAGGCTCTATAGGAAGACCCATGCCAAACGTAACCAAAACGCAGATACCAAACGAATTGCATAAAGCCTTAGTCGAGGCAGACAAAAGAGTATATACGAAAGCCAAGCATATTCCGCGAGGCACCTGATCTACTCAGGCAGAGACGTACTTCCTGCCAACTAGCTTGCGAGCAGTCGGGACACCTAGCCATGAAATTGAGGATGGCTGCACCTCACGACCTTCGTCAGCGAAGGGGTCGGCCTCCAGCTGTTCGCTGCTTGAAGCAGCACGGCTAATACCCAGCTGGGATGGGGAATCGGTGCCGTGAAGCTCGAACTTGGCCTCAACCTTCCCCTTGCGAGGACCTGGGGTTGACGTGGAGAAGCGGACAAGGAATTTGCCATCTACGCCTGGAGTAGCAGGGGCCTTAACTTCAAACTCGGGAATTTTCCATGTGACGGTTGAGGTCTTGCGGCGGAAAGCGGCGCCTGTGTTTGGGTACATTGCGGCGCTGGTCGCGTGAGCCACTGACTCTCTTGGTTGCTTGGTGACTTCGTCTATGCCGGCGGTGTCCAGGTTGATAGTCAAGACTAGGTTCTTGAGAGAAATTGACTCAACTGGGTGGGAAACGAAGGCCGGATTAAGAGAGTAATAGATAATGGCGCTAGCCTGGAGTTCTTCTAGGTTCCAGACTGGGTTGAAGATCACAGGGCAGTAGGCGGAAGGATTGGCCGGGTCGAGGTGAAGCTGATATTTGAATGCAACTGTCGGCATGGGACGGGAGATGCTGCCCAGCTGGATGTCATACTCGCCTCGTTTTTCGTCGGTTGGGTCTTTGGCGGCTTCCTGGACAAAGTGGGGATTGGCGGCTACCTTTTCCAGCACTTGGAAATTTTCAAGGCGGATGCGCGAGGTATCTGTCGCAGTGCCAGACGTGGGGTTGTTTGCCAAAGCAAGCTCACCCACAACGGAGGATTTGACCACACTGCCCTCCGAGAACCATGCATCGACAGTCTCAATGATCGAGGCATTCAGACCCGATTCATAGAGATCAGGATGCGCTGAAGTTCCTAGGCCATGAGTACCGTGCCCCGAGCGAACTGAAGTGGTATCTGATACGGTGTGGTCATCCGTTGCAACGCTGGGCGCAATGCTTGGGGAGGTCATGTGTCTGATTGGCGAAGTGGGCGGTTGCGACTCCGATCCCGCGGAACTTGGTGGAAGCTCATTGCCAGGCGAAGGAATGAAAACTGTGTTGCGAACGTCACGGCGGCCACGGATGGTGCCTGCATTGCGTCTGACTCCTGTATTTTGAGCACGCTGCATCATTGTTAATCATAGACTATTGGAAAACGACTAGGGGCAATGCTAACCAATCGAAGGGTATTTGCCATATCCGCCATGGCCTGCTGTGCTTGTCTCTCATCCTCAAAGATGGGTTGGTCTCGGATCGTTAGATTAAGGGCAGATTCATCAATGCTGTACGTTTCGTGTTAGATTTTGTGCGAACACAGAATAAGGCGCACATACCCAGCTGCTTCATTTTGGGCACGTGTGATTTCGTCAACCGTCGAGGGACGCTCGGTGAACCCTTCCGAATCAACTAGCGGCTAGACAAGAGATTAGTTGAGCATCCTTATATTGACACCTAGTGCCTAGTCACTTGATGACTTACTTGACTGACATGGTTGTTGTTCAACCCAGCCGAAGTTTCAGGAGTAGCTCCATTTGTGGCATTACCAGCATGCGTTTCAGAGATGGCGGCAGCATTGTCCAGACCAGGACGGTCTTGCGATACACTAGGATTCCTCAAAGATGAGTGATCTGTGAAGGACGTATCCGGACGACCAGAGGCAGTTTGAGGAGGCGACTCTGGTATTTGAAGATCACGAGATGAGTCGGCCCGCGTGAAAACCGCGAAAGGACTGCGCTTTTTCTCAGCCTTTCGGTCAAAAGTTCCGGCCGAAGGCCCAACAACGCTCTTCCTCCGGTTCATGACCGTGCCGAGTCGTCTCAATCCTCCTAGAGGAGTGTGCCGTGGCTGTGCTTCCGGTGCTGTGGGGGGGCCGTTAGAACATGTATGTGAGATTGGACCAAGGCATAGACTTGGTACTTACCGGGCGGTGTCTGTGCAACGGCAGCTCTTTCGGACGGCTCTGAATCCTGACTGGCGGTATCATCTTGAATGCGTGGAGGAGGTGGAAGAGGTGCTTCCGTTGGTGGTGTAGCCACCTGTTCGATGGGGGCAGTGACTGCCCGTTCAGGTCCCGGTTCCGGCGTATAAGGGGTTTCCGCCCGGTCTGTCTGTCTCCTGGATACAGCAGGTGAGGCAGGGACCCGGTTGCCTGCCATTTTAGCAGCGAAAGTCTTGATCTCATCTGCTGTTTGCACATTGAGCAGAACATTCAAGCAGCTTTCAGCAGCCTGGCGGCCTCGTTCGATCTGATCTACCTCATGGGTTTCCAGTTGTGTTAGGACATCGCGAAGGTGGTTGAGTCGGGTCTCATCGGCGGCCTGAAGTTGTTCATAAACAAAAGGAGCTCGTGATTCCCACTGCTGATGAACCTCCTCCGCATTGGCTATCTCGGCAGCCAGCTTATCTGCACCCTTTGTGCCCTTTGACTTAGCCTTATCAACCTTCTTCTGCGCATTCTCCACATTCTTGGCCAAACCCGCCAAATTGCTTTGGATTCCGGGCATGGACTGCATGTCCCGATTCTTGGTGCTGAACTCTCTTAGCGGTCGTTCGACATCTTCTTCGATCTTGTTCGCAAGAGTCTCATGTGAAACGGCGAGGGCTTCGGTAGCGTTAATGATCCGTTGCCAGGGGATTTGGAAGATGCTGGGTTCAAAGGTCAGAATCATCATTTTTGAGCAACTCAGAGTTCCAATGTCTCCAGGAAAGATGGATTTACCCAAGAGCGGCTCCATTATCCAGCTGTGGCCGATGCGCCAGCTTCCGCAGGCCTTGGGCGTATGTTTCTTCGACGCGACGTCGTTCCTACCGCCAAACTGTCAATAAATGAGGCTTCTCTGTTGTAGATCTCGGCCAACGAATTTGACCCGATCGCAATGTAGGTGGAAATACCTGCAGATAGTCCGCGATATCCGTGTTGATCTTGTTTATGACTCGAATGCGATCGCTCAGAACAGTCGTAGCTTGGCTAGGATGCAGGGTGGCCTAGTTCAAGGAAACATCGTCAATGATCAGTAATCTGATGTTGTAGTTGTCAAAATTGAAGCTCGCGTGGGCCAATCATACCAGCAGCGTTGGGTACTCTTGCCGTGAGAGGTCCATGATTCAGATTCCGGGGTAGTGAGCAAGGGAGCGCATGAAGCGCATAACATGAATGATAAAACCAAGAGATTCCCCAGCTTCTCGCGCCGAGAACAAGCCCAATTAGGTATGAGGAATGAATGCGGGATCGGGTCCGAATGCCAGTGTCAGGTAGCGTGTCATTCGAACGTCGGCCGAGGACGGCACAGCAATGGGGGAACCTTTGGGGATGGAATGACGGCGTTCTGGTAATACTGTATTCTATGATATTAGATGAAATAAACCGCTCAGAGGCCTGTATTGACCGTTACAAGGCTGTAATCATCCCCGTTAAGGGTCACATGACATCATTGGGATTAACGGATCGGATTTGATGCCTTGATACCTTGATACCTTGATAACTAGTTACCTGGATGCCTTGCTGCCTTAACGGACATCTGATAGTTAAGCAGCACATTCAACATCTCGACTTTTTTCTCTAGATGTTGTCTTTTGTTCTGTCTTTCATATGAGGGCAATCTGAATTCACTCCCATAATTCAAGATAGGGCGTGCTAGTCTTCAAGTTTTGCCTTCTCCCTCTTTTCTTTTATCTGATCTTTGCAAACATTCAGTCTCCACAACTGACCCCCTTCATATTTACTTCTCATCACTCGCCATTAACCCGCTCCAGCCAAGTCTTACCAACGATGTCGTGGAAAGACTATTTCGGGTTTACGGATCGGCTGCGGGCCATTCAGTCTCTGTTAGTCAAGTTCAAAATTCCCCCACAAAACCTAACTGACGAGGACATAGCACCACAGCCTACCAGCAGGCGAATTCTTCGGCCGCATTTGCAGATGCCTTAGACCAGGCCAAGCAATGCGAAAATCGTGCATATGAGAATGCTATCACAAAAGTCAGTCGTTTAGTCATTGATGTTCCAGAATGTGAATCGAGTCTTTTCACCTAACGCTGTGTTATTCAGGAAGAATATGATTCCATATGTCAACGGGCAATTGACACAGCCGAAGGGGAACGGTCCCCAGATTCTATCGTCAGTGACTCGCATCATTCACAAAACGGTATTGAAGAATCAGAGGCCTCATCCGGCGAGTGTATTGGCCGATATAAATGTTTCCCTCACTTCGCTGGTCTTCACTCCTCGATTTACAAGTCAAAGATATCTGATGGAACTGTTTTGGCTGTGAAAGTCACCATCCCCCACATGATGACAGCTCCTCACGACGCGTACCGCGAGGCACGGCTACTCCGTGAAGCCCACCATCCAAATGTCGTAGCTGTTACAGAAACAGTCGACCTTGATGGCGGAAGGTTTGTAATTGTCTTCCCATTCATGCGGTATGACTTCGAACAGTTGCTCCGGCGAGACATGGTGACTGCGGCTCAGACAAGATCGATACTGCGGGACCTGTTTCTTGCACTTCAGCATATCCATGGCCTAGGGATTATTCACCGGGACATCAAGCCTTCGAATATATTGTTGAACTCTCCCAATGGACCAGCCTACTTGGCAGACTTTGGTGTAGCATGGAAAGATGGAGATGTGGGGTCCGAAGAGGCATCGGAAAAAATCACAGATGTGGGCACAACCTGTTATCGGCCCCCAGAAATCCTTTTCGGATACAAGGCATATGGAAAACCCCTTGATCTTTGGGCCGCTGGATGTGTGGCAGCAGAAGCCATTACGGTCGGCCATCGTCAGCTGTTTGATTCCGGGCCAGTTGGTAGCGATCTGTCGTTGATTTTCTCCATCTTCAAACTGATGGGAACTCCAGATGAACAGCGTTGGCCGGTAAGCTGAGTACCCTCAATTCAACTTTGACTGTAGTTATTGACCATAAAACAGGAAGTCAAATCCTTGCCGGATTGGGGGAAAGTAGAATTCCACTCTTTTCCTCAACAAGCATGGGAAGATATCCTACCCGGTGCATCTTCCAATGGGCGTGACTTGGTCAGTCGTTTGCTGTGCTACGAGAGCAATGAAAGATTCACCGCCGCAGAGGTATGTGATCTAACTCAACATCTCATGATATATCTAACGATAACAAATTCGTCTAGGCCCTGAACCATCCCTATTTTGCTGCTTAATAAAGTATGGAGATAGCATGATACGGATGGAGAAGAGCTACGCCACACAACCGTTGCGCCTCCACGGGGTATGCCGCACGAGTGGATCGGGAAATCACAAGCGTGGAAATGCGACTTATTATGCAAATGGATACCTAGATCCAATCAATTCATGAATTGATGCCGCACGAGCAGTTCGGCTGCCACTTTCGTCTCTTCGGGGTCTTGGGGGAATTCGAAAGAGAAAAAAAACCCCCATTTCCCAGCGATTCTTTGAGTCTTATTTTCTCCCACAAACCGGCTTTTTTAACTGACCAGAATGAAGTGATGATCTCTCATCTTTTATGACGAAGGTTCACATACTGTGGATCTGGATGTATTTTAATGATCTGCATATTTAGTAATGCATGTGTTTCCGAGGCGCAGTTTTACCCCTGTCCCTGGTACCTGCGTAGGAATGGCGGTGCAGCGGAGGCTCGTGTAAAAATTTGAAATGAATTAAATTGAATTAGATTGAATTCCCGGAACAGTCGGAAATTACGGGCAGAGTGAGCGATCAATAAGATGTGGCGGTTGTTGTTAGGGTGAAACAACCATAGGGAAGTCTGTGCCCCGCGCAAGGTTTTGGGCTTAGCGAAGAGCCGGACGCTAAGGTGTGATGGAATTTGTTTACTTCCCGCTTTTCATTGTTTGTTACGAGAACGAGAATAAGCATCACCTAGGTATATATGTGAAGGATACAAATCAATCATAATATAAAAAGAAATGATTTAGCGAGAGAAAACATCGGAAATAACAGCCTTGGAGCATCGGAAACTTCACATGTTCAACAATTAAAGTAAAGAGGGCCAGGGTTCCCGTGGGTCACGTATCTCATTTCCAAAGGTTCATTCAGGTACTGTATGGCGTTGACCAATCAGAGTACATTCTGAGTGTAGATACTTTCCATATTTGGGCTAGTTCATCTGTTGTTGACCCAGACCCTTGTACACAAGGATCTCATTTCGGGTACCCCAGCTCGTATTGGGGCTTTTCCCTTTACTCTTTTGCTTCTTCTTCTCTCTATTCAATTTGTGCGACCTGGAAGTCGACGTCCTTTCTTTTATTCTCGACTTGATAATCGGCTGTGCTCGATTTCAGTCATCCATTCTTTCTATCCACATTCCACACACGGCGGAATCGGCCCAGAGACGCGGATTCTCGACCACTCGCGTTGGAATCTTGGGTCATCCCTCTTTTCAGGAGCAAGATTCGCTTTACTTGTCAATCTAGCCCCGAATACTGCTGCACGATATCCTGGGATACTGGAGTACCAACAAAATGCACGGGCATGCGCATCACAACCATGAGCGCAACGTGGAGGAACTTGAGCCTCGGGGAGACGTTGACGAGCGTGGAAATGTCGTGATTGTGTACAAGACCATGGAACCAGATTTTGTAGGCGAGATTGGCGGCTACCTCACTGGTGACCAACAAACTACTGAGGCAAACACTGCGACACAGAAGGCCGTCGGGGTCGGTGCTGCTGTGGGGGTGCACGCTACGACCACCAAAGAGCAGACAGCGGAGGCCAAGGCAACTGATGATCCAACGACCACCAAGGCCAAGGAGGAAGCGACTACCACCCAGCACACCGAGGCCAAAACCACCCAAGAGACAGAGGCGGAGACCACCGAAACGACCAAGGCTGAAACGACCGAGAAGACTGAAAAAAGTGACACCGAAGCATCTACCACTACTACGAGTCAAAATCCGCAGAAAGTTGTGACTGTAAGCTCTTTTGTGACTTCTGCATCACAAACCTCAGAGTCTAGCCAATATGTCGACAATATTCTTGCAGCCACGTCCAGTGCTTCAGCTACAGACTCGGCCGCTTCAGCCTCAAACACTGCCCTTGGAAGCACCACATCTGAAGGTATGACCGGAGGCGCGAAGGCTGGTGTAGCCATCGGTGTGATCTTCGGTGTCGGCGTCATCGCTGCATTGATCTTCTTCCTCATCCGCAAGAAGAAGAACAAGGCCCAGGAGGGATACCAGCAGGAGAATGAAAAGGCATTTGGCGGCGAGGGCCTACCCGAAGGCTACGCTTCCAACTTGCCGCCACCTCCCCCCGCCAAACCAGACACCCCTTCTACCCCCCCAGTGCTCAATGTTCGTCCCGTTACTCAATTTGCACCTGATCTGAGTGGCGGCAGCGGCTTCAAACCGGCCGCAGCTGGTGCTGTTGGTGCCGCTGGTTTTGCAGCTGGCTCTGCCGCCGTTGCTTCCCGCAATCTCACTGGTGACACGCCGCCTGCGACTCCGCCTAAACCTGTTGTCGATAGCCCCAACCCGTTCAGCGACCCAGTGAATCCATTTGGTTCAGCTACCACTCCCGTCACAGAACACGCACCCTCAATCGCCGAGTCTAGCACTGGTCCACCCGGACCGACTGTTGCAGCTGCCGCAGTTGGTACAGCCGCCGCAGGAGCTGCTGTGGGAGCTGCCGCTTCATCTCGCCAGTCCAGTGATCGTGATAGCTACGAGTCTGCACGCTCGCGTGGTCACTCCCCGACTGAATCTAATCATTCCTCGACAATGCCTGCCTATGCTGAAGGTATCACTGCCGCGGGTGCTGGTGCTGCAGCTGGCCCAATGATTGCGGGTGCCGGTGGGCCTCCACCACCCAACAATGTTCACCGCGTACAATTGGATTTCAACCCCTCCATGGAGGACGAGTTAGGTCTCCGCTCCGGCTCCCTTGTGCGGTTGGTTCACGAATACGACGATGGATGGGTAAGTGATAATTGCAATGTAACTGAAAACCACGCTAATCCCCTTTACAGGCTCTCTGCATCCGCCTCAATGGCTCACAGCAAGGTGTGGCTCCTCGGTCTTGCTTATCAGCACGCCCTGTTATGCCCCGCCCACGCCCCCTCCAGGAGCTCGCGGTCCACCTATCATGGGCCCTGATGGACGCCCAATGATGCCGGGTGGCCCACCGCCCCCTGGACGCTTCTATCCTCAAGACGTCCGCCCGAGATCTCCCAATGGCCCTGGCTTCGGCGGTCCACCACCTCGCCCCTATCCCAGCGGCTCGATGGGCCCCGTCCAGTTCCCGCAGGTTCCTCGCTCAATGTCACCAGGACCGGGCGGAATGCCTGACCCTCGCTCAATGTCCCCAGGCCCCGGAGGCATGCCTCGCTCCATGTCTCCTGGCCCTGGTCCCCGACCGGGCCCACGCTCCATGAGTCCTGGTCCATATGGACACCCAGGCATGCAGCGACCCATGATGCCCGTTAACCAGCGTCAACGCAGCAACAGCGCTGGCAACATCGCACCTCCTATGGCTGCACCCGCCGCTCCACCTGTCTCCAGCCCACTAGCCGCTCCTGCCCCCGCTCCCACAAGTGGACTTCCACCACTCCCGCCTTCTGCGCCAACGTCTCCGTCTGGCTCGATCTCGCGAAAGCCCCTCCCCGCAAAGGACGCTTGATTTAATGAACCTAATTCCTGGACAGAGCCCTGTGTAGAAAACAGGCAGATCCACTGACTTGTCAGTGCACCGCTGGACGGAAAATGAGTTTGCCTAATCCGACCATTGTTGACCCAATCTTGATATCCTACCCGCGTCCGTGACGAGTTGTCCCTGTTTTTTTTGTTTGTTTTCCCCCTTCTTTTTCTTCAATTCCCTGTCCGCGTCCTGGACGCCGCCTTTCTTTTTTCCCACCGGCATCCGTGTAATGTTAACAAAGGCCGACAACGATTCATACATCCTTTCTTCTGCCTTATTTTTTATGTGCTGTTGGTACTTTCCCCATACTTTTGAACTCATGTTATTGGAAGTTGCAAGCTTCTTTTTGAATTTCTTGATGGATTGATATTGACCCGGACAGAATTTGCGTGTTACGCTGAAATGAGCTGGAATACCCGGATTTGGCGAGCTGTTCCAATACAGATGGTCCATATTCATATCTATGTAGAGTTTAGATTATTGTACCAATGTTGTTTGAGTCTGATTCATCTTTCATTTATGTAGTACCTCTCGATATCAGTCCAGTCGGTTCGCCCCATGATACAAACCGATGTTAGCATCGGTCTTCAGCACAGTGTCGATAGAACTGTCCTCAAATCACACCTGGCGAAACTCAATCTGGCTTTTGGTAAATTTACCGCCAGATGTGCGTCATGAACCATCCCTCTTCCATGGTGACAATGCTTGGATCGCAAAGAGATTGTTCTACATTCTTCGTCACTCAACATTTCACCTTCAATATCCGCTCGCCAAGGGAGGCATGGCATAAACCAATGCAGCAACAGTTAATATCGGTCTAAGATGTGCAAGAGTGTTGAGACAAGCAGCACCCAGTGTTTCTGTTTGGTTGCCCCAAATCGAGGAGTATTTCAAAAGCCTGGATCAAGGAAGCCGCGAGATCAAATGAACTCAGCTGACATTGGTTGTTTTCATTGGTAATATTGCACAGGAGAACAGCTTGGCCGAGGTGAACCAGCGATGGGCTGGCTGTATGATTGAATGTTTCGCTCCGAGTCACGGCATGTATTACGGGATTAAATCCTGGGACTACCTCTTGAACTCCTTCTCTCGGCCGCTATATAATATCTCTAAATCACGGGTTTGACTCCGAGTCAATATGTCCAACCCGTTTGGTTCTTGCGTTTTTCTTTTTGAAGCTTTTCACTGGTAGAACTGACACAAGCAGGCGCACTGGCCGTATATTGGTTTGACGTCCAATCCATAGACAATTCATCCTTCAAATTGATCAGTCAATGTTTGATTCCTGAGTCCTCGAATTGGCAGACTACCAACGCCTCATACTTCAAATTTGACCGACCAATCATGTTCGATACATCAATATGAGCCCAACGGACCACTAGCTGACTCAGCGGCCTGTGGGGCTTTCATAAAACCTCAATTGGTCAAAATCCTTCGGTGGTGACCCACCCGAACCACATATCGGGTTCTAGGTCCAACAGACTACATCAAAAGTTCCGAACCAAAGAACCCAGAAATATGAGGCTTTGGATTTGGATGAAAATGAGACCGGAGATCGGAACCATTCAAGTGATTTGAAACTTACCATAAATAGGCCCGAGCCTTGCCTCATATCCTTAGACCTGAAATGTGCGGACTCGGCATCCTCGGGTTTTGACGCAATGGCCGATGAATCCTTTAGGATTATAAAATCCGAATTGTCCCAGATTGCTTGTTAGCGAAAGGAAACTCTCGGAACACTCATTTCCTACCACCATAATGGACATTTCCGTTTTAGCCAAAGTTGTGGCTATTTCGTCCTCTTTTTGGTTGTCAGGTACGTGTCGGTTGTTGTTGAAGAAAAAAGTCGAAACGCACTAATCATCTGAAAAATCACAGGCGAGATATTTACGTATTCTTATGGCGCTGTGCCTGCAGTCTTGGTAGCTACTTCAACCTCTCGGTCTTTAGCCGCAAAGCAATGGGGCAAATTTTACCATAAAGGGCATGCCTTGGGACCCACCTTAGCCATTTTGGGAGCAGGAACCTTTGGATGGTTGGCTTTCAAATCGCACAACATGTTTTATTGGGGGGCTGCGGCTTTCGATATTGGCCTTATTCCATGGACCCTTCTTTTCATGATGAAAACGACCAACAGCCTACTTGAGCTTGTTGGTACGAAAGATGAAAAGAGCACGGCGAATGACGGCACACGATTTACTCCCCTGGTCAACAAATGGGCTAGTCTCAACATCGTTCGATCGATTTTCCCTTTTGTCGGTGGCATACTAGGGTTGATGGCAGCCTTGCCTTGAGCTCGATCTCATTCACACATACTGGCTCGGGGCAATTAATGAAAGGACATATATCGCTTGGCAGAGTTTAGGGAAATACTTGATCTATTTTGTTTTTTGTATGAATCCATCTGTGCCTGTCGCCTGATTCTGAAAGAAGAAAGTCGAGACCAATGGATTGATTTATTGTGCAAAGATGTAACACTCTCTCGGGACATCCTGTCGAGGATTTTAGATTAAATGTCTCGATAAAGTTTCCGTGACTGTGAGGAAGCCTTCATAAACGTAGAGACTAGAGGCCTATCAAAAGATATCTAGCGTTCTTGATTAGCATATTAGCAGTAAATGATTAAGTGATAAATGATAGTCACGGTAATTAAGGGGGAATAGTCATTTGCTTTTTATGTTTAAGATGGGATGAAAATACATCTTTATACTCTGCGTCAGAACCTTCGTCTCTGTTCTCTGGATACACTTGAGTTGTATTAGACTCCCACAACCACCAGTACAATTCTAATAAGCGATTTTCTTCGAATCCAACTCAATCTCTTTTCGGGTCAGTTCTATCTCGGCTCATATGCTGAGTACCAGCGTCTGTGTGCCTTCCTCGAAGTAGCGTCCGCCAAAACGACCGATAAACAAGTTGTGGCCCCAAATGGCTTCATCCAAGATGGAACTGGGACGTCAAGTGTTTTCAGCAAAAGTCCTCTGAAATTCCTCAAATTCCTGATGTCCAAAATCCGAAAGGATTGCCAGGAAGTTTCCTGGGAACACATGAGCAAATTTGTGGATGGTATACTTCTGACTCCATCCGACCTCGCTGAAGATCAAGTTTGATATGATTTCTTGGCTGACTGCCTTTTGCTTTTCTTATCTCAGTTCGTCTCGAAATCGCCACGGTGATCCCAATATATATGTGCTAGACAGATGTCTCACATATTAATGTGAAAGTGTTCTTTTCTCTTGACGTTCTTGCATTGGCTTCACCAAAAAAAAACATTTCTATCTCTTTTTCTTCTTCACACTTATATTCTTTGGCTGCTCAATTTCCCTCATCTCTATAATACAGAACCAACAAGGATCCGGTATTTTTGAATTTAGTCAAGAATGGTCTGCGGTAATGGTAAGTGTATGGCCTATATGTTTACATGCAAGGGGCCGCTGCAAATCCAGCATAACATAAGTTATATAGTTGTAAATCCACATACAGCTGAATTGTGTTTAGTTTCGGGTGCTTTTTCAATCAGTCGAGGATACAGGCTCCAAGGTTTGGTTATACATTTGGGTCGAACAAAGATTTTGGGAAATTATATCTCACTGGAGGGACAAAGATTCCAAGATTCTTTATGAATGAAAGTAAAATCGGTAAATATGGCATGCTAACTACTCATTCCTTCTCAGAATCTCATCAATTTGTTTGGCGATTTGCAGGCACTCCTCGTCGCGCATGGTGGTGGTAAATAGTTGAACAGAGCATGGCGCCCCTTCAAGTTGCTCATAGTTGTCTAGAATGAAAACAAATTGGTAAGCCAGAATCAGTGTGAGCATAGTTTAGCAGTTTTTTACTCACATTCAGCTCCAAGCTGGTTATCATTGAGCGCAAAGCTCTCCTTCGCATCTGCCTCGCCGACTTTTCCGAATGGAAGAATGCATGATGGATACTATAACCGTAGTTAGGAAACTAGAACACCGAGATCTCAGAGAGAAAATAACTTACATCCAGCACATTCGTGAGGGTGGTATATGGCGCAACACCAAAGGTATCATGTGGCACTGCCGTAGTTTGTGCGGGAGGTGCGATACAGATATCAAGGTCATGGTGCACCCACAATTTTCGGTATGCCTCACGTAATTCCGATCTGCGAGTGTTGAGCAGTGCCAGTTTGTGCAATTGGTCAAGAGAGCTTGTGTCTGGCAATGAGGACTTATAAAATCCAAGGAGCTTTGCAGCCTGCTTTCCGATGTAGTGCATCGCAGGCACCGGGGGCTCTCCACTTGACTCGATACGCTTCTTGGCGCCCTGATCTAGATTGAACATAGCCCATCCAACCTCATTGCACTCCAATATGCGGCAGTCCTTTTCGTCCAGATGGATAATTTGGTGGCCCTGTGCCTTTAACAACTGAACAGCTTCGGCTAGTACCCTGCGAATCGGGGGGTGGAGAGGGAAGACCGAGGATTCGGGCATCACACCGATTCTAAGAGTCGATTTGGTAGGCACTTTCCTCCATGGAACGTCAATAATAGTGGAGTCAAGACGAGCAGGCTGAGCGTTAAAAACAGACTCAAAGAACGTTTCGATTCCATTCAAATCGGATGAAAGTGGACCAGCACAAGAAAGAATGAACTTCATTCCGCTGGTAGTACAGACGCGCATACCACCATTCGGAACTCGCGCAGCACTTGGTCTGAATCCATAGATTCCACAACAATGCGCAGGGATTCGGACAGAGCCTAATGCTAGGTTAGAACGAATGTGATACTATACAAATTCATGTCAACTTGCCTCCGATATCAGTTCCAACTCCAAGCGGAGATCCTCGTAGAGCAATGAGAGCGCCCTCGCCGCCGCTAGATCCACCAGGCCCCAGTGCCGTGTTCCACGGATTAAGAGTTCGATCGAAGACATTGTTGTGGGAATCAGTGGTCTGACCAAAACGAATATTATCAGCTTGGGGATAGGAAAGGGGTAAGAGATAATGCTAACGTACCATCATTGTCTGGGGTACATTTGTCTTCACATAGATGACTGCTCCTAATTCTAGTAGGATATCGACAAGGGGTGAATTGGATGTTGCCTTTTCATCCAAAAACGCGACCATTCCAATGGTTGATTCTTCTCCCTTATAGTTGAAATTGTCCTTGATACTGACAGGAAGACCATGAAGAGGTCCTGCCAATTTGCCCTGCGCACGTAGGTTGTCAAGATACTGGGCGCGCCCCTGCGCCTGATCGAACATAGTTTCTGTGAGACATGATACCTAGAACAGAATGAGTACTCAATACGATGATAGATACAATCCGGATCACCCACCAATTGCTGAGCCAACGCGGCCCGCTTGGAGTATGCCAGTGTCACTTCTGCTGATGTCAGACTTCCATCTGCTAACGCAGAAATCAGACTGGTCACTGTATATTCTTCAGTGATTTTCAATTCCTGTTCGGTCAGAATGCCCGATTTGCGAATTGCTTGAGCGCGAATCAGATTGTTCTTGTTTTCTGACAGCGGCGCTTTGAACTCTGCCAGAAACTGCTCTGAGAGTTTCCACTCATGTGGAATTTTGTTGGCACATTCTTGACGCTTCTTGGTGGCTCTTTCCTGCCAAGGAACTGTTTCATCAAGGGAGCTCATTTCGAGATTCGAGAAAGTGTTTGCTGATATCAATAGTATATAAAAATGAACCAAGCGTGGTTTGTCTCAAGGGTTGTTTTCAGGAAAGGGCATGGTTATATATGGCCGCATCGGGTGCCGAGGCTAGAAAAAGGGTGTACATTCCTCATTTTCAAGGGAAGTGGGGTGATGCGGAGTCATAATAAGTATAACGTATGGAGTACTGGTAGTCGGCTATCGCAGTCATAGTTGTTCGAAACTTGTACGTTATAAGAGGTTCCTAGGTGAGTATCTTCTTTCTAATTCGTTGCCTCGGCAATCAAGTGGAGAAGTTTCAGTTGTACGAAGTAACGATCTCAACCATTGGCCTGTTATTTAAGTGATCTGTACGAGCTACATTGCCGAATTTGAATCATCCAGCGATTTGTTGATCTCAGTCTCCTCCCAGACGTTGATGGCTAAGCCCCGCTACACAGCTGGGCCTGGAGGAGCAGTATCGCTGCCGTTCTTAGTGTATAGACGTCAGGGCAGGCAAAACTGGGGCAACTAACCTATCAACATACATGAACAATTTTCCCAAACCACTTATTGGTCGACATGTTTGACAACTGTCGAGTGAATATGTGTGGCTGCAGTTCAGCATATCGGATTTCAAGCACCCCTATCTTAAGCGAATTCTAGGAGGGAACCTCGCATTTTAAATTTCCCCGCACCCTCACTGTGACCTCAATATATGTTAATCTGAGAATAGCCTTGATGAGATCATGAGCCACAGCTTGCAGTCCCTCATCGAGAGCTCTAAGAGAACTTCGCTATCCTACGAAGAAGATTTCCGCGGTGAACAACATACTCTGTCTAAATTTTGCAAAGGGCACATTGGTTCTGCCAGCGAACCTCTTTGGAACTTTCACTTGGACTGTAACTGCCCGGCTGCATCTTCAACTACCCGGCGGTCTTCAAGAGCAATACTTTCTCAATTAGCGCCAGATAAGCATGGGCAGATTCTCGCGGGGGGCGGATATAACACCATGAGCGAGCTCTACAAACACGCGCCTGATCTTGTACTAAAACCCCACACTTCTTTGTATGAAGTTACCTACTTACTACATTACCTAGTACCTCAGTTTAGACTGAACATCGAAGGCAACGCTCCTTTTCCTTCCTTCATTTCGCTCACTCGTTTTCTATCCTTTTTGTAACTTTTGCGTTGTGCTTCTCCTTGCATTCTTCCAACATAAATCATTATATCATTTGAATCTCATTCTCAAACTTGAAAAGACGCAGGGTACTACGCCTATCTGCCTAGCGTTGTGGGTGCTGGCATTTTTTATGGTGCTTTTCGGGGCCAGTGCATTTGTTCATCTTTGGCAAATGGGGAAGACAAAAACTTGATTCTTTACTGCATTCCTCATCGGCGCTTTCAGTTTGTTCTCCGTATAGAAAGAAAATTTCATTTCATGACACTGACCAAACCTCATTCCAGTGATGACTTTGGTTCACATTTTCCGATTGATCTCAGCACGCAGTCTCGACAGCCTTGTGCCCTAAATTTGTCAGTCGACGATGATCATTTTTCTAGAATCGCTTTATGCCGCAACAATCTACATGACACATAGTCGCATTGTAGTCTACGTTGGAAAACCTGATTTGTCCACCTTCGCACCCAGGAAAGTGACCAAAATCTCTGTCGGGCGATACTACTGCGTTGCTCCTCCAGCTGTCAGGGGTGGGCAAGCAGACTATCAATAGCATGCGTAGCATCGGTAAATAGATAGCAGGTGCATCAGGAATGATGGTCAGCAGCAGTCTCGCTAGTATTGGAAAAAGCGTTGTGATTGCTGGCTTGGCTCTGCAGGTATTGAGCTTCAGCCTTTTCACCGTTACTGCACGTGTGTTCCAGACACGGATGCGTCGCTGCTCAACCTCAGAGGGAATTGATGACATTTTTCCTTGGAAGCAACATCTGCACAGCCTCTACGCTATCAGCGCGCTCATCCTCATTCAGTCCATTTCCGGGTCATTGAGTACGATGTGGGCAATGGAGGATAGCCCTTGAGCCACGAATGGACGTTATATGCCTCAATTTTTGGGCCAAACTTTGTCTCGATGGTGATGTTCGGGATCTGGTACCCTAGCGAGCTGCAAATTTTTCTAAACAAAGTGAACTCGTCCCTGCAAAGCAGAGGCACCATAGGGACTAAAGTGTGAGTCTATGAAAAGATGTCAAGAAATTATAGCACACGTCTTATCTTCATTTGCGCCTGATCTTCATCTCACATTTCTATTTTGTTATTTTCTCCTTGCCGCGTTCAACTGCTTTTCATGATATTCTCAGAAGAATTTCTGGAAGTAAACTGTTCTAGGCCTCAATTTACAACTTTCGTAGTCATATTTATCATTATTCAGGCGGATGCTTTTGATTTTAGAGATTCAGCGTTTAACAATAATATGCCTGTGTCAACCGCCTATGTTACTTCTGGATAACCCCTTCAAGCTAGGAATCCCGCTTCTCATCTCCGTTATAGCTAGAGATAAATTATAGTGGTATTTGTTTGACATTATGAATCCTCAGGCGCGAGCTTCGATAGCCCTCGCAGCTTTGGGCCGTACTTCATGAACAAAAATGGCACTGGAAGCAACGCTGCAGCAACGGCAGCAATGATTGAAACAGATGGGCCAATTCCCAATGCTCTAACCATGGGCTTAGCCGCCAAGGGAAGCCCAGCAGCCATCAAACTTCGAAGAAAAGTAATCGCTGCCGTTGCACTAGCAGCGTAGACCTTGTAGACATCAATCAAAAAGTTCAGACACTGTTGGAAGATGCAGTTGAATCCTATGCCGATAAATACAGCTGCCAAGCATGGTAAGATCCAATGATGAGGCGGCTCAGCAGTCCACGCAAACCAAAAGAGTCCGGCGACGATAAAGATTGCGCCAAATGCCATAGGAGGAAGCCGTGCTTCGGGTACAGCCTTCCCATTTGCCTCTTTCGAGATACGATTATAGCGGTATTGATTCCAGATGTTGAGACCCACGGAGGATATGACACCAATCAATAATCCCAAGAACGGCAATGAACCGACAAGCCGATTCCAGCCGCGGGCCTCTTGGAATGCAAGAGGGAACACCTCGAGAGTAAGATACATAACACCGTAGACAAATGCGGCATAGAATGCGATACATGTGACAATGGGTTCAGTGATGAGCATCCGCAATGGGCGAGCGAGTTGCTTTGTAAGAACAGATTTGACATCAAGTTTCATATGTTCATGAGGATGATAGAATCTCGGGTCGTTCTGATCCCTTCGAAGTTGCTGTGCTTTACGTTTGAGAAGAACTAGTGGATAGACCTCCGGTAGACAAAAAAAAGTCAAGATAAAAATCACAAAGACCCAGATCGCGTGGATATAAGCGGTCCACCGCCAGCCCATGTCAGGGTTTAGCAGAACCGCTGCGCCTATGACAGGGCCCCAGGGCCGGCCCACCATTGACAGCTACGGCGTAGAGACTGACGGCTGTTCCTCTCGTCTCTTTGCTCCACATATCACCTAGTGCGGCGGTGACGTTACTGATCGGCGCCGAACCGAAGAATCCAGCAAAAAATCTCGTGACGAAGACTGAAGAAGCATCTCTACTCACGCCTGTCCCGATAGAGAAGAGAGCCAAACAAAAGACGGCTGGCAGGATGCTCACTCTTCGGCCCAAAATTTCTGAAAGAGGAGCCCAGATGATAGGACCGAAAACGAACCCAAGTCTGGAAGAAACATTAATGTCATGTTTCAAAGTTGTGCAAAAGACCAACTTACAGATAGAGAGAAACATCCAACACAGCAAGTTCATTGCTCACTCCAGTATACTCGGCGATGGTGTCATCGGCCGGTGTTGTGATGCTCGAACCCAAACTGCCCGCCAAAGCAAGCATACCCAATTGAAAAGTCACCCACCATTTGTACTTTACAGACCAATTCTGGGGATTCAATGGATCGTCGTGGTCCCACTTGACTAGGTATGCGGGATCAAGGGCTGTAGGGCAAGGGGATGGGTTCTTCTCAGGAACCCTCTGAACATTGACAAGACTGCCCTTCGGCCATATTCGCACCATGACCAGGTGACTTTGATGGAACCAAATTCCTGCACAATTTCGTTGGCAACTTGCTATGTGTATATGTTGGAATAATTCTTCATCGGCGCTCGGCGGATCGATACCAATACCGGGGCAGTCCTCGGCAACGTTGGCGTCCAGAGGTCAATGTCGTTCGAGGTTGTCGGTTTTATTGTTGGAATTTTCAGTTTCGACATCTCGGCGATCTTAAACTGCTTGGTAATCCCGAATCCCAACCCCTGGGGCCGCGTGCGAAGCTTTCGGTCTCGGATGTTCGGCAGCGCGCATCGGGTTATCACGCGGGGTTTGGTCGGCAGGAGCCGGCCGCTTTCAGGGATGTTGACTACTGGGCAACATCAACATAGGTGAATGTTAACATCGACTCAAGGCTTCATACATGTATGGAAAGATTATGGTTCTTTCGGATTGCATTTAAGGTTAAGCGCTCTATCTGTCTCAGACCTTGGTTGAAAACTCATTTTAGGTTTGAGATGTTTACATGCTAAGCAACAGGCTGACAATAGGTAAACTTGTAACAAAAACCCCGAAAAAGGTCCCGAAATTGAATTTAACTACATCTGAGATAGTTTCTATGGTAGTTTGCACTTTGGGGTCATGAAGATCCACTATATACATGATGTGGAGGGTATTTTCTTTCGTCAGAGATGTGGAACTCGTCCACTCGCGAGAAGAAGGTTCACGATGCTCATTATACCTTCACCCAGGATGAGGCCAGAAGCTAAAACAACAACGGTAGATGAGGCAGCATCTGCCTTTTCCGAATCTTCCTTGGCTGTCGTAGGCACTGACTGTGCAGAGCGCAATCCAGACGTTGTATCAGCCTGTGTGGAAGAGCCCAGACCATTGCTAGTTCCTGAAGCAACATGGGGATTGGCGCTCGTTTGTGAGTGCTTCTTCGACCACCACCATGCAATAATGCCTCCTATGGCTCTTGCCAAGGTGAACGAAGGGACGTTGAAAATCCCGACGGCCACTGCAATACCACCCGGGATCCACGATCTCCAGGCTGGGGGATGTCCGTTCTGTGAGAAATAAGGGGACGCAGTTGCAATCCTCAATGCCGTGATGATGACCCACACAATTCCAGCAATAGTGGATGCTTGCCAAGCCATATCGGGTAGGCCTTGGCCAGTCACGAGGCGCGCTGTGAAGATCCAGACATACGCAGTGGGGGTCTGGAACATATCGCCCGGTACTTCGTAGACATTCACATATAGTTTATATACAGCAGTTGACAGAACTGCACCCACGAGACTCCCGATCATCTGACCGTAAAATTGAGCCTTGGGGCTCGCGCCAAGAAGGTGGCCAGTCTTCAAGTCCTGCATCATATCACCAGCTTGGAGAGCTCCTGACTCGGACACTGCACCAGCGAGGAGATTCGTCACTAGCGCAGTGCGTCTAGAAAAATGAGATGACGGCGTGGCGAGCGAGAAAAGGAGTTGTGTCAACTTGCTGATACCCGAAACCGGGTTGAGGTCGGTCTCGCCAAGAGCCCGAACTCCCATGATGGACAGGACAACAGCCAGAAGGGTGGCTAGTGTAGAGAGGAAGGGGGAAATGATATCGCCAAATACAATGTGCATGCACGCCACATTTAGCAAAAGAGTCAAGGGAAGGAGAATGACTACTGTGCGAGTTGAGATAAGCTCAGATGGCGGGGCATCCTCCTCTTCCTCCTCACTCGTAGATGCCTCTTGGTGGGTGTTATCATCTTCACGAGACAACGCATGAGATTCAGACTCCAAGGTGGAGTAGTTGATATATGAATGCTGGCTGGAATGCAATCGGAGTGCAATCCATTGTCCAGTACGAGTGGACTGGGCCCAAGCTACCCACCTTGGAGAATACTTCACAATGGGTCTGAGCATCAGCCACCCAAGGCTGACTATAGAGTCAGCAAGCATGATTGCTAAGGATATCCAGACAATCCAGGCTTTGCTGCCATCTTCCCAACTGTCCACTGGGCCGGGAGCCCACCCGCGGCTCTTAGCCAGGGGCGATAAGATACCCCATCCTAGCACAGCCCCAAAGAGCATATGCATGCATGTTGATGGTCCCATGATTATCCCCTGCCCTATATATGCAGGTGAGGGATTGAGAGTCCATAACCAGTTGTGAGCCATGCTCAAACCAAACAGGGGAATATCACGGACGAGAGGGACAAAGTAAGAAAACAATGTCTAACCTTGTTAGCATAGACTTTAACAGAAACCGGGCATTAGAACCAACGCACATATATCCCTGAAACTACGAAAGCTCCAACCAAGAGCCGCATTTTCGATCGCCAATCTTGCTCCTTTGAAGCTTGATCTTCAGCATCAACGTCCTTCAAAAGACCAGTGCCCTCCTGCGAGTCTCCAGAGGGTTCGGTCTCTGCGCTCAAAACTCTAGCATGAGACCTTTCTGGGGCTACAACTTTTTCGTCGCTTCCAGAGCCGTGTAGAACCTTCAGCATCAATGCCGATGCAGTGCCGCTTGGGAATCGCAGCTTCTCTCGGACGATGACCTCTTTCCGCAACGGAACCGCAAAGACAACACCAAACAGGCAGACTCCAAGACTCCATATAACCAGCTTCCAGAAGCTCAGATTCAGAGGCCCGCCCTCACCATCTCCGCCATCGCCCTCAGGTCCGTCCTCACCAGGCTTCATCAGAAACTCTAAAGCAGGTATGACACCAACGAATCCACACCCAAGTGGCATAGTCCCTACTGCACCCGCCACAGTTTGAATCAAGACATTTTCAACAGGTGTGAATGGGAAGGACAAGTGCTTAGACAAAACCTTGAAGACTGAGAAGCCAATCAAGGCCGACGGCATGGCCATTGTACTGATCCATCCTGTCTGCAAGCCAAAGTAGGTGTTTGAAAAGGTTATGAGGGCTCCTATAATCAAACCGACGAGAAGTGAGCGCGGAGTGAAGCTCTGGGGGGACGTGGCGGGAACTCGGCGGTTTAGTGTGGGATCATTAGGCTCATCCGACAACGATGACACCTCCGCTATACGGCGGCTTTGTTCGGAGGCGTTGCCATCCATGCTGATGGTCTGATAATTCATGAATTATGACCGATCAGTCATAGTCAACTGCTGGAGGAAGGAAAAGCACGTCGAAGTCCTATCGGGCTGGGGATGCAGGTCCACTCCAGGGCTGATAAGGGACGCTGAATAATGCAAATTCGCGATAAGATCACCTGACGTCACATTTTCTCCCACGAAACACCTTGTCGACGATATAGGGGATTGGGTTCAGCATTTTGTGTCAGAAACCTCATATGACTACATTCATATGGCACATATTCGTGGGTAACACAGTGGGAGAAAAGGTTGGGAAAGAAATCTCAGGTCTTTCACGAACGAAGACCCCCAGCTCCAATGGCCTATTTCCTGAGACACAATGAAAAAGCAACCAGCCAGTAATCTGATTCTTGTTCATCTGACAATTACAAGGCAACATAGGCGGGAAACATTAACTGTACGGAGTAGGGTTTCATGAACCAGGTAATTGCCTTGAATCGAGGCTTGGCAATCAGCTGGGGTTGCAGGGGAAAATTGACGCTAACGACGGGCGAGATTAAGACATCGGAGTCTAAACCGAAAAAGATCGAGATGGCGGACCCTACATATGACATCGGAGTCTAAACCGAAACAGTACATTTTCATAGCCTTAAGTAGCTTTCCTTGCCTTTGCTCTCTTTGGCCCCTGAAGCTGTTATAAGTATAAGATGCCTTCGTTCTTGATGTTCTCTTGTTCTTGATTATTTACTTTGCTTCTTGTTCTCGATAAATGTACGTCTGATATCCTGCCATGTTGTCCCTCTACTAATTTAAGTCTCAGTTTTTCAAAATGAACAATCAATTGAAGCCTCGCCGGCAACAAGGCAATGACCGCATGGTCAACGGGACCAATGCAGCTGGCGCATCTTCGCTGAAAGGTGACTTCACAAAGGAGCACATCACCGGAGGGTGGCGACCTGGCATGGATCCCAAAGTCGATTATTCTGGTCACTTCGAATTTGGGGGCTCACTGGGCAACTTGGCGCTCATGATCGGCTTCCCCCTCCTGATGTACTATATGTGGATCGGTGCAACGTACTATGATGGGAAGCTCCCTCTCCCCCAAACTGGACAGTCATGGACAGACTTTGGAACACATCTATTCCATCTTGTTCGTTCTGGGGCATTTCCACATTTTAGGGCGTGGCGCATCTACTGGACATACTACATCTTCGAAGCAGCATGTTACGTTCTCATGCCTGGTTTTACTTGCTACGGAAAGCCTCTTCTCCATTTGGGAGGCAAGCAGCTAAGATACCACTGCTCTGCTTATACCAGCTTTTACTTGACAATTTTGGTCATAGCTGTTCTGCATTACACCCGACTGTTCCCAATCTACACCTTCCTGGACGAGTTTGGTCCTCTGCTCTCAGTGGCAATTCTTTCGGGATTTATTTGCAGCTTCATCGCTTACATCTCTGCGTTTATGCGAGGTGCGCAGCATCGGATTACTGGCTACCCCATATACGACTTCTTCATGGGCGCCGAATTGAACCCACGCATATTCGGAATTCTCGACTTCAAGATGTTTTATGAAGTCCGTATCCCATGGTTCATTCTCTTTGGTTTGAGCTTCGCAGCTGCTACCCGTCAGTATGAGCGTTACGGATACGTCTCAGGTGAGGTAATGTTCTTGGTCATGGCGCACTTCCTCTATGCCAATGCATGCAGCAAAGCCGAACATCTTATTACGACGACCTGGGACATGTACCAGGAGAAACTTGGATTCATGTTGACCTTCTGGAACATGGCGGGTGTTCCCTTGTCCTACTGCCACTGCATCCTGTACCTGGCTAATCGCCACCCCTCGACCTATGCTTGGAACAAATGCGCTCTGGCTGTACTTTTTATGTCATACCTCTTTGTTTATTGGGTTTGGGATACCGCGAACAGTCAGAAAAACTCCTTCCGGATGATGGAACGAGGCACATTTGTCAAACGCAAGACATTCCCTCAACTACCTTGGCAGGAGGTATACAACCCTAAAACAATTGTGACCGAGAATGGCGATACCATCCTGGCTGACGGCTGGTATGGGCTAGCTCGCAAGGTCCATTACAGTTGCGATATGTTCTTCGCTCTGTCTTGGGGTTTGATCACTGGCTTTGACAGCCCGTTCCCTTGGTTTTATCCTGTTTTCTTCGCTGTGATGATTGCCCATCGGGCCAGGAGAGATATCATAAAGTGCAGAAATAAATATGGCGAGGCTTGGAAGCAGTACGAGGAACAAGTCCCGTACCTCTTCATTCCGGTAAGAACTTACTACCACATCAAACCAAAGGATTTTACTAACCCCCGACAGTATGTGATTTAGGTTTCCTGAGCATGTCAGTTTTCATCGAATTTCCATTTATATTCGGTGCTTTCATTATAATACAGTTTCAACTCACTATCGAGCTACCAATTAATGCTTCCTTGCCTCTGCATATATACTTAGATTCTAGGCATTTTTTCCCATTTTTCGTGCTCTGTCCTGAATTTTGAAATATCTCCTTCATCTCCAACCTCTTCCAGCTTGAATGTTCTCAATAGCAGACTGAAAATAAGATGAGGCTATTTTTAGAGGTTTTGTTCGAGGTTATATGCCAATCTTCATCCCTGGCCTAAACCTTCTCCTCCCTCGGTGGCTATGCTCACTTATTTCGTACAAGCAATAAATTATATTTTCCTTTCTAACGATCCACACGTGCTGGGGCTCATTTGTAGTATGATCCAATAATGTCTCAAACTTGGGATTCGAGTTGAAGATATATATCCCATCACCAGTTATGCTCGGCTGTTTCTAGATTGAAAAATGGGTTTGCTGGAGAATTCTGCTGCCGACACTGAATGCGAGACTCCAGGACTGTTCTGAATTTAATAATCACAAGACGAGGATTACGATAGATAAACAGAGCTAGCTAGCTGCTCAAGTGTGTAAGTATAAAGCTGATCAATGCCTAGGTGCTAGTAGTACGTGATAAAGATCCACCAGACCAAATCGTCTGACTAATCATCTCACGTGCGGGTGGCCTCGGCTCCCAACAAAAAGGGAGATCTCAAAAGCCATTGATCGGCAGACTCGGCTTAGGGACTCGTCAAGTGTTGCCCAAGGGGGGAATTTTTGCAATCACCATTCTGTGACATACCCTGTCTCTCCTCTATATGTGTATGGGGTTGGTCAAATCTGCATCACACCGTTGTTCTCATCTCTTGACCTATAGACGTACAGGAGTATACCTTAATTACCTCTGATTCCAAAAGCATAGCATCTTCTTTTCTATTTTCTTTGCCATTTGATCGAACCCGAGTCTCTTTTCTTTTCTCCCAGCTCTCTTTCTGGCGTGATTAGATTCCTCTAGCCGTTCCGAGGTTTCATTCCTTCGCGGAGTTCTTTCCTTCGAATGGACAACATGCGCGAGTTACTGGCAGGCGCGATGTCGCTAGCCTCATGGAAGACACTCGCCTTGCTTCTGGCGGTCCTCAATCTGAAAAGTCTCCCATTGATATGGCATGTAAGTGATATTATCCCCAGGGATGGCCGTTGGAATTGGGTTTTTACCACACCCGAAGAGCAGTTATCCTATGCCTTATGTGTTACACGACTGACCAAGTTCCTAGTTCCGTCTGCTGTACCACTTCGTGGGCAATTTGCGTTTAAAACCCAGCGCGCCCTTGTTTCCCAAGGGCAAAGCTATTGTGGACGCTCAAGGCAGACCGACCCACCCAGTCTTCGTGCCATGTATGGTCACGTCCCGCACACCGTTGCTGGAGACTGATTACAATCTGCACAAGTCAAATAGCACATATTTCACAGACCTGGACGTTTCACGTACAGCGCTCGTGAGTCGCATCTACAGCCCTGGCGTGGGCATGGTCAGCAAGGAGCTAGATCAGGAGTTCCTAGCCGCGAGTAAGAAAGACGGCAAGCCTGCCCCAAGGCGCAAGCCTGTGTCAATTGTGCTCGGATCAGTTTACTGCACATTTAAGCGCGAAATCAAGCCGTTTGAACTATATGAGATGCACTCCAAGGTGATTTCTTGGGATAAGAAATGGATGTACATTCTGACTTGCTTCATGCGACCTGCTCGCCGCGGCGGCGAAAAGACGGTGCTTGCTGTGGCTGTGAGCAAGTACGTGGTCAAAAAGGGTCGGTTGACTGTTCCACCGGAACGGCTCCTGCGCGCTAGCGGGTTCCTTCCCGCTCCGCCAGAGAGTGAAGCCAAGACCGCTCTGGCTGACTCCGCCGAGGCTTCTGGCCTTGACACCCCTGGTAGTGGCGATGGTATCACAGCCACTGGAGGTGTTGATGGATCATTGGTTCAAGAGGTGTTGAAAATGAACGACGATCAAATCCCCGGGCAGGAAGTACTTGAGAAGCAGCAGAAGGACAACAATGACTCGTGGAGTTCTAAAGAATGGACATGGGAGCGCATCGATCAAGAAAGGCTGCGGGGCTTGGAGGTTGTGGATGGATATACAACTTTGGATACCAAGCTTTATGATGAATGGGTGCAATAGAATTAAATAATTAACTAGATGTATATACATATTGCATGATCATTCTAAGCTTGATATGACACAATTTCAGAGTGATCCGAGCGCTTTGACCTCAACCTAAGATTAGATCGGGTCCTCTGTACTCCGTAACCCGGGCGATCTTGGCCTTTGTTTTGAGTTTTTGATTTTTGGCTGATATAGAACAAGGAATTTTCTTCTTCTTTTGAATAACTTCAGATATGATACGCATTTGATCTAGTCATTTTATGTAGTAACCATATGCAATTCTACTCTTCAAGTCCACTTGACTAAGGACCACGTGATTGTCCATGCCCGATGGTATCCGAGATTGCCTGGCTCATACAATATTGTATTCATGTATTACTGACAATACAACTATCTTTCTAAGGAACATTTGTCAGCTTTGTCCTAGTATTCGTTTTTGATATGTAATCTTTTGTTTTTATTAAAAAAAGAATTTCTCATTTGACTTGTTTTTCTTGCGTGATCGAAGTTTGTATGCTCGTATTCAGTATTCGATATTATTGGAAAATTATCAAGTAGCGGTATCATAACGTCAAAGTGACAGATCACATAATCCAAATTTACATATTCACGTGACCTCACGACTGAAAGCCTCAAGGTGCTTTGACCAAGGTCTATCCAGACCATTCGTGATAGCCATCTTTTATTCTTTTCATTGCTTTGCAGGCCTCAACTTTGTGCATAAACTTCAGTAACTTGGTGAGTGATTTGTGCCGATTTGCAGTTGCATCGATTTGCGCTTCCCCTGAAGGGAAATCCTTTTAGCCGTCCGAGACCGGATATGATACAAATCATTTCGCGGCTCCTAGGTGTCCAGGCCAAAGTCCACTGATCGGACGATTCCCACCCTTGCCATACTCGGGCTGTGATTTGTCCAATTTCAAGCCCATCATTCCTCACCCTGCTCCCACCTGCCCCTGCCTCCTTTCAGTATCAGGCCATCGTGCACCGGTCCACCTTCGAGCGTCTCCGGCACCTGCATGATTGGTCCACTTTGCTGCTCTTCTTTTTCCATGGAGAACCTAGCGTTGCCTGCGCAGTTTTAATTGGAATGGTCTCCAGGGCTGCTTTAAGCACTTCTGACTACACTCCCTGCAACTTTCCTCGTCATTTCGCCTTCTGACGACAAGTCTATCGCCCATACTTCCGAGGTTAATGGTGACTTACTAAGACTTATTTTCCCACCCAGCCAAAACAAAATCATCCGAAAAGAGCTTATCGCAATCGTTGCAACTACGTCGTACACTCGACAGGGTATCCGACCGCTATCACATCCCAATACTGGTGTTCACAGATCTCAACAAGTCAAATTTCCGCGCCGTTTAAACACTCGTTTCCGGTTTCCCCGACCGCTGGGAAATCCTCCCTTTCCGCCGTCGATCAGCGGTCGCACCAACCGACGACGGCAACCATCATCTCCTAAACGGTCTTTAATAACTTCCCTCGCTCTCGATAATGGCGGCGACTCTCGACTTTTCAGCGGGTGACTCGCTCGCAGGGGGCCCTGTCGTTGACTCCGCCTCCATCACTCCGCCGCACAGCGCCAACGGCAAGAAGGAAGCGCCTGAAGGCGTGCCCGCCGACTTGTCCGACCTTGAGCTTGATCGCCAAACCGCTCCGGTGCCTGAAACAACTCAGATCAAGCAGGAAGAAATAGAGGAGGAGATTGAAGACATCGAAGACATTGGAGACATTGAGCCCGATCATTACTATGGCGGCGGCAAGATCCCAGTCTTCAAGCCTGTGAGTGCAACGCATATGCTCTGGCTCCGGGTTCATTCGGAGATGGAGAGCTCGGTGTCTTCGTCGGACTCGGCAGGCCACGATTGAGAGTTTAACTAACAGGGTATCACTCTAGACAATGGACCAATTCCGAGACTTCCAGGCCTTTATCAAAAAAATTGATAAGTACGGAATGCAGACAGGCATCGTGAAGGTTGTTCCTCCAAAAGAATGGTGAGTACATTGAAATACCGATTTGTCTGGATGGCTGTGCTCATTCTGTCCTTTCTCCAAAGGTCCGAATCACTCCCTCCGCTGGACGAGCAAGTCAAAAAGATACGTGTGAAGAACCCTATCATGCAGGAGTTCCACGGTTCGCATGGTACATACACCCAAGCCAATATCGAACGCCAACGCTCGTACAACCTTCCTCAGTGGAAGGGACTGTGTGAAGAAAGCAGCCATCAACCCCCTGCCCGCAGAGGCGAAAGACGTCGCAACCAAGAGCGCGTAAATCGTGCGGCTCCGACACCACGCCCCCAATCGGCTCGCCCAGAAGGTCAAAAGCGCCGGCCTGGTCGTCCCCCAAAGCGGACGAATCAGGTCAAGATCAAAGAGGAACCTCCTGCCGATGACGCCGAAAAGTCCAGACTGGAAGGACCTCCTACGCCTGTATCACCCGAAACAAACCCTGTTCGTACCAAGACCGAGGATCTCAGCGAGGGCGAATCTCTGCCGCCTACGAAGCCAAAGGGACGTCAACCAAAGTCTGTGACCTCACGCCGTAAAAATAACCGAGGCGATAACACAGAACAAATCGACGAAGAGGCGTACACGGGCTTCGATTATCGAATCCACGACAACGAAGACTACACTGCAGAACGATGCGAGGAGTTGGAAACCAACTACTGGAAGTCACTCATGTACAACAACCCAATGTACGGTGCTGACATGCCCGGCTCGCTTTTCGAGGATGGCACGGAAATCTGGAACGTCGCCAAATTACCAAACTTGCTCGATGTTATCGGCCAAAAGGTTCCTGGCGTTAACACCGCCTACCTCTATCTCGGCATGTGGAAGGCCACCTTCGCTTGGCACCTTGAGGATGTTGATCTCTACAGCATCAATTACATCCACTTTGGTGCCCCCAAGCAGTGGTACAGTATCTCACAAGAGGATGCCCCTCGTTTTGAACAAGCCATGCGCAGCATCTGGTCTAGCGATGCCAAGAACTGCGACCAGTTCCTTCGCCATAAGACATATCTTGTCTCACCCAGTCTCCTCAAATCACAATACGGCATCACTGTCAACCGATTGGTCCACTACGAAGGAGAGTTTGTGATCACTTTCCCCTACGGTTACCATTCCGGTTACAATATTGGCTACAACTGCGCAGAATCCGTCAATTTCGCCACCGAGCAGTGGTTGGACTATGCCCGCATCGCCAAAAAATGCCATTGCGAAGCCGACAGTGTCTGGATCGATGTGGACGAGATTGAGCGCAAGTTACGGGGCGAGTGTACACCGGAATACTATGGTGAATTCGAAAGCGAATTTGACGGGTTTGAAGGCGCTTCAGATCTTCTTACACCGCCACGCAGTGTGCCCGAGAAAACTTCCACCCGTGGCCGAAAACGGAAGAACCCGGGCGACGGGCCGAGCACCAAACGACCCAAACTCCACCCTGACGGACCGCGCAAGCTGCCTTGTTTGCTGTGCCCTAATAACCTTGAGTATGAGGATCTGCTCCCAACCGAAGATGGCAAAGGTCATGCGCATAGACGATGTGCATCATTCATTGAAGAGACCACAATCCTGCGCGATGCTTCTGGCACAGAGGTTGTGTGCGACATTGACAAGATTCCCAAAGCTCGTTTGGGTCTTAAATGCTTATTTTGCCGGGAGGTTCGCGGTGCCTGCTTCCAATGCAATTTTGGTAAATGCACCCGTGCTTATCATGCCACCTGTGCCCTGCTGGCTGGAGTTCAAGTTGAACACGGCGCGATTGCGGTGATTGTCGAGGATGGCACTCAGTACTCAATTCCGAGTGTCGATTTGAAATGCAAATTCCATCGTCAAAAGCGGTTGGCTGGAACCCTGGGCGAATCATCTGATGTCGATCGCCGTGTAATTGAAACAGCTCGTCACCTGGTTCAAGGCAATTTGGTCCAATTCCAAGCCGACAAGGAGATCAATGGTGCAATTGTCATTGAGAATCGTCACTCAGAACGAACTCTTGTGTTGAAGGTGCTCCCAAGAGGGTAAGTCGATCTTGTTTTGCTTGATTTCCTTAATTTCCCATTTTTGTTTCAAATTTTCGGATCCGGACCGACGCTAATGTAAAACCTGCAGAGATGTGATTGAAATGCCATATCGTTGGATGCTGGTAGTTCGAAAGAGCAACTTCGCACCTCTGGGACTTGGAATTCAACCCCTCCCAGCACATCTAGCGCGAAAACCCGAACAACGAAAGGAGTTAGAATCAGCAGTACCCGCGGCAGGTAGTGCATTTGGTGATGCCCGATCTCCCTATCAGTGGGCCGAATTTGAGACGGTGGATGCAACTAGGAACCAATTCGCCCCACTTTGTTTGGTCAATCTCGACAAGGGCGAACAAATGTGGTATTATTTGGGCACACAGTCCACCGAGAGTAGGGCACAATATACTCACAACCCTACTGTGTCCATCCACAACCCTCGGGCCAATTTCCTGGACAGCGTCAAGTCGCTTGGCGTCAATGTCACGACGAAGATCTCACCCCACCACTTTCATTATGCTCCCACCGCCCCTGCCCCTCACCAAAATCTTTACAAACAATTGAATGTTAACACCCCTCACCTACTATCCCGACCGCCCTCTTCTGCCTTGCAGCATCTCGCCCCTCCCCCTCCCCCTATTCCTGCCGGTGCTGCTGCTGCTGCTGTAGCTCCTGCGATGCCGTCGGCCTTTCGAACTCTACCCAATCAGTCTGCCCGTCATGCCCCCTATCCTTCGGTCGCCAAGTCGCACGCTCAGCAGCAGCATCACCTCCCATCCACCAATACCTTTGCCAATGTCCGAGAACTTATCGCCCGTCGCCGCCTAGCACAGATTACCGACCATGCCAATGTCTTTGCAGGATACAGCATCGTCAGTCCCGAAATGGTGGTAGAGACCCTACTGGGTCCCATGGGATCAATACCACCAGCCAATGGTCTGGAAAAACTTGAGTTAGCCATGGCTCAGCAACGGGTGCAGCCGCGGGCTGCGGACGGTACATTGTTACCGCCACAGACCTTAAATATGCGGTCGGAAGAGGTCACTCGGCTCCTTCAGATGCTCCGCTTTTCGCTGGTGAGTCACCGCGAGCGACTCGATGTGATTCAAAAGAAGGAGTCAGAGGGCATCAAACAGGAAACTGTGGATCGAGGTAGCATAGCGGCCGCCAAGATGCCTGGAAAATATGCCTACCTTGATCAACAGCGGTCCCTCGCCCCCAATGTTTATCAGTCTCCTTACAACATGCCATCGGGCCTATCCGAATATGCCAAGACTACTTACGGATTGCTTCCGGCAGCGGATGAACCACCCAAATCCTCCCTGGCGAACGACTTCTTTAACAGTTTGTCCCATGAACACCAGGAAAAAATTCTGAAGTCTTGCGGTAGCTTCGTGCAACGTGCAATCCAACGATCTGCCACTCATAGTCGACAAAGCTCTACTGGATCAAATCTCCGACTGTCCGCAGCCCTGGCACAGCAGACGGAAAATCCGACCATCGATATTACACCGGTTGAGGATCCACCCCTTCTTTCGGGTCTCGACATGCCGCTTCACGCAGATTCTCCGTGCTCCAGTTTTGGCCGGTCGCATCTTCGATTCCAGTCGCCCAATGAGTTCCCCATGCACGGCCCCGACCCACACCCGGACCACCATGATCTCTTCGGAGACCAGCAAGCGAATACTCGATTCTGGCAAAATGGGCCATGGGTCGGCGGGGATGGCAATACTCCAAACGACGAGAACCGACCGTTCTTCGGGCCTCATATTTTCGGACCGCATGAACGCCTCAAGCATGACTATGCCTCCTCCGACATTTCCCTCGGCAAGGGACCTGGATCCTTGCACTCTGTCGACATGGCTGGCTTCGGTCCTGACAATGAGGATCTCGGACTGAGCCCATAGATCGACCTTGTCACCTTTTTTTCACCTCACGTTTACTTCCTGCGACTGTACTTGCATATTCCATGTAACGACTTCACCGGCTCCACGACTCTGCATGAATGGGCGTTTTCTTGTTTTTTGTTTTCTCAGTTCCCCTTCCGACCTCGACTGACGATCTTTTCGTCACCACGGGTCATGTTTCTTTACGATTTGGAGTTGGCACTAGCTGGCTGGTCACGACTCAGCGCATTTTCATTTCTTTCGATCATTATTTTCCTCTTTCGAGGCGCGACTCCCGACTCTCGTTCGGAGAAGACAGACTGGAGTGGCCACATAGACGGAGTTCCAACTTGCACGGTTCCTTTGCGACCGAAAAAGCCTCCCAGCCTTTTACCATCTCTCTATCTCATTCATGGCCTTCGCCCCTTCAACATCCGGGCCTACTTCCGCCCACCCTCACTGATCCTGAGGTCACCCCCTTGTCCCATTAGATATCTGATCAAACAAGAAAAAAATTTCTTTTCTTCGAACCCCAGCGAGATCACTGGTTCACCTTTGTGCTTTATCCCCCCCTTTGATACCCCCCTTTACCCCCAAACCCACCCTCCCGAGAACTCTTCTGAGGAAGTGTGCGGATCCGTGGAAATGTGTTTTCCCGCTTCCGGTTGATATATCCATCCTGGCGCTCATCGATTGCTCAGCTCCCTGAATATTCGTGGAGTCTTCGCAGCATGTTCCTGATGTGGCAGCCGTCACCTCGTGTGACCTTGATGTATGTGTGCAATGAATCATTTAAATATCCTGTTCTTTTCGTAGATACTCTCATTCAAGATTTACCTAGATGCATAGTTACATGTATATCACTTTAAGTCTCAAACTGAGTCATGATCGAAGGAAGGCCAAGATCCCGGCAGATTCACACCCCTTGGACATAACAATTATCTCTATTCTCAATTTCAAGCATCTGCTGCAACCCAACTTGCCCCACAAGTGGTATCCTCATACCAGCCCCCGCAATCTACTATCCATATCTCGAGCCGAAACCCTCCGCGTTTGAACCGAAGCCAGTGATTCAAATGCAGGCGTCTCAGATCTTCTCATCAGATGATAACTGCATCTGTATAAGAGTTGTTCGTAATCTTCTCAGTCAATACATATACGGTCACGTTCTTTCTATATTATTGGAACGTTCTTCTGGAGGTCACCCTTTGAGCCAAGATATGATTTGGTTCAGGAAACCCCACTGTTGATCTTCATATGATGTCAAGCCTTGTAGCCGGGGAGGATCTCCGGCTTGCAAGATTGTGTATTGTAGACTGGTATGTGGTTTTGCTACGAATACTCCTGTTCTTTTTGTTTTCAACAGACAGTTTTAATTCCGAGTGACTTGGCTAGGATCACCAGTATCTATATGAGGAATATACATTCATTAAGGGATTATGGAATTATTAATCGCGGTCTTTTACCTGGATAAACCTTATCATCAGCGGTCCTAGATATGAACCATGTCGATCTAGGCGGTTCTCGTTTGAATTGACTTTGGATCCGGATTACACCACGTGGACTTTAGACTTAAAAGAGTCTATCTATTGATCCCATACTCAGGTATGTATCATAATATGATCTTATGCCGATGGGTTCTTTATCTTTGAATCCAAGGATCATGAATACATAGTTATTTACTCCGTAAGGTAACTACAATACATAGGTAAGGGGAAAGTGGATCAATTGCCCGTGTCTTATCGGGGTATACTATTAGGTCACGGTAAGACATTTGACTGAAATTGCTTAGGGGTGACCACGAGACTATGATAAGAGTCGATTGCCCTGCCAAATTCCCTCCCTCACTGCCTATCATTGGTATTACTCTTTCGCCTCAACTCTCATTTGCGCGGTCTCGGACCGCGCCATGTATTTCATGCGGGGTTGCATTCTGCCTTAAACCTTATATACCTGCACTTGATAAACGTCTTCTGCCCACAGGTGTATTGCTTCACACATGCTTCACACATCCAATTGACCATGCGATCCTCGACAGATGGCACCGCCGACGAGGCGTTGGCCGCTATGGGCTACAAGAGTGAATTACCTCGAAATTTAAGCATGATGAGCATCCTCGGTCTATCCTTCGCTATTATGGCTGCCCCCTTCGGTCTCAGCACAACCCTCTACATTACCCTCGCGGATGGCCTCTCCGTGACAATCATCTGGGGCTGGGTTTTCGTCACCCTAATCTCAATCGCTATCGCCGCCTCGCTCGCTGAGATTTGTGCCGTATACCCAACTGCCGGAGGCGTATATTATTGGAGCGCGATGCTCTCCACGCGTCGCTGGGCACCGCTAATGTCCTTCATCGACGGCTGGCTAACCCTCGTTGGTAATTGGACCGTCACGCTGAGCATCATCTTCTCCGGCGGCCAGCTGATCCTCAGCGCAATCTCAATATTCGACGAGAGCTTCGTCGCAAATGCCTGGCAGACCGTGCTGATGTTCTGGGCCGTGATGCTCTTCTGCGCCCTCGTCAACATCTTCTTCTCCCGTTACCTCGACCTAATAAACAAAGTCTGTATCTTCTGGACGGCAGGCAGCGTGATCATCATCCTCGTCACCCTCCTTACAATGGCAGACGACCGCCGAGATGCCGAGTTCGTCTTCGCCCACTACGATGCCTCATCCAGCGGCTGGCCCGATGGCTGGGCCTTCTTTGTCGGCCTGCTACAGGCAGCTTACACCCTAACCGGCTACGGAATGGTCGCAGCCATGTGCGAAGAAGTGCAAAACCCCCACCGTGAAGTCCCCAAAGCAATCGTCCTCTCGGTCGTAGCAGCCGGCATCACCGGTCTCTTCTACCTGATCCCGATCCTTTTCGTGATGCCCAACGTGCAGATGCTCCGCGACGTCGCGAGCGGCCAGCCTATCGGCCTGCTCTTCAAGACCGTGACCGGATCCGCGGGCGGCGGCTTCGGTCTGCTTTTCTTGATTCTGGGAATCATGCTTTTTGCCGGCATTGGGTCTCTCACCGCAGCGAGTCGCTGCACGTACGCGTTCGCCCGCGACGGCGCAATCCCGGGCTTCAGGCTCTGGCGAAAAGTGAACAAGAAGCTGGACGTGCCGGTCTGGGCGATTGTTTTGTCGGCTGTCGTTGATGGACTCTTGGGCCTGATCTATTTCGGATCCACCGCTGCGTTCAATTCATTCACGGGCGTCGCTACGATTTGTCTATCGGCTTCGTACGGTCTTCCGATTCTTATCTCTTTGGTTCGTGGTCGGCGCGACGTGAAGGGGTCTTCTTTTTCTGTTGGTCGGTTCGGGTTCGCAATTAACTGTATTACTATTGCGTGGATTGTTCTTGCGATCGCTCTCTTCTGTATGCCTGTAACGTTGCCGGTTACCCCCGAGTCGATGAATTATGCCAGTGTTGTTTTCGCTGGATTTGGTGGTATCAGTGTCTTGTGGTACTTTGTCTATGCCCGGAAACACTTTACTGGGCCCCCGGTTAGTGGTGATGAGGCTCGCGCTGCTACAGAGCTTATTACAGGCACAGTGGTGGATGCCGAGAACTCACTCGACATGGTTAAGAAGATGCCGAGCGAGTAGTCTGTATATTATTTTTTAGCTTGTTTTTCTAAATAAATTAAATGATTGCCTTTTTCAAGACTGTGTACACGGAAATTGGAGTCGAGTTCGCGGAGAATCACAGGTGCCCTGACGATCTCCCCGAGAGCCGCGGTCCAACACGCCACTTTGCCGTGATAGGCACGAGACGAATTTCAACGTCGGTCTTGTTTTTTTCTCTCTCTTCGGCATATGATTGGAGTCCCCTCAATATACAATAGACTCCATTTTCACTTCCAATCCGGGGAAAAAGCCAAGCCGAGCGCCCGGGGAAAATCGCAGCTTTCCCGATAACGAAGGGGAACTCCCTATCAACAAGCCCCCCTTGCCATTCCAGCTCCCAGCGTCTCCCACAGCTCGAATCCTGCGATACATACATCCCGACATCAAACTCGCTCTCCATGAGGTCAACCCGCGCAAGCCGATGCCCAACCCCGCTTCCATGAAAGGGCACCCCGGAACTCTTATCGCACCATGTCGGACTCTGTAGGTGCGTACATGCACCCTCCCTGCTTCGCCCGCCCACTGACACCTTGACACCGCAGATCGGGTCTTCGTTCATGCCCTCAATACCGTTAAGAGGATTCCCCGGAGCGGCACCGCGCGACCTCCCTCCGCCGAGCGGCTAAAGCTATATGGCTTGTATAAACAGAGCATGGGTGAGTGGGAAATACGAAGCCCGCGGGAATAATAGAGCTAATACAGCACTAGAGGGGGATGTGGAGGGTGTCATGGATCGACCGATCGGGAACACACCGGAGGTGCACGCAGAGTGCGAGAAATGGTATGTCGAATGCCGATCCCAGGCCCTCTACATCCACACCCCATACTAACGGACTACAGGGATGCATGGTATGCACAGCGCGACTTATCGCGCACCGAAGCCAAACGCCAGTATATCGGCACGCTCATCGAGACAATGCACGAATACGCGTCACAAACAGCCGAGGCACGGGAACTCGTCGCGGAGCTCGAGTTCGTCTGGGACCAAATAAAATTCAACGCTTCGTCCTCGTCCTCCTCGAGCCCGCTTAATACCGTCGGTGTCCCGCCGCTATCACGCAGTGCCTATGGGAGTATCGGGGGTCGCTTGGCGCAGTCTGAAGAATACGAGAGGCCGCGCCGGACGGCCGGGGATCGCGATTCCAGACTGCGGGTTCTGAGCCCTGTCAGCCAGCCCGAGGAAGAGTCTTATCAGAACGATCGGGGTGAGGACGAAGATGAAGACGAGGAGTTCGAAGAAGCGCGTGATAGTCTATATGAGCATGACGACGCGGACGCAGATGCCAGCACAACAAACACAAACACAAACACGAATACGCACACCGATGTCTCGCGGCCGAAACTCCGGCGCAACCCTGTTTCCGGGATGAGTATTGACAGCGGCGGGACGGGTCTGCGTGGCTCGCACTCGCACGCTCATTCGCAGTCACATTCCCAGTCTGGCATCCCGGGGCCGAAGGATAGTCGATGGCGGCGACGCGTTGAGCAAGCGTTGACGAAAATGACGGCGGAGATTGCGGCCGTGCGAGAGCAGATGGAGGCGCGGACTGTCGCGCAGCGGAGGCGCAATGGGCTGTGGGCTTGGGTGAAGTGGATGGTTTGGGTTGCTGTGCGGCAGATTCTGGTTGATATTGCTATGCTGGGCATGCTTTTGATCTGGATGCGGCTGAGGGGGGATCGAAGGGTTGAAGATCGGCTTAAGACTGGTTGGGCGGCTGTTAAAGGGAGGCTTGGGAGGGTTAGGGGCATTCAGTTGAAGAGGATGCCTATCTTGCCTTGATGGCTTTTCTGTTCTTTTCTTGGCCTTTGATCTTTGTTGATGGTCTGCTTGGGTCTCTCCTTTTCTTTCGCTTCTTTTGCATGCATTTTTTTGGCTTCATGGCTATTCCCTCACTCTGCTCTACATGCTTTGGTGTCCTTGGATTACTTACCTTTCTTGTTTCTATTTTTTCTATCTTTCCTTTGTCCAGTATATATGGGTTTCAATTTCAGGTTGGGAGTTCTTCTTCTTTTCCTTTTGCACTTCTATCTGGCTTGTTTCTTGTTTGGGGTGTGCTTTGTGTCTTGGGGCAGGCCTCATGTTGGCAGAGGTGGTAATCAAAAGGGAACGCATGAGTTTGTTTCCTTTCCTGGGAACAGGCATATATCAGATTAGATGGATGGTGTAATGTCGGACTTCATGCGAGTTATGCTTAGAAGTACAGTTTAGATCATCATAGATTCCTATCTGTTACTCTTTTCTCTAAAGTCGTTCAGTATGGTTCTTGATCATTTATTTGATTTATATTATATAGAACTGGCCAAGTTCCAAAGCGCCAACGAACAACCAACGATCTGCTTCAATATATCTGCCGGTATAGCTCTCAAGATTATAGGACCACTATTACTCCCCGTTATATATCGTATCATGATAAATACGGCCCGCCAAAACAACATGTCCGTCACCAGCAACTCGATATCTCACTGTCGCTCAAAAGACCAATCAATTTCCCAAGATGAATCATCGGCCGAGGTTGCGATATCCCTTGCAGTAAACGGCAAAGTCAAAGCGTCACTCTCCGTGGAGTAATAGCCATTACCAAAGCTATATGGAACACCTGCGTAGGTGAAGGTAGAAAAGTCCACAGTCGAGCTATAAGACAGGGTATTATGCCCAGCATGCGTCAGGCTCGCAGAAACCATAGTGGCCACCAAAGCCACAAATAGTATCGTAAAGGGAACCCGGGCCAAGGCAAGCAAAGCTGGCGCAGCAGAAACCGCCGATGAGGTAGGCTTCGCATGAGAGGCAGTTGTAGTTTGAGTTGCGTTTTTGGTCAAGTTCTTCCCGAAGTCAGAGCCAACCCAAGCATTCCAGTTCTGAATATCATCCAGGCACGAATTCGAGATCGATGCGCCGCGCATTTCAGCAATGGCCTTCCCTCTCCGCGAAACGGTCACTACAACTTGACCAGTATTGCCATCGAACGGTACACTTCCATGGTACAGACCGGTCTGGCCAGTGGGCTTGTTCTTCCATTTCCCATCTTGTGTAACTCCTCCAATATCGACCACTACATCTACAGCGGCCGAAGAGTGGAGAAGGGCAGAGTAGAACACTTCGTCTAACAAGACATCCGTGGGCGGGATTAATTTCTGCCCATGCGTTTCGGTATTGCCCATTGTACCACCATTCGTGCAAGCCTTGCCGGGCGCCTGACGAAACCAAGCAGTGACACCCTCGGATTTAATGTTCGAGTTGCCAGTCTTATACAACTCAATGATGAAAGGAAGGAAGTCTCGCCAGCCATCATGGGGGTAATCAGCAGCATAGTTGTAGCTTGCATTGCCAATCTCAAAGGTCGCATAGGCATCGTCATGCAGCGGGCCGATATAGTGCGACTCGCCGTAATCGTTCCACGAGATTATCTCTACAAATTCCGGCTTTAATGATAGCACTTGTTGCCATCGGTCGTACCACAGGTTATCGCCATTCCAGATCCAGTTCTTATCGTAGCCTGGCAGATTGGTGTAGAACCATGGTGAGACGGGCATCATGTAGGGTAGGTCACCCGCGTCTTTGAGCCATTGCATATATGTCGAGTCAATGTAGGTGTTTATAGGGTCTGAGCCCTCGGGCCATGCTGCCCAGGAGAATAGCCCGTCAGGAACGCCCGGGGCAACTGCCAGTGCTTCCTTTGCTCCTAAGCCTGACCAGCCTGGCACAAAGAAGCAATCTGCATACTTCTTGATTGTGGACCAGTCGGTGGCGTTTGCAGAGCCCTCAAATGTTGAGACGAAAGGCTTGCCTTTGTGTTGATAGTATGCTGGATTGTCTTTGTATCTGTTGATTATGGCAATGACATCGCCCTCGGGCCAGGCGCCGTTCCCTACGTAGTCGAAGGAGAATAAGAGTTTGAAGTGCAGCGTGTTCGCCGCTTTGAAAGCATTTTCGAGGGAGCGGTTGTTTGTTGGAAAATTGTACGCGAGGTTCAGCGCGAAGGCATCCAGGTGGGCCTTCTGAGCCTCGGCGATGTTTATCTCCCAGTCATAGAGAGTAAAGTTTTCCGAATTATATACCTGAGCAATATATGTCAGTGGATGGAAGATATAAACAGGTTGGAGGCGATACCATGAAATGTGCAAACACGGCCGCTGCTTGAACATGGTGAACTATCTTCCATAATGATAGAATAAAGAGTATTGTTGGTGGTTTCATAGCGACTGAGATGCTAGGTTTCGACTATAGACGCAAGTGACACGAAAAGATGGGAAATCATGAATCACAAGGGAACCAAGGGTGGCTCTTGTATGAATATGTACTAATTTACTGTTGCACACATGCACGGAACCCCATGGAGAGTTAGATACCTGTTGTATGCCTCTGGTAGTTCTTGTTTGTCTACGGATGGGTCTATAGATAGATGCCGGAGGTCCGTCATTGGTACATCGGGATCCAACCGTTTTGCGCTACCCCTACTACATGCTTTCGTATAACTTACATAGTTTAACTATGCTGAAATGTTTTTTTGTATGTTCCGAGTTGGATACTTCACTTACTCTGCCAGAGTTGTTGATCGCGATGGATATAGCAAATTACTACCGAAAGGTACATGAGATATGTTTCAGCTCAATCACAAATCTAGTTACACTAGTAATCGGAAGCTCGGGAATAGGGCTTGATTCCTCATCTGAATCAGCCGGCTGAATCCCTGCACCCGTGTCAGGTGAAAAAAGATGTGAGATATGGACTGATCCGGGGTATAAAACGTTTTTGATTTGCCATTTCAATCTCGACTTTGCAGAAGGCTTGAGCTATCGAGCTAAGAACAGTATCTTAGGCCGGATCAGGATATGTTTAGAGTAGTATGGTTATACCGTGCTTACCTTGATACATCTAGCCATGCCGAGGCTACGAAGCCTGGATCAATGCCAGAGTTAATATCTTGGATGGCAGTCAAAACATTGGCCGACGGTGATAGATGTTCTCGTTGGCTAAAGCCATCCTTGTATGTTGAGATCATCGTGGAGATAAACCGATTTATCGTTTCTTAGCTTGCGTTCTGATATGTTTCGGTTTGATGCGAAGGGACGCTGTTGCACGGCTAAGCGCAGAAGCCTGCTGGCCTCGGACAGTCGTGCACCGGCTAACATGGCTAGTGGCAGAAAGAAGAGCACAACTCTTGATAGCAAGATATGTACAAACAACGAGAATGAATGCCTAAATTATTGGACCGTTGTGTTTCAGCAGTGAGACTCGGTGTGTGGCCTTTGACCTCGACCCGGAATATCCTCCACAAGTGGTAGGAGATGGTAAATCCTAGCAGGCAGAAATGCATGCATAGTAATATCCGCCTAGCACGAAGCACATCTTAAGTTATAACAACCATGAATCAAGCCACACGCATAGCTGACTGTTGGCAGAATCCGAAGCTTTGAACCCCGATCCATGCCGTGCGCTTTTGAGCAGTCTCACAAGGAGGGGAAGATAACGCGTACCAAAAGAGAGAAAATCGTCCGCATATTATTTTGTGGACAAAAGAGGGATTTGGAGATTGCAGAAAATCATGTAACCATTCATGATGCCGGGAGATATTTACACAAACATGGACCATTTTAACGGTCGAGCATCCAAACAAAACAGTGATATAGGAAAACGACAAAGCCCAGATTATGAGAGAGAAATGTGTGGGTGTAATCAAGGCCAGTCTAAAGAGGATAAGTGAGGCCGAGGGAGTGTTTACCACTGGGGTCCGGGGTACTGAGCGTATTTTTGCTTGGGGCGCAGGTGAACAGGGACCTGGTTCTCAGGAGCACCTGGGAGGGTTTTCTTCAAGCCCTACAAGGAACAAAAAAAAAACAGTATGTCAGCTATAGTCCTAAATGATGGCGAATGCAATTGATGCAGGATTGTAACCATCGAATACAGGAGCGCGGATCTCATACCAATTTGTCAAAGACACAGTTGTTGAGTTGCATCTCGGCCCTGCGGCACTCCCACAATTGGTGGTTGTTGTTCTCGAGGCACTCCCAGTGGGCCTTGAACTGGTCCAGGCAGTGGGTGTTGATGTCCTTGATACTGCGACAGGTCAATATTTCCGGCTCAATTGAACATGAATTCGCGATATGCGGAAACTTACACGCTAGCGGCACAACGCGTCACCTTCCGGCCCTCCTTCAAGCAGTCGATCTCCCCGCGGCCGTTGGACTCGTCCTTGCACTTCATGAAGTCATCGTTGAAGGCCTTGCACCGGTCTCCGATGAAGTAGGCCGCGCTCATGAGAGGCGCAGATGTGGCACCGATTTCTTCCACCTTGGGGATGTGGTCGGGCATGGGGGTGGTGTCCACCAGGACAGTCTGGCTGAAGCTGTGCGCAGAGGGATGGATGTCAGTATTCCACGTGGAGTTTGACGGGGATTAAATGGGTATGAATAAAGTTCATACCGGGCTTCTCGGTTAGACATGGCGACGGTAGCTTGTCGGAACGACTGTGAGGGGAAAGAGATGCAATTGAGGCAAGACTTGGAGATCAAGAGCTGCGGGCTGCGATGGAATGAAAGGTCGGTTTCTTTGACTCGATGCTGATTGGCTGAGAATTATTGATTATGTCATCTTTTCAAGAAGGCTCGAGGTATAAAATACGAAAATGAGAGTCGACAATGTCTGGAGAACATATGAATGCAGAAAAGATAGACTGCCGATCAAAATAAAGAGGCAAAGTCTACTGAGAATAAATCAATTGTTCTTTAGAACCATTTTCAATAGACAACGAAATTGAAGGCGTGCAGAATTTCCATCACGTGACCAAAAACAAAGTGAGCTTTGGATCTCATCTTGCTCGGCCCAAGAGCTCCATCCAGGAACCCCTCAGCTTTTTGACTTGCACCACCTCACCCCCTTGGAGTATGCAATTTGAGTCTGCCATCAAATCAACTCAGTGCTTTTGATTTGATCGCGCCGGCTCCCTGTGAAGCCATTGACGCGCTTACACTCCGTGCTCTCTATTTTTTTTCCCTCGGAATCACCTCGCCCGTACTGTTCGCCCAGCATGTCGACTCTCTTCGGCGCAAGCCAGCCCCAGGCAACCTCTTCACTATTTGGCAATAATGCGAACAAGCCAAGTCCCTTTGGTGCCCCGGCAGCACCAGCCCAGCCCACCAGCTCTCTGTTCGGCGGAACACAAAACCAATCATCGACAGGAACTGGAATGTTCGGCGCAGGTGCTCCCAGCACCAATGCCAACCAACAGCAAACTGGAAGTCTATTTGGTGGTGCGCAGCCACTACAGCAGCAGCAGCAGCAGCAGCAACAGCAACCATCGACCGCGACCGGAGGATTATTCGGGGGTGTCAATTCCAATAACCAACAGCAGAGCAGTGTCTTTGGTGGACAACAGCAGCAGGCGCAGCAACCGCAGCAATCCCAATTCGGCCAAACTACGATGGCAACACCACAATCTCAGCAGCAGCAGCAGCCTTCCCTCTCATCAAGTCTTTGGTCTCCCGGCCGTGCGATAACTGGAGGTGAGGACATCTCGTTTGTTTGCATTGCAAAACATTACTGACGAAATCTGTTTCCAGTGCATCGAACTGTCCCTATGCAAGTTGCTATTATCAAGGATAAATGGGACCCGCCGAGCCAGACATCTCCATTCCGAGCTTATTTGTATAACAATGTTGGTGAGGAGGCCGCGCCGTTCTACCAACCTGGCCCCGAGGATGACGAATCTAAATGGGAGGAGGCATTGCGCAAACGTCCGGGCCCAGGGTATGTTCCTGTGCTCGTCAAGGGCTTCTGGGATCTCGGCAAGCGCGCCCAGCGACAAAGGGATTTCCTCACTATGATGCAGTCGCGCCTGCATGAGATCAATAACTGCCTGACTGGACTCCTCTCGAAGCACGACCTCAACATTTCTGTTAAGATCGCCGACTGTCGTCGAAAGCACATGATTCTGAGCAAGCGGTGCCTCGCGCTTGCCGCGAAGACACAAATTCTTCGCAACCGAGGCTACGCCATGGATGAAGCCGAGGAGGAGTTGAAGAAGAAGCTGTTCGACCTGGAACGTGATGTGTTCGACCCATCTCTCAATGGTCGCGCCGAAGAAATTTGGGCCCGTATGCTGGCTATCCACGAGCACTCTAAGCGACTACAAGTAGAGTTGGACCGTGCCGGCGTGAACGTGACGCAGGCAGACGATGAAATTGACGAGCAGACATTGAAGACAGCGAAGAAGGTTGGTCCCTCTCGGGTTTATGTTACACCTTCTGAACAGTCCACTAACAATATTCTGCAGATCCTAGATGACTACCACTCCCAGATCCAACATCTGCAGAAGGAGATGGAGTCAATCAAAAGTGACTTCGCGGAGACTGAGAAGGCCATTGGGCATTAAACTGCTATAACACTCTGCCATTCGAATCTCAACTTTCTACACATTTCTGGACTTGACGTCCACGGTCATCGGGGTACTGGCGTTCTTGGGGACTGGGTCACTGTAATGCATATTTGAATACTATCATCTTCACTGAATACTCTATAAGTTCTTATCCTTTCACGGTTCTCATACTTTAATATATTGCAATTTCTTGATTTGCTCTATATCCACGAACCTCAAACTACAAAAAAGATATACAATAGTAATACATATCCCAACCGTCACTATCAAACAGATTCAAATGGTACAATTTTAGACTTAGATGAGTTTCGAGAGCCTTCCATCCATCGCGTTGCCCATAACACCAAATTTTGGCTAAACTATAGGCCAATCAAGGGAAAGTATCAATTATCCAATATGCACCACATCGCGAAATCATAACCAGCGATCACAACCCGAGAAATGCAAGAAAACGGAGGGATTGGAAACGGGTCAACCGTTTAAAGGAACTTGCGAACGAAGTCGACGGCGAAGGGGGCTATAGATGCAATAGAGGATCAGTCTCCAGATTTCAAATGTATCCTTGTTGTGCGCGTCCCAAGTTGTGTGCTCAGAAGCTCGCAGGAAATGCATCAACTTACATAGGTAGAGGAGGAAAGCACCGGCGAGAGCGGCCTGGACAGTCTGGCTAGCCTCAATCTCAGCAGCCTGTGAGTGATGTTAATATCAGATGTCTTCTGACCCAAAGTTCAAAGTATGAGGCTGACCTTGATCTCGGCTGGGGAAATCTGTTCTTGGCCTGGAAATATATTGTTAGCCTGTGATCAGGAGAGCATAGCTGCATATAATTTCGAGCTTACCTGGGGCAAACATTTTGATAACGATAAAAAGTCGAAAGGAAAGATATAAGATTACTGGGATTGATGTTAAGAAGTTGTTGCGAAGTTGTTCGCAGACGGCGACTGGAGAAAGAAATCACGGGAGCACAGACCAAGTCTCCTTCTCTCACTTGAGGTTTTGCCTTCGCTACCACCCCTCTCTAATTAACCACTCGGAATTTGTTGACTTCACATTCCGAGAAGCTCCTCTTGGGCTTCTATCGATAATTCAAGCTTCAATTACATATTGACAACATCGTTCTGGTGTCAATAGCGCCAGTTGACCTTGCGGAGAAGCGTCGGGATCCAGATAACATACCGTGACTTATTCGCGGAACATCCCAACCTGGTCTCCGCAATTTGTTCCATCTTTTCTTCATTCAAAACCTTCCTTTTATCCATACGCGAGTCGAAATGTCCGCTTCCCCCGAGCCCACAGTCGGTTCGCCTGCCGCGCCCGAGCACGAAGTGACCGAGAACGTCGCAACCCCCGTTGCCGGTGATGACGACGCGTTTGAGAATGCTGCCGAGCCTGCCGCTGAGATAGAAGCCAACGCAGATGATGGTGCAGATGAGCAAGCGGGTGAAGACGAGGACGATGACGACAAAATTTCAGACGACGAGTCTATCCTATCCGAGGTCGACGAGGCAGAATTCGAGAATTTCGACCCTGAGAACGTCGACCTTGAGGACCGCCCTCAACTCGCGATTGACGAAGACAACCTGAAACTCATCGGCCGTCACAAGCGCAAGCGCACCGAGGATGGCGAGAGTCGTCCGCGCCGCAAGGAGGGTCGCCGTGAGAAAAAGAGTCGTAGAGCTGCTGAAGATGGGGACGATGAGGCAGGCCCTTCCCGCCGACGGGAGAAGAAGCAGCGCGAGAGCAAGCCTGATACAGACGAGGAAACTCTTGACCCAGAGACACGTATGTGTAGTACATTGGGAACTGTTACATCGGAATACTGACAGATTTTGGATTGATAGGACGTCGCCGAGCTCTTGACCGTGCCATGGACGAAGCCATGAAGAAACCAGCCAAGAGACGTTTCCGCAAGCAGGATGGTATTGTAGGTTTACTTCACGGCTCGCAGTGGTACACTCATGCTGATCATTACTAGGATCTGGAATCTATGGCAGATGCTGAAATCGAGGATATGCGCAAGCGCATGACCCACGCAGCGCAAATGGATGCGATTAGTCGCCAACAAGGAAAGCCGGCCATGCACAAGCTGAAACTACTTCCCGAAGTCATCATGCTTCTCAACCGCAACCAGTACACCAATGCCTTGGTCGATCCTGAGATCAATCTATTGGAGGCCGTCCGATTCTTCCTGGAGCCCCTGGATGATGGAGCGATGCCTGCCTATAACATCCAGCGCGATCTGTTGACTGCCATTACAAAGCTACCCATCAACAAGGATGCTTTAATCGCTAGTGGCATTGGAAAGGTGATTGTCTTCTACACCAAGAGCAAGCGCACTGAGCGCCGCATCAAGGAAATGGCAGAGAAGTTGCTGGCAGAGTGGACACGACCAATCCTTCAGCGCAGCGATGATTACTCGAAGCGTGTCTACCAGCATGCCGATTACGATCCTACGTATGTTATCCGCTGCACAGCCTTTGAATCAAATATTAACATTCCTAAAGAAAGGTCGTCAAGCGCGCTGGTCCTACTGATAAGGAGATCGAAGAAGAAGCTCGAGCTCTCGAAATGCTCCCCCCTCGCCTTATGAACCGTGCTCGTGTCGACCGTACTAACGTCAGTTACTCCGTTGTTCCACGCCAGACAGCCGTGCGGGAGAGCCAATACGCTCGTCCTCTTGGTGCCAGTGGTGAGGATCGATTCCGCAAGATGCAGGCCCGACAGGCTGCTGCGCGAAAGGCATCTCGTCGGTAGATGCGGCATCTCCATTTGTAATTTTTCTGCGTCTATTATGGTCGCGACCACTTCCGTCATGTATTTGAGATATTATTTTTTTTGCGGCGTTTGGGCGTTCGGGATCAATCGGGGATTGATACCAGGGATTTGGGTGTAATCTTTTCGCCCTTCCGAGAGTTTCAGTGAACAAAGCATAGCCAGATTTTTTAAGAACCAATCAAAAATGGTATAAAAGCAAGAAAGATTGTAAATCTTCAAAGTATGTCAGATCTACGATCTACAGAAAAGCAATTGTTGTAATCGAAAGTCGGCAGGCCAGTTCCGGACGCCGAGATAAGACCGACGGATGAAACGGCGAAAGCAGATCCCGCAACCCACGTCATGCTATGCCGGCCTTTGCTTCCGCTTCATATATCAGACGATTCGCCTTTACACATCTCCCCACCCCAATTGAATACACTATTTCTCCACATATCTACACAATGAAGCTTCTAACTAAAGAAGAAGAAGACGCCCACTACAGGTACGAAAATTCAGCTTACTTCCGATGACACCAGCCCACGCTAACAAATCTCAATAGGTCCGTCGTCAAAGGCGGCACCGTCGGTGGCCTTGTCGGTCTTGCCGGTGGTCTTGCCGGTGTTCTTCTTGCTTCGCGCCGCTACCACACAATCCGCAACCTCACTGTTCCAATGAAATCCTTCCTGGTGACGTCTTCGGGTACTTTCGCCGGTATCATCGCCGCAGACCACGCCTCGCGCGCATACGAAAACGAACGCAACGCCGCATACCAATGGTACGAGAACCGCGAGGAGCGACTTCGTGCTGAGGAGACCCGCGGCCTGAGCTTCACCGACCGCGCCGTCGCCTTCGCCCGCCGCGAAAAATACAAGATTGTTAGCGCTACCTGGATTGCATCTATGGTTGGTTCGTTCGTCCTTGTCGGTCGCAACCCTTACCTCAGTGGCCAGCAGAAGCTCGTCCAGGCCCGTGTCTACGCCCAGGGTCTGACCCTCGGTGTGCTGTGTGCTTCTGCCGCATTTGAGATCTCCGATCAGCGCCGTGGTCGTGGCTTGCTCGATGCGAAGAAGAATGCCGCTAAGACCGAGGATGCTGCGGAGCCTGCGCCCGTTCACAAGGAGCGTGAGTCTGAGGGTGATCTCTGGAAGGATATGGTTGCTGCTGAGGAGGAGCGCTTGAACTCTAAGCATCTGTCCCTTTATGAGCACCACCAGAACCAGCAGCAGGCCAACGGTACTGAGCAGAAAAAGGCCGGCGATGCGTCTGCCTCCGCTGAAAAAACCAAGGACTCCAAGTCTACTGAGAAAGAGACCAAGCCTGCCGAAGAGGAGTCAAAGTCCGAGGAAAGCGATGATGAGAAGGACTCTAAGACTGAGAAGAAGAAGGATGAGAAGAAAGACGAGAAGAAGCACTCTTAATCACGACAAATTCTACTTTGATCACATACGACTATCATTGACTGAGGTCTACTCCAATTTTCGCTGTCCACCACACAATTCCCACTCCTCTCAGAAGCTCATATCAAGAGCTGAAAAGCTCCATTGAATAAAAGTCAAACACAATCAAGGGGGGCGGTCTTTTTCCCAAAGCACTGGTAACCACACCATTGCCAGTATATATCTAGGATCTTTCCTTCGGCGTTTCTTTTGTGACTCATGGGTTGCGCATCCGGTTCTCAAAAGTCACATTTGTTTGCTTGTGCCTACCTAGGTACATGTATGATAATATTGAGGCCACTGCCTGGTCTAGTTCTCTACTCTAATGAATCGTGAAAATCGTTCTTTGCAATTGATGACGTCATAGTTGACACACCATAATAAACGCTCAAAGCACCTCAACTACCAGTACTACGTACATATGTATATATTGACCAGGAAAGGTTGCGGAAGGGCAAATTTATGGATCAGTCAGCAATTGATATCTAAACGGTAACTAAAAGCCATACTTTAGATGTGATGACGTTGTGCACGCATGGTATCTTAGTATGCATGATATGATAACGAGGGTATTTGAAGTTTGATATGAACACTATGGTAGAATTGGACATGGAAAACATATCAAGTCCCGCCCATAATGATTGATTTCAGATCATCCTAGAAAGTATCATCCTCCAAGTGTTCCATCCGGCGGATCACGCTTGGGCTCTGGTCATCGTCCATGTCATCTGTAATGTCCCCAGCACCAGCAGTAGCCAGTAAATCCGTCACAATGCGCTTGGAAGCTTCTCTCGCTGTGAGTATAGAATGGTTAGCTTCGAGACAGATAGATGAGTTGGAACGACGGGGTAAGCTTACCAGGTGTTCTCATGAGCCTACTCTGCGGGATATGGAATTGCATTGTCTTGGGCGGGCTCGGCCCAAGTTCCTCATCATCATAGTCCATGTCATCATCACTATCCCACATGGCCGATTTTCCAGCTGACTTCTTGGCGGGAGTCAAAACACTCATCCCGGGTCTGGGGGTTTCGCGCATGCGATTGCTGCTAGTTCGACGTTTGCGGTTCGTGCCCGGGGTATTTACGCCCTTGATGGGCGAAGAGAAGATCTCTGAGTGAAGTTGGGGTGCCTCTGGTTCCGGGCTGGAAATGGGAGAGTCGTCATAGCCATATTTCGAGGTAGGCTCGGCTTTCTTCGGCGTGATGTTGAACTTGGACCGAGTGCTCGTGGGCCCTCCCACGTTGCGGAAGCCCTTTCCAAGTGGCGTGGCTTGGACCCGGAATGTTTTGTCGAGCATATGGTGCAGGACTGGGTCAGAGGTCTTTTGGTGGCGACGGTCTTGTGTGGATGGTTGCGACGCGGGCGGGAGGAATGGTGAGGACATTGGGGTTGAGGCGGAGACGCCACGTGGGAAGAAGGGCTGACGGCCCGGGGTTGATGGGAGGGTTGATGAGTCGGGGAGATCGAATGGGGCTTCGGACTCGTTGACTTGCTTTCTCAGGAGCTCGTATGAGGAGGAGTACTCGATCGAGGAGGCAGTCATGTCATCGTCGGCCGGGTGGGCGTGGCCTGGAGCACGCGGGGTGCTGTGGGAAGAGATTGCAAGGTCTGTTAGGTCTAGACCCTCCCTTTGGCCGTGGTGTTGAGAGGAGGGGGTCTCTTCGGAGTAAGTCTCATCGTGGCTGGTGCTTTGTGTTATATCGGTGGATAAGTCTTCTTCTGCGGCTGTAGGGTCTTGCACCGTCTCTTCATCGTTGTTCCGTTCTTCATAGCCAGAAAGAGAAACATTGGCGCTTGCCTCAAAGAATTGCTTCCAGAACTATAAAAGAGTCAATGGCCAAGGATTCTTTATGCTTCTGAGTATATGGTACTGACCTTGGAACCTTCCCAGACATCTCGGGAATGTTCAGTGTATTGCTCCACCAGTGGTAGAATACTCGTGGTAACAATCCGGTGCGCTTGACTGAAATTGTGGTCGATCTCTGCATGATACAAGGATGAGTTCTCTATCGGCTTGTATTGTTTACTTTTTTTGCCTTACCTTGAAGAGTTAAGGTGATGGATTGTTCCAATTTCTCGAGTTCCTCCGTGAGAGACAACGGCCGCTGGGCCTGTGAGGGTTGGCGAGACATGATTATCCTGAATACTGCTGTACAGTGACCTGATCGAGCGATGATAGCTTGCAGTCACGTCCATCACTTCCAGGGACGCGCGGGGAAACTTGTCCAGAAGCGGTGTGTTTTTAGGGCCAAAGATAAGGGTTTACTGCACACGTGCGTTGATGTCAGCCCTGGAGGATACCTAAGCGCAGGCATCATCAGATCATCTTGCTTCGCCCCGTCGATGAACAAGGTAAGTTTCGAAAACTTCGACAATCAGATATAGCATAGAAAAAGCCATCTTTACCATGCCAGCACCACTTGCAAAAGGTATCACCCTCCCACCCCTGAACCTATGACTCCGTTCCGGATCACCCGGGCGGTGTACTCGACCCGACCTTATCAGTCCCCACTATATAACTAAAGTGAGGCTAACATGTCGTGCAGGGCTCATTATAGGTGTTTCTGTACTAGTTGCAGCCGGCATCGCTGTGTATGAATCGCCTCAGTTCCAGCAATGGGTAATCAACTCGCGACGCAAGATAGCCTTGGCCTTGCACAACCTGGGCGATGAAATTCAACCTCGTGAAATACCGCTGAGGGAAGATATATCTATGACCGAGGAGGCGGGCGAGGTTGCAGAGGAACGAAGACGGATTGCTCGTGCGGAAATAATGCGACGAAGCACGCTCATGGAATCCCGGCGAAAATCAAACCACCTAACTCCAGCTGAGGATGGTTTTGATACTCTCGTCGACAAGGATGGCAACCTGCGTAAACAGAAAGACCACGGAGATGGTTCTCAATCTCCTCAAATTTTTACTGCAGAATCGACTGGGTTAGACCTAGGTATCTTCAAGCCTGTCCGTCGGGGCGGTAACCCCATCGAGGCCGAATCCTCGGCCACCTTGGGCAGTGATCCACTCCATATCGGAATTCCATCATCTGCTTCTTCGATCCGCCGTTACTCTCAATCTTCCAACCAGCATACACCTACTTCTGATGGCCCAGAAGAAAATGATTTCTTTGATCCATTCGCTCCAAACTCACCTCTTTTTTCTTCTGACTCGAGCCACACAGAAGAAGACCAACATGTGTACTATGCCCACCCTGATGCTTCAGCAAACATGACTCATCACAACAATTTATTTAATGAATCAGCCGATTTTGGTCACGGGAGTCTTCCGTCTCATCATGACGTCTCGGCAGCCCCCTCGACAAGTGGAAGTTTCAGTCATGTGGGAGGGTCAGATGATGGAACTTCAGATGGTACTCTCAGCGACTTGGGTGCAAGATCTATTGGCGGAGTTACTACCCCAGGAAGCTGGTCTGAAGTGGGTAGTGTAGTTAGCGATGCAGATGCCAGTCATGTTCAATTGCTTTGATTGGATGGAATTTCCGTGGGTACTGAAAGACAAATATGTGCTACGGCGTTAAAATGGGTTTGCTAGTTGGGAAATGCTTTTTACTAACATCACTCGCCGGCGTTGTGATCATGGCTCAAGAAATAGTGGGATGATGGGTTTCTTCTAGGTTTGAGTTGAATGACGTCGAGCTGTGTCCGCTATGAAGAAGGCTGAGCTTTATATTCATAGTAAATGGTATGAATATGTCAAATTCCTTCACTCATACCTACAAGTCCGAAGGGGGTTTTGCTAGATCCCTTTGCCCTCCATGGATCACATAGTTTAGCAACTACACGGTGAATTGCTAAGATAGTACAGATAGGCGTGCTGTTTGATGTCTAAAGCATAGGGGCTTATAGCTTCGTTCTAGAATGGCCTTGAGAGCTATAGGGGTTCTAAGGTTCCAAATGAAGTCATCCGGCTCTTACCATCACAAGAAGTTGTAGATATATACTAAGATGGAAGTCGCCGTTACAAATTACTTTGAAATATACACCGACCTTCCAAGGTTTCAAGTCCCATATATCGAATGAAGTCTGTATAGCTCCTTTCCTATTCAATTTGAATACTAGAAATATGCATCACCCAAATAGAAGTGTGAGAAAAGCAGATGTTGAAATAGTGTGCATAGATGGCGCAATATCAGATGTCCCCTTCTGGATCGTCCTTGAAATAGAAACTTGATGGATTTTTCCGTGGAATTCATGTAAACGTTGGCTCAGATTTCCTAAACAAGACTCAATCCATCATGAAATATCTGACGAACGACGAAAGGCACAAACTGGCAGGTAACTACTTTGCCCCTGAGGGGCTTTATGAGTATACCAAAAGCTTGCCTTTCGTCGGCCAAGTCAAAAGCAACATATCATCACTGATTGCTGGCGAATGGACTGAAATTCTGTTAGAATATGAGGTCGGCGCATCAGGCCTCGCTGATGGGGCTTGGATCAAAGGGACATTCAAGTTTTACTCAGTAAGTATCTGGTAATGTAATTCATAAAGAATAGCGAAAACCGGGAATTAACCATATCTAGGACTGGGCGCTTTTCCAAACATCAGATTCCTCCAAGGATAACTATGTCAGTGCTGAATACGTGCCCAAAACGCTCTTCCCTGGCCAGACCCCAGCCACAGTGCAGTCGTTGGGTATTCGTTTTGACCAAAAGGGACATGAAAGACCTTTCCAAAAAGCTGTTATTGTCGATATTCAAGATGGGTTTTTGAACCCTGGTGACAAGATTCTCATTCGCTTGGGAGATCGCCGATTTGAAGGACGGGGTACAAGGGTGCAGACCTTTGTCGAGAAAGACTTTCGTTGGCGATTTTACATCGACCCTGTTGGGACCTCGTAAGTTTGCTGAAGATCATTGACAAGCAAATTCCGGGTTCACTTGACTTATTCCAAAAACTAGTCGCTTTGCTCCCATTCAGCCCGATATATGCTTGGATATCGTGGCAGGTCCTATTCATCGTGTCCAGACCGTGTCACCAAGATTGCTTCGTCCAAATGTTCCTTTTGCAATTCACGCACACGCCGAGGACATTTGGGGAAACGTGACTCGTGATTTACCGAGCGTTTTGTTCAAGCTCGTTGTGTCTGATAGTGCTTCGAAGCCTGTGATCGAAAAGGAGTTGACTGTCTCTGCTCAAGGATGGACAAATGCTGTGTTTCCAGATCTCATTTTGCAAGGCGAAGACGATTACCTCGTGGATGTTACCTTGGAAGCAGATGGTGGATCAGTGATTGCTTCGAAGCACACCCACTTAACAACGTCGCCTGACCTTTCGGTGCCGAAGGTCTTCTTTGGCGATCTCCACGTACACTCCGATGACACAGTGGGCACTGAATCATCAAGTTATAATTTTTCATATGGCCAAGAGATCGGTGGTCTGGATGTTCTTGGGTATACTGCCAACGACTTCCAAATAACGAAGGCTCGCTGGGAAGCAACAACAGAGCTGGTAAAGTCCCTGAACGAACCTGGGAAGTTCGTGATTTTCCCTGGCACCGAATGGTGTGGAAACTCCGCAGCTGGAGGCGACCATAACGTGGTATTCCTTGCGGATCCTGCTAGATATCCACCCGAATTTCCCTTCGATCGTCACGGAAATGTCGCACGCTCGTTTGAATGGTCTGAAGATGGACCTAGTACTCTCACACCGGGAGCATGGCCACTCGATGAGGTATACGGTATTTACGCTGGCGATGCAGAATCTCACCTCTTGATCCCGCATGTCGGTGGACGTCGTTGTAATCTAGCCTGGCACCATCCAGAGCTCGAGCGATTAGTTGAGATCGGCAGTGCGTGGGGCCATTTTGAATGGCTGCTCCGAGACTCTGTGCAGAGGGGCTGGAAGCTTGGTGTTTCTGCCAACTCTGATGAGCATCGTGGTCGTTGTGGTGGTGGAGTACCTGGCACGGCAGTGTTTGGAACTCGTGGCGGTCTCACTGGAATTCTATCCCCGCGCTTGGAACGAGAAAGTGTTGCCAGTACTTTGCGTGCGAGACATACTTTCGCTACAACTGGCGAAAGGTTAGTCGGGCTTGTTTCGACCAAAAGTGGCTCAACTATTCAAGGAGATGAGATTCAGGTTCAATCAAATGCTGTCCTAGATTTCAGTTATCATTTCTTGGGTGAGAAGGGGTTTTCTTCAATTGAAGCTTTCGACGCTTCAGGCTTGATCTGGCAGAGGAACCTTTGGTCTGAGTCTACTTCTAGACCAAGCATTCTTCGGGTAACCTGGGGCGGTGCAAGGCTGTATGATAGATACCGCGAGGCCATTTGGAAAGGTACCATCAGCCTTTCAAGCGACGCCACGGTGAAAAACGTTGAACCTTTTGGTGGTCTGGACTTTAACCCGGAAGACTCTGCGCACATATACACAGGTCACTCAGTGGAATTCTCAAGCAAAACCAGCGGTGACCTAGACGGAGTAAGCATAGCTCTGCATGGTGCAGCGACACCTTCTACTGTAACAGTCTCCGGTTCCCTGGGTGGGTATGTCAAAGTGGGAGACCCATTGGCTGGAAATCGCCACAAGCCGCAGCCCAGCTTCAGAATAGAATCATCCTGGGGAGAGGCAAAGCTTCCAGGTGGAAAGTTGATTGAGATACTCGGGGGCGCAGAGCTGTTTGTCCGCATCAAGGCGATTCCGAACGTAGTATTGCCACGCCGAATCCAGGGGAGTGCAACCTTTGCTGGTCAAAAACAAGGAACGCGGTCTATTTACTTCGTAGGCCGCGAATGGAGTGGAGAAAAAGTGATCACCAGCCCAATCTTTATAAATTATGGACAAGAGGAGGTTATGATGGACTAAGCCAATAATATCATATGTATCTATCGAACGTATCTGGATCACATCTAGAACCACGACCGTCATTGGAGAACGACATCGCTCGAGTAACTAAAACGTAGTCAAAAATGGCAAATATAGGTTAATTCATCTCACAGATCCAGTGTACTTTGCAATCTTATGTCCTTGAAGCTGGCCCCAACATAGATCCCAATGCTGCCATCTATCAATCTCCAACTCTGAGCTACGACATCCCACTCACTCAGATCTCTTCGCGTCAGGGGTAGTGTAATAGTCTCCGTCTTACCCGGTTCAAGGGAGACCTTTTCGAATCCACGCAACTGTCTGACACCCGACAGGGTATCGATGTATAGCTGTGCAGCCTCCTTTCCGGCAACCTTGCCGGTGTTCTTGACAGTAAATTCGACATGTGCCAATACATCCCACAGATCAACCTGACCACCTTGCTCGATCGGCCCAGAAGGATAGGCAGCAAAGCTCACCGCTCCCACGGCTTTGTTGACTGACAATGCATCATATTCATAAGATGTGTACGACAGACCGTACCCGAATTCGTACCGCGGAGTTATGTTTTTTGCTTCAAATGCGCGGTAGTCAATGAAAATGCCCTCCGAGAAGTCGCTTTGCGGGTAGTTGATATAGTCGCCCTCTGCCAAATCGGGATCCAGAAGCGAGCCATAGTCGCTGGTATTCCTGGGAACTGTGTATGGCATTTTACCGGAGAAATTCTCATCTCCGTACAGTAATGCCACTGTTGCAACGCCGGAGTCTTGGCCTGGTGTATGGGCATACACGATTGCCGTTACGTTGGGATGATCCGAGAAATTATCGACCAGACGGACACCAGGATTGTGAACTACAACAATCGTGTTGTTGCATTGACCGGCAATTGACAGCACCAAGTTATCAGAGTAATCATCATAGATGCTAGGTCGATCATAGCCCTCCGAGGCCCATGTATTGATGAAAACCAGACAGGCATCAGAGGAGGGAACCTCTGGGGCCGGGGCAACAAAGTCCCAGAAAAGGTCCGTGTTATCCTTGATAGCACGCTGATTGAGTGCATCAAATGGACTTGAGACATAGCCGGGAGTTGTTGCCCCGGAGCCGCCGCCCATAATAACGGTACCGTTAATTGCGATCGTTTCGAGGACAACTGTGGAGTTGTATTGCTTTGAAGCAACCATTTGGTTTGCATTGGTACTTTGAGAACCGAGCTTCCATGCAGAATAAGTGCCATCTCCAACGACAGATTGTTTGTAGCCTGGTGCGGAGTATCCAAAGACTGATAGCACTTGTGGATTCTTCAAGGGCAAAGCGCGGTTGTTCTTCACAAGAACATGGCCCTCAACTGCACCCTGGAAAATCACAGGCCGAGCTGCTGGATCCCTGGCGTCGACTCTGGTGTGGGGCTCTGTGACTAAGTAGGGCATTCCAACACCTGGCTTCGGGAAATCCTTATCTTGACCGAGCAGATACCATGCAGCAAGTATTCTGGACTTTTCTTAGCGTTGATGTTTCGAGTTGGCGGTGGCGATTACCTAGTAGCCATGTCGTCTAAACGAGACTCTGGAACTGTGCCATTTTGGATGGCCGTCGTCAAGTTTCTACCCCAGTATCCAGTATCTGGCATGGTCATATCAAGACCAGCTAGTGCGCTCGCAACTCCAGAATCTATATCCATGTTAGGTTAGTGAAGGGTACAGCAAGAATGATGCCAGCCACCCACGTTGAGCCCTCCAGTCAGTGACGACGAAGCCCTAAATGATCAGTGTCTCTGAAAGATCGATGAGGTTGGAATAGAGTGTGTACCTGGAAGCCAAGTTCAGTTTTCAATAGTCCATTCAATGTCTTGCTGTTTGCGCAGCCATATGAGTTGTTGATTCTTTGGTAGCTGACAGTATATTGTTAGACACACTGGACATCCCAAGGATTGAGTGACCTAACCTGCACATGATGTTGGCGGATCCAGCTTTGATGGCATCTTGGAAAGGCCTGATATCGGATCAGTTAGCCTGGTATATTTGAAGCCCATCTGAAATTCAACCTCACCAGAGATAAAGCTCATGCATGGTTTTGTCGTCCACGTTCGACGAAACTGCCTCCACTTGCGGAGTTGTATTGGCGAACGGGTTGCGATTTGTTTCTTGCTCATTGAGAATAAAGTGTTTCAAACTAGTTATCACACCACGCTGGTGATAACCCTTAATAGTATCGGCGGCGAGCAATCCAGAAAGATAAGGGTCAGAGGCAAACCCTTCCCAGTTGCGTCCACCTCGAGCAATACGACCCAGGGGTCCAACAACTAATGTTTTATTTGTCAACTAACCTGTAGATGTGAATACTGAAAGAAAAGGTATTACCTGGCCCAAGAGCGATATTGACTCCTTTAGCCCTGAATTCTCCCGCCATGAAATGGGCTCGTTCAGTTGCTAGTTGGCGATTCCAACTGACCAAGCGTCAGCACGTCGGCCATGCCTAGCGTATACTCAGAAGGACCGAGTCGAAGCTTACCTTGCACCAACACTTAACCCAGCTGGATACCCATTGACGAGATCTGTGGTTCGAACTCCATTTCCAGCATCGGTGAGACAAAGGCCTGGGAAGTCAAGGCGTGGAATGGCTGGGATGAAGCCTGCGCAGCTGTTCTCTGTAGTGGTGGCACCGAAGGTTAGATTTGACTATGCCAGTTAGGTTCATCTATTGTGTTCAAAGATTCATTATAAACATACCTTTTCCTCGAGTGTCAGTTGAGCAACAAGCGCCTTTGCCTTGATATAAGACTCTTTCCAGTCCCCAGTCCCTGTTATGTTCGCTGGAGGATTGGTTAATAATGACAAGCTTCGGCCCCGGGTATTGGGGAGTTAGTGGAGACATACGGGAAGGGTAAACAGGTGGACTTTGTCCATAAAAGTGGCTATCCGAAGTAATAACATCGGCAGTGGCACCTAGAGCGCAAAGACCTAAGACCATAGACCTCATGTTGCAGCTTTGAGTAAATGAAAATGAGTCCTGAATGAGAACTGCTACTCTAAAAAGGAACTGCTGGATTAATATAGCGCTCAACATGGCCGGTTAATCGGGGGTTTGCCGGGGAACAAGCCGAGAAAGAAAGATCTTCAGGTCTTAGCTTGCTGTGTTTGACGTCAAAGATCTTGGACAAATAGCCATTTCATCTCCTCGATGTTACCTTAATGCATGACTTGGCAAATACGAATGGCCCCGGTGCGTTGTTCCCCGCCTTCTATGTAAGCGCCTCACGCCTCACTGTAGCCTCACCGACTTATACCCCCACCATATCCCCCCACACAAACATCATTCCGCAATGACCTCTAAATGGTACCCCCGAATATATGTGCAAATTCCTCGGTGAAGTCGCCGGCTTGGAGAAAGCACCTCAATATTGTGATCTTGGCATCGGAATAACCGTTCGATTGTACTTACGTCGATGTGAAATGTTCAGAACTTTTATGAACATATATATACTTATATATCGAAGCTTGATCAAACACGCACCCTTTAATTTCATGAATTCCTGGTCATTTGTACTAACTTCAAGAACGCTACTGTTTCAGCAGTTGCAATTTCCCAAGAGCTCCAGTAAGTAACCCTGTGGGATTTTGAAGTGAGGTATCTATTTCCTACATTGCGAAGATGATAGGTAGCCTTTTTGACAAAACAATTGACATGACTGCATTCTTTTGGCACTAAATTATGAGCACAAATAACCCCTCTTGACATAGTCAAACTTGCGTGGTCCAAGCGATACCCAAAGTACCATCTTTGGAAAGGGATGGGCAATAATCATGAAAATTGTGCCCAACAGATCTTGTGCAACATGTCCTTCACACTGTTGTTTCAAGATGTGATGAAATTGAAATTGTTTTGCTTTAGGCCAAGAAAGCTGAAGCTGAAACATGGACACAAGTCATATTGTTCAAGCAATGTTCTCTCCATTGAACTGATCAACATCAGCGCCCCAGGACACGTTCCCCGCAAAATGCTTCTCATTTTGATTTCCGGGCCGCTCTGCATCAAAGTCTAACCGATCTGGAACCTTCAGACCAGCGGGGAAATGATACCGGATAAACCATGTCGACACCCCATCCCGGTACAGCCAAGGATCCTCTGTCCGTCGCTGCCATGTTTCCAATCTTGTTCTCAGATCATCGAGTACAGCAGCATAATTCGGATCTTTGACAAGATTGGTAACTTCATTTGGATCGTTTTCCAAGTCATATAGTTCTTCCGGGGCGCGGAAGAAGTAATCCTTCAGTTTCCGCTCCCCGATCATAATCTCACTATCCGATGAGTTCCGAATATCCTCCCAGGAAAGAGAGCCATAGAGATCTGCTGCGAAAGGGAAATCCAGGCGCCACGCGAGGTTTCGATGGTATTTGTAGCGTCGATCTCGAATGAATCTTGTGGGCCAGTAGTTTGTGACTTCGTGGAAAGTATGTGAGCCGAAGACTTGATTTCGCTCCGATATCTTCGTGTTGCTTCCAAGGATAGGAAGTAATGAGTGACCAAGGCGCTTTTTTGTTGAATCCACTACGCCTGGGTGCCCAACATAGTCAAGCACCGTGGGGAGAATATCGACATATGAGACCATGTCAGAGTTGACCGCCGGCTGTATCTTTGGATCTCTAATAATGAGAGGCAATCTAACCCCTGCGTCGAAAAGAGTTGTCTTGGAGTTAATGAAAGGTGGGCCATTGTCGCTTATGAAGATGACAAGAGTTGATTCGGCCAAATCAGCCGCGTCTAGAGCATCCAAAACAAATCCGATACCCTGATCCAGGCGATGGATTGAATTGTAGTACTCAGACAACTCAAAGCGCGCACCGGGAGAATCGTTAATAAAGGAAGGAATCTCGACATTGTCAGCATTGTAGCTTCCCTTCTTGATTCGGGAGTCATATGTTTGGTCATTGCCAAATCCACCCCTTGTGCGATCGCGATGCGGATCATGGAAGCCAATCGTCAAGAAGAAGGGTCTTTCGTCTGCCTGGGACTCTTGGAAGAACTCATTTGCTTGATCGGCGATCACAGCCACGTCCCGTGTTTCGCTTTCCTTCGTGACCTCCCAGGGATAAACAGCGGAAGGTCCAACGTGTATCTTTCCTAGTATTCCTGTCCGATATCCGTTTTGGTTCAGCAGCTGGGGTGCTGTCTCAACATGATCGAACGTGACGAAATGATGGCGGTGACTGGCAAGTCCGTATTGGCCGTTCTGGTGGGTATGAAGGCCTGTGTATATCACGGAGCGACTACCGCTACAGGACGCAGTACTTGCAAAAGCGTATTCGAATCGGGTACCTTGCCCAGCGAGGTGGTCGATGTTGGGTGTGTGGATAGTTGATGCCCCGTAACAGCTGAGCTGCTTCCCGAGGTCATCGGCGACCATCAACAACACGTTCTTTTTGCTTGACATAATCACTGATATGAATTGAATGAGAATGCGCCGAGAGAGGCGTCTTGTAAAGAAATGGACAGGAAAACCAAATAAACATGTTGATGTCTTTCATTGGTGCATTTACTATATTGGAGCTAGCTCCTCTTCGTTAGAGCTCTGCTCAGCGCGATCTGACACCAAGATGATGTGCTTGACAGCAAATAAATCAAATCAACGCTACTAATGCTTAGTCTATTGGAATTTTTGATGAAATGTTAATTGCAAATGTTGTCATCCATAGGGCTAATTCACAATCGTATCTGCCTCGATAAATTTCTTTTTTGGATAGAACTAAACTACACCGAATACAACGACTTATGAGCCTTTATAGTTTCGGTTAAACAGCTTTGGTTCTAAAATCACGAATTTCGACAAAAAGCAATTGGACGGAGGAATTATGGCGTCTTTTGACAGCTCTATTGTATTAATCAAACATACCGAGGACCCTATATGGACGAACTACATTGAAGCTAACACATTAAGATCGCGCCCCCAGATAAAAATATGACTAGAAAAAACCCAGAGCTAGAGCAAGTTGTTTTGCCCTTGTATTCACGATGAAGTTCAACAGCCTTCCTCTGCTATCCTTGTTGTCGCAATTGACCGCGGGCCAACTTATTGGCCCTGTTGGTCCGACGACTCATCTGAAAGATAAAACAATTGAATGCAACATTCTTGATTATGGCGCTGTTGCTGATAACAAGACAGACATAGCCACGGCGCTGGAGACTGTCTTTTCAGACTGTGTTCAAAAGCATCCGGGTAGCCGCCTGGTTGTACCGGAGGGAGAATATTTGATCGAGCGAGGTGTGACGCTCAGCAATGGCACCAACTGGGCCTTCCAACTAGATGGGCTTATCACAGCTGCATATGGCGGTGACTGGAACATTGAGCGTGAGTTGATCCTCCAAGGGTTTGCAGGCACAGAGATCCTCAACGCAACTATCAATGGCGAGGGTGATTCTAAGTTCTTGCTAGATGTCCTTGTTATTGTGAATGGTGAGTCTACACTTCAATGCCTCTCTTTGTGCATTAAATTTGGAATAAATGGAATATTGACAAAGTAGCCGTGGATTTCGAATTTTATTCTTCCAATGGCAAAGGCGCCTTTCAAGGACAGGGCTATCTTTATCGAAACCTCAACAAGTAAGTTACTTTCTCATTTTCACCATATTTTCACACTGACTAGAAATCAAATCTCAGTACGGACCGTCCACGTTTGGTGCGTTTGATTTCACCGACCAACGCCTCAGTCCATGACTTGATTCTAGTCGACAGCCCCAAGTTTCACATTATCCTCGACTTTGCCGTCAATGTCGAGGCTTACCATCTGACTATCCGTGGAGCAAACTTGGGTAGCTATGATGGTATTGATGCCATTGGAACAAACTATTGGATCCACGATAATGAGGTACGCTCTTTGAGCTTGGTTTTCGTGAATTCAGGAGAGAAACTAATTATCAGATTAGGTCACCAATCGTGATGAGTGTGTTTCGGTGAAAAGCCCCTCTCATCATGCTTTGGTCGAAAATTTGGTTTGCAATCAAGCAGGCTCGGGCATATCTATTGGAAGTTTGAACGTATCTGCCGAAATATCCAACATTGTCAGTTCGAATCATCACATATATCTGTCACTTACTTATAATGCATTAGGAAGCACGGAATATCAGTATTATCCAAGGAAACAACGTTGCCTTTATCAAAACATATCCTGGCGGGTCAGGATACGTTACAAATATCACTTTTTCTAACTTCCGTTCTTTGGCAAGTCTGTACGGCTTGGATATCAACCAATACTGGCAAAATACCTTTGAGCCTGACACCGGTGCTGTTGCACTGAGTAACTTGGTTTTTAGAAATTTCTCTGGTGAGTCATCTCGCAGATGAAAGGTCTAACAAAAGTCTTACAAATATATTTAGGTTCTGTCGCCGATGGAGCAAAGCGCCCTCCTCTGTACCTCATTGCGAATGATCTAACGTTTGCTACCAATGTCACTGTTGAGGATTTCACAATTTGGACAGAATCGGGTACTTCAGTTGTGAACAAAATCAGCAACATCTTTGGTGCTGGAGATGACAGCTATGGCTCAACTGATGGTATCAAGTCTCTAGGTGAAGGAGAGTCCCCCTCACCTTATACCAGCACCTATACTATTACCGCATCTCCGACAAATTGGCAAGCCCCCACCACTCCTACGTGGGCTGTGCCTAGTACTGGCTATGGAAGTATGCTTCTTGTCTCCTTATATTTCTACTTCTCTATCGTCGTGGCGACTGGCTAACCAAACTTTTCCAGCGGCATCCCCCATTCCGGTGTACAGTCCAGCTCCTTTGTGGCGCCCAGGTGGTGTCGATTATGATTTGCACTACTGGGGAAGCTTCTAAGTAGTGACAGATTCTTGGTGGCCCCATCATAAGCTGGTCAAGGCATAGCATATTCTAGTAGGCAAGAGGAGAAACTGATCACTAGATGGCTGATACAACTGGGGGGTATATGTGGTATAGGACAAGCTAGAGAAAATGCAATTTTTATATTCGTGTCAGAGAAAAAATAGTTATGTCAGAGCATGTAGTGTGAGACCTCACGTTTCTCTATTTTTTTATTATAGTCGAGCTCAGTTGTTGAAATGCTCAAGGTCGCCAACCTTCTGAACGGTAGATTCTAGCCTTCGGTGCAAAGTACAGCGCTTGGTAAATTAAGACTCCTTGGTATGGCGTCAACAAGACAATCTTTAAAGACAAAAGCTTGGAGTAATGCGGTTAATTACCCATGCCGTGAAATGAAGCTCCGATGGAAAAGGCCGACTCGGAAGTGCCGTTGTTGATAGTGGCGTTGAGTCCCTAGTTTCCAAAAAAAAGTCGAAAAGCTAGGGACAATGTAAGACAGGGTTTTTCCACCAATCTGGGCAAATGCATTTCGAGGTGTCCACCGCGCATGGACTGATATGGGAAATATTGATGCAATCAGGCGCATCCATGGCGCAAACACCGGCTAAATATCAAGGCTTATTTTAATTTACGAACTATCTTTGACTTGTTCGCTTGGAGATTTATTTCTAACATACCAACCAGGTGACTTTTAGTCCAAGATAGCGCCCTTCCGAAATGGTAAAGAAAAAATGCCATCCCTTCATTGGGAGTCGTTGCGTTCGCTGGCGTTGATGGCATCATGCATTTACCCAAGCACGCATTAGGTGCGACTTTTCGAGCTGGTTTATGAAATTGAAAGATTTTGCAGCTTCTGTCATTTTATATAAAGTCTTGATCTCGGTAGCAATGTATGGACTTAAAGCCAGAGTCAAAGTTGACTCCTCCATTCATTTTTTGGCTAGTTTTCGACTCTCGCGCGGAGAGTAGCCATGGCATCCACATTTTCCAAAGAGTTACCAGCATCAGATTCCGAGCACCAGAATGAGGATCATCAGTCAAAAGACGGTACTTTGGTGACAACGCTCGCCGAGCCAGAGCAGCAACGAGAGTCGCAATCGTTGTTTGCTGCGCTGTTCCTCCGAAAACGAAAGGTCGATCCAGATTCTATTGCAACAGTTCGAAGCGTCTTTGACGATCCACTGCTGTGCCAGTTCTATCAACCTCGCCCGGACTACGAAAATCTGCACAGATTTGATCCGAAGGAAAGATGGACTCACCGAGAGGAAACTTCGGTGCGCCGCAAGACAGATTGGACGATTTTTTTGTGGATTCTTGTTATGTTTTTTGGACTCAATCTTGATCGCGGAAATCTTGGAAACGCTGCGGCTGATAATTTGCTCGACGATCTGAAAATCACGACCAACGACTACAACAACGCACAAAACATGTACCGTATCGGTTTCCTCATTGCCGAAATTCCGTCTCAGATGCTTGGAAAGAGATTGGGTCCGGACCGGTGGATTCCTTTCCAGATCATTTTGTGGAGCTTGGCATCCGGAGGTCAGTTCTTCATGCAAGGTCGCGCTGGTTTCTTCGCATGCCGCTTCTTCATTGGCCTCTTCATGGGTGGCTTCATCCCAGATGCAGTTCTGTATCTTTCATACTTTTACACCAAGTCCGAAATGCCATTTCGTCTCGCGATGTTTTGGTTCGTTGATTCCATGTCAGGTGTTATTGCTTCTTTTATTGCCTACGGCGTTTTGCACATGCGCGGCGTGGATGGCCGCGAAGGTTGGCGATGGCTGTTTCTTATTGAAGCACTTATCAGCATCGTCATCGGATTTCTTAGTTTCTTATTTCTTGTCCCGGGTCCTACGCAGACAAAGACATGGTGGAACCCGAAAGGGTACTTTACTGAGAAAGAAGAGAAGATTATTGTGAATCGAGTATTGCGAGATGATCCTTCCAAGGGCGACATGCACAACCGCCAGGCTCTGTCTCTGAAAATGTTATGGCAAAGCTTGATGGACTACGACCTGTGGCCGATTTATATCATTGGAATTCTTTTCGAGATACCGACTGCGCCGCCAAAAACATATCTGACGCTCTCGCTCAAAGCAATTGGATTTGGTACTTTCCAAACAACGTTGTTGACAATTCCGGTCACTGTTTTCGCGTCCATTAATTTGCTTCTTGTGACCGAGCTGACCGAGCGCTTGCACGAAATCTCCATCATCGGCCTTCTCACTCAGATCTGGATTCTCCCACTTCTCATTGTGCTTTACACATCAGCCGGATCACTATCAAGCTGGGGTTTATATGCAGTGACATTCATCTTGTTGGGCTGGCCGTCTCCACATGCAGCCCACGTTGGATGGTGCTCACGTCTCAGTAATACTGTGCGAACTCGAAGTATTAGTGCAGCGCTTTACAACGTGACCATCCAACTGTCTGGAATCGCATCCTCAAATATCTATCGCAGCGATGATAAGCCTCTTTACCGTCGTGGAAACTCGCAACTAATTGCTATCAACGTCGCTACTATGGTTGCCTATGCCTTCGCAAAGGTATACTACGTGCGCAGAAATAAATGGAAGATGGCCCAATGGGAGAAAATGACACCGGAGGAGAAGGCAAATTATCTGAGCACTACCACCGATCAAGGAAACAAGCGACTGGACTTCCAGTTTGATAATTGAGCATTGTTCGCTTGTAGGTACCGCGAGTCAGATTGTCTATGTGCAATTCAGATAAAAATCTCAATACACAATCGATTCTCTTTGATTCCTTGATTCCAAGGGTCGATTGCTTCTTAGACGTACTAAACATTATCCAACAGCGTGAAGATATAAGAAAATAAACAAACAGAGAAAATGAATTCATATCAGTTCCGACAAATTTACCGCAGTACATACGAGGTCAATTTATTTGGGGTAGCAGCAACGACCGAGGCATTTAAGCATCTTCGTGCGAAGGCAGCACCATCCCCGTGAATTCTCTTTGTTTCTTCCCGTACTGGATCTGAGGGCCTTGGAAGTGATCCATCGTCGGAGATGTGGGCGCAGCTCCCAAATCCTAGCTTCATGGTTTCTCGCAGTTTGTACGCCGCGTTGAACATGTTCACGCTTCACTATACGGCAATGGGTGGAAGGTCTATCTCCCGAAGTGCACTTACACGTAAACGAGTAGGTAATCCATGTATATGCTGACCTAAGGAAGTGTCTATACCTAGGTAGCTATACGCATATTATTTCCTCTACCGGGTGGGACTTTCCTGTCTTGGCTGCCGCCGCTTTTATGAGGGCGCTCAGAGTCAAGCTTACTGATCGCTCACTAATTACTAACCGGGCCTTACAATTTTTCGGTAACAAATACCAGACCCTCTAGCTCTGAATAGGAAAGGGGGCTGTCATGTGATATCCAATCAGAGCATCAAGATTATGCGGAAGGCCCTTCCTTAACTAGCCACCGCGAAGGACGAGCCACCTCAGGTGTTTAGAAGCGCCACAATAGCCTCTAAACAAGATGGGGCTCTCTTGCCCACTTCTCTTCATGTTCTCTATGCCTTGATTCCTAAGCTCTCTGCCTTTGTTGGCCTTTTGGTCGTGATTATGGTGCAAATGAGTATAGAACCCTCCGTTTAACCCATTTTTCCCACGGTGTGGACCAGTCGTGTGCATGAGCATCCTGCACTAGACAGGGTTCACGATAACTACTCCAAATACTCTCTAGCTTTATGCCGGTTAGAGGGGTCATGTCATTACATAGCAGGCGTCCTTTAATCCTAGTTACTTAGATAATAGCATCCGCCCCTTTCTTGCGACCTCACTTTTTAAACTCCACGAAATTTGCCTTACTGTCACAACTCCCTCGCCCCGAAAATCAGCCGTCACCCGCCCCCAAGCAAATCTTTCTGCTTAATGCTCCCAGGTGCAGCATGCCAGGGAATTTTTTCACATTTCCAACAGCAGACGAAAATCGTTTCAGAGTGGCAGACCTAGTGAATGTAACCTGGGATGTTGTCGCTCCTCTGATTTCGCTTTACGAGACCTGTGGCAGCAATGACCGTGCTCTAGAAGGTGAGGCTGTCCATTTGACTTGTCTTCTTGCTATTTACGGATAATCTGACTATTCCTACTAGAGAGAACAACCAACAAGTATAGCTACGTGTGGATAGCGACGCGCAAAAACTACGTAGAGTCTGGCTGTAGGTTCATGCTCCAGCCGTTCACTACCGAAGGCGAGTCATATGGCGACAATATTACAAGTATACTATTTGGTGTATCAAAGAGATACACAGATGATCCATCACCGGTCTCGTACAATTTCATCAATGCATCGTCATCCACCTCTACAAGCGCCACGAAAGCAACTTCTACGTCTCTCACTACCTCGGCTAGTGTCGAATCTACATCATATTCAAGAACTACGTCAACCCCTCAGTCTAGCCATGGCATGTCGAAGACGAGTAAAATTGGAATCGGCCTTGGTGTTCCTTTAGGCGTTTTGTTGGTAGCTGTCGCTCTGGGCGCGCTCATCTTCTATCGGCGGAAATATCGACAGAAAGAAACTCAAGGGGTGCCTGTTACACATCAACCAAAGGATGAACTGGCTCCACTCCCTATGATTTGGTATAAAGAGCCTCATCATACGCGACTGTCACAGACGGAGACAGTGGCTTCCTCCTTCTCGAAACTGTCTAACGATAATCAAAGATCGGAAGGGACAGACAGACGGCTAAGTGAACTAATGTCTACTGAACGAGTGGAGATAGGCTGATTCCAGTTCTGAGTTGAAATCTTCGAAGTAAAGGGGTTGATATTCTGCAGGCCTTTACCTGACGCGATCGACTCACTTTGCATTTTCAGAAAGTCCATGAATAATTATGGAGTAGCTTAAATTAATAAGTTCTTGGATCCCCAGAGTTCTGTTTTTGTAGCCTTTTTTGTTTCCTGTACTTGCCATTTCTGGGCAATATGTATACCCTGACATTCAAAACCGCGAAAGGACACTGTAAAGATTCTGATGGGACATGCTCCTACTTGCAGTTAACCCGGGGGCCCATGGACAGGGCCCATGGACACTGCCCATCGGCCCGTTCATGGGCAATGTCGCCGTCTGATGATTATTAGGTGGCTAAATAGTAGGCCCTGTTATGGCACAACTAACTGCAGTTATTTTGCTAGGACTGAGGATTACATTCAAATGCCGGCCCTTTTTAGATAGGACGATAGGTGCCATCAAAAGTAGAAGGTTGCACGTGATGGGACTAGCGTGTTGCATTCTATTGATGCAGCGTACTTAGGCCGCTCACCCCTAGGCTCAGCTTATACTCTGTGAGCGGATCAGGGCGCTCAGGGGCGTGCTCAGTCCTACTCAGTGAGCAAAAAGCGGCAAGATATGAGCACTAAAATGGAAAGGGAAGGCCAGGCAGTGGCAGAGGAAATTAAGTACATAGGTATATTCTGTCTTAGAAGGTACCATTCAAGACAATACACTGCGTAGCAGAGTGGCATCGGCCATTGGGACACTAGTTGAGGTGTTTTCCCACGGTAGGTGTGCTCAACTAGCTAGGACCCAATCTGAATCTCTTAAAAAAGACTCATCTCTCGTTCATGTCATTTTTATTGAACACAACAACTATTTTGCATGTTCTCGCTTCTAAACCTATTTTCAAACCATAAGCCTATTCTATCAGAAGCTTTACAACCTATCTAGCTATTTTAATGCATTAGATAAGTGAGTTACGAACGTCTGAACAACTATCTAATTTAGAGATGGAGGAAAGATCCTTGTTTTCTTTTCTTGTTCTTACTTCTGTTGTTTTTGATATATGGAGAATTTTGAGTGATCGCAATAGTTGATGTGATTATTATATATGAGGCGGAACATTGGAGTCTCCTTTATAGGATAACGGAAAAGTGCACTGAGTCGTCGGCAGGTGGAGTTGTTGTTTGAGGTAGGAACTATATTTGCCTAAAGGGGAAGGTGGTTGCTCTACATCAACACGTGACTAGCACTCAAGCCTTTAGATTATGCCTACATTTGTAGTTTCTCACATGTTGTTGGACGCCCTGCATCTCAGTTTGCTGGTATAATTGTGCGCTTGACTACTTTGAAGGTAATTAGGGAATCCAGAACTAATTCCGATGAGATTGGGACTGTCAAGTGACAGGGTATCTTGGAATATGTTCGATCTTCAACGACGGATCTAAAGCTGCTTGTTTGCAAGATAATACATAGTTACATGTAATTTAATACTTAAAATGATAGTCTCAAGCTTGCAATGATATCTTTGCATGGTGTGAAAGCCTGGCCTGTATCTCAATTCTAGAAGTCCTGTCACTTATCTTATCGAACTAGTGCTGACGTTTTATTAAGCGGTAACGAGATATTCGGAGATGCGGGGACGTGCATATAAATTTCGTACATGTGTGACCAACAGGCCAAGTCATGCACGGTCGTGACCCGTGTATGTTGCCTTAGCTTCCAGAGCTAACCTATTAGGGTTACCAACAACGGGAGGTGCAGGTGCAACTAGCCAATGACAAGAAAGGTAAATGAACGATAAATAGAGCTGCAGATTTTGTTTTGTTAGTTTTCTTTTCCCCTCTCCTTTGCCACACTCGTGTCTTTGGGATGTTATTCATGTCTTTCGGTCTCTATGTTGCTTTGGTGTTGGGGGCCTTCGGCCTCTATGTAGCCAGGGTCTTGTTGGGACGTTCTGGGACGACCCGGGGCCCGCTGCCGCCGGGCCCGCGACCCAAGCCCTTGCTTGGCAACATCTCTGATTTACCGCCGCCAGGTACACAAGATTGGATGCACTGGCTTAAGCATAAAGAAACTTATGGTATCTTTCAAAATCCTTGTTATGTCACCTCAAGTCAACTATTGCTGACACACTGAAATACTTTAGGACCGATCAGCTCAGTCACCGTTATGGGACAGACTATTGTGATTCTGAATGATGCAAAAATAGCACTTGAGCTACTTGGAAAACGTTCTTCGATATACTCCTCGCGACCAAGTATGGTGTTCGCATCGGAAATGTAAGTCCAGAAATACGAGTAAAAATCAAGGTATAGAAGCGAAAAACCGATAGCTGATAAACAAAGGGTGGGATGGGAGCATGGCCTCGTGATGCAAACATATTCCAGTCAATTCCGGGCGTATCGCAAGGCACTGCAACCATATCTCGGTTCCGAATCGGCAGTGGCCCAATTCAATTCTCTACAAGAAATAGAGACGCATCGCTTTCTCTTCCGTGTTCTGGAAGATCAGACAAAGCTTGCAGAACATATCCAAACGTAAGTGAATATTTGCAACGATTTTTCAACCGAAGGCGAATCTAATCCTCCTCAAAGGGAAGCCGGCGCGGTGATTCTTAAAATTGCTTACGGTTACACTATTGAACCGCATAAGCGGGACCCCTTGGTGCATATGGCCAACGTTGCGCTTGATGAATTTTCGAAAGCTGCTTCACCGGGAACTTGGCTTGTTGACATTATTCCCGCCTGTGAGTGCCCCTTTCTTTGTATCACAATAATTGAGATGGTATTGACCAAAAAAAGTGAAGCACATTCCCTCGTGGCTTCCAGGCGCAGGCTTCAAGCGAACTGCGGAATTATGGAAAAATGACGTCGAGACCACCGCCCGCATACCATATGACTTCGTGCGTCGGCAAATGGAAGAAGGCCGGTATGAGCCTTCCTATCTCTCCAATATATTCAAAACGACAGGATATCCTGCCCACGACTCTGAGGAGGAGTTGGTTGCAAAATGGACAGCTGCATCTCTCTATACTGGCGGTGCTGACACCGTATGGTTATCAAATCTGTTCGCCCTAAATATGACTAACACTATATAGACTGTGAGCTCCGTTGAATGTTTCTTCCTTGCAATGACGCTATATCCAGAGATTCAGCGCAAAGCTCAAGAAGAGATCGATCGGGTGTTGGGGCCTTGTCGTCTTCCCACCGTGACCAACCGCGCGCATTTACCGTACGTTGAAGCTGTCATCAAAGAAGCTCTGCGCTGGCATCCGGTTGCACCCACGGGTATTCCGCATGCATCAACTGAGGATGATACATGGGGTGAATATTTCATCCCTAAAGGATCCTTGCTGATAGCGAACATCTGGTCAGTATAAGTACCAGCGTGTCGAAACCAACCACCCCTTGCTAACTTCTGACAGGGCATTTACGCATGATCCTGCGGTTTATCATGACCCGATGACCTTCAAACCGGAGCGTTTCCTAGGAGTTGATGGCCGCAAGCCTGAGATGGATCCACGTGAGCTTGTCTTTGGATACGGGCGTCGCATTTGTCCCGGAAGGATCTTGGCAGACACTACACTATATTTGGTTATTGCTCAATCACTTGCAGTGTTCGATGTCAAGAAGGCTATTGAGAATGGAAAAGAAGTAGAAGTCCAACCGACGTTCCAGCCTGGAGTCATCAGTCATCCCGAGTCGTGGAAGTTCCACATTACACCTCGTACTCCAGCCCATGAGACGCTTATTCGCTCAGTGGAACAGGATCATCCATGGGAGAAGAGCAATGCGTCAGATCTTGAAAGAAGTCAGTCTTAACTTCTAATTTAGAACTCGGGACAACAATGTTTCACTCAACCTAAATCTTCGAAGCTCGATTGACACATTTTACATTGAGTTTAATTTTGAAACAAAGACCAATACCTTACGTGTTTCAAAGCACCGGGCTCGGCTGCGCTAAATCGCGATATTTTGCCTAGGCATCTTAACCAGGTAAGCTCATAGATCGGAGATATCTTGGTAAAGTACCGAGTACTTGAAAATTGTATGCAATGCACTACTAAGTTGAAGTAGTCGATACCTCACCGCATGACCTGATAACAAAATGAACCTCGGCAGTCTCGGCTGAACAGCGCGGAGACCCTTCTTTCGCATACATACTTGTTTGAATCCTTCTTCTCTTTTGATTCTTCCTCTTTTTTTTCAACTCAACCTGTATATTTTGTAAGTTCCTTCCCACTTCATTTCCAATCTTCATTTCCGGTATTGGGTGCTCTTTTGCTCTTTTTCTCCAATTCCCCAAAGAACACAACTCTCCGCACCCGTTGAAACTTCCCCGCAACAACACCGAAAACTTCCCAACCCGCATTTTGGGCTTTGAATCTCGCTCGTAAATGAGAAGAAACCTGAAGGGCTAACGCTTAATTTTTTTTCAGTCCCTACACTTAATACATTATATACATCATGGCCGCGGATCGTCTCAGCTCGCTTTTGAGCCACCTCAAGCCCGGCGCCGCTAGCGGTGTTGCTGCTATGTAAGTACTCGGATGACCTCGGTTGTCTTCCTCAGGTCTAACAGCCACCTCCAGCACCCAAAAGAACCCCGATGATGTAGTCATTACATTGGCACTCCGCACCCCATTGACCAAGGCACGCAAGGGTGGTTTCAAGGATACAGAGTTGGATTATATGGTTTATGCCTTGTTGAAGGAAACCTTAGCCAAGTCCCAGATTGACCCTGCTCTGATCGAAGATGTCTGCCTCGGTAACGTATGTCGAATCTAAATCCCTACACTCATCCTTTATTGTTTTTTTGTTTGTTTTGAATTGCCCATTCTAATTCCATGCAGGTTGGTGAAGGCAAAGCCGCTTACATGGTCCGCGCTGCGGCCCTGGCTGCCGGTATTCCCCACACAGCTGGTGCCTCATCAGTGAACCGTTTCTGCTCATCTGGACTGAAGGCCGTGCAAGATATTGCCAACCAAATTCAGCTGGGCGCCATCGACGTGGGTGTCGCTGTGGGTGCTGAATTGATGTCTGCCGCTGGCGACCGGCTGGAGAAGCCTTTCAACGAGGAGGTCCTCCGCAACCAGGAGGCTGCCGACTGCATGCAGCCTATGGGTCAGACATCTGAGAACATTGGCAAGGACTTCGGTATTCCTCGCGAGGAGCAAGACCGATACGCTGCTGAGTCTTTCCGTCGCGCCGAGGCTGCTCAGAACGCTGGCTGGTTCGATGACGAGATTGCTCCTATCAGGGTCAAGGTCACGGACCCCAAGACCGGCGAGGTTAAGGAGATCACTGTCTCTCGCGATGACGGTATTCGCCCCGGCACCACATTCGAATCCCTGTCCAAAATTCGCCCTGCGTTCCCGCAGTTCGGTGACAAGTCCACTGGTGGAAACTCCAGTCAGGTCACCGATGGTGCCGCTTCCGTTCTCCTTATGCGCCGTTCCAAGGCCATCGAGCTGAATCAGCCCATTCTCGCCAAGTTCTGTGGTGCTACCGTTGCTGGTGTACCTCCTCGTGTCATGGGTATCGGTCCAACTGCCGCTATTCCCAAGCTCCTCAGCAAGTTCCAGCTTGACAAGAACGACATCGATATCTACGAGATCAACGAGGCCTTCGCCTCTATGGCAGTCTACTGTATCAAAAACCTTGGTCTTGATCATGCCAAGGTTAACCCCCGTGGCGGTGCTATTGCTATTGGCCACCCTCTTGGTGCGACAGGTGCGCGTCAAATCGCTACTGTTTTGAGCGAGGCCCGCCGAACAAAGAGTAAAATTTTGGTCACTTCCATGTGTATCGGAACTGGACAGGGCATGGCTGGTCTGTTTGTCAACGAGCAGCTTTAAATGACACGCGCGAGATATTAGTCTTCAATGTACAGAAAATGAATATCGAATGATTATAAACGAGAATAATGGTATCAAAAATGACATGTTCTTCAAACAACAAAAGCTCGTAAATCGTGAAACATATTGTAATAGATTTGCCAACATCACGTAGCATCATCCTGCTTTCTCGCCTGGCTCTCCCTCTTCATCCTTTCCTCTGCAGCACGCGCCATGATCTCCCGACGAGTCAGCGCCCCGCCACTGCCAGACTGTGATGAAGCCGGATCCCCTTGCAATCCACCAAGAACAAACTCCCCACCGGTCCACCCACACTCGTCAACAAACTCCTCGCCATCTTGTACACTGTCCCAATCCCCCGGATTGTAGAACTCCTGACTAGACAATTGATTTCCCCCAGACTTCCAATCAGCACGATCAACCTCCTTCTCAATCTGAGATGTCAAATCCCAGAAATCGCGGTCATGCGGCCCAAACACGCAATGAGCAAGCTCATGACACAGCGTCTTTCGAATAGTTCTATAATCGCGATAACCATCATATGCGTCCGTTCGCAGACGCAACTCGATGACCTCGCCTTTGTTCCGATTTAGACCCAGCGTTCGCGACTCGCTGGTGGTGTGTTCGGCTGGGTTCATTTCTGTAAGAAGTGGGACGGAGAACTTGTGTTTAGCCATTGCGGCTCGAATTCCTGGGTCGTCGCGGAGGCGTTTGAGAAAGTCAAGAGACCGGTCTGGGTTTGGAAGGTAGGAGAGTGGGAGGAGACGGTGAAATGTGTAGTTGTTGCTCGAAGAGGAGATAGTGTGGATGCCCCCGGTGCGGCTTGCGGTAGGTTTTTGTTTATTGCGACGTGCTGCAGCTAGAGCGGAAGATCGTGCCTCTTGTCGGCGCTGTTCGCTGGCAGATTGTTCGTGGAGGTGGGCGATTTCTTTGGCGGGTGTCCCGAGGAGGGTGATCTTGAATTTAGGGGAGGATCTTTGGAGTATGGCTTCGAGGAGAGTTGGAGGAAATGGCGCTTTTTGCATCCCTGGTTTCGGGGCTATGAGAAGCTTCTGGTTGTCTATTGGGATGTTGAGGACGCTCGCTATCTCGGACGAGAGGTCTTGTAATGTCGCTGAAGAGGAAACCTGGATGATATGCGGTGTACCATGGTGATGAATGGTCAGCTCCATCGGGGAATCCATCGTATTTCAGTGATGGGTAATATGTGAAACCTGAAAACTCTTAAGACAGAGAAACAACGACTGGCAAGAAACAGCTTATATGACCCAAATAGGCAGGCGCTGAGGCGAATTCGACGCGGTTCCACGGCGATAATTTGTCAGCGCGGAGATAAGCCCTGACTCGCGCAACGCCTAACCTATGATTTGCAACCACCAACAGGTTCAATGCCATGATGTTCTAAATACCTCTCGTTCAATTGAATGAAGGTAGTGTATGAATATGACTAGTGGGAAGTTGCATAGGCAATCATGTCTATTGTCTCTCTGCATAACAGAGCAGCCTCGAAGACTAGTTGAAACTCATCGAACACAAAGACTGGCTCACATACCAATGACTGATAGTTTTTTCTCCTGGTGATGCATCATACTCTTCAATCCGGTATTGTGCACACACAAGGTGAAGGCACCACACTACCTCAACCTGTGTCTTCGACAACGCCAGCAAGCCCTCATTCGACAATTCGTGCACATGAAAATGTATTCAGGCAAATGATGATCGCAGATCTCACACTGCAGGCTCCCTGTGTTCCGCCAAGCCCATTGGGAGTGCCTATGATGCTCGCAGCCCACGTCCTCGTGATGCAATAGGGCATCTACTGCTTGGTTGAAAGCGCGCTGACGAACTGCATCACCAGCATTCCGTGGAACTTCTTCATCAACGACTTCAATCGCCCTATCGAAAAGCCTTTCCTCTTGCCAAAGATCACAGTTGCATGTTTTCCATATTGCTTCACACGTGTAACAAAATTGTTGAGCGCAGCTGATGAACAATCGATTAGCTTCTCTGATATGTCGGAGGGTTAGAAGTCGGCAGCATGCTTACATGCAGGTCATATGATTACAGCCCCGTTGGAGCTCTATCATAGTCCGGCAATTGGGGCATCGCTTCCAGCCCTCGGCCTCCCCTATGCGCAAGACAATAGGAAGAGTCTCGTCCAATGGACAATCAACCCCAGTATGTATCAAGGAGCGGCATGGCAAATGAGTCTGCTGGTGACATTCGTGGCATGTTCCATGGTCATTGTCGATAGCGAAAGGAGGAATGAACTTCGAACACGTTGGATCGGCACAGTAGACACGATCCTTGGAAGTCCATTCAAGGGCTCTTTCACTGAAACTGCGAAGCTCCTTGTAATTCAAAACCCTCATAGCAACTCCGGGTGGCACAACATTGCCGCAGCAACGAGGGGGATACAACTCTTCGTCTTTGATCGCGCCGAGGAACATTTGCCGGGTGCAATCAAGACAAAATTCGTGACCGCACTGACCGATGAACAAGATAACGGTGCATCTCTCAAGGCAGGAGACACAAACTCTCTGGCGAGTTGGTGTTCTGTAGGATGAGATTGCTCTCGACGAGCTTTCCCCATTGTAGGACTCGTCTCTTAGAGACATCCGATCCATCAGGTCCCCCATAACAACAGAAACAGTGTCATCATTCTCGTCGTTCGATGCCAATTCAAATTCTCCAGTAGTGTTCGGATGGGGAGGGGGAGCTGGTTCCCCGTTGTTAATAGCAAGTGCAAGTCGATGATCCTGGTCGGCAACCCTTTCATCATGTTGAATCGATGCGAGTACATTTTGGTCAGTCGAAATTGCAGCACTCGTGCTATGCGCTAGTATTTCATCCTCGATGGAGGTTTGGCTGCTTATGATGTCCCTCCGCATACAATCGATAGCCAGATCAAGATCCGTATGTCTTCCTTCAGTCTGCTTCCCTTTCTGTTCTTCTTGAAGATCCTGCAAATCCTGCAAAAGAAGATCCAAAATGATCTTCTTGCTCTGGTCGTCTTCCATCTTGAGACTTAGATGGCGTTGAGATGGTAGCACACTCAAAGGAAATGTTTGGATATGATCACTTGGCAAACATGCAGAACTAGGCCAAGGCTAAAGCCAGTTGGTCAGTCCCAGGGTGATATCTGGTAGGCGAGAGTTGACCGTTAGTGCCAGGTAGCGCATGCTAAATGGGAGTTAGAGAGAAAAATCCGCAAGGAGGAGAAAGATGTAAGAGCCTTAAAGGGTGCAACAAGTCTGCCCTGGGGGGTTTGTTTTATCGAGCACTGATCTATGCCCAATACTTCATATAAGACAAACGGGAAAGTCTCGGTATGAAACTCCCTTTGTCAAACTGCCAGTATCCGCAAGCCCTTACCTTGTCACGCTCTCAACTATTGGATTGCCATTCTACACAACATGGAATTCTGTGCAGTTCAGCTATTTACTGTTGCCTAAATATAATATCAATATATTCAGCAGCTCCTATCAAGAACTGGGAATTCTGGTACCGGAATCATGTTTCACAAATTCTTGTACTACAAATCCCGTCAATAAGTCTTTGCCCACTTCCCTATTTACCAGCGAAAGGTGCCGATTTCAGGCCGATTTTTCTCCACATGTTTATATGGTAACACATCTTTGGATTACTTTAATTAGAACTTTAGTATCGGATTAAAGAAATATGGGTTTCCGGTTATCCAATATATATGGCTGTTGAGTGGCAACTGATTAATTTTAATTTCTAATTTCAGCCTCAATCATATCTAACCAGCGGCCTCAGAACTCGTTTTGAAAAAATATGTTACCGTATAAATATATGGAAGAAAAAGGGCCTGCAATCAGCACTTTTTGCTGGTAAATAGGGTAGTGGGTAAGGACATCTAAAGTCATTGAAACGTATGTAACTTGCCCTGATCATGGGCTGATGGACTTGAGTATAACATCTGTTATTCCCAGTAGACTCTCTTCTTCGAGTTTGCGGCCGATCAGTTGCAAACTGACTGGCATGCCATGTACGGACTCGGCAGAGTCTGAGCCCATCAGTATTTCAACACGGCAAGGGTTCAATTTGGGATTGACCACTTACAATTTCTTTGTACTTGTGCATCCAGGTCAGTCAGTGCCTGATGATCGCCATACGCTGTATCGATATCCTTGTCCGCATTCACACCACAGGGGAACGAAACGGCTGGGTAGTCAAGCAAGTTCCAGACACAGGTATACCCGGCATAATCGAATTTTCCATTCTCAACGCTGCTGTAAGGCGTTGTAGGACCTGTGATAATCAGTTAAAAAAATTTCACCTTCGCCTCAGCTGGTCGACTTACTTAGAATGGCGTCAATCCCAGCCTCGTTCCACCGATCTAGATAGTATTTGCAAAGAGCGTTACGATTGACATGAATTTGCCATAGGCCGTACACGTTTATCTCCTTTGCTTCTTCATAAGGCTTCATTTCCGGGCGAAAGGGCTCCCCCGTCGGCTCCAGGAGTTTTCGTACAGACTTCCCTCCGTCTGCAAGGAATAGGCGTCCGAGTAGGCCAAGCATCTCCATGTGTTTAGTCGGCGCCCAGTTTATAATCTCATGACCAGCTGTCATCAAGTGTTCAACGGTTTCTTGCAGAGCACGAGCAACAGGAGGCGTCGGAGTAACCACTCCGTCATCCCAGAGAACTGCTATCTTGAGAGATTTCTTCGTTTCCACAGACCGCCAGGGGATGGGGACGCACTTTGGGTCACGGATCCAAGGCTTTTGACCGACTACTATACTAGACCAGAGAACGATTTCTTCAAGTGTCTTAGCCATCGGACCGCTGACGCCATTGACGGATTCCTGGCCTTCCAGGCAAGCACGCGATTGGAAATTGGGGAAGCGTCCGGAGGAGGGACGAATGGTGAAGAGGCCTGTGCAGGCAGCAGGCATACGAAGGGAGCCTCCTAGTAGACAAATTAGCATTCGTTGCTTTGATGGCTGATAGCTCTTCCGCATTAGATTGTACCGATATCACTTCCGATGCCAATCCGACTACCCCCAAACGCGATCAAGGCAGATTCTCCGCCACTTGAGCCCCCGGTAGTGAGCTTTCGATTCAAGGGATTGACCGTGCGCCCAAAAAGGTTGTTCACAGTTTCGGCGATCATCATGGCAGTTGGTACATTAGTCTTGCAGTAGAACACCGCCCCGGCTTCAAGAAGGGAGTCGATGATTGTACTATTGTGAGTGGCAGGCTTGTTGGCAAGAGACGTAAACCCAATAGTCGTATCATAGCCAATAATGTTGATGTTATCCTTGATAGATATCGGCAGCCCGTGGAAAGGTCCCTTTGTCTTGCCAGTTTCTTGGAAGTAAGCATCTAGCTCTTTGGCATGTGTGACGGCTTTATCAAAGAATATTTCCGACAAACAATTTGTCTAATCCTCAATTAGATTTTGTTAAACTTCATTTTGGGGAAGACTGACCAATTGTTGAGCTGCAGCTGCAGTCTTACAGAAAGCCTTAGTCACTTCTTCTGACGTCCATGACCCCGAAGATAGATGAGATAGGATCTTCGGGGCAGGCGTTGAGAGGATCTCCAGTTCGCGCCCAGTAAACATTCCAGATTCCCGAGGGAATGTAGTGACATCTAGTTGATCGTCCGGGGGAAAGATGGCGGCAGGAATTACCCATTCGGTTGGGATGGAGTTTTTCAGCGCCAGGCACTTTGTAGCCGCAATTGATTCCCACGACATGGTGGTGATAGCGAATGGTAGAGATTTTGATGAAATTAAGCTCACAGTGAAAGCGGAACCTGAGACCCTTTTTATGTTCTTTGAACACAGCTACACTAGTGTTAGTACATTAAAGATTACATGAAGTAGCCATATCTATACCGAGCGGATGGCGTGATAGAATTCGTCGGGAAACCTGGACGTATCATAATTCAGGAATATCCCGAGGGTATCAGGGCAAAGTTCGATAACGGCAATATGGACTTAATGAGCGAAGAGCACGGCAAGAAATGAGTTGTACCTGCTCTGTTATTTTAAGAATGGCAATTCATCTATTTACCAGAATCAAAACTACGTCGCCGAAATGAAAGCCTGACGCATTTTCAAAAAGCTCATTAGTAAATATTCCATATATGCTTATGGTGTTGTAGCAGAAATCTAGAACTATGATTGTCTATGGAGCATTCGCTTTATAAGAAACTGAACAAAAGTGAAATTCGTTTAGAGGATTAATAATCCAAACACATCAATAGAACAAGAAAGAGATGTAGTTTCAGAATTATTCAGATATTTCCTATACTTTCGGGTGAGAAAAGCCACTACAGATGATAACGAAATGCTGGGTTCGCCCAGTCAGTCTCATCCTTGTCGATTCGAAGAAATCCCTCGGTCTCAGTGACCTCGCAAGATTCAGGATCCATAGTCCTATTCTGCTGGCGATCACGGTGCTGGTTCTGGAAGTGGAGTAGCTGGCGCAAGACTAGAATGGAGATAAATGCAATAGCCAGTGAAACCATAATACCAATCCAGGCACTCTATTCATGGTCAGTCTTCTTTTGTTCGGCAGAGGGTTGATCAAAAGCGTCTTACCTCGTAGTCGGGCATCTCATCATTGAAGAATAGAAAAGGACCAGTGATGTTACCGGCACAATTCCCCATAAACATCACTGCGCTTACTGTCGTTCTCTTGGTGTATCCAGCCACGTTAGAGGCAATAATACTCAAAGTAATGGGAATCCCAGCTGAATATGCAGGGAAAAGCCACATTCCCGCCAGTCGAGCCACCTTATTGCTTGGATCAATCCGAGCGACCATGAGGCAGCCGGCTAGACTTATGAGTGACAAGGTAGCAATGGTAATGCATCGCGATTTTCGAACTTTGGAGGTTATTATAGTGGCCAAAACTACCCATGCAAAGGTGAAAACCGACATGGGTAAAGAAACGAGGAGGGTATTGAAGGTTGAGTATCCGAATCCAGCAATAACAATGCCTCCAAACTGCGGGACGGCCACAATTGTCAGCAGAGCTTCGTAAGTTCCAGTCTGGTTCTCCTTACGCTTGTGAGGCCTCCATTTGGAATAGACGATCCCATGGCGTATATAAATAGAAGCCAGGTCTTGGGGTCTATGAGCGCTTCAAGAAATTGACTTTTTGACCATTTATACGAGACTGAAGTATGTGTTTCCCGCTGGGCACGTTGGTGGATGAACTCTCCTTCTTCTTTGGAAAGGAACCGGGCATTGCGAGGGCTGTCTGGTAGGTAAAGAAGGAAAACAATCCCATATGCGAAGGTAACAATGCCGAAGATAATAAAGATCCACTGTCTACTATTAGCCAGATTTCAAAGAGATAATTCCAATGCGAGGGAAGTTTTCGAGATGCGGCATAACGTACCCTCCATGGCTCAACGGAGTTGCTGATATGCCCGATACCATACGTTAACAGGCCACCAAAAATGGACGAAATGCTGTTTCCTGCAAACCATATTCCATGTCTAGAGACATGTTCAGACCGTTTGTACCAGAGACTTGTGATCAAAGAGAGACCAGGGCTAATTGTACTTTCAAATCCCCCGAGTAGGACACGAACCGTCGTAATACCTGCAAAATTAGTCGTGGCACCATGGCATGCTAGTATCACGGCCCAAACAAGACTGAAATATCATTATTAGCTCTGGGCATGGAAAGGAGAGTTACCACACGTACAAGGAGATGGAAAGGAATTTTCCAATAGGAAATTTGACGAAGCATAGAGATACAGGGTAGGATGCGACCAGGAAGCCAAAGTAGAATGCGCTGGAGGCCCATGAATATTGAGCACCAACAAGATTCTGTTTTGTTTTACCGTCAGTGATTTTCCTCAAGTATGGTCGGAGATATAGATACCAATGACTTTTGGATTCCAAAGATTGCAGTATTGCCTAGCGCAGTCTTGTCGAGATACTGAAGCATGTAGGCAGTAAACATAATAGGAAGCATGCTAAAACAAAGCATCAATAGGACTGTCCTTGATATTGGAAACCAGCATCTCATACTGTAAATCAACCTTGCGCATCAACGCTTTCTCTTCCTGATAGTCAAGAACCAAGGCTACGCGCACCTCAGTCGCACCCTTATCGTCTTCTCCTGAACCCTTTCTAGCAGGATTTGATATGTTGCTTTCCATGATGCTCCTCAGTTGAGTCATGAAATGGACAAAAGAAACGCAATAATTATGCAAATGAAGTATATCCCAGGGATATCAAGGGGAGATTAAGCAGTATCTATATATTCACAGTGAATTTATTAATAATCCCCCAACATACAAACGACGCTTCCTCAAAGCCTGGCTTCTGAAGTATATCATATGCATATGCCCTAATATGGCGACAGAAGGCGTAATTAACCCGGCCGTTGACGATAATATCCCACTTCCGGGATTCTGATTGGTCCTCGGAAAAGTCGTCCAATGACAATGGAGACATTTGGCTCAACAATCATATCTGGGGCTAGAATCAAGCTTACATGTTCAGATATTATAGTGTTGCCCATCTGATTCTTTTTAGCTATCGCATATGCCCATTTCCACGCAAGCATCCACTGATAATTGCAATTCGTCAAAGAAAGTTATTTTCCCACAATGGCCAACTATTCGCAATCAGGTTTTCCGAGCGGGCGATCAGGACGACCGAGGACGAATGCCTGTGAGGTGTGTCGTTCCGCCAAGGTCAAATGTGATCAACGGCATCCAATCTGTCTGCGATGTTCTCGCCTGAATTTGCAGTGCTCTTGGCTGTCCAAAAGAGCCGAGTTAACAACGGCTCGACGATCTGCTGAGAAGCAAAGGAAACTTCTTCCAAAGTCCGACGCATCGCAAATGCCTATCAATGTGACATCTCCAAACGTATCGTCACAAGTAGAACGCGATTTGGATATGTCTTGGTCCACTTCCTGTTTGGACTTTAGCAGCCTTCTATATTCGCCCACTTTGTTCATGCATGATGTTGTCCTTGACCACTCATTAGTTCTTAGTGGGGATGAATACCAGGCCTTGCATCACTACCAAGAGAGATTTATCTCAGATCGGCTACTTACTACTCCCCGTTGGTCTATGCTGGGTTGCATTCTCCAGTCTGTCTTCCACATACCAGTGGCCATGCATTTCCTAATTGCTATCTCTTCTATGGACCTGAATCGGCGCTCTCCTCGCCCTGCAGTCAGCGTCAGTACTAGTAGAGCACACTTCCGCAAAGGCTCGGACATGCTTATACAGCTCATGAACCTGGATACCGAACCCCATCATTTCAGTACTCTTAGCTCATTCTTCTTTCTATATTTGTGCATGAGCCATCGTGATCGCCTGGACAAGAAGGCAATTGAACAACTCAGCTTGGCGGTTCTAAATTATATTCAGCGATTTACTCTAGACCGTTTGAGTTCCGGGGTCAAACTAGAAGAGAACTCCTTTACTTCTGCATGGCACGATCCATGTCGATCAACTGAGCCTGGTCTTATTGGGCGACTGCTGCTATTTGTAGCATCGGAAGATATAAAAATGGAGTTTGAAGGATGCGGCGGTCATCTTGCAAAACATCTATTTGGTAGTGACGATCTACATTGGCGAATATTTTCCCAGCAACGGTACATATTGGAGCGACACTGGGGACAATCATATCCGGATAACGAAGTCATGCATCACCTTGAAACAACAGCAGTTATGGAAATGGGGCACAGAATCACATGCCTCTTCCACAAGGTGAACGAACTCAGCAAGAAAGTTTCAGATCAAGCAAGACCGCGTGATCCTGAAATCGACAGAGGGATCATTGAAATCGAAACGGTATTGACTTCTCATTTATAGCTCAAACTGCTCATGTATCTGACTTCTCCATATAGCAATACAGTTCCATCTTGCGAATGACACAACTTCCAAAGGCGGCTCGATCTCCTTTCTTGCGAACTTCCGATACCGCCGTGAGTGGCTTCTACTTCGTGCAACTCTACTACTTTCGCTTAACGCTGAGCGATTACACACAAGAAAGTCCACCCCACATCATGTTCGCCATGACTAGTTTGATGAACATCGCCCACCGTGCCTTTGGCGAGCAAGACCCCTGGGGCCATGAATTATTCCAGTTGCCCCTCTTTATGACAGGGATTGAAACCAAGGATCGAATTCACGTAGAGTGGATAATTTCTAAAATGAGCAGGTTGCGCTTTCGCACAGCATTAAGTGAAATTATATCCATTCAAGACCGAATGGGGAGACGGCTTTCTATGGCCCGTGTTAAGCAAATCTTGGAAGACCTTGCAAGGTGAAAATGGCATGTTTATTGGTGAATAGAGAAGGAACTAATGAGCGAAGTAAAAGCAAAGGCAGACCAACCAAGAAGGAAGCAGAGAAGAAGCAATTTGTATCTAACAAACACCGTATGTGAGCAAGGAAGGCCCCTCGGTTAAACCGTCGGAGTCTGCAATGAACGTTGTGTGTTCCTTCAACAGCGCTGACCTTTCTGCCACATATGCGCCCTGCAATGACTCACTGCAGATCTTCGAGAACATTGGTATGATCCGTCGGAATGCTTCTCCTGTCGGTCGCCTCGTCCAGCCCCAGCCATGAGTACTTCAACAGTCCGATCACAGGAGGACACAATAGGGACATGCTTTTGCAGGCTTCTTTACCAAGTGTCCTTGCGTTTGCCAGGATTTTTCGACATTGCCGTTTCGAAGAACGGTTGGTCGCCTCGAAATGGGAGGTACTTCCGTTCGGACAATCGTCAGCATAGCTCTTGTTGCGGTGGGCAAAACTCACCTTACGAAGACTGGTTGGCGGAAACGTTGCTGGTGGGTTTGTTTTAGCTTCCCTCAAGAGGCGCGAACCTTTTAGAGGTACTGGTCACCAGCACTACGTAGAAGTGTAAACCCATCGCTGGCGCAGCACCCCGGAAGGGATGGTGCCCCAAAAAACAGGCGAACCTGTTTTCCTAGGTTCTTAGTCGTGGGGAAAAAAGTTATATTGGGAGAAAGCCCCACCTCCCCCCATTCCCAACTCACCAGCCAGCAAGCAAAAACAAGCAAATGCACGAAATGCAAGCGAAGGCAAAGCACCGATTTCCAAGCAACACCTTAGGTGTCATAAACTGCGCTCTACACCCGAGAGGAAGCTTTGGTGCCAATCTGCTTCTCGACAAGCCTCGTGAGAAGCCTGCAAACTCTCGTGAGAATCCCGCAAAGTGTCAACAAACAATTCACATCTCTGATCTGCCTTTCCAGCTGCTAGCGCAGATGGCAGGGTTTATCACGTGAAATGCCTGCTTCGAGAGAAGGTTTCTTGATCTGTTTGAATGCTTACCTAGATAATGGGTCACTAGTGCACCAACAGCATGACCGATCAAAGGAACGAGGATATTGCTGATAATATGACCGATCTCAAGTGGGTTCGCGCTCATGGTAGAGTAGAGGTCCATTAAAGTCAAATAGAAGACACAAGGGCTGCAAAAGTATACAGTCGAAATATATAAGAATTATGCGGGCAGAGAAGAAAGGAAGAAAAAAAGGGAGGAGAGAAGAAAGAGCCGCTTTTATGGCGTTTGCTTACCCCAATTGGGAAGTTGCGCAACAGGGAAGGAACGTTAGTGAGCCCAAAGATACATGCATGTATGTATCCATCATATTTAACAACGCACCTGCTTTTTCAGAGAATGATACAGCGAGAAGGGGTTCTCTGTACTCCGCCTTGTAATATGTAGATTCCACCGGCATTAGAGCCATCACTTTTGATATTTTTGGTCACGTAGCAAAGAAACGTTCCGGCAATACATCTCATCTTCAGATAACGTCGTTGGAGAGCCGGCCTGGACAGAATCCCGCTCAAACCGCATACAGGAGTCAACCAACGCATCAATTGCCAAATTTGGCAGAGTGTAAAGATTAAGGCGACACCTCCTCATCTGGGCTCAATCCTGGCCCCAAGTCTTTTTACCTGGTAAGATTGAGGCATGCATAATCTCCATCCAGGGTTCGAATTTCGAATTTCCAGGATGTAGAATACCTTACGTCTCTTTTTTATGTCCCTTTATGTCTCCTCTCTTCCTAAATTGTAAAGATGCCAGTTTACATAGGAATAGTATCAGAATGTACCATTAACTATATAAAATTTGTTCACTAATTTTGATTTATATTAGTGAATGTAAATTTACCAAGTCCCACGGCTATGGAAGGGCGAAGGAGGCCGTGCGAGGAGGATAACAGGAAAAGCAGAAAAGAAAAGAGCAAGCTAGGTTAACTTCACAAAGTTCAAGGCATACGGAACGAAAGACAGAGGAAGGAGGCAGAATCCCTAACTCAACCGCGTATCAGCTAGAAAGTCTCTTGGGTTACCTGCCCACTTTACAATCACTGCCATATGATGAACCACCCACTACTTGTTTGAGTATAATGTCGAGTATAATAGCAAAATGTTCGAAAAGATAAGGCAAAGGCGTTGAGTATATTTCATCTATTCGTAAACATCCGAGGAAAGGAGCGATCTACATCATAACCATTTGCCATTAGAACAAAAAAGTGAGAGTCAAGTCGATCTCATCTCTAGGTGCATATCACATCTCTTAAAATAAGTCCTTTTCGTCATAACGCGATAAACTCGATCCAGTATTTTGTAAGATCAGAGCAAAGCGTGCACACATGAGGGCTGGCCATATCCAAGCCCATACGCAGAAAAAGCAAACCAATCGCTTAAATATGATTTACTGCTTGTCCGCAGCATCGCCATTCTCGACAGGAGCGTCAGTCATCTCGGCATCGCCCTCAGACTTCTTGGCGTCCTCCTCAGCCTTCTTGGCAGCGTCTTCGGCCTGCTTCTTGGCGTCAAGCTCGGCGCGCTTCTTGGCAGCGGCCTCCTCGTCGGCCTTGCGAACGGCCTCACGCTCGGCTTCGGCCTTCTCCTTGTAGCGCTGGATGATGGGTCCGGCGATGAAGCGGATGTCGTCCATCTTGGCAACGTAGACGGACTTGGTGGTATCCTCACCATCCTCGTAGAGCCAGTCCTGAATATAATGTTAGCTTTCTGATGGCAATTATGAAGTGCCAAAGTTATCAAAAATTACCTCGGTGTCGGTGAGCTTGGCGCGGAGCTTCTCCTTCTCCTCGTCACTGGCGAACTCGGAGTAGATGCCATCGATCTTATCACGGAGCTCGTAGATGAAGGCTTCGAGCTCGTTCTTCTTCTCGTCGGTCTCGGCGACAAGCTTGTCCTCCATGTACATGGCATTCTCACGCTCGGTCCAGGCCTCCTTGGTAGCCTGGTCGAAACCACCGGTGGCGGATGTGATGGGGAGGTCGCCCTTGCGAACCTGCTTCTTGACCTTGCGGGTCTTCTTGGGCTGCTCGTCCTTGGAGTCGGTGTCCATGGCATCGCCCTCCTTCTTCTCCTCCTCGACGGGCTCCTCAACTTCCATATCCTCAACGTAGTATCCGGACTCAACGTTCAAGATACCGTGAAGGTTGAGGCGGGCCTTCAGCTTGCAGATCATGAAGTCGTTGTTGGCGTCGGCGTGGACACCCTTCACAGAGAAACGGCCAATCCAGGGGTTGACCTTACCGGGCATGGACTCAACCTTGGAGTAGCGAGCCTCCAGGTCGAAGGGCTGCTTGCGGTAGAAGGTGAGGATCTTGGTGGAGGGCATGACGTTGCCACGGCTGAAGACGGTGAGGCTGGTGTCCTCATCGGGGATCTCGGGGGATTGCTCCCAGGTGAAGTCGATGGGGTAGTTGACAATGTCGTGGACAGCGAAGTCACGGACACGGAAAACAGGGGAAAGAGTAGCACAGCTGAAGGCACAACCGCGGGCAATGGCCTCATCCTGGTTCAGGGTGAAGGACAGGGTCTTGTTGAAGTATTTGGTGAGGGTCTCCTTGATGGAGGGAACACGGGTGCAACCACCAACGAGCTCAATCTGGTCAATATCCTCAGCGTTGAGCTTGGCCTCGGAGAGGGCTTGTTCGATAGGGACGGTCAGACGGTCAAGGAGGGGCTTGACCATCTCCTCGAGCTCATCACGCTTCATCATGGCGCGGACATCGGTATCATCCATAAGGGACTCGATGCTCAAGGGTGCCTGAGGGTTGGCCGACAGAACCTTCTTGAGCTTCTCGGCGGCGACCAGGGTACGGGCCCAGGCCTTAGGGTTGGTCTTGATGTCGACCTTGAACTTCTCCTTGAACTCAACGGCGAGGTGCTCGGTGAGGGCCTTGTCGAAGTTACGGCCACCGAAGTGACGGTCGTAAGCAGTAGCCTTGACGTTGAGCTCACCCTTGCGGAACTCAACGATGGAGGCAGTGTAGTCGGAGTAACCGATATCAACGAACATAACACGGCGGGGCTTCTCCTCGGGGCCGGGGAGGTCCAGTTTGGTGATACCCCAGCCGAGAGCGGTGGCGGTTGTGTCGTTGATGAGACGGAGGATGTTGACACCGGCGATGTCACCAGCGTCAAGCATGGCACGGCGCTGCACATCAGTGAACCAAGCGGGAACACTGACGGTGACATCGGAGACGGGAAGGCGCAGCTCCTTAGCGGTGATGTCCTTGATCTTGCTGAGGTACGCAGCAACCAGCTGGGTGGCTGTGAACTTCTCCTTCTTGCCGAGGTAGTTGACTTCGACACCAGCCTGGCCATTTACGTCGACCAGAGCGCATGTGTTGTATTCTTGCTCGATGGCGACATCGGGGTCGTTGAAAGAGCGGCCGATCAGGCGCTTAAGCGAGCCGACAGTGTTCTTCAGGTTAGAAATCTCAGCACCTTTGGCGGCCTCACCGAGGTGACGAGAGCGAGGTGTGAATCCAACGAGGGAGCTAAAACAAAGGATTTGAATCAGTTTTGCATCTTCAGATAGGTAGAACGCTCAAGATTGGGTAAAAACGTACGGTGTTTGACGGTTGGAAACTTCATTGGCAATCTGGATGGTTGAAAAAAAAAAGCAAGTCAGCGCATTGGTCTATCAACTTATGTGAAGTCACGATGTTCCGAACAAAAAAAAACTGTAAGTCCGCATGGGGGTCGTGGGGTACGCACAATGTCAATGCCCTTGTTGCGGGCAACACCAATCTTAGTGCTCTGGGCACCCAAATCTATACCGACGACGCTCATTTTGGGAGAAAGTAAGGGGTATGAGGTAGGGGAAGGGGATGATGATAGATCAAAGTGAGAAAAGTGAAACGAGAACCCGGAGGGGAGAATTTGCACGCCACTCCACTATTATTGGAGGGGCGATGACCAAGTTGTCAAGCGGTCTGGCTGCTTAGGCACCGAACTAATAAAGCGGTGTTTGGGGTATAAGGCAAATTAAGCAAAAGTGTAACAGATTTCTCTTTTTTCTCTGCAGTATTTCCTCTCTTCTATATACATTTTCATCTCATGACTGTGATTTGGATCCTCATCGATCCTCATCGAACCTACTAGACATGCCCACCTTCACCGCCCAGAAGCCTGGCAGAATAAGAAAAAATTGGTCATAAAGTGGTGACCGCCTTTATGAGGAATTCTCTGGTGGATCATTGGCTACATCATTACGGGGTTTGTTGCCTACCCTTGACATATTGTTCGTTAAGAATTTTCTTCAGTCATACATGAGAAACAAGAACCCTCAGGAATCATCTTCAAGTACCATGGTCAATTCAGGGTAAGAATAGGGCAACAAAAAGGCACTAAAACAAGGAGACAAAACCTACAATAAAAAGAAAGGGCACAAATGGAGGTCGGAAAGAGAGCTCGCCAAGCACAACAACAAAGGCCAAGAGTATCCAAGCAAAATGACCAAAAAAAAAGGCCAAGATTCAAACAAAAACGTCATCTGAAACCTGTTCAGTGGGAGCAAACTGCCCTACCACATCTGCTGATGGGCGGACAGGGACAGATTTCCGGCGCACAAGATGAGTATTGCGGAAGGTATGAACATCGACATTGAACTCATCACCCAGTTCTTTAGCCAACTCTACCGCTTCACCAGGGGTGGTATGGTCATCGGCGGTTGCGGCATCCGCACGAGGCCCGCCCCATGTCCTTTGACCAGCGGTAAATATGCCATAAACCATATATATCCAATTGAGAAAAGGGTTCACAAGAAACATGAGCGGATAAAGCCAGGCCTTGAAACGACCGAGACGTAGGCCGAAGTAGAACATGAGCATATAGTTCAGGCCAAGGGAAAATCCCATGAAAGCGACAGGCAGATCATCTACCTTCTTTGATGTAGTGATAAGTGCCACAATCATGGTGAAAAACAGGAGTGCAGTAGTTCGGATAGTATTCTGCATGAAACGGACCAAGCAGAGCAGTGGGTATTTAACCCAAAGCCGTACATCTGTGATCATGCACACCTCATTGGTGATGAACCCCAAAAACCATCGTCGGCGCTGCTTGAGAAGACTGCCAAATGTTTGCACTGCTTCTGTTTTGCAGAAAGCGCTGGTGCACAGCTGGATTTGATATCGCTCGTTGGCACCAATCATGAATAGATGGGTGAGCCAGCGATCTTCTCCCAAATGACACTTTCCATAGTCAAAGAGATCATCGCATTGCTCAGCTTTGTCGGAGAAGTAATATTTTGCCATCTTCCGGAAGGCTGAAAACCGCAGAATAGTAAGAGCTCCAGGAAGGCACGTCACTGCACCACATCCAGACTCAACCGATCGTTCAAAAAGCTGCCCATGGACATATTCCATATCTTGAAGGATGGTGAGCAGGCTGTTTTTGTCGGTGGTTGAAGTGATGATACCGGTCATCGCCAACATGTTGCGCTTGCTGCCTGGCTTCAGTTCCATATCGTACATGAAGTTCTGCAGGCAAACGCGGTCAAGAATGCAGTCGGAATCAATGAAAAGCAGGAATAAATTGTCATTTCTCCGAAGATAATCAGCATAGACCTTGTCGATGAGCTTGAAGGTCTGCTTCTGGCAGTGCCTTTTACCTCCATGCATGAACCGAGACACAGTGATTCGAGCACCTTTGTAAGTGCAGTCGATGCTCTGGGGATATATCTGCAGTGAAATCGAAACACCGAGATGCGCAAGGACCTGAAGGTACGGTTCATCCACCATGCCGCCATCGTATGAAAGAAATACATGGATGCAATTTGGTGGATAATCACAGTCGACCACGGAGTTGATGGCTTTGATCAATATGCTTGGCGCCTCCTTGTACACAGGCATGACAACAACGGTCTTCGGAGCGGTGCGATCATCTAGGACTTGCTTGATCCTCTTTTTCCTGCCTAGGGAGTTGGTAGTCAAGACATAGACGCAGCAAAGCCATGGAACGATGAGGAGGATGGAGAATGCCCCAAATGCGAAACTCTGGAACCCGCTAACCATTTTCTGTGGTATGTAGACCATGATGTGGGGCGGCAATGGAAGTGTCACTAGCATGACTGGAAGAAAGGCAAGTCTAACAAACTGGGTTGTAAGCAATCTTGATAAATAATTGCTAGCGTGATGTATCATACCGAACTAAGGAAAACAATACCATCATCACTATAGCCAACACTTTGATACTCCAAGTATCGGCCTTCGCGTATACCTTGACCAAGCAGTAAATGAAGGCTGCGAGCCAGAGGATCCATTCGAAAACTGCCGCCAGCATCACTGGACCGACGATCGACAGGTAGATAATCTGTGGCTGTCAGCATGTTGCTTCAACTCAAAGGACGATCTTAATACATCTCTGATTGGCCAGGCTGCTGACTCCATAGTGAACTGCACCCAAGAAACCGCTTGGGGAGATGCTTGCGAAGAGGGTTTGTGAAAGCGCCTGAGAAGTCACATTGGAAGCCACATTGGAAGCCACATTGGGAAACCACGTAGGACCCCACCCCCCAACAGAAAGGACACTTAGATGCTTTAGCTGCTGTTTCAACTGCGAATGTGTATTAAAATCCCTTTTTGGATTCCATCTGGAAAAGCCAATGCGTAGGTCATTTGATCCTACTTTGGGAATGCGGTTTTCTCTATACAGTGGGTTTAGTTAACATAACCCTGGAAACGACCAAACTGGCCGAGACTGTAAAAGATCTAGCAGACGAGTTTGTAAATTAAGTGAGAAGTCCCGAAAGATGTAGTGATAGTGATAGCTAAATTGTCGCAAAAATGGCCACGAAGAGGATTGTTTAGAAGAAAGCAACTGATTGTATTGCTTATTGGCTGAGTGTAGAAACAATCCACTACCATATCATTGAACAAAGGGAAAGGGGGGATGAAAGAGTAAAATTATCAGACTTATATAGTTATAATATAAGTTCATGAATCAAGCCGAGCTTGCGGGTACATACAAGAGGTCGGAAATTTAGTCAACATGAAATATGGTCCTAATCATTCTCACGCACAAGGCCGGTGGCCTGGTCTTCAAGGGCGCTGGCACCCGTTTGCTGGCGAACTCTCGCAGTTGGACCCGAAGTCGCTTAGTTGTAGTCGTCGTTACAGACGTGTTGATTGTCGAAAAGGTAGGGGCATCAAATGTTGAAGTCCAATATGCAATGCAGCCTATCTAAAGTGCGCAACAATTTTATAGCAGATATGAGCGATTTATTCAAAGCAAATGGCAGTTTTCATCAAGTGAACCAGAATTTGGGTAAAGTAGACAAGGTCCAGAAGTCACTCTCCTCGTTGCAACACAAAAGAAACAGCTAAAGACGCCGTCTCTCACTCTGTCGCGCGATAATATGCCTATAGCGAGCATTTCCCAGGTCCCTGGAGCGTTTCCAGATAAGCCACGTACAGGAGGAGGTACAAGAAGTCATTCTCCTCGTATTGCAGCTGAGGGGAAAGATTGTCAGGAAGTCCTGAAGACCAACTACAAAACGAGCTTCATGAGACTATTGAGGATCCTCTGCTAGGTTATCGCATGAGAGGTGCAATTGTCCCGCGGGATATTAATCCAAATCTATCTGAAGCAAAAATATCAGATGGAAAGCGCTCCCGAAAGCGTAAGGCGCACCTTACTGTCATGAACACAGTCATTAATTATGGGGACTAAGAGCATTCGCATAAAGGCATCTTGTTAGCATGCTCTACTAGATTAGCCTCATCGATGTCCTGACACAGACCCTATTGAGATGCTCTCCCACTTGAGCCGAAGAACTGGGATGAAATGTTGAAACATCCCTATTGCGATGGCTTCGTGCAAGTAGCCCACATTGAGATCAAAATCCTGTAGGGTGAGGAGACTTTTGAAGAGGTCAATAGTCTTTCAGACCAATCAGTGCAAATCTTGCCACTAAAATAGGTGTTTACCTATAAATTCAAGTTGTAGGCTACTAGTTAGATATAAGGCCAAAATCTGCGCAAGAGGCGATGTCCAGAAGATGGCTTTGGAGGAAAAGTACTTAGCGACTCTCGCAATAAGAACTGCCCGATTCGAATTGCTCTCGGCCGCGTTCGGACTTGAAAATGCTTAATTTGCTGTGGTAAATGCATTTTTAAACAGTTTACTTTTTAATGAAGTATATGTGGAACTGTCTCCGGGCAAATTTTCTCTGAAAGACAGAGCATGAAGTGCTAGAAGCTAATTTAAACCTTACATAGGCCTCGCAGATCACTGAGATTGTGGCAACAGGAAGCCTCGAGGATCTTGACCTAATTGAACTGAGGGTTGTGCATGAAGATGTCTGACTATTCGTTATAGATAGAATTAGTATAACCTTCTGTGTTGACGAGCTCGTCATTTTCCACCACCCGTGTCAACGCCAAGAGGCTACCCATATAGTTAAAGACTGAACGAGGCACATGAACTTAGGTTAATAGGTGAAGCGGAGTGGTTCTTTGGCATCCGAATCCTCTGTGACTATCAAAGAGGTGCAATCTAGCTATGTCAAGATGCCTATATCTCGTCAATGGCGCACAAATATTATCTGATCGAGGACAGAAGACTTGAAGTTCCTCCAGTTGACATTGGCCAACTTAAGCCATTCGAAGGAGAAGCTTCAGACAAATCTAAACACGAGTATTCGTCTAAGGTAAGCTCTGCACAGTATGCAACCACCGTCACCAGACCCGACGTTGCTAAGGCGACCTCGCACCTGGCTCAATCTCTGTCGAATCCTTCACCTGACTATTTGCATAAGATTAACTAAATGTTCTCTTATATGTACTAAACTAAACACCGAGCACTCTGCTATCACAGGAATACTAGTGGTTTGCCTAGTGTGTTCAATTCTTTCGCGGTGTCTCTTTTGGAAATGGATACGATCGGAGAAGCTCTGAGGGGTATCCCTGCAAAATCTTCAGAGGCCTAGTGCTAGAAGGCAGCTAAGTAGAAGACAGTAACTACTAGTATTACCGAAGCGGGCAAGTCGCTATGCATGTGGTTGCGAATCTCCAAGCAGGTTATGTTCGATCCAGGTCACTCTGTCGCTCTCGAACGCGATAACAAGCAGACAGTTAGTCTTTTGACTAGCGTAGCGCCTCCATTGCAAACCAAGCTCCGACATATTGACATCCGCCAGCATTGGCGGAGATAGGAAGTGCAAGAGGGACGAATTCCCGTTGAATGAATGGTTACCACGGCTATGGTAGCCGATGGACTCACCAAGCTGCTTCCTTGTCAGAAGCATGCCCAACTCGTCCGGCAGCTCGGAATGGAGCATGTTGGCCACCTTCTGGCTCAGATCAATTGGATTGGTCTAACAAAATCTTTCTTTTATCGTTACGGATTTACGATTTATAACAGAAATATTGACTGTTTTACGCTTCAGTTCTCAGGTAATAATCTGTTAATATTCACCGACATTAATATAAAAGCTAGTGTCATTAGAATCATAGATATCGCCGGGTAAAATGCAATTCTCCTCGACGATCCGGGTATATCTATCGAACCACTTTTCTGTAACCTTTTTATCTATCGCTCGGCTGCGTTTGATATCGAGGGCTCGTCGGCAAATTTAGTAATATTAAGGGTTATGTTTTAAGAACCGGCGGGTCTAGTATGTTGGTTTGGGTGTCGGACTCTCCTTTGGAGGGTCTAGTATTTTTTAGTAAAAAATTTAAGGCCCGGTTAGTGCTTGTTAAGAAAAGAAACCTCGCGTAACTTCTCGTCGGCCCCCCAAAATTTTGAAGCTCCAAAATATACAATTATTCTTCCGCATGATTTCCCTCGCCATCGCCAAGGAACCACCTAGCCTTATAGTACCAGAACGCCGCTAGCTAGCTAAGTAGCTAGGATAGCCAGTTGCAGATAGCTCGGTCACTGGGGATATTGCATAAGGTAGGCGAATCGGCTAGTCGGGCATATTGACCACGTAGGAACGCTTCGCCAAAGTATAGTGGGGGTAGGGAGATATGAAAGGGCACAAGATTTTTTCACGTAAAATCGCTGTATCTAAATTGGCTATTGCGTTTTGGCTGAGACACCCTGATTCAAAAGTTTGTTACGCCGTACTGTGGGTAGGTTAACCGGTTGACCAACGGGTGTCAACCGGTTGGCCATGAATTACGTTTAACTATTATTTAAACGTGTGGTACCTAGATCGATTCCCGTGTGGGGCTGACGCTGTTACAACACTTTTGCGTAACTAGTGAGTTAACTGGTAGTTCACTAGTGAGTGGTCACTACAACTGTAGCTCCAGTGGTCCGGATTTAAGTGGGTCCAACGGAGAAGCTGAATTCCCCTACTGAGCATGGGGTCTTTGTAACGAATACACGCTAAGACTATCTAGGGGCCGTTTTTCCCTTTCTTTGTTTGACACTGTGTACAAGATACCCGTAATTTCCTACATGCGAGTCAACTAGTCACGCATGGCTGAGAGATGCTATAACGGACCTCGAGCAACAGACAAGAAACCCAGGGTTAGAGGCGGGCCAGGGGCCAAAGACGGCAGATGAAAATAAAATTATGATCGAAAATTCAGATGAACCCAAAATTTGAAATCATGCTCTTAGGTGACAGGAGGAAGGCCATCTCGTATCCTGCCGGGGTCGCGAAGATCTCGGAGAACGCTTCCAACACGTAGGCAGGGATCTGTACAGCCACACTGATGTGATTCGGAATGGCACCACCCTGTGAGGCCGCGCATCGCAGGGGGAATTCGTAGCAGGGCCCATGCCCCGGGGTGAGTCGCGCGAGCCGCTTTCCCCTCCCACTTCGGATTCCCTTCGCCTCCCCCCGCCACTAAGTCCTCCCCCCGGCCAACTGGCGCCCCTCTCCCTCCACCCACCGCCGGCGGCCACCGTCCCGAAGCCAGTGGGGCGGCCCCTGCTTGCGAGAGGTGATTACCGGGACCCCCGACCGCCAGTCCCCTCGTGCCCCCGGCATCTCCATGACCCCGACCATTACGCAGTAGATGATGATCATTATTCTCCCTAAAGATTGACCAGATACCAGAGTAGTTAATAGCACTGATTGAGGGATGATCAAATACCATGGTCACATTCGGTGGTAAGTAAGACGCTTCATAAGATCCACATAGACAGCTTTTAATTTTATCGCCCCACAAAACTTTAATAGCTAAAGATACCGCTCCTCCTCTTTTTTTTCTGCAACGGGTAGACAAGGAGCACCCCGACGGAGAGCCCAACCGTTATAGCAATGCCAATTGAAACCATGGTGTACCCGGCAACGAGCTGGGTGGATAATGCCTGGCTAGTAGTGAGGGCATTGGTCACATTCTTAGTGATCTGATCCGCAATCGCCACACTGCTAATTAGGCTGCCCGAGGCTGCTAGGCTCCCAGGAACCTGAACGTAGATTGCAGGATGCATAAGCGCGATCGCGAGGCCGTGCCTGATTCTCGCATAGATATTGGCCAACACACCCACCGTCAGCGCTCCTAGTGCTTGGGAGAGTGGCTGAACATCTCCAAACTTCTCATTTGAGAAATGATTGACAGCCCAGCCTGCGATGGAAAGGCCTAACATCTGCGGCATAGTGCTCCATCTGCCGTTTTGGACTACAGTATAGCAGAAGGTAAATGGGATCACGAAGGTTATTGGCCACCAAACTCCGTAGCTTGTGGAGCATGAGGTGGCTGATGATGCGTTGTTGTCCATAGCACCGTAGATGGAAATGCCGATTAGAAACCCGAAAGAGAGAAACAAGGTATAGACAATCGCATAGACCAGTCGAACGGCACCTGAGACCATGTTTCTCGACTGCAACTCGAGCGCGCTGCAAGTGATGGTGAATCCCGGTAGGATCATGACAATCGATGCTTGAGATATGGCGGAAAAGCAGAAGCCCTGATTGTGTCCCCAGCGAATGGACCCAAAGACACGACCGAGGAAAGAGGCTAAGATTGAGGCCGAAATCTCGAAAACGTATCCATAGAGCTCTGAACGAGGTACGAGTACCAGTTCGAAGAAGCCAATTATAGTGCCAACGACGAAGATGATAGGGAGATCGAACGGTTGAGCATTGTATGAGACCGGTCCAATAAATGCACAGGCCAATCCATATGCTAGGACACGACACCAGATTGGAAACTGCGCTGGTCTATCCAGGATTTCGTCAAGGCATACGGATGCGGCTTCAATCGTCGTTCTCTCGTGAATTATGTCCTTGTATACTGTGTGCACATCGCCGAGCTTGGCAAGGTCAAGCGATTGTAAGCACCGGATGATGTGAAAGCTCCTTTGGGGGGATGAAGGAGAGCCAAATGAAAGCATCATACAGCCAGGAATGTAGAACGACTGAAGTTGCAGCCCTAGAGCCTCTGCTGTGTGGTGGGCATAACGCTCTAAGCGATGCGTTGGGGCACCGTACATTATCAGGACCTTGCATACTTTGGCGATATATGTCTCCACGGCATTGTTATAAATTTGTGATCTTGTCGACGGATCTTCCCAAGACGGGGCGCCACTAACTTGCGGGCGGAGTACTGGCGGTTGAATTGTGGACTCACACCCGGTGTTGCGATCAACTTTTTCGTTCATAGCCGCTGTCGAATCACGGCAGATCAAGTTTCCTGAAGAGCCTTGGGACGCAGCAGCAGTGGGATTGTTGTTCGAACAGGTGTTGTTTGTGTTCACTGCCGTAGGTGCTGCCTCATGAGGTTCTTTTGCTGTCATGCCATAGCTTAGTGCGAGGGAACGGAGCTTTAACACGATTAATCAAATACAACTCATTTCTTTTCTGGGTCGAGGACCGAAGAAGTTCTCAGTGAATTCTAGGATCCACACATACGTCATTACTACTTACCCAACGTCGGCAAAGTTGAGTTGTCTCTAGTACTTCATTTGGTTACGCGTTGCAGAGTCCATAGTAGCATCCAGTTTTTTTCTATCCGAGATGTTCTCATTGGAATATAGCTCCTTCAGTTTTCTACACAAACATTGCACATAGATATTGGTATGTGATTCGACATGACGACTATATGAAATTCTGCTTATCCTCACACTATGAAGCGCAAGATCTTTTTTAATGTGCTAGGTCATCTGACCGGGTTTGAAGCTTGAGATTTCCTCTGCAGAAAGTGCAAAGCACTGAGAGACATGGCATCCACTCCCGTCCTCAATGTGGGTTGAAGCACCGGAGCAAAGTAAGGGGAATGATTGCCGCTTAGTTCGTTGATGGAATCGCTTTGAAGCGCATCGTCCCATTTCTTTTCATCGATGCCGCCAAACGTCCACATCGCATATGGGACATTCGCTGCCGCGGCCAAGAGAGAAAAATCTTCACTGGCGGTGGTCGGTTCCATCTCAGTGAGATTGTTCCTGAAATAAGAGCCAAACACCTTTTCTAGAGCCGTGGCAGTTTCTTCATCATTTATCGTGGCAGGGGTTGATGATAAGGGCACGATTGTAGGCTCTTCAGGTGCACCCGAGGCTAGGCATTCCGCTTTCACAATGCGCTTGATCGAATTGATGACCTGCTTGCGTGTCTTGGGGTTGTAGGTCCTCACATTGATCCGGATGATGCACTCATCTGGTATAATATTGGCATTGAAACCTGCATTGATGCTTCCGCACGACACGATCGCTAGGTCAAGAGGGTTGACTTCGCGACTTACTATGGTCTGTAAGCGCGACACAACTGCGGCACCTATCACAACTGCGTCAATGCACGCGTTGGGGGCTGACGCATGGCCGCCATGTCCGATAATTCGAACTTCAAATGAGTCCGCTGCGGTTAAAAGACGGCCGCTACGAACACTCACTTGGCCAGCTCTCATGCGCATGACATGCTGAGCGAGCACCAGATCCGGCTTGGGGATTTTATCGAACAGCCCGTCATCAATCATCGCCTGTGCCCCAGAGAGAGTTTCTTCTGCTGGCTGGAACACGCAAATCAAGGTGCCCGACCACTCTTCGCGAGCCGAATAGAGGAGAGCCGCGCTAGCCATCAAACTAACGACGTGTAAGTCATGGCCACAGGCATGCGCTACGGGTCTTAAGTTCCCATCGTTATCTTTGGCGACTCTCGTACTGGCGTAGGGGAGACCGGTTTTTTCTTTCATCGGCAACGCGTCCATGTCGGCTCGAAGTAATATGGTGGCACCTGGTCCATTCTCGAGGACCCCAGCGACCCCGTAGCCCCCAATGTTCGCATGAACTTCGAATCCCAGATCCTTCAGGTGTTTTTCCGCAATTTTTGATGTTTCCCGCTCTTCTCCCGACAGTTCCGGCGATGCATGGATGTCGCGGTAGATGCGCTCGTAATTTTCGAGGGCCGGTCGATGCTTTTGGATGATGGTGAAAAAATCTGGAGCAGGCATGGCGATGATGGTATATCAATATCGAAATTGCAAAACCGCCAATCTAAAAGTATCTTGTAGATGGATGCGGAGTTCACGAGGCAACTATCCTCAAAAACTTAGGGCAATTATAGAGTTTGGTGGACCCTCTACGGGTGACGTTTGGATGCCCTGTTCTGCTCATCGTCGGCTTCGACCGGCTCAGGGCTTAGGTCTCCCAGACCGAAAACAACATTCCAGGCATCGTCTCCCCCAAAGGTCGAGAAGTTGGTATACGTTCTAATATCATATGAGTAACTCATTTACTTTCTCTCTTCATCATCACGATCGATGAATCAATGAATTCTTTTTCTGCCCTGCCAGCCTCTCCATATCTTAGTTAAACTTGGAATATCACATGTATGGATGCTCATAGTTCATGGAGTCACTGGAAAGATGTCTGATTGCCAGATGGTGACACTTCGACATGGTGGTTTTCGGTTTCAGGCTAGGCGACGAGCCCCGATACCATTTGCATCTATGTATTTCTGCAAAACTCTAGGTACTCGCAGCACATGACTTTCCCGAAATCTTCGGAAATTTGAAAATTGCCTGCGTCATTCCTACAGGTGGCTTGAAAAAGATTTCGGCAAAGACGCGTCAATGCTCGGCAAGAATTGAACCAGGAAGGCTAATCAAGCTTATGCGACATCAACTCCTCTACGGGGCCAATACAACCCACAACGTCATAACCGAGTTAATCTCGTAATGTAGATTCCGATGGGTTCGTCATCCCATCAAAACTTCAATTTTCTACCTTTTAAACACGCCATTCAGACGACTGAACCACTATTAAATTGACTATTTGAATCTTCTGCGGGCATGTAGAGCACCTATGCCCTCTTACTCCGCACTCAAAACATGTGATTTGCCAACTCACGGGAGGCAAAACAGGAAGTGTAGCTTCAACCTGGAATTCTAAAGCAGGTGTAAGATCAGATATATGTTTTACACCATAGTCATGATATCATCTAATAATACTGTATGTCATAATTGATGATAGTGTTTAGAAAAAGATCCAACCAGCCCATAATGGCTTCAGGGTCTTCCATCAGAGCACGCTTACAGTCATATTAGCGAAAAATCGACCAGTGAGAGGAGTATTTTCTGGGGCAAAACTACCGCCCCGTAGTTTCTTGCAACTGTTGGGAACACTAGGCCAAAGTTGTAGGAAGAACATATTCATTAAAATCCCAAGCTGCGACTTTTTTGACGTAGCCGTTGAAGGAAATCTTGGTCAAGTTCGCGCTGAAACTGCCGTGCAGGGTCAACCAGCTCGAAGTCTAAGTTTGGTACGCCTATCAAACACGTAAACCGATTCTGTTGTTTGCGGATTCGGTGCGAATTCTGTGTCTCGATGTATTTGTTGACGTGTTACCGGATAAGAGGCATCAACATTGCAAGAAGTATTACTTGTTCGGCGATATTTCTTTTCAAGCATTTCTGGTGATGAGACCAAAAGGACTACTATGTAATTATTAAGGCTTTTCAGCATGCTAGCGACTATCCGCCTTCGTACGCCAACATATTCCGACCAATCTTTTACTCAATTGAATTTCTACAACTGTTCAGATCCACTGGTGCCTCGCATGAATCATCTTCAGGCAGCCATTCCAAATCAGGTAAGACCCTCCGCCACGGCAAAGGCTGCGCTACCGCCGCCCTTCCCAACTCTGCCGAGTTCCGTGTTTCCTTCGCAGCCCCGACCCCCTGTCAGTTCTCCATCCGATACATGTTGATTTCATAGTTAGCTTTGACTGGTACCGATATCATGCCCCACTCCATTGACATCGATTTTGGACCATTCTGCAAGTTTATCGGCAGCGGCGGCGTTGAGAAACAAGTTTATGTGTGGTGAGCTTGAACATGGAGCTTCTAGGTTGGTGTAGCTTGAACTTTTTGTAACTGGATCGCGCAGTGTTAAGCATTGCGGTTAGAGGGCCCGGGCCGCTCTCATCCGTGGAAATCTGCCGGCATGGCGTTGAGGCCAAGTATCAAAGCGTTGCATGTAGTTGGGTCCACCAAATCGGGATGATGACGATTGTGTCGAGTAAGGTTGCAGGCCTCAGGTCCCCTGTCAAGGGCCCCCACCGCTAATCAACTATAAGCACTTTTTATATGGTAATTTGGTTCAAAATACATGACGGTCATCGGATGGGCAGCATCGAGCGCAATTTAGGGGAGGCAGCTTTCCCTACAAATACCCTCGTCCTCGCCCATTTCGTTGAAACCATAAGATTATCCCCTCTCATCTTACTCCCTCGCCTTTGAACAATTTCCGTTCGACTTTGACCGTTACCTTTAATCGACACATCTGCTTTCGACGAAATACTCCGGTACACCAATCACTTATGGCAGATCAATGTAGCGCCCGACTCTGGGCGACGATCGTCGATCACCGCGCCCAATCGGCGCCGAATGCGCTCGTCGGTCTTATCCCAAAAGGCTCTGAGGTGGCCGACGGCTACCATGAGTTGACCTTCCAAGGCCTCGTCCATGCAGTGAATGCCTGTGCTCGCTGGATTGAAACGCGCATCGGCCGTGCCAAGCAGCCCGAGACTGTCGCTTACATGGCTGCGAATGATGTGCGGTATTTGGTCATTATCCTGGCCTTCCATAAAACTGGGTATAAGGTATGAAGCCGTCCCCAGGGGTGATGATCTAATTTTTTACTGACTTGGTCTAGCCTCTCCTCCTTTCCCACCGTCTCTCGGATGAAGCTTATAAACATATCCTCACCGCGACCAATTGTCAAGCTTTCTTTTATACCCCGGATAAGCATCTTCGCGTCTCCGAAATTCAAGCTGCCACTACCAATATAACCGTGTTCGAAGTTCCGTCCCTGAAAGGACTTCTTGAGTCGGACAGCGCCCCATACCCATTCGAAAAAACCTTTCAAGAGGCCGAGGATGAGGTGTCCATTTGCATTCATAGCTCCGGTACTACAGGCATGCCGAAGCCGGTGCCTCTCACCCACGGTTTCTTCTCAACTATGGATATATCAGCCTATCTTCCCCGGCCCCCGGGACGTCGGGCAAGTGTGTTCTTCGACCTCAATCCTGGTCAGCTGGTGGTATCCACTACCCCTTCATTCCATCTCATGGGGCTGATAGCATTCGCCGAATCCCTCTTCCACGGGATTCCCTTTGTGTTATGTCCTGATCAGCCCATTTCTGCAGGTCTGATCATTGATGTGATCCAGGCCACCAACCCCACCGCCGCTCTGCTGGGCCCTTCTATGCTGGCGGATATGGTTGATTCACCGAAGGCACGCGAGACCCTTCGAACACTCGATGCCGTCTACTTCGGAGGTGCGCCACTCGCCCCTGAGGTGGGCGATATCCTGGAAACCGACACCAATGTCATTACGCTCTTTGGATCCAGTGAGATGGGTCTGCTCAACTCTTTCGTGCCCAAAGGAGAAAAAGTATGGAACTACTTCGAGTGGAGCCCCGAGTATGGTGTGAAAATGGAGCATCAGGATGATGGCCTATATGAGCTTGTCATCCCGCGCCGCCCCAACAGCCGCCGGATTCATGGCATCTTCCACACATTCCCCCATCTTGGTGAATACCATAGCAACGACCTTTTCGAGCAACACCCAGAGCGTCCGGAACTGTGGAAATACCATGGCCGCAAGGATGATGTTCTTGTCCTGAGTAACGGCGAAAAGCTTAATCCCGTCACTCTGGAGGTGACTGTGGCGCACTGCCCAGGCGTCAAGCACGCCCTGATGATTGGCCAAGGTCGATTCGAAACGGCGTTGTTAGTCGAGCCAACGAAGCCTGTGGAGGAGGAGAAGGCGTTCGTGGAGGCCATCTGGCCGACGGTTGAGCAGGCCAATCAAACGGTGCCCAAGTATGGACGGGTCTCAAAGAACAAGATCAGGGTGGCTTCGGCTGCTAAGCCATTCAAGGTGACGCCTAAGGGCGTGTTGCATCGCCGCACCATTAATAATGATTACCACGAAGAAATTGAAGCCATCTACGCCGCGGCAGATGACACTGCAGGTGCGCCTCCACTGCCCGAGACGCTGGAATTCGAAACTCTCCGCGACTACGTCCACAATTTGTTGTCAGAGATTCTTGAGCGCTCCGATCTCACGGACGACGAGGACCTTTACGGCGCTGGGCTGGACTCATTGCAGACCATCCACTTGGCGCGGAAGTTGCACACTGCTATCGCTGCCCGGCTGCCGGACAGCACTACAACAATCAACCAGCAGCAGATCTACGCCAATCCGACACTCTCTCGACTGGCTCAATATGTCACCGATGTCGTTCAGGGCCGCCGTCAGGCGTCGATCCTCCCCGCTCTGAGCGCATCGCTAAGATGGTTAAGAAGTACACTTCTCAATTGCCCCGACGATGCTCGCTTCCCATCCATTTTCCCGATAAATCTACCGTTATCCTCACCGGCTCCACCGGCTCCCTGGGCACCTACCTCCTTCATCAACTCCTCACAGACTCCACTATTGCTAAGGTCTATTGCTTCAACCGCTCCGACGAGGCACAGAGCCGTCAACGTGCGATATTTGCCAGCAAAGGACTCGACCCTACATTACTAGATGATCCATCCCGGGCAGAATTCCTCACTGTTATCGTCGGCGCACGCCAATTCGGTCTCCCGGATGCCACCTACCACAAGCTGTTGGACTCAGTGAACCTAATCATCCACAATGCCTGGAAGGTCAACTTCAATCAGCCACTGGAGTCCTTCGAAGACCCTCACTTATATGGCGTGCTGGAGTTCTTGTGGTTCAGCCACCGCAGCGCTGCACGCGCTCACCTGACCTTCATCTCTTCGGTCAGCACCATCGGCGAGTGGGACTCGGCTACCATGGGACCGGTTGTGCCCGAGGCGCCTGTAGAATCTTCTGACGCTGTGATGGAACAGGGCTATGGCGAGTCCAAGTATGTGGGCGAGCGGTTATGTTGGGCGGCGGCGCATGACGCTGGTATCCCGACGACGGTGCTCAGAGTCGGACAAATCGGCGGCCCAACAACACGCGAGGGCATGTGGAATGTCGATGAATGGCTGCCGACTCTTGTAAAGACGAGTGTAGCAATGGGCAAGGTGCCAGCTGATTTGGGCGCGTATCGAATTGACTGGGTGCCTGTGGTAAGCTTTCCTCCCTTCATAGTCTCATCCAAAATCTCGATGGCTAACGGAACCAACGTAAAGAATATCCTCGCTACAATTATTGTTGAACTCGCCCACACCCGTCAAGAGGAGCAGCAACACACTCCGCACGGGGTCTACCACCTGGTGAACCCGAAGCAGGTCAAGTGGGAGAGCATGATGCCCGTAATTAAGACCAAGTACGATGATGTGCAGAGCGTGGCCTTAGAGGAGTGGCTCCATGAGCTGGGGGCGGTGCAATCGCCCACAGAGGCTGAGGTACGCGCCAAACCGGCTCTGAAGCTGCTTGACTTCTACCGGGGTTTGACCGGAAATGCTCTTTCGATGGAAGTGAGTGTGGAGAGGGCGCAGAAGGCGAGTTTAACAATGGCAAAGCTGGGCCCAGTGACGGCGGATCTGCTGGCAAATTGGTTGGAGCAGTGGAAGTTTTGATTTCTGATCTCCTCTTTTTTTTTTTGCTTCCAAGTGCTGTGGTATAATTCACAACCAGTGGGAGTGATCTAGCCTTCATGAATCATCTATAGAAGCCTCTTTTCTCACTCACATTTGAATAGAAAATCAAATATATCAAGTATCGGGCAATGGCCTCATTGGTTCATTATATGCTAGTCTATATATACTGCCTATCCGAGTCTGATGATATTAGGCGAATCTCCATACAAATAGCCCTAGCGTTGTTTTCAAGGATAAAAATGCCACTCCATTCTCATTTCGAAGGGCCAGACATAATAAAAGCTGAAATTTTGAAGTCATTCCACGAGCGTTTCTGCGGTACCGTTGGGAGTGCCGGCCGTTCTCGCGCCCAGTTTGCCCGCGTAAGGTTGATGGCCCATCTTCTTACTCCGAAACATAATTCTACAGTGACAACGTATGGATTCCATTCCAGGTAACAAAGAGACATTGTTCTTTGATAGACGATCCATTGTCGAATTACATGTATAGACTGAGTAGGGCAAGGTCACACCCACAATTCCTACACCCCATATGATATGGCCGCGCTTCAATGAGGTCGATGGCGGATCCGAGCTAGGTAACCGGAGTGCGACTGTGACTCGTGCAAGTGAAGGCGCGTCGACCAGATCTTAGCCTCACAATTCGAAATGACCGGATCGGCTTGTACTTCAGGTCCACAGTCAGTGCTGACAGTAGAATGATGTTGATGACAGTCAACAGCTTATGCTGTTAATATTGGTGACTTGGCTTCAGCTCGTGTCTCACTGGTTGAAAGTGCGGCCGTTGACTCAACGTTGGACCGTGAACAGATCAGAGAAATATTTGAATCTCTACAGTAGAACCAAATGCAGATGAGCCTCGATTCCCAGCCTGCACATGGCAACGTTGGCATCAAGAGCGAGTACAAGGCGTTGTAAAACCTTGTCAAGAGAAGACAATCTATTCAGTCAGGTAAAAATACCACGTTTCTCTTCGGTTGCTTTGATTCGGCATGGAAGAGCGATGATGCTCACTTGGGTATCTTTTGCAGCCTGCAAAGTGGCGTGGGAGACATTGATCGAGTCGGTCATTCTGGAGAATATTAAAGTCGCAGAGCTTGATTATCAAGCGTAGATAAAGGGCAGCGATCCATTAAAGTAAAGCAACAATGCCTGAGCATTGAATGGGAAGAATTGTCCTTAGAGGGATTGACCTTATAAGTCTTTCACTGGGAGCTCGGAGGCAGCTGCGGACACGACCCACCTTTCGCTGGCATTGGTGAAATCTGCACGTGGCAAATTATATCTCAATACACCCCTGGGAGTGCAGCTTTTGTTCCCATCTACGACATAATCGGCGCTGGGAGCTGCCGCGCCCCTAAACTCCTTGTGAGGATCTTACGTATCCGTAGAGGTGGATAGCGTCTTGTGATATACAATCAATACTAAGCAACACTATAATTGACTCTAGATACAAGACGTAATGCAGGGAAGCAAAAGAGACAGGCTTCCTCGCGTTCAGGAGAACCCATATACACTATGTGGGTCCCGCAGATCATACCTCCATATATCCTGTATGCTTTATGTATATCCCTGACAGACGGTACAATCAGTGCTAGAAACGCATCTCTTGATCCTGGGAGCTCTCCTACTCCCGGGGGCTTCCGAAACTTTGCTGGGGGTAAAGAAGCCGCTTCCAGGAGTGTGACGGATTGCAGATGCTTGGGTTGTACCACTACGCCAGCTAGACACAGGGTAACGGGCTAAGTATGCACTATATACGAACCAAAAAGACACCCAGAAAGAATTTGAATTTGAATTTGAATTTGAATGAAAGCGTATCATTGTAGTTGTATTACCTTTACAGTCCATACACTAGAGCACCCTGGATGACTCCTGTCCCTTATTTAAAGGTTCAACTCTGCCCCCATCCTCTCTGCTTTCTCCAGAATTCAGGAAAGCAGTTATCAATTGCGGGACCGCACCCAAAATGTCCACCAACCCCATCCTCCTCCTAGATGGCGCATTAGGAACTGTTCTCGAGAAGGCCCCCTACAACATCCTCTTCAACGAAAACACCCCGCTGTGGTCCTCACACCTCCTCCTGACTCATCCTGGTGTCCTCCAAGCTGTACATGGCTCTTACGTCGATGCCGGCGCAGACATCATTCAGTCTGCCACATACCAAGCAAGTGTTGAAAGATTCGCCAGAACCTTGAACCCTGATTCTCCAGATATGGATCAGACATACTCGGAATCCGAAGCAGCGCGATACTGCCGTTCTGCGATTCCGCTAGCCCGAGCTGCCTTTCCGCTCCAGAGCCAGCTTCAGAACCCGAGGCACAACCAGTCACGTCTCGCTTTATCCCTAGGTCCCTATGGTGCAACCATGTCCCCGATAACGGCGGAATACACCGGGCTGTATCCGAGTCATATGGACAGCGTACCGGCGCTGGGAGCGTGGCATGGTAAGCGGCTGCAGATCTATGCGGATAATGCTGGCACATGGTCGGGAGTCGAGTATGTGGCGTTTGAGACGGTGCTGCGATGTGATGAGGTGTTGGCGATTCGCAATGCCATGCAGCAGGTGCTTTCTGTAAAGGGCCCGGGGCCTGAAGGAAAGATATGGTGGATCAGTGGCATCTTTCAGCAGGTTGATGGGGAGGACATCCGTCACTGGATTGAGGCTGCGTTGGGGACGGGGAATGGCTGGCCTCAACCGTGGGCGGTTGTGGTGAATTGTACGCGCTTGGAAAATGCGGAACGGGCTGTGGAGTTAATGGAAGCGGAAGTCGTGAAACTGAAGTCGTCGAGAAGGCCATGGCTGGTCCTTTATCCCGATGGAACTCAGGTCGAGGTATTTGATACTCGAACAAAAAGCTGGGTCGGGGATAGCGAGCTGGTGGTGAAGCCCTGGGCGGAGAGATGCTGGAGGGTTCTCGAGGAGATTCGGCGGAGGGGCGTATGGGGGGGCATCGTAGTCGGGGGGTGTTGTCGGACTGGGATTGAGGACATCAAGGCGTTAAGGGGGAGAATTGAGCAGTCTGGAAAGTAGATGTTGACAATCATATAGATGCACTGATGTATGTGCGTTTCTTTAGTCGCTCGAGCTATACGCACTCCTTAATGTACTCGAGAAATGGCTGAAGGGATAAGTGTCTTTGGTCAATTATCGGGCTCTGTCCTATTGTAAATTCAATCATTCAAGAACTCAAATATTAGCAAAAATAGCTACTGGGCAAAGAGTTACCCCAAAGTATCACTAACGGGGCAAAATTGTGGGCTATGTGTAGGTTTTTAGTAAAACGGCAAGTGATTCGTCAAACTCCGATGGCTTACAAAATTTCTATTACTTAATTGAAGAAGGCCAATACCTAGTTCCAACGCTCCACGGTGTCTCTGCTATAGTCTGTGTTATTGAAGGATATTCACTCACCTTTCTCGTCTTCCTTGCGCTGTGATGCCTAGCTGAGGCGTCATTTGACAAGATGGTAGAGGCTCAGAATCCAGGCCACAATGATTGCAATCAAGGCCAGAGTCAGGGTCCTAGATGATAATAGCTGGGGATGATGTTGGTGCCTACTCTTGTGGTGCTCACATTAGTGCGAATGTTTGTCGTCCGAACGACAATCACTAGCCATGTTGAAATTGAGAGTGGAAAGGTGCAATAAGTTGTTGTTGTTGATATACCAGACCCAAAGTGTGAATTGAAGGTGATGATTGAGAGCTAAATCTAGGGATCAATGATCTTTACATACTTGAGGCTTTATGACTGCGGACTGAGACCATGTGAGGAGTCTCATACGGAGCAAAGAACCTTGGAAAGGCGTAGATAGTGAATTTCGAATGGCTGTTTCGGCAATAATGAATAGAGTTGTCAATATAGTAAGCAAATCTCAAAATAATCGCTCGAGGCTAATGATGCCCGGAGACAAAGACATTTTTCGTCATGGCTAGGGACATCGCTAATTCAAGTGGACAAAGCATGGCTAACCAGACTTAGCAGTCTAAAGATAGATCAGGCCAAAAGCCTGGAAAATCTTCGGAATTGCGCCTAGATAGAATCGCATTTCTCGGATTGATCTACGAAAGGTGTATCATCATTTTACAATATTTTTTTAGGTAGTCTATAGTTCACAGATTCCCGTGATTGCCAAGGATTGGAGCCTCAATAATCAGGCCACAAGCGCTAATTCAGTTAGTTAACTAGTTAGTTAACTGACAAGCCAACCTGGGCCAAAGACTCTACCGCAGCTCCCAAACTACATCCTCCTTCGGATGCGACGTAGCGACCGATTTTACTCCATTAACCATGCGTACAGCCGATGATCGCCGGTCAAGGTCTCCGGCAACCCGTCGCAACGGCACGCTACAGTCATGCGAGCCTTGTCGGCGGTCGAAACAGCGGTGCGACCATGAACGGCCCGTTTGCCGCGGGTGCATCACAAAAAAGAGCAACAGCCAATGTTTCTACCATCCAGCACCGATGACGCGTCGGAGGGCCTCTGGCCATGTCCCTTCTAGTACAACTCTGGTGCCGTCAAAAAAATTGACTACTCAGCCAACTTCCAAGTAAGCATACCAGAAACGTAGGAATCTGCTCAAAGATTTGGCCGTCTATTTCAGTGTTTCGAGCCCAGGCTTAGGTTCTCTGCATGGCAGGCGATTATATGCACCCTTAGAACCGCCCTCTGCACTTCCCGGCTATATGGGCCCTACGAGTTTCACCGCGGTTCTGGCGGAGCATCGCAATGAGATTGTATTTGAGCAGGACGAAAACGTGGACTCCTGTCCGGTTTTGGTTGTGGAATCAGATCGGGTTCAGTCCGGAGCCGAGGTGTTGCTCTTCCTGTACAATCTCAAAGATCGCCGCAAGCTTATCGACAAATTCTACGTGCAATCATGGAATGTGGTGGTACCCAAAATGGTAGTAGATGCCATCATGGACTCCATCGACGAGATCTTTGGCGGGTTCAACCACAACGATTTGATGCCCCAACTGCAAAGTCTAGCCACTCAGATCTTCCAGAATTCCTCACGAGATTTGACCACTCACCAGTCGATGACTTTTAAAGAGTATTGCACTTCATTCACCGGACCCAACTTTCGCTGGGAAGCTCTCGGGAATCTATTTACCTTGTGCGGCCAGCAACTAGTGATCACCCCTGAAATTGACCCTGCAGTCGCTGAGGGAGACGATCCACGAGCTAAGGATCGACTTTTGGAACAAGTGACTGCAGCCAGTACGATCTGCCTTAATTTCTGCGACCAGGCCTCCGCTGCCAACGAAATGCTGGCGTATCTGCAGTATAACGATGTCATGCTACGAACACAGCTATGTGGAGATTCAAGTATGCATTGCCCCTCCCACAGAAGTCTCCGCTCACAATTGCTGACACTTGAACAGGCTATCAAGCATGGCGTCGACTTGGCGATCTCATAGCCACCATTTATGCCGCCGGCTTGCATGTGGACACCGATACCTCAGAAGATTGTCCCTTTTTCTCTTCGGCAATGGCGTCGATGCTGCTTTACGTCGGCATTCTACATGGATAAAATGATGGCTACATTCGTCGGTCGGCCGCCCTTGCTGAACTATAGATATTGCACATTGACCCCTCCCTTGGATTTAAGCGATGAAGTCCTTGTAGCAGGAGGCGAGGCTCTAAATCAGGCGATCTTTGAGCTTGACAGTGCAGGCTGGAGCACAAATGGCGCTCGCCATCGAATGTCAACCGGGCGAATTCGGTTCCAACTCTCCGTCTTTAGGGAGAGGACACTCGAGATCGCATTAGGTAGTCACGAACCGCGTGATCTTGTTCAAAAGTGCAAGTAAGTGAAAAAGAAATGATCAAACTGCTACGCTGGTCTATCCAAGCCTGACCCAAGAAAAACTGAATAGTGAAATCCGTGAGGGTGTATGTGCCGTGTGGGAGTCGACTCCCGATCACCTTCGATATGATAAAAGGTCCAGAGATGATTTCCACTACGGGTGGCTGATTCTTGTTTACCTTTATCTCAATTACTTGTACACTTGCTTCCTGCTTCAGAGAGCCTTGATCAAGCATACGAACCATGGGCAAGAGTTGCTCTGCGATATATCGCGCCAGGTTCTGGGGATCGTGAATACCATCACTGGTATGCGCAATCCGATGGTGGGCTTTGATCGGCATTATTCCTGGATTGTGTGTATACATGCCCTCGGCAAATGTCGGATTTCGGATATGAGTTACCTAATACTAATGAATTGGTAAACAGGCCCTTACATACGGTGTTCCTAGCTCCGGAGTCCTTCTACTTGAACTCCTACACCAATCCCACACACCCGGACCTCACAACGTGATTCTCCCGCGCGCCGAGCTAGTCCGCAATCTGAGCGTGTTCATCTCAATGCTTTCTTGGGTTGCACGGCCTGGCCACGGTAACTATCGCACATGTAAAGAAGCTGAGAAGAACCTGTCTCGCATCTTGGATCAGGTACTCGATCCGCAGCCTGTTCATGCGGAGATGGTGCTTGATGTCACGTCCGAACTGTCCAGCTTCTTGAACTGGTCCAATCACAACAGCTGGGACTTTAGCTCTGAATACTTTCCTGCTGCAAATGGGTTCGCGCCGTGAAAATTGAATGATTGATAAGTTAAGCATGTGTCATGCGCAAGTTCAGTTCATTAATTCGTCAAATTAATGATCATGGGGGTTTATGCAATGAGTCCAGGCATCATACCAATGAAGCAGAGAGCCAAAACATTTCTCCACGTCAAAATCTTCACCGAACAACTCTTGATGGGTCATACCATCCATAAAAAGTCATTCAGAGGCGAATTGTCTGGCACAAAATACGCCTGATGACACACGGACAGTTAAAGCGGTCTCCCAGGAACCATTTTTCGAGACGCACCCTCGACCATGAGGGAGAAGCCGACCTAAACTTGCAGCATCAACACATCCTTCGAGGCTAATTTTTTGGACTAGACAATTACTACTGGATATTCGGATCGTTTTACTAGAATTTGATTACGTGTGGGGTTCATGTAGTATAATGCGTTGAAGTTGGGCTTTCTTGGGCGGGATTGATGAAATGGATTACTGAATCACGGAGGCCTTTTTTTCGTCCTCAAAACTAAGCCTCTTTCGATTTAAATCCTCAAAACTAAACCCTTTGGGATGATGACAACCACATTAAGCCCGTTTGGAACAGACATCTCCTTAATGTGATGGATCTGAAGATAGAGCTGTCGGACATCCTCATAGCCCCTATTCTGTCTTCCTTTGCGATGCGATTCTCACCCTCGTTATTCAGTCAGTATATTGAAGAATCTTTAATCACATAGCTCGTGATGAATCAACTGTGACGAATCTGGGCTTTTGTAAGCTTGAGAGATCAGGCCATGAAGGAAGATGCCGGGAAGAGAGGTGATATAAAAACCCCCAGCTAGGTAGCTCTCTCTCTCCTCTTCTTTCTCCCTCAGACTCGATACTTCGTCAGATAGCACCGATTGCAGACAGTCGCTCTCATCTTAATTGGCTTGTAAAATCAACCATACTCTCTATCCCACAAACCAAAAGAGGTCGACCTCCAAAATACGCGTCTACTGAAGAAATAAAAGCATCGAGGATAGCTCAACAGCGGAACCACCACCAGTCTGCTTGCACTGCGCAACGCGCCCAGCAATTCGATCAATACTATTCCAACACGGCGTCTCTACCCACTGACATTAAGGAATCCCCACCAACCTACTTTCCTCTAGAAGAACCGTCCATCGCCACTGAGGTTGAGCAACTCCTTCCGCCCCTCAGCCAGGCTTCCGCAAAGCCCAACCCCCGGCCTACCGAGGGGGCCGGGGGGCGGATCCGGCGACCTGACTTGATCACCAGATGTCTTTCCCTTCTTCCTTTTCATCCGTAGCAGTTGTCCTCGTCTGCGTCTTACGGTAGCAAGCTACCAGACTCCTGACCTAATCCTGGTATGGAAGCTGCATTTTGTGTTTTAATCCGTCTTACAGCTGCACTTCGCTTCTTCAGCCAACGACATCTTGGACCACGATAGCTCAGCAAACGATAGCTCAGACAACAAGGTTGCAGACAACATCTCAGCCGACAACACCGCAGACGACAAAATGCCCGTCGAGCCATGCTCAGCAAGCGGTTACACAACCCCAGACACCCTCACCTGCAGTAGTTGCGATCAACCCAAAGCTTGCTACTGTAGCGCTCCATGCCACAAAAACTGACTGGACAACCCACAGGCTCACCTGCGCCGGAGCCCAAAATTAGAACTGCTTTATCATCCGCGCGGCAATTTCCACTAGAAGCACCAACATCGCCGATCGAGTCGAGCCGCTCACCCTCCGCTCCTACGGTGACTGGATTGCGGGAACGAAAGCACTCCAGTGATGGCTCGAGTGGCCTCGAGCCAATGAGACAGGCAAGTTTACTCCACCAGGAAAAGGACGATGATTGGTACAACTCTATGTAATTGTCTTCGACGCGCGGCTGTGAACGATATTGCGACTCGATACTGCCATTCTGGTGGCATGGTCTGTAGAGATGTTGCGGTCGTGGAGTCGCCTGTGCCACGGCATAACACGCTGTCCAAAGTAAAGCAGTCATCAGAGCATTATCCTTGGCTCGCATCGTAATGGGAAAGATCTTGGCTGCATAGGTCCACGAGCACACGGCCCAGCTGATGTTAATCAACATACAGAACAAATACGGAAACATGATGATAGTATAGTTGGCCCTGTCGCCTTGGTAGTGCTCAGCATACCACTGTGGGATGGCCATGCCTAGCATGGCTTCCATCATTCCGAACGTGCCAATTTCTTCGGCTATCTTGAGCGAGGGTAAGCAAGTGGTTCTCGTGATAAATCAGATGGGTCTTTACAATGCACCTGTGAAAATGAGGATGGAATCATGGGATAAAACGCCACGTACTCTGGATTTAGATATCCTAGAGTGGTGGTTATTGCCGCAATACTCTGTGGATTAGCCTTGGTCATGTAAGAGTGAGACTGATAATGGCTACACGGAGCGAGGGCGTTACATTTGCGTTGCAACAGAAAGGAGCTATAAAGGCAATATTGTGACAAGATATCAAATAACATAGCTACAGGTACAATTCCTGTGGTTCTTGGACTAGTAGATACCTGGGATGATGCGGCTGCGAACGGTAGACGTATAGCGCTTCCAGTCGGCGCCATATTTCCTCTTGCACTTTTCTTCGTCACGCCCCTCTCGGTGGATAAGCAGGACACCAAAATAAAGCATGAAGAAGTAAGTAAAAATTATTCCCCAGCCGCGGACTTCAGGGGTCTGTGTGGCCTGCTTCTGTATGCCGCCAGCGCTGTTAATACTTTCAATCATGGTGTAGCCAGCAACCCCGGTAGGCAATGAATACGACCATGACATCAGCCAGTCGCCCAAGTAGTTAATGTGGCGTGCCGATCCCCACCAGCCGGAAATCATCAGCTTAGAGCCACTTGATGTCTGGATGTATTTGATATGCTTCACACGAGGGTCGTTGGGGTTCGTACGGAAACGGTTCTTCTGATTGTTGGCGCTGCGGAAGATCGAGTATCCCACACCGGTAATGGTCAAAAGTAACAGAATATCTTTCAAGCACAATTCCAGTGGAAAAACCGCAAGATATCTGGTTTGGAGATTGTAGATGAAGGGTACCCACACCAGGTGTCCAAAAGAGAGCATATAACCGAACCCATCCATAATCACATCAATCGTGGTTAGAACGGCTCGTTCCATGTACAGCGCATCCAGTACATAGAAGGTTTGGAATGCGGTCGAGAGTGCGATAGAGTTTGAGACGTAGCCATACGTTCTGTATTGGCGGGCCATGTTGGACAAGTTCAATATAATCCACCCAAGCAGTCCTGGCCTCATCTCACACCATACATTAATATCAATCGTCCGTGAGGCCTCGTCGACAAAAGGAATAGGCAGTTGTACCCGCGGATTCAGCTCCCGGCCTATGAAGAAGTCATATAGAGCATTTCCGGTGTGGCCACCCGGTGCCAACTCTCTTAGTTCGGGATTGAGTTGACCGGGCTCAGGGACCGAGAAACTTCTTGCATAAACAAAGGTAGCGAGGACCATACAGATCATCAAATTTGCCGTGATAATCTGCAAGTAGTTGTCCCAGATAAAAACCCATATAATGAGATTAGCACCGTACACGTATGTGCCCAGAGCTAAACCAGAGAGCATCCAAACGGCAGAAGAAAACGCTAAAACCCGATTAGGCGATAAACAATAAATAAAAAGAGTATTCGGGGGTTCATACCATTGAACTTGTAGCGAAGCCTTCCTTTGCAGGCCAATTCCGTGCCCTCAACCACCTCGCCGGGTAGAAACACGTACAGAATCAGACTGAGTAAGTAATAGCTCAACACCCACAGGGTCACTTGCATGTCAAAAAAAGCTTTGAGACCGTCCTGAGGCCAACCAACTTCCTCCTTTAACTTATCGAGGGACAATGTCGATGGATCGAGCAGCGACGGAGCAGGGCAGCCAGACACATCATTGCAAAGGAAGGTGAAGGCGTAAATAAGAGTTGAGAGACCGAAGATAAACAAAAGTGCGCCGAGACTGTTAAACATCAATCCTAGGAATCAAGCACGCGACAATTGGGACCACATACGTCTTACGAACCTTATGGCCCCTATTCCCCGGAACCGATTGAATCGGGAGCTTAGCTTTGGAAGCTTTTTTAAGCTCCATGGTGTCTTTGAAATGAGGCGGAATATCTCTAGAGAGCAAGTATAGGGTGGGGGTAACGCAGGAGCGACAAGAGCTGTCGCAAGGCCGCACGTATACCAGAGAACCCACCGAGGAGGCAGGGAAAAAACTTATGCTGTGGGAGTCTCAATGGCTTTGGAATTGGGGGCTTATATAAATGTTGTATGCTGACAGCACGGGCGTATAGGGAAGCTTCAAGGAGGCAAGCTGGTGGTCCGAGCCGGAAAGGTTGGTGGCCGATGTGAGACTGCGGGTACTTTTGATTCTCCACACTAGCCATGGCCGTCGCAGAAGGAGCAGCCATATGGATCTTAGGGGGATGGTGTAGAATGATCCGACGACAGATTCTGTAATCCTTATCCGGACCAAAGAGACGAAGTAAATGAAGCCCGAGCACATGTATATCGTACAGGAAGCAGTTCTGGGTCTGATAGAACAGAAAAAGGTGATAGAGGAGTCGAATTGTTGAAGCACTCGTAGAGAGGACCTTGCTGGAAAGTAAACGAGCACCGAACATTCACCGACTGATAAATATGAGTTAAGCTACTGTTCGAGCTCTCGGAGCTGATAGACGAAATCAGTATAGTACTGACGGTCGCACATACTTACACACGGTTGGATTCCTGGAGGATCTGTCAGTACTTGGCAGTCTCAGCCCTAGGCAGACACCAGGAACGAATGGAATTTGAGAACGGTAAATTATGTAAAGCACAAAAAAAGACCATATCGGCCTACTAGTGTTGTTCCTCTACAGCGGTAACACAGTCGTCAGCACGCATTGCGGACAAGGACAACTGGCTACAGGTGAAAAGGAAGAAGGGAAGGACAAGATGGTGATCAAGCCTTGTCGCTAGATTTGGTTGCCCCCTCATGTACGCCCAATCTCGAGATTACCGCCTAGAACAATCCGTAAAAATTTCAGTAACTTACAGAAGCCCTGACTTCCCAGTGCATGATAAATCACGATACGGCCAAGCAGGAGTTGTTCCTGAAGTAGCCCTGCATGGATTAGTGTGATTTCGGGTACGGGCCGAGAAACGAAGAGCCAGTGTCACAGGGTGAATTTGTTTTCGACTCCAACTGTATGGACTGAAATATGTGTTCTTCCCCTACTTCTAAGGATTTTCGTAGGAATCGGGATTATAGATCCTGGCGACTATGCTCGGCGGAGTAGTAGAAATATCGAGGCTTACTCAGTGAGATACGTAGACATATCCGTAACCCATGGTACTACTTCCTACGGGGCAACATAGATAATGTGAATACTGGCATAGTGATTACGGACGTCGCCGATAAGAGTCAGCCCATGGGAGCTTCCGTCGTCTTATGGGCTCCTCGGGCTTCCGTAATGAGCAGCATGGGAGTCAATTGTGTCTAATTTCACTATTTTACATTAGAATAATGCCGAGACAGTTCTAGCAATCAGAATATTCTCTTACACAATTCTAGCGGAAAAGATAAACTAGAAGTAGACATTGAGATATGAGACAGGATTTATCACGAAGAGAAAGCCGCTCGCTATCAGTAAATTACTGTCCTCAAAATCTGCCGTTCATGAGTACCATCGTGGCTAAATGAAGGGAAACGGCGGCATTCGCCAATCGATCTCGATGAGGATGTTACTATATATTTGATCTTCGTTCACTATTTACTTAGCGTTCGCTTCTGAATAGATCTCGACTATTTAGTGTATATAAGAGTTCTCGCTGTTAGTCTCAGTGGGCCCCCTCTAGAACCACGAAAATATCTAGGGAAGCTGACTCGGACCTGACGGTAGATCCTTAGCTATAGAGCGAGCTAATTTAGAACCTCCGACCGAGTCCTCGATCCACCCTGGTCAATGAAAATGAAACATCAAGGATGGGTCGGTCAAGATAATAGATTTCTCGCAGCTATGCTAAGGATAAGAATGATAATGCTTGCTGGACTGATAATTGGGCAACCGCCCCACGTGACCCCTTAGTCATGAAACTATCGAAAACCCCGTATCGCCTCTCTCACCACGCTAACCAATGCCGGATTGGACTTCTGCCTCAGGCAACAATAACGAAGGAGCTCAAAAAAAAATCGCTGATTATCCCCGCTGCGATTCTATTGTCCCAAGCGCCAAAGAATCTTGAATAGCGCATCAAAGGTATTGTCTCACTCCATATAGATTTATAAAATCTTTTGCTACTTCTACCCCTTTTCTTAAATTCCCGAGTCACCGTCTACGATTGTTGCTTATCCTTTTTTTTTGTTCCAACCGCAACAGTCACATATTTCGCAACAATGGCCGAAGAACAGAAGACCCCCGTTACCAACGCCGAGGCCGAGAAGGATGTTCAGAATGTGCTCGCTGAGCTGAAAGGCGAGAACGCCACTTCCGCGCAGCCCGCCCAGGACGCCGATGAGGCTCGCATTGTCGCTGAAGCCGCTAAGCTCGGTGAGAAGTCTGAGAAGGAGCAGGAGAAGTCTTCCGAGCCCCAGGAGAAGCGCGAGACTCGCACATTCCAGCGCGGTGGCCGTGGTGGCCGCGGAGGTGCTCGTTACAAGACCAAGTTCGACCCCTCCACTCTGGAGGAGACCGATGACCCTGTGGAGATTCGCAAGCAGGTATCAATGGCCCTTGAAAACCAAGACTTCACGAATTCTCATTAATGCGCATATTCTAGGTCGAATTCTACTTCTCTGACTCTAACCTCCCCATGGACAAGTTCCTCCTCTCTAAGGTCGGCGGCAGCGCCAACAACGCCGTTCCCCTTGAGCTCCTGCACTCCTTCAAGCGCATGCGTCGCTTCCAACCTTTCTCCGCCATCGTTGAGGCCCTCAAGACCGCCGAGAATGTTGAATTGACCGACAACGACACCGCTGTCAAGCGCAAGGTTCCTCTCCCCGAGTCCGTCGACGATCACGAGAACAAGGCAATCAAGGTTTTCGAAGATGCCTCCATGGCCCGCTCCATCTACGTCAAGGGCTTCGGCTTCGGTGAGGAACAGCCCACCACCCAGCTCGATATCGAGGCTTTCTTCGCCCCCTATGGCCCCATTAATGCCATCCGTCTCCGCCGCACTATCGACAAGACTTTTAAGGGCAGCATCTTCGTCGAGTTCGTCGATGAGGACAAGCAGAAGGCTTTCCTCGCCCTTGAGGCGAAGCCCCAATGGGAAGGCAAGGAGCTGACCTACAAGAGCAAGAAGGAGTACTGCGACGAGAAGGTCGAGGAGATCAAGGCTGGCAAGGTCTACCCCTCTGACGGTCGCAACCGCGGCCGCAGCGGTGGCCGTGGTCGTGGCGGCCGTGGTGGTCGTGGTGGCCGTGGTGGACGTGGTAGTGACCGTCGCGGTGACCGCGGTGACCGCAACGACCGTGACTGGCGCGAGCGCCGCACCGAGGACCAGCAGAACGGCTTCCAGGCCTCCAAGGAGGCCCAGAAGGATTCCAAGTAAGTTGACTAAATCTAAACCACGCGGTGAGAGGATTCTATGCTAACTTTCAACATTAGCGGTGTCCCCGTGGTGCAGAGCACCAAGCGCTCTCGTGATGACGAGGGTGCCAACGGCGACCACCCCGCCAAGAAGGCCGACACCAAGGAGTAAGTATCTTACTTTTGGTGGCTCGCAAGGTCCCGTCTTGTATTCTTTATTCCCTTGTCCTCTGGTTTGGTCAATCAGTGGGAACTCAAAAGTATTGCGGATTGGAGATCCGACCTGCCTCTGTTTTCTTAGTTTTTTCTTAGAGGTGATCCTTTCTCGGCGTTTTTGTCACTTGATTACGAGCATCTACGGGTCGACACAGGCCTCGGCGGTTATGACCGAAGCCTGATTGTCTGAAATGTACAAATGAGACTGTTGAACAGATTGATCTCAAAACTTCGTATATCCTGATCTCGTATTGTGCCCACAGTGTAAACCGGCTGATACTCTTTCAACGTGGCATTTAAAATTCCAAATCATATGCCAGCGTATCATCGCATAACTCTTCGCGCATCTTGTGGACCCTTCAAATCGTTAGCCCATGAATTCCTGGCCATCTTATAACCTTCGAATCAAACTCACTCTAGGTGGGCTGGATGCACAGCATAGGTAGCGACATGTTCGGGGGTTTCCAAAACAGCAACAAGACCCATATCGAATCCCTTGGCGCGGGGAATTGAAATCGGCAAGGGAGTCCCGCTCTGCAGAGACAACAGGCCTATTTGGACTCGTGATTAGAAGACATCGCCTATCATGGATTCTTGCTACAATTGCTCACCGGGAATCTTCCCAACCATACCCTGGCATGTCTCTTTCCAGGTCGAAACCTGAGCGGCGGTGACGCCGGGCTTAAGGCGGAAGAGCACTTGTCCAGTTAGTCGTTCGTGTGTTGGGCGACGATCTTCAAACATAGATTTGCATCTACATACCGATATGATATACTGGCATATTGATTGGTGTTTGGTAGATGAGAGTAGATGTACGGACAAGAGTGAGTAGTAGATAAAGTATCTATGAGGATCAACCGGTGAGGGGTTCTCGGCAGATATCCGATGGCTTCGATAGATATCCCGTGCCAGCTTGTTTGTGAATTTGCTCTTTATAAACTTATGAAAGACAAGTAATTGGATTATATGCCGCGAGCAGGTTGTTATGAATGGAGTTATCTCGCGTTCATTGTTGTTCAGGGTTAGGATTGCCACCTGGGCATATACTCATTGTTTATATATTCCGATGAATGGATCGCAGCTATACTCTTTCCTTTAATGTATTTACCTTAGTTGTGTCTTCTGCCTTCCTGTCTTTCTGAGTCTTAACGTTTGAGGCAAGAATATACCTTCTATTGTGGATAGGCCTTTTGGTCATTCAAAAAAGAAAACAAACGACCTTAGAGGATTTTAGTGAAATGAATCATCACACACGATAGTTTCTTAAGGTTCTCTGTGAGACAAATAACCTCCCTATTTCCACTGCCAATATAATCACTACACGTTCATTTATTCTCTAAACTAGCCTTGAATTATTAGAGCTCTCTTCAGTGGAAAGGAAGGTGTACTTCTGTAACTTAGAGCGTTGTTTGCCCACCACCGTGTGGTATGTAGGGCTGCTTTTGTATTCTTCTATAAGAAAGGTTGATGGTCCGATGAAGCCCCTCATAGACAACGAAAGGCAAGATGCTGGCCGCTCATATTGTGGCTACTACACTAGTGCCTTTGTTGCACTGCTTAATCACAACCGAGAACAAAATAAGGGGCCTGGGGAGGGTATTCCTGTGAGACATGGTCAAAAGTTTCTTATCACCTTAAAAACAGTCAATGGCGCTTTTGCTGAAGTACAAGCCCAAATCAACAAGTCAGGAAGGGTAAAAAGGTGGTGATTGGAGGACAACCATATGCTAAATCTTCCAGCAGTGACACAAATTGACCATTTAGCTAAACAAATACAGCGCGCAGCGCGTGACTTGATTTTGATTTTCCAAGCATAGGAATACTATTCCAACTGAAATTGGACTACTCTTCTTTTGCCACAAAAAAGGGGGAATTCTAAAAGCAACAGAACCATTCTGCTCTTAAGTGAAGTCGGGGTGCTCCGACCATTTGGTGGGATGCTAGCGCCTTATAATCCATTCATTTCTCCTCTCTGACTCACAGCACATTTAACACTCGGCAACTGGACATGTTCAAATAACCAGGATCTCTGGGGCTTCATTTCAACTCAACACTATTTTGCAAAATGAAGATTCCCCCGACCCTGGAGCCCCAAGCGGTGCTGCTCCATCCAGGCACCCTCACCAAGCATTTTCGGAGCATTATCGGAAGCAACCCTTCAGTGGACCATCTCAACTCAATTAATTCATACATTCTTCACCAGATATATACTGAGGCTATCCCTGTTACAGCGTATAGAGTCTGGCTGCCTATCGCCTGTAGGCATTCGAGTCATTTTCTCAACAATGCACTACGGGATCAAACCTCCTCTGGAGTCCGCAGAGCAGGTATCAAATATCTCCATCAGGTTTTCCACAGACTGAACTGGAAGAAGAGCGGATGGGACCCGCTGGGAGGTGCTAAGGGGATTAAAGAAATTATCGATGAACTCCCGCTTGATGAAGTACGATTGCTGGTACAAGCCATTTCCCGAGGCGGCCCCTGCTCAGATTGGGATTCGCTGATGGCATGTACCGAAGAGCTCATGGATTTGATTCAACAGTCGGATACTTGGACCACCAGATCATTGTCTCTTTATGTTTTCCGACTATACGCACAATGTACTCCGAATAAAGTGGCGGATATTCTCGATTCTGGACATCCTGAATCCCCCGACTTATGCAAAGACCTCGCACTCTTGCACCCGAAGCTCTTACGACAGGTGGCAACAGGGGTGATTCATGTGTCTCCGGGTGTGCGGAAGCGTGTTCTGGATCATTGCAAGGACGCATTGCTTATATCAAGAGAACCTTACTTTTCACTACATGCTACAGGGTCGCAGTCTGACCTACTTCCCGGGCTCGTGTTTGGAATAGATATTCTGCAGGTTCTGATTTCCGATCGTGCCTTACGTTCAAACACATATAGAGCCAGTGAATGGATTGACCGAATTCTTGCTCTAGCGGTTCGCCAAGGACTCCCATTCGAAACTATTCTTCCGATTTTCAACGCTTGCTTGGAGTTGGCTCGACTTGTGAACTCTTCTAACTGGCTATCCCAGCCTCTTCCGGGACAACTTCTCCAACTCTGGAATCTTGCATGGTTTGGCTCCACCAATTGGAAACAGGATGCATCCAACACGTTCATCAAAAAGACGAGGAATGGCTCTCAATGCAGACCTACTGCGCAAAGTCGATCTGCTTTGGACAGGTCCCTGGTGGAGAATGTTCTGCAGATTAGGGACGAGCGATTGTCAATTCAGCCTGTCCAACCGGCTCAAACATTCAAGTCCACGCACCACCCACGTTTAGCATTCACGAATCTTGTTATCAGTGTACTAATGAAAGTGAAATCAGAAGGAAGGTATGAGCTCCTCAAACGTCTATGCGAGCACTCGCCAAGCCTCAAGTTCGATATCACGGCATGGCCTCCAATAAAAGAAGAGAGAAATCTTGAAGAGAAAAGTCTTGTTTCGATTTGGACTTACGGTATTCTGCGCTCATTGCCCCATGATCACTCTAAATTGCTCTTCCAAAGATCACTGTCGTTGCATCGCTGCGAGGATTTCCTGCCAAGTGGCGAGGAGAAGGGAAGTCCATGGACGTTGTCTTGGCAGCAACAGTGCATGCTTTGGGCATGTTGGGAGTCTATGACGGCCAAAACGATTGATGATATGCCAGTCACTAATAAAGGTATGCAAGCCCATGCAAATATCTAGAGTGCATGAACTAAAGGGCCAGCAGCTCTTGTGGAAATGAAGCAACGGGCAGAGCGTGGACGTGACGCCACCGAGCGCGAGCGTTGGGCAACGGCAGCCATACAGCTCAGCACGGAGACCAAGTCCCTTGATGTAGTCTGTGACATTATGGAATGGAATGCTCGATTCTTACGAGATCCGGTATGTTCTCACGTGGATTAAACTTCTCAAACAGCGGAGATCTGGTACTGACTTGACTTTGTCATACAGTTTGTTTTCCCTAAGACTTTAGAGGAAATCCTCAAAGGTGCAGGCCCTATTCTAGCTTGTGGTTCTGACTTGCGACTTGCGAACCTTTCATCGAGATCTGATCTTGAAGTCAATGTGAAGACGGCACACAAAGCTCTGTTGGCTCTTCTTCAGACATTTCTGCTACTAATCCGAGAGCCCTGGTATAAAGGCTCAGTGAAAAATTTGAGAAGGGTATCTTTCATGTTTTCAACAATTATAAGCAGCAGAATGGCGGCATTGAGGTCTTACACATCTGATGAGCTGGCCAAGGAGCCGGATATTGTTGAGTTGCTGCTCGGCTCCCTCCTGCCAATAATCATCCAATACGAACTCGAAGGAAACACAGAAGGCCAGACGCTGTGCCCCTGGGCTGGTTCATCTGCAATTGTCCAAACAAGCTGCCCTGATAGTCCTACCACAATCGAATTGAAATTCATGGACCTTCTCGCGTTCGAAAGGGAAAAGCTATGGTTGCAGCTTCGGGTCAGCAAAGACCCAAATACTTCGCTTCTCGATAAAGGCTGGCCTCGTGGTCTCTCCATCCAAGAACTGGCTGTATCTGAAGACTGGCTATACCACGCTTTGCAGCGTCCTATCGAAGCGCCGTTTCTGTCTTCGAGGGCCCACGAAGTTCTGTTCAGCTCCGTGGAAACACTTATGACATCTAAACCAGAACAATACGATTCTGGTGGCGGGTTTGTGGATAGCCTCGCCTTTACAGTTCGTGCCATGATCGCATATGGCGAAGAGGCAGCAAAGGTGCAGTGTGCCATGCAGATATGGGAGCATTACCTGTCAGTCTTGCAGTCACACCCACTCTATCTTGAAATTTTCCAAGACTGGTTAGCCCCTCTTGTGGAATCTTATATCACACCTGAAGCCAAGTACCTCATACGGCCAAGGTCTCGCAAGGCGCCGGATCCAATGATATTGAAAGTTCATAAGGGGCCGGGGGTGAATAATTGGAATCCATTGGAGAATTTTGACCAAGAAATCGGGGTCACTGTGAAAGATGAAAGGCCAAAGGAGATACCTCGTGTGCTGCTCAACTATCGTATGCATCCATCGCAGCGATCCATGTCCGTCCGTACCAGAGAGGTAGAGTCCACACAGCCACTAAGACCAGTTGCAATTTGGTCCTCCACCACCAAAGACAGGCATGACTTGGGGCATCAAGAGGCAGTGATTTTGTCGGCCCTGCTTTTTATCGATTCCAGCACCCCACACCCCAAAATTCTGCGGAGAAGGTTCCCAAACAATGGGGCTCCTCGCTACCCACCAACCTATTTGAGTGATAGCTTTATTACTCGAATGAGCAAGGCCGATACCGGTTCCATGAGCTATGCAGTCAGTGCTTTGAGTCGATGTGCCCGAGATGTTCCAGCTGAGTTACTGCGAGATCTGATCTGCTGTTTCTTGGATGCACTGAAAGCGTGCCCAGAAGCATCAAATTATCGAATTCTACTGGATACCGCATTAGACCTGATTATCGTGTTATTGCGAAGTGACCAACCTCAGCTCGTGATAGAAGCGGTGCTTCGGGTATGGACGGAATTTCCAAAAGACTCCTCAAGTCATCGCAAGATTAATTTGGTTAGAATTGGGAGGGTTCTTACTCCAAAGCAGGCTCGTGGTCTTGTACAGAGCCTTGTTAAGCATGCATGTGACATGTTCCAAGGGCAAGTCAAGCCACTTCTCAATGAAGGGAAACCATTCATGAAGGTCACTACAGTCAAGATGATTGCCCAGACCCTTGCCGAGGCGGACTTCCTTCAGCCATCTACTCGACTGCAACTCCTCGAAGAGGTTTTTAGGGCCAGTCAACATATCGACATTCGCGTTGAGATAGCCGTTTCTGTTTTGAAACTCATTATCCAGAGTCACAGCACCGAGCCATTGGGACTCTTGACATCTATCTCTTTGTGTGCTTCTTCCCCCAGTGAGAGAGACATTGCAACGGAGGATCACTGGCGCATAGCAGAATCCGGAGGTCAATTGCCTCCTATCATGACAAGCTCACGCCCGATATTGCATTTGCTCGTGTGGACTGCGAAAAACAGCATACCAGAAAATCTCCGACCAGATTATGTTCAGAAGATCCTATTGCCACTATTGCAAGATTCCACGCGCAACCACACCAGATGGATAACCTGTCTTCTTTCCAGAATGGGCACCTCACTTGCAGAGCTTGGACTGGATGGTTCGGTCATTGGTCCGTTTGATATGAAATTAGTTGATGATATCCTACGTGTGTGGGCTGAATATCTCCCGGGCTCTTATCTGCAAATCCATCGCACCTGGGCCTTTGGCTATCTACACCACACTTCTTTCAACCGAATTTCTGAAGCTTTGAAAGTCTCGACAGCTGCAATAGCAAAAAGTCACGAGGTCCAAACCCACATAAAGCAACTCGTGGAGTCCCTGAGAGATCGACAGTCTCTTGGCAGTTTCAATCGACTCCTTTCACTTCCACATGGAAAAGTCCAAGATGGGCTGACTGACCAGCTTGTACTAAAGGAGCTCACTTTACGTGCGGAGAGAATTGTCAAGTTCCCAATCAAATACGTCGATTCAGAAGCCAAATTCGCCATTTTCCCAAAGTACTCATTGGAGCTTCTCGGCAGTTTGCGATCAAAAATATCAGTTAAACCCAATGACCAAACATCTTTCAGGCAAAGGATATATGAGCCTTACACAAAACTGATGGCGATTATTGCCGCTGCCTCTGAAAAGGTTCGGACAGAAGGTTGGCCTACTGAGTTCACTGCATACCCGGTGACTCTACCCAGCAAAATTGAGTACGAGCTTTTGCTTCTACCATCGCCAGTCTACGGGGTTTCAACATCAAGTTCTGCGTTGGAAGAATTCATGTCTGCTCTCACTGATCTGATTTCCAACTACGCTCAAGACCTAGTTTTGTGGATGAAGTTTGATAGCGTTGCAAAAATATTGAAGGAGCTCTCTCCCACAGATAAAGTGGTTTGCGCATTGGTCCTGGGCGATTGCAATGATGGAAATCGAAAATTTAGCCCTGTCGAAACATGGATCAGGGTTAAACTAGCAGCGATGTTGCTTCATGATGCCGAGAAGACAAAGACACCGCTGAAGAAAAAGGCACTGGAAATGATTGAGAGGTGGAAACATAGTGATATTGAGGTAGTTAGACAAATTGGATGGGGATGGCAGTAGCAAGTTATGCAATTTTATGTAGAAGCACGTTGAAAAGATGACATGATAACACCTTAAGTATTTTTTTCATAATTGTTATCTCTCAGACAGGTCTTTCAGCAGCTGTGAGATGATTGTGTGCATATACACCGAATTTTAGGCCGCGCGACATGGCCTTCCGTTTCCGCTTTAGTACTCACCCCTCGTAAAGGTGCTAGTCATTTCCCTGCCAGGAGATTTGCTAGTACCAATATACATATTTCTGACCAAGATGCGATAAGTCGTGGCTATCTAGAATTCCCGTTTCCAGCGCCGAAATACAGTCCTGCCTCTGGGTTTGTTGTTCTTGCTTATCGTGATCCCGTACTGTTCCATATCTAGATCCATTTTCCTGAATGTGTCGATTACGATTTACCCGAGTTAACCGACGGAGAGCTTGTTGATCGGCTCACTCAATTTAAAGCTACTCCACATAAGATTCCGTCTAGTTATCTTATCCTTTACAGAAATCCCGTTCGGCTAATAATTTACAAATCGCGCCTAGAGCACCTTGAGGTTCCTTTCGGTCCTTATGATTATATCCGCAGATGACAGTGCTGAATGTGCATAAGATTACAAGAATAAGTTAGTAGAGTCTAGAAGCAATTGTGATCAACAATCCCCTCTTATATGACTATAAAGACCATTAGTGGATCAGAGGCTGCGAATCTTCAATGCCAGGGGGTTCTGCCTACTAAGAGTGAGAGGTGAGATCATTGATCACAATAAAGTGTGCGACTGGCTACCATAAGGTCTAGCACTAATTCCCCTCTAAGAACATCGCCGCTTTAGACTATGCTATGCCTATGTGTCTCTTTTCTCTCGGTATGAAGGACCAGTCCCACTAGACACTAGTAGTGGAATAGCACTAGTATTACTGCTTTAGAACACGACTTTATGTTAGACTCTATATATGGATAAGAATATCTCGGATATTCATATCTCATTTTCTATACTATGGTTTATATATTTTCTCGTCGATAAACACAACCTGAACTCGAGCTTACATACGAGGCTAGTCCTAAAAAGAAGGCGAGGCTCTTTCTTAGCCCACTAAACGGGTCCTAGTATTACATTACCGGAAGCATTTCAGTGGCAAGATAGAGTGTTACCATTTGTAGTAACACAGAGCCCCGATATCCAAGGTGATGTCGACAAGCCGAGACAAAATCCGGATCACGCCTGAAGACACTAACATAGACAAATTAACTATAGAGGAAGCACATCGATCAGCTAATGGAGCTACAGGATTTGTTATTGATACTTCGGAGATTGGCATCATCTCGAAAAACCACGCCAAGAATGCTTTTATGAGATGTACCCTGGATTAAATTCCCGAATTTGTGGAGACCGAGAATCTTTGTTTGCACCTCACCTCACCTCACTTGACTCCCAATTTTTCTTCTGACACTACGGTCTGCTTCCAGTCTGATGATTCTATTTAGCATCACTCTATAAACTCTCATACTTCCAAGATGTTCAAAAAGAAGCCAACGGTACACACACCCCGCACTACCCCTCCATTGGAGCTTCCTTCGCGGCAACTGACATGGAGTAGATCAAGAATCTTTCTCCTCTGCGTTCGTCCGATCGGAGAAAGATCGCCGACCAAATTATCAAAGACTACCAGATCTCCATACCTTCAACCTCCGAAGCAGACTCGGCCTCTGCGCCCACGACGGCCTCACTGACGTCAATCCGAAATGCACTTCTCCCCGATAACTCTTTGACCGCTCGATTCACAACGACTGCTGGTCCAGATCTACGCGAGCTACAAGGAATTGTCTACGTTGGTACACATCCGGACGGTGAAGAGCGCGTGCTATGGTTCAAGCTAGAACATGGCCCTGGGGCTGACAAAAGACTGTACCCGACTGTCTACACATTATGGCACAACCCCAACCTAGTCCCATTACTCTATACCCCAGAATTTGTTATGGGCAAACTCCATGGTGGAGCCGACCTGATGACTCCCGGCCTTGCGAACGAACCTCCATTCCCAGCGAAGGCGGTCAAGGGGGCTGTTGTTGCGGTTGCGAGTGTGGACAAACATACAGTGCCTCTTTTCGTCGGCATCTGTGAGATCGATGTTTCAGCTTTGGGTGAGGTCCAAGGAACCAAGGGTCATGCCGTCCGGGGATTGCATTGGGAGGGTGATGAGCTTTGGGCGTGGAGCTCTGCATCACGACCCGGCCGCCCAGCGCCAGAATATTTGGAGGGCTGGGATGAAGATGGAACAGACAATGTCGAAGAAGGAATTGAGGATTTGACAATTGAGGATGAAGAAGACGCTCTTGCAGAGACTATTGAGGAGACACCGAGTGACGAACCTGCCCCAGTGGAAGAACCTGAGGTTGAAGGGGAACCGGAGCCGACAACAAAAGGTGAGAGCTCACTTTCCTCCCTCCTTTCTTTTGCGCCTTGAAACGAACGAAATGCTGATCTGTGTCAGAAATTGACGATGCTTTTGTTAATGCCTTTGTCTATGCCCTATACAAGCAGAAGCAGGACAACCCCTCAGCTAGCAATCATGGTCTCTCATTGCCTATTACACCCTCCGCATTGATATCTGATCTCATTACACCTTATTTACCGGTGTACACTTCCCAACAAGCACAATTTTACAACATCAAGAAGACTAGCTGGAAAAACGTCAAGAAGTTCATCAAGCATCTAGACAAGTCGAAGCTCGTCAAGTCGAAAGACCGAAATGGTCAGGAGACCGTCATTCTGGATGTGGACTTCGGGGATCACCGTGTTGAGCGTTTCGTTCCATATCGACTACCTTCGCCCCGTGCCCTCGAAGGCAGCAAGCCGTCTGTGGCGGAAGGTAGGAAGCCCGCTACCACAGATGACTCCGACCCTTCAGTAGGCCAGTCAATCACTGTGCAAAGTCTGTATAAACCATCGGGAAAACTGATGCCAACTATTTTCCCTGCTCTTGCTGCGGGAAACCCGAGCAACTTTTACAAACATACCGACGTGTCATCTCATTTGGATCAATATCTTCAGTCTCAAGATCCACCGATCATCTCAAAGGAAAACCGAAGAATTATCACTCTCAATCCTTTCCTCGCCAACACCATTTTCACCGGGTCTTCTACCGAAGATAAGGGGGCACTTGCCCGTGGAAAGGTCACACGCGATGGTCTTCTGAAACGTCTCATAGAAGATAAATCACTCCTTCAGCCACACTATGTGATTTTGAAGACTGGCCAAACGGTTGCAGATGTGAAGCCAAAAGCAGGTGCCGCACCCAAGGTCACTGTCACCCTTGAAAAGCGTACAGGCTCGAAAACCGTCACTAAAGTAGTGACTCTGGAAGTCTTTGGCATTATTCCCACCCTCTTAGCCCAAGAATTACAGAAGAAGTGTGCTGGTAGTACCAGTGTGACTCAGGCTACTGGTGCCTCCAAGGGTGTCATGGAAGTCTTGGTGCAAGGTGACCAGCGAAAGGCTATCGAGACGGCCCTTGTTCGTCGTGGACTGAGGCCACAAATGATCGAGATTGTGGATAAGACCAAGAAGAAGAAAACTTGAGTGCCTTACTTCCTTCTATGCTATGAACTTGCAGGCCATAGGAATGACCAGCATAACCATGATTAAATGAGCAGAACAATTAGAGGTACACTTTCTAATATGAAAATCAAACTATTGATATGGTAACACCCACCATGAGTACATATGCAAGACTGAGTATCTACAAAACGTTGTCTATTAATTCCAATAGTCTGAGGGTATTCCATCGCACCATCGCTAACATCGAGGTCATCACGGTTCTCGATATCATTGCCATTCCTCAAAATGTTGTTACCATATGCTCTCCCTTCTGTATCATGAACGTCGCCAAAATCAGCAGAATGCCAAAGTTCATCAACGCACAAATGCTGCATCAAAGCCGCGTCATCTGTGTAGGCCTCGTGTTCTAATAGTCGCTTTTTCACGAATTTTCAAATGACTTGAGAATTTGGACTTGACTGAGCGACAGAGAATCGACAATAGAATGACCCGAGCTTGTAAGTCGTCCCATTGTGAGCTTCATGCTGAAGTTCGTGTTACCAAAGATATACATCGGTGTCTTCGAGTACTTATGGTGAGAGTATTCTTGTTGCGTTGATCTATAGAAGAAGCATTCGATTGGTTTACCCATGCTGCGAGGGCGTCTACACAGGCAAAGAAGAGGCAGCCAGTGATTGGACTGAATTACGAGAGAAGAAGTTTGAGCAGTCCAGCAATTCCATTCATGAAAGTAAGGTTTTAAAAAAAGGGTTTCAAGGTCCCTCTTCTCCTGATGCAAAGTGCAAGGAGGAAATAGAAAAGAAAGTAAGGAAATCCGTAACACGGTGTTGTTACAAGTGGTCCTAATCCAAGAATCAACAATCGACGAATCGACAGGATACTCGATCGGAAGATTTCAAAAATATTCAAGATCCAACACTCGCACCAGCAATCAGATATATAGATATGCTTCACGCATCAACTATAAGCCTAGCTCTACAACAAGGCATTTAAGAGGAAAGGTCACGGGCGTGAACCTTGTTGTCAGAGACAAGCCACTTGAGGGTGGAGCGAATGACGCTGAGGAGCTGGTCGGCGCTCAGGGAGCTCAGGTAGGCGGAGTAATCGGAGGTGCTTGAAGAGCTGGAGGTGGAGGTGGCAGCGGGGGTGGGGACAGCAACGGCAGTGGAGCTAGCCTCGGCGGCGGAGGAGTCGTCACCAGAAGCGGGGGTAGAGCTCTGGGCGGACTGTCCACCGATGGCGCTGGCAGTGACGGTCACGCTGTCAGCGGGAGCGCTAGCGGTCTGCGAAACAGGCTCATCAGTAACCTGGACGGTAGAATCAACGGTCTTGGTGGCATCAACGGTCTCCGTGGCATATGCTGTCTCAGTGGCAGCAGGAGCGCCGGTGGGCTCGGCGCCAGCTCCGCTGGGGTTGGAGAATGAAGGAGCAGAGGGGCCAGCAGCGCTGGGAGTGTTGCTGGGGGTGGGACGGGAGAGAGTGCGGGTGCGGGAAAAGTGCGGGTGCGAGAACGAAGAGGGGCTCTGGCTGGGAGCAACACTCACGGTTGAGGCACTGGCAGTGGTAGCGGCAGTAAAGGCAGCTTCGGTAGTAGCGGCGGCAGTGGTAGCGGCGGCAGTGGCAGCAGCAGTAGTGGTAGCGGCGGCGGTAGCAGAGCCTGAGGAGGCACCAGAGTACAGAGCGGGACCGGGGATGGTGTAGGAGCTCAGCGCGGTGTAGATGTTGACCAAGATACCGGGGTCAGTGTTAGTGTAGAGCTTGGTACCGAGGGTACCGCTGGGGACATCACTGCCACCACCGGTGACCTTTAGGTTGATACACTGGGGGTAGTTCTGAGCGCCGTTGGACTCGCCAGCGGAGTGCAGGGCGATAATCTCGTGACGGAGGACATAGTTGCCGGCGGCAATGGCACTGGGGATAGTGACAGTCCAGCTGTTGTTGGCGGAGATCAGGTTGTCGGAGGCCCAGGTGCCGGGAACGTTGCTGTCACTGATGAGACCGGCCTCATCAATCTTGAAGAATTCGAGAGCGGTCTTGTCGACGGAAGAGCAGTCGCCGTTGCAGTTAGCGAGGTAAGTGATGACGGGACCGTGGTGGCTCTCAGGCCAGGCAGTCCACTGCAGCTCAACCTTGCCACCGGCCTTGACCTCGGCGGAAATGGCGCCAGGAGTCGCATCCTTGTGGCAAATGATATCTCCGCTAGAGTATGAAGAGCCATCGACGAAGCCATTGTCTGTGGCTTTTTCGGCCCATCCAATGTTTTCGGGAACATCGGTCATATAGTTGTAGGTGTCAACGAGGAAGCCCTTGTAGTAGGTACCATCAACGACAGCTCCGGAGACGTAACCGTGAGCAGCGACCATGGAAGCCGAGCTGAGAAGCAGACCAGCAATTTTGGAGATAGACATCTTGAAGAAGTTGTGATAAAGATACGCACAGCGTTAGTTGGATCGAAAGACGGTAGGTAGGTAAAAAAGAATGAAAAGGGGATTCAATCAATGAAGTCAACCCAAAAAAGAGAACGACAGGTACTGGACCTTGGAAAGAATGGAATAGCAAAGGACTGATGATGAGAGAAATCAAAACCATTCAAGCGCCATGATTCCAAGGCTTTATATATGCTGGACCTCATCGGCATCATAGCTCCTTTGGGTTTTCAAGAGGAGCCGCACAAGTCTCCTGCCAAGAAAGAGAATGAGCACGGAGCGCATCAAATTCAATCTCTGTCAGATAGGTCAGGATTCCTCTATCCTGTCACTGCACCGATAGGTGGAGAATCTCGAGTGAGCGAGACATCAGCATCTAAGGGGTGAGAGATAGATTAAGCATATTATCTCCAAAGCGCCGGATGTTCCCAAAGTGCACTAGCAAACAAAATATTAATTAAGCTCTTCTCCATCAAGGACATCAGAAGGGGGACATTTGACGAAGATCCATACCTCTCGTTGGTAGCTATCGATCGTGGGCGGTTGTTTGCGACACTCTGGGTTTCATCTCCGACAACCGAACCCACTTAGGGCATTCGGACCCCCTTAAGGAGCCTTAAGTATTCATTGATACCTCCGCTATGCCAAGAATTCATTCAAACTCCTGCTTCGGGGAAATCTCGTTGAATCTTTTGAAGAAGCTTGTCAGGGGCATGCTTTCATGATTCAGGATGCGGACATGTTAAGTCAGGGCTTTTTTCGTACCCCACATTTCTTTTTACGATGCCGTTGATTTGACAGGCCTAACAAATCTAGGTCGAGTCTAGCTGTAGAGTGCTGATCAAGTTGAAACGTTATTGATTGCCAGGGCTTTTTTTGTTCTAATTTTCGAATCATGTCAGGATCTGGCCGACATATGCAGAAATATCCACTTCAACGTCAACAATCTCAACGGTTTACCACGCCTTTTCAATCCAGCCGGTTAATATGTCTAATTTTTCAAAGATTGACTTGGGCGAGATGCAAAGCTCAAGACACCGTTTTACCCGATACGAACCTTAATCTCTTTTTCCCTGGGGAGGGGTACTCTCGGCGCCTAGACACATTATTCTGAAACACTCGGCACGCCGGCACGGAGTCCGACACCCTCGACCTGCATCGGTGACAGCTTGAAATGGCTCGGGGATATTCATAAATAGGCAAGATAATCCAGAACAGGGCTGAGGTCTTAGACTAGGGAGCACTTCTCTATATTATCAAGGCGCCAAACACAATCCACTTGCGAAATTGCACAACGCATAAGGATAACTATCACGTTATTCGACAAGATACAATGCTTATGACCCTGCCTCGAATCATAGGTCTGATCTTGATCAATTGACGGTACTTTTGGCCCACTGGCCATTTTCAAGACACACTTTGTGAACTAGTTCAACTGACTCGCATACTCTAAGGACAGTGCGCCCTAACATTAACTCACGGAAAATATCGATGGTCTAGATGTGTCAAAACTAGTCCAAAGCCCAGCCGTGTGGCTGCTCAGGAACTAAATCACCACATATGTATATGCAGGCCAATACGCCCCGGGGAGAAGACATTCGTATCTTGAAGTGTTTTGTTTCATACAAAGGTCAAATCTACCGGAAAAGAAATGAAAGTTAAACATGCCGGGTGAAGGAATTGCGACAGCAGGCAGAGATTAGCTTGAGAGGCTCCCCGCCATGGTGAGCACGACGATCACAAACCTTCCCAGGTGCTGCATATGCATGAGCCCTTAAAGCGATATACAGTGATAAGCAACACACCGAGGACTACCATAACCTGCGGGATATCCAGGATGGTAACGTTACGCCAATCTTATGTGGGTGTAGGACAACCGATAACCGGAGTGGCACAATCTCTACCCTTTGGTGAGGCATGATAGCCCGACGAGTGTCTGCGTGTACTTGGCACAGGCCTCCGTACGTAATGCATGTAGTACTTAGTCGTCATTCCAAGCAGCCGGGGTCAGTCCAGAAAGATCGGGTGCACCTTGAGAAGGTCGGTTGCAGGACAAAGAACCAACGAGAAGAAAACAGGCGGTAGCACAAGAGTCTTCCATCAAGCTCCAGGGTTGAGCAAAGCTGTGTTCAAATCTAAAAGGAGAGAAAAGACATGACAATCGGGGGAAAAGTCCACCAAAGTCCACACCAAGAGATAAACAAACGAATCACGAATCAACTTGCGGATTATTACGGGGGCGATAAGTCAGTCCCGTATTGGCTGTACCTGTATTGGTCACCGCTTTTTAGTTGCCTGAGGTGTCGATTTGTTTTTTTTTTTTTTTTTTAGTATATACTCAGAGAACTTGGCTGTTGAGGACGATTAATTACTGAAGTGTATTTTTGTTTCAACCCAATTTCTTATTTATCGTCAATCATTCAAATCATCTTGAGGAAAACAACAAATAGTGGTTGATCAGTAAACAACGTTGAAGTCTGCTAAATTCGTTGAGGTTCTGCCGGTACGGGATCGGAGTTCACAGTTTTCCCGCTCTCCTTTCCTCCACAGATTACCACCAGGCAGTGACTTTCCCCATCAACCTCATCACCTCTCGCTTTTTCTCAGGGCCATGGTATCGGAGACTGGTCCTGGTATACCTCGTGATAAGACTTGATTGTCAATACATCTAACCCGGAATTCTAACGCCTCCGAGAATTCATCCGATTGAGTCAGCACGTTCGAAAGTTGCGAAGGTTGTTGCAATCGACTGTGATATTTGAGCATTGAGCCTTCGGAAAAAGAAGGATGGGACCAGTGCAGGCTCCCTCTTCACCCGCCCTTCCCTCCCTCGATCCCATCATCATGGACGACGACATGGAGTCCACCTTCCGCAATGCCAACATGGATTTTTTGGATCCTACACAACTAGAGATGTCAACCGAAAATGGCGGTGCCGAATTTGACGACCTATTCGCTCGGGCCACAAATTCGCAAACGAATGGCGTCTCGGGACACTCGAAGCCATACCAAGACCAAAACCCCCTGAGAAAAGTTCCTGCTCTAGCGGCAGACTCGCCAGCTGAATCCGCAGATGATTCCAGCCGCAGCTCCTCGTCTGAATCGCCCCGGAATCATCTCCGGCAGACATCGATCGCTTCCACGAACTCCGCCGCGCACAGCGAAAATCCCTTGTCCTCTGCAAGTTATCCAACCGAGGACTGGATGCGTCCGGAATTATCGTCAGTAAAGGAGGAATCACCGTTCAATATAGTTCCTTCTTTTCCAATGGATGGCGGCTTTTCAATGGATCCCGATTTGGAGGTCAGCAACAAAGCGATGGACGCAGCCTTTGATTTTGAAAGTGCGGCAAGTAGCCCCAGTCCGTTGAAGACAGACCATGGATCTCTACCGAGATCGCATAAGCGATCGAAATCCCAGCTCTGGAGCCCTTCAAGTAATCCTGCTGTTTTGGCACAGGATGTCGCGCCTTCGGTGAGTTGTTCAAGGTGCATACATCTGTTTGGACGACACTAATACATATCTCAGGCTCATGCGCCCGGATCTCCCTTTTTCGCATTCGGACTCAATGGCCAGTCGCAATACACCAACGCGATTCACCAAGATTTAGAAAGAGCGGCTCCGCAATGGGGCGGGCACTCTCCGTCGTCGATCCTAGAAGACAGCTTCGGAGGGATCAACATGAACCACCAATCTCCTCTTAACGCCTCGCTCTCCCCCGGCATGAATTTCGGCACTCCTCCATCCTATTCGTTCCCCATCAACCCCGTCAACTTCGCTTCCTCCCCGGCTCAACCCCAGATGAACTCCGCAAACTCTCTACAACCTGTTCTCACAGTGCACCCGACTTCTTTGAAATCGCGCGTTGAGACCCAAATTCCTATCCGATTGACCCTCTCCCCCTTACCGTCCGGTGTTAAGAAACTCCGTTTACCTTCGCATACTATCTCGAAACTCAAGTTTCTCGCTCCTCCAGCCACCGAACCCTCCCATGATACCCTTCAACTGTATACAAGTCTAGTTTGCACGAGCGCGATGCAAGACCGGGAAAAGATCAAGCGGGCATTTGCACGGACACGGGGAGACCAGTACCAACCAACCTCAGACGATGACCGCCCATTGGATGGTGGCGACGTGAAGATCTGCAGCGGATGTATACAGCGAGAACGGAAACGAGCATCTCGAAAGAAGCAAAGGAAGCCCGAGGAAGACGAGTTGTTCCAGAAGGATGAAGAGAAAAGGGTCATTGTTTTCAATACCAGTGAGATTAAAGAATGGACTGAACCGCAAAAGAACGCCAATGGTGGATATGGGGAGGCCTCCCTTCCGCCAGGATCAATGCAAGTGGAGTTGCCAATGCGCATTGCTTGCTACTGCCGCCACCAGAATGAAAAACTCGGCTTCCAAGTCATTTTCACTGTTAAAGATCACTCGGACAATGTGGTTGCGCAGGCCATCACCAACTCGATCATGATCACCGATGACCACAAGACCCAGGCCCCATCCGCACCTGTGCCAACGGGGCCCTCGCCTTCCCTCGCAGATGGAACACAACTGCCTGGAGTTGGTGTGTTCCCTTCGGGTCAAAATGAGATTGGGAAGAGCACATTTGCTGCACCTCAATCGCCAACTGATTTGCAGGGCCTCCAGCAAAGATTCAACTCACAATACCAGCTCACACCCAGTTCATTCACAGCTCAAGGTTCAACGAACGGGGTGCCTTTACCTCAGCAATCACGAAGCTTGTCTCGGGGGGCCTCGCCATCTGATTTCCAAGGACCCCAGACGAAACGACGGAAACACAGCAGCTCAGGGAGATTGCCATCCGGGCTGACAATGACCCGCCTCGAGACACCCCAGTCATCCGCGGCGGCCATGAACGCCGCACAACTTGCGGCTGCTCGTGGATTCACTTCTCCAACAGAACGACCATTTGTCACACCTTCCTCTATGTCGGGTCAATATGGAAATGGGCCGCCGACTCCCAACCAGAGCAATGACAATAATCCATTCTTCAACCCCACTCCTGCCCAGCGCCAGAGCCTAGACAATCTGGCTGGTGGTGCAATGGGCTCAACGCCCAACTCCGCCCACCCGAGTCGTCCCGGGACACCAGGTGGAGCGAATCGCAATGGGTTCCAAGACCCCAATCTTGCTCTTGCCCTTGGCACAAACTCTTCCAGTCAGGTTTGGCCTCCTCTAAACAATGCACCTAATCGGTTGCCATCGGTAATTCACAAGTTGGTGCCCTCCGAAGGTTCGATTACAGGAGGTACCGAGGTCACCTTGTTGGGCAGTGGATTCTATCCTGGTATGGAGGTTGTTTTCGGTGATACTCTGGCGACTACAACTACCTTTTGGGGTGATAAGTGCCTCAATTGTCTGACACCTCCTGCTCTCCAGCCAGGGTTGGTTTCTGTTGTATTCAAGCATGAACACCCCACCTTTGGTCAAGTCCAACAACCTCAGACCCTCATGCCTAAGCAACAATTGTTCTTCCGTTATGTCGATGATCGTGAGCTTCAGATGTACCGCTTAGCCCTGAACATCCTTGGCCAGAAGCTGGGAAGCCAAGCAGATGCATTTCAAACAGCGCAGCAGATCATGGGAAGCGATCCAAATGCTTTCTTCAACATGCAAGCGGACATGCAAGGTAGCTCTTCTGGTGGCCAGCAACGTCAAGTACCAGGTCATGACAACCAAGGCAAGCACAGTGATCTTGACTCTAAGATGCTGACTTATCTTGAATTCCTTGACCTGGACGACAGCCCTCGCCCACCCCGATACAATTCCCGTAGCGCGACAGGCCAAAGTCTACTCCACTTCGCAGCTTCGCTGGGACTTACCAGATTTGTCGCAGGTCTGTTGGCTCGAGGTGCAAACCCCGATGTTCAAGACAACACAGGCAATGCGCCAATGCATCTAGCCGCGCTGAATGGCCATGCTCACATTGTCCATCGACTGCGTTTGACAGGTGCAAATGCCAATTCCCGCAGCGTGCGAGGATTTACTCCTGCGGACCTGGCAACGACGCTTCCCGCACACCAAGCTGCCTTGCTTCCATCTCGCACCTACCGGTCTCGCAGCGTCGGATCTCTCACCTCACGTCGCCGGCAAAGCAGCTCGGCCTCGCTCAGTTCCATGTGGGAAGTGTCTTCGGCTTCTGGTTCTCTTGGTCATGCCGTTGATGACTCAGAGGAATTGGACGATGAAGAGGAGACAACAGATGATTCCGACTCCGAGCCTCTACAATTTAGCTCTTCCCGTCGCTCGAGTATGCATCAAGACATCAGCCCGTCCATCGTGGACAATAGCGAACAGAACATCGCCCCTGGTGCCCCACCGGCGCCTCTTATTGCCTGGCGTGACCAGCTTGCTGTTCAAATCAATCAGTTCCAGCAGAGTGTTGCTAATGCCTTCCCCAACCTCCCTGCACTCCCTCCTATGCCTCCGATGCCTGCCATTCCTGCTCTCCCGGACTATCAAGGACAAGGAATGATGCGCCGCATTACCAACCTCGTACCACACCGGCCTGCCGCTCGAGGAGACGGCTGGTGGGATTATCTAAAGGGCAACACCTCACCCAACCCCAACCAACCACCTTCATATGACGAGCTCTTCCCGCACCCTGAGCCCACGGCCGAAGAGTCGGACATAAAGAAATCGACACTTATTCGTGCTGCGGCAGAGGCAGCTATCGATCAACACTTCGAGGCCGAGAGCAGCACAGTCGCTTCATCATCATCCTCGGCGCAGCCCTCCATACCGGCCGTCCTCCAGGTCAAGGAAGAACTTAAAGACATTACAATCGGCCGCAAGGTCATCTCACGCGAGCAACAAAATCATCTCCGAGAGCAACAAGCACAGCGGATGAAGGGTCTAGGCAGTGACCGAAACCTGTACTTCATTTGGGTAAGTCATATACCACTGCTCCATTTCTATCTGTAATATTACTAATCGACCTCCAGATTCCTCTTCTACTTCTGGTTATTTGCGCATGGGTTCGAAACTACGTTCCCGGTATCTGGCAAGGCGTCACGGATGGCTTTGAATTTGTGAAGGCTCGCTCTACACAGCGGGCTGTGGAATTGGGCATTTAGGGCATTTTTTTCTTTTGATTCCTGATCATATATTTCTATGGCGTTTCCTCTGAGCGAGTCACTTTATTTACATGGCGGATTAACCGTCTTTCCTTTTGTCGCCTCTTTTAAAGATTCGTGTTTATAATGACGCGGCATGACTATATATGTAGAACCCGCATGATGGAATCATATTTTCATATTTTATTTTTACTTCTCTGGCCCTTTGCGTAAAGACCCGTGGAGTATCGGGTCTAATTGCAATATCCCTCAGATCGAATTGTGATGATTACTTTTGATTGGCCTGGTACGTCCTTTCTTCTCTCTTTGGTATTATCACCATGATATTCGACTATATCGATAATTTCTAAATCAAATCCCTGTGTCTGCTACAAAATCCCTCAACGGCTGCAACAAATGCATCGATTGCCGAAGCAGGTGTAACGATATTCAGGATGATCGCCCCACGAATCTGCACCCAAAATCCGGCATTCACGAGTTCCAGCCAGAAAAGCTTCTTGAGTTCAGTTGACTCTACCGCCCCAACATCATCCCGTCGAGTGATCTGCTCCGGCAAAAGCCTTGTTTCAGTTGCATGAATGTACATGAGAGAACCTTGGCCCGTGACACAAAACTTGGACCCTGCAAAGATCTGCTGCAAGCGTCGACGCAAATCGTCGCCTTGAGAATTGCATGCGTGCACAACCTTGGGTGTATACACCTCAGAGAGCCCAGCATATCCAGCATGGAGCATTAAGGTGTTGTTCTGGAAGGTACCGGAATGTGCCAGAGCCCCTGGTGTGAGAGGACTGAACACGTCCATAATGTCTTGTCGCCCACCAAAAGCCCCGAATGGCAAACCTCCACCTAAATATTTGCCCAGAGTAACAAGATCTGGCTTCACTTCAAGCGTTTCCTTCAGTCCTCCGGGTGCTAGTCGGGATGTCATCACCTCATCCAGGATCATCAACGCCCCAGCCTTCTCGCTCTGTTCCCGAATGGTTCGCAAGAAGTCCGTAGACCCAGAAATAAAGCCGCCGGAGCCTTGAATCCCCTCCAAAATGACCGCGGCAATATCATCATGTTGAGCGAAAGCTTCCTGCACGCCGTTCGAATCGTTGTATTGGACCAGCACCCAATCGTTCTGGTCGACGTTGTTTTCCGGGATGCCATCTCCAAAAGACAGCACGCTGCCGTGGTATGCACCGCGAAAGACCATGACTTTGCGTCGGCCTGTAAATTTTCTAGCGGCAGCAAGGCAGTGCAGGTTTGCTTCCGTTCCAGAGTTGGTAAATCTGAGGCGCTCGAGTCCAAATCGCTTGCACAGAAGCGAGGCATATTGCTGCTCATAAACATTGGTAGCTCCTAGACTGAGTCCTACATTTTGGATGGTATCAGTAAGCACCTTCTGCAATGTCGGATGCGAATGTCCAAAAAGCCCAGCAGATAGCTCGCCCACTAGGTCGTAATATCTTCGAACTGTATTAGATCTGAATTTTTCACGTCGGTGTAGAAGTCAGTACTTATTCCCATCCTCATCCCACAGTTGAGAGCCTTCGCCCTTGCGCATAAACACCGGGAAAGGAGCGGTGTGCAGCAGTGTACGGGTGTTTCCTCCTGGCAAACTTTCGAGTGCCAGCTCATGCAGTCGTCGCGATTCAGGGTGAAGCTCCTGAAACCGAGTCACGGCATTTTGGAGAGCCAATTCCATTCTTTTAGTCAAAATTCTAGTTCCTTGTATCAATTCCTACTATTTGTGATGTCTTGAACTTGACTTCATAATCCGAGGTCGTACATATAGCCTTGAGTAGGTGGGGGGACACATACCCCTCTCGGCATGACATTCCTTAATAAGCAAATTGCTATTATAGTTGTGCCTGGAGCAACAGCCCATATTCAATCCAGCAATCCTCCGCACTCATTAAGTGCTTGATCTGTGTTGCGCGCTCCTTGAAATCAGGTCGGCCCATCTGTCTGCGTTTTATTTTCTGCAAGTATCGCAAATTGTCCGAGTATTCGAAGAAGAACCAGTTCGGACAAATTTGTTGCTCATTCCAGTCTAGATAAGCTGCACTGGCGTCCTCTGGTTGAGCAATAAAACGAGCATCATCCCAGATGATTTCTCTGACTTGATGACGAAAAACTTCACGGTCTACAATTTCTCGCAGTACTTCAACGTCCAGGCGGTTGGAAGAAGACGCGTGGGAAAAGAAGCGTTGCACCCAATCTGAGGGCTCTACAAGTCAAGCGCAGAGTCTTGATGTCTCGGTTCGTCAAGTGTTCCGAAATTGACACAAGAATACCAAATGGCAGTTCCGAAAGTGGCATAGAGCGTTGATTTGATGGGGATGGGCTGGGGGATGGCTGGGGAATGGGCTGGGGGATGGGCTGGGGGGTGAATTCAAGGATGGATTTAACATTGATTCAGTCAAGGATGGACTAGATGATGGTGAGGGTGAGAAAGGCGAAGACATTTTGCTTGTTACCTGGATTGGGGAGAATATAGAAAGAGTATAACAGGAAAAAGAGTTAAAATGGTCAAACAAAGGCAAACCTGTGTGTGGAACATATCCTCACTCTCATTGATATAAATCAAACCTAAGCAATTGTGCGCTGTTCACCTAAAATATTGTGTCTCGAAGCCCTACCTAGGTATGGCTTTGACTGTAGTGAGTAAATGCTGAATAGTGGCGAAAAATATGTGAATGTCCTCATCCTTCATATCCATGGTCTTGATTGAGTTGTTGTTGATTTATACATCGATAATGTATGTATATATTTCTGTAATATCTTCATATGTAGTTATGCTGCAATACCTAGATATATACATCTAGTTGTTCAGCAGTCAAAATCTAGGTTAATTGTGGGGTGTGACATTTTAACTGTAGGTGTCTCTATCGTCCCCCGTAAGCCATTGAGAATATCAACAACCCCCTTAACAGCCCTGAAGAGCATTCCAAGCTATCTCAGTATCAACCTCCATGGGTGTTTTCTATATTTCCAATAATGGAGCGTCAACCTTTTCAAATATTTTACAAATCCTCGGTCTCTACGTCGCCCACTGCCTTATGCCTGCGATTCTCTTGATAGCAACACCTAAAGGGTCAATTCTTCGATATTTTTCGATCCCATGCTCAATTTTCATTGTCCACCGTGCTATACCAGTGGCCACAGCGCTAGGTCCAGGATATGTCTGGTGTGAATGCGGTCGACTATTCTTGACAATCATCTTCCAATGCCTAAATCTGCTGTTGATCAATCCAAAAGATGGCGACGATCTACCATCAGGAGATTGCCAAACCTTTGGGACTCGACTGTACTCCGCAACTCGTCTTTTTACTGATCCTCGAGGGATCAACACCCCGTGGCAAATAAAAAATGCCCCTCCACAACCAGGGTATTACAAACGATGGGGCCCCAAAGAGCCTCCTCGTCGTCAATTTCTCATTCGCCAGATATTAATCGTCATTTGGCAATATTTAACCCTAGATGTTTTTGCTACCCTTGCGTTGCAACAGGCGTTAGAGCAAAGCGGAACATTGCCACCAGTGCCTCAATGGGATATCTCCACCGAACAGTGGGTTGAACGCATCATATCGAACCTCATGGCTGGGTTTGTGGTCAGCCGGATTCTCATTGACTTCCATCACCGAACATTCTCAATAATTCTCGTAGGACTTGGCCTCGACTCCCCTGCGAATTGCCCTCCATTGTTTGGAAGAGCAATTGATGCCGATACAGTACGGGGTTTTTGGGCGTAAGTTCATTCAAAAGGCTGATTTTTGGAATATGGTCACTGGAAAACCATGCTAATGACAATTCCAGTAAATTTTGGCACCAATTACTACAACAGCCCCTGACCACTGTGAGTGGATTCATCACTCAAGACCTCTTAGGCCTGCCATCAAAATCTCTAGTGCAACGATACACAAATGTCTTCTTTGTTTTCTTCTTTTCTGGTGGCCTGCACGTCGTACTCGATGTTGTGCAGGGAATTCCAGCACGAGAATCTGGAGCCATGTTGTTTTTCGCCACGGCCCCTCTGGGCCTCATGATTGAAGACGGCATCAAATTCGGCTGGAGATACGTTTCAAAGTCGGAGGCCTCAAGCCAAAAAGGCATTAAACCGCTATGGCAAAGGGTTCTTGGCTTCTCATGGTCTATGGCATGGCTCGGGGTCACATCCACTGGGTTCTTTTACCCACAAGTGGTTAGGCCACAAAACCAGGCTCTGGTTCCATTTTCTGTGGCAAGTCATATCGGATTGCCCGTACAGGCAGTACTGGTTCTGGGCGGCGGTGCTGTGCTAGCAAAGGTGTTCGAGGTTGAGGTCTAAGATATGGAGTACACGTAGTTTCTACAAAAGAAGTCTTAATATATCCTGTGTATATTAAAGTATAAACAGCCTCTTTATATGTCACAAGCAAATACATATTTTATAGTAATCCTGAAAAGCAAAGAGATCCTGAAGATTGAGAAATTGTGCTAAATGTGCGTATACCCCAATGTAAAAGCGGCGAGGGCGGTGCACTAAAGAGGAAAAGGAACGACAACGGCCGTGCGTGGCCGCAGTTGACAGCATGTTTCCGACCTCACCCCGCGACTTTCTCCTTAAAACCCGCCGCGCGAAAGCTCCTATGCAATTTGAACTGTGGGATGCTTTGAATTCAATTGCTCAATTCCCGAATTGTGCGCGGGAATCATGGACCCTTCGCAGGCAGCTTCGAGCAATGTAACAGGTACGATAAACAATTAAAACAGCAGGAGCTTGCGCTGACCGACCATTATAGTTGAATACACGGATCCTTCAAGTCTTTTTTCGATTGTTCAACCTGTGATAGAAGCAAAGCTCCCACTAAAAAACCTCCACTGGAAATCGCCAACCCGCCCCGTACGGTCAATCGAATCGCTCCGCATCGGCTTCACACCTGCACAGGAATCGAACGAGCGAAAATCCTCCAGCGATGCTATCCCTGGTACTATCACCCACCGTCGGCACCAGATCCCTGGTTTACGGCAAACCCCATACCTGAAAGTTTACCTCCTCCGATGCGACGACAACGAGACATACAAGACGACGGCACGGAAGAACCTCCGTGATTGGATCAAGGCCAATTCATCTTCACAAAGCTCACAATCTGCGACTACCAACCAGGAGAAGCACGATGCGTTCGAGTGGCTTATCCTGCATGTCGTGCCGGACGGCGACGCTGCGGAGAGGTCTCCCGCGCCTACCTCGAAATGGGGTCGTGGTTCAACGACGGTGCTGGAGAAGGTCAAGGCTGACTTCAACGGGACTTCCAAAACCGCTGTGGATCGTGTAGCCCAATTGCGCCTCCCAAAGCAGGGAGTCAAGTCCCCTGACTTGGCAGAGCAATTGGAGGACTTGATTGATAAAATGAAGAACGGCATTTTGGCATCTTTCGATTTGCGTGTGGCTCAGTATGAAGAGGATATCAAAGAGAAAGACTCCCAGCGTAGTCTGCCGGGGTGGAACTTTTGCACATTCTTCATCCTCAAGGAAGGTCTTGCTCGGGGTTTCGAGAACGTCGGCCTTTTTGAGGATGCGCTGGCTAGCTACGACGAACTTGCGGTCGGCTTGGATGCAGCAATCCGAGATCAGCTCGATGGAAGCGGTGACCAGCATGGAGGAGCGCTCTTGATCACTAGCAAGAATTGGGCTGAAATGGCCAAGAAGGCTTTGGAGGCAGGAGCTTCCGATGACAACAGCGATGCGGCTTTGTTTTCGGAGCTTCAACCGGAGGACTTCCCATTCAATTCTAACAAGATGTCGTACCGGGAAATGATCCTGGCAAGCGACATCTCCATATTTGATTTCCGCACATACATCTTCTCTCGTCAATTGACATTATTGCTCCGAGCCGCAAGAGCTCCATCACTGGCTGGTAGCGAGCCTGCAGCAGATGGAGCGGCGAAATCAAGCAAGAAACCCGAAGATCTCATGTTACTGTCTGAGATTTGTGGACGGGCAACCGAATGCATCAGCCTCGCTGCACGTACTCTTCGTTATGATCTTGAATGTGGTCTGGCAGAAGTAGTAAATGATGGCAAGATAGATGTTATCAACAATCTAGTCTCAACTTGGGCTTTCTCGGCTGCCTTCCAAATCTTGAGCCAGACTTTTACTTCGACCCTCATGCTCCCTGAATCATCTCTTCATGCTGTTGCGCAATCAAGTGAGGCCGCTGCTACTGTGGCAGCAGATGGCCGAGCCGCTGATGTGCCTCGCCGCACAAGTTCCCTCGTATCCAGTTCTCGTCCCGGTCGACCAGTGACTCAGGATATCTCAGATAGCGTGGGTCTGCTTCAGCGACGTTCAACTATGGATCATCCCAAACCTCTGCCAGCTCCTACGCAGAAGACTGGCTCAGAACAACTATCTTCTGGAAGAGCAGAGCTGCTTCTTCTCGCCAGACGGTCCTTGGAAGAGATTGGCCAAAGAAGAGGCTGGGCTGAAAAGTGGAGCGATCTCGGTCTTCTGTTTGATGATGGGCATCGTTCTGGTGCGAGTGGCTTAGCGGAGATCTCGTTGGATGATGATCACACCAAAGCGTCACAAGCAGGTTCTAAGAAAACCAAGTCATCGCTTGTGGGCATCAACCTTGCTGGCCTGAAGGCTGCATTAGAGTCTAAGGATGCCTTCCTGTTCTTGTATGAAGATCTCACAGATCGTTTGATTCGCCATCATATGGCAGCCAACCGCGTCAACTCTGCCGAACAGGCCCTTGCCGAAATAGCCATCCTACGATACCGGCAGAGAGACTATGAATCGGCAGCTTCCTATTTCCACCGAATGGCCCCGTTCTATGGCACTAAGAACTGGGTGATCTTGGAAGGAAGCCTGTTGGAATTACATGCTCGGTGCTTGAAGGAACTTCGGCGCAACGAGGACTACGTTAGAATGATGATACGTCTACTTTCAAAGTTTGCAACATACGCGCAGGCGCAATTGTCAGTCAGACAAAAGGCCGTGTCTAGCTCGATTCCCTCTACCGAGCAGGAAATCTTAGACGAGCATGTCAGCAACTTATTTAAAGTGTCTAGTGCTCTTCAAAAAGACATTCCAGCTTCTTTGACGGACTTCTTTGCCGACCTTCACGTCAACCCAGCTATTCGATTATACGACAATCAGGATGGATTCCAGGTTGAGCTTTCTCTGCGGTTCCTTTTGGGCAAGCAAATTGAGATTGACAACCTCAAGCTTCGGCTGGTTAGCGCCAACAGTTCGCAGAATTCCGAGCACTGGATCGAGAGCGCGGACAAATTTGTGGTGAAGTCGTCGTCGACACAGGTTCTGATTGATTCCTCCGTGAGTACTCAAGATATACTATTCTTCACTGCGGATAGCTGACTTTCATGTAGACCACACTTCAAGGGAAATATTTTGTTGATCGCATCGAGATGAGGGCAGGCAATCTCGTCTTCAACTTCAATAGTGGCCAAGACTCGTCACTTCCAGTGGGCTTCCGGGAAACAGAAGAGACAGAAGAAACTGATGAACGGCCATATATTTATTGCTATCCTCCAGCAGACGGCCTGCAAGCAAAGATTGTGTCACCACATTTGATTAACCTCCAATCCATGCGGACGTTAGAGTTAGAACTTGACAGTGGACGAAATGATATCAAGAGCGGTACTATTCGTGTCCGGCCAGCGACCGCAGGCCTACGGCTACGCCTTGCAGAAACAGAGGTCGTGGATGGCATGCTTGAGATTGATCCCAACCACGAATCTGGTATCATTGAATTTGCTCATCTAGCTGCTCGATCGTTTGTGCGACTGCGCATACCCTACACGGTGGAAGAGGCATTTTCGACTCTCTCCGCACGAGCAGAAATTGGATATGAGACCGAGCATAGCCGATTTGCTTCATCGGCATCTTTCAGTGTTGTTTCCACGCTACCTATATCAGTCAATGTGCAGGACATCTTCAAGGATGAACTCTTGTTCTCACGTTTCACGATCAGCCCTGCAATGCTGATCCCGCTCCGTATCACAAACTGCAGCCTGCCCAGCTCTGACGCGTACGAGGTTCAATCCAACGTCACTGGCCCTGTAGCCCTTGATGTCTTCCCTAAGCAGCCCGCGTCTCTTCTCTACAAAATACGCCCCAATGAAGGCAAGACAACAGCATCAACGCCACGCAGTCTACAATTGAGTGTCGACTTCACATGTGTGGATGATGAATGCCTCGATGCAGTCGAGAAGCAGTTTGCTGCTTCCATTGACTCAAGTCCCTTCCGCCAATACGCAGCCTTGCTCACCTCGCACATTGTCAGCAGCTTCCGCGCACAGCTATCCACAAGTGACATGGAAGCTATCGGATTAATTCGGGAAGTGAATATGCTCCCTTATCAGACCGTGCGCTGGGAAGATTTGTTGGGCGCCCTGAAAGAACCAGCCGATAACGTACGACAATGGCTCCAGGAGTGGCACAAGGTAAGAAATTTCCCAGTTCTCAGTCCACTATGACGAAAACGAAACCCAACATGATACTTACACTCGATACCAGAACCACACCATCATCCAACTTCCCGCACAACCTACCATCCCGTCCCGCCGCATTGTCATCCCTGTCGATGTCCCCGAAATTCAGGTCGTGCACACTGCCGAGCTGCAGCTCCAACCCAATCCCACAGAGTCCACCACCCACGCTGCTGTAGGCCAAATGATCACCGCTGAGCTATGCCTCCGCCACACTCGACGCTGGTGCTCCCCAACAACGCGCGAAAACGCCGACCAGCCTCTAGAGTGCTCTTATGAGATCCACGCCAACCCAGACCTATGGCAAATAGGTGGTCGTCGACGAGGCAATTTCCTCGCGCAAGACGGCGAAACAGCCCGCTTCACCGTCCTTTTGCTCCCTCAGAAACCAGGCCACCTCCTCCTTCCCGGCCTGGAGATTCGCACCTTCCTCCCATCCGGGTCTCAGCTCCCGACCTCACCGGCCGAGTCTGGTTCTACTGCACCGTCTCGTCGCTCGATTCCTTGTGAAGTTGATTACCGGAATCACAGTGAGACGGTCCTTGTTCTTCCTGATCTGAGGAAGACCACCGTTACTCTTAGTGCTGCTGGTGGCCATGCCGGTGGAGGGTCGTGGTTAGTCGACTCTGAGCGGAGAGCGGAGGAAGCTCGTTGATTTAGTACCATTTGTTTGTATAGTTATATGACTATGACTTGGTGAGTGTATGTATGTAGATCTACGATTCATGAATTTGTCTATTTTGCAATCCTTTTTGTGGCTCTCTTTGGAGGATTTGGAATGTCTGCAACGTATAACTAGTTAATGCCGATGTCAGCAATGTATGGAGTACGTTGTAAACCAGAATCATAATGTATACTCGAGTTAACTTCGGGTCACCAGGGTCATTCCCGCTTTTCCCCGACCCATTATAGCCTAGTATATCCCAATAGATACTAGCGCGTTTCTTAGTTAAACTCAACCTTTCTTATACAATGGAGAATATTGTACCTTATTGAGCGGAGTAGCCCATGTCTCATATGACACTAGCATTCTTTAGACTGTAGGTGATTAATACTAAGCCCTTAATCACCTACAATGTAAGATATTCATTCGCCGTCTTTTTGGGTCGAGAATAAGTCCGGATGTCCGGAGTTGAGAGATCAGATCTTATCTAAGGTGGCAAAGTGGTGTGATAAGGGAATTAAAGAAATTTACAAAAAATTAACGTTTGTCGTTTTTTTCAATTTCAAAAGGGGGGAGTGGGGCCCCAACAAAACCCGGCTCCGCCCAACAAGCGCTTCACTACTACAAGACAATGACTATACAGTAAATATATACAGAGTATTGCAATTTTTAATTTGATTTATATCTGGTTTATTGATTGAAGTTGAACTATCTACTATATATACGTTGTAAGTGTAATATTGAGATACTGTTCTCTTGTGGGCAACATTTGGGCGAGGGGGAAAATCACATGCTCCTTACACATACCAAAGCCCTAGAGCATTCATACCCCGTGGGCTTGCCAGGAGGGGCTGATGCTCTGAGGGGCTGAGTATGAGCTGGGTCTGAACCGGGTTCCTGTTATCCGATTGCGCAACCAAAAAGTGAAAATGGAAAACAAAAAAGGGGAAAAAAGCAAAGACCAATTGCCACCATACAACAACATTGCAGTACATTACATCGGACACGAGGCCAATGGCAGCGCAGTAATAAGGACCCGAGGCAAATCGCTACGATCTATCCACATGTGGCTTCACCGTATTCTCATGTGAAGATCAAAAAATTCTAGCCCTATTTTCATCTGACAGTCTGACCAACTCCACCAAGAGAAATTTGCATTGGGAAGTGTTGGGGCGAACGGGATTAGCCGGTGAGAAGGCGGTGCCACTGAAGAACTACATTGTATTGGTGGGGGGAGGGAACAATCAGTTCGATAATCCATGGATAGAACCAAAAAGGATGTACAATTTACGGTGCGAAAATGGCGCTGCTGAGCTGCAAGATCTCACCAGTCAAAGTGAAGCATACTTTGAAAAACAATGGAAAATAGGGCAAAGATCAGCTGTAGAAGAGTTCATGCAGTTCAAACCGAAAATTTTAAGAGAGGCGAAGGGGGGAGGCGATCGACGTTATAAATTTGCAAAATACAATACAGAAATTTTACCATAGTAAAATTGCTCAGTTGCCCTGCGGGGACACCGTGGTGGTATGCAAATTACCGGTTGGGAATCCCCGGTCCCTTTTTTTTGGTACCTTTCCCTGTCCTTTCTTTTTTTCTAAAGCTGTTCCGTTTTCTTCTTTCTTTCAGTCAAGTCAATTGCCTGCTCTCTCGTTGGCTTATTGATAAAACGGGGTACTTGCTTTGATCTCTTGGTTTTATCAAACGATTTGACTCTCGTGCAACCCCAAAAACTCAACTAATAGTGAGCATCCCGAGGTCGACGAGTGACTTGTGGAAGAAAGCTGAACTGACCTCAAATCTCAGATTCATTCATTCTTGCCTTCCGAGAGCTATTCAAAGGGAACAGTCAACAGTGACTCCCTGATATACCATCAAGATGTCGTCTACTGCAGTCCCCAAGCGCGTTGCGCTCAATCGCAACCTCCCTACAGAGTCCTCTGTCGTGAGCTCTGTCTCGGCGTCACCTTTTGATAGCCCGCGCCAATCCCCCTCCTCAACATCACTGTCCTCCATGGCTTCGGAGCAGGAGGCCAGCAAGATGCTGGACACATATGGCAACGAGTTCAAGATCCCCGACTATACCATCAAGCAGATCCGCGATGCTATTCCCGCTCACTGCTTCCACCGCTCCGCTGCCACCAGTCTATACTATGTCTTCCGGGACATGGCTATACTGGCCTCGGTCTTTTACCTCTTCCACAACTATGTCACCCCTCAGACTGTGCCCTTGCTCCCTGTTCGTGTGGCCCTCTGGACCTTGTACACCATCGTGCAAGGTCTCGTTGGCACCGGAGTGTGGGTTCTGGCCCACGAGTGCGGTCACCAGGCCTTCTCTCCCTCAAAGGTTCTGAATGATACCGTCGGCTGGGTGTGCCACTCTCTCTTGCTCGTTCCTTACTTCTCCTGGAAGATCTCCCACGGAAAGCACCACAAGGCCACTGGTAACCTCGCCCGTGACATGGTCTTCGTCCCCAAGACCCGTGACGAGTACGCTTCTCGCGTCGGCAAGACTCTGCACGAGCTCGGCGAGCTCTTTGAGGAGACCCCTATTCTCACTGCCTCCAACCTCTTGGCCCAGCAGCTCTTCGGCTGGCCCATGTACCTCCTCATCAACGTCACCGGCCACAACAACCACACCAAGCAGCCTGAGGGCCGCGGTGTGGGTAAGGCCAACGGCTGGGGCGGTGGTGTCAACCACTTCAGCCCCGCCAGCCCCCTTTACGAAGCCAAGGATGCTAAGCTTATTGCCCTGTCTGATCTCGGTCTTTTGCTCACTGGTACCGCTCTGTACTTTGTCGGCAAGAACTTCGGCTGGCTCAACCTGCTGGTCTGGTACGGTATCCCTTACTTGTGGGTGAACCACTGGCTCGGTAAGTTTCCAATTCACAATGCCCACTGAATCTCATTGTTTCGGCTTACTAACCTTTTTCAGTTGCCATCACTTTCCTCCAGCACACTGATCCCACTCTTCCCCACTACCAGCCTGAAGTGTGGAACTTTGCCCGTGGTGCCGCTGCCACTATTGACCGTGACTTTGGCTTCGTTGGCCGCCACATTTTCCACGGCATCATTGAGACCCACGTTCTGCACCACTATGTCAGCAACATTCCCTTCTATAACGCCGATGAGGCCTCCGACGCTATCAAGAGTGTGATGGGCGACCACTACCGCACTGAGGCCCACACCGGCTGGACTGGTTTCTTCAAGGCTCTCTGGACCTCTGCTCGTGCCTGCCACTGGGTTGAGCCCACCGAGGGTGCCACTGGTGAGAGCCAGGGTGTGCTGTTCTTCCGCAACACCAACGGTATTGGTATCCCACCTTCCAAGATGGCTGCCAAGGCTCAATAGACAAGTGATGTTTGTCTTGTGTGATGTGCTTGCTTTCTCGCATAATGTTTGATCTACAATTCTCCAATCATCTTTACCTGCTGCTCCGCTGATATACGGATACATCGTGTTCTCTTTGGGATTTGGCAAGACATAGATCAAATTTGACGGTTTTTTTTTCTTTTTCCCACTGGGCTTCTTTGTGTTATCGCCTTGGCTTCATGTCACTGTTGAGGTATGCATCTTTCTCTAGACCGTTGCTTTCTCATTCAGTGAGGTTGTAGTGAACGCCGGGATATATTCGGAACACCGGTGGGCTAGAGGCTGGAACGATAATGAAAAAATGGAGCGAAGGGGTTGATGTTTTTGTCGATAATAGAGAATTGTCTTATGTGATATGTTCACCTGCCTCATCTCACTGTGATTAATTTGAAGCGTGTTTCTCATTGTCTCTTCCTTTCGCATACATATGGTGTGCACAGCAAATGATGTGCCATCGTCCATTGGAGTTAGCAAGTACATCAAGCATATTAGAGCAGTAATGATTTTTTTTCCAACTTGTATCAGGGATCTAAGTCCTAATAAGTTAAGAAATTCCTAACTAGTTATTCCATCTTCGGTGTGGTACTTCACAGTAAATTCAGTGTGTGTTCCACTGCAGCATAATGTGCGTCACACCATCATAGATTTACCTGTTTCTAGGTGACACGAGGTCCCTTGCGACTTCGGCGTCTGCCCAGGTCTGCTCGAAGGCCAAATGAGCCATTATGGTAGTAAGATAAGACATCAGATGATCACCATCATGTTCAAACGCTTTGATCTTCAATGGAAGCTATTTCAGCAGATGCCGGTGGCGTTCACTGATTGGCGTTTGAGTCCAGAACTTGGCTACATAACTATGTTCAAGGCCCAAGATACTTGGGCATGGCTGCGCGATTATGCAAAAGTGATGCTACGGCCCCGGGGGCCGGGGAGTGGGGGGGGGGTTGCTAATGGATTGCATTACCTCAATTTTCACAAACTCAAGTCTGTCCCATTCTCGTCCACGCACTGAGGCTCGATTTATGATATACCTAGATATATAGGCAGAAGATGGTATATGCTTAGCATCCGTAGATGTACAGAGCGGATGAATTGTAGTATATGTAGACTGCAAGCATGAGGAACCTAGTGCGCGTTCACGGACACTGTGGTTATACATAACCTTACATGGATGCAATCATTCAGCGGAACTCGTACTCCGCAAGCCGCCTTTCCAAATCTCAAACTCAACCTCGTCAGTCCTTCTGCTTGAAGGTTGAGTCTTCTTCGATGCGCTTTTCAAGCCTCCTGTCCACGCACAGTACACAAGCTTCATGACCCGCCGTGTTACAGATTCAGGACTAGAAACAAGCGACTGACTCTGTGATCCAAGAACGGCGTTCTTGGGAGGAGGTGCAGGCATAGCTATCGAGTCTGCGTCCCGATTGATATCTGCACTTATTTGAGAGGGCGGATAGCCCCAATCTGCAGGCGCATTCGCTAAATGGGATACCTCCTTTTTCAGTGCAATTCGACATGCTAGTTTTGTTGACCAGACGAATCCCAGGGCCGGATTTTTCAGAGACCCGCTCTCTGGATTTGGACCATCACCCCAGCCGTTAAAGAACCTTTCTTGGTAGGCCAGCTTTAAAAAGGGACTGCGCGTTGGACCCGGGATTAAGTACGAGCCGTCGAAGTTTTTATCATTTGGCGCATGATATGGCGACGATGAAATAGCCTGGGAGGATCGTGGGGCGGAGGAACCTGGCGGGCGATTCCCAGCAGCTATTTGCTCAGTTCGAGACATCGGATATGGAGAAACAGCGCCGCTTCCATGGCCTGCCGTTTGACTCAGTCTAGACGGAAACGGTGGCCGTGGTATTGATACACCGCCTGTAGGCTCAAAGCGGTCGGATACCTGGTTTGCTACCACGATTGCGATATTTTCTTTCATGGCAAGGTTGCGCAAAAGACGGCCTGTTTTGGTGAGTTGACGGGCTCGCTTGGCGAGGGATGTCATGTGGTTGGAGTGTTCAGCGCGATAGTTTGAGGTAATCGAATCGATGATAACCAGGCCTATATCGTAGCGTTCAATGGCGACTGGAAGCTGGAAGTTTAAGATGTGATCTTGCGTTTCCAGATCCATAGCATTGATGGAGAGGATAGCTTCCAGTGATGGTGCTTGGTCTTGAGAAAGGCTTGACAGAACAGGGTGTGACTCCAGAAGCTGGGAGAGCCGTGGCGTTGACAAGGGGTGCTCTGTCGATATGTATATTGCGCGACGCTGTAGTCCTTGGGGTTTCGGTAGCTGGACGGCCAGGCAGAGACTCAAGAGGAATTGAGTCTTGCCGCTTCCACTAAACACCGATGCAAAGGTCAGGTTGGCCCGCGTATAATATTATTTATCCAGGGCCTGACAGCATACCTCTCGCCCGTCACCTCAGTCACATACCCCGTTGGTATCCCGCCTCCCAGCAAGGCGTCTATTGCGGGGTCAAGAGTGCTGATGGTGTTCCATTGTAGAGGCGCGCGCTTCGTTGCAGACCCGAGACTGAGGGCGGCATCAGGGCCGATGGTAGAGCTAGGTGCTTCATTGGAATCTTCTGCATTCGCCTTGGGTCGTTCGAACCCAATGTCTGCATGCAATGCCTCGACTATACAATTGGCGAGGCGTCGGACGTCTGCGGGGGGCACGCGCGCGCGTTTTGCGATCTCGAGAGGGTCGAGAGTGATGAGATCGACAGTGGTGACTTTGCGCCGCTCAAGAGGCGGAATGATGTGGACGAAACCATTCGTTGAAAAGCCAGGTAAAACAGATAGAAGATCCATAAGAGTGAGAGAAGAACACCTGAATATCGCGATTACATTGTACAAGTCGGCCACCGACCAATCATAGAGCTGCTTCGGCCCCATTCATTGACTTCTCGAGCGGTGAGGGTGGCAGAAGTCGGCCGCCCTATCAGATGAATCGTGTGATCACACGCATAATAGTAGTTAGAAGGGTATTTGAACTTCACATAAGTAGGTGATGGATTTATTCAAGAATTAAACAATTCATAGAGATAGCTAATAACCATGGTCTCAGGTACTGTTCAAGCCCAAAACATTGATGGGTGTAGAATGTGGAGGACACACTGATCTATATATATCTTGCTGCAATGGCAAGGGGGTTGAAACTCGACCGATATGATACCTAGGTGTCTGGATGAGATATGCCATGAGAATAACAAAGTAGAGCCCATGATATCGGATTCTTACTTCAGCCCTGACTTCGGGAGAACCTGGAGGGACACACATATCAGAATGCCTTAATCTCAAATAGCTCATCTACGCAGAACTAGATAGCTACCACCCTACAGCTTTACTATTCAGTTATTTCATAGTCATCGTAATTGGATTTCTTACGCAACTAGGGGGGCCTGAATGCTTAACTCGAATACTCAAAGATTTTCCGACTCTTTTCTAAGTAGCATGCTCCACTCGACTCGTACATTGCGGTGAATTGTGCAAAGCAAATAGTATCGAGTTGATGAGGATTCGCAATAAAGCCATACTGATAAAGATGTTTCGAAACACTTGGATAAGAACACCGAATCCCAGGCGATCTACCCCGTAAGAATGTTTACAATGGAGATAGCTACTATAAATGAGACAATGTGGTTAGTATCCTTGAAAAACCATGTGTCTCAAGGTTGACCGGAGGTTTCAATCCATGACTAGTCTAGCCCTGGGCAGCCTGGTCATCGTTGAGCCCTGAGTACCAAGTAACATACCGTTGTGAGTGGAATCATTCCAGAACATAATTGTTACATGTATTGGTACTCTAGTACTAGACCTAAATGATTGTACAGGCCGGTACTTTTGGCGTGCTGGATAGGGCAGGTGGATAAAAAGGCGGCTTGGATCGAGTTCACCAAAGCTGATGCATCCGGGTAAATAATGACAGGCATGAGGAACCTTTTAAAGAACATGGGGTCTTGAAACCCTGTAAAATAATAATACAACGTCGATTCCTAGATGCATTGTAATATTCTAGTCCTTTGGGCAGATCTTGACTTGCCCCTCTGAACACACTATTGAAGCTAAAATCGACAGATCATGTCTTTACCGTGATCAACACACCATCTGATGTCACAGTGACCCAAATTCCGTTAGTCCGACTAAGGAGGCACTTGTTTTAAAAATCCTTGCCTGGTTTGTGGGTTCTGATACTTCTTCCACGTGGCAACGTAAGGATTGGACTAACTAGCGGTCTGTTCATCTGGCCGAATTCTAGGGGGGAGGGGAATGGTGAACTGATGTGTCATTTTTGTTTGAATGTAGATAAAATCTGAGATAGTAAACGTTCACAAAGTCGATTGAGTCGTCCCCAGGGGATGGGGTGTCGTATTTCTGGGTGGTGAATCATTGTGAAAGTATATACTAGTAGGTACATATGCAGACCTGCGGGAGTGTCTGCCATGCACATCAATGTCAAGGCCATTTCAATTTCCAAGATCAAATGTGCAACGTAAATGTAGCAAAGAAGGAAAAAATGCAACAGGGGTGAGACCAAGCCGAAATAATACAAACAGTGCGGAGTGCGAGAAGCAAAACATCGGCTCTTATAACATAGCATCAGCGAAATCCAACTTTGAAGTCATTTCAAGTTCCCTTAACTACCGCGATGGTGATCAAAAGCCTCCAGCCTAATGCGATCGTATCACATCTCAAAAAGTCCTCGGCTAACAATTGCGGAAAGTAAAGAAGTCTATGCGCTACGCCTTGCGATTCGATTAGCAGTCTCACTCACATGACGAGACCCTCCTGCCGCCTATTCCTGATCAGGCCTTTAGTTCAGATCGAAAGACGGGATCAAAGCGCTAAACAATACCATTCGACAGGGGTTTTCCGGAGCCGACACGAATACAGGTTCGTACAGGGCACACTTGCAAAGTACCGCGAAGCAGACTCCTACCAGATGCAGCCAATTCTCCGCCATAATTAGGGATGAGGGATCATTAAGGGTTCTTCCATGATTGTTGTAGTTTCCCAGAGCTCCACTGTGGTAGTCCCTACATATTTGAGAACACTTCCAGGGTCACAAATATAATAATGTACAAATGTAATGTACAAATGTACGGAGTATATTAAAGCATTGAAAATTCAAATCGCCAAGAGCCTACCAGGCGCTAATGAGATGGTGAATCCTTTAAATTCTACGATATTGTAATTTGTCAAATTGTGGCAGTCCTTGTGATCTTCAAGAAGGCTGGGGATCACCCGCAAGTGATTACACATTTACCAAGTAGGCATCGAGATTTGGTCGTATTGTAAAAGAATTATAGTCGATCGGCATGGTGAAGATAATTCAGTTGCCTTAACCTTTGATTGATATATTTTTTTTCCTGTCTCCATAGTATGCAAAGAAAACAAAATCATGTGCTCTTCGGTAAATAATGGTAATACATTATTGTACTGCTAGTACAATTTTAGATTCGCACTGAGCCGAAGGATTTCAGTCCCTGCACCACATGGCGTTGTGGATTTAGAAGGATCGACTAAAGCTTAGACTAGGAGCGTAGGCCTTTATACACGGAGTACAGTAAGAAAAAGCAATTATAAAAAGCAAGAATTTCTGCAGACAATCATCGGCACTATGAAAGAATGCCACAGTATTTGGCAAAGTTGTTGGACCAAAGGTACATAGACCTGTAACTTGAATCTAAAACCGACATGAACATTTCAAAATTGCTATTAATCAATGATTTGATATCATAAGACAGACGCAGTTTAAGTCGGTCTGATCGACTGGAGCTAATGCAGTACCTAGTATGTCATAGCCCGACTTCCCCGGTGCTAAAGCAGATTCTCGATCTTTCAACGTACCGTAAAGTACGTAATTGTGTTAGACAAATACAAAATGTACAAGTATGATACGTGCATACTGCTCATAAAAAGATGGCGTCCATCTCCACAGTGCACATCAAGACCGTTGGACTCCGCCCGGTCTGGAATTTCTCGTCAGATACTGCAATGTAGCTAAATCTGCAGGATCCCGAATTGTGATGACCTTTTGCTTCTCACCGGGTTCTATTTTCTTTTGCTACGAGCGAAACACTGAGCAGAATATCACTTAGCTAGAAAGACTTGTTCGGGATTGCAGTTGTAATATAACAAATCAGAAGTGCTCATTGAAGCAGGTTAATAGACTAAGATATACGGAGCACTCCGTATTGACTAACATAATATTGACAGGAGATGTGGAGATTGAAGGGCTATCAGGGAAAGGCGGTTCAATAAGAATACCAGTAATATCTAAATAGCATAACTACTATATTGCATGTCGCCGTACTTGGCCCTATGGTTCATACTAAAATACCGGAATTGGCCCGTTTCAGCCAGCCAAGCCACCCTGTGAGAGGGGACCGGTGGCTCGACGGAGCGGATATCACTTTGTATGTACATGACGCCTAAGCGGCCGTCTTTTGGAAGAGGTCCCATGGCTACGGGTTGAGCTTCTTTTTAGCCACACACTTAAAGCTCCGCAGATCAATATCTCGAATATTGCATGAACGATGGGACAATGTATGCGGTACAATGTGTAGGTAGAGTGTACAGCTGTTATGGTTCTTCCTTCCAATCGGCATAATTCAAGTTCAAAAGTAGCAAAGTACCAAGACAGTTTCCAAGTTTTTTTTTCTTTGTTTGAACTTTGAAGGGACTAGGCCTTTGGTACTGCTGATACGCGGTATTTGGGCCTAAGGGCTGCATGAGCATTTTCGATCTCTTCCTCATGTATTCTCTCTGACTATTTCCCTAGTTGGAATGCATATGGCTTTGAAATTGTTGAAGCATTGAATTAGAAGATAATTAAATATAGAAGTATAAGAAGTATAGGAAGCATATAGTTTAAGGAAAATAAAGAGAATCCGGTCCGTTGGACTGGGTTGCCGGAACCTAGGATTGTAGCGCCCGGTAACGTGGGATAACTCCATACCAGGAATGTATCGGGTAACACGAAAGATTGTGATATGCAGGTCAATGTTTACAATATTAATGGTGAGAATATTATAACTAGAAACATCATAGATCTACAAAAGATCACAAAGGTGATCGAAATATTAAGACGTAATTGATCTAAGGCCCAAAAGGGTAGCAGTAAATATTAGTTGTAAATTAAAAAAAGCCCTAAAAGACCACTAACACCCAACATAGTATAGTATAGTGAACATACATATGTATGTAGGGAATCCTTTGGCGATCGTATTCGCAATACAAAGGTTGCCTTAATACAGATACGTGATATATATGTACATATGTAGGCAGAGTGTGATTATCAGCATATAATCAGGTGGTTTAAATGAATATTTGAAGACTTTGGCCTGGGATCGGAAATTAGATGGCCAGAGAAAAGAACCATAGTAATTTGGAAGATATCCGTGGACCCTACCGAACAGGTACTTCGGTCATACCGAGAGGGCCCATAATCGGGAGGCGTACCCAACTGGTCATGCCTAGTGTCACCATTTCACCCCCTCTCCATATTCATCCTCTCTTTCTTCCTCTCTTCCGGATTTCAAGATTTCGACTTCCCTTCCCTGCCGATCGGCTCACACCTTTATTTCATGCCATTTGATTAATTCAAACGCCTACGATTTTGTATCAGGGTTTAGGACAGCGCACTGGAAGGGGAAAGGGAGTCTGTATTGCGAAAAGGAAAAAAACAACAATTGACATAATTCTCGATATTCATCCGATTTCACAACTCAACATCTAACGCGTCGCTTTGCAAACAAGAGTCGGAATCACGACTGAGCGGATTCGGTGCCTGGATCAATATTGCGCCCGAAACAATATTGCACCCAGTGGAATATCCGTGAATCAGCATAGCATCAACCTCAAAAATGGCGAGCAGGCCACCCATCATGCCACCTCATAATGAGACCGAGCATTCGGTCAACAGGATCACTCGGGAAGGTAAACAACTTACTTACAAGTTGAGTGTAATGCAACAACCAGAGCGAGCGAGAGCGTGTGGTGCTGGAGCGAAGTGTGAGTCTTACGCAGTTGAATAAGAGTGACCTTGGGATGGTTATATGTGCTGACATTGCCAAATAGCTTCTGCCGATCGCCGTCCTGTTGACCCTCCACCTGTCGTTGAGCTACGTATTTTCGAATCCGACCCGGCCAATGACGCCCAAAAAACGGACATCACCTTTGCCTACAATGCCAATTTCTTCCTCTATGCAACCCTCGACACTGCACGCCCTATCGCCCATGGGCGGGTGGCTGGACCACCGTCGTGCCCTGTATTGACTGGTGTGCCGGTCGCTGGCGTCGCATATCTGGATCGCCCTTCGCAAGCAGGCTACTTTATCTTTCCCGATTTGTCGGTGCATCACGAGGGTCGATACCGATTAAACTTCCACCTATATGAAGAGATCAAGGATGCCAAGGATGCTGATAAAGACTCGACTTTGCCTCTTCCCAACCAAATCAATCTTTCCAACCTCAAATCGGGCACACCTCAAACATACCTCCACTTCCGTCTTGAGGTCAAGTCGGTACCTTTTACCGTTTACAGTGCCAAGAAATTCCCTGGTCTGGCGACTAGCACATCTTTGAGCCGGATAATTGCGGAGCAGGGATGTCGTGTTCGAATCCGCCGCGATGTTCGCATGAGACGTCGGGGCGACAAGCGCGAGGAAGATTATGAGTTTGATGAGGAACGCGCAGCGGCATATGCGAGAACATCAGAACGATTTTCGACACCCGACAGATATGCAAATTCGATGGAGCGACCGCGGTCAAACAGCAATGGAAGCAATGTCGAGTCGCCTTACGGGTTTGTACAACAAGATCGACGACCATCTGCACCCGACTATGGATTCCAGTGCCCCCCGCAACCATACCAGCGACCTATGCCACCTGCTCCCATCTCTCACTCTCAGACACCTTCATATCAATCACACCTATCATTCGGCTCGACACCATCGCATTATCCAGCTCCTCACATGCCTCCCACACCCCCTCCACTTGCCACTCAAGGCATATACTCTCCACAATCCGGATATGCGCAAATACGCCACTCATCCAATACTTCAGAGTATGAAGGAACACCTTTTGGGTATCCTATGGCGCCTCAAATTCCAGCCGATCGTGGTGGTTACCCCAAGCCTATCAATTCTTACCGCATGGATCCACCGAAACCACAACCATATATGGATCCTCGCATGGCCGAGCCACATCATTATGGGCCTATACCCCACATTCAAACACCGCGATCTCAAACCCCGATTATGGCTCAGCCTATAGCGCCGCCCCTCGAGGCGACGCCAACCGAATATGCCAACCAGATAGTTCCTTCCGTGGAATGTTCTTCTCCTGGTCCCATCGGCTACGACAGCGTTGCAGGAAAGCGTATGTTGTATCACACAGGACCGACATATGGCAAGCGGTCTCATGAAGATACTTTTGGTCTCGATGATCGCTCAATGCAGAACGGCATGCGCCCAGATGCTGATCCCCACCCGCCGGCCTATCGAGATTTCTCGGGAGAAAGTCGATCTGCACTCATGGCTGAACTGGGCATAGAGATGGCCTACAAACGTGCCAACGGCAAAACGGTCATGAAAGCCCCTCCGTTGACTTGATAAAAGCCAACATAAATTCAAACATCTTCTCATTCAGCCGATGAGTACGCAACAATCGCCCTCAGCTTGCTGATGACCGTCAGGTCTTGAACCAGCCATTGGACTGGATTCCTGACTTGGTACCTAATTGCATTTTTCTGTACATGATTTCCCTTCTCCCTCTCATCCTCCATTGCTGCACTTCGAGCGTTAGATTTCTCCATGGGGCAGGTCGTTTCTTCTCAGGAACAGGTTTCTTGCGCTTTCATGTTCGATTACTTTATTGTCGAAGTTTTTCAGTCAACATCGGGAGTTCTGTAGGGGCTTTGGCTTTGTGTGTTTTGGACCTCCCCAACATCTTTCGTACTCATACCCGGGACCTTGATCACCCTCAATTCCCTAGTCTCTTGCCAAGAGCAAGGGCACTGTGCTCCTTTCATTCCAACATCGGCTATATGTTGGAATGGGAAAAAAAATCTATCCCTATCTCGAAGTCAACTGGGGCAGTGAACAAAGGTGCTTACGATCCCATGCCTTTGTTTCCCATTTTTGTGCTCTATGTTTATGTTCTCCGGATGGTCAAATGAGCGACAGCATTGTCTGTATTGTTTTTCAGTTTAAGCGACAATTCCTCTTACACTTTCCGAACGCACACGGGCTGGTCTCATGGCACTGCATTGGAGATGTTGTGACATCGAGTTCCCTTGCTTTACATCCCTCCAAAGGCCTGCTTAATCTACTCTTTACACTGGCGTTATAGCATCTCCTTGATACCTAGCATTTTTCAATCAAATCTTACATATGATTTTTCTTCGGATTACGCATTATCTCTGTATTATATATACCAAAGGGCATGATTGCATCTCATTCTTCGGATATGGGCACATGTCCGCCTGAGACAGGTGGAATTCTACATCGCCCGCAAGATGTTTGAGATCCCTACATATCTGTACACAAAGAAAACAACATGAATCATGACAATAGTTTATCAATAGTTTTATGTACAGTTGGAAATAATGGAACATTCAATGTAAAGTAGTGGGTACTTCGTAGGTGGCTGATGCAGCACGGCTGAAGAGGGTACATAGTACCACAACAAACTTCCCCCTTGGCGAGTGCGGAGTATGTAAACAAACCCCGACTGGATTTTCTCAAACACTCAATTTGCTCCTGGTACCCCGTGAAATTTCGAGTTTGAAATTCTCTTAATCTAGGAAATCTCCCTTACACTTCTATGCTCATTTACATCCGAGTTTTGCGTTGATATCTTTTCCGCAACAAGGGCATGCGGAGGGATACCAAAGCATAACCCAAGATAGCCCAAGCGCAAAGGTAAGCTCCTTGCCAAAAACACACCATAAAGGGATCAGGATCTAGATCGACATAATGGATGAATCTGACTTCCCTGCGTCACTTCTACAGAAAGCCTGCGACTCCAAAATGGAGATTGACCCAAGCCCCGCCAAGCGCACCTCGCGCAAGCACCTCCGCTCCAGCGACGATGACAACTACGACTGGAGCTCCGATAGCACTGGACAATTTGACGATGCTGAAGAAACATGCCCCGAAGACTACCGCTCTCTGACTGGAAACTTGGCCAAACGACGTCGATCGAACGATTGGCCTCTGCCCGAAGAAGCTGCCGACTACGGTGCCAATGATCATGGCACGCAACGCAGCGAAAATGGCAACCTTACTGTTGGTGGATTTTGCTCAAGCCGCAAAAGTTCGCCGCGTGCTTCACCTCGTGGCTCGCTGGCATCGTTACGCGCCCGACATGCCGCCGCATCTTCTTCCAGCCCCCGCCGCCTTAGAGGCCGTACGTCAAGATTTGTCGAAGCCACAATGAGCGATAGTGTGAGCGAGAAGCCGCCCAGCATCTACTTCCGCGATCGTGAGAACAAACCGGCCGGCAGTTCGAACCGCTCGTCGGGTATTTTTCGTTTTGGCAAGGCTATTGCTTCAGCTTTCAATCCATTCGGTGGATGGGGGAAGAATTCTGAAGGATCACCAAACAAATCGCCTCAGAAGGATGTAATAAATCAAGCCGAACAGGCCTATGCCGAATTGAAGAAGGCTGGCTATAAAGGCACAAATAAGGGACATTACATTGAGACCCACGGTGTCGACTGTGCTCTCGCAGACAAGACTTGGCAGTCTATCCAGGAAAAGATGGAGCACGGGTCTTCGTTGAAAGATTCGCGTCGACACTCAATGGATCGTGGAGAACGTGCTGTACACTCGCGCTCCGCTTCTGGGGCTTCTAAACGTTCCTCCATCCAGGATCTTCGCCTACCGAAGTCGCTGTTCCATAAATCGCACGAGTCACCATCTGCTCCCCCGGCAGTGTATTGTGATAGAACATCCGAGGAATCTGAGACGACTGGCCTTCGCAAGCAGCCTTCGCGCAAGGAACTTTCGCGACAAACCAAGCTGCTCAAGAAAGTTAGCAACCTCGAGGACAAGCTGGAACGTGCTCGGCGGGAACTTCGTGAGCTAACCGGCAACGAGGCGCGGGCCGTGGCGCCTACACCCAAGCCGACTATCACCAACTCCGAAATGGACCCATCATCATTCCCACGGAAGTTTGTCCCCGGTGCTCTCCCGACTCTGCCGTCCGAACGACTTTTAGACCAACAAGCAGCTGAATTTGAGTCGTCTGAATCCAGAATACCCGGTCTTACCGCCCTGCCATCTACGGAGGATCGGGAAACCTTTTCGTTGAAAGAAGCACAACCGTCTCAAAGCCCGGCTGCGGTCAGAACTCCAAAAAGGCGCTCCAAAGAGATATGGCCATCGCCCATGGGTAAGGACAGTCTTTCCCGTAAACGGAAGTCCCCCATTCCTGAACCTATCGATAGTCGGAATCCTCCTCAGCCCAGTTCGACGGACCACATCAACGAACCCGACCTCGAGGACTTGATGGACTTTGGTCTGCTCAGCCCACCCGGCAAAGCGAAATGGCAGAAAACAGAAGCTGGCGAGAGTCCAGGCTCAGCAAAGCGCAAGCAAGCGACAGATCAACCTCCCTCAAACGACCATGACATGAAAAAAACAGGAGGAAGCGCAAGTGCGCGCAGCAGCAAAAGGTCTCCCTACGTTTCACCCCGAAAACTTTCCGGCACCAACCGCTCACCAAGTTCCAAGCCCACAACCCCCCGCGGAATCCTGTTAAAAAGGACCACTTCAAACAGCCGCCTGAGGTCCTCACCTCCACCTGCCTCGGCATTAACTCTCTCCACATCAGAAAACCCCAGGGATATCTCGTCTTCTCCTACCGCTTTGCAAGACAATTCTCAACGCGCTTTTTACCTCCAGCCGCAACTTCAACTGAATCCCGACCGTAGCCCCCGCACCCCTTCGAGGTCTAAGACTAGTCCCGGCCGCTCGACCAGATACCGCCGTGACGAAGATATCCCACCTGTGCCGCCCCTTCCTGAGGAGTTGCGCTCGAGTGCTGCCAAGGTTCATGTCAATAAGTCGCCTAAGAAGAGGCCTGTCTCTGCGCCGGTCTTTTCCCCGGTTTCGGCTTCGGCCTCGACTACGGATACTATGATCCCTGGTGTTGAGGATTATCAGTGGCCCGAGGAGATTTTTTAATCAAGATTCTGCTATTTCCCAGGATGACAAACGACGATGATTATGGGAGCTTTTTGAATATTTCTTCTTTGCATAGCTTACGAGAGCTTGGTTGGACTGGGATAGGATGGTGCATGTTCTGGATTGGTGCGTTTGGTTTCTCGATGTCGTTTTACTTGATGTAATGATGTTATGAAGGATATACCCTGGCGCCTCGGGGTTTGGTTTGATTTTCTAATAAGATCTGGCGCTTTTTCACATTATGAGTTTATTTTGAAACTCTTTTTTTCATATCAAAGTAATACAGTCTAATCAATATTCACTTTGTTCTTGCAAGATAATAAACACTTCGTTGGCTGTCTCAAATCACCGAGATCCAACAAAACGCGCAATACACACACATCCTTTCAGTAACTAAGGAGGCTTGCAAAGCCTACCTTGTATACCAATGGTTGCCTATATCCAGACCAAAGTGAATTGCTGCGTAAGCATGTCCTAATCCTGATGCAAGACCGCGTCCTTAGGCAAAATCAACCAGCTCAAACCAGCAGCGCTGAACAGCCCAACCAGCATGGGCTGCAGCACCTGAACACCCACCTTTCCGGCAATGATACCGGTTAAAGCCGGAAAAACGGAGCCGCCAATTTGACCAAGGACAAACACAAATGCTGTATTGGTTAGCATATGAATTTATGAATGTATGGATTAAAAACTAGGCATTCCTGGCTTACCAATTGCTGAAGAGCGGATTTCTGGAGAGAAAATCTTTGTACCCACTGAGATGCCCTACCGAGCGAAACGGTGTGGTCAGCGTTGAGCTCGGGATATCGAAATAGGCGACTTACTGTTGCGAAAAACGGACCCGAGAAGAAGCCCAGTAGACTGACTGCCACTGCTTCCGTAATGATATTTGGGACACTGGTAGATTCCACACATCAGTAACGGCAAAACAAGATACACGGTTTGACTCACAGCCAGAATACCAATTGCAATCCTACGCAAAGCACAGCGTAGACAAAGATCATCCGCCGCTCACCTAGCCTATGTGTAGGTTCAACGAGGATAAGACGTCCCAAGAATCCACCCCCATAGAAGCCTGCTGGAACATATCCCATCTCCGTAACATCGCCATCTCGTACATTGACGAGGTACTCGACCATCCAGCCTAAGCTGATTAGTATACCAGATAAACAGCAATCGGATCGGATACATACCACCAGCAGTGATTGTAGCTCCGAGGAAGAAGAAGAAGTACAAGCTAACCAACCACACACCAGGCGTAGACAGTGTATCCTTGATCTCCTTCCAAGCAGACTTCGAGGAATCCTGCTCCATCCGACTATTCTTCAGAGCAGCCGGTGCAGCCATATTATCACGGAAAGAGATACCCAGAAGCGTAAGATTCGCGACTCCCACACCAAGGGGGAAAAGGTAAAACAGATACCACTTGGAGTCGACATTCGCCGACGCAATGCCCGTTGCGACAAATGGGCCAACCAGGCACCCAGCCGAATACATAGCGTGAATAAAACCAAGATAGCGATGTGCGTCATTCAACGACGACACAAACGTATTGGCATGGGTATCATTATAGGCTTGACCAAGGCTAGCGAGAAAGAACGTCACCGCGTATAGGGCAAACGGAGGCTCCCATACTCGGAGGACATGGGCCAGGATTTGGATGGCGGCGCCGAGGCACAGAATCGGGCCTAGGTCCAGGTATTTGGTTATTGTGCTGTTGGTCAGGGCGGCGATGAACCAGCCGCCGAAGGTTGTGCCGTATCTGGTGGTGTCAGTATTGGCTTCACGATATTACATGGCACTGGAAAGGATGATTTGATTGTCGGGATAGAAGTTGCGGTTTGACTTACAACACGGCTACCATGTTCGTGCCGATGCCATAGGTGCGTATCACGTAGGGAATGATGGAGCCGAGACTTCCGTCATTGACCCCGGCGACGAAGAAAGATACTCCCGCGCTGAGAATTTTCGGATACATCCATTTTATTTCGGGGGGTCTTGAGTCTTGGGGTGTTTCATTTTCAGGGATTTCGGCTGAAGCTCTTGTGTGCAGTGTGATCGTTTCTGTTTGCATTTGCGTACTCATGTTGGATTAGAGGTGTATGGAATCTCTGGTAGTTTTCTAAGGAAATTGCGCCTGTTGATGAGGGAATTGCTGTGTAAATTACTTACATATATAGATTCTACGGCAAATCGGCCCGCGAAAAGCGAAGTTTCGGAGAAATAGGTGTCATATAGGTCAAAACGTGGGGATGCGGAGACTCCCATTCTTGTTCCTTGGCCCGAAGATTAGCCGATGAGTTTCCCCATGGGACTTGCCAAGTTCGATTTGATGAGTTGGGAAGGTGCGACTTTCAGGTATGAAACCCCCCCCTCGTTCTCCTTGTTTTCTATTCTCTGTCTATCTTCCCGAGAAACCCATTGATGCTTGTTTGTCACTCATCAAACCTTTCATGTAGGGTGTCTTTTCTTTGGCATTGTATCCATACTACGTATGTTGATGTACTCTTTGGAAAATCTTCGCAACATTAGCATTCAATTCGACCATGTTAAGCGCCTAGTAGGACAGAGGTGCAGATATGAGAGACGAGAGTTTGGGAGTAAATTATAGCGCTCTTCGGTGATTCAACGTTGGGTGGCAGCCTGTCATTGCTCATTGAATATCTCTAATGCACCACAAAGCCTCAACTCAAGAGGGCCGTGAAGGATTCAACAGACAACCAACGCTTCTTAACCGATTCAGCTTCACTTTTCTCAACGCAATTATAGCGCGTCTCTCAGTGGGCATCCAAAATGGCATCAGGAATGTCGCCACAAAGAGTCGCGGTAAAAACGAAGACATGGGTTTCAACAGGCCTCAATTAGGATAGGTGTCCTTCAACGCTTCCTACCAAGCTTGTGAGTGACAGAAGCCGAGAAGTCTATCAATACGTCGTCTATCCCCCGCAATTTGCTCTGCAATTTCTTCACTTGACTGTGCAAAGTCGAATAGGCCTTGTGTCTGGGACACTGGGTAAGTTCTCCCTGTAACCCAGTAATGAATTTCCACTGTACTGACATTTATAGTATACATCGTAGACAAGCAAGTCAAAAGTGCCTGTGCGAGATGGCGATTCGCAGCAGATCTACTGTGCCAACCAGCCAGCCATTCAAAGACATAAGGCTTGGTTTAGTTCGTCAGAGCGCATGTTTTATGCGAAGATGTCTCGCTGACTGAGCCACTCTACTGTCCCCCGCCCCTAGATGTATCCCCAATGCAAAAGAGTAACGTTTTATGCAAGAATGTGAACCTCAGCCCGATCCTATCTGAAACTGGACTGACATCAAAGATGATGCGAAACAACCAGAACCCCGCATTCCAGCTGACATATACCAGCGCAAAAACCACGGATCTCTTTTTCGTCTCTTCGTCCATGGTGCTGACTACCGAAACATGTGACTCATGGAGTGTCTCTCCGATCTACTGGCTAATGATTGACAGTGAACCATTGTGAGCTGTTCCAGCGCTAGTGACAGTGCTCCGCACGAAGCCATGGCCCATCTTCATATGTTGCAGCATGTCGTATGTGTAATATTGCGAATCAAGGCATTGGGCCAACCGTAGGGTGCGGACATCCAATCGCGATGTTCGTTGCGCAGAAGCTTGAGACGTCTGTTCTTCCCGTTAAGGTGAGTGAGTTATCGCGCCTTCCGCTGCGCCCGGGTCCGATTATTTGTGCCATGTTTTGTACCCTCAAACGCGAACATCACTGATATCTTCATGCCAATGCAGGAACAGCCAATCGTCACCCGTGAAAAATGTTGCAGGACTGAGCCGAGTCAAAGACAAGACTAAGGGGCACTACGGCGCGCGCCATTGCGTCTTCCAACCTCACCGCCTTCACACTATGAGCGGCGGAGTGCCTGAACCTTTGGTCGTCCGCATCGCGAAGCATTCATCCATTATGAACGTACAATTGATTGTCACTTGTGAGTTCGTCACGCCCAATACTGCCTGTGGAAAACGCTGGTGCACTCCAGCGCGGCTCTTTTTAAAGCGACAGCCGGAGTGTGCGACAAACCTCAACACAACATGGCTTGAATGGTGACTGCATTGCTGAAGATAATACTAAGTGTTCTAGTTGGTAAGCTGATATGACCAATATGCTAATTGTTCGTCCCGTCTTGAGCGTACACTCTGCGAAATTTCAGAACAGGCTTATGAACAGGTAAGCTTCAACACCTCGTCTAACTGGATAAGTCTTGCTGACACGGATCGTGCAACAGCAGGACACCCTCATGTTTCTGTCACTCTAGTCGTATGCGAATCGAGCGAATGCCTTGTCTGCTCGAGCTCCCCTATACCAATGCGATCGTATGAATATTGCAGGGCGGGCGCAAGGGGCTTCGCCACTAGATGCTGTGCACCAGAGCTTGACGAAGGTCACTGGCAGGGAGCTGTGAGTGGACAGGATGGAGCACGGCTCTTAGCCGAGTTGGCACGAGACAGTGGAGGCGTGACCTGCTTGAATCGTCTGCTCAACGGCCAAAGTATCGTCAAAGTTTCCTCGGGTGGCATTGGTAGTGCTAGCTAGGGGGCTCGCCTGCACAGAGCCTTGGTCTTGGGACCCGCAATTTTGGAATCATTCAGAGTGACGGTTTCCTCGACAAAAAGCTCGTCCAAACCCACGCTGATGAAATCAGAGTCGATGACTACAGCAATAGAGTAGATGTGGGACCGCTTCGACGAGCAAAATCGGAAAGGAATGGGTGGGCGAACAGGGTGAAGAGAGGTCGGGCGGTGGTTGCGAAATATATTTTGCTCGTGAAGCGGTCCATGGCCTCTGTTCATGAGACAAGGGAGATCAGGCATACGTGCATTTTCGTTTTAGCACCGATTGAAGCCTCCGCCTTATCGTCATTGTTAGAAGGGAAGGTAGTGTTCTCGAGGGTGATGGAGTATCTCATTCCTGCTTGATACAAACAGGGGCCTTACTCTTCGCAAGCTCCTCTGCGAAGGGCTTCCTGGCCCAGACTCTCTTTGCGTACTGATAAGCATGGAAGCGAGGGTTTTTCAGTGCCTTCCGCATCTGGGCCACATAAACCTGGACTTCTTCTTTGGACCATGGCACTGGGTCTCCATACTTGGTGAGGAGGTACATTGAGTAGCCCTCCATACCGGCCATCCAGTGCTGCATATTGACGAACCCAGCCTCTTTCAATGATTTCGACTTCGGCCAAGCGCCGATAGGCCACTTAGCATTCTTCTCGTGAATATCCACAAAGCCCGCGTTCTCGATCGACGCGCGCATTGTTTTCACGACGTCAAGAGGCTTTCCAGTCTTTTCGCCAGCAGCGTAAAATCTCGGTCCCCAAGAGAAAAGCACGTTGTCCGCAGGAATGCTTCCATCGTCGCACTCACAGCAGATGTTCATTTCCATCTGCTCGAACCAGCCACCAGGTTCGAGGTTATCGTAGCACTGCTCGTAGAGACGGCTCCATTCGTCAGGCGTAAAAGCTCCGATGCCATGGCGAAGATGAATAAGATCGAATTTCTCACGCCAAGTCCACTGTTCCAAAACGTCGTCCACTTCCAGTATGCAGTTTGGAGGGACCCAACTAGTAGGTGGTGGGAACAGGTCGACACCCCGAATAGTGGCGTTGGGGTACATATCTGCCATATCAACAGCCCATGAACCATGCCCTGTCCCAATATCGAGGGCATTCCTCGGCGAAGGGATTGGTGACTGAAACAGTATGTTGGGCTCATCGGAGTCCATGAGGAGGCATGCGAGATGCCCCACTTGATAGGTTTCGAACTGCTTCTCGTCGGAGGGGCTAAAATATCCGGATTCTCTCAAGGTCTGGTATCTTCTGCCGTTTTCCATGATCCCCTTGTACAGGGAGGAGCCGATCGAGGTGGTCTCAGATTTCCAGTCTTCGGGGTCATATGCGCTGGATTGCATGTTATATGTATCAGGATCTGGTGTGATCGTGATCTTATCGCTCATGTTGGCCATGATGAAGAGGTGTGTAATGGACGCAGTTGGAATATGGAGAGACGAAAGAAAGATAACGAGGATCAGAACTAGCTTTCACACGTGTCATGCATTGCACGCATGGTATTGTGGCAGTAATTTGTTCGAGGGTGGCCAGGGCGCTAGGCAAACTCAACGTGGGGCAGTCGGCAGGTTGTAGCACAATTGTGCACAGGTGAATCTTACAGCTAAGGATCTTTTTCAGTCGGCCCCATGCGGGGTTGTACTACATAGTAAGTCCAATTGAGGCTCCAGTTGTGTATGGAATGTGCACATGATACATGATTCTCTTTCTAGTTGATTCACAGGCCGTTTCCCAGCTTCCCAAGGGTTGAGCAAATGATGACTAAACATGGACTTTGTCGGATTCGCACGGACCACCGCTCCTCCCGGTCCTTCTGCACAATTACCTAAACGTGGAATACCCTTGCTGTCATGCGAGTCTTTATATGGAGTAGACACGACGCTGCCCATCAAAGCTACTGCCAGATACTACCCTCCCGGTGAGGGATACAGTAATCGTAGATTCTTTTGCGAGAAAGGAAAGTTGGTGACTCGTTCAAACATGCTCGATAAAGGTAAACAAATAGCCAGTATGGGCCTATTGTTGTGGGAGTTGGCCATCCTTCTGCAGAAAACTTCCCGAGGTCTCAAGGTCCCGGGGGGGCGGCACAGTCAACAGGGAAGAGAGGGCTTCGATCCGAGTCCATTCCAGTAGCCAATCACCGACAAGGCAACGAACGGTGGGTACTGCAAGGTTTATGCGGTAAGTGGGCTTTGGCAGCTGCCTTGTTCTTCAGCAAAGACTGAAAAATGGTGACAATTATCTCCATCGCTGACCCAAGTCCAAGACGTAGTTAAAAGATGATCACCGAGGAAATTAAAAAATCTTGAAAGCCAGCGTCCATGAGCCGATCGGTTGCCAATTGAATATATGATTGCGGGCCAACCAGAGGCCGACTTGAGCAAACGTAGTTGGACATCGCACGGGCGCTCGTCAGCAAAACTTAAGCCCGCTGCTCCTTCCTAGATAAGCCGACTAGTGATATTGACGGCGGAACCGAGCACTCTATGCCATAATGTGGCCCGATGTGACGGCTCCTAGTCAGAGGCCAAGGAAGTTTACTTCTAGTTTCCCCACACCAGATATTGATCCTTGTATGCCGTCCCTCTTGCTCTCATCCTGACCTTTGGAGCCCGGACAGCACTGCGGTCAGTCATATTTGAAATGGCATCTCTCACCATGCCCGACTTCATGGCGTCGGTCAGCAGTTGGCCTCTCTGGGCATTGGCCATTGTGGGCACATTCATTGCTCGCGCGATATTAAGGCGATATTGGACGTCGATCAGAGATATTCCCGGCCCATTTCTAGCATCTTTCTCGAGTCTTTGGCAGGTTCATCAAATTTTGAAAGGCCATACCGAAGCAGAAACCATCAAATTACACAAACAACATGGTATGTTTGTCTACATATCCCCCAACTCCCTTTGACGCACAAGAAGTGTTCTTACCGTGGACAATGCCAGGGTATTTTGTTCGCATCGCGCCAAACGAAGTCAGCGTCTCTCATCCAGATGCCGTTAGACAACTCCTACATGCCCAAATTTCTAAGGTATGATGCGCTTCTTTTTTGTCGCATATGAGCTTTAGACTAAACCTCTGTTCAACAGGGCCCCTGGTATGCAGTCCTTAGCTTACCAGATTATCGTTACGTGAACCAGATGTCGGAATTGGATCCCCAACAACATATCAGAAAGCAACGCAACATCGCGTCGGGATATGCTCTTTCCAATATTATCAAGCACGAACCGCATTTCGACACAATTCTCCGACTCTTGACTACCCGCCTGGACAGCTTTTGCAGACTTGGTCAACCGGTTGAATTGGATCGGTGGTTTACGTTTTTCGCATTTGACGCTGTGGGAGAGGCTATCTTCTCAAAGTCCTTTGGTTTCCTAGAACAAGGCAAGGATGTCAGAGACGCCATCGCAAATCAAAGACTCTTAGCTCCATATGCCGCTGTGATGGGCTACTATGCCTGGTTCCATAACCTGACGTTTGGAAACCCGCTTCTTAGTCGACTAGGTATCCAACCATCCTCGCACATATTCGACACTTGTGTTGCAGCTATTGATGCGCGCAAAGAAAACCCTGCAAAACGAAATGACATGATGCAGAAATGGCTTGATACTCGTGCCAAATATCCTGATCGTATGGAAGAGATTGAAGTATTTTCCACCGCCGTTGGTACTCTTGGTGCTGGTGGAGATACTGTCAGTGCAACGATACAAGCGCTGTTTTACTTCCTGATTCGCCATCCTCAATATATGGCCCGGTTGCAGGAGGAACTTGACGCAGCTCAGGCCCGCGAAGAGTTGTCGCCTATCGTTCAATATTCCGAAGCGCAGAAATTGCCCTTCCTTCAAGCTTGTGTACTGTTTTTACCCCCGGCTCCTTTGGCACATATGATTCTAATACCATCGAACAGATGAAAGAGACATACCGGCTTCACACCGCCGTTGGACTGGGTCTTCCACGAGTTGCACCCCGAGGTGGGATTACAATCGCCGGTCGACATTTCAAAGAAGGGGTAAGACTTCTCATTACCTGTTTCCCTCGATAGATTTGATATCTGATTCCAATTTTCGGGGTATTTCAGACAATTCTTAGCGTAAATCCTTGGGTGATTCACCGGAACCCCAGCCTGTTCGGCGAGGATTGTGACAGCTTCAAACCAGACCGCTGGCTCCAGAAAGAAGCTGGGGAAATGGATGCCTTTTTAATACATGTATGCATATACTCCATTCTATTGCTACCTAGCAAACTTGACTAACATCCTTTCCTTTTCAAAGTGGGGGGCCGGGTACAACGCGTGTCCTGGACGCAATTTTGCTCAATTTGAAATATCTAAACTTGCTGCTACTTTATTCCGGGACTATGAAATAGAGCAAGTGGATCCCAAGCAAGAGTGGACATGGAACAATCATTTTATCTGCGTGCCGTACAAATGGCCCTGCAGAATCCGACAACGCCCAAGGGCATGATCTAGGGTCAGATCTTGAACGCTTGCATTTGTCGAATGATGGGACAGTCGAAATCTGGGATTCGACTACCGGTCGGTGCATGTCAACCTTCGAGGGGCATAGTGAATCGTTAAGTTCGAGTTTTTGGTCGTACGATGGATGTCCATGGATAAGTCAGTCAAAGGCTGAGATCCGGCCAGCCAGTACGAACCAATTATCCATATTGATTCCTTTTTATTTCTTCAATTCGATAAACTAAATAACAATCGTCTTCCTGTCCCAGGTAGAAGATGGCCTCGGGAGCCTCCGTCGGATACGCGAGCAGTTACTAGACGCAATCTCCTGGCATGCTGTTAGCGCAAGAGAAAGCAGCTTCCGATTGTCCCTTTGGCCTCGTATGGAATATCTATGCTTATTCTGTCAACTGTAATCCTTGTGCATATTCAAGACTCAATCTTTCAGGAAATATACTTATGAACCTTCTGTCACCATATAATAGATACATCTAATCCCCGAGGAACCTTCTCCAATCTCACTTGTATATGAGACATTCACATGTTTAAAATTCAATGGCTACTCTATCGTTGTGATCGAAAGCAGATATTTACAAACACGCAGATATTCACAACATGGTTGTACTTCTTCCATCATAAGATGTAGAGTAAGTTATGGAATATCTTATTCAGCCTTCGATGTGCTCTGTCGTCTGATCCGCCCGTTTTCTCCCATCGATATGATCGATCTTATCGCTCGAGACAAGTAAATTACCAAACCTTCCTGCAATTTCTTACAGTGAAACGTTGTTTGTTTCGACCAAGAAACATGCATACACGGCACCTAATGCGAGAAGAGAGCCAACAAAGACAAAGTAGTACTTCCAACTAATCGCATCAAAGGCATAAGGGGTAACCTGACCCATCTAAATGCCGGACACACCTTGACAAAGTGCTGCGATACCAGTGCCGTAACCACGCAGATGCTGAGGGAAAATTTCTGCGGCGACTGTGTATAAAGTTGAGTTGAAGAATACAGCATACAGCGTCGACCCTGAAGACTTGGCTCGACGACCTGAAGCATGAGCAGCAGGAATCAGGAGGAATTGTACCATTGGTAATTCCAAACGTGATTGATGGCTTCGATCAGGATGCACATGCAATATGGGGGGATGTCTCTGTGATGCTGCCATGGTCTTTGTATCGAGCCACCGGCGATACACAGATGCTAGCTCGGCAGTATCCAAGTATGAAGGCTTGGTTGAATGCTATCCCCCGTCGTGAAAATCTGTTATGGAACTATGTCTCTGACTGGAAACTTGGAGACTGCCTCGATCCTGCTGCTCCCTCTTGACGACTGTGGAAAAGCAACCACCAACCCGAGTTTTGTTTCGGATGCAATTCTCGCTCATGTGACCACATTAATGAAAGGCATCAGTGGAATCCTAGAGGAGAACAAAGACGAGCAGGTATACACAAGGAATTCAGAGAGGGTTCGCTCCGCCTTTGCTCACGAATACATAGCCCCGGCAGGCCTTGTTGCCAATTGCACTCAAACTGCCTTTGCACTTGCAACAGGGTTCAATCTACTCCCTTCTGAAGAGCAAGAGCTACATGCTGCTCAGTACTTATCCAAAATTATCCATGAAGTCTACCGATACAAAATTGGAACTGGCTTTGCAGGCACCCCATATATCAACCACGCTTTGTCCAAAGTCGGGCTATCAGATATCTTTTACCGCATGCTGCTCTGCAGGAACAATCCAAGTTGGTTATATCCCGTGTCCATGGGTGCTACCACGGTGTGGGAGCGTTGGGACAGTATGTTACCCGATGGCTCAATCAACCCTGGAGAAATGACCAGTTTCAATCACTACGCCTTGGGGGCAGTGGTAAGCTGGATACATAGCTTTATACTTGGATTCAGGATCGAGGAAGCCGGCTGGAAAAGGGTCAAAATTGAGCCTATCCCGGGAGGCGTGTTGAAATGGGCCGGTGGTGAATATCTGAGCGGGTATGGAATGTATAGGGTAAGATGGTTGGTGTTAGAGGGTTCCGAAAAGGAGCATGAGAGACTCTGGGTGGAGGTTCAGGTTCCCCCCAACACTACGGCGGATGTGAAGTTGCCGAACTCTGGAGAGTGGAAGCATATCGGGTCAGGGTTGCATAGCTGGACAGTCCCATACCAGTCAGCCCAGTGGCCACCAGACCCTTTGGCTTTACCATTTGGGTGAACGGGAGGCATTCCCAGTCGACGAGTGTCTCCCATGCCCCTGGGATCCGAAAGTGTAATAGATACATTGAATATAAGGAGAATATTGGAATCATGTACGGAGTAGCCAATGTGACTCTCGCTCTTTAAGGCTATGGGGCTTGATGAGCCGCGATTGGTGTGGAAAAAGTTTTAATCAATCTTCAAATCTCGGAATCTCTCAAACAATACCAAATGAACATGACTGACTTTTAAAACTTACATTGTATTTTCAGTGAGTGGAATTGCGGTTGTAAATATTCGCAATAACCCCTGACGTGCCATGGCCAGAGCCTCCTTTTCTCTTTCTTACTTCGCACCAATGGAGGTCTTATGGATTGTCATATTCGTTTAGGCTCGTTTATACAGTGTGCAATATTGCAATTTCGATCTTACGAAGTGATACATCCAGGTCTCGCAGTAGAATGACATCATTTTATCAACCCCCTGTTCTTTGCGTTCAATGATTCGCAAGTAGCTCCCCACAGTGGAATAAGGCTACACATTCAAGGTAAAAGATTGTCAGATTTTCACAAAAATGAAAATTCATTTGCAGATCAGTATAATTTATCTCCACCGCAATTCTGAACTGTTGTGATAGCTGTGAGTTGGGGTTGTCGGTACTCCGTCTATTGATCCTAATAAAGATGCGAAATTGCTGGTCAAAACTTGGCATGAAGACAGCCCGATATTTGATAGAAGGTATTTCGAGATTCTTTAGGCTTCAGTCTGAATCCTTAATTGAAAAAGTCTTAAAAAAAAAGCTATGTGGAGGTCCTATCCCTGTCATTCACATCCCCGATCAGGAGACATCCATCGGCCCAGTCTGGTCGGTGCTCGGGCCAACTATACAGATCTTCAGCTATTTTTACCATATCAGAATGACCACTTTTCTTTTCAGAGCCATGTCAATCGTCTCCATTCATTATACCCCGTACCCGCAACTGCTGCTACAATCTTGTAGTCGCTGGCCTCACCGGCCGCTCTTCCTACCAACGTATGTTATAAGTATAACAATGTTAGCCCAACTCAAACTCGTTCTAGGCATCCGGACTTATCATTGTACCGAAGCCAAACCACTGGTTTAAGGCCTCGGATGATCAGCAAGTTCGCAGATCATGATGTACGCGCGGCGTAGCTTCTCAATATTTGTTCAAAAAGGAGAACTTAAACCTTGATGCCTTGCACCATTCTCTCCACAGCCTCTCTGTCGAGTCAAACATCATTAGCCTACTCCACATAATATATCCAGTAATGCGGAATCATGAAGACGACATGCCGAAAGACAATCTTATAGGCTCGTAGTACTTAATGTGGAAATACTACATGTGAAGATACCCCCATATATCCTTGTCGGTTTGGTGGATCAACTTTATGGCAATGGAAATTACCCAGGGGCTTCTAATTAGATAAAGAATATAAGTAAAAAGATATATATCCCACAATTTGACTTGAAAGGCTATCCAAGTCCCAGAATTCGATCATTATACCCCTTCAAAATGCTGTCTTCATTAGCAGCTGCCGCTCTTTTCACGGCCTTAGCACAGGCAGATAATACCCAATACACTCTTTCAATCCAACAAAGCGCTCCTTCAAATGCCACAGCTGTTCCGGCAGACTTCTTCAGCTTCAGCTGGGAAACCGCCTATTTCCCAAGTTTCGACAACGACTTCTCGGAAAACATCATAAACTCCGTATACGCTCGCATGAGCAAGCCTATCATTATCCGAATCGGTGGCACAAGCGGTGACCTTATCAAAGTCGACCTAGACCAAGAAGAGACAAGACGCTGCATCTCTGGACCCTCATGTCCGTATTCTAGTCAGGACACCTTTAGCGTGGGGAAGAGCTATTTTAACGGCTTCCGACGCTTCCAGAATGCCACTATGACTATCCAAGCTCCTTTGACCCCTGTTGAGCCTGACAGCAAAGACGAGGACTGGATTCCCAATTCGATGGAGTACGTTCGTCAAGCATATGACGCTCTTGGGAAAGAGCGAGTTAATGCTATTGCATTGGGAAATGAGCCTGATTATTATTCGTACGGCGTTGAGCAGTATGTTGAGCGTGCGTTGAAGATCGAGAATCGGACCATCGAAGAGTTAGGGTTAGAAGGCCCCGACAGAAGAATCTTTGAGCTTGGTGATATTGGTTGGACGGTGCTCAAGGAACGAGGAGACGACTTTGGCCTGTGAGTGAACTTTGCAATTGAACGTTTCTAGTAGAGTTATTTATGCTAATCATTATGATATCCAGGCACAAAGTTTTTACCAATGATCTCAACGCAAATGGATACGGCAAGTATGCTGCGCAGCATTACTACCAGACCGATGTGGGAGGTCCATACGACAACGACGCGCTGCAAGGTATCTAACATGAACTGAACAACCGTTGAATTATGTGAACTGACACGAGCCGTTACGTACAGATCGACTCATGAACCACCACGCCATCGCGGAACGCTTCCCCAAAATACAAAAAGGCATCGAATATGTCCACAGCGAAGATAGTAAGATTGAATTTGTCATATCGGAGCTCGGTGCCGCCCTGGGTGTTCCTCCTGTGAGCTTCGCGGGAGGCCTAGGTGCGGGTCTGTGGGCAGTCGACTTGCACCTTACAGCAATGTCGCGCGGTGTGAAACGGGTATCCAACAACATGTTCGAAGACGCACCGGACTCCTTCTGGGTGCCAAATAATGAGGGTCAATTCACGACCGGTCCCTCTGTACAGGGTATTTTCCCATCGGCGGCGTTCATCACCGACTTTGTGGGCAAGGGAGACTCGCTGGGTAAGATTGTCGAAGTAGAGGTGCCCGGGCAGCCGCAGCGGCTCAGTGCATTTGCTATGTACGATCTTGAGTCCGAAGAACTGGCGCGTGTGGCATTGGTGAACTTGAATGTATGGAATGATGACTCTAATCACCCTCGTGGTAATGCCTCTGTGACTTGCAATGTTGGGAATGGTGTCCAGTCTGTCACAGTGAAGAGACTGCATTCTGAAAAGGGATCTGCCGGTGTTGGGTTTGATCTCGGTGGCCCCGAGCATAATGTAACTTGGGCTGGGGAGCAGTGGTCCTTCAAGGTTGATGAGGGCAAGGGTCATTTCCCCACAGGCGATTCGGCGCAAGAGACTGTTACTGTCACAAATGGCCAAGTTACCGTGGCAGTGCCGGATAGCGAGGCAGTCATTGTCTATTTCAATGGCGGTTTGCTGGGCTTTTTGGAGGAAACATTCTAATCATAATATCGGAGGCTGTATTTCATTGCCGTCAAAACTTATAATAATCACACCTAATTACTTTTTTTCCAATTCATATAGTGATTTTTCTACATCTCTTCATTCTCATACAGTCGTTTCAACGATAGGACTTTTCTCGTAAATGACCACTTATAAAAGAACGTTCCGAATGTCCCTGAAGAAAATCGCTTGTCGTTATCAAGAGATGTTAAGGATCGCTATGATTCATACTCGCTTCCCGAATAGCCTTTCGAAGTCTTGAAAACGAGAACTTGATTGCATTCATTTCATTCCAATGTTACTAAATCCAGCTGCGACTGGCGGTTTTCATAACACATATAAAAGTTAAAGAATGGCAGTTGCGTTCGCATGCGATCCGACTCCCCCTAATCAAGTCAGTGTAATCCGGAAATTAAACTACATATTAAAGGTAGAACAGGGGAAATACATACCAGGCATATTAGCCGGGGCACTAGTCATAAAGAAAGACCACTTCCCTCTAGCACGGCATTTCTCTGCAAGTTTCTCCAAATCCCACATCTCACCAATAGGACACCCCCAAAGCGCGAGCAGGCTCTGATGCAAATGATCATGCTCAGGGACAGGCCATGACTCAAATGTCGGCGAATCGCCAGCAACAGCAGCAAAATAGCAATCATGCAACCAGTCACGGACAGCCGGCTCGCGTGATAGTCCCGCAAAACTCAAGTCCTCGTGAGACCGCGTCGCAGCCGCATATCGCTGCTCGGAGCTAAGCTCGTGATACCTCTCTACAAAGCCGGAGCGCACGAGCAGGATGTCTCCAACGCGAATATCGCCGCCCTCTGACTGTGGGCGTAGGTCTAAGCCCTGCGAGGCTGCGCATGCTTGCAGCTCCGACAAAGTAATGCTGTGACTTGTGTAGGGATCGTAGGCCTTATTGTTGGTTTTGGCATATTGATAGTAATCCAATAGAATTCCACGACCAGCAATTCCGTGGATTGCCCAATGGTGGATGCTGCAGCGGTGATTTGCGGCGTCACCTACGAAGTCAGTGCTTTTGGCCTGTTTGAGTTTGAGTTAGTGTGGGAAGATGGAGAGCAATGCACTGAAGACATACTCCGTTGTAGAAACACTTGCTGTCTATGTGGCCAAACTACTGCGACGTTAGAATTCAACCTGTGAGGGTGATTTGGTTTACAATATTCTGACTTGCTTACATGTCTGAACCCATCCCACTGTGTGCCACTTTGTGTGTTCATTGTGTATGTATCATCATACGCAACGTCCTCAACAAGCGTTTTGATGTTATGCTGGAACACCTCACGGTCGAAAGCTGGCTTCTCAGGCACCGTGAGAGGAAGACTGGATATAAAAGTGTGAGAAAATTATATATATAGCCCCACGGCATAGTGTACTCACTCTAGTCGTACCATTTCGCCAGTGTCAATTTCAGCGGCAGATGCCTTGACTCTCTGGGGCGTGAGGAGGTTCAACCTGCCCAACTATGTCAAGCGGATTAGTGACAACGAAACGCGAACATCCCATAAAAGAACACAAACTTCGTCATCTTTTCCCCAGACCCAAGCGGCGCCCTCCGGGGCACCAGATAGCTTTGGGAGATCTTTCCGGCAAGGAAACTTTGCGTTATTCGGATTCCAGGGTACCTGGTCGGCGGCTTGAGCGGTTGATATGGCGGTGGAGTTATTATTCAATTTCACAGGTTTACGAGTTGGACATTCGATATGCCCGGATATCGCAGAGAGCCTAGTGGAAGAGGGATTGGACATTATGGGCAAGCGTCGGATATGTATTGTGGGAATTAAGAGTTTGAACTCCAATTCTGTGGTAACACGGTATGACTAGAAAATAAAACTGCTCTTTGTGAATGAATGGACTTTTATATGATCCAATGGATCGAGGTGGAGTGAGAATGGCTACAACCTTTGTATATTTCGGCAACCGAGGATATTAGAAGCTTTGTGAATTATCCCGAGGTTAGATCTAAGGTTTTGTTGCGCGGGGATGATGATTTACTTACTAATCGATCATTATACCGTGGACATACTACTCTACAACTTTTAGGACTAGGGTAGAATGGCATATCAGGGGCCATATCGGGGGCCAGAGGAGTCCGAGGAGTCTTGGGAAATGCGGAGAGCTAGCAATACTTCTCCGCAGTTGGACCCACAGAATGACGTTGGTATGTGAGAGGGAAAATGATGACTTCGTAGGCCAAATAGCCTCGTTTTTTGCCTTTTTCATTTGGGTGATTGAGGAGTTTTTCACAGATGATATACACACACAAAAAGGGTACCTGCACCAAAAGGTGAGATTGACTCTGTTCGATCCTTATAAGGATGTGCAGACCGTGGTGCATCTGCCGCTTTCTGCGCAGTGGAAACACAAAAGGGAAATAGTCAAATAGCCACCAGATCCAGGAATTTCAGGAAACACGCTGCAGAAAGGGTATGCGTTTGACAAATACAAAGATAAACAATAATAAACACCACAATTGAGTCACAGAAAGTATCATATGGCCAACCCAATATGCCCCGGCCCCAGTTTCCCATTGCGCCGAAGAGACAAGAAAAGACTCAACTGTGATCGTTCGTTTCGGTCATAGGTTTTGCCACCCCAAATATTGAAAAAAGCACAAGGTTGCAATCATCGCTAGAATAATCAAAAATGGGCAAGTTCAGCCCTGTGATGGCACACCGGTAGACTCAGAAGCAGCTCGACCACCACGCATGCCTCCCCGGCCACGGCCGTAGCCACGACCATAGCCACCGCGACCACGGCCATAACCGCGGCCACGTCCACGTCCACGGTAGTTGGGACGGTAGCCATCGACGCTGCCTTGTCCAAAGGTCTCCATGTTGCGCTTCTCCTCCTCTCCGCGCCATTCGCGACCGCCGACACGAGCAGTGTTATCCTCACGATCACGAGCCTCGCTGGAGATGTTGTCAAAGAAAGAAGAGCCGCGGTTGTATCCCGGGTTAGAGGACCCGCCGGCATTGGACATTGACTCCAAGTTTGCCGCCTCCTCGGCCGCATGGGCTTGGGCCTCAGCCTCAGCAGCTGGAACTCCAGTGGCAATAGCTTCTTTCACCAGATCCTGTTTGTTGAACTTGGCATTTGCGGTTTCGAAATCGTAATCGGACTGGGGAACATCAATCTTCTTGTGTTGTTGCTGAGGGCGAGGTCCGCCGCGACCTCCGCGGGGATGTGAGTGACCGCCTCGGGGAGCACGGTTGTTGTCGTAAGGACGCATTTGGTGCATCTTTTGATTGAGCGCATCGATGGCACCATCGGATTGTCCGGGCTGAGGCAGCTTGGCCATAGCGGCAGCGACAGCAGCTGTGGCAGCCGCAGTGGCATCGGTAACTTGCTGGCTATTTCCTCGAGGGGCAGTAGAAATTTGGGGGACCGGGGCCGCCTGACGGGGGGCAGCGATCGGTATGGCGGGCATGACTCGGCCGCTCTTTGCTGGGGCAGCAGTCACAGGGGCAGTAGCTTCAGCCACGGACGGCTTGGATTGGACTGGGGGAGTGGGGGCTTTCTGAGCTGCAGGTGTTACATTGTCGCTGGTAGCCTTATCCCCGACCGGCAGTTCAGAGTTGAGTTGTGGTGCGGGGGTGGCACCAGGAGGTCCCGGGCGCTGGGATCCAGGCTGCTGGCCAGGGCCAATGGGCATGGGAGGTTGGAATTGGCCAGGACCAGGTGGGAATCCATGGCCAGGGGGAGGGTACCAACCAGGTGGAGCGCCGTATGGAGGGAAACCGGGACCAGGGGGGAACGGAGGAGGGGGTCCGAATTGTCCATAAGGTGGGTAGAAGCCCTGTTGGAATTGAGGCTGTTGGGGATAACCGGGAGGTGTTGGGCCAGCTCCCTGAGGTGGCTTGGGAGGTCCCTGAGGAAGGTTCTGAGGAGCTGGCGCCGAATCAGGTCCTTGACCGGGATTAGGTCGTGGCATGCCCTATTTCGAGCAAGTCAGTACATTGTTCTTTGTAAGACGGCAACCAAGCCCAGAGTGGAGGAATTGATCATCAGAAGGAAGGCAACGGAAATCTCTACACGGATTTGCGCATTCAGAACAGGTCTGTGAGTTTACATCCGAGAATTTTTCGTCATTTGATCGATTCCGAGAGACAATGGACTTGCTCGTGTGTAAACGCATGGGACGATGCGGTTATTGCTGGATGGGCTGTATTCACTTACTCCGAGGATGGCCGGGTCATCTGGTACCCGAGGGGCCTCATGCTGTGGGGGCTCTTTTTGCTCATCCGAAGCGATGCTAATATCCTTCACATCACTTCCTCGGAACACGATGTATTCGTAAACGCTGGTGGACGGAGGCACCTCATCTGCAGGATTTCCACGGCGCCCTTCGGAGCCGAATGACATGACATTCTCGAGGGCTATCGTCGAGGCTTCGGGGTTGATTTCGTGTAGAGTACCGACATAGCTGAAAGAATGTCAGCAGTAGATTACACAAAGAGAAATCGAACAAATTTACCGAATGTCGCTCTTGGAGATCAGGTTGAATCGTTGACTGCCAGGTGTTAACTTGAAGCCTTGGTTCTAACCAGGTTCAGACTGACCCTATGAGGTGGTTCATTTCCATGATGACGGGGGTGCGCGAGGTCGCGCGGGGGGAGACAGGGGAGATGAGAAGGTGGAGAAGAAAAGGACGGAGATGTATGCGGAGATGAGGGATAGTTGAGAGGAGAGGAGAGGAGAGGAAACGAAAAACCTGTGGTTTTGTGGTGGATTGCGGGCTACGGCGGACCTTAGGAGCTCGGATAGCAGTTTTGGCAGCATTTGGCGGGGGAGAAGTTGTCAAGGAAAAATGAGCTTCTTCATATTGACTGTATCAAATACATGTACAATTTAAGATGACGACGTCTTCGAACCGAGACCATTTCTTTCAGACATCGTGAGGCCAACAATTCATCTCCTGACTTCGTGGAAATACTAATTATCATTAGTGCATCTCTGGATGACCAGGAGCGCAAGGATGCTAAATCCCAAAATACCAATGGAAACCCCATCAAGCTGCAGGGGAAGATCCTGGCAGTCCACTCAGATCCATTAAACAATGGATCAATTTATGTTGCCCAAAGTAATGGCAGCGTGAGAAGGATCATGCTTGCCGTAAGTGCAACTTTGCCCTCTCACCTTGCTAGATTCTTATTCTTCTACAGACAGGGGAAACTGCCAAGGTATTCGCAGGCCCCATGGCCCCTGTCACGAGTCTCTGTGTGAGTCCTGATGGGAAAATCCTATTTGCTGGGTGCTGGGACAAGTTTATCTGGAGTTGGGACACTGCCACCGGAAAGCCGCGCCAGAAGTACGAAGGTCATAACGATTTTGTTCGATCAGTAACCAGTGCAAGGCTACGCGGAGATGATTTGCTCATCTCTGGAGGCGCCGACGCTCAAGTCCTGGTGTTCAACATTGCAACTGGACAGCGACTCGAGACTTTCAAGGGCCACGCTCGGGGAATTCAAGACCTTTCCGTTGATCCAGAGTCGGAGAATACACAGCCTATTGTGTTCAGTGCGGGAAGTGACCGCGAAATTCGCCAATTTGATGTGTTTGGCGGCGGTTGTAGCACTGACCCTCTCCTTCCACATGAGACAAGTGTTTACAAGCTCTTTTTCGACAACGATGGCGACCTCTGGACTGCCTCCGCTGACAAGACTGCCAAATGTCTAATTCGAGAAGATGGATGGAAAGCAAATCTGACTTTGGAGCATCCTGACTTCGTGAAAGATATTGTTATCTATGAACCCGGAGGATGGGCAGTGACGGCTTGTCGCGACGAAGAAGTTCGAGTCTGGAACCGATCCGTAAGACTTATCTCTTTCTCGACCTTCTTTCCCGACCTTCATGATGATTGTATGCTAATTTATACATAGACTGGTGCCTTGCACCATACCTTCTCTGGACATTTCGAAGAGGTCACTGGTCTTGTCCTCGTTGGTTCAACCGTTGTTAGCGTGGGAATCGACGCAACCATCCGTCAATGGTCCCTTCGACCTGACGAGCTTCAAAATGCAGTGGTTCTCGCACAGAAGCCTGCTGAAGACGAGAAAGAAGAGGAGAACCCCAATGCGGAATCAATGCTAACGGCAGAGGAGGAGGCAGAGTTGGCCGAGCTGATGGGAGATGATTAGATGATGTGATACCCATTCCAAAATTTGTGTTTTGATCATGTGCGCATAGCAGGAGTATTTACAGTGCATTGATACCATACAATTTCGAACGCAATAACCCTTTCTATGTACATGAACGTTGCATTTGCATAAGATATAATGGCACGTGACGTGACTTTCTATGACGCACATTGTCGATCCCCGAATCAACGGGCCGATCTCTCGACCTTCGCTCTCGACCCCGCCTATGGCGCTTGCACACTAGACACGCCTCAACACTCCATTCCCGCTCAAGCCATTTCAACTTGTTACAAATTTTATTTATACCCTATTAAGACTCGATCGCAAGTGGAATAGCTTGTGCTCGGATACTGTAGGTAGTCATTACCGAATCCCGCTAGCAACCCCTCACTCTGGGCCCGGACTGACTTCTTTAATCTCCGACCAGGAAAAGGCTCAATTAGTGACTGGTCGTAATGGCAGCTTCAGACAGCCCTGCACATCCGCGCCATGTTGTGCCCGAATCAGGGCCCAAGATGGTCAATCGGTTGCAGCAGAGCAGGTCCCCCTATGTCAGTGCTTGTCCTCCTCTGGTACTTGTTTCATGCTGACAGATCATAGGTCCGAGGACATATGAATAATCCAGTAGCATGGCAAGTATGGGATGCGGAGTCTATGGAGCTTGCAAAAAAGCATAATCGCTTAATCTTCCTGAGCGTCGGTTACTCCGCCTGTCACTGTAGGTAACCGCCCGCCAATTCTTGCCGCCGGTTTGCTAATATTATCTAGGGTGTCATGTCATGGAAAAAGAATCTTTCATGTCAGCTGAGGTGGCCGCGATTTTGAATGAATCGTTTGTTCCGATCAAGGTTGACCGCGAAGAGCGACCGGATATCGACGATATCTACATGAATTATGTGCAGGCCACCACGGGCTCCGGCGGGTGGCCATTGAATGTCTTTTTAACCCCAGACTTGGAACCCGTATTCGGTGGCACTTATTGGCAAGGCCCCAACTCAAACACATTCACTGGCCCTGAGACAATTGGATTTGTAGAGATTTTGGAGAAATTGAGAGATGTTTGGGACACCCAACAGCAACGATGCCTCGACAGCGCCAAAGAAATCACCAAGCAGCTAAAAGAGTTTGCCGAGGAAGGGACGCACTCACAGCAAGAAGAACAGGATAAAGATGAGGAAATGGACATTGAGCTCCTAGAAGAAGCTTATCAACATTTCGCATCTCGATACGACTCTATCAATGGCGGCTTTGGCCGCGCACCTAAGTTTCCCACGCCGTCCAATCTTAGTTTCCTGCTTCGGCTTGGTGCCTACCCGACCCAGGTTACCGATGTTGTAGGGAAAGATGAGTGTGAACAAGCGACTGCTATGGCCGTTACTACACTGGTGAACATGGCCCGCGGTGGACTTCGGGATCACATCGGCCACGGGTTTGCGAGATACAGCGTGACAATGGACTGGGGGCTTCCCCACTTCGAGAAGATGCTTTATGACCAGGCACAGCTCTTGGATGCATATGTGGATGCCTTCCGGTTGACCCATGACCCTGAGCTTTTGGGCGCTGTCTATGATCTGGCTGCCTACCTCACAACCGCACCAATCCAGTCTCCCACGGGAGGGTTCTTTTCATCAGAGGATGCAGACAGTTATCCTAGTTCAAATGACACAGAGAAGCGAGAAGGTGCATTCTACGTCTGGTCACTGAAGGAAATCACTCAAGTTCTCGGACCCCGAGACGCACCGGTTTGCGCCCAACATTGGGGTGTGCTCCCTGATGGCAATGTCCCACCTGAGTACGACCCGCACGATGAGTTTATGAATCAAAATGTGTTAGCCGTCAAAGCCACCCCGAGCAAGCTTGCCAAAGACTTTGGTCTCAGCGAAGAGGAAGTGGTCAGAATCATCAAGACTGGAAAGCAAAAGTTGCACGACTACCGCGAGCGAATGCGCGTGCGACCAGATCTCGACGACAAGATCATTGTGGCTTGGAACGGACTGGCAATTGGCGCACTTGCCAAGTGCAGTGTTTTGTTCGAGGAAATTGAGAGCTCCAAGGCCGTCCAGTGCCGCGAAGCCGCAGCACGGGCAATCAGCTTCATCAAGGATAACCTCTTTGACAAGGCTACAGGGCAATTATGGCGTATCTACCGAGACGGAAGCCGGGGAGACACACCGGGTTTCGCTGACGACTATGCATACTTGACTAGCGGTTTACTGGACATGTATGATGCCACCTTCGATGATAGCTATCTCCAATTTGCCGAGCGAATGCAAAGTAAGACACCCGCATATGCGTTGGATTGAATCCAGTGACTAATATTCTTTCAGAGTACCTTAATCAATACTTCCTAGCCCAGGCGGGCTCTACGGCTACCGGATATTACAGCACACCATCAGTGACAACACCTGGAATGCCCCCTCCTCTCCTCCGACTGAAGACTGGTACTGAGTCAGCAACACCGTCAGTCAACGGCATCATTGCTCGCAACCTACTGCGTCTGGCCGCTCTGCTGGAAGATGAAAATTACCGAACCTTGGCACGACAGACCTGCAACTCGTTCGCTGTGGAGATTATCCAACACCCTTTCCTATTCGTTGGAATGTTGGATGTGATCGTGGGTCTGCAGATTGGCACGCGCACTGTGATAGGTGTCTTTGCCACAGCCGAAGTTTCTTCATTGCCCAACTCAGGTTCCAGTCTCAGTCGCAATGCCGAGCCCGTATCTACACGCGACCTGATCCGCCGGCGAGTCCGGGCTCAGGCTGGTGTGGCAGTCTCCTCATCTGTAGTAGTGACATCTCTCGTCGATATCCGTCCCTCGCACCTTAAAGACTTTGTGGGCAACCAGTCTTTCTGGCTAAAATCCCGCAACCCGCTTTTCCAAGACCTCAAGGCTGGTGAACCGGCGAAAAATCAGCTAATGGTTTGCGAGGCTGGGCAATGCAACATCATCGACCTCTAAACGAGAGCCTGAGGCAACAGGCCTTGGCCCAATTTCTTTTTTTTTCTTTTTGTTCCATTTCTCTTTTGTTAGGGGTGGTTTTGTGGCGTTCTTGGACCGTTGGTCCTATTGAGTATTGGATTTCCCCCGTTATTTGAGATCGGATCTGACTTGCAGGCCCTGCATCTGGACCGTGTCAAACTTCTGACAATAATTTACACATGTAGAGATGAGATCATATCTGAAAACATGAAGTGTTTTGAGGCTTCCCCTTACTATAACCGCCCTGTCTCACCCCAGGCTCCCGCACCACGCTAGGCGCTAACGCCCCAGGGCCTTAGTGTCCCGAAATTTCCGGGTGGCCCGGGGTGTTTGATTGGCCTTGGCTCTGTCTGTACTCCGTACTTCAACGATAATCGCAATATTGGTTCCAATGCGTTTCATTGTCACTCCACTTGGTTGAATGACGATCGGGCGTTATTGAATGGTCCGAACTTTACTAGCTGAAAAACAGGGAATCGATTTCATCCATGATCACCCTAATTATTGTATTATGATATTTCGTAGACTCCGTAGACTGCATATAGTACTTGGATATTAGCGAAGTTTACAATAAAGGTTTTAATTAATATTTTCGATGAATACTAAAGTGGCTGAAACAGGGTCAGCCAATTTAATCTATCTCAGATTAGCCCGTACAGACTGCCGAATGGGCCTTGAAGCCAAGTTCTTTAGCGGGCGTTGTAGTGGGGATGATCATGTCTGTTTTGTAAGAGGGCAATTAAGATGATTGGATGTCAAGGAGTGAAATTTGAAACTTGTTCCTGGGCAAGGGGCTTGGCCTTCCCCTGGGTCTGTTTGGGCCGATCATATAGTCCACTCCACGATCGAGACTCTTTCTAACATTTGAACACTGGAGCTTTCATTCTTTTCAACAAAGTCCATGGTACTCTTAGTTATCTTAGTTCTTTTTGCAGGTTTTTTTTCTCCTTCTTTTTTCTCTCTCTCTCTCTTTCTTTGAAATTTGACACCTAGAACGCGCGGCTCAAATAGTGGCGCTAGTGGGCCAAACGGACACCTTACACATCATATCTTTAATCCTTAATATTGTCCTTAATATCTGTTCAAGGTTAAACGTTCCTTAACATCAAAAGCTGAAATTACCAAAGAGTCTGGCCCCGGAGAATATTTGATTAAGGTCCATAAAATATTGCCCAGCCTCAGATGGTTTCTAGGCCAATAATATGGGTTTCTTAGCGCGCGTTGGAATGTTGTATAGAATGTGCCACGCTTGGGTATGTACGACCTCAAATGTCGAGAGGTTGGAAAATTCCCCAGTATGAACCGGCACAAGAAAGCAAAAGCAATAAGTAGGGGAAAAGATCGTGCAATCGCGAGGTTCTCGATTTCAATCCTCAATAATTATAATTTATAAAATAACTACGGAGTACTACTTTTTCATCACACACGCCATACTTATTAAAACGAAAACTAATCTCCCCTTGACTTCCCACGGCCCCACTCTCCAAGTCTCCCCTTTCTACTATTATTTACTCTCCCCATCTCCCTCAATTCTCTTCCTTTTCCCACGCTACACACTCTTTTCCAGCCCTACCGCGTGCATCTTATCTTTCTCTCACTCCTTGAAGAAAGAAGGTGTTGGGCTCGTCATTCCTTTCATACAAGCGCCAATCCACTCATTCAATCAACAGTCGATCTGTTTGATCCAATCCCGACTCTCAATACTTCCTGGGGAAGTTTCTTTCATCGCAATATTTGATTTTTGATTCGCAAAATGCGTTCCACTCTGCTCTTCGCCGCCCTCGCGGTCGGCACCTGTGCCAAGGTCATTGAGAAAGAAGTTTACGTGACTGACTGGACTACTACCACTGTCACCGAAACTGTCACCCAATGGCCGACCACCACCGCCAACACTGCCAACCTGGTCAAGCAGGACACCGTTGTTGCTGAGCCTTCTTCTTCTTCTTCGTCCTTGACCTCGGCTTTGCCCACTGTCGATTTGAGCAAGAAGACTACCGCCGAGCCCGCCCCGGCTGCTACCGAGGATGCTGCCGCTGCCAATGCCGGAGGCGCAACCACCTGGTACTCGACCACCTACTGGTCCATCCCTGCTGAACCCGCTACCACTGAAACCCCGACTTCTCTGGCTACCTCGACTTCTGCCGCGGCCGCTGCCACCCCTACCAACGCCTACCAGGAGTCCATCCTGTACAACCACAATGTCCACCGCAGCAACCACTCTGCTAGCTCCGTTACCTGGTCTGAATCTCTCGAGTCCAGCGCCCGCACTCTTGCTGAGCGTTGTGTTTACAAGCACGACACGTGAGTATCCATTGCATGATCTTTATTTTGATACACAACTAATATACCCCTAGTTCCATTGCTGGCGGTGGCTACGGTCAGAACATTGGATACGGTGTCGGAGAGTCCACCATCGGAGAAATGATCACCAACCTGATGTACAACGATGAGATGATGTACTTCGCCGAGCTCTACGGCCAGGCCTCCCCCGACATGTCGAATTTCGACGCCTGGGGCCACTTCTCCCAGATTGTCTGGAAGGGCACCGAGCAAGTCGGTTGTGCTACTGTTGTTTGCCCTTCCCTTGGCAACGCCGGTGGCTCCAACGTGCCTTTCACCGTCTGCAATTACTCGCCTGCCGGTAACTATGACGGCGAATACGCCGACAACGTCCTGTCCCCCAAGGGCGCCAGCATCTACACTGCCTAAGCGCCCGGGACAATAAAGAGTCCTTGATTTGAGGAAGCTGCATCTGGAACCATTCTGTGGAGTGATCTAAATCCAGACCATTTTACCAGCCGCCTCCGACCTTGTTCTTCCTCCTAGCATGCCTCTTTCCCCCCCGGTTTTGTGCAACGTGTTCGTATGTTCAGTGTCTTTCTACCTTCTTCTTTAAGTTTTGCATGTCCTGCCTCGATCGGCAATCTCGTTCGGGTCTCTTGGGCGAGAGGACGAGTACTCTACCTCTGTTTGAGGCTGTGTCTCTGCCATTGGGGCCCATACTGTATGTATGCAAGCGTGCCTGGCCCTTTTTCTTTGGGAGGACCCAAGGCAATGCAGATACTATTTTTCAATTGTGAATATTTTTGACTCCTTGTCTCCCCGCGATCTTCAATATCGTGGTCCATTTGTGGATAACAAAATCGCCGGCGTCATTTTGTTTGCGAGCGTGATGTACTGCGTACGACCTAAGCGTGATCATGAAATTTTTCAACTCGACCCTGGAATCGTTGATTTCTTATTATTCTTTCTCATCGTAGCTTTTTATGATCGTAGCTCAACCTATTACGCTGTTTATGATCTCACGTGACCTTAAGCTTCCCCCGCATGACCGGTCCCAGTTTCCTTTCGCCCGAAACGTCATCGGGACACAAACGTTGCCGATATACTTCACACGCGGTCTCCGATTGTAGCCTTATTTGTTTACCTTGTGGCATTGAGCTCTCGGTAAATCCTTTCCTTCATCCGGAGTCAAGCTTTTGTCTTATAATCTACCCGACACCTTTCGCATTCAATCCCTGCTCCATTGCACAAGCCAAAAACAAGAATTTACAGTAACGTTCGGTAACGTGCAGCAGGGTTCGTCAAATTGAGATTAGGTGAGTTGCTACCCGGACCCATACCCCATTCCGTCCTATCATTCCTCTATGCCCCGTGGGGTGAATGAGGGGCAGACCACAAAAAGCCCTTCGTGTCTTCATGACTGAGATCAAGCTTACCTGGCATGTTAAAACCAAGTCACAAGCTCTCACTGGCCAAGGACAAGTTTAGACTGCAGACACATTGAGCGACTTCTTCGCGGGTCCTTTCTCTGGCTGAAATCATCTGACATCTGACAAACCCGCAGCCAAGCTCATCCGTTTCTCCGGCGCTATCATTCCGTTCTTCCTCTGCTAGTACCACCCGGACAATTCACCCGTATTCCGGGGTTGCGAATTGTTTGCGCTTGTGGTGTAAGCCTGTAAGTCCATTGCTCCATTGTTATCAATTCCCGTTTCCCCTTAGGCCCGAGCCGGGCTCCACCGTCGAGGGCTATACTTTCGATGCCCTTATTATTCTCCCGCCTCCTGTCTATTCTCATGAATTTGTTTTCTCGTCTCTGAATGATATATTCACTTGGCTTGTGTCTATAATATTCTTGAGATTTCATTTTTCCCGTGTTTTGTGTTTTGTCCACCTGCCCACTGCGCATGACATAGTCTCAATGCCATCCTACTGCCTCCAAGACTGCCACTACTTCTACCGCACTGCCCTGCGCCTCCTATCTATCCCTACCGTTCTCGCCAGTCGCTACGCCTGATTTGGACCGACAGATTATCTAACATGTCTTATTCCTCGATGGCAGTGCGATTTTTCACAGCGCCTAAATCACTTGGTGATGCTATGGACGAAAAAGGTAAACAGTCCAGCCCTGAGTCTCAAGGCCAGACGGTCATGAGGCCAAATGTGTCGACTAACCAGCCCTCATCAGAGGTTGCGGTTCCTCACACCCCCAAGACCCAGGGCTTGACTTTTGCAAACCAGGATTCGTTGCCTAAGTTGCCTATTCCTGATCTTGAAGATACTTGCCGCAGGCATTTGGATGCCCTTGAGGCTTTGCAGACCCCACGTGAACATGAAGATACCAAGGCTGCTGTTCGTGACTTTCTGAAGAATGATGGTCCTCTTCTGCAAGAACGGTTGAAGACTTATGCTGGCTCTAAAACGAGCTACATTGAGCAGTTTTGTACGTGCCTCGAGTTCAAATGAGCAAGGGGGGTAGCTAACTTCTACCAGGGTATGATTCTTATTTGAATTTTGATAATCGTGAGTACTTTCTCGTTCTGTTGCATCCCATTATAATCTGACTCGTGCAGCTGTTGTCTTGAACCTCAACCCCTTCTTCCTGTTGGAGGACGATCCGACTCCCGCAAGAAATCACCAAGTGACTCGAGCTGCGTCGCTGGCCATTTCGGCTTTGGCGTTTGTTCGAGCTGTGCGTCGGGAGGAGTTGCCTCCTGATACAGTGCGAGGAACACCCCTTTGCATGTACCAGTACTCACGGCTTTTCGGAACCGCCCGTCTGCCTACTGAGAATGGTTGTGTCATTAGCCAGGACCCTTCGGCCAAGCACATGGTGGTTATGTGCCGTGGTCAATTCTATTGGTTTGATGTCCTCGACGACAACAGTGATCTGATCATGAGTGAGAAAGATATCTCGCTTAATTTGCAGGTTATCATTGAAGATGCTGCGCAAACTCCGATTCACCATGCAGCCAAGGGGGCTCTAGGTGTCCTCAGTACGGAAAACCGGAAGGTCTGGTCTGGGCTGCGTGATATCATGACCAAGGACTTGAGGTCCAATAATGCAGAGTGCTTGAATATTGTCGATACGGCGCTGTACGTTTTGTGCTTGGATGATACAGAACCTTCCACTACAGCCGAACTCTGCGCAAACATGCTTTGTGGTACCAGTGAGGTTATCAAGGGGGTTCAAGTTGGAACCTGCACCAACCGCTGGTACGACAAACTGCAAATCATTGTCTGTAAAAACGGCAGCGCTGGTATCAACTTCGAGCACACCGGTGTCGATGGACACACAGTGCTCCGATTCGCCAGCGACGTGTATACCGACACCATTCTCCGCTTTGCAAAGACCATCAACGGCCAGGCCCCGAGCTTGTGGGCAACCAGCAGCCCTGACCCAGCCAAGCGTGACCCAAGCAGCTTTGGCAACGTCAGCACAACACCCCGTAAACTCGAATGGGACATGACGCCCGAGCTAAACATTGCCCTCCGCTTCGCCGAATCACATCTTTCGGACCTTCTCTACCAACACGAATTCCAAGTCCTTGACTTTGAAGGCTTCGGTAAGAATTTCATCACCTCAATGGGCTTCTCTCCAGATGCCTTCGTGCAAATGGCTTTCCAAGCCGCCTACTACGGTCTCTATGGTCGAGTCGAGAATACCTACGAACCAGCAATGACAAAAATGTTCCTCCACGGACGTACCGAGGCAGTGCGGACCGTAACGCGGGAATCCGTGGACTTCGTAACAGCATTCTGGGGGAAAACTCCGCCGAACAAAAGGTCGATGCTCTGCGTGCCGCAACTCAAAAGCACACCGCTGCCACCAAAGAATGCTCAAAGGGCCAGGGCCAAGACCGCCACCTTTATGCTCTCTACTGCCTTTGGCAACGCTCCTTTGATGAGGGTTTATTCCCTGACACTAGCTCCACGGGCGGCTACTCTAGCCCCGGCGAAACTACCTCCCAAACACAAAGCCACGGCCCTGAGTCACCAAAACTATCCTCCTCCCCCTCGGACGACGGTCTGTCATCACCAGGCAGCAGTCCACGCGCCTACCGCACAACAGCACCCACACCCGCGATCTTCGCCGACGCAGGTTGGGATAAAATCAACAACACGGTTCTTTCAACTTCAAACTGCGGGAATCCCTGTCTGCGCCACTTCGGCTTTGGTCCCACGTCCGCCGACGGCTTCGGTATCGGGTACATCATCAAAGACGACTCAATTTCTTTCTGCGCTTCTTCGAAGCACAGACAGACCGGTCGTCTAATGCATACCCTCGAATCGTACTTATTTGAAATCCGCAAATTGCTTCGTGCGACGAATCGCAAACCAAATAGCCCCCGCACTAGTCGCGCACGTGAGACAGAGGCTCTTTCAGAGAGCTTGCAATCCGAGTCGCATCGCCGTGGACGCATTGTTCGTGGAGGGGGAATGGGGGATGGACGTGGTGCTGATACGCCTACTTCTGCTGCGGAGAGTTCTTATATCGAGGATGACGGGATGGGAGGATGTAAGTTTTCTCTGATTTTTGTTCTCCGCATCAATTTTGCTAACATATCTCCAGATGGCTTTTTCGATGCCGGAATGCTTCTTCATGCCCTGAAAGGTCTCGGCGCAGACCGTGAATCGCGCGAGAAGCCTGTGAAAAGGAGATTTGTCGGGAAGAAACTTCATCTCAATGAGTATTGATGATGGGTTTAAATTGTAGGAGATTGATCTACGTTTTGGTCATTTACCAAGATATTTACGATGTCTATTACTTGGCTCAATTGCAAATTAGCAATGTTTACGTGAAGTCTACAACTTTCGCCTTATCCATCTGCATTCTCGAGGCAAATAATAGTAGTAGCGTCTATGCGTGCATAACTTCCGAGTTTGGCCGGGTATAACTAACATTCTGATACATGGATATCATAGTGTTTAAACCTCTCTCTAGGCTCCTCGTCGCGTAAGGTATATCATATCTACATTAATTTGCTCATTTCAATGCCTTTATGATGAAGAGAAATATACCTGATAATTGATCCCCCCAACCTCCTCGGCAAATGTGGAGAACCTCCGACACCGGATTAGCCGACTTGGCTTATAGCCTTCTCGAAGTCCCCTCGCGCAGAGCGTTATCGTACATAAATCCAGCATTTGGAGACAGCATCGCATCATTGAATGTGTCTTTACTGAGCGCACCCATGGCCCTACACGTCCTCCCGAAAAGGGCGCCCCAGACATTACGGGTGCCCTTGACACGGCGCTTCACAACCTCCCCCCGCACAGCCAGCTATGCAGATACTCTACCAAACCTCAGAATTGGCGCTCATACCAGAGTCCTATTCCAGGGTTTTACAGGTAAGCATATATTGGCCCCAATTGCACCCCTTCTCCCAGTGGAATGCTGAATGCTGACCCCCACAGGGCGACAGGCAACTGCCAACGTCAAGGAGTCGCTAGAATGGGGCACTAAGATTGTGGGAGGTGTCAAACCTGGCGTGGAGGGCGAGCATCTGGGCTTGCCTGTATTCCCTTCTGTTAAAGCAGTAAGAAGATATCTGATGCATCGACCTGGATGATGTCATTTGACCAACTGGCTAATAACTAATAAATTTCAGGCTCAAGATAAAGCGAGGCCGGATGCATCTGCCATATATGTTCCTGGGAACCAGACTGCTCAGGCTATTGAAGAGGCAATCGAAGCGGAAATCCCGCTGGTTGTTGCTGTGGCAGAACATGTGCCGATCCACGACATCCTACGAGTATGACTTGCTTTTTTCCTGTACCAAACAAAATCCGAATGTTGCTAACGAGAAATTCCGCAGATTCACTCTATGTTGCAAACACAATCCAAAACCAGGTTGGTTGGTGCAAACTGCCCCGGTATCATATCCGCTATTGGCAAGTGCCGAATCGGGTTTCAGCCACTACCATGCTTTGCCCCGGGTAACGTGGGTATTGTAGCCAAGTCTGGCACCCTGAGCTACGAGACCGTGGCATCAACTACTCGGGCTGGACTTGGACAGAGTCTTTGTATCAGTATGGGGGGAGATGTGTTGGCTGGCACAAACTTTGTTGATGCTCTCGGTATCTTCGAGCATGATCCTGATACGCAGGGTATCATCCTGGTCGGCGAGATCGGTGGTACGGCCGAGATGGATGCCGCAGAGTGGATTAAGGATTATCGGAGGAGGACTGCAGACCCCAAGTAAGTTTTTATCTTTTCTTCATGATGTTCGTTTTTCCTTTGTGGATACTAATCTGTCATAGACCCATCATGGCCCTTGTTGGTGGTTTGGAGGCACCACCTGGCCGTATTATGGGACACGCTGGTGCTTGGGCTGCACCTGGGGAGCCAGATGCGGAGACCAAGTATCAAGCACTGGAACGCGCCGGTGCGGTCATGGTCAATCACCCCGAGAAGTTCGGCGCTGGGATGAAAACTCTCTTGAGTTCGCGATCTAAGTACCCAAGAACAAGTGTGAGTCTACTTTTTAAACCCGAGGTGAATGGTACTAAAATGTAACAGCCGATCTCTGGGACAGGCTCCCATAACCGAGGCTTCCACACCATGAGAAGAGTCACACCTGTTTCAATTCAGACTGCTCAGCAGAAACGCAGTCTTTACATTAAGCAGTTTCAGGCATTTGATATACTCAAGCAGAAAGGCGTTCTCGTTAGCGAATCAGCTTCTAGTTCGGATCTATCCGTGTCTATCACAGTTGACCGCACAGCGCTATCGCCGTGCATTGTTGTCTCACCGACTGCGGAGTTTGATCAGACTCAATTAAAGAACTACCCTTTTTCATATACCCTGGCCTCATTTGATGGAACCCCAGTCATTGCTGCTGCTGCCTCACACCTAGGGCTCCCTGCATCTACCCACCGCAAATTCGCCGCTTTTGTGCAATCACTGTGGGAAATATATAAAGAGAAGGAAGCTTTTGTTCTAGAGACACAAGCTGGCATATCCACCGACGGCTCATTCGAGGTCCGCAGTGCGCGCTTTGGATTTGATGATGCTGCATTCCGCAGTTCCGGTCGCCAGGAAGATATTCATAAGCTACGAAACACCACGGAGGAAGTTCCTGAAGAGGTCGAGGCCGAAAAGGACGGAATTGTTTACATCAAGTACACAGAGTCACACTTGTTACCAAGAAATTGTGCTGACAACAAACAGGTTGGAAGGTGAAGGCGGTATTGGAACCTTAGGTATGTACTCTTCATTTGAAACTTTTTTCTATAGAATAACGTTTTATAACACATGGCACAGTCAACGGAGCCGGCCTTGCTATGAACACGGTCGACGCACTCACAATTCACGGCGGTCACTGCGCTAACTTCCTCGACACTGGCGGCAAAGCTACCTCGGAAACTGTGAAGTCTTCTTTCCGTGTCATCTGCTCCGATGCGCGCGTCAAGGCCATATTTGTCAACATCTTTGGTGGGCTAACGCGCTGCGATATGATTGCCGAGGGTATCATTTTGGCTTTCAGAGATTTGAAGATGAAAGTCCCAGTGGTTGTCCGGCTGCGAGGTACAAATGAGGAACTAGGACAGAAAATGGTAGGCAATGACATTTCGCTGTTGGATTTTAGTGACTAATTCGGGCAATTTTAGATCGCGGAGAGTGGCCTCCCACTGCATGCCTTTGACGGGTTTGAGGAGGCGGCGAAGAAGGTCATCGCATTGGCCAAAGGCCAATAGATCTAGATCTTGGTCTATCAACATATATAATGCCAATTCATCAAATAAGATCAATCTGTATAACACACTCTTCCATTCCACTACACTGTTCACTAATCATAATTGTGAGCAATTTGTTGATGAAGTGACCAAGTAAATCTGTCCCCGAGTGCCCCTCAAGCTCCCATCCACGAAGATTGGCCTGTACTAAGCAGTGATCCATCTTCCCATCCACTCTCGTGTGATCTGCTTTGCCTCATCCACTAAGCCGAGCTCTGTGAAAGAAAATCTAGTCAGCCTTAAATCGTTCGTCGATGTGCAAAAGAAATCGAACTACCTAGCAGAAGTTGAACTGTTCCACGAACAGACGATTCCAAAGCCGAGGAAACTAAAGTCATTTATTAGTCTGAATCTTATATAGAGAAGACAGATGATAACTTACTCCATGAGTGTGTATACGAAGTGTGTTCACCGATAAAGATAATCTTGTCCCAATCAATACACGATCTCACCACGAGCTCCTGACTTCATGAAGCAAACATGCTCTTCAGAATAGACTCACATTATTCTCCGTCTTGAAGTATGAGGGAATATAAAGTTGATGCTGACCAACTGTCGGCAAAGCCCAAGAGCCACCAGCGTTGGATTCTTCTTCCAACCAACAGACACGCCTGAAATTGCCGGTGTATTGTTCATAAGCAATCTCACCGTGCAACTGGAAAATACCGTCGAGGACGTATTGGGCGTGTTCCTGTTCTGGGGTGGAGATCCAGCGCTCACTATAATCGCCGCTGTTGTAACTGGCAAGCATCACGGCTGGCCCGGAGCTATTCACGTTGTAACCAGGGTAGCAGATGTTGCCCATTCCCGGGATATCAGTTACTGTATTGCAACTACCCAGTATTGGGCGCTCCAAATGCTCCCAGAATCGGGATTTGAACTGCAGTGCCATCTGAACAACAGGTTTAGTAGCTGATTGGTCCTGATTTGGAATGAGTTAGCACCTTGCAAGCCGATTGGTAACCTAGGCGGGATATTGCATTGCTCAGGGTGGGAGAGAATTCTTGATAATATGTTCAGCATCGAATCTCATAGCACTGGGTATGAAATACTTACCTGGTAGCTTCCATTTGCGGACCACAGTAAAAGGCACCGCAACGAAAGTATAATCATAGGTCGCTGTTTGAAATTGACGATCCGTATAGTGATTTTTCCAAGAGACTTGGACCTTTTTATCCTCTTCAAGATAGTGCACCTTTTGGATCTTTCGTTTATATTTGAGATCTCTCCCAATCAGGGGTTTAAAAGCATTTGGTAGTCGACTCATCCCTAGGAAGGTGAGTCAGTTGCAATTAATGACGAGAAAGCGAAACAAACCTTTATCGATCGTTTTCCATTCTTTAGATGAAAAGAACAGGTTGTGATACCTGCAGCGAGTTCAACAAGATAAGCAACAGGTAAACCGGCATCGGCTCCTCTTTCAACTTACAGGCTGACCCAGAAAGGAGCAGCAAGCGTGACTAGCTCACCAGCAAGGTCTGTTGTGTTTAGATCGTAGCCTAACGCATTATGGACGTAGCCTGTCTGGGACCACTCATCTCCTCCTCCCCCATTCAGACCGACGTCTATTATAATGGTGAGCAAAAACATCTAGACTGATAATTGAATGTAGTCAGTGTCTTACCCAGGAACCTTTTGTGAGCTTCATAAATGTTGCTGGCAATCAATCTCATGTCTTCCGGATTATACATCAATGCATTCAACTTCGCAGTCAGACTATCCAGATTTGGAGTGTGCAGAGTAGATGCGCCAAGTGAGCTATTCTTTGCCACGTCGCCAACTGTCGGAATCGAGCCGTCTAGATTTCTTTTGTTTCCTATCAGGGAGAGGGCATTGTCACTATTTTGAAGGAATGGAATCCAATCAATGTTAAGTGATTTCTCATGACCGTTGATTTTGTTGAGCGCTTCTGCCAGCTGGAACACGATTTGGTGGCTGGTGAAGTTCAATGTCAAACTTTCGTTGCCTAGTGGAAAGGTTGCTGTAATCGGAATGCGCATAGCACCCATCTCTTGGTACTGATACTTGGTATCTGGTACCTCGAAGTATTCTGTCCGGATGCGACTGATTAAATTAGCAGGGTCACTTGAGATTTTCTTGCAGACAACGTACCCTCCAACACGATCTGTGGACTCGGAAATTTTAAGGCTCTTGAAACCAACGCTCCGAAGGAGATACTACGATACATCAGATATCGATGCAGCATAATACATAAGGGTGGAGAAGTATACATATGTCATCATGCCAGATATTCCGCCACCAACAATTCCGATCGCTAGTTTATTCTGTCAGGGAACCTTCCAGGGAGGGCTTCAAGGTTGGCATACTCACATTTGCTTTTGGCTGCCTTGACATCCACTACCCCGATTTCCTTGCTCTTGAGAGTATCAACACCATTGAACCAAGGTCCTTCGGCGTCAATGCCAGACTCATTGGTCATCATAATGCGATCTCTCTTGAAGAGAGTAATTTTCAAGATCTCACCAAGGGCAAGAGGCTGGCTCTGCCCTATCAGCACGGTGTTCTGCTCCCAGGCAGAGATACATCCATTATTTGTAGCATCTTCGGGAACAACCCAGACCAGTCGAGTATGATCGCCACCAAATTCACCTCCCGGTATATGCGCAATGGTGTGATGAGCATCAGTGAGGTTCAGGGCATTACAATTGCTGTAAACAAATACATGATCCCTCAAGGTAGTTCGTGGGTAATCCAAATAAACATTGACTGCTTGCGAGTCTGTTGCATCTTTAACGGAAATTTGGATTGCGTGGTGTAAAGGAATTGCCACAGCAAGCGGGATTAGGGTCGACACCCAAATTGTCCAGTGCATTTTGTCGTAGATCTGACTTGAAGCCTAATGGATTTTGTTGCTTTCTACTGAGTATTTCCTTTTTTGATATGAGACATGTGCCAATATTATAGTAAGCCTTATTGCCTATCATAAGAACATACTTCCAAAGTTGCTTTGTGCAATGGACACCGCAGTAGCTAAACCAGGTCCGGGTATGGAGAAATATCTCTGAAATGAAGGCCAGCGATCTATTCAATCAAGATTTTCGATCTTGTTATGGAGTTAAAATAAATTTCACCCTGCGGAGTTACCGTGAGTCGAGTTGCTATTGGCTGATTCTTCATACGGCCGTAACCTCTCTTGCCAGTGTACTTCATCGTTCTTGATTCTAGACGCGACGGCAATGCAACACAGCTAAAGAATCCAAGTTTGTGTTCTTGAGTAACACTCAGGGGGTACTCCGGGTTCATTCTATACGGTCTAGAGGACTCGGAGGCTCTCACAGATTATGTTAATATTATAGCAGGCATACAAATCACTCCAATCACATCATTATGATAGTTAAACTTATCTTTCTGTATTGAGGGGGAGCAACAAACCCGAGAGCGCAACAAAATTCGTCCTACCATTTTTTGAAGTTGGACGTGGTTCAAAATAAAGTCCGATTTCCTAAAAGAAACCTATTCTTTGGGTGAAATTAATAGATTTTGATGATTTAAATCGGTTTGAAGATTTGTGAAATATTAATGTCTGTCAGTTTTTGCTTTTCATTCTTTCCTGACAATATCCCACGTTTTTGGCCAAAACAAAACATCGGGTGATTTGATATCTACATTACAATCAGCATTACAATCAGCATAATACTTATAGGCTTGATTCAGAGGAGGCAAATAACTAAGTGCTTATACTTGTCCTTGGTCACTTAAGTCAAAGTTGGGGAATGTGATTGTCAAGACTTCGAGGTCCTGGGGTAATATGGAAATATGATGGGCTAAGAAAAGCTCTGATAGGTGGTAAACCCCCTATTGACACATGGTCACTGTCCCTGCATAGTTCCAAGCCATGTTTCTTCTAAAGCAACATATTTTCAATCGTTAAGTGTGCTAGAATACCTAGGTAGCTACTCGTAAAAAGGAATGATCTATACAATGTACCCTAGGGTTGTCAGCCCCGAGTCATGAAAGGGTTACATGCCAAATTCATATTCTAATTCTAGTTAATTACTGAAACTGAAACATATTCATCAACCATATGTTCCGATCAGATCAAAAATACGAAAAAAATAAAAAAAGAAGTGGACATATGTGTTGATGCCTGACTATCCTGAGGCCAAAAAGTGGTCCCCGAATTGGTCTAGCCCATGTTTTTCTCCACGATCGACCAGTGGATGTAATTGGCACTGACGACATTGAATTCTATTTCAAGAAATCTTGACTTTGTATATATTCTTTGTCCTTGTTTGAATCCACCAAACCTCTTGTATCCCCTTTGTGAACCCGTGTACACGTATCATGTCTGATCCAAGCGCCGAGCTCCAATCCACACTTCGCGACCTTTCCATAGGTACAAAAGGCCCAGTGCAAGACCTCCATCGGCCAAACTTGAAGAAACCCTCAACCTCAAAAGTGACTCCCAAGCCCAAAAAGGTCGCAGACTCCTGGGAAGATGAGGTAGACCTCTCCGGTTCAGATGACGAAAACACCCAACCCTACGACAAAGATACTCCGACCGTCCTCTCACCTATACTCAGCGCGGAGGGCCCCCTGGATCCCCCGCCCACACCAATTTCCCCTCAAACCTCCAATCCGTGGGGTGGTCAAACTGCTTCTCCTGCAGCACAGGGTGGACCCGCCCGTAGGCCGGAGAAACAAACTGCTGTTGCGGGACGGTTGATCGCTGGTGCGCTGGGGATTCGTGCACCAAAGAGGACTGAAGAGCAGCGTGCTTATGATCGTTCGGTCAAGGAGCAGGAGATTCGGAGGCGGAATCGCGAGCGCGAAGAACAGGCTAAGGCTAAGGCAGAGGAGGAGAAGTTGAAGATTTCTGTTTGGGATAGTTAAGATTTTTGAGCATGATCTTCTGGCTGTTTTATGGGAGTGATCCTATAAATGATGTATATATGCATCTTGAATTGACTCGTTCATGTGTTCTCTCTGCATCGTGGGATTTGGCGACTGAGTGGTGGGTTTCCGTCATTTTGTGTTTCAGGTTGATTTCGACTTTACCTACTGGTCGAATATTTGGAACAGTTTACTTGGCACTGATGTCGTTTGCAACTATTATCTATTTCAAATCTCACATTAGATTGTCCAACTACTCGACACGCCCAGTGATAATTTCTAGATTGAAGGCGCGATATATATCTTGGCATGCGGGTTAGGATCGACGCAGCTAGACCCCGCCGAATACTAATAACCTTAGCTCAAGGCATGACTAGCAAATATTCCAGTCCAACTGAAACGTACAGAATGAGCTACACTGCGTCAGACTAGCGAGGTCAATTTTCCGGGACGCACTGAAAAGGGGCAAGCGAGATAGCTAAAGCAGCACCTCTAAGTCTCGAAAAAAGACCGGGTGACTTTTGGTAAATTCGTTAACTTCATGAGAGGCGAAAAAAAGAGGAAGTACAGACGCCCGATCACCACGTCCGCCGTGGGACGCCATGTTAATTCTATCCATCCATCTGTGGATGTCCATCAGCCCTTCCCAAACCTGCGCACGTCGTATCATCTGTCTTGGCCACGTCGGGATATGCGATTCAGCTCCCAGACCGAGTAACTTAACATCCTCCAATTTGTTCTTGGTGCACTTCGAGGGTATCGCCATCGGCCATTTCAAGCTAGGTAGTCAAGTCAGTCTCAAGAGGATTCAAGTACCGGAAAAGAACAAAACGAGAACATACAGTATCGGGTGAATCCTCAGGGCGGACACGGGTTCCGTCAAAGAGGAAGCGGACAGTTGAGGGCTGCTTTCCCTGGCGTTCGCAGAAAGCATCCATAAGCTTCTTGAGCTGTGTGGAACGCTTGATCTTGAAGAAGACCTCGTTGTTGTTATCAGTGACCTTGATGTTGAGGTGCTCAGTGGGAGCAGCACCACCTTCTTTGTCAGACATGTTGACGGATGAGTCTATATTCGTTAGACGGTGATCGCGCGCAAGAGACGTGTGGCTGAACGCTTACAAAGCTGAGTGCGATTTTAGAGGGGTTTCAAAGTCAAGTTTATCTGGATAGTTCGACTCTGGTTAGCTCACAATTTCGGTAGGTAGAATGGAAGCGTAGAATGAAAAACTCACTTAGGCAATAGTGCTGAAGTCAGCGAAAGTGCGATGATAATGGAGGGAAGTTAGAGGAGAGAAAGAAGAGGATCTCAAATCGGCGGCAGAATAGCGACTCGCCCCACGGTCTGAAGGCGGAGAATCTATTTTGCGTTTGTACACTGTTGCTTCTATCGGTTTCGTCACTTATCAACTACTTCACGCGTACTCCGTTCAGCTCTTTGATAAATCTTCAATTATGGTATGAATTGCCATGAGTAATAAGTCGGCTGCATACTGAGACAATTCAGGGAAATCTAAAGCAAGATCTATCACACGAACAGCCTTGCAAACCACGCGCTGTATGTCCATCTAAAGCCATTTATTTTTTTTTTGAATGAAAAAAAGTCCTCTTAGATAGGTGATACTGGAATATTGCTAACAATTCCAGTGTGCCATTCAAGGTATTATTAATTCACGACACAATCCATGATCATAAGAGTGTTGACCAAAGCCAGACTGCTTGACTCAAAACTCCTTCAACGAGGATAAATGCCAGGCGCAGATTGATGCCTTGTATGAATGCTGTAATGCCTTCTACCAAGAACGAGGAGACCAAGCGTCCACCCCCAGTTGCCCAAAAGCAAACTTGCTGCGATTGAAGATGAAACAACGAGCGCAAGCAGCAGAGAAGCAATCATGTAGTGCTTAGGAGGTCCAAGGATGATTTTACTAGGAATTACAAGTAGTGACCCTTGTTGTAAAAGGGATGTCACAATTCCTTTGCGGTCTGAGTTTCCATATGGAGGAAACCAGGCTAATTGAAGAACTGCATTTATTATAAGACAATCGTGAGCACGCAAAGAGGCCTCGATGGACCTGTACGAACATTGACCGTTTGTACCGAGACTCTAATGAAAGCCTATAGACATTAAAGAAGAAAAGAAAAAGAGAACAGAAGGGTCCGGATGAAAATTCGTTGAAATAGTTTTCTGCGTTTGCGCTAGTACACTTCGGGCTTAGTCTGTCGCGCCGGCAAAAGAGACAAACACAAGTTATTCCTCAAAGCTCTCCAGGGCTTCTCTCCCCTTCCTACAAAGTTATTGCGCCCAGTTCATCATGGCTCCGTTAACTCGATCGGCTGCTGGGTCAACTAGCCTTTTTACACCGGTATGTTTTCCCTTTTTCAATATTGCGCTGTCGTTTTGCTCATGTATCTAGGCCGCCCAGCCACCGCGACAAACAGAGATCATCAACATCGATGACGAGGATGATGAGGATGACGAGCAATCCCCTGACGACGAAGACATGAATGAAGAGGGCGGATCAATTGAAAGCCAATCTGAAGACCAAGAGGAGGATATGGACGAAGATATGGATGGTGTCAATGGCGACACCGCATCGGAGACTGGGTCCGATGTTTCGGGCAAAAGTTCTGAGCAGTCTGCTTTTAAAATTTCTAGCAGCAAAGGCCAAGGTTTGTTTACACTTCATCTATAGGAATTATTCTCGCTAATCGATCGGAAGACACTCCGTTGTTCACCGCTGCGGGCGCCCAGGAAGCTCTCCACCCTCTTCGCCGTACTGCCGACCGCGTCACTCGCCAAATTGAAGCTTTTGCCGACAAGCTCGACCAGTTCAAGCGCCAGAATTCGAATGACGAGTTCAACAATGCTCAGGCTGCTTACAAGCTCGTAGCGAGTTATCGCGACCTTGCAAACAATGCCATCAAGGAAATCGAAAAACAGCAGATCGTGGACCGCGCGGCGACTGGCTTCCGGTCAAATGGGACACAGGATACCAAAAGCGCCGAGGAAATCCGGCGATTGCAACTCGAATCTGATACCTGGCGCCTTCTGCTCAACTTGATCAGCATTGATGACCCTTCCAGCCGGGCCCGCTACAAGGCTGGACAACAGACAGCTTTCCAGGAACTTCATCGCTATTCAACCGATCGCGAGATTTGGGAACAATTCTTGAATGCCGACCAGTACGGTCTCGAATGCGTGATTGCCATGCGATGGTTGGAGGAGACTTCCAAGACCGGGGACCAAAATCTCGATGGGCTGATCACGGATATGGAAACCCAGGCGCAGAGAGGTCAGGGATTGTGGACACATGGATGGCTTTACACCAAAGAGGCTATCAAGGGTCACAAAAGGCTGCGCGCTTGGCCACAACCTCTTGAACCCAATGACCCTGGTATCTCGCGCACGCTTCTGAGCAATGATGAGCAGAAACCATTGGTCACTCAACTCGACCCTGATGCCATCATTCGACAGAATCATACGCTGGAAAAACAAGATCAATCCTTCGAACTTGCCACATGGGCAACTTGCTGGAAGATGCTAAGACAAGGCGAGAACTGGACCAAGATTCGTGAATGGGCAGAAGGCCACCTCGAAGGATGGAGGGCCGTTAGCCTGTGCGGCTCTAGTGTGGATCCGAAATCGGCGAGTACTCAATACCCAGCCGACGATGGCCATACACGTTTGATGAACAGCCGAGCTCAAGATTCATGGCGTAGCGCTTGCTCTGCGCTGACACGCAACAACACTGTGGATGACTTCCAGCGTGCTGTCTATGCATTGCTCGCCGGTGAAACTGACGCTGCAGCTGCGGTCTGCTGCGGCTGGGACGACTATCTCTACGTGTTCTTCAATCGTGTCGTCCTCTCGCGCTACCAGGGATTTTGTCGTCAATTCCAGCGGAAGCTTAGCCACTCTCCTAATACGCCCGTGGCATTCAAGCCGGAACCGGCTGGACACGCAGAGCTCCAAAAGTACCTAGTCTATCTCAAGGGCAATGAGCGAGTCAGCGGAGAAACCCGTAATCCATTCCGCAACATCCAGGCCGCAATCCTCAGCCAAGGCTACGACTCCTTCTTCCCGGCTCTTGCTCAGGCGGTATCACATGTTTGCACCGAAAAGTTCGGGAAGAACTCTATTGTCCCAGAGCTCGCGCCGAAGCAAGTTGAGGAATCTTTCCTCATCGCTGCTGACGATGAAGAGGCTCTCAAGATCGCCACACATGTTTACGTTGTGGCTAGCGCTAGAGGATATGCTCGCGCGGATACCCACTTCATTGAAACGGCGTCGGTTCTTGTGGCTGGACATATTGCCAACCTCGAAGAGAGGGGTTTGTTCCGCCTTATCCCTCTTTACGCATCTCTTCTGCCTACAGCAATTGGGCATAGCGTCCTAGCCAAGATTCTCATTGATATAGTCGACCCCAAGGATAAGATCCAGCAAGTTCGACTCGCAGAGAAGTACCACATTGACATCAAAACCGTTCTTGATGTACAATGGTCGTGGGCGAAGCAGAATGTCTCCGCGATCGATCACTCAAGAGGCGTCACTGGATACTCAAGGGTCAGCCGACGAGCCGACGGTTCCAAGAGCTTGGTGTCACCAAAGGCTGATTTGATTGGCGAATCTGTTGCCGAGGAAGATGACAAGATGATTCGCAGTCTGGAGTGGCTCCGTGTTACTGATGGCCAGTGGGATAAAATCTGTGAGCTCGGATCTTGGCTGTATCGTCAATTCTTCCGTAAGTTTGCATCCCTATTCTCGTTCGATCTTGCCGAACTAACCTTCTGCTAGTTGCCGATAAGCTTGCTGCTGCTCGCGAACTGAGTTTCCGTATGCGGCTGGCCGACATCTCCATCGAGAAATTCGGTTCCGACATCATTTCCATGCCTCCGCAGGATATTGGGTACTTCGAGGCGACTACACCGACTAGCCCGACGAAGGCCAAGAGAAGCAGCCTTCACCGACGCAGTCTTTCTGGATCCAACAATATTGGTCTCATCTCAGCATATAACCAGTGCCAGGCAATGCGGGATCTGGAGAGCTTGATTCTTGGTCTTGATGCCGTTGAGCAGTTTGCCATTGTATACGATCAGATCTCCAAGTAAGTGGTCACTTTTCCAGGTTATGTCAGCCGTCAGTAGAAAGATATCTAACCAGTTCAGGACAAAACGTCGCCGAGACTCAGGGACAATGAAGGTTATGGGTCAAGATATGAACGAATGCGTGGCTGTATTGGAAGAATGGGTAGGAGCTGTGACTGACGAAGAATGGCTCCTCACATCCCCCAATGGCAAGTATAATCCCTCTTGCAGTATTGGAATTCCGACACTAATCAACCCATGCAGCCGACGAAGAAAAGGACTTTGCGTACATTCGGAAAACCTACCTTCCAGAACTCATGCTCGACTATCACAACGCGATGTACTTCGCCAGCTACTGCCTTGAGCAAAACAACCTGCTGACGCAATGCATGGTTGTTTCTATCTGGGTTGCAAATTACGAGCATGTAACCCTTGCTTTCACACAGGCAAAGCGAGTAACCGAGCTAATGGATGCGCTGGCTTTGTCAAGCAAAGCCTTGGTTAACCGCAACACTACCCCTGCGAAGTCTTCGAAGGAAAATTTGGAACGGGCCCAGGAGTTAAAGATCTGGGACGTCGAGGTCACGGAGGAAGAAAAGAAGAGGATTGGGCTTACGTCGGCCCTTGACAGGGAGCGGTAAATCGCAATTTGTTCTGTACATTAGCATCGGCTTTGGATGTTTGAGTTTTCAATGGCGACGGTTGATATGGAGGAAACTGGATCAATCTGGAAGGTGGCTAGGTATCTTTCTACTACAGTTACTATATGTCATAGGACATAGTTTAACTATGTATGCTGCAAATGCAATGACCCTGTGCTTTGTTTACCACCAATCTCCATTTGTAGATTTAAAATGCTGCTTGTTACTCGCGACGGCTTATCCCTTTTGCGTCAAGCTTTAATCTCATTAGACATTGCCTATCAACAAAATTTGGATAAACTACAGTGTACCAGGTGAATTACCAGAAATACAAGCTCATAAACCCAAAATCAGAAAAATATGAGTGTATTTGACATGTCTGACATATCTGACATATCTGACGAACGGCGTGGGTAGATACGTCACGTACGACGACATACACACCACACGTTCAAGCCATTGCCAAACATATGTATGTACTCCAAACGGATCATAGCTTTATTGGGTGAGGCGGTATGGGCGGCATTGCTCGCTTTCCAAGGTTAGCTTTATCGTAGCATAATTCAAATCATCCATCATGTAATGCATAAGCCAACGAACTCCGGTGAAGAACCGATAAACGGGGGCTTGTATCTTTGACAACAAACCCGAGAGGTAGACGCGTACGAGTATATGTTGGGGTACGTGCGTGCGTAGGCTTGATGCGCTGGGCTAGTAAAATGTTTGGTGAACGGAATTATTGAAATTTTGGGCTCACGTTACGGCGGTGAGGCCATATTCGCTGGTTGGGCTTTAATGAATAGCAGATTTGATTTGTGGATTTCTTAGATTGATAAGTGTTGTTTCTTCCTGCGCGTATAGTTATTGTGTGTGGTATTTTGATACTTAAGTATAGTTATCTAACTACATATACGTACTCCGGACTCCGTACATAGACATACATCATTTGTGACATAGAATTGAGGATATAGTGTTTGACTTGTTTTGATTCCGTTTAATATTATATCGACTCTTAGTCCTGACCATTTAGTGTTTGTGGTACAGATAAACCAGACTGAATATCCTTGATGTTTTGATGCAAGGATTAGCCCACGGTGTGGCTGAGCTTGAGCTAATATTCCTCAGATGGGTAGCAGTCACTTGGCATGAGAAATGAAAATTTGAGACGGTTCCGTCAAGTCCCGGATGTGTTCAGAGTTTTTTGAGTTATAGCAGATCCTACAGCAGATCCTTCTATGCAACATATAACAAAGGACGACGATCAGATTCTATGTTCAAAATAGGAGACGTCACCACTTAGTATACTTGGTACCATACCTGGTACTACACTTTGGTATTATCATGTACAGTATACAACACAAAATATAGCTTCAACGGTACTTGTTCGTTTAACACAGCATGCATTTAATCTATTCAATTCAATCAATCCAAGTTCCAGTTCAAGTAATTGACTCCTATTGGTTGAAATCGCGGTCGGGTGATTTCTTGGCAAGTGAGGCAGTGCAAAGCCGCTATAGAGCTTGGTATTTGGGAGTATTTGGGCGGTATTTGACCCCTGACTCGATTTTCCCTTAAAAGCAAACAAAAAAATACTGGTAGAAATTTCTCAAGTCCTATTGTTGTACTAAGTAAAAAGGAGAAAAGAGAAAAAAAAGGAAAAGAAAAAGCGCAAAACGAGAATTCAACATACAAAAGATACCATATTGGGGCTGTGCTTTTAATAGTGGAGTATGATTGAAGGAGTACAATATTGTACACAGCAAAGATCACAATAATGCAAGTTCTCGACCGCTGTGGAGAAAGAAGAAGGGGGTTGGTGGTTTGACGTCTGTAAATTATTGCACTTTGCCTCCCTTTCTTCCCTTACATGCTTACCCTTCATTCTGTTTTATCTTATGGAGCTTCTTGTTTTTGACATATTACTGAACTCTTGACTGAGTAGTCTCCTTATTTTTTACACTCCATGAATCCGCCCATAGATCAAATTGACCACGCGTGAAGCGCACTCGGATTGATGATGTCCGACTCACACAATGAACCGGCTCAACCGTCAACTCCCCTGCGGAGAGAGCGCGCCCCGACAATTACCATCGATACATCAGCCGTGAACTCCCCCGATACTTCAAATCCTCCTATTCAAGTCTTCTCCGAGGAAACCTCGGCCCAGACCTTGACGGACAACGCCCATGCCGGTGACTCCAGCGCACTGCTAAACAATGGCAGCATATCTCCCACCGATATACGGTCCACAGCATCCATTCGCTCCAACGCCTCGTCCGAGGCCCGTGACAGAGAGGACCGCCCATTATCACCTCACAACGTCTCCTCACCCAAGGCCAAATTTCCCGATCCGCATTCGAACTTCCTTTCCGTCCCCGGAACTCGTTCCCGAGGGAACTCCTTGGAGTCCGAGGATACCAGTCAAACCTCCTCTACGTATGGCGGCGAGACATATGTGACTTCGGCATCTCATGGATCGAGGTCTGATCTGATGAAGAATGTCTTCGTCGATGATGAAGATGCTCTAACCCCAGACCCCGGCCGTGAATCCGAGTTTGAAGTTGAGGATAACAAATTTGCTTTCTCGCCCGGCCAGCTGAACAAGCTGTTGAACCCCAAGAGCTTTGGGGCATTCCGTGCGTTAGGGGGTTTACGGGGTCTTGAGAAAGGATTGCGAACCGATGTGCGAAGTGGTTTGAGCGTGGATGAGACCACGCTCGATGGGACTGTTAGCTTTGACGATGTTACTTCGCCAGATAAAACGCTCAAATCTGTCTCGCCAAAGCCATCACCGCCCCCTGCCGAGGGATCTGTAACCACACAAGCCCGGAATGATTTCACCGACCGCAGACGGATATACGGCGATAATAAGCTTCCAGAAAGGAAGTTAAAGACCATCTGGGAGCTGGCTTGGATTGCATATAATGATAAAGTGCTGATCCTGCTGACCATTGCGGCTGTTATCTCTCTTGCTGTCGGAATCCCACAATCGATCCACCCAGCAAATCCAAAGGAACCTGGGGTTGAATGGGTGGAAGGTCTGGCAATTTTGGTGGCCATCATCATTGTTGTTACTGTTGGTGCAGCAAACGATTGGCAAAAGGAACGACAATTTGCGAAACTAAACAAAAAGAAAGAAAACCGACAAGTCAAGGTTATGCGATCTGGTCGAACAGAGGAAATATCAGTTCACGATGTTTTGGTTGGGGATGTCATGCATTTGGAAGCTGGCGATATGGTCCCGGTCGATGGGATTCTAATTGAAGGCCACGATCTGAAGTGCGATGAATCTTCAGCTACCGGCGAGTCTGATGTTCTTCGGAAAACCGCCGGTGATGAAGTGTATCGCACCATTGAAAATCACGAAGACTTGAAGAAGATGGATCCTTTCATTATTTCCGGCGCCAAGGTTTCTGAAGGTGTCGGCACGTTTTTGGTTACTGCTACTGGTATGCATGCTACCTTCGGCCGGACTATGATGTCTCTCCAGGAGGAGGGCGAGACAACCCCTCTGCAAACCAAACTCAACGTACTGGCCGAGTATATCGCCAAGCTCGGCCTTGCCTCTGGTTTGTTGTTGTTTGTGGTTCTTTTCATCAAATTCCTGGTTCGCCTCCACTCGATTGAAGGTGGCGCAGACGCCAAGGGTCAAGCATTCCTCCAAATCTTCATTGTGGCTGTTACTATCGTCGTCGTCGCGGTACCAGAGGGTCTGCCGCTGGCCGTCACACTCGCTCTCGCATTTGCAACGACACGAATGATCAAAGACAACAACCTTGTTCGCTACCTGAAAGCCTGTGAGACCATGGGCAACGCCACCACCATTTGCTCTGATAAAACTGGAACCCTCACGGAAAATAAAATGACTGCGGTAGCCGCGACTCTGGGGACTACATCGCGATTTGGAAAGTACTCCGGCGTCTCACCCGATGATAAAACCGAGATACCCGCTTCCGAGTTTGTATCTACACTTTCGCAGTCGGTGAGAAATATTTTGTACCAATCGATTGTCTTCAACTCGACCGCATTTGAAGGCGAGTCAGATGGAGTGAAGACGTATATCGGTTCCAAGACAGAGACCGCCCTCTTGACTTTTGCTAGGGACAACCTTGGGATGGGAGCTCTTGGCGAAGCAAGGGCCAACGGCGAACTCGCGCAAATGTACCCATTCGATTCTGCACGCAAATGTATGGCAGTTGTCATCAAGTTGGAGAATGGAAGGTACCGAATGCTAGTCAAGGGTGCCGCGGAGATCTTGGTCGCCAAGTCGACACGCATTATCCGTGACCCCAGCGACACACTATCTGAGGCTCATCTATCCGATGACAACAGAACCACTCTGAACACTATCATGACCAACTACGCCTCCCGCTCTCTCCGGTGCATTGCCCTTGTTTACCGTGACTTCGAACAGTGGCCGCCGCGTGGAGCCCCAGTCTCGGAAACTGATCGCAACCATGCGGTTTTCGAACCAATCTTTAAGGACATGGCGATGCTGGGTATCTTTGGTATCCAGGATCCAGTCAGAGCTGGAGTTCCTGAAGCAGTCCATGCTTGCCAGAGCGCTGGAGTTTTCGTTCGTATGGTCACTGGTGATAACGTCATGACCGCCAAGGCCATTGCCCAAGAGTGTGGTATCTTCACAGAAGGTGGTATCGCCATTGAAGGCCCCAAATTCCGCAAGCTTAGCACCCGCCAAATGAACCAGATCATTCCCAGACTTCAGGTTCTCGCCCGATCCAGTCCTGATGATAAGAAGATTCTGGTTAATCAGCTAAAGAAGCTTGGTGAGACTGTTGCTGTGACTGGTGATGGTACCAACGATGCCCAAGCGCTCAAGAATGCCGATGTTGGTTTCGCTATGGGTATTGCTGGCACTGAAGTTGCCAAGGAGGCATCTGATATTATTCTTATGGATGACAACTTTTCGTCTATTGTGAAAGCTATTGCATGGGGTCGAACCGTCTGTGATGCTGTGAAGAAGTTCCTTCAGTTCCAGATTACTGTCAACATTACCGCTGTTGTTCTTACTTTCGTCTCTGCAGTTGCCAGTGATAGCGAGGATTCAGTGCTGAGTGCAGTACAGCTGCTGTGGGTCAACTTGATCATGGACACTTTCGCCGCTCTCGCTTTGGCGACAGACCCTCCTACGCCAACTGTCCTCGACCGAAGACCCGAATCGAAGTCTGATCCGCTCATCACTCTGACCATGTGGAAGATGATTATTGGACAATCTATCTACCAACTGGTTGTAACCTTCGTTCTGAATTTCGCTGGCAATAGTATCTTCACTTGGGACTACGATCATATGCAGACTGTGGTTTTCAACACCTTCGTCTTCATGCAAATTTTCAACCAGTACAACTCCCGTCGCATTGACAACAAATTCAACATCATGGAGGGAATTTGGAAGAACAGTTGGTTCATTGGTATTCAACTCATCATTATTGGAGGCCAAGTTTTGATTATCTTTGTTGGTGGCGCTGCCTTCTCTGTCAAGCGCCTTGACCAAGGCTCACAGTGGGCTGTCAGTCTTGTTCTGGGAGCTCTCTCCCTCCCAATCGCTGTGATAATTCGTTTGATCCCAGATGAGCTCGTCAGCAAACTCATTCCAAAATTCTGGTCCCGCAACGAGGGACCAGAACTAGTCGTCTCCGATGAAGACCGCAACTACGAATGGAACCCAGCCCTCGAAGAGATCCGCGACCAGCTCGCCTTCATCAAGCGCGTCCGTGGCGGCCGGCTCCGCCACATCCGCCACAAGCTGCAACACCCTCAGGAATTACTTCCCCGATCCCGCAGCGGTTCCCGATCTCGCGATTCCTCTTCCCCACCTACGCCAAACGGCGACAACGACAACGGTAGCCCAACCCCCCAGCCCATGACCCCAGAGTCTCGTTCCAGACGCAACACGCGATCCCGCTCGAATTCGACATTCGGTCCTGCCGCCGCCATGGCAGGGATCGTCGCCGGCAGTATTGCCGGATGGTCTCCCATCGAGCGAGGCCATGGCGAAGCCGATTCAATCAGCTTCCCAACAAATGGTGGTCCCTTTAGCGGTCTGGACCGCGAGCCGGGCATCGAAATCCACCCAGACACCGCGGCCGACGAGCGCATGCTGAGCGATTACGATGCCAACTCTGGAACACCACCGAGCCAGAACCCAGATCTTATTCCGTTCTTCGAGCATGCTCCGCCAGAACGGGCGCCCTCTAGCCGTGGCCGTCGCTCTTTGTCTCAACGCTCGAGATCAAGTCTCAGCCAGTCCCATGTGTAAATCTGAAATCTGCTCTTTGCATCCTTCTTTTGCCGGCAAGCACTTGGCACATCTTATTTAATAATTCCTTTGTTTTATTCCCCGCTCGACTCTGTGCGCAGCTTTTGGTGTCTGGAATGGCCGGTCTGGCGCAACTTGAAAATTATGCATAGACTCCTTTGTACTTTTGGATTCTTTACAGTTATTTGCATTTTTAGCATCGGTCGGTTGGCCTTTGGATATTTTGGCGCTTACATGGCTCTGACTTTTCACATCTCGTTTTTTTTTTGTCTATCCTGACCAAATCAAAAATCTTTGAAGATACATTTTTTTAATTATTTTTCATTAACAACCTAGTTACTATTCATTCGTGTGTGTTGGCATAATTGTTAGAGGAAATGTAAAAGGAGATGCAGAAAGACAGATAGAGATAAGAATAATTGTGATTTTGATCGTGCAGAAAGTGGGAGAGAAGGAGTGTTTGATTATATGAAGATGACATTAAAGCAACATTTCAAGCGTGTTACAGACTTTCCAACTAGATGTAGACTTGAAGGTGGAAACCCTCTCCCGAAAGACTATACGTGATTGAATAACCAGAGACCTTTATACTTATCTTCGGATTGAGGCAAGTGCAAAGACCCTTGATTCTCGCCTCCGCAACTAGTATACTGGAAGCTTATAAGCGTCCAGATCATAAGTGAAGCTATCGACCGACGCCTGGCTATAGACACAAGAGAACTTCTTCCCGCTGTCAGTCCACAGTGGGCGTAGAGGCCATCGGCACATGGTGTCAATCTCTTCAGACCCAGCGAGTGTCGCTGGCGCCTTCCCATTCTCAACCCAGTCAATGAGAGTCTGGAGGGTTGTCTGTGGCCAAGGTGCACCAGGTTGATATGAGTTGACGGCACAGTGTCCCACACCAGGAATGAGGAACAATCGGTAAAAGTCATCGAGAGCAGCTGCGCCTGCTCTATAAGACTTGCTGGGGAACATGATCTGTCTGACCGAGTTCCAGTAGCGGATAGAAGATGCGGTAGGAATAGAGAAGTCCTGCTCTCCGTGGACATGAAGCACTTTGCCACCGGCAGCTTGAAAATCAGTCAGGTCTGGGTATGTCGTTTGGAGAATATCATCATATTTCTTCTGCGAAAAGATCATCCATTCCTTGAGAGTATCATAGGTCACGTTGTCCAATGTGGGGATGTTGGTCTCTTGCAAAAGGTCAATGAAAAGACCGACCCAAATACCACCAAGCCCACTGATGTCGAGTTCCCAGCTATCGGCAGAGGAGTCATACGCGGTTGCAAGATCCGTGAATGTCGAACCAGGCTGGTAGGTAAAGTAAACACGCTTCCCATCGGAGTCATGCAAGCCATTCCAATATGTCTTGATGACTTCGATGGCCTTGGCTGATACCTTGCCAGTCTGTGCCGGCGTGGCGGATGAATAGCCAGAGCCTTTGACAGCAGGGCACGAGTAAGAAGCGCCTAGGATTTTGTTCCAGTCGAGGTGTGCCAGGCACAATTCAGACCGTGATACAATGCCATCAGTTCTGCCATCCAAGGGATCGCAGCTTGCGATGGTCATGTTCATAATCTTTTCTAGCTCACAGCTCGGGGAGTAGTAGTCGAGAGTTTTCTGAATAACGTTACCAGTCAGATGGTTGACTTGCTGCTGTGCCCAGCGGAAGGCCGGAGCAGCAGCGACTACACCATCAAACTGATCGGGGAACCGTTGGACTTGGCTCCACCCCTCACGACCTCCCTCGGAGCAGCCTTGATAGTATGAGTATATTTTGTCACTGGACGGCACGTCGTAGATGTTTCGAGTCAGCTCCTTGCCCAGTACAGCCAGCTCATGCTGTGCTTGGTAGCCTGGCCTTGGTGTTAGCTCAATTTCAATTGAAACTTCTTCAAGGCAGTGGATCGTGTGTCGTACCAAACATGTAAGTTGCTTGCCAGTTGATAGTACCATTTTCCAAAAGGGCAACAGAGCTGAATTGTGTATTGAAGCTTCCAAATCCTCCATCGGTCAAACCGCCAACACTTCAAGAGATGGGTTAGACTATCCGCTCAATCAAATAGACAATCTTAGAATGAATTGACTTACCCGCCAACGATAACGCCGGTAGGAATAGAGGAAGATCCCGAGTTGATAGCCCAGCCACCACCACCGGTGGAGACATATCTGTTCTTGAATTGGCCTGGTGCTGGAAGCCAATACTGCACATGAACAACGTCTCCCTCGATGCCATCGTGAGAGTAAGCGAAAGTCACATTGCAGTAGTCGAATGTCGATGTAGGGTAGAATATGGAGCTGGCAGTGAAGTTGGTGACGAGACTGGCGGAAACCGAGGAGGTATCAACAGTAACACCCTGGAGAGCACCAATTGGCAATGCCTTCTTTGCATAGGACACGGTACAAATGTCACTGAGAGAGGTGGACGCGGCCGCAGCCGAGGCCACCACAGCCGCATAGGTCCAAAAGGTAGCGCGCATAGTGTCCTATTCACACGAGGGTATGGCAATTAAAGGACTTGAACCGAGTCTGGGACGAGAACAAAAATTGAGGAGAACTGAGACCATTTATACCTTTACTCAGGGACTCCTGGATCCGGGGTAACCCCATATTCTTGGGGGTAAACATTATGCCGGGTCCCCTCACGAATGTGGAGAAGGTGGCTTTTGACAGCAGCTTCACGAATATAAAGCATTGATTGGTGGGAATAGAACAATAGGACGGGATCAAAATAGAAGAGATCAATAGAGCAAATACAAAAGTACAAAGGTATAAAGAAACAAAGAAGAAAGAAGAAAGCCCTACTTTCCCGATTAGGCCGACCCCACGGGTACAGATACTTTCTACCCTCCCGTTCCTTTTTCCCTCAAGGACGGTGCCGGTGGCTGGAACACGGTTTAGACACAAAGCATGTTGGCTTGACACTGGAACAAGCGTGGGCTCACCTCTGTGGATACAATGTCGAGACCCGAACACGACTTGTCCAATGGTCCTGCGCCTGAGAGTATACTCAGGGCACCAAACCTTCAGTTTACACCTCTGTTTCTGGATAACACCGTCGAGTCTCAAGTCCTAAAGCTGATTGTGGCTCCGCTGCCTGGATAGAGATTCTGCCATCGTGCTCTCGAGGATTCCAAGTGGTGCTGGCATCTACTTAAGGGGATGCTGTCTTATGACGAACGCGATTCCGAGGACTGTTCTTTGCCTGCATGAAGAGGACTCTGAGGGCATTGAACTTCAGTGAGGTAAACTCGATGGAGTTGACTTTCTTGTGGGCTTTCTATTTCCTTCTCTCTTTCCGTCCTGTCATGAAAACTGTTAAAACCAAGCAAAACAAACCACTTCTGAGGACCTTTCTCAGTTTATGAATACAACTATTTTCATATCTTCTCCATTATTCCAAAACATTTACTATGTAGCTCTTGTATTACCTTATCCACCTCAAATAAAGATTCATATATATGTATCTTTTATTGATGGCAACTACTAAGCAATGAGAAGAGCTTATTACGTCTGCTTTTTTCTTTGGTCCAAATCTTATTTGCTGCTGGTTCATTAGGAGAGCGCGTCCCGGAACTCGTAACTATACCTGGCTCATGGTCTGCGATAATTACATATGTACATGTACTCTAGTAGGAACTTTTGCTGCGCAGATTATTAAGAGAGTTATTGAACCACAAGAAAAGAAATGTACTTTGATGTCGCAGACAATTATTGATACCGAATCCTTGTGCAAAGTACACAGACCTCACTTACTAGTTCAAAAGGGGAAGATATCGCCGAACTTGCGGACTTAGGAAGCAATATCGGCTATACCTAAATACGCGTTTCATTCAACATTGTCTGGTTTTGGACATTCAGTAGCTGATCAACAGAATCGGCCTCCATACTCTTTGACTCTTTCCCAGCCCCACAGTGGAGACGTTATACCATTCTGAGAAAGAGCAAAGGAGAGTTAATCTTTTCGAAACCACCTGACAACTACCGTACAGCCATAAACCCCGTCCACCCTTTTCGTTCAGATTCTACCAGGCCCTCATTCCGCAACCACGACCCCGAACCCATACATCCACAACACGAGCAGCGTCGCTATCCTGATCGGAGTCCACAACAAAGTACCATCCATAAAATGCGCCAGTAACACATGCATGATTGGGGTGAATTTTGATGGTCTGTCCAATTCTGAGAGGAATCTTCGACTGGGAGATACCTTCCCATGTCACAATGGCATGTTCTTGGCTGATCCGAGCAAGAATCAACCTCTCCGATGCATTAAATTCCCGTCCCTCTTGTCGCCAGGGTGAAACAACTCCCCAGCCTGGGTAACTCGGACAGGGCTCTCGGCCCAGTGCGAGCGTCCCAGCAGCAACAAGTACCTCCGGCTTCGCACGCTCACCATCATTATAGACACTGCACACTTCAGCAAGCACCGAAATAGCAATTTCGTCACTCAGATCCCCCAAATCGGCGCTGGCATGGGTCGAAAATTGTTGCATATCCAGAATGGGATAGACACCGGCGTGGAGCTCAACATTTGTCTCGCTCAATAAGGCCTTCAACTCTTGCGCTTCTGCACAAGAGGTGTCATTCCGCAACAAATTTTGAGAGGAGACAACCTGGGGTGTGGCGCCCACGCTGATTACCAGATCTCTCTTTGGCAGGAGATGCAAATTCTTCTGCAGAGCATCTTTGCATCCTTGGATCTCACTGATCAAATGGCTCATCGCCTGCTCCGGGGTGGTTCCGCTATAGCTCAAGCTGCTGTGCGAGTACAATCCAAGAATATACACGCGACCGGCTTCTTCTGCGAGCGAGAGTTTCTCCAACAGCCCATTTTTGTTGAGAGAGACAGGCGGCAAGCCGGCACGGTGGTAGCCTGTATCGACCTTGACGAATGCACATGCTGGGTGACCTGCCAAAGCAGACAATTCTTCTAGGAAGGGCACTTGATCTGGGTGGTCGATCATTACCGAGATGCTATTCTTGCCTAGCTCGCGAGCTGCCTTGGCGAGGTGCGGAACCTGTGATGGGACGAGGGGGATCCCATAAAGGATGTTGATATGACATCCCTTTTGCTTCAACTCCAGTAGAAGCGGAACCATCATCTCGATCTCCAGGGTGGTAGAAGCTATGAAATTGGCCTCATTCATGTCGCCAATTTGGAGCTTGGCGATCTCCGGGGTCTGGGATGTATCAGTAAGATATTACCGTCGAGAGGCGGAGTTTATAATGCGTAAAAGGGGGAAGTCCTACCTTATGAGATTTGACATGGGCTCTGAATCCGACGTTAAGCTGGTTAATTGTGTCTAGCATAGTCTCACAATGTCGTCTAATGATTGCTACGTCAAGGACGGCAGCAGGCTTAGGGACATTACTAATGTCTTTGCCGATGTAGAACTGCTGCAGTTCTGCCTGGGAAGGAGTAGGAGGTGCCATGATTTCTTAAAGATTAATGAAATTGTTGAAACAGAAGAGAACGAGTCTGATATTTGTAGTTGTCGTTCCCGCACACCTCATTAGGAAATGTGGGGCGGAGGATGACAAGTCCGAGCCTCCACCTCTAGTTTGGCTACTCTGCATGTATCTGTTTCACGTATTCTACTATTCATACAGTGTGAAATCGATTCAAGTTTGATTGATTGCTTGAAGTTTGCACTATTGATTGGTTTGTAGTCTTCGTGATGGTCGGTTTCAAGTGGCATGATTATCGATCTAGTCCAGGTTCGTGTCTAAGATATATGTCAGCAATCTGATATTCCACTCAATCAAGGCAGATATTAAAGCAATACCTGGAGGAGAGCGCACGATGAAAAAGTGTGCTGCATGCACATTGGGAGGTGGGCTGGCCATGGTAGAGTGTGCATTTTGAAGTTCCATGAGGTCGAGTCTGGCAATCCCAGTGGAGCGGCTGCTTTGCATTGCAACTAAGGCAGACAACCACTCATCGACTGTGCGCACAAAGCAAGTGATAGGACGCATTTCTTCAACACTGTTGACTCCGAGCCCTTGCACGTTCAAGCGAAGCAAGCGTTGGTAGGAAGGATTCATCTGCCACTGGATCTCATCACGGAGATTATCGTAGTCAAAATTCTCTACGAGATCTCTGAGAAAATAGGCGTAGTTGTAGCTCGTAGGTGCACTGCGTGGACCAGGCATGACATAGTCGCGGATCCAAAAGACACAGGTGGTGTTGTCTGAGGGTCGGTGTACCACAATTGGGCCATCGTGGATCCGGGGTCGGATAGCCTGTGGAAGGCGATAGTGAATTGAAACGGTTGGGGTCGGCATTTTTTCCCAATCCTGCTCATAGTTCTGGTTGAAAAGTAGGAGAATGAGGATGAGAAGAGATCGGATGGCGTGAGAATAATGATCTCAAAGAAGTAAGTGCAGACAGAAACCTGCAAAAGCAGGTGCATGAAGAACATTCATCAAACAGATAAAAGCTACATATATATATTCAATTACTATATCAATATTTATGTTTAGAGTTCATCTAGAATAAGGCTTTGAGATATTTCATGTCGTAAAGGCATGAGTTGTTGCGTGAATCTTTTCTTTTTTGCTTCGCTTGCTTCTTCTGTCAATTCCTTCTTTGCTCAGTGCCATACTCGACTGAAAACCACTCAATAATTGGTCTACAACATATTTCGAAATCTCAATTATTTTTCATCATCTATCATGCCTTCTGCACGAGCAGTTCCGAATGCCATCCGTAACTGCGCGCAGGTTGCACAGAGCCTCAAACTCTATGACTGCCTCATCAAGGTAACTCGCGCCGGGGCCAAGAAGACCGCCTTATTCTGGCTGAGTTGCTACTTGAAGAATGCCAGCGGTCTTCACAAAGATGGGATACTCGAGTGTCCTTTACTGAGCTACACAAAGTTTCAATTTGATCTGATCGCCCATTTCAACTATGATCCCGACAAAGACGAGCTCCGATGGGAGAACAAGGCCTCTCAAGGCGTCATGGTCAAAAATGTCGCAGACGGTTGCACTTCTTCATTTGCAGTTCTGAGCCACAATAGCTGGGTGACTGCCCTTCTGGCTATGCAATCGGTGAAATTTGCAAACCAATCTGAAGCTTCTGGGGCCGGTTCTAAATCGCCGTCTATGACCGCCGCTACATTCACGATTGTGCGCAAGGAGAAGTGTACGTCCTTGAATCTTACCTTGGGGCAAAATCTCGGCTAAAATTTCTTTCAATATAGCGGAGGACGATGATGATGATGACCCTCAAACGGCCACGGAAACCGATTCTGATACCGGCATGAATACCGATGACGCCACTGATATCAGCGACGTCCATGATATCAATGGTAACAAGGACGCCAATGGTAACAAGGACGCCAATGGTAACAAGGACGCCAATGGTAACAAGGACGCCAATGGTAACAAGGACGACGATGAAGACGATGACACTGGTTCGACTGTGTAGTCGGAATGGGATCATTTCAAAATTTTACCGGCAATCAAGGTGACAAGGGCGCGAATGGATATTCTCGAGGGGGAGACCTATCTATATGGAAAGGAGTTTTGGGGCAAATGTGCCGGGCACTGAAGAAGAAGGGCTATATCAAATAAACAAATCTTCTCCCGGGCTCATGCAAATGGGTTCTCTTTACCTTGTAGCCGTTTATATATATATGTATATTTTTTGATCGCAAGTCCATCCTAAAGTTGGCCTTGAAAACTTGACGATCTCCTTGAATATCTCTCGATTATCATCTTCCTACACCTCCTATTATTTTAAAGCTTCTGTTGTATATGTTATGACACCAAAGCTGAGGATATCACATACCTTAATTAACAGATTTATGCTCGTACAACGGGAAAACCTTTCGGCTTTCGAGTCTGTCATGCTGTTTTTATATGGAAATGGCTCCAAGGGAAACGCCTAGCAGATAAACATACTTCGACCAAGTCGTTGAAAAATATCTTGAAGCCATGTGGACAACGCGTCATATCAACAATAAGAATCGAGAAAATGAGGATGCTATCCCTACCGGACGAATCGGAATTTTATATAGAACACGTTTCGCTAACGCCTACGGGCTAAGAGAACGCTCGAAGACTTGTTTCGCCTTCACTGATCAGCCTCACGGATTCCGTCGTGTGGGTCAAGAAGAGCGGGAGAAAAGCTTGGCTGTTACTTGCAGGAAGTGATTTGAAATCGGGATCTACCTAGGTATACTACTAGCTACGTCAAAAATTCATATTTCGGGATCTCTTCTCAATAATGTTGCGCATCTAACTATGATGTCCCACAGGTGAAGCCGGCTCATCCGGCGAAGAACTTGTATTATAGTTCAATCCTTTATAATAATTCTTGTACGACCTGCCAATCATATAGTTCTCGGATGGTCTGCTCAGAGATGCCGAGGGCAGCCGAGTCCAGGAAGTCTTCGCAACTTTTTCACAAGCCAAATTATGTGAGACTAAACATAATCAAACATAGTGAAGAGACTATTAGTACGGCCCCTTCCCTCGGACCTTTTTCTCCCAGAGCTACAACGAATCAAGATAAATAAATATAAAAAAAAATGCCCCGGAAGTATTTGCGTCGTATCAATCACAGGATGACGCCCAAGAGACATTTTTCGGGAGTTACTCAACAGAGCTTAAGCTGATCATTACCTTATTTCCGCTCTGTACCTCACCTCCGCAGAATCCGAGTACCGTATAGGATCGAGAGCTGATGCAACCCCTTGCGTCGAGAGCATTCCAGAACATGGAGAGTCAGAGCTTTCTAGTATGCGACTTACCCCATAGGGAGTCTAGTTGCAGATCACAGGGACAGAGTGGACCTTTGTTTTACACACTTATCTCAAATGGAGGCTACCATGGCTCCATACCTGCCCTTGATTGTATCATGGGGTTGTTAAATGGCCGTTTAGAAATGTGTATGTGAGTGTGTTGTGGATGCGTTAATCTTGGATGATGAAGCTCCCCCCACTTGTATACCGGGGTAAGGCTTTTTTATTCTCCACAATGTGATCTACAATATACGATCTGCTGGGCGTATTCTCTAACGGCTGTATTGGGGTGATCTAATTCCCGCGCCCATCATTGGTTACCGTTCAAGAGCTGTCCTATTTGGTGCCATGATCGCTGTGGAATGCGTGCAACCAGTTTCCCCTGGGGTTGTTACACCATCTCGCTAGGTAGAAAGGGTGATGTCAGGCTCTAACGGTCTGCCAGTGGTGCACTGGCCCTGGGTGATGTTTCCCTATATCTATCATGCCATCGCTCCCCATTCCCTCGTTGAAAACTAATAGCTCATTTCTCGTTACCTTTGAGAGACTATTGATTGTACATCTGTTGTTTAACGCCATCCAGTATATACGCCGGTCTATTGTTCGGGTATTCATTTACTCGCCCACCTGTCTCGAACAAGTCTTCCATTCACAGAACGTATATATTCAACACCAAACCACCTCGCTTCGAAAGATACAAAAATGAACTCTCCAGATATCGAAAAGACCCAAGGCTCGCCTTCACTGGATACCTCCACACATTTTGAGCTTGACAAGAGCACATCCGCTAGCTCTTCCGATGCCACGAGTCTCGCCAAACTCAGCCCAATAACAGCAGCACCCAAGTCGAAGTGGCAACGATGTATCGCCAAGTTGACAAAAGTAGAGAAAAGCGACATTGGACCCGTTCCTCTTGAAGAGCGTGAGATAATCACACCGTCAACCACATTACATATGCTTCTGATGTGGTTCAGTATGACTTTGGCCACGAATAATATCATTGTTGGATCAATGGGTACGGTGGTCCTGGGACTCAGCTTCAAGGATGCGGCTTTTTGCGGTGTTTTTGGATGTCTGGTTGGTGCTTCCATAGTTGGTTATATGAGTACATGGGGGCCGAGAAGTGGAAACCGAACTTTGGTATGCTCATCCTGCCCCATACATATGCATCGATACTTACACATTGCATAGATTGCGGCTCGCTATTTTATGGGTTATTACCCCAGTAAAGTTTGCTGTATCCTAAACATTTTCACCAATATTGGATACAGCATGGTGAACAGTGTTGTCGGTGGCCAGATTCTTTCCGTAGTCTCTGGTGGCCATCTCTCGGTGATGGTTGGGGTTGTCGTTGTTGCTGTGGCCAGTTTGGTCATGGCTTTGTTCGGCATGAAGATCTTCCAGCTGTACGAGCGGTAAGTTTTGAAATGCTAAAACATCATGAAGAGTCATTCTGATTGAAAGAAATAGAGTCGCCTGGCTACCCCAGTTGTTGGTGATCTGTGTCATGGTGGGTTCAGCAGGACCTCATTTCAACTTCGACGGCCATACAGCCGGGACAACGGCGCAAGTCAACGCGAAGCGCCTAACTTTCTTCTCTTTGGCGCTGTCTATTGGTCTCGCCTGGGCCCCGCTCGCCGCCGACTACTATGTGTACTATCCCCCACACATCAAGAGTTGGCGGACCTTCCTGGTGACTGTGTTTGGCGCTGTCCAAGCCATGTCAATCTCCCTTCTTATGGGCATTGGACTCGGAAGCATCATTGCCAGCTCGACATATTATGCTACCAAGTATGGGAATACCCCGGGAGGTGTGTTGATGACAGCGTACGACTCGCTGGGTGGGTTCGGAAAATTCTGTGCCGTTATCAATGTTCTCTCGCTAGTTGCCAATAACACCCCCGGTGCATACTCGATGGGCATGAACTTACAGATGCTCGGGGGTATTTTTGGTAAAGTTCCGCGGCCAATTTCCACCACTATTGCTACCGTGATCTACGCTGCATGCGCGATGGGAGGTCGGGACTCGCTGTATGAGGTCTTCAAGGGCTTCCTGCCACTCATCGGATACTGGGTCATGATCTTTGTCGTGATCGTGTTGGAAGAAGACTTTATCTTCCGCCGGACGACAGGATACGACTGGTCCGCTTGGAATTGTCGACACAAGCTACCCATGGGGATTGCAGCAGCAGTTTCTTTCCTCATTGGCTGGGCTGGTGCGATTGTCGGCATGGTAAGTCTCCTGTGATGGCAAATTGATTTCCGTACCAATACTGACCTACAATCAAAGTCCCAAACGTATTATACTGGCCCTATTGCTCATATGACCGGCGGGGCTGATCTAGGTCTCTGGCTTGCCGCTGGCTTCACGGCAGTGTCCTTCCCGCCCCTGCGAGCAACGGAGGTGCGCTTCATCGGCCGTTAATTTTTTGCATGGGCATCGAAGGAGTAGGGAAAAAAGTCCCAGCATCAGACATGTGTGGAAACATGTCGTGGTATCACCTAGCAGGGAGACCAAATAGTAAATAGCGAGAGCGCAGAAACTGTAAAGAGATCAAGATAATTGTTTTCGCCAGGCTGGGCCTGTAAATGTACTAATGGTCCCTTGATATTGGGAAGGTAAAGAATATCCAACCATAATATATCACGCTTTATTTTTCTGTGTTTCATGATAGTACTGCATCGCCATCTTGTACTCCGTACGATTCTAATTCAACCTCCAAAAGGCACCAGAGCGATCGGAGGATCCGAGTCACAAACCTGTGGAAATGAACTCAACTTTCTGGACATTAATGACCTCATAGTATCATGATTCGTTTTCTATAGCGGCGCGTATAGCGGTGCTTAATAAAGGGATACGTGTAGTTATGCACTTGCGATCAGACTAGCGAAACGAGGCGGCGATCGTTTCATAACTAATTCCCCGGTTCGTATTGGTCTACGACCACCCCGGCATTTATTTAAACCTGCGGAATCCTCTCTTTCACGAAGATTTTCGTTGGACAATTTTCCCAACATCAAAACCATGAATGACACCTGGTCGCTAATGTCGCTCTCTGAGGCAGGCAGGGCCATAACAGCCTCCTCGCAGCTATTGCCCTACACCGCTGGTCTTCTCCTCGCCTGGCCAGTGGTGACAATCACCTTACGTTTCCAACGACTGCGTAAATTGCACAAGCAATATGATTATCCGACACGCGAGTCAATGGCCAAAATGACCGACGAGGAGGCATTTCAAATTCAAAAACAAGTGGCCCAACTAGAATTCCCATTCATGTTCATTAAGAGCTTGCAATTTGCCTTGTTCAGAGTACAGAACCCAGAATCTCGATACCAGAGATCAAATCCATGCACATGAAATATTCTAACTAAAAATCCCAAAGACCTACGGCATCCCCTCAATCTCCACCCTTCTCGCCAAAACCAGCCAGTTCTCCAATCCAGAAACCTCCCTGAAGCGCTATAGCGACACCGTCGCTCTCGTGCAAGAGATGGTCGGCAACAACCCGGCCTCGCAGCGCGCTTACCTGGGACTCGCGCGCACCCGTTTCCTGCACAGTGGGTACAGGGCCTCGGGCAAGATTCTCGATGATGATATGCTCTTCACGCTAGCGCTGTTTGCGCTGCAGCCGATTCGATTCATTAATCGCTTGGAGTGGCGGAATCTCAGTGACCTGGAGCGCTGCGCTATTGGCACTTTTTGGAAGAGTGTTGGTGATGCGCTCGACATCAGCTATGATAAGCTGCCTTCTGGTAAGAAGGGGTTTACTGATGGTATTCAGTGGCTTGAGGAGATTGACGCTTGGAGCGAGGAGTACGAGGCGCAATGTATGGTTCCGGATGCGAAGAATCGGGAGACGGCTGATCAGACAACTGCTGTGCTGGTTTATATGCTGCCGAAAGTGCTTCATCCTTTCGGCCTGCAGTTTGTGTCATATATGATGGACGTGAGACTGCGAAAGGCGATGTAGTAAGTTATGGAATGTTCGATGGTTATAATCCTGTGATTATCCAACGAGCTCATTCGTCCCTTTTCTTGCTAATTAATTTTTTTGAAGCTATGACCCTCCAACGGCTTTCTACAAGACGGTCTTCTCGATACTACTTGCAACCCGCAAGCTGGTTCTTCGCTATCTGACACCACCCCGGCCAAACTTCCTACGCTACGTTTCATTTACCGAAGAACCCGACGAACATGACCGCTTCTTTCTCACCGAGTGGGACGCGGCACCGTACTATGTCAAGCCCACCTTCTGGAACCGCTGGGGCCCGACGGCATGGCTAACTCGGGCTCTGGGGCGGCCTGTGCCTGGTGACGAAGGGAATAAGTATTACCCCGCTGGGTACAGTATCCCAGATCTTGGACCTGAGTATTTTGAGGGCAAAGGCAGGAAGCAGTTGAATGAAACATTAGAAGAGCTAAAGGGGTATCGGACTGGAAAATGCCCTTTTCACTGATAGCCTGCGGCATCAGTGCTGTGTATCGAGTCTTACGCCTAAGTACAACAACGAAAATCAAAAGGCTGAGGGTGTTTGGGTAGATAATAGCGATTTTCGAGCATCAACACAAATTTCAAGGGGAACACACTGCAGCTACATTATTGGCAAACAACACATGTGTATGTTGCCAAGATTCTACAATAAATAAGGCCGTAGACGCAATTCAAGAGGGAAGAGTCATTTCGTCAACTGCTTTTCCAATATGTGCTATTCAGAAGGGGCCGAACAATCACCCAAGCCGAGCAGGAAAATAGACAAAAAAAATATGTAAATTAGGTGCGCTCAAACAAATTGGATTCAGGGCTTGAGCCCACGAAACCGGTCCGAATGGTAGAGAATGTAGGCTGGACAAGGGTATTACTTTGAACGATTCTCAGAGGGGATTCATTTAGATATCCTCTTCAGCAACTGGCTCCTCGAGGCTAAAATAAGAAAATCATGTCGTTAGTCGTCAGATTCGTGATCTTGGGATTTGGGAGGTCCTTACTACTCCTCCTCGCCCTCGGAGACGGAGGCCTCCTGGTACTGCTGGTACTCGGAGACAAGGTCGTTCATGTTGCTCTCGGCCTCAGTGAACTCCATCTCGTCCATACCCTCACCAGTGTACCAATGCAAGAAAGCCTTGCGACGGAACATAGCGCTGAACTGATCACCGATGCGCTTGAAGAGCTCCTGGATAGAGGTGGAGTTTCCGACGAAGGTGGAAGACATCTTAAGGCCACGGGGGGGAACGGAGCACAGAGCGGTCTGGACGTTGTTGGGGATCCACTCAACGAAGTAGCTCTGGTTCTTGTTCTGGACGTTGCGCATCTGGTCCTCGACCTCCTTCATGGAGACCTTACCGCGGAAGAGGGCGGAGCAGGTGAGGTAACGGCCGTTACGGAAGTCGGAAGCAGCCATCATGTTCTTGGGGTCGAACATCTGCTGAGTCAACTCGGGAACGCTGATCTGGCGGTACTGGCTGCCACCACGGCTGGTCAGGGGGCGAAGCCGACCATGAAGAAGTGCAGACGGGGGAATGGAACCATGTTGACGGCAAGCTTGCGGAGATCGGAGTTGAGCTGACCGGGGAAACGGAGGGAGGTGGTCACACCGGACATGACGGCGGAGACAAGGTGGTTGAGATCACCGTAAGAGGGTGCGGAGAGCTTGAGGGTACGCATGCAGATGTCGTACAGGGCCTAAGGATTGTCAGCGGTTTTCCGGTCCCAATCCCATTCCCAAGTGAATCATACCTCGTTATCAATACAGAAGGTCTCGTCAGAGTGCTCAACAAGCTGGTGAATGGAAAGGGTAGCGTTGTAGGGCTCAACAACGGTATCGGAGACCTTGGGGGAGGGAACGACGGAGAAGGTGGCCATCATACGGTCGGGGAACTCCTCACGGATCTTGGAGATCAGGAGTGTACCCATACCGGCACCGGTACCACCACCCAGGGAGTGAGTGATTTGGAAACCCTGGAGACAGTCGCAAGACTCAGCCTCACGGCGGACAACATCGATGACCTGGTCAACGAGCTCAGCACCCTCAGTGTAGTGACCCTTAGCCCAGTTGTTACCGGCACCGGATTGACCGAAGACGAAGTTGTCGGGGCGGAAGAGCTTGCCGAAGGGACCGGTGCGGACGGCGTCCATGGTACCGGGCTCCAAATCGACGAGAACGGCACGGGGAACGTATTTGTCACCGCTAGCCTGAGCGGTCAAAGAAAGAAGGTTAGACGATGCACGCTGGAGTATATTGTAATCATTGTACTCACATGGTTGAAGTAGACGTTCATACGCTCAAGCTGGAGGTCGGAGGTACCATTGTACCTAACGAGAGATCAGAGGCCTGAATCATCTGGAATCCATCACGTTGAGAACTTACTGTCCATCACCATCGAGACCGTGTTCACCAGAGATGGTCTGCCTGTAAACCAGTTAGCAGGTTGTCAATTGATCCCCAACACGAAAAAAAAAAAGTTAGTGGTTCTTCACGTACCAGAAAGCGGCACCGATTTGGTTACCCTAAAACACAAGCCCAATTTAGTTTCCATGAACCCAAGAATCCAAGAATGTTTCCAAGAATGTTCCAATGGCATAATCAAACTTACACACTGGCCGGTTTGAAGGTGAACCTGGAGTAACGAGTTAGCAAAAGATCTGTTGATAGTGGGGTCTCTTTCAGGGGCCATATGAAAACATAGACGCGTCTGGAGGAGGAACAAAGTCAACATACAATCTCACGCATTTTGAAAAGGTATCCCAATGGAGATGGTGTGAGAGAGAGAAGATAGGGAGATTATAGACCGGTGACAGTCAAAGAGGATGGGGGAAGAAGAGAAAGAGAGGAGCAGTTGAGCGGTGTGTGTGGAATCAACAAGTCAACAATTGAACTTCAGGGGGGAAACCTAATTGGGTATAGCCGCATCACGGGACTCGGGGGAAAGTACGAACCATAGTTTACTTTTCCTTGGGGCGCGTCAGAAACATCAACATCTATTACTCTCTCTTTTACAATTGCCTTCAATAATACGATTGTTGTACTTTATTGTTCCAGACACATTTTATGATTTACTGAACATTTTGTCATTATCGCTTGCATTATTGGGACTATTGCGTTCCGAAAAACTCATCCTATCGTACACTTCGTTTGATATCATTAACTATCCAGTCTGCAAATCGATCACTTCAATCCTTCTCATTTTCCGTCATTGAGGGAATTGAGCGATTTGAGATTGATTGGAGGTGGCATTTGGAGTTTACTTGGAGGTAGCATTGCCACCCTCCAACCAATCTCCGAATCGCTCGAGGCGTTCTTCCTCGTCCTCGTCCTCGTCGGCAGAGTCCGCGGCGCCATCCAAATACTCTCGTCGATTGTCGGTTTTCTGGAATTTCTGACGAGTTGGCGAAATGTATGCCTCGACGGGGATGCCGCTGAAGCGGCGACCGGCCAACTTCTACAATACACATTAGTAGCTGGCATCAAAGCGAATTAAACCTCAATTGATGACCTACCTCTACGCATGTGAGTGCGTCCGCCGGGTCCTTGAACCGAACAGTAACTACGCCTTCAGGCTCTTTGTCATAGAGAACAACGTTGGTGACTTCGCCAATGGTAGCGCATTCGTCGCGGATCTCCTCTTTAATGTCAAGCAAAGCGGCAGGGTCCTCCTATGTAAGCTTTTGCGTCAGTTGTGTATTTAGAGATGCGTAGGAAAAGCCAAGTCGTGTAACAAACCTCCAGTTCCTTGAGAGTAAACATATGCTTGAGAATGACAATCTTTTCGTACTGGGTGGGCTTTTTGATAACCGGGGCGATGTCATCGTCATCCCAGTCCGTGAGTTTTCTACGCCCGACAAGTCAGCATGGAACGAGCATCTCCCCCAAACAAAAACGTCAACATACCTATTGAGCCTCTCATTCTGTTCAGTCATCTTGCGCTTATCCTTCAGGCTAAGCTTTGGCTTTTCCTGATCATCCGGCTGATGGGTTTTGTATGACGAGTCGGCGACTTCCACTCGCATGGGCCCAGCAGGGTCAGAAACGCCAAGGCGAAAATCCGTCTCATCAAGCATGTTGATCGCGAGGTCGACTGACTCCGGTCGGAAGTACACAACCAGTGCCTCGCCCTTGAATTTACCAGCCTCATCTTCGTACATCTTGATTCTGGCTTCACCCATCTCATTTTCCGCAATGACTCCAAATTTCGCAAACCGCTCGCGGATCTCATCCTTCTGGGCATCGAGTGGGATCTTGGTAACCCACACAGCCTTGTTCACTTTCACGCGGGGCTTCTTGACCTTGGGTGCATCGCTCTATATCCAAAGAAAGTACGATCAGTCCTTGTTGTTTCTTGGCCAGCGCAATTATGGCAGCACTTACCTCGTCGGCTGCCTTCTTGCGCTTCTTTAGCTCCCGAGGATGAACAACTTCGGTTTCATCAACACCTTCGAAAGTGTATCCAGACTGCTGCTGGCGTATGAGCTCTTCGTCGACCTAATCGCAAATCGCATTAGCACATGAAGCTCGCGGGCATGCACGCCAATTTGATTGATCGCAACCCAGACTGTGAGGTTTCACATGGTTACATACCTGCATGATCCAGCGCTTAAGACCAGTATCCCAGAGAAACTCCTGGCCGTTACCCGTCTCCAAGAGGTAGGTATTATCAAGCTGTGAATAAGAGATGCGCGAATCGTTAGCAAACTCCGACGGGTCGCTTGGGAACGCCATGTCGGAGCTCTCAGAGCTTGCTGAGCGTGCGTAATCCATCCCGATTTGGTTCAACGAGGTCATGGAATCAATGAAAGAGTCCCTTATGGGTTTGGTGGGGCGGAAACCTCTGGTGTTCAGCGGAAGGTGCCTCAACGGACAGCCCTGGAGCTCAGCGGAATTTGTCAGCGGACCCGGGCGCCCGGGCGACCAATCATGCGGCTCGAGGTCGCTGAGGATATCGCATCGCCGTCAACAGTATTATTTAATCATTTATCTACGAGCTTGAGACCATTTATTACATTTTCCGGATGTCTATAAACATCAATAGGAAATGCAGTCCTATGTATTCAGGACTACAGATCTACGTACTTGGTTTGAATCCTGGAGACACCTGATAAATTGGAGGTTCTATAATGAATTGGGGGATAGTCCGCTACATTTTCACGAATCATAGGTAGTTAGGATGGGACCCTAAATAATACTCAAAAAGACCCAGCAGCGGCTGATAGAAAGATAGCAATCAATTGACATTTAGAAGTGTGTCGGGCCAGTTTTGCTAAATGGAATGTATGTATAACTTAATATCTAGTTATATGTAGATTTAGTTGCCAGTATTCATCAAATTGATTGACATCTTCATACTTTGGAAGAGACTCGATTTTGTAAACTTTGATATTTGGGTATCTAATGATGCTGAAGAATTTGGGATCCTCTCATTCGTGAGAGGATCCAAGAAGAGAAAGGAACAACACATGCGACTCTAAGGGAAAACACCCGCCGGAGAAAAATGAAAAGAAAGAAAAGGATAGAAAGGCGGTTGCCAGGTATTATGTATTAAAGAAAGGGATAGCATTAAATCAGATTGATTTATGCCTTGGTATCGATGGTTGTCTCGCCCGTGGGAGTCATAGTCCGCTTGGACCCAACCTCGCTGGACTCGGTGCCGTTGATAATATCACGGGTAATTTCGACGTAGTCATACTAAAATCGCATGTCAGAACGGTTACGATAGAAACTAGGAGTTACAACTTACAGCAAACTCGCCGATCTCGGCATCGTCAATGCCCATGATCTCATCCTCCTCGGGGGCACGAAGGCTCAAGCCGGGGATGAGGTTCATGACAAACAAGATAATGCATGTTCCGAAGAAGGAATAGGCAAATCCAGAGACCGAGTCGGCAAGCTGGTAACCAAGCTGGATATAGTTGTGGTTGATCCAGCCGCCGCTGATCTGAGTGACACCATCAAGGTGCGCTATGTAGTCCCTGCAAAGTAAAGTCAGTATATACTCATGAACATTTCTGGAATAAAATTCACTCACGCAGCAAAGAGACCAGTCAAGAGGTTTCCAACCAAACCGCCGATGGTGTGGACGGCAAAAATATCCAAAGCATCGTCGACGCCAAGAAGGAACTTGAGCTTGGTGGCATAGTTGCATGCAATAGCACCGACGACACCGAAGATAAAGGCAGCCCAAGGAGTGACATATCCAGAGCCGGGAGTGATAGCCACCAAGCCAGCAATGACACCAGAGCAGAATCCAACGGTAGACCACTTGCGCTCCAGGCGGTAGTCCAGGAGACACCAGGTCACACCTCCAACAGAAGCGGCAAGGTTAGTGACAACAGCAGCCATGACAGCGCGGAGGTTAGCCGCCAATGCAGAGCCAGCATTGAATCCGAACCAGCCAACCCACAGGAAAACTGTGCCAATGACGACGTGGGTGACATTGTGAGGGCGGTAGTTGAGCTCGTGAGTGCCATGGCCGCGACGCTTGCCCAGCATCAGAGAGTAGGCCAGGGCAGCAGATCCAGAAGCAATGTGAACGGGGGTACCGCCAGCAAAGTCGAGTCCTCCCAGCTTGTATACCCAGCCCGATGAATTCCAGGTCCAGCAGGCGATTGGGTCGTAAATGACAGTGCTCCAGACGAACATGAAAACGATACAGGGAAGCATGCGGCCACGCTCAGCGACTGCACCAACGGCTAGAGCAACACTGTGGAAGAATTGAATGTCAATTGCCGATCGAGTTGGACTTTTATCCATAAATGATGCCAAAGACTCACGTAATCGCAGCGAACATTCCCTGGAAGATAGCAAATAGGAGATCAGGAACCTTGTCACCTCCTATTGAGGGTGCAGCTAATACACCTTTAAAGCCGAAGTTATCGAGATTACCGATGAAGCTGCCGGCTGAGTGAGAGAAGGCCAGTGAGTATCCCCAGAAGAACCACTGGAAGGAAACCACGCCGACCGACATGATAGACAGCCATATCAGAGAGAGTGCAGATTTTCGACGGGCAAGACCTGAGTAGAAGAATCTATCAAGGAGTTATTAGTTTTATCTTCTGGCTGAGAAGATGTTGTTGTCATACCCAACTCCAGGAATCATCAGCAGCACCAGCGCTGATGAAACGATAACCCATCCGATATCACCGGACTAATATAACTGTCAGCTTGCATGCACCATGTAGCATGTAATAACACTGAGCTACATACATCATAAAAAATGTTCAGGTCATCATGAAGGGAGTCACCGCCAGTTGCGATGGTCCCGTTGTACTCAACGGCCATTGTGAACCTAGGCTGAACCAAAGGTGGGTATTACAAAGATAAGGCTTGAATAGCTGAAGTATCACAGATCTCAAAGCTCTCTGAAAGATACAGAGGCCGGAAGATATGGAGGAAGGGTGGATAGAAAGGGCCGGGCTTAAGCCTTGTTGTGAAAGGAGAGAGAAAAGTGATATGTCAGGGCTGCAGGGACAAACCCTGAGAATTAAATAACAGTGCCAGACCAATGCCCCACTGTCTCACGCTAGAAGGTTACCAGACCATCGATCCTAGTTCCGATAGTAAAAGCTGCTCTGACTTTTGATATGATTCATCTGATCTGACCGATAGGAGTGGCCAAGACAGCCCATTTCAGCCATGCCGGGTTTAATAGTAGATGGAGTATATACTCCATGGACCCAGACCGGGGAAATACGGGTTAAACTTACAATGGATGTACATACTCTGACCTCTTTGGTAATGGCTGTATGGGACTTATATGAGACTCATGATATCGAACAATATACATACACATTTGTAGACTACCTGTCACCTATGTTCTTTGCATTTTTCGATGCATATTCTCTGACCTTGACAAAACCCAGTCTGTGTCCCCCCTGACACGGAGACATACATCTCTACGAAATAGATTCCATGCATTGGCCCCCAGACTAGCGATAAGCAGGGGGAGCTCTGAAGGGTAAGATAGACAGATTGGGTCATTTCAGTGACGAAAAGAAAAGAAAATAATAAAAGGAGATAAATTCTAATCAAAATTGCAGCAAGCTCCACGACTGGTTGTAGATATGAGGTTATGAGCCAATCAAAAGTGTTTGCTTATCATCTTCAATCCAGTGTTTGACTGTCGCTAAACCCGCTTTCTCAATACGAACATACAAATGTGTAGGATGCCGGGATCCAGTCGGAGAATTGCATACTCCTTATAGGTTTCAAGTTAAAGTGAATGACCATGGGTGTTATTGCTCGGTATAATCGAATCGAGGTTATGGAACGGACGTTGGATGGCTTATCTTTGCAACCTTGCAACCAATCAACATCCAATATTTAACTCTCCTTATCAACCCTAGAGACCTTCTACAATGCGAGGGGGTTCACTTTCTATGATCCTCTCTATTGGCTTGGAGAGTTTGAGAGAATTGATGACTGTCCATAATTATGACGCCTCTTACGATACGATTATGTCCCCATGAATCTCTGAAAAATTGCATGCAGTGTTTTGCATGTCTACAAATTCTCTATGCTAGGTACATCAGAATCCCTGATGGCGTCCCTGGCATGTTCTCCAGATCTCTCCGCATCTATGGCTCTCCATTTTCCGGTACAGTTTCTTCCGGTTCCACACGAACGAACGTCGAGAACGTATGGAGCAGACTAACCCATTGCCACGCGGACTATCGGTCCAGATAAGCCCACATATTCCCATTGGTGGGTCCTTTAGTATCTCGGCATCCCGAGGCTTGGCGAACTCTCTATATAACATTGCACTTACACACGAGATCAGACTAACTCTAGATCTATTGGTATATTTGTATGCAGCTTCACCTGCACTATTGATCTCCTAGATCAGATCTATGTATGTTGAATAGATCTACATTGTAGAGACGTCACGGTAAAACCGCCGGCTTAATAGGGGCACAGCCCAAGAGGGCATCATTGTTTAATCCTTTAACCTTTCAAGCCATTAAAACCAATTTAATATTGATAGGAAGGCCCGAGCAGCCATCTCATCATGAAAAAAATTCTGTAACGCAGTGTATTTTAATCGAGTGACAGCTAAACGACTTGTATATACCCATGGGGAGTTTTCAACCTCACATGACCAGTTTAGTGATCTCATCTCATGTTCGATATAAAGAGAAAGACTATAGAAGAAGAACCGGAGGAACTACAATATACATAGCGTCTTCGAAATCTTCAAGACCATCAGCCTGTGTAGATCTGCCCCAGTAGCCAATTGTCGAAAGTGGTGCTCGATCTCACCTCAGATCCACTGATCGACAGTGTTCACGATCTATGCTGGCCAAGGGCATGCACAGCAACGCTAGTCAGGGGTAATGTTCTTTTGATTTGAAGCTACCAGATAATACCTCATAATGTGATGTGCATTGGGTATGCGCATATGACAAGTGTCCCAAGTCACATAACTAACTAACTACTTATGTTATAGTTAACTAAGTTATACGTTTGTAGACGTGCAGGATGCTACCATTCTGCTCGCAAAATACATCAGATCAAAGCTTATCTGTTGACTCTTGAAATACTACTGTAAAATTCGCTTATCCGAGATATAGGTGAATATTTTCTTTCATTTCTTCAAAATAGTGATGGGGGGGCATAGTGGCTTTTCTTGGTTTCCCTAGCTCTCGGCTCACGAAGTTATCAAAACCCACTGTATCTGTTAGTGGACTTTGTTCTTTCACAACACATCATACTATTGCAAAACCGAGAGAGCTAATTCATAAGCTGGTATAAAGTGTCACGATATAAATCAGTAGGTGATATAGATGTGGCTTAAAATGATAGCCTTGGAAGAAAAGCAAGTTGTGTTTTGTTCCCTTGCTTTTGAAACGAAGCCCTACAATGTTGTACAGTATGGGCTACCTAGGTCACCTAGATAATGTGTTCTACCATGTTATTCGCTACGTGTATTAAAACTGCAGGCTACTCGCAAAGGTGGCTTCACCTTGTAGTGACAATGAAATTTACGTTCCACAGGCACCGTACTCACTACCTGAGCAAACCTCTACCTACCCCTGTGACATTGATAAATCTACTTCGTAATTCGGAACGCATTTTGTTCTTCACCCAATCAAGTGTTATTTTCTCTTTCGGGACATCGCTTGCAGTGAACTAACTGGGGAAACTTTATATAATGCAAATCAGTATACTTGAACGGCGATGACACATGGAGAGAAAAGGAAATTCGAGGCAAAACTTGATTACGAGTTAGAAATTCTACTGCCTGTTGGGAAACAGGTTTCCAATCAAAGAGTCAAAGTTGGAAGGGTTCAAGTACAATGTTGTACATGGATGTAGCCAGTTGCTCAATGCAACAGAACAGCTGCAATAGAAACAGCTGACGTGTGGACGGCTCGAACTTAATATAAATGCCGGACAAAGATTGATGCCACGTAGTGGCTGAATATTAAACAGGCAAAATCGCCAGTTGATCAAAAGAAATGGAAGACGATTGGGTGGGGAAGCATCCGGTACGACCGTTTTCCGCCACATCGCACCGCCACACCGCCACACCACCCCTATCATGGTCATCTTGCAAGCTCCAGGGCCTCTTCCGGATCATCACACGGCATATTCATCATGGAGCACTCGGAGATCCCCAGCCCTGACTCAGATGGCTCGGGCTCCTCTGATGAATACCCTCCTCAATACCCCAGAACAAACTCATCATTTGGAGAGACCGAAGGTCAAATTCAAACACCTGCCACCACTATCACGTCTTCCCCTCCCTCCCATTCCCCAGGCCTTACCCCATGGTCCACTGCTCCAGTAACACGGCCACGTGGAGCTAGTATCGGCGCTGCGACGATCCTCGACAAATCCGATGGCCTTGCCATGGCTAGCGACCCGCGACTCCAGCGCCCGTCCGCTCCGGCAAGGACGCCATCGAATACGTATGCCCCTCAACGACGACCACCACAGTACATCAGTCTCCAAGAAGACCGCCAACGATCTTCATCAACTAAACGAGGCGCCCGACGCGATCCGAACGCGCAATACCGGGCCCAAGAAAAAGCCTATGTCCAACGGATCAGAGCCAACCCGCAAGCCTGGTACCACCACTTTAAAGACGCACAAGCAAACAACATGATCGATGGAGACGCCGACTTGGAAGACCCCTCACCGTCTTCCGAAGTCGCATTTGACGATGATTCCTATGACCCCGATACACAACTCTTCCTCCCGGATGACAACCTGCCAACTACGGAAGAGCTCAAGCATCCCAAGAACCAGGAACGGCTTGAGTGGCATTCTATGCTGGCATCAGTCTTGAAGGGAGATGTTGTCAAGCAAGAGAAGCAACGGCTTATCGGATCTGCAGAATCAAAACGGTCGGCGGCCCAGAGTTACGCACTCTGGATCGGAGTTCGGGCAAGGACATGCGGCCGAAGCATTCCTCTGCAGCGAAAGCTGATTGAGGACGCACGGTCACATCTCGGTCCACTCATTGAGGATATCATTGGGTTCCAGATCAAAGGTGAGACCGAGATTGGGAAACCACCGAGACAACAAGTGGAAGACATTGTGGAAAAGGTCGAAAAGTGCGAGGTTCTCTACTCTTCGCACAAAGAAATGGAAATAGCGAATCCCCGTGTTGCTTCGGAGGAATTTGTCTCCAGCCGTGCGGCCATCTTTGCATGGCATAACATCACAGCTCTCATTAACACTGAGCTGGCCGTGCTGCAAAGCTGGGTAGGGAATGAAGCCCTCAACTTCAGCGAACCCAGAGTCAAGTCTGCGAAGAACGACCTTTCAGATGGCTCTTCATTCCTTGATCGCATCATGAAAGAAGATGGGCTCAAGACACTCCAAGATAAGGACGGCATGCTTCTTCGCATTCTTGCCGTCGTTCATAAAGCAAAGAGTACTTTGATCGAAAACTCGGAAGCATTTGCTGCACGGCACTTACCACCATATATTGAGGAACTGTTGACTCTGATCAACTTTCCTTCTCGCTTGATCCAGGAGATTATTCGTGTCCGTCTGTCTTACGCCCAGAACATGAAGGACCCGGCTTCGCAAGCACCCATTCTCATTGATCAAATGATCTCTCAATTCCAAATCCTTATGAAGGTAGCAGTCGACATCAAGTTCCGCTATCTTGATGTTTCCAGGCCAGAACCTGGCTGGGACCTGCCCCCTTGTGTCGATGAGAATTTTGACAATTCGGTGTTGGATGCTATGAAGTATTATTTCCGGCTCTTGAACTGGAAGCTGAATGCCAACAAGAACACTTTCAAAGAGGCCGAAATTCTAGAGCAGGAGTGGGGATTTTCTTATGATATCGGTCGACGGCTTGACGGTGGAGATATCGAGGTGGCGGAGCAGTTTAGGTATGATTTCCCCAGCTTGATTGAAGTGATTTTGAGACTAACGACCTAAAACAGCGCATTGACTGCCAGATCACTGCAGCGTCTCATGATTCACTTCGAGCGTGAACTCGTTCCCCGACCCACTGAAACAGTGCAAGACATGGACAAACGATACAAGAGTATTCTTGACTCAACCCGTATCCGTCAACGCAAGCTGTACCGCTTCTCCAAATTTTTGTGCCAACTGTTCGAGAATGCCACCGAATACAACATCACTGCCGATATCGCATACGATTTCGTCGAGGCTCTTTTGATCTCCGACCATTTTCTTGTCACTACGCCCACATCTGCGGGCCAGAAAGGAGTCTACCTGGTTGCACATCCTGCATTGTGGAATCGACCCGAAGACATCCAAGCCATCCTCTCTACCTCTTTCAAAGAGGACGATACGACCCAAGATAGCCACATTCCTTACGTTCTTGCTATCCGGCCAGAAAGACCCCTTGCTTGGGCCGGAAAACAGATGGAAGTGAATTTTCTGGAACACCCAACAGATGTGCGGTTGGGCAAACTGCGTCTAGTTGTGGAAGGCATGCAAGAACGACTCCAGAATGCCCGTGTAGAACTGACAGTTCTTACGGGGATTCAACTTGATATGGTCATTGAACAACGTGCAAATCTTGGACGTGTCAACGTTGAGTTGAACAAGATCAAGAAGATTTCTTTCAAATTATCCATGACTATCATGGATAGTGTTGCTGTCATCAAAGACCAGCTGCGAGAGAGACAATGGGATAACAATGATTTAATTCAGGCCTGCTATTCATTCGCAACAGAATTTGGCAAAAGATCCTCCAACTATGTCGATGCCAACAGACGATCAATGAACAGCGCTCGGTTGGTCGAATTGTCTCTGGACTGGGTCTCATTCATCTGTGATGAATGTGATGCTGCAGACCGGAAGACTTTCAAATGGGCTGTGGCTGCTCTCGAATTTGCGATGGCAATGACATCCAGCCGGCATCTATTGTCCATGGATCAAGAGCAGTACAGTGATTTCCGATTGAAAGTTGCCGGGTGCATGTCACTTCTTATTTCCCATTTCGACATCATGGGTGCTCGATCTTCTCTTGCGGCGAAGAACGAGAAGCGCATGGAAGAGCGCAATGGAGCCCGACAGATTGGCGCCGGTCGAATCACTAGCGACGAGGAAGCATCACAACTTGTTCGGGACACCTGGCACGCGCGTGTCATGGAAATTGAAGATCGAAGAATCGAAGCAGATGCGAAGCGACAGGCCCTCGGAAAGGTATTGGAGGGGTCTGATGAAGCGGATCGGTCACTCACTGTACTATCCTCTTCAGCTACCAACGTCACTTTGCGCTGGCAACAAGGCCAGTTCATTGGAGGTGGTACCTTTGGATCTGTATATGTGGCTATCAACTTGGACAGCAATTACTTGATGGCTGTGAAGGAAATTCGCCTGCAAGACCCACAGCTTATTCCAAAGATCGCCCAGCAGATTCGAGACGAAATGGGTGTGCTTGAAGTGCTCGATCACCCCAACATTGTCTCCTACCACGGCATTGAAGTGCACCGTGACAAGGTTTACATTTTCATGGAGTATTGCTCCGGTGGCTCCCTAGCCAGTTTGTTGGAGCACGGTCGTATCGAAGATGAAACTGTCATTATGGTCTATGCGCTCCAACTCCTCGAAGGTCTGGCATATCTCCATGAGGCCCATATTGTTCACCGTGACATCAAGCCTGAGAACATTCTGCTCGACCACAACGGTGTCATCAAGTACGTCGATTTCGGTGCAGCCAAGATCATCGCTCGCACGGGTCGCACAGTCGCCCCAGTAGACAACCTCGGAACCCCCAACACCAAGGATCCCATCAACAAAGACGCGAATACGCGCGGCAAGAACCAAAAGACAACCACTGGAACTCCGATGTACATGTCACCAGAAGTGATTCGGGGCGACGCTGCAAATCTAGCCGACCGACAAGGAGCAGTAGATATCTGGTCTTTGGGATGTGTGATCCTAGAAATGGCCACTGGTCGCCGGCCCTGGTCCACATTGGACAACGAGTGGGCGATTATGTACAATATCGCCCAGGGCAAGCAGCCCGTACTTCCATCTCGCGACCAGCTCAGTGACATAGGTATCGACTTTGTGCGCCGCTGTTTCGAATGTGATCCTGCTCGCCGCGCAACTGCCGCCGAATTGCTGCAGCACGAATGGATTGTTTCTATCCGTCAGCAGGTCGTCGTGGAACCCCCTACCCCAGGTAGCGACTACAGCAGCAGTTCCAGTTCGACGACTACTACTCGCCATAACTCGGCATACATGTGATTTTCTCACTCGCTATTCTTCCTTCCCCTGGGTCTTTCCTAGGATCCTCCCACGTTCTTGGAATACAACATTTCAATTTTGATTACTATGGGACATAAAAAAAGCATTTTACCTTTTCCCACCACACTCGCTCGATCTCGTCATTCTCGAATGGCATCGCATGTGATACCCCTCCTCGCCTCTTTGCTTGTTTTCATGTCTCTTCGCCAAAGCCATATTATAATGTCATCTCGCTACGGTCATTTATTTCATATTATGCCCAGGTACTCTCATTCGTGCATTTCGGTTTCATTTTTCTTGTTTATGTTTGCGTTCATCTCATTGCAGGTGAGTTTTCTATGTTTGGCGTGAGGGTCTTTTAGCATATATCTCTGGCTGTACGACACTCGAATATAAACGAATTGGAGTTTGTCGATCTTAGTATGTACTTTCTTACACCACTCATAGCTAGCACATATATGCAGTTAATTACAATTTTACATTGTTCATGGTTTCCACGTATAGTGCAAAATGGGTGGGGGTTCTTGTAAGGCTAGATTATAGCCTTTAGGGCTTGGAGGTCCGCAGCGGAAGGCAGGCGCGGGCCTGGCAATCCTGACCTGGCCAATCAGCACTGCAGCGCGGATTTGGCCGCCCTATGTCCTAGATGACCTCCATCATCAATCATCTTTTCGGTGTTTGAACAAGCCAAAATTCAACACGGCGAATGATTTGGCGAATAATTTTATGTTGATGTTGGTTCTTTCGGCCACGCCTAGTACCTCGGCACAGATCCTTGTATACTGCAGGCTGCTACCCTCTGCTGCCCACTGCTCTCGCTGTATTGGTAATGCCTACCCCCGCCGTGGCATCGACTGCAGCTTCTTCATGAGTCCATGGGTCCCGGTCCCGGCAGCTCTTGTAGCAGCTTTTCCCATAGCTGAGCCAACCCCGATTCAACTTCAACTAGGACTACTGCGTACTCTGCGACGTCAATAAAAACGAGCCCATATTCATGTTTGACCCGTAGGTAGCCCTAACTAAGTTCATCCCACGCTCTGAGACCAAGCCAGCAGCAAAGAATAAAGCACCTGTCAAATATTTACAATGTCTCTGCTTTACTAAAATAAACCCTACTTCAAAAGGACCCAGTTGATGGGACTACTCATTGCGTCATTCACTCTAGTGTTCTTAGCTCGGAGGACAGTGGTTCCACCATCATTCTTCAGTCTTTGAGACTCGACTACATGATTTACGATATTTCAGTTGATGGGCATCGATGGTGCAAGGGTGCGTTATGGCTAGTATATACCCAACTACAAAATGCATCGCGTTAGGCGAGAAAAAGGTTTCAAGAATCAGGAAGGCTTATCGCTTGGCTGCCCCAGGAAAGAAGATAACGCCCGACAAATAACACCAGCACTAACTTAAAAGAGATAGGATTGAATAAGAGAACAAGAATGAAAGAGATGAGAGATTACTCCAAACAAAAGGTGCGAGAGGTGACCAGAACCAAGTCGCCAGAAGTGAGAGAAAAGACGCCGTTTCATAGATTGCAATATCGTGAGGCATGTAGAACAATTTGAGGATAGGTAGGATGAAGGCAGGCTTTGGCCAAGGACGGACATAATTTTGGAAACCCTCGAGTGACCTACGCATTCGACAGGAGACCAAAAACCACGAAGTCGGAAGAGGTAAATAGAATGGATGGCATAGAGGGTATTTGAGGAAAAGCAACCAATATAGAAAGCCCGATGGGAGATTTGAGAAATTCAAGTTTCTCGTTCGGAGAGGGGACCAGGAAGCACTGCTTAGCCGGGTGGCATCAAACATAATAGGGTTGGGAATGGGTTATGAGATATGGGAGTATAAGGACCAAATCATCACACAGGGGATCATAAGAGTGTGGGGTGCACCAGCAGTCCAGTTCGGCAAATTCAGCGGAACTCGACTGCTGGTGCGCATCCACGATCCTCGACATGCTTGAGCTCAAGCTGTTGGAATCTGTTACAATATTAGCACCAGTCGGCTTTGGGGACGATTATGGTGTGGACTTACCGTTCGCTTTTCGCGTGGAAGTAAACACCACTGACAGTTCCTTCAATCTGGTTGAAACAAATGTAATAGAACCCTTCAAAGCTAGCTCCTGAGATTGTCCTCACTCGGTGGTCGGGGACAAGGAAAGACTCTTTCCATCTCATAAATATATGCTCACGCTGGGCGAAATTACGGTATGTGAAATCCGCTCGTTTAGCTTGTTTGGCCAAGGGGCGCCACGCCGGGAATCGAGACCAGTGGTGCAGGTCGGTCTTTTCCGAAGCGCCCCATTCTTCATTACGAGTTTGGAAAGTGTGTTTGGTGCCAATAATTTCTCCTTCAAAAAAGGTAGTCAGGGTAGGATGATCTTCCGTGAGGCCTGCGAATAAAAGTACGTTAGTTAGGGTCCAATGCACAGTGCGTGCAGCAAGTTACAAACCTTGAATTCGCAGGTAGCCGCAAAGATAGGATTCAGTCATGTCCACATGCTTGATCTCGACATCAACATTGTAAACTTGACGATCGCTTTGCTGTGTTCCGACAAATTTGCTTCCCGAGCGGAGAAAGGAGGATGTGTGGTTTGGCAAAAGCTGCGGGGATAATTAGCGTGGTTTAGGTGGCGCACCCCAGAAAAAGGCCGGTACTAACCCGAACATTGGAGAATTCCCAGTTGAGAAGTGAAGAACTCGATTGCGGTACTGTCGGAGACGGACTACGAATGCATGTTGACTCGGCAGGGGAAGTAGCTCGGATGGGATCAGATTCATCGTCAACGACGGGCGTCAGCTTGTCTGCCTTGGTTGGCGCTAAGACAGTGCCATCACCGGAACGACTCAGGATGGAGGGCTCAATGGAGGGTGTGATGGAACTGTCGGGTGAAATTATATCGACAGGCTGGCTAGGTACTGAGGAGTCTCGCCAGGCCGCGATTCTGTCCGGCTCCGGACATGTGCGAGTGGAGATCGCCTCAGCGATCGAAGAGTTGTCGCTAGGAGTCGGCATTGCGGATTAAGGTAAGAGGAAAGGAAACATTGAACCGTAACAAGACGCTTCCAAGCAAAAAAAAAAAGCGAGAAAAAAAAAGAGAAGAGCAAGGGAGATGGAATCAAGATCAGCGAACTAAGTCTTTTAAGGCATTGAGGAGCGCAATGCGGGGACCAGGCAGTGGGTCACCTGTTGCAGCGCCTGGCGCGCCACCGCAATATATTGATTATGTCAGATAGTTGGCCTTGAAAATGAGGCTGTAGATCCGAATTGACCAATCACAGACTTCAATCTAACATTTGCATGGCATGACTACTCGCTTTTGGAGCTTCCATTTCAATTTAGTTCGAATTTGGTATTAGTTATAGGTTTTTTGATTATTAAAACTGTAGTAGTTTGTATATCCCTGTCTAAAAACATCTAGATCATTTTGCCTAAATGGCTTGATTGATGCGCAAAAATGTAAACTATAAATTTATATCTTCCTCATGCATGTTTGAATATGGATGTATTAGTGGAATTGATATGTCAGAAATTCTGAGCTATCAACTCAATACACACCGATATAAGCAATTACGTCAAGTTAAAAGCCATGATCAGAGTTCTAGAAGAAATCGTTTGGACTAGGAAAACCTGTATATATGGATATTTGAATTTGAAATACAATAAATATAGTACAAAAATAGTACGCCTTAGGCAGTGTGGGTGTGCATGGATCATCCCTTCCTGAAGGATGTCATACATGCACACTAAAGCTTTTCAGAAGTCTGATATTCGTGGCCTGCTGTGTAAAAATTAAGGGATTATGCAGAGCAGCATCCTTCGGCATAGTTTGTCTAGGCTCGTTAAACAAGGTAGTCTACATTTCCGCCCTTTCCCACGCCGTTAAGACTACAATTTCCCCTATACTTAAATATATATGTGCACGATTCTACTTCTCTTTTGTCTATAAGAACATATATACATCATTCCATATCTCTCTCTATTCGCTCTTTTATTTCATTATATAAAGGTCGCTACTCCGTAAAGGATCTTATTGAAAGGATATACGCAAGATCTAATCAGTAAGATCCAATATCTCAGTTGCTCATCATCTGTAGACTCCAGGGCTAGTATTGAGCCGTAATAATCGACAAAAAAAGTCAATCTAATTATGATCTATTACTGCATATGTACACATGTACGTAGTTACACCTACGTCACTCACACGACGACAAGTAAGAAAGCTTGAAGATGTCATGCTAGATTCTAGTCTCTACGAAAGACATCGGAAATAATTGACAACAGGCAGGCGGCTGGTAGATTGGAACCCGTGTTTAGGGGTATGAATATTGCCTGAGTGAGACAATCAAACTTTGTTTTTTCATGAAAACATATGTAGCTAACCCAATTCACAGTTCCATGAGCCAATTGCATTGTCAACAAATTTATGGGTAACTGAGTTCTAAAGTTTGTTAGATACTCCAGCACTGGAGACTACGACAGGGACCACGCTCCCTGGACAACACCACATATGCATGTATGGAACCGATGTTTGCCACTAAACGAGAGCCTATCCTAGATATCAATTTGAAGCTGAAAAGGCCAAGATTACAACTACAGGGATAAATTCAAATTACCGGCCTTGAATGAGGTCGAGAAATAGGTTGATGCTTGATATAAATATCCTACTTTGATTGGTTGAGCCCGAGCACACATATTATGACGGGTGGAACATGACAACTAGCTAGCAATCAAACATTGCCTGGTAATATGGAACCTGCATTGATTGGTATCAATCCAATGTGAATTGAGCTAAAGGCTTGAGCTCGCCAAAGAAACCCTCAATGAACGCCTATTGACTGTCATTAAAAAAAAAATCCCCGCTTCTCTTTCAATTTTAGTGCTTGCGCTTAGCCACTAAATAGGCTTGATCTGCAAAAACAAATACTGGTTAAAAATGGGCCAAGAGGGGAGTAGGACTCGATGGTACCTTGAAGTGGAGAGAGATCAGGGAGAAAACAAGAGCCTTCAAGTCCTGCACGAGGTAGTAAAAGACCCGCAGACCCTCGGGGTCATCTGATTCGGTCACATCGACTAGTGAGCCGATTTTCGCGGTCTATGGCACCCAGAGAGTTAGAGCTGGTGGGTATCCCCATTAGAGGCGTCAAGATCATACCTCAAAAGAGATGTGCTCATTTCCAATTCGGATTTCTAGCTCCTGGCGTCCATCTTTGTTCTTCTGAGGCCACTTGGAGTCGTCCTCTCTAAGCTAGGTCAGAACGCATATTTCGTTTCATTGGAGTGAGACATGATCGTACTTCAGGATTTCGCTATCCTTGATAATGCGCTTCACTTCTTGCACCATCGCATCGCTCACGCACACTAGTAGCATGTCAGCTTATGTTTCGTTCTCTTGATATGTCGGGCCTGCATTTACTTTCTTTGCGGATGAGGGAATCATTGCGGTAGTTCGAGTTGTTGGCATATCGTACGGCGGCGCTGCTACCTTCTGAAATGGAGCGAAGATCAAATTCTGAGTAAATGTTAGCGACCAAACACAGAACAGGAGAAATGGTATGCGGACTTACCTAGGAACTCATGTCCAAACCGCCCAGAGTGACCTGAGCTGCGAGGACTGTCAGCAGCTGAGGAGATCTGGGCTCAATCATCCTTACTAGTATCGTAAATAGAATGTCTCATTCGACATATTGGCGAACCTCTGTTGTCAAGTCGTCAAATGTTCAAGAAAGCAGTCGACGTCAAACTGGCAGTTGAAAAGCGGCGGGCGGGCTTAGTCATCCACACAAGACGGGGCCAGATTAAGGGACAAGTTGATGGTCCCTCCCCATTGCGCATTTTATAACCTCTAATGATTTCAAGGCTGGCGAGGGGTGTTGCTCTACACTAATTGCTTGTTTTTGAATTCCGGCGCCAACTCCTAATCCCGGGAGAATTACCCTAAGTGTGCGTTGTGAACTTACATGCTGATGTGTCCCCAAAACAACCCCGGAACTGACAACTCGCAGCTCTCTTTCCCGCTCCCCCAATCTCACCACCATGGCGTCGTTCCTCGAAAATACCCATAGTTTGGTCCATTTGGACAATGCTGCCGACCAGCCAACTGTGCAGGAGCTGAAGCTGCAACTGGAGAAAGGCAACGATGAGACCAAGTTGGACACAATGCGGACAATTATCACCATCATGCTCAATGGAGATCCCATGCCGCAAATCTTAATGCATATCATTCGCTTTGTGATGCCCTCGAAAAGCAAGCCTTTGAAGAAACTGCTTTATTTCTTCTATGAAATCTGCCCGAAGCATGACTCTACTGGCAAGCTCAAGCAGGAGATGATCTTGGTTTGGTGAGGACACCCCTGGCCATTGCTGCTTGAAATTTTCCCTCTAACCGGCATAATTAACAGCAACGGAATTCGAAACGATCTTCAACACCCCAACGAATACATCCGTGGAAATACCCTCCGATTCCTTAGCAAACTCCGCGAACCCGAACTCATTGAACCCCTCCTTTCCTCCGCACGCTTGTGCCTGGAACACCGCCACGCCTATGTTCGCAAAAACGCTGTCTGGGCCGTGTCATCTATTTTCCAACACTTCGAGTCTCTAATTCCTGATGCCCCCGAGCTGCTTCAGACGTTCCTTGAGTCTGAGACGGATAGCACCTGCAAGCGCAATGCCTTCGCAGCGCTCATGTCCATTAGCCACCAAAAGGCACTGGAATACCTGCGCACCACATTCGATACCATCCCCAACACGGATGAGCTGCTTCAATTAGCAGAGTTGGAGTTCCTTCGCAAGGATGCAGTACAGAACCCTCAGAACAAGGTGCGCTTGCAGAATCGAAATAACCTGTATTGCGGTTACTAACTGATTACAGTCACGATACCTGAAACTCATGCTCGAACTCCTCGATGCCTCTACAAGCACTGTCGTTTATGAAGCCGCAACATCTCTTACCGCTCTCACCAGCAACCCTGTCGCCGTTAAAGCTGCCGCGGGCAAGCTCATCGAGCTCGCAATCAGGGAAGCCGATAACAATGTCAAACTTATCTGCCTGGACCGCGTGGACCAGCTCAGAATCCGCAACGAGGGTGTTCTGGGTGATTTGACAATGGAGGCTCTGCGGGTTCTCAGCAGCCCGGATATTGATGTCCGGAGAAAGGCCCTTAACCTTGCCATGGAGATGGTTTCTAGCAAGAATGTGGAAGAGATCATCATGCTACTGAAGAAGGAGCTTGCCAAGACCGTCGACGAACAATATGAACAGGTAGGTTGTATAGTCACCTCGCACAACCCAGTAATGCTAACCAGCCCCACAGAACAGCGAGTACCGCCAAATCTTGGTGCAGTCAATACACTCCTGCGCCATCAAGTTCTCCGAAATCGCCGCTAGTGTGGTTGATCTATTGATGGACTTTATTGCCGACTTCAATAATAACTCCGCTGTTGATGTTATTTCGTTCGTTAAGGAGGTCGTGGAGAAATTCCCTGACTTGCGTGGATCGATTGTCGCCCGTCTGGTTTCGACTTTGAGCGAGGTTCGTGCTGGAAAGGTCTACCGCGGAGTCCTTTGGGTTGTTGGTGAATACTCTTTGGAGGAGAAGGACATTCGGGATGCTTGGCAGACGATCAGAGCCAGTCTCGGTGAAATACCCATCTTGGCCTCTGAACAACGCCTTCTAGATGAGGTTCCGGATGACAATACCCTGCTTTTGGAGCACGCCAACGGCCAACCAAAGGCCGCGCCTACCGGATCCCGAAAGGTGCTTGCAGATGGGACATATGCCACTGAAAGTGCCTTGACCAGCCAATCTGCGGCGGCAGCTCGTCTCGAGGCCGTTAAGGCTGCACAGAAGCCCCCATTGCGTCAACTCATCTTGGACGGAGACTACTATCTCGCCACCGTTCTCTCTTCGACATTGACCAAGCTGGTTATGCGCCACTCGGAGGTTTCTCAGGATACTGCCCGTACCAACGCCCTCCGTGCAGAGGCCATGCTTATCATGATTTCAATCATGCGTGTCGGTCAATCTCACTTCGTCAAGGCCCCTATTGATGAGGACTCGGTGGATCGTATTATGACCTGTGTGCGCTCTTTGGCAGAGTTCTCCGAGAAGAAGGAGCTCGAGGCCACTTTCTTGCAGGATACCCGGAAGGCCTTCCGCGCTATGGTCCAGGTTGAGGACAAGAAGCGAGCTGCAAAGGAGGCAGTAGAGAAGGCGAAGACTGCTGTACAGATTGACGACGCCATCCCCATCCGCCAATTCACCAAGAAGAACACTGTGGAGGGAGCCGAAGAGATTGAAATGGATCTCGTTAAGGCCACCGGTGGCGATTCCACTGTGGACAACGTCTCCTCTAAGCTCAGCCGGGTCGTGCAATTGACTGGTTTCTCCGACTCTGTCTATGCGGAAGCTTACGTCACTGTCCACCAGTTCGACATCGTTCTCGATGTTCTGTTGGTGAACCAAACCAACGAAACCCTACAAAACCTGTGCGTAGAGTTCGCAACTCTAGGTGACCTCAAGGTTGTCGAGCGGCCATCCACCAACAACTTGGGTCCTCGCGATTTCCTGAACGTCCAGGCTACTGTCAAGGTGTCCTCCACCGACACCGGTGTCATCTTCGGTAACATCGTTTATGACGGCGCTAGCTCTACCGAGACCCATGTGGTCATTCTTAACGATATCCATGCCGACATCATGGACTACATCCAGCCCGCACACTGCACTGAGACACAGTTCCGGACTATGTGGACTGAATTCGAGTGGGAGAACAAGGTTAACATTAACTCCAAGGCCAAAACTTTACGCGAGTTCCTCAAGCAGCTGATGGAGAGCACTAACATGGCCTGTTTGACGCCTGATGCTTCGCTCAAGGGCGACTGCCGCTTCCTTAGCGCAAATCTGTATGCCCGCAGTGTATTCGGTATGTTTCTCATTCCCCAGCAAACCAGTTATCAAACTTGATCATATAACTAACCAATTTAATTTAATTTAGGTGAGGATGCGCTGGCTAACTTGAGTATCGAAAAGGAGGGTGACGATGGGCCGATTACAGGATTTGTGCGCATCAGAAGTCGCTCCCAGGGTCTAGCACTGAGCTTGGGCTCCCTGAAGGGTCTCAAGGCGGCAGCGGCTTAAGTCAAATGTTTTTCCAGCGGTTTGCGGTCTATATGATGTTTCTTGTTTCCCCCCTGTTTTTGCCGACTTCTGTTCCCCATATGTTCATTTCTCGAGACGAATTTGTTTACTTATGTCTCTTTTATTGTGTAGATGAGATGGATGTCTCATCGGGAGTAGTGGATAGAGAACAATGGCTTTCATCTTTCAAATTAGCATTTCAATTGGCAATCCATAGTATCCTATCCCTAGATGCCCGGTTAGGCAAATGCGTATGCCACTAAAACATTGTCCAAGCCCCAGAAGAAGCAACGTTGTCATCAATGCAGGAACCTCGGGACCTTATGTCCGGGTCCACCGGAACTCCGCGGCCTCCGAACCTGCAGCAAATGCGATTTCATTGTTCATGCTTATCACCTGGACACCTAGACACCTAGACTTGACCTCTATTTTACCTTTTGTTTTTTACCTATAATGTTTTGATTTCTTATCATTAATGAATATGGCTTCCTCAGATTCCTCCGCACAGGACCCGCATGATATGACGTTGGTTCTCGACCAGTTTGTCTCTTTGAGCCTCGGCACCGATTCGCTCCTCATAGTCGGTATGACCTGATGAACCCTGGACCCCCAGCGTGTGAACAAACACTAACTTACGTGATAGATGACCGCACTAGCCGCAAAGTAAATCGTCGCTGCTGCGGGTTGCTGAAGTCTAGTAAGTGAGCACTAGACCTCTGGCGATCACCGGCTGCTTATCGCGGGCACTACTCTCAATTATGCAATTGAACTGACCCAGCCGTGCGCACTTAGAACCAGAAACTACCCATGCCATCTCTTTGTATAACATTCTCGGCGCCGAAGTGACAGCCTCGAATATCGTCATTGCTTATGCACATCCTATTGCCAAGGACGATGTTTCCGTTACGACCGTCCAATACCCAATCGTCGAAAAAGAAAAAGAAGGCCGTCGAAAAATGGGTTGAGAAACTGCTTGAGCTGGCTTATGGTAAGGCGCTTCGGGGCAAGCGCCTGAAGATCTTAATAAACCCCTTTGGTGGGAAAGGCACGGCTACAAGCTTGTACCACAGATACGCGGCACCGATCTTCGCAGCGGCGAAGTGCCAGGTGGATGTGGAAACCACTACACACCAGGGACATGCAATTGATATCGCAGAGAATCTTGATATTGACGCCTACGATACAGTCGTTTGTTGCTCGGGGGATGGGTTACCATACGAGATCTTCAATGGCTTGGGCAAGCGACCAGATGCTCGAAAAGCACTGACTCAAACTGCTGTTGCGTTGCTCCCCTGCGGTTCTGGAAATGGACTCACTTGGAACGCTTTTGGAACTGGCAGTGTCTCGATTGCGGCGCTAGCAGTTGTCAAAGGGCTGCGAACACCGCTTGATCTTGTTTCGATCTCGCAAAAAGACTCGCGCACACTGTCTTTCCTCTCACAATCTTTCGGCATCGTCGCTGAGTGTGATTTGGCCACTGAGAACATTCGATGGATGGGCGCTCAGCGATTTACATATGGCTTCCTAGTCCGATTGATGCGGCAGACCATATGGCCATGTGATATTGCTGTTAAGGTGGTTATTGGCGACAAAGAAGCAATCAAAAAACACTACGCCACGTGGTTGACACGCCCCGATGAGTTGGATGCCGACGCCAAGCGATTAGAAGCCGCAGCTCAATCCCCTGGTCTGCCTGAGCTCAAGTATGGCACAGTAACGGACGCTGTACCCGGGGACTGGGATGTCATACCAGGAGAAACCATGGGCAACTTCTACGCAGGAAACATGGCGATTATGTCGAAGGACACAAACATGTTCCCTGCTACGTTGCCCAACGATGGACTCCTGGATGTTGTTACTATTGACGGAAAAGTCAGTCGTGGCACTGCAATCACGATGATGAACGAAATTCCCAGTGGTCGCTTCTTCGATATGCCTGAACTCAATATTCGTAAAGCGTCTGCGTTCCGCCTGACTCCTCACCAAAAGGAGGGATACATCAGCATCGATGGCGAGCGGGTGCCCTTTGAAGCCTTCCAAGCTGAGGTCCATCAGGGTTTGGGCACAATACTCACCAAGTCGGGTCGTCTCTACGAGGCGGAAGGCCCCCGATAACTTATGCTCCCACCAGCCTCCAAAACGAAACGAACTTGTTCCATGTCCACCTCGCCGTATTGGACCTTTGACTTTTTGCCTTTGTATATGCCCAGCCATTTGCCCAATCTTTGCATCCACCCATGATACCCTAGCAAAAAAGACTTGGCGCGTTGACCCGTCGTATTAGACAATTGGTGCTCTGTGATCAGAATACACAGTAGACCGGAATCAGAAAAGAGTCATTTCAATACGTTTTATGGCCGGTCTTTTATTCTTGTATATCTAGCAATGAATTATTTTTCCCATCTAGAACTCATGATAGATGTGATCGCTAGCACGCTGTGCAATGATTTCAATCTGTTTATACAAATCCCTTCCATTCAACCGGAAAATTAGTCAAATCCACCCCATTCCTCCTCGCTATCTTCTTCCTCAACCGGTCTTGTCCGAATGCCCCACTCAAACAGTCGGTCGTCTTGCAAAGCCTCAGCGGCCCTCGTCCGGACAGGCTTGTAGCGACTCTCAGTACGCAGCTTCTCCAATGGCCGCAGGATAAGTTCAACAGGCACATCGCCCTTGATCGTCCGCTTCGGGGTTTCCACATCCTCGCCGACCTCCCCCCTCAAACTCGAGGACCTTCTCCAGCTCATCAATCCAAATATCCATGAGATGGTAGCGCAATCCATCAGGTCCATGGGGCATGGGGACGTAATTCGGGTCGTCGGATTCCTTGTCCTGGTCTTCGTCGTAGTTCAGCGGACACAAGGGTCCCTCCTCGATAATAGAGATATAAGCCGCGAGATCGGGGTATTTAGCTTCGAGGTCTTCAGCATCGTCCTTCTCCTCTTCAGCAGCCTCGGCCTCAGCCTCAGCCTGCTTCTTTTGCTTCTTGCCGCGACTCTTTTTGGCCGCGTCTTCGCGCTTGCGCTTTTTCCCGTCGGCGCTCTTTGCTGAGGAGTTCTTCACAAGAATTTCAAATGCCACGCCGACATAGAAACGGATGAGCATCAGGTACTTGTCCAGGCGCAGGCGGTCTAGTGAGTGGTAATCACGGCCGATGGTGATCCAGAAGGCGCGCAGGAAGCGGTGGAGGGTTGCTTGAGGAAGGGAAGGGACGAGAGAGTAGGAGAGAGCGCGGGCGAGAGCTTGTTGTGTGAGGGGTCGGTCGGAGTGATAGAAACCTGGTAAGGAAGTTAGATTTGCTGCAGTTGATTGAGAAGGATATAGCGGTCTTGCATACAGAAAAACAGGCCCTTCCAGAGTTTGAGAAGGTCCACGAGGGTCAGATCGTTGCGCGATTGCACGAACTTCGTTAGAGACTCAAGCGCCTTGTCACGAACTTTTCGGTCTGGATAGGAAGAAACTCATCAGTATTGGAATTGTATGGACCTGTGCACAGTATCTTACCGCTCGAACCGAGCTCCCTGACAAACGGAGTCTTTTGACCGTCCATTATCACGGGTTAATCTCGACAATTGGTCGAGATCGGTAGCTGGGGATTGTGTACTGAGATATTGGCGAAATCTTTATCCCAGTCAAAGTATAGAATTAACACTCTCGGATGTATGTCAAATTGAAATCCGTCAAGAGCTCGAAATTATCGAACTGCTAGAATCAAGATCCAAGATTGCGATAAATTATTTTTTTTTTCCTTTGCGATAGAGTGTTTGCACTGTTTGCCAAAAAGAGCTCCGGCTCAAGATTGAGGGCTGTGATTGGCCAAAATTCAACGGCCTACAGATGTACTTTATCGCGGGCTCGTTACGGAGTACTTCGCTACATCATGATTTCTTTGTCATGTTGGAATGAGCATTATGGAGATGTATCATCTTTTAATATTGGATCGATGTGCAGATTAAACATCCACCAGGAACCAGATTGTTTACTTGTGAGTGTATGATTGCTACATCCGGCGTCTTCGGACTACAACGATGGAACCCGTCCAAATACGTGGAGATATTGCTGGGCGTTGACATCATGACTACTAAATTTTCCTAATAGAATTGCAGAAACCCCATAGATATACACGTTACTGTTGGCTCAGGGCGAAAATGCAACATATTGTTCGTGATGGTTTTTACGGAATCCACGGAATTGCTTGTGTGAACTTCCATACTTTATCCATGGGGCCACACAGATTGACGTTGCATGTGGTACTTTTTTGTGGCTAAAATTGTTCCTCGGTCAGGATTTGATCTTCCTTCATGCTGTTTACCTTTAACAACTCAGTCTAGGGGTCTACTCGAATACACATTTCATTCACCATGGCCCATCAAGATGAGGACGAGGATATCATAGAGGCTAGCTCCTCGAACCACAGCGAGGAACATGCAGCCCAGCCAACTACAGAAACTCACCCTGCTAGGAACAAGCGTGATGGGATAGTCTTTGACTTTATTCGCCCAGAGGAACGCGCTGAACTGGCCCGCATTGCCTCGAATTTCCCTCGACACCGTCCTACGGATTCTGGCATATCAGGAATGACTGAAGTCGAACGCAAAGACACCCTGGAAGATGTCAAGCTAGGGGATTCGGTTCTAGATCCAACCTCTGATCAATTTGATCATTATAAATGGGCTCGCATGATGCTTGAGCTGATGGACAAGGAAGGAGTTCCTGTGCGAAAGTCGACCGGTGTGGTCTGGGAGAATCTCCAAATTTCTGGGTCTGGATCTGCACTACAGTACCAGAATAATGTGGGATCAATCGCATTGGCTCCCTTTCGACCTCAAGAGTACATTTCTTGCGGGAGCCGCGTGCCTCAGAAACAGATCCTGCGCAGCTTCGATGGTGTGTTAAAAAGTGGCGAGCTGCTGATCGTGCTGGGAAGGCCGGGAAGTGGTTGTTCAACTCTTCTCAAGACTCTCTCCGGTGAACTACATGGGCTGAAATTGGGAAAGGGCTCAGACATCCAATATAACGGTATTCCGATGGAGAAAATGCACAAAGAGTTCAAGGGAGAGGTTTTGTACAACCAGGAAGTTGACAAACATTTTCCTCATCTCACTGTGGGCCAGACTCTGGAGTTTGCGGCTGCAGCTAGGACCCCTGAGCATCGTCTGAATGGGATCAGTCGTGCGCGGTATGCGAAGCATATCACCCAAGTGGCTATGGCGGTACTAGGACTGAGTCACACGTACAACACCAAAGGTATGTTTGTATTTTCTGGAGAATTAAGTATTAGAACTCACACTTTATGCAGTCGGTGATGACTATATTCGAGGCGTATCTGGAGGTGAGCGAAAGCGAGTCAGGTATGGAGCCCTAATTACAACAGTGTTCGCTTCTAGTGCTAACATTTAGAATTAGTATTGCAGAGATGGCACGTAAGTTGACCGAACTATGAGTAGTTCCCTACACCCATACTGATATTGATATAGTATCTGGTGCTCCAGTGGGTGCATGGGACAACAGCACTCGAGGATTAGATTCCGCCAGTGCTCTGGAGTTTGCCAAATCCCTGAAAGTGTCCGCAGACTTGATCGGCAGCTGCCATGCGGTTGCAATCTACCAAGCGTCTCAGGCAATATACGACATTTTTAACAAGGTCGTCGTCTTGTACGAAGGCCGACAAATTTTCTTCGGCCCGTGCGATCAAGCCAAAGATTACTTCGTGGAAATGGGCTGGGAGTGCCCACTACGCCAAACAGTCGGTGACTTCCTGACCTCCGTCACCAATCCCCAGGAGCGCAAGGCCCGTGATGGCATGGAGAACAAAGTTCCTCGCACGCCTGAAGACTTCGAGAAGTATTGGAAGAGTAGCTCCCATCATGTCGCCCTCCAAAAAGAGATTGCTGAATACAGGACGGAGTATCCGCTTGGAGGACCTGCTGGCAAGGACTTCAATGCGACAAAGCGACTGCGACAGGCAAAGCATGTTCGACCCAAAAGCCCATATGTCATTTCAATTCCTATGCAGGTAAAGCTTTGCACGAAAAGAGCTTATCAACGGTTTGTGACTTCTTCCCTCTACTCTGAACACAATTAACGTTATTCTTTCACAGGATTTGGAATGATAAACCCTCGACGTTGACAACTGTGATTGGGCGCATAGTCATGTCTTTGATTATTGGGTCAATCTATTTCGGGTAAGGCCTTCCCTGAACCTTCCAACGGGCAGTTGCTTACTCCTCTTATAGGACACCCCAAGCTTCTGCAGGCTTTCAAAGTAAAGGTGCAGCGCTTTTCTTCTCGGTTTTGTAAGTACTTTTTCCCACAGGGGGGACGATTGCTCTAATAACTTCGTTGTCAGAATGAATGCCCTAATCAGCATCACGGAGATAAATTCTCTCTATGATCAGCGCCCTATCATTGAAAAGCAAGCATCCTATGCTTTCGTCCATCCATTTACGGAATCACTTGGAGGCATAGTTGCTGATATACCGGTCAAATTTGTGTCTGCTGTAGTGTTTAATATCATCTTTTACTTCTTGGCTGCATTGGTAAGTCTGATCACCGCCTCTCACGACAGGATCCTAACAGATTCGACAGCGATACGAGCCTTCACAATTCTTCATCTTCTTTCTATTCACCTTCTTGAGCACACTCGCAATGTCAGGTGTCTTTCGGACTCTAGCTGCATCCACGAAAACCCTTTCACAGGCTATGTCAATGGCTGGAGTCATGGTTCTAGCCATCGTCATTTACACCGGGTTTGTGATCACGGTACCAGAAATGAGCAATATCCCATGGTTTAGTTGGATCCGATGGATCAATCCGGTCTTCTACACGTTCGAAGCATTGGTTGCAAATGAGTTCCATGGCCGTCGCTTTGAATGCTCGCGATTCATTCCTGCCTACCCCAGTCTTACTGGAGATTCTTTTATCTGCGCTGTACGAGGCGCTGTGGCAGGAGAAAGAACTGTGTCTGGCGACGCCTACATCCACTCACAGTACACATATAGTTATGCGCACGAATGGCGGAATCTGGGAATCTTGATTGGATTTTGGCTCTTTTTTATGGCAATCTACCTACTTGCTTCAGAGCTTAATTCGTCTACTTCTTCTAAGGCTGAATTCCTGGTCTTCCGCCGTGGCCATGTTCCAGCACATCTACGCCATCTCAAAAATGGCGAGGGAAGCACTAGCTCGGCAGAGGTCAGTCAAACGCAGAAGAAGTCAGAAGACAATAAAGATATTTCAGCAATTACCGCGCAACACGATATCTTCACCTGGCGAAATGTTTGCTATGATATTCCAGTCAAAGGCGGCGAGCGTCGCCTTCTCGACAATGTCTCTGGCTGGGTCAAGCCCGGCACCCTAACAGCATTGATGGGTGTATCCGGCGCAGGAAAAACAACATTACTTGATGTCTTGGCCAAACGAGTTTCTATTGGAGTCGTTACAGGTGATATGCTTGTCAATGGGAAACCACTCGACACCAGTTTCCAGAGGAAAACAGGTTATGTTCAGCAACAAGATTTGCATCTTCCTACTACAACTGTTAGGGAAGCACTTCGGTTCAGTGCCATGTTGCGCCAGGCAAAGACCATCCCCAAGAAAGAGAAATACAAGTACGTGGAGGAGGTGATTGAGATGCTTGGTATGCAGGACTTCGCAGATGCCATTGTTGGAACACCAGGAGAAGGGTTGAATGTGGAGCAAAGAAAACTCTTGACTATTGGCGTCGAACTCGCCGCAAAGCCCGCTCTGCTCATTTTTCTCGATGAGCCTACCAGTGGCTTGGATTCGCAAAGCTCATGGGCGATTTGTGCTTTCTTACGGAAGCTCGCCGAGCATGGGCAAGCAGTTTTGTCCACCATTCACCAGCCGAGTGCACTGCTTTTCCAGCAGTTTGATCGTCTGCTTTTCCTCGCTAAAGGTGGAAGGACGGTCTATTTCGGTGACATTGGAGACCAATCCCGGGTGTTATTGGATTACTTTGAGAGCAACGGGGCTAGGCCCTGTGACTCATCAGAAAATGTAAGACTTACTCTAACGGCGTTTGAAGAAACCATACTAACAAATCGCTAGCCCGCAGAGTATATGCTAGAAATTATTGGAGCGGGTGCGTCTGGAAAGTCAACGCAGGATTGGCCGCAAGTGTGGAATCAGAGCGAACAAGCCAAATGTGTCCAAGCTGAAATTGTCCGTATTCACGACGAGCGAGCTTCTGCAAGTGCCAGCGAAGATGAGCAATCTCAGAAGGGTGAATATGCAATGCCATTCACTTCACAGCTGTGGCATGTAACCCATCGATCTTTCCAGGGTTTCTGGCGTGAGCCATCCTATGTATGGGCAAAGATCATGCTGGGGACTATGTCCTCTCTCTTCATTGGATTCACATTCTTCAAGCCTGACAGCTCTTTACAAGGGTTTCAAGACGTCTTGTTCAGCGCGTTCATGCTAACCTCGATCTTCTCGACCCTGGTGCAACAGTAAGTAAATGGATCTAATACTTCCCCAACACGCATACTAACCTCCCGCCTACCAGAATCATGCCCAAATTTGTGGTTCAACGCTCCCTCTATGAGGTCCGTGAACGACCCTCGAAAGCCTACTCGTGGGGCGCTTTCCTCATAGCAAACGTGCTGGTCGAAATTCCCTATCAAGTTTTCGTTGGCGTGATCAGTTGGGCGTGCTACTACTACCCAATCTATGGTTCAGAACAAGCCTCCCACCGACAAGGACTAATGCTGCTATTTGTGGTGCAGTTCTACATTTTCACATCCACCTTTGCATCACTGGTGATATCATCCCTACCAGACGCCGAAACGGGCGGAACAATCGCTACACTTATGTTTATCATGACCCTAACCTTCAACGGCGTTATGCAGCCACCCTCTGCCCTGCCGGGATTCTGGATATTTATGTACCGTGTCTCGCCCCTGACGTATTTGATTGCAGGCATCACTGCAACTGGCCTACATGGCCGAGGAATTCATTGCGCAGATGCCGAGCTCAGCGTTCTAAATCCTCCTGCGGGACTGACATGTGGTGCATATCTTGAACCATATGTCAAGGCCGCTGGCGGTCAATTGTATAATCCCGCCGCTACAATTGGCTGTCAGTATTGTCAACTGCAGAATGCGGATCAGTATTTGTCTTCAAGTAACATATGTAAGTGTTGCAGCCCTCTGTGATGATTTCGGCTAATTTGGGGGGGCAAAACAGTTTACAGTGAACGCTGGCGCAACTTCGGCCTCGGATGGGCATATATTGGGTTCAATGTGGCTGGTACTGTGCTGCTTTACTATATGTTCCGCGTGAAGCACTACAACCCCACCTCATTGGTGAGAGGAATTGGGCAAGGTGCTTCCTTCCTTTGCCGTGTCTTCAAGCGGCGATCTGGGCAGACACCCAAGGGCAAGGAAGCAGATAATGGTAGGCTAGTTTGATCATCTTGTGTGATATACTTGAACAACCTTGGAACGGAGACCGAGTTGTGTTTTTCAGAATGAGAGGAATTATAGATTGGTTGAGCTGCTGAACAGTATCATGGATTGAGCCGTCTGAGGCTAGCGTAAAGACAAAGATCAACAAGAATGGGATAGTTGCGTGGTCATCAAGGGTAGGTCACATAGATCATCGAAGGAAATGGAATGGGTCGAAGCAATGTGATTATATTGGGTTCGAGGCAAGAGAAAAAGAACAGGAAGAAGTGAATGAAGCCTCCCAGAATGAGACCAAGCTAGGAGTAAGAAAGACTCGGGGTATTATGCAAAAAAGATCAGATGAGGAACGCCAGAATGCAGAAGCCCCAAAGCAAGAGGGTAGAGTGAGCCAGAGAGAAATAAAGATAGTGGCCACGTGCAATCGAAGGCACCTGAAGGAAGAGCTTCGTAGGACGAGTGCCACTACGATCGAGGTCTGAAGCCTAGACCACCAACAGGTGCAACGACCAAAGCATTGACAACATGTCCAGCTTGCCACTTCTGCTCAATCAGGGGCTCTCTCTCATTCAAGAAATGACCGAGGTAGGCGATTCGAACGCGCCTATCAGCGTCAAGCTAAACATCAAACGTTAGTATCAAGTGACGATGAAAATTGTGACAAACAAAATCATGGATGAGAACGAACATTAGCCTCCTGATGTACCTTCCTGGCCAAAAAGCCCACAGTCTGACCCTTGTTCATAGAGATCAAGATATCTGGCCCACCACCTTCACTCAGCCGAGCCAGTACGCGGATCAAATCCCGCTCACTAGTCTTCCCCTTCTCATCACGACGGCGCTCAATATCCTGAGATATCAACTCATCCCCGGAAGCATCATCCGGGGCAAGCTTACCATCGGAAAGCGCCTCATGATCCAGGTCCTCGTCAACACGACCCCCTTCCACATCTAGGGAATGGGAAGAAACAGCCATATTATCTGGATCACTAACAATACACTGCGGAAGGCGGTAAAGCACGCCCTGTTCATCGTAACATCCTTCACAAAGGTCACCAGTGGGGACCGTAATCCCCGCCGCATCAATGATGCCTTGCGCAGTGACCAAGTCGCCACTGCGCATTAGTGAAATGGCGGTCGAGACCGCGGCCCAGATCTCTGCTCGGCCGGTTACGCGCGTTTCGAAGAATTCCGCTCGCTCGCGGTCTATCTGAGAGCGCGTCCAGGTCCGCCGCTTGCTGGTCCAAACATGGTTGCGTACCGGCTCGTTGTAGTGCTGGTTTAGAGGGAGGTTCGGGGCTCGGCGTCGCCCTTGCGAGGTATCGGCATGGCCGGCGCTGGGGTAATTCGAGGATGAGTGCGGGTAGGGGGTTTGGTCGTCGTCGTTACGCGACAGTAGAGAGGCGCAGCAGCCCTGGTGAGGGTGTTAGTTATGGTAATGAGAGGCTGGGCGGTCGTGTGATACTCGACAGTTTATGCCAAGTAATACAGGCCTATCTTATTGAGGCTGTTGTATAGGTGCTGGGATTTGGGGTAGTCATATTTACCATCTTGCTTGCGTCCAAAGACCTCCATATGAGGGGGGAAGTTGTAAGAGGGGCGATTGCGATTGCGTGGAGCAGTGACGATCTGGACTCCGCTCAATGGGTCCCTTTAAGGCTGAGCACAGACCTACTTCGACAAACTGTAGATTGAAGAAGGCGACGAAAAACAACGAAAGATGTAAGGAGAATTTGAGAAGAAACAAAAGTAAACTAGAAAATAGAAGAAAGAATTATAGAGAGAGAGAAGGAAAAAGAGGGTACATTCCACCAGTTCGGAAACATCAAGCCTATCGATCTTAATCTTGTCGCTGGTTGGAGTACTTGAAACAGTCACACAACGATCTACAGAGCATTTTTGCTTGATTCGTACAGGCTTATGACGAAAAGAGCATACATATTTAGCTAAATACATTCTCATAAGATTATCATTGGATAGTGGTAATGACCTCATATGTACACATCAGGGTTTATTCGCCAAAGATAGCTTTGAAAACAGCATCGCCAGGCCGCTCTGCCTCCAGGGCTTCATTGCGTTCTGGTTCAATTACTGGTGGCGCCACATTCACGGGCTGGCCACCGGTAGATGGTTTAGACCCATCTGCGTCAGGCAGATAGCCCAGCGAATCGATAAGAAGCTGGTTCATTATATCTTGCGACACCAATTGTTTAGAACCGGAATCAGCCTGGAATCCGCTGGACTGGAAGCGCGTGGCTGGACCGGAAGAAGCGGCCCCGGATTTTTCGCTAGGATCTGATTGCACATTCGAAGGTGGCTTCACATTAAAGCGCTTGCATAATAGTCGAGATGGGTAAAAGTCGATTGTGCTTCGGGTCATGTGGCCGAACATTCCAATCTTAGCAGCTGCGACCGCAGGATCCTCTGGTTTCTCTGTAGGCTTATTGAGGACAGAGTCTGTAGAGTCGGGGGCATCTGAGGCGGCTTTGGGGGCGGTCGATGCTGAGGTAAATCGGGATGCCATTAAACCGGAAATAGGTTTGAATACCTCTGCAGCTCGACAAAACTCTTGCATCTCTGTTATCCATTCGTCTGTGCTGGACCCATCCACCCTTTCAGGGAGGGTGTCGCGAGACCCGGCACTAACTTCAAGGAAGACTCGGTAGCGAGCACGTTTCTTCTCGTCCTCTTGATAGGGCATCCACCCACTAACGGCCCGAGCTAGGGCCTGGGCGGCAATCTGCTTGTCGACTTTCGGTACAAGGTCCCAGAGGTCTTTCCGTCTGTGTGATTCAGGAAGTTCGTATCCTTTGGGTGCCTTTTCTCCCATGGCCGGAGGTAGGTTGCTGTTGCCGGTAAGTTTGGCAATTTTTTCTCGTGCTTCAGGTGTCATCCAATCAAAGATGGATTTTCCAGGCAATTGAGCCTCACCCAAGAGTGCTGCTCTAGATGTAGGATCCAGCGACGAGGCTTTGGCAGCGTCGGCTATTGAGACGTAGTTCGATTGGTCACGCTTGTCTGAAGAGACCTCCTTGGCAGATTTCCAGTCATCGGGTATTACGGGAGGGTCATATTTCTTCCCAGAGATTGACAGACCCGAGATGCCATCGGCAAGAACGAACCCGTCCAGCGGAAGACGCCCATCACGGCATTTTCTGAAGCCTCCAGCCCCCCTCGAAGCTGCTAACTTCTTCGATATGAATACAGGCTTTGAGTTTAAGAGGGGATTAGATGAGGCGATTGTTGGTTTCCCCTCATCTGTTTTGCCCTTCTTCTTTTTCTTCTTATCTCCTCCGATCGTTTTGTTGTATGAAATTTGCGGTCCCAAAGAATAGGGATCTTCGTCGTCCGACCCCGTGTCGTTGAGAGGGCCAACTCCAAATCCTCCCCGCCGTGAGTCTTTTGGTTTCGACGGCTGTGATTTTCCTTGGATGGCTAGACGCCCCCCAAAGAATGAATCTGCTTCTTCGGCTTTGGTATTTGCTCCTGTGGGAACGTGAGACTCCAAACGCGCTTCAGCCTCAAAGCCAAGACCTTTGCGGTCAGTCTTGCGAATGAACGCGACCATGGGTGGGTTTTCAGGCGCAAACAGGTATGTCTCCTCATCAGTATTGGGAGCAGAGCTCTCATCTAAATTGGCTGCGCGCCGCACTTTAGGCCCGATGCCTTGGCCTTCGCGCCAACCCATCTTTTTTAGAAGTTTTACTCCCATGGTTTCTCCTCCAGTTTTCAGTATGTCCATAAGTCCTGCCCTCCGAGTTGCATCTTTATCAGTAGACCCAAAGCCTGCGAACTCATTCGCAGTCTTTATTTGTCTTGATTCTTCTTGTTCTCGCAAGTCGTCCTCGTCCATGTAATCTTCGGGCCGCTGTTGCTCTGCTTTTTTAGCGCGGTTCTGGCGAGATGAGACAAAGGTCGCGGGTGTCCATCCTTCCTTTGAGCCGACGGAATTGAAGTACCTAGAAGACATCAGTGTTTGTTCTTGCGAAGTCCATGAGCCACTCACCCCGCGCTGAATCCACCCGTAAAAGCGCCATGGAGACGCTTCCTGCCTTTTTCATCCCTCACATCCTGCTGCCAGATGGGAACGAATGAGCCGTCATCACGAACACTATCATCGAGTGGTGGCAGTGGGGTTCCGAAGAAAGCATATGGCGATTGCTGTGCTTGAAAATCGGCTTCGAGAGCAGCACGATTGCGTTTGAGGGTCATTTTCGAGTGAGACAATCACCCAAAAGGAGGGTTGTCACGTCATTTGTATCAAGGTATTGCAGAAAAGAAGAATGTAGTTTTTGGACATTGATATCTAAGGGTAGCTGCGGCCTCGAAATTTGGCCTGAGGCTTCAAAGCTTATATAATACAACAATGTGTCAGCATTTCCAGCATCTAAAAAACTCAATGTGTAGACTTTGCATTGTTTGCTGTGTTACTATTGTTTGCATTGTTTACTTCACTTTGAGCTCTGGTTTCAATGTCTTCAAAGATTCAGATGTTGTCAAATTGAGGAATTGGATATCAAGTCCACCATTCCCTTCAATATACAGTTTTCAACTAGTAGATTGACACCTGTTATGAATGACCCCGAGATATTCTGATTGTTCGCGTAGGAACTGGGTATTGGAACCGAAGGCTGATTGGCACGTTCCTTGGCCCACGAGGATTCCTGATCTTCCCCTGGACCTCCCTTTTAAGGAGATTTGATATTCAGATATACTTCTACGGAGTACAATACAATATTATAGCACTTTAGAAATGAGTTTTCACATAGCTTTATTATATTTTATGACATGGATCGCTCATTGTAGTCTCACTTTAAGCAATGGTTAGCCTAAATAGAACTTTATTAAGGCGCTTGGGTTTTAGAATCCTTGGCGTCTTTGGCGTGTGAAGATTAGGGGCCAACGTTTTTTTGGATTTCTCAACTCCACCGTACTCTGTCACCCATTTGCAACCATGCTGCTATTATAGCTTTTACATTTTGGATCCTGTATCTTCAGGCTGAACAGGGATCGTGAGATTCATACAGAACCCAGCTGCGGCCTGGGAACCTTATCTAGGAATGCTGGGCCGGTTCACGCGGTATCGCAGACGATTCTATCTAGTTTTGGCCTTCGCAGTTACCTCAATATGCTTCATCAATCTTCTCTTCCTCACCCAAGCTGTCGACAGTACCGTGATCCCACTTCCGACCTTCGGGTTGTTCACCGCAAAAACAAAACCCGTGTTCGGGCATTATGCGCACGATGAGCACCCGATCGCCAATTTGATGAAGGAAGCGGATCGCCAGTGGCAGGCATACGAAAATGATCGCTCAACGAGTTTTCGCCAAACTGTTACCAAATATCGTGAGACTTATGGAAGACACCCACCTCCCGGTTTCAAAGAGTGGTACATGTTCGCCCGCAAAAGAAATGCGCACAATATGGACGACTTTCAGCAAATAACTGGCGACTTGAGACCATTCTGGGGAGTTCCTCCAGCAGAAATTCGGCAGATGGCGGCCAAGCTACAACACAGCGATGGAATTATGGGCGTCCAAATTCGCAACAACAAGGTGGTTTACTCCAGCGAGGAGGGATGGAGGATAGAGACGTTCCGGAAATCTGTTAAACGAATTGCGCGGTATCTCCCAGATATGGACATAGCACTCAACATTCATGATCAGCCGCGAGTGATGCTATCATGGGAAGACACCCAAGAATACCTCCGCATCGAATCACGCACCAGAGGCCTGCCGAAAGATGCGCAAGATCGATTCACCCCGGACATGAAGTATCTGAACAAAAAGGCTTCCGACATCGAGGGTGTGGATCCATCTTGGTTTTCTGTTGCAGGCCAGCTCTACATGGACTCTGCCCAAGACTCTTGCCCTCCAGACTCTCCGGCTCGCAACCACAACATCACAGTCGAGGAAGCAAATAAGTTATACAAATCAGCATTGGGTGGATTTGTGACTAACTTTACCGCTTCATCCGATCTATGTACCGTCGGCCCCGTTCTCGGGAAGAACCACGGGTTTTTGTTTTCGGCTTCCAGTAACGTCATCACAAGGAAACTGATTCCTGTCTTCAGCGAATGCAAAGTGAGCGTGAACAACGATATCCTGTTCCCTGCGAACATGTATTTTATGAACGACAAGCGCTACACATACAACGCACGTCATGACTACGAGTGGGAAGACAAAGGGGACAATCTTCTCTGGCGCGGCGTGACCTCCGGTGGTGTTCAGCTCGCAGACAACTGGCAGCAAATGCATCGTCAGCGCTTTGTGCAGCTGGCTAATAGCACCGAGATGGCCTCACAGACTGTTCAGATTCTTTCTGAAACGAGCATGAATCAATACCAGGAATACACCGATTTCTACCCAAGCAAATTCGCCTCAGACAACTTCGATATTGGCTTTACCGAAGCATTCGGCTGTATTCCAAACTGCTCTTTCTACGATGATGTCTGGACTTACAAAATGGCAAAACCATTCAGCGAGCAATTCAAATCCAAATACCTCATCGACATCGATGGCCACAGTTTCTCTGGCCGGTGGCGCGCTTTCCAACTCAGCAAGTCGCTGGGTATCAAAGCGACCATTTTCCGAGAATGGCATGACTCGCGCCTCTTTGCCTGGCGCCACTTTGTACCCATGGATAATCGCTACGATGACCTGTACTCTCTAATGACGTACTTCATCGGCCTGGACCCCAAGACGTCGTCCCAAGATGCGTTTTCAATTAGCGAACCATACATTCAAAGCCACGACTTTGAGGCGGAGGTGATAGCAGCTCAGAGTCGAGAGTGGGCGCATCATGCATTGCGAAACGAAGATCTGGATATCTATCTTTACCTTCTTCTGCTTGAGTATGGCCGCATCATTGATGATAACCGCGACATAATCGGCTATAGTGGTGACGGAAGTGAGCTAGACTACTTTGACGACCAATACTCATTCTCTCCAGCGATACGAAATATCGTTAACCCTCCCACTGACACCCATAAACAATAACTTCTGTCTGCATTCTATTCTTGTTACATATTTCTATTTTCTACCGATCTGCCTCGGGTATTTCGAGCACATAATCATGTCTAATGACCAAAACATCTTTCTTTTTACCACGCCTACAATCTACAGTTGTGGACTTTTACTATCTTTTACTGACAAACGAGATGTCCCGTCTCAATTCGATGCTCCCGTTGAACAGATTAAGCACACGCAATGCAATATATATATTGCAGTAACCGTGGTTATCAAAGAATAGGCTACCATGAAAAGTGTACCAAGCCGACTCGTGGAGTGCCAAAAATACTCATAGTCGATGATTGACCCCATTAGCTTGATTATGAAGAGTTCAATATCTCAATATCAAAGACCAGCCCTGGGAAGAGCTCAACCGTGCCTGGCTTCACACCATTAAACACCAGCCGAACAGACGCATCTCCCCCAGAAAGGGAAATTCCATGTTCTCCAGCCGTCGAGCTGGAAGGGACTTCATAGTTCCAGGGTCCGTTGAAAATAGCATCATACGCTCCCTTGAAATTCACAATCTGTCCATCAGGGACATGCACCGACACAGAGGAAATGCCTTGCACGCCATTCGGATGTTGAGTGAGATTTGGCTCAACCTCATAAGGGACACGGTTTGTGCGAGGTGTTCTGTCCAGACACCAAAATGGTAATGATCCTGGAAGGTTCTTTCCTTGCCCATCTTTGGGCACGCAAACCGCCCATTTCAACACGGTGCCGTCTGGTTTGGTGCGAGCTCCAGCAATAGGGTCTGTATAGGAAACGTCGGTCTCTGCTCCATGAAATCGCTGTTGGACGGCGGCGAAATCGCTTTCAGATCGTAAAGTGAAAGCCCAGTCAATGATGGTGTCTTCTTTCTCATTCCCCCAGCGATGATTGCGGCGCCTTTCAGGGTCGATGTCGTCGAAGAAGGCAATAAATTCAAGGTAAACGCCATCTGAGAGGAGAATCAACTTGTTCGTGGTGAGTCCGTCGGCGTGGTTTCCTCCTGGTGCTAGGACAAATTGACCCTCAATATATTTGGAGATTCCGAGAAGGGTTTTGTGAGAAACGAGAATGACGATGTGGTCAAGGATGGGTATTTGTTGGTTAGACATGGTGAAAAGGATTCATGAGCCCGATCTTAGGTTAGATACAATGAGATAATGTTACTTAGACGGAACGTGAGATCAAAAGTTCCCCCGCATGCTATTTATGGACAAACCCCTCACTTTTTGTAGAATTTAGTTCTCTGTCCGACAGTTGATTTGATTTGGTAGGAGATTGCGTGATTAGATATACCATTTCAGCTCTTTTCCAAGCAGTGTTGTTCTTGGTAAGGGGAAATAGAGTGTTTTCTTTGAGTATCAAATAATATAACTGGCCAAGATCTATATATATATGCGCCCGTTCTGGAACAGGGATGCAGGGTCGAATAGTTGGAGAACGAACCAATTGATTCGCAACATCACATAGGTATCGTCGCACATCACATATCATCACATACTAACAATATAAAAGGTGCAATCCTAATTTAGGTTTCAAGATTGCTTAATAGTTATGAGACATCTATGCTCCGATCTTTGAAATCAGTTCTATACAGACTTTACACATTTCACTAGGAAGCACGATGTTGCGATATGTATCGCACATTTTCAGCGACCCCATCACAAAAGAAGCCGAGATGTGGAAGTATCACAGAGTAACGAGTATTATCCTCGTCCACGACGGAGCGGGGTTGGTATTCGCTTAAGGTCTCGTATGAAGGTTTAATCGGGATTGTGTGTTCCGAGTATGGACATTACTCAAATTATATGTATATTGACTGGGTAATGCGCGAAAACTGATCGTGACTTAAAGTAATTATATGGAAATAAACATTTTGTGGTACGTAGGTGCCGATGATGTGAAGCATTTTCTCAAAAGCAGTCACCGCTCATATCTCTGCGCGTATTCGTCGGTTCTCATTTGACATTCTTAGATAAATGCTTTTCGTCCGGGGGGCTGGGGCCGACGGCAGTTCGGGGGTTTTCTTAGTGAATCGAAGATGGGCTTCGTCGATGGAAACGACGTACCGCGAAACAAATGAGGCTAGTTGATGTATATGTTAGACAAAATTTGCTGGATGAATAGAATCCGCAGACTCGCTTTTGTGTTTTTCCAATGTTCTATGCATCCATAAATAAATTCATCGTTACGAAGTAAGTCTAAAAGGCAGCCAGCCCTTGATCAGAAAAGTAGAAATAGAATAACGATCATTCCTAGTTCCGACACTTAAATATGTAACAAGAGTAAGACTATACAGCATCAACGGTAGGCTTATCTACCTTATCGAACACATAACACAATGTACAGTCATATTATATGATCACCAAGACCATCTAAAACTGAGCCATACCAACAATCATGGAGATCATGGCAATGGTGAAAGCAGAAGTGTAGTAAGAAGCGGAGGCAGCAGAGACAACGCTGATCGAAGAAGCAGCCGCCGAAGCCGAAGCCGAGGACGAAGCATACGACGAAGAGCTAGCGCGAGCCGACGAAGAAGTCTTGCTGGAAGACACAATCGAGCTGGAGTTCGAGGTGCTTAAGTTGGTGGTCGTAGTACCGTTAGTAGCCTTGATGCTGGTGTACGCACCAGTCTTATCGGTGTAGGTGTACGCAGAGGCAGGGTTATAGTTGATGATGTCGACAGACTCGACGTACATCGAGAAAGGTCCGGCCGTGTAATCGGTCTCGCCGCCCGCCCACTCGATAGTACCCTCGGAGTTATCGGGGTCGCCGCCGGCCCAGATCCCGATGCGGATGCGCATCGGCGTCTGTGGGTAGTTGGTGCCATCGACGGCATCGGCGTACTCGAGGGTGCGGACGACTTCGCCGTCTAGCAGCCACTCGATGCGCTCGGAGGTCCAGTCGATAGAGTAGGTATGGAAGGTCTCCTCCGGGGTGGAGACGGTTACGGTGGTGCCGCGGTCGTACGAGGTTGTGTTGCCCTTGCCGAAGTAATCGGTTTGGATCTCGGTGTCCCAGGTGCTGATTTGCTCCTGTGCGTTGTTAGTGGGTTGTTGTTAGGGTATGGGATGCGAGGTTTACTTACCCAGTCGATCTCGTCGAGGTCATCGGATTCCAGGATCCAGGTGCTGACAATACCGGTGCCGTTGGCGGCTCTCATCTTGACATCGACACGGCCGAAGAAGATGTAGAACTCGCTCTCGATTGTGGGGGCATCGCCCTCTGCGGAAACGGTGAACTCAGCACCGAGGTCGGTGCTGGTTACGGTGCCCGCGGTGGTGTTCCAGCGTCCCAGAGACCCGGAAGTGAAGTCAGTGTTGAGACGGTATTTGTTCAGACCGGTATCCGCAGGGCAAGTCTCTGTAGAGCGGCGTTAGTTTTCTGTCATGTATGCCTGAAAGATATGCATACTCTTGAGAGGATTGCAGCTAGTAGTGGTCTGCGCAGCAGCAGTGGCAGCCAGGGCCAAAACAGCCCATTGGTAATAAGACTTGAAACCCATATTGAAGCTAAAGCAACACAGCGAACGAATGAACGAGGGTGACTAGGTGTAGATGATCGACAGAGCAAAAAGCGAGCGAATCTCCAGGAATTATAGGTAGCGGAAGTAGCCTCGGCCAAGCAAAAGCAAAACCATAAACATGGATTGTAGTTTTATTCTTAGATGTGCTACGTTGATATGTTGCCTCCCAACCTTGGAACATCACCTCCACTACAAGGCTGATGCAGACAGCCACGACATCGTAGGATTGCGATTGGTTCTGTGGAATGAACCATTATGGAGTCAAAAAATGGACGTGTAGGATATTAGCAACAAGTCTTAGTAAAGTGGTAAAAATTACTCCGTAATCAATTGAAGATCCACTTGAAAAGCTTGGATGGAGGATGACGGGGGCAGCTTGCGCGGTTGGCCCCAGTTGGTTGGGAACTAACGGGAAGGGCTACGTACGCCCTGAGAGATTTTTTCCACTCGATTTGGTGCCTGACACCGAATTGTTGATTCTTCTCCTTTCTACAATGCTTAATTCTATACAATATTGTACTTTGTGGAGTAATAATGGAGTACATATTTACGATTCAATGTTTGGAAATTATGTGCCAATCACAGTGAAGTGCTCCAGTGTTGAAGTTGATCTTTAGGGCTGCGATGGAGTAGTATCAACGAACTCGGTTTTAGATATAGTGAACTACCTAGGTATTAATCAATACAAATAATGAAAGGTCCGAGATACTGGATTGAGACATTGCAGGTACTTTTTAACATGTTTGGCACATCACAACATTCAAAAACATGACCTATCAATGGAAGGCCCACCAACAATAACTCGTTCATACCACACAATAGTGAAAAATATTCTTCCGACATTGCGCGACCGTAAATTACGCCCATTAAGGCGAGCTAAAAGAACAATAGATTGAACGCAAGGCGGGTATCCATGGGACTTGTCCCATTAATCAAACTTCAAGACATATATTATTGCTTCAAACACACATGGATGCGAACAGATGAAATATTAAACAGTAAAAAAGACACATGGGAGTGTTGGGGCGACCAGAGCACAGTCCAAAACTAGGCAGGGCCATCACGGATGCGCAGGAAAGTCTCGTATTGCTTGCGAGTCAATTGTCGACACCTCTTACCCCAGTAAATCATGGGAACAGTCGTCATGATGAAACAGAAGCTCAAAACGCCAATCGCGATGAAAACCTGAGCGAGAGTCTGTGCATCAAGCCAGTTCTGAGCAGTGAACGTGAAAAGACAACCAATGGTATTGTTGATGACCGAAACACCGACCATGCCCTCCAGCACCATATCCGGATACGCATCCATAAGATATGCCATGCTGAGATCACCCGCACAGCCCCAGCCAAAGCCGATGAAGCCCAAACCGAGATACGGCAAATGCCAATCCCAGCCTTTGTCCGAGCCAATACCGAACAGCATGAGACCGGCAGGGCCGATGAAAGCAACCGGCAGCAGGAGCCAGAGACGTTGCTCGGCCTCGAAAATGCCGCCGTTTCGGCGCGCCATCCACACGACGAAGAAATCGGAGAACCATCCTCCGTAAATGCAGCCGATGACCGCGCCAATCAGAGTAGGCACATTCATGATACCCACTGCTGCATCGCTGTAATTCCAGGGTGCATCGTACCAGTTGTCTTCTTCCACTGTGAGGTAGAAGGTCAACCAGGCGTCCTGAGCACCCCATTGAAGGCCCGAGTAGAGCACAGCGGGGAAGGTGAACACGCGCAGCGTGTGCAACAGTCGACGGGTATATTGCTTGAAGCCGGTCCCGACCAAGGTTGGGGACGGGGTGATCAGGGCGATGCGCTGGAAATAGGTCTTACCCTTCTTCTGGCCGCATTCCTCGTCGAGCTGGTTGTCGGGTGTGGCCTGGACGCTTGTCGCGGTCTTTTCCTTTCCGTCCAGCGGGAGGTCGGTTGGGTCCTCAGTTTTCTCAATTGAACCGGGAGTCGCGTCTTGTCCTTGGATGCCATGGACGGGATTGTTCCGATCAAAGAATGTTTCCTCTAATCCAAAGAAGAATACGAAAATCAAACCCCCCGAGATCATCGCGGCAAGCCAGCCCACCCATCTCCATCCAAGGGGAGAATCAGTGATGAAACCAGACACCATTGGGCCCGTGAATGTACCAATACTGGTAGCAAGGACGTACAGACCCAAGACGAGACCTCTCCGATGCTGATAAAAGAGATCGGAAAGAGAGAGTTGGGCAAGCGCCTCGGCACATGACTCGGAGGCGCCCACGAAGAGCTGGCTCCAGATATTATCCTGAACACCTTCGATGCGGGCCAGCCAGATCGAGCCGATGATGGAGAACATCAGACATATCAAGTAGGAGATGCGGCGTCCATATAAGAAAGGTGCTGGACTGAGCAGCAATGTGGTATATCCAATGCCAACAAATAGTACACCGGCAGCAATGTTGATCTGGTCCCAGGTAATACCCAGATCGGCGTTCATGCCATTGCCCGCCGTACCGGCGTCGTTAGAAGTGGCGGCGGTTAAAGCGACAAAGATCAAGACCAAAAATGCATGCCAATACCGCCTCCACGTGCTCCAGTTAAGTGGGTCGTCTGGAGAATTCGTAGGGGTTGGAATGAGTTGGACTTCGCCGTTTGTACATAGGCGCTCCGTCCCATTGAGTAGTGGTTCCTCCATATCCAAAATTTCTTTTCTATGGCAATTGGAATCTGATCAAAACCCCACTGGTCAAGCCAGTCATGCTGAAGACATATTTATGTAGAAGCGGGAGAAACTCTATCTGGGGAAGTCCAATGGAGGGAATGAGATTGGGAGAGAAACGCAAAAAAATTGAAGGATAAGAGTTTTATGTTGTGTGGGGCACAAACAGGGAGATAAGCAACACAGCTAAGCATTTTTTCACGCGTAGACCTACTCTCAATCGTTTAGTGCCCGTTCTCTTTAAATGTTCAACAATCACTACTCCGTATTCAACCAACCATTTCATACTTTGAAGTTATCTATATAATTTATTTATTGACTTTGATGTATTATGACCTCATATCTGAAACAATACCCGAGATCATGCGTGAGATAAGAGAACGTGATGTGGAATGTAGGGCGCGGGTGGACTCTCCTGTTTGAGACAGCTCCCCGTGTACCCCGTGGCTTATTTTAAGCCATTTCCCCTCAACACCAAGATAGGGCCAAATCCTTCACTTGTTTGTGAACCCTGTCAAAAATTTCCCCAAATTTCAATAACCGAATGTCAACTTGTCAGCTCAGAATGGCTCAATCTTTCCATGTCGTTTCTTCCTTCACGGGTAGTAGTCCATTAAAACCAAGTAATTGTTGCTCCGACCTGGTTGCGCCTTTGGAAGCGGCAACTCTGGAAGAGTTGACGGTGAAAGGAACACACGCAGCGAGGTCGGAGCGCAAGAAGGTGATTGTGGTGGGAGCTGGAATTTCAGGTCTTCGTGCCGCGGCTGTTTTGCACCGCCACGGTTGTGAAGTGGTGGTGTTGGAGGCCCGTGATCGCATTGGTGGAAGAATCCTGACCACCAGAAATGGTGATCATGTCCGAGATATCGGTAAGATAACACTCCGAACCCGAAACAATCCGCGGGAATAAAAGGGGGAAAAGTGAAAACCAAATGAGAAGTTGCTGATCGATACCTGATAGGCGCCGCTTGGATGCATGAGACTTCCCAGAATAGTCTGGTGAAACTCATTCCTCAGCTGGCTATTCCGTACTATTATGATGATGGCCTTCCTCTGTACTTCACCAGAGATGGCCGAGCTGGATCCCAGTTCAAAGCAAAGAAAGTAGCCGACGAGTTCGCCGACTATTGCGAGTGGTTTTACGAAACCAACCCGGAGGCAGAGGACCGCCCGGTCCATGAATTCGCGAAAGAATTCGTCCTCCAACACCAGTTGATCACTGAAGACGAGCGTGATTGGGCCCCGCAGGCCGTCCGTGAGGTAGAATTGTGGATCGGCACCAGTACGGACCAAGCCTCGTCTAAGCATCTGTCCTACTTCATTACAGAGCGCAATCTGTATATGAAGGGTGGCTATGATCGGATTGTCAACTGGACCGCGGAGCCTCTCCGCGGGGATCCCAGTATCATCCGACTCAACCACCACGTTGAGAACGTGCAGTGGAACGAAGATGGGTCCGAGCAAGCTCGGATTCAATACAAGGATGCCGATGGAAACATCGGCTTTGTCGAGGGAGACGCGGTGGTCATGACTAGCCCTCTGGGAGTCTACCATCACAATCTCATCTCGTTCAACCCGCCCTTGCCGAGTGATATCCAAGAGGGCATGTCCAGGTTCAGCTACGGCGCCCTGGGCAAGGTATTCTTTGAATTTACTGAAGTCTTCTGGTCGAAGGACAACGACCAGTTCGTCTTCTACCCTTCTCCCCCGGATGAGTTAGATTCTTCATCCGGGTCGTCCGTGCAGTCTATCACGAGCATGAACTCAATCACGGAGAAAGACAACATCCTCAACTACGCCACTGTCACCATAAACCTGTGGATCATGACAGGAGGCAAGGAGCTGTGTGTGCAGATTGCCGAGCCTCTCACGCAACGCATCGAAGCCATGCAAGACTCCAAAGAAATCTATGAATTTTTTGAACCACTTTTCAAATTGTACCGCACTGAGCCGTACAAGGCTCTGCCCCGCCTGGTCAGTGTTGAAACTACACACTGGACCCAGGACCCGTTGGCTGGGTATGGCAGTTACTCGGCCGACAAGGTCGGGGATGACCCGGAGCTCTTGGTTGGTGCGTTGGAAAACCACAAGGCTAGTCGGTTGCAGTTTGCTGGTGAGCACTGTACTCTTGTTGCCAATGGCTGCGTGCACGGAGCGTTTAAGACGGGTGAAACCGCTGCTACCAACCTGCTCGAGAGCTTTGGCATTCCATTCGATGGTGGTGATTCTATCGGATCGAAGTGAGTGCTTTTCTCAGAATCAGAAGACTTCGATAGAAAGGCATAGTTGGACTTGTTCCAACTAGTATATAGATGCAGCTCTCTTGTCATTACAATGAGAAATTTTGTGTATCTACCATGATCGATCTTAGCTGAATGTATGTATTTAAATATTGATGTGAAACCATGCTCTCCGTTGTAGAACATTTATATAGATAGTTAAGGTTGCATGCCCCTATCTTTCAAGCGTTTGACAAGTAACTTTTTATCCTCGTCAAGCGGCCCAAGTATATCCTGAGGTGTCGCTAGGGATGGATACAAAGCCTCGAGACGAACATCACGGACAGAAATCTCATCTTCCAGTCCATCAGTGGTGATCTTTTGCGTTTCCACAATGCTACCTCGACCCCATCGGGCCTCCTGAAGAACGCGCCCAATGACATCAGCGCATTCCTGAGGCGTGAGGGACCCGTCATCTGACACTTTCATATTCAACTTATTCTCAAGCAAGGGGGTCTATTGCAAATTGGATAAACATTGGCTCGTTCATTCATTGGGTTGAAGGTGAAAAATTTGTACTTACTTTGACACTCCCTGGACATACGGCCGCAATGCGGATTCCAAAATGGTCGTTCAGCTCGCCGAGGCTCTTCACGAAACTCACAAGAGCTGCCTTGCTGGACATATATAATGGACTGTACATGCTGTGCACATACGCTGCTATACTAGAGACCGCCACAAAGTTGCCCTTAACATGCGGGTTGCGACACCAATAATCGATGGCCAGCTGAGCTAGACGAACTGGCGCGACATAGTTGATCGAGATTGTTGCATACGATCCTGGATTGGCATTTGGCGGATCTCTCGACTCGGGTGAGATACCAGGTGGTCTCCAGAAGTCGCTGAATGGCGGATCGTATACTCCGGCGATATTGGCAATGATGTCGATTTGCCCAAACTTTCGCAGAGTCGCTTCCCATAGGTCGCTCAGTTGAGACCAGTCAGCCACATCGGTCTTATGGAAGAAAGCAACTGGTGATTCTTTTGCAGTACATGCAACCGAATACTGGTCCAAAGTCGATTCGGCAGCGGGTTGCAGGCTCAGATCGGCGAAAACAACTTTGGAACCTTCTCTAAGTAGCAGCTTGGCAACTTCATAGCCAATACCAGAGCCGGCTCCTGTAACGATGGCAACTTTGCCTTTCAACTCATAGATCGACATAACAGCATGGGGGGTTGAAAGGACTTTGGCCACCTTAAAATGTGCGGGGAAGAAGAGCTTAAGTACTGAAATGTCACGCGTGGGAACATAGAACGATTAAAACATATGATTTCCCCCAACGTTGCATTTAACTGCCATTTACCCCGCCAGACAAAACCGCCAATATTTTCCAGCATAGTGTGCATGCCGAAGGATTTTGACCCCCACTCGAAGTAAAAAGATACGCTAATGCAGCCATGCGTTGTCCAAAATGCACCTGCCCAGGCGATCATATCATCTGACTTATCAATCTTGTTCGGATGTTTCCGAGGCCCACCGACGTTCCGATCCGAACGACCAATGACCTCGTGACCAACGACGTCTAAGGCGACCAAGTGACGATCGTACGTTTCTAAAAACGGGCCTGGAAGCAATCCTGATGGAAGCAATCGAGATCAAAGGCAGTCAGAAATTGGTCCGAGAATCATCATCTCAACCCAGACCAGGTACAAATCCAAATTGAAATAATTAGATTCCAATCATAAAACCATAACATACACAGATCAAGGCTTCGTAGCTGCAAAGTTGCCGGTACCCAAAATATCACCATCTTCAACCTTTCCAGCCTGCGCACGATCAATGCGGAACTGACTAGTCTGAAAGAGATGCGGCATACCAGTTTCTTCAAACGGAACACCCTTGGAGACCATCTTTGCCAGCTCTTTAGCGGCAAGCCAGATAACCGGCATACCGTGACCGTTGAAGCCAGCCAAAATATATTGGCCGTCTTTGTTCGGGACATGTCCAATGTGAGGATTTGAGTCGTATGAATAGCCCATGACACCAGTCCAGATCTTGTCTACCTTTGCACCGGTGTCTTCCCAGCCTCGGTACGTCCGCTGCATATATCCATCATAGAAATCTTTCGCGGAATCGATGAGGACACTATCATTTACGTTGTCGTACCACTGTTCTGGGAAGGGACGGAAGAGCTTCGCGGCGCCTCCAACGATGATACTTCCATCAGCACGGGGGACGAAGTATGAAAGTGTGTTGTCCTCTGTTCGGTTGATGTATGAATTGTTCAACAGAGGCGCTGTGACACCCTCGGGCACCGTGATTCGGGAGCAGATACCCTTGCAGGGGATGATGTTCTTGGCGTATTCTGGGAGGAGTCCTGAGACGTAGGCGTTGTTGGCATGGATGACGTTTCCTGCGTGCATTTTTCCTCGGGGAGTTTCGACGATATATCCTCCTTGTGGATCGGGATTTATTGATGTGACGGGTGTATGTGTTTGCAGATTTACTCCAACGGCGAGGAGCTTTTTGATCAGGTGCATGATAAATTTGAAAGGCCACATTGTGCCAGCGGTGAAGCTTGCGCATGCTTTCGCGCCCTTCACTCCACAGATCTAGTAAATTTCCGTCAGTTCTATGAGTCCTGTTGGGTGTCCTAGTTCGGCTTTGGTGCTATGACTCACTCCTTCAACTTGCTCGCCAGTATAAAAAACAACATCATCCATATATTCAAAGCCTGCGGCAACCATTCGGTCATATACCGCTTTAGCGCTCTTGGCAGCCTCTTCATTGCACCAAACATCGATGGACCGCGCAAGAGTAAAATCACAGTCAATCTTCTCTTGCTCGATGACCTTCTTCAGGGCGCGCAGGTTTGCGATTTCAAATTCTGCGATCTCGGCCCCAGCTCGGTCGCCTGCGCGGTCGATATATGTTGGAATGTGGCCATACAAGTCAGGTCTGCAGTGACCACCATTGCGACCAGTTGCCCCTGAGCAGGCACCTCGCGCTTCTAAGATTGTGATGGAGTTGGTCGCGTCCACATCCTTGGTGAGATGGTAGGCCGTGCCGACACCTGCAAATCCGGCGCCAATGATCACTATGTCACTGTGCTCGGGAAGTTGCTCTGTTGAGCGGTGCTTGCTCAGCTCCTCGTCGCCTTTTTGCCAGAAACATTCCCCAGGGGTATGAGTAGGGAGGCAACTCGGTGTGCCAGCTGTGGGTGGTGGGGGACTGTTTGAGTGAGGCATTGTTGTGGTAGTGATAGAGGTAAAACGCAAAGAGACGGGAGCTTTAAACAAGGTATCTGGCGGTGAGGCCAATATTTTTTATAGATCGAGGCGCCGACATACGACGCGTGCGAGCTTCTTATCGTTATCAATCTAATCAGGAAAGAACGGGCCACCGGGCCGGTATTACGCCGATGGGCAGTTGAACCATGGTTCGCGTCTGGGAACTGATAACCTATTGCCCTAACTATATGGAGCTTTGATCTAACGGAGACTATCTTAGGAAATATTTACACAAATTCATCAAGATTAGGTACTGCTCATGATTTGATTCAAAACCTACCAGCCCTGACTTAAATCTAATGACGTCAATATGTGGGTCGGATACACACCGCTAGGTACCAACTCGCAATTACCGGCCTCGGTGCTTTCCGGTGGAAAAGGAAGCCGGGGCCGAATGAGAAAGCAATGAAGTCAATACCAATTCTTTGTATTTTCGCCGTGGGCAGCTCATACATGTAAGCCACGCCCATTATAGCTGCCCAATCCCCTCGCTGACAGAGAATAAAACACAATCTTTTGCAATAGAGATGAATAGATCTGGAATCAGTTGCCATATGGATGGCTGTGTCTTATACAGCTTGTCTTGATCTGCCGCGTCGGGTACCAGGATCCATTTGGCTCGAAATGAGGCTCAACGGGTAGGTCTCTTGGGGAGTGGGCCGGTGTGAGGGCCTCTTGTTGGACAAATGGAGACTTTAGCGATTAACTTAAAAGGCAAAGGGTAAGTAAGGGCAGAGGGGGCTGCAATTGACCGATGCCCGGGTGTTGTACCCAGGTGATGAATCATAAACAATTTTCCTCGGCATGATCTCCAATGAGGGACCCCAGGTGGAATTAAAATTACTCTATGCCAAGTGCGTCCTCGCTCTTTCGGCAGGGCAAGTTGTCTGATACGGAAATTTTGAGCAATGTACAGGCCCTGGTTGAAACTTGCGAGAAAATGATGTGGAAAAAGCCTTCAAAAAGAACCCTGGAAAATGCAGTAGAATCCTCGAGTGCCAAGATGGCCGCTGTCAATCGGAAGCCACTAAATCATATTGGCCAAGGCTGTACCAAACCGGAGAGGTATTGATAGGACAAAAAGAGACTTCTGAGGACTCACTTTTCAATAATGGTATCCAATGTCTAACCGTTGACCGACTGCGTTTGCGTATGTGCTAGTGCGAACTTTGACACGCTACGGAGTGTACTTAATAGTGTCGGTTGCGGTGAAATTGAACGAAAATTTGTGAATTAAAATGTCGTTGAGCAAAACTTGCAAGAGTCCTACTCCAGCAAAGTGCAGGGTAGGCAGGTGTCACATTAATGTGCAAATCTATTTTTCAAGAAAATCTCTCCCGATATTCACTTCTCACTGGTTATTTCGCGCGACTCCCGCGTATTAGCTTGGCATACGGAGTACTGCTATTCAGTATGATGATACTAGTCATTGGCCATTTAGCTGAATGACTACATATTCAGTTAGGCTACTTCTTTCGAAACAACTCTGCTGTCGGTGGTACCAAGTCGCTCTTTGCTCTTTGCTTGTTTTTCTTTGCTGTTTGCCAAAAGTGGGTAGTTGTCCAATCAAAAAGCTACTCTTACTGGTTTTGACTTCCTATTGAGACTGTCATACTGAGTGAATAGCAATCAACAGCATTGAAAATTCTACTTGCACGAAGTTGAATTTGAGCACAGTCTACCTCACAAATTGTAGATGAGTCTTTGAAGTCTAGATATAGTGACACTATGCTTCTGGACTACGTTGTATCCTATGACTAGATTTCTCTTTAGGACAAGTAGCAATGCCAACATATTACAATGTGGAGAATATTACCCCAAATAGGATCAAGCCGAGCTGATCCAAGTTGGAGTACCTATATTCTTTTTTGAATAAACCCCAAATGGAAGTATTCATGTTGCTCTCTGTACCGAGTATGCGATGAAGAAATCTTATCTCTTTATCTCATACCAGATATCTTGACATGTTACGTTGAAGATTTACCGGTTCAATGTCTAACGTGTGCAATGTATCCATATGCCCTACAGGCTAGACCCACCATCCACATGTGGCGGCTACTCCGACACGGGTCGAGCCGGAGTGTACACCGCCGGGGCAGAAACCACAGGCTACAAATTTCCCAATGGAGACAGCAGCTATCTAAGGTCCAGTGGGCGTGTGAACCGACTCAAGAACAAGTTTGAGAAATATGAGCGAAGTATATTAGTATTTCGCTTTGTTGTTTCAATGTTTCGGTCAAAACACTAATAGCAAATATGTACTATTGAAAAAAGCGCTCATCGCGGCTGAAGCGCTCAAATTCGCGGCGGCCCACACGACACATAGTAATGTAAATGGGTTCTAAGAGGGCAAGCGTGGTCCACTGCGCGGGTACGGTCCGCAATAATTCAAGGACCCTCTGCGCGATCAGTGCCTAATCGATTATGTCCCCGCTTGCAAAGTTTTTTTCTAACTTTTATTAAAAAGGAATTGTTTGACTTTCCTTATTTTGTTAGCGAAAGAGGCGCAAGCCTGATTGCGGAAGAAATTGCCCGGATAGAGCCAACGAAATGTTATGTATTGCAAATTAGCCCTTGATAAGCAGCTGTGGAGTTTCTCCGAGACCATAGTCTGTGCAAGTGGTAGAGAGTCGATGCCCAAACTACAAAAGAAATGTATTGTTCCTTAAGTTGAACGTTTTTCCATTCAACCTTGATTTTTGTGCTAAGGTGCTTTCAAACTATGTCACCTATCACGAATCAATCCTTGGACAATAATGGGATTGCCCCCACCTCGTTCGACAAGAAGGTCCCAAGCCACGACGACATTGAGATGCAGAAACATAAAGATGTAGAGAATGTCGCGGGCCAGCTTGAGGAGTGTCACGAGTTCAAGCAGGGCCTCCATCAACGACACATTCAGATGATTGCCCTGGCGGGCACCGTTGGAACCGGTCTTTTCCTCAGCTCAGGCCGTGCGATCGTGAACGCTGGACCACTGGGTGCTTTTCTCGCATATGCAATTATTGGTGCCACGGTGTCCAGTGTTGTGTTTGGAGTGGGCGAGATGGGAGCCCTCGCTCCTCTCAATGGTGGTGTTATTCGATATGCAGAGATATTCTGTGACCCCGCACTAGCGTTCGCCAACGGGTGGAACCAGGTCTACTCCTACATTGTGTCAATTCCATCTGAGATTGTCGCTGCCGCAGTTATCATTGAGTTTTGGGTCACAGTCAACAATGCGATATGGATTACCGTGCTTGGTCTTCTAATGCTTTCCACTGCGTTCATCTTTGTTCGAGTATATGGTGAACTTGAGTTTGGCTTTTCTATTCTGAAGATTATGCTTGTTATCGGCATCAACATTATGGCCCTGGTGAGTTCTTCTTGGGGGATTTCAATTATTTGTACCGTTTATTGACGCTCTTTATAGGTTATCACATGTGGCGGGGCTCCCAATGGCGAATCGATTGGCTTTGCGTACTGGAAAGCTCCTTACGGACCTTTTGTTCAATATTTGGGAGTAGGAGGATCTCTCGGTCGATTCTTGGGGTTCTGGAAGACATTCGACAATGCGCTCTTTGCTTACTCTGGAATTGAGAATATCACCCTTGCTGCTGCCGAGACCCGGAATCCTCGCCAGTCTATCCCCATGGCTGCACGACGCATCTTCGTCCGTATTCTGCTGTTTTATGTTATTACGATCTTCATGGTTGGCCTCATTGTATCATCGGCCAATGAAAATCTACTGGGCTCAACTGGAACAGCCTCGCAGTCGCCTTTTGTGATTGCAGCTCGGGATGCTGGCATCAAAGTGATCCCCTCGATTATAAACGCAGTTGTTCTTACCTCGGCCTGGTCGTCGGGTAACTCAAATATTCGTGAGTCGGAATTTCTTCAAAGTTGTCAGACAAATCAAACTAATATTGTGTGTATAGTTGGCGGTTCCCGCATTCTCTACGGTATGGCTACACAAGGCCACGCCCCTGCTATCTTCAAACGCATCAACCGGTTCGGTGTTCCATGGGTTGCTGTTGCGCTCTATGCTATCTTCATGGCGCTCGGATACATGACATTGTCAAGCTCGGCAAGCACAGTATTCACATGGCTGCAAGACCTTGTTTCTATCTCGACCTTGGTGAACTGGATTTGCATCTGTGTTGTATATCTTCGCTTCTATTACGGATGCAAGAAACAAGGAATAGATCGTCACCGAGAGCTCCCGTGGGCAGCGCCTTTCCAGCCATACACCACTTGGGCTTCATTGATCATTTACATTCTCCTTTTCTTCACTGGAGGATTCACGACTTTCATGCATGGGCATTGGAGCACTGAAACCTTTATCTCGACCTACTTCAATCTTCCGTTTATTGTGATTGTATATGTCGTTTACAAACTGTGGTTCAAGACCAAGATCATTCCGCTGGCGGAAATTCCTATTCGGCCCTTCATTGAAAGCTGGCACAACAATCCCGAGCCAGAACCCAAGCCTAAGAGCGGCCTTCGCAGACTCAATGTTTTATGGTCATAATATGAGAATACATTGGATGTCACAATATGTATATAGCGTCGAATTTACAGCGAATACACATAATAATATCTCAAAACAACCTTTTGTAATCGAATATTTCCACATTTAGTTCTGCTGAATATTCCTCGACACAGAGATTGACATAAAACTCTGGCGATATCTTATCTGGCGTATCAAAACCAGAATCTGCCCAGATGGACAGGTGGGACTTACAAGCGCCACAAAGTTAAACATTGACAGTCGAGATAAAGTATTTCATGGATCTGGTTTATCACGCGAATCATATCGAATTCCCCGGACTTCTGAGCGGCTGAGACGAATCAAAAATTGACCAATGATCTTTAACCGGGCCGATGGGTACAAATTGGGTCTTGGTCCCAAAAGCCGGGCCTCTCCGATTAATTTGAGGCCAAATCAACTCCGGTGTGCGGGGATCAATTGCAATCAGCAAAATATACTCTTGACCTTCGAACTTATCTTCACATAAGGAGTTCTTTATCACATCCAATTGGATCAAAGAACTGTTCAACTATTCTTTGCTCTCTCGAAAACCCCAAAACTCCTCTCTATCAACAAATGAAAACAAGATCAATCGATTCTCTCCAAACCCCGCACCAGGCTTCAGCCATCTCCCACCAACAGAACCTACCCCTCCACCATGTCAATCCAAAAGCACGTCGTCTTCGACGTAGTCGGCACATGCGTGTCCTTCGATGCATTCTACAGCCGCATCGACAAGGTCATCGGCGACAGACTCCTAACCAAAAACATAACCGCCCGCACCTTCGGATTCACCTGGATGACAGCGGCCGAGCTTGAATTCACTTTCCTCTCAATTTCCGAGCGCTACCGCCCCTACAAAGACGTAATCACAGCCCTCTTCTACCGATCCCTATACATGTGCGGCGTCGAGGCACCACGTACCTTCGCGACAGACGCAGAGCGCGACCAGTGCGTACAGGGATACTCTGAGCTCGAACTGCGGCCAGGAACAGCGGATTGCTTTGCCATTCTGCGGAAGGCGGGGTTCACTGTTTGGTGTCTAACGACTGGTGATACCACGCGCGTGCGTGGATATTTCCAGCGCGCGGGTGTCGATATGCCCCTGGAGAACTTTATTAGTTGTGATACGGCGGGGATGGCGAAGCCTGCGCTTGCGGCTTATAAGCCTGCTTTGGAGCGGTTTGCGGATGAGGATGTCAAGTGGTTCGCGGCGGCGCATATGTGGGACGTCTCAGCTGCTGTTAAAGTTGGGTTCCGCGGGGCTTATTGTACGATTTATGAGCAGGAGTCCTGTGCGGAGATCTTTGATACTGAGATGGAAGTTTTGGCGAATACTTTGCCGCAGATGGCAGAGCGGATTGTCGATGCTTCGCTTTGAGCGTGATTTTGTTACATATAATGTTGATATAATAAACTGATCCACGTGGTTAGGCTTCATGTTCTATCTGCATTAGAAAAAATTGTGGCTCTTTTGAATTCACCATTTATTGTACATGTTGAGTTATGTTCCTTGGTGTGCTATGTAATGAGAATTTGTAATGAAATGCTCGAGGACCTGGGCTTCGGTATAGGTTGGCCAAGCTGCAGATGGAGAGACGTTCTCGGCACCAAAGATGGACATTTCAACTAAAGGGTCGAAGCCGTCCATGATATCGACATCGAGATTTGCCATGTTGTTATGATAAGGATCAAAGGGGACTTGTTGGCCGGATGAGAACGCTATGCTGTTATTCGGACCACTTGAACGATCAGCAGGTTGGGCTTGATCAACATTCTTATTTTCTGTTAGATGGGCACCCCAATTCTTGAAAGCCTCGTAGTCTGAGATAGGTAGGCTTCGAACACTATTAGGCTGGGATTGTTGCACACCAGTATGCAAGCGCGCAAGTGCACGTTCGAGCGATTCGATCAATGACACCTCAGACCTTGCTGATTCCCCGGCAGTCGACATCTCTCGGATCATTTCCAGACCGGCACACAGAGGCTTGCGAAATTGTTCCGAAAAATTCTGTATCGAGTAAGCGATCAGAACCAGCAATGAGGCCCGGCACGAGCTATACTCGATGTATGAAGCTCGCGCCAGACCAATGCCGCTGTCACGTAGCTGCGAGCATATATCCAATGCCTCGGTCGCTGCTTGAATGCAATCGTCAATTAAATCATCACGGCCGGATTTCTGATATCCTTCAGTGACCTTGACATGTGATTCAGTCATGGTATCTGAATTGGCTGGTGAACTGCTGTTGGAGGCTTGTCTGTCTTGCTTGAGAAGAAATGGTCTTCCAACAAACATTCGCACCAGGCAATATTCTAGGCGTAGATGCATAGTAGAGCGGACATGCTTCTCTTGCTGAATATCACCATTCACGACATCCTTGGCAAGAGAGTTCCACCAGTTTGTCAAAGCACTTTTGCCAGTGACTAGGCGCGATACTATCTTTGGTGCTTCGTGCTTTTGACAATTTCGAAGAAGGTTGCTGTGGAGCTGTGAGTCTCACAAAGCATTAAAGGTTGAGGAACTGTGATCTTACATTTCGGTAAAAAGATCCTCAAGAAAATGAACCAGCTGGATGGAGATGCAGGATCTTGTAATACTTCCGGGGCAGTCTTCGGGATGTAACTCCTGATAAATGGGAGGATTCGCATCCACATCTGATCTCAATACCGATAGAGGTCGACCATGAAAGATAGATATCTTCCTATTTCAACGTCAGCCCATACATATACGTATAATGTCAGTTGAAGTAAACTCCACCTTTCTAACACATAAGCTGTCCACCACACACGATTGCGGGTCTCAATCATAGTGCGTGTAAAGGCTTCATTCTTGCATTTTCGATGCATACCGTTCTGCATTCCAAGCCGCATGGCAAGGTTGATGTAGATAAACCCCAGACCTGATGCATCAACAGGAAGTGCATAGTAGCCAAATAGCAAACAAGCCTGAACACTTTCTAGGGAGGAAATTTCGATGATTTCGGGTAAAAGTCGAATTGCCTGTTGGTAAAACGCGGCCCCCACATCATCTTCTGAGAATGTGGATCTCGAATTTCTCTCCGAACCCTGGCCTAGAGATTCAAGATGCGCATACTGCGTGCCGATAGCGAAGACTGTTAGAAGGATGCTGATCGCCACTTCGTTCCCCTTGGCAGTGAAATATTGTGGGTCATTATATAGTGAGTCGAGTCGTTCATAGACCCAAGTTTCTTCAACAAAAAAGTAGTGAGTTTCTGCATATTTAAAGAATGTCTTCACCAAGAAGCCCGCGATATGCCGCGGGGGACATGAAAAGATGGCTGTGGACAAATGGTGATTTCCTGAACGTAATTGACGAGCGCGTGGGAAATCCGAAGCGGGATCAGGATCCTGTAATTTATTCGATTCAGCAAAGGCACACCAGGATGTATATTGGGATTGCAGTACAACGTACCGACTTCTCGGGTTCTTGTATCTGGCTTTCAATATGGCTTTTGATTCGCATAGAAAAATTCCAATATGAAAATTCGCCAGAAAAGTCTGCAATCAATTAGCATAATCAGAAATCATGATCATCAAAATAGCATGAAGTCAACGAACGCGTTGTGGTATCTCCGACGGGCACCATCGTACAGGCCTCATCGTTTATACTCAGCATGTCTCCATCCTTGGGCTCGGGGACGGTGGCTCTATCTCCGTTATCGGCCTCGAGTGCTTCTGCCAATCTGGCTAAGTTCTTGGTATCAAGTGCGATCCCCTCAATTGTTTGTTTCAAAATCCGTTCCATATATCGTGATCGCTCCATCAATTCACGGAAATCAGATCGTTCAGCTCTTTCTCTGTAAATATATTTTGTGAGATATGTTTTGTGAGTATTAGGTGGAAAGCTTACTTTGGGATATATTGTCGAAATTCGCGATTCCTTGGAGCAAGGCTTTTGACACAATCTCGATGAAAATGCAAGCATCTCCTGCAAGGGGATCCACCCTCGCACTTCTCTTTTAGCCGTCGACACCCATCGCAGCTGCATAGTAGGTATGTTTAGGTCTGGAATTTGAGTCACATCATTTATTCGGGAGACTTACGCTTTAGCTGCACGTTTGCGATGTTCCATGATCAGATGTGTGAAATCAAAATCATGTCAGAGTATGCAAAGAAGAATGAGGGGACATTTGAGCGTATGAGAATGAAGAGTCGGGATAGAGGCGCTTTACAAGTTGTGGGGTTAGCCCCGTGACAGCGGAGTAAGATAAGGAGTGAACAAATCAGAGGCGAATCTCTAACAATGTAGTAAACATCTCGATAACGGGAAAATAGAACTGCCGAGCCTCGGATATCTAGATGTAGATATACATAGGATTCCAGGGTGATGTTTACAGTATACGTGACATCTATATATTCAATTAAGTGCAGATCTCTTGTCAGATGTGATGTGTTGTAACGCGTCCCGCGCGTCGATTTAGGCGCTCACAGCCTGAAGAGATGCACCTCGACCGCCCACATCATTTCATCTTTCAATTATTTGTTTTCCAAATCCTAGACCTTCTTGAGTTTATGATATCTAATTTGCTCTTAAGGTACTTTTTCTTATTTTTGATATCTTCCAAACCTATAATGACTCGACAAGCGATGTCATCGTTCAAAAGCTCCGAGTCAAGGAAAGTGGACTCGCCAGCCACACCTAAAAAGCCCGACACCGACTCTCAATGGCTAGCCATTGAGAGGAAAGAGCAAAGCTCGGCTTGGCTTCGTGATAATGAATACATTTTGGAAGGCCACCCGATGTCCACATACTCATACAAAAAGTCTCTCCGCTTATGGCGTAGTCTACATATGGAAACAATTAACATATGGACACACTTACTGAGATCGATAGCCTTTATTGCAGTCTGTTTGTGCTTTCAAGCCTTTTTCATCAAACTCAATGAGCACGAGCTTCACTCGCAGTGATGTATTGGTATTTGCATCCTTCCTGGCCTCCGCAGCCATCTGCGCCGGCCTTAGCGCTGGCTTTCACAACCTTAAAAGTCATTCTTACAACATTCATCATTTTGAGGGAAGAATAGATAGTCTTGGCATTTATTTCCTTACTCTGGGTGCTAGAACTTCCATGACGTTTTACGCGTTTTACTATAGGCCTCTTGTCCAGCGGCTGTGCTGAGGACCCAATCTTTTCTCGACCGCTGGAGCTGCCATCACTCTCTTTGACACTGGTGGTGGCGGAAGCAAAATGAGAAATTTACGGGGAGGCGTTTACATTGCTTGCTCTTTCTGCGATGCTGCCCATCTTCCAAAGTGTGGTTGAGTTGAATTGGGCTCGTGTTTCCCATGAAATTGGAACTGGATGGTATCTCGCCGAAGGTTTGTCTCACTTGACTGGAGTCGGCGTTTTCGTTGGTCGATGTCCAAAAAGACTTAGCCCTGAGACCTTCGACATTTGGGGACACTCCTGTCAGCTTTGGCATGCATTTGTCGTGCTTGGCAGCAGTTTCCATGTTCTCGCTTTGCTGGCGACCTTCAACTACCTTCGATCCACCCGACTTGATGAGCGAGATTGCTCTGAATTATGGATCACTTGCATGTTAGAGAAATCTACCTTTTAACTAAACAATCAGAATGGCAACACCGCCGGCTACAGCCTCATTGGGACTTGGTATCCATAGCCCTTCAAAATTCTTCGATCTTCATTCGATACATGCCTCATTCTGCTATTCCCCGGGGATTTTTCTTGGTCTCATTCACGATATACCGACGAAGCGATAACCCGAAAAGGGAATTGTGTGTGACCCAGTCGGGCTCTGAGACGGGGATAGCGGCAGATAGATACCCGCCAATCAAATCTACCCGCTCACTATATCCACTCCGAGTGACACATCCTATATTTTCTACATCTATTCCACCTTCCTCTCTATTGATTTTCAGTTTGTTTGTTGCAATTGTATATATAAAAAAAAGAACAAGTCCAATTTTATTCAATATGGATCTCCCGCAGCAACCTGTCTACGCGATTATTCCTTCACAAGGACCGTCAATTGAGAGCGACCGACTACTGCTTCGGCCAGTATGTGACTCAGATGCCGAGGCACTGTTCGCTTTCCGCTCGCGGCCAGAGATCGCAGAAATGAAGTCAGTGGATTAGCAATATCGCAATGCTGTATGGCGAATACCGAAAAGAATTCATCATGCTAACCATCCCAGCCATCCCAAGGAACCACACAAGTCAATTGAAGAAACGCGAGAATGGATGTCCACCAAAACATTTTCAGAGGGGCCATCAGATGTCATTGGTCGCTCTTTCCATTATGCCATTGTGGACAAGTCATTCTCCAAAACACAGCAGCGAGTCATTGGCTCTCTCAGTATCAGTCAAGTAGCCCCATTTCCTGAGATTGGATATGCGGTACACCCCGACGCTTGGGGAAAGGGTATTGCAACGGAGGCCTTGCAGCTTCTATTAAAAATGTGGTGGGATTTGCCACGTCGGACTGCGGAGGGTGACAGTGCCCACCCAGTTGAGGTAGAGAAGGTTTTCGCTCTTTGTGAGAAGCGGAATCGCGGAAGCTGCCGGGTGCTGGAAAAATGTGGTTTCAAGGTTGTGGGCGACTACCAACATGAACAAGATGAACTTTATATTTTTGCTTTGGATCGGTCATGAAGTTCGAGACTGAGGATTCCAGAGACATATACAACACAAGATTCGAACAAACTTTATGCATCAAATTGGAAAGCAAGCTACAACTTGATTACAGGCTGGGATTGAAAAAGAATTTCAATAGAAAATTAATTATTCACCCCATCATAGTCAATTATATACACATAACACATCGCAAATAGGTAACCATGCTTCCTGGACCATCGAGATATTTGCTTACTGAGTGGCCTTCGTGGCATCCAATATAACATCAGCCGCCTTCTCGCCAATCATGAAAGTGGAAAGAGCAGTGAAAGTTCCAGGAATGCGAGGATAGATGGATGCGTCCACAACTCGCAGCCCCGAAACGCCACGCACTTGGAACTTGGAATCTAGAACAGCCATAGGATCTTCGTCAGTTCCAATGGGACAGGTGCAAGAGGCATGATGGCCCCAAGCGGTGTTTTTGATGTAGTCATGTATTTCTTCATCAGTTTGGACATCGACACCCGGCAGGACCTCAGACAATTTAACCAACTGACGGTCAAAAGCGCCACGAGCAACACCAATGGCTTCGGTAATTGCCTGCAAATCCTTCTCATAGTCCCCAGAGCCAGTGTCAAAGTAATTGAACACAATTTCGGGCATATCAAGAGGATCTGCAGAGCGAAGAGTCACTGAACCAGCTTGATTCCGCGGGTGTGCTTTCAGAACTGCCCAAGTAAACCAATCGTGACGCTCGGTGATGTTCACACTGTATCCTGGAAAATAGCCACGGAAGTTAACAGGTCCACCGAAGACAAAGACGTCGTAGCTGTCATCTGCGGTCACCGAGCTCTTATAGAACATAGCTCCTGCGAACCCGTCGGATGAATAGATTCCGCGGTTGCCCAATATAGGATTTTGCCAGCGCTTCAAGCAGGGATCATTTCCGTGACCGAAAGTGCAACCATCTAGGATAGTCCAATTCTGGGGGACATGGGCGGACACTGCAGTCTCGTAATGATCCTGCAAATTTTTTCCCACGCCAGGAAGATCGGAGATCACCTTAATACCGAAGCTTTCAAGCTCATCCTTAGGACCAACGCCACTCAGCTTCAGGATTTGAGGTGAATTGTACACGCCTCCAGCAACAATCACCTCGCGGGACGCGGTGGCAGATCCAGGGGTTCCCTTGCCGGCAGTCTTAGACCGGGGGCTAGCACTATACAGATATTGACCATCAAGGAAGTTAACACCTGTTGCCCGAGGCGGGCTAACAGATTCATCAAATGTGACTTTGGTCGCGTGACAGTTCATACGAATATCCAGAGGGTATTTCTTAGATCCGTCGGGGTTCTTAGCATCCCGAACAGCAGTCAGGAATTCTAGCGGACTGTTTCGCGCGCCACCATTGGAGGCAATAGGAACTTGGTAATATCCTGGCGTGGTGTCGCGGAGTTTGGAGTCCGCGTTAGCGTCGCCAGCCAAAAGAGTAGCCAAGTTGAAGACTGAATGGGTGACGTTGCCCAATGAGAAGGCTCCGCCAAGCAGTAGGCTCAAGAGTTGAGGGTCTTGCAAGACGAGATCGATGGGTGCCGTTTGGGTGCTGAGCCATCCGTCATATCCGTGGCCGGCGATCAACGGTAGCAGGTAGTGGTTGTTTTCCAATCGCTCAAAGTATTTACGCATGCTTTTTGGTGACCAGCTGCTGTCGCCAGTGAGTGTTGCGAGGTATTCGAAGTCAGATTCATGTGGGTACACGGTGACGAGCGCGTTATGTGTGGTGCACCCTCCAAGGCCTCCGACACGAGGATAAAGTGCTAAAAGAGAAAATGTTAACCACAGGATATATGGCATAGATTCTCGCCCAGAGTGGGCATGACTTACTGCCTTTCATCTTGGAGCCTTCTGGTGGGGTCAGACCGGTGTACAAATCACCTCCTGGGGTCTCATATGTGGTTTTGTAGTCCAGTGCTTGACGTTTCTCGTCCGCGTAGTGCCGAACGAAGAAATTCCATGCCAGAGATTCATCTTCGGACGCCTTAGCAGAGAATGCCGGAACCGTGTAGTTGATATTCTTTCCCTGATCATCACCACTTTCGATCAGTAGGGTTTTATGTCCAGCAAGTGCTAAACGCGCTGCCAAAGGTCCACCGCCGGCGCCAGATCCAATGACGATGTATTCATGACCGGATAGCTCGACGGCGTTGGCAACACCGACAGAAAGTGCAGCGAGCCCAATAAGGCGAGGCAAAAACATGTTGTACTGATGCCGTAGAAGCCTTTGAAGAACACAAAAGACCGACAAAGGTGCCTAGGCGTGCCTCTCTATATCATTAAGCATGAAGGACCTCGGTTAGCAAAACTTTTACCCCATATCCATATCTTGCCAAAGGTGGTATCGATATTCCCAAGCGAGATTGAGTTTGGACGATCCGATCAATCTTCGAATCTTTCATTGGCAGAGATCATTGATGCCCGATGACACTTTGCCGCGACGATCGCACCATTTTGAGTAATTTAAAGCCAATAGTTCATGGAAGTGGATGTCAACAAGCAGATAGAGCTAGGATAAATTGATTATTGAACCATGATTTAGGGGTCCTAGCATCGATACGAGATTAAGTGGGCCCGCACAAAAAAAAAGAATTTCCTTTGCAATTCGTCCAACCATCATGTTTCAACATATGTAAATCTAAGTGATGGAATTGTTTTTTTCCCTCTAGATTTGAACTTTGGAAGCGTCTGTTGTCAACCAACCATGGGTGGTCCTAATACTGTTTGGCTTACCCGTCAGTTGAACTGTAGGGCGTGAGCAGCCTAGCCACGGCGGCTTGAGTCCCACTATAGGGGTTCGCGTGCGTTCAAGGGCGAAGAGTTATTCGTACCTTGGCAGTCATTGTTTTTATTTGTTGTGCTTCAACAACACTCCCTGTCCTAAACTGCACTTCACATATGAAGTATTCATCTGTATCGACCTGCACATCTTGGCTTGGGCTTTCAATCAGCTTACATGTGATATTGCTCCATTTGCAGGGAAATTGGGATGAGAATATTGCAATTTCCAAGGTTTGGTAGCAGCCCTGGAAAAAGAAAGAGAATAAAAATTATACAAATCATGAAATAACGTACAGTCGTTCAATCATATCTCAAATGGAGGGACTTTCTTTGATCACTTGACAGTATTCACCAATCCATCGGTGTTACTTGCGTTTCATTCATTGTGACGGCCCTCAGAGTTTCACCAGATGGAAGAGGTCCGCACCAACCATAAGTATCGCACCGACATTGCTCATATCGAGGGCAGCTGAAGTTGGCAAAGAATCTGTTAGTAGATTACTCTGAGACCCGGGAAACCGTACCCTGACAATACTCACTGAATTCCATTCATGCCAAACACGACATGCCATAAAGTTTCAAACACCCACCCAACCCCATAATCATTAACGTATGGCAGGCTTTTGTCATTGACCCAGTTCATCATTCGGACATAGTCACTCTTCGGTCGCTGTCGGATGCGCTCCCGACTGACCGCAAATTGGGCGCAGCAGATGCCACCAATATGATCCGGCACCACAGCAGTATCTCCAAATATATCTTTGTATATTGTGGGGAAGTTGGCACGGGCATCATTGTTATCAATGTCTATTTGCGTGGGATTGTGTGGATTGATATGAACCGGACAGCCGGGATTATGCTCGCAGCGCAAGTTCACATATCCCAGCGCGTCCACAGCTTCCCGGCGCAAGTTTTTCAGGACAGCGCTTGTTTTGGAGCCGAATAAGTCGTTGTGCCATTGGTCTGGATTGGAATGGATGAAAATCGAGTAAGCGGGCAATTCGTCGTAATACTCCAAAACGAAGGAAAGGTAGGCAGAGACTTCGCGACCACGAGAAGAATGTGCGACGAGCAATTCGGGTTCGGGGTCCTTGTCCATAGAGTAGATAAAAGGCACATTGTCTGTTCTGAGAAATCGTGACCATTATTAGCTTGGTCACATCCTTGGATACGGTGATCGGTGATGGACATACTCTGTTTTGAGATAATCACGAAGCCATCGCAGGTCGTCTGAACGTGTTTTGGACATCACCAGCGCTACTTTCGTCGTATTTGCGCTGTAGCCCTGGGTCTTCCGAGCGAGCTCCAACATTGCTTCATGTTTTTCTTTCTGCTCTGGCGTTTCTTGTCCTAGTAGTCCTAATATGGTGAGCATTGATTTATTTCTGATTTGAAAGGATTGATCTATACCCATTAAATGAATTGAATCATCAGCGCGAAGTTTTAGAATAGTGAGGAGCACACAGGCAAATATTAAGCATCCCAATAATATAGGTTGGTGCCTGATCCATGAAGCTATTGATCTTTTGAGCCGACCGGGAACAACACGGCTGTTAGACCTACTTCTGTTGCCAATGGCCTGGTCACTATGCATCATGAGAAGTTTGGATCCAAAAACGCGCAGTGAAAGAAAACAAAATGTTACTCTGCTCGATTTAGGACCTGACTCGCAAACAAGACTGTGCCTCGCTACGGATTTACGGCATGTGTGATACGAGAGCCTGTATGGAGTACGTTGTAAGCAATCAATCCTGGTAGATATGCACCGGTCACATTAAATATCCACTTGGGCAAACAAATTTCAATTTGATTTGATCTAGGGTGCTGTTCAGTCACAATCAAAAGAGGCTCCAGGATTTTGGCCCTATAAGAGCCTTCGCCCCACTTTGTCTAGCTTGCAAGGGATGAGAATAGCAGGATGATAGTAAGGATTGCGCTGTCCTGTCATATTATTCTGTTACTTAATGCGATGTCATACTCCACAATGAGCTCCCCAATACGAAATTTGAAGGTAGGATTTTCATCCATGCGAGCCTACTACAGTAGCCGTACTCCGAAGGATGATCTGCAAACCCGAAAGCCTCGCTCTAACTCAATCTGAAAACCACGCGCCAAGCAAGGACGAAAACAAATTTTTCATCCACAATCATTCGAATGTAACAACTGTCAGGCCTACGATAGCCGCGATTGTGTGGCCAATGACACATCTTATGTCTCAAATTTTAGCCCCCATTGGCCGAAATTACCATCAATGGGCGCTAAATTACCGTAAGAATACGTGCGGGATATTTTCATGATTTGTTTGATAAATCTCACTGACAAATCACCTTTTATCCAGAGTCTTGTAATCTCCTCAGGTTTCAAATTGTGTCTAGAGTTGAATGCTCACCATAAACACAGGTTGGAATGTGGAAAACAAATGAACCCGTAGGCACTTAGAAGAAAATCGGCAACCGCAAATATCGCTTGGTCTGCATCTTGCTTGAAACTTGGATATAGAGCAATGAAAACCCAGAAAATGTGGTTAATTTTGCCTAGCGGGTGAAAAGAGGTGCCTAGGTGCCCCGCGTAGACATGCTGAGTTACCAACACTGCAACTACTTGGGTATGAAATTTGTTTTGGATTTTAAGTAGCTCTCAAACAATCTAAATGTTAAGTTCCTTACTCATTTATATAACCTGTGTTGCTGACCATTGGAACATATGTTGGGCTAGGTAACTACATGTATGCTCATTACTAGAAAAATCAGCGTGTGCATCTTTACGAGAATGCCCCCGCCTGATCTACGCGCCTGAGAACCCCAAAGAACACCACCCAAGGCACAAAATTCAAAGTTCTCTCCAATTCACTTTGCTCCGACTCACTAAGTTGTACATATTGTGTTGTATTGTGCAAAAAATGAACAAGCATAATTTTGCAGCTCCAAAGCCAGCTGTGGCATCGTCCGGACCCACCGGGGCGATTTTGCTTGAATTGCTAATCATAAGCGGGGCCCCCTTCAAAGATCATTGGGCGTACTGGGTGCGCTCTCAGGCTGACCCTGATATTGGCGTGAAGATACCTGTCACTGGTAATGTGAGGAAGGGCTTTGAGTTTGAAATCAAGAGGAGCGAGAATCTCCAGACGACTGAGGACATCCCTACCATGAGGGTCCCATTGCAATGGGTTGACGCGAAAAACTTTGATGAGATAGCCATGCTCAATAATGGCAAATATAAGATCGACAATCATCCCGTCTGCCTTTTCGAAGCAATTGCTCACAAAATCGAGGCTCCGGGTAAGAGTCTGAGCTCAGTTGATAATCAGGTAAGTGCCATAGGGAGAAAATGGATGATATTACGATGCTTATATGTCTCTTTTCTTGAGGTGTGCTTTGGCCATTTATTAATTGATCTTTAGTTCCAGATTTAATGGTTGGAGCTGATTCTGATGACGTAGGTGATACCGAGAAAATGAGTCGCCTTGAGAGACTGCCAGACGTGGATTGTCGAGTCCGTCTACCAGCTTTGGAAGCACAAAATATTGAAGAAGTAAGTGTTTGATTATTTGAATATTATCAAGCAGTACTTTCGCTTTCTGTCACACAATTTGGTGCAATGATTGTACACTGTTTGCTCAAGCTACTCTCGACTCCAAGGTGGTTGATTTTTTGAGCGGAGTTTACGGACTAAAGCTGGATCTCTAAGCTTCTTTCGCAGATAAGGACATATTTCCTAACTCCATATGAAATTCAAATTCTGAACATGAGTATGAACTAGGTAAGGTGTGATGGTCTGGGGAATGAAGCAAAATACGAATGGCGGTTAGCGTGAGCCTTAATTGTGGAACCCGGACCCATAATTTCATTAACTCCGAGCTAAGCCCGTGGTCTGATCTATAATGGTTCCGACTGAAAATATATAAACCACCATGAGGACGGTTTTTAGATATAAAGAATAAGATTGAAAGAATATCCTCATCCTCATATAGTTGATAACTTCCTCCACAATGTCAACCAAGCCCATTGAAAGAGTCGCTATTGTCGGAGTAAGTCAGAAACCAAGTCTCCAAGACAATCCATTTCAGAAACAATGGCTAAAATTCCCAAGGCTACCGGTAGAATTGGTGGATCATTTGCTCAATCCCTCGTGCAGACCGGCAAGCACACCGTGACAGCCCTTACCCGCCACGACAGTCAAGCCAAACTCCCCGATGGAGTTCAGGCTATTCGAGTTAACTACGACGATGAGGCCTCCTTGATCAAGGCATTGGAGGGACAACAATTTCTTATAATTACCCTCTCCGTTAGGGCCCCGCCAGACCTCCATGGGAGAATTACGGCAGCTGCAGGAAAGGCCGGCGTTCCCTACATCATGCCAAACGCGTATGGGAACCCCGTCAACCCGGACGGTATCAAGGAATATGATGTATACAGCAGCTCGACCCTTGAGAGAATCAATGATGTGCATAATGCTGGTTCATCTTCGATCTACCTGCCATGTGGCTTTTGGTACGAGTGGAGCCTAGCATGTGGCGAGCCATGGTTTGGCTTCACTATCAAGGACCGAAAAGTGACCTTTTTCGACGACGGAAAGCGCATTCTCAGTGTCAGTACTTGGAACCAATGTGGCCGTGCGATTGCTGGACTTCTCAGTCTACCTGAGGCTGGAGAAACACCTTCACTTGCTCAGTTCAAGAACGACAAAGTTTTGATCAATAGCTTCCGAGTCTCGCAGCGCGATATGCTGGACAGTCTGCATCGTGTCTTGGGGACTACCGATGACGATTGGGAGATTAGCTATGAGACATCCGAGAAGCGTATTGCGGACGGCGCTGCGGAGTTGGCTCAAGGTATCTTCAGCGGGTTTGCCAAAATGCTTTACGGGGGTGCGTTTTTGCCAGCCAACCAGGAAAGCGATTTTGCTGGGACGATGGAGTTGGCAAATGGTATCCTGGGATTGCCCAAGGAAGACTTGGATGAGGCCACTCGGAGGGTGGTTGACATGATACAGGACAATTGGAATCCCTTTACTTGACTTCTCTAGGCTTGTACTTAAATTTGGAATGAACTCACCAGCGAGAAGAATCTGATGTTATATTTATAGTAGGACGCCTATTTTGAATAACTGTGTATTCCATGAGATTTGCATTGACTGATCTTTGCGGTGCTTTTCATATGTTCACCTTGCGCTTCTTCGAATGAACTAGTTCAACCCCCCCCCCCCCCCCCCCCCCCCCCCCCCCCCAATTTTCTGCTTCAATCCGGGTGTAGTGTAGCCACTGGTGCAACTTAACTATCATGATTTCAATCAGGTAAAATCGGCATATACCGCCTTTTCCAGTGTGCTTGTCAGCACCTCAAACCGGGGATCGGCCTGCGAGATAACCTGCGTAAACGTTGTTGCCGCCACTCCTTTCGTCCGGTCAATCCACCAGAACATATTCGGACGGCCTGCCCACTGGAGCGTGCCAGCAGAGCGCTTTCCAGGGATGGGATCCACGTAAAGTGGGCCGCCTAACGCGATCTCGATACGTCCAGCATCCATGTCGACAGTAGAACGAAGGGATGCGCGGAGGGGGCCGGCCAACAGATCCTGCAGATCACTGGAGCCGTCCGTTTGTGACTTGAAGATCTCATCAACGCTTGCTTTGGAGAGAATTGAGCCGCCATTTGCGAGTATCATGCTGAGGAGCTTGGACCAGTCGTGAGGCGTCGACCACAGGCCATGACCACCGCAATCGTGCTGTGCCGGGATTCGTGAGAGCCAGTTACCGCGTTGGAGTCCCTGATCGTCGGTGCGCTCATATAGGGTCACGAGCCGGCTCATCATGCCAGGATGGCGTTCGGGGTGGAATGTGGTTGAAGTCATACCCAGAGGCTCCCAGAGGTTGACTCGCATGAATTCCTCCAGAGTGGTGTCGTTAATCCGCGCGATGGCTTCACCCGCCCAGTCAGTACCACAGCCGTACATCCATCCTTCCCCTGGCTCAAAAATGAGAGGGAATGTCTTCATGACTTCCTGTGTGAAGGGCCTGTGTTAGATGTGGTCTCACAAATCTTTACGCTGGGAGAAAGAGGACTGTCTTACAAAGTCGCTATCAAATACACTATTTGTCTTGCCATGCTGTCTTGCCCACCTTGCCAGCTGAGGAGTTGAGTGATAGCCACATCCACTCTGATGGCTCATGAGCAACCGAAGTGTGATGGTCTTAGTTCGCGGCTTCGTTAGAGAGCGACCCTCAGAGTCAACACCGTCGAGGACTGGAAGAGCGCATAGATCCGGTAGAATCGAAGCCACATCGTCATCGAGGGAGATCTGCCCTCGGTCAACGCAAATCATAATGGCAACGGTAGTCATGAGCTTGGAGAGAGATGCCATTCCATATACCGAATCAAAGCCGACTTTGACGTCAGATTCCTGTGATAAGGTGCCTTCAGACAGCGAGTAAAGCTGATCTCCTGTGGATCGTGTTAGAACACATCAACGTAATACACTGTATCAGATTATCGAAATCCTGTTGTATATACGTACCCTTGCTGTTGACGACAGAACACACGTAGGAATGCATTACTGGCTTCGGATCGATAATAGCTAGTCTCACTGCTTGGGAGAACTTCTTCATCTCGGAAGCATCCGAGATATCAACCACGCCGTTGGATCCATTTACACTCTTGCTTTCATGAGCCCCGTTGGTTGCATGGGTTCCATTGGTTGCATGTGCGCCATTGGAGGTAATGGTGGATCCACCATTCGCAACAGCCTCGGTTTTCTCTGTATCCACCGTGGCCCTTGTCTTCATTAGAGTATCGAAGATAGTCCCTGAGAGACTCTTTGGCGTGCATGACGGAGCCAGAAGTTGAAGAAATGACATTCCAACCCCAAACTTCTGGCTCAGCCAGTGAATCAGCTCGCTTCCGGACATGCTATCGATGCCAAAGTGCGAGAAAGGACGACTGATGTCGATATCTTCGATGGCAATAAACATCAGCTTGGCAAGGCGCTGGGCTACTGCGTCGGCTAGTACAATGACAGCCTTATCGCGATCATCGGGAATGTTTGATAGGAGATGATCGTCACCGCTGGTATCCGCTGCCACGCCACCAATGCTACCAGCGGTCTTTCGCGACTCGAGCGTCGTCACTAAAAGCGCCGAGCGGCGATCTTGCTCGATACGTGTGACCTGAACCATGCTGAGATCATGCTTGGAGTATTCAACTCCAGTGAGGATATGGCCTTGTGTGAGTTTATCGAAAAGATTCGATACGGGCTGAGGGTACGTGAAACGTTCGAAGTGTCGGATAAATTCTGACTCTTCTGCCTCAATCAGACCTGATCTTAACAAGTGCTCAGCGTACTCGGGCTTGCGATTTAGCGTGCCAACGCCTTTGATTGGTCCCAATGAGATTGTAGTCACCGGGAGGCCCATCCGGATGCGCTGGCGTGCCAAGTTATCCAGAACTGCGTTAGATGCCGCATAATTGGACTGCGAAATGTGGCCGACATATGTAACAGTCGAGCTAGTCATAAAGAAGAAATCGAGTTCAGCGTTTGATTTGATGGTGGCATTGTGAAGATTGAGGGCGCCATGAACTTTGGGGCGCACGGCAGTATTAAATTGTTCCAAAGTCATAGAGTCGAAGAAGGCGTCCTTGAAGTAACGATGTTAGATATTGACCTTGGGATTCAAAAGTCGAAGCTCACCTGTAGCACCATAGCCGCGTGTACGACTCCTTTGAGCGGCCCCATTGAGATGGCTTGAGCTATAGCTCGTTCAACATCCTCCATCTTAGAAACATCGCCCTGAATGGTCACCACATTCACACCCTTGTCGCGAGCTCTTTTGCAGAATGAAGCAATATCCGACTTAGTCTCGCTCGACCGACCCAAGAAGACTAGATTCTTGGCGCCTCGCTCGATCATGGAATCAGCCATGCTGTGGCCAAGCCCACCATGACATCCCACCATCAAATAGCTGTTACTGCCGTTAATACCACGAGGCTGAAGAGCACCTTTTAGAGTGATCTTATTAGTGGTTGGACCGTAGGTAAGCACAACCTTTCCAATGTGTTGTCCTTGGCCGAAATATCGAAGAGCTTTCTCCATCTCCGTGATGTGGAATGTGCTATCCAGCCTCATCGGCCTGAGTCTACCTTTTCGGAGGAGCTTCATTGTGTCTGTCAGAAGCCTGCTCGGATATATTAGTGACATATCACTGTAACACGGGGTGCTTTCCATAATTGTCTTACCTTTGTGCAATTCTTGGCTTCTGTTCCAACACAAAGTTAAGGTCAAACGAGAAAAGGCTGATGCTCTGATCAAATGCATGTAGACCCATGTTACCCTTATCCAGAACATTACCGCGCCCGACATCAATGAGTCTTCCGCACGGCGCCAAGCAATTCAATGTCGCGTGAAATCCGGGACCGGAGATTGTCGAGAGAATGACATCCACGCCGCGGCCACCCGTTTTTTTGAGTAGTTGGTCTTTGAACTCCAGAGTTCGGGACCAGAAAATATGATCTGCGGGGATACCACACTCAGAAATCAGATAGTCCTTCTTTCGCTGCCCTCCAACTGTGGCGTAAATTTCGGCCCCAATGTATCTGGCGTATTGGACGGCTGCCAACCCTAACCCACCAGTGGCGGCTTGAATGAGTACCGTTTCGTTGCATTCCAGGTGTGCCAGGTAGTCTAGAGCGTAGAGTGCAGTTCCGTACGCGATGCCAACGGTGGCCATCTCGATGAGATCCGCATCATTGTCGAGCCTAACACACTTGTCCACGGGACTGCGAAGGAATGTATCATAATAGCCTCGTTCCAAACAGAGGACTTTGTCGCCGGGCTGTATATGAGTTACATTCTCCCCTACACGAGATACAATGCCAGTGCTCTCGTTGCTGGACTTCACACTTTCGAAATTGCCCATAGCGATGACGTAATCCTATAATGTGTAAGTAATCATTCATTTGAGCCCTGGAGATCTAGGGATGCGAGTCTAACAACGGTACCTTCATGTTCAAGCCCACTGCCTTGACCTGGATCTCAATCTCATCCGCTTCAAGGTCAATGTCGCAAGTCGGCTTCTCTCGGAAATAGACTGTGTCTAAAAGACCAGGGGTCTCTAACGCCAATTGAACATTTCCAGAAGATGGAAATTCCTGCTCAATTCTCCCTGCTCCAGTGTCGAGGGTAAACTCTTCGTTTAGTTCCATATCCGGCACCACGCGGCTCACATAGATGATCCCATCCTTAAGCATGAAGTCTGTCTCGCATGTTGCCCTTGATGGAGCTGTAGAAACACTAACGCACACTTCAGTGATCCACTTGGCATGGTGAGCTGTGTTGTTTGAATCGATGTCGTCAATATCGAGGGTAGCAAATTTGAGGTTCTTGGTGGATAACTCGTTCATGAGCACGGTGTTGATGCCATGGACCATTGCCAGTGTTGGCTTCTTTCCCACCATCAAATCTCCTCCAGTCACCCATAGAATGCTTGACCCGGACGAGACGAGCTGCTTCAGTCCTTCAAACTGCTCCGGTCGCATATCCATGAGCACTGGATCTTTGAGTTCTTCAAGGACGATGTAAATAATCTTGCCACTGCCCAGCAGTTGACTAGGAGGTATTGATTCAAGATCGCAGTGCATGATGCGACTGTTGGTGAGACTCCCTTTTCTCATGATCTCACTGTCAACGGCGAGCGCTAGCTCATATTGGGCTGTGGAATGGACCTGCAATAATGTCAATAAACAGGCACGACCAATAGGGAAGTCAGGACAAAAAGAGGCAAAATATAAAGAAGACGAAACGATATGAAACGGATTGGGTGGAAGTAGCTCACAAGAATAATTTGGTCAGTAGCAGCACACGTGTTATTTGAACTTTCCTCCCGCACGCTAGCCACCATGACACTCTCCAGAGCCAAAGGCTCAGGGAAGTCCGTCAAAACGATATCCAAACCAGTGAATCCAGAGACCTTGAGCTGCTGCTCCCAAGATGGAAGAGTCCTAAAAGGCCCCAGGCGCCGATCATCCTCGACATCATCTAGACACTCCCAGAAGCTGGGCAAGGTACCGAAAGCAAATTGCACGGGCGTTAGACTACCGGTTTGAGTGATTTCTAGCATGACTAGTTTGCCGCCTTCCCGTAGCAGGCGACTACAATTTCGCAGTAGCTGGTCAGTGTTCCCTGGGGCATGCATCACATTGGACGCCAGGATGAGGTCGTACTGGCCGAGCTCGAAACCCTGCGCAGCGGCGTCGACTGACAAATCAAATGTCTTGTAGATCATAGGCGGGTATTGGCTGAAGAGATCTTGAGCCTTCTCAAAAAACGCAGGCGAGATGTCAGTGAAAGTATAGTCGTGATAACGCTTGGCATGGTGGCCAGGCGTGTCACGGTCATAGGCATTGAGCACACCGAGAGCAATGCTGGTACAGCTACCCGTACCTGCACCCACCTCTAGCACTCGCATTGTCGGGTTCTTATGTGCCAAAATATCCACTACCGACGCCAGGTTCTTGCGGGCCGCGTCGTGGATAGAGCCGTCAGCGTACACGCGGGCCAGAATTTCCGCCTTGACCGCGAGATCAATGCCTGCCACAGTACCTTTGAGGATCTCATACATATTTTTGTAGACAATGGCATTGAACTCTAACTGTGGGAAGTCTTCTGGCAGCTCCGACAGAAGTTCTGCAATCCGCAATTCTCGTTGCTTAGGATCGAGGCTTGTGGCATTTGGTTCGCACAGTATCATGCGTCCAGCTGCAGCTTCAGCCTTCACATGACGCATCCAGTTATAATAACCGTGAACCCATTTCAATGACGGGTCCTTAGGAAGCTCATCTTGATCCATCACTTCCAGAGCGCCGCAGACATAGAGAACGGTGACCGTCTCTAGTCGTGTCCGAATATTGTGCACTTCATCTAAGTACGCGGTTCCAATTGGTGATTTGAAATCACTATGATACAGACGATGGGCCAAATCGGTGTCCAGAAAGGCGACGTCCGGTTTCCATTGCATGCGGTAGTACGGTTCTCTTCCGGCCTCTTTGTTCATCTTCTCTTGACTACCTTGGTTCACAAATTGTCGCCATTTCACGTTCTTTGCTGCAATGATCTCAAAGCCGCTTTCAGTTGTCAGAGTTGAGTGAGACCCACCACTTCGCGCACCCTCGGTCCATGCAACGCTATCGATAATGCCAGTTTGATTCTGCGCCCATGAGGATGGGCTAATTGTCATTTCCTCAATGAACACAGGAATTTGAGTTGCAGCTTCTCTGTCCGCACGGCTGGTATACACAGATGCGACGCGACCTTGAAGCACGGCATCAATAGTCAAAGGGTGAATTGCATATCGAGACTCGAATTCAGTTGTTCTTTCCGCGGTCTTCAGAATTGGGGCCCGAGCACGAGCACGAGATGCATGGGGAAGGACCTCGATCTCATCAATCACCCGAAATAGTGGACCGAAATCGAACCCACGGTATTTCAATCGCTCATACCAAACATCTTTGCCAAAGCTTTGCTCGAAGATGGGGTCTTCGCTCTCGTTGTTGAAGGGTGACTTTTTGGTCTTTTCCCCATGGCTCATCTCAAACGAGACAATACCCTGTGCATGCTCAATCCATCTATCATCTGCTACAGAGCAGATTCTAAACTCAAACCGGTTGGATGTCGCAGATGCATCAGTGGGACTCAGGTTGATCATAATATCAGCAGTGCCACTAGAAGGAAGCACAAGTGCCGACTTTATAGTGACAGTTTGAAGATGGAATTTGGCATCCTCGAAGTCGAATTCTGGCCTACCAAGTACAGTATCCTCTGCGAACTGGGCTGCGGCCTCTACGGCCATGGCAAGATATGCTGCACCGGGTACAATAATGGCACTTCCAATGACATGATCTTTGATCCACGGCACATCATCCAGGCGAAGATAATTTCTCCAGACGGGCTCCATGCGGTTTCCTCCCGGTAGCCGACTGCCAATCAGATCATGGCGTGGGTGGGAGGCAAACTTGTAGTCGTGGGTAGAGCGGTTGACGATCAGAGGCTGTGGGATTTCGTGGTTCCATGAGTACATGGGGAGATCAATGATGACATTTGAGGGACGATAAACAGTGTGGCCGTTAACATGAAGCAGATTAATGGGACAGCCCTTTATAAACAGACTTGTTGCCAGTCGCATCATATCGTTTTCTGCGTCGTGTCCACGCTCAAGTGTCTGCTCATAGCTCACCTTGGGAGCAGTTCCCAGGCTTGCATTCCAGATCCCCGAAACTTCAGGAGATGCGATGATCTGTTTGATGGGACCTTTCAGGGCGCTGTGGGGCTGTTACGGGAATCTTTTTGTTAGCCAAAGAGCACATGAGCTGGAGCAGGCGTCGTACCCCAATTTCGATCAAACAATCGACGTGACGCTCCTCTGCTCCAAACTTGAGGCCAAGTAGCTTGTTCATGGCGGTGTGGAAGAGAACGGGACTTTCCAAGTTTCTCTGCCAGTAGCTTCCATCAACATTACCTGACTGGAGCTGTCCTAGAGTCACTGTTGAGATCATGATAGGCCGCTGTACTTTCTCATCCCCATTTGCGAGGGCAACAGTTTCGTCCCTAGACTCAGTGGCTTCAAGAATGGCCTCGCTGTAGCCCAATCCAACCTCCTTCATGCTTGGAGAATGATAAGCCTTCCCGCCGGTCATCAATTTCTTGCACAAGATCGAGCGCTCCTTCAATAATTTGTAGATTGCGTCCATGGGCTCAGACTTTCCACTCAGTGTGACACTATTCTGGGAGTTGACACAAGCAATAACGGCATCCGTTGATAATATACCATTCTCGACAAGGAGCTTCTCGGTCTCATCCGCGCCCAGAGCTACCGCGATCATAGTTCCCGGAGCCTGTGTAAGCGTTGCATGTACACCTCTCAGATAGGCGGCTATGATAGCATCTTCTGCAGTAATCAGTTTTGCCGCGTAAGCAGCAGCAAGCTCACCGGACGAGTGGCCGATAACAGCTTCAGGCATCACACCCCATTCCCATAGTAGATCCACAATTGCAATTTGGATAGCAGTGCAGACAGGCTGGGAAAAGGAAACCTCCCCGATCTTGCTGGTCTCTTCTGGTTCAATCAAAATCTCTGGAAAGCGCAGAGTTTAGTAAATAATTGTGGGCCAAAATCCGAAATTTTGGGTAAATCACCTTCGAGTGTCCACTTTGGTGATTGCTTCAAGTTTTTCAATGCCAAATTCAATTTCTTGAATGTCCGCTGCACTGATGGATAACAATCCAACAATTGGCGGCCCATCCCTGCCCACTGAACACCTTGCCCCGTGAAGACAAATGCGACAATTGGAATGGTGTTATTCGTACGGCCAGTGACTGGCTCTCCGGTCAATGTCTTCTCGATGCCAAGCTCTATTGGGATTATTGCGCGGTGAGAGAATCGTGTACGACGTGCAATCATGGTATGCAAAAGTTCGTGGAAGTCATGGCTGTGAGATTCTAGAGACAGTATCAGGTTTTCAGCATTTCTTTTCATGGAGAATTCATCATGCCCGGTGACGGGTAGTAAGAACTTCGTTTGAAGAATCGTCCTGTAGGGGTCAATCCTAGGAGCCTCTTGATAAGGATTGGACATGCCAATGCTCTTGAAATACTCATCCACTCCATCGATAACGACGTGGCCATTGGCCCCACCGTATCCAGAGGAGTTGACAGATGCACGTTTTGCTTTCCCTTCCGGCCAGGGGGTGTTCTTCGTGACAACTGCCAAGGCACCTCCTCTGAGATCCACTTTCAGGTAGGCGAGAATGTCAGCCATACTCAAGTTGAGGGGTGGCATTGGAGGGAAAGTGTGTACTTACATGCAGGATTGAGCTTCTTAACACCAATAGTCCCTGGAATTATTCCATTCTCCATTGACAGTACCACCTTTATGATACTAGTTATTGCAGAGCAAGCTTCGCCATGGCCGACTTGTGGCTTTGTTGATCCAATATATAAAGGGTCGTGCCACTCCCGGTGGTTGCCAAACACGTTTCCGATCGCGGTCGTCTCGATCGGATCTCCCGCGGGAGTACCAGTGCCATGGCACTCAACATAGCCAACTGACTCATAGGACAAAGGTCCTGAGTGCTCATATGCCTTTCGGATAGATAATTCCTGAGCGAGAGCACTTGGGAGGGTGATGCCGTTGTTTTTTCCATTACTATATGTCGTACGTGGTTAGCATCCGACAAACCAGAGCAAGAATGGAAAAGAATACTCCAGAAGAGCTTCAAACACGCTTATAAAAGGTTTATATAATGGGGACGTTGAATAGTGAATGAACAACCTACGCAGTCAAAGATGATCCCCGAATAACTCCACGAATGGGATCGCCATCTCTGATCGCATCCGAAACTCGCTTCAGGTATAAAACATTGATGGCTTCTCCTCGAGAGTAGCCATCTGCAGATTCATCAAATGCGTGACACTGTGCAGTTGGGGAAAGGGCTCCAATTTGCCCAATGGCAAAGTGGTACTCTAGGGTGAGAATGAGATTGACGCCGCCGACAAATGCCGCGGGTATTTCCCCATTGCGGAGAGCTTGCACTGCAAAATGCAGCGCGTACAGCGTTGAGGAGCATGCTGTGTCCATGGTCACGCTTGGTGAGACATATCAGCTCACACGGCTCAAATAATGACACATACAGTAAAAGGGTGAAATGTACCTCGGTCCATGAAGATTATACATATAACTCACACGGTTGCTCACTGTTGTCCGACCCATACCCAAAACGGCCATACCTTCAATCCGCTCGGGCTCCTTGAATGCCAGAGTTTCATAGTCGCTTGCAAAATTGCCAACGTAGACACCAGTCATAGTTTCAGAAATATCCTCCAGGGTGATGCCTCCGGACTCTAAACATTCAAAACAGCATTCAAGCAACTGACGCTGCTGGGGATCCAGGCATAATATATCTGAAGAATTCATGCCGAAGAACCCACCATCGAAGTGCTCAAGGTCGTTGGAGATACAATAGCCCTCTTGATATCGTATGTTCCCCGGTCGACCCTTCTGTGGGTTGAAGAAGGCCGCAGCATTGAACCTACTGGTTGGAAAGGGACCTCGTGCTAACTTTTGGCTCATCAGGAGATCCCAGAAGGATTTAGGGTCCTTGACGTCTCCAGGAAGCCGACATGCTAGGTGAGATGTTAGTCTGACTTGGAACTATAAAAATGGGACACAGATGCATAAAACGGGGATCCGGAGAAAAACATACCCATTCCAACGATAGCAATACCCTCATCTTGAAAATCGCTCATGTTATCTAGACTCAATATAGCATCCACCACTAAGCGTCAAGCTGAGCTCGAAGACAAGTCTAAGTGCTTTGGAATGAGTAGATTGGGTCTGAATGTCGGAAGCGAAGACTTTGTGGGATTTATTACAGCTTTTATATCACTGTTATTCCTCGAATATTTTTTATGAATACTTTGTAACAATTAGTAGCTCGTGGCCTAGTGCTATCTAACTATACGGAAGAAAACGATTGCACAGACTGACTCGTATGGAATCATCCTCCAATCTTGTGTCTGGCCGAATCATCCTGGAAAACTGTGGATCTGACATGCGTATGGACTATAACCGTCAATCTATTAGGCTGAACTCCTCCAATGTAATGCAACATGGGGGCCGATGCAACTTAGGGGAAATAGCCCGGTGTCAAGCTAAAATGCGAAAGGACACCATAAAGCTGCGTATATTTGACTTTCTACACAAGGCTGCTCAATAGCATTGGTCAGGAGGTGGTGCTCGAAGTATTCCAATATCTTCTATAACATGGACTTTCCTATGCATGATGCTATTACTACTATGGACCGGGCAGATAGATTGAGAGTCAAGTAATTCACTCAAAGTTTGGTTCCGCGAGGATTAAAGCAGCACACCCAACGGGGGTTTCCGTCAAATGCATGCACATGTGGGCAGTGCTGCAATGTCACCCTGATGGCCAGACTGCATAATCTTCGTAATTGACGCGTCGGCATCAACTTGCATGATATCCACAATTTGGAGGATTTTGAACATTGTTCTACCAACTCACTATGGTGTCATAGGTAGTTAGCCGATTATGATTCTCTACAATTTTACGGCCAGCAAACATCCCCATTGACAATATGCAGCCACATTCCTAGTTGGTAGCGGGGGCACCTCTTGGCTGCATATAGTGGGTGGGACCTTCGCCGTCTGACATGCCGTTGCACGGCTGACATACCGGATCGGTCGAAGTCTGACAAGCAAACAAACAGCATTGATGCAAGGTCCATGAGTACCAAAATATTTTAGTAAGTAATTTCATGCATGGCTTTACACATCCATACATGTAACGCTGTTCAATCCTTCTATCTTACAATACCGGCGCAATGACGGCTTTTGCTAGCAAACACTCTCATCACGTCTCATTACCAGAGCTTGCGTTTACTTTTTCTCGCATCGAGAACAACAATCATTGGTACAAAGGCTTTTGTGGGGCGAGAAAAAAACAATCAAAGTAGGAAAGAAACGAGAGATTCAATCATAGCATAGAGAAAGAGGGGAAAGGGAATCGGTACAATGAAGCGAATAAAGCAGAATAACAAATATACTGGAATTGACATATAGTACTTTCTCAGGGCTCAGAGGCCCAGGCACACAGGGGACTGTTGGCGCGACAGATTTCCGTCCCTCAGTCTATATTTCACTGGAACTCCTCATTCAATTCTTTATATAATTTGTGGTTAAGTTCCCATTTTTTAAATCTGTCCTCGTCACTTTTCTACCAAACTAAATTTCGCAAACTCTTCCTGTGCGTGAGGCAATGAGAGAGTATCATGGCTTTTCTTGGTGGTAACCCGTTACCACTTGATCTTGATCTTAAAATATCCATTGCTGGCTTCAGTTTTGTTGCTATTTCTGGTCTAGTGCTGTTGAAACTCCTTTACAAGCATAGATCAAAAGGCAAAAAAGCTCCCGGTGTCTTCAAGACTTTCTTGCTTTTTGCATACTCTTGCTTTATCAAGCCACATGGTGGAGATGCGAATGCCACGCAGCAGGATTCCCTAGAAAGCTTCTATAAGAACCAAGCTGGTATCTACGATAGAACCAGGAAGATTCTTCTGCAAGGTAGGGAGGATATGCTCGCACTCTTAGCTGCACAGCTCCTCGCCAGATGTGAAACGGGAAAGCAAGAAGATATTGCCAAACCAACATGGGTTGATGTAAGTTGTAATAATTGAATGAACCCGAAGTCCTCCTGAAGTCATGACTCATACGAGATGTAGGTTGGTGGAGGAACAGGATGGAACATCGAGGCAATGGGCACCTTTGTTGACGTTTCCAATTTCTTCTCAACTGTCTACCTGGTCGATTTATCCCCATCTCTTTGCGAAATTGCCCGCCGTCGCTTTCAACGTCTTGGTTGGAATAATGTCAAAGTCATTTGCGAGGATGCGAGAACATTCTCCCTCTCGAATTACAAAAGTGAGACTTCTGACAGGGATATTTCAGCGTACCTCCCTGCCTCAAACTACTTTTGCCCGAGAAGCATGCAGCAAAACCATGTTGCGGATCTCATCACCATGTCGTATAGCCTATCGATGATAGTAAGTGCTTTAATACCCACAAGTTGAATCTTTTTGACATCAACATTTACAAGCCTGATCATTACTCTGTCATTGAGTCACTCACTTCGATTCTTTCTCCTGGCGGTTTGATTGGTGTCATTGATTTTTACGTTCAATCCAAGGTAGAATTTGGATTTAGAAACTACACCGGTGGCTTTTTGGGACGTCACGTCAATTGGTTCATGAGAACCTTTTGGCGAGCATGGTTTGACCTCGACCGCGTTAGTCTTGAGGCCAGCCGCCGGGACTGTCTGGAGTACAAATTCGGTACTGTTCTAACTGTGAACGCCCGGAATTCTACTTTGTTTGGCATCCCATACTACATTTGGATAGGATGTCAGAAGAAGCTTTCTTATGATGTTGTCAAGAAAGCGGACGCGCTTGGGACAAATTCATCTTTTCCGTTACAGATATCTGCCAGGTTAAGATCTAAGGGCTCCGTGGTTGCGACGCAGAACATTTCAGCCAACCTACCGCTACCATCATTCTTCTACCAGAATCAGCATTGGCGTGTCTACTATGATGACAATCTTCGAAAGCACACCCAATTCAACAATGAGTATATCTACGCTTTTACCTGGGAAGACTCTCAAGTGGATGATCAGATTCTTAATCTGAATGCAGACGATGTTGTGTTGGCTATCACCAGCGCCGGAGATAACATTCTCTCCTACTCAATGAAGAGTCCGGCCAGAATCCACTCCGTCGACCTAAACCCCACACAAAATCATCTTTTGGAGCTGAAGATGGCATGTTACACATCCCTGCCCTATGAAGATTTCTGGTTGCTTTTTGGAGAAGGCAGACACCCCGAATTTCGCACCCTGCTGCTCAACACCCTATCACCACATCTGTCCAGCCGAGCATTCCAATACTGGCTGAACCATGTTCACGTCTTCTCTGGTCAGGAGAGGAGTGGTCTCTACGATACAGGGGGCTCCCGCCACGGTATACGGATCTTCCGTTGGATTTCATGCCTCTTTGGCTGCCGCAGTGCGGTTCAAAAGTTTCTCGTAACAAAATCTCTAAACGAGCAACGGGAGCTCTGGTTCTACAAGATACGGCCTGTCTTGCTCTCCAATATAGTCTGCAAGCTTATTGTCGGCCAGGAGAGTTTTCTTTGGTCTGCTCTCGGTGTTCCTAAGCACCAGCTTGCCATGATCGAAAAGGATCATGCCGAAAGTGAGGCCGTCACAGGGCCCGCTCCATCTGACCGTAAGACTCGATCCCATGCAATCTGGCGCTACATGGTGAACACCCTCGATCCAGTAGCTGAGCAGACGCACATCAGCATGGATAACCCTTACTACCACGTGTGTATGGCGGGTCAATTTTCACGCGAGTGCCACCCAGACTATCTCTCGCGTAAGGCACATACCAAGCTCTCACGCCCAGGTGCTCTAGACAGAATCAGCATCCATACTGACGAGGTCGATGAGGTCCTGAGATATATGACACCGGGCTCGCTGACTGTGGCTGTCATTATGGACAGTATGGATTGGTTTGACCCACACAGTGCAGCTGCCACTGTGCAGATCACCAATTTGAACCGCACTCTAAAGATGGGTGGCCGTGTTCTTCTGCGGTCCTCGGCGCTGTGTCCCTGGTATATCAAAATTTTTGAGGATCATGGATTCTCCTCTAGGTGCATGGGCTCACGAACAGGCGGCATGTGCATTGATAGAGTCAACATGTATGCATCCTGTTGGCTTTGTACTAAGACTGAGAATTTACCGCTGTTGACACCCGAAATGGAGTCCATGGACGGATCTGATATCGACAGCTTCTTTGCCTGATGCTTGTTTCCAATTCAACATTAACATGAATGATGCGAGGGAAGTCGTTACAACATGGAGAAAGTACGAGATGTGTTTGGCTTTTGGACAATTTGTGATAGTTTTGGCCACTTGACCGAAGAGAGTATAGGACACAAATTGAATGATGGATTATATTATTTCTGGGACTCATCCACGCATAGGTACATCAGTATCACCTGTGAGTCTACGTTTTGGTACAACTTCAGTGTCTTTGGTCCTTCCAGAACTAGCTATGTTGTTCAAAGAGAAGTCTGTTCATCTACCTATCAAAGTCGAAGTCACCAACTACCGCCAATTAGGTTATCCTAGGATTTAATTACACCGCATTTAAGTCTCCGCTGCGCCTTGCTGCTGGGCAAGCACTCGGGCAGAGGTCTGTAGCGGAATGTTGACGTTACGGCTTGTTTCCTCCCCGGCTGCCCCTTGTTGCAATCCAAACTCAGTTTGCAAATCCTCGCTAAGCGCCAGTTGCCTAATTGGTATGCAAAGAAGAAGACCAATACCACCGAATGGAATAGCAATCCACCATACCCATTGTAAACTTTCTTGATACACACTTAGTACTTCTTCCATTAATTGCGGCGTATCCTTTAAACTGCGCATCAGTCCGTCACTAGCCATCGCATATGCGCCCCCATTAGCAAGTTTCCCACGCAGGGACACATCGCTAACGCGATACAACAGCTCCTGGACCCGGGCGTTGAAAACAGTGGTGGGGATTGCAATGCCCCAAATACAACCAAAGCTGCGCATAAAGGCCCACGTTGAGGTTGCAGTCGCCACATCGGACTCGGGAAGAGATGCCTGGATAGGGGGTAAAGTACTAGAAAAGATCATTCCCGAGCCCGCGCCGAATAGTACTTGGAAGCCGGCCCATTCGCGGGCGGGTGATTGATCGTCCAACAGAGAGAACAAGCCAGTGGCGATCGTGAGACATATATAACCCAGGAAGTGATAAGCCCGGTATTTGCCCGTGGCGGCAATCAAGACGCCGGTAATGATACCAAGGGGTGCAATGGCAGCAGTGATCGGAAGCACAAATAGTCCGGATTCTGTGGCGGTCGAGCTGCGGATTGCCTGGAAATAGATCGGAAGGAAATACCCGACCCAGTATAGCAATACAGATTGAATAAAAGCTATCCACAGTGCACAAACAGCCGTTGCACTCGAGAACAACTGGATCGGAATAGAAGGCTCGCGGCAGAACCGTGACCGTTGATGGGCATAGAAGAGAAATAAACCTGCAAGTCCTAATATCAGGGGGACAAGGATGCGCCATGAGCTCCAGGGGTAATCAATCCCTGCCCAACTGAGCGCCAGTAGTACCGAGACCACGGTGGCCGTAAGAATGGCGTTGCCAATGTAATCAATACGCAAAAGCTGATGCAATATGGTACCACTACCACGTGGGTGCGAAACGCGAAGAAATAGCACAAGTAGTATGATTGAAGCGGCACTCAAAGGCAAGTTGATGTAGAAGACCCAGCGCCACGATACGTACTGAGCGAAGGCACCACCCAGCACTGGGCCAACTACTGTCCCCACCGCCCACACGGCTGCCATAAGAGCTACATATTTTCCTCGCTGTCGAAGAGGGACAAGGTCGCAGATCACAATATCCACAAGCGTGTTGATGCCACCCCCACCGACGCCCTGGATGGTTCGTCCCACAATGATCAGACTCGTGTTATTTGCTGCGCCAGCCATGGCGCTCCCCATGGCGAAAATGACCACTGATATGATCATAAGCCATCGGCGGCCGAAAATATTGGCCATTTGACCGAATAGTGGCAGAACCACCGTCGACGAGAGGATGTAGGAGTTTGTAATCCACATGTAGGATTCCCCAGCCCCAATATCAAGAGCGATAGTGGGTAGGGCGGTCGAGAGAATGGACGTGTCCAAAGCCGAAAGAAAAGTGGTCATACACAGCGCTGGAAAGACAGCCCAGAATCGCCATGGCTTTCTTTTGGAGGGAACGAGCCCCTCGAGGTGTGGTACTGGTGCTTCGTGCTCGTGTCTTGCTTCATGTGGTTGTTTGTTTTGTCCCTCTAGGCCACCGCGAAATCGAACTTGAGGAGGCAGACCTTCCATCACCGGCTCGTTCATCACGCATTCCGTTTTCGATACCATAGTCGCCATGGTATGCGTGTGGTGTGTGATGCGTGGTGCAGGACGGGTGCAATGTTAGCAATGCAAAATCTGGGGGCCGTATTGTAACAGTGTGTAAGAGTACAAAGAGTTACAAGTTCAAGTTACATGAATACGTCAACGTCCAATCGGGTTAAATCAGACGGACGCTAGGCGTTTTATATATTGGCTTCGCTTCCACAAAATGTACGCGGATCCGGGGATGATCTGACGGGTGACGTGCATTCGGATATCCATTTAGCTCCGTTTGTTCAATCTCTTTTCCTTTCTTCCGGTAGCATCCATGCAAGCTGACAGCCGGGGCAATGCCTTCGGAAACTGTCCGTGAGCAATTAATTGGCCACGTGGTATTTATCTGGCTCATCTTATGGCTCTTGATAGTTTGTAAGGATGCACATAGTGATTCCGAAGGTACTTACTATGTATTTTGATCATCACCTACATCATGTGACCTTCTACCTCTTTACAATCTTCCGGCTCACTATATTCTTGCTGCTAGATCATGCCTCACTCCTTGTGTAGGTGCGTGAGTTTTATGATACAGTAGATTGGGAGTTGGGTTAATGGCATAGAAAAGTCCGCTGTCTTTTTAGTATATATACTATGTGTGATCCGTTATCATCTAAGAGGGAATACAAGAAGCTGTCTCGCTTTGTCGAGACGAATTTTTGATTCCAGCCCGTTCTTTTTTATTTACGAGACGACAAATAATTCATCAGAGCCAAAAGTCATTGGACGGCAAATATATGTTGAACTATTTAATTTAAGACTCAGTATGCAGAGATAGATCCCCACTTTTGGGCATTATCGGAGGTTGGGGGCTCTTGGGGGTTTTTTTTTTCTCAGACTGGCAGAACTGAGTGGCTCATGTTGTTATGAAACAGAAGGGTGTTGACAAAGTGTCTATCTAATATTTGTAGCACTAGTCGAAACTCCATAAGGGAATATTGATCAGAAATATTACGGCGATTCGCTATCTTGGCTTGGTAATCCTTCTTACTAGAAAAAATCTGACTCTCAGATCGAATCTTCTAAGTTTCCGACATGCATGTTGATTATACCTTTTCCCTAACGCGGTATAGCAGGTTATAGTTGCAAGTGCACTGTAATGTCTGATGCTAGTAGTATATTTGGCTGCGATATAGGTCATTAGATAATTCGAAGCACTGGTCTTCGGTCGAACTATATATAATATTATTTGAAGAAGAAAGATAGCGGAGGCACCTTCCATAAAAGGTTAAAGCAATTGTCATCTGCTACAGGTCCATCCACTTTGACCAATCTTTTTTTCACCGGCTTTACAACAGCTTCTTGGGTCTTTCCGCCTTCTGTCGCTATTGAAGAAATCCACAGAGGTTTTTTATGTGAGAAGAATACCTGCTTTCCGCGACACTGTTGCAATGATTTGTCAGTCTGAATCGCACGAAGTTGGTTCCTTGATGGGGATTTTCATACTTTTCTATATATTACCACGCTTAGATAGAGACAAATTAGGGGGGCTTGGGGTCCCAATTACTTCTGCAGAGCATCCCCTGGTGGAATAAGGCCTGCTGTCGGGGTAATCGTAAAAGGACATGCGTCCTCCCTCAAACAAATCCCATATATACTTAAATGGGGTTAATGATGCGAGAAAGGTCGGGTGTAGATGGAAGTTGGATGGATTTGGAATTCGTCTTGAGCTGCCTCATTGAGTACATAATAGGTGTCAATAAGTCTTTACCCACTACCTAGGTACCCTATTTACCGGCGAAAAGTGCCGATTTCAGACCCTTTTCCCTCCATATTTTATAGATGATTTGCCTTCTGAATTATCTTGATAATCACTATTTCCCATACCCAAGACAAGACATATATCAATTATATCTCTAGGTATGTTTTATATAAACCTGTAAACTTGTAAACTTTTGCAGATGATTTTGGTCAAAGGTCAACTATGCAGCCATTAAATATAACTGAGGTTCAAATTGGAGATTGGATTTTTATCAGTTGCCACTGAATAGCCATGTATATTGAATTATTTGTAAAGAGATGATTTGTTAAACTGATACTCAAGTTTCATTAAAAATAATCTAAAAAACATGTTAGCACATAACTTTGTGGAGAAAAATAGGCATAAGATCGGCACTTTTTGCTGGTAAATAGGGTAGTGGGTAAACTCTGGAGACTTATTGACGGGGGGTGTACGTATACTTGCAATGTGGCATGTCAATGGCCGCTATTTCTGATAGTGTACTGAATTTTCTGATTTGGACTTGACTTCAATTATGTCACGGGTCAACCAAACAATAAAACTGATCCCGAATCCGCGCTTGCCCAGAACATGGTATATATTTGGATCCCAACAAAACGCCAGTGTCAACAGGATAGTAGCAACCGTTTTTTGATCAAAATTGTTATTTTTCGAGTAATTAGGGCACCTTAATTGTTTCCAGCCTACTATACGGAACACATCGCACCAGTGAAGGTGGCCTGATGACGAATGTCCCGCCTAATTTGAAAATGGAACCTTGGAAGACATGGCCATCGATACATATATAGTCAATTAGGGGTGAAGAAAGAGTGGGCTGAGCTCTGCCGGTAGCTTACAAAAGCTATACGTGCAGAAAAAAAGCGAAGCAAAATTAGACGAGCACTACCACAATCAATGTCTGGATTATTGACTTGTTTATCAATGAAGGAAGACATCTGCGAGCTGTTGCTAACAACGTACTGATTCTGCCTAAAGCGGTCAGAGTTTTCGATTACTGATGATGTCATCCCGTGTGCGCGGACCCGACTTCACGAATATTCCAAGATTATCTCTGGCGCTCCACCTCGTTGAATTCGAATTCAATATCTTGACCATTCTGCTTCATAAATATGTCTGAAAAGCTAAAGGATGTCGTGGGTGCTGAAGCGAAAAGCGTTCGAATGGTCGCCCTGGAGATAGTCACGTCTGGCGCATACCTCTATCCATTCAAGGTGAGTAGCCGTACTCATTCACAAGGCTTCATACATCTCTAACCAGAGATGATGCATACTGCAGGGTATCTTCTTTTTCGCTACACACAAAGACTTATGGCGTCCTTTTATCTCTCGCGCCGGGCGAACCCTAACGCTAGGGCTAGGAGTAACGAGTGCGATGTTCTTCTTCACGTACATGCCGCAGATGGCTATCATGGCTTTCACCAGCGGCCCCCTAGCCGCTATTTCCGCAGCGCTTCTGGTTCTCAGCGAAAGTTCTGCCATCACAAATGTCCTCTCCCGCTCGTTCCTCGTTGAAGACGCCCTCATTGATACATTCGATGGCACTCTTGTCGCCCGTGGCCAGGAGCCTCTCGTCGCACAAGGCCGCGAGATCAAATCCCGCTCCGGAGGAAGGGACGCGATTGCTAGACTGGGAAAGATCTTCACTCGTCCTATCGCACGGCTACATCCCAGGGCACTATTGCGGTCGTTGCTCATTCTACCCCTAAACCTCATTCCTGTGGTCGGCACCGCACTATATATTTTTGTGCAGGGCAAAAGAGCAGGCCCCATATTCCACGCAAGATATTTCCAGCTCAAGGGATGGAACGCTGCGCAGCGAGAAGAGTGGGTCACGAATAACCGCTCTGCATATACTGGGTAGGTCAACTCCTTGATGTTATTTGGTTTCTTTCGGGACAATGACACCGTTCCAATCTATCATTTTTCTAAGCTGACTTTGACTCATTGTTTAGACTTGGAATGGCGTCCTTCCTCTTGGAGATGGTGCCATTTGCCTCAATAGTGTTCTCATTTACCAACACCGTCGGGGCAGCACTGTGGGCTGCGGATTTGGAGAAAGCAACGAAGTAGCCAATTCAGTATCTCTCTAACATCAACACTAGAAATATCAAATAACAAAATATATCTGACCCCACATATTCCAGGTGACTAGTGGATCCTACTGCTTTGTCTCTGCTGTCCTGTCTTATCAGAAACATACGCGAACTTGACCAAAGGATATGCTTTAGAGACCTCAATCCTGACAGAAGAGTTGACAGACTTACGATTATTTAGAGATTGCGCTTTAAGTTCCTTGATCTGCTTTCTCTACTCCAAATAAGAACGCGCTGAGGACGTCAAGAATGTGAGGTTCACTCTCACTTCCATACTTCGACAGTTGCTGATCTCAGGAAGCCGGGCAAACACAGAAATGGTATGAATGTTATGACCAGCGATCAGCAAAATTGAAGATGAAGACCCCGGTCTTTACTTCGCTATTTGTTGAATCGCAGAGTTGCACGGCGTTCGAGCGTCAAGGGGCTTCCTTGGTGGTTACTAGTGCAGACAATGATCCTATAAAATCGAAAAAGACTCTGATTGGTTTAGAGCGGGCTCATCCACGGAATCCAGAAAGCTAGTCATAGCCTAAAAAACCCGGCATCGTCATTTATACGAGAAATCTTCCAATTACAAAGAGCACAATACGTTCGTTTGATTCCAATCTTTGAAAGGATGACAACTCAAATCAATTGTGGAATTTCTAATCTACCCAGGAACCAAGGCTTGTTCCCAATTGTTTGGAAGATCAACGCCACCCGCTATGAAACAGTGGTGTTGATATCCTGCGATATTGGTCTCCAATTCCAACATCATTGATTTGTCTCTTCCTCAATGCCTACCAAAAGCATGAATGAGCCCAATCCCGGTATTTCGCTTCAGCACCTTGTTTTCTCCCAGGCCATGTTTACCGACGAACTCCTGCATTATCCATGGGACGGAGATGGAATAGCCAAAACCCCGTATATGGTGGAGTGGATTAATCAAGACCCTCAGAATCTCCGCCAGATGCCAGATCGGTTCAAGTGGTCAATCAAAAGACCAAATCAACTCTTCGTTGCTGTTCTGAAGTCGGAAAACAAGACTCACCGACTAGTCAATGCTGAATTATCTGACAGACTGAACTGATAGTATACGAGACCGAAAATTGAAGTTCGCCGTTTTCCTCATTGTCCTTGAAAACTCTCGCAAATGGTCCCAATATATATCTGGGGTGTTATTTACTAGAATGTCGGTTGGCTAATTCATAGGTTGCATCTATTCAATTTTAGATGACAGTCAATGCAAGAAACTCGCACAACAGGGATTACCAGCGAGCCCTCCTCCCAAGGCACGCTTTATAACATCAATGGCAGGAGCGGTGACCTTGCTAATTGGACTATTTCTGTTTCCTTGGATAGATGACTCAAGCATTCACTGGATAGTGTGCGAAATTGGGACTGCGATATTTAGATTTTCTCACGTCTGCATAATTTTGAGCATGGTGAGTTACTTGGTTGACAGCTACACTAGGTGCGCTGCGTCCGCTCTTGCGGCGAACGCTGTCATCCGAGCTCTCTTTGGCGGCGACTTGTGAGTCTTAGTTTCCTCCGAATCTTATAACCTTACTGACAACTACGGGTATTTGCAGTCCGATGTTCAAGACGCCGATGTATCATAATCTGGATATCCACTGGGCTTCTTCTATACCCGCCTTTTTGGCTGTTGCTTGTCTGCCTTTTCTGTGGATTTTCTACAAACTCGGTTTCTTCAATTCGGCGCCATATCTAATATGCTGCCGTGTCTGCGACAAAACCTGAAGCCATGAATCAGCGTGCAGCCCACCCTAGATCCTGCTGTTCCAACATGAAATCCAGTTGAATTTCTATGCAAATGCTCTCTTGTTTGTCTCACATACTCTTGCTTCAACTGTAGTATGAGCTGCGTCACTTTACTGAAGTTTGAAACCTCAGGCTCAGCGAATCCTTCCATTATAATATAGTTTCTTTGAATCCCCCACCCACGGATGCGTGGCAAAATTGGCGACATCTTGTATCCTACATGTTACTTCAATTTTGAAGACGGTGAGGTTCAGAAGTTGGCCGCTGAATTTAGATACCTAATTCTGAAGTGAAAAAACGTCATGACTGGCTCAGATCAATGAGTCCGGCCTAAATTTCGTAGTTGAATACTAGGCCTTGCTTGGTTAGAATAAATTATGGAAAACCCTAGTTAGTCTGGCCGCATATTATGATGGTTTTTGTGATTTTTTTTTATCTTTTCCAATCAACTAATCAGCCGCGCATAGGTTCGTCCTTGAGCGCACGCCGAAAGGCACAACACAGGGATGTATAGTTATGGATTGTGTAACCACACTTATGCCTAAGATTACTGAGTAATGCTGATTATTTCCTCTCTGAATCCTCACATACCGAATTATCATGTATAGAGCGATCATATACCACCCAATGCAATGGATTTTACGTAGCACAATCCAACACTGACGTCTGTTTAATAGCTCACGTGAAGCTCTTCGAAATAACGCGGCACAACCTCTGTATATTTCCAATCTTGAAATTCCAGATGATCAACGAAGGGATAATGGGGTACCACGATCGGCCACTCGGCCCTTTGCATCTGCTAGCAAAACCTGCAATTTCCTCATTGCGACATAACTACGCAGCCCTTAGACTTGCATGGTCGCAACCTCGCATCTACATTGTGTCACAGATAGTATCGGCCTCTATGGCGTCGTTTCAGTTTATTTATACACAAGCCGGTTAGCATTCAATTTATTCACGATATATCCAAAGCCGAGCACCGCGATTCATTATTGACATCCCCTTTATCAGAATGACTGTCATCAACTTTGCCAGAATTATGTGCACACGTGTACTGGAAGTGATTTCACGGTTCTTTCATAAAGTCCTCGACCTCATTCTCTTCGTATTGAGCTTCAAGGTGTTTCCTTTGGCCTGGCATGTAAGCTGATCAATACATCAACCCGCAAACGTCTTTGAGCTCCTACTAAATGAAGATTAGGCAAGAAATTTTTTCTCATTTCTTTTTCGCAACAAATTAAATAATCGACCCGTTCCTCTCACTACACTTAATACGCCGACCGTCTTCCTACCGACTATATGGACATCTAACACGCCATTAGGCGAGATAGACATAATGGGCCACAAAACCAATTCATCATATGCCACAGACTTTGATGTCGCCCGAAACTATCATCTATGCTCGCTCTTCCGAGTTGGACTGAAGAGTGGGGGCGATTTTTCCTTCATCAGCCCCCAACCGCGTGATGCTTATGGCACTGGGCCATTGTTTCCGGCACTGGGTGGAGTGAATATTACGTTTCACAAAGCTATTCGCCCGCGGCAGAAGTATGAGATATCGACTCGTGTTCTCTCATGGGATGATAAATGGATACATCTCATTTCACACTTCGTGGAAAGGGGAAGCTGCAAGCCTGTTCATTTTACTGATCAACGGAATCCCCAGCGCGATCCTGAGATGAACATCGGTGATTTGACACAAATGACAAGTGCTGATCAGCATCCATCTTCACGGCCTGTCGTGTACGCCACTGCGATGGCGAAAATTGTCTTTAAAAAAGGCCGCAAGACAGTTCCTCCTCCTCAATTTTTAGTTGATTGTGGTCTTCTTCCTGGTAAAGAGAAGGTTGTTCTGCACGGGTCTATCCAGAACGCTTGCGAGGAGGAAAAGGTCGATGATAACGATATGACCAAGATTAGAGATGACATCGAAGAAATAAGGACCGCGGGCTATGAAATGGCGGAGCGGCTCAATACTCTGGCCGAAGGAGAGTCGTTCTATAACATGAGCGAGAAGGTCTTCTTTTCCAAGCGCTGAAGGGCAGCGGCTTTGTGTTGCATTTGCCTCGCCAGAAGATCCAATTTTGACGACCACAGTCACACTACATGATGGGCTCTATAAATCAATATATGCACGATTTATCCCTGGATGTGATCACGGATTGAATCTATAATTCTAGCGTAGGATGATCAAATATGTACATATGTATACAACGTACCCATGTACTGACATGGCCTAAGTTCAAATTATCTTGTAATGAGAAGCGAAGAAATCTGTTTTATTCCGAAAGCTGATGGTGGCTTATCGTTTCCAAAACGGACCAGCTCTTTAGATCGAATAAAACAGGTATATTGCCCCTCTTGGTATGATCTCATGCTACTTTTCTGTGTAAGTGGCGATGTACTAGAATCTAGAATCCACCCACACCAGAATGCCGGGTTATCGAACCCTCGTCACAAAACATTTCAAGAAGAGTGCCGTGCATTGGAATGTGGGATACCCAAGCTGGTAGTGTTGTTACACAGCCTAATTTACCCACATTTTGTGTCTTTCGATTTTAGTTTGATTACACTTTATGTTTCAATGAATTATATCTATAAACTTATAAATAGCCGGCTCTGTCTTTCCGAATATGGTGAAAGCATTCGCTTTAAGAATATTCATCAACCCTCACCATGGACCAGGAAAAGTCTGAGATAGACGAGGCCGACATTTCGGATAGACCTTTCTCTGGTGCTAGCCTCGAGGATGAGAGTGAATGCCTTCAGGGTTGGCGATTATATTTCAGTTTAATCGGGTATGAATTGCTTGATTTTATTGCTTTACAGATGCTTATCAGCCATAGTCTATTGACTGGACTATACTTAGTCAATCTCGAAGTGACAATTGTTAGTACGGCACTCATTAAGATCACAGACGACCTAGACGGATTTGAAAAAACAAGCTGGGTTGCAACAGGGTTCTTAACAACTTATACTGGTATTTAATAGTGTCCTACATGGAGATTCACTGATACTGACAGATCCCCGCTTAGCATTTATGTCCCAATGGACGAAGGTGAGCAACATAATTGGTCGCAAGAGGACTGTACTTGCTGCCAATATCATATTTTTGGCTTTCTCGCTTGGATGCGGCCTGGCTCAAAATATGAACCAATTGTGAGTTTTGTGAATGCATTTCTTGAAACAGCAGTGCTAATATACTACCAGGATCATCTGTCGATCTTTCCAAGGTGCTGGAGGGGCAGGGGTTTACTCGCTGACAATACTGTGCATCTATGGTAAGTAGCAACAATAACGGCCTCATAAGGCCAGTTGAAGAGCCAGCTGACAGAGGTTTATCTTTGAAGAAGTGGGACCGAAAAAAAGAATCCCATTATACGGTGCTATGGTTGCCGTTACGATTGCACTCGCATCTCTCACTGGGCCCATATTTGGTGGAGTCCTGGCCCAAAACTCAGCGTGGAGATGGACCTTTTATATCAAGTGAGTTGGATCTCTCAACTGTAGGATCTGTGTCAAGTTTTGTTAATAATTTATGGCAGCCTTCCACCTGGAGCTTTGGCAGTGCTGATGTTATTGATTGCCTTGCCACCTTCCTTTGGAACCGTCGCACCCCAACCATTATCTTCCATGCTTCCGAGTCTTACTTTATTCAAAAAGCTTGATGCACTAGGCGGTTTCTTACTTCTGAGTGCATCTCTACTACTGGTGACTGTACTGAATGAGACGAACATAGAATTTGATTGGTCTTCTGGGACAGCAATTGGACTCCTCGCTCTTTCCGGCACCCTATGGATTGCATTCTTTGGATGGGAGTGGTATATACCAGATTATATGCCAGACATCGAACCAATGTTCCCAAAGCGATTTGTCTACAACAAAGCATGGATGGCAATGTTATTGTGAGGACATTCAGATTCTCTGCGTTACCAAGCCCTGACATTATAATCTATCTCACAGGACCAACTTTCTATGTGGCTGTCCTTGGAATGTGGTAATCATCTATCTGGCTCAACGATTTCAGGTTCTCACCAAGTCTTCGCCACTTGATGCTGGCATTCACATCATACCATACTCTGCCGTTGCAACCGTTGCAACTATGCTGGCTTGTCTCGCAAGCCGCAAGTTCCGTATCCCTGTGGTCTACTTTGCACTTTTTGGATCAATTCTTCATACTGTTGGAATGGCACTTTTGTCAATACTTCCTGAGACTGAATCCTACCCAAGTGAGGGGTATGGATACGAGGCAATTGCTGGTGCAGGTGCAGGTATCACAATTGGCATTTTGACTTTGGCCGTGCCATTCATCGTTGAGACAAGGGATCTAGGTAAGTAAAATGCCTTCCATCCCTCAAAATATCAATCTCCAATCCATCTGACATTCAAAACAGCCACAGCCACCGGTTCCCTCAATCAGGCTCGATTTTTGGGCGGGGCTGTTGGATTGGCTATAGCGTCGAACATCCTTTACGGAAAGCTCAAAAGCCAGTTGTCGGATGAATTATCCCCCGAACAGGTCAATCAAGTGCTCCAGAGAGCCGGTGATATGGGAAGCTTACCTCAAAATGTGCAAAAAGCAGCAATCGGTGTCTTTGCTGCAAGCTATAAAGCTCAATTCCAGGCTATGATTGCCTTTGCTGCAGCGCAGATCCCTACATCATTTTTGATCTTCAAGCGTGGGGGTCAATATGTTGCTTCTTGATTATGTATCTGGAAGCTTGCATGAGCTAGTTATGGTTCATGTTCTATCCCTGTTATGCGGAGAACCTGGCAAAGAAGAATGATGACGCCAAGAGTATTCTCCTCTCTATCTCGGAAGGTATCATAAATTGATGAAATTGCCTACTCCAGGAATAGATTATACATTTTCTTTTTTTTTTCGCATTGAAATCTGGAGTTTGGGTAATTTCGGCTACCAAATTAAGACATAGGTAGCACTGTATGAGAATGTAGCACATATCTGCTGTGACATCCTTATGTCGGTCGAATGATTTAGGAGCGGTGTCGATACACACCAGTTCAGGTTCCCTTCCTCTTTCTCAGTAGGGAAGATAGTCATTGAGAGACGCTAAGCCTTCATGTTTGCATTTCTGCGTAGAACTCAGTTCACTCGCTGACTCCCGGTTAGCTGATGTCGCCATACTTTGGTCGCCTCTGGTTATAAGATGGATGCATCAGCCAGTCGGGGGATAGAACTCGTCGCCAATGTAGACAAACCCGAACTTCTGCAGTAGATAGCATGAAGCCTTGCTTTATGGATTGTGACCTGCAAACAGTTCTGTAACATGTTGGTGCGCAAATGCATAATCAATAGCGGCACGGCTAGCTTCGGCAGCCAGCCCAGACCCCAAATAATCGCGTCTCAAATGAATTCCAAACTCCATAGCGCTGTTTTCAATGTCCATGGAACGCACTACACAGCAGCTAACATACTAACCATTCTCTTCCAGGAAGATTGACCAGTGCTGTATACCGTACTCAGCTTGTGATTGCAACTCGGCATATACCTTTTGCCCCACCTCGGTCACATCCAGGGCACCACGCGCGTCAATATAGCAAGTGACTTCTGGGTCGCCCCAAAATGCTAATGCCAAGCTGACATCATTCTCAGGCCAAAGACGAAAGCCAACACGTGCTGAAGTGACGAAGTATTTTGGGACGCTGGAACTGCCAGAGTCTGCCATGCTCGACAACGGGTGTGTCCTGCCTCATGCGACCCTTCGACGCATGTGCTTTGAGGACTGAGAAAACAAATGTGACAAAACTTCTTCTGGTCAATCTCAAAAATTTGATGCTTGGTCCATCTATCAACAGTCGTCCAGCCAGATGTTGCTTTCCGGGTCGGTCGTAGTCGACAGAACGAACGGGGTTCTCCTCCCCACTCCATACACACCAACCTATGAGGGCCAGCCCAAATCTTTCGATTATCATCAAGGAAACAGGAAATCTATGAGACACGAAAATTCTGTCCACTATTGATAACACAGATGATGACGGACGTCTGGTCGTGGTGAGGGATCTATTTGCTGTTAAATATGGACCTTGTGTCGCCGAGAATCAAGGCTATGTTTTACCTTTCATTGAGCAGAAGCTTTCCATTCCGGTGCCACGGCCTCACGCGATGTACCGGAACGAAGACACGCTATATATTGTCGTAGAATACACCCCCGGGAAATCCTCAAGCTCCTAGATACATTATCTAGCAGCTAGCTTGAAATGATCGATACACTGACAAGCTAATTGTTGTGTACAGTCGCCGTAATTGAATCTTGCTCAACTTGAAAATTGAATTTGTAACAACAGGATTTCATGATCATCCAAAAGGTCGCATAATCATCAGCCCTCCAAATCCTCCCACTCATCCTCTTTATTCTCATTCATGTTATAAACATGCTCAAAAAATAGAGCTAATGCGTTCAAGAAGTCATCCGATCGGGGGACATGATGAGTACCAAGGAAGTAATACAAAGAGGGGTCTTTGCAAGAATCTCGTAATCGCAAAGACTGAGATTCCTCAATCATTGTATCCAAGGTGCCAATGACATGTAAGATTGGTGTTTCAATCTTTGGACTATATAACGGGGTGTAGGTGGGGTGATCGAGTGTAAATCCAGAAATTGAGACCGCAAAGTCCAAGGGGGGATGATTTATCTTTCAAATAAAAAGACTTGTTAGTTATGAACTTAGTTTGAGCCACGAATGGAAGGTCTTCCTTCCCGGGGACATACATTGAATGAAAAACCACCTATCGATTTTCGCTTCTCAAGTAGAGAGCATACTATAGCAGCAACGGTAGCACCTGTGGAGAAACCCATAATACCAATGAATGGCCCGTGGGTTTCAATAAAGCGTAGAACATGGTCAACAGAAAATTCAAGACCTTGAATGCGATCAGCTTCAACATCGCCATGCCCCCACGCCCGCATGTTGGTACTTTCCCCGTGGGTGCGGTCAGGATCAGCGGGCAAGAATCCCGATGGATAATAGAACTCGACAGATTCAAATGGTCCCCGAGTCGTATCCTTCCGTAGAGAATTGAGCAAGATCCTTTCGACACTAGGCTGCAGAAACTGGGTCTTGCAGCGAAAGAATTGTCCAGATTGGCCATGTCCTAGATATGTACTTGGTCAATTTCTCCATTTCAGAAAATAGTCCAGAGCAAATGTGAGTCCCACCATGTAGCATCAAAACCTTGGCACAAGATGAAGTTGGACTTTGTGGTTTTTTGAATTCCATGTTTATGTTTCCGACAGTGTAAGATGTTCGTTCGCCGATGACATCTCAGATTCAGTGATTGAGATAGTCTGTCTCTATTATGTACGTTCCGTACAGATTCCAAGAACGCATGTCATAGGCCTGTATATTGTTGGGTTACACATAGGAGGTTCATACACCATGACGTTGGCAGTACTTGAACCAAAAGGCCAATTGTTTGACAGTCTGTAACAATTCAAGGACATTCGACACTAAGCCCCTTTCTCGGGTAGGTATATAGAATGAATTTGAGAGCCCCTTACGTGATTGGTTGCGTTGTCTTAACGTAGCACTGCCAGAGAATGATCGTCTCTAAGTAAAATTTGGCATTGTTGTGTAACGTCAGTGACGAAGCAGATGAGGTCATCAACAAGTACAGACGAATACATAGCAAATGATTCAATCTATCGGAAGTTAGTATAAACAGCACAATACACACATAGGTGGCGATATAATAGATTTGCCGGAAATGGTTATCCCTGCCTTTGATTCCCAATGTGGCCACACGAGTTCTCAGAACTAGTGCACAGCATGAGATATGAGAAGTCTATCGGCTTGTTTGTGATTTAGGTACTAGAATATAGCAGCCGTTGTGCGACAGCATTTAGTTTAAATTGAATTTAGGTCTCGGGATCTGTTATGAACCGTGGGGCCTGACACTGTACGACGCCGGGTTTCCGTTGGGATTGTCCTATTGGATGGGCCAGGCCCCCGTGTAACCCAGCATATACTTGCTTGCCTTCGTACTTGTTTAAAACCCGGGGATATGGCTCCCATTGCACAACCAGATTATCAGCATTGGTCGATCCTCGTGACCACTGAAATCCACATGGGTCATGCTGTTAGCTTTGGCCTCCGATACTTCCCTTTTGAGAGCACGCTAAGCCAGAGTGAAAGTGATGACCATAAAATGACACTAAGAGCTTCATGCGAACTGCTGCATGAGCGATGAACAAAAGTTTATCTCGAAATTTCAGGAAGAACGTCATATCTGAGTTTGAAGGAACTCGAGACTAGGTGTGCGTAAAAATGTGATACAATGGAAAATAAGGGCTTTGACCGACTGACAAACAGCCTTGATTAGTTCCACAGGACACTAGTCTTGCATTTACTTGTCTTCTGGTTGCCTCTGGCCCGACTGAAAGTACATTTACATCTTGCGGAGATACCAGTACGTATTGCCAATTTGGTAGAATTGAAGAATTGAATATCTGCCCGGATTTCCCACGTGTGGGTTCTTCGATTACAGTATTCCGGGATTAGTATAAGGAATAGCGTACCACTAGGAAGTATTCTATTAAACCAATCACACCCAATCACCCTAAATACGGGGCAAAAGGATATCTTTTCCATGCTTCTAGCATCTCATCCCTGACAGGAGTTATAACCTTACGAAGCTCTTTGACCATCCCTTCGGATCACATAGAGTTCTATATTGGCACATAATATATGAATAATCGTGTCGCCGCACACCCACACATTACAAGGAGCTAAGCTAAATTTATTTCACTTAATTGTTATTATGGAACTATATTATACCTTAAATGCTCAAGTTTTAGTCAACTTAGTCTTCAATATAAGTCCAACTTAGAGCTAACGTCGAATTCAATTCAGGTTTAGTTCAGCCAAACCTCAGATGGAAATTGCACCAAAAGTTTTCATTGACCAACTTGGGATGTCTTGTCATCTACCCATCACATCTCACTCACTTAAATCACCGCAAACGCTCACTTCATCAGCGGAATCCGCTTCGGTGCTTGGATTCCACGCTTTGTCCTTTCGCCCACAAACGGCTTTAGTATCGTCATGATCGCATACATCCGATGATTATTGACGACGAAGACACTTCCAAAAGCGAAGTTGTTGACGTAAATATGGCCCCTCTTGGGTTCACCCGCCATATGACGGGGCATAACGACCAGAATGGAGCACCTGGCGACTCTCAATACTCGCTCCCGGGGCTTTCCGTCAAAGATATTACAAAGGCACTTGAATCTGCTTCCAAATTCTGTGATGAGCTCGATAAAAACCTCATAGCACAATACGAAGTGCTATCCTGAAACCAGTCCCACAAAGCGATGAAGAGCGGACAGTCATTGGCCGAGTTGCTCTGCATGACAGCCCAGAAGTATTTGCACTCTTGGAATGGTCGGAACTATTTCCGGCCCTGTCTGGTCCATTTCTCATCTATCTCTATGTGACCTTTAAGATATCTTTTACGATCTTCCGTCTGATGAAGCGCATCGAAGGCGACTTGGCGACTGGGATAGGGATATACTGATAATGCACGCAAGGAATGCATCACCATACGCCGCCAATTGAACGAATCTGAGTCTGTGATCAGAAAAAGAATTCTTCCAGCTAGGATTTGTCCTCCTGCCCTGTCAGATAATGGACTGCTAGCCCCTTGGTATTGCTTTTTGTCGAGAGACTGATGCTTCTTCTCCGATTTCATCTCAAATTAACATTGGCATCACATTTGAACGCCGATATGACTTTCCTCGCTTTTACTTAGCGCTCAAATGACTACCCAAACACACTTAATTTCAACCAAATTGCCCTAAACCTGAAAGTCTGCAGAGTTTGATAATTGAGGATCTATGATAAATACATATCCGCGAAGCCTGCAGAGTATCAACATATCTCACAACGGTTTTTGATCCAACATTTTCTCAAACTCAACAAAGCAAAGATCATCTGGCAGGGTCAAAGCCTCATATCTCTCCCTAGGAAAAGGCGAAGTTTCCCCTGTCTCTTTATAGCCGTGTCGAGTGTACCAAGAGATGAGTTGTTTGCGATTCGACAGAGCATTCAGTCCAAACGTTGTGACGCCCCAAGTTCGTGAGCCGTAGTCCTCGGCGTAGGCGAGCAGTTGACGCCCCACGCCCCCGCGCTGCTGAGCTTCATCGACTGCAAGCATGAAAATTCGAGCATGGTTGGTGCCCCGCTTGGAGGTTCCGATTGAGCCCACAAGCTTCTCGTTCTCGTCGGTTGCCATCAACATGACACTGTCCGGGGCGGTGATCATGGCCATGATCTCTTTGGGGTCGATGCGGAAGCCTGCAGAAAGGCCTAGATCATCGGTCCATCCTGGCCTGCTGTCTTCGGCGCGGAACGCGGACTCTACCAGTCGATGGATCTTTTCTGCATCCCTAGGAGTCGCAGGGCGGAATTCGAGATTGCCGCTGATAGTTTCCATATCGAAAGATTTGTCTTTGGTGCAGCGGATTATATGAGATGTTTCGAGAAGCTGCTTTTGGGTACAGGCTCGGGCGAAAAGGAGACTGCACTTATACCACTTCTGAGTTAGGGTTTAGCAGTTGATAAGTGCGACGTGTACTCTGCACATGTAATCAAAAGGGCGCGGCGGTTGTCATCGAATAATCACGCTAAGGGCGCAGGTGAAATTTGCGGCTTTTTTTGATCTTCCCAAGCCTCGGAAGAAAGATCATGTCATTTTAACTCGACTTGTTTTAGTCGATCAAATGATTACTGTTTACAATAAAAGTCTTGAAACATCGTTGTCGGCCTTCGGCGCCCGGAGCCAACTGGCCAATCATCATTATTTGAGTTTTTTCTTATTCAATTTCTCTCGAAATATATCTTCATTTCCTTTAATCATCTCAAAATGATTTCGGCGTTTCTAACATCTTCACCGATGGCAAAGGATAGATAAGAGAAGCATCTATGGTTGCCCGGATTTCCAGGCGGAGACGTAGGTGGATAACGTCAGCAATAATGGTTTCGGCCCACCACCTATGGACCGTGTCCGTCGGCATATGATGCTCTACGCGATAAGAGCTGCAATTTGATCAATTTCAAGCCTGGAAACCTTTATTGATTAGTATTCTGGAAGTAGAATTCTCCACAATGACAACAGCCGCGCTTTTCGGATGCACCGGGGCAGTAGACTCACAAATCCTGGCTACCCTGCTAGCCACAGACGCGTCTTCCTCGGTGAAAACGATCTCAAGAAGACTCCCAAATGCGTAGTCCTCATAGCTCCAGGCAATTGAGGAAAACGACACGTCGAAATGGGGCAGTATAATCTCATAACTATCTCCCAGCCCATTCCTGGTTTTCAACGCAGTCTGCACCACAACAGCGACGGCAGGAAGTATCAAGAACCAGTGGAAAATCGACCATGACCTGTGTATTGGTAACGCTCGCGCAGCTAAAGATGCAGGCGTAAAGCCAGATGTCTATATCTCAAGTGTGGGCACGAGAAGTTTGTTGTGGGGCTGGGTGCCGTACTCCAAGATGAAAGTCGGCGTGGAGGGTGCCATCAAGGAGCTTGGTTTCGAGAATGCTATCATTCTGAGGCCAGGTATGACTATCGGGCGGGAAAGATCTAAGGCTCCAATTCTGGAGAAGCTTGTGGAAAGTCTAAAAAGCGTGGGACGGAGTATCCGGGATAAACTTGGCAAAAATTGACCTGATGGGAATTTGAGAACTTCTGCATGCTGCTTGTTAATGAGGCGGCTTGAGGCCAGGATCTATCCACCATCGGTAGAGCAGCTGTGGCGGCTACTCATAGGACAGAAGAAGGGAAGGCGTTGTCGCGATACTGGATGTTAGAACAAGCTGATATTGTTCAGCTTGGTAGAGATGAGTGGAAAGAGTAGCATTCTGTTCATCAAGTTCAATTGTATTCGGTGGCAAGCCGCGAACAAATCTCAGTCACACACTGTCCGTAGATAAACATCTTGCCCTCCTTGACGTTGCGCAACAACCTCATCGCTCACCAGGGTTTCTGATGAGTTAAATCTTTTACTAATATCTGACTGGGTTAATGTGTTGAATTGGTGCCAAGGTCAGGAGGCGGGATCAGGATCATGGGACTGGATTTTGATCGACGGGGACGCCATGGAATACTCGGAGTCGGGGGAAAGGCTTAGGTTTTGAAAGAGTATTGCCCTTTGTTGCGTAGTGAATACAGGGGGCTTGTGCAGCAGAGTGAGTGGTATCCGGGGATGAGAGGGGAGGATGAGTTTGAGATTGAAGAGCTGAGTTAAGATTCTGTTGGTATACTAGCAATTACTACGACGTATGGTCTTGAGAGTTTAGTCTTGGAGCAATGAACACATGAATTGTGGTAGAACAATAAATAGTTAGGCAAAAGGCAGATATCGTACTTTATGAGCATCGCAATGGTGTAGAGTGTTCTACGTGGTATCAGAAATCATTAAGGACAAACAGGATTAATAAGGTATCAGACAGGAAGGTGAAAGGGGAAAAAAAGCGGGTCTTCATTAGACACCCCACATGCAACATTGAGGGAGCGATACAGGACACTGTGGCTCATAACAAGAGAAAGAGGCAAGTAGGCGGGGATTTTTCCGACTTTTGGGAGCATTCCTGCATCTTCTGTAGATTGAGATAATAAACCAGAGCTCATGGTTGCTGCCGCGAGGCGTTCTTCGTTGAAAATTTAGATCGGGTTCATTTTTTTGAGGCATTATTAGCCTTATTCAACATTCCAATCTGAGCAGTCGCATTCAAGGCACAAAGATGTCATCCGTGTATCCAAGAAACTCTCTGCGATCATCGCAAATGCGAGCATACTCCAAGAGAAGACGATATGTGTAGATTTCCATGTCTTCCCTTCGGAGAACCTTTTCGCCCCAGGCCTTGCCAGCAAGAGCAATCTTACGAGCGATATCATCACGCCCACCAAGGAAGTATGCCATGATTCCATACACATCGACGTATGTAGTGTCCATAGGCACGAAGTGTATCCAGGGAATCAATCGTGAGTCGTGCCACTCATTGTAGATAGTAGCTTTGATGGGGAGTGAGGTCGATAGCATGAATCCACGGTACCGGCCGCTAAAAGAATTCCCGTCAAGATCAGGCAGGTACTTGTAGTCGTACATTGCTTTCATTGGCATACCCGGCGCGACTTCAAAGTACGGGTCAAGATAAGGACAGGTCGGGTCTGCCTCATTGTAGGGCGTGCAAACCAGATGGTTGAAGCCCGTGTCGGTGTGTTCTTCGAGAAGCTTTGGCACAAAGCCTTCGCCGTTCAACTTGTAATCGTCGTAGTTTGGAAGCCGGAAGTTAATCCCGTGGCTGTTGTTTTTCTCGGCTTGTCGGACGGAGGTTGCATTCATCATCGACATGAACCGGTGTCTCTGGAAGCCTGTCCAATTTGGCTCCCGGGCACGGCCTCCAGTGGCAGCCCCACGCCACATGAACTTGTTGGTCTTGTCTTCCCAAGCACCGCCGTGTTCATTCTCGCCACCGGAGTAGTGCTCATTTTGTGCCCAGTACATCGCCGGAGGAAGTAGGATCTCGTTGTTCATGGGGAGCTTGGAACCGCCGAACAGTGGAAGCAACTTATGTGAGGTTGATACGGAGATAGGCTCGAGGAAAGTTCCATGCAAAACCTGCATCTCTGGACGCACACAGGGATCCTTAGCCAGAGTGAAGTTCGATACATAGCCATGATAAGACATCCTTTCGAAGTTGTCAAATTCCCAAGGAGGGGTGCCGAAATCAACCTTGGGCAGAGTGGTGGTGCGTGCGGGACTGCCTGGTGGACAGCCGATCTTTGCCATCTGCCAGTATCCTCCTTCGCCAGGAACTGCGAACGCGGGGTCATATGATTCCAGATCCTCGCGATCCCAGTCAGCCAAGGACATATACTCCGAGACGACATGGTTTGCGCTCGGCATAGTGCGACTCGCTTGTTCCTTCTGGATGTACTCGTTGATAGTCTCCCAGGGAACCACCAGCCGAGTCTCATCCATAACGTTGATCGGCATATCCAGGTCGGGAAGTCCATCCTGCAACTTTGCGACCAAGTCGTGCCATGAGTTCATCCAGTCTCTAGGTTCGTCGGTTTTCAAAATCGCAGTCTTGTTCCGGATCACGATTCGGGTGGGAATGCTCTTGGCTTGTCGGCGCAATTCCTTCGGCTCCAAAGCCCAATATGGAATTAGATCGTGGTAGATCTGGTCGAAGAACTCTTCGATGATCAGGGCGTCTTTTTCCTTGGCGAATTCAAACCATTCTGCAAATCCGGGTGGAGGGTGTCGCCCATGGCGCGCTCGGTACCTCTCCGCTGCAGTTGTGAGGTCATGGGATTCCGTTTTCAAGATCTCATGGAAGTCCGTTTCCGCGGTGTTCATCAAAGCGTCAATTGGGTGGCTGGCATTGTAGCCATTGCCCGCATACAAGGTCGTGGTGACGGGAGCATTGCCGTAATAGTCGTTGCTAAAGGTATACCAGATAAGAGCGAAAACAACGAAGACGGGAAAGACGAGGAATCGACCGGCGCGGGAGTTGAAGGTGATCATATTGGGCGTGGTTTCAACTGGCAATCATGGCGCCCCGCAGCTAGTTGAGATGCTTAGTCCAGAACGAATCAAGAAAAAAAAAGCTTCAGGCGATCATGTCTTGAAAACAGGTAGAGAGCTGCAAGAGTCAAGCAAGAATCAAAAAAACAAAAAAAGTTCACAGGAGTCAAACTCCAAGAAGTCTTTCCAAGTTTCCGTCCATGACAATCTAAACCGGATTAGGAAAGATAGATGGCGAAAGCAGCAAAAGTGGAGAAACCTCCGCCCGTGTTCGGTGGAGTCCACGTTGTGTCTCACTTTTGCTTCGTATCCTTATTTTTATTCTTATTTCTCCTGCTCTGCTTATTGGTTATTTATCTCAATTATTCATATATAAATGAGATATATATTGGATATATAATGATCTATCAATCCAAATGGGAAAGGAAATCTCCTAATATTTTAAGAAGTCAATTTCAGTGGAGATAAGAACCTGAGGTCGCTAGCATTTAATCTCCTTCGCCAAGGATCGGTCGGACCTCCCACACCTGAGGTCATGGCTCGTTTACAATACCTACAAATGTAACTTGAAGACTCGGTATTTGGGCTTGCATCTCCTTATCTTCCAATATAAGCCCGTTCTGTTTGATATCGCACGTGGTTTCAGCGTTACTGTACAAGACCCATTGAAGAGGGTTGGACCCTGACGGGTACAACTCCGATAAGGTTTATTGTCGACACCTGAGGCAGACACTGCTATCACATCCTGGTAACCATATTTACTGAGATACATTATACATTTGAATAATTTACCGAAAGTTGAATGACCCAGACTTCCAGTTTTCACTTGGCTTTAACACCCTGCTACCCTTCTCGAATCATTGCCCATCACTATCCACGGTTGCAATCCTGTCGCTTCTCTCCGAGCCGGCCTCGCTGCCCACAGCCAATGCAGTTCTGCTGCCATCCAACTCCTCGATCCACTTGATAGGACCTGGAGGGAGAGACTTCGTCGATTCATTGAGCCCCAAATACTGTTTAATTTCGCTCTCAAGGTCTGGTAACTGTCCATGGGTGAATGAAAGCCCTCCTCCAAATCGGACTGGGATGTTGGCATCATCGATATGCTCCCTGAGCATAGGCAAGACTTCCGAGCGAAGCAGTATTGTGAGCTTCTCTGCCGTAGCAGGATCTACATGGCTTTTCAAAAATTTCCAAATCGTCGTGAAATACGATGGGGCATTGCACACCTTCAGAATTGAAAGTCAGCATGAGAAGTTGAGCCCGAGGCATTTTGACCCACAAAAAGCTTGTCGATGGTTTCTGGATAACAGGTCGATAATAACCAAGTAATCTCCTGGGCGAACGTTCTCACGCTCCATCCTTGTTTGATTCCCAAGTTTGACGCGTCCACTATAAATATGGAGGAGGTAACCGGAGATGATGGATCTGCCCTATCCTTCATCATTGAACAAAGTGGATGAATAAATCGGATCACACTATCGTAATACACCGAGGCGAGTTGTAGCATGTCAGGCTTGGGCGCTTTCCGTTCAGACAGGGAATATCTCCATGAGGCATTGCCGCGTGACTTTTCCCACCGAGAGAGCGCATCTTGGTTGAGATAATCAGCATCGTAGAAAAAAATGGGCAGTCCTTTTTTGTCTCTGCGACCCGTCCAATGGGGATACTGATTGTACACATATTTATGTTAGGAAGATTCTCATTCCAACAAAAAAAGGTGTCGACCCACAATTTGACGAGCTTGCTCATAATCAGCGATTTCAATCAGATCGTAAAGCCTGATGATGTGTTTGTCTTCACGAAACTTCTGTCCCTCCTGGAACTGCTTCACCGCCCCATCGGGATCGAAGCGGCGTGCGGTTAGAAAACGTCTGGCACGGTTAGCAATAGAATGACAGAGCTCTCATTCTTCAAATCCATACAAAAGAGTAGACGGATCAGATAATCCGTCGCATATGTCTCGACTTTCCAAACTCTCGTGCCGGTTCAAAAGGCCTTTCTCCGCGCAGGCAGCGTTGAATGCTTTGAACGATTCCTGATGTCCAGGCAGTGTGACAATTTGGGCACTCTGATCAACCGCCATAACATGCATGAATCTGCTGATGTTTTTTTCTTTTCACCCTATTGTAAGATGATGGTTCCGTGAAAATAGATAGTGAGTGAGATTAAGTTGATGTGACCTAATTAGGTGGCTATATCACAATATCTGCAAGGTGACGAGGACGCATGTGCATACTGCGATCTTCAACCAAACTGGCCATTCCATTCCATCTAAACTCAGTTGCTACATGTATTATATCACTAGCTCGTATCAAAGATCTTCCGCCGCAAGGATATGACGGTATATTTAGCCAATAGCTGTCTTACCATGAACAATGGGAAGGTAAGACGGCTATATACCGGTTGAAAGGGAACTGTGGCTCGACTCCAATGCTACAGACAAATCTGGCCACAACCAGATTTGGCTATGACCTTTTTACCTAGTGGTTAAATGTGGCTTATGTAATAGTATAGGGGGTAGCAACCCTATAACCCGTTGTGGAATTACACCGGTGCCCAATCTTCATCACGTGAGCTGACCAGGGTTTCTTTCTTATACAGCTGCTACCTTATCGCCCCACGTCTATGCTTCCACCTTCCGATTCGCGAGCTCGTCGACGTCCATATTCACACGATCGGAAGCGACGGACACGTCAATTCCTTATTCCTAAAGCTACAAGATGCTGTTGACAGATCTGCCTGCCGATAGATTGCGCACATCTAAGACTGTCGGTCGAGCGGTACTCTCGAGCCGGTATTGCTCCTAGGCCCTCGCCCGACCTAGCTCGGAGAGAACTCGCTACCGACGGGCCAAAAGTTTCGGACCAAGCATTGTGCACTTAGCTGCCCTAAAGAGAGGCTATTGATATCAGTCTCTTTGATCCATTATCATCTGCTATCTTTGGAGCGCTAGCCTACGCCTAGGAGTAGTCTAGCAGACAGTCCCTGCGCTCACTGCGAATTTACGTCGAGCTCAAAAATAACTCTTAACAAAAGCCCACACCTTTTATTTGACAATATACATCTTCGATATGATAGATTCCCTCCTAGTTAGAAGTGCTGCCTGGACAAACGGGGAAGAGTACAAGGACGAGTATTCCGAGCGCATCAATCAGATTTCTGATCTCATCAACAAAGAGGGCCTGGTTGATTTCGCGTCATCGCTTCGGGATAATCAGCCATGTACTCTTTCTGACAAACTTTCTGTCGGGAACTTCAATTTTGTGCTCAAAATCGAGTTCACCGACGGTGTTGAATGGGTTGCAAGGCTGCGAATGCCTCCGATGCCGGAATCTTCTTCTACTTTAGTGAATGAAAAGAGGAAGGCTTTACGAGAGATGAAGTCCGAGCTCGCGACTATGGAGTTTGTGCGGTAAGTCCTCGAACCGCCGGTACAATATCGTTATACCAAGCCCGTCTATAGCCAGAAGACAGATATTCCGATACCTAGAGTGTATGCTTATAAGCTCGATGAGAACAATGCCGTGGGATGTCCTTTTTCTATTATGGAGTATATCCATGGTAATACTGCTGAGGAAATGTCTCAATTATATCCCGGCGACCATGAAGGTATCCTAGCAGAGTTTGAGGAAAACTTCTGGCACCAACTCGCCCAATCAATGATTCGTCTCGCCTCAGTCCGGTTACCTTAAATTGGTTCTATTACCCACGATGAATCCGGGTCTTTCGTTGTGGGACCGCTTTTTGAAACAGATTCTGGGCCATATAGTTCTGCCACTGAGTTCTACGCAAATTACCCTCTGGCGCTAAGCAAAAGCCTCGGAGAAAGGTCAGTCGGTGGTCAAATAGGACTAGTGCAAGAATTCCGAGCTATCGCTCAATCCTTTGGAGCACAGGGTTCTCAAAATGGATTTGGTCTTGCTCACTACGATCTTAATGCGAATAATATTCTAGTGGATCGGTCATTTAACATTCTCGCTATCATTGATTGGGACTCTGTTATAGCATTCCCCGATGCTGCCCTCTACCGCGTCCCCTTTTTGCTGGGTATGGACTGCCCTGTCCCTGGGGTTATAGAAACACCCCCCCCGTAATCAAACGACTCCAGCTCTGTCAACAGTTTACTGCAGTCGTTGAAGCTGTCGGACGTGAGAAGGACGACCATGAACGTCCAATTTTTACGAAAGAGGGTTTCTTCTCTAAGGAGGCGGTGGCGTTCCGCTTGCTTCTTGCTGTTAAAATGAGTCAGGACTGGGTCAACGATGAATGGATGCAAGGTTTGCGATGGTTACGCGAGCATAGTGAGGCAGATGTTGCACAGTTTTATCTGGCACATTGAAAGGCAATTTTCTATATATAGGAGTGAGGGCAAGAGTAATTGCAGATTCAATGGTCATATTGATGATGCCAGTGCTTTTCCAATGGGACAATGGGGGTAAATTAGTGAGGGGAGGTGGCACATGAGCCGGGCTAGCGTAGTGCATTTTATTGAGGTCAATTCGTGGGACTGCTCACCCCGACGCTCAGGTTCTGCTCAGTGAGCGAATCAGGGTACTCAAAGAGCAGATCAGAGCGCTTATGTAATGCTTAGAGGCGTGCTCAGTTCTACTCTGAGCAAAAAGCGGGCGAGGTCTGAGCACTAAAACGGAAAGGGAAAGCCAAGAAGTGGCAGAGGAAATCAAATACGTAGGAGAAAAGTTGATCTTAAATAACCTTCTATCCCCCATACTATCGAATGAATTCTTTGGGAATAAAATAACTGGACAGCCATGGAGAATTCAGTCGCCTTTGATAATTATTGAACCTTTATGCCTGAAGAAGTAGGCCAAAAGTTCAACCTCGCTCGGGTCCAGGAACCGTCGCTGATTGGTCGATGTCGCGCATTCCAATATTGTCATAAACGCAGTCGAGCACGCTTCGGAAGTCCCGATGTGCCTTTGATCTAGCAGAATAGCCGCAGAGTTGCAGATTTGCTGTGCGCATTCAATCTCGATTTATCGGTCATCCTCCAACTGCCGTTCCGGGCTGACCTCACTAGCGCCGAATCCGTGGAACCAATGGATGACAGAGGGTTGGTGGGTGCCTCGTATAGCTTCTGCAGGATGCCAATTCAGGGGTAGCGTCGGTAGAGGGGCCGAGCGTTTCCTGTCAGTATTGTCTTTATGTTCGTGGTGCTATCTAGGCGCAGGCGTTGGATGGGATAGCTTCGTCAAAAGGATGCCTGGGGTTTTGTTGTTTCGAAAGGCTATAAACAGACTAATTTACGCCCCTGATTGGCTACAATACCATTTTCCCTGAGCCCCTCATTGTTCAGGACAGAGCGGCTTACTGAGTGAGATCAGAGATGTGTGGCGCCCTAACGTCGCCAATTGGCTTGCAGCAGCCGGACCCCTCTCTGTGCAAACTCCAGCTGCTATGCCGCAGGGCAGGGTTTTCAGCTGCCCAAAAATAAATCCCCAGACAGTAAGCTCGACAGTTTTTTTGTTTTATCAACTCTCATCCGCCGAGCTTATAGCGGGGGACATTTCGCGCTTGTTTTGAACCAAAAGGAAAAATCGCCATATGATTCAATGGCTGCTGTTCAAGCCGAAGATGACTACAATCTGCAGGATGCATGGGACAGAGTTTGCATGACATTTGCGCAAACAACGAAAGTCGATCTCACTACAGCGCCAAAATACTCCGTCGACGAAGTCCTGGAGCAAATCCGGGCGAAACAAGATGAAGATGACGAAAAAAACAACAAGTACAAGACAGCGAAAGATGTGATTGGGAAGACCTTAAACTTTGTAATGGTCTTGGGTGGGATCGCCGCCCAGGGTGCGAGCATGGCAAGCATCCATGTCACCCTCTAGACTGCCCTCGCTAATGACAACTATCTAGGTTTTTGCGCCTGCCGGGCTTTGTTTCAATGCGATTTCATATCTCATTAGTACTGGTGCTAAATACAAGCGTATTTTCAGCAGCTTGACAGAGTTATTCCGACGGGTGTCTGATGTGCTAGAGCGCTGCAAAATCTATCTGCGTTTGCCTGCTAATGCCATCGACGTATCTCTGCGCAGAATTATCAATGATGAACTTGTCTGTTTTGTTGACATCTGTGCATTGTCAATCAAGGTGCTTAAAGGCCACAAGGTCTTTACCGCGCTCAAAGTCTTTGCGTTCGATAGCGATGAAGGCGTCAGTGGCCAATTAGCCCGGCTGGCTGAGTTGGTGGAACGTGAGTCCCAAATGCGAGCAACTCTCGGGTTTGAGTCACAAAAGACGACTGAAAAGGGCGTCATCGAAAACAGGGAGGGTACCCGGAAGATCAATGCCACGGTGGATAAACTGCTCAATTTCGAAAAGAAGAAAGATGCAGATAATGTTACAAAGAGGCTATTGGACGGCATTGATTCAAACCTCGACACCGCTAGCGAGGTTTTCAAGACAGTGCAAACCAATTACAGGCGTCTCTTGAATGACCAAGTTCAGGGAAGCGGCAAATGGCTCCGAAGTAACCCCATGTTCACACAGTGGCTATCCCCTGAACACTCTTCGTTGTCGGTCTTGGGAATCTCCGGAGGTGAAGGGTATGGAAAATCGTTCCTTTTCGCGAGCATGATCCAACACTTGCAAGAGCGTCACTCTCAACCAGTAGATGATGACATGACCTGCATATCTACTGCCTACTACATCTTCGACCAAGAGAAGAAGATGTCGTTGATCCAAGCCTTGAAAGTTCTCGCGTGGCAGGTCGCCAACAAAGACATCGTTTATCGCAAGGACATCAGCTCTGCTAAGACAGAAGGGATCAACCAGGTCAGAAGTATTTGGAATATTCTTTTTGCCAAGTCCTACAAAAGCGACTCTACCTTCTTTTTTCTATTGGATGGTGTTGACCAGGTAAACAATAATCAACTGAAAGAATTTGTTCACCTCTTGGCAGAGCTGCATGGTTCGTCTGTATCCTGGCCTCGATTCAAGCTCCGTATTTTGCTGTCTGGTCGGGATGAGACAATTGCAAAAATAAAAGGGCATATGGGTGATGGGCTATCGGTGATAGATGTGGCCTCTCAAAATGGCGAGGACATGCAATCTTTTATTATCGATCGAATGAACAAAATGGAAATTATGGGTGGTACTTCCGATCAAGTGCTTTCCCTGCGCCGTGAGATCTTGGAAAATCTCACAACTCAGACTCACGGTGATTTCGTCAATGTCGGTCTCCTGTTGCATGAGATCAGCGGGAAGCAACGACCTGGCGAGATCAGAGACATTTTGACTCGCTCGGGTGGCAAAAGGTCCGACACCATTGTGCGAAAGATGGAACAGCTGAACGAGACGCTTAGCGATGACGATATATCTGACCTCAATATTCTGCTCACATGGGTGGTGTTTGCCGCCCAAGAACTGTCACTAGATGAGTTGGAAGCAGTTCTCTTCCTTAAGACTGGCGAATCATCTCTTCGACCTCTTGCAGAGAAGATCACAGACCAATATTCCTCAATTTTTAAGATTAAGGGTGAACCACACCCCACAACGAAGATTATCCCGCCCATCTCTCGGGTCACGCTGGTCTCCGACTCTATAGAGCAGTTTTTGCGTACCAAGAGTGACTCTGATGCCGCCGAAGACCCGCAAGAGCTAAACCTAACTGGCGACGTCAACGAAGTCGAGGTTAGAATCGTCCGCCGATTTTTGGAATCGGTTTGTGACCCCAAATTGTTCAACAAATTTGGCTTCGATGAATTCTTCCAACGAAAGCTGAAAGGAAAGACCGCCCGGGTTGGGGTGGATGTCGAAACTGCACATCTCAGAATTCTGACAACGTGTCTAGAAGTAGTTCGTTCACCGGACAGAAAAGATTTTGCTGCCCTTAGCCGCTATGCCTCCATTTGTTTCCCGCTGCATCTCAATGAGACAGACCCTTCATTGACACAGCCGCAACATAAAACGGCACTTGGGCCACAGCTGGTCAGTCTGTTTACGGATGAGAAAATAATGGAAGGATGGTGGACATCGAGCAATCCTTGGCCACGGTTCGGTTGGATATACGATGATGAATACGCTGAGGTTGCGTTGAAGTGGCTACAAGACTCCGCGGTAACCAAAAACCTCTCCGACGAGCAAAGTAAGTGGGTAAAGAGCTTAAGCTCCAAGTCCGAGCCCGATGCAGATATCCTTGAGCATATCGCAAAATATATAGCCCGTTGTTGGCTGCAATTGGGTGCCTATGATATTGCTGAAACATTTGCTGCGGTCTATGGATATATCACTAAGGTATGGTTTATACGGTTATGTAGGTGCGGAGAAGCAAAGTCATCTAACTAGTCATGCAGATCGAAAATCGCAAAAACCCTGAGATCAAAAGATTCACAAAAGACCCTGAGCCCGAGGACATTGACGCTTCCCAAATCCTGGATGCTGCAGAATGGGCACGGAAGCAGCTTGGGCTAGATAGCTTTGGTTATGAGGAGAATCGCAACTTGGCGCGGACACTGAGAGAGTATGCCAAGCACCAGGAAGCCATCGAACGTTTCAAACTCGCCTCTTCGCTTGAAAAATACAACTGGTTCTCACAATGGGGCCTTGCAACCTCTTATGCCAACCAGAAAGAGTATAGTCTCGCGATTGAAACCTTGGAGGATGCGATCAATACAGTCAGCAGCGGTGATGTGACAGATGATAAGGATACCCTACCAGAGATGAGACGAGATCTAGCCAATTTTAATCAGAAAGGTGGAAACATCTCGCAAGCGTACGCAATATATGAAAAGATTCTGCACGAGAACCCCGACGACTACGATACGGCTCTGGATATCATGTTGATGTTCCACGAAGACAAGAACTACAAGGGTCTTCTTGAATTTTTGGACTCGCTTAAGAACTCCATCGATGAAAGTACAAAGCTCGACCGCCGCACCACGGCATTCCATGCGCACTACGCCAATGACGATTATCATAAGGCGATGTTTGCGTTGGGTACTGACGGTAAAGTATTTGATATTATTCAAGAAAGCTACAAGTTGGCCATTACGGCTGCCGAGGAGCGTCTTGCTGAGGGAAGGAAGCAGGGAAATATCGACGAGGAGCTCTTTGCCGGAGCTTGTCTGGCACTACTCATGCACAATCTCGCGCTTCTCTGTTACCAGGAAAGTGATGACAACCCCGAGCGAAGGACATCTGCGATCGACCACTGGGTGCGCGTTTTAGATATCCAGGAAACAACCCAGGAATCCTATCTTGCAATAATGAAAGCACATGTTCGCACGAAGCTAGCGAATGTTTGTTTCAAGGAAGCACGCCGTGACGCGTCCACTTCAGCTTCTTACTTGGAGAAACTGGAAGAGTTGGCTGCATTTAATGACACTGAAGGCCACAGCGCATGGCGATCTGGCACTCACTCAATGGAGCTTCTAGCAAGGTTCCACGCGCTGCAGGGGGACGAGACAAAGGCGAAAGAAGTTCTTCGCACCCATGTCAAGCGCAGTATCGATATCCTTTCAGATGACGATCCGCTCAATGACTGGCAGGGATATCAAGGGTTGGCGAGATTCTTCATGTTTGCCGGACAGGATGCCGATTGTCTCGCCGCTTGGTCATTGATCGTTCCATTTGCCGATGCAGAGAAAAAATCAGATTCGTCACAACTCGGTGAATCTCAACAGTTGAAAGGGCCCTTGTTCGATATATGCGATGGGGCCTGCGGTACTGAATGGACATATGCGGATGATATTTACGTCTGCAGAGAGTGCGACTATGTGGAATTTGACCTTGACTGTTTGAACAAGCTGCGAGAGGGATCTCTTGATAATCAAGTCTGTGGCAAGGACCACCAGATGCTCCATGTCCCAGCTTATGACTTGGCACGCCACCAGGAAATCGGTGAGGGCAATGTGCGGGTTGGAGAAGAAATCATTGCAGTTATCGACTGGCTTCAGCGCATTAAAGAACAATGGGGGATCGGAACATGAATTCAGAGCAAGTCATCCCATCGGGAAATATGGAAATAATTGTGTCGCGTTCGTGTCCTGCTTGAAATTTGAAAAGCATAGCAAACACTTGCCTGGAAGTCAAAGATGCAACAATTTGTTAAATGTAATGGTTCCTTGAAATCTTCTAAAAATCAATATCAATTTCGACGCAAATGAGTCCCGGGATGGTGAGCGGAACAGTTCCGCACAAGTTTATCGATCATCTCACAACAGCATGCCCCGCCGGGTTGGACAACTTGACACTGCTGAGATCATCTTTAGCAACCCGGTTGTTCGCTTATATCCAAACACTACCATGACAACTCAAACCTCAATCCACGAGCCCGCAACGGCTGACGGCTGGCATGGCGTCATCCCGAGTCAGGAGTTCCCCGCCGAGAAAGGCCGGTATCACCTCTATATCGGCCTGTTTTGCCCATTCGCCCACCGCGCGAATTTCGTGCGTCATCTGAAAGGCTTGAAAGACTTTATCGATATCAGCATTGTCAAGCCATACCCCAAGGGTGACACCAAAGGCTGGCCAGGATGGCGCTTCCCAACCTCCGACGATGAGTACCCTGGTGCGACAGTCGATCACCTGTTTGGCGAAGACTATTTGCACAAAGTCTATTTCCGCGCCGATCCGGATTATAAGGGGCGGTATTCGGTGCCGCTATTGTGGGATAAGAAGACCGGCACGGCGGTTTGTAATGTATATCATCTGGCTACTTTGAGCGAGTGTACGTACTTATTGGGTATTGTGATTAGGAAAGTGCTGAACTTCTCCGATGGCTCCCCACGGCATTTAATGAGTTGCTACCGCCATCGCTTGCTACAATTGATCTCTACCCGTTGCACCTGCGAGAAAAGATCGATGCACTCACCCCTTGGATCCAATCTGATGTCAACATGGGAGTATACAAAGCAGGCTTTGCATCCTCGCAGGAAAATTACGATAAAAACGTCATTCCTGTCTTTGGGGCGCTGAACAAACTCGAAAAACTGATTGCAAAGAATGGAGGCCCATATGTGCTCGGCAGGGATTTGACTGAGCTGGATATTCGGCTGTATGCGACAATAATACGTTTTGACACGGTTTATGTGCAGCATTTCAAGTGCAATCTGGGCACTATTCGACATGATTATCCAGTTTTGAATAACTGGCTGAAGGGGATGTATTGGAATGTTGAAGCAGCGAGGGACTCAACAAATTTTCTGCATATCAAAGAAAATGTATGTTAGACTGTTCTTTTGGTGATAAATGGTACCGACTAACTTGATACAGTATACAAAGAGTCATGTGGATATCAATCCAAAATCAATCACTCCTATGGGTCCTTTCCCTGATGTTGAAGGAGGATTTGAACCTGATTGGAGTAAACTGGTTGCTGGCGAGGTCAAGCATTCAGCTGTTTTAAATTATGAAGCGACGATTCCTGATCCGGAGTGATGCAATTTGACCCCAAACGTGGTTTAAGGAGAAATATCACGTTCCATATCAATTCATTCGCAGCTTTGGGGTAGTCGTTTTGCTTGCTATGAAATTAAATTGAATGACCAGCGCCGCCTAGCAAAGTATCTATATATGTGACTAAATATTCATATCATACGCAGCGTGCAGTTTTCACTCAAGCTAGTTCGGTATGAACAGTCGATGAGCCAGACTTTGAATCATCGCAGATATTCAGAGGAAGTTTATGGTCTGCACGGCTTCCTGCTAAGGCATCGGGGCCGTCAAAGATCACGGCAATTTGCTCCAGGGAGTAGCCCTTGGTTTCGGGGTAGAAGAAGTATGCTGTCACACCGAAGATCATCAGAACAACAATAAACACAATATAATACCTCCAGGCTATCGCTTCCAATGCAATAGGATTAACGAATGTGTTGAAGAACATGCCAACAATGGTGGAGACCCAGGTGACGGTGAGACCCCGGGATCTGAGGCGGTAGGGCCAGATTTCGCAGGGATAGGAGGTGAGGAAGGGAGTTCTGGTAAAGAATAGGCTTGATTAGCAACTTTATAAAAACCGGGTGACACAAGAGAGAAAACTCACAGAGCGACACAGTATCCTGCAAAGAAAATAAAAAGAAATGGAATGACAGCACCGCCAGTTGCAGTATCCCCTGTCATCGCGAAAGACCCCGATAGAGCTGTGACAAGCACATAACTCAAAAACATAATTACAGCGGAGGCCATGAAGAGAGGGCGGCGTCCCAGGCGATCAATCAAAAAGGCCCCAAGTGCAGCGAACACTAGGTCCCACATCTGTAGGCAAGCCGAAATAAGAGTCTGGTCTCGAACCTTTGTTACTCCGACGGATGTCAGGATAAGGGACAAATAGTATGAGATGACACCATTGCCAGCCCACTGGGCAAAGATACCCAGACTGATAGAGATCATCAAACGACGACGGTTTCCAGGAGTCTTGACCATCTCCGCGTAGGAACCGTTACTACTCGCCTCCTTCTCTGCCCTAATGGTGTGGAGTATCTCTTGGAATTGATAGTTGACCAAGGCGGAAGAAGCATCGCCCGCGGCATGGTATTTGATAAGAATTGCACGGGCCTCTTCTTCTCGATCGACTGAAACCAGCCACCGTGGACTCTCCGGGGCAAAGATGAATCCTGGCAACGCGAGAAGCGGCACCAGCGCCTGAAGCACTGATGGAAGCCGCCAGGACCATTCAGAGGGGTATGTCCGTGAAGCAAACACCACCCAAGCAGCGACTGTTCCGCCCACGTACCAGCCAGACATGAAAAGGGAATTGAGTATTCCGCGGTGAGTTGGGTAGGCAATTTCGTTGATCAAGAGGGGGACAGCATTTCCAAACAGGGCAGAGGCAAATCCCAGGAAGAGGCGGGCTAGTAAGAATGCCTTGTCGTTTGGGGCACCTGCTTGGAGGGCACTGCCGAGAATCAGGAAAATGTACCCAATGTAGACTCCTGGCTTGCGGCCGTAGCGATTAGCAATCCAAGAGGCTGTTGGGTATCCAACACCACATCCGAGCCAGTAGATTGCGTTGATCCATCCGAGCCAAGCACCAGCTGGATGGTCCATGAAATTTTTCCATTGATCCAGAGCTTCAAGGCCGTTCATCAAGGATCCATCATAGCCGTTCGCTGATGAGTATAACACCAAAGAAAGGATGATCAGGTTTAGACGCAAAAGGTGTGGCTTTTTCCACCAAGGGATGCCATCCGATGGGACAACAGCAGTCAATACTTCGGCTGGCGCAAGGCTCTCAGGGGTCTCTGTAAGATTGGCACCCATAGTGTGAACGGGGCAGGATGTTTTTGCAAAATGGAGAAGACTTGGAGACTAAAAGACTCGGAAGATAGTAGGGTTTTATGAGCCTTTTATCGAACGAGGCCGAAGACTTCAAGTGCCGCTATTTCCCGATGGTCCCATTTTCACAGGTCAGGTTGTTGGTGTTCACTTTTTCGTGGCGCCTGGTCAATGATTCCTAAACCGCGCTGGTTTGAAGGCAAATGAAGGCGATGAAGAGTATGTTGACCAATCAGTTGCATGAGCATTCACCATGGTCCGATGTTTCACATCCCCGCTCACATCGTCATGCGACTACACAAAGCCTCAACTGCAATTGCGGGATGAATTTTGTGGAGGAATAATGGGGAACGCCGGGGTCGGCATCGAGTCCGTTGCCCTACGGGCCAATCCCGTCGAGACTCCGAAGAGCCGAGCTCCATTTTTTTTCGCGGAGAAACGGAGAAAAGGAGAAATGATTAAAGTCCGCACTCAGGGGGCGACCAATCAATGTCCTCAATGTCAACGACATCGGCCCGCTATTCTTCGATATACACCCCGAGAGTTCGCTGAGGTGCTTCGTGACGCACAAGAAAAGCAAAGAGAAAAATGGGTACTCATTTGCGGGTATCGGATCCTGAGATACATAGGTAACCTTCCCTTGCCTGCATTTCAAAGATTTTTCTTGCTTGCTTCCACAAGATTAGCAGACAATATGCCGTTTGTCGATAGTGCGACCAATGATGTGGATAAATCCTTCGTGCAAATCGCGAATGCAGATATCGAAGTGATTCTCAAACAGCTCACACAAGATGAAAAGGTTGCTCTGTTAACAGGTACGTGTCGGGACCTATTGGCGTCCACAAACTCAAGGATAACGCTGATCATTTTCCGCGCACAGGCGATGATTTTTGGCATACCGTCCCCATACGTCGACTTGGGATTCCCTCCATTCGATTATCTGATGGCCCCAATGGAGTGCGAGGAACGCGGTTTTTCAGCAGCGTTCCAGCTGCATGCTTGCCCTGCGGGACCGCGATCGGCGCAACATTTGATCGAGATCTCGCTGTCGAGATCGGACACATTCTCGCCGCAGAGGCCAAGGCCAAAGGTGTGCATGTTGTACTTGGGCCAACGATAAATATTGCGCGAGGCCCACTGGGAGGAAGAGGCTTCGAGTCGTACTCTGAAGACCCAGTCTTGTCGGGTGTTCTCGCGGGGCATTATTGCAGGGGACTGAAAGAGAGAAATATCAGCGCGACTCTCAAGCACTTCGTCTGCAATGATCAAGAGCATGAGCGTATGGCTGTCAGTTCGATCGTTACTGATCGGGCGCTCAGGGAAATATATCTGCTCCCATTTCAGATTGCCATCGCCCTTGGGAGTCCGGACGCTATAATGACAGCGTACAATAAAGTGAATGGTGTACATGCGGCGGAAAACAAGACCTTGCTGCAGATTCCGCGCGAGGAATGGGGCTGGGATGGACTGGTGATGAGTGACTGGTAACAATCCATTTTCCAAAAGATCCGAAATCAGGGTACTAATCCAGGTTATGCTTTTAGGTTCGGAACGTACAGCACTTCCGATGCTGTGGTGGCGGGGTTAGATCTCGAGATGCCAGGCCCTCCAAGATGGCGCGGCGCCGCCTTGTCCCACGCGATAACATCCAACAAAATCCCTCTTGCCGCATTGAACGACCGAGTCAGGGCAGTTCTGAAACTTGTTCAGAAGGCGAGTAAATCGGGAGTCCCCGAGCGAGCACCGGAGACCCAGCTGAATCGATCCGAAGACCGCGCGCTGTTGAGAAGAATCGCGTCGGAGGCAATTGTACTTCTGAAGAACGATGATGACATTCTCCCATTGAACAAGAACAAGAAAGTCGCAGTTATTGGACCTAATGCGAAGATTGCCACATATTGTGGAGGTGGCAGCGCAGCTCTGAACCCATATTATGTCGTGACGCCCTTTGATGGTATCTCAGCTTCGGCTCTCGGTGGTGTGGAGTTCGCACAGGGTATCTATGGCCACCAGATGTTGCCACTGCTTGGCAAGCGTCTTCGTACTCAAAATGATCTCGCTGGGTTTAAATTGAACATTTTCAATGATCCACCAACGATGGCGACCAGGAAGCCTTTGGATCAACGACACGAGACTGATTCGATGATCATTTTCATGGACTATGATCATCCAGATTTGCAAAAAATTTGGTATGCTGATGCAGAGGGATACTTTATTCCCGAAGAGTCCGGAACCTACGATTTCGGTCTTACTGTCCACGGCACAGCAAAGCTATTCGTTGATGGCAACCTTCTCATCAACAATGCCGATGTACAAAGACCAGGGACCAGCTTCTTCGGTAGTGGAACATTGGAAGAGACTTCATCCTTGGAACTAGAGGCTGGCAGAAGGTACAAGGTCCACGTGCAATGGGGTTGTGGCAAGACCACCACATTCCGAGTCCCCGGTGTGGTTGATTTCGGCCACGGTGGATTCCGATTTGGGGCTTGCAAACGCCTCTCACCTCAAGACGGTATCGCGGAAGCCGTCAAGGTGGCATCTGAAGTCGACCAGGTGATCCTGGTTGCGGGACTGAGCGCTGAATGGGAATCGGAGGGTGAAGACAGATCACACATGAGCTTGCCGCCCCATACGGATGAGTTGATTTCGCAAGTCTTAGATGCCAATCCCAACACAGCTATTGTCATCCAAAGCGGCACTCCAGTGGAGATGCCTTGGATCCAAAAAGCGAAGGCTATTCTGCACGCATGGTATGGGGGCAATGAGACAGGCAATGGTATTGCTGATGTCGTTTTCGGTGATGTCAACCCAGTAAGTATACATGCATGCCCATCACTTATGCCAAACGTTGAAACTAATAATCATGTGTTCTGTACCAGTCTGGCAAACTTCCTCTCACATTCCCTCGGCATCTCAAGGACAATCCCACATTTTTTAACTACCGGTCTGAGGGTGGCCGAGTTCTGTATGGAGAGGATGTCTATGTGGGATATCGATACTACGATGGGCTGGAAATCAACACATTGTTTCCCTTCGGCCATGGGCTGTCCTACACTACTTTCAGGCTTTCAAATCTGGAGCTTATCAGGGGCTTGGACGGCCTCCTGCAAATAAAGTGCAAGATTCAAAACACAGGATCAAGACTCGGTGCAGAGGTACTTCAAGTATATGTGGCTCCTATTTCCCCGCCTATCAAACGACCAGTCAAGGAACTCAAGGAATTCCACAAGTGTTTGCTTCACCCACTTTCGGAAGAAGACGTCAGCATTCCGCTGGATCTCATCCGAGCAACAAGTTTCTGGGATGAGAAGAGCGGGAGCTGGTGCAGTCACAGTGGGGAATACAAGATAATGGTTGGAACAAGCAGTCGTGGGGACTTCTTAGAGAGTTCCGTGGATCTGAAAGAGACTGTGTTTTGGTCTGGGAATTGGAATGTTCCGAAATGAACATTTTGTGGAGTATATCGCCGTTATAGCTTCTTCATTGAATTCAACATATTTGTAGAAAAAAAAACTTATTTTATCATTGTACTCAATTATGAATGCGATCTGTGTCAACCCATGTCTGTAAATGCATGGTGTTCATGCTTTCACTACTGTCCAGTCGGGAGAGCACATCAGTGGAAAGCTGAATATATTCGGCCGCCTGTTTTGATATTGGATCATCAGGGTGGAATGGACAGGCCAGAAGACTCGCCGCGATATCGCGCACTTTGTTAGCTAGATGCAAACCATTCGCCTCCAGGCTTATACGCGGAAAGTTGAACAAAATGAAAAACATTTGACGGCAAAGCTTTTCTCTCTCTATCCAGAGCAATCGTTGATCCAACGCCGTGGACGGCTGATCTAGACTCGTCACCGAAGGCTGGCTACGTTGATGAGACTGCGCAGCTTCCAACTGATCCAAGATGAGACTCTGCAGCCACAGATGAGTGACATGCAAGTTTGCTCGTAGTGATGCCATTTGCGATCCAATTATTTTTGCCTTTTCATCAGTCGCATTCGTATTGAAGTTTTCTCCGGTAGACTCCCATGGTAGGAGGAACGGGGGAATGTCGGTGAGCAGATTCTGGAGGCAATTCAGGCGCTCTTGGAAGTACGACACCTGGGCCCGTTGGTCCTTGGATCTAACGCAGGGGCACAAATCCTCTTGAGTTGGACAGGGGCTTCTGATAGCAGCCCAAAACACGCGTGAGTGGAAAATGAACCCTGTTACTAAGCATGGCTGGGTACTGGCGTCGGTAACCACTTCGTATTCGGAAATAAATTCATCATCTACTCCGAGTGGCATGAGATCCTCTGGGTTGATGGAATGGAGCAAAGCAGGATCCAAGTAAGTGAGTCGCTCACCGAGCAAATTCTGCAGATGTGCATGGCTAGAAAAGAAATAATACTGTTCAGTTCACGAAGCAGAATATTTAAGACATTCGGTCATACTCACACAAAACTATAAAATATCAACCAGAACCCCTTTTTCCGTAGTTGGGTCTCAATACAGTTAAGACCCTCGTAATCGGAAATCCGGTGAAGGTTTAGGAGACGGGCAAGCTGCATCGCTTCAACACTCAACATGCGAGACCAATTATGATCTCCAAGTTGCAAGAAAGCCGCAAAGAAGAGGTAAGAGACTGCAAACTTCTGAAAATTGAGCTCGTCGAAATAAGAGGATATTCTTAATCCTATTACTTTTTGATAACAAAAGTGAATGAACTCCTTGCGCGAAGAAAACTTTAATGGGCGTGAATCGGATTGATAGGCTTGGAATCTGCTCGTCATGGTGGCCACGACCAACGCAGCTATGGATATACTGAGTGCAAGGAACCCATCATCCTCGCGATCTTGATCTTCCTCAAGGGCCTTGCGAAATGAGGGACGGTGTACGATTGGAACCATTGGGTAGACATAATCGAGATAGTCTTGCATAATCCTTTTGAAAAGGACTCGATCACATAGATCATCAGTCCTATGTGGAGTCATTGGAAAGTGAGTTCTTTCTCGTTGTATCGCTGCAGGTGATCTTCTAAATAACCATGATTAGGAGATGGCCCTAGTATTTCAACACTCCAGTAATGCACCATACCGCCGTTTAGGTCCTCTAGTTTTCGAGGGGGATACAAAGGTGCACGACAGGTTTAAATGCTCGCAACGTGCGCATCGCGACAAGATGGTTCGCTCGGCGCGTTGGAGCTTGCATTTGACCTTTCGCTTGCGACAGTTATCACATGCATGGGTTGACAATTCTGCGCGAAGAGATGATGCCTGTAACATGATGACATAGTATTAAATGAAATTAATATCGTCTATTATACTTCGTGGGGAGTATTCAAAGTGAAATGAGAAGAACACAGGTTGATCGGGATGTCAATTTAAATCAATTTAGCCAAGTGGATCGAACCAATCATAGTGCATAATCTGGACCATGGTCTAAGATATATATGGTTAAAAACATCTGCTCATTCTGATTGGTTCCCGGTTTTTTCCAGTCACACTTGCCCCGCATCCTGCTGCTTCCTTTTCACAACGCCCTTCTTATTTTTGGAGTAACGACCTTGAAAATTGGTGTCTCCATGAGCAAAGCAGAATCCCGCTCTACTCCATTCTGGCTTTCGATGTTATGACTCCACATCTGACACAATGTCACGTCCAGTTTTGTTGAAGGAGGATCAGAAGTACCATATCGGTTTTGGTACATCCAGAGAGCGAGAATTCTATAAGTATGTAAATACCATCATATTCTGTTATATTATACCCAGTTAGGCTAACCACGCTCCTTGCAGGTACTTACCGCCGTATCACCTGAATGCGGACGCTTTGCAGCACCTCGGACCTGTCACACCATCAAAACAATATGCTGCCCACTCCTCGGTTGACCCTGTCTTAACAGCATTTGCACAGTTGGGTGCCTTGCGGCTGAATGCGCAGCGAGCATTGATTTCGCTATTTGGCCGACACGAACAACACGTTCTCACTGAAGCAACGCGCACCCTTAGTTTGCAAGATGACGGCGATCATAATTCTCATGATGAGCTCTGGGTTGGAAGCTGCACCATGTCATATGAGCGCAGCTTGTGCAAAGCGGTCATGAACTCCACGCCAAATGTGACTGCTGCCAGTGACCGTGTCTTTGTTGTGCCAGATCTTACATTGGATGACACGTTCAAGGACCATCTAGATGTCGTAGAGTTTCCAAACCTGCGTTTCTTGGCGTCAAGTCCAATCATCAGTCCGAAAGGCATTGTCATTGGTGCCTATACGATTCTAGACGATAAGCCGCACGATCCTCTCGAGATCAGTCTACAGAGATTTCTTGTCGATATTTCAATCACTGTTATGAATTATCTGGATACGACTCGTTCTCAGGGTCAGCATCTTCGGAGCGAACGAATGATTGTCGGTCTTGGGAGCTTTCTCGAGGGCAAAGGTAGTCTGCGTAATTCGTGGCTTGTCGACTCTGATAATTGTCAGACTACCCTCACCTATAATAATCATGCAGAGGGCCGTGTCAACTTGAACCAACAGCAAATGCAGGTTTCGCAGAGCATTGCCGATACCATGCTGCAACCCCCTACTACTGGTCACATGCCTTTCCGGCCTTACAATCTTCACATCCCCCGAAGTAAACTTCCTCAAGCGTCATGTGCAAGGGATGATCTTTCTGACGGCACGAAGACTAGCCGGCCACACGCAAAAGCGCAAACAAGGCTTAAGCGGGCGCCTCAAGCAGCTATCGCAAATGGCAAAGGAAGGCTAGGTCAACAGTCGCCTAAAGATGGTTATACAGCTAAGATTCAGGACACGTTCTCACGTGCATCCAATCTCATTCGTGAGAGTATCGAGGTTGAAGCTGTGGTCTTTTTTAGCGCCAATTTTCGTTCTCAGGAGTCTTTGGTGAATAATGCAAAGTCTGATACCGAGGGTAGCAGCTCTGAAACTTGCTCTTCGGGTGAAGACGATTCCACATCTCGAGGATTGCAGCAAACAGACCCTTTTTACGATAAGTTGGCTCAAAATGGCGGTAAATCCACGTTAAATCCGTGCGAAATACTCGGATTTGCGACCTCAAACACCTCTAGTATAAACCATCAAGTGACAGAAGATAACAAGATTGCTTTGTCGGAGTCCTTCCTCGCGGGACTGTTACACCGATATCCTCGTGGGAAGATCTTCAACTTTGGTGTAGATGGAGCAATATCTTCTGATGATACTAGTGATGGGGTCTTCGACAGATTCTTCCGACGCACTGGGTGCAAGAGATACAAAAGGACACGGAAGACACTACTACGCACGGATGCCCAGACACTGCTCCAGCTCGCTCCGGAATCTCGCAGTATCGTCTTCACCCCGATGTGGGACTCACACAAGGACAGATGGTATGCAGGGAGTTTGACATGGACAAGAGCAGCCCACCGTGTCTTTACATCCGCTGATGAATTGGCTTTCCTCTTGACATTTGGAAACAGCGTTATGGCCGAAGTGCACCGGCTCGGAGCCCACTTTGCTGAACGCGCAAAATCAGACCTCCTCGCGGGGCTTAGCCACGAACTTCGGTCCCCCCTCCATGGAATTTTTGGCACAGCAGAGCTTTTGAACGACACCATTATAGATGCGCTACAGCGAGGCTTTATTCACACGATCTCTTCATGTGCATTCACACTCCTTGGTTCGATCAATCAACTTCTCGAGTATGCTAGCATCAACGATATTCGGCCGAGCTCTGTTGTGAATTCTCCTAGTGGGAATATCCGCGATATACCTGGGGAACAAATTACCTCAGCGTGCCGTTCTTCCTATCCGGGCAAGGTCGACCCCGATACTTATGTTGAACTTGATAGTGTTGTTGAAGAGGCGGTAGAAACAGTTTTCGCTGGTTATTCATTTCTAGGCAACTCACGTTCTCCTCTTCGAGGTGTCTCTGGGACTTCGAGCTCAAATCACAAATCGTTCGATACACAGGGTGGGGTCAAAGTAATTCTCGATATTGACTGCGCCAAAAGTTGGAAATTTTCTACCCGGCCTGGAGCTTGGCATGTGATTCTCACTAACATTTTTGGAAATGCCTTGAAGTTTACACAGAAAGGCCACATTCGTATTTCGATGCAGGCCACGCCAGCCCAATACGGGGCTGACGGTAAGGTGGTGAGCTCAAAGATCACAGTAACCACTCAAGATACTGGGTGTGGTATGGATCCAGAGTATCTTAAAAACGGGCTGTTCACTGCGTTTTCACAGGAGGATAGTATGACCATCGGCAATGGTCTTGGATTCAACATCACTCGCCGCATTCTAGAATCTCTAGGCGGGTGTATTCAAGTCAATTCGCAAAAGAACGTTGGGACTGAGGTTATCGCAACAGTGATTCTTGGTCATACATTCGACCATGAAGCTCTCGGCCACACTCCTGGTCAGTTCTCTATTCCCAACACCAAAAAGCTCACTCGGTCCAAATCCGTTGGAATATTGGGCCTTGGGACATCCGATCTAGACATCGCTCTACGCACATCATTGCAAAATGTGTGTCAAAATTGGCTCGAAATGGATGTCCACATTATTCTTCCCTCACAGACACAATTTACACATTGTGACTTTTATATCTCTCCTCATGAACACCTTGACATTGGGAATTCGGAGATTCAGGCAATTGCCCCCGATCAAAATAATCAATTGACATCGCCTGTCATCTTAATATGCTCATCCCCAAGAGTTGCGCATTCTATGTTTGCAGGGGCTCGTAATCGAAGGGATACAGATGTCCATGAGTTTATTAGTCAACCATGCGGGCCACACAAATTGGCAAAAACGTTCGAGGCGTGTATCAAACGCCAGCAGGAGCGGATGGATTATATCTTGAGCAAAGCAGAACCATCAGACATTCCATTAAACACCTCAGCCCCAGTTGGCTTGAGTCTCTCTAAAAGAGACTCGCTTGTTTCTCCAACCTCACCGATTCCGGAGTCCACCGGCCAGCCTATGGTCACCATAACGGATCGCTTAGCCCAAATGCATAGCCGGCCTCGAAGCTTCTCACCAAAGCCAGGAAGTCCTGTTCACGACGTCACTCGCGGCCCTTGTGCCGAGTCTATCAATCATTTCACCACCAGATCGGATCAACATGTCCCAGGTCAAGATGATCCTATCTCTAATCCTGGATCTAATCCTCCGCTCATGGTACTTCTTGTCGATGACAACGACATCAACATCAGACTTTTAATCGCCTTCATGAAGAAATTGAAATGCAATTATGGAATTGCCCAAAACGGAGAGGAAGCCCTCCAATTTTTCAAATCAAACTTCAACAAGATTGGCATGGTTCTCATGGGTAGGTTCTCGCAACTCCCCCTCGATATTGCAACAATTTGACCATAATAGATATTTCTATGCCAATCATGAACGGTCTTGAATGCAGTAGGCGAATCCGTGAATTCGAGAACACACTGGAGGGCCATACTCGTGTGACAATCGCCGCTCTGACCGGCCTCGCCCAAGCCGATGTACAACGTGACGCGATCGGTTCCGGTATGGATTTGTTCGTGACAAAACCCGTACGCCTCGATAGTTTGGTACCACTCATCAAAGACGTGTTTCCCAAAAGTCATCCCATATGGCAGGGACAGGCATGATTCAAAGGCAAATGGATAATCCGAAACGATTTCCAAGTCAGGATATAAATACAATGTAACATGAATGTATGAGAAATGTTTTGCTTATCTTATGTGTGGAACAATTTTGTTTTTTATCTTGTGCTCTCACAAAACGCATGTATACGATAGTGCGGAAAGTTGAACTAGATCCATAGATCTTTCTACTCAATCAGAAGGGCTAAATCAATATATCGAAGCATGGTGTATAGAAACCAAGGCTCACTAAGACTGTTCGTTCCGACCTCGGGACCTCGGGACATGTTGGTAACAAAGGTTGAAACATTGGGACCTTGGAACCATATGTAGATTACATGATGAAAACATGGATCTGTATACTCTACGGTTGGTTTTTGAAGAAAATATATGGTCATGGAATAACGGAATAGTGGTATTATTTCGCTAGTGCATTAAATCGTTAAAGTGAGCATTCCACTCAAGTTGTATATAAACACAATGGCTCGCCGCAGGGGGCTAGAGCAAAGGAAAGGTCAGGTGTATGACGCTTAGTTCTTGGCAGCCTCTGTGTGGTTATTAGTACTGAATCGTCGGAGGGATGTACTGGAAAATGGCTTACCCTTGTGGACATCGGCCTTGGTGTTGTGGGAGACCTCGTCCTTCTTGTCGACAATGGCATCCTTGGCGGCGCTGGCACGGGTGGAAATCTTAGCATCGTCGTTCTTGGCGACGTTCTTGTTGGCCTCCTTGGAAGCTTCGGCACCGGTGCCCTGAACGGTCTCGGCGACGTAGTTCATGCCTTGCTGATGGGAGGTTAGTAAGTCGTATGGGAGAGTAACATGATGGAGGCACAAACCTTAATGGTCTCCATTGTTAAGGTAGTAAAGTAGATTGATTGTTTGGAAAAGTGTTGGTTATTGAAGTGAGATAATTGTGTGATGATGAATCCGAGAAGTTGGGAAGTTGAAGAGATACTTATAGTTCGTGGAGAAGATAGATGATGTCATACGTCACCGTCCGCTTTGGCCAAGTTTCTTGTGAAACCATCCAAGTTCAATGCAACCAATGTTCACAACCTTGGAAGTTCACCAGAGTGGCTGAAAATGAATTAACATCCACTTTTTATGCTTTTTGAGCATTTATTGACATCACCTACAAGTCCCTACGTGATCCGTTACTCCGGATCCGCCACAATGGTATTGATCCCTGAACATGATATGCGGCTCGGAGTGGACTTTGCTATCGAATATTCTTTCTGTTTCTATGCTTAAATTGGTTCAATCATTGATCTGGCTGTACAACATAGTATCCTTGTACCTCTGTGTCGCGATTGATCTACCCCCAGATTATCCTCACACCCACAGATTTGGCCGGAAGTGTATGACGTCGATCTGCAATCCCAACAATATGCCTAATTTTCCTTGTTTGCACCTTCTACTCCATACACCACAAACATTACTATTATTGTATATTCTTTGTTAATCGAGATGGTTCCATTAAGTGTCTCAAGTTATCATAGGCGGAATCTTCCAAAATTAGAGATCACCCGACTTCCGGATGAGGCAAATTGTACAATGCGTATGTTGTGCCTATACGTATCCCAAACCAACATCGATTAACAGATCCCTTCTTATTGTTTTTTGCTTTGTTTGTAGTCAAATGTCCAAGTTGAGCTTATTGTAAGCTGGTTTATTGGAGATATAGTTCTCCCAATAAACATATAGTAACTCGTCACTCGACTCAGTTGAACACACCAAAATTGGAAAAGCTCATGAACTGAGAAAAGCAGCCCCCTTTTCTTTGGATAATAGGGAAATCTATAGAATTGTCTAGATTCATGCAGGTCATGTCTTAGTGTCGATTTTCTTGTGTGAAGCTATGACGTTGCTCCCGTATGCGCCACCCACACTAGAAAGCTATGGAGAAATACTCCTTATTCAGAGAGTGGAGCCAGCAAGTATTCCACCAATCGTGAGATTTGAGGGACCTTAAGCTTGGCTTTGAACAACAATTTGTAGTCAAAACAGCCGAGGGATTTCGTCGGAAGCATTCTATCCTCCGTTCAAGTAAGTTAGATACGCCCCAAAGACCGTCGTCATATTCACATGATTATTGAGCTGGAGTAAATAACTCCAACATCAATCAAGCCCAGCTGAAAGCGAATCAAATCCCCTGGGTGGCTTGTATCCATGGGACAGCAGCTAGTCCGTTACCGAGGCTCATATCAACTTGACCGGCACACAATTCACCTTCCAAATCGGTCATAGAAGTCCTTCTCGGCAATTTGGCCAGTCTCGAAAATATCTTTTCATATCGCATAAATGTATAGCGCGCCGAATCTATACCTAGCTGGATACGGCGGCTTCGGTGATCATCTCACCTCTCCTTCTGCAATGCCACGTTCGTGTCCAACTTCATCGGCAAACAGATCGATGTATTCATGGGGACTCATTTGACCGACGTGAGATATTCTAGGGAATATGATCCGGGCGCATCGATATAGCCGCCAGAGTAACGTTCCAATCCGATTTTGAGGGGTGTTTTCAACCCGATCGTCTTTCCATAAGATAATAAACCCCCAGTGCAAGGCCCCTTCAATCCAGGACAGAGTATCGGACAAACGGTAGTAAGGTCTGCACCTCGCAATCATGCGCAGTTGCAAGTGATGGCCGGGTATCATCTCATGGAAGACCGTGGCGCACGAGAAATGGATAATATTTACACTCCCATCAGCCTGGCTTCGTGATCCATCTCGTCAATCATATGACACGGTGATACTCTCGCCTCCGAGAAAGAAGGGATTCAGCACTTTGACAATCAAGAGACTTCATAAACATCTGTCAATCAGCTCTAGCAATCGGGGGCACAGTGACGAGTCGATGGTCTTCGACAAATGCGATGACTTCCAGCATGAGAGCTTGAACTAGTTAGCTATGTTGCCCTGATCTGACAGGACCATTCTAGGCTTCTTTTAGGGCCTGCTTCCATCCTTAGAATCCCATGGCTGTGGGATGACTTTTCCAGCTCGTGAACACATCATTTGGCATCAATTTCTACAAGCGGATGATAAACAATTGATTCGGCCAGGAGCTTGCTAAGCAATTCTTCGCGACCTACAGGTTTCCCACTATTTCGTCTTAATTATCCAAATTGACGCCAGCCAGTTTCTCCCAGATACTCTCTGCAGCGGTTTGATTCTGTTTGTAGTCGAGGTGCATCGGAGGGTGATAGGGTGCCACCAAGATGTTTTATCTCATGGCTGGTCAATTCGAATGGTCGTTTTTGACGATATCGCAAGGACTTATTAGCTCAAAAAGTTGCGTGGCCTTACTCCGCGTTTATACCAAAAGCAGGTATAACGTTATCGGTTCGAAGAATGAGCCAGTAGTATGTGCCGCTCCAGGGGAGCTAGGGGGAGCTAGGGCTAGATTGCGGGAGAAAGAATGAAAGGCTGCATTCAGATGTTGATTTTTTGAGGAAGTTTGTCTTTATCTGCGGCGGATTCAGCTAGTATTGAGAGGAAGGAAGTCAAGTAAGCTTCGGTTTCTCTGATTGCCTCATGTGGATGGTCTACAAGTCTTTTGATTGCTAGTTTAGATGACTCTTGTCCTCCCCTCATTTTGTTTCTTCGTCTTATCACCCTTCCCTTCTTCATCCCTTTATGCCTGTGATTTAGCTTTGAATAATACTTACTCCTTCTTCAACATTATTCCAACCTTATCATTTTTCCATCAGGTGGCTAGGCTTCCCTATCTTGACGTTATACATCTTTCCATCCTAGCAGGATGAGCTCACAGCCACCTCTGTTAGATGGGCTAGAACCGTCACAGCTCGATGGCTCGAGTAATAACAACAGGGTATCTGTTGATGCCGTTGAAGAGCTGCACAAAATCCAAGCTTCCCATCAATGGGATCCGAATTTGCCACTAAAGAAATTAAACGTCATTGAACAGGCAGTCGAGACAGGCGATCAAGAGAAGGCCGCTGAGCTGAAGAAATCATTTGCTCAGGATTCACAGTACGACTCCGTCCGTGCAGCCGTTCGAAACACAGATGGCGGAGAGGTTGCCAATACAGTACGAGCCTGGATTCTAGGCATGTTTTTCACAACTCTTGGAAGTGGATTGAATATGTTTTTGAGCATGAGGTATGCTTTGCGTTCGGTTTCGTGGTGAATATGGAATGGCAAATTGACCTTAGCACAGGAGTCCTGCTATCTCGTTCCCGGCCATTGTCGTGCAGTTGCTGGTCTTTCCCATCGGTTGCTTATGGGCCAAGACAATGCCTACCCGCAAGTTTAATACTTTTGGGTTGAAATGGACCCTCAACACTGGGCCCTTCACGATCAAAGAGCATGCAGTTATCACAGTGAGTCTATAAGTATCCATAAATATCCATTCTACCCCCATGGAACAGAGCTGACCATTTGTTTTCAGATCATGGCGAAGTGAGTGCGTCTGTGTCCCAAGGTTTAGCAAATGTGCTAAGCAAAATATAGTGTGTCGATCGGCTATGCTTATTGTACCGATGCTCTCTTGGCGCTGAAGGCAAAGCGTACGCAAATTCCCTCGCCCTAGTCAGTCCACCACTAATGTTAATTTAGCACTTTATGACTTGGATATTGGATGGGGATTCCAACTTCTTTTCGCTTTGAGTAGTCAGGTTGTCGGTATGTCATTGGCAGGCATTTTCCGACGTTTCCTCGTGTGGTAAGTTGCAAAAGTCGAGGCTCTAATCTCCACTGCTAATAACTTCAAGGCCCGCTGCAGTGATGTGGCCCGGCCAATTCGCAAACACTGCTCTGTTCTATGCTCTTCACGATTGGAGTTCCTCGGATACCTTGGAGACTCACGGATGGAGAATCTCCCGATATCGATATTTTCTCTATGTGACAGCTGGGGCATTTGTTTGGTATTGGTAAGTCGTCCGGATTTTAAACTTATTTCATCATGATTAACATTATATGACAATATAGGATACCCGGTGTCATATGGCAAGGACTCTCGGTATTTGCTTTTGTCACATGTAAGGGCCCGTTCCTCATTTCAATTTCGGCTGCGCTGATACTGCTTGCTTCCAGGGATCCGACCCAATAATATCGTTCTCAACCAACTGTTCGGAGGGTTTACGGGACTCTCACTGGTTCCCATCACGTTTGATTGGACGTAAGCTCTATTACAGCAGCTCTCTACTTTATTAAAAGATCCAAAACTTACCATGATCAGCTATGTTTCGGCATATCTGAGCGATCCACTGCTGGCACCGGTTCATGCCATCGTCAATACGCTTATCGGCCTTGTGGTTTTCATGATCATCACCGCAATTGGGATTTCGTACTCTGGGGCATTGTATGTTGGACCTTTGACCTTTTTTATCAAGTTTATTTCATACTAACATCGATATAGTTACTCCGCCTACCTCCCAATCAACACATCTACCACGTACGACAACACACAACACAGCTACAATGTGACCAAAATTCTAGGGCCTAATTTCTCATTCGACGAGAAGAAATACAAGGCGTATTCGCCGATGTTCTTGGCGCCAACCTTTGCTCTAAACTATGGACTATCGTTTGCTGCTCTTACCGCAGCTGTTGTTCATGTTGTTCTGTTTCATAGAAAGGAGCTCTGGTATAGATTCAAGGCTTCTAGGGAGCAGGAACCTGATATTCATCTCGTTCTAATGAGAAGGTATAGGGAAGCACCAGATTGGTGGTACGCAGCACTGTTTCTCTTCTCAATTGCTCTCGGGCTTGCGGGTATCTTGGCATACGATTCGCAACTTCCGTGTATGGGAACAATATCCTCATCTCATGATCCGTCTGACAGATTTTATAGGGTGGGGATTCTTTGTCTCGGTCATGCTCGCCTCAGTCTTCATTGTATGTTATAACATGGTTATCAAGAAAATGGCTTCCGCTAACGATATAGGTTCCAACTTGCATGATCCTTGGAATTACTAACATCACACTCTGTATGCAATCCCTCGCGGTTTCTTTGATGTTGTTCAAGCTAATTATTCTAGCTCTCAATGTTTTGTCGCCGTTCTTGGCAGGATTTATGATTCCTGGGAAGCCAATTGGGGTCATGGTTTTCAAAGTCTTTAGCACCATAACCCTGGGACAAGCGTAAGCATGCAGGATGTGTTTTCTGGGCATAATCTAACATCTTTACTAGTCAAGTCTATTGTGCTGATCTCAAGGTATCTACCTCTCGCATATTAGTCAAGCAGCACGTTTATTGATCTTTGGTAGTTGGCCCACTACATGAAAGTCCCTCCTCGTGTTACTTTCATTTCCCAAGTTGTTGCTACCATCTGGGCCAGCATTGTCCAGATTGCGGTCATGAACTGGACATTGAGCAATATTGATGGAGTCTGCACCTCGTATGTCAGCAGAACCAACACCTAAGGATGCCTAGAAAAGGAAAATCATTAATCATATATCACCATCAGTAACCAGCCAGCGCAGTTTACATGCCCAAACGGAAGGGCATTTTTCTCGTCTAGCATTGTATGGGGTGAGTATGACTTCTCTTGTTGGTTGAGTCAATTGCTAAATTTTATAAACAGGCGTCATTGGCCCGAAGCGCATGTTTGGGCCTGGTGCCATATACACCAATATTCAATGGTTTTGGCTGATTGGTGCTCTTCTCCCCGCGGCTTTCTATCTACTGATTCGAGTACTTCCTCGATCTAAGCTCAGATTTCTCAATGCGCCCGTGTAAGCCCAGCAAGCCCCCAGACGATATTCAATGGCAAATCCTGACGTTTTCATCAGAATGTTGGGTGCTATGTCCTGGTTACCTCCGTAAGTCAACAACATTTGTATGCCCCACAATGCAGGTTGCTAATTTTTACTAGCGCCACGCCGTTGAGTTACTCTTCCTGGGTGATGTTTGGCCTCATTTTCAATTATTGGATTCGACGCCGGTGGAGCGGGTGGTGGCATACATACAACTACATTACCGCTGCAGGACTCGACTCCGGCCTCATTCTATCAACCATTGTAATATTTTTTGCAATCATCTTACCCAATGTTTCAATCCCACAATGGTGGGGAAATGCTGCTCCCTTTGAGACCATGGTACGTAACTATATGCCGACTTTGACGAATGTGGGTCCTAATGAGACACATCGTAGGACTATCTTTACACTGCAGTGCGAAAGACCGTTGTAGATGGTGAGACGTTTGGGCCAACTGAATGGTAGAATTGGAGGATATACCTAGGTTTATTCCGTGGAAAGAATATCGAATATCATGAAAGGATGACGAATGATCAACTGAGGTCCGGGGCTAAGGTGGGATTTATATATAGTATACACGTGACCATGACTAATGGCCGAGTCCATGTTGTACGAAGTGACGTGGACAATGTCAGGGCGTAAAGGCATAAGTCCCTGAAAAATAAACAGTAGAAAGTAGTAAAAGTTTAGTATAGAAATTCAAAATAGGGGCAAAATCGGGCTACTCCAGCCTCAAACAGAATTTGGGTATCAACTCGAAGCTTAGAGTGCGCCCCCTAGGCCAATTCTCCGCATCCCAACCTCCCTCTTACTTCTTTAAACTCCCCTTCCTACTACCCTACTTCATCCATAGTGTGTGGCTTCGTCGTTGTTTTTTGTCGCATTTGCATCACGGGATCCTTTTCCCCTCGTCCTCGCACCGCCTCACTCTTCTGAGGGCCGAGTCCTAGCAACGGTTTCCTTCCTACCCCCGCCTTCTTTGACCGCTTCAACTCTCATTTCCAAAACCATTCACCATGTCGACTCCTACGACCAAAACGCCGACGGTGGTCCGAAGCCATTCAACCTCATCTCGTCCCTCACGAGCACCATCCGATCTTCCCCATCGAACACGGAGTGTGGCGGTCCGACCATCAACCACATCCCAGCCTCCTCCAACCCACTTGTCACATTCCAAAACCCCCTCACACGATAGGCGCCCTCCATCAAATCACGCTCCACTTGAAAGTGTCGCCCGCCGCGATTTCGAAGCGTCCAATGTTGCGCGGATGCCCTCTCGTCGTGAGGCGTCATCGGAACGATCCCAGGAACGCCCCTCAACCGCTCGCACCGAAACTACCCGAAGGCACCAAAGAAACCCCTCAGCGGGAGGACGTCAAAGAGACAGCGTCGATATGACACCGAGCTCGACCGCACAAGAGCCTGCGCAAAATGCGACCGGAACAAATGCCCCCGCGGCGGCAGCTGCGCCTAGACGACGGACTACGATCACGACGCCAACGGGTCAGTGGGCCTTGGGCAAAACGATAGGCGCTGGAAGTATGGGCAAAGTAAAATTGGCGAAGAATACAGAGACTGGAGAACAGGTATGTAAATCGAGCTGACTGGTTTTATCATTCAGTATTTATTAACTCCGGTCGCAGGTTGCCGTTAAAATCGTACCACGACTCTCGACTGAAGAACATCGCACCACCCGGGAGACAGAAAGAGCAGACCGCTCCAAGGAGATTCGGACAGCTCGAGAAGCCGCTATCGTCAGCCTGGTGAATCACCCGTACATCTGCGGGATGAGGGATGTCGTCCGGACATCCTACCATTGGTATATGCTTTTCGAATATGTCAACGGTGGACAGATGTTGGACTATATCATCTCCCATGGCAAACTCAAGGAAAAGCAGGCCCGCAAATTCGCACGTCAAATCGCCAGCGCATTGGATTACTGCCATCGCAACAGCATCGTGCATCGCGATCTGAAGATTGAGAACATTCTGATCAGCAAGACTGGTGATATCAAAATCATTGATTTCGGTTTAAGCAACCTGTTCTCACCAAGAAGCCTCTTGAAGACTTTTTGTGGCAGTCTTTACTTCGCTGCGCCGGAGTTGCTTCAGGCCAGACAATACACGGGGCCCGAAGTTGACGTATGGAGTTTCGGAATTGTTCTTTACGTCTTGGTTTGCGGAAAGGTACCCTTCGATGACCAGAGCATGCCTCAGCTGCATGCGAAAATCAAGAAAGGTGTTGTGGAGTATCCTCCAGGTCTCACTGCCGGTAAGCCAAGCTTGAACCTCCGCATCACATTATTATATCACTAACCCTGCCTCGCAGAATGCCGCCACATCATATCACGCATGTTGGTTACTGATCCCAAGCAGCGCGCCAGCTTGGCCGAAATCATGAGCCATCCCTGGATGAACAAGGGCTTCAGCAGTCCTCCAGAGAATTACCTTCCTCAGCGCGAGCCTTTGCAGATGCCACTGGACCAAGAAGTAATCGAAAAAATGACTGGCTTTGACTTCGGGCCGCCAGAATACATCACAGCACAACTGACAAAAGTCCTGGAGTCTGAGGATTACCAGCATGCTATTCGTCTAAACTTCCGCGAGCAACAACCTGTTTCCAATCACCCAGAGCGCAAGCGTGGAGTGTTCGATTTCTACAAAAGGCGCAACTCTGCAGCCAGTCGTGATACTCTTTCTGCGCCTTCGGCCGAGGCTGTGCAGCTGGGCAATGATCCCTTGAATGCTTACAGTCCTTTGGTCTCTACATACCATCTTGTCAAAGAAAAGATTGACCGGGAACGGTCTGAAGCGCGTCCCGGAGCCCTTGGCCTGCGCCAGACCCCTAGTGAAATTCACGTGCCCGATCTGCGGCCCCCGGAAGCCGCCCATACTAACCAGTACCAGTTGGCAGGAGACAAAGATACAGGGCGACGATCTCGCCCCCGGGCCCGCACCCACGGCGAGGAAGATGTCGCAGAAGGAATGGGAACACTCCATTCTTCGTCGCCATCTGCTCACGCAGTTCCGACTTCACACATGGACACGCCTGCCAAGAAAGAAAGTACCGCCGCTGGACTCTTGAGGCGGTTCAGTACTCGCAGGACCAAAGACCGCAGCCGCGATGTCGAGCGCGAACGGACCAGCACACCGAATACACCCACACTCAATGTCCAACCTCCTGCCGATTCAGCGTCTCCTATACACCGTGGTTTCAGTGTCAGGAGAACCCGACGAGCAGAGCCTTCTCCGGTTGGCACCTCTTCTAATGACAGTCGACCACAGCAGGATCTGTTGGCGGCGCCCGGCTCGGTTGATCGCACAGCTAGATCTAACAAGTTCTTGGAGAGGTCCACCAGTGTCAACTCGGCTGACTACCGACCCCGGAGAACTGCACGGAGGAGTGATGCCGATGCACTGGATGCTTCTGCGGATCCTCAGGCACCTTCAACCAGTGGCTCTGATCAAGTCGGTCCCAACAACCAGAAAGATGCAGCCATCTCACGGCCCGGTGGCCGTACACACACTGCGCGCACCATGTCGTTGGGACACGCCAGACGAGAAAGTATCCAGGCTCGCCGGGCTCGCAGGGATGCCACTCGAGAAGCCAATGTCCCTGAAGAGACAGATGCAGACATCTCAGGCGCAGGTACCGCCCTGGAGAGCGCCAATGAAGGAGAAGACTTATCCAAACCGGTTTTCCTGAAGGGACTTTTCAGTGTTTCAACCACCAGCAGCAAGCCATTGCCTGTTATTCGGGCCGACATCATTCGCGTCCTCCGACAGCTTGCTGTAAACTATGAGGAGATCAAGGGTGGCTTCAGCTGTCGCCATGCCCCTAGCATTGACCTTGACAAGGTAGTTGATGTTGCTCCTCCCAGCCCCGAGCGGCAAGGACAAATGTCCGGACACCGCCGTCGCATCAGCTTCGGTGGCTTGCTCAACCATGATGACAGCCGAGACGACAGCCGCACTGGATCTTCCAAACTTCGTCGTGCCCAAGCCGCGCCGGATCGCAGCTTCACAACGAACTCGGACGCCTCTGAGGATTACGTTGCACGGGAACATGGTGCTGTCGGCGAGCGTGTCGTCGGTGAGACCACCACTCGTGTGCAGAGTGACACTGGTGAAAACCTAGTTCTCAGGTTTGAAATCTTGATCGTGAAGGTCCCATTGTTTTCACTACATGGAATTCAGTTCAAGAAGGTATCAGGCGGCATGTGGCAGTATCGAGAGATGGCGAAGAAGATTCTCGACGCTTTGAGGCTGTGACCTTACTCATTTGAAACAGACGCTTTTAAAGAGCGCATCCTATGACAAACCGCCTTTCTTTGCTTTACCTTGACCCCATTGGCGATTTTTTTTCCATCCACGACGCATCCGCACGAGCATTCATCATATTTACTGTTATTGCATGTCTATTGTCTTCTTTGCTTTCTTTGCTTTCCTCCCATCGCTCATAAAGAGGTCATTTAGCTTCATTAGCCTTGCTATTGCTTTTCGTCCCATGCACAAGTATAAATCACCTATTATCAAATACTCATTGGCCTAGATCTGCTCTTCGGTCTTCGTGGTGTATATTAGAATCAAGCGAAGCCATTGTGGATGCTAGCGTTTTTGCCCTTTGCTTTTCCCTTGTGTCATCTGTTGGCTATTGTGCAGAATTGGAAAAATGGCGTCGTACTTTTTGGACAGTTATATTATGATGTTTATGTCGTCATCCTGGATAAAAACGTTTGCAAATATTCTTTATTCGTGGTCTTGTGTGCCCCCTGTTCGTAAACTGTCATACTCATTCAAAATACCTGAGAATCGTAGAGCTCTGGAGTCCATTGGTCCACGGGTGTGACCCATGCGCTACAGATCATCTTGAGCAGGACAATGTCTCCCATGCCATATTTAGGGGCCGTGTGGATTAAATCGTCCATGGTAATGTTCTTGACAATTACTCTCATTTAAATTTGATTTCAATTGTCTCAGAATGTAGTAGAATCCCGAAGTGACCTTTGTATCAGCGGTTTATAAGCACAGACCTGAAATATTCTATAAAAAAGTATTTTCCACTTAATAGGATATAATCCAAGGAACTACTAGGTGTATTCCACGTTAACAATATTATCCGACTATATATATATATAATGCTATATTATATATTAAAGTGTTTTTAGTATGTGTTTTACCTTATATAGGCCTGAGTATATGATCGTATCGCCGCACCCGGACCCCTGGACACGATTAAGTCAACAAAACAAACCATTAATTTTGTGCCTAGTTATAGTTAGTATGAGGCTTATGCACGACTCTAGTTACTCAACCCGATATATCTAATACCGAATATATACTCCGTATAGTAGACTGCCTTGGACTCTCTAGAGCTAAACGCCCTTTTTCTATTCAGATTCTTCCGAAGACGGGGAAACCGTCTAAATGGAAGGCATTACATAGTGAAAACTCTGGAGTGATATCCTGTTCGGATATCGCTAGTGGTCTTTTTGGTAAGGCTTTAAACGGGAATGGCCCAGAGCCCATATCCCTAACAGCAAGCCCCCAGCGCCTTTCTATAATATTGTAAGTGTTGCTATATGATTTTACAAATTGATATACATATACATAAAAGATAATCTAAGAGACTAGCGCTCTTATAGATGACAGAGAACGAGTCCTTAGTTGATTGGAAATCGAAGGCTTGGTATATCTTCTCAACAACTCTCGTTGGCTTCGCGTATTCTTTCTCGATCCCTAACGCCGACGTTACCTACAAATCAGTTAGGCAGCTACTTAAAGCTTCCTAGATATCTGAGGACCTGCCTATCAAGAAAGATTAGATCTACCCTAGGCTTTAAAAATGGGATTGCGATCACGAGAGGTTTGACTATTTTTAGCGACGGCGAGGCAAAGATAGGGACTACTGTTGGAGGTAGCGAGAAGAGGCTGAAGTCGTAATTATTGATTGTTTGACTTGGCTCATATATTTGAGATCTTTTCATATAACTATTCAGAGACAATAAACTCAGGGGCTCAAATTGACCCTCGTAGCTGCCTATAAGGTTGTGGACTAGTTACGTTCGTGTTGGGTTGTAATAGGCGGCTGCGGCATACATTGTACATATATGTATGTACGGAGTAAGACTACGTCGATTGTACTTGGTGGCTTCTCGCCCTGCCAGCCATTTTGATAGGGTGCGATAGACTGAGTCCAATAGCCTCTTTGCTCCATACAATTTACCCAGAATCCAAATTTTTTTAATTATAGAATTTTAGAACCTAGAACCTGGAAGAAGAAATGAAGCTTGGCTGGCGTCAGTCCGCCACGCGGTCCCCACGTACTGCGCCACAATCAGGTCTGCCTCGCGAGGGGTTTAAACATATAAACGTCAGCCTAGATATTTCTTTTTTGATTTTCTACACATTCTGTTCATTATCTTGCATATAGTGTATCATGTCGTACTATCCAAACCGTGAGTATCTATGCATTCCGAGACAAAATTCAACTTTTGGCATAGAGGCGCTAACAAGACAAAAGAACATCCCAACGGAGGATACGCACAGCAAGGGCCTCCAGGTGGTCCGCCCCAGGGCTATCAGCAACCCCCGCCACTACCTCATGGCGCTTCTCAATATCCCCCTCAGCAAGGCCAATACCCTCCACAGCCATATGGCGCTCCTCCACAGGGCCAACATCCCCATCAGCAAGGCTACTACGGTTCCCCTCCACCACAGGGCCCACCACCGGGCGGCTTTCACGCCCCTCCTTACGTCGCACCCCAGCAACCTCCCTATGGCTATGCCCCTCAGAACCAGCGACCCCCCGGCGCGCCTGGATACCCGCCCCAGGGTCCGGCACCGGGTGCATATGGAGCTCCTCCCCAAGGTGTCCCCTCAATGCCTTCCCTGGGCTACATTCCAGGTACAGTAGCACCCGGCGACTTCCGGCCCCAAGCAGACGCGCTGCGCAAAGCGATGAAGGGCTTCGGCACCGACGAAAAGGCACTGATCGCAATCCTCGCACCCCTCGACCCGCTCCAGGTCGCTGCAGTCCGCAGCACATTTTCAAATCATCTCGGCCGGGACTTGATGAAGGATGTCAAATCCGAGACTAGCGGGTACTTCGAAGCCGGATTAGTAGCCGTGATCGAGGGGCCGCTCATGCATGATGTCGAGAGCGTACACTCCGCAATCGACGGTCTCGGCACGAAGGAATGGCTCCTCAACGACGTCCTGCTGGGTCGGTCCAATGCCGACATGAACGCCATCAAAACCGCATACGAGATGCGGTATAGGCGCTCGCTTGCCAGAGACGTCGCGGACGATCTCTCCTTTGGAACTTCCGACCTCTTCGCTGCTGCTATTCGCGCGACCCGCAATGAGGAATCAATGCCTGTTAACCCGCAAACCATCGAGGCGGATATCCGCTCCTTGTCAACCAAGAACGTAAAAGATGTATGCGCCATTTTTGCCCGGTCTTCTGATGCCGAGATCCGCGCTATCAGTCAGACTTTCGAATCGCGCTACAACGAGTCTCTTGAGAAGCACATCGAAAGGAAATTCTCTGGTCATATGGAGGATGCGCTGCTTCATATGCTCCGTACGGCTACGGATCCTGCTATGCGAGACGCCATTCTGCTAGAAGAATGTATGAGTGGCATGGGCACCAAGGATCAACGTCTTGTTGTTCGCGTTGTTCGAGCACACTGGGATCGAAACCATAAGGAGAAGGTGAAGCGTGCTTACCATCACAAGTTCCGGAAAAATTTGGTGGACCGTGTGCGTGGGGAGACTTCTGGTGATTATGGGCGGTTGATGGCTGCTCTTCTTGAGTCTTGAGTAAGGGCAAGTTATTATGTTTGAATGATTTTTTGATGTCAACGCTTTACATGTACTTTTGAGATACCACGAATTTTGAAATGAACACAGATTCTACATATATACTCACGATAGTAACCAACAGCAATAGAAGTGGAGACTTTGACACCGCCAGGGAGGCGGTTCATGCCACGGGTATCTTGCTAGTCCCTGAGATACGAAAACGCGCGTTCTAAACATTCTCGCTTTTCGAGAGCAGGCCGGATATACTAGATCGACATGTGGTAATCTAGGAACCTGCTCCTTTATTATGCAAGCCAGAGAACCTCTTAAGATTTTCTTGCGATTGCGGCTTTAGTCTTCGTATGTAGTCGAGACCTTGGAGCCACTTAGGGTTGGCCGTGTGATGTGTGGAAATCACCAGGTTGTTCCTAATGAATTTGAGATCGAAATTGCATATTGGCTTGACATGCTGGCTTTCAAGTTCCAAGCCTGCGGAGTTGACTCCGAAGGAAAAGGCACCATAGTGTAGTGTGATTCGAGCTCGTGAAAATGGCTATTTTATTCTTGTGGCCTCGTGCAGTACGGTCGGTCTTTATAGTCAACTTCATTATTTGGATCAAACTGACGCCAATATAGTCACAGTCAGCAAAGTAGCAGTGGAATATCTTTCTTGCAAGTGGTGATGTTAAATTTATTTATAGAGGCACGATACTCTGCATAATTATGGAACCAAGCACGACTCAAAATCACAGCTGTGGCACGCGGGCCTTCGGGGTCCCGATCAGGCGCCGTCGCAGAGATACCCGGGGCGGGGAGGGGTTTGGGCTACTCGGTAGCCCAATTTCAAGGGTAGTCAGCCCGTAACCTCGCAGGGGCCCCCTTTGGCGCCTACCCCCCAAACTATTGGCCTGACACTCAACTGGCCAGTTCGCCAGAGACCACTGCGCAAGCCCCTGATGGTCCTTTCTTCGACTCCGATTCTCTTGATGATGAAGAATGTTAATTACGAGAAATCTAGCATTGCTTCGACGACGGCCTATCCCTAACAACGACAAAATTGCCAGTAATCTAACGTGCGCTCCTCTGGAAGACGCATTCTTCAAAATATATGCGATTATGTAATCCAGCATCCAGTCACGTGGTCGCTTCTAACTCGCTTTTCTTCACTATTAACAAGATAGCCTTGACATCGTAAGGGCTAAAGGGCTATAATCTCAACGGTAGTTTGAAGTCACTAGAAATTGTATAAATATATTCAGCAGAGGCGCTGTGTCATGATGAGTAAGCCGATTTACTAGACGTTGATTGGTTGAACCTACGTTGGGGCGGCTGTTTCTGATGCCAAGACTTCAGGCAGTGTCGACCCTATTAACACTTGAAATTTCCAATTGCCCTATGTCGCGATCTACGAGTTTGATTTGATTGACAAACGTATCAATCGATAGCTGAAAGTGAGCTCTATAGCATAGTATGTGTTTTCAATTGCCTTATCCCAAGTGCTGTAAAATTAATACAATCATTGGTGGTCGTAAGCTGTCCTTTAGCTCTCCCAGGAGCGCTTTCCCCGCACTTCCAACCGCCTTTTTGAAAATCAATTAACGCTCGGATCAGAACACCCCTGAGTAACCACAGACAGAAATTCCGAAACACAAAGGAAATCCAAAGGAAAATCCAGTTAATTAATTAATAGATATTATTTCTAAGAGGGAAATATATCATTTCAATCTTACCTTCGTTTTAATAAAGCTCTAAATGACACCTATAAGGAGAACTATAGGCTAGGAACATCTAGGGTGAAAATAGAGTTGCTGAGTCATCTCCTTCACCCGCAACCACGGGTCGCGTGCAATATCTCTCTATCTTTTTTTTCTTTCTCAACGTCACTTCTTATCACTCCCTCAAATTTCACCAGCGTGTCCTACTCGCAAACCACTTTCGATTTTATTCTAGCTTACTTTGATCTGGTCGTGGAATGCCAAAGTTCACCTTGGTCTTCTTTGATTTGTTTTTCAACGGGCTTTCAAACCCCTATCGTCCTTCTTTGCGTCTTTAGGCTAGGGTCTTTGACTCTTCCTGTAGGCCCTTAAGACTAGGGTCGTCACAGGAACCTTTTTTGCCCGACCTTTGCACCATTCAACCCATTTTCACCCTTCGAAGGGGCTCGTGTTCACCGTAGTTTTCGGAACGCGTTTAAAGCTTTGGTGGCTTCGCGTTGACAATGTCGGCACGCGTCCCTTTAGGCTCCGGGGCCAACTCGCAGACGCGAGTATTTATTGATCTTACTGAAGATTCGGATAAGGATGGTTCGGTAAGCATTCACTCTCATTTTCAGAGATTTTCTCCCTTTTTGCCCTACCATTTTATGTCCCTTTTCTTTGTCTCTTTATGCCAAGAGCTTGTCACCTCATTCCTTTTGGTTTGGTCTATTTCCCGCTTCAAAGATTTCTCTATGTTTGCCTATTCATTTCCGGGTGGTGTATCTGGTTTGTGTTTATGATTTCATGTTATACACACAATCAGATATATCACTTTGTGGGCTACCTTATAGAAAATAAGCACTTTCTCATTCCCTAATCACAGAAGCCATTGGACCAAGCAACACTCCCTTTTATGACTACCTTGGCGCACCGGTCACCTGCAAAGACAGTGCCATCAAAGAGAAAGAGTGTGGAACGATCTAAAGAGTCATCGGATCCGGATTTGGGTTCATCAAGAGATGAGCCTACTAAGTTTGGGCGCTCGCGGAGAATGCGACTATCTCACGCGCATTATACGACACCAAGCCCAGTAGAAAGTGTGAAAGCTTCTCAGGTCAGCGTTGTTATCCCGTCGCCAACTTTGCAGCAGCAACGGAGGTTCGCTGGCGCTATCACAATCAGGCCATCCGCCAATGGCATGTCAAACAACTTTTTCCCAACCAACGAAGAGGAAGAACGAGTCTCAAGGGCAACCTATCCTGCTGCACGACAAGATTTCAATATTAAACGTCAGAATGTGCCTCTTTCTTTCAACTCGAAAGCTAGGTTAGTGCTTGATCTTCCCACGGCTCCAAAGTACCGCACTTTACTCCTTCAAACACTCAAAGCAAAGCTTGATGCTATTCGCGGGCCTTCTGTCAATCCAGTAGTGGAGTGCCCGAAGCTTCTTGCTAAGCTGGCTGATAACTTTGTGTTCATCAACGAATATCTATACCGCGAGGGTGTTGAGTCTGTTGGAGATGCCTGGAACATCGGTTGCAATTGCTATGATGGATGTGATCGGGATAAATGCGATTGCCTTAATAAAGAGGAAGACTCGGAGAATCGAATCGTCCCTTACAAAATCTGTGACACCAACCCGAACTTGATTGTTGCAACTCAGGAGTTCTTACATGGCAGGGCTATCAGTCTTGAATGTACCTCCAAATGCAAGTGCAAAAATGAACGATGCTGGAATCATGTTGTCCAAAATGGGAGGACTGTGAGGTTGGAAATCTTTGACACCGGATCTCGAGGCTTCGGTATGTAAACCTTCCATCTTACCGTGTTTCCTAAACCAACTCTATTCAGGCCTCCGGTCGCCAGATTTAATTCACGCTGGCCAGTTTATCGACAACTATCTCGGCGAAGTCATCACAAAGGCCGAGGCCGATGCTCGTGAAGCCCTAACCGAGGGCCACGCCCAGTCTTACCTTTTCTCTCTTGACTGGTATGGTGAAGACGACGAGAATATGAAAGTTGTGGATGGCCGCAAGTTCGGCTCGGCTACTCGGTTTATCAACCACTCTTGTAACCCGAATTGCAAGATCGTGTCCGTTTCGACCAAGAATCACGCCGATCACCATCTGTACAACCTCTCATTTTTTGCATGCCGCGATATCCCTCCAGGTACGGAGTTGACCTTTGACTATAACTCCGAAGCGGAAATTACCACTCCACAGAAGATTGACCCGGATGCCGTTCGGTGCTTGTGTGGAGAGAAGAATTGCCGTGGACAGCTATGGCCTAATAAGCGCAAAGGCCAGGGCAATAAGTCTTAGGCTTTCATTTCACCTAACTCTTTTGCGCATTCCTCTACCTCCTCCTATCTCACGAATTTTTTACGCCCTGCACAAGCGATCTACTTTTTTCAAGATATCCACGACTGAAGCGAGCGCACTCTTTATTGAGAGTGGCGTTTCAAAAGAATCCTGGGATGGTTACCTTTTTTTCCCCGCATTTAATGTTAGATTATGATACCCTGGCGAGTTAAATGTACGATTAGTGTGGAGATTCAGATGAATGCATCATGTTTTTTTGTCAGCCTATTTCACACCTACGAAGTGTGAAACGATCTAACTTTCTTCTATATAGATCGCCTTGGCCTCGATGCGATTGGAAAGCATCTTAACAGTAATGGATACGAATAAAATAAGAGTGTAATTGTATGGGTTTTTGGTAGGGCCCTCTCACCCTGAAAGATATAACTAATTATATTGTAAAATCGAAAATGAAATATTATATCTTCTTTCGCAATTATATAAAAACACGGTAAATTCCTAGGCTGGAATACGAACAAAAGGAAAGGGCTAACTTACGCCCGCGGGCCAAACCTATAACTACCTACATAAGGGATAATCCTTGAATATAATGTAGGTCAATATAATTCCAATGTTCAACAGTAAGGGCTAAAATATGACATAAAATACAGTCTCGGTCGTATATTTCCAATATCCAATAAAAACCACTATACAACCTCCCTTGTCTCCCAACATTCTTCCGAAAGCAGAAAACCCCAATGACATAACCTTTGAAGGCAGCGAAATTAAAACAAATAGAGTATCACAGTAAAGTGTCGCCGTAAAAAGCAAAAGGAAAAAGGGAAAAAGAAGAACAATCTGAATGTACCCGTAGTTAGGGCATACCCACGCTTAACCATGCACTAACATCGTCATAGTTGGAGCATCTGATCTCGGTCGGGTAGTCATTCTCGATGCTCCTCCTAGGCGCGACCCTCCATAACCTCCAATATGCCGCCCATCACAAACTGCTGGACCTCTCCGCGCTGTTCTGGTCGAGGCTCCATAAGCCCCAACCCCTGCCGCTCAATGGAGTCCTCATCGCACCGCGACCGCTCTTCTGTCAGCACCATGTCAATCTTGGACAGACGGCGGCGGAGAACCATCATTGAGGAGCGACCGCGCAAGACGGCGCAGGGGAGTACGCCGACGGCGTGAGTGGAGGCATTGTGGCCCAGAGGGATGTCGGAGGCGGGGCGTGGACGGCTGACGTTTGTGGTTGTGGTTTGGTTGCTTTCGCCGTCGCGGAAAGTGTGGGAGTGAATTTTGGATGGGTGGAAGTTTTGCGAGTGAAGTGTGGAGGTTGGACTTGAGGGTGGTGAGCTTGCTGAACTGGTGTTTGAGGCGTCGCTTGGTGACTTGGAGCGCCTTGAGCGGAAGGATGTGCTTAGAGAGAGGAAAGGTGGGATGTAGTGCATCTTGTTTCTTTTGTTCTTTTCGTTTTGAGTATGGAATGTGAGGCTGTGGTTGTAGAATTGACTTGGAGATTTGGATACTAGGTCATAGTAGTTATAGTATGCAGTGTTCAAATTTAAATCTTGAAGAACAAAGATCCCGGGGTGACATGGGTTTATCAATTGATCAACCTGTAGTTATATAGGCCCTTGTAACTAATTAACCACTTGATTAACCAACTAATGCGGCTTTAGTTTATCCCATCAACCCCTTCCGTTGTTATCATATTAAGTTGTATAATTAGAAATGTGGACCTCTCGAACATTCCGTTCGCGGCTTGTTTCTGTACTGTTTACGTCTATTTCTTATATAGTAGATCCCTCTCTTTCCGTTAACGGCACTCTTCTATCTACGACTGAATGAAGTTGATTGTACGGCGTTTTCTAGCTCGACGCATTATCCCTTTCGGATCTACGAAAATGGGATAGTCAGATAGTCATCCCCCTATAAGAGTCGCGATCAGTAAAGAGTATGCTTGGCGTTATACATGTAATACAATGCGTACAACTATCCCTCTATCTACAATATTGTATGGTTAACTCTTATTACCGCTTTGGGAATAACCATACATTGCATATAAATATCTCTCCACCAAGTTCATATCAACCTTACACTGTTAGAAATAGGAGACCAATTTTTGTCAATATACTTGCCAATTCTCTATTTAACACAATTTAGTTCTCTAAATTTTGACACGAATTGATGGTGTAATTAAATCGCAGTTCCACATTTCGGGTTTCTGGGACTTGTTCAATGCAAAATCTACCACATAATGCAAACTTATATCTGATCGCATTTGTACAGTCTTTATGCTCTGAAATTCTGGTACTATACTTAATTTACCACTTAAACATTAGCCATCTAATTCTCAAGGCATTCCGATCTGCCATACCATAGTAAAACCAGCATGTTTTCACCGAGCGCTTCCAATTTACAAACCCAACAATTTAAACTGACAGAACATGATGAAATGGATCTACTCCGTACTCCGTAATTAAACCGGAATTCAGACATTAAAACCTTAATGTCCCATTTAGCTGACCTGGAATCCCATTAGACCTATCTCTATTACCCCTACCCCTACTTCTCCGACCACCCCTACTTCCCGGGCCACCCCTGCTTCCTCGCTTCCCCGACCCCCGCGGCCTATTGAATACCCTTCGACACATGGCTGAACTCTTTGCTGAATTAAGCAGTGAAGGAGTTGAAAAGTGAAAGAGTGCACGAGGCAAAAACAAGGAGATTGAAAGATTGAGAACTCTTTTTCTTGATCTCCAAGATGAATGTTCAGTGTATATGATTGGTTGAGTTAGTAGTGAGGATGACTGTTTTTTGAAGCACTAGGAGACAAGAGAAGACTTCAATCTGATACCGAAAATCTGGTTGCCACATAAGAAACAGACCTTCGATAATCTTTGCCAAGTGAGGTATACCAAAATACGGGATAATTTCAAGGTCTGCAAAACCGTTATACGTTAACTAGGGCAGAGCCTATCTGAGCAAAGCCCACGAGCGAGGGAGGAAGGTTAAGCTCAATTGCGAAGTCAGGTAAGCTCCTCTCAATTACTTAAGTTAGAGTTGAGACATTCAAAAGCACCGCAAAGAGGACAACATCGAGAATATCGACCGTGCTGAGACTAGATGCTCCAACTGTGAGAAGGATGGTGCATGTTAAAGAGCAAGTATAGAAGTGAATGCCCTAATACGTCTGTTTAAGCTGGCCATTTCGCCGGTGACGGCCCTTGTACCCGCCGCCACTGCGGATTTGGTGTGAAACGTGCAGGGTCCCCTGCATCATAACTGCATACTTCATAGAATCTATGACCATGTAGGACTAAAGGATTTCCCTGATTCGGGATCAATATTGACTAGTTCGATCCACTTGACTCAGCCACGCTTCTATAGTTTCAAGTTTAACTCAATTAATCGGAGATCGCCAATAATATGGATCTTCATCTCTATAGAAACAATCTTGAATCGACTCCGCTGCTATGCAAAATCCTTTGCCAAGAGTAATATACAGGGCATACATGATAATCCTTGAATCCGTTCAAGGGTAATTCTAACTAATGCAATAGGGGAAAAAAAGAAGGTTCCCGAAGGCCTCCGTACGTCCGTCTATTCTCATCCTCATCCAATCACTTCGTTTAAACATCAAAATTGCCATAGATCATCACGTTCTATTCAGTAGTTCGGTCGCCCGGTCGTCGCTGCGTGAAACTACGCCGAATACTCTCGCCCCAGGCGGAGTTATCTAGCGATGACATGACGTCTTGAGCATTCATGGCACTGTTCTGGCGCGAATGAGTGGTGAGAGAAGGCGTCTCATGCGTTTCGGTTGTGTCGAACGAAGTGCGATCCCCATACATCTCTCGCGGGGTGCGCGAGGGACTGATACTGGACCACTCTCTCGTCGGTGTGCTGGACCCTGATGCGTGCCCAGTTAGGTTGGTATCGATGCGAGGTAGAGTTCGGCGCCCAGTTGGACTAGACTCCGCTCGTCGGTGGTGCGAGACAGGTGAGAGCATAGGTGAGTAGTCTCCGTCAAACTCGGGCTGTGTCTGCGGTGTCATTGCACCAGAAGGTGGTTGCTCATGCTCGGGCTCATCGCCTTCGTCGACGAAGATCTCTGGTACGGAGAATGTCGGGACCCCATCCATCCGGCCGTTTTTCTTAAGTTGCAACTTGCGGTGGAATTGGCGATACCAGTATAGGGTATCAAAGAAACCGATGACAGTGTTTCGACGAACAGCCTCCTCCACGCGCTGCAACCGTGCTCGGCGACGTAAGAATTCTTCGAGGCGCAAACTCTTACTATCACTAATCACATTGTGATGCGCGAGAATCATCAGACACTGATGGAAGGAAATACCGCGATCAGGGTCAGCTGACACAAGGACTTCTTCGTAGAAGGTATTCAATCGCTTGCGTCGTTCTCGGATGGTTTGAACTGGTATCGTCGATACAATGCGAGAAAGCTCGTCCAGATCGACACCGGCCACAACACGGGCGTTGGGCCGCATCGATTGCCGGGGGTCAGCAAGCGAATTTCTTGCTACATGAGAACCCATCGAATTCCTTTGAGGTGCGACCCGACACTTCTCTAGTATGCTCCCAACCGTGAATTCTCCCTCATAGACCCGCACTGCAAAGACACCAGAGAGCTCGCCGAGTAGCCTGGGGAACTGATCTTTTGAGATAAATCCTGTCCCATCCGGATCGTAGGTGGCCCACGCTTGCTTGAACCGGCGAATCTCTTCACGGCTGATCGCGTAAAGCCCGCTGCTCCGCTGGTAGACATAGGAAAAGCTTTCGAAGATCAGCGAAACAAAAAGTGACACGAAAATATACATGCTGATCAGGTTCCATGCGATGAAGAGACAACGGGCCCACGCCGCGCTGCCGCAATCAGAAGCGAGGAAGTTGGAGTCGTATGTGCACATAGGTGGAGCCATAGTGGCAATGTCTTCCATAAACTGGTTCCATCCCTCACCACAACTGGCTCGGAACAACAAAATCAGAGACTTTGGCACGTCGCGGAAGTTTTGATTGTGATCCTCATTCTCGCCAAACTTAGTGAGGCCGAAGGCTTGGTTCATTGCGATACCAAACACCAAGAATAGAACGAACCAAGTAGCTAGAAGGTTGCCGATCACTGACAAGCTAGCTGCAGCCGTTTTGAACAGTTGGTCAAGCTGGTTGTTCCGCGGGATAAGCAACAGAGCCACGGATACAAGGAAGAGCTTGTTAAGCTCCACCACGACGTGATTTTGGCCCATTGAAATGTCCAAGATGCAGGTAATAGAAGCGCCAGGAACAGCAACGAGAGAGAATAGATCCCACGAGCTTCGGCTAAACCGATGCCATCCTAGGCCAATTAATCGAATAAGAACATTCGCCACATAGACAAACATAAAAGCGAAAAAGATGATGGCTGGAGGTTTCAATTAACTCGTTGTAACAAAAATCGAACTGGGGATGATAACTTACCTCGCGTCTTCTCCCACCAGATAGGTTCAGGATAGTATTCCAGCACAAGTAATAGCAGATGAACACAAAGTATGAGCGTCACGAACCATGCCCAGCGGCCGTGCTTCTTGACTGAGATTCGATAACACCATAGTCGCAGTTTTTTGCTCTTGTCATCGAAGGATCGTTTTGAGGGCGAGATCTGCCGAAGAAGTTTTCGCAGCTCCAACCAAGAACGCTGCTCGGCTGTCAAGAAAGCAACACCGGTTTGTTCTGTGTAATTACGCATGAACACAGAAACAAACAGTGTCAAGACAAACACGGCACCAAGCAAGTTGAACACGACGAAGAACAAGCCGTTTTCTGGCGCAATCGAATCTTGCGGCTGCATCATCTTCCCAGTGATACCCATCGCACTTTCTTGCACGTCGACCCAACCTTCTTGGGAGACAATTTGGAACAAAATGAAGAGAGAGTCACCAAAATTGTCGAAGTCGTAGTAGGAGTTTGAAGGCACGCGCGGGGCAAGAACATCCCAGTTATAGGGTGAGCTTGAAAACTCATTGACACAGTTGGTTAAATTTCCTGAAAAGTTGCCGTCGTTGCAGCTGACCATCTGGCCATTGAACAGATTCACCCCGTAGATCGCGAAAGGAATCAGGAAACTCATGGAAACCGCGGCAGCAGCCACGACCTTCCATCCTCCAACGATAATGACAGAGTGGAAAGTGTCTTTGGCACTGTCGCTGACGTTTAGCAGACGCAGCGCTCTCAGTGCTTTGAAGGCGCCAATAGCTCTGGAGACATTCCAGTCCTCTCTGAGAGAGCCGCCAACGCTAACCCACAAGGTTACCAGTACAAGACCGTCAATAAAGCCCCAGGAGCTCCGGAAAAATGCGTTGGGCGTCCAGAAAAAGCCGTCGGCGATCACTTTGATCGTCGCTTCAACGGTGAAGACGATGGCAAAGCTAAGATCGGTATAGACGAACCAATTGCGGTCGGTACGGTAAAACTGCCTCTGGTACAATGGCGTCGTGATGCAGGCGAGAAGGACCATGGCGACAATGGTGGTGTAAATAAAAGCGGAAAAGGCATACCAAACTGGTTTGTACGGGTCCACGCCTTCCACTCGTTGGTGGCCACGCCCCGGGCCGACGATTCGCTGACAGAGCCTCCGAACAGGGTGATCTCGGTGGAAAATGAACAGTGACTTGTTATAATTGGGATGCTTGATCAGGTATTCTCGCTGGTCCCGTTTTCTCTGTTCTGCCGCAGTGACGACTTCTCTTGCCATGGTTCTGGGGTCCAATTCCTCGTAAGCGCGGGAAAACTTCAGCCTTGAGTAGAAAGGATTCGGTTCCCGGCGCATGATAAGTGTGGAGACTTTTGTCCACAAGAGCGAAATCCAACCCGGTTGAATGATCTCCTGCGCCCCTCCTTCGGGCATTGCGCTCACCCTTCGCTGTTCCTTTGGTCTATCTCGTTCTTCTTGCGAATTCTGTTCTTCGTCGAGGAATTCGTGCACCACAGCGTCTTTCAGCAACATTTCTAACGCTGCAGGGCCATAGTCGAGTGGATCTTTGTACCGGGCAGAGTCTCGACCCACACGAAGAATCTTCGAAAGTGCTAGGTTTCCTTGGTGCGTTCCATCGAGTTGCTTTTGTTCCAAGAAGGCACGGACTTGATGCATTCGTTTTTCGTCTTCTGAAACATCAAAGCTTTCCTGAATGACAGCAATGAACATGTTTAGGATAATGAAGTTGGCCACAATGAACCAAAGAACGATGAATGTGGCCGAGATCCAAGCTGTGTTGTGTTTGGTTGTATATGAGGTGGCGTTGTAAAGAATTGTGGTCCAATTCTCACTTGAAAGAATTTGGTACATTCCAAGGAACGAGTTGTAGATATTTGAAAAGTTGATTAAGATGGAGGCACCACCTGGATCCGTGGCTGGGATCTGGTTGCGGAACAGCTGTGTTGCAAATATGGCAGATAGAAAGGTCATCAAGAAGAGGAAAAAGATCAGGTTGAGAAGACCGACAGTATTGCGGAATACGACCATGATCAACTTCCTGGTGACAGAAAAGGCCAGGACAACGCGATAGACCCGAAGAATCTGGAACAGGGTGAGAACTGTGTATGGACGACCGGAGTTTTTGATGGGTGGCAGTTGGATCACGCAGGTAATAATCACAAGGAACAGATCTACCAAATTACGCTGTCGTCGATGAAAAACGCGCCAATCCGAGGCAAATCGCAGGATAATTTCGACCAGGAAAACGAGAGTGACGACGGTCTCCGTGGTATCGATAAATCGGGCTCGTTCATTGGACATCGTCGAGCTTCTAAGTGCTTGCACAATGAGATCAAAAATGATGAGACAAACCCAGACCCACTCTGTTTGATCATAAACGCGCTTAAGAGAGCTGATATTGCGAGATGATGTCTCATCTTCGTCGACATTATCAATTTTCTGAACAGCAAAAGCACTGCGCTTGCTCTCTTCTCGAATAACTTGGAAAGAATGGGTGATGACCGCAACTAGCAGATTGACCAACCACAAGCTCAAAATGACAAACCCACAGGCAAAGAACAAAGCGGTTGCGAGGTAGTCACTGTCGGTTGTGTAGTAGAGCAGGTCGGTGAATGTGTTGGAGCTCATGATTACGAAAACCAGCTCCAAGGATTGAAAGATGTTATCGAAGCTCACAGTCCCTGCATATGGATTGACACCTTCCTTGCAAATGGAGCCTTGGGGACAAATGTATCCTTTCGGGCTGAAACCTGCACTATCGCCGTTAAAGTCAAGCCATGCGTTCTTTGCTCCAGTTGTGCTATTAAGGTACCCGCCGCAGAATTGTACGGTGTCCCATGGATCATTCAAGGTGTAATTGCTCTGGCCCTCGGGGTCAATCCAAACACAAGTCCTTCTAAAACTGGACTTGAAGCTCTGGATACCGATAATGGCAAAAAGAAGCCAGAAGAACCCGATTAAGAATGCGACATGAACGAGTAGAGGAGCTGCTCGTTTGAGACTCCGAAGGATCACCTGGAAGAGTTGGTTAGCATCTCAAAAATGAAATTTTTACAAGCATCATTCTTACCGAAGTGCCGTTAGTCATAGCAAGAAGACGTAGGATGCGGAGACAGCTCAGCATTCGAAAGATGTATATCTTGTGCGCATCCTCAACCCCAGACAACGTAAGTACAAAGGATGCCCAGAAAGCGACCACAGCTACAAAATCCAGCCGGTTGAACGAGTGTCGAAGAAAAGCGCGGTGGGCAAGCCTGACGCGACGTTTGTGTAAAGGGTCTTCGTAAACTTGGGGATCTAATGCATTCATCCCCGTAAACGTGCGCAGAATTGAGGCCTGTGGCTCAGCCTGAAGCATCGATGCTTTCTTGGTCGTCATCTGACGATGTGGCGTGATCAGGTTCCTGCCCTTCTCCGCAATCGCTTTCCTGACACCGAGGCTGCGATTCAGTGTACTGTATTCGACAGGGTTGAATATAAGTCCAGAAACCAAGATTTTGGAGCCAATCTCCAGGGTATAGATGACGAAGATCACGAAGAAAACATAATCAAGTTTGTTGCTACCCCATTTTACCCCTTGTGGGTAATTGGGGAGTGCATCTTCAACGGTCAACAAGATGGTTTGAATGACGATGACGATCAAGATGAAGGGCTCCATGAACGGATTCACCAAAATATCGCACAGCCACAGCCGGAGAGGATTACTGGGTCCCAGAAATCCTAGTGACCTGCCTCTGAACGGGTTATTTCGCTCTTTCCATAGTGTGCTTGCGCGATTCTCGCGAACCGCTTCAGGCTGTGGAATGGTAATGCCTGCATAATCGACCATCGCAGGCAGGACCGGCGGTCCGTCCAGGCGCGCATTTTTATTAAGTTCCTCCCTCTCAATCGACTGTTGTACAACTTCCGGTTCATTACTCAGGTTGACCACACGCTGCGACATAGATTTGACCATGGAGCCAGCGCGCTGCAAAGCCCCGCCCGACGCCGTTGGAGATAAAGAACGTGATCGATCCCGGGCACGGCTGCCACGGCGGCTCCCTAGCCCGTCCTCCAAATGAGGTAGATCATCACCCAGTCGTGAACCGCCAAAATGTGAAGAGTGAGCACCGGTGTCAGTACTTCGTCGCTCGTCTGTCCCGGCTGCGCCACTTATCGGTTGGAGATATCGAGGATCAGTCAACCCTACCCTATCGTCGTCTGCGGAGGGGTTGTAGCCACCGTGAGGGTCGTGGGCGTCGTAGGGGTCTAGAGGTACGGTATCAAGGTCGGAAGCAGCGTCGTTGAAACCGTGGCCTATCGACGGGCCCGATATTGACGTCCTCGATTGCGGTCCATCGAAGTTGAGGCCAACGGATGACATTGCTTGCGCAAAGCCTCCCAGGTCGTCAATCGGTGAGCTGACATCGGTATATCTCGTCGGCGCGCGTTGAAATGGATTCTTGCTCGGTCCAGCCGAATCAACTGGAGACTCCTCTGCGACGCTTGCATAAGCCCTGCGCGATCCCCTCCCGATCAATGATGGTTGTGAAAAGAGACTGCTCCCCGCGCGGTTTCTACCACGCTCCTGGGCATCTCCTGCTTTTGAGAGATCCTGTAGAGGGATCTGATTTGGTGGAATATTCTCGTCATTTTCCGAGATATGACTATCTGGCGCCATCGTCAGGCAGGGTTAGGTATTATGGAAATCGCAGACATCGCAGATTTGACGGGGGTTCTCGGAGACGGTCGCGACACGCGTTTTGGTGGAGTTGGAAGAAGTCAGTAACGTATGCAAAGAAAGAGTGAACAATTGAAGAAATGAAAAAGTCAACAAATGCAAGAAATCCCTCTAGAGGGTTGGAGGGAGTTAAGCCAAGAGCGTCCCGATCGCAACTCGCGCATTTGCACTAAAAAACAGACCTAACATGCGACTGGAATGTTTCACCTTTCCCTTTTCACTTCTATATATACATCTATGTTGGTTTATGTTGGTGTCTATTTTTTGTCTATTCATCTATACTCTATGTACAGGGTTAATATGGTTTGAAACTTACTTTTCTGGATCTTTTTGTTTTTTTACAGTTCGTTTCAGCTCATTTCACCTTCTAAGATTACAACCTCGGAAATTCACACGCTGACGAAGCCTCTAAAACGATGTTGCCTGAGTGGGGTCTACCTAGGTATTTTCCAAAAATAGCGCCTTGAAGACATAATATATATTGTGTTAGATTGTGATAAAATTGAGATCGTGTTCAGCAGAATTTCATTCGATATAATTTATTCCGTAGGTTAGGGTCCATCTGCAGGGTACTTACTACCAGAGCCGTTCAGCATTCATAATCTCGCATCGTAGTCATATATGGTTTCCAAGGTTAAAGCTTAATTCATCATCGGCATCACCAGAACCTCATATATATACACTCCGTAGTATGCAAATGGATCTGGATTTCTCTAGTCCTAGCATTCTACCTTATTTCCCTACTTATTTTTGTAGGGGCTAGGGTAAATCATGGCGATCGTGACATGCAGGGCACAGCGCCACTCACATGATTTTGAAGAAGCATTGTTACAGTAGTACCTAGGTAGAGCTTAGTGATGATATTCGGCAAACTGTCCTTTCCTATTTCCGAGCACGATAAACATTTAGTGATTAACATGTTCCCTAATTCCTTCTAGGAAAGCGTCTACTGCCTGGCCACCCCCAAGGGGGACTCCACCTCTCCGCATAAACCCTCCATTAGCCACCGGGATCTGCAAGGCCTCACTAATACTGGGTAGACCACCGTCACGGAGGGCCACGGTAAGACTGGCCAAGCTTTGCATGAACTGGGGGGAACGAAGCACTTTTCGGAGGATATCCTTTTTTTGGGATAGGTCGAGGGATAGAAGAGCAGCTTGGGCAAGTTCAGGGTCTGTGTCAGCTTCCGAGGCCTCGGCATTGCCCTGGGCCAGCAGTAGCAGCGCGGGGGGTAAGAAGCTCAGAAGGTGATCGGCAGTCGTGGTATCCGCAGAATCAATGAATGGCAATGTGGTCGCAGGGGTAAGTAGGTCTTGGAGTGTCGTAGATGGTTGTTCGGGATCTTGGGGTTGGCTCTCGCGTTGGCCGCCGCCCAGGGACTTTAGGAAGTCCTGGACTACCGACGCTGGGTCTTCACCCGTAGTTGCTCTGCAAGAACGAAACACAAATCAAGATTAGCGTCTATTGATTTCTAGGCTTTCAGAGATATGTACCTACGCTCGTCCACCATCAGCACCACCCTCTCGAGATTCCTGTCCTTCTTCGCGGACGTCGCCGCCTGTCGCATCGGGGCCAGCACCACCACTGCCTGTGCTAGGGTGACGACCTGGGTTATGGTCGATACCTTCCACATCCTCCATTGTCTCGTCATCGTCGTCATCGTGGGGAGGTCGGAGGGGAAGGTTGGCAATCTCGTGCTCAATATCAACTTCCTCACCCTGCAGCAGAACATCGACAATCTCGCCGAGCTTCAAGTCGCGGGGGCTGAACCAGCTTGGATCACGATTGGCGTGTTGGCCCTGGGACTGCATCCAGAAAAGGTATCGCTGGGAGCTAGAGGAGAACTTCAGGACAAAGATGCGACCGTTCGTAGCGTCCTTGCCAGAAGGCTTGTACGGAGTGAAGCTTCCATCTGAGGGGATCATCACTAGATCGAGCTCGGGTTCATCCAGGGAAGCACCGCGTGAGCGCCAACAAAAGTGGACAAGATCATCTTCGGAGTAAAGGTAGACATAACCCGAGTCAGGCTTCGCCTTGACGGAGGGAGGAGAGGTGGAGGTCTAAATCGGGGGTGTTAGCTATCACTCGATTTGAATTAAGCTGTAGCCGATGGATGGATCCGATTATCGATCTATCAGAATCGGGTTCAAAAAGCGAAGCTCACTTACATCCAGGTCGCAGATACCTGCTTTGAAGGTAATGATAGGAGCTATCGACATGTTGGAAACTTGTTTTTGGGGAACGATTTGACGACAGCACAAGCTAGATCGGTAGAATTGGCCCACTCCAGATAAATAAAAGACGGGGGTGGAGGACGCAGGAGATGGACAGTCCAGAAAGACAGAGAAGCTGTTGGCGGGATACGTCAGTTGTTTGGATCGCAATGTTTCTTAGATAATCTTTGATTATTCGAGTTTGCATTGTTTGCATCCTTCTAACCATTAGATAATCTGCCAAGAGCCTTTTTTGACACAGAAGCCTGAAAGGTCACACAATTCAACTGCGCCACCACTCGCCACGATTGTACTCTAGACGACAGGAATTATTGTCTTTCCAATCTTCGCCTTTTAACATTTCATGTCGAGTAGTCCATAGTAAGCTTGCAAACTAAAACAACCGAGTAAATCAGCTAAAAAGACGGAAGAGACACTCACGAAAATGAACATGTTCATGCCGATAACCGCTCGCATGACAAGTATGTTCTGCCCTCCATTTTGAGTTATATTCTCTAGCGCAGTATAAACATACCGATGCCAAAAATTAAAACATTAGAAAAGAAGGATGCAAATAGATGCTCATAAAAAGTAGATTCCATTGATAAGCGGGTTTGTTGCTAATAATATACTTCAGGCCATAAGTGTCATGAAATCGATTCCAAGACACGCCAGAGGAAAGAATGGTATATCATTTCTATATAATAAGTTGATAAATTTAGGCAATTGAATCTTATTCAAGGGCCTCCTTTCGTTTCCAAGATAGTTAACAAGCGCGAGGGCACATGACCCTAGAGTGGAGGAGTAGCATCAATCAACTTATCTTTCCAACCTTCATCAGATGTCTCTTCTAATTTCGTTCGCTTTAATCGAGAAAAGCTTGAAATATCTCAAATCCATCTAGATCTAAGTGCAGAGTGGATCTGCCGGCCAAAGATATCCCACAGCTCACCGAGTTCACGGCCGTCGGGTTGATTGTCGTACTTACAGCTCGATCGAGTAGTTTGGATTGGGCAACAATGTGACAATGCAGAAGAGATGATTGAGGGGTACCATGAGATAGGTTGAGGCTGTCTTTGAGTCGAAGTATGGGTCGGAGGCATTGTAAGTCTTGTCCCTATATCATCAGCCTTAATATACTGATAAAAAAAATGTAGAAAGGACCGAGGCAAATGCTGGCTATATGATGTCCAGGCTCATATTTGCCGGAAATTTCCAAATAGCCGCAGCAACTGGCTGGGTCCAGTGCCTATATCTCCCATTCAACATTCAGGGTATGCTTAAATCGATGGATATATATATATATCATGGGGGTAAATGGTGATACTGATACCTAACAATATAGGGAGCAGAGTATGCGGCTTTTCCATCCGCAGCAGCAGCAGCAGCAGCAGCAACAGTGCCAACAGCCCGCACCCGAATCTTATCTCCAGTTTGAGCAAGATAAGGGAGTCTCCTGATAAAGACATGTGAGAGGGAGAAGATGATCTGGGAGACATTGATCTTGATGTTTAGTTTATCTTATTAACCCTTATCTTTAGTATCATCACGACACTGAAGTATATCATTAGCAACAGAACCTCTTGTCAATGGGAATTTTACTTTGTGGCCACATATTTCCATCAATCTTAGATACTGGGTTCGCGTACGAGGGTACTGAGGCGCAGGATGGTTGGCAGGACGCAGAACCAGACCTCGGCGGTCAGATGGCCATTGCGGCCCAGCGCCGCAAATTCGGACGGAGAGAGCAGAAGAGCACGAGACGGAGCGCGGTGCCAAACCGAAGAGTAACTTCGCCAAACCACGGAGCGAAGCTGATTTCGTCGCCGCTTGTGCCGTGTGCGAGGTCGCGCTGGTGGTTCATTCGCACTGACATTGTTATCGCGAGTGACAGGTTCATCCCTCCAACGAACGAGGATGCGGTTGATTTGGAGTAGGATATCATTCTCTTGGATCAAAGCGATTTCAGAGGCAATCAGAGCGGCATGACTGGAAATGCAATTGGCATTGGAAACAACGGCTTTGATGTTGTCACCAGTGAGCGCGGTAATCTTAGGAACACTCAAACCATTTATGAGAGCCCAGCTAGCGGTATATAGCATACCAGAAACACTATTCAGCCTCCTAGCGTTCATCACCAGATTTTCGGTCTCCCGGGTGCGACCATTAACGGCGAACTGTATAAGGGTATCATTGGTCCCGGGGGCAGCGAGGATATGCATAGCACCATAGAGTCGGGTCAGAATGTTGACGCGTTCAGTCATTAAGCTTACATGTCGATCCATGGCGTAGGTATGGGTGGCCATCTCGTCAAAGGTAAGAGGGCCATCGATGGTAACGTGAACCCAGATATAAGTAAACATGATCTATGGAAAAGCAACCAAAACAACCCTCGTCTCTCAATTGTTTTTTCTCCTCGTTCTTGATCAAATACGTTCTCCTCTTCTTAACAAGCCACTGTCAGTTACCGATTGATCAAGTACTCTGCAGTATTACTCAAACGGTCAAGCGGCCCTTTTTTTTTTAGCTCAATTTGCATCTCACTTTCTCATATTTCGCCTCATATTTCCCTTCACTTATGTCTTATAACTACCTTTATCTCCTCCTCTTTCCTTTTTTTACCTTTCATCATTGATCTAGCATCATACCATACAACGAACTATACACTAGTTCTATAACTCGATCAGTGCACTAATTACTATAGTAGCCGATCAAGTCTCTCCCTATTTGACAGAAGACTCCGAGGGCTTTAGTGGCGTTATAGACGAGCTGTTAGTGCGCTAATCTATCTTTGGCGCGTTCCCTGCATGCTATGACGTTGTAGAGCAGCTTCAAGCACCATGGGGAGCCCACAAGCTTTTGGGAGTAGACCCGCCGTAATGCCGGGGAATTGCCCTATTACCGCGACTGCACCGAATGCCCTCCTACGACCATGTCTTAAAAGGATATAGCTCGGTAGTGGTCCCGAGTGAACTCTAGTATGCAAACCGGACAGGCTGGGTAATTTAAAGCGCCCCACATATCCATTCACATATTCTGATACTGGGTCTCTGTCTCACTGGTTCTGCCTGCATTTTGTATTCCGGTTCCCCCAAAAAAGGAAAGAAAGATGATGAGGAGTTTAAACTGATTGGGCTCTGTTTTTGTTTTCTTGATCTTGCCCACATAAGTTTTTTGTCCTTATTTCCGCTGATCATACGTCCACTATGAATGAGCGATGTGTATCGGAACTCTAGGTGTCTGTTGTATAATCCAATAGCACAAATATGGAGAAGCATTTCAATCCTCAGACATGCTCTGGTATACATTTCCATGGATATCGCTTGTTCTGAGTTAACTGGTCATTTAAAAAATATTTGAGTGAAGTTATCGAGATTGTTTATTTTCTGCTTTACAGAAACTTTGACGGTCGAAATATAGATCTTCCACGATGAGTGCGATGTTCACACCAAGTCTTCCAGGTGGGCGACTTTGCGTATGTAGTAGATTAGGTAGATTCGGCTGGTGTCTCGTCGATAACCTGCCAAGAGAATTTGTTTGATTTTGAACATTAGATAATCGGATTTTTTTTGGCAAGGCGGTGAAGGTCTAAATACCGAAAAGTCAGGCATGCCTTTCGTAAGCATTTTGCCAAGGAGGCGGTGAAGAAACTCGCTTAGAGAACGGTAACCCTAAAGCCCACTCACCCATAGGACTCCGCTTAGCAGTAAAGTCCTCACCCAAATCTCCAACAACCACCCGACAACCATTCATCCTTCGCCAAAAGCCATCATGTCGGACGGCCAGACGAAGCAGTTCGGGAAGAGCCAGAGGGTCGTGCCCGCCGACAAGGCCCAGAAGTGGTACCCCGTGGATGATCAGTCGCAGCCCAAGAAAGTCAGTACACCCTGCACAAGCGGACGGATAAGAGGAGGATATATACGACTGGCACACTTCTGCCCGGATGAGTGCGACGATTACACCGGATTCTGAATCAGAGCCTTTGTGAATTTACGGGCCGACAGACACCGGTGTCAATCGGCGACACACTTTATCGCAACTTCAACTTGTGCGAATCGCATATCATCCGGGGAGGACCTGGCCAGGCCAATGGAACACTTTGGATACATTGATTCGCAGGAATCATTGGCATTTCTGAACATCAGTGGCTAACTGTTTGTGCGTTTACAGGTTCGCAAGACTCTGCGTCCCGCTAAGGTCCGCGAGACCCTCGTTCCCGGCACCATCCTGATCCTCCTCGCTGGCCGTTTCCGTGGCAAGCGTGTCATCCTCCTCAAGAACCTCGACCAGGGTGTTCTCCTTGTCACCGGTCCCTTCAAGATCAACGGTGTCCCTCTCCGTCGCGTGAACTCCCGCTACGTGATCGCCACCTCCAAGCGTGTCGACATCTCCGGTGTTGACGCCAAGGCTGTTGAGAAGACCGCTGCTCCCGGTTACTTCACCAAGGACAAGAAGGCCGAGAAGAAGACCGAGGAGGCTTTCTTCAAGCAGGGCGAGAAGGCCGAGGTACGTTTCGAATCCGGGATACCCATTTCCTTTTTATATTGATTAGGTGCTAATTACTTTTTCGTCGTACAGAAGAAGGTTGTTGCCAGCGCTCGCGCCAGCGACCAGAAGGCCATCGACCAGTCCATTCTTGCTTCTATCAAGAAGGAGGAATTCCTTGCCTCCTACCTCGCTTCCACTTTCAGCCTCCGCAACGGCGACAAGCCCCACGAGATGAAGTGGTAAATGTGTGGTAGCCGCGGGTTCGGTAGATAGTTGGGGAGGACCATATCCAACGAGGGGCGGCTCGATTGCAAATCGGCATCCTTTCGCGACATTCGGGGGGCCGGTTTCATGAACCATGTCATGTAATTCCTACGGGATCCGTCAAAACACGTTCTTCACTTTTCTTTAATGATTTACGGTTGATTCGGTCATCCGGTTGTTGTTCTCGTGCTTCAAGAAACCAGTTCCCTTTGCGCGTGGCCGACCTTGCATGAAGCCGCGTTATGAAGAAAGACTTCAAGCAAAAAAAAAAGATTAAAAAATCTCCTCGTTCCAGCAGGCGGGCTGGATTCTCTTTTATGTTCAGTATGACCTATCCCCTTTTCCAGGTTCAAACGGCAATCCAAAATTGGGCAATTACTTTGGTTAATCTCTGCGCGTAATATATGTAAAATAGTAAAGATAAGGCTAGATGCTGGATCTACCTTGAGAGTGTGGATATCCTTTGTGGAACTGCTAACTTAGGTATCGATTTCGAGATCTACGGTCATAGTAGAGCCTCTCATAGTCTTGTGGGTGTTACTGCGTTATGATGCTGCATAGTAGCAGAATCTCAGATCTCATTTAAGATATAAATTTGGTGTCGTAGCAACTAATTGCAATTATAAGACATGCTAGTCCAGTACCTCGATCTGATGTCCCGGAAGTAGCCTAGTGTGCGATTTTCCCACAATCTATGTCTATACGCACAATTGTCTGCTCAACCTTTGGAACGCAGTCTCATTCGAGTCGCCATTCAGTACCTATTTATTACAGCTGAATTTAACCACGCAAAAAGCAAAAATCAAATTGAATAGATAGACTTCGCTAAACGCCTCCTTTGGTAGTCTGGCTGGCTATGGCATTAATTTAGTTGGAGAACTTCAACATCTACTGTTCCTATAATCTATCTATACACATCATGTAATTCAGTCGGCGTTCAGGGCTTCTTTCAATTTCCAGGGTTCATGTGCTACCTACCTAGGTAAGCCCATTATACTTATACTGAAATGAAATAACTATATATAGATATATATACTGAACAAGAACAAAATCCTTCGATGAACTCCCAAAAGCCGAAGGCCTACCCGTGGACCTAGGTAAAAAGCAAAAATTTGACGTGGGTACAAGGATATATATCCAACAACACAACCATAACTTGCACCGCAAATAACCATAAAGAATACAAAAACAGTTATTCATGACCCAAATCGCGAAGCTTTTATTGTCCGCACCAGATGTGGTTTATCGCCGCCGGCTCCCATTCCCATGTCCCTTAGATTTTCCGGAACCTGGCGCGAGTTTCCTCAGACTAGCTTCATACACTTGCCTGGCCTTCCGCTCCCGCTCATCTGCCTCGTCCCTCTCATCATCTGCAGCATCATCTGAATCTCCAACGTTGGTTTTTAAAATCCAATCCATGATTCCCCACGCGCCAAAGTTGCCTTCACCGTCAGTAAACAAATGCATTTCTGTGCGGCGGGCAATTCCTGACAAAAAGAAACTTGTCGGCATAACGGTATATCCGGAATAAACAAAGGTCTCCTGAATAGAAACAAAGACCAAATAACAGAGATATGTGAGCATGTGGAAGCGGAAAAACACAGCCGGCAGATAGGTCGGGATAAAGTTTGAAACCAAGTAAGCGAGCGGGTGGTCATAATGCGCGGTCAGTGGGTACGGAGCGCGCAGCGAATGATACCAATACAGGTGATACTTGGTAAGAACAGACTGCTCCGAATGAAGGGCGAAGCGGTGGATAACGTATGTGAGGGCCTGTGAAAGACGTTATGTTAGCAAATTGAACGACCAAACCATGACCATCAATTGGGAATAATCCAAATCTTACCTCTCGGCCAAGCAATCCTAGCAACAGGTCCTTGAGCATCTCGTATGGCATCGGGAGCCTTATCGACACCTTCAGCGCACTGCGCATGCCTAGCGCCCTCACACATAAAGTCTCAATGCCCCACTGGACCGCAATAGACATGCAAAGATTTAGCAGTGACCATCCGGCAACCTTGAGTTCACGTGTTCGGATACGAGATCGTCTCTTTCCACCAGGCAAGCCAGCGGCGCCATGCTTCTTGACGACAACCGCAGCGGACGGCGTCAATATGTCAAAGAGAAAAAAGAGGACGGATGGCAAAGCATAAAAGATAAGTCGCACGGCAATTGTTCCAAATATTTCCACCCGAAGAGGGGTATGCGACAACACCAGCGTTGACCATGTCATGTAGAAGAAGAGAAGGTTGAGACTGGTGCTGTAGGACGACAGCACTGGTATCATGAAGACAGAGAGCATTGGGATAGATAATATGGCATCCATCTTGGTTTAGAAATCTGTGGCGATCACTCTCCAGAGGGTTGGATGTTCTGAGATGAGTCTTTCGGGAGCAGATGCGGTTATGTACCAATAAAAATAGCACCTAGATCAAGGGACATTCATCTCTCCAAAGCAATGAAATAAAAATAGCCTCGGGCAAAGCAACCACCGAAAAGAAATTAGTTATCAAAGAAAGATGTAGAAAGAGACTCGACAAAGAAAAGTCGAAGGTCGAAATTGGGGTGGCAGGATAAAGGATAAGATAAGCCTATCGCCTACGTCACATTCTCGACCCCGGATGTATATTGTGAAGTAACAATGTTGTTTTTTACTACTCTGTACTAAACAACAAGTGCCTTATTTTGATTTTTTTTGTATCAGGACGAGATGCTTATTTCTGCAGTAACAATGAGCTCTACCATACATCCATATGTACATATGTAACCACTGCTTCCTCGGCACCCTAAGAACCTGCTCTATGACCATCTCCATCTTCATGACCGCCACTGCTAATCTTCATATCCTGCATAGGCTGATTTCGTATCTCTCCGTGTCGATGATACAAAGAATAGGAAGTGTTATCACTGCGAATGACATCCATGAATTTCTCCAATCTCCCAACGCCCAATCTCAGTGTCCAAGACGTTCTAGCTCCCCGCATAGCTTTTCATGAACCGGGCTTTCGGTAGTCCATTTTTGTGCGTCAACCCTTTTCAGGATCTGCCGGACAGATGTTTCGGAGATCTGAAATCCCTCGAGAGTGATTTCTGCAGCAATCTTTGTGAAGGATTTGGCGCGGCCGTTCTCATAGGTATGCACTTTGGAAAGCACCAGTTTTTCCAATTTTTTCACTTCTTTCGTCTGCTTTTTCGGCCTTCCAGAACGAGGGGCATCAACTAGTACATCGTCAGAAATATTCAAAGGACGCGCATTCGGGTCAAAGCCATTTGCAAGAGCTCTTTTATTTATGTTAAGGACGGTGCGCGCCGGAAGGCCAGATAGCGCTGAAGTTTCAACGTTGCCCATGCCAATGGCTTTGTAAGTTAATACAATTGTGCGCCTGCGTGTATCGTAGCCCATGGTGGTAGCTAGTAGTAGTAAAATTGTATCTACTGACTAGGAGTATGTTGTACTCCGTGGGGGTTCCAAGAGGGGAATGTGTCTGGTGCTTTTCTGATCTGGCCAATAGGAATGTGCGAAAAACTCTGCGTTTTGTTATCCTTGGTTCTGGCAAGTTATAGAGATCTAAACATGACTAATAATTTACAAATAGATAATGGATTTCCTCTGATATTTCATCTGACATACATGGTTTGGTAAGTCATGTGATAAATTTTGGTTTGGTATAGTGTACCCGTGGTATTAGTACTGTACGTAGTATCGAAGTCTGCTTGTCACCGAAAGTTAACTCTTTGATTTTCCCCGAAATACTTCGGGTTTTCGGGGTTGCATCATAGACAAGTGGCCAACAACAACACCTATAAAAGGACAGTTACTCTCAATATGTTTCCTTTAGACAATAAGAGCAATTCATCCTATACACTGATTTCCACAAAATCAATACTCCTCTAATCATTTCCATTAGACAAAATGTCTGCACCATCGAAAGTGACATTCCCATCTTTTATGCTGCAAATCAGCGGCGAGCTCTATATCCCCCAACCTGGATCTCCTGATCGAAATGGCGCCGCAATTGTCATTAGCCACCCTATGACCGGCGTGAAAGAGCAAACCTCTGCGGATCATGCCCGCGTGCTATCAAAAGCCGGTTTCTACGCCCTCACTTTTGATGCAGGGTATCAAGGGGAAAGTACCGGCCAGCCACGAGGCCTTGAAGACCCTCACCAAAGAGCAGAAGATGTCAAGGGTGCTGTGAGCTTTTTGACCACTCTTAAGGGAAAGGTGGACCCTGAACGTATCGGAGTCCTTGGTATTTGTGCCTCGGGTGGCTATACATCATATTCCGCACAGTCTGATAGCCGCATCAAGGCACTTGCCACTGTAAGTGCGGCTTGTGTCGGCCGTATGACTCGCCATGGAGGTGTTCACAAGGAAAACAACAAGGAGGTCCCGCAGGCTATTTCCGGTGCACTTCAGGCAGCTGGCCAGTGGCGTACCACTATCGCCAACGGGGCCCCTGTCGACGCTCCGCCAATGTTTACCAGTGATGTCTCCCAGATCCCCGAGGACGCCGACTCTTTCTTCAAAGAGGCTGCGGGATACTACGGTTCTAAGCGTGGAAATCACCCACGTTCCGACCAGAAAGTCCCTCCCTCTAGCTACGATCTTATGGTTAGCTATGATTCATTCAACTTTCAACACCTGATCTCTCCACGACCATTGTTAATGATCGCTGGATCAGAAGCCCAGACTCTTCATTTCAGTGAAGCAGCAGTCGCTGCGGCCAGTCAGCCCAAGGAGCTGTTCGTTGTCGATGGAAAGAACCATTTCGATCTCTACGATGACCTCAGTGTATCTGGCCCAAAGCTTGTGGAATTTTTTGGAAAGAACCTTTAAATTTATGTCGTCAGAAATCTCATTACTGGCCCGAGAGAAAATATGTTTTGGCCTATGGATATTCTTGTTGCTGCAATAATGTTTTAAGAATCAGTTTCATTTTAGTCTCACTCGCGGCGCTTTAAAAATTGTTATGTAGAGTACAAACCAGAGCAACACATAGCCTAAATCATAATTACATTTGCTATTGGATTAGATCAGTCGCAAATCCTTTTTGTTCCTGGGGAGGTAGCAGTTTCTTCAAGTAATATTGCTTCATGAGTGTAAAAGAGAGATAAGAAGAATGGAAAAGTGAAAAAGAGGGAGGACAAGCGGCGAAGACTGGTCTGTCATGGGAGTTTACGTGACGACATATACGGCGATAAAGCAACAGTTGAACCTACACAAGGCAATTCCGTTTACAAATTTAAAAAAGATCACAATTTATAAAAATATTGAGTGTCATTTTTGTACAATAAAGATGTTGTACAATAAAGATGTGTGCTCAATCAAATCGGATAATGGAGACGTCTTTGGGGGAAGAAAGCGTTGCAAAGACGCAAAGGGTATAATAATACAAGAAGCGGTGGACAGGCCTGGTCAAGAAGATAAAGATACACCCAATCTCTATGATGCCGGGGTACTTTGTGGAAGCCCGTTCTTCTTTCCCCAATTGAACGCCTTGCTGCGAAGATCCGGAATGACTTGCAAAAACACCAGGCTGCTGAGCCAGCTGAGCAGAGTGTCACCGACAATGCTGTTCCTGGGACTGGGACCAAGGGAAGTGCCTTTCATCAACGCACCAATCATATTGGTAGTGACGAGATACTCCCCACGTTCCAGAGCACTGATCGAAATTTTGGCGACCTCTGCAGGCGATTGAGGCTTATCGGCTTCTTCCAGTTTCTTTGTCAATTCAGGCTTGATTTTCTGCTCGTTATCGAAGCCAGGACTGAGAATCCCCATGGGGAAGATGGTGTGAATTTTGACATCCGCAGCCGGGGCACTGCTGCGATGCCTCTGGGAGAAGGCCCCGTTGTACATTTCAATTTCCTGGCTTAGAGTATCGGATAGCGAACGAATGGCTGCCTTTGCAGACGAGTATGGTGAATAACCAGCGACAGGAACGAATGCAAGGGTAGAGCAGGTAAAGATGAGATGTCTCCGAGGGGTTTTCATTTGTACGCTGGGGGCAACAGGGGTGAGCCAACTGCGGAGAGTGGCATGGGCTGTGTTGGCTGCGGTCCAGTAAATTGTGTCCATTTGTTGGCGGTGCTCTTGAATCGGCACATCAATAAAATATCCCGGGCGGGAGAAGCCCGCACAACACCAAACAACATCGGGGGGAGCTCCAGAGTTCCAAGTTGTGGTCTCTGTGATGACCCGCTCACATTCGAGGGGATCTGTGAGGTCGGCACTGATATAGTGGAACTTCTGCTTGTAGGCGTTTGCCGCGGCGGCCTGAATGATAAATGAGCACTTTGCGCTCTTAGCCAAATGGGGTAGGCCGTCTCACCTTCATCTCCTCGACAGTAGCCACAAGCTTGGAGACTGTACGCGCAACGATTATCACATTTGCACCTTTCGCGGACAGTTGAAGTGCAACAGCTTTGCCCATGCCATCGGAGCCACCAGTGATAATCACAGTCTGGAAAAAGAACTCAGCGCGAGTCAATCCAATTGCGCATTATTGCACTTACCTGCCCCTCGACATTGAACTCATTTCGAGACCCGAGACCAAACATCTTGGCGATTGAATAAGCGATAATAGTGCAAGTGAGTGCGGATATCACTAAAATAGGGGTTGATGTATTATACAACGGTTCCAAGGATAGTGACTGAAGTATATGCAAGCGGGAATGCAAGCGGAAAAGCAACTCGCGAGGGTCCATGATGACTGAAATGGCAGCTAAGGCCTTCCACCCGGTCTGTCTCGAATTGGAAGGCACACGATTGGAAATAACAGGTAATAAGTGAATACCGTAGACTGGTCTGGTTTTGAGATTCCAAGGTACATATTGGTAATGTTACTTGTATTGAGAATACCAACGTGCAAACAGAGCAAATATACCCCACTCGAGGCTAGCGTATGTTAGGCGGTGAAGGCTTAAAAAATAATTTTATCACAGGCAGTTTATCTCCGGCCTGAGTGATTCGATTGACTGTCGCTGATTACAACTCTCACAACAATGGGCAGCAAGAAAAGAAAGGCCGGCCGCCCGGCGCAGCAGAAATCTGCTCCAGAGCCCTCCAAGTTCGACATCGAAGAGCGATTTGACGACTCCGAAGATGACTTCCAGACCGGCCGTGATGAGATTCTACTCGATGAAGGCCCGGAGACCAAGAGACGACGCAGAGTTGCCGAGGAAGGTTTGTCGCCCTACTGCTAATATTTCATAAACTTTGTCTAATTGATCGCCAGAGGAATTAATCCAACCTTCCGACGAAGAAGTTCTTGGTTACGAATCTATCGATGAGGATGACGATCTCGAAGACGAAGAAGAATACGACGATGATGATGCTATGGGCAAGCCCAAGAAGGGCGATGATTCAGAAGAGGAAGATGAAGGTATTGCTGCCTGGGGTTCTTCCAAAAAAGATCTCTATAATGCAGACCAGATCGACACCGAGGCCGATGCATTGGAGGAAGAACAGGAGGCCAAGCGACTGCAGATGAAGCAGCTGGAGGCTATGAATGAAGCAGACTACGGTTTTGATGAGTCCGAATGGATGGATACTGGCAAGGATGCTGAAGACGAAGCTACCGGCGTGGTAACTGAAGTGCTCCCGCAATTGGAGATCACCGACGATATGAGCACCGACGAGAAGCTGAAGATTTTGAAGTCGAGATACCCCGAGTTTGAACCATTGGCGAAGGATTTCGTTGATCTTCAGACTGCCTACAAGGATCTTCAACAAGCTGCCTCCAATGCTCCCACAGACGATGACTCTGCCGAGGAACCCCAACCATCCCCAGTGCCCGTGGTCAAGTTCCGTGCGCTATCTGCCTACCTTGGTACTATCAGCATGTACTTCATGCTTCTCTCCTCTCCCTCCCCCGACGCGACTAGCGAACATGTCCCGATGACCCCCGCTGAACTCCGACAACACCCCGTAATGGGATCACTCGTGAAATTCCGGAAGCTTTGGAACACCGTCAAGGATCTCGAGGAGGAAGTCGAGGAGGAACCTACCCAGAAACCCATCCAAGAGGTCAAAATCCAACCAGCCAAGGCCAAGAAGCAATCGAAGACCGAGACCAAGCAGAAGCAGAAGAAATTGAGCAAGGCCGAGATAGCACAGGCAGAAGCTGAGGCACTCCGCGCTGAGCGCATCCGTCAAACAGAAGCCGGTCTCGCAGACCTCGATAACCTCGCCACCGAGCCTATCCGGAAGCGCAAGACCCAAAAGACAAAGACACCTATCAAGGACGACGATTCCGACTTCGGTGACGAAGACGCCCTCACAGCCCACGAGGCCGAGGAGAAGGCCAAGCAGAAGCGCTCTCTCCGTTTCTACACCTCTCAAATCGCCCAGAAGTCCAACAAGCGTCATGCGGCAGGCCGGGATGCAGGCGGTGACGCCGATCTTCCATACCGCGAGCGTCTGCGCGATCGCCAAGCCCGTCTCAACGCCGAGGCCGAGAAGCGTGGTAAGAAGCAACTCAATCCCGACCAGGAGCTGGGTGGTGAAAGTGACGAGGAGGATCATCGCGTTGCCAAGGAGCTCCGCAATGAGGGCAAGGGTGGCGACGATGACGACGAATACTACGACATGGTGGCTGCTCGCTCTAAGAAGCTCAAGGGCGACAAGCAGGCCCGTGCGGACGCCTATTCTGAGGCTGCGCGCCTTGGTGGAAAGGTCTACGAGCAGGAGGAGGTTGGTGCGGATGGCAAGCGTGCTATCACATACCAGATTCAGAAGAACAAGGGTCTACACGCGAAGCGCAGTAAGGATTCACGGAACCCGCGTGTCAAGAAGAGAAAGAAGTACGAAGAGAAGAAGAAGAAGCTTGGTAGTATCAAGCAGATTTACAAGGGTGGTGAGGGCCGTGGTGGATACGGTGGTGAACTTACGGGTATCAAGAAGAACCTGGTCAAGAGTGTTAAGCTGTGATAAACTTCTCGGTCTTGTGTGTATGTTTTCATGGCGTTCACTGCGGGCAGATTCAGGCATTCGTGTACATAACCCCGATTATCATCTTTTGGTTAACCCGAAGTTTCAAAAATGTTCAATTTATTTCAAATCGTTTCTAACAACGCTTCAGGCGTTGTTAGTTCTTGCTATTATTCCCACTTAATTCAACTGTTATCCACGATGTAGATGCAACAGATCAGTCCGAGAACATCGGGAAGCAGAAATCAGTGCGCATACCACAATTTAAAGTAGAGGAACTTTCGCTATTGAAGCCCGACTTTGACTTGATCAGCACCGGGGTATATTCGTCATGCTTTGGCCCCCGGGTGATATGAAATGAGCTCAGTAGTTGAAGAGCAACTTGATTCGGATAATAGCATAGATCAACCTCGCGGGTTCAGCTAATTGGTGACATGCGGCATAATCCATAATTGGAATTGTGATACTGTAAATAATATTGGCCCCCGAACGCGCTTGGTCCCACTGCCCGTTTACTCGAACAAGCCTTTGAATACTGCGTTGACAGAAGCGTCCGAGCCACATTGAGAGAAATTGAGCTCTAGGAAACTTCTCGCCAGTAGATCCTGCAATGAGGCTGTGTCAGTCAAGTTCTCGATCAGGGAGCGTTGTAAGCTTGTTATTATTACTGCTTCTTCTAGGTCCTCCATTTCCCCAGGAGACAAAACAGCACAGGCCGCAACAATGTTCTCGCCTCTGGCTAAGAGAGGTGATTTCGTTTGCGCGGGAGACTATGGCTGGATCGATACCATTGATTGCCGCGCAACTTGAACGGGTCAGCAATTTGGAAGGCAGAAATATGTTTAGAAACTTACATAGTACCGAGGCTCTTGTTGCTACGCCCGAGGCGAAAGCTGTTTAACTTGTGAGTATTGATCATGCAGCAGCAGATGGGTGTCAATTTTTGCACATACTTGTAAAGGTAGGTTATTTGGTCTTCAACTTCCTTGAATTCTTCGGAGACTTGAACTTCCATATGACCAAGCTGAAGCTGTGGTCGCCGCGCGAGGAAGTCGTTCTCGAAAATCTCATGGAAATGTGTCGCAGCAATGACTTTGGCGGGACTCTCACGGTTCAGCAGATACTCGAATATCCCACAGGCGAGCCCAATACCGTCTACTCAAGTCAGTAGATGTAAATCAAGAGATCCAATCGTGAGAAAACAAACCGCTTTCATTAGTCCCCTTGCCAAATTCATCGATGAGAACCAGGCTTCGGCTCGTAACTTGGTTCAGGCAAAGTGAGATTTGCTGCAGGTCGTTCATGAAAGTACTCTGAATCTAGACGTTTGTCAGACTTTGAGAACTCCGCGCTTTTATTTGACTTCCTTATTTTACCTTCGAGACACTCTCTTGTGTGTTGAGTTTGGTCAGAATTCTGTCTGTGACTCCCAACTCTGCACCGTCTGCGGGAACAAAGCTAGACATGACGAATCGCCGTAAGCCTTCAAGACTGTCATTTAATAGTGGAAAGCAACTTACCTCCCAATCTGGGCCAGATAGACAACCAGAGCTACCTGTTTGGGGATAAGATAATGATTTTCACGAAAAAGGATATTTACTCACCTGTTTGATATAGGCACTTTTTCCCGAGTAGTTAGGGCCGGTCAAAATTAGCATGCTGGGGTTTTGATTCATAGAAGAGGCAAGTTTATCTGTGCCATGTTCATTTCCACCCATGAGATATGTGTCGTTTGGCACATATGATGAAACAGTCAATTCTTGAAGAATGTGTCTGATACAGGTCAGCGAGATCAATGTAAAACGGGTTGGAAATTCGTACCGGCCACCTTTGATCTTGATCACATTTTGTTCAACCATTCGTGGTCTGACCAGCTTGTAGAAGCTTGCTGCTTGCGTGAGGGCCAGGAGGCTTCGAATCTTCTATTAGCACAGTCTTACATCTATTCTGGTAGCGCTTACCTATCGATATCTCCACAAATATCGGAGGCTGCCACGAGTACATCTTCATAACGCAAGACTTTTTGGGCCAGATCGTAAACAATCTCAATCTCTTTTTCTTTGAAAGGCTGGATGTCAGTAACTTGTGCTATTTCACAATGTATCGTAGGAAGCTCACCGCAAATAAGACCGTAGATGTCACCTAATTTCTCGTCCATCTCTCTCATGCGAAATTCTTTGAAGTACGCTCGATTCTCCGTGATGAACATCAGTTCCCATTCGTTGTTTGAGCCCGTATATGTGGCTGCACCATTATCATTAAGTGGAATGGCGATATTAAATCCGAGCTGGGGGAAGTAGATGACATTGACATCGACATCCAAGGCTTCGGGGATGGTTGCAGCGATATCGAGAGCAACATGTTTGAGAAGACTGGCGAGACCGTCGTATCTGTCTTTGATTCTGTCAAGATCCCTGTCAATCCCCTGCTTGACTACAGTTCTTCCTTGCTCTTCGGAATTATCGATGTCAACCTGTACTAGTCAGATTTTTCTGTCCTCCAGATATACTAAAAGGTGCTCACGATTTCTTGAATCATGCGACCAACCCTGTACAGCTGGGCTGCCTCAAATACTCGTAGTGCCTATCTATAGTGAGCGCAATATTTGAAGGCATAGAAAATAGAATGAACCCTGGTACGGAGAGCCAGGATATTGGCCCCCGAGACCTCCAGCAATGCATCTTGTATGTCAATGGAGTAGAACGCAAACTATTCATCTTGTTAGTATGGCAGCGATTATTGACCTCTTGAGGTATGTAGTAGCTGAAAGATATACAGCAAGAAGACTAGCCCACACCGTTGTTTTGAAGCCTGTAATCTTAGCACTGCCAGTGCTAATTCCTTTGCGAAGATTGACCAACACAGGTCTTAGATTCTTGATATGCTTCAAAGCCTTGGTCATCTTATCCAATGCAGCAAGATTGTCTGGTCTGGAAAAGACACCGATGAAATCATGGCGCTCGCAAATGGTGACTAGGTCCACGCTCGGGCGAAAGAAGCTTTGCTTGAGTTTTGCTCTGCCTTGGGGAGTGTATGCAAAATGCTGGAAAAGGCCGTATACCGAAAGACCCTCTTTGCCCGATGCTGATTTCTTGCCTGGGCCTTGGTTAAACATGTTTGGGTGTGACTCTGATTGAATGATTTGAAGAGCGGTAAATGTGTTGCTGCTGATCCGCATCGTGTCTCGCAAATTGAACATCTGCAACGCTTGAACTCGATACTCGCTCATCTCTCCTAAAGGCGTCGGTGCCACAGCTCTTCGCCGCTGCAGGTAGGTGAGAATGGCTCCTGCGCACCCAATAGTCACGGGGTTCTCCGTGTCAATGGAGCTGGAAATGTGCAAGAGTCTTCCTTCTTGGAGCGTAAATCCCATTTCTTCTGGATTCACCTCTTCAGGGCCGGAAAGCCCATTTCGAGGTACGAAGAACCGGATGCGTTCTTCGTGGGTGGATGAAATTTCTAGGGCAAGGAGCTTACTTCCTGCATTTGCGTAGCTGAACTCTGGCGTTGGACGAACGTCTATCTGGTAAGGAAGATAGGCAGAAGAAACTACATGTTGACGCACATTGTCAGTATAACTTCCATTGGAGAAATTGGTGGTGGAGAAACCATTACCATATTCTTGCGCAAGGTTTGAATCTCGATTGTGCAAGTCAAGATCCACACGAGGGGGCGTCAAAACCACCGTTGGTTTTATCTGAAGAAGCACTGGGAATTACTTTAGCGCTTCAGCCGAACCCTCGTGATAGAATGACCTACACGCATCGACTGTCTCCATTCCTCCCGAACGACAATCACTGAGTAGATACATCTTTTCCTCTTGGGCTGAGTAGTAGGCACATCCTACCGTTGCGTAGTCCTTTGTGTCAATGGCTGCGATGACATGATCATCGAAATCATCATCAGTAACTCTTGCAAACCTATCAGTTTCAAGATTGGCATCTGTTGCATGTGGAGTACGTAATTGGCTGGCCGATGGATTGATTGGGGTCTGGTAGAGACCGCTTGAAACGCTAGGTGCTCGGCTTGATGGGGCCCTGAGGCCCTGTCGTCGCCCAGAAGTATGAGGTGTGATTGGAGGACGAGAGGAGAGTGTTCTTTTTCTTCTGACTGAAGGCATCCTATCTAAATTAGCGGTATTGAAATATTGAGAGATGGGATGAGAGCATGGAGAGTTGGGATAGGATGAAATGGTGGGTTGCCATTCTACGAGCAGTCGACGGTCACGTTCTTCTGGTATACATGATATAAGCACCATTGGGTCCCGAGGTCAATATCAGCAAAACAGATTGATTAACTATATATAGAAGTATCTTGGTGTACAAATTCATGAGGCATGGGAGATGATTGAACAAACAATGGGCAAAGTTCAAGAAAGACAGAAACGCCGCACCAAGCATGCCACATAAGAACGCCAAATGTCGGTTTCGTTTACGCTTGGGGGGTCACAACCAGTCCGGTCTTAGCTTCATCTAGAGAAACCCGAGCAGTCTGGCCAGACACAATTTCACCGCGAATGATCTTATCAGCCAGGCGATTTCCGATCTCCTTGGAGATAAGACGGTTCAAAGGCCGAGCACCGAATCTCGGGTCATAGCCCTTCTCGCACAGCCAGTCTTTGATTTCATCGTCGACCTGAATAGTCATACGACGGTCGTCAAGTCTCGCTTGCAGCTCCTTGATTCTAATGTCGACAATGTCCCGAAGGGCATCCTTCGACAGGCGCTTGAAAATGATGAACTCATCGATTCGGTTCATAAACTCAGGGGGGTATGCGCCTTGAACTACATCCATAACGGCCGATTTGATCTTGGGCGAAAGCTCGGAATCATCAGTGTCCTTGATGGAGTACAAGGGGTCGGCTCCGACCAAGATGCTAGCACCAAGGTTCGAAGTCAACACAATCAAGGTGTTTCTGAAGTCAACCTTATGCCCCTGGGAATCTGTCAAGAAGCCTTCATCGAGGACCTGGAGCAGCAGCGCTGAGATGTCCCGGTGCGCCTTCTCGAATTCATCAAACAAGAGAACAGCGTAAGGCTTTCGTCGAACGGCTTCGGTAAGTTGACCAGCGTCGTCATATCCAACATATCCAGCAGGTGAACCAATCAGACGACTGATTGTGTGCTTCTCTTGAAACTCGCTCATGTCAAACCGAACGACTGCACTTTCGGTGGAGAAAAGGAACTCGGCCATCTTCTTGCAAAGCTCAGTCTTTCCAACACCTGTAGGACCAAGAAACATGAAAGAAGCCAGAGGGCGGTTCTCTCCGCTGAGACCTGCCCTTTGCATACGCACGGCGTTTGCAACGGCAGACAGGGCCTCATCTTGTCCACGGACAGATTTTCGAAGAGTGTCTTCCATATGAATCAGCTTTTCCACATCACCCGCCATAAGTTTGTTGACTGGGATGCCCGTGGTTCGAGAAACGACGTTGCCAATGTCGTCTGCTGTGACAGAATCGTGAATCAACGTCTGATTTTCAGGATCTTGTTCGGCACCTTCTTTCGGAAGTTTGGCTTCGAGCTCCGGAATGGTAGCGAATCGAAGCTGGCCAGCCTTGGCAAAGTCTCCTTCACGTTGGGCTTTATCAAGTTCAAATCGGGCACGTTCCAACTCTTCCTTGGTACCTTTAATCGCGTCGATCTCGGCCTTTTCCTTCTCCCATGCCTCCGTCAGTTCCTCGACATGCGCTTTCTTTGTTTTCAGGTCTTCTTGGAGTTTCTCTCGTCGTTCTCTGCTGGCAACATCTGTTTCTTTACGGAGAGACTCGAGCTCAATCTGAATGGTGGTTATATCACGCTCCAATTCCCGAATTGAGTCGGGCTTCGACTCTTGCTGCAAGCGAAGAGCCGAGGCGGCTTCATCAACAAGATCAATTGCTTTGTCAGGTAGGAAGCGATCGGTGATATAACGGTTGCTGTATGTAGCTGCAGCTACTAGGGCACCATCGGTAATTCTGACACCATGATGCACTTCGTATTTGTTTTTGATACCACGTAGGATCGAGATGGTTGAGGCTACGGACGGCTCATTCACAAGAATGGGTTGGAACCGTCGGGCAAGAGCCACATCCTTTTCAATTAAGCGATATTCGTTAAGGGTGGTGGCTCCACAACACTGAAGTTCGCCTCGTGACAAAGCAGGCTTGAGCAGATTGCTGGCATCGATACTGCCCTCAGCCTTACCCAGTCCTAACAGAGTGTGGAGCTCGTCAATGAAAAGGATCACTCCACCTTGCGCATCCTCCACTTCCTTCAGCACCTTTTTCAGGCGCTCCTCGAAATCACCGCGAAACTTGGCACCTGCAATCAGGGCACCAAGATCCAATGATACGACACGTTTGTTTTTAATGCTCTCGGGAACATCTCCTTGAACAATGCGCTGGGCCAAGCCTTCGAGAACTGCGGTTTTACCCGTTCCGGCAGCACCAATCAATACCGGATTGTTCTTGGTCCGTCGAGATAAGATCTGAATAGTTCGGTGGATCTCACCATCTCGTCCAATAACCGGGTCCAGCTTCCCAGCTTTCGCCCTGTCCGTAAGGTCCACACCGTACTGTTCAAGTGCCGATTTCTCGGGTTCTCCGCTCATGTCCATAGTGTGTGTACCACCTGGAGGGTGTGGGCGGCCCTTGGCATAGTGACGAACAGTTATGGGGGTGGTATTAACCGTTGATCGAAGAAAATTGGAGGCGCGGGGGAATGTGGTTGATCGCGGAATCGGGACTAACAGACGAGTCGAAGATAAAGTAGGTGTTCGCAGAAGCCTACTGCGAGCATTGAGAGATAGTCTCGCCGCCATGATGTATGGAAATTTCAAGCCTACACACAGAGGGATTAATTTGGGGGTTTATCACGACACGCGGTCAAGATATCATATACCTTATATACCAGTGACCAAGGTCCATCGGGATGCTTCTCGAAAGATCCACATAGTGAAAGCTGAGTGGTGGAGAGACAGAAGCTCCCAATTAAATTGTCCAAGCTCCGTCACCAGTCACATGACCGGAAAAACGTGACTAAGAGATTTTCCGTAACAAAAAAAAATCCTTCCTTTTTAACCCCTCCTCTCATCTTCTCCCCTTTTTTTTTCTCTTCTTCTTCTTTAGATACCACCACACCTCTCTTTCACAATGGGTTTCACCGACTTTGTCTCTGATGCCGGCCTGACTTGTAGGCGCCCCTGAGATTTTTCTTTGGTTCGAATCAATTGGTGACTGACTGTGCCCCTCAGTGGCCAACAACTTCCTGTCCACTCGGTCCTACATCGTTGGGTAAGCTTTCCCCCTTTTTATGCTCTATAGTTGTTTCTGTTTTGTTCCTTTCTGCTTCTGCTTTCATGATGAGAAACATTGGTCCGTGTTTAGGAGGCGGATTAAGACCCCGCTGGATGACTACAACCAATCGCGAGCAATCGCACCTCTGATCTTGCTTATTTCATGCAATTATTGTTGATGCTTCAATTGTGAAAAATCATACTGACTGCTCAACAGCTCCTCGCCCAGCCAGGCCGATGTCGTGACCTTCAAGGCCTTCAGCGCCGCCCCTGACGCCCAGAAGTTCCCCCACGCCGCTCGCTGGTACAAGCACATCGCCTCTTACGAGAGCGAATTCTCCACCCTCCCCGGTGACTCCAACGCTGCTTTCACCGCCTTCGGCCCCGAGAGCCACGAGCTTCCCTCCAACCCCAAGGACAAGCCCGAGGAGGACGACGAAGATGACCTCTTCGGTTCCGACTCCGAGGAGGAGGACCCCGAGGTTGTTGCCGAGCGTGAGAAGCGTCTTGCGGACTACAAGGCCAAGAAGGCCCTCAAGACCAAGCCCGCTGCCAAGTCCCTTGTCACTCTTGAGGTCAAGCCCTGGGGTATGTAAATTCTATAATTATCCATAAGACCCCTTGCTAACAAACAATTTCAGATGACGAGACTGATCTTGCCGCCATGGAGGCCAATGTCCGCGCCATTGAGCAGGACGGCCTCGTCTGGGGTGCCTCTAAGCTCGTTCCCCTCGCTTTCGGTATTAAGAAGCTCCAGATCAACCTTGTCGTTGAGGACGAGAAGGTCTCCACCGATGAGCTCCAGCAAAAGATCGAGGAGGACGAGGACCACGTCCAGTCCACTGACATCGCTGCCATGCAGAAGCTGTAAATTTGCGATGCCCATTTATGAAGCAGGAATGGAGTGATGGAAATGTGTGATGTCAAGGAATCCTTTACGAACCTAGTCCAACTAGAAATCGGTCCAATAATGACCGGTCATTGATGAAAATTTAAAAAATTCATGACCATATCTGTCCTCACGCCGTACCTATATGTTGTAGTTTCCGGCTGTACAAATCTTCCACAAATAAGTCGAATAGAAAATCAATTGGTCAAATACTTTCACTACAAAACATCTACTTTATGGGCGAGTCGTCCAATTTGTCATCAGAAAAACGAATTGGTGTTTACGTCTCGTCCAACGTTCTTTGTTGAAGAGGGGTAGATCTAGAGCAAATTTTTTTTAGCATAACTGCCCAGGTGCACGCTTTCTCGGCTTTTATATTCATCAAAAACGGATGTATTGTATTAATTTGTCCATCAGAAGATTCGAGTTAGCACGACTGTATTTTTCTGCCTTCCTATCTCACAATATATTTCTACGTCTACCCTACCATCGTCAACATCTAGGGGCCACATTGACAGCTTTGCTCAGAACAATGGTCCACATTATCTCCAGTTTTGGATGTTAGTCAATATTCAGATTCAAATAAGCAGTAGTGACACACAGATCAAAGATCGTGAAACAAGTGCTGATCGTCCAAATCAAGCAAGTCCACCTAGACACGACGAGAAATAATCACAGATCACTACCACCAGAGATAGAACCTTGGAACTTCCTCATTGGTAAATGAATTATGCACGTATTTTAACTAAGCCTCAATTCCTTGGCCTCCTAGTTGAATTATGTTTAGCCATATCTGATTGCAATCCAGGCGTTGATACCCAAAGCCATACTTTCACTAGAAGCATTGCCCGATCTAGAAACGACAGAGCAGACAGCTTCGCCGGGCTCATCAAGAACCTGTATATTGTCAATTACCTCCACCAGCAGCTGCTCTAGTCGATCAGCATCAGGTGCACCGGCCGAAGGTATAAGTCGAGGCACAGGAGTATTCGGAGGATCCTTGGGCCCGGGTACAGACAGTGTAGCCTGTATGCCCTCAATATCAGAAAGATGTGGAGGAAGAGTCGGCATCTTTGCTTTGTGATTGTGCTCAGCTAAAATAGTAGAGAAAATGAGGAGCAAGGAAGTACGAGGATAGCAGGGGAGTTTTGTGGTCTGGGCAGAGGGATTCCTGCTGACGAAAATTGGCCAGTTCATGAGTCCCCGCGGAGAGAAAATTTCTATATACCCGTCCGTCGGCTTATGATACAGCTTCATCTATATGATGTAGCATGGAGTGGTGCCAAGCAGCCTCTCAGTGCTGATGTTCCTTGATATAGACAAGCTGGGGCGTCATACGAAGAGGTTTTCGAGGAGCGTGTTTCCCCGCTCTGTGGCTTATCATGTAGACCCTCTGTGCTACTGCATTATTTGACTGTCTAAGAATAAGGTATGAAATGAGCTGATAGTAGCCTAGAGGTCAACTAAAGGTGCTTGTGGGGATGGTGGAGGTGGATAGTAGAGAGGATGTATACCTCCAGGCCGATTTATTTGGATCAGAGCGGACAAAGACAAGAAAGGCTACGAAGTACATCTACCATATGAGAAGAGAGAAAACTCTTCAGTGCTCCAGACTCTGCTGATGAAGGTCAGGGTCAGACGGTAAGTCGAACGGTGTAACCTTCACTCAGGGGTTGATCTGCGCCGTGTTGCCTGTTAGCTTCGTGGAATTTGCCGAAAGACACAGAATAAAAAGTGCTCTTATGTTCAGCCAAGTTACCAGTGTAATGTCCATTGGTTGATCTAAAGAAAAGTCGTTTTAGAGAGGGTTTTCACCTGGGCAGCTCTAGGCTAGATATCACGAGATATATACATCAAATCGGGGATGCCGAAAACATATGACCTCTGTTACCCATAGGATAGAGAATCTTTCCATGCAAACAATGGCAAGGATATAGCAGTAGTTTTGTTTAGTAAATAAGCGCACCAAAAGAATTGAACATTGCCCAGATGAGGTTGGACAGGCCAGAAAAGCTGATTAGGTAAACCGCGGGATGGCATCTCGAAGTTCCCGCCATCGGCATCGGACGTCAAGCATCACGAACACCACAGCCACGAACCCTAGGCTTTCATTGAACCGCGCCAAGTCCACATAGCTAGTTAAAAAATACACGGAGCGGACAAGGATATCAACTATCCAACCAAATCCTCCCCGAAACCCGCAACTCCCTAAAACACCTCGCCCACCATGAGCTTCCTCTCTCGCGCGGTGACCTTCTTTGGTCTCATCCTGCTAGTTCACGCGTAAGCTTTCTCATGACTGAGTCGAAAAATTATCCTCACGGAAAGCTAATATCCCGCAGTGGCTACTCCGCTCACGAACACACTCTCCTCTCCAGCAGCCTTGCATCCACCACTCTCCCGCAAGATATCATCATCGAAACGCTCGTTTCTGTCCTCATCGTTTCAATTGGACTTGTGCTTAGCGCGCAGAAACTCAAGCCAGTCAGCTGGCGCGAATGGGCCGGCGAGATCGAGCGGGAAGGCGGTTCCCGCAACCCGTACATGAGTCTGGAGGAGCGATATGGATTCTGGGATATTCGGGTGAGTTTTGGGATTCCTACATATTGTTGGGCATATCATGGTCGAGATACCTCTTATCCTGGACCTGAATGATCTACATCTATTGCCGGGCGTAGAGTGTTTTGTTTGGTATGTACACAGAGGCTAACATTTGGCAACCACAGACCAAACGAAAGGAGTTTGCGGATTGGGTGCGTGGTCAGGATGTGTCGATCAAGGAGTGATTTGGATACTAAGTTTGTGATTGTGTGCTGCAGTGGGGATGTTGTATAATATGCATAGCGGCGAGGGAATTTCAATTTTCAATTGAAGTGCTCTGGCTTGCCATTGGGTTTGCATGCCTGGCATTGATGTGTTCTTATCGACCGCGAAAGTACAGTATGCGTGCAACAACGAACGACGAGTCCTCATCTTGAAGGCTATCTTCAAACGCGATCGAAAGGTACACAAATACATTCCTAGCCTGTATGGACCAGCCGCTTTGGGTAAGATATTTGCCAGATAGAGACCCTTCTGGCGTGCATGATTACAGCCAGAGCCGCTGCGCCACACCGCTGTCGGATGGCGAGGTTCCGTTAGGCCAACTGCAAGCAGTAAAATAAATATAGGTTGGCCACTCTGCAAGGGGCTCGCTGTTAGTCACCTGCATTGCACCTCACAAGTGGCAAGCTTATTTTATTAGTCGAAGAATGCTTGGCTCAAGAACCCGTTATTGTGATGATCATCGTGTTACTTGATCGGTAATTAATAGGTCAAAGTCGAGATGGAATTAGTGCATATGATGTCTCTCTGTACGACTGAATGACCGAATACAACACGTCAATGGTACAACGTCTGGTCTGATTAGAGATTGGATTGTCATCAAGCTTAAAAATTTCATGTACACTGTACACGCATATGCTATCTTTGTGTACCGTGCGGGACCCTGTCCAGTGCAGAGTCAATGTTCCAAGTGTTCCAAGAAAGCAAGAGAAAAAAAAAGCGTAATAATTCAGTCAAAACACGTTGTTTCTGGTATGTGGAGGAAATGTAAATATAGAGTCGGTCCCTACTCAATGGGGCCAACGGACGGAGTTACCGTTGGGGCAAAAAAAAAAGACCCACTGCCTTGTGATCTGAAGAATTCTGTTCCGTAGAGGGAACTTTTGTAAAAGAAGTCGAAGACGTAGATAACTATAGTTAGAAACTGCGTTATATGAAGAGTACTTCATACATGTGTACTTAATAATTCGAAGCTTGCATATCAACCTTGCATCAATAATTTGACGACATGTACTCCATACTCCGTACTCCTACCCATATTAGGCATAGCAATTATACAATTAAAAAGAAAAGTGAGGGGAAATAGAAGAGAAAAGCAAAAAATAACGAGTCCATAATCCCTTATGGGGACCTGAAGTACTTTGATTGGATCACAGACGAACAGAAAGAACCAGAAAGAATCAAAACAAGGTGATGTCTCACTCGGTTGGCGTTCGGGGCTTCTTAGCTCCCAAGACACGTCGGATCGCGCCATCCATGGATAGATATAGTGGCCTAAATATGTGTATTATTGGTATCTAGATTTCTTTACAGCATAATAAGAACACCAAACTTCGTATATTTACCTTGAAAATATTTTTTTTAAAAAAGGGATTCGTAAGCTTCCAAGCCATCCAGATCTAGAGGTCATTGACTTAGTTAGGACTTATGTAAATAGAGATCAATTCAAGGTTCCCTCAAAGGGGAAGGTTTCCAAGGATTTGCTACAATTACCGAGTAATTATACACGCTCAGACGCTAGTTTGACTAGTGTTTAGTGCATATTGCCATCTTGTTTTCACCAGATTTATTGTACTAGTATATACTCCGTACATGTCTTGTTTTTTGGACAAATCTCGTGATTTTATAATTGAGATAGGCAAGTTTTTATACCTAACCTGGAACAACCTCGTAATTAACCCTTAATAAAAGAAAATTTCAAATATAGCAGAGCTTACGTATCGGTAGGCAGCCGGTGTGACCCCAGAAATAGAATTGCAAGACCTTGCAGATCCCAGGCCGCGCTAGATCCAGACTCTGCTCCATGACTGGAACGGGGTATCCGTTTTCCAAGCCATCAGCCCTGGGTGGCTTGGTCCAAACGTACTCTGCGACAACATAAGACGAGCTGTCTCCCTGGACAACCAACCCATTAAAAACCCTGTCTTTCGTTTCTCAGAGTTCCCTTTTTATTCTTTCTCTCTCCACATTCTTCAATACCCATAATCCACTCTACACAATAATCTTTAATCAACCTTCAACCTTCAAGATGCGTTTCTCCATCGTCTTCACCACCCTCGCCATCGCCCTGGCCCACGCCCAGAGCGACACCACCAGCGCAAGCTCTGCCGAGACCGCAGAGGTAAGTACAAAAAATACAAGCACGCAACCATTCAACCAAAACACAGCTAACCCAAACCCCCTCGAATAGTACAGTAACCCAGCCACCCAGTACTTGACTGAGACCAACTCCCTCGGCGTTGTGACCGGCCAGCCCTTGCCCGTTACCACTCAGGCTAGCGTTATTACCAGCCAGCCCGCTGTCGTGACCTCCCAGCAGCCTGCTGCCTCCATCCCCGCTGGCCTCACCTCCCCCGTTGCTGGCATCAGCTCCACTCTCTCCACTGCCACCCGCAGCGGTTCTTCCTCCAACAGCGCTTCCACCGGTGCCACCACTGGTACCTCTACTGGATCCAAGGCCACCGGTACCTCCACTAGCTCCTCTTCTGAGGAATCTAGCGCTAGCTCCAGCGCCTCCGCCTCCGCTAGCGCTTCCAGCTCTGCCTCCACCGGTGGCGCCGCTATGGCCACTGCTGGCCCCGTCGGCCTCGGCATGGTCGCAGGTGCCGCTCTCGTTGCTTTCCTTTAAGGGAATCTCGCAACTACCGTGATCCGTGGCGTGATTGTTGTCTGCTTTCGGACATCTTGGTCTCGCTGTACGCGGCTAGGGGTTGACAGTGGGCAGTTGGTCGTGTTGATTCGTCAACTCGATCAACGGGAATGAGGGACATGAAAATACGAGCATTGATTATTTTATTTTATTTTCCAGGTTTATTTAATGGGCCTTGTAATCCGTTATTCTTGGGCAGACGGTTGTTTTCGTGTGTTTCATTTCGATGTTTTTGAGATGCATATCAAGGCGGACCTGTTTCCCACTTTTTCTTTCTTTGATCATGATTAGCTTAATCCATGCCTGAGTAAATACAAGTTCTGACTTTGCGTACTCTTCGTTGAACTGTTCAATTGCAGCCTAAAATTTTTCTTTGTTGCATGGTATACGAAGTCAACAGATCGGGCTTCGTTTAGGCACCGTTGAGGTTATCATGGCTTTAAGGCCTTGTATTGTCAACAGCTGGGTATTGTCAATAGCTGGATTCTAGGCGTGAGATTGTCAATTCTAATCAAGGGCCATTTGAGCTCAAAGTTGCCCCTGCTCCCCTTTCATGTTTCATGTTTCATATAGTCAAGATTGTAGCAAGGACTGTAGTAAGGATTCTAACAAGGACTGAAACACCATCCAAAATAGGCAATAATGACTACGCGAGAATGACGCGACGAGACCACGTGACTCACGCGGAACCGAAGCTGGTTAGTGCGACCTCCACTCAAAACAAACCGTCGACGAAGTAACCATTTGCTTACTGTGATTGTGATTGTTGTCGATCAGTTTTCTTTGATTTGCAATATTCTTAATATCCTTTCAAGGTTACTTTTGTTACAGCTATTCATAAGCTATACCCTCAAGCTTCAGTATGGTAAGTTTTGTCATTCATTCATTGACAACACACTTGTTTCCCAGCAACCAGTGTATATACCTCGTGCTTTGTATCTGACATGGGTTCCCAGCCGTCAAATATGCGCCGGCTTGCTGCCGACCATGCCGCCCTCCACCGCAATCTTCCGCCGTACTACCTGCAGCCATCGGACGGCGATGATCTGTCACAGCTCACTATTCTTCTCGCTGGCCCGCCTGGCACGCCTTTCGCACAAGGGTTATGGAAAATCCACTTGAAATTGCCCGATGATTATCCAAAGAGCCCACCAAAGGCAACTTTCAAGACAAGGATATGGCACCCGAACATGGAAGAGCTTACCGGCGCAGTCTGTGTCGATACCCTCAAGCGGGACTGGCAGCCCAACCTAACACTGCGCGATGTGTTGGTCGTAAGTCCTAGCCCACGGTTGCAACGCTTTTTCGTCCCGAACTAATGACTTTGCTTCTCCAGACAATATCATGTCTTCTCATCTACCCTAATCCAGACTCTGCCCTTAATGCCTCTGCAGGTGCCCTTATGCAAGAAAACTATGCCACCTTCGCACACCAAGCCAAGCTCATGACGTCCATTCATGCCCCAATCCCTCTCGACCTCAAAAGTGCAGTCACCGAAGCAAAACTCCGAGGCGAGGAGGCAGGAACAGTACTTGACGAACAATCAGATAATACATCCATCCAGCGCCCACAAAAGCACAAGCGCACCCGCCCCGCGGTAAAGAAACCAACTCGCAAGACGCCATCAGAAATTCCTTCGCAATCCTCATCTCGCCCCTTCGCTCAACCCACCCCACCAATGTCCGACGACATGATGAGCGAGGACGAAATCGACCCCGCGAGTGCAAGCAAAGAAAACAACCCTTCTCTCTCCCCCTCGCCAGTCACCCTCGCACCACCAAGTCCCCGCAAAACAGCTCTTGGCAAACGACCTCTCTCCGTCCTCTCAATTCCCTACCCAGAAGAAGAAGCAGACATGATGCTCATTGACGAGTCCGACACCGACACCCCCATGACCTCCAACGAGCAAAACATATCAGCAAACACCCGCTCCCGAACCTCCTCCCCCCTTCGCAAAACCCCCAAGCTGTCCCTCCTCTGCGGCGGAGTAAACGCCTCAGGCCGATTCCGCGATGAAATGCCCATCTTCGAAGATGTCCCCCAACTACCAATAGCCGACCCCCTCCGTCACCTCAGCGGCGATGGCAAAGAGAACCATGTCTCTGCCACCGCGCGCAAAGAAAAGCGCAGCCTGAGCCCGTCAAAGACACTTGGCACGACTCCTCATTCTCCGGCACATACCAACCCACCCACGCCATCTCTGTCTTCCTTCTCGGACGTTCCTTCTAGAGTCACAAAGAAAAAATCAACGGGCGTGCACAAACGCCCTGCTTTCAAAGCGAAGCCGCGAATCGGAATCCGCAGACTTTGATCACACCCTTTGCTGGAAGATATCCCACCATCTCATTCTCCTTCCAATTCTTCGGCTCTGCTTCCACAAAGGGACACCGAATTTTGATTTGGCTCGAGCCACTTCTTTCCTTGGTTGTTTTACCTCTTGCCTCTCTCAATTTCCCCTACTTTATCCTCTGCACTCCACCCCCTTAGCGACTTTCTTTGATACCCTTGTGGCCTGTTGGACTCGACAGACTTTTAAACTGCATAGAGCGAGGAGTGAGAACTGCATGGCGTTGGCTTTGCAATGTATCCAAACGGCCGCTAGGCTGGGCTGATTCTGAACTTCTTTGGAATTGGCATTTAGTCTACATTATGTATTTTGACTTTAATGCAACTTTATGTGCATGTGAATGCATTTCTTGGCTTTCGTATAAAATATCTAGTTGCCAATCAACTGTTAAAAGTAACCGTGTAGAGTATATTGCCTCAACTATGTACATGGCCGCATCAGTCTCGTCTTTCAGACTTTAATTCACAATGCTGGTGTTAATTTAGGATTGTCCATACCTGTTGACAAGCACGGCGAGAAGCTCGTGACGATGTTAATGTTGAAACCTCTCTCATTAGTGGACATACTAGGTCACGAAGGCATAGTATCAGTTTGGTAATACCATATAATTAATGGAAGAGTTTTCTGGGACTATAGAGGTAATATCCTGCCAAAAATAGGAACGCCAAGAAAGCCTCCAAAAATTCCCAGAGACAGGACTGAGGAGACAACACAAAGGCTATCCGGGCAAGCTCCGGCAATAAGAACTTTCTCCAGGTTCAACTGAAATGCTCAAAAAAGACAAACAACCGCTTCGCGCATATAACAGGATAAGTATATGAACCCCAGGACACGTCGGAAAGATGGTGGGTAAAAATGTGTGATAACTGAATGAAGCCACCGAACAAGCGTTACCAAGGAAAGATGTCTCGATAATGATGTTCAATCCGCACGTTGGGATGAATTATGTCCGTAGGCCGTGGGGAACACAGTATGTTCCGCACGACCGAAGAATCTGCAAGGTGGGCATGCAAGAATATATCCCATGGAAAGAAAAAGGACCAATTTCAGACGTCTACAGGGCGTAGGGGTTGACGGATCGAACAGTGAGGCATCTGCAAGAGGTGTTATTGGTTAGTTCAAGGTGTTGACAGAAATTGATGAAGGGTAATACATACGGAGGGCTCTTGCTCAGATCAGTCTTCAAAATGATGGGCACACGGGTCATCTCAGTGACATCCTGGATGAAATCTCCATCCACTTCGCGCAGCTTGAACAAGCTCAGGTACTTCTCCTTGTTGGTCAGCTTGTTCTCAGGCGCATCTCCAGCTGTAGAGGCAATCTTAGGATCCGAACGAGTGCGGTGAGGTCCCTGCTGCTGGTGGCCGTTGCGGGTGGGCGATGGGGGCATGCTCTGGGTCGAACGGTCGGCGGAGTTGAGTGACACGCCGGCCGCCATCTCAGTGACATCATCCACGTCGTCATCGTCGTCGAAGAGGGCGTCGACATCGTCGGCAGACATTGTGCCGGTCTCGGTCTGCTTGCGCATGGCCTCGTCACGCTCGCGGGCACGCTCTCTGGCAGCCTCGGCTTCCCGAGCGGCGGCGGCAGCTTGAGCAGCACGAGAGTTGCCAGGCTTGGGACGCTCATCCTCGGGGATGTATGCGGAAGAAGGAACACCCTTCTCCCAGTACAGCTCAAGCACGCGAGAGTCCTTGCGGTACTCAGCCTTCTTGAGGGGCAGCTGGTCACAGTGCACACGCTTCTCAAAGCCGTACTCTGGAATGAGAACATCAAAGGCAGACTCATAGACACACAGCACGATACCCTCGCTGATAAGATCACCACCGATTTCGCGGCTCTTGCGGTCCATGTTGCGGCAGGCCTCAATGTGCACGCTCTGTTCCTGGGCGTTAAGAGCCGAATCTTTCTTGTTGTTGCAAAGATCGGCAGTCTTGTTGAGCGATTCAACATCGTCAGTGAACTCCACAGCACCATCAGACAGCACAGCCTCGAGTTGACGGTGCACAATGAGATCAGTGTAGCGCCGTGAGGGGTTGGTGAAATGAGTGTATACTGGTACGTTGAGCATGTAGTGCTGGCGCATTTCATCAGATGTGCCGTTGCTGACATAGTACTTGGCGCGTTGCATAGCCTTGGCGATGAGGGTTTCCATACCCTTGCGAAGGTCTACATCCTGCACTTTGCACAGAGAGCTCTGAAGACTGCCGCTGCTGCTGGCGTCAATCTCAAAACCAAGGCGGTTCATTCGCTCCACGAACAAGGTGAGGCGACGTGGGTTGGGCGAGAATTGGCGGCGGAGGAATGCCTTGTCGGGCATGGCGTTGAAGAGCTTGCGGGCGACGAAGAAGTTGGCCTGGTGGCTGAGCTCCTCAACGAGCTCGTGTGCGGGTGTCGATTCGAAGATGTTGTACTCGACTGGCACGTTCTCGTCATCAAGCTGCTGCAACAGACGCTGAACAGGGACGTTAGAGACCCGGTTACCGAATCGGGCTTCACGGAATTTGCCAGCGACGTTCTAAGAACGTTATTAGTACACGGAGAGGGGATTATCGAGATCAAAATCAACTTACGTGTAGCAAGTGGATGTTATCGGGAGAGATGCTACCAGTGCTGGCATCAGACTTGCCCTGAACAAGTGCATTGACCTGTTCATAGTCAAGACGACCGGCGCTCTTGATGATACCCTTGCCAATCCAGACATCCTCATCCACAACACCGGTGGTAGGATTAGCCTTGAAAACGATGCTGACGGTGAGACGGTCCTCTCCGGGAACAAGGGAACAAAGCTCAGTAGAAACACGAGTAGGCAGCATGTTCATGATACGATCGACTAGATAGACAGCGGTACCACGCTTCTTGGCTTCACGATCTACCAGGGAGTTGCCCTTAACGAAGTGGGCAATGTCAGCAACGTGAACACCAATTTCGACCATGCCATCAGCAAGCTTTTTGACATGGAACGCATCCTCGAGTGCCTTGCTGTCGGCGGGGTCAACCGTGAAGATGGTCTCTTCACGGAAGTCACGTCGAGAAGCAAGAGCATCACCCTCACTGGAGACAGTCCAGTCCTCCCAGCCAATGCTCTTCAGCACAGCATCTGAGAAGTCATCCGAGCCGAAGTTGTTGTCACGGAGAAGGGCATCTGTCTCAACCCGCAAATCACCCATCTCACCAAGCTGCTCGACCAGTGTACCGAAGGGGTGCAGAGATGTGATGGGCCATCTCTTAATGGAAGCAACGAAGATTCGGTTGGCGTAGTCCTGATGCTTCTCAACAAAGTCACGAGGCGCCTGCTCAGTAGGAATGGCAATCAGAGGGACACGCTTGTCAGTAGGCTTGAACCAAACAATCTTCGGCTTGTCCTGATGACGGTCATGGTGAGAACGGCCGTGGGCGCCGTCTCTGGCTTGCCGCTCGGCCTCCTGCTTCTCCTTCGTAGCCTGACTGCTAGGACGCAAGAGACCCAGAGTGCCTGAGAACATCTGACCAGCAACACGCTCAATGACGGCAACAACGTGACCAGCGTACAGAGGCTTCTGCTCGTCACTGATCTCGTCCTCCTCACACAGAAGAAGACTTTGGCCCTCGACCTCGACATCATCGTTTTTCTTCTGGGTAGGACGCTGGCGCAGACTACCGCGGCGGCGGATGCTTCCATCCGGACCGACCTCCTGTCTATCACCAGTGGAATCGGAGCGACCAAGCTTGTCGTTCCCAGCGTTGCTGTTGGAGCGGGCATCGGTGATATCCTTGCGCTTTTTCTTTTCCTCCTTTTCTTTCTTCTGAGACCACACCTCGTCAACATCGAGAAGCTCGATGGCGACAAAGTCACCCTCAAGGGCGCGGTTGCGATCTTTGCTTCCACAGATGAAGATGTCAGCATCCAGATCGTCAGTAGTCACATAAGCGTCGGAACGGTTCTTCTTGTTAACACGCAAGACACCGGCAACCAACTGTCCATTGCTGAGAAGTGCAGGGAGGTTTGCCTGGGGTAGGTAAGGAGTGAAAAGGGTCTTCCGCTGTTGTTGCTGCTGCTGTTGTTGCTGAACAGACATCTGCGGGGGAGCGTGTTGGCTAGCCCCAAGACCACCCATCCCCTGTCCATTCTGCTGCTGTTGGAGTGCCTGGAGCTGGGCCATCTGGAGTGGGTTCAGTTGCTGGTTGCCGAACATCTGAGGTGCCATCATGACCTGACCCTGTGGAAGTTGGATAAGTTGAGGCTGGCCAATTTGGGGCTGACCGCCGTAGGAAAATGAACCGATAGAGCCCATAGACTGGTTCATAGAGCCGCGCGAGCGGTGGCCGGGCTGGAAGCCACCCTGTTGCTGACCAGGTCTCTGCTGATCTTGGCCCTGATTTTGATTGTTAGGCTGGCGCCAGTTGCCCTCGAAGTTTCGCGAGGACGACCGAGCATGACCGGGCTGACTGGCTCGTCGCTGGTTATCAGGCTGAGCAGCTGGAGCTTCACTGGCCTGGGGGAATTGGAAACCACCAGCACCGCGACCAGAGATGGAGCCTCGGGTGTTACCGCCAATCGCCATCGATTGACTGCGGCCATGGCCCCCACCAGCTCGAATGTTGCCGGCCCTCTGGAAACCGAGTCCTTGGGGTGCCGGAGAGGTGCTGGATGCAGGCTTATCATCCGAAGAAGATTGGTTGTCAGAACCACTTGCACCGGGGGCGGGAGCTGGGAACTGGAATCCCGAAGCTGTTCTCTTCTGCTGGGCAAGCTCGGCCGCTTTCTTAGCCTCTGGAAGAGCAAGCGAGTGGCGGCGCTGGTGACCACCGCCGGGAGGGCCTCCACGGCCACGACCACCGTGGCCGGCATTCTCATTCTTGTGGTTGTTGTTTTGACCCTGCTGGTTGTATTCAGCATATCCCGACGCGCCCGAGGAGGGGGCAGGGGGAGGGCCCATGGGGAGACCTGGCAGAGCAGACTGGTTTCGACGGTGCGAATGTTGGTTGGATGCGTTCATTTGTACTCCAAGCTGCTGTTGCTGTCCACCCTGTGGGAATTGGAATGCATTAACTTGCTGTGGGGAAACACCACCCATGGAGGCACCGGGTTGGAACGATGGCACTTGGCCCAATTGTTGGGGCTGCAAAAGTCCCATATTGACATATTGTTGATGTGTCGCAGCAATTTGTTGCTGTTGCTGCTGGAGCAACTCAATTTGTTGTTGAATGGCCAGTTGTTCCACTGTAAACAAGCCGAAAGGTTAGAAGGGATGCTTGATTGGGATATATGGGAGGTCACATACTCATCAGCGGGGTAAGCTCAGATGGACTTCTCCGATGAGCAATATGGAACTTGCGCCCACCGGGGCCTTGAGGCCCGGACTGACTCTGTTGATCCATGATCCCAAATGATAGAAGCTGGCAGTGATTGTAGAATGTATGTAGGTTGGGATGTAATCGGCGACAGGAGAGACTGGTACTGTGCCAAAAGGCAAATGATCCAAGTGAAAGGGATCACAGGCCAACCAAAAGATTTATATGTGCGGATTGTGGGCTGAATACGTGAATTATCCTGGAGTAGCAAAGAGTGGATCAGTAAAGGTGAGATATGAAAGATGAGGTGGAGGTAAGACAAAGAGACGTAAAGATAAGAGCGAGGATGGGAAAGCTGTCGGTCTCAAGGTAAGAACAGCTAGAACAAATGGAAGTTGCGACAAACAAATGTTGGTTTCTTCAGTCTCAGGGGAAAGAAGTACACCCCACATGATGAGCTCAGAAACCACTATAGGAGGTAAGGGCGATATAATTCCAGGTGAAACCTGCACGGATTCAAAAGACCACATGTGCAGTAAGTACATTTGAGAGATATCGTCTTACCTGTAAGATGACACTAATGACAACGTCCGAACCCTAGCATTCCAAAATGACGTCTGTAGTGTCCAAGGTGGAATGATCGACCTTTTTTCCCTTCTAGCCAATATGACAGTGAACAATCACAGTATTGAAAGTGTTCAATAAGTCAATTGTCCTCCAAAAAAGGGATTTGGATGGAGCGACGGAGCAAAAGGACAAAGCTTCGAATCAGAGGGACTTGGAAGGACCGGAGCGGATGAAGCTGCACTGGAAAGCACGACTGACAACCGACAAGGGAAATCGACAAAAAGTACCTCGACAGAGAACCGGTTAGGTTAGACTTTTTGACAAGGCTGATGCAAGCTTGTCAGGGTGATTTTCTTTCAATCAAAGTTGATACCCGTAGAGAGTGACAGCGGATACTGAAATTAAAATGGGAATAGACGATGAGAACATCGACTGATTCGACTCGAAGGAACGAGGGGGGGAAAAGTTGGGAAGGTAGGGGAGATGAAGAACAGAGGGGGAAAGGAGAAGTGCGGTGATGCGATACAAAGGCAGTCGACGTGTGGGGTACCAAAAATAACTGTATTGGTATTGGAAATAACAGAACACAGGTTTTAGTGCAAGTTCACTAGGTAATATTGGGTAAATACCATGACCGTTATATTCAATACCCAGTGCCAGCAACGGGAAGCCATGGATGATCATCAACCACTTCATCATCATCCTGATGCATCCGTTAAATTGAAGTATAACATTTGATATGTATAAATCATGGACAGAAATTAAAGGAGGGATCTTCATTAGATTGACAGCAATATAGAGAGATATTCAGAGATGCATTTAGTGTCTTTTTCAGGGTCTTTCTTCAAGTCTCCAGTAACATAAGATAGTTACAGAACAACTAACTGATTAGTGGTGAGTAGGTGGGTTTTAGGGTGATTGAGCTTAGAGGAACTATGGTTTTATGATGAATAGGTCATATGAGAAGCTGTAGATAAGGTGAAAAGATCGTTTCTTCCAGAAATATTCTATTCTCGATGTTCTTTTGATCTCATAAATCCGGAAAGCTCCTAAGTATAGCTTCTCAAGTAAAGTAGAAAGTGGATGATGCTCACAATGATGTAAAGATCATGAACCAGGGAACCGCCCGACGGAAAAGAGTGCTTTGTCAGCATCCCTTTTGGTAATTTATTTCACTTGAACTTCAAACCCAATTGGATTTAGAGAACAAGGTACGTTAAGTCTTGGGACTCATTGAATGTTTCTCGCTCGCTGTTCAAGTTCCAAATGCTAAGTCTCAGTTCTCCGATAGCTTTAGTCTCCATGGGCCCGCCTTCTTGTTGAGTTGACGCGCCAACGTCGAGTTCTACAGGCGCGTAAATTGATATCTCAGGCGCCTTCAATTACCTCCCGGGAAGCTTCACAAGCAAATTCAACTGAACGCCTAACTGGTATACGACCGTCCAATCGAGGTCTGATCGAAGCACCGCGATTCTCTGTTCCCGCTTTCTATCTGTGATACCTCTTCATTCGCTTGATCCTTTGGCCTCCGGATATGAATCGATTCATTTGAACTCATTCACATTCACATTCACAGCGCTTGCCCTGTTGTCGAAGGCACCTTTCTACATAATTTTGACTCCGAATTTTTTTCCACTTGCTTGTCACCTTCCTCCACCCTCGAACTTTCCCTCGCCGAGTACCCTTCCTACGGTTCATTGAACCAAATTTTACTTTCAAAGCAGTACTCGACGCAATCTCTTTGAGACCCAGCAATTTGCTCGCTGGGCTGTCAGTCAAATACAGCAACCATGACTCGATACGGGACCCACGTGCCACCAACTTTGGACAGTCCCTCCAAGCAGCTTATGCTTGACCTTGTCCGGGAGCTCGAGCAAGTTCGGCTTTTCGATGAGGACCTGAAGAAGGTCCATGCCTACGAGCGAAAATCCTACTACGAAAATCTCGACCGCGTCGACCGCGAACGGGAAGCAATCCACACCGCCGCTCTCGATGAGGTTGCAGCTACCCGTACCCGTGTTCGCGAGGAAGCCGAAACAACTCTGAAGAATCACATCCTAGCCGAAGAGGAAGAACGCCTGCGTAAGGAGGCCGCGATTCGCAAGGAGAAAGAACGCGTCGAACGTGAGAAGGCCGAGAAGGAGCGGCTCAAACGAGAGGCAGTTGAGCGCGCTGAGGCCGAGCGCAAAGCCAAGGAACAGGCCGCACAAAAGGCCAAAGAAGAGGCCGAAGCAAAAGAGGCTGAAGCCGAACGAGCACGCAAGGCCGCGCTTGATGAGAAGCTTCGCCAGGAGCGCGAGCAAGCAGATGCCACCAAGAAGAAGGAAGAGGAGGCTGCTCAGAAGGCCCAACAAGAGGCCGAGCAGCAGGCACAGTCCAAGCAGCAGCAGAGCCTCGGGGCTGGAACCCTCTCCCCTGAAGAAGTCCAAACTCACCAGCGCTATGTGGAGCTTCACAAGACTCTGAAGGAGATGCGCCTGTGGCTTTCTGGTATGGCAAAGGGCGAACCCGCCCTCAAGAAGGCCATGGGAGATATGCGCCGTTCTATCAAAAAGTCCGTTGGACAACTTCGAAGTGGAACTGGAGCGAATAAAAACCAGATCAACCAGATCAAAGGAGACCTTCAAAATGCTTTGGCATTCGCTCAGCCGACCGTCGACATTGCCAAATTCATTGCCTTCCCGTCCCAAGAGCTGGCGACCGAGGAGAATAAGGTGCCTGCTATGCTGATCTACGGTCTGAATGTCTTCTCTAAGAGTTTGATTTCCTCCCTTCTTGCAGAGGCAGCCATCAAACAATCACATGCCGAACCAATCGGGATCATCGCAGCTCAAATCTTCTCCTTCGATATCTTCACCTACAAGGGACTCCACATGTCTGATATTCTGTGGGCTAAGTACCGAGTCGTTTGCCCTGCTCTGTGGGGATTTACCGGCAACGACAAGACCGAAGGAGGTCGCCGTACCCTAGGTTGGTGGCGCTTGCCTGATACCAAAGACTGGATCACCGAGCAAAACCACATGGACCGCATGACTGCCCTAGGCGCTGGATTCGCTGCCATCACCCTTCGCAATTTCGGAAAGACGACCCGCCAAAACCCCTTCCCTAATACTATGTTCTGGACGACGATGAGCAAGATCCTGGCGATTCCTCCCGCGGAATTGCAGGAGACGCAGATCGCCCTACTGGCTGCTCTGCTACGATCGTCTGGCGAGCGGATCATGGGCTTCTTCGGGCAGTACGGCCTCGCCCTTATGCACTACGCCATCGTTGAGCTTCCGCGCAAAGTCCAGCGGGAGAGCATGGCTCTGACGCAGCTGACTACACTCAAGGAGCTCTACATGCGGGAGAAGAACATTGCGATTTGATTTGGGCTGGCACAGCCCGGCGTTTAAAAAAATGGTCATTTTTAGGAGTTGCATCTACCTTCAGCGATCAATGCTGGAGATTTACTGAACCAAGTTGAGATACAGCTTGTCAGACGGCCAATGTTGCCGAATATCATACCCCATGAGTCATGCCTAAAGCTTTTTTGTATGCTAGCAGTCATACTAGTACGAGTGCCGATTAATTGTATGCCTATTGTACGCAATCAGACTATCAGCAATCAAAAACACCTCGATCTTAGGTTAGCTCGGGGTTGGGGTCTGTGCCCCAAGGCCTCCCATCTGACATCCCGCCCCATGCGGTAAGAACCGGTATAGAGCTTACATATCTACAGCACATCCAACCAATTCCTAAATCCAGACTCACCACGAATATTCCAATATTCCCAACATGCCACCCCCCATCCAGAGACCCATCCTCAGTATCCTCCCACATCCCCAACCACGCCCCATCCTCCCCATGCTCCACCAACTATGCAACCAGCCTCTAGCCGCATCCGCGGGCCACCGAGTCTCGCCGGTTCTTGAATTCCGCTCCGCCTTTTCCACTACCGCTACCCGCGCCACATACTCGGACAAGAAGGTTCCCGCCTCTAGGTCCGGAGCCGAGATCAGATCCACTACATCAAGAAATGGAACTAAATCTGGACCGGGTGATGCTGGGGTCGATACGGAAATGCCGGCTGTGAGCTTTGAGTCTCTGGGTATTGGTAGGAATATGAAGGTGGTTTTGCTTGTTGTTCTTGGTGTCTTTGGGTCTATTGAGACGGTGTTTTGGTGTAAGGCGGTTTGGATTTGGTGGAAGAAAGGTGACGTTGATATTGATGTTGGTATTGATGACGGGGCTACTGATCAGTAGGGTTTGCGGTGGCAATGAGGACTGGGGATGTAGGTGAGTTTGAGTGGGTTTCCGTGGTTTGGGTTGTGTATAATAGTTCACTGTGTGCGTTTGGATTCTCTCCGCTCAATATTAGACTTGACGCATGACCGGAGTGCAGACTATGGTTGATTGTGGCCTGGCTGTTGAGTTGAATACTGCTGCCCCGTAGCTTTAGAATAAAAGCCAGCCCGTCTGACAGACTGGGTTTTACTTGTGTACAAATATGTTGCACCCAAAGTTGCCTGCTATTTACGCAAAGATGGGAAGTCATAATACGGGACATTGAACAATGGCAAATAGCAACGCAAGTATCACCACGACATAATATGGAGTCATTCTCGGCAATTGCGGACCTTCCAATGTTGGGATGAAATGTTGCAATGATTACATGATTGTGAAACCCTCGAATGACCTATCTCACTGCAGCCTGGCCGCAAGGGACAAGATCGAGCGTTGCACGAGCCGGGTCACCCCATTGGAGCCGAAAGCGAATCCTCTCAAGGAACCCCGAATTACAAGCAGCCACTTAAAGCCAGTTACTATCCGTGGTTCTTTTTCCAAAAGTGGATAGAAATATAATTGAGTACAATCTTCAATATTGTACATAGAAGTGTCAGATGGGCTAGACCTGGAGTGGGTAAAGACCATAATGGTTCTTCGCCCGATTGATTTTCCCCAACTCCACATACTGCTTTCCACGGTTCAAGTTATATTCTAGACTTGTGAATGAAGGCGGAGTGACATCACGACTGAGGCGAGATCGAGGCAATAATTGACCTTGGCGAAGTGCAATTTTTACGTTGTACGTTGTTGATGAAGAGTCTCGGGAGGAATTGGCATTGGATGTGGGGAGACAAAGTCTGCATGTCATGTTAGAACAAACATACAACGTGAAACACAGTCACACGAATAGTCGTAGCATAACCAAGTACAATTTAGTCAACATGAAAAAGATATAGATGCCCCCCGAAAAGCCCAGACTTTAAAAAGGAGAATGTTTCATGTATCAGATCCCAGAATAGCATAATGGAAAAAAAAAAAAAAAACAATAAAAAAAACAAAACACGATGATAGGTTCCCCCTAAAAATCAGGGACCAGCGGGGCCTTCAGTGTCCCAAGACCCTGTCAAGTCCCAATGTTTCCCCAACTCTCAAAGGTCTTTCCAAGGGTTCTGTTTTTCTGACGTACATCCTTTCCTTTAAAATCTTGCCTACGCTCTTTCATCTTCACTTGTTTCAATTTACAAACTTTGGTCGACTTCACTCTTTCTCATCGACCACTATGCGTGCCACTCTTGTTTCCCTCTTGCTGGCTGCTGCCCCGGCCCTCGTTTCCGCCAAGGGTACCCTTGGTTTCTCTCTTGGTGACAAGAATGCCGACGGCACTTGCAAGTCCACCAGTGACTACGAAGCCGATTTTGATGCCCTGAAGGGTTTGTCCACTCTCGTCCGTACCTACTCCGGTACCGAGTGTGACACTCCCCAGAACATCCTTCCTGCTGCTAAGAACAAGGGCTTCAAGGTCGTTCTGGGCATGTGGTAAGTGGCTATAGCTCCCCTCTCCCCTCTCCATAGAACCTCTACTAACGTGAATGGTTCTCGCTCTTTAGGGTTGGCAAGCCCACCGACCCGAACAACCTCCTTTCCGAGCCTTCCTTTGCGGGCGATTGGTCCGCTATTAAGAAGGCCATCCCCGGTCACGAGGACGTCATTCACGCCATCACTGTCGGTTCCGAGACCCTTTACCGTGGAGACTTGACCGGACCCCAGCTCCACACCTACATCAGCCATGTTATGGATGGCGTCCCGGAGGGTGTCTTGGTCGGTACCGCCGACAGCTGGAACAAGTTCGCTGATGGGACTGGTGATGCTCTCTTCACTCAGGAGCCCATTGTGACTTATGTGTAAGTGAAAGCCCGAAAATACCGTTATGGATACACCGATGCTAACGCCTCCATAGCCTGGCCAATGCCTTTGCTTACTGGCAGGGTACTGCCGCCGACCAGGCCCACAAGACTTACTTCGATGATATGTCTGGTGCCATGGAGCACATCCAGAAGGTTGCCGGTGACAATGCGAAAAAGATCAACATTGTCAACGGTGAGACCGGCTGGCCCACCGATGGTGGTTCCGACTATGAGGCTGCCAAGGCTGGCACCAAGAATGCTGAGACCTTCTGGAAGACTGGTGTTTGTGGTATGCTTGACTGGGGTGTGGATCTGTTCTACTTTGAGGCATTTGACGAGTCATGGAAGCCCGACTCCAAGGGTGACAACGGAGAACTCAAGGACGAGAAGCACTGGGGTCTCTTCACCGCTGACCGCAAGACCAAGTTCGATACCTCTTGCCCTTAGAGTTCTAGATTTCTACAACTAGAGTTCTAGAGTTCTGTCGAGTGATCTCTGACCTGCTCTTGCTTTTTTGACAGAGGACTTCGTAGATAGCGATTTTTGTTCAAGTTGTATTCAATTATTCCGAATAGTTTCTACGGCGGAAATATGATTTAATTTCTTCAATTGTAATATACTTCATTCAATTGCAAGTAAATGAGTTCATCAATATCATTGGTTCTGGATTCAATCCGAAATTAGAGATTAGTCATGAAATTACGGTACTGTCAACCCATGGTTCTGTTACCCCTGAATGTCTCTCCGCGAACCATCCAATCTGGTTTTTTTCTCTCCTTTGTTTACTTTGTTCTTCTCCATACATTTGAATTCGCATTGGGAAGATTTTTGCTTCATTCTCGAGTAAGGGATGTCTTTAGGATACATCTCTTGTTTTTCCAAAAATTGACTTTCTCTGTAATTCAAGGGGTCATTGAAATTTGGACCTGCAGACTCGTAGTGGAGTGTGAAGAGGTAACAACTCAACGGCGACGCTAAATGAACAAGTAATAAGCCTTGGATTCCACCCGGTCCTAGCTAATGTACCATATTGTACCCAATGGTAACCTGTACACCGCATTAGCACGTATTACCCACCCTCTAGTAGGTACCTAGGTACCACAGTCCGACGATCTAACACCCGTGACGTCCTAACACCTTTTTTCCCCTTAGTCTTTCTCGTCTTTGCATTCACGGTATGATTTAGACTTGATCGATCGATCATCTCCTTTTCAATCGACATCAACAAGAAAAGTAAAAAGTGACAACCTGTACATCATCTCGCCCCAGGTTGTCTTGTCCGCGATCTTCAATTTCGGTTTGATTTCCATGCGTCAACATTCTGGACGATAAGCGGAGCGGCAAGCAAGTGCTTGCTGCAGGAGTCGACACGGAAGGTGTGTGAGTTCATCAATTTGTGATTCCCGTGTACTTTTTTTTTGAATCCTTTTCGCGAATTGGACACGCTGCCACGCGATTTTGACTGCATTCTTCGATCTCCCCGTTTCAATCTCAATTGCCCCTCCAAATATGCTAACCTAGCCACGTTGGCTGGTCTCGCAGATCCAGATTACCCCGTCTCTTCCGCCATTTCGGCATCTTCTCCGCCGTTCCACTCGCGAGACGCGCGTATTCGTGACCAATCGCGTCTGGCACCATCACTACTCTTGTCCTCTCCCCCAAGAGACTCGAGCCCGTCAACCACTGGTTCCCCCGGTCAGCGAGCCTCCCCGAGTATCGGTCTCGACCCTCCACCGCTCCCATTCCTGACCTCATACCGCGGGGCCGAAGAATCCCTGACCTCCTCACCTGTCAATCGGAGGGCGGAAAGCAGTATCTACTACACCACTGCGTGGGGTTCCCCGTATGCAGCACCCAGCACTCGGAGATTGTCAGTGACCCAAAGCCAAGTAACTGGTATCAATCTCGGATCTGGTCCCAGCTCGCCAGTATCGTCGGTAGCCAAGCACACCGAGTTCCGGAGATCGAGTGCCGCAAACGACGACACTCTTGAACCCGTCGACCGCGATCTTGATCAAAGCGGAGAGAAATCGATCCGCGATTTCACGCAGGATTGGATCAATCAGTATTTGACCGGGCAGCCTAGAACGGAGCGCAGCAATTGGCTCAGCGACGACTCGGGAAGTGAAGCACCTTCGTTCTTTACCGCCAAGAATCATCTTGCAGACGACGCCTCAGACGATTGGCTTGGTCTGGAGGACGATTATCGCAACGACGATCTGTTGAGGACTCCAACGCTATCTGATTTCGTCGGGAGAAAACCTAACGCTCGTGCAAAAGCCAAGAACAACTTACATAAACGCGCCGATACCCTGCGCCAGGAGGACTTTTGGGGTTTCGCTTACGATAAAGAACCCCCGAGGACCAACATGTCAGACCCAATCCATACGCAACCCGCCGTGGAGGCGAATTCGCCGGTAGAGAAGCCGTTACCCCCCCCCCCGGCCAATGCGACAGAAGATATCACAAGTATGGAGGAACGTCCATCAAAAACGCTGGTTTCTGAACTCAGTCGATCAGCCACCCAAATGCCACGGCGGAGGAAGAAACTCAACTGGCGTGGAAAGGCATGCATAATTGACTTGCCACAAGCAGATCAAAGAGGCTCGGATAGCTCCGGTTATCGACTATTAACGCCATCCGATGTTCAAGAGCGAATGCGAAAATGGGAGGAGGAGGGGTACGATGTTCGTGGATTCACCATTGGCGATTCCCAAGATCCTTCCGCAACCACAACTCTAGGAGGTCTCAGCCGCCCCCTGTATCCCGACCCATACGAACTATACGAGGCCTCAAAGGCCCAAGAGCTGGTCGTCAACTTCCCAGACAGAGCCAAGTGGGAATCTTACATCACTGAGCTTCAAGAAGAAAAATTACGCGCCCTAGGAGTATCTTTTGGCAACGATGAACCCGAGGAGTCCATATCACCCGACTACTCGATCAAACAGAACGGAACACCTTTCCCTGGTCTTGTTGCATCTCCTCCAATTCCTACTGCATCAGCAGCGAGCAATCCTCTCGGTCAAATCCATCCGTTCTCACCCCACTTCAACCAATCATCGATGCCAACCCCGAATGTTATAGGTGGGTTGGCATCGCCTGCTTCACAATTCGGTATGCAAACGCCCTACATGGGCGTCGAGCAGAATATGATGGGAGGATTCCCCTTCCAGTATCAACCTACGCCTCCCGCCCAGGGTTCCATGACTCCACAAGGATTCATCAACGCCCGGCAGGCAAGTGCTTCGACTGGCCCAGGAGCAATGGGCAACTTTACCTCCATGCTTTCGCCTGTCTCCCCGCTGCATGACCAAGGGTCCTTCCACGCTGGATTCAACGACAAGGGTGCTTTCGATGATCAGTTTAGCCACAATATGCAACAGGAATACCAGCCTCCCAAGACCCCTATCAACGGACACCCGGATCATTTCCACACATCCAATCTGGAGATTGCCCACCCCACACCTCGTGGACATGGTCACAACCTGAGCGAAACTCTACAGAGAGGATTGGATCAGATGACGCATACCGATTACCATTTGGAGGACTCGATCGAACGCCAGTTGGAGGATGATTATCGCGATGTCAACCACGCTGGCATGAATGCTACTATGCTCAAGTCGCACTGGACATTGCCCGAAAATGAGCACCACACCCAGAATCCTTTCATTCAACACCAGCACCCTCATCAATTTTACGGAGATCAATATCAGCAACACAACACCCACGATGGCTCTGACTTGGACACGAACCCTAGTGTTGCGGGTACACCGCACACCCGCCAAGGCCAGTGGCATGAACCCCAGCCCAGTGGACACTCTTACCAGAGAGGACACCACCAGCATCTCTCGATCTCATCTCTCAACGTGGAAGCAAAAGAGTTCGACCCTACCGCATCGTTCAATTCTCAAGCTGTGCCGTTTGGAAATGATGCGTTCCAGTTCAGTGGTATGGGCGAGCAAAAATTCGGGTTTGCGCCGCCTCCTTCTTTCGCACCTGGTAATAGCCTGAACGGTCCTATGGATCGTGAGCCGAACCACAATGCCAGTAGCGGATTTAGGTTCTCTGCCGCCTCGTTCAACGTCGACGCGCCTGTTTTCAACCCTTCTGCCAGCATCACCTCTAAAGTCAGTTCCGAGCAACCCTCCAGCCAGGCCAAGATCTTCGGAGACATTGATATCGAAGAAATCTCCAAGCCTGCCAAGGCGTCCAAGGCTATTCCCATCGTTCGACCGGATGAGACCGAGCAAGAAAATGCGGAAGGAGAGGTGGCCACCGAGAATGACTCTCAGGGTCACCCTGTGCCCACTGACCGCCACAAGCGTGCGCGTCGCGGTGTCGGTCACGCCGAGGGCGAGTCTAGATACAGTATCTCAACCCATCCTCTGGGGGAGACGGGCAATGCCCAAGCTTCCAGTGCGATTCATGCAGTCGCCGAGGGCAAGGAGAATGCCATGCCTGGGGACAACCCTGTGGACCGACGGGGTACCCCTGCCAGCGAAGCCACCACTTGGACCCTGTTCGACGCAAAACACGAAGCTGAAAACAGGTCGCTTGCAGGATCACCTGTTCGCGAGGAACCTGCTCTAGAGGCCCAGGAGGCTTCTAAGGATATTATTATCGAGGAGCGCGAGCCGAAGGAGCCTGCTGCAGGCGATGATACCTCTGTAACTGTATCTAAGGTTGTCAGCCATGCCGCTAATCCATCTAAGAGCTCTGTCAAGAGTACCACACTGTCGGCTACTGCTCCGACTTTCGAGTTCAAGCCTGCTGTTTCCGAATTTGTTTCTACGACAGTCAAGCCGTCCAGCTTTGCTGAGCCCGAATCCGCTGGAAGTAAACCCGCGCAAAGTGGACTCATGGCTTCGCGCTTCGCTGCTTCAAGCCCACCCAAGAAGGAGACTGAGCCTCAGGCCACCACTCCCTCTCGCCAGCAACCAGAGTTCATTTCTCGGCAACCTAAAGAGGACTCTTGGACCTCTGAGAGCGATTCTCCTGACGACGCAGAGCTGAACGCCATCATGGAACAGCTGAACGACGATTCTGATGTCGGCATTGAACGACAAATGACTCCTTTCAACACAATCCACGCCACTCCCTTCCAGCCGCGCCAAGAGCACCTCACAGAGTCTATGGGAGGTCCGACGAAGGAGCAGCGGTTTGGGTCTGTGGAGGCCCGAAGCGAAGCCCCCAGCCCAAGCCCCGGCGGTGCCCCCAAGTACAAGCTTGACATCCCCAAGCTTGGCTCGGACATCGATGCAAATAGCAACGCTACCTTCTCTCCCCAAAAGAGTCTAATTTCTCGTCTTCATTCTCCTGTTCGTCAGCTCATTACTGAGAATGACCACGTCAGCGACTGGGATGACATGATCTCCGCCGGAGAAGACGAGAAGTTCATGAACAGAAACCGCTTCTTTGACCGCCGCATCAACGACCTTGTTGGTTCTGCCATTGATGATCGACTGGGTCCCATGGAGCGTGCTTTGGCCGTTATTCAACAATCTGTGGCTTCCATTGCCACTGGCGCTGCTAGCCGGAGGGTTTTCCGCAGCACATCCGCTGAGATGGAAGATAGCGATGCCGACGACGAGGACGACGGCGATGTTGAGACCTCATCCGCCCGCGAACGCTCGCCTCACAATATGAGGGAGCGCAAGCTGGAGATGCTGAAGAATGTCGTCATGGAAGCTCTAGTTACCCATAATATTCCTCAGCGCGTCGCTCCCCATTCTAGTCATAGTGAAATGTCTCAGCTCAAGGAAAGCATTGCTGAGCTGCAGGCTTTGACAATCAAGAATCTCGCGCAGGACCCTGTTGGTGATATGCGGGAAATTCTAGAAGAGACTATGGCCAAGCAATTGGCCCAGCAGGTTGCATTGCAGACCCCGCGCCTGTCTGAGGCTGAGGAGATCGGTGCGGACAGCCTTATGCTCCAGATCGATGGACTTAAAAGCATGCTGCGCCTCGCCGATGAGCGTGCTGAGCAGGAGTACAAGGAGCGCCGGAATGCTCAGGAATCTATGACTGAGCTTCAGCGACTCTTGAAGTTCGCCGAGGAAGATGCTGCTCGTCACAGTGCTGCCGCTGAGGACGCGGAGTCTCGTCTTCTTCAATTTAAGGAAGAGAAGATCCCCTACTTTGAGAAGATGCAGTTCCGCACTGAGTCTCTTGCTGAGGAGAGCGAGACTCTCAAGGTTACCATCGCCGAGCTCTCCACGAAGAATATTGCGCTCGAGGGTACCCTGGATGAGCACCGCGTTTCCAGTGACAACTACCGCCGTCAACTCGATGCCACCAAGGAAGAGAACAAGTCTCTCCGTGACACTGTTGATCACCTGAAGATCCGCATCGAAGACAGCATGTTATTACGCCAGAACCTTACTGAGAAGTTCGATCGTCTCCAGGATGACATGATTAGTGTTACTGCCGACATCTCTCGTGACCAGGCTGCCTGGCGCAAGAAGACAGAAGAGCAAACCGCCAAATACAATGAGCTGCGCTCCTCTTACTCTCGCGAGGTCCAACTGCGCCAGAAGCTAGAGGAGGATGTCCGCATGTTCGAGAAGCAGGAGCGAGAAATCACAAAGCTGAATTTCATCCAAGAACAATCACAGCAGGAGAACGTTAGGTTGGAAGAGCTGGTTGGCAATCTGCGTGCTGAGAACCACGATCTGGAACTCAAAGCCGCTCGCTTCGAGCGCGAGTTCACCGAAGCCCGCGAAAGCAGCCGTGTCGAAATTCAACGCACTCGCTCTGCCATGGAAGCAGAGTTGGAAGCCTCCAACAGCCAGGTTAATATTGTGCGTGCCGAGCTGGAGGCTCAGATCATCCGCCTGCAAACCCAGCTTGAAAACAACCGCATGGACACCGATACTTCCCGTGAGCGCTATGAGCTCCTCTTGGAGGAGGCGAAGGACTCCAAGGTTACCGCTCTAGCTGCCAAGGATCTTGCCCTTGATGAGACGCGCAAGATGCACGAGCGCGTTCTCAATGACCTGCGGGAACGTCACGCACGCGCTCTGCACAATTCTTCCGAGGATCGCGCACGTGGTGAGAACCACAACTCGGAGCGCATGGCTCTGTCCGAGAGCAAGGCCCAGCACTTGCAAGAACGGGTAAACCACCTCGAGGAGCGACTCGAGATCGCCCAGTCTGCTGCCCGTGCTGCTGCTGAAGCAGCCCACAGCGCTAAGGCAGGCTCTGCGTCAGATTCTGCCCCGGTTGCCGCACCCTCGCATTCTCGTTCAACACCCTCAATGTCCTTCAGCAAGGGCACTGAAGAGCCCGATAGGATCTCTCCCCAAGCTCTGCGGGAGTCTATCTTCGTGCTCCAGGATCAGCTCCAGCAGCGTGAGACACGCATCGAGGAGCTCGAGCAAGAGATATCCACCATGGACAAGGACGCGCCAAACAAGATCAAGGAGAAGGATACTGAGATCACTTGGTTGCGCGAGCTCCTAGGCGTTCGTATTGATGATCTGCAAGACATCATCCAGACTCTCTCCAAGCCCACGTTCAACCAGCACGCCGTCCGCGACGCAGCCATTCGTCTCAGGGCGAATTTCCAAATGCAGCAGCAAGAAAAAGAACGGCTAACATCCGGCAATCTCCCCTCTCTCTCCGACCTCGCCGCCTCACCCCGCTCACTCCCCCTGGCCGCAGCCGCAGCCTGGGGAAACTGGCGTAAAGGCCGCGAAGCCAACTCAACCTCCGACCAAACCCCCTCAAAGCCCAGCAACGCCGGCACTTTCCTGTCCGGCCTGCTGACGCCCCCGAGCTCCCACGTCCGACAAAATGGCACCGGCCAACAAACTAGTGCAGCCGCGCGGTTCGCGCAAACGCGGCCTCTGAGGGCCTTCAACTCTCCTCGACGCGGCTCTGTGCGTCAAGAGCCTGCTGTCACCGAACCTCCCAAGACCCCACCACTTCTCCGTCGCTCAAGCTATGACCATGATGCCGAGCCGGCGAACTACGAGGAAGGCCACTTCGACGAGAATGAAAGTACAGTCGATGGGATGGTTTCGGCTTCGCCGAAAGAGCGAGACGACGAGGGTCCGTTCGGGCCTCAGATTGCTGAGGCCGAAGAGGCCCATGTCGAGGACGTCTCTTCTTCCGATGAGCCCTCTACCGAGGAGGAATGAGACCTCTTTGATCGCTATAGATTGTTTTGAATCGTCTCTCGGTTTATTTTCCTTTTCGCTAGAATCCAGCGCCTGCTATTGCGCCAATTTCCCCTTTTCTCTCTCCTCTCGTTACCATGCCCCTATCGACATACATACTTATCTCCCGGCTTCATACCCGTTGATCGATGTTTGCGCTTTCGGATTTGATACCACCCCGTTTTTTTTTCCTTTACCCAAGATGTACATTGAATATCCCATTTACCTAACCATTTACCTGTCCTATCGTTTACCTTCCACCATACATACTAATAGTCAATATCTGTCACTCCTTACCCTTCTGACTGTTCTATATTACCCCTTGCTATCACTGGATGTGTGCTTTGCTTCCGGTGCTGCATTTCTTGTAGCTTATACCTTCTTCAATTTTTGTTAATCTGAGATAAATCAAGACTAGTTATACTTCCATTTGCCGTGACTCCCAAACTTCCAACCATCCACACGAGGCAACATGCATTGAAACCCGAACACGAGATGATATTTGGATCTCATCTCGTCTGGTAAGGTAGCAGGGGTCTGCATGTACGACCAGCCGATGAAGGTCATCCAAGAAGGGCGTCGTAGCATCCCTTAAGATCGTGTAGGTCCGCCAATTTCTCACTGAGCGGCCCGTCCTCCCGATGCCATCTTACAAGAGCCCAATCTTGCGGCCTCTTCAGCTTCCGAAGCACGTATACTGACTGGGAAAACAGTCTTGATTTGGTGTGCCGTAGCAAAGTCGTAATCGTAGTTGTTTATGTCGATTGCGATGAAAGTACGCACCCGGGTCATTTCATGGCGAGGAATCGGATACGGCAGTCTGATTCCCAATTGGGGAATATCTCGCTCCCAAGGCTGTATAATGACTTGCGGTAATCTTCGGGATCTAGGTCCTTTGTCTTCAACCTCATGACCATTCGTCTTGTCTCGTCATTCTTAGATATCACTTCGCGTATGGCTTTGAGGTTGGAGATGGTGGCCATGGGTGTTGTGCGATATTAGGCTTGGGTTCTTGGTCTAAACGGGTGATATTTGGTAGAATTGTATTGAGGACATGCTTTTGAAAGAATTGAAGATTATCATGAAGTCAAGAAAAAGATTTGGATTGGGAAGGTATCCCTTTTTATGTTTTAGAGAACCTACAATTCCAAGGTTACACTATCTTTAGAATGATAAACATGTTCACTGTCTGCAGGCTGTTGCCGAAATGGTACCTAAGTTGCCTATTAAAGGGAGGGAAATGTAGAATTGCAACCTGGGATGCATGTATGTATTCAACGGTTTGGCTGAGGCACAGATAGGTGCATGTAACTAGCATTGTTCAGCATTGTTGGATACATCATTTAGATACTTTACTTTGCATTGTACTTGGTACTCATCTGATTACCCAATTTTTAATCCTATCTATGTATAGCTATGAGAGAAACAATGAAGTTGTCGGATGTAGGGTATGGCCTTGGGTATATATCACCGGTAAATGCACGCCATCTGTAGATGTAGGTTAGGTATTGGTATTTTTCTACAACAGATGAGTCATTAAATTGCTCTCAGATAGAAAATAAATAGTATTAACCATCATTATATCAGAATTTTATGCAACTCGGTAGGTATACAATGTATAGCCAAGACTTGCAAAGGCGGAGCGGTGTTTATTTGATGTGGTCCGAGCGTCTCCAATTGACACCTTTCGCGTTGAGACATCATCATCACCTCCCACCCGCTAAACCCTCGAACTCAACTGGAGTCAGGCACCCATATCATTCGACATGCGATTCTCCACAAGCACAATCCTGGTCACTGCCCTGGGGTGGTTCACCGCCGCGACCGCACACACTATCCAGCTGAAGGCTCACTCACGAGAATGCTTCCACGAGTCCCTGCACCGCGACGATGTCATGACCGTCACTTTCCAGGTTGGAGATCGGGAGTTTGGAGGGAGTGGGAATCTTGAGGTGGATTTCTGGGTATGAATCTCTTGCTTTTTGATTCCCAGTGTCGGATGTTCCCCGAACATGCCCCTTTGCATGAAGTGTTGGGACGTTGTATTGCACTCGTAGAGGCAATGGATTGCCCGGAGTTGCATACAGAGAGATAGTTGAGATTGTTTTGGAACGAAAATACTAACGGTCGGTCTCCATGCGTCTAGGTCGAAGATCCCCTGAGAAACCGCCAGTACTTCCAGCAAGCCGTCTCCTCCGATGACTACTCTTTCACCGCGCTGGCCGATGGAAAATACAACTACTGCTTCAGCAATGAAGGCTGGACATCGAACTCCAAGGAGGTCTCCTTCAACGTCCACGGAATTGTCTACGTGCCCGAATCTGAGATGTCGAAGGACCCCCTCGAGGTTGAAGGTAAGCCCTGGGAAACTCCCCGAGAAAATAGATCTGATATTGATTGATTGGTACCGTCTAGTTCGCAAACTCTCCGAGGCTTTGACACAGGTGAAGGATGAGCAGTCGTACATTGTGGTGCGTGAGCGTGTGCACCGGAACACCGCAGAGAGCACCAACGGCCGTGTGAAGTGGTGGAGTATGTTCCAGCTTGCGGTCGTCATTGGTGAGGGTGTATTCCAGGTGTGGTGGTTGAAGAGATTCTTCGAGGTACGTGTGTTCCTCAAGCTTGGATCAAAACTCTAGATGCTAATCTTCTTCCAATATGCAGGTCAAGCGCGTGGTCTGATTTAGATTTATATCCTCCCCCCCATTTCTCTTGATCTGAGTCATCTCCATTTTCCTTTTGCAACGAACATGTTGACGAACATTGTGGAGTTGGGCTTTCTGGGCGGATTTCGTTTTCAGCGCGATTTACCAGAATTATTTCTCACGTTTACACGCCATGGTCTCATGCAATCATTAGTTTATATAATATAAATCTGTACCATCAGTGAAATGGATGATTATGAGATACTTGTGTAGGGTGAGAGCTTTTGAAGGCAGTGGCTGGAAAAAGTACCGCAGCCCAAAAATGTATATGGTTGCGTTAATTTCATGATCCAGTCATTATGGCATGATCTGGCTGAATCGAACCCCCGCTCTGCAAGAAAGAATTAAGGATTGTCTTCAATCCCAGGCGATATTCTCAAACTCTACATCTCACTGTGACGAGTATACATACATCAACCCCGCAACTTGGCAAATGAGAACGAGGCACAACTTACGTTGCATGATTTGTTTGTTGTACAGCTTCCTCCTCTATATTTTCACTGCAAGGAGAGCAAGGCGCTAACTATCGACTGAAGACAGGAAGCAGAACTTATTTCCCTTGAAATTGAGCGCCTTACATGCATCGATGGTCATGGACGACCATGAACTCCTAGGGAATATCAGCTTCCCACTAAACAGCCTTGATACCAGCGACCCCCTATTCTATATTTGTTGGCGGCAGCAGTCTTGTTCAGGCTGCCTTTCCGGTCATGAATTATGCAGTTGGTGTGCAATTGTAGGTCATCCCTTTTCGATTGCGCGATGTAATCTGCTGTATTTTCGGTCAGCATCAATGGGATTTATTCAAGATCCAATCGTTGCGACCTTAATGCAATTGGTTCCCTTTTCTCCTTTCCCAATTCTATGCATTTCACATGGGCAGACAGCCGACTGTGTTTGTTTCACATACTGCCTTGGCCCCTTGCATTATGAGCCCCCGGAATGAGGAAGAGGGGGTTCAAATCCACCGCCCCATACCCCATTCCTAGACTTTGGCTTTACATGTTACAACAAGTCATCTGGATCAGACCCATGACCTCCTACTTCATGTAGTCAAAGCTAACCATGGATTGGTACAATGTAGTCTTCGACATGTGTGCCTAACTCATCGCGGGCTCCGGTACTCGCGCCTATTGGTTCGGCATATATATGCCCCCTTGGCAGCAAGGAAAGATGGGAACTTCGGGCGCAGCCGTTTGGATGCAATGCCAGCACCTTGACGGTGTTATCAGTAATGGTTGCTGTGCTAGGGACACTGACTTTGGTCGGGATGGGGTTACTATTGGTATGGTTTGTGCGCCGGGTCCAAGGCCGGTTGAAGGAGTCGGAGTATGAAGGGCTTGGTCCTGCCAGGTGGCGAAATTTTGGGGTTATCTCATCTTTTGTTAGTTTGTTCCCTAGTTGGAGCCGAAGTCGGCGGAGTGAAGTGGATGACGATGAAGAAAATGCGGAGACAAGGCCGTTGTTGGAGTAGATAGAGTAAGGTCTATGTGAAAATTGGTGTGTTAAATGCTTCAATATGAATTTTATTGTAGTCAAACTAAGCTTTTTGTGGATATAGGTTGAGCGATGCCAAAAAGAAGCAATTATAAATAAAGATTAGGCCACGGAGTTAATCATCTCGCGCACAATTGATGTAAGCTCATCAACTGTATGTTTCGCTCGTGGAAGAACATGTCCACCTCCATGGTCAAACAGATCAGCAGTATCGGGATCACACATGTTGTAAAGAGCCATTGAACCATCAAGGAACGGATCCGAGGCACCAACGACATGACAGGTGGGAATAGTGATGGGCTCTTTATCGTAGTCATCAGCGACAACGAGCTTGCCAGTGACCGGATGCATGGGCGGCCATCCACCGAAAAGTACAGCGCATTTGATTCGGGGTTTGCGGCCAAGTTCTCGCTCTCGCCTTTGTTCTTCCAGGAGAAGCGATGCTGCGATTTGAGCGCCTTCCGAATAGCCAATCACACCATCAATATCGCCTTCACTATCAAGAATGCCGACCAGGCGGTCCACGACTTCGGTGATACAGGAGAATGTGGGATGGCCAGCCAGCTCTTCAGCGGCCTTCATTGCTTCCTCCGGGGTGTTGCGTTTGGGGAAATCCCTCATATTTATCAACATCATGTCAGGTCCATCGGCCTTCATAAAAGTGTAGTTGGGCGCAGGGCCAAAGAACCCTTGAAACTCTGGTGCAACATGCACCTCGGTGGTTCCCTGAGTGTAGTGGAAGGTAGCATCTCCATTGGCCACGAGGGAGTCGCAGAACGGCGCTAGACCCACGTCAGACTACAACAACAACGTCGTATATCAACCACCTTACCTAGCTGGACTTTGAAAGACTGAATTAGATGGTCAGCAAAGTCTTGAGTGAATAAGGAAAAGTGTATGACTGGTTGACCTACAGCAGCGCAACAATAGCCTCCTGGAAGGCATAGGAACTTCATATTGACAATCGGAGATCTCTTTGTAATGAAAAAGCGAACAAACACGCCCACTTGGAGTACTTCTGTTAAGAGATTTATTGCGCGAGGAGGCAGTAAAAGAATGATGCCATTAGGAATCTGCCAGGACCGGGGGTTTTACCCCTGTGGTTGGAATGTACACCCACCCTCGCCTTAGCAAGGGCATCGGATCAGATCATCTCAGAGACGTGGCAAGGCACGATACGATCTAGCGATACTGATCTACAGCCCTGGAATCAATGAGCAAGTGGAGATGACCCGTTGCTGCATGTAGGATCCCGTCGCACCTGCTGTCCTCCATAGGCGCGGAGTGGAATCAAGGAAGAAAGGCATCAAGAACTACTCGATCATTGCCCGATTGAGCATGTCCTGTTTCAATCGAGGAACTATAAGCCGCTGATCGGCACGCACGCTTGGATGTTCATGCAAGGGCGGACTATACTCCATAACAAACCATATCGCCCTTTTTTGTTATTTCTCGTGCCTTTTTTGGAAAGTACTTTGATCAACCGATTGCTCAATTTGTTCGTTTCGTGATTTTACTGTTCTATATCTTAGATTTTCATCCGCAAATTCTTTTTTTTGGACACTTGCTGGACATTGATGGTTATCGCAGTGCCAGGTACATAATTTGACACCTTCATAACCAGACAAGTTCCAATCTATCAAACATGCGTCTTCAACAGCCATCTGGAAGCGGTATGGCGGTGACCGAAACCGCAACTGCCTCGGCACAAGACGTAACTTTACCGGCACAAGAAGTTCCTGGTAGTGTCCCCGACGAGGATACTGGCGTTGTGCCCAAGCGGATAGCCATTATCGGCATGTCTTGCCGCCTCCCAGGAGAAGTCACCACAGCTGACGAGTTCTGGGAGATGTGCTCGAGAGGCCGGGGGGCCTGGTCGCCAATTCCCAAAAGCCGATTCAATGCCGATGCGTTCCAACACCCTCACGCTGATCGACCCGGCTCATTCAACCCAGTAGGGGCTCATTTCCTTACCGAAGATGTCGGTCTTTTCGATGCACCTTTTTTCAACATTACCCTTCAAGAAGCGCGATCAATGGACCCTCAACAGCGAATTATGCTCGAGTGTGTATATGAAGCGCTGGAAAACGCCGGAATCCCCAACCACGAAATTAGTGGCCGCAAAGTGGGCGTGTTCGCAGGAGCCTCATATCCCGATTACGAATTGAACAACACAAGAGACATCGAAACAATTCCTATGTATGCCTCAACGGGCACGTCGATGGCGTTGCAGGCAAACCGGGTTTCTTATTATTTTGACTTGAACGGACCTAGCATTTCGATCGATACAGCATGCTCGTCTAGTTTGACCGCGTTGCATCTCGCATCACAAAGCATTCGAAATGGCGAATGTTCAATTGCTATTGTTGGAGGATGTCACTTGAATTTAATCCCAGAAGCATTTATCTCAATGACACGCTCCAGGTATGTGGCTGCTGGGTAGAGAAAAATAATTATTGCGTGAAGCGAGCTAATCAATTTGCTTGGACAGGCTTCTGGCAGATACTGGTAGATCATATGCGTTTGACCACAGAGGGACTGGCTTTGGTCGAGGTGAAGGCGCTGGGTGTATTATATTGAAGTCACTCGAAGATGCAGAGGCTGCTGGTGATACGATTAGATCCGTCATTGTCAACAGTGGCCTCAATCAGGATGGACGCACTCGGGGCATTGCGATGCCCAATGGCGAGGCGCAGGAAGCGCTCATTCGCCGAGTGTATAAAGAAGCCCGCATTGACCCGTCCATGACGGCATTTGTTGAAGCTCACGGCACGGGCACTAAGGTTGGAGATCCCCTTGAAGCCACTGCCCTGAACGCGGTCTTTGGAAAAGGACGCACGCCAAGACAACCATTATATATCGGGTCAATCAAATCAAACATCGGTCACCTCGAAGGGTCCAGTGGAGTTGTGGCGGTGATCAAAACTGTTTTGGCACTTGAGCGAGGGTTTGTGCCTCCCAATTGCAACTTCGAGAAGGCCAATCCGGAGATACCGATGGAAAAGTGGAACATGAAGGTGAGACAGAAAAGCGAATTTGATACTTAAAGCGACCTGCTAATCATAATGAACAGGTGGCAAAGAAGCTGACGCCTTGGCCCCGAGGAAAACCCTACGCAAGTGTGAACAACTTTGGATTTGGCGGGACCAATGCCCATGTTATTCTCGAGCGTGGTAACCGATACGAAGGCGAAGGTGTGGTCAATGATGATCCTCTTAAACGAAAGTTGTTTGTGGCCTCTGCATATGATAAACAGGCTGCTATCCAACTGGGCAAGAACCTCGGCTCGTATTTGGACCTTCATCCGACAGTGTTTGACGACAAGCTTCTGGACAAGATGGCATACACCCTGGGCCAGCGCCGAAGCTTCCTTCCATGGCGACTTGCAGCTTCCGCAGAGATCGCGCAAGATTTGACTGCCGCCCTGTCCACCAATCCTGAGCCTGTACGCTTCTCCAGAGAACCAACGGTTGGCTTCGTTTTCACTGGACAAGGCGCTCAATGGCACGGTATGGGCAAAGAACTTCTAGGTACATATCCGATCTTTGAACAGACAATGGAAAACGTGGATGCTTGTTTGAAATCCCTCGGTGCTACCTTCTCCATTATTGGTAAGTCGAATTTCCTGCCACCAACGTGCTTAGCTTTTCAATTCTAACCGTCCCAAGATGAACTTCTTCTTTGTGACCCTAGTAAAAGCTCTATCTCAGCAGCATATATGAGTCAGCCAGCATGCACCGCAGTCCAGCTCGCGCTAGTCGACTTGTTCTCCTCGTGGGGAATCCATCCCAAAGCAGTCGTTGGCCACTCCAGTGGAGAGATCGCAGCGGCATATGCTGCGGGTATTCTCACACTTGAAGAGTGCGTTCGCGTAGCTTACTCCCGCGGTGTTGCCGCAAACCTTGTTGCCAATGATAAAACAATTAAGGGTGGTATGTTGGCTGTTGGTGCTTGTGCCTCTGACATCCAACAAATATTGGATGCCATGCGTGGAAACCGTGCTGTTATTGCTTGCGTCAACAGCGAATCCAGCGTCACTTTGTCCGGTGACGCGGAAGTCATCGCCAGTTTGCAATCTGCCTTGGATAAGGAGGGAATATTCACCAGACGACTGCAGGTCGATGTTGCTTACCACTCTCATCACATGAAGACAGTGTCGCAGCAATATCAATCATTGCTCGGCAAGATCACGCCACGGGACTCCGAGATTCCATTCCATTCTACTGTGCATGGTACACAGATCCCTGGAAGCACTTTAGATGCATCTTACTGGGTTGACAACTTGGTCTCGCGTGTCGAGTTCGTGGAAGGTGTGAAAAGTCTTCTTACGGATGACAAAACAAGGACTCCCATCAATACTTTGATAGAGCTCGGCCCTCACCCTGCCCTCCAAGGGCCGGTGAAACAAATTTCGGAGATGCACGCCCCAAACCTGAATATGCAATATCACCACACCCTAAAGCGCAAGGTCGATGCAATCGAGGCCGTTCAGAACATGGCTGGCTCATTGTTCACACAGGGCATGGTTCTCAATTTCCAGGCTATCAACTTCCCCAACCTCGAGAAGACCGGAAAAAGACCAGCCGTTCTATCAAATCTGCCAACCTATCCTTGGAACCACTCCGAACGATACTGGTTCACTTCTCGGTTAGCAGACAATCACTACCACCGGAAATTTGGCCGAAATGATATTCTTGGCTTACTGACTCTGGAAAATGTTGAATTTGAGCCTCGATGGAGGAACATCATTCGCGCTGATGATCATCCATGGATCCGTGAGCACAGAGTGCACGGTAGCATTGTGTACCCTATGACTGGGTTCCTAGCCATGGCCATGGAAGCCATCTCCCAGCATGCCCAACTCCACCACATCACTCCTGGGAAAATTGATCTCCGTGATATCTTCATTAGCCGCGTCCTCACCATCCCAGATGGCTCGTCCGTGGAGACGATGTTCAGCCTCAAGCCTTGTCGGGCAGAGTCTCCAAGTAAATCTGTCCTCGGCTGGCACGAGTTCAAAGTTTTCTCATGGGCAGAGGGTCGAGGATGGGATCAGCACTGCCACGGTTTCGTCATGGTCCAAGAAGCAAAGGACATTAACCCTGTAGATGGTTCCCGCCAACAGCTCGAGAGTACAGGGCGTTTCACTCAGCAAGCTTTGAATATGCGACACTCTTGCACCATACCAATTGACAACAAGTGGCTCTATGAGAACATCACCAATGGAGGTGTCCAGTACGGTCCCCTTTTCCAGCGCCTGACGGAAGTTTGTGTCGGCACGAATGACCAAGCTATGGCAAAAATTTGTATCCCTGACACAAAAGCTGTTATGCCTCTTCAACATGAGTTGCCGTGTATCGTTCATCCCGTTACCCTGGACTTGTGTAGTCAGCTTATGTGGGTCCTGCGAGGTTATGGTCAACCTGGACCACAGGTGACCCACGTGCCCTCGCATGTCAAACAAGTATCGGTTTCATTGAGCCAAGAGATCAACGCTGGTACGGTTCTTCAGCTCTATGGTGAGCAGTCGGGCACCGAATCAGCCAGCAACCCAGAGACCAACCGTATCTTCGCCACTGATCCTAGCAATTCGGCAAATCTGCTCATTGACATCAGAGATATTACTCTAGTCCCGGTCTCAAATGATATCAAGGGCTCAAGGGATAACTCCCCTAATCAAATTTGCTACAAGCTGAACTACGAGCCCTGCTTTGACTTCCTATCCGCGGATGACTACCGTCACCTCCCGCGCCCAGATACCGATGCCAGTGCGGGTATCAAGCGAATGAGTCTACTGGAATCTGTGGCCGAACACTACCTGCGGGAGATGCTTAACTCTGTTCCGGAGCATGAAATTCCCACCTTCCAGCCTCAACATCAGCAATTCTATCGCTGGGCCCAGAAGACGTGTCAGAAGGTTGGATACGCGGACCCTCTGCCTCTGGATGTTCTCGAACACAACCGTACCGTCACCGGTGCGGGAGCATTGACATTCAAAGTGGGCGAGCTGCTCCCTCAAATATTGCGTGGAAAGGTTGATGCTCTAACTGTTCTCTTGGATGATGATGGAATAGGTGGCTACTACAGTGATCTGGATGCCCTCCGAGAAGCTTATGCCAACGTCTCTGTCTGCGTCAATCAGATGGGCCACCAGAACCCAGAGCTCAACATCCTTGAGATTGGTGCTGGCACGGGTGGGGCAACCTTACCCATCCTCAACAGTCTAGGAGGAGGCGAACCAGAATCTACGCCTAGGTTTGGACACTACACCTACACCGATATCTCCCCAGGGTTTTTCGAAAAAGCCAAGACCAAATTCGAGGACTGGGGGCATCTCATGACATACCAGACACTGGACATATCCGCTGATCCCACAGAACAGGGTTTCAACACCGGAGTATACGATGTTGTGGTTGCCTGTAACGTGCTCCATGCCACTAGAGACATTGGGCAGACCATGGCAAATATCCGAGCTTTGTTGAAGCCTGGTGGTAAAATCATGCTTATTGAAGAGACTGTTCCAAAAGCTCGTCACTTCCCATTCGCACTCCTGCCGGGATGGTGGCTGGCGAGTGACAAGTTCCGCAGCGATGGTCCACTTCTCACAGTTGCCGGATGGGACAGCGTTTTGAAAGAAAATGGGTTCTCAGGCATCGACCTTTGTATTGAGGAATACCCAGGAGCTTCCTTCCAATCCGGCTGCTTGATGACATCCTCTGCAAACGTCCCGACCACAGGCCCTGTGAACCCTGGTGATGTTGTCGTCCTTGGAACAGACTCCATCGGTGGCCTGTCAGCATTGAGTTTAGAGTTGGGCCTCAAGCACTTGACTGGTGCCTCCCCAACTACCGTCGTTGATGCCGATGATGTGGATGTCACTGGAAAGTGGTGTATTTTCCTTGGAGGGATGGATCGCTCTATTCTTTCGCACCTAACCGCAGAGAAATTGCAGGCGCTTCAGCGGATGATGAGTCAAGCTCGAGGATTGCTGTGGGTCGTTCGACATAGCAAGTCCGACTTGAAGTCCCTGGGAGCAAACATGGCAATTGGCTTGGCGCGGACTGTGAGATCGGAGACTGGCCTACAATTTGCCACTCTTGATCTGGGAGAGCGAGAGACCATGTCTGATGCCGAGGCCGTGAAACATATGCTCAATGTCTTCAACGGAGTGTTCTGCCAAAAGTCCCAGCTCATCCAGAATGACTGGGAGTTTGTCATTCGCAATGGCTACATTTGTGTTCCTCGTTTGGTTGACAATAACGCTCTGAATTTAAGCGTGCAACAAGAGACGCCAAACGCACCTTCGGAGATGCAGCCATTCAAGCAAAATCGCGCTTTGCGACTTGCTGCTGGAGAAGGCAGAGGGCTTGATGAACTGTACTTCACCGACGATGTCTCTTGCAATGGACCTTTGCCAGATGATCATATCGAGATTCAGGTCTACAGCACTGGTCTGAACTTTAGAGACGTATTGATGGCTATGGGGCAGCTCAAGGGCGACAGGCTGGGTCAAGAATGCAGTGGTGTTGTCACTAAAGTAGGAACCGCGGTTTCCGACTTGAAAGCGGGCGATCGCGTCTGCGCAATGTCACCGGGATCGCTATCCACATACACCCGATGCCCAGCATCTGGAGTCTGGGTCATTCCAGATCAGATGTCTTTCGAGATTGCAGCTTCCATCCCGGCTGTCTTCTGCACTGCCTACTACTCTCTCATTGATCTTGGACGACTAACCCAGGATGAGAGCGTCCTGATTCATGCTGCCGCAGGAGGAGTCGGCCAAGCTGCCATTATTATCGCGCAAAGCGTTGGAGCGAAGATCTTTGCCACCGTTGGTAGTCTTGAAAAGAAGAACTTCCTTATGGAAACTTATAAGCTCAAGGAGGAGCAGATCTTCTTCAGTCGCGACATCTCATTTGCGCAAGGCATCCAGGCTGCCACTGATGGACAGGGTGTTGATGTTGCCCTCAACTCCCTTAGCGGTGATGCTCTACAGGCTACATTCGAGTGCGTTGCACCATTTGGTCGTTTCATTGAGCTCGGCAAACGAGACATTACAACAAACTCTCGTTTGGAAATGGCCCACTTCAACAAGAACCTGTCATTTGCCTCGGTCGATCTGGGAATGGTAAGAGAAAAGCGCCCACAGTTGACCAAACGACTGTTGCGCGATGCTTTCAAGCTGTTCATCGATAGCGACGCTCAGTCAAGGTGGCCTGTAACCATTCTTCCCATCTCAGAGGTGGAGACTGGCTTCCGCGCACTGCAGGGTGGTCAGGTTATCGGCAAAATGGTTGTGCAGGTCACGGATGATTCTATGGTCAAGGTATGTACATCAAGTCAAACAACACTCAACGTACATGGTCTCTGACTTATGTTTTAGGTTCATCCCGCCAGAAGGGACGAGAATCTCCTCCACGCAGATGCATCATACGTCATCGTTGGTGGAACTGGAGGTATCGGTCTTGATATCGCCACTTGGCTGCCAGAGAAGGGAGCCAAGAATCTTGTGCTGGTTTCTCGGAGTGGTGCCTCGACCGAGAAAGCAAAGCAAGCTATTGAGGAGCTCAAGTTCCAGGGCGTCAATGTGGAAGTTTGTCGTTGTGATGTTGCGGATAAACAGAGCGTCGAAGAAAACCTTGTTCCGCTCCTTTCTCGCATGCCTCCCGCGCGTGGTGTTGTATATGGTGCTATGGTTCTCAGAGTAGGTACTCCGACCTTGAACTCAATTCACAATCGTCACTAACCAATTCAAAGGACACGCTCTTCGAAAAGCTCACTTTCACAGACTATCAGACCGTGATGATGCCCAGAGTTCACGGTATCTGGAATGTCCAACGAGCATTGACGACAACTAACGGCTCCGTCGATTTCTTCGTAAATCTTTCGTCCGCTGCCAGTTTTGTTGGCAACATGGGTCAATCTCCATACGCAGCTAGCGGAACCTTCATGGCAGCTCTCGCGCAATACCCGGAGTCCGCAAAGATGCGCTTCTCGACCATCGATTTACCAGTCGTACGCGGAGTTGGATATCTCTCAGACGACTCGAAGCGCGCTGCGATCTCCAAGCAGCTCGGTACAGAGTCCGTGGATGCGACAGACATCCGTGGCTTGGTGACCGCAGCGATCCGGAATGAGTTCGACTCCGCCTGTGACGGACATTGCGTGGCTGGTTTCGAAGCCGTCAAGTCAACCCCTGCCTCTGAGCAACCATTCTGGGTCAACGATACTAAGCTGTCGCACCTGCTGCGTCTATCCACCCTCGCTGGCGCGGGTGAATCGGCTGACTCTGCGCAAAACAGTACGGAGATTTCCCCAGCGGTTGCGATCCGGCAATCGAAGGGTCGGGAAGGTGCCGAGGCTGTCATTGGAACGGCTCTTATTACTAAAATCTCCAGTATCCTCATGCGCCCGATTGAGGAGCTCGATCCTGCTTCTCCTATCTCTGCCTTCGGACTGGACTCTTTGGTTGCTATTGAGATTCGAAACTGGATCACCCGCGAGATGGAGGCCAACCTGCAAATTTTGGAAATTCTCACAAGTTCTTCCATTCCAGCTCTTTCCCAGATGATTCTCTCGAAGTCGGGTATTGTTACTCCAGACCTGAAGGTTGAGTGGGGTCTCGATGCTGGAGCGTCCAAGGAATGATCGTTTGCGATATTTTGTTTTTTATTCTCACCCACACTCTTTGATTGAAAGGATATCCTGTGTGATATTGATTTCTTGCCGCTTTGGCAATGTCTTGTACTCTACCAAGTTTTCTTATTGTCTATCTTATTTCTTTGGCACAAAGACAGAATTTACTATGTTTTGTATCACAATTTCAACTTCACTCTCTTGATTGAATAGCACATCATCGTAAGAAAACGGTGCCAATAGCTAAAGAGATAAAATCAACAGGCGTGAGAAAACACTTTCGCATTACATAAAAGTTATCTGCGCCTACCCCATACTCTTCTCATTTTCGGGAGTTTCAAGATTGTGCTTTCTAAAACCGAAACAATCTTTCCCTGCCAAGAATAATTAGTTCACTAAGCTAGAAGTATTTCCCTGAGATGGATCTCTTACCGCTCAATTTAATCAATAGCATATTAGAAGAAGTCCGTTGGGTTGGTCCGTCGAGTACAATCGAAAGGCTCATCAATGAACCAAGTGTTGTGCTGCTGATCATAGACAATGGGGTAGGTAGTATCCTGATCACAAAGCTTGTCGATCTGGGCCTTGTCGCCAGTACTGATAGTGAACCAGTACTTGTTGGTATCGGCACTGAGCTTCTCGCACTTGTAGAAGAAACCCGTAACACCGGAACCAAGAACATCACTGCGGAAATCCACGGCTAGCTTCTTGTTGAGGTTGATATTGTCGCAGTCTTCTTTTAGGCCCTCTGCAGATGGAGTATTCGCTGATTTGTTCGTGAATCCCTTTGCTGTGTGGGTGCCGTTGGCTGACCATGTTGATGCTGGTAGGGCTAGCTGCTCGGCAATAGAACTCAATAACAGGCTGTTGGTGATGGTTGTAGCAGAGCAGCCGATGCTGGCGCTCATAATGCCCAAAGTTGTGAGTAGCATTGAGATCTTGAGCTGAACCATGTTGGATTGGTTGTAGAGAAATCCGGGGGTTTGTTGATTTTTTTTTCTGGGGAATTTCTGGGGGAATTCTGGGGTTTATATGGGGTTTACTTACTAGGTTCAATTATGTTTACAGTGGATATCTATTTGTCCTCTTCCGAGGGAAATAGTCCTAAGTGTATAGAAATCAACGAGGTAACGGTGATGTGATCCCCACATTCTAGATCTGGTGGTCATAGCCGCGCCTATGACGCCTGTTTGGGTATTGGACCCTGAGATCGTCCACTTGAAGAAAAATGATTGGCTGGAATATCTAATGCGCATGCACTTGCTTACTTGCTCGTTGATAAATAAAAGTGCTAACATCCTTTGCTTCACAGATATTGCTTCCACTGTTCCTCACACCACTGCCATAATTTCGCACTATACCCCAAACCACCTTCCTCGAGCGGAAGCATTGCTTTGAGAATATCCTTTCGCGGACAATCCTTATCTTCTCGGATTCTTCCCCATGGAATGATATACGCGCCATTGTTTTCCAGTGAGATATCCGATGAAAGACCGGCATACAGCCCGGTATAGGCACCGAATCGTGCCTCATGGAGAAGTGGACTTATGAGAAACATAGTTATAGCCGGAGTACCCGCATACGATCCAGCCTTAAGGTTTCCAGGATTTTGAACCACACTGACAATTCCATCTCCGCCGTATCGCTGCGCCCATTCCCGACACAGCATCCACGTTCCTGCTTTCGACACGGCATAGTTGCGAATGCGATCTTTCGTACCCTCTGCCAAGGACTTGAAGTCGACTCCGTTTGGCGGCGAACCCCCTTCAGCCAGGAAACTAGATGTCCAAACTACCCTCGTGGACCCTGGTGTTTCCAATCCAGCTGTAGCCTGGAGTTGAGCCAACAGTAGCTTGGTGAAAAGCAATGTTGCAATGCAATGCATGCCAACCATAGCCTCGAAGCCTTGTGCTGTCTTAGATCCCGGATCAACCATGTTCGCCCCAGTTCCTGCATTGTTCCACAGAACGTGTAGTCTGGATTCCTGTTGTCCAAATGTGGCGGCTGCTCGCTTGACTGACTCGAGATCGTTCAGGTCAAGTTCAAGGAACTTGAGCTGACCGGGCGTCTTTGGGGCCGGACGGGCTTCCACTATAGTCTTGATCGCTGCTATCGCTCGTCCCTAAGTTGAGATCAGTGGTGAAACTTGCATACTATCCGCTTGGCTGGAGATACCTTGGACCTAGAGGTCATGTAAATTGTCGCACCCGTGCCATATAGGATTTTGCATAGTTCGAATCCAATACCAGAATTGCCGCCTGTAATGATGAAGATGCGACCTTGTTGAGTTGGGATCTCCTTTTCGGTAAAAAAAGGTTTTGGTGGAAATAATTGAGAGTACGCATTGCGAATTGATAAGAAAGACATGATCAAAAAAGATGTCGGTGCGAAGTAGAATAGAGGTGTGAGAGGGAATGGAAGCTCACATTACTAGGGTGAATAAACCGATCTTTATGACATTCTTTCGATTAGTCCATTGATTAAGATGTAAGTAAATAGATACTCCGTAAGCAATTGTAAGCAATTGTAAGCACTCCTTTGTTGCTGGAACCTTGTCGTTTCTATTGTTGAATCTCGTTCTTCGTTCCTCGTTCCTCGTTTAGGGCTCCAACGAGAGCGGAGGTTGATTGGCTCAATCTCGATACTTCCAATGAAGATAATGACCTAACTTCCAAGCGAGCTCAGATGAAAATCTGATATATGAACTCCCTTCAGATAAATTTTTGATGGTGAACAAAAGTGGAAATTTCCAAGAACCTCGTCAGATGCAAACTCCTATCTTGTTCTTGAAATCAGGCATTTCGTACCCATTCTAACTATAACATTTCGTTATAAATGGAATGTAAATTATAACGACCTAGTAGCAACTATACTCACCTTAGCCAAAGAGTCTGGACAGTCTAACCCTCACTCGGAGAGTTTCAAGTTTCACACTACGCGACCGTGACCAACAATATCTCATCCGCAAAAGCAAGTCCCTTAGTCGAATTGTTTGTCAAAGTGCAGACTTCGCTCCAATTAGAAACTAGTCCGGAAATAGGTAGCATTAAATAGTTGGCGGCGCTATCATTGATCCCAACCAAATCAATTTACAGATTAATGGATATCAACTTGCTTTGATCTTTTCATGTTCTTGCCTTATTTCTGTGATGTTACATGGAGCAACCTTATTTACTATATTTAATATCTTCAAGCCATTTTGCAGAATGACGAATACTTTCTTCGATCTGCCTCTTAGTTCGGGTACTCGTTTCGGTTTAGATCATATCGGTGTGGATGGTGCTCACTTATTATTGCCTAAGGAGGGATAGCTATAGTAAAAATGCTATCTATCAAAGGTTAGAGAAGGAAAAGATCCATAGCGGCTGGCTTGTCGCGCAATTAAGCACATTGATTCAAGGCCACGTCACTAGTAAAACCATTCATTGGTAGTGGCCGATTTACGCCACCGCCCCTAACCATGGAAGGTTTCCAATCTACAGTTTTTAGGTAATAATGGGCAGATACCCGCCATTATCCAGATGCGGCCCTAGGTTTGTTCGAGGCAAGACTTTCCGCAACCAAGATAAAGTGTCTCACAACGGGGCGCAAGATGGGGTCAATGAGGTCAATGACACCTACTCCAATTATTGAGCGGTCGGTTCAACTAAGTTCCATTGGCTGAGTGTGGAACCACCTTCTGAGTAAGGACTGTAAGCCCCCACCCCCAGATAATAAGTGGAGGCTTTCCCGGGCAAAATGAGGGATTTGAGGATTTGAGAGGCAAAGCCACTGACAATGTAGTTTTTGAGTTTCCCCGCATTCAGAAGAGAAAAGTGGGCAGATTTGCGACCAAATTGTGGATTCTGTGGGGAAAATGTAACCTATCTCTTGTGGACACTAAGTCTGGAATAGTATCATTGAAACTACTTCCATTGACTAGTTCAAGAGATAAATACTTCATAGATCAAGATAAAAAAGAGATTGACTAAAGAAAAATGAGACCAATTACATGCCAAAAGATAACAGTCAAGCCTTATCTCTGCACGGGTGGCGTGTCGGAACCGCGCACCCGATCTCGAGATCCCTCCCCCTGAACGCCCCTGAAGCCTGAAACCTTGGCTGATGGACAAAAAACACCGCAGCGGTCTGGGCAGACCGGGCAATCCGAACTTAACCGGGTAGTTGTTTTATGGTTTAAAAACTCGCATGCCCGCCCCAATTCTCGTTATGTACTGTGCAATTATTTCATTATGTCCGAGAAGAAGCAAGAGAAGTCATTAAGTCCTGCTCTTTCACATGATGGGCAGGTCATTGAAGGCCAACATGATGCCGTTTTTGGCGAAATCACCGAGCAAGGTCCGAATTATCGCGATGTATGTTTGTTCCCTATTCTTGGAACGTCATCCATACCGTCTGCTAACCACCCCATTATAGGTAGGATGGCTGGGAACATCTGTTTTGATGATGAAAACCCAAATCGGTCTCGGCGTCCTTTCCATTCCCGTCGCTTTCGATTCCTTAGGCATAGTCCCCGGTGTAATATGCCTCATTGCTATTGCTGCCATTACGACATGGTCCGACTACATAATCGGTGTTTTCAAACTTCGACACCGCGAGGTTTACGGGATCGATGATGTGGGTGAGCTGTTACTCGGCCCCACGGGAAGAATCCTACTTGGAGGTGCATTCGTTCTCTGTGAGTTGGATCCCTAAGAACAATCCAAGATGAAGTCACCAAAGAGCCACTTGCTGACCCCATAATAGGGTGGGTCTTCGTCGCCGGCTCGGGAATGCTAGGTATCTCTATCGGTCTTAATGCTGTCTCCGACCACGCCGTCTGCACAGCTGTCTATGTTGCCATTGCTGCTATTGTAGCATGCATACTTGGTAGCATCCAGACATTAGGCCGTATTTCTTGGCTCGCCTGGGTCGGTCTCTTCTCTATCTTGACCTCAAGTGAGTGTGTTCCTCTTGTGTGTCTATGCTTAATCTAACCAACCTAGTCATGATCGTCACTATCGCTGTCGGTATCCAAGATCGTCCATCAGCCGCACCGACCGACGCTGTCTGGGTACCCGACTACAAAATTGTGAACAGCCCAGACTTTACCGATGCTATGACCGCCCTATGTACCATTGTGTTCGCCTACGCCGGTACCCCGGCATTTTTCTCTATTGCGGCAGAGATGCGGGAGCCCCGTCACTTCAACCGATCGCTGTTCCTCTGCCAAGGAGTCGTGACAGTGTTCTATCTTGCAATCGGCATTGTCATCTACTACTTCTGTGGATCATACGTCTCATCCCCTGCTCTTGGCTCTGCTGGTCCAGTCGTCAAGAAAGTGAGCTACGGGTTTGCTCTGCCAGGTCTGTTGGTTAGCACATTGCTTTTTATTCACGTAAGAGTTTCCTCCCATGCCGAAAGTAGTCTGCCAGTACTGACACTTATCTAGATCACTGGAAAATACGTCTTTGTCCGCATCCTACAAGGTTCCCGGCATTTGGCAGCCAACACCATGACCCACTGGGTGGTATGGCTTAGCTGCACTATCGGAACTGCTTTGGTCGCCTATATCATTGCTAGCGCCATTCCCGTGTTCAGTGATCTCGTCTCTCTCGTGGGCGCATTACTTGGCACTCCTATGTGCTTCCAGCCCATGGGTGGTATGTGGCTGTACGACAATTGGAATCGCAAAGAAGGCCGCAAGTCCCCCAGGTGGCTTTTCATGGTCGGCTGGTGCTTCTTCATCATTGTAGCTGGAACTTTCTTGATGATTGCAGGTACTTATGGATCTGTTGTTAGCATTATCAATAGCTATGCGAAGTCTGGAGGCTCAGCTGCCTGGTCTTGCGCCGACAATTCCGCTTAACCAGTGGTTTTTGAATGGAACTTTTTTTTCTTCAAACATTAAAGTATGACCGAACTGAGCATTTGAGGTTGCAAATATATCACTGTACAATATAGGGTCTAGGACATTGCCAACCAATTAGAATATAGCGCTGCATCTGACCAGATCGGGATCTGCTGCCGTTGTACCCCACTTCTTCTGTTATATATTCACTATTTTCCTTATACTGGCCGCTTTTCACCGATACTTCGATAATCAAAGCCTGTTGCCTGAATTGGGTAAGATCATGGCACTAATAGGACAATTTGTGGCCTTAGGGCTCACTTTAGCCCTGATTGCGATTCTGCGCACGACCTTTGCAGGAAGGAAAAGGGCCAACCTTCCTCCAGGACCGAAAGGCAAATTTCTTATTGGCAATTTGCTCGACCTTCCCCCGCCAGGGACACAAGAATGGCAACATTGGTTGAAGCACAAAGACCTCTATGGTGCCGTGTCTCACCTTGATTTATTTTAGCCATTTGACTGGATCTAACTGGCACGCAGGTCCTCTCAGCTCTATCAGAGTCCTAGGCAAAACGATCATCATAATTAATGATAGAGGTTTGGCGTTTCACATCCTGGAAAAAAACTCCGCGAAACATTCTTCTCGACCGCGCCTTGTTTTTGCAGATGAATTGTATGTCTACATGAGTTTCATTGCCTCTTGGGGAATTCATCTCTCTCTCCCCATTCTCATTTCCATCATCCCAATATCAAAAAATCTATCTAGAATCTAGAACCAATCTGACAACCCAAGGGCTGGATGGGGTAAACTAGCCTCAAGCCAAGACAACACACCGCTCCTTCGAGCCTACCGTCGCGCAATCACCAGAGTCATCGGAACACGAGAATCCGCATCAAAATTCAATAGTCTCCTTGAACTAGAAGCAAGGAGATTTGCAGCTCGCGTGCTGCACACGCCCGAGAAATTTATCGATCACAACCGGACGTACGTCCCTATAGGATTGCCGTTACAGAAGCAAATTGCTAATAGCTCGATAATTACAGGGCTGCTGGTGCTTTTATTCTGAATATCACATACGGCTATAATATCGAGCCGCATGGCGACGACCCGCTGGTCCGTCTAGCTGATCATGCATTGAAGCAATTCTCGGATGCTGTTGTCCCGGGGACATGGCTTGTTGATTTGATCCCGGCGTGTGAGTCTTCTACTCAGTCCAAAGGACGTCTTCGCTGGGTCTAGCTAAACGAAAATTAGTGAAACATGTCCCGGCTTGGATGCCTGGAGCTAGGTTTCAAAGAGTCGCCCGGGATCACTTTCAAACGCTTACACGACTCGTAGAGAGCCCGTTTGCGTTCGCAAAAGCTCAGATTAACAAAAATGAGGATCGACAGTGTTTTGTCTCTACGCTTCTCAGACAGGGGGAAGATGAAGAAATTGTGAAGTGGTCTGCATTGGCAATGTATGGTGGTGGAGCCGACACAGTATGTTTCTAAACTCTGACTGTGATAAGTATTGTGTCGTTTCTTATGTATTTCTTCACCAATAGACTGTTGCGATCCTCGAAGGGTTCTTTCTGGCGATGCTACTGTTCCCAGATGTTCAGCGCAAGGCCCAAGCAGAGATGGACAATGTATTCGGCATGCCTACTTTGCCAACAGCAGCCGACCGCGAGAAGCTACCCTATGTGAATGCAGTCGTGAAGGAAGCCATTAGATGGCACAGTGTCGCGCCCCTAGGTATCCCTCACAGAACGGATGAAGACGATATTATAAATGGTTTCTTGATTCCAAAGAATGCCATTATCATACCCAATATCTGGTGAGGTTGTTCAACGACATTTGCCCTGCGTTGTCTCTAACATGATATCTAGGGGATTCAACAATGATCCCGCGGTCTACCCCAGCCCGCGAGAGTTCCAACCTGAGCGTTTTCTCTCATCACATCCTCCTGTTGATCCGGGAGATGCGGTATTTGGATTTGGTCGTCGAGTATGCCCCGGGCGCTTAGTTGCTGAGACTTCTATTTTCCTAATGATTGCTCACACGCTCGCCATATTTGATGTCAACAAGATTGTTGGTAAGAATGGTAAGGAGATCGAGCCGATTATTGATTTTTCACCTGGGATATTGAGCCATCTTGCTCCGTACAAAGCAGCGTTTGTTCCGAGGAGTACGGAGCACGAACAACTTATTCGTGAGTTCGAGAAAAGCAATCCCTTCGAAAAGGGGGATTCCGAGACCTTGGAGAAAGCGCTGCACCAGGCTGAATGGAATAATATTTGAAACTTCATTGTGTGTAGTTAGTCGCTTTCTTGATGTTTAAGGGTCTGTATAGCCGAGAAATTCTTATTGCTGTATTCGTCTGTATTGCGGAGAAACCACCCCGGCAATTCATCTGTATGCCGGGTCTAAGTATGTGTCTCCATAATGTGAAATATGATAGACTCGCACCAAGCTTTACTTGGACGCCGATGCGAAGTCGGACTCTGGCTTTGGAAGGAGACGATAGTGGTGGCACGACACTATACCCCTTTTGGACGCCGCAGAGCCGAGCAATCATGTTATAGCCAATCACAATACATCATAAAATGGAGGTTGACCAATCAACTTCCAGGATTTATGTGAGCATAGAAAACGAACCTTGGACCCCATGGCCATCGAAAGCTCTGAAATGAGCGTAGGTCAATGCGAGGATCAGAAATTATTTAACCAGCATGGCGTCCTTGATTACAATGGAGCGACAGTAAACGACGGTAAATTGCAATTCTCAGTGCTGAACCGCTTCTTCTGATACTTCCAAAATGAACCCAGTAAACATTGAGCCATACAAGCTTCCGGCTGATGCCACTTGGCTAGGTAAGCTTTAGAGCACAATATCCACACCACAGTCTTTACTAACCCAAATACCAGTCACTGGCTGTTCATCCGGAATTGGTCGCGAAATTGCCACTTTGATTGCAAGCAAGCCCAATCAACGCATCATTGCCACTGCTCGAAACCAGGCCGATCTCTCTTACCTTCCTGACAATAATCCTGAAGTCCTCAAGCTCACTTTGGACGTGACGTCTGTTGTTTCCGTGGATGCGGCCTTCGCTGCAGCTGCGGAGCACTTTGGCGAAGATTTCCATCTCGATGTCGTAGTCAACAACGCAGGGTACTCGCTCTCGGGTGATACCGAAGGTGCAACGGAAGAAGAGATGCACCAGGTGATGGAAACTCTATTTTTCGGTACTGTTCGCATGACGACGCGCAGCATTTCCGTGATGCGGCAGGCTAAAGATCGCCAAGGCGGTTTGATTTTCCAAATCTCGTCGCTTGCAGGATTATGTGCGTTCCCTGGTCATGCTTTCTACCATGCTGGGAAGTTTGCCGTGGAGGGATTTTCGGAATCTGTGGCTCGTGAAATGCACCCCGATTGGAAAAGTGAGTGAATGGTGTTTGGTTATATGAATGTATTGTAAGCAGTTATCACTAACTATTCACAGTCAACTTCTGTATTGTTGAACCAAGTGGCGTGAAAACGAGCTTTGAAGGCCACAGCAAAGCCAACATTCAACCTCATCCCGCTTATGCGGGAGATGATATGCCGGCAAGAAAGCTTGAAAAGTATGTGAGCGCTGGCATGAAGCTCGGCGTTGGAATGGAGCCTTCCGCAATTGCCGAGGCCCTATTCGCAATCGCTAGCCGCGAAGAGTGCGTTCCGCTGCGGCTTCCTTTGGGTGCTGTTTCTTGGAAAATGTCTAAGTCCAAGTTTGAGAGTTTGCTGGGAGACTTTGACGCTGTGAAGGACATCAGTGCAATGGGTCAGCAAATCTAGACTTCGAGCATCATGGTGTTGTTTACAATGTAGAATCTTTCAGCCCTCAAGATTTGAACACATCAGCAGTGTGACCTTTCAATAACGAGAATTCAAGTGAATTGGCTCTCCTGGGCTACGTACATCCGCTGTACTTGTATGTCCCGAATTTTTGCGTATCGCGAGCCGGATGAATTAACAACGAGTCCGCTGTATCAATATCAGCTACACGAGGAGTCCTTGTTTGGGTTGAAAGCTGGCATATTACAACAACATCTTGGAATCATAGTCCAACTTTCCTTTGTGGCCAATTTGATGCCAGATTCCACTCTTCGTTGTCCCCCTTCAACTCTTGCAATAGTTCAGCAACTAATCTCTGTCCACATTCCTCCGCCCACCAGAAAAGGCCACTCAACTCATGTAGCAGGACCCCCCAGTGCATGAGGACCAAAAGAGAAAATGGTTGGCGTGAGCTTAATCCATTAACAAACCCCCTCCTTCCATAAGCTGGCCAAGCTAAGATGGGGGCTGGATGGGGTGCATGCGCAAACCTAGCAAAGCAGTCTTGCAGCAACTCAATGGCCTCAAGATTTGTGGTATACTGGAACTCATCTGTAATGTAATTTGACCTGTTCATGTTTCTGAGCTTGTCAATCGCATGTGCCACGTCTTGTTCCAGCTTGGCCTTGTCCATGCGCCAGAAGTCATATTTGCAAAAGATACTGTCTTGTTTCCACGATTTGGTGAGGTGAGATACCTGATTAGCCCCCTGAACGAGCTCAACGACCGTTATCATCGTCTCAATCATGCTGGAACTTTCACCGCGGTACTTAGAATTCAGCCCTGGTAGCGATATTCCAATTACTGTGATGATTGCGGATTGTGCAAAGACAGCATCGCAGTTAGCAGGACCCAGCGCGCTCAAAGCCTCACGAAATGGAGCAAGAGCAGTTTCGTTACACTGCAAGGCTGTGTCCAAATATGAAAGAGCCTGTTTTGGGTCCGGTGTCGTCGCAGTAAGATGTAAAGCTGCGAGGGCGAAAATGCCATGCAAGAGAAATTCGTGGGTATATGCAAGTCTAGGGATGTGAAGCTGCCAATGCTCCATATCGGTTTGATCACCACAGAGGCTTTTGTACGTGTCGGTTGCGAATTTGTGCATTAATTGTATATGCCGAAGCTCATATTGAGTGGAGACAGGCGTGTTCCACTCCCGCTCCCGTTGTTTTGGCCCCACTGACTCTGAGAGAGGGTGAAAATGAGTTTGCCTGGGAACTCCAGCCTTCGTGTAGGAACATGATAGTTCACGATGGGCACATATAGTGCAAAGAGGCTTAACTTCATCACACTACAAATTGAGGTTAGCGTCTGCTCGGCCTGAGAGTTGAGAGACGTACTTTGACGCGTCGCTCCTTGCATTGATCACATCCACCCTTGGATTTTTTGTGAAATTTACGTGGCATTATGGTGGTCTGATTACTGCCATCTAGTATCTGCAATGTATACACTCCAGCATATGAAGTATGAAAGTATGAAAGGGTGAGCTGATGAAAGGAGCCAAAACAGAAACGGGAAACGGGAAACGAGAAACGTCTCGCATTCCACGAGCCAATAAAAACAAGGCTCCAAACCCCACCACAGATAACCCATGGGATGCAACACACAAGATATGCTACAAGTCTTGTCTAGGGAGTCTCACACTCAAGTTTTGAGCTTGAAAGCAAGTATCGTCCTGACCTGTAGGTTGCACCCTTTGGTTGACCGGCTTTCCCGAGCGATTCTTCTGAATCTATCCTTCCTTGTAGGCCCATGGAACTCAATCGGCTTCGGATCTAGTGATGATGAGGGCATTGAGTCGAATAATCTTCGGTTTCGAATTTTCAGTGTCTTTGGCCGCGAGTTTTTATGCTTGAATTAATAATTGAATCAGTACCTTGGGTGTTATGTGGTGCCCGCAAATATACTGCGATCAGACATATATATTCCAAGGTTGGCGATCTCACCTAAACTTTATTAGACTCAAACGTGATCGGTGACATTGGTCTGTGGTACAGAGCGACCTAGTGTAGTATATTATACTGTAAATGATAGCTATGCCAGATTGACAGTCGTGGGTCGAGATTCCAAGATTGCACCTCGCTTATACATACCCAAACAATCTCTACACTAACTATTGAGATTGTCCGCCAAAATGATCGCCAATGACTCCATTAAGCCGATTGACATTGAAGCACTGTTTAACACGATTATCAGCTTCATAGGAAGGTTTGGGGTTCAACAACGTAGGGGCAATGGCGGCAGCCCGAGCAGCCGCGTCCGGGGCCATCTACAATATAGGTTCAAATAAAAGAAACGCATTAAAAAAAAACCCATAAACATTGACTCGTATTTGATGTTGACATTTATTCCTACTTTACAGAAAACTTCATAATGGAGACTCATCTCTTGAGATGATCCTCAGTTGCTATCCAGCACAATGACTTCCGCCTCTACTTCTCCAACACTCTCCACCCGAAGCGCATCTCCAGCATTCACCATAGTAACAAAGGCTCCATCGCCCTCTTCAAGAACGGCATCCTCCCGACCATCGATCTTGACCTTGGACTTGCCCTGTTTGGTCATAGGCAGGTGGATGTAAACGTTTCGCTTCTTCTTGGACTCCACCGCATCTCCGGCACCAACGGTCCACTTGAATGTCGAGGCCGGTTCAATAATTCCAGCGCCCATGACAAAATCAGCATGAATGGGAATAGTGCCGGGAAGTTTGGGCACGGCAGCGTCTTCCTGTGCCGGAGTAGCTTCGGGTCCCGCCGCAAGCGGGGATAAGATAGGAACAAATGCTTTGCGCTTGGCTTCTTCGCTAAAGGACATAGTGTGATACTGTGGCTTGAGGCCGTGCTTCCAGGGAAGTGCCCAGATTTGAAGGAAGTGCACCGACTTGTTGGATTCATTCTGTTCCGAGTGTGCGATTCCTGTCTCACGTCAGCTTCAATTGAATCTCGGGTAAATTGGACGTTCAGGAGACTTACCCGTTCCGCCTGTGGTGAATTGTACATCTCCTCGCTTCATTCGGTAAAATTGTTTTCCTTGTTCTCCTTCGGAGCCCTTCTTGATCATGCTATCGCGGTGCGTGAGCTCGCCATTGAGGATGTAACTAAAGATTTCTGCATCACGATGGGGATGGGTGGGAAATCCGTTGCGCGCTGCAACACGGTCCTCATTAAGAACGCGCAAACTTCCAAAATTCTGGAATTTGTGATCGTAGTAGCTGGCGAAACTGAACGTATGGAACGATTTAAGCCAACCGCCATGTTCAGCGTATCCGCGTTCACTGGATTTGCGGAGCGCAATCTTGGCGTGGGCAAGTGGGTTCGACATTGCTTTAAATTGGTCAAATATCACAATTGAGGTGTGTTGTAATGATTGTCTTTTTTGGATGTAAAAATAACTGAAAGATGGGCCGAAGGGTCTTATATAGGGTAAGATAAAGTCGCCTAGAGAGCTCCAGAACCTTGGAAATGGAGTCTCATCGCGATTATGGAAGCATTATCCATCATCAATAAGAGTGGCGCTAGTCCAAAAGCGGTATAGTCACCAAGATGATGCATTGCTGACATTTGGCTAGATAAGACTGATTCATCATTCTTGCCAGAATATTGAGGCAGAAATACAAAAAATTTCTTCGACGTAGATCTTGTATGGGTTGCACATACTAAAGGTACCTTATGCAAAACAGCACTCAACCGGGATATAAGCCGTGGAGATGCCTAGAAGAGACTTGAACGTAACAGATAGATTTACGACAGTTTCTTTTTATCTAAATTATTCAGATAACATATCTAACTACGGATATTTACATAACTATGTCAGGGTTAAATTCAAAAGTAAAGCTCCCTTTTTGAATTTTGCGTGGGGAAATTATTCGTCAAGGTTACATATGTATGTAGTCACATTCATGATCATGATTTTCTTATGTAGGCCAGCGAGCTAAGCACATAGGTTTGGCCAATAGCATTACTAAATCCTTGCCTGTGCTCCAGGTGGACTTCGGTATCTTTTTACTTCCATTTCGGTTCTCTACATTCCCTGCACTATGAGTCTGGCTACAAACACCAAGTTTCGATAATCTACTGTTTTCAGCGACTGATAAATCAACAACCTCTTTAGTTTAGTCAATATATCCATATGCAATGATTCATTGATATCAAACCGTTGCCCATACTCCCAGTAGATAATGCGCTAATGTACTGGCTGGTATAGTCTTTCACGGCAAAAGGGTAATGTAAAGCGCTATATAGTGGTTCTGGGGCCGATTTTTGGTTGGAGAATCGATGTAGTTCAAACATTGGCGTGCCGAGGTTGTTGACATCGGGCAGCCCTACCGTAGAGGGCTAGATATTATGACGACAACTTGAAAAGGTCAGTGAACGTTGGTTTATCCAACAACCAAACATTATGAAAGCCATCAATAGTAAGATCCTTCCACCGTAGTCGGTGAATTTTCATCACAAGCCACATTCTCGCGCGGCTCACGGAAAGAATTAACTAGACAAACAATTGGGACAAAAGCGCAAAGCGCATTTATACCATGCAGTGCGAAGGATCTGTGTTATGAAGAGATTACAAATATGAAGAGATGACCTCCAACCAAACAAGTTTGATACGAGAATTGGATTCAACAAGAAAGAAATATTATTCAAGATGATATCATATACTAACACAGGCTCCAAGACGGGAAATCGCTTTTATGTTCTAGACAAGGGCCGAGACCAATAACAACAAGGAAACATTTACTCTACAGCATCAGTGATGCAGCCTTGGCTAGCATCTCGGACGGTACGGGCGTATTTGCCCAGGGTACCCCGCATGGTCAGACCAGTCTCGGGCAACTCACCGGCGGCCTTGCGGGCCTCCCACTTCTCTCGGCGGTCGGCGATCTCGGACTCCGAAATCTCGACATCAAGAATGCGCTTATTGGCATCAATGGTGATGGTGTCACCGTCGTTCACGAGACCAATGGGACCACCGACGGCGGCTTCGGGAACGATGTGACCAATCAGGAAACCGTGGGAACCACCGGAGAAACGGCCATCAGTGATCAGAGCACAGGAGTTACCGAGACCGGCACCCATGAGAGCAGCGGAAGGCTTGAGCATTTCTATGGAATTGTTAGCAATTTGATCGAGAAGCATGTAGATTGGAAAGCACATACCAGGCATGCCGGGGCCACCCTTGGGGCCACAGTAGCGGATGACAACAACGGTCTTTTCATCCTTCTTGATTTCCTCGCGCTCCAGCGCGGCGATGAAGAGATCCTCGCTGTCGAAAACGCGAGCCTTACCGGTGAAGGTCATACCCTCCTTACCGGTGATCTTACCAACACTGCCGCCAGGGGCGAGGGAACCACGGAGGATTTGAATATGACCAGTCTCCTTGATGGGGTTGGAGAAGGGACGGATGATCTTCTGGTCCGAGGGGAAGTCCTTGACCTTCTCCAAGTTCTGGGCCATGGTCTCACCAGTAACGGTCATACCAGAGCCGTCAATGAGGCCCTCCTTGAGGAGCAGCTTCAGGAGAGCGGGGGTACCACCGATGGCGTGCATATCAGCCATAACATATTTGCCGGAGGGCTTGAGATCAGCCAGGAAGGGAATGCGGTCAGACACGGACTGGAAGTCATCGATGGTGAGCTTGATGCCGACCGAGTCGGCAATGGCAATCAAGTGCAGCACAGCGTTGGTGGATCCACCGGTAATGTTGACAACAACCATGGCGTTCTCGAAGGCCTGGCGAGTCAAGATATCCTTGGGGCGGATGTCCTCAGCGAGCAGTCTCTTAATGGCACCACCGGCGGCCAAACACTCGACGTACTTGGCCTGGGAGTTGGCGGGGTTGGAGGATGAACCGGGAAGGGTCATGCCCATGGTCTCAATGGCAGTGGCCATGGTGTTGGCGGTGTACATACCACCGCAGGCACCCTCACCGGGACAGGCGTGACGAATCACGTCGAAGCGCTGGGGCTCGGTGATCTCCTTGGTAAGGAACTGACCATAGGCCTGGAAAGCGGAAACAATATCGATGTCGGCGTTGTTTTGGGTAACAGCGCAGCCGGGCTTGATGGTACCACCGTAAACCATCAAACTGGGGCGGTTGATACGTCCCATGGCCATCAAGACACCGGGCATGTTCTTATCACAACCGGGAATACTGATGTTGGCATCGTACCACTGTCCACCCATGACGGTCTCAACGGAGTCGGCAATCAAGTCGCGACTCTGAAGAGAGTAACGCATACCGGAGGTACCCATACTGATGGCATCACTGACACCAACAGTGTTGAACTGGAAACCAATCAAGTCCTGGTCCTGTACACCCTGACGGACCTTGTTGTTCAGGTCGAGCAGATGCATGTTGCAAGGGTTACCGTTGAACCACACGGACGAAATTCCAACCTGAGCCTTGTTCATGTCCGCCTCGTTGAGACCGACGGCGTACAGCATAGCCTGGGAGGCGCCCTGGGCCTTGGGCTGTGTGATGTTGCGCGAAACCTTGTTGAGAGCCTTGTCATCGTTCTGGAATCGAGGGAGCGTGGTTGAAAGGGTGCGACTAGATAAAAAAAGAAGTCAGTAAATGGGGATTGACGCAATGGATCAATCGACTCACACAGTCGCGGTGGACCTGGTCAAGCTCCGGAGAGCGGCGGGCACGCGGGCCCTGGTCTGAGGAAGCATGGTGGCAGTTATGAGGATATGATCCAAGAACAACCTCACTACACCAGATATATGATCAATTGAGTGGAAAGTCTGGAGAAAGGAGGGGGAACAAGAAATAAAAGCCGGGAGCTCAGGAAAGTCGGAGTTTGAAGACTACTCCCCGGGCCCCACCGCCCCCGGCCACCAATTGCGCGCGGTTTGTTGTCAGCGCATAAAATATTGATGCGTGTACAATGTACAACTTGGCGTGAATACCGATTTATGTGCATTTACCGCTACGAAGTATGTGTTTTTCTTTGTTACTATTCATATTGATAAGTTATAAATCGCAAGTTGCTTGAATATCTGTATCGATCCACGGTAGTCCTCGAGATGCCTTCGTCTATGACTCATTCACACAAGGCGACTATCAAGTCATTGCTGATATGAAATATCAATGCGTTGAATTGAATAAAATCAGTGTTATATGGGCTGAAACCTGGTTAATGCGTCTTAGTAAATTCGGTGGCTGGAAAGATCATTGCAGTGCCACAGGGTTGTTCCTGTCTCTACTTGTGTTTCTTCATCTATGTGCCAATGAACAGTATTTGGATGATTGTGAGCACAGGAACGGTTCATCGTCGTTGCCAAAGGCTTTGAATGGCGCATAGTTCATGTTGGGAAGGTGCATTGTCCGACTACAAATCCCCCTTTCCCTCGTATTTCGCTTCCTTTTTCCCTCATATACCTCACTATCCCAACACTTGTAGCCACCTCTAGGTGGTACGTAGATTATGACGAATTGGATTTCTTTTGATTGTTGATGATGTGGGTATAATTGTTTATTGTATATACATACATGTATGCATGGTACCATGGTTCTTAGTAGCTCCGAGGCAATGCAAGCACCTTTTCACTCACATAATTCAAGATCATCTCCCGACTGACAGGCGCAATGCGAGGAACAAAACACTCACGCATGTACCGTTCCACATCATACTCCATCGCATAACCCATACCGCCATGGGCCAGAACTGCCCGCTCGCACGCCGTGAAAGCCGCCTCGGCAGCCAAATACTTGGCACTGTTGCAAGCCACGCCGATCTCATGGAAGGGAACTGAATCGTCCTTTGTATCATAAAGACGTGCCGCATGGTAGGTAGCCAGCTTTGCCGCTTCCAATTTCATGTACGCATCGGCCAACGGATGAGCAACGCCTTGGTTTTGTCCTATTGGGCGCCCGAACACCACACGGTCCTTTGCGTACTGCGATGCCTTCTCGAGCGCGGCATAACCCAGACCGAGGGCCTCGCCAGCCAGAAGACAGCGCTCTGCGTTCATGCCGTGGAGAATGATCTTGAATCCTTGATTCTCTTCGCCGATCAGGGTGTTTGCTGGGATTTTGTAATTGTCAAAGAAGACCTCGTTGGCATCGACAGCACGTCCGCCCATTTTCTTGATCTTTCGCAAATCCAGACCAGGATTCTCGTGGTCAATATCAATACAGAACATGGAGAGACCCTCGCTGGTCTTCTTGACTTCTTCTAGGGGCGTGGTCCGTGCGAGAAGAATCATCTTAGATGCCACTTGCGCACAGGTAATCCAGATTTTTTGGCCTGTGACTGAATAGCCGTCGTCGGTTTTGCTGGCGAGTGTCGTGAGTTTCAGAGTCTCAAGTCCGGTATTTGGCTCAGTGACTCCAAAGCAGGTGCGCCATGTTCCGTTAATGATGTTCGGAATGGTAGTCTCCAGCTGCTCCTTGCTGCCAAACTTGGCTAATGGCTGGGTTGCGTACACGTTGGCATGGATCGATTGTGCGCCTGCCATACCAGCGCCAGATTGGGTAATCGTCTGCATCATCATTGTGGCCTCGGAGATTCCTGTGTAGGGATTAGCTTCGTGCATTTCAATTGTCTCTGTCCACATAAACATACCTAGGCCAGCACCTCCAAGCGACTCGGGTAAAGCAATACCAAGCCATCCATCTTTTGCTAACGCGGCGTGGAATTCCTTAGGATCCTTTTCTTGTTGATCGCGCTCCTGCCAATATGTATTCGGAAATTTTGAACAAATGTGCGAGATTGCTTCCCGCACCGTGAGCTGTTCTTCTGTAAATCCGGTCATTCCCATGATGTCGCGGCGCCCCGAGGTGGAGAATCCGGCGCGAGAAACCCTCGTCCGACATGGGCCATGCAAGGCCGAAAGCCTCTGTAACCGCAGAGCCTTATGGAATTGTGGTCGATACATGGTTGCAATGTCTATGTTTGTTGTTGAAGAATTTCGCTCGACTTGAATATATACCCAATCTGGGGTATTTGCATACAGCCGACTTCGCCGTCTTGGCATTTTCGATCTATCCCTCGGTTGAATGACGTCGGGTTTCTGATCTTACAACAAAGCTTCTTTTCTTTATACCTTTTACATAGGCTACTTCTTCTAGCTCATCTAGGAATATTCAGGAGAACTTCTAAAACTGTTGAGCCAGGGCTACATGTTGTCGGACCCGTTAATTGTCCTGTTGGAGCTTGAGAACTAGCCCGGCCATATTCCCAGCAAAACAGAAGGCTGAAAGCATCCTCGTTGACCCAACAAGGATGATCAGGCAAATATCTAGCCGCTAGACACAAACCCGATGGTGGTAGTTATAATCATATGCCAATAAAATCCCAACGAGATGAACAACAGTGGCTAGTACCACCAATACGTGGAAAATCTGATGAGAAGATCCAACAATATCGAATTTGCCTGGTTTAAAGGACTCTGGAATTCTCATCTTTGTTTAAACTATCAGCAATTCTCATCAACTCGCCGATCTTGTATCTTCCGTACTGACCGCATAAACCAGTGCTCCTAGTAGCAGTAGGAATCCCTCAGCGAGGTAATATGGCATTCCTGACTGTTTGGCCATTTGTGAAAAGCCGAATAATATTATTCCATGAAAAATAGGAACAAACCCCGAAAGGCCGGTCCCAACGAATGCGCAGGTGCGTAAAGTACGCCAACGTGGACCTTGGGACTTTGGGCTCACCAGAATTGCGATTGTCAAAAAGCCGAGAGCGAGGATCTACATGGAAAATGTTAAAGGGAGGAATTTGTGCGGGTGGTCAAGGTTCCAGGCCCCATTCATACGCACCGAAGCCCAATATGCTTGCTGTAAAGTCGGTTCGCAATAAAACGCCATATAAATCCCAGAAACAAAATCACCAAGAGTCAAAACGATGATTCCCACAAAATCAAATTGCAGCCAAATGCTTGAAAGCTTGCAAGAGTGATTTGACATGGTATGGTAGGTGGCCGACAGTCCGAGGCATATTACCGCTGACAGAAGAAAAGCCGCGAAAATGAGATGATCAAAAACTGTCATCCCGGGATATTTAGACTGGAGATATGTAGAGATGAAGCCTTCAGCGGCGAGAAACATAATTGCCGGAATTAGGTGAGAATGAATGTTGACAGTTTCATTATGCCAGGAGAGCCAGCTGGAGAAGCACTCATATGTAGAGTTGGATATCGGCCGGTATTTATGAAGGATAAACTCGTTGTCTTGATACCATTCCGGCATTTCATCGTATGAGAGAAGAGTGGAATGACTCACTGGTACCTGGATTTTCGGGGTCATTGCAGATACCTCCATAGTCTCGGTCGGCAGAAAAGAAGAACACTTTCGCTGACGCAGAACTGGGTTCATTGTGGAGTGTTTACCGACAAGAAAATATTTGAAGATATTCGTCGCCTCTTTCGGGCGATGAAAAGATTGAACCCAGGCGGCATATACCTCGAAGACTAGATTGTTTAGACCTGAGATCAGGACCTGGGATGCGCTCGCTTTAGCAACTTAATCGAGCCTCCTTGTCAGCCACTTGGATAGTTGGTGGGGCGCGATGGTTCGATCAGGGGCGTTTAATGTGATGAGTGCCATGTGTGGCCGAAGATCGTTCAATAGTATCTGCCACGCTAGGCTGTAATGGTGCATATCATCGAGTAAAACGACGATATGGCCAATTAAATATGGACTCCTTACTTTAAGTAATTTACATACATAGCTAGGCGTCAATATCTAACCAATAATGACAACCTAGTACAAAGACTATTAGTTACATGTCCAAGGAGCATAGTTGGAAAATCAAGATCATTTTCTTCGGGTCATCTACACCTGACTACCAGAGAATTCCCCTTTCCAAGGTCATCTATGAGCAGCTAACTTAGTGACAATTCTAGTCGAAAAATTTCATGCTAGATTTGAACAAAGTTGAGGTTACCTGGGATTCAACCAACTGGAGGTGTATCGACCACGTCTTGTTGAGAAACCCATCCTGTGAAGCTTGTTTCTAAACGAATCTAAGGCTGAAGAATGAGAAGTCTTACACATTGACCGAACTATTGGGCTGCGCTCTCGCTTCCTCCACTTGGACTCTGATCTCAATTTTTGGTCGAGTCAAACTTGCGAACTACCTGGAGAGTAGCATAATAACTAAATGGCAGAGCAATAAACCACAAACCCAGGTTGATACAAGCGGTTGCAATCAACGCAGTCGGAACAGCCTGTATCCCAAATCCAACAGCAACCCCAGCGGTCTCAATTCCTCTCAGCAAAGAGCTGTATCGTATTTGATCACCTGGTGAATCCGACAGATTTCCAATGCACCAATAGATATAATTCTCGACCAACCCGAGACTGATACGCTCGAATAAATATAAGCCAAACCCACGACCAAAGGCTCTTTGGTTTCCCCAGTCCAGCACAGGATTGGTATGCCGGTACTCGTTTTGGATGATGACAGCCCAGATCCAGGTAGCGCTATTCATTGCAGCAATCAGTGCGAAGGTGATGATAGCTCGATGCTTGCGATTTCTCAACCAAGGTAAGTCGACCATTGAGCCGCCTAACCAGGTTGCGAGTGTTCCGACGATTGCAGACATGAAGCTTCCAAGAGCGCGTGAGCGCACGGTGAAATAAGTAGCAAGATAAGTCCCGGGGTAAGCTTGAATCCACCCAAAATACCAAAATAGTGGAACTAGAAGCAAAATCGATTTGCTCCTTGCTAGTCGCCACATTATACGGAGTTCTTCTCGCCAATGGATACCCTTGGGTGCCTCGATGCGAGTGCCGTCATCTCTTTGCACCTTTTCCGGGTTTGACAAAAAAGGGCCGATGACCAATCCCAAACACTGGATAGCGATAAATGCAAGATAAGTTTGGTATCCGACCTGTCCACGGTGGTTGACACTATGGTTTATGCCGAGGGATACTCCTCCGCCGATCACATTGCCCAGATTTCTGAAGGTAAACCAGGTTGCAATATAACGACCGGTTTTGTGTCTCTCGGGGTAGCCGGTAGCGATAGCACCCTCAACAGACCAAAAGAAACCGGCAGTGATACCACAGCTCACAGACCCGAGGTACACAAGCCAAGTCGCGCCAGTGCGATTGTTCAAATACAAACCCGCTGCGTATAACGGATACCCAAGTGATCCCACAGTGAGGGTCCAGCGGAAGCCGATTGCGTTTGAGAGCCAAGGCCCTGCGAAACATGTCACAGTCATGAAAGCGTATAGTAAAGCGTTGGCTGCATTGACTAAATCTGGGCTCTGAGATCCGCCCACTCCAAGGCCGTTCATAGCACTCCAAATTCCAGGCGCACAGAAGGCACATAGTCCTACTACCAATATTTGGAAGAGGGTGCTGTAGAAAAACTTTGGTCGAGGTTGTGGGTGTTCATATTGACTTTCCACGATGGTCGAATCGTTGAGCTTACCGTCTTGGTTGTGTCCAGCGGGGATGGACATGGTGGATGAGAATGATCGAACTTCTTGTCAGACATGAAATATCCGCATAAGGAGACCCTAGTATTCTATTTTATATGATTATCAGACCCCTGCGGTATATGATAATTCAGTGCTGAGACAAGCACGTAAATCTATATGTGGATGGCACGATCCAAAGGGTTGCCGGTGGTTCATGATGAGGTATAACTTAGTTTAAAAGGTGTCTTATCCAACGAATAAGCAAGGAGTAACCCGATGATGACTTGCATCTTGGCATAGGTGAGGGGTCATGCAGTCAACTACAAATGCACCGATCTTGACTTCAACATTTCCAATAAAGAGATTCGGCAGATATTTTTTCGAGCCAAAAATGGGGACAATTACCGAAGAGCTACAGATAGGCCAGCTGCAGCTGGAGAACTCTTCTACTTCACTCATCGCCTTTGAATCCTTCGATCTCCCGGCATCTAATCAACGCATTCTCGGGCCACCACATCCAAAGAATACAGTGATTCCGCTCGCACTACGCCCCACAGAGTCTGGCGCCAAGACAACTCTTGACGACGTGGTAGAGACTATCAAAAGTCTCCAAGAAAAGGAAGGAATTTTGACCAAGAAGTTGGAAAGGCACGGCACGTTGCTATTCCGAGACCTGCCGATTCACAATGCCGAGGATTTCAGCAAGTTCGCGCATGCATTCGGGTACAAACCGCACGAGATCATTGGCATAGTAGTTGACAGACCACTTCTCGCTCCGAATGTCGCGCCAGCCAACGAGGCACCCAAAGAGGTACTAATATACAACCACAACGAGTCACCACAAGTGCCGCATGCGCCGGAGTATATCCTTTTCTACGGACATCGGGTTCCAGCTCAAGGCGGCGAGTCGCCGATCTCATCGTCATTGGAGCTGTTCAACAGGGCACAACAAGAGATCCCGGAGTTTATCGCCGAGCTAGCGGAGAAAGGAATCTTGAGCACAGTGACATATCGAGTGGAGAAACAGTATGAGGGCGGATCCACCTTGCGCCAGGCGTTCGGCAAGGAAATCGAAGATGGCGATGACGAGGATACTAAGCGTCGCAAGATAGAGGCTCAGATTGCTAGATATGGCAGAGGAAAGCATACGACGTGGGAATGGACCGATGATGGACTGGTATTGACACATCGATTGCCTGGAATCCGCACTCAGCCAGGAACCAATCTCCCAACGCTTTTCACTGGCCTAGCGGCTTACTGGAAACGTGCGCAATTGGATGTGGATGCACGTAAGAACGTTACGAAGCAACTGTTCGGGGATGGAACGCCTATTCCTGAGAGATATCTTGCGCATTTGGCGAAAATTACCGATGAGATTCGAGTCCTGCATCGCTGGGAGAGGGGCGATGTCTTGGTTTTCGATAATATTATTGCGCAACATGGCAGACAGCCGTGGCAGGGTGAACAGTCGGACAGGATAATCCAGGCAAGCTTGTTCGATGGCGAAGCAGTACCAGGAGCATATGGGTTTGGAGATTGGGCGCAAGTTATACAAGCCCTTGATTGAAGTTTGATTGCGTTAATTGTACATAAATGATGATATATGGCGATGGACCCGGAACAAACACTCCAGTCATCATTCGATGTATAAATATGTATCTTTTTTATTTATGACCCCCGCAGACGTTTGAATCACATCTGTTCCTTCACATCAGTCGTGAATCCGTGCTGCATCAAATACTCATTGAGCTCCTTGTCTTCTTTCTCCAAATCTAGATCCCGGCTTTCAGGCAACAAGTAGTAGACCATCATGCCGAGAATAGCGATGCCACCAGCCAAGTAAAAGGTGGAGCTGTTGCCAGCACGGTCCTGCAGAGGAGTGAAACACTGAGTGCCGACGGCAGCACCAGTTCTACCAAATGCTGTAGCAACACCATAGCCCATAGACCGCATGGCAGTTGGGAAAGATTCGGAAGATATAAGCCCAATGGTAGCACCGGGACCCATATGGCCAAATGCTTGCAGCAAACCATACAGAACAACGAATGCCGCAATGTTTTGAGAAAGCTTCGTGTACGTGCCACCAATAACGAACCCGAGAACCACATATCCAGCGAAGCCTAAAATTCCAGTCCAGCGACGTCCAATTGCATTAGTGAGCCAAGCTCCGATCACAACTCCGGGAACTGGCAGTACTGCCAAAATTACCTGCCAAATGGCCGTTGTCCGGACATTGTGGTCTGTGACCAAGGAGGAGATGATCGAACTGGACATGATGCTGTTGGGGAAATTGATAAAATCATACAGGAAGAAGGCCAGTGAAGTAGTCAATAGTCTCCACCAATAACGCCGCGCAAGAACGAGATAAAGTCGGAAAGACTTGCGCTCGCGTTTCAGATTGGAATAGTGGAAGAGAGACGAGTCCACCATAAACAGTCTTAAAACAATAATCGAAACTGGGAGAATAGTGGCAATGGAGTAAATTGCATGGAAAGCAACAACAAGATTATTGTCAGTGGCGATGAGTGTGATCAGGTAGATGATCATCAAAATTGGGCCGGCGAGTGTGGCCATCAAAGTTGTAAAGGACACAAACATGGGTCCTCTGTATTTTCGCAGGATCTAAAGAAATATGAGTATAGGTCAAAGGCACAGAGCGGTTAAACGCTTACCCCATCTGTTTCCTCCAGACCAGCAGACGCGCTTGGAGGGTACTCGCCGCCCACACCAAATCCAGCAATTCCACGAACAACAACAAAATACCACAGCATATTGCTGGAGGGATGTACCTGCAGAGCCAGTGCGGCCATCAATGTGCCGATGGCGACAAGAGAGGATGTGAACAGCAATCCAGCTCGCCGTGAAAACATGTCGGAGGTGTACCCGAGAACAACAACACCAAGAATGGCTCCCACAATGACGGAGTTGCTCATGCGAGTCTTCATTTCAGAGGAGTATCTATCAGCTCCAAGCACCTTATTGAAGATGACATTTGTAGGATTAGCGAGGGTGTTCTGAAAGCCATCACTGAAGTTCGCGATGTACTAGGCGGGAGTCAGCGAGTCGCAGTCAAGTCCGGCAATTTGATACTAACACAACTGATGATAGTGATGTTACTCTGCCATCTAGTTGGGCGGTATGGGTGTGTGGTCATTTCTTCAACATCTCGACCGACAACGACGGTATCGGCCTCTTTCGTGGTATCTTGTGGGGGGTTTCCCGGTGTCCCACTTTCAGCGGCCATGTTTTAATTTTCCCCTCTCTTCTTTATAAAGGCAATCAATGTTTTCGCGGTACCTGAGGGCTAAAGGGAACATGCCATTCTTTATAGCCGATGTCGACCCGATAGAAAATAAAAGCTTCGGTCAAGATCCGAATCTAGCCCGTCGATTTTGATTTTTTTCATCCGCGGAGATAAGCATTGTGGATTTGTGTCAAGCTTTGATAATATTGTGATCCACTTTACGACCGTGAAGTGCATTAGGGGACAACTAGGGGACACACTCGGTTGGGAGCAGTGCTGGTATTGGATACTGCCCTTAGACGATTCCTGCACCGTGCGCCGGGTGTTTTTCGTCTATCGCGGACATAGCTGCATGGGCGAATTTTGGTACGCTGCGTTATAAACACGTCCTATATCGGTTCGCATACAGAGCGAAATATCCTCCTTGTATTCCTCAAGAAAAAAATAAACCTGAGTTCTATGAATGAGGTTGTCTTACTAACCTAAATAAGGCTAGTAGTATATGGGTTCACACTTTGCTCTCTTCGTCCAGGTCTATGGAAAGGTTTGTATTTCTAATCGCAAACAGTCATAATCACGGTGTAGGTACGTGCGACAAAAAAGGGCTTGCCGTTGATATCGATACCTCTTGTCCTTGTGCCGAGCCCGTAGATACAACATGTAATGGCCAGATCATCATCCATCTCCACTCGGGGGGAATAATGCTGTTGAGGCCCTGTACCTCTCGCTCTGGGATACCACGAAGCCACCAAATATCCTCATTTCCTTTGATAAGTGCGAAACAATAAGCCAGCATCACGAGGGCGCGAGGCCTTCTTTCGGCCACAAACCTAATATACGCCTCTGGCACCACTGGAGGAAATCCGCTGAACAATCTGCGAAGCACATGGGCGGGTTCGCCTTTTTGAACGGCGATATAGAATCTCTCTAGATATGCAGCCACCTCTTCGTATACATCGAGTGTCTCCTTGTCGTGGCAATCATCTCCTTGGGGATGAAGAAGAAATTGTAACGGCTTCATCGGTCCAAGATAAATACGCAGTGTGCGATCGGCGCTATTCCAAACATGAGGTTGGGCGAACAGCAAAGGGCACAATGGGGAGTTGTTCGCAACCAGCCGATGGTAGACACTCTGCAAGACCGTGCGAATACCATAAGCTAAGGTAAGCCACATGACTGGTGGATCATAAGGCAGAGTTGATGGCTCCGACCGGAGAAAGAGAGTGTATAATGAAATAAGGACAGTGTTCATGCAAACTGCGTCGGTGGTGGTACTGTCCACATTTGCAGTCACGGGACGATGTTGCCGGATCGCAGAATCTATGTACCCATGATAGATCGGGCGCATTGAGCTTGCTTCTTGCGGCAATAGTCTTGCACGGTGGGCTGCCCCGAGCGCTAACAGAGTGTGCAGAAGTGGCTCGTATTCGAAAGCCATTTGTGGTACTGATACACCCCACATTTTGCCTATTGCCGGCACCTGGGCGGAGCTCATCGTGGCGCATGTCTCCGTCACCCAGTGATGTATCAGCCGCATCTCCATGATGCGCATCGACCCCAACTCTGGGGATGGCAGACTGGGCTTGACGCTCGGCTGAGCCGATCGCCTGACCAATGCTTTTGGTGTGGACTTTTGCGGATTGTACATCTGGAGTTTCAAGGATGGCCATTCACATACCACTGCGTGTCGGGTACAATGGTTGCATGATGGTCGTTGTTCGTCGCACTGTGAGGGGTCAGATTGGGATGCTTGATGGACAGTATTAGATCTCACCTTCACTTTTCGCGCTTTGCATCGGAGACATCCGGTGGTTGACTTTCGGTGGGTCAAACGAGGAGGCATCACGAAGATCTAAGCCAATGTACAAGGAATAATCTCGGTATCGGGTAGGGAAGTTGAAATGATTCGGCCCCCACAGAGCTCGCGTTCGGGCTCGGGACGGTATGTTGTTTTGGGTAAAGTGTGTTGCTGAGGCGCAGTCTGGTGGAATCTGATTGGTTTACTGCTGAATTTATCTCCACATATTTCCAAGGTTGGGTATTTATGCTTAGTGTAGCCTGGTGAGGGATGTATGAGGTTAGGACATTTTGGGAGGATTTGATACTCAATATATAGTATATAAATAGTACCTAGGTAGACATAATGGAATTAAGCTTTTCAATGACGATCCATGGCTGAGGTTTCGAACTATAAAAGTTCATCAATTCCTGCTTGTTCTAGTCATTCATCAGCAACTCTTCTTCTATCCTCTCTAGCGAAGCCTTATAACTCAAACAAATCATTGCTGTTGACCTAATAGCGATTATCATACACAATATGGGTCTCATTAAAACTGGTATTACTTTGGCTGGCACTTTTGGTCTTATCAAGGCAGCAGAAAAGTGAGTGTGTTCCTCGACCACAGCAAACACTTTCATTCAAACTTTCATACTGACAACACTTCTACGACCAGAGCAGTAAACAATTATGAGGACAAGAAGAAACAACGTACCAGCCAGTCCCAGCCTCCTTGTGACCTTAGGCCCCAAACAAACTATAGGCCCAATCTCAGTGATCTCCCTAACGGCTGTTACCAACACAAGTCATTTGAAATGCCAGCCAACGAACACACCCACACAAGTCAAGCCCAATTCAATCAATTACAATCTCCACCGGGATACTATCAATCGCAAATGCCTAATGAATATCAACCACAAGTCAACTACGCGCCCAACATGAACTCCCCTCCACCATACTAATTACTACAGAGTTTCCTTTACGCTTGAGATCTGCTGCTGCTGAAATTTTGAAATACTATGTACCGGCTTGCGGAATGACTGTCGAATTGAGAATCGAGTATCGAGAGACCAACAATAATATCAATGAGTTTCCTTCGTGACGTTATCTTGCGGATCTTCATTTTTAGTTTGATTTCAGAGAGGCAATGGCTACAACGCGTCAAAATGCATTGTTGCTTCATAATTTTTTGTTTTGTAATCTCTCTTATTATTGCAATACATATATATTTTCTATTAAGGTACTCTGGAGGTCTTACCCCCGTGGGCTTATCGATTAGATCATTGGAAAAGATTAGGCGGCCGTCGATGCCTCGAGGTTCAGGCCATAAACCATGTAGGGATCAACTAGTTACTTAAATACTTGTTTTTGTGAAGAAAACTATTTCTTTCTTCTTCTTCAAGCGTCATCAACATCTCTGTTTTCTTGCTTTATCTGCTTCCCTGTCTGCCTCGTTAAAGATTCTCTTTGACGCAAGTCTAAAAACACCAAATACCAAGCGCGCAATCCGCGGTCTAACTAAATTCAGCTGAGGGGAACTCAGCCTCACCACCTCACCAATTCCAAATGGGATCCTCAGCGTCCACAATATCTCACGATGTGAACTCAGTCAGAGATGGGGTTTCATCTCGCTCTCAAGACGAATGTTACTATCCAAGAAACTCAAAAGACGCCGTCGACGTGTTCAACACGCTGCGTCAAGTTCTTCCATCTGAACTTGTTCTGGAGATATTTGAATATGCACAATACTGGCTGCGATCCGCAGACTATCGAGAAGACAGAATAAGCTATGGAAACGACAGCTATCGCGATCGGACTCCCTATGTGAGATCTGCACCCATTCAAGGGGGGCGATTGGAAGAGATCAGAATCGATATTTGGAGCCACGATCAGGGATGGAGTAGTTTCCCAGAGGACAGTGGAACTTACAGAAACTCCTGGACGTGGTTTGAGCTTGGGATCGAAAGGCCAGAGGGAAGAGAGGAAATCCCAGAAGACGAGAGTTTTCGCCTAGCGACCAACGTGCATGCGCAAAGGCAAACAAAACATCATCAGGTCGTTTTTAAGCGTGACCAAAACGTGCCCTGGTTTGAGGCCCTCCAGGCTGGCGATGTCATTTCAATTATTCCGCTAGCGCGCTACCCCGGTTGGACAAACACTGTGGATAAAGCCTCAATTCGGATTTACACTGCCTCTATTGTGTGAAACTACCATTGCAACTATTCGAATATGTTCTATGGCGTGCGAGCCGGTGTGAAATATCACTGTATATACAATCTAGGAGATTACAATACCTTTTTTAAATCCATCACACTCACTGACACCCGGTTGTTTGTCCCCGACAAAACACCTGCAGAGTTCACAACCAGATAGCGACCACCACCCTCGGACAGTACCCTCAGAGACCGCGTATATCCATGTTCTTCGGGAGATGCGATCTCTGTCCATTCACCTTCTCCAAGAGCCTTGTTGATGAACAAAGTACTCTGTGTTCCGGAGCTTGCAATGATAGTGCCATTCTTGCCACCATACGGCGTCCATACAACGTACGGCGAGGAGGTTGGCTGTGTACCGCTGGAGACAACCAGGCGTTGATGAGGGGCCGCAGCAACATTCTCGGGATCAGATGTAATCCGATAGTAGAGAGGGAATGAGTAGCTTGAAGTGCCGAAGAAAGAGCCGTATTCATAAATGTAGAAGTATTTGCCGTTCGGGAGCTGGGAGTGTCAATACTGGGATTTGATAAGGAGCTCAAAATTGGTTTCCGAGGTTGGGTGCTTACCTTGGTCACGACGGGCATTCCAGGTCGGTCGGTGTATGTGGGATAAGCGACATCTTCGATGACAGCTCCCCACTTCTTTAGGTCGGATGAGGTCTGGTGGACCATCGTCTGTCCGTATGTGGCATTGTCTCGCTGATCGGAGTAGTAGCAAATAAGCTTGCCGTTGCTGTCTAGGTATTAGTAAATGAGTCAAACCTCCATCAATGAAGAACGTACTGAGCAAGCAAGAATGGCTCCCACACAGGAGTGAGTCCGTTGATTGGCTCTGCTCTCCCTCCAGCGGCGATATGGCTGACGAACTTCCAGGTCACGCCGTCATCCGACGATGCGTATAAATCGATGTTTGTGGAAGAAAGATCAGTCGGAATGCTACTACCTGCCAGCAACAGGGTTCCCTTCTTGAATGAACCGACGCGCTCCGGCAGATAGTAAAGGAATGGCTGGTAACGCAGGCCATATCCATTGGCGGTATCCTGGACTCTAGAGATCTCCTTCCAAGATTTCCCATGGTCCTTGGAGCGGTAGATAGGGAAGTAGACTAACGGTGGCTCCGGGGAATAATTCTCCCAAGTGGCCAAAAGATCCCCATTCGGAAGCTGTTCGTTTCTCGGGTAGAGTGTGCGCGGGATATTGTAATTGGAAGGTGGAGTGAAGACAGTCACATTAGAGAGTGAGGTAGGAGATGATTGCTTGGAGCGCGGCACCGAGACTGCACTTGCAGCCGTAGCCAACGCTAGCAGACTTGAGATTCTCATTTTGTGCTCGAAGAAATGCCAGAGCTAGCTGTTACTCTATGTTGCCAGTAGCCTTCTAGCTCCTTTTATACATAATATTGTTCTCTTTAATGGTAATTCAATTCGAGAAAATTTATGGTTACTCCGGGATTATCCCACCGGAGTTGTCCTTGTTTTGGACTAATTGAAGTTATTTTCCTAGCCAAGGTCTTAGTTGAAAATTTCCATCAATCGCACACGGCCATAATAAAATAGTCCGGGGAAATGACGATACTTTCGAAAAACAACAATCATTGCCGAGAAATCACGTGTAATAACCCTACCCCTCTTTTGCTCGTGAGGACTTGTTCGTTTACGCATCAACACCTGCAGGGATTCGCTTCCTCGTGGGCTGAGACGGGGGCGCAGGGTCACCGAGTAATTTGACTTGGATTACCAGCTACCCACCAAGATTAAGCTAATAGGCATAGTTCAGATCTAAACTCCATTCCATGCTTAAATTTTCATACTCAAATTGAGCCGCAATCAACATTCCAATAGATGCTTAATTCAAATGTGATTTAACTTGACTTTGATCGATATGAGGTACGCAAGCGCTGAACCAAACACCAAGTGGTCGCCAAATACGCTCAATAACTCGAGTCAAATCACTCGAGTCATGGTCACGAATTAGTATACTGACTTGTTGGTTGTACAATAACTATAGCAAATTAGACACCCGATTGCGCAGCATGGCAAAGCCCCGATACAAAGGCAGTTTCGCCCCCACTGCCCCCCACAGCCAAATTTAGCCAACCTAAACTCCGTGAACCGACCAATGATATCCGGTAAAAGAAAGTTGGGGCCTGTCAGCACACAGCCTTCCAACATTCGTTGGCGATGTTCTGTCAATTGATTGGGACAAAATGCTAAGATCGATGGCTAAGCCCTGTGGAATATCAGTTCCAATTACCAGAAGCCTAACAAGACCTCAATAATGTGACTTATATATACCCTGACTTTGCCTCACATTATTCCCAAATCAAACCACCTTAAGCTTCTTCAAAAACTTCTTGTTTCTCAATTGCAGGAACAAATCTGATAATCAACGTCTTTGTACCCCTTCTTCTTTCGCGATTGACATTGATTTTGTTTCAAAATGGGGTCCACCGATCTCGTCAACCTACCCAAAAGCCAACACCAACATTCGATAGGAATATGGCAACGATCAAAAAGGAATCTTGTGGATCGATCAACACTTGCATGGTACAAGTCAAGAAATCGCTGCCAACAATCGACAATGGAGATTTGGCATAAGTCCACCGACACATGGTTCAACTCCAAAGATCGGTGTCAACAATCGGCGAAAGGGATGTTAGATCGGTCGGTTTCCAAGTGGAATGAATCGGCAGACCATATACACCAAGTGATTCGCATTCAAACCCCGGACAGAGACGGCCCAACGCGACCGACGCAAATGCAAGACAATGGCTCGCCACCATCATCCCCGGACTCCGCCCAGTCGCCTCGTTCGTCGACATCGCGATTCTACTCGGAGTCAACAGGTCCCTCGCAAACAGATTCGTCTCCATCTTCAAGAGCTATCAAGCCAACATCACTCATCGGACCTTCGCTATCGCCTATCGTGCAGATAAGAGCATTCCACGAATCCAGTGTTACTGTTAGATCACTGATAGAGGCAACCCAAAAACTTCGAGATGAGAAGAAGCAGATTCTGGGAGAGATCGAACTAGATTGGATCAACTCGACTATTGTCGAGGCCGATCATGATGCCAGCGATTTGTCTACATTTATGGCACCATTCTGGGCCAACCAATATAATGGGACGCAGATCGACTTTTCAAATCGAAAGAAATGGACTCGTCGTGACTATCAGCGTGCACTGAAGAAAGAGTCTCGCATGATTCTGTCGCACAGCAGAGTCAAGACAGTTTTTAGTCACCTCGAGTCACTCCAAACGGAATTACAGGCCAGCAGTGTTGGGCCCAAGGATGAAGAATTTATCGCTGGGCTTGGTATTTCGGAACTCGCACTTACAACCAGAGTAGTATCTGTGGTTGAACTTCCTGGTCAATCTCCGATGGTGAGAGATCAAGTTGGATCGCCTATGATTATTCCAAAGATTGTTGTAACACAACATGATGATGATCTATCTTCTGTTTATGAGGGAACTCCTCCCCCAAGCTACGAATTAAAAGCCCATGATGTGAACTGAAGGACTGTTGATCACAATCCGATACTGCCTTGTCACGCAAACTATGATAACGATGTCGCACGATTTATGAAATATGACTTATCTACCTTACATTCACATGGCTCAGTGATCTTTATCATATGCCCCCAACAACCTAAATCTAAAGACGTGCGTATGTATCCAAAGCTTGGGGGTCTCGTATTACAGTGCTGAACTGTCTCAACTGCCATTCCATATCCAGCCTAGAACCCTGTCTCACCGGCGCCATCACTATGGACAACAACTCCCCCGCGGCCTGCTACATCCACTTTTATAATCTCCATAGAAACACGAGCGCCACCTTCACTGGAAGGACCTAGACCGGAATACACACCAATCATCTGGGTGTTAGTTAAGTCCAATGCAATTTGGGGAAAGAAAAAGAAAACGCTAAATGTCACGTCGTTTGTTGTGCGCAATAAAAGTACCTAAATTTAATGGCAATCGTGTCAATAAGGTAAACGTATAAAAATTATATCATCGCCTCAGCTAAACCACATTTCTGGATTCTCGGTTAATAGAAATTCGGTAAATAAAAGACGACATTTCACCGACTCACAGGAAGTGAAGGCCTAAATGGCAGACAAAAAAGAGTTTATCGATGCCATGAGTCGAACAAAGATATGAATAGCAGCCACTTGGCTACACTCTCGGCCCTCTTCTTCATGAACAGGCAAAAGACCTACCATACATCTGAAGCTTATTAGGGCTATGTCTACCGGAGCAAGTTCCCCGGACCAACAAGGCATCCCGAGCCCAATGCGAACCAATTGTTACAGATGGGGCTACCGATAGTCAGCCAAATCACACGCTAGTCTGGGTCATATGCAGATACCAACCGCCAGAATGCGCCCGCCTTCGTGCTGACCAGAGCATATTTAGCGAGGGAACAGTATATCGCATTATAAGCCTATGCTACTTTTGTAATTATGATTAGCAGACAGGGATATGTCCATATCATGTTTCAAAGAATCCGCCAACCTTCGCGAAACCCCCCCCCCCCCCCCGCGCGCCCGGTATCATCCCGTGCCAGCTGTCCGTCACTCTTAGCTTAAGACTTTCCAATTTCAATAAATGGTGAAGTTATGACTCTAAGCCCAAAAGTTTCCACTAAGAATAGCGGCAATATCTGTTGAAAGAATGGTTTCACTAACCATGATGAAGTGTAGTTTGTCGAAGTGTCTCTCGGCATGCGCTCTGAAATGATGGTTGCTTGTCAGTCATAGCCCTTTTCAGTGAGAACCAGTGCTACATTCAGCCCAATTGCTCCAGCACTGGAAAAAAATGATGATCAATACTCTGAGCCAAGACCGAAACTAGACTGACTCACACGACAATTACTATAGACTCGGTTTTCATTCCGCTCGATTTCCCTGTGTTGAGATGTAGCACTAATTAAATTATGGCTCTTTCTTGTAATATAATGCTTGTATCAGATAGTCCATCATCAACTGCGGCGAAGCCCGCGGCCCGCCGGGTCGCGTGGAAAGTTCCGATTGGTGGTGTCGTTGGGTGGGGACAAGCAAGATCGCTTTCTATTAATTTACCAAAAGATTCTAGACCCACACTCTGACATGCCGATCGGTGACAAACATGGTGCTGGAGATGAAATGCCACAAAGCTAAGGTGCTGTGGGCTTTATAACGTGGATTTGAAGGGAACGGCTGGTAGAATGATGTATAAAATTCAGATCTCACGTGCAAGATGAGAGGTACCTAGGTAGTATACTATAAAGTTGGCATGAAGTAGCCTAGGAAGAAATGATGATATATTTCTTTGGCTGAAAATGTTTAATGGCGGAAAATGCACCGAACATCCTAGACAGTCCCGAAAATTCCCCCAGAAATGTGTGACTCAAAAATTATATGCAACGTCATGTTACAGAAGAGTAATCGCTTTGGCTTCTGTTGTCGTGTCTCGAAAGTATTCGTTTAGATCGTAAAAAAAGGAAACCCCTTGGGTTGGAAAAGAGGCGAAATTCGTGATGAGTTTGTTGTACGTTTGACAAATGAGAATCGAGCGACTGGGAAGAGTGTGTAGCCGTGAGTGGTGTATCATTGACCACCGTCCAGTCTATGTTTCGACAGTGATAATCACTGGGATTCTCTTGGAAAATGTTAGATAATGGTCATGGACATTGAGTCATTAGCACTTACCATAACTCAACTATTTTTGTAGCCCCTGGCCAGCATATCGGCCTGGTGGGAAAGTGTACTCGTCGTATAGATGTTCTTTGGCGGCCATAAGGGGGCCCCATTCCTTCTTTATGCTTTGCCAGTGGTTCTTGATGCGCAACAAAGGTGTAGAATGCGATGGTTCTGGGGCAGTGTTGAGGTCTTTGATAGAAGAAGAGCTTGAAGTGCTCATATTGGGAGAAGAAACTTGTGAATCGACGAAGCCAGACATTATGGTATATTATTAGGTTGGTTGGATAACTTTTTCATATTAGTATCTATGCAGCGAGTCGGCAGGTTTATATCTATATTATAGGAGATGGCTCGGAGATAGAGATATTTAAAAAATTTGAACCGAACGTTAGCCGAGATATCACCGCCGAGTCATTTCCGCGTTCTTACTCCGCACGAGGGGGGTTTTCCCCCTCAGGGGCCATTGAGCTTCACAAAAGAAAAAATTTTCCTCCAATATTTGGGGATTTTTTTACGCCCTCGTTTGTTAATTCCCTATTTCACGCAGTGTGGAATGGGTCTAACAGTTTTGTGGGGGGAAACTTTCCCAGCAGCAGACTCTTCTCCAATTCTGTCGAGTGGACGCTGTGAAAGCTGATTGAGGAAATAGATCTCACCTGATCGCTCATTCTCCTTATAGAGCTAAATACTGCGACCTGCTAGTGAGCTGGCTGCGTCTGGTATATTCTCCAAAAATCCATTGCGAAAGATGATTGGTCCACTCTAGCCCTTGCTTCAATCCTGGTATCGAAGCATGTAGCCCGAAAGGGGAATATCCCACGGTGAGATATTTTCGGTTATTGCGATTCAGATCACCACTTTATGGACAGAAGGAGCTCCAATCAACACAATCTGAATACCTTTTTTTGGGAGACGAGAAAGGAACTTGCAAATTCGCTTGCTAAAGGAAAAGTTCTCCGCCCTACTTGAGTAAAACACGGGGCAATCTGACGAAGTAATTTGTGACGATCGAGTCTTACAAGTCTAAGATTGGTGTCAAATCCACCGAATCGCTGGAAAGAAAAGAAATCTGATTCGCGGGGTATAATTCTACAAATATGTGATCAGTGTCCAAGGATCACTCGGGTTTCTGGCCATACACAATCCGCACTTTCGTGTACAAATGAAGGGTTGTATTTCGCAGCTCTTTCCGCAGTCCTGCTGTCAGCACTTCAATCTCCGCCCGCGACCAACCCAGCATTCTTGTGAATAAGGCATATGTGTAAGCAGGGATACCCTCGAGCACGTTGAGTTGATTGTATCGTCCGAGCTCTTTTAACTTTGGATCTTTCGGCCACGGACTTTGGGGCAACTATACAACAGTAAGGCTGCATGTTTCGTCATCAAACTCAGAGAACACCACGCACCTTGTAAATGTCCTCTCTGACGTTAGCAAACCCGGCCTTTTCCATGCGACCTTTCCAGGTCGGTGAGGATGTCATGGCTTTTCCGAATAATTTTGAAGATTCGTGTATTTTATTGATAGCTTCAAGAAAGTTCGCTGCCTTAAGATGAGTCTCGTCGTCTGAATATGTATTTGGTTCAAATGTTGCCATTTCAAACCACCCATTGGGCTTCAAATTTTGAAATGCCTGTTCAAAAAGCCGGTCGTGGTCACGAACAGAGCCTTCAAGCTCGCGCCCGTGGATAAAGTCGAATGGCTGGCTGTATGACCATTGTTGTTCAAAATCGTCAATTTCGAACCGACAGTTTGGTGGTACCCTAGATAGAAAGGGGTATTAAATAAGCAATTAAGCAACCGATTTAGCGTCGATGGCTCGTACCATGATGGCTGAATAGGGCTTAGATCAATTCCTGATTCTATTAGTCCATGATTTGATTGGGCGGTAACATCTTCGATTGGTATACATACCAATAACTTCCGATCCAGGGTTTGCACTGTATCGACTGTTAGCGGTAAATCTGGAAGAAATCGTAATTCAGAACTTGCTCTGCATAGTCAATTGCCCATATACCTGTTCCTGTCCCAATGTCTAGTACTCTCTGTGGGTGCCTGACGGGCGCTCGAATTAATTCTCCCTTCAATAGCATTGAATAGATTTGGTGGGTCTGTCGTTGGTTAATCTTTTAGCAAGACGAGTCGGTAAAATGATAACCAACCAGGTCAAGGCGATCTTGTTCTCTTTCATCATTTGGCTATTCATACGTTAGATTGGAGTGGGAAAGAGAATTTGAGATGATCACGTACTAGGATGTATTCTCCTTCATGATATGAGTGGTACCTGCGACCGTTCTGTATACAGTCAGCATAACTCGAGCAGATAATATCTCAACAAACCTCATATCTGGAATTATCAGCAACAGTTGTATTCAATCCTTCGAGAGAACTTACTGGTAGTTCCGTGCGTTCGATGTGAGGCTTGTTGTGTGACTGGCGTCGCCAAGGCTGTCAAGATCAACGTGATTTACATAGCACATACTCATTTACACTTACGATCCAAGGTGCAAGGATTCATTATCAGAATTAGACTGAAAAGGTTAGTTATTTCAAGAGCCCAAAATATTTCGAATTAAGGAACCACTAACATCGGGCTCGATAGGGGCCAAGACCGGGGTATCGTGATACATGCCCAATTCTGTTAATATGTAAGGCCGGAGAACATTGAAGTTGGGATAACGTCAAAAAGTTGAAAGGAAAACAGAATAAAAACTTCAAAATCTCACGATTAAACACACCGAGGGGAGTCTTATGACCCCTCTGGCTTCAAAACAGTGGTTAGCGTCCCAGATTGCCGGGACCAGCAGTATGAAATGATTATTGCGCCGTCAGCCGGGTAGTGATCCTTTGAGCAATTTTAGGTCGCAGTACCATATTCTCGGAATTTATATTACGGTGGTGTATACAATATTGTACAAAGTCTTTCATGGGTGTCATGGTTAGTCAGTAGACCCAAGGGGTTGGGGTAATTGCTAGCGTATTGATCGCTGTGGGCTGATTAGCCAGGGGCTGTTTAATGATCCACAGGGCCATTTATAGACCAATCAATACTGATTATCATGCATGGATCATTAATAGAAGCGGACAAGGGAGGCTGTAGTACTACGGGTAGCTGCTGTATGTAATCTGTATTTTGGGGGGCCCATTGTTTCGGAAAGATCGCTACGGACTGTATAGTATCGATTTTGTCTATTATATCACATTAATCGCTGAGCTTCGAGATCCAAAGGCTGCAGGCAAAATGCAAATTAATACCGTTTCTCCTACTAAGACTAACCTCTGACCGCGACCACGTCCTCTGAGCGGGGCAGACTGGGATCATTATTCCCAGCAGAACGGTCCTCTCGGAATTCATGTCGGAAACCACCCGTAGACTGTCCAAATCGTTGCTGATCGCATAACAATTCGAACGCCGTCGGTCCTGACCATTTGGTCCCTTGCCACATAAATAAAGAGAAGCGCAGCCAATTCGCCTCATGCAGTAATGATAATCGAAATAACCGAATTCGAGTGTTTTTCGGAATTTTATTTGGAATTCGATAAGGCGCACATTTATGCAAAAAATATCTGTAGAGACCAGTCATTTTCGAAGTTCTAGAACCCCTAGATTCTAGACTCGCGCCAAAAGCTATTTTTCGCCTATTTCTAAATTGGTTTTTTATTCTGTATGGCAAGAGGTTACCTATAACTAGTGGACTTTCCTCAAAATCAATTTTAGATCCATCTCCAATATTATAGCTCGTCTGGAATGTTAAATAATTAACATCTTATAAGAAGATATTGTTATCAAGATTCACTGGTATCAGTTTTCCTTGATACTCTACATATGTAGTGATCTAGAAGTGATCGCTGGAGTCTGGAGACGACAGCTCCTGGGTCATTTAGATAAGTCGCGAATTCTCTCCAAATAACCCTCCGAATTCTTGAGAAGAGCGCCTCGGTTTCAGCACAAGACTAGAAATTACTCAAAAACCAAACGAAATTCCAAGATAACCAAAATTATGTGCACGATTCTCTATTCTGAAGGAGTTAGGTTACTTTGGAATTGATGCTCTTGCTATGCGACTAAAGAACACAGCCCGGCGAATTCAGGGCAAACGAGAAATTATAGGAGGCTCATAATAGACCACTTGCATCCACAGCCCACTCTGGAGAATTGAATATAATCTAGGATAAACCTTAGCTGCCAAAACCTTCATCCACCCAACTTCGGACCCTAGATCCTCCTGATGAGGAGCGTCCCGTAGGTCAAACCATTGCATGTTAAGCACGATCACATGAGCCATTAACTGCCGACTGTCAGAGCTCCTCTATTCAGCTAGTGGTTTTCCTTATAGGGCAGAGTCTAATGCCTTAATGTCCACGAAAATAGGGAATCTATGTTGGGCTAGGGTAGCATAATAATCTCCGTAAAGAGACTTTATAAGCTCCCGATGGCGTCTATTTAAGAAACTCAGTTCTAGAGTCTCCTTGTATTCTGAAATAGAATACCTATCGGCATTAGAACTCTTACCGCTAGATCTCCTCCTTTAGGCAGCCCTCTAGCGAGGGGTCAGTGAATATATCATTTAAGTTGGTCGTAGAGCGCTTGTCTATCCCCGTTACTGTTGTGGGTACGGGAATTAAGTAGGGTTCTTTGTGCGAACTCCTCCATCCGCTCGAGAAATCTCTCCCACCATGCATCGTCGTTGTAGTAGGAGATACGGTAGATAAAGAAGCCCCATATCTATTCACTGTATTTGGTCAATTCGCCGCGGATGCAAGTGGCATCTGACTTAAGGTTGGCCATCGCGACTCAAACACAAGTTGAGAGACTAGTGTAAGCAGTGCGAGTTTATAATTTCAAGTTTTGATACAGTACGTCCCGAAAATGGTGTCACTACCAATAACTTTCATATTAGCCCATCATGTGACTAAATATTACAATACATTTCAATAACCTGAAATTTGCTTAGTCTAAAACAGACTAGCATGTTTCATGGTTGAATTTGGGAAAGAATTGGAGCTGCCTCAGGCAGACTGAGCAAGTGTAGTTAACTACATAGCGATTTTGCTTATCAAGGGGCTGTAATAGTAATTCGTGTATTTTTGTTTTTCTGCTAGGCCAAATTCAGACACAAAGTGGGTATTTAGTCATCATTGACTCCTGAGCGCTATGCACCTGGGTATGAGTATATCTAGGCGATTTCCTTATTCACTAAATCTCATGTAGCGTCCCTCGGCGCTATATCATACACTAAACTTTTCGAACAGGGACCGTATATTCTGCCGACTAACAGGTTTTGTGAGGAATGTATCGATTCCAGATGCAAACGCCTCTTTCTGAGCATCTTCACTGTCCAACCCTGTCAATGCCGCAATGGTTACCGGGTACCAGGACGGCTTAGATGAAGTAATTAGGTCAGAATTTTCCCTTTCAAACTGTCGAATTCTTTGACTGGCTTCAAAGCCATTCATGACGGGCATCGAGAGATCTGATCTTATTAGATGTGGAGTTGGAATTATAAAGAGATATTAGCGTACCTAGGATGACCATTGCAAATTTCCCAGGATGAGCTTGGAACTTCCGTACGGCCTCCAGCCCATTCGTTGCTGTTGTGCAGTTCCAACCTTCTTTCTTCACGTAGGCAACGAGTATATTCAGGTTGACATGGTTATCTTCAACCAGTAATACTGACCGAGGACAGCTGCCTGAGTTCGTTTCTGAAGTGGTCCCCGAAGATGAGACTCGCTGCGTAACAGAGGGCCCCTTGTGGATTCGCCCATTAGGGGGGTTGTCGAATTTGTCGCTATCCTGGCTCACTTCGGTATCTGCCATAGGTCGTTTGCTGATTTTCATTCTATTGTCGGGTGCGTTTCTTGGTCCAATATCAAGCGGTAGATGAGAGGATTCTGGCAGTTCAACCCATCGAGTCTCTTTAGCATTATTTGCTCCTTGGCCATCTAGTCGACGAATACACAACTCCAGAGTCTTGGCGAATTTGCGAGGTCCACAGGGCTGGCTGATGAACTCAACAACAGATTCTCGGCTTCGGCTCATGGTACGCGCGAACATTTTGTGCGCGGTCTCGGGTGACTGGCAGATAACAACCAGCGGTGATAACTTACTCGTCTGGTCAAGGTTGAGCAGCTGGTTGCCTTCCGCGTCGGGACTATCAGGGTCGGTATGTACCATCAGGTAGAAGTCACAGGGAGTGATGTCGCCTTGAAGAGACACCTTCTTGACCGTTAGATGGAGCCATTCGTGGCACATCCGCTCCAAGGAACTGTAGAGAGTGGCATCTTGCTCGGATGCAAGCGATGAGCCAAACCCAACCAGACCGATAGTTTTGTTTTGGGCTTGGTTCCTTATAAAACTGTATGCTGCACTCGGTGAAGATGCATCAGATGTATCTGTCATTGTGACATGAGTCATAGGAACTTCAATTGATATCTCGGTTCCCCGATTCTTCTCAGAACTGACTTCGATAGAACCGTGGAGAGAGCCAAGCGCTTGGCGAACAATGCTCAGTCCCAGTCCGCTTCCAGGGGCCAAGGTATCTTCTTGGGAAAAAGGTGTGAATAAGCCATTTCGCAGGTAATCAACATCGATTCCCTGGCCAGTGTCTTTGACAGTCAAGGTGACCATATATTCGCTATCGGGATTTCGAGACCCAGCGGAGTGGTGTTTTCCTTGACGAGGTACTTTAGTGGCCTTCAGCCCCACATATATGAAACCTGAAGTAGTATACTTCAGTGCATTGCCGAAGACGTTCATCAAAATGCGGCGCCAACAACCAGCCTGTGTGAAAAAGTTCCATTCTGCGGCTTCATGGATGTCAAAAATGACCGTTACTTGTTTTGATGGAAGGACAGCTGTTTTCGACAGACCCCTCTTGTTCACGTGCCGAGATTGTGCGCGATGTTGATGGTAGAAGCTATGACCAGCAAAGACGCTCTCAATGACCTCCTCAAGGACAGCATCCAGCTGGACGGCATCACGGCTATTCTCGCTGCTGCCCGGCTGATTGTGCTGACCTGGATCTTCGAATTGCTTTTCATGGCGGCCATTTCCATGTGTTTGTTGATGGTTGTCCTTGAACTTATCAATGTAAGTGAAGTCGAGCAGGTTATTCATGGTATCAAGGAGAGTACGTCCACAAGACTCGATGGTATGGACCATTCCTTGTTGAAGTGCATTCATGGCTGTGTCGCCCAAAATATCAGAAGTTCCGAGAATGCCATGTAGAGGGCTTCTCAGTTCATGTGAGATGCTGCTGACCAGGTTTGTCTTAGCTTTTTCCGCCATCTCCACATCCAGTCGGTGAACCTCGGCCATGACGCTGTTGCCAAAGGCACGAAGGTACGCGAGTTCGTTCTTAGGTTGAAAGACACGTTCGGGGGAGTTAGTCCAGACAAGGACACCAGAGATCCATCTCGATTTGTGAGAATCCCACAGAGGTAAGAAAATAATGCTCCGGGCGCCCTCAATCACTCTGATCAGATCATTAGCATCCTGTTTGTGGTTTGGCTCCCGCCGTTTCTTTTTGGCTTTGGATCTCGATGTCTTTGCTGAGATCCTGGAGGTAGTGCCACTGCCGCTATCATCGGACAATGATCCACTCTCGTTGTAATTGAAGATTTTCCCATTGGGGTATCTATTCAGGATCGCCTTCAACACAGACCCCCGAATTGCATATTCATGACCTGACTTTAGACCAGATCTTGAATCGTCATCAATAGTTGAGGATTTGGAAGTTGAAGAACCTAAGGTCCGGCAGGTGGTGGCGTCTTCTTCAGAACTCGTAGTAGAAGGAGTTGCCGGCGACTCGCAGTCTCCTGAATCGGTGCTGTCTTCACTGCTTGCTGTCTTATCACGTGCCCACGCTTCACGCGCTTTACCATGCTCATCTCCAACAAGCCCGCCAAAAGATTCAATTCTGGCATCGAGAAATGCAACGCCTTCCACCTCAATGGACTCTCGAATCAGGTTCGCCGCGCGAGAGAATATTTTCTGCAAAGCGACTGGAACGCTTTCATCCGGAATGTTGTCGCTCGAAACAGAGCTTCGGAATGTTACCTTCTCTGGCTGATTTGAGCCCGTCTTCTTCTGTTCGTTCGTCTCCAGATCTGGTTGATTGCTGCCAGAAGGTGTGGTTGCTGAGTCAGGAGCTGTGGCATCCGAATCGTGACTCTTCACGACATCGTGCGAAAAATGAAGGCGTGGCGAATGACCTTTCCCGGTCCCAGTGGGGCGATCAGGAAGTTTTCGAGGTGGAGGGTGATTTTGTGCTTCTTGTAAGTCTTGCTGTTGTTTATTCAACTGCCCCTCTACAGTCTCACCAGAGCGACCCGTTGTAGCATCTTGCTCGTTCGCCTCAAGCCATGAATCGCGGAGCGTAGTCTTACCCTCCACAAAGCTCCCCAAACCAAAAATCATTTTCTTGGCTTTAGTATGTTGGTTTTTCGATTGCATCATATCCAAATAGTCCATGGTGGTCGCGGCCATCCTTTTCATGAACCTAATCGATGCTTCGTCGAGCCCGGACTGCCGAGGTTGAGTGTCGAAGATGCAGTATGCCCCGATTGTGATTCCCCTAGGACTAACAATCGGCACCCCAGCATAGAATTGTGCCTGAGAAAGACCATTTGCCAGATTAGAGATTTCAATATGCTCACTCTCCTTCATATTTGGTATCACGAGGGCGCTGCCTCCAACAATTGCAGGATCATCAGGAGGCTGTGACAGTGGGAGCATCGAAACATCCTTACAGACACCATTCTCCTTAGGCAAGACACAGCATCCTAACCATAAGTTGTCGTGGCCATCTAGATCAGGTGATCCAGTACCCTCTGCTAGAATATATTGATGGGTGCGATCGAAGAGCGAGATCATTGCCCGTTGGCCACCTAGTCTCATAGCACCCAATTGCGCGAAGGAGGTTAAGGCATGGTCTTGTGATGGTCGCGCAACAAAATTATTCTGGCTGGCATCATCGAATGGAGCGAAGGGATATGCGGAGTGGTCGTGCGGGAGATAACTTGGTTAGTCAGTAGGAACACCAGCAATCATGACAATACCTACCTGTAGAATTCGCGCTCTTTTGACAGATTAAAATATGACTGCGCACGGATCTGCTCGTTTGAAGTCATTGTGTTGATTATGTTGGAGAGGAAGATGATTTCCAAGAAGTGCCTTCAGGAGTAAAAAAAATAGGCAATGACATCATTCACACATACGTCATTGCGATTGCGGCTTTGCGGGAGTGGCTCCACTTTGATGAGAAAACCCTGCATTCAGTCTTCTTGAGATTATGGAAACGGACGAAGCAGAAATGTGGAGTTTTTGTAACGAGGAACGAAGCAATACAGGCAAGACGTGCGTATTATGAGAGAGGGAGGGTAGAAGGAGAGAGACAGATCTCCCGAAACCCCACTAACTAAAATTGCAAAGGCCCGGGAGCCCGAGGCATCCACTACGTGGACCCCCCCCCCCCCCCCGGATATTAGTGAGTGAGTGGATAGTCCAAGAACATAGTGAACATAATAAGAGAGATAAGATCAATTGCCAGTTTGGGATAGTGTAACGGTGACATGTGAAGTGTAAAAAAAGACTTCATTTGAATTAGAAAGAGAAGAAAAAAACACCGTTTAGGCGCCTCCTTGAAATCCCGTTTTAGAACTCCGAACAAACTCTTAATCCCGAAACCAAGTCACTGTACAGAGGTGATTATGATCCCAAGGCCTGATGTCACATAAGTGTGATACACAAGAGAAGAACTAACTACGAAGGTCCGTGCGGCTAAGGGAACGGGGTCCTAAGCTTGAGTTTCAACACAGCGACTCTCTTCACAAATCTCCATTTTGTTTTTGGAGTGCAGTACTAAAGTTACTCTCCCGAGTGCCGTCTATGACTGTGGTATCTGTGGATGACTGTATCAGCGTAATGAGACCAAGGGTCTAGAATATTGATATCGAATGGAGCGCTATAGAGAAACAGCTCTGTATATGGGTGAACGGGCAGCCAGGCTCCATATGAATCCTTATACAATATCGATGAGCCCTGGAGGACAGTTACCGATCTCCACCTAGGAGAAGAATTGAAGGTTGCGGCTCTAAAGCTGTCTTAAGCTTATTAGTCGCTTGATTGCTTTATCCATGAGTCTCAAAATCACTGCTGATCTGTAGAAGCGGCCATACCATCGCCTACTTCCATTCTTTAGGTACAAGGGTCATAATGCCAAGTATTTCTCTTAGAGAAACACCTCGTATACACCATATTTCCTCCAGAATTGCAGCTAAACCAAAGAAGTATGCTGTAATGGCTAAGGTGCGTGGATCTTGAGCTTCTAGGAGCTCAACGAAAATTTCAGGCACAATAGCCGGAAAACTTTTGTTAGTTCTTCTCCGCATATAGTATCCATATGACCAGCCGAGGTAGCCCACTGCAAGGCTCGTATGCAGCGGCTTCATTCAGATCTATCGAAATGAGATCCAAATCTGATAAGAGCTCTGCGAACAAGAAGTTTGGTTTCATAGCCCTACAGGGAAATGATTTCTCTTTCCCCAAGAGCAGTGACTCGGACCTCGAATGTTGAATCCAGACTCGTGTAATAGACGCGACGCTCCCGACGCCTTGCGAAGCCCGAAGCCAGTCAGACGGAAGTGAAGACTGAGCGCTAAATCTCTGTTCTTGGCGTGAGTACAGCACGCTCAGCGCAACCAGTACAATACATGCAAACAGAATAGGTGAGTTTTTCGTTCGCTCGAAGCAGTATATTGTTGAACTTCTCAAGCCCCGAGCAAAGATAATATGAGGATGCGAGCCTTCAGGATGGATCAGCAGATCTCTCAGCACAATGGATTCAGTATTTATTATGACGTCAAATTTAGACAGGTATACAGGGAGTGATAAGGTACAAAACGTAAAAACTTCAATCTCTAATTTTTCTCATGCTCATGGCAGGAGCAGCGGGCATTCATTCCACCCGTCCGTGCTCATCAAGATCGGTTGCCGTGGACTCCTCCATGGACGCAACTGCAGAGCCACCGCCCTCCTTGGCTGCCACTCCAGACACCAATTTCTGGGCAGTCTCGAAATTATAATGCGGGCCTCGGTACTCGGACCTTCCGCGGACGAACCACCACAATGCAGTCAATGCCATCAAACCGACCGTTATGACACTGGTATAATTCATGTTCTGAACGGTGGCCGGCATTACGAATGGGAAACAGAAGAATGTCACGGTGACGAGAATGTACACCAACGATAGGATATTCACCACCATTCCTAGGCTTTTACCCATATAGAAGGGTCCGGGAACTATGTTCCGACGGCCAGTCAACACATGGGGGAGGATGGCCCCAAAGTAAGATAGAGTGCTAAGCACAATAAAGGACGAGATGAGGGCTTGGAAAGCTGTTGTGCTGCCGATGTAAATGCAGCCGATGATCGTAACCATTGCACTCATGGCGACGGTGGCACGGACAGGACAATTTAATGTAGGGTGCACCTGGGCAAAGTAGTTTGAGAAAGGTGTAGCATTGTCGCGGGCCAAGCTCCACCACATTCGTCCTCCAGTGACGAACGTGCCAATCAGGGTTGGGAAGGTAGCCAAAAATAGCACCGCAATGAGTCCAATAGCACCAGTAGTGGTTCCCGTAGCTTGTCGGTAAATTTCAGCAGTAGGGAAGTATCCCACATTAGTGTTGAAAACGGCATCGAGGTCCTGGATCGAATAGAACAGAGCGATCAGATAAATGAAGGAGGTCGAGAATGCCGTCAACATCTGTATCATAATTCCCTGAGGAACCTTGACCTGCGGCTTAGGAACTAAAATGACAGCAATGGTTAGGATCCGTTGTCTTCATTCGATACTTGGGATGGGATGCGCGGCATTCCACACGTTCAACATACCCTCTTCAGACAAATGACTGATACAATCAGGAACTCCCACGGCGAAGGCAGCATTAAGCAGCCCTGTCATAAAGCACACGCCATCGGACCAGCCGCCAGTCATGTTATAGTATTGCGTCCATACCTGCGAAGAAGGTGCATGTGTCTTTGGCATAGCCGCGAGAACCACTATAGTTGCAAAGAGTCCGGCCATTGACAGGATCAGTGCGATTCGATTGATCATAGGGATAAATTTGTTCCCTAGACATACGATTGCACAGCAGCTCCAGTTGACAATCTGGAACACAATAAACACCTGCCAGGAGTTCCAGGTGACGTCGGAGTGCCGCAGCAAATACATGGCCACCGCTTCATTGCCTAGCATAGAACTCATCGACGAGGCTGACAGGAGCCAGGCGCAGGCATTGAGATAACCCGTGAAGAATCCGGCGACGCGGCCATGCTTCCCACTCAGTACCGTGGACCAGTAGTATACACCGCCTGCGGAGGGCATGGAGGATGCTAATTCGGCCAGGGAGGCCGAAATTGCCGAATAGAAGATGCTGACGAGGATCAAGCCATAGAGAAGGGCCATAGGGCCTCCGTTCATGAGAGCCGTCACAATTGTGCCACCTGTTGCGGCCCAGGAACTATTACATATTCAAGTCAGTTCACATCTCGGGCAGATAAAGCTCAAATCACTGACTTGGCAATCACAATTCCCAAGCTTGTCACACTCCAAAGCCCGAAATTCCGCGACAATTCCTGTTTGTGACCCAGAGCAGCCTCCAGGCGCACCGTGTCTATCTCGGTGCTGTTTCCCAGCTGGGTTTCGCCCACCTGCGCGGTTTGCTTCTCAGCGACCACCATTTTGTTATTCGTCAAACGATATTGAATGAGGTCAACCAGGAGAAAAACAAGGGCGGCCAAGATCGGTTTCAGATATAGGAGAAAGAGAGAGAGAGAAGGAAAAGAGAGCCAGCAGAACACAATCACCCACTAGGTTGAACAAGCGTCGAAAGTTCTTCGAATTGTCTTCTTTGGGCATGTCCGGAATAGTTATCCTCCATCCGAATGAAGGTTTGAGAAAATTCTCCCAGTCCCATAATTTCGCAGAGAATTTTTTGCAAAAGCATCCCCATTCGTCGAGGAAAGGTGGATACGTAAAGCACAACGTGATGGTGCGATGAATTCCGAAGCCTCTAAACAGTTCAGCTCCGTATTAAATATATTGTATTCCAGCTGGTCTCGGCTCAGGGGGCCAATTCAATAGAAATGAGACCCCACTGTGGCGACCGGCCAATATATTAACTTTCAAGGACGACTTGGCGGCGGGGAGGGCTCGCCCTTCAAGTCTAATAATATTGGACTGTACAATGTTGATCGAGATCTCTAGCCGGGGGAGCCTGTGGCACTTTAAGGTATCTTCCTAATTTTCTGATTAATGCATGATCCCTGCAACAATATATTGTAGGAATACACTGCTTCACCCTGGAGGGAAAAATGGCCCCACGATCTAGCGTGATTCGAATGTTACTAAAGAGAGACAAAAAGGTTCGAGATCGCGTCCGGAGCTCCAATGTACTCCGACTACCCCTCATGTGGGGCCCTCCGCCCCACCCACGGCCCGCCAAGTCAATCTGTACCAAAGATGGCAAAACATGGTCAAACATGGCGACAAGGTACTATATACAGTTAAATTATATTCTACATTTTCTCTTTGGGTTCAAGATGAATGTGCTTTGATGTTTAATCCAAAGGGTATGACTGCTCTTCTCAAAGCCATTTGATTTGTCTCATTCCTACTGTAGTCATCTTCAACAACCGCGTTGTCAGACCTCTCGGGGGGGAACTTTTCCCGGATCGGGCCCCATAGCTCGCACACAACCATCGATGGATCGCATGAAATTTTAGCATCGCCCCCTGCAAGTAACTTTTTTAGCTCAGCCAATCCATCATTCGGGGGCGAAACTTCTTCGGTTTTTCCGATCCGAATTCCATTCTTGGGGGGCCCTGAATAATATCTTTAACTCTCATGTTCCCAGAACCTCCAATGGAAGGTTCGATATTTACTTTCACAACCTTGTAAGGCGGATTTGATTACCGAAGAGGGCGCCCATTTTCCTGCCAGAATGGGAAACGTATCGCCCACGCCCCACCAGCTGTTGGTGGAAGCTGCGGTCTTCTGGAGTATTGGAGCGGTACTCTACATTGGTCGAATGTATGTGTGACTGACTGCGCCTAGATATTGATGAAATACAGAGGCACTGACTTTGTAAATAGGGCCTCCCGGCTCACAGCAAATATGTCAGCCCAAAGGATATCATGTGCGCAGAATTGCTTCCCTTCACTTGACAAGACGTAACTTACCAGCCTAATCGCACATTCTAGGGGACGATTATGTGATGACAGCAACGTTTGTATGACAGCTGATCATCCCGATTTGCGACCTTCCACTGACTCGATGCGATTCCAATAGATATTTTATACGAGCTTGATGGTATTAATTCAAATTTCGGCAAAATATGCGACAAATCTGATGGATCCGAGCGAGTACGACGCGGTGCTCTCCGACCCCCAACAAGTTCGTGAGCGCATCCTTGGAAGCAAAATTGTCATTGGGCTTGAACAGTGCATGCTTTTTGTAACCTGGGGGGTGAAAGTCTGCCTATTGATACTCTACTGGCGCATCACTAAGAATCTGCGCTCGAACCTTTACGTCAAGATTACCGCCGTTTATGTGGCGCTTGGTTTCGCCGTGATTGAGATCACCTACTACGCCGTGTACTGCCGACCTTTTTCGCAATATTGGGCGTTGCCAGTGTCGAATTTGCAATGCGCCACGTACCAACACTATTCCATCACACAGGCGGTTTTCAACCTCACATCGGATGCCTTCATGTTTGCCATTCCCATACCGCTTATCGTCAAGGCGAAACTTCCACAACGTCGGAAGTTGCTGCTACTATGCGTGATGAGCCTAGGTCTTTTCACGATCATTGCCGCCATTCTGAACAAATACTTCAACTTCGCCTCCCCTATGACAACCGTGTACCAGATTTGGTACATACGTGAGTCCAGCACTGCTGTCTACGTTGCCAACATGATGTGCTGGTGGCCGCTACTCCGGAGGGTGTTCGGTATGAAGGCCTTCCAATACAGTAGTAGCCGTGGACGGCCATCTCGGGGTACAGAAAATAAGGAAAGCAATCTCTACTCGAAGACCGCTGGCTCACAGTCCCGTGCATCCTTTTCTTTAACCCGCCCTTTTCACCTCTCTCGAAAAGCTTTCTGTAGCTCGACAAAGGGTACTACACCCACTGAAAATGAAAATGCCAGGAACTCTAGCCAAGAGGCGATAAACCGGTCTACAAGTGGCACCGTGGATGATCTGGATCGCGTGGATACTATTCCACTGGAGGTTTGGGGCAAGGGTAACGAGCGCGGCACCGATGTTGACGACCTCACCACCCAAAAATCCGACGCAAAGTTTGAACGTGATCACAAGGCAGAGGTCCCTCTCGGCAGTCAGATCTACTGTACTCGCGAGTTTGACATCACTTCTCACTCCAGGAGCGGACCCCCGTCTAGATGACGTGAATGTACAATTATATATATATAATTCGTTGACTATGCAATCTGTCACGAGTCAATCTCCAGGTATCTGTATCTGCGTAGACCTACAATGAAAACAAAAGTACAGCTATACAAATAGGCTTCTATAACATATTTTCCACCTGGGCAGTCACCACAAATATTATTTGCAACACTCCACTTAGCCTACATGCAATATATAATAAACCATACCTACAATCCATAAGGCATAAGACCCATAGGCTCGCATTGAACCCACCTGGGGCTTTGCGTATATACGCGCGCATCGGGTAAATCCGACTTGGCATTTCAACTTTTACGTACGATACCGCCATAGACTTCCAAGGTTATACCATGTGATAGCTTCTCTTCATTAAAATAAATTCGTTAGACTCATCTTCATTAAATAGAAGACCCAGAACAATTATAATATCAAGAACGGTCAAGGTTTAACGTAAAAAGAAGTGCAGATAGAAAAATACGACAAATGATTGGAAAGCCGACATTTCGACCTGTAGAATTGAAGGAAAATGGAACCAATCTATTTTGTATCAAAATATATTAAGGAAATACATCCTGAATAACTTAACAAATTCAGGGTGATATTAGTTAAAGATTAAGTATCCTCGGTCGGCGATTATAAAAATTTCGGCATTCTTAATATAGTTCAACTTATATGGTTAGGTAGAAACTAAATCCTCAGTATATTAATTTATAGATTACTATTACACATAATTAATCTTCGAAGCGATTTTCATAACAATGGTAGATGTACTCCGTAGGAGAGTTTCAAATGGCTGAGATTTGTCCCAAGTACATTTGAGAATGATCCATGGATGAGGTTTGGAGGAAAATGTGATTCAGAGCAGACGGGGGAACCTAACTCAAAAGGCTCTCGCGCGTTTTGACGACTTGGTGCCTGTATATTGCTCTTTATGGAAGTCAATTACACACCCATCGGGGTTATCTTCGAGATTTCCATCACAATACTGGAAAGTAAAGCACTCTGGGAACTCCTCACGCATGTCATCGGTGTCCACATCAAATTCCTCATAGTTGTCAATGTAAAGATCTTCGCCAGTAGGCTCACTTCGTTCTATTATTGATTAGCTCACTGTGCATACTGGACCACCATCGCTTATTCTGCACAGTCGTACCTGGATGATAACGGCAGCTCGTCTTCGTATTGGCCATGACATCGAATTCTTTCGCGCATCCAACACAAAAGGCGTAGCGTGGTACCGGGCTCTTTTTACCGAGAGGTCCCTCCTTGGCATCGGTAGGCATCACTAACAGTTGACTCTCTGCTTCTCTGCGGGCCTCGTCGCTTTTTGCGCACACAGATTTGAGGATCGCGCGGATTGTCTTGTCGGACGCCTCGTTGATCGCGCGACCGAGAATTGTGGTCTCGAGCACTTCCTCTGTAATGGACATGGTGATTTACTTTATGTTGTCAGACTTAGTATCGTGACTTTATGGTTGGTAGACAAGAGACGCCATCTGTCACTGATTCGTGATAATAATTTCGAAATTACATGCAGTCTATGAATAAACTTTGACCACAAGTAATTGCTTTTACATACGACCATAGGGTGTGGAAAACAGGGCTTCCCGTCCGCTCAGCCGTACTTAAGCCACACGCCGGTGAGTTAGTAGTTGGGTGGGTGACCACCAGCGAATCCTCACTGTTGTATGTATGTTGTTTTTTTTTTCTAACTTTCCTTTTCAATCCTACTGCATTTGAGCATCTGGACCTACGAATAATTGCGGTGAAACTACTCATCTCTAGCCAGGTCATTGTTGGTACTATCGCATTCTTGGGGTTGATTGTATCTACACTGCTCGTGTTTATAGAAGCAATGTCGGCCAAGTGTAAGGAGCTAAAGAGGGAGAATGACGCTTATGTTACTACTATCTATCTATCTCTCTCTTGCATTCTTGAAGAACGCGTTTACCCCAAGCCTTCAAAAAGGTAGCTCACGAAGATTCTATAATATGCACTTTCTAGGTAAGTTCTGCATCTGAGATCCCCTCAATGTAATAAACTCGGACTTGGATGTAAGTATCTAAGCCTTTAGTACTACTCTGATCCCCGTTATGATAACCAAGAGCTTATTAGGAAGAATTAGGCCTTCGTTATGCCGCCTCCTGCCACCTTCGATATTGATATTTGGTCTACTGGAGTTTTTCCTTCAAGAGAATTACAAAGGGTGATGACATTTCAATGCGGGATTACGTTCTGAATCCATCCGTTATATTGTTGTAAGCTCAACAGAATCCGTCAGACTAGGACCCCCGAAACAATATAGCTAGAAAATGTAGAGACTTTTGCTTCCTATGAATAGGTTCCAACTGAGAAAGACTCCAGTGTTCCAAGGACTCTTCTATCAATATGCCAATTGTCTCCGATCCCAACAGCCAGCATTTACGACTTCGACGGGCTTCCTCCCCGTCATCACTGGATTTTTAACAGAAAGGGTCAAATTAGGAACCTTGGCCCATCCAGGCTCAATAGACCATAGAACCAATCCAATCCAATTCTCGCCACCGTAATTGAGAATCCCTTCGGGAACGGGGTAACTCGTCTGTGGGCCAATGTGGCTGATATACTTCCCGAAGGTGAAGCCATTAACGATGAGTATCGCCCTATATTTTCCAGAGACCTCTGTGTTGTTCTCGAAATTGAAGGTAATTGGAATGTCGTATTTTTGAGACGGATAATCAAGCTCAAGTGGAGCGGTATAGAATGCAACTCCAGGCTTCTCGATGCCATCGAAGGGCGATCCCACTTTAAATTTGCATAGAGGTGGGCGGGGAAGATGATAGCCCTGCCTTTCCGCAAAAAGCCCTCCTTCATTAAGTGGGCCCCTCTCCTGATCCATATAGTCCTCACCACCTAAATTACCAGTGATCTTCCACGTAAGAGGTGTGACGGATCCCGTTTGGGACGATAGCGAATAGTCGATTATGCCGCGTGGATTCTTCATCGAGTCCGAATCAAGAAGCCAGTTTGCGTCGTTTCCGTTGTTATCAACGAGGACCGTGAGGACGTATGATTCTCCTGGGTAGAGCTTTGGGACTTTGTAATTCGAGGCTTTGATTGATGTTGCAACGTCCCCGGGCCAAGAACCTAGAAATGTGTTGTTCAAAAATACGCTTGATGCGAAAGCTGAGCCTCCCATAGTGCTTATGTTAAGCAATGACTCCGAACCGCTCGCGATGAAATGACCTCTAAAGATCAAAACACCGGAGTGGAATCCATAATCTGAACCATACAAAGAGACAGGGGTGCGAAGTGGTGCCAAAGTATTATTTGTGTACGCATGATCAGCAGCTGGCCACTGAGAGTCATCATAACTCGGCTGAATCTCCGGGAGAGAATCCATATACTTCCAGTTCAGACTAGACAATACAGGAATCCGAAATTCCACGGGGGTGTATTGGATCTGCGCAACCCAAGAACCATCACTGGCCGTTGAAAAATTTATCTCTCCATCGTTCACAACGAGCTTTGAAACAGACTTTGGAACACCGATGATTTCCATGGTAGAGGAAGAATTAAAGTCCGCTTTGATAAAGAGGCAATTCTTGTCGATGGAGACTGATCTGACAAGGTAGGCCCCATTGATGATAACCGATGCCTGTCCTTGTAGTGCGGTGCTATTGGAAACCATCTTCTTATCCGCTAGAAGATCAGGCACCCAATAGTCATAGGCCGAGACTCGATCTTTTTCATGTCAGCCAAATTCTATAGATTTCGTCAAACTGACCCACCAAGAATATAGACGAAAAGATCATCTATTTGCACAATGCTTCTGCTAGAGCTTGTTTTCCATTGCATGATGGCTGTGGTACCAAAGCGTTCTATTTTTACTCCGGTACCTTCAACTAGCAACGGATTTGATAAAGTCAATATTGCCATTTCGTGCAATTCAGAAGAGCCCCCATAGACAATTAATACTTTTTTATCTTCAAACTGCTTCCAGGTGAAGATTTCTGCCGTCGAGTAGCGGAGCATGATGTCACCGATTGGATAATCAGCCACGTGTATCTTCGAATCTCGGCCGTTGAGAGTTAAAGATCCCCCAAGTTGAGGAATTGAAACATTTCCAGAGGACAATGGTAGCTGTAACGTGTAGTTGGTAGAGTTCAGGTTCGAGTAGTCAGTATGTCTCGCCACGAAGAAGGAACCAGTGCCGTTTCCAGTCATAGGTGTGACAGTCACGTCCGTATTCTGACTATAGACCCCTGCCGTCATGTTTCCTGGGGTGGCTTCAAGGTATCCAGGTGACACTTTGATGAACTGAGCCTGAGTTTTGAGCTCTGAATATTTCTCTCGGACCAATGTTCTGCCATCTTCTTCGATAGCCTAGATTAGTGAGCAGCAAGACAACAAATTATCCGAGTATGTGACTTACAGCCCCGTAGTCGTAAGAGGAATACCCTCCCGCATAACTAATGTATCCCCAACTTGTTCCGCCAAATATCTTTGATTCACTTAACTAGGTGTTCAAATGGCACGTTCCAAGAGGTACATACCATGTAGATGTTGAAGATAGCAATTCTGGAAGCTAAGAGATTCTTATAGAACACTCTCTCAAACTCTTGGTTAGTCTTCAGTGCGCATTGGTCATACGAGGATCCACCCCATGGCGGAGAACCTCCACCCTATGTATTGTCAGATACCATTAGCCATAATCGATTTTTAATTTACCTGGAACTACTTCAAAAGTTAGCTAGGCCGAATTCAAATATATAAACCCTTTCGAGGAGCTCACCTCGAGAATGCTGAAGGGAGTTGAAGGGCTTTGTCGCATATGGCTGGAGTACAAGTCCGTGGTCAAAGTTGAACTTCCAGTGTCCGCACTTATAGTTGGCCAGCCTTGTGGATCATTCTAGGCATTATTTAGCGCGAAATCCCCCTTTTTATCCGGGTAGGACTAACACATTCGAATCCAAAAGGGTATTGGTCGTAAGCCTAACAATTATTAGCTGAAAGTTCAACTCTTTTCATGTTTCCTTACATATATATCCCATTCCCCTTTGCCAGAGCCAGGCACAAACCGGCCTGCTGCCCAGGCATCGTTTCCTATTATCGGCACGACTATGCCAGCTTGGTGGGCCTTATCTTCCACATATTGCATAAATGCAGGATCTGGTGGATGATAGAATCCACGAGCAGAGTAGGTGAATTCGTTATCCGGCTGAAGAAGGATGATGGGACCCCCGTTCGTGATCTGTGCTTTGGCTATGATTTTATAGATGTGGCTCAGGTAGCTGCGATGGGTTTAGGAGGTGTTTTCCAAAAGAATCCATAAAGCTCGTACTTATCAGTGGCAGCTTCGAACTCAGGAGCTGAAGTTCTAAGCGTTGAATTCACTCGCTGAATCCAGCCAGGGAAGCCACCACCTGCTACCTCTGCATTGATATATGGGCCTGGGCGAGCAATGAGATATATTCCAGTTTCTGTGGCGGCCTGAAAGAAGGGCTCCAGGTCGAAGATACCCTCTGCTGAAAACCGTCCTTGCTTGCCCTCCAGAAGAGCCCAATAGACATAAAAGGAAACAGCATTAAAGCCTAGTGCTTTGATCTTCTGAAAAACATCAAGCCAGAGGGATGGTACAGGAAGTCGGAACGGATGTACCTCACCACTCCATATCATTACCCTTTCTCCATGGATAAGCAAAGATTTTTCATCCCAGGTAATAATGTTCTGCAATGGCTTCATCTTTTCTAGGTTGGTTTTGATCAAAGAATCCGACCTATAGCCAACACTGAGAGCGACACAGCCCCGTAAGGCAATGATACAGAGCTGAAGGAAATGAGGGTACTGCATTCTGCTTCGGGGCAACTATACGTCATATGAGAACCGATGGGAAAACGAATGGTTAGACGTCTTGATCGGTGTACTCAACTTATATATGAAAATCAGCGGCCGCTACGTCGAGAAATGATGACATACCAATTTTTGGCTTGAGGAATCTTTTAGCATATTGGGATCATGAAGCAATATCATCAAGGGTCGGCGGGTAAAATGATCGTATGCGCATTAGTATCTACATTCGTATCCGTAAGAAGCCTCGATTTCAATCACGAATACGGCGGGGGAAGACATTTTTTTGTTGTACTTCGTTTACTTGCATATATTTGTGTACATTTGCATACGTAATGTTTTTCTTCCGTCTTCACCTGGAGATGCACTAATGGGTATGAAAATGTATCATTGGCCATGAAAATGAGAGCGTACATTAGACAAAAATAGGCCAAGGAAGGCCCAAATTTCGGCTCTCGACCCGCCAAAAAACTCATGAAGGATAGAAATATCCTAATTAGGCGCTTATTTTCATATAGATCGCTGTTTGTGCACTTTCATATAGAATGTAGGGTCGAGGGTCGCTCCTAGGTCTACTCGAGGAGTGCAGCTTTGGAACGTTGCGGGATTTTTTGATGACTGTGACTCGTGTATCGGTATTTGAAAGGGATATTAAGTATACGGTAGAATTCTAGGATTTATAAAAACCGAAAAGGGCTCGAATTGGACGTGTGTAGCATTTCAAGTGGAGATGTCTGAATGTTAGACTGCTTAAGGTTGCATGATCTATTACATTACGGAAATCTAAAAGCCACAAGCAAATACGCATATTTTGGTTGCTTTTTCTTGGGGGCAACTGAGCATCGAAGCGCCTCTATTCATTTTCGTGTTCAGAAATAGGCTTGCTGGTCTCACACCAAGTCTGGTGCTTATCCCTTCAAGTGATGCTGTGGGGCTGGAATCAACTTGGTTCTTCGTATATGCAGTGCAAGCAATGGGCTTTCTTCCTGATCTGCACCAGTCCCATATTAGAACAGATCCACACCAGGATCGGCGAGCCAGGCCAGCTCCAGCGCAAAACGAATACGGAGCTAAATACAAACCTGTGATTAAGGATATGTTCATTTCAAACCCATCAGGCAAGGCTTCGTTTCAATTGTTGTATATGACATAAAAATCATAATTGCTTTATACTCATATCTGGTTAAGAGTGAAATTTCTAACCGACATGATCGGTCGGGAGAGACTGGAAAAGCCCACACTTTGTATGGAAGCTATAAGAGATGATATCCGCCTAGGAACTGGCTGCTCAGTTTCTTATTCTACAATCCTCAACATTAAAAAGCTAAAATATTGTCATTATTCTTATCGACGAAGGCTCGGAAGATCGCTATGTTCAACAGCAGTATCTCCAGCATCTTTAGGTTATCCAAAGCCCAGGAGAACAAACCTGCACCTTTCCAGTGGTCACCGAACGCCGAAATCATGCGATATCCTCAGCGAGATTCCCATATACATATACAACAGCCCGTAAGTCTCTGCCACATCCGGTACCCAATATCCAATTATCCTCGGCGAATACCCAGTATCTGTTTATCTCGAATTGAACGATACGAACTACATGCCTGTCATTCTTAGAAATGAATTAATGATTTCCTTAGCAAATCCAGGAGCCCATGGTGGTTAGGCTGCGTGGCGGGGGAGAGGAGGAAGACATTTGTTGCGGTCTGTAAGTTCTTGGGTTTATCTTTATCGGTTACTTGCATCGCATAACAATTTAAAGAGAGCGGTCCTGACTTGCATTCCATCAATAGTTGCTGTGGCTTCGCCTGCTTCGAGTGCTGCAAGTGCTGCTGCTGCTGCTAGAATAAACCTGAAATTGGTTTTTCGGCTGGCTAACAACATGAAAGCATGGTAGAACAGGCAGTCTATTACTAGAGCAATCTACTTAGTCATCTTTGAGGGCCTACACCACCCAATTAAACATACAGAGGAACAGAATATTTTACACAAAAACCTGCACAGACTAAGTTGCAGAGCATTATACTGTTTAGCCCACGCAGCCCGCGACGATATCTTTTGTTTCCCGGCCGCAAAATCAAACTAGGAAATTCTGATATAAGCTTACTATGTGGGTGACATAGTGGATGAAGAATGTATGATATACTGAGTTCTCTGGGTGGAAAAAGCTCGCTATCCATAGCTAGGGAGGCGGACAACAATGGATAGCGCAACACGGGATTGCACAAACAAGCAAACGCTGCTATATCCACACAACTTAAGTCCTAAAAATACTCGCCAGGGCTATCAAAAATGCATCAATTGCGTACTAGAGATACTCTCGCTTCACAACAGGTCCATAGTTGCCATGCACAAACTCCACAACTCGAAAAACGGCAATATAAATGAGCACGCAGGCGGCGTGGAGAGCCTGCACGAGTATCACCCATCCATATTTATGGTGATGATGAGCTCCAGAGAATTGAGAGATCAAAGTTTTCTCCTTCATTCGATAGTGGCCCAACTGGCATTCAGGCTTGCTTTCGCGAAAAGAAAATCGATATAGACTAACGATGCCTTCAGGCATATCCCGATCACACAAAATGGTATTTTTAATCATGCAAGGTCGGAATTTCTCACAAAAGGGTGGACAGCTCTTCGAGGCTGCTAGTTTGCTTCGCCACCATAAAACGAACACGAGAATAGAGTTTTCAACGGAGCCAGTTGCGGTATCCACAATTCAACAGAGCGCCAAGCTGCCGCTTTGAATATAATGGCAAGCATAATTTTCCCTCGAAACAGTAGCGGGTTACCACTGATGTAGGACTAGTGTGTGAATATGACTTCTTAAAATAACTCAGGGGCTATCTTTGTTAGATCTTTCCTTTAAAGGGCTACGCCTCGGCATGGTTTTTGTGAGCTAGGTTATCCTTTTACCTTTTGCATCACTAGGTGAACAACGGTTTTCGCTGGCTCTAAAGCTAGTTGAAATCAATATCCGACACAAAATATCACTACACCTGTCAATCTTCCTGCATCTCAATCATGGCGAACAGCCCAACAACCGCCGAAGTTGGAAATGGAATTTATCCATACAAACCAAGCCAAACAGCAGGCATGATGATGGCTGTCCTATTTGGCATGAGTGCGGCCTACCATCTCATAATCATGATTAAAAAGAGAACTTGGTTCTATACACCCCTAACTATTGGTGCTATCAGTAAGTCTTGTCCGCTCCAGACATTGCGTCTCGACAACCACAGACATATTTGAACCAGCCACTGACCAAGTCAAGTGATGGGTGCCGGTTATATTGCACGTTATATTTCGGCAAAGTCCCCCAGCGAGCTCGGTGTCTACATCATCCAATCGCTCTTTATTATCCTTCCGCCATCCCTCTACGCCGCCACTATCTATATGATCTATGGTCGTTTAGTCCTCTACGTCAATGCGCCGGAGGCCAGTATCATTCGTCCCACCCGGGTTACGAAGATATTTGTGTGTGGTGACGTGCTCGCTTTTTTTCTCCAAGCGGGCGGTGGTGGGATGATGGCCCAAGCTAGTATGGCAAAGCTTGGACAGAAAATAATGTTGATTGGCCTATTCATTCAGCTCATGTTTTTTGGCTTCTTCCTCTCGGTTTCTCTGGTCTTCTGGAAGCGTATGCAATCCTCTGCCAAGCTTTACACAATCCCAAAATATGGAAAACACACTTGGCAGGCACTCTTAAAATTTTTGTTGGGAGCTGCTGTGATTATCATCCTGAGATGTGTTTACCGAGTTATCGAATTTGCGCAGGGAAATGATGGCTATCTCGCTACCCATGAGGTCTATATGTACCTTTTCGATTCAGCGCCGATGCTTGTTGTCCAAATGATGTTCCACTTTGTGCATGCTGGCGATGTCTTCCCCCCGGTATTGATTTGAGGAAATCGAATGATGATGAAAACTATATTAATTTGCAGGAGAGATATTAGTCACTCAAAAATATCGTCAATAAGGATTGCTGGTCGGAAACATATTACAACCGTTACGCTTAGATTTTATAAGTACGAAGACAGGCCTATCAATCCATATGTAGACCGATATTGATTGTATATAAGGCTAGGAATGTTAAGTAGTATTGCTCATTGAATTAGATTATCTTCATGAGTGCCGTCGGTTGATATTCTTGAGTTCAATGCTACTTGATGGACACGAGACATATACTCTCGCATCATACTACGTCTCTATATTATTCACCAGTATATATTTGTGCAGATGGATTATGACTGAAGCAGTTAATGAGAAGCGAGAATGGGGTAATAGGATGCGACACATGCCTGTGGTTTCTAGGTATCGTTGCATGCCATACATGGGGACATTGTCTATTTGAATATAATTCAATCAGTCTGAGTATATTGGATGGTAAATTTACATGGGTCGGAGTGGCAAAATAGACAGTAGCAGTTCTATGGCACTGTTATCTTTGGAAACAGCGCAGAGCAGAAGTGCCCTTTTGAAACTGAACTATAATGATTGTTGTAAAGATAAGGCAGTATCAATTAATCACTCGATGATGGTCCTGGTATACTGTCGGAGTCTAGATAGCATCGTAATGGCTATCTCGACGCTTCTTTCCCGAAGCCATACTGTCTTTGCTGATACGTGGATGAAACTAAACACTCATTGCTCTCTCAGTCTAGGCATCCTGTCGCACTTTATCTTTAATCTTTTCCTTCCTTAAACGTTACCTAACCTGCCACCATTGAAACACCGCACGTCAAGACAACGATAAACCCGCCGACCAACTCGGCCGACTATACCTGTTGAATCTAGCAATTCTTTAACATATCACACTAAATCACGAAGCATAGCTTCCATAGGGACGTTGCTAATGCACAATTTCCACTAAGTCCCATTCCTCCTGCTCTTTCCACGTAAATGTTGTCCCCAACCCACATTGCAGGCGGATGAACAAATTTTCTATTTATGTTGAACGCCAAGCCGTTTGTCGCCTCTCTTTTCCTTTCTGAACCAACCTCCCCTGGACCCACATATATACATCCCGGATCTTCCATGGTGTCAGCCCAAACCCCGTGATGCAGAACAAAGCATTTTAGAATCGGTAAATCGATCTCTATCGATATCTTTCGCCAGTATTTGTGATCATCACAGGCTGGGTGACACATGGCAGCGGCAGTGTTACATATGAGGAAGAAGAGCACGCCTCCCCATGCAAAAATGTTCAGACCGTAGAGGGCCATGAATAGACCGCATGGTGTGAGAAGCCAGTCCTAGAATTCTGGGAGAACGGTCTAGGTGGCAATGAGCGTGGAGGGAAACAAAGACGCAGGACCAGATGGTGATACCAAGATTAGATACGGTTGTTCTGGATCTTTCACCAATGGAGTGGGACTGGGAGAAATGTTGGCGACATATGTGTGCAAATATTAGCTTTGCTATTTTGATTTTTTTTCTCAAGATTACAGAAAAGGTAATTAAACAGTTGGATACTTGCTGAAGGGCAAGAAAAGCTGGTAGGTCAAAAATCAGGGGGAATTCCCTTCTCTGTCAGGTAGTTCTAACCTCTGATCGACTTCTAGAATCTGTGGTAGGTATGCACATACAACTATGGAAGTCGTACGTTGAAAGTCATCCAATGCATTTCTCACTCAAAGAGTATGCACCGAGGGGCAAAGACAAGGGTGCACTCCAATCAGAGAGTTTTTATTGAGAGGGCAAACGGCAGCCTAGGGCTCAATGCAATCACTCAATATAGAAGCGATTCTAGAACAAAAGAGGAGACACGGTGTTTAAATGACATCAACTGTAAATTAGATACGACAGAACGGCATATAATAGAACACAGAAAAAGGTCAAGCAATTCGTATTGTAATGAAAGAATTCTCTTACTTCCAGCCTTATGGGTGTAGGGAGCTCTCGCAGCAGAGATGAGGGTGTTCTAGACCGATAAACACCTGAGATTTACAGGGAGATGTATATTACGAAAGTTCGATATAGTACGAGAATACGAACGTAGCTCTATGGTAAGGTTGCGGTGGGCTCAAATCGTATTCGTTACACGAATAGAGACGTCCCGTCCACAATTATAAAATTGATTCATAAGGGACCAGTGGAGATCTGCCGGGTCTGTGGAGTAACGGTGTGGGGCAAGGACTAGGACCCAAAGATACATCTTTTTGGGGGGCGCAAAAAGATTAGCCTATCCGCATCCAAATTACGAATACGGCTGAGTCAGAATTTTCTTTTTTGTACCTTGGTTCGAACGCATTGATCATGTCCCCATACTATCTAAGAGTGCGAATTTGGAGCTCATTCGACATCGTATTTTTTCAGTCGCACTACGTATTTCTCAATCCCAATTAAATACGAATACGAGTACAAATATTGCTCGTTCCGGAGCACTGCATAACCACCCAGCATGTCTGTGTCTTTCGAGTCCTGTCGAAGCTTACCTGCTGCTGTCCTAGAAAACCCTACGCGACGATTGGTATTATTTTGGCGCCATCTCTTCAACCCATATTTAGCGCGAGAGCAGTTCCGCTTAAGCGGCTAAGTCTTTACTGTTTTCTCGGCCGTCACAATTCACTTCGCTTATCCTCGTTCCTTGCAGTCCTCTTCTTGTCCTTGTTTTGTTTCCTGTGGCTTCGGTTCCCATCAGTGCCGCTTAAGTCCCCGTTTGGTGACTGGTCAGAAGCGAACTGAGCCCTTTCCCTCTAGCTATCCCAGTCTCTGCCGTCTATTCTTTTACTAACAAACTCATCAAATATCATCGACCATGAGGAAGATGAAGCAAAAACAAAAAAAAAAGTTGAGCTCAGATCAACTGGGAGAATTCGACCTTGATTGGGATCAGCCTCCTTGTTATAACGTTGCGACAGCCAGTCCTGAGCTGCATACACATACAGCAGTCGATGGTACTATTTTCGTGCATCTTCTTCCTGGAATTTTCTGACGTTCACCTAGATGTCGGGCGACTGAACATTAACTTCAAAGCCAAATCTGGATTTCAAAACGTCATTCCCCCGTTACCTCAGGAGTTGCTCACTCCCATAAAAGACTACGAAGGGATAATACCTAAATTGAACGTTGTGGTTCATATTGTTGGCAGCAGAGGTGACGATGAAACTTCTAAGCTTTTCTTTCACTCCAACAAGCTAACACCAGCACAGGAGATGTTCAACCTTTCCTGGCTCTTGGTAAGGAATTAACTAAAGCCGGCCATCGAGTGCGCATCGCTACACATGGTGTCTTCAAAGACTTTGTTCGATCAGCTAGTCTGGAATTTTACCCCATCGGAGGAGATCCTTCCGAGTTGATGGCTGTGAGTTTGATAACTTAATTCTGAAACTTTCGCGCGCTTAAGTGCTGTTGTCAGTCTAACCTTTGGTAGTACATGGTCAAGAATCCCGGTATCATGCCAAAATTTTCCACTGTTCTCGCAGGAGATATCGGGCGTAAGAGAAAAATGGTCTTTGAGATTCTCGATGGCTGCTGGAAGTCTTGCATTGAGCCTGACCCGGACACACAAGAGCCTTTCGTGGCAGATGCTATTATCGCAAATCCGCCCAGCTTTGCCCACATGCATTGTGCCCAAGCCTTGGGTGTCCCATTACACATGATGTTTACCATGCCATGGAGTCCAACAACTTCATTCCCCCACCCGTTAGCAAACATTCAAACGACAAATCTCGAGCCGAGAACCACCAACTATCTTTCATATCATTTAGTAGAATTGATGACCTGGCAAGGGTATGCGTCCTGCTTAAACAAATTTTGGGCTAATTAATGTTAATGACAGTTTATTTCGCAGATTGGGGGATGTTATTAACCTTTGGAGGAGAAAGTCGCTTTGTCTACCCCCAATTCCTTTCGCAATTGGACCCGGTCTTTGTGATCTTTTAAAGATCCCGTATACTTATTGCTGGTCTCCAGCCCTTGTCCCAAAGCCGACAGATTGGCCGTCCTATCTAGGTATGCTCATATCAGGGACCAGGGGTATGTTAGAGCTAACGAGACGAACTTATAGAGGTGGTTGGGTTTTTCTTTCGTGAAGAACCAGACCATACGCCCGAACCTGCCTTGGCTTCTTTCCTACAGGCTGACTCAACTCCGATCTACATCGGGTTTGGTAGCATTGTCATGGAAGACCCTGACAGGGTGACTAATTATATTATAGAAGCAGTTCGCCTATGCGGCGTTAGAGCAATTGTTTCTCGTGGCTGGAGTAAGCTTGGGGAGGGTAGGAGTGACCCAAACGTGCTATTCCTGGGCGAATGTCCTCACGGTAATTTCTTTCTAGAAATCTCTCTTGGACGCTTGTTAATGATGTTATAGAATGGCTTTTCAAACGAGTAGCAGCAGTGATTCACCACGGTGGGGCCGGCACAACAGCTTGTGGCCTGTTGAATGGTCGCCCTACGGGAATCGTTCCTTTCTTCGGCGAGTAAGTTATCCTATAATGTGTATTGGGGTCCTGCTGACTTCTTCAGTCAACCATTTTGGGGTAACATGGTTCATTCAGCGGGGGCCGGGCCCCGTCCAATCTCTTACAAAGACCTGAACGTCAAAACTCTAGTTGAAATGATTAAAGTATGCATATCTTCACAGGCTCTTGTTTCGGCTGGTGAAATTTCTAGGAGAATGAGGTTTGAGAACGGTGTCAGCGAAGCCGTCGCATCTTTCCATCGCAACCTCCCCATTCCGGCTATGACTTGTGATTTCCTTCCTCATGAGGCTGCATGCTGGGTTTGCAAGATAGGCGGGAAGAAGGTCAAGCTATCTGATAAAGCTGCGCAGATTCTCATTGATCGAGAGAAAATAAATGCCAAGGACCTGAAGCTGTAAGTCTTCTGTTTCGTTCTCTTACTATGTCGAAATATCGCAGACTTATGAAATCTTTCTAGCTACCACTCGAAGACAATCCAGCTCGAAAACCGTCGTTGGGACCCTTTGACCGCAGTCTCCTCTGCGCTGTTGGAAATGGTCGTTGATTTTGGCACCAACACGAGTGGCCTTATTCAATCATCTGCTAGGGTAATAGGCGCAGATCAGTCTCTAGATGAGAATGGTGAGAGCCGGACGTCGGCTGCAGTTGTAATGGCTGCCAAAGATGTTGGCAGAATGACTGGTTCCATCGCCAAGGGCGCTCTGGTTGACATTCCACTCGCTCTAACCGAGGGTCTACATAATATTCCCGCTCTGTATAATGATAAACCTCGGGATTATGGCCCTGTGGACAGCGCTAAAGCAGGTGGGATCGTGGCGGTCAAGGTAAGAAGATTTATACTGGCCTTGAGTATTTCTTGTCACTGAAAGACTTGCTAATATATCTATAGAGCTTGGCTTTTGGCTTCTACGATGGTGTTGCTGACCTTTTTGTGCTACCGTTCAAAGATGCAAGGAAGGGCGGCATATGGGGCTTTACAAAAGGTATTGCTAAGAGTTATATGGGAATTGTGACGAAACCGTCAGCTGGTATGTGGGACTGCATTCTCAATTGCACTTTTATTTACTTTTTTCACGCAATATGTGAAACTCGATTCCCATCGAATGCCTGTTATTTCTCATCTGATATCAGTCTACTCGAGGGTCCTTCCAGCTGATAACGGTCCTTTACAGGCATGTTTGGTCTGGTAGCCTATCCTGCTTTGGGAGTATACAAATCAATTACTGCGCTCCATTTATCGGCCACACAGACCCACATTCTCCTAGCTCGGAAAGTTTACAGCTCATACATAATGAGAAACACGCAGGCGAGCGATTCGGAGATTTCGCAGGTTCTGAGTAAATTCCAGAGTCGCTGACAAGAGGAATTCAGGCAGTGAGCCTGAAATGCGATGCGATGCTGATAAGTGTTCCGGTAGTGCACGGTGAATCCAGCCACCCTACCTGTTTGCTCCAGCTGCGCTTGGTACTTGGCCCTGGTAAGCGGGTTGTCTTCGCCCAGTGGTGAGCAGATGACCTATCAAAACTCCCTGAATATTGCTTCTTTCTACTTGTTTATCATTACACGACCAAAGCCGGACATGATGACCCCTTTAGTAGATTTAAGCATACCGCATCATGCCGTGTTCTCCATCGTCCAATATTTTATGATCAATTATGGCAAAACAAGGGTGTGAACAATGTTTTGTATTTTGCCTTGTATAAGGACACGATTTGAATTCCCACAGCAGTTGTGTTCCCAATCGTATTCAACTTCATTGAACTAGATTATCTATCGCCAGATTATCTATCGTCCCATCGGGATGAAGACATCTTTTTTCTTCCCCTTCGCTATTGGCCTTCACCCTAAGTAGCTTTGAGTCAGATCAGTTCATGGTCCAAAAGCGTGGCATTAACCCGAAGTTTGCCACTATCGCTCATGATCGCCGAGATGCTACATAGGACTAGCAACTTCACTATAGGAGGAGGAAGTGGTAATGAAAGTTGACAAGATGATTGGGAAACCAACCATTTAAATACCCGCGTAAAATCATCAGCACATGAGGCGGACCGTTTTATTCGTGGTAAAACTAAACGTTGAATCATGGGTCGGTCGCACTTATATGGGCCTAGGCGAGTAATGAGATGTATTTCAGCTTTTGTGCCGGCCTGAAAGAAGGCTCCAGTTGAAAAGATATCCTCTGCTATAGACCTTCCGTGTTTACCTTCCAGAAGGGTTTAATAGACAATTGTACAGAAACAAAGGAGATGTTGGAAAATTTTTCTGCTTCGGAGCAACTAAACGTCGTCTGAGAAACGATGTGGGAAAACCATTGTTAGGATGTCTTGATCGGTGTAGCCAAGTCCTTATATTTTAAAATCGACGGTCGCTAAATCGAGAGATGATGACATGCCAAACCTTGACTCAGGGTGCATTGAATGCTTGCTATGGAGGATCATGGTGGAAAACGACCGTATTCGCTTTAGTATCCACATTCATATTTGTAAAGCGTTTCGAATTCGAACGCGAATACGGCTGAGATAAGTCTGACACATCGGCATAGTCTAGAGAAACTAAGGGTGGATTACAGGGTGACCAAGAAATACTTGTCGATTTGATCCACCGCCTTTCCCCTTTGTTACATACCGCCTTTCTCATCAACCAGGGTGCAATATGCGGAGCTTACCCGCGATAAACGTCTACATTGCCGTGTATTACGAGATGAAGGCCATACCTACCAATATATTGCCTCCCGAATAGGCTGTTCCGAACGCTAAGCTCGATATGCCTGCGATACGATACGCACAACGCCTCAGAAAAAAAAGTGTGGCCGGCGACCAAAGCTTACCCCTGAGCGCCTAGATGAGGTGATCTCCTGGATCCAGGCGTCCTTTACGCATCGCAGTATGAAGATCTATAATATATGTGCGTATCTTGGCCTCGGGGTTAGTGGAGAGACACTTCGCCTATCCTTGAAATCTCGGGGGATGATTGCACATCCTGCTACGCAAAAGCCTCCGATCCTTGATATACATCGTTCGAAACGACTCGCATGGGCTCGGGCCCGTCAGAATTGGACAGTAGATGATTGGAGAAGAGTTATCTTTAGTGACGAGGCCTTATTTCGATCTGGATGGCATCGAATGCCTTTTATCTGGCGGTTTCGTTTATGAAAAGTATCACGAAACTGCAGTTATTGGACAAACGAGTCAACGTCGAGGGATTATGGCCTGGGCATGTTTTGCTGGCGCTATAAAGGGACCACTTGTTATTTGGGACCCTGAACGGGGCACTCTTAATTCAAATACCTTTATTGAACATATTGTGCCTAAGATTGATCAATTTAATTGCGATCTATGGGAGAACTATCAGATTGATGCTCTTCTTATGCAAGATAGAGCACCTTGTCATTGGTCTTATCAGACCACCGAGGAGCTATATGGCCTTGATATCTCTGGGACTGACCACCCACCTATTTCACCTGATCTCAATCCACAAGAAGACCTTTGGAACTGGCTTAAAGATTACGTATCTTCTAGATGCGTATCGCACGATATAGGCTATCGTGGGCTTGCTCCAATAATATAGGAAGGATTGGAAGCTCTGCCTACAGATGTGCTAGATGGGCTAGTGAATTCAATGCCACACCGTGTTCAGGAGGTTATTGAAAAAGATGGGAGGGCAACGCAGTATTAAAAACGAAGTATTAAACATCTTAATACAATGATTATTCATATAAAGCTGGCAGAATAAATAGTGGAGACTGACAAGTATTTCTTGGTCACCCTGTAGTGGCACTCATTCGGTCAGGTCTGGTTTCAGTCCTAGTTCTAGTATTTCTTACATAGCCATTAAACTCCTTCTGAAGAAAGTGGCAAATCCTACACTGTTGAAACTTGGATTTGTCCTCTTGCAGTATTTGTCGTGATATGAGGTTGGAGCAGAGCAGGAACAAAGCCGCACCCTCGGAATTAATTCTCGATGTGGCTATACGGAGAAGCAAGTTGATTCGAAATCAATTTGGAGCTCATGCTGTATATAGCCTCTCGAAAGTTCTCTCTGAAAGTTCCCTCTGGAATGGAACAATCAATCAAATTCCTCTGAATTACAACAGTATTTCCTCTTTTATTTCCCTGGTTTTGAACCACCTTATGGTCTTCAAAGTAACAAATATCTAAGTAGTTCCCCGCAGGCTTGCCGCAATTTAAAACGCTAGGCAGATTGCATCCAGGTCTGTAGAACGATTGCGCACCAGAATTGCCAGCAGGCTTGTAGACCGGAATTGGTGACCAGTTGCAGTCTACGTCTTTGGTTGCTCTGGACCGCCCGACAAGGAGGGTCTGATGGACCGAGTCCTGGCCAGTGGGAGTGATTCCCTCACGCAAGGTCCATCGCCAGACTATACTTAGTTATCTACCTACCGACATAGGCTGCAACTTTGCGCAAATGTTGTCAACCATGGTGGATATTCTCGTTTACCCGCAGTGATCTCACACATCCGGAAAATGGACGAAGACATGGTAGTTTTGGCAGCTTCCGACGCAGCAGACAATCAACGGGTTGTTAGAAGACATCGCGCCCGACACACCAAGTCCCGCAATGGTTGCTATCCTTGCAAATTTCGAAGGATCAAGGTACACCTCCGAAGTCCTAGCTCTGCTGGGCCCCGTTTAGCGACCAAATGCTAATATCCCCAAGTGCGACGAGCTTCAACCCGCTTGTGGCACATGTTCTTCCAGAGGCGAACCCTGCTCCTACCCTCCCCCACGCGTTACTTTGAGGAAACCTCCCAGATCAAGAGCGGCTTCGGTTAAAGATGACGGGCCTTTCTTACCAGAGTCTCTCGGTCCGTCTACCGAGGGTTTAGTATTCGGTCGCATCCAACCATTAGCAATAAATGCAACAACACGGGCGACCGTCTCGAACCAACACCGGCATGGAGATCTAGAGATGAATGATTTGAGACTCGTTCAGTTCTATCATTTATACACTGCAAAACAAATGACCTTGCACCAGAGGCGATCCAATGTCTGGCAGCGGATCATCCCCGAATTAGCAAACGAAAGCCGATATCTGATGCATCTGCTCCTAGCTTTAGGGGGTATACACATGATCAAACAGAAGGCTGATGCATGTGGGACTGTGGGTCTTGCAGACTCAGACACGGTGGACTTGGCGATTATTATGGAACATCATCAAAGAGGGCTGGAAAGCTTCAGAGAAGACGTGGCTTGTATCTCTCCCTCCAATGCTGAAGCTGTTTTCACAGGGTCAATACTTGTGGTTGCATTTGCATTTGCATTCCTCAGGGTTCAGGACCTCGAGCCACTTACTAGGCCTGTCGAAGAGACGAGCGGCGCTATGGCAGATCTTTCTTCCACAAATAACATCCCACGCCTCAACTGGTTATACCTTAACCGAGGTGTAACCTCTGTGATAGGTGATCAATGGGAGGTTTTGAAAACTGGCCGGCTTAGGCAGATATTGTCATTACAACATAGCAATGATTCTTGGGTGGCTTTGACATCCGATGCACCGTCTCGGCTTTCTCATTGTCCACCCCGCCTATTGAAATTTGCAGAAGGTGCTCGTCAAGCAATTGCCTCTATCAAGGCTTTGTTGAATATGGTTGAACCCACTCAGGATGACTTATCTAGCTGCTCGGGCACACCAACATCTCAACCTTCACCCTCCACCACTTTAGATTGGGACATGGATGCGCACTTTGAGACAATACGCATCTTAGAATCTGTTTACTCGCGTATTCTATCTGTATTGCAGTGCGCGGCAACCGATATTCCCTTTGATAAGGAGATCCAGGTGGATTTTGAAGAGGCAGCGGTTTTGTCCTGGCCGTGTTTGCTCCCTAGTGCTTTCATTGCGTCCCTTGAGCGAAGCAACCGTAACAGCCTTCATGGACGCTCGCTCGTTATTCTCGCTCATTTTTATTTGATAAATACTCTGGTCGATGTCTGGTATATGAGGGGCTCATTTGAACTCGAGATACTCAGAATCAACACGCTTGTTGGATCGTTGAATGAGAGCCAATTGTCAACGTTCATGTTGTGGCCCAACGAGGTCATGAGCTTGCCACTGACCTGTACATCTTAAGATCATATGTATAGGAACCAGAAGAACTTGATGACGTCGCCAACGCCTTTCGCTGCATGTACACAGACAGCACATACATGCAAATCCAACCTTTCAACTTAAATTGGCAGCAGTCAAAATTATATGAGCTTTCATACCTGGCTATGGACGAGATTTATTGGAGGTCGAAGTGGGTTTCTACAAAGTCATCCTAGCCAAGAACTCACTGATATAAGCGCAACAATCCATGCAATGACGGACTCTACATTCATAGTACGCATCGTCATTATTTTCACTGCCAATAGTCTGGAACGGAGATCGCCAAGGAAAACTAGCGTCTAGATCATGTTACAGGTTTGTAAGTTAAAGCACTCGCGACGGAATGTTGATTCTATGAACCAAAGGAAAAATTTCGGGCAATCTAAAGACGATGATGATCCAGGGGTCTCCAATTCACGGGCTAGCGGCAAACTCAAGAATTTAGTTTAGTAGTACCATTATATGAATAAATGAGAAAGGCCTTGCATTAGCCTGCAACCGAACCAGGGACGTGACCGGCAAACCCGAGAAAACGAATACGGGTGGGTCTGCCAATACAGATCATCTAGTACCACGGGTACAAGTGATAAAATATTGAGTTTTTTACCCTTTGCCCCAGATGTTTGTATGGTTCCTGGAGGGATTTTTGTCTTCATATACCGAGCCTTCCTCTCATGAATCAATTGACTTCTGTCGTTCACAAGTACGACGTTGAACAATTTTTCTTGTCCTTGATACGCCTCGAGGTTCTCTTAAACTATATCGAGTCTCTTGATTCAAGCCCAACGTCTATATAACATGAGTAACAACGAGAATGGAGGAGCGAGCTTTAAGCTCTACCGCTATACGCCCTCTCTCGTAGCTGCAGTCATCTTCATTGTTCTTTTTGTCCTTGCGACTTTCTATCATCTTTACCAAGTTGTTCGCACGCGATCCTGGTTCTTTACCGTCTTCGTCGTTGGGGGAGCCTGTAAGTTTTAAATGCCTGAGCACAATCTTCGCAATGAGCCCAAAGCATATCTGACATGTGCCGCAGTCCAAATTATAGGTTACATTTGCCGCGCACTGGCCCACGACAATACGGAAAATATCCCAATCTACTCAGTCGGCACAATCATGATTCTTCTTGCTCCTCCTCTATATGCCGCATCGATATATATGACTCTGGGTCGACTTATCGTGCTTCTAGACGCTGAGAAGTTGAGTTTGGTGCCAGTAAAATGGCTTACTGCGATTTTCGTCACAGGAGATGTAATCGCGTTTTTGATGCAAGCAGCAGGTAAACTATTCTTCCTTCCCAAGTACTGTTCTTTTTGAAACTGATGATGAACCAAGGCGGCGGCATCATGGCAAGCGGAACGATCAGCGCGATGACCACCGGTGAGCATATCACGATTGGCGGTCTTGCCGTACAATTGGTGTTTTTCACTGTGTTCATCGTAGCTTCGTCAATATTCCACTACCGTATTCGCAATAATCCCACTGAGAAGTCCGTCAGCCGATCGGGCACAACCACTTGGGAAGTCGTCATGACTGGACTGTATGTGGCTAGTATTCTGATTCTCATCCGATCAATTTTCCGCCTGATCGAATACGCTCAAGGCAACAATGGATATCTCATAAGTCACGAGGCTTTCATGTATGTCTTTGATTCAACGCTTATGTTCTTCGCCATGGTTACGATGAGCATTTTCCACCCATCCAAAGTCCTTTCTCGGCCATCGAAACGACAACGCTCTTCAAAGAGGTCTCGTTTAGAGCGCATGGAGCTGTCTTCATCGACAGAGGTTTAGAATATTCTTCAGCCTGCCTGGAAATAAACGGAGAATTATTGGCTTGAGGATTGAAATTGCGTGGTCTATATTCCGCGTAGGCTAGCAGGTAGTTCTCGTTATATTTCACATGGCTATCTACAAAAATCAGAGTCTTTTCTATAGAGCTAATTCAGGTAGAGGAAGTGTGTTCTGGAGCTAATTCATCTCAGATTTCCCCCGCCCTAATAAATCTGTACTGAGCCATTCCTCCTAAGAATTTGCGCACGGTGGTCGGGCGCCGATATCAACAACTCCTGCCTTACGAGTGCAGTCAAACTAGTAGGAATCACCTAGGTTCAGCATAATGATATTTATGTTACAAACTCTAGAAAAGAACTTTGCGGGTGTAGGAGAGCATGGATAAAAGACGAAATATTCAGGCTATGCGGCTAATAGATGATCAACACCTAGCACGAATTAGGTGATAAAGGTGAAGATCCAGGATGTGAAGTTTATATGCCTCAAAATTGAATGTCTGCCTACTTTCGTTTCTTAGAATTACTGTCTTAGGCAGTAAGATTGCGTGCCAATGCATTTATCCTCCACATACGACCATAGGGTGTGGAAAACAGGGCTTCCCGTCCGCTCAGCCGTACTTAAGCCACACGCCGGTGAGTTAGTAGTTGGGTGGGTGACCACCAGCGAATCCTCACTGTTGTATGTTTTTAATTTTTTTGTTCCAATTCTACTCCGAAATCTGGATTGTTTGACCGGGTAAGAATTTAGATTGTGAGGCGTTTGTTAAGTATGGATTGTGCTTTTTTGGGTAAAATAAGCAGTTCTTTGCCATATTAGCAGCCAAAAGAATAAATTTAAACTATCGCTTTTCTATTGCTTCCTTAAATAGTGTATTAATATGGTCGATGTAAGAGAGGAAAGCGTAGGTCACTTCCAGTATGACCGTGGTAGAGAGGTAGTGCAGTAGCAGATTTTACACAAAGATTTCACCATTTGAGTGAAGCCTGGCCATTGGTGTTCTAAACCATGCTCTATTTTATGGTCGTATATTTCAAATTCAAACTGTGAAAAGCCCAATCGTGTTACCACATCGGTAGCAACGAGATCATTACAAGTAGCAAACAAATTCGAGCAAGATAGATGAGTATTATATGAACTATTTACTAGAGCTTTCTATCTCTCAACAAAGCCAGCACTGGGATCGACAAAGCCGCTCTTCAATTTGCCGCAATTGAGATCTTGCTCGGTTGCTTTTTTTGTTGTTAATTTTGCTCGTGTCATGATTTTTCCTTCCGGTCTTTGTTTGCCTGGTATGCCGATATGCCCACTGTTTGATCAGGTCATGAACAGGCAGCCTGGTGGTGTATGTTTGTTCGCCATGGGAGAAGGTGCTTTCGACTGTTGCTATAATTAAACAAAGACTCACTGAGTGCCGAGATCCGATAGACCCTACTCCTTTACAATATGAAGCTTTTCATTGATTGTGTTTCTCCTATGAAAGAACAGTATCGTGAGCGAGTTTGGTAGCCGGTAAAAATCAATACATGCAGTGGACCTGATTTCTAGTATCCGAGTTTGCTCGCATATTACTTGGGCCTGATCATAGGTATGATAGCCTACTAGGTAGTAGGCTAGCGCGTTTGATGGGGTACGAAAAGTACGGTACGGTGTACTTCAAAAATGAAATTGATGAACAAGCGTACATTGATAAGAAAACATCAGTAGCCTTTGTTGAAAATAGCAACTGGTAAAATCCACCGCGACTCAATATGAAACCAGAACTGGCTTCATAAGGTCAAACCCCTCCCGTCAAGCAACATATGTCTTCGCTCAACTCCCCAAAACTTCTATGCCTGCCCTTCTTGATGCCTGCCTAAAGCGTGGCGTTCTATCTTTAGTGTCTTTTTTCAAATAGGCACCAGGACGTCCAATATCTTAGCCCCTAACAGCCTCCACCAGGCTTCGCAACCGTGAAGAATCCCCATTGGTCTTGAATTTGACCCTGACCAGCTGTCACAGCATTGATTTGGTATTTCATGCTATATTGACACAGTCATCAGCTATCATGTAAGCAATTGTGGGACTATAATATCGCGCACCCTTTGTTGTTTTGACTGAATTGTGTCGCAAGCTCGGCAGAGACTGCTGGGAGAGTGTAGGTTTCTAGAGACGTGGAAACGACTAGAGGTGGCGATTGGCCCACAGGATAGGTTTCGTTGACATCGGGCGATGCCCCTGAAAAGTTCCAGAGGACGAAGGAGATATTGGGAGGATCGTCACTATAGTCGAGCCAGTGTTATAATTTTGGCTTTGACTTGCTTGATGTTGAGATCTCCAGAGACGGACAACCTACCTGGAGCGGGTCCATTGGACAGTCAGCGGCTTGGTTATGTCGACACATAGATCTTGGGGCGGCTGCTTGAATTTCAGTGCTGCTTGATGTTAGCTTCAGTTCGTGCCATTTGGTCATCTCAAGATGTACCTGTGGTGGTAAGGGCCAATCCCGCAAACAGAAATGTAATACTAAGCCGCATATTGTTAGAAATTTCGCGCACCAACTTGTTTTGGTCTGCTAGATAGAGCATTGTGACGACGGAATACATTTTTCCTTTTATAGAGCCCGTAGTCGTCGTGACACGAAGCTCGTATACTCTATGCCTTTTGTAGGCCCCCTATGCTGACGGTATCTGACTATGAGGCCTACTCAACAATGCAACGTTATGGCATCGTAGTCTAAGGTCTCAAGACCGGGAACCTGGAATATTGGGATGCGACCAAATGATATTGGCGACTGGAGACTTGCACTTTTGCCATATCGTAGCCCAAAAAGGGCCTTGCGCACAGATGCACAAAGTCTGATTACGATGTTTCAACTTCTTGGACGCCCAGGGTTTCCGGTTTGTAGGTCTACTGTTTCGAGGTATAAAGCTAGCTGAATTGAGACATATCGTGAGTAGAAGCTATGGTGTCATGCTGGATGATGTGATATCAAAGCCTCTCCCCTAGAACCAAGCATCCTCCGCTAGTGTTACTTAGGTTCCCGAAACAAAGTTGATCAATATTTGGTGAGCATTAGGATTGCAATACTCACTACTTCCTTGATAACTGCTCTATAATAGAGCTACGCCATTTTTCATATTGATTGATATTGGACTCGAATATAGTTGAGCAAATAAAATTGAGCAAATTTAGAAACCTTGGACGGTCCCAAACTTCATTTGACTTTGCATCAGTCTAGGTCCAAGGTGTAGCGCCTGTTAGACTGAGTGAGAGGTCGAGAAGTAGCGCTTTTCTTTGTTGTATACGAGCCAGGTTACGACAATGTTGCACAAAAGGGGTCGCTCTCAACAAGGACTTTTGCACAGGATGTACTAGGGTTATCCTAGAAGATATCGTAAACAAGTGAGGTTAATGGAGAATAATTGAATTAGGTACATGATCAAATTAGTGAATTTGGAAGCAATTCAGATTTGAAATCTCGTAATCAATTCGTGTCCAAAGGATCGGCTTTCAGCAACCAATGGCGGAGGTGAATGTCATTGTTGGTACACGTCAGTAATAATGTTGGGGCCTGGGTGGGTTGACATGTTTCAGACAAATCTATCATTTATAGGTTCAATACAAGATGTAATAGTTTCAAGGCGTGCCCCCAAGGGTCCCTTGCACCCGAAGCTCAATGTATACTCTGAATCTTGGAGAGAGAGAGATAAGGAGGATAATTGTTGCGCCAGTCAAGGAAGCTGCCCACTGTGATAAATGCCGGTGCTTCTGCTACCTCATTGTGGTGCACTTTTATCCAACCCAAATTATGATCGGTGAGCTTCAATTTATCTTTACTCTTCACCTCTTTTAGTTCCACATCATTTAATTGAACGATGCACCATCATATATTTTCCTCTATTTCTTTAGCCACCGCACTTGTTTCATTTGATGAGGATGCGATACACGAAGCCACTTTCTCGTATGAGTCTGGCACAAAAAGTGATACAATCACCCTGGCTGGAATCAACTTCGTGTTCCTGATCCCCAGATTGCTATCCTTATGTCCTCGGTTCTACATCAGAAAACGTACGAGACCAACTATGAAGTGTCCAAAAGTGCAACATTGGAGTTGGATCCGTCAGGTACGATAGTTTTACTCCCGCTCCTTGGACTTTCAGTTGTTACTGACTTAGACAACCAGTGGAATGGGATATAGAAGCACGATGGGACAATATAAATAATAGTGGCCAAAACTAGTGTTCTCCAAAAATTCAGGCAAGACGCTTAGATGCCGAGGAAGTACTCGAGTTGAGAGGTAGCATTGTCAGGGCCGCTACAGGTCGCCGTGCGAGAAAGCTTAGCGCAAAGGCAACATATCCCAAAATATGAACGCCAGCTAGAAGAGTGGACTGGTGTGCAGATGTGGGGTCCGGCGTTTCGGCCACTCAAACTATTATCCAAAATCCCCCCGCGAGGGTTGGGAGCAAGCCGAGATACGAATGTCGAACTTGTCGTTCTCTCAATAATATTTTCAAACGACGTGCCTTATTTTATAGGTGATTCAATGGAAATTCCCATCTATTCGTTCTCTTGTTGCATGGAAAAGGTATGAACAATGACCTCACGCATAAAACAAGGTTCGGAGTACAAGCCTATCTAAGCTTCGTGCGTCCCGAGCTCGGACAGATCCCGAGCTCGGCATGCCGAAACACAATGAATTTTGAGCCTTGTGGGTCTCATCGCTGAATGATCGCGACTTAGTTCGACCAACAAAATCTATTGCCCTGAGATTTCGAAACTGGTTGTTGAGTGATCCACCATGTGGTCCACGCGATAATTTTTTGCATATACGGCGAAAATTCTTGCGATCCGTCGCGAGTATGCACCTCACAACCTCACTTTGGCCAAAATGATTCTCAATGATAGTATAACCCTCAAAGACAGAATATGTCTGATCAGATGGGGTTGGTACTCGATGTCAATGGCCACTGGAGGTATAGCTGTGTTACTTGCCCGGACGCCTCACCAATTCACTGGACTTGACATCATCGGCAAGATTATTTACGTTTTCAACCTTGCCTTCTTTCTCGCCATCACTTTATGCATGGCCATCCGTTTTCTTTCTCGGCAAACCGCACTCAAAGAATCATTCCGAGATGGCAATGAAAGTTATTACGCACCAACCTGCCTACTAGCGATCGCGACCATCATCCTCGGAGCAGAAGGCTATGGAACCGACTCTTGTGGCCCTTGGCTTCAGGTTGCCCTTCGGATTGTCTTCTGGATCTACGTCGCGTGCGCCACACTCTTGGCGATTTTTCACAACTGGTATCTGTACCACCTAGCTATGGCTAGCCAGCAACCTTTCCCAATCGCCCAGCTACTACCCTCTTTCCCAGCCATGCTTTCCGGTACGATCGCATCATCCATCGCGGCCAATCAACCACGAGACCAAGCACTTCCAATTCTCATCGGCGGCATTACATTACAAGGCTTCGGTTTCATCATGTCTGTTCTCATTTATGCCGAATATCAATACTTCCTCGCCAAGCACGGTCTTCCGGAACGTGCCAAACGCCCGCAAATGTTTATCGCTGTCGGACCATGGAGTTTCACTGCTCTTGCATTGATTGGAATGGCAAAGGAGGCTAAAGAAGTCTTCCCTTCACAGTATATCATCTCATTCGCAGATCCACATTCTGCTGGAAGCATTTCTGTCAGCACTGGTGATATCGCACTCGTAATTGCTTCATTTTTCGCTATCTTTGTTTGGACAATGGCTTTCTTCCATCTTTGCATCGCTGTTATTAGCGTTCTGGCCTCTACTAGAATGTGCGGAGGTGTGGGAGCCCCTCCAATGTCGGTTGTGTATTGGGGTATGGTGTTCCCCAACACAGGATTCATTATTGCTACAATCAGCATCGGACAGGTGTTGCAGTCCCCAGCTATCCTATGGGTGACGTCGGCTCTGACGGTATTGCAAGTGATAATGTGGTTGGGTGTGGGAGCTGCAACCATACTTGCAGTTGCGAGACGCCAAATGTTATGGCCGGAGGATGTCAAAAGAGGAGAGGAAGACGCGCTTTCATGACAAAAATTTCAAGCCGACTCAAAGGCAACGGGAACGGCGAGCCTCTAAGAACTAGGAAACATGTATGTTCTATTGTCGAGTTCGAACTAAAATATGAATGTAAACTATACCACTTGTACATAGAATCAAGAGATCATATTGCTCATCTCCCATAAATATCAAAAATAAAGATCAGTGAGCAGCAAGTCCATGACTTTCAACCAATTTCCAGTAGGATTTTGCAATAGATCGCCGAGCCGATTTTCCAATTTTAATCCATAGCAAACAACCACTCCATAACACCATTCCCAGCACCGCTATCAGAACGAAAGTATTCTGCAGCCCCATATTCGTAATCATGGGATTCACTGCGTATGCAAAAGCGAAACCTAGCGAAGTATTGTCAGCTCACTAAGAATGTATCAATTGTTCTGCAAAGGCATTGCGACCTACCAATGGTGTTACGAATGAGAATAACGGTCACAATCGATTCTCCCGCCAGCTCCTTTTGGCTGTCAATGATATATGTAATGGCCAGGCCAGATCCCATCGGTAGGGTGACGCAAATGAAGGCCATTCCGATGACAACTCCAATCCATGGAATGTGGTGGCTTGCTCCAACGCCATAGAGAAGGCATCCCAGAGGATGAGCTAGAAGGGGAATCAAAAACATCCAGAGTCGGTCTTCGGGCTCCTTGATGCCATGTCTTCGTCTGGCCAACCTGATTGCAAGAATATCGCTAAGCCAACCGCTAAAGTAACATCCAATCGACACTCCTATCACACTTGCGAAGTATGTAAGACCAATCTGCTCTGTGGTGAATTTGTAGGGGACACCGCCCAGAACTTCCGCTAAAGAACCTCCCAAAACATTGTACCAGGCGAGAATACTTCCCACGAGAAGACCGGAAAAGATGGTTGTGGGGAAGCATAGAAGTCGGAAGGAAAGAATGATTGATCGAAAGAAGTTGAATGGCTGAGAAGGATGTCTTAATCCCCACAGCTTCAGCTTCTGGGTGTATGTTTTGATTTGGTAGCCCTCTTCAGCAATGATAGGAGTGACAGCTGGACTCTCTGGCTCTTTGGATTGGGAGTCCATTTTGTGATCGGTATCACTCGAGGACTCCAGATTGCTATCATCTTTGGGACTTGAAAATATCGGTTCCTGAATATCGACTTGGCGGAAGAACATCGTCTCTTCAAAGCAGAACAACGTTGCAACTGTGAAGCAGAGACAGATGATAGCCAAGATGTATTGTATCCATCTCCAGCCAAACCTCTCAGCAACGAACCCACCAGCGATAGGCGACAGGAAAGCACCACACCACAAAGTCCAGTTGTAAATACCCATGTGGAAGCCTCGGTCATGTGCAAAATGGATATCCGCAATACAAAGCTCGATCAATGCTTCCTGGGGTGAAACAAAAACGCCAAGAAGAATTCTATTGGCGTACCATTCACCCACCGACTTTATATACGCAGACCAGATTTGCATCAGCGCTGAACCCAGCATGCCAACCAAGAAGACTGGCCGACGACCATAATCCTGCGCAAGGTTCTGTGTCAACAGGGTCCCCCAGCCCATGAAAAGATACATGATGCCGTTTCCTGTGCTCAGGTCTGCCACGGAAATTCCTGTGTCTTCCGAGATCAGGAGATAGGAGGATGACAAGCCACTGATGAGGGCGGCGGCGAAGAAGCACCAGCTCATTTGACAGGTGCTGCTCAATAGTTTGCGGTAGCGGGACCAGTTGAGCGGGTCATCTGGATGAGAGCTTGGAAGTGGAATCAACACAATATCTTGCTGCTCTCTATTGTATCTCAGGCGCAGGGTGTGGTCTACGTCGACCTGCTGGACCGTTCCAGGGATGGGAAGAAGATCGTCCATATTTGTTGTTAGGTGGAGGTGGTTTAGCTCTTCGGGACCCTGATTATATATCTTGCCGCAGTGCTTTGTTTTTATCGATGAAACACCGAAGTTCAGCTTAGAGAAACACGGTAAACTGGTGATTTGAACACTGTATTAAAGAAACCGGTGACGCTCAGGTGCTGCAGACAGGAGATATTTATTCTTCCTGCATACCCCAATATTTCTTCAGGAGATTTTAGCTTTGAACTTTGTGATTAGAACAACAGATGTATAAGCTTGAGTTTTAATAGATAGACAAAGAAAGCGACTCTTTCAATACACATGTCTTATCTGACTTCTCCAATTCTGTTATAAACTCAGCGTTTTTGATCACAGAGGCTCCACGAAATACCTTATCACACACGGCTGGAGAACCAAGATAATAATAAACGATTGGACCGACGGCGGCTTTTAGAATTGGAATTTAACAGGGGTGTTGATCACATTGGTGTGAATGAAAGCTGCCAAGCGATACCCCGCGACACATGGCCGATCCACTCCCTTTCCATTTCTTGTTATCACTGTCAATACGGGTCTAGTTGGTCGAATATCAAGTTAAATATTGAATTGGAGTCGTTTACAAGACCCGAGGTTTAACTGATAAGAGGCTGAGACAAAGTTGTCCAGTCGGATTCTCCGTTGTTTTCGGTTCGACTCCAACCCCAAGTTTTCCGGTACCTGACCCACAGCCAATGGCTAATCAGCATTTGTTGGGGGGCCTTTGGGGTCACTTCAGTTGGGGTATTTGGGAAATGTAGACAATGTGGAATAGGTATTACAGTATTCCAATGGGCTACGCCAGTTGGCTGATCGGTAAGGATTGAATCAAGGAGCTCAGAACAAATTCCAAAGCCGTTGACCCCAGCGGAACAAAACGCAAATGAATTATCAAAAATTTGCTCGATCCAATAATCGTCAATTAAGCTTCATTTCTTTATGTATCTATTCGGTGGGGAAGTAAACCCCGTTAAACTCGTCGACAGCTTCTCTTGTCACCTTCACCAACTCGAAGCACCCGGGAACGTCGGAATGACAACAAATCGAGATAGGATAATCCTTAACAGGCAGTTCACAGGTTGATCCGTCGATCGCAACAACAGTGCATGTTTCCATCTGCTGTGTTACGCGTCTTCGGACCTCCTCAAGATCCCAAGCCCTGCAAAAGTGAAAATAACATTAGACCACATGGATAAGACCAAGAAGATGGAATGAATGGCTTACTTCTTTTTGCGCTCAATCAGGAGAGAAGCATCAGCATTGTATTTGACATCCGCATAAAACTCCGCGACGAAATCGAGTCCTAAATCTCTGGCGGCCTGTTCCATACAAGTACCTGGAAGACCAAACACCTTGACACCCTTGGGAATGCCCTTAAATACGGCCATGGCAGTGTCATAGTCCCTGCAACACATACCATAGAGCATCCCATGGGGCTTGACGTGGTGAAGGAGGACTCCCTCTCGATCCAAGAACCCCTTAAGTGCTCCAACTTGATAAACAGTGATTGCAGTGAGCTCGTCAGTTGAAAGTATCATTTCTCGACGGCCAAATCCCTGGAGATCTGGCAGACCGGGGTGTGCTCCGACTTTTACGTTGTGTTGCTTGCAGCTGCGAACAGTTTCCATCATGATGAGGGGGTCACTGTCAGAGTGAAGATATGTGAGCCAAATGCCATCAATCCCTCAGTATCACTTTGCGTGACATTTCTGATGGCCAATCGATCGGCACCATTTTGAGAGTCAGATAGAGGGCAAAGGGAGAACACATACGAAGCGTGGAATCCACAAGCAATATTGGCATGGTCAATGAATGGAAGCAAGTCTTCATCTGAAGTGATTGTCCAGTTTCCAAACCCCTCTCCTAGATCAACGTTGATCAGGGCTTTGTGTATGATAGGTCCCATAATGGCGCCTTAAAATATTTCCCGATTGGTTTTGAGTGATAGTGGTAGTTGCGAGAGTCTGAAAAATATTCCAAGGGTCTCTCGTGTGAAAGTCCTTCGATATGGTAATGGGCTTCGTCAGATCGCTTGGAAATAGTTGAAAATTTAGCAAATAAGACAATGTAGATCAAGCCACCGGGAAAAGTTGAACGGCCGGATCTTGCACTGGTTATCATATTTATTTGCTTGACTGGTACTCAGTTAAAAGGTCCACCTTTTGGAGCCGAGCCGGCCAGGAACCTGCATTATCCGGAGGGTGAGGATCGCCGAGTCAATTACGAGAACTTCTATTCGCCACCACTTCAGGTGCCACCAGACGTCACACAAGGGTTGCTTGCGAAGAAACGAAGTGTTTCACCAAAAATGGGTAAAGGAAAGGTACGGGGCGATTCTTGTAATACTATGGAAAAAGAAAATAGAATTTGCATGACAGAACCAAAGTATCTGAGTGATTTGATTTTTTATATACAAGCGGCTGTCCATGATTCCTAGGCATTCCAAATGCTCAATGAGTCGGTCCAGTACTTTCAAAGATACTATCGGCAGCATCGTTTGAGAAAGAGGGATCGCTTCCACCCACGAGCCCCAAAGTTGGAAACCAAGGCATGTAGTTAAGGTTCACCTGGGAAAATTGTTCATCCCACCACATCGACCAGGCATCGAACTGCGTGTCACGTTTAGTATCACCTGCACTCGACCGGTTGAGATCTAAAAGGCCGTTGTTTCCAAGATCAGGTCCACCATGAATGTACGGATGGGCATAATGCATTGTCGATGGCTGTGCTTCATGCCAAGCCTGAGAGATATCGGTGTGATCTTTTGGTAGGGTTGCTGATGATGGGAGTCTCAAATTAGACGCTGTCGGGTTGGTTGGCCGGGCCAAGCGCGAGTGCAGTCGACTAGCGAGGGTCTCGAGAAGATCGCCCCAGCGCGTACTCAGGTGCGTATCATCGATGGCAGAGTTACGAAGGCCAACAGCGACTCGCCGAACTAGATCAATGGAACTGGTTATGTCGATCTCGCTGATGCCGGCCGCGCAGCACTAAATCCAAGTTTTAGGGTCATGGAAAAAAAAGGACGAAAAAAAAAGCAATCAAAATTTGGCAATGGAGAATGAGAGTGATTACCTTGAGAAGAATCAAAGTTGCACCCAGAAGCCTGGAGTATGATCGAACGGGAATATACGTCAAACTTCCCCGGGGAAGAAGATCGTCGAGGACCGTTCTTAGAATAGTCCGAGCGGCTCTAACAGTTCCCCTTAAATGCTTTCCCTCCTCTTCCGTTGAAACGCCCCGTGAACCGCTCTCCAGTCTGCCACTTGCACCTTCACGGGAATTCCGATTGATGGCTGCTTGCAAAGCGAGACTGAAAACGCAGAGTTGGGCATATTCATACTCAATATTTAAGATATATCGTGTGTGTTTCGTCACTAGACTCGAATGAGCATTGGTCCGGACAGCTGCAGGTTGAATACATACGCTTGGCATTATCAAACTCAATAACATATTCATTCAAAAGTGGCTCAAGGCCCCGGACAATTTGGAGATACTGTCCATTGCGAATGATTTCTGCTGTATATCCTGGTGAGACGAAGAGAAGGTCGTTCGCATTCTTCATTATAGTCGCGACGCGCATCCAGCATTCTGTTGCATCATCATTCCTAATTCCAGGACTTTTGATGGAAGTGCATTGTGCCAGATTTCTTCGTCCTACAAAATTTAAGGCTGTTTATCAGCGTGTATCTTTCAAAGGGGTCGTATAAGACATTCTTGCCGAGGAAGTTATACCTGGTTGACCGGGTTGCTGGGTCGCGTAAACCCACATCAAGCACCGTATACGGTGAATTCTCTCCTGGTCACGAAGGATATTTGCCTGGTTGTGTCTAGTGTCATCTTCTTGCCAAAAGGAATTATCCTCGCAGAGAATACCCATCTCAGTTGCCAGCATCAAAACAGTAGAAAGCATGGAGTGGCACAGCCGATCTGATCGAGCAAGCCAATCATGTCCGGACCCAGGCCCGTGATAACCAGTCTTGCACGCACCTTTGCATGCTATTTTCGGCCCAGGGATCACGATCGACGACGTATCGTCGTCAGGGGGCGGAAAATGGAGAGCCCGAGGATGCCAATCAAGCAACAGCAACAATGCCTCGCAGGTCCCCAACGTGCGAAACCCGTGAGACCAACTATCCGTATATGCCGGCCGTGGGCCTCTCAGAGAAGAGAATTCACCCACGAACAGGTCTTCTGACCAGAACAACCGTGAAATCATCCCCTGTAGATATCTCCAAATCCGATCATGAACGATATAGGAGCGGGCGACCGCAGCCGGTCCCGTCCACTTTCGGTAACGCGACCCAATCATCAATATGGTGATGGTCAATACAGGCTCCTCCTCGATCAGCGTCGCGTGGTGGGAATGAGATCGAAAGTATTCCGGTACAACGGGCGAGAAGGCAGATTGGAAGTTGTAGAAATGATCAACCATGTCCAGCGCTTCCTCTGCCGTGAAAAGCCCGCCACGCACGAAACGGAGGTTCGACCAGGCGCGAAGTGCCCCATCAGTGCTTTTATCGCAGGTGCTAGGACCTGGATGAATGTCAAGAGGTGAGTCGGTGGGATCCGGTCTAACAGCGGAGGGATGATTGGTTGGTGGTAAGCCATCAATCGATTCCTTCCGGGCCTCACTGTGCTCACAAGCCTCTGATAGCAATGTCAATGCGTCATGATAAGTTCGGGGGTGACCCTCAAGCAAAGCAGCTGCAGCACGTTCATCTCCCGGAAACCTGTCTGTTCCTTGTACGGGAGAAATTAAATTGCTGTTAGACACAATTGTCGAATTGGGGGAAAAATTTGCATGAGACCTGGTAGGTTCTCGCACGAGAGGTGATTCCGCCTTTCGCTTGGTGGAGGTATTCTTTCTTATCCGCGATGCGGCAAAGAAACAATGTTTACCTTCTCTCTGGCATCGCGCACAAGGTGGTTTATTCGGACAATCGGCCGATCCCAATTCGCAGCGCACTTTTTTCTCCCTACAAGGCTCACAAGCCTGTACGATGTCAGTGGATCGACAGAATGGAAAATGCGGGGAGTTTTTTGAGGGGTCAAGTTCCACATACCTGGTACACCCGTTTGTGTTCCCTCGCGTGAGACGACATGAAAGGCGAAATGAGATGCCAAAGGACCCGAGCCGGGAATATCCAGGCTTTAATAAATCGCCGAGATAAGCGGTGGTTTCCAGCCAGTCGGATGCCCCCTAATTACCCCAACTCTTTGAAGCTTCACGTTGGAGATGATAAGGTTATCTGGAGGAGAGGAGACCTCGGCCAAATAGAAGTCGGATATACTAATATTTAGTTATTGGCATTTCCCCGGAGTTTGATGCGATCAATGCTGCCGCAAATGGAGAAATTGAACACTTTACTCATCGCAAATCGCGGTGAAATCGCCGTTCGCATCATCAGAACAGCCAAGTAAGAAGAGCGCCCATTCTCAGAAGGACCCCGAACTAACTCGAAGTCTGCAATAGGGAGCTAGGTATTCGAACAATTGCGATTTACACCGCAGCCGACGCAACCTCACAACATCTTTTGGTGGCAGATGAGGCGGTTCTGCTACCAGGCGACGATTCTACCGCGTATATCAACGGGTTTGTGCCCCTTCACGTTCAAGATGATTGCTATATGAGACTGAGACGATGATGGACCAATAGAAATGGAATCATAGAAATCGCCCGTTTACATCAAGTCGATGCCATAATTCCGGGCTACGGATTTTTGTCAGAGAATGGGGCATTCGCACAAGCTGTCGCCAATGCAGGGATGGTGTTTGTGGGTCCTAGGTCTGAAGCCATTGAAGCTTTCGGGCTGAAGCATCGAGCTCGTGAGATCGCTGTGGCGGCCGGTGTTCCAATCGTCCCTGGAACACAGGGACTACTCGTTACAGAGGATGAGGCCGTGGAAGCGGCAAATGAATTAGGATATCCTGTATTCCTCCCTGTCATTGTTCGCAGCTAGCAATGTCTACTGATATTGGTTTGTCTTAGGTAATGCTAAAAGCCACCGGTGGCGGCGGTGGTATGGGTTTAACGATATGCAAATCAGTGAAAGAGGTTCGAGAGTCTTTGACACAAGTCCGCTCCCGAGGAGAAACTTTGTTCAAGAATTCTGGCGTTTTTATGGAGAGGTATTATCCAGAGAGTCATCATATTGAGGTGCAGGTTTTTGGTAATGGGCTAGGAGATGCAATTCATATCGGAGAGCGGGAGTGCTCAATTCAACGCCGTCATCAAAAGGTTGTTGAGGAATGCCCCAGTCCATTCGTGGAAAAGCACCCAGGTCAATTGCCGCAAATCATTCAAACTGCATATGAACCCAAAGCTGATGAGAATTAGGTCTTCGTCAAAGGCTCACTTCTGCGGCGGTAGCTTTGACCAAATCCATTTGCTATGGATCTGCAGGCACAGTCGAATACCTAGTTGATGACGTGTCGGGAGATTTTTTCTTTTTGGAAATGAACACTCGGCTTCAAGTTGAGCATGGTATCACAGAGCTCTGTTATGGGCTTGATATTGTAAAACTCATGCTTCAACAAGCCGATCGTGAATTACGCGGTCTCGGGGGCTTGGGCAAGGAATTTCTGGAATCTTTGCAACCAGAGCAGCCTTCGGGTTGTGCGATTGAAGCTCGTGTATATGCAGAGAACCCTGCCAGAAATTATTCTCCATCCCCTGGATTGCTTCAACACGTTGAATGGAAGGAGCTGAGCGGCACTCGAATTGACACTTGGGTCGCTACTGGAACTCGAATTTCCACATACTACGGTGTGTTATTTGATTTCGAGATGTCATCAAAGGACATAGACTGATTCTACACTTTTAGACCCTATGATCGCAAAGGCCATGGTACATGATTCCAGCCGAACAGGGGCTATCGAAAAGTTGGGAGTTGTCCTGTCGCACTCGAAGATTTGTGGACCACCGACAAATCTCGAATTTTTGCACAGCATCATTCAATCCAGTAGATTCTGCACAGGTCATACTTTGACCAATTTCTTGACCTCTTTTGATTTTACCCCTGCTGCAATTGATGTCATATCACCAGGTTTGTATACTACAGTACAAGACTATCCAGGACGCCCAACAGCTGGGCGAGGAATCCCACAAGCAGGACCAATGGTGAGCCGAATTTCCCGGGGTCTGCAACAGTTTAACGACTTACATCTAGATATTAGGACCCATTAGCGTTTCAAGGTACACCGATCTCATACATGTTGGGCTTTTTACATGCATATAATTCTGACAACTATCTTCCTTGCAGTTGCCAACATCTTGGCTGGAAATCCTTCTAGCACTGAAAGCCTAGAAATAACACTGGAAGGGCCGGAACTACGTTTCCTAGCTCCAGCATGCGTATCTGTCTGCGGCGCTCCAATGGAAATGACGCTTGATGGGGCTGGCGTCCCAATGTGGACACGACTCTATATCAAAGCGGGTCAAACATTATCAATCGGAAAGCTGAATGGATCCGGAGGATGTCGAGGTAGGATATTCTCCATATCGCGGGTTTAGTCTACTAATTGTTTCATAGCATATCTCGCTGTTCTTGGAGGATTTCCGGCAATGTGAGCGACCAGCAAACATTTAGTTTTTCTCTCAAAGACTAACCTCATATGCAGTGCCCCATACTTTGGATCAAAGTCAACCTCCCCATTGCTTGGAATTGGTGGGTACCAAGGAAGATCACTCGCTCCAGGCGACATGCTGGCCATTCAAAAGCTTGATGCAGTTGAGGCAGTGCCTGAAATCTCATTGCCAGTCCATTTGCGGCCCACGTACTCCCGCCACTGGGATATTGATGCCATGGTTGGACCGTACGATGAGGGCTATATTGTACCTGAAGATATCGACATGATTTATAACACAATCTGGTATGGTATTCTGATATCGAGGATGAGGGGATGCACCATGAGACACTGCTAACTGTTTGGTTTAAGGGATGTTTCGCATAATGCCACGAGAGGCGGTATTCGCCTTGTTGGACCTACTCCTAAGTGGGCTAGGGAAGATGGAGGCGAGGGTGGACAGCATCCTAGTAACGTTATTGAATATGGGTACCCGAACGGAACATTGAACTGGACGGGAGATAGGCAAGTTGCGGTGGCAGATCTCTTGACGTTAATCCTACTGACTCAAATCACGAGTTCAGTGCTTGCATCTTTCCCGTGGATGCTCCTGACCTTGGCGGTTTTATTTCATCCACAACGATTGTAAAAGCTAGTCTATGGCGTATGGGTCAGCTAAAGTCTGGTGACACTATCCAATACCGCAGAGTATCATTGAAAGATGCTCTCCGTGCTCGAGCCGAGTCAGAACAGTTTCTGGAAGATGTGTCGGCATTTGTTGCCCGCCAGTGCGATTCGCATAATATCGAGCCAATCTCTAATTCCACGTTGCCAGAGTCAACTGTCTCTGGGAACTGGGGAAAGGCGTTGATTTACTGCACGGAGCTGGGCGAAACCGGAATTCCTATGACGTTTAGACAGGTAAGACAGAGTCCTGGTTACTATACTATACCCATCAATCTCTAACCGCTGCTGGCAGGGTGGTGATGAGTTCTTATTAGTGGAGTTTGGCGATGGGAAATTTAACCTCAATCATCGCTGTAGAGTAACAGCATTGGACCAAGCTTTTAGGAACTTTCAAAGGTCCGATGAAGTTTTGAAACAAGCTGTATACAAGACCACCGGATGCTGCAACTGTGAATTTCCTCTCCAGGCTTGTATAATTGACTTGAACTAACACCTGGTTTATGAAAGCGCTCCTAATACACTACGATGGTCTGAAGCTCCCTCAGGAGGAACTTGTCAAGCTCTTAGTATCATTGCAAAAGACGATCGGCGATATCGCCTATTCCAATGTCCCAAGCCGAAAGTTTCGCCTTCCCATCTGCTTCGAAAGCCCGGCTCAACAAGAAGCCATCCAGCGATACATGGAGACACAGAGACCACATGCTCCATTTTTACCGAGTAACATGGACTTCGTGGCCAACATAAACGGGATTACGCATGAGGAGTTGGTCAACATTTTCCTTTCAGTCGAATTCATAGCTATCTGTGTCGGGTTCTTCTGTTGCGATACTATATGTCTACCGGTTGATCCCCGCTATCGGTTGACATGCCCCAAGCAGAACCCTAGTCGCGTGTACACTCCAGAGGGAAGTGTCAGTTGGGGTGGATCATGCATGAAGTAAGCCTTCCCTTATCCATATGAAGTTGACGATGGAATTAAGATGATACTTTCCACAGTATATACCCCGTCGATTCCCCTGGAGGATATCAAATGACGGGCCAAACCATTCCCTGCTTCGATCAATTGGGCGTAAAACCTGACTTCTCACCAAGTCAGCCCGGCTTGTTCCGTGACTTCGACCAGATTACCTTCTACCGAGTAGACAAAGAAGAGCTTGAGCGTGATATGGCGCGCTTTCGGGCTGGTTATTACAAATTCCAGTACGAAGAAGTTAATTTTGATATGAGCGCCCACAACCGTCTTCTTGAGCAGACTAAAGACGAAGTCGCGGCATTCAAGTCTCGCCAAGCCACGTCACAGGTAAAAATGCTAGCCTTGGAAATGGAATCAATGGACAGGTGGATGGTCGAGAAAGCGCAGAACAACGTTCCTACTGATGAAATCGAACTTCTGAAAGAAGGTGAGCCGAATATAACGCAAAGGACTAAGCAATTTGGCACACTAACGGAAGATCGCCAGACCCTGACATCTTCACGTTGTACGCTCCTCTCGATGCAAATGTGTGGAAAGTCAACGTTACAGATGGTAGTGTGGTTTCATCTGCTAAAGCTGTTGCCATCCTTGAGGCCATGAAAATGGAAGTCTCTGTCTACTACAATGGGGACCAAAAGGATGGTATTGATCAGTCTTTCAGGGTCGAGAAGGTGCTCGTCCAGCCAGGTGATACCGTCAAGGCCGGAGATGCTCTGGTGTTTTTTAGAAATATTTGATCTGATATGTAATACTTAAGTATACTCTCCGAATGATTCAAATTATCTGGCCGTTGAAGGCCGACTCTTTATTTCCAAGTAGATATATTTTTTCTCGACGGTCCTCTCAGATAGCTACCAATTCGCGTGAGGGGCCTGATCCTCCGAGGACAGAGCTTAAAAGCGATGCTGGACACATATTGAAGATCGAAGAAATTATCGTTGATCATACAAAGCCCCTCGACGCCAGGCTCTCTTTTTTCATTTGGCTTGAACTTGATTATATTTAACTGATCTTATTCGTGACCCATTAAGATATAAGACTGTGTAGACCTACCGAGGCCTGAGCCCTGGAGCACCGGCGTTATTATGTAATGCCGCAACCCCGCAGCTCTGAGAATTTGTGGGTAGCGGCGGGTCGAGCCGAGTGTCTAACATTTAGATGTGACTCAACCCCAACTTCAACCGCACAACCTCCCAAAAAATGGCCTCAGATGAGTTTGTGACAGTGAAGACATTTTTGCCAACACTACCACTTCCTGCGAACAGCGAGCGAGCAGAAATCACCACAAATCGATTACTCATCCGCGCCCTCCAACCAGGCGACCTGGCAGCGTTCCGTGTGTTGCGCACACAACAGGATGTCATGAAGTGGACCAAGGCCGGGTGCATTGATGAAACCATTGAGATAACCAAATCGAAACTGGACCCTTTTTTACCACCCAACGATCTTATCACCGCCAATTGTGCAATCTGTTTGAAGGACACGGGAGAGTTTATCGGCATCGGCGGCTGCCACCTTTATCCTGCATCGCATGGGTGGCCTGAGGTTGGATACATGCTCCGAAAGGAACAGTGGGGTCAAGGTTTTGGAACGGAATTCTTGAGTGCATGGCTACGGTTTTGGTCAGAGTTGCCTCGTTCTAAGCGTGAAGTGCAGGTTCAAAAGGAAATGGTCGATAGGGAAGGGTCAGTCGATGAGCATCTCATAGCTATTACGGAAGTCAGCAACGTTCCTAGTCAGAGGGTGTTGTTGAAATCTGGATTTGAGCGATTCCGGGAGTTTGATGAGGTGGACGACGGCAAGACGGTGAATCTTGTTGCATTCCGCTATTTGCCATCAAAGACAGAATGGCGCAAGGGTCTTTGACCTGGTCACCTTTACTTCGCAAATTAACCCTGTCTTGAGTGACATTGGACTCGTCTTCCCCTGGGACTGTGGCGTTTTGCATTTCATTGTTCCCAACAACCCGCATATACCGGTTTACCGCGAACTCGGCTTCTCTTGGTCATTAGGTTGCACATACCCATTGCAAGACAAAAGTCAGGTCCTCTCAGGCCAGTGGCATAACCAAGTGTTTAGATTTACAAATCTCATCTTATGATTCTACAGACTACCTCAGACTTTCACATAGCAAGATCGCCCATATTCCACTCGGCCAGACTGTCAATGGATAAAGCCTCGTATAGGTGGATTATTCTTCTGCATCAGAGGACTGGATGTGACTATGCGACCAACACCTATTCGTCAATCTTAAAAACCTTACTTGGATTAGAGATCGCGCCAAAATTTTATACGATAATTTCCCGGCAGCGCCATCGAGGCCAGGCAATTGTAGTGAGATACTGTAATCAAGGTTAAATTTATATATTTAATACGATGCATATGGTATTTTTTTGGTCCACATGAGAATAGTCTCGAGAGTATGCCGTTTGCTAGCATTTTTTTTTCTACATGACAGCCAGACATATTTTAAAATAAATCAATATACTTAATTTTAGTGGATATGTAGGTACTAAAGTAATGAACTAATTGGTCATGGGATATGACATGTGGGTAAATCTGTGGGGGAAATCGAAGTTGGAAATATCTGCCCGAGTCAATCTGGGGGCCAACAACCATCTGCTTTGGACTCCGTACGTTATTACCACCGGCGGTTCACCAAGACAAGCCAAGGCCTGAGGAGCAGTGCCAAGGGAGCTTGGATCCCAATTCCACACGGCCACCTTCTTTTTCATTTGACGGCATCGCCGGTGTCTCTCGGCTTATTTTAACGGGACACCATTCTCCTACCACTTGCCACCTGACGGCGGACTTTCCAATATTGATTTTGAAACTGGCCTGCGGTCTTTCAGCCTTTTTGCGCTGCAAGGTCGTCGCTTCTTAATATTTATATTTTCTACATACTGTCGCTAACGAATGCCGACTTTCTACATATCCCGTGCCAAGATTGTCCATCTCTCCGCTATGGCCGAACTTTAATGATTTCGGAAACCAGCCGAAGCACAACGGGGGAATAAAGGAATTAGTCAAGTACAATTAAGGTGTGGGGCACATATGGTCTGCAGGGGTATCCATGGACCAAGGACTTGCCCTCTTTTTAGCGGGGAGCGAAACCTGGAGAGCGCCATCCATTAATGTGAAGCCACTGATTGGCTCGCCGCGAACAATTCCCGCCCTTGGCATGGGGTACGCTTTGACTTAGGCAGCCCAAGCCCTATACTCGATCTCTCTGCATTTGTGGAGGCGAATGGTGCCGCGGAGAAGACCGTAAACAGACCATGCCAAGAGGTTCGGAATCCTTTGAACCTAGTTGAGGCATATATCTGCAACCTTCGGCGACAGTCTCCATTATCAACCATGTCAGTCAGAACGAAGGAGCTCTAGATATTTGGTCCGTTCATTGGCAGATTTCACTGAGATCGGACGTAGCTGCAAGATCATTATCCATGTGGTCCTTGCTTGGTATATAACTTGGAATTTAAAGAAACCTTTTCATCGTCATCTATAATGGCAGGCTCTGCAGGATGCTAGTATGGATCAAATACTGTCGCTTTAAATTGGCATTGGGATACTCCACCTCAGAGCTCTACTGGTGGGAACCTCGTAGAGCTCTAGGCTCACCTGCCCTTGTTTGAGAATCGGAGAATTAAGGAATAACATGCGTCAATTTCATGTTCAAGAGTAAGGTTTGCATGCGCCGAGCCTTGGCCTGATGCATTCGACCCGACAGTACTCGGTCAATGAACCTTGCGTCTCTTACCCATGGGCCCCGGATGAGCCTCCTTGGCAGGATTTATAAGAGATCGTCCATGTCCTCTCACTGCACATATTCTCTCCCCTCACAGTATTTCTACTTCTCCGACTGCCAGCTTCAAATACTCCTACTGAGCTCGTCATCATCAATCAAACTTGTTATCTCGACTGAGCCCCGTGGCGCTGTCGCATTTATTGTTATAAAGCCACAGACCTCAATTCACGTCGTTCCCCGCCACCTAAAAGAAAAAGAAAAAATCGATATATAACAACATTTATCATGGCGGGTGGTGCTGCCATTAACGTATTCAAGTTCAACACGGGTGGTTTGCCCAAGGAGACACTCAACTTCAAGCTATGGTTCGCTGTCTTTGCATTCGGTCTCATGGGAGCCGCCCGTGGTGTAGATGAGGGTCTTATCACAGGTGTATTCAATTCCCACGCTTTCAAGCAATCTCTCGGTATTGACGACCTTGGGAAGACTGAGCTCGCTAGTGTCAAGGGTACTATCTCCTCCATGGTTCAACTCGGCAGTGTTGCCGGTGCTCTGTTGTGAGTCTTACCATTGACACATCTTGTCCTCGCTTGGAGGCTTGTGAGTATTTGCTAATCATGAAACAATAACAGTGCTTTCGTCGTCTGTGATCGTATCGGTCGTGTTTGGGCTACTCGTCAACTCTGCTGTCTATGGATTCTTGGTATCGCCATCTTTATTGGAAACAACGGTAGTATGGGTGCCGTTTACGCGGGTCGCTTCATTGCTGGTCTTGGTATTGGACAGACTTGTGTTGTCGGTCCCATCTACCTTTCTGAAATTTCTCCCGCTCCAATTCGTGGCCTATGCACTTGTATGTTTACTGGTGCTGTCTACCTGTGAGTCCATACCTTATCTTCCTACTTGTTCTCTCTCGTCCTAATATGCTAATCTCAAGTCCAGCGGTATCATGATTGCCTACTTCGCCAACTGGGGTACTCAAATACACATGGCGGATTCCTTCAACCGCTGGGTAAGTTTGAGCTAGTTCAAACTCTCTGGCTTAACTAATAGCTTCTCTCATATAGGCTGTTCCCACCTCGCTGCACCTCATGTTTGCCGGCATTATCTTTATTCTCACCTTCTTCCAGCTGGAGTCCCCCCGGTTTTACATCAAGCAAGGCAAACGCGAGAAGGCCCTCCAAGTTCTATGTAAGCTCCGTGGCCTACCCGCCACCCACCCGTACGTCCTCGAAGAAATCACCGAAATGGACTTCGCCTTCCAGGAAGAGATGGAGGCCACGCGCGGCATGGGCTGGAAGGGCCTCTTCAAAGAAATTCTTGGCATCAAACGCAATGCTTATCGTCTATTCCTCACCAATCTCGCTCAAAATATGGCCTGCTGGTCTGGTGGCTCCGCTATTACCGTGTACGCCCCGGATCTGTTTACACTCGTCGGCATCACTGGCCAAGAGCAGTCTCTATTCTCGACCGTCGTCTTCGGTGTCGTCAAGTTCGTGGCTGCCATCATCTGCGCTCTCTTCTTGGTCGATATGGCTGGTCGTAAACGCTCTCTCGTGATTGGAATTGTTCTCCAAAGTATTGCGATGTTCTACATTGCCGTCTTCCTCAACCTGGTACCCATTGCCGAGAATCCCGGCTTTAAGCCAGATGCAGGGCAAGGCCGTGCATCCACCGCCGCTATTGCCTTTATCTATATTTCCGGTGTCGGCTGGGCCTTGGGCTGGAACAGCGGACAATATCTGTTGTCCTCGGAGCTGTTCCCTCTCCGAATTCGTGGTATCTGTTCATCCATCACCATGGCCATGCACTTTATTTGCCAGTATGCCGTCAACCGCGCCCTGCCTGAGATGCTGCTTGAGGGTGGCCTTGGCCCTCATGGAACCTTTTACTTCTTTGGTGTCGTTTCCGTTCTCGGTGGTATCTGGGTTTGGCTCTTTGTGCCCGAGGCCGCCGGTCGCAGTCTCGAGACTATCGATAAGATGTTCGACCTTCCCTGGTACAAGATTGGTCTTTACGGAAGAAAGTTCGCTGAGGAGTATGATCGTGAGCAGGAGCGGATATATAGCGATGAGAAGAAGGATGGAGGCGTTGTTGTCTCTCACACTGAGACTGCCTAGTCTTTCTGTGTTAATTCCAGTTTGTATGGATCTTTATTGGAGGGATGCCTCTATTCAATACTTGTTAGATGTGGAGATATGAATATATGAATATATGTGTCGTCATTTGCACTTTTACTCTCAACCCTGTGCAAGACAGTTCCAGCCTCGCATTAAACCCGCTGATAGCTTTAAAACCTATGTCATGGTTATTTAAATCTCCAACAGCTGGCCACTCTGGATTACAAAGCAGTTATATATGCGTGGAGTTGTTGAGAGATGACAGAGTGGAGCTACCTGAGTCAAATTCCAAGGTTGAACGCAAAAGCTGAGCTCTTGTGCAGCGGTAAGGTTTATCTAGTTTTTCGTTTGCTTTAATGATATTGGTGTGGTAGAAAGCTGTGGACATCACTATAAAATTCATAAGACCAGCGAGTTCCAAGGTTTGCTTTTTTGATCGGTCCAATGCACCTTATGTAGTGTCATGAATTAGCAGATGATTCTGTTAACACCTTGTTCTCAATTCACTCTCAGTATAGTTTGTCAAGCAACGCATCTTGCGGGTACTATTTCAAGACTCCTTCTTCGGCGAACTATACTATATGGGAACATCTGCCGTACATAGGAGTCGAAAAGTCCTCGGGCCACCTAGATAACATGCCAGATTGAGAAGTGTCCTGAAGTAATTCGGTCATATAAGACATAATGGCGCGATATAATAACATCTTCTCGCCCGAGATAGCTGTCAAAACATCGGCTAAACCCTAACGAGATATACAAAACGCTACGTGCAATATCATATTGCTGCAAAAGATGTCGTTTGCTGGACCGTTGTCACGACATGGATCTTGGCTTTTCGTCATCAACACCCCGCATGTCGACCTGCAAGGCACTAGCGATAAGCATGCGAGGTATAAAACCTAGATATTCCAACAAGTACTATATAATCAAAATACAAATGATCAATACAACATTGTTCAATGGCTAGTATCACCCAATCGGGTATTGTTCCCGTCAAAAACACGCTTTACACCTTTTATCGAAGCACCCTTTTCAATGCCATCATCATTGGTCTAGTGAGCTTCACTCAGCCCGGAATATGGAGCGCTCTCGCTGGTGCGTGTCTTTTAAGGGTTGAAGCTTAAATACTAATACTGTCCAGGTCTCGGGGCCGGCGGCCTGGCTACACCTTTCTTCGTCAATGCAGCAAACGTAATAACTTTTGCAATTATGATTGTACTGAGCCCCGTATTTGCTGTTATTGGTAATCGATGGAGTCTGAAGTGGGTTCTTGTCATTGGGACAATAGGATATGCCCCTTACTCGGCTTCATTGTACACCAACAGCGTCTATGGAACACAATGGTTTATGTTATTTGGCGCGACAACTTGTGGTATCTCGGTTCGTTGATTATCCTCGCCTGTTTGATTGCATTTAAGCTGATGACTAAAAGGCCGCAGCACTTTGGGTCTCAGAAGCAGCCATTGGAGTTGGATACCCGGAGGAGAACAAGAAGGGCGCGTACCGTAAGTGGATTACTACCATGAACATTTTTCTCGTTCTAAGACATGTTCCCAGTGGCTATTTGGTTCGGTCTGAATAAGATTGGCACAATCATCGCATCCTCAATTGAGTTGGCTTTGAACCTCGGGAATGACCAACAAGGGTCCATTAGTTCTGAAACTTATCTGATTCTGATCGCGTTGCAATGTCTTGGCTTGCCGCTTGCACTCTTGATCTCCCCTATTGACAAATTAATCCGAAAAGATGGAACCAAGCCAGCGCGCCCAGAGAGAACAACATTCGCCGAGGGTTTCCGCAGATTCTGGCGGGTCATGAAACGACCTGAAATTGCGGCGTTGGTTCCCATCTTCTTGACCAGTCAATGGGCACAAACATACGAAGGCAACTACCTCACGGAATATTTCACGGTACGAGCTCGAGCACTAGCTGCGTTCATCATCACCTTAGTGGGACTTGGCGTGAATATAATCTTCGGCTGGTTCTTGGACTACGATCGTTTGAGTCGGTCTACCCGGGCTCGGGTAGGATGGATTATCCTGGTCATCACATATACAATCACTTATATCTATAACCTGGTCTTGGAAGCTGAGTATGAAAAGATAAGTCCAATTTTCGATATCGAAACGCCAGGTTTTGCACGTGCGGTCGCTGTTTATTGTGTCTTCTTCGTACCTTATAACGCATTTGCTGTGTGGGGATACTGGATCCTTGGTTGCTTCGATGACAAGATCGAGAACCTGACGTTCTCTACTGCTGTTTTGCGATCAGGCGAGTCATTCGCAAGCACTATATCTTATGCACTTGGAGCCTCAAAAAGTGTCTCACTGTTGAAGAACATATTGGTGGCTTCGGTGCTTTTCTGGGCCGCTATTCCAACAACCACTTGGAGTGTATGGCAAGTGACTGAATTCAAGAAAAGAGATGAAGACAATGAAGAAATAAGCGATACAAGCACGCAGGTTATCAATGTCACAGTCAAGGACTCTGTCGGTGTTTGATACTTTCGCTTATGTGAATAAGAAGCTGTTAGGGAACAATGGGTCCAATGAATTTTAGTGGTTGTACCTAGGTAGTACTTTCCAATTTCCCTCGAGTCACAGATGTATATATCTGGGTGATGTTTGCAAGGGTTCAGCGCGAGAGGCACTAATCTTTTTCACCCTTTCAAATTTCCTGAAATAACCTTCATTGGCCTTCTTTATTCTATAGCACTCAAGGAATTGACAATACCAAACGTTTTAGTAATGCGTTTCTGAGCTCAAGACCATACTACCAATGTTGAGCTGTCATCCACCCTTCAAGCTATTCTCGCTATTCCTCGCTCTGAAGCCCCCCTGGACTGGCAAGAGTGCGACCAATTGACGAAACTGTCGAAGGTCCGTCATAAAGATCAAAATTAATATGAAATTAACCAAAAACCCAACGAAAGGCCTGTTCAGTCCGTTTTTCTGTTTTAATGTAACTATGTTGAAAGAAGACATTGGCCTTAGAAAAGCTGGTGACTTCTGCCTGAGGCTTCCTTGCAGCATCCTCGGCAAAGCCTGATGTCATCTTGTCCTGGCTATCTTCAACTTCCAAGTTATTTTCTTCTTTTGACAATTGAGACAAGCATACTCGGTCGCTACAACTGAATGTCTTTGTGGATTTTCTCTCTTATATCGCATATTCCTTGATTCAATAATTATTGTCTCGCGACCATGGCCGCAGCCACATCGCGACCGGCATTGCTTCCCTCCGCCGCACTGCTTGTATACCCAGCGACATTATTACTTGGGTCCCTATTTTCCATAATATCACCGACAGCAAGACCTTCACGAGATTCTTCCCTACACCCCACAAGCCCCTTGGCCCCATCTCTCGCCTCAGACCTGCACATGTCCGAGGACCCTGTCAATTATTTCGCTCGCAAAAATAATGTCTTCAACGTCTACTTTGTGAAAATCGGGTGGCTTTGGACAACAGCCGCCTTCGTCTCGATTCTCCTCTCTTCGCCTATCTACTCTTCATCTCGTCCATCATCCTCGTCGCAGCAAGAGACCCGGTTCCGACGTACCCTCCAAGCCGTTCTACGCTACGCACTCATCACGACAATATGGTACCTCTTCACGCAGTGGTTCTTTGGACCAGCGATTATTGATCGTGGATTCGTAGCCACAGGCGGAAAGTGCGAGCGCGTTCTCGAGGAAGCTAGGGAAATGGGAGTTAAGGGTGGCAACCCCGCCGACCTGGAAACATTGTTCGCGGCCGCGACATGCAAAGCTGCCGGCGGGGCTTGGAGGGGTGGACATGATATCAGTGGCCATGTCTTGATGTTGGTTCTGGCTACGGGGCTTCTAGCATTCGAGGCTGTCGGAGCTAGCGCGCCTGCATATCTGTCTCGCTTTAGCACAACTGTGGATGTGGGGCGCGAGCGCAAGGCTAGTGATGCGGATAGCAGCTCGTTAGCCGAATCATTTGAAACGGGCGGATTTGCAAAGACTTGGACTTTGCGACTCGTTTGGGGTGTTGTCGGCTTGGGCTGGTGGATGCTCTTCATGACCGCAATTTGGTTCCACACTTGGTTGGAGAAGGTTCGTGCATCCTTTCAAGATTTACATCATTTTATGGTTTTCATGCTTACTTTATACTTTATAGTGGTCTGGACTACTCATAGCTCTGAGTGCCGTGTGCACCGTTTACATCCTCCCAAGACGCATGGATGCCTTGAGGGATGTTGTCGGACTTCCCGGGGTATAGAATCCAGGGCTGTATTATTCCACTAGTCATCGTTACCTGTGAACATAACGAATTATAATAATAGAGTCCTTTGTTTTTAAAATAGAAGCAGAAAGCTCCAACGGGGTGTTCAGTTTTTGGTACCATTCATGAATTTACAATATTCTCCGTGCAACATCTGAAGCGCAGTATTGATGCTTACTGCCCCAGATAACTACTTATGTTTTTCCGGTGCTGTTGCGGGCTCCTTCGCTAGATACCCAGCTCGAAATGCTGGAGTTGAGAATGGTCAACGACAGATTTCGGGGCGGGATCGGACTGTATCACTTACCCCCTGGTATCAACGCCGAAGCATACATCACTCGTGTAATAGGCCTCAGGTCTTCCGGCGTTAGACCGTCGGATATCGACAGCTCCATGTATGGATCCCAAGCAGCGACGATGGCATCAGAGTAACATTTGAGATTGACGGAACGGTCTTTTTCTGTGTTTGCCTCAGACTGGCATTGTATGCCCATGCTCGTACCGAATTCGCGAAAGGCCAATCGGAATTTAATATTGCGCTCCAAATACCGGTTTATCTCGAAAAGGTTGTCTGGCACCAGTCCTAATCAGCATGATTCCCTGCTTGAAACACTGAAATGAGGGCACTTAACATATTTGTTCGAAGCATTTTTCGGCCAGATTGGTGGCCCAGTACTCCTGTTCTGAAAACCAATGTGCCGTCCACAATGTCATACCCAAATCCAACGGATCGCTTGAGACAAAGTGCTCCCCCTTCCGATTCATGGCGCGCCTGTAGTCACCGATTTCCTGCGCCAGGACTTCGCCATCTCCTGCCTCCATGGACGAAGCTTGCAGGAGTCTAAAAACGACGTACCCATCAATTGGGTCGAGATTGCCCTCGGATCTCACCATTGGGGCTGTAAGATCCATATTCATCTTCCAGATCATTCTTGGCTCGGCTGCGGCCCGATCGATGAAGAACTTTGGGTGAACCGCTTTCGCCAGCTGTATCGCCTGCCGGTTGTACTTCATTTCACCAGATGCCCTTGTCATCCGATTCAATGCAAACATCCACACTGTCAGGTAATGGTGATACTGCCCATCGCCATCTGATCCCCGATCCTCTAATTTGCCAATTCTCAACCCGCCACCGAGTGGGTTCGCGTCCGTTGCTCCTGGCAGTCGCGAGCGGCCGTCTCGGGTCCTCCCCAATACGTCATGGACAGTTTGAACCAAACGGTCTGCCAGTACGAGGTAGCGGTTGTCGATGTTTTTATCGATTCCACATATATTATACTCATGGTGCATAGTCAGGAAGTTGACGACCCCAAATGCATCCGTCCATAGGTATCTTCCGCGGTGCCCGCCTGATTTCGGGGGTGGTGTCCACTCTGCTGGGTTCTCTATGCTGACCAAGCTGCCATAAAGTGAATTCATGGCTTGCTCGAAACGATCCAGACGTGGTGATGGGCTGCTGGTTGGGAGTGCCATTTTGAACGTTTGCGAGCTGCAACTTAGTTGGGCATATGGACAGCTTGGCTGAATGAATATCCGTTTATGAGGGCAGATTAGTAAAGGTGAAATCGGCGACCGCATCAGTCATTGAAGTGATCTTTTGATCATTTATTGCCATCATTTCGGGCATATTGGTTTGCCTTCGGGTGAGGTCATAGTGATTGTGTGCTTGTCCGGATGGAAACAATTCGCTGGGAAGTTGCCCGCATGTGAGAACACTGTGAGCCAACCTTGGCTAATATTCGCATAATTAAAATGCTCTGGCCAGTTTTTGCTTCCTCTGCTGGCATATCTTTAATCTGTGGAATGTCGAAGTGTGTCAACTCCAGCCCATACATCCATGCGCTTGATGTCGTGTTTACGATCATCTAGAAAAATGTCTGAACTTCAAGATTTATTCAATTCAGCAATTGAGCCGCTCCCTGAGATCCACGACAAAAGTTTTGCATCCCATTTTGATACATTCGCTGAGAAGCAAGTCATCCTTCTAGGTGATGGCAGTCATGGCACATCCGAGTTTTATTCTGCTCGAGCAGAGATCACAAAGCGACTGATTGAACGACATGGTTACACCATGGTCGCCGTCGAGGCGGACTGGCCCGATGCAAAGGTTATCGATCGATACGTACGTCTGCGTCCAGGTCCCAAAGCACAAATAGGAGGTACTGCCAAGGGATATGAGCCGTTCAACCGATTTCCGACCTGGATGTGGAGAAACGTCGAAATGCAGCGACTGGTCGAATGGATGCGGGATCGAAACCATAGAATGCCACCGGAAAAAAGAGCCGGGTTTTACGGATTGGACTTATATAGCATGGGCGCCTCGATCGACGCCGTGATTGACTACCTGGACCGTATGGATCCAAAGGCAAGCAAGCAAGCGCGGCTGCGGTATGGGTGTCTCGAACCCTGGATCGAGGAGCCTGCATCCTATGGCTTGGCATCCCTGCGTGGGATGGAAGATTGTGAAGGACGAGTGGTGAAGATGCTGCGGGATCTTTTAGAGAAGCGGCTGGAATACGCGCAAAGTGGCTTGCGAGATGCCGATGAGTACCACAGTGGCGAGCAAAATGCTCATCTCGTTCGTGATGCCGAGAAGTACTACAAGACCATGTACTACAGCTCAGTGAGTTCGTGGAATCTGCGCGACATCCACATGTTTGAAACCTTGGAACGCCTATTGCGGTTCAACGAGGGACAGAAAGCTATTGTCTGGGCACACAACTCCCACGTTGGGGATGCCCGGTTTACCAGCATGGGCTCTCGACGCAATGAGCTTAACATTGGCCAGCTATGTCGTGAGCAACTGGGGAGCGAGAACGTAACTATCCTCGGCTGCGGCACTCACACCGGCACTGTTGCGGCAGCTCATGAGTGGGACGATGATATGGAGGTTATGCCTGTTCGTCCCTCTCGAGCTGATAGTTGGGAGATAGTAGCTCATGATACCGGGGTACCGAGATTTGTGCTTGATCTGCGTCGTGATCGTATCGATCCCGCTTTCCGCTCTGCTCTCGCCGCTGAACAACGTCTGCAACGTTTCATAGGTGTCATTTATCGCCCAGATACGGAGCGTAATTCTCATTACTCGCAGGCGGTTCTTCAAAAGCAGTTTGACGGTTATGTCTGGTTTGATGAAACACAGGCTGTTAATCCTTTGGAGGTCATCCAACCTATCACGCCACTTGGAAAGGGTGAAACTTATCCATTCGGCTTGTGATACTTTGGGCAAATACATAGACTAGACAAATTAAGAGAGTTTCATTCATTTGGGCTCAGATTACACTTCATCGTCATATTTAGTATCAGTGTTAGTGCTTTGCTAGTAACTCAGCACCAAAATACTAGAATCTCTTTCGTGTGCTATCATCAGAACTACTCAATTCGTCAACAACTTGGACAACTTCATACACTATCTCATTTGCATTCTTTCCTCTACACCATTACATTTTGCTATACATATATGATCGTAGGCTTTTAAATACATATTTATCTATATCTCCAAAGAAAGAATGTAAGAAATCAACCAGTATAGGGGGGAAGAAAAAGAAACCTTCCTCCCTCTCCCAGAAGGGCGCTAGAATCGAACTTGGGGTCTCTAACATTAAGATTCAAGATTCGATCAGCAGTCGAGCGTAAAGTGCTTCGCTAGACTCCGTGTGTCACAGCTTCAACCTTTCCTAGGCATTTGATGTCTTCAAAATTCAATCATGGCGCATTCACATTGAATGCTCGTTTTTCGTCGGCTCTACGGCTTATAGAAATAAAATTTGCTGGAATTTTTCTTTCAGATCCATCATTAGATCAAGTTAACCATATCATTACTCTCAGATATCCAGGTTGATGCGAAGATCATTATAGATACCAACTATGCCGTTTACGGTTTAGCGCATGGTTCTTCGGGACCGAGATCTCGGGACCGAATATTTCATTTGAACGTCGTCTCGTCCTTGCTCGACTCTACAAAAGGTGTGGAAATATTGAAACCTATGATAATTGAAATTTGATGTCGGAGATTCAAGACTTTGGGTAGACGTGACAGCTTTCGTGGATTTCGAGTTTGCGATTCGAAAATTACCACACAGACTATCTCCACACGACAAAAGATGTCTGCTATAACAAGAGGTCATTCATGCATCCTGTGCCAAAGGCGCAAAGTCCGCTGCGATAAACAAAAGCCATGTGGAAACTGTGTCAAAGCAAACGCCGAGTGTACGGTTATCCCCCAACAACCTCGAGGGAAGAGAAATCTAGCGAAATTACACGGGAAAGATTTATTGGAAAGATTAAAACGATATGAAGAGTTGATGACTAAAAATGGAATTGAATTTGGCTCTATTGCACATGGAGGAGAAGATTACGGGGAGCCCGAGACACCTAATAACGAGAAACCATTTCCGAATCAAAATGCGCGGGGCCAGAGCTCCGCCCGGACAAACGAGGAAAGGCAAGGATCACTTCGTGGGTAGACTTGTTGTAACTCTACTAACATCTATTTAGGGATCCTAAATGGTTTGCTTACTATCATGATGTATGGGCAAAAGAAATTTTAAAAGGGATGCAACAACTAACCTGGCTATTCAGTATCGAGCCACCAACGAGATGTTACATGGCTCCTCCGAAGAGGAATCGGACCGACCAACAGTTCATCATGCTTTTGACGCCATGTTTGACGAGACAACTGGTTTCCCATTTATCGCAGGTAGCTCGCAGGCTAGCAAAGAGGTTGCATACCCGTCTTCAATCCAGAGCATACAATTGTGGCAGATCTATATTAACAACGTCAATCCTCTTTTGAAAATCAGCCACATACCCACACTCCAGCCCCAGGTCATTGAAGCTTCCGCAGATCTTGACAAGATTCCCAAACCTCTTCGCGTCCTAATGTTTGGAATTTACTTCACGGCGGTTAATTCAATGGCCGATGAGGAAGTTCAAACTACCTTTGGAGAAAAGAAGTCTATCCTCATGGCTCGATACCGCAAGAATACTGAGCAAGCTCTTCTCGATGCTGGGTTTATGAAATCCAACGACATTATGATGCTTCAAGGTTATGTATTGTATCTGGTGGGTTGTGTTCCTTTCACTTACTTAAGCTAAGCCATGCGCTAATATTGACAATGGCAGATTGGCCTGAGGCCATACATGGACCCTCGCTCACTCTTTTGTTGCATCGGTATTGCCGTCCGCATAGCTACTCGACTTGGATTACATCGAGATGGAGCCCAATTCAATATGTCCCCCTTTGAGACCGAGCAACGGAGACGACTGTGGTGGCAGATTGTCGCCCTTGACAAGCGAACTGCTGATATCACCGGATCACCCACTAGTGCACTCTCTTCCTTGGGAACTGACTGCCGGTTTCCACTCAACGTGAACGATATAGACCTGCACCCACATGCCAAGGAGCCTCCATCACCCTCGACTGGTATCACCGAAATGACCTTTTTTCTCACACGAATAGAAATCACGATTGCATCTGCCCCTGATGGTATTCGGCCCAATCCCAAAGTACCGGATAATTTCCGGACGAATGGAGGCTCGTCTACCTCCGCTTCAACTCGCAAGAGAGCAACTCAAAGCCAATCCGATCATCTCGACCGATATTATGCATATATGGAATCAGTCTATCTCGAGAAGTGCAATGCGAATATTCCCATCCAGCTGTTCATATCGATGATGACTCGCGTGTCATTGTGCAAACTCCATGTTCTCGACTTCATATGCCGAGGTACCACCAGCGTAGACACCGAGATCCGACAACGGGATACTGGTTTTTTAGCTGCCATTGAGCTGTTAGAAGCAGACAACGCAATCCGTAACACGCAAAGCCTTCGCGGATTTATTTGGTACAGCTATATGGAATTGCCTCTACCAGGGTATCTTTTCCTTGCCAACGAACTACGCCACTACACTACAGGCATTCTATGCCAACGTGCATGGGAAGCTATCGTTCAAAGCCCATATAACCAAGGTCTTAGTCACAACCTCCGAAGCCCTTTGCATGTTGGTCTTGGGCAGGCAATCTTGAAGGCTTGGGATGCTCGTCAAAATTCAGAATTACAGCTGGGAAGGGCATTACAGCCTCCATATCTCATTGTCTCACTTCGTGAAAGCCTTGCCAGCCATATTCAGAAACAAGGTCCCATCCGAGCGGATTTCGAAGATTCTAGGGATTTTGAAAGAGGCATGCATCCAAGCAGCGTTGAATCGCGCCAGTCGGACGAAGCAGCAGATATGCTGCTCAATGCCGGTACGACGTATAATTTCACAGAAAGCATAAATTATACGCTTCCTTCGGCTGAACTTGATTATAATCAAATGGTTTGGACAAATTTGATGCAATCTGGTGCGATTGGCGGATTTTGGGGTGATCTTGACTCACTTGGGCAGTAAAGCTCTTGGTTAATTCAATATGGGCCTTTTTTTGTTCGGTTTTAGCTCGAGATTTCGATTCTTGCATGTGCACGTCTTTTGTCCGCAACTCTAGGCATCAGTCTTCACTCGGTGTAAAAAACCGGTCAATGGCTAATGCACTTGGCCCGTTGAACCAAATCAGGTTGCTGCAGACCCCGGTAACAATGGGGGCCGTCTTCAGGCATTTGCCGTGATTGACGAGCCAGCGACCAATACATTTTCAGCTCCGACATGCAGTCGGAGCTATTCGGGAAAACGACCATATCCGACTCAGCAAGTGGGACGGTGCTAAGCATTAAGATATGAAAATTGTCTTCCAAAGACCGTGCCATCAGCTTGGCGTTCTCAGCTGCAGTGTAATGCATTCTTAGCGATGCTACTTTGTGTGCTTATGCCTCGCTTATGTTTACTAAGGGAATCTTCACATCCCTTTGTCATTTTTCACAGTTCACTCTCAACAAATGAAAATAAGGACTCAACCCCCTGAACACCTTGATTGATCAGGGGAGAATATTGACCTAAATCTCGGAGGGTACCAGTGTTGGCGCCGAAACCGGAAGGTCATACGAGCAGATCAATCAAATCAATCAGATAACACCGATCAATCTCCACTTTATTAAGTCCCTTAGGTCCATTAGTCCCTTTTTGGATGGTGAAATTGCCCGTCAGCACTAAAACTGTGCCGCTTTAAAGCCATAGAGTCTTTATTAACCACTTCTAGAACTATTTTCTATCCCATGAAACGCCAAATTCCGGTGATCATCGGACACAGTAACCCAAATCAGACCGGATGATTTGTGTTTAACCAATTTTTGTCTAGCTTCCTTCTCTAGCCAAGTTTCTGTAAGCTTTTTACAGTCATAATATAGGAGTCGAAATTTTCATCTACGGTCCATACCGCCAGGTTATAGCGGCTAGCATATAAATCCAGTGTCTCATAAGTTGCCGTCGAATCGGTCTGCTCATCTTTTCTGGTCTATAATATTTGCTCTTGTGAGCAACATTTGTTCTATCCTTTAGATACGCAAGCAAGTTTAAGTTGTGTTGTCACTGCTCTGCTCAATTATCGACACCATGGCTGTCAGAAAACGTTTCGTGAACCCCTTTGCGCGCAGGGAGTCCGAGAAATCTGCGACTGATTCGCACGACATTGAAACTCATGATGATTCCAAGCCTCCCTTTGAAAAGCCGCAGGAGACCGACCAGTCTTCAGATAAACAAATTATTGATGAAAAGGCTCAGGCGGGTACTCAGAAAGCCCAAGCCAGTACCCAGGCTTGGACGAAGAATACGTTGATCGCAGCCTATATTCTGTAATACCCTTCTGTCTTTGACACTTTATCGAAACTGTGCATCTAATATCTTTCCAGTGTTTGGATTGTCAATTTCCTAGAGTACTTCAGCTCTGGACTCCTCGGCTCCTTATCTCCTTATATCTACAGTAGCTTTCAGCTACACTCTTTGACGGGTCTGACGACCGTCATCGCTTCAATGATATCTGCTCTGATCAAATTCCCCTACGCAAAACTCATGGATATTTGGGGTCGTCCACAAGCCTTCGGACTCGGCGTCGGATTCCTAACCCTCGGACTTATCATGATGGCCGCTTGCAAGAACGTGCAAACATATTGTGCTGCTCAAGTCTTCTATCAAACAGGTTTCAGCATGATTGATTTCTCCATTACAATCTTCATTGCTGATACCACAGCTTTGAAGAATCGTGCGTTCTGGATTGCGTATGCGGCGTCTCCATACCTTATTACACCATGGATATACGGCTACGCTGCGAACGAGATTCTCGCTCCTGGTGGAATCGGCTACCGATGGGGCTTCGGTGTCTTTGCCATCATCATGCCAATTGTCAGTGCCCCGCTTTGGGGTCTGTGGTATTACATTCAGAAGAAGGCTGAGAAGATGGGTCTGACAGAGAAAAAGAGCAGTGGAAGGACTTTCTTCCAATCTGTTATATTCTACTGCATCGAGTTCGACGTGATCGGATTGCTGATTGTTGCCACTGGATTTTCGCTTTTCTTGCTCTCATTCAACCTGTACTCCTACCAGCCTGGGCAATGGGCATCCCCAATGATCATCTGTTTCGTTGTCATTGGTTTCAGCTTGATTATCACCTTCACCGTCTGGGAAAGATACTTTGCTCCGGTGAAATTCATGCCATGGGAGCTTATTCAAAACCGTACTGTCTTTTTCACTTACTCCATGGTGGTCTCGTTGTACCTCGCCTGGTACATCTGGGACAATTACTTCTATTCCCTGCTACAGGTCTTGTTCTACCAAACTATCCAGGAGGCAACATATATCTCTAACATCTACACCATCGGCTCCTGTTTCTGGTGCCTTGTTTTCGGCGCCATTCTCCGCTACAACGGCCGCCTCAAGCTATGGGCCATCTGCTTCGGTGTTCCTCTAACCATCCTCGGAGTCGGCCTTATGATCAAGTTCCGTCAACCCGATGGGAACATTGGCTATATCGTTATGTGCCAGATCTTTGTTGCTTTTGGTGGCGGTACTCTCGTCATATGTGAGCAGATGACTGTCATGGCTGTTTCCGCTCAACGCAATATCCCTGCTGTCCTGGCCATTGAAGGAGTGGTTGCGAATATCGGCAGCGCCCTTGGTGGTACTGTTGCGGTCGCGATGTGGACTGGAATCTTCCCTGTCAAACTGAGATCTTACCTCCCTACATCTGCTCAGGCGGACTTTACTACTATTTACGGTAGTTTGGAAGTGCAGCAATCTTATGCGAAGGGATCGGCAACCCGTGATGCCATCGACCATGCGTATGGTGACACTCAGCGACTCATGCTCATCACAGCCACTTGCCTTTATCTTATTACTTGGATCTCTTGCTTCTTTTGGAAAGATCTCAATGTGAAAAAGATGAAGCAGCAGGTGCATGGAGTACACTTCTGAGTGTAGGTGCGCTGAGCCTTATAAAGCCACCGAGGGCCTTGAGACCCATTCTTACTTAGTTGCAAGTCTCAATATATTTCATTTCAATTGAGAGTTTGTTGTTTGAAACTTCAGCGTACCTAGCCAAGATTTCTCGGATTTGGATGTCTATAATGCACCAGCAAAAACATTAAGAATAAGAAAAGAACCGGATAATATGTTTACAATTACTTTGAGAGGTACCTAGATATTAATTTCATCATTCTGATATCTACATTTAGTTTTCAATGATTATGACGCAGGGGCGGGCCCTCTTGTGCTAGTCGCTGGAATTTGACTGCTTTCCGCAGCACCATACCCTGACTCAATTGATCCGTTTCTTGACGGAAGATCTCTTGCCACGGGGTACCACTTGGAGCCACCTTATAACCATCGACACCTAATGCCTCCCTTCGCTGCGCGATCTCCTCATCCGTAATGAGGATGTTGACCCGTCGCTTCCGCAAATCAATGCGAAGTCTGTCGCCATCTTTCAAGATGGCAAGGTTTCCCCCGGCCGCAGCCTCGGGGCTGGCATTCAAGATAGAAGGGGATCCCGAGGTTCCTGACTGTCTTCCATCTCCAATACAAAACAGCCCATCAATGCCTTCTTTCAAGAGACGGCCTGGTGGGTGCATATTCACGACCTCGGCTGCTCCGGGGTATCCAATTGGTCCAACACCACGCATGACGAGGATAGTCTTCGCGTCAATATTGGGCGAGTTCTCCAATCGCTCTTCGTAGTCTTCTGGTCCGTCAAACACAATAACAGATCCCTCGAAGGCTTCCGGGTCATCGGGATTGGAAAGGTATCGCTTGCGGAAAGATGGTGAGATAACACAGGTCTTCATAATAGCAGAGTCAAACAGATTTCCCTTCAAATGGGCGAATCCAGCATCCTTCATCAGGGGCTCATCGTATGGTTTGATAACGCGACGGTCCCATGTATGCTTTCCGCGAACATTCTCTGCAATGGTCTTGCCGTTACATGTGAGGGCATTACCGTGGATTTTGCCCTGGTCCAACAGTTCAGCCATGATTGCAGGCAAGCCTCCGGCACGATAGTATTCTTCGCCAAGGTATTCTCCGGACGGTTGCATGTTCAAAAGCAGAGGAATTGAAGATCCAAGATTATCCCAGTCATCCATTGAAACTTCTACACCCGCGTGCTGAGCGATGGCGTTAATGTGAATAGGGGCATTCGTGCTTCCGCCGATTGCAGCATTGGCCACGATTGCGTTCTCAAAGGCCTCGCGCGTCATGATATCAGATGGCTTACGGTCTGTCTCTACCATCTCCACTATTCGTTTGCCTGTCTCATAAGCGCATTGAGCTCTGTGGCGATAGGCAGCGGGGATAGCGGCGGATCCAGGTAGAGCCATTCCTAGAGATTCTGCGAGGGCATTCATTGTAGATGCAGTTCCCATGGTGTTGCAGTGGCCCACTGACGGAGTTCTAGGGATTTGTTAGACGTTGTGTTAAACCTTGAGGCACGAAAAGAAAAGACTCACCCTCGGGCAATGTAATCCATGAACTCATTGTCATCAATTTCTCCAGTGGCATATAGCTCTCGGCCGTGCCATAGGACAGAGCCAGCTCCAGTCAAAGCTCCCTTGGAATATCCATTGAGCATGGGTCCCACATTCATACAGATAGCGGGGACGTTCTAGTGAGAAAATTAGAGATATCTCAATCATTGCCCAAAAGAATTGACTTACCATCGTAGCAGCAGCCATCAAGCAAGCCGGGGTGGTCTTGTCACATCCAGTAAGCAACACAACACCATCCAGGAAATATCCGGTCAGAATCTCCACCAAACCAAGATACGCCAAGTTACGATCAAGGGTTGCAGTGGGTCGTCTTGATGTCTCTTGAATAGGATGTGTCGGGAATTCGAAGGGAATGCCACCAGCAGTTCGAATACCCTCGCGGACGCGCTTAGAGAGTTCGATGTGATGGCGGTTGCAGGGCGCAATGTCGGATCCCGTCTGGGCAATTCCAATCATCGGCTTACCAGACATGAGTTCTTCTTTGGTGATACCATAGTTGAAGTATCGCTCCATGTAAATGGCCGTCATGCCAGGGTTACTGCGGCAGTCAAACCAAGCAGAAGAGCGAAGTGTTCGTCCGGGCTGTCGGATGGGAACTTGGGCATTCTCAGCGCCACTTGAAACCCCCATGCGGGTTTCCAGTTCTTGATTGCGTCGGCGCAGAGCCTGCAGCTCGCTCAGACAATCTTCAATGTTGATGGACTGGGGCTGAGCTTCATTGCTGCATGAGCAGCCCTCACAGGCCTTTTTTGGATCAGAACAGGCCATTATGTATAGGGAGTATGTGTTGGATTTGACATTTGCGTGGGGTGCACTGGATTATATATGGAGGCGTCTCCATTCGTTTGAAAATGTGAAATTGCGGGGTGCATCCGGGAGACACTTTCCGAGTCAATTTCCGGTCGATATCGTGGGGTTGCCCCAAGTGACGGAGATGAGCCGAGATATTGTCTCTCGGGATGTTATGTTCCGGGGCTCGGATATTGGTATTTCCACGTTAGTAACACAACAACCCCGAGGTAATAAAGGCTGTTGACTATTCCCACTATCTTTTATATTTTCAAGTATCGTCGAAAGTGTTCTTTCCAAAATGCAAGGTCTCAATCGCGTGAGAACAGTCCTCGATAAGGGCGAGGTCGCTCTCGGTGTGTGGCAGCTGTTACCCGGTAGCAATATGTCTCGCACTCTAGCAAGAGCTGGATATGATTGGGTTCTGGTGGACTGTGAACATGGAAATATCGATGGTAAGTCTATTGAACCAGCACGAATGTCGAGAAATGCTCACTTTCTTCTCAGATGCCGCAATGCATGAAGCCGTCCCCGCTATAACCTCATACGGCGTGAGCCCGATTGTTCGTGTCCCGGACTTCCAATCCTGGATGATCAAACGTATGCAATCTATTCCGCTACTATATTAATGAGTGTCTCTAACATATCATGCAGGTGCTTTGGATGCAGGTGCACATGGAGTACTCGCACCTCTTGTGCGGACAGTGGAAGACACAAAAGCTTTCATTGAAGCCTGTCGATTCCCTCCACAAGGCAAGCGAGGTTTTGGCTCGCCATTCCCCATGGACCGGTTTGGTCGAAATGTAACAGCTACGCAATATCTCACCGAGGCCAATGCCAACCTCCTGCTTTCTGTTCAAGTCGAGACCAAGGAAGCATTCGAGAATGTCGATGCCATCGCTGCCGTTGATGGTCTCGACTTGTTATTTGTTGGACCCTTCGATCTGGGCAACGGAATTGGCCACCCTGTGCTGGGAGCTACCTTTGCGCCTGAACTCGAACGGGCTATTGAGAAGATCCTGGCTGCTGCTCACAAAGCAGGGAAGAAAGCCGGGATCTATTGTGCGAACGGAAAGCAGGCAAAGAAATATGCCGATTTAGGGTATGACTTAGTTAACGTCATTACTGATGTTGGTGCTCTGACTAGCTCCCTGGCGAGTGAGATGGAAATTGTGACTCAGAAAGCAGGCAAGACTGCCTCGGGTCCATATGGTAGTTAAATTCGGCATTTCATATGAGGTAAAATACAAAATCTCAAAATATACATTGCCCATTTCGGTTGTTCTTTTCCATCCTTAATTCATGAGATCGTATAATTTCCATAGTAATATGACATTTCAAACCCCCAAAGAATGCCAGAACGAATGCGACTCGACGTCAACCTGAAATCCCTGAGCAATCGCCTCAAGGTCCAGATCTGATAGTTCTAGGTTCATGAGTGGAGAACCAAATTCAAGCGCACGATCTGTGAGGCCTAGTTCCGTAGTATTATTAGCAGACTCCTCCAATATAACACTTTCTCCTGTGAAGCATTGTACGGAGCCACCTGAACGCTCATTTTCTTCCGCACTGATTCCCAGATGAGAGATCAGCTTGTCAAGGTTCTCCCTGGCTTTTCCTGCTGCTGCATAAAGCCGCCTGTGTTCGACTAGAATGTTGCGGCACAGGACTAGGGATTGGAAAACTGTGGAGTTGCTTCCTTTCTGTGCGACGATTCGGGCGTGGATCGTTGCGCTGATGTACGTGGCATACGAGAGCATGTATGGCGCTGTACTGAGGGAGAATTGTTGCGAGTAGTCGTGGAGGATCTGTACGATCTGGTTTGCGGCTGCTGTGCACGCATTAACTGACTCGTGAGCAGTCGCTGAATTTATCACGCCTCCGTGACCACCAGTGATCAATGGGCGGTGTACAAGAATTATAAGCACATTGAATAGGGCTCTTGTAGATAGTTAGCAGCGGTGAATTAGTGTGGGTGAAAGGAACGTACAAGAGGCAGGCAGATTGAGGTAACAAAACAGCCTGATTCGGGAACGAGAGGTAGTCAAGCTGATGTGGTAGACTTTCACGCCATGTCCGCAGCTGTGACTTTATGTCCTGGGATATACTGGCCCTGTGAACCAAGTTCAATTCTCGAGATTCAGAATAGATCTCACGAAGAATACGCTCCACTATGGTGGTCAACTCGCATAACTTTGTGAGTAAAGAAACATTGAGAGACGGAACCACCCCTTGAGGCTTGATAGCCATGTATGTGATGTCTTGGAAAGGTTCTAGCTCATCGTAATCATCTAAGAAGTCCATTGATGCTTTCAGGTTGACGTGGCTGAGAAGGGGTGGTCGTCCTTGGAACAAACATTGGATTTTATCGATCACTGTCATATGGGTTAGAGATACGCGACGACAAAACAATCATCCACAGGAGGAAATATCTCACGGTATGCTCCCCAAAGAACTCGTTTCCGGATTTCAAGTTCTTCGGCTGGAATGCTGTCCACAGCTGGGAGCACATGGAGACCAAGATCAATGAACATATTGAAGGCATTGCCCGCATATAGCCATGACAAACTTCGTTCATCGCACCTGGAAAACAAGGCGTTAGACATTATAAGCAATGCCTGGATTGTGGTGATTTCGCTTTTGTCAAAGCAGTCTCGAAGTAGTTGAGTGAACCGTTGGCGGAACTTCCAACCGGCGGTCGTGATATCATTTGGATCTGATCGGAGCTCAGGCCGAGGGCAATGTTTTGACACCACAAAGAATATTGCATTTAATAACAATTTGGAGAAATATGGTCCCTCACAGGCCATGTCTCTCATGAATGCGGGACGATAGATGATCTGTGCCGTGTATAGTTGACGACTCCAGTAGATCGAGAGTAGATGCATGCCGATCTCAGGATCGACATCATCGAAATCAAGCCTCCCCGCCGCAAGGTTCAGTGGCTCTAATTGTCCTTTTTTCTTTGAATCAGCATCCCATAGCCATACGAATAATGGCAGGATCGAAAATCGAACTTACTTTGTCTTGCTGTTTGCGAAAAGAGAAAATGCCGTGTTCCCTGCTCATTCGATTGGCCCTCGGGTCCGGTCTGCTCGCTATAGTTCGGACTTGTGTCATCATAAACTGTACTAGTTGGACCATGATATAAAGATGTGTTTCGGCGATCACTTTCTGGTAATTCCGGGTGCGATGCATCTCTGGTTGCATTGGGGGATGCATCGTTGCGCGAAAGGCCAATTCCGCCTACCCTTGAGAAAGGCAATGGAGTTCTTGGCGTGCTGGTTGATGTAACGGAGTGGTCCGTATCTGATTGAAGTCTGCCAGCAGGAGCCACGCTGACAGCCCTGAGCTGGGCACACTGCTTTCTAAGGGCTTCATTCTCTCGTTCTAGTTCGGTAATGCGGTGGTTGGTTGGTCTAGATGGACATATCAGAGCCTTAATCACTATCTGTAGATCTTCAATCCTACCTTGGTTTATGCTGGACAATACCTAATTGGCAATCGATACCCTTGGCTACACAATTACCACATTGGGGTCTTTGTGCATCACATTTCAACTACTCCATTCGGGGCGAAGATTAGTATCCCCAGCATACGTTATGCAACGATTCCCTAAATACGTACCTTTTTTTTACGACAATGCACACAGGCTGCCGCCGATCGATTCCTTCCAGTCGGCATTCTTCAAGGGATTATTTGATGACTCTCGGAAACTCTCCTTCCGAGAAGATTTCCAGTGATGATGTCAGCGATGGGGAATGTGGCCTTGAATCTCAGGCCAATATTTGAGCCCATGAGTTTGTATGAAAGCATCTGCAGCTTGAGCACAGCAAAAGACCTATCATGTACGCCAATATGTTGAAGAATCAATGGCCACCGTGATTCTCTTCGGACAAGCCTCTTGATACCTGGTTAATGAGGGTGATTATGGCAATTAGCACAAACAATTTCGGTGGGCTCCACAACTCTTAAATTGGAGGAAATCAGACAATGAGTGAAGATAAGAGTTAGCATATTTCCTGGGAGTTGTGCAGGTCCCTGGATACAAGTTTCCCGCCGCGGTGGGCAACAGCGGATGTTGTTGGTGCAAGCGTTGAAGCAATATATACACAACTCAAGGACGTCTACTTAAACGCACTGGAGACGAGCTGTAGAATCATTCGAAAAAGCATGTGTCATTTCAAGCGGTCGTTTCTGACCCAAGAACCAAGCCCAGCTTGATATGATTTGAAGTTAAAAAATTCAGAAAAGGGAAAAGCCCTCGATACAAACGCCAAGCCCAAAATGCTAGAATGCACCACAAGCGCCAGGCTAAAATGCAAACACCTATAGCGAATCCCAATGAATCAATGAGCTTCACAGCCTCAACTCAAAGCTTCAAGGAAAGGAAAAGCCAAAGCGAGACAAGATAAGTCTCTAAGAATCGAGAGCCTCAATTCCCAGCCCCAGTCGCATCCCCCTCAACCTTTCCTCCAGAGGCAGCCACCGCGCGATCTACCTCCCCTCTGCACTCAGGCATGGCGCTGCGCATCTCCCGCGCCAGGACGTCTCTGAAATCCGCGAAGGCCTCGCGTTTCCCACGCAAATCTTGATTGCCGCGCTGGACGAGCTCGACAAATTCGCGGGTGTAGATGTCTGGGTTTCGAGCGGAGTCGACGTAGTCGATTATCTCTGGTGGGAGCTGGATGCTGGCGAGCGAGGGGTTGGAGGGGTCGATTTCTGTTTGGGGTTCTTGGGATTGTGGGAGTTGGGTGTGTGTTGAGAGGGTTGAGAGGGCGAGGGTTAGGTTTTTGCTGTTTTGGGATTTGGATTAGCCTTTAGTTTGTCTGATAAGTTGTAGTCTGTGGTGTTATGCCGAGAGTGGTGCTAGTGCCGGTTGGAGGTGTCGGAAAAGCTTTGTTTTGCTTGCATGGTGTCGTTCATTCATATGGGTGTGCTCGTGGGGTTCAGGGTGTGGCAAGGCGGACGTACACCTTTCGCACAAGCTCTTGCTGTGTCTCTGGGCCTAGATAGCCATGAACTGCGCTTTGAATCTCGAACAGATGCTGGATGACATCTTTGAGGTCGTCTACGTCACGGGTTAGCTGTATGATTCGGGTGCTGGCTGCTGGGACTACTCACTATCGACCGTCTTTAATGTCACTGGCGTCATGATCTGTTGTGTTGAAAGAGCGTAACTGGAAGGGAGATTTCTCTTGATTTTGCGGGGAGAAACAAAGGCGGTGTGGGGCGATGAATGTAGATCAAGATGGCCAACCGAGTGCTACAGACAGCTACAGCTACAGCTACAACTAAATAATGCAAAATTGGCAAAATTTATGTCAGGGAACTTATGTCATGTCCAATATGTCACTGTCTATATATGCATAGCTCGCGGGAACCAGTCATTCCCCGAGTTGAGTTGCGCCCGCAGGGCGAACACTAACACGCTGAAACCGCATCATGTGTGAAACAAGACTTCTCGCATTCTACACTTCCCGGGTCCTCAAGCTAGGAAACTTCGGGATCTCAATCTCTGTTTCCATCTCGATCCCAGATAGGCTTGGGAACCTCTTGCTGAAGTTGGCCTCCCAGTCTTCTCCGGGACTCTGGGGAGTCGCTTGGGAGGAAGGACGATTGTCATGGCCAGTCCCTGGTCGGGAAGCACTGCCACCAACTTGCAGATTTTTAGGCTTGGGCGGCGCAGCTGGTCGAGTGACGGGGCGTTGTGTGGATTGCTGAATTCCCGCAGGAGCACTCGCGGCGTCTCGGCGGGTCGAGGGTGTCAGTGAGCTGTTACGAGCGCTGTAGACGGGTCCCGGTGCGCGAGAACTCGAAGGTTGACCGGAGAGGTTGGGCTGGACCTCGCTCTTCTTTGCCTGCAAAGGAGAGGAAGTCTCCGTGAATCGACCATACCCAGTGGCAGTCTTAGGAACGACTGGTTTGTCAGATTCCCCAAGCAACGACTGCACTTTGCTCTGGATCGTGCGAGAACGAGGTCCTTCACCCACCGCCCTGCCACCATCACCCTTTTCAGCAACCCGCCGGCGATACTCAGCGGCGGCACTCGCAACTCTTTTCTCCTCCTGGGAGAGTCGGCGACGCTCCAGCTCGCGGCGCATCTCTGGCGAAATGTCGTCGCGGTCCGCGTCTTCGAGCGCACTCTCGTCATTCTGGGAATAGCCTTCATCGGTCGAGTCAGACGCCCCGATCAGGCCTTGCTGCGGCGCATCCTCTGCCGATGGCGATGAAGGTTTGTCTTGGTTACCAGCCTCAAAGCGGCGGAATGCGTCTCCGAACCGACCAGCAAAAAGGTTCTTACCGCCTGAGAGGGACAAGTTAGATAGGCTACCACGCTTGCCATGTTTATAGCTGCCGCTGGAACGTTTCTCGCGCTTGCGGTTGCTCTCCTCTTCTTCCATGGCACGTAAATATTCGACGTCAGAAGCTATCTTGGCTCGGTCGGACTCACGATCCACCTCTGTGCGGACGGATCGCAGGGGCGCACCTCCCTCATACTGCATGCGCGACATGTCCAAGGAAGACCGGGAGCTTTCAGTATCGCGCGGAAGGTCGTATCTTGCTCCCGATTGTACTGACAAGGGTCTTCCTTTTCCAACGGCTGATCTGGAACGTCCCGCAGACTCAGTAACCTCTAATGTCGACGGCCGTCTCAAGGTTTCCATTGAGGGGCGGGCAGAGCTTGAGTGAATGGATAGGCGGTCAGATGACACCCGTGGACTTCCCTCTGGCTTCAAGCTCGACATTGGAGGCGAAGACGCTTTGTGCGGTCTGGTTGCTCTTTGTTCCTCCTCTGCTGTCCAGGGCTGGCTGGAGGATCGTTGTTCATGATCGGAAGCTGGGAACCTATAGATCGGGCGGCTCGAGATCTTCGCCTCTGGCAGACGCGGGGTCTGAGCAGGCGACGTCATGGTACCTGTCGACACCATTGTGGGCCGCTGTGGAGCAGGTTGGTACAAGGGCGTAGCCTCTCGAGGGGCCTCGCGTGCGACGGTTGCTCGCACAGGAGAAGCCTGTGAAGGTCGCTTATAAGCAGGGTTTGGCGCACGTTCAGGCGAAACACGTCGGGCAAAAGCATCATCAGCCAAGGCATTGGTGAGTCTCTTTGAAAGATCCTCATCTTCGGACTTGGGTTCCACGGTGGGTTCAAATTCGAACTTGTCGCCTTTTTCGTGCAAGATATCAAATTGATCCAGGGATGGGAATCGTTTTGCTGCCTCCTCTGCATTCCTTCGAGCTGCATCGCCGTCCAAAGCTGCAAACGGGTCATGTGATGAACTAGGAGCATTATCTCTGTACGGCGAGGGGCTTGGCCGCGAGGAGCTGGGTTGGGATGAATGGGGCCTCCCTGGTCGACCACGGCGCATAGGCGCAATCTCCGGGATAATCTCAGTTTCCTGCACCGGAGGTGAAAACTTTGCGCCGGGGGCCGGAGCTTCCGTGGGAGTAGGAGGTAGCTCTTGATACTTGCGCGCTTCTGAAACAGAGCGATCGGAGTATATCTAAGCTGCGGTCAGTATCAACTCGGAAAAGGTGTAAAGAAACGTACGTCTTTGATGGGAACGTCCTTTCCTTGCATTTTGCACACCTCGCGCACGACTTCATATATATTAGGTCGCTTGCGCGGGTCTTCTTTCAGCATTGAGCCTGTGCAACTCCGGATTAATCACTCATATGCATCGAGGACCAAAGGAGTCTCTCGAACTTACCGATCAACAGCTTCAACCGACTCGAGAATGAGGGGTAAGAGGGGTATTTGAAAGTCGCGTTTAGAATAGCCATCTGACCGACTTCTTCAAAAGGAGTTGTATAGTAGCATAGTTTGTACAAGAAGACACCGAGCGCCCAGATATCACTCTTTTCATCAATGGGTTGCTTCCGGTAAACATCAATCATCTCTGGGCTGCGGTACTGCAGCGTTGTATGGCGCTGCACATCATCTTCAATCAGTCGGCCCTCAGCTGCAGAAGTAGCAGCCGGACGAGGGGGTGCCGACGATCCAAAATCACAAAGTTTGTAGGTCGCCGAGCTTCCCTTGCCGGAGATCAAGACGTTCTCGACCTTCAGATCGCGGTGGAGCAGAGGCGGTTTGAGGTAATGCATACAAGCAACTCCCTCTGCGACATCGGAGAAGATCTTCACGATCTCAGGTTCTGTCAAGCGGTGCTGAAGCCGAGTGTTCATGAAGTCGATAAGACCACCGCCGGCGCAGTACTCCATGACCAAGAACACCTCGTAGCCGCCTCCACGTAACTGCGAGGCATGCGAATCAATATATTTCACAATGTGGCGGTGACCCTTGAGTTTCTTCATGGTTTCCACCTCCGTGCGCATGTTGGCCAAGGCCGCTTTGTCGGGGACAGCCACCCGCTTCAGGACTGCCGAGTCGGTACCATTGACAGGTTGGGGCAATCGCACCACGTATACGTGAGCGAAGCCACCTTCGGAGAGGTACTTTTCAATCACCACGCGATGGCTGCCGACCTGGATCTTTGTGCCCGGAAGCAAGGTCCCCGCGGGTGCTGTCACTGCGGCGACAGGGTTGTAGGCGGGGAACGAGCGAGTCGTCGCGGAATGACCGTGGTGGGATTGGGAGGACATGGTGTTGTGATGCCCTTGAAGGGCAGGTCGTAATTTGGTTCTCGATAGCTAGCGACGCGGCATAGGAACAGAGAGAGGGAGAGGGAGAATGGGGGGGGGGCAAGTTTGGCGGAGATTGGTGCCTAGGGAGGAGGCTAAAGAGACAGACTGGTGGGGAGGCGGAGCCACGGGGTAGGTAGTACCTGACTACCAGACTACCGCCGAATGAATACAACAAATTCGAAGCTGAGTTAAGATAGAAAGTAGGCGATCAACTCCATTGGAGAGAGTTGGAATCTGAAAGGAAGGCCATCCAATCACCGGTTGCGGATCACGTTCTGCCGAGTCCTGTTCCTCTCGGACACTTGGACATAGTTACACACTCTCACATTCGCTCATTCACTCTACAAATCTCCATACGGGATATTAGACTAATATCCAGTTTCGAAATGACCCGTCATGATGACCCGTCACGATGAACCACAAAGATTATTATAAGGGCTTGAGTCCTCGATCATTCCGCATCTCATACCTTGGTCATGGGATGTCTCTATGGCACTGATGGTGATTATGAAAAAAAAAAAAAAAAGGTACTGTTGCCCTGCATTTCTCATGGATTCTCAACAATATTGTCTCCAACTTGAACACTCTGGACCCACTACGTTCAAACTATCTGGCCTCAACCGCTTGACCGCAATATCAACACGGGTGTTCTTGCGCTCCGCTCTCAGCGCTATAGAGTTACCAAAACTTTGAACATGTACCAAGGTTATATCACTGGGGGGCCTATGAAAGAAGAATTAATTCTCAACATCATAGAATTTGGAACCGATTTGATCACCCTGAAAGTACTTTTCGTAACCTTAATAACATTGATTCAATCCCGGAGGCTCAACTGGATCGAAGCCGAATACAAACAACACCAAGCAGCACGGAACCAGAATGATAATACCCAATAAAACTGACAAGTCAGGTATTCTTCATTCTATATGAACACCCATGTCTTTCATCATATCTTCTCTCCATTCAATGTATGCCAAACCATAGCCCAGGCATAAGAGGTCAGAGGCAAACAAATAACGGGAATATTGTTATTCCGAAGCTGACATAAGAAAAGCTGACTTTTTCCAAAAGGGTAAAATCAAAACAAACCCAAAGTACATTGAGATGTGTTGTGCCTGACTCGAAGCACTGATGCGTTCGCATTCAAATTCATTGTTGCATATAATCGCATAGATATTTTAAGACCCATAGTCAAAGCTTTAATTGATTTCAGCCAAAACCAAATGTACACATGTAGTGGAAAGTGACAAGTTCCCAGCGTACATGCCCTTTCGCAAGTTAAATTCCACGTACATTTCTATCCTTGAATCGCGTGGTCTCGAAAGAATGCCCTATTTTATCTGATAAGATGTTCCGATGAGTACTTTACGCTATATATCTTGAGAACAGTACACCAAGAATATCAATTGGGATGGCCACGTCGAATGATGCAGGAAGCGTTGGCGCCGATCTCTTAGTGGCTCCCTCTTCTCCCAAACAAACCCCCCGTGGCAACTCTTTGGTTTCCTCGTACGCGCCGCTTCGATCCGAACTTATTGTCTCGGGATCTTTCTTACATCTGTTTGTTTTTTATTTGTTTTTTGGCCGAAGCGAACATTTAATATATACCAGCACTGAGCGCCGCCGGGCCTCAGTGCAATTCTCAGAGGAATAATATGACCTGGCAATTGACGCTCAACGAGAACTTGTCTATCTAGGAATCGATCCCGGTGATCATTCCAGGTCGTACTGCTTCTGCACTGCCTTCGCCTTCCGATCGCGTTTAATTATACTCCTTGATCTGACATGGACGGACCGCCGCCACCCCCGCCGCCTCATGGCGAAAATCCCCATACGACTGAAGGCGAATATCGCAAATCCTCCGACCTCCCAGATGGCAACTATGACATCTTCATTATACCGCCTCACTCTGCTGGCTCGGGCTTCGTCTACCTCCCCTCTCTCCAATGCAATCGCAACAGCTTCCTGGCAGGTGTGGCAAGTACACTCCTGGTCATGCTAGTGTGGTCCTTTATATCCCCTATCGTGAAAGCATGGTACCTGGCCACTGTTTCTAGTGGCAGTGGTACAGGTATGGCAGTGCTTGCAATCGGAGTCGGCTTGGCTGGGTGGGCTTTTGGATCTACCCAGTCAAACCGCTCGGGAGCTAAAGGCAATGGCAGCGCTCGAGGACGTTTCGGTGGTGGTTCTGGCGGTCCCGGCGGTCCTGGTGGTCCTGGAAATGGCGGACCAAATACCAACCAACAGTCCTCGGGCGCGAACTACGGAGGCAACGGAGCGGGCCAGCAGCAGCAGCAACGCGGAGGAAATTATGGTGGAGGTCAAGACTACGGCAACCAATATTCCGGTAATCAATATCGCTCTGGTCCTCCTCCGAATTCTGATGATAACACTCGTGAAAAGGAGGAGGCTGAAAAGCGCGCCAGAGAGGAACGGGCGAAGGAGGAACGGGCGAAGGAGGAACGGGCGAAAGAAGAACGAGCGAAAGAAGAGCGGGCGAAAGAAGAACGGGCGAAAGAGCGCGCTAGGGAAGAGCGTGCTCGGGAGGAACGCGCTAGGGAGGAACGGATTAGGACAGAGAGAGCAAAGGAGGAGCGTGCAAGAGAGGAGCGTGCAAAAGAAGAACGCGCCAGACAAGAGCGTGCCAAGGAAGAGCGTGCCAGAGAGGAGCGCGCAAAGGAACGCGCGAGGGAGGAGGCTGAACGCGAGCGAGTTAAGGAAGAAGCGAGACGAAAAGAGGAGTTACGTCGAAAGATGGATGAGTTCAAGCGCAAACGGGATGCCGAAGCCAAAGAGAAGGAGAAGCAGCGTGAGCGCGAAGCAATGGAGAAAGAACTCAAGGAGCGTCGCGAGCAACTTGAAAAGGAGATGGCTGCTGCAAGAGCTGCAGTCGAGAAGGAAGCTCGCGAGAAATTGGAGAAGGAGGTCGCCGAGGCTAAAGCCAAGGCCGATAGACTGGAGGCAGAGGCAAAAGCTAAGGCTGAGAAGCTGGAGGCAGAGGCCAAAGAACGGGCCGCTAAAGAAGCCGCCGAAAAAGAAGCCGCCGCAAAGGCCGCCGCCCAGAAAGAGGCCATGGCCAAATTTGCGGCGCTCAAGGAGGCAGCAAGCAAAAAATACGCTGAGAAGAAGGCCGAAGAGGCAAGGCAAGCAGCTGCAGCTAAATCACCGCCGCCCAAGCCAGCGAGTACTACCAACGTGCCGCGAACTCCTTCTCCAAAGAAACCACCCCACCCAACAGCTAAGACTGCAGACGACGATGCGTATTCTTTTCGCCCCTACGACCGACCAAGGCGACCATACGCAGCTGGCACTTCAGTATACTCCGAGTCTTCGTACGCGCCTTCTCACTCGACTGCGCGCACAACACCTCCCCCCTCTCATCGCAGCTCATATTCCACCAAGGATCCAGACAAGATCGTGATCCAAGGAGTATACGCTTTCAACAACGCCTTTATGAAAACACCCATAGCCCAGCTCGTCTCAGGGCAGGGCATGATCACAGACGGCCTAGTGCTGCGGATAACAACCGAAGGACTCTTCATCGACGACGATCTGCGAGGCATTGGCCAGCGCGAATGGGACGTCAAAGCCTGGACTCTCAAGCTGGCAGAAGTGTGGTGTCCGCAAGTGAACGCAACCACTTCTGCCAAGCCCGCATCCAGCAATCCTTTCTCGTTCCGTCGTGGAAACACCGTGCCCACAAACGAGGAATCCGAAGCTTTCCTCGCCAATCTGCTCAAAGTCTGCAAGAACAAGTGTCGTCTAGCTTCTCCCAGTGCATGCTTCGCTCGCAGTGCCACAGACAGTAACACTGGTGGCCCTGTTAATGCCCCGAAAGCAGAGTTCCATGGTCTGCATATTCTCCGTGCCAGTGTGCGTGATCAAGAAGGCAAGAAATACGTCTTTGTGTTACATGATACCGAGGCCTGGAAGGTCGCTATCGGTTTGCAGCGGCTTCGAGCTGGAGCTCTGGTGCGCTCGCTGGGCGTCTCCGGGTTACCCAATCCTGAATGTAAAACTATGCTCAGTTCTCTGGGCTATGTTTGATTGACGCATTTGCTAGCGTCCTTTGCTGCGTTTTGTTTCATTTTCCCTGTTTATTCATCCCTCATCGCTCTATGCTCATGCCCCTTCTTGTCTTTGATTGGAAGGACGGCCTTCATTAGCGGCGGAGTTTGCTTTATGCTCGTCTCTCCGGTACATTCATTCCCTATTCTGTTGCCCCATAGTTTTTTTGAGATTCCCCTGGCTTTTTCTATTTGACGTTTATGATTTTTATTAGTATATTTATCTAGCTTACTGAGGAGGAGAAGTACATACCACCGAACATTATACCACAACACTTATTGACGGTAAAACTGCTATCAACATGACTCCAGATCTACCCCTGGAAGTATACTAGGGAGTAGCAGCGAAGGATATAGTTATAAGGACACTCCCGCGTTTACTTGGTTTAGTTCTTCGTCTTCAATCATACATTGCTACTTTTGTACACTTTGGACTTTAGCTCAGCCCCGGGGCCGCAGTGGGAGAGTCATTAGCCCACGCCATCGTAGCGGATGAAAGAGTGTGGTAATTCTAGCCGACGTGAAGCATACGCTCGATCTACTATAAGTAGTTCATAAACCTCGCCCCGCGGTCCACCTTCGACCGAGTCCGTTCTGCCCCTCTGCTTCTACAGGTCTATTGGTTGACAATGGAGAACTTGTCGAAGCAGCATATGTTAGACCTAAATCAACTCTTCGCCGACCTACACCCGTTCAGATAGAGTATGAATTACTCCTTGCTACTGTGTGGCTTGAACACTTCCTCTGGCTAATATATCATACTTTTGTCAGCCTGCTGCATTAGATGATTTTTGGACACCATGTAGTCATCATGTTCAATCCATTGAAATATGATCTTGTCTCTTAATTACCAACAAATACCGTGCCTAAGAATGAACGCCCTTACATTTTCCCTTGCTCGGAGCACATGTCCTGTTATCCAATATGATCGACTCTTTATGCGGTGTGGAAATGTGCCACGGTCTTATCCGAAGAAGTCGGATCCATGATCATGCAAGACAACTCGGATTTAGAGTGAGAAGAATTTTGCATCTCTTGGAGGAAGCCTTGGTGCCGATCACTTGGTTCCAAGCATCTTGTTCTGTCCTTTGTCCACGCGTGCCAAGTTGAACGACTATCCAGGACGTAATAGCGGACGTAATAGCGTAAATTAGGGCCAAGAAATCTAACAGCGACGGCAACATCAAGCCACCCCTACTATGAACCTAGAGCCTCAAATGGCATAAACAAGCTCTCTAGTTTGTCTGCTAGCATAGTCCCACGGATTAGGCACCCAAGAAAACTTAGGTAAGGTGAGACAGAATCAACACCATGTGGATATGAGCACTACCTCGGAGACTCCATATATAAAAGACTAAAGGAATGATCTACACCCAACCCCACAGGAAAAGAAGCATAAATAATAACGGCCCCCTGAGCAAAGCATGTTTTTGAGCATTTTCGAAATATAAAAGGGAGTGTATTGCCAGGCCAGATCTGTTCTTCGATCACAATCAAACTCCTTCATACATCTTCTCCAAACTATACACCACACCTCTTACATTCAAAATGAAGTTCATCGCTGCCTTTGCCCTCGCCATCACCGCCGTCATGGCCGCTGCCAACGACGCTGCTCAGTGCGCCCAGGTTGGTCAGAAGTGTAACCTCAAGGCCTCGCCTCCTGTTGAGTGCTGTCTGGCCGACTGCTACGTGCCCGAGGGACAGACCGATGGATTCGTATAGTTACCCCGTACACTCCATTGACCGCTTGATATAGACTGACCAATTGCACCAGTGCCGCAAGGATTAAGTATCTACCATGAATGGCAGTAACATTCTATGGTTCTCACTCCAGCATAGCCATTTATGGGCATGGTTCAAGAAACGTGGAGAGATTCGAGTGACACAATGTTTGTTACATGTACTACCTAGAAAAAATTGTGAAACATGTTCAGAAGCTTCGATTATATGAGTATTGCATGATGCAGGTTTACACGCCGCATTTGTCTCGTTTGGATACATTGGAACAAAGCAATCTAAGCACATGCAAGATGCAAAATCTTTTGTAGCAAACCCCAGATACCAGACTAACGCCACGAATGGTCTGTCGAATGTGTATTCGCACCTTCAGTGGACTGCTCAAGTCGCTGTCCAAAGATGCACCTTTTCGCTGATTCATTTCACATTGCAAAACTCATATACAAAAAAAGGTCCGAGAGAAAATGAAAGAGAAAATGAAAACGCAAAAGACAAAGTAACCCAGAAGTTATAAAAAATCAAATCTATCAGATCGGGAATCATATGAAAGGTTTCCGTAGAAAGCATAGTCAAAATCATGATGGCATGGCAGTGGGCAAGCAAAAAGCCCCGACGTCCACCAAACAAACGTAGAATATCGAGGCGTAACTCCAACTCCAGTCAAAGACATGCGATGTCCTTTTGTTTCTTCCGAGTTTGGAAGATGAGAAGAATCGGTCGTGGTATCGAGATAAAGGAACAGTCTAGACATTGATCTAGAAGGGGAAGCCGCCGCCGCCGTGGGAGTGGCCATGGCCACCGAAGGGGTTGCCGCCAGCTTGGGCGAAGCCTCCACCACCACCGCCGTTCATCATGTTGAATAGGATGTTGGGGTCGATGTTGATGTGGCTGGCGCCGCCGCCCATGCCGCCCATACCGCCCATACCACCCATACCGCCCATGCCTCCCATGCCGCCGAAACCACCGCCGCCGCCGCTGAACATGTCGTTGGGATCAATCAGGTCATCACCGTTATCGTAAGCGGCACGTTTCCTGGAAAGCTGTTAGTTTCGAATTGAGAAAAGAGCGAGTAGTGAAAACTTACTGAGAGTCAATCAAAGTCTCATATGCCTCGCCGATTTCCTTAAACTTCTCATCACCGGCTTCACCATCACGGTTCTTATCGGGGTGGTACTGGATAGCCATCTTGCGGTAGGCCTTCTTGATTTCCTGTTCGCTGGCATCCTTGCCAACCCCGAGGATCTTATAGTAATCCTTGCGCTGAGACTTCTTCAACTCGAATTCAGCGCGACGGATCTCCTCCGCAATGCCCTTCTCGCCGGGGTTGTTCTCTGCAACGCTCTTATAATCGCGGACGGCCTCCTCCCAGTTTTCAGCACCACCGTGAGCCTTGGCGCGGACCTTCATGGCCTTAACGTAGCCAGGGTCGAGGCGGAGAGCCTCGGTACAATCCTGAATAGCGCTGTCGTACTCCTTCAGGTTGATATAAGCCTGAGCACGGTTACCAAGAATCTTGGCGTTCATATCCTTGTTTGAAGGATCGACTTCGAGAGCCTGGGTCCAGAGATCGATGGCGCGGCGGTAATCCTTAGCCTTGAAAGCGGTGTTTCCTTCCTCTTTGGTACGAGCCAACTTCTGCACAATGCGCAGGAGCTTAATGGCCTGCTTCATATCCGGGTCCAGCCCAAGGCACATCTTCAAAAGCTTCAGCGCCTGCTCGGACTCACCGAGAGCGTAGAAGGCGCGGGCGCGGATCATCATGGCATCCGGATCCTGGCTGTTCTCGCGGAGCAGGGAAATGGCGATATCCTGCGCCTTGCCGAGCGAGTTGCTGTTGTTCAACTTGAGCTGCGCCTCGGCTTCCAGAAGGGTCCACTTGCGGGGCTCCTTGACGCCTTGTCCGAGTCCTTGTCGTGCCTGGTCCAAACAGTAGATGACCATCGATACACCGCGATCTTCTGCTAATGTCTCCTCGGCTTGTTTAACGAATCGCAGCATCTTTTCTGCGGCTGCCCGGTCGGTGGCGGTCGCGGGGGGTTGGATGCTGGAAAGAACGTCCAAGGCCTCTTGGGGGCGACCCAGACTCGTCAAAATCTTGGCCCATCGGTGCAAGATCTTCGGGTTGTTGGGGTCAAGCTCGTTGGAGCGCTGAACATCCTCGAGCGCATTCAAATATTGTTTAGCAGACATGTAAGCCGCCGCGCGGTTAGAGAGGTAGGCGGATGAGTTGGGGTTGATCTCGATGGCTGTAGTTGACAAAAATCATTAGCGACCTTGCTCAGTTCGGCTTGGATCACAGAACACCATATCTCTGTCAAATAATGTGTGCATACCCTTGTTATATTCTTCGATCGCTCTGCGGTAGTTGCCATCCTTGAAAAACTTGTTTCCGGCCAACTTAAAGGAATCAGCCTCGTCAGCAGAGGCAGCGGTAGGGAGATGCGGTGGCGGGGTCGGACTCCGCTCCTCGCTGCCATTGACTTTGACGCCGTTCTCCTGTTGGGGTTCCTGAGAATCGATATCCATTGAACTCCGTTGGTCCTCGTTGGAAGCTGCCATGGCGGATAATCGACGACGTAGTTCGTCGGGCGGAAGATTAAGTGGGTGGATGTCCTGGTCACGCGAAGACCGGGAGAATTTAAAGTTGGTCGGTCCTGTGTGTGAGGAAGACCGACTGTGGGAGAAGTAGGAGGGTTTTGAGGATTTGGAGGGGGATTTGGATGGAGACTTGGAGGGCGACTTGGAGGAAGATTTAGAGGGCGACTTTGTAGGTGACTTCGTAGACGAAGTGCGCGGAGCGGAGAAGGAATTTCGAGGTGACCGTGAACTATCAAATTGTTCTGAATGTTTCTCGAGTTTCTCCTTGTCCTTGTCTTTCTTGAAGATGTGGGCGAGTTGAACCATTGAGTGTGGGGACTTAATTTTTTTGCCGGCAAATAGAAGGTCACCGAATCCAGAAGAATGACTGTTTGCTGAACCACAGATATACCCTTTGGACCCAGCTTATTCAGTATGCAATAAACTTGATATATATATTCTTATGTATATTTTTTCAAGTTTCAACCATGCTCTTCACAGTATCTGTCATGTTAGTTTCAAAAATAAAAATAAAAAATGCTGATGCGGACTGGGTAGCCTGCAATACTTGATATCGGGTTGGTGAAAACCAGAACAAAAAAGGTGTCCCGTTCCTTATAATATATAATTTTTTTTCTTCTATTCTATCTCCCCCTCCAATCTTTGCTACTGGTTGGCAAATAATCCAGAGGCTGGAGAGCTGCTGGTCTGTGTTAGCGCGCAAAAGAACTGGAGCAACGCAGTCACGAAGACTTTTGACTGGAACTCTCCCAGCCGCGAAGGAAAAAAAAAACTGGTCAGAAACTTGATTCGAGAATCTTCTGTCTTCTTATTAATGTCTGCTGGCATTCCCATCACCCCATCAACCGGGACCTGCAGGGATCAGAAGTGAGGCTGTCGAAAACTCCTAGTGGAGGGGGTGGATCCAATATGCAGTTTGCTACGCTGAGAGTGACAGACATACAGCAACGCTGTGACTGGCGTGTTGAAGAGGGGAACCCCTGCATCTGGGCATTTTGTAGACTTTTATTGTTGACTCGAAGCATATCATAATCAATCTAAACACACTTTGGTCTCACCGTACGTACGTGTGCTCGGTCTTATTTTTCTTCGATGTTACATGTCTTTATTAGGCGAGACCAAAGTAAGACACGGGACTCGAACCCAATCGTGGGGTTCCAACAAAAGCCGCGTCCAATGAACCTCGACTGATATTATTGATAATGGATGTCAGAAAAACGTTGGCGATAGTCCCGATGTCTGTCCGCGGTTTAGTCAAAACTTAAAAACTTAAATTGAATTGGCAAATGAGCACTCACAGAGAGAGGGTCAATGTTGATGAATAAAATAATACTGAAGTACCTAGATATATATCATTGCCAATGTTACATCTAGTATATGATTATGCGATACCTCGTCGTCGTCGTGGCGTGGGACTCCTTGCAGCGGCAGATCTTCAGCCCTATCAACACCACGCCGGCTATAGAATAGATCATTACAATATTGTACAATTTTTATCCTGGGAACGACATAATGGAATATCTTCCCTTACATTGAGGCCACCTCATATTTGAGTACAGGGGGGCCCCTGTGCTATCACGAGACTCTCTTCTACAGTTATGAATCACTTCCTATCTCTAACTTGATATGTATTTACTGATATGCCCTGCTTCTCCGGGGCACGTACCACCTTCCAAGATTCACGCCGCTTCAAACTTAGTAATTTATCTGATCATCACTCCGACTTGTGATACATACATACGTGTATGTGAATCAAGGAAAGACACAATAGCCAGGGAAAGAAATGCTTCTTTATATATGGCTCAGTGGCAATAGAACACGAGAAGATAATATCTAGTAAGAGAAGATATATCGAAAGATAATCATAGATGAGGCCAGTACTTAACGCATCGTACTAGCAAGAGCTCAGTGGAAAATGAGCAGACAGAAAGGATTGGGTAAGAACTAAAATAGCAAAGCAAGGATACAGCGAGCAAAGGGAATTACAGCTGAGCTAGCTTCAAGATGGCGTATCTGCTAGTTCTCGTGAGGGCTGGCAGTGCGGAAATTTCCTTCCTCGCTGCCATGGGCTTGGTGACTCAGTCCGCACGATTCGTGCAATGAGCGGTGGCAGCATAGGACGATGGGTTTCGGTGATGCAGTTCCTTTCCTATCCACATCGACCCAACATTGTGTTGAATGACGTTTTGGGCATCAGAATGGCCATTTTGGGTCACTTGATTGAAAGATTCTCTCGATAATGGATTTGCGGAACATCGTGCGTAGCTTTCCTCGAGTGATAAGAGAAGTCTAGGTCGATAAGCTTCTTCGGCGAGGCTTTGAACTCAAACATGCGTTTGAACTAGGCATCGGTAAGACGAACCCGGGTCAAGGCTCCCCGAGAGTAAAAGCATGTCGGGCCTTTGGATTGATTTATGGCAGGAATTTTCAAGAAGGATCTAAGAAAATATCAATCAGATGTTAGCAGTAGTGTTAAGGTGTGTCCACGGGTGTCAAACAGGAGTTGTAAGAGCTGTATATCATAGAGGCTGTGTAACAGCTGTTGGGAAAATAGAAGCATCACTAGCTCTTCTAAAGATGGAACATAAATACGGTAGCATTGCTCGGAGCAAGAGACTAGAGCAATCGGCTCACTGCTAGTATATGTTTGACATAATAACAGGTAGGCAGATATAATTTGAGGAATATAAGGTGTGTACATATGTATTTAGCTCACTTTTACTTCACTTTACTCTCACTTCACTCCTTTTTTATCTTGCAATCTAGAAGATAATCAGATACTATAAATTTTATAATATAACCTCAGAGGTTGTTCAATATTATAGTTAAGAGCAGAAAACTAAGGTGTTTAGGTGTTTGTTAACACTACCTAACCTTGTCGATCCCCCACTAAATGTCATGACTCTGCTTGATAAAGGGCTTCTAGCGGCTGGTACCCTTTAAGTGTTTAGATAACCCTGCCCTAGAATACCAGGGGCTACGACGTCTATTTGGGCCACCTGCTTTATTCTCTGTCATCCTGCATTCTTTGTACAACAGAAATCCACCTTTAAACTCGTTCATTCCCTGACCTTATGGCAAGTGGTGGTCCAAATTCATGGCTACCGTGCGGCGACAATAGGTTGAGTAACTCATCTCGGGTAGGGCGATGGTCATGCGCGATCCTGTCGGTTTCAAGACTGGATGTCGTTTGGCGATATAGGGAAAGGGGTGAGACGGGTGATGTCGGTGTTTGAGCAGGAGCTCGAATATTGTGAAAATAATCACGTGTGTCGGATACGTATCTGCTTCCAACTACCCATTGCTCTTCCTCTTCGAGCCAGATGAGGTTCGTAGGCATACAACTTTGTGATCGTCTAGGACGTGGACTGTATTGATGATCCGATGGTGTGCACGAGGAAATATCGTGTTCATATCGAGGGTCGCAGTCGGGAAATATTCCGTCGGATGGACTTCGCCTGCCTCTTCGTGCTGGAGCACGTTTTAAATTTTGTTCGATCGCTGGAAAATCGGGTTGCCATTCGGATTGTATAGCACGGCGCTGCCGAGGTGAGGTAACATCCGTTGATGCTGGTCGTGGTGGTAAAGGTTTCGAGAACAAGATATGGGTGGGAGTACGAGAGTGGTGACAGACACGAGTAGGGCTTGTATCTGGCATGACGATGTATTTAGGGTTCACCATTTGCGGGCCCTCAAGGGAAGAGAGGTCTATGGGAGGGATATCGAAGTCGGATTTTGATTGAACAGGGGCTTCGGTGGAAGCCCGTCGTAGAAATGAACAGAATAACATGTTTCATTGGCACGTATCAGCAGGGGTCTGGCTTGAGATATAAAGTCTTCAAACACGACTGATGTGCGCTCTGAGCGGGTTTCGATGGTAGATCGTCGTGGGGGCTCGTATCCGCAGCCTAAATAAGAATGAATTTTGGAGGACAGACCTGATCTGTAGCGAACGCATACGAATAGGCGTCCAGTATCACCTTTGAACGAAAAGCAAAAGCGATGTCGCGCATGAGCGAGATATATGCAAGTCTACTACGTACTACGCAACTGATTTCACCGCCAGTTACAAGGCGCCTTTGGGGCCAAGCGCTTGAATCCTTCATATTTCTTACGCAGCACATCATAATGGAGACAACCAATTGCCCGAAATCGAAAGTGATTACACTTATTCAGGACAAAGGTCACAAGGTCTGACCAATGCCAGAAAGCAGTACCTAGATCGAAAATAACTTGCCATGTTCCCGAAACCGATTAGCTGCTCTGTAGGGAAAATGGGGTCCAAATTCGGCGTTGAATGAAGACCCTGATTCTCCCCCTTCGGCACAGTCTCTCGATGAGGTACAAGGAACCGACACCCGACGATATGTGAATCTTCTCTTAAATTAACAGAATTGAGGTTCGGAGGCCAATGCTCGCTGTAGATTGCAATTTGAAGGGGCCGTGGTTCCGTTGTCTCCACTCAGGACGGATACGATGTCCACGACGTTTAGGTTTGGATGTGTCTGCAGTGTCTACAGTGTCTGATATTGAGTGGCTGTATATAGCAGACATCTGTGCTTATGGATTCTGGAAACTGACAAGATAAAACATATAGTCAAATCGGGATATCGCGAGATGTCGTGTGCTCTAACGCTCGTAGATGGCAAGCCGATTCCGACTCAGCCACTGAGGTCACAAATTGTGGGTTTCCTATTTTTGTTGGCCAATCACTGGTCTTTCTGAAGTCACACTCGCATGTAGCATCTGTACAATATAGGGCATCAACAAGCTGAGTTCTTAAGAATTATCGGAATCTCAAAAATGGCAGATAATTCACAGTAAATTCTTGAAGCATAGAGAGTTTGGGGTGACTATTTATTGAGAACTTGCAGTGCATGTTTCAATTGAATTATGGTCAATTAATTTGAATACCCAAAAATGCAGACGCTTTACAAGAAACATATCTCATACCGCAACTCAATCTTGGTTACTGACAATGTTTTCAAATGACTGCTGCATACCTGAGATGCCTGGGATGGAAGAGGCTGTTGAAAAGCGATTGAAATTTTGTTATCATCTTGTGGTATATGTCTGCCGTGAGAAGGGGTTCATTTTCTAGTGTGAAACACTAGTTGATTGCCCAGTCAAGCCCTAAACTTGCGGTCAGCACGGAAGCTGTTGGTCGAATGAAGCGGTTGGATTTAAATTCCCGATGCCAAGCCACCAAGTCGGTTTGAAATGCACCTGGGAAAGTCTCGTGGCATAATCAGCCCTAGGAAGTATGAATAGTCAGCACCTCTGGTGATTCAGGGGTTAGGGCAGAATCAAAATTGAGGGTGAATCGGCGCAGACCAATAATGCACTACAGAATTTTTGAAATACCATACTAAAAGTGTATACAGTACAACCAGGATACAGATTATGGAATTATAGACGGAAAAAGTAAGGATACATTCCAACAGGTTACGGGCGCTGGAAAGGAGAATGTGAAAAGCTGTCATGGTTTACATTAAGATCGTGCTCAAGCCACCAGCGAGCTTCGCACAACTCCGAAGCTATCCAGGAAGCCCAAGAAATCAAAAGGGAAATATGTATATCAAAAAAAAGCAAAAAAGGGATAGACCATATCCAGTCAGAAAGCAACAAATTGTTAAGAGTAAATCACCAGAAACCCTAAATAACACAATCCTCTTCTCGCATTACCTCCAATCAACCAATCCGGTACACACACAGCTAAGTGTTAACCAGACCCGAAGATCCAACTAGATTAGACAGGCGTGACCAATCCGGAAGGAATCATTTATGCCAGGAAGAAGGCAGCGGCAGCGGCAACACCGGCAAGGCCGACGGAGCCGGAGAGAGCACCAGCACCGTTGAAGGCAGGGGAGGAAGCAGCGGGGGAAGCAGAGGCAGTGCCGGAGGCAGCGGGCTTGCTGCCGGAGGGGACGTGGGGAACACCACCGTTACCGCCAGCGGAGCCAGTGGGGGAGACACCGGAGGGAGCGGGGCCAACGGGCACAGTCGAGTAGATGACGGTGGGCACGCAAGTGGTGATAGCAGTCACGGTGTAAGAAGCGGAGGTGACCGCAGGGGGAGCGGGAGCAGGGGCGCTGGAGCTAGGAGCCCAGCCGCCAACGGAGCTGGAAGGAGCCCAGGTGGGGACGGAGGACCAGGCAGGGGTCTCGGAAGACCAGGCAGGGGTCTCAGAGGCAGCAGGAGTCTCGGACCAGGCGGGGGTCTCGGAGGCACCGGCACCGGGGCCAGCGGGGCTGCTGGTGACAGCTCCGACGCTGGAGGGGGTGGCGGTGGCCTCGGCGCTGGTGCGGCCGGGGCAGTCGGTCACGGTGGGAGCGCAGGAGGTGATGGTGACCTCGTCAGTCTCGTAGACGGTCTGGTCAGCGGCGCCGGGAGCGGCAACGGCAAGGCCGGCGAAGAAGGCAATGGTGGCAGCAGTGAAACGCATTTTGAATGTTATGTACGGTAAGCCGTGGGATGTTCAAAAAGGTATATATAAAGATAAAAAGCGGTGCTTTTTGAAGTTGAAAGAGAGTGTGGTTTAAAGAGTGTAATGACCGAAGTCGAGAGAGAGAGTGAATGGATGCTTTGCAACGAAGATAGTACTTGGAGAGAGAAGAAAGAAACAGAAACAGCACGGGGAGGTAGGGGCCCTTTGTATGAATGGGGAGATTGGCCCAACTTGAGATCAGCAGCCACTCAATGCCCACTTCAATATTGCCCCTGTAAAAAAAATATATAAATTAGGACAAAAAAGGGGAGACTCGATATTGAACGTTGTATCTGAAATGTTGTACTAGGTACTTATTCCGCCACTAACCCACACCGCATCCTGCCATGTACTGGGAACATTACACTTGCACGGCCTTCAATTAGAGAAATACTATGATTGGATCGATGGTAAGGTTTTGTTTTCTTTTCGTAAATGAAGTTACCAAAGAGCAACGAGTTACAATTGAAAGACTGGTAATTTTGACCCGCTAGTGTTCTTAGCGTTCGTTGATCGTTGCAAAATGGCTTTGAGACAGAAAAGCCCTTACCTCTCTATCAAAATAGATACTCCATGAACTATTCAATGGTAGTACGAAGTATACTACTGCATCACCAGTACTCCGTAAACAGAGTATGCATCTATTCTTTGTTTGTTTTTTTTTTTCCTTTTTATCATTGTTATTTTCTCTTCAGTTTTTCCCTCAACTGTTTCAGACCGCTGATCCACTAACTGTTCCTGGCGTCCAAGTTGCAGCGTTACCCCCCGTGGGTCACTATATCCACTTACCCCTGAACAGCCCGCGATTTATTATTTCGCCAAGATCACGTATTGTGCAAGGGTCGAATCCACGATGATGTGCACTCTACCTGCGAAATGTGGCTGGTCCTTACTCCGGATGTTCATCTTACAACATTGTACTCCATAGAAACAAACAGTTATCGGAGCGAATCGCCCGAGACATGATAATATTACTTTGTGATTACATTGTTGTACTAATTCTAGTGGAGCATAATAATGGGACTGTGCTGGATCCTTCGGAGACTTGAGTATATCATCGTCCGAGACCTTTTTTTATTTTGCTTTTAGTTATACAAGATTGGACACATATAGTATTCTATAGCCCGATGTTTACCCGTATCCATTGCTATATCTAGATCATTACACCAAAAATTGTAGATATACTTCTACACCGAGTTTGAAGCTACTAAGACCAAGTCTGTATTCAATACAATCCAACCATATCCGATAAATCCGACCGTCATCGCTAAGGAATTACCCCCGCAACGGGAAGGTCTCAAGCACTTCGCGCCTTAACGGCTAGACCGCATCAGTTTACTTCCGCGTAAAGTGCTTAACGAAGCTTGCTCGTGGCGTGCCCCTGGACTAGCCACACCGGTCTATGGGGAAGAGCCCAAGCGCAACTTGGACAAAAAAGATCAGGGTCTAGGCGCATGATTGGCCGTCCCTGACATGGCGCATATGCCGTAATCTAACAAGTTCGCATTCGCATTTTACTTTACATGTTATGTATCCGTTGTACTTCAATACCCAGGGACTCGCAGAACACATCAAAGCGGTGTCGATCTTCATCCAGTTCCTGGGTCGAGACCTCGAAACAAACACTCGAAGCGGTTCGGTTCCACCACCACTCAGAACGCAGTAAGGACGGAGTAGTACAAGCTCTAGCCACAATTACAATTACATGTTCATGTCGTAGGGCCAATGATCGTTTAGCCCGGGTTTATGGTCTTGACGTGGCGTTGGAACCATTTTTGTTGACTCGACTCCATGATAGGGGTTGTTCATGGAAGATGAGGTTTCTTGGACCTCGTGGCGCCCCCAGACTCCACAGCGCCGCTATTGAATTCTTGCGCTTCCTGGCCCCTTTTTCAATAGATCGGACCGCTCTCTTGGATTTCAACGTATAATTGTGCTCTTATCAACCCCATATTTATTTTCTGATGCTATCTTTAGCTATGTTTAGGCTTTGGGCGATATGATTATTGGTGGACCGTCTCCGATGTATCTGATAATAGGGGTGTTCGTGGGATAATAATAGCCGGTGTGGACCGGAGCTTTTTCCGAAGTTCATGACAAAGTAGTATAGCGTGGGGTATTCTTGCAGTCTTCTGCTTTGAAGTTGAGGTGTTTGATGTTCAGGGGAAGGGGCTACTACAATAGCTTATTCAACCTGTACTGAAGACGGAGTACACCTGGGCAATATAGCAAGTTTGAACATCCATCTACATCTCCTTTTTCTCAAAAATTCTCCAGTACCTAACTAACTACTTACTTCATTACTGTTGTACGATGTAGGCAGTAGTGTGTGCCAAGTGTGCCCTGATGCCCTGGTGTCCAGATGCCGAGTGGTACGTGTTCTTGATTTAAAGTGGACTTGCCTGCCACCCTCTGCCTCGAACCTTTCTGTGAACAATTTTATGCTTGCGCTTCACTCTCAGCAGAATCAAAATGGAATTGGCGCCTAAAAACCCATAATTTCGTATGCGCAATTTGCAAACCCATCAGATCGATGAACCAACGATCACATTCATTCAATCAATCCCATTCGATCGTCATTGAAGTCACCTGTCAACCCAGTCCGACGATCAGCAGCGACGCGTCACGTTTAGCGCCGATGACACAAGCGAGCAACAGCAACCTCGGGATCCCTAGAGAGCAACACTGTTGATTTCTTACCATCAAAATGTGCTCGTCTGAGCACGCGCGCTCTGTTCCACGACGGGGTTGGTGGTACAGTGAAATACCTTGTATAAGACAATTGGATCATTGTCTGCCAGATACAAATGGATTGCGTATATTATATCTCCAGGCTGGATTTTCAACATGACGAGTCCGATCTGAATCTGTGTTGCTTTTGTCTTCGATCACTCCCGAGTTTGTCTTGGTATCAATCACAACTTCAATGCAAGGCATTTGTTGCCAAAGGTACAGTATGATCTAACAGTAGGTTCGCCCATTTCTGAGTTTGCTGCTTGTTGATCTACAGACACACTTTAGCTGGTTGATTGGCAGAAAACAAACAGTTTGATAGAATAACGAGTCGCGTGCTGGACTTTCACAACCCTCATGATATTATTGTGTGTTTCTCAATTTTACTATGTAATAGACCACCCATGGGCAGCTTCGCGCTGTGTTGACAACCATGGTAAATCTTGATGCTTGTAGCACACCTTCGGCATACCAAATTTCACGACCTGTAGATCAAGATCCGGTAGAAAATTTAGGAGGGGATTGTTTCAGAGCGCTATGTACTCCGTAGGTCCATTGTAAACCATATATGCAACGTACAGCATAATTAGCACCTGACAATTGACAATTGACATCATATAGCCTGTCTACTGTGCTTTCGGGGCCCACATGAAAATACACCAAATAATAAAATATCTATGTTCCAACGCATAGTTAACCGAATCCAGGAACAGAAGTAGGGCATCCAGTTCTTGGAACCGATGATGACATTGGACCCATATTGCGCGGCCACAGATGGGCTAAGCCACAAGGGATAACTGTCAATATGTGTCAATCTTCCAGGTTTGGCCTTTCGATGACATAGCTTATATTATTTTCCGACATGTCGCATTGTCGCTCTTTAACTGGTTATAAATGTTGTATAATATAACATTGTGGGTGGAAAATATATTTACCACTGTTGTACGTACCTTTACGTTGTACTCATACGATAACTACATAGATAGGTACATTGTACATGTGTATACAACGTACGACGGGTGGTCGTACTTCTGTAAGGCTGTCCCAGTGATGGGACACATATATACCAACTATGATAGGTCAATTTGGAGGGGAACAACAGATGTGTTGGCGATTTGAACGCCACAGTTTGCTGTTGCGGCTCAAGGCAACAACGTATATTTATGTCGAGGTCATCTATATGTCATTGGAATATATCATTCCAATGTTGCTATAGCTATGGATTTTACAGAATTCCAAGTATTGAGGGAATTGCAGTAAGATTGTGCATAAGTATATAGAAGAATGTGTGTACCAATATATATTGCGCTGGGCATACATACATAATGTTATCTATTGGAAAATTGCAAAAAGTTAGGCCGAACCATGGGTTGAATGAATTCTCTGTTTTTTTTCGCATGTTTCTTTTTCTTTTGAATGAACAAAATCTTCCATATAGCAAAAACCAAAGATTAAAAAAGAATGAAGAGACCAACAGTAGAAAATATGCAGTGTTTCAGCTCAGGCGCTTTCTGAAACACAGGGGACCCCACTGCCTAGGGTCCGAATCTTGTCGCTCCCAAGACTCCCAGGGCTGTGTCGCTCTATTTTAATACTCAAAGTATTCTTAGTGAAATTGATTCAGATTAGCATATAATTCTGTAGAAAACTTCTATTCTACTCTAATCTACTCTACTCTCTACACTACATACAATAATTTGTATAAGCCATTTACTTAAGTATACGTAGTGGACAGGTCACCTGCCACATCGAAACATCTCTCGGCAACTTCTCATTCGCAACTCCACTCGTTCAGAACAGCCTTATCTGTTCTGCCTTTTGCTTTTGCTTTTGATTCTGCTTTGGCTTGTGTTTTTTGTTGTGTATTCACCTTCAATAACTTTTGTTCACTCCCTTATCCTATTCATCAACGGGTAGGTACACACTGTGGCTACCTTCGCCGATCCAAACGAGTTGTTCTTGCCTGGCGAAAGGCAAAGCAATCTCGCCATGTCATCCTCCGTGCCTCTTCTTCGTCCCCCTGTTCCTGGCGGCCGCAACAACAGCGGCAGCCCGCGAGCTCCAAAGCTCACTCTAGGCATCCCTCCATCTCCCAACGCCAAACCCGTCAATGGCACTGCCCCCGCCCTGGTCCCTCAACCGGTCCCTCAAATCGACACCCAGTCCACACCTCAACCTCAGCGCTCGTCAGGTCGACCTGCTCCCCCACGACTGCAACTCGCTACTCCTATGAAGAGTCAGCAGAATCTGCATCAGTCAGCAGTCATGCCCAACGGTCGACCAGCCCCGCCCCCGCTGACCATGAATACAAGTGGCTTGGGAGGAAATGGAGGTGCGCCTAAATTGTCACTTCAGACAAATGGCACACCCGCAAACTATTTTCGAAATCCGGATGGCTCATCGGATCCTTCATCGGCGATCAGCTCAGTGTACTCGGACCGCGAGGGTGGAGACCGTGATAACAATGTCAATCTAGTTCTCCCTGATCTGAGTAAATTGAGTTTGGAGAAGGGCCGGCCCCTCGATGTGGATGATCTCGATGATGAAGGCTGGCACGCGGCCAGTGAACAGAACATGATCGTTGACCTAGGAAGTCTCGGAGAAGGTGCTGGCGGCGCGGTCACCCGATGCAGACTCAAGGAGGGAAAGACTGTGTTTGCACTGAAGGTGAGTTTTTCGTCTACTATTGGTCTGTTCTCTTATGTTCAGCAACTTACTAACATTGAACTAGATCATCACTACGGACCCCAATCCTGATGTCAAGAAGCAAATTGTGCGTGAGCTCAACTTCAACAAAGACTGCGCTTCGCATCACATCTGTCGTTACTACGGTGCTTTCATGGACAAGTCAACTGGCACAATCTCTATCGCTATGGAATTCTGTGAGGGTGGAAGTCTAGACAGCATCTACAGGGAAGTAAAAAAACTCGGAGGTCGTACTGGAGAGAAGGTCCTCGGCAAGGTGGCAGTAGGCGTCTTGAACGGGTTGACCTATCTCCACAGTCGAAAGATCATCCATCGAGGTACGCCCGTGCTTTTTCGATATACTTGACTTCAATAGCTAATGATCTGCAGACATCAAGCCTTCCAACATTCTTTTGTGCCGCGACGGCCAGGTTAAACTGTGCGATTTCGGTGTCAGTGGTGAATTCGGCACCAAGGGTGACGCCAACACCTTCATTGGTACATCTTACTACATGGCCCCAGAACGTATCACGGGTCAATCATACACCATCACCTCCGACGTTTGGTCTCTCGGTGTGACTTTGCTCGAAGTCGCGCAGCACCGATTCCCCTTCCCTGCCGACGGGACTGAGATGCAGCCCCGCGCAGGGCTGATCGATCTGCTCACTTATATCGTCCGTCAACCCATTCCCAAGCTGAAGGACGAACCAGAAAATGGCATTCATTGGTCGGATAACTTTAAATACTTCATCGAATGCTGGTATGTACTTTTTCGAAACGCCCCGCTTATTCATCGACTAACACAACTTTTAGCTTGGAAAAAGAACCCCCTCGACGCGCGACCCCCTGGCGGATGCTGGAACATCCTTGGGTACAGGAAATGTCAAACAAGAAGGTCAACATGGCCAACTTTATCAAGCAGGTGTGGGATTGGAAGGAGTAAAAGAACAAAAGAAAACAGTCCCAACCACACTTCCTCAGTGCCATACTGCAATTTCCGTTCCTTTGAGTACGAGAGGCTGGACCCCATTGACCTGGATGTCAACACAACTCAAAACCTTCACGACTCTATCCATTGCCTTTTGCTTTGCGTCTTCCCTCCCGGGCCGGAACTCGCGGGGACTCGACATACCCATACCCTATCTATCATTAGCAAATGCTCATTCCCAGCGCCACGAATCCCGGCTACGCTTCACCCCCTACGATCCTTCACGGCCTGACGTTCTCAACCTCCGCCTTCTGAGTGTTATCCACCTCGCGCCTCGCCTCCTCCCCATTCCTTTGCATTTTTCGGTCCTTTGCTCGATGGAATGGTCCTTCTCTGCTCTTTATGTTTCAAGCTTGGACATATCGGTTTTGCTTGGTATATCGTGTTCTCTTTTTTTTTCAGTGTACAGCCCTTTTTTTTTTACTTTGTCTGGGTTTTTCTTTGGTGCCGCTTTGCACTGGATGCGGGAGTGTATGCAATGCATGGAGATTTTCATGGACATGGGTACTTAATACCATTGCATTTTTGTCTTTAGGTTCAAATGCATGTAGTTGCTGGATAATATCACGAAAATATAGGATGAGACGAGTCTTTTCAGTGTCTACTCTACATATGTATATATTTAGATAGCATAAGCCCTTCCATAGCTCTACACGTATTTGGCTCTGAAGCAAAATTCCAGGTGAATACCGTCCAGTCAAAATTCTCGTTTCTATCATAAAAGTTACTCTGGGTACAAACAATCCCATGCGAAACATAACCAAATTTCCAATCTACTTAGGATTGGCCCCAATAACCCACCCAATACCACTAACCAGCCCACCAGTCACCATATTACTAACCATATCCCTCTTCCGCACACGACCCTCACTATCCGGCGACAGAGGCCGCTCATCATCAACCTGCTCCGCCGCCCCACGCAGCGGAAACGCATTCTTGTGAATAGCCATTGCCGCACCGCGCGCAACCTCAAAGAGGCCCATGGGCGCCTCATGGCGATGCGAGTTCGGCAGGGCAGCGCGGGCGCGAGCGCGCCGCGCAGCCCGCTGCTGCTCTGTGTCGAAGGCGTCGCGCTCGGAATCGGAGGGCCCGAATCCGCCCGGGACGGACGAGAGCGTGTCGCCTTTGCGATCCCAGAGGTCTTCTTCTTGTTGTTCGCGGGCGCGCAGGGACGTCAGTTCTTCGTCGCAGCGGCGCCAGGCGCCGAGGATTTCGGGGAGGGGGTCGGGGGATGGCGTGAGGACGAGGGAGAGGCTGAGAAGTTCCATTCTCTGGGATAGGTGTGTGATTTGGGTTGCTAGCGAGGGTGGGGGGTTTGTTGGTGTTGTTGTGCGGTAGCGGCCTGCGCTGTACACGGCTCGCCAGGAGATGTCATCTGGCGTTGTTGGGGGATTTAGGAGGGGGAGGAAGTTGAGAGGAGGGAGGGCGGTGTTAGGCGGGTTTGGATGTAGGAGTAGGCTGTACCGAAATCGTTGGTGGATAGGGCGGATGTTATTGCCAGGGAGATGATCCGGCGTTCAGCGGTGAGAAGGGTTTGCTCCTTTGATTGAGGGTGGGAGGTTGCGTCTTCCGTTTCATGCATTGCGGTTTGGGTGGGCACGCCTGCCGCGACGAGGTTTCGCCCAATTGAGAGGAGGTCGTCCAATTTAGTGTAGCTTCTTGCATTTTGTTCGAGAACCTTCTCGATCAACAGGAGAGGATCGTGGTGCACTCGAATGCTGACCGGTTGAAATGGAACACCATGTTGAAGGGTCAGAGAGTAATATGAGAGCGCATGTGTGGCTGCGATGAGGGCGTGGATTTGCTTCAATGCAGTAGACTCGGGGAAATGCGGTTGGAATGATTGCAAACTGTGGTCTTGTTAGAGACAACTCTATACGTTTTTAGTGATAAGCACTCACATGTCGTAAGCCCTCTTCATTCCCCCGCGGGTTCGGTTTCCATTGCTTGCATTATCATATGCTGTGAAAATGGCCTCTTGAACCGCTGCTTCTACCCGGGCAGGATTGAGAGGCGCTGGTTTGGAGTTGGTATATAAGTCGACGGCCAATTGATACTCTGGGGGTACTATTAGTATTGAAAGCGAAGACTGGAGGTCGGATAGCTTACCCTTGGCTGCTAGGAGCGCCTTTAATATCTCTGTCTCAACCGTCTCTCGCGGAATTCTCCAGAAAAGTCCATGGTAGGATGAAGGTTCATCCCATGCGCTATCTGACTGTTCTGCTTGCCAATCTCGAAGCCAAAGCAATTTTTGTCGGACCATTGGCCAATCTTGGTGTGGCTTGGGTTGCTTCACAGTAGATTCTACTGCGTTTTTAAGCTCAACTAGTTGCATTTCCTCGGTGCTGTGTAAACACGTGTTTGCTGCAACTCGGCAGGGAACAAGATGACCAAGTTCGGTCAATATACGAAGAGAGAGAAGCAAAGCACTGAGGAACGATATTGACGAAGGTGATGGTTTCGTTAGAGGATTTGTCGGTCTCAAGAGAGAATTCTGTAATAGCGATGCGCGGGACGTTGAGGAAACAGGCTCGGTGTCATAGTGCACAGATGGAAGCTCCGAATCAGTTCTGAGGTACACGCTGTCTTCAAGATCGAGGAGCTTCGCAATTCTGGTTAAAACCTGAAAGGAACCCTCCAGCACAGCCGTCGATGAATCTGCATGGGCATACACCACGGCAAGACCAGATTGGCCATATCGAGCCTGCAGTTCTCTCGCCTTGTCGTCTGGGAGTCGATCTTCGGGCTTTTCATACCCGCCTAGATCGACATCTGACGGTCCATCCCAATGCTTGAAAGCACTCACAACGCTTTCGTGATCCACCAGACTCCGCGATACTAGCCATTCGTTGACATGTTCCCATCCAGCCAATTCAGTCGGTTGAGGTTTCTCGGATCCTTGAATGAATGAGACCGAACTCTGTTGCGCCGCTTCGTTGAGTCTTCTTCGCTTTGATCGACTGCCGCCATAGAGCCAAGGCCCAATCAAGCCTTTCAAGTTGTTAACCAAATCCATGCTGGCGCCCTCGTCGCTGACCAAAGACAAGAGTATGTTGATTGCGGTCTGATCGTCCATCGACTCAAGTACTTCAAGCGATATGTTTTCGTCGCGATTGGCGTATAATTCATAGTTGAGTCGAAGCAATGGTAATAGGCTGGAGATGAGCCATGTTCTAATGATTTGAGAACGCTCGTAGAAGGGTAGGAGGAGTTCGAGTATGAGGGGCTGTAGCGCTGTTTCAGAATCGATTAAATGCGCTCGGTGAATGAGAAATTGAGTCAAAGGGTCCGCTGAAGCAACTTCGGCTTCCTCGTCGGGGCGTTGTAGTGGTCGGAGATTGAGCTTCCGCACGCGCTTTCGAGCAACCGCTTCAGTCAAATTTTGGACCGCAGAAGTGTCGATAGCTCGGTCTGCTGATGTAGTAGACCCAGTTTCTAACTCTTGCAGCACCGAAGTATAGCTAGAGGGCTCCGTGCTCTCTGGGAGGAAGGTCAAGATAATGCGTAGGAGGCGCTCAAACGGAAAACAATGGGGAAATTGGGCTTGTAGATTAGGCAAGTCCGCCACGTTACCACCTGCGCAAAGATTTGTAGCAAGCAGAATGGCATGCGCATCAGATAACTCGAGAGCCATGATCTAAAGAGTCGGGACAGTCGAGTGAGCTGGCCTCATAGTTGGCCGATGACCAAGTTGCATCTGGGCGGTGAGGCCAAGTCGGAAACGAAGGTCGCATCCGCTCGGCACTTCATCACCACCTTTTTCGCGGTCCCTGCCTACAACTCGCTCAATAACCTCCTACTACATATCACAATGGCTTCCGGCTATGGCAACAACGGCGGTACGTGCTTTTTCTCCCCATTACCGGAAAATCTGCTCGGATGCGCGGTGTGCTCTCGAATCACAGCTTGCGCAGGCAGTTCCCTCCCCCGCGAGTGAACCCCCACAGCTAACCCGCGATTGCTTTTTTCTAGGCCCCGGCCGCTGCTACGCCTTCTGGCAAGAGGTTCTTGGTTGCTACGTTGTGAACTCTGGCGAGGGTGAGAACGGCAAGAAGAAGTGTGTGCCCGCCCTGGAAGATTACCACGAGTGCCTTCACCACCGCAAAGAGGTAATCCCAATCCCCGCTTGATGCGACATATCGCTATACTTGAAAATATGAAAAAGGAGTCTAATTAAGGAAATTTGGAACATCAGGCTCTCCGCACCATGAAGATGCAAGCTGCCTACCGCAAGGCCGAGGCCGCACACCCCCGGGAGAACGCCCCCAAGGCGGAGCAAATTCGAAGCCTGGGTCTACTTGGGAAGGAAGAACAGGCAGCTAATGTGCTGGCCCAACGGTGAATAGGATGGATGTGCTTGTTCTTTTTCAATGCTTGTGATTCCGTGTTTCCGCCCCGGGACTTTTGCCCGGGGCCTGTGACTGTATAGAAACGCTCAACTGGTTGACTTTCAGGTCTGTTGGTTCGAAATGATACTCCAATTCGATGACAAACATTTCTTTATCATTTTATATTGAATAATTAGAGTCAGTATATGAAGTATTTTGTAGGTAGTGGCTCGAGCAGCCATGGAGCACCAAACATATTCGACCCCAGAAGGCTAATTGACGAGTAAGCGTGAATTCTGATTGGGTGCGGCCAAATTCGCTGGGTGATCTGTTCCACGCGCTTAGCCGCTTGGCCCGAACTACGTTGATGGGGATTTTCTACATGCTCTAGTTTGCAATACTTACTGGGCTTGATCCACGGATGTCTGTCATTACGCTTTGTTATATTGAAGTTTAAAGTAAACAGATACCTACATATTACCTAGGTAGAGACTGATATTTATGCTTGTTTCGAAGGTGAAAATAAAGTACAAGTGCACGTTAGGTAGCTATCTTTAGTAGGCAATTATATATATTGATCTCTCCATACAGTGGATATATGCCCAGGTGGTTTGTCAAGATCAGATTCTTGTTTCCAGACAGGGAGAGTGAAAATGCTTGCTACTACTTATTGATTCCAAGGTTGGTGTTGAAAGATGCTTCATTTCTCGCTCTATCAATTAATCATCTTTGAATAATGCAACATTATCGACGACATGTTCCGCTGATCCTTTTTTATTCCTGAAACCTTTGAAAAGGCGATCTGGCATGTCTTGGCATTGTTCTCTCCTTCATTCGGAAATTGAACTTGGTTATCAAGAATTTCCACGACTCAACACTGGAAGTTTATCTCCATATAAGAAGTTGACGATCCGAGTACATATGTAAGTAAAATTAAATGTTACTAGTCTCGAAGGATAACTATATCTAACGCGTCGATTCACGTGATTATCAGAAAAACTCACTTGTCGCGTTAGGAAGTGAGCCAATCAGTCATTGATTTGCACTCACCGCCCACGCTAATCCAGAAACGGCCTAGTCTCCAATGTTGGTCCGGACAAAAGACAAGAGCATAAAACGTCGATGTATCTTCATTTCGAGTGGAAATCTCATCTTTACCTAGGTGAACGCTGACTCATCACGGTTTTGAGGTGTAGGCGTTTATTCTCTTTTTTTTTTCTTTATCGAGGTCCTTTCTCTCTAATTGCGCGCTTTGTCGCGCGCAATTCCTTTTTTATCTTCTAACGTTTTTTTTTTCATTTATATCATATCCTTCTTAATCGCGCGCGATGGGCTCTTCGAGGCTAGACCGGCTTGTTACGTGAGTTCGCGACAAAATCACGTGTCACCATCTGTGATAATTTTCTAACTAATTTATGACAACTAAAAAGGCTTCTTGAATCTGGGAGTACAAATTTGATTCGAAACACAGCAGCGCAGCAGCTCGCAGATGTGCAAAAGCAGCATCCAGATGAATTGTTTAATTTGCTGGGGCGCATCTTGCCTTATCTTCGATCTAAATCCTGGGATACCAGGACAGCTTCCGCCAAAGCTATCGGATTGATTGTCTCTAACGCAGAAATTTATGATCCAAATGAAGATGATGGCCTCCAAATCAAGTCTGCTGCAGATGAGGACGACGTGGAGATCAAGTCCGAGATCAAATCAGAAGAGCAGATCTTGGATGATGGGTCCCTCAAGCTTGATACCCTAGACATCGCCTCCATATTGAAATATGGCAAGCGGCTCCTTGGCAGCGCTGGAAAGGAGTATGAATACTCACTTGCTTCTATGGAACCAACGGCACGCCTGCAGCACCAGAAGAAGACCTTGACGTCACGAATTGGTCTGAAGGGCGAATATCTTGAAGAAGATTTGCTCGAGGATGTCGAGACAGCCCCCAAAGTGGTGACACCTGCCCCCAAGGATGAACCAAAGATTGCTCCAATTTCTCGCCAGAACAGTTTAATTGAAGCGCCTTCTCGGCGCCCCTCTTCACCTAACGAAAGCGCGTTCAAGGAGGATGGAGGACTGAGCAAACGACAGCTTAACCAACTCAAGCGAAAGAATAAGCAAAACGCCAAGATGGGAGCTAACAAGGTTCGTGTGGTGGATTTGTCTTCTCGTCGACAGTCGGAGGCTGTCACGACTCCTTTGCCCATGACACCCCATCCTGTCAAAGCAGAGAACGGAGATGACCAGAATGGCGAGACGAAAACTGATTATTTTTCTTTCGAACGCAACGAAGAAGACGACGACTCCAAGCTTGTCACTGAATTCAAAGGAGTTGTCGCCCCAGAGCGATCTCACATTCAACCAGAGATCGCGGAACAGGGCGGAGGATGGCCTCTAGAACACATGTGTGAATTCCTGACCATTGACATTTTTGACTCCAACTGGGAAGTTCGACATGGAGCCGCGATGGCCTTGCGTGAAGTTATCCGAGTTCAGGGCATGGCAGCCGGCCGACAGGACGGCAAGAGTCGTTCTGAAAATGATATCCTAAACCGCCAATGGTTAGACGATCTTTCCTGTAGACTGCTCTCCGTCTTGATGCTTGACCGATTCGGTGACTACATCTCGGACAATGTGGTTGCTCCTATCCGTGAAACTGTGGGTCAGACTCTCGGTGCTCTCCTTTCACACCTTCACCCCAAATCAGTCAGATTAGTCTATCGATGCCTATACCGGATCATTATGCAGACCGACCTCGGGCTAGATCGCCCCGTGTGGGAGGTGTGCCATGGTGGCATGATTGGCCTGCGGTATCTTGTCGCCGTCCGAAAGGACTTGCTTGTCAAAGACTCGAATATGATGGATGGCGTGTTGGAAGCTGTGATGAAAGGCCTGGCTGACTTCGATGATGACGTTCGGGCCGTCAGTGCCGCGACGCTTGTCCCCATCGCAGAGGAGTTTGTCACATCACGGACTGGTGCTCTAGGTCCTCTGATGAACATCGTCTGGGACTGTCTATCCAACCTCCAAGACGATCTCAGCGCCAGTACAGGTTCAGTGATGGACTTATTGGCCAAGCTATGCACGTTCTCCCAAGTCTTGGATGCGATGAAGGCAAACGCCGCCGGCGACGCAGAAGCATCATTTGGCAGACTGGTTCCTCGTCTCTACCCATTCCTGCGACATACCATCACCAGTGTTCGCTCAGCTGTGCTTCGGGCTCTGATGACGTTCCTCAAATTGGAGGGCGAAGGAACCACGGACTGGGTGGATGGCAAGGCTTTACGGTTGATTTTCCAAAATCTTCTCGTGGAGCGCAACGAGGGGGTCTTGAAAGTTTCTGGCCAGGTTTGGTCGGAGCTTCTCAAAGTAGCTGAACTGCGCGGTTCTTTCAAATCCGCAGACGAGTTGCTTGAATCCATTCAACCGCTTGTCACTCTGACACTGGGCGCTTTCGGCGTCCCCCGATACCCCATTCCGATGAACGCATCCCTCTTTATTAAGCCCTCCGGCCTACCATTCTCCATTGCCGCCCCAGCTTCCACGCCCGCCAAATCCTCCCCACCTGCTCCCGGCGGCCCCGAGACAAAGCCAGGACGCCGGCGCAAGTCCGAGAAGAAGGAGAAAGAAACACCACCGCCTTCAGCTCACAATGTGGATGGACACATGCTGTCCGGTGACATTGATCTCGTTGGTGCCGACACCATGCTACGATCCAAGATCCATGCCGCCAAGGCGTTGGGCGAGCTTATCTCATTCTGGGACAAGAACGAGCTACCAAGTCTCTGGCCCGCAATCTTAGAAGGTCTCGATGTCTCGGCTTCAACCACCCAACTTGCTTCGGCCATGGTTATGGAAGAGTACGCTCGCCAATCTGGACCAGAGAGCAAATACCGTTCGGAGCTGTGTGAGCGCCTGCGACCAATTCTCGAGAGCGAGCGCCCGCCATGGTATTCCGATATCGCGTGCTACCTGCATGTGGCGCGGTCTCAATGCCATTCGTTGTTGAATACTTTCCGCGACCACGCTCATGTTGCACCCTCTCGGCTGCCGACTTTGGCAGTCGTCGTTCAGGGTGACCCAGAGGCTGGACCTAATGCATTTTCTTTGGCGGATGCCGAGAAGATTGTTGGCCCTGACTTTGATCGTCTGAAGAAGAACCTGACACCCGCTCAACGAATCACTGCCACCCAAGTTCTCACAGATACCCGGACCACAACATTATCTGCCGTTGATGAAGCTCGATTGATGAGGGAGCAGCGCGACATGCGTGTCTTGGCTGCTACAGCTGGTGCCCTGGTCGCACTGCGGGATATTCCCAAGAAGCCTGGTCACATAATCAAGGGTATGATGGATAGCGTGAAGAAGGAGGAGAATCTTGAACTCCAGCAGCGTTCCGCAACAGCAGTCGCAGGGTTGATTGAACACTACACAGCGGCGACGAAGCGCGGCCCAGTGGACAAGATAATTGGCAACTTGGTCAAATACTGCTGTGTCGACACCTCTGAGACACCCGAGTTCCCACACAACGCTCATCTAGAAAAGTCTATCTTGTCGCTACGCAAAGAGGAAGATCGACGCGATCACCCCGATGCAGCCAAGTTCGAAAGAGAAGCGAAGGAGGCAAGGATCATGCGTCGTGGTGCCAAGGATGCGCTGGAGCAATTGGCAGTCATGTTTGGCCCCGAGCTTCTGGAAAAGGTCCCAAATCTTGCGAAATTGGTTGAACGACCGCTGCGGGATGCTCTGGCGAACGATGAACTTCCCGAGGATATCACAAACCCCGAGAACGAGCTCGGCCAAGAAATTGTGGACGGCTTGTCTACACTGCGGGCTCTGCTGCCCAAGTTTGACCAAGGTCTCTACCCATGGGTTCTCGACCTCATGCCGATTATCGCCAAGGGCCTACAGTGTCGACTTTCCGTTATTCGCTACGCAGCGGCCAAATGTTTTGCTACTATCTGCAGTGTTATCACAGTGAAGGGTATGACAATGCTCGTTGAGAAAGTATTGCCAATCATCAACAATGGACTGGATGTTCACCACCGCCAAGGTGCGATTGAATGCATCTACCATTTGATCCACGTTATGGAAGATGGCATCCTCCCGTACGTTATCTTCTTGGTTGTTCCTGTTCTGGGGCGAATGAGCGATTCCGACAACGATGTGCGTCTTCTCGCAACAACCTCATTCGCGACCCTCGTCAAGCTGGTACCACTCGAGGCTGGAATCCCCGACCCCCCTGGCTTCTCAGAAGAGTTGCTGAAGGGCCGAGACAGGGAGAGGAAATTCATGTCCCAGATGCTGGACCCAAAGAAGGTCGAGGAATTCTCAATCCCCGTCGCCATCAAGGCGGAGCTTCGTCCCTACCAACAAGATGGTGTCAATTGGCTTGCTTTCCTTAATCGTTACAACCTTCATGGTATTCTTTGTGATGACATGGGTCTCGGAAAGACCTTGCAGACCATTTGCATCGTGGCAAGTGACCACCACATGCGAGCGGAGGAGTTCGCCAAGAGTCATTCTACCGACTCACGAAAGCTTCCGTCGTTGATCGTTTGCCCGCCATCCCTCTCTGGTCATTGGCAACAGGAAGTCAAGCAGTATGCTCCATTCCTCAGCTGTATTGCCTATGTCGGGCCTCCGTCAGAACGATCGAGGCTCCAGCCTATGCTGGCTACCACTGATGTCATTGTCACTTCTTATGATGTTTGCCGCAACGACAACGACGTTCTCAGCTCTATCAACTGGAACTACTGTGTGCTTGATGAGGGTCACCTTATCAAGAACCCTAAAGCTAAGATCACTTCTTCAGTGAAGAAGCTGATGAGCAACCACCGTCTCATCCTGTCTGGCACACCGATTCAAAACAACGTTCTTGAGCTATGGTCACTCTTTGATTTCCTTATGCCAGGCTTCCTTGGCACAGAGAAGGTCTTCCTGGACCGGTTCGCCAAGCCTATTGCAGCCAGCCGATTCAGCAAATCGTCTTCCAAGGAGCAAGAAGCGGGTGCTTTGGCTATCGAAGCACTGCACAAACAGGTTTTGCCATTCTTACTCCGTCGTTTGAAGGAGGAAGTGCTGAACGATCTGCCACCTAAGATTATTCAGAACTACTACTGCGACCCAAGTGAGTTGCAGAAGAAGCTGTTCGAAGATTTCTCCAAGAAGGAGCAGAAAGAACTGGCCAACAAGGTGGGCAGTGCCGACCGCGGTGACAAAGAGCACATTTTCCAGGCGCTTCAATACATGCGGCGTCTGTGTAATTCTCCCGCACTGGTCGTCAAGGAAGGTCACAAACAGTACAACGAGGTCCAAACTTTCTTGAACTCGAAGCGATCTAACATCAGGGACCTGTCCCACGCACCCAAGTTGAATGCCCTTAAAGACTTGCTGGTGGATTGCGGCATTGGCCTTGATCACACAGCAGAGGGCGAACTAGACACCGGCGCAAGCTATGTCAGTCCCCACCGCGCGCTCGTGTTCTGTCAGATGAAGGAGATGCTGGACATTGTCCAGAACGATGTCCTCAAGAAATTACTCCCATCCGTCCAGTACCTCCGGCTAGACGGTGGCGTGGAAGCAACAAAACGCCAGGACATTGTCAACCGCTTCAACACCGATCCTAGCTACGACGTCTTGCTCCTTACCACTAGTGTCGGCGGACTAGGTCTCAACCTCACGGGAGCCGACACTGTCATATTCGTGGAACATGACTGGAATCCCCAGAAGGATATCCAGGCCATGGACCGAGCCCATCGTATCGGCCAAAAGAAGGTCGTTAATGTCTACCGCCTGATCACGCGAGGTACCCTAGAAGAGAAGATTTTGAAGTAAGTTATCGCACATCCCGCCCAACAATGCAACCAACTAACCTGAATCCCACAGCTTGCAACGGTTCAAGATCGACGTCGCCTCGACGGTGGTCAATCAGCAAAACGCCGGCCTCGGAACAATGGACACAGACCAACTGCTCGATCTCTTCAATCTCGGCGAAACAGCCGACACAGCGGAGCGACCGGGCGACGCAGCCGGCAACGAAGTCGACATGGTCGACATCGACGGCGAGGTCAAAGAAAAGGGCAAGAAGGGCTGGCTGGACGACCTTGGCGAACTCTGGGACGACCGCCAATACCAGGAAGAATACAACCTGGACTCGTTCCTGGAAACCATGAAGAACTGATGCATCCAACGCCGCTCGTTCCGGCCAAGCACCCCCAGCACCACACCGATAAATGCTTGATGCCTGATCTCTCATCCTTTCGCTGCTCTATCTCCGTTTTCACACCTACCTCAACCCAACACACCTCGATATCACACAACGACTCATGCTTAATGCCACTGTACTATCTCCGATTATTTATGGAGGCTCTTATCTGCAAGACTGGAGCATAATCACCTATTTGCTTATTTCTCTGCAGCTGGATGCAAGGCCTTTGTTTTCTGCGCGCTCTCACTTTGATCCTTCGACCCCTTCCTGTATTCCTAGCTTTTTCCTTATTAATCTCCACGAGAGATGGATGGATTCCCCCCCTGTATGTACATAGCAAAAATTCTTTGATTCATCCAATTTGGTTTGTTTGTAGACTGAGTCCAAGTTGTAGTTGGCTTGTCAATTTACGTGTCGAGAGGCATGTCTTGACAATCTGGGTTTGGGACTACTTGCAATGCTTATATAGTGTGTCACAATGTTGATTTAAAAACTTTGCCAATAAGTTAATCCACCAAACAAAATACCAGAGCGCCTGCCGATAACAATGCCCCTAGAGCATACCCTGAGACGCCGGGTTCCCCACAAAAAGCTCAATTGGAGAGCGAGAGAAGAAAAACAAACAAACAAACAACACCAGACATGGAAAAAAGTATGCCGAGAGTTGGATCAGGAGTCCCGAAGAAAGAAGCCTCGAAAAGTAAATGTAGATACAAACAAGAAGGAAAAAGTTGGTTCGTTGACGCTGCAGAAGAGCATCACAGCAGCGAGTAATGGAGTGAAAAGGGCAAGAGGAAAACAGTGGTTGAAACCAAATCAGGTTCCAGATTGATCATAAAGGCTGAAAAAAAAACATTTCATCAAAAGAGGCGGCCGAGCCGCAGGTTATATGCTCAAAAAGTAGTGTGCTTAGACATGTCCCTTTGGCTTGGAAAGCATATTGAGACGACTCATGCTGAGGACACTACGACCCTTCTTTGCGCTGGCAGTGACGGGAGTACCCACACGACCAGAAGAAGGACGAACAGGAGTCTTAGTAAGGCGTTGTTTAACCGGGCTTGGAGTGGCTTTTAGTCTCTTGGTGCTGCGCTCATCTGATGGAGCAACGTTCTCGGTGTTGCTAGCGGTCGGAGCATCATCATCATCAGATGCATCCCGGCCTCTCTTCTTGTTGTTGATTCCATGGGCAATGCCATGAGTCACGACAGGAAGTTCTGGATACGAACCGGGCGGTCCAACAGCATCCGATTTGCGAACGCGACGGATGGATTTGGGTTCAGAAGTAGGTGTAGTGGAGGCTGCGACGGCCAAATTCTTCTCTGGAGTCAGAGTTGGAAGAGTGGGATAGACCACGTCTCCGGCCACAGAAAGACGCTTGACGGAAGGGGCCTTGGATGGAGAAGGCGATGCAACGGCAAGTTCGTGACGAGACTTAACGCTTGGAGTGAACTCAACGTGCTTCTTTGGCGAAGGAGTTGGAGCCGAATCACTCATATCGCCAGCAGCTCCTGCAAAGAGAGATTTAGGGTTGAAATCGGGCGCAGCAGCGTGCGTTCCAGAAGCAATCTTGGCAGGGTCGTGGGAGAAAAGTGGCTGACGCCGACGAAGAATAGATCTCAGGTTATTAAGTGTGGGCAATTTGCTCTTCAGGCGAGGATTGAAATCTGTCTGAGGAGTTCGTGGCGAGGCGACTGTATTAGCAGCCGGAGAGTGCTTGAAAGATGGGATCAAGGATGTCTTTGGCGCCTTGACACTGACAGAGGCCGACCGAGCGAGGGAAGCGCGTGTGGGGGTCATGAGGGAGTTGCGGACCGACGGGCGAGGGCGAGGACCCGCGGGCCGGCGAGGAGTCTCAAATCTCTTAGGTTCGACCTTCTGAGGTTGATTCCGAGTTGAGGTATCTTCACTTTGATTGTGCTTGACACGCTTGGCAGTTGTAGCGGCAGTTGGGGCGGGTAGGCTTGAGCTCTTAGCAGCAGATCGAGAGGGCGATTCATCTTGCATCTCGGGCTCATCAAGCTGGGCCTTAGACTTAGTCCGCTTCAGGGACTTTGTCACGGGCTGGAAGCGTCCGGGAGTAGCACGGTAGGACGAGGCGTGTCCGGCAATCGAGTCCATCTTTTTGAATTCGGCCATGTGGATGTCGCTGAATCGCCCAGCCTTGCCCTTCGGCTGAGCAAACTTGCGGTCGCCAGGAGCTTGTCCAGCTCCGTCTTCATCGTCTTGCTTGGACTTCTCAAGCAATTGAGCTTTGATTCGAGCAACATCGCCGCGGACACTTTCCATGAGTAATTTCGCCTGGTCGCTGAGATCAGTCTCCTGGGACTGGAACTTGAATTCGAATCCTGGAGTTCCAAAACCACTGGTTGCGGGTGACGGCTTGGATTTTGTTGGAGTGTTGTCGCTGATACCATCCTTGACCACATTGCCATCCGCATCTTTTCTAATAGGATTGAATCCAAGGATGAGGCCGGAGTCCACCTTTTTGGCTGTGCTTTGGTGCGCTTTGCTGGGATGCATTTCTGCCTGAGATGGACGCAGCGCAGTCAGGCTAGTAGGTGTGATGGCATTGGTAGATCGGCGCTTAGCTGACGCGTTTGGGGTTTTGTGCGAAGATGTTTTGGACAGAGGGGTTTGGACGTGAGGCATATCGGAGTTGGAAGATTCGTCGCCTTCGGCAACAGAGGCAAGTTTGGAAGGCATGACTGGCTCAGGCTGGGGAGTACTTTCTTCAACCTAGAGAAGAAAAATTAATGTTAGTTGGCGCCGATTTCAATGGTCATGACTATCTAGTCCCATCCCACAACAGTTGCGATGCTACTCACCTCGGGAGACTCTTGGGCGCGGCGAATGCGCGCGGAACGGCGGATCGCCATGGCTGAAAGCAAGAATGCAAGGAACAACTAGGGATAAAAGAGATTTGCAACTTCTCAAATTATTTGTCGAGGTCGAGAAGCGGTGTGGGGAAGCATATCAGTTGAAGATTAATAAATTTGTCGAATGTAAACAAATAGGGCGCGCGCTTGACGTCACATGACTCAGCCAGCATCTATAAAAGAAAAAACTACTATATAAATACAATCATGACATTTATTTATTTTGATGCTTCGAGGAAGAGATACATAGAAAAAAATACTACCAAATGCACCGGGTAACGATAAATCATAGTAAATTTGGAATAGGTAAAGCCTCTTCAGGTTCCAGACCGAACAATACAACTTAGAACGGCTCAAGATGGCAGATAATGCCATTTTCGAAAAAGAAAAATGCAATTCAAACTTTGCTTATGATGAGAGCCAAAGTAGGCACTTCTTTAGCCCGGATGACGGTGATTCAATATCCCATCGTTTACTTTGAGTATTTTGTCATTCTAGGAAGCTCTCCAACGGCCGATAATGGCTTATACTGTAACCGTTCAGCCACAAGAACTCAAAATTGATTATTTTGTAGCTCCATTTCTGAATGAATATATGGGCATATTGTTGACTTATTAGGAAGTGAAGTGTTCATCTGATCTGATCAACCAGGGAAGCTGAGGTCTATACGAACACATACTCCTTTTTATAAAACAGCCAGGGTATCATCATAAATAAAAAAAACAAAGACATCATGCGAGTCCCATGTCATCTACGACCGGATCTAGTCTACAGAACAGTGAAGTCAGTAGCTACTCAATCTTCACCATGAATAGGACAATCTAACCTGTCTCAGAGCCATCCTCCTCTCCGAAGCCCGCCTCTTCCAACCTTTCATGCCGATGGTGATGAAGATAACACCATTCCAAAACCCACGAAGGGACCCCAACGTACTTACAGAGAGGAGAAGCGAGTAAGTCCCATGTTCATGATGCACGAATTCCGAGATACGGTTTATGGTTGGCGCAATCCACGTTGCTAACATAGCAAGGAAGAAAAGCGATGGCATGATAACGTATTGTCTCAGCGAGACACGTCTCTGTTGTGGAGTTTGATAGTTTGAGTTGACTTTGTTTGCTGTAGGTGGACGTCGGAACGTATTTTGTTCTGTGTCGCTTGGGATACTGGATTCTGGAGTGAAGCCAGGGTTTCTTTGGGAGTTGGCTTCGATAGTTGTCTTGACACTGCTGGCAGAATTGCCAGAAGTCAGTGCAATGTGATCATCGTCGGTCAATTTGAACTCGTCGCGGACTCTGGTGATCTCGATGCCGATGAGAAAATACAGTATCAGGACTATGACTATGATCGCCCTGTAATAACTATTAGCAGAGTTCAGGCAGGCCAGCATAAGTATACACACCACACGGGTGCATAGTAGAAGATTATGCGAAGGATCATCCAGGTACGAGATACTGAGCACCAGATCTATAGAAAGTATAAGTTAGCCTCCAGATATGCCTAAATCCCAACCCGATTGAATGAGCTTACAGTCTCGTCCCCATATATAGGACCTCTATCATGCCCGCGAATGAATAGGAAAACAAAGGCAGGAATAAAAGAGAGAGTAGTAATAGCACCAAGATACTTGACTTCAAGTTTGCGCAAAGATTGAGTATCGAAGTGATGGAAGACAACCAGATATGTATCCAAGGCCATCGCGAATGTCCAGAGCACGTCAGCTACTGGAAACCTAATTTTTTGTCAGCATTGCTTTTTGCGAACAATATTGCCTTTAAAGATCTTTGCCAATGCCAAGGACATACATTTGGAGAGCAAACCCTTGGAATTGACATAGCGATGAAGTGTCTCCAGCTTGAGGTCCACTAGTCGATATCATCGTAGCGACAGAGTCGAACAGATTATAGAAGGCATTGAAAAATATTATACGATGAATTGGACTCCGGAAGTGCCGAGAAAGAGAAAAAGCGCCGATTATTGTGAAAGACCCTAGAATAGAGAGAACTGAAGAGACTCGCCCTGCAATGGCGATTCCCTCGAGCTCCTCAGGAGAGTGCGACATAGTCTCTATGGACCATAACGAGGAAGATCTGAACCATTTTGAGGATTTGCCGATTCCCACCTATTTGAACAATTTCGACAGAGTTTGTCAGATCATGTTTTGCCCGATGAGTCTTCTTTGGCCCCGATGACGTGATTTATTCCCATGTTCAACAAGAACGTCCCAAATGTATCATTTTGATAAGTATCTATTTGCAAAGTAAATAGTTACATAGCAATTTCACAACTGAAATCACGCTATCTATATAGCTTATTGGTGCTAAATAGCCTCATCACTGATGACAATGGTGAGGCTTTGCGTCTAGAATAATGGGATAGCTTCGACCTTGCATCTCTAACCAATCACAATCCATTGACTAAGGATCAAGCAATTCGTGACCACACAAATAAATCAAATGCAAGCTAGCATGTGCCTAGATCTAAATAAGCAACAATTTTACCGCGTGTAATTTCCCGTGTATTGCCTACAAAATTGGAAGTAGCTCGCATGAGCTTGCAGGATAGCCTCAAGGAAGTAAAGTACTCACTTGAACCAATTAATGTTTTGACAGCTGATATTGGAATCGACCGATTCGGTCTGCCCATCAGTATACCCCATGGAACCATTGAATAATCACTTCATTTCCCATCAGAATTGTGTTGGCGGCTGATGCCGAAACGTGTGACTGCTTCCCCTTTTCGATTGATTCGAGATCTCCCGATGCTGGACCCACAGCGATCCTGACCGAACACTTTTCGATCGAACCCATTCTTGTACAATATGGTGTGTACATTATGGTTGAGTGTTAAATGCTTATGGGTCTGTGCTTGCAGCTCAATTAGTAGGCAACCTACAGCGTCAGTCAAAAAATAGTGTCACCGAGACGAACCCCAAAGATTTAACATTGATAGCTTTGGGGAATTCCCAGAGTCAATTCTCCGTAGGCGGATTGGAAGCATCGGTAGGGTCGTTGTTTTAAGCTCGACCTACTTTGTACAAGTATATCGAACTGATCAATGTTTGCTATTATTCGATTCTTAGTGCTCTTTGGAAATTTAGGTATGCATAAACAAGAAAGTTTGTATTAAATTAGTGCTGGGTATTATATATGTCCAATCTTGAGTGTGCAGTATGAAGTCATCGATTCCAAGTTCACTTAAAGGACCGCACCAGCCAGAAGCAGAGCTCCAGAGGCGAGCATTGCGTTGAATCCGGGAACCACCGAGCTAGCACCATTGGAGGAGTCTATACAGTTGACAATTAGAATTCGGCCTTTTTCAGCATTGTGTGGTCATATAAAACAGAAAACCAAGCGTACCTTTCGCAGAGCACTGAGTCGAGAGGTTGTCGAACCGAGACGTGAAATCCTCGAGCTTTGTGAGAGCATCCGCCAGTTCGCTGGAGCTGCAGCCGTCTTGAATACAGGTGCTCAGGTCGTTGGCCTCACTGTTGATGTTTGACATTGTATCCTTGACCGTGCAGACACAGTTCACAGTGGCTGTGTCGGCGCTTCCGCACTTGGATTTGAGGCCGGAGGTGTTGTAGAAGTCGTTGATACACGTCTTGATGCACTGAGGCACGTCGCCCACCACGTCATCCCAGGTCTTGAGATCGGTGGCGGCGGCGACAGAGGCCAGGGTGAGGATAGTGAGGGAGGAAAAACGCATATTGTGACAATGTAAAGTAGATTATACAAATTCAAGTATCAAAGCGGTGGATATGGAGGATACAGAGGATTTGAAGGCTGGATATATAGCCTTGTAGAGAGTGGGATCATGTAAAACAGAATTTGATACATTGCGAGGGCTCGAGGTCAGACTATATAAGGTGGGGTTTAACTAGGTGCCATTTCATGGAAATGATTTTTCCCGTCTAATTGAACGAAGCGACAGTATGTAATTTCTATGGCTTGTCCATAAGAGGAATTTCCAGGGGCGATGTTAGCCAAGAAACCGCAGTCAAATACGAGATGAGGTCGGAAACACGAGACAAAAACGACCTAGCGCAGGGTCTGTTGTGTTAATACGAGCAATGCACAGATGTTTCAAAAGACGATGGTGCATAATAATCAGCCCCCGAATGGATCTCGCTTCTCAAAAATCGTTATAGGAAACGAGACAGGCTCAGTGGCTGTTAGGAGTCTCTGGTCTTCCCATGAACCCGTCGATCGTAATTTGTGTGGCTTGAGGAAGGGATTCCAGCCCCACTCAGCCTCGTACAGAGCCTCAATTAGGATATATTTGATACGGAGCAGTGGATGTCTTTGTGGAGAACAGAAGTGGCTTGTCACTGTCTAAGCCTTTGTTAATGTGAAGAGGCCCCTTTAGGGCTTGGAAGAGTGCGTTGTCATCTCGATTCTTGGCTTAGGTTTGCAACACTTGTCTTAGGTTGGCACGGTAGTTATCACATTCTTAACAACTATACAGTTCTAATCGCGTGGTTTCTCTGATTGTTCCAGGACCAATTAACGAATGCCCTTATGCGTGCACGGGTATGTTCGATAGAGTGAGTTCAAGCCTCAGCGTACATTGCGCCTAAAAGTTCAGGACACTTGTTTTCAAAAACGTCTTATTACAATCTTTCTATACTCTTCCTATATATTTTTTCTCACATCGTTGTTGATGTTTTCCTACGACGATTCGATGTTGATTCCTAATTGTTTCCGAGTCGTGAATATATAACGGCTATTTACTCCCCAATATCGTTCTAGCAGAATAAGCGAAATAAGCACTACGCAGCTTGGCAGTCACAAAGTTGGAGTTTTTCCTCTCTACAATGTGCAGCAATTATCAAGCCATATTTATCTCGAGGATACTTAAGTACTATTTGGACGGTCAGCATGGTATCAGTCGGCCTGGGCTCACCGACAAGAAAAAGACCCGCATAATTGATTCAAACAATTTTATGTAGCTCTGCTATAAACATAGATATTTCTTCGTAACTTGTACTTCAGTCATCAATATAAATTCAACTCTCATGCCCTAGGATTTCATTATAGTCCACAGATAATTTTCCAACAATTTGTGCGTTCGTGGACATTTAGAAATGGACAGCGTGCCTGGCCAGCGAGTGTTCGAAACAACAGCTACAGAGGCATTAAACAAGCAAACAATTGTACCTATCATAGCCGCATGAAATATGAATGTGATCGAACTCACACTCGCCCAAAATCGCAGAGAAGTCAATGGTGTTAAAAGCAGATCACAAAACTACGCAACCACAAAGCATAAACTCGAGATTTCGTAATATTTATCCAATTAATATTTGCTTTGATACTGCTTTCTTTGTCTACATACGGAGTATAGAACTATCCGCGGGTTGATACAATGTGAATGCTAGCTAATGGTGGCTTGTCATGTCGAGTACAATTGGTCAAATGCAGGTCAAAGGACAACCCAACCATATTCCTATCACACCAAAACAAATCCAAAAAAGGTGGAAGAAGAGAAGAGAAGATTTTAGCAAATTAAGACCACCAAAAAAAACAAAAGATTGAATTCAAGTGCAGTGAAAGTATATAGTTTGTCAAAAGAATGACGTGATGTTTGCATCGCAAGTCTAGACCCGAATTCATGTAAGGTTGCTTTGGAAGTACATGGACTGCTTATAAATACAAAATACTCTAGCCATAGGGTTCAATCTTTTATATAAATTGACAGATAAAGTGCTCTAGACATAATCCACCTCAACCTTAGAAAACATTTCTTGCGCAAAGACACCCGTTACCCCGCAAAATGGCTGACATCTCCTCACCTATCATTTACCATTACCTTGACATTGGCAGGCGGGGCCGCGGGGAGGTTGTGAAGTGAGTGTTTAGCTCGCGGTTGATTTATCTTTATAGTAGAGCATATTGAAACTTACTTTTGCAGCCTTTTTCTGAAGGATGCGGGCCTCGAATTCAAAGACATCCGCTACCCCTACGACAACACCTGGCTGGAAACCAGTAACAAGCTCCGTCAGAGTAAACTTACAAGAACCGGTCAGCTTCCTGCTCTTGAGTATCACGGCGCCGTAGTTACCCAGGTAAGCTACAAAGGTCGTCATTTTCCGAATACTGTCTAATAGAGTAACAGCATATTCCAATTCTGCGTTATCTTACTAGAGAGCTTGGCGCTTACGATGGTGACACAAACTGGGAGAAGTACTTGGTCGATGCGGTGTCAGATATCTACATTGACTGGAGGGTAAGTGGCCCATGAAGATCCTAACTACATTAAGTTTTACTCACAATGCATACAGTCTCAATGGGTCGCGAACTTGAAAGGCGCGACCGAGGCCTACAAGAATGAGTATGTACCCAAATACTACGATCTTATTGCTCAATACTACTCCGATGTCGATGGACCTTATCTTCTGGGTGATAAGATCACCTATGCCGACTTTGCCATTTATCAATCCATTGACAACGACACAAGAACGGGAACTATTCCAGTAGGTGGTCCGCTGCCATTCTAATTATAGGTCATACTAACACTAAGCCTTTACAGGAGACTCTCCCGCCTGCTCTCACTAAGTTTGTGGAGGCCTTTGAAAAGAGGCCCAATATCTCTGCATACATCACGCAAACAAAGGCATAGACTGCAGGGATATGCGTGTCAGAAATAGGCATTCCTATTGAGGAGGAGCGGGTATCAAATTCCAGTAGTATTTTGAGGGGAGTCAAATTGAACAAATAAGTTGAAATTTATATCGATCTACTCTCTTAGTATAAAGACTTCTGATAGCTTTACCCTATATACGATCGTAGCTCGTAAGCTGCTGAGAGATGCCCTACTCTCGCTGTCTGAAATTGTCGAATCCTCATATGATGTTCGTCTGGGGCAGAATTATCCTTTGCTAGGTGAAATCGATGCGGTTGTCTTGACGGGTAGCAGTAAGGATGTTTTTTGCGAGTTTGACTACAACAATTTTCGCCAAGGTTTGTACTCACAAGGACACGATAGTTTCTCAAATGGAGAGGAAAACTGGATTCTGCAACTTGTCGATCTTTTTGCAAGCTGCTGCATCAACAAACAAGGGTGAAAGTGATAGGAGTCTGTTTCGGGCACCAGATCATCGGGCGAGCATTGGGTGTGATGTCGGTGAGGAACGAGAATGGATGGGAGGTTGCGGTCACAGAAACCGAAATGACATCGAAGAGTCGACGATTATTCGGCTTGCCTTCCCTGGTGCGTCACATGAGCAAACAAGCATTGCTGAGGGCTTCTCAATACTCAGCACCGTGACTGACCAAGAGATCGATCATCTTAGGCGCTTCACCAGATACATCGAGACATGTTGCCTGCCTGTCCAGCAAACGCGGAGCTTCTGGGTTAGTCAGAGCGATGCCCGTTGCAGGTCATGTACCAGGAAGGCCGCCTGCTAAGTATGCAGTGTCATCCGGAGTACAATAGGAGTATTGCGGATGAGTTGCTAGAGCGCCGCGGTCCTATTGTGTTTGGGGAGGAAACTTACAACGAGGCTAAGTCCCGAGTAACTTTGCCGCATGGTGGAGCCGTGATAGCAGCGATAATGCCAAAACTCTGGTTGAATGACTGCAGGAGGAATCTAGAGTAAAATTTGATCAATTTTGTTGCACTTGACAAGCACAATTTCTAAGCATATGAATCGAGCTCAAAGAAGTTGCCACCAGCTTGGTGAAAAACCTGAAAAAGAAAGTTGTGGTTGAGTTCTATAAAGCTTATCCAAAGATCTATTTACAATAACCATCGACGTGTTTCTCGGGGGTCTCTACCCTTGCGAGAGAATATAAGTAGCACAGTACGCTACTGAAACACGCCTATGCAAGACACGTTGGGATGGTTTCCTGAATACGCAAAATCATCTCAACTGTCCAATAGCTGCGCAGAGCAACGCATTTCTTTTCAGTTCACTCTTTCTTCTCATTGTCCTTCTTGACTGACCTCCACTCAAGGCCGAACGCAGCTAGCAGACCAACACTAACCATACCAAGTGCGATGTAGAATACGTCCATGATAGCAGAATTGTAGGCCAGTATGACCTGCGGTTGATAATCAACGGGCACCAGACCCTTCAGACCAGTCGCGCCATTTTGCTTGACAATGGCTGGGTTAAAATTCGGGATGTTTTGTGTAAGATTGTTTGTCAGCTTGTCCAGGAACACATTCTGCGAGATGGATAGGAAGATGATGCCACCGAGCATCTGCACAAAGTTCAGCAGTACCAAGGCTGCAGGAACAAGTGGCTTCTCAAGCACGGTTTGCAGGGCGATGAAAGGAGGCTGGAATGCCATACCGACGCCGATACCGTAGATGATCTGGTAAGCTATCCATCGTGCTGCAGGTGTATGGGTTTTGAATGTGGCCATCAATGCTGCTCCAGTCACACTTAGCGCGCTGCCGAATAGTAATGCTGGATTAAAGTAACCGATTGTAGATGTAAAAGGTCCACTGGCCAGCGCGCAAATGGACATACTTAGCGTGGTCGGCAGATACATCAAAGCCGAATGAAGGGTATCTGCTCCACGCACTACTTGAAAATAAATAGGTATCTACTGAACCATTAGCACCTTGCCAGCAGTGATAAGGTAGATTATTCTTGATGGAACCTACGTAGTTGGTAAAGATCCACAAAGCGGAAAAATTGCAAAAGCCAACCACACAGCCGAAGGCGACATTTCGCTGTCGTAGTATTGGCAAGGAGATCATGCTGTTACTGCCACCGATATGCTCAACCACAAAAAAAAGGATGGCAAGCAAACCGGTTACGGTGAGCAGGAGGATAATTCTCCAGTTCGACCAAGGATACGCCGCACCAGCCCATTGCAAACTCAGGATCAAGCAGATCGTCATAGGAAGCTATGTCGCCAGCCCATACCAGTCGAGACGCTTCAACCTTTGAGTTACACCGAGTTGTTTATCGTCCGCATTCTGGCGCAGATGACCTACACTGACGGACACGCCTAATGCAACAGCGCTTCCCAGACCCACGATAGTCCAGAAGTTGATCCTCCAATTGTCGGCATGAGCAATTGATCCGCTGATCAATGGCCCAAAAGCGAGCGCCGCGCACTCTACGGCGCCGCAAATGCCGAATATAGTGGGTTGAGTCTTTAGCGGAACGGTGTGCGCAAGAATGCTGCGCTACAAGTCAGCGCTGGGTTCTTTTGTGGGAGTAACAAACTTAATCCATCGTGCTTAATACTAACATGTACATGCCAGAGTTTATTCCTGCTGCACCGACACCGCTCACTGCGCGGCCAAGGATAAAGGCAGTAGACGTAGGCGAGGCAGCAGTAAGGATAGAGCCGGCGACAAAGACGGTGAAAGAGAGCACGTAAAGCGTCTTCATGGAGTAGAAGGTGTACAGTCGGCCTATGATCAAGATAGGTGCACACAAAGTTAACAAGCTTTTTAAGCACGATTAGCCCAGCAGTTCGAGGAGGTTACATCGTTATGCTTTTGTGCAATACTCACTATGTTGTTTGGTACCAACCAATATCTTGAAGAGCGTCAAAGTGGTCGGTGAGAATCACAAGAAGGGTGCCAATGCAACTGCTGTCCTACAACAAGCCTTGTCAATACTGTCCATACTCTTTGTTGGTTTGCCTAATGCAGTTCATTCTGCACGACCAAGATACCTACAAATCCAATGGTGAAATTACCAAGGAAAAGGCACGATAATAGAACGATCAACTGGACGCCTTGGAGACTCGGAGGATCCTGAGATCTTTGACTGGATGTTGTCTTCTTGCTAGGGTCAACCTCTTTTCCTGAATGCGCAACGCCAGCATCTTGCGTCGGCTTGGATTCTAGCCGGAAGTTGTCGTTGTCCGCCCTATGGAAGTCCACTAACTCCATCGTTGTAGCCGATCTCCTAAGTGAGTCACTGGCGGCAATGGAAGTAACGAGTCACAAAGCCGGTATCACGCAGTTCGGAAGGATATGGCTTCTCCTAAGAAACGATTCCAATGGAGGAAGCCGTTACAGACTTGGTTGAGTATATTGAGCTAGAGTTGAGCACCATCTGCTGCCATAAGATGTAGTGGTACTCTTCGTGAAATATTGCAGCATGAAGAGATGACCGATGGGTAAAAACGTCTGCCTACGCACATGCTGCCGCTGAGTCCCGAGGCTAACGTGCGGTGTTAAGCCTGACAGTCTGGTAAGGGTTAATCTAGCGAAGGCTTAACAGAAGCAAGCTCCACGTCGACACTATCTAAGCTTTGAAGGATCTCTTAGGCGCTGTGCCGTCCAAAACAGCTGCCTATATGAGACAAGCGTACGGACTGGCCCGCTTTTGGCTTCTGTTGCCTTCCAGGTAGCTGACCGTAATATAGCTCTACCAATCATTCTGTACACCAATGCAGCCACAGCGCGCGGCGTCGCACAGATTTTGCTACTGCATGATTCATGCTACCATACGGAGGTCCATTTCAAAATCTTTTTTCATGCTTTCTTTTCTGTAATATTGAATAGTACTAGCGCGGTCATGGGCCATACAACCAACCTCTCTCCCTCACGTACACACCATGGGTGAATACGTTATTGCCCCGCGTACCCTCGTGCTGACTATGAAATCACTTGGTATGAACACTCGGCAGATTTCTGATATCATCACTATCTGACGAATTCTGAAAAAAGCAGGTGCCAAAAGAAACAAAACCGACAAGCAAACCTGGCTTAGCAGCTCGTATGCGCGCAGAACGACTTAGATTAATTCGTAGTTAGATTAGCTAGATAGGACTTATATCCTACCTTTTATTAGTAAACTTAAGTTACCTATCAAGGATAATATCGCTAAGATTAATAGACCTAAGACTCTCGATAAGGTAATCGAAGTCGCAGTTAAAATCGATAATCGACTATACGAAAGGTAATATAAATGATAAGATATTAAAAGAACGAAATACCTACTAAGTACCTTAAGATAATAACCTATATGATCTAAAACTAATAGATTGAGACGCTACTTAAGAAGAGCAACATAAGCGTCGAAAAAAGAACCTCTATTTCTCGTATAGGAAACTGGGATACTGCAAGAAGAATACCAGGTCAGGATGATCAGCCTGTCAATCTAGTAGGTACGATGGTGGATATGTAATGAATAGATGGAGGAGCGTCAACAATGTAGTATTCTTGTACAGAGACTAATTCTTGTCTTCCACAAAGGGGCCCGGGTTAGGGCTCCCTTTTATGCCCCTGAATGAAGTCATCAGGGCCCATTATCTTTGTTGGTGACACTAAGTCCGAATTCGTTTCGTAAGCGGAAACTTCCCCGTTACATGGTCGGACCAGTTGCTCCTCGTCCTGAATAGTCTCGTTAAAACCAACCAGGCAAAACCCCGATGGGAAAAAGGCGAAAGGATGGAATGAGTGCTTGGCAGTCTTGGTGATCTGTCTTCTATTGTATGGTCCAAAAGACCATTATAGATACCGATTATAAGAATATATGTAAAAAAGACTGTTTAATAAAAGCTAATATATATAGGTAATACGCGAAAAACTACGCGCGACTTAACTAGAGATCTCTTGGTAAGATAGATAAACCTAAGCCTAAAAGAGATCATGACCACGTATAACTAATAAATTAAAAGGTTCGCGGACTCAGGGCATATCGATTACAGCGGTGTTCCATGAGTATTTGACCTTGGGTACATTGGGCCCAGGACCCAGTTTTTAATACTGCCTGGCAGGAAAATCGGAAATTGATTTCAATCTAATGGCTAGTATATCACCCTCATATTTCTGTAATAGCATCGGCCATACCAATATAGTAGGCGGCCTGGACAGTGGTCACATTCCAAAGTGGGCCCTAATGTACCCAAGGTCAAATACTCATGGAACACCACTGTACTTAAAAACCGATTAAGATATAGTTCAGAATTAAGGGTAAACATAATACATACCCTAAGAGCTAAGACATAAAATCGAAGGGAGTAGTAGTCAGTATTTTAATAACTAACTAGGTCTTAAGACCGTAGTAGCTTGAATACCCAAAATTATTTAGGTGGGAAATCAAGAACGTGAGGCATTTTGCATAGACTTTCCACGAGTATAGGGAATGAGCTGGTCAAGGGAATAGGCAGGCAAGCTTTTTACTCTACAATCTCCGTAGTGTGATCGATGATCCACAAAGAGGCCTGGCCAAACATTAGGCGCTGACGGTGATCGACACTTAACCCACAATTACACAGTATATAGTATACATTCTCGCACAGCTACGGTATATTACCGCAAGCCACAGCATGGGAAACTTTGAAGTAGAGCAATTTGATAGATAAGACGATCGGCTTAGAAGCTTTGCAAATTCACCATTTTGGGAGCTTTAGGTTTTCTGACGTTGATAGCTATGTTATGGCCTAAGGCTTGCTGTCGCTATCTGTATGCTAACTTCCTCTCGTACTCCTTCGTGCTCCTCCTCTTTGATACATTGCTCTACTCATGCCCCCTCATCTTGATTACCAAAAACTCTGTTCAGGCTGTGTTTCAGAAGATCACCATTCAACAAGAAGAAAGAGACGACTGTCCCTTGCACGAAGCAGTCGAGGTCAGCTTCGGGCTCTCCTTGCCAGCCGATTTCTCAACTCCTTGAAACTCCTCGCACACATGACTGACGCCGGATCCACAAGTGTTGCTAACACTGGAGGTATCGCCGTAGTTAGAGTTGATTCCGACCAAGGTCTTCACATTCTTGGCCTTGACGTTCTTGACAACAACCTTGCGTGGACTCTTGCTCTTGTTGTTGCTGCAGTTACCGCAAGATCGGTACAGCTTCCCTGCATTCACAACGGTGAATCCATCAATGGTGACGGTTCCCTTGCCGTTGTGCTGCACAACCTTGTCCTTGGCCTCTTGAGCACCTCCACCCTTGATGAGTGCGTTTCCGGTTCCGAGGATGGAAATGGCATCCTATAGGGTATCAATTAGGAACAATAACCTAGATGAATAGATATGAGACTTACCTCGCAGACATCACGGAACCATACGTTGGTCAGGGTGCAGGATCCCTTGCAGTGGATACCTTCAAGTTGGTTCTTTCCAATGATTACATTGCTTAGTGACGCTCCGTCTTGCAAGATGAACACTGCATTGTTGGAGCCTATTATGAACGAATGAAAGCAATTAGTTCCATCTCCTTGTACTTTTTTTTCTTGATATGGACATACCGGTGTCATCATCATTGTCACAGGCTCGGCCACGATCGTACTCGCGGTTACCCAGATCAACACTGCCTGAGATCACACTGGGAGAAGGCAAAGAGACAATGCTACCCACTCTTGTGGGAATATTGAGGCTCTGGGCACTGGCAAGGCCAATGAGACCGAGGAGGATAGCGCTGGAGTGCATTTTGCCCAGGTGATGATTGCTGATAGTGCTGCTGGTTGATCAAATCGAAGGGTTATGAGCGTCCCTTTATATCTTTGGAGTTCATCATAACATAGCACCGACTGTCTCAGTCACATACGCTACAGATCTCCTTAATTTTCTTGAAGTCATTCGACGACATCTGACTGGATAGTTTCGACTATCACACCACGACTCCCACTAGCTACGCAGGATTCAAGTCCTAGTTTGGCGCGGATGCATTCTAATTCGACCGCTTTATGGGAACCTAAGACATTTCCTAACCCTTAATTTTCCGTCTCGGGTCAAACTGGCCAATGCCAAGGTGTAGCTATGGTGTAAGTGCCAAAAGCCTAAGCCACGAGGTCTAGTTAGTTAAGCAGGGCCCAGACCCTAGTTCTGTCTACATACATATTGTGTTAGCCATTTCGCGGAGACAGAAGGTGTCTCTGAAACCTTGCTTTCCGTCTTGGCTCAGACTCGCCAATGCCAAAGTATAGCTATAGTGGCAATCAAAAGTGGGACAAAAAAAGGATAAGTACGGCGAGGCTAGTAGGACTTATGCAACACAAAAAGAGATACACTTACTTCGCATTTTGTGCATAAAGTACCCAATATCTCATAGTACTATGTGCACATTTAGAACCCCTGTTGCATATATGCAGGGTCCAGTTTCGGCGCGGATGTATTCCATCTCGACCGTTTCACGGGAATATATGTCATTTCAACTTCTGATTCTCCGTCTTGGCTTATACTCTCCAATGCCAAGGTCAATTAATAGTGAGAATGTCAAGAGCCAAGTATTCCGCAGCATTGGCATTGTGGCTGTGTCTGCAACATTGAAACCACCCGCACAATTATAAGATCCACCAACCAAGCCAATTTTCCGATAACTTGCGATTCGGATGACTTCCGTGACCTCTAAGCACACAGGTAAACTTCGGATTCGATTTAGGATGTAACGGCTCATTCCCCTGTCCATTCAGGATTCTTGGATTGTTTGAGGAATGGTCGTGAAAGTACTTTTGGTTCAATCAGGATTTAGGCCGAATCACAATATAACAGGTTTCTTTTCGCACGCAGTTCATCTCGATTGCTTCTTTTCCATGATATTATGATGGACGGAAGAATAGCAAGAGATGGCAGTCGACACGGTCGGGATCTGCCGCAGCACGGCCATATTCGCTATAACAATTTCAGGATTTGAGGAAACTAGCCAAAGGTATTGAGAAGCTCTCAGGCATGCCTTCCGAATGGGAGCCAAGTCCGAAGTGGCTTGGCGTGTTTCGTCACAGGGTTGGAGAACAATTCTAGCGCAAAGTGGTGAAACTGATATCGATCCACCCTGTAGAACTTCCATTCTAGAATAGTCACGAATGGTGGTGTTTAATATCAATGGCTTGAGATGTAGACTACTCCGCGGTGAGCATACATACAGTAACATCGCACAAGGACTGGCTGTATGGTCACATTTAGAGGCTGAAATCTGGTGTGCAGAGTCTCATCGACTCTTGGCAATTCTCAACTAAAAATATTAATTTTACCGCACTAAAACATAGCCTATTTTTCTGTAATTTTCATAAAACCGTGTTTGCATTATTCGCGACCCAGTTTGGGGCCCCAAGCCTTTCGTTGGGACAATAATGAGTTTTCCTACGCCCCACACCCACAGTCCACGAAATACGCATACTCATACTGCCATCCTGCTGCACGGTCGGGGAAGCGATGGGCCCGAGTTCGCAGACGAATTCTTGTCGTGTAAGACCAGCCAGGGCAAAACATTGCCCGAAAGCCTACCTCACTGGCGATGGGTACTTCCCACCTCGCGACTTCGATGGAGCGCCATATTCGAAGAAGAAATATGTACCTGGTTCGATGCTGCCTCTTTGGACGACATACAGAAGCGACAGGATTTGCAAGTCGAGGGGCTAAGAGAATCAGTGTCCCATATATTGAACATACTGGAAGAAGAGATCAAGCTGCTTGATGAGCGCTCGGAGCGAGTCTATCTCGGGGGTATCAGCCAAGGAATGGCGACAAGCCTGTGGACTCTGCTATCTGCGCCTGATCGAATTAACGGAAGAATTGGTGGATTCGTGGGATTCTGTGGATGGCTACCATTTGCTCACCAGGCTGAGCAGATGATACAGCAGAATACAGGCCTTGATCGAAAGATCATAGTCTCTGATATGTGTCGCCGTATCATTGCCGATCCGAAGAACCCGACGCAGCGAGGCACCAACGACGTATCGGTTTTTGAAACTCCGGTATTCTTGAGCCATGGGGTAGATGACCCCTGGGTTTCGGTGAGTCTAGGCCGACAAGCAGCGCGAGTCCTACAGGCAATGGGAATACAGACCGAGTGGAAGGAGTTTGCGGGTGCAGAAAGCGAAGGACACTGGGTCAAAGAGCCTGAGGGATTTGATCAAATTCTCCGATTCTTTCAAAACGAAGTATAGTGAATCTCGATATTATCTGTGTACAGAGAGTTATCATTTGGGCGAATATGCTCTGTGGCTTTTAAGCTTGATGTCAGATTTTAGAGGAGTACGATGGAAATTAAAATGAAATTCAAGACTCTTAGATTGCGACAGAAAGATAGTAAAGAAAGCTTTATGTAACATCAACATACATGTAGCCAGACTCCGTGCTCGTGCTCTAATTCCCCTCTCTTCTTGTGGTAACAGGTGAGGATGGCCTGTGCGGGAAAGAATTGAGTAGATTCACCATCCGAGTGGTTAGAACATGACATGCATTATGTACGTATATACATAGCTCCCTCATATACGACAATTCCGCAAACCTTGAGACACTGTAGCCTTCTATCCTTCCCCCAGTTTCTGTAGCTCTAATGCTGTTAAACCTTGCAATATCAACGTCAATCTTGGGCGGCAGCCTCACGACTCAGTCCACCCAGTCTCTAAGGCCAAAAAGCCATTTCTCTATCATATCATCTTTGTTCAGCTCACAACTTTTAATACTTCTTCATTCATTTCTCATACTATCTCTTCGTACGATACGGGAATATGTAGTTGAACCTTTCATTACCAAGAACAACGTTATTCCCTCAAAAGCGTCTTCCGACATGAGCCATATAACACTGACTTGCGCTATGTCGCAGATTTATTGATTGCTGAACACGTCCTACGTGGACAAACGCAGCTTTTGAATGCCTTGCACCACAAGGCTATAGCATTACAAAAGGCAGCAAATATCGAGCTGATAGGACTCAGCTTGAAGAAGTCAATGAGCCGCTTGAAAGGGCAAAAAGGGATATTTCAGGAAAAGAGTACGCCTGATACCGAGAGGAGTCTATGCTTGACCCGAGGGTCAGGGATGTACATATGATATTCCAAGGCAAGATAATGCATGGCTCATGCGCGAAGCAATGATGAAGGATTGCTCTGATCGAGGAGGATGTTGCAGTCGGGGGTGTGGATGCTGTGCACGGAGGGGTATGGCTGACAGGAAAAAGGGCTTGGGTCATTATACTTCAGAGTGCTGGTGCTGTTCTAGCTTTCGTGGGGTTGACATTTCAGAGAAAGAAAAGGAAGATAACAGTGCAGATCTAAAAACCAGGCTTCATGAGAAGCCTTCGCCTCATCTTGTGAACATGGTAAATTGGTTCTTCTGCCCACAGGCCACAGCCACAGGAGCCCAAACCGCAGGAATCCACTTCCCAAGGCCCCTTGAAACCAAAGCCCAAATTTCAGTAATGTTTAGTAGGTGACATTGGTAAGGAAGTCTGAGTGAGAATGTCCGGCTATTTTGCTTAATAGTCATTTGTTAGCTATATACTTTCTAGCTATAGATAGCTCCTTTTGCCTGTGTAAACCATGGACCAGCTTTTCTTCCTTATTTGTTCCAAGCTCTTCTGTCTAGGTCAATTTGGCTTGACGTTGGGGGATCGACGGAGTAGTGCAATGGGGGATGGGATAAATAAAAAATAAAACTGACAGCTCGGGACTCGACCGTACTTGACCGCAGGAGCGAGAATTGAGGCAGAAAAGTAACTTTTACGTTTGCACCGGCTATGGTCACGTGCCTACGTTTGTAAAAAAAAAAAAAAAAAAACTGATAGCTTGTGGATTCAACTTTGCTTTTTGAAAGCAGGGAGAGATTCTGGCAAAACTTTCCCAACCCCTCGAATATCGCACAATCACGCACTGCGCTCCAATGGCGACTACCTAACTTCAGGTGAAAAACTCTCAAACCTGACTCGAGGAAATACACCGCCGATGTCGTCTCTCCGCTCTTTAATCGCGGTCACCGCTGGGCATTGACCTATGGCAAGCACAACAGTGAAGTCAATCTCAGTTTGATAGACGATATGTACGAAGCCGGACACAAGTACATCAACAGCTTAACGGTGGGTGCTATTTCTGGCGATGAAGCTTGCATCACGAATCACTACTTTTTCGTGTACTCCCACGGGAAAAAAAATCCCAGCCCTACCTAAACTTGGAAGGTTCGCCGCCATTGGGAGGGAGCGACAATTTTGGGAAGCAGCGATAACAGATAAGGTCACACGATGAGATCTGAAAAAATAAATTGGTCCCACGCGGGCTCGAACCGCGGACCGCTGACGAAAATCATGTCTATTCCTGTTAAGGATATATGGCATAAGATCAGAGCTCTACCAACTGAGCTATAGGACCATACACGTTCTTATAATGTGATGCTCCATGCGGATTGTAATATGAATATAGTCTCATTCCATGTGGTATATTCACTTTAAATCAATATCCACTGACTAGCATTCAGGGTCTAACCATTTTTTCAACATACAAATCACCATGAACCTTGCAGCGACGCTTTTCTGGTCGATACATTCATGTACGTAGACGATCCTGGGACTGGCAGCGGTTAGTTCTGCTTTCACGCGTGAAGGCTAGATGAACGTGATCTCCCACCTCGACCAGCCACAGAACATGATGGGGCTAGAGAGGTTTCGGGCACGCTCCTGGCACCTTCCTCGATCCAGGACAATATCTCCATGTTTTGCTCAGCACAAATCAGTGTGGGTTGAAGGTAACGTGGTATGCCCTAAAGGTCTCTCGTTGGAGGATGCGTGGTAATTAAGCCAAAATTTGGACAAGAAGAGTCCTAGGGAACTTGTTGCTGGAGCAACTAGTTATCTGATGGTTTTATAGGATGTCTAAAGCACCGAGTATAAACGATTACTACATAATAAATTATATAACGACCTTGGAAGTGCCAACCTTGGAAGCCATTGCTTCTAGGTGCCTTAGCCCTCAGGCCACAAAGATCTCCAAGTTTCCGCGTGAATCAATCCACAATCTCAGAGCCAACCTTTTTGGTAGTCTCAACAGATACAGCATTGTAAAATTACATTGTGCTTCCACCATTCTATTATTTATTTCTTGATCATACTTTTGCCCTATAAATTGCCAGAATTTGGCGTACTGATTAGCGGGGTTTTTCGCACGCTCTTATTGGCCAGGTCAAATTGTATTCGACATTTGAAGCTGTCACTTCCTCGGCATTGTTCCCGTTATCTACATCTTCTTCAACTCTCCTCTTACACACAAAGAAAAATGAATGCCAGTGGAAGAAAGAGGAGTACATTGGCCGAGCCATCGGCTAGATCCAAACGTGGCAGAAAGACAACCTCCTGCTCCCAGTGCCATACCAGGAAACAGAAATGTAACCAAGAGCAACCTTGCTCTCGCTGTATCCAACGCGGAGTCCCCGAGTTATGTCGATGGCCCGAAAGAGAAAATGAAAATCTCACTCCACCTCAGGAACCAGTAAGCACAGCAGGTACAATTCATTACCCTCCAACATAGCACCCATCAAGGTTAACGACATGATGTTAATTCAGACACACAAGGGACGGAATTGGGACAGTTATACATTGCCAGAGGAGCGCCCAGTTTTTTCGGCAACTCCTATTTTGGCCATCAGGTGGCAGCACGGATGATCCAGGAATCTGCCCCTGATCTCCCACCTATGAGTTTACTATCTAGCAAGGACTCATTACAGTCGTTTCGAAACGACTCTGGCCCATTCTCCCAAGTATGGGATTTGCTCGGTCTCCTACCACGAAACAAAGTGACCGTTGATCGGCTGATTGAGAGATTCTTAACAGAGATCAATTGGGCCATCGACACAGTCCACCCAGAAACCTTCAGATCTCAATTTGCAGAGTTCTGGGGGCGAAAGTTTGGATTCGATGAGATTGCCGGAGTTGATTTGCGCTGGCTCGCTCTTTTATTCATTATCCTCGCGTATAGCGTGTTGCTGGACAGTCCTTCCACGTCATCACCCGAAAAACGGAAAGAAAGCGAAGAGGCATCTCTCCGCTTTTACTGGGCCGCCAGGAGAGCGATCGTGATATCGCCTTCTTTCCACGGAGAAAGTTTGGATCTCGTCAGAGCAGGACTGATGGTCACGCGATATCTTTTATATACAAGACAGGCCGCGGAGAGTTGGCTCACCATCAGCTTTGCAATGCGTATGGCCCAGGCGCAAGGAATGCACATAGATGGAGAGAAATGGGGATTGTCCAGGAAAGCAACCGAAACAAGGAGGCGTCTTTGGAGCAATCTTTACTTGCTGGACAAAACTATTGCTCTTGCTCTTGGCAGACCGTATGCTATATCAGACCATATGTGTCTCATAAAAGCACCTCAAAATATATGGCTGGATGGGCTGAGTGATGAAGAGTCTGCCTTTGCGGTTGCTCAACCTTTGAGTCATCCTACAATGAGTACCGTGACATTGCTTGGAAGCGAGCTAGCTAAAATCGCAGGCGAAATCCAAGACCGGTGCTTTGGCCTGTATCCAGCATCATACGATATGGTGATCGAGATGGATAACAAACTTGTGGCCTGGAAAGAGCAACTTCCATCCTACTTTTCAGTAGACGATCCCCAACTCTCACTGGATGCGTTACATACATTCCTACCGTGGCATCGCCTTTATTTACATTCTGCATTCCACTTTGCCAGAATCACTCTTCATCGACCATATCTCTTGCGCGAGTCTATTACCAATCGTTTCAGCCTAAGTCACGAAGCATGTATCTCATCGGCATCTTCGGATCTCAAAATTAGATTGCAATCCTTGAACTATGGAACTGCCGAAAACATGAGATGGACTTTGGGTACCCACAACATGTTCAATAGTGCCTTCATCCTGGGTATCATTGCAGTCCGACGACCCAATGCGCCTCAAACCGCAGCGATCTTGAATGATCTCGAAGAATACTGTGAGAGACTACGGAGAGACGTATGGCTGAACGAATTTGGCCTCGCCGAAGTCAAAGTTGTAGAGCTTTGCATCATACGCACCATGGGCTTTGCCCAGGCCACCGAGCAGCCAGGAGAACAAGCCCAAATGAGTCCACCGGAAGTCGTGCCAGATTTTGTAGCACAGGAGCGTGAAAGGAACCCGATTATGCCGACTCCGATGAATATGGAGTCCACGGCTATAGGTGCTTCGCCGGACATTATGTGGCCCGCTGTCTGGGAGGATCAAAACTTTGCATTCCCACAGGCGGCCGATCTTGAAACCTGGGAACAAATGATTTCTGAAATTGCTTACCATACTTAGCAGATAAAAGAGATCATTGTCGTTGGTTGTACATCTGTTTTCACCTCAGCTAGGGATCAAATGCTTTTTTCTATATCCAGAAATGAAACACATGAATTATTATAACGGATGCCCTGATAAGACAAATACACTAAGTTTCAAAATTAAAGCTATTACCGCCAACCATCCTATTCTACGTTCTTATGTTATCACCACTAACTAGTACTATAGCAGAATCAAAGCTGATGTGGACTCACTATGTGGTGGTATGACGGTGGTGATAATGAAATTGATCGGGTGTCCACGGCCCACGCGAGGGCGATGGAGTTTCATCTGGCGAGAGAGGATGGTCAATTTTGTGGCACTTCTACCGGGGCTAATGTGATGGTTGCGTTGCGCTTGGCGGAGCGTCTGGGGCCTGGCTCGACTGTTGTTAGTACAATGTGTGATACTGGGATGAAGTATCTGAAATCCTTCTCTCAACAAACTGGTCTGTCTATTACCCTAGCTATCCCGTGATTTAACTGAAGGTTGACAGATAGAATACGCAATGGTGTTCAAAGATGCATCGGTGTGTCAAGTTTTGGTGATGCCTGTATTGTGACATAATGCAACGAAAAAATCGAATGAACAGGGTTCAGAGGTAGAGACATTGGAATTGAAGTCAAATGTAGTTATACGTTATTTGTGTGAACGGGGGAATATAAAAAGAAAGGTTTGCTGCCTTTTAAAGGAGAAGTGAAAGGGAGGTAAACAGAGACCAACCCAAGAGACAAGAAAACATGAGTGAAAAAATAGAGAGATAGGAAATGATCAGGAGAGGGATAAAGAAAGTTCAAAAGAGCGAGACAACAGACAAGCGATAGGAAAGATAGAAAGACAGTAGAAAAAGCGAGAAAGCAACATGTATGCAAAATGAAGCAAAGGATATACGATTTCCAGATAACTCCAGCCAGTCCGCCGACACCCATATAAAGCCAAATCAATTCATGACACCCAGCCTTCACCAATTGAATGACCGAACACGCCTAATTGGGGCAACAGCCAAGCGCCCACCAACAGTGACATTATTGATCTTTCTCGATTTGACCCAGTTAGGGAACAACCTGACAGACCGGTCAGATCGCGCTGTGATGCTCTCTTCGTCACTATCAGCCTGCGACGCAGGCGACGGAGGCGGGAACAGCGACGAATTGTTCTCGCCACAAGCGTGGCTCAGCGCGAACGCAGCGAGATAATCCACGGTCGCGGGGTCGCGGGGTGTATAATGCGAACCGTAGTAATGGACAGTTTCGTACGAGTCGAAATTTTGCGCGAGATCCATAGTCTGGAAATGTTCGACCATGGTATCGAACTTTGCTATGGCGTGACAGCTGGGTGTCTGTAACGGCGATTGGTACAGGCTTCTGTAGTAGTTCCCACGGAATCCAGCAATGCCAATATAGAATCTGAGCTGTTTCTGGCCGGGCAGATTCAAGAACTCGTCAACAGGCAGGTTCTGCGATCGGATTGCGGCTGCTTTTTCTGGATTGTTACCGCACTCCAGCATTGAGGTGATCATGCCTGAGAGCGCGGCTCCCTGTGAGAAGCCACAGATGGCATGGATTGGTCGGCCGTGGATGTATCTTGCGACCGAGGAGAGCGAGACCTCGAGACCTTTGTACTTGCTTACGGTATCTAGACCGTGCCACCAGCCGTAGAACTTGGTATCGGCTGTATCATCGTCATTGGTGTTTCCGCCCAGTCCTATCGGGGCTTCGAGGGTCCAAGGTGCATTGGGGTATAAGAACTCGATGCCGCCGGGGAACTCGTCGATGATCTGCGGGGTCACTGATTCGATGATTTTGCTTGCGATGCGACCAGACTTGGTGCGGAATTCTGATGCGCTGCCGGCGAAGCCTGGGAAGTCTGTTAGCAAAGGATTGAGGCAATGTATGCCATATTTTGCACTTACCGTGAATCATCAAGATTCGGAACTTCGTTTGATCGTAAGTTGGTTCCTTCATATTCAACATTGTATCTAGCAATTTTGAGATGAGGGCTATGAGAGGGGGGAAGAATTGGATATAATACTACTAACTCGATCTTCGCCACTACACTTCGTGTTCCTAGCTGATCCGTGCCGATCTTAGGTTTCCGATATTCGAAGTGGATTCTAGTGGAGTCAACCCGGCAATAGAAGGTGGATATTCAGACAAAGCAAAAATCGAACGCCCCTTACCTCGTCATTAAGTACATTTATTCGGATTCCTCGAGATCTCTACATTGTTTACCGTCTAGTGCGTTTGCACTTTTTTTTTCGCAGTTCGCAACATATTCAACAAAAAGATAGAAAAAAGCAAGAAGAACAAGTCGAATCAACTCAATTCATGAAGGTTGAAGGGAACATTCCAAAGAATATCTAGATCAATCTGTGGCGGAAAAAGACTGGAGCTAAGAGGACCACCACGAAGCTCACAGCCAATTACTGAGCTGAACCACTCAGGGGTATAGACATGTACATTATACAACAATATTTGTAAGATTAGAACTTCCACTCCAAACCTGAGTCAGTGGGCCATATCGGCAAAGAGGGGTTGTTGCAATATTGTCTACATATAACAGGTCATTTCTAAGGTGATGCCACACGTAATGTGCTGCAAGGAAAAGGGATGGCTCTGCATGGTTAAAAGGCATTGGATGTGAGCTACGGAAATTGTCCGCGCCACGTTCCACTTATGGAGCTGACAGAATGATAGCATTGTACCTATTGTAATATACCTTGACATGAAAGGTTGTAAGGTTGTGAAGACGACGATCTTATGTGGGACGATCCGCTCGATCGGGCCAGGGTGGGTCATTCTAGCTTCTTACATCTGGCAGACAGAGTCTCAGGGTAGAATATTTATCAACAATGTGTTGATTGTGATGAACTCGAAGTGATCAAATGACTCTTTATTGTATAATTATAGAATGTTGCATGAAAAAACATGTATTACATTGCCAAGGGTGATATAGTTACCGTATACAGAGAACATTGTACGCATATGGGATTAGGTTTGAAACGAATTTTCATTGGCCGCGAAGAAAAAGAAAAAACAAAAAAAGGATTATCCGTGCGCACTACTATTTCCTGCCGATCATGGCTTCAAGTCTTGTCAAAAGCCTTATGGCCCCATTTATAATACCTTGACGACAGTCTCCATTTGTCATAGTAAAGATCAACAAGGTAATTGGCGATGAAAGTCACGAAATGCGGAGCTCATTTCCCCTGGCCACGATCGCGTGGGTCGGATTGCTTTGTGGCTTGAATTCTAAATCTAAACTAAATCCAAACTAAAAGGTAAGCCTGCTCGGTGCCTCGCCTAAGATCCACAAAAGAGATTCGGATCGGCTACGGTAGATGTGCGAAAATCGAACGGTAGATACAATTGTACAAAGATTTGTTGCACGTTGTATGATATATGATGGGTGATGCCGCCGAATAGAATTCAAATCCGGTACAATATATCACAAAACGCATAGAGAGTAAGTCTGATACATCAAATAGAGCTAAATTGTAAGACATTGTACAATTTATCACAGGATATACCGGAAATCCGGGTGGAAGTCTCCGCCTTTCTTCTCATACGAACCCGAGCTGACAACCTGCTCCCTCTCTTCCGGCGACATCTGTGCTCGCTTTGTATTGTGATACCGGAGCAGTGCCCACATCGCAGCATTACCGAAGAATGCAAGGCAAATTGCAGCTAGAGAAACAGAATGGCCCATTACGTATCGTCCATTTACTTGGGATTTGTAGATTTGGCCCGCCTAGACAATGTTAGCGTTGGCCTGTTGCAGATGACGACGAAATTTCAAAATTCCACTTACAATCAAACCCGCACAATTTCCAATAGACTGCTGCAGGCCCACTGCCATAGCGCGCTTATAGTAGCCGGAATGACTGTTTGCGTTCCAACTGACACCCAATCCCACTGTCGCGTAGATGCTAAAGAATTGTCAATGATTGTTACAGCAAAGATCATCCTAGAAAAAGAAAAGAAGAAAAAGCAAACATACCCAGTAACGCAGACAAATGTTGCAAAGTACAACGGCCCTCGTGCATGAACATCCACACCCAACAGCATTGCATACCCGACAGCACTGACCAAACACAGCGGGACCATGAAAACGGCTCGCATGCGCACCCGGTCGGACAAATTAGCAATGACCAAGTAAAACGCAGATGCCCAAATATAAACAGGGACAGTGAGCAGCTGCGTCTTCACTGAATCAAACCCGAACCCTTTGATAATTGTCGGAAGGAAGGTGCTGAAGCCAAACGAGCAAATGTTGACACAAATTTGGTTGAAAGATGTAAGCCAGCTCTTTGGATCCCTCAGTGTTTTCCACACCTCCTTGACGTTGAACTCTTCGGGATCAGCATAGCGGGCGGACTGCTGCATGCGAATGCGCATGAGCTCCTTGTCTTCTTTGTTCAAGAAGTACGCTGTTTCGTAGTCGTTCGGGAGCAAAAAGAAAGTGGCGATTCCAACGACGCCGCTCATCAGGCCCTCCACAATGAAGAGCCATCTCCACCCTTCGAGGCCGTTCACGCCGTCTAGTCGGATGAGTCCGAAGGCTAGTCTGGATTCGGTGTTAGGTCTTGCTTGCTTTTTGTGGGGTTAGAGAGGGTTATGCGTACAGTCCACCGAATCCTCCGCTGAGAGCGGCGGAGACAAATAGGTATGAGATTCTTTGGGCTTGTTCCTCACGTTTGTAGAAGGTGGTTAGGAGAACAGTCAAGCATCTATCGAGCTTTAGCATTTGTAGACTTTTGCTTAAAGGAGATTAGTGGACTCACGGGAAAAGGCCGCTCTCAAAGACACCCAGCAACAGTCTGGTGATATAAAGCCCAGCAACATTTTTGATAAAACCGGCAGATAGAATGGATGCACTGAAGCCAATGATCAACGCGGCAATCAATCTGTTTGGTCGTAATTTTTTGAGGAGCATCGAGAATGGAATTTCGAAGAAAACGTAGGTTGCATAGAATAATGAAACCGCATCTAGTCTTCAATATTAGCCAAAAGCCCGAAACTTGCATAGGGTAATCGTACTCCCTAATTCGTTGCCAACTAATCCGAGATCTTCCTACAGTAGCAGAGTCAGTAAAAGCCACTGGCACATCACACACTGACAAAAGCCTTACTGGCATTCCTGCAACAGCTGCATTTCTGAGCGGAAGTTAGCGACGAAAGCCTTAACTCGTAGCAGCTAAACTCACCCCAGATTACTTCGATCGAGATACGCAACCAAGAAAATGAGCATCACCAGCGGACAGATGCATAGATCAAGTTTCCTCAGGAGCTTTTTTTCTCGCAAGGGATCAACTGCAAAATTGCCCATTTGTACATCCTGGTCAGAAGATGTGTCGGCTTGAAACTTGATATCCATTTCTTTATTCATAATGGATATAAATGGTAGATCTGTGAAGACCAGTAAAAAGCATTATCCTCGGTTTATATATAACAGTGACGGATGTGAGTCCGTTATCAACGTTCGGGAAATCCTTCGGTTTATTCTGGCGAGAGTTGGGGTAACGGTGACCATTCCCCGATTGTCTTGGGTGGTGGGTATGACCAATAAGATTGGTGTATCCCAGCGAAAGATAAGCTTAGCTTAACAAGCGACAGGGGGCTTTGATGCACTGTAGTTCACTCCCTAGCTCAAATTTTAAGCTTAAAACATCAGCCACCATCAATTCTCTAATATTGTCTGCACAATGCACCCAGTCTTTCGTCGTTTCGGGTGTCACCGACGTTTTAGTGACTCCAAACATTCGCACAATCAGCCATCGGCAAGTCCGGCCCGATGACCTAGTGGGATTTCCCCGCGTTTTATCATCTTGGCATCGGTGAATAGGAACTCTAATGCCCTTATCAGACTTGAATTTCCCGACGAATTTCCCGATGGGATCTTCGGCCATGGGGTAACGGATTGACATTGATAAGATGGCAAACATACCACTGGCTGCGAAAATTTTTTGTTACTTGAGTTTCCAAATAAATCTTCAAAATGGCAATCTCCAATGGAACCGGACTGAAAACTCATGCGGCAACACATCCAGTAAGTATCTCATCAAATGTGACATCGTACGTGCTGATTTCGGTAAGGTTTGGAAGCGATGGGTTCGCTTTCGAGGCAAAGACGGCAATATCTATGGAGGCGAGCCTGCGAATCCTGACATTGATGGTACTACCAAACCCAATAGTTATTTAAATCCGCTAACACCATCACAGTTGGTCAGGCTATCGAACAAAACATCGATGTCTCTGTCAAGGTTGTTGCTGGCAACTCAGCATTAAACTACAATGCGCCATTCACAGGGGAAACCCAGATTATTGATGAACTCCTTTCTCCTATCTCACAAATCGAAGCTGGGACTGTGCGGTGCGTGGGTCTAAATTACAAGGAACACGCGGCCGAGATGAAGCTCGCTATTCCAAACACACCGACGTAAGTAAGAACTGTCACAAATCTCGTAATTCGTGCTCATAATTCGCAGCGTGTTTCTCAAAGCCAGCACATGTATCGCGTCTGCATCTGAGCCAATCATCCTCCCGCCAAATGTGGATTATGACGAGGCAGACTACGAAGTCGAACTGGCAGTTGTCATCGGCAAACAATGCAAGAATATCTCGGTGTCCGAAGCAGCGGATTATATTCTAGGTTACTCGGTTGCGAATGATGTTACAGCCCGCAAGCACCAAGACAGAACATCGCAGTGGTCTTATGCGAAGGGAATGGTCTGCCGATATAATCAACCCCAACAAGATTCCTTGTTCTGACTTCTACTAGGATGGTTTCTGCCCACTCGGACCCTGCATTGTCTCTTCAGAGCTGGTTCCAGATGCTGCAGTCTTGAACTTAAAGACCTCTCTCAATGGCAAGATCATGCAGAATGGCTCTGCGGACGATATGATTTTCAATATACCAGAAATCGTGTCATATCTCTCCCAGGTACGAGGCTAGTCGAACATGTACTTTGGATCATACTAATTCTTGTTATCAGGGTCATACATTATTACCCGGGACGGTTATCATCACGGGGACACCATGTGGCATTGGAATCTCACAGGATCCCCCGCGATTCCTTCAACCCGGGGACCAGTTGAGAATCAGCATCAGCCATGGATTGGGCACCCAAATTTGTCAAATTGCGAGGGATTAGCTTTACTTGAAGTTCTGTTTACTTAAACAAAGTTGGAATACTAGAAGAAATTGGTCACATGGGGAATTTTGAGATATTACCTTCTCCTTGAAATTGGCAAAATGTAAAACCCGACAACAGGCGCTGGATCCATACGTTTGGTTACGCCTCCAAATTGTTTTATAGAGAATAGAATGGGGCATGCTAGTTGTCAACACGGCGAGAGAATAATCAGTAGACTGCAATTATCTTGGTCCCCAGGTATATAAGACAAGACCTTGATCTTCAACGGAAACTCAGCACATCTTGTGCACTTCGTTTTCTTTGTCTCGTCCACAGATATATCCGAACTCAGTCATAGTTTCCGAAAGCCCCCCGCCCACAAGCATTGCGAGGTATGGACAACTTTAGGGTCTACTGTCTTCAGGATTTGCTTCAGCCTCTGCATATCATTTTCATTATAGCCAGAGAAAACCTCGTCAGTCTGTGCTTTTGACGCATAGTAAATGTAGCGGAATCGGTCTGCGACTTCCAGCTTCTCAGCAACTGCATTGACCCTTAGAGCAGTGTTTTCTGTCATTCTGTTCACAGCGGCGTCGCCACTGACATCGGTCCAAGTTATGGAAACTAGGATACCTTAAATTAAGTCAGTATTCCGCAGTAGTCTCGTTTCAAATAGCTGCATACTTTGTACTGCCCGAGCTTTACGCGGATAAATTTACAACATAATATATATACTGGCTCTGGAGCACAAATTTATATAGAAGCTAAGGCCAAATGCCTCATTATTGACCACTGTAAACGTAACATGTCTGCTATGCCTTGCGCCCCGTGGCGAGAACGGCAGCGTTCACATCTACCACTATATAGTTCTAAAGCTAAGCAATTCTAAAGGAGAAGTAAGAGATAATTAAAGGGAAGCTGAAGTGGAATTAAAAGATCAGTAGTGAGAATCTAAAGTGAGAAGAAGAGATCAATGAAAGACATCTGACAAACTTATAGGGCTATATCAGGGTACTTACACATTAGCCTATATTGAGAATCGTTGTTTCAAACGTGCGATTTTATCAAAATGTTGGCACCTTCACTTTAAACAACGCCCTCCAGCTCTATAGGACTCACGAGCTATGTTTGTGCATGTTTTCAGCATGAAGCCGTGATGACTCCGCGGGAGTTTGTGCTGGCGGTGTCTTTCCCAATGGTCTCTGCGGGGCGAGCAATAACGACTGGACCTGTTTCAATTCCGGCTTTGGGGACTGCTGCGATGCTTACGGTTACTGGTAAGAACGCACACATTCACGTTAGGGGATTTCTCGCCTTCGGATCCAACGTAACTCTGGTCTGTAGTGGATCGGACGGTGATTATTGTGAGCCAACTGTGATTCCAACTACGGACCCTACTCCGGGACAATCTCGAACAATGGTCTCTGCGGCGCTCATAATAGTGATTATACATGCGTCGGTTCCTAGTCCGAGTCCTGTTGCAGTATCTATAGATACTGGTGAGTGCCCACAATGAATACTAAAAGTACCAGGGTCTTTCAATGTCTTGCAATACTATTTCGTCAATGCTACTAGTATGTTTCACCGCAAAAGCTTGCAAACTTTTTTTCAAGATTTTTATGTGGACTCGATTGGAAGCTTCCTCACTTTTCTGCCCCTCTGGTTTTTTGCATTTAATCTCCTCTACATATACAAATTGAATCTCAAAAATGTCACAGCCGATATCACAAGCGTCTTGGCCGACAGCAATTCCTGAGATCCACCTGCATCCGACGGATTTATCCCGAGCTAAGCTGCCGGAAGAGGCAAAGGGATGGCTGCTATTCGTACGGGTAGGGGAGTCCGTGGAAATGCGCTCGTATAATAATATATGGCATTGAAGGTTAAATCAATGCAAGAATAATCCCAGCCAACATCAATGCCGGAAGATGGGCTGCGTCGACGGCGAGCCCTAATCGAGAAATGGACCACCGCCAGTCAGGAATTCTGTGAGGTCCGTATAGCTAATTTTTATCATTTTCTACCCTCTTCATCTTTTATTCATCTCATCTCTCTCACTTCTACAACTCAGAATTAAAATAAAATTTGCGTAGTCTTACCATGGTCGTGCCCCAGCATATACCTCAGCTTTGAACTACCTAGCCTCGGTACTCTCACAGCTAGCCCCGCGACCCAACGAGCGGTTTCTGTGTCTGGCACCCATAGACCGGCAGACTCATCCCCAGAACTAGATCCACCTTGTGAAGTTCCTGATCCTGCTATACGTCCACAAAGATGAATGGACCGGGCCGCATCCCTTGACCTAGCGGGGATGGGCAATGCGCCGCGCTGCCTCATTCCAGAGTTACTAAGCCCCTCCACACCTATCATACTCAGCGAGATCCTCTCCGAGCTGTACCTTACCTCGGCAGATTTACCTGCCCTCTAGATGACCCAGGGCGGCACAGTGGTGTTCGCCGATGAGCAGGAATACACATGGTACGTGATTGATGCGCCGGGGCTCGCCACGGGGTGGATGACCCTGACTGAGTTTGGCTCTAACGGCAACATCCGCGCCTTCACCCTCCGTCAACCCTGGAATATGGGTCAAATGATGTCCTTTGGCCAGATGCTGGGTCGGCGGGCCTTGAAATTAGCAATGTTAGGGACTGGGGGTCCGCCACAGTATAACGAACCGTATGTTCTTTTGCCTACAATTCTAGCACACTTTTCAACTTCTAATAAAAATTCTCTGTTGGTGGGAATAGTTTGGAATGGACCTTCCTATCCTTGAGCTCCTGGAGTTAACACGACAGGGCAACAAGTTCCTCAACCAGGGCTACGGTAATCGGGACCTGTGGGTGCGCATTATCGAGCAGAGTGCGGCCGGATATCTGAACCTGGAGGCTCAAGTGAGGGAGGTGGAATTCGGACTCGATGACCTGCTGGAGGTTGGTTTTTGATCTTGATTTCGGAGGCGCAAAAACTCGCTTGTGGCTGGTGTGGTTCTTTGTGATAATCGGTTTTGACAGGTACTTATTAGATGTTCTTGGTTTATTTGTCTCCACTTGTTCTGATGTCCGTGCATCTCCTAATACCCCTGCCACCCACCTAGTCTACTAGCGATAATTTTTATCCCGACAATAACCGGGAGATCAGAGTATACACCCTACTATCGCGGGCAGGCTGGCTGTTTAGCCAAATGCAGCAACTGTCATAATTAGTGGTTCAAGAGCTAATAGTCAATGTCATCACTCACTAGGTAATTACACATGTTTTGGCCAGAGATCAAATCTCATGGACTGAGAAAGCCAGATATTAGTCGTAAAACATTTTTCCTTCATTCACACAAATTCATGACCGGCGATACCACTCAGAAGCTCGCAATTCTTATTAGTGCTGACAACGCTATGCCGTTGGCAAAATACGGTACGGCTCATGAAAGCGGGCCTACGGCAATTGGACCAACACCAACCTGAGTGGATGGAAGGAAGAGCTCCTCTCGCATTTAATCCAGCCAATCCAGCAATTCGCTTACACCCTTTTCGGTCTTAGCAATGCCACGTGTGCACTCACAAAGTACCCCTTCGCGTCCAACATTTAATTGCGGGGTGCTTCCTGCTTCTTGCTTCAATTTGAGGTTCAAAATTAATTACTCTTCAGGATCTACTGAGTTTAGCTCTTGAAATTGTACTTTGAAGGCTGCGTGGCTGAGTACATGTTGGGCCTTCATTTGGATCGGCATCACCATTAAATGGGCCTGCGGCTTTCTGTTCAAGGTTACATAGAAGCCATACCCCAAGGCAATACCGTCAAGCATTGAAAATTATCTCACCTAGCGTATGTATGATCAATTTCATGTGGTCGCATATGATACTAATAGTGATCCGTAAAAGCAGACAAAGATCTCTGTTCTACAGAACACACTCCAGTCCATTGGTCTTACTGGCACCATTCAAAAGTTGTGGGGCTGCAGATACCGTATCTGATAACCCCGATCGACTACAAGTACTCATGGACTGGCTAAAAAGAATATTTACGGGCAAAAGTGCAGACGATATCGCCGCAAGAAATAGGAGGAAACGTCAAGGCAAAACCCACAGTCAACGAGTACGAGCGCGCGAAAAAGAATTAAGGCTGGCCCAAGATGGCGGTGGTGCGAAAAGCGCACGTCTATTTTGGGGCCCTCCGGGGGAAACATACAGCAATGAAAAACGGGGCAAACGACCTAAAGAGTTGCCTACTAGTGGACTTATGAGGACGAGCCACTGATCCGCGGATTCTACGGGTATCATTACTGTACAATATCATTGCATTTGCTATGTCCAGGAATATCAAATTGATGGGCTCCTTGATTATCTCGAAATATATTGTACAACTGAGCTAATGTATGTTCGAAAACCACTTTCTTTCGCTGATGAATTCGATTAGTATGCGCCTAGTATAGCCAGTCTCTCGGAGATATGGATGGTGTTCAAATGACAATGTCTATTCATCGCGTTGAACGTACTGATCTTACCGCTGTGAGCACTGATCAACGCCCTCAGTTACTTGGATGACATTTCGTACACGTTGCGTTGTGTTTAGAGATACATCTGGCGCTATAAGCTAGTAACGGATCGTGAAAGAGACTTAACTAGCATTTGTTCGCTCGACAAGTGATTTGACTTCCGATATACTATCTTAGATGTGGGTCTAGCTCTTCAGCTGCAGGATATCGAGTGCGACCGATAGGTTTTCCCGTATGTCACTGACGTCTTCTTTAAGCTTCTATAGGGTGCTTTTACGAAACGGATAGGCCGCGCGACGGCCGGCAACCTTAATGCGATCCTTTAAACTGGCAGCCGAGTCTTTCTGGAATTTCTCACACTCGCTCTTTAGCTCCGTGATGATTTCCTCGCACTTCTGTACCGCCTTCTCGACTTCTCGGAGTAGATCTTGCGCGTCGGCCTGCGATCGGCGTTCCTCTACTGCAATATCGAGGATTCGGAAGGTGCCCAGAAGACTGTCGAGATTCTGCGTAACCTTTGCCAGATCCGTGTCTTAGCCCTTGTATGTTGTGTAAAAAAGGACCAAAGACTGGGTGACTTGAATACCAAGTGAAAGAAGTCCGGCAAGCCCTGATGCGATAGCGAGCGGGTCAGCCATTGTGATTGATAGTCATTGAGACGGGGAATATAGCCGCCTAAATATATGAGATACCATTATCTCAGAGCCGAGTTTCAGACTCATCGAGCAGGGGCTCAGCTGCTTTGATGCCCAAAGCGGGGCTGAGCATGGGTGATGATCAGAATAGAATCAAGTGAGTAGTATCAGTATTTCCAGGAACTTCGGGGATTTGTTATCATGTGATTGCGAGTTACAACACATTACGGTACTTCTGAAAGGAGCTAAATCAAAGATAAACTAGAGTGTTTCAGAATAGGATTCGGGAAAGATCTACGTGAATAAAGTGGTGAAACTGATATCGTTCCACTCTGTATTGGAACGATGAATCTTCAGCTTCCAAGCCCCAGGGCTGGCAAAAACCCTAATCACCTCCGCCTCCTCTACCTCTAAATCCGCGAACCCCATCGCCCCACTCAATATACCCACTTCACCCCGTGCTCCCCGAGAAAACACTTCATCGCGACCCCCTTTTACACCATCGAAGCGCGAGCTCGGTCATTCCAAGGACAAGTGCTCAATGGCGTCACTCCACTCCAACTGGCCCGAAACGGCTTCTATGATTCAAAATGTCATTCTCGTCTATCTTTCTTCAATATCTTCCCTATAGATGAGGGTGCCAGAAATGACTTGGGAGGTATATTCAAAGAGAGTCGATGGCTAAACCGAGAACCTAACATTAGAGAGAATCTCTGAATTAAGCAGTGTAACGGGCTTATGGACATCTGAATAAATGCGTGATGAATGCTTGCGATACCAGTTGACCTTCTCAAGTGCTATTTCTCCGTACAATCACTGTATTTTGCTATTAGGTACTACTAGTGCTAGGTCGCTTTCATAACCAGAGCGAGGCTACATAATTGTCATGTCTTCCATCGAGGACCACGAACAGGCCTTTTCTTTCACTTGGGTATAGTTGAGGAGTCGGGGATAGATACTAGGTAGTATTAGCTACATGTACCCGGATATCTATATCCTCGATTCAGCATTCAAATTGCTCTGACTGTGGCGTTTGCCTATATTTGATTCTGCATCCTCATACTCGTCATCTTCATCAGTGCTCTCCAAGCCAATTCTCGAGCCTTATTACATGGATGCAGGTAGGAGTATTTATTTCGATAAAATGCTCGAAGATGGAATGGTCAGATACAATACCTGTCAGGACCAACTACCGCAGGACATCACCTTAGAGAGTATCAATGCCAACATTACGCAGATTGTCAAGCTTAAATTCCATCTCCCGCCCCTGAGCCTCAAGGTCCAGATACCCAGGTGCATTCTGCTCAATAAGGCGCACCCACAGGTCCATATAACCGAATCCCCCATAGAGAAACTTGCTGTCCATTCTCGTTGCCTCCAAGAGCTCAATATTAGGACGGTCCATGTTCAATCTATTCCCATTAGAAAATTCACGCTGGAAACTGCACATGGAAAAGAACTTACGGCTCGTTATACTGCGGCGGGCCTCCAATACACGACTCTTCCAAATCCGCGACACGCCGGCCCAAACTCTGACCAAAAGCCATTACCTGACCCATATTCCAGGCTCGACGAACAATCGAATCGCGGACACTGCCGTCAGAGCCAAACTCGGCTATCGTCATTCGCCCTGTGGCAAGCTCCGGCTCTTCGATCACATACCACGTGTAGTCTGGCCCATCGGCGAACACTACCGTGCCACTCCGGGTCATCGAGAGGGCGTGGAAATCTGCTGAGGAAAGGTACAGCTCAGAGAGGATATCGCTAAGCGTGATAGGTGTCGCGAGGTTGAGAAACTCTGGGATATGGCTGCGCGGTGCATGGCCCGGCCCCGCCTGATCAAAGGGATGCTGCCCGTTCCATTCATCTTGATGGATATACATCATAATCAGGAGCTTTACAAGATGAATGCAGTTCCGGGGGTGAGTCTGTGAGTCTACTGGTGGTAGACAAAGGAACCTCTTGTCAGGTCGTGGGGCTTGCTGCGAGAGCAATGAAACCGGGTAGTCGCGAGCTGAGGTACATGCTGGGGCACGGCTATGGTAAGATTGCAAATAATAATTAGACCTGAAGAAAGGTGAATTCAGCATTGGCTGTACGCACCTCGCGGAATTCCTGACTGGCGGTAGCCCATTTCTCCATTAGGGCTCGCCGTTGACGCAGCCCCTCTTCTGGGGTTGAGACTGGTTGGTATCCTTCCTGCAGTTATGTACCAGTTAATATTACAAATGCTTATACGAGAGCATTCCAAGGACTCCCTACCTTTACGAATAGCAGCCATCCCTTGGCTTCTTCCGGGAGCTCATCTGAGGGTAAATCTGTCGGATGAAGGTGGATCTCGGGAATGCCCGCTGGCCAAGACGCGTCTGATGCCGACTGTGCCATCTTGAAAGAGGAGCCTTCCAACTGAATGCGCGTCGAACTGATGGAAAAAAAGGTTTACAAGGTGAAACAATTGGATTTAGTCTTTGCTTAGTCCAATATTCGGGATTTCATGCGGGATCTCCGGCACCTAAAAAGCTTGGCGCTCTGAAAAAAAGGAAACCGCTATGGAGTAGAGTAAAGAATCATTCTCTATGCGAAATTGGCCAAATAGTGTGGCCCTTGCTTGTTCCGCAGGGCCCTGTCGCTAAGCATCCCAAGGTTAGCACTAAGCACCTGGGCATCCACCATCCAGCCCTGGAGTGGAGCTAATATTACCATATATTACAAGACCCTGGTAATTTTGTGCTCAAGTGGGCCTCCACCAGTACCACTAGCTTTTGAACCTTGGAAGTTCGAACTCTTGAGGCTACTCCAGTGGGTCAATTCCAGTGTTTGTTTACCCTCAATTACATCCGCCATAAGAACTATAACAGATAGCCGATGCACAGTACTCGTCGGTGGATCCACTGTCATCTCGGTCAGTACGGAGTATAGCCTCGAATAGTCATTAACCCGATCATTCACTTACCAGTATCCATAGATGCTGCAACAAGACCCAAACTCGGAGCCGAAGCAAGTATAACCACTATTATCAGTGCCGCAGAGACCGTTGGTCGAAGTGGTTCCGGTGCAGGGGCCGTAGCTAGAATCGCATTTGGCTCCATAGTAATCATCGGTTGATCCACTACAGACCAGGTGGGTTAGCATGAAAAATCCGAGAGTGCGAGGGGGTTGTGCTCATACCAGTAACCATAAGTGTCGCAGCAGTCTCCATAGCCCGAATTGAAACAGGTCCAGTCGTTGTTGCTCGCTCCGCACCTGCGCAGACTCCCGCGGAGTCATCACAGCTGGACGTAGCACAATAATCGCTGGTGGAACCACTGGTAAAAGCAAGTCAGAACATGATTCAATAAGGGGGTTAAGGGTACTCGGCCAAACATACCAGTCGCCGTAAATGCTACAACAATCACCAAAGCCGGACTGTTCACACGTGTACCCGGTTATCCCACCACAAGTACCGTCCGGGGAAATATCCAAACCGGTGGCCGTGGATGTAGCTGCAGAAGTGGAGGTGGTGGAAGTGGTAGTGCTGCTGGTAGATGATTTCGTGCTGGATGCCGAGACAATGGTAGAGGTAGATCCTGCCGCGGCCTGACTGGAAGCCGCACTCGTCTGACTAGCGGTGGTCAGGGGAATGCTGGTATTGAAGGGTTGAGTAGGAGTAGGCTGGCTCAAGTCCAAGTCACAAAGACGATCCCATTCGCTATACCAGGCGGTGTTGGTCATGAGATCACTAAATGCGAGGTCGTCGAGATCGAGACTGTAGTAAGTTATCGCATTTAGGCAGAGCGTGTAGCCCTTAGTCATTTCATATGCAGTATCGTTATATGTCCCGGTAGTGGTCGAGATCGACAGTCCTGTGGGAAGAAGCCAACTATAATGTACCCCGAGCTCTTAGTACTTGTACTCACGCTAGTTTGCATGCTTTTTCTTTGGGATTGACTTACGTCGTGGTGCGGTTTGCTGTCACCGTGGCATTGACATTCACATCCCGCTGCAGAAGTTGCACATCTCTAGGTATACACCTAGCCATCGGTGATTAGTTCAATCTAGCGCCTGTCGTCTTGAGGAACTATAGGGATTCCTGTAAATTACCATTGATCTAATATGTGAAAGTATCTAGAGATAATCAGTACGATTCACAAGTCAATATTCCAAAAAAAGAAACCGTACCAGCATTCATGACATGCTTTGACTGTGTAGCATTAGTTTGAGCGTTATCGTCTTTAGCAAGCTGAACGATCTTGATCTAGCCATATTTTATATCCTCTAAAACCGTTTAGAGGAGTACTATTCATTAGCGGACCGATATTTTGAAAGTCGCGTCATAAAGTACTAACTTCTAAGATACTAACCAATACGCTACACATATCATCAATCAGATATGGATTCATAATGATGAACGTTTGAATTAGGGGAAATTCTTGGATCATACTCACGATGTGGAACGTTAGAAGGGACATAAGGGTCGAGGACCCATTCGCTCTCTGAAAATTCCAGTTGGCGGTGTTCCAGATCAGACCATTCGCGAAAATAGTAGCCATTTCTAGAATTTTCATTTCGTAAGGTTGGAAGCATTGACATTTTGTGCTGAATCGGGATTTGTAACCTAAGATTCGCTCGTAACTTACTCTCGTCTTTGCAGCGACGTCAACCCACCTGAAAGACCCATAAAGAACAATGAAGAGATCTATTATGCGTCTTTGCTGTGGATGCAGGGCTGGATTGTTGTTTTTCACGTTGTCGTTGATCATGTCGAGTGTCATTTGAGTAGCCTCCTTGCCGTAATTGGCCTGCCTCATAATCGATATTAGAAAAATATAACCCCTACCTCTGAACTCATCCCAGTGCTCATGGCCCGAGAAACTTGGATACAGTCACTTACCACGGTCTTTGATTGGTGGTTAATAGTGGCATCCCATTCATCGAGATTGTAATGGTTCAAGCAGCTCGTGTGCACCGTAATTCTACCAAAACTTGGCAGGGCCGCCGCAGCCTTAGGACACTATTTCCTATTCAAAATATTATATATTACCTTAATAGCCTCCTTGTAACGTACTACTATACATTTTGGTATCCTATAGTTAATAAGTGTCTGAGCTAACGTGTTTCAAACTACCGGGGAGAAAGACAACTGATAAAATACTGAACACCGCTATCGGGGTTCCCTTATTCTCTTGGTCCACGTTTTTGAACAAAAGGTCTCTGATTGTGATGAAAAGTGGTAATATTCGACAACAAATGACTTGGGCAGCAGAGGCCGGAATCCGCTCGAGGGTCAATTAACAAATTATAATTATAATGCGAGGGCAGGGCAAAACAAAGACGAAACGATTGATGAGATGCACCCATGACAAGCGCCTAACCCATCATTGTTTCCAAATTCAAATCAAGCATAACATCCAACCAAAACTCCCCGCAGCCGGAGTCAGCACGATCCCAAGTCTCATGTATAACATTAGAAATACGTTGCATGGGAAGTTTGGGCAGAATCAATATAAGCTCGGTCAACCTCATTTTGACCTTTCGTCTGGCCTGCGCAATTTCAACATCTAGTGTATTTAAAGTAGGTATTGCAGCTGCCGTGGCACCAAGCACTGACCCAGTAGAGAATACAAGATCACTTGAAATGCTGGCCAATATCACTGGCTGCATTACCTTCGTTCCGGAAGTCGACGGCAGTTGGTCAAGGAGGGATACAATGTGCAATGCCAGTGTGTGTCGCATGTCTTCCCCGGATGGAGAAGACAGCCTGGAGGGTTCTGGAAAGAGCAACAGAAACAGGGCTGGGATTGGGTTTTCATCGTCCGCGGTCTGATTTCTCTGCAATCTTTCCTCAAGAATGTCCGGGAAGACATGGTAGATTTGTAATATCGCGGCGCAGCGATATGCTTCGGCCAGCGTAAGGAAGTGTGATGGCGGGGTATTTGTATCGCCAATATCGACAGGGCCACAATAGAACGAGAATCCCGTGAAAAGGATCTTTTCTTCTATCTCTTCGGCCCTTTGTCTGAGATCGAGCTCCTCTGCTATAGAACTGAGGTCAATCAAGTTTGGATCCAGAGTATCTGCTCTTCTGCGATGCAAAGTCTTTGCTGCTCGGATTACTCTTGCGGTTCGGTAAAAGAGAGTCAGTGCATATCTCAAAGATCCAGTCCATGGATGTGGCAAGGCCTGGCCGTCGACAAGATATACCGAGAGATCTGTATCGCTTGTCTCTATGTGACTTCCCACGTCTAGTATTGGTGGGTCTTCTGCCACAAAAGCAGCCAGGCAATTCCACCACAGTAAGCACTGTTTGAATAGTGGATGTTCTTTTGCCAAAGTGGGATTTGTATTATTGCATCGCCTTTCCTGTTTAAGGAGATGGGTCTGAGCAGCCTTCAGATATGAAAGTCCTAGATCGGACGGATTATGCCACCCGGTGGTGGATCCAATCATGAGAAGCGCCAGGAAATATTCATCATCACTTGCCTGCGTAGAACACTTTTGTGTGGTATTGTTTAGACAGGCAATTGCTTGCTGCTGAGTCTGCTTTCCGATGGCTCGCATATTTGGAAAGTCATTTGCCAGCGAGGCCGCTGACATACTTTGTATGGCAAAATAGATAGCTGCATTCCGGCTCCAGAGTCGACTGACAATTGTTCGGAACGGATTGAGAGGACAGTCAAAGGATGACCATTGATTGCACACGGTATGGAAGTAGTATTGCACTAGCATCACTGGTAGTTGAATGAGGAAAGAGGGGACCGATGTGGAGGCCAGTCGCTGTCGCAAGATCGACAGCCCGTCCAGCTCATTCCTAGATTTTGCTATACACGTATCTTCTGATTCGGATTCAATGTTGAACCAGGCATCTATTGGTTCCGAAAAGTCCGGTAATTGGTCGAATATATTTGGAGGGGTTGTTTGCCAGTTGTCCGGGAACTCATGGTGAGAAATGCCATGTGTGTCATCCTTGGTGGGGATGGGCGTAGCAACAGGCGAGTCTGCATTTTCGGAACAGCTAAAAAATGACTGCAGCCGATTTTGTGACTGATTCTCCTCTTCGCCGTCTTTGAAGACATGTCGCCATTGCAAAGTCTGTTTCTGGTACCCAGGACATGCTTGGCCTCGCTTGGAACATTCCTGGCAACTTGGTTTTGTCTCGTCACACCTGCGCTACACAAAGATTAATGATCTGTATTTTAAGAGGACCCTCAGTAAGGGAGAAACCGTGTGTTTTTTCACCTCAACTTACTCGCCGCTGCTTGCACTTCTGGCAGCCTCCTCTCGACTTCGGTCTACACCGATTGGGATTTTGCCTTTTCTTGGGCTGAGAAGGCGGCCTCTTTGTGTGTTCCATTCTCCTCGAAGATAAGGGACAATGATGGGTGAGACTTGATGGAGAGGGGAAAAAGAGGCGTCGGGTGAGGAACCCGAAATCGAAGTTAGAATGCTTCCCGGTTTGGCGATACTTTCGGTACATGACCCGACACCCGATCACCTGTCGACATGTAATGACGCCTCAAAATTCATAGAGTGCTGATTGGTCTAATAGATGGCGAGTATTGGAGATTTCGGAAATATCAGAAATGATTGGTGATACCGTCTGCTTTCTGAGGTCAACCTAACCCCGCACATTCCCTAACACCCCCATACTATTCCCAAACAGGGTTGATAACACGCGCATAGTGGATTTGCATTCCTGTTAGAGATGTGATTTTTAATTTTAGGTGTGGTCAGGCATAAGTCCATTAATTAGAAGGTTAACCGGCTCCAGGGCTACTACCAGCGTGCAGTAAACTACCGTGTGAAATTGTTTCAAGGGGCTGAATTTTGTCCAGTGGAGATCATATTCAGAGAGTAAATCTCGAATGTTGATGTTCGCATCAAGGTAGAATATACGGAGTAGTGTTGGCACGATCCACGCTCACCTGGGCACGTGTATCTTAGGCATTTTACCCCAGACTCTTGATTTCTGCGCAATATATAGGGGCTAGTAATGTTGGAGTGCCGTGGTTCAAAGAGACGGATTTAATTTTTCCGTTTTGGTGAAAAGACAAGGGTTAGTTCAGTCCACGGGTCAAGGATGGATATGCAAGCCGGGACTCGGTATGACATCACAACTATGGGGAAGCTTTTGTTTATTGACTTCGCCGTACAGCACAGCTGAAGTCTGCGAAGAACTAGAGTGAGGGGTACGAAATTTAGATCACCAAGGTGGACTACGGTGATACTACGATATGCAATATTTTCGGAGTTTAGAATAATTCTCGCAATGACTTCGATTAAACCTCATAGCTAACAAGCTGGCGTTTGATTTAGAACTTATCTCAATTTCTGGTATTACTTGGGCTACATGCCACGAGTTGAAATCTCAGGGGGTATCTGCGGACCGCTGAAATCCCTAGCGTAGCCGCCGTGCATTAGTGTTCATGGCACTTGATCCCTTTCGTACTAGGGTTGATAGACATAGCTTCGAGTGCGGAGACACAAACAGGTTGAGCTATTTTCCTTCATTTCGGCTTATGATGCTATCCAGCTGGCCTTATCTGCGTCATTTATTGCTGTGCAGACTATGAAACTTTTAGCCCACCCTTATCTCGGTACACTTCCGTTCCTTTGGTGGATCTCCGAGATATGATGTCGTTGCCTGACAGTGGAGTCCATTTACCCCTTTGCTGATGTGGCCTATCATCAGTATCTGCTTATGACGACTATCTGCCAGTAGATATGACGGGAATGGTTGGTCAGTACAGATCAGCCCGCTTGTATTACCTTGATGGAGAATCTCTCTAGGAAGATACGGAAGATGTGGGTGAGCTTGCACCCCACTGGGTAATCATTTGAACATTCTCATAGGACCAATCAGCAGATCACCTAACCTTAGAAGCACGGTTCTCACATACATAAAAGTAAAGAGCTTTGCCCCAAACTCCGTCAACAAGTATTAACCTCTTGGCTGTGTTCAGGTTAATTTTTGTCAGTCTATCAATTTGACTGTATCGAAAATATGAACCAGATGCCTAGTCTTCTGACCCATCTTTAATCGATACTTCAAAGCCCTGTGCGACTGCCACCTTCATAATCCCTGCGAAACCCCACTGCAACATTGTAAAACTCAACATGGCAACTGATATCGACGCCCAGCAGCAACACTATTCAAAGAAAGACCTCAACCCCAACCCACTCGACGATTACCCCAACATTGAAGAATGCAAACATAGCTCCGCAAATGGCGTCCTCGAAGCTCTTGGATACGAGCCCGAGCTAGTTCGAAACCGCTCCACCCTTCAAGTGGCGTTCATGTCCTTTGTCCTCGCCGCTATCCCATACGGGCTAGCCACAACATTCACATACCCTCTCGTTGGAGGGGGTCCTGTGAATATTATCTGGGGATGGCTTGCCGTGTCTCTGATAGTTCTTTGTGTGGCCGTCTCTCTCGGCGAAATCACATCGGTCTATCCAACCGCCGGTGGAGTCTACTATCAGACATTTATGCTCTCCCCGCCTTCATATCGAAGGATTGCTTCCTGGATCTGCGGGTGGTCGTATGTTGTTGGTAACATTACTATTACACTCGCGGTAAATCTTGGGAGTACTCTGTTCTTCGTATCGTGCATTAACGTTTTTGAGTCTTCTCCTGGAGTTGGTGTTTTTGAGGCAGAGACATATCAGGTCTTTCTTATATTCCTTGCTGTCACGTTCCTCGCTAATGCAGTCTCGGCTTTCGGAAACAAATGGCTTCCCTACCTTGATGTATGCTCCTCGGAATCTTCTATTTTCTATCCCTGCTAACTTGAGTTTAGACGTTCGCAATTTTCTGGACATTTGCCGGAATTCTTGCTATCATAATCTGCGCTCTTGCAATTGCAAAAGACGGCAGACATGATGCCAATTATGTCTTCACCAGTTTTGAACCTCAGTCCGGTTGGCCCGCTGGGTGGTCTTTCTGCGTTGGGCTTTTGCAAGCTGCTTACACTACTTCATCCACGGGAATGGTTATCTGGTATGTTCAATATTTCTGATATCCCAGAGCAAAGACTATTTTTCAGTTCCCCATGATCCACGCCAAGGCTAACCAATCAAAGTATGTGTGAAGAGGTCCAGCAGCCCTCAACACAAGTTCCGAAAGCGATTGTCGGAACAGTCATCCTAAACACATTGGCCGGATTTTTGTTTCTCATTCCATTGGTCTTCGTGCTCCCTGATACAAAAGTATTAAACGCCCTGCAGTCTGGACAACCGGTGCCAGCTATTATAAAGTCCGCCATTGGAAGCCCGATTGGATCATTCTTGCTTCTCGTCCCTCTAGTTGTGCTCTCTCTGCTCTGCGTGATAGGCTGCACCACAGCTGTTTCACGAAGTACGTGGGCATTTGCTCGAGACGGCGGTATTCCCGGATCAAAGTGGTGGAAACAAGTAAACAAAGATGGTGTCCCGTTCAATGCGATGATGCTCGGCATGGTGGTGCAGATCCTGCTCGGCTTTATCTATTTTGGATCGACGACTGCATTTAATGCTTTCACCGGAGTTGGTGTCATAACTTTGACACTCAGCTATGCTTGCCCGATTGCTGTATCTCTTGCGGGTGGCCGAAGACAGGTTAAAAACGGACAATTCAATTGTGGCACACTCGGCTTGGTTTGCAACGTTGTTGCTTTGGGTAAGAATCGCCAGCCCTACTTCCTAGGTAATGTACGCTGACTGAAATCGCTTAGCTTGGAGCATTCTTGTAATTCCGTTGTTTTGTATGCCTGCATCTATTCCTGTATCCGCAAACACCGTCAATTACGCACCGGTCGTTTTTGTTGCGTTTATTCTGATTGCCTCTGCCTGGTACTGGGCTTGGGGGTATGAGAAATATGCCGGACCACCTACAATGGAGGATGATTTCTATCCAAACCAGTCATGGTAAACACAAATATATACCCCTGAACTGTAATGACATCAGCGTTGAACAAACTGCGAATTGTACGGTCGTTTGGTTATGTTACCTATAGCCGTCTTACCATATGACCAACGCGCGCGACCGCGCATTGGTCTGTTTCACCTTTTGCAAGATTGTCACCTAAAGCAATATACATATTGTAAGTATCCTCTGTATGTGGCTCACATATAAAGGGTACTTTCAAGTACATATAAAGCATCCTCAAATATATTATAATATAACCTTGGAAGGTCGATAGAAGTATATAAATTCAGCTATAGTTATGTTTGCTATATTTTAATTCTCATCAGTAGATAGTTTTCGGAGGCTTTTTCCGACCCTCCAAAATGACATATTGAAGTATACCTACATATTCGCATGAAATCGATATTTAAAGCATTAGAACATAATAAGAATTCTACTTTAACATTACAGGCTAATTTGATTACTCTATTATGATCTGTATGATACCTAAGATATTCGAGGATGTTTGACATGTACTTCTAAGTACCTTTTATACGTAAACCACATACAAAGGATACTAACAATATGTATATTGCATTAGGTGACAATCTTGCAAAAGGTGAAACAGACCAATGCCCGGGTAGCCCATTGGTTATGGTAAGACGGCTATCTACCACTTAGCGCTTTTACAAGAAAGACACATGTCGTATATTCTGGCTTCGGGCTTATTTTGAGGCTATGTAGGGACAGACATGAGTTTCATCTTTGCAATATACAGCTACTAATAGGCCAAAGGATCGCAACTATGTATTTTTTAGCCGGGAATTATATATCACCCTAACAGAATGTATGGTAATTTCTAGTAATGGGTCTATATATCTAGGTGCTTTGTTATATCATTTATTAGTTGTTCAACCATTATATTTTGCTTAAATACATGTAGGGATGAATAAATAGGGAACCTTTTTGTCAGGATGAAAACATAAGTCGAGACCCCTATATTTGACTACTTTGTAGCCTGGCTAAGAAGATTGCGCCTTTTTGGTATAGTTAGGGTGCATTTAAGGTCCGAAAAAGTCTCGATATTTTACATCACTATTATACCGGCAGGTGCGATGCAAGAACAGAGCCATAGATCAAAACCAAATCTACAATCGATGTATTTATTATATATGAGTAAAATTGACCCGACGTCCTAACGACCGCCTAGCCGGTGCTTAAATATGCATACAGTAGGTCAAAAGTGCACGGTCCTGTTTGGCCCCGCGATTATTTGTTGTCAGTCTGACTCCTAGTGCTTCCAACTGATTCTGAAAAAGCAAAGACTCTATTACACTGGTAAGTACGATGCAAGAACAGAAATATCGAACACGTGCAAATCGAATTTGTATCGCATCACTCATTTTGCAGAGTCAAGATGGGACGGGACAGTCAGATGATTGGCAAGAAACTCGGTCGGCGAGCTTTCACTCTGGAAGCCCAAATGGCATATCCCAAGTTATTACTACCTCGTCCAAGACTTGTATCATGTACGTAGAATCTATGAAGATTCTGCAATTCTCACGCCGGCTAACGTTCCAAGCGTTGCGGATTCAACCCAAACCGAAAACTGCCCAGAGTGCCTGGATTCTTTCACGCATATATTTTCTATGCCCCATTTCTGGTGGTCATCCTATTTCCAACAAGGGAACGGGTATTTTGGATTTGAAAAAACCCGAGAATCAGGGGTCCTTACTGGAATCAGTATGTCTACCGCTAAAACGTACTCTGACAACGCTCATTGTATTAGATACTTGGTGCAAATTCGACGTCAAACAAGTCGACCGCAATGCCGGATTCACGTGGTACTCTATCCACGTCTTCGCCCGATGGATTCCCTCCACCAATCAAACTGTGATCCTCGCACTCAATCTGGCTTCACCAGTGAAAGAACGTGTTCTGAAGACACTTATGAATCGAGATCCAACCTGGCTTAGCGATCCATTTTGGGTTCACGCACTTTTGGTAGAACAAGTAGCTCGCGCTCAGGAGCCCTCTGTTTGGGCTATTCGAGACCATGTCCGAGGATTGGAGACGGAGGGAAAGCCGGAAGGAAGACCACAGCCTGATTACAGACGGCTCCATGACATTGCTCGGCATGCAATTCACGTGAGCGAGACGCTTGATGTTGCTGTGCAGAATTTGGAGCATATGGTGATGCAACATGAGAGCTATATGAACACAAATCCAGAGAATATCACTTTTGTCTATGAAGATATTCATTTGCATTTGCGATCTTTTCAGTCCTTCATTGCTAATCTGCGGTTCCGATCTATGTCGAATGAAAAGCGACTACAGAATGAAATTCAGCTAGCTTTCAATACTGTGGCTCAGCATGATGCGAGTGTCACGCTTGAAATTGGTCGTGCTACCCAGTTGGATAGTGCTACTATGAAAACCATCGCTTTCGTGACTCTGACATTTCTCCCTCCAACATTTATTTGCGCAATCTTCAGTATGTCGTTCTTTGACTTCGGCGGAGACTCTGGTTGGAGTATGTCTAGCCAGTTTTGGATTTATTGGGTCTTCGCCATACCGACAACACTTGTTACCACTCTCGTATGGACTTATTGGCCTGATATTTGTCGTATTTTATTTTTAAAGACTGGATGAGTCTCAAACCTTATTACCTTTTACTCACGCAACTTCTATCACCATCCATAGTAGAGTACACACATTGATTTCAAACTATCTTTATATGACTTTATTGAGCAGCTTGAATGAGCACTAGTTGATAAAGTATTGTTGAATGACCATACAAATCAGCAACATCCCATATCCCATGGGGGCCCGAAGCAAACCTGTCCGATATGTCAAATTTGTGTGTTTTTTTTTTCAAACATGTTCCAGGCACGGAAGGGTAAGCCCCATGATACCACTTCTAAACGAAATATTGATGTAAATCAGCTAACACATCAAGGTTAGTTGCCACTCATCGCAGCACGCGGAACACTCATCCAACATCAAACTAGCATTTTGCCTGCCCCAAATATGGATATATTGATATTGCGATCATCCTGTAATGGGTATAGCAACGTTCGATACTCAGACCAAGATTCAGGCTGGTAATAGACCACGCCTCCTCATCAGTGATGGATTTGGCACACATGAATTGTTAGAAATCCCGGAAATTTTTTATCGGAATAACATAATCCTCTGCCAACTGGCATCGCATACTTCCCACAAGCTTAGCGATATTACATCGGTATAGTCTCATCTCAAGAATTTATACCATGAACAGGCCGAATCGCTGGATTTTGGGGGAGGGTCAATACGTCTCCTTTCGCCCAGGTATAAAACCACATCTAATTTTATGCACCGGAGTTGTTAACTAGGAGATACGCTCATTACACAGTACAGCCAAAATAGTTATCGTTATAATATAGACCAATCAACCTTTTAACTACTAGCAGAATACATTAAATATGTATATATTTACTTACCACTTACACCCTAACTATAACTATCACTTCTTTCATACATACATGTATGTATTTAATACGCAGTCACATGATTGCTGGTATAACAAATTTCAATACAGAACACTGCTCACATATTAAGCAAAAATGCGGGTCCACCGCACCCGCGTTTGATCAATCGCCAACTTTCCAGGCAGTGACTCTCATCGCTTCACCCTACGCTTCCACCAATCTGTCAGACATCACTGCCACACTTTTCTGCAAATTCCAAGTTACAGTCTCTGATTGCGTTCTTGGACTCATATTTATCATGGAGCCTTTGGAGAAAAAGCTCAAAATCGCGAGTCTAGGAAGTTCATTCGCCGCCGGCCCTGACATTCCTCCACAAATCGAACCTATCGATGCAGGGCGATCAGGACAAAATTACCCCCATCTCCTAGCAAAGCACTTGAACGCCGATTTGACTGATCTGACCGTTTCTGGTGCCACATTACTCAACATAACAGTCCACCCACAGTCCACCCCGTTTTCCGAGACATTCCCACCCCAAATATCCGGACTACCCGAAGACACGAATATCATTACCCTGACTGCTGGAGGAAATGACCTGGGTTATATTGGCGGCATGATATCAGATGCTTGTGGTGAACGGTTTCAGATCACACCCCTGTCCCCCAGTCAACTGGCGGAAAGGTTCGGTGGAGTCCTTGACAAAATACACAAACGCGCTCCGCGTGCTCGTGTTTACCTTGTCGAATATCTCGCTGTCTTGGGACCCGACACAAAAGCTGATGTGGATATTCCATTGAATCAGGAGCGGATTGAGCATTACCGTCAAGTTGCATCCGTGTTACAGCATGCCTATGCTGCCGTGGAGGAAGGCAGATCTGATTGGTGCGAGAGAGTACCAATTCATGAACTGAGCCAAGGGCATGCCCTAGGCAGCAAAGAGCCATGGGTTGGAGGGTTTGTAAATGGGCCTCTTCTTCACCCGAATCTGAATGGAATGAAGGCGGTAGCAGAAATCCTTGTGGAGAGGGTTCGGAAGACCCTTGCGTCTAAAGCTTCCCTCTAAAGCTGCTTTGCTCTGAACAAGGCGAGCCTGGTCTTGTTGGGTGATGATGATGATGATGGTTCATGATACCTTCCTAGCTCGCTTAACAATGTCCTTGCTAAAGCTGGTATCATGAACCATTCATCATCATCATCACCTGGCAAGATCAGGTTGGGACTAGCTCGGCAATCAACGAGATTAACACCGTGGCACATCTTCATGGATAACTTTGATGTTGCGGAAAGTCGGCTGGATATTACGTGAAGATTTTATGAGACTGTTGGATACCATTTTGTTTTATAGACGTTATTACATCAATATATATTATCACGGCATAGACTAATGAGAGCACCTGGGAATATTTGAACTCCTAGCCGTTTTTATTATGGATACAACCAATTCTGGACCATTAATTATCTAGCATAGTGTGTAATCACAATTGAGAATTCTCTTTGGATTCATTGATTGGCGCCAATGGTTCCAGCCACTTTAGTTTCCAAGGTTCAAGACCCTAGCCTTCTCTCTTGCTTATCTATAGATTGCATGTGTGCTTACTAGGTACTACCCAGTGACGATCCCAAATGTCATATCCGACATCCACAAGGCTTTTCCGAGACCAAGCTAGACATGATCGGCCGAGGCGTCTACCCCGCAATACAGCATGTACAATGGTGAAATCTGGGGTACAAAAGAAAACAGGGAGCCAAGGCCTTGGCCAAGCTTGAAATTCAACTCAGACCTTCCACCCAATCCATACTCGAGTTCAAAAGCTTATTATCCTCGAGTGTCAAAATGGCTTCCCTAAAAGGAAGCATGTCCGATCATGTTGAGTACACACCTGGGAAAGATGATGACATTGATCGAATAGCTGGCCAGATGCCGGCATGTTTGGCCAATCTGTCGTTGGAGGAGCGAGATTGGATGGAAAAGAAGCTTGTTCGCAAGATTGATACAAGACTTCTCATTATGATGGTGGTTATGTACATCTTGAACTACCTAGATCGCAACAATATTGCATCTGCAAAGCTAGCAGGTCTTGAAAAGGATCTCAATCTGAAAGGCGAACAGTATCAGGTATGATATCCATTATCACACCCCCAGGCGGGGGAAAGTTAACACTGTGAAGACATCGGTTAGCATTCTGTTTGTTGGGTACCTTCTGATGCAGGGTAATAATCACCAATACCAATCATAGCCCTGTTTATTGACTAATACATTCGAAGTACCTTCCAATATGATTCTCAACAAGTTCGGAAAGCCATCAGTATATCTTCCTGGCTGTATGCTCGCATGGGGCATCGTTTCCAGTTGTACTGCAGCTACCAAGAGCTATGGAGGGCTCCTGGCCTGTCGATTTATCCTCGGATTCGTCGAAGCAGCCTACTTCGTGAGAGTCCCTGCTTGTTGAGTGGAATTCTGTACTGACATGTGAAGCCCGGGTGTCTCTATTTACTTTCAGCATGGTATACACGAAAGGAACTAGTAAAACGAACAGCATTGCTTTATTCTGGCTCGCTGATCTCCGGTGCCTTCTCGGGACTGATTGCTGCGGGAATCACAAGTGGGTTGAGCGGTGCACGGGGAATTTCAGCATGGAGATGGCTTTTCATCATTGAAGGAGCTATTACAGTAAGAACTGATGCATATTGTTGATATTGAAGTGATCTGACATGTGCACCAGGTCTTCGTTGCCTTGATTTCCATATTCATCATTCCAGATCTTCCGCGCACAACCTCTTGGCTAACCGAGGAAGAGAAAGCCCTTGCCGCTTGGCGACAAACAGAAGATATTGGCGAGGAGGACTGGGTCGACAGCGAACAGCAATCCATGTTCTATGGGGCAAAGCTTGCGTTCAAGTATGTTCAACAAGCAAGATCAAAAGATCACTTACTCACAATCCATCCAGGGACTACAAAGTGTGGTTGCTTCTCGGAACGATCTATGGTTGTACTGCCTCAGGTGCCGTGACAACCTTTTTCCCAATGTATGTCTGCATCTGTAGCTTCGAACTTAGTGTCTCACTAACACCATCTCTTCTAGTGTAATGTCCGGCCTAGGCAAAGACAGCACAACGACTTTGCTCCTCACAACTCCGCCATACTTAATTGGCACGATTGTTGTTCTTATTGCAGCATGGCACGCTGATAAAACCGGAGAACGATACCTGCATATTGCACTCCCACCCATCCTAGCTATCGCTTGCTTCATTCTAGCAGTGACGACCACATCCTTTCCGCCACGATATGTGTAAGTTATTCAACTTTCTAAACCTTATGTAACACTGACCAAAAATTCTTCCACAGTGCGATGTGCATCATGATTGGCGGGATTTACTCAAGCTACGTTGTCCTTCTCGGGTACATCTCCAACAGTAGGTCAAAAATCCGACAGTTGAAGAGTTCCGGAATAACTTACGAATAGTTCTCCCTCGTCCTGCAACCAAACGAGCCGCTGCATTAGCATTGATCAATTGCTTGAGCAATGTTTGCCAAATCTACACGCCATATCTATATCCGAGTACGTGCAACTCTGATTGAATCCTACATAGTCTCGTGCTAACACCCTGTATAGACACCGCGGCTCCTCGATATACCACAGCCTTCTGCTACAACATTGGAATGTCGACTATGACAATCATTTTCGCAACGATACTCAGAATTGTTCTCGGTCGCCTGAACAAGAAGTTGGACGAAGAAGAGGGAACCAACATTGCGCGTTCTGCTTCACAGCAGGAAGAGAACGAAGAGCATGGACTCCCCGCTCGAGCTATTAGTCAAGGGTTTAGATTCTTGCTTTGAGCAATATCTTCTTTTGAGTGGAAAAATGCTTTTAAATTGGAGGGACCATAGCAGGATCATGGAAATTGATTCACAAAATCAATCGACGTATAATCTTTTGCAGAACACGTATTATCATAGAGCGAATCCATGGTGCGAACCTGCCGTGTCTCATCGGCCGTAGCCGCTTTTCCGATTGGGCGACTCATTGCACACCGGAAAAGAAGTCCTGGAGAGAGTCGGAAATGTCAAAGCCACAGCGTGTAAGGAGTTAGCCTTCCGAAGTTGATTACTGGACGTTTCAACCACATTAAGTTCATCATGCAATTTTACATACTAGATATGAATCGATTGGAAAATTACTGCCAATGATTTGAACGAATTGGATGCGTTGGCAATTTTTAAAGGACCACTAACTAGTATTGACCATCGCTATCTGGGAAGAACTGGCTAAACTCCCCTAAGCCCGTCAGAGCTAGCGAGTCAAACTCGCCCCAACCTGTCATGTCCGCAAGATAAGACGCCGGACTAGGGTCCTGAACAAAATTAGGAAACCAGTTTGGCGAGGTGGATTCTTGCTGTTCATGAACCGCATCCCCATAGGGTCCAACTTTATGAGCCATTTGATGAGGTGCGAGCATTTCAGTATCATTCTTTTCGGTTTCGGAGACGTTTTCCTGTGAGCCTTCTCCAGTTCCATTTAACATCGAAGACTGGCCCATGAGTCTCATTGCTTCTTTCCGCAGCTCTTCGAGAACAACCACATATCGCTGCGGAAACGATGCTATTGTCCCACACTTTGCAAGTTCGCTCTGTGCCTCTTCACCTGTTTGTAGATAATGCCCGAGATATTTACCCGAGCTAGTGCGGTACTGGATCACATAGACATACAGCACGACAATGGCACAGAACACGTAGTAATGGGTAAACTAACGAATATATAAGCAACAATTGACTGCTAAGATGCATCAAACATACCCAAAATGATCTGTACATTCGCTTTGACCTGCAAAGCTGTTTGAATAAGCCTACTATCCTCAAAGCGGCCTGGAGACATCGGTCAACATTGACTCGGATATCTTGCTGTAGCTGTGCATGTTTCGGGCCAGCACGTCTTCCTAGACATGCTAGATTTCGAAGAAGGAACGGTCTGTATAATAGGATCTCCGCATGCGCGAATGCTAGATGAAGAACGTTGTACTGTCTCTGGTACGTAGGTTGAAGGAGCTCAATGTTGGGAGTTTCAAGAAATGGACCGATCCCACTCCGCCAATCTGCAAGATCAGCACCGTACTTCTGTGCAATAACTGTTTGGGCTTCGATGTTTTTCTGTTGGAGTCCGTAGAGATCTTTCAGGATTCCACTTATTATCTTCACGAGTCTTCAATCCGGTCAGTGGTGGAAAAGGTAAATACCGTTCCAAAGCCAACTCACTTTGCATGGAAAACAGGCGCTAACATAATGCTCTGGCCTTGGGAAAATGTCGGTAATATTGCAGTTCTCGTGATTTGGCTATCACTTGCACATGCTGGAAGCTCCTTGACACATTGTTTAGCAATATTCAGCCAATCATCAGGAAGTCTTACTTGGTCAATATCCTCGTCATGAAATATTTTCGGGCGCCCCAATGCAGCGCTGAGGTAGATATCCAAGCTGTATGCGCACCAAAAGACCCGCTTTCGACACTCATTCTCAATATGATCAGATATGGTCTCGCGCCGCCAGCGTCTGTGTAGACCAATAGCGAGAGCAAGGCGACCAGTTGTACCAAACAGACTCCAACAGTGGTTAACTCGGGATTCTGACAAGAGGTAAAAACATTGAGCAAGACGGGCTTGAATGCTTTCAAGCCTTACTGAGCCGGTTTCTGACAGTAAGTGGTTTTCAGAAGCCGCAAAGTATACATTGCTTTATTTGACAAGAATAGTTAGCGCTTTTGGGGTGTACTCAAAGGCTGCATTATCATGCAAATACTGGATCGATAAATACCTTTTCACAGACTGGCCAACAGCCGAATCTTGGCTTGGAAGATATTGTTTTCCCTGAACCATGACCATCAACAACAAGGCTTTGATTGCCTGGCTCAATGTATCATCTGAACCATGCACATCTGAGTAAAATGTTTCGAGCCATCCTTCGACTGTGGCCTGGTGTAAGAAACGATGGGTTGGAAATGCAAAATCAAAATATCGATTAACCAAAGCTTTCGCTTCATCTTTTGGTGGAAGGACCAAGAAATGGGGATCGAGTTTTGGCAAAGGTGCATCTCCAAAGTTGAAAATGGGCCCATTTGAAAAGACAGCTACGTTTTCGTGGATCCGTTTCTGAACCCGAAGTAAAAAGGACACACCTGATGATGGTCCCACATAATGACCTTCTAGGTCTGTTTGGTCTCTCTCGGGAGAAGTACGCGAAGACACTATCTCGGTCCCCTCTTCGCCTTGCAGTGCTGCTAGATGAGGATTCGGCACTCGAGGCGTAGATATTACCTGTGCGGACGATTCGACCTGGGAATCAATACCTATGCTGTAAGATGTCTGATCTCGACCCGCATTCCCCCTATGCACCTGTGTTGGCGACGAAGTTGCGGGAAGAGACCGCTCGTCGGCGGAAATGACTGATCGCTCTGACGATTGAAGTCCAGTGTCCAATGTCCGTACATTGTTGTTGACAACTGACTGACCTGGAACCGATGGCGACTGTAAAGCCACTACTTTGTGCTGATCAAGAAGAGGAATCTCGGTCTTTTTGCCTCTATTGTATTCCGCGTTGTACTCGCAATCAGCACCCGATCGCAGACAGAGCGAACACGGAAGTGTCCCAGAGCATCGTAGCTTCTTCCTAGTCCCCCATCAGTATACTGAAGACTTTAAGTTTAGGATATCCAATTATTTACCGCTTGCATCCATCACAGGCTCGAGTTACTCGGACACGTTCTTTGCCACGTCGGCGTTTGTTGGGATAATCGCTGGGCATCATGTCATTTAGGGATGCAGCATAGTGAGAACGTATAGAATAAATGTAGAAAATTTTCAATGCCTTGATCAGAAGTCTTTGACAAGGACAAAGTCAACACGAAAAACAAACAAGTGATATAAAGTCGTGTGATGATTCCGGGGTAACTAAGCCCCGCACGAAGCTGCCCTTTTGGCCTTGTTTATCAGGCCAATACCTGTTCTTCTCCCTGGAGAAGTAGCACAAACATACCTTGTCAGCCAATTTGCGCTCCAACTTTTTACAACTTATCTTGTCACAAATATCATACTCATGCCGGGATATGGCTTTTCTCTGAATCCAAATCTTGAAATTTGGCAGGTTTGTTTGTGTGGAGTGAACCACAGCCTCCTTGATAATATCACAATTTAGTCCTCATACAATTATAATGTCAATACCACGTCCATGGGTTGAGAGATGCCTCGGACAGTTATACTCAAAGCACTTCAAGTCACCCTCGTACTGATCGATTCACCACCATCAAGTTCTGGACGGCCACCTTCCAATTCAACCATGTTATTCCTCTTCCTCGTATAACCAGAGAGCTCACTATTCTCTGTCGCCAGTTGTACCGGCCTGGAGTGAATGGGTTCTGGGGCTGACAGAGCATGGCTGAGCCGAGAGGCTCTCCTCCGCTCAACAATTGCCCAAATAACAAACAGCAAAGCCAAGGCACCGAGCGGAACACCAACACCTGCACCTATTGCTGTATCGTGACAAGTCTTACAGCTGCCCGGATCATTGCTTGTATTGTTTGATGTGCTGTTCCCGGTGGAAAATGTGCCTGATAAAGAAGGAACGTTTTCAAGCAGAGCACGTGCGGGGATGACTCTGCCACTCTTGACGGTGAAAGGTTGTCCATCATTATCGGATTCGGAGGGGCACACGACACTGGAACCGACTGCTATTGGTGAGCCGCAGCAGTAGAGAGACACCGAGCCGTTGAAGTAAATATTACTGATCGAGGCACCCACAGTTGGGGTGGAGTTTTCTAAAATACCATAATCAGTCAATATTGCTCGGTATCTCTTTCTTGTGGATAGCAAACGGTGTATTGAGCTTACTGCAATGCTTCGTGCATCCAGTCCATTCTTTACTTGTGCATGATCCTCGCGACAAAACGTATGGTTGATGCCCTGCGTTTAGACAGAGTCCGTTGTCCAGACAAAGGTCATTGTTACCACAACACCACGTGTTTGTGTCAGATCGGCATGGCACATTATTCGGGGCTTCTGCCCCCGAGGGATAGTAACATGTCCGATTATCAGTCACCATAGCTGTGGCTCAAAATTATGGAAAGAATAGGAAGGTAAAGAGGGCGAATGCTAGCTCTTCGAGTCCGAAGAGGCAAAACCGGCTGAGGAGTCAAAGCTGCATGCAAGCTTCCTCAGTTATCGTCGTACAGCAAAGAAGGGGGGCCTTGGGGCAAATCTTTGCCATATTGGTGAAGTCGGGTTAGACCCTGCAGTAGTGGGTTGCAATTCCGTATGCTCAGCCTCGCGATCAACAATCCTTGCACCGTAAAAATGCATCGAAAAGTATAGGACAAACTTCCCTTCAGAATATAATCTAAAATTTTGGTACAACGCGGTTGATTCTGACATAGTGGAGAAAATCTGAGGTTCATAATGAAGATCAGCCATATTTTGGACTTGGCGTGTAGCCTTGCGCCAGAAACTTCGCCAATCATTGCAAATCATGCATGGTATTTTCACTGTGGATTCTGTTAGCAGTATGGCTTGGGTAACACAGTTCTGACATACAATAAGGATCTTTGTGTAGATTGTTTGGTCAAAATGTATCAACACGTAAGACGCTCGAAACATGATTGAAGTAAGATGAAATCATCGGCATTGAGCACTACATCAAAACCTCAGCTCAGTTTCTGCAAACACCAAGGACTCGATTTGCGCCTCGAATCCATCTTCAGTCTCGCATATTCTTGAAAAGTCCATAGTAGCCTCAAGTTCAATGTGTCCTTCATCATTAATACGATAAATTTGACATCTTGGCCCTCCATATCAATATATCAATATGACCGAAATCTTCAAGGCAATCTGCGGACATTTTGTGCGCGGCCTTATACTCGCGTCCCCAGGCCCCAAAGGCTCGGGCGATGAATGCTATCCAACAACCGATGCCGTCGGCGTCCAAATGCAATATTAAACGCCTTGTCCGTCAATGGAATTCTTGCAGACTGCTTGGGAAATAGCCTTCTGCGTCGCAAAAGCTTCTCACACTCATACCGCGCTCGAGCAGCTTCTAAAGTGAGACTTCGTGCTGCATATAGCCCATCGGGATTTCCAAATCAAACAAGTATTCGTGGCAGAAGACTTGGGGGTTTGTAATGCCCTTGAGCTCTTCTGCAAATTCGAGAACATGATGAGGCTTCTCAGTGCCAGCTGGTATAAATAAGCTCACTATCCATATATCTTTTGGGTGCTTCCCGTCTTCGCAATATTTTGCAAAGGCACGATATAGCGCTTCAATGGGACGCAGAATCATACATACAAGTGCAGTAGGGACTTTCTTGCTTCGAATCCTGTGATTGTTGAACTCATAAAGTCGCTCTTGAACTTTGTCGTGGTGAGGTATCTCTAATTCCCACATCTTAGGCCACCGGCACAGGTCGATGGACAGCACCGATGAAAGTGTTCAGCCTTGAGCGAAGATACCATGCGGGAAATAAGGCCTTTGGCGGTAGGCTCTCAAAAAACAATGAACGAATTTGAGCACAGGATAGTTTTCACGTTAGTGACAAGAGGATTTGGATAAATATATGCAGGTTCCCCCGCTATGTATCGTCATCAAATCATGCCTTCGCCACAAGACGCATTGATCGACGATTACTTATTCTGCGCGGAACCCCACTCTTCGTTGATCGGAGGCTGGGCACAGAAACTACAGATCATCATGTCACAATGGCCGTTCAAAAATCGTAACCCACCAAGAAGGCCCATTTCTTACTCATTCGCGACAACGGGTCAGCGAATGTTACGAGTACGAATGAAGCCCTCGCTGAAAAATCGTTCAACATCGCAAATTCAGACCTCGACGAATCCCCAGCTCATGACCTTTTCCTCCTTCACTCGCGCTACAATCATTCGTGCATACCCAACCCGAAGATTTCCAATGTTAGTGGATGGATCAGTTCAAGCTTTGCAACCAGGGGGATTGAGGCTGGTGAAGAGATCAATTTCTGCTATAATTCAGATCTCAAAGGCAGGACTAGGTATGAGCGTCATGAAGCCCTCCATCTTTCGAGCGCTTGCGTGGCATGTCTGCCTGGCGCTCCCAACAACTTAGCGGCATGCGGAGGCGTTTGACTCGAGGACTGCAATATCTTACGGATGGCGTAGACTTGGATAAGAAGAGACAGAGTTCAAATTCTTCAATTATCGTCGACCGCGAAATGAAAATTGTCGTAGAAACATTCGGCATGCCTCTTTCCTCTAGGTTGATTTATGTCCTCCTCACATGGAAAAAGGATTACTAGATGGCTTTCTGGACGCAATGCTCAGATCAAGTTTTAACAGAACGGTCAAACTTTTCAAGTCAGAAAGCAATCAAAGCATCGTTGGGCTAGTTGTGGAAAAGAAAAAATGGGCAAAGACATTGCAAGTGGCGTTCAGACTGTATGGTCGCGTAGATGCTGCCGATCGTGAAGTTACCCTGGTAACTCCGAGTCCAAGCCTAAGTCTGCTAAGAGAGAAAGGAAAAAACTCCAGAAGAAGAATCCTAATTCCAAGAGCGGATGTCATATAATGTAGGATACGGAAAAATCAATTTAAATTTCATATATTCCCGCAAACTTGGTAAACGACCTAATTGCTCCCTTTTACTTAACTATCTATACCAGTTCTTCACTCTCATCCTGGCCAATATAAGAGATCACAGTATCCAGGATGTGAGGTCCTTTGCTTATGAAATCATACATCTATCGGTGAAGATAAAAGACAGTTATCTTGGGTTTGCCGTGCTGTCTTCACTGCTGTGAGGGGATCCATGCTTTGTCTAATTATGCGAAGCTTTGCCGGATGAAATTAAGTAGGTTAGAATACTTTTCCCGCGCTATAAATATAGAAATTAAGAAGACGTTTAGTATCCGTGAGCGTGGTGGCCCCTGCTTGGGTTACTGCCAAAAGGCGAGACAAGAATCTGCATAGCCTATTGTAAAGTTCTGTAGCGTCTCTACTTCAGGAGCTACTCCCGAAATGTATAGCTAGAGGACAGATATCGGAAAGACACTGCGGGTGATTGCACGTGAGAACTCGAAAATGGGGCTTCTTCTCAATCCTAAACCTTGACATAGGGGTTATGCGGACTGTCCGGAGAAGTGAAGGGCGGGTTGCTTTCTATGATCCCCAGCCGTTCTCTAGCGCTTGCCGCCGCACTATTCTATATTTACTATCGGTGGCGTTTATACCTGCTTTCTTGCTTGTGACGCTTGATTCGGGTGTTGCTTTTTGAAATGTGTTCTACAAAGTCAGTAATTTTCCGAAGACCCACAGATTGTAAATGCCGACATCTATGTTATATCTCTTTCGCGATTCACCTCATGAGACGTGATTATAGACATAATTTGTTCAATTCGTATAGCGAATTATTGTTACAGTACTTCGTATCATCCTTGGTGACCCTGTGCTTCACGCTCTTCTTGCTCCTTCTGCTTTTTTCTTTCTTTGGCTTCTGCGTCTGCCTGCTTCCACGAGCCCTCGTAATGATGTGTCACAAGTGCATCGCCTTGATCCGTAGGGAACCCATTTTGAGCCGCCGCAAATGAAACACCGGGCATGATCAAGACATCACCGACCAACTTCGGATGCTTGATTCCCGAGAAGTCGCGGTCGTCCACGGTCCTCTTGAGCAATTGTCCTAGACTTTCTAAGATCGCGATCGTCATGATCTTAGGTCCGGTCACGTTCACCACATCCTTGAGCATCTCCAATTTGATACCGGAAATAGACACGTTGTTGGTCTTTGCAATCTCCTTCAACTTGTTGATGACAGTGTTAACAATCACAACCAGGTTGCGAGATGACGGCTGTGCTGCAAATACCCAGTTGCAAAATTGAGATGCGACCTCGGCTTCTGGGCCGCGATAAGCAAAGTCGAATTCCAAACCGACAATCATGTCGATGTTTTGATCTTTGTACTCCGCGGGCACCCAGTCAGAAAGTGGCTTCTCCAAAGTGACATCTAGATCACTCCAGTACCCGCCCTCAGCGAGAACAATCAAATAACGAAGAAGATCCGCCCGTAAAATTGGAATAGATAGGGATTCGATGATTTCGACAATGTCTGGTCGTGTCTCCTGGTAGTATGCGCGAACAAACGCCTCGCCAGAGCGGTCGGTAAGCAATTCTTGTCGGCATTCGGGAGTGGTGCTCGACCAGCTGTCCACCCATTTGCGTTGGCTTTCCGATATGTCATCTGTTTTTGCGGAATGCCAAACCTTATCCGGAATATTGGAAATTGAAGTGTTGGCGTTTGAGTAGTGAATTTTGGGTTTGGTGGGCGAAGGATCCTCGGGGATTGGTGGAGTTGGGGGCGCTGAACTTGCGTCGTCGGCCGCAATGGCCCCTGAGGAGGGGTCCGAGCTGGGAATGATCTTTTGTATTGGCTTCCAGCCCGTATAGAAAGTGCACACGAGTGTGAAAACCACAACAATAGGAACGACCAGGCGCAAGACACGCGAATTGTTCAAATTGGTGATTGATAACATGTTGTGGGAACCCCTCAAGGCTGATGTGCAGAGGGGAAAGAGATAATAATAATAAACTATCACATGTCTAGCTTGCCAATTTGGCAGTAAATCTTTCTCCCTAGTCGTTGCAACATGCCACATCTGTGCTAGTTGAGTGCTGCAACCAGGGTTTGGCGCTAAAACTTCTCCAACTCCCCAGTCCCAAGCTATCGTAATGAGTGTTCTTCATTAAATCTACGGCCGATCGGCTTATCATCCAGTTTCCTTGGAAGCCCAGAACTGGCTACTCGAGTGCATCTTCTAGTGTGGCCTTCTACTGTTTGTGGGCAACCTTCTCTAGAAGCGCCGCAGGGTCGCTGTGTTCGTGATCCCGGAACTCCAAGAATCTGGTACTGTTCTCAATATTTACAGCCGTGTCTGATTGGCTTGAACCAACGAATTGCAAGAGATCCCGGTCTTCTGTGTACACAATGAGTGTGTGGTGGGTATTTGGAGGATGAGAAAGTCCCGAAGTTCAATCCTCAAGGCTATCTAGACGGCCCAGAAGTTTGTTCAAAAGTCAATGCTGATCGTCTTGTGTAGTAAATTCAGACTTCTTGGGTTTGGGATAGATAATTGGGGCTTCATAATCACACAGTAGTCTGTTTCTTGCGCAGTACGAGCACCGAGGGGACTTAGCATCCCAGCGGGTAGTTCGTGACCGACAAGCTGCAAAAGCCTTTGCGGTACGCTTGGTCAAGCTTGGATCATCAGGAGACTGTTGACCGTCGACTTGGGCTTCGGACTCTAAGCACGTCTCTCTTGTCTGGTGGTGTCCGATTCCACGTCAATGGTGAGTCTAGCAAGAACTTTCTCTGCACAGAGAGATATGGACACGGATTTATCGCGCAAGTGCCCCTCGAATATAGGTTATATGCAAAGACAAAGTGGGAGTTCAACTAAGAGTTCGATCGGGCCGATTGGCGGGTTGAGTCTACTGACTGTACGCCCGAGCATGAAAGGCCAGATCTAGGAGGTTGCTTCATCCACATCAAACACAATAAAGTGAATAGATAACAGTGGGTGCTTTAAAAAAAGCCTCAAAACTATATATATAGATATAATGGCAAGTTCCGAGGACCTAAAGTTAATTCCCGGGTTACCTGGAACCTACCCAGGGTACGTGGTGTCTTTACCCTCAAAGTCTGGGGTTTGTATAGCCTCATTATTGACTACATATGAGATAGATTTATAAATTTTAGTCTAAACCAATGTCCAGTCCTGGTGAGATCTTTAGTAATGGATATGATCTTATCCCCCGGAATGTTTCCTTCCATCTATGTCGGGCCGAGCGCCTCGGAAAGTCATATTCCGACGCTCGATGGACACAGCGAATGCGATTGCAATCTTTCGAAACTTTCGGCAAACCCTTTTGGAATAAATACTTCCCAAATATAAATTGATTCTTAGCTCTGGCAGCTTTCTAGCTGTCAACTTGTCGTGAGAGCCATTCATACATATATGCTATACCCCGCAATCCCAACTGCCCCTCTATACAACAAGACAAGATGGGAAAGCGCATCGTGATCACCGGAGGCTCTGGTAAAGCCGGTCAACACATTATAAGATACCTCCTCCAAGAAGGTCACGCCATCCTAAACCTCGACCTCGTCCCTCTTCCCGCCGAACTAGAAGAGCAAGTCCACACAATGCGCGTGGACCTAACCAACAGCGGCCAGGTATATAGCGCGCTGGGCTCTCATTTTCGCCTCCAAGAGCCCTTCCGAGAACCAATGGGTCTAGTCCCCGACGCTGTAATCCACATGGCAGGGTACTCGCGGAACATGATCGTTCCCGACGAAGAAACCTTCCGCGGCAACACGCTATCAACATACAACATAATTGAAGCGGCCTCCCGCCTCGGCATCAAGAAAATCGTCCTCGCCAGCTCAGTCACCGTCTACGGCGTCGCCTTCGCCGAAGGCGACGTAGACTACCCATCTTTCCCGGTCGACGAAGACGTCGACACAAACCCGATGGACACGTACGCGATCGCGAAAGTGTGCGGCGAGCGCGTAGCGCGCGGGTTCGCCCGCCGGTACGGCTCGGACATCTATGTTTTGCGTATTGGGCGTATTGTTGCGCCGGAAGAGTACAAGGAGTCGTTATTTGGCTCGTATGTACAAAACCCGGATCGATGGGCGGCGCACGGCTGGGCGTACATTGATGCTCGAGATCTTGGGCAGATGTGTGATCTAGCTGTGCAAAAGGATGGACTGGGTTTCCAGATTTTCAATGCTACCAATGACGAGATTACAAATTACGAGTGTACGCCGGAATTCCTGGCTCGGGTGTGTCCTGGCGTACCGGTGACGCGGGAGTTGGGGGCCAGAGAGGCTCCTATTACGAATCGGAAGATTAAGGAGCTTCTTGGTTTTAAAGAAAAACATCATTGGATGCAGTATTATGAGTGAATCAGATACCTATCCAATCCAAGTTCTGTCATTTCGTCCAAGACCTTGATATATACCCTGGAGTGAGTAGCCACATGGGCAGCACTTGGGGCCAAATGGCCCCTGAATATTAGTCAGCAGGTCACGCGCCCATATGACATCAAACATCTGTTCGCTTTTCTTGTTTCCCTTTCCACTTTGTTACTGATGTGGATCTTCTTACTACTTGGCCAAATCAGGGAATGATAGTCCTCTTTGGAACTCTTGCATTTGCAGAAGCTACTATCACAAGCCTCATCCTTTCATAGTCAAATGTCCATATGAGGCATCAGATAGAGGCGCCAAAGCATGGGAGGAAATGCCTTAAATTGATTGCCCTGGATAGATTAGATCCTATAGCGCACAAGGACAATCCTGATCCTTGCACCGTACATCATTATAATCATAATGAAGCTGGAGCTCGGGAAGCCGGTGTGAGGCGGTTAGAAAACCGCCGCTCTAATTAAACGAAGTCACCGCTAGACTCCCCTTTAGCGATCCCTTTTAGCCCTAGTGGCTTTGTACCAAGACATTTTTGATTGTCTTGCCCCTGATTCACTCGACATGTGAACTTTAGATCTGTAAGACGTTGGAAAAGGTCCCTGGACAGTAGATTAACACGTCTACTTTTAGACTGAGCGGCACCTAGGTAGTACAGGTTAATTACTTAGGATGGGATCTGGGGCGCGTAAGCCCCAATCATGAAAAAATTCTTAGGGTGTCAATCCTTGCAAATCCTTTTGGATCTCACCGATAGTCGCCGAGGATTGGGTCCTAGTTCGGACCCATAATCATGACTATTGCCTATTTCTATAGGAGTCCGGGGTATTACGGCCCCCCGCATATGTATACGGGGCTTGGGGCTTTCAGCTGCGCCTTTGTGCCTTTGTGCCTTTGTGTGTTTTTTCACTTTTCTTTCTCATCTCTAGTGTTTCCCCAGAGTTTAGATTTCAGGTTTCATATCTGTCATCTCCACCATTATGCTGATATATGAACATGGCTGACTTCACCGCTGCTGGAAATGGCATCAGCGGTGGCTACCAGGGAAATTCCCTGGCCATGCAGATCACGATCGCGACCCTGGCCGGCATCACTTGGTATAATGCCTTCGAACTCATGATCCTCCTCTTCGTCACTTTCGCCGACTACCGCGGTCTTTATTTTTGGAGTTTACTCATTGCCTCGTCTGTCGGTCTACTTCCCTACTCGCTGGGCTTTTTGCTCAAGTTTTTCAACCTCACGGACAGTCAGCCATGGCTGCCGGTAACTTTGCTCACGATTGGCTGGTGGTGTATGGTCACCGGTCAATCCATTGTTCTATATTCACGCCTGCACTTGGTGCTGTCGAACCAGCGCATCCTGCGTCGTGTGCTGATAATGATCTTTGTCAATGCGATCATCCTCCACATCCCAACCACCGTTCTCACCTACGGCACGAACCTCGCCTCGGGCCCCGCCCTCGACCCTTACAAAACGGGCTATAGCATAATGGAAAAGATTCAAATGACAGGATTCTGCCTGCAGGAATTTATCATCTCTGGGCTGTACATCTGGGAGACAGTGCGCATGATACGCCTAGACCCAGACAGGACCAAGCGCAAGATCCAGTACCAGCTCCTGATCATCAATTTAATAATCATCATCCTGGACATCGGCCTGCTTGTCGCCGAATACATGAACTTCTACATAATGGAAACGATGCTCAAAGGCGCCGTGTACAGCATCAAGCTCAAGCTCGAGTTTGCCGTCCTCGGCAAGCTCATCCATCTGGTCCACAACCACGTCTGGAAACCCGAATCCTTCTCCGCACCAACCGACTTCCCGGATTTCGTCGACGCAACCCGCGTCACCTCAGACGTGACCCACGCTCCCCCACGGAGCCGGCGCGGCCCCTCATGGATGGACCCGGACGATATCTCCATCGCCATGTTCGAGCATCTACCGCCAGAACATCTGCGCACGAATTCCGATCTCTCTGGATCATGGAGCGGTGAAGGTCGCGCCTACCATGTCGATCACCTCCCTATCGATTTCATGAACCCTTTCACAGGGTGTCAATGCCGGACAAGGCGGCCTCCCAGGCCCGGGAAACCGGGATGAGAATGCCTCTTGGATCACTCGCTACCTTCCGTTTTTTTTTAATGAATCATGCCTTATGAAGTATGACCACTGTAACGATATCCCATTTCTTTCCCGCCGACATCGCCCACGAACCGGTGTCACAACCGTCCCTTCCTCTACGGCCTGAAGATAATTCACCACGGTTTAACTAAATCTCGGTTCTCGCGCCTGGCTCTTTGACTTTTCGAAGATTCACCGAGAATTGTAGTGCTTCTGGGATCTGCACGTACGCGACCCGTCTTGATCTATAACCCAGTGCAACATACATGCATTTCTTTATGTACATATACATATACCGAGCCCACTGGCGTTTTCGGGGAAATTATTAAATATAACCGAATCTTCTCAATTCTCCGATTCTTTTGTCTATTTTTTTTTTGTGTTGAACAGCGGCGATCTTCAAATTCTCACGGAGAAATATCGGAAAGTCTTCACATTCCCTTCTCCACATCCCCGTGGGGAAAGTTGTCAATGGTACAAATAGACTTCTGCCCGCTTTACGCATGAGGAAGGTCGGTATTCATCATCCACCGCACTTGTTATAAAAGCAGGACACAACTACCATGCATTCAAGGGCTTCAGCATTTTACTGGGGTTACTCTTCTCGTACCATCATGAAGAATATCATACATCTAAGCCTGTTGGCGACCCTCAGTCTTAGTGTAGCAGCGACCAGTGATGCTGTCAGTGGCGTAGAACACCCATCGCATTCCAACCATCCCCATGCTAATCCCCAAAAACAGTCTATTCAAGTTCGGGACGCACCAAGTTGCCCCAATCTACCCTCAACCCTATCCCTAACCGATCTTCCCTACCAAAACTACCTCTATTCAGATTGCAACGTTGCCGCACAGGCAGTAGTAACAACCCCCCAACCAAACAGCAATCTCTCAATAATTGGCCCACGCCTAATCATCGCCTGGCCAGCCGGCAACAGCGGCGCATGCCTATTCTTCGCGCCTGCAAACGGCCCCAACGGTACTCTTTCAACCCAATTAGTCAACTCGACTCTCGGCACCCCTCTGGGCCCAGTATATTCACCTCCAACATCAAGTTCCAACAAGAACCCCAGCGTCGGCGTCCAAGGAGTCCTCCGCTTCAATGCAACTGCAACCCTCACCCTCCCGATCTTGGGCAGTATCCGCACGATCCGTGACTTCGTCGAGGGCCCCAGTCTCCTCTACCCGGAGATCCAAGACGCAATTAAATACACCTCCGACGGCACTGGTATCTCACTGCAAAGACGCTGGCTGGACAATGTCACCACGACTAATTTGAAATTCGAGCCTTTCAAGAATCCATCAGGTAAAAGCAATGGCAGCGTCAAATTATCGAACAAAACAGTCACCTTTGACGCAGGCGATTACATTTTCTCCGCAGATATCAACTACGCCCAGCTGACCGCGCTGAAACCGACATCTGTGCTGAATGCCGCGTCGGCGAATTTGACCGTCGAAAAGCCCGACCAGGTAGCTGCGCTATCGTTTCTTTCGTACTCGGAGAAACTCCTCGCCGGGGCGTGGCGGTTCTTAACATATTTCGGGCGGGACTCTATGATTTCCGCGCTATTGCTTGAGCCTGTGTTAAGTGGAGGACGGGGGAGTGCGATGGAGGCTGTTATTGGGGCTGTTTTGGAGCGTGTCAATCGGACCGATGGGACTGTTTGTCATGAGGAGACGATTGGGTGAGTTTGGCTCCTTTGCTTTGCTATTCATGCTTGGGTTGCGCATTCTGATGGCGTTAGGGATTATGCGACTTGGACGAATGCGAAGGAAAATATCAGCAGTAGTGCTATGGGGTGTGATTATAAGATGGTTGGTACATTCAATGTCTAGCTGGTGGTGAAGCTAATCATGTTCGTGTATCACAGATCGACTCTGACTACTTCCTTCCTGTCCTGATGGACCGTTACTTCGTTCAAAACCCAATTGGTCAGAAGAGATCTGCTTCCTTCTTCAAGTAGGTTTTATCCTTTTGCTCGAGTTATCAAATGCATTATCTCATACAAGAACAACAGTACCACCGCAGGATCTATCAATCCCGCCAACGCAAATCTCACATGGGGAAATCTCGCATTGATTAGCTCTGAGAAAGTCATGCGTCTTGCCCGTCCATTCTTCCACAACCAAACAAAAGAAAACCTCATCCGTCTGAACGAAGGACAGGTAGTCGGCGAGTGGAGAGACAGCACCTACGGTACGCACCAGCACCACTGACCACCCATCCAAAGGACCCTAGAGCTAACAACCCCAGGCCTCGGCGGCGGCCGCATCCCCTACGACGTAAACACAGCTCTTGTCCCGGCCGCTCTGCGCGCAATCGCATCCCTCGCCCGATCAGGTCTCTATCCCAACCAGCGGCACTGGGCCATTCTAGCAGATCAATACGCCAAAGTCTGGGAAGACTCAACACTGGCCTTCTTCTCCGTGACCATCCCGCAAGACAAGGCCCAGTCACTCGTGCGCAGCTACGCAAATACCTCCTTCCCGGGCCCGAACCAAGCATCTAGCATAGACAGCGCCGTGACGTTCCACGCACTGGCTCTAGAAGGAAACAACAACCTTTCCAAAGTAGAAGTTATGAACACAGATGATTGTTTCCGGCACTTCCTGCTGAATACCACGGACGACACACAGCTAACGTCGTTCCTGAACCAATCCGCCACCAACATCCGCCGCACTTTCCCCGCCGGCCTAATGACCGATGCGGGGATGGTGGTTGCGAATCCTGCGTTCGGCGGCGACGCCGTGTATGCGCGCAATTGGACCACGGGCGCTTACCACGGGACTGTTATTTGGTCTTGGCAGCTTGCTATGATGGCCAAGGGGCTGGAGAGGCAGTTGGGGAGGTGTGAGGTTGCATCGAACTTTTCAGTTTCCGCTCAGGGTCGGAGGGGCCGTGTTCCGTTGCCTGTTCCTGGTTACTGTACGGATGACTCTGTTTATTACAATGTTAGGGACGCTTATAATGTGCTCTGGGACTCTATTGAGGCTAACGAGGACCAACTTTCTGGTGAGGTTTGGTCTTGGGTTTATCGGGGTGGGAAGTTTGAGGTTACGCCTTTGGGTGTTTTGCCTGCGCCGCCAGGGGTTGGTGGTCAAACTGGTAAGTTTTTGAGTTGTGTGTTGGATTTTGGTCTTTGCTAACTGCGTTTTGCTTCAGAATCGAATATCAGGCAGCTGTGGTCTCTTACCTTCCTGGCTGTGAATAGAAATGAGAACTACAGGTAAAAGCAAAGGGTCGCAAGACACTGCTGGTGGAAATTTGCCTATATAGGTAATGGGGATCTATCAGTTCATTCTCAATATAGTCAAAGTCAACAGTGTGTTAATTATATGGTTATGCAGATATCATATGCCAATACGCCACGGTGCAACGGTAGAAAGCCTGTGGATACGTAAAGATGATGGATTCAGATAGCTAAGAGGTGTTGGTTTGTTTTTCCGGTGCCCTTGTTCTGCTATTATTGTGTCGCTACTTTCCCGCAATAGCTAGATGGCAGCATTTGCGATGCCCAGGGTTTCCTCTGGTATCTTCATTGATTCCGCTGCTTTGACATAATTCTGAATCAGTCGAGTATCACATTTCTGTCTTTGTCTGTGCGAATTGCACTAACAATCTCCTCGATCCAAATTGGGAATCTTAATCTGGGGTATAAAGCTTGGATCATCATGTCGCATTCCTATAAGCCCATGAAGAAAGAAACGATAGTAGCCCTAGTGCACGAAAGGAAACGCCTATGCGCACGACATTATGCAAGCAGAATTAATACAACTGATAATCTCATTGCCTTGAATATTGACTCGAGCATATGACTCAAGGATAACTATGTTAAGCCTCGATCTAGATACAAATCCACAAGCCCGCAAATGAAACCATACACGCACAACACATTCGAGAGACTAAAATCCAAGCGCTGATAAAAAGTACAGAACAAAACCCACAAAGAATCCTGTCCAGCAAAACCTCAACATCTCAGACCAAGTCAGACCGCTTGATCTCGAATTTCCGCGACCCCTCAACCAACCCATCCGAGAACTTAGTCACAGCGACCCAAGCAGGACTGAACTGCTTCACCTCATCGAGGGCAGGGATGAGGCCGCTTTGGGTGTTGTCGCTCCATAGGCAGACGATACGGCCTGTGATAGAATCCCCGGTCTCATTGGTCTCATCTACTTCGGAGGGGTCGTGCTTCGAGAAATCGATATCCACGATCCACTTGTTCTCCCAAGTTCGGCTCCAAAGACGGATTTGTTTCAAGCCGTCTGGGGACTGGTTGAGGAAGCGGCTGTCGGGGGGAGAGGAGCCGGCCACGCTAAAGGTTTTGATGCTGTTGTTGTCCATGTCGATGCGGCAGGCGCGCGTGTTTTGGCCTGAAATCTCGAAACGAGCGGCAGAACTGCCTGGATACGAGATGCCGAAGGAGACCCATTCGGATGAAAGTTCGGTGGCCTCTAAAGAGTTGATGCTGGGAATGATGCGCGGTAGTGGTGCACTCCAAGAACAGCGCTGGACATTATTATGGCCTCTGGTGATCCAGCTGCATGTCTCGGCTTGTCCTGCTGCTGTGGGAAGGCCGTAGACAACATCATTGACAAATGGAGGCATGCCGGTCAGTGAGGCGGTAGAATTGCCGGTGTCAAGATCGACTTGCTGTAAAAAGAATAGTTTCAGGCGGTTGGAGTCTGCGAATGGGAAGGCGACAAGGTTGTATATCATCGTGCCGATGAAGACAAGAAGCAAGAAGATAGGCAGGTGGTATGTGTAGCGGTGAATGAACGGCAGCGTAGGGGCAAAGAGAAGCGCAGTGAGGGTAGCAGTGATGAGATAGACAGGGAGCGCGGAACTGCCATCCTGGCCTGTTTGGTTCAGAGCGGCTGTGATCAGAAGAGCCAGCGGCACGATCAGCATGAGAATCACCGGAGCAGTGAAAAGTAGCTGCAACACCCATGTCCATCGCGGCAGTGCGCCACTCCACGCCTGCTCATGTTCATACACGTTGGGGTCCTTCACTTCTTCCTCTTCGTCCGTGTGGTCTCCGCCAACACGAACATAGTTTGCGAAGGTGGGACGGTGTGCGCCATGCAACAAAGATGTTGATTCAGTTGGCTCATCCTCGGCTTCTTCATCCTGGTGCTCATCGCCTGAAGGGGCCAGTCGACTCCCCTGGGTACTGGGCCTTCTTGATTCGGCGAACTGGCTTGCGTACTGAGACTTCGCAGGCAAAGAGAATAACTCCAGGTATGAAATCCAAGTTGCCAAGAAGGTTCCCGCAAAGTAAAATAGCATGAAATACCCACCAGCTAGTCCTTCTTGTTCATAAACGGTGGCAATCACCATGAGAGACCAAGTCAAGACAAACATCCAAGTCCAGGTATAGACCCGGTGGAAAGCCGATGGACGAGCGAAGTCTGCGACGCGAGATACAAACCAAGCCAAGAAAAACCAGGCTGAGATCATCATACTCCACACGGCATATGAGCTGCTGTGTGCAATCAGAGGGTTGACCTTTGTAACCAGGTAGCCCAATCCGACTGTCACGGATGTAGGAATGGCAATCAGAAACGGAAAGCGGAAGAAGCCTCGTAGACCGCGTAGCGAAACATTGTCATCGCTGGTCTCAGAATACACCGAGGAGCGGAACAGGTACATCTTATCAGCCTTGGAAAGGACCACACTGGTGACTAGAAGAGTCAACGGCGCCACAATCAGCAAAGTAACCGACAACGCAAAGAGCGTGTGCAGACGGAACACTGCGAAAGCGCTACCGAAGAGATCAAACCACACAGCCCGGGTACCCGAGCCACTAGGCACAGTTCCATCATCACGAAGATGTCCATCGAACCGATCAGTGTTATCCGAGACCAGCTCCTCGGTCGTCGCAACAGCAGCAGAAAGCATATGCCAAAGCGAGTCGACGCTAGTATGACGCGCATCATCCTGATCAGTATGGTACCTAGCCCTGGGCTCGAAGAAAGCCACATCCAACCCCCGTAGTCCCAGAATGCCATCAAAAACAACATAATCTGTCTGACTACTAATCATACCCATCTCAAACCCATTGGCACTCAACACCGAGCCGAACGGGTACTGCGACTTCGCATACGCCTGCGTGACCTCGGTATCAGAGCTGCGGAACAGGGTAGCACGCCCGCCCGCCCCCGCGCCCTCAAGATTGAGGAACGTGTGCGCGAATTTCGCCATCGGATGCTGGCTGTATGCACGCGCGCCGTTCAAGTAGTCTTCCTCGCCGTTGTTGAAGAGGACGACCAGGCCGCGCCGCGGCGCATGCCCGGGTGTCAGGAAGTATTTCACCAGCTGGAGACAAGTGACGACGCCCACTCCGTCGTCGGTTGCGCCGTAGCCGGTGGAAACGCTGTCGTAGTGCGCATTTACCAGCACGCCCCCCTTGCCGACGGGTTGTTTGCCGGGCGTCTCCCACCAGTTCTCTTTCTTGTCGTCTGAGCCGCGGATGTAGACGAGGATGTTGTTTCCTTCGAAGTAGACGCCGACTCCATTGTTGTCTGTTGATGTCAGGTTTGAGACTAGATCGTCGAAGACGAACACGTCTGGCTTGTCTTGGTTCGCGTCGCGGAAGGCTGCGGGTGATGCGGCGGATTGCTGGATCGCGTTGATGCGCTCGAGAAGCCAGGAGCGGACCTCGTCATTCTCATGTGTGTTATAGGGGTGAAAGCCTTTGGTTAGGCTTTGGAGGTCTTGCCATGCTTCTGTAAGGTTGAGGCCATTGGGGCTTGTCTGGGGCGCGGAGGGCACGTTATGGTGGATCACCAGCAGTGGAATAATCAGGGCGAGGTACACAACCGTGGTAATGATTGTCACTGGCCATGGGGTAAATCCCAGAGGGTTCTTGGCCTTGTGGGATGCCATGACCCTGCGCTGCTTGAAGTGGAGGGATAAAGCGAAGTTGGAGTCGAATTTAAGACAAATGCGGGGGAGAGCTTGGAACTTCTGACAGCTGATCTGCAGTTCAATGCTACACAAAATACCTCAAACATCAGAGGCTTTCATGCGAAGTCACTGTGTTCTAAATGGAAATTGCTACGAGCGATTAGAATCAAATTGTTTGAATTCTATGCAATCCAAAGCTAAACATAAAATTGACCGCTAGCGTACTAATGCAAATCCCACAATAACAGGTAATATGATCTTCGCTCATATGGATAGCAATATGGGCGCCACTTTGATCCATTCAAAGATCGCAGATTGAAAAGAAAAAAACAGGAAACAAATGCGTGGGCCTCAGCTCGTTTTCGGGTAGGAAAGGGGGTATCGTGTCAAGTGTTCAAACCGGAATGTCGAGGAAATCTTCGTCTCCATCGTTGATGCCTGTCGCGTTCATCAACCCGGCCACATCTGTATCTTCTTCAACCTCGTGGTCATACATCGTGGCTTCTGAGTCCTCACGGAATGAGGGTTTGTGTTGGTTCAGGTAGTCTCGGAGGCGGTTGACGCCATCGCCACTGAACACACAGAAAACGTCTCTCTGTTGTTGTGTAAATTCTGGAGGGGCTTCTCGGCAGAACGCAGTGAGGCTTTTCCGGAGAAATTCTTGGACACCCGTCAAACTCAGATGGGTTAGTCGAGGGCAGTGATTCAGCAAAGCGTGAATACCCTAGAGAGGCAAGTCAGTATGAATTTTTTCGGCGTATATGAGAGAGAGATACATGCCTTCATTTTCAATTGCACGCAGTAACTCAGATGGACTCTTTCTAGGCTGCTGACGGAAGGAGTATGGCCCAGCCTGGGCCGTGCCAACGCAAGTATGCTTAGGTCGGTGATGGCCTGGCATTTGACCAATCCAATTCTTCGAAGCTTGGGCAATGTAGCCAATTGCTGCACGCTGTGGTCGGTCAACCGGTTACAACAGGCGAGATCGATGTATCGAATGCGGTTGCAAGTCTTGACGAGGGCGATAACGGCCGCATCTGAAATATTCGAACAGTGGCCTAGGTGAACATAGTGCAAGTTCTTTCCTAGCCTGCAAATGGCCATCACAGACCGGTCTGTGATGAAACGGCACTTGGCTAGTACGAGATTTCGTAGACGAGGCGCTGCATGTACGAGCTTTTCCACTGATTCATCCCTGACGTTCTCACAGGCAGTGAGATCGAGAATCCGAAGGCTGTCAAACGTCATTAGAGGAGGTAGTGTCAAGAAGGCCGAGTCATCGATCTGGTCACAATGTGCCAGGCGCAACTCGCGGAGATGTCGAAGTTTCGTGAGCAAAGGAGTCACAGCTGCGCTGGTGACCAGCTTGCAGTCGTGCAGGTCGATTTCCAAGATAGAAGGACAATTCTCTGCGAAAGAGATAATCGATTTGTCCATGGTACTCACGACTCCATTCAGTTTCAACTGTTATATAGTTTAGCATTAAGCAACATCCGAAATCCTATGTCTGCGATTCACGTACTCTCTTGATTTGACGGCACTTTTGCGACACAACGAGCAATTCGTCATCGGTGATTCTTACGCAGCCCGTGATATTCAGGCCTTGCAAACGAGGACAATCCCTCGACACCGTAGCTATGGTGTGGTCCGTGAGCTGTTTTATTTCTGAGACATCCAGTGCCTGCAGATGCCGGTTGCCCTCCACCAAGTCCGAGACGCCCTTATCCGTGAGGTCCTTGCAACCCGTCAAAGTCAACCGCTCGATCCGTTTGCACTTGTTGAAAGCAACAATCGTCCCGTCGCTGACATCAGCCGACAGAGCAGACAAGTTGAGTCGCTTAATCAAGTCTGCGTAGTTGAAAAGGCTATTCTCTTCTCCTAGTGACGTCGTCACGCTTTTCACGTTGCTCCAGGTGTTGCAGGAAGGTCGATGCCATAGTATCCCCACGGAGTTCGAGGCCCATCCACGACACACCAGCATGCAGTTGAGCATGTCCGAGGGCAAAACCAGTTTCGAGAAAATCGAAATCAGGATCTCCGGTGGGAGGCGGCCGATGGGTGGCAGTGGCGCGGAACGTGCATTTCGAACACGAGAATCGCGGAAGTTAGCCACGCCGACGGAGGATTGCGAGTCGTTGGCTTGGGCCATGAAGAAATCGGTGTCGTCGTCGCCAGCACGTTCTGGCGACGTCGACCCAGAGGTTTCGGAAGGGGCCACGCTCGGTGACCAACCCATTTCTCGTGCGCGAGCCATTTTTGTCGCCGGAGATGCTTCGGGATCCGTAGGCCGGTTCGAGGTGCTTTTAGGGTTTTTGTACGGTTGAAATCTCATAACTTCGTGGGAGAAACATGCATGGATGGTGGGTGCATGTGAAGGGCTTGGTCAGACAAGTCCGGTCCACAAATGCAGCCAGTCCTCGGTGGACTGTTCCAAGACTCTTTCTTAGTTGTAGTTGAGATGGATATGGTTTGCGATGGTGTGGAAGGTTATGGATGCACGAGACGAGAGATGTAAGCCGTGAAGTCGCGGCGCGTAAAAGGGAGATGGAAACGGGTCGGGTTCAAGATAAAGTTTAGTGACAAATCCAGGTCATAATACTCAAGCGCCCCCTGGAATCAGATGCGACTTCAAGAGCCCCAATGCAAGAAACCGTGAAGGGATGAAGGCGGTAATGGAGGGGGATGAGGCAATGGGGCCGGGTTTCACAGGCGGAGTCCGTGCCAAGCAACTGCTTATCGTTTGATAAGAGGGAGCCCTGAAGGGTCTGGATTTCTAGTACGTACTACTCACTCCATATACGTAAGGAGGAGATATTAGGCAAGCTATAAAAAGCAGATATAAGGCTATTGGAGAACAACACTGGTACATTGAGAGTGAATACTTGTACAGGCGAAACCCAGCCAGGTCGCTTGACTTGACCTCGTGCTTGATCTACGATCGATCTACAGAAATACCAGACATCTGACCTCATTGGAATGCAGAGAAGTTGCCTGAATTCTTCCAGAAATCTCTTTTTGTATTTTGAATATCTAGCCATCTACATCTTGAAAGTCTCTTTTCTTTATCCTGAGCCCAATTCTCTCTATGCTTCAGTTCGGCCCTTCACCCAGTCACGGAGAATATTCTTCCGAATCTTACCAGTGCTAGTCTTGGGAAGCTCTGGCACCACTTCCACCTCTCGGGGAATCATAAACTTGCTGATGCCGCTGGCATTCCGGGCCCAGGTGATCACTTCAGAACCTTCCAGGCTCTTGCCCGGTTTGACTGTGACAAAAGCCTTGGGTCGTTCGCCCCAATGGGAGTCAGGAACTGAGACAACACCAGCTTCCAAAATGTCAGGATGCGTGACCAGCATAGACTCGAGCGCTACGGAGGATATATTTTCGCCACCTGGGTCCTATTAGCAATTCGATGCTCCTGTTTAAGGCTACCTTGCCAGAAAACGTACCACTGATGATGATATCCTTTGCACGATCGAGGATCTGAATCGCTCCATCAGGATGCCACACAGCCAGGTCTCCAGAGTGCAATACTCCTCCTGCAAAAAGTTTGCGAGTTGCCTCGGGGTCTTTATAGTATCCCCGAGCACAAATGTTCCCGACAAAGACTATCTCCCCGATTTCCTGACCATCCCTGCGAACATCGGCAATAATCCCCTCGGGTACTTCTGTCTTGATGACCCGTGCAGGAAGACTTGTAATGAAACCATGGCCTTGGCGGGCCATTTTCTTGTACTTCTCCTTGAGATCAATAGTGTCCCATTCTGGCAAGTGGTAACCCTTGGTGATTGGACCGTACGTCTCGGTCATTCCGTAAACATGTACAGGATGCAAGTTGAGGTTTGTCATTTGTTCAAAAAGATGAGGCGTGGGCGGGCTTGCTGCCACTGTGACGCGGACAGGTTCGGGCAGCTTTTCTGCCTCTTTGGCATTGCAAAGTAATGTATTCACAGTAGGTGCGGCGTTGAAATGAGTGATATGTTCTTCTTTTAGCAATCTCCAGATCTCGGGGTAGTCTATCTTGCGTAAGCAGTAATGGGTTCCACGAACCGCTGTAACTGCCCATGGGAATGTCCATCCTATATATATCAAAGCGTCAGGGTTACTTTTCTTTGTCTCTCTCGAAATTAATCAGGTATGTACGAACCCATGGCATGGAACATCGGCAGTGTCCAAAGATAGCGAGCACGTCCATTGTCGTAGTTGAGGCCGGATTCGATCACATTCGCCAAAGTCGCCAGATAAGCGCCACGGTGGCTGAACTCGACACCCTTGGGTCGAGCTGTTGTCCCACTGGTATATGCCAATGCAAGGGTAGACTCCTCATCAACGGCTTGGGTCTCAAGGCCTTGCCAGCCCTGAGCACCGGTCTCCAAGTCATGCCTCAACCCCTCCAAGACTGCATGGTCAAAGGGACCCGTCAACTCTCCCTCGGTTGCATCGATGTCGGTATCTACAATGATCGGAATATGAGGGTGTTGGGATCGATAAGTCTCCAAAAGGGGAACAAATTCTGCATCGACGATGATGACCTGTGCATCACCGTGGTCAAATATGTAAGCAATATCTTCTTGCTTGAGACGATAATTCACAGCTGTAAATTGGTCAGACGAATCAAAACATTGTTCAACATATACGCAATTCCCTTACCGACATTGACAGCAGCAGCAGCAGCAATTGCGAAGATCGACTCGAGGAAAGCTGGGGTATTGGGACAGAGAATTCCCACTCTGGTGAACCCATGCTTCTTGATGTAGTACGCCAGACCTCTGGCTCTGTCCGCAGTTTCACCGTAAGTCCTGCGCAGGACCTTGTTGTTGGCGGTTACATGGTAAATAGCCTCGGCCTGTGTAAGCCTTGTCAGACACCAACAAACGAGTATATACCAGTGAATACGAAGCTCACGTTGGGTTCAATTGCCGCAGCACGGGGTAGAAAGAAGGTAGGTGACAACGTATGATGATTGATTCTGTGCTCAAAGGTCGGAGACGAAGAAGCGCCGCCAATGTGGCCAAGGAGACCTGATAGCCGAGACTTGACGCCAGACATGCTACGCAATATCGAGTCACAAAAACGTGTTGCAAGTGTTACACAGCAAAGATGTATCAAGATATGTCGAGATTAAGATCAAGATCAAGGGATTGAAGGGGTACAGGCTGACTCTCCAAGTTGGAGAAATGCGGGGATGAAGCCATTTTACTAATGCGGTTAACCTAGGCTATACCAGCGGATCACAAGCGGGGATTCGGGAGCTAGCCGTCCTCTTAGACCGCCCTTTGGGTTTGTGTCACCCAACACAAAATCTTCACCCAACACAAAATGCACATTTTGGGTATCTTTTGTATGTGTTTCATATGTAAAAGATATGTATCAAACATCCTCGAATATCTTATGATACAAATCAAAGTAGAGTAATTAAATGAGTCTATAATATTAAAGTAGCCTTCCTTTTATCTTTCGACCTATCAAATATCGATTTTATCCTAATATATAGGTACGCTTCAATATTTCATTTTGGAAGGTCAAAAAGAGCCTCCGAAAATTGTCTACTTTTGAGAATTATAACACTGCTTATTTTTATGCTCTAGAACTGATATAATTAAAGTTATAGTATAACTAATATAATGATAGCCTAATGTATTTACTTATGTCTACTTTGTATTATAAGATATTCGAAGATGTTTAAAAAGTATCTTTCATATATAAACCACATACAAAAGATACTTAAAATTTGTATTTTGTGTTGGGTGACACAGACTACATAATCGGTTCCGCTCATTAGTCATGGTACGACGGCTAATGGGGTATTCGGACTAAAGGATGGATTACGGCTTCAATTTTGGGGGTTTATCATCTTGGTTCTTGTTGGGTATGGAATTGATTTGAATTGGACTTGTGTGTGGGGATAACCCCCTGACGTGAAGGACTCACCCCACGGAAATGCAGAATCATCTAGCAGTGCAGCCCTGAGGGGAGTGGTGTTAATCCCTATGGAGTAATTGGTGAAATTAACAATGGGTCAATTGACACCTAGGCAGTCAATAAAACTTGGATGATTATACTTAGTGTAGCAGTTTATAGCAAAGTCTAAGGTAGAAATGCTCTAGCCAAAACTACAATGGCAGACTACCCGAATATGCAAGTTTGAAAAAAGGTAGGTCAAAGTATTTTTTGATCATAAGAATCATGTTGAACTCTTGAAAATTGCTTCTTTGGATTAAACCGCCACGGCGCGAGTCAACGGCCAGCTATTTTGAACCTTTAATCCCAGACTCCGTTTTTTTCGACTTTTGGAAAATTCCGAAGACCCCAGTTCCCGAGCCATCATGTGCGTCACAAGCAAGTGGTATTCATGAGGTTGGAGACCGGGCCGCAGAAAAAGGTCGGTCGGCGTGCCGTTCAAATCCGCTGAAAACCGTCCGCGATCCCATCCCAGAACCATCGCTCGACACAACAACCAGCCGCGCTAAAGGTATCTAGTAGCCATACTGAGCAAGCTGGGTCTTGGTCTTGCTGTCCACGTTCGCTCCCTGCTCCGCCTTGGCAAGGTTGCGACGAGCGGCCTTCTTGCGCTCGTAGTAAGCCTTGCTCTTGACCTTTCGGCGCTCCTCGAGTCTGTATAAATGAGATTAGAATTTGTACATAGAATCATAGATATTGAATCACTCAGTGATCCTTTCAGGCAGTTCACATACCTGGAAACAACATCCTGGTACTTCCAGCCAACCTCGTGGCTGAGACGGCCAACGGTGCAGTACTTGCGGCCGGGGCGGAGACGCAGGATACGGAGAGCCTGGGGAACGACAACACGCTTCTTCTTGTCGTAGGGAGGGGGGACACCCTCGAAGACCTTGAGGCGCTCCATAGCGGCGGCACCACGGGCGGTCTTGTGGGGAATCATGCCGCGGATGGCCTTGTAAAGGATGCGGGAAGGAGCGCGGAAGTGGAAGGGACCACCACGGGTGGGGTTGAAACGAGTCATCTTGCGAAGGTAGGCGTGGTACTTGACTATATATCGGGAATTGAGTCAGTATTTCTGATATATCCCAAAAATTTGCTTTCCTCCCGACGGCCAGTGGTTTCGGTTCTCTATCTTTTTGCTTTGTCGTTTTTTCCTTCATCCACTGATCGCAGTCCCAAAATCACAGAGAAAATGTTGGAGAGGGGGTTGAACGTACGCTTCGCACGGAAGAACTCGCCGGAGATGTTGAGGGCCTCACATCTCACAACAACGATCTTCTGACCGTTAAGCAGCTGCTTGGCGACAGTGCTGGCCAGACGACCGAGGAGGTGTCCCTTGCCGTCGATGACGACCTATTTCAAAAGATTCAAGTCAGCGACAAAGTTTCTAGTTGGACGGATTTGACGGTGGGAGTGGCGGTACTCCATGTCGTGAGGTTCAACGCACCACTGATTCGAAAGAGGACATCCTGGTGATCTAATGTCCCGGGGGATGGATGTTGTCGGCGGTTGTTGTCGTGGGTGTCAGGTCAACGCACACAACGAAGTCGGATGGCTCGTCGATTATGGGTTAAGCGAGGGAGGCCTGCTTCGTGTTAGTGGCAAGGGTCCCAGCCCTAATCCTGACCAATCATATGCTGGTCTGATCACGTGTTATCTGTCGCACAACTCCGCCTTTGGTCGTATTATGTAATATTATATTTTTCACTTGTGCGCCACAATCGATTTGCCGTTAGGGCATTGGTTTAGGGCTGATGTTGTGGTTCTAGAAGTATACCGGAGAGATCTATTCATGTGTCGTCAGAGTTGGCAAATTGCTATACATATGTAGTAATAGGTATATAGGGGATAGAAACATGCTTTGGATTGCTTTGGATTTAGTTTCACCACTTCATTCTTCACGTATATCAAGGACAATTGTACTAACGCTGAACAAGTCTATCTTATCTTCTTCATCTCCATGCAATTGTTAGATCTAAGTTGATCAAAGATTGGGTCCAATTATGACTAATCCATTCCTGACACCTGGACACCCGGGCACCTAGGCACGCATGGATGCCCGTTGTTTTTCTTTACCTAAAGTACCTGCGCCGCAGAAATAGTCAAACCCAACACCCCCCTCATGTTCAACTCACACTATTAACCTGTGCTATCTGTGCCGCCTGCGCTGTCTACGCTGCAATCAAATACTACAACCCAAATTGCTCTCCCTAGCATGACCTGTCGAGGAAGGCATTTTCTCTACATCTGTAGTCATGCGCCGGAAAACACGTTTCGTTTGCGTCTCTGATACACATGGCTATACGCCCTCCGAAGCAGGCTTCAAACTCCCAGCAGGGGATGTCCTGATACATGCGGGCGATTTGACTAACAATGGAAGCCTAAAAGAGCTTCGCAAGACAATAGATTGGATTTCCAAAGCTGACTTTGAAATCAAGATCATTGTTGGTGGTCAGTCTCCCAACTCGGTTCTCACGCGCCCTTTTCATCCTTGATTTAATCCCGGCCAATATTGGCTGTGCTATCTTCGCAACGGTGCACGAACTCATTTGCGGACATTTACGGATATTTGCGGAACAATTTGAATTAAGATATTATTCTAACCACCAGAACAGGCAACCACGATATCACACTAGACCAGTCATTCTATTCAGAGCATGGACGGAGCTTTCACGGGCGGCAGCTTGAAAGCACGCAGCAGTGTCTGAAACTTATCACAGAGTCGCCATCAATCGTATTCCTTCGCCACGAGACTGCTGTAGTTCGCTTGACTCGTGCAGACGGGCCCAACACAATATTCAAAGTCTTTGGGTCCCCTTACTCGCAATTCAAAGGGAACTGGGCATTTGGATACGACTCGGAAGATGCTGCTGGGCTATGGACGCAGATATCACTTGACACGGATATCGTGGTCACGCACACGCCACCACATTCTCACTGCGACCAGAAACCGAATGGAACGTTCGCAGGATGCACTGAGCTCCGCAAGGCCTTGAGCCTCATCAGGCCGCACTTGGCTATTTGCGGCCATGTGCATGAAGGACGAGGATACGAAAGGGTTCGCTGGCGATCGCTTACAGGAGAAACAGAAATAAGCACCAAATTTGAATCGCACGATTCAGTTGACCGTGTCACTCGAGGCAAGCTGCCGTCCGTGGGTAGCAGAAAGCAAAGCCTGATCGACCTGACCGGCAACCGCGATCAACGACTGGATAACGAGGGATTTTCACACCCGCACTATAGACATGATATGACAGTGAAGAGTTTAACGATGTCATCGGTCTTGCTGGGGGTGGGGTCAGACTCACCTGCAACAGTTCCTGAAGAGGCAAGTCCACAAACACCAAATTCGCCGAGCGATCAGCCGTGCCTGAGCGCGCCTATCCACCTTGATTTCGATCACGACTTGCAAACTCTCAGAAGGGAATCTTGCATCGTCAACGCCGCTGTCGTGGCAACCAGTTGGCCACATCGTGGTGGCAAAAGGTTCAATGCGCCGATTGTCGTGAACCTGGATTTACCCGTGTGGCAGGCCGACCACGCGGTCGCGAACGGATGATTTCCCAATCTGGTGCCTCGGTAGATTTCCCCAATGAATCAGGATTTGTTTTCGTTCCGACGGCCGAACCGATCGAAACGGCAATCTTTCCCTTGACTTCGGCGATGCATTGTGGCTTGACGCCAGATGGTACCTACCATTCGAGGACATGTAGTGACTTGTGGAGCTTTGGCCCTTCTAACGACGGTGGTTGGGCGCTTTGCTGCATCTCGACTTTAACATTGGTCGGCTAGTGACTTGACGCACGATCTTAGTGCTGTCAGATTGTCTAGCTTACATCATTCTCCGTTATAGTGGGTGGGCGACTCCGTCACTTGGCCGATCATTTCCGAGTGAATGTAACTTGAGCATACTGAAGTGTACTTCAGGTCATGATTTACGTAGATCAGTGTTTTATACTATTCTAAGCATACAAAAGAACTTTGGGGAAAAGAGAAATGTTTGAATTGTGATTCTAGACAAGTTGACCTCCAGGGCTATAGTAAAGTAGTACGTAATTTCTCCTCTCCCAAACACGAACATCCCCCTCATGTATACCCCGCATAAGATGTATCAACTCATCTGACTAGCCATAATTTGTATGGACAATCACATCTGAAATATCACAGAGCCCTGTTTAGTGCAAGACCCTAAGAAACATACAAGTCATCTGGAAAACTGCAACGAGGATCCCATCTTCAAAACTTAAAACGTCCTGAAACCCCCAGCGCTTCTAAACGACCTCTAAGTGGATGGGATCTGGGCCGAAGCACAATCAATCACCAACCACTACCAGAACGCCTATCACTCGACGATGTGACCATGCAAGGCTAATCATGTATTAACCTTGAATGTTCATGTTTGTGTCCAAAAAAAATCCCTGAAGAAAGAGTACACAAACACAAACCACAAACACTCAGTCCTCGTGGGAAACACATGCGCAGGCTGATCTGGTTTCTTGGCCCGTCGCATTCCTTTCTAGAAGACGCTTAGTGGCTGGGCTGAGTGGTCTGGGCCGGCGTATGCAATAGTACGCAGTATTATTGCAAAGGTACGGATTCGAGGAGATAATAGTAGACATCATTATTGCAGGCACCTGCATGTAATTTGCATTTCTTGTTCTTGTTCACGGCAAACCTGCACCCAACCCTTTCCGAGGACATGGCTTGGTCAGGACTTTCATATATGTAATTATTATCTCCCTTACTCCTGTTCCTCACTCCCGAGCTAATCTATAATCTACTCCGTATATAGTATACATCCTTTGACCCTGTCACATAGTACAACCTTTGGTGCTACTCCTCTATAACTAGTAGATAACGTCCAATCCCGAATTCACCGACCCCGGTCCTGGCGGGGTTGCGTGACTCTCCAGGAAGAGGTAGATCATGTTAAGCGTATAAGGTTACAACCCAGTGTTTCGGCAAGGGAGGTCTTGTGTGACATTACAAGGCGAGCTGATGGGATCGGAGCATTATGGATTCGGCTGGTGCGGTCTAGTTGGAAAGATGGGAAGGTCGGTATTTGTTTTGGGAAATCCAGTGGGCAATCGCTATCCTATCACGCACGGATAAGTCAAATGACAAATTTGGAGAGAAGGCAGCCCTGGAGCAGCCCTGAAGCTGAAGTGAGTGCAAGAGAGCGAAACAAATCATCAAATCGTCCATGAGCCCTAGTGAGGCGAAATTCGCGAAGGATTCTCAGCCAACGGATCGCTTCTAGTTTTACGGGCGTGAGACAATCAACCTCAGCATTCACTGCGCCGTACACCTGGGCATATTACTAATTAATTAGTATATGAAACTAAGTAAGAAGTATATCGGGGTTGCGGAGTTTATGCTGTACTTTGTAAGACAATAATTGATTGTACTAGTCAGACCGATGCTGACACGGCGATAAAATCCCTCGGCACTTGCATACATGTATTTTCCAATAGACTTGTCATGATCGGGGCTGCGCATCAGGTGCATAAGAACTGGATATTTCTGCGCCGCGCGGAGCGCAGACTGGGTCCAGATGACATGGGTCCGGAGAGAAGTTTCGTAGTAAGTTAGTAGGAGATACAATAGCGTACAATACCTAGGTTAGTCTCTGGGTGGTGCAATGGTCTCATGTTCAATTGGTACAACGTATCGAAAGGAAGAGATAGTTTCGGGTGTGGGTTCAAAGACACGTTGGATAATGGATCCATTGTGGGACAAATGATGAACTGTTGGGTGAGAATGAATGCCTGAAAATTGATACTAAGAAACTTGAGACCGGAAGATGCATACGATTTGAATATTGGAAATAATAGGAATAATAAGAAACACCTAGGTAATAAGGAATGTGTAATAGTGAGTAAGAGAATTAGAGAACACAGTAGAAAATAGTATAGCTAAATACTAAATATAGATTTTCCTTAATATAAGGAATTAAGGTGTCTACGGTAATCCCGGGTAGAATGGGGGATAGACCATGGAACAGTACCTCACTGTATAGTACCAAGACCCTATTATACATCTGAGAACAAGTATCTAGTTGAACAAGTGACAGAGGCAAACTGAATCTTACTGAACATAGTGAGTGTTTCGGACAAGGCGAAAAATCAAAAACCAGAGAGGCGAACCAAAAAGAACGCCTAGAGGATACATGGCAATGAGAGTAAAGTTGGGGATGATGGTACTAGTAATTAGCTGCAGGGCCGACTTCTTGATTGAGACGGGTACAGGTTGCGAATCAGTAAAATGAGCAGATATGACGACCTTCCAAGAGAGGGGGGAACCGATCAGCCATACAGAATAATGCATAACCCCCTTAGGAATGGAGGGTTAGTCCTCGTGTTAAATCGGTCACCAATAGAATCCCTTAGACTCGACGTAGGTTGATTGGTTCACACATATCAACGAATCGGATAAAGTGCACGGCCTAGTAAAATACTGCAAAGGACCGGTGTAAGTGAGTGCTTTGCCGTGTGATAATTTATAATTTATTAGTTTTGTATTATATTTTATTATATTTTATTATAATTATCATGTTTTTTCACGTTTTCATGTTTTTCATGTATTAAGAGGGTTGGGCATCATGAAAATGCTCTGGTGAAGTTATACTCAAAGATTACACTGATCTAGGGTATATTACCATTCCCTCATTCACCATTACTCTATATTATTCAAAACCAACTCGGGAACTCTACTACATTCCTTTCTATATTAAACCCTTGAACCACATCCTTCTTTTTTTCTTTACTAAGCCACCTCTTTATAACGTCCTGTCTGAAAAAACCCCCTAGAAATTTGTGGCGCAGTTTCGCCCCTGACAGTCCGGCTGATTCGGCGCAGATTCCATTGTCCCATTACTGTGTCTGTTTTTTTAAACGGCAAACCGGCCTTGTTAGATGTTCGACAATCTCCTGTTCACCATTATATCTTTGTAATTGTCTCCAGTTCATTCTGGATGCATCTGTGTGGCATTACTTACTACGTCAACGTCAAGTTGTTGACATTCCCCATATACGCCTCCCACCGCCTCTTTCCCCCCTCCAATTTCTCTCTCTTTTTCACATCACATCACATCAATTCAATTCAACTCATTGGTTGAATCACCCTTACCAATGTCCTCTTCAATTCCAGATATAGACCCATATGGTGTACTTGGTGTCGCCAAGGATGCCACAATCGCCGAGATCAGAGCCTCCCATCGAAAACGGGTCCTCAAGTGTCACCCAGACAAGATTCAAGACGAGTCACAACGCAATGCGGCCCAAGATGAGTTCCAGAAAGTCCAACAAGCCTACGAATTGCTTTCAGATGAGGGTCGTCGGGCCAAATATGATATGAAAGTCAAGATGGCTGAAATGAAACGCGAGATGTTGAGCAAACGGACCGACTCTTCTCCCTATAGCTCGCCACGAGGAAGTGGATCCAGCAATCGCGAATACCGCAATGGTTACATCGTGGAGGAGAGAGTCCCAATGGATTTCATCTTTGAAGAAACTATGCGATTTACAGATGAGCCCCGTTCAATGTCCCGCAAATACGATGAGTTTGGCACCCGCCCCAAGGCCAAAGCACCCACAGATGAGAAGAAGAAGACCCGTACACCGACGAGCACCCACCATGCCGCGAAGGAGCAACGGGAAAGTGTCAAGGCAACACATTCCGATCGGGCAAAGACACGCGATCAGGAGAGACGACGACAGACCGAGGCCAAATTCGGTACTTACGACACTTACGGATCTGATGACTATTCCTCTGATTCCAGTGTCCCGCAATATAATATGTACTTCAAGCGAACCAGCACCACACCCCAACGAGAGCGCGAATCGCGATCCCGACCCACAGAGTCCTCACGTCGTCGCGAAAGCCGCTACGAAGATGGTGACCTGTCCGATCACTGGAAATCAAAGATTGACAGCCAGTCCTTCAAAGCGGAGGATTACATCGCATCCAAGGGCGGGCCCTCCAAGTCTCCGCGTTCATACCGTGGTTACGATTCAACGGAACCCGAGTCCTCCGGGCCGCGACCCGAAAGACGATCCCGCCATCGTTCCTCATCGCGCAACAATTCCTACGAGAAACTGGACTCATCTCGGGACTCACCACGAACATACGAGGCAAAGCCAGCAAAGATGTCAACCTCCACAACATCCCCCGGCATCAAAGCAACTCTCCGCCCGTTCCTCAACACCCGTTCCCATACCACACCAGTGGGCTATGTACGCCCAAAACGGGACAGTCGCGACAGTCGCGATCGCGAGCGCGAGCGCGAGCGCGACTCACCTCTCTACCAAATGGCACACGAGCCCATGCCATCCCGATCTTCTAGAGTGCGCGATCGCAACGACTCAGGCTATTCCAGTCCCACCACCACCGAAGCGCTCCCCCGAGGCACATCCCCCAAGACCCCAACCCGCTACACGGTCACCAAGGAGCCAAGTCGCGTCGTCGTCGAACCAAAGTCTTCAAAGTACCGCTCCTCAAGATCCCCAGAGCGCGAGCGCCCGGCTCCTGTCCGCGCAACCCCAAAGCGAAGCAGTACCTATCACGCATACTCGGTGGAACCCTCGCGCGTGGAGCCGCGTTCTTCACGTACGCCTCGCCATCCGGATGTAGAGTATATCGATGCTGCGCCTAGGTATACTTATGCATACGAGAAAGACTATCGTCCCGTCGACAGACGCCAACCCGTCCATTGATCCCCTTGCATGAAAACCACGAAATACGATATATGACAGCCCACGCCTTCTCTCTATCTTTTGATCTTTATCTATCTTATTACTCATTACACATTACACATTAACCAATACTCAACACTCAATATGCACTATGCACTATGCAATACGCAATCCAACAGAGGCGGGGCGTTCAATTTATCTTTTATTCATTTATTGCTTCCCAATACATTCTTTCTTGTCTATACACATGCTGCAAGCCAGCAATTTACCCAATCATCTTCCCTTCCATCCCAAGGCCCGCCTTGTTCCACTCGTCCAACTCGGATCTCGGGAGCAGCGAAGACGTTCCATTCCCATATGCACGTTGCACGTGCTTACTGCATATGCATCTCCGGTTTTTCGGTTTTCGGGCCTCCATCTCCATTGAGATTGTGTCACCAGGCCTGCGTGTGCTTACACTCAGCCACTGCACGGCGTCTGGGGACCGGGGTGCGTGTTTTGTTTTCTGCTTTCTTTTTTCACCGGCGCTTTAGGGTTGCTGTGGATGGCGTGTTGCATCCTGCACCTGTGGCGTATGTTACGTTATGTCATCTGTCTCAATATGTAGTAGAACTAGCCCTGGAGGGCCTGGGGGTCTGCTCTGCTTTGCTTATTCTACTTTACAACTTTATTCCTAGCACAGGGTGTGCTTGGTTCAATACTTTTCCTTTGTTTGTTTCCACCGCTGCACATAGATACTAACCCGGAATGATCGGGAAATTCGATTAATGAGCTCCGCTCTTCGATACGACGTGTCATGATTGGACGTGTCATGATTGGTATTCTTTTTTTATATTTTTTGATCTTGTTTTTGTTGTTGGTGCGCTGTAAGACGGATGGTAGGAAGATAGGTTTCACGGAAATTCGAACGAAAAGCTAAATATAAATTCATACAGCAATTTGCGTCTTTAATTTGCTGCCTTACAGGCTTCTCTTGTTCTTTGGCTAGTGCTTGCGCAAAGTAAACCTTGACTCTACATCGTATGTACATACTAGCATTTAGTGCACTTAATGTAGTTAGTCCAATAAAACCTTCCGTTATACCTCGACCTGACCAGTCCTGTCTTGTTCACACCAACATTATCTTCGATATTATTGTATTCATTAGATATTGGAAACATGGTCATGCTCAACCCCAGCAAGGCAGTGGGACGGGAGTCTGGCCGGACGAAATTGTACAGGGCCACTGGACACAGGGTCCATGGAGCTGCCCAGGTGGGTTTCGGGGGCTGTGTAACCATATCCGGATATCGACTGGTGCGGCGCTTTTGGACTGATAACAATAATTTAGCTGCTTTGGGCGTTATTAAGAGTGGGTTTGCCATTGCGTAACTGTCTTAATTTAGAATGTTTCTTCTAGTGGGTGCTGGGCTTAACCGTGCATCTGGGAGCCCTAGTTGAGGTTTTTTGTTAGGTTAGAAAAGGGCCAATTTGATAGAAATCAGGCGTCTCGTTGACCAAAGTTTATTGCTGGTGTTTGAATTCGAATTTGATGTTCAAAATATTGCTGAACTACTTTTCTTCAACTGGTTTTGTGGTGTCCAAAGTTCAGTGAAATATCATGGAGTCGGTTTAGGATAATGCGAGAGGGGACTATATCTTGACACTCTTGGAAAGCTGATGAATCCTCAGAGGTGCCTATAATTGCTTAAGAGTCTACCTGTTCTGTCCTCTATATCATTGCATCTCGTACATCTAAACAGCAGAAGCATAGCTTCTAGTGACTTTGAACCATGTCAGTAACCCTCTGAGCAGCCTCCTTCAGATCAAACATCCCAAAAGGCAACTCCGTCCAAAGAATCTGCTGCGCAATACCCTGCCAGATCATCGCCTCAGTACCACAGAGCACCTCCCACCCAGCCTTCTGGCAGAGAGCAAAAAACTCCGTCCTGGGCTTGGGATGATAGCACATCTCAAGAACAAACCCTTTCCTCTCCTTCCCCAAAAACACCTCCACAATCCTCCTAGCCAAGATTTCCCCCTCCTCTACCGGCACCACATCAGGAACCGTCCCAACAACCACCACCGGCCCCTCCAAACCCTCCGCCATCTCAACAGACCCAATCCAAACCAAGTCCCCGCCAAACCCAACATCCCGAAATGACCCCATGATAGCCCTCACCTCACTCTCAACCCTATTAACCATATAAATCCTACTAGCCCCCATCCACTTCCACAGCGCATAAACCGCCGCCCGACACGCCCCACCACCGCCGATAACCAGCGCCGGCTTGCCCGTGCTCTCAGCCAGAATGCCAGGGTAGTTGTAGAGGAATGCCTCGCGGATACCGATGCAGTCGGTGTTCGTGCCGATATTTATGGTGCGTCCGTCTGGTGCTGTGCGGCGGAAGACCGTGTTCATGGCGCCGATTGTGCGGCTTTCGTCTGTTACGCAGTCGACGGCGCTCATCAGGGAGACTTTGTAGGGCATTGTGACTGCGCAGCCGATGGTGTTGGGCTGGTAGAGGGCTGGGAGGAATCTGGATATGTCTTGCGTTTCGACGAGAGAGAATGCCCATGGGAGGGAGACGCTTTGGAAGAGGATTTTGTGGAGAAGGGGGGCTAGGGAGTGGGAGATTGGATGGCCGAATAGGAAGGCTTTTTGGGGAAGCTTGTGCATTGAGGATGTCGTGAAGGATGTGCCGTGGTTGTAGGATTCTTTGAGGGTGTCGTTGAGACTTATTTGTGAGTTCATTGTGGAGGGATTGAGGGAGGGGGTTTGGTGGTTTTGGTGCTGTGGTAGTATTGGAAAGTTGATTCCCTGGCCTGGGTTGTCTAAGCAAGTTATATACATCGATGGCTTTTACAAGTAGATATATGTGAAGAAGGTAGTATTCGAATATCATCGGTTGAGAACTTAGCCTCGGGGTCTCGGTGATCACAGCCTAGAACTGGTGTTAGCTTAGGGCTATATCGGAAAAAGGAAGAAAAAGCAAGAAAGATGAAGATACCTAAGAATTCTTTCGCATAAGAGAACCTCATACATATTTTGCCCTCTATCACAGTACCTTTTCTTGAAAATACATAGACCGGGGTTCTAGTCAGTACGCTAATCGCTAGCTACCAGTGTATAAAAGCTGCTTCTGCAACTTATTGTTGTATACATATCCAAACAACCCTTGATTTACGATCTTTCAAGTGATATGTCCAATACAAAAGATCCCATAATTACCAAAGATTCTCCTCCTTAACCAATAGACCAATAGAGGCGCAGGTCTCCCAGTGCATCGCGTAACCCCAGCAGCAACAACATCCACCAAAGATGAAGATGCGAGATCGGGTGATTCGAAAATCGTTATTCCCTCCCCCTGTTTGGTCCAATTGACACTACATACATGAGGATATCCCAGTTCCGCAAACCCCGCTTTAAGACCGCGTTTCGCCTTCTCGGCTATGGATACCTCCCCAATCACCAATAATTCCTTCCTCGGAGTCTGGTCCATAAAGTAGCGGGCCTGATGCACTTGAGCCAAGTTAAACTGACCAGGCGCCGAAGGAGAGTGAATAAGTGGATGAATGACGAGCGAGATCGGCGAGGTAATCCGAGAGAGCTGTCCATTCATATTCATACCAACAGCCAGGAGAGGCTTGGGGTGCTCTTTCTTGCAATTGCGCACAAACAGGCCGAGCCCATAGCAGTCCTCGATTGTAGGGGCCTTGATGCCCAGTCTGATGATGTTTGTGCGGACATCAGCATTTCTGAAAGTGGGAAATACTAGGATATATTGTCGATAACGTAGCGCCGAAATTATCTGCTGCCGCGAATTTCTCCTTCAATTTCTGACTGGTCCATGCCACGTCGCCGGTTCAATTGTGGTATGAGGCTACGACCTTGGCTGGTTCCTTCTTCGAGGTGATGACCTTGAGCATACTCTGAGGCCACTCGATCTTTACATCGATATAGGCTACTCCGCACTCAATGACAAGAATCATTAGATTTTGTGCTTTCTGGCTGGCATTGTCTGGGAATCTTTGGTATCGTTGATGTTTATGAATGTCAAGGGGATAATGAAGGTTTGTTTCCCACTGGAATAGTATGTAGAGATGATCTCGTTAGGTTGTAGAGACACTGTGAGCTTGGTTATAAAGCTATGAGAGATCAGTGTTTGAATAAGGGTTCACGGATATATGTTTACATTCTGGTGCCAACGTCTATTCAAGACTCGGGGTCGGCTGGTTTCATTGCCGATAGTTCAATGTGATTCTTGTAGATATCTCCATCTGATTTTGAGAATTTGACCTTGCAATGTAACTAAGATTTATTAAAATGGCTCTTTTAAATTCAATGTTTTCTTAAAACAAAACAAATTAACCCCAAAACGCTATCGAATGACGGTTGTCAATCGCGGGGAGTTGGGGACGGCTAAGTTCCCCCCGGATGCCCGCGATCCCCGCATACAGGGAACTATAACTAGGAGCAGAGGGTTTTAAGTACGATTTTTGCACAGGGTCAAGTTCGAAAGAGACAGGTATATTAGAACCTTGCTTGTGAGGCCTATTTGTCAACAAGGGGTTCACATAATGAACTTTCCCGTAAAGGTTGCAGGAAGCCCTAGTGCCAACATATAGTTAGGGCAAGAGGTATATCTATCGTGGCCAAGATCTATATCACTATATGATTAGTACAAATAATATAACACTGAGTTAAACTAACTTTAAGCTATGTACAAAAGTAAGGGCATCTTGACAATGCCAGTCGGTGTTCCACCAATATACGCGTTGCGCACTTCACATACAGAATCAATCCTGTATTGCTAAACAAGTGCTAGTATGATCACCCAATCTAAACAAGGACGTATAATGCACACATCTAGTGCATACTGTTAGCATCAAGCTATCTCTATATTGCAATACGATGATGATAAAAAACTTACCATGGATAAACCTAAGATCATCGAAAACCAGAAAAATGCGTTCTCGAAAAGGTCAGTAACAGCTGCAACTACCAGGGCAAAGGGGGTTTACATTAAGTATCGTTCTTCCACGGAAGAAGCGCGACTTCTGAATCGCAACAATAGGAAGCTGGAGCATCATGGCCAGGAATCCGTATCCCCGAAGTTTCTTGGTAATGCAGCTCATGATCAGCTCGTGGAATATAGAGCTGACCAAGAACGTGATGACCATAGCCACTGGTTGAGAGAAGTTACAGCGAGCGGGCCAGTAGACGTGGCGGAAGAGGAAGTGGTGAACAGGTACGTTCCACTCGCGAGAGAATTCCATCCTAGGTAGTAGTGGTTAGTATATCGTTTCGGTAGATGTGACTTCAAGACAACTTACCAGTCGCATGAGTTCCACCAATCTGCGTAAAAGTGGCGATCGGCAAATCGAGTCAGCTCGGCAAATGCACCCAGCACGTATTCAAAGATAACGAGGAATACAAGCAGGAACGTAATCATAAATGGGAAAAGAAGCATGCTGATAGTCTCAGCAAGTACGAGAGCCTTGTCTGTGATGTTGGAGAAAACGTGGAGCTGGGCGCTGGCCTCTGTCAAGACGGGAAGGATATATTCTTCGCTCACTAGGGTAAGCAGGAAGATACAACCAAACACGGCCATGGTTTTCCAGCCGATCTCCGACCAGCGTCGATGCTCCCGGCGTGGATACTCTAACTCGTAGCAGAGGGTCGGACAGAAGAGGAAGTCCACATAATTTCCAATGTGAAGGTTCTGCGGGTATGAGATGTTGCCTAGCGGGGAGGTCAACTCCGTAGCTAGGTTTTCACGCAGTCTCTCCAACGGCTCTGCGGGATGGGCTTCGTCATGCTGCTTCATTGATGGTCGACGGCGGTGAACCTCCGGGTAATGAACAGCAGTCGCGGACTCGGGCGACTTTTCACCTGGCTTGTCCAAAGAAGCAAGACGGCGCTCAGTCTCACTAAGATGACCGTTGTAAAAGGCGTATGAATGCAGCTTCATCAGGATGGTCAGCGTGTGCAGCGTGAAGAACACCTGCGCAGTCCAGGTCCATTGCATCATGAAGGGCCAGCTGTTTTTTTTCTCATGTTAGTCTTGAGGTTCCCTTGGCAAAAAGCCAAAAGATGAACGTACTTGATCCATAAAACCAACCAAAATGCCTCGCCTAAGCTCTGCAAAATAATACCCCCGCGCGTCCATCGCAGCCACTGCGGGCCACCCCGCCATAGCTTGTGCATGGGTAACACGAGTGCTGAGCTGACCACCATAGCAAGATCGCTAACACCCATCATCCACACGTTGGCTGTCAGGAGACTCCAAACGCGCACTTGCAGGGGATATCCGGTTTCCTTGATGTTGCGCAACATGCTGGTCCCGACCATAATAGCCAAACCGATCCAGAACAGGGTAAAGAACCCTCTGAAGTTGTGGTAATTACTGTCTGGGTCAAAGTGCGATACACGAGGAATATAGTCAATCGTGTAAAACAGGCGGTTGCGGGCGCGGACCTGCTTTCTCGCGGATGAGATCGAATGCACTGACGGAGGAGCATCTTCGGCGATAGGGGTTGAGCGGCCACTACAATGCGACAAGAGCCAGTTAGCTACCCTGACTTGATCTGTATAAATGGTGGGGGAAAAGCTACCTTGCGTCCAGAGCTAGCTTCTCCAATGGAAGGGGAAGAGGCCCTTCGGACTTTCCATCGGGTTGAATAGGGACGGCACGGGGCCGCAGAATTGCAGAATCATTAGAGACGGCGCTAGACATCCTAGTTGGATGCAATTGCAAACGCAAAGGTATTGTACATCGAAAACACTGAGATAAAAAGAAGGTGAGTATGTGGCGGGAGCTTCCAGTTTGGCTTTGTTTGTTCGGAGTCGATACTCGAAAACCAAAAATAATCACTACGTCAGACCCCCTATACAATGTGTACCATACTAGGCAGATCAATTTGCAAACCTGTTGGATTGTTGAGAAAGTATGCTACATACTTACTAAAATGAAGTAATAGCTCATGTGATGATATTTTACAATAATGCAATTTCAAATATATGTACGTTTTTGTCTTTACCAGCATCCATTCTATAGATCATTGGTGTGCCTTGTACCGCTGTACGTCGTAATTTCCATTCTGCCGATCCACTTATGTCATACTCGACACCTCAGGCTAGAAAGCCAAAGGCGGTAAGCTGACATGGGGTATCTAAGAGTCATGTGACTCAAGGAAGTTAGACTAGTCTCTTTCCGTACTAGTGCCCCATGCCAAGAAACCAGGTCGACTACCATGAGGAATAATAATACAGCAGTCCAGACCTCGAGAGCCTTCGACCCTTCTTCGTTTCATTAAATCTATGAGCGCGGTGCTTGGTTTGCATTTCCGAACTTAAACTTCTTTCTCTTACATTGAATATTCCCCTTTCCTCGCCCCGTCGGGGGTCCCTCTGGCCGCCATGTCTTCCCGTATGTGCTGCCCGCCGCCCCTCCTCCCCTGAGATATCATCTAACCACGCAATTCAATCTGCATGTAGTAAAGCAATTCATCCGAAATGTCCGATCAGCCAAAACAATCGCCGATGAACGTGCAGTCATCCAGAAAGAAAGCGCCGCCATTCGAGCCTCATTTCGAGAAGAGAGCCACGACTCCGGCATCCGGTTAGCTTCAGCATCCCCGGTTGACTCTCGGATGAAGCTCTAACAATTGATAGGAGGAATAATGTCGCAAAGCTCCTGTACCTATTTACCCTCGGAGAGCGGACTCACTTCGGCCAGATCGAATGTCTGAAACTACTCGCCTCACACCGGTTCGCTGACAAGCGGCTGGGCTACCTGGGAACCATGCTGTTACTGGATGAGAACCAGGAGGTGCTGACGCTTGTTACTAACTCTCTGAAAAAGTCGGTGCCTCAAGGTAGTTTGTTTTGGGCTTCTGCTAACTCAATTGCAGTGACCTGAACCACTCCAACCAGTATATCGTCGGCCTGGCTCTCTGCACCCTCGGAAACATCGCCTCCGTTGAAATGTCTCGTGATTTGTTCCCCGAAGTCGAATCCCTCATGTCCACTGCAAACCCTTACATTCGCCGCAAAGCAGCAATTTGCGCCATGCGCGTATGTCGCAAGGTCCCAGACCTATTTGAGCACTTCCTCGAGAAAGCTAAGAACCTCTTGTCCGACCGAAACCACGGAGTTCTCCTTTGTGGGTTGACACTGGCAATTGATCTATGTGAGGCGGAAGAGGAAGAGGAAGGACCAGAGGGCGTGATTGAAGCATTCCGGCCACTGGCTGGAGGACTCATCCGCGCCTTGAAGGGACTGACAACGTCCGGATATGCCCCCGAGCATGATGTATCCGGCATCACGGATCCTTTCCTTCAGGTCAAGATCCTTCGGTTCTTGCGTGTGCTGGGTCGCGGCGATGTGGCCACCAGTGAATTAATCAACGATATTCTGGCCCAGGTGGCCACCAACACAGATTCTTCCAAGAACGTTGGTAACTCTATTCTATATGAGGCTGTTCTTACAATCTTGGATATTGAAGCCGACTCGGGATTGAGGGTGCTGGGCGTCAACATCCTCGGAAAGTTCCTGGCTAACAAGGACAATAATATCCGCTACGTTGCGCTGAACACCCTGAATAAGGTCGTTGCAATCGAACCAAATGCGGTGCAAAGACATCGTAACACCATCTTGGAATGTCTGCGAGATCCTGATATTAGCATTCGCCGGCGAGCGCTTGATCTCAGCTTCATGTTGATCAACGAGGATAATGTCCGAGTGCTGGTGCGGGAACTGCTGGCCTTCCTGGAGGTGGCCGACAACGAATTCAAGCCTGTGATGACGACACAAATTGGCATCGCGGCGGATCGATTCGCACCCAACAAGCGCTGGCACATGGACACCATTCTGCGGGTTCTCAAGCTGGCTGGGAACTACGTCAAAGAACAGATTCTGTCCTCATTTGTTCGTCTCATTGCCACCTCTCCTGATCTGCAGACCTATGCCGTGCAAAAGCTATATTCGTCACTGAAGGAAGACATCTCGCAGGAGGGTCTCACACTGGCTGCGACATGGACTATTGGTGAATATGCCGATAGCTTACTTCAAGGAGGCCAGTATGAGGAAGAAGAGCTAGTCAAGGAGGTTCGCGAGAGTGATATTGTTGATGTCTTTACCAACATCCTCAACAGCACATATGCCACTCAGATTGCCGTCGAATACATCATTACTGCAGCCATGAAGCTCACAGTGCGCATGTCGGATCCTACTCAAATCGAACGTCTGCGCCGCCTCCTCTCCAGCCGCACCGCAGACCTGAGTGTCGAGATTCAACAGCGTGCCGTTGAATACACCAACCTCTTCGGCTATGATCAAATCCGTCGTGGCGTTCTTGAGCGGATGCCCGCACCCGAGATTCGTGAAGAACAACGGGTCCTCGGTGCTCCTACCACGAAGAAGCGCCAGAGCAAGGTCCTCCGCAGCAAGACGACAACAAAGGTCGCCAAACCCGCAGAGCACGACTTGCTCCTTGATCTGGTCGGCGGCGACGCACCCGTCACCAGCCCAACCTCAAACGGATCGAACACCGCCGATCTGCTGGCAGACATCCTTGGCGGAGACTCCGGCTTGTCATCTCCCTCGCCAGGCCCTACCCAGCAGAACCCCAACAGCGCCATTATGGATCTATTCAATTCCAACGGTCCTTCGCCATCCCCCCAGCCAACACAATCCTCATCCGCATCGATGGATCTGCTAGGCGGAGGAATGGGCGCCTCTGCACCCTCACCATCCGTGTCTCCCGCTCCAGTCGCCGCCTCAACACCCGCCCACACCGCTCTCAACAAGGATGGCCTCGTCCTCACCTTGCAGGTCCAGCGCAGCGGCCCCAACGCCCAGATCATTGCTCGTTTCCGTAACGAGTCCAACTTCGACCGCTTCACCAGCGTCGGTCTGCAAGCCGCCGTGCCCAAGAGCCAGCGTCTGCAGCTGAGCGCTATCAGCAAAGCGGAGCTTGACGCCGGCGACGAGGGCACACAATCAATGCGTGTCACCGCTCTCAATGGCGTACGTCAATCCCCCGTATCCTTATGTTCCACTTCATGAGTCCCTAACTAACATGCCACAGGCCCTCCCTGCCAAACTCCGTTTGCGTCTTCGTGTCAGTTCCGCTCGCGATGGCGGCGACCCTGTCGTCGACCAGGTGGATTGGTCCGAGCCGTAAATGAATTCGGCGAACGTGATGTCCAAATTCATCCGAACGAATGTCCAATTTTTCCATGAACAGTCAAAATACAGTTCTATACACCCTATTTATCTCTCTTCACCCTATTGCTATCTAGACTTTTGCGCCATGGACTTTTCTTTTGCCTTTCATCTTTCTTCATCTGTCCATTTGGGGCGAATGGTGTTTATTGTATATGCTTTATAGGAGACCAAAACTTAGCGCAGAGGAAAGTGTACATGTACTTTTCATCGAATCCAGGTTCCTGGGACTTAATCCGATGTAGGAGATACCGACCCGTAGCGGTTGGCCACGATTAAGCAGGTTGTTATAGTTGAAAATGCATTGATGAAGGCATCTCTGATGCAGACTAAATCCAAAAAGTGAATGTGAGAAATGCAATCCAAACGAATCGAAACAAGACTCTATCAAAAAGAAAGCAGGCGCACCAGCGTCTACAAGAATTCAAAACCTCAGTATACAACCTTGCAACCAAAGAGAAACAACTCCAGCGCAGATACAAAAGAATGCAAAGTCGTATCGTATGTCCAAACCCCACGGCATGAGCCCCAGCCTACCATCAAAACGAGATAGGCTGGGTAGCACGCTGGTCAAAGATGGACGATCAAACCACAAGCTCTCTGAAATCAGATATGCTCAATAGGTTCCTCGGGAAGCAGGATCTCTCCCTCCCTGCGCTCGCTAGGCAAACAAGCCTTAAGCGGGGGCTGGATGATATCGTTAAACAAGAAAGTTCCATAGACAAGAAGCCCGAAGCCAACGACCTGGAGCCACTTGAAAGTCTCCCAGCCCAGTCCAAGCGAAACAAGCCAAATGAAAAGCGTGCGGCAAGTATCGATCGTGCTACGCGACGTGGCAGAGACAGTACGAGTAACCGACAGACCAAAGAAGTTAAAGCCCCTAAAACGATTAGCCGAGAACAACCAAATATAATTGGAAAACATACCCGATGCTGACCATAATCAACAAACTAGCCATAGCAATAGCGCGGTTACTGGTAACCTCGCGCCACCCCTCCGCAATATCAAAGTACCCATAGCGTCCGGCCTCAGTACTCCCAACAACGACATACATAATCAGCATCCCAAGAACAGTAACCAAGAACCCGAAAACACCCTCCCACCCAACAACCACGAGGGGATCCATAGCATAGTTCTCGAGAATCCACTCCTCAAGCACAAACTGCGACGCCGTGAAGATCTGCGCAGCCGCAATAAGCAATACGCCAATAACAGCCTTGACAGCCTCCGGTGTGCGCGCAACAGCACGAGCAGCCAGCACCGCGCGCTGCGCATTCGAGACATCATGCTCTGCACCGCTGCCGCTGAACAGCGCACCGGACAGGCCGACGATGGCAACGCCCAGCACGACGACAAACAGCGCGCTCCACTGGTACAGGTAGAGCTTGCGGCGCAGGAAGAGAACGCTGAAGAGGCCGACGAAGAGGACGAGCGCGCCCCGCGTCATCTGGTAAATGCTTGCTGCGACGAAGAGCAGGCCTACATTCATGAGCGTTGTGCCGGCGATGTCGCAGCTGGAGGGGGCGGCGAGGAGGAGGACTTTCCAGCCGCGCAGCGGGATGCGCTCGTCTTCTTCGTGTGGCTTGGGGGAGGCGCTCGTCGGCGTCGGCGTCATCGTCTTCGGCGCCGCCAGTTATCGGGTGGTATCCGCCTGCTAGGAGCGGGGAGGGGCTGCTGGATAGTCGGGGGGCGAGGTATTGGCGGTAAAGGAAGGTTAGGGCCACGACTAGCCAGCAGCCCATTTCGCCGATGAACATTTGTGCTCTTGGGGTGGGTTAGTTTTGCTTTCTTGCTTTCTTTGTTTGTCTTGGGATGTTGTGAGGCCTACGTTTGGATGACGGGTTGCTCGAAGAGCTTTCGCTTGCTGGGGTCTGGGGAGTCACAGTTCCGTACGCATTGCATGTCCTGTTCGAGGGGTAATTATTAGTTCTGGCTTGTTTGGGGTATGCTTTTCGTGGCTGGCATTGGCAAGACCTGACCTGATACTTGTTGAGAATGGTGTTACACACTCCGGTCACGAGCATCATCGTGACCAGGAATGGGATGAGGGCCTTATTCGCCATCTTGTCTGGTTTATGGAAAAATTGGTGTTGAGACCTCTGTTTGGAGTCTCTGGGAGTTGTAAAGGCTCAGGGCTTCACAAGGGAAGTGAGGAGAACAAAGCGGAGGCGAGCTTATCGCACATGATAACATCATTAGTTACTTGTCACGCGGTACCTCAGCCTCGCTGATTGCACGGGCCGGTACCCGACCGCAAGGTACCCACAATAGATCTACTCAACTACTATGGAGTAATACTACTCGGCTACTTCAGACAAACTACATGTGTACAAATATGTATAACATCCAGCAAGATGATCTCACATATAACTAAAATGGACCAAATTAATACACATTCCAGGCGAAACTAATCCCTAATTTTCCTCAAAACGCCAACGCTGAGGCCAAAATGTCCAAAATCAAAAACAAAATTGATCCAACAGGACCATGAGAAATTAAGGAGTTCGCGCAGGGTAGTATACAAGCGCACCGCTCCTGAATCCATATATATGCCGGGTGGGGGAAAGAAACAGACCGCCGAAATGAAAACGTTTCATAAAAGTCCTGCTAAGACTAGGAATGTGTAAATCTCAAAGGTTTCATAGTCAACACATGGGGATGGAAATTCCTTCTTTTTCATAACGCGCAACGGCAGCCCAGTCAACCTCGAGTTGTCCCATTGGGCCCTTGTCCTTGACTTGGATCTCGGGGGGAATGCGCATTCGCGCCGCGGCGATTGCAATAGACTCTTCGTCCCAGGGTTCGTAGAACTTGGCTTCGAAAGCGGCCTCCTCCTCCTGGGTGGGAGTCAAAGTAGCCACGTTGAACCAGTCTTCCACTGGAGTGCTTTCGTTCATGTCGATATCTTCAAGGGGCTCGAAACCCAGGCGAGGCAGGTCCTTGCTCGCAAAGTTGGAGAAAGTATCGTAGATGGCGTCGAGGGATGTGGGACACTCTGCCCAAGCGTCCTTGGTCTCATCTTGCAGCTCTGACTTGATGATGTCTTTCTTTCCGTCCTTGTCAACAGGCTTCGCTACCTTGCCAGTTGACAATTGCGGGGTGAGCATTTGGGCTGACGTAGCCGGGGATGCTGTCTTGATCCCGAGTTGACTGGTGACTCGGGCCATGGGAGTAGCGTTGGCAATGACCGGGGTGGCAATACTCTGTTTGGCCGGGGAGGGAGCGGCACTGAATTTAGTCGAGGGTGGCGCCGGACCCATTGCGGCCGCTTGCTGGGCTTCCATAATATCGTTGGGGTTCAAGCCGAGACCAATTGAGAGACTCTCATGGTAATATTTGAGATAATCGTCGATGATTTCCTCTTCTTCGGGCTGATGGCTTTCTTCGACGTGCTTGTCCAAGGCAGCTTGTGAAGGCAACCCTTGGTAGTGATTAGGGCATTCAACTACATTGCACTTGAAAGCACCAGCCAGAGCTGCTGCATTGGATGTAGCATCCGCCCCCGCCTTGTTGTATTTCGCTGGAGCGCCAGGAACTGCATTGGCTTGAATCGGAGACGATGCCACATGAGACTGCTTACGTCTTTTGGGAGGAGGCAGCTTGAGGTTCTCAGGCGCGAGTCCTCCTGGTGCATATTGGGGAACGCCCCTGGGAGATGGGGCCGCGAAAGGTGCGGCTGGGGCGTTCACAGACTGGCTAGAGGCGCGCCGAGCTCGTTGAAGGGCTTCTTCTTGTGCTTGCAATTGCTGCAGGTTGGTTGCATTCAGTGCTGGCATGTTCCCTTGTGCGGTCGGTGCGTTGGAACCAGGGCCTTGTGTGGGTTGGGGACGCCCCTGGTTCTGTTGCATACGATTAATCATTGCTGCGAACAACTTGCGCATGAAAAGGATTGCGCCGGTGAGGTATTCAGGGTCGATGGTGAAATTATCATTGATGACCCAGTCCTGTGATGGTTTGAACTGTCTCATCAATTGGATGCGCTGTGTAACAATTAGTTTGTGAACAAAGGCTTTCGATGCTCGTAGATTTACTTACCATCGCAAGTAGGTTTTTCACATTAACCTCCTGCCCTTTCATCTTGGAAAACCACTGTACTAGGGCATCCAGGCGACCTAGAACGTCCAACGACTCACGTAATTGCTTGGTCATGGCAGCTTTTTGCTCCGGGTTGAGCTTTTTCGGTTCTGCAGATGGAGCACTCTTGGCGATCTCATTGTAAACCTCCATGATCTGTGGCGGTAGGTTTCGATTCCACGCTTCATCTGCAGCAGCTCGGCTGAGAACCTGACCCCGAGGTTGCTGCTGTTGCCTCCGCATGTGTGCCTCGACCTGGGCGCGTTGTTGGGGATTCATTTGTGCAAGCTGTTCCTGTGTAAATTGAGAAAGTCCTGGCCTTGGAGCGGAAGCCACTGGAGCACCTGGTACAGGTGTAGGTTGGCTGATTTGGGTAGTTGTGGCGGGTGCAGCATCATCTGTACTAGGCCGCTTCTTCGAAGCCTGCTTACCGGCAGCTGCCTTAGCGCCTTTAGCTGCTGCGGCTCCAAGTTGAGCCTTTGCACTCGCTGCCTGGGGACCAGCAGTCGGTTGTGGCTGCTGGGATTGGGGGGCCTGTTGCTTAACTTGTGGAACGGGCAGTGCTGCAGGAACTGGGGGTTGTGCGGCCGCTTGGCCAACTTGGCCAGGCTGTGCGTTTCCTTCTAGCAGTGCCCGGTTCTGTGCGGCTTGCATCATATATTTTTGGCGATTTCGGTACAAGATCTCGCGAATCTGCTCGTCGGTCAAGTTGGAAGCCTGTGGTCCAAGCTTTTGGCGTGCCATTTGAATGTCTTGGGCAGAGATCGGTCGCATAGCTGCCATGTTGATGTTAGGCTGCTGCTGAGCCCCAGGGAAGCCCTGTCCATTGGCAAGCGGCGTCGGAGTACTCTGGAAAGGAGTAGCTCCTTGGCCCGGGCCATTCGGAGGCTTGACTTGGCCGGCTGAAGCGGAGAGTAGCTGGCCGAGATGAAGCTTTTGAAGCATCATAAGGCGCGGCAAGTCATTTGGGCTCGCAACTTGAGGGTTTGAAGCAGCCCATTGCTTGAGTTGGCCCCATGACTTGATGTTATTAGGAACTTGCATCGAAGTGCCGTTCATATTCAAGATGGATGGTGGGAACGACACGCGGTCCATTTGCTTTCCTTGCTCAGGAGTCATTTCCACGCCATTATTTTGCTGCCGCAGTAAATGAAGCTTATAGGCTTCATTCTGCCGTTGTTGGCGCTGCTGTGGAGTCATCTGCTGTCCCTGAGGCATTCCAGCAGGGTTCAAATCTTGTGGGCCACTAATCGAGCCTCGCATCATAGCATTGCCCATCTGGTTGTTCATCATCGATTGACCTAGACCTGGTTGTGGAGGCTGACCGGAGTTGGCCCGAGCCATGCTGTTCAAAGCGGCACGACGCTGCTGCATAATGAAAGCCTGTGCCTGTTCTGTGGACATGCGCGCAAGTTGTTCTTGAATGTGAGGTGGGAAGTTGGTGGGTATTTGGGGTCGGCCTTGCATCGGAGTCTGTCCTGCAACACCAGATGGGTGCTGGCCCATATTTGGGGCTCGGGATGGTGGTCGGGCTTGAGCAGGTGCCTGGGCTGGAGACATCTGAGTTGGAGCCATTGGCTGGTTGAGCATGGGCATGACGGGGCTCTGTCCGGTAAGTTGTGACTGTGCTTGAGGGTTCGCCGGGCCACCGTGACCTGAGATTGCCATCTGGGCTTTCTGGGCTGCTTGTGCGCGCGCCTGGGCCTGAGCTTGAGCTTGGGCTTGGGCTTGCTGTGTCTGAAATTGCATTCGTTCCTGGGGCGTATTGAAACCACCCTGCAGATGTTGCTGTGCAAGCGACTGAGCCTGGGCGTTGGCATTGGCGTTGTTACCATTCATATTCCCCTGGCCATTCTGTCCCATCTGTTGTTGCGGGAACATATTATTATTATTGTTCGGGAATGCTGCCTGGTTCATCTGTGATGAGCTGGCAGGAACCACTAGTTGGCCAGCTTCCTGGGAGCGCAGGCCATCTGCTTGTTGTCCTTGGATGTTTTCCACATTTCCCATGAAATTCGGGGGCTCCATCGACTGGCCAGTGTTGCCGGGGAATGCAGAGTTACGCTGGAGGTTCAGCATGTTTTGCAGCATCCGCTGCTGTTGTGAATTGACCATTGGGTCGCCTATCATATTACCGTTCGCATCCACCCCAGTGTTTGGCGCGCGTCCCATTTCGAGACGGGCACGGCGATGACGTCTGATCTGGTTGAGGGCTTGGGAACGGAAGAAATAGGTCATGGGCTCGAGCTTCTTTCGGGCTAAGTATTGGCGCTGCTCTGGCGTCATGTTTGACAAATTCATCTTGATCTTTTCCATGTCTTCATGGGAGGTTTTATTCAACATCTCATTGGCTAGTCGATTGACATGATCCGAGTCTTGTGCTGAAAGAGTATTGAGATCGTCGGGGAGAGGAACGCCATTCACCGGGCGTTGTTGAGGTCGCGGTTGCTGTTGAGGTTGAGGTTGCTGTTGTTGCTGCCGTTGTTGCATTGCAGTCTGCGCGTTTGGCCCATTCATTCCCATCGCCATCTGCGGCTGGCCGGATGGGGACCCCTGCATGTTCTGATTGAGGTGCTGGGGGAAATTTCCCGGAATCTGATTCTGCCCACCCGCCTGTGGCATCATACCGCTTTGGTACGCGGCGGCCGCCTGTCGCTCTCGAGTGGTTCGAATCTGTAATAGCTTCTCTGTGCATTCCTTGTCATATTCGCTCTTCTCGTTGGCTTTGGTAAACGCTTTTAGCTCGAAGTTCATGGCTGCAAAGGCTGCTTGGTTGAGATCGATTCGAGATTGAATCAGGCGGAGCGATGTGATCCTAATAGAGAAGTGAGGTCAGATGAGACACGGAAAAAGTACACACCGCAAAACGTAGCCTGACCGTCACTCACATTTGATAAACATTTCCCGCTCTGATTTTCACGTCGACTTCTCCCTTCCAGCCCCCGTATGGTCCTTGGCTTTGCAACATTTGCACGACGTGGTTCATCATGGCTTGTACATTCTCATTTTTAGGCGCTTGCATATTGGGATTCATCCTCATGGCGACAGTCGGGGCTGGCCGGCCAGGCCCCGCGCCCGGGTTAAACTCTCCCGGATTCATGACAGACACCCCATCAATGGGGATCAGTAAGCGATCCGCAAAGTGGTTTAAGAATTAGCATTCGTCAAGGGATGGGAGGATATGCGCGAACTGGAAGTCGTAAAGTCAGCGAGTGAAGACGTAAAGGTATTTCACTTGATCAGCAGAGGAGAAAAAAAGCAAAGGTGCTGGTGTGGAACCGTGATTCGAGTCGATCAGGGAGGGTGGGGATGGGAGTTGGGAATTGGACGAAACGGAGGGCAGAAGGGCAGTAACGGGCGACCAACACACGGGAAAAGCAAGGCTTTCGGGCACCAGCGTTAAAAGGATTCAATTCGCCCACCTCGGTGGCTTGGAGCGAATGATGATAATAGTAGAATAAATTGGGGGGGATCCGTAACAGGGATCATGCAGCGTCTCAAGTTGCACACCTCTAGAGAAGGAGCGAATCGTTGAACATAGGTACGTACCGAGGGTCAGAATGACCAGGCAAAGAGCACAGATATCAAGAAGGTGGCAATGATGAAATTATTATACGAATGAATGAAACATGAAGACAAAATGAAATTAAAGGATAGTTTCATCCCAACTGAGGATGTTCGAGAGAGAGAATAATTAATTTGGAATGGAAGAAACATCTGTATCAATAGTCGGGTATTCAATTGGTATTGTAACGGTCATGGGGGGTCAGGCGATAGAGGTGTGGTACATAGATTATGCCTGGCTTGACCATATAAAATCAAGTATTTCTCCCATTATCTTTTATGACAATACATACAATACATTCAATTGATGAATTGCGAAGCTTCAAAGAACAATGGTGAGGAAGACAAAAGTTACATGTATACAATAGATAATACAATAACTAGGGTGTGATCTATAACGTATGTATTATATTCAATAAAATCAATATACCTAGTCAAGTAAAAAACCATACAATATATCCCATACTATGACTATCCGTAGTATCAATAAATTCACCTACTCTCTCTAAATCATGATCGACAACCCGTTCTGGCCCTGACCTCATCCGGAGAAGCCAATTGGTTAAAAAGCGGAATCGACCAGCCACCAGCCTTAAGTACCGGATACTCCACTAAACACCAAATCATACACTCAAAACCATGTCCCCAGTACACTTGTACTGACTAAGAGCTTAAGTCAGCCACTGGACTCCAAAAACGTCAACCCCCCAGAGTCTTGTTTCTATATATACACTCGGCCGCGTTTCAACTTCTCTATCTCGCATTAGGAATATCTCGCCATGAACAACGGTTGAAAAGTTTCTTCTTTTTTTTTCTTTTCGTCTTCGCTGTCATTTCAGCATGTTCTCCGTCTCAGTACCCACCATTTCGGTGGGCTCAAACGTCTTCTTCGCACTTGCCCTGTTCTCCATATCCGGTCTCGTGCTACTTCTTCTGCGCCGCTACTTAACACTGCGTGCCACCCCCGGGTATTTGATTGTTCCCATATTTCTGGCCCTGGCTCTTCCCGCTAGTGTCGTACTCCTAGTTCCCATTGATCTGGCATCGAGTTCAAGAAATGGATCTGGCCCCAAAGCAATCTGGCTACCGGAGCGAATGGTCCTGGTATGCTGGCGCATCGCATACTGGCTGATTTTCGTCCTGACCTGGTAAGTTATCCGGCGCTATCCGACAAATACGAAGCACTTTGCTCATATACATCCTCCTCTAGGGCCATCCTTCCATTACTCGGCGAATATGTTGACTCGGGCTACCGTGACCCGAAAGGTCGCCTGATGTACTCGCTTCGCTCGAATGCCCAATACCAATTGATCTGCCTGGGCTGTGCCATCGTGGGATTAATCTACGTCTCAATCTCGAACAAGTTCGATTTCACCTCCATCAAGGGTCTCATCATGGCCCTGGCATACATGTGGGGTCTAGTTCTTGCCATCTACCTTATGGGCCATGGTTTGGTCTCCATCCCACGCAATCTGCTCCGAAACTCCAATGTCAGCGGTCGGCTACGCAGAATCCAGGCGCATGCGCCCAAGATTCACGATCGTCTCATGGACTCGGTGAATGAGTTGGAAAATCTGAACGGTCAGGTTTCTCAATTGCAACGGCGCAAGACCGGTACTGCTCGCGATTTCCAGGAATGGATCGAAGAGCTGAAAGAGGGACATGGTCAGCCGGATGTGCGGGCGCCGATCCTCGAAGCCCCAGAAAGTTCCGCGACAATACCTTCCGTCATTACCGAGCGCTATTTGGCCGATCTTACTAGGCGGCTCCAGCGCGCTCGGCACATGAAGGCCCGGTTTGTGGATGAGTGGGATCGCACGGTCCAGTTATCTGCCGATCTGCAGGCTATCATCAATTCTGTCGCCTCAAAGAAGCTCGAGTTTGCACCCGCTGCACGTCGATCCTCATGGATGCCTCGTGTGAAGGTCCTTACTCCATATTTGCGGTACCACTTATACTCCAATGTCATTCCGTCAGTTCGTCTCGCATTTGGCGCGTTCTTTGCTGTGGCATCAGCCTGTATCGTGTGGTCCGAGCTGATCAAGTCCCTGGCCCCGCAACTCTCCGCCGTGAGTCTGACAGTCGTGCCTAATTGGAAAAACAACCCCGTCGGCTTCGGCGGCCAATTGACAGCCTCTGCCTGGTTGTTGTACATGTGTTCCGCAGCCATGGTAGGCATCAGCGACGTCAAAGTGTGGGGCAACCGAGCGCTCGTCCGCCGCAACACATACGGCGAAAGCGCTTGCTGGTACGCCGGTCTTGTAGCCCGATTAACAGTCCCAATCGCGTACAACTTCTTGACCTTTTTGCCCAAGGAGTTCCGACGTACCACGACCTTTTACGAGTTCCTCGGCAAACTGATCAACCTCACCCCCCTGGGTAAAGGCTTCGACTTCATCTTCCCAATCCTCATTCTCCTCCCTATCTGCGCAACGCTCTTCAACCTCTACGGTCGCATCAAGAACGTCTTCGGCTGCGGCCTCGCTGAAGACGACGATATCCACGATGTGGAAAACAACCCCGCCGGCTACGGCATGGGCGGGTGGCGCGAAGGCCGCGACCTGATCGAGCGCGAACTAAACGGCTTCGGCTCCCTCGCCGTGTCCTCACGCGGCAGCCGTTCGACCTGGGCGTCTGATCGCGACGGCGAAGGATCACCGGGCTCGTCCAGGCTACGGGTCCCGGTAGCCGAGGGCTCGCGCTCGCCTCAGCCCCAGCGGAAGGTGTCTACGCCGACGGTTGTCGATGGCGAAGAGGGCGAAGAGGAGAATATCTTCCAGTCCTTTGCACATCGCGTCAAGAATACTTTCGAGACTACTAACACACCGCGTTGGCTTCAGGGTGAGCCCTTCCGGCTTCCGCGCTGGATGTCTGCTGACAATAATGCGGGAGAGGGTGGTCGGCTTCGTCTGGGTTAGATTTGCTTGCGGTGTTCTTGGGGCTGCTGGACAGTGTAATATACATCGCTTAGATCGCTTGTAAATATATCGATTCTTTTTGTTTTTTTGCTTTTTACATACAGTCACAATTGAACATTATTACTGAGCATTCTTACATATACTTGTATCCTTTGTACATTCTGAATAATCTGGTCGTGGAGCCCTGGAGCCCGGACAGGAGGATGTCTGCCCCTGATTCTCTTTGTTCTGGATAGGGCTCGAGTTATCTGTATTTAAGACGTTCTATTACAACGATATCGAAGCATCGCTAGTCGCTATACACCCACCCACCACTGAAATGGATAGCAAGAAGAATTGATAATGCTTGGTGCATAGAATTTCAATGACGTCATATCAAAGAGGCATCGTGTTACTTATCTTACTCTGTACTTTACATGTATTCTTTGAAGATTAGGATTTCGAGCTGCTTAGGGCACATGTAGCCGTTCTCGAATATAATGCCATTTTTTTATACAACTGTAACTTGGGTACATTGCTAGTATTGGGACGGCCCTTACCTAGGGGCAAGATTAGCAGAATATCTCTTGGTTTTCAATGTTATCTTTGGTAGGGGAACCAACCATCCCGATGCTTTTACAGAACCTGAAATGAATAATTTTCTTGATTTTTCTTTAAAAAAATCACTTTCTCGCTCATTCCTTGCCATCTGGTTATCTGATAGCGATAGCGATAGCGATATATCAAAAAAGCAAAAATATATGCCCTCGTCCAGGATCGAACTGGAGACCTTCGGATATCAATCCTGTTGCCAGGAATGTCATATGGTTTAAATATGAGACCAACGTCATGACCAACTAGACCACGAAGGCAACCACTGAGCCACTGGTGGCTGTGATGTCAACGGTTGAATTTTTAAGACATATGACTCAAATGACTTTAAATCGACTTTATCTATCAGATTCTCTCTTATACTAGGAAGGCATACACGAGCCTTTGTAGGAAACAAAATCACCGAGCATAAGAGGATATAATTCATCGATAATACATACATATAAGGGTTATATAAAGCCGTTCTAAGGAAAAAGGCAAGTGTTTAGCATGACTTAAAGATACAGACAAACCCTGATAAGAAGTCTTTGCCCGTCCCTATGATCACTAGCTAAGAGTGCCGGTTTCATGATCTTTTCCCTACATACAATATATTTTACCATGTTTTATAATTTATTTTTATGTTACTTGTTAGTTTGAATCTAAGGTAACATATGTACAGATTGTGTCATAGATAGAGGGTTATGAACTTTTAAAATCCGATGAAATATTAGGGGGCCACTATATATAACAGAGATTCACACTGATATGTGGATTTTAATTAGTTGCTACTCAACATCTAGGCAGCCACGCATATTGGATCATTTATAAATAAACATACTAGGTGTCAACTTGATACTAATCTCTTACCAGAGGTTATCTAAACTCATGGTAAAATGATCTTGCTAAATAAGTCGTGGAGAAACATCGGCCTGAAATCGGCACTCTTTGCCAATGATTATATGGTGGGTAAAGACTTATTAACGTATATCATGTCCTAGACATGCCCAGGTGATAATGTACAGATGAGAGATTATCTTCTCTAAATCAGTCATCATTTACACAGTTTCATTAGTGTACGTTAATAAATTTCCTTCGCCTCCCCTAGAGGCAAACCCGTAGCCCATCTACTCCTAGGGATGATATTTATCGGTAGTTTGACCTAGAACATAGCTACTCCCTGAGTAATAAACGAGATTACGAGAAACTAGTTTCTAGAAATTGCAAATATACTTATAAAACAGATAAGCCTATATAATTAACCAAAATTCGATTTGACCTGGTTGACGGCAAGATTAGGGCTATTGAGCCATGGATATAGCACTTTGGGTCATAGAGCAAATTATGTCGACGTTTTTCACAATTACTGCCTTCGTGGTCTAGTTTGGTCATGACGTTGGTCTCATATTTAAACCATATGACATTCCTGGTAACAGGATTGATATCCGAAGGTCTCCAGTTCGATCCTGGACGAGGGCATATATTTTTGCTTTTTGGTCATTTGTAATAGGTGCTGGTGGGCCTGTAGATCCTCTTATCGAGTAGAGATAATGAATAGTGAAACGCATGAACCATCAAGATGCCTTTTCCACGGGAAATATCTGATGCACTACATTTGTGTGTATCGTCCTTATGATCGGTGAGTTTTTTTTTCCTTCCGAAAGGCTAGGTGCCTCCTTAGTACAAGTGAGAGTCAAGCCTATATCGCCACATGTTGATTGGGTCTTGACCTAGCCAAGCCTCAAATATTCCATTATCTAGCATCCATAACAAGGTTAGCCAAAAATGACCATGAATTTGGTTGAAACGGAAGTAAAAGGAAAGAGCAAGCTGTACTAGATGGAAGCATACTCCGTTGGCCTTATAAAGCACAGATATATAATGTATGTCTGCTGTACGTGAGTTTGAGCAGACGGATGTCGGTCTTTCGAGGACATGAAGCGGAGGAACTATGGGTTGTATAGAACTTTTATGGAGGTTCATTCCTTGTCCTCCCTGTGAGAATCTTCGGTCCCGCCAGAGATATCATAAGCCGGAATAGCCTGCTACAAGGCTGGGTCATAAATCTAAATAACAAAAGGTACGTAATAAATGTCCTTGAGTATCTATCAGAGTAATTAAACTTGCCTATAATATTAGAGGAGATTCCCATATATCTTTCAATACTTTGAACATCGATTATATTTTTTATACTCCAGAACTTAAGATACTAATAATTAGATCATAATAAATACAACAACAGATTGATTTATATACTTATACCTACTTTATATTATAAGGTATCTAAGGATGTTTATTATGTGCCTCTCTGTGCCTTTTATATGTAAACGACTGAAATCTGGTACTCTCGGAATTTTCAGACGGACCAATGCACGGTAGCGGCATTGGTCATACAGTAGACGGCTATCTATATTTATGAAATCATCACTAAAGACCTGTATGCTCTACCTAAGGTTCCATCGATCCTTTTGGATGGCGTCGCGGCAACGTTGAAAAATTTACTTAGGACCAACTTTCTCGGGAGAAAAAAAGACAAGAACAAACCGTAAGCTTATCTTGCTTGTTCAGTGGGATTCAGATATCAGTAGAAAGACCAAAGAAAAAACAAAAAGAAATGCCCTCGTCCAGGATCGAACTGGAGACCTTCGGATATCAATCCTGTTACCAGGAATGTCATATGGTTTAAATATGAGACCAACGTCATGACCAAACTAGACCACGAAGGCAGTGACGAATGACCAATTAGGCCATCCGATCAATTGATGTTAGAACCTAACTTTTATTAACTTATTACCAGTACCTTCAGCACCAACCGTTTAGTCCTTTTGATCTGGTGACTTTATGAATAATTCACGTCATTTTTATATATTGTTTTGATAAGCAAATGCTTATAGTGCGATTTTGCAACCATTTCCCTCAGAAATGTAGGTGTCAGCTTCGTGGGAATACCATGTTGGCTCGAAGAATATATATATATATCTCACTCAGTACGTACCGAGGGCTGGAACATCACACGGTGCACCAATGAAGCTTCGAGTGTAGCGAAAATATATAGGTATAACCTACTAGATCTTTAGGTAGTGCTAGTATCTAGATAAGCCTAGAGCAGTCTAACACCCAGACTGGGCGGGGCAGGAAGAACTGAGTATCAAAGCTGTGATTTGACCAGTTTTAAAAATGCCACGAGTCATAACAAAAAGCCTCGAATGCACAAGTGGCAGTTGGTGATATTCTTAACCACTCTCTCTTCGCCTGATAACGTAATGTTGGGCAGTACATATTCAATCTACACAATAATTTGATACAGGAGCTTGTAGGAGCTTTCGGCCTATTGTTCAAGATATTCTTCCAATGTGGTCTCCCATCGGTACTTTTTCCTTCTTGTACAGCCTCCTTTCCTTTTCCTTAGAGTTGTAAGTACAGAGCAGCTAGGTATGCCCTGTCATCGATGGAACGAAACGAGGTCGGAATTTGTCGACCCCGGACTTTCTAGATTTAGCTCTCCAGGGTCTCCAAGCTTTGAATTGACAACTTCACTGCAGTATGAAGACTAACTGACAACTACTTTATGAGAGCCACCAGTCACCTCAACAGTTGCAGTATCGTCCACATAAATTACACCCTTCGTCAACTGATCACCATCGATAGTAATCAAAGGCTTCCTCGATGTAATAACATAAGGCAAAGTAATGTTTCCAACAGTCTCCCTCGGAACCGAGAAATCCAAATCATACCCGCCACTTGTCTTCTTCCAAGATGCCTCAAACTTCCCAAGTGACGTAACAAAGCCAGCTTCAGCAAAGTCCAAGTCCCCAAACTGCGGCGCAATCTTCCACGCCAACCCCAGAGGCGAAACAACAGAGAGACCAACCACATACTCTGTCAACGCAGAAGTCGGTCCCGCAGACCACCCATGTGCATGGGATACATAAGACGGGTCATACCCGTACCCGCGATCCATTCGATACCCGAAAGTCCCGTTTCGAAGATAACCTTCGATCACAGTGCTCTCTGTACCATTTGGATTGTTGATATACCAGCCCCAACTGCGACGGATAAGATCGAGTGCACGTGATGGCTCATGTGCGACGAAGTGGCTTTGGATCTCGAACGAAGAGATGAATGAGGCGATGTTCTCGGGTAACTCTGGAGCCACGGCTCCTATTGGGGTCCAGTTTGTGAGAAGGTTTTCTGATATACTGGCTGCACGGCTTTCATCGACAACTCCAAATAGAATGGCCATGCTGTTGGCATCTTGTGGGTGCAGCGTTGTATCTGTTGCGTTGTCTTTGAATGCACCGTATGATTCATCCCAGCAGTAGGTGTTGATTGCTTTCTTTAGATTGGCTGCTTGTGAAAGCCATGTGTCTGATAGATTGGTTGAGTCGTCGGCCCATAAAGCAAGAGATGCGCCTGTCTGTAGGGTGTGATAGAGGCTAGAATGTGTCAATTCGTTAGAATTTTGGTTAGAGCTTGAAACACGTACATCATTTGTGCCTCTGAGTTGTTGTAGCCTTGCTGCCATCTAGCCCAATCTCTTGTACCAGTCACATTCAAAAGTCCACTGGGGTAAGTGACCTTGCCATAAATGTAGTTCATGGCGTGCAGATAGCTATCCCAATTCTCCAACAGAAAATTGGTGTCGTTGGTATACAGCACGTAATTGTAGGTGCCAATCATCGACCACATATGATACGTATCCGAGTTCTTCTGACTCAGTGGAGGACCCGATTCATCAAATGCACCCGTGGACTTGTCCTATAGCCGCAGAAGTGTAAGCCCATGTTTCGAAAAGAACTGAGACCGAACCCACCTGCGTATTGTACATAATCTGCAAAGCATTTTTCACACTCTCTAAATCCCCCAGACTCACAAATGCCGAAGGAACAGCAATTCCCATATCACCCGGCCAAACCGCCCGATCTCGCTTCGCACCGTCCACAATAATCGTATCTCCCGGTCCGAGTGTACCATTATTGACCCATCCAGACTTAACGCCACTCGTAACGCGACCCGTATTAACGGGTACCTCATTGGTCTGCAGCGTATAAGCACCACTGTACCAGATCCGATTCAGAAGTTCATCGCTGCAATGGAAGTACCCCTGGTACGCTCTTAGGTTCGACCAAGTGGGTTTGAATGCGAGCTCCAAGCTCAAATCTTCAATCTGGACATTGCTCGAGTCATCCGTGAGTAGGAATACTGTCAGGTACCGGAATCCACCGCGGAGATACTTATCCGGCATGACATATGTGCCCGCCCCAGACGAAGAGATATTTGCATACAAGGCACCGTCGTGGTACAGGGCATTTGACGAGTCAGACCATTCCCCGATCCAATTTTTCGCTTCTGTGAATGCGAGTCCTAGCGCTCCGCTACCATTGGATGTATAGTTTAGATGCACAATCCCGCCGACTTCGATACCGAAGTCAAACACTATTAGTGACCCGTTGCCGTGTAAAGATGCTTTATATGGATGTTTGGGGTCTGTGATAGCATTGTTTTTCAATTCTGACAGCGTTGAAGCTGGTCGTACTGTTCGTGATGCCGGTGCAAAGATGTTTTTCTCCCATGGCCCGCTGAATATAGCGTGTGTTGGCCCGGTACAAGAAGTATTACGCCAGCAGGTGTCTGCTGAACATGGTTGAAAGAGAGACCAAAGGCTCAGTAACAAACTGACCCAGTATATTTGTGCCATCGGATTTTCTTAGAGCAATGGAACTATACATCAAATGGTCAATGCTGCAGGGAAACTACTACATATACTGGGAATCTTTGCGGGGCTAGGAAGAGGCAATTACAAGCATTTCTCGGCACTGAATAGCGCGAGTGGCTGGTTCGGAAACAACCCCTTGCTATAGGGTTGATGAGCGAGCTCAGTTCTGCATATACGCTATTGGTGGAATAATCGAAGCAAGCAATCTCGGTATTTCCAGAACTCGGGGAACGATCGTCGCAACAAGCACTCAAAAGGGTTTCACAATTGACGTCTTCGTGCAGGTTATATTAGCCGCAGGTCTTTCCCCGCATATGGTGTTCTCCGCAATATTAAGTCGTGATGCTGCTCGGCGCAAAGATCACCGAGAGCAAGATGTTACATTGAGTGAATGTTTTGGGCCAGTGCGCCAAGGCTATAAATCAATTGAACTCGCATTGAGAACTGTGAACTAACCCCCAATACTGTGTGGAATCAACATGCGACTCTTTGGGACATCTTTAGCCATTCCTATCGGGCTCGCTCTGTCGGCTACTGCATATGCGAAGGAAGAACGCAGTTCAAATGTTTGCACCGTCAAAGCACAAGGGCACCAAAAAGATGACGTCCCTACCATACTCGAAGCCTTCCACAAATGTGGTAATGGTGGCACGATAGTTTTCCCGGAGGACCAATCGTACTGGATCGGAACTCGTTTGAACCCCGTGATAAGCGATGTATCTATTGAATGGCGCGGGAAATGGACAGTGAGTACATTGAAGTGATAGTTTACAAAATTCTAACCAAAATGGTTCAGTTTTCAGACGACTTAGATTACTGGAGAAACCACTCGTACCCAGTTGCATTCCAAAACCATGCCGCCGGGTTTATCATCACAGGCCACAATATCTCAATTAACGGATATGGCACTGGTGGGATCGACGGCAACGGTAATACATGGTATACAGCAGAAAAAGGCAATACACAGCCCGGTAGACCGATGCCATTTGTCTTCTGGAATGTGTCCGACGTCAACGTCGAGAACTTCTATGTCAAAGATCCCCAGCTGTGGAGTGTAAACATCATGAACGGAACAAACATGCGCTTTGACAACATCTACTGCAATGCAACCGCAGTAGACGCGCCGTATGGCGAGAACTGGGTCCAGAATACAGATGGATTCGGTAAGTGGACTGCGCTACCCATCATATATTGCACCAGACAAGCCGACTTACACGGGCCCCAGACACAATGGACGTGGAAAACATACAGCTCACCAATTTTGTCTACCAAGGCGGTGACGACTGCATAGCTATAAAGCCGCGGTCTTTCAATGTCGACGTTCATAACGTAACTTGCCGTGGCGGCAATGGCATTGCCATTGGCAGTCTGGGTCAATACCAAGAAGATTCAAGCGTGGCTAACATCCTTATTGATGATGTGAAGATCATTCGCTACAACGAGGACATGCACAACAGTGCCTATATCAAAACATGGGTTGGCGCCCTTGTGCCGCAGAGCTCGTATGAGAGCGCAGGGCTTCCTCGTGGGGGTGGTTGGGGCAGCGTTCGGAATGTACTTTTCTCGAACTTTGATATCCAGGGTGCTAATGCTGGACCTGCTATTACGCAGGACAGTGGGAACAATGGTTCGTATTCGGGGACAAGTTTGATGAGTATTTCGAATGTCGCGTTTGTCAATTTCACGGGTTCTATCGAGACTACGTCGTCGAAGGTGGCATCGGTTTCATGCTCCACTGTTCATCCGTGCTATAATATTGACTTTGATAATGTTGTGCTATACGGGGAAAATGCGACCACGCCAGGGGTTGGATCGTGTAAGTATACAGATGGAGTGCATGGACTTGAAGGATGTTAGAAAGAATCTGGGTACGCACTGAAGTGAAAATTGTCGTGAACTGGAATGACTGCTCATGAAAGCCCTTCAATAAGGATGAGATAGTTATACAGATTCATGAAGTTACCTCTTGTACTCTGTACCATCATCACTGTTCTCCAAGTGGTAGTGGCAGCAATACCCAATTGACGCTAAGGTTTTGCACTCAACTCCCCTGCAATGATATTAGTATGTGAATACCGCCAGCACTCGTTTGCGGCACTATCGCGAATTCTATGATCGATGCTCAGCCATAACACAGTAAGAACATCGGAGACATCGAGTTATACAAACGCGTATAAATCTATGACGTTATTCGCAAAAGATATGAGCCGTAGAACGTAGAGGTGCAAGTCTCACATATATATTCATTCCCGAAAGAGCAGCCTTTCAGTCACCCTTAGGGTCACGACCTGACGCAGTCTTCGCTGCCCAAGAGTCTTTCTCACTGCAGTTCTGACAAAGAGACAACCACAGGAGTTGATGAACCTTGAATTTGTTGGTACCGATTTAACCCACATGAAGGCTTTTCCCGAAGTTTTGCAAGCTCCTCTGGTTTGGCGCAGGGCTTCCAGGGGTCTCGCGATCTGACAGTATCAGATCCAATGGGCTGAACAACCATCATATCTTGACTCAGATTCCCAGATTTTGAGAGTGCCAGTAACCTGCCAAGTTAGGGCGATCCATCTCCTGGGACATCGGACAGCAATCCCAGAGAATACAAGGTTGGGGCCTCGGATGCTTTTCGCTAGCTCGAAAGTGGACAGATTACTGCTCTGGCATGCCTTCCGTGCCACTGAAAATTACCAAACATAGCCATGAACAGTCCTTCAGCGAGTTGAGCACTGGCTGCATCCACACCAGCGCCAAAGACAGTGAGTAGGACAAACCGACCGAGAGTACCGACCAAGAGTGTTGACCCGGGATGAGGTGGTCATAATTGACCATACGATCATCGACATGAAGCAAGACAGGAAGGGCAAAAAGATCCTGCACAATTCGTATATCCTTCTCAAAGAGGGTTTTCAGCTCCATAAGTGATGGGGTTTGGCATGAACTAAACAGTCCATGGGTGAAAAATTATTGTAAACAAGAATATACGCTTCCGCTTTAGTTAAGGGCAGTTGGGTTTGATGTGTCCAGGCTAGAAGTGGTCTAAATAAAGCCGGTCGAGGGTGGTGCACTATATGTGAAGAGGAGAAACAAGACCATCTCTACGAATGGTGGCCCGCCGGTACTTTACGGCAGCAGTAATGCGGTCTTAGAGCCCCAGGCCCAAACTTACACGTCTCCAGCTCCGGGGCACACAAGGCACCCAGTCAACCTATCTCATCCATTCCAGAAATGTTGTTGATTTCCCAACATAAAAAAAATGACAGTCTACAGTGAGGCAATTCCTAGGCAGACACGTCTCTAGCGTTGACACAGCACAATTGCTCGATGTGATGGCAAAAAAAGTACTCTCCGCCTTGTCTGCCTATTTCGGACCACTTGGGGGCATGACTTCACCACTACCACCTGGCCCCTCTTCCCCTCAGAGATCCATGACTCTACTGCCTCCGACCCTCGTCCAGTCCACCTTGGGCGAGAAGTGCGCAGTCTACCTAGACCAAGTCACCGACAATCTCCCCATCCACCTGCAGTCGCTTCGCCTTCGACTGGCTCCGATTCTCACCTACCTGTCCTCCACACCCCTCGGGCCCCTCGTGCAAACACTACCTGTCGCCGCCGACGACCAACCCCTCGCCCTTCTCGCAGCTGTCATCGTCTGCCTGTTTACTGTCGCCTTCATGAGCTGGCGCAACCCCCTAGGTATGCTGCGGCGTACACCAAGCTACGCTCCCGCATCCGACCCGCAAGTCAGCGACGAGCACTTCAGCTATATCACACCTGATGATGTTGTCGACCCCCCAACAGAAGACGTAGGGCCAGATGTCATCGCCCTCCGCCACCGTGGCACCATCTACCCACTGAAATTTCGCCCATACGCAATTGGCGATGGCGCCCTGACCATCGGAGACCTGCGACAAGAAGCCGCTCGCGCAACGGAGGCCATCCACCCGGACTGTGTTAGACTGTTATATAAGGGAAAACTGCTGAAGGACAACACACGCTCATGCAAAGCCGAAGGACTGAAGCAACACTCAGAGGTGCTGTGCGTGGTGTCCGAACCGCAAGCCAGCGACTCCGACGATGAACACCGCATCCCAAAAGCAATAGCCCCGGCCCCAGCACCAGCTCATCCGCAGGTTTCCCGTCCCACCAGCTCCGACGCATCATCTCCTCCCACACCCCCAGGCTTCAAGAGCAAGAACAAACGAAAGAAGAACCGCAACGGCAAAAAGTCGCCCACCCGCACAGAATCCCCTCAACCTAAACCCGACCGCTCGACCAACCCCTCGCCTTCACCAAACCTGAAGCAGCTCCACACCCCGTTGGAACAAGTCAGTGCGTTGGCGGGCTGGCTCCGGCTGGAGATGATCCCGCGTTGTGAGGAATACGTTTCGAACCCGCCCAGCGACATGAAGCAACGGGTGCAAGAATATAACAAACTGAGCGAGACGATCCTTGCACAGGTCATGTTGAAGGCGGATGGAATTGAGCCGGATGGAAACCAGGCGGCTCGGGAGGCTCGTCGTGCGCTTATCAAAGAGGCACAGGCTGCTCTCACCGCGTTGGATTCCATTCCTCGGTCGTGAGATGTGATCGGTTCTTTGAACTGTGTATACTCCCGAGAAATTGAGTTCTGGACATAGACCATCAATTCCCCCCGAGTGATTTAGCGTTTGTCTTTTGGGGGTCATTGTCATTGTCATTGGGACATGTCAACCCTCGGGATGTTTGAGATCGGCGTTGTGATATGTCAATTTTTGGGATTTATCCTCCAAGACTAAACCTGTCAGACTGCTTTGACATGTACCCCGTATAATACTTGCATTTTTTTTCTTTCTTTTCTGTGTAAGTGTATAGAAGTGGAGATTCCAAGAAAGCAGAGTCTTTACTGCTCCGTACTCTTGATAGTGTATTTGGATGATCGTTATTAGCGGGATATCACTCTCGAAGCTGGTATTGTTCAGGGGCAAACGCACGGCCCAGAGTCAATACTTCGAATTTTCCTTTTTCTTTCCTTTGGTACTCCGAATAGCTACTAGTATATACATTATATGTACGGAGTATGATATGCCCTATATTATATGTAAATATCCATGATTTGAATAGTCAATTATTGATTGAATAAAATATCAGACAATGCATGTCCAAGAAAATAACCTAATAGATAGTATTATATGCACACAAAATAGTAGGTGAAACATAAATAATCGAGAAGTCTAGGCAATTCCTTTATTCCTCTATTGAGTTACTATACCCAGTTGGGCTTTGTTAGTTCGAACGGTTCTCTCCTTAGACTAACGACTAACTCCCATACTACTCCCGTACTAAGTCCCGTACTATCTCCCTTCTTTCTTTTCTCTTGGGATTCGCGTCATTTCTCTTTCTGGCTTTCTTTGCCACCTCCGCCGTTCCCCATCTTTCCCCTCCTTACGCACAGTCTGTCTCTCTTCTACTTCCAAGACAGTGGACCCCGAGACCTCGAGGTCTACTCCGTACCAACGGAACACTAGCCCCTCAATAGACTTGAGATCCGTGGTTCGGATTTCACTCGGAACTGGGATCTTCAGCCTGAGTACAAAGTCTGATTGACGGTGTTGACGATTTGCTACTTTCGGATTTTACCCCCCTTACTCCTCAACCAGCGAATGGCTTAATTCTCCAACCACTCCGAGTCAACCCGTTTTTACCTTTCGCAATCGCGTCAACCTGGGTTTCAGCTGGACTGGCCTTTTTAATTTGTGTCAAAATTTCCTGGAATGGCGGGTGTCGCGACAGCATATTCTTCCGATGCTCTAGCATCACCAACCGGCGTGGACGGCTCGCAATGGGACTTCGCCGTACCACTTGGAAGTGAGGTGAGATGAAACCCCCTTCTCCCTACTCATATGTGAATTCCCATTGAGGGATCCAGGGAACGTGAAAAAGAATTAAGAAAAAAAATTTGCTGATCCCTTTTTCCCCGCAGGAGAACCGCCATTCGAGACCACGCCATTCGCAAGACTCGAATTTCGTCCGTGCAAACCTTCCTCCAAAGCGAAACTCGAACGGCTCCCGCAGTTCCTCCGTCTCTCGATCGGTCCGCGCCCACGAATCACCCTATGTGACCTCCCGAGGACGTAGGGAACCCAGCCTCAGCCGACATGGGAGCGAAGTAGGCATGCGAGATGCTTTTGGACACGATGCAGGTAGCGGTAAAGAGTCCGAGGAAGGAAAGGAGGGTCTCAACCTATTCCTGGATGGGCAGACGAACCAGGAAAAATGGATCCACCGCGACAAGCTGGCGAAAATCGAGAGCGAGGAGCTTCACCAGGCGGCGATTCTCTTCCAGCGACGGATGAGAGGTGAAAGTAAATCGAGTACGGGGCGGGGGAGAAGTCATGATTCTCAGCAGAGCGCTGCCAATGGAAATGGTACCGCGACATCGCCGGCCGCGGAGTACTCTGAGCCTTGGCCGGAGTTAAGAGAGCAATCTGGCAAGGGTGCGAATGCCGAATTAAGTGACGACGAGCGAAGAAACTGGGACCTCCGCCGACCGGAGGAGATCGCTGCAGACGATGCAGCCGCCAGCATTTACAGTCACCCAAGCCTTGGGAAAAGCTCGTCGCGAATACCCATCTCTACAACCAGCCCAGTTCCCATTGCTGGCACCATGGGCCGTGATTCTCGTGGCCCTCGTAGCCGGGCAGCAACGGACGAAGACGACGACCGATCTTCGCGCGGCCGTAGAGCAAGCGAGCCTATCAACATCGATCAGAATGCCTCGACTCCCTCTCCAACGAGCCGCCCCAACAGCCGTGGATTCAACACCACCCAGAATACCCCGTCCAAGAAGAAGGCTCCAGGTTCGACTAACCGCAAGACCTCTGCTCCACCCACCAACCGCAAGAACAGCGCCGCTCGATCCCGCGCAGTATCGGGCAATAACATCCCGCGACCCACGACCCGAGGAAACGACACTCGCCCTACAACTGCGGCGAACAGACCCGAGGGCGATCCGCCCTGGCTGGCAACTATGTACAAGCCCGATCCTCGCCTCCCGCCAGACCAGCAGATGCTCCCCACGCTTGCCAAGAAGATGCAGCAAGAACAGTGGGAGAAAGAAGGCCGGACTCCAAACACATACGACCGCAATTTCGCGCCTCTGGCCGTGCATCCATTCGACGCACCGCCTGTCCCTTCCAAATCCGAACCAGAACAGCCCCAGCAGCCTGCCGACTCGCTGCAGCTCAACGAGCTGCCCCCTCAACCACCAAAGAGCCCAGAGCCACCCCGCCCCAATACAAGCACTGGGTACAGCACCATGCCCAAGGTACAAGAAACGCCCCCAATGGGCCTGGCACCCAACCCCAACCCCAATTGGAACCCGCCCGTTGTCACCGCGCGCGAACAACCGAAGAAAGAAAAAAGCTGTGGCTGCTGCATTGTGATGTGATAGTCTCTACGATCTCCATCTCATCTATCCCACCTCTACCATCAATCTATTCCCCATACCTCTGATATCTGCACATCTGCTTGATTCCCTTCTTGTCTTTATTTATTTCCAGCGTCTCCGGCGGGATGGTGTTCTGTCGATTCTGTTCTGTTCTGTGCTATATCTCCCGATGTACGGCGCCTTGCCCTGCCATCTTTCAGTCTGTTTTAATCCGGTATCTATTCTTCTCAACCGGAGCATGGCCTTCCCCGAAGAACCGCCATGCATCCATTCCTTGATTGATTTTTCTCTTCTTGTTCCATGCCGCGGCCCCAAAACTTGCTTCGGATCCATTGACGCGAGCAAAGCACGCACGCACATGTGAAATATCTACCCGTCTTGCTCTCGCTCCTGTCATCTCTGATCTCTTCTGCATTTTCCTTTTTTCTTCGAACTATTTCGTCTTGCTTTGGCATCTGAAACACCTGAAGCCTTCGCCTTATTCCCAAGCTTGCTAGCGCTAGCGCTCTCGTTTTCTTTGGTCTGATTTGTTGAGAGCTGAGTTGTCCCGTTTGCTTTACGGAGTAGACTAGATATCGGGTTAAATGAATACATCCCTGCATACATTGCTTCTTGGCTTGGACATAGACATCGAGCCAATAGCAAGCTGTAGATAAGATACATAATTAACCAACGATCTCGAAAGTACGTGGTGTCTCACATGCCTGGGTATGGAAATAGTCTGTTCAAGGTCTCCGAAGTACCCATAGCAAATAGTTAGTCAATTGCTAAATGTTCACAACTATAAGCCCTGGAGATATCACTGATCTTCCAACCAGTTGACAAACAAAATAAATCTAGACCATCCTCACCTCGGCAAGATGACAAATAATCACCTGACATCATCGCCGCGTCCAATGCCGCAATCTTGTCCCTGTTCCTGCAAGTCATCAACGTTGCACTTACCCCGCCAATAAATAAAGAGCCCTTTCCTCCCAAGGACTCGCCCCCCAACCACCCACCATTTCTTTCATCTTCACCCGCCTCTTCGGCTCCTTCGCCGGCCCAACTCCCGCCGCCATGTCCGCCGCCAAGACCCGCGCCCAGAAACTCATCGACGACAATGCTGTTGTTGTGTTCTCCAAGTCTTACTGCCCCTACTGTGATTCGTCGAAGAAGCTGCTCGATGGATTGAAGGCCGATTACACTACTCTCGAGCTTGATCTTGAAGGTTCGTTTCGCTGTGCGCGTTTGGGTTTCCGGTTTCCCGGGGACTTGACTCCTCTGATCTGCCCGCAGTTTATCCTGTCTTGGTCAATTGCTAACGTATTTTGTGCAGAGGAAGGATCCGCTATCCAGGACGCTCTCTTGGAGATCTCCGGTCAGCGCACCGTGCCCAACATCTTCATCGACAAGAAGCACATCGGCGGTAACTCTGATTTGCAGGCCAAGAAGGCGGATCTTAAGGACCTTCTTCAGGGGCTTGGTGCGATCAAGGATGCTTAAGCGTGTTATACATCATGCGCGACTTTGCCGCTCAGCTCGAAGATATACGATTATGATTCCGGAGGTAGCTATTACATGAATAGACTTGTACCTACCGTCCAATCTCTTGAAAGATAATTGTCTTCGTCTTGTAGATTATAGTGAGCGGCGATGAGTCCATGGGGATGGAAGACAAGAATCCTTGGCCCATCCCCTACCTGCATTGAGTGGAGTATTGCAATGCGACTCTATGGATATAAAGTAGACAAGCCAAACAAACATAAACGTACGTATTATACAAAAACAAACAAAATCTAGATCAGATCAAATCAGATCAGATGACCTTTTGCACAATGGTACCAAGCGGTCTCTCAACAATCCTCATCAACCCATCAACAACGCTCGCCCGAGCTCCTTCACTCGAAACCGTCTTCCCAGCCAGATAATTCAACCAAACAAGCCTACTAACCCTCTCATCCTCCACCCGTCCCATCCACCTAACAGCCTTATCATCCCCAGGCTGGAACAGCGCATCGAGCGCTCCGCGCTGATCCCGCATAAGAACGAGCGTCTGGCCCTTCGGCACAGTCTTCCCCTTCCCGGCACCAAACACAGCCTTGAAATCATTCATCGAGGACCCGAAGGCCTCATCGCCGAACTCGCCCGCGCTAGCCTTCGCGCGCGCCGTAATGCCGCGCACCCACCCGTCGCGCAAATGCATGAAATCCGTGTTGCGGGTCGGGACGATACGGAAAGCGGTCCGCACGCCGCCATCTTGCAGGATAGCGGACCAGGCAGCGTCGCCGCGGTCAGCGTCAAGGAGGAGCTCCTTGAGCTGCTGGCGCTCTGGGGGGACGAGGGAGGTAGCGGATTCTGCGCCGGCGCCGGTGACGGGGGCGGCGGCGTCGGAGTCAGTGGAGGGCGGGTGGATGGCTGTACGGATTAGGCGGGCTTGCAGCTCTGTGATGTCGTTTTTGGCGACGTATAGACCGACCACGTAGACTTGGATTGAGAGGAAGGAGACGGTGCGGATTCCCAGGCCTAGGAGCTGGTATTCTTCGCCTGCGGAGGGGGAGAGCTCGTCGCCTTCTTGTTTGCCTTCTGTTTGGGTCGGGGAGGGGAGGCGGATTGTGCTGGGGAAGTAGGGGATGGTGCTTGTTCCTGTTGGGACTTGTTCGAGGCCGTCTTGGCCTTGGATGGTGATTACCGAGGGGCCGCCGTTGGTGAAGCCTGGGGGTCCGTCCATTTGGAGGCTGCTGCTGCTGGATGAGGGGGAGCTTTGCTTTTTGCTTTCGATTTCTTCGAGGCCGAAGAGGTCCAGCTTGATTGTGCCGTAGAGACCGGCTGCGCAGGTGATTATGCCTGCGGCGGAGAGAAGCATTTTTCGCTGAGCATTAGAGGCGTGCTGCAGGTCTGCTGCAGCGGATGCACGGCGGAGCGGGTTCTTGGTTGCATTTTGGCGGATGGAGGTGGTTGAGAGGTGTCGGGTGGTTAGGCGTGCGGTGCGAAATTGTTGCCGGGTGAAAGATTGGCAGGCTCGCCAGGGGTTATGGCGTAGAGTGGAGGCCATTTTGGAGGTTTGGTTGATGAGGAATGGAGAAGGCAGGATTGGCGGTTGGGGACGGATGTCCTTCCTAGTGTGGGGATTACGTCTCCAGTTCATAGTTCGCCAGTTTGCATACCTCTAACAACATCCATCGTATACTACTTTCACAATATACAACTAGATTGTTAGAATGATTCAAGAGATAATTGGTATAAAAACAATTACAGCACAAGGGCTTATCATAACAATGAGACAGAAAATGTACAAATTCAAGAAATACGCCCTCCGCTCCCTTTCTCCCAATCATCCTCTTCCTTCTTCAGTACTCGATGGTTTGTGCCACTACCACTGTTCTTCTCCGGGGCCTATTGTCTGAAAGCATGAAGCTCACTATAAGCACCACCAATAGATGGTGATCATTACGTACTTGGCCTCCTTGCACTGATATTCAGTGTATGGGATTATTTGCATTCACAATCAGAATCCGAGGGCTCTAACTTACGCCGAGGAGACTGGTGGGCGAACAGTGTTGCCACCACTATCACCAATGAAGCCACTCAACCGGCGATTTATGATTGCTTCTTGGGAAAGCAGGGGCAAAACGAGTCTTCTGGCTTCCTTCTTTTTGTTCTGCTGAGGGCATTCGGTCTTGCATCAGTGGCCCAAACTCTCAGCATTCGTTCAAATTTTCTCAGAGGTCTTTCAGTACGTCTTTCTACTGGACTTTCTATTGGACTTTTTTTACATACTCGGAGTCTTCTTCCAGTCCCCTTTAAATTGTGCATATGGAGTGCCTTGGCATCTCGTGAGCATTGTGGCAACAAAATACTTTCGAAACAAGTCGTTTCTAGATTTTGTGGACACAAGGTATAATATGAAATTGGATTGATTCAGCCTAGAAGGAAAGTCTCACAAGGCTGAGCCTCAATTCTCATATAAAAATGATACTATTGTCCCAACTCCCAAGGCCCGGCTTGAAACTTCAATCCTTCACCCTGGTCTGGTGCAACAGGTGCTAGAAGAGAGAGTCAGACCATGATTACCTTCTGATCTCACACACCATGCCATATCTTCTAAAGTCCTCTCATCTTCTCTTATTTATCCAAAATTCTATCCAATTGTATACAGTGTGAATCCTCAACGCTATACTTCGTGCCCCACCGTTCAAGCCCCACCCCCCACATGGAAATGATATAATCGTCTGAACCCTCAAACTCCCACTCTTCACTTGCAATCCCCCTACAAACATCTTGAATACAAAAAAATGCCAGAAGAGATAGTCAAACCAGCCTTCGCAGGCCGCGATCGCCCTCTCATCTCACACGGCGTTCCATACCCAGAAGCTGCCTCTCGCCATCTGCGCGAGTCATTCCAAGCTTCCCGCGTCTATGTCATCTGCTCGGGGACATTGGGGCGGACCACGGATGTCATGAAACGCCTGTCAGACGCTTTGGGGCAGATGCTAGTTGGCCATCGGATAGGCATGACAAGCCATACTCTGTGGTCGGAAGTTTTGCAAATCACAGAAGAAGCTCGGGTCGTTGACGCAGATGCGATCCTGACCGTGGGAGCGGGTAGCCTGACTGACGGGGCCAAGATCGTTGCATTGGTCAGTATAAATTTTCTTGCATGTTCAGGCTCCATTACAGTCAGATATTTCTCGTCTATTTCTTCCTCGGACAATGATGTACAAACCTTGACGCAAAGCCTAACCTCTTCTCCAGGCCCTCGCAAACGATATCTACACCCCAGAAGAGCTCGAAACCCTTGCACAGGGCCCCAATAAGCGAGCAAACATCAAAGCGCCATCAATCCCTATTATCTCCGTACCGACCTCGCTCTCTGCTGGTGAATACTCAAATTTCGCAGGTGGCACAGAAGACAATTCAAAGCGTAAATACAGCTTCCAGCATCCTACTCGCGGCCCCCAGCTAGTCATATTCGACCCGGAGCTCGTGAAATCCACACCGGATTCGATCTGGCTCAGCACTGGCGTACGCGCGATTGACCACTGCGTCGAGTCTCTATGTGCTATAGAAGGCACCACCCCCGAGTCAGATGAACTGGCTAGGCGTGCATTGAGCTTGCTAGTCCCTGGCCTTTTGCGCTGCAAAAAAAGTCGCGAAGACCGCGAGGCACATTTGCAATGTCAGCTTGGGTCGGTTGATGCGATGGCGGCTTGTACCGGTGGGTCTATCGAATTAGGTGCTAGTCATGGGATAGGGCATCAGGTATGTGGATTTCTTACTACTTTGGTTTCAGCAGGCGTCTTGGTTGTCCAGGAGTTTTATTAACATTCATGTAGCTCGGACCGCTGGGTGTCGGCCACGGCGAAACGAGTTGCATTCTTCTCCCCGCTGTTTGTAAGTTCAATGCAAAGTATAACGCCAACCGTGAGCAGCAAAATTATGTACGCCAATTCTTGAATCGAGATCCTGCTGTGTCGGAAGTTTTACGTGCTCGCTCGGTCGATGAAACGGAATCGGACTTGGGTGATGTTTTGGATGCCCTCTTTCGCGAACTGGGAATGCCTCGATCTTTGAGTGATGTTCACGTAGGCCGCGACAAGCTCGATGAATTGGCGGCGAATAGTCTGCATGATCGTTGGTGCAAGTCAAATCCGGTTCCACTCACGGAAAAGTCTCAAGTTTTGGAGATTTTGGAGATGGTAGTCTGAATATCAAACTCATACATTACATTCCAGTCTAACAACCAATCTATACCATTTGAATGACTACCTGCTCCCCAGATCTCTTGTAACCCTCTTCAATACTATCCTCCAACCTAACCCTCCTAAACGAACCCTCATCCTGAGCACGCAGCAACCCATCCCCAAACCACCCCTCAAGGAACCGCAAAAGGCCCGCCGCATCTTCAATCGACAAACTAACAGAATTACAGCCAACTAGAGTAATCTCCTTCCGATAAGCCTGGAAAACATCAAACGCCAACATCTTACTCGCCTCCCCCTTGGCGCCGCAATCCACGCATACCGCCCCTTCTGCGCCAACAGCTCAACCGCAGCGCCCATCAGCCCCAAATCCCCAACAGTATCAACAACAACATCCACGCCCCGTCCACTGGTCAGCACCCCAATCCTAGCAACAAGCTCCTTGACAGGCTCACCCCCAGAAAGAACAATATCCGGTTCTGCCTCCACCCGCCTTGCAGCAGTCACCACCCGTTTACACCCCATAGCCCTTGCAATCTGCACAGCAGCCGACCCAACAGCCCCAGTAGACCCAAGGACAAGCACGATATCAGACGGCGAAACCATCGCCCGGCGCAAACACACCAGCGCCGTGGTAAACGGCACGCCGACAGTCGCGGCCTGCGCCATCGATAGCGTGGCTGGTTTCTCGACCAGTGCGGCCTGCGGCACGAGGCAGTACTCTGCGTGTGGACCGTCAAGATTAAAGCCTAGACTTGCGCCGCTGGTGCCGTAGACTGCTTTGCCGACCCAGTACGCGGAGACTGGGTTTGTGGCGATCACTTCGCCTGCGAAGTCACGACCTGGGATGCGTGGGTGTGTAGTTTTCGGGAAGAGGCCTTGCGCATTCAGTCTGTCTGAGGGGTGGATGCAGGCATAGTGGACTTTTATTAGGGCTTGGCCTGGTTTCGGGGTTGGGATTGGGAGGGTGGTTAGGGTTAGGGTTTGGGTGGTGGTCATTTGGAGGGCTTTCATTGTGGCCATTGCGGTGGTGAGACCTCTTTATGAGATTGTTTTGAGATGGTGGTGAGAGTGAGGATCATCAAGATATGGATGGGGCATTTGCGATTTATATGAAACTGGCTCTGTTGATCTGTATAGATGCGGTGGCGGCCCGCGGCCCGCGCGGGCCCTGCGGGAGACATATACTCCTAATTACTGATCTTGGCCTGAATTGATCATATTACTGGGACTAGGCTGGATATTTATGACAAAACAAGCCGAGAGAAACCCAAATTCTCCCTATTTCAAACGATTGTCGATTGAGACAATACTGTGTTGCTCAGTATCTCTCTAGGATCAGCAACTACACGGGTAAGCGATCAAGAACATCATGACCACTCACAATATCAAATTAACGGACTATCTACCCAAGAACAAAACACTCCAAAATGACACTCAAAGAAACCCCCCTCGACAGAATCCAAGACCTCGAACACCAAAAGCCACCACCTCAACCCCCGACCAAAGAAGCAGCCTTCATCTTCGTCGTCTGCGCAGCCCAACTAATGACTCAAGCGGGCCTATCCCTCTCTATAGCCCCAATTCAACAGATAAGCAGCACCTTCAACACGACGCCACACAACCTCACCTGGGCATCCGCAGCATACAGCCTCTCAGTGGGAACCTTCATCCTCGTCTCCGGCCGACTGGGCGATACCTACGGCCACCGGCTCCTGTTTATAATTGGATTCCTCTGGTTTGGGCTGTGGTCTGTTCTGGGCGGATTTGCTGCGTGGTCGAATGCGGTTTTCTTCGACTGTTGTCGGGCGTTGCAGGGTATTGGGCCCGCGCTGCTTTTGCCTAATGCCGTGGCCATTTTGGGGAGGACGTATCCGCCTGGCTTGAGGAAAGATATGGTGTTTTGTCTGTTTGGGGCTACGGCGCCGGGCGGGTTTACGCTTGGCGCGACGTTTTGTTCATTACTTGCTGAGAGGGTTTGGTGGCCTTGGGGGTATTGGGTTATGGGAATTGCGTGCTTTGGGTTTGCGGTGCTTGGGTTAGTGGTAATTCCTGCGGATGAGGGTGTGGGAGAGGATGTGGGGAGGGAAGATATTTCGAATTTTGAACGGCTGGATGGGTTCGGCGCTATCACTGGGGTTAGTGGGCTTGTGCTTGTTAACTTTGCGTGGAACCAGGCTTGTGTTGTTGGGTGGAGGGTGCCATATACCTATGTTCTTCTAATTGTGGGGATTCTCTTCCTTGTTCTGTTTCTGTTTGCCGAGCGCAGGGCAGCCTGTCCTCTGTTGCCTAGCTCAGTGTTCAAGGGCGAGGTTGGTTGGGTATTGGGATGCATCGCGGCAGGATGGTCCAGTTTCGGGATTTTAGTATTCTATTACTACAATTTCCTCGAGGAAATCGAGCATAATAGTGGACTTTTGGTGACAGCCAAATGGGCTGGGGCGTCTTTTTCTGGCGCAACTGCTGCTGCGGTGACTGGCTTCCTGTTGAGTCGGGTACCACCGAGCGTGATTATGCTTGCTGCAATGCTGGCTTTCACAACAGGCTTGTCGCTGTTGGCTACTATACCACCTGGCCAGGTGTACTGGGCCAATGCATTTTTGATCATGCTAATCACTCCTTGGGGGATGTAAGTTGTTCAGATTATATGACAGTGTTGGAAGATTTCCGACTGACAAAAACAGGGACATGTCATTTCCATCTGGCACCTTGATCCTGAGTAATTCTATGCCGCGTGAGCACCAAGGAGTGGCAGGTTCGCTGGTGAACACGGTTGTCAACTATTCCATTTCGCTCGGTCTCGGATTCGCGGGTACAGCTGAGAGATATGTGGACCCTGATGGATCTGACATCCTCAAGGGATATCGAGCAGCCTCCTATATGGGAGTAAGCTTGGCAGGGCTGGGATCTGTAATTGCCATTTGCTTCACAATCGTAACTTGGAGGAAGTCCAGAAGGAGCTCGGAATGAGCAGGAAAATTTGCTCATAATAGTACGCCAGGATGTACATAATATTGATTTAATTGAAGAAGTCCATATCCAACAAGTATTCCATATCAGAAGATCGCTGGAGGTACGAAAATGGACCGGAAAATTCCAAGTCCTGTAGCTGTAGAATTTCACTGTCAGCAACCGCATCATGTGTGGTACCGGCGATCCTCTCCAGTATCTCAATGCCTTTGCGCCTTTTATCCAACGAGGCTCGCACGAGATCGCGAGCAGTAGTAAGAGCTTCATTTGCAAGGTGTGTGTTCAGGTGGTCAACAATCACCTCCAATGCGTCCATGGCCTCAGAAAGATTCGCGACACTTGAATGAGTATCGATGACCAAAAGAACACAGACAAATTGGAACACAGTGCTGATGACATTCCACCAAGGCTGATTTTGGCTTGTCAGTGTTCTTGCCGCAGGAAGAGCAGACATCCCTGTAGAGATCACCTCGTCAAGCAGACTCTGTCGTAGATTTGGTTTTAACAGACGGAGACGGCGGTATACAGAGAATGTCAGATCCGCTCGGACTAGTAAAAGGAAATCATGATTAACAGACGTCTCTGTTAAATCCCTTAAAGCGCATGATAGTTCCTGTATGGTCACGGCGGGGTCTGTGGCCTTTGAAGAGAGAGGAATAGCCTGGACAAGACTACACAACTGGGGCGTAAAATCCCCCTCTCGAGTTGAAAAAGGCAGAGACTCTTGAGTTGCAAAACCGAGGTCCATGACAGACCTCCCATACTCATAAGCTATGACAACATGCAAGCAATGAGCCACCCATGCCGTTCTCTTGACAATATCAGACATTTCCTGCGTGGAGCCTTCCACGCCCCTGCTGGTAGCCAGCATAACAAACTGCGGCGCCTGATGCAGTCCCGTCGCCTCAACGAGATGCATCATCGTGCAGCTACAAATCCAAGCGACGTGCGGTCGAGTCGTCGCGCGGATATATATTGTTCGCAGAATCCACGCTGCTACCTGGTCAATATATGGAAAGCGGCCAACGACCGGATCCTCTAATGTCTCTTTAGCATGCAGCGTTAGCCACATTTCCTCTTCCTGTCCTAGCGAGCCATTGAACAAGGAAGTCAATGCAGCCAATCCGCTGATAATGGCTTCGAAGGCAGGAGATTGCGGCTGGCCATACCAGTGTTTCTCGCATCGTTCATAGAGATGATCTTTATCCAAGAAACCAAATATAGGATGGATCATTGTAAAGAAGAAATCTAGTTGACTTCGTATTGTATTCCACGATATCCGGCCAGCCAGCTGGAATCTTGACGAGGAACCAGGTTCTTTCCTGATTCCAGTGTGGTAGGCAAAGGAATGTAGTCGCGGGGGTTTGGTAGCCTGCAACTCCAAGCCCACAGATAGTGGGAATGCGACGCATGAGTACCTTCCGACGTATCGTGACTTGTTGGAGTCGAGGATCCCCGAGGGAGTGGATGCAGCGTTTTGCTCGGGACCCTGGGACTCGGATGACACGCGGGCAGCTTTGGGTGCCTGGGGCGAGGATACATCTTCTGGTGCGAGTGAACGTTTTCTATTCGCGTGCACTCCTTGTGTTGAATTATAGTGGCAATCATAGCCGTATCCTGTACAGGTGTTGCATGGAAGTTTGCCGTCGCATTTCCTCTTGCGCTGGCGACAGGCAATACATGCTCGACTTGACCGCTGCCGCACTGGGCCTGAAGGCATTGAAACAGCGTTCTTCAGATTTGACATTCAGATCACATATGGGTTGATTGTAGGGGTAATAGGTGATCCAAGCGTGGAGACTCGAAATTGGCCCCACATTTTATATGCCAAGGAATGAATGTACTGGAAACTTCAATTCAAGGTCCCTATGTGGCCAATCTGGAGAACAATGGCGGATTTTCTTACATGAATATATATCTATTACAGGACTTGAAGTGTCACAGTCTATATTTTATAATACATAATGAAATTTAGAAGTGGAATGGCACTTTCCAAGCTTCTTCTACATAGTAGAGATATATCTCTATGAGCCCAATGGCAACAACCTGAGATAAATCTACATATAATTCGCAGATATATACGTATGTACACCCATATATAACAACACAATCCCATACCCCGTAACAACCAAGTAAAATTGCGTCAACGGATAAATTCTTTTAACATTGCATTGCTAAGCAAGACCCCCACACCCCACATCTATATAAATTCCGTCTGCACATCAACTCTCCAACATAATCACACCTCCGCAAATACAAAATGTCTCTCGCAAAGAACATCCTCCTCTTCGGTGCAACAGGAAACATCGGCTCCTTCATCCTGGACGCCCTTCTCTCCGCCCGCTCCCAATTCACCCGCATTGCAATCTTCACTTCCCCGCACACAGCACAAACCAAAGCCAATCAACTCTCCAAACTAAAGCAGCAAGGTGTAGAAGTGATAACAGGCAACATCGAAGACGAAGAAGCAGTCAAGGCCGCATACGCAGGTATGTATTAACATATAACCATAACCATCTAACCGCCCGTCCAAACAAATCCTATGTCAACATCACGGCAAATGACCCCAATTAGTATGTAGCTAACAGCGAAAGGAATCGACACCGTAATCTCAGCACTGGGACGCGATACCCTGGCACAGCAAATCCCTCTCATCCGCCTCGCAGCCGCTAGCAAGGACGTGAGATGGTTCCTGCCGTCCGAGTATGGCACGGACATCAAGTACGGCCCTGCTTCTGCGAATGAGAAGCCCCACCAGCAGAAGCTGAAGGTGCGCACTTATCTCGAGGATGAGGTTTCCCGCGATGACCTGACCTTTTCGTATGTTGTTACTGGGCCGTTCGCGGAGATGTATCTGCATGTGGTGCCGGGGCTTGAGGAGGCCGGTGGATGGGATGTTAAAAGGCGGAAGGCGATTTTGTTACAAGGGAAGGACATTAGTTTGACGACTATGAAAGAGTGAGATTTCTTTTCTTTCGAGGTTTCCAGAGGATCGTGAGATGGTTGCTGACTTTACTATGTAGTGTTGGGACTCTTGTTCTGAATACCCTACTTCATGCTACGGCCGAGACGCGTAATGCTGCGCTGTGTGTCAATTCGTTTACTACTACGCCTGAGAAGATTCAGGCGGAGTTTGAGCGCCAGCTTGGTGGGCAGGCGTGGGATGTTTCTCAGACCTCGTTGGCGAGGCTGCGGGAATTGGAAGCTGCGGCTTGGGATGATGGAAAGCCGGCTGCTACGGTGTTGACTCTGAGACGGATTTGGACTGAGGGCGGCACGTTATATGAGAAGAGGGCCAACAGTCTGATAGGAGAGCCTAAGGTGATGGGGTTGGAGGAGGTTGTTGCGAATGAAATTGCGAGAGTGGCGAATTTGTAGATAGCTCTTGTTTTATCCAGGTAGTCACGTTGCAATTCCGAGACCTTGGAGGGCAAAGTTTGAATATCTACATGGAATAAGTGCACGGCACTTGAACCAACGTCTAAAGCTCATGGCATTCGTACGTAGGAGATAGAGATTAACGAAACGTGTAGGGGCTCAGGTAACTTCAGATTTCACATGACTTGGGGAATGTTGGGGGAGATAATAAGAAAACGGGATAAAGCTCTGCCGGATATAAAACAAGAAGTCCGAGCTCTATTGGAAGTACTTGCGCACGCGTTCCTGGTTGTTCGGGTCGACGGAAGCCAGGATTTGGTCGGCGTTTGCACCAGTTGCGGCGACGAGCTGCTTGGCGGCGGCGGCCACCCGCACAGCAGTCTGGCCCTGCAAGGTAGCAGCCTCGAGTGCCTGCACGATGAAGCCGAAGACACGGTCAGCCTTGGCGAAGACGGCAGGGTTTTGTCTAGTGATAAATGTTAGCATCGAAACCCGAATAGGACAAGAAACCAAGGTGAGACATACTGTTCGATCAGCTGTGCGATGAAGGAGTAGGCGTAAGGAGCAGCCTCTTCATCGTATGTGATGGGCAAGGTCTCGATCCAGGTGGTCACGATATCCTGAGGAGCCGGGACCTTGGTAGCGTTGTAGTGTAGGATCTTAGCGATACTGGCGGAGGCGTTTTCGGTAGCGAAGACATTCTCCTCTGTGCGGGACTGCGCGTGCTGTGTGATCTGGAACAAGCTGGGCAGGCTGGCTGCGACAAAGTCACTCCAGGCGACACCGCCCTTCTGTGCGGCGACACCGACTCCATAAGCGGCGGCCTGACGGTTAGCGGCGTTTTCATCCTGCAGGCCGGAAGCCAAGGGCTGCATGATGTGATCCTTATAAGCCCACGATTCCTCGCCACAGAACTCGAGCACATCATCCATGATGCAGAGGGCCCACTGGCGTTGTGTGGGGTCCTGGCTCGAGATGAAAGCATCGTAGAAAGGAACCAGCTGTTGCCAGCTGGGCAGGAATGTGTTGCCCTGGTTCTTGAAGATGGTGTGGAAGGCTTTGTTCATATCGCTAAGCAGGTTCTGGTCGTCCTCGATAGCGTACTCGTAGTCCAAGTTATCTTCGTCACCATCCTCAAGCTCGGCCTGCTCTTCCAACCGTTGCTTCACGCGCATCTGGTAGTCCTCGAGTGTAGACTTGGCGGATTCAATGAAGGCCTGCAGATGCTGTGGAGTGAGGGAATTTCTTCCAACGACCTCCACCGACTCGTAGAAGCACTGGTACATCTCGGCCAGGGTGTCAACAGTCGGCTCGGCGCTCAGCACTTCAATGATCTTCTCAGCAACCTTAGTCCACATTTCAGCGAAGCCTGGTGACTGTGGCCCATGTGCCTTCTTGTAAGAGTTAAGCAGCTGTGGGATCAGCTTAGCAGCCGACACGCGGACGGGGTCGTGGAAGAAGAATGCAAGGCCAGGGACGGCGATCTTTTCCATGGTCTCCATGACGTAGGGCTCAAAGTTCTCCTCCAAAATTTGGGCGTAAATGGTGATGAGTTCAATGGCGGTGTTCTTGTCTTCAAGGGCACTGGTCTTGATACCGATGATCTTGCCCTTGAGAGGAACGAGCTCCCAGCCATCATCTTGCTCAACCTGCTCGATCTGGTCCTCGTCATCCAAAAGCTGGATGTCGGCCTTAGCAGCAGCAACGGTCAGAAGAGGAGGCATGACACCAGGGAGGTAGGGGACGAAGTCGCGCCCTAAGACACGGCACATGCGGCCCCAGCAGTGGAGGAGGTACTGTGATTGAGGATCGTCAGCATCGACGATGTTCTGCTGGATGTTGCCCAGAATTTGGACAAGGTTCAGGGCATCTTGGCCCATCTTCTCCTTGCCGACAGCCAGAGCAATCAACGTAGCACACTCCATAGCCTTGGCGCGCAAAAGGCGGTATTCCTTACCCTGCTCCTCTTGGAGCACGTTGAGCAGGAGGGGCATCAGGGTAGTGTAGTATTGATCGAAAGCGGCTTCAGCGGAATCGGCAATGGTGGCAATGGTGGACAGCGCTTGTTCCTGGAGGTAGCGCTTGGGGCTGCGCAGGAGGTCCAGAAGGTGGCTTAGAAGGTTTCCGAGATATGGCTCTAGGGTACTGCGCTCGGCCTCCTCGCAGAAGTTTACCAAAGCGGCAGCGGCATGGGACTGCACACGGGGCTCGGAAGAGGCAAGAACGGGAATAATGTTGGTGAGGACGATCTCGTGGTACTTCTCCTGCATGGTGCCGGCGAAGTCCGTACTCATTTGACCGAGAGCGTTGCAGCCAGCATAGCGAACTCGGGGGTGGGCATCCTGGAGGGCGGGAACAACAAGAGCCAGAACCTGATCCAGCTCACCAACCATAAGGTCGCGACATCCTTCAGAGATAGCGGAAATGGCCATCAAAGCGGCGTGACGATCGCGCCAATTGGTAGAGGACATCATGCGAGGAATCCAGGAGAATGCGGGTTGGAGGATGGCTTGTCCACCAAGCTTGTTGGCGAGACGATCCATACACTGCTCACCGGCGATGTGGTTAAGGTCGCTCTCTTCGGGTTCGAGCTGTAACCAGTTAGCTATATCCTCGTTCCGAAAGCAAGAGCCAAAATGCAACGCTGAAAACAAAAGATTCTTACATCCTCAGACGCGTTCCACTCCTCGGCGTCATCATCATCGGCACCGACATCAGTCATCAGACTCAGACACTGGGTGACCATTTCCTGGGCAAACTCGGGCTCCTTCTTGCACATTTTCGGGGCGTAGTCGGCAAAAGTAGCCATCAGCTCAAGGGCGTTTTGGCGGACCTGATCGCTGAGCTCCTTGTCGGCGATAACACTAATGCTGAACTTCACAAGGTTGTTGAACATGACCTTAAACATCTTCGGGCTGATTTCCGCCAATTCGATGAGTGCGAGCAGCGCGGAGGAGAGCTCATCGCTTTCAGATGACTCTTTTAGTGGAGGCAGGATGTTGAGGAGATCGGGCATGAGGCCAAAGAATTTGGCATGGGACTTTTGGAGATGAACCGGAACAAAGAAGCAAAAGCTTCCATAGCGGAGATCCGCACCTAAAAGCAGGGTCAAAACTATGCTCAAAATGTTCAGCATAACCAGATTATGACATACCGCAATGTTGTCATCCTTGAAGCCCTTACCGAAGACCTCAATGACGGCGTCTTCGTGCTGTCTTTCGATGATACCGGGAGTGGTCGTAAAGACGCGGAATGCGGTTTCACGCAGGCCCGATTCGGCGCTCTGGCTTGCTTCGAACAGAACACCGAGGAGTTCAGGCCACTGTTCGCCTATTATGACAGATAGAAGGTCAGCACCACAAACTCTCATTTCGCAGAGTCCGGTTCGAATCGCATACCACTGTCGGTGTATTGGCGGGCAACCTCAGCCAATGCGTCTCCAATCTTTTTGCGGACGTCGTTGACAGCCTCGCTGCTCAAGCAGCCGACCAGCTTCTCGCGGATGGCAATACGCTGCTCATTGGGAAGGCTGGAGAACACCTCCTTGGCATCGCCCGAAGCGGGATCCTTGCGGGTTTTGGTTGCGATTCTTCTGAAAAGGACAGCGGCAAAGGCACGAGTCTATCCATGGCAGTTGCCCATCAGTATTTCTTCTCAACTGAAACCAAGGTCTGGCTAGTTCTGTGCAGAACCCTTGCAAGCCACCACACCCCTGGGGTGGAAAGTCGAGCAACTTACTATTGTGTCCTCTGCGCCTCCAAGCTGTTCGGCCAATCCCATAAGCAGGACATCTGGTCGGTTTTGAACCCAGTCATTATTGAGTTGGTCTTCCGCTTGGGATCTGACGGCGTTGTCGGGAGTGCTCAGAGCGCGGAGCAGCTGAGAAAGCGCGGTGTGGACCTCGGGAGGTAGGAGGGACATGATGGCTCTGTTCCCAAGTTCCAGACGATCCAAGCAGCCCAGTTCTTTCAACCCTCGTAGATGTAGTTTGGTGGGGTGGGTGGAAGAAGGGAGGAGTTTTGTTTTTGGTGGGGCGGGGAGGAAGGGAAAAAAGAAGAATTTCTGATTAGGAGAGCGATAGGGCCCTTGAAGAATGTCAGTTCTGTCACAACACCACTTTGAAAGAAAATGCGGAGGTCATGCAGATATTTGAATTCTCAAGGGTTTCGATGATATCTGTCGTAATTGTTAAACATATGAAGGTTATCATAATCTTCAATTCGGGCCCAAAGTCCAAAAAAGATCACTTTAAGGCAATCAGGCGACTACGCTATACGCTAACTATATTCGAGTACATACTGACTAACTATACCATACTGTACTAAATCATACTATACATGTTTAGAAGTTAACTATACTAGGAAAGAGATAGCTGCTATATACCTGCCATTGGAGGAGGATCAACAAGAGACTGAATAATGTCAGGAAAGACCCGGAGAAAAGACTGGTAGAAAGACATATATCGCCATAATTTCTACTCGAAATATGTCAGAACTAACTCCCTCAGGCTTTGAATATGTTTCAGACCAAGGCCATGAAAGACATGAATCTATACCCAAGCACTTGAGCTTATGTGAATCCCTACATATGTAAGTATCACCGGTCTTTATTCATGGACTTGCCTTGCCGTCTGTGCAAATCTTCGTGCAAATAATCAATTCTGGGGAAATCTATCAACAAAATATTTGCATTGAAGGCTAAATTGGGGCCGCAACTGTTCATAAACACGAACAGTGGTATCTGGACGCGACACGAAATATCGATATTAAAAAAAACGGGTATACAACACTTCTGACCACGTTTTCTCGAACTTGAGGAGCAAGTTGAGTGGGGCAAAAAGGAAAGTATTTAAGTGAGAAAAAGACGGCTTCGGGGAATAGACGAGAAGGAATTTTAACGACCGCTGGGGCGGCTGAGTATGAATACACCTGCAATGACTGCGGCCAAGGTGACAATGGCACCAGGGAGGAGCAAGTCATTGGGGACACCAGCAATCAATTGCTCATCGGGGGAGTGAGAGGGCGCGGCTTGTTGTTGAGGGGGAAGGGCCTTGACCACGGGGGATTCCGGTGCCTTTTCTTCAACAACACTTTGTTCCTCAACTGGAGTCATAATCTTGACCGGCTGAGGTTCAACAGTGGCGGGGATAGGTGGCTGAGAAGGATCATGGACAAACAAGTCGACCTTCTCGCGGTGAGTGCGGCGGGCAAGGTCGATGGCATCAGTCATATCCTGGTCAGTGGTGATGGAGACAGTATCACCCTCATTGTCCATGTAGCTGAGGGCGTATCCGGTGTTGCTTAGGCGGCCCTCCTCAACAGTGGCCTCGCCACCAACAGCATCGACTTCCTTGCCAAGCTTCGCTGTGACTTGCGACACCAGGTCGGTCACACCGTTGGTGGTAAGGACGTTCACACGATGAACTCGGCCACTGGGGGCCTTGAACTTAAAGGGGAAAGGAGTAGGAGCAGCCGGCTCGGTGTGGTGCTGGGAGGCAATCTCAGAGTGCTCGTCACCGTGGTGAGACGCGGAGTCGTTGGGGAGAAGACTGTTGTCGTAGCCTGAGCGGGCGATATCAGGGCTCATCACTGAGCGGTGCGGTTGCTGGCTCTGGCTGCCGGAGACCATAGAGTCCGACTCGTGGTCCATCGAAAGCCAGAACTTATTCCATGCGGGACCCTCGTCATCTTGAGTTGACATGGTGTTGATCTGTTCAAGGGTAGCGTAGGTGAGCTTCAAAACATCAACCATGCCGACAATCTCACCACCCTCGTTCATGACGGGCAGGTTAAGGTAGTGGCCATCGTGCATCTTGCGAAGCGCGGCTTGGATGCTCATGTCCGAAGGGGCGAAATCAGGGTGAGGAGTCATGACGCGGACCACACTGCAGGTGGCAGGGTCAAGACCGGGGGCGATGACACGAAGAACGATATCCTTACTAGTAAAGATACCGGTGATGGAGCCCTGGTCCTGGACCAGCAGGGCAGTGGTGTGGTTCTCCTTCATGAGAGCTGCAGCGTCCTTGACGGTGGTGCGGACAGACACCGTGACGGGGGGCATGCCATCCAAAACACTCTCAAGAGTCGGACCGGACATCTTAGATCGCAGAGCCTCCACATATTGAATGACCTGCTGGGGCTGGCTGGAGCCGAGCTCGGTCTGCACACCTTCCAGTGCATCATATAGTTTGCGAGAAGAGCTGTACGCACGTTCCAGCTTCTCCATAGCATCATAGAAGCACTTGGTGATATCCAAAACACCAGAAATATCTTGGTTCTCATCCATGACCGGCAAGTGTCTGAAACCCTTTCGCACCATCAGGTCGAGCGCATCGGTAGCGCTAGTGTCGGTTCTCGCGCACAGTGGGTTCTTGGTCATAATCTCGGCGACAGAGACCTCTCGCGCCTTCAGGCCCATTCCGATAACACGGAATGCCAGATCCTTCGCGGTGAAAATACCCGCAATGCGCTCATTGTCGTCGGTCACCAGCACACAGTCCTCTCTCTTGGCGGCCATAAGCTGGGCGGCCTCTGCGATGCTCAGGCCGGGCTTGATCTGCAGAGCCTGACTGGGCTTCAGGGCGAGTACGGTGCCGGGCGGGGCCTTGCGGGAGTTTCTTGATTTGGCTGGGACGTTCCTCTTTTTGTTGAGGTCGGCCTCCATCTTACGGCGGATGGCCTTGTGTCGGTGTTAGTTGAGATCAACAACAGCCCATTTTGCGACCATGACGTACCTCATCACGCTTCGACTGGTTCTGTCGTTGTCTGCTACTGGCGGCGCTCATTGTACCACTTCCAACGTCACTTGAAGGGGTGTTGTTGATTGTAGCAGAAGATTCTGGTCTGGGACGGGGGATATGGGAAGCGCTAGGATCATTTCCGAAGTCGGGCAGCCTCCCTCTCCCGATCGTCTTATTGGGCGTTCCCCGAAAAGTTCCTGTAGCCGACATAGTAATGCCAAAAGGGGGGGAAACTCAATAATAATTTGAGAGAATGGAAGGGACAAGACACAAACAAGACAAGGATGTCAAGTTCTGAGACTGGTATGAGAAAAAAAAGCAAGGAGAATTCTTTGGGAAGGAGAAAAAAAGGTCAGTCAATAGTCGATCCCGACAGGGGTGTTTCTGTCGTTAGTCGATGAGGAGCCGTAAACACTGACCATTGTACGGTACGCACCGGGGGCACTAGTCCTAATTCTTACTAGTGAATGTGGACTTGCTCGTGACCGTCTTTTCTTCACGTGATGAGATTTTGACACCTATTATTCAAGGCTGTAAGGCACCAATCCCGTGACCCCATCTCGCTTAAGGGCTTAGGGCTACCCGCACAACAGCAATCCAATCCATCCCGAAAGAGACTTTGTGTGAGCGAGCTTCGACAACCCACTCCCGACAAGTCAACTGTACGCTACCTACCCCCCTTTCATCTAGTGATCAATACCTGACCACCAACAGAACAAACCGTCAAAATGGTCAAGAAGAGGGCGAACAAGTAAGACCAACCACTCCCCATATCGGCGAAGCAGTATCCCATTCGACAACCTCCGCAATGACGACAAATGCGCACACGGCAACACATTACGAAAGACATTGAATAAAATAACACAATAACACGCATATTGCCGGACGAGGAGAATGGGAGACTGGATTCAAACCCGATTTGAACTTTAGGGGCAACATAACTAATAGATTCTCTAGCGGTCGCAACAAGAACGGCCGCGGCCACGTCAAGCCCGTGCGCTGCTCCAACTGCGCCCGCTGCGTTCCCAAGGACAAGGCCATCAAGCGCTTCACCATCCGCAACATGGTCGAGTCCGCTGCCATCCGTACGTGAACCCTACCGACACTCCGAATATACATCACAAAATCCCAGATTCCATGAGACTGCGGATCAATCCGAGCCCACACGAAACAATCGAACTAACAATGCTCGCTTTACAGGTGATATCTCTGAGGCCTCCGTCTTCGCTGAGTACTCTGTCCCCAAGATGTACCTCAAGCTCCAGTACTGTGTGTCCTGCGCTATCCACGGAAAGATCGTCCGGTACGTTCCTATTTACAGCTATGACTTTCCAATTCGCATATACTGATTCCTCGCCTACAGTGTTCGCTCCCGCGAAGGCCGCCGCAACCGTGCTCCCCCCCCCCGCATTCGCTTCAACAAGGATGGCAAGAAGCTCCAGCCCCCTTCTGCCGCCAAGGCTTTGTAAGGAGATGAATGTCGCATGACGAACAAAATAAAATGGAACTAGTTTGAAATGAATTATTTTATTTTGTCTTCACTCTTCGCATTGGTGTTCTTGTCGACCGGATCGCAGGGGTGATGCTCGGTCCCCAATATGCCGGCCATGCTCCTACACTGAGGATGAAAAAGACGGCACCATTTGTCCGATGAAGACAAATTGGGCGTCCCTTTGGCATTGTTATGTTTATGAGCCTGTTGGAAGACGGCTTGTTATGACTGGGAGGAAGGATGGTTCAAGTCCTACTAAGGACTTAGAAAATATCAAAAATTCCTACAAAACATGTTTGGATGACGTAGAGCCGTAAAGCAGTGTCTTGTCTGTACATGTGGGTATCTGCTAGTTAGGTACAGAATTCATGGGTATAGGTAGCCCTTCTCGAAATAATTTCCATACATGTCCACCATTCCAGTCCGCATCTGGGGCATTGGGTTCCGCACAATCTTTACCTCTCCCTTCCAATAACCTTCCACAAAATTGGCCAAGGAGATATGGGACGATGGAGTCAGAAGACTAGAAACACCCGAGCTAGTAGTGCTCCGCCGCCCTCTCTCGCGTCGAACCACCTGTTCGTATTCAGCCTTCTTCTCACGACGGAACGCCGCAAGCTCTGCGACAAGGTCCAACGTCTGGACCTGGGGCTGCTTTTGCGGCGGACTCGGGGATATCGCGTTTCTTGGTAAAGGATAACGTCCAGAATCAGGGGAGTTAGGTGAAAGAGTCGTATCACCATCTGGCATCAGCGAGACCTTCTCGTTAAGCGCAGCCATCGGGAAGTATTTGCCAGGGTCATTCTCCGGGACTCCACATTCTTCTTCTCCAAAGAAACTGAAATCATTGGTAGCTGCAGACCAAAGATTCTCCGAGTCGCGGTCCCCGGTGCTCGAATGACCCGTGGCGTTGTATTGGTTTCCTGGTTTCCATGAAGTAAGTTTAGAGGTATCAACAGGTGTAATTTCAAGGACTAAACGCCGTAAACCGAAAATTGATCGAGATCTGTGTTGCTCAGCTTGCATGCGAGCTTGGCCTGGTGGGAGGGAGTAATCCGATCCGGCCTGTAGTGTTGCTAGTAAAGCTTCATTGGAACAACCAGTGATAAACCTTTTGAGGGCAGGAATTATAGACGAGTTGGGCGCCACATGTGAGGGTACATCTGTCAAAACCAATGTTTCCATATGAGGGATATGTGATGGGTGCAGATAGGGAAATCGGCTTTCTTTCCCTCCTTGTATTGGTATTGATTGACTGCGTGGTCTTTTCGCGAGTAGCTGTTGTATCTTCTCTGCGCGAGGGTCATTCATTGATACCGGGGAGTTACATCGCAGCGTTGTCCTAAGGGAGGAGTCTGTGGCGAGTGTGTCGCAGTCTGACGACGTTGAAATAGAAAGCAAGGTAAATGTTCTCGATACGCCAGCAATCCTTCTATCGGGGATGTTGTGTACCACTTCCGGAGCGAAGGCCGATCCACGTCTAACATATGGTGAGGGCTCATCTGGTGTCAACAGTTGGGGTGTCTGAGGTACATTCACTGCTGATGTTGAGCTCGTGGAATCAGTCATCGATGTATCTGCAAGTTCAAATACAGGTCGTGTGTCCTCGGGTAGCTCATAAACCTCTTGGGAGGTGTCCAATTCGAAATGCTCAACTGCACGTGGACTCTCTTGTCCAGAAAGTTCTGGTAGAAAGTCGACGGAAGATACCGCATCTTTCTCTGGCGGTTCGTTTGTAAGCACTTCATGGTGCGCTCGGAGGTATGCCAAGTTGTCTCCTGCAACCTTTCCCAATATCGGCACTAGCTTTTCGGCTCCAGGATATTTTTCCTTTCCAAAGTGATGGGTCTGGTGTGCCTTGTCGGGAGCACTGATGGTTCCAAAATCCAAAGCATGCAGGCGAGATGAAACCAAGAGACTCGCCACGGCTTCAACTGATATCTGATTGCCGGCGATATATAGATGCGTGATCCCACTATTTGGCAAATCTTCAACCCATGGGTGATATAAGACTGGTTGGGCTAGTAGCCTGGCAAACTGTTCATCCAAATCAGGGCGCTTGAAAAAGTCCGAGCCAGACTCGAGAATTGCATAATGAGAAAAGGGGTCCGGTGAGCCTCTCGCCTGTACGGGAGTTTGCTGTGAGTTCCTCCTTTCTGCGGGGAGAAAAGAGGCCTGTAGCAACGAGCGGACTGCCATGTCGGTAAGCATATTATCTCTTATGTCCAAACAACGGACCCGGCGCCCAATAACATTCGCTAAGAATTCAGCATCATTGTCCTTTAACCCGATGCCGCGCAATTTCAATACCCGGAGGAAAGGCATTCGGCGAAGTGTTGATAGCACATTACGGTCTCGTGCCGGAGTCGTATGTGAAAGATCCAGATAGGTCAATGCAGGGAACAAGAGTAACGTCTGTGCAAGGCTCGTTGCAGTTGTGTTGGGCTCCCGTTCGGCCAGCAACAGACGGATGTTATAATGGCTCGCTCTCTGGTGGTCTCCCAATGCTGTCATGGCATTGTGATCGAAGAAAGGCAATTTGGAAACCATCAGACACTGCAGACATGGTAGACATTCGAGAATGTCTCTTAGCCAACCTGGACGCGGCCCACCGTATATCTCTGAAAGAGCGGGTGGGAGATGAAGAGTATGCGTCAATGCCCGGACCTCTTCTCGGGCATATTTGAGTGTTCTTCGGAATCGTGTGAGAGCCACTAATGTGATTGGTCATCTAATTCCCCTATATCGACGGTCACCTATATATTGACTTACCGTAGACTGCATCGTTATCTTTACCAAAATGGGATGCAGGGTCGCCCCAAAGAAAAGGCATAAATAGACCATGCCATCTGTGGCAAACTAGAGATGCAGCGCATAGATCACTGGAGGGAATATAGCGTGCAATAATTGACCATGCATCTCTGTCTGTCGCATACTGATAAGATGGAGGAACGAGATCCATAACTTTCGTAAATTCACAATATTTTCGAAGTCATTAAAAGTTTCCTTGATCCTGTCAGATCTGCTGTTTTCGAGAAGACATCGTTGGAGATGTAGTGTAGACCAGACGAGGTCGGCCCCATCAGTTGCCCGCCCCGTGGACCCCGCCACATTGTATTTGTCCACTCTAATGCTACGCAATCGGGCGCTTTCTTGGCAACTGAATTGTTTTTGAACATTTATTATTTTACTGCAAAGGAGCTGGCTTTGCCAGCCATAAGCAACGCATGCACATGTGAAAGCATCGAACGCCAAGCCCGTCTCGAGCCGTTCACTGGCTATTCGCTCGTAACACTGCCCCTGTTTACTGTATGACTGAATGGCGCTTGCGATTCCTCAACCTGTCTCACGCTCCTTCCTCGACCGCGCACATATTTTTCCCAATCATCCTGCCTCGGTTGCTTCTGCCAATACATGTTGGTCCAACAGAGATGTCATCTCCTACCAGTGCCGGCGTCTTCCAGACACACCAACTCATCGAGAATCATAGCATCTTAATCCGAGATGAAATATACGGAGAGGAACTGGTCCATGAGCTAGCTCTCGTAGAGCTTCTTCAAAGCCCGGAGGTGCAGCGACTGCAAGGCATCTGCCAGCATGGAGTCACTGGATTCTTAGGCCTGACACCGCGAGTTACACGGCTCGAACATTCGGTCGGTGCATTTATACTCGTGCGAAGAGTTGGTGCCACGATTGAAGAACAAGTCGCTGCTCTTCTCCATGACATTTCTCATACCACCCTTAGTCACGTCATCGATCATGCCCTCTCTAAGCCTGGGGAAGGAAGCTATCACGAGGTACACAAGACACGGTATCTTAAGACGACGCGGCTGCCGGACATCCTCGCCAGACATAGGATCAACCAGAAGGTTTTTGAAGAAGAACTGTTCCCTTTAGTGGAGATGCCATCGCCTCAACTATGTGCCGATCGCTTAGATTATGCTTTACGCGACGCCGTCAGCTTCGGCAAGCTTACCATAGAAGACGCCAGAAGGGTCGTCGGCTCACTAAAGGCGTTTCCTAGTCCTACAGCGACCCGCCGTCTACTGGTTTTAGACGATCCCTATGTAGCGCTAATTCTTTCTCGCGCATACATCACTAGCGACAAAGATGTCTGGTCAAGTCCGGCCCACATCGACATGTATCAGCGGACGGGCCGGGTGATAGGCGAACTGGTAGAGGCAGGGTCTGTGGATGATAAGGTTTTGTGGCAAATGTCCGACATAGAATTTTGGACTCTGCTTCGTCAAGCAGCGAATCCTGAGCAGCTTCGCGCTATTGAGAGACTAGAAGAGGAAGGGATTCCAGAGGACAACGGACTACAACTACCACATTGCACTAAAATTCGCACTCTCGATCCAGACATTTGGCAAGGAGGAGAAAAGCAACCCGCACCGTTGTCGATAGTGTTGCCAACGTGGGGATCAGAGCGACAGCAGTACATTCTCAGTCGTAGTCAGCATCGATGATGACTATTGCATCGCAGATAGCTATGGCTGTCTGCAGGCGCTGATACAGAGTCTACAACTTGAACGATCCAAGAAAATTTAGATCTATCTAACTGCATAATTTCACACGATGTAATTTCTGCTCGAAAACCATAACAATGACGTCACCGAGAGAACTGTGTACGCACAATGGATGACCCATTTAGTAGAGACCAGTTGCTCTAACTCCACCCAAACCTGGGAAGCCAATTTGTTTCGAAAAAGCCTCCTGAAAAACAGGGTCACGTGGCAGTCCGAATCTAGCACACACGCCTTCCTCAACTAGATCCATCTTGCGTAGCCTGGCCTGAATTACGGCACAAGTATCAGCCCACGCACAAACAGTGCCCGCAAGACCTTCGAATAGAGCATAAGGCAGATCAGGCAAACGGTAGTCGTTGATGGAAGATGCAGGTGACATGTTGTATGGCTTTGTCTCACGAGCATGCAGCATGAAAGCCAGTGCCCTCGACAGGAAAAAGTCCCCAGTGAGCTTATGGCTTATCTCTGCATCCGGCAGAGCTGAGATCTCACTGCGTTGAAGATACGCTTCTTGGGCATCTTTCTTAATGTTAGAGTGGTACTCGAAGGAATCATGGAGTAGGAGCCAGGCCCATGCGTTCCCTGCAATACCATGGCATAGGCTGCCTCCCTTGGAGAGAAGGCCCTCTTCCCAGATACGTTCGGTGCCCAAGTAGATTGCTTGGTCCCAGGATGGATCCCAGCAGGTAAGGTTCAAGTCTTCGTTTTTCAAGGCAGTACCAAGGAGAATGAGCAACCCAGGGACTCCATGGCACAGTTGAACTAGCTCAGAAGGCTGCCCAAAGCTGAATGAGGTGGATGTTGTCGGGAGATGGCCATTTTTAGAGACAGAAAGCTGGCAAAGTGCGGTGATGGTATCGCCAATCACGGGGATGTAGTCTGTCAACTCTTCGGGCTTGCACGAAAGCAAGATAGTCAGAATGCCGGCTAGGGTCACAGATTAGCATTAGAACTTGTGAGCTTCATTGAACTGCTTGTACTCACTAATTCCATGAACACTAATCGACCAGTTAGTAATCTCAGACCCACTGATAGAAATTTAAATGCACTTACGCTCCAAAGCAATAATGTCCTTCCATCCATGCGTACATCAATGGATGTGCACCTTTTTCCCCATGTTTTTCGATATACTCTTTGGAACCTTGTTTCCCGGAATCGATAATCGCCCGAATCAGGTTGGGGACAGTCCCCAGCGCAGGCGATAGGGCCCTCTGAGTATCTTGGTCGAACTGGTGAGCGCGCACATTCAAAAGGACCCAAAGCAGTCCGGCTCGCCCATAAAGCATCTCATCACCACCCATTTTGCGACCATCATCAAGAATCAGAGGCTTGTTATTCAGTGCCAATTGCACGGCATCGCCAAGGCAAGTGGTGTCTTCCTTTGAGATAGTGACCCCAGCATTATCTTGCCAATCATTTTTGGCCAGACTGGATAGAATGCGCAAAGTAACAGCAGTGATAGGAGTTGAAGAACCGAGGGGAGACAGTCGAGATGCTAGTAGTGGTAAATTAGGGGACTTTTCTGGAATCCGCTGAAGTGCGAAGTGACGATAGTCTGGCAGAGCCATATGGGCGTCCTCAAGCACCGATGACTGATAGTCTAGGCGTAAAAATGCCAGAGCGATGCCTTTATTAATAGTCAGATGGAACTAAATTATATGTGAAGAGAAAGTGATTAGGGCTAGAAATACCCGGAAAGAACCCGAACAAGCCACGATGACCCCATTCTTCCGGGAGGGAAGTGTTTTCCTGGACCAGTTGAGCACCGTTCTGAACTGCAACACGAAGGTCTCGAAGGCTCTCGGAAAGAGTGGTTGCATCAATTGATGGCAGAGCCAAGGTGTTCTCAAAGTACTGAGGGCGTTCCATCATGAAGTACGATATTGTAGGTTATGTCGTGAGATTTTGGATGATATTGCGTGCTCTGCTGGAAGTAGAGATCAATGCAGGTCCGAAATGTCTATCATTTGGTGGGGGATTTCATTTCCTCCAAACAACGTACGGCTGAGCTGCCACCTTCTAGTACTTTTCCGCGCCAGCAGAGCTAGTGCACGATAAAACCATAGCAGCAAATGTCGGTGTCGAACTGGATCCATAGGAATGTGATGCATCGCTATTTGTTCAGCGGCAAATATTCAGCTCAGTGGGGTAATAAGTGATCGTCTGTTTGGGCATTTTGTATGCAACTATGTATATGTATTGCACTAGTTAACCAATTAGATCAAAGGCTTGAGAACTACAGAGGCAGTAGATTGAAGCCTAAGGCAAAACAAATTTTATTAGTCAGCAGCAAAGTCACGTGTAGAGTGGTTCGATGGCGGCACAGCCATTCCGGACTCGAGAATACACACGCGGTCCTCGAAGTGCGATCGAGGGCGTCCTTCTAGAAGCAGGCCAGAATGTTAGTGAACAGACCCCTCGTTAATCCCTTGAACTTCCTTGCACTTTCCTGTAGTTCTTGTTCCTGTTGTATTTTTACAATTGGCCCCTGAGACTTAGTGGCGAAAAGGATCCCTGGGGTATAGTGAATTGAACTAACATGGCAAATAGTCGTGTGATTGGAAGCGCCAGAGGACTATATAATCATGTCTGAAGTCCATGGAGATGCAGAGCTCGTTCCAGCGGGCCCTGATATTGATTATCCGCTCGCTCTTGCTCCGCGACAGGTGACTTTACGAGACCGGGTTACAGTCGCAACCCTAGTCCCTTTCGCCTCACCAGAAAAGGTACCCCGAGGGTTGATGAAGTATCTCTCTGATCAGTTCAACAAAGAAATTGAAGAAGGAGATACCTATGCCATGACCGAACCTATTCCATTGGCACAGTTTGGAAGGTATTGGTTCTCCAACTTCGGTGTTGTCATGCTTCTTGGAGACATCGAGAGCGCAGAGCAAACCCATTCTATGGAACGGGCTGGCGCAAACTGGACCAAGATCTGTCTAGGCGGCTTTCATATTCGACCCAACTACCCTGGCCGGAGTAGTCATGTCTGCAACGGCACATTCATTGTCACTGGTGCTGCACGAAACAAAGGTGTAGGTAGACTGATGGGCGAATCATACCTGGAATGGGCACCGCGTCTTGTGAGTACTTCGCTGCATGCACCTCAAACCGGGTTGAATTAATGATTTCTAGGGCTACACATATGCAGTCTTCAATTTGGTCTATGAGTCCAATGTTGCCTCATGTCGCTTATGGGATTCGCTTGGCTTCAAACGAATTGGTCGAGTGCCTGGCGGAGGCCAGCTCAAATCCCAACCGGGAGAATTTGTTGATGCGATCATCTACGGCAGAGGTCTCAGCCTGGATGGCGAAGATTCTGTGTCACAAGATCGCTTTGAGAAGATCCGTTTTTATCTAAAACACGGCAAGTACCCCCATGGGGCTGACCGTGCTGAGAAGAGTCGGCTTCGAAGTGCGGCGACTCACTATAAGTTGCTTAGCGGTGAGGATGGCGAGCTTGAAAGATTGATGTTGAAAGATAAGGAGGTGGTATCCGACCCGCAGCAACAGTACGATATTGCTCAGGAGGTCCATCTCAAGCAACATGCCGGAATCAACAAAACTACAGCAGCTATTGCCACAAAGTTCCACTGGGTACGAATTAAAGAAACTGTCAACCGCGTGATTCGCGACTGTCCACAATGCAAGGAAACCCTCAAGGCACCCCCAATCCCAGGGAGCAAAGAAGAAGATCGCTCACCCTCGGAACCAATGTCTGGCATGGAAATGGACAGTGCCATGGAACAGCCTCAAAAAGAAGAGGAGCCGGTCCATATCCCTCAGGAGATGGACCAAGCACCGGACCAAGCACCCAGTTACAACCCCCTTATGCACCAGCCTGTCTCTACTGCTGTTCCCGAAACCGTCCACTCCATGGCAGGATTCCCGCCTATGCCCCTGGATCCTCAAATAATGCATATACATCAGCAACTCCGACGCTATCAGCAACAAAACCCCATGGGCCATTATCCTCAGGGGGCCCACAATGTCGATATGTCAAACTTTGACGATGCAATGCGCTATCATACAGCCAACAATGCTTATCAGCTGATGGTTGGCGAAGCACCGGATTTGTTTCCACAAGACATGCTTGGCATGGTGAACCCGCAAGCACACGACTTGCAGCATGATCCTGAATTACTCAACAAGTTCGAGTATGGAAGTCCATCGGATGGGAATTACGACTTTACGTGAACAATCTTCAACTATTTAATTTCGGAAACTTGTATTCTTATTACAATTTTTTCCTGCTTCTTCCATGTTCTATTGGCGTCGAGGATTGCATAAATTTCGGGATCTCTACGGTTGTTACTCTACCCCTTTATACTGTGGGCAGTATAACTTATCATACTCTTTGCTTCTCTATATATTCCATCAATTATTGCCCATTATAGTTCCTTGATATCAAATATGTTCAATGAAATTTAGAGTAGTCACAACTTGTAAGTATATGGTAGGGTTGAACAGCCCTGATTGGTCACCGCCTTGCGCGACTGGGGGTTTTGGGGGAACAGGAGCTCTGGGAAATTTTGGCAGATCAACCCCTCCGACCTTTCAACTCAGCATACCCCTTTTCTTATTTCTTTTTACTTTTTTTCTATTTAACGGTTTCGTGTCTCGATATAAACATGGCCTTCAACGGCCAAACCCCCACGATTGTCGTGTTGAAAGAGGGTATGTGTTGTTCCCAGTGCGGGCAGTTTTGTTGGTGGGATCCGTAACCCGTGCTAACAATTGCTGCTTTTGATATGCAGGCACCGATGCTTCTCAGGGAAAGGGTCAGATCATCTCCAACATCAACGCCTGTGTCGCCGTGCAATCGACAGTCAAGAGCACTCTCGGTCCCTACGGTGGTGATCTGCTGCTCGTGGATGCCAACGGCAGACAAACCATTACAAACGATGGAGCCACAGTGATGAAGGTGCGTCTAACTCTCCATGGAACTCAAATTGCTGAGCAGAACTGCATCAACTGCAGCAAAAGACTGGTTCTGACTTTTGTGTACCTGATAGCTTTTGGATATCGTGCACCCCGCCGCCCGCATTCTCACGGATATCGCTCGGTCCCAAGATGCCGAAGTCGGTGACGGAACAACCTCCGTCGTTGTGTTGGCCGGTGAGATTCTGAAGGAAGTGCGTGACCTCGTTGAGCAGGGTGTCAGCTCGCAGACCATCATCAAGGGTCTGCGGAGGGCAAGCGCTATGGCGGTCAACAAGGTTAAGGAGATTGCGGTCGACATGCTGGACCCTGCGGACACCCAGGAGAAGAAGGTCGAGACACTAAGACGGTTAGCCGCAACGGCTATGAACAGCAAGCTTATCAAGCGGAATTCTGATTTCTTCACAAAGAGTGAGATTATCCTCCCCGCGGCTGCGATCATAAATTTGATATCGAAGGCTGACGAGGTGTTGTTATAGTGGTTGTGGATGCTGTGCTTTCTCTTGACCAGGATGACCTTAACGAGAGGTTGATTGGCGTGAAGAAGATTACCGGTGGTGGACTCCAGGACTCGCTTTTCGTCGACGGTGTCGCCTTCAAGAAGACCTTCTCCTACGCCGGTTTTGAGCAGCAGCCCAAGCACTTCAAGAACCCCGGTATTGTGGCCTTGAACGTCGAGTTGGAGCTGAAGAGCGAGAAGGACAATGCCGAAGTCCGTGTCGAGCAGGTCTCAGAGTACCAGGCCATCGTCGATGCCGAGTGGCAGATCATTTACAACAAGCTTGAGGCTATCTACAACACAGGAGCGAAGGTTGTTCTTAGCAAGCTGCCTATTGGTGATCTTGCTACACAGTACGTGCTTTATATTGCATACGGAAGGATTTGCCCGAAACTAACGAGTTGATTTACAGGTACTTCGCTGACCGTGACATCTTCTGTGCTGGTCGCGTTGCCTCCGATGATATGGACCGTGTTTGCCAGGCCACCGGAGCCGCGACCCAATCTACCTGCACCGACATCCAAGAGCGCCACTTGGGTACTTGTGGTGCCTTCGAGGAGCGCCAAATCGGTGGAGAGCGCTTCAACTTGTTCTCCGACTGCCCCAAGGCCAAGACCTGTACCTTGGTGCTCCGTGGTGGTGCCGAGCAATTCATTGCTGAGGTCGAGCGCAGTTTGCACGATGCTATCATGATCGTTAAGCGTGCTCTGCGCAACACCACCATCGTTGCTGGCGGTGGTGCCACCGAGATGGAGCTGTCCAGCTACATGCACGGATACGCCGACCGTAATGTTCCCCACAAGCAGCAGGCCGTTGTCAAGGCCTTCGCCAAGGCACTGGAGGTCATTCCCCGCCAGCTGTGTGATAACGCCGGTTTCGATGCCACTGACATTCTGAACCGCCTGCGTGTCGAGCACCGCAAGGGCAACACCTGGGCTGGTGTGGACTTCGACAACGAGGGCGTTCGTGACAACATGGTTGCCTTTGTTTGGGAGCCCAGTCTGGTTAAGGTGAATGCTATCCAGGCCGCAGTGGAGGCCTCTTGCTTGATCCTGAGTGTGGATGAGACAATAAGTAAGTGATTTGAACCCTCATGTTCCTTTTGACGTGACTAACCCATCTTCAACAGAGAACGAGGAGTCAGCTCAACCTGGTCAGCAGCGCGGTATGCCGCCAGGTGCCGCCCAGCGCGCCCTCCGAGGCCGTGGCCGTGGTATGCCCCGACGAGGATAAACGAGTTGACCCAGGATTTGGATGATGCTCGATGATTATTCCCCCCAAAAAAGAAGGACAACAATATCCCGGAGTCAACCTATTCTAGTCTCTCTGGGTTTCGGTGTCTGATATGAACATTGAATGAAGTACAGGGAGAATAGAAGAGTTTGTAGACATACCAGACTTGACATGGTCCAAGTACATAGTTCTCATGAAAGTATCGTTTCAATCTCAATTTATTATCGTATGCAGGCGATTTATCAGATGCATCTACTACGTAGGTACTTCCCCCGAGCCGGGCCGAGGAAGAGATGATTCTTATTTGGAATCCATTTCCTTTTTATGTTTTTTATTGGTTGGAATTGTGATCTTCGACGCTAAGACACTACTGAACCTCTGATATTGCGGATCTTAATTAATTGAGAAATGCAGCCCTGGCGATAATTGCGACCAGCACAGGCCAATAGTTGTGGGGGTTTGGGCTTTAGTTTCTTAGTACTGACAGGGATTACTCGGGGCTGCCGACGTGTGTCAGATATAAAACTCTTCTATTACGTCTTGCTTTTTCTGTTATGCTCTTTTGTTTGCTTTTCTATTGGGATTTCTTTTCTATTCTGTATTGAATTTGCTCAGATACGCCCTACCTACATAGGTATAGTTGTAAGTGGCGAGTGAATGAGCTGAGGATATTCCAACTCAGCAAATTTTAACTTCTTTTCAATTCCTGTTCAATTATTTTCACTCATTTCCCTCTTGTTCCTCCGGAGAATTTTGCATTTAGAAACATTCGTGTTGTCGCACTGAGGCTTGGCGTCTGCCGTACTTCCGATCTGTTTTTGGTGATCTTCCTTCTCCACATCAGACATTCTCTCCTGTTAAGCATCTTCATTTGATTTATTGGACTCTATCTTTCTGCATAAGAGCCCTCGTGATGTCTTACTATCCGCCCTACTCGGGTGCGCCGGGTTACCCCCCGCAGCAACCATCTTATCCCCCGCAACAGCAACAGTACCCGTATGCCTGCTTATTGATCTGTCTCTGCTCTGAAAACACCAAGCTGACCTTAGGACATTGCAGACAGATGAATCATCAACAGCAGCCCTCCTACGGTGGCTATCCCGGCCAGTCCTACCACCACCAGCAGCCCCCGCAATCCAACTACGGATACAACCATCCCCCGCAACAGTCCTACGGCGCCCCGCAGCAACAGCATGGTTATAATGTATTTAACACCGCAGTCTTAGCGAGATGTACACATGATTAATAGGTCAATCATCGCGCAGGCTCCCCCGTCCGGATACCAGCAGCCCTCCGGGCCTCCAATGCAGCAAGGAAGACCAGGTCCGTCAGCTTCCAAGACCGGAAACGCAAGTAACAACATACTAATGCGCAGATATAGCTTACAGCCAAGGCGTCCCAGCGCCTCCTCCTAGCAACCCCGTTTCGTTCGGTCATGGCGCACCACAAGGTTATAGTTTCCAATATTCACGATGCACGGGCAAAAGAAAGGCGCTTCTGATTGGAATCAACTACTTTGGTCAAAAGGGCCAGCTGCGCGGATGTATCAACGACGTCAAAAACATGTCGACCTATCTGAACCAGAACTTTGGCTATGCCCGTGAGGATATGGTTCTTTTGACTGATGACCAGCAAAATCCCATGAGCCAGCCAACAAAGGTCAACATTCTTCGCGCTATGCACTGGCTGGTCAAGGATGCTCAACCCAATGACTCTTTGTTCTTCCACTACTCCGGTGAGTAGTTATACTTTGAAATCCCCAGGCTGCGATCTAACATCAATCTAGGCCACGGCGGCCAAACGCCCGATCTCGATGGCGACGAGGAAGATGGATACGACGAAGTGATTTACCCCGTAGACTTCAGAGCCGCCGGCCACATCGTGGACGACGAAATGCACCGCATCATGGTGCAGTCCCTCCGACCGGGCGTCCGCCTCACAGCAATCTTCGACTCCTGCCACTCCGGCTCAGCCCTGGATCTCCCCTACGTCTACTCCACCTCAGGAGTACTCAAGGAGCCCAACCTGGCCAAGGAAGCCGGCCAAGGGCTGCTAGGTGTCGTATCTGCATATGCGCGCGGCGATATGGGCAGCATGATGTCGACCGCGATGGGCTTCATCAAGAAAGCCACCAAGGGCGACGAAGTGTACGACCGTAACCTGAAGACCAAGACCAGTCCTGCGGATGTCATCATGTGGTCTGGCAGCAAGGATGATCAGACCAGTCAAGATGCTCAGATTGCTGGCCAGGCTACGGGTGCTATGTCTTGGGCTTTCATTGCGGCTTTGCGGAAGAACCCCCAGCAGAGTTATGTCCAGCTCCTGAACAGTATTCGTGATGAGCTTTCTACCAAATATACCCAGAAGCCTCAGCTGAGCTGCAGTCACCCTTTAGGTAAGGAGTTACGGCCTGTTTAAAAATTGGAATGATATTCTAACAACGTGGTAGATACCAACATTCTCTATGTGATGTAATTGCAGTTGAAAATGAGGACAAAGAATGAGCGTCGGCTCTCAATGAAGCATGCTTGGTTTATGAATTGATCTGTATCTAAATTCACACTTGGTATTCCAGTGCATTTTGAACTGTGGGTTGGTGCATTATCTGTGATTTATCTTTATGAATCTGTGTTCTATTATGATCTATTCTTTTGGACCTGAGTCACTGGCTGGTTTGGGCGACGAAAGCCATGGGCCTGTCTAACATCATTGTAAACAGTTTACTACTAGTATCCGCAGTTATACCACCTGGAGTATACTCTATTCTGATGTTTCATATAACTTCGCTGCTGATCAACATCGACAGGAGACAGCTCTGAATCGAACGAGACGAGCGAATCCTTAACATTTTTATTCTCTGTGTGTGTGGTGAGATATCCATTGGCGGGAGATCTTACCGAGTGATATGGATATGCCGCTATACGGATTTCAAAACCTCAGTGGCTATTTTTGCCTCCGAGGAGCTCACAGGCTTGAACTATGTTCTATAGCGCAGCTCAAAACTGCAAATGTCTGTATCTTGAACACAATCAGGCCAGAACAATCACTTTTGTTCAAGCCCCGAAGACAAACCACGCTGGATACCGCGCTCTTGCCTCGCTGCAGCGGATAAAACCTAGTTGAATTAAACTCAATAGACTAGTTCGAGCGGATTTCTTACCCACACGCAGCCCACCACACCAAGCACGATGCAATAATCTCTCCAACACCGCAGAATCCGTGTGACGAGGGCCAGGATGAGAAGAACAAGACTGGTGAGCAGAGTCAACAGGTGGAAACTAAACCAAGGAACAGGCTCTTCAGAATCAGAGGGATCGACAGGCTGAGCAAGGATGATGGTTATTCATGTGTGGTAGGCTTGGTGTTTTGAAGAGAATGGTCTTGATGTTGGACAGTATGGTTACTCTCTTTGAAGAAAGTTTGTATGATAACCAACCAGAAACCCCCCAGATAGGTGGTATGGATGCCTAGCAGCTATGGGGACTTTGTGTATCTACCATGATCGACAGTGCTTTTACTGAATAAAATTCCATGGGACGTTACTGAATTTACTCCGTTCAAGATTCAGTCAGTCTACTAGACAGAACCATTTTAGTATTGACTCATCTCAGTATTTGATTCAACCTCGTATTGGTTCATCTTAATTTTAATTTATCTTAGATTTGATTCCTCTTTACAATCATGGGGTGGAATTTTTAACCAGTTTGATGTCGGATCACGTGCATGCTTGTATATCACAAATCGCGTCCTCAACGCGTCGACGTCAAGGTTCGATGTTGAGAAGAACTCTCTTCCCTATCGTCCAACCCATGTGATCCCTATCCACCGGAATGTCTATCATCCTTGAAGACAACCAGCCTCCGGGATTCATTCGCCTCGGCCCTACTTGGTATCACGAGATTCCATTCCTGCCACATGGATGGGAAACGACCAACGACCGAGGATCCGGGTCTCTCAAGCATGCAGCAATGAAAGCTCTAATACGGGACCAGTCAATCCTAAAAGCAGAGCTCTTCGAGCATGTGCATTGGTATCTGGCCAAATACATCTGGGACGCCCTTGGACGATGGTAAGTCGTAATATACATAGAGTCTGCTTCCCAGATCTAATGCATTTCAGCAAAAAGCAGACTATGCACATGTGGAAGATCATGACTACCGCGTATCCCACTCAGTTCCGTGAAGTCAGCCCTTACTATTGTCTCAGCGCGGGTTCCCCCAAGAAGCCTCTGGGAGACTACATGGGGATCCTCAATAGTGAGGAGATCCGCTGGCGAGCAGTCTTGACCATTGCAACTGCATATGCCTCTGCTGAGGATTTAGCTGCTACCTCAAGTATCAAGAACCTGGTTGCACTGGACGTGTACAACCAACCCTACTCGTCAAGACTTGCCCTTGATCCTGTGGGTTATATTCATGACGGCCAGCCCCTGCAAGATGGGTTCGTGCGTGGCTGGATCGAATCAAATAATCTGCAGCACCTCCGCATTCTAAGACTCTACAATCAGCACGACGTGACCATCTCTGCGCTGCGATCGCTACGCGATTTGCCCGAGCTACAGCTCGTTTTGGCATACGAGTGTGAAAACATCACAAGAGAAATCAAGAAAAAAGGCAGGCCTGCAAAGGGCATGACTGAGATTGGCGTGGAGGGCTGGTCTGCCTGCAGGCTTGATTGGCTTCGGGATATCGAGAAGACGAACGTCCTGGATCATCTCATGCCTCTTCTTCATGCATACAAATCCAACATCCAGGGAGTTAAAGATGTGAAACCGCACAGAGAATCATCGTTAAGCTCAAATTTACCGATTCTGGAGTTCAAGCTTCCTACCATTGATCACAGCAAAAGGGAGATGCTGGCTATACGCTCAAAATACAGTTCGATGTCAATTGTCATGTTTACGCGGGATCCTGTGCGGCTGAAAATGGACGGAGAGAAGAAGCGGAAGCGTGAAAGGGACAAGAAGAGATTTGAAGGGGCTGAGGTTTCTGAAGGTAGTAATCGTCCTATCAAGCGAGCGGTCATGAAGGACAGAGGAATGGATATTTCGAAGACCTTGAATGCCTTTTTCTGATTGTTCGTGATTGATGCAGCCACAGCCCAGTCAAAGTGAAGGATCGCATTCTGTACCTACCTAAATACATGTAGTACGCGCGTATAAAACTAATGATAGAATATAGGAAATAGAGAAAATAAAGAAACAAATGTAAGCGAACCATATCCAAGGTTGAGCGTGCGAGCTATTTAGGGTCAACAGCATCCTGACTATTGGAGTTAGAGCTACTGGACCACCAGTGATCGAATTGTTCTTCTCTGATCTTGTATTTGAGAGCAGCTGCACAGATGTAGTTTATCCCCTACCTAACTAATGGGCCCCATAGATACGATGACTAACAGCCCAATGATGTCAGCGGGAATCAAAGAAACAAACGATGATTGGCTGTTTGATCAACCCCGCTTAATCGGATCAACATCATCTGATGACCTTAGTGGATTCACCTTCTCTTTGACATTTGATGTATCAATTCAGATAATACCTTCCTTGGAGAATCTTGACCTCCATGGCGGAACCACACTCCCACGAAGGATCCGACACCTCTAACAGTGGAGCAGCGATCGCTTCCCCGCGATCCAGCACCGAGTCCCGCTCGTCCTCCTCAAGAAATACACTCCGCGTTTCACAGATGTCCACAAACCACCAGCACAGACAAAGCTTGAGCGAGACACTCCGTGGTCCGCCCGGATCCCCACGTGCCCGCCGACAGCCCTCCCTCCCACAGTCCGCCATCCAGAGCCTGATTGACAATCCCCCGCCACCGAAAAGCACCGACCCGGCTTTTGTTGGGAGGGATTGGCGAGAGATCTCAATTGGCGAGTTGGTCAAGCCAGATGAATTGAGATTCGTGGAGCTAGATACTGGCATTGAGGATGCGACCAACGTGGGTATTCAATGGTTCTCCCGCCGACTTGCACTGACGCCATCTATACCAGATCTTGATCGACTCCGGTGCACCGGTGCTGTTGATCCGCGAGTCTCCAGAAGATACTTCTGCTGTCGCGACGTTCGATTACGCCGACTTGAACTCCTATCTCCTGCTTGCGGCGGGCTTGACATCTCCCGATGAAGAACACCAGGCATCGTATGAAGAGCTGGCGAAGAAGGCACACGACGGGGTGCCCATTCCGCTGCGCGATGTCAAGAAATTTGGCATGGAGAAAGAACCCCTGATTAATTTGCCTGCCTCGGCCAGTGTCTTGACTGCTGTCGAGATATTCGGTGGGGGTGTTCACCGCGTTGTGGTTGTGAATGAGAAAAATGATCGGGAGGTAGTTGGAATCTTCAGTCAGTTCCGGTTGGTGAAGTTCCTTTGGGAGAATGGCCGCAGCTTTCCTACTATTGAAGAGCTCTATCCGCAAGCCATAGGTGATTTGCGGCTTGGATCTCATAATGTGATTTCTATCAAGTAAGTTGTCAGCATGCGGAGCCTTTGGAATTGTTGAATATAATTCTGACCAATATTCTGTTTCCTATAGTGGCGACAAACCTCTGTCTGATGCTCTCCATCTGATGAACAACGAGGGTGTGTCTTCAATCGTTGTTGTCGATTATCACTTAAATGTGATTGGCAACATTTCCACAGCTGATGTCAAGGTACATGGTTTATTTCGTGGACTAGCGGCAGCTGATTGCTAACTAATTCACAGCTTTTAACTCGCTCTTCCTCATTACCTCTTCTACAAAACACCTGTACCCACTTTATCTCTGTTATTCTGTCTACACGAGGCTTGATGGAGGGCAAAGACTCGTTCCCTGTGTTCCACGTCAACCCAGGATCAACACTGGCACATACAGTCGCGAAATTAGTGGCGACTAAATCGCACAGGTATTATTCTACGAAGACGAGCAAATCTGACAAGATGCTAATTGATCTACTAGACTTTGGGTGACTGATCCTTTATCACCAGCTTCATCAGGGCCGCCAACCCCATCGCATTCCTCAGTACACATCCCTCTCTCTGCCAGCATTAACTATCCATATGCTGGAACGGGCTCTGGAATACAAACTGGAACTTCCCCGCCAGCGTCTCCTCTCCCGGCCCCTATAGTACAGCCCTCTCACTACACCTCTCCTCACATCCCAACTCCTGCACCCAACTCAGCTTCAAACACAGGCTCTCATTCCTTATCAGGCGTGCCAGTGCCGCCGCCACTTTCACATTCAATCCCTTCCTCGGCGCTTGACGGAGCACGACTGTCTGGGCGTCTCGTCGGAGTGGTCAGCTTGACTGACATCCTCAACTTGCATGCCCGAGCCAGCGGGCTCAACCCCATCGACCCCGCCGAATCCCGTATCCGCCGCCGACGTAGTAGCTCGTCGAGTCAGAGTATTCAGCGCAGCGGTGATATTGGCAGGGAACTGTTCAGCAGAGGCATGTAAAACCATGCGTGTTTCACTAGGTCTTTCTGCAGGTCCAATTGCCGCGTGTGCCATAACGGACCCCACTTTCGTTGTGATACGTTATGTACCCGCCCACCTCTTTTCGATTTTCACATCAGTCGTTCAAGAAGGCGAACAGGATGGACCTTCCCTGCCTGATTATCTTAGCATCGGAAATAGTTTCGAAGGTCCCACTGTGGATCAGAATTACAAATACTGCAAATCCCAGTTCTTCCACACAATGCTTGGCTGTAGTTACCAACATTCAAACTGCCCAATTTTGAGTCTCGGCCAACCAAGATAATCCACATTTATACATTATACATTATACACAAGAAGCTAAGATCGACAGCCCGGACATAGCCGAACCCATATCTCAGCATCTCCACAAGATCAACAGGATCAGCGCCTGGATGCATATAACGTACAATAAAATAGCAGCACGGACTAATTTCATCATCTCCTAACATCGACCCAGGTATTCCTTCGAGACCGCATTCCAGTCCCCCAACCCAAAAAAAGCCAAGTCCCAAACGGGCTCTCGACAACGGGAATCCTTTTCCGCATCCCCGCGCAACGTGGTTGGTACACACTCTTCGCTTCACAGATTCGCCTCTCTCCCCACTCCGCTCTAGATCATTGCGTCCCGCTGTTTTTCGTCCACAGGACGTGGACGTGCTGCACGGCCAGACCGTAGACCAGGGTATCATGGTGCTGGGGTTTGCAGGATTCTGCATGACTCGAGTCATGGTGGTTGCGTTTGGGGGGCTTTGGGTTCTGAGTGGCTCGTCATATTCTGCTGGTTGTGGTTGTGGTTTAGGTGTGTATGGATTAGGGAAGTCGTCTCGTTTGTGTTACCTGGTTGTGGATGGTGGTTTGCTTGGCACAGATAGTTCTCTATAATCTACGTATCTGGCTATATTTAGGTGTACGGTGTATCTTGATTTCTAGTGAGAGATGGTAATTTAGAGCATACATCGTTGGGTTTCGTGATGATTGACCCTCTACCCACACCTACTATATAGCCAGAATAGTGACTCTATATTGTAGGGAGATAAATTATTATAAGCGAGTCCCACAAAAAAATTCGACTTTCTATTGTCAACCTACGTTGTAAAATCTGAGGACTTGCACGAACGCATTTGCCTCCACTTCAAAACCCCGTCGCAAGCCACCAACCCCACCTTTGTACATGGGCGATCAGGGAAAAGACACCCCTGATTTTCTGGCGAATCAGCGACTTTCATTGGACCATCCGAAAAGCGAGATTAGCTCGATTTGGAAATGGGCAAAACTTTGGGGCGTTTTCTTGCTTATTCAGTCATTAACAATTATCTTGTCAGCTTTGGACATATGGTGAGCTGAATACAAGGTCTCTTTTTTCTGATCTCAGATCAACTAAACTTTCACTATTTCATCGGTGGTTTCAGTCTGTTTTTCCTCTTCTCGACCTACTACTATGTAATGTTGAGGTTGACGTTGCATCAACCGCAAACAACCGCGTCCCAATCCGGCGATTTTCTTTTTCTTTCGACTTGAAGTTAAGATGATCGACAATGCAGTTTTTGGTTTTAGTCACTGCTGTTCCCACTGCACCATTATTAGTGTGGAATTTGCTTCTGCTCCAGACTCTATGCTCCATCGGGCCGTGCCAGCTCTAGCTAGCTGCGGTTTGGCAGCTCTTGAACCCAATCACACCACTCTACCAGGATTATTTTGCTTCGTATGATTTTTTTAACTTTGGTCTTTGGGTTTGAATGGGTCTTTGTATAGGTTGCATGGAGGGAATGATTCAGGGTTGTTCATGATGGATCCTGACGTTGATTAGGCATATCGTATTGAGCTGTATTGGGCTGTATTTTTCGTAACCACGCAGGGGGTTACAATATTGTACAAATTCCTGCTCAGGTGGGCTTATATGTTCACCCAATACAAGTCTAGATCAATCCAACAAATAAAATACCCAACACACACATATAGGCACTACAATACAAGCCTTCTACCGAACTCCGACTGTGTTAGCCTCCTAATTAGCAACCCACCCCAAAAAGCCCACAGACCTCCAACCAAACGCAGGTACGACTAAATCTCCCCGATAAGCAGAGCAAGCATTCCCAGAAAAACAGGCACACCCAATAACGCCATACGAGCGGGATTGACCTCAAGCAAGTCTAATCGTCTAAACCGATAAGCAAGAAGCCAATCACGCCCCCACCACGGCGCACGGGGCCAGCGTTACAGCAGACCCACTAACGTCCCGGTGGTTCGAATCGCGCGGTTGCGGCCACTAATTGGTCCATTAGCGATGTTGGAGCCATCGATAGACTTTAGGCTTTTCATGGGTCCGTGCAGAAGCTGCGATCTGGCCAGTGGGATTGCCGTGTAACGCCGCCGAGCAACCTTAACCCCGCAATCTAGTATTACTCGATTTGGATTATTCCTTTCGGTTTTTGGCGGGTGGTTTGGGACTGGTTCCTTGTTCTGGGTGGTGTTGGGAGGCACGGGGCGTGTTTAGGAGATGAAAACTTGAAAAATATCTGCGTCGTATACGTATGTCCATGGATGTTGGTTGGGACAGCTACAGAGTGTGACAAGGCTGAGTCGCACGTAAGTGGAAGTAAAAGTGGATTATGCAAGATCACCGTTGATCCAGAATGTCGGGACCGCCTAGCAGGGGATACGTACATACCCCAAATCTCCCCGCCTCGTAAATTACTTTCCTATTCTGCACGAACGATAGAAAAGAACAGAAACCTAGAATAAAGCTAGCAACCCTAAACAGGTCTTGTGACTGACGTCTGGCCAACGTAGCGAAAAAGGCAAAAGCAAATAATAGCAAGCCGCCATTATACAGTTCAAGGTTCCTGCAAAAGTACCTGCTTCCAGCCTGGGAGGTATTAGGGCTTTACAAATTGGTTCCGTGGTTGGGTGCTTCCGCTGCGCCAGATTAGATGCGTTTGACAAATACCTCATGCCCCCCCGCCCGCCCCCCCCCGAAGTCAAAGCTGGTAGGGCTGCTCGCTACTGTCAACGTCGCACTCATTGGTTCGATGTGACGGAATGGTGCCCGATGCGGTATATTGGAGCTTGAGATTTCATGTAATTCTGCCATCCCACTGGCCAGACAAAATGATGTAGTCTTGTATGCAGAACAGTTAAGAGATACAAATTATGATTAAAACAAGAGGTCTGTGATAAAAGAATATCATCATAAGATATTAAATGAGAGATAAGTATCATATAATACAAGAGCAAATATACAACTCAAAACCAATATACATCCAAAGATAGACACGTATCGAGTATCGAGCATCCGTAAACCAAACCACAAAAGTCAAAGCAAAATCAAAACCACCTGGGTATATCAGGTCGTAACAACATGAGAAAAAACCCCCCTAAACCCAATAAATCAACAAGAAACGCTAGTAGCAAACTCATCGGCAAAATCCTCAAACCCAAACGGCTCCCGCTCAGACACATTGCCCAGATGCAGCGCAAACTGGCTGAAATCCGTAAAATCGGGATCCAGCTCTCCGGACACCATAGCATCAGCCTCAACCTTCACAGCAGGCTGGAGCTCTACCTTCAATGCCGCAGTCATAGGCGACACAGGCGTATGCGGCGTAGGGCAAAAGTCCGAATGGGTGGGCTCTGAGGCCTCGAATTTCGGGACATGCGACTGTGTCAGGAGGTGCAGGTTGTGGAAGGAAGCGGAGGGCTGAGACTGGCCGCGCGAGTGGCCGTGAGCTTGGCCGTGGCTGTTGGTTTGGCTGTGGCCGTTGGTTTGGGCCGCAGGAGCAGCCGGAGGAGTGTGGTGCAGGATATCCGGGGCGGAGGCGAGACGGTCTCTGAACTGGCGCATTTGCACGTTCTCCGGGGCTTGGTGCATCATTTGCTGCTGCCACATCTGGACTGCATCTGTGGGGGTTTGGTCTGGGGTTGGCATCTGCATCCAGGAGTAGGGTTGGTTTTGCCAGGGCTGGACGTAGGCGGGGGTTGCCGGGGCCATGGTGTAAGGGCTTTCGGGCATGATGTAGGAGGGTTGGTCGTAGGAGGCGGAGGGGGAGAGCACGTAGTCGTTTGGCATGGGGCTGATCATTTGGGATTGGGGTTGGGTTTGGGGATGAGGTTGATGGAAGGGGGATGAGCGGAGGTTTGAGAGGTCCAGGCTCATTTTGCGGGAGTTGTCGACTGAGGGGAGTGGGGTGATGTTGCTTGCTCTTCTGCTGGCGATGGAGGAGGCGTTGGAGTAGCTTGCTCTCTTGGCGAAAGCTTTCAGGAGGTGTTGGTGGAATTCCTCTTCGATTTGCATGTTCTGGGCTTGCAGCATTTTGATGCGTTTTTCTTGATATCGCTCATCGACTTCTTCATACATGGCTTCTTTCTCGACAATGTCTTTGGTAATGTGGAAGCCTTTGCCTGTGCGCTTCTTATGGAGCATGGAAGCCCTATTTGCGGATTCCAGTCTGGCATCCAAGCTGCGATCCTTGCGCCTTGAGGCGGCAATGAAGGCTCTGTGGGGGAGTTGTTAGATATGGGATATATCGTTTGGATGGTATTCACATTACCTCTCTTGGTTCTCCTCCCGCGAACGGGGGATAGGCGCAATGTCTTGATCCAGGTCTGGCAAACCCATTATAGAATCAATCAAGGAGTATATCAGAAAGGTATAATAAGTTCAAAGTAGGAAGGGGAAAAAGGAGGGGGAAGTAATAAATTAAATACTAAATACTCTTAAAGTTACAATACTAGGGGAATTAAATACAGTTTGTGTCAGACTTGCTGGGCAAAGCTCCAGGCCAGAACCATGGGATGGAGTCGATCATAGTTTGGGCGCCAAAAAAACTTACGGCCGCCCATTTCCATGGTTCATTGCAGTCGGCCAGTCCGCTCCAGAACGCCACTAACCGATAAATACCGAAATCGTGCCACTCAACCACTCTACACTGCCAGGATAATATTCCCAGATGGGGCCTGCACATAGTCTGCAGGAAACCTGCAGGTAAGCTGCATCGCTTTACTACCAAGACATGATAATTAAGGGTCTAGACCGTTAGGGCGACTATGAAATGATTAAGTGGGGTGTGTCACCTAGATACTCCAGATCGTAAGATGTCACTGTACAAACTAGATCTGAACGGTTCTGAGTTTTCACGTTTTCTTTTCCCGCTTCCCTTTTTTCATCTTTTTATCGAGTAGTGTGGTAGGCTCAGTGTGGTATAGGTTGAGTGGTAGGGTACCTTCCACGCGTGATTCCCGCATTTGGAAGGGCGCCCTGTTCCGCACTCTTACGTATTTTCCTTTCGCCCTGAATTCTAAGGAATCACGGCATTGGATAAGGTTCCTGCACGATCTGTACAGATCGTCGATCAACGGTGATCAACATACGGATTGATACCGAGTCTCAGAAGGGACTCCCTTGCGAGGTCTGGATATTGGTTGATGCGGACCCGGTAGCCCGAGTTCTCCCTTCACTCGACGGTAAATAGTCCTATCATGGGGACTCGGTCTGCCGGAAGCCGTGCCCCGGCCAGATCGTGATTGTGATACTAGATAGTTAGTCCCAGCCGAGGATAAACGTGCACGGGCTGGTATTGATAGTGATACCAGATCCCACGCCCACGCCCACGCCCACGCCCAGCATTCTAGATTCTGGACCTGGGCGAGAGATCGGGGTAAGAGGTTAGCCATTTCTTCACTTCTCATGACAAATACCTGGTCAAGCATTGGTGTCCATGGAAAAACGACGCCATAGTCGAAGAGTTCCAAGTTGAACGTTGACATCTTCGCCACTGGGTCTAGAGCCACTATCTAATCGTCCGGCCGAGACTAAGCCACTTTGGATATTGCCACTGCCGACCTAGGGAGGTCGCAAGTTGAATAATCAGATATCACAGTTACTGAGGCAGTACTTCGTATGTATGTAGAATCCGTGTGGAACTTTAATAATCTCGTCGCCTAATAATTGGCCTACATGCAGTCAAAAAGTACGTAGTCAACTATAGAAAGTGTTGACTAGTGGGGGCTCGGCAATCTGGTCGATCACTCCCCTGATCCTGATCGTAAGTAATCTACAACGTACAATGCAAGCAAAATGAAGAATCACGAGTACATAGAACACACAAGTAACTATTGGCATCAAAACAAATAAAAATTGTCCCCATAAACAAGATCAGCGCAAACCAAGCAGCCAACTCACCTGCCTAACTCGGCCTCGGAGATTTATCGGCGCTACAACTAGGCAGGCGTAAAAGCCTCCATACCCCAATATTGAGCCTCCAATTGTATACGAGGTGGGGTAAGGCCCCAGTTCAACCACAGTCCATGTCGCGTACTTCCGCTATGAGATTTGGGGGTCGGATTTACCGAGATCTGGGTGACGATGGCTATGTTGTTGGATCTCCGCGGGCTGGCACATTGAACTACGGAGTAGCGAGTGTGTAAGCAGGTGTTCCATGTAGATTTCGCAGTAAGCCTGGATTCGATACTGGACGATCTGGATGTTCTTGAGCTATGTGGCGGTACTCGTCATGATTACTTGATTAGGTAGGTGCGAGTGTATTGTGCTGAAAAGTTTGCGAGGCAATTGGATTCTTGGATTCTCCGGCGAACGATGGGTTACGCTTGTCACATCTATACCGCAAAAATGACTACACTGATTATCTGCAATGGAAAAAAAAAATCTTTACAAACAGCATAAAAACGCTAAGTTCTCAAAGAGTGCACGGGGAAAGTCCGACCCATCACTGGATCTAGAGGGCAATCTCAGAAATCAAATCAAAACACCAACAGGTACTCAGGCGATGCCGAGAGGCGGCACCATGCCCTGTTCCTCTCGCGCCTCGCCGCCAAGCTTGTAGGAAACCCTGAAGCGGATCTTCACAGAGTCGCCCTTCCCCACGTCGATGCCGTCCATGAGCATCTCCTGCTGGACGCCGTTTTGCTGCTGTGGTGCGATGTCGCGACCGGACTGGGGTCGGAGTTGGAGTTTATAAGACTGGAGTATGTTAGCGGTGTGTAGGAAGACGTAGAATGTAAAGCTTACCTTCTCCACGGCAACCTGGAAATGGAGCTCGCCGATAGGTTGGCTGGTGTTGTTGGAGAAGTTGGCCATGACGTGAATCTGGCGCGGCTGGTTGGGCACGCGGCGTGCGGCAAAGTCGACGCGGAGCTGCGAGTTCAGGACTTGGATCTTGTTTGCTGATGGGAGGGCGTTGCTGGCTGGTAGGGATGATGCGAAATTCCACTCGTCATCTTCAGCTGCGGCTGCGGGTGCGGGTGCAGTTTGCGGAGCCGGTCCTCCGACGAGATCGAGTAGCGACGAGGAAGCGGGAGGGGTTTGCGCGGGGGCTTGGAAAGGACTGGATGATTGCCTTGGGCTGGCGGAGACTAGCGATGCAAATGGGTCGATGGGTGGCGGCGTCGCTGTAGATGGGGCTGGCGGCGCGCGCATGGGAGTGGGGGATTGAGAGACAGGTCGCGAACTGTTCATTGAAGCAAGGATATCATAATTAGGTTTGAAGGTTTGTGCCTGTTGTTGGGCAGGTGGTGTTGAGCCTGCTGACATGGATGGGAAGTTGGCTGTTATTGCTGTTAGTAGGGTTACTGGCGACGGCGCACGTTACTTACTGGAACCGAGAGAAATGCCACCACCGGGAGAAGGACCTTGCTCGCCCAATGACAGGCCGAGCAGGTCGTTCTCCAATGAGCTGCCACCCTGAGATGGCGTAGCCTCGTTGCCGTTAGAACTGGGCTGAGGTTCCGGGTCGAAGTCGATTAGAGAGAGCTCGTTATTCGCATTCGTAGAAACTCCTGTCGTAGTACCCAATGTTCCCTTGGGAATCCGAGATGCAGCATCCAAATCACCCTTCTTGACTAGCTTGTACCGCTCAATTGTACGGTGTATGCTGTCGTTGATCTCCAGCAGCTTGTGGACAGCCTCGGGATCATCCGATTCTTCCTCGCACATTTTCTGGATCTTTGGGTGAGCGCTCTGAAGTGCACCCGCAAGTTCCTGGTTTTCATACATTAGGAGCTGATCATCATCCCCTAAGGGTAAACGTCAAGTGATGCTATCACCTACCTCGAAAACATCGCCCTCGGAGAGAGCTTCGCCGGGCTGCTGATTCTGTAGCATCTCTTCCAGAATCTTAGCTTTTTGTTGCACCTTAACGACTTCCTCCGCAGCCTTCGCCCGGTAGTCAGTCTTATGCCTGTTATCATATCCGGCCATGACCTTCATGAGCCGGTTAGCCTCCTGCAGATCGGCGGGAGTACCCCTTCGAATCAACTCTTGAAGCTTAGCAGACTGGGCCTCTTTCTCCTCCTCTTCCATCTCATCAGCAGAACGTAGATTCTAAACAATGTCAGCTTGCTTCGGCGCAACAACAAGCCATAACATACATCACTCGGGTTCAAGACTGCAGCATCTTCCCTGCGGACCTCCGGGAACACATAACCCTTGTAAAGCAAGAGACGATGCATATCCCGAATGAACCCCAAGTCCTCCTTGTAGCGCGACGTTTGGCAAATAGTCTGTCGCCACTCCTCAATCGACTCCAAGATGCGGTGCTGTACCCTAGAGGGCCGCATGGGCGGACGCTCGGGAAACCTGCGAACCAATTCATTCAAGAATTCTTTTGTGCCGATCTGAAGATGGAAGGGGTATCCGCAGTTCTTGACGACGATGTCGAGTAACTAGAAACCGCATTGTCAGCTCGCGCCAGCTGTCATCCCTGTTCCCCACGTACCGCTAGCGCCAATAACGCGACATTCTGGTTTCGGGAATTGATGAGATGAACGATGTCGAATGCCGATTCACGGGGTCTGGATTGTGCAATTGTGAGTATGCGCAATGCAGCATGGGTGCTCGTACTCACGCATTGCCTTTCTTGGAGTTGATTAGGTCCGCAACTTCGAGATTCAGGGCCAGATTGGGCTCGTAATTTTGCGGGTCGCAGGCATTCCCTGATAGAGATAGGTATTTAGTATAATTCATATTTGTGTCACGTTCGATCTATGTCCTAAACTCACGAATTGCCCGCTGCAACGGTGACAAGCCCGGCTCAGCGTAGACACCGAAGCGGTCCCTAGCCGCCATTCGTGCTGAGGCTGCCTCCAGGGTGACGGTGGGCGAGAGAATAAGGAAAAAGAAAAACAGATAGTAACCGGGAAAAGAGAGGGATAATTCGTGCAAACGCAATGATCCCAAAAGACGAGATGTGTACAAGTCGTGGGGCTGAGTGCGGGCGGAGAACCCGTTGTTCTGCACGTGTGGCGCTTGTGCTTGGGCCTTAATCTTTTTTCAATCTTCAGCTTTCACCACATTTTAGATCAAGTCTACCTATTGTCTCTATATTTCATATTCTCCCAGCCATGGTCCGCCATAAAAAAGACAACTTCTCCCGAGGAGGAAAGAAATCCAACAACCCCCGCCCTCGACCAGGACCCCGCCATGAAGATGAGAGCGCGGGCGTCTCACGACCCGCTTATAAAGCCGCATGTTGGGACATGGGACACTGCGATCCTAAGCGATGCTCAGGAAAGCGATTGATGAAATTGGGCTTAATGCGGGATCTGCATGTTGGCCAGCGCCACGCCGGCGTGATCATTTCGTATGTCGCATTGCAATTTTTTGCCCCGGGTCACATACTGATAAGCAATTAGACCAAACGCCAAGAAGATTGTCTCTCCTGCAGACAAGGATCTTATGGAACAATACGGTGCTGCGGTAGTTGAATGCTCCTGGGTCCGAGTCAGTGAAGTGCCTTGGTCGCGGATCGGCGGAAAGTGCGAACGACTTCGTACGTGATAAGCCTCAGTGATCAGCATGTTTCAGAAACTGACTATTCCACCATCCAGTCCCCTACCTGATCGCTGCCAACTCAGTCAACTACGGAAAACCATGGCGTCTGAACTGTGTCGAAGCGCTCGCTGCCTGTTTCGCCATTTGCGGCCGTCTGGAGTGGGCAGAGGATATCCTCAGACATTTCAGCTACGGGCCTGCATTCTTGGATATCAACAAGGAATTGCTCGCGCGGTACGCTGCATGCGCAACAGAAGAAGAAGTGAAGCAGGCGGAGACGGATTGGCTCGCCAAGATCGAACAAGAATACGAAGATAACCGCGCCGAGGGAGGAAACGATATCTGGACGACTGGAAATACCAACCGATTGCCCGCGCGTAATTCAGATGACGAAAGTGGAGACGAAGAGGATAGCGAGGAAGAAGAGGAAGAAGAAGAAGACAAGGATCCATTTGCGATTTCCGACGACTCAGAGGACGAAGCTCAAATGGCCGAGATCCGCGCTAAGATTCTCAACTCAAAGTCCTTCCAAAATCCAGAAGAAGACAAACCGCAGCCAGCGAAGATCCCGAGACCGGAGCAGGTGTACGTCGACTCTGATGCTGAGTCTGGCTCGGCAGGAAGCGAAGACGAAGCGTTTGACAATATCATCAATGCTACTACGGTCACTGACCGCACTGGTATCAAGGCAATTCAGCAGCGGAAAGCAAAGGAGACTGTTACTGGTTCTTTCTCTCGGGCTGAGATTTCTGCTCCGAAAAAATGGTGAAACCAAGTGTTGGGACACCAATCACTCCCATGCTGGCTCAGTAACCAGAAAGCTTCAATCAAAAATATGTCGGGGTTCCTGCTCTCAGATCCCGAATAGCGGCCCGGCGAATAAAAAACGCTGCCCTATCGTCCGTTCTGCGGGAAATGAGGCTCTCTGCCGAGTATTGTTTTGGGGTCATCTCAGTGAGAGAACGCTTCGGTGGAGTCAAAAGAGCCCCCATTTTGTACTGGGCTATGTGCCTACGCAGCCATGTCCGCTCTTCGGTTATATGGACCCGTCTTTGCATGAATGTACGTTGTTATGAACCTAAAATACATGTGTCGTGACTCCATGGCATAGTCTTTTTGTATCTTATGATGGAAGGAGGGATCAGATATCAGCAAAGGACGAATTACAAGTCGAATGCATTTCAGCAACCTACATATGTACACAGGCATCTGATATATTCCTTCGACTGATAAATTCAACGACCGTATTCACAATAGCAGCAAATGATTTGTGTATATAAGTACCTCAGATGTAAGTCTGAACAAACAATCAATCCCAATAAGCCTCGTAACAAAAATAGTAGAATAGTAGCTAAGTACAAACTTCCCTTCTCAAACACAAGTCTCTTCGATTTGTAAACCACAGTTATCCGTTTGTCACATCCCAGGTTATCCCATCTTACTCAGGGGACACAACCATATCCTTGCAAGTAAAGATTGCCTCCTTGTGCTTCCCCTTTTCCAAAAATTTTAGAATACGATGGAAATTCCAGGTAGTATTCAGCGAGAGCTCTTGGCCTTGCAAGCGAAGTGCACCTACTTGATTAAAGACATGCATGATGAACGGGTGCTTGATGAGACCTCGACGCGGTTAGTACAATACCATCAAAAGTAGGTAACATTTTACTCACCAGATTCGAGGATCTTCTTAGCAGGAACTCCGTAGAGGCGATCGAAATCAGCGGCGTACTGGGGCAGTCTTTCTTGCACCATCCGTGCATCTGTCTCTGCGGGATTGATGACCATTTCAGATTGGGCTATGGTACGGAGCATTGCGTTAGCCTCTTGGGCGCTGATAGTGCCACAGTTTTGGATATAGAAGCAGAACTGTCTCTGTCTGGTGTTCAGTAGGTTGCTCTCAAGTGGACGCAATCGGTAATGGAGGCTGGAGATTGCGCTCTGCATTGATTCCTTCTCTGCTTTGCATAAAGTGTTGCACATGTGCTCAATGTGCCACTTTTTGTTTGATTGTTTTTTGGACTTTTTGGTGGCTCTCTCTTCACGCTTCTCTTGGTCTTTTTGAATATTCTGCAACTCGAGCAAGCAGGCCATCCTATCGGTTAGTGCTTGAAGCTCGGATGCCAACCTTGCGTTTATGTGCTTGACGTCGAGAATGATTTTCTGCTGTTCACTGATCTTTTCTTCGCGGTGCTTTAGCTTCATGCCCTGGTGGTCGACAGTCTTTTGAAGCTCGGATATTATTTCATGGCTTGCATGGGACTCTGTCTCGAGCTTGAAGGCCATACAAAAGTCGTCACTGTCCTCTCCTGTCCAATGCTCAATATTCTCAACCATATCCATCATCGTGTTGTGTAATGGACGGAAATATTCCTCATGGTGCGCATCCAACTCGTCGATCAATTCTTGCTGGTAGTCTAGTTTCCCCAACATTGTCTGAGCTTGGTTATTGATGACCTCTTTCATCTTCATGAGTCGCTTGTCCAGAGAATCTGCGATTCTGGTTTGTTCTTGGCGCTCATACTCCGCTGCTCCTTTCTTGATATTGAGAGTAAATATCACACCTTTCTGATCGTTGACCTGTGATTCAAGCTTATGGCTCCGCGATTCAAGGTGTGAAATCATCTTTGCTTGTTTGTCAATTTGGAACAAAATTTGTGTAGTGTGTTGCTCGAACTCGTGTACGGCGCCTTCGAAATATCGCTTGAGATCAAGTATCACCTTGTTTTGTAGGGCCATTTCCTCCAACTCTCGCTTGTTTCGCTCGCAGAAAGAGTTCAAAGCCTCGGATAAGTTTGTGATGTTGGGTTTGAGGATATCTCTGGCAGCTTCGATCCATTCGGCTTCCTGGCGAAGAACCTTGGTCGTAGCTTCATTACGCCCTTCGAGGTGATACACGATACCTGCTTGTTCTTTGACATCACCGACAATCTTCATGTTCGCTTTTTCCAGTTCCAATAGGTAGGCGTTCGTTTGGGTAATATCGTGGATTTCAGCAATAGTGGGCAAGATTGGGGCTTGACCTAGAGACATGGCTGCGTTGAATATCTTGGTCTTGTATGTAGGTCTAAAATGATAATCCAAAGCAAGCAGATTGAGTCTGATCTGCGTGGTTAATGTCTTGGAAAGTGCGACAGAGAAAAGGAAGATAGGAATGAGTTGAGTCAGGCGAAGTCAAAAAGCGAGGCTTCTTTCCTTTTCAGGTCACAGAGCACTTTCACTTACAGTACTTTAGAGTACCTCAAAGTACATCTTGACTCTTCTCTTTACATTTGTTTCCACGAAGACTCTATCAAATGCAATGGTCGGATGCAACCGGGGGAAGGCCTGATGAGTTGTGTACACAGTGATGATCAAATAGAGATGAAGTGATTGATCAACTGAACATTCCAACCTCTGTTTGATTCTCAATTTAATGTACATGCATGCACATGTATATCCATGTAGAGTGCAAGTACATCTACATACATGTTGTTTCAATCCATTGGTTGTTGCTCCGTCTCTGCTTTAAGCCTCGGAACTTACGCACATTTAGAACCAAGGCTACATATATAGCTAGCGATGCGAGCCATGGGCTTCCAAGGTTGAGCAGTGATGTAAAAGGCTCTAGGTGAGCCTCTACTAAAGCTGAATATAGAAGCTAAAGGATATTCGTAGAATACAAATGCGACTGACTACATCATAGGTAGAAAGGGTCCCATATCAGTAATGAGAATAGGAATGAATGGTCGGAAAGGCCCCACCATAATGAGATCATTCTATTAGCATGAAAGAGACTTGCACAACAAAGGAAAGCTAGAGGGAGCATCAAACAATAAAAGAGTAACATCAAGAATCACAATTTGAACAAGCAGCGATGTGTGCATCGGTATAAAACCCCTAATTCTCACTTTGTATTCTGTCATTGCCTACAAATGCTATCTCCATGATGCCGCCGACACCTTAAGCAATCAACAGCATGATGTCTAGGCCACGAATGTGTCAACGAGTGCGAAGAGGAATGCCAGATCAACGGGTTTGCATCGGTATAGACAGGACGAACAGGAGCCCGGCTAGCGCGACGTCGCCGACTAGAGATGTGTCTGGAGGGGCGTCGTTTAGTGAACGGAGTGGACAGCATGGGTGAAAGGTTCGAAGGCATTAGAGAGTTTGACTGGGGGAGACTTGTTAGTTCTGTGACGGGAGTAGATTTCTGGTCATGTACTTGATCTCGCGAACGGAAATGATTTGTGTATAGTATGAGGTATTGGGTTTATAGAATTTTGGAGGATGGTTTTTTCCGACAAGTATTTTGGAGAAAGAAAGAAAGAGTTCAAGAAATTTGATGGAAGTGCCGTATGCAAGGACTATCGCGGTTCCTGTTTCATTTGAAGTTGACTCGGGGATATGCAAGGCACAGAAGCATGATCGCTATGGGGCAGGTGTCTCAGTTACTTGCTTCGGCCCCTAGTTTATAACAGTAGTCGTCCGTGGGAGGTATTCAAATGGCCCTCTGGCTGGATGTGGTAGAATCAAGTATTTATATGGAGTACCTACCTTCGATCCTATAAAAAAACACCCTCAAAATCATTATCTGATTCATAATTCTACGAGTAGTAAGAGCCAAAAGTCATGTTTAATGTGATATACCCATCGAGAACGATTGAATTGGTTCAAGGATGATATTGTTCGTATCAACACCATCGAGCATCAACATGCGAATACATCAAATCTCCACCAGAGAATGGAAACACCCAGAGTTTTGAGTATGAGCATGATCCCGCGGTGCTCTCTTCTTGACCTCTCGTGTAGCGGTGGGATTACGACGAGGAATCGAAGCAAGGCTATTAGCGTACGTCGCAACCGCAAAAGCCGTAGCCTTCGAATTTATCAAAAACGCCTCGTGGTTGAGATTGGTGATGTTATCACCAGCAGCATGGTAGTTCACATCGTAGGAGACGTTAGCCTGGCCACCAAACAGTTTCGCCTGCTCGGCAGTCTTGATGCCCTCGGCACCAGTAAAGATGCCACCGGAGGGAATTCCACGAGAAATGAAACCGTCGTAATCAGATCGCCCATCAAAGGCAGTGGGGATATATGGCAGTTTCTTCGACTTATAATAATTCTCGAACAAAGCCTCGATTTGGGCAGAGCCCGCGGGTCCGGTCTGATTGAAGGCATTTCCGTCGCCGTCGTAGATCATGAGCGCGTAGTTGGGGGAGGCGATCATGTCGAAGTTGAGGTAGAGCTTGATCTTTGCTAGTTCGTCTGCGGACAGGTGCGAGGTGTAGTACTCGCTGCCTAAGAGGCCGAACTCCTCGCCTGTCCAGAAGCAGAATCTGACGGCGTTCTTGACGGAGAATTTGGTCAATGCTTTTGCTACCACAAGGTTGCTGATGATTCCGGAGCCATCGTCGTTGATGCCCGGACCGGCTTCGACTGAGTCGGTGTGGCCTCCTAGTGAGACGACGTTTTTGTGATCGCCGCCTTTTGTCTCTGCAATGACATTGAAAGTGGTGCGGTTTTCGACTCTGCTGTCTATCTCAAGAGACACAGACACGGCACTCGCTGCCGCCGCACTGAGTAGTGTCTCGCCATCTGCCTGAGAGATTCCCGCAATAGCAGCATAAGTGCTAGACACTCCACCCAGGGTTCCAGCCAGACTTCCTGCAGCGTTGTTATAGACAATCACCGCCGCCGCCTTGGCTGCAGCAGCCAGCACCGACTTGTCTGCGAAAGTACATTCGCCACGCTTGACTAGGGCGATTCGACCAGCAACGTCAGTCGGGTAGTCCGATGCAGTGCATCCGACGTTCGATACCACTACCAGCTCCGCAGTAACATCAACGCTGGGGCTGTATGTCATAGCAGCAATTTTGATAGACTCGTCGTTGAATGTCAGAGAGGACTCTGCGCTGGTCCATGTGTGCACCTGCTTCTGCTTGTACACATCGTAATAACCTGTCTTCTTCAACTCGCGATAAAGAAAGTCCACAGTATCGTTATGTGCTGCGCTACCAAAGACACGGTTCCGCTCGGGATACGCATAGGCGAAATCCTCGAGCTTTTGCGACCCTTTCAGTAGGTCATCCAACCGAATCAACGACGATAGTTTATCCTAACAAGTTAACAAGTTAGGCTATAGATCATCACGGTAGAGACACCTTTTGTACATACCGGTGTAACCAGGGGCTTTCCCCGACCAGCCAAGGCCAAAGACAAATGGTATGCTAAGAAAAGCCACTTCATTGTCGAGTAATGTGTGAATCGATGGCTATCGAGAGCCAGCAGGAGGAGTCTTCTTATACCTATTCTTCGGAGTGAGGTGCTAATCTGGATCACGCGATGATAAAGCGCAATGGTGCATAGTGCATGATTGGCAGTGAGGGCGAGCCAAGGGGCTTGCTGCACTTGGCAGCGGAAGAAGCAATTTCATAGGGCCGGCTAGCCTAAACTGCAGGCGGGACCCCGACGGCACTTGGCAATGTGATGACAGTGTGCGGGCTGAGGTTACAATGCCAAGTGTGGCTTCTGAAAGTTGCTTTTGATGAATGGCATTCAAAGTGAAGAAGATAAGTCGATACGCAATAGTGCGGGGGTTGCGCCTAGTTTAGCGGTCTTTACTTTAATTATTACTGGTACATTAACACTGCGCAATTAAGACTAAACTGGGTTAGGGCATTTAATTTAGCTCAGACGGGATATTCATGTACCCTGAAGTCTTGGATTTACGGTAATAACATGCAAGATATGCCAGTGTATACTAGTGAGAGGACTTTTAGGTGACGAATTAGCATATACTTAGGTGATTAGCAGACGGTCCAGGAGGCCTTAGAAGGAGTTATCATCATGCTGCTGTGGCAATCATTTCTGCATTGCAGCAAGTGCCTCCGTGCGCCAAACAATAGTGCCGTGATTGCATGCAGAATGTGATTTAGATTTGGTCAACTGCTTACATTCAAGACTTGCGACTACATTATGAAACGGCATTTTCCTCGGAAAATAACGTTCTATATCTAATTCAGAACCACAAACATTCATTCGTCGCTCAAGTAGATCAGATAGGTCACTGTACGTAACATATTTCCTCTGGCGGGTGGGGCATTCCTATCTTAGCTGCCGCCGCTTTTACGAGGGCGCTCAGAGTAGATCGCGTAGATGAATAATTGGCGGTATGGTGCGACGATCCCGACCGGCCCTTAGCGAAGCGCCATATCTGTTTCCGTCAGCTGTCTCTGGAGAAGACTAACGGGGGGGGGGGGGGGTAACCCTTCTTCAGCAACCGCAACACAGCTGGCGGAGTGTTGCCAATCACCAGACCTCAAGATATTCCTAGAAATCTGTATCGAAAGGATCAGCCAGGCTTGACTCCCCTGGCAAGGCATTCAAGATTGACTTGAGCTTTGCTGATCATGACTCCAACGCCTCTCTGACATCTACGTATGCGATAGCCGTCCGTGCTAGCGCTGACTTCAAGCAAGAAACACTCATCGGGTACAACTTTACCAGCAAAGAGGTCTTCGTGGATCGGCGAAATTCAGGAGATATACCTTTGACAAGACATTCGCAAGCTTGTATCACGCCCCACTGTCCGCGAGCTAGGATAAGCGTATCAACTTGCAGATCTTCGTGGATTGGTCTAGTGTTGAGGGGTTGGGGGATCAAGAAGAGGTCTCTTTGACGGCTCAGAGATTCCCAGAGGGAAATTCGACTAAAGCACAGCTTGTCTCAGGGAATGTAGTGACCCAGAATGTCAGGCTTCGGATCAACAGGATGTGTTCAGCGTGGCACTAGAATAGCAAGAGAGAAAAAACAAATTATAACGAGGAACAATTGATGTTTTTGATGAGCGCAATACTTGATGGCATATCATCACTTGTCTTTCTATTGACTACGATTTCACCAGCAGGCTTGGGAATGCCATCTTCTTGTCAGTGGCGTTTACATATTATCCTGACCGGTCTGTTCTTCAGCATTGGAATGTAGGGCACGGGTGCTGGTGTTCGAGCGTAGAGGGCACAAAACTAGTGGCATGAACTGGGCTGTTGTCGTCTGCACTATCATGCACAAATCATCGACCCACCCGTATGCCTCGCATTCACCGTGTTGGAACCCCCGTGAAGTGCACGCCCGCACGAGCGGTGCGTAATAAGAGAAACAGAATCAGGGAAATTAAGGAACCGTACAGGATGCCGGTTAGAGTCGGAATGGCCTCTCTTAAGTAACCATTTAGCAGCTTAGTCCTAGTACTCCTACCAGTGAGACAGGTGCGCAGCCACGGCGCCCTTTATGGCGTCGACGTACGATCTGGCTCTTAGTGTATTGGCATTGATATGCGTTGACCAAGTTGCGATTTACAACGCATAGAGGTCTTATCTAATTTAAATTGTTTCCTAGTGCATCTGTTCAAATTGCTGCTTCTAGTCATGGCCAGTTGGGTTCTTGATAAGGTCACTGATGAGTCACTGATGAGCTCCTCGACACCTTGAAGATTAAGATACTCGAGCACTGGTCTGGTGATCTTAATAGAGTTATTGCCGCTAATATGAACTAGCAGCTGGCGTACGTCGTAATTGCGTCTAGAATGTGCTCGTTGGTGTTGCGTTCAGATTTTCCACGACCCCTGAAAGGGGGGGGTGGCTCGCCGATCAATGGCCGAGTTGACTTGGTAGGCGCATAGAACTTCTGCAATCTCCTGTAGTTCTGAGGCAGAGCAAAGTCTGTCCGAATATTGCAGGTCAAGCTTCGTAACAGCCTTTTTCGCTCCGTGACCGAACGCTTTGCTTGCCTGAGCGTTTTTCAATTTTCCTGGCCGCAGGGTTGGTCTTTTCTTAGGTTTCTCTTTCAGTAATTCCTTTCCTTTCTCCTTTTTGGCTTTATTCGACTTTCTTGGCGCCAATTTCAACGGTGTGACGAGAAAGGGTGGAAGAACGTATAGGAAAACCGAGGCCAAAGTAGTGAAGTGGATGGAGAAAACTGAGGTCACGGTGAGGAAGAAATTGAGAAGAGGAGAAAGAGTGAGAAAAGAGTGAGGAAGATTGAGAAAAGGAGTGAGGCGGGGGTGACAATGTCGCGTTAGCTTGAGATGCCTGACGGCAAGTTGAATATGGATGAAATGTCAAATGACAAATTGCCGGCTGATTGATAGAAATATGTGAACAGAATAAATTATGGATGAAGTAGAAGAAAAAGATAACTCAAGGGTGGAGTGAAGTTGAAAAGGATAGGTGAAGTGGAAAAGATGATGAATTGGAGGGGATAGGATGATAAGAATATACTGGGCCTGTTGTTGATTTTTAAGAAGTAGAGTGCCACGGCCAAGCTTCTTCAAACTCAGCCTCTTCGCAATGCCGTTGTTCAAATTCATCGAGCAATTCTTGACATCCTGCCAGGTTTTCCGCTGGCAACCCGTCATCATCAACGGGCCCCCTACCGGCCCACCGAACAAGGTATTCCGTCCATTGGCGCCTCGTTCCATCAGCGCGTGGCCGACCTGGCGCGCGCACTGTCCGCTTAGCTATAATGGCTTCTACCTCAAAGCTCTGTTGGTCTCAATAGATTGAGCGAGGAGGTACAGTAAACATGCAACTATCTAGAAGGCTGCAGCCCGGGGCGTTGCGGTGCAATCTCGAAAACTAGATTCGCGCCGAAGTTGTTGTTTTTCCGTAGTGAGAACTATATCCTGCACCTCCCAAATACACCTAGTTCTATCGACACAAGAAACTCCCCCCAAACCCATCCACTTATACGTACGCTACAAATTTCATTTCAACATTTCAACCATCTCATCATGGAAAGCCAGGCACAGATTTCACAGTAAGTCCCATACTCTGCATAGCCCTTCTTGAAGATTGACATAAACAAAACTAGCTCCTCGCCACTGGCCCCAAACTTGACCCTGAGTCTCTCGCCACCAGACGATATCCAAACAAAATTATCCATTCCCACTACTGACGGGATAATTGTCAAATTGCAACGCGAGAAAGATGACAATGCCAGACCCTTCGTCTTCAAATGGGGACCCACAAGAGACTTCTTCAACCCCTCTACAGTGACACTTTTTCGAACTTCTTCTACCGGAGACAACTCCCAGTCCGATATCCTGGAGAAGCAGGAAGTTCAACTCCCCACACAGGAGAATCAAGTAGAGCCGCAGACTTTCATCGTTAGACAGAATGCTAATGACCATGTTTTTGAGCTTGGCCGTGGCAAGTCGATATCCTTCAATCATGATTTTCCGAAGTCATGGCGACAAGTTCTTGTTGCTGGTGAGAAATATGAACTCTTTTGGAAGGGCGACAAAAATATTGCACTGTGGGATTGGGGTAGTGTGCACGAGTATATAGGCAGAAGTGAAAGAAGTGAAAGAGGAGGCAAAGAGAATCCACCTACGCTATAGTAGTCACGGGAGCGATGAGCCTAGGATGTTGATGCGATTCACAGCCGTTGTGGAAAACAAATATTCACAGCGTGCTTCTGTTGTGCGGACGTTTAACTCTCCAGGCCTTGACTTACCGACAACTCCAAAGAGGGTGTAAGTTGATTGTCCTACTTTTCTTTATCTACGTCGTGTATCGGGCTCGCTAACGGTTGGAATTTTTAGTTCAGGAGCACCGATACTCAGCGTCTCGCTTGAGATAAAAGATGGTTTCGAAGAGCTAAAGCAAGAAAATAGACATCTCAGGATGAATTTCCGAGCTAGGGTTGCATATCACGGCGTTGAAAGTGCTGATTCTACTGCTGCAAATCCTATCGCCTTTCACTGCAATACCTTTCTCGACGAGATAAATTACAGGTTATATTGTCGTCATCGGGATGAAGATGATCTGTGGAAACACTGTCCACATAGCAGCATCTGCCACTTCCTTGCGGACGATCCCGATCCCGTTGTTGAGGTTAATATTGCCCCTAGTGAGGACTTTGTCAGTCTCCGACCTGGCGAAAGCTGGAGTGCGATAATTGAGCTCGACGATGAGCTCTGGGATTTCCCGAATGATCTGCAGCCAGGGGATGTGTTCCGGTTTGTGTTCAAGGTCGCTACGATAGATTAGTGGGATTGGGGTAGTAAGGATCAGGTTAATACTCAGACGGTGGTGACCGCAGAGGATATTCCTTTCGGCAGCGTTGTTGACCCAGCTGATAATGGTGGCAGACTTGAACTAGTGGTGCCCACTTCCAACCAAGTTGAGTTTGCATTTTCCGGTTAGATATACTACATCTACTCAAAATTGGAACGATTGCAAGAATAAGCATCTTACAACATAATATATGCCATATTGAAAGCAACCAAAAATGAATAAGAATCCAATTCCTAATACTAATGACCGGCTAGCAAGGGTTCCGTCTCTCCCACAGGACGTTGTGCTGCAGTGATACTCCGTCTGCAGATAATAAGGCAAAGAACCGCCTGTCCAAGCGCAAAAAGGATATAGTCCACAGCTGCCCATCCCACTAGAAGATAGTTATTCATAACGGGTGAATTGTAGAATGTGGGCATATTGGCCGGTGGCCATCGAACTCGTAGGAGCCATGACACCCCCAGCAAAGCGAAAACCAAAGATTGAACCGCGAGCCCGCGGACACTGAGGGAGGAAGAGGACCCATCCAAAGTCTGACGGACCTGGATGATAAATGAGACAACAATCAGAACGGTTGCAACTGGATTAATGAAGAGAATGTGAGGGACGCCGAAAAGGACAACAGGCCATTGCCTGTAAGGACCATTGTAATGAGGGCCTCCAGTGACGACATCGAGCATCGCTGGGATAACAGAAATGAAGAGAAATGCAATGTATATCGCCACGGCAGTGCTTTTATGAGCAAGACCGTCGTTAGGAAGGTAATGGAGTGTGAGGGTGAAACTGCAAAAGCTAGTTAGTCCCACAGTGATTTCAATTTGGCCATTGAATTTGAAGTTGTTCATACAGGACAAGAAACAAGATGTAAGACACTGTCATCTGACCTAAATTAAGCCAGTCACCTATGGTGTGTGGCTTGTGAACAAAAATGGCACTGCCAACATTGTTGTTCACCAGGAGGAAGAACACTATTGTGAACTGTTCCGTGGCGACGATAAGATTGAAAAGCACATAGTATACGGAGATACCGGAGCTATTCTTTCCCAACCAAAGACATTGAAGCTGGGGATAGAAGGATACTACTGTCAAAATGGAGAAGATACTGAATGGTTTGTTAGATATATCATCAATTCTGGTTGTTGGAATGCGTACATGCTCAGCCAGTTTGGGAAGGCCATGGTGAATGGGTTGCTGAAGTCAGATCTGGGTCTCACAGGGTCAAATATTCCCAGCGATACAGGTGCACCGAGGTCATGACTCAAACTAAGAGCGAGGGGCTGTCAGCACAGGTGGCCCAAGGCTCCTAGTCCAACGGCTTGTTTGTTCCCAAGTCGGCTATAGTCGCGGGGGCCGGAACTAGTGGGGGCCGGATTATCTTGGCACTGATCGTATAAATCCATACAGAGTACGTTCTAGTAGTTGGTGTATTTCTCAATTCTATTTTTCTGGTTTCAGTGATGCCATATATTTAAACGTCAAAGACCAGGGCATTCCAAAGGGTGTAAATTTCATTGACATCAACGGTGAGAAAATGAACATGAACAACATTCTTCAGCCAATTACAGAAAGCTCATAGTCACAGGTGATGGTCTGGATGATTTTGTCTGCATCGGTTCAGATGGCACGGCCTATGCCAGCGTCAGCAATGGCGATGGAGCCGACACAGTTGCCCCGACATTCACTTCTCTTGGAAATTGGAAGGTGACCGAAGGACCTCAAGCAAATGTCCGACTTGGAGATGTCGAGGGAGATGGTAGAGCAGAATACTGTATCCTTGCTGCAAGTGGTGATTTCTCCTGCTGGCGAAACGGATGGATCGGTAAGTTCCTCAGATCTGCATTTGTTTGATACCATTGGTGCTGATAGTATATAAGAGGACCTCCCGGCGTATTGGCAGCCGCTTGGCAAACGATTTACCGGCAAAGGGATGGGAGATATCAAAGGTGTTCGATTTGAAGATATCAACGGAGATGTGAGACAACGTGATTTCCTTTCCTCCTTCCCTTTGGACATGCCCCTTCCATCGTTATTGACATCCTTTGATACATTTTTGCTCTCTTATTGATCTGAATTCTACATTGTTCTTTTCTCTAACCATGAATACCTATGCTCACTGCTCACCTCAATATGGACGAGACGACTGGATTTGGGTTGACGATGATAGCGCACCAACCACCTACACCAAATCCCGAAGTTGCATCAGAGGAAAGGAGAGAGATGGACTCAACATCGTCTGGCGTCAGGGATTTCAGAAAGGCCAAACCTCTGGACCTACGCACCCAGGAATGGGAGGCTTCGCGTATGGGAAACGAGACGCGAAAGCTGGAAAGGCTATCTGTCCCCCAGATCCGGATAATCTCTTTGTTAAAGGCGCCTGTGATTTGAATAATACAGAATACAATGCGGACTCTTACGCTCTTGTCGCAGCGGGCGTCTACTTTAGCGAAAAGTGCGACAGAGAGATTCAGCCTCCAGAAACTAAATCTGCAGCTGCTGATTCCAATTGACCAAATTACGATGATTGGATCCAATTTGACAGATATCCTGATACTGATCTGGGAATCAAGCGCTATGTGCATTTCGGAGATTCATATGCCGCTGAATTGGGGACGCAACCGACCTCTGGCGATGACTGCCGCGTTGGAAGCAACAATTACGGCAATCTGTTGAATACCTGGCTTCGTGATACAGAAACATTTGATTACGAGATTCATGCATGTTCAGGCGACACGACAGATGGACTCAACCATCAAATTGATGAGTGGCTTAAAGGGAATCCTAAATCCACCACCATGGGCACTCTCACGATTGGAGGCAATGATGTTGGGTTCAGTGAGCTCGTCAGGAATTGTTTCCTTATAATTTGGTATTCAAGCATCGATTCGTATAGACAGAGCTGTATTGACAGCGAGTCGAGGGCATGGGACTTGATGCAAACTCCAGGTGATACAGGAATTGAAGGAAAATTGAGCAGCGCCTATAGGCGCATCATGGATGGCGCGAACTCGGTATGTTGCATCCGATAACCCCTTCCCCTTGCGATTTGTCTTTAAGAGTGATTGTTTAACAAGTTGCCAGAATTTCCATCTTTACGTGCCAGGCTACGTTGGGTTCTTCAACCTAGACACCGAAGATTGTGACCATACCACTTTCTATTATTGGAGTCCTGGCTGGGATGAGACTCTAACTCCCGACAAACGTATTTATTTGACTCGTAATTTCCGGCGAGAGATCATCGACCTAGTCCAGGAGCTGAACAGTCTGGTCTCAGACATGGTCACTGTCGTGAACAAAGAGCTAGGCTCCGAGAGGATTCACTACGTTGACATGCAGCCTCGCTTTGATGGCCACCGATGGTGTGAAGCAGGCGATTTCCATGAGCCCGAACCAAACGGAAAGAGCTACTTCTTCCTTAGTGCGTGGCCTGATCTTTCGCTTGATGGTATAACCGAGTCAAGTCTACGGGCCCCTTGCCAATATAACTACTTCATCCCCCTTGGATAAAGGCTAACGCGATGTGGTAGGCAACCGAGACAGTAGAGGTCGATTCCATCGTAGGCCAGGGATCCATCAAGCTGCAAGATGCATCCACGTGTCGTGGCTCTCTAGGTAGCAACCCGGATCCATATGCTGAAGCCATGTGTGGGGTCGCTCAGGAAGTGTCACAAAATCCAAACGGACTCGAGGCTCAGCGGTTGAATCGTGCCAACAAGGCCATCGCCGACGGGAATTTCACTGCCCGGGATATCTCCTGGTACATTCCTACACGATTAATAAAGACATTTCACCCTCGCTCGCCGGGTATGGCTCTTTACCGAGATGCAGTGATGGATATGATGACCAGCTCAGGGCAATTTTCCGGGTGAGACTGAGGCTTCCCAGATTGTGAGTCCTGGATATAGCAGCTTTAACTTTATCGCTTCATTTAATTATTACCTCGCTTTAATAAGTGGCTTTGTATGTGTAAAAGAAATATGAAATACGAGGGTAAAAAAAACGGCCCCCATCAATACGATGACAAGCCTCAGGCCCCTGTACAAATATTTAGCGAGCATGAACGAAACCATTCCGACTCTTAGTCGTTATTTTCGCAACGACCTGGTATATTTGGACGCTGGCCCCCTGCCTAACAAGGCTTGGAATCTTCGCTTATCTCTCGTATGGCTTTGCGAGTGTTTTATGCCGATGTTAGTCGTGGTACGGTTACATCGTAGAAATTACAGTAGGGAATTATCGATCAGAAAGTAGGGAAGCTAGAGCCTCCACCTTATGAGAATCTCCTACATATCATTCATTTACAAATTTCATTTAAGGCTCTAGGTACTCCGAGTTCATAATTACATGTATCTTTGAATTATTAGTTACTCTGCTATATTCCTTCGCTCGTTCTCTCCTAAGGTATCCTTCTCCTTATCGTTCCTATCTTTAGTGGTATTTCATATATCATATAGATCATTGATTGAGCACTTTATCTACCTAGGAAACTATTATACTCTTTATCGTCGGACTCCGACAATGATGTTGTCCCCTTCCTATGGCGGATCGGACGAATGTATGTCTAATCCGAGCTTTCCCAGTGATACTCCCTACCTATATATAATCATTATACTTATCGACCACCGGAAAAGCCGTTATCACCTTAATATAGCGAATCGGGTGAATCCTCATCCTATCCACCTTCGCTTTCTCCTCCGGGAACGGAGCATCCAGAAAAGCTTTTAGTGACTCTTAATTAATCACTATATACGTCGGATATAGGATAGTATGACCTTGCTTCTCCGGCGAAACAAGCTAAGACAAAAAATGAGCTTGGATCGAGTCTATCGAAACCCTATCAAACTGCGCTAGATCGGCCATGGTAACTGGAAGATTGTGGGTCTATAGGCTCTGCTCTAAATAGCTTATTCTTCTATATTAAGGTGGTCGGAAAATGACCCCTGCTTCATGTAGGATTTGAGTAGATCGATGATCTAGGGGAGTGCAGCATTGGACTGAGGAGTGTAGGTGGTGCGATAAATGACATAGCCACATATCGCTCTGGTTCTTACGGGAGCGTAAAAGCGTTTCGTAGGCTAAGGTAGCCAACTGAGATTCATTTTGATATATTGTAGATTTGATAGGGGAGCAAAAACTTTGAAAAGCAGGCAGCTTTAGATGAAGGAGTTAAAAAATTTGCGTATTATGAATAGAATACCTAGGTAGGGCGTGCTTGGATCAGCTTTGTGTTTAGTTGCTGCATGGCCAAATGCGATTAATTTAACCCGATAGAAAGATTGATGTAGGGAATTCCTGTCTGTCTCTATTTGTAAGGTCTAATTCATTGTCAGACTCGTCTAATATTAAATAACCAAGGCCCAATAAATAAAGCTTTAATAATGGTTGATGAAAAGTAGAGAAAACGCAGAGAACATTCATAATGAATTAGCAAGCAATAACGAAAGGTAGGCCCTCCGTTGTTATTTCTCGAAGTACTTCTCTACGTTTGCAAACTTCAACTCTTCTATATTAGTTGATTCGGAGCGGAGGGTAGGGGCGGCGGGGGATTGGCAGCGGAAGGCCGCCCATGATCCGGGCCACGATTAGTGTGGAGAGACGTCGGTCGATGGCAAAGGTATCTCTGATTCTCGCGGGGGATACTAGATCTTTTGCTCCAATCGAAGGGAGAGGATCCATTCTCTTACTGGAAAGAAGGGTATACACATGTCCCCAATCCCATCGCTAGATGCATTTTTCTTAACCTACATCGTTTATTCCTGCACAATTTATCTTACCTGCTATATTATCCTTGCTTGCCGTATGAATTCAATAGAAGCTACGTAGTTCACGTGAACCGGTGAAGTTGGAAGCTCACCGAAGCGGGAACTCCCAGTTTTCTACTGTCCCGCCCCCCACCAGCTTCTTGAACGACAATCACCCCAAATACCCAAAAGCAACATGTCCGAAAACAACAAGGATAAAGACTTCGGTGTTCCCCGTGTCTTCCTCTACCGTCACGGTAAGTTCCAATTCCCTCGTTATTCGTCCACTTCTAATGATGTAGGCCAAACGGAATGGACTAAGAACGGCCGGTACACTGGTGCCACCGAGCTTGAACTCACCCCATATGGAGAGAACCAAGTCAAGGCATCCGGCAAGATGATCGTCGGGCCAGGAAGACTGATTGACCCATCCAGGCTGGCACATGTGTACATCAGTCCTCGCAAGCGCGCACTTCAGACCTTCGAGATTGCATTCTCCGATGCCGACAGGCAGGCTCTCAAGGAAGCAAAGAAGGTCACTGAGACCGAGAGACTGACTGAATGGGATTATGGTCTGTATGAAGGTAGCGTGACCTCGAAAATTCGCGCATTGAGAAAGGAGCACGGTCTCGATACCGAGCGGGAATGGGATATTTGGAGAGATGGATGCGAGGGTGGCGAGTAAGTCTTTCTCTCATGTGTTGATCTGGTTGTACATGGAGATATCTGACTCAATGCAGGTCTGCACAACAAGTCGCTGATCGCATTGATGACCTCATTCGAGAGATTCGTGAGGCTCACAAGGATAACATGCACGGAGAGAAACCCTCCGACATCGTTCTTGTTGCTCACGGTCATTTGCTCCGTGCCTTTACCAAGCGCTGGCTGGGGTATCCTATGGAATTCCCCCTTTCGCTCATGCTTGATCCTGGCGGTGTTGGTGTTCTTAGGTACGATATCTCTAGTCTGTTTCCATTGAGCAAGTAGCTGACTTTGAAATTTGCAGCTACCAACATCATAGCATTGATGAGCCCGCTTTGGTGGTTGGCTGTGGATATCCCGTTCAGGAATAATGGGTCGGTCAAGCTATAACTACTTAGAACTGAAAATTTACATATATAGTTAGACTATATTTAAACCTGGAGGTCATAGAAGTGGTTTTTACAATGAAAGTCGAAACAAGGGCGAGATAGATAATTACATAGTGGTAAAGCAGCCTTAAAGCGATATCCAATTGTGCCTGAGGCATTCTTTTACCCTGATTTGGGCACTTATCGATCGAGCCCCTCCATGAACATGTGACTCACCATATCACGTGACTCCGGGGGCAAAAAAGAAAAGCCCCAGGTGCCACTTTGGTGAGGTTTTGAAGCCACTTAACTAACATGGCCGACGTAAGTCAATTTTTCCTTTACCACTTTTTTTAGATCATCGCAACTCACGTCGCTGTTTACCCCACTTAGACACTCGAGACCAAACAACGCAAGTCCGTTGCTTTTGACGAAGGTTCAGTCATCATGGACACCAACGGCCAAGTCACAGAGACTCCCGCGGCTGAGAAGCCCAACGGTATGTCATAACAGCTCCTCAATTACGATTTCAGCGCTAACGCTTATCGTTATCTAGACCCGGAAGTCGACGAGGTTACCGATATGTTCAAGGGTCTCTCAAAGAAGAAGACCTCCAAGAAGTCCAAGAGCACCGAAGATGGCAAGACCGAAGACGCCCCCGCCGCCGACGGCGAATTTGACCCTTCCCTCCTAAAAAAGAAGAAGAAGAAGAAGACCAAGACCCCCAAGGACTTCGAGGCTGAGCTCGCCGAAGCTGGTGTCGATAACGAAACCGCCGAGGCCGAAGAGGTCGCTGAGGGTGACCCCGAGGCTGGAACTGGTATCTGGCAACACGATTCCACCCAAGCGATCCCCTACGCCCTTCTCGTATCCCGCTTCTTCTCTGTTCTCCAGAAGCAACACCCCGACATGCAACTCGGCAAGTCCTACAAAATGATTCCCCCCAACGTCTCGCGCCAAGGCGCCCGAAAGTCTGCCTGGACAAACTTCAGCGCAATTTGTGAACGTATGAATCGTTCACGCGAACACGTTATGCAGTTCACCCTCGCCGAACTCGGTGCCCAAAGCGGTAGTATAGACAAGGAAGACCACCTGGTCATCAGAGGTACGTCCCATTGAACATTTGAATATTTTCACACATGCTAATTTCAACTAGGCCGTTTCATGCAGGGAGGTATCGAAAAGGTTCTCAGACAGGTAAGCCTCTATCCTTCTCATTTTGATGGATTTCACGGAGAATACCCGCTGACTGTAAAATTAGTACATTGTCGGATATGTTCAGTGCAAGACCTGCCGCAGCGCGGACACCGATCTCACCAAGGGAGAAAACCGTCTGTCCTTCCTTACTTGCCATGCCTGTGGCTCTCGTCGCTCCGTCGCTCCTATCAAAGTCGGTTTCCAGTCCCAGATCGGCCGCAGAAAGCGTGTTGGTTAAAGCGCTGGAGCATGTATCGATCGGTGGAATGACACATGATGATGAACACAGCATAGTTACGCGAAATAGAATAATATTACTCGATTTCTATGCATCTGATTTCTATGCATCTGATGCTCGCATACCGTTCATGATAATGCTAATACTAGTTGTTAATTGCAGCATTGAGCCGATTCAATGTATAAGCTCCCAAGGTCGTCCTGGACACCCAAGTACTTGGCCATGATAGTGGGGAAATTATAGTGTACTGCATGCACTTGATTCTAATTTTGAAGTGTGCATATCCTGATGTCATCCACGGGTATTTGGTGACAATTGATAGTCAGAAATGACATAGCTATTACGGATATCGTTACCTATATAGGTACTTATGCAGGTGGATTCTCCATGATCAGTTAGTTGCCTAGAGCCGTTCCCGGCTAGGCCCGCGCATGACATGAGAATTCAAGAACTCCATGGCTCCGCACTTCCTTGTGAAACCAGTTCGCAGGATCAGCTGAAATGGAAGAAAAAAGATACCGGTTCATCAGAACAAAAGCTCAGCCCTACTGCCAAGCTTGTTCCCCGCAAGTGCTCAGTTGACCCCATCGACTGCGCCTGTCACCAGGGCGCAACCCAAAATGAAGTCACGATCTTCGCTTCACAAACTCGTTAATAGCCATACGAGTATCTGGAAATGCAAAAAGAAGGCAACATCAGGCGGAATGGAGGCTCCTTGGCTGGTGGGCACCAGACAGCACTAACACTCACTAACGCTAGATCGTCAACTAACGCTAATTTAATGATCATCATTTCTCCCCTGATAAATTCCCGTTAGATTCCTGCGCTTTGACATGTCCTATCTGAATATCGGAGAGTTTCCTCGGACAATTCTCACTTCCTTCGCATCTCTCAACTTTTATAAATGGGCTACTTCAGCCTAAACGCAACTTAGCATCATGGATTCAACGGTCGCAGAGGCCGAAAGCAAGACCCAAGGACAATCAGAGCCCTCCACGCCAACATCACCGACAGAAAGACGCGGCTCAACCTTTATGAGCTTCTTCGCGTCCATCCTCGGCTCAAAAAACCCGCTGGCGCAACCAGCAAACCCACACCTAAACACCGTGTGGCTGCTCGACAACACGGCCTACCAGCCAGCAAATGACCAGCAAACTCAATCCTGGCACGTCGAGGTGGTCGCCTGCATCTTCGAAAAAGAAAGCAGAAAAGACATCACCAAGATCGTCGCCACAATCGCCGACTACATCGGCCTAGATGGCGAGCACGGCGCCCACCAAGAAGCCCGCAAGCGCATCGAGCACCGTCTACAACCATTCCTCGACGCCGTCTCGCCGTCCCGCACACTAACCCTCCAAATCCCCATCTCCCGCCCCCTCCAATCCCACAGCCTAGGCCCATCCGACCGCAATGGTATAGTCAGCCAAAGCGTCGAAATGGGTCATATCCATCTCCCCATGGAAGACGGCGCCGTCATCCGACCACGCTTACAGGATTTTGACGAGCCGGTGTCGATGAACACGACGTTCGCCGTGCCAGACGGCTGGCTCATCATCTCCGACATTGACGACACCATCAAGCGCACGCTGACTCTCGACCCAACGGGCGTTATCCAGACCACCTTCGCAGATATCCCGCAGCCGATCGCCGGCATGCCCGATCTCTACGAGTACCTCGATAGTGAGCTCGTGCCGGTTTGGTTCTATCTCTCCGCATCTCCGTATAACCTTTATCCCTTCCTGCATGCCTTCCTGCATGATCATTACTGTCCCGGGACGCTGGTGCTGCGCGATTACTCGTGGATGGATATCTCGGGCTTGATTCGGTCCTTCACTGAGAAAACGCAGGAGTATAAGGTTGATCGAATGGAGAAGATCCATGGCTGGTTCCCGCGCAGGCGCGTCCTTTGTATTGGTGACTCGACGCAGATGGATCCTGAGGCTTACGCGGAGATGTATGTTAGGTATCCTGGGTGGATTCATGCTATTGCTATTCGGAAGGTGATGGATGTGGCGCATATGGAGGAGAAGAATGTGCCGGAGAGGTTTGAGAAGGCTTTTGAGCATGTGCCCAGGCATGTTTGGACGGTTTTTGAGGACCCGAGGGAGTTGTATGATTTTGTTGATGGGTTAGGGATGGAGGATCAGGATTTGTAGATATCGGTTTTGAGAATTTGTATATATTTGATTGGGCTAGTACTATATATTCCCACGTGTACATATGTAATTTGAAGTGGGGTCTGAATGTTTTGGTATACACTTCCAAGGGTTTCATGCGCCATGGCTGAACTCGGCTCCTCATACGTTGCGGCAATAGTTACAAGTACATATGGACATAGTATAATTTATTGACCTTGATCCGCTTTTATTTTCTCCTTCTCTCCATCAAAGCAATCATGAAACTCTCAATGAGGATGTTTACGTTGGAGATTTCCTACTTGATTATGGAGGAAATCGAAGTACTTTCATCCTTGTCGTTACAGAAGCCCCCCGCCCAACTTCCAGCCCTAGTCCCCAAGGTACACCCGTAACACACACTGTTTGTGGCACATCCACGTCTATTGCGTCTACAGAGACTATTAATCCGACGTAAGCCGTCAGGCCAGGTCCCTGCGTGGCAGATCTTTGTGTTAAGATGGTCTCTTATGCCTTGACATCTAAATAAGGGTGTTGGACCTTGAACAGCCCAGAAGTCTACTACACTAGAAATATGATGAAGACGAGGACAATTCCTCGGTTACCTTAGGCTCTCTCACTGAAGAAAAAGAAGATCTGCTCGTTTGTTGCAAGCGGCTGCTCTCTAGCTACACGGAGTCTGGTGCTGATGTGATCGTTCGACCACACGCCAGTGAATCCCCTGTCCCAATCTTGATCCGAATCAGCCTACCGTGCCGCCTCGAACAGCGATATCTTTGAGGGCTATCTCGAAGTGTGTCCGTGGTGCGATGACCTCGGCTGGATGTGTCCAAGGCGTGGCCTCAGCGCACATTGAACGGAGCTATTTGGGTGTTGTAGCAGAACCCAAGCATACCCTATTTGCATGGGCTGGATTTCGCTTACAACAACAAATGCTGTCTCGACGCGATAGAGCGCTATGTAATGATGCGCGACTATATCATGACTGACCCGGAGCATAGGTATCGCCCACCCGAATGGATACGAGAACAAAAGAACGAGGCTTTGGCCGAAAATGACTGGGAGGTTGAGAGAGGTTCATGCCAGGAATCAGGAATTGGGATTCTTTCACAGAGAAAAAGCTATGAAATGATGCTGGCACGTTGGAAAAGGGATTATGATGGTTTCTAAAGGTTTATCTTGTTGACGAAGAGGTGAAGGTTGCTAGGCTATTGAATTAATCTGGATTGGCTTGGAGGTGGATTGAGAGTAAAGACTCACAGGTGGCTATGTTCTATTCATATTGGCTTAGTATAATTATCTAGGCTTCTCCACTGCTAGCGTTTCTGCCATAACATTCTTGGCGTCTCATGTACCCATATTCGCAATTAATTTAACTTTACTCTCTTATCAATTCGTGCTCAGCGTGTTATAGCAGTCGATCTTGACATACGTAACTTGGGAGGACCTGGCCTTAGGTATCTCACATGAAGATGCTATACACATAGTGTAATGCCCAAATATGTAGATTTGGGCGAGGGTATAGCGCTGAATGTGGCGTTGGCTAGCTTAGGGCTTCACTCCGATAGGGGTCCACTCATTCCTGTGGGTCAACAGATTATCCGGAGTACTAACTACTACAGTGACACCTCCAAAAATACGACACCCCTTGCCTCCACCTCCTTAGTTACATTATATTCTGCCAGTCTAAAACCTCCGTATAATTATTTGTACCAGGTCTATTAGCGCGCTGGGGAACGGGCGGTGAGGCGCAAGGGGCATCGAAACTTTGGAGGTGTCACTGCAGTTCATTGATCGACAGACACTCGTCGGAGATTATTTGTCTTTTCTTGCCTAGGGCCTTCATTGATGCAGCCCATATCCTGATTTTCAGAGAAGTGCCCCATTGGTACTTTTGCTGGAACACGCAGTTGCCAAATGGATCAATACTTTAATCACAGACGATCATCGATCACAACAAGACATATGGTCACACAGGCTTTCGTTCCTACATAATATTTATATTATTAAAACATGGGGAACTGATGTCTCGACTCTTCAGGAGTTAGCAAGGGCAGTAATGTGATCATAGTGCAGTTGGGCCACTCACCGAGTAAACCCGAAACACGAACCTAACTCCACTTCGATCGATACGCTATTGCTGGCCTTGGATTGGTGATGGGCTGGCGTGGACTATCGATTGTGCTGCATGCAGCTGCATCAATGCTGGTGATAGGTGATAAAGATCGACAGGCACCATTGAAAAGGCTAGGACAAGGTATCCGCATAAACGAGCTCCACTAGAAAGACTATAAACACGATGGACAAACACAAGTTTTCACTGCGATTTGGGGGACTCATTCTGTCCAATTCAAACCTGCCATCAAGCACCTGGATTCACTTTTCAGCTCTATCCCGGATTCTGAGGGCAGTCGAAAAGAAACATGGCCTTTCCACCCGTCTTTGAGCCGTATGTGCTCAGCACTTTGGACCATATGACCGCCCCTATTCATATGTCGACCTTCATCACATTCCACCCTGAGAACTCATCCAAAGCCATTTCGGCTCTGGAGATGGGTCTCAGTCGCCTTATTTTGCTTCTACCATTCATTTCCGGCAATGTCGCTTTCTCAAGCCAGTTACCGGGCAAGCAAAATGTGCGGGAGGTGCAGGCCGCAACAGCAGAGTTTCTACAGGAATATCCCATGTTAAAGATCAAACACCACGACAAGTCAATCTCTCCTACCAAGCCTGGCCCCACCGTCTCATACGACACGATGTTGAACGAGGAATTCACACCTCTTGAATTCGCAATGGCTATGGAGGACCTGAGTCCTATTTTCCGAATCCAAGCCAATGTCATGCGCGATGGAGTTATTCTTTGTTGTAGCTTTTATCACTTGGCCTTGGATGGCGCTGGTTTTATCAATGTACTCAGCGCTCTCGCCCAATGCTGTCACAACCCGGGTCTCGCCTCTTTAGCGACGGACCCTTGGAAGGAGGCGGAAACCCGAAGAGCAATTGTCGAGGCAGGACGGAATCCAAATGCCCCGAAAGAGCTGCAGACTAGCTATGGGGCATTTGCTGGTGATATGACGCCGACTTCGTCCCCCGAGTCTCCTATCAGTCGCATTCTCGTTCTAGATCCGGAGAAGATTGAACGGTTGCGAGATGCGTGCAAGTCCCAAATGCAGCGCCACTCAGGCACTCGTCTGTCAAGTAATACGATCGTTTCATCCTTGATATGGCTCTGCTACATCAGGTCTCGATATGGATCTCCATCTACTGGGAGCAGATCGGATGTAGAGACCACCCCGGAGAAATCATGCTTTGCAATGCCTATCGACGTCCGCAAAACCTTACAACTTCCATCATCCTATTTGGGTAATGCAGTTGTTAGCAGTGAAGCATTCGCTAGCATCGACGCAGTTCTTTCCTCCGCCCGACCGAGCGGAGATGCTGCTGTCATCAAAGATATTAGCTCAAATGATATCGAAATCCTTGCGGAGCTCGCCCATCAGATCAATGAGTGTATGCAATTTAATAGCAAGCACTCTATTCAGGGTCTGATATCACAATTGTCTGCTGGCAATGACTGGGCCACATATTGCCGCCCCGGAGACGTGAGCGTGAGCAATATGCGGAATCTCCGGTCCTATGAGCTTGATTTCGGATCATGTCTGGGGCGAGCGCATACTTTCGACCTACCAGAAAATCGGATATCTGGTGTTGCGTGGATTTTGCCATCTCGTTTCAGGGGTTCACCTTGGGAAGTGAGAATGGCACTCGAACCAGAAATCATGGAGAGAGTACAGAGAGATAAGCTGATGCAATGGGTGTGCGCGAGACCAACTCCAAAGTCAAAGCTGTGATGTATTCATTGTCTGTCTGTGTTTTACTAGCTTCTATTTGCCCTGAGTCAGTACATACTGTGTTGAGGTGCAATTATCTTCAACGCCTCAACGCCTCCTCTGACACCGAACCACGCCTCAACATCGACCTGTTATAGCACATAGTACAGCCACACTGATATAAGAAGGAAGTTCATCTTGCTATTCATTGCAATGGAATTAATCGGAATCATCAAGCTGTGGCGACTCTATGCCAAGCCCTACATACGTCAAGATTAGGAACTAGCCTCCGATCTATAGATGGCAAACATTAAAAAAATGAAAAGCCAGTTGGCTTGCAACAGGACTACAATTTCTGTTGGTAAAAACAATGAGCACAGATTTGTACATTCACATACCAAGAGAATGCATCAAGAGCCTAATTCCATCAGTATGCAACAAGGCATACCCCCAACCCAACCAATCGCGGAACCGGAGCCTCTAAAGCGGCCTTCAGAGCCCCCAACACCAACGCAATCAACAAAACAGACAATCTCCCCAAAGCAGTCTGCAAATCTATCGACAAAACAACTAGGCAAGCAATCAGTCAACCTATCCACAAAGCGCACAACACCAAGCCTCAACGACTCAGCCTTTACGCCACTTTCCATGCAAGCACTATACTACGCCCCGGAAGGCCCACTCATCGAGGTCATAGAGGGGATCCCAGAGGGAGAAATAACCGACGTCAACTCCCCAGACACAGAAACAACCGTAATCCGCAAGAAAGGAACAGACCTCGTCTTCGATGCAAAATTCCCAACACCCCACCCCACCTCGCAACAATACCTCCTAAAAGTCCACACAGCAGCCTTTTGCCATGATGAGATCCGCCTCGCAACAGCCCTAAACCCACCAATCACAACGCCGCGCATCCCCCTGCACAGTATCTGCGGCACGGTAGCTAGCACGCCGCGCGAGCACGACAAACGCGAAGAAGGTCCACGCTTCAGGCTTGGCGACCAGGTCTTCGGGCTTGTCAGCTATAAGCGCGATGGCGGCGCGGCCGACTACGTCGTAGCAACGGAGGCCGAGATGGCGCCGAAGCCGGATAATATTGGTGTTGCGGAGGCGGCGGCCCTGGCGTTGCCGGCGTTGACGGCTTGGCAGGCGCTGTTCCGCTATGCGGGTCTGGATCCTGATGTGCCCCGTGCGCTGAATACGGATGATGAAGAATTTGGCAGTGGTGGGAATGGAACGGGGAGGTGGGAATGGCAGCGGAGGAGGCGTGAGACTGTGCTCGGTAGTGCGGACTATGGGTATGGGCATCGCAAGAGCACTAATGGGAATGGGAATGGGAATGGGGCTGCGAGTGGCAGGAGCAGTGGGCGGAGTCCGGGTGATACGGGTGGCGGAGTCGAACAGCGCAGCGAGATGATGAACGATAATGCCAGTGGTAGTGGGGCCGGAACTGGAAATGGGAATGGGAATGGGAAATGGGCCTGGCATTGGAATCGCCGCGATACAATCCTCAACGACAAAGCGAGCGGTGCTGGTTTGGGCGCTGGCTCGGGCATTGGGAACATCGACAAGTTGGCTCGCCCTGCCAGCAAAGTCGATTCAGCTCAACTACCCAATGCAAATGGCACCAACACTGCTAAGTCCAACGGCAGTATTCGCCGAGAAAGCCTCATCAGTCTAGTCAGCGGAACCCCCAAGGCAACGGGCAAAGCGCCCCGCGCAGCAAGCACCATTGATCCAAACCCCAAGAACACAGTCCGCCGCAACAGTCTGAGCACCCTCATCCGCGGCAACTCCAAAAGCAACAACCCCGGCGGCGCAGCCGGCTCCAATGCCAGCGGCACAAGCAGCACGCGCCGTGGCAGCCTCTTGAATCTCGTGGGCGAAGCAAGCCGCAGCCGTCTGGGCAGCATAATGGGCAATCCACCTGCAAGCGAGACGCAAAAGCCAGCGAATATCCGAGTCCTCATTACGAACGCGCGAGACAACGAAATCGGCCGCATAGCGGTGCAGATTCTGCGCGTAGACGCGCTGTTCCCGGCGCCTGTGCGGCCGTGGGTGTGTGTTACGTGCACGCCTGCGGAAACGGAGATCATCGAGAACGACTGGAAGGTTGATGAGATTATTGTTGTTCCGCACCTGCCGTCTCCGAGCGAGTGCGATATTGCGAGGGTGTTCCGGGCGCGGCGGTGGCAACCTGTTGATATTGTGCTTGATTGTGCTGGGGGTGAGGTTTTCCGGGCATCGCATGCTGCTGGGGTTGTTAAGGATCATGGGGCTGTTTTGACGGTTGTTGATTTGAAGGTTGCTATGCAGTCGCCGCTTGTGCCGGAGAATGATGAGCTTGGGGAGAAGAAGAGAGGGATTCTTAGTCGGTTTGTGCCTGTTAATCCGGATGGGCCTGCTATTGAGCGGATTGGGGAGTTGGTAGAGGAGGATCTGATCAGGGGGAAAGAGGCTAGGGTTGTTAGTCTTGCGAGGGCTGCGGATCTTCTGGCTGCTGGGGCTGCGGGGACTGCTGGAGGGTTGAGGGGGGACATGGTTGTGGTCAAGGTGCAATGATTTTGTAATTAGATTGAACAGACTAATTTTACTTGGCATGTTGAATGATCAATGATCGAGTGGAAGAGCTGGCTTGGTTGTAGCAAAGGCAGAAGTAAGTAATGGATGTATCATTTTGAAGGAAAAAAGGCCACATCGAGTCTCATTTGGAGCCACTTACTCAACGAGCTAGACGTAAAGGAGATTTCAAGTCCTCAGAACCAGGAAGCAAGGTCACAAGAAAAAGAGTAACACAAAGGGGAGAAGTAGATCAAAATCAATGAGATATCCCATACAAGAATGATTTTTGGCCTAATGAGTCCCATATAAATGACGACGCTCTGCCCAAGTTCCAGGGAAAACTACACACAAGGAAATAGGAACCGAATCAGTTTTAGGCCCAGAGAAGAAGAAAAAAGTCGTGGAAAGAACAAAGACAGTGTATTAGGAACGCGGTATCGGTTAAAGTAAGGAATCAAGTCTGGTAAAAACGCTCAAGCATGCGGCGACAATCTAGATAGGGCGTTAGTAATTGATTTATGTACTTCCTAACAGGTTGCTTGACTTACCTCCAGCTGAAGTTCTCTGTCCTTGTTCTTGGTGATCTCATCGTTGATAGCCTGAGCCAGGTTGGCCCCAATGGCCTGCGAACCGCCGGCCCTCCGGCCAAATGGCCATTGTGAGTACTCAGCAAGCAACTCATCCACCTGTGCAAACGCTCTCTCGCGAGCCTCGTGGCTCATAGTGACTAGCGCATTCTCCAAGACGTTGGCAGCGTACGCGGCGCAGACCATCGTGATTGAACGAAGGTATCGGTACTCGGAGTCTTCAGGGAGCCACGGGCTGGGAGGAATAATCACAGTGCGGTTACTGCAGATGTTGCGCACCCGTCGGTGGAGGTCTTCTTTTGCGCCGCCATCGGCCACAGGATGTGTTGCCATATCGAAGAGGAGGAAGTTGCGCTTTTCGGTCCGGAGAATCCCCTTATCCACAAGACCCTTGGCCAGTCGTTCTCGGACCTGCTTCAATTGATATCCGATCTTCATCAAATTCCAAGTTTCGCCTGCAAACAAGACGATCAGTATGGCATCGCTCAGCTCCATGTCCGACTTATCTTACCACTCAGTAAATCAATCCATGAATTGACGCTCATCTTCTCGCTCGACTTCATCATCTTCAGCGTCTCGTCCAGCAAGACCTCCCCAGTCAATGTATCGTCGATGACCTCGATGACGCGGTCGGCCAGGGGGAAGCGTCGCCGCGACGAATCCTTCTGCATGCTTATACGCCCGCGGAGCGCAAGCTCAATAACAATACACCCTCGCAGGGCGTAGGAGATGTTTTCATTCCAGAAAGACAGATAACCCTGAAGCGCGGGCGGGGAGAGTCAGCAATCGCAGCCCAAGCAATCAAGCCAATGAGCTCGATTCAAAACTCACTTGTTTATCCTTCAGACCCAGCAGTAGGATGTCCTCCATCAGGGTCAATTTGGGCTGCTTGCCCCGTTCTTCATTTTCGCTGATGTCGCGGGGGTCGAACGCGATTTTGTGGCCGTTTTCTGCGCTGGTGAATGAGGTCTCCGGTCCGCGGTTGTCCATGGCCGAGCCATTGCGTGAGACTGGTGATGACACTCGGCTGTCATCTTGTTCATCTGCGCCAGCGACTCGACCGGCGCCTCTGCGGCGAGTCAAGCCCCCGGCTGGTGAGGCCATGAGGATACCGGGGTCGGGTGGAGGGGAGGGGTTTCAAAAAGATTCGGAGACAAAAATGGCGAGTCGGTAAGGATCAAAACTCAGCGCCGATCTATATGCCGGTTTGTGATTGAAGGGTAGTTGTGAGACGTTGAAGAGGGACCGTGACCGAAAGTCGGAAGTGGGACTCGGTGTCAGGGGAAACCAGGGACCGAGTGGACTAGCCAAAACGATAAACTGTCACAAATTTATACTGACCTAGATCTTCCTGGGTTCTAGTGAAGGACAGCAAAGGGTGGGAAGTTGAGAAAAGAACAAAGTTGATGTGTGGCTCGAATGCGGGTGCTAACAAAAGCAACGTTGGAGATTACGATCTCCCGTGAATCTCGTTGCCTCTCTTTTTTGTAGATTGCGATTTAGATCTTTACAAAGATGTCTTGGTAACTTATCTCTGATCTATTTTATATTTACTATACTTACCTTCAATTTGTCTATTTTATTTTATCTTGATCAATTGGAAACCTTAGAACTGGCTTGGTCCATACAGTCAGTATAGGTCAACTGGCAACTACCTCTATATACCTACAATTACTCCGTACATGTACATATAACTTGAGGTAGTGTAGCATCACCTAATATGTCCAGGTGGACGTATACATGTCTACATGTGTACATATATCGGCGTTTTATTGAGCAATTACCTCAAGGTAATCAGCTACAATGCGATATCCACCATGGCAAATCACTGCTTCAAAATTGCACAAATTGCATTCAAATGATATACACGATATAGGGAAGAAAAAACCACTGGCATGTATTTCAACATACAAAATAGCATGTCATGTCAGTCAGGGGTTACTATCCTTCAATGACCTCACTGATGCTAACATCCCGATTCTTTTTCTATCCGATTCTCCAGCAGATCCCAAGGTTTCCAATTAAGTATTTAGTGAGCTGTGAAGCAGTTAGCGCTTGAAAAAGGAAAGATGCACTTTTCAAATGACTTACCATCGGGCTGGGCGAGGATGTACTCAACAGCCTTCTCAACTATACACAAAATTCATGTCAGCTCTGTTGAGCCCCAGAAGACTCGTCAACTCTAGACTTACCGCTGTGGATCTGGTCGGCCTCCTTGTCGGGGATCTCAATGCTGAACTCCTGTTGAAACAGTTAGATACAGTCACACGATATACGATTCCTTTCCCGAGGGAAACCGGGCGCATACCTCTTCAATGGCCATCACGACCTCAACGGTATCCAAGCTGTCCAGACCGAGGTCGTTCGAGAAGTGTGAAGTGCCGTTAATCTGAAGTTATAGAATTTTAGTTGATGAATCTGATGGGTTGCGCCCCTAACGAAGCTCATAGCGACGTAAGGTCAGATTATCGCATCCGACGTATTGACTAACCTTGCTGGCATCGGAGACCTGCAGATGAAACGAAACTAGTCAGTATAATGTTTGAGGTTGTTTGGTACATAGCCGAATAAATGGCGAGATTTCCCGGGAAAACAATATGACGCACCTTGTCGAAGTTCTTGAGCAGGTTGACAATGCGACCCTCAGCCTCGTTCTTGGAGAGACCGGCAGGGGCGGAGTAGAGACGAGCACCCTGGAAAGGAGTGAATTGGGGAATGGCAGCAATGGGGGAGCTGCGGATGTGGAAGGGAGCCGGGGTCTTGATGACACGGGGGGCGGAAGCCCTGAGGGAGCGAGCAATGGCGGAGCGGAACATGGTGGAAATATCGAATTAAGCGCGAAGGCCAAAAAGATGTAGAAAACAAGATATAAAAAAGAGGAAGGGTGTGGAGAGAGCAAAGAGGGTTAATGAGGGAAGAGACGGGCAGAAGTGGAAGAGGATGTCGCGCCCAGCAAAATCCTTCGGACCAATCACAACCCAACAGAAAGGAATGACCTAAGCCCGAAACCTGCAAACTACCACAACCTCGCCTTCGCTCCCCTTCACTACCTCCAATTGACCTCCAACTACCCTCCCATCCACCTCACTCTCCTCTCCAAACTATGGCCGCCACCCGATCGGTCGCGAGGCTAGTCGCCTACCGCCGGCCGACCCCCTTCGGCTTGCTAGGCTCAACCGCAAACTTCTCTTCCTCGATGTCCCGCGCAGCAAGCCCAGCGGGACCCCCTCAGGCCGGGTTCCGCCTGCCCCCGCCCAAGCGCTGGGATCAAGGCGACGAGTCTGCCTTGGATAAGGCCAGCAAATACTTCCTTATGGCAGAGATCTTCCGCGGCATGTACGTGGTGCTGGAGCAGTTTTTCAGACCACCGTAAGTCCTCAACCTTGTCGGCGATGCGGACCGCGATCCGTGAAAGCCAATGGCGTCGAAATTCATTTCATCGACTAATTACATGCGCCTGTTTCTAGCTACACCATCTTCTACCCCTTCGAGAAGGGTCCCATCTCCCCCGTTTCCGTGGCGAGCACGCTCTCCGTCGCTATCCCACCGGTGAGGAGCGTTGCATTGCCTGCAAGCTCTGCGAGGCCATCTGCCCCGCCCAGGCTATTACCATTGAGGCCGAGGAGCGTGAGGACGGAAGCCGCCGGACGACCCGTTACGATATTGATATGACCAAGTGCATCTACTGTGGCTACTGCCAGGAGAGCTGCCCCGTGGATGCCATCGTTGAGAGTGAGTTCCTCAACCCTTGTGGCATTCTGACTCGACCTTGAGAATGAGTTACTAATATGTCATGTTCTAGCTTCCAACGCCGAGTACGCCACCGAGACCCGCGAGGAGCTGCTGTACAACAAGGAAAAGCTCCTCTCCAACGGTGACAAGTGGGAGCCCGAGATTGCGGCTGCTGCTCGTGCAGATGCACCCTACCGATAAATTACTTCTCCCTGATCAGCGTCCCGGCTCAAGTGCATCTCACATTCTGAATGTGTGGATGACAAGATGCTGATATCAATACCCATTCAAGAGGCACTACCCGTGTCTCGAAAAACAAGATCTTCAACCCCATCACATTGTACATAACTTGCCCCCGACTGTGTTATCATCTTGTACTAGTCACTTCTCAAGGAGATGTTTCCCTGGAATGACTGCTTTGTCGCTTTTTATTTTCTATGTTATGGAATCTAACTGTTTCTGAGATTCAATCCTACATAATATGTGAAGACCTCCATCGACGCTCAATCCATCACCGAGGCCACTCGCCGTTTCATTCGTCTCTTGACACCACGTGTAGATCGGTTCATTTTAGTGGAAAACTGGGTCTCAACTAAAACATCGCAGGAAGTATCCGCGGTGACTGCTTATGAAAGCTCATTATCATAAAGATCTACGCAAAGTACTACAGATATCAATTCCTAACAAATGTACAAGTTAATGAGTCGCTCACCAGCTGAACGTGTACTTACTGTCCCTATCCGGCAGTTTCTTGTTCCTCCATGGCTAAGATCCCATATCAGGGGACAGCTAGTCCGCGACCGAAGTTGAAGGCTCTCGCTGATGATGACAATCTTCATTTACCTCGTTTTAATGATGGCCAAGACTCGATTTGGAAGGTCTCTCTGTATATAGAGCGAACATGAGAACACATGACTATTTCGGGGCTTTCCATCTGTCCCTTAACGTTATTTGTAGATCGCATCATTTTTTGGAATTCGGCCAGATCTAAACTATACTAACGGTGCTGAGAAGCAGATCTATAGGTACGACGCACTGCGGGATTTGAGTATGGTTGATCTTAGTACTATAAATCGACAGCTCCAGGGCTGGTCTCAATTCGTCAACATCTGCACGATCACGATAAGTGGATCACTTGAATCGATCGAACCCCTTAACGCCCAGACATGTGTCTACAACATTGTGTTGATCTGTTCCAAAGAAATTCTTTACATCTGTCCTCCGAAATAACATTCACATGAACTTACATGGGTCATAATACATGCGTTTGATAGCACCATTCTTTGACCTGATTTGTTTAAAATTCTTCAACATACTTAGTCAATCCGACAACGGACAATCCAACTACCAACTCAAGCCACAACTAATTATGTCTGAAGTAAGTTCAGACCCCATCAGACCCTTATACTTCTTTGATCTATCCTTTTTCAGCTAATCGAGTATGTCACACAAAGAAGAGGACCGTCACAGTTACCTATGACGATGGTGGGGCCTTTTTTGCATTCGGTAAACAAGTTAACATGTATGTGTCGTTTCCCGCAAATGGTAACAAAAATGATGCCAGTTTTGCACAATTGCTGATCTGATATATCCGTGTCGTAGGTTGATCGAACGAGACACCGGTCACCCTGTCGTGCAGACGAGATCTTTACCTCCGTCCATTCTCCCACAGTACGCAAGCTCTAAATGATCAAGACCAGGACTAACACCTGAACAGAAAGCTCAGCCAAGACACAATTGATGAGTTGAGGGAGATCCCGGGCGTCACTGTTAAGATCGACGATAGGCAAGATTGAATTGGTCTCTATATGTATAATTTACATATTTAGTCAATATTATACTTTTTCCAGTTGAATTGCCCTTTGGCGAGCCATATAACCTTCAATAGCTGCAAAAGAATATATTTTTAGCTCCAGGAGATCTTTGAGTGGACTCTGAAGCCCAGTTTCCCTTCAAAACTCCATTACTTGTCCAGAATGATCTTTTCTGTTGCCCTCATAAATACGCATGGTAACCCCGAGAACATCATGTGTCCCAAATTCTTTATTCTTTTTCTGTCCCTTTGTGTACAAACGATCAATGGGGTCTTTTCTTACAGGTCACTTTGTTCAAAAGAGTTTAAAGTCAAGCGTAGAGCTTTCTGGTGGCAATCTGGTAGCTCCAACTTTATATATCTCTCAGTTCTACCTCCAAGTGTCATTCTTCTATACCCGCAACTCTTCATGTTTCCTTTTGTATCAATATACATTCAAACTTTTACTTCTATATAACTTCAAGAGCTATAAAGCTGGAGCTCCTAACACATGGGTATATAAGTATCCCTCACTCTTCCTGTGTTTCTCTTTCTTACGAACTTTATCCTAAGAGCACTGTGAGTTGTTCAACCTTCATTGGAGATTCGGGAGTCTTTCTCCAAAACTTCTCTGTGGCCTGAGGCGATCGGAAACCGCTCTGCTTGACACACAAATCATAAGATTGAGCGTGAGAAGCTTTGAGAGAAGAGTGTTAGGTGGCAGTGATCGGCAGTCAACATAGCCTCAAGGAAAAGTCAGCGATCGTTCAAGGAATACTTCGCAACGAAAAGGACAAGCCTTTTGTGAGATGGTTCCTGATGACAAGAACTTCTACGAGCTGTCTCGCACTTGTCGAATCTTCTTTTTTGTTGATCACTATCCTTTCCTCAATCTTCATCTTCTCTTTGACCCTCTTCACTATCCGCCTTACCTACTGATCCTGACAAAACATAAAGATGTCCTTCCCCCGATTCCAAGCGGCATTCATCATGACGGCAAGTCTCTTTTGTTTACTAGTCTTCAATCACTACTAACTCACCTCGCTTTTAGGTGGATGTCCTTGGAAAATTGGGACTACGTACGTCAAACCCCAAAAGCTCACGATATACTACAGCTACAATGTTACTGACAACATCTGTATGATCTAGTGGATACTACCTACACTGAACCGCTTCTTGCCGTGATAATTGAGCAGATTGCATGAGCCCAAGTGAACCACAAAGTTTCTGAATATCCGCCAAATCGATGGCCAGGTACATGTGGTACTATCAATCATGTCCACTGGGGACCTGGCTGGCTCATTGCAGAAGCACACTCATCCATCGTCAATACAGACCCATTAGTTGATGGGTGGTTCATCTCCGACTTTTACGCATTCAACTATCTGCTGAAAGGACTTAGACATGGAACAAAAGTGGCTTACAGCAGTTGATCCAGGTAAACTTTCCAGAAGTATGGATCATACTTATATCGACTGACGGTAATAGCAACAAAGGTCTTAGCATCGTCAGCCTGAAAGGCGTCCTTGAGCCAGGTGTGTGTATGTACTCATCATTACTGCTTGCTATTCCTGTGGATGGGCCACCACGCCCGATCTAAAACATACCACTATCCCATGGCACTATCAATAATCTCCGTGGGAGACCTGGCCGGCTCATTGCAGAAGTGTCGCGCGGGTCATTAATTTCACCCAAATTTGTCTAGGTGACCCGCACACAAGCACACACACACTATTCGGCACCATGAATGCGTGGTAAAATTCCGCGAGAATCGGCGTAGTCACCAAGTCGATTTGTTGATGGAGCTGGCTAGAAGAACCCAGACTACAGAAGATCATCACAAGTAGTTGCGGGAGGCCATGTTCATCGGGACAGGGGAGTGAGTTCCGCATGGACGCTAGTGGATCATGATATGCGAAATAGTCGTTGTCTAGTGTCATTTCGAAACGTATCAAAAACACATGTGGTATTAACAACGACGATGCTTACCGAGTCATATTGTATGTTCTATAGATCTCTCACGGCAATGACCTAAACAGTTAAGACTTGAGGAGAAAGCCTTTAGAAAGCCCTAAGGTATACTTATCTTAATATAAGATGTGGCCAGGCTTTCTAGATGGAATCCATGTACTAGTTATATACTGTTGGGATAGCAAACATGATATAGAGTCTAGAGAGAATCTCTCCAGACCTCACAACGTGAACATACACAGTGGTCTTTGATGATGAATTATGTATAGACAAGAAATACAAATACAGCCCGATAAGAAAATGATATTTGTATTCACAGATAAATCAAATCGCTACCGATGCTGTCATGCATAGACATAAATTGGCGGGCCAAGCCGCCAAAGACACAAACGCAAACACCAGGCACCTTGATCTCACGGATATTTCCCAGTTCAACTTCTCAAAACACTTTTTTTGTTTGTTCGAAACAGCCTTGCATCTAACAGATGACACATCCGCGAAAAACGCAGACCGTCCATGAAGGGTATGCAGAGTAAGAGAGAGAGAGAAAGAAAAGAATAGAAGAAACGGGCACAGAAAAGCAAGCAAGAAGTGAAGTCCAACTAAGCCGAAGACAGAGAGACTGGTTCATTTCTTCTTACCGCCACCCTTAAAGCTGCCCTCAAATCCAGGACGAGCCTTCTTCTTGCCGCCGCTAGACGGCTTCTTCTTGCCACCCTTGGAGCCCTTCTCATCCCGGCGCTTGCGGAGGTTCTCTTCACGCTTGTTCTGGCGCTGCTCCTTGGATTTGGCGACGGTGTCGATGCGGTCCCGCCACTCGCGCTCGGATTTCTTCTTCGCGGTCTCCTTGCGCTTGAGGGCCTTCTTGAGCAGAGAGGTGTCGTCCCGGACACGCTCGCCGTGGGCACGCTTCTTGGCGTTCAGCCAGAGGTCCTTGTCTTCGATATCGGCGCGCTTGGCCGGGTCCATCTCGGCGAGGCGGGCCTTCTTGGCCTCCGCGGCCTTGAGTTGCGCAGCAGGGTCACGTGCTCCAGTGGTCTTGGGCTTGTCGCGGACATCGGCGCCGCTGGCATCGGTCTGCTGGCCGTCTGAGAACATTACACGGCCGAATGAGAAGTTGTTGCTGGCTGAGCCGACGGACTCGGCGGGGGAGCGGGGAGAAGCAAGCAGGGATCCCGAGCCGCCGGGGGAGAAGCGGCGTGCCATGGCCTCATCTTCCTTGAGCTGTTCCTCGTCTTTGGCTTTTTGGCGCAGTTCCTTCTTGTGTGCTTTTCTTTGCTCAGCCTTTTGGCGGCGAGCTTCGATCAGCTCTTGGCGGTTGCGGGCGGGCTTGCCGTTAAGGCCATCTGCGTGGCGCTTGGCACGGAGCTCGTCCAGACGCTTCTGTAGGCGCTGCTTCAGCTCTTCGGGTGTGTGCTTGAGGGGTTTGGGCTCTGAGGATTTGGCTTCGGTGGAGGCGGAGGGGGGAACGATGGATGAGGTGGAGGAGCTGCCGGATTGGGGATTTGAGGCATCGAAGTTGGGAGAGTTAGTGGATGAGGCAGAAGAGGACTTTTCCTGTTCAGGGTTGAACTCGATGGAGAACCCTTCCTCGACTACACCGTCATCTTCTTCGTCGTCATTTTCCTCATCCGCAGATTCTTCAGCATCCTTGGCTGAAGTGCCGTTGGACTTAGGTGCAGATTTTTCCGAGGCCTCAGTAACGGTAGTCGACGGCTTCTTTTCCTGAGCCTTCTCCTTTCGTGCATTCTCCTTGGCCTTCTTCTTTTCCTTTTGGCTGGCCTTCTTCTGTGCGATCTTCTCTTGCTTTTGCTTTCTGCGTTCCTCGGCGGCGGCTGCCTTGGCAGGGTCTGCCTTATCAGACTTTTCAACCGGCTTTTGCTTCTTGGAGTTGACGTTTCCGCGGTTCAGTCCCTCCTTGGGGGTTTCTGTGCCCAGCTCTCCGTCGGACTGGTCGGACTCGAGGGTCCCGTCCTCCCGCTTACGCTTGCGAGCGTTCTCGTCCATCACGTCTTTAGCGGTCTTGGACACGGCGGCTTCAGGATCCAGCTTCGCACGCTTCGCTTCACGGGCTTGTTCTTTAGTCTGCTTCTTGCGTTGCCATTGATCCTATAAGTGAGGATGATGGTCAGACAGAAATCTTCGGAATGAACGATGAAGGGTAAAACAAAGGATTGAGACAGAAGCAAAAGCAGAGACTCGCAAGAGGCTATAAGGGCCTACATACGCTAGTATCTTCTTCGCCGTAATAATATTTGGCGGGGATCAAGGACAGTAGACCGTCAAATGCCTGCGCATGACTACGCAGCCGTTCCTGGAAAGGTGGTCAGCTTGTAATCCTTGCGGGGGCATTTTTCAAGTTCACAAACCTCGATATCATCCATTGTAGTTTCCCGTAGACTGAAATTGCAATCTGGAGGGGGAAGCTTGAAGGTCAAGCGCAACGAAAAATTTGGGGTGAGGGAAATCTTGGCGCTATAATTTGTCTCCGCTTCGCCTGTTCACCGCCTTATTTTTTCTGACTTGGCCCGTGCGCCGGACGTTATCTACTTCGGTCTTTTACTGTCTGTTTGTTCTACTGTTATATCTTAGACCTCGTGTGGTTTGGTCGTCTCTCAATTATGTTCATTACCCTTCTAATTACTTATCTGCTCCATACAATTCGAAATTCAACTCATAAATATACGCTCAAATGGATGGAGAAAAAAAACAATGCGAATACGCCTTCTGAATCAAAACTGGTCCACCAGGCCAGAGCTCACGTCCAATATAGGACACGCCTCACTGGTGATATCCACCACCTTCCTATACGGCCATGGGTCCGTCCAGATGAGATCGAACCTGAAACGATTAGCGCTAGGTCCAACAAGAGAACAGCCATATATCCCAAAGAATTGAGAGCGCAATGTCAAAGCACCCAAGAGATAGCCTTGGGCGATTCTCTGAACGCATCACGCTCGAACTGATAAGCCGCACAGGAATCGAAACAAATCACATACCGCTTCTTCGGATACTCGATCTGCTCGGTAGCACCGAGGGCCTCCACAATATCACCCATATCCCCGTGTCGCCATACGATCAGGATATCACCCGGTCTCTTATGCGAATGAACCGCATCGACCACGCATTCCACATCATTCCGCTCGCAGGAAGTATCGACCGTGAGACCGAGATCGTCGGCCAGTGGAAGCACCGTATAAAGGGAACGTCCACGTGCACCGCCTGCATGAAAGTATATTGTCAGCTCAACCCCATGAACCTTGATCGCTGCCTCTTGGCGATGTAAGCGTTTGCATCAATGTCGTAGACTTACCTTTTTTCACACGCGGTGCCATGATATGTCCGATGTTATGTCCCGAGTTCTTGCCAAACACGTGTCGTAGGCACTGTGCGCGCATCTCTCCTTCCCGGTTGAGTCCAGGATCGCGTTTATCTTCGGGCTTTTCGCCATGGCGGATAAGATAGACTGTTGGGTGGTGTTTCGCAGACACGACACCCACAAGACACAAAATCGACAGGACTGATTGTAGCAGCATTACGGCGAGTAGGCTGAGACTAGTTTTCTACAGCGCAGCCACAAACAGCCTTGGAAAGCAGGGCCGAGTACGTAGCCAAGTAAATATGCGGTGAAGAAGAACAGCGCTGCAAATGAAGTACACTTCAATATATGCAGAAGAGAGGATATCAACACTCCACCACGCACGCCTTGTCGATCATCCGAGTCTTTATAAGAGACATAACAATTCTATCATGGAGTCCACCGAGGGGAAAAAATAAGGCTGACGCACAGAAATAAGTAAGCAGTGGATCAGCAGCCCCTATATCCCAATGACGGTGTAGGATTAGAAGCGCCAGGCCTGAAAGGGGCTTGGGGTGTTGGCTTAGGTGGGGTTTGACAAACTCCAGGTGAGCTTTCGGGCGATGTGCCTCGTTTCGGCGATTTGATTGGGTCTATCCCGTTCTGCATGTCCACTCCGGTGATCGGCTCGGGTCTGCGTGATCTCGGGTTTGCACAATATGCAAGCTAATGAAAAGTATTGGGTTTTTATTTATTGTTGTCTCGGGTAAGGTATTGAAGGAGGTTGATTCGAAATCTTGATGCAAGTAGATGTGTGCTCATAGTATCTCCTGTTGTTTGGCTGTAAGTCTTCGGTCATCCTCCGTACAGTGTAACCAATATTCTATCGAGGACCCTGAGGATGGATTAAGCTACAATATATTGTCATCGGATCGAGTCTCATGTACAACTAGTCTCAATCTGTCTAACATTGTGTGAATCACACAATAAAATTCTAAATGAGTTGTCCGAGGGCTTACGGGGTCAGCAGACGGTGGCGGGCTGTGTCTTCAGTTTGAGGACGTTTGGGATCGGGTGACAATCTCCTTGGAATTGTCATGCAGCTGATTTTTATATTCGATGTTTGGTCGTGCGCTCTAAAAAGGGTTATAAATTGTACATCGACGATATATAGCTACTCCCGAGGTCAGCGCAAGTTATATATATGTGTGCGTTTATAATGATCTACAGTGCTGTTACTTTATCAGTTGCCATCATGTGAAGGTCGGGGTTCTCTATGTAGAGAAGATTTCATCACTACGATTTCAAAACGAATTGACATATTTTGAAGGACATGCCACATGGAATGATATTTAATCTTGATCAATATGTGTACTATATACGATATTGTACGGAGTACGAAGTCTCGGCTTCAGGTCCAGCGGTTTAGTACTAGTTAGGTAGTATGAAACCTTGGTAATCTACAGTTAATCAATTTATTCCAGAACGTATGCTCATATCGAGTTCGGTTCGTTAGATCAGCAGAGTGAAGTCACACCGACTTGTGACGTCAATCTAAATAATCGGGTGATGGCGATACTGTTCCTAGTTATAGTATGTTATTTGCTGCATATGAATAAAGTACTCTGTATCACTGAAATTTATCAAAACAGGGCATTCAGCGCGTCGGACAAGGCCGAGTGAAATTAGGGGCTTAGCGTCCTAGGCAACCGAATAAGATACCCCAACACAGTATGCCGAGAGGCGCTGTGCAGCGTTTAGCGGAGTTAGTAAGGCTGGGCGCGACCCAGGGCCGCGAGTTCATTGTAAATTATTCTGGAAGAATCATAGAAGCCGGGAGATCCGGGTATTCTATTTCTATTATTATCGTACTAACATTGTATTATTGTATTACGATCGGTATTTGAATTGCAGCCTTGACATAGCCACAAGTGAATTTAGCAACATGGTGCGCAATTTTGGCGCAATTTTGTGGCGGTGCATGCATGTCTAGATACGAACGTAGTAGAGAAATACAGTAAATACAGTAAATACAGTAAAAAGCCCGTGGATTGAAGCGAACAGGGCTGACGCTTGGGACGCTGCGCCTCGTTCCGTGAGTTTTCGCTTATGTGGGGTTCGCGGCGTCAGCCCTGTGGTTGCTCCGAGGTTACGTCTTATAAAAGGGTGCCGCCCCTCCTTTTACTTGTCTTCTTCGCTCATCATTCACAACCCCACCATTCGATCTACTTGATCCATTCCATTCATACACTTCTCATTTCATCAAATCATTCTCAAGATGTCCGGCTACGATCAATACAACCAAGGCCAGGGCGGCTACGGCGGCCAGCAAGGCTATGGCCAGCAAGGTTACGGCCAGCAACAGGGCTACGGCGGTCAACCCCAGGGTTACGGTCAGCCCCAGGGCTACGGCCAGCAAGGTGGCTCTTCCGACTACTACAGTGGTCAGCAGCAGCACCAGGGCTACGGCCAGCAGCAGGGCTACGGCCAACAGGGTCAACACGAGCAGCAGGGATACGGTCAGCAGCAGGGTGGCTCCGCCGACTACTACAGTGGCGGCCAGCAATCCCACGAGCAGTATGGCCAGCACGACCAGAACCGCCAGAGGTTTGTACTCACTTCACATTTCATATTGACCACATACTAACGAACAACAGCGGCTATGAAGGGCCCGAAGCTCAGGAGGGCGAGCGTGGTCTTGCTGGTGCTCTCGCCGGTGGTGCCGCCGGTGCCTTCGGCGGCCACAAGGTCAACCACGGCTTTCTCGGAACAATTGGTGGAGCCATCATCGGAAGTCTTGCCGAAGACGCTGTCAAGAAGCACCGTAATGGCAGCCACTCTCCTCAGCCTCCTCAAGGCGGCCAGTACGGCAACCAGTACGGTGGCCCTCCCTCGCAGGGTGGCAGCAACAACAGCATGATGGACACTCTCGGTGGCTTCTTCAAGAAATAGAGGAGTTATGATGGACTTTCCTCTTCTGTTTTCCTGACATGTCCTTCATGAATTTCCTTTCTTGCTTTTTATTCCACCGGATTGGCATGCATTTCTATTCGCCAGATCGCTTTACTTTTTATTTTTTTCGCTTTTCATGGGGTTTTATGCTTCGCCTTCGGGCTTTTGTACCATGACAGACTTGCATTGATATCGGAAATCGCCTTGGTGCGAACTTACCATAATCTCAGACTTGCAATATGAATACCTCGATGAAATATCCAAAGTAACAAAGGCAACATGACCGTAGATACACTCCTTTAGGAAGTTTGGTGACATGTCATATGAGGTATGCTATCGAGGCCTTTGAGAATGTGTTTGATCAGTATTTTTTGGGATTCTTCAGCATTATATGGGTATCTCTTTGAATCATGAATCAATTGTACCTAGATGAATTGAAAGTAATGTTCACGGGCTGAGAAGCCAAAACAAACCCCAAAGTGGATTCTTTTGGCCTGAGGCATCCGCCAAGCCCGACAAAAGTTCAAGCGGACGAGTCCGCAGTAACCTCCCCGTCAGACACATCCGCAATTCAGCCTCCCCAAAATGATCGTACGGAAGCTTTGCATGCGGCAGAGTAAGTGTGATCCAAAGACCAAATCAATCTCCCACAATCAACCTAATAGCGCATCTCACAGGCCGCCAGCTCCTGGCCTTGAGCCGCCGAGCCCCGATCTCAACTCGTTTCCAATCAACACTGCCAGAAACACCAGTCGACGCAGTGCAATTTCCCCCAGAGAGTCCATTGGACCTGAAAATCCTCTCCTCGAGATGGTGCAAGCCCAATCCGATGCCAAACTGACCCATGACACCTCATCAAGTACGTCGCGAATTTCTCACCCCCAACCAACCCCCAAACCAACTAACCCCATACTCAGGATCCAATTTCAAAAAACTCGGCACAACCGTCAAACAAACCTACAACCCCAACGATGTTATTCGCAATCCCCCCAAGCCCTCCCAGATCACTCTCGAAATGCTCCTCGCAGCAGGAACCCACCTAGGCCACTCGACCTCCCGCTGGAACCCGCAGAACTCGCGATACATCTTCGGTATCCGCGAAGGCGTGCACATTATCTCGCTAGACGTGACAGCTGCGCACCTCCGTCGTGCCGCCAAAGTTGTCGAGGAAGTCGCCGCCCGCGGTGGCCTGATCCTCTTCGCGGGCACACGCTCCGGCCAGAAGCAGGCTGTGGTTCGGGCCGCCGAGCTGGCCAAGGGCTACCACATTTTCGAGCGGTGGATTCCCGGCGCGCTGACGAACGGCGAGATGATCCTCGGCCACTGCGCGACGAAGGTCGTCAACGCTTTCGATGAGGAGTTGCCCAAGTTCAAGGTCGATCTGCAAGATCGGCCTACGCTGAAGCCTGATCTAGTCGTCTGTCTTAATCCGTTGGAGAATGTTGTCTTGTTGCATGAGTGTGGTCTGAACAATGTTCCTACTATCGGTGTTATTGATACTGATGCGGACCCTACGCGTGTTACATACCCGATTCCCTCGAACGATGATAGTTTGCGGGCTACTTCATTGATTGCGGGGGTTTTGGGACGCGCGGGTGAGGCGGGCCAGGTTCGCCGTATGAAGATGGCGCAGGAGGGCCAGACACCTTATAAGCCTATTACGGCTGCTGAGCTGCGTCTGGATCCTTTCACTGGGACGACCCCTGTTGAGCAGAAGAAGTAGGCTGTGTCTTTTTGGTTGCATTTGTTCTTGTTTAATTGGTATCCGGTCGATTTGCATTGAAACGACGGGTCTCTGTACTGTATAGATGATTCCAGGTCTAGGTGTTGAAATATGTATTAACAACTTTAAGTCAATTTGGTTTTTCTACTGGAATTAGCCTGAAACCTTCCATTTGAATAATGTGCTATTTGTATATTGTGCCTAGGTATATCTTGTTGGGTGAGACCTATTCGACTCGATGTTTTGCTACTGTCAGAACGTTGTCGGCCCAACAGCTCTTCAAATCTCACGGCAATCGCACGCGAGCATTCCCGAATCAACCCGCAAATTCTCCTCGGAAGTTTAGAGAAATTGCATCGTACGACCGTTGCCGATATCGCCCTCCAGCGTACTCGATATATCGATATCTCTTTTATTCTCCGACGAAGCCACAATCCGACTAAAAAGCTTGTGGTTCGGATATCGACCCACATCAGATTATCACCCAATCAAATTGCTTCAATCCATCACGTTCCTCCAAGGACTAGATATCACTCGCATTGAAGTAACGAGAAAAAAGTGGTGCTGGTTACACTGCGCACGCGATAGCATCCTGCCTTTTCCTTTTCGTCCAGGAATTGAGCACGTGGGCACAATGATAGTCTTTTCTCCCAAGGTAATCTCGCTCTACCAGTTCGACCCGCAATGGCACTGAAAGCCGGAAATAGGTTTACCATGATATGGAACGTATAAAGGATCAGGAGAGTGACGCCCTGATCCCAGAACCCAAATTTCTCAACCCAAAATCCTAGCTACAAAGCTACCCTCCCGCCATGCCCACCCTCACAAGCATACTCTATGCACTGAGCATAACAGGCGCAACAGCCCTAAACTATGGCTCCCTCAACAACAACGAAAAACAATTCTCCCAAGAATTTCGCGACAACTACAGCATTCTCAAGCACTACGGTGGCAATGGTCCGTACTCGGAGCGCCGCTCACACGGCATCTCGCGCGACCCCCCGCCCGCCTGCACAGTTGACCAAGTAATAATGATCAAGCGGCACGGCGAGCGATACCCATCCCCCTCGCTAGGCGCGGGCATCGAAAAAACACTCTCAAAACTGCACGCCGCCAACACCACCTTCGCAGGCGATCTTGCTTTCTTCAACGACTGGACTTACTACGTCCCCAATGCCTGCTGGTATAACGCCGAGACGGCCAGCGGGCCGTACGCCGGTCTGCTGGACGGGTATAACCACGGCACGGAGTACCGGGATCGCTATGGGCATTTGTGGGATGGGGAGAGCGTTGTGCCGATGTGGGCGAGTGGGTATGGGAGGGTTATTGAGACGGCGAGGAAGTTCGGAGAGGGATTCTTCGGGTATAATTATTCAAGTAATGCGGCGCTGAATGTTATCTCAGAGGATGAGGGGATGGGCGCAAATTCGCTGACGCCTGTTTGTTATGATGATCGTGATGCGGGGATTTGCGCGGCTTTGACGAATGTTATGCCGCTGTTTAAAGTTGCCGCGGAGAGGTTGAATGCTCAGAATCCTGGGTTGGGGGTTAATGAGACTGATGTTTATTATCTTATGTGTGAGTGCTGCTGCTTGGGGATCCTGATCGTGGGATGTGGCTAATTACCATTGGGACGGGACAGCGATGGCATCGTTCGAGCTCAATGCCCGTGCATTCTCCGAGTGGATCGACGTCTTCACGCAAGATGAGTGGGTTAGTTTCGGCTACGTTGAGGATCTGAACTACTACTACTGCGCCGGGTAAGTTGCATCGCAACCGCAATCGTCGAAAACACCATCTAACACCCCCAGACCCGGCGACAAAACCATGGCCGCCGTAGGCTCCGTCTACGCAAACGCAAGCCTGACCCTCCTCAACGAAGGCCCCGAAAAGACAAACTCGCTCTTCTTCAACTTGTGAGTCTCACACACACCCCTAAAACAAGAGCCACAAAAATCCTAACCACCCCCAGCGTACACGACACAAACATAACCCCCATTCTCGCAGCCCTAGGCCTCCTAACACCCGAAGAAGACCTCCCGCTAGACCGCATCCCCTTCGGCAACCCCTACTCAACAGGCGATATAGTTCCACAAGGCGGCCACTTCACGATCGAGCGCCTGAGCTGCGCCCAAACCGCCATCTCAAACGCAGGCAGCTACGTCCGCCTCGTGCTGAATGAGGCCGTCGTGCCCTTCAACAAGTGCACTTCTGGTCCTGGCTACTCCTGTCCTCTGGAGCAGTATTCGACTATCGTGAAGGGCTTGCTGCCTGATTACGTTGGCCAGTGTAAAGTCCCACACAAGGATCCGAAGAGCTTGGACTTTTGGTGGGTGTTCAATACGACTACTGAGTTGAATTATCGTACTGGGCCTGTTGGGTGTCAGGAGGGGGCTGTGGATTTTTGAGGCTGTTAATTGTATTTTGGGATGTATGTATGCATATGCGTGTGAGGCTGGAGATATGGCTCTCTGATTCACCCAATTTCCCTATGAACTCCCTGGGTTTAATATTTGGAACGAGATTCCGGGAAAGGAAATTCCAGCTGTATTACGATTGGATTGTAGGTGCGCCTTTTTTCTGGCTTAGATCTAGATCTTCCCCGGAACAACATTTGTTATCAAAGCGTATCTTGATAGATTATGATCTGAGGCTGTGCGTTTATGGCTCAGCTCGATAAACCACCCGGCTGACGTCAAACAAAATCATAGGGTTTCATTCGCCGTATGATTGGTTTCTACTAGCTCTTTTCTGGTTGGTTGGATTTCCATATTCGTGCATGTCACTTTGAATGGGGATCTCACATTAGATGAAGTCATCGAAAGAAGCAAAGTATAGGAAATCATTGACCACGCGTTCCTACTAGTTGGTCGTGGTATTCTAAGGCATCCTTAAGCATCAATATCACCGAACCGGGCAAGGAGGTGTACCATCACTAGGCTGGGTGTCTGTATCAATCACCAAAAAATACTGGATTCGCGTAAATGTAAATAAACAAAGGGTGAGAGGGGCAATCGAACTCGATGCATCGAGAAATGGACTTCTTAATCGGACAAAAAGTGAGGTCAAGAATGGCAAAGCGGACAACCTTTCTATGACCTGGCTCTTGTGGTCTAGTTGAAAGGCCTTGCCCATGTAAAGTCATTCACCTGGTGATTTCAGGCCACCACTGGCTCCTAATAGCCAAGTGACATATGGCTTTACCAGGTAAAGTCGACCTCTGGCGAACGCTGGCCATAGGAGCAGCCTTGCTGAGCTCTCAGTTTGGGACTGCAGTTCTGCAGCTCATACTGGGGTCTCAGTCATCAGGTCCCTTTTATTAAGTACCTTCACGGTTTTGTCCTTTTTGTTTGGAAATATGTGTCTTGATACTATTACGCAGAAACGTACTTATCCTGCTTTGGAAACATTAAAAGTTTCATATAATTCATCCATACGCATGTCCCACTTGCTCCAGCTCAATCCATCAAACATCTCCGTCACCTCCTCCACCCCACCCTTCTGACCGGCCAGGTCCATAACATAGGGAATAACAATGCAAATTCACCATCAAGACGCCCCACCGCTCAAATCAGGATAACACCGCAAAATATGCTCCCAGATAGTCCTTGCCACCTCCTCTGGCTCCAAGCATGTTACATCGATCTCCAGAAATTCATTGCTATCGCTGAACCGGAAAATCGGTGCTCCCTTGCGAAACGTCCTCAGCAGCTCCACATTCATGAGTTTTGCATGCTTTTCACGCTCCGACTGCGTCACGCGCTTGATATTCTCATCTTCATCGCAGGTCAGAACAATGGGAATCAGTAGACAGCCTCGATCCTTCGCAGCCTGCGCATATTCTGCGCACACAATGGAACCTTGTTCATTCGTTGTTTGAAAATCAGTGAACAGATAGGCTGTATTAAAGGTTGCAGGCTCGGTCACTAGGGACGTAAAGATAGCGGCGCGGACAGCATGCCGAAGAGACTGGTACCCTGGTTGGGTACGGTGAAGTACAGCGTCAGCAGGATTGACGAGAAGGTGGTTGTGGATTAGCTTCAGATTTGCGGAGAGAGCGACATGCGCGACCAGATATTGGGCGACTGTTAACTTTCCCGTGCCGGGAAAGCCATTGATGTGGATGAGGGGATGGGGGGTTGTTCCGGGCATGTTAACGAAGAGTGATGCTGTTGAATTAATTAAGACGTAAGTTGAGAGAGTGGTCGAGAGGGAATTGATTGAGAGAAGAGACAAGCTCTCAGAACTAGTTCCCTAAGTAGTTACCTAAATATCCTGACCTACTAGCCTAGAACGATCGAAATGAATGTTTGTAGGATAGAATCGACTTGGTAATAGGCTGCGCGCTAGTAGGAAAATAACATCAACGGGCTAAGTCGACCGCAATCTCCGTACGGTCGCCATAGTGGCCAAATTTAGTACCCGAAACCTGTACTCCGGAAGGATCCCGGTCCCTGAAGGAGAAACATTGAGAACGGACAATAATAGTGGCCTTATTCTTGATCCGGATAACCTCCGTCGGGTTACCGGCGGGGTTGAATGAGGTGATAGTGGCGCTCTCATGTGTGTTTTGAAGCTATCCCTTTTGTAGGGAAAGAGTATTCTTGTCACTCACATCTGCGTTGCAAATAAGGAGTTTATTAGGTTGTACTATATCTCGCCCCGGGATAGTCTCTAAACCGATGGGACTCCATTATGCCTCGAATCTAACTAACCTCTATAGTACCCGATGCAAGTTTATATCCACCAACCAACCCAGGTATATTATATGCAAATCCCTAAGCCTTGAGGGTGTAGACCACCCGACCCCGCGAATCAGTACCCTTTAGCACGATATCATCACCAGTGCTAGAGACAACACGGCGCTGGTCGCCATTATGCAAGACAATATCCAGATCCTTCCAAGCAGGAACAAACCCACTCTTCTCATCACGCTCAAGCTTCACAGAAACCGTCTCCTCAGTAGAACTGTAGCTGATCGTATACGCCGCAGTCTCAGGCTGTACCGAGATACCATCATCCTCATACCAAGTCGTAGCAAAGACGGTACCGTGCGAAGTGCCCTTAGGTGGGAACACCTCCACACCACGGTAATCGTCAATCTCCTGGACAGCAACGGAAGCAGCGGTATCATCGCCAGGAACGCGGGTGTGCACGTTCTTGCCGACGGGAATAGCACCGCCAACGCGGGCAATCAGCGGAATGCTCTTCTGCCACTCGGACGCAATCTCAACCCACTGCCCAGACGCAAGATACTGGTAGGGGGCGTTCATGTTGACGAAGCCGTAGTCGAAGACGTTCTTGCGGGGCAGGTAGACGCTCGCGACGTCGATGCCCTTCTTGTAGACTCCGCCGACGAGAACAGTCTCGCCGAACCAGAACTGCTCCTCGCCTTCCTTGAGCTTCTTCGTCCACACCTCTGGATCGCTCTCGTAGCCCCAGCCCGTCCAGCGCTGCGGCGGCGTCGCGAACTTGTGGCTCTCCAGCCCGAGCGAGTAGATGTACGGCAGCATTTCGTAGCGGCGCTTGATGGTGTCGCGGATCTGGGGGGTGATCTCGGGATACATGAAGGGCTCGATGACGTCGCCGACGTCGGAGTCTTTCGGTGAGGTCTTGAAGCAGTTGATTGCAAAGCGAGGGGCATGGCAGCCAAGTTGGACCCAGCGGAGGAGGAGTTCGGGGGAGGGCTGGGGGCCTTCGAATCCGCCGATGTCGTGGCCTTCGCATTGGAGGAGGGACATGCCGGCGTTTAGGGAGAGCGCGTTTGCGCCTTTCATGTTTTCCCAGCTTGTGACGTTGTCACCACTCCAGGAGGATGCGGCATAGCGGAGGGTTCCGGCTGTGGCGCTGCGGGTGAGGACGAAGGGTCGCTGCTTGGGTTCCATGTCTTGGAGGGCGTCGTGGGAGGATTTACCCATGAGCTCGGTGTGAAGGGCGCGGCCCCAGAGACCGACGGAGTTCTTGACGTTCTTTGCTGCGGCGTCGGCGACGGTGGGCTCGTTGAGAGACATGGTCCAGTCATCGTCTGGTAGGGTGTATTCGTTGTTGTCATTCCACATGCCGTCGATGCCGACCTTTTTGAGACTCTGGACGCCGTCGTACCACCACTTGAAGGCCTCTGCGGAGGTAAAATCAATGTGTGCACCGTCGCCGCCGGTAGCACCACCGGCACTCCATAGACGCATATAACCAGGCTCCTTGTCAGCATCCTTGAAGAATCCACCGGCATCGACGAGCTTCTGGAAGTCTGGATGAGACGCCAACAAGAATGGCTTGATATTGGTCAAGAGGCGAATGCCGTACTGGTGCATCTTTGAAATCCAATCTTCGGGATCCGGGAAGCGATCCCGGTTCCATGTGAAGACATTGCGAACCTTGGGCTCAGTCTCAGCGATGGAGTAACCTGAACTCATCTGGTGAGCCGAGCATGGAATGCCGTGTTCCTTGAGCTTCTCGGCAAACTCTAGAAGAGCCAGATGCGCCTTTTGAGGCTCCTCCAGCATGGTGTACTTGTAGCCACCGGAAATGTAGCCGTAAGCCCAACGGGGCACAAGAATAGGAAAACCAACCAGCTCGGCGTACGAGCGGACAACGTCCTTGATGGTCTTTCCAACAATGTAGTACTGCTCAAGACCACCATAGTCCTGACGGTACACTTTGAAGTGTCCCCAGAGACCATCGATCTCGGCTCCCACAGACCACAGACCGCGGCCATGGGTTGTTGAGAAGATGGCCACACAGCCCTCTGCAGAGGCTTTGATCAAGAGTGGGATGTGCTTGTAGAGGGGGTCGGTCTTATATACATCATATCCGAAGGAATCCGTGGCGGAGAGCTGGAATTGACGACCGCTCAAATCCATAGGAGCCGCCTTCTCGCCAAGTCCGACGTGGAGATATTCGCGATCATGCACGGAGTAGTTGGCAACACCCTCGCCGTCTGCGACAAAGGAGCGCAGCGGTAGATCCTCATGCAAAGGCTTCTCGGAGCCGGCCCATGATAGCTTGACCACTGGGCTGTGTTCCCAGTCTACCACGGCAGTGATACCGGCGACATCGAATGTCTTGGAAGAAGTACTCTCCTTGGCGAAAACATTGACACCTTGGAGATTGGTCTCTGGCTTGGTGACACTAGGATAGGGAGGAATAGGGTGCTCTGTGGATGAGAAGGTGGCTCGGAATAGGTTGGGACGAACAGCTTCAAAGGTAAAATCGAAGGGAATCTTGCTCTTTGTGCTGCTTCGAACATGGACGGAAGCTTCTTGGTTGGTAGCCTGGGGCACTTGCGAGTAGCCCTTAGGGCAGGCTTCTTTTTGAGGCATAATGTGAAGAACAATACAATTGATCCAGAGGAACTGGAAAGAATACCAGGATATTCACTGACATTGTGCTGTATTTGAATGTTGGTTGAAGTCCCCTCAATCCCCTCCATTCGCGAGCCCCGCGTCTCTGATGCATATAGAGTCGGAGATCGGGGATAATGACCGAGAAGCGAAGACTATCTTACGTTGTGAAGATGTCGAACGATGATTTGCCGCAAAGCCCCGAGTTGGAGCGGCCCGCGGTTCTTCCCCACAAAACAACATCCCGGGGCCCCATATGTCTGTGCTAGTTTTTCCTTCGGTTTTGCTCACCGAAATCCGACACTAGCGATTCTGGGCGTGGACTTTAAACTCCTCATCTTTCCATCGCCCCTCCCACGGCAAATGACTTAGCGAAGTGATTGGATACAGTTGTCGGAAGTTGCCCGGCGTGCAGCAGGCAACGTGTCTTGCCGGGTCTCCCCAGATCAATTGACCACGTGGATTGACAATACAAAGTTTTATCGGCAACTATGCCACGGCTTTAGAGGGTAAATCATATCCCGTTTGTGGTGTGGTACTTCGGGCCTGGTCATCTCGTCCGGGGGATGTAATATACTTCCTTCCCCACGGGGTTTTGCATGCCCTACATCCCATACTATACTCGGGAGTACTTTGTCTTCTTTGAGTAGAAGTTTTCCCATATACTGCCCATATTCACACATTTTTTTTTCACTCTTGCTTTCCCTTGTACCTCTGCGAGTGATTAGCTATGTCGCAGGAGGCAAGGATCTCACAGCCCAAGGGCCAGGAGGAGTTTGTGGAGACCATTGAGCCCGCACAAGCTAGGGCAGTGTCTCCTCATAACAATGGCACAGGAAGTCATCCGAAAGGAGATCAAGCTCTCCAACTCATCGAAGAGGCAGGCTATTCGAACGTTCTGACCCCTGAGAATAACGCCAAAGTTCTTCGAAAGATCGATTTGCGTCTTCTGCCCATCCTCTTGGGAATCTACTTCCTTCAGCAACTTGACAAGTCCACCATCTCGTATGCATCGGTTTTCGGAATTGTCGAGAAAGCCCATCTGGTTGGCCACCAGTACTCCTGGTTAGGAGGCTCAATCTATCTGGCACAACTGGTGTTCCAACCCTTGGTAGCGTACCTTTTGGTTAAAGTGCCCCTGGCAAAATTCCTGGCCGTGTCCTGTCTCCTATGGGGTATTGCTCTATCTTGCATGACTGCAGCGACTACTTTCAAGGAATTGCTTGTTTGTCGAATTTTCCTCGGTATCTTTGAGGCTGGAATCGGTTCGTTGTGTCCGTACTATCCTCATTTGACCTTGCTAACGATGGGTTTGATTAGCCCCAGCATTCATCGCAGTTACCCAAATGTGGTACAGACGTCGTGAGCAGCCCGTGAGATTGAGTTCTTGGTATGCAATGAACGGTGTCGTGAATATGGTGGGTTTTCTTCCGCTCCAGTGTATTGACCATTTAAATTAACACTTTAGGGAAGTTCGGAAGCTTGATTGCGTTTGGACTAGGTCACATCCATTCCACTATATTTGCATCCTACCAAGTAAGTTCAATATAGCGATCTTGTGCAGATATCACCTAACACCGACTAGATCATTTTCCTCTTCTTCGGTTTGGTTACTGTTGGATTCTCTGCCGTTATCTTGTAAGCTTTGACCCCCCTACTAGACAAACTATACTAAGACGACGACCTTGCACAGTATTTTCATGCCAGACTCCCCTGTTACGGCCAAATTCCTCGGAGAAGAAGACAAGCTTCTATCAATCGAAAGACAGCGAATGAATCAACAGGGTGTCGAGAGCCACGATTGGAAATGGGACCACGCGAAGGAAGCATTCCTCGATCCCAAGTCATGGTTCTGGTTTGCGTTGATGTTCTCCATTTCGTGAGTTGGATCGGAATGGACAGATGAGATTAACTAGGGTTGCTGACCAATTTGTAGTGTCCCGAGCGGCGGCATCACAACATTCGGTCCATTGATTATCAAGTCCTTTGGCCTTAGTCAGTATGATACCATGCTTTTCAACATCCCCTTCGGTGCAGTACAGCTTGTTGCCACCATGGGAGGAGCCTGGCTAGCGACTGTTTGGAAGATGAAGGGCCCGGTTCTAGCATTACTCTGTCTTCCACCCATCGCCGGTTGTGTGATGTTGTTGCAGATCACGCACGACAATGCCCACAAAGGCCCCCTACTTGCAGGATACTACATTGTAAGTGCTCAATTGAAAGAAAGTAAGACATTAGTCACAAGAATGCTAACCAGTTCAATTTAGATCTCTGTTTACCCAGCCATTAGTGAGTGTTTACTTGGTCCACTTTGAAGCCGAACATCACTGACGATCTCTAGCCCCACTGATCTATTCCTGGTCTGCAGCGAACACCGCCGGAGAGACCAAGAAGAAGGTCACTACTGCTATTCTATATGTTGGACAGTGCGCGGGTAATGTATGTACCAGATTGAACCTCAACATGTGGTTTGATGCTGACACTCTCCTCTCCAGGTCCTTGGGCCAAACCTTTATACCACGGCTGAAGCGCCACTTTACCGTCGTGGTCTGCTTTCAAAGTAAGTTCATCAAGATGGCAACCTTTTAAGTATCAAATATTTAACATCCGATTAGTCTCGCGTTGTTTTGTGCCTTGATTGGTTTGACCGGGTAAGTCCTATCTAACTCCAACCAACTTTTACTTTGCTGACTGTGAGTGTGTAGGGCAAACACGGCATATCTGTACCTCATGAACAAGAAGCACGAAAAGAGACGTGTGGCTGTCGGAAAGAGCGCCAAGATTATAGACCAGTCTATGCAAACTGTTCAAGTTGTCTGCGATGCCAAGGAAGATCAGCCTCAACAAGCAGTAGACGACAATGCCTGGAAAGACTTGACAGATTGGCAGAATGAGGACTTCGTTTACGTCTTTTAAGACTTTGCAGTTTATTGAATTTGTGTTATAGCTTGAGAGAATTTAGTTAGTACGCGTGCCATTTGTATGAATCAAACAGAAATAGGATCATGCTACCTATGTAAACACAAGCGCCGGCGAAAGCTTCAAAATGCAATTTCCTTCAGATGGCGATGAGCCACATAATTAGACGTGGCCCAGGTTGATCGTATAGCCGGCTCGGAGTAATAGCCGAACCCCGCGTTTCTCCAGGTTTTCCCTTTCCCGTCAACCCCGAGAATCACCAAGTGCATAGAAAACAGCTTGAAATGGGTGATCATACTGATTGCAGTCCGTATACGGTGATGGAAGATGAGTCCATACATCTGATCCCAGCCCCGACAGGGAAAAAGCGTATTCCGGTACGTTGCCGTTGTGCCGATTGGAAACCTGTAAAACACCGGACAAAGCCCTAACGATGTATGGCGTTTTTAATGCATAGAAGGCATGCAGTGCTTGTCGACAATCGAAGGTCTGTGCACAAATCCCCGAAGTCCGAAAATCAATGGCGGTTGGCTGATCGATTCAAGGTCAAATGCGACGGAGAGAGACCATGTACAAGGTAAGGTCTCTCCCTTGATTCCGATCTAACAGGGAGCCTTGAAATAATAGTCACCATATAGATGTCAGAAATTGGAGAAGCAATGCGTGTTTTTCGAAATACCAAAAGACCCCGTCTCAGAGTAAGAGCATGTCTTCTTTATCAATCCACCAAACCTAACATCCTCAGACGAATTGAAGGCGTCGAGTCTGAGATCCAATATCTCCGAAGACAACTAGATGAAATGCGCGATCTACTCAAAGAGAGCCACTCCCACTCCATCCCCGAATCTGGAGTAACACACTCCCCAAGCCAAGATCGGCAGCAAGTTTGTCGCGAGAGCGCTTGCGGCTCATCACGCTCCCACCATCATCATTCAGAGGTTCATACACAAGAGGGTCTTTCAAGTGTACCTACCGATAGCCCCGCTGGTTATCCCAGCCACTCAAATAACCATCAATATCAAAGGCCCATGCCGGGGTCCATGCCAGGGTCCATGCCAACCCTCTCTCCAAATAAGCTTCCAGTCCAGTCGGTCTACCGGCCATCTAATCAGATTATTACTCGGCCGCCTAAGAGGAAACGCTCTGGGTTTGAGGTTCGAGATGAACCTATTGCCGACTTTATTGATAAGGGGCTTATCACGCTTGAATGTGCCGTGTCTTATTTTGATACGTATGTTTGTCCGTGAAGTATTCGGGATTTTTTGACTCACTAACAATATCTAGCTTCTTTGGGGGATGTGTATGTGCCTCCTCCCACTACTGAGCCTCAAATACTCAAATTTTGATAATCCCTTAGGATAGGTATATCCCGATTTTCGACCCTCAATACGACACTTTCGACTCCATCCGATCTCGAAGTAGTATCCTCCTCAACGCAATATGTACCATTGGCTGCATGGTCGAGTCTAGTGCGTATATTTCTCCTAATAAGTTTGTGAAAGAATGACATCGTACTAACCAGTCTCTTCCAGGATCCGGCGGACCAATGTCCGACCTTCTGCATTCCGAGCTCAAAAGATGGATCAACGTCATAATCCAGAACAAAGAACTAAACTCCCTCGAATCAATCCAAGCAATGCTCGTCGTTGCTTGCTATTCCGCTGAACGCTCCTTAATATTATCGTTCGCTACTCGGATGGCGCTGGATCTGGGACTCCATGAGGCTTTTGATGAATTGACTCAGCGGCTGGCCCTTCAAAATGAAGATATAGCTTATGCTTTGCCTCATCAGATGTTTGAAGAGGAAAAAGCTCTTATGTGGAAGGCGAGGACATGGTTCGGACTCTTGGTTCTTGAACATATGTAAGTTGGCTGTGGCTTTTTGAAGGGCCTTTTCAGACTGATGATATTTGATCTAGATTCCGTGTCGATGGAGGGAAACCGCCTGGTATTCGGCTCAAAGGAAATGCTCGTCGCTGTCGGGTTTTGCTTAGCCATCCGTCATCGACGATTTTGGATTTAAGGCTATTTTCTCAAGTCGAGGTGTGTCTGGTTCCTAGAGGAGCACGAGGAAATACTAATCTTTGCCATTACAGTTGAATATTCTCAGAGGTATGATCTTACCATGAAATTATTGTACAGTGTCTAATATGCTTCCGATAGCCAACGTCGGCGATACAATAGGAGGAAATACATCGCTCGATGGACAAAGCATAGCAGATTACGTTCATGACATGAAAATTGAGCTAGATTTATGGTTCGAGTGAGTTCTCAGCACCCCGTATCCTGACAAGTGTGCTGATTCTCGAAAGTGACTGGCTACGCATTATCGGTATGCCTAAATTAACATCATCTATTCAAACATTCTAACATCTCAAAGAAAGCTGCGTCGCCGCAGCCGAAGAAAAGCCATCCCTACTAGTCGCCCTTCGAGTGCAAAAATGCTGGGCAGAAATGATGCTCAACTGTAAAGCACTGCGATCCATGGGCGTTGAGAACGTAGCGTAAGTGCCAAGGAATAGTTCAGTGGCCTTCGATCCGCACTAACAAACACAAAGTGCCATGTCCATCACAGAGCGAACAATCCTCCTCACAGCCAAAGCCAGTGCGCGCCGACATCTGCGGCTCATAATCGTCAATCCGGACTTCTACCTCGCGAAGCTGAAATACGCAATGGACTTCGTCTGGGCAAAGTGCGCATTTTCATTCCTGCTTCTGTTAAAATTATCTCGTCTTCTTCCTGAGCGTGACGAAGAGTACCAAGAGCTTCTGGAACACGGTAATAGACTCGTCGACGAGCTGAGTAAAGCCGGTGCGGGTGGAACTCAGTCTGGGGCTGGGAATATTTATCTCCAAATCTTGAAGGTCAGTATTGAGAAGTATGGGCGTGCGTTGATGGAAACGCAACAGCCTGGCTCGGATGGTCCTACGGCTACGTCGCCGTTTTGGGAGTTGTTTGATGCTCAGGCGGATCTGCAGTGGTTTGTGCCTGAGCAGTTTGTTTCTGAGTGGGACTTCCCGGGGCTAAATTTGTTTTATTTTCCTACTGCTTGGCAGGATTTCTTTGGAGATTTCTCTTTGGCAATGTAGGTTGGAGATGGGTACAAATTCTAGGGTTATAAGGGGAGGACCTTGAAACCGGGCTCACTCCTTCCGTATGACTCAAAAGCTTTAGATGTCAGATATGGTTACAGACTTCTATTAACCTGAAAATGTTGTTCACTTTTGTAGTAGCCCTCCATCTAACAGTTGGGATCAAATGAGCCCTGGATATCTAAAAAGTGAAAATGGCCATACGAACAAAAAAAAGACGCGTCAACTTTCATCATAAACAAGTACTAAATGTACTCAACCGAGAGCCTGCATGGCGAGCTCGACACTGAAAGTTGCTTGTTAGCTGTAATCACATGAGAAGGATTGGGGGGGGGGGGGGGAAACATACGTCAGGAATGTTCCAGCAGAGACAGGCAAAGCTCTCAGCAGGGTAGGGGCGATACCCTTCCAGAAGCCACCGAGACCCTCAATGGCGTAGGTCTTCTTGAAGCAATCACGCATGCTGTTGTACTTTTGGTTCGCACCGAATCCATCGGTCTGCATCTTACTCTTGACAACATCCAAGGGGTAACTGGAAAGCCAAAGGGCCTCACCAGCAAGACCACCGTAAATGGCAACCTTGGTGGTACTTAAATCCTCACGCTTGATACCGTTGAACTTAGCATCCTGGTTCATCATGAACTCGAACGCCATGAACCAAGTACCGTAAGCTTGGGCCTCACGGAGAAGAGTAACAGCCTGACCGCGGTAAATGCCGCGGAGAGCACCGCCCTGTGCGGCAAGCTTGCTCACACAGTCAATGGGGCCAGAGTACAGGCGACCGGCGCCGTGAGGCTGGGCCTGCAGACGAATACGGACGTGCTCGATTGGGCCCGAGAGTACGGAGTTGGTCAAACCAGCAAATGAACCGGCCATGTAGTACTGGGCGTAAGACAGGTCCTTGACGGCATATTTCTTCTGGTTCAGCTCTTCCAAGCGGCGGCGCGCTTCGTGGTATGCGCCGAATTGGACAGATACCTAAATGGGTGGGTTAGGGCTTGGTTGATAAACCGGGCCGGTGGACTTACACAGGCACCGATACCAATAAGTGGGGTCAGGGTTCCCTTGTAGAAGGCCGCGGGGCCTTCAGTCTTAAAGATCTGGGTTGCTGCGTCCAGCGCACTCTTGTATTGAGTGGTGGTTTGCAGGCGAACCTTGACAATGTCTGTGGAAATGTTTATTAGTGCTTGATCAAGGCGTGCTGAGCTTGGATCACAAACCGAACGGTTGACCTGGTTTTTTTGTTAGTAATCGGTCTAATTAGAAGATTTGGATGTTTGAATGTATTTTTTGTTCTGTGTTTCAAAATCACCGGAGCTCATAACATTGATTTTCATGATATGGCATTTCCCCGGAGTTCATTCACTTGAGCACACATACCGAGGAGAACCTGGGCTATTCCACCAGCTGCGCCCGCGGCCAAATCCTTGATGGTGCGAAGAGCACCACCACCCTTCTCCAGTTGGTCAATTGTCTCAGTCTCCATTTTCAAAGCGAATTGAATACCAAAAAGAGTATCAGTCCAGGGACAAGGAGACTCCAGACTTTAAATCAATCCGCTTATCGTTATTGCGCCATCTCGCCGCTGATTCGACGATACCCCCGAGGCACGTGACTTTACCGGCGGGCTTTTTACGTAAGCCCTGACCCCGGCCCGGAGGTCTTGGCATTCTTATACTTCGACTTCATACTGTGTATTGTCCGCTTCTTCATACATAAATTTAGGATGTAGGTCATGTATAGACCACCAGTGTGACTTTCGCTATCTCAAAGCATTGTCTGCGATGACTTGCTCCGGTCAATAAACATATATAGGTTGTGGAAAGCACAATACACTGCATAACGAATAAATCAACCCTTGGAAGCTCATAGTCTGCTTTAAGGACACAGGTGTTGAGTTGCAAAGCATACATAATTTGAAGAAAACAAGACGTTAAAATTGTAATGAGCGTTACAGTAAGTAATGAGTAACCAGCGTTTCGTCAAGTGTTTGAAGGTTGTGCTTATGTGACTATTTATACCTAAAAACATAAAAAACATAATAATCTATTGTTAAGTTTGCTGAACCTGTTTGTAGGCCTTCTCCGTTTAATGCTTGGTACCTGAGCAGGTCATGTCCTTGTTTCAATCCAGCCGGAATAATACTCGGCCCGAGTCTTAACGCCTGACCTAAGCAATGACATAAGCTTCCCGGGGTCATCGTCTCGAACTTCTGGAAAGGGAAAAAAGTGTTGACAGATCCAAATGTGGAGAGACCACTGAATTATGCTTCGCCGGCCAGTCTGCAGGGTGAGTTTCAAGCAATCCCAGGCGTGGGAGGTCTCTAATGACAATAATAGGTTTCGCGACGGGCTGAGTGGCCTAGTTCAGCCTGCCTAGCTCCCTCTTTAACAGCGCTCACAATTCGACGGACATTACGATCATCTACGACCTGTTGGAACTCCTCCGAATCACCAGGTGGAAACAATGATGGATCTCCGGCTCCAGCACCAGCAAAACCCAAATTCGGTAATCGATGGGGTCCTAAAACAACAGCTCCAAAGCCGGCCGGCTTAAGCGCCGCAGAACAAGCGATGCGGGATTCTCTCATCGCCAGGACTCCGCCCCCACCTCCTCCCCCGCAAAGTAAATTGGAACCGTCTGGTAAGCAGACAGCGGGAAATCAGAGGTCGACTGGGTTGAGTGCGGCGGAAAAAGCAGTGCGCGATAGAATTGTCTCCAATGGCCAACAGCCTTCACCTCCAGCGCAACGCAGATGGGATCAATCAACCCAGCAGAGGAAACCGGACCACGGACGTTTTGGGGGTCAACGCAACAATCAAGGCTCTGGGAACATGAGATTCTCAAAAGACAATCCATGGAATCAAAGAAAACCAACCCAAGAACCGAATCCTTTCCTGGATAGTCAGCCACAAGACAACTACTCTGGATACCTGGGCAGGCCTTCTACGAGATCTGCTAACAGGAACCAGCCCAGGTCCAAAGGTTGGGATTGCCCTGACTGCCAGGCGAATGTCTTCTCACATAGAGATACGTGTCCATTTTGCAAAGCACCTCGACCGGAGGAATCTCGCCCTACTTTGCGAACAGCCTCACAGTATCATAATTCGCGTGAATTCTTACTCAAATACAAACCACCGCCTGCCGAAGATACTAGCAAGTTCCAGGAATTGGGCAAGTCGGTTTTATCTGAGATGGACCAAGAAAATCGATCTGAAAAAGATGATACCACCACTGAGGAAAGCACCCCAGAAGAGGTCAATCCAGAGGAGTCGGAAAGCAGTAACTCTGCCTCCGAGAAAAAAGCAAAAAAGCAGAAGGATCCGTGGTCCTGGGATGAGTCTGCGTTAGCACATCTAGAAAGCCTAGAGGCCCAAGAGCAGCAGCAGCAGCAAACCAATAAACCTATGAAGCGCCGTGATGGCCGCAAGGGACGCCAAACGGACTCCGATGGTAGCGATTTCGACCCGGAGGCGCGCGAGCGTCTTCGTCAGGACCGCAGGCGCCAACAGAAAGAAAAGGCCGACAGAAAGGCCGCGAAGAAGGCTGAAGTGGCCCCTCCCGCTCCTCTCTACTTACCGGAGTTCATCAGTGTTGGCAATTTGGCGGATGTGATTGGTGTTCGACCAGCGCATTTCGTAGCACGCATGGAAGAGATGGGCTTTGAGGATATTACACACAGAGATGTTCTTGACGCAGAGACTGCCGGACTGGTGGTAGCTGAGTACAACTTTGAGGCCATCTTTGACACCGGTGCTGAGGATCTTGAGGCTGCCCCTGAGCCAGAGGATACCTCTAATCTGCCAACTCGACCCCCTGTGGTGACTATCATGGGCCATGTTGATCATGGAAAAACTACCATATTGGATTGGCTGCGCAAATCTTCCGTGGCGGCATCTGAACACGGTGGTATCACTCAACATATTGGTGCTTTCTCAGTGAACATGCCTGGCGGAAAGGCTATCACCTTCCTGGACACACCCGGTCACTCTGCATTCTTGGAAATGCGTCGCCGTGGTGCCGATGTGACGGATATTGTGGTGTTGGTTGTTGCTGCAGACGACAGTGTCAAGCCACAAACTATCGAGGCTATCAAGCACGCCACTTCAGCCAATGTCCCTGTCATTGTCGCCATGAGCAAAATCGACAAGGAGGGTATAAACACCGACAGAGTTAAGAGCGATCTTTCTGCCCATGGTATCCACGTCGAGGACTATGGCGGTGACGTTCAAGCCATCGGAGTCAGCGGCAAAACCGGAGAAGGAATGGTCGAACTGGAAGAAGCCATCGTTGCACTTTCAGAAATGCTCGACCACCGCGCAGACACTGCCTGTAACGTCGAAGGATGGGTCATCGAAGCTTCGACTAAAAGTTACGGCCGTGTGGCATCCGCTCTGATTCGACGTGGAACACTCCGCCCTGGTGACATCATTGTCGCTGGTACCGCCTGGGCTCGTGTCCGAACGCTCCGTAACGAAGCCGGCGTGGCCATCGACGAAGCCACACCCGGAATGCCTGTGGAGATCGATGGTTGGAGAGAACAGCCAGGTGCCGGCACCGAGATCCTGCAGGCCCCAACTGAGCAGAAAGCCAAGGATGTCATCGACTACCGAATCGAGAAGTATGATACCCAGAAGATGGGTATCGATATGGTTGCCATCAACGAGGCCCGACGGGAGCTCAGCGAAAAGCGCAGGCTTGAGAAGGAAGACGAAGAAGCAGCAAAGCAGCGCACTGAGCCTACAGGTCCCAAACCAGTCAACTTCATTCTGAAGGGTGACGTGGATGGCTCCGTGGAAGCTGTGCTCAACTCCATCACTGCCATTGGAAATGGCGAGGTATTTGCTAACATCATTCGCTCAGGCGTTGGCCCCGTCAGTGAATTTGATGTGGAACACGCTGCGACTGCGAAGGGCATGGTCATCTCATTCAACCAGAATGTTGATCCCAATATCTCGCGGATGGCCGAAATCGAGGGTGTTCAAATCTTGAACCATAACGTCATTTACAAACTCATCGACGAAGTCAAGGCCCTTCTTAGCGAACACCTTACTCCAAACGTCATCACGCGCGTCACTGGTGAAGCTGTGATCCAAGAAATCTTCAAGATCAAACTCAAGAGACGCGAACAGCTTCCAATTGCTGGAAGTCGTGTGCGTAACGGTATGATTAACAAAACGCATCTCGTCAGGGTTCTCCGCGGGGATGAGCAAATCTATGAAGGTAAGCAAGCACAGCACAACACAGCCCATTCAACCAATCCTAACATTCACAACAGGTACTATCTCTTCCTTGAAGCACGTCAAGAAGGACGTCACCGAAATGCGCAAAGACACAGAGTGCGGTATCGCATTCGAGAACTGGTCCGACTTCCAACCGGGTGACCACGTCCAGTGCTTTGAGCGGTCTTACGAGAAGCGCTATCTGTGAGATCCTCGCTCCATTTTCTGCAGTCATTGCCTCCGGTAGTGATCGCTTGTATTATTTATCCGGGTTATGCTACCTATAACCCATCTCCCCGATAGATCTTCCCTATTCAAATCTTGTATCATATTCTCATTTTCTCGACATGATTGACTTGCATCCTTGGGCGTTGTTGCATCCCTGTTATCTGGGACAGGAAAAAGGCATACAATGTTGTAACCAGGGAAGAGTGCTTTTTGCACGTGTACATGTTCAGATAAACCAAATATTGTGGCTAGAAGGCTGCTTGTTATTCTTTCTTTTCTTTGCTGTACAGATCAACGCAGTGTCGAGGTCTAATGAACACGAGGTTTACCGTGTTAGATATCACAAGCAGCTAGTCTAGCTGAGCTGTTCTCCCTTCATTGGATCAAGGATTTCCTGGCCAAGTATGGTCCCAACATGATTGAAGCGAAAGCAGCGTGCCCATCGATATCATCAATTAATAACAAATATTCAACCATTCACAATTTAGCAACATTATTATCTTACTGGATGTAGCTTTACCAGAATAAGCTTGTGCGTGCTTAGCATTCAATTTGAGTGACGATATGTGTGGGCTTTGTAGTCCTGGAGGGTTTTGTCTTCGACTTAGTTATATTGTTTATTTAAGTTCTATCATTACAGAACTTTCTCAATAAACTCAATCATGCTATATTGGTGCTTTCAACTTCCAAGGTTGTGCGGAGGGGCTATCTATATCTTCTATGTATCTTTAGTATCTTCAATATACATGTGCACCCGAAATAAAAGATACGTCTTAGGAGTTTAGATATCATTTATATACGGCTGATATACCAAAGATACCTTACATTCAAAGCGTTTGAAGCTGCGGGGTACATTTACATACAATCCATGGATCACGTCATTAGTATGTAGGATATGAAATACCAAGAAGAGAAGCTACATTATGATAGAGACTTATATAGATTTACTAAAATTGCCTTTGTATCTAAAATTCACGAATAATATAATGATAGATCGGTCTGAGCAGGAGTGGTATACTATATATATTATGAGTGGGTCGGTTATCATAAGTGGTCTTTTTGGGTAGTGGATCAGTTGATTAGGAATAATCCTAGTGGAGAATTAAGTCTAGAGCCTCAATTCCAATACACATATGCATGGTGTAAGGAAACTTAATCTTTAACTACTCCATACATATATGACACTTTTGATACGCCTATATATAAGGAGAAATGATTATTATATAGAATGTTAGCCCTATTGTAAGCTAAAGCTAGACTTATTTTGCAATTATCTCAAATACTGGTTGAGATAGATACATATGTAAATTGAAAGGTTTTTTGCCCGAGGTATTTTTAGTATCTATTCCCTATACGAAAGATACCTAAGCTTTCGAAAGAAAGAAATGTGATCAAACGAGGGGGGGGGTTTGCCGAGCCGGGGGAAATATGACCTATAATATGCAAGTTGTTTCACATTTTCAGCCTCTGAGAGCATTCGTTGTCCCCTTCATCTCTACGGAGACGGAGTACCAAAACGTAATTGAGCCCGGCTCTCTATCTTTCACATTATTTGAAATCTCCTACCATCCGTGTTTGGTCCCATCATGCAAGGTTCACACAGTCGAGCTCCCTCAGCAGGAGATACAGCTGCTTTGGACATAGAATCTTGTACCACACCGATCTCAATGGAGGTAAGTTACAGTTGCTTGTACTATTTTTACCAATCCAACTGAAAGATATAGTACCGTGAGCCTATATACACACACGAGGGAAATGTCACTACGATTCGGAAGTTTGCCTATCACCCCCCAGGTGTTACAAAGATCATTGGGCGTGGTGGCGTGTGTTGGATTGGTCTCCTTGACGATTCCACAGTTCTAAATTATCCTGATATCCGTGGCAATCTTAAAGAATTTCATACAGAGGCGAAAATTTTTGAAGCTCTCGGAAGCCACCCTCGAATCATCGGTTTCAGAGGCTTGACCGAACATGGTATTATTCTACAACGCGCAGCTAATGGATCCTTAGCCGAGTATGTTGCATCCCAACCAACTATTTCTCTCGACAGACGGCTACATTGGTGTAAACAAGCTTTAGAAGCTGTTAGCTTCATTCATACAAAAAATGTCATTCATTGTGACATAAATCCAAGAAACTTCCTCCTTGATGAAAATTTGGATCTACTGCTTGCCGACTTCCAGGGTGTGCTTAAGTCCCCTACCGGTGAAACTCTACTGGATGGACTTGCTCGGGAGAGCACCAAGGCATATTTACCCCGTGATGGGGGAAGCAGCGTCACGTCCGTAAAGACTGATATATTCGCACTCGGCTGTACTATCTACTCTTTAATGACAGGCCATGAAGTCTTCCCAGACCTCGACCATTTTGAGGACGAAGAAGAAATCGAATCTCGCTTTCGAGATGGATTGTTCCCAACCGACAGTCAACCTTGTTTTGCTATCACAGAAAAGTGTTGGAATCAACAATACCTTTCCGCGGATGAGATTTTGCATGATCTTTCCCTAGTGGGAGCTGTCAAAAGCCACGTTGAATGATACTTTGCTATTTACGTACACCTTGTTGTAATCGCCGCCTTGCCGAATAGCGCGTTTACCTGTGACCGTTTTGCCCTTCCTGTGACAATAAGATCAAATGACCATGTTCCAAATTTACGAGTTCTAATGCTCGGAGCTCTCTTCTCCCCATCCACCTCTTATTGTTCGAACCAATACTAAACCTAGATTTTGACTATTGTCTTTGGGGGATTGTCAAAGTAGGACTCGCTCCTTTGGATTATGTGACACCTACTGCCTAAACTCTCTCCCCCTTTTCTTTATCCTTCGTTTTGTATCTGATAAATGCAGCCGTACTTCTTTGTGCGTTGCTTACCGTTCATGTTTCACATCCCTCCGCTAGCTATAGATAGAGAGCTTTTCCCTCGCAGATCATGATTCGATGGGGTTTCTCTTTTCTCTCCCTGTATATTTTCTCAATTTAACTACATCCTCATCATTGGAAAGTGCCTGTTTTCTGTCATGATGGCATTTTTTTGTTGTATTTTTTATTATCTAATCTTTTTGATTGCTTTTTCCTCCTCATCCCCATACAGCTCCTAGCAGTTCCTCAGCTATGACGGCATGGGCTGAACCTGTTTGTGGACGACCCAAGGTGATGGTCCTTCCACACCCCACAAGTGCAGGGCCCTTCTTTCACGGTTTTGACCGTATGTTTGGGTCTTGCAATGCAGCTCTCATATCGGGTGGCTTGGTAATATCTGTCACACATTTTGCTGGAAGCTTCTATAACCAGCTAGTCAGTCTCACATTAGGAGCTTGATATAGTGTAGAGGCTAAAGCCTACCCAAAATTTGTGAAGTCAATAGGTTGCAAACATTGACTTAGAGGATTCCTGCATAACTGGTCAGTCTGAGACAAGAAGCTTGAGATGCATTCTAGTGTGGAGACCTACCCAAAGGTTTGTGAGTAGAAAAGAGGATGATATTGAAATGAACTGGTGAGGAATCACCATGTGCTTTATAGTCAACAGATGTGCACAGACATTCAGTGAATTACTCTGCATGGATAGAATAAATCGTGGACGAGGATAGTCACTAGGCTTCCGGAGTGCCAAAATGGTCTCGTTGACGTGCCACCATAACATTTACAGCCGCTTGGAAGTCTATTTTACACTCTTTTGTAGATTATCCGAGTGTATTCAGAGCCAACATGCATGCATAGCCCGTATAGATCCTCTTGAGTCAGATCAAATCCCTAACATGCCTGTAGTTTTACTGCATACATGTGCGGCATGACTTCCCTCATGATGTGGCGTGCGCATTCTACACTTCTAAGAAGAAGATGGTACATGATTGCACCGTTTACTCGAAGGAAGCCTAAGATAGGCGGGCCTGGAACCAAAACATCCGTGGAAAAATTGAGTACAGGGATACAAGATTTTTGTCCTGGCAAAAATCTTGCATCCCTGTAACATAAAGCAAAGCGAATGAGATCATAGTATATGAGCGAATGAGTGGTTTTTTGGCGTTCGTCCAATATATTATACCAACAGCTGTGTTGGTGATAAGGCAGATGCAGGTTGTGCTCTTCGTACCCTTGTATATTTTCTGATATGGCCGCAATGTGATTTTGGGGATTACCAAGGAACATAGCGGCCAATTTCCGGCAGAGATTAAGATACTCGAATTACTATGACAGATTCCTTATTTAGCAAAGTACCTAACCATGGACCCTAGCTATTATATAACATTGAATTTCCACCTAACTCCAGGGCGTTGAAGCCATTCCTATCATAGTAAAATTGCTAATCACCCACCTCCGTATCCTCCTCTGCTAGGTCCGGCATGGCGTAGTTGTCGGCGGATATGGAAATATGTACGGAGTATGGTAGAATCGAATGTTTACAATATGTGGAATTGGGCGGTGTTGAAAGCGCTTTAAAATAAGGCAGTAGATCAGGCGCCAAGCCTGAAAAATAAGGATAAGGCCTCTGGGCATTGGCCGCTATTCCCCTTCGCAGAGGGGCTATCTAGTATGTTTTGAATTATTGTTTCGTCATGCTGCATACGATCCCTCTTAAAGAAGAGCGACTGAGCCGCCGTGGGGGCTGTATACTCCGTAAGCTCGCCCACAACAACCAACCCAAGTGTCCCAAATCTAATTGGCCCCCAATAAGAAGTAATTCAGCCATATTTGACTTCAAAGCATTAGGGATTGGACAGAACTGTCTAGATATCTAAGTATGCTCCCTACTGCATATTTTAGCGCATTGGAGCCTAAAAGCACCTCAGATGACCAGAGTAGAACTAGAATACCAAACCTTCAATGCACAATATTGGGCACTGGTTGCCAACATTCGCACCCATAGTAGGGACGGAATTTAGTTGTTTACATATAATCTAGGCAGCAGAGTCCTCTTTGTGCCACACGATTCTCCTAGAACATGAAAATGCATCATATAAGACGAGAGGAGGGAGATAATGTTTCCCACATACAGCTGTTCTTCCTCAATACTTGTTCAGAAAAATGGTACCCCTCAACCTCCCAAGAACGTTCGATTCGAGTGAATAGACCTCGAGAGTCTCATGACTGACCAGGTGTAGGTCAATAAGGATCTCCGCACGGCTCTTTCAGAAATTAAGGGCCTGATATACGAAAGTGGTGATGATGTACGGAATCCAATAGCATACTTAACTCTGATGCTGATCATACTAGGAAATTCGCCACTTACTCGACGAAATTGTGTAATCACTTGTCCAATCACACGATCAAATACAGGCGCTCTATTCTGCGTTTAGTAAAAGACCAAACCGCTCGAATAAGTAGAATAATAACAATATTTCCGTAAGTGACAACACGATCTCCGAATCAGTGTTGGAGCCTCTTCCAGCGAGTCGAGAAATTGCCTTGACCGAATATCTGGATTGAAATTTTCATTCCTCTAGAATGATGCTCGAGGCATCGCTTTCGAATCTGTTGTCACCCTCAAAGTACAATCTCAGTGATCGATTGTTTTGACAAACCAAGTACATTTATTCCCGATAAATTGCCAGGATAACCTAGCTGTATTATGTCGTTTATCCGGCGTGTGATGGATACAGCAGCGTTTACTTATTTATGCGTTTGCTTATCCATGTTTGTTATGCCTCCCTAGCTATTCATTGAGAGCTTTCCCCTCAGAGTCCCGGAATTGATTCGTGATTTACTACCACATTTATGATATCTCTCTATTCTTCATATCACCTATTCTGCACACATAGTGTGGTCCTATTAGCATGTTTTCTGTCCCCCGGGGCTGGTAAATTACCCCAATGAGGAAAAACTATATGTACAGAATTCAGTATATTCTATTGATCAGATCAGAATTGTATTCAACTCAACATTTCTCAGCTGCAGATCTCTTGTAATATAGATCTGGCAAACATTGTGAATGCCTCAATTCAATGGAACAACCCGTCATATATCCAATAGTCATCCTGCTTTCCCAGAAAAGGTGATTTTTCTTCTGGCCACCCAGACTCATATCCTGTCCACTCTCCATCCCACAAAAACCCCCTTGTCGAGAGCAATTTTCCCGATGCAATACAATTTATCAGGTTTGTTCACTCAACAGAGACATTTCCTGAGTCATGGTCCCTTGGTGCAGTATCTGAGTTGCTGATATCAGGAACCACTGCACTAGGTGCAAGCTCTGTTCGAGAGATACTTTTCCTTGAAATCTTCTGGTTACTCTTTCGATATTTGATAGATCCTATTACTCTCGAACTTGTTGACAGACAGCCCGCACCCAATGGTCTTGTTTACAAGGATAACTCCATCCGCTAGGGGAAAGCCGGCACATATACAGCTAGGTTTATATGGACATGTTCGAATATTGTGGCTAAAAACCTGGTGTGCTCTTCTGACTTTTCTTTGCTGAACAAATCAACGTAGTGTTGAGACCCAGTGAACTGACCGTAGAGGCCTAACTATATACATACCCCACTATAAATACAAACTACTTAGCCTTCCACCTAACCCTCCCAACCCACCTCGCCCAATCCTCCACATCCTCCCTCTCACAAATTCTCTCAATGGTAAACCACTCCCTAGCCAGCTCCTCATTACTCGCCATGCGATGCACAAAACTATGACAAGCCCGACAAAGCCAAGCAACACTATTCAAAGTCCACTCATCATGCCACCCCCGCTTAAGAACCTTCGCATGAACGCCCCGCGGAATAAGATGGTGATACGAAAGCGGGATCCAATCACGCTCGCAGATCTCGCACGCTTCAGCGCGCGTGCTCGCCCACACAGGTGGGCCGGTCGTCACGCTCGTCGCGTACTCCGCGAGTACGGGGCCCAGGAAGTCGCGCAGGTCCGCCGAGTCGGGGATTATGCCGTACACTGTGAGCGTGTCGGAGACACTGACGGGGATGGGGGAGCATAGGGTTTCGAGGGTTTGGGGTGGAAGGGGTGTGTCTGGGTCTGGTGGAATGTAGAGCGTTGAGAGGGCTGGGTTGTGTTGGATTGAGGCGTAGCTTAGCGTTTGGAGGGGTTCCGGGAAGGTGGTGAATGTTTCTGTGGCGAGGAACTTGGGTTGTTAGCTTTGTTGGTTAGTTGGGTTTGTCCCTAGGAGTTTATGGGCCCTGGATGCTAAGGACTGATTTCGTCTGTTTGGACTGGGTAGATGTACATCGACAAATTCGGCCAGCTCTTCGGGGTCTGCGCGCTCCGGAGCTGGGTCTGCTATATCTTTGCGCTCATTGCGTTTGCCTTTCCTTCGCTTGGCTTTTGGCTTTTCAGAGCGGGAAACAATGGCATTGGATAGACACTCGCGGAAGACAGCGTAGTTATCTTCTGTCATTGAGATGTGGTTGTTGGTGGAAGACTTGCGGAGGGAGCTGTAAGGTTTGCCCCCACGGAACATTGACATCATTCTTCAGCATTTGCGCAACCCGAAGTACGAACTTCACTTGTTTTTGTTTTTGTTCACACAAAATGGCAGAGACCACGGTTATCGCTTTTGATCTATACGGCACTTTATTGTCTACGGATTCGATCGCCAAACAACTAGAGAAACACTTTGACCATGCCAAAGCGCAGTCGATCTCCGCGCTGTGGAGGCGGTATCAGCTAGAGTACACATGGAGGCTGAACAGCATGGGTGAGCAAAGCTACTCTTGACCTTAATTCAAGATCTAATGATAACAGGTGTATGGGAAAACTTCTCAGCTATAACCCGTAACTCACTCTTGCACGCTCTAGCCGACAATGACTCCCAGCTGAGCGACGACAACATTGAAGAATTGATGCGGGCATACGACAATCTCTCTACATTCGCCGACGTGGATCCAACTCTAACCCGCATAGCTGCAGACTTAAGCATTCAAACAGTCATATTCTCCAACGGAACCAAGACCATGGTCTTGAACTGGATACTGCGATCAGCAGACCTCTCGCCACACGCAAGCGTATTCCGGGATGTGGTTACCGTGGAAGAAGTCAAGCAATACAAACCAGCGCGGGCATGCTACGAGCATCTAGCAAAGCAAACCGGCCAGGACCCGTCACATATGAGCAACTTATGGCTCGTCAGCGGCAATCCATTCGACATTGTTGGAGCCCGCAGCGCAGGCATGCGAGCTATTTGGGTTGATCGCATGGGCGTTGGGTGGAAAGATGGCGCAACAGATCTACGGCCAACGGCGATTGCGCACAGTTTAGAGCATGCTTTGCAAGAGATTCAGAGCCGATAGAGAATTTTTCATTAGGATATTGTGTTTGTGGAATATGGGAATGTACAGCTGAATATATTTCCAAACGCTCCACGCTTGAGTAGAAGAGTTTGGGGTAAGCCAGCAGAGTTCTTCTTTCCTCCCATTTCCCCTCCAGAACTTCGATTGTAACAAAAGTTCAGAGTGAATAGGGAGGAATTCAGTTTATGTGAAGAAGAAAAGGAAAAGGGCGCTCGGCGAAAAATTTCTCGAACAAAATAGCAAATGATTATGTCAGCAACTAGCGCCATTTCAAGGTCACATGCTATTCCTTATCGATAAGAATGGCTGCCTGCCTGTTTTCGATTTCCGCATGGAGTGGTGATTTGAGTATCGCAACTTACATCAATATGTCGAGATCGTGGGACCCTAGCAGGGCTGCTTGGCTGTACCCACTACGGGTATGTTGTTTTGATTTTCTAATACCTCCAGCTCAAAGCTAACCGAGAACTAGGGCATCTTCTACTTTGCGTCGAATCGGTTCCTATGGCCCCTCTTCAAGGCTCGCCTTCTTCCTATCGTCCTCTTGTCCAGCTTCATATACTTCCTTCTGTTCTTCTTTACATACTTACCCCAAGTTGCCTTCCTCGCAATCTTCCAAGGTGCCTCAGCATGGGTGAGTGGTGCATTCTTGGTGCTCGGTGAAGGTGCGGCAATTGTTGCCGCTCTTTTCGAGGCATTCTTTGTGGATGAGACCTTAGTTGATATCTTTGATGCTGTGTTGGTCAACGAGGGACAAGAGGAGCTTGTCACAACATCCCGGGTCATTTACCCCGAGCCTGGTGACCCGGCCAAGCGTCTCGGCACACCGACCACCAGCGCCATCTATTCTCCCTTTTCGTTGCGACAGATCGCCGAATTTATCGTTCTACTTCCTCTTATCTTTATCCCCGTGGCTGGTACTCCTATGTTCCTTGTTTTGACAGGGTATCGTGCGGGTCCTTTCCACCACTGGCGCTATTTCCACTTGCTGGATATGTCTAAGCAACAGAGAAAGGAAAATATCAGCCGACGCCAGCTACAGTATACCACGTGAGTATTGCAATGTTTCCCCTCTCAATGCCGAATCTGACATCGACTCTAGCTTCGGGACGGTCGCTCTGATCCTCCAATTGATCCCTCCTTTCTCCATGCTGTTCTTGATGACGACGGCTGCTGGATCGGCACTTTGGGTGACGGATCTTGAACGCAAGCGACGAGCAGCTGCTCAACAGTCTAACCGACTGGGTGAACAATATCGTGATGACATTATGCCATGAGGTAACGATTGCATATCTCGGATGAGAAATGCCGCAAGGGCCAATTCAATTTTCTATTTCTGTATTCATTCCCTGGACCCTCTTGGTCTGTGCCAAGTCGATCACAGTCCAATTGTTCACATTTAATCCAATCGTAATCCCTTTCTTCCGTCTCAATATTGAGTTCCGTTAGGTACTCCGTAGATTCCCTCTTAATCATTCAATCACGTTTCCCACGTGATCGCACGACCATCGGCTTTTCTGTAATGTTCAAATTGTTGACGATCAAATTTTGAACGCTCTCCGTTGACCCGTGTTGGACCTCGGCCTCGAGTTCCCCAGATTTGATCCGCCCGCTTAGCAATCTGCCGCGAAGTGCGCCCAACCCACTTTCCAGGCACCCGGATCTTCCAGGGTTCGCGTCTGAAGCCCCAATTCAAGCCTTTGAGTTTCAGATCAAGTATCTAACTGTCGGAGCTCGGGTTCCGTTCGGCATTTGATCGGTACAAATTCGAGTCGGTTGGACCCTGAATCACAGTCACGAGATCAGTTAAACATGACCTGACATTTCAAAGCCATCCTGGCGCAATCAAATCGATGGACTCGAAAACAAGGCTTCGCAAAGCCTGCGATGCCTGCAGTATTAGAAAAGTAAAGGTGAGTTTCTTTTCGCGCTTTCATGCAATCGGTAGACAATACTGATCTGCCTAAGTGTGATACTGGTGGGCCGCCTTGTCGGTCATGCGCTAGCTTGGAGATCCCATGCACCTATGAAAGACCAAGTAGACGCCGCGGGCCGCCCAATCGCCACGCAGAGGCTTTCAAGAAACAAAAGCGCGAACCTGATGATGCGTCACTGAGTCCAGCGGATTATCCCCTGGCAACGACCCCACAAGCAGCGCCCTTGGCGAACCAGTCAGCGTCGCTTCCCCTATCGGCGGAATCAATATGTTCTCTGCACACAGTGCAGCTGCTTCTAGATGACTTTTTCACTTACATTCATCCCCTGGTCCCGATTCCACATGAGCCTTCTTTTCGAGCGGCTTTTGAGCGCCGCGAGGATGTGACCAGTCACACCTTTTTGGCGCTTTTGGCTTCGATGATCGGTCTGTTAGTCGCTTCTTTCCCTCGAAGACCTAAACTTCGACTTAATACCGAAGCTGAGCGCACTGCGTTTCCCAATTCAATTGCGTTGGTCAAACGATGCCTCGATGTTGCTATTCAGGCCCGCGGCACGGGATATCTCGATCGCAATGCCACTGTCTACGATGCAGCGATTAGCTATTTTATTGCAGTCTGCACTGGCTATATTTACAATATGCGCCGGTGCCGTATCTATCTCTCGGAATGCCGAGCCATGCTCCAGGTGTATGATCTGTGTCGGTCTCCCACCAACCTTCCATCATCGACACTAGGGCCCAATAGTCCAGTGTCGCCGGTCTCCACAATGACGCAGGACAACCTAGCACATAATTTTATGGAGAGCCAAGGTGTGGATCTCATCACCCAAGAGCTCGGTCGGCGTCTGTTCTATGTTTCCCTGGTTGGGTATCAGACATTGCATCAAATGGGCTCCTCTGATATCAAAGTACATGTTCCACCAGAGACCCCAACAGATCGTTATCCACCACTGCCACTGGAGATTGACGATGAGTTCTTGTTTTCAACGCACATTGAACCACAGCCATCCGATCGTGTTTCACAGCTGGTCGGGTTCAACGCAAACGTGCGAGTCTATAGCTCATATACCGCCCTTCTATCCTGGGAAATAGCATTTGGAAGCGGCCAAATATTTGATTGGGAGCACCAGCGCAATAGCCTCTGGGACTGTCTCAAAAAGGCCAAGTCCGCACTACTCGATGTCCCTGTTGAATTGTCTCTCCATCATCCCAAGCATACATCCCCAGCCAGCTTGTCCGGTCTCGGCCAAGACGGCACAGTCTTCAGCTATTCAGACGATCATATTCATCAAGAACGGCGCGCAATTCAGTACGAGATTCAAAAGGCCAACATCTACGCTAGTCAACTATGCACCCGGTCGTACCTAGTTGAGAAATACTGGAGTCTCTTTGAGACTTTCTCAAAGTACGGAAAGTCCCCTAAGTTTGCAGCGCCGGATAGCACGATTCCTCACATAAAACTCGAAACCAAATCCGACGCAACCACCATACCCACAACGAGGAGCACACCAGAAAGCACCACGCAATCCCAGCACCACGCCGAAACAGACTATATTGGGCGCATGATGGCCGAAGAGCGCAAGCTCGTAATAAAAGACCTCTTCGTTCTTCTCCGCACAGTGAACGAAGTAAACATGGAGCCGAACGGCGCAAGCATCGTACGTGCCCCCTCCAAGCTCGCCTAACACTGATACATACCCAAAACTAATAATGAACCTGACAGACCAACAAAATCCGCCAGGTGGCATCAACACTCCTCAACTTATCCAGGCCTAAACAGTCAACTGACAAACCTGTCGCGAACCCGGCAGCTACAGCACCGGGTCTGCACGTCCTCACGGCTTCGGAGGCGGAGTCTTACCTGCATGCTTTTATTGAGACACTTGTACGGCTGGAGTGTCATTCTTCTATTTCTGATGCGGGGTCTGAAGGTGTTAGTCCGCAGATGAATGGGCGTGCGATGAGCTATCTTAGTGATTATGAGCGCGACCAAGAGGAGTTGAGCCAGTGGGCGAGTCTGAAGGAGTATCAGCAGAAATTTGCTGAAGCGGGTGGTGTTTTGTGTCAGCTTTAGGGATGGGGTCTTTGGTTGGTTTGCTGATAGTGTTTGGTGTTGGGGATATTCTATTCAATTGCGGATGCATTTGGTTTGGCTGCTTCATAGCTCGGTGCAGTGGGATGGGTAGGATGCATCTATCTTACTTTGATTAGGTTGGATATAATATATCCATGGGCTATCTAGCTCTCTGAAGTGAATCGAGTCCAGAGGTCTAGCAAGGTCGGCATCGAGGGTGTCTCGCTATCTCGAGACTAGAGAACTTTCGGTTGCTATATACGATTCTAATTGAAGGGTGTTAGGAACCTGATGATTTGCAGATAATACTAAGAGTATTACGAGAGAAAAGCTTAGTTGATAGAAAGATGCTCACAAGGTGCATAATACGATGACAATAAATGGAAATCCAACCTGGGAAGAGTGTCGTTAGATGTCTAGACAAAACAGATCTCAGGACGATTCCCCTTGAGTGTTTTTCCTAACCCTTGGAACCATTACTTAGGTATATATCAGCGAAGAACGTGTTCCTCTTATAGGTGCATACAAGAGTGATCAAAATCAGTTTCAACTCCTGCACACTTCTGATCTGATCTCTACGTCCTTCTCTAAAAGAGCATCAAGCATGTTCAATCATCAATATTCGCAACAACCCTCAGAACGATGGGATCAAGGAAGAGAAACCCTAGCTACGAGAGTATAGTGATAAATATGATTTAAAATATGACTGTATAAGCACAGGGTGATCATGGCTCAGCACAAGTGATCATACCATAGCCCAGACGGAAAAGAAATGATGCGCATATGTCCTGAAGTGTTTATTGGCTATTCTTGGAAGGAGAAATAGAAAAACACCTTTCATTCACCATTGAGACCCCCGGCGGTAAGTCGCATTATGGCTTAGCATACGGAATAGGAATTTGGGGTCCAGAAATCTCTACATCTATTGGCTGCCCGTGTCCCAGGTAGCTGCAGCCTAATTTAGGATATGCCCAAGCATGGCTTCCATGGCATACCTAGGAAGGACAGGCCTCGACAACCAAGCATATACATCATCGGACCCCACACATACTAAATAAATAAAGAGCCTTCGACGTCTTCTTTCCTCTGTAACAGCATGCCTACATTTTGCTGTCGAGCTCACTGGATGTCGAAGATGTACATATGCATGAGCACATATGTAGATTATGGTTCAGCGCTCGCAGAAGCGCAAAAAGTACGAAATCACGACTGGAAAGCAGCCAGTGCCTCTATGTGCTCATTGGATAATTCGGAACCCATTTTTATGCATCCGCCTACAACAACCCTATGGCTCAGCTCTTGGCTTTGCACTTTAGCTCAAACAAAATTTGGGGAGGAGCCTATGCTTCGATATCTTACAGCAATGTTCGAAACTGGTTTCCATGTTTTATACAGAGGAACTATCTCAATCCCCACCGATTTCGACGCTGCCTAGGCCAGACTCGGCTAGGCCTTAAACCATGCTTGTTTTCAACAGTCTTTACGTATGGTACGGAATATCGCACGTAAGACGAGCCAGCAAGTCCCCCGTTCATTCGAACGAAGGAGATTTTAGAAATTTCGATACAAACTGGCGGCTACTACTCATAGGCTTTTACAATCCGATTGAATTTATTAACTAGATGTGAGCTACTTCATAAGCACTACGATACCTACTCTATTCAGAAGATAGATCTCAACTTCATCATGGATATTGTATCTAAATGCATCACTGTAATAGAAGCAGAAGCTCCAAGCAACGCTTCATTGCAGAGCAATAAAAAAAAAGGAAGAGTGCTACTTTCTGCTGAAGAGGCGCGAGAAAATTGTGCGCCTACGGTGTCTACCAGGCCTGGACACTCGCTTGGAGGTTTCTGGGGAACTCGACAGAATTCGGCCCTCTTTGTTTTCAGTCGGCGCTTTGGTGAGTTGGGAAGATGGACAAGAAGCCTTCCTACGCCATTCGCTCAAAGTAGACCTAGAATACATGGTATGCGGATGGTCAGGGCCCAATCTTTGGTCGCGAAGTCGAACGCATTCAGCCATTAACAAGACAGCGGCTGTGTCTTGACCCGATGACCGAAAGGTATGGGCTAGGTTGGCCATACTCGTCAGCGTGGAGGGATGGTCGGCGCCGAGCTTCGTCTTGCGAGTCTCCATGACCTGCACCTCGAGCTGCTCCGCCTCTTCCCACCGGCCTTGGTTCCTATACGTCGACGCCAGATTGGCCATACTCGTTAGCGTGTCAGGATGGTCGGCACCGAGCTTCATTTTATAAGTCTCTATGACCTGCATTTTAAGCTGCTCCGCCTCTTCCCAGCGCCCCTCAAGTTGGTAGGCCATTGCTAGCATCGCAGTGCTACTAATTGTTTCTTCATCTTCCGCGCCCAAGATCTCTAGTCTCTTCTTTCTCGACAAAATTGCCATATCCCTTGATTCCACAAAATTCCCGATTTCCTGCGCATACCACGCCCCGTTGTACAGCAGTGTAGCCCACTGTCGTATCGATTCGTGTGATTCTGGCCTGTAGAATACTGCTGATTTCACATGTGGAAAGAGCGACCGGCACTGCGCCCAGTTTTCAAATTCTCCCGTTGGAAACATCTGACACATGATCGCGATAAATCGCTCCATCCATTTCTCCATCTGTCCATTGACTTTAAGCCACACACGCACAGTAAGTTGCACAAGTCGATGCATCGCGAAAGCTGTGCTATCCTCTCTTAGGAAAATAAAAGAAAAGTCTCTCAATATGGTAATATCATCCTCAAAGCCATAATCAGTGTCAAACTCGAGCATACTATCTGTATCTCTATCGCTGTTCTCGGGCACGGTTTCCTCCGACCTTGAATCGTCGTTATTGATTACATGCGGAACACAGAGAAGGTTCTCTGCGACTCCCTGTCAGTCAAAAAAGCTCATGACAGAGAGCAAATCAGCGGCAGACGGTCTTATACGTCGAATATGGTCGAAAGATATTTGCCATGTAACCAGAATCGAATTCTTTGCTTCCCAATCTCGATAGAGATGACCAGCCTCATAATCAAGAAGTTTTGTCGCTTCGCGATCATTCTTGAACATTTCAAGATACTGAGATACTGAACAGCGGGGTTCTCGATGTACGATATAGCCGGCAGCCTGTATGATCGCTAGTGGCATGAACTCCAGTTCTTCCACTAACTTTTGCATATCAGGGGTTTCGACCTTTAGTCCAAGCTTTCGTTGGAGAAGTTTCAGCGCCTCAAGCTCATTCATTGGTTGGACTCGAATGATATCTTGGTGGTCAACAAGTTTGAAGGCTACCTCTTGGCTCCGACTTGTGATAATCATTGATCCTTCTGGGCTTTTGGGGAGGAACTCTAATAGTGGCTTAGTCGAGGCGTTAGTATGGCCGGCCTCTAGGCCCTGCTGAGCGTTCACCGAGATTTGGCGAAGGAACGCATCATCATCAACATTATCTAGGATCAGTAACCATTTTCCTCTCCTGCCATCCCGGAGCCAGCTTTCGACAAGTTGGTATATGTTGACTGTGGGTTCCTGACGCCCGGGAATTTTGGCCTGGTCGGCGATATCCCGGAAACTTTGCTCGAACCGGGCCGCGTTACTTGCGTGGACCCAGAAAACCCATGTCGTCGGAGATTGGCATCGGACTCGATAGGAGTATTCGATACTAAGTTGCGATTTTCTTTTGACCTATCAGCGCTAAGCCAACCCCTCACTTCTTTGCACTGACCCGACACCACCGACGCCTACAAGAGCTATCCTGGATCCTGGGACTGAGATCTTTTCATGTATCTGGTCGAGCAGTGTGTCGCGGCTGACAAAGTCTGGGTCGCGACGGAACGGGACGGTCGATAGCGGAGTCGGTGGGGTTTCCGGTCGCTCTGGGCCAAGAAGCGGCGATTAGTAAACCTGGTCGCATCTCTAGGGCCTTGTGAAACCTACCTCCAGGCAGATAGAACTGCGCATTGACCGTGCCATTGACAATGCCAGCCTGGAGGCCAGAATTTGTATGACCAAACGAGATGGAAGCCATAGTCAACACGCGATGCGCAAAATACGTGGATTTTTGGGCAGATCAAAGATCTTAGCCCTCAGATAGAAGGCCGTCGTTAGCCCCACTCTCAGGTGACCCGGGCGCCAAAATTGTCAGGTGTGCGTTCGAGTTATCTTTAGGATAACCAAGACAAGGCGATTTTCTTCTCGTCAGCCAATCAACATCAGAAGTGGATAAAGACACAAAAGTAACCGAAAGAGTCGTGTTGTCGTTCCAAATGGTTCTCACGTATGATGTGCCCCACTTTTAAGGCTCAGCTGTGGGAGACAATGGCAGTGCAACTCAAGAAGACCATCCCGACACGCTGAAAAGTATGGCTAATCTCGCGTTCACCTGGCAATCTTCAGCTCACGATGCCGAAGCCATAAATTTACTAGAGATTGCTTAACCACGAAAATTCAAATACTCGGACTGAACCATCCCACTACTTTGTCTAATTTTGAAACATTGTTAGAGTGGGAGGCGGAGTGCTTGGATATAAATGCATAGATAAGCTAGATACTTGAATATCAGATTTTCACCCAGCCATTTTTGCTTTATACGTTCATTTTCTATAGCATTCGTAAATCGAATCAGTGCTTGCTACTTAAAATAAGATTGAGCTTACTACTGTAGTGAATATCGCTACTATGAGATTGTGGAAAAGCAGTAAAGTCGTTAACGAGCGAGCTGCGAGTTAGTAGCTCGGTACGGAACGGGTTACTAGCAAAGCCTTACTAGAGAACGTCGGGGAACACGTGAAACGAGTAGACACAGCACTCCCTAGAAAACACACCCGGTAGCTATATAACTTATTTATTATAGAAAGAAGCGAGCACGTTAGCTTAACTGCGGACTGGCATAGTAAGATTAAATGGGTATCTCTTTCAAACTAACGTCACCCGGAGGGATTAATGTGTATGTGGATAAGTAAGAGAAACCGTGGTGCACTTCCTCTTCCGATGTCGGAAGTGGACTATATAACGGATAGCACTACTGCAATGTACGTATATTACCGGGGAAATCTCTCCTTCTTCCTAGGCGGGAAATCGCCTTCTGATGATTACGAATAGACACCTAGTTTGGAGACAGTGCGAGCCTTAATACGATTCTCATTCGCCACGGACCGACTCGATGTCGCCTAGCTACGTCGACCAATATAATTACACCCGCCCATCAACTATATGACACCTACCACCTTATGCTAGAGATGGTAGACGCGCTTTAACTGCCGAGCATAGGATGTTGAACACATAAAGAAGCGCCTTCAGGCCGGTCTACTAACAAAATTACTAACCCATAAGATCCGTTGCGTCGCATGTCAATCGATCGGTTAATTCTGAATTTCTGCGCACTTGATGTATTCACCTTGCGCACTTTCTGGACAAATTCCTTCGCAGAACGGGCCTCTACTTCTGCCTCTTCAACCTTGGCTGATAACACTAGTGTCATTTTGGGTTCGAGGAAGACTTTCAAGGTTAGAACAACCAATCACATCACCCCAATCTACTCTAAGCGCTCAACCATCCCTGCATACGAAATGGTAGACCCTGCATCAAATTTTCATTTATTAGCGCTTTGTTTAGCGCCCAGTCGGTTTAGTGTTGACATTGAAACAGCCCAGTCTCTATTTTGGGATTATGGCGCATGCTAGTCAGGTAGAAGGTATCTATTTGATTGATGAATGACACACGATTTTCTTCTTGAGGCTACGGTAAAAAGTCGCATCTGCGTTGCTGACTTTTAATTTGGGAATTTCCCTTGGTCTTACCACATCCTCCCTGGTTTTGTATTTTACCTAGGTACCTATCTTGACAAGGATATTTCCTCTATATCTAATAAGGTACCAGAAGCATTTTGGGTTGCTCGTTGAAAAGCGTCCGCTATACATTAAATCTCTATCGCCAGTATGGCAATGTACTCAACTCGTGGCATTAGTGGACTATCATTCATGCTATTGCTTTTGACTCTACTATCCAGCATCGGCCCATCGCAAGCATTCGGCAATCTGGATCTGCTCCCAAGAAGCTCAGATTCCTGCCCAGCTTCATACGCAAGTTGTAGCGATACAAGGCTTCCGGATGATTTCTGCTGTCCTTCAGATACAACATGTATTAGCCTCGACAACGCCAGCACCATCATGTGCTGTCCCGCCGGGCAAAACTGTGACAACGTAGCACCGATTTTATGTGATATACAGCAGCAGAATGTCACCTCCCACCCAAAGAGTGTCATCAAAACAACGCGGCTAAGTGACAGCCTCGCCAAATGTGGCGATGGATGCTGCCCATTTGGTTATATTTGCACAACAGAAAACGTTTGTGCTCTGGACAAATCGGCCGTTACAACAGCAACAGCCTCTGTATCCAGCTCCTCTACAACTACGTCGTCCTCTACAACTACGTCATCCTCAACAACGACAGTGACCACAACGCCAACAACCCCCCAGGTAACAATCACATCTGGGCCCTCTCAGTTATCTGAAAAGTCCACCAACTCCATAGCAACAATTCTAACAGTCTCCCAGGCAACAATCACACCCGTATCCTCTCCATCAGGCAAAGAATCTACAGACTCCGCAGCCACAGAGCCGTCAAGTACACATTATGAATTTCCAGCAAAAGCCATAGCCGTAGGCTTCTTCCCAGGCGCCATATTTGGTGCCCTCGCCGCCCTTTTAGTACTCCTCTGCGCTCGACGCCGCGCCCACAAAAGCGAATCCCAAGCCCAAGAACCCACGACGATACCTCCCATCGCTCCGACTTGTTCCAAATGCTCCCATGAACTAAACGCGCTTCCCTCCAAAGCCCTCTATGAGCTAAACGCGCTTCCCTCCGAATCCCTCCATGAGCTAAACGGGATTCCCTCCAAAGCCCTCCACGAGCTAAACGCTCTTCCATCGGTGGACGTTCCGCTGATCCACCGCTCTAGCGGCCGAACGAGAAGTCTGCTCTCTGGTTATCCACGCCCAGATTCAAGACAGGACGAAGATGTCCCGCCTGTGACTATGTCTGCTTCGTTGACGAGTGTTATTGTGAGACCGGTTACAACTTCGACGGATTTGATGCATGTCAGGCCCTCGCAGGATGGGAGGCCACCTTATAAGACTCATGAAAATTCGAGGCAGAACCCGTTCAGGGATCCTGACCCTTGGTAGTTCTTGCTTATTTAATTGTTCAGACCTTCGCGGAGACATTGATCAATTTCATCTTGCCCACTCCTGATATTGACCGCCAGACCAGCTCATGGGTGCAGAAGCCGGTCGAGTCCCAACAACTGCGGAGACTAAGACAGGCCTAGAGGGAGATAAACCTATGTTGGTAGGAAAGAGTGAACTGGTTGTTCTTTCACAGTATGTGAATTCAAGGAAAAAGAACATCTACGGCGATGATGCATATGAACTCCGTCCTGAGCGATGGGAGAGCGGCGAACTTGCCAATATTGGCTAGAGCTTCTTTCCTTTCAGTGGTGGGCCCGCCAATGTTTGGGGGAAGACTTCGCCCAAATGTAGGTTTCTTACACGATCGTGAGGGTGCTGCAAACATTCTCGCACATCTCGTTGCCTACAGGGGAGCCAAATGAACCAGTCGGAAGCGAAAAGCAGCGACTAACACTACTCCTATCGAGCGCTAAAGGATGCAAAGTGGAGATTCTAAAGGGGTGGGATAGTGTATCGGTGTCAACACAGGGTGGGTTGAATCAATTTCACTATTTTGTTCTTTTTACATATTTCTCGAACTCTGCTGTTAGTGACGCCAGGCCTAATTAAGGAGGGTCAGCCACCCACTAGTGGAGGTGGCTCTGCTTCGGGTTTCCTATTGGCTGATTACTGCTACTTGATTAGGCCTTGGAGTATCAAATGGTATATATCTCTCTGCTCGTCTCTATCTGACAGCGGGCAATAATCATAAAAACTCCATGCTTCCCCTTCTCCTCTGAGTTTTTCCTTCTTCTCTCCACCTCTATCCCTCATTCTCTTCCCTTTCTTCCCTTCCTTTCCTTTCCCTCCTTCCAATATTCACCCAGGATGGTGCAATGGCAGCACGGTGCCTTGACGGTTAGGCTTGTGTGCAGGCACACATAAGTAGGTTTCTTGGAGCTCACAGATCCTGGTTCGATTCCGGGTCCTGGGAATATGTTCTCTCTCTGGCTGGGCTGGAGCATGTACATAAAAATACAATGTAACTTAGTATTGAACTACCAAATAAGTACATTGTTTGTAAAGAGTTGAGAACAAGTAGCTTGGAAGGGAAGAAGACAGAAGGAACAACCGTAATTAGATTCAGATTGACTAAAGTCAACCTTTTATTTCAAAAAGCATCACGAAGAAAATAATCCATCTTATCACCTATCCCGAGTAATAGTAGTAGTAGCAGTCTCCGTAGCCCGATCCGTAACAGTCTTTGTCTCGGTCTCAGTTTTGGTGGTGACTTCAGTGATTGTGATAAATCCATACTGTGTAACATAAATCACAGAAAACGAGCCTTGGCCCGGTGCAGAAGTCGTAGCAGCGATGTTTGCAGACGCGGTTGTTGGTTCTGCGGGTGCCCGTGTAACCTGGACGGATTCGGTTTCTACCGTTGACAAAGTTTGTATTAGCTCTGAGGATACTGTGTCCTTGGGTGAGGACGATGTTGAGGATGATGTTGTGGGTGCTGCGGCTGCCGCTGTAGCCTGGAAGGATTGCGTTTCTAGCGTTGGCAAAAGTTGTATTAAGTTTGTGGATACTATGGTGTCGCTTGAGGATGATGTCGGATAGACGGTTGATCGGACTATTGTCGTTGCTGGAACGTGCACTGTTTCTGTAGATACCGGAGTCATAGTATCGACCGGAACATTCTCGCTTGCGGCTTCGGTTTGCACGGCTTTGGGTGCTGCCGATGACGATGGTGTCGGATAGACGGTTGATCGGACTATTGTCGTTGCTGGAACGTGCACTGTTTCTGTAGATACCGGAGTCATAGTATCGACCGGAACATTCTCGCTTGCGGCTTCGGTTTGCACGGCTTTGGGTGCTGCCGATGACGATGATGTGTAGACGGTCCCCGTAACGACTTTTGTTGAAGTGACGTGCACTGTCACAACAGGTCCCACGGATTCACTTGTGACTGCCTCACTCGCAGTTTCGGTTGGTGTGGCCTCACTTGATGCCGATGAAGATGAGAGGGGGTGGTCCCCATGACAAATTTTGTTGATGTGATGTGCATTGTCACGACAGATGCCACGGGTTCACTTGTAACTACCTCAATTGTAGATGTCTGGCTAGGTGCGACTGGTGAAGGTGTTGTCGGGTAAACTGTCATGCGGACGATACTCGTCTCAGTAACGTGGACCGTAATGCTTATAAGAGATGTGGTGATTGCTTCGAACTCAATAGATGACGATGAAATTGCAGCTGGAACTGTCAAAGTCTCTGCTGGGACAACAACACTGCTTGTTGCAGGAGAAATAATGCTTGTTGTAGGAGACGCAATGCTTGATGACGAAGTGTTCGGTCTTGCCTGGGTGACATAGACGATAAATGGATCGGTTATATCCACAGGCTCCGAAGAAGTGGTGGCCGCCGCTGCTGCGGACTGAGCCTGCGAGGAGACTGGTGCTGCCGTTGGTGATAGAATTGCGGCTTCACTGCTGCTTGATCCACCAACAATTGAGGCAGCTCCAGCAGTTCTACTGGCAACCTCGGATGCTGTAGACTCTGATGTAATTGGCTGTTGCGTGGGAGATGGGGAGCCTACAGATGCAGTAGCTGCCGGTGTATTACCGGCTGCAGAGCTCGTTGGAGAAGCTGTCGTCGATGCAGGTAGCATTGAGCTCGTAACCAGCGGAGTACTCGACGCCAAACTAGTAGAAATGGACTGCGCCGAAGTCTTTCTTTCGCTTGATGACCATGGAATGGCTGATGGGGATTCATAAATGGGTCCCACATAAGCAGCAGTTGAAGTATTTGCGCTTGGGAGTGGCAGGGAAGTTGAATCCGGTACATCGCTTGAGCTGCGCATGAGGCTAGTTGGTGTTACCGAAGTATTGGGGCCAACTGAAGTCTCTGGCGATGTAGATATTTTGCTCGAGCCATCAGTAGAATATGTCGAGTATACAGCCCATCCAGGCTTACTGGGGGATACCTTGGATACCGAGGTGTGAGTTTTTAAATGCGAGCTCGGTTGGTAAGATAGATATTTTGTGCCAGGAGACGAAGACGATGGCGTTAGAGTCTTGGTTTCGACTGGAGACGATGTTGGTATTGTTGAGAGAGAGGACGAAGGTGATGTCTCAATGGGTGTTGTAGAAGGTGTCGTAAACGGCGAAGATGACAGTATCACAGAAGTGGCCTCGGCCGGAGATGGCGTTGGCACGATTGGCTGAGAAGATGAAGATGTCGTTTCGGTGTAAGTTGTTAAAGGCGTGGCAGACGTCGAAGGTGACGGCGTCACGGCACTGGTCTCAACTGACGAATTCTCAGAGGCAATTGGCTCCGCGAAAGGAGATGGTTCAGCAGAAGTAGATGGGTCAGCAGAAGTAGCAGGTTCCTCCGAGGTAGTAAGCTCCTGAGTAGGTGCCGCGACAGGAACAACGGTTGTATAACCTTGGCGCCGGACGGGGCGGGAGACCAGCTCCAACTCCGACGACTCCGACAACCAGCGAGAGATAGGACCAGCCTCAGCGCTCCAGGTCAAAAGTAACAAAAGCAGAAAGAGTTCCGAGCGAAACATTTCAGAAATAGAGACAACGAGCGCTTTTTAGGATCGGCAGGATGCGACTTTTCTCAAGAAATATGTCAGGATTGTCAGACGAAGATATAAAAGAGTGCGGGTGCGTCAATAAGAGAGAAAGAATAGACCGGGCGAAACAGCATGACCAAAGGGAATATTAAAGTGAGAGTGAATAGCTGGCGTGGTGATGGTTTGAGGATGAAAGAATGGCTGGCTGGCGCTGAGGGAGGGTTCAAACAATCAGAAACGAAACGAATGAAGTTATCTGATCGTCAATAGGAAGAGATTTCTTTCAGTGCGAGAGTCTCGCCATCGAGGATTTGGCTTGGTATATCTGGGCCTGGGGTCGGCAGGGCCTAGGTTGGCATTAGGGCTTGTTGTCAGCCCATTGTCGCAAAATGAACAACAAAGAGTGTCATTGTTGTTCCTCTTGGATATTCTCCGGGCTTGTTTGAGGGAACCGCCATTGACAGGGGTTCTTTGTGGGACGTTTCATCAGAAATAGATCTGCAACCGCCAAAGAGGCAGTAAGCGCCCGTGTTTGATGGATGGCGCGTGGTGATTGGTTGTCTGCAGGCGCAATTACCACCTTTATTTTACTGAAGATTCAATATTGTCATATAGACTGCTTGAGATACAGAGATATGGGACTTGATTTGTTTGCTGTTGTGGTGTGGGCGCGTAGGTCGAGAGATATAACAACCTATCTCATCGTCTGACAATACTTTACGGCTTGAAACGCTTCAACTTTCATTTTTCATTAACTTAGATACAAATGAGCCGGACTATGAAGCTTTCACTGTAAACGTTCCACTAATTCCTTCAAAAGACGAAATCTGGCCCAACGCGTTCTTTGAATCCCCATAATAATGCATCCGATAGGTCCCAGCCTGCAGGGGTGTCGGGTCATCGACACTATAGTATTGATCCTCAACTTGCCACCGAATAGTCACCTCGCTATAACCCAGGACTGTATTAGTTCGCTTCCACAAAAACTCCAAGTTCCAATCACGGTCGTTGCGCACAACTTTCCATTCACCGGAGTCGCTTTGTCTTTCAACCGCAGCATATGTCGATTCGTGGTGCAGGTTATTGCGGGGATTGGCGCCCACGAAGGTTGTATTGACAACATCTCCCGGGCCATAGGGTCCGTTCCCTGGGTTTGAAAGTACGTGCCCATAAGACTGCCCAATAGGGGCTCCGTCGTACAAAACACCGGTGATAAAGCTCAATGAGCGGTTGGTGTTGATTGGTGGACTGGGACCCGGGTTGAGCGCTGGGAGTTTGGCTACATCTGAGGCGCTTCCCAGATACGGTAAGTATGTGAGAGTCAAGTTGATGTAGGCTGCCAGTGTGCTTGGTCCAAATAGTGTAGAGGCGCCCTCGTACCGCTGGACATGGTACTCTTCTTCGGTTGCTACGTAATGTGCGTAGCTGTTTGACGGAGCCCCTAGCACTACTTGAGGGTCGGAGACAGAGAGTTTATCCTTTGCCCCTTTGGCAATAGCCTCTTTCCAGCGTCGCCCAGACATTGTGGTGGCTTCGCTTGTAGAGATAATGAGGAATAGTTGGCCCACTCGCAGAACCTGTATGTCAACAATGTCTGCAGCCCAAGCATATGGCTCGGTGAGAGTCCCGACATCCAAAAGAACATTCTTGGCACCTTGACACTGCCGTTGCTCTTTAGTTGGCTCGTGAATAAAGGCACGTGCAATCCGCCACAATGGATTGCTTCCTGCCGGACTGGTAGAATTCTGAGTGAAGTCAAAAGCCCCCGGTCCATCCGTAGTCCCAGCGGCAAATGAAAATCCTAAGGCGGCTGGGCAAGTCTTCAAAGTACTAGAGTTGAACGGCGAAGGGAATGTGTATCCATTCATGTCTTGGTATACATGGAAAGACCTGACACCCGAGCTACCAGTGATCTTGATAGGATTGGTGTTCATGTTCTCATAAAGCTGCTTTGCTGCTGAATACTGCCGACGTCCGATCTCGAAGCAGCTCTTTGCGCCATTGTCCTTTTCCCGGAAATGGGGTCCTCTGCCATGGCATGCTTCGTTAGTTCCGCCACAAGTGCTATCTGTGTATCGGCATTCCTCCCCTGAGCCGTCTTCGCACCAAGCCCCCAGAATGTTAGGGCTTGTATCCCCAACATTCGCTTGAGAGAAGCCGATCACCGCATCATCAGTAAATCTTGCGTCTCCAGCTATACTGCGCTCAAACAAATAAGCCGCAACTCCCTTATTGTCGCCAGTGACAAGAGTGTTGTTGTTATACATAGAAGTGCCATGAACAGGGAACCAAGTCAAAACGGCCGTCGTCTTATTATCCGACTGGCGATCAAATCGGATAAGCGACAGTGTTTTATCCACATTAGAAGAATACCGCGCCTTTTCATCCGCGGGGTTATTGTCATACGAATAAGGACTGCGGTTAACATTTGCGTCTTCCAAGTCAATAGTGCCAAAAGAGAGCCGACCAAGCGCCAAATTCTCATGGGCGCGAACGATAGAAAGAATCGTACCGTCGACAATAGATTGATAGCTCTGTTTGTCGAAGCCTTTCGTTGGGATCTGAGGAAGCAGGTAGTTCATCCACGCTCCAGGTCCTGAGTGGGAATGCGTCCCTGTCATTGCGACGTTGTGCTCGCCATACCGAGCATATGCTCCGCCGAGCATGGTGAGACCCTCTAGCACGCCATGCCGCACGGCCGTATCACCCGCGAGCGTATCAAGGACCAGGTACACGAATGTATCCTCCGGTTTGTTTGGGTCTGCGAAAATAAAGGCCCGCGAGTAGATTCTTTGCTTCAGGCCTGTGCCTAGCTGGTTGAGACTGGCGTAGCCGTTGAAGTCAACCTCGACCACGGGTCTGATTATGGTTCTATGTTAGAAACTTGGTGTAGATTCGTCTGGTGGACGTACCCGGTTACATCTGCTTTGCCTGCTCCGACCATGAAAATGTCGTCTGTTGAATCCTCGCTTGCCCTGCTTCTCCATTGATTGAAGTTTCTAGTGAGACTCGGCGAAGGCGACTGGTCGTCGAGCTTGAAAACAGCGAGCAGCTGGATGAATACCAAGGCTGCAAGAGTCACGCCCGCAAAAGTAATACCCAATCGAAGATTGGTCATGATTAGAGATATCACAGGCTATACTGGTTTGGCATATATAAGGGAAAAATGCCGAGTGTGTATTCGAAGAACACTCGAAGAAACAGGGAAACCCTCGACAGGGACACTCGAGCTTATACAGCGCAGAGGAAAGCACCGAGGAACGTACTTCTGTATCTACCTGGAGGGTCATGCAAGCTTGCAGGTAAGCATTGTATGTGGACCCTGCAAGAGACCCTGGATGTGACATCTAAGCGATGTGTGATGAGACTTGTGATCGTCATTCTTTGCATTCCGCATGCCCAAACGGGAATAGACTTTGGCTGAAGTTCCCCCGCACGGGAGAAGAGATGAGCCCGACTTTGAATGCATTGTGAATATAAGGAAATAGATTGCTTTGCATCAGGACCAGTCGGTGGACTGGGAACATAAACACTAGGGTCCCTTCGTCTAGGGTCGGGGGTAGAGTCTGACAGGATTGGCCGCAAGTCCTCCGTATTTCACAAGGCAATGTCTAATACATAGGCTGCATTTTGTGCAAATCTTGTTTCGTTCATAGCAGCACAGCTCCAAAGACACCCCAAAACATGTTTTAACCAAAATTTAATTATTTTTACAAGTTAGGTACATTCTTCAAGCATCCAACCCTCGGAACCAATGTATATACATCGTGGTCACATGGCTTAGTCTTAGTCTATCCCCGCTTAGTCATTAACCTATTCACCGCCCAGAGCAACCGTTCTCAGATTATCTACAATCTTTCAGTTCAATCTTCAACCAGCACCCATCACATCCAAAATGCCTCTCATCCACGACTCCCACGATTCGCTCCCTTGTACGTACACCTATCCCCCAACACAACCAGTTAAACTAACGCTCCTAGACATCGATGCCGCCCCAACAGCGTCCGCGCACGCGCGCGCCCAGCAGCTCATAACCGCCGAGCTCTCACCCGAGCACAGCACAACACTGCACCCCTGGATCCCCGCCTTACCAGAGCCAAATTTTACACCAACAATGGCCCAAGAGCTATCTCGCAAAGCAGCCGGCACCCCTCTAACAGGCATCGATTTATCGCGGTACGAAGCGCCCGAAGCACCTACGGGCAGCGATCTCGACGCGTGGCGCGAAACCCTACGCAAGGCGTACACGTCCAGCGTGCATTTGTCGAAGCGGTATGAGAATCTCGCGCTGCTGGAGGAGGGCGGGCGGAATGCTTGGTTGGTGGGCAACTCGCAGCTGGAGGATATTCTTTCCAGCATGGAGAAAGAGCTGGCGGAGATGAAGGAGGCTGCGGAGGAAGTTAATCGGCAGAGGAAGATTGCGCAGGAGGCTAGCGCTGGCGAGTTAGTTGCGCTTGAGGAGACGTGGAAGAGGGGGGTTGGGGCTATCCTGGAGGTTGAGGTTGCGGCGGAGGAGTTGAGGGGGAAGATTCTGGAGGTTAGGAGGGAGAGGGCTCAGCAGGTGGGACAGTAGGGGTTTGATGTTGACTGAAGAAGAAGAAAAATGATTTTCTGGCGCGGGCTGGGCTGGGCCTTGAAGTTGTGACATGGAAGTGGATGCACAATTCTTTGTGGAACACTTGCGCGCTGAGGCTGCGTTTAGTCCGGTCCCTGCGCCTGGGCATGGCCTCTCCATTGGCCTTTCATGTCGGTCTCGCTTTGTGCCGCGGAACTTCGTCTGCGAATGCGTGAACGAGGTCCGAGGTATATCTTGCATGGACGATTCTATGCACACATTCCCAGCCACGCTTATCTATTGGGTTTATCAACCCTCGTCTACTGCCCTAAGCCCTTGCGCTTGGTGTGATTTGAAAGACGAATTCTGATATGGTCGCGAACTGCGGGTCAGCTCCGGCCATAATAGAACATGCAATGAAAATACAGTTCCCAGAGGCTCTCCAATTACCATATACTCCTCACATTTGATCTTTCCCTACTCCAAATTCTCAAAACAAAATGGACATGATCGAATTTTGAATTCTCGCTAAAGTGCTATCAAAAACGCATCGCAACTCGCTGCGAGAGTAAACCTAAAGCCAACCAAGCCCTAAACCTTCGGCACAACAACATCAACCCCCATCCCCTCCTCCGAAACCACCACAGGCCCCAGCAGAACCCTCTTCCCCTTAACCTCCACCCCCTCCGTCCTCGCCTGCACATTCCAATCCACAAGCCGGCGACACATCCCCTCGAGCGTCGTAAGCGGCGCCTTGTACCCAAGACCCCCATCCTCAGGCCTCATCCTCGCCCTTGAATCATCCGCAAAAACATGCACATCGAGAATGCTGAACAGCGAAGGCTGCAACTGCTCGAGCTCGTGCGAAAGCGGCGGCAAGAGGCCGCCGCACATGAACCGCAGGAAGGCGTACGCCTCGACAAGATACGCCAGCAGCAAGAAGGGCGCGGGCTGTAGCTCCGGGAAGGAAATCGGGGTGTCTGCCAGCGTCATGAGAAGCCGGTATAAGTCGCCGAAGGCGATGGCCGGGTTTGGATCGCTGACGATGTACGACTGCCCGCTTGTGCGGCGGATGTTCGGGTCGGTGCTCTGCTCGACCAGGCGCGCTTCGTAGAGTAGGTGTGCGAGTGAGACGTTCTCTGCATGTACGAATGACTGCAGGACCGGGTAGGCCCAGGTTGGGGCGCCGCCGTTGGCGAGGTAGATGTCTGTTATGGCGGTGATGGAGGCGCCGCCTGTGCCGTAGATGCCGTTTGTGGGGCGGATGGCGCCGGTGAGGAAGTTCTTGGCTGGGTTGTTGGCGGAGAGCACGAGGGACTCGGCGGTGGCTTTGGTGAAGGCGTAATTGCCGAAGAAGTGGGCGTGGGACTTTGGGAGCGGCGTGCTGTCGTGTAGGACTTGGACTGCGTTCTTGGGGTGGCGTGTCCATGGCCAGATCCAGAAGTTGGGTCTTTGCAGTGCTGTTGAGCCGGAGGAAGTCCAGATGAAGATGCTTGCTCCGGCGGCTTGGCAAGCGTGGAGGACGTTGAGCGTGCCGTCGATGTTTACCTTACTGCTTAGGGGGAGGAAGCATTTGAGGCGGTCTTGGGGGCGGATTATTGCCGCTGTGTGGTAGACCGTTAGTGGCAACTTGGTGGTGTGGGCTGGCCAGGGCTCTTTGAAGGCACTTGTCACGGCGAGCTTGTCGGTGATGTTTGTTTTTATCCAGGTAATGCCTTGGTTGAGGAATTTGGCTTCCGGAGAAGCGATGTCCAAGATGCGAATGGCTTTGGGGTCTTCGCCTCGGGCCAAGAGATGAGTGAGTATCCATGAGCCTACTAGGCCTATAGATCGGGGTTAGCATGGTTGATATTGCTGAGCCTTGGAATGTAAATGGACGCACCGGTTCCGCCGACGATCACATAGCGTCTGGATTGCTTTGGTGGCAGGCTTTTTGTCACGTCAATGGGAGATTCCAGGCTCTTCTTGTAGGCTTCTTTGATTTCTTCAATGGTCCAGCGATGAGGAGACAATTTCGCTGCTTCATCGGGGACTGCTTTCATAGCATGGTTGATGTGGCACAGGTAAAGAGCAGCTACTATTGCCGGAACAGCAGCAAAGAGCCACATGATGAACCTTGGAAGGGTGTGAAGTATGAAGTAAGTAGCAAGTTACTCCAGGGCTTTTCCGCTTCACGGAGGGTATAGGAAAAGGTTGCTATGGCCAGAGGTGTCGGTAATCAAATAGGGTTGATACTGCAAACGCCGTTGTTTCGGATTTGAATCGTACACTTTTGAATACTCATGGAGATTGGAACAAGTTAAAGAGAAAATATACTTCCATTTTGCTTCTCAATTTTGTGTTGATATTTTTTCTCCCGACGATGAATCTCGGCTCGATCTGATCAGATCCAAATTGGTAGGTCGCTTAGAATTTAGATCGCTTCGGTTATTTTAAACGAGCGACCTGAGACCTTCTAGAACCGAGCCTCATTTTGGCAACCCGTGTGTTTGACACATGTTAGGCTGTGTAGCTGAATGTCCGGATTTCTGGCGTTTGACAGAAATTTTCTTTTCAGGCCCAGAGAGTTGTGAAGATCATCGGAGGTCTCTTGGTAGGTACAATATTGTCGACCTACCTATAAGTACATATAGAATCAGAATCAGAATCAGAATCAGATAAACCACATTCAAGTAGTAGGTAGAACAAATCAACCAGATCGTTCACTATTATTATACTACACTGCAACTACTGGGCGTCTATAGATCTTATATAGATCCTATAACCAACTAACTAGTTAGATGCTAGTTAGTTAGACACAAGCACTCTAGCGGAACATTCCGCTATTACCGAAATTGGGTACGAGGTTCTCTTCTTTTTTTCCCCAAAAATCCACGTTCTGATCTGGAACTTCGCCGAGATGAGCATTGGACTGATGGAGTATAACGTGCAATACGCAAAAACATTGTACATCAACACTTCTCAGACCTTACCCCGCCTTATACATACATACCTATGTACCATCCACCTCCAGACATAACTTAACCCTAAGTTCCAGACATGTCCGTTGACATTGTATTCGTACCATTCTTGTTATGTATTCGGCAAACCGGCACGCTAGCTGCCGAAAGAATCCACTTGTTCTCGGGCCTGGTAGGCCTGGTGGAGACACATTGGGTCGAAACACGCACTTTTTCGGAGTCATCACGGCATGACACACGGAATGGTCTGCTCACTCATTGCCCACGGGGTATGTCTCCATACCGTGTCTAGACCTGTACAGGTAGGGTTTCATACTACAAGATTGTACAATATAGAAACCAATAGTACCTAGGTAGGAACTATGATAACTAAAACACTACTAGTGAGCCTCTTGCCAATGCTTTAATCAGTGGGATCATCCTTCAGGTAGTAGTTCCGAGCATCACAATCACACTGACTCGGTTGAAAAAGCTAGCCCATGTGGTTCTCCATGTATGCTTATCATTTATGTCGGCCCCACTGGAAGAGTTCCCCATTTCAAATTCGAGTTCAAATTCGATTTCAATGTCAGATGTCTCTGGTTTCTACTTCTCTAGCAACCTAGATCTCTTTTGTCTCAAGCGTTCGATCTTTGCACGAGCTTGAAGTTAATATTCAAGTCTGTGCTTGCTTAATCACCCTGTCGGAGCAATCGACAGTATAAAGAACCACAAGGCCTGTGCAGCCCGCGCAGCCTGTGTGGAGGCTGAACGAGAAAAAAAGATCAGCTCTTCAAAATGCCACACCCAAATCCAAATCCCCAGAAAGGCCCTCGTAACACCGCCAGTCTCCACGACACAGACTCCATCGCCGAATCCATCTCTTCGGTAGATACCCAGGCCGACGATGCCCTGGGCAAGACACTAACAGCCCGCGCCTCGCGCACATCCCACATGTCCCTGTCGGAGCGTGTGACTACCATCGCAACAAATGCCACCGCAGATCCGGACTACGAAGTCGACTGGGACGGCGACGACGATCCGGAGAACCCCAAGAACTGGAGCTTGGCTTACAAGGCCATGGGGATCTTGTTCTTGTCGTGGAACACGCTGATTGTGTGAGTATCAATTGCTCTTCCTTTGTTTTCACATATCCCATGAGCTGGTTATCCCAATCTAACAATAATCCAGCGTACTATATTCAACTTCATACACATCCGGCACGACCATCATCGCCGAGGAATTCGGCCAGAGCGAGACGATCGTCACGCTCGGTCTGACCTTCTACCTTATTGGCCTTGCTATCGGGTCGATGTTCATGGCCCCGTTGAGCGAGGTCTACGGACGAAAGCCCGTGTGCGTCATCTGTCTGGCTGTGTTCACCGTGCTGATTATTCCATGTGCGCTCGCGAAATCAGTAACCACGCTGATTGTCGTGCGCTTTATCGGCGCTTTCTTCGGCAGTGTGATGATCTCCACGGCGCCGGGTATGGTGGCTGATCTGGTCGATGATGAGCACCGTGCGCTGGCGATCTCCATCTGGAGTATTGGGCCGTTGAATGGACCCGGTATGTTTTCTTTCTTTTTGGGGGTTTTTTGTTGCAACTCTTTTCTAGAGCCAGTCACTGACGAGTGTAGTCATTGGCCCGGTCATTGGAGGCTTCGTCACTGAGTATCTTGGCTGGCGGTGGATGTGCTGGATCGCGCTCATTCTCTCTGCCATTGCGTTGGTTTTTGCTATCCTTCTCGAGGAAACATACGCTCCAACCTTACTCCAGAAGAGAGCAGCCAAGCTCCGCAAAGAAACTGGCGAGAACCGCTGGTGGTCCCGCTATGACCAGAAAGCCAGCCTGTACGAAGTGCTGAAGCTGAACCTCAGTCGCCCATTCGTGATGGCAGTCACCGAGCCCATCTGGTGTGTTGACACATTTCCATATCCCCCACTTACCGTGCAAGCTAACAACCACCAGCATCTTCTGGGACATCTACATCGCCATCATCTACGGCATCCTCTACCTCTGCTTTGTCGCCTACCCCATCGTCTTCCAAGACATCCGCGGCTGGGACCTCGGCCTATCAGGCCTCGCCTTCCTGGGAATCGGCATCGGCGTAGTCCTGACCATAGCCTGCGAGCCGCTCATCCGGCGGCTGATAAACTTGCACGCGCCGGACCCAGAAACCGGCAAACCGCCACCCGAAGCAGCGGTCTCGTTCGTCTGCATCTGCGCCGTGCTGATCCCCATCGGCGAGCTCTGGTTCGCCTGGACCTGCGCGCCGGCGTCGATCCACTGGATCGCGCCCCTGCTCGCGGGCATCCCCTTCGGTGCGGGCAACACCGGCGTCTTCATCTACGCTTCCAATTACCTCACCCACAGCTACGGCATGTATGCTGCTTCTGCGCTGGCTGGGAACTCTGTTATTAGGAGTATTCTGGGTGGCGTGTTGCCGCTTGCTGGCTCGGCGATGTATGACAGTCTCGGGCCGAATTGGGCCGGCACGCTGCTTGGGTTGCTGGAGGTGCTGATTGTGCCGATTCCGTTTGTGTTTTATAAGTATGGGCATCGGATTCGGAGGAAGAGTCCGCTTATTGTGCGTATGCAGGAGGAGAAGATGAAGTTGGAGGGGAAACGGGCTAGGAGGGCGCTTCAGTTGGCTAATGCTGCCAGGGAAGATGCGGAGAAGGGTGAGATTTGAGACTTTGCGGTTTGCTCTGCGTTTTGATACCCCCTTGCCTTGTATCTGTTCTAAAAGTGCTTCCTATATACAAATCGTTCAATGCATATGCGCTTCATTAATTCATGCTTGGTATCGGTGTGCTTTGAGTATATCGGATTTGCTTAGTTGGTCAACTTGACCATTCTCTCCACATCTTGAGAGTTGCGAAGAATCCGCTCATATTCTCCGAGCGCGATGGCCCCAGCTGGAAAAATCATGATGGCCTCGATGTACACTGGTCGAGGGGAGACCGTAGATGGTCTCTCGTTGGGCTGGTCGACATCTTCGGGGGTCGAAGAGAATGAAGATATTGGCTGGACCGACTCTATTTCTCGGACGTAGCCCACAACGTTCAGCCACGTTCCCACGCGCAGCGCTTCGGCGGTTACTTCTTCAAGGAGTGCATTGATGTCGACAGAGACAACATTTGGCTCGGCCTTACTGCGTGGGTAGTTGTGTTCCAAGGCTAGATACCCAGTGGCTACGGTGTAAGTCGTCACACTGTGCGTGTCAAAACAATATATGATTAGCAAACATCGGGTGTTTATCCTTTCTCCCCGACGCACCAGCCAAGAAAGCGGATCTTCGAGTCCGTCTGTAAAGATGAGAGATCGGACAGGAACGCGCGAGTCGAGGGACGCGGCCCATTCATTCTGCTAAGCCAAGATGTTAAGCATGTTCTCAAATGTTGGAAATGAAAATGAGCAAATACAAGTCCTCAAGTTGCAAGTTGCATCTTCGAAGTAAAAGAAAGATCACAAGCACGTGATGTGCCTTACCGCGTATGTCATAGGCTCAGCGAGGGGAAAGTCGGGCTGGTCTCCCCTCCACATTTGACGATCCAGAATTAGCCTTGAAAGCGCTCTCGAGCCAGTGTGCTGATCTCAACTAGTTTACTCGTATTTCATCTACCCGTCTACCGTACCTTGACCGATCGGGTTCTGCCTGGAGCCTATCGCACCTGACCTGCAGGTAGCGCCCAAGAAAACGAAACGGTCATTCCGCTTCTCTCGGGGTTCTCTCTGACTTTCTCTGAACATATTGCTCGATCCAGGCCTCCTCGATCCAGGCCTCCTCGATCTACATCGATTCAAAGCTACGACCATACGAATATCCCAACATCCAATATGTGGTCTTGGTTCGGCGGGGCCGCCGCTCAAAAGCGAAAGGATGCGCCTAAGGAGGCCATCCTAACGCTGCGCAATCAGCTGGACATGCTACAGAAGCGCGAGAGACACCTCGAGAGTCAAATCTCAGACCAGGACGCTATGGCCCGGAAGAACATCAACTCAGATAAGAATGGTATGCCCACTTCCTGGCCGTTGATCTATATCGATATCGACGTGGGGGTATGCCGAGCGTAGCTGACTGTATTACCCCCTCAAATAGCGGCGAAGAACGCCCTCCGACGGAAAAAGGTCCACGAGAAGAACCTCGAGCAAACAACGGCGCAGATCATGCAGCTCGAGCAGCAGATATACTCCATCGAAGCGGCGAACATCAACCACGAGACTCTGTCCGCAATGAAGCAGGCCGGTGCCGCTATGAAGCAGATTCACGGCAAAATGACGCTCGAGGACGTCGACAAGACAATGTACGTGCCGCTTGCTTGCCATGTCGCTTCTTGCGCCTTTCGCTTCCGTGTGTTCGTGTCCGGCTTACTCATATATCCAGGGAACAACTCCAAGATCAGCACGCGCTCAGCGCGGAAATCGGAAACGCCATTACCAGCGTCCCGATTGGCGAGCAGCCAGACGAGGCAGAACTCGATGCCGAGTTGGAGGACTTGGAGCAGGAGGCGATGGACGAGAGGATGGTCAAAACGGGCTTTGTGCCTGTTGGCGATCAGCTGGACCGGTTACCAGCTGCAGGGAATAAAGAGCGTAAGTGGAAGCCTGCGCTTTGGCCGGGAGATATTCATTCTCTCATTCGGAATATTGCGTTGCGTACTAACCATCACTATAGTCAAGCAACCCGCCAAGGCAGAGGAATCCGACGAAGAAGCCGAGCTGGCCAAGCTGCGTGCAGAAATGGCTATGTGAACTTTCCCGCCGATGTGGTCTTAGTCTTTCCGTACAGCTTTTTCTTCCTTGTCTACGCATGCATGACCCGGTCGTTCTTCGAGCCTTTTGCGCTGTTCTCGTTTTGTGTTTTTATTTCCCAGTGCTGTCATCCGGCTTGGTGACTTATCCCTGTTCACTCTCCATCGCATGATCCTGATCCGGCGTGTATCGTGTCGCCTTGATATGTCTGTTCTTATGTCACTGTTTCTATCTGGCTGTTCCACTTCTCAATACCGTTTTCACACCGTCGATCTCCCCGTCACTGTTTTCTGTCTTGTTTTGAATGGAGTTCTTTAGATTACCAGGTTCGTTCTATATGTAAGCTAAGATCTTAATTCCAGTTTTTTCTTGGGATGCTTCGGGATGGGTTGTAGGTCTTGCTTGTGGAACAGCGCATAGTCAAGGTATTCAGTCACAACGATATAAGGGAATTGTTGGTCGTTGCGTATTCATGAGTGAAGGGGAGTAAGGAAGAGAGACCAGAAGAAAGGTCTGTAAAGACATTTAAGTGCATAAAACTATGATGATTGACGTCTAATAAAAAGATGAACCATTCACCTCGAAGATCCGTCTCGGAAGACCGAGCATTCAGACGAAAGAGAAGGCACCATAAATCAGATCTTCCAATTCGGCAAAACAGCCAACCAAGACCTTAAAACCTCGAGAGACATCAAGAATGTCAAAAAAACCCATTGCACAGAGTACATGCATGCAAAGAAAAACAAACTCCAGCAGTATCGCCTACCATGTCCACCACCCATGCTAACCCATAAATTTCGCCTTGCGCAAGAAACCAAAAAAGACAAAACAGCCGCCGGCCCACAAGCACTAAGGGTACCAGGCGTAGCTCTTGGTAGGTTGAGTACGGAGCCCGTCCTCGGTCTCGGTGCGCCACTTGGACTTCCACTCGACTTCACGAGCGCAGGCGTCGACCAGGGCTTCCTTGCACTCTGGTGGGAGGAGCTCGAGGATCTCGGGAGTCATAAACTCGGGGTTTGTGGGGTTCGCGACGCTGACCATCCCATTTGGACCGATGTCGTGTACGTCGCCATCTGGGCCTGGAACGCCCATGTTGGAGTACTGCGGGGATTCGTAGGCAATGTCTTGGACAACGTAGCGACTGTGGATATTGGCGGGAACGGGAGAAAAAATGCTAGCGAGTTTTTTGGTCTCACCAGGGGCGGATTCGTCGGCGGGGTCATGAGATTCGTTGGTTTCGGGTGCGGCTGGGTTGGCCTCTTCTGAGGGAGAGCCTTTGTTGATGTTCAGTGAGTTCATGTTGGTCGTTAAACCGGCTGCGGTGGATCCCTCTGGCGCAGGGGGGATACGCTCCCAGCGGACGTGGGTGGGCTGCATGATCTTCGGGACTTGCATGATGTTGGTGTGCACATCGTAGACGCCCTTCAGATTAGCTCGGCGCATATCAGCGAGCTTATGGTTGAAGGAGCTGTGGTCTTTTGTCAGTGGGGAATTCACAAAATATTACCTCGCGGGTCATGTTTAGACTCACCTAGCAGCACGGGCGTGCTCAAGCATCCAGTTATCATCAGTGACTGGGGCACGGCGTCTCTTGGGATCAATTGGCTTTCCACCAACAAGTGGGACGGAAGGCGCATTGTTGTGGTAGACACTGCTTGCACCATGCCAGGCGACATACTGGTTACGGTTGTAAGTTTCTCCAGGTCCAGGAATTCTATCTTCCGGAACGGCCAGCTCGCCCTCAACGTCGCCGCGCTCGCGGGCAACAGCTTCATCGTAGTCATCGGTAATCTTCTTGCCGCCGACGATAATCTTTGCACCGAATTCGCGGAAGACAGAGCGCGCAGTAACAACACCGATGGCCCGGCCCTTGTAGGAGTGCGGGATGAGGTCGCGCTCGATTAGATCGCGCTTCGCATCGTCATCGATGATAATCTTGTAAAGCATCTTATGCTTCTGGAAGAAAAGGTACGAGTCACGGAAACCAATGCAGCGAGCCGGCTCCGTCGACAACATGTAGAGGCGATCGCCACGGCCCAGGATCTTGAAGGTACGCACACGGTACTCTCGTCCGCCTTGCAGGTGGCCATTCTCATCGACCTTGGTGGCGCCAATTGGGTCCGGCGGGATCGACACCTCGTCGTTGATGACATCCATCATGTTTCCTTCTTTGTCGACGGGGACCTGAGTGAGGTGAGAAGGTCCACGGTTGCGCGCCCAACGTCCTCCACTGGCAGCAGGGCGACCACGGCGGCGTTTGGCGGGTGTGGTCACTCGGATTGGTGTTTCGCCGTCTGCCTCGTATTCAATAGGTCGTGGGTTCTTGGGGGGACGACCGATGCGACGCTTGCCGCGTGGGTAGATACCGGGACGGCCAGGTCCGTGAGTTGGAGTGGGAGCTGACTCGAGGATCGAGTCTTCTGCGGGGGTTGCGGTACTCAATTCCTCATCGACCTTAGGGGTACCAGGTGTTGCGCTGGCCTCGGCTTGTGTGCCTTCAGCTTCAGCTTCGGGCTCAGCTTGCGATTGAGGTTGATTCTCAGCTTCAGCTTCGGGTTCAGCTTCGGGTTCAACGTCAGGGTCGTTTTCGGGAGAGTCCCGAGGCTCAGCTACGGGGGAGGATTCATGGGAGGAAGGTAAATCAAGCATCTCCTCGTCAGATCCATCAGGAAGCACTGGGACATTTTCTATAAATGATTAATCGCAGAACGCGTCTTAGGGGGAACGTGAGATTTTAAGGAAGTTGGGGCTGGAAGGCGATTGTAGGGTTTAAATGTGGTTTTGGGTTTGAGCTTAACTCACTGATTAATTTGGCTGCGGCCTGGGCGGCTGCCCTTGACTTTCGAGGCATTTTGATGATGGCCTTGGTCTATCTTGGGAAGCGCAATAAGCCGCAGGAAGCTGTTTTGCGATGGGCCAAGGTTTATCCGATTCTGCCAGGTTGCAACACGTGAGGGAGCTTACCGCTTATACTTTTGTCACGTGAATGGTTCCAGATCTACCCTTGCAAACAGTGCAAACAGTGCGAATCCCTGCACCGTGACATCATAAGCGTCCTCTTCACCCCAACGGAACATTTCGGGCTCCCAGGCCGTTGATCGACAAACTTGCTGCTGCTACCTGCTGTCGAGAATTGTTCTTACTCAATTCTCACTGGTTGGAATGATGTTATGTATAGGCTGCCTACCTAGGACAGCACTTTCGGGCTCTGTGTTACCTCCTAGTTCCATTATCGGAGTGCGGAGATTCAATGCTCATATCGAATTTCAAGATTTTGCTTGGATCTACATATCAGCGAAATCCCGCAAATGCTCACCGGTTATCTAGTGCACCGTTATTCCCCGAATCGCCTTGTTCGCCTCGTCCGCCTTGTTATACACACAGTCTACACTGTTTTGGTTTTTGGGTATGAATCGAACATATCGAAACACACTAGATACATACATACAATGTAGGTTAATTATTTGTGTTACTACTGACCTCATACTCCTATGCGGGCTCTTCTCCTTTTTAGACAACGACATGTCCTTCTGATCCAATTCAAAGATGCGAATATCACATGCAAAAGATAACTACTCGAGCTTCTGGGAGGCTTGAGCATATTCCCGATTCGAGAGGTTGCTTTGGATCAGACACATGTTTTTAGATTGGTAATATGGTACCACTTGAGCCGATGATGTTTGACGATATTTGAATTGGCGCGACTAGCGCTTCTCAGTAAAGTTCTATCAGGGATTGCAACGTATTTAAAGGTTCGATATTCGGTTAACCAACCGAGGAAACCCGAATGGTCAAGCCAAGTAAGATCGTCCATTGAATAATATTTGGTCTTAATTAATCATGTATAGTATCTGCAGATAACTTGGGGCTTGAAAGAGATCATGCCGAATGGAAAGCTGATTACAAGGCACATCGTGACACGGTCTCAGCAATTGCAGATGACCTACAAATTAGGTCCGAACTCGCAATTGGTCTTGTGCATGGATAACGGAGAATGCACCCTGAAATCATGCACGCTCCGCGGCTTTAAATCATTGTACAATAAATGTAAATCGTATCCTGAAGAGAAACAACGCCATTAGTTTATCGATCCGATGTTTTTTTATATACTTTTATATGATAAGAATGCAACTCCAGGGTTGTAGAGTAGAATCCGATGTCATCCTTGAACCAGTATGCTGGATTTCTATTTCCCCGTTCTATCATTCGCAATTATTAAACATCGAGCGGGAGGTACCCGTCGATCCCTTGAACCCCGCCTATAATAAATTCTCGTACACGAGGGAAAGCATTTTAGATCGACACGGCTATACCTAGCGTCGGTTCTCCTTCTGTATGCAGTTGTAAGCTCTTGCATCTGTGGCACGTACATGATTCGGCATTCAGATCCGCCGAACCACATGTTAGCGCGGAAGTTGAGACCTTCACGGCACGCCCCGATGACGCATGTGGAGGGTAGCCCTCGATATGATCACAGCATTCATCGATGCAGATGCAAGGGGAGCTGAGAGCTGGGCCTGGGCCATATTGAAAGCTGAAAAGGCTAGGATCGTGATCTGCTGTGTAGATCTGGACTCGATCTGGGTGTTTCACAGTGTTATGTACAACAAGGGGGGGGGGGAAGAGTGAGGATTAGGAATATATTAGGAATATGTCTGTAATGTGACCTAAGTAAGTAGAAGTAGAATGTTTAAAATGTACTAACTATATAAATACCCACATATGTAGGTATTGTACAATATCACTCGGAAAGGATTGCTCCGAGAGAAGCGGTCTATTATGTTGTCAGAGATGATGAAATAGTGTACATTATACCCCGCCCTAGAGCGGAGATGGCGGAGATTCTGAGATAAGAAGAGACCGGATTTAGAATTGAGCAGAGTTGGCGAGATGAAGATATATCTAAAAGATATCAAGGGTTACATTAGTTATGGGTATAATGAGGACGTATGGCTGTTTTACAAGGAAAATACTTGGAACTACTTTGAAGAATGCACAGGTGTCATCCGGGCATAGATTGTGATTGGAATTAATATGATCTGTTGTTCTTTTAAGAAGAAATGAAAAAGAATAATTCCAGCGTATTCTCTTGATATGCTAATTAGAATCTATTTGAATAATTGATTGAGGATCATTGTCCAGTCATATGCCGTTAATCTTTTTTTAGTATTTTACAATATAGTCTTATGTCTAGTACATACGTTGTATGTAGATACAAGGCTTACGTAGAGAATATGTCAATACAAAAATGCCTCGGAGTCCATTCTTTTTCTTTTATTTAAATTCCAGGAGTCAGCATCAGCTTACAGTATATACTGTCAAGCACAGCCGCATGGAATCTTGGTGAGACCAAGTTTTCCAACATAAATCCGGCCCAGTGGAGAGAACTGGGATATTCCACTTTAATCAATCGAAGAACGTCGAACATTGAAATCGAAATTCACACACAAATAATCCAAAACAAAACTCCTTTCATAAAAAAATTCCCACGCAGAGAAACAAAACTCGAACGTGAAACCGCAAAAGGAAATTTTATCTCTTATCGTTGGGCCGGAAGCCGCCTTAGCTCATCAAAGTTCCATTTCCCGACATCAATTTTCTTCCTCAAGTTTCTCATCCAAGTTCAATCAATATTCTTATTGAAACCATTGAATGGAAACACTATGGCCGCTCATAAATCCGTATCGCACGGCGATGTGATCCCCATATCGTGAGTCATCCCCTTTCCTTATCCTCTCTTTTCTCTCTCCCTCCATTTTCAAAAGACGAAAAAAGAAGAAAAAGGCGGGGTTGGAAAAGAAAGGAAAAAGAGGGTCCATGATACCCCCCCCTCACACCGCATTGCCTTTGTTTTGGGATTGAGGTTGGCCTGCCTGAAACACCTTATGAGAGAATGCCTTTCTCTTCTATGTTTCGCCTTCGGACCTGGTCGGACCTTTCCTACCGCAGTTGAAGATTGTGTTCGAGAACCGTTTCATCGTATCACCCTTTCTGTGACTAACCAACTGTTTTTCTCTCAGCTCCGAGGACGACACCCAAGATCAGATTGGGTCAAATGGTTCGACTCCTACGCCGACTGGAATCGCTACACCCGAGCCCGATCCCGCCGACAAGCGTCTGCCGTCTATCATGCACAACTACTTCCAGGTTGGTTCTTTCTCCGGTGATAAAGCGAGTCTGCCGCGGTTATGGTCCTGTCTGTCGAAATCATCTGAGCCTCAACCCAATGCGCACACCCAACACTCCTCCGGTTCCTCCGAGTCATTTGTGATGATGGAGCAGGAAGATGGGTTTGACAAAATGGAAGACGAACACTCCAGCTTGCCTACCCCTCCTCATTCCTTGTTACAACATGAGTCGGATGAAATGGAACTCGGAACGAGCCCCGGAGTGTCGTCTATCTTTACAACCCTGAAGAAATATTTGGTCCCACCCACACACACCCCTCCCGAGGATAGCCCTTCCCGTCGTCAAACCTCTCTCCCAGTCTCCAGCATCTCTGACGACCCCGTTCTTGCCACACATTTCTCCAACCCATCCCTCCCTTCTCCCTCAGATGATGTTTCCCTGACCGAAGCCCCCTCCTGGACCACGAAAAGCCGCATGTTTCAGTATCTTCCGAGAATCTTGCCAAGCTAACTGGAAACGCGCCCGATGGGTCGCGTCTTAAGAATACCCCGCCTCTTACTCCCCGGGCCATGTCCAACGAAAACGCCCGAACACCCGTGACTTCGGCCGCGACGCCGACAGAGGCACCGACGGAGACTCCAGAGACCCAACCCGAGTCGAAGTCGGAGGATACGGAAAGCTCTACAGATGAGATCACCATGAAGCTCGATGAGGCATTCCCCTCCCGGTCCTCGTCATCGCCGGCCAACGGCGCACCCACTGGCCCGATCAACGGCAAACTGTTTGTGAAGATCACCGATGGTAGAGGATTGCGCCCCAGTTTTGACCCATACGTGGTGTGCGTATTTGAGTGGAACGAGTACATCTCCAAGGGCGCTCGTGACGGCGAGGAGGAAATGAAGCGCCGCCAACAGGAGTCAGATGCCGAGGAGGCTGCTGGTCGGCCTATGGCTATTCCGCTGAAGACAAGATCAAGCAGTCATAACAGTGCCGTTGAGGGTGACCACAAGGGTCGGACTCCCGTGACAGACCCTCACTGGGATCACGAGGCAACCTTGTATGTTACCACTTACCAATCGCTGCCATTTCCCGATTTGCGTTAATCCACTAACTTTTTTTTCTCTTTCAGTGATGTTATGGGAGATCAGTCAGAACTTGATGTTACAGTTTACGATCGAAATAACCAAGAAGCCTTCTTGGGTCACGTGCGACTTCGCATTAACCTTAAGGAAGACCACAGTCGACTAGAAGGTTGGTTCCCCTTGGTCGCTCGTGGTGCCGGCGACAATCAAGTGTCTGGAGAGATTCATCTCGAAATGAACTTCGAAAAGACAGATCGGAAACAGGTGGGGCCGAACGACTTCCTTATCCTCAAGCTTATCGGCAAAGGAACCTTCGGTCAGGTGTACCAAGTCAAGAAGAAGGATACACAGCGTATCTACGCGATGAAGGTTCTCTCGAAGAAGGTGATTATCCAAAAGAAGGAGGTGATACACACACTTGGCGAGCGCAATATCTTAGTGCGCACCGCTATGACCGCATCTCCGTTCATTGTCGGATTGAAGTTCTCCTTCCAAACCCCTACAGACCTTTATCTCGTTACGGATTACATGTCAGGCGGAGAGTTGTTCTGGCACTTACAGCGCGAAGGCCGGTTCCAGGAGGCTCGGGCGAAGTTCTATATCGCGGAGTTGATTCTGGCTCTGCAACATCTCCACGACCACGATATTGTGTACAGAGACCTCAAGCCAGAGAACATTTTGCTGGATGCAAATGGTCACATTGCGCTCTGTGACTTCGGTCTATCAAAGGCGAACCTGTCCCAAAACGACACTACCAACACCTTCTGTGGCACCACCGAGTACCTCGCCCCAGAGGTTCTGCTTGATGAACAGGGTTATACAAAGATGGTCGACTTCTGGTCCCTGGGTGTACTAGTCTTCGAGATGTGTTGTGGCTGGAGTCCCTTCTACGCCGAGGATACCCAGCAAATGTACAAGAACATTGCATTCGGCAAGGTCCGGTTCCCCCGTGACGCCCTCAGCACCGAAGGTCGAAACTTTGTCAAGGGTCTGCTGAACCGCAACCCCAAGCACCGTCTCGGAGCCAACGGCGATGCCAAAGAGCTCATGGCCCATCCTTTTTTCGCAGACATCAACTGGGACGAACTCTGCCGCAAGCAGGTGATCCCGCCATTTAAGCCCCAGCTGCAATCCGAGACCGACACCTCAAACTTTGACCCCGAGTTCACAAACGCACTGGAGATGAACAACTCGCTGAACATGCGCGCTGCGGCCCTAGCCAATGGCCTCATGCCGGCCTCCACCCCCTTGTCGCCCGGCATGCAAGCCAACTTTAAAGGCTTCACTTTCGTGAACGAGAACTCCATCGACCATCACCTGATGGAGGACAGCGATCACATGGAAGAAGATGCTCAGGAATGGCAGCCCGGCCACCGCTCCGGCAACTCAGTTGACCAGCGCATGACAGGCGTCCAGAAGCACGACGGCACGGAATCCGGGATTTTCAACGTTGACGATACCTTTGATATGTGATTACGTTTTCTTTTTTTCTTTTCTTCTGCATGATGATGGAGTCATCGATCTGGCATTTCTTTCTTCTCTTGTACATGCTTGGATTGCATCCCAATTCGCAAATATGGGCTTCCATAATCGCCGATCTCTTCCCCCCAATACTCCCCCCAATCCTTTCCTTTATCTTCCTGTTCTGTTTCCTGGTCTGTGCTGGAGATATCCGATTCACAAATCGCTTCTCTCCCCCACAGCCAGTCTTCAGCTCATACCCCCTTCCCCTCGAGCGAATGCGAAATCGGTTTCCAGGACCCTCGGGGGGAATCTGCGTTGTTCGATGGAGTTAGGTCTTGGGTGATTTTATGCCGTCATGTCCATTGTCATGTCATGTTCTGGGTTGATTAGTTTCGCCTTTTCTTTTCCTTAAGCGCTGTGTCAATAACTTTACTCTCTATCTCTATGTCTCTATTTCTTGGGATCTTCCTGAATTCTGATACCTGCCTTTCTTTGGGGTCTTTTTCTCTTCCTTTCCTTTCCTTTCGTTCCTCTCCTTTCTTCTCTTTTCCATATTTTTGCGTGCATGGTGGTAGTATTAAGCGCTCGTCGATGCTTGCATATCCAGGCTTTGGTTGATAATAGCTGTATGATGGGTTCTGCTGTATTTAGGGAGTTCGGTATCGCATAACTGGATTGCATCTACATCGGGTATGATTGTGTATTTGTTTGAATGTAACGATCAACGTTCAATTCTTTTTTTTCCTGCTTGTTTCCGCTGTTCCTGCTACTGATTTTTGGTGATGTTGCTCACGCCCGAGCCATTCACCCGGTGTTCTCCCCGAGTCAACAATGATTGATAAACATATTAACTATATATGTAGTTAGTGATCCTCGGACTAGATTGCGCGATTCAACTCACTCGATTCGCCCCTCCTATTCCGCCATCTTGTTCATGCTGCAGCTATAATCTATATAGATTGCGAGGGATCTACTTTCTACTTTGGGACAATACTTCCATTACTCCTACATATACAAACCATTTACATACGTAATTTCCAAAAACGTCTACATCTAACTCTACCTCTACCTCTACCTCACCCAATCATTATTCATCTTCAACATACATCACAACACATCCCAAACCAAACCAAAATGCCACCCACAATCCTCCCCCCAACCCCTACAACCCCCGCAGAATCCTTCCCAGATCCGTCCCGCGGCATCGTTTCCTGGCACACCCTCATCTCCTCCCCCCAAACCCCCTCCACAGACCTCTCCGCCGGAATCGCCTCCTGCCCACCAGGCACAGGCCACCTCTGTCGCCACAGACACGCCCAGGCCGAAATCTACCACATCCTCGACGGCGAGGGCGATCTCACCGTCGACGGCGTCACCAGCAGAGTCGTCAAGGGCTGTACGGTGTTTATTCCGCGCGATGCGGAGCATGGTATCGTTAATACAGGAAAGGGGGAGTTGAGGTGGTTTTATGTTTTCCCGACGGGAAGTTTCGGGGATGTGGTTTATCGGTTTGGGGGGAGGGGGAGGGGAGGGCGATGTTGTGAGTTTAATTGAGGACTGATCGGGGTGGTTTAGGGGTTAGGGACTGATTGGGGTGGGATTGGGGTTGTGTATCAGGAGGATGTCTTTGGCTAGCTGGTGGAGGTTGTGGTGTGTGGTTTGGCTGCTGTTATATTGATTGGCGTGTGAATATATGCAGTAATAGAAATGCCCTTGGCTTATCTTCTGCTGAATACTGAAGTGCAGGATCTGACTGCCTGGCAAAAATGGAATGAATTATTTACGCCGATGGAATACAGGTTCTAGCTGTCTACAATTCGCCGCCAGAACTGTATATAATGCCTCTCTCCCAAGGTGGTTGATTATCTTACATTGAGCCTGAACATGCTTCTGTAGGGTTATGGCTGCCTCAGCGGACTTCGGGTATATTTCTTCTGACATTTTGCTTTGTTCAGATGTCTAGAAATAATTGAGTATCAACTGGAACTAGAAATTTTTAGTATGTGACTGTAGAGCGAACCTTCTTACGTCCTAGATTTTATATTCCAAGGTTGTGGCTTATGAGTAAAGCCTTTCTGTATGGTCTTTTGTAGACTGCGAAGCTAGATTCTGCTCATGGATCTTGCTGTACTTCCCATCATCGGGGTGTATAGCATCCGGATGTATAGTAAGTCTGGAATTCAGGTCCTTCCAAAGTATGTATGCCCACCAGAACAATCTTCCTCCGCTGTGTCAGCAAGTTCTTAGCTAAAGTGCGGTACCAAAACATACCCAGTCGAATTTCCTTACTCCTACGAGTATGATAGAGCTTAGGGCCGTGGATTGCGGACAAGCCAAATATTATCAAGTATGAAGTACTCTTTGGTGAAGTGAGCTCAATTAAGATACTATTTAAGAACATGTCATCTCGTCAGAGGGATCTACATCGGAAGTATGGCTAATTCGATCTCGGGGTCGTGTGAGACGTGATGTGGAATGCGATGCAGCCATATTGATTGCTCTGAGTACTTAGGTGCGCAAATATATATCCAAAATGCCTCAAAGACAATCGCCTTAGGAACGTCACCAAAAGACGCCCACAATTCTTTTAAGCAATAAACCTAAAAGCCATGACTCAACCTACTAAGCCCATAGCAACAATCTCCCGAGACCCAAGATCTGCAGATTACCATCTCCCTCTTCGGCGGTCCTCGGTGCGGGATATCCCAGCCCGCCCACACTCCCCGCTAGTATACGGTAGTTCACATGTGTACGTTGTATATAGATTTCACGTATGCTACATGTGTGCCAGATCGGAGAAGGCGGAAACCAAGCTCGGCAGATATCTCTCGAAAGCAGCAGATCGACTTGGAAACGTGGGAAATACGGGAACGTGTGGGAAAATCATAGCTGAAACTCCCGATCTGGTGGAGACGTGCTGGGATCCATCGCTGTATTGGAACCAATTGCGCCATTGGATCTGGCTGTCTTGGCGACTAGAGATAGCAGTAGTGTTCTCCTGGATCCCAGGGATTTGGAATCCGTTCTGGGATGTCCACTCGATACTCCGTACTGTGTTGGGGTCTCTGCTTTATACTAAGGTATCCATTGGCTTATGGTGTATCTACCAGGGACTAAATCGGGGTTGCATCAAGATATTAAGATCGACCCTTCCAAAGTACCATGTGTTTGGAGTTTGTCTCGGATTGCCCTACGTATAGTGCCAAGGCAGAGTACATGCAACATTACTATATAGCCAACTTAAATTATACTACTAGTACCTATCGAGCAATATTGAAAGGCAATGGTAGGTTATATTGGACAACCCATATTTTGTCAATAGTGAAATAGTGAAATCCAAGGTTGATATGTCGATCCATCTATGCCATGCAGTGACGCGCAGACCACTCTGGAGTACTCCGTAAAAAAAAGGGTGTTCCTGCGCCTGAATCCGCTTAATTGCCTATTTCATTCATATGCATGCGCTTGGGCCGTTTATATGTATGATATACTGTAGGTAAACTGTAGGTAGAAGTCACCACAAAGAGACTTGAATAATTGGATAGAATGGATCAGATCTGAGACATTCTTATACATTCAATCAAAAAGTAAACAGAACCAAGACATTAAGAAGAGTAATAATAGTAACAAGTAATTTAAAAAGCAAAGAGAAATAAAAAACAAAAAGAACGAACGAAAGAAAAAAAATAGGTGAAAAGGGGTAAAAACTTGGCCCTAACTATGACCCACTGAATTAACCCGTAAGAAGCGATAGTTGCTGCGAACACTCGGACCTACGATGTGATGTGGATTATATAGAGTCCATTAGACTTCTCGAACATCTGTGACTATATTCTTGACAAGTATATAGTGAGTAGAAAGAATAGGGGTCATGTAAGGAGTGGTAACAAGTACTCCAGATGTATACACTGTTAGGTTATAATTATAGTGTAGTAAAAACTTAGTTGGATATGTAATTAATCTATGTGAAATATGTATATCAGTCTCCACCGTTTGAACACAGTTTGATTTTGAAGAACAGCGGATCCCTCGTTGCTATAGGGCGAGAGAATAATTGTTTGAACAACTAGTACAACCCCTGAACCGCCCCCTGTCAATCCGAGCGTCTCCGCTCTCTCCAACACGCGTGTACCTGGCACGGCTCAAGGTACTTTCAACTCACTCCTGATGTGGGGAGAGATCGACCACTCCTCATTACTTTTCCTTTTTTCGTATGGGATTATCCAAAAAAGAAAAGAAAAAAAAAGAACAGAAAAAAGGAACAAGAAAACAGAGCGTAGGAAAAAAAAGTGGCGCTGTAGGAGAACAGTTGCTGAAGCGTTTTCACCTCTAACGGGCCTCGTAACCCGCTCGTTTACACACGATCTCTCCAATTATTGTGCTTCCTTCTTGGATTGAGCTGAAAGTCTTCGTTCTTTCACTTCTTGACTCTGGATTTCTTCAATCTTCTTCTCTTTCAAAATACGACCCGTGGTCGTGCCTTGTGACGTTGTTTGGAATTCGCCGATCTTTTATACATTACGCCTTTCCCCCCCAAATCCCCTACATTCCACAAACAACCCCCTCCACCTCCCTATTGGGTATTGACTTTGGTTTATTTTTGCTCTTTGAGCTGTCTTGCATCGCTCGCTCCGATGCTAGAGCAGATTCACAATGAGTGTTGTTGCAACCAGACCGGAAACCCCGGCAGTATCTTATAGTTCTATCCCTGAGAACCAGGTCGACTACTCCATTCAACCAATTGCCTCGCGAACCTCTTCGGTATCTTCTTACAGAACAAATTACAGCGCCTCCACCGCGCCTACCACCTACTCGCCATCATCACCTGCATCATCCTATCGCCAATTCGACTCCGTGGGCTCTATCCCCAAATTCACAGAACCAATCCAACGACGAGTGCCCCAGGAAGTCTACGAAGCCATCATTCACCATTTGGAAGAGTTGCACAAAGGGCAGCTCCAAACAGGATGTACGACGTGTTTTCAACGCGATCTGCATGCATTGGCTTTGACGTGTCGGTCTTGGGAAAAGGCAGTTAGAGGACCTTTGTGAGTCCCACCTTCAACCCTTAATCAAATTCCAATGCTTCAATGGAGTTTTCGTTGCTAACTAGCCGTGTGTTTTGCAACAGATACAACAGTATTCACATTGTCGGAAATGACTCCCCGGCACAACTTAAGAAATACCGTCTCAAGAGAGGGAGTCGTTTAAAGCTGCTGAGACGAACTCTACGCGAACGAAAGTTGCTGGCCAACCTGGTTTACGAGCTGCGGGTTCCCCAGTTAGATTTGCTCTTCACAACGACAAAGCAAAGTGCACAATGGCAGGAGTATCGCGACATTGTCGCTTCCGTCGTCATGGTTTGTCCAAACCTGGAGCGTCTTTTGGGCTTGTCCATTCCATATCACCACGAGTTTGATCGTCTGACCCATGCCCTGTCTACTCGCAAGAAGTTGAAAGAGCACACGTGGATTTTGGGGGAGGCTGCACAAGTATCCGAGGTGTCTCCCAGGGACGACTCTTGTCCTGGAAGCTTGGGGCCCTCGCAAATGTTCGAGTTTCTGGATTACCACACATCTTGGACAAATTTGGAAACGCTAATGCTTTATGGATTGAACGGCAATGGGGCGCTGGAGCCCAGTATTTGCCTTCGCATGTTCGATCGTCTTCCTTCATTGCGAAACTTGTGCATTTCCTCCTTCAACAAAGACTCCTTTGATGATAACACATTGCTGTGCCTACCGCCATTGGAGTCGTTAAGACTGGAGAACTTGGCTGGTGTCACAGACACCGGTCTCGTGCAGTATACCTCGAGACCGGAATCATCCTCTCTCAAAACCTTCGTCTTGGTGGAGCAGAAGATCGAGTCCTTGTTGGTCATCTCCAAGATTCTCTCCTCACTACGACAGCTGGAACGCTTCAAGATTGTTCAGATGGAACAATGCCCAACATTACCAGACGAAGACATGATTTTCCAACCTCTCCTTGCCTCGCCGACCCTAAAATACCTCCACTGGGATGTCGCTTGCCCAGACCCTCACACAGCCCTCACTCAACTCGATACCCTCCCTTTCCAAAAAACCACGAAACCCTCCAACACCCCCAACTTCCATCTCGCTCAAAGTATCATTTCCGCCGGCTTTCCGCAACTGGAGGCCCTCCGCGCACCCTCCGACGTGGAACCCCCAGGTATCCTCCAAGCTGCCTGCCGACCTATCACCAAAGGCCAGGCCCTCCTCCGCCCAGACCGATACAGTCTACCTCGCAGCTCTCACGGATCCGTGAACACACGCCCGCTCGCACTCCCTGCAGGAAACAACCTGACATCCGCACGAATTCGTGCCCAAACCTTCATCGACATGGCGGCCAAGGACACCGAAGCAGGCATGTCAGTCCTCATCCAGGACTGGTCAGACGCCTACATCCCCGACAACGCCCAATCATCCCAATTCGAAGAAGAACCCGACCAAGAAATGGACGACTACGGCATCTGGGCTGCCTGCGAGCGCTACAAGCACCAGGAAAACGACCACAGCGGACCGAAAACAGTCTACCAATTCAACATGCCCACATTCATGGGCAGAAGCGGTATTCGGGATCCTGCAACAGGCGCCTCAATCCCCCACTTCGTTCTCCGCCCTGACATCACAGGCCAGGAGTCCGATGGCGGCTTGATCGGTTGGAAGCAGCTGCTTGCCTCGAACCAGTCGCTTTCATATGCTGCGGGCGTTGGCGTCAATTGCTTCGGCGGTGGCAATCCTCCGTTACTTTCTCCTCCCCTTCCACCCGATGAACCGATGTCGCCTGCTTCCAGCACGTCGAGGTTTGGCTGGGGCAGTTTGAGTGGCCGGTCGATGATGAGCACGTCGCCAGCGACACCTACGACGCCAATCACGCCGATCAGCAGTTTTGGTGGCTCAGCTTTGCCGTGGGACAAGGATACCTGCACTGGATCATGGAATCATAAAATGGGCCGGGATTGGTGGTTCCATATGGAGCGTGATCGTCCTGGCAATTCGGAGCTTATTGATGTTAAGCAGCTCTTTTGAATCGGCGGTCTCTTGTGATCTTTTTTCTTTTGCTTTTTTCTTGTCTCAATACTCTACGCCATATACCCCGCCTCGACCTTGTTCACATCTCTTTCTTTTTCTCTTACTATCTCTTTCTATTCTATACCCCGTTTTATCTGGTTCACTGTATGTTTTATGATACACTTGCCTCATGTACAACATGCTTTTATTCTTCGTATATCTTCGCCTTGATGAAGTGTGTGTTTTTATATCACTTGAGTGTATATGTACAGTAACGATAAATTACTTTTTAATAGTCCACCTATTATACATATGTGCCCCTGTACGTATACTGTATTTATTTTGATATGGCCGGGCGATACGATGACTCATCAGATAAGCGAATGGAATGGAGGGACTGATAAGCATCTACAAAGAACCCCTCGTTGAAGGAAAAAAAAATAGTCCCACACCTTCGTTCAACCACAATGGATCCCGCAAAGCCCGTCGATCTGCCCGAGAGGCCCAAGGCGGCCACTGAGCCCACCGAGGCCATCGAGGCCACCGGTCCCCCTAAGAAGTCGAAGAGTCAGGAGAAGAAAGAGGCAGCCGCCGCCAAGAAGGCCGCAGCTAAGCTCGCAAAATTGAATGAGCCCAAGCCCAAGGGAGAGGCTAAGCCGAACCCCAAGGCCAAGGAAGCTCCTGCTCCCCGCGACCCCAATGCCATGTTCAAAGTCGGTTTCTTGTCGGACGTGTACCAGGAAAAGCCAGTCTCCGAGACCGTCCCCAAGATTCGCACGCGATTCCCGCCCGAGCCCAACGGATTCCTCCACATTGGACACAGCAAGGCCATCGCAATTAACTTTGGTTTTGCAAAGTACCACGGCGGTGAGTGCATTCTGCGCTTCGACGATACCAACCCAGAAGGCGAGGAGGAGCGCTTCTACAATGCCATCCGTGAGATCGTGACATGGCTCGGGTTCACGCCCGTGCGTGAGACCTGCGCCAGCGACAACTTCGACCGTCTCTATGAGCTCGCCGAGGATCTTATCGAGCGCGATGGCGCATACGTCTGCCACTGCACCAAGGCCGAGATCAAGGCCCAGCGTGGTGAGATTGAGGGCGGCCAGCGCGGCGGAGAACGTTTCGCCTGTAGCCACCGTACCCGTCCCATTGCAGAGTCCATGGCTGAGTTCCGGGCCATGCGCGACGGCGGCAAATACAAGGCCGGCGAGGCTGCCCTTCGCATGAAGCAGGACATCACAGACCCCAACCCCCAGATGTGGGATCTGTTCGCCTGGCGTATCATGGACAACGAGGACAAGCAGCACCACCGCACCGGCGGCAAGTGGAAGATCTACCCGACATATGACTTCGCCCACTGCCTGTGCGATAGCATCGAGGAGATCTCCCACTCCCTCTGCACAACCGAGTTCGAGCTCTCCCGCGTCTCCTACGACTGGCTCTGCAACAAGCTCGAAGTCTACCGCCCCAACCAGCGCGAGTACGGCCGTCTCAACATCACTGGCACCGTCCTCTCCAAGCGCAAGATCATCCAGCTCGTCAAAGAAGGCCACGTCCGCGACTGGGACGACCCGCGCCTGTACACGCTGATTGCGCTCCGCCGTCGCGGCGTGCCCCCCGGCGCGATCCTTGCCTTCGTCAACGACCTCGGCGTCACAAAGAACGTCACAAATGTCCAAGTCTCCAAGTTCGAGTCCATCGTCCGCGCATACCTCGAGACCACCGTTCCCCGCCTAATGGTCGTCCTGGAGCCATTGAAGGTCATCATCGACGACCTCCCAGACGACCACCTCGAGCTCCTCGACTGCCCCTTCTCCAAGGACCCAGCCTTCGGCACGCACAACATCCCCTTCACAAAGACCGTGTACATTGAGCGCGCGGACTTCCGCACCGTCGACTCAGACGACTACTTCCGTCTCGCACCAGGCAAAACAGTCGGCCTCCTCAAAGCCCCCTACCCCATCACCGCGACCTCCTACGAGACCGACGCCTCCGGCACCGTTACCGTCGTCCACGCCAAGTACGAAAAGCCCGCCGAAGGCGCCGCCCCCAAGAAACCCAAGTCCTTCATCCACTGGGTCGCCGACGCCCCCACGCACAACAGCCCCGTGCGCGCTGAGGTCCGCGCTTTCAACTCGCTCTTCAAGTCCGAGGACCCCTCTGCGCACCCCGATGGCTTCCTCGCTGATATCAACCCCGACTCCGAGGAGATCTACAAGGATGCCATGGTTGAGGTTGGGTTCCGGGATATTTCGGCTTCTGCGCCTTGGCCGAAGGAGCAGGGCGCTGGCGAGGAGGGTGGAAATGAGGCTAACAAGCATTCTGTGCGCTTCCAGGGTATGCGTGTTGCGTACTTTGCTGTTGATCGCGAGTCGACGGATGAGAAGCTTGTGCTTAACCGCATCGTTACCTTGAAGGAGGAGAAGGGTAAGAACTAGAGCAAAAAGTTCGAGAGACGTGTTTGATGGATTTATGACTTGCATTTGCGTTTCCTTTTTATTCGGTAGTGGATACGGGGTTGTATTTAGATAGCTACAATGCACAGCGATCGAAAGGAATTTGGGAGTCCTACATATTTAATGCCTTCGTAGACCACCTTGGGCGTAGAATGAAGAAATTTAATCAGTTAACATGGGAGAAAAAGACAAGATCTAATTTAGACATAGATGCCCATGTTGGTGTCCTTCTTCTTAGCCTGGACCTCAGCAATAGCATCGACGTAGTTCTCATGACCAATCTTGCTAAGACCCTTCCGAAGCGCAATCATACCAGCCTCAACGCAAACAGCCTTAAGCTGGGCACCGCCAAACTCGTCCGTGCTACGAGCCAACTCAGCCCAATTGACGCTGTCCTCGACGGACATCTTGCGCGAGTGAATCTGCAAGATATTGGCACGAGCTTCCTCGTTGGGAAGCGGGAACTCGATCTTGCGATCCAGACGGCCGGAACGGAGGAGTGCAGGGTCCAGCACGTCGACTCGGTTGGTCGCGGCGAGGACCTTAATGCGGTCGTCTGAGGCGAAGCCGTCCAGCTGATTCAGGAGCTCCAGCATGGTTCGCTGCACTTCACGGTCACCGGATTTCTCTGAATCGAAACGCTTTGTGCCGACGGCGTCCAGCTCGTCAATGAAGATGATGGAGGGCGCCTTCTCCTTGGCTAGGGCGAAGCAGTCGCGCACGAGCTTGGCTCCGTCTCCGATGAACATCTGTACCAATTGGGGTCCGGCGAGTTTGAGGAATGTGGCGTTTGTCTCGGCGGCACAGGCTCGGGCGAGGAGCGTTTTACCCGTACCGGGGGGTCCGTACATGAGGGCACCTTGCAAAATTTAGCTTTTGAGTGATCATGGATGAAAGAGAGTGATATACATACCCTTAGGGGCCTTGATGCCGATCTTCTTAAAGCGCTCTGCCTCCTTCATGGGCCATACGATAGCTTCCACAATTTCTTCGATCTGCTTATCCAGACCACCGATATCTGTGTACTTCTCCGTGGGCTTCTCGTCGACCTCCATTGCCTTGACGCGGTTGTCATACTCGGCCGGTAAAGTGTCCAAGATGAGATATGAGTCCTTGTTGACACCGATCAAGTCACCGGGCTTCAGCTTCTCGTGATCGACAAGGCCAATGAGGGGGAGAAAGATAGTCTGGCGGGTGGAGGTCTTGATGACAGCGGATTTGCCTACGCGGGTGGCATCCAGGTCGATATTGGCCCCTTCTTCTGCTGCTTCAGCCTCCACATCAAGATCCAGTAGCTCGACGACGTTTCCAACGAGGTATGGTAGTTGCCTATGTATTTTAGCGTGAATTTCACCTGGGGTGAACTATTAGAGTCCGCGAACTATGGGGGCGTACCTGTTGTTCTCGATCTTCTCTTGATTATCCTTCACCTTCTCTCTCATTGTACTCTGCTCGTGTGTCAAACGTTGGAATTCACTCTTCATGATTCGCATCTCGTTTTCCAACATGCGCCGTCGCGTAACAATGTCTGCCGTGCTTGAGTTCAAGATATCCTCGTCCAACATCTCTTCTTCGTCGTCTTTTTTATCGGCATCTTCCATATCGGCATCGCCGTCGCCTTCGGGCTTCTTGCCATTGCCATCGTTCTGGTCTTGCTTCTTCTCTCTCTGTTCCTGCTCAAGGTCGTCGAGGTCCTCCAGAGTGGACATGGTGGAATCAAGGGAAATGGGAATTATAGAATGAGAAGAAAAAAAATAAGCTCAGAAATGCAGAAGATGAAAGATTAATTTGAAAGGGGATGGGGGCAAGGTGAGTGTTGCTGGGAGGAAGAGCTGTCGGTGGCCGAGCTCCAACAACGTCAGCCAGCCATCACGTGACGGTATATAGTGTTTATAATCAAGGACGATTACCTGGTATATTCTATATCATTTAGTTTTGTGTTGCCTTGTGTATGATGTATGTTCTAAAATGACTGGTATCGAAAGGATATTTCAGGGTAGTGAATTCAAGACTATATAAAATATAGAAAGATGCCCGCAATATTTATAGAGTAAGTGACACCTTACATGAGGTCGCTAGGTAGATTCCACATCAGATGATGGAATATGGGCTATCAGAGTTCAGTCGCATGTTGCCAAGATTCTTCAGTACTCTCTTGCGACCCCATTTGAGTATACGAAGCCGAGAGACAAAATCATCATTGTTGACTGAATCCATTCATCAGTGGATGACACAAATCCAAAGAAAAAGAGCAATACATACCGTAGCCACCACACATCCGCCTCTTCCCAGTGAATTCCGTGCGGCCATGCAACATTCTCCAGTTATCGAAGACTAAAACAATATTTGTAAGTAAAAAATACATAAATATGATCACTCGATACTCACTCAAAGCCGACCCCGGCTGAAGCGTCTGCTTGATTTCCTTGCTCTGCAAGATTTTATTGTAATGCCGCGCGGCGCTATACCACGACTCCTGTTCCTGTGCAGTCCAATTGGTTTTGGGCGCGCGGTCATAGTTATTCCAGCGGATCTGGTACATTTTGCCGAAATCTGGGTGTATGGCGAAGACTGGTGCTTGGGCGGATGGCTGGATACAGGAGTCTTCATTGCCGCTTGCGTGCCACGGGTGTCTGTGTTTGACCAATTGGTCGTAGTGGGCAGGGTTTTCTGCGCGCAGTTGAGCGGCAGCTGCGAATCCATCTACTAGCGTATTCTCGCCTCCTGAACCGTCTGTGTGGGAGAGTAGGTGGAATAGCTGAAGTCTGGCGGGATCTGTGAAGTAAGTGTTGTCGGTGTGAGCACCCAAGGATTCGTTGGTGTATGCAGTATCTTTGAAAGTCAAGTCTGCTGTGAAATCCCAGAATCCACCTAAACTCGGAGTTAGTGGAGGCAGCAAATTCACTCAAGGGAATATATATACCATAGTGGGTATGTCTGATGAAAGAAATGCGTTCAATAAGAGCCTGAGTCGCCTCTGGGGTGACGGGGACACCATCTACAAAACAGAAACCTCGATTGTACTTCAACACGTTAGCAAAGCAGCCACCTCCCATGGACTGGAAATTGAGAAACTTACAATTAGTTGCAACCAGTTGGAGACCCAATGATCATCTGACATGACGGCATCATACGATACTCTAGGGCTCATGTCGGATGTCATAATTTCACGAAAGGCCCTTTCTGGGCGTCAGCATCATTACATTTCCTCTCCATGGCTAGGAAGACATACCGGGGGCCTGGTGCATCAAGCGGGGGTTCCGGCTTCTCTGGAACTGCATCAAGCTGGATCCCAAATTCCCACTGTGCGTGGGCATGTAGCCAACTATATGGATAGTGTCCAAGGTGACCATCAGACCCTATGGCAAGTTAGTAAGTTATACCAGAAATGGGCTGAAAGCGTTCCAATTCTCACATGAAACCTCGAGATGCTGTTCTCGCTTGACTGATTCTACCTTGACATCTTGCGGTATCTGCAAATGTGAGCAAGTATACGTTAAAAAAAAAGGAAGAAGGGTGGGGGTCTAAGAGAATCCTACCGCGAATGTGTCGGCTGTTCTCTGCTTCGTATCCGGATGAATACATTTGGAACATTGGCAGTTCTCTCTAGAAGTTTACCACGTCAATGGAAATCCGAGCCTTTTTTGGGTCGATTGTCACTGACCTGAGGAAGAATCGACCGCTGTTGACCGGCAGGTTAGTTGCTATTTTCATAATTGAAGATTTGTGACTTGACTCACAATTTTCCCGTATATGACTCTGTCTTGCTTTTTGGGATACCGTCAATCTGAACTATATCAGAGGAAACAGGTCTAGTCCCAGCCCTTATAGGACCAGTTGCGATAGTGTTCTTGGTGGAGTTCACGCCTGAACCCTTTTTGTTCTTTCGTGCAGGCTTGGGCAGGGTCGAAGACATTATAGGACCATGCAAACGAGTGTCCGTAACGGAGCGCACTTTCGAATCATCTTCTCCTCTTGGGTGATCCTTGCTGGGGACAACTCTTTTTACATGGATAGCTTTCTATCAAGTAGAACAAGAAGGCAAAGTTAGTTTTTCTTTTCAAGGATAAACTGGAGGATCAAACGAGTTCATACCAGTCCATCAATGGCAGAAGACCTGGGCTTCAAGCTCAATCTGACAGGCTATTAGCATTTGATGTCGAAAATCAGATAACAGTGGCTCCATACCCGGCTGGGTTCAACAACCCGATCGGTCCGAGTGCCGTACGTGCCGCGCGCCATCGCAGACGCATGATGAATACAATTGATTTGATTACCAAGAGGTCTATGTGAGATCTGGGGTTAGAGACGTTAGTTAAAAGTGGAGTCGGGCCGAGGTTACAGTCAGTCACGTGCATCTATATCTATCAGATCAACTAGTAGTTCAAATACTCCATATAGCTCGTAAAATCAATTTGAATTCGCATGTAGAAAGAAGACAAAGCTATTCAAAGTGCCCTTCGAAGGATCCTATGCTATTGTACATAATTACAACTTGCTCTTGACGCCAACCACCTTCAACAAACAACGGCCATTGCTCAACACGACCTTGCCCTTGTCATTTTTGGTAACGAAACGAACCTCCTCAAAGCCATCCTGGAAATTGCCCATGCGCCAAATCTCAGTGGTAAGCTTGTCACCGGGGCGAACGGGCGAGGCAAAGCGGGCCTGGAACTCCTTTAAATTGGAAGGATCGCTACCGCCCAGTTCGCGTAGGATACCGTGCGCAGCAGAGTTCCAGCTGAACAGGCCGTGGATGATAATACCACCGAAGCCCATCTTCTGACCGGGCTCTGGCGTAGCGTGGAGGGGGTTGTAGTCACCATTGAGTCTGATGCAGGTTAGCGTGCTTTAGATTTCCGAAATCCGTGTTTTTGAGCTTACCGGTAAAGGTGAGCAGTCTCCATGTTAGACTGAACAACATGGATAGCATCAGGAGCCTTGCCCTGGGGCGGGGCGTAGTTGACCGTGCTGGGTCCTATTTAATTGATCAGCTTTGCTTTTTCACTCCATTTTGTTATTGGCAAGCATGTCTCACCCTTGGGACCACCCCAGCCACCCTGTCCGACCAGGAAACCACTGCTCACGACCTTGTTATACACCTCACCACTTTCAGCATCTACGATAGACTGCTCAGTCTCAATCACAGTACCGGGCTTGCCCTTGTCATAGACGCCGATGACTTTGTTACGAAGCTCGAACTTGCGGCCTGCGCTGGTGGGAGGAAGCGGCTTCAGGACTGTCAGCTTGCGCTGGCCATCAACACCATGACGATGGTCCAGGTCGGGCACGCCCGGAATATGAACTGCTTGTTGGCGAGCATAGAAGTCGGTCACCTCCTGGTCAGTGAGCTTGAATGCTGTGGAAGGTAGTATCAGTATATACTGCCCGAGAACATCCAGATGGCGCGCAACATACGGAGGATCAGGGGGTAGGTGGGGAAGACTGAGAATTTGGGGTGAAGTTCCTAGATGCCTGTTTAGATGGTGCAGTTAAGGGAAATATCCCTAAGTAGAAGTCTTACGTAGAGAAAATGCAATTCATCGGCTTTGATACCAATGCTGTTGGCGAATAGTAGCACATCGCGCTTCTGCCAAGAGACCGCTTTGGCAGGGAATTCGTGACCAGCTCCAGGGGCAGACATTTTTTTTGTATATACAATGTTATATTGAATATAGAATGAAGATAAGTAGAGGAGTAAAGGAAAGAGAAGAAGATTAAAGTAGCTCCAGTGATTGCGGGGGCATTGAGGAGCCGAGGATCTGATAATTTGTTGATTTGGTTGCCGTCGTTTTACCGAAGCACCATCTTCCTTGGCGTAATCTCCCTTTTGCCGATCTACTGTCTTTATGGTCTTTTGTTAAAAAAAAATTGTGGAACAATAATTTGGAAATGCTGTCCAGAAGAAGAGCGTCGGAGTTTGTTTGCTAGACCAAGCATCGACTCGGGGTATAGCTATCTACCTGGAAGAGGAGCTTCACAATCATATCTCTCCGTTCGCGCCACAAAATGCATTTTTTTGTTACCCTGCCTCCCAAGAACAAAACGCCGAAATAAACAAAGGCGAAACCAGATGGTACATTCGCCGGGGCAATTTCATACATGCCCATGCCAGGATGCATTGCATTGGTGACGAAAATATTTTCCTGAATCGTGCATAACGTGCAATTGTAAATCCCAATGACACCAAATTAGAAAAAGCGGAAGATTAATTAACACCTGTAATCATTAGTATAATTTCATAGAAAATGGAAAGAAAGAAAAAAAAAAACCGTAACTTACATCCGGTAGAAGCAGCCACCCTCGGCAGAGCGAGTTGGGTCGTTGGTCTCGAACTTGTAAGAGATACCAATGTCCAGGTCACGCTTGTTCTTATCGTTGGGGCGGTTTTCGATCCAGCCGGAAACTTGCTCACCCTCCTCGACGGTAAGCACATCGCGCAGGTAGAAGACGGTCTGCTTCCAGTGAGTGTACTTGGCGTGAGGACCAGTGGAGAAGTGGATGGGCTTGTGGCAAGCGCTGAATTCAATATCGAACCAAGCGATCATGGCGTGAATGAAGTCGGGGCGCTGGGCAATGAGCTTGTAGGGGACCTTGAAGGCAAGGTCGGCAACGGTGACGGTGTTGAGGTCAAAGGTGATGATGGGGCAAGGGTCGGTCACAAGAGCCTTCATCTCGACGGTGTCGACTAGGGGCTCGTTGAGAGCGATCTCCTTCATCGGGCTGTAGTCAAATCCGTAGACATTGTCCCAGACTAGAATAGGTCAGTCAACATGTTTTTCTCTTAATTTTTCGTTTTTTCTGACTTACATCCGATCTTGTCATCCTTGTAGTCGCCGTCCTCGATACCAGCAACGTACATGGTGGCCTTGTCGGGGAAGATCAAACCACCGGGGTTGAGGTAAGTGTCACGAGCGTAGAGAACGGTGTCCAGCATGGACTCGTAGAGAAGGAAGTAACCCATCCACTCAGAGATGATGATATCAACCTTGGGGAAAGGAAGGTGGACTTCCTCCATCTTGCCCTGGAGAAGAGTGATCTTGTCGGACAGGCCGTTAACGTGAACGATCTGACGGGCCTTCTCGATGATGGAGGACATATCAACACCAATGACATGCTTTGCGCCGGAGCGGGCGGCGAACCTATAAACGGTCAACATTATCCTGGGGGTGATTTACTGTGTCAGTACATACATGCTCAAAATACCGGTTCCACAGCCGACATCGAGAACAACCTTGTCCTTGAAGATGTGACGGTTCTGGTAGATGGAGTCACGGTAGGAGCGAGTGCGGACATCATCTTTCTATTAATAAAATTCAAGTCAGTTAAGAGGCCTGAAAAATTGCTCTGACAATCGATTGATACTTACAAGCATCTCTTCGTGGATACCTGCGGCGCAATATCGTTAGTCAAATCCATACGAGAAATTTGCCATCCATCAAAAAGATAGCTTACCGTGGTGGTCGTAGCTATTAACTCGTTAGTATCAAAGTTCAGATGAATCAATTAATCAGAGTATCGTAATATCATACCTAGTGAAGTAACGGACTTCAGAGTGCTCCATGCCAACCATGCGATCAGCACTGCTGGTGATCCCCTGAGGGGTCTCGGAACCATTGTTGTTCATCTTGACGGTAGAAGAACAAATGGAATATGAGAGTGAAAAAAATGGTAAAAATAGAGAGAAAAGGCAAAGATAAGAAAAGCAGCAGAGATCGAGTCTCCTAACTTTTTTTTTTCTGATTATTTGCCCACTCCGCCAAGCTTAACTCAATCACCGCCCGCCCGCACTAAACTAGATTTGGTGATCACGTGCGCTCTCACGTGGTGCGGTGATACCCTGGTTTTCATAGGGCTATCTCCGTATAGGGATGATATCTTAACGACAGTTAGAATAATTATATTCGATATTCAGCGCAAGTAGAAGAGCAAATACCCGTGGGAAGCAATGAGCGGAAGTTTCCTTCTCAAATGCACTTGTAAAGTCATATCTATGTACGTTTTGTCGGCTGTATTCTAACTGGCAAGTTCTTGGATCATATACGACAACATACTTAGGTCAATATCAGTCTATTGCACTGGATAAGTATGAAGTACAAGTGGATCAATAGAACTGTTAGAGGTACATAAACACACTTTTGATGTCTGTTCCGGTCGTATTCCATCTGTCCGTCTATCGACAATCCAGTAACAAGATCCGAGGTATGTTCTGTATACTATACCAAGCTTTGCTTTCTTTCTTGCTTCTCATACGCTATGATTCGAATAACATCCTCATGCATTTATAGTAGGTTATGGCCTCGACATAGAACCACAGACGACTAAACCTAACCTCTGACACTTATTAGTAATAAATTGCATGTTTTTCAATTATATTCATCCTTCTAGGTGTTATCCCCTACACTCGGCTTCTAAACCTTGCGCAATTTATAGGGTATGGCATAGGACAACGCCAGCAGTAGATGTCTTGTTACTAGTGAAGATTAGGTCAGCATTGTGGGCCGCGGAATTTCACCGTTCCGACTCCCCGGGGCCGGCTGTCATGATTTCCTGATACGCGTTTGGCGCCTCGGATTGGACCTTATCCCTATCACAATGCATTTAGCTGGAAGGTTGAATCTTTACACTCTCTTCGCCTTCGTCTTTCTAGCCTCGCTCATTGGCAAGTCCAGCGCGTCATTGGGTGACCATCTCCCCGACTTCAAAGAATGTGTCAAGGTACGGGACCAGATCAACAAACCCCAAGAACCAGCTAACATTACTAGGTCTGTAAAACGGAGAATTGTCAAAATGGCAACTCAGTCTTACGTATGTATTTCCCCTCAAATACTATGATTATTCTGACCTCTCCAGCTCTGCATCACCGCTTGCTCCTATGGACCTGCCCATCTGAATGTGACTACACCTGCCAACATGTCATTACCGACCGCCGAGTCTCGCGTGACCCTCCCATGATCAACCCAATTGTTCAATTCCACGGCAAATGGCCCTTCCGTAGAATCCTCGGCATGCAAGAGCCCTTCTCGGTGCTCTTCTCCTTCTTCAACTTCGCCGCCCACTGGAATGGCATGTCTCGCATCCAAGAGTCAATTCCGGCCTGGCACACCCTCCGCCCATACTATATGCTGTTTGGCTATATCGGACTTGCAAGCTGGAGTTTCAGCATGCTCTTCCACACCCGCGATTTTCCTATAACCGAAAAGATGGACTACTTCGCCGCCGGCGCCAACGTACTGTACGGCCTCTACCTTGCCGTTGTCCGGGTTGTCCGTCTCGACCAGGACAACTCTCAATACCGACCCACTTTGCGTCGCTTTTGGACTGCTATCTGCATTCTGCTCTATACAATGCATGTTTGCTATCTGAGCTTTTGGTCTTGGGACTATACGTATAATATGGCGGCGAACGTGGCGGTGGGAATTATCTCGAATCTGATCTGGACTGGCTTCAGTATCTTCCGGTACCAAAAGTACCTGAAATCCTGGACCGCCTGGCCTGGTATGATTGTGGCATGGATTATCCTTGCCATGAGCCTGGAATTGCTTGATTTCGCTCCCTGGAATGGATTGATTGATGCACACAGTCTCTGGCATTTGGGTACCGTAGTACCCACTGCTTGGTGGTATTCGTGAGTGTTCCACTTTCCCCTCGATCTCGTTCGGTTCTCCTGACTGATGAATTACTTCCAGGTTTTTGATCAAGGACACACAAGATGACATTGCTGGTCATAGGTTGAAGGCGTAAATGGTAAATCGTCAATCCTAGCATAGACATGTCGAATGTAACACGATTTATAAATAATAAATGCTCCCCCCACCTTATTGTCGCAGTTTATTTCCACGGCCCATGTAACGTGTTATTGCCACGTTTTTGTGGTACTTGTGTTCCCCGCTATTTAACTCACCGCTAGGACCTCTAAGGTCGTCGCAATAAGGCCCGTGTCTCACCTAAACCCCTCCAACCGCTTTTTTTTGTTTCAAGTATTCCTCTCCTTCTTGACGACTTTCTGAGCTTTATACCTCTCTCTATCTTGAACTAATTTCGGCCCTAGATAACCGCCATGGCGTCCCCGGCTGTCAAGAAAGCGATCACCGAAGCGGCGTTGCAGTACACAAAGCCCGAGGGCAAGGTCTTTGAATATGGCACTGCAGGGGTAGGTTATACTTGTGAATGAAGGGACTCTTCTACGAGATTGAGGAGGCTGATGTTAATTTTTTTGAATTACAGTTTCGCATGAAAGCGTAAGTTTCTTCAACAATCCGCCCCGCCTCCACATCCTCTTGGGAACCCCGCGATCGTTGATACCGATTTGTGTTCTGACCTATTGAGCTGCACAGCGACCTCCTCAACACTGTGGTTTTCGCTGTAGGCTTGCTTGCAAGCTTGCGTTCAAAGAAGCTCAGTGGACAATGGATTGGTGTTATGGTTACTGCCAGCCACAACCCCGCGGAGGACAATGGTGTCAAGTTGGTTGATCCTATGGTGAGTTGAAGCCATCGTCCCCTATTGTACCCAATCTAACTCTTTATAGGGCGAGATGCTTGAAGTAAGAGATTTCCCTGCAGTTGGCGGTGCCAGTTTTGACTTACCATAACCAGGCCGAATGGGAGGCTTATGCAACAAAACTCGCCAATGCCCCATTAGACAGGATTGCCGATGTTTACGATGAGCTTGTTAAGGAGATTGATGTGAAGATGACCAACCCTGCCCGCGTTGTCTTCGCCCGTGACACTCGTGCTTCTGGTTCTCGTCTGGTTGGTGTCCTGAACTCTGCCCTTACCGCAACCGAGGCCGAGTTTGTCGACTTCAAGTACATGACCACACCGCAACTTCACTACGTTGTTCGCTGCAAGAATACCCTTGGAACACAATACGAGTACGGAGAGCCCACTGAGCAGGGTTACTATGAGAAGCTCGCCAACTCCTTCAAGAAAGTCATGAGGGGAGTCAAGGTCCAAAACTCCTTGACTGTTGACTGCGCCAACGGTGTCGGTGGTCCCAAGTTGAGAGAACTCATGAAGTTCCTGAGCGGAATCGATATCAAGGTTGTGAACGACGATGTCATCAACCCTGATGCCCTCAACTTCGATGTATGCTGGCTCCCGCTCCACAAATTTACGAGGTTCAACAACTAACCATGCCTAGTGTGGCGCCGATTACGTTAAGACCAAGCAACGCGCTCCTCCTTCCTCCAAGGCCGCGGCGCTTGACCGCTGTGCCTCTCTCGACGGCGATGCTGATCGTCTGGTCTACTACTTCCAGGACGAGAGCAACGTCTTCCGTCTTCTCGACGGAGACCGCATCGCCACTCTCGCCGCCTCATTCATCGGAGATCTCGCCCGCAATGCCGGCATCGCCTCCAAGCTGAAGATCGGCGTCGTGCAAACCGCCTATGCTAACGGCGCAAGCACAGACTACATCGAAAAGGTCCTCAAGCTCCCCATCATCTGCACCAACACCGGCGTGAAGCACCTCCACCACGCAGCCCTGCGCTTCGATGTCGGCGTCTACTTTGAAGCCAACGGCCACGGCACCGTCACCTTCTCCGAAAACGCCCTGAAAGTCATCAAGAACACCGAGCCCCAGTCTCCCGCACAGCAGCACGCCCTTGAGAGCCTCCAGGCTCTGACCGACCTGATCAACCAGGCCGTCGGCGACGCCCTGTCCGACATGCTCCTTGTCGAGGCCATCCTCGCCCACAAGGGCTGGTCCCCCAAGGAGTGGCTTGGAACCTACACCGATCTTCCCTCGCGTCTCGTGCGCGTCGAAGTCAACGACCGCTCCATCTTCAAGGCCTACGATGCCGAGCGCAAGCTCGAGTCCCCTGTCGGTCTGCAGGGTACTATTGAGTCTCTCCAGTCCCGCTACAACAAGGGTCGTAGCTTTGCCCGTGCGAGCGGTACTGAGGACGCGGTCCGTGTCTACGCCGAGGCTGCTAGCCGTTCTGAGGCAGATGACTTGGCCACCCGCGTTGCTAACGCTGTTAGCGAGGCGGGCAGCGCTTAAATGTGGTTTGGAAAAACGGTCTAGGAAAATACCTTTTGATGCAGTAATGAAATCTGGTTCAACTTTTACTCTTATTACTAAAGCTAGTGCTCCATGTTTATTTTAACCTTCTTCCTGGTCCATGGCGTCGCGGCCTCGCTTGCCCTTGAAGCTGAATTTCCCTTTACCCTTTGCACCCTTCTTCTCGTCGTAGACCTTCATGGCCTGGATTGCATCGCGCTGGGATTCGTGGACGCTAGCTTCGAAGACCATGGCGTCCTCTTTTGGTGCGTCGTATTCTTCCAAAGTCTTTCCGAGCGCTGCTTCAATGCGCTGCCAAACTTCCACATCATACTGTGATACGAAGCTGTAAATTTAAGTCAGTGTGCAGTCTTTTTCAATGGCTAGAACGGAGAGTCTCACGAAATGGCTTTGCCCGACTTTCCGGCTCTAGCTGTACGGCCTACACGGTGAATGTAGGTCTTGGAGTCACTCGGCAAATCGTAATTTAACACAACGTCAACTGATGGAATATCAAGACCGCGAGCAGCGACATCGGTGGCAATCAAAATTTCTCTGCTCTTGGATCTGAATTTGCCAAGTGCGCCCAAACGAGCAGATTGAGACATTTGTCCATGGAGCGGGATTGCGCCGAACCCGAGTCCTCTCAACAAAAACGCAATTCTCTGCGTTTCGTGTACTGTTCGCATGAAAATAATAGCGGACTGGCCCATGAATTTGTGCAGGAGGTAGACGAGGTAGATATCCTTATGCTTGAACGGCCGAAGCAGGAACGTTTGTTGTAGAGTAGACACGGTCTGGTACTTGCTCGAGGAGATGGAAACACGCGCCGGGTTGCTGAGGGATGCGCGCTGCAAGCTCTCAACCTTGGAAGACAACGTCGCGGAGAAAAGGAAAGTGCGGCGTTCCCGAGGAAGAACCTTCAGGATCTTATCCAGAATCGGGCCGAAGTCCATGTCCAGAAGTCTGTCGGCCTCGTCCATGACCAGGTACTTCAGGTTGCGCAAGCTGAAGCCCTTGGTGTTCTCGAGGTGATCGAGGAGTCGACCTGGCGTCGCGACGATGATGTGAGGCTTCTTTCCGAGTGCGATAGACTGTGGGACCATGTCCATGCCACCGACGAGGGTGACGGATCGTACGTTGATGGTTGATCCTAGGGATTCGCAGGCGAGCGAGATCTGGTATGCGAGTTCACGGGTCGGAGCGAGGATGAGACCGAAGAAGGGTTGGGGCTTTTCCATCAGGAAGGAGAGGAGGGGGAGTGTGAAGGCGGCTGTCTTGCCACTACCGGTCTCTGCGAGTCCGATGATATCGCGGCCTTGGAGTGCTAGTGGGATTGTCTCGCTCTGGATCGGTGTTGGGGATTTGTAGCCCATATTCGTGCAAGCTTCGCATAGTGAGTCAATGAGACCAAGTTCTTTGAAAGTCTTGGGAGTGGTGGTAGGAACGGCATCTTCGACGCCGTTTTCTTCGGCGTCGCTCTGATCAGATGCATTGCTGGGAGAAGGAAGTTCAACCTCTTCAGCGGTTTCTTCAGGTGCCTGAGCAACCTTGCGCTTCTTGGTAATAGGCGCCATAATTAGTTTTCGTCTTTTGTTGTTTTGTATAAATTTGACGTTGACTCTTCTTTGCGATACTCAAAAAATAATTTAATGTGGGTCCGCAAGATCGTTAATCCGACTTGTTTCTGAAGTCACTTTTTGGAAGAAAAAAAAACCTCGAAGCTCGGAACTTGATATTGTTTTATCAACACTTTTATTCTTTTATTTTTTTGTTTCTTTCAAAATGGCCAAGGCACGAGTCAAGAAGCGCACTCACCAGAAGCCCCAAAATGCCTCCGCTGTTAAGGGCACTGCGGCCTCAATGTCTAAGACTCCCAAGTCTATGGTCATTCGAGTAGGCGCTTCTCAAGTCGGTAGCAGTGTCACTCAATTGGTCAAGGATGTTCGAAAGATGATGGAGCCCGATACCGCTGTGCGATTGAAGGTATGAAAAAATGTTCACGAATGCTATGAGACTTATACTAATGGTTTTTGTAGGAGCGCAAATCTAACAGACTCCGAGATTATACCGTTATGACCGGTCCCCTTGGTGTCACCCATTTGATGCTGTTCTCCAAGTCCGCCACTGGAAACACAAATATGCGACTCGCTGTCACTCCCCGTGGACCGACACTCCACTTCAAGGTCGAGAACTACTCGCTGTGCAAGGATGTTGAGAGAGCCATGAAGCGCCCACAAAGCGGTGGACAAGATCACAAGACCCCGCCGCTGTTGGTCATGAACAACTTCACTACCCCAGACGCAACCGAAGAATCCAAAGTGCCTAAGCGCCTTGAGACCCTCACAACCACCATCTTCCAATCCCTCTTCCCTCCCATCAACCCCCAAAGCCAGCCTTTGTCCTCCATCCGCCGTGTCATGCTGCTCAACCGTGAGCCCGCCGAAAAAGATGACGACTCATATATCCTGACTCTACGCCACTACGCCATCGCCACGAAGAAGACCGGAGTGTCGAAACGAATCCGCCGCTTGGATCCTAAGGAGATCCGCAACCGAGACAAGAAGAAGACTGCTGTCCCCAACCTTGGAAAGCTAGAAGATGCCGCCGATTACCTGCTCGACCCCTCCGCTGCAGGCTACACATCAGCGAGTGAGACCGAGCTAGACACCGACGCTGAAGTCGAGGTCGCCGAGAGCACAACCCGCCGTGTCTTGAACAAGCGTGAAATGCAGCGCCAAAAGGCCGCAGAGAAGGGCCAGGATAAACCAACTCACACTACCGGTGTTGAGAAGCGGGCTGTGAAGCTGGTTGAGCTGGGTCCTCGTATGCGACTGCGCTTGATGAAGGTCGAGGATGGTGTCTGTGATGGCAAGATCATGTGGCACGACTTTATCACGAAATCTGAAAAGGAGGTGCGCAAGTTGGATCAGAGCTGGGATGTCCGGAGGAAGGAGAAGGAGCAGCGCAAGAAGCTCCAGAAGGAGAACATTGAGCGCAAGAAGAAGGAGAAGGCCAGTGCCAGGGCCAATGGCAAGGAAGTGGCTGATGATGACGAGGATGTCGATATGGATGATGAGGCTGATTGGCTGAGTGATGATGACTTTGACAATGAGGATGGCAAGGGTGAAGCAGATGACGACTCCGAGTCTGAGGCTGATTCGGACGAATCTATGGAGGAGTAAACATTTTGAGAGCACGATATTCTCAAGCTTTCACTTGGCCATTGTTCACTCAATGGCTCGTCTATCAAGCTGACTGGTGGACGTTGTATCAAAAGGACGGATCCCACCACGTCTTTCCACATGGAGCAAAATTTCTGTCACATACCCGTTAGGCATCTAGGCGTTCAGGTTTTATCTACAAATAATGTAGTGTTCTATATTTCTCGATGAACCAGATGCAAACTACAGCGCTCTTCCAATAAATTAGTTCTTGGGCTTGCCAACCTACTTCTTGAGCTTCTCATCAACAATGCGATTCACCATCTTTTCCAGAATAGCGAAATCACCACCCCCAGCACCAGCAAAGTATCCCTGCACACTCTTCTCGACATACTTGCCCACAATATCAATCTCAACGTTCACAAGCTCCCCAGCCTTCTTAGACGCAGTAACCACCTTCTCCTGCGTATAGGCAATAAGCATAACCTCCCAATACCCATCCTCCCCATCAACAACCTTGGTAACGGTCAAACTGGCACCATCAAGGGTAACATATCCCTTCTCCACAACATAGCGCAGGATGCTCCTATCCCTCGGCTGCAGCCGGAAGACTAACGAGTTCCCATCAGGCGTGACGGACAAAATCTCCGCAACGGTATCAACGTGGCCCTGCACAAAGTGTCCTCCCATCCGGGTATCGGCGGAAACGGCGCGCTCGAGGTTCACGTAAGAACCCTTCTGCAATGAGCCCAGATTCGTGCGCCGCAGTGTCTCCGGCGCACAGCCGACCTTGAACCACGTCTTGTCGAACGCGGTCACCGTCAGACATGTTCCTGTTGTATACACGGTCAGACCGATCCTGTGTAGAGCGGAGAGAGTATTTGCGAGGAATGATTACCATTCACAGCAATGCTATCGCCCAAATGCGCGTCTGTGAGGATCTCCTCGCAGTCGGAGATCGTGAGTGATGTTCCCCCGCCCCCACTTGTCGTGGTATCGAGGGGCTCCAGGGCCGTGACGGCTAGTTCGAACGCGTTAGTTGTTGGTGCAATCAATGTCAAAAGAGATGAGGTCTTACTCCCGATTGTTTCGACAAGGCCTGTAAACATATTTGGTGGTGGTTGATCTTGATCTGCAGAGAAATTGCCGGACACCTCGGCATCGGTGGCCCTCCTCCGAGCGGTGTCGGCGTCGGCGTTTTGGCGGAGATTCGCATTTCCCCGGATTCGAGTATCTTTATACTTAAGCTTGCTGTTTGTCTCTTTTGCTTTTTACCTTGCGCTCTCTATATATATTAGCATGATGCTTGCGCTTAGGTTTCGCGCTGTTTCTCGTCGGTCAGGCTCTTCCTGGGGTAGCAATACCTTGCGGAGCTACTCCAGCGCAGCTTCGGTTGATGGGTCGTTGCCGTTAGCAGGGATTCGAGTACTTGATATGACGCGTGTTCTGGCTGGGGTGAGTTAATTTTTCGTTAGAGTCCCATTGATCCCAAGTTGACTTTGCTTTAGCCATATTGTACTCAAATATTGGGCGATTTAGGGTACGTCGTCACGCTGCATGTGCTTTGTAGCTTCAATGATGAAGTATTGACAAATTTGATTCAGAGCGGACGTTATCAAAGTCGAACACCCTGTGCGCGGCGACGATACGAGAGCTTGGGGCCCTCCATACGCAAAGTATGAAGACTCAACCAGAAAGGGTCCTGGCGAGAGCGCCTATTACCTAGCAGTAATGCCGCATTTCATTCAATGGTCAACGTTGTTCCCATAACTTATATTTAAAACAGGTCAACCGAAACAAAAAATCCCTCGGTCTCTCTTTCCAACACAAATCAGGTGTCGAGATCCTCCACAAGCTCGCTAAGGAATGCGACGTGCTAGTCGAGAACTACCTTCCAGGAGGACTAAAGAAATACGGCATGGACTACGACACGCTGCGGGAGATCAACCCGAAATTGATCTATGCCAGTATCACCGGCTATGGCCAGACAGGCCCGTACAGCAACCGGGCTGGCTACGACGTCATGGTGGAGGCCGAGATGGGGCTGATGCACATCACTGGTGCTCGTGACGGCGCGCCTGTCAAAGTTGGGGTGGCCGTCACAGACTTGACTACCGGGCTGTACACATCAAATGCCATTATGGCGGCTTTGATTGCTCGCGGACGGACGGGCAGAGGTCAACATATCGATGCTTGTCTGAGTGATTGTCAGGTTGCGACGCTATCTAATCTGGCTAGCTCGGCGCTTATTAGTGGGCAGAAGGATTCGGGGCGATGGGGAACCGCACACCGTAAGTCGCTCGCCTTCCTTACGTGTGTCCTGTGAATGATCTCTAACTTTCCCCCATAGCGTCCATTGTGCCTTATCGCAGTTACAAGACCGAAGACGGCGATATCCTCTTCGGTGGTGGCAATGATAGGCTCTTCGGTGTGCTGTGTGATCGATTGGGCTTTTCTGAGTGGAAGACTGATGCTCGCTTTGTCACAAACAGTGATAGAGTGCAGCACCGGGCAGAAATTGACGGTATGATCGAGAGTACTACCGTTCAGAAGACTACCCAGGAATGGTTGGATATTTTTGAAGGAAGTGGTATGCCCTATGCGGCTGTCAATGATATCCAAGGAACACTAAACCACAAACATGGTAAGTTGATTGACATCCCCTCTACAGACAGTGTCATTAACACCAACAAGTTCTGGCACGAGACATGGTGACCGAAGTTGAGCATCCTGCATGTGGACCCATCAAGCTCGTTAACACCCCTATCAAATACTCCGAAGCGAAACCAGGCGTGCGCACCCCTCCTCCTACTCTGGGCCAACACACAGATGAGATCCTAGGCAGTGTCCTGGATTATAGCGAGGCAGACATCGCCCGCTTAAAAGACGAGGGAGTCTTGTCTTAGACGTTAGATTACTTATGAAAAATAATGACAAATTTGTACATAAGGGGCTACCCCAGCTATCAAGCTCATGGCTACATGAATACAGAGAAAACTGCCAGACAAATTGAACACGCCAACCCAACCCAAAAATGAACTGCAATCCCAAAAATCTCAACCCCAAAACACGCAAGCGCAAAAATTGCAAACCGATTCCGTTCCACGGGCAGAAATCGGGCAGTTCCTGTGCGTAGCATGGAGGTACCAACCATACAAAATGACACCAGTAGCCCGAATATAAGGCCGTAGGGCTGATCAGTCTGCAGCCACGCAAAGCCAAGCATATACAGAATACTGAAGGTGAACCCAGTTGGAGTGAGAGTATTTGGGCCTTTTTGCGTGTGTATGATTGCGCCTGCGAGCGCGGTGAGTAGCGAGAGGGCCAGGGCTGTGTTTGCTGAAAGGTTTAGCATGGGCGGGCTGAGAGTCTTGTTCCGTATGGATGCAATAGTGCCTGTGAGGGCTAGGAGGGCGATGAGCGATGCTGCTACTAGTGGGATCGGGTTTTGGTCGGCCATTTTGTGGAATTGAAGCGATGATTAGTAGACGTTAATGTTGAAATTTCTACAAACATTTGAATACAGTTCATGAACGCGCGTACTGGCTACAATACTCGGCTAGTGCTACGGGCCACACTAAAGCTGAAGATGGGGCTTGTAGGCGCCCCAACCGCCTAGAGCTATGCCCTACTTCTTGCTGCAAAGACAATTCGTCATCGACTTGGGAGCAGACCGACCATTCAAAGCCAATATATCTTGAAATCAAGATCTTTTTATACACAACAGTTAACTCCGAAACACAACTATGTCGAAAGAGAAATCAATTTAAGGTTGCATTCCAGGTCACGTGTCGCCTATACAAAGGCCTTTCCATCTGACGACTTCACTTTAACCCTACCGCCAATCGAGGGAATTGAGGAAAGTCGACTTTTTTGAACTGCTGTGCGACGATATTATATACGCTATACTTTGACTTGCAACAAATTGGGATGCATGCCCTGTCATAGAGAGCATAATTACGCCTTTTCCTCTGGCCTTTTATCTCTTCATCCTCATCTCATCTGCTACATCAACCACATCGAATTTGAAAACTCAATCCTCGGGGAGCTCCTTTCCAGGCAGGAAAGAAAGAATAATTATATATTAAGACCCTGGAAAATGCGGCTCTCAGCAGCATTTATGGACCTCCCTGCCCCGGATATCAATCCAGGTCCCTCTCAGAACGTCCCCGAGAGTCATATATTCGACCTTATGGGTCCTGCTGAGAGTCAATTTCTCATGGACAACTTTCACTCAGAAGACTGGGCTGGAATTGCCCAGTCTCACTCAGAGCCAGTTTTGATGACATCCGCGGAAACGCCGGGTTCAAGTCGAACTCGATCTGCCCGTCGAACCAACCGACCAGCTGCGCTCGATCCAAACCCTTTATTAATTACCAAACCAAGTTCGAAAAGGACAAAAACACCTATTAAGCGGAAGCGTGTGAAAAGTCAGGTGAATATAGTGTGCACTAGCTGCCACCGAGGAAACAGTCCTTCAAACAACCTGATCGTTCTCTGTGATGGATGTGACGCTCCATGGCATCAGTTATGCCACAATCCGAATATTGGTCGCGAGCACATCCAGGTAGTGGAGATGGATTGGTTTTGCATCAAGTGTAACCCCAACCAACGTGAACCCACGCCCAAAAGTTCTTCCAAAAAGCCCGGCCGTCCAAAGAAGGCCACCATTTCTGGACAAACTGAACACCAATACTCAGAAAATGATCGCCGAGCATATCTCTCCTCACTTTCGCACGAAACCCTGGTCCAGCTCATGCTAAAGATCTCAACCGACTGGCCCCTCGTGCCTATCTTCCCTCCCAACATGCAACATTCCACGTCATCCAAACCCGGCCCATCTGCCCCAGCCGCACTCAGTAGCACGGCTAACAAAAACCAATCCTTCACGCTCCCCCACGCTACGAGCCATATCACCCAATCTCAATCTCAATCCCAATCCCAGCCCCAGCCCCAGCCCGCACAACGCGCAACCCCCGAGGCTCTAACGCGACTCCCCTCGCAAGCGTTCACCCGCACACCAGCTCGCAAATCCTACGCCGAATACTCAGACTCCGACATCCTCAGTGACGACGAGTCCGACTCTCAATCCAGACACTCTCCCGCCCCGTTCCAGTTGCAGGCTGAGTCGCCGCATGACACGGATTATGACTCTGAGGATTATCGCTCTTATCCGCAGGCTTGCCGGGGCTTCCAGGTTCCGGTGTCTGTGAATGATCTGGATATCATGGCAGAGGATGAGGGGTATCCGACTTTTAGTCATTCCATTAGGGGGAAGGAGGGTCAGCGGAAGAAATGATGGGTGGGTTTTTGTTTCCTGTGATTTGGGGCGGTTTTCTGCTGTTGCTTTCAATAGAGAAAATTCTTATTATGATTGTCAGGTGCGATTTTATGTTTATGACTGTGTAGATTATATTGATTTAATAAGTTGGACTTTGTTACAATATGTCTGCAGGTACTATATAGATCGACTTATCTTATCGGCCCCGCAAAATACATTGGCGCGTGTCAGCGTCAGCTAATAATTCCCGACTACACCAATCAGCAAATACTCTTCTTACAATTAACCTTGGCACCTATGCGCAAAGCAAGTGTCCCTGTCCCCAACCATCCCATCTCCTAAGGCACCATCTTCCATTCCATCTAGACCCAACAATCCACAATGGCCCAAGCAAGCCAAACTGCCTCAGCAACAGACCCGCCGATCCTCAAAACAACAGCCAAACAACCACCAACTTCCATCCCCCACCGAACAACCCTAACACTCGACACTCTCCTAGCCGTCCTCTCCAAGTCCCTCCTAAACCCCTTCATAGCATGGATCCTCGTCCTCTGCCTGCGCGCCCAGGTCACGCCCCAAACAGACCCCGCCTGGATCCTGACTGTCAGCTACGCATGTGTGCTCACAGCGGTGTTCATCGCCCGCGGTATTAACGGGCGCATTGCGGATGGCGTTCCCAGGGCTGTAGATCTCACATGTGAGGTTGTGGTTGTTACGGGTGGTGCTAGTGGGCTTGGGCTGTTGATTGCGCAAAATTATGCGATGCGCGGAGCTAAGGTTGCTGTGCTTGATATTCGGGAGTATGGGGAGGAGGAGCTGGAGGAGGTTTTCGGGGAGGGGGTTTTGTATTGTGCTGTTGATGTTGCGGAGCGGGGACTAGTGGAGAGTGCTAGGGAGAGGATTGGTAAGGAGGTATGTTTACTTTTCCATGTTTTTTTTTAAAGGCTACGGGATGTGATGGTGTGGATTATTTTTTTGGCTAATATCTTTTGCAGCTAGGAACGCCGACTATCATTATCAATTGTGCCGCTGCGAGGATCAACGGCCTTCCGCTGCTTGATTTGCCCGCTGAGGCATTCGAAAAGACTATCCGCACTAATCTCCTCGCGGCGTTTCACCTCTACCAGGTTTTCTTGCCTGGTATCATTACCGCTGGGAATGGAGGGACGCTCGTGACGGTCAGCTCGGTGTTGGGCCAGTTGACTGCCGCAGGGCTGTCTGACTACGCGGCGAGTAAAGCTGGACTGAGCGCGCTGCACCGGACGATCGAGGCGGAGGTTCGGGGCAACCCGCTGATCAAGACATTGTTGGTAGAGGTTGGACAGATGTCAACGCCGCTGTTTGACTGGGTTCAGGCGCCGAACTCCTTCTTCGCGCCGGTGTTGGAACCCGTCGCAGTTGCCCGCGAGATGGTTGCCGCGATTGATAGTGGTCGAGGTGGGGTCATCAGATTGCCTGCTTATGCAACACTCGTAAATTGGTATGCCGTGTTACCCGCTGCGGTGCAACGGATTGCGAGGTACCTGAGTGGGATAGACGCTGCTGTTACTTCAAGTCGGCAGGCATCTCAGAAGGCAGACTGAGGTGGCTCGAGTTTATATTGGCGTGATCATGTAAAAAGGGCCCCATGTATGAGCCGATCCAACATGTATTACAAAGCGGTGAGATTGCTTCATTGAACATATTTTCCTATCAGCAAAGTTTTGACTGCAAGTTCTCCGGCTGAGCCTTTTATTGCTCGCTAGTCAAGATCATCTTCTCACGCTCGTGAGTTCTTGGCTTCAGCTCGCTCTTCTTAGTATGCTTGCGCACGTTCTCCTCACGCCTCTTAATGGCGTTGAGCTCTTCGCGCTTGATCTCGCCAGCCTTCTTGATAGGCTTGGGCACATGACGCTGGCGCTTGATACGGCGGATCTGGGGCATGTGCGAGTAGCGCTTGATCAAAGCCTGGTCGTATTCCAGCTTGGAACGTTGGCGAGCACTCTTGATTCCACTGCGGTCCGATGCATTGGAACGCCACAGACGAACATTGCCATCGTCCGATCCGGACAGAACGTACTTGTTGTCGGGCGTGAAGGTCGCCGAGAACACACGCTGCATACGCTTGGTGTGGTAGATATCACGCGAGTGGCCTGTCGATCTGTTCCACAGGCGAATTGTGCGATCGTACGAGGCAGTGACAAGCTCTTCACCAGTAGGGCTGAAGTTGACGTCCATCACGGCAGCCACGTGGTCCTTCAGAACGTTGAGAGCACGGTCCATCTTTCTCATATCAAAGATGTAGGCGTTGTGGTCCTCGTTTGCCACAGCAAAGTTGAAGGCTTCCATAGGGTTCCAAGAAATGGCGTTGGATGCCAGTTTGAGGATGGTCTTGTGCACCGGCTGTGAAGTCCTCAGGTCGTACATGATAATCGAGCGGTCGATGGCAGTCGAGGCCAGAATTGAAGTCTCAGTCTGGTTGAATGCAACAGAGGTGATGGTGTCAACGCTGGTGGGCCAGTGCAGGGTCTGTGACGGTGTCGAGGATGGGCGAGAGAGATCATAGATGGAGATGACACCAGATGCGGCAGCAAACGAGGGAAGGCTTCGGTGATGCGAAACACTGGTGAAAGCACTGTTTCCAAGGTAGGTCGCCATGGGTGGGGCCTCATTGGACGAGTTGTAAGGATCCCATAACTTGATCGTCTTGTCACTCGCGCAGGACAAAAGCTTTCGCTCCGGTGTCCAGCACAGACCCTTAACCATGTTTTCGTGGCCCTGAGTCTCCCAAACTTCGCCTTGTGTGGGCAGATCCCATACCTTCACCACACCGTCACCACTGCCACTTGCAAAGCGGTCTAGCGAACCGGGGTCCTTTGCCATGGAGTAAACACCGTCCACATGTCCGTTGCCCATCTGTGCGAGGAACGGCGCAGCAAACATGCGCTCCATCTTGATCGCATTCAGAGCTCGAGTATATTCACGAGCACGTTCAAAAGGATGTTGGGTTGGGTCCAGATTCCGCGCCTGGCGAACGGTAGAAGACCCGGGGGCCTGCTGCGACGCCGTTGAGCGAGAAAGTGCTTTGATTTTCTGCACCTTGATTAGCATTGCTTGAGTGATGGTTATAGATTTCATTTTTTTTAAAAAAGGACTCACCATTGTGCTGTTATGAAAAACTTTCTGTAGAGAGGAAAAGAAAAACCGCCGATGGAACTTTTTTTTCCTCTGCTTGTTTGATTTGCCAAGCGGGCGGTGAAGGACGATTGAGCTGCCGCCAGCTTTCGAGCTCACCCCGTCACGAACCTTGGTCATCAACCTCTCTCCCTTCAATCCACCCATCGCCTTCTCGTTCTCCGCCCTTAAATTTCCTTATCTCGTTCGTTCCGCCATTTGCCTGTTTTTTAAACCATCATGTCCTCCAAGGTCTCGCCACGGATCCAAGAAGTCCGAGATCTGGTGAAGCAGGATCCCTCGAAAGCGGCGCCCAGTTACCAGAAGATCCTCTCAGAAGGCCCCGGATCCACAGAAGCCTCTTCGCGAGATTATGAGCATGCTTTGATTGGGCTGGGCGAGTCCTACCGGGATGCGAAGAAGCCCCAAGAGATTGCGGACCTCATCAAGACCAGCCGTGACACCTTTTCGTCATTCGCCAAAGCGAAAACAGCCAAGCTGGGTAAGTCGTTGCGCGTGTATCTATCTATATCTATCAAGCACCAGCTAATGATGTTGTTATTTGCTTTTAGTCCGCCAACTCCTGGATCTGATTAGCGAAATCCCCAACACACTCGAACTCCAAGGCAGCGTCATCCAATCATGCATAGAATGGGCCATCACCGAGCGGAGATCCTTCCTTCGGCAGGCTCTCCAGGCCCGACTTGTTGCCATTTATATGCAGAAGCAATCCTACTACGATGCTCTCACTCTCATCAACTCCCTTCTCCGTGAGCTGAAGCGTCTGGATGATAAGCTTATGCTGGTAGAGGTACAACTGCTTGAGTCGCGAGTTTACCACGCCCTCGGCAACCAGGCTAAGGCACGCGCAGCTTTGACCGCGGCCCGCACATCAGCTGCATCTGTCTACACACCACCAAACTTGCAGGCCGGTCTGGATATGCAGAGCGGTATGTTGCATGCCGAAGACAAGGACTTCACCACTTCATTCTCCTATTTCATTGAGGCGCTTGAGGGTTACAACTCTCTCGATGAGGGTGACTTGGCCACGGCAACGCTGCAGTACATGCTTCTCTGTAAGATCATGTTGAATTTGGTGGATGATGTCACACAATTGCTGGGCTCGAAACAAGCGCAAAAGTATGCTAGTCCGCGTCTGGAGGCGATGAAGGCCGTGGCACGAGCCCACGCCAACCGGTCCCTGGAAGAGTACGAAAAGGCCCTTTCCGACTACCGTTACGAACTTGGCAGCGACGTATTCATTCGGAACCACCTCCGCCGCCTTTACGATGCCATGTTGGAACAGAACTTGGTCAAGGTCATTGAGCCTTTCAGTCGGGTTGAGCTAGACCACATTGCCAAGATGGTTGGTTTGGATACACAGCAAGTGGAGCGGAAGTTGTCTCAGATGATCCTGGACAAGGTGATCATTGGTGTATTGGACCAGGGCTCCGGGTGCTTGATTGTGTATGACGAGACGGAACGTGACCAGGCATACGATGCCGCACTGGAAACAATTGAGAAGCTCGGTAATGTGGTGGAGGGACTGTATACAAACCAGGCATCTCTTCTGGAGTAAAGACGGGATAGAGAATAATCGAGACTGCCACGATCACCACCATGAATTTCTTAATTTTGTTGAGAGCATAGTTCCAAGCTATGAAGTAGAATAAATAGTCTCATGTTGACGACAATTTCTTTTGTCAAGAATATAAATCAGTAGATAGAATACTACACATGTAGTAGTATATAGCGAAGTACCAAGATATCAATCAAGGCATGAAGACACATGTAATTAGGAAGTGCCACACCTTGGGAACCTTCTGTCGGGCAAAGTAGGCGGTTGGTCTAGGACAACGAGTGTTTATTAGCAACCTGGAATCAATAGTCATAATTATGGGGATCTTCTGATGTTTGTACAAGGCATCATCTGCAGTAGCCATTATCTCATTGACCACTGCGGCTTGTCATCGCCTGCACAAGTATTACTATTGTTTTGGTTGAATGAGTTTGAAGAAAAATCTATCTTTTCATGTTTACACATGTAGATATAACGAAATGTTGTAATTGAAGTTATGTCCAACTGTGCCGAAAAGGGTAAAGCGGCGACCGCAAACTCGCGACTTCGCAACTCCAACATCTCCATCCTTCCCTGCCACATCCACCCACCACCGCTTCGGCGTCTAATTTGCCCACAATGCAAGCTCCAATGCAGCAGAATTATGGTCGTCCCATACCCCCGACCGCCCACCGCTCCCCAGCCGCGCCCCGTCGCCCAGGTATGTCCCCTTTCATCCGTATCCACCTCATTTCGTTCTACTAATCTCATATCTATAAGGCATGCCCGTTCAGATGCAACCACATGCTGTGGCCCAGCAGTACATGGCTCCGCGCCCCATGCCCCACCCCAATGACGCTGCCCTTCGACGCAGCCGCAAGCCAACTGACAGGAACCTCCCCGACGGCATTGAGGACGTGATCATCGGCGAGGGCGTCCAGCAATATAAGAACCTACGCGACCTCGAAAAACGCCTAGATGCCGCTGTTGTTCGGAAGAGGCTGGATATTCAAGACTCCATCAACAAGACGGTGAAGAAGTACCGGACTATGCGCATCTGGATCTCCAACACAGTCGAGAGCCAGCCTTGGCAGGGCCCAGGGAACAATCCGGGTTCTGGTCGCTACAAGGTGCGCATTGAGGGCCGGCTGTTGGATGATGAGACCGACCCTACGGTTCCGGATCAGGAGGAGAAGGATGAAGACGCGATGGATGACGGCGCGACGGATAATGCTAAAAAGTCTGATGCTAAGAGCCAGCGCTTCTCGCATTTCTTCAAGAACATCACTATCGACTTTGATAAGCCTGTTACTGCCATCCCTGAGGAGGTCAAGCCCGTCAACTGGACCAAGTCAATCCCTCACCCTAATACACCTGCGGCCCCGAGCGCCGACTTCGACGCTCTACAGTTCTCTCGTGCCTCGCAGGAAAATTTGAATGTTACTATCAGTCTGGTCCGGGACGAGGTTCCCGAGCGATACAAGCTGAGCAAGGAGCTGGCTGAGGTTCTGGACGTTGAAGAAGAGACCCGAAGCGGCATTGTCCTTGGAATCTGGGACTACATTCGCGCGATGGAGTTGCAGGAAGATGAAGAAAAGCGACAAGTGCGCTGCGATCACCGCTTGCGTTCCGTATGCTCCCCTCACATTCGTCTTGTTGCCTCGACAATACACTAACATCTACAGATCTTCGGACGCGAGCAAATGTTCTTCCCTCAGATCCCCGAAAGTGTCGGTCCCCACACCAGCCCAATGGAGCCCATCAAGCTCCCATACACTATCCGTGTAGACGAAGAGTTCAACGCCGACCCCACGCCAACCGTTTACGACATCCAGGTCGCCGTTGAAGACCCGCTGCGCACCAAGATGATGGCTCTCACCCAGAACCCTGCTTACACCGCTGGCCTGCGCCAGATCGCGTCGCTTGACGACCAGGTAGCCCTGATTGTCCAGGCTCTTACACACTCCCGCGCTCGTCACTCATTCTACACTGCCCTCAGCAAGGATCCTGCCAACTTCGTTCGTCGCTGGATTAATTCTCAGCGCCGTGACTTGGAGACTATCATGGGTGAAGCTACCCGTGGTGGTGGCGAAGATGGCACTGGGCCTGAGTTCCGATATGGGGGTCTTGATGGGCCATGGGATTCTGAAGTTGCGAAGGAAGCTGTGCGCTACATGCTGGCGAAGCCTGAGGCCGCCGCTGCTCGGTAGATCTGATATGGCTATTATTTTGCTTGTTTCCTCCGATCTGGTTGGAGCTATGCGTTTTCTTTTCATTTTAATATCAGGCGCTTCATGTGGTGTTTGGACTGGTGCAGGGTACTATGACTGGCAGGATTGAATTGTTTTAAAATCTGTATTCTGTGAACTCTGAAATGATGCAATGTGATTCTGGATGGATAATAAAGACCACTTCTGGACACCCTTAAAAAATATGTAGCTAGATCTAGCGATCGTCTTATATCAACATAACTCGGTAGCCTCGGCTTGCAAGATGAACACGAAGAAGAGGTAGAGTAACAACAAGAGCTCGACATGACCAGTATAATGCATAAAACTCCAAAAGCAACAAGTAATTCAAAAGCACCTGCTCAACCAAGGAGCGAAATGCATGACGGGGAGAACCAACAACCCCGAAACCCCCCAAGCTGGATCCCTAAATTCAGTCCCTCAAGCACCGGGCAAAGGAACCTTCGCAACAAGTTCCGCCCTCCGCTTGCGCAAATCATCAGCAACACCAGAATCCACACCCGAAGCAACCTGCCCCTGCAGAGAGGAAAGATCACCCCGCAATACCGCAGTCTCCTCCTTCTCGAGCTTCGCAACAGCCTCAAGAACAGCATCATGCGCAACATCCCCCTTCACATCCTCATCAGGTTGCCTAAAGCGCTTTCGAACCGTCTCAACCATCTTCGAGAACCAAATAATATTCAAGAGGTTGAGAATCAAATTCGATCCCACGTAAGTGACGACCAGCCAAGTCGGCACGCCGGCCGCAGTGAAATCCTTGAACCTGGTGATCTCGGCATTAGCCCTAGCACAGTTCTCGTTGATGCACATGCTGCCGTCGCGGGCGGGGTAGAAGACTGCAGCGTTGACGCTGACGGGCTCGGAGAGCGGCGCCGAGGATGCGTTCCAGGTGTGCTGGAGCGCGTTCCACATGTCGCCGTAGACGATCACCGATTGCCATGTTCCCCAGACAAGGCGGCATGCGAAGAATGTGGAGAGTAGGGCTATGCCGTTGTACCATTGGGTGCGGCCGCCGGTCATGTTGAGCTTGTCGAGGAACCAGTGGATATTGAGGAACGGGCTTGAAAGCTCATAGAGGATAAATGTCGGGGCATAGTAGTTGAGGAAGGGTCTCTGTAGAAAGGTTAGAACTGGATTCAATCGAGGAACTATATATATGACGATCATTCTTTTGGGGATATCGGAGTATGGTCCGAGAGATCGACAATGCAACTTACAAAACCGAGACTGAACACCCACAGAGCGCTGATGGCATGGAAAAGCATACCAATACCGAACATGCGCACGTATATGACACTGACGATCAAATCGTAAACGAAATATCCAACAGCAAGAGCCTGGATCAGGCCGCAGGCACCTGTGTATGCGAAGACCCGCTCGCCGGAGGACATCTCGCTGCGCTCGGTGTCAGAGTACATAACCCACAAAGCGGAGACCGTGATGACCACGCTCTGAACGAAAGAGACAACATGGATGTCCCAGTTCAGCTTGGTCCGAGGTTTGAGGGCGTTGTAAGACTGCGGGAAGAGGATCGGCGAGAGCCAAGGCGAGACGATTGCATGGATGACGGAATAGAATATGAAGGCGCCTATGACCTCATGGATGTGCTCGGAAAGCGTTGGGCTGTTCAAGTACACGGCGTATGGTTCTATGAAGCTTCGTAGCCATGCCGGGGGTGGCGGCAAGGGATCCAACATTGTCGGATGTTCCCCTCAGTTACGGTGCTATCCGATGCGACAGCTGACAGCTGCAGAATGTCTATATGGAGGACGGGCACCCTATCCAGTACACCATAGAGAAAAGAAAAGAACTCAAGGAAACAAAGAAAAGTCCCAGAACCCCAGAAGAAATAGCTGGGAGGAATGGGTGTAGCTTATAAGATAGTGAAGCGCTGGCCTCGGCTTGGCCTCAGGCAACCAGGTTTGGGTATAATCACATGATCATCTAGTTAGGTCACGACTATTTTCTTTTGTGCAAATGTTGGTGTGTGGATGATTTACTGGAATGAAGTAGATCTAATTATAAAATGGAAACAGAAACATCCTACGAGAAAGGAGAATGCCGAAGGGATAGACAGTACTTGTGATGCCTCCCTGGTGACCTCGACCACATGGTTATATACTATCACTAACTACACATGTATATAATTCCATCACATGAGACTAACGGGAATATTTGGAAAGAAGAAGCTTCATTAAACAATACACAATCATAGACACAAAACGAGAGTCATCAAAATCATCCAAGCACAACAAGAGGTGGTATATGAAAAGAAGAAAACAAAACAAAACAAAAGTGCAAAAGCACCGAACTCCATCCTAAACACAAAAAAGAATTAGAACTAAACAGCAACATCCGTACCAAGTCCACTGTCACTCGGCGGAGCCAACAATTTCATAACTTCAGCTTCCGCGGCTGCGTTGGCCTCCCTGATCTGGCGAGACATTTCATGGTCTTCGTCCTCCTCCGGGCCAGAATGCTCTGCATCTTCGTGTGCTGTGTGCGCATCATCTGAGTTGGACCCATCGATTGAGATGTCATCATCTCGGTCCTCGTGGTCATCCTCGGCAATTGAGCTTTCTGCCACACCGTAGTCATTCTTGGAACTCACGCCGCTGACGCGACGGGGATCCGAGTCGTCAGTCACCACACTCTCAACGATGCTGTTGACGCAACTGTCGGCGTAGCTTGCTTTCCGCTCGGTACCTGCGTTACTTGCCGCATAGCTTGTTCGGCGGTCGGTGCCAGCAGTGCTCTCGGCGTAGTTGCGTTCAGTGCCAGCATCTGATCCTGCGTAGCTTGTCTTGCGGTCGGAGGGAGCATTGCTTGCTGCATAGCTCGTTCTCCGGTCAGATCCCGCATAGCTTTTCTGTCGCCGGGGACCAGCGTCTCGTTCCGTGTCGCTAGCAAGTTCATCCTCTTCATGGAAAGGCTCGTTTTCTTTGTCGGCGACGGAAATGGGTCCAGCCCACGAGGCTTTGCGAAGGATGTTGTTGGATTTGACGGAGTGACTGCGCTTCAGGTTCGTGATACCAGATTTACCGCTGACCTGCCGCTCTGTACCGCGATTGCCGGTAACATGACTCAAGCTGAGGATGCGGCGCTCTTTTCCGATATTCGGCTGCACGGCAACTGTTCCAGCATGGAGCGAGTTCGGCATTCGACGCTTCAAAGCCATTCCAACGCCACTGCCGACCAGATTGCGATTTTCCTTAGACTCTTTCGCGGTACTGGCAGAACTTGTCACGCTTGGGCTGCGGGCCCCCGCCCGCGAGCTGCGAGTGCTCCTAGTGCTGCGGTTCCGCCTCAAGTTCATGGCCTGTAAACTGTTGGAACGGCCGAGAAGGACTGTGCGAGCATGATCCAGGACACCTTCCAATATGCGTTTCTCGAGGCCATCCGCGCGTTCCTCCATGTGACGCATCTCCTCATGGCGAATCTCAAGAGCCGTTTCGAGACCAGATAGATCCTTGTTAAGTTTGTTGTTTTGTTTGATCATATCTTCCTTCTCTGCCCTCAGACGATGGATCATGTTCAACATAGAGTCCTTTTCTTCATGCAGGGTAACAAGCTCGGCTTCCACCTGTTCACGCTGTGCAACTCTGCGCTCGAGAGCAATACCAGCTTCCTCCGCCTCGCGTCGCTTGCGCTCGGTATCCTCAGCAACTATCACTGACTGAGCAGCAAACATCTCATTCATTCTGCGAGCATTTTCCATGATATCCTTGTGCATCTCATCCAGCTTCATCATTTGAGTGACTGAAGCATCAGACTCAGGTGGATTCACAGGACGGCTGAGCAAGGCATCCAGCTTCTCGTGGACAGGACCAGAGCCGTTGGTGGCGTGATCAAGGAGCTCATTGAGCTTTTCGTAGATTTGATCATTCGAGCCCGACCCTTGCTCAAGAGCCCGATCTAACTTCTCGTGGAGTTGGTCGTTCTTCGAGTTCTCGAGTATAGTATTCAACGTTTCGTGGACCTGGTCATTTTTCGAGTTCTCAACAAGGGTGTTCAATGTTTCGTGAACCTGGTTGTTCTTTGAGTGGTCAAGAAGAGTGTTCAAAATTTCATGAACCTGGCTGTTACGGGCATGTTCCAGAATGTCGTCCAGCTTGCTCTGTATAGGAGTATCTTCTATAGCAAGAGAACGTTGGGCCTCCTCTGGCTCCGGCGGAGCAGGCAACATTGCAGGAATCAATGCAGGCAATGCAGAAAGCTCTGATTTGAAGTCATCAGCCGACTTCTGCGAGTGGTCGTAGTGCTGGCTGACGATGGTCAGAATCTCCTGCACAGACTCCAGGATCTGAGGATGGAACTCAAGGAGCTTGCTCTCCACTCGATCAGTCGCAGCGGCAGCTCTTTCATTCTCAGCCTGGGCCTGCTCTTGGTGCGATTTCACGTCCTTGTGCAACTCTTCCATCTGCTGGCGGGATTGATCAACTTGCTCCATGAGTGTTTTGGTGTCCACACTCAAGCGCTCGCAGGTTTCATTGACACTGTCGCCCATGGCACCAATGACAAGTCTGATATCTTCGGCGAGACTCTTTGTGCTCGTCAGGGATTCGGTGTGTGCCAGGTCTCGCTCTTCAGTTTCTGAAAGCTTGGAGTGGAGGGAGGCGTGCGCATCGTCGTACTTGGCGAGGACTTCAGAAATCTTTTCGTCAATCTTAGTACCGAGTTCCACGATGATGGCGGCCCGCGTCTCATCGTGCTTCACCATGGTAGCGGCGTCTCGCTCCTCCTTTTCGACCTTACCTGCATCTTCCTCGCCACGAGAACGTTCGAACTCCCGGTTGATGAGGTCAGTAAGCTCCTTGATGTTGTCGACAGTGCTGAAGTTCTCGGCTGTGATGGACAAGCCTTCGAGCAGCTGCTTGAGCTCAGCCAGGCCTTCAGTGCTGCCATCAAGCTTGCTCTTAAGTTCATCTCCGAGCTCGCCAACGACGAACTTGGCCTCGTCAATCTTCTCAGCCAGACCCCCGTGCTCGACCTTGCGAGCATCAAAGCCTTGGGCGGTCAATTCGTTGTTGGCTTCCATCTTCTCTCGGAAATCACTGACGAGTCCCGAGAGCTCCTCAATGTCGGTTTTGGTGGGGAGAGTGTCGACATCAGGAAGCTTGAGCTCATCAACCTGGGTCTTGACTTCGAAGATCATGGCTTCCACGGTCTGAAGATCGGATTTGAGTATCTTTTCATCGGGATTCTCTTCCGGGTCATCCTTGGTCTTGTTTTTGAGCTCATCCAATACAACCCAAACATCCTTGATGAGACCTTCTAAGGTGCCAATTTCAGCTTTGGTGGGAGCCTCAGCTTCCATACGTCCAGAGAATTCAGCAATGGAATCCTTGGCTTCTCGGATCATGGTCTCAAGTGTTCCAATATGTTCGGAAGTGGCGACCTGGTCGGGGGAAGGGAAGACAAGCTCATCGATTTGGGTTTTGGTGCTCAGGATCAACTGCTCAAGCGCCTCGGTATCCTGCTTTTTGGCGGTGTTGTCATCCTCTGGGCTTCGCTGAGCACTCATTTCGCCCATGGCAAGTTGGACTTCGTGCAGAGCAAGGAGTACTTCATCAAGATGCGAGCGCTTCAAAGCATCTTCGTCATGCTCTACCGCACGGGGAGCAGACTCGATAGCGTCAACTTTGTCTTGGAGCTGAGTGATGAGCTCCTTTAACCCATCAATGTCGGGAACGATACTTGGTGTCTGTTCTGGTGCCTCATTTGCGAGCATGAGTTCACCACCGCGAGTAGTGCTCGCATCATCCACGTCTTTGTTGGACTGACGGAGATTCTCCATGTCGAGCTTCAAATCGGCAAGACCATCTTTTATGGTTTCAAGCATCTCTGCGCTGTCAAACTCGGTCGGCTTCTCCATAATTTTCTTAAGATCATCGCGGATGGAGTCTACACCATCAGTAAATGCGTCGAGCAGTTCGCTTGTCGTGGATAGCATGCTTTCATTGCCGTCTTTGCGCGCAGTCTCCTCACGCAGCGCGTCGAAATGCTCGCGGAGCGTCGAAATGATTTCGTCCTTTTCGGCGCCAGGCTCGGAACGAACCACGCTCATCTCCATGCGCTCTCGAAGGCTTTCGAATTCCTGCTTGATCGAATTGATCACTTCATCGTTGCCAGACACGCTCTTGTTGTGCTCGGAGACTTCCCGGATAGCATCCAAAATCTCATCCTTGTCTCCAGGGTCCTTATCTCGCAGAAGAAGGGTAGTAATAGTGCCCCGCAGGTGTTCGAATTCCCTTTCCATGGCGTCCAGCAGCTCAGGGGTATCAGGGTTGCCCCGCGGCGCGTTAGCTAGAGATGTGTCCGTGATGGTCTTCTCCATGTCGGCTTGAAGCAGGCGGAATCCTTCCTTGACAGTGTCAATGACTTCGTCCTTGCCGGATAGGTCGGCGGCGGTGGCCACATAAGTCTCGATCTCTTTGCGAACGACATCAAGGCCATCCTTGATGGCGTCGAGGACTTGCTCGGTGTCTCTTCCACTGGCGGAAGAGTACTGCTTGAATTCCTCCTTCATGTCGTCAACGAGGGTTTGGAGACGTTCGGTGACTTCGCCGCCAATGTTGGTGTTCGTGGAACCAATAGCCTCGTTGAGGCCGTTGGTGATCGCCTCCATCAGATCATCCTGGTTCAGCTCGATCTCTCGTGTGATGGAGTTGCTATTTTGAATGCCTTCAGAGATGGCACTCAGAATTTCTTCGCGTGAGATGGTTGGTTCCTGGACGTTGGTGCTAAGTGCTGATTGTTGGCTTGTTTGCGAAGTCTCAAGGGCCTCAACGACAGCACTCATGATCTCGTCCTTCGAGATGCTGGGCTGGGCACTTGAGGCATGAGAGTGATCGATGCCTTCCACAATAGCGCTCAAGATTTCATCCCGGGAGATATTCGACGCCTGTCGGTTGGGCGAGTTTTCAAAGCCTTCGAGAATTGCACTTAGAATCTCCTCTCGGGAGATCGATGCCTTCTTCTCATCCTCATTCTCAGGCAAGGTGAGAGATCGTGATGTGTTGTGCGATGTCTCGAAGCCTTCAGCTATGGCACTAATAATCTCCTCTTTGGAGATGCTGGGCTGTGAGCTTGCGCCGATAGAGGCATGGGAGTGCTCGATGCCTTCGACAATTGCGCTGAGAATGTCTTCGCGAGAGATCGAAGAGGGCCTCTCATCCTCATGTTCATGCTCGGTCATGGTGAGAGATCGTGATGTATTGTGTGAGGCTTCGATGCCGTCCGCAATAGCACTCAAGATTTCGTCCCTGGAGATACTTGATTCCTGGCGGTTGGGGGAGTTCGCCATACCTTCCAGAATGGCACCCAAGACATCATCTCGAGAAAGACTAGGCTCATCATTTGTGCTGAGGGAAGAGCGCGATTGTTCGATGGCGTCCACGATGGCGCCGAAGATCTCTTCGCGAGACACTGTCTGTTGGACATTAGTACTCAGTGCTGACTGCTGGGCATTCATCGAGGTTTCAATCCCTTCTGCAATAGTATGCAAGATCTCGTCCCGGGAAACGCTCGGTTGGCTATTGGTGACTAGAGCGGATTGCTGAGCATCGAACGCTTCGTTCACGGCATTCATTACATCGTGGCGAGAGATGTGTGGTTCATCCATCTCCTTGGTCGCAGTGAAATGGGCCTCGAGACCATCGGAGACAGCGCTGAGAATGTCATCGCGACCAAGCCCAGAATCATTGCTGAGTGTGCTTTGGGCGATGGAACCAGCCACTGCCCCGAGGATCTCATCACGAATAGAATTCAGGTGGCTAAGATGATCTTCATCCACTGATCTGGAGGTGTTTTGGGCTGCCATAGTTCCAGTGACAGCATCCATAATTTCATCACGTATCGCGTACAGAGTGTTGATGTGTTCGTCGCTCAGCTCCTTGGGGGCTGCTATCTCGTTGGTGGCCATGGCGCCAGCCACAGCTTGAAGAATCTCGTCCCGGAGAGATGTGAGATGGCTGGCCGACTGGTTCTCCTCTGCAGACTTGGATTCTGCGGCATGGGTAGTCATCGCCCCGGTGACGGCTGCGATTATTTCATCGCGAACAGAGTAAAGGTGGTTGACATGTTCCTCGTCCACAGATTTGTTGCTGACTTTGTTGGCGGCTACCGAATCAGTCATCGCATCCATAATCTCATCGCGTATGGAGTATAGGTGGTTGACAAGGTCGTCGTCCATGGTCTTCGCGCCTTCGTGGTGGGTAGCCAAAGTTTTAGCAACTGCATCGAGGATTTCGTCACGCATGGAGTTGAGATGGCCGACGTGTTCTTCCTCGCCAAGAGACCTTGCAGCAGGCTCGGGCTGCTTGTCCAGGCATTCGCGGATGACCAGGATGATCTCGTCCCGACTAATGCTGGGCGGATGCTCGATTTGAGGTGGAATGAACTTCTGCATGCCGTCTTCGACAGCCGCTAGGACCTGATCGTAAGTGACAGCCTCTTCATGCTGCGGCTGGTAGGACTTGAGCCCTTCTTGCAGGCAAGTGAGAATCTCGTCCCGTTCCAAGCCAAAGTTGTTGAACTCAATCTCAGGTTTGTAGGTTTCCCAAGCTTCGCGGACGGTCTCGAGAATATCTTCCCTGTCCATCTCCGCACCTCGAGGCTCCGCCTGTGGCTGTGGAAGTTCGAGCTCGCTCAGTGCCTTCTTTACAACCGAGTAGATTGCAGCGCTGTTCATGGTTGATCTGAACTCGGATAGATCGGATGATTGTTGGCGACTCTCATTAATTGTAGCAGCCAGCTGCTCCTTTAGGTCGTCCAGACTACGGTTAACGATGGCGGAAATCTCTTCTGGGCCAGCGATTCGTGGCTTCTCCTCTGGCTCGTCCCTGGCACGAGAAGTCTCGATATCGTCCAGTCGCCGGCCGAGTTCTCGGCCCATGCCCAGAACCTCACCTCGCAATTCGCGCACCAAGCTCTTGACGCCATTGGTCATGCCGCCAGACTCAAGGACGCTGTTCTTGACGGTTGTGAGGATAGCCAAGACTTCCTCGGACTTTGGCGAAATGGCATCCCCCTTGTCAGGCTTAGAAAGATTAAGTGCACGTACAGCGTCAGGATCAGTTGATCCCATCGGCCCAGATCGTGTAGCCTCTGCAGACTCGTGGTCAAGTCCGATATTGCTAAGGTTACTGTTCATCCCGTATGATCGCACAAGGGCTTTGCTGGCGGGGTCCTCCTTTACAAGGTTGAGGATCTCTTCGAGCATGGCGGTAACCTTGGTATCGGCCTCTTTTTCCAAGGCAGTGGCGGCAGGTCTTGATTTGAGTTCTTCAACAAGTTCCAAGAGCCTCTCCTCACCTTCCTTTGTTGCCATCTCACGCAATACCTTTTCGAGCAAAGCGAGGGCCGCAGAACCGTCGGAAATCGGTGCGGGCGAAACGCAAGAGTCTCTATCAAAAGCGAAGGGATTGGGGCTCGGCATGCGCGGTACAGAGTAGCTTCTCTTCGAAACGGGACTATCCGGATCCTTGGGGTTAGACCCATCACCACCCTTGAAAAGATTACTGAAATCAAACCTTGAGGTTTCGGCATCCAGGTACTTGGTTGTGAGATGAGAAGACAGATCCTTCAAACTCTTGCGAATATCCTCGTCGCGAGCATTCGTGGCTGCCTTGAGGCTGACCAAATCGGTAGCATTGTCTTTGCTGCGTCGACTCAGGTTCATCATCTCGCGTTGCAGGCTACTTGCTATGTCGGTGAGGCTATGGATTTGGCTCGCAAGCGAGTCCATGCTTGTATTTGAAGTAGGCTGAGGTCGAGGCTCAAAGGGTGCAGTGATCATCTTTGGAGGCTTAGAGGGCGATGGAGGGTCGGGCTCCATGGGGAGCTGCATGTTTTGTAAAGCTAACATTGTCGCAGACGGTGGAGTACTCTCTCCCAAGATCGGCTTGGATAGATATCGACTTGATAGTGAGTAGCTCATGTCTCGTTCTGCATCTTGTCGAAGCGCGGGCGAGCTGATGGACTTGCTGGGGTCGCGCTGCTTCGTCCCTTCGACGATAGTCGCGCGCAGAGGTCGTTCCGGGGATCTGTTTTCAAGGTAATTCATAAATTCGCTGCGAGCATCTTGTCGCGTATCTTCAGGCTGCAAAGATTGCATGCGCTTATGGTGCTGTCCTTTAATCAACGACCTCTCGGGCGAGGAAGACTTGTTTGGCATAGGATTTGTTGTGTAAGAGCTCAGCGCATGTTCGCTAGGCTTTTCTGTAAACTTCGCCGCAACTGCTTGAATGCCGGGCGAAACATGGGCCCTCGTTGTTGGGCTCATTGATGGGCTCATGGAACGAGGGTTCATTGGGAGCGGCGGAGGAGCACGCTCGGGATCCGAACTGTCCCACCTGCGTAAACCGCGTTTCAGCATTTGTTTGAAGTCGCTCATGGAGCCCCGTTGAAATAAAAATTCGGGACGTTAGTTTGCGCAACCTACATTGGGACTTTAGAGTCGGAGTGTGTCATTGAATGCCGGACCAATTCCCGGTCACGAGGGGGCTCCCTGTCCTGGGACGGCATGATGATCTTTGTGTATGGATGATCAATGATGTCTCAAACCAATATTGACAAAGTATGGTGGACGGAATGTATTGAAGTAATGTAGAATGCGGTTTAAGTCAAAACGGAAGCAAGGTAGGTCGTCAAGGGCATATCAACACAAGGGAGGAAACGCTGGAAAGAACAAAGCAAAAGTTGACAATTCCAGAACTCAGTGGAGAACTTTTGGAATAATCACTGGGAGATCAAATTGATAAGAAAGAAAACAAAGGATGTTGCAAGCACAAATGCAAGTCTGGAGCAAGCAACGCGGCCTTACTAGTACACATCACATCAACTCCATAGCAACCGGGGCAACTGCGATCACCATGTAAACAAGCTGCCCAATGATTAGGTCAGCCAAAGCGGTGCCCAAAAAAAGGAAGCACCCAAAGCCCAAAGGCGGTGAACCCGAAAGCCAAGTTCGCTTATGTAATTGTCAGGAAAAGCGAGCTAACCCTAAATTAGTTTAGTTGCCATCTGTCGGTAAGTCGACCAATCAATCAACAGCACACAAATCGCTACTGTGCCCTGAAACCCTCTACTCTCACTCCGAAAAAACGATCACTTCGAGCCTGACCGTTCCGTATCTCGACAACCACCTATCCTCGCCGCCCCCGGGACCTTCAAAATGAAGTGTACGTTAGGACCGTCCGACTCATTCTTGCGAAACACCATGCTAACAAAAATGTTACAGTCATGAAAGTTGGCCGTGTGGCCATCATCACCCGTGGCCGTTACGCCGGTAAGAAGGTACGACCAAAGACCCTGCTATCCTCCCCGAAGCCACACGAGAACAGAAAAAGAATAGAAAGCAAAGCACCGGACGACACAGCGAAGGACTCTGCAAGGACGAGCGCACAACGGCGTGGAAAAAAACGAAAGCCGCGATGAAATTTCAGAATGCTAACGCAGCATTTTTTTTGCGAATCACAGGTCGTCATTGTCCAGCCTAACGATGCTGGCTCCAAGTCGCACCCCTTCTCCTACGCCATCGTCGCCGGTATCGAGCGTTACCCCCTCAAGGTGACCCGTGGTATGGGCAAGAAGCTCGTCGACCGCCGCAGCCGCATCAAGCCTTTCATCAAGGTCGTCAACTACAACCACTTGATGCCCACCCGTTACACTCTCGAGCTCGAGGGTCTTAAGGGTACCGTCTCCAACGACACTTTCAAGGAGGTTTCCCAGCGCGAGGACGCCAAGAAGACCATCAAGAAGGCCCTTGAGGACCGTTACACCAGCGGAAAGAACCGTTGGTTCTTCACTGCCCTGCGTATGTTTGGCCTGGGGATAATTGCTCATTAGAATTGCAGTACTGATACGATCATACAGGTTTCTAAACGGTTTACTTGGGCGTTTTGTCGTTTTGAGCGCACGGGTCTAGGTGAAGGCGAGGTCGAAAAACCATCGAGCACATTCGGTCCCCTGCGAGCATGGGATGGGAAAACATATACCATAGCTGGAATCAGATTCGGAATTGTGTCGATGAACTCCAGTTTTAACGAGGGGCGCCACTTCCATACCTGGTGTCCGTCTGAATGAAATGGAAAATGAACAATTACTTCAAAATCAATGTTGTCTTTGAACCTGTGAACCGGTCAACATTTTCTCCCTAGGTCTGGAGTCTCCGGCTTGTCCGGTTGTCATTTCGACTCGCCGATGAATGACCTCGTAGTCATGAGGTATTTGTCAAGTCGTTCTGATATTGGTACTCTTGATATGTACATTTTCATTTTATCTGCGCTGCACATTCGTAAGCCCTCGATGCAATCAATCATTCGAGCATACTTCCTACAGTATAGTTATAGTCTGGGCCCTAAGACTCGGTTTCATCCCAGCTACGACATTTTTTATTGAGGAAATTGTTCCAACATCTAAACCGCACCTTGACGATCAGAATGGTCTAGGTCTTTTCTCCAATCTTGACGCAAATATAGATTATCTCCGGTCAACCCCACCCCCGCCAAGATATACAAGTGCGCTCAACTTACACAGAATCCAGAACGAACCATTTCAACCTGTCGAATATCATCTGCGCTACTTCCATCATCGGCTTTGTAGCCACTTTAATCTTAATAGATTTTGAGCGAACCACCAAGAACAAAGAGACCAATCCATGGATTCCTTCGGCACATCTGCAACATCTCAGCCAACAAGACAATGAGCAATGAGCAATTAAAGTAATACCAACCCTTGGAAAAGGACAAAGACCCTTTGTATCTATCCTCATTGTCCGACCCAGTCCTTGTCCCCCTACCACCTTGTCCCCCTACCAGCCCAGTCCTCCACTACCTATAAGCGCCCTCAATCCCAGAACCAACAAACCCCCCAACCAACCACCCTCGCCCTTCAAAAAGAATGGACGGATCCAAAACATCCCAGAACAACGAGCCAATCTCAGTCTGGTCACATATCCACGCCCCCAGAAGAACTAACATCGCCCAACCCCTCCAAACTTCCTCCCCCTTCCCCCTCCCCCAAACACCCAGCCAAAAACACAGCAGATACCTCCGTGCACGAACCCTACCAAGTCCCCCTCCAAGCTCTACACGCACACTCTACCACCCCAAAAACGTGGCTCAACGCCGCCTATTTCATCTGGGAAATGGCCGCCGGCCTAGCTGACAGTGGCAGGAATGCAGAGTCGGCGCTTATTCAAGGCAACACATAGAGCCGCCTGGCGGCGTACCCAGACACAGGTCGAGAGCGTAGCTGACAGCCCAGAGCCATTCGCGATAGACGTCCCCGTGCCACCGTTCTATGTCGCTGAGGTGGTAGCTGATACGGGGCACGGCGAGGATTGGTTCCACCTCAGGGCACGGGTTGGTAGGGAGGCGGTTGATATTGTGTTTGGGGGACTGTGAAAGTTTGTTTGGTCGCGGGGCGGCGAGGTTGGGGTCTGTGAGGTTATTCTTAGGGCTCCTACTGTCACGCCGCCGGGCGAGGGTTCATTTGATCCGGCTTGCTGTGGGAGGGCTTTTGAAAGGCTCCCGGTACTTTGCGGCAGCGTGTTTCTCGTGTGCGGAAGACATAGGGCAAGGACTATGGCTTTATTCGACTTTTGAGGAGAAAGAGAAAGAGTAGGCTCATAGAGCGATGATATTCCCTTGTCATCTCTGGTAAGTGTTCATTATTCTCTTGCCTTAAGGTCTGTTTCCTTCATCACCAACAAATCTACATCAACTGTGTTCTTCTCCAAACTACAAAGTAAGCTTCCCAAGCAACATGAATCTGTAAGATGTATGATCGGCATCTTAAGTTCAAACGCCACAGGACTCAAACAAATCACGAACGTCGAACACGTAAGTATTTGGAACAGGCGACACTCTTCTCACCATCAATACCACCCATCCTATGCACTCATTCCGAAAGTACACATGTCAATCACGAAAGCACCCACATGCCGACCATCAAAATATTATGCACATGCATAAAGCCCGTCTCCAACGAATCACATGTTAACAGCATCAACAAACAACCTCGCGCCGGTGGCGCAGTCTAGAGGAAGCAACGAACAAACTCCAAGCGTGGGATTATTCCGGACAGCGCTCTTGGCACATCTGTCGACGTGGTAGCCTCAGGGCCAGCTCAGGGCAATCCACCCGAATGCAATGCTCCTGCCAAGGCTTGGACAAAGCGCTTCTTGAATATGCGATCCGGCTTTAATTGTTTCCCATTGGGCCCTGGAGATTGCCTTGATAGAGTAGTGCTGTTTCACGTGACAATCGCTTAAGAAATTGTTGACGATTGGATTGAGGAGATGCGTTTCGCATGTGAATTGACTCTGCGACGGGGATAAAACAGATTCGCGCGGTTCACGGGCCTCCCGCTATGTAGGGCCTTAGCCGTGTGCTTTTGTTATTTTTTTATTCGGAAGTATAAGCTCGCCACCCGGGCTTAGCGGGTGGCTATTTTTTGAGATACAGGTTTCGTGGAGTTAGAGAAATAGATGTTTTGTTGTATTGTATACAGAATAACCGTCCAACCTTTGAATGCGTGCTTATCATCTTCTCTATGGAGAAGGGATTATCTGCACGACTTTAGGCATGTCACAATTTCAAGAACAGTGATAGGGTAGAAAATAACATCGGTCCGAGAGATCAAGGAAGATTCAGTCCAGAACTGGAGATGTAAGTAAGTACGTTGGAAAGAAGTGGACCGACGTTCACCGGTCAAGACCCATATCCAGGGATCTGCATAAGAGCTTAATCGAAGTGGGTTGCCACTCGATCGACAGGAGCCCGTTTGCTCAGAGACCTGCCATGCAGGCTCCAACAAACCTCTGTTACTCATAATATAGTTCAGTGTACAATTTCAATCTTTCATGTGCTGAGGAACGTTACAATCTTCGGCTTTCCAGATAAGTGGTACCCGACATCGACATCCCCTGTCACTTGGCTGCATGGGTTTCAAGACTAAGTGCAACGCCCAAAATTCTGACAGTTATGTATGCATAAATCGTCATATGTGTTGCACCAGTGGGTTATCAAACGCGACCGTTTCAAGTTGCTAAGGGCCGAACATCGGATGAATATATACATGTCACGACCCATGCGTACACGCTCCCCGCGTGGAAAAGTATTTAGGTCGCAGTTACGTACAATTGTATTTCGTTCTCCCGGGATCACGGGTAAGAGTTACCTAGATATATCGATATCGGTGTATAAATAGAGGGGAGGTTCGGGGGCCGACGCTCAGACCGGGTACATCAATAATCACTAATATCACTAATGTAGGTGCGGGACAGCGTGTATGGGTTCTTCCGATGGAAACGGTCTGGACTTAGAATTCAGAGGCTGCAAAGTTTCCCAGATTTGGTTTCCTTGGAGGGCAGTCTGGCCCCGAAGTAAAGTAAAAACCTTGGGTATCGTTCGCTACAGATAAGCGTGAAACGAGGTTTGCCCCTCTCTTACCTTCCACGGTTCACATGACATAGACTAAAGATATGTACTTCGTATAGAAGGTAATCATTATAACATCATCGATATAGGCATACACATACGGAGTAGAGAATCGGCACATACAACATATGTATGTAGTACACTCGTAGTAGTAGCCCTATCAAAGCATGAGTGGAACCTGACCCGCAATCACATGAAAATTGAGCTATCTAACTGTTTTTTTATGCTCTGGGTATTTCCTGTTTCCGGCAGATTCGCAATTGACTATGAAATAATCTAATGAAAGAGGAATTGAAGAAGTGCAAACAGACATACATAATGGAGGTAATCATTACATTTCCAAATACGAAGTCAATGCATGGGCGTGGGGGGACCTGAGGCTGTTAAAAGCCATTTCCTAGCTAGAACCCCAATGACCCCCATGTAAAAAAGAAAAAGAAAAAATCGAGAGGTCATAGCAGAAAGAAAATAAGATAAATAAAGATATAGGTACTAAGTAAATTACCAGTATTGCACGATATGCGCTAAGACCTGTACATGACAACGCAATCACATGTGAAAATCCTGTTTTTCTATACTGATATCTCTCTCTTCTTCTCCTTCTTTTTTTTTTTTTTGTTTCTCTTCTCTCCTATAATCTATCTCTCCTTCATCTTCAGCTTCAGCTTCATGCCCCACGCAGAATCGAAAATGGGTGAACCCACCGTTAACGGCGAGACGCACCACTCTCAATTCCTCGATGTAAGCAACTATACAATCTACCAGCATCAGCCCACCAGAACACAACTAACAAATCTAGCACTTGATCTCTTACCCCCTCATCTCAGACTCCATCTCCTACTACAAGGGCAATCCCTACGGAGCCAAGTCCCTCGAATTCGCCGACCAAGGCTACACCCGCCTCGCCAAGCCCGTCCTGCCCTACTTCTCCACGCCCTTCAGCTATGTAGCCCCCTACCTGGCCCGCGCCGACTCCCTCGGTGACAAGGGTCTCACCGAGATTGACACCCGCTTCCCCATCCTCAAGGAAGAGACCCAGAAGCTGCGCGGCTCTCTCTACAACCGCGCCTCGCTGCCCGTCCGTCTGGCTGGCGATGCCAAGGGGCACGTCTACGACATCTATGGCTCGGAATACAAGAAGTGTGGGGGCGATGGTGTCCTCGCTTCCGGAAAGGCAGTTGTCACTACTAGTCTGGTGCTGTCGCAGGAGTCGTTGGCTTGGATTAGCACTTTCTTGCAGACTAAGAAGGAAGAGGTGAAGGAGGTTGTCAATGAGAAGAACAGCCACTGATTGCTAGACTGTCTTTTTTGGAGCGTTCTTTTTTCTTGTTTTTTGTTCTTTTCAATTCTTAGAGAAAATAATACCTCGCTGCTTGCGTTTTGAGTATATCTAGTTCTATACTTCCAAGGTTGCGTGCTCAATCCCCACCCATATATCACATTTCTATTTCCAAGTCATTCTTAAAATAAATAAAACCCTCTCACTCTTTTCCAAACACATCATCCTTTCATCTCAAAACCCACGACAATCAAAGAGTTCCCAAACCCCAAACCCTCAAAGAGACATCGATACGCACGGACCAACCCAGATGGGGTAAAATTGCTCTATCTATCGCGTCGCGTCCAGAACAACCGCCTCATCACCACTCGCTCACCTCACTTAATAATAATCATAATGCCTCGCAAAAGAAGAGTAAGCCCCCCAACCAAACAACCAAACAGCAACCTAACACCCCCAGGCAAACACAGACTCCGAGCAGGAGTCGACGCCCGCGCGTCGCCGCAGACAAAACACCTCCCCACCCGACTCCGACTCCGACTCCAACAGCGATGACGGCCCCAGCGCCCCAACCAGCACAGACGCCATGGTCAAGAAGATGGTGCGCTTCGCCCTCTCGAGCGAATACTCGCGCCTCCCCATCCGCCGCAGCGACATCAGCACGAAAGTCCTCGGCGAGCAGGGCTCGAGGGACTTTAAGACCGTCTTCGAGCAGGCGCAGCGCGAGCTACGCTCGAAGTTCGGAATGGAGATGACTGAGCTACCAGCGCGTGAGAAAGCTACCGTTGCGCAGCGACGAGGTCCGTACCTTTTTCTTTCCTTTTCTCTTATTCTTTCTTTGTTTGGTGTCTGGGTTCGGTGTCGGCACTACGCTACACATTTTATGTCTATACACAAATCACTAACTCCGACCAGCGGCCCAAAAAATTGAGAAACCCTCCTCGGCCAGCAAATCCTGGATCCTCACCTCCACCCTCCCGCCGGCATATCGCACGCCGGAGATTCTCATCCCGCCCAAGGCGCCGTCGCTTCACACGGAAAGCGCATATACAGGGCTGTACAGCTTCATTATTGCGCTGATCACGCTGAACGGGGGCTCGCTGGCCGAGCAGAAACTCGACCGGTACCTTGGGCGCATGAACGCGGGCGTGGCGACGCCGATCGAGCGCACTGATAAGCTTCTCGTGCGGCTTTGCAAGGACGGGTATTTGGTGAAGACGCGGGAGATGGATGGCGGCGAGGAGATCATTGAGTATTTGCTTGGGCCGCGGGGGAAGATCGAGGTTGGGAGTGGGGCTGTAGCGGATATGGCGAGGGTGGTTTATGGGAGGGAGGGGGGTGTTAGGGGTGATATGTCGGAGTTTGAGAGGGAGGAGATTGAGGACTTTGAGGGGAGGTTGGGGAGGAGTTTGGGCATTGCGCCTAGAATTGGGCCTGCGGAGGGTAATGGGGATGTCAATGCTAATGGGGATGGGCATGGGCATGAAAATGGAGATGAAGAAAGTGAGGGTTGAGATAGACTCTTGCGTATTGTCATGAAATTGGACTTCGCGTTTCAGTTAGCGGGATATATTGGACTTGTTTTGGCTTGTCACATTTTCCAACTTTGAAGACTTCAAGTAGGGGCCATGGTGAGAATGTTAAGAACAATCCGCGTAGCAAGTTTTGTGTCAATATCAGGACTTCGTGCTCTGGTACGCGGCTCATACTACCAGAATATATTCAAAGTGAGAACGAACCTGATGTTCGCTTGACCCGTGGACTGGGTAATTGGCAATCTCTGTGCCTTGAAAAGAAAGAAGAGTGTATTAGAGAGTTGCACTTGAATTTACAGTCTTTATCGTCATCGTCGACTTAGGGCTATTCGCCTCATTTACCCGATACCCAAGACGGCCTGTATATAACTAGGCGGTCTTCCTACAAACCTGCAGCCCAGGTCGATGGCCTGTTACCCGAAATTGTGAAGTAAACAATGTTTTCATTTAACCAGGTGGTGTCGAGGGATATTCTTTTTAGTCCACGGGTTGAGATACCCCTCCAACCAATCCATTCCAACCCCAGATGAAACGGAAATCATCAGTAAGAGCAGGTATCAAGGTGGGTTGTCTGAGGCTAGTGACTGTACAGCTCCTGGCCATAGATCTAACCATCCACCATGATATCCTGCTCTGCGGCTTCTGTGTCTACCGAACAGCTGCGAGCGAAGCGGAAGAGCAATGGAATCAATTAAGGCAAGGGGAGCTTTGCGTAGATGTTGAAGATAGACTGATTGGAATAATGTGGTTGAGTTGTTGGTTTAGATTGGAGCTGGACTTGGTGATTTGCGTCTAGTAGTAGTAGCAGTAAGTTTGGCTCGTAAGGTACAGATTCACATCCGCAGCATGTCTTGGGGTACGTGTTTCGCGAGATGGGAATGAGGAAGTAGACTGGTTCTTGCTAGTCTAACAAGTGTGTACGTGTTTGCATATGCTGGACGGTAAGAGCCATGAGGTCCAATGTCGTGCTTGGCACTGGGGCGATGTGCAGGACGAATATCTACTAGGCACCGACAGCAGCAAGGTTTCCTTCGAGCGTTTCCCAGCAAAATAAAAAACAAGCAGGTTTGGGGTTCATGGTTTACTCTATGATTGTCTACATTAAGTTGCATACAATTACGAGGAAAAAAAGTGAGTCACGAAAGTATGTAGCATTTAAGCAACTACACAGCGAATTCTAGCTCGATCCAGTAATTGTTTTTGAAGAAAAAAAAAATCATCACGGCATAATTTCATCCGAGAATCATTTATTTCTTACCAGCCTTGGCAGCGGCCTTGGTGACCTTGCCAGCGCCACCAGCGTTCTTCTCAACGGACTTGATGACACCGACGGCAACGGTCTGGCGCATATCACGGACGGCGAAACGACCGAGAGGGGGGTAGTCGGTGAAGGCCTCAACACACATGGGCTTGGAGGGAACCATCTTGACGATAGCGGCATCACCGGACTTGATGAACTTGGGGTTGGTCTCGGTGGCCTTACCGGTACGACGATCAATCTTCTCGAGGAGCTCGGAGAACTTGCAAGCAATGTGGGCAGTGTGGCAATCGAGGACGGGAGCGTATCCAGCGCCGACCTGACCGGGGTGGTTCAGGACAATGACCTGAGCGTTGAAGGAGTCACAGGCGGCAGCGGGGTCGTTCTTGGAGTCGGAGGCGACGTTACCACGGCGAACTTCCTTGACGGAAACGTTCTTGACGTTGAAGCCGACGTTGTCACCGGGGTTACCGGCCTTGAGCTGCTGGTGGTGCATCTCAACGGACTTGACTTCGGTGGTGACGTTGGCGGGGGCGAAGGTGACGACCATACCGGGAGTGATGATACCAGTCTCGACACGGCCGACGGGAACTGTGCCAATACCGGAGATCTTGTACACATCCTGGAGGGGAAGACGGAGGGGCTTGTTGGAGGGACGGACGGGGTTCTCAATGGCGTCAATGGCGTCAAGGAGGGTCTTTCCGGTGGTCTTTCCGGCCTTGGTCTCCTTCTCCCAACCCTTGTACCAGGGGCAGTTGGTGGAAACCTCAAGCATGTTGTCACCGTTGAAGCCGGAGATGGGGACGAAGGGAACGGACTTGGGGTTGAAGCCGACCTTCTTGATGAAGTTGGAGGTCTCCTTGACAATCTCAAGGTAACGCTCCTCCTTCCAGCCACAGGTGTCCATCTTGTTGAGGGCAACGATGAGCTGCTTAACACCGAGGGTGAAGGCAAGCAGGGCGTGCTCACGGGTCTGGCCATCCTTGGAGATACCAGCCTCGAACTCACCAACACCGGTGGCGATGATGAGAATAGCGCAATCGGCCTGGGAGGTACCAGTGATCATGTTCTTGATGAAATCACGGTGACCGGGGGCATCGATGACGGTGACCTCATACTTAGGGGTCTGGAACTTCCAGAGGGCAATATCGATGGTGATACCACGCTCACGCTCAGCCTTGAGCTTGTCAAGAACCCAAGCGTACTTGAAGGAACCCTTACCGAGCTCGGCGGCTTCCTGTATGATGGATTAGTATGATGGATATAGAAGTGTATGTAGAAATGAGTTGTGATTTACCTTCTCGAACTTCTCGATGGTACGCTGGTCAATACCACCGCACTTGTAGATCAAGTGACCGGTAGTGGTAGACTTGCCGGAATCGACGTGGCCGATAACGACGATGTTGATGTGGTTACGCTCTTCCTTACTGTAATTGAGATTAGTTCAATGAATTCTCAAGTGCGAAGAGTTTTTTTTTTGATATAACATACCCCATGGTGACGGTTTAACTTTTGTAGTTCTTTGGAAGATACTAGAAAAATCTGTGTAGAGAAGACTTGCTCAGAGACAACGGCAGAACGCGTTGAGGTACTGAGCAAGCGAGTAATCAGTAAGGGTAGTTGGAAAAACAGTATGGGGGTCAGGAGAGACTCACTGTAGCAGACGAAGAGAGAAAGAAAAAGTCTGTGGGAGGGGAGGAGGGGGAAATCCTTATATGGAGGGGCAAGCGAGAGAGGCGAGTCAGCAGGTGGGGCCAAGCCCTCACTGGTTCAGGGTTTTGATTGGCTCTCGCTCTTACCCGTGGACGCAGATTTTGCAAAGTGGGCTGACGGAAAGAAGTACAGATACTTACTACAGTACTATCACTTTGATGTTTCTGTATGTATCTCTACTTAGCTGCTCTGATATCCCTTCCGTTTCCCTGGTTTCCTCGTTCAAGGTGCTCCACTCGGTGCGAATTTTTTTTTTCATGCTCCTTCCCAGCCCACTTTTGGTGGCTCTAAACGCTTGAACTGGGCAGCAACGCAGAGGTTGGGTGAGAACCTGGTCTCATTTGTGTTGTTTATACTCTTTTTTCACTTGCCCAAATTTTTTAATTATCAAAATCTCAAAAAATAACTAGTCAATTCAAATTTTCTTTGTCCATACAGAGTACATATGTATAATAATAACCCCGCGGATGAGGGGCATATATTCACCGCCAACCCATCCCACCAACAATGTCATGCATAGAAAATCTCTGCTTTCTTTTTAGTTTCACTTTACATTTGGCTTTTGCCTCCGATGATTCATAGCATACTGTCGGGCTCTATAATAGTACTAGAGCAATTGTTTTTTTTAAATAGAATGATAACAATAGCTACATGTCGACGGAGTATATGTGTAGGCTATATAATATAAATTGAATATCAAAATAAGCCCTCCCAAAAAAATAATAATAAAAGAAAATAAAAGAAAGGTTAGATGTCTAAGAAAATTTCCCGCTGATCTCAAAAAAAGATCTGTGCGCTAGACCGTGACGTCGATCAATTGGGTATCTGAAATCTGAAATCTGAATGATATTTCGGCCCCAATAATGCGCCATGTGCACCTCGCTGTAATAATAAATAAAAAAACAAAACAGTATCGTAAGAACTCAGATCGTATCAAAGCCTGGCAAAAGCCCAGCAAACAAACATCCAAGTTTAATTCTCTCTCCATCGAGCACCGCAATCAGTACACTAAGAGCTGTCAGAAAACGGGCGCCTCATGTACTTAGGACGTAAGGAGGACATACCTTCAAGAATGTAGTCATGGGCTCGTCTGCACTGCGAATCTGCAGCTGGAAGAAGTACGCACGTTCCCCATTGCAGGCTTCTGCGGGGCATTGAGCTGCAAGATCTTGTCAACGTCCTGTTCTGGTGTTCTGGCATCGCAAGCGGCACAGCTATTGCAAATAGCTCTAAAAAGACCTTGTACTTACTTGCAACACTGTCGGCATTGGCAAATTCCTCTGCACCACCAAAGACATCGTCCACTTCCTTTTGTTTCAAATCGGTCCTGTCGTACCATTCTTTCTCCAGCGCGGCTTCATAGGGACAGGTGCGGCATTCGAAGCGGTTTGTGCCCATGGGGAAGCGGGTACTGGGCTCTGCTTTGGAGATGGTGAGTGCATTGCTGCAGTTGGGGCAGACTGGAGGTAGAGAAATTAGTATTTGCTTTGAGTGTCACTGGAGGGTCAGTTTAAAGGAAATAAGACATACAGATCAACATTTTGATGGTCTGGACCTGGGTGTTGCAAGAGTGAGTCTCAGAGTATTGTGAAAAGAACCTGCTAGTAGCCCAGAAAATGTGAAGTCCTCAGCAGCTGTAGTTCTTATCCGGCGCAATCATCACTGTCGATGAGGTCTAGACGCGCGGCTAATTTGATCGGATCCGGGTAATGTATTGATCCGGACGGCCCGCGCGTGAGATATCCCTGGGGATCAACTCCGATAACCAATAACCATAGATCTATCGAACAGGGGCTTTGACAACCATTTGATCTCACAGTCGACTCTGTACATATCGTTTCCTGTCCTGAACGACAAACATTCGCTCGAGGCCGCCTGTCCCATACACCGCCCTGTCTCGCTACTACTTAGCTCCCCGCATCCAGCTCCAATCGCTGTAACAACAACAACTCGACACTCGGGTATTCCGGATCGAAACCTGATAGATAGAATGGCTGACGAGGTATGCATCCACCATGACCCTTAACCCTTGCATCGGATCGACACTCATGCAGGAAAATCTAGGGCGCATCACCCCGCGAGCTCATCGTGGAAGCCTGCCGCCGGGACCAGCCGCACTTGATTGAGCAAGTGCTGAGCGAAATGGAAGACAAGACAAATGAGCAAGTGGCACAATTCTTCAATGAGGTCACGGATCCCATGGGGAACCACGCATTGCACATCTGTGCCCAATACGGAAGCTGTATAGTTTGCCACATCCAGGAGTATCTCCAAGCTGCCTCGACAATTACTGACGCCCCTCTTATAGATGACGCCATGGACGCGTTGTTCGACATCCAGTTTTTCGAATGCGACCCCCTGACTCGCCTGGACAAAGATACCCCCCTACACATTGCGGTGCGGTACGCCAATGACAAAGACAAAGAACTGGGCGCACACATGATCAGCATGATGTGTGAGGCTGGCTGTGATCCCCGCGTGCGCAATAAGCATGGCCAGAAGCCAGCGGATTTGGTGTTCAACAATGATGAGATTAAGAAGACTCTCCAGCAGACGGAGTATATCATGGCTGAGGGTATTCAAACCAATAATGGGGACTCGGATGATGGCGAACCAAGCGATAGCGATTAGGCGTGTATGTTCATATGTTCTATTACAGACTTTTTCTTTTTCTGATTAGAACTTGGAGTCGAGAAGTCTGCTTTGGCAGCTTTTGTTGTTCTCGGGGATTAAACCGGCCATATCTTCTGTCTCTGTTTTACGATTATTACGAATTGAGTCTGGTTTTCTCGAATTTATAGACATTTGAATTGGCTGGTGCTAGCTGCAGAATACAGTTTTGAGTAGTTAGTGTGGAAGCTTCATCAAAGTCTCACTTATATATCTCCCATCGCTGTATGGGATAGAAATGACATTCGGTCTAGAAAATCTAGTAGCACTCTTAAAAAGTATCTCTTTTCTACATGAGTACTAAATTTCCCCTAGGACTCCTAAAATACTCGCTTCTTCTGCCTGATACCCTTTCATGGAAGATTCAGAGTGGTCAACTATGCCCAAATATTGTTGCAGCGGGAACCTTTGATACAAGCTGTGTCCAGACTTCCAAACACCATGGAGCAAAACAAATCTAATAAGCAAGGAAATGCCATTCGTCTATTTCCATAGGGATATCACATAACTAAATAGAGCTATTTCGCCGCTGCAACAAGCTTCTGCACCTGATCAAGCCACTTGCGCGAAAACTCCTCCTCAGTAAAGCGCAGCGCCGAGCGACGCGCCCTCTGCCGCATTGCGACCTTCTCCGCTTCCGGCAAAGCAAGCGCGGCCTCAAAAGAAGCAGCAAATTGCTCTTCAGTCTCAGCGCGGAAACCTGTTGCTCCATCCCCAAGGTCAACGACAATGTCTTCGCGCGGACCGCCTGAGTCGTGCGTTACACAGATGAGACCAGCGGCCTGGTACTCGACGACGCAGATGCCAAAGTGCTCGTTCCACATAGCATTAACGCCTACGGAGGCAGTACCGAGGTGGGACAGCATGGCGGGCCAACTGGCGTCGCACACGAACGTGGTTTGGTCGCGGATGCGGAGTTCGTGGGCCAGGAGGCGCAGGTTGTAGATGTGGGTTTCATCGGGGCTGGAGTGGCGGACGGATCCGATGAGCACGAGGCGTGGTTGGGGTTGCCCTTCGTAGGCTGGGTTGGCAGCTCGTTCTTGGAGGAAGCGGGCGAAGGACCGCAGGACTAGAGGGTGGTTCTTCTCGGGTCGGAACTGCGCAATGTACAGTAGGACGGGTTCGCGGGCCTTCTCGCTCTCGGCGTCCACAGCGATTGTTGATTCCAGTTCGGAAACTGCTGTTGGGGGGAACACTACTGCGGGCGATGAAGCGGTGCCGTCACCGGTGCTGGGACTGCTTTTCTTGCTGGTGCCCCAAAGCGTGCGGATGTGCGCTGCTGTCCAAGATGAGTTGCACATCACCACGTCCACTTGCCGGCCGACCCAGCCGTAGAGCTTGGCAAATAGTTCCCAGTAGTGGCGCTTGATCATGCCTTTCCACCCTTTACCTGCGCCGGAATTAATGCCCTGGACTCCGCTCTTGTCGTCAAGAGAAGCAAGCATGTCGGTTGATATCGTTGGATAATGAACATAGGCACCAACCGGCACTGTAGGGAACAGCCACTTGCACATGGCAAGGGTGAAGGCATAGCCCATGGTATCAATAAAAACATCAGGTACGAGGAGTGTAAAGGCATCATAGGCAACAGCCAGCGACCCCAGCGACTGTCCCAGCAGCGTCATGTATGGGTATGAGCTACTAACGACGTACTTGCGGGTCGTCAAGTACAAGAGTACTACAGTTGGGGCGTGTAGTTGGATGTTGAACCGGTTCTCCACCCGCTCCAGCATAGCAGCTTTGTTCACTTCATGATCACCGGTATAGATAGCGCAGATTGCCTTCGGCCAGCGCTTTTGTGTTGCACGAACTGCTTCCCATAGGACGCGTTCGCCACCTCCACCAGCATTGCTGTAACTGGTCAGCACTGCATGCAATATGTATAGAACGAAAGCCGTACCAAAAGGGGTGGAAGAAGCCAATAATCCCATCCCAGTCCTCCGAGCTCTTGTTATTCTCCCCAGAATTACTACTGCTCTCACTGCTTGTGGCAGTCTGTACCCCGCTCGGGCCTGAGCTATCCACCTTCTCCCAGTCCTCGTCTTCGGCACCGTTCCGCGATAGCGAAGTTGTTGAAGCCTTTGGTCGTGGTGCGCGTAATTCTTCTTCTTCGGATCGCGCCCGCGCGATCACATATTCACGGCGAGACCGTGTTCGTCGCCAGATCAACCAGCCCACTCCCCGAAAGATGAAACCGAGAAGAGCACCTGTTAACTTCGGAAGCAGGACGGCCGTGACGGTCAAAACCAACGCGGCCAGAATGGCTTCTTGTAGGAGGGCCATGGTAAAAAGGCAATCAAAGAGACGTCATCAGACGCACATAGTAGGATTTTATAGCAAAGCTGGTAAAATGAGACTGAAAATGTTTCCCCCCTCTCTTTGTCAACAAGTTGCCAATGCGTAAATTACATACGCGTCACATGATGATCTCCAATTTCCCGATCTCCGCTCCGCGCATAACATTTGAGATGCTTCACTTTTTTTATACCTTTCCTTTAAACAGTCATGTATCCCCTCCGTTCAGTCACGGCATTGCGCTCAAAACAGCGAGCCGTGCAATTGACCCAATTACAAGCTCGATACTTCCACCCGACAAAACCAACACAATCCGTGATCGAAACCGTACTCGATGGCTCTACCGCGGTCATTCAAGGCATCCACACAGCTTCCTGCCTACCATGGGTAGCCGCTATCCCACTCACAGCCTTGCTTGTTCGAGCATCCATTGGCTTCCCCCTGCAATTCTACAGTCGACTGCGCGCACAAGAAGAAAAACGACTACAACCACTTCTATCATCCTGGGGGGCTGTTGCGACTGAGAACGCGCATAGGAAAGCAACCGGTGAACCGGAGCGTAAAAAGCAAATTGCGGATATGCTAAGGCGAGAAACGAAACGCATTCACAAGGCATGGGGTATCTCGACCGCATACCGCCCACTTATGATATTGCAAATACCAGTCTTCATTACAGTCATGGAGAGTCTGCGCAGCATGAGCGGTAACAACCAGGGTATTTTTGCATGGCTGAAAACAGTTGGCCAGTCAGAAGAGAATATTTCTGCTGCTGCTGCCACTGCAACCTCACGGCTCGAGCCTTCTTTCATGAGTGAGGGCGCACTCTGGTTCCCAGATCTGTTGGCTGGTGATCAGACGGGCATTCTGCCAGTTCTTCTTACTTTCTCAATTTTGGGAAATGTGGCATCTGGATGGAAAACAAAGCCTTTCAAGGAACTTTCAGAACTTCCTAAGTTGCTGATGTACAAGGAAGTCACCTTCCGTGGTTTGCGATTATTTGTCCAGGCTCTGTCATGCCAAGTTGGATTGATGGCTTTCGCTAATCAGCTGCCTGTTGCGCTGCTGCTTTATTGGATCACCAGTACCAATATTGCTACTTTGCAGACCTTGATCCTGGATAAAATAGTGTTTGCTCCGAAGATGGCCCGAAAGCCCTTCCTGAGGAAATATGTCGCCTTCGAGAAGCCAGGCACTGATGATCCTTTCCAGCTCAAAAATCTGCGTTGAGACCACCTACCGGAGTTGTTTGGTCTGGTTAGGGTTCTTCACCAGTACTTTGTCCAGCAACATTCCATTATATGAAGGGTACTTCACCCACCCACTTGCAGCTTTGGGCCTTTTTTGGGAAACTTGCACGTCTGTGATGTGGTCAACGACCACACCAACAATTCGATACAAGATTTGATCAAAACTAGTAAAGACCCTGGTCTTTGGTCAACTGTCAGGCCTGGTTCGCTGGACCGAACTAAGTCAATTGGCACCCAACATTCCTCCGACTATGAGACAACTGTGAAGCCCTGGGCTTACCAATCCTAGTCCATCAGTCATAATCCCTGAAATTCTGGGCGACACTCAATCCACCGACTGGTTCGATGTTTGATGTACCATAGTTTTCTCACTATACTGCATCCATGTACCATATGTCCTGCTTCTACTATATATCTAAAAGCACATAATACACCAAGCATATCTAAAAAAGTGATCGTATGCAAGACTATGTTTTATCCAGGCTTAAATTTGCAGTAAAATCATTTAAATCGCTCTGGAGATAGCTATGCCAGGGCCGCCGTAGATCGCAAAAACGTAGAAAACTCCCACCACCCTTCATGTCTATAAAGGGATGCAACGAATAGATTATAGAAAAGCAAACGCTCATAGCTTTGCCTTAGGAGTTTGCTCCGAGGCACTCGCTTCCTTGTTAATTTCGACGGTACGCGAGTCAGGACCCTGGCCGAAGAAGATAACCTCAACAGTAACGTCATCACTAGACCGAGAGTTAGCATAGATTTCGACATACAAGAGAGAAAGAGAGTATAAGAACATACCGGTATCGACGAGAGTAGGGGCTGGGTAGTGTCAACAAAGCACAAACCATGTCTTTGTCCTTGCCACCCATGGCATTTCGGACAAGATGCGTCGCAGCGTTCTTGTCCTCAACAACAAACCGACTAGCCGCACCAGCAATATCATACTGCTGCTGGCGGATAGGTCGTCGTTGGCCTTCAGACGATCCGTCCGCTACGGTCTCCACGGGCAGTTGCTTCTGGCTACCGAACCAGCTCTGCAACCAAGCCTTGCTAGTACTGCCACTTGCCGCTGCAGACTGTTGTTCCTCAACCCACTGGCCGACTAGACCAACAACTTCTTCGTTGCTCAGCATCTCCCACAGACCATCGGTAGCCATTACGATAAAGTCGCCCTTGGAGGGATCAACCTTGGTAGTGGTGATGACAGGCTCGGCGGTGACGTAAGGAGGAGTCTTTAGCAGAGGGTGGGGAGTGCGTCCGAAGAACCTGGCCTTGATAGTATTTTGAACATCTCGGCTCCACTTGTAGAAAGCGTCGCCGAATGCACGGCTAGGCTCGAGTTGGCCGAGAATCCGGCCGTTCTTGGTGACATATTGCTCACCGGGGTGCTCTTCACGCAGACGCTTGATCTCTGACGGGGTCCCACCAGTCTGGTCCTCGGAAAGGGCCTTGGCGGTCCATTTTCCGCTCGGGCCCCGACGGCCGAGAACTACACGAGAATCTCCTGTGACAGCCACCTTCAGATTCTTGGACTGGGAATCGTAGAAGCTGAGAAGAGCGCAAGATCCAGAGAGAGCAGGGGCGAGGAGTTCGGCGGCAACACGGCGTTCCTTGGACTTGAGGACCTCCTTCACGCTCTCATGCACGATGTCATTGTCGAGACGGACGAAGCCCTGCTTGATAGCGGCATCAATGGCTTCAGATGTCGGTACGATGAGGGATGAGTCAGAAGAGGCGGCTTTATAGGTGGCGTTCAACTCGCGAGCGACATATGAAATCAAAACATTGCGCAGTTTAGCAGATGTTGTCCAGCCCCTGGTTTGTGTCAATAAGTATTTGAAGTTCTGGTTCGATCTTCGGATTGACTTACGAGTGACCATCAAACACTGCCCAGAACATCCAATCGCTGCTGGGTTCGCCATTATTGACAGCAGCTATGGATGCTGGGATCTCAACAATCTTCTCCGCATGGTCGTCCTCAATCGGCGAGTTGCTAGCAACTTGAACCACATCGTATCGAACAACACCCTTACCCCGGTTGACCAAGTATGATTCTTCGTTCTTACGTAGCTTCTGCGTAGCTTGCTCCGGCGTCAACATCTCTAGAACCTGGCGATCTGAGTCGTCTGTATGCTTGGCAATAGGCTGGTCTCCGGAGAGGGTCGTGGTCCAGAATTGATCGCCACTGACTAGCAACGCACGGCGCGTGGATTCAGTGGGATCTTCTGCGTAAGCGGAGTTAAGAGCGGTAGAAGCGAAACCCCGGATCTGAGTGGCAGCTGATTTCACGGAGTCACCCTGATAAGCATACCAAGCCCCAGAGGCAACAACGGTCGAGAGAACGGCGAAGGAAAGAGTTCGGCGATGCATCGAGGAATTGGTGACTACCGGGGTATACGATGAGCGCCGGCCACTGGAGTATGATCGAAGACCGCGTAGCTGGTTGAGGGACAATGGGCACGGCCGCTTAGCGGCGATGTTCCATACCGGTGCACGCCGAGCAGTACGGCAAGCCTGAACAGTCGCCTGACGCATTGATTCGGCCGGAATAGAAAATCTGATTGATTCCCTTGCCCTTCGCAAGGTTAAATCACAAATCCGAGAATTTATGTAGAAAGTGAAAGCTTGTCGAGAAGCTGGCCGTGGAGATGGCATCACGTGCTGGGGAAGGGTACAACGCTAGTGCAAATTGGGATGTGTCGTCATTCTCCGCGGTTCGCGGGTTTGTTTCGGCGCTTTTTTTCACATTTGTTTCACTTGGTGAATTATTTCTCAGCAGTTCAAGGGTTTTTACCTCGGTGAGGATAATGTCATCACGCGCAATTAGGAAGCTGCAGAAGCTTCGTGAGCAAGAGCAGAAGGAATCATCGCAGCAAGATGAGTCAAGTGAAGATGAAGCGCCCCGCCCCGCAAAGCCCAAGTTCAATGCTTTTGACTTGCTGAATGCTGAGGATGATAATGAAGAAGAGGAGGAGGAGGATGAGGAGGATAGTGCGGACAAATTGCAAAAGGAACCCGCCGCGCAACGATCAGAGCCCGAACCCACCCCGCCAAAATCGAAGAAGTCCAATAAAAAGAAGAAGAAGAAGGGCGCAAAATCCTCTGGACCTCCCAAAGCAGCAGACACAAAAACCAACGCAGAGCTAGATGAGATTGATAGGGCACTTAAGGAGCTATCGGCGGGTGGACATTCAACGGTTGGTGCTGGTCAATCGACCAATTCTCAAGGCGTTCAGGACTCATTCCCGAAGACTACGGACGAGTTGCTTGGCATAGATCCCAAGTTCCTCAATGCGACCAATGAGATGCGCCGACTGTTTGGAAATGTTGTCCTAGAGAACTTCGATCAGCCATCTGACGCTGGAGCTGGCCGTCGCCGAGACCGCAATCGACAGATGATTGACCTTGCTCAGGCTTTGACGGGAAAATATAGTCCAGCTAGCAGAGGCCTAAGCTTGGGAGGATCCACACAGCGAAAGAACGTTCTCATGCAAGGCAAGGATGATTGGCCACGTGCTCCCAGTGGAGGGCTGGGCATGGAAACTGTAGAGAAACTCTCGTCTGGGGACATTCTCTACAAGATTGTGCACAATGCCGGCTATCAAGATGTACAGAGACAGTTTGAACAGTGCGTTGAATCAATGGATCCTCAGAGAATGATCGCACATCTTCAATACAACCCGTACCACATTTCTACTCTTCTCCAGGTTTCGGAGATCGCCAAGCATCAGGGCGATCATGCTGTTTCCGCCGATCTGATGGAGCGAGCGCTCTTCAACTTTGGACGCTCAGTGCATTCCTCATTTGCCAATCGTCTAAGGGACGGCGAAGCCAGGCTAGACTTTATACATGCTGAGAACCGAGAGTTCTGGCTTGTTGGGTGGAGATACATCTCCAACCTGGGCATGAAAGGAACGTGGAGAACAGCGTACGAATGGTCCAAGCTATTGCTTAGTTTGGACGACAGCGATCCTTATTGCATGAGACTTCTCATCGACCACCTTGCCCTTCGGGGCAGAGAGTACGCACAACTTGTCCAACTGTGTACTCAAACACGCTTCAGCCGAGACTGGGCTGATCTACCTAACATCCAATGTTCTCTGGTGATGGCATACCTACGCTTAAACAAACCGCAGGAATGTCGCCAGCAGCTACAAAGCGCCATGTCCCGCTTCCCATGGGTCTTTAGCAGGCTAGCCCAGGAACTTGATCTCCAACATGTTCCCAAATCAATCTGGGGCAAAATGCCACCCAATAGCTCCCACGAATTGCTCACAGAACTCTACATAATTCGTGCCAAGGATCTTTGGAATACCCCCGAGGCAGTTTCTCTCATCATGGAGGTTGCCGACTCCATTTCCGGCGAGGCAGAGCCCAACGAGCCGCCAGAGATCACTTTGGATATTGCTCGTCATGTGGTTTTATCCGATCTCCCCAAGGTGACCACCCATCTTCCAAACCACTTTGTGGCCGGTCGACTCTCCGCTTCCGACCCACTCCCTCCTTATGAATCCGAGGCCTACAAACAGCAATCCGAGCCTGCACCCGTCTACATGGCTCCGGCTGGTGCTGGCGGTGGCGACGTGAACTGGCTGCAAGATCTTCTCGGTCAGATCGACAATGGCAACCGCGGGGTCAACGATCCAGATGACGAGGGTCGCCAGATAATTGGAGGCTTCGGCGATGACGATGAAAATGACAATCATGATAATGAAAACGAAGATCACTACGACATCCCGACATCACGTCCTCCACTTGGAGATCCAGCCGCCCTTGAAGGATGGCTTTCACGCGAGGGGCTGCAATCCCTCCGGATTTTCCTGTCTCAGTACGGCATTGACCGGGGCAATTGGAGTGAAGTGGTGGTGGAATATGCGCCTCTGACTAATTATCTGGAAGCAATGGAGAGACTCTCAGAGGCATCCCGCCAACGTCTGTTGGACACCACCATCAAGGAATCTCTTGGAGATTTCGCAGTGAGCATGCTGGAAGATGAACTTGCCAATATGCGAGGGGATTAGATCTGAACTGTAGTGAAGGTTCCGTGGATTCCCAAGTTATCATGTCGTGTAATAGTACCACCAGGCATAGATCTAGCGTGTTGATGTACAAATCTTTCCAATTTGTTTGTCTATACCTGCATAGATAATCAATGCACAGAAAATCATCGATCTCGAGTCTTTGGGCTATAAATAGTTCAGATCGTACATATGGGTACGATAAGACAAAAGCACAGTGCTACGGGCTTCGGGAGGTATATATAGTTGTAAAGCGATTGGATATTTTGTGCTACATCGAACATCGAAATTGATACATCTATGTACATATGTAGAAAACATCCAAGATTTGAATTCCAACGTAGATTCAAACCCTGGAGGATGTTGATTTGTTTCAGTTATTATGATCCCACATTGTAAATACCTAGTATTGTAGACCATAATAAAGTGTACATCATTGGCTGTCAAAATCTCATTTCAAGTGCGTCATCCCGCGTCTACAATTCTTTAATTTCTTCAATTTCTTCAATTTCCTCGATAAAGAGGTCAAGAGGCACTCAAGTTTGAATGAATAGACGTGACTCGACTATTTCAATAAATTTTACATGAAAATTTTCCTTATCAGCTGGAGTGCTCGGACCCTGCAACCCAGCCTTGCGAGAATTCGTGCCGCTGCAGATAGCTGAGGTTTTCATTTCAACCCACCGACCAGACCGCAACACTCTTCGTTGCTCAGCATCTCCCATTTCACCATGGGATATGAGTCTATACCCCTAACGGCCCGTGAGGCCGCCTCAGGCCTCCTAGGTTCAGTATCCATGACCTGCTGGATCTTCCTGCTGGTACAAACCCCGCCGTTTTCGCGCAACTCCCAAACTCACCATCTAACAACCGCGCTAGGTCCCCCAACTAATCGAGAACTACCGCAATGGTAACGCCGAAGCAATCTCACTCCTTTTCGTCTTCGTCTGGTTCGTCGGCGACATAGCGAACCTTGCCGGCGGCCTGATGGCCGGCCTCGTTCCCGTCATCGTCGCGATCGCAGTCTACTTTTGCATTGCGGACGGCGTGCTCATCGCGCAGTGTTTATATTACAAAGCGCGTAACTCGCGTGAGCCTGCTCATCGCCGCCGCTCGTCCGTTGAGACTCCCGACCCGGCTACCCCGCTGCTGGGCCGGCGCTTCAGTGATCCGATTATATCTTCGCAGGGACGGCGCCGGTCGTCGGCATCACAGCGTGGGTATGGGGCTGGACGGCGGGAGAGCCAGGTTGAGGATACGCTTGCGAAGATTGTTGAGGAAAATGATACTGGGCGCAAGGCTTGGTCTAAAAACATTGCTAGTGTGCTTGGTATCTTTGTTGTTGGTATGGCGGGTTGGACTATGGCTTGGCAGACGGGGATGTGGGAGCCTGCGCCGATTGAGAATAGTGGTGACTCTGATGAGGCGACTGGTGGGTTGGTGCTTGGGTACTTCAGTGCTTTGTGCTATCTTGGGTATGTTTGGCTCTGTGAAATTGATGGTGATTGGGTTGATGTTGACTTTTTGCAGAGCGAGATTGCCTCAGATTTACAAAAACTATAGCGAGAAGTCTTGCGAGGGTATGTTGTTTGCTCCTGGTGTATGTCAGCTGTACATGCTAACATCTTTCCAGGATTGTCGCTGCTGTTCTTCATCCTCTCCCTTATGGGCAACTTGACCTACGGCGCGGGCGTAAGTGATAGTAAAAAGGCTTCGGTTAGAAGCAATATCGCTAATACTTCGAATTAGATTCTTTGCCATTCCACAGACAAGGATTACTTCCTCACCAATCTCCCTTGGTTGATCGGCTCTCTCGGTACTATGTTTGAAGATGTGATCATCTTCATTCAATTCAGGATCTACGCTGTTCAGGAATCAAACCTCTCCGCGGTTTCATAATCCTCCATTGTTCTTCTGTTGGGGCTTTCATGAAAACAAAAATGTCTGATTATGTATTAAAATAGATTTCGATTGTGTGCCTGGGTACACTGTGGGTGGCTACATGTAGTTATGTTTTGTATCGCTTTTGTTGGTTTTGTTGGGCATTGAAAATTTGGAAATAGCATAGCGTTCGTTGTTTTGACATTACTAGCAATTTGACTTGGAAATTGTTTTTGATTTGTCTAAGGATTGATGAAATAGCTTTGCAGTCACGGCACTGCGTGTCTTTATGTATGACCTCAACCACAGAGCCAGCCCCGGAGAATAAGTCAAAACCAGAAGCCTTTGAGATACAGAGACAGAGGTTAGATATACGGCGAAGGTTGGCCGCCGTGACTACACTTGCGCAGGCAACATGCACAACGGATGCACGGGCGTTGAGACATCTACACAATGTAATGATCAATGCTCCAGGTCGAGGTCGAGATCAATAGAGCCGCATAGCCCTACGTCAAGAAACCTACTACGTTCTACACGAGGACCCCACGCAAGAATCAAAACAGCATTCGTTGGTTCATGATCGCATGCCGGACGTAACATAGGAGGCGAGCAGAACCAGTTCAACCAGTTCAACCCGACGAAGGCGACAAAAGCATCGTACATCTACTCGCCAGACCAAAGCAGAGCTCTGGTCATGGACAAATCAAAGAAGTGTGCCAAACGTCTTTCTTCAATTCCCCTAAATCCTGGAAGCAACAATTGTTTCGGAATCGCATCGGTATCCGATCCAGTCTACCCCGGCCATGTCATGACACGGAGGCACACCGAGCGCCCAGTCTCCATTGAATATCCATGTCCGTTTGAATTCTTTTGCTAATTTTCTTTTTTTCTTCCCCGGGTTCTAGGTCTTCGTAGCAGGGGTCGTGGAGTATCGAGTACAAGAGAGAATCGTCGAGGGAGCCGCATTGCGGCAGCGGTAAAAAAGGTGTGGGATAGAGAAAAAAGGAAACGAGTTCAAATTCGATACGGAGTTTTTAAGACGCTTAGTCGAAGAGACCGAAGCCCATGTCCTCATCGGACTCCTCCTTGTCTGTAGTGGGGTTAGTACTGCTTGATAGTTTCATGGTTGCATGATGAGGCTTACCCTCTTCCTTCTCCTCCTTCTTCTCCTCAGCGGGAGCGGCGGCACCACCAGTGGCGGCGGCGGGGGCAGCGGAGGCGGCACCGGCGGAGCCGACGTTGGTCAGGAGCTCCTTGACATCCTTACCCTCGAGGGCCTGTAAGTTGAGTAAGTCACCGAATCTCAAATTGTCGCGCGCGACCAAGGTCGCGTGTGTCGATATTGGCGCGGGTTCCGGAAAGTGTTCAGGTATTTACCTTGGCAAAGATGGTGGCCCAGATGGGCTCGACTTCCTGGACCTTGGCGGCACCGAGGATGGTCTGGATCTTGTCGGCCTGAATGAGAGATTCGAGGTCAGTCACAAATTTCGCGTAGTGGTTGTTGATCCCGGTGGCTTTGCGGTTGCTTGTTGTATTCCTCCCAAAGATCATTCCCGCACAGGAGATAGAGATTCAAGTACAATCTTCAAGCCTCCGCTAATCCATCAATTTCAAAGAATTTTGGGATACGTACGGAGATCTCAAGACCGTCATCGGCCAGGATGAGGGCGGCGTAAGAGCAGGCGAGCTCAGCGGTAGACATGTCGGCGGGTGGACTTGGTCTTGAAGAAGAGTTGTGAGAAAGAAGAAGAGAGGAGTGTCGAGGTGCCCGAACAGCAATGACCGTTGTGTGGGTAAAACCCTCGCTTAGGGCTTGGACTAATCAGGTTTAGCTTGTCCCATCTCTCGTGACCGCCACGCTAAACTATAAACAGACTAGTCAGATGACATAATCTTGCATGCTTCACTGGCTTCATTATGCCTGATCCCCAAGGCAGAAATCTCCCTGACATCACCCGGCGGGGCACCAATGGACTGAACGAGACCATCTTTTGACCTATCTTCACATTCAAAACAGCTATTCTCTTTGAGTTCTTCCCCTTTGATCCCTGCTATACCTATCCCTATCCCTCTCACCTACCACCTTCTCCAACCATGGAATCGCCGGCAATCCCGGGCCTGCTGGATCCCAGCGAGCAGCCTATTCTCGAAAAATTGCTCCGAATTCGCGACGCACTCCTACTTATCAAACAGGATAAGTCTTCATACATCAAGTCCCGCGATGTCCTACCACACTACGAAGAGGTGATCGCAGAGGTGGAGCAGCTCAATTCTGTTCGCAAAGAGCCGGATCGCCGCTTGGTACACAATCGCCGTGAGTCTCCGGTTTATCGCGTGCTCATTTCGGAGTGACTGACACTCTGTGGTAGTGGATTATGTCCTGGATGACTGCTTCCAGTTGATCTCCCTACTGTTCTTGACCGTTGGGAGGAACAACGAAGCTCCCGCAGTGTAAGAATGATCCGCTCTACCCCGCGATCTTATATCATGTCTGACATCTTGATAGCTATTCTTTGGCGACTACCATTCAGGTATATATCCATATTATCTCTTTGCTATCCTCAAAATACTCTCGGATCGGATTGCTGACATCATTGTGTAGCGTTTACTCGATCACCTCGGAGAGGCCGGATTCTACAGCTCCAAAGACTTGAACTCGATTACCAAGACCCTTGAGTCTACCCACGAAACCCTTGAGCGTGGTCGTAATACCTACTCACCCGCTCTTCTTACCCTTCTGGAAAATCGCTTGGAACAATGCGAAATTTCTCTGAAGAAGTTGCAAAAGGGTCTTGCGGCGCTGGCACCTCCTTTGGCGCAGACACATGAGACACTCGTTTCAATTCTGCGGTCAACATCTGCTGTGAATACACGGTCGAAGGTATCCAGTCCAAAAAAGATAATTTTTTGGGTGAATATGGACTGACACTTTGTTCATAGTTCTCGGCATCGGAAGTGAACGCTCTCCGAGAGCAACTCAAGAAGATCGAAAACACCATGAAGGACGGCAGCTTTGTCGATACCGAAGGTAACATTCTCGCAGGTCAAGATGAGGTGAAGTCTTTGTTTCAACGGTGTTGGCGTTGGACTGAGATTGTACTCGAGCGGTATGTTCCAGACTCGTGTTGAAGGACTAAGGGCAATCGCTGATTATCTGACAGAGAGGGAAAAATCGACGAACGATTCCGCGAACAATATGAGCGATTGCTGGAAATCCGCAATCAACTGGACCGCTTGTCTGTAACTCAAGCTTGGTCTTTGCGCGAGACCGATCTCTTTGGATACCAGCGAAAGCTTGACCGTATCGACGAAGCGCGAATTAATGGAAACTTTGTCGATGCCGAGGGTCAGCCAGCCGATCTTCACGCGCAACGGGTAAATTTTCATCCAATTTATTTGATAAAATCTCGCTAACAACTATCCAGACGCTGCTCTACCTTATCCGCCGCAGTTATGCGTACATCTACGCGCTATTGATCTCATCAGAACCCGTATCCGAAGCTCTACTTCCAGTCTATAATCAACTTCAAACCCTGCGCCGATGCTTGATTGAAGTCAAAGAGTCTGGAGGCGTTGCAAACTCGCGCGAGCTCTACCCATACAGCATGAAGGTATGTCGATCCCCTCTGACGGCTGATACAAGACTGACCCAGCCAGCTCAACTCAATCGACAATATGCGCATTGACGGGAAGTTCTACGTGGGCCCCGATATTCCCGAGGGCCAGGGGAGTGTGAATAACCTGCTCGCCGAATGCTACGATTTGGTCTGGGAGCTCCGCGCTGCGGTGGTCGATGAGGAAGAACAGTCTTAGAATATCGAGTCTAGTAGACTTTGTTTTTTCTTCTATCTATGTTACTTTTCTCCGTTTATGAATTTGGCCATGACATGTCCTTGGCATCCAGTGGTCTTTGATTGTATGATCAGAGTCTCTCTTTTCTTGTTAATGTTACGATAGGCGTTTGGGATGGGACTGTGGCATTTTCTCTTGAGCACATGTGCCCTCTGGTGGTCTACTTTGAGTCTAATGGAATTCCCCTTGAACGAGCAAGCAATTTGATTCGCCTAAGATACATGTTCAAGAAAATATCCAGCAATGTCAGACATCGACATATCATAGTGCAGCAAATCACTAAAATAGTATATCCAAATAGCCAAGCAAGAAAGTCATCCACTGAAAGAGCCAAAAACGACGCAAATAGATCATTTCACGATGGGCATTTAAAGCTAAATGAGGGAATAAGAGACAGATCGAAAAGGTGCTGGCTCATCTCACCAATGCAATTAGACTCAGGCTCAAGCTTTTGTAAATCTGGTATCTCGGCCCCAATAACATCACCATCGATTCAATGAGCCTTCATGCAGCAATCACAGGACGAAGTCTGATGACCCCGAGTGAAGACACTCTGTGGATCCCGTCAATCATGCGAGGCTCTTAGCAGCATCCACAGCGTCGAGCACAGCAGCCACCCCTTCCTGAGCAATCATCGCATAGCTTTTGAGAGAGGTACTAGTCCGTGGGCTTGCATCGTAATCTATACGCTTGTATTATCGGCCAGTCACTAGCTTCCACCACTATGTACATCTTCTTAACAGTAGCCCAAATTGAGCTCAGAATCAATTCCATCTGTTTCCTCAGTTCCAAATGTCTGTTTCAAAGAGGTTTTCAAGGCTTAAACATTTTGTTGAATCGATATCAGTCTTGAGCGGTTCAATGAATGGGCTCACTGGCTTATGGTCGACAGTGCTAGTACAAATAATAACATATCCGTGCGAAGGCATAGCAGCCTCATCAAAAGCCACGTATCTTAGCTGACATCCCATCTTATTCAATCCCTCCGCAGGACGATGCCATAGAAAGTCCTCCGTATTTGAAAAAAAAACGCGACTTCTCATGGAGACTGAACTCAGTTGATAGAATATACGCAAGTCATAAGAAGGGAGGCTTATGTAGGAATTCGATTCAATGGAGTGGCGGTCGAGTGCTCGATTTTCGAGTGTCCGGGCCTCGTAATTCAAGGACAGGGTTCTTGCTGCAGAATTTGTCCATATTTGAGTGATAGGAAATACCGAAGAAGCGAAATGAGCCAGCCACCTCTGTTTTACAAGGATAGATATAATATCTACGTACACACGTCCACATATGATGGTAAAGATGTAAACAATGTTGTGGTCGAAGTTAGGGTTGAGTTTCCCCACATGATATATTTGAGTTCCGAAGTCGGCGCAAACATCGACCAATCAGAGCGAAGGCAAATAACCTGAACCGGGACAGAAAAAAAGGGAAACATCATCTTCTCCTTCCCCCAGTCTCCGTCCCCAACTAAACTTGTGAAGATGGTGAGTCAGCTTGTTTGGCAGCGGGCTTCTGCCTCTCGTGGGGTAAGTTAATCTTGAAACAACCTGTATTGGATCAATTGGCAAACTGTGACTAACACCTTCTAGTTGGCCACACGGCTGTCCCCGCAACGGCTCTTCGCCCGTGGCCTAGCCACCGAGGCCTCCTCCTCCCGCATGCCCCCTTACCCCAAGCTCGTCCGCAACCTCGAACAGGTCCGCCGAGTCCTGGGCTCCGAGCGCGCTCTCACCCTCGCCGAGAAGATCCTCTACGCGCATTTGGACAATGCCGAGGAGTCATTGCTCACTGGCACCAACAATGGTCGTGATATCCGAGGCAAGGCCAATTTAAAGCTGAAGCCTGATCGTGTTGCTATGCAAGACGCTTCGGCTCAGATGGCCTTGCTCCAATTTATGTCGTGTGGTCTTCCCTCGACTGCCGTCCCCGCCAGTATTCACTGCGACCACATGATTGTTGGTGAGCGCGGTGCTGATACTGATCTGCCCGCTTCGATCCAGGGCAACAGCGAGGTCTTTGACTTCTTGGAGAGTGCTGCCAAGCGCTACGGTATTGAGTTCTGGCCTCCTGGCGCGGGTATCATACACCAGAGTGTGTTGGAGAACTACGCCGCCCCTGGATTGATGATGCTCGGAACCGACAGCCACACTCCCAACGGAGGTGGTCTTGGCGCTATTGCTATCGGTGTCGGTGGTGCCGATGCCGTTGACGCTCTGGTCGACGCTCCTTGGGAGCTGAAGGCCCCCAAGATTCTTGGTGTTCGCCTTGAGGGCAAGCTCAGCGGATGGGCTTCCCCCAAGGATATCATCCTGTCTCTGGCTGGCAAGCTGACTGTCCGCGGTGGCACTGGCTTCGTCGTGGAGTACCACGGCCCTGGTGTCGAGACTCTTAGCTGCACTGGTATGGCTACCTGCTGTAACATGGGTGCCGAGGTCGGTGCTACCACCTCGATTTTCCCCTTCTCGCCCAGCATGGTACCTTACCTGCACTCCACCCACCGTGGCCATGTCGCCGATGCCGCTGCTGCTGTCGCTGCTGCGGGCCCCTCCAGCCTGCTGCGCGCTGATACCAAGGCCGAGTACGACCAGGTTATCACTATCAACCTGTCCGAGCTCGAGCCACACATTAACGGACCCTTCACCCCCGATTTCTCAGTGCCACTCTCCAAGTTCGCCGACACCGTCCGCGAGAAGAAGTGGCCCGAGACTTTCGGCGCTGGTCTTATTGGTAGCTGCACTAACTCTTCATACGAAGATATGACTCGCGCAGAGAACCTGGTTAAGCAGGCTACCGCCGCTGGGCTCAAGCCTAAGGCGGACTTCTTCATCACCCCTGGAAGTGAACAGATCCGCGCCACCCTGGACCGTGACCAGACCCTGAACACCTTCTCCGAAGCCGGTGGTGTCGTCCTCGCCAACGCCTGCGGTCCCTGCATCGGTCAATGGAAGCGCACAGACGGTGTCCCCAATGGCGAAGACAACGCAATCTTCACCTCCTACAACCGCAACTTCCCCGGTCGCAATGATGGTAACCGCCGCACCATGAACTTCCTCGCGTCCCCCGAGCTTGTGACCGCCCTCGCCTACTCCGGCAGCACGACCTTCAACCCCATGACCGACTCCCTCACAGCTCCCGACGGCTCAACCTTCAAGTTCCAGCCCCCGACCGGCTTCGACCTCCCCAGCGCTGGCTTTGAAGAAGGCAACCCTAACTTCCTCCCCACAGCCGCCGTTCCCGACGCCAGCGCCGAGGTCATCGTCTCCCCGACCTCTGACCGTCTCGCCCTGCTCGAGCCCTTCGCCCCCTTCCCCAAGGGCGAGCTCTCCGGCCTGCAGGTCCTCTACAAGGTCAAGGGCCAGTGCACAACCGACACCATCTCCGCCGCCGGCCCTTGGCTCAAGTACAAGGGCCACCTGCCCAACATCTCGGCCAACACACTCATCGGCGCCGTCAATGCCGCCACCGGCGAGACAAACGTCGCCTACGACGAAGCCGGCAAGCAGTACGGCATCCCTGAGCTCGCAGAGCACTGGAAGGAGCGCGGCATCGAGTGGCTCGTCGTCGCAGAGGATAACTACGGCGAAGGCTCGGCCCGTGAACACGCCGCCCTGCAGCCCCGCTACCTCGGCGGCCGCGTCATCGTCTCCAAGTCTTTCGCCCGCATCCACGAAACCAACCTCAAGAAGCAGGGTGTTGTCCCTCTGACCTTCGCCAACCGTGAAGACTACGACCGCATCGACGCTTGTGATAAGGTCGACACTGTCGGTCTTTATGATACCCTGCAGGCTGGTGGACAGGGAGAGGTCCAGCTGCGCGTTACCAAGCAGAAGACTGGAGAGACCTTCGTTGTGCCTGTTCAGCACACGCTGAGCAAGGACCAGAGTGCTTTCATTCTTGCCGGTAGTGCTTTGAACTTGTTGGCTAAGAAGGCTCATGCTTAGATGGTGATATCTCAGACTGTTTGGACCTATAAAAAATGGGTTGTTTTTGGGAGTTGAGAGCATTGCTTTTTTGTCCTTGTATATGGTGAGTTTCTAGATTCTTGTTTGTTGATTAGATGATATCCAATGTGATCTGTATTCTACTATTTTGCGAGTTCCAGTATGGTACCCCGAGTACTGATCAATCCGTGGAGATATCTGAATAGTCCACGGGTGTAAGGGCGTTTTGGGCCTATGAGCTAATCAGCTAGTCCCCGGCCGCTCGATTGTAATTTCAAGGTCATTCATTCGATTGGTATTCACTGCGATCCATGGTATATAGTTTCGAAGCTCGAAGTAGGTGACATAAAATGACTTCACAAAGAAAAAGCAGACGGGTATGGATGGGAGTATCATCAAAAACATCATGATGAGTATTCTGTCAAGGAATTGAGAAAAAAGAAGGGTGAATCAGGAAGGCATTGCATTGCATTGCAAGCCGTTGCCTCGATCAGAGCAAAGAAAGAAAAGAAAAAAAGAAGAAGAAAAAGCTAGCAATCGAATCCAGATTGCCGAAACGAAACCATGAGATATCTCCAATCCTGTATCTGAACGCCAAAAAGCCTTTCTATACAGGCCCCAGATGCAAAACATCAAGCAAGTTTAAAACCCGCAGAAGGCGCGAAAAGCAAAAGATCCCAAGAAAAACCAAAACCCCATCATCCACTCCACTTCGGATCATAGCCATCAACATACATCCCCGTATTCCCATACTCATCCTCATTAAATTCAAACTCGCCCCCAGAGCTAGCATCAAAGCTACTCCGCCCGCCAATATCCCCCGCGTCATCGACAGCAGGAATCTGATCCCACTGCAAAGTCTGCAGAGCAGGGTACTGCGCAAGCAGCGCAGCCGGAAGCACAAAGTTACCAGACGACTGGCCATCCATGCCGGGCATGTTGGGCATAACGAGCTGCTGCGGGACGGGCTGGAGATGGCCCTGTTGCTGGCGTTCGAGCATGACGCGGTCCTGCTCCGCAGACTCCTCGTCGAGCAGAGGCTTGATGCAGACGCGGCCTGCCTCGGAGCGGAAATGGCGGCCTAGGGCGTCAGCGCGCGCGAAGCGCCGACCACAGCCCCATTGCGCGTCGCCGGAGAGATCGCCGCGGCAAACGAATTTCTTTTCACCTGAGTGCAGGCCTTCGTGGCGCTTGCGGTCATGTTGTCGGGCGAAGGCTTTGCCGCACACTGTGCATACGAAAGGTCGTTCGTCTGTGTGCGTGCGGAGGTGGGAGCGTAGGTTGTAGGCGCGGGTGAAGCGTTTTGGGCAGAGGGAGCACTGGAAGGTGGCGGGGTGTTTTTGGATGCGTTTTGGTTCCCCTGGGGCTGCGCCGGGGCGTTGCGGATCGGCTAGGTCGAGGATGTAGTTGCGGTTCTCGATTGAAGAAGTTGAGAGCCGGCGGCCGGAGCGGGAGGGTGAGGGGTCGCGGGAGCTGGGGCTGCTGCGGGAGTGGGAGCCGATTGATCCTACTGGGGAGAGGGATCGTGGGGTGGTGGGTGCGTGTGGCTCTAGGCTTGTTGCTGATGTTGCGGGAGAACGTGGGCGAGAAGCAGGGTGGTATGGGTCGGATTTACTTCGCACACGGGATCCTGGTGGCTTGTTAATATATGTAGGGACAGTCAGGGTTGTTGTTTTAGCACTTACGCATGGCGGGAGGACTCAGCGAATCGAAATCTGCTGTTGCTTTGGCTGGATCGAAGGTTGGGTTCCGCAGCGGCGGAGCGAACTCAACATTGATTGACGGAGGAGCCATTTGAGAGGCCTGGCCAATGTCGCCAGGTACATTGTTCAGCTGGCCCATATTCATCATGTCCTCTTGAGGCATACCATACATGTCTGTCGGTGCCGCGGGGAATTGAGAGAGGTAAGGATTATTCGGAACCATCTCGCCCCCCTGTTGTGGCATTAAGCGCGGAGAGATATACGGGCTGTGGAGCGGGCTGATGCCCTGATGTTGCTGCTCTGACAAAGTGAATGATTCCATGCCGAGACCATTGTCATACAAAGACGGATCACTCTGAGGAGCCAAAGAAGGCGATGCGTTGTTCTCAATGCCATCAAATTCATGCTGAGACAGGTAAGGGGAGTGGTTGGCGGACGAAACCTCTGATACCTCCGATGGCGCACGTCGGTGCCCCTGAAAGGAAACATTGGTCATAACGGACTGCCAATCTGGATTCGGGTGATTATAGTAGGCCGCAGCTGACGGGTCTAGCGAGGTGTGTCGCGAATGCCGAGGAGTGTAGTACGTGCCCGGTGTGGACCCCGGAGGGGACATGGGCCCGGGCGAGGAAAGCTGCTGGTCTTGGGGTGACGGGTGCGAAGAGGCAGAGGGGTTCGAGATCGGACTGACCAGATCGGCTGGGTTAATGGCTTGGTTCATTGATTGGCACTGGTGCATTTGTGGATCCAACAACTGTGATGAATCGAACTCGGTTGCAGAAGCGCTGTTGGGACTGTGATTTTGGTAGAGAGAAAAGTCCAATTCCGGTTGGTTGGAGTTGAGCATATTGGAGAAGTTTTCGTCGGCCTGCATTGGCCTGAGTCCGGTGGAAGAGTGCTCAAGTTGATTGACCAGGCTTGTCTCGAAAGATTGCGATATCGGTAAATTGTTGGTATTGATCGCGGGGGGATAGCTCTGATCTGCCGGTGGAGATAAGGTCTGTGTTGGCGCTCCAGTGGGGTAGCTTGGGTAGCCATATGATTCAACACCAATGCCCCCGTCAGAATTGTGAAACGAAAGGGTCGTCGGGTAAGCGCCCATGGAGGGGTCAGCACCCAATCCAGCGCTTGGGTCGTGATATTGCTGTTGCTGTCCATGTGATGACGGGCTCACACTGCGAGGTTTGATATCCCCTGGCGAATGAACTGAGCCATGGTTATAATTGGGGTCATGCGAGGCCATGATTGCGAATGCACGTAGATGAGGCTCTTTGGCGGGTGCCACGCTTGGGCGGCAATCTATAGGCGATCGAGGGTGGAGTAGAAACCAGTTCTAGCGCAAATGGGAGAATAGAGCCGATCAGACAAACAGAACGAATAGACCTTGTCAGGGTCCTAAAGACTTTGTGTAGAAAGAATGTCGTCTGGTGGATGTCATTCGCAAAGGATCCAGATTCGAAGTGGATATGAATGAGGCTCTGGGCCAGTGTCAGCAGTCGCAAGATAGCGTCATACCGCTAAACACAATGATACCTTAAATTTTGAGCAGGGGTGAGAGTGTGAAAGTGACAATGAGGAGTTGAAGATGAGGCGGTTTCACGTGCGCAAGGCGGTCTAGGGTCGATTCGTCTATACAAATATTCACGTTCCGATATAGGGGATACTGGTTAGATGATATATACGATTCAAGAAAATTAAAAAATGACAAGAAAAGAAATAAGCAATTTCCAGTAGAATTTCTGGCTGTGCCCTAAGCGCAAGGATAATTCCCCCACCTTGTTTCTTTATGCGTTCCTCATTTCTCATCTGTACAGCCCAATATGGATCTCCCCACATTCGTGCCCACCTTGATAACAGATAGGAATAGTTAGTACCTGTTTAGTTATATGCAGTACGAACCATATAGTACATATATTTTTATCCACAGGTATTTCAATATGGATTTATTAATCCAGCTATTCGTTTTCAAAGTAGTTGCCTAAACAATAATCCAAAGAACAAAAAAAAAAGACGAAAAAGATGGGTCTTTCCTTTGCACAGCCACTCTATACCAGTGCACTAGTCCACTTCGGGTATAAGCTTATATGTCCAAGGCACATCGCTCAGTCTGCCTTGCAGTCTGCCTTGTATACTTCAATCTCACTTGCATAATTGCCAGCATATTGGTGCCTATATTGAAGAGAAAAGTTCCAATTACCATCTGTCCCAACTTCAATCCCCAATCAAACACTCCCCAACGAAGTCAAACTAGCTCTAGCCTGATCATTCGAATAAGCAAACAGCAAATTATCCGAACAACTACTCCCAAGCCCAGCATTCTGCACCCAAGCCGGCTCCCAATAATAAATTCCAATTCCCCCAGCCCCACTGACAGCAGTTGACAACCGACTCAAGAAAGTCTGCTGCCCAGCCACGGAGAACGGAATATCCGCCAAATCCGAGGGGAACGCATACGCCGGGCTGGGGCATGCATACGGCCAATTCGTCTCAACAACAATCGTCTTCTTCCCGTACGTCGAGTACAGATTCGTCAGACTGGTTTTCAGCGACGCCAGCGTCGCGCTCGCGCTGTAGAACGGGTAGTACGACACGCCAATGTAGTCGAAGTCTGTGGACAGCAGGGCCGAGCCTGACGCAAGCACTTTGCCGTAGAAGTAAGACTGCTCAGACCAGCTCCAGCCGTTGTCGAGGTGGATTAAGATCTTGGGGATTGTGGCGAGGTTCGAGTCTTTCACGCCCCATGCGCCGGAGTGCAAGATGCTCGCGATGTTGCTGTAGCTGCTTGTGGTGCCGAGGGGCCAGAGGAGGCCGTTGCGGATTTCGTTGCCAATGGAGATCATTTCGACTGTGAGGCCATTCGCGGCGAACTCGTTGCAGACTTCCAGGGTGTAGTTATACACCTGCCAGGTCAGCGTGTCGATGTCGGTTGTTGACCAGCCGGAGGGGGTGGTCTGTTTCGAGTTAGTTAACGACTCATCAATGATCGGATTGGTGGTCAGGGAGTTCGAGTCCGATTTCGTACCTGGGCACTTGGATCCGCCCATGTATCACTCAGATGCAAATCAAGATATGTAGTCATGCCCTTAGCCTGGACGCGCTTCGCTAGCTCGATGTTGTAGTCCAGATCATAGGTGCCGCCGCTGGGGTTAACCCAGATACGCTGACGGACGGAATTCACACCACTAGCGGCGAGAATAGACTCTAGCTTCGCCGTTGTGCCCGCCGTATTCTTGTACGAGATACCTGCATCTTCTTCAACGAGGAGAGAGGAGATATCCGCGCCCTTGTAGGTCAAAGCTGTGGATGCAGTGAAGAGCTGCGCAGCAGCTAGGAGGAAGTAGGGAAGCATTGCTACTGGCTATGACTGATATGGAGGGAAGAGGAGGGAGACGGATGTGAGGAAGATCGTCGTTTATATCGATATTCTGTCTCGAGGGGCGATCTCGGTGATTAGTGGAGTGTGGTTTGTAGTATATAGATGTGAATTCTCCGAAGACCCGCACTGGCATCTCCCGCCAACCCCGAAGGAGAAGAACATCCTCGATTTATTCGCTTAATTTCTCCCATGCAGTGGATTGTGGACTTGTTGTCCGGAGCAGACGTGGAAGGGCTTAGTTCCCGTGATGAAACAGGAGCTGAAACACGGTATGGCGTCGACGATCACTCGGTCCGGAGCTTGTCGCATGACAATGTTTATCTCGTTTGAAAGTTAATGACGCTTTAGTTTGTAAATGAGCCATGCTTACATGCTTGCGTGCAAGTATGGGGTACATTAGCAGCTCTTTTAGTGAAGAACATTAGCGAAGTGGCGCTCTATTTACGGTATAATCCCGGGGTTAAGCATTTCATTTATATTATTGGTGGAAGAAGAACAAACCCAAGACGCCAAAACCGAAGCGAACCCGAAGCGAAGGACTTTTAATATTGCAAAGTGGAACGAGCTGCTTAAAAAAGATCTTCACTGGAGGAATCAACTCATCTACAATATACCCGTAACTAGGAAATAGTATACATTGTAATAGCCATAGACAGAAGACTAAATATTTCATTTCGTTCATCACGCAAGCCATATCTCATCGCGACTTATTCTTGTAGTCAAATCCCAATATTTCCCTAAACCCCAACCGCCGGTTTGTTCAACATTACATAGATGAAGGTAAAAAGTAAACCAAAATGCAAAAGACAATATAAAAGAAATCGACCGTATAGACTGAACTGAGAGAACAGAATAACGAGCAACCGGACAGACCGGGGATTTCGGGGTTCGCAGTGATGCGTATATATACAGACCGTGTGAAATGTAAACTCCATTTTCTAACAAATTTCCAAGGGGTCAGATTGGAAGCATAGCAAGAGGTCGGTGATATACAACAACTTCTCTATGAGTAGGAAGCGTCGAGGATGTATGGTAGTCGGATGACAGACGAGGGACTGATTCGGGGCCGGCCACATTCAGTTCGAGGGTGGTGGATCCGCTGCCTTGGGTGGGGGCTTGCGTTTTCCAATCATGAGGACCTCCTCTTCTGAGTCCTCGTCTTCGTCGTCGCAGTAGTAGCGGGCATCATCCTCTTCGGAGGGTTTGGGGCAGTCTGAGCGACCGGGTTTGACGGTTTCGCCGGTGCGGAGGATGGAGGGGACTTCGTGTAGATCCTTGTCTTTGCACGAGTGACCGTCGCCGGAGAGAGAGGAGGCGTTGGAGATGACGGATGGGATGCTGGGGTGGGAGGCGCTTTGCGACATGCCGCTAGTGAAGTCGTCGGCCGAAGAGGACGAAATGGTGGCCGGGGTGGAGGTCAGCCCATTAATGGTGTTTTCGGGACATTGGTTGGTGGGTGGATTAATTGGTGGCAGGAGGAGTGATTCGGTAGAGTACATTGCGTAATCCACGCGGAGAGTACCGCCTTCGCTAGGCTCGATATCGCTCCGTCTGCGGCGCAGGAGAGCGTCCCGGGTGAGATGAAATGACTCTGCGGATGACTTGCCCTCAAGCTGGGAGGATCGGTTGCGGCGGTGGGCGTGGATCGGGGCCAACTTTCCAGTAGAAGAATTGTCCTCGTCATGCCACAGACCGGGGGTTCGCACTTGGCCTTGAGCAGATGCATTGCTGACAGCGATGCTGGGTTCTGCTGTGCTAGTCTCAGGAGTGCGCTCTGCCTCTCCACGTAGGGATCCCGTCTCACCGGAGGGTGATGTGCGCCGACTGCGACTGCCTCGTGAAGCCCGACGAGTGGCTCCACTGAAAAGACTACCGAAATTGGTCTGGTTTAAAGCTTCAATGATAGAGGAATGCACGCCTGAGCGGGGTCGAACGGTCAAAGGAACATCGAAGTTGGGTGGCTTGACCGTCTTTGTGGATTCTGCCGTAGACATTGAGGACTTTGCGCGCCGAGGAGGACCAGGTCGCTGTGGGACCGTTGGAGGTGGAGCGGGGGGAAGTTTGGCAGCAGCGAGCTTAAGTGAAGCTGGTGTAGCGTCGAAGTAAGATTGCCAATCCCCTTCGTCCACTGGGCTTGCGGTGACACTCTGGGCAAGCGGGTGTCCATGACTGCCGAATTTAAGCGGCCGGAAAAGATCTTCATCCCCTCGCAGACTGGACCGACGACTGTCACGGGAGGTCTTCCCAAACGTGCTGTTGCTTGAGGCAGATGAAAGGGTCTCGGTTGATGGCGTCGTACTAGACGTGCGCTTGCGAGGTTCTTTGTCCTTGGACCGACCAGTGAACCATTTGGCAACATTAGACCGAACACGTTGGATGAATGGAACCTTGCTGACGGCACTGGTAACCTCTTCATTCGAGACTTCAATTCGCTTGCCCTTGCTTTGGAAGCCAGGGTCGCTCTCCTCGATCCAGATCCGAGGGTTAGGAAGGCCATGGAGGGTCCAAGGGTGGTGCTTGATCTCCTTCAAGGTGATTCGCTTGACTGGGTCTTTAGTCAAAAGCCGTCTCAACAGGTCGTATAATTCATCATCAATATCTTCATAAATAAGTTCATCGCTGTTCCGGAGATTCCACTGATTGGAGTCACAGGCATCGTCGACGACGGGCACAAGGCGCTTCCTTGGGATGAAAACTTCTTTCTTCACAATGGTCTGAAACATGCTGTACTCATCATCTGAAACAAATGGCAGACGGCCAAAGATCATTCCGTACAACGTCACACCAAGCGACCAAACGTCGATCGCACCCGTGATCTTGGGAATGGACCCAATGGTTTCTACAAAGTCGTCACCGGTGTAGCATAGTTCAGGGGCGTAGAATGCGGGCGTTCCGACAGTCTTTGACAATTCACGAGCGTCGTCCAATTCAGTAGCATCGGTCTCACCAACATTTTCCTCTTCCTCGTCGCGCATTGGTCGTCCCAGGTAAGAGACACCGAAGTCAGAGATCTTTACCCGATGGCTACTGGTGACGAGTAAATTGGCTGGCTTGATGTCGCGGTGAATGATGCCCTGATAATGGAGATACTCGAGACCAAGTACTGAGTCCCGGAAAGCGCTGCGGGTTTCGCCAATGGTCAAACAGGGGACATACGCCATGTCATCGCCCTCCGCAGACCACTCAGGCTCAGAGGGTGCATAGCCAAAACTGCTGGAAGCGTTGCTGAAACGTCTTTCGAACGGAAAGTCTGAATAGGCACCATACATGGTACCCTCAACAGCATTCACGGATGCATCTAGCGCAGAAGACGGGCTGGACTCATCTGTCACCGCAATAGAGCGGCTGGACGATCTCCTGATCGGGAGGCCGGTTTCCTCGTCCTCCTCGTCTTCTGATTCGGCGCCGTGCTCCAGACTCCAAGCGGGAATCGGGCCTTGCTGGGCATCGGCAGCCTGTGCTTCCACCCGCTCGCGGGCCCTTTCCCGTTGACGCCGCAGATGCTGTGCAGTTCGAATAAACTGATGACTCTCTTCCAAGAACGCAGGTGTGTCTGGAATTCCATTCTTCTCTCGGTCAAGACGCAGTTTGTCGACATGGACAATTTCTCGAAGCCCCTTTTTGCGCCAGACAATCTCACCATTCTCAACGTATTCCAACACAATGTAGACTTTTTGCCGGTTTGGGTCGTCGATGACTTCAAGCAAGCTGACAACATTTGGATGTCTCGCCTTCTTCAGGATGGCGACTTCCTTTTTCACTTTGTCTTCCGGGTTGCCCAACTTGCCCAACCGGCGACGGGTGGAGTATCGCTGGACAATCTTGATAGCGACTTTCTGCCCGGTCGCAACATGCTGGCCAAGTTTTACTTTTCCGTGTTCGCCACGTCCAAGTTCTTCTAGGATTTCGTATTGATTGATGACCTTGTTTCCTGTGACCGTGTCACGATCCACTTCGGCTGTGTGGGTTTCTTTGGGTGGTTGAAGATGTGAGGGGTGAAGCAGGGAGCTTCCAGTAGAAATGGAATCATCAGATGCGGATGGCGTTCCAATGTGACGGGGAGGATATCTCATAGAAAACAGTCCGGGACTGGATAAAGGAGTGTTGCCCGCAGTCCGTACACCACTAGCGTAAGAGTGTCTGGGCCGCGGATCTGGTGCGACGTAGGGTGGTTGCCAGGTGGGATGCACTTGTGACTGGAGGGATGCATAGGATTGATCGGGGTACACCGGCAGCTCATTCTCCGATTGTCTCGATGTCCGACGCGGACTCCTTCCAATGCTTCCATTTTCCGATCGGACATCGACCACGGTGTCTTCGTTGAGGGCTTGCAGGGAACTAGACGACGAACGATTCGATGGGGTACGGGCACCGTATAGGCTGGGAAAGGCCTGGCGGAATGTTGCGGCTGCTTCTGAGACATCGGTGATAGGAGGCGCCTGTTTGGTAGATGATTTCGATGGACGGGACTCGGGTTGGTCGTTTGACGCAGACGGTTGTAATGACTCTTCGGACCGATCTACATCCCGCTTGGTATTTTTTGAGACATGGCCCCGAGCTTGCTGATCCGGATCCTCCAGACCAGCTTGCGAGGACCGAGTTTCTGTCATTTTCCTTTTTATTCCGTTTGTGGTTGGACTAGGAATGGCCTGTGCCGATAATGCAATTAGAGCATCCTAATTGAACATCCTCCAATTGCCGCACTTTTTTGTTCGGTAAAGATTGATTCAAGGTGAGCTGATGTAGAGCTCTGTTGGCACACACGAATGGGCCGGCATTACTTTCGCGGGGTCAAAAGGGATGGCGACAACTATCGGAAACCGTGTACCGGACAGCGGGTTATCGCCTATAGGGAAAAGGCACGAGGTAGACCTGCTACTGCACGAGGACTCGGGCGATCAAACATCCACACGTGTCGAGTCGGCGAAAAAAAAGGGGACCGTGACGGATGCTATAAATATTTCGGAGTTAGGCTCGTTGGAGGACCAGGTTCTGGAATTCTGTTTCGGAGCGAGATCGGAATCAGGAATGTGAAATTTCCGAAAGGAATGTCCAAAGGAGAGACGAGACTCAGATAAGAAAGAAGAAGAAAAAGAAAAACAAGAAGAGGTGGTAGAGACCGAGATCAGAGAGGAGGGGATGGAAGAGAAGGGGAGTTGGGGGTGGGTAGTAATAATAGGGCAGAGCGATGATCGGACGCCAAGGAGAGAAATAAATCTGGTTACTTGCTTCCACTTGACTATGTAGTTGCTACTGACACCTACAGAATAAATTAGTCTGGGAAAATATCTCATATACTCAGGAATATTCATATAATGACCTTCATTTAATCGTATCTACATGTTCAAATCAAATGTTGTCACGATATCAGATTTACTTATTCTCCCTAGCAAGTCTTGGTCCGTAAAGCGGCTGTTTGCAGCTGGGTACATATTTCTGATAAGTGATAATTATCATAGTATAATAAGATATCAGTTATATTATATTTTTTATATATATTTGATATTTTATAATTCCTGTATTATCTATCCATCATACAGAATAATATCACTCACACACCTAGGTATCTATTTTCAGTGGCGCAACTCGCCACAGGTTACGTCGAGGACTCAACACAGCCTACTATACCCTCTAACAGGTTTGGCATCCTATATCCATGGATCAATGCCATATACATCTATGTAGATACCTGAAAAGTCTGGTCAAACAAAATCCAGAATGGTGGAGCCATCATGAATCGTAAGGTATACTCCAGTCACCAAGGATTTGGTATTCTATCACAATTCTTTTTTGTGAATTGTTCCTTACTCATTATTACTCGGGTCCGAATGTTCCGTACCAATGCCCAACTCTCTACTCTCTCCTACTCAGAAGTGAGACGCTAAAAAAGACTAGGTTACTCTTGCCCTGACAGTACTTCTATAGGTTGTGCACCAATCGCATCAAGCCCGTTCAACTCGGCACCTCTCATTCGAACTTTACTTCTGCCACCCGAAGAGAAATGCATCAGCTTTCTGCAAGTGGGATAATACAGACGAAAGGGACTACTTGCACGGTGTTGAGTAGTTCGTGCCAAACCTAAATTAGGCAAAAGGCAAAGAATTTCTTACCATGGGTGGGTGGACCTTCACTTCTTTTTTTTAAATCTTTATTTCTTTTCAGGATCGGGGTGCATACTCCGCCTCGTTTTGACATGTTATTCTCTCCGAACTTCAATCTTACTCCAATATAGCATAGAGTATAGAATATAGAATATTTACCTCGAGGCGTTCTGCATGAAGCTGTTTAAAGAAAAAAGAAAAAGAAAAAAAAGCAAAGAAAGTCCACGGCCCGTGCGTGATAATCTACGTCATATAAGGGTCTGGCCCCTAATTAGCCTTCGTTTTTCTTTTTTTTCCCTCAAATTGGTGGTATACGGGGTATATATCAAGGTATAGCATAGCAAATGAACAAATTCCATCTCCTTGATTTACAAGGCCATCCAATGATCATACCTAGGCATTGCCTTGGCGCTTTTATCCCGGCATACAGGATACATTGATTGGCAGATGAGTTTCTGCGTGGCGTGTAAATCTTAATCGACAACTATCGAGTCCCTAATTTGTCGGTCTATGGGTAACCTAACTTCTGAGAACGTTGACAGGATTATCATATCTTTCCAGCATAGTCTATACATGGTCCAGAAACAATACACTTCCAATATACTCCGTAGTACGTAGAAGGCTATTTCCCGCCCCCGTTGCGGGGGTCCTGGGGAGCAAGGGGCTAAAAGAGACTAGACAAGGATCAAAGTCGGGGTTTGATTAGTACCAAGGGAGACTGAGTACCCAATAGTTATTGCCCTTTAACCGATTAACCTACACTACGGAGTACTACCACGGCGTAGAGAACAAAAGATGACCGGTCTGTGCGCCGCCATACTTCAAAGCTGCAACTGAGGGGATGCGACCACACCCCGTCACGAATGGAGTATGGAAATACTCTATGAGTGGTTTCCATGCTGCATCCTAAGCAATCATATTCCTCCTACCTACATGAGCAGACTCAAACCGAGAAGAACAAGACACAACTTACTAGACGGTGTACAGTATTGGTATGTATACGGAGTACTACCTGTAGATCTGGAAGATCGGCTTGGAATTCCGACTGCAGCCATTCCGTCCAGGCGCCAATGCATGAGCAAAGAGAGCTAATTAAACATAAGAATTGCAATATCAGACCAACACCGTTTCAATAATAATTATCATGAGTATTAATCCTCCATGCACTTTATGCTGGAGTTTCACTTTGGATTTTTCACCCAATCCCGTGGTAATCCATTCACAGTCCCCGGGCGCAAGCGACCAAAGCACCCAAGTGCTCATTCTTCCCTCCGCTAGCTCTGCACTGATACTCATTGAGGCAAATTGCTCGTGTTGATCATGCTATGTGACACAAACGGCGAGGGACTCGTTGCTCTTCTCACTTGTGATTGCGTCCCGCTCTTATGGGAGAGTGCCATGCCCTGGTCCCTTATTACTCTGTGTTAACGTCGGGTTTACAATCCGCCTTGATGAACACCGGAAACTAGGGCTATGGCTCTGTAGTACGACCGCGCACCACTGTGCACAGGCACGGTGGTTTGATTTGGTTGACTTGTTACTGTACGTGGTGGGAATAGTAGGGTTGGTTCTCGGGGATGTCTAGTTAACTATAGCAACTAACTATTTAATCTACAAAAACTACGTCAGCGTACAGAGCCGGAGATGTATTTCCAAAATGCTTTCTACATGTGATAGTACATCGACAAACAACCTGAGTGGCGACTTCATCTATATCGTTAGTCCATATCTTTAGTCCGAAGAGCATCGCAGCAGCCTATTACTACCAAAGCCTAAACCATCCAGTCTCATCCTTATTCATCCACGTCACAAACAAGTAGCAAGAAGCCGACAGCAGCCAACTTACCGTCATCTTTGCTTATTCCATCTCGTACCCGGCCCCGAAAGCCGGCAACTGACGATTCTAACCGTGCGTTAGCCCGAGGAGGTTCAGCGCACGAACACTCGGGCCCACGGTGCCCTTCAATAAGCGGAGGATTGTGTCAACTGCACCCGGACGCATTTGGTCAAGTGCCAAATCTGACATGCATGGTCGGCTGTTAGATCTTGCTAGGAACGGGGTTGATTTTTCGGGACTGGGGCCGAATGTGACACTTTTTATTAAGGGCAGGGATGAAATGTTCTTTGCTGTTTTATTGGATCTTTCCAGAGGGATTGCGTTATTTGAGAGGGGGTCTGGGTTATACGACGTAGTTGACTTCTCACCGTGTAGTTTGAGTACAGAGTACACAATGGCGGAACACGGGATATTATGGATATTATGGCTTATACGACCCAATTACACCCAATGTGAGTGAAAATATGAATCTGGCCTATGAGATTCCCCTTCGAATTGCCAATCAAACAACTTGATTTGGTTCATTTTACAATATGCGAACTGGCTACACAACAGAAGAAATGTTGGGACACGGCTTGGTTGTCCTGCCAACATAGTTGGGACATTGTTCGTTTGGTAGATGGTCCACTGAATATTTGTGAGACGGGAGGCAATTTCATTGTATAGTATAGCAAACATCTATTTCTGGAGAGTTGGGACAATCTTTACAGATAAGATCTTTTCTATCAAGAGGTGGTCAAGGCAAGATATGAAACAACATTGGAGACATGATCAACTCTACCATATTGTACTAACTAGGGCTTGAGGCCCACTTAGTACTTCTGATCAACTTCCAAGTTTTGTACAGAAATGCTATTGCCTAAGGTCTTGGACACTATAGGTTGCTTGGAAACATAGTGAAAACATAGTGAAAACACGCAATCAACGTTCTCCCAAGCGCCACCAGCTCCCTCGTTGCCGGGCAACGGTGTTGATCTAGCGTCGATCTGGCTTTCGGCAATCAATTAGGTTGCCTTTTTCTTTGTTTAGCGTCAGTATAACGCAAGCAAATAAAGCAGGCAATTAGGTTAATTGCAATGATTGGTCTAGTAATATAGAGAAAAAGGCGAGACCCAGTGGTCTGATTGGCATTGCCATAGGTTGTTTACTACAGTTTCTTTGTACACCCATCGCACCTTCATCTTCTTCTCAACCTTGGGAACGTGTCTGTGAACTTGGGACCTTTACAAAACTTATTGAGAGTCTGTAACTCTCATCTTATTAAACCCCCTCATTCTTAAAATAGCACTGTCAACCGCGTGCGCCATGCTCGCCGATCCTGGAATGCATCCCTGCCCTTGATTTGAGTGTCTCAGATCACAAACATGGAGAAGCGAAAACATTATCCACTTCTACTGAGTGCGCTTGTTGCGTTGTTCAGCCCCTCCACTGCAATCCCCTACAATCCAACCTCCATATTCCTATCCCCGCGACACAACGACTCCCTAGCCTACATCCTCCGGCCCAACTCCGCCGGTACCGAGTTCCTCTCTCTGAACCTGTCCAGCAATATCAATGCCGACAATCTATCATACACCACCCTGTTAAGCAATACACCCTTTCACAGCGCGGACGGGAACTCAACCTTCACCCCCGCCATCGACGAGCAAGGCCTGATCACTGTCTACGCGGGAGACTGCCACAACGCAACTGATCACCCGATAGTATGGCAGTTCCACCCAGATATCAACAGTTCAATCGGCAACGGGACTTGGAATAAGTTATCCGTCAATGTCAACAAGAATGAAAAGACCACGCCGAATCATCTCGCTGCGGGGTTTACCTACTCAGCTAGCCATGCGAACGAAAGCTCCATGTACACCTTCGGAGGCATGTGTCCGTTCGCCAACAGCACAGACGAAACATGGATCGAGGCAGCGAACTATTCCCAGACAACGGTTGTTCTAGGCCAAAGTCCGTATTACAGTAATAAATATACCGCCGACACGACTGGAAACCGGGCACCGCCTGTTGCTGAAGCTGGGATGGCCGTTGTCCCTCTTCAAGCTACCTTTTCTGCTGACTCGGTAGCGAAACAGCAGGACTTTTTGTTCATTGGTGGTCATACCCAACTGGCATTTTTAAATATGTCCCAACTTGCTATTTTTTCACTGCCGCAGCAGAGTTGGAGTTTTGTTTCTGCGAGTGGGGAACCCTCGACGAGGAACGAGTTGGCTATTCGGGATGAGGCTGATGTTGAGCCTCGCTCGGGCCATACTGCTATTCTCTCGGAGGATGGGAATAAGGTCTTTGTACTTGGAGGCTGGGTGGGTGATACGTCTGTCCCCGCTGACCCGCAATTTGCAGTCTTGGAGCTTGCACAAGGGTTTGGTGGAGCCACTGACTGGGTCTGGACGACACCCTCTTCGGATGGACTGGGAATTGCTGAAGGTTCTGGGATTTACGGGCATGGGGCGGCGATGCTCCCTGGAGATGTGATGATGATTTCTGGAGGATACACCATCGCGAAGCAATCGTCAAAACGGGCGGTGAATGCGAATGCCAACTCACAGGTCTACCTTTATAATGTGACTTCAAACAGCTGGGTCAATTCCTACCGCAACCCTGCGGCCACGTCGGAATCCGCCTCAAGCAAGAGCTCAAATAAGCTTTCGTCGTCACAAAAGACTGGTCTAGGAGTCGGTTTGGGTATTGGTTGTCCTGCTGCCATGGCTCTTATATTGCTTGCATGGAACTACTGGCGAAAGCGCGGAGTGAAGGGCCAGCGAGACTCTCAGCTGCGCGAGCTGGCTCTCGGCGCGGAACGAGCTCACTTCTGGGGCCGAAATGATCCGAATCAAGCGAGTAGCATTCGCAGCTCTGGATTGAGCGAGAAAAGAGATCCTCCCGTGTATCCCTGGTCGGCAAATCACAGCCAGACAGCTCATCCTGACTGGAATCACCAGGGCGACACCGCGGCGGAAAGAACTGGACTGCTTATGGACGCTCCAAGTCCACCAAAGAACAACCCCCCTCCTGCCAACACCAGACCATACTCAAACCGCTACAGTGAATATCGACGGAGTGATGCCACCGGCGAGATTCACCCAATTGATGAGCGCGAAGAAGATGAGGCCATGTTCAGAGAACGTGTAATGGCAACTATTCCAGCCGCATCACAAATCCAAACCGCGGCGAAGATGACCGAGAATGAGGACCAAAATCCCTTCGCTGATACTCCCTACGGAACTCCTCGGAGTACCATTTTCGGTGTTGGCCTGGGACCCTTTTACAGCCGGAGGAAGGACATCGGCTCAGCAGATGCCGAGTCTCCAACCAAGAGCGAACGGACAACCACAGACCTATCAGAAAGCTCACAATTCTCTTTCGCCTCCGCTCAACCAATAGGCCGAGTTCACCAAGCCAAAGCCATAATCATCGATCGAGATCGACCCTACAGCTGGGGTAGCAGCCTGGAGCACTTCGCCGCAGCCTCAACACACAGCGACCCAGACGGCGTCGCCCCATCCGAGAAATCCTCCGCAGACTCCTACTCGACAGCACAAACCACCATGTCCCACCGCCTAGCAGAGAACGATTCTCTCCTCTTCGACCTCGACCCTGCCCAACCAGCAGAACCCCCTTCCCCCTCCAAGCTCCCCAGAGAAAAGTCAAGGCCCACCTCAGGCGGCTGGGTGATGAACACCATGCGCAGAGCCCTAACCATGACTCGCCGCCCAGACCAGCGAGACTCCTTCGCACCAACCACCAGCACTGGTCTAGCCTCCGGCATCGACCGCGGCAGCACAGTACTGGGCTCGGGCCAAGGATCCCCATCATCCAGCACGCCCCGGCGCACGGTCAGCGCCTCGGCAGAGCTCTTCCGCCGCAAGCAAGGTGCCAAAGACTGGAATGCGAAGCGCGTCTCAGACGACGTCTTCAACACGGCCCGTTCGTCCCGCGATGACCTTTTCCGAGACGCCCCGGGATACCTGGGCAACGACGCCTTCGAGGAAGCTGACGATATCCACGATTGGGATCTCGAGGGCACCGCCGATGGTCGTCGTGTGCAGATGACTTTCACTGTTCCCCGTGAGAAATTGAGGGTTGTTAATGCCTCAGCTGGGGACTTGGATAGTGTCTCTGAGATATCAATCAGTCGGCCTGGTAGTCGACGGGTTAGTACTTGATGCTGGATTCCGGACCATTCTTCACTTCTTGTTTGTACTTTGATTGTCTCTTTTGTACCTTTTGCTGCTCAGCAGCATTGGTGTGAGAGATTGGTGCCGTTTCCTATTGTTTGATATCCCGATGAGTTGATGGCTTGATGATTCGAGAGCGTTGTTAGATTATGAAGTTCGGAATTGATGTCTGTTTCAGCTAATACTTTTACCACTAGAACTTGAGTCTTATCAATAATTTAAGATAGTATCTTCAAGGCATTCTGTCCAGGTGGCCTTTCTCGTCTAAACCTGGCTAAGGCCGAGGGTGATGTATCATTGACAGGTAGATCTCTTCTACATTGATAGTTTTCTCGACTAAGCTAATTCTTGTTTTTATATCTTAAATTAGAATTAAATTTGAGATCTCCAATACATCTCTTTGTGTTCAAGAGGGAAATTGTTGAGGAATCAAAATAGGGGTCTGTCAGTACGCTTTTGGTCCCCTATATCTACTCTTTTCTAATACAAGCTCTTTTCAGCATTTCCTGGTGCCAATATTCACACCACGGTATACTAGTCTGTAATACTAGGATCATAAGTTGATTCTTATAGAAAAGGTAAGCAGGCAAGTATTTCAAGCTCATACTAACTTTGTTTTAACATAATATACCTAGGTCATGAGACAATAGTACATAAATACCTAAAGGCTCACCTGGGCAACCGATCTATTACTTCATAGGCAAGCCACTCCGATCTCTGCTCTTTCAGATCTTATAGTGGGTCGATCAGAACCAATCGGGGTCCCGGGTCATCTCGGGTTCGATCTTGGTTTCACTTTTAATCCTTCGATGAGTGTCTCTCACTGTCCAGACTACCTAGCTAGACAGTTGTAGATCAGGGCTTTACTTGGATTATTGCGAATTTCGCTTATCGTTATAAGTGCAAGACTTGACGTCCACGGGCAGATATGACTGGCTTAGAGCTATAGACATAGTTCTACACCGTATCTTGGACCATCTCAGCCCCCTGATCGGAATCCTATTGTGGGCCCGCTGAATCTAAGCTAATGCTGTTAGCGTGTTCTACGGTAATACATTTCCAGTCGATTCTTTTCTGCAGCAATATAAGCATTGGAACCTTGGAATAGAGGTGGCTTTAGGAACTTGAAATATCAATCAATTTAGGTTATTTAAGAGCAAGTTTAATGACATACCTTATGTTTGAGCAGTTATTTCTGTAGAAATCAGTTTCTCCAAACGTATTCTCGCTACTAGGATGTGCTGGGTTGTAAATCTCTGAAAGATCTACATGGCCTAGTGTGGACAGCTCCACATAACACGGCATAGACGAACTCTCCTGAGATTCCAATGAATATGGCATTTATGTAACAAAAACTTCGTAGCTCCGTGATAGCAAAAAAGACCGAGACCCCTCAATGACGCTCTTACATGATCAAGATATATATAATTTTGTAAATAGACATATGGCCTCTAAGCCGACGCACCGTTGGTAGCAGGTCTAGTAGGGATAGTCTGCGGGAGAGGAGGAAGCAAATTCTTCGCGCTCTCACGGGCGGACTGAGCCATGAGCGCATCAATAATAACAAGAGAAGACATAGCCTCGACAATAGGCACAGCACGGGGAGTAACGCAAGGATCGTGACGACCCTTGGCCTCAAGCGTACCCTCCTGAAGATCGTAAGCAGCGGTAGTCTGAGCCTGGCCAATGGTAGCAGCAGGCTTGAACGCAACACGGAAGTAGATCGAAGCACCGTTCGAAATACCACCCTGGATACCGCCTGAGTTGTTAGTCTTAGTGATGAGGCGGCCGTTGTCCGACGCAACGAAGGGGTCGTTGTGCACGGAGCCAGGAACCTCGCAGCCGCCGAATCCAGAACCGATCTCGAAGCCCTTGGTGGCAGGGATGCTGAGCATCGCGTGAGCGAGCTTCGCTTCCAGCTTGTCGAAGCAGGGCTCGCCCAGGCCGACGGGAACGTTGCGGATCACACATGTTACGGTTCCGCCGATGCTGTCGTGGTTGTCGCGGTATTTCTCGATGACTTTGGTCATGCGGTCTGCGGCGGCGGCGTCAGGGCAGCGGGTGGGCACGAAGGAGTCTACGGTCTCGCGACTGATGGTGTCGATCATTTTGAGGAACTCCGGGTTCGTGGAGGCAGAGGGGTGTTCGGGGGTTGGGGGGAAGAGGTGCTCGTTTCCGACAGAGGAGACGAAGGCGACGATTTCAACGCCGTGAGAGAGGCGGAGGTATTTCTCAGCGATGGCGCCAGCGGCGACACGACCTGGGTTTTATTAGATGATGTTTTCCTTTTTTTTTAATTGCCGGGAGGTTGTATGTACCAATGGTTTCGCGGGCACTGCTGCGACCACCACCGCTGCTGGCCTTGACACCGTACTTCTCGAGGTAGGTGAAATCAGCATGACTGGGGCGGGGGAACAGGTCCATTGTGCTGCCGCCGTAGTCCTTAGGACGCTGGTCCTCATTGCGGACCATCATGCCAATTGGTGTACCCAGAGTCACACCAAATTCTGTGCCTGACTGGATCTCAACTCGGTCTTTCTCGTCCCGCGGGGTAGTCAGGGCACTTTGGCCAGGACGGCGGCGGGTCATTTGAGGTTGAATATCAGCCTCAGTAAGCTGCATACCAGGAGGGCATCCATCGACGATACAGCCGACAGAACGGCAGTGAGACTCGCCATAGCTGAATCATGTTAGTGGGGGTGGTGACGAGGGAAAGTAGTGAGGTAACTTACGTGGTGACACGGAAATGTTCACCCCACGTAGACATAGTGACGGTTGATTATGAGGATAAAAGGAGCAAAGAAGGGAATTGACGTGATCAAGGAGAATCAATGAAGAGAAATGAAAACAAAGGGGAGAACAATAGGAAAAAAAGCAAAAAGATCCCCAAAAATCGACTCATCGCATTTCCTATCTGGGATTAGCGCACCCGAATATCGGCTCTGTAATGACTTGCGCGACGCGGGAACAATTTGCCCCCAATAATGCGCCTAATTGCTTCAATGCTTCAATGTTGACCCCAACTCGTTCAGCTTTGCGATTTAACTGGTTAAAGTCGAGGAATTATGGATTTCGCCATAATTCATCTTATCCCGTGAACCAATTCGCTGAATTAGCCCGCCGTCCCTCCTCTTTACACCAAATCTACACATCTCTATCCACAGACCCCTACGTGAACCTATCAATCGAGCACTTCCTCCTCCAACATGCCCCAGACGAATCAAGCGTTTTATTCCTCTACGCCAATCGACCATGTGTAGTCATTGGGCGCAATCAGAACCCATGGTTAGAGACAGATCTCCGCGCCCTCCACAATGACCGGAATGGCGCAGCTGGAGAGGAAGAGGCTGTCTTCGTGCGCCGACGATCCGGTGGCGGAGCTGTCTTCCATGACGAGGGAAACTTGAACTATAGTGTTATATCTCCGCGGACCTCCTTCACCCGCGATAAACACGCAGAGATGGTCGTGCGCGCTCTTCATGGCGTTGGGGCTACAAATACCAGTGTCAATGAGCGACATGATATTGTCATGGCTCGGACCAAAGCCCTAGAAGAGTATCCCGATGAGCCTCCCACGCGCAAGGTCTCTGGTTCTGCGTTCAAGCTCACTCGGCACCGAGCCCTTCATCACGGTACTTGTTTGCTTGATTCGCCGAATATCAATGATCTCGGGAAGTACTTGCGGTCATCGGCTCGTGGGTATATCCAAGCCAAGGGTGTTGAAAGTGTTCGGTCTCCAGTGGGGAATGTGTCGGCTGCGCTTGCCGACTCGTTCTTTTCCATGCAGGGCGTGGTCGCGGGCATCATTGAGCAATTTGGCCGACTCTACGGGGTAAATCCCGATGCTGTTCGCAGGGCGCAACGAGCCCATGCCAATGAGCCTGAGGTCTTTGCGGGCGATGATTGGGTTGCGGGTACGGTGAGCGAAGTGCAGAGCGAGCAGGAACCTGATATTGCGAAGGGAATCGCTGAACTGAGGTCGTTGGAGTGGAAGTATACTCAAACACCACGGTTCACCTTCTCGACGTACCCCATCGAAGAGGATCCTCGTGAAAGGCCGCCATTGCCTCCGTCGCTACCTTCAAGTACTCGCGCTTTTCTTCGCCTGCAACACGGCGCTGTTGTCGAAAGCCATATCTCCGTTTCATCTGACGAGTCCACCGCCTCTGACCAAGCCAGTCGCGTTCATGCAGTACTGAACGGACAGAATTTACATGAGCTTACCTTGGCACGGTGGTCCGAGATCCTGAAACAGGGTCTCGGTGGGACGGAAGGTGTTGATGACCCTCAAGTCAAAGAACTGGCCCGTTTCTTAGGTGGACTGTTGGGTGGTTGACCATTCACTTCACAGCTCGTGACATGTATAATATCGACTTAGACTTCACATACAATAATACCCCAGTCAAAACCAAGCAATGGCTTGCCCTTCTTCATTGGTGGACGATAATTATCCCACATATCAAGAGTCGAGGTGACTTCGAGCTAATTCACCCCAACATAACAGCCTATTCCAGACATATTAGCTTGTCGATCTCAAACTGCCGGCTAAATCCCAACCCCCTCATCCCCAGACTGGCTGAATCGGTCTTCTCAGCGATCTCCGACAGCCAATTCTATACATCGGCCGAACCACGCCAAACCCGACAATACTTTATCCACAGATTCAAAGTCGGTAAAAAACCCGATACCAAGCTCTATATAATTCTATCTAGCACCATCTTAAACATCCTACCCAACTCAATCCCAATTCTAACAATCAAAATGTCCCACCAAGCCAACGCCCAAACCCCCACCCAACCCTTCAGCAACAACCCCTACACCACAAAATCCAATTTCCAAGCCGCCTGCACAGCAATCCTAAATCCACTCCTCCCCCTCTTCACACCGGGCAACACGCGCATAAAAATAGGCACCTCGACAACGCGCTTCGACGAAGGCGGCGCCCAAATAGAAGGCTTCGCACGACCACTCTGGGGCCTTGCCTCGCTTGTCGGCGGCGGCTATGATTATATCGATGCAGAGCGCTGGCAGCGCGGGCTAATAAATGGGACGGACCCAGCACACGCGGAGTTCTGGGGCGACATCGAAGACTCCGATCAGCGCATGGTCGAGATGTGTCCGATTGGGTTTGCGCTTGCTGTTGCGCCGCATATTTTTTGGGAGCCGTTGACCGTTGCGCAGAGGGCGAATGTGGCCGCTTGGTTGAACAGTATCAATGCGCGTGAGATGCCGAATACGAACTGGTAGGTTTTGTCAAGCTCGATTTGATGTTTGGGTGTGGCGCATGTTGCACGTTGCATATTCGTCTTAATGCTTATACTATACCGTGCAGGCTGTGGTTCCGGGTCTTTGCCAATCTTGGACTCAGGAAGAATGGCGCTGAGTACTCGCTTGCTCGTATCGAGGCTGATATGGATCACTTGGATACGTTCCATGTTGGTGGTGGATGGAGTAACGACGGACCGAAGAGTCACCACCAAATGGATTATTACTCCGGTTCCTTCGCCATTCAATTCTTGCAACTTCTATACTCGAAGTTAGCGGGGGACTTCGACCACGAGCGCGCTGAGCGATACCGTCAGCGGGCGCGGGAATTCGCGCAGGATTTCGTGCACTACTTCGATCCTAATGGTGGGTGAACTGTTGCTACGAGCTTTTGGTTTATCAAATGAAAAGTTTCGGCTCTAACTTCCAAAAAGGCAGCGCAATCCCATTCGGCCGTTCGATGACCTACCGCTTCGCCATGGCCGGATTCTGGGGCGCTCTAGGCTTCGCCGACGTCGAGCTCCCAGCGCCCCTAACCTGGGGCGTAGTGAAGGGAATTGTCCTGCGCCATTTCAGATGGTGGTCTACACAGAAGGATATCTTTAACAACGACGGCACGCTGAGTCTCGGCTACTCATACGCCAACATGTATCTAACAGAGAACTACAACTCCCCCGGCTCACCGTACTGGTGCTGTCTCTCATTCGTCCCGCTGGTGCTCCCAGAAACGCACCCCTTCTGGGCAGCACCAGAAGAGCCCTACCCAGTCTCCCTGTCGGAAGTAATTGCCTTGAAATACCCCAAGCATATCGCCGTCCGTCGAGGAGGGCACTCGTTCCTGCTTTCGTCCGGCCAGGCATGCCACTACCCGCTGAAAGCTACGCAGGCGAAATACGGCAAGTTCGCATACAGTTCTGCGTTTGGGTACTCTGTTCCTACGGGTGGGTATCAGCTGGAACAACATGCCCCGGATAGCATGCTTGCGCTGTCAGATGACGGGGGCGATGTCTGGGCGACGAGAAGACTGGCGCTGAATGCGCGCTTCGAGGAGCAGGATGGCCAGCCTGTGCTCGTGTCTGGTTGGAAACCGTGGCCTGATGTTGAAGTGGAAAGTATCCTGGTGCCGCCGACGGAGGAAAATGAGAATTGGCATCTGCGCGCGCACCACGTCCGGAACGGTCGTGCTTTGCGGACTTCTGAGGGCGCTTTTGCCATCTACGGATGTCGGAGCGATAATGGGCGGATTCTTGGGCCTATGACTGAAGGTGAGTCTGAAGGGACGATGATTGGGAGGTCGGGTGGGCTGGTTGTTTCGTCGGCTGGGGCTGTTGGGATTGTTGAACTACACTCGGCTATTGAACGAAGTGGGAGGATTGTCTTGGCTGATCCGAATTCTAATATTATTCATGGACGTACGCTTTTGCCGTCACTTGCGGTGGATTTGGAGGCTGGCCAGGATTGTTGGTTTGTTTCAGCTGTTCTTGCTGTGCCGGATCATCGCAGGGATTGGAAGGCTGCTTGGGAGAAACAGCCTGTTATTCCAGAGTGGCTGAAGAAGAGAATAGGTTGATTGACTCTATGTAGACTATACTATTTAGATCTATCTATATGCGTACTGTATCAAGTGTTGAATGTGTACATTGTAAAGAGAAACTACATTAGCCCTAACTAAGGTTTCCCCGCAAAACATCAATATCCGATCGGCAACCCCTTTGAACTTCTCCTCTCCGGCTAAAGCTCTCTCTCTCTCTCTCTCTCTTCTGATTAGCCAGTTTATCCTACATTTACATTACTATATGCAGTACTATTTCCAATTAACCATCCCTATTAGCCATATTGGGAACTTTACCCCACCCCCGCCTTTTCAAGTCAGACGCCTCTCTCCATACAAGGGTCTAAGCTCTACTAGCTGCCAGCTGCCAACCCGTCTCGGTATTTCCTAGGATTCGTGGATCTTCTTCTCCATTTCTGCTCGCCTTGTTTAGTGTCATTCCTCCCGTCCCATAGGCCGCTCAGTGACCAGCCAAGACATGTAGGCTTAGGATGACACCTTCCATTATTTTAGGGTCGCAGTGGTTTCTTGCCTCTTAACTCTATATCAATAGCCGACGGTCATTGAATTTATATTTGTGATTATAGATATTTGCTTTAAAGGCTGGTTTTCTTCTCTGGATCTGGTCGATCACTTGAGCTTGAGCGGGTTATACAAGATGTCGTGGCTTTTGAAGAAGGTTATTCACAATGAGGCGATGAAAGAGGATCCGAAGGAGATATATGGATGGAGAGTCTTCTTGCTTGCCTGTTCGGTAAGTGTGGTTCTTAATGTTGTTTTGCGACATATAAAGCTGATGGTCTCTAGGCTTGTTGCGGAGGAATGCTCTTTGGTATGGATTCTGGTATCATCGGTGGTGTACTCACCATGCCCGAGTTCAAGAGGTGAGGATACTTATACATCCAGTTACCTTCATTTAGTTATGTATTCTAACTATATGTACAATTGCAGTACCTACGGACTAGAAGACGCCTCCAAAGTCGCCCAGGCCAATCTATCAGCCAACATCGTTTCTACCCTTCAAGCAGGCTGTTTCTTTGGCGCTCTATTCGCCTCGCCCATCGCTGAAAAATGGGGCCGAAAGAAAGCTCTGCTTAGCGCTGCAGTGGTTGCCGTTCTCGGAATCGTCATGCAATGCTCGGCCAGCGGTCACCTCGAAGCCATGTATATCGGACGGTACGAACAGCCTCAGAACAAAAGGACCTACCCCGGTCTCTGACAAAATTACAGACTAATCACCGGCTTTGGAGTCGGTGCCGCATCAATGATAAACCCTCTCTACGTCTCCGAGAACGCACCTCGTGCCATCCGAGGCGGCCTAACAGGTCTCTACCAGCTCTTCATCACAATGGGCATCATGCTCGCCTTCTGGATCAACTACGGATCTCTCCTGCACATCACCGGCCCCGCCATGTACCTCGTCCCACTCGCAATGCAAGGCCTGCCAGCCGTTCTCCTGTTCTTCGGCATGCTGATGTGCAACGAGTCGCCCCGCTGGCTGGCGAGACAGGACAGGTGGGAAGAAGCGCGCGCAACGCTGTGCAAAGTGCGCAATCTCCCATCCGGCCACCCATACCTAGAAGCCGAGTTCCAGGCTATCGCCACGCAGCTCGAGCAAGAGCGTGCTCTTGTTGGCGGTTCCGGGTTCTGGGACTTGATGCGAGAGATGTGGCTGATCCCAGGTAATCGCAAGCGAGCGATCATCTCCATCGTCTTAATGATTTGCCAGCAGATGACCGGTACTAATGCGATTAACTACTACGCCCCTCAAATCTGTAAGTTCTCGATACTATAAAACAAATAGCAATCTGCTAACTAATCCCTCCAGTCAAAAACGTGAGCATCCACCCCCTTCCTTCCACAACGCCCATCCATGAATCATTCTAACAACCCCAGCTCGGTGTTGTCGGCAACGCAACAAACCTATTCGCAACTGGCGTCTACGGCATCGTCAAGATGGTCGCCTGCGGCGTCTTCCTAATTTTCGTGGCAGACTCCCTCGGCCGCCGCCGCTCCCTCCTCTGGACGTCCATCGCCCAAGGCCTCGCAATGCTCTACATCGGGCTCTACGTGCGCATCGCGCCGCCCGTCGAAGGCGCCCCTGTCATCCCAGCCGGATATGTGGCGCTTGTATGCATCTTCCTCTTTGCGGCTTTCTTCCAGTTCGGATGGGGCCCTGTTTGCTGGATTTATGTTTCTGAGATCCCGACTGCCAGGCTGCGCTCGCTGAATGTGGCATTTGGCGCGGCGACGCAGTGGCTGTTTAATTTTGTGGTTGCGAGGGCTGTGCCGAATATGTTGGCTACTGTTGGTGCTAATGGTTATGGGTGAGTTTGGTATATCTCTGGGGGTTTGCGGTTTAGGGTTTGCTAATTTGAGGCAGAACGTATATCATCTTTGCTTGCTTTTGCTTCTCAATGTGTATCTTTGTTTGGTTCTTTATTCCGGAGACTAAAGGTTTGTTTATCTTCTATTTCTCGCGGTGGGGAATATGGTTCGCTAACTCACTCGCAGGTATGTCTCTCGAGAAGATGGATGAGCTCTTTGGTGTCACCCAGCTTCTTGATCACAAGAATGCCGATGCGGAGCGAGCTTCCATTAGCGAAGAGGCGGGCAAAACCTCCCAAGCACATGTTGAGAGGGTGGCATAGGCGGCTATCATTTCCAGATTAGGGTTACGTGGAATGTGAACGACTATTCAAAGGTCAGGAGCAGGTTCAAGAAAGCAATATTTGAATTGAAACAGTATTCACATCGGTCATCGTTATTTTCATAGACATCATAAAAGTAGCCCAAGCTTCCCAAAAAAATATGTTCAGGTCCCAACACCTCAAAGGGACCTCGTAGTCTGTCAATACATGACCAAAAGAATATTCGCCTGCGCTATGAAAGAAGAAAAAAGAACAAAAAACAAAAACGGATTGAAAGCAAAATGGTTTGATCGCAAAGATCAACCGACACAAACACCCAGCTCCGAAACCACGGCCCTTCCAGTGGAAGTTGAGGCCCAATCTGCCATTTCATTGACAGAAGGGGCCTAGTCGGTACCTAAAGGGTAAAGCGTTGATTGGCCAGTGGTATAGGAGAAACAGACAGAGAATGAAATAACCAAAAAGACAGAGAAAGCAAAATAAAAGGAACGACGAGTTATCGGATATAACTAGACGGGCGTCTACCAAGAACCCCATGCTGAGTCTGACTGCGGGTCATGCGGCGAGGGGTCGGATCATCATCCAAGCTTAAACCACCCATGCCGGATCCCAGACCAGACCGGCGAGGCGAGAAGAAGGCACTTGACCCCAGGCCATTGTTGTTTCCATACCGAATATTACGGTTGGTGAAATTCGTAGCAGTGGTGGTGGTTGTGGCGATAGTGTCGTTATCAGAGTCTTGCTCGTAATCAGACGCGGAATCTATTTGCTTCAGAGATTCCATGGTAAAACTATGCGGGTTCTCGGTCTGCTGGAATGGATTTTGGCTGGCAGGCGGGAACGAGTGAATCGTTCGAGACGAAGCAAGCCCGTATTGCGGCACGGAAGGCAATGTAGATGAGAAACTAGAGGCTGCCTCTGTATCTCCGAATGAAAGCGCAGCAGCAGGAAACGGAGCCTCGAATGAGCGGTGCACAGGTGGACTGCTAACACGAGACAGAGCATTAGGTGTGGAATGTGTTGAAGGTTCATTTGAAGGCCAGTCAAGAGCAGTTGAATGGCTTGCATTCGGTGACTGTTGTGGGGTTGGCGAGACAGATTCTGATTGCGGCTGAGTTTCCAATTTCGTCGCTCTATAGAAAGCTAACACATTGAGGGCCTCTTGTGCGACCATGAAGATCAGAAGTGATTTGCCGTAGCGATCGAAGTAGTCTCGGTTGAGGGACACAGTTGGCAAATGCGCTCCCATGTGAATCACTGCGGCAAGTTCGGTGATTGAAATCAAAATTTCCGTGCCATTCCATTGCGCAAGGGGTCTTTTCACCATGTCGATCAGCGCGAATCCAGCAACAAGGCTGGCAACACCCAGGGCTGCAATTTCCACGTAATTTCCTGGTAATAATATTTGGTGGTTTTGCGAGAAAGTCCAAGCACTGATGAATGCAACTAGCAATCCCAGTCGGAGACAGGCATAAAACAGATAGTTCTGCGTCTCAACAAGACGTGCAGAGCCCTGGCTATATGTGTGCTGGTTCCAGCTAGATCCCTGAGCATCTTCGGGTTGGAAATTAAAGGCACGATCGAACAATGTTTCCAGCCCAGTGGATGTATCATGATCACGAGGAGCAAAGAACTTCGGCGGTTTGAATAATGGCTCTGCGTCAGCAGACTTTTGCTGCCAATGGCCTTGTGCCTGGGAAGGACTACGATGGAATGGGTTGGGCTGGATCACTTGTTCAATAGGTTTGGTCGACGTCTGAGTGCGAAGTTTCCACGAAGGAGGTGCTGGGGCCGGTGGAACCTGGCCCTGAAAAGGATGAGGACCACTAAGCACCGACGGCTGATTTCGCTGTGTTACTGTCGGTCGAAGATTGTGAGTGACAGAAGGAGACCAGTCCATGCTATCGTTGTCTTCGCTGGTAGTTGCGACTGCAAGCGACTGCTCAACGAGTGGCCGACGTGGAGCCAATTTGTCAATTGGGAACCGCGGGTTGAATCCAGTTCCATTCGCCTGCGGTGTGCCTCCCGATCTGGTGATTTGAGTCGATACAGGTGACCCGACCTGTGTCGGGGAGGACGCTGTGGCATTTTCGAGTCGAGTCTCCCAGCTATTGTCAGACCAATTGACCAGTGGACGACTCTTGTAGCTTACAACATGCCTGGAGAACAAAACCGACTATTTGAATTAGCACATGTTACCCAACTGAGACTGGTGGGCAAGAAATAGTCACCAAAATTGTGAAAACCATCATTAACGCATGCAAAGCCAGAGGCAGATCATATTCCAATCCACTGGCAGATGGATCTTTGAGCACTGCCCAAAATACGCACCGCACCACCATGACGATGAGCTGTGTTTGATAATACTCTGCAAGGCCGCCAAATTTACCGGGCATTCCATCAATCTTCAGGCGCAGCTTCGGGTTCCACCACAGAGAAAGTGCACCCGCAATTAACGCCAGGCCAGCATTTGGAGCTAGGTCTAGGGAGCAATCGCTAGGAATGCGCTGTGTATAAACAGACTTTGTAACGCACGAGAGAAAAGTGTTAGGCTCATCATCATCAAAGCCTTGCGGGCTTTGAGCGAGTGTCACCAAACTAACCAGATCCCACGCAAGCTGACCAGTAATACTTGTCCAGTATGAGCATGCGCCAAAAACGAGAAGTAAACTCCTCCAGCTCCGGTTTCTAGCCTGTCGCGATTCCCGGTTCGCCCTACTTTGATCCATCATGCGCCGTAGATGATCTGACTTGGCTTCGTAGCCGGCTCGTCGGATGCGCGATTTCACGATAGGTTCGCAGGCTTCACAAACCTGGGGATACCGGTCCTCAAGGCTTCGACGGAACTGCTCATACCCGCGTTCATATTCGCTGTCGGTAGGATCGTCGGAGGGAGGAAAGTAGGAAGCCAGTGAGCTTGTAAATAGATGCTGATTGCGAGTGCACTGAGCACAGAATAATGGCTGTCCGCCTAGATCTGCCGATTCGAACGATGGACTTGATGCGCCGGGGGAATGAACTTCGGCATTAGTGACCACAGCTGGTGGATCGGTAATTTCACCATTCTTCATTGTCAAATAACAGTCAGTATCGGCTCAGAACCCGTTTTGGGCCTTTGTGGGAAAAAGTCCAAGGAACTCACCTCGTCCAAAAAATTGTCAGCCTCGCAGTGCTCGCAGCGGAAATTGCGGACAGGCCCACGTTGAGATCGAGCAGATCGCTGCCCACAATAGAAGCAGGTCAGACGCTTAGTGAATAAAGAGGCCATGACATAGTAAGGAAGTGCAGGGAAAGAAAGAAGCGTGAGTGAATGTAAACAAGGGAGATGGGAGAAAGAACCAAAATGTGAAAATAAACTGCACGTGCGGGGAGAGAGACGTGTACCGCGACTCCAATTTTTGTTGCGCTTCTTCTCAAAATCAAGAAATTGCCATTGCGTTACATCTTTCTCTTCTTTCTGCCTTTCTTCTTGTCCCTCTTTATATGATTCATCTTCGTTCTTTGATAATGACACATTAAATCAAAATCTCTTCCAATGATGCATGTCTCTCTCGCTTTTTGGTCCTCATGGGACTTGCTCCTGTGGAGTATCATCTTTGCCATTATACTTGGGATCAGCATTCTCTTTGTAAGTCTTACCCCCTCGCGCGCTGAAGCTAGTCTAACTTTTTCTCTAGATCATAATTGTCTCCCTTACAATCTCCCAAAACACTGCTGTCTCAAAAGATCGCCAACCGGGATCTCCGACCCATATCTTGATTGTTCTAGGAAGTGGAGGACACACAGCTGAAATGTTTTACATGCTCGAACAAATGAAACTCGACCCTCAAAAGTACACGTATCGGACATACCTTGTGAGTTCCGGAGATGGCTTCAGTGCCCGCAAAGCCAAAGATTTCGAGACCAATCATATACAAACGAATGGAACTCACAACAAAAACTACACTATTCTCACCGTACCCCGTGCTCGAAGAATCCATCAATCATACCTTACCGCACCATTTTCAACGATCCACTGCTTCTGGGCTTGTCTGAACGTTCTTCGCGGACGTCATCCAGAGCAGCGACTTCCAGAGGAACACAATTCTCCTTACCCAGATTTGATTCTGACAAATGGGCCAGCTACCGCGGTCTGCGTGGTTGTTGCCGCGAAACTGATCCGCTTCTTTCTTCATCTGTCTACTTTCAGCTCATGGCTACCAACATGGTCTACAGCTCCCTCTGTGTCAAAGCTACGCACCATCTATGTCGAATCTTGGGCCCGAGTGAGTACTCTTAGCACTTCCGGAGTTCTACTGTTGCCACTTGCCGACCGGTTCCTTGTTCAATGGCCTACCCAGGCTGGACGGCGCGCCTGGTGGGGGATGAAGAGAACACAATACGCAGGATGGCTGGTGATCTAAGTAATTTGCATCTTGATCGATATTTGCTGGTTGAAATCATCTTAGAATGTTCAATTGTAGAAATCATGAGAAACGAAGTTTACTAAGAAATGAACTGACTGATAGTTCCACTCCAATTGACCTTTGCATACCAATTGTGCACAAGCCAAGTGTTCTCATGCTACCTACTTGATGTTATAGACCCTAACGTGGGTTTCCCTGGTTTGAGTTAGGGCAAGCAGTAACGTCTTTCTCGCAGGATGTAATGAGCGATGGCCGCTTTATGGGCACTCCGAATATGTATAAAAAACCCATGTTCTACATGGCCCCGGAGATAGGATGTTATTGATGTCTAGGGTCTCGAGCGTATATGGAAGTCTGAGCCTAACCAAGAGCGCCCTGGTTAAAGCGACTAGACAGATAAAGCCTTAACAGAAGAGATCTTACATATACAGATGGCTCGGTTCTTCCGAAATATGAAAATAGGACTGACAGAAAATTCAAGAATTTAGAGAATCGCTCGCCTGTAGTTAGATGTGGCCATTGTATTCGAATCGGCTCGCAACGAAGTCCGCATTGCCCCGCATCGGAACTTCCGACGCATGTTGCTCGGCATGAGGGATCAGCTCTGCAGGGCTTTTAACTTAAATTCTCCTTCTTGGCCGATACTATTGACTCAATCTTGTCAGGATCATCATATCTTACCATTGTTCACGATGCCATACTCTTTGTTCGGCCGTAATGTGTTGATTACCGGCGGCTCTCGGTAGGACTCCCAGCATCAATTCGAATACAACACTACTCTGTGTGAGTCGAGAGCTAATATTATCATTGAATAGTGGCCTGGGTGCACTCTCGGCTGAGAAGTTCGCTTCTGAAGGAAGTAACATTGCTATCAATTACATGTCCAACAAGGAGGTTGCGGATAAGCTTGCTTCGGATATTGCAAGCAAATACAATGTGAAGACTGTTGTGATTCAAGGCGTATGGCTGTCTTCTTTTATTTTGATGTTATCCGCAATTTGTCTAAAACCTTGGCTGCTGACACTTTCGTGCACCGCAAACAGGACGCTGGAATCAAACAAGACTGTATCAACACTGTTAAATCTGCCATTGAGCAGCTGGGTGGCTTGGATATCATCATTTCAAATGCTGTGGGTGTTATATCTCGGCTCAAGAAATGGAAAGAGTCGTAGGCTAATCAATTGGAAAGGGTTGGACCAAAATGACCAACTTCGGTGATCTCGACGCCATGGACGACGACGACTGGGACAAGGTAGTGCATGTACCCTTTTTGACAAAACAGATTGGCTAATCACGAAAAAAGTGCTGGTCTGTGAATGTCAAAAGCAGCTTCCATCTGTTCAAGGAGGCTTTGCCAACGTTCAACGCGAACCCCGAGGGTGGTGTCTTCCTCATCACAGGCTCAATTGCAGTAAGTGAACCAGTCACTCCAAGTGATCTTGAGCCATGATATCTTGAAATTGCCAAGATTCTAATATAAGTTCCGGATTTTAGGGTGTTTCGGCAACGGGTAGTAGCTTGCCCTATGCCGTCACGAAAGCAGCATGTATGTTCATCTTTCTAAAATCTTCATTGCTCAATCACTCACAAGACAGCTCTCCATCTTATGAAGTGTCTTGCTCAGACCCAAGGCGCAAAAGTTCGCGTCAATGCTATTTTGCCTGGTCTTTTGCTGACTGAATGGGTTAGTCAACTCGTCACGGAAATATCGATCAAAAGCTGACCGCATCGCAGGGTCAACGTTTCTCTCCGGAGAAGATCGAAGGCTGGACAAATGCCACAGTTCTCAAACGGGCGGTAAGTACAAGTTTCGAAAGGATACTCACGTCTTGTTGTACCAACCAATTTCTGTGCAGCCCGAGGTCGAAGACTGCGCCGATATGTTCGTCACGCTCGCCAAGAACCCCTCTATGACAGGACAGGCCATCCAAATCGGTCAGTCGTCAATATCCAGCAGTGGAATAGAAGCTAACAATTCCAGATTCCGGATTTGCTATTAAATAGATTCTCAAAGGCAATGTATCACACGCTAAATCATGGAATAATAATACAGAAAGTTCCTTTTATGTCATACAAAAGGATTTCGGAACGGAGTTAGTTTCCAGTCTCCATATTGGAAGCTTTTGTCACCAAACATGCGAGCTCTGCGCGCGGCTACGAAGGCACCTGAATCTTTTTGGCCTTCCACTTTCAGGCACTTGATGCAAAGAACCTTGCCATCGGTAGTAAACACGTAGAGACGCTGTTCAACACTCGATTCGTCCGGAACATAGGAAGTTGTAAATGGAATACCAGGAAGGATAGAGAACGATTCAGACATCTCAGGTGGGTCTACTTCCTCGAAGTCGGTGAAGATTACTCGTTTGTGTTGGAATGAGAGTTGTGTATCTTCACCTTTGGTAGCGCATAGGACCTTGCTCCATAGAGGACCAATCACCCGGTTGCGTCTGCTTATATCTGTCGAGGTCCATTTCGCCCAGTCGATGTGTCGATCCTCGGGTGTGATCTTAGAAGCGTGGATCAATTCACTAGTGTCCTCGGTAGAGCGCCATCCGACTTCCTTGACTGGTGGCACGTATAACCCTTTGTCGATACTTTCCACAAGCATTTCGGCACATTTCGGCGCGACAATGTCCAGCAACTCAGGGACGGTGCAGGTTTCTGGGTTTGGAATGTCGAATCCGGGGGCAGGGGTCTGTGATAGAATCACCCCGTGGTCGAAGCTTTTGTCGTGCAGTGTTTGGAGTGTCACACCGGTGGTTGTCTCGCCAGCGAGAAGGGTGTGATGCACAGGTGCAGGGCCGCGGAAGCTAGTCAATCAGTTGAATTTCTTCATAGTAAGCGCTTGAGTTATACCAGTCACATACGCTGGTAGTAATGAAGGGTGTACATTCAAGCCACCGTATTTGGCTCCATTCAATATACGTGGCGGGACGAAGCGTCCAAACGACACGGCAATGATCAAGTTGATGGGGCCATTCGGCGAAGTTGGGGGCTGTGACGGTCAGTGAGAACAACAATCGATTGATTCAAAGTATTACCGTCCATCCAGTAAATGTATCAATTTCATGCACCGGAAGGGAGAGAGCTGATGCGGCCGCTTTGATCGGTACTACAAAAAGCATTGGGTTAAAGAACGGTTCCTTGCTTACGAGTTTGAAACAAAGCTACCTTCTCGGATCCGCTTCAATCCTCTTCCAAATCTTTTTCCAGGTCGACAAACGACATCAATTGAAGATATTCGTTCCGGTTTCTTTAAATGGTAGGCATGGAGAGCTTTCAACGAGGCAATGCTTAACTCGTCGGAGCCACAAAAGAGAATGCGGAGTGGATCGGAGGTCTTGGTGGCATAAGATCTCAACACAAGACTCGGGAAAACCAATGGTCTTCTACAGAAATGTAGGCTCGCCGGGCCTGGGATAATCCACATGATTACCGGTAATATTGCAGAAGAACCAGGCGCCAGGAGAAGAAAACTGAAGCTCCATCATAGAACCTTATCGATAAGCCACGTGATGTCAACATCCACCCCAAATCCCACTATGGGGTCATCTTTCTTTCATCCTTTACTGCTTTTACCTGCAATAGCTGCCCGGTGCGAGCTGCAGACGCAGTCAAGTTATGCAATGCCTGAAAGCGACCATGATTCTGTGATCCCAGCGCAGCTGTCGTATCTCGCCATCTACAATCCAACCCTTGGACCTACCGACGAGACGATAGCGGATCAGATCGTGTTCTATACTTCGCAATCAAGCCATGAGCGTGAGAACTCTAGACTCAAGGCAGAAGGCGAAGAGGCAAGGGAATTGGAAAATGAGAAACTGCGCCAGATCGGCCTGGCGCAGGGTTTGGTAAACTTTGCTAGGTACGCTGTCACGCAACCCCGCAGATGAAACCAATCTAATCGCGATTGATGCGTAGTAATTTCTCCGACGGAAAGAAGTTGGAATATGTTGAAACAGACAAAGCACGGGTTGTTACCCTTGAAATAGAGAAGGACTGGTGGGTTGTTGCGGTAAGTGATTGACATTTAAATAGTGCGGATCTTGAAGCTCATTAAGCCAGTCTATCGATCTCACCCGACTGCCCGCCGATCCAGCTCAAAGTTCCGCGTCTGACAAAACCCCGACATTTCAATATTCGTCGCGAGAGATGACACCGCCACCCCTACTGATCCAGCAAATACGTCGCGCGCATTCGCAATTCCTCCTTCATCATGACTTTACAATGGACGGACTCTTGAATCGAGTTGGCAGATCCACATTATGCATTTTTCTTGATCGTTTTTGGGATAAATTTGCATGGAACTGGGAGCTTTTGTTGACCGGGAACCCAATTGTGGAGATCTACAACGGCATCAAACTCTCTGCTGGAGGAGAGTTAGGGATCGGCGTTGGAGAGGAAGAGTGGGGCAGCGGGGAACGAGAAGTACTCGAAGACTTCGTGACAAGGGCAGAGGGCTTGGTGGACTTGGTTGTCTCCAGATTTGGCGATCCTTCCCCACCGTTCGAAGGATCTCCGGCTATCACCAACTCCAATGATCAACGCCAATGGCTTGGAGCAGATAATGCCCCTCGACCATCTGATGGCGTAGTTTTCACGGGTATGGGTGCTCTTTCTCGACACTCACTGGCACATGTATCACACTGGATGGAATGGATCTATCGGTTTGGGGATGCTGCCTATGGAGTTGGGCGGGACCCAAGCTCACTGCGTCGTCGCAAGCCACGAAAACAACGGGGAAGGCAACCTTTCGGAGATGATGCACAGCCCTCCACGTCTGACCGTAGCTTCACGCCCGGTATACCTCGTCCGCTTATAATAGGAACACCAGAGCCGGTTCAAGAAGTTTCCAAGCCGGATCACGCAGAAGCCCGAGATAAGCCTTTGCAGGTCAAACCCGAGCAAAAGTTTGACAATCTCGGATTCCCCACAGAGACGGTCATGAAATATCTTACTCTTGGATATGGTTCCTCTTGGAGTTTCTCCCCCAAGTCGACATCTATGTCACCTTCCGGTGACCTCACCCCAGTGCAAAATGGATCTGTTTCGAGTTCAATCCCGAAAACTCAACCTACGAACATTGCCCAACTTGCACAGGCAGACGAAAATCACCGAAATGACACAAGAATCGAATCTTCGGGCCGCTTCATTCTAGGACCTCGTGATGATCTACAAGCATTGGATGATTTCGAAGAGGGAAGCCCAGAGCCCGAGTCCGAGAACGGCAAACCCAGAACTCGCATAGTGCATAGAACTTTATATGTCCACCTTGGTGGGACAGATACAACACCGAAGAAGCTTCAGGCGGTGATATATGTGGTATGTCTCTGATTGTCCATGCAATCATCCACAAAGCTAATACGCAACAACAGCACCAACCCTTCATGTTCACATTCCTGTTCGACCCTCAAACACCTTCTTTATCATCGCCATCCCTCTACTCGAGCATGCATCATCAGCTCGGCCCTCTCCAAAAGCCACTGCTGTCATCTACCTCCCCAACAGCAGCGGCCTCTCGAATCTCTATATCCGAAAACTCAGACCCCAGCAAACGCTTCACAACCCGCACCCACCCAATTTACGACCTAGTCTACGACCCATCAAACCTAACAATCCGCTCCTCAATCCCAAATATTCCCACCCTCAACATCCCCCAATCCCCTCAACCGCCCCGATCGCCACCTCAATCCTCCTCCCCATCACACTGGTCCCGCATCGAAAGTCTAGCAATCCACCACCGCCTGTTATCAACATACACAGACACCCGCTCTCGCCCCCAAGAACTCGAACGCACAAGCAAGACCAACCGCGGGTGGTGGGTCGTCTGGGTCCGTATCCCCGCCCAAGCCCCAGCTCTCTCCACAGCCTCTTCCTCGCTAGCGCTGTCGTCCATGGTCGATGATGGCTCATTCACAATATCTCAAGCCCCCCAGGAGGCATTCATCGTCCGCAAAGCGAGCGACTATACCTCCTCGACAGGCCAGGGGCGTGTCAGCAGTGGCGCGCGCTTCTTCCGTGATCTCGGCGGTGCATCTTCCACAGGTCTGACGTACCGTGCGGATATTGCGCCTTCCAAGTTGGTTGAGGGGCTTGGGATGGATGCTAGGAGGTATATCGAGGGGCTATTGAGTTTGAATCGGTAAAGTGGGCACTATCCGTCTTCTCACATAGCTCATGTGTATATCATCAGGTAGTCACAAAGCTCGATATTGATATTATACTCTAGATAACTATTGGAAGCACTACATATTAGGTAGTATGTAACGTTGACCGGGTGAAAGCAAAACGGATACCTACATACAGGCTTGTGGTTGTAGACAGGCAAGGCTACAGGATTAAAAGATGGAAATGGGTAATTTTCATGCATTAGCTGTAACAGAAACAGATGTAGTGAAAGAGAGAAACAATAAAAGCCGAAACGAGCTCTTCGCATATGGGGAGATAACCGCAAGAACGATCTATGACACAAGGGGGAACTCGAGCAGGGAAGACGAGTCATTGAGGCTCCAAGGGCTAAACTGCAAGGCATTCATTCCTCTTTTCCGACAACGTCCTCGGGATATTCTTTTTCTGGTGTCGATTTATATTTGCCACTCATGGGCGATATGGGTTGAAATTCACGAGAACGAGTAGAAAAAGAAAAGCCCACAGGGTTATGAAGACAACGCCTCCCTAGACAAATTCTGCAAAATAAAGGCAAAAGAAAAACGCGTCGACCAACTGAATTGTGGAATGCTCCACGACTCGGGTGCCCGAATTCGATATTATCCACAATCTCGTATGCAGGCCTAGAGGCCCTCCTGCTTAAAGAATAAAATCACCAATTGCTGTCCGTGGAGGCTCATGAATTATGATCTCCCAGCCAAGCCCCGACACTTTGGCTAAGTTTACAGGATCAGGCAGCCCTTGCTCCTCTTTTTGCTGCCTTTGACGGCCTTCAGGAGCGCAGCTCGGGTAGCGGCCTCAAAGACTTCACGGACACCCTCGTTGGTGCGGGCCGAGCACTCCAGGTACTTGTAGGCGCCGATCTTCTTGCGGACTTCCTCACCCTGTGGGGGGTTAGTGGATATTGTAGAATATCAAGGGGGCGGGGTTGACGCACCTGCTCGGATGAGACGGGGCGCTGGGAAGTCTTGGCCAACTCGTCAATAGTCTTGGGGTCGTTGCGCAAATCCATCTTGCAGCCAACGAGGATAATAGGGAGACCCTGGCAGAAGTGCAGAACTTCGGAAATCCACTATTGGAAATGGGTCAGTTTATTCGGTTCCGGTGGTCCACTGTGTTTGCGATATGTTAGGGACACCCACCTTCTCCTGGACGTTGTCGAGCGAATCGGGGGAGTCCACAGCAAAACAGATCAGGATGACATGTGAATCGGGGTATGACAAAGGACGGAGACGGTCGTAATCTTCCTGGCCAGCAGTATCCCAAAGAGCAAGCTCGACATGCTTGTTATCAACCTCGACATCGGCGACGTAGTTCTCGAAAACGGTAGGGACATAGACCTGACGGGAGAACAAAGTCAGATTATGTTTGATTTCTCTTGTGATCCTGAGAAAAGGGACATCGTATCGGAAATCGGGGTGTGGAAGATAGATAAGAGCTTACCTCGGGGAAGGTGCCCTTGGAGAAAACACTGTGACCACCGTTAGTTAAAATCTTCAAGAAAAACGAAAGGATGTCGAAGCGCCCTGGGCAGGTAAATACTTACATGAGCAGACAGGTCTTACCGCAGGCACCATCGCCGACGATGACGAGCTTGCGACGGATCTCGGCCATCTTGATAATGAAGTCAGTATATGAGAGATCAAGCAGACAACGAAAATGTCGTGCGAGTGCGAAAGTGATTCAAAATGAATAATGTTCAGTAACGTGAGGGGGTGACAGAGACACGAGATGATCGAATAGAAAGGGACAAGTCCAGCCCCGGAGGAGGGGGGAAACAGGGGTCGCAACGGTGTGGTACCTTTAATGTGATAGACTAGCTTGAGCTAGAAAGGTCGAGGAATATGAAGATAAAGCAATACGTTTCGATGGGAAACGATGGGAAAAAGACGATAGAATGATGATTTGGAGGTGGAGGAGAGAAAGATAGAAGACCAGGCCAGACTGGCAGAGCGGTGGCAGTATTGGTATTTGTTGTTGGTATTGTATTTTGGTTTTTCCCTCTTTTTTGTTTACCCCTGGAAAGTGAGTTGCCTAAGTACTTTTACCATGTGTAGTACGTACACTCGGTACCTTGGGAGTTTGGTATATTTGGTATTGGCTCGCCATTACTTGGTTCGATCTGAGTAACTATTTGGGTATTGGTATCTAATACCTAATTGGATACCAAAATATTTTACTACTAAAAGTTGTACGATTAGTATTTTACCCCCTGAGTTTCAGGCTACCTTTTTTAATGTGGCTTTTTCCTCCAATCTAGAGAAGGATTTAATTCTATTAAGAAAAAGCAGTCATTGATACACAGCCCTAGGTATTGGTATGTGGCTGAGAGGAGGAAAAAAAGAAAAGTTGCCTCCGCGTCACAAGGCCCACTTCTCTCTTGGTTACAAGCACAGCCACCCCGTGGCTGTGATATCAAATTGTAAGATGTGAGATCCGTGGATGAACTACATTGTATTTCTGTACGGAGTATGGAGTACTCCGTAGGTTACATCTACTTCACCGTATTTATTATGGTTATAGCGCTTATCTTACCTACTATAATCATTCTTACTCTATATTTGCATTGTGGCTTCAAGGTCTCAAATACATGTCGACTCCTTTAATATCCAACTCAAAAGTTCATAGACTAAAAAATTCCCAATTACCCCAATATTGTACCAAGATCATTCAAACCATAACCGCACCTGGGCACCTTCGCAAGTACAGATCTCATTCGAACATCTAAGAAACTACCTAAGTTACCGGGATACGAGATACGGTGGAAAGTACTACGCCAATGATATTGAGCATTAATACCCTTCTCAATGCTTGTTCCAAGTTTCCAGTGACGATCGCTCTGGGTAGTTCGTATGTATGTCTCCCTCACTTCTAACGTGGATCGATTCCCTAGTTTCTCTCGGCATGTACTACGATCATCTCTCATTTCTACGTAAAACTCATAAGCAGTATCCAGGGGCTTCTCAGCTGACATTGTGTAATCTTGGAATTTTGTACACCAAATCACGTCAGTAAAGGTTTACCCCCTTTGCTAGCGAACTTCCATGACTTCACATTCCTAAAGTGGAGCTAATACTTCAATTTCATGAGGCGTCGTTGTGGCTGACTAAAAATAGTTAAGGGGCCCCGGCATATTATGGAGCCGTTGTATTTCTCGGATAAGAAATAAGAATTAAATACGGAGTAACTACGGAGGCCTAATTGACTAGTGAATGTGTTTCTCGGATAACATTTAAGAATAGGAGAAATAACTCTTAGCGTTTCGATAATTCGGCAGCTACTCTCTTCTTACGCACACTGATTTGAAGTACTGATCCACTTATGTCTTAATTCTCTACAGTATTGTACGGAAATGATCCATGCTCCGAGACATATCTGTCAATTCGCTTGATTACTTACAATCTCGGCAAACGCTACTTAGGCGTTGCCAAATCTGTTCGGCACTGTCATGTCAATAATGAGACTGCCTCTGTGGTATGTTCAGGATCCACGCAAATGCATGCCCATTGCTTGAGATTTGAGCTAGAATCATAGTAAATGTATCACGACAACACAAGGCTCTAGCTGCCCCTTTACAATGCAATCCAAAGCCACATTCTAGGGAAGCTCTACTTTACAAACACCAAATTGATGCATCCCAAGGAGAGAAGTATGCATTGTCCGCCCCAATGACCAATTGGCGTAAATCGCATGATCCGCGTAGGACATTCATTTCTTGGACTACCGCTGTACATTGGTACCTGATATTATGGTCTGAGCCACGAAATCTCTGGACAAAGCTAAATCGTCTATGCGTGCTTACTTTCATGATACACATCTATGAGATTGCAAGGGCCTTACCCTTCCGGTATGGCAAATTTTCGTTTTCGAGAGACGTGTTCGTTGTCAATTTCCAAAACACACAGCGAAATTGCTTTTTAAAGCTCAAATGATATACAATTCGACCTAAGCTTTCACTGTTGGTACATATACTTCCAAATTAACACGTATTATGTCAGCACCGCAACAGCGTGCTGGTCACGTGCCATTCGGACACCCTCAATTTTCGATCCGCGGATCGAGGTGTTTGCGGCAGAGACAACGTTCGGCCATTGCTGAACCACACCACCAACATGCAGAGAGTTATCCAACGGACGACGTCGGCACGGAAGCAGGCTCTGCGCAGGACCATCAAGTCCCAAGAACGACAGCAATTGTTGGACCGAATCCAGACTAAGCGAGCACGAAAGGACTACGGCGCCACATTGTCTGCTCAATTCCAAACGGCACGGAGGAACCGCTATGAGGATTGGGAGAAGGGCCCCCTTGCCCCAATGCGAGACTCCGGTCTAGATCGTACCACGTATGGTGGCCAGGAGGGTTCTGTCTTGCACCCGCCGCGTCTCCCTAAGCACGAACAACGGAGGCACGTTCTCTTCGCCGAGGGTGATCGAGTCTGCGTCATTCGCGGACGGGAGCAAGGCAAGATCAATGTCATTACCCAAGTCAACCGAGACAGTGAGACAGTCCTCATCAAAGATGTAAACATGGTATGTGTCCGGATTAGCTTTCTGTCTGAAATATGTAGAGCAAGCCACTCACTGATACCTTCCAATTAGGGCGATGTCATTATTCCCGAATGGGCCAAAGACAGAATGTCCCATAATGCCGATATCCAAGCACAGGCATTTCCTGTGCCCTTCGACGACATCCGACACGTCATTCCGCTGGAGGATACCGAGACTGGCAAGCTGGAAAACGTCCTTGTCAAGCATGCATATGCTGCCGGCCCTTACCACGAGCGAGCCCCCCACAGCAAACTCCCCAGATACTCCCGTTATGTCGCCGGTTTGGACATCGAAATCCCCTGGCCAATGGAGGAGGAACCCGTCATTACCGATGGCGAAATGGACACACCACGAATGGAGGTCGAGGCTAGCACATTTGCCGCTACACTGTCGCAGCCCCCTATGCCCTCAACTGTGATTGACGAGCTACGCAACAAGTACGGTAAATTCCGTACTCGACACGACCCGGAGTACTTGCGAGCGAAGATGATGGAGGATTACGAGAAGGAGTACAAAGAAACTGTGTCCTTGACCACACCGAAGACAGAAGCTGCCAACATGCGCGCGGCCAAGGCACTTGAAAGGAGGAAGGCCAGAACCGATGCTGATGGCAATCTGAAAATGTCTAAGGACACTATCAAATTCATTACCGAGCAGATGCAAAAGGCAACCATCGCCACCCAACCCGCCCCTCTAAAAACAAAGGCGAAGCAGGCGAAGCCCAAGCAAACAAAGCCCAAGGCGACTGCTTGAAGGAGCGACGAGGGAAGTCAGGGACGGGTTTTTATTGTAGCATTGTGTACACACCACTGTATTCTAGTCTGGAGCTTTGCATTTATTCACATATCTATTATCCGGCAAAGTCATTCAAAACAAAAAAATCCAGCGCTTATGAGTAGAAGATCCATATTTTAACGTCACGGTGCTGTGGCGGCTATTTCGGGTCCGCCCTGCGCATCTTCGACATTTATCTACCAATTCCCCGACCTAACCTACATCACCCTGCAACTGCTACTCTGAAAGCAGTCGCATACAAAATGGCATTTGCCTCGATCAACTCCACTGGCGCGCCTATTCCTGCCATTGAAGAGGCTTTCGCAACAGAACCCTCATTAAAAAAGAGGGTCTACGATGCGATCGGTGCGTAGCCAACAACGCACCCACGTCCCCCGTCCGATAACATCGACCTCCTACTGACCGTCGCCAATCGGTTTGATCACTTAGGCTCAACACCTCAGCACAAACCTCTGTTGGAAGATCTTGCAAAATATACCTCTAGCCTGCTGGCCAGGACTGCCAATACCTCCCTTCCTTCCCGACCCCCGGCCGATGGCCCTGCTGCTAAAAAGCGCAAGCTACAGAATGGAGAGTCAGGAGAGACTACGCAGGCGTCAGTCGATCTGAAGGATGCTAATGCGCCGGTTCAATTCTATGTTCAAGATGTTTCGTTCGCAACGCCGCAGAGGAAGAAGCTTACCCTCGAGATCACCGCTGGGCAGAAGTATCTTCGGGCGAGGAATCAGAGTACAAAGGAGATTGAATTCGGTGTTTCGATGGATAAGATTCGTGAGTTGAGATCGACTCGATTATTGGGTAAATGGCTGTTAACTTGTACTGTTTACTAGGACATGCCCTCTGTCTTCCTGTGCCGGAGAAGACACAGAAACAGTTCAATTTCTGTATCATCCCCGAGTATGCGGATGGCATCACACCCCCTCCGGAGGGGACTACAACGTCTGAAGCCATGGTGTTTACGATAGCTGATGGACCGGCCAAGGCTGCATTCTCGGGAACCGGGCAGCAGGTTGGTAACAATCCGGGCGAGACAGCCGAGGGATTGCTGGTCAAGGTTTTGAACGAGAACATGCCTCGAACCAATGTTGTGCGGCCCGACGATAAACAGTTCGTCAGTGCCATGCCGGAAGCGCACCGAAAGGGCGAGAAGGCATACCATGTAAAGGCATTCCGCGGCAGCAAAGAAGGTATGTAATATCCCTCCCTATCTTCGTTCAGAGATTGAACGGTTGTGAACAGATTCATACTAACATTTCGTTTGCAGGCTACCTCTTCCTTCTCTCTACTGGTATCTTGTTCGCATTCAAGAAACCCCTTCTGTTCTTCTCCTTCGATACCATTGACTCTGTCTCTTACACCTCCGTGCTACAGCGCACATTCAACCTTAACGTCATGGCTCGCCCCAATGGCGGCTCTGAAGAGGACAACCAAGAATTTGAATTCTCGATGATCGACCAGGCTGATTTCTCTGGAATCGACACTTACATCAAACGACACGGACTTCAGGATGCCAGTCTTGCGGATGCGCGCCGCGCAAAAGTCTACAATGTCAATAAGGCAACTGGAGAGGATCAGACCACTGCTGAAGCCGCTGGTGAGGATGAAAGTGAACTTCAGAAAGCTCAGCGGGAGCTCGAAGACCAGGAGGATGAAGAGGAAGAGGACTACGATCCTGGTAGTGAGGATAGTGAGGGCAGTGGGTCTAGCAGCGATGAAGATGACGATGAGGAAGAGGATGGTGCTGGTCAGGAGAGTGACGAAGATATGGATCTTGTGAAGGATGAGCTTGGCAGTGAGGCAGAGGACGTTGCGGATGATTAGGGTGTTAAGTCTGTGATATCTACTCTGTCCTCCGTATAAAATGTAACGATAGGCGATTCCAGCTTCCATATCTAACTAGACATGTCATATTAGATTCAATATTCAAACACTAAAGCAATTAAAGGAATAAATGCATCATATGTACTCTGTAGAAGACAAGGGATCGACAACGGGTTCCTGCCAAGACGGTAATTTTACCGCTGCGTTTGTGTCTGTGGTCTGGAATGCGCCTAATCAACTCCCCTGAAAATTTATGATTTGGCACTTGTCTCTCGTTCGGGTTGAAGGTGCGGGTTTTTTTTTTTTTGGCTTAATCGCGATATCGAAGTGAAGTCGGGTCTATTTTCCTAACATTTCGGTGCCTGGTGCCCTTGATGCAGGTTCAGGTAGCGCCGAGGCTTGAGCCACGATACACAGACATATCTTCAGATTTAGATATTATATATGTATGCTAGATAATAAAATGAATCAGATATTTACCTTGTAATTGTACAAGATATGAGAATCAAAGACCATATTGATTAACTATACTACGTGTACTAAGGCAGATAAATTATATTGTATTCATGGTGATTCGAAGAATAACCCCTAATTTACCATACAGTGACTGTACCACTGTTACCAGTCCCTGCGCCCAGTTTCCCGTCTTTTTTCCCAAAAGATCTTTAGTCAATACATACCTAATACATACATACCTCTTTCATCTCCTTCCTCTCTTCTTCCTGCTTCATCCCCCTTTGGTCTTGTCTATCCTTAAAACCACTGCTCAGTGCGGCTCGTACTCGCAGTAGGTCGAGTGCACTGCGTGTGTGTGTTTTTTTTCTTTTTTAACTTGAAAATTAAAGATCCTTCTCTATCAGACTCCCCGGTCTCAGTTGCTCGTCACCTCCGACCGTTGAAGGACCCGGCCTCAATTGCTTCTCAACATTGCCAATTTCGCTTTGATCCCCGTTACCCTGGCTTCTATATACCGCTTCGTCTCTTTCATTGATCCGATTGCATTCCGTTTGCTATCCTTTCTCCCATACCGCCATCGGTACATCGGTTATCGCACAACTCAGTAGAACCCATTGGGCCTAGTTGAGCTACTTCGTTCGGAAAAAAAGAGGTCCTTGTGGTGTATGAGATTAGACTTATCCGGTCGCCCTTCGCCCTTCGTCAACTTCGTGTGTGCTAACTGCGCCCAGTGAGCGATCAATCACGTGTCTCCGTCCCCGAAGCCATTGTCCTGTGATTCAAGGTTCCCTTATCCGGGTCTCTAACACTTCATCCCGTACCCATGGCCTCCTCTTCGTCAAACGTGGTGGGTGTCCACTACCGTGTTGGCAAGAAAATCGGTGAAGGTTCCTTTGGTGTCATTTTCGAGGGCACCAACCTCCTGAATAACCAGCAGGTCGCTATAAAATTCGTACGTCCTTCCCCTTGAATTTACCGAACTCCCAGGCTGATCCCAATACAGGAACCCCGGAAAAGCGATGCTCCCCAACTCCGCGACGAGTACCGAACATACAAGATCCTCGTTGGATGTCGTAAGTTCATTATCCAGGGATGGTGATCATTTGCCCTGTGCTAACCTTTCTCAGCCGGAATTCCCAATGTCTACTACTTCGGACAAGAGGGTCTTCACAACATCCTCGTCATTGATCTTCTCGGCCCTTCCCTCGAGGATCTCTTCGATCACTGCAACCGCCGGTTCTCCACCAAAACTGTGGTGATGGTGGCTAAGCAGATGGTGCGTCTCTTTGCTTGTGAAATAATGGCTCCTTGCTAACCATCGCTCTAGCTGTCGCGCGTTCAAACGATTCACGAGAAGAACCTAATCTACCGAGATATCAAACCAGACAACTTTCTTATCGGCCGGCCGTCCACCAAGGCCGCCAATGTCATTCACGTGGTCGATTTCGGCATGGCCAAGCAATACCGTGATCCCAAGACCAAGCAACACATCCCCTACCGTGAGCGTAAATCCTTGTCTGGTACTGCTCGTTACATGAGTATCAACACACATTTGGGCCGTGAGCAATCTCGGCGTGATGACCTGGAGGCTCTCGGCCATGTGTTCATGTACTTCTTGAGAGGCGGCCTTCCCTGGCAAGGCCTGAAAGCTGCTACCAACAAGCAGAAGTACGAAAAAATTGGTGAGAAGAAGCAGACAACAGCAATCAAGGATCTTTGCGATAGTTACCCAGGTATGTTATATCACGTTTGCTAATCCTCATCTCCGAGTGCTAATCATTCCGCCAGAAGAATTCAACAAATACCTGAGTTATGTGCGCAACCTCGGTTTCGAGGATACTCCTGACTACGATTACCTCCGTGATATCTTGACTCAAGCTCTCAAGAATGCCGGCGAGGTGGAGGATGGCGAATACGACTGGATGAAGCTCAACAACGGCCGAGGCTGGGACTACAAGTCCTACTCATCCCAGGCACATCTCCACAACCAGCACCAGAGCTCATCTGGACGCGACTTGCACGCAAGGGAACTCCGCAACAGCCGCCCCGGAGTCACAGCCGATCGTTTAAACGCCGCGCAGCCCCCGCCTCCTTCTCCAGCGAAAGTCGGAGCTGGAAAGACGCGCGAGCGCCAAAGCGCCGGCGGCCTGCCGCCCAAACGTCAGAGCGGGGGACTGGAAGGATCGACTCCGGCGGCGTCAACTCAAGCCCAGTTCCAGAACTCCAATGCTCACCTTCCCAATCGTATCGGAAGCCCAGGGAACCAGGGCCTGAACAGCCAGCAGCCTGTCGGTGCTCCAGGCAACAGCGATGCGCCACTCACCTTCACGCAGAAAGCGATGAAGTTTCTGTGCTGCGGTAGGTGATCCGGCTGCACCACAGAACTCGAGCGGCCAGCTCATCCCAGGATCCAGGTTGAATTCCAACCAAATGAAGCTAGGGCACGTCCAGATCTCCCGTGTCACGTTTTCTATCTGTATCCTGCCCTTTATGTCATAAACTGGTCCTTGGAGGTCGGCATGGGATTTCTTTCATTTTCTTCTCGTTTACTTTCAACTCTCGCTCGATTCTTGTCTCGTTCAAGTGGTCAGTGCCGCTTGGCCGAGCAAGATTCGCGCTTCTCGGCCTATAACACCTTTGGGCCCTACCTCTTTTGTCCCATTCGACCCTTCAGCCTATAAATCTGACTGGGGGTAGGAACAACCTTTCTCTCATTGATGTTACGTCCCATCACTCTTTCATGGTGCTACGGCTCGGAATCGGCGAACTTGTGAGATTCTTGTCTTGTGGTTTCGATTTTGCTTCCTCGTCTCGTCACTATATTCGGCGTGCACCGTTTAATATCATCCCTGGTCTTTCAAACGGGCAGGTGCTCGGTTGATTCCCTGATACCATTGACTCGCCATGGCCTTGGCCTTGTGCGTTTTTTCGTCTCGATCAATGGCTTCAACCCGCGCCCGAGAATCAGAGTCTGTCAACCCGCCCGATAGCTGCAGTCTCCGAGCAGTTACAATCGACTGAGCTGGGTCTCAGCCTTTTCTGTCCCTCTGCTGGATAAGTACGCTACGCTACGAGCTTTCCCGTCGGACGTTTGATCTCTCTTTTTCTCGCTCTGTGCATCCGGGCAAAAGTGTCTGCATTTTGCGGAACAATGAGCATGTTGCATATATCCCCCTTTCCCCACGTTCCCCATTCCCATCAACCATCTGCTCTGCCCTTTGATTGTTCCTTCAAATCTATTGCCCATGTCTATAATCGTTTTTTTGTCTTCTTGTCGTTTCTTGCTCTTCAGAAGCGAGTTTTTGTTGGTAGTTGTGGCATAAGATAGCATTCTTCTTTTTTTCATTTTGACTATCCTGCGCTTGTTCGTATGGCGTATATAAATAACTGTAATAGAGCTATTGCATCTTGGTGTTTGAGTCTGCGCTTTGTAGTGTAGGTTGCTCTAGGTCTGTCCTTGATGTCTGGATGTCTTGTAGTAGCTTATATCCCAGGTATTTCACTGTGCTATCTAAGCATACCCGTCGTTTATCTGTCATTGAGAGGAGATTATGAGGACATAGACATATATGTATTCCTATCTTTTTGGTCTTGTCTGCTGCTAGACACATTATCGTAACAGATATATACGTATTCTATGGCACTCAACAACCTCCACGTATATATTTGCCCACCACTACAGCAATAAGGGCAAAGTTGTGTTTCTAATGTTATTTGCCTAATGATCTATTTATAATGGATTGTTCCAAGACTTGTTATTCTAGCTTTCCACTGCATAGGACACATCTATTGCGACGTTGAATATAGACCGGTCAACTCACCAACTTAGGTATCCTCCACAAATTGTCCACCGTACACCTTAAGTCTATAGACCCTCTCCCTGCCATTAAATCATAATGATACCCATCTAGGTAGGAGTGCCCATCGCAGCAAAGTTAATACCTCTATCGTTAGACTTTTCATCGACATCATACCCACTTCCCGTGGCAACCACAAGTAACTCAATTCATACTACATTGTGCAGCCACACTCTGCAGCTCAACTTGACTCTACGCTAATGCAAAGATCACCAGTGTGTGGCATGTCATGGTGTGACGTAGGTCGCCTAACAGAGTAATTCGACATCATATGTGGAACGGGAAGTAACGACATTCGACATTAGTCCGAGCATAACCCATGCAATACTAGTACACCGTACAATATGATGTCTAGCTTAGTATGATATACATGAAGTCAGGGATAGCGAACCCCGCCGCATGGGACGTTCTAAGAACAAAATCCGGCTCGGCATCGCCCTCCTAAGCCTAGCAAGATCATGTTCTTCAGCCGTCCAATGTGACCAATCTATGATTTCAAATGCTAAATCCATGCATCCGTCGATCATCCCCAGACTCTGACTCTGCACCCTGAACTCTATTCCACTGCAATATGCAATATGCAATATGATATACCCTGTGTAATATCCGCGCCGAGATACATAAACATAAACATCAATCACCTGCAACTAACCTGAAGCAGTATCCTCGCCGTTACCAGCGGTAAATTTGACCAACGCCATCCCCCACACATCCCAAGCCCTACTCCGTGCAGCTATATTGATAGCACTCTACGTAAACCACCCAATAGCAAGCACCGGACCCCCTCAATCAATCATACGAGTAATATAACAAGCCACACAATCCCCATCCCCGCTCTAACCAGCCACCACAGCCAAGCCTGGACCGCACTTCCACATCGGGCCAGCGCGGCCTAAGCACTATCTCCAAGCACCCCAAGCCTACAGGGGCAACCAGTCACCAGACGTCGACGAGCCGGTTCGTCGGCTGGGGATTAGTAGCTGTTCCCTCTTTGCTTTTGTTTGTTGCGTGTGGGCTTGCGATTGGTTTGTCTCTGGACTAGTGTGGTTCTCTTGCATAATCCCCGCATTTTGAGTCCTTGGCGGCGTTGTTAGGCTGGTACGAGTCAGGCAGAGACGTTCTTTTGGGGTTTGTTTTTCTTTTCTTGGTGCTGCTGACTGGGATGGGGATCCTTGTTGGATTGTGCTCAAGATTGGTTAGTTGGGGGCAGAAGAGTTTTATTGGTTTCCGGCCTGGGGGGTGAGTTTGAGCTTGGACGACACTTTGGCGACGATGGGATGATGTACTATGTATAGGGTTGTTTACTGCTTCTTATAATGTTGCATTTTGGATTTATTTTGGGCAAAGAGTACATGCGTACGGAGTAGATAGGTTATCGTTGTACAATCTTGTGTATGGTATGACTCGTTATCGCACTCTTGAAAGTGAAACAAACATAGATCGCCATAATCTCTACAATAACATATGCACATAGATAAGCAAGAGTCCAATACAATATTGTATATTATCGTAGACCAAATCACACGTTCCCGGCGTGACACAATCTATGCACTAGTTGCTCTAAGTGCCAAACATGAAACGGCTCTCCACAATAAGCCGGAGATCGGAGATCGGAGCACAACGTGAAAAGATAAAACCATCAAGCTCATTCTACAATGAAATAGAGACCGAGGTAAAAAGCACTAGGGTGCAGATCACAGCTAGCTATTCATGGTTACGACTGGCGATAAAAAAGAAAGAAAAAAAGAACAACCAGGATGCATTAAATCAAAAGGACCTTCAGCGCCTAAATCTGACAAAAGTTCTAGATTCTAGCCAGTCAGAGATTGACCCACCTAGAGCACGCCTTTGGCAAGATAATAGTCCTACAATCTCAGAATAATAATAATAATATAGTAAATTGTGAGCAGTCTACTCCATGAAGAAAAAAACCGTGATGCCTAAGTTGTTTCACGTGTTTCGCGTAGCGCCGTCTATATTGTTTAAATCCCGCGTCCCACACGATGAAATAAAGCACCGCAACGAGGTCTAGAAGTCAACAATTTCTGTAGAGTCGATCACGATCTAAAACAACGACTAACCTGAGTGTTTTTTTTTTGCAAATCTCCATCAAAAATCAAGATTTTGACGACGATGTGGATCCAAATGAAGTCATTTGCGGCTTCTGCCGTCTGATCGACCACCTGCGCTGTTTTGGATGGTCAACCGCACTTTGACTTTACTTTAGTTCCTGTTTAGCGTGACATTTGTCTAGGTGATGCTATGAGGTCTGAATTCTTTACGGAAGACTTGCGGGACAACGTGCTTTGCACTAACGGGAAAAGGTCTTCGGCTGTGGAGTTGTTCCGCTAGTCTGGAACAAAGAATTTCTTTTTTTCGTTTTTTTCTTCTTTTTTTGGTTTCTGGATAGCGCTAAGACTTGATCTGCGAGTTTCTTCACTTTAGACTTCCTTTCTTCCTTGCCGTGTGACTGGCTCGGCTGGGCTATCTCATGATAACTCTGGATCGGCAAATTCTATTCCCGCTGGACATGCACGTCATGGTATAGGCTAAAATGAAGATACCATTTTCAGGGGTAGATCTGCTTGGTCTTTGCTTTGGATATCCCTTTTTGCTACTCGGTTATCGTCGGCTCTGGAAAAGCCTAGATTTCTACGGAGTACGGAGTACAAGGGACAGGGTTAGGACAGGGTTAGGGTACAGACAGGATAGCTATACAATAATGATAGGGCAACTAAATAAATAGTTCTGAGGAAAGATGATCGATCGATGCATTAAGAATGAGTGGCACGAGTCATACCCCTGCTTTCCCCTCATTTCAGTTCAAAACATGGGGATACCACTAAGTAGGGAAGCAAACAACTGAAGCTCTGTTCTGCAGCTCTGCAAAACATCAACTGACAGTTCAATTTGATGTTGTAAACGTTGTGATAACAATTACATGCAAGATCCTCCCCCACGCAACACGGGTAACCTTGTTAAGACTCAAATACAAGAAAGGAAACACATAAGCCCAAAAAAAACAAAAATTCCTCCATCACTTCTCACTAGCAAATATTAGTAACCCCAGGACCAGGACCTACAGTAGTGCCAATGCACCCCAGCAACGACCCATAAAAAGAAAGGAAAAGAAAGAAAAAGTCGCATGCTATCCCTCGCTACACGAGACTCGTCACAGTTCTAGACGTCTTTTCCGGTTCCACGCTAATCTACACTGACCAGCGCAAGGGCGCATCGTAATCCCGTGCGCGCCGATGTGGGGATGTATCTATCCTTGCTTCGAGGGGAATTGTGGATTCTCTCTTTTCTTTCTTGTTTGGGATTGGGTGTTGGGATGTGTCTATCCGCTTCGTAATAAGGGGGATATGTAATGAGGTTCGGACTTCGATACCTTTGCGTTGGAGCTTGTCCCTATTCAGGTGTCGGTCGGCGGTAGGTGGGCTCCGAGACGATCTAACCCGGGGTCTGCTAGGCGCGCCGTCTGGGGGCTTGGAGGCTTTACGGGGTGATCGATGGTGTATCATGCCGAGTTGGCGCCGGGTTAGTGGGCTCGGCGCTGTGCTTTTGCTTTTTTTTGCTTTTGCTTTTTTTTTGCTTCTTTTGATTACACTTTACTTACTGCATTGTGAGTGCAGGTAGATATGGTTGGGTTCGCTATCTGCATTCTGCAGCGGTAGTTGTATGTGTACGTCGCTGTGTGGAATGTGTCTACGTGGTACATTCCACATATTTTGTATGCGTGATATTTGACAGTTGTGACATTTTGACAGGCCGGCGCAGTGTAGTCTCGAGGTCTGTGCAGCGATTGAATTTGTTAGTTGCATAAAGCAAAAATATCAACGGACGATCCATTTGCTTGCTATCTGAGCGTTGAGGCGAGTGGGTTCTGTACTGGACCTTACTAGGTATACAACATAGTAATGTTACACGATTCGCCTCTTAATAACACCGCAGTTACATTGATGGTGCTGCTATATTAATGGTGCTGCTATAATAAGAGTAAGTTTGTTATATAGGATCTAGATACAATCCAGAATCGCCTAGATGTCCAGGCATTTGACTTCATAACCGCCTGTCATATCCACGCCCAATGGCGATAGGCGAGCCAAGCTTCACGGAACCATGTCCAGCGGCAACTCTATCATAGAATGCAGTAAGAGACCAAGGCTAGATGTAATTTATGTATACAGAACCTCGGAATAGTTTGTTTATTGATTCTACCATACGTTATATACGACATATATCAATTGAACCCCCAAAACGATATATAATAGTGATTACCACCTCACCTGACTCTTATCACTCGGTGAGAGAAGTGGATACTTCTCCGGAGGTCCCTGGAGCCTCCGGACAGATCCTCCAGTCTTGGGCTCTTGGCTCTCGGCTTGGGTCGGCCGTAACCATTATTTCGGTTGACTCACTTGATTCATTCAATCCATTCAATCCATTTTGTACCCTCAAGTTCGCACTTTTTTTTTGATAGCGATATCGGAAGAAATAGGGCGTACAATCAGACAGCGATACCCATGCCGACAGTCTGTACGGGAAGTGTTGGCTTGGCGTGCATAGAATGCGTATGCGTGGGCAGACTCGGGGAGACAAACGAAAACTATAGTGGCGACACTCGGATCTCGAATTGAAATTTTCGTGGTGGAACTACGAAGGTGTCAGATTAATATACTATACGATAATAATAATAACTATACGTTAGACAATATACAAGTTTACTGAGAAATTGTGTAGAGAAATCTCTTCCGGTGGCGATCGTGTGGATAAGGCAGAAACTAAAGTTGCTTCGGCGGGGATTTCTAGAATTCTAGAAGCCTGGGCATCTCCGGTTGCGGTGACACGAGGACCGTTTACTATACAAAATGATATAGCGTAGTATATGAAAATTCTACTCCGTACACCGTACAATATTTATCTGTGTAGGTTTATAGATTTTTGTAATTCTACGTAATTGTGATCTTTGATTCACAATTCGGGGTTCTCCTGAGTCCGCCACTTTCAGATACGATACTGTAGACACACAAACACGCGTCCACGAGTCCCAAGTATGTTGGATGAGCATTCCTGCGCAGTCATGTTGTACAAATGATACATATGGCTTAACCGGTTTTGATGATCGGCAGGGCAGCGATCTTATACCTTGAAGATCAATGATTTGATAAGTTTAGGTTTTACATGTTACTTACCTCGAAGGGTACATGATACTGTACATAATTAATGGTATCACTTGATGTTTTAGATGACGTGCAAGACCATTCCAAGACCATTTCTGCGCGTACCCTCCGAACGCAAGGGAGGGAGAGACTTTTCTTATCGTTAATTACAGGTATCATGTGGTAATAATACACCAGAACCGTGGGTCATCCCGGTCTCGGATGGCGTGCCACCGTGGGCCAACGCAGTGCGTAGATTGGTGCTATCATGAATTAGGCAAAAGGTTTTAGATATCAACATGCAGAGTTCTTCCTCCGAGAATTATTTTCATAGACTACAAGATTATACCAAGAGGACCATATAAGTGATTTGTGGCGTGAGGTGGAGTTCAGGGGAACGAAAGAAAAGCAAGGTAAGCCAAAAAAAAAGAAATAGAATGTCGCCACGTTGGGCTTCTAGAAACAGTGGAATCTTTTCCACGTATGACTTTGTATGATTCTGGAAGGAATCAAAAACAAGGATGTTGAATTAAGTTGCAAAGAGGATATTCTGCAGCAATTTGAATCTCCCCTAGATTTCAAGGTTGTATCTACAATACTCTACTTAATTACCTTTATACATTGCACATTGTAACCTCTATCATCCCTTGCAGATCTCGAGCGCTTGTTCAAACGTGTGGTGATCGCGTTGCCACTTTGTGGTTAACCAATCATAATAAACCATGGGAATAAAAATTTTGATAATCCCGATTTGGGGAGAAAAATGAGAAAAAGAAAAGAAAAAAAAGAAAAAAGAAAAAGAAAAGAGAGAAAAAAAAAGAAAAGAAAAATCCCCATTATGACATCTTATCGAAAGGGGAATCCACTTGGGCGCAGAACTAGTTAGTGAGGATCCACTATGTTCAATTTGTTCTAGCTTGATCCACTCAGAATCCACCTTGGAATCCACTTCGTATCGATGATTACCCATACCGTCATATTCTGGCCCTTATTATCTTCTTTGGATGCCCGCCTCAGATCACTTCTTAGCATTTCATCTTGATTACCTTATCCAAATATCTCTCTCTCACTCTCGCTCTCTTTACATTTGGCTATCATTCCTCTATACACGCCCTCACTCTATACATTGCATAGTCTCATGCCGTCTGTATTATAACCTTTGTCCAATCTGGAGCGTCATACACGCAGGGGAGGACCGGTGAGAAAAAAGCCGATTAAGGGTCCCCGACGCACACTCTACGCTATGCTTAAAAAGAAGACTCTGGCGCCGTCCCTCTTCTTTCGGAGCCATACGCCATCAACAACCCCCGAATTATCCCCCACTTCTTCAGACAGCGATTCTGAAGAGGACATGGAATCCTCTGGCTCCCGACCGGTCAGCCTGGTGGGAGCCTTTTCAATGCGCCCAACCCTCGATGAGGTCCTGGCCAACGTTGCTCCACCTCCATACACCCTCAGTGCCTTCATGGCTTACCTCTCCCAAAACCACTGTTTGGAAACCCTGGAGTTCACATTGGAGGCCAACCGATACCGTGAATCCTACTATGCCATCATCGACCGCTCGGGACCAAATGCCCTTGCTGCAGAATCCTCCGAAAGTCAACACATGCGCATGCTCTGGCAGCGTTTATTAGCAGCCTATATCTTCCCGGGCTCGCCTCGTGAAATCAACCTCTCCAGCGAGGTCCGCGATGCCCTCCTACAATACTCAAACGTCTCTGCCCCACCCAACCCCGAGATCCTCGATTCCGCAGTCAAGCGCATCCACGATCTCATGGAAGAATCCATCTTTCTCCCCTTCATCAACTCCCACACTACTTCTCCATCAATGGTGCCCTCCGAACCCCTCATGGCCCCAGACGACATCCTCAATCTCTCTTCTTCGACATTAGACGAACACCCCATGAAACGGGTCCGGTCGCGTGTCTCAAAGCGCATATCCCCACAATCCTCTCTCAAGGACTTGCCCGCTACTGGCCACAGTCGCTCGACCATGTCCCTCGGCGTCCACGCTATCGGGAAACGCGCATCCGGCGCTCTCCTCAGCACCTCCACCGAGTCGGCTTCCCTGACTGATGACTCGTCACCTCAGTCAAGTCCCACGGCCGAGGAACCAATGACGCCCCCTACTACGCCGCCGGCGAGTGAACAACATCTACCCATACAGAGCCCGAAGCTTCGCACCGAGAACACTTGGAAGAAGATGGGCATGAAGCTGGGGTTCAAGAAGCGGTCTACTACTGGTAGTGGGGCATCGCGGGATCCCAAGATCCTTGGTTTGGACGAATAACTTTACTTTTTTCTACATTCAACTTCAATTTGGATTTGGAGTTGAACAATTCACGACACACGACTCCCTCAACGAAACTTATCTTCTTTCCACTTTTGGAATTCCGACCTGCATCCACGACTTGTTCTAGCCTTTTTCGAGCGTTTATATTGGCGGTGTATGAGAGCACGATGCATCGAAGCATACGAACGGCGTTTTTCTTTCTTTTTCTTTTCTTCCTCTTTTGTTTATTATCATTTAAGGTGTCTCTAACCGAGCATCCCTTTTTTTTGGCGGGAAAAACAACCCACATATCATATGTCATGTTCTCATCTATAGATTGGATAGAGGACGAGGACCAGAAGCTTGTCTTCTGGTTCGGCGTTTTTGTCGAGACTTCGCTCTCTGCGATTTTACTGGAATCAATAGACTTGATACCCCTCTCATTACTTCACCGCGTAGCTTGTAATTTCTGCATGTAGTCCGAGTAAGATATACATGTGGTTATGCTATATGCATGTACAGTGGATCTCATAGTTCTAAACAACACTAAACCCACAACCCTAACTAAATGAATATACCCCGTTCTCCTCACTTCCAAGCTCGCACAAAATGCTTCTCACGTTACACATCAGGCAACAAAGCGCGGAGAACCGGGGAGACATTCCTAGAATCGGTGGTTGTACAATGCAATGTTCCTGTAACCCCCACATTTCAATAACCCAGGTTTCAGACAGATCCTATCACACACGAGAACAGTAAATATATCCTTTCAAACGCCGGAAAATCAAATCCCAACATCAACATCAACATCAACCCTCTTCCCAGCCCCCGTCTCAAGAGCAGCAATATCAACATCCCACCCGGCACCACCCAACGCATGCAAATATCCAGCAAAGCGGCCGTTGAGTGCAGAAAGTGTTTTTTCAATAACGTCAAAGATATCAGATCCAGATCCAGATTCAGATTCAGATTCGGCCCTGAGAATCCTCGCTGCTAACAATCCATGAGCCCACGCTTTTAGCTGATCGGCAACGGAACATTCTTTCTTCAAGAGGATCGAAACATGCCATTTCTTCGGAGCCAACGGAGAAAGAAAGAGCATATACGCCTCGTCCTGGAACAGCGCCGTAAGCCGGTCTAACGGCGTAGACGTATTCTTGATAGAATCCAAGAACAAAGCCATTGATATACCGATTTTGGCCGAGCCAAGCGTCTGCACTGATGCAGATCCAGTAGACCAGTCCGTCCACTGTAAAGTGCCATTAGGGAAGATGCGTTCCTGTCTCGCGACCTGCGCGGGCGTGAGGGGCGTAAGTCGGTTGGACTTGAGATCTTGATCTTGGCGCAAGGCTAGAACTTGGTCTGACGCGAGGAGAGCGGAAAAGACGATGTTCGCTCGTTGTCGGTTCAGACTTGTCATTTGCACTGCGCGCACGGCGGCGTAGTTCATGCTTAGATGCGTTGCTAGCAGGAGGAGGAGGACCGCCCAGGTTGTTGTGAAACTTGTTATGTGTGATATGACCAGGGATCCGACCTGGAATTGTCAGATATCAAGATGTAGATTTGTGATCATAGATGAAACGTCAACACGGAACATACCAGCATGCCAAATAGCGAGATAACAGTCTCCTGAGACGAATCTTTCTACAAGGTCGTCAGCTAACACAATCAATTGAATGCAAATGCAAATGCAAAAGAAACATACAGCATTAACCTCCGCCAAATTCCCCCACCGCGCAAAGTGCGCACTAAGACTAGCCTTCGAGCTACCCCCAGCAACACCACACAGCGCGCGCAGCACACCCGCAGCACTGAGCACTGCCACGCGCATTGCGCCCCCCGGCACACCGGGACTGAGACAGTCGAGGATCATGGCGATGTCGTTGAAGATGTCTGCTGCGAGTCGGTAGGACTTACATTCTGGTTCTAGGGCTGTGCCGACGCGGTGTGCGAAGAGGATTGTGGCTATGCGGCCTGATGTGTCTTGCAGTATGTGCAGGAGGAGGGCGGAGGTTGGGGAGGCGGTTGCGTTGCCGACGCCCACGCCTGGATTGTTAGTTTTGATTTGGGTATTGCGGTGGGAGTTGGGCTTGGTACCTTGGAGAACCGCGCGGGAGGAGAGGAGGCCTGCTATTGAGCTGCTGAAGGCTTGGAGGGAGTCCTTGGTTTTTAATTGCGTTGGTGGTGGGGGTTGCTTTCGTGATTAGATGAGCTTACTCACGAATACTTGGTATCTGGATTTATGTTAGTTCTGGGGTTGAGATAGGTATAGCGGAAGGTAAGAGGTAATCTCTTGAACTCACGGAAGATAGTCATCACTGACACTATGGGGATATCCAGACGGAAGGAAAACGTCACTCAGAGAGCTGAATAGAGGCTTGGACCATGAGGTGGGTTTAGAGGAACTCTACAGAACGGTCAGTTTGGTTTGAAATATGATATCGTCGGCAATTCGACCGATGAGATATAAAGTGAAGACATCGCAATTGGACTCAATGCATGCAATTGGAATAGATAGGACGAGTAGATTCGCGGGAAGCACACCCTGCCATTTTGGCTATCTTTTCCGGCCCTTGGTGTCCCCAGACCGAGCATCCTTTGGCCCCCCCCCCCCCCCCCCGGGGCGGCCAGGAGAAGAGCATGTGGGCATACTTTTGAGGTGCTTTTATACTCCAGTGGGGTTCGGGTTTAACGACCTCCAGCAATAACACTAGGTACTTACTATCACGTCCACTCGCCCCTTTGAACCATCTCCTGAGTAGATGAATGTTGCAGTGGGATTGCCAGCCTCATCTGTTTCCCGGAAGGTCAACCTATTCTTGTCCATGATGCGTGGATGGGAAGTAGGAGACTGCAGACTTGTAGTTGTACTTGGGTTGTAGTTCAGGCACGTGAGACCACGTACCTTGAAACTTAACAGGTCTATTATATCAACTGCAAGCTCCGTGGGGGTACATGTGCATAGTCACAGCTTAGCTTAGCTCACCTATGTAGGTGGCTTAGCTCTATTTATAATACCATATACTATAATGACATATATTTAATAAATGGCACCTGCATAGTAGGTACACAATACCATAATATGCATGAAGTTTAGCTTAGACCAGATTCTCCATTGCTTAGCTCCCAGAGCCCTAATAATATGTAACAATGATCCAAGTCAAATCTATGTAAAGCACTTCTCCAAAAAGGACAAGCGGAAAAAGAACACCGAAAATCAACCACCAGCGCCGGGTACAGAAAAAAGAAGAAAAAACGGCGAACCGCCAGGGTGTCCCGAGGACCAAGGTATCATGAAGTCTCGAAAGTAGTCGATCGCATAGCGCCGACAACAATCAAGTCTTGAATCTCACATCTTCACATCATGTCTCCAAAACCACATATTTTTGACATATTATAATCCGCATCAACAGTATCTTATGAAACTCATGCGAACATGCTCGCGCCGCCAGTCTCAATAGCATCCATCTCAGCCTGAGTCCAGGGAAGACGGCCAAAGCGCGCAGGGAGCTCAGTGCGATCGAAGAACTGGCCGTCCTGGGGCTTGACAGGGCCCAGGGATGCGCCCGACTGGCCGCCAATGGTGCTGTTGAAGGAGGAGCGACCGAGAGGGCCGTGTTGCTGGGCCTTGGCGCGGTAAGTGGCGAATGAGTCTGGGAGAGCGCCGGTGGGAGAAGCTGGGTGGACGCGAGGGGAGTGATCAATTGACTCTGGAGGGGGATGTTAGCTGGGATTCGGCTTGGGGAGCTGGCAGTGGGATTGGGAGGGGGAATGGCACGTACTGGGGACGGAACGCTTGCCGACGAAGCGGATGAGGGGAGTGCGGTTGCAGAGAGCCATTGTGACACGCATTTTTATGGTTGGTGGTGAGGATGAGGTTGGGTTTGAAGTTGGATTATTTTTGGTGTGCGAAATTGAATGGGTCCGGTTGTATCCGAACCGGGTACGCGACTTTGAATTGGGAGTTGGTTTTGTGAGGGACAGTGAGATGTAGAGTAGTTGTACAATGTAGTTTTGAAAGAGGAGAAAATATTATAGAAGAGAAGAAGAGAGAGAGAGAGAGAGAGAGAGTTAAGAAGTGGGAGAGAAGAAGATAAGAAATAAGGTCTTGGGGGGATTACTGCTTTGGGACGAGCCGACTCGGACCCGATTTGTCGATTATTAAGGAAGTTGACACTTTTTACACGGTATAATCAAGTACAATATTGTGCAATATTGGAAATATTGTATGCTTGAATCAGACAATGTGTCATATAGTCCGCTTCGAACTACGCTTTTGAGTTAAATAGTCTATTTTACAACATACGTTGTACAATATGAGGAGGTTAGGAGTATAACGGAATTTCATCCCGACTCCATTGGTGAACGGCGCCGCGAAGTCCGTGATCCCCAAATGCTCCCCGCAGTCGTGAGGCATTCTTATGATTCCCCCGACTTCTCCGATCTTGTCCTAGTTAGTGAACCCGGTGAGCTCCTCCTCACAACTTACCATTTGTTCATCTCTCCTGTGAAAATCTCACCCAATCGCGCAACTTCAGGGCAACTTCCGAACCAATTCAAGCACATCATCCCCGCACAAGTCAAAAGTCCCGGAATTGATCTTGCGAAAGTTTCACAAGCCCACAAGTTCGGGAAACGCGTCGCGAGGGGAGATCTTGTCCATTATTCCATGATTATTGCTGTTGATTATCTTATGATTGCCTTTTGATTGCCATTATTTCAAGGCTACCAATTATTGGCCAACCTTGGGAACTTATTACGTTATTTCGTTATTACCAAATTCGCCCACACATAATAATTTGATAAGGCGCTTCGTGACAAAGAAAAGCTTGGACCCTGATTAATTCCATCCCGGCTTCACCCGCCCTTTTTCACACCTGAGGCTATCTATATTTGTACACTATGCACGAGCAATCACTTTTCGCCTCGGTCCCTGTTCACCAACATCATGAGCTCCTGCAGCAGTTGGCCGGGTTGACTGCCATGCAACCTCGCCACTGCCTGGAACGCCGGTTGATCTTCAAAGCCTACCGGAAACCGGGCTTGGCGGGGCGTACCGGAGCCAGTCAAGACCTCCAACAGAGTGACCTGCATCGTTTGAACAAGATGCTCAATGGAAATATGTACTACACCCAGGTAGTCGGACCCGTTTCCGAAAAGAGTTTCGGTTCCGCCCTTACAGAAACGCCCTATGATTATGAGCGCCAGCCATGGAAATTGGAGTTTCGCGACATTCCTGAAGCCGGGACCCGCTCGGCTGTCACGTCACGCTTGATGTCTAGTGCCACTTTGCCTCGGGGTGATATTGTGCCATCTATGAATGCGTGGGGCTACAAGTAAGTGGTGCCATCGGATCTTATGATCTGACTTAGCTTCTTATCTTACTATCTTGTGATCGAACGCTAATCTCTGCTCTAGTTTCACTACCGAGTTTGTGGTCGAAGGTGACATGTTCGTTTACAATGACATCGCCATCTTCTTGCATCGCGTGCTGCACTACCCCGAGGAGTCTAACCAGCCCCGACAGAGTCTGCCTGCGCTCAAGGATATGACCCTGTTGGAGAAGAGTGGTAGCTATGTTCTGCAGGCTTTTATCATCGTTCAGGATGGCAGTAATCAAGAGTCTATGAAGACTGCTTCGCAGCATCTCTTTGGTCTGCGTGAGCAGTTGAAGTCTGCGGTTCGTCTTGAGCAGGCTGATCGACTATCTCTGGACACAAGGGCAAAGTAGTGTCTCTTCGATCACATGGAGAAATGACCGGCTCCGATGATTGGCGTTGATACATGTGGACATAATTTAGTGAACTGAAAAACCAAGATACCCATTTCCATAAAACAAATTGAGCATTTACATTCCGGCTGGTCCATCCAGCCTCCTGCTCCAAGATACCTCGTTTCGATCTAGGATTGATTGAAACAATAGACTTCCAGCGTAAATGCAAGATCAGTACTTGATAATGAAGGTGAAGACAGGCCAGGACCATCTCATCGCAGGGTGCTGCGGGAGCAGCACCAGAGTCCGGGTGTCAACCACTCACTGTCTTGCTGCTCTCACTCTTCATGCCGCTCTGTCGTACGAAAACTCTGACAGTAGAAACTTCCAGTCATATTGAATGTTTACAATAGATGGATGGTAAGGATGGGGCATTTCACCCTCGCCTGGAAAATAGTGTAATAGAAAAACAGGTTTCATATCAAACACAAAGGTGTGACAGTGGGTGTCGATAAGCGAGTTTGTGGGTACTTCGTTCGAGATTATTTCCAGATACTGTTGCTTGAGAACATTCAATATATTCGCTAATGATGTTAAAAAGTAAATTATGTACCGTACTACCGGACGCTAATGGACTCGAGATTGGGTGTTCAGTGGGGTGGTAAAAGATCTCGCGAGTCTCGCCTCTTCAGCGGCTTTTTTTTGTTAGGGGGCCCTGGACATCTACACGAGCACAAAAAAAAAGGCATCTGCATAGTGCAAGTTTATGACTTGGTTGATAATGCGCCGGCTTAGGGCTTTCCCTGTTCCTTCTGGAGAGTTTTACCTGCATCTATCAGAAGCAGTTGAAACCCTAAATTGAGATGTTAATTAAATTGTTCAACCTTAATGAAAAGGTCAAGCTACTTATGGTCGCAGTAGCTCTCCTCCCTTTTACCTAGCGAAGTGATTGCCTGTTGGGCTACCCCTCTTACTGTCGTACAGACTTATATACATTACGTGACCTAGGATCCAACTGAAGCAGAGCGTAAGGATGGCGCATCACGCTGCCTCTTATTGAACCACTAGTAATCGATCCGACTGTTCCGGTCGCTTTCTTTTTAGACTATAGTATCAACATCTTCCTCAATATATGAGCATGAGATCTGCCAGTATATGCGCTTCGCAGGATGTCTCAAATTTGAATAGTCATGGCCGAGCGAAACCAGTCATTCGAGCATGAGATTGGCTACAATTTCAATTCACAAGCCCTCTTGGAAGAGGCATTGCGAGCGCCTGGAAACACTACTCCTGGCGATAAATCTTTGGTCGGGAACAAGAGGCTCGCGCTTGTTGGGGATTCCGTTGTAGCAGTAATGCTTCTGGACCGCTGGTACAAAGGAGGCAGTAGTACCGGTATTTCTATACTATCACTCGCAGAATACAAAAGCTAATTGAACGAAGAACACGGGACTGACATGCTAAAAAGCCGCGCATGCAACAGAACGTTGAATGCTAGAGGTCAGCAATGGTCTTTGGATCAATTCGTCAACAAGAATCCTCTTCAAAACGGAGGGGTATCAAAAACCATACGTGCGAATACAGTCGAGGCTATTATAGGCGCCATTTGGCTTGATTCTGGAAGAAATGCAGCTCAAGTCGATCTTGTCATGGAGAAAATGGGTCTCTATGCTGACTGAGCTTTACACATTGATATTGAGAGAACGGGAAAGATAGCAACAGGCCATGGCTCCTGACTTCTGCACCCACAGATTGGTATGAGATCTTGATTTGGACAAGTCGACTATGTTTTCTTAGCTCAATGAGAATGCGGATTAGCACCGCTGCTGCAGCTCAACAAACAACCCACTTCGCAGGGTGAATATCTCATTACCGTAGATTAAACTTCTGCATTTACGACCATATCTTCCTCTAAACTCTTGGCACATTCTAATCCTTGACTCTATTTAGCAAAAAAGAGGGGAATGTTCTTCCTCGATCCCTTTTTCAGTGGCGATCTCGACAATTGGGGGGCCTTACTTTACAGGCCAAAGGTATACAACACAGCGCCTCTTCTTCGCCGATAGTTTCAACACATGGAAGTACAGGCCTGACCGCAACGGCGATACCACATCCCTCGATAAGTCCATGATGTCTAGGAGGCTCATATCTACAGTTGACCAAACCGCACCGGCAAACATACCAACCAGTCGCTAGTAACAGCCAGCGCTCATACAGGATCTTCCTTCGTCTATCTATAGGTGTTCTAGGGTTGATACCAATTTTTTGTAGAGTTTCCAATGGTACGAGAGTGCCTGCATGGCTATCAAAACGAGAGCGTATCGAGCGTATCGAGCTATGTGTTGGGACCTTGACAAGTCACCATCTACTACAACATCTTACCGATTTGATTATCTTTGCTCTTAGGGTTTTCCTTTATCTCCTACAGATCCTCAATATATCAGCTTGTTCTTGTTATTGCCCTCCTCCAATGTTCGACTTATAGTCTCTAAGACAACATCAAACAGGCCCTTGGAACCAAAAGCTGACCTCGATTATGCGTATGTCTCCCACCAACGATGGCGTATGCCATCGATTGGGCTTTTAAATTGCCCACAAGGACCTACCGCAGCTAGGTCTGAAACTCAACAGACTAGAGCTAACCACTTCGGAGAGCCGAAGTCGTGTATTGCTGCACGATGGACCAGAATGGTTTTTTAGCTTTGATTATCGACCAGCACACCCCTATTATTACTGCACAGTTCTTATTCGAGCACAAAGCGTGCTATCCTGCTGGCCAAACTAAAGCGACCACGGACGTCCTGAAATGCAAGTACGGAGGCAATGTCCCCAAGGCCGAGGAGCATGAAATGATGCATTAATGCTAGGTCACTGCGAGACAAGACCTCATTGTTCATATCAAGGATTGCTCGGACGGGATCACCGTGGTGCTCGACTGGAACATTAGTCAAAATTTGGACAGCCCCATTTGCACTCTAGCCACACTGCGAGCTGGACATGCCACCATTCAACCGTTGAATGCAAAGCTAAATCAATTCGCTGAGATAAGTTGAAAACATGTGTATGAATGGCGAAAAAAAAGCTCACTAAGTGTTGTCAATTATTTTCAATCGCAATCAACGTCACGATAAATTCCCTATCTCAATGTGAGAGACTACGTTGCAGAAGTGAGCTTCTAACTCATGGAAACTAGCTCAGGCAGTTTAAAAAGGCTATGATACATGTTGAAGTGTCAGGCAATGGCCCGCTATTATGATGTTTACAGAACTCAGTACTAGCAACTAAAAGTGTACACTATTAGATACTAGAGCCTAGACATTTAGAAATCTCTTCTTGCTTTCTATCTCTTCATTACAGTGTCGATAAAAGACAAGGGAGGTAGATAATTATCGAAGGAGTTCAAAACTTGAGGGCTAACTATCATCATCGACCTCCGCAGGGAGCCTCCGTTCATGTTTAGATATTTCCCAATTATACATGTGGGTCACCTTAGATCACGTGCTGATAGGATGATTAATCTCGATATCTGAGGTTTATGGCGTCAACTATTTAATTGACTATCAAGTTGTGGGCAAATGACTTGTTCTGCTCAATAAGCAGCGAATCATTTAGTGTCTTGGATTTAAAATTTCGTCGTGTTGACCAAGACTTGGAAAGCTGTGTAATATTGATCAATTCAAAATACTCAGACAATGTATTCAATGGCACCGTATCGCTCTAAATCGCTAAATGCCAAACATGTGACTTCGTGATAACTCCCGCGTCTTAGCGCGTCCGTCCAGCTTAACATCTTTCACCTCATTCATGATCAAACCACCCTCCGCAATTTCCCCCGAATCCTAAGAATGGCAGAAGGCACAGCCAAAAGAGGACCCTCGCCAGCGGTTTCTCCACCACCACTGCGTCGAAAGATCGATGCAACAGTTACCAGTTAGTAAGAACTACCACATCAATGCGCCCAACTAACCACAATCGCAGAGAAATCAGCTTCCAACTTTTTTACTCCGGCCTCACAAAAGAAGCCCGACCCGATCACATGGCGCGTGATCGGTACTAGCGTCGTGATCGGAAAACAGATTACCGGCAAGCAAGTGCCAACAGATAAACAGCGTCGTCGCATTGCTGGATTCGATTTGGTGAGAATTTGAGCCAAGACCTGTTAAATGTCCCACGGTCTGGCTGACAATACCCAGGATTCAACATTGATCAAGACCAAATCCGGAAATGTGTTCCCCAAATCTGCAACAGATTGGCAATGGTGGAACGCCAGAGTCCCAGGACGGCTCAGGGAGCTCAATTCCGAAGGGTATGACCGTTTCAAATTTGAGAAGAAACAAAGCTCACACATCCCAGATACCAAGTCGTGATTTTCTCAAACCAAAAGAAGATCAGCGTCCAGAAAGATATCAAAGGCGGGCGCAGCGATTCCAAAAGCCTTACAAACTTCAAAGAAAAGATGCAGGCTGTTATGACAGAGCTGGATTTCCCATTCAGCGTATATGCTGCTACCACAGATCCCGAATACCGGAAACCCCGTCTGGGGATGTGGCGCGAGTTCCTAGATGATTATGATCTCGACGTTGCGGGTGTCGATCTTGCTGGGTCGTTCTTTGTCGGCGATGCTGCTGGTAGACCCGGAGATCATTCAGCCGTTGATCGGTAAGTAGGGCAACGATATGGAAGGAACTGAACTGATGTTTTATATAGGGGCATCGCTAGTAATATCGGCATGCCGTTCAAAACACCAGAGGAGTTCTTCCTTGGGGAGACTGTTGAGCCGCCAACGGGGTCTTTTGATCCTTCTTCTTTCATTAAAGAGGATCTTGAAGAGCCGGGTATGTGTTCCAATGAATGTGCTGTTTTGACATGCTGTTCACAGCCCTCTATTACAACTAGCTGACCGTCAAGCAGCCAAACTGTTCTCTCGCAAGCATCCCGTCGAACTTGTCATCTTCTGCGGTAGCCCAGGCGCTGGGAAGTCCACATTCTACTGGAATCACCTGGAGCCTCTTGGATACGAACGAGTTAACCAAGATATCCTTAAGACAGTATGTACCAGCTTTCTATACCCAACGATCTCCATCTAATGAAAACAGCGTCCTAAATGTATCAAAGTGGCCCGCGAATTCCTAGAGGCCAAGAAGTCAGTAGCAATCGGTAAGTACCCTTCCTACTACTCTCCTAATACAAAACCTAACTTCCATCGCAGACAACACAAATGCAAACCAAGAAACAAGAGCCTACTGGATCGACCTCGCCAAAGAATTCAACGTGCCCATACGCTGCGTTCAATTCATCTCCAATCCAGATCTATGCAAACACAACAATGCCGTCCGAGCATTAAACAAAGAACTGGTACATAGCCTCACTTCCGTATATTACCGACTATTAACAATCCAACCAGAACCCCGAATCCCGAACCTCCCTGCCGGGAATCGCCTTCGGCGATTTCGCCCGTCGCTTCAGCGCCCCAACGCTCGACGAGGGCTTCGATGACATCATCCCCGTGGAATTCCAATTCCGAGGTAGCAAAGAGGAGAAGGATCTTTGGGGACAGTACTGGATTTGACCTACATGTAGAGGTACTCCGGCTTACGTCGACTACATCCTTTGCTTCGAAACTTGACGTATGGTTGTGGTGTTTCACTCCATGTTGATCTCGCCTGCTGGGATTAAATGCATGTTTCGCGTATCTTTAGATCTCAGCTCTAGGTATCTATATTATGGATGTATATTAGGGCTTGACATCGCCAGGGATATTCAAGTGAATCCTCTACCTAGGGAGTTTACGGGGGTTCAGTTGACTGAGACATTATTCCCTCCATGGCTCCACCTACAGGTATGATAGGCAAAGCTGCAAATACTCCCCGAGGTCGGCGCATATGCGCTTTGTCCCTCCAGGTCTGGGTGCTTGGGTAGCATGTAGTAAGCAACTAGATTCAATCTAATTATACATTAGTACCTGCAGAACCCCTCAACCTTAGGGCTTTGACCTGCTAACCATGCCAGGCACTCCCGAGTTTAGTCTGGTCGAAATACCCGAGTCGAAATACCCGACTCGTTATCATTCCACCTCACTGTGAACGATGTGATTTACGCTAGAAACCTACGACCTACAGACGTTGAGCCCAACGAAATGGCGGTCTCTTTTCGACGTGGCTGGCCCACCCGACAAGTCATTGGTGACTCATAATTATATGCATGTAGCGTATGGTGTCGCTTCACTTTGTAATCACAGGTCTCGGGTGGCTCCCACGTGCGGTTTTAGTATGCACCGAGACATCCGTGAACTAGTCCTTTATAGAGAGAATGCCATGGATGAATCTAGGCGCAGATGCGTTATAGTGAGATGTTTATAGTTAAAGATTGTGAGATAAATGGACTGAAATAAATGCAGATATGCGTTATTGTTCAAGATATATACATATAGAGACAGCTTTTCTTTCAAATATCTATGGGATACATTGGCGTATGGGTATGGTTGTATGGGTATATAGAGACAAAAATGGAATGGTGTCAGGGAAAGAGCCCTGTCAACTCACAGACAAAGGAAAGGCATGATCAACGAGAACAGTAGTCGAAGATCGTAAGTCATGAGTCGTAATTGAAAAAGGAGAGACATTAGTCGTGAGCGGGCAATAAACAAGCCCATCTATGATAAAAATCGAAAAAAACACGCTTCATAATCAGGGTCTAGAAACCAAATCTTGGAAAAAGCGGAAGAAATTCCTCTTCTTCTCGGACTTCACCCGACACCCAGCAACAGTCATCGGGCCGACGATATCCTCGTCGCCCATTTCCGGGAACTTGTCTTCATGCAAGGCCGGGACTCGCACTTGGCACGGGTGGATATTGGATTGGGTCAGCGTCAGCGCAACAGCGTCATCGCCAAGCTGATTTAGCATGGCCTCGTACTGCGCCGTCCAATCGCTATTGATAGCTTCCCACTTCTCAACGGTAAGTTTGTAGATCGTTGAGGTGGCGCCATAGTGCTCGCCCGTGCGGACGAGATGCTTGGCGAAATTGCACCGTGCAGCGTCCCAGTCTGCGCGCATGGTCTGGAAACTGGCCATGTCGCAGCAGACCGGGGCGTACGGCTCCGGGGAGATGGTGAAGTTGGCGTGGCCGAGCTTGTTGGCCCACTCGTCGTTTGGGTCCGAGAGAACGAAGGGCGTAGCGTCTGCAGAGACGGCGCGGACTGTGCTGGCGCGAGGTCGGTTGAAGGAGGCGATGGATGGTTTCGAGGAGAGAGGGGGTGAGGGAAGAATCCCCGTGAAGCGTGGTTCAGAGGTCACATTGTAGTTACAGTGGGATTCGTTCACGTCTGCCACAGAGGGGGATTGGAGGGGCGATTGAACGCGGGAGGCTACGACGCTGGTTGGGTCGTCGCCCATGAATGGGGGGAGGAGGGGCGTTGTCGCCTGGTTATCTTCGTTATCGTCTTGGCTAAAACTGTTGGCGCGGGTAATGTCGATTGGGCGGGTGCCGGACTCGTTGAGGCGTTCTTCGAAGATCGTGCGCGCGGGCGAGGGCGGAATCGAGTCAACTCGGCTCATGGTCATTGGGCTGGTGATTGGGCTCGCTAGGGCGGATGAGGCGGCCGAGTTTGCGCGCGATCGGAGATCGTCGGGGAACATATCGACTTCGCCGCCTGAGGATCGTTTGGTCTTCCAGCGGGCGGACATGGTTGAGATGTGCGAGTTGATGCGCGAGACGCCCTTCATCGACATACTATCTGAGCGGCGCTTCTTGGGTGATGGGGCGGTTTCCATGCCCGTGTCGCTCAAATCGTAGTTATCGGAGTATTCCACGGGGGCGAAATATGACTCTTCAGCGCACATGCCGTAATCAAAATGTTCTGTGGCAAAAACTGGTTAACTAATCGATAGGAACGAGTTGCGCATGTTGTACATACGGAAATAATGATCTTCCAACGAATCACGCGTGCATTCCTCTTCTTTGACACCGGTCAAATGGCTCCGACTGGGACTATCGATGGAATTTCCCAAACCCGGCGCAGAAACCAGCGAAGAAACGGAACTCGAGACACGATTGTGGCCTGTCGCAGAGAATAAAGATACAGCCGGTGATACAGGCGCAGAGGTATTAATAGTCAAGGGCGAATGGGGCTGGCGAGCCATCGAGTCGTCTAGACTTTCCCTTGCCGTGTCGATTATTTGAGACAATTTGTACATGATGAGGCCGCAAGCGATAGTATGAGACGTTGTTCATCGGATAGCACGATAGTATATAAAGAGAGAGAGAGAGTTCAAATTGAACGAGTCATCCCCCAAGCGCCTTTGGGCGGGAACGTATGTAGCGGTGTGATCCGGGAACCGCGGGAACTGAAGTTTAGGGCCAGTTAGAAAAGTACAATCGAACGGTATAATGGGCAGCCCAAAAAACACAGAATTAAAAAGTCTTGAACGACGTGGACCAAACAAGTTAAGTGGACCAGCTGGCTGGGCAGAAAGACGCGGGGATTGCTTACCATCAGCAAACGAACTATGCAGATATGCAGAGATGCAGGGATATCCTGGACCCTTGAAAGGATATGAAAATTAGATCTGTAGAAGATGAAGCAACAGAGAGAATAGAGAGAATCAAGAGAACCAAGAAAAAGAGGAGTGAGAATAATAAAGAAGATGATATTGATTACTACGCTCTAGACTTCAAAGAACCGTTAGTGGGGAATTCCATCAGATTCCCGAAAAAAGTGAAAAGGAAAAAAAACTAAAATTCGCCCGATCGTCGGTACCTTTCCTGAACTGGCTGGGAGCTCCGCCCAGTTCCGGTGGTTGACACAGCCTAAACCATGGATCTCAGGGCATCTGGAAGGGTTCTATTTCTTTTTTATTTATTTAATTGACTTCTTTTTTCGCTTCTTTGTTATTTTCAATTATCTGTTATTATTTTACCCACAAGAGTATAAAAAAGGTAAATCTGCACATATGTATGAATGCAATTATGTCTCTCTCCAGGGTACAATTCAAGGTGCTCACTATGTGATTACAGTTGTTTACAACGGCTACACAGGACGGCTGTGTGACCCAGTCATGTTCTACACATTTCCCTTTGGGTAAAATATCTATGTGCGATCGGCAGCATCTAGACTGATGTGGATGTTACGGCTACGATAGGAACCACTTCAGAGCAGGGCTATGATGCCATAAGGAACTAACTGTTGATTCGTTCTATCGGGTCGTTTTCCTCAATGTTTATCATTATGTTACAATATGCCTTACAACCTACAGTAGTGGATATGTACGGTAGTTAACTAGCCAACTAGTTATACTTATAGTGTACTCCGTAAGTACTATATTGTATATTGTATCTACAATTCTAGATTCAATATATTAATTGATTCGTATGCAATATCACATGTGATACTATATTTACCTTGATTGATATTACTCTCTATTATTCTTCCTGGATGTAAACCACGGCCCAGTGCATCCGTTTCAATGCTCCGACGCTGAGCAACCAGTCCCGTCTTGAGCTACCTAGGTCAGAACTTTGTCCGAGTATGACGAGCAGGCAATTGAGGTCCAGTCATTGGTAATTATACTTCCCGATTTCAATTCTCTCCTTAGGGCAGTGCTAGCCAGGTATAGGATTATTTGTGTCTGTGCGAACTCCGAACTAGACCTGGACTAGTAAGTAGTATGCTACTGTTACCCTCTCTCTCCCCCATCGGTACAATAATAATATTATAGATACACACAACTCAACAATGTGGGTTAAATAATAACCAGTATCATCGGAATACGTGAGGGTATGAATAATTACTCTAAAGTAAGGTATGTATAACTACAGTTGTAACACACAAAGGACGTCAGATCCACATGGCCCAAACTCTTTTCGGGGATTCGGGGATCCGTCTTCGTTCATGATTGGGGAATCCCTACACAAAAAAAAGAGGGGAAGAGCCCATGGTCTATTGAGTCAGTCCATGGTTGCTGGACTTTGCTTGTGCCTGCCGGGAGTACCTATGAGGCTTGCGGAGCCTCGGCGCGGGATGGATTCTCGGGAATGAGTTGTGACTTGGATAGGTCACTTTTGACCTTGACAACATACAGCTAAATTATATGGACAAAGGTACTAACTAACAAGCAAAAGAAAAAAAACCGTTTGCTAAGTGGTATTCATTCCGACAGATCATCTCTTAAAGTTTTATTTTCCCCTGCTGATCTTCGATCATATCGACTCGCTAGAAGCATCCCTGCAGGTTGCTAAGACAGAATAGACCTCGCTGAACTTCCGAAGGATTTCGCCTCTGTTTAGTTCGGATAGTTGACCAATTGGATTCATTCGGCTAAAGAAGAGTAAATGGTGGATCTATCAAATCGACCAATTAGGAAGTCAAGCCTTCCGATCCCGGGGTCTATGTCATAATTATGTCAAACCTCGGAAAAGACTGAAGATTTTGACAAGAGAATTTTTTAGTGAAGTAGTAATTCGTATTGTTAGTTATGAGCTGAGTTAAGGTTCTACAATATTGCAGCTGAACATGAAAATTGAAGATCTATCAGAATAATGTCTGAAATAATTGATACCTAATAACTAACCATAATCAAAATCCCCATTGTACTATCCAGTTCCGCATCATATCGGCATTGACCGGCCCCAAACCCCTCATGCTAGCACTCGCCTCTTTCGCCCGACTAACATCCAACGCCACAGCCATCGCACTCCCCTCATCCTGTAGCCCACGGTAAAAAGCCAACAGCTTGAGGGCAGGCTTGGAGGCGATATCCACGGCGCTGGGATTGGAGATACTTTCCAGCTCGGCAACCCACGCGGAAAATTCAACAGGCTCGACTTTGTACTGGCTCTGAATTGCCGGGACTAAAGACGACCATGGTATCGCTTCCGGGTTCGTCAAATGAAACACGGCTGGAGTGCTTTCCTTATGACGTGTGTCTATAATCTCCACTATCACTTTAGACAGTATATCCTAAAAAAAAAACATAAAAAAGTGATCAGCATTCAGCTCATTTCTATGAAAAAGTTTCATTCGGTAGATTGGAAATTGGTAGACTTACCACCGGGACCCAGTCCACAGCCATAGAACCTAGTCGAGTTGGGATTTTACCCATTGCTTTTGAGGTCGCGATGATCGTCGGGAGCCATTCGTGCGGATTCCATTGTCCGCTTGTGCTCGTTGGCCCGGCAATCTGGCCGACTCGATATACTGTCGTGGGCACATGAGACCGTCTCGATGCCTCCAGGCAGATTCGCTCGGCGACGTGCTTGGACTCGCCGTATCCTTGCGGAAGAACCACTGCGCTGTCTTCCATCGGGAGTTCTGGAACCGAAGGGCCCATCGCTGGTGTCCACCCGCCGACTGTGCTGATTGAGGAGATGAAGTGGATGTGCGCGTTATGCTCACTGCTCAGACTGAAATCGATGAAACGTCTCACACCCTGGATGTGGGTGTCTTCGAAGGAGTCGACGGAGTGGTTAAAGTCGACTTTCCAGGCGTTGTGGATTACTGTGTCGACTGTTTTGAGGAGCTCTTTATATTTGGATTCGTCGAGGCCGAATCTTGGTGCCCCGAATGAGGCTTGTAGGAATTCAACCCGATCTTGCCAGTCCTTCGGTCCCAGATGGAGGCCTTTGTCTTTGAAGCTTTGCTTTTGGCGGGATTCGGCATCCGAACGATTGAGACAGTAGACCTTTGACACAGTATTGTTGCTCAGTAGAGAATAGAGAAGATAGCTTCCCAGTGAGCCGGTCGACCCCGTGAGAATCACAGTAGAAGGCGAAGACGATCCTTTTTGGGGGCGCTCGTCCCGGATAGGAAGGTCAGATGTATACTTGATCACCAGGTTTTGAATCTTCTCTGCGCGCGGGATCTCAGCCTGGGACTTGCCATCCAAGATGCCAACCACAAATTGAGACAGCCGGTCTACTGTCGGATTTCCATAGATCGTTTGCGGGCTGATAGCTCCCGCTTTCAAATCTGGGCGACGCAGCTGAATGCCCCGTTGAAGCAACTGAGAAACTCGAATGGTCATCAAGGAGTCAAGACCAGCACTGTCGAACGTCTCAGTATTTGCAAAATCAGACCGTTCCAGGACCCGGATAACAATTTGGCGGATGAAAGCAGGGACGCTCTCTTGGTCCAACGTCTCTGGCAAGATCTGATCCAAGTCATCCTCCAAACCCCTAGTATAAATTGCATCAATCTCTTCCTCATAATCCCGAAGAACAGCCCGGCGCTGCACAGTGCCTTTGGGAGTCCTCTTGAATGGCTTGTCCTTCACAGCAAACCCAATCTTGCTCTTCATCACCCGTCCATGAGCAGCAATAGTCTGATTGGCCAGCTGAACAGTCGGCCAGACTTCATCGATAAAGACTTTCGCGTCCATATCGTCGACTCCATGATTCGGCTCAATAAGCAATCCAGCCTGGAACCGAGACTGTCCCACAACCACCGCTTTTCCAACAAGCGGGTGTCCCTCGATGATAGTCTCCATGCCGACGGGATTGAATTTCTCGCCGTTGCTCAGCACAATCACATCGTCTTTGCGTCCATGGAATTTCCACAGAGACGGATTCGTCGCATGCTGTGTGTACAGATCATTGGTCGGATACACGTCGATGTCGGGGTATGTGTGGAAAATGCCTTGGAAGTCGCGGGCATTCGGCTGACGCGGGAGGACCAACTCGAATAATCCATCGCCGCAGTCTTGCATATCCACGCCGTAGGCTTCATTCCATTCGAAGTAGCTCCAGTCGGCTGGGTCTTCGGGCATCAGTTGGGCAATCCAGCCGATTTCGCTGGTGCCGATCACTGACGTAACTTGAGTATATTCGCGTAGTCGGTCGCCTGCCTCCTGATACAAAGGTGCTCCTCCAAAGTAGACGCATCTTAATTGCTTGAGACAGGCCAGGGCTTCGCTGGAATGGCTCAGGTCATCTAGGATTGAGGGTGCGCAGACTGCTTGTGTTGGACGAGCTGTTTTAAAAAGTTCGACCATGTGGTCGACGGACAGGGACTTGTCTGGTCCGACTAGGGTGGGGACCTTGTGCCATACTGAGAACAAGAGTGGCATCAGTCCCATGAGATGGAAGAGGGGCGTCGTCACTAATACCAGGTCCTGTTGGCCCTGGAAGTGGAATGCCGGCTGACGGCCTGCCGGTAATGGGAGATAGGCACTTGCATCGAGAGTCATGAAGAAGCCGTTGGTAAGATAGACGGGCTTTGGCATGCCTGCACGAACATTAGCATGGCTTTATTGCCGGTTCAAGAACAAGACCGGTAGAGCCTTACCTGTTGTTCCAGAACTGTGGATGATACAAATGATATCATTCTCAGCATCGGCAAAAGACTTCGTATAAGCGTAATGTTGCAGACCAATCTCATCATTGAGAATTGTCTTCACAGCCGGAACCTGAAAGACATCCAAAGCCGAACAAAGATTTTGAACCTCAAAGACTCGTGTCTGTCGTTCCTCGCTGAAGAAGAACTTGGAACAGTTTGTCACTTTCATTAGATGAGCAAATGCTTCATCCGAGTTCCTAGTCGAAGGCAAGAAAGCCTATAATCTTCAGTTGGCTATTCCCTCGCTGCTTGCACGGTAGTTTCCCCTTACCTGATATCCGGTCTTCTGGCATGCGAGTATAAAAATGAAGTAGCGTATATCATTGTTCCCCATATAAGCCAATGTCTCTCGCGATCGAGCTGGTCCAATAGTACTCTCAATCCACCAAGAAAGGAAGTTCACGGCTTGCGCAAGATCCTTCATTGAAAGGTCTCGGAATCCATGGTTAAGTTCCGATCCTAGTGGAATAACCGCAAATCGGTCATCGGGGCTCATCTCGGCACGCTCATCGACTGTTGTCGCGAGAAGTCTTTTATGCAGAAACTCCATTGTAAAAGGCTAAGTTAAATAAAGTGATAAGATAGAAATGCAAGCAATGTTGAATGTATAAGATAATGCGATGTGTTGAGAATGGCCGAGGGGATACGATCCCATATATAGTTCTTGCATTGTTCCCAAACCCCAATATTCAGATATTAAACCATATGATTGACTTCGGCTGCCCCTGCCGAACCACCGACGGCCGTTCATGATTGTCACCAGGAAGTGTAGGTTACTGGGAAGACCATGCAGATCATTGCTTGGCCAGGAGTATATTTACTCCACTTGGGGCATACCCACTGGCCCGAGCATTACTATGCTTGATTTTGGCTTCACAATCGTGTACCCACTTTGTGTGCGCGGCAAGTCCATGCCGCGCTATATTGTACACTGAGAACGGAACATAAGGCTTGTTTTGTGTCTGTGTAACATTTTTGTTGTAACCCTTGCTATTTTCGGCCCTTCGCGGTATCCGCTCCGAAGTAGTAGTCAGTGGTTATGGTTAGGTTATGAACGTGTTGTGATGAATAGGCAGATATGCACTAAAAGATCATTGGGTGTCAAATTGTCGATCCTAGTCTGCACTGATGTCTTTTTATGCATCGGTCTTTGGTTTGTGGTCTTGATACCTTTACGTAGATACATCGATAAGACAATGAATTGCAGCCGATAAACCATTAAATTTGTTGATTTATGTTCAGACGTCATGGCTCAGTAATTTTTCTTTTGCTCTTTTGTTGTGGATATTCTATTTGAGTGCTCCTCGTGGGTAGAACGTACTACGTCGCAGGTTCCGAATATCCTAAGAATCTCACAGTGGAGTGAAATGACCCATAGTTATGCAAATGGAAATACCTCATGTTTCAGTATTTCTTTCAGGAAAATATCCACAGCTCATCCCCCATACTTCGTAAATCACTCTCCATGTTGGGTTGTTGATATTATATGTATGGGGAAGACGGAGCAAGTATAGTACTTCCAAGGCAGCAGTATTGGCCATGACAAACCTTCTGTTTATTCTCTCAAAGAAGTACAGAGTAGTTTTCTCAGGAACAGCTTACTTGTCATGTACATTCAATTAATGCCTGGGATAATGATACAGCAACCATAGGCAAACGTGGTCTTGTTTATCAAGTGTTTCAGACCAGAAGAAGAAAACCTGTTCGCCTTACAATATAATATTAACTAGCTCAGTCTCTGTAGTGGATCTGTACGTGATAAAATTAGATGAAATGTCCGTTTCCGTCCACTGTAGCCTCCACCAGTGATAGATTCCCCTTCCGATATGACCATGCTAATGCGCCCTTATCTCTTTCTGATAATATATCGCGATGAAAATACCTGCTTACGGGTCGTACTTATGGTATGCCGATATCCAGGTACCTAGTCAAGTTTAATGTCATTTGTGACACCTTTGAGCCGACTGGAGTGCTATATTCTCGATATGTAGCAAATCTACGTACTTCGACGTATACCCTGGGATTTCGGATCATGAATGCCGGCACCAGAGCGTGGAGTTAATTACCCAGACAGTGACATCTGACTTTGACCACCTTGTATTGAATTCTTTGGTGGTGTTTACGGTGGATAATTTGTATTAAAATGAAATTTGCTATCAATGCAATTCGAATTGAACTTCTAAGGTTGACTATACTGCATGTTCATAGGTCACGTTCATTCAGATACTATCGTTATATACTTTATACATACTTATCTCTTTGTAAGTTGCGATCGCGAATTTCTCGATCGGGGACCGCCGTTTTGTGAGGGCGCTGACGGGAGTCTCTAAGAGACAGTGGGCTCTATTTCCTAATTTCAGCAGGCTTGGAATACACCTAAATATAATTGGCTTGTATTGAAGATTGGAAGGGATGTCCTTGATTATTTCTCTCATGAAGACCTAGGCATGAATATCTACCGCTTACCGGTAGAGTTTCAAGACAATGTATGATATCACAGCCTTGGCATTTCCCTTAATTCAAGCCACTCCAACAATTTATCTTTTCGAATCTTTCCCATAAGAACGGGATGCAGTGATACCCTCACTTCCCGTCGCGACAAGGGGTCTTTATAGATAGAGGGCAGGATACACGCTGCCCCGGGTATACGGTTTTCTCGCATGTCATAATCTTGCACGGGTCCCAGACACGGCCCAAAATCGAGTTGGGACGCACCTATCATCCGCATTGAGCTAGTGATAAAGCTACTTCGAGGCTTTGTGGCACTCCAACCATCACTCGCGAATCCCGCGGAGATAAGTTCGCAAGTTTTTTTCATGTGTAATAGATTTGAGGCTCGTCTGTATTGAGGCTGCGGCATTGGCAAGAAGAGAATGTCGTCGTGATCAATGTGGATGGCATTGCGAGATGGGTATTGGATCGGAATGTACGATGGGACGGTGATGGCCGCATTTCCCATGTAGGATTGGGGAAGGTGTGGCTCGAATTTAGAACGAGCATCCTAGGCCGACTTCAAGCAGGAATTCACTGGAGTCAGCTCGGTTTGGGTGGCCAAGTTCCATGTTTAGCTCCGATCAAAGAAAGCCAAATCACAGAAGATACAATAGTACCGGTCGAGATTCTTGCAGTCTGGATATCAGAGCGATCCTTTAGCAAGGAAGTACATGCCTTCTTTAGTTGGACAATCTTCTTGGCGTCTAGGACAAGCTTCCTAGATATTGGACTTTGAGAGGCCAAGTTTGATTTGAGCTCCGGAATAGAGACGGAACTGCCACTGCGATCTTGGGGGTTGCTTTCGACATCCAAGGTCGACACAGCCTCAAAGATGGTTTGCCGGCCTTGATGCTGCAATTTGGGACTGATTCGAAGCAATTCACGACCGGGATTTGGAATTCGGCAACATGTAGCAAGCGCCTTCATTATCTGGATTCCACCAATACCATCTATCGCTTTCTGATGAAGCTGGTAGCAGAGAATGATTACATCGTGCATGACATTGGCTTGGAATCTAATGACAGGCGCTCGGGTCCTCTCCTTCCATTACTAGACGATTTGGGACGAAATCTTCGTTCAGAGGAGGATAAGGCTTAGCAACAATTTCATGATTCCTGGGAGCAATAGATCAGTTATGGTTTTTGATTTTTATCATAGGAGGATTCAATAAAAACGCTTGTGTTGCCGGTTGCACCTCGAGCACATTTTTCTCGCCAGGCACTCTTGTTGTGGAAGCGACATTTCCACTCAAAAAAGGGAAGAATTTTAGTGAGATGCGAGAACCCATTTTTTTAAATTTGGGATAGCATTGGGAGACGAAATGTCAAAACCCCGCCAGGTGCATAGGTGGCATGAAGTGGTCGAATGGAATGAGCACACGTGGCTCGAAGATTGGAAAGGACATGATTTTGGAGTTGATAGCCGCTTACATTGGAGCTTTGCATGAAGAGCTGCGATGTGAATATTGTCTTTTTCTGGTTTAATCTTAATCGCAGGGGGACGGCGGATAATATTCGAAATGTTGGTGGAGCTATATAGAAATCGGCGAACACAGGCGCTAGGGGTTATGCATGCTCTTGTAAATAGAACACAAAAAAGAAACTAACGTGTGGCGAAAGAGGCTGCTTTCTCCGAGATGCAAGGACAAGAAGTACTAGAGCTAGGAAAGGTGATTTTCATGCAATTTTATGCTAGCGGAAAAACAACCTGCATCCGAGATGCGTTCGCTAGTCTCGTCGGCTGTCATTTATGTATTGGCTGGGAGATATTTCCGACATGTCTGTATTCCGCTTGCTATCCAATATGATCTTGCACATTCGTATATTGCAAATTCTCCGGGGAGCCTATTGGATAAGTCAAGATGATATTTTTGCTGACGCCATTTGGCTCGGCCATCTATTCCTGTCCATCCTGGCCTTACCATATGGGACACTAGAATGAAAAAGCACTCAGTATCGGCTCCAGGTCGATGTGCTCTGAACCTCAAGGAATTGAACTCGCTAATTAATATATCGGAACCGTTTTAGCATAACATTGTACCACTGTTTGCTACTACCTAGAAGCAGGATAAAGTAGAAGTGATCTAAATAAATGGACTTCTTCGTCAGAAAACCCGCATTCTTGGGTCAGATAGTTCCCTATCGTCCCATACACGGTCCGGATGGTGTTGATTGTTACAGCCATATTCTCCTCTCTAGATGATAGGTTAGATCACTGATTGACTCCATGAATGTAGCGAGACTGACCTTGCAGAAACAATATCTTCGGCTTTCCTCTTGATTGCTTCATCGTGTATTTTTGTGACTTTTTTCAAGTACTTTTCAACCCTCTCCACGTAACCGGAGAGTTCAGATGTACTGAAGCCATATTCTCGGATAATGACTGCATCGGGAACCTCGGCAAGGAGAAGAAAGACAGCAAAGACCATTCCCGTCCGATCTTTTCCAAGGGTGCAATGTATGAGCACTCCTTCATTGGCATCCTTCAAAAGAAGAAATATCCGCCGTATGACATCGCTTCCATTGACTAGAAGCCGTAAATAGTTTTCAGAAACGGACTGGAGACAAGAAATTAGATATATAGCACTTGGAAAGGAAGTAGAAACAGGTGACCTACAACTGCCCCATCAATTTTATAAGATTCGTATTTCCGGAGAAGCTGGTCGATTGAAAAGGAATCTCTTTCAATGGGCCAGTCTAAGAACATAAACCCTTCGCTCTCCACAGTCTTCCGCGGTATCTCCCATGGTACTGTCGCCTCGTTATGAGATGCAAGGTTGACGATAGTCTTGACTCCCAATGTTTTCAAACGTTGTATGCCGGTAAAACTCAACCCGCCTGGATGTGCGGAGCGATATAGAAGCCTCCTTCGGGTTTGTTGTTCTTTACCATGTGCGATTGGATAACCACCAAACCCACGGAAATTGGGAACTCCATCGACATTTATAGAGGTAAGCGGTTGCTCGTCATGTAGAATGGCAATTGGCTGTTCGACTGGAAGGATAACTGGTGCTTCTTTGGAGATGTGGTCGGTATGTCGGATGATATTCTCCGAATACTTTTGTTTGAGCTAAATTCGAGTCAATCACGGAACCCTTGAGTGAAAAAATCTTACCCTTAGCAACTTGGGTATATTAGCCCAGATAAAAATAGAGAGATTAAGTACCAAAGTCCAAAAAATGATGTAGGCCAACATTTCCACTTTCTCGGTAGCGGTATCAGGTTCTTCGAGGCATATGATCGAGGAAAACAGAGGGTCTGATACTTGTGGAAGCCCTAAAGATTCTTCTTTTGCAAAGCCGCGCTGTATTGGAACTATGAGTGCTCATATTACTCTGTACATTGCGTGAGACAACAGGAGTTTTTCTGTGACACACAAAAGAGCGGATCTCACGGAGTTCGAATTTCAGCAGGGAAGATGAAGTGCCTTGCATTATTGCTATCTTGTGGCGCTCGAGCTATTTACCGCTGTCGATGGATCGGCCGCCGATCCAGTCGTGGATACAGTTTGTATCCACGATCCAAGACAGTGAAATCACCTTCCGAAGATACACATACGGTGTAAGTAGCGTGTGGAGATATAATTGGCTGTGAGGCCATAGTAACTTATTCCTATCCTCACTCAGTCAATTAAACTACGATTTAAATGATTATTGCTTTTGTTCAACTCAAATAGAAGTTTATAGCAACGCTGTCAACCAATTATTCGGGATCAGAATGCCCACCTCACGGAATCTAGAAGGAGACAGCTAGTTTTATATCGGTTTTTGGGAAAGGATCTAGACAAACTGAAACTAGTTCTCAATGTCGCTTCCACTAAGCACGCCGATACGGTATGGTGCCATCATATACAGGTATCAACTAACTATGTGACGTATACAAAAAAAAAGGACACTATCGTTTCTGTGCAGAAACTAAGGAGACTATCTTACAGGTTCCACCTGGCTATTGTTTATTCAGCTACTTATTGTAATAGGGATAAAAGTTTTCACAATTGAAATGCAAGATAATAATAATGTATGAGGTCAGAATAAGGCCCCCCCTGAACTAGCAATTATGGAACTAGCAATTAGGGATTTTGATATAGGAATTTGAGCTTTTACAAATATTTTCATAAGTAAGGAGGCTTGAATTAAATTATACAAGGGCTAGACGAATATCAATAGAAAGATGATCATCAGTGTTGATCGATATCAGGCCTCGACCATAAGGAGTCTCGAGTTTACCGATGTATTCTGTAGGCACCAATAAAACTACGATTCAAGTGTCATTCTTTATTTGAAAACAAACAAACAAAGGAATTATAAATTATGATTACCTGTCAGAGGTGGGTCGAATACTTGCGGCAGCTTTACGGAGTAATTCATACGTGTCCGTAGTACCTATGGTTTGTTTTATAAACCCAGCATTCTCACCCTGTGTCAAAGAATCTCAATTAGTTACTTCGAGAGGTTGCTTCGCCATCATGCTTTCCATTCCCATATGGAATGTCTCTTCCATAGGTTGGGCCTTAGTCTATACATCCATAGGGGTCAGTCTTCAACGAAGTATGAGGTGAATTCTATAGACTAACAATTATAGATCCTGGCATGGTTAATTTTGGGCATTGTTTACAATCTTCTGTTTCATCCTCTCGCGCGAAAATACCAAGGACCTCTTCTAGCACAGGCCAGTATACTATATCAGGTTTACTTCGAACTCACTGGGCGAATGCCACACAAATTGGAAGAACTACATCGAAAATACGGCCGCATTGTGAGAATTGCGCCTAACGAATTGTCTTTCGATGACCCCACGGCATGGCAGGATATCTACGGTAAGCTGATACTCTGTTCTCATTGGAGAATGGGAACTAACAATAGCCCAGGGAGAGGGAAAAATACGACATACAATTCTATGTCTAAAGATCCGTCATTCTACGGCCCTGGAGCGAATGGTGTGCCTTCAATCGTAAGTTATGCCCCATGCCCCATCAATATGAAATACATGAGCGAGCCACAACTTATTATTATAGCTTGTGTGTAACGATGAAGAACATCAGCGGTTCCGAAAGCTTCTGAATCATGCCTTCACTTCCAGGGCAGTCATGTCTCAGCAGGAAATCCTCCATCATCATGCAAGCAAGTTGATAAACGGACTCCGTGAAAAGAGCCAACAAAAAGATGCTAAAATCAATATGTGTCTTTGGTTCGACTCGTTTGGTCTGGATGTCATCTCAGACCTGATTTATGGCCAATCTTTTAATTGTCTTCATTCCAAAGGCAGCCCAACACGCGAGACGGATATGATAGCCTCCTCTTTCAAAGCAAGCACTTGGTATCGCGCCATTCGAAGAATGCCTGGACTGGTGCAGGTTATCATTAAGGCCATGCTGCCTAAAGAAGTTGTCCGAAAGCGACAGATAAGAATGCAGTATAGCATTCAAAAAATCCGTGAGCGAATGCAGAGACCTTCTGAGCGTCCGGATGTGTACCACTTCATCAGTGGATCTGGCGATAGCAGCAAAATGTCTGCCGATGAGATGGCCTCGTCGATTTCTGTCCTCTTGGGAGCGGGGAGTGAGACAACGGCCACTACCCTGTGCGGCTGCATATACTTCCTCCTTCAAAGCCCCGGAGTGTTTCAACAGCTTCAAAGTGAGATTGTCCAGCAGTTTCAGACAGAAGAGGAGATTACCTGGAACAAACTCAATTCTATCCGTTTTCTCACTGCGGTCATCGATGAAACTATGCGTCTATATCCTCCAACCCCCAGTACCCTTCAACGTCGTGTGCCTGCAGTGGGCGCTACTATTGCAGGCAAAAGCATCCCACCTGGTACAATCGTTGGAGTGAACCACTATGTCGCTCATAGGTCACCAAGGCATTTTGTCAATGCTACCGAATGGACACCGAAAAGATGGCTGGGAGATGAAGCCTTTGAAGCGGACGACAAGTCTGCCTTCAGGCCCTTTCTGCTTGGCCCAAGAAATTGTGTGGGACAAAAGTGAGTTTACTACAGCTCTGTTACTCTGTCTCTTTCCAATGCTAACAACAATTTAGCCTCGCAGACGCAGAGCTTCGCATCATCCTTGCGCGGCTGGTATGGAACTTTGATCTGAAGTTGGAAGATAAAAGCGAGGATTGGTTGACCCAAAAAGTATTGACCTTTTGGTGCAGACCTGAATTAAAGGTCAAGATCACCCCCCGACAAAATGCTTAGGATTCTGTTCATGTAGATGGAAGAAACTTAACATGTTCAGATACAATAGCCATCTAGTACAGCGATCACAAAAAAAGCCAATTGAATATATACTATGACGAGCAGATTGATTAGAATCAAAGCAAGACAATTGCATTTAGTAAGAGAAATCCCGACCATTCAAGCTTATTTTCGGGATTAATCAAACGTTGATGTTCATGGACGCTACGTGATTCATAGATGATAATGGAGGGTTTGCCGAGATGAGGTTTGAGGATCACACTGACTTGAACGATCAGTTTAGCGGGATGTATATAAGGGACTTTCGATTCCAATTCTTCATACATAACTTCATTGAACTTTTAATTGTTTATCTGTTCAAAGGAATCAGGAAGTTCATGTGTACATACATCCATATAGTACATATACACTACACGTGACCGGCATTATTATCGGGTGTTTCCGACAGGATTCAACCTCCCAAGCTATGAACGCATCTTGACGCTTGTCGAGTTTATATAATTGGAGTCGGATTTTCAAACCACCAAACAAAACAACGGTGCTTACATCCTAAATGAAGCTCCCTTCCTACCTAGCGGCCGTGGCCGTCATCACCGGCGCCATGGCTTCTCCGCACCCCGCACTTCAGCAACAGCCCCTGGGTGGACCATCTTCGCCCTCGTTGCCCAGCTACAGCCAGGCTCAATTGAATAATATCATCAATGATTCCCCTCTACTATCATTGCACCGGCGTCTGGTTGAAATCGAGTCCATTTCCGGCAATGAAAACAAAATCGGCTTGGACATCAAGCTATTCCTAGAATCTCACAACTTCACCGTGGTCGAGCAAGAAGTGCCCCCAGTGAAAGGCCAAGAGAAAAATAGAGAACGCTTAAACATCTACGCTGTTCCAAAGTCCTTGACTTTACCCCCCACCATCCTCCTCACAAGTCACATCGACACCGTCCCACCCTTCATCCCATACTCCGTTCACCAAGATGACTCAACTCGCGATCCAGAAGACCTGGTCATATCAGGCCGCGGCAGCGTCGACGCAAAAGGCAGCGTCGCCGCCCAAGTCTTTGCCGCCCTAGAAACCCTCGCCGAAAACCCAACCGCAAGCATAGGTCTGCTCTTCGTCGTCGGCGAGGAAATCGGTGGAGATGGAATGAAAGTCTTCTCCGACTCCCCCTCAACCAAAATGACCTCAAAACCATCATCTTCGGCGAACCAACCGAAGCGGCCCTCGTCGCCGGCCACAAAGGCATGCTCGGCTTCCAGGTTCTCGCTCACGGCAGTGCCGCCCACTCAGGCTACCCATGGCTAGGCAAGAGTGCTGTCTCGGCGATTCTGCCCGCGCTCGCGCGAGTCGATATCCTAGGTGATATTCCCGCGGAAGAGGGCGGTCTTCCTGCTTCGCCGAAATATGGCCCTACGACGCTGAATATTGGTAAGATTCGTGCGGGTGTTGCGACAAATGTTGTGCCTTCGGAGGCTATGGCTGATGTGGCTGTTCGGCTTGCCGAGGGAACCCCTTCGGAGGCGCGTGAGATTATCAGGCATGCTGTTGAGGATGCTACACGGGATGTTGAGGCTGAGGTTGTTGTAGATTTCACGTCTCATCAGGAATCCTACCCGCCTCAGGATTTAGATTATGATGTTGATGGCTTTGATGTTACCACTGTTAATTATGGTACTGATGTGCCTAACCTGAAGGTAAGGCCTGGTACTAAGCGTTACCTTTATGGGCCTGGTAGTATCTTTGTTGCGCATGGTGACAATGAGGCTTTGACCGTACGCCAGATCAAGGAGGCTGTTGTTGGATATAAGAAGTTGATTCAGGCAGCTATGGAAAGAGAGGAGGGATCTGCCGTTTAATCGGGGGTATTTCTGCATTGCGTATTGAAGAGGCCTTACTTGGTGCTTCCAATTTTTAACGAGCATTAAATATTTTAGATACATATGGATTCATTTCGGCTATAAAATACACAGATGTGCCTAAGATTGTGACTAATGATGCCTGGCAAATAACCATCAAGTTCAGAAAAGACCAGAAATGATGTGAACTGACCTCCATATCAAATATGTTAGAGACAACCTCTATGTCACCAAATTCAGTAGAATACAGAAAGTAAAGTCGGCCACTAGAAGGAACTTCGTGTACAAATTCGGGCCCTTACAAAGTGACCCAAAGGAAGAGCAGAAAAAAAGAAGCGCTGTACAGAACATATAAAATCAGACATACATACTCACACGTGGTACCTCAATACCTAAAAAGAGCCCATCTCAAACCCTAGGCTTCCTCTCCCATCCAGTCTTAAGCTCACCAGTAGGCTTAAACCTCGGGAAAGGATGAGCCTCGGTATTAAAGACATGATCTTCCAACGCAATGAAATCTCGATCCGAAAACATCAAGTAGAGATACTTCAACGTCTCAGCCATCCAATAACTCTCCATATTATCACGCTTGTAGGGAGGGACCGCATCCGCATTACCAAGAGATGTAAATCCCTTGATGCGGAAAATGGGTTCCTTGCTCGTAGACCCTGGAAGGCGAGAGACGGCCTTTTTCTCTACAACGGCTGTGTGGCGGACGAATGACTTGAAGATCTCCCACCCCCATTGGCGGTAGATGTCGTCGCCGGTTATCCGGTACATGTAGAAGAGGGATTCGATTGTTTCAGGGCGTTGCAGGTTGTGGCGGTCGTTTCGCTGGATGGTGATGTCTTCGCGCCAGGGCTCTGTGCCGTCGCGTTGCGCTTCGAGGGGTTTGGAGATGCTGTGTAGAATCTCTGGCTTGGATTTTGTGGCTGGGTCCGGGTATTTGTCCGCCATTGTTAGAGGCTGGCTGTCCAGGACAAAGTGGGAGATCTCGGCTGCGAGACCGGTGGCTGTTGCTTGGTGCATTGCCCAGCAGGTCTTCATCAGTTCACGGGATATGAGAATTTCTTCCTCGCGCTGTGGTGTCCAGTCTGCTGACTTCCGGGCTTTGGATAAAGGCTGGCCGCCGGTAGCACCGAGAGCGATGGTTCCTGGCATGAAGCATACTAGGTGGTCCATTCTGGGGGAGAGTTCCTTGTCTAGACCTTGTGGCCGCTCGCCAAGTATCATCAGTTGGGAGTTCTTGGTGAAGGAAATCAGATGCTTGCGGATGCCTTGTAAGGCTTCGTCCCACATCTCTTTGTAAAGAGGCTCCTGCTGTGAGGTCTGCAGGTACTGCTTGATGAGATATTCTGGAGGATGTCAGCTCGAAACAATCACTGTGAATGAAAGCCAACGACATACCATAATACGAGTCTGCCTTGTTACCGAGACCAATGCTGTCTCCCTTGAAAAGACCAGTATCCGGATGGATTGCACCTTGCACCAGGCCATCACGAGGCTCTTGATAATCAACCAGCTTCATCACCTTCTCCACTAATTTCCAATATTCACCTTCACCGGTCAACTTAGCCAAATACTTGAATTCAAGCTGCAAGGAGCCCGCTTCAGATATGGACGTAGCTCCCTCGTCGAGATGCAAAACAACACCGGCAGACGTGTTGAGATTGACGTTCGACCACGGAATACCGCTTGGGGACTCAAAAGCCCCAAGTAGTCGCTCGGCAAGGTCGGTAGCTTTCTCAATGTAAAGGTCCTCGCCAGCAGCACCGACATCGTCGTCGTTAAGGGGTGCCAAGTTGGGATATTGGGTCGACAGATAGTGCGCAGACAATAAGCCACCCAGCATGCGGATGGTCGTCTCGAACGTGTTAACATCACGGTCCTGGTTATACTGCAATGAAGTCGAAATCCATTGTCGTGCGCGGTGGACCTTCGAGGTCAAATTCATGATCATGAGTGTATCCAACGAGTCAACAATCATCCAGCCTAATCCGCCGCTCGTCGATTCCTGGTTGACGTTGGATACCGGGCGATACTGATCATATCCTATCAAACTGTAAGCACTGCCATACTTCTCAAGAATGCAAATACCTACCCCATGCGTTCTTCTCGTAGCCCTCCCAACTGACGATGAAAGCGTCCCGCACTTTCTCCCGCCTCGCAGCCCATTCAGACAAATCCCCAGAGCCCTTGACATCATCCAATGTCTGGGCCCATTCCCAAAGCTCTACCCCCTTGTCGTTGGACTGTAGTCCTGACCACGCGGGGAGATAGAAGTTATAGTATAACAGGAACACCATACTACACCCTACTATGACATAAAAGAACGGTCTCCATCTTCTCCGCGGCCCTGTGCGCCGTGGCTTGAAAAAGGGTTTGTCTTTGTAAAGCGGTAGAGTGCGGTCTTTCTCGAAATAGCCGTTCACTTTATTGGATAGGGGAATTGGCTGGTTCGACAGTCCGTAGCCGCGCAGCCCGTTACGGGAATTTTGATAGAAGCCTTCTTGTTGCGCGGGCGCAAAGGGGCTGCGTGATGGCTGGTATGCCATTATTTTGGTCAAATCTTTGGCGAGACTTTCGTGGCGGTGCGATTATCGAGTGCGACACATGGGAGCGTGCTGGCGTTCTATCGGTGGATTCGATTTCGCTTGGTTTAAAAAGGACGAATTTGGGTGTTTGACTGCAATCACTGCTTGGCAAGTAACGGTCAGTCAAGTTTGATTCCTCAAGATGCAACCCCTCGTCGTGACTGGAGACTCACCGAAGTGCAGATTTTAAGAGTTTGTTCTTTACCTCTATCCTCTGATTTCAATTGGCACAGACCTGAACATTTAACGAGTAGCCAGTGCGCACAGGAAAAGCCTATGTTGATGGTATGGTGGTCCGTAAACAATTTCTCGGAGATGCGGAGGCGCGCAGGTTATCCCGCGTGTCCTCAGTGACCGAACTAACGGACAAGGCCAAATCACTTGATGTTATCAAATCCAAGTGTTCAATCCAAAGCTCATGAGCGTTGCGCGACAATTGAAACGTGGGTAAAGGTCAGATTCAATAGAAGCTGGGGAAGTGGAGAGCGAACATTAAGCCGCAAATCAGATGTCGCAGCACGCGTAATCCGTCTCAGAATGAATAGGGCATTCACAATGTACAGCATATATGTTTATATTGAATATTACAAGTTCTAAGGGATTATACCTTGAGAACCCAAATTGAATAAAGGTTGAATGCATAGTTTTAGCGCTTCAAAAAGATCTAAACCGTGCGATAGATGAGGATCCCGCTAGATAGATACAATTACAGCTTCTGGTACTCAAGCTTGCCCTCCAACTTCTTCGCCTCTGCCACCTTCCGTACGGCCTTGTTGAAGTCGTCCTGGTTGATAGCGTCACGGTAATCCTTGATTGCAAACAGGCCGCTAAAAAGGGTCAGTTGATTATTCAGTGTAGAGCGATTGGGTTGTACTCACGCTTCAGTCACTACGTTTCGAAGATCAGCACCGTTGAGACCATCACTCATCTTGACTACACTCTCAAAGTCGATGTCACCGTCCTTTTGAACTGTGCTTGTGTGGATCTTCAAGATCTCCAGACGGCCCACCTCATTGGGAAGAGGAATCTCAATCTTGCGGTCCAAACGACCAGCACGCAGAAGAGCAGGGTCCAGTGTGTCAGGTCGGTTGGTGGCCATGATGATCTTTGTCTTTCCTAGGTAGTCGAAACCATCCAGCTGGTTCAACAATTCCATGAGAGTCCGCTGGATTTCTCGATCTGCCGATGTACCCTCCGAGAATCGTCGTCCACCGATAGCGTCAATTTCGTCCATGAAGATGATACAGGGTTCGTGTTCCTTGGCGTATCCGAACATTTCTCGGATCAGTCGGGCGGATTCACCAATATATTTATCCACAATGGCCGAGGATACAACTGTTGCAGCCAGAGGTTTTAGCAGGTTTCAGGAGTGATAATTGGTGGTTTTTGGAATCATACCCTTCAAGAAGTTGGTCTCTATCGAGCTGGCGACTGCTCGTGCAAGCAGTGTCTTACCAGTACCCGGAGGACCGTAAAGTAGAACACCCTTCGGGGGCTTAATTCCAACTCTGAAGAAAAGCTCTGGGTTCTTCAGGGGCAGCTCAATAACCTCACGAAGCTCTCTGATCTGATCATTGAGACCACCAATACCTGCGAAGTTGACTGACCCGGGATCCTCCAGAGACATGTTGTACACCATAGGATCGACCTCGCGAGGCAGCATCCGCATGATGGTAAGTGTTGTCATATCCAAAGCCACACGTGTGCCTTGCTTCATCTTGGCCTTATCCACCTTTGAGCGACAACCGACCACATATCGAGGACCGGATGACGCCTTGACGATGACTGGGATTCCATTAGTGTCTGCATGCGATCCGCAACGCGAAACAAATCGGATTTTACGACTTACATCGCTCTTCATCAAGTTGCTTCAACACTTCTCCGATGATCTGACCGACACTTTGTAGTGCCTTGATGTTATCTTCAGACACATCAAACTCCCTTTGAAGATCCTTGATTCCCAGACGGAGATTCTTTAGCTTGGCTTCCCACTCTCGTAGCTCGAGCAAGCTCTTTTTATAGTCCTCGAGCGCCTGGCCGCGCTCCGGGTCGCTCATGATGAAGGACGGACAAATGAGGGATTCGCCGAGTGTGTAGGGAAAAGAGGAAAATCCAAAAGGAAACGGTAGTTCCGTGAGGTATCGAGGTTATCGTGTAATATCGTGGATGCAAAATGGATGGATATCGTGATTGAAAGGGCGAATGCACCTTGCCTAGGAGCTTCCAGCGCAGTTGTCGATGAGCTTCCAAACACCTGAATCACGTGCCTTTAGATTATGTCACATTATTGGTCAGCTGACGCCTTTTTAAGGCATGGTTCACAGGCCAGAAATATAAGGCTCTAAGGCTCAATTATTTGAGGCAATAAGGCAATAAGGCAATAAGGCAATAAGGCATAAACTGCTGTCTTCGTCACCCGAAGACAGAATGATGACCTTGGGATACTACGTAAGAAGACACTTGCATTCAACTGATCCTTCAATTGGTCAACTATGTAACATCGGCCCGAAACTTCAGTCATTGAGAAGATAGAAGGTTATCATCGGGCCACACAAGGTGCTTGGAGGGGTATTGGAGGGGTAAGTCTGATATGTACATACATTGTGCAAATGTACAACTGTACGTTGCACATATGTACACGTCTAACGGCACATGGGATTGGGACAATGCCATCATAGGTCTCATCTTCCGTCTCTCGGAAGATCTCGTAGCTAAAAATGCCCGCATACGGTCGGATCAACCAGCAGGAAGCTGGAGCACAGCCGTAGAGACCCACTGTAGTATTGGAAAGAATCGGAGCAAAGCAATGAGCTTTCCCGGGGTTATTCATGGGGAAGTATTTAAATAGTCGGGTGTCTCCGTAGTGATTTAATCTTTTAAGTTGTTTATTTCTATAAAAGAAAAAGGTGAGTTGATATACACCCAGTCATACCCATGATACCCATCTACCCATTACCTACCCCGCTATAACATTGCCCCTCCTATACACTACAAAGAACTTCTGGAAAGGCATAGAAATATCCTAGACCGGTGATCGTAGTAGGAACTGCAATTGCCCCATCAATTGGTTGAGCTGTCAAGCAAATCACATCTTTCCATCTCTCTCCCGGCGAATCTTTTTGGGTCATCGGTGAACCTCTCCCCCGCCGTTAGTCACACGCAGCTTTTATCCCATATATCTGCCCAGATCCTCTTTTCTTCTTCTTTCCAACTGACTGAATTATACAGCCTATTCAATCATGCCTATCTCTAAGATTCACGCTCGCTCCGTCTACGACTCGCGCGGCAACCCCACCGTTGAGGTGGACGTTGTCACCGAGACCGGCCTTCACCGCGCCATTGTCCCCTCCGGTGCCTCCACTGGTATGTTCTTTGTTGGATTGATGCATCAAATTTCATCATCAGAAATCAAATGACTGACATCAACTCCTAGGCCAGCACGAGGCCGTCGAGCTCCGCGATGGTGACAAGGCCAAGTGGGGTGGTAAGGGTAAGTGAACCGCATCTCTCCAGCTACATGCATCCAAGAAAAAGGCCCAAAAGCTAATCCGTTGTCTTTAAAACAGGTGTTCTTAACGCCGTCAAGAACGTCAACGATGTCATTGCCCCCGCCATCATCAAGGAGAACATTGATGTTAAGGACCAGGCCAAGGTTGATGAGTTCCTGAACAAGCTTGATGGAACCGCCAACAAGGGCAAGCTCGGTGCCAACGCCATCCTCGGTGTCTCCCTGGCTATTGCCAAGGCCGCTGCCGCTGAGAAGGGTGTTCCCCTCTACGCTCACATCTCCGACCTCGCCGGTACCAAGAAGCCCTACGTCCTGCCCGTTCCCTTCCAGAACGTCCTGAACGGTGGCTCCCACGCCGGTGGCCGTCTGGCCTTCCAGGAGTTCATGATTGTCCCTGAGTAAGTTTTTTCCGAAAGAACACATTTTACATAGACTAACGACAAAACAGTACCGCTCCTACCTTCTCCGAGGCTCTCCGCCAGGGTTCCGAGGTCTACCAGAAGCTCAAGTCTCTCGCCAAGAAGAAGTACGGCCAGTCCGCTGGTAACGTCGGTGACGAGGGTGGTGTCGCTCCTGATATTCAGACCGCCGAGGAGGCTCTTGACCTCATCACCGAGGCCATCGAGGAAGCTGGCTACACCGGCCAGATCAAGATCGCTATGGACGTTGCCTCCAGCGAGTTCTACAAGGTCGATGCCAAGAAGTACGATCTTGACTTCAAGAACCCCGAGTCCGACCCCACCAAGTGGCTCACCTACGAGCAGCTTGCCGACCTGTACAAGTCCCTCGCTGAAAAGTACCCCATTGTCTCCATCGAGGACCCCTTCGCTGAGGACGACTGGGAGGCTTGGTCTTACTTCTACAAGACCTCTAACTTCCAGATTGTCGGTGATGACCTGACTGTCACCAACCCTCTGCGCATCAAGAAGGCCATCGAGCTCAAGTCCTGCAACGCCCTTCTCCTGAAGGTCAACCAGATTGGTTCCCTGACCGAGTCTATCCAGGCCGCCAAGGACTCCTACGCCGATGGCTGGGGTGTCATGGTCTCTCACCGCTCCGGTGAGACCGAGGATGTCACCATCGCTGATATTGCTGTCGGTCTCCGTGCCGGCCAGATCAAGACCGGTGCCCCTGCCCGTTCCGAGCGTCTTGCCAAGCTTAACCAGATCCTGCGTATCGAGGAGGAGCTCGGCGCCAACGCTATCTACGCTGGCGAGAAGTTCCGCACTGCTGTCAACTTGTAAATGCAGCCTTCTAGCAGCATAGATCGAGCCGAAGGGTTCGCCCAAAACTGATGGTTTGATGATCCACGGAGCCATCGCCCATGATGATTATGAATTTAATAGGATCTTTTTCAATGAAATCAAAATTTCAAATGACATACAACGTATAAGTGAAAAAATAATTAAACAAACAATTGTACATAAGAAATACTTAGGATCAAAGGAGAGATCATGCTCATCGGGCATCACACTGCCCGAGATCACGTGCATAGGAAATGGGGAACAATAAGTGCTGTCCCACATAAAATTTGCCCTCGCCCCTCCATCCTTTGCTGGGTCCGATTGTTGGCTTGTTGGTCTTGCGTATAGCGCATTTCAATTTCACACTCTTTCGCATACTCTCTCTTCCGTTTTAATACTCTCCAAAAACTCCAAAAATGCCGCCTTCCAAGTGGGGTATGTTCATAAATCCTTTGTGCATGCGCCTCAAGCGCCATGTAGCCGATACTTTGCAACCTTACTAATATTTCCATCTCTTATATAGACGAAGAGGAAGAGGAGGATGTTGCTCCTCCCCCTGTTGTTGCACCCCGCCGCCGCTTCGACGATGAAGAAGAGGAGGATGTAAGGCAACCAGAACCCATTATCTCAGCCATAACTCACAAAGTCTAGGTCCTCGACTCATGGGACGCGGCCGAAGACTCCGAGGTCGAGCGCGAAAAGGCCAAGAAGGCTGCCGAAGCCGAAGCCGCTGCTAAAGCCAAGGCCGCCGCAAACAAGAAGACCAAGGCCCAGCGTATAGAAGAGAACCGCGAGAAGCACCGTGCCGAGAAAAAAGTCAGCGACGATTCGGAAAGCGAAGACGAGACGGAACGCCGCGCTCGTCTGCGCCATACCGAGCAGGAGGCCGATCTCGCCCACGCCGAGGACCTGTTCGGCTCTGTCGACGTCAAGCGCAACAAGGGTGCCCCCAAGGCTGTTGTCGTGACTGACTCCAAGGACCCTACCAACTCCGTCGATATGTCCGCCATGCCGCTTTTCAAGCCCACCACCAAGGATCAGTTCAATCGCTTGACTGAGATTCTGGTGCCGCTGCTTACGCCCCACACTAAGAAGGCGCAGTACTCGCTCTGGGCTCAGGATTTCACTCGCAAGCTTGTCAAGGACCTTCCTAGTGCTGAAATCAAGAAGATTGCTAGCGCTCTTACCACTGCTAGCAATGAGAAGATGCGTGAGGAGCGTGCTTCCGACAAGGGAAATAAGAAGTCAAAGGCGGCTAAGACGAAGATCTCGCTGAATGCTAGCCGTGATGCTCAGCCAGACACCAGCCAATATGACGATGATGGTCTCGGTGATGATGACTTTATGTGAATGTGACCACGGAGTATCCATGAATTGTTTCGCTGTTGCTTTCCCTTGAATCTGAAAATATGCATTTTACAGGAAGGTATACACTTTTTTCACTTATCTGGTTTTACACTGGGTTGGAAATACTACCCTTTTCTTTTCTCTTAGCTCTTGTACATCCCACCCCGAACTTCAGTTGAAGTAACACATAGAACACACAATTTCCATTATTATATGACTTAATACACGAATACCATTAATCTCAGTCCACCTCAGAACCAGTCACAAGATCAACTAACAAACCCACTACTTCTAACAACAGACCTAGTCTGGCGACTCTTGTTCAGAATTGCAGACTGTCTCGCCTCCTGCTCAATCTCCCGCACCCCCTTCTTATTATCAAGATATCCCTCATCATCCAGCGCAAAAAGTGCCTCCAAAATCCACACCCGACAGCACAGACTCTCCCGGTATCGAACAGAGTACACCGTTAGCGGAACGAGCGCCAACCGAGCTGCCAAAGCGGCATGCATGGTTGGCCCAATGATGCCGAGTTGCAGTGCTACTACCAATTTTGAGGACGTGGCCATGTCGTACACAACTTCGCCTTTGTATTTCCAGGCTAATGGGCCGGCGTCGTTGGTAATCTGAAACGCTCGGCCTGTGGTGCTAGTTGAAGCTAGATATAATTGCCACTCGAAAAGACAGGCGGCGCCCAGGTCCAGGAGGATAATGTAAAGGCTGTTTGGCTCGAAGTGGAGGGGCTGGGATGCCATTATGAACTGTTGTTTTGGTCTTGGATCTGATATTCTGTGGATTCTTTCGATTTTCCGTACCAAAACGAAAAGGGAGAAGGATCTCTTCGGAAATTTCTCTCTCTATGGAGGGCCCTATACAGCATTTTATAGCCATCCGTTACTCTAAATACCACTTGTAGGATATGCTCACCAATCAATTCCCTCATACATCTCGTGGGGGAAGAACCCGACTGCATGGAGCTGGGTCTAAGTCAAAGGATCAACATTGGCAAACTGAAATGGCTTTCCAGACGGGATCCAAATCTAGCATGGAACTCGATGTATCTGCCTAATATTCGCTGCATCGTTATGCCGGCATGGTGATGTAGCTATGCATACGTTTGTGTAGTAGAATTGCACAGCACCGGGAATTAGTGGTTTGGTCATGTGGCGGCCTCTATGTTCTTCACTTCTGGCACTAAGGGTCGCACTGCCATAAATAGGGTCTTGTCAGCATGGATTTTATACTGGAGTATTTCTCTTTACTTTGTTTTTTCTTTTTTTTTTTTTTGTGGGGGATATGTTGAAGTCTTTATTTACGTGGAGTACGTTCAAGTTCTCCATTTGACTCAAGCTAGATGGAGAAGCAAGGGCTGTATATTATAGTTTATACAACGCGGTCTACACCAAGCACAATTTCGACCTGTCAACTTAAAAAGATCGACATGAGACTTGCATCTACCCTAGCCCTTGCTAAAAGCAGGGCAAACAAATAGGACCCTTCCCGAGCCTCGACAGAGGGAGTCTCCGAGTCAGTGAATCTGAAAGATCCACAGCACGACTCGGTATTCGATTAGTCTAATTACCCCTCAGATAGCGACATTACACGCAGCAAACTTGGATATATCTACATATTTAGGTTTCTATTCGACACACGAAGTATGCGTTGTCGCGAGTGTCCCTACTTCTCAATGGTTCAATCTGTTTGTGCTTCGTGATGGTAGTATACCCACTGGATGAGTCGGAATTCAAGAGTTAGGTGGTCCCAATGCATGGGTATGAATATGATATTGTACTATCTATTTAGGGCGTCGAGGGGCGCTTATTTTATATTTGCGAAGTTGGTCAAGTCTCATAATAAGCTACATATGTACATACCTAGATACATACGGCAGTGCTTACATCTGATTATCTAGAGACGTACATACTCCCAATATCAACATCACAGATAAAGGCACAATTTTGACAGTGTCAGAGGCACAGTAGTGCCATCCTTAACGGCAATAAACTTCTTTCAAACGCATATACCTACGACTCCCAATATGAGCAGAAATAAGCACCAGGATCCCAGCAGAAAGCCAATCATAATCACCACGACCACCTCAGCGAAGCCATCATTCGTCAGTGGGGCCGATTTGGCATTTTGCGGCATCACTCACTTATTGCATACTTCATGCAACATGCAATGCCATGCCCACCTGCTCATGTATCATACCCTTGCTTGTGCCCGGGCCTCCTCAGTTGTTAGTAACGGGCTTCCATTGGTTCCACCGGTTCTCTTGGTGAGATAGATTCGGTGATACCGTACTGTAGTGGGACGATAGTGTGCTGTTCAGCCTCCTTTTGGTCGGGTAGGAGCTGTTTTTTCTTGTCTTGTTGTCCAGTTCGACCCTCCAGCGAAGGGCAGCTTCAAGATTCCCCAAGGGTGTTTGTGTGCTGTTGGTGTTGTTGTTTTGAGTCGCTTCTTTGCCCACCAGGATTAGGTTGTCTTTGGCTATTTGTTATTTTGGCATTTAAGGTCTTTTCGACCGACGAGCCGTGGATATCCCGCGGATGTTTTCAAGATTCCAAAGTAGGCACTTGAATTAGATACATACATATGTATGTTTTATGTTTAGCTTGAGATACATGCTCTCGAACAGCTTAATATCGGCACAGAAAGGTTAAAATGGGAATCATTGGCTACGCAAGCAACCCTATAACAGGGTGCACGAGGAATGGAAAATAAACACATTGAAACCGTGCTGCAGTGGGAATAGAGACAATAAAAGAGAGAGAAATTTCCACTCAGCCCCTTTTCTGCTCGCGTCAACCGAATATCAAACTCCGCCGGCCGACCCACACGGTCCCGAACACGTGCAAGATATCTGCCGGTCCAACCCAGCGCTGCGGTGAAAACAAAGAAGCGAGTTTGCATGAACACGTCCATAAATGCGAACGCCCACCCTACCAATCGGCAAATGGCTCGTCGTGACCTTTATGCTCCTTTTAAGAGTCGGCCTCGACAGGCTTAGCCTCCTCGGGCTTCTCCTCGGCAGGAGCAGCGGCCTCAGTGGTAGCAGGGACCTCCTCCTCGGGCTTATCCTCCTTGACGCCCTCGCCGTCGTTACCGTCGGAAGAGGTCCAGAGAGTAAGGTTATCGCGCAGCAGCTGCATGATCAAGGTGCTGTCACGGTAGCTCTCCTCAGAGAGGGAATCGAGCTCGGCAATGGCGTCATCGAACGCCTGCTTGGCGAGGTGGCATGCACGATCGGGAGAGTTCAGGATCTCGTAGTAGAAGACGGAGAAGTTCAGGGCAAGACCCAGACGGATGGGGTGGGTGGGGGTGAGTTCGGTCTGGGCAACATCGGTGGCGTTCTGTCATACGGTCAACGCTTATTCTTTGAATAATTGCATACCGAAGGGGTATCAATTACCTTGTAGGCCTCGTGAGCAGCGGTGGCAGCGCCCTTACGCTTGGGGCCGGAAGCGAACTCAGCGAGGTAGCGGTGGTAGTCACCCTTCCTATTGTGAGAAGTCAGCACTGTCACAGATCAAGCCTCAAGGTATCGAGACATGGGGGATAGTAACCCACATCTTGTAGTAGAAGACCTTGGACTCGCCAGTCTCGGCCTTGGGGATGAGAGCCTCATCAAGGACGTCAAGGACATCCTGGCAAACCTTCTCCAGCTCGGTCTCGATCTTCTGGCGGTAGTCACGGATGATGCCGACGTGCTCATCGGAGCCCTTGGTCTCCTCCTTCTGCTCGATGGAGGAGATGATGCGCCAGGAGGCACGGCGGGTACCAACCACGTTCTTGTAGGCAACGGAGAGAAGGTTACGCTCATCGACAGTGAGCTCGCCGCCAATCTAAATAGGTTGTCAATCATGGAGAAACATGAAAGGGTTCCCTCAGGTGATGGGGAAATGATGGTGCCATACGTTTGCGACTTCCTATTCGGCAGTTAGCATGGGTACACTGACAGTAAACAATACGGACACAACTAACCTTCATGAAGGTAACCATTTCTATCAAGCGAAGAGTGACACGTCAGCATACGCGCCCAATCACGTTATCGCGAAGCGACTTACCATCGTAGCGCTCGGCCTGCTCGCAGAGCCTCGCGAGGAACGTCTTGCTGGTGAGGGGTCAGTCATGTGTCGGATAATGGTTTCAAAAACAGGGGGCGACGATAGCCATACTTCTCACGCTGCAGTATGAAGAAGTTTGTTAGCCCAGATCTTAGCGACAGAAATTCAAGATGACCTCAGATGAGGGAATGTGGGATTGCATAGCGGTGACAAGACGGTGAGAGTGGGGTGGAAGAGCAACGTACCTCAGAACCCATGATGAATTTAAATCGGAATGGGTGGTTGAAAGTTGAGATTTAGAATAGGAGATAGAAAACAGATGCAGAAGAGGAAGATGGAATACCAAGTGGGGGGGGGAAGTGAGAGAGATGGTCCAGAAGATGAAGATGATTTGGGGGGATTTGGATCATAACAATAATACACTGCTGTCATGTACTGTGTACCTAATTATGCATAGTGTGTCACCGCCTTACATAGGTACATAGGTACTTGCACTGCGGCCCAGTATTACCATTACCGTCGATCCCCCCTACTGCTGTATTTAATTTAGCGGGGCATGGTATATCTGACAGACATTATTACCAACTACTACCAAATTCATGTCACGAGAAAAATAGATATGGGAGCCTAGAAAATGGTGCTCAGTTACTTCCATTTAAGATAACTGCATATAACTACCTAGATATCCTAGGTCCATATTAGATATTGTTATTCTTTGTACAAGTCTCAGTAACTGGTACTAGAATCTTTGGCCGGTACTGCGACCGATCAGCTGAAAATTGTATAGGTTTACCTTAGCCAGTAACTGACTATGTCTATACTTATGTCTACAGATATATATCTGCAGATTATTCGTGTCTTTTTTGTGTTTTCACATGATACTGACCTCTAAACATGCTAAGCCCTGGGTATGATGCAGCTTGAATGTTTAGAACCTTCTAGACTACACGTATGATAACTGACCAGCCGCACAGGTATCATAAGGTTCACAACTTCAGTTTTCTCTTTCAAAAAGCAGAGAAACACGTTTGTGTTATTAATATGATAGAAAGAAAATTGAGGTTGTAGATCAGATCCTGGAGAGAAATAATGTATTGATGACCAGCCATAATGTATAACTAACCTTGGAACCACTCCGTATAATTTTATGACTGATCTTAATTTTGGGGGCTTGATCAGCGATTCGTAAAAATAAAGTTGTTGGGTTGATACAGTATGAGAATCATGTCTACAATAATGTGCTAAATTAGCTATGGCCTTGATTAGACCTACAAAGGTACCCAACCATAATGCCACGGGATAGGAAATTTATGTGGCATCCAAAATACAAACGGATCCCAATGAAAAGAGATCGGAACTTTGAGAAAAGATCTTCCTAAGTATGCCTAAACGAGAGCCCGCATAATTCACCGTAAGTTCTGGTCTACACCCTTAGTTTGACTACACGGTACTTTGTTCCAAGGCTGTCTGCATGAGCAAAAGATTGTTGACCATTTCTTCTGATCCCTCATCTTGACTTTGAATGGTTGTATATTGTTCAATATGCAAAGCTTGAAGCCACATGGAATGCTTTCATGACCCTCTTTAACCTCTGATGTTGCCTAATTAACAAGGAAAGCCCTGGAGCAAGGGGATTAAGTGTCAGCAACACCGAGCGATCGGATCTAATCTATAATATGTGTGCCATGTGTTTTTAAAGGCATATGATGGATCCATGGTGAGATCATAAATGATGCAGCCCATGGACCTTGGTCTTAGCGTCAGCCCTACAAGCAGGTAATATTAGCGTGCTTATGACCTACTTACGCGTCAAGGGACTATGCGTTTAGCCTTGATGATCTCTCTACACGTATGGGCACAATGCGGTTCCACTAGTGGAAGTCCCGGATCAAGAATCTTTACCCGATGGTTCAGGGACAAGTCTCCTAAGTGTAACTGACCTATGTATGCAAAGTACGTTGCTACGTTGCACGTTTTTTCGGTATACTGTCATAGAAGAAGATCAGGAAGACAGTCTTGTAATCGAGACCAGTCAACTGGGTCGATTTAGAAGATCGGATACCCGTTTCAGGCTGCGGTGTCTGCTTGAGGGAAGCAAGTCGCCAAGACAGAGAGTTACCCACAAGGAACATTTGATAGGCAAGAGAATGATGCAGCCTAGAGATGCCCCATATGTCATCTCAAGTCTCGGCAAGTTGGGGATTGGCGTTCATGACGATACAGCCCTATGGGAGGCTCTTTACTCCGTAAGTCTCAGAGATCAGTAGACATATAATAAAACGAGTCAAAGGGGAGTTCCAATGTCAATATAATGTCCATAAGAGAAAGAATAAACCAAAACAACATATAATAAAGCCAAAATCCTCCACAATTTGCTGAAAAGAAGCAAAGAACATAGTAAAAAGCACAGAAGCGGAGAATTCAACCCAAAGACCCGCCTCAGCCCTGTTTGCGCTTACCTCATCTACGGATCGAATCAATGAGAACACGTTGTGCCCGCTCATTGTTGATAAGTTTCCCCGGTCTTCGATTTTCGTCTGGCCTCCTCTTTTTCTTTTTTCTTCTTCTATTATTGTGCCTGTCTCTTTAGGTTTTCATTCTCTTAACTCTGGGTTATACCGGAGGTCACTCATGTATCTCATTTGAAACAGGCACTCATTTCCCTTTTCCCTTGTTTACCCCAACTTTTCCTCATCTCTGCGGCTTTTGCAATTGATCGTGTCTATTGCCGTTGAGGATATCTGCGATCATGGAGAACGCCTTTCTCCGTACTTCAGCGGAAGCGCTGGAGCACTTCAAGGTGTCTGAGCAGACCGGTCTGTCCCAGGATGCGGTCTTTAAGTCCAGACAGCAGCATGGCCCCAATGGTGAGTGCACCCATTGCAGAGTGACGACATTGACGTAACTAACATTTGCCATCTACTAGCCCTTGCTGAAGAACCCCCAACTCCCATGTGGGAGCTGATTCTGGAACAATTCAAGGACCAATTGGTTCTTATCTTGCTTGGTTCGGCCGCTCTGTCATTTGTGCTCGCTCTTTTCGAAGAGGGCGATGATTGGACTGCTTTCGTGGACCCCGTTGTTGTACGTTTCCAAGTCCTAAGCTGCTCTCGTTCTATGCTTTTTCTTTTGCTGACAAATGGTTGTCTTCGCAGATTCTCACTATCCTCATCCTCAACGCCGTGGTCGGAGTGACCCAGGAGAGCAGCGCAGAAAAAGCTATTGCCGCTCTTCAGGAGTACTCAGCCAACGAGGCTAAGGTCGTTCGTGATGGAAAGATTCGCAAGGTCAAGGCCGAAGATTTGGTTCCCGGAGACGTGATACAAATTGCGGTGGGTGACCGTGTTCCCGCCGACTGCCGACTGCTCGCCATCCAGAGCAACAGCTTCCGCGTCGACCAGGCTATCCTGACTGGCGAGAGTGAGAGTGTTGGAAAGGAGACCCGGGCCATTAAGGACCGACAGGCTGTCAAGCAGGACCAGATCAACATGATTTTCTCTGGAACTACTGTGGTCAACGGTCATGCCACGGCTCTTGTCGTGTTGACTGGCAGCTCCACTGCTATTGGTGACATTCACGAGAGCATTACCTCCCAGATTTCCGAGCCCACCCCCTTGAAGAAGAAGATCAACGACTTCGGTGACATGCTCGCCAAGGTCATTACCGTCATCTGTATCTTGGTCTGGGTCATCAACTATGAGAACTTCAACGACCCCTCGTTCGGTGGCTGGACCAAGGGTGCTATCTACTATCTGAAGATTGCGGTCTCCCTTGGTGTGGCTGCTATTCCCGAGGGTCTGGCTGTTGTCATTACCACCTGTCTGGCTCTCGGTACCCGCAAGATGGCCCAGAAGAATGCCGTTGTCCGCTCTCTTCCCTCTGTCGAGACTCTTGGTAGCTGCAGTGTGATCTGCTCTGACAAGACCGGAACCCTGACTACCAACCAAATGAGTGTCGAAAAGATCGTCTACCTGTCCAACTCCGGCAACGACTTCGAGGAAATCGAGGTTGAAGGTACCACCTTCACCCCGCAGGGCAAACTCACCCGGAACGGAAAGGTTGTTGAGAACTTGGCTGCCTCCTCGTCGACCGTCGGACAGTTGGCCGAAGTCGTTGCCCTCTGTAACGCTGCTACTCTTTCCCACGACGCCAAGAGCGGAGTTTTCTCCAGCATCGGTGAGCCCACCGAGGGTGCGCTGCGTGCTCTGGTTGAGAAGATTGGAACCAATGACCCAGCTCTGAACAAGAGACTTTACAGCCTCCCCGCCTCCGACAGATTGCACGCCGCCAGCGCTCACTATGAGTCCCGTCTCCCCCTGAAGGCTACCTATGAATTCTCCCGTGACCGCAAGAGCATGTCCGTCCTCGTCGGCGAAGGCAATGAGCAGAAGCTGCTTGTCAAGGGTGCCCCCGAAAGTATCTTCGACCGTTGCTCTCACGTCATTCAAGGTGCCGATGGATCCCGCGTTCCTGTGACCAAGAACCACCTCAAGCTTCTCTCCGAGGAGGTTGTTGAATACGGTAACCGCGGTCTTCGCGTTATGGCCATCGCAAGCGTCAACGGTGTCTCTGGTAACCCTCTTCTGAAGAACGCCTCCACTACTGAGGACTACGCCAAGCTCGAACAGAACATGACTCTTATCGGTCTCGTTGGAATGTTGGATCCCCCTCGTCCCGAGGTGGCCGATTCCATTAAGAAGTGCCACGCTGCCGGAATCCGTGTTATTGTTATCACCGGTGACAATCCCGCCACTGCCGAATCTATCTGTCGCTCCATTGGTGTATTCGGTGCCAACGAGGATCTTACTGGCAAGAGTTACACTGGCCGTGAATTCGATAACCTCAGCGAAGGCGAAAAGATGAAGGCTGTCCAGACTGCTTCCCTCTTCTCCCGCACTGAGCCTAGCCACAAGTCCAAGCTGGTTGATCTCCTTCAGTCCCTGAATCACGTTGTTGCCATGACCGGTGACGGTGTTAACGATGCTCCCGCTCTCAAGAAATCTGATATTGGTGTTGCCATGGGTACTGGAACTGACGTCGCCAAGATGGCCGCTGATATGGTCCTTGCTGACGACAACTTCGCTACTATCACTGTTGCTATCGAGGAAGGCCGTTCCATCTACAGCAACACTCAACAGTTCATCCGCTACCTGATTTCCTCGAACATCGGAGAGGTCGTCTCTATCTTCCTGACTGCCGCCCTTGGTATGCCCGAGGCTCTTGTCCCTGTTCAGCTTCTGTGGGTCAACCTTGTCACCGACGGCCTTCCTGCCACCGCTCTCTCTTTCAATCCACCCGACCATGATGTGATGAAGCGTCCCCCTCGTCTTCGTGATGAGGCTCTTGTCGGTGGCTGGTTGTTGTTCCGCTATATGGTCATCGGTATCTACGTTGGTGCTGCTACCGTCTTTGGTTACGTTTGGTGGTTCCTCTACAATCCCGCTGGTCCTGGTATCACTTTCTCGCAGCTGGTAAGTTCTATTCCCTCTTGTGAGTTTTCATCCACTAACACATTCCAGTCCAACTTCCACAAGTGCTCCTCTCAATTCCCTGAGATCGGCTGCGAAATGTTCAGCAACGACATGGCCAAGTCCGCATCGACCGTTTCTCTTTCCATCCTCGTGGTGATTGAGATGCTTAACGCCATGAACGCTCTGTCCTCTAGCGAATCTCTCCTGACTTTCTTCCTTAACAACAACCCCATGCTGGTCTACGCCATCACCCTCTCCATGCTCCTCCACTTCGCCATCCTCTACATTCCCTTCCTGCAGAACCTGTTCAACATTCTGCCTCTGGACTGGAACGAGTGGCAGGCAGTGTTGTTGATCAGCGCGCCTGTGATGTGAGTTCTATTCCTATTCATTCAATCTACGCCAACGTATATACTAACACGCTCTAGCTTGATCGACGAGGCCCTCAAGTTTGTCGAGCGTTGGCTGTACAACACCAAGGCTGTCAACCCGGTCCAGAACGGCTCCGGCAAGCCTAAGCGGGCTTAAGGGTATATCGGTGACTTCAATATGACCTTTTCTGTCAGAGAGATCTGCAAAGGCTAGAGGTGTGTGAATAGATAAATTGTGCCTCTGGCGCAAAGAATGTACGTGAATTGGTGATTTTTCTTTATAACATGCCATCATGCCCATAGACCTTGAATGAAGTTTTGCTCTTGTTCCAAGGTATCTGGATGTAGTATTTCCTGTATACGGAGTATCCCCGTCTGATCGGGCAAATCTTATCCCCTTTGAGCCGGTGCTCGTCTCTGTACCTAGGTAGCACACTTCCCCTGGTTTGCACTATACCAAAGTGGAAGGTCTAGTCCTCGATGACCTAGTTGTGATCGGCGTGTATCCCGGCCACCGCTCAGGGATAATGTGTATGTCACTTAGTTGCAATAGCGAGATAATCCACAGTGTTGTCGGCGTGGGGATACACATATGCCATTAACTATCTATATTCCATCGATCATGTACCTACATACATGTAGTTATATAGAGGTATAGAAATCGAGTATTTATACACATCATCCACAACAACCCATATCCTACTGATCTAAACAAAAAGAAAGATCTCATCCTGCACAAATGATATAATAATGCACACCCAATAATAACCCCTCTAAATTCCCCGGAACATCATCCCGCTTCCATCCCCTCAATATAGCCTGAAAGCCATGCAACTCTGACGCCACACTAATCATGCTCCAAGCCGTGTTTACGCCAAGTCCACGGCAGACTTCATCTCGGTGCAACTCCGAGTGATGGGTTGATGTCGTTGTTGTTGTTGATTGGATGTTGTCCTGTTCTTCCCCAGGGATCACCCGCTGAGTTTCCCCGGACTTGGGGGGAATGTGGAGTTCTCTGCGGAGGGCAGAGGACAGAGGCCATTTCGATGTCACCTTATTTTTCTTTTTTGCTTTAAAGTGTTTGCTTCTTTGCTTTTTCTTCGTTTCTTTTTCTTTTCTTTTCTGTTTTGCTTTCCTTGTCTGATTTTTTTGCCTTAATTATTGCTCAAAATGAGCTTTGCGAATTTCTTGAAGACTCGCTCCGGCTTGAGAGTCGATAATCGCAAGACCACCTCTGCTGCTACATTGACACTGAGACAGAGTCTATGGCCTTTGACTCTAGTTACGCTCTTGTTCTTCTTATGGGTATGTCAATCTGGACCTCTAAATACCTATCAATACCTAATTATACCCAAATCTACAACATAAATACCTAATATCCTAACAGGGATTCGCCTATGGTCTATTGGATACCCTTAACAAACACTTTCAGAATACTCTCCACATTGACCGAGGCCGATCATCCGGTCTCCAAGCCGCGTATTTTGGGTAATTATCCCCTTGCTTGTCTCATTTCCAAACCCGAACCCCAATTCCAGAATCCAATCCCGAAGTAGAATCTAACAGACCAAGCGCATATCCCCTCGCCTCCCTAGGCTATGCAAACTGGATCCTGCGCCACTATGGCTACAAAACCGTCTTTATCTTCGGTCTCGTGCTGTACGGTATCGGAGCATTGTGCATGTGGCCGGCAGGGCTACACCAATCATTCGGTGGCTTCTGCGGTGCGACTTTCGTCATTGGCTCCGGTCTGGGATCTCTCGAGACAGCCGCCAATCCCTATTTGACTGGTAATTACCCAAACCCCTCTGTAAATCAATCAACCAAACCCAGAATAACAACATTAACACCCAATCACCAGTCTGCGGTCCGCCTCGCTACTCCGAAATCCGTATCAACTTCGCCCAGGCCTTCAATGCAATCGGTACTGTCGTCGGCCCTGTGCTTGGCTCTTATGCCTTCTTCACCGAGACGTCGGATGATGTAGCAGCGCTGCAGCGCGTGCAGTGGGTTTACCTCGCTATTGGCATCTTCGTCTTCTGTCTTGCTATTGTGTTCTTCTTTTCGAATATCCCAGAGGTCACCGATGAGGATATGGCATTCCAGGTTGCGCAGACGCATGTCGATGAGCAGGACAAGCCCTTTTGGAAACAATACAAGCTGTTCCATGCGACTTTGGCCCAGTTCACCTATACCGGCGCGCAGGGTTTGTCTCTCTCTTCCCTGTTTCATTGATAATATAATCCTTTTGTTTGTTTTGTCTCCCTGCTGACCCTTACAGTCGCTATCGCCGGCTATTTCATTAACTACGCCACCGAGACATGGCGCGGTACCTCTAACGCCACAGCAGCCAAGTATCTAGCCGGCGCCCAGGGCGCGTTCGCAGTAGGCCGGTTTCTCGGATCGGGACTAATGAAGTACGTCAAGGCCCGCTGGGTCTTCCTCGTGTACTTGTCCTGCACGGTGGCGTTCCTCGCTGCCTCCGTCACGCAGACTAAGCAGGCTGGTATTGCTATGTTGTTTATGACGTTGTTCTTCGAGTCTGTCTGCTTCCCGACGATCATGGCGCTGGGTATCCGCGGCCTGGGACGCCATTATAAGCGTGGCTCTGGGTTTATCGTCGGTGGTGTCTGTGGAGGCGCTGTCGTGCCGCCGATCCTCGGTCATGTTGCTGATATGCGCAATGATACGGGTTTCGCGTTCATTGTGCCTACTATGGTATATTTCTTAATTTTCTTTTCAGGGAGGTTTGGCTAATGGGATTTTAGTTCATGGTTGTTGCTTGGACTTATGCTATTGCTGTCAACTTCGTTCCGGCTTATACTATTACGGTGGACAAAGTTGGTGAGAGTACGGTTGGCCTGGAGGAGAGACCTAAGGATGAGGAGGCTGTCGTGACTTCTACTGTTGATCATGTTGCTATTGATGAGAAGCACTCGGCTCTTCATGTGGAGCGCTAGAAGATGATGATTGAGATGATGATTGGGCTCACTGCGTCTGTGTCTTTCGGTGTAATGGGCGTTGACGGTTATTTGCTTAATTTGCTATGGTTATTCTTTAGGGCTATTCTCTATATAGAGTAATAATGATCAGACGATACTACAATAATGAAGAACAAGCTTGAATGAATTCCGCACCACGCTTCATGAATCGTAGTATTTGACACCAGCCGGCATACTTATAATCTAACATTCCAAATGACTTTCGGCAATTAACCTCCTCTAGCGATGTCAATACATACTGTCTAGACTCAGGCATGCTCTGTAGGGCTTTCTATGCGCTTTTCAGTTCATTTTTTTTTTAGGTCTGTTTCTACATTCTGTAAGGTCGCTTCGCACATATATGACGACTGGATATCCCTTAGTATAATTACATTGGAAGGCCTTGAAGATGAGCTGTTGCAGACTTTAAAAGACAAAGGAAGTCTTATCAACCTAGATTACGTATGTAATTTCATTATGCAACATTATGCAAGTATATCAGTTGCCATTAAATGCAAAAGAATCAGACAAATATTCTATGGGAGTTTATGCGTAGGGCAAAAGGCATGAACAGCGAAGGTCGAATCATCAAAATGAAATGTGGATAGACAGTGGCAAGGCGCTTCATGGACCAGACGTGAGATAAGCGCAGAGAAAAAGAAGAAGATATAGATGAAATAAATCGGCCTGTGTAATAGTCGGGCGAAAGAAAAGAAATAGAAAACGCAAACACGCTGTGTAAGTGGGGGTATAAGAGCTCTATCGTCTAATGAAAGATCGTGGCAACAAACAAATCTAATAACGCAAAGGGGTATCTCATTCCTTATCTGGCGAACGCAGAGAAGACGAGCGAGGAGGTCGAAGATGGCTGGTTTCGAGATTGGGGATGGGTGCGAACGGTGTCGTGCCTGAGTCGGATGTCTCTTCCATTGAGACTTTCGGCGTTTCTTCTCCGTCGTGTGGAATCACAAGGTCGCCGGGTGTACCTGGTGTACCAGGATCGTCGAATTCGTCGACTTCCTCGATTTCTTCGTCGATGCCGTCGTCATCTTCTTCCTCCTCGATGATCTGGCTCTTGCGTGTGGCAGGTCGCCCAGCGGCTATGTCGGAACCGCTGGCTAATTGGCCGGGAACCGGAGAGCTGACGATTCCGCCACCGGATACCATCAGGTTGGATGTGTGGATCATTGGGCCCTTGAATAAGTGTCGCTTTCGGCGCGCGAACACCAGATTCGGCGAGGTTGAGTATAGTAATGGTGGTGCCGCCTCGTTAAAGGACGACGGCATGTGGCCTGCATAGTCGCCGACTTCTCGGGGTATTCCGCTCGGTCCTCTGACTAACCGAATATTGCTTGGGAATCGGGCAGAAGAGCCCGGTGTTGTTGGTAGGACTTTGATCGAGGAATGGGGCGACCTAGAGGCTCGCGCAGTTGGCGTTGATATGGTATCCACACTGTTGGAGGAAATCGAAGATGCCTTCGAGTGGGCCCGCGTATGATGGATGCTGCGGATCGATGATACCGAGGAAGAAGTGGATTTGCGTCCTCGTAGCCCGGCTGATGACCGTCGATAGGACCCACGCGGTGTGATGGGCGATGGCGAAAGCGAATTTCGATGGCTAGCATGGCTGGTATTCAGTGGCCGTGGCTGGCGAGGGTAGGAGTGGCGGTTCTGGCTATATGACGCACTGCTGGGCGCGAGACTGCTGGCGTTGGAGAATCGCTTGATCTGGGTTGGTGTCTGGACATCCCCGCTTGCGACCTCACTCGCTGGAGACGATGAAGGCGCAGATTTCTTTCCATTATCCTGGCTCTTTGCCGGGCTCAACTTTTCCGAAAGAAACTTGCGCGAGCTTGTTGACTTGGCATGGGGAGACCGTGCCCGCTTTGCCGATTCCACAAACCAGTGCTTGAGCTGCGCTAGTTGGCTGAGTATCGGATAGTTGTGGCGACGACTCGTGCGACGTCGGAAAATACCATTTTGCTGTGTCAATTCCGGCTGCGATGCACTCACATGCAGCATGCTGGGGCGTGATCGTCGCCTGTCTTTTGGCGGGGGGACTGGGCGACGTCGCGATGAGCCGTGGGATCGTATGGAATCTTTGTCGATAGGCAATGGAGGAGTGGTCGCCCTAACTGGGAGCCCTGATAGCGGTTCAGGGAGCGCAGGAAGTTCAGGCACTGCCAATTGAGAAGGTAAGCTTCTTCTATCCCGTCTCCCACGATCCTGTAGTGCCGAGCTCTGACCTTCCTCTGCCACCTCCATCAGGGCAGATGATCTTTTCTCTAAACGACTGCTTGCAGCACTCAGTCGGCGAAGGTTCTTGGCCTCCACCTCTCGCTCTCGGCGCTTGCGCTCTCTCTTTTGTTCCTTCCGCTGCTCCTTCTCAATTAGCAGGGCCCACCAGCCAGCTAGCGGGTCGCATCGCTGAGCCAACACGTTCTCAATCACCTCGTCGATGTTGACTCCTGCACTCTTCATCCTCTGAAGTGTAGTCTTCTCCAGCGGAGTGGTGAAAGGCGACGGTCTTGGGATCTTTAAAATCGCAAGCTGCTCAGGGGCATGTTCGGAAAGAAAAGAGTGTGCCAGGATCTCGTCCAAACTGGGACGGATCAATGGCCGTTTTGACAGAAGCAGATTGATCAACGCCTTAGCATCATCTGTGAACTTGTCGTTGAATGTTGGCTCTTCCAACAAGATCCGCCTCTTGGTGATTTGATCGTCATCGTCATCGTACGGTAGTTCACCAGCCAAGAGGGCATAGAGAATGATGCCCAAACTCCACACATCAACCTTTTCACCCGCATATTTTTCTCCTTTCAGCATCTCAGGTGCACTGTAGCATATCGTCCCACAGAATGTCTGGAGGTAGCTAGCCTTTCCTTCATACTCGCGAGTAAATCCAAAGTCGCAAAGCTTCACATTTTCCTGCTTATCCAACAAGATATTCTCCAATTTCAGATCCCGATGCACACACGATTTGCTGTGGACGTAGGCGACTGCTCCAACGAGCTGCGTGAAGATCCGCTTCACTTTCTCGACGGGTAACGGGCCATGGCGGAGGAGGTAGTTGTAGAGTTCGTCACCTGAAGAGCCCCGTCAATATGCATCCTTCCACTGTATCCGCATCCAACCTACCGGGACAATACTCCAACACCAGCCAGACCAGATTCTCGGTCACCACCACTTCGTAGAGCCGCGCGATATGAGGATGGAGGAATTGGCGATGGTGATGGATTTCCCTGACAAGATTTGTATCCTCCTTGCTGGATGACTTGAGCACCACCTATCGAGTAATCAGAATTGGCCAGACAGACCCCTTCTCCGCATCATACCTTTGAGCCGTTCGTGAGCTTGTGCGACGCGAGGTAGACCTTGCCAAAAGAACCTTTTCCGATCAGTCGCCCCAGTGTATAATTTCCTACACTCCGGAGATCCTTGGACGAGAACTCCCTGCAGAAAAATGAAGCGTTAGCGCAAAGACACCCCTAGACCGGAGACCGAGGGCCGGAACATACTCGAGGAGTTCATTGTAGGAGCTGGCAAGCTATAGGTGTCGAGTTAGCCACTCTCCGCCTCTAAAGAGCCTGTGTCCGTGTGTCTTTCAAGTACCTTCTCCTTTTGTTTCTGGCTTTGAACCCCCGCTCTCGTTCGGGGCGGCATGTGTTATGATCGGCCAGGTTTCGTCGAAGCCTCTGCGCGTCAAGGGTATGGACGGAGTGAGTGTAATTGATGTGGGTGCCATTCAACAATATGCCGATATACAAGGAATTAGAAAGTAAAAGAAAAAGAATATAATGTAAGTGAAGAAGTGAAGAAGTAAAGTGAGAAAAGCATACAAAGTTTCCAAGACGTCAACGGGAACGTGGACCGTGTGGAGAAACGGCTCTCCTTTTTTTCTTCTCTCTCTCTCTATGCTATTTTTATTTCTTCCTCTTACTGGTTTCATATTATGTATGAGATCGAGTCATATATATGTATTAAGTGGTTATAAATAAGCGATATTGTATAAGTACTTCGATTTAGTGCTCGTATGATTTCATTTAACCCCTAGTGGAAATTGGTTTTTTCTTCTCTCTTTGAATCAAGGAAGATCGTCACCGTCACCTCCAAATATGCTATTTAATACTGCGTACTAAATACTACTACCTCTGTTCCCATTGTCCTTTGACCTCTGATGGGCTGCTTGAGGATCCCTTACTTAGTGATGTTACTGTGTAACTACATGTACAACTGACGCCCGACTAATTTAGTCGCCTTATACTCATTGGCCCATGCCTGCGGAGGTCAACCAATTAGAGAAATGGCTGAAACCACCCACCGTCATCATATGTATACATATTATATATTGACAATATGTGGTTATGTTGTACATTGACTTTCTATTGCCAAGGCAGTGATTCAAGATGCCGCACTATTCGTTCAGTGGCACCCATGGTGGGATCAACGGCGCTGAGTCCTGGCTCACCCTGGAAAGCCAAGGATACCATTCCAAAGTACGAGTGAAGAAGGTCTAAGTAGGTCAGCGACATATTTGGATATCAGCACGTTGGATCTTACCAGGAGGATCCCCGGGCCCTTTTCCAAACCCACCCACGAGGTGTTGGGTCCTTTCTAGAAGGTATTGCCGATTGCGAACCTCATCGACCACGGAATACTGTTTGAGCATCTGGAATCGGTGTTAGTAGGCGACGACTATCTCGTGGATTACCACATACCACTAGTGTCGCTCCGTTCCAGAATGAATAGCATGTGTCTGCATATTTATTGCACCGGCCATTGAACCCGGCGCATGTTACTGTGTCTACGTCGACCGGTTCGATATTGAGCAGCTCGTGAACTCTGTCAGCAAGTGGAGCCATCTCTGAGCCCTGAGACTGAGGCTGATCATCCTCCATATCATCTTCTTCGGGGTCCTCGATCTGGGCTGTCTGCCTGGAAGCCAGCCAAGTAATCAACGCCTCAAATTTATCCGAGCCGGCGGATATCAGTGGTATGTTCAGGTCATTTGACGACCTGCGCAAGAAGTCCAAGGCTCCAATTGCACAATATGTATGTCCGCCTATCGGATGTTAGAAAATTCAAGCAAGGGAACTGGAGAAACAAACCATGCGATTCACAAAAAGGAGACTCCGCCATACCACCATCGTAAGTCTGCTTCAGGTCAGTGTACCAATCACCAAGCCAGAAGCCAACTCGACCTACCTGGCACGCCTCAATAAAAGAAACCAACCCCGAAACATCAATATCGGGCACCCCCTCTAACCCATCATTCCCACGTAGGATATACCGTATTCCTGCAGCACAACAACAGTACCTCAAATCCCGAGCACCCCCTAAGCTCCCATCAGGGCCAACCAGCTCCCCGAAACTCCCATCCCCACGCTGGACAGTAGGAAGCCACTGTAGACATTCCCGACGCTTCACGCGCGACAGGTCATCGCCGAGAATAAGCAAGTTGACCAGTGCGAAGAATGTCGCTGGCACATTAGCCGGATCCCAAGCTTCGTTGTCCTTGTTTCGTCGCTCAGCCCCGAAGTCTGTCCCTGGGAATCCACGGAATCCGCCCGTCGGGACTTGGCAGTGATACAGCCAGTCGATGTAGCCTCCTCGCTCTTCAAGGGTCGTTTTGCTCTGCAGAACTCCGAGAACGTCCAGTCCGGAGAGGGTCAGATAGGCGAGGAGCATGCGATTCGAGTCATTGGAGGTGTAAGCGGATGGGAGGAAGGTCTTTAAGCAGCGAAGGTAGTATTTGACATGACGCTCCGTGTTGAAAGATACGTCTTCGGGCATTCTAGAAGAGTGTGTAGCGATGAGAATAGCTATCGGAATAGCTATTCAGATCAATCCAGTGTAATGTCAGAACTGAATGTGGTGGGGGAATCTCGAAGCTTTTCCCCACATACTAAAAACACTCGGACCAGCTCTCGTTGTTTCCGTTCGGTGGTTTTCTCTGCAACTTCCACTTGTCAACATCTTTTTTTTAACTATTTGTATACACAGCACACGCACACAAAATGGTTCTGGTTTCATCCAAAACTCTCATACAGGCACATGCCGTGATCCTCCTCGTGATCGCCGGATACCTGATCAAGAACCCGGAGATGATCGTCGACTCCGACATGGTGTTCATGATGGGTGAAGCATTGAAGATTGTATGCGCCCCCAAATCCAGCTCGACCATTGCATATGACTCAAGATAAACACACTCTAACGCGATACAGGACTTTCCATCCCTGTCAAGCCCGCACCAATCCCCCTTCACATTCTGCGCTCTGCTCCTCTTCGTCGAATCGCTCATCGACCTCGTCCTGTTATCGAACATCCCCTTCCATGAAGCCCTCGACGAGGCCCTGCCCTACATTCGACCCCTGCGAAATGGCAATCTACCCGCTGAGGACCTCCAGGTCCTTCAGAACCTGCCCGAGTACATTACCAAGTCGTTGACCGTTTACTGGAGTGTCTGGATTGGTGTTGCTGGGTGCAAATTCGCTGTTTACGCGGGTCTTGCTTTCTTCATCTACCAGGGTCGCGCGGATGGTGTCGCGGCTTATACTAGTGCTGCGGCTTTGGGTGGTTTGGATCGTTTGAAGAACCGGGTGGTGTTCACTTTTGCTTTCCTGGAGATGATGTTTTGGTTCTGGGTAAGTGCGATCAATTGGGAAGGTTCCAGATCTGGTGCTAACATTGATATTTTACAGTCTTTCTCTACTCTTCGTCAAGAACGTCAGGAACGCTTGACTAAGCTTTTGGAAGATACTCGCGATCTTTGAGCTTGAGACCACGGCCGACTTTCGATTCCACACTTGTATTATTATGATGTCAATTGCAAAGTTAAGCGGATTCCTGGATCCCGTAGCTGAGCAATGAAACAGTATTTCGGAAAAAAAGATATAGACATAATCCTTTGGAAATCAATTTTCATTCCCATTCATCACATTCAATGCCATCACGAGGCCCGATATTGATGAAATTCATTCAGTCCTCAAATTGAGCCATCATTTAAATGAGAATCGCAAACGCGGCAGCGGCACCGGCAGCAGCCACGAGCGAAGAATCCTTGTGTTTGATCCCGGCAACGCCAGTGCTAGTCGCTGCAGCAGAAGAGGATGCGCTAGCCGAGCTCGAGGCACTGTCCGTAGTCGAAGCTTTGGTGCCAGTGGTAGTTGTCTTGCCGTCAGTCTTGGTAGCGGCCGAGGCGTTAGTGGCGGTCTTGGTTCCAGTGGTAGTTCCGGTCTCGGTCGAGGAGGTTGAGCTTGAAGTTGAGCTTGCACTGCTGGAACAGACGGCTGCGGTGGGAAGATCGGTCACACCGCCACGAGCACAGAGGGATCTGGCGACTTTCAGGGTTGCTGTGAGGGGTGTTAGCTATGTGCTTCGTACATACCCACATACAATGATAGTCGGTCCAGATGGTGCGAGTCGAGAATCACATACTCTCCTGATCTGCCGGGGAGCACTTATTGGCAACACAGCAGGAGACATCGCTAAGGAATGACTTGGCTTCGCAGATGCACTTGAAATCAATACCGCATTCCTTGGGAATGGCACCTGTGGCACAGTCTTTCTGTTTGGATGAGGTGGTTAGTACTGCGAGATTTGCGATGTAAAGAGTCAACACGTACGGAGCAATCAGGCAGATCGCCTAGGCCTTGAGCGAAGGCTGTAGCTAGCAGAGCTGACAGGGAAAAACCGATATTGAGCTTCATTGCGATTGAGTTTGAATTTCAAGTTGGAGGATTGGAAGTGTTGGGGAAGTTGAAAAAGCGTAAAGAAGTACAGGGCCTCCCCGCTTTTGAATTGAACTTGAGATCTTCACAGGGTTTTGCTTTCAGGCTACTCTTTCAGGTACCTGCGTAGATCCAATCGATAGGTCTCATATGTTCGTATTAACCAATTGGACATGTATCAGTGGTAATTCATTGACTCGGCCGTGGCATTTTTTTGTAAACTAAAATAGCGGGAATTTTTAGTCCTACAATAGACAGAATACTTTATATAACTATATAGGAGGTGGGCGTGGAATTAGCTAAATTACTTGTATTACCTGTGATGAGAATGGATCATCGGTGTACGATCCATGTATTATGAATAAAATACGTGTTGAACGCACTAAACAGGGAAGGTTTTACAGGGTCAGCAAAGACATTTAGCGCTTTTCTTCGTGTCACATCTCAATGTGTACATTGTGCACATATCTATAGTTACATAGATGTATGTAGGACTATGTAGAATATCACTCTTGTACGCTCCAATCCCAGATTTCATGACTCTCTATCATCCTAAGACCTACTATTATAAGATATTTGAACGTGACAGCCTCGGCTCAAAGCGCCGATCCCCCAGAAACCAGGGTCTTCTCCGGGAACAATCTCGTCAGTGGCTTCCCCACAATATAAAGTGAGACATTGGAGGCGATTGGGGGCGAACCTTACCGTAAATCCATTGGCTCATAAGTTCCACAGGTATGGATACACTGCCTGAATCACACTCATATGAAAGAACCAATAGCAGTAATAGATAAACACTGTGCCTGCAGCATTTCACGTTCGGTCCTTAAGTGAATTGAATTATAAACCGAGGGCGTGAAAACGCTTTACGATCTATCGAGATGCTTATAATTACCCCTATTGGTTCTGTCAAGGTCTCTATATTGTAGGTGGAATATCAATTGCAACTGCGTATGTGTATGTCGTTAGTGATTGCTTTTTCTCAATAATTTTGGTTTCTCTCCAATACCCCTCACCATTTCATCTTCACTATCATCACCATCACCCTTACCCTTACCCTTACCCTTGCATAACCTGCAATCATGGGTCTTGGAGTTTTGGAAGACAAGAAACTGGCCCATGTGCCAGGTAAGCAAAGCTATTTCTTACTCCGATATATAGATAGATCATAGGCTAACAGCCACAGGCACATCCGACATCTACGAGACTAACAACCAACCCCCTAACTTGAAATGCGACTCGACAGGAACACAATCAATAATTCTAGTCCCACAGCCCAGCAACGATCCCAATGACCCATTGGTATGTCATGTTTATGCTGATCCTCCACTTACCATTATGATCTCGGACAACCGCTCACCAAAGCTAAATCCGTCCTAGAATTGGCCATTATGGCGCCGCGATCTCATCCTCGCCATCATCTCCTTCGTCACAGTCCTCTGCACAACCCTCTCGTCCATCCTGGCCGCAAACACAGTCACCATCGCTGACTATGAGGAAATCACTTTCACCGCTGCCGCCTTGCTCACCGGATACCATCTTTGCGGCGTTGGCGTCGCGGGTATTTTGATCGTGCCGACAGCTCGAGTCTGGGGAAAACGCCATCTATTTTTGCTCGGCCATGTCTTGATGATTGTTAGCTGTATTTGGGCTGGGGCTAGCGGGAAGAATAATAATAGTTTGCTGTGGGCAAGAATCTTTCAGGGTGTTGCGTTGGCACCTTTTGAGGCGCTGGTTAATGCTTGCGTAGGGGATCTTTATTTTGTTCATGTGAGTTGGTTTTTCTATATTTTTATCTTTTTTAGAAAGCCTTGGATCCAAATGCTTGAGACGGAGCTGATAATTATGTAGGAACGAGGCAAACGAATGGCCGTTTCCAATGTCGCGCTGTTCGGCGCTGCCTTTTTGACTCCTGTTGTCGTGGGCAAGATCACTAAGACGATGGGATGGCAATGGTCATTTTACTTTGTTGCCATTTTTCTCGGCGCTTCGCTGCCCCTGATGTTCTTCTTTGTGCCTGAGACTGCATTCCGCCGCCCGGAGCATTTGAATACGGATTTCAAACGCAGCGGTGGTCAGGGCGAGTCGGCAGAGTCTCATGTATCCCTTAGCGGGGCATCGAATGATGAGACGAAGGAATTACGACCTAGCTCCAATGGCGTCAGCCTTGAAGCGGTGATGCCAGTCCCCGAGAAGGACTCGTTCATCAAATCGCTCAGGCTGTTCAACGGCCGAAAGACGGATGAGAACTTCTTCAAGTTACTCCTTCGTCCGTTCCCGTTGTTTTTACATCCGGGCATTCTCTGGGTATGTGCATTTGTATAGGAGTGAGGTTGACGCTAATCAGTGATCAGGCTTGCCTTATTCAAGGGGTTGTTATCGGCTGGGCTGTGTTTGTAGGTGTCGTTCTAGCAATTGTATTCCTCGGACCCCCCATGTGGTTCGATGAAGACAAGACCGGGTATATGTACACGGGCGCGTTCATCGGCTCCATAGTGGGTCTGGTCCTGTCCGGCCTACTTTCCGACTCCATGAACAAATTGATGATCCGACTGAACCACGGCAGATATGAGCCAGAATTCCGTATCTTGTTGGTGATCTTTCAGCTCATCTTTTGTGGGATCGGACTGTATGGGTTCGGGTGGACGGCGAACGATGTCATGCGCTATGACTGGTTACTGCCGGATGTCTTTTTCGCATTCTTGATTGTCGGTATGGTGATGGGTGCCGTTGCTGCGTCGCTTTACATTGTGGACGCTCATCGTGAGTAATGTCGGCAATTACCCATTTATAAGATTGCTGACTGTACTAGGTGAGATGGCCGTCGAGGCATTTACTTGCATGCTCGTTTTCAAGAACATGTTCAGTTTTGTCTTGACATTCTATGCTTACAACTGGTTTGCCCACGGGGGTATCAAACATACCATGGTTGTAATTGGTAGTATTCAAGTGGGCATCTGTCTACTGAGTATCCCCATGTGTAAGAGAATTCTTTCAAGTCTACCCGCTCTTGATCGTGATCCACCAAACTGACCGCCGGATTTTTTTCTTTTTGCCTATAGATATCTTCGGGAAATGGAACCGATCGTTCTTTGCACGTCATGACATCCTCGAGATACTTCGTCTCCGCTAATGTTGGCTGTGATGAAGAACTTTCCCTTTCTTCGAGGGAGATTTCCCTATTATGATATTTTCGAGGTGTACAATATATTGTCAGATAACTATATCTACTTATTCACATGTAGATCGTTCAAGTAGATCATGAAAATTAAATTATTATTCAGAACGTGGCAGATGTACAATGTCGATCAGGGTTCATTAGAGAAGATTAAGAATATACTAGGGAGATTAAGGATATAGTACTTTACATAGTCAAGTCCCAACGTCACAGTCACATAAATTTGGCTGAAAGCGGACTCCATTTTTATCCATTTTGCTCCACTTAGAAAACGCTAGTAGTGCAAGTTTCCTCCAAGTTCCTAACGAGTTAACCAAATTGTGGGACTCTTCCGCTCATCGATCGAGGAAAATCAGTTGTGATGATGCAATGGCTTTGCACTTCTGGCCGATCTTCCGTTGCAGCCGACGTCACGGGGGTGAAAGAAGCTTCCGGACTTCCATCCCATCGTTTATAGTGTGGTGAAATTCCCCTTTTTCTAACTTTCTGAAGAGGATACTTGCACTTAGAGACCATTCTTTAGAAATGGCAACTGCGCAAATGCCTGGCCAGTCCCGGCTAGCAGACGATGGTAAGAGTTGATCGAGCGAAGCTTCATTCATCTTCTATCCCACGCATCCCACGTATTATCCACATATATCGGAGATCTCCACTAACTTCGGATCAGCCGCCACAGCTGCCCTATATGTTACTCATCCAGAGCGCAAGGCATCTATTCGCGCCCCAACTGCGCCAAATACCTACTACAGTAAGTATTTTGTATTGCATTCTCTCAATCAAATATGAGGGTAAGCGACGCTAACGATGCGCCTCACGATAGATACTTCAAACCTAAGCCACGCCTCGGCCGCCTCGGCCCTCGCCCACGCTAATCGCAAACCGGTCGAGATATGGCACCCCCCGGCCAGGCAGCCCGCCGCTGAAAAGGCCGCATTATGCGTCAAGGACTTCACACCGCCTCAGCAGCCTAAACCCACCACCCAGCATAGCGCCGAGGGATTGGGTGCGGCATTGCTCGCCGTGCGCGAACAGAATAAAGCTTCACCCAAAGCTCCTCAACCCACCCACACACGTGCCATCTCCACTGGCCGATACCATCACACTGCCGTCGGTGGCCATCCCAAAGAAAAGGCCCTCCAGGCCGCCACGGATGCTTACAGCACATCGCGCAAGAGGGCAGATTCGGTACCCAGCGACCAAGGGATTGCGTCCGATGCGCCATATGCCCGTTCCGCCGCGGGCGCGTCACAAAATGTCCGTCACGTCGAACAAGATGGGCCCCTGGACCACCTAAATAGCACAATGGAAGCGAGCCGGATCCACCACATCGCCAATACCAATGCGAAACTGTATACCTCAGCCCCGCCCGTCCAGGCCGAGATCGAAGAGCAAAACTACAAAAACTCCCTGCGCGCAGCTGCCATCTCAATGGCAAAGGATATGTACAAAGTCTCCGACAATAAGGGATCAGGGGTGTCTGATCCCGCCCTCCTAGCAGCCCAAAAAGGTCAGAGCCAGCTGGGATACCGCAAGACTGTATCGACTGCAGATGGATCTGCGGTTCGACGCGCGATAGCGTTGCAAGAGGCTGCCCAGAAACGCGCCGCCGAGAAGCTGGCTCGTATGCACGATGAGCACGCGGAATATCAGCAGTACTACGGTACAGCTCCTCAGCCGCAGCGGTCGCGACTGAGCCGTCGCAAGAGGACATCTAGCGATGCCGATGCATCGCAGATTGACGCGGAACAGTCGCGTCAGATCAGGAGCCAGATGACTAGTCTGCGCACGAAGCTGGACCAGGTTGATGTGCGCAGAACTAAGGATCGGGAGTTGCTTATGCAGGCTGCTCGCCGGAATGTCGACCAGACGCTCCAGGATATGGAGGCCAGGGTCTATGCGAATACCGGGCGCGCACCGCCTTCTGTGCAGAGAGAATGGGATGAGGTTGCCCAGGAGCGCGTGAGGCGTGAGGCCGAGGCATTTGAGGCCGCTACTGTGCAGGGTGATCGCGTCAAGATTGGTAGTCAGCAGTATATGGATTATGCTGATGTTGAGGCTGTTGCACGGTCGAGATTGCAGCCTGCGCTTGACGAAATTACTGAAAATGCGGAGCAGCAGCGGGCTCATGATATTGAGGAGAGGCTGGATGCTGAGGAGAGGCAGAGACATGCTGCTGTCCTGCGTCAGCGCGAGGCTGAAGTGAGGGAGTTGGAGAAGCAGGATAAGAGTCAGTTTCCCGCCCAGTTAGCAACTATTTTAAACAACACCTTCTCACGCATACTACACATACAGGCAAGAACAAGTCCGAGGGCAAGGTCACTGTCCCCAAATTCTTCTTGTGGAGAAAAAAGGGCAAGCGCGCCCGCGTCGAGCAATCTGAGACCGACCAAGCTCATGCCGTTTCACCCGTCGCCCAAGAACCTGCAGAGGAGCTCGCTGAAACCGCAGCTCCAGAAATCGCAGCTCCTGAAACCGACGTATCAAAAGACGTCATACCGGAGGAAGCCAGCGACTCAGAGGCAGCAGGCGCGGCCCTTCCCATCGAGGTCGTGCCCGCCGCCGCTCCCGCCGCCGTGGCCGAACCACAAGACGAGACCCGAGTTCCAACCGAGGAGATCCAAGAGGCCGCCCAAGAGCCCACCGACGAGCCAACGGACGATATCCCACCTGCCATCCCGCGCCGCCAATCTGCACCCCTGCACACCCAACGCGACGCAGCCGCCACAGGCCCCACAACGATCCACCACTTCACTCCACCAGTCTCCAGCCCCCGCGCAGACTCCAAGCTGAAAACCTGGTTCCGGGATCGCCTTGCCAGGCGCTCATCTGGCCCCGTCCCCGTCTACCCCCATCAACCAGGCCCAGACTTCACAGACAGCCAGCCCTCCTTTCAAGGCGGCGCCGCACTAACCGGTCGTGACGAGCCGCGCGGCACGGCGTTGTCGTCCCACCCCATCAATGGCTCGGATCCCATCCCTACGCATAACCGCTCGTCGAGTTACTACAGTAATGAATTTGACGTGACGAAGACGCGAAGCGGGGAGTCGGGGTCTGAGTCTTTGAAGAATGGAAACGGGAATGGGAAGAAGAGGAATCGCTTGCGCAGGACATTCTTGAGAACGGTTTCCAGGAGTGATGATGAGCCTATGAATGGTACTGCTAGTGGCAGTGGCAATGAGAGGCGCGACTCGGAAGTCCCGAGTGCTCATTCTAAGGGCACCGATATTCAGAGTTTGAAGAATAGTGCGCTTGAGCAGGGATTGCCCGCGCCGCCGATTATTGGCGAGAACATGAGTACCCGTCGGGAGTCGAGATTCTCGGAAGATCTTTGAGCTCAGATCTGTTCGTTGAGATCTGAGCTGTGATGTTATATGTATTTCACGTGTATCTATATGTTTATGTCTATTGGGACTTGGATGTGGTTTTAGGTTTGAATGATTTATTGGCGTTTTGGAATTGGGAGGTTGGATGTGGATATTGATGTTTTTCATGACTTTGGACGCTTCGTATAATTTATGTCAGTTGCTGTTATTTTGGACATGTAGTAGATATTTACCATGATTTCGCTTTGGATTTGTTTTGTGTGCTTTGTTTGCTACAGTCCCTGATTATCTGTACTATATCGTACTATATCGTACATTCCGTCTAGAAAGTATGGCGATAGTATAGAAGTAGCTAGAGAATGAAAGCGATCTCACTGAGGCCAATCCAGCCAGCCCTTCGGGGGTTCGCAGCGAGGCTATCAACTCAGCCAATTTTGATCCTGTCATAAGACCAACTATATGATCTGTCCCCTAAGAGATAGGCAAGTTGCCTCAATATTTTCCTATTGTTTGGGTAATCCCAACCTTGGAAATTGCTCCATGCAAAAGAATTGCATCGATTACTTTTGATCCCGGATCGTCATTGCCGTAAAGCGCCATGGTCAAAAGCGTATCACCTTTATTGCTCTTTGCCTTCAAGATCTTGAAGTGTGAAAAGTCGCCAATACATACCCCTCCGAGTAAGCAAATCATCATGACGGCCGTGCTCAACGATCCTTCCTTGATCCATGACGTATATACAATCCGCATGGGCAATTGAAGCCAGGTGGTGGGCAACAGCAATTGTTGTCCGCCCTTCCACGACTCTGTTGAGAGCAGTCCGGATCTGTCTTTCGGATACCGAATCAAGCGCAGAGGTTGCCTCGTCAAGAAGACTTTGGAAGAGTCAGCGATTGGTTTTTTTAATTTCTGTTCAGAGGTTGGCGAGGAACTCACAGTATCCTGGGCTTCCGCAATAGTCCTCTCACAATGGCGATTTTCTGTTTCTGGCCACCAGACAACTGACTTCCTTTGCCACCCACTGGGGTGCTATAGCCAGCAGGGAGGGAGATCTGAACATGAATTAGTCAATGTTGAATGATCGGAAGAGCCTTGTCTCTCACAATGAAGTCGTAGATGTTAGCATCTCGACATGCAGCAGCAATCTCATCATCTGATAAGTCTTGTTCCTCGCTATGCAGGCAGTCTCGAATTGTCCCACCTGTCATCCAGGAATCTTGGCCTACAAAGGAAATTTGCCTTCTCAGATCAGCCAGATTATACTGGCGGATATCCTTGCCGCCGACAATCACGGTACCACGAATAGGATCATAGAGACGTTCAATCAAGCTCAAGATGGTGCTCTTCCCACTGCCGCTAGGGCCGACGATGGCAGTAAACTTGCCGCTGTCAGCAGCGAAATTAATGTCATGTAGAACTGCCGAGGAGCCACGAGCGGAAGGAAATCCAAAGTCTACCGACGAGAATACTACATCAGTTGGAATGCCTTGGGTTGCATCACCACTATGGGAAGTCGGGTCGATAGCGGGTTGACTGAAAAGAAGATCGGCCAGCTGAGCGGCCGCGTGTCGGGCTCCTGAGATATCTGGAGCGTACGAAAATACCATGCCCGCAGCCTGGGAGCTCCAGACGACGGCTGTGAAACAGATAAAGAATTGCTGGACCGTATACTCACCGGATGCGACCAGCTTGGAACCACCGTACCAGAAGAGAAAGCCCGTGACCCAAAAAACGAGGGACTGGCTTGCGGCATACAAGGTGCTGGATCCGAGACTGAAACGCAACGTCTGAGGTCGTTCGGCTCGGAGCTTCTCACAATAAAGATTCACAAGGGTTTCTTCAATCCCCAAGGCGGCGACTGTTCTTATTGTTGAAGTAGCCTCACATGCAATACCCGCGGCATCGGTGGATCGCTTTGTACGTGACTCGGCCCATGATATCACCCAGAAGCGTAAGAACCCGCACGTAAGCAGAATGGGAATGGTGGATGTAGCTACCAGACCCAGTTCCCATCCGAAGGAGCAAGACACTGCAATGGCAGTTATGAGGGTCATGACACTGTTCAGAATTGCACCCAAAGTAGTCCCACTGATACCTGTCAATTTGCTAGCTTCGGTTGATAGAAAGGCAGCCAGAGAACCGGAAGATATTTCCACTTGATCATAGAAAGCCATGTTTTGGTTGATAAGGGAGGCAAAAGCCCGGGTGCGGGTGCGGTAAGCAAGCCGGGCACTGGCGACAGCAAAGCACGTCCCCTGTAGGGCATAAAGTACGATTTGAGCGATTCCGAGGAACAGGTACATAAGGGCCCAGAACTTAGGGGGATGACCATCTGTGCTCAGGACTGGAGAGACAATAGAGACGACGGCATTACCAAAGAAGATGGCTTGAATCGGGTAGGCGGCACCTGCAAATACGCTGGCAGCTATACCAAGGAGTATAAAGGCTTTTTCGGGTTGGTTTAGATGCCAGACAAGTTTGATAAGTGTCCATGTTGATTGCTTAGCGGGCGGATTGACAAAGTCCGCATCCAAGGCGAAAGATTCCGCCTTCTGGAAGGCCCCCTCCTCATGGAATGACTTTTTCTTGGAGTGGTAGAATAGAGGGATGTTTCCGATTTCTTGTGCTTGAACCATCTTTGAATACATCGATTGCTGAGACATCAGTTCCTCGTGCGTTCCTTGTTCGATGAGTCTTCCGTGGTTCATGACAACAATGTTGTCGGCTCTCTGAATTGTGGACAAACGATGTGCAACTATAAGCGTGGTTCGTCCTTTGAAAACCGCCCGAAGAGCCTGCTGAACATCATGCTCGTTCCTCGCGTCCAATGCCGCCGTGGCTTCATCAAGTAGCAAGATGCGAGGGTTAGAGATGACTGCTCGTGCAATAGCAATTCTTTGGCGCTGACCACCCGATAAAAGACCGCCACCTTGACCGACTCTCGTTGAATATCCTCCAGGGAGGCCCAGGATAAAGGTATGTATATTCGCTAGTTTGGCTGCCTCATACACCTTTTCTGTGGTTGTCTCTGTCGAAAGCTACAAAACAATCAGCGTAAGTTGGTCAGAGCAGTAAAGACAAATAGCGTACCTTTTCCGCCTCCGCGCCTAGCCCGTAGCATATGTTATCGTATATTGAGGCATTGAATAGGAAAGGGTCTTGTGGAACAAGCCCAATTTGAGATCGCATCCAACGGAGGTTTAGCTCGTTGATGGGTCGTCCATCAAGATGTATATTCCCTTCTAATGGATCGTACCACCTTTCCAAAAGGGCAATAAGGGTTGATTTGCCAGCTCCCGATGGACCAACAACCGCTGTTGACTCTCCGGGTTTGATCCGCATGGTGAATTCATTCAGAACGATCTTCGTCTCTCTGGAGCGGTACGCGAATTTGACCTTGTGAAATTCAATATCCCCAGTGAAAGATTCGAGAGTCTCTCCAGATGTTGAAAGAGGACCAATAGACGATACTTGCTCGATAGTGGCATACATTTCGGTGGAGGTTGCCTTTGCTTGCATGACTGAGGCAGCAAATGGTGCAGATTGGCCCAAAACCACACCAGCCATCGTACATGTCAACAAAACCGTCACAATTTCGCGTAAGGTGGCATCGCCGTTCTGTAAGAATCGGTCTCCTTGCCAGAACTGTCATCCTTCTTGTTAGACCGCCGTCGGCCAAAAGAGAGGGGTGGTGCACTCACAGCAAGTCCGTAGCCCCAAAGGATCACCATCATTACGATGGCGACCATCATCGCCATAGCTCCCTTACTCCGCAGATCTGCCTTCATTGCAGGTATGAGAATCTTCTCATATCGCTTCTCCAACCGCCTTTGTGCCCCATCTGCCATCACGCTGCGAGCACAGGAAAAGACATCCTCGGCAAAATTTGCGGATTTCGCATATTCGCTAGCAGTCTTTTGTTGCATCTTATTCATGTATGAGCCCAGTGTTCCCATAACCACAATCATAGTGATGGGCATGCAGATAAGAACCAGAGCCAGGCGCCAGTTGAGAGATAGCGCGATGATCAGCGAAGTCACGAAAGCGAAGAGGCCAGTTGACAGCAGACACAGTTTGTTAGACAAGGTGTCAATAATGAGACTCATATCGGTCGTGAGACGGGAGACTACCTCTCCAGGGCCAGTAGACTCAAAGTACTGAACATCATGCCTCAGGAGGGATGACAGATATGCCCTCCGGAGATGGTAAGTGCTGGACTCAGCGACACAGGTAAACCCGAACGTGCTGAGTGATATCCCGGCAAAGGAGATCAGCCCTTACAAAGTCAGCTTGGGTCTGCTGAGGATTAATTGCATGCCATACCAAGGTATATGAAATATAGGGCCAGGTGCCGGATATCGTGGGCAAAGTCTTCCGCGGATACTTTCGCCCTGAGAAAGTCACTGAAATGCTGAGTAAAGGCACCAACAATGACCTATCGTTTCATCAATTTAGTCACGACAAATGTGCATCCAAGAAAGAGGTACACAACTTACGGAGACTGTAGACAGTGCAGCGCCCGCTACAGCCGCCGCGACGGTAGCCAAAAGCAGAACCAATCTATCGATCCCGGTTGCATACTTAAACATTATCTTCCTATCACTGTATGCGCTCACTTGTCATGATATATAGGCCAAAGAGAAATATATTACTTTCTAGGAGAAGTATCCTTCCTCCGTACTATGCTTCGGTCAGCTATGATGGGTGGTGATCCCGGAATGTACAACAACAATAACACCAGCTGAGGTGGAGCCGTGTTCAATAAATCAGATGAGTGGATCATCAATGCCAATATCAATGTAAGATTCAATTTCAGATACAGTACGGGTCAGTGCGTATAGTGTGGACTCGGATGGAGTGATGCAGGATCCCAAGCCACGTAATTCCGAGTGATAGATAGGTCGCTGCCGCCTAGGTGAGCTATGGATGAGCGCCGCCCCATTTTGAATGCACCTTACATATTGTTCGATTAGCGAAGATATAACCTGATTCGTCCGATTCTTGTGCTTCGTATCTAGAATGCGTGATATAATTGATATACATTTGTAAATTATCTGGACCCACGTTGAAAGGACCTACTAGGTACATTACATGTTAAATGCATCAAGTCACTTTTAGAGAATTAACCCTGCTTCTCTTTATCACATTCTTTCTAGATTGGACTTGGTTTCTCAAAAATCATCACCAAACCCCTGGCATCAGCCTCCATGGTACCTTCTCAGAGTAGGCCTCCCAGTACTCGCCGTACTTCTTCGAGCATTTTGCCTCATCACGCAGGCAACGATGTGTCAGAATCATTGTCATGAAAACCGCGTAGGACCATGGCAAAATGTGATTCAACCCACAGGTGGCGCACATGGCATACGATAGCAACAAGTCACCCAGATAGTTTGGATGTCGCGAAAAGCCCCACCACCCTATTTCGTTATATAGCTTAGCCAGATTGCTCACATAGCCAGATATCACATGGCCAGAAATTACATAGCCAGAGCTCGCATAGGGATGACATACCTGAGCACAGAAGAATTGATTGGTGCTTCACCCCATCCGCAGTCGTGTATGAGCACTCAATCACCTCCGAGTCTTGCCATTTACCCCCCGAATTTCGTAAATTGTCCTTCTGGTTGTTCGCTGACCGGAATATGTAGTATCCTCCGATTCCGACCGCAAGAACTAAAGCTGCCAAAGCAGGGCTTAGTTCAAGCGGAGACCGTGCGAGATACTGTATTTGAAGTGTATACATAGACGGTAGGAATGCAGAGGATCCCCAGGCAAGATAGAAGCCAAAGTGATCATGGGCGATATCGATAGTGCGGAGATACCAGTCCTCGTGGTGGAAAAAGTCGGCGATGTATAGCAAGTGGAGGATAAATGTGATGATGATCGAGTTCGTGACGATGGCATGCTTTTGATACTGCTGGGCAATGAACGAAAGATCACTTAAATTAGGACACGGTCAGCTAGTGTCTGTTTCCGTTTTGTCTAGGTGCGATAGGAATTATACTGACATGAGTGCCCAACCAATAATACCTGGCCGTCCGTTATGGAAGAGCTTCACATCCCAGTACCGGCCGAAGAGGCGGGGATTTAGCTCGATGCCCATATAGAGGTCGTAGAAAAAGGAGCCGCTGAATCGCCGATCTCTCTTATGGGTCGGGTATAGATGAGCCTTAATATAGAATATACCTGTTATTATAATTCCGTAGACATTCAGAGTGGCTAAGAGAGCGCCCCAATGTGTAGCGATAATGCTCGGGTCAACCACCCCCATCCACGCACATCCAATTGCTATTGTCACCGACAATGTCCAGGCCGCGAACCCATTCACTTTGTATTCTAGAATATGTCCCGATGGCGTTGTCTGGCCTCGATGTATTCCATTCCCGGTAAGAATACTGTATAGCACCCCTTGAAAGACCACCCATCCGAGATAGGCGAAGAGCACGTCGAATCTGAGATGCGGATAGTATGTCCACAGGAACTGCACGGGACCCTGAAGAAGTAATGCGGAAATCGTAGCCACGATTGAATTGTCAAATTGTTCAAGTGCGATCCACGGTAGCACGACTATGACCGGGCATGCTAGCATAAAAAATGCAGTGATGATGCCACGTTGCCATGAGGCAGAATCCCGGCGTCCCCAACCTAGCTTGCTTTGTGTCAGAGCAGGGTTGATGGACTGGAGGTCGGTGACTATCATATTCGGGCGAAGGCACAAAGAAAGGGAAGAGGAAGGAGCAGGATCGTAAGGGTAGAAGCTTATGAGGTACAGTAGTCTTACATTTAGTAATATCACGATCTGTTTTGGTTTTGGGTTCGAAGATTTTTTTGTGTTTTTATTTTGTATCTTTCTGTCCTCTCGCATTATACAGCGCGGGTCGAACTCAGTTTCACCATTTCGTTCTCTTTATTGTTTCTCGGTCTCTATTTTTAGTGACTCCAGGCCTAATGTAGTCAGTCGATACGCATCACATTTTACCTATTCGACAGTCAAAGATGATCTAGGCCAAATGTAGATTCAGGTCGGTCTGACCAAGATTTAGGAAGCACCAGTGAAACTGATTTCGAGCGGACTTATGCCCGAACATACAGGGATACATATCGTTGCTGTAGACTGCATATCGCTTTGCGAGGGGTCAGGGTAAATGGAACCTACTACTATTACAACCCATACCCGAACCTTACTCGGACTAACTCGAAATTCTCCAGGCGCTTTAAAATGCAGGATGTTTCCACACCCCTGCATCGTCGAATAGGAGCTCGTTGGAAATAATCCATCCTCAATATATCAATCCGAACGAGGTAGATCCATGCATAGAAATATAGAGCATGATGAATGTGATCTCTCAGCTTCGATCGGCTCTTTGAATATCCATGTTTGGGGCCAATGTCCTGCAATCAAGCGGTGTGATACTGCAAAGGCTACTACATTGATATACAGCTATGGATCTTCCAAGGATCTTCCAAGGATCGGGTGACTAAAGATCGTCGATAAAGTTCTTTTTACTGGATCCACATGACAATATATCGATCGCTATCGATGATCGTACCTGGCTCACCTTCTACATGCGGAGATGATCATCGCTTTAATCCCAAGCTATCTCACCCTCTATCCTTTGTTCACTTGTCTTTTTGATGTTTACAGTAAGTAGTGCCCCGTACATTTAATCGGATTATACCCACATGGCCCAAAGAAAAAACAATTTCATGCATCACAAAAATGCTGAGCTTGCCGTGGCTAAGGAGATAGTGCACAGCACGATACGTGTACATCTCAACTTCCTTCCTCATTAATATCACGAGCCTCTCGGGATCGACAATGCAGACCAAATGCCCAACCAACATTGATCGGAGGACATGTCGGCGAACGGTACCGATGAAGGTACTCGTGCTAGGCATGAGCCGAACTGGAACGGATTGTATGTTGACAGCTTCTCTCTGAAGATTCGCTAATACTGACAGCAATGACTAGCAGTTAGGAGGGCCTTGCTTAAATTAGGGTATTGCGATACATATCATGGGTATACTGCTGCTACTGAGAATCCTCGCGACTGTGAAATGTGGCTCGACGCAATGGCTGCTAAATGGGACGGTGTTGGAAAACCATTTGGCCGCGCAGAATGGGATCAACTTCTCGGTCATTGTCAAGTGCGTTACATTCAGACAAAGATAGTAATGGTGCTAATAGATCAGTCATAGGCTGTGACCGATATTCCCGCCGCAGTCTTCGCAAAGGAGCTTATCGAAGCGTACCCAGAAGCGAAAGTAATTCTTACAAACCGCAATGCCGAAGAATGGCACAGGTAAGTCCCTTGCCTCTTGCAGTGTTAAAATAGCCATTAATAGCTGGCATGTACAAAGATCTGTGCAAGCCACCCTTCTCAACAATGTCTTTCACCCCTGGTCCTCGGTCGTGGATACCCTCGCCATCCTCACCCACAGCCCCAATCGATTCACCCGTAAGATGTTTATCCGCGCCTTTACGGATTATTTCAACGGGGACTTTCAGCGCCATGGAATTTCCGTGTATCACGCTCATTACAAAATGGTACGGGAAATGGTACCGAAAGAGAACCTGCTAGAATATCGTGTTCAGGAAGGTTGGGAACCGTTATGCAAATTTCTCGGACGCCCCGTCCCTCAAGGCAAACGCTTTCCAAACGGAAATACAGGGAAGGAAACAACAAGTAGAATTTGGGCCTTGGTGAATAGTGAATGTCAGCGATTGCTGGGACTTCTATGGCCTGCCGTAGGGGTGATGCTTATTTTCCATCTCTTTGGTGTGGGTCGATTTATTGAAGTTGTGATTTCAGTAATAACCACAGTAGAGATATGAGCGACGAGCTGAAGAGCTATATATCAAACCTGTATAGCTGGAATTGCCTAATTTATTCAAAGAAAAACATGGCATGGGAAATGATACACGCCAAATCATAATTTTTTTCTTACAAATTTCATGATTAGATAATACTGTTTTTTTGACAAAAATTTTGGAAAATTTCTGTTATCCTAATACAATTTTACATACCCATAAGGTCTAACTCAACCGTAGAGCCCGTCTCTATACAGGCTAACATCCTCGATCTGTAATACTATAAATTTGTTCGTTTTAACCTTTCTCTTTTATATTAACTTAAAAGATAGATTGCTTTTGAATAGTTTCTCTTGTTAAATATGATATAAAGGTAGTAAAGATGGCTATAATACACCCTGTAATTCTTAAAAGAGAGGCTGAATATAGTTCCCAATAAGGGGGTTTAACTTTAATTAATCCGGCCGGAAAAACCTTAGGGAGTCTAGAAAAAAGCTTACATAATTTATAGACCCCCTCTGCCTCTGACTTGGCAGGGACCACAGATTATATAAGCCTTTTCTGTGGACCCTCTGAAGTTTTCTGTGGTCCCGCTCAGCGGGAACCCGGCTCATCTACACACGGGAACGGGTGTAGGTGAATGCTTAGTCACGAGTATTTCTCTCATGTAGCTAGCTCTCTCTTTCTTAACCCACCAACTCCTCAATATCCATTAATGAATACTGCTTGCATTCAGTAGAGCCATAGTTTATTTGACATTACGGTCAAAGAACTATTTTGTACCGGCAGGTTTTCCATTTATCCTGGAGTGGATCTGAATTTCTCATTGACTGACTAGGCATTCCAGCCCCGAAAGTTTTGCTCATGGCCGAGAAATCATTTCACTTCTTTCCTAGGCTTCCCGCAGAGCTGCGATTGGAGATTTGGCGTCTATGCCTACCATGCCGCGTATGGGAAGTGGATTTCCCGACCAGCCTCGGCCTTTATGAGAAACCCAATGCCGATGGCTCCTATCCCTGCCAAGTCAAATCCACAGCTATTCTGAATGGTCTTCCACCTGTCATCACCCGCGTTTGCCAAGAGTCGCGTAACGTTGCCCACGAGTCAGGGGGTATCGTGCCAGATGATTTCTACGACGATTCACCAGCTGATGCTGTCTGGGTCTCCCCCACAAGTGATGGCGTGGCCGACATGTTCTGGGTAGACCCCAAGCGAGATTCTGCGCATCTTAATTGGCTTCCTCACTATGAAGCGATTTACGAAAACTGCTCCGGTAGTGCGCTAGCCTGTTTAGCCTGGTCAAGTCGTCAGGTAGTCGGCAGTCCCTCAATTATGGGCGGGTGGTTCTCTGCGGGCTGCGACCACGAAGAAGAAAGATTTGATGTACTCTACCAGGTGCCCAGCTGCTGGGTCATCATGCATGTTTCTATTATCCATGCTAACTTCCGAGAAGCCGCACAGTCTGGCTTGTTTGGATTACTAGGCGACGCGCCTGTACAAGTTGTCCCCTTGTCTAATCGGGAGAAGATAAATGCTCTGTACAGATTTTCTGACCAATTGTCTTCTCCTGGGCGTCTTGAACGGTTGTCCCCAGAATCACTCAATCTGCAATTCAAAGACAACATTATCAAGAAAATGGGATCGGATAGATTATTGTCGAAAATGCATCCGGCTATTATGTTCCGTGTTTGTGTATCGAAATGTAATAGCTACAACAAGGAGAGGCTATCTTCTGGATAGTATATGCATCCATCAGATTCAATTTATCAGCAATAAATCTTTTCTATGGAACCTTGGTCCAATCGGGTCAAGAAAGATTCTTAGTTGAATATAGAACAATAAGAAAGAATCCATTTGATAGACAATTATCAATCAGCAGAAGTCAGAGTTCCAAAGTCGGCTCTCGGCTGTTTGGGTGAATTGCAAGGCCGCCAGATGAGCATCTCGTCGGCCTTTCTCATTTTCGCCCCCGTAGTTCTCAGCAGTATAAGCAATGAAAGCCTGTTTTAGTTCTGCCGTTGCACCAGAGTTCGCTGCGAGAGTTGCCGCTGTATTGATCTCCTTCCATTTGAGCTTCCCTTCCATGGCCGACTTGTCATCTGTTACCGCCTCCTATAGATATTAAGTTAGCAAAAATCCAGATTCTCATCTTTTGCCTAGCCAAAGACTTACCGAGCTCATTCCTTTCTCTGACATGAATTTGTTCACGGCCTTGATTTGCTTGTCGGCCAAATCGGCAAGCCGTCCTTGGCGCACTCCCTGAATTGCCTCCCGTGACCGGTCAACAGCCGTATCGAAACTCTTTTGATTGAGTTCCTTGGCTTGGGTGGTTTTGCCATAGGGCCCATCCATGGAGACCTTTTTGCGATTTGCCTGCATATTCTCGAAAATATGTCCAAAGAGTTCGATATAGTTTGTGTCGGCCGAGTTAGGTCCAAAAATATTGGGAAATAGCTGCTTTTCATCCACCGAATTGTGATATTTATCAGTCTTTTTACCTGTATTGGCGGCGTCGGCAATACCGACCGCGGCGTCAACCACATTCGGGCTCATTTCTGTGCCAACACCGGACGTTCCAGTCCATAGCTTGGTTTTTTTACTAACTCTTTGAAGAGCTCTGAGAAACTCATCAAATGTAAAGCTTCCATCAGGTCCAGTGGCCGGCATCGTAGAGCCTTTGAGAAGAGTGCGGCCATCGGCACCATTGGCCAAAATGTCCATGCGGTAAGCATACCAGATCAAAACCGACTATGTCGCCGAGTCAGCATATATTAGATTGAAAGTACACAAAGGAGCGTGCACTATGATGGAATTGGTGAGCAACTTACCTGATAGGGACCTGAAAATTCATTGCAAAGCGCCCCTGTAATGAGAAGGTAGACATAAAAGGTGACGATAGAGAGTCTCATGGTGGCAGGTGATCGGAACAATCTGCACCAAGACTCCGAGGGAAGATTTGAATGACAAAATGAATTGATAAAGAAGGAGTCGAACTTTATATATACGGAAATTGACTGACTTGCGTTAAATACCAGACTCCTTAATCCTACGATGTACCAGGACAAGTACCTCGGGGGGGGGGATTTGGGATACGATTAGATCCATATTTGCATTGTTGACCCTTGATGCCAAGTAGAATATCCACATGGCGCAGCCAAGGCAGATTTGTTCGGCCCACATTGTTTCATATTTGCAGCCCCGAGGTCCCTTTCACCGTGATAATTCCCGCATAGACATGGTGTATACTATTTCATTTTGGTCATTCCAAATTAAACTAAAGCATTCGAAATTCACCAAGTGTGCGTCGTATGCCGTTTAAGCGAATACTAGTCCACAGGGGGCCAAATTTGAAGTGGATGTGAAGCAAAGTTAGAGCTCCAATTGGGGCTAAAAAGAACCCTTTAAGCACTGAGGTTACTAGCCCCCTGTGGGTCCTCGGCCTTGGCATCTAGAAGCTAAACTCTAAAGGGAAGCATCAGTATCTATTAAAGTTATTTATCGCCAAGAAAAGACGGCCAAGTAACTCGATTTTGAAAGACCGAGCGGATAGAACGGATGAAAATATCCACACGACTGCGCACTAGAATGCTTTTTTGGCTATTCGAAGCGGATGTAACTGTACTCCGTACGCAGAGCAGTACCGAGCAGACATTCAGGGGCGGCGCGGTCGTTTCGGGGATGGACTTGTGGAGAATCAATTTGCAGTGTGAACTTACATCCGTAGATATGGTATACTCAGGCGGGTCCACGATGAGCAAATCTATAAGAGGCCATGCTACTTCCATTTGTGTGTCAAATGTCAACTTGCACCCTCCCTTCGAAGCACCATGTCTCTCCTCGCTGCTCTGGTGCTATCGTCTCTCGTCTCTAGTACCCTGGGAAGTACTTGCAAATACATCACGGCTAACGGCGGTGATGGATGCTACAATCTTGCCCAGCGTTGTGGTATATCGCAGGATAAACTCACGACGTACAACACAGGTGATAACTTCTGCAACCACATTCAGGAGGGAGATTATATCTGTTGCTCTGCGGGATCCTTGCCAGACTTTTCTCCCAAGAAGAACTCCGATGGCTCCTGCCATAGCTACACAGTTCAGCCGGATGAATTCTGCTCGAATATCGAAGATGCCAATAAGATGAAGAGAGGCACAATCGAAAAATATAACCAGAACACTTGGGGATGGGCAGGATGCACAGAGATGCAGAAAGGTGCAAATATCTGTCTGAGTGATGGTACCCCTCCCTTCCCATCTTCAACGGACGATGCGCTTTGCGGCCCACAGGTAAGTCGTTCTATTTAATGAAACTGGCTATGATATTTGGCAGCCTACTAAAACTGAATAAACCATAGGTTAAAGGAACTGTGGAGCCTAAGGGCATGCCATACACCAACTGGACCAACTTAAATCCATGCCCTCTCAATGCCTGCTGTGATAAATGGGGTCAATGTGGTGTCACTGTTGAGTTCTGTGAACAGCCCAATTCTACAACGGGGTAAGAGCCTATGAGATACTTTTTGCCAATTTTCATTTCATGTCTAATCGAGGGAATAGAGCGCCTGGAACCTCCAAGAAGGGAACCAACGGATGTATTTCCAACTGTGGTACTCAGATTGTCAATAATGACGAGGGTCCTAAGCAGGTTCGACGTATTGCATACTATGAAAGTTTCGAAGAGGATCGCGAGTGCTTGAAAATGGACGTTTCAAAGCTTCAAGGCCTTGACTACTACACGCATATTCACTGGGCCTTTGCAAACATTACCAATTCTTATGAGGTCGATGTTAGCAACTATAAAGAACAGTGGGACGGCTTCGTGGAACTTGACGGCTTCAAGCGCATTGTCAGTTTTGGTGGTTGGGGATTTTCTACCTCTGCACACACTTACTCAGTTCTTCGCAATGGTGTCAAGGATGGCAATCGCCAGTGAGTTTTTTTTTTCTTCTCTCTATTTCCGAACTATGATGAGCGCAAGCACATATCAAACCACCACATATCACTGATACTTATTTCAATGGCAGGACTCTCGCCAAAAACATCGTCGATTTCGTCGTTAAAAATGGCCTCGAAGGTGTCGACTTTGACTGGGAATACCCTGGCGTAAGGGCCCTCTATTTCCTTAATTCGAGGTTTTGACCCTAGACACTGACTTCTAATAGGCTCAGGATATCCCTGATATTGACCCTGATAGCAAAGATTCAGGAGCTAATTACCTTGAGTTTCTCAAACTTGTCCGTGCTCAGCTGCCGGGAAGTAAGACTCTCTCTATTGCCGCTCCTGCGTCTTACTGGTACTTGAGAAACTTCCCTATCAAGGAAATTTCTGAAGTTGTTGTAAGTCTTGGACTCATATCATATCTTGTACTTTTCAGTTCGGACTGAAAAGACTAATTGTTCGAAAGGACTATATTGTCTACATGACATATGACCTTCATGGCCAGTGGGATTACGACAGCAAAAATGCCGAGTGAGTGACCCATAAATTTGCCCTGCTATACAATACCTTTCTAACAGTACTTCGAAAGCTCTGGATGTCCATCTGGTGGATGTCTACGCAGTCAGGTGAACCAAACGGAAATCTTTTGGGCGCTTTCTATGATCACAAAGGCTGGTGTTCCATCAAACAAGGTTGTGGGAGGCCTTCCCCTCTATGGGCGTAGCTTCGAGATGGTGGATCCCAGCTGCAGTGGACCAAACTGTCATTTCACCGGCCCCAAGTCAGGTGCCGAAGCAGGAGAGTGCACCAAAACGTACGTATTCCAAATCGTTGGCGCGAAATATGCTATACTAACACTCTTTCGTACCTCAGCCCCGGTTATCTCTCTAATTATGAAATCTACAACATTCTCACCCAGGCCGCAAACCCCGAAATTTATGGGAACGTCACCGTTGAGCAGTATCAATACCACGGTGATGTCCTAATCTACGATGGGAATTGGGTCTCATGGCTATCACGAAAAAGTTACCTCCAGTATAGGGATTGGTATGACGGTTTAAACTTTGGTGGAACATCTGACTGGGCTATCGATTTGAATCAGACCTATGCCGGGGGTGGCTCAGGCGACGAGGAAGAACCCGAGCCTTTTGGTGATTATCCGAGTTGCGACTTTTCTCAATCTTTCAACACCCTCGATGAGCTTCATGCGGCCTCGGGAGGGATGCGATCAGACTGCGTCTCTGTCTTCACACTTCAGACTCTCGTCACAATGCTCAATGTGGCATATGATAACTACACCGACATCAACAACGGATACGATGAGCTTTTTGATTACTATGTCACATACATGGAGAAACTTGTCCCAACGATTCTTGAGACAGAACTCATGATGACTGATGATGGAGGATCGCAAGCTAAATTATCCAGTGTCAGTCCAAAGTTTGGAGAAGGAGCATCATGTAAGAAAAGCCCTTCAGTATAAAACATGCACGTTAGAGAACAAGCACTGACAAGAAAAACCCACCTCAACAGACTTCAGTTGCAGTTTCGGCGGTAATACATATGACGGATGTACTGACTTTGGGCGGTCTACTCTATTCCCGTCCAATGAGGATATCGTATGGAAACTCATTGACAAGGATGGATGGGAGAAGAAACTACAAGACGAAGGCATCTCAGACAGCTATGTCGCGTACGGCCACTATACTCGACAACAACATACGGACCCTGCTGGTGGACGCGGTCGAAGTGAGTACGACTACTTTTTCGAAAACTTCCCAATCAAGAATGATTCAATGGTCGTGCCCAACCCGAAGGATATCATGACCAAGGCTGTGCCCCACATTCCAAGTCTTCGCGATGACATGCAATCGACTGTCTATGATATGATGCTAGGTCAATGGACCGGCGGCTCGCTCGACGATCCTGCCCAAGTGTACAGCACTGCCGTGTTCAGTATGATGCAGGCAATTGACTCAATGGCAAAAGCTAAGAAGCTGGGTGAGGAAGAGAAAGAAGCTGAGGAGAAGGAAGCGGAAGAGAAGAAGAAGAACTTTATCTTGATGATTATTAGCGTTGTGCTTGTGGTAAGTGAATCTCTGCTTCCATCGTTACTAACAATGCTTCTTGGTAAGAAATTGGTAGCTAACTTGACAATCAAGGTGGTTCCTTTCGTGGGTGAGGAAGTTGCTTCCCTTGCTGGATTGGCCACACTTGCACGCAGTATCGCCGTCGCAGGCGAGGCTGCCAACGCTGGCTTTGCCATCTACGACACTGTCAAGAACCCTGAATCCGCTCTCATGAACGTAATCGGCTCTGTTCTTGGAGTCGGCTCAATTGTAAAGGCTGAACGCAGCGGCAAAGGACTTGCGGGTGTGGCTAAGACTCGAGCTGGAATGAAGGCATCTGAAATTGCCAGCATGGGAGACATCTTCAAAGCAAACGACGACACATTGCAGACTCTGATGAAGGTTTGCAGACTGAGCTAAAGTCTGCTACTTTAAGGGGGCTTTGTTTCACTGGGTATCACTCCTCTCGAAAAAGGATCATTCAGATCTTTTTTCATATCTTTCATTTCGGTTTTGACTACCAGAATGCTGGAGAAAAGTCAATACAATCACACATATCTCTTTATATAAATTTCTAGATACTTGAACCAATTTCCTTGTCTGATCGGTGTTGCACGTGTACCTTGATCAAAATCTCCTGATCACAACCTTGAGAATAAGATCGTCTAGATACTAAATTGAGGACCCAACAAATTGTTTCAAGTGGGGATGGCGCTACAATATCTTTCATTAGATTGAGAAAATGTCTTTCTTGTTGATCCAGCTCTGGAAATATCGATGTGCCACTTCTCGGTCCTTCGTCCAATTGACGATAAAAATGTGAACATTGGATGACTGGGGAAGACCTCGAGACAGCTGCCACCGAATTGTGAGATTGAGCCCTGAAAGAGGCAGTTGGAAGTTTGTATGGCAACTTATTTGCGGGAGGTTTTCGGCCGGCTCTAGCGATATTGCGAACCGTTTGACAAATTCTGGCCAAGTTGGTGGCATTCCTCGCATGGTGCTGTTATATCTGCGCGTTCTGCGGGGGAAGCAAAAGTTTTCTATCACTGGGCGATTCGTGTTCATTACAAGGTTCTGGACTCGTGTTTCCAACTTGATATATCCATTGGTATCATTATTCAACAATCGCCTGTCTTAGCGCTCATAAGTTTGCGATGTCCGGTGAACATGTTTGAACGGTCAACATCTTTGCCTGAGGCGGTCGGTCAACAAAGGGTGGACCTCAATCATACAACGGTATTTAGATTTATATCATCACCGCAATGAAGTGACTGGGCAATCAACGCTGCAATCAATGTAAGTAATATTGGTAGAGACAGGAGCCAGATGATATATATCTTGGCCAGATATCTAACCCTACGCCCCCAGAATATTATTGAGAGTATATATCTCCTCTTGGGCACAACCGGTTCAAATTTCTCCTTTGGCAATCCTATAATTTATCAATCCAGTTGCTCTCATCTTCATCTCCCTTCCCTGAAGCACGTCGGACGAAATCATTCAAAATTAGAGGGAAATGTCCAATATTTCGTGGAATACGATGTGCTCCAGAAAATGCAAAAGTAACGGCATTTTCACAGTGTGTCGCAAGATCGAGCGTATCAGAAGGATAAACCATCGAATCCAGTTCTCCAAAAACATGACGCATTGGTGTTTGAATCTTGGTCCGATACACCGTTCCATAAAATGGGTCTTTCAGCCTGAATCCACACAAGCAGACCACAAATGACAACGGAGGATGTGCAATCCAGTGTACGATTAGTGAGTCTCTATTTGCCTGAGTCAGGAGATGCTTCTCAACTACCTTCAAGTCGAGCCCCTCGATGATATTACTTCCCTCCAAGATCGAAGCGATAATGGCTGCTAGAGAGGCGCCCGATGAAAATCGATAATTCCGATGAACGGTCCATTTTGGTCGAGAACCTGGCAAATATAGCGGAGTGAGTCTTCGATACCCTTGATACGTCCATGCTCATGATCCCCGTAACCCCATGCCAGGGGCCATTGCTCCCATTCTGAGGGTGATCGGGATCCGCTCGTAATGGACCCGAAGGATAATAGAACTCGACATTCTGAAACGAACTAAATCCCTGAGTTTGTGCTGAATTCTGGAGCATGTGCCTCAGAGGCCTTTGCAGAAAGCGGATTTTACATTCAAAAACGTTCCCTGGCTGGCCGTGCCCTGGTGAATCAGCTAGGTTAGCAAGATTGGGGACCAAGGTCTACCCTATCAATACTGCTTAAATTATGGAGTAAGGATCTCAACGTATTTTTATAACTCATCGAGGCTGATTGATCAACTAGTACCAAGGCAGATCAATTTTCTTACAAGGCAACAGTATTGTTTTGCCCCCATTTTATGCTTGGCAGAGTTGGGGGCCGATAAATGAGATTCTTAAAAGATTGACACTTGACTGCCCGACATCATAAACATCATATCTCGATATTTATTACGCTTATTTATTACGCTGTACAGCGAATAGAAGAAATACTAAAGAATGTGTCAAAAAAGGTGTTCCTCCAACGCCAACAAGCACCCGCTCTCTAGAGCCCGCAAGGCCCAGACCTTGCTCTCTATGATTTCGTGGCCATGCGCCCTGGCTGCTATATTCACAACCCACGGAAGCCCTGAGTCCTGGGTCCAACTTATCGCGGCATGTCTTTCGCTCCACCGATAAAATCGACTTGGCTAATTAGTTGAAGATCACGATCTCCGGCATAGCGCCTGTATTCATGCTTTACAGATATCACCGATCCACAAGCCAATCCTACGCGCCCCTCGAAATTGCCATCGATGCCTTCCTTACATTGCTTTTGCTTGGAATATATGTTGCGGGCGTTGTGATTCTTGCTTCCCGTGAAATATCAAATTGGTCAACCTACTACAACTATAAGCTGGCCCGTGGTATTCCACAGATCTACTCAAACCTCTCATGCATCCTCATCTGGTAAGCGAATTGATGTGTGCATTTGCCACAGGAACGTAACACAAATCCCCCGAAGTTACTAACCCGTCTAGTCTGTTATATTTCCGCTCTTTCGCTCAAGGATTCTACCATCAGTGCATCAAGGGACGGCTAGCGGCCCGCCGAGGTACCACATACGTTCTTTGCCCATCTTGTGACCGGTCCTCGTATGCTCCTGTTTGCCATAGCGAGGATATGCCATCCACACAGCAGGACAGACCCTCTATCTCGGCTGATGATATCCAGGGATTGTACACCGACGATGTGGAGTCCCAGCCGTTGATGCGTGAGAACTCCATGAGTGTGGAGGGAAAACAGATCACTGGGATCGTGATCAAGGACTAAAGTCGACGGTGCTGAGTTCGGAGAACCGAGACAGACCCGAGGATCAGCGCGGTGTACATTGGAGATACGGGATAGTTCAATACCCTGATCCTTCGGCTCCGAGCCATGGGCAAATTAAAGAGCTGGATCGCTGTGTGATCTATCGAAATGATGATATACTGAGATATTGGAGTAACGAGGAATTGGGGTACCTGCTGGTCTGCCTGAAACTTGATTTGAATGTCATTAATATGCCTTTTACTGGTTTCATGTTAAGCGGCACAGTTCAAGTTTCAAGTTGCATCCGCCATTCAATCTCTTTTGATCCCTACTGCCTTTTTTTTGTTTGGCGCGATAACATGAAATTCCGGATTGCCCTCGGGGTGTATCAGAAATAGCGGTCACTACCTGTGTTCGTGAAAAGGAAATCAATATTCAGCAAGGCTTGCGGGTTGCGGGTCACAAAACTAAATATGAGATGAAGAGATGGAAGGGAAAACAGAGAGGGAGGGTTATACTCGGTCCACAACGCGCCTTGCCAAAGCGGCGATTACCTAGATATCGACCAGAAATTGGAAACAAGAAGTAACTAGATATCTATGGATATGTATGTATTGGAGTTAAAGAGATAAACGAAAAAGTGTGGGCTTGTCCATTTAATCTGTATCTGTCCAGTTCCCTAATGATGCGCAAAGCTATGTGAATTTCGAATATGATGGGTCGGACCAACTCGCCTATTCCCTTTGCCTTGTCCATTCCGCTATTCCTCGTTTCATGTCCTTAAGCATTCAGTTCTTTTCTATCCGTTGGATCTCTGCGTTGATCTTATCTTCATCACGGGAGATAAGATCCATATCTGCTTCAAGAGATCGGATCTCTGTCAGTTGACGATCAATATGTGTTTCCTTCGTACGTTGTTTCCCAATCAAATTAATATTTGCACGTTCTCGTTGTTCTCTCTGTCTCATGAATTCTGCTGCTTTACTGGGCATAAATGAGCAGATGTAGGGCCACCATGCTTCCGCTGCAGCCTTTTCCTTTTGAATGCGTTCTTTTTCTCTTTTAAGACTGTCTCTCTCCGCGTATAGTCTGAACAGGTCTTTCTTTGCATTGGAGAGCGAAATTTGTATTCCTTTTCGCTTATCGTTGAGATGTCGAATATTTTTCTCCAGTGCTGCTACCCTTCGATCCTTTAGTTTTCGAGGGAGTATGGTTGATTCGTATATCATGTCGTATGCTCGGCGCTCGGTGTCATGGCCAATCCTATGGCAGCGGAATCCGCGGAAGGCGAGATTGCCATGACTTCATAATAATCGGCTAATGTGGTTGGTGACATGCATAAGTCAGATGAAACGAATAAATATGAGATAAATTGATTGAATGATGGGAACGGTCCGATCCGCAAATGTGGAGGCGAGAAAGGAACGCGGGGCAAATCAGCCCTGGAGGTAACACTTGCTTACTGAGAGGGCTGCAGTTCGTCATGAGTCATCACATGTATACATCGACCTTGAATGAGAAGAGAGAAATAACACAAATGTCGGACAAAGTTTTGATATCCATTGGACGAGAAGTCGCAGGTGTCCTACCTGATCTACGAAGACCTAACCACTTCCCTGCTCTGAAGGGGTCAATTTGTTCACTATTTCCAAATCTGTGACCCTTTCATCGATCTCCGTATCTGTAAGTAACTGCTGTTTTTAAAAGGAACAACAATATTTCGATATTTCCGGTTACTGAGAGATTCCTTAGTACCAAAAGAAGAAAGGATTTGCAGAGGATCTCGATGAGGGCAAGCCTTCATTCCCGCTGATCCATCGTTTACCTAATGCGCCCATCTTCCCCAGCAGTCTAGAAACGGGACGATGTTAACCGAGGTTACTAAATTGGTTCTGGAAAAAATAGAAAAATAGAAAACAAATAATAGATCCGACTAAGAGTCTTAAGCTCACTAAACATACGCTTGGTCTTTGGGAGTCACAAGTCAAGAGCGCTCTGGCAAAGCTTGAGGACAATCGATGGCCAAGTATATGTTACAGTGTTTGAGTGTTTGATTGAGTGGCTTTCGCTTGATGTGAACTTCATGCTATACCTGGAGACGTGGGAGACAAGTCATGATGTTTGAGCTATTAGGCTATTGAGATTAAAGAAGAAATGCGGGAAAGGATTTTGAAGTAAATATGCCGAGAGACACGGAAAAGCCGAAAAATACGGAGTACGCCGGACGGGATTCTCCTTTGAGATAGTCATGAGAGCCACGTGGGAGAGAGAAAGAGGTATCACGTCCCGATATTTTTTATTTCGGCATGACATGGAGGTTTCTCACAAAAAAAAGATTCAAGAATGTTAGCGACGATCAGGATCTGAAAATTCCTCGCTCAGGCCCTCGAACCTCGGCCCCACGCTGTTTAATTTGTTTAATTGATGATTTAAATCCACCTCAATTCACTTAACACGTATGGGACCATATATTCCTACTAAATATTTAAGCGGGATGACTTTATCATGTGGCACAAGAAACGGCTCTGTTACATTATCGTTTCGCTTTTCGCCACTAAATACAGTAAAGTATTAAAAAAAACCAAATGTAACCCCAAAGAACGAGGCCTTATACGGCGTAGATGTGATCTAGTCCCAGAACGGGCATACCCGACCCCCGCGTGGAATTCCACCAACCACAATCGGCGACAAGAGACAAGCTTAGACAAGATCAGACAAGATCAGACCAGACCAAGACGAGACCAGACAAGCCTAAATTAGATGTCAGCTGTACCTTGGATCCCACAGCTGAGTACTCCGTATATTTTGGTAATTCGACCAATTGACTCCATAGTGATTAAATAAACACGGTGAGAATATCGGGTACCCATGTTTCCATCTGTCTCATTTCAATGGGAGTCAACTCGCTTTGTCCGGGGCCCCGCAACTTCCAACCGAACATGGGCGATTCCCCGGTCAAGATTCCCCGGTCAAAGTTCCCCGGCCAACAGGACAAAGCTCCCTCCCCCGAATCCGGCAGAGCCCCTGCAATGTAGCCATTTTGACCGCAATTAGTCTTAAGCAGAGGCGCCTCCCAACGCCTTCGGCACTAGCCTTATCCAGTCCAAGCTTTTCAAAATTTAAATCTTGTCGTCTGATAGGATACTTTGAAAAATGCTACCTTCGCTTACTTTTCACTTTCGGTACCAGCAAGGCAAAACCCCGGCGGAGTAATCCAGTCAGATTGGCTACTTTGGTAAAATATCATGAATCCAGATTGGGTCTAAATTAATCCACGTATCACGCGCATAAGTAAGGGGATTGTGAGCTAAATGCGGAAAAGGTGAGGCGTAACAAAAAAAAAAGATAATAGACATCAATTCCTCTCCCCCCGGCCCTGTTATAAACTCCCCCGCCTTCTCTCTGGGAGCGCTTTTTACTTTTCTCTTAATCGACATCGCTTTGCCAAAATGTCGTCCCTCAATGAGAAAGAAGGGCACGGGTCGATCGAGATCCAACACAATGAGGTTCATGGCGCTGAGGTCTTGGCCAATCGCGATTTGATGAATGATGCGTTCGACGGTGAGACCCAGGAGCACGAGGAGGGTGTTTGGGCTTCAGCCAAGGCTCATCCTTGGGCTTGCTTTTGGGCTTTCATCATGTGTTTCACTATCGTGAGTTTTCTTCGCGCGCTTGGAGCTTGGATCATGCGCAAGTTGTGGGGCGCACACGGTTAACACTAACTAGGTCATGGAATCGTTCGACATGTTCTTGAACGGCAACTTCGTCGCCCTTGATGCATTCCAGAGGGCTTATGGTGTCCCGGTTGGAGATGGAAAATATGTGATTCCAACCAAATGGCAGAGCGCTCTGTTCCAAGCTGGTCAATGTGGCGCTTTCTGTGGTGTTTTTATGGCCGGTCCCGTTACCAATCGCTGGGGATACCGCTGGACCACCATCTTTGCGTTGATGCTGATGAATGCTACTATTTTCATCTCCTTCTTCGTGAGTATCGCGCATATGTGGATTGAACTCATTTAACATATATCCAGGCCAATTCCCTCACTCTCTTGGTCGTCGGACAAGCTTTGGAAGGTGTCCCATGGGGATTCTTCATTGCCAACTCCCCTGCCTACGCCAGTGAGATTGTCCCTCTCGCGCTTCGCGGTGCCTGCACAGCTACTCTGCAGATGAGTTGGTCTATCGGATCAATCATCGTCGCCGGTGCTACGTATGCCTACAACAATAGATCGGATGAGTGGGCTTGGCGTGTACCTCTTGCTCTGCAATGGCTTTTCCCCGTGAGTTTGAGAGAAGCCCATTTGCCAAATAAACCCCAAACTGACTTGTCCAGACCCCTCTCCTGATTCTGATCTTCCTCGCCCCCGAATCGCCCTGGTGGCTCATCCGCCGCGGACGCAAGGCAGAAGCCCTTCGTTCCATTGAGCGCCTCGGCAACAAAGACCCGCACAAGGCCCAGCAGTCCCTCGCCATGATGGAGCGTACCGTCCAGATTGAAGCCCAAATGGGTGGAACCCCGACCCTCCTCGATCTTCTCAAAGGCACTGATCTCCGCCGCACAATCATCACCTGCTTGATGTACGCATCGCAGAATTTCGCCGGTAACCTGATTGCCAACCAGGCCACATTCTTCTTCGAGCGTAAGTTGCAGCACCAGCACTCCCAACCAAATCAATCCCAACATCAAAAACTAACACCCTTCTAGAAGCCGGAATCAAATCAAACATGGCCTTCCAGCTCAATCTAATCAACTCCTGTCTTCAATTCGTCGCAAACGGCTGCTCCTGGTTCCTAACGGCCTGGTTCTGTCGCCGAACGATCTACCTCTACGGCACAGCCCTGAACGTCGTCCTCCTAATGGTCCTCGGCGTCTGCGCCTCCATCACCCAAACCACCGCCACGAACTACGCCCAAGCTGTGCTGGGAATCTTGATCTCCTTCGTCTTCGCCGGCGCCATGGGCCCAATCTCATACACCATCATCTCCGAGACGTCGTCTGTGCGTCTGCGCGCGCTCAGCACGGGTGTCGGCCGTGCCGCTTACTACGTTGCTGAGATCCCCATGATCTACCTTGCTTCCCAGATGCTGAACACCACTGGATGGAATCTTGCTGGAAAGTGCGGTTATGTTTGGGGCGGTACCGCTATCGTTTGCTGGATCTCAGCTTACTTCTTCCTGCCGGAACTTAAGCACCGTTCTTACCGTGAGGCGGATATCCTGTTCAACCGCAAGATTTCTGCCCGTAAGTTCAAGTCGACTGTTATTGGCGTTCACGAGAATGAGTAGGCGCTATTTGGTGGAGTTTGCGGATTGCGTTAGCTTCGGCTTGGTTGCATTGCAATAGATATTCTAGATGTATTAATAGAATTCATGTCTCATGACTTTCTCGATGTATTGACTGGATAAATATAATCTACTCTATCTCGTAAAAGACATTTGCGATCCAATCAGAGCGGGGACGATATAGTGTTTGTTGACGATATAAAGAGGTAGGAACATACAGATTCAAATTTGCATTATAATATCAGAGTTGTCAATTCGACCTTAATTTTCTCCACTGCGGCTTCAATGACGATTACATTCCTTGAATCCTGCCAAGATGGGAGCTGCATATGATAGGTACTATGGTCTTATATTACTCGAGGAATAGTCTAAGGTACGTGAAGGTCGACCCGGCATCCAACAATTGGAGGTCCATCTCAAATAGCTTCTTAGCCGGAGGTGATGTCAACTTTTGCGCCTGGTGTACCGTTGGCATCAGATTGAGTGATGGATTTCACCTGTTGGAGGATGCGGTAGTACGTGTCTGCCGTATTATGGTCAGGGGTGACCATAATCCAGTTGAAGTACTCGCCATAGCCGCCGTCTGCACTGCTTGCGTAGCCATCTCGTACAAAAAATGTCTCAGATATGCAGCGACTGGGGATTCCTCGGCTACAGACAATGCAACTGGTGATCGGTTGCAGAAGTGGCAACCCCTTCTTTCCCCGGCTCCTTAGCACCGACATGCTCATCGTGGACCCTACGGAGCTTTCCAAGAACAATATTGTAAAAGACACTTGCTTTCATGAAGAAGAAGCAAAAACGAAAGGTCACAAAACAGTACTTTTGTACTGTGGTATTCAGCCTAGCAAGAGGAATTACAGTCATGAAACTCGCAGGTCCTGCAATGTTACCTCGAGAACCTGTTTATCCTTGAGATCCGGTACTATGGGTACAACTTCTATGGAAGTGACTGTTGAATTAGTCCGTGCCTCCTTGATGAAGGCTTAGCTGAGAACCACACACTCCGTCTGTGACCCAGGCTGGAATATGTGGAGACAACGGTAGACGATGAAAATGAAGGGGACATCGCGGTCAAGACTATACATTCAAATTTATATAGTAGTCTCATTGAGTGATCTATCTGGTTATGACACCCTATGTTTAAGAATGAGTATGGATCATCCCAATCCCTTTGCTATAGCAGTTTGCCTACCTAACGCGAAATGAGATGGTACTTTCTATGCGATGAAAAAATAAATCGCTAAGATAAACTCCACTCAGAGACGTAAACGCTGTTCATTGCCATAATGCTTGGCTGGCCATATCTGTTTCCTCAATGAAACCCACAGAACAAAAGTGATTTTGACTTATTTTCCACTTTGAGAGGGAAGTCCTTCTTTCTTCTGTTGTATTTTTCCAGGAAAGTTGATTCACTTCAAAGTCAAGGCCTTGGAAAGGCACATGAGTATACTGAAAGAACTGTTCCCAAAGCCGCTGAGGCTTTTCAAAGAAAGTCACCATCCCATGCTGATGGCAGGAGTCTGATTTATGTTTGTTTATTGATCTCTCAATATTACAATTTTGCTTTCTTTTCTCTTTCAAATATTGCCTTCTCTCTAAGATTCAAATCTGAGTACTCTAGTGTAGTTCAAATGGCCGTTGCCCAGTGCCCAGGTGGTTTGATTTGATTTGTCATCCGGTCACGCACCGGTGAGACTCCGGCCACGCACTGGAATTTGAGACGACTCAGCTTCAATTTGCTTCTTCTCTTTGTTTCATAATGTTTCAATGTACACAATGCGCCAAATCCTATCAAAGGAAGCCCCATCTCCTTCGTCATGAAGCAACTCGTAAGTGATATCATCATTCTCAATTTCTAGAATTCAGCTGACAACCTTCCAGATACAAGGCAGCTTACCTCCAGTTGCCCTTTCTGCAACAAGTCATTCCAAAAATCGTATGTCAATCACACCTGATAAGCCTGAACAACAGCTAAAGTCTTCAAAGAGAGGTCACCAGGAGGCATAGCAAAACCTGTGCAAAGAAGAATAATCAGCCCCTGCCTCCAGCAGCTAAACCAGGCAGAAAAAGGCAATCCTGTGATCTGTGTTTCTTTGCCAAGGCATCATGCGATAGAAGTATACCATGCTCTCGCTGTCAATCTCTTGGTCGTGAATGTATTTCTACTGTGCAGGGCACTCCTTCTGAGCCAAGCAGCTCTGCAATCTCACTCCCGCCTTCTGTGAACACATCCAGAGCTGTCTTGACAGGTAGTGGGCCGTTTTCTTTCCTCCGCCATTTTGCCAATCCCTCTGTTCAAAAGGATAGGCTGGCAATTGGAGAAACTGCAAAATGCTCTGTTCGAAGAAATCTCGAAACCCTCCATTCCCATATCGAAGATGCTCTCATTCCAACCGATCCTATGTCGGGTTTTGGTGACTTTCAACTTCCAAACTTTCCTTTTCAATTACCCACTACCCTACCCCCGTTCACAGATGACTACCTGCTGGCCCAGTTTACGCCTGATGCGCTCTTTCCTTCGAAGCTTTCCAGTCAATTATCCGAAATAATGACAGAGTTAGTCGAAACTTCGAAATCGATGAGTCTCGGAAGCACGGGAACACTAAGTCACCTGGATTTTACGGAGCTTTCTGATCTCTTGGATGTCTCTCACATCTCTGCTTCTATATCTGCGTTCTTCCAATCCCTCCACTGGCATTTACCGGTGGTGCACTTCCCAACCTTCGACCCTGGAAATATCTCCAATCCTCTTTTACTTGCAATCTTCTTGTCTGGTGCAACATATACCATTCCACTAGATGGGAGGGGTCTTCCATCTGCGCTCTTTGATGTCGCAGAAGAATACATATTCCGACACATCGCGGATGTGTCAACGCTTACTTCGCCGAAGAGTCAATCAACCATACAGCTAATACAGAGCGCTCTTATCATCGAAATGCTTCAGTTCGGACGAGACAATATGCAGACTAGACGCCGCATTCGCATCGCCCGTCATCCATGCTTGGTATCTACTATACGGTCTTTGGGTATATTCCAGCTCAAACGGGGAGCCGCCCCTACAGGTTGCGACGATCATGCGTGGAGAGATTTGGTAGCAGAGGAAGTGTGCATAAGGTGAATTCCTCTTCATTATTCAACCTTGCATTTCACTTCGAGCTTGCCTGCTAACCTATTCCAGAATTGCTTGCTGGGTATTCCTCGCAGATGGATTCCTCACAGTATGCTTCAAAAACCACCCTTCAATATCGGTCTTCGAGATGGACTGTCACTTCCCCTGGAGTGCTGGGCTATGGGAAGCCGAGAGTGCTTCTTCCTTCAGCAAAATTGCCGTCTCGCACTCGACAGAGTTTCCACTCCCCCCACTGGGAGATGTAGTTGCGCAACTACTTGACACCCCTCTGACTGCAGGCCCAATACCCTGGGGTCCATCAGTATCGGTGGAGCATCTCTTGATTCTTATATATGGTATGTGAATTATCAAACCACCCTATGCCGTTGATTTGCTAAACAGGAATACCATAGCCATCAACTCCCTGGCATTCCAAACAAGAGCAGGAGTCTTGAAATACCTTTCTCTGGACAAAATTCGCAATGCGTCTGGTAATTGGAAGCGCATCTGGGATTCTGTGATCGGTCTCCTGGATAAAGATCAATTTCTCAATCTGGGGTATCCGAAACATGCCCAGGAGCTTTGGTGGTTATTGAATGCTACATTGGATGCGACTGGGAAGTCCGGCGCTAGACTCCAGTATATGGACAACACTGCTACCGATGACTTGGGGAACTTGAACGACTTTATTCAATGGTGCTACCAAAGTGCGCCATAGAACTAGGATTAATTATATACCAAAGAGTACATTAGATACAGAACATCTCAAGATCTCTGTCTCAGTTAAGTTTCTTTGCAGCTTTCTCATCTCTTTCTTGGCCTTCCATGAAGGCATCACCTTTCGGTTTGCGATAAGTTCCTCCGAGACGATCCCACGCAGTTGTAAATTGGCCATAATTGTAGTTGAAATAAAGATGGTGCATCGTGTGACAAGAGGCTCCGTTAATGATTATCGACCCGGGCAAGTACTCAGCGTCATCTGCAAAAGTCAGATGTAAGCATTTGTTCTCTTTCTTCGTTATGTTCTCCAGAATCAACAAGACTGGACAGGGAAACTCACGAATCAGAACGGTCCATATAGTAACAAAGACAAAAAGCCCCAGATAAGCGCTTTTCTGCAACGGAAATATCATCGGGAAAATATGGTATGGAAGACTCTGCGACCATCCATCCAGTGGGTGAAATGCATAACTAGCAAAAGGCGTCGGTACAGCCCATTTATGGTGTGGTTTGTGAAGCCAGCTGTATACAAGCGGATGATGCAAACCACGATGTATCCAGTAGATCGCACTATCTGTGAAGCAGATAAAAAGCGGATATTGCAGCAAGGTGTATCCAAAGAAGGGCGACTCGCTGGTGAAATCGTATAGTTTCGACCATCCCCTGATCTCTGCTAGGAAGAATGGAATTGTGAGGAGGGTTATGACAGGAATTGCAGAGATGCCTTGGTTGATTTCGAGCTTGATTTGATGTGCAAGGAATCGCGGGTGGCGCATCAGTCTTTTGTCGAATAGTGTATGATATAATACGAGACTGCCGAGAAGGTACATTATCATAGCAAAGAGCCTATCTCATTGAAAGCTTCATCAGATCTTGGACTTCTCTGTGTATAGTTTCCAACACTAACCATGTAATCAAATACAATGACAATGCTTGTCTGCTTAGATCATCTCTCTTCCAGAGGCTAGCTTCTGCCCATTTAGAGGGTTGCAAAGGGTAATAAACGTTGACATGTCGATTCAAGTGAATAGCAGTTATGGTCTCATTCTGATAAACGGCGGTTGGGTCTGGCGAAAGAAAGGCGTAGCACCGATCGAGGACCACGGTATCGAGAACATCTAGGAAAACATCCATGGTGGAACACTAATGTTTGCATGAGTTATATATGGCCTTGTAAGATTCAATCGGATTCAGTCCACTTAACTTCTCTTATACTCGACAAGGGGAATACCTACAAGTGGTATATACCTACACGGTGATCACCTACATGGAGAATACCCACTCGGGGAATTCCTACAACAAACGCCTATCTACACACCAGGATCCACTTATAGCCACGCGCCGATATGGTCTGATGTTGTCCAGGCTATATATCGGGTGATTTTGAATAAGGGGTTGAATATACCTCGGTATGGATTCGAAGTATGTAGATCTTTAATCGGCCCATATTCCATCGGGGAAATTCGTCACCTAGGATGGCCCCCGCCTGGGATGGTTCATCTAAACCATGTTCTTTTCCTCGCCAATAACAGCAATCTGAAAAGGTATCTTATGAAGCTATGGGGAGGTTCAGGGGGTTCAGCAACTTTGTAGTAATGGTGGTTTGTCTCGATTTTTTCCCCATAGCGCGCGGCTTGGACAAAGGTGTCTTGGTTTGACGTCGTAAGCTGTGTGTAGTTTGTTGTAAGGAACTCGCTAAGCCACGGCTTTTCCGTATGATGACAGTTCAAATATGCACTGTCTAAAATACAAATATTGCAGCCATGAAATGGGAATTTTGTGTTATTCTAAAAAGTCAAAAAAAACAACGTTCGGAATAAATCACGTTAATTCGATTAGAAAAAAATCTAAAAAAATTGACCGACGCAGGGATCGAACCTGCAATCTCTTGATTCGTAGTCAAGCGCCTTGCCATTGGGCCAGCCGGCCTACTTGTTGGAAGTCGGCGCCAAATTGTGCTTTATAAGGCTAGCGCTACCTAAAACCATTAATCATGTCAATACCACCCTATCTTGCCTGGTTTTGTTCTAGGATATAGTAGGTGATTTCTCTATGAGCTATAGGCTGTTCACAAATACCAATTTCACTGAGAATTTTGAAAGTTGAAAAAAGTTGAAAAGTTGGCTGTTTGGCGCCACCGCACTCCTAAATATATAGGTGATTATGGCTTTGAATTATTGTCCTGGCTAGTTAATGACCTCCTACAGATAGATGTCGACTAGCTTCCCTTGCATGGGGGCCTCTAAGCTTCGTGTTACCTACTCACATCTAGACTATATATATACATACACATATGATGGGCAATTGCCACTCATATCCCCCAACCTTAAAGCTTCGCCTTCATCTTCTCTCTTTCCAAAAAGTACTCCCGAACCCTTTTCCTCGCAACCTCAATAACCTCCCCATCCTCGACAGTAGGCGGAACACTAACAGCCTTCTCGAACTCCCCCTTAGAGCCCAGCTCAACCAGCTCTCTAAGCACCCTCCTAAGCGTCTTCCCGCTCCTAGTCTTAGGAATCATGCCTCGCCCCTGAATGATACCACCCAGAGACGCAATGGCGCCAATCTGCTCGCGCACAAGCGAATTGACTTGCTTGAACAGTTCCGCGCTCGGAACCGCAGGTACGTTCTCGCCCGCTTCCGCTTTCAAATGGATGAATGCAAAAGGGAGAGAGCCTTTCAGGGGATCCGGGATCCCGACTACGACGGCTTCACTGATGAGTGGGTGAGAGAGAATTACTTGTTCAATTGAGCCTGGCTGGGTTAGTTGTAAACCGTCGAAGGATTGTGGGAATGACTAACCAGTGCTGAATCGATGCGCAGCGACGTTGATAATATCGTCACTCCGCGACATAACATGCACATAACCATCTGCATCGACCATCCCCGCATCACCGGTATCAAGCCAGCGACCGCGGAACCGAAGCAGGTACCCACGATAGAAGCGCTCTTCGTCCTGAAAAAGAGTCGTGAACGCAGATGGTGCCAGCGGCAACGCTAGGACGATATTCCCCATCGTCCCCCGCGGGACTTCGTCACCCTCATCGTCGACAATACGAACGTCGAAGCCGGGCATAGGCAAACCCGCAGAACCGGGTCTCGTCGATAAAGGAGGTACCTGATCTACCGACCCAGATCCAGACTGGACAACTGCAGCACTGCTATCCAACGCCACGCCCGTAATTGGAGACCCTGACTCAGAAGACCACCAATTATCAATGACCAGCGCACCCCGTGCCGCGTACTTACCAAGTAGATCCTGGTAAGTGCTAACGATGCTCGGTTCACTGCGCTCGCCAGCCAAGAAGAGCGCGCGCAAAGACCTCAAACCACCACGTCTGCCCACCTCGCCGATCAGCAGATCATCAGGATCATCTTTCCTGATAGCACGCATAGCAGTCGGGGCCGTGAACAGCACATTAACATTATGCTTCTCGACAATCCGCCAGAAAACACCGGCGTCGGGCGTTCCGACGGGTTTCCCCTCGAACATCACAGTAGTGGCGCCGACCAGCAGCGGCGCGTACAGGATATAGGAGTGCCCGACCACCCATCCGATATCCGAAGCGCAGAACATCGTATCGCCAGGCCCTCTAATTCCAAAAAGTGACCTGATGGAAAGTTCTAGACCGACGGCGTGACCGCCTGCTTCGCGAAGAATGCCTTTCGGCAGTCCCGTCGTGCCTGTGTATACATTAAAACCCGATCCGGTCAACAAGCGAAGAACCCACCACTCGTATAGATAACATACAGCCCCTCTTTGCTCTTGATCGGCACTGGGCCCGCCCGCACACCGCGCATGCGCGCGCTCTTCACGAGTCGCTGCCAGTTGCGCTGCCCGCCACGCTTGTCTGGCTGGTTCCAGCGGTGTTGGTCGCGCTGCCAGACAATGACCTTGGAAGGCTTAAAGGATGCCGATTGCACGGCGGCCTCGACGAGTGGCCTGTACGGGATGGCGCCCTTGGCTCCCTCTATGCCGCAGGAGGCGGTCATTATGGCGCGGGGGCGGGCGCCGTCGATCCTCTGCGCTAGAGCTGCTGGGGCGAAGCCGCCGAAGACGGCGGCGTGGATGGCGCCCAGACGGGTTATTGCTAGGCAGGCGATTAAAGCGGCGGGGATCATGGGCACTAGTTCCGGTTGGTCCTTAGGGGGGTCTATGAAGGGTTGCGGGGGGTTGGTTACGTACTGTAGATTAGGACTACATCGCCGCGTTTCACACCCTCTTCTCTGAGGACGCCGGCGAGGACTTCAACCTCCTCGAGGAGTTGGGCGTAGGTGTATTTTTCGGTGGTGCCGGTCACCGGGGACTCCCAGATGATGGCAACGTTGTTGCCGTTTCCTGCGTGGACGTGGCGATCGACACAGTTGTAGGTGGTGGAGATCTCGCCGTCAGGGAACCATGACCATTGGTGAGATTGAGTGGATTGACTCAGAGCTCGTGAGGGTTTAGTATGCCAGTGGAGTCTGGTCGCGTGATGTGACCAGAATGTTTCTGGGTCTGAGAGGGAATGGGAGTGGATTGATTCTTGGGACATGGTGTCCTTTCTTGTTTTGGGGGATTTTCAATTGGAAGAGTGGCTACTGAGACAGAAGAGAGACATATTAAGTTCTAATTCAAAAAGTAAGAGTCCAGATACCCGAGGTAAATAAACCAATTGCATTTGATCGACGCTGTTGCTGCAAGTTGAGCTGCAGTTCGCAGGCTCCAAGTCGGATGCGACCGAGTGTCCGTGCTTTCCCCGCACTTTGGGTACTCAGAGTGTACTTTCTGCGCAGTATCGAGTACGGATTATGAAAGTGTACTGTGCATGTACTTTATGTTTTGATATCTTATTGTACATACGTACATATGTATGTACACATGTACATATTGAATCGATGTATGGAAGTAGAGATGGGAGCATATGTGCTTTTGTAAAACGACCTGTATCAATTGTCTATATCGCAGAAATGGCTGAAAAATGAATCAAATAAAAACAAGCTCAGTCGTAGGGTATCATATCGAAATGCCTGCTAATGCGCGACTGCGATCTTCTGGCTTCGTCGGAATTTTTTTGTGTTTTGCTCCAAAGCCGATACTCCAAATCGGAAGAAAAAAGGGAGTTCCAATTCTGCGTTCGAAAATGCGCTGAATCACTCAAAGCTCAAGTAGACGTAGCGGCCGACGCCAAAACGAGGTAACCAAAAGACAGAACCCTCCAGATGCACCCGGGACCAGAAGAGAGAGAGGAAGAGAGGAAAAGAGATCGAGCAATAGAGAGATAGAACAGAGAAAAAGAGCCGTAGCAAATCATACTCTCGGACGGACCCGGCCCATCACAGGAGAGTACACTGGAGCCGACTGCGATGTCGCTTGTCGGGCCGGAATGACTTTGGATATTCAGGGCCAGCGTCGCGATCACGACCGGATCCGAAGCCCGGCGGGCGACGATCGGCGCCGCGACCACCGGCGGCTTGTTGTCGCTGCACGCGCAGCATCCGAACCACGTCGTAAAAGGCCTTTTCCACATTGATGCAGTTCTTTGCAGAGGCCTCGACGAAATCGCAGCCTAGCTCCTTGGCGAGGGCTTGACCTTCTTGTGCGGAGACGGCGCGCTCGACGGCCTTATCGCTCTTATTGCCGACGAGCATCACGGGGACCGGCATAGCGGGACCGGAGGGATTCATGGGCGAGTTGAGGTAGCTGGGCCCGGAGGGGGAGCCGGAGCTGGAGGATTCCTTGACCATTTTGATTTGGTTGTAAAATTTGGTGATGCGGGAGAAGGAGGCGCGCGAGGTGATGCTATATACCAGGACGAAGCCTTCTCCATCTCGAATCCACTGGTCTCGTAGTGCGGTGTATTCTTCTTGACCCGCTGTGTCCAGCACCTCGAGCATACATGATTGTTGGTCGATGACGACTTGTTTGCGATATGAGTCCTCGATGGTCGGGTCGTATGTTTCGACGAAGTGATTTAAGCACAACTAGAAGACACGAAGACGAGAAATTAGCGTCACATTCTTTGTTTTGCCCCCCTGGATCCCCCTCTCTCGAGTCGCAAGAGCATACCTGAATGGTGAGGGCGGTCTTTCCCACACCTCCATCTCCCAACACCACCAGCTTGTACAACGTCATTTTCCCAGACATGGTGGAGATCTAGTTGAGAGGTCTTAGCAAAGGGATCTCAATCCATCGTCTCTCCCATGACATACCTATAGCTAATTTCAGGGGAAAAGAGGGGAAAGTTCGATGCGCGAGGAGGGGAAAGGGTGAAGTGGCCCACGTTCTAGGCGGGGGGCGAAAAAGAAAAGCGGGAGCTTCCCGATTCACGAACAACCCCCAATTGTTCTCAACAGAGGTCTTAAGGGAAGATCGAGAGAGTGAGAGTGAAAAAAAGAATATGAGAGAGAAAGAGAAAGAGAGAGCGAAAGAGACAGAGGGGGCCAATGTGCGGAAGGTCTCCAGTGGCTGGAACGAAGTGGAGAGAGGGGTTTGGAAGAACTAGGAATAGTAGGATTTAGGGAAGGAAATAGAGGCAATCGAGGCAATAGAGGCAATCTTATGAGAAGTATCAAGTATCAGAAATATCAGGAGTACAATTTGAGAATTGACAGTCCCATCAGTATCCCTGTTCGCCTATCCCTGTTCTCTCTACCTCTTTTTTTTTTTTTCGCTCTTTTTTTTCTCTGAGACTGGTTTCGGGTAGAGAAGTAAAGGCTAAACCTCTTTATATTTTATTTTATTTCACGATTTCCGATTCTCGATGCATGTAGAGACGATCTAGAATATAATAATTCTCTCTAGCGGATATAGGACAGAGAGGGATATAAGGTATATGTGTACTACAAAAGTACTTGTAAGTCATTCGATACTGAAAAGGTGACAGCTCCATGAAGTCATACATTTTTGGAGGAAATTAGCCACTTCGAGTTAGCCCTGATTCGTGAGGTTTCTGAGATCTCGTATATTCTATTCTACTATAATTCTATATTCTATGCTATCCTCTAGATACTCTATTCGATACCTCTTATTCGATATACTGCGTATACCATTGCTCTATACCTACGAGAGAAAAATCACAGCTCCACAACGAAAAGGAGTCAACGCACAGGGCACAGTGGATAACCCGGGTCTCATTTCATTTCAGAAGCTTGTGGGGGAGAGAGCTGCCTTTGTATTTTATTTTCTTTTAAGCGAGACACGATATTGTACCGAAGTAACCCGTTGGATCTTGTCCTCAATGCAATTCCACGTGGTTAACGTTTCCACTTTTTCGACCACTACTACTACTACTAGTATATATATGTATACCCAAGTAGGCAATCTAGGTCGAGTTCAATTGCGATGGACATGAGATCCCCACACCATCTCCAATCTTCCCGAATCGACAGAGCTAGGTTACGCTACGAAAGAAAGCCATGCACGTCGATGGGGAATTTCGTTCTGGAACATCTGGGAACATATGGAACATGCATCACGTCTTTAAAGGTTCAACGCCAGACTCGAACTGGTTAGTGATCGATTTCTTAGATTGCCTTGTTATCTGCCACGTTCTTTCGAGTCTTGGCTTCATTATAGTAGGTAATAGCCATGTAAGTATTAGCCTTGACCTAGGTAACAATCATATAGCCTCTCTTACCGAGTATACCCAACTACCCCGTACCTAGGTATATTGCCTACTCGCCATCCTCCGTAGGTGTGACAGTAGATGGAATTAATGGTCTCCAAACATCCACACATCCACACGACCACCATATTGTCCATTAGGTATGATACACTCCAATGCCCATGTCCACCCACGGAACGGCGCGTAAAAGGTCCCCGGGGATAGATCGTCCCGGGGACTACCAGGAAGGTAAGGTGAACAAGAAGAGGAAGGTGGATATGGGTTGATTTTTAGTATTTATTTTTCTTCTACTGTACAATCTTTGGATTTCAATCAGGATCCGTCTGTTGGTTGGCTACATCTTTCTTTCTTTTCTTTTCTTTTTTTCCTTCTTACGGAATTGGCCAATTCCTCCGAGAAAAAGTTACAAGTTGGGCATCAAGCGAAACTCAATACAACAATTTGACTCCAACTCCTATCTCAGTTCATGCCACGGACCAGGGGGAAATATGAACGCTCCCGGGGGGACGGGGAAAATGCCAATTTGTTCAAGTCCACTTTTTTTCCTTTCCTTTTTCTTTTTGTTCAAATGGATCCCGGGACGGGCCCCGACGGACACTTGCCATTCTCGTTTCATTTATTATTATGATTATTTTTCTCTCCCCATTCACTGTGCATGTGTATCAGTCAGCAAAAGGTAGATGGATAGTGATATTTCGACCATTCATCGCGACTTGACACCAAAATTGTAAGTGATAGACCAGGATTTTGGCCCCTTTTGCCAAGATTGTGGAAGCAATCACAATAATCTGGAATGGTACGCTGAAGGCCTTGTTTCAAGCCCCTGTTCTCACGGAAAAGCCCGGGCCACTGAATTACTGGCTAGAGGAAGCTCTGCTTACCGCGCTAATCGAGGTCATCGAGGCCGTCGATTTGATTGAAGTGACAGGGGTTCGTCGACGGCTCCTCCCGCCCTCGCCGTTAGATGGAGACCTTTAACGGTCCGCTATGGTCTCGTCTCGGTCTGTTTTAAATCTCGAGGCGTAAACACCCTGCTGTTCGTTACGTACGTACCATACCATAGATGCAACATGCAACATAGAACGGCTTTAGTTGTGCCGCCGATACCCGTGAGAAGGGGTTGTAGTTTGTCTGCGACGCGCTTCGGATCGGTAGGGGTACGTCCCGGGAGATTGGACCTTAGAAATCAATCTGGAGTGTTTGAAGTTGGATGTTGCAATTGGAGCCCGATCTTGGCTTTAGGGGGTGATCTTCCAGTCTAATTCGGGCTTTGGGAGGTTCGCATCTGTATATTGGATCATCTGTCCACGTGAAAAACCCACACGGTATCCATACTCAATACAATACTATAGGAAAAGGAGTCAGTTGCCGATCTGTCAATTCGCCGACAGATCCCCGACAGCAAAACCGAAATATGTAGACTTCTTCCTGCGCGTGGCTTAGGATCAATAATGGGACCCTCCCGTTGCGCTATTGAAGAGATCAACGTCATGTGAAACATGCCCAAGCTCAATAATAGAGAGCTCTGGCGGGGAAAGGAGACAATCAAGACCTTTTGTTGCCAAGAGGCTTGCTCAAGCTATCAGGCGTACGATTTAGCATCATTACCATGTTCCCTCCAGAGTCTACTGATGACCCGCGTCAACTATTTGACGCTAATTGACCTAACACACTACGAAGGATGATTTACGATAGTGTCAATAGTTTCTGCCGGAGCAAAATATCTAGCATTTAGGGTATTCGATCAGGTGGGTATTAACACGGCACAGGGCTTTGTAAGAGCGGATATAGTGTGCCGAACCTAGATACATGGGCTTGACGATCTGGTGATTGATGTCCACAATAAGTACATCCTCATCGATATGACATGTTTCAAAGTCAAACATGTACGTCGTACAATCTTTGATCATTGGGCATGACTTCGTATATTTTGGATATCACATTCCCCATTTTTGAGACACCCTAGTACAAAGTGGGCACTCGGTATTTGATAGAGGATGCATAGTTAGTTGACATAGTGCAAGACTAAAAAAGCTTAGTGCGTGTCTCTTCCTGTATTATCCTCTGAAAGGAGAGCATGGGCGATCTGGCTATTGAATAAGCATCAAAAGTGGATTGAGCGTTGCACCTTGGGAAATGTACCTCAAACCCCGGCATATTCAAAAGAAGGTTGAGCTAAAAAGCAGAAACTGAACAGCCATACTCCGTAGCATGCCATGTAAGCTCGACTTTATATGTATTTGGCTCTGGATCTGAGGTCCACCCATCCATCTTGCGCTATAAACAGAATCTCAATTGGTATAAAACATATACTAGTCTACCGGACAATCACCCGCGCTGAATATCATTCAAGTACGCAGTGACCTGCCGAACCAGAATTCGACGCGGCTCCGCCTGATCACTATCACTCAGCGCATGCGAAGCATTAGGAATAACCATACTCCTCGTATCCCAAATCTGCCTCCCACCCTCATCAGCAGCAGTCTGCCATCTCTTCAACAAAGCTTCTTTATTAACCCAAGGAGGAACTGACTGATCCCTTCCAGAGTAAAGCACCAACATCTTCTGTTTCAAAAGTCCCCTCGCGCGAATCATTCCAAACGTCCCCCGAAACTGCTCATCGCTCAAATCCGAACTGAACAAATCATCCTCAGACGGGTTTTCCGGACTATCCGGACTGACTAGGCTCAAAAACCGACGACTGCTCACAGGCGCCGATGGCGGGTACCCGATTCTGGAAGTCACCGAAAGCGGAACGACGGTATCGACCGAGTCATGATCGTCGTACGTTGCGCGGCGGGCATCCGCAACGGCCTTATTGTAGATTTCGCGCATCTTGCTCGGGCTGTCGCGCGCAGTCCCGCATTTCACCACCCACAGAATTCCCTCGCGGTCTGAGACTGGCGCTTGCATGATTGCGCCGTCGACGGGAACCCGCGTGATCGGCTTCCAGTTCCGGTCGAACACCGGGTGTGCCGGGCGCGGGTTCGGGCAGTTGATGTAGTGCATCACGTCTTGGCTGCCGGTCGAGTGGCCCATGATGACTACCTTGCCAGCGCCGAATTGAGGGGTCTTGTATTCGCGGATGTAGGAGACGCATTGAGAGAGTTCGTCGATATCTTTGCCTAGTCGGCCCATGCCCCAGCCGCCGCCTGCGCAGGACAAGATCAGAGAGAAAACGCTCCATTGGGAGGGGTCTAGGGCGCGCACGACATCGTTGAGGTAGTCGACTGAGCCTAGGCTGTCGCCAAGTCCGCCGACGAAGACTAGGGTGTGTGGTTTGGGAACGTGGCTGCGGGTGTATTCGAAGGCGACGAGGGTTTCAGTCTGGGTTGTTAGTGGGGAAGGTTGGTTGGAGGAAGGGGGCCGTACACAGTAGTGGAGGACTCCGGGTTGGCCTCGGGCCAAGGAGGTGAGGAGCTTGAGTTCCATGACTTGATGCAGGGGGTTGACAATGTTCGTCAGATCTGATAAGGTCGAGTTATCAATCTGGACTCGATACCGGGTTGTATTGGCTTACAGATTTTTGCGGTATTTAATCTTGAAAGTATGAGGTCAATAGCGTGATCTGGTATTGTATCATACCATTCCGGCCATCGGGCACTCGTGAATTAAGTGAGGTCCTGTAATTTACCCAGATCTACATGTTGACTTGGGGGACAGGCTCGTTAGAGAAGCAAAAAAAGTGGCACCTGCACAAAAGCCCAGTTCACAATGTATATGAGGTACGGAGGTCTAGGTGCGATTTATGAATGTGTAGATGTGCTGCCATGTTATGTGTTATGTAATTATAGAGATCACGTGAGATCAAGAACCACCTTCCTAGTAAGGAAGTAAATGTTCCCATATCAAAAGCAAAATAAGTAGGATTTCCAACACTCCAAGGACAGTCTGGTACTTAATAACGCTGGGATCTATGGGAATTACTTAGGATCGAAAGGTATAAACAAGCTCCGTCTAGCCTGCCCAGGAGGCCGAGGTCCACCCAGTCCGATTCTAGGCCAGAGAAATGACTTTTTTATTTTTTATTCTGTTTTTGCTCTCATAATAACCGTCACCTTTGTTGCATCTATCATAATAGCCGAGGAAAATTTCTGATCATATCGATTTTGTTGTGTGTGATGAAAGGTACAATAATCAATGGTCTGGCACGATCTAGAATACAGAAATCACAAAACAACTCCAAGATCAGATAGTAGCTTCTGGCTCCTTCACGAGCCCCTCAATAGCAACCGCCAATTCCTCCAACCTCTCCTCCCAGAATTGCAATCTCTCCTTATCAGCTTCAATACCCACAAAGGTCTCTCCACCCTCAGTATAAGAAACAACACGGGTAGGGGTGGCCGGCTCGGGGTGCGGATTCGTATAATCCACGCGCACCTCCGATCCCGCAAATGGCATATCATCGAAATACTCGGTATCATGGTGATGAACAATTGAAGAAAAGAAAGACACCAGAGGCGACCAGCTCGTGCATTTATCGGAGATTTCCTGGAATCCAAGCGTGGCATGTCGACTACCTTCAAGATATTGGTCGCGGATGGTGTCGAGAAGTGTCTTCACCCTCATTCCAGACTCACATTTGATGCGCAGTGGCATATATTGGTATGTTGGGCCCATTATTTTGTCAATGCCAGGCACATCAATGGTGCGCCCTGATACCACACCTCCGAAGGTGATATCTTGCACGTTGAGGTGTTGGGAAAGGACGCGTGCCCAGCTGGCTGTGAGGAGAGTGGCCATTGTTGCATCTGGGGAGCGGGTGGACATGTCAACTGTCTTTTTAATGAATGTTGTTTTTGTGGACGGCTCAGGCTCGGGGAGTGTTGTCAGTCTGGAGCCTTGGAGCATGTCGCGCCAGTAGGCTATGTTCTCGAGCCTGGCGTCCGATTGATATTGGATGAAGTTTGAGAATGGAGGCGACGGGGCAATTTCTTTGCCTTGATATTGGAGATCGAGCTGGCGGAGGAGTTCTGGGAAGGATATTCCGTCGTATTGGGCGTGCGAGATGCGGATCATCAGGCCGTTTTCTTCGGGTCCTTGGATTGAGAACAGACCCAGGGAAGATTGTCCGTACCCAAAGAATGAGTCAATCTCGATGTCCTTCTTGGCAAGACTCTTGCAGTACCATTCCATGGGTTCATCGGTCTTGTGCTCGGAAGCAGATACAAAAAGGCTTTCCAGCACGACTTGCAGCACTTGATCGGATTTTTGAACAAAGACTGTCCGTAGAATCGGGTGCAACGAGACAAGACTGTTGAAGGAGCTGACGAGCCTCTCTAGATCAATCTCCTTCTTCAGGTACAGCATGTTGTATTGAACAGCACTGCGAGGCGCAGAAACAGTAGCTTGAACGTCACGCTCCTGTGGCTCAGTAACCGGCAAAACATCCTGAATTGTCCAGTTGGTATTAGCCAATAACGGCCGAATATTCTCGACATAGAGAGTCTGTATATTCAACTCGTTCAGCAATGAGAAAGGAGCATAGATCTTGGATGGCCGTTTTTCGTCCGTCGACATTTCTTCCAGAGCATCAGCCATCCTTCGTAGCTGCATATTCCGGAAGATATCTGTCACAGACAAGTGATAACCAGCCAGGCGCAAAGCAGAGACCAGCTTCATGGCCATGATTGAGTCTCCACCAAGGCGGAAGAAATTATCATCCAGAGATAGCTTCTCTTCTTCCATGGCCAGAGATTTTGCCCATAACGAACGCAGTGTTCGCTCCTTTTTGGTCATATGGGATACATCCCGTCGTCCTGATCGCAGATCCACAAAAGTGGTTCGTAGCTGCAATAACAGGTCTTGAGTAACATGTTCGGTCATTGATTTGATAGAATCCACATCAATTTGATCACCAAGATACGATAGTTTCACCATGGGTATATAGACAGAAGGAATCATATACGGCGGGAGCATATCAGACAACACCTTGTTAAGACCAGCAATTGACTCAACAATTTCCGTAGATAGAACAGTTGACAGTGGGAATTCTGCAGATGGCGATTTAACCCCCAGATCAACAGCTCGGCCCTCCGTTGAGGGAGTCTCGCTCACAAAGGCAACCAACGTCGGAGACTGGCTACCTTCTCCCTTCGGCACAATCAATTGAGTGGTCACATCAGTGCCTACTGGAAGCGCCTCGCGAAGCTGCACATCAATCGTAGTAAGGTCCATAACATGACCGTCTACTTTTCGCAGGCTCTCTTTTCGACCCATAAAAATGAGAGTTTTGTCATCTGCATACTTGACGAGATCACCAGTCTGATAAACCTTTCCGTGCCGACCAGGAATGTCATCCACACCCTCGGTAAGCCACTGCGGTGTATCGAGGCAAGCTTCATCAACACCCTCCAGCAAAAGCTCACCCGTAGTGCCGATAGGCACTAGCAAATTGTAATCGGAGGGATGCACGATCCAAGGAACAAATGTCGTAGAGTATTTATCTCCGACGGCCAGTGCTTTGGGTTCCCCACGGACCTTGGCAGCAGTCCCTGAGTCCGAGGGCACATCTTTATTCAATTGCCAGATTTCAACCAGCTCTGTTTTATTCAAACCAGCAAGATCGCAAAGCTGCTTTGAAGCTTGAGTACACAGCTGGCCAACGGCGTACTCGAGCTGCACCAGGACACGTCTCATCTGCGGCTCACTGATGAGATTCGAGTCAAAGCTCGCTGTAACGTGGAAGCCGTCTGGGTGCAAGGAACATGCCAGCATAAGTGGGTAGGAGTTGAAGCGGAGGGCCTCGTGCGCTGCATCCTCAACACGGAATGGCGGGAGCTCATCATCGGACTGAATCGATATCTCTGGCTGTCGGGGCTGGATAACGAGTCCCATTTTTACTTCACAGGCAAGCTGAGCGTCGGCGCTGACTCGGCGAATATTCTGCATACCCAGGTGTTCGTGGGAGGATCTCACAAGACCATGTTCTTGGATTGCTTGCAAGAATTCCTGAACTGGGCTAGATCGATCAACCCGGATTCTAACCGGGACTGTTGCAATCATTGGGCCTTCGATTTGCTCAACGCCTGGAATTGGAAGAGTGCGCCCGGCAAAGGTTTCCCCGAACACCACGTCGTCGCTCATGGTGTATTGAGCAGCTACCAAAGCCCAGGCTGCTCGGATGAGGGTTGCAGTGGTAATGTTTGTTCGTTTAATGGGGTTCACTGGGACGAACCTGTCTGCCACTGCATTGGGCTCGGGGATGTACATCCGTGAAGGAAGGGAGGGAAATTGGGGTCCAGTGGCACCTTGGAGCTGCACACGCCAGTAGTCTTTGGAGGACTCTCTAGCGGGATCAGTCAGGTAATTGATGAAATGCTTGAATTCCGCTGGCTGGGAAGTTGGGAGACCTTTGTATGCATTATTTGCATGTTCGACGATCAGATCTGTTGACCAGCCATCATAGATTGCATGGTGAACAGTCCAGACGAAATAGACCTTCTCAAGAGACTCGTCTTGGACGATGGTATAACGACTCAAAGGCATATTAACAGACATCGGAACTGACTTGTCTTGCTCCAAGAATGTGTCCAACCCGATGCTGCTGGACTGCCATACTGGAACCTGGCTAGTGACAACTTGCATGAAGCCATGCTCTTTGAACTCAACAACGCGAGTTCGAAGAATATCACTTTCTTGAATGACAGCACACCATGCCGCTTTCAACCTCTCTGCTATTTCCATGCTAGGAACCTCTGCAACTCGCTGCGCCACATAACTTTTAGCCGAACGAGCTGAGAAAGCCATCAGAATTTCTTGCAATGGGGTACATGGGTAAATATCTTCAATGTACGTATTTTCCACGGCGCATTTCTCTGCGGCTTCTGCGCAAGCAGCATCGACGATCCAGTCTGGGTCAATCAAAGAGAAAGCCGGCACCTCGACCTGCGAGTTTGTCTCTGCCTTTCGCATCGACTTTGCCATATCAGCTAGTACAGGAGAGTCGAAGATGTCTGCGACCGTTAATACGAAGCCCTGCTCCCGCACTGCTGGTACAAGCTTCATGGCAAGAACGGAATCGCCACCAAGGATGAAGAAATTATGAGTAGTACTGACTCGCTCAGAGGTCAAGCTGAGTAGACGACGCCATGTGTCATGCAAGCAAACTTCTGCATCAGAGCTAGGCTTTTGCAAGTCGTCATTGGACGTATCAGGAGAAGAAAGAAGAGTTAATTGGGACCCAAAAGAGCGCAGAGTCTTACGATCTGTCTTTCCAGATACAAGCATAGGCATGCGATCGATTCCAATGTACAGAGACGGAACCATGTAGACAGGAAGTACTTTTCCCATCTCCTCGTCAAGATCCGCCAATTTCTCCTGAATCCCGGCAGAGAACTGCACTTGCTGGATACAATTGTCTTCGCCGCTATCCTGCTTCTCAGCATTCGGATCTGCGACAAACGCCAGTAGCATTGATTCCTTGCTCCGACCTGGTGGAGCAATGACCTCAACCGCCACATCTGTTCCTGGCGGAAGCAATCTTCTGACATGGTATTCAATCTCACCAAGCTCGACGCGTTGACCGCGCAATTTCACTTGCGTATCCTTACGACCAACGAAGACGAATCCGCATTCTCCGTCTGGGTCATACCGGACTAAATCACCGGTTTTGTACAAACGCCCCCTGCGTCCTGGGACTTCCTCACATCCTGCCAAAAGCCAGGTCGGGTCTTCGATGAATGATTCTGCTGTTTTCTGAGGATCTCCTAGATAGCCCTGACCAACAATAGGTCCCTCGACGAGTAACTCTCCCACGCCTCCAATCGGCGTGAGTTTATTGTGATCATCTGGATCAACAAGCCAGATAACACCACCATTACCAGGGCCGATACTGACATATGGCTTGCCCGCCGCGCTGGAATTAATCGTACATCCAACGGTACATTCCGACGGACCGTACCCGACCACAATTCTAGTAAGCTTTCCCCACTCCGAGACATCGCCCACAGAACACGACTCGCCGCCGAGACCGAGACTGTGCAATGAGGGAATAATGTCAGGGTCCAGAATGCGCGCGACGGAGGGTGTCATGTTTGACATGGTGACACCCATCCTGCGGATCACACCACTTAAATCGTTTAAGCGGTCTTCATCTGAGGGAATGCATAGACATCCTCCACGGAGCATGGTGCAGAGCATGCTGTCGACGCTGACGTCGAAAGCATAGGACGCAAAATCGAGGACCCGCGATACATCCGTGTATCCGACTGCGGCACTTCGTGCAATCGCACTGGTGGTGTAGGTGGCATGATTGATAATGACACCCTTTGGCTTGCCAGTGCTGCCCGATGTGAAAATAAGGTAGAGCATTGAGTCGGTAGGCACGGCTGGGAGATTATCTTGAGTATTAGCCATTTGAGACAGGTCATCCAGTTCATCCTGCGCGACGACCACGGTCTGAGCACCGGGTGCGATCTTTTCGCCAAATGGAGCGTGTGCCGCTGAAGTCACGATTAACGTCGCATTGACCTGCTCGGCGATCGTCTGACGTCTTTCAAGCGGTTGACTCGGGTCCATTAGAACAATGGCACCTCCAGCTTTAATAACACCCAAAACACCAACGATAGTCCATCTTGATTTCTCAAAGCATAGTGGGACGATCTGGCCAATTTTGACGCCGAGACTGACCAGATAGCGTGCGATCAGTGTAGAGTATTTTTCAACCTCCTCGTATGAAAGCTCTCCATCCCAAGAACAGATAGCTTGAGCAGTTGGCTGTCGCCGGACTTGCTCCGATATTAATTCTTGTATGCAAATGTCCGCTGATAGGGGTAGATCTTTGTTCCAACGCCAGATCTCGGATCGATCAGTGTCGCTCAGCTCGAAAATAGTCGAGAGGGGAGAAGAAAGCTTAGACAAGGTCTTGTTTAGGATTTCGACAAATGCGCGCGCAAAGTGTGTCGCAATGTACTCCGCCCCGAGGGGTTCCCGCCAGCAGGGGCGCAGCCATAAACTCCCCTCCGACATGGTCGCCTGGAGTTGAATATTTCCCTGTTGGTATTTGTCAATAGGCTATTCGATTATCCAATTGTTTCAAATCTTACCCAGGCCATTCCCCCACCAAGAGCATCACCATCACTCACTCGCGCATTGCTGGACAGATCGCGGGGCACACATTCATCATTGAAAAACACAATCGCACCATGCAGATCAACCAGACTTTTAGCATTTACTTGCTCGCGCGACTCCGCAACGCTCTCCAAGGCAGTGGCAATTGCAATGGCGGGGCTCCATGCCGCACTCGCCGTGCTGAAGTCAAACGTGAAGTCTGCACCCGTTCCATTTCTCCCCCACGTAAACTCAACATGGTTCCCATTGCTGTAGCGATACAGCAACAGTGCCCAAGCAAGCAACAGCAGATCGACCTCGTGACCCTGGAACTCGCTCTTCCTTAGCAGCGGGACATTGAATTGAACGAATCTGGTCAGCTTCTTTGGTTTCTCGTTCTGAGTAGACAGAAAGGCACCGGCCATGGCGGGACTGTGATACAAGATGAGTATGCAGAGGCAAGCTTGTCCCTGCCGATCAGATCAGACATGACTTCTCAAGATCAGCTTGATAAGCAGGTACGCCGATCGACGGCCAGTTTGGGAATGCACATGTTTTCTGCGTCACCCGGAACTGCCACCTCCGTTTCATACAGTATTCTGTCTTCAGCTTTGGATCCACTGAGTCAGGTGTGTGGTGGGTTGCCTTTGCCCTGGTGCCAGCAGGTGGATGTACGTAATTTTGGATGCAAGGCCGTATGTAGTGTTGTATAGAAAGTTTCATACTGGTAATATATTACAGTACTTGTTTTATATTTAATAATTCTGAATGTAATAAACTTTACAAACTTACAAATATATCAACCCTGTAATTTATAATAAGAACTACATACGTACGATTAAAATTCCGCACACCTGCGGCCCGTCCTCCACACTGTTGCGTAGTGACTCCACTTTACAAGGAGAGACTATGTGAATAGTAATATCATAGAATATTTTTAGAAGGTATTGAATGTGAATTTCTCGATAACGCGGAGAATAGAAAGATACTCAGCAAGCAAGTCATAGACAGAGTTGAAGACAAAAATCGCATGTTAGGGCTGTCTAAACCGAGTTTATACTCTAAGTTTGAGGATAACTGTATCAGGTAGAAGATCGTCTTGCTTACTCCCTCTGCCAAGCGGAGCAAAGATCAGCCAAAATCACCCGGTATATCTTCGGGTTTCTTCGTGTATGTGACGTTATGCGTGTATCTTTGATTTGGATATACGTATACAACGTACTCAAATGGATCCCATTGATCTACCTATCTCTTTCCTTCTATGACTGATACTCCGTTCAACTCAGCCTGTATGCATGCGAAATAGGACAAGGCCACGGAGTCTTCCCGAATCATATGTGGTCGTGGAAAACCCGGACTAATTTCGTTTATCTGATTTCATATAAGTCCCGCAGACCAGCTGGATCTGATTAGAATCCATCAAATCTGCACAATTTCATAATGGCTCCCATTTCCCAGCCATTGGCTGTGACCAAAATCCGCCTCCCTCACCCTTACCTGACTACCTACAATCTGTCCTTTGCAAGCGCCACCATTGAAGGAATCGGTTCTTTTCAACTGCGCAAGACCGACAATGCGGAAGCACAGACTATGCCCCAAGCCTTGCACAATGACAATCTCCACTTCACGGCACCGCAACCTATAAGCCCCCAGAACGATATCCCGGCATCAAACAACACCGCCTGGGCCCGCGCGCAAAGAAGCCCCTCTGCTATTGCGCGCTGGGAAAGCAGCGTGGCTCCATCAGTCGGCCAGATTTGGTTGTACCTCTACACGATCTTTACCGTGCAGGAAGAGACCGAAACCTTCCGTCTCAAGCTACAAGGTCCCAATGCCGAGAGTCTCGCGCACGCTCTGCGCCTTTCAATGGTAGCAACGGAACACCCACCACCTGTCAGCTCCGAGATACTCTTCAAGCCCACACCGAATGAGCTCCTCATTCTCCGCAGCGCTTTCTGGCAAGGCTGTGCCTCCCCACTAGGCTCGCAGCCGATCTGGCTACCATCGTGGAACCCAGCAGCCTCCGTGCCCCTCCTAGACTGGACCATGACATCCACAGAAGCAATGCACAGACGGCACCCCCGTCGCCACCCGAAGCCTACTCCCGGCGGGGTCGTGTACAGTCGCTACATCCCCTTTTTGGACGAACACTTCTCGCTCGTGGCGTTGGACTACCGCAACCGGGAACACCTCAATCTCTTCCACACATGGCAGAATGACCCACGCGTTGCGGCAGGGTGGAAGGAAACCGGGACGCTTGATGAGCACCGGGAGTACCTGCGCAAGCAGGACGAAGATCCACATACACTCACTGTTCTCGGGAGGTTCAACGAGGAGTTCTTCTCGTACTATGAGATCTTCTGGGCGAAAGAGGATAACGTGGGTGCGCATTATGCTTCTGGGAACTTCGATCGTGGGCGCCATACGCTTGTTGGCAATGATAAGTTCCGCGGACCGCATCGCGTTATGGCCTGGTGGCCTAGTATGATTCATTATTGTTTCCTTGATGATCATCGTACCGAGAATGTCATTGGTGAGCCCATGAATACTAATGATAAGGTACTTACTTATGATTATACTTTTGGGTTGCATCAGGATCAGGTTATTGATCTTCCTCATAAGCGGGCTAGCTTGGTTAAGGTCACTCGGGAGCGGTACTTCCAGTTGTGCCCATTTAACCAAGTTAGTCCGCACATTGCGGGTACGGGGTTGGGGTTTAAGCCTCGTTTGTGAAGTGCGACGAGTTTTGCTGTACAATGTATATAGAAAATGGATGTATGTGTTTTTCGGTTTCATATCACTTTTTCCTTGCTCGGTCTGATGTAAGACGATGAAAAAATTTCACGCTGGTTCGAACTTGATAAAAGAGCTAGTTGTAATCCAACCTATAGTACATCTAGATATCACATTACATAAAATATATAGATTGCCAAAGAAAGCCTGCTCACTCCTCAGAAGTCTGACTGAGAACTTACTCCGATAACGAGAACTTACTTCGATAACTCTTAAAGCGCGCAAATAACTAGTTGTAGTCCTCGATTCTAGATACATTCTCAAGACCCTACTGCGAAAGCTTCTCCGACTCCGCATCAAGCGCACTAGCAGGCTCATCAAAAGTAAGTAATCAATCTGGGCTTTCGCACGAGCGCACGAGCGCATAGCAACCTCCAGCCGCTGCTTTTGGTCACTCGATAATTTGCTTCCGTTCGTGCCACACATCTTGTCATAGCCTGCGGGAGGTCGATGATCGTTTCGTCGATGTTCAATAGCTTGCAGGCTTCCTCGATCTCGGGGTCTGAGACTTCTGTTCCTGGACGGACACCGAGTGATACGTTGAAGTGTACGCTGTTTTCGAAGAGGATGTTTTCTTGGGGTATATGGGCAATGTTACTTAGGAGTTTTCCCGATTGTGGCGTTTACCACTGACCAAACTTGGAGCTATACTTCGATTCGATTCTCTAGGTCTTCGGCCGATACCGGATTTCCTCCTGCCGCAACTATATGGCAAGAAAAGTCTGATTACATCGGCTGATTGATAAATTAGTGCTCCGTTGGTAGTGGATAACTCATGAAACTGTGTACTGACGAAAAATATTGTACAATGTATAGGTAATCATATCAGTATATTTTACCCTGGTATCAGCCTGTATTTACGTACGATACGCTTTCGTATCGCCGATCACTATCAAGCTTTTGACCCATAGGCGACGTAACTGCCCAAAAGGCTTGCTCACTATAAAACTTCACTGTATCCTTGGCAGTCCTTTTCTTCTTATATCACATCACCACATATTAATGTCGGTTTACACAAAAATTATATATGGACCGCCTTTGCGAGATGTACGTCGCCTGAAGTAAAATTAAGGCCATCAAAGTTCCAAGGATTGGCAAAAAAAGCAACCAAACTGGCTCCAAAGTCAAAATTATCAGATCGAACCTTGTTTTCGATTACTTCGTGTACTTCGTTTAGCGCGGAATGAATTATTTTTTGTTTTATCAATATTGCAGATCCAATCTTGTAATAAACATTCTGTATTCCGGGACCCCCGTATGCCATATGCAGAAATGTACAGTAGATGCTTTTGAAACTCACAAAATATACGTGGGTCCTTCCCATGTATGGGTATCGTAGCCAGTACGATGTATTGCCTTTTATGAGAGAATGGCGGCATCCTGAACGCCGATATTTAGGAAGCTTTCCTCCAAATTGGACACTTACAATCAACTCTCATCACCATCCCTCTCTACAATCATGACTCAACTCTTGAAGAGACAACCACCACCCCAGACATATGGGATGGTTTCATTTCCAGCATCACACGTGATGCTAGTAATCTTCAACCGACCCAAAGCCCTGAACTCCATGACAAGCAATGGCCAATACGAACTGGAATCTCTATTCGCATGGTACGACGGAGAGCCCTCACTACGCTGCGCTATCGTCACGGGCGCCGGCCGCGCCTTCTGCGCCGGAATGGATCTAAACGAATGGAACCAAGCAAATGCGCGACGAGCACGGGGCGAGCACGAGGCCCAGCCCATGATGCCCCGGTCAGGGTTCGGGGCATTATCCCGACGGCATGGGAAAAAGCCTGTGATTGGGGCGGTGAATGGGTTGGCTTTCGGTGGGGGGATGGAGATCGTCGCGAACTTGGATTTGGTTGTTGCGGCACGAAGCGCCAAGTTCGCTCTTCCGGAGGCGAAACGAGGTGTCGTTGCTATGGCTGGTTCGTTGCCTAGATTGGCGAGGACAATTGGTCGCCCTCGAGCCACGGAGTTGGCACTTACTGGGAGAAGTATTACGGCAGCTGAGGCTAGAGAGTGGGGGCTTATCAATCTGGTTACGGAGGACGCGGGAGATGAGTGTGAGATTATGGAGAGGCCGGTTGTCAAGGCGGCGCTGGAGTTGGCGGCTAGTATTGTGGACAATAGTCCCGATAGTGTGATTATCAGTCGCGCTGGAATTGTTGCTGGGTACGAAAATGGGAGTGCTGAGAATGCCAGTCGGCTCTTGAGTGAGAACTGGGAATCTGCGCTTGATGAGGGACAGAACTTGCACGAAGGTGTGCTAGCGTTCGCTGAGAAGCGATCTCCGAAATGGGTCGACAGCAAGCTGTGATATTCTTTTCACTATGCATGATAGTCAATACTATATGTAAATAACCAAACCAACAAGATTGTACAGAATGTTTTTTGTTTTCGGTCTGCGCGTCTCAGTACACACAAAATCTAGATCGCACTGTAAAACTCAATTCCAGCCTCAATTGTTTGACTTGGCTTGGCATTGTACAACAATATACCTATCGTGTTCACTATTCTCTAGGTTTTATATAGCTAACTCTGGCTTGTTCCTCAAATCAGATAAGCAAACTAAGTTTGCTGATTAAATTTATCAGATTGTCCGCTGGAATCAAGATAAAATGACCTTCTTTTTTTCCGTACAATATTTACGGAGTACGGAGTAGTCTGGTCTCATCAGTTCCACTTCAAAGGGTCGAATATTATTTTTCCAATTTCTTACTGACATTGATCGTCAAAGATCGACTGCTGATTAAGCGGCATTGATGCTCGGAAACTCCGCGGGCTATTTCGTGTCCTCAGTAGCATGTTTTCCGTTTTTCTAGAGTACAAGGTGTGGAAGAGTAACATCCCGACAAAAGCCACGAACATAAGTTGACTCTGATGTACGATATTGTAGTGTACTCCAGAGTGCGTGTTCATTGTCAATGGGGTTTCTTGTCCAGGTAAGCTTAAGATTAGCGTCAGCACCTACCAAAGAAAGATTTGTCCGAAGAACCCACTTGGCTTCAGTGGGCCCATTCCACTGCAAAGCCGTTCTGGGCTCTGATATCCCCTAATTTTACGAAGTATACGAAGCATACAAGGTGGAATTTGGTTTGGATTCAATCTATACGTCTCACATTGTGGCTACTATATATTGTCACTATTATTGGACGTTTAGTGTTTTCAAACTTCAAGATATTCATGGAAAATTGCTGTGCACAAAAAAAGATACCTAGGTAAGAATACATGATTTATAGCCCCTCTAAGGGCCCCCAGGATTTGAAGGAAGACTTGTGAACATAAACAAACAATAGATGACCCTTATGTATTTGCTTAATCCACCAGCCCAGTGGATCAATTGAGTGAAACACATGGTATGTCGTACCACCAGACCAGGGCTCTGGAGCTGAGCACCTGAATGCGTATAAACTGTATTACCAATACCGGTAATCATAAATCGCTGCACTAAATACAAGCTTGTACAAGATTCGTGTGCAGATCTCATCTTGGCAGGGTCTAAGTAAGGATTCAAGTCCACTTCGCTTGGATAAATTTAAATTTTCTCTACGTGAAAGTCGAAAAATTTATGATGTTCCACGATTCAGATTTCGATAATCTGATCTTTTCCGTGCCTCGCCTATCAAACTATGAGCCGAAGGCGTTATCTGATCGGGAGATTGAGGGGAGATCTCGACTAATGCGAATGTGAGAAATGTTGACGCACGCTTTGCAGACTGTTAAACGTGGGTCATGTAATCCTCACAATGTTTTACAGCCACTCTATTGATCGAGTGGTGTACAGAGAGACTCCAATGGAAGATCAAGTAGTTTTGAAGATACCTAGGTAGCTATACGTCTGCCGGGTGGTGCTTTCCTATCTTGGCTGCCGCCGCTTTAATAAGCACTCAGTCCACGCTCAGTCCATACCCAATGAAGCCCTTTGCCCCAAACTTGTGTTTATATGTGAGATACTTTTTGATAGCCATCATATCTCACCGTAAGCCTAGTTTTTTGAGGTGCACGATCTTTCAATCTCGTGCCCCTCTCAAATTGTAACACACGAGAGCACGATGACACAAATTAGAAGGCACGGAGTACATCTATCACAGGACGGCGTTAGATAAAAGTCCTCGGTCATATCAAATTACTGAATCATAAATTGGTGGAATTATTTCCCTAATACAAGCCTCCAAGATAGCTTTCACCTCATTCTTTAGCTCTTCAGTATTTTGCTTTGCATTGTGTAGAAAACACTTTTCTCTGACCAGGTCGTCTTCACCTTCTAGCCAAAGAAGGGACGTCAGAGATACGAAAAGCCTTTCCTCCAGCAAACACCCATATGAAGTCAACTAGTCCAACTATATCTAGTTTATCTTTAAAGACCTCGTCGGGCTGTTTCTCCACTGCATCAAGGTGTATTGGAATGCGGCGTTAAAAGTTTGGGCATTCGGCCAAACCTGACTTCTGAACCCCCGTACGGCCACCCATTGCGCTGTCAAAGCTTAATAGAATCGTTCATAGCCGGATTTTCTTTCTTCTGGAATCGTTTCCTTCGTGCATCAATCAGGAATTCCAGACGGTTTGGGCATATCCCTTTCGCTGGCCGATGCCACCGTGGTATCCGCTTAATCCACACCGGACGTAAACGAGAACTGAAGTCACATAGGCTTCGTTTATGGCTTTATTCAGGTAATAGCAAAGAATAGACGCATTCCATGCCATCGGGATACTGTATCCCAAACAACCTCATCTAGTATATCCTTGCAGTGTTCCGTAAGTTCCAGCATATTGAGATGCCAACTGCGACGGGCGATATTCCTGGAGTTGATGGTGTGCTGTAAAATTCAGATGAGAGATGGCCATGCATATGGACAGCTTCAAGATCATGCTGATGTTGAGAAGCATGTGACTGTATCTCTGTCAGACAATATCATGTTGATGATGCTCTTATGGTGATGGAAATAAAAAATTTTAATCGGACGCTAGTCGCATCAAAAACAAAAAGGGCCATTACCACTGGCTTGACCGGATAATTGTTTTTGTATACAACAGCTAATCCAATTGAAATGGCACTGAAGTCGATTTTGTGAAAACACAGAAACCATTCCCCTATCTTGACGACCTGGAAGCCTGAGGCCACAGTGCTAGTAAATACGTCATTGCAATGTCACCCATCTCTACACCCAAGAAGCAAGACAATGGCAATGGTTGCTCTTCTTGTTTTCAATTGTGCACTTAGACATTCAGAGTGACTAGTTCTTGATGTTTCGTGAAGTTGCCACCCAAATCTGAAGCTGGCGACTTTTCTTCCGGAAGTGTCGCCCACTTCGATCTAATGATCTGCACGTAACCATGATTTCCGCCTAACATTTTCTCTTGTTTGACTCAATCATAAATTGATATCAAGTTTTCGAGTCCAGTAGCTTGAGTAGGTGTCATATTTTCAAGCGAAACTTGATTTTCTGGGGAATGTGACATCTTTGAATCTGGAACCCAGCGAGCTCAAGGACCGAGATAACGTAACAATGAAATCAGACCAGAGCTTTTGGTTTTTCACCAGCTCTGTTTTATTTTTATTTTTATTTTTATTCTCAATCCTTGAAGCCCTATATTTTTAGTTTCAATCATAATCTATCTGTGGCTGCATTTTTGAATTCATTCATCAGATTCGACTTACGACCATGAGCTACCTCCGCCAGTCAGTTTTACACCCACCAATGCCATGGCCTCACCGGCTCGGAACTATTAGGCTTCAGCCAGCTCGGACAAAGACTATTCAGCGATCTATGGCTACCAGTGGACCGGAAAGGCAGCAGGCTGTTCCCCGATGGTGAGTCTACCTACATGCCCATCTCCTCCCTTGATGATCTCCTACTTACGCTCTTCTTTCACTAGGTTAATAGCCTCATTTGGACTCGGCCTGCCGATATCCTTCTACTTTTGGCAAAGAGGTGGCAAACAGAATCCCAAGACCAATGTAGTTCGCGAAGAACATAGGGAATCAGCACGGGGAGCCAATCAAGAGTATACAGAGGACGATGATAAGGTTCGTTACTTGCTCAAGAAATCGCTCAACTTCTCAGCTGCGATTCGTCCTCCTGCTTCTTGCAACACGTTTCTAACTATCAATAGCCTCGAGGAATGGGCTCTGCGGGTGGTCCAAAGTCCATGTCGTTCAAGCAGGAAGGTCTTTCGAATGCCGACGCCATGCATCCATATGTCAATGAGCCCGGAAAAAGCAAAAAGGGGGAGGGGGAGACTGAGACTGTGAAGGTAAAAGGTACTGTGAGAACCGATAGACCGCAGGTATAATGTACAGAAAGGATATCTCGATATTTAATGAGAACGCACCCCAGATTATTATGATTACCGATAGAAGGCAAAAAGGCATAGATACATAGACTTTGCAATGCAGCTGATGATCCGGTATGGGAATGCTTGATTGCTTCAAGTGGTGAGACGCGTGTATCATTTGTAATTTGGCAAATTTCTGACTATATAGATTATCACATCGCCATGGGCAACACCTAACCGCATAAATCATCCCTTTACGGTCGAACCTGGCTCAAAATTATGCTATCGCAAACAACTCTACCAGAGGATATCTCTGAGTTGCTGAGAATATGACTGAAATTGGTCTATTGTCTGCTGCAAGACTTCGGTTCACAGCTTCGAATGTGTATATCAATTGATCATTTCCATTGCCGTACACAAAGCGAAGCTAACTATACGGATGCATGTACCTACACCTACTTTGGAATTTCACTCTAGGGGTTTTATTTAACACAACCCATAGCACTCTTTCAACTAGTCTATTCTCATATCAATCCTACTTGACTCGATAGAGCGTACCACGGAATACAATCCATCGTTTAGGTCGAGGTGGTCTTGTCACTCGTCTCATCAGCCTTTGACTGCGAGGAATTAATATCACAGACAGAACTGCAATTCCGGAACATAACCCGAATGGACGGCATATGCATCGGAATACCACAGCCGATTCACAAATACAGACAGGCCTAGCTGGATAATCACAAGTTGTTTGAATGACCGCATGCTAGTCAGAATTTGGATGATGGCAAAATCAAGACAAAGTGACAAACGGCACACACAAATACCCATATCCGCAGACCATCCGCCCTTGATCTGGACATTGATCCAAGGATTGCAACACCTGGAGTTTCGGATAAGGAATAAAGAAATCACAAGCGAATACTGCCAAACACTTGGTATGGGTGATAATTGCGCTAGAACTGGCTTCTTCTATGAGGTCGCACAAACGCCTCTCATCGGGGCAATGTCAAGAGCCACGACGGGGTACGCAGTATTTATACTCTGAGTAGGGCGTGCAAAAGCCTCACTATGAGTTTTCAATGACTAGATAGGTGGTGAGACATGACTGAACTCCAAATGGAGGTAACAAAACACCCGTTGTCTGCTCTCAATTATGTTGTATACGGCTGTGATAAAGCTGTGCAAGTCGTCATATAGATGCAAGATCGAATAGCACCTACCTTTCAAAAGGAAAAATTTCTGATCCCTCAGACCTGCCACCCATTTCGCAAATCCGCCGATGTTCTCACATTTCTGTGATGTTCCCAGTACTCTGGACCAAGATTTTAGATGAGCCGGAGACGACTTGGTCTTTCGTAAAACATAATTATTGGTTCATTCAAATCTTGCATACGTAAATCGAAGCATGGAAGGAGGCATTGACTCGATTCATCCTTCGAGAAGAATCTCTCATAGCACAGATTGACCTGTCTCAATCCCAAATCGTCGAGCCACCTCCACAAATCCACCCGAGTCGACATCAACCCACATATCAACCCAGCCCTCAGCCTTCGCCTTGGCAACATCCACTGGAGACCACGCCTCCTCCAAATAACGTTCAACAAAGATAGTCTGGAACCCACAATCCTTGGCCCCCTTTAAGTCCTTCAAATGAGCAGCAACCATAGCACATTGACCGGGCTCATAGCCATGTTTCTCTGCAGCACCCTTATAAACCAGCGGCGAGGGCTTATAAGCGCCGAAATCCTCTGCACTAGTCAAATGCTTAAACGGCAAAGAGCCATGGGTCTTCAAATCCCGCAACAAGGAAAGATTCCCATTCGACAAAGTTGACGTCTCAAATCGTTGATTCAACATTTCCAGCCCCCGCGCACTATCCGGCCATGGGTTCAACCGGTGCCAGCTGAAAGAGAGTTCCCACCGCTCCTCGTCGGTAAAAAGGCCGTCCAAACCGTGTTTCTGGAGAATTTCCGCGAGCGCCCGGTAGTGGTGCTGATCGACGGACACGAATTCAGTTGATGGATCAAACGTACTGGTAAAAATGCCGTACGATAATCGCCATTGTTCGGCAATTGCTAGCCAGTCGTGAAAGGTCATGGCTGAAACACGGGCCCGTAGGTCGGCTGAGAGGTCCTTGCGTGCGGCATGCAGGGAGGCCGTGCTCAATTCTTTTGTGACGCTTGTGCGCCACTCGACTACTGTGCCGAATGTGTCGAAGAATAAGATCTTTGGTGGGTTTGACATTTTGCGGGGGTATTGGAGTGGAAGGTAATTGAACAGTTGATAAGTCGCTTATTATCTTTTCCCCGCATTGGGACTTCAGTTGCCGAAGTGGAATATCCACAGAGATGAGGTCCTAAATATGATGAGTCTATTGACTTGCATGTACTAACTATATATCACTTATCATATGTCCGCTTGTAGTTGATTAGTAAGAACCGAGGTTAATAGTTTCTCCAGATCTAACGGGCTGATAGTTCTGGCGAAGGGGAAATATCAGCCTTGAAATCCAGTGACTTGTAAGACCTATGAAATTTTATATTGTCAAGGGTACACTCTCGTACGTTTAGCAGAGATCGTACTTTGAGTAGAGAGAATGAAGAGAATGAAGAATGTGAGAACATTCTGCCTGTTCCTTTTCCGCCCTTCTCTCACCTCAACATCCAATATCATTCTAAATATTAACAATTTCATTGCTTTTGCTTTTATCAATATCACTTTTCATTGACATCTTACTCCCTCGGTTATCCTCAATCTTGAAGATTCATCAAAAAAGCTTGATAAGAAACTCCCGTCCAGTCGTGCATGCACTATCATCCAACATCTGCGCCTCCAAGACTAGCTAGCCTTGCCACTAGCGCTGTCAAAACAAAAGAAAAAAAGAAAAAAAGAAAAAGAAATCCCTCGGCTCCAACTTTCAAGGATGGAACCTGTCAACGGGCCGTCTGAATCACGTTCAAAGCAGCAAAAGAAAAAAAAGTACGCATGGGATATGATAGGGTGGAGAATATGGACGGAGTTTGGTTCGCGGAGACTGTTACTCCTTCGCGTGTTCCCCCGTTGCTAGTCCAATTTCCAACTCCCTGCTCCGTACTCTGGTCCTTTCTTGACGGGGTACACCGGACAAAATAATTGAGAGTTATTGTCAATAACCATTGGCTTGCATTCTTGACATGTTACGCCACTCCAACCACATATGCGACCAGAACCTGCATGTCCAAAACGCTGAATCCAGACCCGACAGACCCCCCAGCAAACCCCAAGGCCTGACCAGCAATATAATTATGGGGCACAAATCCAGGTACGTTCGCGTACCAGACTTCATAACCCAAAACAATAAGAGTTTGGTTCTCATTTCCGCCGAAGTGGGTGCTTGTTTTTTTTATTGTTTTGAAGCTCTCGGTGGAGACCTTGAATGGATATCGCCAAAACATTACCCCTAATCTCAATTGTTACTTCTGGACAATTGTTACCGTCCAAACATCACAAAGAGGCGTCAAGGGGCGTTGCGCAAATAAGCAACCTCTCGCTGCTGCATATGCAATTCTGAAACACCGGCCACCATAGGCTCTCTCATGCAATGAGATTACCTTCTGGCGATCGTCCATGTATGCGCTACTCAAACGCCAACGAAGGGGCCAATTTAATTCTGTTTTCAAACACGCTAAGTCATTTCCCCATTTTTATTCAATTTGGCTAATATTACTCTGTACTCCATAATGACTTCAAACTTGATATCATTGGACGTTACGGAGTCTTTCTTAAAAAAATATTCTCGTCATTCATTTGCCAAATTTGGATGAATGCCTTTCTCCATAAATACTATATACAATCATTATACAAAAGAATAGGGGGTGATCTTCCCTTGCACAGAAATGAGCTTCGCAATATATCCGTCCTTCCGCGCAGTGGAACCCTGAGACACGAACACCTTGTGTACAATATCGTACTATTGTACCCCAGGACGTCAATCTAATCTCGACTATCTCGACTCTTTTCCCTCTCCCAAGCATTCCGATGACTCGATGTCAATAGTTCGCTCTCAAAATTGCATCGGCTCCAGTTTAATCTTTTAACCTTTCTTCGTCTTTGTTCCTTTAGAACGTGCACGAATAGCCTGACAGCTTCAATCTCCACCAATCCCTTGTATTTGGTCGCAACACCCCTTGTCGCGTACCTTTGTAGACTCCTCGATCTTGCGAACAGACCACGATAACTATATATAGTTATACCCTTAAACAACTCTTATCCGAATTGAGATTATATTCTTCCGAATCAACACCGAACCACCGTGCGTCCGTCCTGGCAGCTACAGTGGAGTAATCCTGCGCGTAGGCTAATCGGGTGGGTTTTTGGCTTCCCCATGTCGCCCCCTAACGAACACCCCTGACGCTTTTTTTTTTTGTGAAGGCGCAGTCGCCTCCAAGTCTCCTCGCATCCGGCGCACTTCCGATATGCGTGCCGCAAGGCTGATCTCATTCTTGAGGTAATCAATTCAAGTCTTAGCGGACTCGTTTCAGATAGGATCTGGAATCTCAAGATCGTCGTCTTTTCGGACTGATCAATTTTCCTCTTTCACTCTCTCTGTCTCTCTCTCTGTAAGTAGAATTAACCGCCGTGCATATTCAAATCTCGGCATTGGGCTCTGAACTACATCCCACGCATTGTAACGGTGGCTGACTCGTTCCACAAAGTTTCACAGGGTCCCAACGTTCAATTACTGTATACGTCCCTCCCCCTCCACATCTTGGATGTCAATACTGTGAACCCTATTCCCGATACACACCATATTAACGGCTTCAACGGTTATCGGATGATATAAGTACGTGTATATTGATGGGATCTGGTGCGTGACGTGCTCTGGTTAGCACAAGCCTGGATGCTTTGAGGCTTCCCAGTACATGCGCAAGAGATGGCAGACTTGCAGTCCCCGGCCTCGATGGGCCCTTCTCCGGTACCATCCAGCGATCACAGATCTCGCGCTCCACCAAAAGCTCGTTCAAAATCAAGACCTTCGCGCAGACGAGATTCCTCCCCGTCCCCCGGTCCGCCTTCCTCTCCACCTGGTCTCCCAACGCCCGCATTCTCCCCGGACGGTCAAACAGACGAAGATGATCTCGTTGAAGAAACTTTATCACCCTTTGACGCACGTAGGATCACCCCAACTCTCCATGCGTCGCTGGTATCAGAGATCCTCTCGCTACGCCGGGAGGTGGAAAACAAAACCAAGGCCATCGATGGACTGGAGGAAAGCTTGGACGAATCAAGGACGGAAAACGAAACGCTATCCAAAAGTTTATCCCAGGTGACCCGGGAAGGACGCTCGTTGAAACATCAAATCCAGCTGTTGGAAGGCGGGACGTCATCTGCGATGGCCGAGCTGGCCCGGGAGCGCGACGAAGCGGTCCAAAACATCGGTGATGTCCGTAAAAAGCTTGAGCAGGCACAAAAGAAAACTCGGAATCGTGAAGAGGATCTCGAAAACACGCAATTACTCTGGAACCGTGATCAGGACTCCTGGGCGGATGAACGACGCAAATTGGAGCGCAAGATCCATGTTGCAGAGGGCCGTCTGAAAACTGTGTTGAACGAGGTCGCAGCCGCCCAGGAAGTCGCAACTCTCCATTCACATTCGCAACCGAGCGAAAATGGCGATGCCGATAAAGCTAAGGAAAGTGACTCCGCTAGTATCGCGTCTAGTAGCTTAGGCCGCAGGCGTACCAGTGTGACCACCCTCAGCTCAGATGACGGCGAAGACCAGGCCCAGTTCCGTAATGTGCGGTACTCCGTTATAAGTATTGCCCCTGGATTTAATAACAGCTCTGGGTTGAATTTGGCTGAAGAACTCGAATTTGATGAAGAGGATGAGTTTGTCCCATCCGACGATGAGGTTCCTTCCTCTCCAGAGGCTCTTCCTGAGGAGCGTCCAATGTCAGTTCACTCACAGGCATCGCATAGCATCTCTTATAAAGCAAGGAAGCTTTTGGGTCTTTCTATGCAGAGCTCGGAATTTCCCGTTACCGCGGATATCCGTGCCAGAGATGTCGAAACCGATAGCCCCATCAAGTCGCCCAAGGTGGCAGTCGAGTCTCGCGATATTGGGATTCAGTACTCGCCTCCTCCGTCGCCCACAATCGCGGCGACCGCCGTGGAGATCCATGTTTCTGGGTCGACACATGTCCCAGGATGGAGAAACGAGAATACAGAGGCTACAAGCAGCCCTGAGATGAAGGATACTGCAACACTCACAATTGCAACCGAGATGGTCTCTTCCGCTTGCCAGACTGTGGGCGAACCCCCGAGTCCCCGTGGACGCCCAAGGTGACCGACTCAACCCCGAGGTCAACTCAGCCCACCCCAGAGCCGGCGCAAATGACATCGGCATCCACTCAGACCGATGTTGCACCAGGACCGGAAGTTCCCCAAAGCCAAAAGCGTACCAGTTTGTCGCCGAATGATGTCCCATCTCAAATGGACATTCCAGTAATCACCATTCACGCCCCAGGCTCAGAACCCTCCTCCCCTCGAAACAGCGTGGTTCTTCCGCCGCAAACTAAGAATGTTTCATGCCAAGCCAACTTCCGATCAATTGCTGATTGCCGATCTGTTGCCATTCAAACCGAGGAAATCCGTATTGATCAACGTCCCGTCAAACTTCCTGCCAGTCTCCTCCCATCCGCGATTCAAGATACCATCCCTCATCCCGAATCTCGAGAGAATAGCCTCGAGTCATACACTGCACCTCCGCTCCCGCCTCGGTCTGAAAAGCGGAACCAGATACGTGCAGCGATAGATCGTCCTGTGAAACCCCCAAGAGCACCAGGCCCAGATCATGTTCAAGCCTACCCAGGTAACAACGACAATGGGCCCCTTTCAAACGATGCGATGTCCAATATTCGACGACCTCTCCGGTCCAGCAGTCTCTTCGCTGGCTTCGAACATAACAGTGACGATGAAGGCCCCCACGAAGAACGCGATGTCTTCACTGATGATGAGCTCCTCACCCGGCCATTTGCCTCATACACCGTCAGCCGCGGCAAGCTAGTCAACGCAAAATCGACTCCCAGTCTAGACGACATGGCCCTCCCTGAAATTGACGAGCAACTCTCCAGCCCAGAGTCAATGCCCCCCGCCATCAGCCGTTCCCGTCCTTCTCAGCGATCCAGCACGGCGTCTTCAAGTATTCGCCAATCCGGCATGCGTAAGATGGCCATGATTTCTAGCGGAACAGCTGCACACCAGAGGACTCGCGCTCGGAGTCCCAGCGAGCCAAGCCTCGACAGCGGCAGCGCAGGCTCAAGCATCGCGCCACCATTCCCCGTCCCCATGCGCTTCAGTTCTCGCAAACTCCCCCTCAATCGCAGCGACGGACCCCCAAGTCCGACCCGTTCAACCGGAAGGCAATTCTCGGATCGTGGCGGGCAATCACTCGTTCGACGACCGACTCTCCGCCGGGTCCGGTCCGCAGCTGCGATGTCTCAATCGGATCTGACCGAGGGCCCCGAGACACGGTCTTCCCCATCACGATCAATCTCGACCTTCTCTCCAGAGTCTCCTTCATACCGACCATACCGGCCACCACCGCCTATGCCATTTGACGACATCACTGCACCCCACGAGCGGCGCGTGTCTCATAAACGCGCCTCACACAGGCCAACCCCGTCGTATCAGAGCCAGGACCAACGCGAACGACAGGATTCCGTTGGCGGCGTGCAGCCAACCAGTGTCGTTGATGCTATTGCGCAAACGATGGTTGGCGAATGGATGTTCAAATACGTGCGTCGGCGCAAGTCCTTTGGCATGGGCGAGTCCAAGGATAATTGGGAAGGCAAGAATCCCGACGAGGTGTCTGCGAATATCACAAGCAGCGGTGTGCGCCACAAGCGATGGGTCTGGCTCGCACCATACGAAGGCTCTATTATGTGGAGTAGCAAGCAGCCCACAAGTGGACCAGCCTTGCTAGGCAAGAGTGGTCGGAAATGTAAGATTCCCATTACACTCTTGAACCATTCAATGATCACTGACCCGAAGCACAGTCACCATCCAATCCGTCCTTGACGTCAAAGACGACAATCCCCTGCCCAAAGGCAGCTCCCCAACCCCATTCAACCGCTCAATCCTCGTGCTCACCCCCCAGCGAGCCCTCAAATTCACCGCCCTAACAATCGAACGCCACTATGTCTGGCTCACAGCCCTCTCTTTCCTCAGCCACTCCTCAATGGGCCTCCAAGAACTTGCTTCCCTACCCCCGGTCCCAACAGAAGAAGCCTCTCCCACACCCCCAACAGCAACCCTCCGCAGAAACCCGATCCGCGACTCAATCCGCGTAGCAAAAGGCCGTCCGCGCCCAATGCCCGGAAAACGCTCCTTCAACAGCGCCGGCGCTCCATCCGTCCCAGACCTCCCAGAACTTCCCTCAAAAGAAAGCATCGACCTGGCAGCCGCAGCTCCACATGTCCCTCGCTTCTCACACAATCGCAAACGCAGCAATACTGGCCCCCGCCCGCCAGCCCTCCACGCTCTCCACACTCTCCGCAGCTTCTCCAGCCAGGGAACCATGCCATCCTCGCATAGTGGGACCACGGTCGGCTCCCCGGAACTGCACTTCCCCGTGCCGATCCCGCTCAGTCGGCAGAGCAGTGTTAGTCAGCGGACTTCGATGACAAGTGTGGCGGCCTCTAACATGTTTGATATGGGAACTGTGCGGATGGAGGCGTTTATTGATCATCATGCTGAACAGATGAACCGGCCTAGGCCGACGCCTCGTCAGAAACATACGAGGAAGACGTCTAGTCAGTGGAGTGAGAGACGGTATGAGTTCGATACGCCTTCTGTTGTGGATAGCGAGTTCTCCTATCGGCCTGAAGGGTCTGATCCTTTCCGTGGGTTTTGAGTCTCTCTCACTTTGACTTTTCACTCTTCTCTTTTTTTCATTTTGTCTCTCTCTTTCCTATTTCTTTTCTGTTGGGATGACCTGGGGTTGATCGCCATGGTCGTACTGGATATGTTATCCTCTCTCCCTTCTTTTCATTCCCTACATTTCTCGTTTTCGAGTTGATACCACTTTGATTTGCATCATTGGGCGTTCGTGTCTCACTATTAGTATCTTTACCGTCCGTTTATATGTCTATAATGTATATGTTTTAATGCATTCAACAGAAGCTCATATCGGGTATAGAAAATCCGCAGTAGGTACATCGCATCGCACCTCGCTCTTCAAAAAATGTATGATATCCCATTCAATGATCACAGCTTTGCAGCGTCCTTGACCTCGCCAATCTTCAATTTAGGTGTGTACTTCTTCAGCACGGATTCATTGTGGTACTATAGTGTGCGGGTAACGGTTAGACTTGAATAGCCGGGTTGCCGATGTGAAACATTTGGAACTCTTAGAATCTTTAATTCTTCAAAACATACCTTCCAGAACTGCTTGGATGCATCCTTTCCTGCTACACGCTTAAGGATCTTTGCGCCGCCAGGGTGTTCATCAATGAATTTGGTGACATCGAAGACATTGTTATCGACGATGATGTAGAGGCCTTTGTCGGCGGTGTTGTGGGAGGCCACATCTGCGGGGGTAAATGTTTGAGACATGGTGGAATTAGAGAGAGGATATGTATTGGATCAAGAATAGAGAATCGTGTATCGTGAATCGACCAAGGTATTAAATAGTAGAGAGGGAGAGAAAGAGAGACTGGAGTAGAGTGACGTTGTCACACAAACCCCGGAAAAGCGGAGGAACCGAGGTCCAAGTCAATTTTGCCGCGGTTTGAATTACAGTGGATGTGATTGGTGGATTCTTTATTATGGTGAACGTGAATGTGAAGCTATTCAGATATTCAAGGAATGACTGCACTGCGTACATATTATGTGAATATACTACTTCTTCTCCCCAACTGCTCCCTGTCCCTTAGATACCTTCCGATCCAACCCAAGGCTCTCCAAATCCTTCTTCTTATAATAATGCGGTGCAACCTCAACTAACCACTCCGCCTGTAAAGGCATATTACTCCGCATATACTCCTTACTAGTAAGGACCAATTCGAAGTAAATCACCCAACGGGGATTGACCTCCATAAGAGTGCTAGAAGGATGCAAGTACACCGACTGCCCATTCTTAATAGTTCGATAACTATCACCACCACGCTGGAGTCTGGCCGCATTGGGGAAGAATCCTGCCGTAATAGCTTTCTGAATAGGTTGGATATTCGTAGCACCGCACGTACTGATAGAAACCTCGACTCGGTCGCAGAGTTTGGCAAGTTGGTCGCGGACGTCGCGGGCCCGAGTGAGACTGCGCTGTTGCAGGAAGTTTTCTTTGGCCCAGATCGTGCTGAAGTCCGAGTCCACCCATTGATTCCAGACATTGAGGAGGGTGAGGTGGTCGCCGCCTTCCTTGATAGTGAAGCGGTTGCGGGCGCTATCCGCGTGGATCTTTTTGTCTTTTGGTCGGAAGAAAAGGGCGCTGCCTTCGCCAAGCATGGAGACAATTGAAAGAACTTCTTCGACACAACCGTATTTGTCGGAGGCGAGAATGGCTTTGGCAAGCATTGGGTCCGTGGGGAACTCGGCCATTTGTCGGCCAACCTTGGTCAGTTCGCCGCGGTCATTGAGAGCGCCTAGAGCGTAGAGCTGCTCCAGGGCGCGGATGATGGTCTCGGCTGGAGGCGGGTCCATGAAGTCGAAGTCGAGAAGCTGGTCGATACCCAGTGATTTCAGCATCAGGATGACACCGTTCAGGTTGGTCCGTTGAATCTCTGGTGTGGTGTTCTCCTCCAACTCGTTGTAGTACGCCCACTTGGTGTACAGGCGGAAGCATTTACCGGGTCCAACACGACCAGCACGACCGGCTCGCTGGTTGGCTGAGGCTCGCGAGCATGGTGTAACTACCAGGCTCTCCATACCTGTGCGGGGGTTGAATACATTTTCCTTGACGAAGCCGGGGTCAATGACGTAGACAATGCCATCGATGGTCAGACTGGTCTCAGCAATATTGGTGGCAAGGACCACCTTTCGCGCCTTAGGTGGTGTAGGCTCAAAGATCTTGGTCTGTAGCTCGGACGGCAAGTTGGCATAGATGGGAGCAATGATCATCTCCGGAATCTTGCTCCCTAACTTTCGAGCTGTTTCTTGTAAACTCTGCTCCGCAGCTTCAATTTCCTCTTGACCAGTCAAGAAAACCAGAATGTCTCCAGGACCCTGGGTGACGTGGATCTGGAAGACGGTAGTAATGGCCGCAGCGAGATAATTGGCTTCGGGCTGCGAAGTGTAGTGCACGTCAACAGGGTAGCGACGACCAGGAATATTGAAAATAGGTGCATCGTCAAAGTACTTCTGGAACTTCTGTGCGTCCATAGTGGCCGAGGAAATGAGAAGCTTCAAATCAGGTCGTGCCTTTGCAATATCCTTGAGCAGACCACAGGCAATATCAGTCGGCACCGTCCGTTCGTGAGCCTCGTCGATCATCAAAGCCGAGTACTGACTCAGATCAGGCTCGGTCAACAGTTCTCGCAGCAACATTCCATCAGTCATGTACTTGAGAATGGTCTTGTCGCTCGTATTGTCTTCAAATCGAATAGCATAGCCAACCTCATTTCCGATCTTCGTGCCCATTTCCTCTGCCACACGCGCAGCAACACTCATGGCAGCAACTCGTCGCGGCTGTGTGCACCCGATCTTCAGACCGTCTTTCGTATAACCGGCCTCATGGAGATACTGCGGGATTTGGGTCGTCTTTCCAGAACCGGTTTCACCAACAATGATCAGGACCTGATGGTCGGCCACGGCCTGGATGATCTGATCACGGAATTGGTAGATAGGTAGACTCTTACGGGTCTCTTCCATAGTAGTAGCCTTCTTTTCGGCTGCATCGACCTGCTCCTTGAATTGAAGTTGCTCCTTGGTCATCGGCTTCTGCGTCCCATCAAGCTTGGCATCCATAACAAAGTTGATCTGCTGTGAATCGTCGAAAACATATTCATAGTCTCCCTCATCAACAAACTCAGCCTTCTTAATCTGCGCCTTAGCCTTGGCAGCTTGTTCGAGCTCCCATTCCTCGTGCTCAGTCACGAACCGTTCCTGGCCCAGCTCATCACGCTCAACGTACCGCTTATACAGAGCGTCTTCCTTCTTTTTGCGATCGATTTTTCCCTTCTCCGTAATATAGTCGTCGGGCATCATGTACCCATCACGGTGGTCGTCTATTCGAAGTCGTTCCTCGGCAATCCGGAGGACCTCTCTGTTGCGCGCAAACTCCTCTTTCTCCTTTCGAGAAAGATTAGGATTCTCGCGCAACTCAGCAGCTTCCTCGACAACCTGTCGTCGCAACAGCGCCAGACGTTCCGTCTCACGCTTCTTCAAGTACTCCTGTCGAGATCTCTCCCGCAAATCAGGCATCATCGCAGCCCGCGAACTGGCATCATCCGCCAGCGCACGCCGGCGTGCAGCCTCTCCATCGCGCGTGCGGTCCTCCACAATCTTCTTCGTTTTGCTATTGTCCTTGCTGGCCAACCGCTTCGCGAACTCGTCTCGTTCGCGCAGATCTCGCTGGCGATCAATCTCTTCCTGGGTCTTGGGATCGATATCGTCCGCCGGACGGGGCGAAGCAGAGCCATCGTCAAGTCGTGTCCGCTTCGAGGGTGACTCTTCGAATCCCTCCTGTTCGCCCTCATATTGGTCTTCGGGGATTTCCTCGTCGCCCCATCTATCCTCGAAGTCATCATCTTTCTTGCGGAGCTTTTTGGTGCGCGGTCGGTCGCGGCTCTCCCCATCCCGACTACGATCGCGTTTTCGACTGTCGTCTGTTTCTCGGCTTCGGGGCTCCTCGCGCTTGTTCCTACTTCTGTCCTTATCACTGTCTCTCTCGCGTCTTTTCCGTCGCTCTCGCTCGCGGTCAGCCTCGACATTAATGGGTCCTAATGAGGTGGGATCTGGTTGATCTTCGTCCATTTCCACTAGGCGGTATTTCTTTTTTGATGATTCTTTGTTCACCGCAGGCTTGGCCACGGACGCAGGTTGGGGGCCCTTGCCCATGCGACTATGGAGATCTCGAGCGAAGGTACCGACATCGGCGGAATTGGGAGCGTCGAGGAAGGATGAAAGCGTATCTGTGAGGGAGGAGGTTGACTTGGATGAGCTGGCGGTTGCGAGAACGAAGTCGACGACAGTAGGGTCTGACGCGCCCGTGAGGCGGATGAGGTTTTGCGACACGAAACTTTTGTGTTCCATAATGTGCGGGTTTGGTGTTCAGGGAGGGATGTCGAGGTGGAAAGCCAGAGTGTGGAGTGGTAAGGTGTTTCGAGCTTAGTGGAAGTGGCGCATAATGTAGGAAATATGGCCAAGAGATTGATGCGAATATAGGAAATGTTCAAGCAGAATATGAGCTGTGAAATCGGAGGTGAGGTCAAAAACGTAGAGCTGGAGAAGTTTGATCTGCCAAGAAATCCCGTGGCGATCCGCGATATATACGACAACTCAGTACAATGCTAGTATATACATGTACGTATATCTTCATTGCATTTTGTTGAATAGTGTCCGTGGTTTTGTTTTTTCCGTTCTTTCATTAAGAAGAGGAGAATACAGCTAGAATGATACTTTGAAATTGATCGTATAAACTAATTTTTATTTCCTACTAAATCGACAATATATATCTGTACAGATGTACGTGTGGTCTAGCGTGCCTCCTAAGTCCTCCAGGGCTGTATAGCTCTACGAAGAGTAATCGAATGAATCAGCGTATATATAACATTGAGATTAATCGAGTAACCTACATATGTAGGTAAGTGACCAAAGTTCCCCAGGTCTTGAATATCGATTAATAGCTCGATGCTACGATAGGTGAAGGTTAATATCAATCCTATCCAATTCGCAGATAGAAAGTTATGTAAAACTACACAAGTCTACATTGACTGCCTAGGTATTCACAGAGTAATCGTTCAATTCATAATTCCACAATTGCTATACAGATATGGAACCCAGGTATACAACTAAAGACACCAAGCTAGCGCAGATCGCTCAAAGAAAATGGGGTCATCATTGCCCGAGGGCACACATTGGTCATGAGAAAAAGAAAAAAAATCAAAAATCAAACCAAAGACAAAGATTGCGGTGATGTCTTCAAGGGACACCGTTCCAGACGATATCAGTGGACAAGGTTGGGACCAAACCAGAGACGTCTTAGAGAATACGGACCCATGGCCAGTTCCAGAAGCACCCTGTGATGTTTGGTATTTCTGGCATCTCGTAATGCTAGGTAGGAGATCGTACAAAGGAAAAAAGAAAAAATATCCGTGAGAACAAATGGAGAGACTCCATCGACCAGGGCTGAATACCCGTGAACTCCACCGAGCCATAATATCGCAATGTCCGCAACGGAAGGTAACGCCGGATCCAAACCGAAGGATCAAGAACGCCCAAGTCCAATCCGCAGGATGGAAGAGTCCAGCTTCAATTGAAGTCTGGAAGGAAAGTCGTAAAAGTAGTATCAAAGTGAGAAAACAAATGCCCCGTGTGGGCGAACGCCGAGAGAAAGGTGACAAAAGGAAACAAAGAGAAATACAAAAAGCATGGAACACCCTCCATATGCACATGGTAAAAGGGATATTAAATTACACGTCGATCATTTCGGCATCTTCGGCCAAGATCTCGTCAGCGGGGCCCCAGTTACCCTCGAAGACGGTGGCGCCAGCGCGGCGTCGTTGATTGATAAATTGGACTCCGTAAGTTTCCAATATTTGGTCGGCGGTGGGCCGATGTTGAGGTTCGGGAGAAATCATCCACCGGACAATTTCGTCCAGCGACTGTGGGTGGTATGGGTCGACCATGAAGGCAGGTGGATCGGTGAGCTCTCCGCTGCGTGCGACAGACTGAGGCTTGGGGGTGCTCAGCTGACGGCTAGTCAGGAAATCATCGCCAAAATCGTCACCCAAGTCGGAGGTGCAGAGTTCTTCAAAAGATGACTCCTTGGCGATAGGGTTTCCAGTAGCATCACGAGAGATTTTGCTATCGTAACTGAAGGTGAGGCTTGGTACATCGCTCATATCCCCATTGCGAAGCTTTTGCCAAGATAATCCATTGTCAGGAAGCTCAACGTTGCCCGCAATTTCAAAAATGATCAGACCAAGGGAGAAAATGTCCGCCGGCTTGTCAAATTGGCCCCTGAGAATCTCCGGCCCGATATACTCGCGATCACCTTCACCTTCAATGCCATCCTCCGCCGGCCAGCGGGCTGCCATACCGAAGTCACCAATCTTTAAGGTTCCTTCAAAGGTGACCAGAATGTTGGCAGGTTTGAGGTCAAGGTGGATGAAGCCCTCATCGTGAATTTCCTTTAGACCCAATGACATCTCGAGCAGGATCTTCCAAATACGGAAGTCATCAAGTCGGGCCTTGAGGCCGGCTTGGGCCAAGAAACCATCCAAGCTGCCCTCTTCACAAAATTCAGTTTGAATGTAAAGGTGACCCATGTTCTCCCAGCTATCCATGAAGGAAACAACGTGGTCGCAATTTGTCAAAGTTTTGAGAATGTCAACCTCGCGAATGCGACGTTCACGATCCTTCAATCCAAGGTAGGGTTGCTTGCTTTTCTTCACAGCCCAGACTTGATGTGGCAGAGAACCTGGTGACTTTGGCTCACTGGAAGGCAGAGAGAAGACAGAAGGGAAAGATGCGTCATGCGGTTGGGCGACGCGGAATACCTGTGAGAACTCGCCGGTTCCAATAAGCTCAACATTGTCGAAGCGGGATGTCAGAGTGGGATCCACATCGGGAGCATGGTAGCCACTGATTTGCAAACTGGGCCGTCTGAAAGATGCCCAAGAATCTCGAGGTCCGGTCGGAGTAGCTGGAAGCTCGTGATCTGCGCGCACAGACTGCTGGTCATTGGGTACGGAGATAGATAAACCACTAGGATCGGGAGGGAAGTACTGGTCACGAGGGGTATGAGGCGAAGCCTGCAACAGCCTTTCGTGAAGAGGAGTAGCTGTGTCTGACAGCCGTTCCAAAGAGGGGATGGAACCAGTGGATGGAGGATAGGTGCGAGATGGGAGGAAAGGTTGCTTGGTGGGAGTAGGGGGGAAGTCGTCATTCAGAGGCTGGCTGTCCTGTCGGGATGATGGTGATTGAGCCAGGTTTAATTCATCACCATCGATGCTGGCAAAACTTCCACGGCGGGAGACCTCAGGGCGATTGAAGCTGCTACCAAAGATGCCCATTCCACGAGCGAAGGGACTTGGCTTGGGGCGCGAGGTAGTGGGTGGGTTGAAAGGAGAGGCGGAAGGCGCATCTGACTGCTGCACCAGCCGTGATTTATCAAATAGTCGGTCAGTCGGGTTGGGACCGGCAGTGAACAGGTTGACAGGTCGCTTGCAGGGCGTATCAGGCATGTTCTTGTTGAAGGCTGGGCCAGCCTCCTCCGCATTGCGGTTCTTCTTGGAAATAAGGCCAGTTGACATGAATGCCGCTGGTAGAGGCTTGACAAGTTTGTAGTTGTCCGGTGTAGCGAATTCTCCCGAGTCCTCTCGCGTGAGACGACGCACAACAGCAGGACGAGTAGCCCCAGCGGGTAGAGACTTGGAGAAATTGAAGATGGTCCGTCGCCCCTCGGGCTTGTGAACTGGTTCATGAGTGGGCGAATCATCGAGACTTGACCCGGAAGAGGATTGTGTGATAGTGCGAGAGAGGGGATGAGCAGCGGCCCGAGAAGGTTGTGTGGTTGTGATGGCAGGAGGAGGGTTAGCGGGAGAGTTTGAGAAGAGAGGACTAGCTGGCGGCTTGGGAGAGAAAATGTTCTCACTGCCAGGCTGAAACAAGCTGCTGTCGAACGACATTCGCGGCCGAACAGTCAATGGAGTACCAGGAGGTGATGTGTCTGATTCCTCGTCCATGTTTCTTGGTCGCCCAAAGAGGGGTCGCTCACCACGCTGCTGCAAGGTTGATCGTCGTAGAGATGAGGAGCGCTTGGGAATTGTTGCAAATGGACTGTGAGGTTGAACGGGTGTCGGGAATGATGGAATCTCGTTTATGGGAGACCCTTCAGGAGTGGCGTCCTCAACCTCGTTGTCGAAAATACTAAATTCCGTTGAACAGTTGGGGTTGTGCACGCTGCGCCGCTTTGCAGAAGGACTACCCCGCGAGGCTTGGTCAAGGTTCATTATACCGTCGCTGCGTTTTAATGGGCTTCCAGTCGCAAAGGAACCAAAGGTACCACTGCGTCGCTTTTCGATGCGCGATAGCGTTGACCGTGGCGCAAAAGTTGATTCACCTTGGAAGATTGGAGTGTTGTTCGCACAGGGACTATCGGGAGTGGTGCTCAAACCGGTGGGAACCAAATCATCGAGAGTCAAATCATTTTCTTCACCTGGAGGCAAAGAGATGGATTGAGTGGGAGTCGCGTTTCCACCGTCAGTCGAGACACTCAGAGCGCGCTTGGCCGGACTGCGGGGTGACGTGCGTCGTCGCATGACCGGTCGAGAGATTTTAGCGCTTGGTGGGTAAGGAACTGCGAGAGGAGACTGATGAGATGGAAACAAAACAAAGTTGTTTTGGGAAGCGCGTCGAGAGGGCGATAATGGTGAAGAAATGTAAGCTGATTTGGAGGGCGACTGAGTACGTGGATTGAGAAAGAAGTTGGAGCTCTTGGATGGTGAGCGCGATAATGAGCGGCGTAATTGTCGGATGGCCGAGCTGGCATCAACGTGATGAATCCCTGAGTGCGAGTGCGACAGGTGTAGCGTGCCTCCGGAGTCCCGGTGCGGCGAAAAGGTTGCGACCATGATCGGAATGTGTCTAGGTGCTGCGCAACGAGGGAATGGGAGAGCGTCACTTTATCCTTTGCTTTCTTTCTCTTCGAACCACTCAATAACGGTTCGAACACGCGAGAGAGAATATAGATATCCAACAAGATTTCAATCAAGTGTTGACGCGTTGGAAGGTCAACAACACTGAACCATACACAAAAAAATTCACAACCCGGATGATTCAAGGGCGTCCACTAGGAAGGCACTGGAATGTTGGGAAGGTAGGTGCGAGTGGCAATGCAAAATGACCGAGTCACCACACTCGCGAGGAGGAATTCACCATGCGCTTAGGACATAAACACACGCGTGATTGATCTTGATACGCGAATGTCTCACATATACATCGACGCGATAGACTTAAGACTCTAAAATAGAAAGTGTCCAAGGGATCCTTTCTCCTAGAGTTGTTTCAAGGCGAAAAAGGTTGCAAGGGGTAGATCCCGCGATTAGAAGGCGGATATCGTCCCACGAGGAGGGTGTGAAATGCGGTCGAGGGTTTTGGGGGGGGGGCCTCCAAGGGTTTCGAAGGACAGGAGTGTTGTGCAAGTCCGTTTGGAAGGGTTTTGGATTAATGAATTAACAAGAAGCCGAGAAATGGGATATCGGAATGCTTAAGATCATAAAGATAGCCCTGGAGTTGAACCTTTGGGAGTTAGAAAAAAGGCTGGTTTGATTCGATTAACGCGAGTCGCGTTGTTATCGTTTGATGCCCAAAGTGGATTAGGGTGACGCGTGATGATAACAATTATGTAAGCATCAGTTGAACCATGGTTCCGATCTATAAAATCATCCCTTCAGAACAACACGAACTCGATGAAGTCGGAAATGAACTCTGGATGGCTTATATCTTAATAAGAAGAGATTTTGTTGATTTTTTGTAAACGTGAAAAGAAAGTAGAATTGTATCTTCCCTAACAACCAAAAAGAATGAAAAATCAAATCAACTCAAATAAAATTTCCCGCACGGCCCCTGCAGTACCTGAACGCCACCTCAATAAACAAGAGGGGGGAGATGTTGTACCAAATTCTCGCTTTCCTCATTGGCCTTTTCTCTTTTTTCTTTTTCTTAGTTCTTGATGCTGCAGTACTATGCTGTGTATCCCTTGTAAGATGGACTCAATAGAAAGAGAGAGAAAAATTCTTTCAGGACCACGCGAACTCGCCCTTGCTTTTGTACCCGTGAGTTCCCCCCCGAATTTCGGAATATGACCCATCATGGCAAAACTCCACTACAAGAATATTAGTATGAAGGAGGGAAAAAAAAAGAGAGAATCACCGGATTAATCGGGTCCAGTCCGAGTGGCGCAAATTGCGGGAATATCTTGGGCCACATATCCACTGACAGACATCGTATGTTTGTAGTTCATTTGATTTTCCCTTAAATTTTAATGATATCTAGAGATATCCGAAATATTCTACGTATAGTTGAAGATCTAATTTCGAGCACTACACCATTTGCGTATCAAGCACAAGAGCTACAGGAAGCATAGGCATTGCAGAACACAAATTTCTAATGAACTCCACGGTGATCGTCCCGTAGACCGTGGGTCCCCCCGCCGTCACTCATCAAATCATATATCTATAATCTCTATGCAAATCTGATACATGGAACAAGGGCTGCCAAAAAAAAGAGTATACACATCCAACGCCAAAAGAAGCAATATATATACCATATGCATATGCACAGGAAGGGAGTGCTGTAAATAGAAAGAATCCAAGAATCCAAAAAGAGAAAGAAAAAAAGGAATGAAATGCAAAAATCTTCCCCGCAAAATAATCATTATCATCGAAGATAGTAGAAGTGATAGTAGAAATTGAAGTAGCTCGGGATCATCCTCATCCCTAGCGTACACCTTCTACATCAATTCGAAGCCTGTCACCAATGCAGACATCTCGCGTCTCATTGCGTCAATTACAGTCTCCGCAGTGTCACCGTTAAGTCTTGAGACCGGCGCGAAAAGACCGAAGTCTAACTGGCCCTCTCGAACCGCCGCTTCAACATCGATGGTAGGCTGATTCAATGAGATGTTAGCAATTGCATTTGCGTTAGTTAGTGGGGTAGAGTTGATGTGCATAATCTTACCAGTAAGATGTTGGACACCGTTGAGGCGCTCAGATCGCGATGCGTCTCGGCTACACCCGGTGGCGTCACACCATTGCTATTAATTCGGGTCTGACTGTCCGATGGAGTTGTGGCAATTGTTCCGCTAAGGTTTTCAAACTCCTCGCGTTGGATCGCCGTGAGTGAAATCCGCTCGTTGCTGGGTGCCAGTTGCTCAGGGAGTCGCAGGAAATTGACGCATGTGTCAATCTGGACACCGGTCCATTCGGCAATTTCCATGAGCGATACGTTGGAGTATTCTGCTCGGCTGATCTCGTTGATTTCGGTTTGGATCCGTCGCGCTGCATCGAGGAGGGTGGTGGTCGATTCGCTGATTTTGTCATCCAATCGTAGTGGGACAACGTTGACAGTTGGAATCACCGATTCAGCTAGACCTTCCAAGGCATGCGATCGATTGGCAAGGTAGAGTCCAACGATTAACCGCCCGTGAGACCCTGCGTCATCCACCGTTTCAGCTGCAAAATTCTGCAAATGCACTCGAGCATAGATGGCCAGGAAGATGGTTTGAATGCTGAGACCCTGGCGCTTAGCAACCTTTTCGATGGTGGCCATATTTGGCACCAAGCCGGGCCGGTAGTGGTGTTGCACGGTGCCGAAACCATCCCCGCGCTTTGCCGCCGTTGAGATTTGGCCTAGATACTTTTGCCAGAATTGGCGCCGGACTTCCACGGGCGAATGGACATGTTGGAATGCCACAAGCTGTGAGAGATCAAGGTCGGGGACCGGCTGGGCAATTTCATTCTGGCCGCAATGTGCAACAAGTCTCTCCAGAATATGGGGCAGACTGACACCATCGTACAATGCGTGGTGAATTTGTAGAATAAGCGCCGTTCCCTCGGCGGTTTGACAGGCATGTAGTGCGACCGGTACAGCCCCAAATTCTTGCTTGAAACTTTTTGAAACAAGATGCCGATCAAACTTGGAATGCCAGATCACTGGAATGTGCACCGCCCCAAACTCCACTTGAATGAACGGCGAAAGCCGTGAGTCAGTGCGGAGGAACACCGTTCGCAGCATCGGGGTTTGGTCCACGACCCGAGCCCAGGCGCGATTGAGTGTCTCTGGGCTCAATTGCTGCGATGCCACATAGTAGAACTCTGGGTAGAACACCTCGGGGTTCAGAGTATGCATCGAAAGGAAATAGGACTGGCCTCCAGTTGTAGGGAATACCTTTTCCACATGTTGTGAATCAATACCATGCGACTGCAGCAGCAGCGCCACATCGATGCCATTCAGCGAGTCGCGGAGGATGCTTGATATGTTTGTGACAGAGAAGCCTGGTTGGCTGCTATTAGCTACTGCGGCCATATTTTCGATCGTACCAGCACGCAGCATGTCACTGACAGCGAGCTTGACGGACTGTTTCTTCAGCAGTGCAGTAACCTTGATAGCGCTAATACTATCAAGACCAAGCTCGAAAATAGTAGAGCTCTTCTCTATGGAACCCTCCGGTACCCCAGAAGCAACGGAGAGAACATTACGAATCTTTGACTCGATTGGTGACCATTGCGTTTGCTGAATTTTCCCAGGCACTACATCAGCGATGACTTCATGCCCAAACTCATCCTGGAAGGATGAACCTCCACAAATTTTCACCCCTTCCTTGGTGAACTCAACCGTCTGTTCGGACGATCCGTCAATGATAGACGAAATGATATCGCCCATCTGGATTAGAAGCACAAGAGCATCCTGATCCCCAACAACATTTCCACGACCGGCCACCCGGCCGATGAGCTCCTCACCCACACCTTCAACTTCAGCACAAACAGGATATTCAACATTCGCCGCACCACCCGTAGACTTGTATAAAGTAGACCCAGAACCAGCCTCATTATCCATCGGCCGTTTCTGGAACATGAACAACGTATCAAACAAACCCTGCGACCCGTTGTCTGGTCTCGCGCGCCGAAGGGGGAAATGCTGATGCTCCGACATCACAAGAAGAGTCTCTTGTACATACTTGACCAGTTCAATACGCGTGCCGTGGAGAATCACACGCATGGCGACAGTGTTCATTGTCGGGAACATCACATGCTCCGAGCCAGCGACGTTGCGCCCAGAAAGAACAAGACCAAATGCCACATCCAGCTTCTTGGCATGGGTGGCGAGAACAATCGACCAGCAAGTGACAAGAAGCGCCTGGAGAGTAATTCCATGGCGCTTGCAGAACGTCTCTGCCTTGGAAAGCGGGACAGACAGCGATTTTTCTGCGCGGTGCACAACGGTCGAACCCTTTTCGGAGTGTTCCATTGGCGAGAAAGGTATGGGAGTGAAGTTTGATAGTGTTGCACGCCAGAATTTGAGAGATTCATCCCCAGAGGACGAGAAGATTTGCTCAAGGATGTCGTCTGGCGGCGGACGCAGGCATCCCTCGCCGGCGTAGGACTTGGCAACGTCTTCATGGAGCAGGTTGATTGACCAACCATCGTAGAGAGCGTGCGCAATTGACAAAACAAGGCGTCGCTTCTCTCCATCCACCGCGATGGTAATTGATAGCAAGGGGCAACTGAGCAGCTCGTTGTGGGCCCTTGAGATTTGCGTCTCAATGATGGACTCGATAGAGATTCCATGTAAATGAATAGTCTGGATGTCAATATGATCCGCACTGTGAACGATTTGCGCGTAGGAAACCGGAATCTCAGGATCCCAGACTTCAACAAAAGAAGTACGGAGAATAGGGTGTGCGCTGACGACAGCTCTCCATGCCTGCTCCATCCTCCCCAGGTCCACCCCTGGATCAAGCTCGAGGATTTCGTGATTGTAATAGTGCTTGTAAACCGAAGCATACATCTCCGCTACCATGGCCTCTTGAATGGGTGTGGCGGGTAGAACACGAGTGGCACTTGAAGGAAGAAGACATTCGCCCTCAAGGAACTTAAGCAATGAGTTCTCCAGCCGATTGAGCAATGGCAAAGTACCATTCTTGGTGTGGCCATTTGCCATTGAGAGCTGCCCACTCATGGCCTTGATTGTACGATGGCGCATAATGGAGCTCACTGGAAGTTTGATACCGGCTTTGTTCAGCCGCGAAGATATCTTGATTGCATCGATGCTGTCAAGCCCAATTTCGAAAATTGACGTTTCCTGACCAATGTGTTGGGCCTCCACTCCTGCAAGAGTTGCGATGACATCGCGGATCGTGCAAGCTTCAGGCGTCCATTCCAACAGGGAACCATTGACATGCTGGCCATTGGTGTACTCCGTAGCTTTCACAGATTCGCGGTGACCATTCACTTCACCGTTGGTGATGGGCGGAAAATAACCATTGATTTGGGGTAGCGTTTTGTTCGGATCCTGCGCAAATTGTGACAGAATTGCCTCGAATTTAGAAAGCAATTGTTGGGCATCCTCTGAAGATACTGAATTGCTCTTCGCAGCAAGGGTAGCCGTCAACGATTGATTTCCATTGCGCACAATTTCAAAGGCAAGGGGGTACTCATGTTCAGCCTCTGAGTTGATAGTCCGCCAAAGCTTCTTGGCCAAGGATTCATCATTGTCGTTTTCCTTCTGGAAAACAAACAGAGAGTTAAAGAGTGGCTCATCGGGGCCTTTGCCAAGCCATTTCACAATGTCTCGCAGGGGAGTGTGCTGGAAAGGAATCATAGACACATGGTACTCATGGCATCGGCGAGCGACCTCAGACCAAGACTCCAGTCCAAAAAGCTGGACGTTACTCGGGATAGTATTGAACAGAGGACCGATCACATCTTCAATTCCTGGTACATCGATTGTTCTTCCCGAGGCAATGATACCAAGTGGGGGCACAAACGAATACTGCTGCTGGAGAGTGAGAAGCCAACAGGCATGGAGCACAGCTTGTTCGGTGACATTAAGCGTTCGGCGAAGATGATCAAGCTGCTCTGTCTCGTTGATGTGGGCCTTGTAAAGAATTGGAGTGTCTATGGTGCCTTTCTCGGCGAATGGACGGTCGCGGCAGCCTGCAAGATGTTCTTTCCAGAATGCTTCCGCTGAAGCATCCTTGCAAAGAGGACCAAGGTGCAACACATCAATGAAATTGGGGGGTGTCTGCAAACTCTTGCTTTGGTTCAGATAGTTGCGAGCAACCGATTCGAGGAGGAGAACCAGACTGTTTCCGTCATATAAAGCATGAAACATGTTGAGACACATCACCGAACCTTTGGGGGAAGAGATAACTCCGATCTCCCACAATTGGGTAGAGAGACTGTTGAGCTGGGCAGTCCACGCCTCATGCCGTTTCTTGCGCACACAGTCGATCTCCTGACTTGTTCCTACTGTATCAAAGAACCAAGGAAGGGTCGCTTTCTTCAGAATGGCCTGCGCGTAGCCGTCAGGGGACGGTGAGAATTTGGCACGCAGCATTTGAACGTCTCTTTGAGTCTCGTCCCAAGCTGCACACAAAGCCTTAAGGTCGATGGAGGAGTCAAGCTCGAAAGTGAAAGAAGAACAGTACATAGGCGTGGCACTCGACAGGTAGTGGTATATGATACCCTCCTGGAGTGGTGTGCAAGGTGCAATCTTCTCAATGTCACTTTCAAGGACTCCAATATACTCGATGACAGCGTGAGAATTCTTATGAGCAAAGGCGTCAATACTTTGCTTGGCGTTTCGCCGAAGTGTTTTCACAGACCCAGAAGATGAGCTGGACTCCTGAAGAGCGGAAGTCATTCCGGCGATACTGGGGTTCTTCATGATGATGGAAGGTTGAGCTTGAGAAAATCCAGCCTCCCTCAAACTCCGCGAGAAGGCAATAACTGAGATAGAATCCAAACCTAACTCATAGATACTGGACCAAGATGAGATCTTCTCGTCGGTGGATCCAATGAACTTCGCCAGAACAGCTATAATCTTCCGTTCCTGGGCACTGTCAGTGGGCTGGTCAACACTCAAGGCGCCCAGTTTCTGGATCTCATCTAGAGATAGATCTTGATAGAAGCCCTTCAAGACCTTCATATCAGCCTTGTTGTTTGCAGAAAGTGGGAACTGGGTCATCGGTATTATATGAGTAGGAACCATGTATCCAGGAAGGCGAGTACGGCAAGCGTCCTTGATCTTAGACAGCAAAGCGCGGTTGTCTTCCGAAGATCGAACCTCGACATCAGCACGGGATTTCTTATCCGCAACGGTCGTGAAAAAAGAAACAAGCTGATCCTTAGCTTGTTTGGGATGCGTGATAACCAGAGTGGCGACTTCGTTCAGTTCAGGCGTTGCCTGCTTTATAACCTCATTAATCTCTCCAATTTCAAGTCGCTGTCCGCGAAGCTTAACTTGGTCATCGATACGGCCCAAGAACTGGAAGCTTCCATCATGCAGGATCCTGACAAGATCACCAGTGCGGTAGATACGATCCCCGAGCTCGGAAAGGTCTTGAAATCGCTCTTTGGTGAGCTCCGCTCTGTTCAGATATCCCTTTCCGACAAGTGGGCCTGAAACGCAGAGCTCACCGATGCTGCCGCGCAGCACTGGTGTCGTCGTGCCAGGACTAAAGACATAAGATCCCACATTATCGAATTGGGGTCCGATGTTAGAGGCTTTGTCATTGGCAGACATTCGTGGGAGCATGGTGCAGCCAATGGTGACTTCTGTCGGCCCGTATCCATTGTAGATAACACCGTGCTTACCCCAGGCGTCGAGAATTTCTTGCTTCAGCGCTTCTCCGCCTGTGATGAAGACTCCACGACAAAGCGAAGGGACTTCATCGGGATGAACGAGTCTTGCCAGACTGGGCGTGAGATCAATGTGCGTGATTTGAAGCTTCTGGATTGTGCCCGGTAGATCTTCGAACAATAGATCGCGCGAACATGAAGTCACGCAGATACCGACACTCCAACTCCAGTATTGCTCCAGAACGCTGACGTCGAAATGAAATGAGGCAAATTGTAACCATCGAGATTCTTCATCCCAGTGACCGGCGAACAATCTCTGGAACGCAAGCATAGCTTGCACGGCATTATTGTGTGTGATCTCACATCCTTTGGGTGTTCCAGTCGTACCAGAGGTGTACAAACAATAACAGGTATCATCTGGACCAATCGGCCTGGCGTGTGAGACCTCACCAGTTGACACTCCATCAAGCAAACCCGGTTCATCGAGGGCCTGGACATCGATGCCCTTGAGACCCTCCAATTCCGGCTTCTTTGACTGATTGCAGAGAAGTACTTTGGTCCCAGAGTCCTCAAGCATGAACTGCTTGCGAGAGATAGGAGCACCGGGATCAATGGCCAAGTACGCGCAACCAGCCTTCAAGATACCCAAAATGGCCATGGAAGCCTCAGGGCACTTGTCAAAGCAGATAGCGACGATTCCACCAGGAACAGCCCCCTTAGCCTGCAGAAAATGCGCGATCTGATTACCGCATCCGTTGAGCTGGCGATAACTCCAAGTCTTCTTCTGGAGGCTGTCCGCAGTTTCACCGAAGGCAAACTCGAAAGCAATCTTCTCCGGAATTTTAACAGCATTTATCTCAACGAATTGATGCAGCAAAGCGACCGGCGCAGGGATCGGCGCCTCCTTCGCCGGAGTAACAGACAACAGGCTACTACCGACAGACTCATGACCCGTGGAATCGGCACCAGGAGAGAAAACAGTGTCCTGCAAAAGCCTATCATACTGAATCAACAGAAGATTAGCCTGTTGGGCAGGAATTATATCACTGCGATAGCTCAGTGAGATCTCAAGATCCGTCGAGTGAGGAATTAGCTCGATGGAAACAGGGTACTACAAATCATTAGACATATCTTAGCGTAAAATTAAGGAGAATACTCACATCAATCTTTGTCTCTTCATCGACAACATTCCACCCCTCAGCAGCGGAGGCAAACTTCTGATAAACGAACAAGGTATCAAAAAGCGGCTCATCACTGCCCAACCAGCGCTGGATATTAGACAGAGGCGCAAATTGATTTTTCACCAACAATGCATTCCTCTTCAGCGTGCGATTCAAAAGATCCCGGTTCGCGCCATCAATGCGCAGCGGTGTCGGGACAGTAACCAAACAAGGGAAGACGGCATCTTGCGCAGCGGTAGAAAGATTCCTACCAGAAAGAACCGTCCCAAAGGTAACATTCAGCTCTCCGGTGTAAGCAGAGAGCAAACGACCCCAAGCGACTTGACCGGCTGCCTGTAGTGTCACACCGAGATCCCGACATGCGTCATCGAGAGTCTTGCGGGGCTGAGCGCAACGGATGGACGTATTGAGAAGTCTACGCTCGTCTGAGCGGATAGGATGTAGATCTGGGAATTTGGAAGGGTGGACTTCTGGAGCTAGATCTTTCCAGAAGTTGGCGGATTCGCTTTGCCCCTTGCTTTCGATGAGAATGGGGCCAAGGGTTGCGGTTATTGGAGCCCGGGGGGTAAGCGTACTCCCTTCGTATGCTGCTTTCACATCTGCGAAGATGGAAGACAAAGATTGAGCATCGTAGATGGCGTGTAGCGCAGAGAAATGCATAACGCGGGTACTTTCGCCGGTTTCGACCTCAATGCCCCAAGGGGGCTGGTGGAGATTTTCCAAAATGGTCTTTTCTTGAATAGGAGATTCAGCTGAACCGTACCAAGGTAATTCAGTGTTCTGATAGGTGATCATAGCGAATGGATGCTGTTGATCGTGCAGCTGTACAAAGCCCGTCCGCAGCATCTCATGCTGAGCTGTGACTTTAGCCCAGGCTTCCTTCAGACGCATTAATTGCAAAGGCGCCGAGAAGTTCAAAGCCATGCGGTTGAAGTATACACCGCCATGCGAATGTGTAAACATAGCTAACATGCCATTTTGCACAGGCGTGCAAGGGCGCAGAGACTGTATATTCTCAGAAGAAATGCCAAGCTGTTTACAAACAACCTGGAGATGCTGGCTTTGGAAAGCCTCAAAATCGTACACCGCTTCCTCGCCAACATTCTCCCTTTCAGTGAGAAGAGAAGCAATCTGATCAATAGAAGCAGCTTCAAGAATATCCCCAGATGAAATCTTGTACCCCAGTCCACGCAGCTTCACGGAAACCTGAACGGCATTGATACTATCCAGACCGAGCTGGAAGATAGTCATATCCTGGGATATATTTTCCGGCTCGACATCAGAGAATTTGCACAGAATATTTCGAACAGCTTCCTCCTGACGAGACCAGGGGCGAGATGGTCGGGATTTAGTCGTCCGGAAAACAACAGCCTTGTGTTGCGACACCTGCTCAAAAACACGGGGAATGTTCACACCCAAGATCCGCTTGTCAGACGCCTGAGCAGAAGTATATTGAGAAATGTGTTCGACCAGAGTGACGAAATCCTGCGCAATTTTTTCGGCCGCAATTTGTGAAATGTGCGATTCTTGAAAGTGCAAACAAATCTGGATAGTGTCCGCAGACTCATCTGGCACAATTTCACAAATGAGAGGGAATCCCATATTTCCTTCATCTTGAAGAAGCTCCCAGATCCCGCTATCTAGATCGGTTTTCTTGTTCTGGAAAACGAGCAAGGTATCGAAAAGCCGAGAGCCAGCACCAAGAACACGTCGTTGAATCCGTCTCAGCGGACTGAGTTGGTGTGGCAAGATTTCACTGTTGCTTTTCTGGGCTATCTTCAATATATCATTGTTGGTTGCGGTTGAAGATGATTTGATTCGGATTGGGAGAGTGTTGAAGCACGGTCCGACAATTCCATCGACACCATCCAGTGGGATGGTTCGGCAGCTGAATACATTGCCGAAGCAGACGTCGGCAGAGTCGGTGTATAGCAACAGGAGCCTGGCCCATGCGGCGTGAAAGACATTCAAGGGACTCACGGAGAGATCTTTGCATTGCTGCTTGAAGGATCCAAAGGAAGCTTGGAGGGATGTGTGGATTTGTTGTGAGGCGGAGTCGTCTGCATTGGCTGTAAGGAGGAGAGTTGGCGCAACACCAGCCAAATACCGGTCCCAGTATTCGTCTGAGATGCCGTGGTCGACGGAGATCATGTAGTCAATGAAGCGGTGGAATGGTGTGCCTTCCGGTAATTCCTGGCTTGAAAGTGACAACTGTAATTCATGCAACAACTGCGATATACCCTCTCCGTCGTACAATGCATGGTGGATAGACAACAGAAGATGTGTCTTCTGTGTATCTGGATCAGTGATCACAGTCAACGAGTAAGGCAGCTGGCCGTTGACAGGCGAAATTTCCTCAAACTTGGACTTGTTCTCCTTGATGACGCTCTCAAGACTACGAGTCTCAACTTGATACCACGGCAAGGCCGAAGTATCCAAGATGACTTGAGCATATGCAAATCGCTTCTCATTAGTCTGTGTGAAACAAGTCCTGAGAATGCCATGTCTCTGCATCATCCGAGCCCACGCCGCTTTCATAGCCTCAGTATCGCTGTGTACAAGAAGTAAGAGATGGTTGAAATATGCCGACTGTCCACCAGACCCAGCTGCAAGCATAGCCTCCTGCAGGGGCGTGCAAGGGTAAATATCCTGAACGGCCGTGCCAGTGGCTTTGAATCCGTCTTCTACTTGACGGATGAAAGTTTCGTCGAACACCACGGTAGATCCATGGACCTTAGCTTGCGCAGACTCATGTCCATTTTCATTGACCATGGGGGAAATAACGGAAGCAAGTTGGGAAACAGAGCTATAGCGCAGAATTGTCGACACGGCAAGTCTTCCACAGCCGGATTCCTGTAGCTTTCGCGAGAAAGAGATGGCAGAAAGTGAGTCCAAGCCTAATCTGTAGAAAGACGTGTGCTTGTCGATGTGGCTTTGGTCGGTGCCGGTAACTTCCGATAAAGCGATAGAGATGATTTTTTCAACGTTAGTGAGACTGTCATCGGTACCGTTGGCATTGAGCTTGGGTGAGAAAACTGCGAGCTCCTCTTTGCTCAGTTGTTCCAGTCGCTGAGTCAACAGGAGGTAGTCGGTCTTATAGGACGGAGTGAGACTAATATCTTCCACGAGAACAAGAAAGTCAGGGATACTAGAAATTGGCAGGGTTTTGCTTAGCTCTGCAAAGAGGTCATTCGTGGCCTCCTCGATTTGAATAGGACCTGCAAGTATTTTTGATGGAACCCAGAACACGACTAATTGCTGCTTTCCAAGTTTCGAATTCAGAATCATATTGACGGATTCTCGAACGAAATCCAAAGCCAAGAACGCACGATCAACTTCGTCAAGATCGACGATCTGGATATGCGCCTTCTCGGGGCCGGAACCCGGAGAAAGTATCAGCGTACCATCAGGAAGCATCCTACCATAATCACCAGTCCGATAAATCCGACCGTACTCAGGATGATCAACAAATCGACCAGCCAAAGATATCTTCGCGCCAGGAAGACATTTTCCAAGCTGGTCACCACCAAAGGAAATCTCTCCGACAGCACCACGAGGAAGTGCACACAATGACTCAGCATCTGTAATGATCGCGAATGTGTTTCCCAGCGGTTGGCCGATATCCCGGATAGATGTTGAAATACCGATCTCAGAGATTGTGCAAGCATGAACCAGTGCTTCGGAGCTGTGAGCGTGATACAGTCCCTTCCCGGCCCAATTGCGATGAAGTCTGGGTGTCAAATGTTCGCCCATACTAAGGAGGTACTGCACACTTGGGACAGCTTCAGGATCAACATGAGAGGCCAACGAAGGAGTCAGATGGAGGTGTGTTATGCTCATATCTTGGCATGCTTGTTCGAGTGATATCTTGGTAATGTCTGAAGCCGAACATAATGTGACTCCATTTTGCCAAGCGAAAAATGCTTCGAACATGGAGGTAGACTGAGATGAGAGGATTTTTGATCCTGTCGGCGTTGGGTATACTTTTGATAGAGCGGTGATGCTGCTGTCTAGGTTCTGGCGAGAGATGACGATGGTCTCCGTCGTATTATTCGCCTTGGCTTCAGCATAGGCAATGTCAGAACCCTGGTTTTTATAAGGAATGTTGAAGCCATGGTAGACATCAAGCGAGTAAGAGAGGTGAATCCGCTGGACAATTTTTAAAGAAGGCAGGCGGTGGTCCTTCTCTGTCACAGAGTCGACGATACAGAACTTGGATTTGGTACTGGAGAGCAGAGAATTGATCGCGCTTTCAGAGCCCGGTGAGAGGAGCACAACGGCAGCACCAGCCTTGGCAATTCCAAGCACGGAAACGTACAAGTCAATAGACGAAGTCAGAAGAATGGACACTAGATCAGTCTTCATCACTCCAACATGAAGCAACAGATGTGCAAGACCATTAGCGCGAGAGTTTAATTCTCCATAAGTGATCCTTTCGATAGCAGTGCTGGAGGTGTCTGAGTTAGAGCTTATCACTTCAACAGCAACCCGATTTGGATCCGTAGAAGCAACTTGCTCAACACCAGTGGTCAATGACGACTCATAGTTTGTCGCCGCCAAACCATGGTAAACCGACAACGCTTCAGTAGGGAGAAGCTCTCGAATTTCCCCAATAGGAAGTTCAACCCGGTCAATCAAAATAGCAGCAACAGCATCAATCTGCTGCAGTAAGATATCCGCCTGCTCAAGCGACAAAACCGCATGCTGGAAAGTAGCCCTAGCAAAGACACAGTCCTCTCTGGGTTCAAACTCCAACAGAAGCGCAAACTCCAAAAATTCGCCTGCATCAACTTCCCGGAAGACATCATGCTCGTCGGCCCAGATACTCTCCTGCCAAACTAGAGCTGTATCAAACAGACTGCGGTCGAGATCGATGCCGGATGCTTTCTTGATATCCTGTAGTGGGAGACTTCCATGTTCGAGAGATTTACGGTTCATGTTCGTGATGGCGAGAAGAAGATCGGATATGTTTTGCATTTTTGAGAGGTCCATGCGTGTTGGAAGGGTTCTGATGCATGGTCCTAAGATTGTTTCGATGCCTTTTAGGGGGAGGGTTCGACCTGAGAAGACGGTTCCGAAGGTTACGTCTTTTGTGCCGAGGTAGGTGGAGAGGATGTAACAGAAGGCTGCTTGAAAGATTGTTTGGCGGCTGACGCGGTGGTGATGGGTTACTTCGTTGAGTTTTGAAATTGGGATTTGGAGGATGCGGGCTGTGTGTAAGGTTGCCGGCTTGAGGTCTGTTCTGCCGTGGAAGACGGGGAACGGCGCGGGATTTAGACCTTGGAGTTGATCGCACCAGTAGGTCGAGGACTCTGTGGACGATTTGTCTAGCTTTTGCTCGATGAAGAAGTTCGTGACGACGGTATAGGTTGATCTGGATGTGGGTTGTTCTCCGGCCAGGATGCCGCGAAGATCTTTCAACATGAGCTGCCAGGACCAGCCATCGTACAGTGCATGGTGAATGTGTACAAGAGCGCGGAGACGATCTTTCTCGTCCTTAATCTGAACTCTGAATGGGTTCAAGACATCGTGGCCTGCAACCAAGGACACATCATACTCAAATGCCCCCTCCACCTGTAAGACATGTTCATCAACATCCTTCCAAGTAAAACGAGCATATGAATGATCCTTAAGACCAATCTCCACAAATCCAGATCTCAAAATCTCATTATGCTCCGCAAGTTTCGCAAAAGCACTCTTCAACTCAGCCGAATTGACTGAGGGCTCAAATTCCAGCTCGATCCAGTTACAGTATGCCTTGTCATCTCTGATAGTCTCTAAAATCATAGCCTGCTGAATATGACTACAAGGCACGACACCCGAGACGAGCATACTTAAGCCCATCGCATCAATCATCGTGGCGCCCGCATCTGAGACAAACTCGGAAATCGTTTGCAGGGCAGCTTGCACATCTCCTGTGGAACCAGTAGCTTCCAAATTCGTAGCAAGTTGCCAGATTCCTTCCACGGAATCTACTTCCAGCAGGGTCGCAACACCGAGGCGGATTCCTGCATCGAGAAGATGAGACGCTAGGCGGATTGCCGCCAGTGAATCCAAACCGGCCGATGCCAAACTCTCTGTTGGTGCGAGTCGCCGGCCGATTACGCCAGCCACGCATGAGACAATGGCTTCTTCTTTCTCATCGCGACACTCCAGATTGAAAGACTGTGCGGTGCTGCGGTATTGAGCGAAATCGGCTTCTAAGGTTTTGCGATCGGTCTTGCCAGATGGCAGTTGGGGAAATTGATCGACGAGCACAAATTCACCAGGGATCATAAAGCGCGGGAGCAGTTGGCGACATACGTCTCGCAAGTTGCTCTCGGTAACGCCTTTGTCTGTGACGAGGACGAAGGCGACGAGGTTTCCGTCGATAACGATTGTCACGGCACTGCGGACTCCAGAGGCTCTGGTAATAACGTGCTCGATCTCGCCAAGCTCGATACGTTGCCCGCGAAGCTTGACTTGGCCGCTGGAGATTCGGCCGAAACATTCGATCTCGCCAGAAGGCAGCATGCGGGCTTTATCGCCCGTTCGGTAGAGTCGTCCATATAACGGATTGTCAATGAAAGCTTTGGCATTTTCTTTGGGACGATTGATGTATCCATCTGCCAATTGAGGACCACCGAGAACAAGTTCTCCGATTTGACCCAGGGAGAGGGTCCGAAGCTCGTTGGAATCGTCAGATGGAAGAGACATGATATATGCGGAGACCGTTTTGAATGTCGTTCCGATCATGTTCACTCGGTCCTTAGATTTGAAATGGGTGGCTGCGGTGCAGTGGATTGCGGCTTCAGTAGGTCCGTACATGCCATGGAGGATGCCGTCCCCGGTTTCAGACCGCCCGAACTCGTCTACCACGTGCCTGGTGAGCATTTCACCGATGGTGAGGAGCACGCGGAGGGAAGGTGCTGCGGCTCGTGTGCGCAATAACTCTCCCGCGACTGTAGGGGTCAACTCGGCAGCGTCGACCTTCATTGTGGTCATTACATGGGAGATGTCGAGAAGCATATTCTCTCGCTCGGAGCCGATGAGGGTGGCACCACGCATTATTGGGAAAAAGACCTCGAACACAGAAACGTCAAAAGTGGGAGATGCAAATTGCAAGAATCGCTTGAATGGGGGTATCAAATCATCATGAGCAAGCAGTGATTGGGTAACAGCGAGATGGGACACCCCAACGCCTTTGGGGCGGCCCGTGGATCCAGAGGTGTACATGACATAGGCCAGATGAGAGGAGGAACACTCGATTGTGAAAGGCTCTATGGGCTCGTTTGAGAGGTTGTCAACGGTGAGAATGGACAAGTGCTCGTTGGGTGGTATCTTTGAGGCAAGTGCATCATTGGTGATGACCACAGAAGCAGCCACATCTTGTAGAATAAATTCGATCCGGTCTGTGGGTGCATCGGTGTTTAAGGGACAGAAAGCAGCACCAGATTTGAGGATAGCCAGCCATGAAATGTATAATTCCACCGACTGCGGCAGTAGCACTGGTACGACCCTCTGTACGCCATTGATAGTCGAAGCATGAGCTATTTCACTCGCGAGCTTCGAGGAAAGCTGATCCAAGTCACGGTACGACAAGCAGCGAACGCTTCCATCCGCCGCGAGGAACTCAATGGCGTGGTTCGCCTCGGTGATTCCGCGCAAAGCAAGCTCGTGCAAGAGACCCGGACCGGGCAGTATAGCGGGCTCAGCATTGGAAATGGCGGGAGTCGGAACATCTAAAGCAGACAATTCTACGTGTATGTTTTGGAGAGACGCCTGTTCCTGCACAATCTGCTTGAGCTGTTTCCCTAACTCGTATAGGAACGGGGCATCCATGCCTCCGGTCGCACACAAAGCTCCTGATTTCGAGGTGGGGTCCAAGGTCCACCGCAATACCGGAGGATGTCTGTCATCCTCGAATAAGGGATCTCCCAACACCACAGCTGTGTGTTTGACGGAGAGATCTGATACGGTAGCCAAATCAGCTGGTTGGACCGTTTGGATGGATAGATCTGCTTTGACAGGGGCCCCGTTCAACAAGAAGACCGGGTTCTCATCGGTGGTGAATGCTCGTAGCAAGATTGCCCATGACAATGCCAATACCTCCGAGGGGAGTTGGATGTCTAGGTGCCATGGAACGATGTGAACATCATTCCCGTCGTCGTTGACGGCAGGGAACTGTGTGAATCGATCCATGATGTTTATTTTCTCTTCTGCTTGCTTTTTTGTTCCTTTTTTTCAGTGCATATTCGAAGTTTATAGATGTTTGCTTATGCGTCTTTATTAGGTGAACTGTGAGTGGTTGGACTCCGATAGGATCTTATGCAGGCAAGCGCGCGAAAAAGAATAGTTCCCACACGAGGCCCTTGGTGAAAATAGAGGGGTTTTTTGAAGCAAAAAAAAAAAGACAAAACCCAAAGAGAGGGGGAAATGCCAACACTTTCCATTCATGGACGAGGATGATCTTTGGCGAGTCAAGCGCCAGAAAGTGAAGGGTAAGGTTAGGAGTGGATTGTCATAGAGAATAACGCTGGAGAGTGGGTGCACTAAGAGATCAGAATCCTACGTTCCGATGAGTTTCCCGTTTTCTTCCCCAAACGCTGAAGTGTATACTATGAGTGATTTGCAAAAAAACAGAATATAGTCGGAATCAACTTGCCCTGTACCTATAATCATCTGACAGTTTTAAAAACGTGAAGATCATACCATTTTATCTCCCATTATCTCACATTCCCCCCCCATCATTCGGCTGAATCATCCGTTAACGGGTTCCTGTTTGGGCACAGAGTACTAAGTGGACCGTGTGAATGGCCAAGTTCATGTGCTGTGACGTATGGTTACAGGTAATTTATTTATTTGAACCAAGCATAGTACATCGTACATCGTACATATATGTGTATTGAATTTAGATTTGAAATATATGTATTGCAAAATATTAAATACAAATGTATACCGCTGATGGTATGTATGAACTCTAAAGTGTATCCCACGTTGCAATGATGTGCATTACAATAACCATGCAAATGGGAAAACTTATGATAAATTCATTGTCTGAGCTCAGTACAGTAGAACTAAAAAGCAAAAAAAGTAAAAAGAACAGCCACTGACCAGTGTGCGGAGGTAATTTCCTTGTAGCTGCATAACATCTCCACAGTAAAACGAGTCCAGTGCGTCGCCAAGAAATGGTCTACAACGTGCATATTCTCTTTTCTCTCGATGACCTCAAACGAAGACCCAATTTTCCCGAACATCGGCTGTAAGACTGAATTACAAATGCCTTGATTCTGTCTGGCTAGAATTGTAGGCGCATGAAGCGTGAAACCTTTTTAAATCTTTTGTTTTATTTTTGTTTTATTTTTATTTGAATCAGATTTAATTTCTCCGGTATGTTGATATATTTCATATCTTTTCCTGCATACGGAGTACATATGTACAATAAATTCATGCATGTGGAGTGTATGACAATGATACTCCCAGTAAAATATAAAAGGACAAAAACATCAATACCGGGATCTCTCCATGATGAATGGCGCCAGAAGAAAAATCTACTCAAACAAAGTGGAGAAGAAATCAACTGATTGATAAAATTCAAATCGGAACAGAATATTACACATTGTACGGAGTACTGTACGTGGATAGACTTGGCAATTCAAGCGAAGTTGGTGTGTATCCACTTGGGTTTTTTTATCTGATCCGCTTTAGATTCTTTTGATTCTCGTTCCGAGCTGTTACGATCAGAAGGAAGAAAAAAAATTATATATTAGTGTGAAACATTTCTACATAAAAGCCTTTTCCCCCTGCAGCACATTTATTATCTTTTCATTCTTTTCTTGAACCTTAAAAAGAACGTGGTCGTCATGGAACCCATTAAGTCAGAGCTTCCCTTCCTCGACATGGTGCCACGCGCCCCCCAAACAGGTCGGTCGCTGTTACGCCCAACCGGTTCCGATGAGATGCACGATCTACTTTGTGTCGGTTTTGGTCCGGCCTCACTTGCCATTGGTATCGCCATGAACGACGCCATGGACCCTGCCCTCGGTGCCAAGTCAGCCTTCAAGCCCAAGGTCTGTTTCCTGGAGAAGCAGGACCAGTTCGCTTGGCACTCTGGCATGCTGGTTCCCGGATCGCGCATGCAGATCTCCTTCGTTAAGGATCTCGCAACCCTCCGCGATCCTCGCAGCAGCTTCACTTTCCTCAACTACCTGCACAACAAGAACCGTCTTATTCACTTTACCAACTTGGGTACTTTCCTACCCGCTCGCGTGGAGTTCGAGGATTATATGCGTTGGTGTGCGAAGCGATTCGAGAATGTCGTCAACTACGGCGAGGAAGTTGTCGAGGTCGTGCCCGGTCAAACGGATGCTCGTGGTGTCGTGGATTATTTCACCGTTGTCTCGCGCAACACCGGTACTGGTGAAATCACCTCGCGCAATGCTCGCAAGGTCGTCATTGCCATTGGTGGTAAGGCCAAGATGCCACCTGGATTTCCCCAGGATCCTCGCATCATGCACTCCTCCAAGTACTGCACCAACCTCCCGCAGATGCTGAATGACGATCTGGCTCCTTATAACATTGCCGTCGTGGGAAGCGGCCAAAGTGCCGCAGAAATCTACCACGATCTGCACCGTCGCTACCCCAACTCGCGGACTACCCTGATCCTTCGTGACTCTGCCCTTCGTCCCAGTGACGATTCTCCCTTGTGAGTCTTCTCTCATCTCAATCTCAAATCGAATCAAGAAGCTAACCAAATCCAGTGTCAACGAGATCTTCAACCCCGAACGTATCGACAAATTCTACAACATGACCGCCGACGAGCGCAAGAAGCGCATCGCTACCGAAAAAGCAACCAACTACAGCGTCGTCCGTCTCGAGCTCATCGAAGCCATCTACAATGATATGTACCTCCAGCGCGTCGAGAACCCCGACGAGACCCAATGGCAGCAACGCATCCTGCCCGAGACCAAGATCGCCCGCATTGAGCACCACAACTCCAACAACCGTATGCGCATCCACGTCAAGTCCGTGAAGAGCGAAACAGAAGGCAAAGAGGTGCTGGATGTCGACGCTATCATGGTAGCAACGGGATACATGCGCGATGCGCACGAGGAGATGCTCGACAACATCCGCTCGCTGCAGCCCGCGGGTGCCAACGGATGGAACCCTGGTCGTGATTACCGGGTTTCACTCGATAGGGCTAAGGTTAGCGCCGATGCGGGCATTTGGCTACAGGGTTGCAATGAGAAGACTCATGGCTTGAGTGACTCTCTACTCTCTGTGCTGGCTGTGCGTGGTGGTGAGATTGTGCAGTCCGTATTTGCAGATCAGTTGGCTGGCGCTTCGGTGCAGGACACCAGAGAGCGTGCTATGCTTTGAATCGGTGAGAATAAAATTACGCGGTTATTTGATTCCCCCTTGGCTGTTTTGGGTGGACATTAGACATCCTGTTTACTTAGAATGATTTCTTTGCATTAATGAGCTATTTCTCTTTTCTATACATCATTCTTACATTTTCTTATATTCTCTTTTTTCTCCTCTTCTTCTCGGTATTCGGCTTAAGCCGCCAGATCTTCAGGGACTGACATAAGTACCTAAGTAGGTAATAAGCACCGATGTCAAGTGGAGAAATGCAGCCCGATATTAGCTGTAGGCACTCCGTAATTCGGGTTTTCACAGAAATACCTAGGTACAACTACATACAATACTTTAGTAAAAAAGAAAGAAAAAATAATAAATTACAATCCCGCCTTTCAACCTTGGCAGAAGAAAAAAGCACGCCAACCGCTATAGCCGAAGGTTTGATGCCGATCGCAACTTGCTATTCTACGTTGCAGTTGGATCTATGTAGTTATTTTACTACAGGTTTTTTGGTACACAATTTCTAATTGTGTTAGCTTCTATAGATATGTATATATGTATATACACGTATCTGCATCTTTCTACATCTATAACACCTAGTCAGCTGCTATGTTAAAGATGTAGGGTGTAAGTAAACATCAAATCAGATAACAGCAAGTGGGCCCTGCATGGATCAGATAACTCGAATTTTTTTTATCAGATCGGATACCTTGGCATATTATTGTTTCTTCACGCGTATGATGTGTTCATTCATCGTGGTTACTATAGTTCAATTGATTCAAAATCCATGGATGATATGAGACATCATTAGGCCTGACCGTAACTTCCAAGGTCAAACTACATCAACTATGGAGTATCTCTATGCCAATCACCTGCCTAGTCGGTCTTCCGTTAGCGAGATGGAGCCGTGCATACGCACTTAATCTTAATCTTTTTTTTTATTTAATTTTCCTTTTCGAGAAATTTACACGAGCATTCCTTGATCCTTTCTGGTTGCCTTTTCTTTTATGTCAGAAATCGTAGTTCCGAGGTTACATACTGCTACCATATACTCCGTAGCAGCATTACCCCGAACAATAAGACCGTAAGCCACACAAATATGCTCAATGTATCTGAGATACATACGAGTGTAGCTACTCACTACTTCCTTGGAACCTCGTGAAGGAATTTTAGCGTAATGTACAATTCCTCACGAATACCTAGGTACCGGGCCTCGTGTTTGCTCCATAGTCCAGGCTAGACCGGTACGGTAGAGACCGAGATTAGATCTTCCCCGATTCTTTGTTTTTTTCTCCCTTTCCGAGGTCCCAATTATACATATCTTCTCGGCTCTAGATTCGGCGATATCGGATGTCTCAGACGAGTCCCGCTTCTATCCCGAGCTGTCGTTCGGTCTTTTCCGCTGGGTTTACTAGACAAAGTATCTTGTAATGCCTTGCTATATACATACTGTACCTGCAACTAAATGGGTCCTATCTTCAGGTTCCATCCTAGCCTTACCGGAGGGTCTTGAAATTGTAAACGAGGTCGATATAGCGTATCGTATAGTATAGAGCGTGCGATACAGTAAGCCGAGACACCATGTCAGGCCACACTGGAGATACCGGTACAAAGCCAAGAGATTCAGGGCTCTATCAAAAGTACCTTGCCACTTACCGGTAGTAGCGTGTGCGCTGGCAATGCAGGTACCTTAGCTGGTATGTATTGTAAATCCGTACACAGCAAATCTGACACATCGAATCTTGAGCGCCAATCGGCTCCTTCGGACGCACGCTGCACAGTGTTTAGAGGCTTTCCCAGGTAGGCATGTTTCCAGAAGCCGGAGTTCGGCCGTAACTGCAGGGCCATGGGAGTCTGATCATCTTATCTGATTTAATGTTTGTGAAACTTGCACTGAAACGTGGGGACATCAGACACTAATTTATCGCTGGATATATATGGATGAACTATATAGTAGTCAGATATGCACCTAACTGACGACTTCGGTTATACACTGGGAGACAAAATGATAGAAGGTAAAGGTTATCGTTCTGCTTAATAGTAAATCATTAATGTCTGTCTGTACATCTAAATGCAAACATTCGTGCCTGCTCAATGCAACACCGCGCTGATTTGCATGAAACAAATATAAGGATATCAATGCATGCGCAACAATAATGCCACGCTCACTGTCGAGCAAACTACACCATACGTTCTGGGTCCTCACCAGCAACGCTGCGGTAGTTCGCTCCCTCGGACCGGCCGGTATGCATGCGCATCGGAGTTTCGTACATATCATGATAATTGATCACCTCGCCGCCGAGCATTCCAGAACCGTTCACACGCTTGCCAAAGAGCGGCGCGGGATCGCACCAGAAGTCGCGGCAGTTTGTGACTACGCCCCGGGAGAAGGGGTTGCGGGGACGAGCCGCTTGGGGCCCATCGCGGAGTCCGTCCTTGGCGGTCGTCCAGAAGGCGTCGATACCGAGAAGGGATGACCATTGGGCGAGACAGCCGTGTTTTCGGCGGGGTGCTGGAGGGCCGAGGAGTGCGGGGTTGGGCCCTTGTCCTGCGGCCGTGAATCCGGCCGTCTCCATTGAGGTGGTTCCAGCCGTCATAGCCGATGCAAAGGCCTGAGAACTGGGGTAGGACCGATCGATGTGGTGGCCTCGCATGTTCTCGTAGGTGGTCTGATTGCGGGAGATCTGGACGAGCTGGACGGCGCATAGCATCGTGACCCAGACGAGCTGGAGAGTGATCCAGATGTTGAGGACTAGGGTGAAAGTGTCGCGAGATGCGTAATCGCACAAGGTGTCGTTGATCACATTACACGTAACATTACTGGGGGCGGGTAGAATGTTGATATCTGCATCTTCGTTAATGATTGATCGACTGATGATGTTGGGCTTGAACTCACAGGCAATGGTCAGCTGCACAAATAGAAGAATACCGACTTCGAGAGAGACTATATAGAGGACAAAATGACGGAGGTTGTTCGACCCCACGCAATTATCAATCCACGGGCAATGGCTGTTCACAGATTAGTAATCAGATCGACTAAAGAAAATCGTGTTAGAGCAAATACATACTGATCGTGCTTCGCAACGCAGCGTCCACAACGCCGACAGTGCTTGCTCCGGAGCGGTTTTCTCGCCATGCAGGGGATGCAGAAGTTCTCCTCGTCAAACTTCCATTGTTCGAACAGCTCCTTGACAACCTCTCTCTGTTGGTTCCTGCTGTTCAACTTGGGGACGTAGCCCGGGTCCTGGACCATAGAGAAGATGTAGAAGTAAGCGGTAGCGCAGAAGAACACCGCGAATAGGATGTTCAGGATCGGGGATGTAGAGTAAGTTGCGGGTAGGACCTTGAAAGCCCAGCGGAGGCCAACCCAGAACAACGTTCCGGCGAAAACACCTGCCAGGTAAGGCGTCTTCTGCAAGATGCGATATTCCGAAGGACCCTTGTTCGCAACTTGCTGTGCAACGTACTGCATCCCGAATACGGTCACCAGCACAAGGGGCACAGACATGAAGATCGCCAAATGACTGAGCATCCAGAGCGCGACCAGAATCGTCAACCAAGGCCACAAAAAGAAGAACTTAGCCATAACACTCTTGTTGCGCATAAAGCTGGACAAGCCCATAGGGGCCACCTTCTGCGTCCCATCAGCCTCGTACCCGCGCTCGTTGAGCGAGCGGTACCAAACGCGCAGGGTGTTCATTTCCTGCGCCACAGTTGCAGGCGACTTTCCATCACGGGTCTTTGCAAAGCGATCGGCGCCGTACTCGAGCAACTTCAAAACGCAGGGCATTGAGCCCTTGACCAGCGCCCAGTGGAGCGGTGTCAGACCACCTTCGTCCATGGCGTTCGCGTTGGCGCCCCAGCGCAGGAACAAATCCACGCACGCGGGATATCCTTTGTACGCAGCCCACATCAGTCCAGTGTGTCCTTGTTGATCAACCACGTCCACGGGAATCTCCTGGTGCAGGAGGAGGACGACCAGGAACGCGTTGCCGTCGATGGTCGCCAGGTGGAGAATGTTGTATCCTTGGACATCAGTCAGGAGGGGGTCTCCACCATTCTGGAGCAAGAGGTTGACAATGTAGTAATGACAGCGCTGCGCGGCCCACATGGCGGGTGTCGCCACCGATTCACCTCCTTTGGCGTTGACATCGGCTCCAGACTCGAGTAGGAATTTGCACATCGCATATTGATTGTTGATTGCGGCCCACTAGAAATGGGGATGATTTTGTCAGTAAACACTGCGGGTTGTGTGAGGGTTGCGCAGGAAATAAAACGAACATGTAATGGTGTGATCCCCTCCTCGTCGCGATAGTTTGCGGTGAACTTCTTGGCTGTGAACAAGTTCTGCATGGCGCCAATCTCTCCCATCCGGGCTAATTGCATCACATCCTCGCCCAGGGGAATTGAACCCTTGGGAGGATCGGGTCGCAAGCTCTTCATCTCCACGTCGTTCGGGGTCTCCTTTCCATTCGGTGCTGACGTGGAACCGGAAGATTGGCCCGGGCTGGGGCCCCGGGATTCTGCTGGTGCTGGTTTGGCGGACATTTCTGTTGGTTCTGTTGTTTCTGTTATTTCTGTCGAGTCTATTGTTGGTATCGGTTGTTGTTGACGCAAAGGGGACTCGGTTCGGAGATTCGGGTTTGAAGCGAGGATCTAAAAGGACATTGCGATTCTCTCACAGGCGCATTCACGGAGTCGTTTCAGGTCGTAAGATAAAAAGCCTCCCAACAGATAGTTACGTTGGGTGATGAGGAAAGTCGATAGGACTTTTTGGCGGTTAACAATTGATGTTTTGCGGAGACGCTAACTTAGACTCCGACTCCGACTCGTCGACTCCAGAACTTCCAGCAATGGACTAGTTATAGTTAATGCCGTTTATGTCGAATGATAAACAGACTTAGAATGTGATATATTCAATATACAACAATCTTTCAAGTCCAAAGTCAAGAAAGTCAAGAACTCCCTTTATTTTTTTTCACAGCCACAGCTGGGCAGGGCTGAATGATTACTCAGCCACAGGCAGCCGCATTTTATCCTGCCTAGGGCTATTTACTTCTTTGTACTCTTCGCACGGAGTGATTTATGACAGTTATAACTGTTATTATAACATTTATCAGGAATATATATCGTATTCTGATCACATTAATCGAAAACTTCAATGAGTTGTAATCTATATGAAGCCCTAGGAACTGGAGCTATCAATCAAAGTATTCTTACCCTACAAGTTCCCTATGATCTATATAAGAGCCAAAAGCAAATCAACTCAACTCAAGTCAAGTCAAATCAAGCCTAGATACTCTACACCAAAGTATTCAGTTGGCATAACTTTCTAACCCATAGGGACCGGTGGCCTCTCTGGTCAAACACTGAAAACTACACCAAGGACCAGGTTCCTGAACTCGATTCATACGCATCCAAAGGTTCATAAAGTTTCGGATTGCGCTGGGCTTGATGTGCCCATTTGGAATCCTCTTCGTTGACTTTCTGCACGAAGTGCAATGCGTAACCATCCACCATGCGATGATTATCCAGAGTCAATCGTCCAACATGCATAGCGAACATCGCATATATTTTCTTGAGCGAGGAAGAAAAATTGGCTTGGTGAAAATCATTCTCGTCAAACTCAGTCTTGTCGAAATTGATCTGCTCAGCGATCTCTTGCATGATGGCTGCGAGGTTGCAGCATTTTCCATGGATGCAGTCGCACAGTTCTTCGAGATCTTGTCCAGCAGAGGAGCAATCCTCTAGTTCTTTGCTCAAACGGTATAGTTCTCTTGCGATTGCAGTACCGTTCTTGTCTTCCAATTGGCGGGATAATACTTCGAGCTTGGTGACGAGGACGTTTCGCTTTTCGATGAAGATCTCGCGTGCTACTTTCATACCGGTTGTCTCCATAATTGCGGTTAGTGTATAAATCTGGGGAAAGGTACTGACCTTATTTTATCGGTGTCTTGGTTTCGAGTCTTGCTTTGTACGGTAGAAAGACCAGATGGTGTATAGCTTCAGATGGTTGAAATTGATAACTATTCCATACACTTCATGGGAAACACCGTTAGCTTTATACTCGAGGATTCAAATTCACTTGTCCTTGTCATAACATCTGGTCTCTCTATCTCTTTGTCTGTAGAAAAAGATATTTATTGAGCTGATATAAAGAGCATAAAGGGACAAAAGACTACGGAACAAATGGTTCTTTCAAAATTATATCTGGTATCACATTGTGCAATTCAGCAAAGATCTAAGTAAAAAATGTATGCTGACACTTGCTAGTTTTTAAAAAAGTAACAATGATGATAATAAATTGATTCTATGCAAGGAAATTCTGCTACAAGTTTATATGTACTCATTTGTGAGTTATCAACTGGCGTATTCCAAGCTCCACTTTCCAATTGTCGTGCCTCCGCACCGCATCAAAACAACAATGATGAAAACCCCGACAGACCAAATTTTGTCAATCCTCAAGGATAGAGACATTTCAATCAGGCGGGATGTGATTGACTCGGCTTTTGAGGATGTCCGGAATGTGGAATGGGCGTCGAAACACCTCCGTCCTGACACCTTACTTTCAAAAGAGGAGCTCGCGCTGTAAGCCCTTCAGCAGTACCCAATTGAGAAATAACACTGATTGAGAAAGATACACCAAGCTCGAAAACTCTGGCACTCTCCAATCCATACTCCGCAACCCAGAACTCGGCGCGACACGGCCAATCCTCGAAGATGACCTCCGGCACGCGATCGAGTCCCTAGAAGCCTCGACTGCAACAATCCAGAAACAGACTGAGACACTGAAATTTCAGTGCGAAAACCTCAATAAGCAATTACTTCGAGAAAACAATGTCGAGCAGCAACGAAGCCGCGATATCGCTCGGCTGCAAAAGAAACATGAAGCCGGCAGACAAAACACTACAGTGGCGGTAGGGAAATATCCGCCACGACAAATCCGTCGCGTGTTGCTGATTCTCTACAGGCCATCGAGCTCTCCGATGAGCTGGAGACCGATTTTAGAAACGCGACGGACAAGTCGGGCGCGGAAAGTAAGAGGATCCTCGCCTCTCTGTCAACCCGGTTGAAGCAAGATGACAAGACTCTCGCGGGTCTGGAGGCCCTTATGTCGAGCATCAAGGTTCGCGACAATGATGCGTCTACGGTGAAGCGTACCAACCATCTAATTGCGATGCTTTCCGACTACGTCGCGGAGGAGATCCACTACCGTCTCGACCGACTATACTTGGAAACCCTTCGTGCAGACTCGAATTCCAGCTCGCTGGATGGGGCTACGAGCACTGCACTGGAAGAAGAGCTCGAGTCTTTGTATCCGGAGATCGAGCTGCTGGCAGAGATGTCGACCAGACAGCAGTTCCACGAACCCATCCTTCGTGAACTTCAGAGAGAGCACGGGCAATTGCGTATGGCGTCCCAGGAGAAATTAGAACAGGTACGGAAACAAAGCTCCTGCTCAGTCCCACGGGATGGCATATTAACTTGCATCAGGCCCTCGACATGTTGATCGAGATGACACTATCCAAGCAAGATCTCGCGAAGCAGCTCGAAGTCCGAGAATCATCCTCAGAGCTGTTGGAACAATTAGCCGCCTTATATCAATCAGAGGCAGGCAGTGAACTCGTGACGCAACCCTCATCACGACGAGAATCTCTGCGACGACGTTCGCTACAGCCCGGTCTCATACTTACTCCTCGCGCCTCCACCACGGTTGCAGTAGCCCAACCAGCATTAGAAACTATGTTAAGGCGCGTTGGAATAGCGCCTGAATCTATACAGGGAGAGAGGGGGGGTCCACGATCTCTACGAGAAGCGCCATTATATGTGCGAGACCCTCAAAAGCCTCAATACTGCAGTGGAGGGTCCTCTCTTGTCTCACTTGGTTCCGTTGGATACTGCATCTCAACTTCTGAGTTCTTCATTGCATATCAATTCCCATTATGAAACTTCTTTGCGTGATCTTTCAGAGGAGAAGTCGCTGTCGGGCCTGGAAGCTGAATTAGTGAGGCTGCAAAATGGGGTCCAAAAGCTCAATTTGGATGTTCTACATCGACGTGATAATCTGCAGGCTCAACTCATTGCGCAGTGGAGATAGAATCGTGGCGGTGCTTTTGTTGGCCAGCATGCATATACAACATACATCATACGTCTCTCTCGGTTTACCGTGGACTCGGGGGTTTTTTCCTATTGCATTGCGGGGCATTTGTTAGGGATCGGAGATCAAGATTCAAATGGTTGGCTGAAAGTCACTGTTGGGGGGTTTTTCACGGCGGCGCCAAACTTCTTTCCCTTTGGGGCTGGAGCTCTGATTTGATCAGCAACCTTGTGGCTTAGGTATGTGGCTGATAGGTCTGCTGTGTCAACCTTTTGATCATGTTCCTATATTCTATGGCCTACATGTTACGAGGTGACTTTGGGAAATGACCGTAACTTACTGTAAAAAAAAAATTGCGCAGTGAACTTGCATATGTCAACCATTCTCGATGGGTGTTGAGCCTGTTCTAGGGTTGGACTGAAGGGTACCTCCCATCAGCGCCTATCTTATATTCCCAGTCCATGATATATCTAGTAGAACAATAGAATTATTCTATTATCTGTGTTTTCTTCATGAAACTTGAATGGACTCGTGACAAAAAAATCCATAATCATAGATAGTTGTTCACCTATAATACCCAGTGACATTCTGTTGGCTGGTTCGCCTTGTGACAGCCCTGCAGGCATCAACACATGTCAGCCACATAGTTAACTATACCACTGGAGAATTACAAGATGGTACACTATTCTACACTTTCATGAATGATATAACTATTATGATTCCCTTTTCAATACACAGAATGCTGCCTATTATCTTGTGTTGGCAATATATTTGAGTATATATATCTATATCTATATAGTGCAATTCTATAGCCAATTCTTTCTGATCTAAACAAAAACAAGTGTGGGCTTTGTTCTATATAAATTCACCCATCTCAAATATCCTACAAAGGCATCACCTGCTTTGAGTCTAGTGACCACTACAATTACCTTTGGATCCAGGTAAGTCCTTTCTTTCTGTTCATTATGCCTTTCTTCCAACCTCTCTTCTTGTCTCGAGTCTTTGTGTGTTCAAATGTCACTGTCTAATATCAGGCCCTATATATCACTTCTTTTTCCCATGTCTTAGATTCCTCGACTTTTATCAAGTTACAAGATCCAGAACCTAACTCAGCGCAGTACACACAGTTCTCGAGCAGTTCATCAAGGTTCTCGTATAGAACTACATCGTACTTACCAACAACCTTGGACATGTACACTATGTACTCGATTTATAGAAGGTCCGGCCTCACAAACCTCCACGAGGCGAACATCAGGGGAGCCAGGCGGCGATGCCGCACGTTCACATCTATGGTGGACCCTCTAAGCAACGAGGATTATCTTCGCAGTGATGAATACCAATATCGGTCTCGGTCACTATACCCTCGTGACAAGCAAACATCCTACCAACAGTATGGACAAGGATATTCTCACCATGCATCATCACTCTGCGATGGGACATATTCTCGCTACACATCATCAAGCCCCTACGATGGGACATATTTCCGCTATACATCATCGTCCCCCTACGATGGGACATATTCCCGCTGCACATCCTCATTCCCCTACGATGGGACATATTCCCGCTATAAATCATCATGGCTCTACGATGGGATATATTCATCCAATGATCAAGATGGCTACTCTCCACAGTACCCTCTGCGAGCCGAACCCCATGTCAAGTGTGAGGAACGCGAGCCACGCAGATCTACCCGGGTGCGCTGGGCTGACCAGGAATCATCTCCTCCAGACGCAACCCGCCTGGATTGTTCCAGTGGAAGACAGCGGTATGAGGTGCGTGTTCCTCGGGAAAATGGAGATTTCAATCATACCCCTTGCAACGAGGAGCGGAAACGACGACCGTATTCATATACACCCGATTCCATGTTTGCAAATCCCATCTTTGAGCGGCAGCGAGCCCCATATTCCTCATCGCGTTCGTATGAGCGGCCAGTCTCACCATCCACATCATTCAGTGACTCGGTCGACTATGAGATTCGCAGTCCACGCCCCCGGTTTTCAGGCCCACCTACAGGCTCCGCACAATATCGCACGGATCAACCTCACATCACAGGAAAGACAAATCTCAGGGAAGCGGCAAGGCGAGCGATGAATCGAGTTCCTGATTATGATAGATATAGATGTTATAGATATAGACCTTCCTGGTAGTTTGGATCTCATCTTTTTTGGGTGGGGAGGGGATATTTGGCGCATTTTGTACTATCAAATATAGACTGGATGTTTCTCTGTCATCGTCTGACTGCTGGGTTTCGCCTGGTTCTTCTGGTATTGGTTTTAGGATCGGAGAACGTTCATAGATCCAATTCATACTGGATGATTCCAAAGTACTTTTTGATAGGGGCAGCATTAGTTGGAGTTTTGGCACGGAAGTTGATACCCAACTTTTTCATTGGTTGATATTCCGTAGTGATTTATGAAATGAATGTTTTTTATGAATATTATAAAGCAATAAAGGAGCAATAGAGTAATAGACTAGAAGGGTCACTAGTGGAGTACTAAGTAGCAGTTCAGTACTCGGAGACCGATAAAGTGGCAAATTCTTATCTGTCCCCTTTTTTTTGCCCCTGGAGTCCAGCCAAATCGTTTGTTGTCTATTCCTTGATTTTGGTTCCTTTAAACTATTTTAATTGGACTCTGGATTTCTGTCTTATTCGACTCTTTTGAAATACAGAATACATCTTGTTGACCCTGTCGATCCGCTTTTCCAAATCTGTGCTTGTTGGGCGCAGTCAGAAATCAGGCTTCATACGTTCCACAACTACTATACACTACCACGCAACCCTCCCCCCCCCCCACCCCACTACGATCCCAGAACATATCTCTTCCCTATCAGCCCATCGTGACCGAGATCCCAATCGAGCTACACCAGAGGCCACAACCCGTGGAAAATGAGATATCAAAACGCACCGTCCACGACCAGGTGCGCCCTTAAATTCCCGCGCGCCTGCGGCCAGTGAACAGCCATGGCCGTCACACAAACAACCACCATGTCCGATTCCGATCGAAATAGCGCAATACTAAAGCTCGGCACTGAAGACTTTGAACCTGCTGCACCTGATTCGTCCCCTTCCGCCGTGTTCGACATTTCGCCCGAGGCTGCATTACACCTGCTATGCGAGAATATCGAGCGACTAGCCGCCATTTTCGCGAACACGCCTGCTGGCACAGACGAGTTAAACCCACACTCTTCAACGCCGCTGGAGTGTGATACACCTGGTGAAGATGGGGTGCTGGAGATGAAACCAGTTGGATTGCATGTGAAGGGCGATAATGAGGTCTATGATCCTGCGCGCGCAACAGAAGAGGCAGTTCAGATGGCCATTCTTTCCAAGAAGTTTTTGTCCAAGAAGGTGCCGCCCATTTCATTGAAAGAGTATCTGCTTCGATTGCATAAATACTGTCCTATGTCTACGGCGGTGTATCTCGCGGCCAGTGTGTACATATCCAAGATGACCCTTGTGGAGAAGGTGCTTAGGGTATTGCCAAAGAATATGCATAGGCTTGTTCTTGCAGGTGTTTGGGTTGCTAGTAAGGCTTTGGAGGACTTGAGTTATTCTCATAGTCGAGTTGCCAAGGTTGGGGGTGTCACTGAGCAGGAGTTGTCGAAACTTGAGATCAGCTTTTGTTTCCTGGCGGATTTTGAGCTGAGGGTTGATGCCCGCATGTTGATGGAGGCCTCACGTCCTCAGTCTGACTTGAAATGATCTCAGTCGCTCTCATCCGTAATCTTGTCTTGCATTATACGACCTAAGCCGGTCATTTTCTCCGGATATCTATTGGAGTTTCATTCCAAACAACATTCAACTTTTATATGTAAATAGTATATTGATATTAAATCCAATGAAAATATGCTGGAACAAACACACACACACACACACACATACACACATACTGTCAAGACTGGTTCGACGAGGCAATCTCCACGCCGGGATAGTACCAAGTGCAAACTGCCACAATGAAATAAACAAGCACACAGAGCGCACCTTCAAGGTAATTGGACTTTCCATCTCGCAAGAAATTGCCAACCACCAGAATTGAAAGCACTAAGAGGACGACCATGAAAATTTCGAAATTCAAGCTCATCTCCTTATCCATGCCCCAACCAACGATGACAGTGAGCGGCGCGATGAAGAGTGCTGTTTGGATGGAGGGTGCCAAGCAGTGGAAGAGCGCAAAGTTGATTTGATTATCCCAGGCTTCGTCAACAGCCGTGAGATGCTCGGCCGCCTTCTCTACTAGAGGCACGAGGATCAAACCGAGGAAGTTGTCGGATACACCACGGGCCACGATATACTCGATTTCTTGCACCAGGAAGTATGCAGACAAACAGACGCAGGTCAATGCAACAGCGATGACGATGATGCATTCTGTCATGGTGAGCTTGGACCTGGCAGCTTCTTCATGCCGGTCTTCGTCGTGGTGTTCGTCTATTTCTAGGATCTCGTCGAAAATGGAGTTGTGGCTGTGGAGATTGAAAAAAAGGTATCTGTTGCGGTGAGTATTAATATCAAAATGTGCTTTTTGTCTGGAATCACTTACGTCAAGAATGCCACCAGCAAAATCACCGAAGTGGCACGGCTAATGGTCAAAGCATATTCGCCCAACTGTTTCAGGGTAAACTCTTCATTGACGCTCCCACGCAACGCGGAGTAAAATGCACTTGGAATTAGCAGTCCAAAGCCTGCGACGAGAAGTAGTCCAGTACCAACTTCACTGACGGCTTCGTGGAAGGCCTGCTCCTCACGTCTGAGACCGCCAACAAAGAAACACATGCCCAGACATAGCAAAAGATTTGCCATGATGGAACCGAGAATAGCGGCCTGAATGACAGGAATATAATTCGCATGTTCCGTCCTGCCATGTTTGTATAACAAGACCATAAACAGCACGAGTTCCACCACAGAGCTCAAAGTGGTTTCAACTAGAATACCAATCATTTTGGGCAATTTCTTGGCTAGCTCTCCACCTGCAAACCCGAGCAGGTTTGCCGAGGGCACCATGGCAATGTAGTTAAGACTGAAGATCCAGACGTGAAGTTCAGGTCGGGCAAAGGCTATGGCAATGGCGGCGGGAACGAATGGCCAGAGGACGTTCACCACCATCGAAAGCGTACAGACACTCCTGAAACATACTTTGAGGAGATGCCACGGGTGCACGCCAGTTCGACCGCTCTCCCCGGCTGTGTCCACGCGAAATAGTCCACGTCGTCTCTTGGAGGTGTTCGAGTTTGTAGGTAAGATCGAGTTTTGCGAACGCTTTTCCTGGACTGTCTTTGACTGATCGCCGTTCCCGCGGAGACGCAGGTCGGCGTTTTGTGAATGGGTTGACCTGATTGAACCCATTTCAGCCTACACGTGTAGGGCAGATTGAGATTGGGCAGAGAATGAGATACAAGGTACCAGACCTTGAAATCAACACAACAAAACAAAAAAGTGAATTAGAGTATATGATATAAATGCAAAGTTTAGGAACAAACACGCTGCAGAAAGGATGAGGATAACAATCTAAAAGCACAATTGAGAAAAAAAAAGCAAAAAAAAAAGAGCAAAGGGCCAGGGAGTGCAAAGTACGGAGTAAGAGTACGGAGTAGTGCGAAGGCTATACAGCTCTGGGCCACACAAAAGAATATGGCAGGATGCGCTGGCACCTAAATGTACCAATCAAACCTCGTATGTTCAATAGCGAAATGGATCAGAGATGGAGCATCTAAGCCAGGGAGGTCTTGGCGCATCCAGCCATGTACAATGTTTTGATGCTTTTCCCGCAAAAGATCGTCGTGACCTCCACCCCTCTCTCACGTCCAAATTTGTGACTGGAAAAATATGATGAGTTGGACTGAGTTCTCATCCCGAGATCATACTGGCCATTTTAACCGATTGGTCTTCAGAATGAGTATGATGTGAGTGAATAGTTGACATATTTCCCTGTCTTTCAGGGATGAAACGCCAATCGGTTGGAGGGGGCAGCTTTGCACAGCCACCCTTGGCTCTGTAGAAAATGTAGCATTAAGCGCCACTTTTTTCTCTCTCTCTCTTTTTTTAACTCTCAGTCAGACGTATGGACATCAATGGGACCAGCAATTGGGTGGACATTTGTGCAGGCTGGGAGAGCTTGATTTAGCTTGAATTTAATCGATCGGTCAATGTAGTGCGCCATTGGGGTGGTATTTTAGCCAATCAATCACAGTGAGTGGGTAGAGATCGACCTAGTTCTTCAGGTCGGTAAACCTGCAGATGCTGGTGTATGAGGTGAAGAGGGAAGTGAGAAACAGAAGTGAGGAAATCAATAGTTATCGAGGTGTATGTAGGTATAGTTGATACCAACCTACTATCTAGACAAATACAGTGCAATCATATACAATCATATATGGATTACGCAGTAAATTTATCCTGTTCTCTATATACGTTGTAACAAATTTCGTAATCGTTAAAACCAGAGTTAATGGTTGCTCTCGAAATTTGACACCTGAAAAGTCAGGCATTGTATCGTACGGTGTGAACTGTCTAGTTATCAATCTGTGGTGGCTCTCACACATCTTCCATCGCCCCATCTCTCCTCTGATTGAGAGAAGAAAGCCCCCAACAACTCAAACGCAACGTCCCTAAAAACCATGTCGACTCAAGCCAACTGGCATTCAGTCACTGGTATTGCCACACTATTACTCGATGGAAACCTAATTGCTATCGCCATCGCTATTCTCTTCACATTCGGTGTACCAATTACCCTCCACATCATCTTTTTCCAAACCGTAGCATCTCCGCCCTCAAGCAACTTTCTACTTTTGGGTCCCAGTGGAGCCGGCAAAACAGCTTTCGCTACATTGGTACGATATCCAGCCCGAAGTATATAACCGATATACTAATATCAACAAGCTCGAAGCCAAGTCCTCCCCCGCCTCCAACAAGTCGCACGCAACCCACACCTCCCAAAAATCCACCTTGGTTACAGTAACCCTCCCACCGACCGTCCCCACTGGCTCAAACCGCTATCGCTCCGTCAATGATCCCTCACTGAAAGAGGCCGTTCGCAACCCCATCAGATACCGTGTCTGTGATACCCCTGGCCATGGCAAGCTGCGCGTCTCACAGGGTCTCGCTGAGCTCCACACTATGGCTAGTTCCAAGGATGTTATGACCAGACTGCGCGGTGTGATCTTCATGGTTGATACCGCTGCCCTGGTGGATGAGACTACACTCCGCGACACGGCAACCTACCTGCATGACGTCCTTCTCGTTCTCCAGAAGCGCGCAAAGAACGGCTCCTCTAGTAAACGGACCACGGAGATTCCTGTCTTGGTCGCTGCTAACAAGCAGGATCTCTTTACCGCGCTGCCACCTGGTTCTGTGAGGGAGAAGTTGGAGGCGGAGATTGAGCGCATACGCTTGTCGAAGAACAATGGCCTGCTGGATGCTGCTGATACCGGGTTGGAGGATGATGAGGAGATTCTTGGGAATGATGAGAACGAGGCCTTCAGCTTTAAGCTGCTGGAGCATGAAGTCGGCGTCAAAGTTGAGGTTGTTGGTGGTGCCGTGAAGGGTGACCAACAGGAGGAGTTTGGGTCTGGGGTTCGTCGCTGGGAAGAATGGGTTGGTATGTGTTTGTGAGTGGACTTAGGTTCATTGTTCATTGTTCATAGTAAATAGCTGGTTCTTTGCTTGTACATGATACCAAAAATTGCCCGGTCGAGAGACAATCTCAACTCTAATACATATATTTAATTATTGCCAGATCAATCTCAGTGTCTCTGTAGCTTGAGCATTGATCTAGTCTTGTTTCGTGTTTAGTGATGACTGACCTTAAAGAAATCTTCGTATTACTGAGTAGACGTCACCCGAGCTCGAACTCAAGGTTAAAACGTGGTGAATTGGAATGAGAACATTGAAAGACCATATGTTATATGTCATATTTTATATGGTAACTGTTTATATATTAAGTATGTATCACATTCAACGCCAGCTTTTGCGCTGCACGATCTAGTTCTATCCAATGTGTTGAATCCCATTGAGAAGCCGTCATGCCAACGCAGGAGAAACGCCTATCCAGTATCATATCCCCAGGAATGTTGAAACCCCACCTAACCAAGCAAAGGTTCATGCGAATGCATTCATTTATAAAGAAGACGGCGTATCATTTAGGCCTTGGGGGTCTCCTTGGACCGTTTCAACATCCAGGAGAGCAAATCCACCTTGGTAACGACAGCCAAGGGCTTCATCACTCCATCCGCGTCCTTCTCAGTGACGACGGCAGCACTGTTCCATTCGAAGAAGCGGTTCAGAACGCTGAGAGGAGTGTCCATAGTGATCTCGATAAATCCACGGCTCCGGGGCAGGGGCTTGGAATCCATCTTGGTCAGATCACGGGGGTCGGTGACGACTTCGGCGATCTTGGAGAAGTCGAACATGACCTCTGAGACGGGACTCTGGCCAGAAGCGCGACCGTGCGTCAGTCGGCTGAGCACGTTGCCCAAAGTGACGAGACCCACAAGCTTGCGGCCAGATGGGGCAAGAACGGGGAGCTGATCGAAGCCTCGGTCGCGCATGACTTCGATGGCGGTCTCGCAAGGGGAGTTTGCTGTTACGGTAGTGATGGGCTTCAAGCGCAGGGCGCTGACCTTGGCATCGGCCAAAGGGTCGGCGTCGGACATGTGGGATTGAGTGGTCGAGGCAACGGCCGGGAGTGAAGGGAGCAGATCGTTGGCTGCGAGCCAGTCATCGTCGGCGAACTTGGGCAGAGTCAGTTTCATGCACCCATTTTAAAGATGGGGGTGTATCATACCTTGGAGAGATAACTTCTGATGCTGTCAGGGAGAACTACAACGACGACATCGTCCTTGGAGAATTTCTTGGCCTCGTTGGCCTTAACCAGAGCAGCAATAGCGCTACCACTGCTACCACCGACCAGCAGACCTTCTTCGGCGATCAGACGTCGAGAGTATTTGAAAGACTCTCGGTCTTCAGTCTTGATCCATTGGTCCACGGCCTGTCGATCCAGAACATCGGGGATGAAATCATATCCGATACCCTCCACCTTATAAGGCTCGTTGGCACGGGCCTCATTCAAACTGGCGGGCAGTGCCAGGATAGATCCGAAGGGATCGGCGGCAATCACCTTGACATTTGGGTTGTGCTTCCTAAGCCCACGGGCGAGACCAGTGATAGTACCACCGGTTCCAGCACCTGCGACAATAGCGCTGATCTTACCGTCGGTTTGGGTCCAGATCTCCTCGGCGGTGCCAAGCTCGTGGGCCAATGGGTTGTTCGGGTTCTCGTACTGATCCAAGATGTGGGCATTGGGCAGTTCCTGTTGAAGACGTTTGGCGACACCGATGTGCGATTCGGGAGAGTCGTATGCGGCCTCGTTGGGGGTTCGAATTATGGTGGCATTCAGGGCACGCAGGACGGCGACTTTCTCAGCGGACATCTTCTCCGGAAGTGTGATGATGGTTTTGTAGCCTAGATGAACCCAATGGATTAGCATATACTGTATGAGCCAGTTCGGACTGTTACAAAGATACCCTTGACAGCACCAACCAACGCCAAACCAATTCCACTGCAATCAAAAATTAGTGTCCAGAATCTTGTATTGCCAACATATAAAATATGGAAGAAGAAAACAATAGCTGCAAAGAGACGTACGTGTTGCCACTGGTGGGCTCAATGAGGGTGTCACCCGGTTTGATACGACCAGAACGCTCGGCCTCTTCGATCATGCGCAAGGCGATACGGTCCTTGACACTACCACCAGCATTGAAGTACTCCAATTTGGCGTAGACGGTAGCATCAATTCCGAGGCTGCGGGGCAAGCGATTCAATCGCACGAGGGGTGTGTTGCCGATCTGCTGGGTAATCGTATCCAGAGTAACCGGTGGGATACCGGGAGCAGTAATAGAAGCCATGATCGCTATAAAAATGTGTACAAGATGAAGTTTTCCAAGGACTCAAGGCGTTTAACGTTCATCATTTGCAAATCTCGGCGAAGATTTTCGCCATTTCGCCCCACCCGAGGGTAACCGGCCGCATTTATCATGTACTAACTACATGTAGTTAAGTTATACTATAAACAAATGTATGTCTTACTTCAAAGTGCTGTAGAAAGCATTAATTATAGTATACACTATGTAAAGTAAAATTGAATACAAGTCATACCTTGGTGTATTTCTATTTACACTAGTAAAACTAGTAAAACCTGTAATAATCCATATTAGTTGAGATTTATGGGGAAAAGTACTTGTTTTGATGGCATTTTAGGGCTAAATATACAGAAGAAGGATATGAGAACAATAACATCGGATCACCACATCATTGAATATAAGACTATCAAAGTCTTTGAATTAATTCCAGACAGTACACAGACCACTCTCTGTTGTTAGCATCACTTTACAAGGGGCAAAAAGAGTCCGGAATGTATGCATACCTAAACACGCTATGAAGGGATGAACTCCCCTACAACGAAATGAGTTTCGAATCTTCGTGTCATCTTCTTGCACAATCATCTCAGCATGCGAATTCAAGCGCTTCCAGTTGCCGCCCTATTACTGTCGGTCTATGGCCAGGCCATCTCACAGATCGCCAATGGTCTGAGTTTTGATGGCGCTGACACCGTGAGATTACTTTGGGGTTTAGACAGCGGGTCCTCTTCGAGTTATGACTTCTATCTCTGCGCTGGGGACGAGAGTAAAGACTCATACGTATTTTTGTCTCTTCAAGCGAATCGTTACAAGAGCTGATCGCGCATAGGATTCCCTGTCGCATGTTATAAAGAATGGCGTATATACTGCTGGTGACATGGTGTCATTCAAAGTCGACCAGGATATCGGTGGGAATGATCCTAATGCATAGTAAGATTCTATCTTTTCTCGGGGTGAATCGCATGCCATCTACCTGCAATTGACTGACATTATATCTTCAAAAAGCTTCCTCAAGATCGTTCTATCAGGCTCACAAGAGTATTGGTCTGGATTCACCTCTCACTTCACCTTGACCAACATGACAGGTTCATTTTCGACTAAGGTAGCCGATGCCATCAAGACCATGCAGCCGAACCCCGCAATCGCCATTCCCTGGCCCCCGGTCCAAGACGATGACCACCTTCTGGAAGCAGCAGAAGTTGCATCCGCCTTCAACATCTCCAGTCTCACAACGACCTCAACAGGGACCGTCTTGCAGTTCCAAACTCCAGCTGCTCATCCTGAATCTGAGCATAGTGAGCTACGGAAACGACAATTCGCCGGCGCTGGCGCCATTGGTGCTGCTGGAGTTGTCGGGGCTGTTGGCGCTGACGTGGAGGCAGCTCCGGTTGCTGCGATTGATTATCATACTGTTCCGTATGGGGAGCAGACTGGTGCAACCAAGTATGCACCTATGCCCAAGAAGGCCGGTACCACGATTGCTACTAGATCGGCTACTCCTCAATATCCGCCTTTCCCATTTTCCATTGCGACTACATATCTGGGTGCACCAACTGTCCAATACACTGATATGGCTTACGCGACATGGACCGCAAAAAGTATTGAAAACACGGTATGTTTAATGTTCATGTTTGGGGTCTTTGGGGATGAATAGCTGATGTCTTTTTCAAGGCTTCTCCTGCTCCAATGCCCACATTGGATAAGAGAATGCAAAAGTGGCTAGATCGTTGGCAAGATTGATTTGTGTCCTAAATCATGCTGTTTGTCACGATCTCGAGCTTTTTTGGAATGGCGCATGGGGTAAGGATTGTTGCAGTGTTGATTTGTGCCTCGACTCACAATTTCAGGGTTCTTCTATTATTTATTGACCCAGATTTTCAATTGATCATCCGATCTAATTTTCGTGCTATATACTGAGGAATAAATCGAAAGAACGATCAATGCTTCAATGGTAATGGCGATCGACCAATGCGGTTGAATGCAGGAAACTTTTATCTATTTTGTTCGTAATGTGCGTATAATGATCTGATGCTATACCAATCGAGGCGACTTCCACTCTTCCAGGGCCGGAGTTAATGATGGAGTTGTGGTATGGCTGGTCTCTTCAGGAAGGAAAGAAATATTTTCTCGCATGGCCACATAGTCGCTATCGGCATAACCAAGCAGCGCTTCGATCTGTGTACTGCGGTGACCTTTGATGTGCGTAATCTCTATGCTTCCATAGTTTACCAGAGCCCTACCGACCTCCTTGGGTTCATCTCTGTGGTGTGGGAAATCGCCATTCAAGGCATCTGGAGATGGTCGTTCAACAACAACTAGTCGCACAGCTTCTTGTTGTCCGAAGTGGCCTTCGACCCCGACAACTCCGGCCGGGAGGAGATTGGCATTATTCAAGAGAGCGTTGTAAGCTCCATGGTCGATGTATAAAGTACCGTGGGGGTAAAGACCATGGAGCAGCCAGAAAGTCCGTGATTGGATGGGGGTATCTGAGCGGATGAAACGGGTGTGAAGAGGAGCACATGGTGCCTCACTTTGGGTAATTGCAGAACCGTTGGACTTAGCCTCGAGGTGTTGCAGGTATTTCACAATCTCGTGGACATTCCCTGGTTTTGAGCTTTTGGTAATAACAGTTGTTACGCCAGCACTGGTTCCGAGCTTTGCAGCTATAATCTTGGTGCTCATGCCTCCAGTTCCGAGAGAAGACCCAGCTGATGAGACATCAGCCTCAAGGGAGGAAATATCGGTCACCACCTCAATGGGTTTTGCGTCTGGATTGGTTCGTGGATTCGCTGTGTAGAGACAGTCGACATCGGTCATCAGGAAAAGATAGTCGGCCTTGACCATAGCCGCTGTAATCGCAGAAAGGGTATCATTGTCGCCAAATTTAATTTCCTGTAAACGAATATCATGTTAGACGGTTGCTTTGCAATTTAACAATGGCTGGTTTCTTACAGAAACGGCTAGGGTGTCATTTTCGTTGACAATCGGAATCACGCCCATATCAAACAATTGCCCAAATGTATTTTGGGCATTGACATATTGGGTTCTCTGGATTGAGTATCAGCATGTATGTTCTGAAATATATCGATCCCTAGTGAGCCCTTACATCGGCGATATCATTCCTTGTCAAGAGGATTTGAGCCACAGGGATACGGAGATGCGAGAATAGATTGTCCCAAAGACTCATCAGTCGACACTGACCGACTGCAGCGAGAGCCTAAATCTCAATTAGTACTGCCTAATTCCAGATGGCCTTTGGCGCCCTGGTTTACACGTATGGTTTGAAACATACCTGTATCCGGGGCAGATATGTTGGTCTTTCGTCCACGTCCATTCTGCGCAAACCGACTCCCACAGCTCCGGAAGATACAAGCACCACTCGATGGCCATCTCTATGAAGCTTGGCGACTGTTTCCACAATCAATGTCAAGATTGACAAGATAGGCTCATGAGTTTTCTCGTCAACAATTGAGCTCGTGCCTATGAAACATCAGTATTCAGAGTGATTCGTCACTGATATAGATCCCCGCACCTAATTTGATAACAATTGTGAGACTGGAGGGGGCCGTCATAGTGAATGTGGAGTCTAATGTACCCAAGTTATCACCAGTAGCTCTCGCGATAAAGGTAAAGATAAATCCAAATGAAGAACCCAAAGGGACTTTCTTTTAGGTGCCCGCAATGATCGGCGGAGGAGTCACTTTGCGTCCGATTCCTGGCGCGATTTCTGCCAGTCACTACCGCCATTTGCGGAGGATCTCGCTTTATCTCGCGCGCAATGCATCACTCGAAAGACCATCAACGATGACAGACTCTCAATCGCCAGGTGCGGCTGCACCCTCAAATGGCAAGCCTGATACCACAGGTTTCATTCCTGGCGATGACACCTGGACGCAATTCCGAAACATCTATTCCATTCTCACGGGCAAGATGTCCAATGAAGGAATAGAACAGTTTCGTGTTGCGCGGGATGATCGCAATGAAGCCGCAGATTGCAAGCGCTGCGAGGATCAGCGTGATTATCTTCTTCAATATAGTGAGTGATGAGTCTTGAAGACATTGGGGGTGGAAATTAATGACCAATCTTTAAAGGCCCTACAATCCGATTCCTCAGCGAGAGCATTAAACAATTAGGAGGCGATCTCCATAACCACAACATTTATTGTCGTCGCTGCACGGACAGAAAAGGTGGTGGCTTTGACCCGGAATATGGCATTCTGATTTGCGCAAACGAGATGAAGGACCAAGGACACCTTGAAGACACAATGGCCCACGAGATGGTTCATGCATTTGACCACCTGAGGTTCAAGGTCAATTGGTCTGATAACCTGCGGCATGCGGCTTGTAGCGAGGTATGTCATGTTATCTCTTCCTGGTCTTGATGGGGCAACTCGCTGACCATATTTAGATTCGGGCCAGTTCACTCAGCGGCGAGTGCAGGTGGGCGCGTGAGTTCTTCCGCAGAGGGCAATGGAAGCTTACACAGCAGCACCAAGAGTGTGTCCGACGGAGAGCTATTCTGTCTGTGAGGGCACGCCCGACTTGCAAAGACGAAGCCCATGCCACCAGGGTCGTCGACGAAGTTTGGGATAGCTGTTTTAGGGACACCCGTCCATTTGATGAGATCTACCGATGATACCACAACCACTTCAGCGTTGTACTATTCTCCACCCTTTTGTATTATAATGAGTTCTTATTTGCATGTACCATATTTCATTGACGGCGTTGGTGGAGAAATAAAATTAAGTACCAGATATGGCGCGCCATATTGCGAGTACCTCTCCCAGCTTGCCTCCAAAACAAAGCCAACACGCCCTGAAAATGCCGAATGAAATGAACCCAAGACCTAGAACACCATAAACTCCACATGAGGAAATGCGAGGAAAAAAATGACAGCACAACAAATCCTAAGGACGTCATCACGCAAGGGCCAGCCATGATTCATGCTTTGCCATCCTTGGAGGAACCTGAACTCCGTTTCACAGTTCTGTCGTCCTTCACACAATGCTTCACAATCCAAGGATGACGCTGGATTTCATCAAGCGGGATACGCTTTGCGGGATCAAGAACAAGAAGCTGTCAAACGTATTAGCAACCAGATCAATTTCATGTTGGGCAATTATAACATACCCTTTTGATGAGATCTTTTGCCTCGGGGCTCACAAAGGACGGCACAGACATATCTGCCTTGGCAATCCGGCGGTGGGTCATGATGGGTTCATCCTCGAATGGCGCTTCACCGACCAGGAACTCGTACGTCAAGACTCCCAGACTCCACAAGTCGACCTTTTCGGTGTAGAATTTGTCCTGGTTGCCGGGATTGACCATCTCTGGGGGCAGGTAGTCGAGAGTTCCACACATCGTCTGGCGTCGGTTGTTGGGGGCGTGAACACTCCAGCCAAAATCACTGATCTTGATCTCTCCATGGATACCAACAAGAATGTTCTCGGGTTTGATATCACGGTGCATGACGTGCTTCTTGTGCAGATATTTCAATGCTGCAGCCATTTGCGCAATATACTGTGCGGCTTTCCATTCCGGAAAGCGGTGCTCCTTCCGAAGGTGCTTATATAGCTCACCACGGCCAGCAAACTCGAGAATCAAGAAGATTCGCTTGCTATCGTGGAAGTGACCGAAGAGCCTCAGGACGTTGGGGTGTCGAAGATTACTTTGGATCTCAATCTCGCGTCTGACTTGCTTTTGGACACCACCCTGTTGCAACTCAGACTTGTGCAGCACTTTCAACGCGCAGACGAAGCCAGAGGACCGTTCTTTCGCAAGATACACACGACCAAACTTGCCCTTTCCCAGGGGCTTGCCAATTTCGAACATGCCCAAATGCAATTCCTTGGGGATACTTGACTGATCACCTAGTGTAGACGACGTGCGCTGGTCGCCATTTTCATCTGTGGTTCGAGTCACCAATGCGCCGTGGGAGCCCCTGCCTGGAGAGGCAGGAACATTCATGGCATTGGCCTTGTTCTCATTGGTATTTTGAAGCGCCAGCTTCAGCAGTTGGGCCCGGTTGGAATTGCTATTTGACTGCGCTGAGGCGACGGAAGGCTTCAAGTAATGTTAGCAAGCTGACTCACCATCCTCATTGCATGGGATCAAATACCTTTTGCTTGCCATAGGTGCGCTCATTGTTTCCATTCTCCTTCTCATCTTTAACAGATAGGTGTTCAAAGCGAGCCTCAAGAGTCTTGGTCGTCGCCATGCCGAAATTATGTGATGAAGGAAACTCGGGGAAATGAAAAATGAAAAGAAGCGAAGAAGGAGGAGAAGAAGAAGAAGAGAGGACAAACAAAATTTAGTCGTACTTAGCACAATGTAATCATAATCGCTTCCTGCTGCTGTGGGTTAGTAGTTCAATGGTTGTAGAAGATCACAAAGATGGAGGGAGAACACACGGGTGTTTGGGCGATCCTCATCTTGTCACCCCAGCAACGGTGTGATGACTTAGCACTATACCGCCTAAGTTTCCGCTTTTACAAGGAACACTTGAATACTCCGTACTCTACATACATACATGAATACATATATACATGTATGTAATTATCTGTCCCAGCGTAATTCAACTAAGATAATAGTAGCTAGGTAGGTAAGATATAAGTATAAAATATAACCTGGTTGTATTCGAATAGCGCGCCTTAAATCAGGCAAATTGTGACAGTCCACGCAAACACAGCCATTTGTTTTCTGCCCAATAATCTTCGGACCGCCATTTCTCCGGTCGCGGGGTTATCGCTATCAGCTCCGATCGCGAACATTTATAGATACTTTATTGCTTTACTTGAGCACTTATAATCTCATTCTTCCTTCTCAAGATTCGGACATGGCTACAACATGTGCTACTGTCTCACCAGAGGCAAAAAAGCCCAACTCCCTTACAATCAATGGGTTCCGGATCTCAACCCAGAAACTGCCCATTCTCAAAGCCGACCCGATCGAAGAAATGACCCAGAAGCTCGGCATTGCTCCTCCTGAAATGATCTTCGGCGATAACTATGTTGCAATTGAGCACGAGAAAGGTGATTGGGGTATCAATTTCAACGCGTTTGACGCCTTGGACCAGGTAGACAAGACTGGTCAATCTATGCTACAAGTCGCATACTCCGGGGAATGGCAGAAGAGCAGGTACTAAAAGCATCCTTTTGCTGAGGGAAACGTGGTATCCCTGGTATCTCAGGCTAACTAAAATGTAGAGAGAAAACACATGAAGGAATTAAAGAAGTCGTCAAGCCGTTCGACTGGTCTTACAGCACAGACTATAAAGGCACCCTCCATCCAAATGCGCGCCCATTCGAGCCAACAACAAAGCCTATTCCGGTTGAACTATTGAAGCGTCCTGATCCCATTCTTTTTTTCGACGAGGTTGTGCTCTACGAAGATGAACTGGCGGACAATGGAATTACAATGCTGTCTTGCAAGATCCGAGTGATGCCAGGGAGACTCCTCCTATTGACAAGGTTTTTCATGCGGCTTGATCATGTTTTGATCCGACTTCGAGACACTCGAGTCTATGTGGACTTTGAAGCGAAAGAGGTCATTCGAGAATACCTTTCTAAAGAATGTACATATGAGAAAATTCGAGAGGTACGTTTGCTGGTTGAAACATATGGATGTATGTGTCTGACATTATCCACAGAAGCTAGCGGCAACCAGGGACGATATCCCAGCTTTTATGAGAGATGCAAATCGACTTTCCGAGATCCTCCCTGTTGTAGAACAGCGCACTGAACGTCTGGTCCTAGATTGAGATGTGTACGATTGATTTTCTGGTTATCTCTACATGATGGCCGAACCTTGAGCTTGTATCAAAGGTTTGTGACCGCAAGTTGATTCACCGGTCGAGCCACCTTCTCAAGATATGCAGAAAACGAAACCCCTTACAGTAACGATCATGTTGAACGTTGGACATGATATGCCTTGGGTTCAATCATAGTCTTGAAAGTTGGAACGCAAAACCACCATGATCCTTAATGAATGCTCAATTCCAAAACAATCCAAATTTTGGATATGAAAGTGTGTTTGATAGAATTAAGACTTTGAGTCATAAACAATATGTAAAAAGCCAAAGCTAGTTGTGCCAAAAAAATATATGTAGGTAACTCCAAGCTCATACATCCGAGAACTATCTAAACAAACAGTGCAAACAAAAGTTTATCGAAAAAAGATCCAGAACACCAATCACGATAGACCAATTCACGAATACCACGTCTTCAACAATGTCATCCAAGAGACTATCAACACTGTGGCCGCGCGATATCCGCGGGTCCCAAAACATATGTCTTTCCAGAAGCGCCACTCGCATCCCGACACCGCTGGCATCCGCCTCCGTGTCCACGCGGGAATCCCCAATGAATTCGATCTTCGCCAGATCATATGCCCAAGGCAAGGTGTCTGACCTGGCCAAGAACTTCCGGCGGCCCGGAAACGCCGCCGAGAACTATGTTGCATATGGTATGACACAGAAGCTCTTCGAGGCTTGTTCAAGCAAAGCGGATTACAAAATCCCCCAGGCATCGCAAAAGGGAGCGGAGGTTCCCAAGACGGAAGCTGGTGAGGATCTTGGTGTAGGAGAGAGCTGGTGGTATAAAGGTGTGTCAATTATTGCGGTCATTCGCTGGGGTTGGTCTCTGGATTGGAGATAACGTGCTAACGCCCGACTTTGGCATAGAGCTCGGCCTCAAGCCAACCTTCTCTACTTGGTCCCAAGTTACTTTCCTTCACATGTACCTGTTGACCGTCCGTCTTCGTGCCCTTCCAACCCGCGAAAGCGTGACTACCTACTCCCGCCATCTGATTGATCACTTTTCGCACGAAGCGGAGCACCGCATGGATGTGTATCACGATCTGGGAAGTCGTACCATTCGCAACAAATATTTGAAAGATCTATTTATTCAATGGCGTGGAATCATCGCCGCTTATGACGAGGGTTTGGCCAAGGGCGATGCGGTGTTGGGCGCCGCTGTCTGGAGAAACCTCTGGAAGGGAGGCCAGACCGGACCGGACGGAGAGGAAATTGATTGGGCCAAGGTTGCGCAAGTGGTTGTCTACATGCGTCGATCCTTGGCGGAGCTATCACAGATGGAAGAGGTTGATCTCGTGTTCGCACTTGCTAGCGGGGACAAGAACGCCGGTATCTTCGAACACTCCGAGTCGGACAAGAAGCTTGTCGAGGCAAGCAACTAGGGATGCATCGCCTAGGCGAACGGTGTTTTGGAGGCGTCCTTTATGCTATGTATACCATTGGTTATAAAGATTTGTACAGTACTTAATTGCCCTACTCTTTTCGCATATTGAAAAATTCTATTCAAGATCACAACTAAAGGCTCAGTTGACATTCAAAAATCTATTGGTCCTGTTATATGGGGTACCATAAGAAGTACCTAGATGTCCTTCTTGCCGAAAAGATCCTTCTCCACCATACCGCGGCAGATGGGGTGGTAGAACTCCTTGTACTTCTCAAATGTCTCGAGGGCAACAGGGCGGTTCACCTTTTGGAGATTGCGGAACCTGGTCAAAAAGAGTCAGTGTCGCGTAAAGATAAGGAATATGCAGTTAGAACAGGGGCATCTTACAAAGGTCGCACAAACTTCATGCGTCCAATACGGCCCAGCAACTCAGTCGTGGGCTCGATGACACTATCATCTCCGGCCTTCATTCCAACCTGGAGATAGAGGTTTGAAACCTCGATGTTCTCACTCTTGGCGAGTTTGTAAACATCACCCATCAGCTTCGAGACCTCTGGGCTGAGCGGCTTCTCCAGCAGGAGCATCTGCTCCAGGAAAACGACCAATTGGTTCGCTGTCAAGTCCTTGATGTCGTTGATATCAGGCTTGAAAGAAGAGCCAGGAAGAGTCTGCCATTTCTTGGCAAGTTCATAGACAATGTCCACAAGCGATGTGTCAAAGGTGGGCTTGGGAGGTAGACCTGGTGCATAGAACCACTTGTCCCAATCCAGCTCGTCCAAGAGCTTGGAGGCCTCGGTGTCAGACTTGAAGAAGTCCAAAATCAATGCCTTGAACTCGTAGGAGTCGAGCGATTTGCATTTGAATGTGGTAAAATACTGCCTAGAATGTTAATACAAGCGGCCGATGAGGAGGGGGTAACACCGTACATGAGGGATGAACTTGTCAAACTTGGACTTCCCAACAAGGTTTTCGAGGTGGAAGAGGAAGTTAAAGCCCTTCTCATAAGGAATGCTCGAGAAAGCATCGTCGGGATCCTTGCCCTTAAGATCAACAATGAGCTTGGTGAACTCATGGTCATTTCCAAAGTGATCAACGGCATCAGTCAGAGACTTCCATCCAATAATGGCCGAGAAGTGGCGGTAGGCTTCGCCGTGAATAGCAGCCAGAATTCTCCTCTCGAGGTAAACGGTCCAGCCTTCATTCAACCAGAAATGCTCCCACGAGCAGTTGGTGACCAAGTTACCACTCCAGCTGTGAGCCAACTCGTGCGCAATAACATCGATGTTTTCGCGATCCTGGAGATTTTATCAGTTGGATGCCGGTGAGTGACATGGTATATAATACATACCTTCGAGATGATACTCGGGGTTGCGAAGGTGAAGATAGGGTTCTCCATGCCACCGTAAGGGAAACTGGGGGGCAAGATCAAAACATTATACTCTCCCCAAGCATAAGGGTAGACAATTTTCTGCACAGGTCAGCGATTGCTGTGCAAAGAAGATGAATCAGAGATTGCATACCTCGATGGTAGTGATGAAAGTCTCGGTATCAGCCTCAAGCTCCCATTTACACTCATCCAGCTTGTCGGGGCTGGTTGCAACAACACTGCGAGGCCCAATGGGGGCCTCGGCAACATCACTAGGATTGGATATCAGCCACTATAATGGTTGAAAATCGTAGGAAAACCTTACCCGCTGGCAATGGCAAAGAGGTAGCTAGGAATTGGCACCGACTGGTTGAATCGGTACAACTGATGCTCTCCCTTGGACTCCTTTGCGGCATTGCGGATTGGCAGACCGCTGGTCATGACAGGGAGTGGGGATGTGATGTTGAAGTCATAGGTGCTTTTAACATCCGGAGTATCCTGGCAAGGGAAGATAGATCTGGCGTGAATTGCCTGACATTGTGAGACTGATAGTGGTGTTAGATATCTTCGATTACCGATAGACGCTCCTCCCAAAGGACGTCACATCATATTACCTACACATGTAAGGGTGTTTCTTGTTTGAGGTTTGGGCGGGCGTCAGCCACTGCAACGCCGTGCATTTTTCGGTAGTTTCGACCGCAATCTATAATTGGGTGAGATAGAGAGCTATGATATCAGAAAGACCAACCATAAACATACGTCAACCTCAATAGTTCCATTCAATTGAACACCTTGATCGAGGCTAATCTTCAATGGCACACCAAATGGTTCCAGTGGGGGAAGAAACTCCCACTTAGATGGCTGGCCATCCACCTTTACGGAGTGAATCTGAAGGTGGCTGGTGTCCAGAATAATCTCCCGAGACTCAGCATCGGTGATAGACTTGAACTGATGAACCACATTTCCTATCAACTTCTTCTGATCGAAGAGAATATCGAAATTGGCAGTGACATGGGTTGAACGCCAGTTATTGTAGTTGCTCACGGTGTTCGGGTCCCGCGGAGGATTAATAGTAGCCATTGTACGAGTTGGGTTAAATCTCACAGTGATTGAAGCCGAACGTAAAGTGGAGAAGTTGAAACCCCGGGCAAAGGATAGGGAATTCATGTGAGGTTGTATTCCCGGGGGAGGTTTTTTTTTTTTTTTTTTTGCCGTCACTAAGCGTCACACTGATCCAGGGCTACATGTAAATTACATGACTCAGGCTATAACTCACTATACTTCCTACTAACGGCGTTTGTCACAAAATAATGTAGTATAACTATGCACCTTTACTAGTCATGTAATATATTGAACTATACTTACTTCCTACATCTGTAACTAGATATGTAGAATATACCATGACCTCATTTTAATTAAATTTCTTATAACTAGATCACTATGTAATTCAACAGTTAACTTCCATCCCTGTGCGATGTATACACAACTTCTCCGCTAGGGAGAATTAACCACCCCCTTTTTTCCTCTCTCTCTCTTCTTTTTCTCTCTCTTTTCTCCCTTCAAAACTAAGACCCTTGTATATTTATTATTGTCTTTCTTCATTTCTTCATCTGCTTTTTCTTCATTATTAGGAAGTGATAGTATTTTCTCCCCGCATTGTTATTATTTTTTTTTTCCCATTCGCCCACCGCCCGGCACCACGGACCACCCCTGAGAGGGCCCCTGACGAACACGTTCTATTGAAAAAGAAGAGAGGGAGAGGTTTACTAATTTCCCTCCCGAGTCTTGAGGCGCAGTTTACAGTCGTTGGTGAAAACTTCCATTGATTTGTGAGTTTGGAATTGACATCTTCGTAAAATGTGCATCGTTTCTAATCTCTGTTAGGTCAATTGGTTCAAACAATGTCTCTCGGTCAAGCGACGACTGTCTTGCGATAGATCCCAGACACCCGATTACGAAACGATGTGCTGAAATGTATATGGCTTTTTAATCCGAACATATTCAACGAGACATACGATCACTCTGCTCTAGGCTTTCGAAGAATGAGCGAATATACACACACCACGCGGTGACCGATACCCATTTAGACCTCCCATTGTGATAGTTGGGCGCATAAGTCGATACGATATAGTCAGGTCCATTATCGATATATGCGGACTTTCGACCCTCAACTTTGACCCATCTCTCCGAGCACTAATTTCAACTTGTCACTATTCAATTCGCGAACATAGTTCACCATACCACAATGGACGACGATCCCAATTCGTCCTATATGCGACGTCCCTCGGGACCCTACTCATCCGAACCACCTGCACCGCCCCCGAACAGACCTTCCTCCCGCTCGTCGCGGCCTGGGTCTCGAACTCGAATGGTAAAGCCTTCTGGGGCAGTCACATCCCCTAGCTTGGGGGTGCTTACAGAAAATGTGGCGAACTTGCCGGAGGGGTTTGGGCCTACCAGTCCCATCAAAGAAGGACTGGGGAGCTTGAACCGTTGGTCCCAATCCACAGCCTCCAGCAAAAGCCCATCAGAGTATAACGGGCATCACCGCCGGGGAAGCTCGAAGATGTCATTTTCAGGCTACCGTCACAGTCCGCAACGTGCGCCGTTGAATGGACCTCCGATTCTCGACCTTCCAGAACTGGAGAACTCTGCCGTATTTAACAACGACCCAACATCGCACAACCTCGACCTCTCATTCACAGCGTCGAGCAGCCTCTTTCAACCTGCGCATACTATGAAAGACACCCAGGATCACTCTGTGGCTCGAAATAGTGGGGGATTCATTACATTCAACGAAGCAGAAGGGGACCCAGAGAGCCGACAACATGGGCAAACTCAGAAAGCCATGCTGTCCAAGGCTCTTCAAAAGGCAAACACAGCAGTTCTACTGGACAACGCTGCCAATTTTGAGGGTGCCATGGAGGCTTATACTGATGCTTGCAACTTGTTGCAGCTTGTTATGCTCCGTAGCAATGGCGGAGACGAAGAGAAACATAAACTTCAAGAAATTCGGGATACGTATATGATACGGGTCACAGAGCTTCACCGTATGGACTTTCCGCTCCCGGAGAGCGATGACAAGGCTCTCCCGGAGCGACCCCTCAGTCAAGAGTCATACGGAGAGCTTCTTCATTTCGCCAATGATGAACCTAATAATGAGAGCCAACAGAGTTCTGCTCATTCAAGCTTCGGGTTCCACCAAGTTCCATTTGAAGATACAAAGGGATTCTCTCTAGAATCCATCCCCCCACGGCGCCAATCCCTAAAGCCATCTGCTCTAGAAGACCAACCTCGCTCTGTCACTTTGCCAGTGAACAACCAAGAGGAAAGCAATGAGACCACTTCCTGGTTGGACACCATTGATGAATCCGGTGCTTCTTCGCCGTCATCCGCGAACTCCAAAGCATCATCAGTGTACCTTCGTCGCCGGACAAGCCGTCTTCTCAGCAATGACACCGAGGCTGAGTTTGATGCAGCTCTCGATGCCGCCGTTGAAGCTGCATATGACGAAGGCCTGGAGCCAGTGCTGGAGTACAAGGAAGAGGAAAGTGGCGATGATGTAGTTTCAAATGCTCGCAGGAACATCGAGTTGGCGAAACGAAGAGTGCGTGAGGCAGAACTAGAGGCCGAAGCAATGGACCGTGAGCGCGAACTGCGCCGTGTTCATGAGCAAACAACTTTGGGTAATGATCCGAATGCCCGTACCTCGGCATATCTGGACGATGAAGCAGAGGAAGAAGAACGACTATTGGAGGAAATGACCAAGGGTTATGTAATGGATGACTTTGAATTCGGCCTCCAGTCCAAGTCAGCTCTTCCTCGCGAATCAGATTCAAGCAATGTCTCTGGAAGAACCTGGGAAAGCTCCGGAACGTCCAATGCTGCAAGCATCGGAGGCGCGGCAGCACTATCTACCCTTGAAGAGGATGATGTCTTACCATTAGACAATCTCAGACCCGAACCATACACCATGCCCTCTGCTCCGCCGTCTTCGGCATTGCCACCCCTGCCAGTATCGTCTGATTTCCCAGCTCCTTCTAAGCGGGCCTCGATATCAAACCGCGCTGGATCAATCGGCTCTCTCGCCTCTTCCACGGGGCCAGGAGTCCGAGCCCGGAGACTATCTGGCCAGACTCGCGAGCTCAAGATCGAAACTAATACCCGCTCCTCCCGAGCTAACTCCAATGCATCATCAGCGTTGGAAAATTTCGCTGCTCCACTGGCAAACCGCCCACCTCCACCACCAGCGCCGAAAGATGACCCGTTGGCCCCCAGCACCCGTTCTAATCTGCACCCGACACAACGTAATCCATCCATCGGCTCTTTAATGGAGCATGTCAGCCTCTCCCAGTCCCGCACTCATGAAGACGATGAAAGTGACCTCCCCCCTTGCCGCTGTCGGCACGGCCCATAGGCAAAGTCCCCTCAGCCCCAGACGGATTGGACAAACTACACTCCAACACAAGGCCTTTCTGGTCTCGAAATGCATCTGCTCCCATGCCAATTCCCGATACCGAACCGGGATCTCCAACTAGTGCTCTATGGAGTGGTGGATTCCCTGACTCCCGGAGTGCATTGCCTGGCAGCGTTCCTATTATGCCCACCCCAACGCTCGCCTACTTCAACTTCGCTCAGAACGGCCTGCCCAGCGGCGGAATGAATCTGTTTGGTAGCAATATCCACTCCCCCACTGCTCTTGGCCGTCCAAACTCGATGGTAGCAAATGCGCCACTGCCTCTGGAGCCATGCCCTGAGTCATTCCTGCTCCGTCCTTTCTGGTTAATGAGGTGTCTGTATCAAACTATTGCCAATCCTCATGGAGGCTATCTGTCAGAGAAACTCTTTATTCCCCGAGATGTCTGGCGCGTGAAAAACGTCAAACTGAAGGCCGTCGAAGACAAGGTGTCCAATTGCGATCTTCTTACAGCTGCTCTACTCAAGTTGACCCATGTCGATGCATATGACGCGGACGCTGTTCTGGAAGAGATGCAATCATTTGAAGGTGTTCTTGACCAAGTTCAGGGCGTTCTGTCCAAGAAACTAGGCAATGAAGTTGGCGTGCAAGCCTCGATGCCGTTATTTAAGCCTGCATCAACGCCCGATGAGCCTGTTCACGTCGAGACTGCGCCGAACAAATCCTACTTGACGTGGAAAAGGCTTCGTGCGAAAACCTCTGGGCTCGGCACAACTACCCCTGTTACAAGTGTCCGAGAAAGTAATAAAGACAATCTGACTCTTAACTCTGTTCCGATGACCTCTGTACATGGACCGCCTGCCAAACGCAATGTTACCCAGCTCGAGTTCTCAGGGCCCAATGCAAACTACATGGGCGCATTGGCGCGACTTTTCGATGCTGCTCAAGTTCTAGGTAAGTCTGACTTGTGCTACAAAACCTGAATTCTTTCTAACATATCGACAGAACAAATTGCTCAACAAGTTGAGGACCCTGGGCTCAAACACTCGTCTCAAACCCATGTTGGTCTGGAGCTCAGCACACGACACGCGGCTGAGTTCTTTGGCTTTTACATTTGCCGCTTCGCACTGGCTGATGTGAGCTTGATGCTCGATAAGTTCATCAAACGGGGTAGCGAGTGGGTGTTGGCCTAGGGAGTTTATGAAGCCATACGATAATTAACCCCCCAGAGCCTGTGGAGGCCCGGGATTTGCTGCGTTTGATATTTCTGATGTCCATATTGATCTCCCCATGTCTTTTGAGATACCATGATTTTACCCCGTGAAATATTTGATGAGTTAAGAACATAATTGTCATGAGATGGGATTGTATTTACTGTTTGATTGTGGCTCATATAACTAAACCGTGCTTTTCTAGGTGGTTTTGCTCTGTGAAGACGAATCCCGACACAGCATATTGCGCACGTTCAATCCAATCCAATTATTGTGGTATTGTAAACACCATAAGTTCTTTTCTATGTACAATGAAACCGAAGTAACGAATTAAGCACGAACTGATTGAGCAATAACATACATTTCCTTCAGGCAAAAGAGGCGTCAGAGGCATATACTGGACGATCGAAGACAAATCTGTCGCCGCCGCTCCGCATCTCGGATGATCTCAGCAGACAGTTTCAGACTGGGTGCTAGGTGCGCATATCTCTCGACCTCCGTTACAACACCCGCAATTATCGCGTCCATTCGTTGTGCAGGCGGGAGCAAGGTGGAAAGGGTAGGGGACATGGTGGCACCCATGATTAGCAGTGTCTGTGAAACCATAGAGAGAGCACCTTGCCAGAGGTATGGAAGATGGCCTTCACGGTGGCTGGTGATATGCTCCAGCTGGCGGAGTGTAGCATCCAAACATCGCCGACAGCACTCTTTCACCCCTGCGTCCGCTCCTGCTTGTTCATTCTCAAAGACTGCCAGGATATATGGGCGATAGATAATTGTGCGACATGCATTGTAGCGAAGTCTTAATACTGTTTGTACCGGATTGGAAAGAGGTGCTTGGGTAAGGGGAAACTGAACAGGCTGAGGTAGACTGTCATACCATTGAGACAGCTGGAAGTCGAGCTCCGAGACGATCGGGCCCAATGACGCGAGGGTGTGTGTGCTGTCCTTTTGATAAATGATGTGGCTGACGCGGTTCAATAGTCTGCGCAATGCGATCTCTGCCAGAAAGTACCAGAGCTCATCATGTCGATCGGCCAGGTGGGAGTCTACCAGGCGTGAGGAACTCTGATATTTGCTGGTTCCACCTTGGTCTTTGTCTCGCTCCTCCTCGTCCCCATCATCCTCGTCTTCTTCCTCAAAGCCTCCCGGGAGATCCACGAGTTCCTCGAAGTTGACAATACCAGAGTGTGGGAGATCCAGCTCAGCTAAGAGATCACTTTCAAATAACAAAGCGTTCCAATAAACCCTCACACTTAGCTCTCTCCATTGGGCAGGGATTCGGTTAGGACTGCCGAACAATAACTGCAATTTCATGCTCACGTTTGAGAGCAGGGTCCAGGCCTCCAAAGGTCGCACTAAATAAAATAAATAGGCAGAGGCCAGGACCATGCACTGTGTCGCAATCACAGTGTTTCGCATCATTACCGACGGCAGAATGCTCCATGCAGCGGCAAAGTAAGGGAGCCCTGGCGGTTCGCGATCTGCTGGTACAAAGGAGATACTGCCACTATGACTAGCGCTGCCAAGGGCCAGTACCAGGAGAACAAGACAGCTCATCGGTCCTTCTTGAAATCCTTGTGCGAGAGCTGATTGGTAATATCGATTCCAAGTGTACGGATTGACGCAAGCATACCAGACATTGCCATAGGCGAAAAAGGCCTGAGCGTACGTGGGTGCATTTGTCAAATCGAAGCCTGAATTCGGAGTCAGCCGCAACGACTCACGAGCCATTTCCAGTTGTAGTAGATGTTGGGGATCGTAGGCCCCAGAGACCAAGTCGCGTATCAGGGGCCATTGAAGAAGGTGAACAGCCGGAGTAGTATGCATCTTCGGCATCGTGGAGATGCTTATACTGGCAGGTGGGTTAACCCAGGAACCGAGCCCCACAGCAGACAATCTTCCAGGAACTGGCAATCCAGTGGAAGACGTTTTAGTCAATTGATCATCGCTGCCAACGTTGGTCTCATTGCTGGTGGCTGGGGAAGTAGTAGAAAGAGCTAGATGGGGTGATTGGTTGGTTAGGTTCGAATGTAGCAGACTTTCAATTCTGGCCAGTTGATCCAGTATAAGCTTGTCTCCAGCATCGAGTTTAATTCCGGGCTCTCTGTAAACACATTCTGCATTCAAGTCGGAACACAGTTGACACTTGGGCCGAGTCCCGTTGCATCGGGTTTTGCGCAGCCGGCATATCTGGCACTGAAACAAAGTCAAATACGCCTTGAACAGATGTGCCAAAGGCGCTTACAGCTATCGTTGCCCGTCTTCGGGGATACTCGGCAGTCTCTGAGATTGAACGCTTTTTCTTGCCAACGGACGTATCACTGGGTATGCAGTCGACGGAGTCTCCCGTATCTTTCTCTGATACATACATTGTTTAAGACTGGAATTCTGCCCATCTACCATAGTCCAATATATGCTCTGAGTGTCAGCATGACTGTCTCAAACCATACTAAATATGTATGGAGAGTAGAAATCAGAGAATTGATTGCAGAACAGGGGTTGTCTTTTTGGTTCAAAAGCCTGGAAAACGGGGAATTTTGGCGGGCCTTCACGGACTTTTAATATAATAGATGCATGGCCAGTTCTCATGTGGTTTGCCATGTGTCTTGGAACTAACAATAGTTCAGCCTTACTTGGGTACGGCGATAATTCCGTGACTGGTTGAGCATATTGCAATGGGACAAAGTCTGACTGGCCTGACAAGAAGATCGAACAAAATCTGAGTTCATTGATGAAAGGAAAGAATACTTAAAAACAACCAATATCTAGATGTATATAAAAAAGAAGAAAAGAAAGATGAAGAAGAAGAAGCAGAAGCAGAAGCAGAAAGTCGATGGACAAAGTTGATGTCACATGTGCTCCACGTGCACCGCGTCCCAAACAACGCGTCGATCTTTTTGTCACAAAACATCGAAGTCGACCTCGGGAGGATCCCACTACAGCGACGAACTACAATATGCCTCGCCCTGCCCCGAAACGAAGCCGTACTGCTGGCAAACCCGCCAAAACTGCCAAAAATGCAGGTTCTGCGCAAAATGAACCTGTCACCAAATCGCCTGAGCGTGGCTCAGTCGTGGACACAAGACAAACTCTACGCGAACAAACACCCTTAGCCAAGAGCTACGAAAATGCAATCGATTCATCGCCAACAGGAGAACGAACAGGTACCGGCAGTCGACCTGGAACCGGCAGTCGCCCCCCTACCAGATCTCGCGGTTATTCCTCTACACTTTCATTCGCTGGGCGCAAAGGCGATAATTCCCGAATCCCTGGAACCCCTGGCTTTGATAACTCGGTTTTGAGCAACTTCAGACGGCGCCCGCGACAGCAAAGTATCCTGCAGATGATGCAAGCCGATGACGATGGCTCCTCCGAACTGGACGACGACGATTTCCTGGGTGGACTCAGTCCTAATGATGAATCGACCCCCTTGAACCTCTCCAGGGGAAAATCACTTCTTCTCAAGCCAAGCGAGAGGTCACCTTCGCCGGTGAGATCGCCGGTTGGATCACCACTTCCATCTGGCGGGTCGCGCAAACGCAGGCGCGTGACTCAGGAGATTCAAGTGCCACAGTCGTCTGTGGAGATGGTGGAAGATACCCCTACTTCAACACCGGTTCAGGTGGTGAAACACACTCCAGATGCGACACCAGCTGAGCGCGACGGCTCTCCTGAGGATCAGGAACCCGAAGATATGGCTGAACCGGAGGAGACGAATAATGATGCCGATGAATCTGAAAGCGATATCGAAGAACAAGAATCCGAGAAAACATTTGAAGGGAATGAACCTGAGGAAGAAGAGGTTGAAGATGCAGATGTCGAAGCTACGCCACGTTCTCATCGATTCCCAGAGACAATGAGTCAAACTATGCTACCACCGGCCAGCAGTCCCGCCTGCTCGACACAACCCGATAACTCTACGCCGCACCCCGTTCAAAGGAACAATTCCAAGGTCCCAGCCCATCTGTCAACAGCAAAATTGCAAGACAAGCTTCTGCCACGTCGCCGGAGGAGACGCCTGGCCGGCAATGATCTCAGGGATGAAAGCGATGATCAACATGACGCCGCGTCTGGAGACGAAGATGAATTGAACTATCCATCACAGTCTAAGAAGCCATCTACGCGGCGGGCGGGAACAAACAAACCTAAGCCATTGGCCAATGCCCGCAATCCAAAACAAAAACAGACCAAGACCAAGACCAAGACACCTGCGACCTATTCACGTTCGCGCGCGAGTGCAGGTGCCAATGACAAAGAAAATGAAATTGCCCTGTCTTCACCATCTTCATCTCCGTTGTCATCACCACCCGAGTCCGACGTGTCTGATACTGAATCTGTCGAGACCGAGACTACTCGTTGTGTGAGTGATGAGTTGCGCGCAGCACTCAAGAAATTTGCCGAGGTGGATCAATGGAAGATGGAGTTTGAGGATGTATCTGCTTCGGAGATCTGAACGAATAATGTGTGTAATGATTCTCTTTCTGTTTTGACACCGGCTGTAGCCGCATATTTGAGCCCCGCAATGCAACCGAGGGTCCCTCAGTAAATACTACTTCTTCTTTTTTTTCCCCGCAAATTTTCTCTTCTCTATCCAACTACTCCAAGATGACTTCTGTGGATAATATTCTCACTGGCAAATATCCAGCCAAGGCCCATGCCCGTCGTGTTGCTGATCTCCTGAAGGCTCGGCATGGCGGCGCCGGAGCTATCTATCTTGAGGCTCAAAAAACTCGAATGATCGAGGATAGCGATGAGACTATGCCATTTAGGTATTTGCTAACCCTAATGTTTCTACCTTAGAAGCAACACTAACACAGCTAAGGCAACGTCGTCCCTTCTTCTATCTCACTGGGTGTCTTTTGCCCGATGCCGCCGTGGTATACGATGCCGTCGCAGATCAATTGACTCTGTTCGTCCCTCCTATCGATGAGGAGTCCGTCATTTGGTCTGGTCTCCCTCTGTCTCCGGAAGAGGCTTCCAAACTCTACGATGTGGACCGCGTTCTGTTCACAACCGATATCAATTCAACTTTGGCGTCGATCGCCTCGACCCACAATGGAAAAACTGCCGCGTTTTCAATTGCCGAACAAGTATCAGAGGGCACCAGCTTCAAAGGGTTTGCTGAAACAAATGTTTCTGCCCTGAAGACTGCCATCGAGGATACTCGTGTTATCAAGGATGCATACGAAGTTGCGCTCCTGAGAAAGGCAAACGAGATCTCAACTAAGGCTCACGTCGCTGCCATCGAGGCCGCCAAGACTGCCACTAATGAGCGCCAGATCGAGGCTGCTATCATCGGTGCTTGTATTGCCAATGGATGTCGCGAGCAGTCTTACCACCCCATCGTCGCTGGTGGTGAGGGCGGTGCTACTCTTCACTATGTTCGGAACGATGTGGACCTCATCGATCCTGACACTAAACAGCGCAAGAACAATGTTCTCATCGATGCCGGTGGTGAATACCAGACTTACTGTGCCGATATCACCCGCGTCATTCCTCTGAACGGAAAGTTCGCGACTGAGACGCGCCAGATCTACGAGATTGTCCTCCAGATGCAAATGGAGTGCATTGCTATGCTGAAGGAAGGCGTGTGTTGGGATGACGTGCACGCTTTGGCACATCGCATTGCTATCCGTGGCTTGTTGGAGCTGGGTATTCTACGTGGATCCGAGGAGGAATTGTTCGAGAAGCGCATTAGCGTCGCCTTCTTTCCCCACGGCCTCGGCCACTACCTCGGAATGGACACCCACGATACCGGTGGTAACCCCAACTATGAAGATAAGGACACCATGTTCCGCTATCTCCGCGTCCGCGCTAATCTGCCCGCTGGCTCTGTGATCACCGTCGAGCCCGGTGTAAGTACACCGGTCAACCTGTTGATTTGACATTGCTAACTTTTCACCAGATCTATTTCTGTCGCTTCATCATCGACCCCGTCCTGAATTCTCCCGAGACCGGCAAGTACATCGATGCCGAGGTCTTGAAGCGCTATTGGAAGGTCGGAGGAGTCCGTATTGAGGACAACATCCACATCACCAAGGATGGTTTCGAGAACTTGACCACGGCCCCCAAAACCATTATGGAGGTTGAGAGTCTGGCAATGTAAACAGCATACACTCTACGATCATCAAGTCATTCGGCCGGGGTATTTAAAATGTCCAATTCAATTAGTCACAGGAATACATGGATATCTGTTGATCTGGGTATGTAAATGTACAGCTGGCGCCTAGATCTCTCTTCGGCTGCGCTTGCGCGCACTCCCCTTGATCTCGTCCGCAGCACTACTCTTCTCCTTGCGGTCAAGCATGATGGTCATGACATCAAACGAGAATTGCGGCACCTCAATACACAGCTTCTTGAAGGCGTCCCCAACCTCGTGACGCAGGATGTGGCTCTGATTGGCCCAAAGCGAGGCCACGGGTCGCCGAATCGCCACATCCTCCGCGGGTGTGTGCGTGTAGACGTATCGAGCATACGCCAATTCAGCTCCGGGTGAAGCCTTTATCTTGTGAATCTTGCCGTGGGCGAGATTTTTCAAATTTGGCAGACCGAGCTTCTCTGCCAATGTGTATATGCGTGCATGTCTAAGCATATCCTTCCCGGTCTTGTCTGCCTCGGATATGACCCTGGCTTCGGATTTCGCAAGGTCGTAGTCGCGCGTGTATTGAAACTGGAGGAAGCATCCGAACGCGTCGACGTTCTCCTCAGGGAGATTGATTTGACGCTATCGATCGCGATCAATAATACTGGTAGTTCTCAAGCAATTGAAGGTCAAGCTCACAGGTCCAGATTCTTCGAATTGTCCTATGAATTCGGCGAGGAAGGGCGCATCCGTGAGGAAATTTTGATGGGCCCTCAAGACAGTCTCGTCGTCCCCTTTTCCAACAACGATCTCAACAATTGGGGAGATCAATGATCTAAAAGATGGTGTGAGTTCGGTAGACATGATAGGTGTGATGAAAGGTAAAGTCATTCAATTGATAGGAGTAATTACGTGAGTTGCAGAGGTCAAGAGGAATGCTCACTCGACGAAGTTGAAGGTCTTCTTGGGGCTAGGCACTGGCTCTTCTTGCACATCTGGGAGTGGTATATCTTCCTGGTCAGTTGCAGGTTGGGTTGACGCGTCTTGCATGCCTCCCATTTCCACCTCGGCGGAATTCTGGGTCACCGTCGCATTGGCATTGACATTGGTAGCAACAGCAGGGGTCGGGGTCAGATGAGCGGGTTGAGAGGTTTCTGAATCTCCAGGAACCCGAACTTGGGGTGTTGGTGGTACGTCCATTGTTTTATTTTTTATTTTTGAGTGAGTTTAGGGGGGGGAGGTAAATGTCAGAGGCACAGAGAGAGAGAGAGAGAGCTTAAGGCGGAGAGGAGAAACAAAAGTTCTATAACTAAACTAACACTCTTGATGTTTTATGTATTAGAACTATAATGTACAAGGTCAATACGATAGAAGATCCAATAGTATATCAACGTCATCTGTTTACCATTTTGCCCCCTGCAGACCTTTGAACCTTTTACACTTTTACACTTTTACATCTATTCGCTATGACCCATGAAACTGAAAGCAACTCAAGCTCAGATGGTTATGACGGTACTAAGTTGGATCCAATCCCAGTGAAGCTCCAAGAGACAAATGAAGGTCAATATTTGCTCACCGCTGAGGATGCTGAGCTCCTTCAGGAGATTGTGAAGCACAATCTGGACCAACCATCGGGAAAACGGAGATTCAGATTTCAAGAGTTAGAGTTCACGCCACAATTGAGTACATTTCATGACCTGGGTTCAACCTCGCCTCAGTTTCATGGCTTCTTCGTTCTGTTCTGGATGGGTGTGACCCTGATGCTGCTCAAACTGGCTGCCAGTAATTGGAGAATCTATGGCAGTATGTGGGGTAAGAATGAGATCATTCGTTTGATGTTAGATAAAGATGTTGTGGTACTCGGAGTGACTGATTTAGTCCTGTGTTGGTCGACGGGATTCTGTCTCCTGCTGCAACGAGCTGTAATCAAGGGGTATTTACGCTGGAACGGTCTCGGCTGGCTGATTCAAAATGTCAGTTTCCATACCGAGGGCTACCACTCGGGCATAGGAGTCGGTTCATTGCTGACATCTACAGGTTTGGCAAACGATATATCTTGGTGCTGTCACTGGGTGGTCGTACCATCGAGACTGGCCATGGACACACACGGTCTTCATTGTGTTGCATTGTTTGACCATGTTGATGAAACAGCACAGCTATGCAGCGTATAACGGTTACTGTATGTAAGGTTTCTCTCATTCAGTAAAGTTTCTCTCTGAAGATGATTCGGGGCTAATAATGACAGTATCTGAGCTGTATCATAAACGCAAGATGTTACAGACAAGACTCAGCCAATTAAACCAAACTCGATCCACGGCCACAGAAGCAGGGTATACCTCTGCTATCAACCAGAATATCAATGCTGAGATCACCGATCTCAAGAATAATTACTTCCATCGGCGTTCTTCGGATCTCAAGACATGTTCTGGATCTCGTGAGACCGACCAATTTTTGTCTCTCGTCGAAACCATTGGAACAGGCACACCACTCGAATCAAACCAGGTGGAGTCCCTCCGAGAACTGATTGAGCAGGAAATCGGAGTCTTATCCGAAGGACTCAAAGGCCGATGCTCAAAGACCTACAACCACTATCCACGAAACTTAACGATCAGGAATTTCTCCGATTTCATCTCATTGCCCACATTGGTGTATGAGCTTGAATATCCACGGACCGAGAAGATCAACTGGCTTTATGTAGCAGAGAAGACTGCCGCTACGTTCGGCATCATTGTTGTCATGATCGCAGTCTCCCAGTCGTGGATATATCCAGTGGTGATGTACACAGTGCGAATGAAAGAAGAGGGCCTGACGGCGCATCAAAGACTCCAGGAATTTCCATGGGTTCTCAGTGATCTACTTTTTCCATTCATGATGGAATATCTGCTGGCATTCTACGTGATCTGGGAGTGTGTTGTGAGTATCCTGTAACTATGTGTTACACAGCCTTTTTTTCCCCCTTCTTCTTTTCTTTCTTGCTAACTCTGTAGCTTAATGCTCTGGCTGAGATCACCATGTTTGCAGATCGAGGTTTCTACTCAGATTGGTGGAATTCAATCTCGTGGGATCAGTTCGCCCGGGATTGGAACCGCCCTGTCCATAACTTTCTGTTCCGACATGTATACCACAGCTCCATCAGTGCATATCGTCTGTCGCGTGTATCGGCCAGTCTCATAACTTTCTTGTTGTCTGCATGTGTCCATGAGTTGATCATGCTGTGCATCTTTCGGCGACTACGGGGCTATCTGCTCATTCTACAGATGTCGCAATTGCCACTCGTTGCGCTTAGTCGGACCCGCCTAATGCGAGGCCGGCGACTGTTGGGAAATATCGTCTTTTGGCTGGGCATCTTTACCGGGCCGAGTCTGCTGTGCAGTTTGTATTTGATCATTTGACACTCTGCACAATGTTGGGGTCACTTCACGTTGTCGGCTCGCAATACATCTATCTACACATCTAGATATATGATCTCTAACCGTGGTATCCACGAAGCATATCATTCTTTCACAGACAGTCGACTAGGTTGAATACTTTCAATAAAAACCTGGCATAAGTTCATAGTCATAGTCAAGTATGTAACAATAAAGATTTGATTGGATCCCACCATTTGATTCGCCCTGCAAGGCAGATTTACATGTATTCGAAAGACAAAAAAAAGGCATGCAATACCATAAATATTGGGCACAACGAACCGCTGTATTTTTCACATCTTCTCGTGGGTAGCCATCAGAGAGCCTGTCGAATGTTAATTGCCAATCTTCTCGACCCAGGAGAATGAACTTACCAATGAATGTGGTGACCAAACGAGACCGGACCTGGCAGATATCCTCTGGGACCAACCAGATGGTGGCACCCATCTTTCTGGCGATACTGATAGAGAGCTTGGCGTTCGCATATGCCTCTTCGTCGGTCCGACCAGGTGTGACCAAATCGTAATCCACGTAGCTGCTCTTCATGCCATTCAGCACATCCAAAAGGAAAACTCCAGTTCCGATGGACTTGTCCTTGAAGCTGCGTATCGTGGAAGATTTCCCGCCACTGCTAGACATGTCATTGGCCCATCTGATCATTTCGGTGTCAGTAATCTCGCGCTTGCCCAGCCGCTGGGCTAGCGCGGAGAGGGTGTTGGTGATATCACGGCGCATCAGCTGCCACACCAGTCCGAGCGTAAGAGTGCGCTGTCCATCGGTGATATCAGCCCCCTGAACGCCGACAAGAGAGAAGCCGTTGAATTTTCCAAGCTCGATCGAATAGTTAGTGTTTTCCACAGCCTTGAACCGCATCAATTCGCCACCAGAGGCCGGGGGCTTGTTGACGTGTTTCCAATTGACGCTTCCGGGAATAACTTTGTCGTAAGCCTGCAGCAAAACATGGCCATCACGGAGGTCGTCAAAGAGCGAGTTGACCGCTGGCTGCACATCCAAGGAGTTCAGCCACAGAGTGAAGACTCTGGCCTCTCGCTCACCTTCGGCATCAAAGTCCTCAACTTCAAGCTTCTCTTCTTCGGTGATCGGGTCAAGTCCTGGGTGTGTGTTGAACAGATTGGCCACAAACGCAAGGTTCAGCTTGGGATTTCCAGCAACCAATGAGGTAGGGGTCAGGAACTTGCGACAATCAAGCGAATCTGCATTTTGGAGAACTTGCTCAGCCCGCTCAAGTAAGTCCCGAGTTTGGAGAGGACCACGGGAGCAGAGATCAGGTGCCAATTGGTTGAGAAGAACTGTGTAGTTCTCACCATCCTTGACATCGGTCGAGAAGTTTGTCACCCTGTATTCGTTAGTAGATAATACAATCTTAGATGTTATCTGGACATACCGTCGGTCCCATTTGGCGTTCTTCAGATGGTAGTTGAACCAGCGAAGAAGAATTTGCTCTGGAGGCAGGCGCAGGAACTGCTCGAGTGTCTCGTCCTCGTCCAGCAGTCTGTAAAGCTCTGGGTGAAGCTTAATATCGATCTTTCCGAGAAGACCGCGGCGGATAATTTGCCAGATAAGACCCAAGATAAGATGCTCGCGCACTTCAATGATATCTCCACTTCCAATGTTGACGACTGAGCACCCGATACCCTTGGCAGAGTTGATAACAATATTGTTGTTTTCGGTCATGTGGAAAGCATTGAGCTGCTTGATCTTTTTCCCAGCCTTGTTCAACACACGCTCATCAATAGTGTCCGGCACGCTGTCATTGATCAGCTTAGCAAGAACCAGACCGTCCTTGCACTTGTCGAACATCTCGAATGTATCGGTGGGAAATGGCAGGAGGTCTCCAACATCTGCATCGCCTGCCAGCACGGCATTGATGTGACGAGTAAACTCGGTGCGCTCATCTTCGTTAATGGTATGTGTGACATTGGAGGAGGATCCCTGAACATGGATGCGCCCGCCGACACTGCCCTTGGAGACATGACGGGAAGCGCCGGTTCCGGCACCGGCGCCTTGAATTACGGCGGCGGGAGTCGAGGCCGGGGCGCTTCCGCTAGGCGCCGTCCGAAGCTTCGAAACGAGCTGTCGGGGTATTAATACGAGGAGGGGCGGAAGTGAGGGGGAGGGGCATTACATCAACATAATCTTCCAATTCCACACGCCGAGAGCTATCCAATTCCACATCCTTCAAGGCTGCGCGAACCACATCATACGGCTGGCGTTCGGATTGTTGAGCAGCTTTGATCGCGGTAGATTCATCAAGGTAGCCTCGATCTTCGACGTCTAGTCTGTTGAAGGCATCCTGAAGCGAAAAGATCTCGCCTTGCTCAAGCTGCGGGAAACGCCTGTGAACAAACCAATCACTGCGGTCAGCATATGTTTTGAATTGAACAATGAGGCGACGTACTTCTGAAGCTTGAGGGCGTTCATCTTGTCGAGGGTGAACCCTGGTGGGATAGGTGGGGGAAGGGGAGGGCGATCACCCAGAAAGTTCTGGGGTGTTCAGCAAAAACGAGTAGTGTTTACTCCCACAATGCAATGAGAGAAGGTCAACGATCAGAAAATAAGTAGAAGGTGGGCAGCGTCAAGGGTATAACACGAACCGAGGGGGGGGGGGATGAGCCACACTGGTAACAAAACATGAAAGGTACGCCACGCTACGGGCATTGATAGTAATATTTTCGTAATATGTGTAATATATGGTAATCATGGTATTTCGTATCTCGTATTCGGGAATGACGTTAGTGTTGGACTCTCCAATTCTTCTGCCTTACTCTTAGTTAGGCAAGTTAAATAGATAGTGTATTACCAACATAAACCTATAAATTGGCGCCTAAATCAATTCATCCCGCTAAGAGGTTTCGAATAACTATATATTTAGGTGCCTAGCTACATACCTATATACGTGTGTATGGATGTTGATAGGTAGCGATGGTCACACTAAATCCGAATGACTGTCTATTATTACCTTGCTCTTAGGCTCCCAATAAAGATGCGTGAGACTACATACTGATAAATAGCTGAAAAAAACAAGAACCAACATACCTATTGTAAGGAGTAGATTGTAGCAATTTATCCCGGGATGCCCGGATTACGTCATTCTCAGGATCGGCCCCCGGGGATCAAAACAAACCACATGACAGCTTTGATACTTCGATGGTGATTGATTGACCGACTTCTTATTTTTTCGTATAACATCAATCAAGTTGCTCACGTTGTTTCAATTTGCCTTGCGACGGGCGCGCCCGACCATGGGTACAGAGCAGAAATCATTATTGGGAACTCTTTCGCCGTGGAGTACCCCAAGAAGTGTGACACCGCAGCCTGCGGATCCCCCCAAACCAGATGCTTTGCAGCGCTCCCAAGGAGAAGACCATACGGTGACCCATAGACATCGATTGAGCATGCGTCGCTATCCTTCTGATTGCCCTCCACTGAAAGTGAGATGGTTCTACGCTGTGGACTCGCCCAAGAGGAAACCGTCCCTCCTGGAACAAAAAAAGGCAGACCAAAAACCCTTGCCATTACCAAAAAAATTCATTCCTTTCCCCGGAAGAGATTCACAGTCTATCGAAACCACATTTCAGAAAATATCAGACATAGAAGAGGCTCACCAACAGAACGAGTCCAAACCAAAGGAAACAGTCTTATCCAAAGTACCCGTGAACGAGGACTTCCTTTTCAATGTTGATGTGGAGCAACGAGAATTGAGTCCCACTTATTGGATTGGCCCTGTTTATGAAGTCCGTCGTGGAACATGGTTTGTCCAGGATGGTTCTAATCTCAAACCATGCGAAGAAAATCTGGCCACTCAGCTTGAAGAGGGCTATATCAAGATTTGTCCGTGGAGGGCTGATCCAGTCAAGGCTGGACCTCCAGAACAAGCTTCAAACACAAATGAGGTTAGAACAGGTCAAGCAAAACCTGTGGAAACGGATCCGAAAATGCCTCAAACACTTCAAACATCACAGACCGCCAACCCGACCTCCCCTCCTCGCGGCACGGGAAATGACTCTAATGGCCCCGCAGCCGAGCCCCAGCAGTATCGTCTATTTGGCGCTTACATGAACAGGATTGTGGCCTATCAAGATTCCACAACGGCCTGGCTGATGAATGATGATTTCATGTCACGATTCAGTACTTCGGTGTATCAAAAGCTGGGAGGTGTTCCGGGAACAAAGTTGGTGCGCGGATTTGAGCCCAGAAAACCAAAGGAGGCACCCGAAGGAAGAACTTCTAAACAAAAACCACATGAGGAGACATCGATTATCACAGGCGTGAATGACAATATGAAAGAGGAGTTGAAATCCCCTATAACCAATCCCATGACGCCAGCTCAAGCGGGTGCATTTGAAGAGCTGGACAGACCAAGGTCCACCCTAGAACGACAAATGTCTTCCCTTGCGGGTGAGCCGCAAAATCCCGCTGAACTCGAAGAGCAGGCCCGCAGGCAGGAGGAGCAAGAGATGGAAGAGTCAAGAGAAATTGACGGTGAGGACAGAGAACGCGACGTGGACCATTTGGTTCTCGTCACTCATGGGATTGGCCAGCGACTGGGATTGCGATTGGAAAGCATCAATTTTATACATGATGTTAATGTCCTTCGCAAAACACTGAAAACCGTGTACAAGGCTTCCCCTGATCTTCAAGCGTTGAATTCTGCATTTCCGGACAGCGATAAGAATTGCCGGGTCCAAGTGCTCCCCGTGTAAGGGCTAATCCTCTGACCAGCGCGTACCTTTGCTAAAAATCAACAGGTGTTGGCGGCATCTTCTTGACTTTCCGTATCGGGGAGTTCGACAGAATAGAAAAGAATTAGATCTGACCGACGCGGATGCTCTGGAAGATGACACATACCCAAGTCTATCAGATATCACTCTGGAAAGTGTACCCGCTGTGCGCAACCTCATTTCAGACCTGGCCATGGATGTGCTTCTTTATCAGAGCGGGTATTGCGAACACATTTCCAATATTGTCATACAAGAGTGCAATCGAATCCTCCAGATTTACCAGAAACAAAACCCTTCCTTCAAGGGCTCGGTCAGCCTCATTGGCCATTCCCTTGGAAGTGCAATCCTGTTTGACATCTTGTGTCATAAATCCGCAAGCACGAAACAACATGGCAAGAAAGGAACGGCCCAAAGAAGTGAATATTCAGCCCCCAGGAACACGAAGGCAAATGCGTTCGACTTTGAATGTGAAGAGTTCTTCTGCCTCGGGTCCCCTGTTGCACTCTTCCAAATGCTCAAGGGAAAGACTATTGGTGGATACTCTGCTCGGAATCGCAAAACTGCCTTGGACGTTGAGATTGACTTGGATATCCCTAGCCCTGGGCATGGACCAAACGATAACCCCGCTATCATGTCGATGCCGAAGTGCCGAGATCTGTACAATATCTTTCACCCATCTGATCCAGTAAGCTACCGCGTTGAGCCTCTTATATCGCCAGCGATGGCTACTTTGAAGCCGCAGCCCCTGCCCTCGGTGAAGAAAAGTCTCTGGACGACCTCGGGGCAGAGTCTGTCCATCCTTGGTAGTCGCATGGGCCAAAGTGTGGGGTCGCTATGGACAAACTTCACCACTGGCGTTGCAAGCAGCCTGTTGAACCGCAGTCTGGGTCTGAATAGCGACGGCACATCTACCACCTATGCTACAGGTAAACAAGGCGATGAATCAACCCATAAGCGGACCCAATCAGGCTCGACCCAGCATGGTTCGCAAGAATCAGATGATCACCATCAAACCTTGATCGAGTCCGACCTAGAAACTCTCTATGATGGCTTCCAGAAAAGCCGGGATGTCAACCACGGGGAAAGTCCAGATCCTGGGGCGGACATCGACCAGGATCGAAAGCTGAAAATTGAAGATGCCAAAGTGCGCGCCTTGAATGCTAATGGTCGCGTGGATTATAGCGTGCAGGAGTAAGATAAGACACCACGCCTTTTTATTGGACTTCACTAATTGCAATCTAGGGGAGCTTTCGATATTTCACTAATTGCCAGTATTGCCAGCCATCTTACCTATTGGGGTGATGAGGACGTCAATCATTTCATGTTGTCCCAAATGCTATCTAGAAGACACCGGCATAGGATCAAACCTGAGTGAGCATAGATGAGCACAGATTAGAATGGACGAGAAAGAGTATATACTCGACTATACAATGTACTAGTAATGCTACGTTATGCTACTCCAGGCTGTACAACATTGTTCTGTACTATATATATTATATATATAATGTATACAACTAATCCAGACTAGCGTTGTCGTTTAAATATTATGTAATCTTGGCTACAAATTTAGATATCTTCATTTCTATTTTTTCCTTTCTTCGTTTCCTCCCCTCATCTTTATATATTATCAAACACCAACCTCTCAAGTCCACAATCCTCGATTTTGGTTTATGCCAATCTAAATCAGAATTTCTTCTTAATGCAGTTGAAATGCACGATACAGAGAAAGGGATACTCTCAAGCCAGTCTACGCCAGCTCAATACAGATACATCAGCCAATGGCCTTTCAATCGGCCTGAGATATTGACCTTCATAACGGCCATCTCCAATGAGCTCAGCTAGGGAAGTGTGATTGGTTATTGTTTCCCAGAAGTCACCGTGTTTGCGGTGACCCTTCGTAGACCTAGTAAAGTCTCCCTTTTCTTCCCACCCGCAATCTCTTTACATCTGTCATGAAGCGCATGCTCTTTGAATGATCAGATTCACTCGGATAGCGGAGATCAACTCCTTTCTCTTGCTTTAGATTCCTCGCTGTACAGCTTATAGCTTGCGAGGAAATTTTGATTGGATACATGCACACATCAATACAATACAACATTCATTATCCTACATGCCAAATAAATTTTATGATATAAGTAGAACAGAATGACTATATGTTTTTACGGAGTAACTATATTGTACTCTGTAACTAGTGATGTTCTATTCTTATGTACGCACAGACCAACGCTTGGGTGTCTGTCCCCTTATCGTCTCTAATCGCGCTGAGGTCTGTTCATTCATACCTAGTGTCCTGGGACACGGAATGGAGATATTGGGTTTCACCGGCTCTTTGGAAATCTCACAATGAGTTGCTTGAGCGAGGACTCCAACGTCGCTTTAAAATCCGAACACAATCCGCCGGACCTCCCTGCACTTCCTAAGGAATTCCTCGATCGCACCCTTGACTTCCTCTCGACCTCGAGCAATGAATCCCTCCTTGGGGTTTTTGCTCTCCTTATACTCGTCACCTATATTATCTTAGGAAGGATTGGACTGCTCCTGATTGGTGTGGCCATCGGGGTTATCCTACACGCGTCATGGGAAGGGTCGGACAACCACGGCGAAACGTCACATACACAGAAGTTTAACAGACGAAGAGAATTGGCGCTGGAAGTTTCTCACCGACTTCTGGATTGGCCAAAGCGGGCTACCAATTCAGACAATCAGAATGAGATTGATGGGCCTATAAGTGCACCTGAAGACCTGTCCTCAGCGGACCTCGAGTATGCCACTTTTCAACCGGCTACTGCCGGCGCCCTAAGGACGCTCACAGATGCAGTCATTAAGGACTATATCAAGTAAGCACTTGCTAATCTACGTCATTCCCTCACAGCGAACCAAATCGCTTACTAGAAACAAAGATACTGGTATGAGCCGCTTTTACCATCTGAATCGAGTTTCCCGGGATCCTGCCGAAGACTCATGACCCATTTCATCACGTCTGTCTCATGGCACCTATCACGGAAACGAACAGAGGACACTTTTCTGCAATTCCTCACCAATTCCTCGTCTATCGTCATTGTCTTCTTGAATGAACTCGCCGCGGCATTTGCCGCTGGAGGCTCCTCTCCCACGGAAGCCCAGAAGACGGTGGAACAGTACCTTGAACAATTCCCAGACAGTAGTCTGGCGAACGTCTTGTCTGATACCCAGCAGAAGAAGAAGCTCAACATGATTGCAGACGACATCTTGTCTAATTACCTCGATTCCAAGGCCTACAGCTGTCCGCCCGTTCGAGACTTTCTTCGCGAAGTCTTCTCAGGTGTTATATTAGGCTCCACTGTTACCAGTCTGGCTCGTCCCGAGTTCATCAACGACTGGATCATCTATCTCCTTCAGGACGGCGAATCCGAAATTATGCACGCTATTGATGCGGGCGTGGAAGGCGCCAGGAATCAGGGCATCAAAGCCCCCAAACTCCCAGAAGACGCATCTGCAGACTCGGCCAAGGCTCCGCAGAGGCAGTCTATGCAGGCAGCAAGGGCTTCAGAGGAAGCTGCGGTTTTGGAGGTGAAACGTCTTAGCGCGTTGATTGCTTCTCAACCCATCCAAGAATCAGACTTAAAACGGCACCCCGACGAAGAAATCGACAAAATTCGACCTCTGGAAGCCGATCTCACTTCAACAACGACACATGACAACGAAGAAAAGTACGACTATGATTCACTGTCTAATAGACAATCACTTTCAAGCCCGAAGTCCCCCGAAGATGTTTCTGCTCCTCCCGTAATTCTTCATGGGGCGCAGGTTTTGGTAGACGATGATGGATCAAGAAACGAAAAGGGTCTAATAAAGTCACGCCCTACGTGGCAATATTTACTGCAAGTTGAGCCAGCATCAAAAAGGTCTACTGGGTGGATGGTCTTTCGCGAGTATGCGGACTTTCAGTCCCTTCATGAAATGTTGGAGACCGTTTCTCGGTTGAACCTCATCGAAAGCTTTTCGGAGCGTCATCCCATATTGCCCCCTTGGAAAGGCAAGACAAGACAAGATCTCGCTCGAGATCTAGAACACTATTTGCAAGATGCCATGAAGCACGAGTCATTGGCCGATAATAATCGAATGCGCCGGTTCCTAGAAAAAGACTCTGGGTCAACTGAAATAGCTAATCCCAACAAGCCGGCTTTCTCTTTCCCGAGTCAATCTACCTTGGAAAATATGGGTAAAGGGATGTTGGGCGCGTTGTCCAATGCGCCCAAGGGAGTAGCAGGAGGCAGCAAAGCCGTCTTTGAAGGAATGACGGGGGTCTTTGGAGGCGCTATCAATAGCAAGAAGTCTGCTGCCATTGCCGATGAGAGTGAACCCAAAGTTGGTGTTTCCAATCGCGCCAGCTTGTCTCAGGTACGGTCAAGTTTTGGTGATCGTACCAGTGAAGTCAAAGATGCTATTGACTCTACGCTGCTGCCGGTGCATTCTCTAGACCTCCAAAGAAGTGAGAGTTCCGAGTCACCTTTGGCCGACAGTACCAGTGATTCTCTTGGAAATGATCAAGATGCGTGGGCTATAGAGACCTCACTCTCCAAAACCTCGCTTGATCCCAATGCCCACGCTACAGATCCCGACACCAAGGAAATAGCTGATCAAAACTCGACACATCGTCGATCTGAGACTGTGCAGAGTGTCGATTCACCCCGCAAGAAAGAAAACCCCATCACGGCCGATGAGACGCAAATTGCAGTAGAGCTGATTTTTGCTGTCATCAACGAATTGTATACTTTGTCTTCTGCGTGGAATATCCGCCGGACTCTTCTGAATGCCGCCAAATCGTATATTCTACGTCCTGGAAGTCCGACACTGGAAACAATTCGTACTCTCTTGCAAGATTCCATGATACGAGACCACACTTCAGACGAAGCCATTGGGGAGTATCTTGCCAAACTTCGTGAGAATGCGCTCCCGACAGAAGACGAGCTTAAAGCATGGCCCCCTCCACCTAGCGAGGAGGAAAAGATTCGTACACGAGAGACTGCACGCAAGTTGTTCGTACAGAGAGGTATCCCACAAGCGTTAACAAGTGTGATGGGGGCAGCTGCTAGTCGCGAAGCGCTGGAGAAGATCTTTGATAGTCTTCAAGTGGAGACTGTTGCGCGAGGATTCGTCTTCTCAGTTCTCTTGCAAGGTCTACGAGTCTTGACCCTATGATATGTAATAGACCTGTGTATTTCCATTAACAATTAATATACGGAATTGATGTTCAAAGTACAGACGTACAACGTTATGTACATACGTAGTAAAGTAATTCCCATCACGTGCTAGCGCGTCAACGCTCCAACGCGGTGTCGCGCCTCTACCATTTATCACTTGAACTTTTCTCCAGAGCTACTCTTTCCAATCTCTGTACTTTTTTACATCTCCATATCTCTCAATATCAAAATGACATCTCGGAAGCGCACATCTGACTCCGTTGCTGGATCTGATGAGGATCGTTCCAAGAAGCCCAGGATCAACACTGTTGCGAAGACCGATTCGAACGGAGATCGCTATTGGGAAATTTCCAAAATGCGCCGTGTTACTATCTCATCTTTTCGTGGGAAGACGCAAGTCAATGTGAGAGAATACTATGAAAAAGATGGACAAGAGTTGCCAGGCAAGAAGGTGAGTGATCAATATGATATGACTTTGCGAGAAATTGTGCTAAAACTATAACTCAATCTAGGGTATATCCATGCCAGTGGATCAATTTTCTGCCTTGATATCCATTTTACCTGAGATTGAAGAAGCACTGAAACAAAATGGAGAAGCTCTTCCACGACCTGTCTATTCGGGGATGGGAGGCCCGTCTGGAGATGGCCTAGAACAAGAACCAGGAAACCAAAGCCCACCAAAGCAGAATATTGAAGCGACAAGTGATGAGGATGAGGAAGAATAATGGTCACTGTCTATGCACGTGCATTAATGGCTATTGCAATATTAGCATGACTGCAATTGATATTGATCCTTGAATTACCTCGTGTCCATAAAATGTTGGACGCAGCCCATATTATACAGGTATTCATTCCACTACAAAGACATTAGAGCATAATTGGCCGCTGCATATGCACGACTGGGAATTAGGAAGAGATCTCCAAATAATGTTCAAAGGCTTGCAATAAACTGATGTTCAAGAGTTCGATTTTCTAGACGGAATATATATACATCACATACTCGCCTCTTGCGCTGCCATATTTTTGGCAATGGAGCCACCTTTCCAAGCATGACGATGATCCTTCTCGTCAAGGAGCTGACTCTGATCTCCAATTTGACCCCATCCTCCACCTCCTGGTGTACGGACAATGATCCGCTCCCCAGCTCGCATCTGGGCGGAGTTTTTCGCCCCCAGATTGGTGTACTTTTCCTTCCAACTGCCATCAGGATTTTGGACCCGACGCACCCAGATGTTCTGACCACACTGGGCGTCCTCACCTCCTTCCAATCCGTAGGGATGGTAGACCCTTCGTTCGGAAAGTATAGAAACCTGCACCGGGATACGGAATTCAATGTCTCTTACAATGCCGTCTCCGCCGCGGTGTTGACCATTGCCTCCTGAATTTGGTCGGAGACTGAATTCGCGAAGTATGACAGGATATCGGCGCTCAAACACCTCTGCATCGGTTATTCGAGTGTTGGTCATGTGGGTGTGAACACCTGAAGTGCCTTCCCACGTCGGACCAGCTCCGCTACCGCCAGCGATGGTTTCATAATAACCAAACCCCTTTGTCTCTGTCTCACCAAGCATGTTCCCCCCAAACCCAAATGTGAGGTTGTTGGTATCACCTTGCGATGCAGCGCAAGCCTGAAAACATTTTAGGATGACGTCTGTCACTCGTTGACTCTGCGGGAGAAAGAATGAGCCTGCATTCGTGGTTAACGTGCATCTGATCTTACCGTCAAAACATTGCCACCCACCACGGCAGCTGATTCCGATGGGGATAAAAGACTTCCAGGGGGAATCCGAACGTCAATTGGTTTCAAACAACCTTGATTCAAAGGAATGTCTGCGGAAATGAGGCACCGCAGACAATAAATGATTGCCGAGTAAGTGACAGCTTCCGGTGCATTGATGTTACCTACCATTGTTAGTCATATGCACATTAAGGCTTGTGAACACGCTCGGTACCATAAACTTCTGAACCAGTTCCCTCGAAATCAAATATTGCCTCGCCCTTGTCCGGGTTTATAGATATCTTCAACTGAATAGGACTTCCATCATCCATGTAATCAATGGCACTGAGGTTTTGACCGACGAATTTCTGGCTGACTTCTTTCAATAAGTTGCGCACACTCAGTTCTGCATTGTCTTGAATTTGATGCATATAGAATTGCACAACAGCCTCACCATACTCCTCAATGAGTGTGCTAATCAGGTTGATTCCTTTCTTATTTGCGGCAATCTGGGCCTTGAGGTCATTCAAGTTATCTGCAAGACATCGAGTTCCGCTGCAGTTTGGATATTGGGCTGGCTCCGTGTATAGCAATTCTGCGATGCGTTTTTCGTTGAATTTGCCTTCCGATACCAACCGTTCGCTTTTGATGGTAGCACCTTCTTGGTACAGCTCCTTTGAATGAGGTGGCATAGAACCCGGGAGTATACCTCCAATGTCGGCTTTATGCTGGTTAGAAGTTTCACATGCGTGTTTCTCATTTTGGAGCATCTTACCATGATGTGCTCTCGAGGCGACATAGAAGATAATCTTCCCTTCACTAAACGCGGGCTGAATCACTGTGATATCTGGGAGATGAGTTCCGCCAAATTCCGGATGGTTGGATACAATCACATCGCCGGGCTTCAGATTGTCCTGCCATATCTGGGCCTGTATCCGCACACAGGTTGACATGCTACCAAGATGGACCGGTAAATGGGGCGCATTTGCAACGAGCCCACCTTTTGCATCGAACAATGCGCAAGAGTAGTCAAGTCGCTCCTTGACATTGGTACTCACGCTCGTTTTCTGCAAGGCACGACCCATCTGCTCAGCAATTGCCATGAATCTGTGCGAGAAGACACTCAACAGAATAGGATCCACTTCGTCGGTGCTTATCTTTGGATGGCTGGCGTCAGATTCACCAATATTGATGACAACATGTGTTTTTGTCAAGAGGGCTGAGGCTCCTGGTGTTATCACGATGGTCTGGGTGTCATCAGCCAGAATTGCTGGGCCTCTGACTCGCTCATCGATTTTCAAATCATCGAGTTTGTAAATCGGTGTATCACGTCTGCCACCCTCGAAATAAACCTGAGTCCTGCGATACTCCCGGCCCTTTGCTACATCCTTGGGCTTGGAGTCCTTAATCTGCTGGTCCACAGTCTTTTCGGATACTTTGAAGCCTTTCCCAATGCCTCTTACCCGTACATCGTCCACTATGATGTCTCTATTCGGGAGAGTAAACCCGAACTCCTGGTCGTGTTGCCTCAAAAATGCTTTTCCAAAGGCCCATTCGTCACCCCCAAAGAGAAGATCTGCCTCTTCTTTACTAGGCTTAAGTACCATCAAGGCAGATTCAGTTCCTCGATAGCGCATATTGAGGTACTCTTCGAAAATAATCGAGTCATCGTCAAACCCTTGGTCTCGCAGCCTCCGCGTGGATCGTTTCTTAAGTTCTTCCATTCTTGATGCAAGTGCGTTTTGGATCCCTTCTCTATCGTCATCGGTCCACGTTTTCGATTCTGGCTCTTGATTTTCGTCCACAACATCTGCCAGTGCCATACCATAAGCCGAGAGCACTGAGGAGTAACGATGGATCAAAATTTGTCGGATTCCCAAGCTCTCGGCTATGGCAACGGCGTGCTGACCCCCAGCTCCTCCAAACGAAGCTAGTCTATGTTTTGAAGTATCGTGCCCTTTGGCCTCTGTCAATGACCGAATTGGACGAACCATCATTTCGTTGGCTACCTTGATAAAGCCAAAAGCGACCTCATCAGGGGTCATTTCTCGGCGCTGACCATCCTTGGTCAACTCATCATTGATTTCCTTGGTCATTTTCACAAACAAAGTCCGGCTTGCACACTCATCTAACCCTTGGCTTTCATCTAGGCCAAAGATCTTCGGGAAGAAATCTGGAACTAGTCGACCAAGGAACAAGTTCGCATCGGTCACTGTCAATGGCCCTTCCTTACGGTAGCAGGCTGGTCCTGGGTGAGCTCCAGCCGACTCGGGTCCAACAACGAAGAGTCCGTTGCGATAGAACAGTCTAGACCCGCCCCCAGCAGCAACAGTGTTTATGTCCAATTGGGGAGACTGAATAGTCACTCCTGCTGTAGTTGTCTCGAAGACATGTTCGTATCGACCGGATCCGTACCTGCTGACATCTGTGCTTGTTCCTCCCATGTCAAAGCCGATTACGGGTATCTTCGAGTCAGAATCGTAGGAAGTTAACGCATAGCCAACCACGCCACCAGCGGGACCGGATAGGATTGCTCGCAGACCAGAAAATTGGTCCACATCTACGAGGCCGCCGTCTGATTGCATGAATTCACAACGTGCACCTTTCGCGCTCGTCTGCCGCTTGACACTCTCACTGCCTAAACCACCTTTGAATCCAGACTGAAATCCAGATATGTATTTCTTGATTGTAGGAGTCAAATACGCATCGGCGCAGGCCGATGTAGTCCGCGGCACCAGTTTGATCATAGGCATCAGTTGGTGGCTCAAACTCACATGGTGGAAACCAATCTCATTAGCAATCCTTCCAACCAAGGCCTCGTGATCTGGAAAGGTGTATCCATGTATGAGACAAATAGCTATGCTTCTGAATCCGCGACTGTATAACTCTGTCAACTGCGATCTCACCAGGCTCTCAGATGGACGCTTTAGTATCCGAACGGCTTCTGAAGAAAGACCTCGAACAACATCAGCTGCTTCTGGCGTTTGTTCGCGAGGAACCGTCCCAGTAACATTTCTTTGTGGGTCCTCTGCGTAGTCCTCCAAGGTGACACGCTCATCCACCTCGATCACCTCCTCATAAAGCACATCAGGGCGTTTGATGGCAAGATCAAAGATTCTGGGTCGGGACTGATTCCCGATTTGGAGACAATCTTTGAATCCTTTGCTTACAACGAGGGCAACTTTCTCCCCTTTCCGTTCAAGGAGAGCATTCGTTGCTACAGTAGTTCCCATGCGAATGCTCTCTACCAAAGAAGTATCAATAGGTTCTCCACGGGGAATTTCACGATTCGTGAATCTAGAAAGGATACGCCGGATCCCTTCCAATGGTGCATCTTCATAGTTGGTAGGGTCTTCTGACAACAGTTTGATCACAATGTCATCCTCAAGACGGCCTGTCCCTGGGTTACCGACGCAGTCTGTGAAGGTTCCACCTCTCTATCACACGTTAGTTCTTGAAGCCAACTAGGAAGGTGGGCATTTACATCAATTGCTATGCTGATTCCTTTCGATTTTGCATTCATGTTTGTTTGAAAACAATGTACAAGGTTGCAGATTCCGTAGTATGAGTGGATGGAGTAGGAAAATGAAGTAGATGTCAGTTCCCCGCGTTTCTCTTATCTATCTATTACGTAGCTCCTATAACTACCTAGGTACATACTTACCCTGTCTCCTGTCTCTCGTGACCTCTGTTTCTATCTTCTACCCTGCTATATCTACATGTAGGGCTTCCATGGCATATTATCCTTCTGCTCTACTTAGATGCTTGCTAAGGGCCGAAAATCTTATACCTACGTCATATGCGTTAAATATTAATGCTGTAATTATTCCTTTTTTTTGTTAGTGAGATTATTGTGATACTAGAAGATCCTGAAGTATTGAGATCTTCCAGTGTACATGTATGCATGAATACATGAACACATGTAGAAACTCCTAAAAGTTACTACATCACAATACATCTAAAGCACTACAACGTTTCAAAACCTCCCAATTGCATCCGATCGAGCATGGCGAATGGAGATAACCGCTTTCAAATTAAATTTCGAACAAGGAGGGCCGGAACGGAATTCTTCGTACTTGGGCGAGGACTTCGGCGTTCGCTTCGGTATCCGAGCTGCTGTCCAGGATAAAAATTACCAACATCTCGAAAAAAAGGGAATAACTCGAAGGGGTTGAAAAAAAGAAAGCAAAAAAACAGGGGTGAGCATAAGCAACACGTTCGCTTTGCCCTAAGTCAATCCCGAGCAATCTTCAAGCATTAGGAATCAATAGAGCCAGAAAGAGACGATGCACGACATGTGCCACGTTATTGAAACGACCGAATCAATGAAACCTTGATTTGGTGACAGCTTCATCTTTTATTCCCCCTTCCAGGTTGACACAATTGGAATCAGTGACACCATTGGACGGGGACAAGGCGGGGGACATATGTCGAAGGCGAGAAAATGGAATGCTGAGTTGATCTACTCAGCGGTATCAAGCTCATCATGAGCAGAAGGCATTGGGTCCAGGGGTACTACGGTAGATCAGTAAAGAGTATTTTTCTGTACAACAGAATTGGGAACCAACTTACCTTTCCTGTCGTCGCCGTTGGTGGCATTGTCACGGTCATCATCACGGCGTTCGCGGTCATCATCACGGCGTTCGCGGTCGTCATCGCGTCTTTCCCGATCATCCTTGCCGTCGCGTTCGCGGTCATCGGGGCTACGGGAACGGTCGCGGGAACGGTCGCGATCACGGCGATCATGATCACGGTCACGGCGGTCGGAATCACGGTCACGGCGGTCGTAGTCGCGGTCGGCGGCGTCCCGTTCGTATCGGTCGTCTCGGCGAGGAGAATAGTCGCCGCCACGGCCGCGACGAGGGGAGGGGGAGCGGCCACGGCGGGGAGGAGTTCGATCGCGGCGACGGTCACGGCCAGCATCACGACCGGCATCACGACCGGCATCACGGCCAGAGCCAGAGTCAAATCGCCAAGAAGCAGAGGGGGGAGTGCGAGCCCACTAGAGATGGGGTAAGATATAAAGTCGGACAAAATTGAATATGTTGCTGCGTACCTCAATCTTCAGCAGGTCGTCACGGCCGATGCGCTTGTTGTGCATCTCGTGGTATGCGTCATCAGCATCGCGGCGACTCTCGTATTCGACAAAGGCGAAGCTAGATGATGTGATTAGAGAGCTGCGAGGTGTCATGAGGTATAAAAGGTCAACTCACAGTCGGCTGGAGGGAGTACGAGGAGCAGGGATGTCACAACGAACAAGACGCCCATAACTAGTGGAATGATCAGTCTCGGATAGCATCAGGTAGTTGAATCTAGAGATATTATGACGAATGACCAAGACTAGCAGTTCAAGATGAGACGCGACAAAGGCTTCCTGATGTCATGCTAGTTGGAATCAAGAAAAGCGCTATCCAAGCGATTCAATGCCAGTGGTCTCGGTACGTCGTCGGAATGGGAACCGGAGGTCGTAGCGAAGGTAGAGGCGACACGTACCGTTCGAATTCGTAGGCAAGGTCGCGAGCACGGGTGCCATGGCCGAACCCGGTAACATAAAGGGTAGTTCCAGAGCGAGAAGACATGGTGCCGTTGGCACAAATCAAAAAAGAATGAATGAAATGAAAGATGTGAAGGTTGGAGCTTTAGAAGCTTCAATAGTATAGAGTATAAAAGGAAGAGGAGCCCGAAAGAATTAGATGATGAAGGTGCTACGGTTGTATTGGGAGACCATTGACGCAAATGATGAAAGAGTCATGTGTTATGTCACACTTTACATACATATATTACCATGTATTTATACATCCATATAGCAGGTAAACCCCTTTTCTTGGTATTACTGAAACACTATGGAGGTAATTTTATTTAATTCTATATCAAGTACACATACAATTAAAATATACAATATTAACCAATAATATTAGCTCTATACATGTATATACTCCATAACTACCTATGTATACATGTACGTAAATATAAGTTATAGGTAGTTACATAGTGACATAGTTATGTACGTATGTACGTAATGCAAGTTAGTGGCGGACTATCGGAAGGTACCGTGTCTGTCGGTAAGTCGGATAGTTCTCAATCGCAACCTCTCTACTCTACTCCGTACTTTTTTTTACCTTTGGGGGTGAAACAGTCACTTTATTGCATTCTAATATCTTTTATTTTGTTTGAATCTGTTGTGTTATTACTCCAGTCGTCTGAAAGGGGAGAGAGAGAAAAGTACGCAAGTCAACTCATTCAATCACGCCAAAATCATCTTTCCCAAGCCTTCCTCCGCCTTTCGGAAGCTACTGTCAATATCACCTTAACACCCCTTGAATTCTATGACCACCGGAACAAGCAATACACTACTGGGCATAATACCAATGATGTGCTTTTAGACCACAGAGTCTCGGGAAGACGGCCAACCTTCATGGCTAGCATTACAACAATACAAAACAGATTTCTGGTGCTTTTTTCATTACATCAGACTATCAACACCGGTCGATCATTGTGCATTTGATTAACAGCAATCACATTTTGAATTTCGATTAAAAGAATCGTCAAAGAGCATCATACCTCGAATCACTGGAGGACTTCTTTATCATATTACTCCGGAAATCCTGATGTACAGTTCGTCACAATGAGCTTGGATCGCCAGAATGCCGTTCGGAAAGAGGAGCTGGAGGAGGCAGCCAAGCCTAGCTTGCAGAATCTGTCACAATTCTCCTCTAACACAGTCAAGGTGAGAATAGCATGCAGTCTATTGCGAGTCCTAGGCTAACCATTGATTAATGGAACAGGAGGTGGTTGGTAGTCCGCCCCCGTCATTTTTAGATCGAACAAAAACCAAACTTTCTGAGCCAGTGGTGGCTGCTTTTATGGCTGGTGGAGTAGCTGGCGCAGTTTCCAGGACGATAGTTTCGCCACTCGAACGATTGAAGATCCTTCTCCAGATTCAAAGCGTCGGTCGAACCGAATATAGATTGTCAATTTGGAAGGCACTGGTGAAGATGGGTCGAGAAGAAGGCTGGCGGGGCTTCATGCGAGGAAATGGAACGAACTGCATTCGTATCATTCCATACTCCGCAGTACAATTTGGAAGCTATAACTTTTACAAGCAGGTGAGTGGTTTAAACTAATCTATAGAGGCAAATGATCCAAACTGACCACCCATTTTTTTAGTTTGCAGAAACCCCCGATGGTGATATGAGTGCAATGCGGCGCCTTGTCTGTGGAGGCGCTGCAGGCATTACCTCGGTAACTGTTACATATCCTCTGGACATTGTTCGAACTCGGCTTTCCATCCAGTCTGCCTCATTTGCCGATCTGGGAACGCGAGACCCGGCACAGAAACTACCTGGTATGTTCACCACAATGGTCATGATATATAAGAACGAAGGTGGACCCAAGGCTTTATATCGCGGAATCACCCCTACAGTCGCAGGAGTGGCCCCCTATGTGAGTTCATCTTCTTCTCGTCTCGATTTACTCTAATCCGTGATAGGTGGGACTCAACTTCATGACGTACGAATCTGTGCGCATGTATCTGACTCCCGAGGGCGATAAAAATCCTAGCTCCGCTCGCAAGTTACTGGCTGGTGCGATTTCGGGAGCAGTTGCCCAAACGTGCACCTATCCTTTGTCAGTTGTCTCTCCTTTATCTTTGTCTGTATATAAGTATGAAAGCTCGCAGAACTGACTGTCCTCTAGCGATGTACTACGTCGACGGTTCCAGATCAATACAATGTCAGGAATGGGTTATCAATACACCTCGATCTGGGATGCTGTGAGGATCATTGTGGCTGAAGAAGGGTTACGTGGACTCTTCAAGGGGATAGGGCCAAATCTTCTGAAGGTGGCACCTAGTATGGCCAGTAGCTGGTTGAGTTTCGAGATGACTCGTGATTTCTTTGTCAATTTGAATGATAGAGAATAGCTCAATATGCCTAGAGTACATTAGTTTACATCAGTTTAAAAGGTCGTTTTCACTTTTGGTTATCTTTGATATTGGTATGGAATGTTCGATTGAATATTGGAATGCTTGAAACATGTATAGTAGGAAAATTGACTGAGATGATCACTTTACCATAGACAAGTTATATTATAGGATTTTACAATCCAATAACTAAATAGTTCACTAGTTATGGGTGTACCACCTCTCAAATGATAATATATAATATACAACTACATACATATGTATGAAGTACGAATGTGTAACTAATAAAATAAAAATGGGGCAGGGCTAGACTCAGATATAGAGCACGTGACACTGTTGGCCAACAGACATCAAGGTTGACACTGTTGCTTAGTAATCATATTCCAGTTCTAGTCATGTGCTCGCCTTTCCTATTTTGATCTAGTGCTTAGGGCTCAACCCCACACCACTTTCCAGGCGAAAGTCAAGGATCAAAAACCTCCTGCACTTTTCATAAGGGTGCGACAGCAAGCTATTTCCCAGGTAGTCGATCTCAATACACAGCCATGGGTATGTTTAATTATTCTCATCTGTTGCTTCCAGCAGCCTTTACCCGACCACCTTTATTCGTTTCCCTTTTTCAATCAAATCCACTGACAGTTTACAATTTACAGGTATCGACCTGGACCGCCACCATGTGCGGAGCAGCCACCGCAAGGCTCCCAAGAGTGACAACGTCTACTTGCAAGTTCTGGTGAAGCTTTACCGCTTCTTGGCTCGTATGAATTCCCCCGATTCCGATTTCCCATCCGCAGCGCAATGTCTACGGGCGTATACCGTTTTGAGGATTTTATAAGAGGAAAAATTCGAGGCTGATATTGGATGCATAACAGGCCGCACCGAGTCCAACTTCAACAAGGCCGTTCTTCGTCGCCTGTTCATGTCCAGAATTAACCGCCCCCCGGTTTCTCTCTCCCGCGCCGTCGCCAACATCGGCGAGGCCCACAAGGGCAAGACCGTCGTCGTTATCGGTACCGTCACCGATGACAACCGCCTTCTGAACGTCCCCAAGCTGTCGATTGCTGCCCTCCGTTTCACCGCTACCGCTCGCGCTCGCATTGAGAAGGCCGGTGGTGAGACCCTGACTCTGGATCAGCTTGCTCTCCGTGCTCCTACCGGTGCCAACACCCTTCTCCTCCGCGGCCCTAAGAACGCCCGTGAGGCCGTGAAGCACTTCGGCTTCGGTCCCCACACTGACAAGGTTCGTTTTTACACCTGGAAGATGAGATGGTTGGATTCACGATTACTAACTCGAAACAGAAGCCCTACGTTGCCAGCAAGGGCCGCAAGTTCGAGCGTGCCCGTGGTCGCAGAAGGTCCAAGGGTTTCAAGGTCTAAGGGACCTTGGGAGGATGATGCAGTGTGCCTTTGCCATAACCAAGCACTGGCCACACTGACTCGGTGCCTAGAATCATTCCGGATCTAGCCAAAGATCTCAAGTCTGTACTTAGGGTGACTAGGTGTCTTTGGTTGGACGAGGAAATGAGAATTTTACGAATAAAGGGGCAAAAAATTGAATCAGGCTTTGTCCTAAGTTTTTTCTTATGAAATTATCAAAAACAAAGAACAAAAAAATCTTTGTTTAAATTTGACTCTAGTTATGCTACTTTACTGCCTTGGGGATACAACTACAAACCCAAGGGCAAGTTCTGGTGTAGATATTTCCGTCCTCCTTCGCCGTCATGGTAGTCGGCTGCTCGATGGCCGTTCCCCCGGATCAGGTATTTGTAGATGGTAAGCCCCTCAAGTCCAACTGGTCCGCGCGAATGGATCTTGTTGGTGCTGATACCAACTTCTGTGCCAAATCCGAAGCGCATCCCATCGGCGAACCGTGTAGAAGCATTCCAAAAGACGCCTGCACTGTCGATGCCACCTGTGAACATATCCGCTGCCTCTTTTGACTCGGTCAAAATTATATCCGTGTGCTTAGAAGAATGCTCGTTGATATGAGCAATAGCAGTTTCCACGGCTGCGATGGGGGGTTGGTAGCAGGAATCGTCTTGACTGCCAACACGAGATCCAAGAACTCGGTCTTGTAGTCAGATTCAGTGGCCGTTTGTAGTTGAGATGATTTCTCAGCCGAAAAGATTTTCGTCAATGCTTTTTTAGAAGCGTCGTCGCAACGAAGACGCACGTTTTTGTCCAAAAGAGCAGTAGCTACTTCGGGGAAAACCGTTTCAAGGATATCTTCATGGACAAGTAAGCACTCCAATGAGTTGCATGCAGCTGGGTAGTCCGTCTTCGAGTCCACAATCACCTTCACAGCCGTTTCGGTATTTGCGTCAGCATGGATGTAAGCAGAACAAATGCCGTCGGCATGTCCCAGCACGGGAATCTTTGTGTTATCCTTCACGAATCGCACCAGTTCGTTAGAACCTCGGGGGATGACCAAATCTATCCACGAATCTTGGGCCAAAAGAGAAGACACTGCATCGCGTGTCTTGACTAGTTGAACCGATTCAACTGGCACCTGAGAATCCTTAATAGCGCAAGAGACAACGTCTGCAATTGCTGCAAACGATTCCAAGGATTCTTTCCCGCCTGGTTGTGGTATTTGTGTCAATGAGAGCTAAGGCATCCAGTATTGAAGGGGCACGCATACCTTTCAAGATAGCTGCATTGCCTGACTTGATAGCCAACGCAGCGATGTTTGCTATCACTTCTGGTCGGGCCTCAAAGATAATCAGGAGAACACCGATAGGACAACTGACTCGTTCCAGTGTCAGGTCTTCGTCGAGCAGGGTTCGTAGGGTCACTTTCCCGACTACAATTTATTATGATTAGGTCTATCTCCATAGATATTAACATAATATACACTTACTAGGGTCATCCAAATCTCGCACACTCAAGATTCCATCAAGCATATCATCATACTTTCCGGGTCGTGACAGGTCGAGTCTCTTGAGAACGCTATGACTCAGTGTACCACTGGCAGCGGCTTGGTTGGCAAGTTCTAAGTCTTTAGCATTGGCAGCAAGGATAGCTTTTCGGTTGACATCCAAGGCATGGTGCAGTGCCGTCAATGCTTCATTGCGGGCATCGTTGGATAAGGTCGCGAGGCGACGAGAGGCAAGTGATGCACTACGAGCGACATCATCTGCTGCCAATTCAGTCAATGGCATGTTATTTTTTCTGTCTAAAAGAAAGACAGAGAGAGAGAAAATAAGAAAGAAAAAAGAAAGGGATAGGGTTTTGTAATAGAGTAACCCAGTGAAATATCGTAGAGATCAAAATGAGTCAAGGTGCGGAGGGGCAGTTTATCTCAGAGAGCCTCTATCTTATCCAATCTACACTTCTACACTACAACAATACAACAACATCTCTCTTACACTCTAAAACACCACTTCAACAACCACCATCTTTATTTTTCTTCTATTTTCCTTCTTTACAACTGTCACTTTCTCTCCTTTTCCTTCTCTCTTGCTCTCATCTTCCAAACACGGTCTGTCCACAATCGATAACCCGCCACGGAGCTGGTTACCACTGTGCCCAGTATGGCACTCATCTCAGATTTACTTTCCGCGTCGACTCATTTACACAATCCCATAATTAACGACGAGTATGATCGTCGAATCCGCGAGCTAGTTGAATATCTCAAACGACCACTGACTACCAAGAACCTTGATACTTGTGCCAATGATGAAACATTTCTCGATGTAAGAGACCCGCAGTGCTCAGCTCACATCACTGGATATTCTGAGTCATAGGCTAATTAATATGGGCATTTGATAGCAATTCGATCCAGCGACAGACTCTATCGTGTATCTTTTCGTGCTTGGTGTACAAATCCAAAAGGCACAGGAACTCGGCGGAGAAGCATGTCCGGCAGATATTCGTCCATCAGGGAAGCTATGGGCACGCGCTGCGCAATTTTTAGCAAATTTCGATTCAATTCAAGTCAGATACATTGGACGAGAGTGGCGCAATTTGATTGAGATTGTTGCGCAGGCTTCGCTTGCTGCACACCAGGTAAGTTCGCTCTAGGTCACCTATGTTAGCGTTCAATTACTTACCTTATCACAGCCACTGCTTGGTGCTAAACTGGTTCGAGATGCCATGCTTCGTCTTGACCCATCATCTACTGTTTTCACGTCGACACATCTCTTACTTGTGAAGCTTTGTCTTCAAGCCAGGGCGTATTCCTACGCATTGCCGATACTGAACAAGCACATTTGTCATTTTCCAACTCTACCTAGCCAATCTTCTTCTGAGTCATCTATACTCTGTGCAGATGGGTCAAGTGTGTCTTTTATAACAGACACCTCTGGATTTTCATCTAAGCTCTCCTATCGTGATTACTTACGCTATTTTCTCTATGGCGGAATGGTATACATGACACTCAAGAAGTGGCGCAGTGCACTTCACTTCCTCGGGGTTGTCATCTCTATGCCTACCGCTAGTTCTGTGAGCTTGATCATGGTGGAAGCTTATAAGAAATGGGTGCTGGTTGGGTTACTTGAAAAGGGAAAGGTTAGTGGTGTTCAGCAAGGAAAGGCAAACAGAACAGAGCACGTCAAAGCGTGGAAGTTCCGCATTGATTATCTCGTTACACTAGGCTAATTTATATCTGTGTTAGCTATGCTCGCCTCCGAGTATTACTACCCCGCATGTCGTGAAGATATACCAATCGCTCGCGAGGCCCTATGTCATACTTGCTCACGCTTTTGAGCGTGGTGACCTGAAGCGGCTCAAGGGTGAAGTTGATGCTGCTAGGGATATCTGGTGCATGGTAAGCCTCTACTTGAATGGATACTGTTGGTTCATGTGACGTGTAGAACTGATGCCATTGATCAGGATAACAACCTGGGCCTTGTTACCCAAGTTGTTGATGCTTTTTTCAGCCAGACTGTGATCAAGCTTGGGAAGACCTTTGCAGCTTTAACCGTGGCCGACCTTGCAAAGCAAGTCTTTCCTTCGCCCGTGGATGAGGAGATCGCTGAATCTGCCGTTTCTTCACTCATCATGTCTGGGGCTTTGAACGCCACATTGGTGCAGATGCAGGATCATGCTGGGCTCTCGATGCTACGATTTTCCATCGCTCTTTCGTTCCCTCGGCTCTCGCATGAGTTAGATGTGCAGACCCATCTGAGGCAGGAACGACAGTTGATGGAGTCTTTGGTGTGTAATTTGGAGGAAACAAATTATAACTTGGGGATGAGCGACGAATGTGTCGACAGTCTTCAAAGAGGGCAGGCCTGGTCTGCCTCCGGTGGGGCTAATCCAACCACGGCAGAGGAGGCGGGCCTCGAGATGGATGAAGATCTGATGGGTGATATGTCATAAGTCGGATCGAACTCGTACAGTCTTCAGTAGTAATACTAGACTCTTTCGATTTGAATTTGCCGTCCACTCGATGCTACTTGCTTACCTACATCAGGCCAAGAGTCTTGACATAGCCAAGATTAAGGAATTAGTGAGGCACTCACTATATCAATACTAAAAGGAGATGAACGTATAAAACGAGCTAACAAACCATATCGAGCACTCTGGCTATGCCTATTGAGTTGGCGCCATTAAAATAGATTTTAGACATGTTTGGTCTTGTAAAAGGATATTTATCTATTATGGTACGCCCAGTCCGTGCGACTCAATGCCCGCTAGGCATTAGTTAGGTCGCCACAGTGTAATACAATCCACAGTCTAATACAATTTTTATCTAACACACCTTCTTTGACTATTCACTATCAACTACCACCATACCGAATAAACCTAATCAATTAGAACTGCGATCAAAATTAGCAATTTAGGCCTACTATAACCGCAGAAAGCCTGAAATCAAACGGCTAGCCTAGGAATTCGACGTCTTATATAGTATACTACATGAATAACTCTACATTCATATATCTCGTAAAAGCCGTATCTTAATAGCTAAAGCACTTAATAAGGACTAGGAAGAAGCGATACTTAGCTATATTACTATACTAGACGATACTAGGTATCCGCTAACTACGAAGACTATTTAATATATTATAAGTTTAATATTAGTCTCGCGCGATCTATCGCGAACTATACTATTAAATAAGGACCAGGTCTACTAATTTTTTTACCGATATCTTTATAAATGTAGCCTTAATTATATTATATAAACGCTTAGGAATTAAAAAGAATAGCTGCTAAAGATATTAGCTTAATTTTAGCTTGATATAATCGCTTTAAAGGATCTCTTAATATAAATAAGATTAGATATTCAATTAGATAAAGTACTTTATAATAAGTATTATTAAAAAGTCTAATTATATATACACTAAATAAAGATATTTCTACATTTATTATTGATATTAAATATATTATAACTAATAATTAGAAGATGTTTATATTAGTTTTTAAATAGAATTTCCCTTAACTAAAAGCTATAATAATAAATAATCTTCTATTAGACTATATATTTATTATAATATGATTCTATCTCTTTATCATATATATGGTAAATTTATTAAGCTCATTAGATTCTTCGTTATTTTCGACCTTTAAATACTTTTTTGAAAGATATAGTAATAAGGTTATTCATTAAGATAAAGATATTAATTATAAAGCAGATTTTTTCTATAAGATCTAATATATTTATAAATTTATAATTATATAAATTATATAATGTTTCGAGCTAAGTCTTAATGAATAAGAGTATATTTAACTCAAATACTAAATATAGGGAAAGAAAGAAAGAAGAAGAAAATAATATATAAAATCATCAAGGTAGTGATGCCTAAGACATCTAATTAAACAATTTAAACCACGTTCTACGGAGGGCGGTAGAATACGGTAGAACCGGTTCCGGATTATTGATACTGAATTCTTCGTGATATATAATATAGATTTTAAAAATATAAGATCATATCTTTTAATATATTATTTTTATTTAAAAATAGAATTAATTAAGGAAATAAATTGGTAATGTTTTATAAAGTAAATACTAATAATATCTTATCTTTAATTATTAATTCCCTGCTTAAAAGAGCTATTTAGATATAAAAAAAATATATAAAAGCTTAAAATGATATTAAATTACTGAATAATAAGCTTTATCTACGAATTAAAAATCATATGAAGCTATTATACCGGATTACGCGGTAAGCGACCTATATCAAGGACTAGCTATAATTAGATAATCACTTTATAACGTTGTTATAATATCTAATCACTTAAACAACTAAACGGTAGATCTATATAAGGGGTCCTACAGACGTTAGTAGTACTAATAGAGTAAGCTAAGTACGCGAAACTAAAGAGGTAGTCGCTAAAATAAACGACGTAAGAAACGGGGTTTACTTATGATTAATTAGGATAGATCTCCTACCTTAGCGCCTTATCTGAATAATATATTATTTGACCTAAAGGTAGGTCTGTAATAATAGTCTTTAAATTCTAAATTCTATAATTATTAAGTAGAAGGGTGGCGAGAAAACAAGAACATTAATCGCGTTAGATTAACATTATGTTACACTATAGATTGTATTATATTATAGCGTAACCCCCGTAGGGGTTAGGTCGTAGTACGGACCGGCCCTAGTTCTTAAATATAGTATGATGTTTAGGGTATAGGGCTAGATCGGATAGGGTGTGGGTTTTATAGATGCCCGATTTGTTAGATGTAGATAGCTCTAGGGAGCTCTATTCCTCTCTCTCTCTCTCTCTCCTTTCTTCCCTATCTTTAGTATCTTATTAAACAGGACTATCTCTTTCTTTTAATTTAACTTACTGTAATATATAAAACTAAATATTATTCTTTGTTTACTTTCTTAACTATTAGTTGTATAGACGCGTATATCCGTACCGTGTTCTTAGTATCAATTAACCACTAATTACGATCGAATTTAAACCCGAACCGAATTACTATATTAGCTAAACTAGTTAAGATAGGTACTACTATAACTATAATAGAAACTTAGTAAACGACTAGTTTTTTATTGCTAATAGTAAGGATAATATTACCTATGACCCTAAAACCCTTATCCCCTATTGGAACTAAGGCGAAGATAATAATATAAGAGAAGGGAGTTAGTTCTATTCAAGATATCTTACAGAATATCCCTTTAGGGTGGTCGATTTTAAAAGCTCGCCGATACTTATAAGGATCTATTTACTAAGACGGAAGCTTTAAAGAAGGTAAAGAATTAGATATAAGACTATATTACCAACTTACTTAATAGTAAGATTATAAGAGTGACCAAGAGGAATAATGAGTATAGGAAGGGAACAAGGAATGTTAATAAAGTAAGAAGGTAATTTAGGTTACCTTTAAAGAATTCTTAGTAATAGTGGTTTTTTAAATAGTAAAATTGTTATTATTATCATAATTTTTTTACGCTAATTTTATATTAGAAAATATAGCGAATAAATATTTATTATAATTTATATAGGTATATAAATACCTACGATTAATTCCTAATATTTAAAGTAGTAGAGAATAAATACTTTATTATTATAATATAGTGATATTATAGAATAGTGTTATCCTACTATTTATTATATATACTAATAAATATGACATCCCCCTCTAATCTATATAATATTTTATTATTAATTAATTATACTATTTAGGTCTATTTTTTAAACTTACTAGTTCTAAGAATTTAGTATATTTTATAGTATATAGACTTATAGTTAAAAAGCCTATTAATTTATAATAAGTAGGGATATAAATTAATTGATTTTGTTATTTAAAATCGCTTCTCTTATAAACTAGTCAGCTATTCTAATATATTTAATTCTTTTATAGAACTTTGGATTTTTACTAATTTTTTTAGTAGATAGATTATCTACTATTATTTTAGGGATATAAAGAGTATAATTCAATTATATTTTATTATTTAATAAGTAAAAAGGCTTTGTAGATATAAGGCTTCTTTAGTTACATATTTAGCGCTATGTATTTAGCTTCTATACTATTTAAAAATTCTGTTTTTATTCTTATTTTTATTCTATAGCTAACTATTCTGGAAGGTTATACTACCTATTTCTTTTTATTAGAAGATATACTAAAAATTTAGCTAGATATAGATTTTCTACTATCCAAGTCATTTATACACTCGAAATTATAGTATCTCTTTAGGAACAAATTATCTCTAGGGTAGTTATAGAATAAGCCTAGTTTTTCTATATTGAATAAGTATTTCTAAATTTATAAAGAGTATTAAAAAAAAATAATATCTAGATTACAATATATCTAGAGTAGTAAATATTTAGAAAAGTTATATCTAGTCTAGCTTTCGATACTAAATATAATGGGGAGCTAATTTTCTTCTAAAATTTATATATATTATTATAAGAAGCTTTAATTTAACTCTTCTATCATTTAATTCTAGGTTCTTTAAGGATTTTTGAATACTATTATTATTTGAAATGAGTTTTTTTCTCAAAATACCTACCTTCCTTCTATTGGCGTGATATTATTTAGAATATTTAATATAGTATAAATCTCTTAATTATCTAATTCTTCAGTATTGTAAGAAGATTACCAGGTCAGGGGTGATCAGCCTGTCAATCCGGTAAGATACGATGATGGATCGGTAATGAATAAGTGAAGGAGCGTCAACGATATAGTTTACTTGTACAGAGACTAATTCTTGTCCCCCAGATAGGGGCCAGGGAGTTATCCCCCTTTTATGCCCCGTTTGGACGAAGCTCCCAGGGGCACATTATCTCTGTCGGTATCACTTATTGCGATTCTATCTTCGTTGGTGACACTACGTCCGAATCCTTTTCGTAGACGGAACATTCCCGTTACATGATCGGATCCATTACTCCTCGTCCTGCATAGCCTCGTTAAAACCAACCAGGCAAAACCCTGATGGGAAAAGGCCAAAGGTTGGAAAGAGTGCTTGGCAGTCTTAGTGATCTGTCTCCCATTGTATGGTCCCAAAGACCATTACATAGATTTAGGCGAGCGGGTAAGCTTCGAGGAAGTCAAGTTTATTGATATAGTTAAACTCGAGACGTATTTTTATTTTGATAAGCCGACTGTACGAACTTTTAAATAAATCGATATCGAGCGGCTATAAAAGTTATAATAAGTATATAGGTACATAGTGTCACGGGCCAGAGCCCATTGGATATCACGTGCTACCACGTGACCCACACCTGGGGTTATTATGGAGAACCCCGCGTCAGATAGTTCCTTTCCTCAAGATGAATGTAAACAGCATGTTGGCCTAGCCCTAATTGAATCAATTCAGCTACAGCCCTTCACACATAGATTAGTATAATATCGTTTTGTTTATAAATCTAGTCGAACTTCGGGGCTAAATAGCTTTAATAACTAATAAGTATTGATAGGTAATACCGAC